TATAAAAAAAAAAAAAGAAGATCTGGGATAAGATGAATCAACCTTACACAAAAAAAAACACCATTATGAAAAGAGGGAATTAATTTCAACACAAAACGAAAAAACCTTTATTATAACAATTTAAATTACATGAAAGTGTTTAAATATTTGATATTTCAACAATTTTTTGTCGAACCAAGTGGTATGTTTATTAATTAAAATTAAAAAATTTGTACAAATATGTTTTAGTAAACATCAATCTTATAATTTTGAAATTTTATTAATTTTTATAATATTATTATTAATTTGAAATGGATAGACAGAACTTATCATCTATTAGGTCAATGAGTAAAGATAATTTATTAAAGTTACATTTTTCCTCTTTAAATTCACATACAAAGTCTAATAGTAATAATAATAATAGTAATTTATCTAATTCATCAAATAGAAATAGTAGTAGAAATAATAAAAGTAATAATATGTTAGAAATTCATAATAATGGAACAAATAGTATTGGAAGAGCAGGTCTAAACAGTGAAGATCAGAAAATAATTCAAGATCTAAACTCATTGGAGTTGGAAGAGATTTCCTCTAAATTCTCATCTACCTATGGACCACCAGCGTCATTATCAAGAACATCATCAAAAGATAGAAACTCTGATACAGAAAGCAGCTCTGATGATGACCTATCAATTCCATTACCAACTTCTACATTGAAAAATAGCACACAATCCATTTTAAAGAGTCCACTTGATAATCCGATTTTAAAGTTTCAAAGCGATAGTGAAGAAGAATCAGAGTTGGTAGTTAGCACATCTAAATCACCTAAACTACTCTACCCAAATAATATCAATAATAATAATATTAATAGTACTGATCAAAGCAATATAGAGAATATCAAACCAACCAATGATAGCAATAATAATAATCAATTGAACCAAAGAGAAAAGAAAGATGATTTGCCAACCTCTTCGGTCAATATTGTCGAGATAAATGGAGTTAGAATCGATAGAACCTCACCTGTTACGTTTAATGTAGGAGGAACACTCTTTGCAACTAGTTTAAATACCATTCTAAGAGCCAAAGACTCATTGTTATACAAGATAGTAGAGATGCAAATCCATCAGATACAAAAGGATCAAATTATATTCATAGATAGAAATCCAATTTATTTCAGTTGTATACTCGATTACCTGAGAACCTTGAAATACTTTTCACCAAGCGGACAAGTCAATACCGCTGCACTACTGGAGGAAGCGACTTTCTTTAAAGTAAAAGGTTTAGAACTTGCAATCAAAGATGAACCAGAGCTTACAAGAACTGATATAGTAAAGATATTAAATTCGTATGTATTGTTTATAATAATAGTAATCTAAATAACTTTTTATTAATTTAATTTTAATAATTGTTTCATATTTAAAATATAAAAAGATGTTATGATTTCCCAAGATTACAAGGACTGTGGTTGAATAAAGCGAATCTTACAGGTTTGGATTTGAGTTGTGCACTTTTGAACTATTCTAATCTAAGTTATTGTATTATAAGTAATACAACAATGAATCAAGCATCTTTTGCCAACTGTAGAATGGATGGCGCCATCATCAATACAAACATTGGATCAAACTGTGTTTTTAATCGTGCATCAATCATTAATGCAAATTTTCAGGATAATACATTGCATGAATCACAAGGTTATTTCGTTAACTTCACAGGGTAAATATATTTAATATAATATATATTTAATTGATATTATAGTTGTTAATATTAATATTTATAATATGTTAGATCAAATTTAACAGGTACAAACTTTGCATGTTCAGATCTGAAAGGTTCGAAATTCGTTGGTGCAATCTTATATGGATGTGATTTGTCTCACTGTGATCTGACGGAGTGTGATTTCACTAATGCTAAGTTTGATGAGACGACAAACATCAGCTGCGCTATTTTGACCAACGCTATCTTTGAAGGCTGCAATAAAGAAAAGGCATTCTGTAAAAAGAGTTTCAAGAAACCAAAGAGTATAAGAGTAAAATCAAAGATATCAACATTGCCTGGAATGATGTTGTAATAAACAAACATTATTGTATCATTTTTTTTAATAATTGTAAAGCAAAGAAGAAGATCTTTTTTTATCTCTTTTTCTACTTATTATTTTGTTTATAGTTACTATATATATACATATTTATTTATTCTGTCATTTCTATATCTTGATTTACACTATTAATCATATTTGTATCCTGTTGTTGATCTATATTATTATTGTTTGATGATGATGATGATGATGATTGTTCATTCTCATCGCTATCTGTATATTTTTTAAACATTTCAACCTCTGTAAGTTTTGCAATTAGTTCCCTATATATATAAAATGAATTAATGTTTAGTATTCTTTTTACAATTTAATCTAACTAACATTGCTTATTATAGATGATTACTTTTTCTTTCTTAATTTATCTTTATATGATTTTAATAATAATTCTTGTTCTTCAAGTGTTCTATTTGTGCCTGGTATAGAGTTAAGAACTCTTAGTGATTTAGCTACCTTTTCGTTGAGTGCATTGACTGCTCTAGATACCTCAAGCTCATCATCTTTAAGCCGAGAGATAATATCTAATATAAAAGGAAAAAGTTGAAATTCTTTTAATAAATCTTCAACTGATTGTTGAGGTTCTTGTTCTATCTTTGAATTCATCATCATTTAATGATCAACAAAGTTTTTTACCTTAGTTAAATTAGTGTGCGAAAAAAAAAAATTAAGATACATTACACTGATCATTTTAAAAAGTGAAATATAGTAGTTAATGATGTTCACAAATCTGTTTATTTATTTATTTATTTATTCTTTTAATAATGATAAAAGTGAAGAATTAATATTAATATTAAATCGATTAATTCTATCTTTGATTAGCTCTGGGTGTTTGCGGTGAAGTGGTGAAATAACTTTGAAAATAAATTCTATATAGTGGTATTGAGGATCTGATTGTTGGTATAATGTATATGAATTGCATAGATATTCGATGACAGCTAAATCAAGAAGATTTGTTAAATCGTTTGGATTGTTGTTTTTAAGTGCCCGACTAACAACAAAAGTCACAACGTCACCAACGATATATAATATACTGTCTTGTGTATCCTGATGGTTTGGTAGATCGCCTTTTAAACAATGTGTGATAATAGGTTTCAGTGCGACTGTGTTATAGATTGAATCTATAGATCTCTCATCTCCTGATTCAATAAGTTGTTCTAGTCCTCTAATGATCGATACTGTGATATCTTCTATATATTTTTCATCTTTGTAATTGCTATAGTATCTTTTATATTGCTCTACCATTCCAATATCTATAATATGATGTACATATCTTTCTTCTTTATGATCTAATAGTAATTTATAAACTATTTCAAATGTATTTAATCTTTTTTGTTTTTGTTAATATCAATCTACTACTATTTATCAAAACTAAAATGTTTACATACAAATTAATTCTATCTATATTTAAATGATTGAAATGTGACAAGTACTTTGAAAGACTTGACAAGATACCAAGTTCTATGTATTGGTTAAACAGTGATTCTGTTTCTTCCTTCTCAGTGAGTGCACTTAATATAAAGATAATACTCTTTGATATACTCTTGTTGCTAAAGTTTAAAGGGAAGTAACTAGATATAAAAGAGAGATATATTGAAATCTAATCGATAGTTAGTGTCAATTGAAATCTATAGCGACAGTTGATATTGAATATTTACTTGTTTATCTGATATCCTATCAATAGCATTATCTCTGTGAATTGCACTTAATGATAAGTTTAAAGATTGCTCTACGATGTCGATATTTGATTCCCATCTCTTTAATACATCGAATATCGTATCGATCGCATTGATATGATTGAAGAGAATGACATTATCACCAAGCTGAACAAATCTAGTTATACATTCAACTATTTTCAGAATATTCGATGGTTCATTCTCTTTAGCTATTAAATACAACAATCTATAAATTTTTTGTTAGCTCTTTTTTTTTTTGATAAGTTAGAGAATTTCAATAAACATACTTTGGAATCGCTTTTGTTCTAACCAAGATATCCAATGTTTCTTTATAATTTGTTAACTAACAGTTTGATAATATTAATAAAAATATAAATAAAAAAATAAATAATACTATATAATAATTACTATTTCAATTATATTTAAAACAATTGATCTTGTAATAATACACTGTTAAATTGGCAATTTAAATATATTAGTAAAATAGATAGATTGAAAATAAAATAAAAAAAATTAGTTTAATTCTATACATTTTCACCGGTGAAAGTATTCATTTTAATATATAACAGTGGTATTAATTGCTGCTCTAATATATTAATACTCTCTGGAATTGAATTATCAAACAATGTATTTATTTGACCATTGTGTATCTTTTGTAGTAATGATTTTCTAATACTATCTGAGGTGTCTGCTTTTTGTAACTGTTTTAATAGATGATCAAGTGGTATCGACGACAATGATTTCCATTTGAATAAAATCGTTATAACTACAATAATTATAACTATCACTATTGTCCAATACATATATAAAATTGATATTAATTTATAAAATAAGTTAAAGATTTAAAAAAATAATAAAGATTGCAGTGTTTAAAAAAAGAATTTTGATTTTCAAAAATTTCTGGTTTCTTGTTTTGGACCCAAAATCGATTCTTTGAAGTTATTTCAAAATAAAATAATAAAAATAGATATACAGTTATTATTAAAAAAAAAGAAATATATATAAAATGTTTTATTAAATCGGATTTTTAAATATTATGATATAACTCATAGTTGAATGGTTATACATATAATAAAAATAAAAAATATTATTAAGTAATTATTGTGATACTAATCGATTAGTTCGTTTCGTTAGTTAATTATTTGTTGTTATAACAAGTAGTTTAGACAACTGGAATTGAAGCCATCGATGAGATACCTGCAATTTGTTAAATAAGATAGAATTAGTAAATTGTTAACAGTTTAGTTTAAATAGAAAAGAAAAAAATTAGTTACTCATTAACAATTTGCAGGTATCGTTGAGACGATATTGTTAAAGAATAATAATTTTTTTTTTTTTAAAATACATACCGCAGTGATTGCTCTTATCCTTAGCCATCCAAATGTAACCAGAAAGACCCCAGTTTGGACCCCAGGAATTCTTAACGATCCAGTAGTTCGATGATCCTTCAGTACCGTAACCAACAGCGAGGACACCGTGATCCAAGTTGTATGATGAACAGGCTGGTTCGTAGTAGACACCAGATTTGTAGAGTTGGAAGGAGGAATGGGAGGCATCGATGGCAACAGAGACTGGTCCCTTGTTCAACTTGGCAGCCAAATCAGTTTCGGAACCTCTTTGGACGTCAATGTATGAGGAGATCTTGGCACCAATGTTGGCTGGGTTGAACTTACAGGTGTAAGAGTCGGACATGGTGTATGGGTATGACTCTTCAGTGTCGAGACCACCTTGTGCAATAACGTATTTCATAGCTGCATCCATCAAACCACCGTTGCATCCTTCGTTTCCATAGTCACGGGAGCAATCCATCAATTGTTGTTCAGAGAGCGAAGCAAAGTTACCAGTGGCAATTTGGTTGGCACCTTCAATGGAACCAGTGGTAGAGAATGACCAACACGATCCACATTGACCTTGATCCTTGACACGACCGACGGCACCGGATGATCTCCAATCGAGCGAGGCGGCAACTGGGGCGAAAACCTTGTTCAACTTGATAGAGGCGGCTTGTTGTGGAAGTCTGGAAGCATCGACCTTGACACCGAGATAGAGATTTCTGTATTCTTCATTGGACAAATCGGCCAAGTGATTGACACCGAGAACGGTGGAGTGACCTTGCGAGTTCCACTTGTGGATCAAGTCGAGATTGTTTTTAAAGGCATTGTAACGGTCTTGGAATTCGAAAACATCGTAGGCACGATCGAGACGGACCATCCAATTGGTGAATTGATTTTGGTAGTGTTGCTCAGAGAACAATCTGTTTGCTGAAGCAATACCTACAATCAAAAAGAGTGCAAGTAAAATTCTCATTGTTTTTAAATTTGATTTATAATATGGATAAAGTGTGATTATAGATTTACTGGTTAAAATAATTTAGGTGTAGAAAAGTATTATTATTATTTACAAAAGAAAAAAAAAAAAAAGTCTGTTTTAAATATATTACACTATTTTATATTATATATATTTAGTTAATATTGTGATTGGGATATGAATATTACTTTCAGCAGTTCTGGGAGTTTAAATAGTTTCTTCGATGACGTAGAAAAATAGAATTCAAAAAATAATTAAATTAAATAAAAATAAAAAGAAAATTCTTTGCTACACAAGAGAGAAGTTTGTAGAAATTTCATGCGAAATATATTGTACAACTTTTACTTTTTTGGAAGACCCTGTTTAACGACCCTTGTTTTTTTCAAAAAACTAAACAGAAAATATTCCCTGGAGAAATCAAAATATTAAATTTTCAATTTTTTGCGATTTGACCAGTGTTGCAAAAAAATCAAAAAAAAACGAGATCTTGGTATTCATAATCTTAATGCAATTTAAAAGAATGAAAATATCGCTTTCGCAATCTTAACTGTTTTGTAACCAGTAAAAAATCCTGGAGGTTACAAATTTCATTTGCAACACTGCAATTCAACATAATCTGGTAATATGAATATTTTTTAAATATTTTATTATTAGTTCTAAAGAATATGAAGTTAAAAAAAAAAACAAAATTTAATACATTTTATATTATCTCTAATAAATGATTATCTATACTATATTCATTATAACATGATTTCATTTTTTTATTTTTAACCTATTGTTCTTCTCTAGGTCTAATGAATTGAATAATCATCTTAATTTTTATTTTTATTTCAATTATGATTAAATTAATAAAGACAAGCAAAAATATTATTATTTATTCTTATAATTAAAAAAAATTAATCTTATTTATTTAAAAATAGAGTAAATAACTGAGAATTGTTGTCAATGTTTATGAGGATACAAACTACTATTGCTTAAAAGGTAATTGTATTATAATAATGTGTGATTGGGTGCTCTCGATTGACAGAGGTGGAGGTTGGGATTTATTGGATGAGTAACTATTAAAAACTCTATTATTTAATAGGTGGACCAAAATCATGATTCCGACATATGTTGGATTCAATGCTAACTGATTATTCTATTTATCTATTATTATTATTTGCAAATTGGTTTCAATGTTCGAATGACCTTATTTTACCAAATATTTGCTGATATATCTTATAGATTGATTAAATTGATTTTACAATGGGTTGTTGTTGTTTGGTTTGATTGTTTTTATCTTCTTTATGATCATCATTTATTAATATTATTTATTAATATCATAATTATTATGGTTGTATTAAATCTTGATAACTATTATTGTTGGAGAGGGAAGAGGAAAGTGGAGGTTGTGGAAGATTGTGTACTGTTAGATCATAAGATGAGGGAAGTATTGATGGTGATGAAATCGGAAGTGAGTTGGTAGGTGATGATGAAGGTGAAGCAAGCGGTGACACTGATCTCGATGACGATGAAGAAGTCGATGACATCGTAGATGAAGATGATACAGGATTGTCTGTATCTAAATTATAATTTGAAGATGGTACTTGAATTGATGGCTAAATTATTATAATAAAAGTAAATAATTGCAACAAATGATTTATATAAATGTATAGATATACTTACATTTCTACCATTATTTCTAAATCCAAATCCCATTTTCCATTTACCATTGGCATTGTTATTGTTTGAAGATCTATGATGGTGATGATGATGATTATGATGATGATGGTGATTGTGTGGTTTGTGATTTTCAAAGTTTGACAATGATCGTGATATTTGTCTCTGTGGATTGTATCGATTGTTGTTGTTATTGCTATTGTTGTTGTTGTTGTTGTTGTTGATTGTAGTTGATGGATTTGAATTTACATTATTGGTATAGTTGGATGGTCTTGGTGACGTGTGATTGTTAGACTCTTCGCTTATTGTGGAAAGCGTCGAGTTGGAATAGGAGTGTAAGTTGGATGATGATAGAATATTGGAATCCAATTTCAGACTCGACGATAGAACCTCTTGGTTGTCCAATGCCGACTCTAAATGTAGGTTCTCCATGAGCGTATTCCATTTCTTGATATTCTCTTCGAGTGCACTCTGTACGATCTCTTTAGTGATGTTTTTGGAGCGACCGCCGTTCATCTGATGATGAAGTTGTGGTTGTATCATCTTCTTCAAACAATTGCAAATCTTGAGATATTCATGACTACGCTGCTTCTCGAGCATCGACAAATCCTTGTATCTCGATCCCATCGACCGTTGTAGCAGGTCTTCGAGCTGCTTGCCAATGCGTCCATAAAAATCTGTGGCCAAATTCTGCAGTTCCGTCAGCTTGAGAATATCCGATGGTTGTGTCTTTGGTCGTTCTGGCTGCACAGACGACACCAATACAGGTCCACTTGGTTTGTCTTGATTCACTTGTTGTTGTTGTTGTTGTTGTTGTTGTTGGCCATCAATAGTTATCGAGTCTGACGACAAAGATGAAGAGTTTATAATATCAACAGGCTGACTTGTTGTTTCTGACTGTTGTTGTTGTTGTTGTTGTTTTGGTGAAAGTAAACCAGATGATTGTGGTGACTCTGAAATGGGTGTGGTTGTCTTTGAGGAGTTGGGAGAATCGAATGATTTCAGTTTCGAGTTGTTTGGATTCAGTATGATAGTTGGCATCGATTGAGAGATCATTCTTTCCTTGTTTAACTTCATTGACGAATGTCTGGAATCGGATGTCTGGATAGTTATTATTGTCGAACGTTTCTTTGATTCCATCTCCTGTTGCTTTCGCTCCAATATTAAATCAAGCAGCTTCTCAATTCCCTCTTTGACACCACTATCTTTTTTCGCACTCGTAAATTTCCAGAAATTATATTCACATGCTTTACAATACTAAATAAACAAATACAAATTCGACAATGTTATTAAATCGATTATATTACCATTACTTATATTATTCTATTCTTACATTATCTAAATCTGAACCATTTATAATTGAATCACCTAAATCTGATTTATTTGCAAATAGAGCAATTGGAATTCTGTGATCTAGATTATATCGACGTAATACATTCTTCCATTCATCGATTGCAACGATCGACGATGCATTGGTAGAGTCAAACATCATGATAACACCAGTGACACCATTGAAAATAGATCCAACATGTTTACCTCTTATCTCTGCTTGTGGAACATCTATAAACTGTATATAATAATAGCTATTTGACATATAATGATTATTATTATTTGAATTTGTTATAGGTGTCTGTTGTTGTTGTTGTTGCTGTTGTTGTATTTGATATTGTAATTGTAATTCATTGGTGGGTATTTGTGGTTGTTGAGTAGTAGACGATGCACCGACCGCCGGTTCCAATATCAGCGTCGATAGATCCACTCCAATCGTTGGTATATATGAATTTGTAAAACATTCCTGTAGATATCTTCTAATTAAACTTGATTTTCCAACTTGATGTCCACCTAAAATCTAATAATAATAATAACAATATTCATTTGTTTAATAATTTTTGAGTAACTTGAAAAATAAACAAACACTTACAACTATTTTTAAAACATGTTCAACTGGAAGTTCACGATATGAATTTTTTGGTGTGGTTGAAGTGGAGTTTGAAGTGGATGATGATGTCGAAAATGATGAGTGATGATCGTCGAAATTGGTGTGAGCACCAGCTCCAGATGAAGCTGAAGAGGAATCTGATGATGAACTATTATTATTGTTGTTGCTGCTGCTGCTATTGTTATTATTGTGATTGTCTTTACATGATGTGTTGGAACTACTATCTTTCTTTAATATCGTATCTAGGAATTTACTAAACATCACTAATTTGAACTAATCAATTTTAGTTTTGTTTTATATTGTTGGATTGTAAAAACAGTGTTTCCAGCTTTTTACTTTTTCTTCTCTATTTCCTAATGTATTTTAAACTAAATAAATAAAAAATAACAAATTAATGAAATGCTGTTTAATTACTGTTGTATAAATTTATTTATTATTACTATTATTAATTTATAATTATTTTTGTTGTTTGTTTTTGCTTGTAAAATTGGAAAATGATTGGTGGTTTTAATGATCCTATATTTATGCTGCTGTTTTGGATATTGGCTTAATTCAATTGTTTATTATGAAGTTACAATGTGGTTATGATCAAAAGTGTTTTCAGCTGAAAAGTTCAATTTTATTTTGTGTTAAGAATGTGTTATTAATGGGGTGTTTTTGTGTTGCGTTGAATTGATCTTTGCAAACTCTGTGTGTGTCTTGGTCGTTGCGATTGCAAAGAATATCCTTATAAAGTCAAAAATTTTAAACTAAATAAGATTTTACTTTGTTTATTGTATGATGAAGAAGATGATAAAAAAAGGTTTCTATTTTTTATTAAATAATTTTCTAATGATTGCTAAAAGAAAATAAATAAATAACTTTAAAAAAGTGTAAAACAAAAAATAAATATATATAAATTTGAAATGATGATGGTGATGATGAAATTGAATAGAAAACGATTTTAATAAAATTATCTCATCTCACAAGTTATTTAATGTATGATAGAAGCTAATGTGTTTATGATGAAAAAGTGTAAAGAATGTGGTGATTTTGGTTGTTTGGTGGTAAAGTTTCATATCAATTACTATTTATGATATTATTATATTTATCTTTATCATACTCTTAAATTTTCTTTAATTTATATCTCTTTCTCTTTTTTTACATACTACTATTATTATATTTGATTTAAATAAATGATTGATTTTAGTTTTTTGTAAAAAACAAAAAAAAGTAAAAGTGTTACGAAAATAATGATTATGTTCGCTTCTATTATGCGAATACTCTACTTGTCTAACAAAAAAAGTTCTATTTTTTGTTTTTGGGAATTCAAATCAGCTAATATCATGATCAAACAGTGGGGGTGATCTGTTTTTGTTTGTTTTTAGTTTTTTTTGTTTAGCTCGAAAATCGCAAAAGAAATTTCTTTCTTTAAATTTTTAATTTTGTTTTTGTTTTTTTTGGCGGAATCACCAGTTTAAGTTAAAGAGATTTTGTATGTAATTATTAACAATAATAATATTATTAAGGATTACTAGAGGATAAAATAATAATGATAAACTCAGTTAAATAAATATAAAAATAAAAAGTTTATTATTATTATCTATTTATATATTTGCACATTTCTCATAAAATTTTGATATCACTATTTATTTTGACTGGTCGAAAATCCAATCATAAGAAAGGTCAAAATTGATCAAATTTTTGACTTTACATTTCATCAAAATTCTGGCATGAAAAAGTAAAAAAAAACATAACCCAGTGTGACCATTCACACACAGAGTTTTAATTTAAATTCTATTTTGAGTCAACATTTTAAAACTGATAAATGTACATTTAATATATATACAAACATATTATTTTTTTTATAATCATTGTTAACAAAAAAAAACAAAGTAATCAACATCAAAGAAAAGATGAGTGATAAAAAGAAAAGAAAAAGTTAAAAAAGAAAAGAAACAGCACTCAAGGAGATCATCAAACTCATCGGCTCATGAGTCTGATATCGAAGCATCCGATGCATCCGACAATGAGAAGGTGCAAAAGAAATTCAAGTTGGATGCAGCGGATCATGCGATCGTCACGATGAAGTGTCACTATAAATCGAGACATGGCAAGCTGAGACTGACGGTGGAGCATCTCTGTTTTCTGGCGAGTATTCAACTTGGCGGTTCCAAGAAGAAGCTGATCGCACTCAAAGACATCCTCGACATTGAGTGTTCCGACGACAAGGGTGTGACGCTCACACTGCGCAACGGTAAATCACCGACTTTTCTGTTCAAAGAGAATCGCGAAGCGTTCAACTACATCGAGAATCAATGGATCAACACTGGCAATGGAAGAGGTAACTCTGCAACTCTACTGAATAACAGTATTGAGAATATGATTGATGGTGCACAAAGCAGCAACAACAATTCACAAAGAAATAGAGGTGATAGTATTAATAGTAATGGTAGCAATGGTGGTGTTGCCAATTATCGATATAGTGGTAATTTCGAGAGTCAGTTGAATCAGTCATTGACTTTGGAAAACAAGATAAGTGATTCCTATGGCAATGACATTGAGAAGGCAACCGCTTCAATGAAAAGACACTTTGATGTTCCACACTCAGAGACATTGGTTCGCGAATATCAATGTGCTCACAAAGGTTCATTGATGCAACATCATGGTAAACTATATGTCACAGAGAGATTCTTATTCTTTTATTCTGGATTGGCATCTAGACATCAAAAGGTAAGTAACACTTTTTAAATTATTTATTTATTTTACTAATACATTTTATTTATATTCATTTATTTAATTTATATATATATATATATAGTTTACTATAAAATTATTGGATGTCGTTGATATTTGTTTACCAGAGAAGAGTAAGAAATCAATTTTAATATCAACTAAAGATGAAGCTGTAAGTAAATTGTTTAACAAAAACAAAATAAATCAAAAAGATTATTAATATTTAAAGTTTTTTTTTTTAGTATTTGTTTACAGCATTTAAATATAAAAGATCAGTTGTATTTAAACAGTTGAATGATTTCTGGTTTGATTCAAAACAACATGGTGAGGTACCAGAGTTAAAGGTTTCAGTTGGTGGATTTACAAATACACCAATTCAAATGTTGATCAGTGACACTGAAGCCGGTATGAACAATCAATCTCCAAAGTCAAGACATAGAACTGGTTCAATTTCAGATCGTTTGGAAAAGATTGAGAATCTATCAACACCCATTGTATTACCAGAGGATAAAAAACCTGAAGAAGATACAACTGAATCAACAACAGCAACAACAACAACAGCAGATGGTAATGATACATCTGTTTCATCAAATATTACAGATAGTAATATTAATAATAATAGCAACAGTGGAGTTGGTGAATCAAACAATAAATCAGAATCAACTGATAAATTGGATGGAAGTAGTGGTGGTAGCAAGTCAAGTAAATCATCTATTTGGAAACCATCAAAGAATAGATTACAGTTGAAATTCAGTAGAGATAAAAGTACACCAACTGAACAACAACAACAGCAGCAACAACAACAAAAAGATCAACCTTCTAAACTATCAAATTCATCTGATAAAAATAGTTCGACAACATACCAAAATTCCAATAGCAAAACATCTAATATATCATTAACATCAACCACATCAACACCACTTCCAAAATCCAACACAGTTTCATCATACTCATCAGTTTCATCTATTATCGCCAGTAAGCCAAATGTAAAGATGGATTCGATGGATGTTGCGCCACCAACTTCATCAACTCCACTTTTTAAACATGATCCAAGACTCACCACAAAAGTTAAAAAGAGATGTTGTTGTTTCTAATAGATCGATCAGCCAATCAACCAATCAGTTTTTCTATATATATCACCAATCAATCAATCAACCAAATTCTTATTTTTAAAATCAAATCGATTAAAAGAAATATACATATATACATATAAAGATTAATCTCTAAACACTTTTGTTTATTTAATATTATTCATCTGTTGTTGTTGTTGCTGGTGGTAATGGTATTACACTGTTATAATGTTCACCAAGTGTGAATGCATGTTTATGATATGATAGATTGATTGGTTTAACTTGATTGTTATTTGATGATGATGATGATGACGATGTTGAAGTAGCAGTAGTACTTGTTGTTGTAGTAGTTGCTGGTTTAAAGAATTCTTCACCAATAATAATATCAGGTGAATAAGCATTGTAAATAACGATTGGTGTTTTTAGTGAGTGAGAGATTGCTTTTAGTTCCAAGTGTCCACCCCATTTACCGTCTTTCAATACAGTACTCTGACAGTACTCTTCAACTGGATTATCAGATTCCTCAAAGTCATCCTCTGCCAATACAAACGGTAGAAACTCGTCGGTGTTTGCACGAATATAATTAGCAGCCAACAGCCTCAGTTTCTTTTGATATCCATTGATATCTTTCTCTGCAATAGCGCCATTCACCAACAACTGATTAGCAATTGCATTATATAAACAATCACCATCTGATCTTATCTATTTATTTTAACACGTTAATGTTAGTATGTATTCACATTATATATATATTTAAAATCATATATGATATTGATTAGTTACATGTTTAAGAGTAAGTGATAATGGTGTCAATTTCTTTGCGAAATCAGCAAATTCAATTGAACCCTTTGAGATATGATTCTTCCTATCCTCTTCGAGTTGCTTGGCACGTGCTTCCTCCTCTTCTAATTTCTTTTGTTTCTTGAGCTGTGTCTTGGATGGACCCTTTGATTCAGAGTTGTTGGAAATCAAGAGATCGTTGATGCCTTGTTCGACTTTTTTCTGTTCTTCATCGAATCTGCTCATCTCTTGTTTGTGTTTAGCGAGTAGTTCATCTTCCATCTTCTTTGTCTTGACGGCCATTTCATCCTTTGCTTTCTTATCTTTCTTTGGTACAGAGTGTGCCATCTTATCGATTTGTTGCTGTAGTTTCTTCAACTCCATCTTATGTCTTTGAACCATCTTTCCTTTCGATTCTAACTTTGAATCATCATCATCATCGTTATCTTCATCATTTTCGACATCATCTCCTACTTTTTCATTTTCGCCTTCTTCCTCTTCTTTCTTTTGAACTACATTATCATCTTCTTCTTTATCATCATCGACAACAACCAATAATTTATTTGGTTTCTTTTTACCCATTATTATATCTATCTATCTATCTAGTTTATCTTTAAACAAACAAGATCTATTCTATTCTATTTTTATATCAACAACTGTTGTTACTTTTGTTTTTTAAAAAAAATTTTAAAATTTTTTGAAAAATTAAAAATATTTATTAAAGTTGTTTGATACAAAAAAATGATGATGTTGGATGTTCTGTTCAGTTTGTTAATTAATATTTTCGATAGATAATCTATATTAAAATAATGAATAATAATAATGGATTTGTAAAGAAAGAAGAAGATAGCAATAATAATAATAATAATGATGGTGGAAAAGTATATCCAATAGTACTTGCAAATACAACAAAAAGATGGAATATCGCAAAGTTTACGACCAAAGTTGATATTCCATCTTTTGAAAAACCAGTAAAGATGTATAAATATAAACCGGATCTAAGTGAGAATCCGAATGCTGATGGCAATAACAATGGTACTGGTGATGCAAACCCTAATGCTGCTCAGCAACAACAGAAAAAGAAAAAATATGAACCGAAACCTGTCAATCCAAAGACAATACCATGGAGACTGGAAGACAGTGAGGGAAACAATGCATTCCAAGGAATGATAGAGGGTAATCAGGCATCTTCTTACTTTGTATTCATGTTTCAGAGTGATCATACAATCAAAGCGGTACCATGCTCTGATTGGTATACTTTTAGAATGAGAAAAGATATAGAAGCATTGACCATTGAAGAGGCTGAAGCTTTTGTAAGTAACAACATATATATACGTTGTTGTGTGTGTTAACACAACAAATTAATAGTTAGTTAATTTAGTCACAGTGAGTATTAATATTATTATTATTGTTATGCCTATGCTTATGTAGATGAGTAAGAAAACAAAGGAAAGAGAAGATTGGAATGGTAGAATGACAAAGAAGACAACCGATACTGGTGCATCTAGTTCCAGCAATACTGAAGGAAAGAAGGACGACGAGGGTGACAAAGAAGACGATGAGTATAGAAAGGAGATCTACGAGGAGAAAGACAAGTTTAAAGCTAGCTTTGGTGCATCAAAGAAGAAGAGAAGAGGCGGAGAGGAAGATGAGGAGGAGATGGGTGAGGGCGACGATGAAGATGCACCGGATTTCGATAGTAAATTCGATGATGACGATGAAGCATTCGAAGACAACGATATTACCACTGAAGACGGTCCACAAATCGATGCGGAAGACGAAGACATTATGAATGAGCATCTGACAGCTGCCGGTGTCGAAATGAAGAACATCATCAAGAATATGGGTAAACAAGACAGTAGTGAAGATGAAGACAACGACGAAGATGAAAAATCAGACAGTGGTGACGACGATGATGAGGAGGAACCGGACGACGACGACTTTACACTCACCAAAGAGAATCTTAACTTTCGAAATACATATCCAAAGGTTGGAGTTAAAGAGGAACCAAAGTCACCGGGCGGAGCTGGTGGTAACACCAGTGGAAATGGTAGTTCAAAGACATCGACTACCACTACAACTACTACCACCACTACAAGCTCGAGCAGCAACAACACTCCACCCAACAAAAAGAAGCCGGCAGCCACTGCAGCGGCCAAGAAGATTGGATCGCCACCCGATCAGCAAACTGTCGGTGCCAAGAAGGGTGTGAAGAACAAGGCGGAAACTAGCGTCGCTACCACACCCAGCAACAGTAACAAAAAGTTGAAATCCGATCAGACACCACCTACATCGCCACCCACTTCACCATCAGCATCGCAATCCACAGAAGAATACCCACTGACAGAGGAATCTATCAAAAAGGTACTTCGTGCCGAACGCAAAATCACATCGATCGATCTCATCCAGCTATTCAAAACTCAACTTAGAACCAAAGATCAAAAGGATCTATTTATGAAATATACAAACAAATTGGCAAACATTGTAAAAGAAGGTGATGTCAGATATCTTGTATTGAAACCTGGAATTTAAATAAATTATTTGACGATCAATAATGATCATCTAAATTAGGAAAAAAAAAAAAAACTAATTAGTTTTCATTAAAAAACTAACAAGTTGTTGTTTATTTAATCATTTCTTATTTTTTCATCTACAATGTTTATCAGAAGATCATCTATCAAATTATTTAATAGTAGTTTAATATCACAATCAATCAGATTAGATTTGAACAAACATGTCAGATTCTACTCTTCGAAATTAAATGTAATTAATTACAGTTTTTTGTTGTATTCAGTTTTTTGAAAGATAGATATTGATTTCTAAATTTATTTAGATTACATTTAAAGAGGTTGGTGCAGAAGGTACATTTGATTATCGTGTAAAGTACTTCAAAGAGGATAGTGGTGATCAAATATCGCCATGGCATGAAATACCATTGGTTAATAAATCCAGCAGTACTGAGAACACCATCGTCTATAACTACATCAATGAGATGCCAAAGAATTCAAATGCAAAGATGGAGGTTAATACAAAAGAGCTTTACAACCCAATCAAGCAAGATATTAAGAAAGGCCAACTCAGATATATAAAGCACGGTAATTTGCTATTCAATTATGGATGCCTACCACAGACTTGGGAGAATCCAAAGTTAGCCGATCATCTCACTGGTTTGATGGGTGACAACGATCCGGTTGATGTCGTTGAGGTCGGATCAAGAGTTATTGCACGTGGTCAAGTGAAGCAAGTGAAAGTACTGGGTGCATTAGCACTTATTGATGAAGGTGAAACCGATTGGAAAGTTTTGGCAATCGATATTGAAGATCCAAATGCAAACAAAATCAATAGTATGTACTTAACATGATCATGATTTGTATCAACAAATTACTTACTCTATCGATTAAACTTTTAGCTTTGGAAGATCTTGAAAAGTTACAACCTGGTACAGTTGAAAAAGTTAGACATTGGTACAAGGTATACAAAGTTGCCGAAGGTAAAGGTGAGAATGAATATGCATTGAACGGTCAACCAATCGACATCAAACAAACACAATCTGTAATTTCAGAGACACATCATTATTGGAAAGACCTAATTGGAGAAAATTATAAATTCAAATTGGAATAAATAATTAAAAGTTTGCAAGTTAATCAAATTTAAGAGTGTACACCACTTTGTATGATTGATTATTCTTAATATAAATATATATAATTGATTCTATACATAATAAAAGGTTTATTTTTATATTTTTAAAATTGCATTTTTGATCTATCTAATCTAAATTGAATGGCGGGAATTTTATAACCATAACGGAAATGTTGTCGGTACTTCTTCTAGAATAGGCAATCTCTCTTAATTTCATACATGCTTTCTCTGGATCAGAGATTGGTGCCACTATGCTGATTGCTTCATCGTCTGACATCACATCCCAAATACCGTCGCATGCAATGATCATGAATTGATTCTTGATGTGTGTCTCTAAATTGATTGGTCCAAAGATGTCGGGTTCACAAGAAACGTATGGAACTAATAGCAAATCACCAAGTGCTCTTGAGACTGCGAGTTGTCCATTGACACGACTGGTAGTGACACCTGTGAATGCATTGACGGTGGTGACGACAGTACCTCCCAGTGCTTTGATACGTTCTTCTTCCTTTGGATCGTTTGGCTTGTGGTCGTTGGAGACACGCACAGCTACACCGTCACGACACAACACAGCACGACTGTCACCAACGTTGGCAACATAACCCTTCTTTCCAAGGAAGAGTGCAACAACTGCTGTCGTACCACCTCGCATGTTCTTGTCTTGAATGGCTCTGTGGAGTGAAGCGAACGACTCTTTCAGTGATTTAACTGGGTTGTGATTTGCTTTGAGTTTTTCAGCGAGATGCTTGTGTAGATCGGTGGCGGCGAGTTTGGCAACATCGTTTCCACCGTGTCCGTCAAACAATGCAAAGTAATCCTCGTCGATATGACCTCTGAAAGTACCGTAGATGACAGACTCGTCCTCCATGTTTGGTCTACGACCGATAGTATCGGCAAAACCAACGATGAAACGTGAGGAATGATGCTTGACAACTTTGAGTCCGCTATGTGATTTCACATTACTCGATTGGCTGTTCTTGCTCTTTTTAAATTTACTCAGTAGTCCAATTGGCTTTGACAAGAGTGAAGATGATTCCTTCGGCAGGACATTGTTGATTGAATCCAGTGACTCTGTGGATCTTGGTGATGGTGGTTTTGGATTGAGAGAGGGTGGTGGCAGGATCTCACCATTGGCACCTATCGATGGTGGTCCCTTCAAATAGAATGCATTACTTCTACCACGACCACCCTTTGGCATCTCTTCCTCCTCTGCCAACATATCCAGCAGACCTTGACCACCAAAGCTGTTACCCTTGAAATTATTCTCTGGTTCCAAATAAAAGTGTAAAGGATTGTCACCGTTGGAGGCGAGTGGCATCGATGCCGAAAGAAGTGAAGGTGAAGGTGAAGGTGATTCATTGTTGTTACTATTACTATTGATCTCGTGATTTGATTCCAATTCTTCCGATGGAAGATTGTTGGTTGCTGGTTGAATTTCTACATTATTTTTACTATTAAACAAATTGTCAGTGGTTGTGGTGGTGGTGGTGGTGGAGGAGGATGAAGTTGAGGTAGTTGGTTGGTTTGTTGGTGCAATTTGTGTGGATGATTGTGATGTTTTAATATTTGAATGACTTTGGTTGAGTGAATCGTGCTGTGGTTTTGATGCTGCTGGTGGAGCTTGTTGTTCCAACTCCAGAGGAATTGGTGGGGGTGTTTTCTTTGGTTTTTTCTTTACAGACAATCTCCACTTTTTCTTTTCTTTCTTTGTTGCTGTTGTTGTTGTTGTTGTGGCTGATTGGTCTGTTACTTCCTCTTCGTCTGAGGAGCATGAAGACGATGAAGGGTTGATGCTTGTCGTGCTTGGTGACTTTGGTATTGATGATGAGGTTGATGGTGGTGATAAAGCAGGTGAGGGCGTCGATGATTTATTTGATTTCTTAAACTTAAACAGTCTGTTCTTTTTGCTTGGTGTAGTCGAGGTTGTTGAGGGTGATTTAGGTGTAATATCGTTACATTCGGTGGTTGTGGGGGTGGGGGTGGTAGTGGTGGTAGTAGTGGAGACGCTTTGAGGTAGTGATGGTGCCGATGCAGACAGAGCAATGGGTGGAATCGAAGTCGAACCCGGTATTAATACAACAGGTAGTGATGATGCTGATATTGATAGTTTTCTACCTGGTCTGTCAGCTGGTATTGAAGATTCAATATTATTATTGCTGTTGCCCAGATTACTACTGCTTGTGTTGTTGTTGGTGGTGGTATTATTGGTGTTGGTGTTTGTAGTATTGTTATTACTATTATTATTATTAAATTCGATTATATTACAACTGTTGACAACATCTTCTATCTCTTTGATGATGTTAAAGATATTTTCAGTGGACAGTGAACTACTATTGGTATATGATGATAAGGAAGAAGAGGAATATTCCTCGACCAATGTAACTGGATTTCTAACACATTTTGTATTGGAACGATTTATATAGGTTGGTTTGTTATGATGATTGTGATGATGATGATGATGATGGTGATGATTGTGTGAAGATGTTTTACTGTTGCTACGTGATACTCTTCCATTGTTGGAAGTACTACTGTTGTTGGTAGCAGAGGAGGATGACGAAGATGTTGCGGTTGCATTTGGAGTGATACCACTAGCCGCTGCATTGGTATTAATCTCAGAGTCAGAGATGTCCTCTCCGGAAGAATTCGAGGACTCCTCGTCACTGCTACTGCTCGTGACGTTATTGTCTTCGACAAACTGCTTGTGTATATCGTCGGTATCCATGATCATATTATTATTTTGTTGTTGGTGATCTTGTTGTTGTTGTTCTTTTTCTAAACTACTATATTGTTGTTGTTGATGTTGATGTTGATCAAAATGAGGTTGATCCAATAAGATATCGGTTGACATGCTTATTGTGTATTATTAATATGAATATTAACTAATCTAATATAAACTAATATATTGTTATTATGAAACTAACAAATGTGAAGATATCTATATATCGAGTTATTTTTTGTATATATATATTGTTATTGTTTTTTTTTTTTTTTTGCTCAAGTACAAAAAAAAAAAGTTTAAAAAAAAAACCCAATAAAATGTGATTGAATGGATGAAATTGGAAGTATGTTGGATTGTTTGTATTGCAGAGTTGAATTGTTTATGTTGTTATTATTATTATAATTCTAAAGATTTATTGATACTATTACTAAAACATTAATATAATTGTATATATATATAAATTTGTATGATTTGTTTTGTTTTGATTTTTTAAATTTATATATATATATAAATATATAAAAGTTGTAAATGGTCTGATGATGTTGAAAAATGTGTTGGTAATTGATGATGTTAGCTTGTTGATTAATTTTACTGTATTCTAAATAATTAATTTAAAATGGAAAAAAAAAAACAAAAGATTGAAAGCATTGGTGTTTTCTAGGTTAGTACGGTTTGCTTGATTTGTTCTAATCGACTTTTATAGAAAGTTGATGTTTTTAGATAATTACAATTGATTTATAAATGAGAGATATATATGTATATATTGTAGAATATTGGATGCAATTGATAATTAGTTATAATTGCTTGCTATTGGTTGCTTGTTTGTTTGCTGATGAGTGCTGTGTGAATAATTGCGCTGTTGTTGTTGTTGTTGTTGTTGTTAACTACTCTCTGCTCACTTTTAACTAACTATAAAAATATTAGTGTGTTTGCTGATAAAATGATATTAAAAAAAAAAAACACAAATTAGTTAATTGTTATTTTTATTTTACTTTGCTTTGCTCAGCTGTTGTTGTTGTTGTGTTATTGTTAATCAGTATTTGTTGTATGGATGATGATATTTTTTGCTAACACAAAACAACACCAAAAGTGAATTAATTAACACTAACCTAAACTAAACTAAATTCAATATATATAATAAAATAATAATATAATACAATTTATTTATTTATTTATTTTATTTTATTTTTTAATATTTTATTTTATTTTTTGAAGTTTTTGACAAAATTGGATTGGATAAGAAGATTGCTATTTGATGATAAAAATGTTACTATTATTTTTACCTTTTATTATTTTATTTTATTTTATTTTTGATTTATTTTTTGTGTGGTGTAAACCGTTTATAAAAAAAAAAAAAACAAAAAAATTGTGTTGTTGCAAAAGAAAACAAAATTAAAAATTTTGTCTTATTTCAATATCCAATTGTGTGGTGGAGTGGTGGTGGTTTTAACCTTTTTGTGGTGATTATCATCAAGTTTTTGGCGGATAGCCAAGTGAATTAATTGATTGATTAAGCTTGCTCAATAATTAATTTTATCGTTTATTTTTTAATGGATATTTGTCTTATTTATGATTATACCAGAGACAACCAAACAAACAAATAAACAACAACAAAAGACAAGAAGTGTTCTGAATTTACTGACTACTTTACCGAATGATTTGGCTGACTTTTGATTGTTATTGACAACGATGACGATTTTTAATTAATTTGTGATGATTTCAATCTTAAAGCAGTCAGTTACAATAGTTATTTATTAAGTATAGTTACAGATTATGTTAATGTTTTTATAAATATTTAGTTGTTTTAGTTATAAAAACCAAGCATCTCCAGCTCTCTCTTATAAGAAAAAAAACGACAAAATTTCAATTATGTTTATTTTTAGAGCATCGCCCAGATTTGATAAAAATATATTTATAGTGCTATTAGATAAAGAAGTGAAATGAAAATAGTATTATAATTATATATAAATTTTAAAATTTTAATCAAAAAGATTGTAAATAAATAAAAAAATATCTGTAATTATTTTGTTTTATCTTTATTGGGAGTTGTAAATAGGAAAGATCAATTTTGATTTTTGATTGGAATCCTAATTAATTAATGAAGATATATAGATGATGAATAGTTATAGATTCAAATGAATAATGAATGATAATGGAGAAAATAAATATATACTATTTAAATAATCCAAAATAAATAAATAAAATATCATTTAAAATTTAAAAGTTTAATTTATATTGATTTGATTTGGTTGTTTGTTTAGAATGATGTTGATGATGTTGATTTATTGGTTGTATGTATGTGTAGTTCACACAATAGTATCTTGTTTTTGTATTAATTAAATATATTGATGATGTTGATGCATTAGATTAATGTGTCTTTAGTGACACACTAAATATAGGTAACACTTGAATTTTATTTAAATTCAAAGTATTGTTTTGATTAGTCAGAGTAAAGTGTTTCACAATGCGTGTGGTCATTGATATTTAATATAATATAAGTGATTCTCCAATATAACAATCAGATGATGTCATTGTATTTCCAAAAAAAACAAACAAATGTTTTAGTTGAAAATAGGATCAATGTGATATGAGTATAGTATATCTTATCTTTTATAAAATATTTTTAGTTGTCGATTAAAAAATCAGTATTTGATTTGGTCTATTATATAATATGTCATTTCCTTATTGGAATTAGATGTTGTTTCGAAATAATAGTTATTGTCATTGACATCTATGTTGTGGTGTAGTGTTTATGTGATTGTTTGCAAATGTTGGTGTATAGGTATCGAATACCTATATTAGGTATGTACATTGGAAACCATACTTGCAAATATAGTTTGATCGATAGTGTTTTGTTTTTTTTTTTTTACTTTTTTAGATTTGTGATGTGCTAATTTTATATATGTATGTATAATTATAATTATTTACAATTATTTCCAAATAAAAGAAAGATAAGAGCAATGATGTTTTTTTTTTATTTATTTTATTACTTTTATTATATTTTTTATTGATTTGATTTTGTTTGTTTAATATATTTTAAATTTAAATGATGATGTTAATTGAGGATGGTGTTTGTTTTGGTTTTCTTTCAAAATAAATAAATTTAATATATAATATATGGATGAAGATATATAAATACAAAGCAATATTAATAGAAACAATAGTGGTAGGGTTTGGCAGCCACACTGTGCTAATAACTCAACAACTCATTTTTTTCATTGTGGTGGGAGTGGTTCTGTTAGAGGATGGGTTGATTACTGATTGGTGGTGAAGTGGTAGGAAACATAATCGATGAGTATACTGATGGATAGTAACATTTTGTTACTGATGGGTGAACATAGAGAAATATAGTGATTTTCAACTTCTCTAACCAATAGATTAGATTGCTTTACAACGACCACCAGCCATCTTAAAAGTGAACTGTATTGTTCAGTTTTTCTGTTAAATAGTATTACTATTGAACGAAAAACAAAACAAACACAACAGGTGTCTTTTCTTTCTTAATATTGATTCAATGATTTGATTTAATTATTATATGTTTAAAAGAAAACCTTTTTAAATTATAAAATTTTGTTCTACAGATATAAAGATAGGAGGAATGATTGATTGTATAATAATATTATACTTTACATTTTAATTGAAAAGATAATAAAAATAGAAAAAAAAAATAAAGGGTTTATATTATTGGTGTTCATTTAATGATCACCTAAAGCAAAAGAAAAAAAAAATTAATAAAAAACAAAAATATGTATTCATCAGATTATTTTTTATTTATTTGAATAGTTTAAAATTCATTGAATTCAAACACTTTGATTTTTACCGCGAAGTAAACAATATTGTTAACAATTTCAAAAAAAAAAAAAAAAAAGATCTTATTTTGTTTGAACTTCAAAGAGATCGAAAAATCTTTGAATTTTTTGGTATTGAACCTATAACCACACATCTTCCCAGGTTATGAAAAGGTTACAAAATTGGATAACAAATTTTTTAATTAATTCATTGTTTTCTTAAGAGATCATTCATTCTTTTATTTATTAAACAAATTTAGTTAGTTATCTCTCTCTTTATTATAATCTAAGAAATGAGTTTAGAAGTAGATCAACATTTATATGATGTCATTATCATGGGTGGTGGTGTCTCTGGATTGAGAGCAGCCACACTATTAGCAGCGCAATCGAAATCTGTATTGGTGCTAGAGTCAAGAGATGTATGTTTCTATGTTTACTATTATCGATTTAGAGGGTGATCACTTTAGTATTTAACTTTTGATGTAATTACATAATATTTAGAGGGTTGGTGGAAGAATTAATTCAGTGGAGTTCGATGGTTATCGATGGGATATAGGTGGGCAATGGGTCGGTCCTGCACAGAAGCGTTTACTGAGTTTAATTCAAGAGTTGGGTCAATCGACATTTCCACAACAACAGCAAGGCAAGAAAGTCGTAGAGATAAATGGTGTGTTTGGAAACTACACCGGTACCATTCCACCTTTGGGAATGGTAGGTCTAATCGAGTCACAGGTGGCGCTCTATCGATTGGAGAGAATGGCACAGACTATCGATCCACAATGTCCTTGGGATCACAAGAATGCAGAGGCTTGGGACAATATTTCCGCACAGGCATGGGTCGACAAGAATATCTGGACAGAGTTGGCCAGGAAGATGATACACATTGCCGTTACATCGGTTTTTTCAACCGATCCCAAGGAGATCTCATTCCTCTATCTTCTTCATGTATTCCGTGCATCGGGTGGTGTGATGCGTACTCTTGAAGTTCCGAATGGTGCTCAACAAGATCGTATCCTTGGCAGTGCACATCAACTCTCGCTCACGATGGCAGAGCGTCTCGGTGGTGACACTGTTGTCAGACTGAACCACAAGGTGTCGGATATCGACACAACCGATCCATCCAAAGTAACAGTGACATGCAGTAATGGCAAGCGTTTCTTTGCCAAACGATTGGTGAGCTCAATTCCACCAATCTTGCTTACACGTATCAACTTTGAGCCACAACTACCGATGGCGCGTCAGCATCTAAATCAAAGAATGTTCATGGGTATGGTTATTAAATTCATTATTTTCTATGATACATGTTTCTGGAGAACACTTGGATTCGCAGGTGAGATTCTGAGCGACCGTCATTCAGTATCGATTTGCTTTGACGCCTCGTTTGTAGATGGATCGAGACCTTCCATTGTTGGATTCTTTGAGGGTGGCCACGCAAGAGTCTGGTCCGACAAGACACAGGAGGAGCGTAAGGCAGAAGTAATCGATTTGCTATTCAAGTCATTCAATGATGAACGTGCCAAGCATCCAATCAACTACCTCGAGAAAGATTGGATGAAAGAGTCAGAATCACTTGGTGGTTACGCCGCAATTTGTCCACCTGGATTATTGACCTCAGTCGGTAAAACTATTCGTGAACCAATAGGACGTATACATTTTGCTGGTACTGAAACGGCAACTGACTGTGCTGGTTATATAGAAGGAGCGATTCAATCGGCTGAAAGAGTAACAGCTGAACTATTACCATTATTATAAAATTGACTCAAGAGTCATTTAGTTTTGTATTGTTTAGAATAAAAAAAAGAAATAATCAAAGTTTATTGGTTTAATGACTTTGTTCTATTGCTATTCATATGATCGAGTTGAATACTCTTTTGTTTTGTGTGGTTGAGTGTCTGTGGGAGTGAGAATGACATAGCGAAAATGACACATGTCAATAGGAAGATGATAACGAAAATCAAATGTTGGTCGAAAGGATAGGGGAGTGAGTGGGATAGCGAAAGTGAGAGTACAGATGTACCTAGAAGTGGACCAATCGATCTACCAAAGGCAACTAGTGACTGAGAGATCGAGTTTACCAAAGCCATATCTTTGGGAAGTGCACTGTTACTGACGATAACAATGACAGCAATGAATCCGACCTCGTTGGCAAACGATTGGAACAAGTAAGCTGGGAACAACAGCACCCAGAAAATAGGTGGATGTTCGGTGATGATTTTAGTTGGATCGGTTGGATCTGGGTATTGTTTGACCAGACGAGTCAGCTCCGGTAGGAGAATCCAACTTGGAAGAGCAATAAGAAGTGCAGCCTTGAAGCATTTAATTAAACCAAATCGTTTGGCCAACGGTGCGAAAACAAGTAACTGTACGAAAAGTGCAAAGAATCCAGCTGCCGATTGGATAATTCCAATATCTTTGGAATTGAATCCTAAACCTCCTCCACCAATAACGTTTCCATCGGAATCGATTGTCTTGGAAATTGGACTCCACACTGGGAAAACCTCCTCGAAAATGGTATAAACAAAACCAAGCAGTGCATATGCAATACATGATGTCATCACTGGCTTGTCTCTGAATAGCATTGCAACGGAACGTGGATTCTCTTCGAAATCCTCATCGATGTTGATGTCTTCGAATTGAGTGGTGTCTTCATCGCTGTTGCTATCAACACCTGCTTCTTCGTCTTTGTTACGCATGATCTCTGAGAAATCACCGATCGAACTATTTACCTTCATTGTCTTGGCGTGTGCACTACGGTTGGTAGTGATGTTTGCTTCGTGTGCATGATTTGAGGAATCCATCTCGTTGTCATTGTCGTGAAGTTGAATTCCCTTTTGTTGATTGTTTCGATTCCAAAGTCGACGAATCGAATTTCTCAAGTTGATAATAGCTCCAGTGTTGAAAGATCTCTTTTTCTTTTTCTTGATGGAGCTGTACTTGATCTCGAAAGACTTGGTCTCTGTCAAGAATATAAAACATAAAATCAAACCAATCATGTTTAGCAAGAAACAAATGACATTTGGTAAGAGATATGGAAAATCGCAAAGAATTCCACTGTGAACTATGTTTGGATAGTTTATACAAACATTTGAGAATAAACCTCCAATTAATGGTGCAACTATAAAATAATAATTTAAAATTTGATGTTAAAAAAGCAATTTGGATTATTAAATTAAATCATTATGTTATAACTTACCAATTGCACCAATACCCCAGGCAATGCCTAGGATTGTGAAACCAGTTTTCTGGTTGGTCGAATCAGTAATTTCTCCGAGCATTGTCTTTGAAACTCCAACATTTCCATTGAGCAATCCGGAAACGAAACGGAAAATAATAGCAAAATAATAGTATTTGGAGAGACCAAATAGAATACTTGTAACCATTGCACCAATGATACCAAGTAACAACGCTGGTCTTCTTCCTTTAATATTGGAAAACCATCCCCAAAAGAAACTGGAAAAGAATTGTGAAATATAAAAAGTAGAAGCTAGGATACCAACAAAATAACTAAATAAAAAATATAATTTAAATTAGAAATGGAAATTTAAAGACAAGATATCAATAAATAAACATACCCTAACTTTTCTTCGTCATCAGTTAAATTGTAATCTTTAACCATGAAATTGATATATGGGAAAATAGAATAAGTTGTGAGACCATCACATAAAATAATGATAAAGATGGCAAATAACTTCATTCTTGGTAGAGGGGTGACTGCATCTTCTTGATCTGGTGCTGTGGTGGCAACACTGAACTCACTGATTGATGGTGATGTTGGTAATCCTTCGCCCGTCGGCAAAAGATGGTCGTGAGTGGTAACTCTTCGTAAGAGGTTTTCGTTGCTCTCTTCCCTGTCAAACATTGAGATCGATGTTGGTTGATCCAATATTACAGTTCCACCACCTCCTTCATTCATGTTTTGTTGTGGAATACCCATCTTAAATTAAATAATTTATATAGTTTAAAATTTTCGAAAAAATATGAAATAATAATTATAATATTATATGTGTAATTTTGATTTGTTTGGAAATCTGAAAAAGATGAAATAACTATTTTAATCGTATTGGTTATTTAATAGAATATATATAAATTACTTTTCAGAAAATTAGTCCATTCTGAGATATATAATAATTTAATGATTGTAATAGTAATAGTATTTTAATTATTAATATTGCGTGAAAAAGAAAAAGTAAAAATTATAATAATTTAGAACAAATACTCTGAAATAAAGTTATATGTGAAAGTGTGTGTTAATTATTTGTTTTTTTGTTTAATAAATAGATAAGTAAGTAATGTGGGGTGATCTGTGAAGTGGTTGTTTGGGTGAGGTGTTGTTGGGTCAAGAAGAAGCTGGTTCTATTGCTATAATTCAATAATCTTGAGAATAAATTCGTAAAATCATAATCTATCAATCAAAAAAGAAAAAAGTAAAACAAAAAATTATCATCAAAATAAAAAAATTAAATAATAATAAACGAAAGTATAAATTTGGGTTAAGTTTTATTTATTTGCAGATCAACACATTAGCAAAAGATGATTTCGTTTTTTTTTCATTTTTGTTTTTTAGATGAGTTCCCAAATGCCCTTTTTCCCAGCCCCATCAATACAATGGCCACCTTCATAATGAGAAAAATCTAAAAAAAACTTGAAGCCACCTTGCGAATAAAATAAAAATTAACGAAAAACAGAGAAAATTTTATTTTATTTTTTAAATTTTTATTTTTTTTCATCTTATTTTGGTTATTATTGATTCTATGTTACTCCGGGTCTTGTTTTGTTCTCGGTGCGGTATTGATAGAAGTGTGAGTAACAAGAGAAAACAGCAAATTAGTTATAGCATCTGATTCAAAAACCAAACACTGGGTGTGGGAACAGCTATCATACTTTCACATCTCAAATCATCTGTACCCTATTTTTAAATTCAAATAAATTAATTATCTTGATAAAACCTTTCCTAAACCAACCGAAAGGAAACAAACATATCCTTCAAATCATTTTAATACCTATCATCTTTTTGAAAAATTAGTGGTTTCAAGTGCAAATAAAGTGTCTTTTTTTGAGAAAAAAAATTAACTTTACATATTTCCCTTTATTCTACTTTTAATTAATTAATTTTCTTTGTCATTGATTTTTAAATACTTCATATTTATAACAATAAAAAAAAAGTGTAATATAAATAGGTAGTTATTTGTCAAAAAAAAAAAAATTATTTATTTAAATTAACAAAATGATGATGTTATGTGAAAAATGAATGATATTAAAAATAAGGGTTGAATATAAATTAAAAAACAAATTCTGAATTTGTTGCATGAGTTACATAAACTAAAGTATTGGAACGTAACTTCTTTGGTACCTTCCAGTACTCCTCGACAATTATGTCGGCGGCATGGGATGAAGTTGTCCAAATGTAGAGAATTTGCTTCTCCCACTTGTCGTATACGGCCTCGGTGGAAGCCAATACACCAAACAACTTCTTGTAGAGCAATTGCTTGGCGTACTCTGGTGTAAAGACAGCCTTGTACTTCTTTCCCATCAAGTCAAAGAAATTTATGATTCTCACAACCGATACACCGATGTGGTGTCCATTAAAGTCCACGGAATAATCGGTTATCTTTGAGCCTGGAGCATACTCAATCTCGGTCTCTGTCTTTTTCAACTGAGCACCGAAACACTCGTGGAGAACTTCGTAGGAGAGTACCTCAGACCAGACAGAGTTACCTCCGGCATTTGGTGTGTCCAAGATACGACGACCACCTGCGGACAAGTGGAACAAAGCTGGGTCCTGAACGATTGGCTCGAAATGGTCTACTATGATGTCACCGCATTGCTCGTCGAACAAACAGTTGCGGAAGAATTCCTCGTTCAAAGAGTTACCGTAGACACACCAGGTTGGCTTGATTATGAGACGCGGTAACGCAGATGGCCTGTTGAAAGTGTGTGACTTGGTGCATGGCAATGCACACGATCGAGTAGTGGTTCTCTCGTCGGTCTCGACACTCTCCAAGTTGGCCAAGAACTGCTCGAGTGTGCGGTATGTCATCTTTGGCTGACGCTTGGTCACTATCGCGTCAGCCTTGTCGGTTGATTCCTCCATGAGGTTGAAGTCAGCGAACCAATCATAGAAGACGCTGTCGTTAACTGTCTTCTCAAGGCACTCTGATGTTGCGTTGTATGATGTTGAATTGCCCTCCGATGCCGAGCTTGCGGTTTGTCCACAAACACCGACACCCGATGACTTTAATAATTGCTTTTGTTGGTGGGAGACTGACCTGCGAAGCGAAGAATCAGTCCATGGTTGAGGCATTTCTTGTACTCTACGGGAGTCGGTTATCGAACCCGTAGAATTAGACCTTTGACGCATCAAAGATCTACCCTTAGACCATGAGCAATGTGTTGAAGTTAAATTGGTTGTTGGAGTTGAAGTTTGAGTTGTCGTTGTGCCAATTGGTGCGTTTGCCAATATTATTCCATTTGTTGTCTTGTTTAAATTGATTCTTCTTAAATTGCTTCTTGAGAGATTGTTGTTGCTGTTCTTGTTGTTGTTGTTGTTGCTGCTGCAGTTGGAAGTCAATGTTGGAAGAACAGTAATAGTAACATATATCTCCAAGAAGGTAACTCTTACAACATAGAGGTAGTGGTAAAACTGACCAGTCATGCAAAACTGAGTTGTTGACTGCTGCTGTTGAGATTGTTGCTGCTGGGCTATTGAGACAAGGGACACATGGGTTTGGGATTGTAGAGCAGCCAATAATAATGGAGCGATCAATGACTCTGTCCCTATCAAAACAATCTTGATCTGATCTAAGACAAGAGGACGAGGACGAAGAGGAGTGAGAGCCACTTGAGGAATGATGCTCCTCAAATTGTTGGTTGTTCTCGACAACAAAGCGGTTGACGACATTATTGTTGTTGTTGTTGGTGTTGGCACAAGCTCGAGCGGCACTAGCGGCATCTCCAGCAGCTCCTCCACGGGCATCGAGTGATGGGGAGCAAAGACGGACAGACTCGATTGTACGGGAGTTACCAAAAACACTACTCTTAAAGGAGTTAAATGTTTCACCTGTGGTAGTCGTTTCTGTCGTGTTGTGTTCTTGGAAAACTTCTTGTTCCGGAATCTCTTCTTCTTCTTGTTCCACCATTGTACAAGAGTGGTGACTACTTGACTGCATTTCAAAACTTGTAGTACTACTTTCCATTGGATTGCGTACAAAACATTCAGTAGTGACCACCATGTCAGTGGCACCTGAAGTGGTGGCAGTTGCAGTGGTGTTTGTATCACAAGTTTCACACTGCATGACAGTGTCAACCTGGGATTCAAAACAGAGGTTGTCATCAGACTCAAAGAAAGTGTTGATGGCAGAGGCTGGAACGACCTGATTTTCGGTCAAATTAAATTGGTTGGCGAGGCTTACTGGGATTTGGACTGGAACAAAGACAGTTACGAATTGTTGGGTGTTGTTGTTTACAGAGGTAGACATGGCTTAGCTTGAGTTTGAGAGGTAATTAAAAAGGGATTTGAATTTTGAAAATTACAAAAAGATTTGATTGCTTTTAACTGGAAAACTTGAATTGAGTTTTGTTGATTGAAATTAACTTGATTGCTGTAAATAATTAATGAAAATGGAATGGAAATTGATTAAAATTAATTAGTCAACTTTGTTATTATTTTATCAAGAAAAAAGTATTATTATTTTAAAATAAATATAGTACAATTTATTAATTTGGTGATGAAAAAAAAAATTAACTTAAATAAATAGTTTGTTTTGTTTTTATAATAAAATATTTAAAATCCAATAGGAAAATATTATTATTATTATAATTTAAATATATATAAAATTTAAATCTAATTTCTACTGCTTGGTATCATATTATTATTATTTTACTAAAAACAAAAATTAATTATTGATTTTTGGATATTTAACAGTGCATTATTGATGTTCCAATCTAATCCAAATATATATTAAAGTCAAAAGTATCTATAAAATTATTATTATTTTTTATTACCTTTTAGACAAAGTTTTAAATTATTTATAAATAACAGGGTTGAGTTTAGTTTTGTGTGGAGAAATTTTTGTTGTTAAAAATTTGGGAATACAATTATTTTTCATTTTTGCAGGAAAAAAAAAAGAAAACTGAAAAATCAAATTTAATGATTATTTTATTGGAAGAGATCTACTTTTGTGTCAGGTGTGGCAAGCCCATTAATCAAAACAGTGAAGATGTAAACACCTTTTTTAGATTTTGATTAAATTTCAATTTTATTTTTTGTTATTTTCTTGTTTTTTTCAAAATAAGCATTAAATTAAATATTTAATTTAATTTTAGTAAAAGTAATAGATAAAAGTTATAACAGGATAGAATTTAATTTAATATGATGAGTCATCTTTTACAATGATTTAGAATTCAATTAATCAAGTAAATTTCGATAGTCAATGAAAGAAATTTCTTTTATTGTGCGCAATAGTAAAACAAGAATGTGATCAGCACGTTGTTTAACATTCTTTATGATAAAATAGATTAAGTTAAAAAAAGATAGATGATCAAAATATTTAAAAACAAAAGTTTAAAATAAGCTGAATAAAATTAAAGAAAATTTGAAAAATATTGTTAAATTTAAATTAATATTAATATTCGAAAAACAGTTCATAATTTAGAAGAAGAGTTTGTTGTTTATTATTGTGTTTGGTTATTTATATGGTGGTGTTTAAATATAGGTTGTTATGTTAAGCGACGTAGTTGTATTTATCGCTTTCACCTTCAACTCTTTGAATATATTCTTTTTCGATCAATTGTTCTATACATTTCTTAATCATTGGGATATGTGGTTGGAATCTAAGTCTAGAGTGTTCGATGACCTCTTGAATCAATGCAACGTGATTCATACTCTTTCTGGCCTTCATAATTCTAACAATAGATGCCTGTAGGTATAACTTTCTATCCTCCTCGATACCCTTGTAAGTTTCCTCGGTCTGTGTTGTTGTATCTTTCTGTAATGAGCTTGATACCTTAACTTTTAATCGTTTACTATAAATTGTTATTGTGTTTAAAAAAAGTATTTATAAGTATTTATATTGATTGTGTTGATGTTCTTCTTTTAAAACTTACTTTGAATAAGTTGGATTTAATTGATATTCTTGAATATTTGTATCTGGTCTTGTTTTTTGATTAAGAATCTTGGCATCCACCAATGACTATAATATTAATAATTGATTTGTTAGGTTAGGTTAGTCTAAATGTTTTTCTTTTATGTTTAATATTTAATTTGAATTGAAACACTTACTTGAAGAGTTCTTGGTAATTCGTTTTCATTAAGGTTTGTAAATTTGGTAATGTCGTCGGTGGTGACGGATTCCTGTGAGTTGAAAAGTAACAGTACACCGAGCTGGAAGTTTGTGACTTGGAATTCGTAATTCTTTTTGAGGTAATGAGATTTAACCTCTGCTTTAGATAGATGGTGAAGCCAATTAAGTCTACGACCTTGATGCTTGGTTTGATAATACGATTGGAATGCTGAAATACATGCAGTCAACTCCTGTGGCACAATAAAACTAGATGGTTGTGAATGAATAGACCATGATCCAGATGTCAAAACAAGAATTGAAAAGTCAACTATAAACAAAACAAATAAATAGTAAGTAATGGCTGTTGTTGATGATTATTAAATAATTTTTTAATTAATTGATCAATAGTTACTTATTTGAATTTGATTTCTTTGTATGGTTAACTTAAAATCTTCATTGGTTTCGGAACTCAATGTAATATCGGTCAACATTCTTTGGAACTGTGAGGTATATTCGAATCCACAAGCCTGTTTGAGACCTGTGATCATAAATCGTTCGGAATCGTCAGAGACAGAAGTACCGTTGATCAAACGTCTCGACAACATCTTTGAATAAAACTTTTGGAATACATCTTTGTCATCTACATATTTGAATAGTATAATCTATGTTTGTTTGTTTGTTTGTTTGTTTGTTTGTTTAAAGAATAGATTAATATAATGAGTTCAGAATGAATCAATGAATTAAATAACTTACAATCTGATTTAACTTTTCTTCAAGTTCGACTTCTTCGGCAGCTTGTTTGTTTACTTTCTTCAAGATGAGATCGCAGTACTTTGCAAGTAGCTCCGGTGACTTTGTGGTGTTCTTGGTGAGATGATTCTGGTTGAATATCTTGTGACAGGCAGCGTCGAGTGCAGTGATGAATGAAACGTCATTGTTGAATGACTTTCTAATGACAGCACTGAATCGTTGGTATATCTCCAACAATGTCTCTACGTACACCTTTGGATCGGTGATACTCTTGTCTGGTATAGCCTTCAACGCTTCGAATCCTGTATGTTGAATATAGTTTTGAACTGTCTCCAACACTGGTCCCAATCCACCTTCGATTCTAGATAACAATTTATATAATAAATGTATTTCTATTTTTCATAAATACAATTGTCAGTTAGTTAATAAAATCAATCAATACAAACAAACTATTTTATTATTATTATTATTACTATTATTACTATTATGTATACATACGATCTAGTTTCTCATCTTTCAAATAATTGATACATTCTGCATGTAATAAATCTCTATGTTTCTCAATAAGAATTGAATCCAACAATCTTTTCAACTAATTGTTATTATTTGTTTGTTTGTTTGTTTGTTAGTATTGTTATTTGTTTTATAAACGTTGAATATACTAGCATATAACATACTCTTTCATGTGAAGTTGAATTTAAATATTTTTGAGAACGAAGGTATTCTTCATCGATTCTGATCTCTGCCTTTTTCATGTAGCTCGATATTCCATAGGTGAGAATGTATGCAGATGATTCTCTAGCGTAGTACTGCTCGGTATTGGCAAGATAAGATGCTTCATACTCTGACTTGTATAATACTTTATCTTTATCGATATTATCAAGATTGACTATTATAGAGTAAGTAAGTAAGTAAGTAATAAAAATATAAATATTGATAATAAGTAAAACGTTAAAAGATATAGATTATAACATATTTATAATATAGATAATACACACTTAAACTGTTCATAAACTTTGTAACATTTGCATCTTGATCATCGGTACCATTCTCTCTGTTCTGATAGATGAGAATCTCTGCACATCTCAAAACCTTATCTTTTAATTTGTAGAATAATCTATCTTTCCAAATCATCAGTGCCAACTAGAATATAATTTATGATCAAATCAACATTCATTGATTAACAAGCATAGTTAGTAATGAATTCGAGTGACAGTCGTCTTCTGTGGTGTATTTACATTGTAAACCTCGTAGATGTCAGCGACTTGACCATATTTCTTATCGCCCATCTTCTTTTGAATCCAATTCTGGTTAAGATATCTATATACAACATGACATGCTTTACTTCCAAGTGAGAATCTTTCCCATTGCTTCAAGTACTCTGTAATTGTATCTGAATTGGTTGATAGAATGGTCTGTATGGATCATTATGTTTTGTTTAATTATATATATATATATAAAAGATATTAGTAATCAAATACAACACTGTTTGATTCTATTCAATTCGATTCGATTCGATTTGTTGATTTGATTGTTTACCTCTCTAATGTTATCGACATGATTCTCAAAGAATTTCTTTATATTTTCATAGAGCGGTTCTGAATGTGGTTGTGGTCTTGACACACACAAATTATATACATCTCTATAAAAATGATGATGATGATGATGATGACGATAATTTTTATTATGAATTATGTTGTTATTTGATTAGCTAAAGTTGATTTATATTTCAAAAAGTGTGTTGGTATCAACTTACTCTATTAACTCCATAGAGTTAATGTGTTTGGCATTTAATAAGGATTGCATTCCATTCTCTAGATTCAGCCATATCTGATTGAAATCAACAGCCTTTCTATTTAAATTGGATGCCATCATTTGCTAGTCAAACTGTTCTTGTTCTGTACAGGTCTTATTCACTAACTATACACTAATTAGAGAATACCAATACTAAAAAAAAAATAATAATAAGATAATAATAATTTAAAATAAATAAGCTAAATATATATTAGTTTTTGATTGATTGATTGATTGATAATATCTAATAAAATAAATAGTAAAAAGTATAAATATGGCTCAATTTAATTTTGAATAAAAAAAAATAATTAAATTTAAATTGATTAAAATTACTATCTTGGATATATATATAAATATATTTGTATTGTTTGATTTTGTATTTTTTTTTTGTTTGCTTATTTGATGATATATTATTAGTATACAATAATTTGTTGATGTTGATGTTGTTGTTGTTTAATCACACAAATATAATTAAAATTTTTTTAATAAATAAATTAAACAGAAAAAAAAAAAAAACACACCTTCAGAAAATTTTTGCAAACAAAACCATCTAAATATGTAAAATCTTTTTTTTTTTTTTCCCAACTTCAATGAAATTTAAAGATATAAATTAAATGTTTGTTTATATATAACTTACCTGATTTTATTTTATTTTTGTAATAAATAAAAGTAATAGCTATTACTAAAATATAATATTAACTAATAATGTGTGTGTGATCAAATTAGATTAAAAAAATTTCCAAATTCAGAACCTAATTTAATTTTCTATTCAAGAAACAAAATAAAAAATTGAGAGAAATAAAAAACTTTTTTTCGAGTTAGAATTTAAAAGCAGAACTTTATAAGAATTAAAAAGAAGATATTTGTTTTTATCTTTTGAAAGAACTTGAATGAATCAAGAAAGAAAACAAAATAATGATAATCATGCATGTGAAGTTTAATTTTATATTATATATTGTTTTTTTTATTTATTTTATTTTGTTTGTATTAATGTAATGTTAATGTTATTTTTTTTTTAAATAAGATTACTATCGTCTGAGATATCGGGTTGTTCAGATGATTTTAAAATGGCATCGACACGATCTATCACTTCCTTGGGATAGTGTGAATCGATCGATTTGAGTTTATCGTGGATTTCTCCTTCTTTGTTGGTGAGTGCTACGAGGTTGTTGAGTGCGAGCGGCAGCTCTGGACGCCATCTCACGACGGTCAGAAGTGACTTGTTCTGTGTACACTCGGTGTTTGTTATTCCCGAGCGATTCTGGAAGAGCTGCTCCACCACGTATCGGATATTGGTAGAGTCGATAATCTTCTTGAGGAGAATCGGCGATGTATGATGATGAATTTGTTCGCGCTTAATCAGTTGTTTCAACATCTTGTTGTACTCGGCCATGGGTGGTGGCGCGCGTCGCTCTTCCTCCGACGCTATGGGCAGTCCGACAATGTCGTTCAGACAGGTGTTGCCCATCATCGTTCCAAAGATGAAGGGAATCGGCATCGACACGCCGAGCGTTCTGATTCTCAGCGTTGATTTCGCTTGTGTTTTCAGTAGCTCTTTCTCGTCTTCGGTGAGCGGAATCAACTTCTTGCGGTGTGACTCGCTCGAGCACACACAAAGCACGCCGGTGGTGATTCCGTTCACCTTGAGAAGTCGACGCACTTCCTTGCCAAACGGACAGCCAAATGTATAGGAGATATCGACGATGTTGATTCTGGTGGGGTCGGACGACGATCCCGCGCCAAACGAGCTGATCACCTTGATCTTCTTGTTGACACAGTAGGTGAGTAGCTCCACTTTCGATGTGGTATGATCGATGCAATCGAGAACATACGTTGGATTGCCACCGAGCAGTGTATCGGCTACCTCGGCGCTGAAGAAGGTTTGAATCGCTTCGACCTCCACCTCTGGACAGATCGCATTGAAGTACGACTTCATTGTCTCGACTTTGGAGCGACCGACGTCTTTTCGTGCCGCCAGAACGTTTCTGTTGAGCGAGGAGATCGTCACGAGATCGGGATCGATCAAACGAATCTTCTTGACGCCGCTACGCAGCAGCACGTGTGCTGCGGCACCACCTACACCACCGAGACCAACAACAATAACAAAAGATTCTCGCAACTTTTTGAAGCCGTTCTCACCATAGTACAACATGGTTCTATTCATCTGTTCATCAAAGATCTCCTGCTCCAACATCGAGCTTAGATTGAGCTTGTCCTTGGCAAAGGGGTCGGCCGATGCCAACAAACTGGTATGTCCATCGATTGGTTTGACATCGTTATCATCATTATCATCGGCCATCGTGGTGTCATTGTCAAATTGAACATCACTTGTGAAATCTGATTTTCTCTTCTTGGTGGATGACACCTTTGTTGAGATATATGTAGCTGCAGCACCAATACCAGCACCCAATGCTGCAATAAACAATTTATTATCCATCTTTTATCTATCTATCTATCTATCTATTACAATAATATCTAAATCTATTTCGATAAAGATATAATTAATATTAATATATAAATAAAACAAAAAAAAAACAAGAAAATAAAAAAAAAAAAAAAAAAAAAAAAGAAATTTTTAATTTAAAGTCAAGAAAAACGAAAGAACCAACAATTAACTTTAACTTTTGGGTCAAAGATTGATGTCTTTAAAGAATCAGTTCAGTTTTAAAGTGTATCGAAACTAATTATACAATATTAATTTATTATATATTTTTATATTTGATTATATTTGTTTTTTTTTTTGTTTGTATATGATTGCTATTGTTGTTGTTAATTTAATTGATTTGTGTTTCATCAATGAAGTTGGAGTTGGAACTATATCATTCCAATCATTCAATTGATTAACCATTTAGTTGTATTGTATTATTTAATTTATATATTATATATATGTTGTTTGTGTTGATTATTATTATTATATATGTAATTGTTGTTATTTTGTTTTTTTCTTGAATAAATAAAGATCATTATAATGTATATTGTTAATTGTATTATATAAATATATAAATATATATTATAGATATATAGATAGATTATGATATATAAATAAATTTTAAATTTTACTTCATTCTTCATCATCATATTCCTCTTCATCATCACTTTCATCACCTGTGTCTTCATCTTTGACTTGTAGAGATTCTCTCAAGTTATGACTACTACTCGATTTACTGTGACCTCCAATTTTGTTACCACTACCAATATTACTTCCACCACCCAACAACTTCTTTGACTTACTACCTCTATACATTAAGAATGATGTTGAATTCCTAAAAATAATAATAATAATGATGATGATAAATAAAAATTAGTTTATAAATATATATATATATATAAAGTTAATTAATAGACATACTTTGCTGCTACAGAATCTATTTTAATGGCACTCTGTTTCTTATTCTCTTGTAAATACATTTGTAGGTGAAGATATTGCATGTACTGCAGACCTTCTTGTGAACCCATGAATGTAGATTTTACAGGCTCTTCAGGTTTCTTTGGTTTGATTTCATCTCGTGGCACAATGTCAATGAGGAAATCAAAACAATCATTACGAGCAATAGCATGAACAATATCTGATTTTTGTAATGTTCTACGCTTTCCTATCTCTGTATGTACCCAAGATCTTGTGGTCAACTCTAAAATAAACAATTCACATGCTTTTACAAATATAATAGGTGCATCTGCACTTATCATCTGTTTTTTTTAAAGAAACAAATAAATTAATAAATATAACTATAGTTAAACATTGAGCAATGATAATGATCCACTTACTTTAACAGAAGAATCCATTTTCATTATCTTTTTAATTCTTGCCAATGGTATGATGTGGTTCTTTGAGACTGGTTCGACTTCTTCCAGTTCGTTTTCAATGCCTTCCCAGAGTCCGACGAGTGCACTGTGCATCATTGCTTCGTATTGTCGCTTGTGCTGTTGTAGATGTGACATCTGTATGTTCATGATATCGAGACGTGGCGAGTTGGGATTGCGAGGTGAGTTCATTGGTGAGCCGAATCCAATGATGGGTGGTGTAAGAGGTGGAGTGGATACTGGTGATTGTTGTGGACTGTGATAGAAATGTGGAGACATCGGTGTTGACTCTGCCTCTGCTTGTAGTCTTTGTTGTAGTTGTTGTAGTATGTAGGGATGAGTTGGCGTCAGTGGAACATTGGAGGTTGGTGTCAAAGGTGGCGTCAGTGGTGGCGAGTTTGACGAGTTCAAATGCATGTGAGTAGGTGAAAGTTGGTGGTGATGTGTTGGTGAGTGGGGTAGTTTATTGGTGTGACCAAGTGCTTTCTTTAGATGTAGAGGTGGAATGTTGGTACCACTCTTTTTTGTTGAATTATTGTTGGTGGTGGTGGTGGTGGTGGTCGAGGTAGTTGGATTGTTGTTAGTGGAAGTTGAGGATGTGGAAGGAGGTGGTGCTATCGAGGAGGATGAAGAAGAGGTAGAACTACAGGTACTGTTGTTGGTTGAATTGTCTTCTGATGGATTGTTATTGGTGGTGGTGGTGGTTGAGCTGTGTGGTGTGGAGGGAGGAGTGTAATATAATGACATGGGAGGAGGTGTTTGTATATATTGATTGTAGTAGGAAGGTTGTTGGTGATGGTGTGGTGTTAATGGTGGTGAGTAATACGATGGGTGTTGTGGGTGCTCCGATGAGTAATAGTATGATGGAAACTCAATGGTGGATTTGGAAAGTGATTGTCGATATATGTCTTGAGTTGGATGGTGCCTAGGTGATTGTTTGAGGATTCGAGGTGACCGATCTGGCGAGGTTGGTTGTTGTATATGGTGTTGAGGAACTTGCAGTGAAGATGGGTGGAAAGAAGGGTGTAACTCAGTTGCTTGTTGTGGATGTGGATGGTGAATGTGATGATATCCACCGTATGCTTTCATGTTGGCATGTGGCTGGTAGTATGAATATTGATAGGTTTGGCCAGTTGGTGTAGTTGGTGGTGTTGTATTGGTAGATGTAGACGACGGTGTTGTAGCTTGTCGATTGGACACATTTGGGTATTGTGCATAGGAAATTCCATGATGTATATATGAGTGGTGTGGATATTGGTGGTAGCCAGTGACTGGATATTCTACAATTTGGTGAGGAACATGTGGAGTTGGTGTGTGCTGAATGTGTGGTGGCGGTGATGGTGTTGTGGTTGGCGGAGGAGGATGTGAAATCTGTGTAGTTGACTGGTTTAAATTTTCATTGGTTTGATACTCTTCGTTTTCATCTTCACTGTCCATCTCAACGTTAGACATTGCTACATCCAACTCTGACGTTGAATCACTTTTATGAAATTGGTGATGGTGTTGTTGTTGTTGTGTATGTCCAGGTTGCTGATATTGTTGTTGAGGTTGTGGATGCATATGAATATGTTGTTGAGATTGCTCCTGTTGTTGAAGAAGCATTTGTTGTTGATATATATAATCCACAGAGAAGCTGGCTGGTTGTTGCATAGGATAGTGTGCTTGCTGTGGAGTGGGTTGTTGATAATCCATCGATGAATCCTGAGAGTGTTGTAGTGGATTTGGATAGCCTTGTTGATTCATTTTCTGATGATGGCTATTATTATTATTATTATTGTTATTGGACATGTTTGGAATATAAATATAAATATATGAGAGTGGTTGGGGTGATAATAAACTTTGAATAAATAATATATGAAATTAGAAATATATTAGCATTATGATACAAGAAATTTGATATATAATATTTGCTTGTGCTACTAGAAACTATATAAAATATAAAACTATATAAATAATGATTGGGTGTATATAATATATGAAATAAAAATGATTGATTCTATATAAAAGATGATATTGGTAAGTAAAATCTATATAATATAAATCTATATAATAAAAATATGTATGGGTTGTGGTTGTTTGGTGCTAAATGATCCGGCAAACCAAAACTCATAACCTTGGACAGATATACTAAATTTGGTGAACCAAAAACAATCGCACAGTTTGGAGGCGAATGAAAATAATTTATAATAATAAATCGACTATATATGTGTGTGATGGTGGAATTGATTATAAAGTATTATGGATATCTTTGGTAATTATGCACAAATACCCCTTGTTTTTGTGACCTGGTACTTGAATGTCAACACTAACCAAGTAAAATCTATAAAAGGGTGGCTCAATTGATGATCAGATATTTTGGATCAAAACTGTTGGTATATAGTGGATAGCAATTGGTGGCTACAGATTGATATAATATTTAGATTGTTGTCTTTTACTCGATTTAAAAAATCACCAACAATGGAAGGTGTTGAAAAGTTGATAAAAGTCACAGCTATGCTATGAATAATCTGATTTACCACGATCGATTGGCTGATTGCAATTGAACTGTTTGGATTTGTCTGATTGTTAGACAGATAGTTTTGATGGGTTTGGTCAGGTAGGCCTCGACACTCTGAGAGTGTGCTATGGCTTGATGTTTTTGACGAGTCTGGCTTGATGGTGGTGGTAGTAGTGGTGGTGGAAGTAGTGGTAGTGATGGAATGGCGGTTGTGGTTGATGGGTGTTTACTCTGATAAGCTAAATACTTTGGACAAATTCGCTGGGTATATTCAGTGATTTAGGGTGATTTAAGTTTTATAATGTGGGGGAGGATTGTTTTGTTTTTTTGATGGTGTAGTTTGTTTGGTTGGTTTTATCAATTAGTCAAGTGGTCGCAAAGAGTGACCTTTGTCAAAGGAGAGGGTTGTTGGGTTGATTGTGTTTTTTAGTGGTGGGTGGTCACTCAAAATTGCAATCAAATTTGTTTTCCCTGCCAAAACGGGAGGTACCACAATAATAAAAAAAAATTTGCAAAAAAAAAAATCCAAATTCGCAAAAAAATGGTAAAAACTTGACGACGACAGTAATGTAGTTGGATATCCAGTATTACTGATTGCAGTAAATTTTGAAAGAGTGGGTGGTAGTGGTGTCTTTAACTAAATAAAAATAAAATAATAATAATAAATACCTAAAATCGATAAATATTGAGATATATATATTTATAAACTTTTTGAAACTGTTTGTTGAATGGATTGGTGTGTAGATTGTTGATGGAATTGATATGGTGTTGGTGACAAAGATGGTATTACAAGATGGTATTGCTAGCAGTGAGAAAGTTTGTATTCATAAAACCAAACAATTAAACAGGTGTAATGGTTGGTCATTTACGAGGTGACCTGAAAATCGATTCGATTTTTCTAAATGCAATGCGAATGTGATACTGAAATATTATTATTAAGTAGTTGAAATTTGTTTTGTGGTGTGCTGTTTCTTGATGATTGCATAAGAGTGTATAATACACTCAGAGTTGTAAGATTTAACTAATCTTCTTTTACTACAATGAGTGTTTTGTGGTCTAACTAATAACTACTACTAAACAAAACGAGAATTTGTTGAGAGAATTGATGTGGTGGTGAAGTTGATTGAATGGCGCTTAATATTGCTGTTACAAGTTGATGAATATAGAGAGTAAATGTTGTTACAGTGATTGTGAGTGAAGGGGGTCGACCTTGGGTGGCATATTTGAAAATGTTGCTGTTGATGGTTTTTTTTTTTTCAGTCAAAAATTTTCATGGTTGTGATTGATTTGAAAAAGGAAAGGCGCGCATCATACGTTGAAAATTTTGAAAAAAACAAATGTAAAAAAAGGGTGGTGGGTTATTGAATTTTTCCGAAAATTTTAATTAATTTTTTTTTTGAAAAGTTGTTTGGTAGTTTTCAAGTTTTTTTTGCTGGGTGGGGTTTGGGGTTTGATTAATCCTTGGCAAGTTGCCTTATCAGGTAGCGAATGCCAAGATCAACCGTCAAACTAACACGGAAATATTTCATTTGTCTCCTCTTTTGGGAATTGATAGAGTTGAATCTACAAAATAAATTCTCAAATTGATTGAATATCGAATTTTTGATGGCCTGATTGATAAAAATTTGAGATCTGAATCAATCAATTAAATGAGTGAAGTTGTTGTTGATATAAAAAATCTATAGATTTACAATGTTTTTGTTTTTTCACATAACCCAACTGACAGAACTGTTTTTTTTTTGTTTTTCGATATAAACCAATATTTTAGCTGTGTGTGCGATAGTGAGAGAGATATATTACGAATGACATTCTATATACAAAACACTAAAGTTGATTTACTGTTTTTTCTTTATACTTTACTTTTGTAAATAAACACTAAATTCTGAATATTGTTAAAATCTTTACTTTTTCTACTCTGTGTGCTGCTTCTGTTTTAAAAACTGAATTTCTTTGATGCACTGAATATTAATTAATTTTACAAAAATAAAAAAAACGAATTAATTGCAACATAGAGTGTAATCTCGTAATATAAATAGCAGTGTATATATTATATGTGTAATAAGGTCTTGAGGGAAATGAAAGTAAAATAGAAGTCGTGATAAAATGATTTTGACAAGTAAAAGAATGATTGATTTGATTTATATTTTCTTGATTTAAAAAAGAAAAGAAAAAGAAAAGAGGATAGGGAATAACAATGTGGTTGACTCGTTAATATAACACCATCTCACCTTTATTATTTCAGAAAGGTAGAGTTTTTAAATAAAATAAAAAAAAGTAAAAAATAAAAAAATAAAATATAAATGATGTAGTAGGAGAATGTAAACTTGATGTTGTTGTGGTGTTTGATTTGTTTGTGGTGTTAGTGGTGTTGTTGCTGCTGTTGTTGTTGTTGTCAATCCAATTACATTGCTGAATAAAACTATGTCATATGTGATAGGTCGTAGATAGGTACACCATCCACTTGAACAGTTAAATGAGGACGGGTGAAACAGAAAGGAAGGAAGAAACAAAGCAAGCAATGAAAATGGTTTTTTTTAATTAATCCAGTTCTGTGTTATTACATCTCAGAGAAAAAAATGAATCATTCCATTTTTTTGATTTCATAAATTAGAGGAGAGTAAAATTGATTTTATCATTTCTAGCATACATAACACCTCACACACACTTAATATTGTTGGTCAAATTTCATAAGTATTGTTAACTCAGCACTCACACACAGCCTCAGACGAAACACACACCACAAAACACACACTCATCAATTAAAACCATTGGACAATCAATACAACCACTAAGAGTGAGATCGAATTTGTGATCATTTCACACGTCTCTTCAAAATATGGTTGGTTGGCAAGTAGGTGTGTGAGGAGACCTTTTACTTCTTCTAGTGAATGCATGCAAAGAATGGAATAAACACACCCACCACTCACTTTTTTTCACAACAATTTTAAGATATTTTTGTTTGTAAAAAGTAAAAATGAAGACTAAATAAGCAAAAAAGTAAAAAAATAAAAAAAAATTCTGATCAGAAAAAAATAGTGGTGCAAAGAAAATAAAATTAATTGGTTTTTTATTATAAAAAACGAAACTCGCATCAACATAAAATATTTTAAATTTTTTAACGACTAAATTATTAAACAACTAGCAAGTTTTACTTTGGATTTATATTAATAAAATAAAATTAAGTGCAAATATGAAAATAACAGTTTTTTTTTGTTGAAAAAATATTATCATTTAATAAAGGTCATTAAATATTTATCTGTTTTTGTTGGTGAGCAAAACTTACAACTACAATCGTCTCGTTTATCAAGAATTCAAAAATGTTGAAATCAATATTGATTTGGGAATAGCAATTTCCCCAATTTTAATTTCATAGACAACTATATCACCAAAATTAGTCAAGTATGCAAACGATATATCATTTTGAATCACATATGCCCAATAATCAGATTAAATCAGTTGTTGGTATTTTTTTTTACATGTAAGATATTTTAAAACGAAAAAAAAATTGTAAATTTCAACAAAAATGTTTTAGAGCCAGTTTGATCAACTTCACTGTTTTAAAATTTTAATGATATTATTTCATCAATGTTAACAAGTTAAATATCTAAATTTTAGTAAAAGTCAAACGAAGAATTTCACAGGCCCACTAAAAGTCAAATGAATACTAAAAAAAAAATTAAAAAAAATTAAGGAATAAAATAAGCATAAACAAAAAATACAAGATCTCAAAAACACAAAAAAAAATGTTTCAAAAGATTGCATCTTCGATCTAAAATTTTTGTAAAAAAAAATAAAAGAAAAAAATTTTGAGCAACCATGTAAATTATTATTGTAAACAAATAAGTCATCGATTACTTTTACTTATTATTATTGTTTGGATTTTGAATTCAAAAAATAAACCAAACTTATAAAAAAGTTTAATTAAATGAATAGTCCTATTATCTCCGAATTTAATTAAAATAATTCATTCATTTTAAGGGCTTTTGTTTAAGGTGGGCTATCACACGATCGACCATTGACAAAAAAAATGATTAAAAAAATAAAAATAAAATAGGTGCAAAAAGATTTTTATTTTTTCAAACTGAATTATTGATTTGGATTCAAATTTTTGAAACCATCTTTTTGAATTTTTTAAATAAGATATTCATCCATCCACTTTAACAAAAAAAAAAACAAAACACATACCCACAAACCAACAACCAACCTAGGTTAAGTTAGCTTTGTTGTAGATAGTATTGTTGATCCCTCCACATCTCTTCTAATTCTAATTAAAAACAAACAAAACAAAATCAAAAATTCAAACCAAAGCAGCAACAACACCATCGATACTACATATAATAATAATAATAATAATAATACGAACAATAGTATCTCAATAAGTGAAGGTTAGTTTTTTAAAAAAGTGTAGTCTAGACAATTTTATATTATATTTATATTATAGTTTAGTTTGGTTTATTTTAGATTAGTTTAGTTTAAAAGTTAAGTTTGGTTTTTTTTTTCAAGTTACAACTCCAACTCATAAAAGATATAGGTAAGTCATTAACAATCCAATCACAACCTATTCAACCAAATCTCTACAAATATCAATCAATAGATTTGTTGTTTATACTCAAATAACTTTATATGATCTTAAATAAGATGAAAAGTTTCAATTCCATATGGTATTTCGGAAAGAGATTGAATTTTGTTTATCAAAATTAACCTAAAAAAGTAATATATAGAAGTAGATTACCACAACACTCTACAACTAAGAAACACAGAAAAAGAAAAAAAAAACAATCAAAGACAGATATTTTAGACATAGAACTGTCTATCAACCACAACAAACACTTTTATATTTAAAAAATTTTTTATTAGTGAAAGTATTGTTATTGTAAAATCAAACACATCACAAAATAAATCAAAACAATAAAAATAAATCAATATTGCATTGTATCTACCCACATAAAATACCACATAAATCAATCAGTCAAAACAAATCAAACAAAACAAAACAAAAAAAAAAAAAAAATCAAATAAAATGATATTGTTTATTTATAAATAAAAAACAATTAAAATCAATCAATTAATATTAACCAAACTAAAACTAATCAATAGTAGTAGTAGTAGTTTAACTCTATTATAAAATAAAAACAAAAAAAAAAAAACAAGGTGTCTCGAGAGCAACAATATTTTGATAACAAACCAAAAGGAAAGAATAACTGATTATTGGATTAAGAATAAGAATCTTCAGAAGAAATAAAGGATAGAGAAGGAAAGCGATAGGATAGACAGACACCAAGTTGATTGTATAGAAACAAACAACAAATATACATTATATATAGACTTATATATATATTAGAAATAATAATCATATAATAATAGTATAGTATTTATTTATTTATTAAGTAGTTATTTTCGTTAGTCAGTTCATTATAATGAGTAACAAATTCACTCCGGAGGTACCAAAGCGAAAGTTACCTCCACAATTTCCACATGATCAATCCAATGGAAGTGGACCAGTTCAACATGCCTCAACTTCATCGTCACCACAATTGAAGCCAGCACCAATCATCACAGCTAAACCCTCGCCACCCTCACCATCTTCACCAGTATTACAAACACCGCCTCCACTCGTTGTTCCACCACCAACAACTCACCACCCACCAACATCAAAGCCAGTTGCATCATCAAATGCGCACCCACATCCACCACCACCTCTAAACAACACCACACCACCACTTCAACACACTGTCAAAGTTGCAGCAGCAGCATCGTCACAACCAACAACCACTTCAACAACAACAACCAATGCACAACCACCACAACAACCACCTCCCCATGCAGTATCGAAACCAAATCCAATTCCACAATCGAAACCAACACCACAACCAAGAAGTGCAAGTAATTCACCTACAGTTTCATCACCAGCGTTACCATCTTCACCACCACAGCAATCCGCTCTCAACTCGAGTGGAGTACATCAACCAACACCAGACAAGCCAAACTCACGTATCATGAGTGTCAATCTCAGAGAAGTCATAAGTCAACAGGATCACATCAAAGGTGATGTTTTAGCCAAAAGTAAGTCCATTCTATCAAATAACAACTACTCAAAAAAAAAGGATTAAATATTCACATACAACGCACACTCTTTCATTCTTTAATGTTATTTAGATCAAAAACTATTGTTTGAATTGAAACGTGAAATTTCGATATCGAGTAAAAAGAATTTCACATTGGAAAGAGATATTCGTACTTTGGATAAAAAGATTGCATTGTTGATCAAGAATCGTATTACTTTGGATGAAATTATGCAGTCGTCAGGTGACATTCTCGAGATGCAAAACAAAACCATTCAGATTAAAGATAAATCGCAGCGTGAAAACTATGGACAGCTGTTCTACCTGCTGCAAAACAACACCACTTACATTGCCAGCTTGGCAAAGCTGGTCAAGGTCGGTGAGATCGACAATCTCTTGCAGACCGTAATGTTCACACTCTACGGTAATCAATACGAGGAGAACGAAGAACATCTCTTGCTCTCGATGTTTCAAAAGGTGTTGGCCGAGGAGTTTAAGGAGGCCACCTCGATTGGTTCACTGCTTCGTGCGAACACCGCTCTGACGCGTATGATGACAACTTACACCCGTCGTGGTCCAGGACAACAGTACCTGAAGCACTCGCTCACCAAGCCACTCGAGGCAATCACCAGCAACAAAGATCTCTCACTCGAGATCAACCCGTCGATCGTCTACGAGGACCACATCAACGAGTACGAAACCCAAACCGGAAAGCCGTCGCCTCTCAAGCGAAAGGCGCCACCCGAAGAATGCGCACAAAACGGCGCCGTCCAAAACATCATTCGTCCACGTATCGAAAACCTGGTGTCCATCGGTGACAAGTTTATCGAATCGATTATCTCGTCGATCGATTTGGTGCCCTACGGAATCCGTTGGATTTGCAAGCAGATTCGCGAGTTGGTCAAAGTCAAATTCCCAAGTGCTACGCGTGCACAATCCTGCGGATTGATCGGAGGATTCTTCTTGTTGCGTTATATCAATCCCGCTGTCGTCAGTCCACAGGCATTCATGCTTGTCGAAGCGAAACTCTCAAACAACACCAAGAAGAATCTAACCTATCCCGCCAAGATGATGCAGAATCTCGCCAACAACATCATGTTTGGTGGCGTCAAAGAGTTCTTTATGGAGCCTTTGAATGTATTTTTAGAAAAGAACAAGGATCGACTCAACGACTTCCTCGAGCTGCTGACCAAAGTCGACAACCTCAGCGACCACCTCAACCTCGATAAATATATAGCGCTCGGACGTGTCGGTGACAACATCACAATCAACATTACACTCAATGAAATGTACTTTGTGCACAGTCTACTTGAGCAACATCTTGGCGTGCTTGCTCCCGAGCCAAATGACCCACTCCGTCTGATCCTCTCGGACCTAGGTGCCGCGCCAGCACAGTTGCCGCGCTCAGAGAACGCCAACGTCGAACTCAAGCTAACGAATCGCTTTGAATTGAATGAATCACTAAACATCAAGCCAGAACAAATGTATAATGAAACAAAGTATCTGTTGTTCACTGTGTTGCGATCGCTCGCCAGCGGCAAGGACATGACAGACATGGGCGCAACCCTAGCGGAAGTTGCCAAGACCGCAGCGGCCAACAAGAACCAAGACATTGTAGATAGCATTAAAAAGATTCTCTTGAACTGCAAGAAGCTTTCCGCCAGCGGATACCTCTCCGAGGAGGATAACTACTCGCAGCTGCGCAAGGATATCGTCGCCGAGATGCTCAACTACGAGTCGTACATCGCCAAGACCAACACCGAGCTCGAAAAGCTTCGCCAGGTGCTCGAAGCGATTCGCGAACACAACCTGTTCCTCCAGCAACAACTGGAGTCCTACGAGAAGTATCTGGTGAACGTACGTGAGAATTGCTCCGGTGGCAGTGGCGGTGACAAAAAGTCAAAGAAAGAAAAGAAGGAGAAGAAGAGCAGCAGCAGTAGTAATGGTGGCGAGAAGTTCAAGAAGAAAGGACCATTCAAGTTTAGTTACTCACAGCTTGAGAAGGATGGCATCATTTTGGAGTCGGAAGTACCGGAGGATCGTCGTTCCAACGTCTACTTTTCATTCACATCAGAGTCACCCGGTATCTTTGATGTCACACTGATCTACCGTACCACATCGGTGTCAGAGATCAAGTTGCATCTGGACGAACTGCTCGAAATGCAGGCCAACCATCAATTAGAATATGAAACCGATTTCTTTAAACTTAATATTAATATTTTATTGTATTTATTGAACAAGACTTTTATGTCTTAGAAAGAAAAAAACAGCAACAACCAACAACAAAAAAAACAATAACATCAACAATGACAAGCTTGGACATTAAAAAAACAAAACATCAATAAAAATTATACATAGTAAATAAATTACCAACAAAGAAAAAGGGAATTGATTGGTAATATATAATCATTATTCTTTTTAAGTGTAAAATAAAAAAAGTTTAAATTGATGGATGGAAAGAAATCTAACTTTGCGGGATGCTTTTCATTCAAGAGTAGCCAAGGATACCCTTGAAGGTTGTTCGCTGATCAGTTTTATTAAACATATTATGTCTATCCGTTTATTTTGTATTTCTAACAATCCAAATTTTATATTCCAAAATTATAATAGTTTTGAATTTAATAAAATAAAGATTTATAGATTTAATAACTTGAATGAATTAAAAAAAAAAGTTTGGTCACAATTTTAGTTTTATTTATAGAAGTTTCTCTTCCTTTAATACAACATCCTTTTACATAATAAGAATTTTTGTAATAGGCCTATTCTTTAAAAATAGTATGTGTAAAAATACCATTCCTATATAGGAATAAAAAAAATTAAAAATTAGAAATGTCATTAAGTGTACCATTGATATTCAAAATGGTAAAAGGTCAGTATTCGGTGTAAGAAAAACAGGTGTTGGACCAAGATTTGGGAGAGATTTAAAAAAACAAAAAAAATTATGAGGTACCACAATATTTTTTTACAAAAAAAAAAAAATACATGGAACCAACGAATGTTCCATGATGCATCGGAATTTTTCTGATGATGGAAATTTCAATTCAATTGGTTAGGAAACACCACAAAAACAGATTTTTTAATTAAATTTTATTTTTTATTTTTTTCGATTTTTCATAATTATAATGGTGTTGGGTTTTGTCATTAAAAAATAAAACATAAAAAATTAAAACAAGAACAGATTCATTTTCATTATTATTAATAATAATTGTATTCTTTAATTTTTATTTTTGACAAGACAATTATATTATTTTTATTATTATTACTCACATACATACAAAGATTATATATTAATAATAGTATTAAATATAAAAAAGATTATTTTTATTTAGCTTAATAATTAACCAATCAAATCAAAACAAAACAAAACAAATCTAATCATGATGTCAGCAGCTGCAGCAAAAACAACAACAACACCAACAAAGTCTGAAACAACTTCTGATTTCAAGACAACTGTACTCTTCTCTATTAGCGACAAGATCGGTTGTTTGACTGAGTACTTGGAGGTCATCAAGGAACACAGAATCAACATCACTCGTATCGAATCGAGACCATCAAAGACCGAGAAGTTCGACTATGACTTCTTCTTGGATCTCTCCACTGAGGATCACTCATCGGAGCCAATCGATTGTGTCATCGACTGTCTCAACAAAAAGGGTGTAGACGCCACCATTCTCACCGAGACCAAGAAACCAAAACAAACTTCAAGTAACTAATCAAACTTATAAGCAAGTTAAATAAGTAGTACTTTGTTATTAACATTTATATTTAAACTATAGCTCCATGGTTCCCAAGAAAACTTTCGGATTTAGATTTGTTCTGTAACAAGGTTTTGGAGATGGGATCTGATTTGTCATCGGACCATCCGGGTGCTACCGATAAGGTGTACATCGAGAGACGTAAGGAGATCGCACAGATCGCTGCTACCTACAAGCACGGTGAGAAGATCCCGACCATCGAGTACTCCGAGGATGAGAAGAAGACATGGGGTGTCGTCTACAAACAGCTGAAGGAACTCTCACATACCAACGCTTGCAGACAGTACCGTTACATCTTCCCGTTGCTCGAACAGAACTGTGGATACTCTGAAAACAACGTACCACAGCTACAGGACATCTCAGAGTTCCTTACAGAGTGCACGGGATTCCGTTTGCGTCCAGTACAGGGTTTGTTGTCGTCTCGAGATTTCTTGAACGGATTGGCATTCCGTGTGTTCCATGCCACCCAATACCTCAGACATCACTCTGTGCCACTCTACACACCAGAACCAGACATCTGTCATGAGCTACTCGGTCACGTTCCCCTGTTTGCCGACCCAGATTTTGCAGATTTTTCACAAGAGATTGGTATGGCATCGTTAGGTGCATCAGATGAAGATATTGAAAGACTTTCCACTGTAAGTTTTACTAATGATTACTGACTTTAATTAAATAGTTGAAACTAATCGTTTACTAATGATATTGAATAATTATCACAGTGTTATTGGTTTACTGTAGAATTTGGTATTTGTAAGGAAGGAGATGGAATCAAGGCATATGGAGCAGGTTTACTTTCGTCGTTTGGTGAGTTGGAGTATTGTTTGTCAGATAAGCCCGAGAGAAAGCCATTCGATCCGTTTGTGACGTGCAATCAGAAGTATCCTATCACTCAATACCAACCAGTTTACTTTGTGGCCGAGAGTTTCCAATCGGCCAAAGACAAGATGAAGCAATTCGCAGAGACGCTAGACAAGCCGTTTAGTCTTCGTTACAACCCTTACACCCAAACCATCGAAATCCTCGACACCAAAGACAAGCTGGTCAGTCTATGCAATCAAATCAAAGGTCAGACAACCTCATTGGCATCAGCCATAGCCAAGCTCCAATGTTAGATTAGTTTTAGCTTTAATTTATTATCGATTACCAAACAACCAAATTATTAATTCATCTTTATACATAATAAACAAATTGTAAATATCTTTATTGTTTATATCAATAAAGTGATTTAATCACCACCAACAATAACAATTACCATACAAATCCGACCAATTAATCAATTTTAATGTTCAAAAAAAATATTTTTTTACAAATATTTTTGATCATTTTTTTTTTCTGTTTTGATTGATTTTCATTGTTAGTGTTTAGTCAACCCCTTTAAAAGTTCTCAAAGTTTTAAAAGTAATTGTTTTCATTACTATTAGCAATATATTATAATAAAGTTTTACAGAGATGTCACAACAACAACAACAACCAAAGACAACCATTAGAGAGTCAAGAGATATGTTGATTTCACTCTTCCCAGAGTGCGAAAAGCAAATTAAAGACGATGTCAATTGCTACATAAAGTTTGGACCAAACCCAGAGTCTCTTCAAGTAAACTGTAATAAAGAAAACTGGGAATGCACTTTCTGTTTATCATTGTGTGACGCTGCACAACCATTGAAGAAATGCATGCAAACCAACAACTATCAAACTTCTGCATGTCAACCAGAGGTATGTCAATACACTCAAACGAGATATATATATATATATATCAATCAATTCAATATATTACAAATTCAATACTTACTTATTATGATTGATATATCTAATCACAAATAGATTAATAACTTTTTGGCTGAATGTCGTCCAGAGACAATGAGAGACAGAATCGAAAAGAGAGCCAACTTGAAGAATTAGACAAATACATTACAATAGATATATTTTTTGTTAAATATAGTATATAAATATAGATAAACATAATAATTTAAATTAAATTAAACAAAACAAAACAAGACAAAAGCAAAACTAAAATCTAATATTAAATAGATCTATTATCATGATAGCTTTCTATTATAATATTAGTATTTATTATTATTATATAAATTTAAAACAAAGCAATACAGGTTAGGTGATAATGATCATAGTAATAGATTTAAAGAGGATGTAGGATATAAAAATAGATTAGATTATGATAGAATGAATTACTTTAATTTAATTTAATTATAAAGTTAAAGTTTATTTAACAACAAATGTTTAGGTTTAGTTTTTTTTATAATTTTATTTTTTAAAGTTATTTATTAAATCTATTTCTGTTTAGAGAAAGAAAGATAGAAGCATAATATGAATAATAATAATAATAATAATAGTAATAGTGATAAAGTAAAAAGTATTAATGAAAGTAAGAGTTCAACAACGAAAGATGAAGTTCTCGAGAACCAACCCACAACGAAATATTTACATATGCCAGAGATCAAAGATGATTACGATAGAGCAAAGTATTCGTTGATTCTTGACTTTCCATCGTGTTTTCAAACTATCAATAGTGCAATAGAATGTGATAAGAGACAGGGTAAACCACCTGGCATTATTACAAAGAAATGTCAAGATGTACACGCTCATATGAATTTTTGTATGTGTTTATAAACATAGTAATTATAACATCTAGCTTATATTTATGTTTGTTGAATCTATTTATTATTGTTATTATCATTATATATAGGTCTGCTTTCTACATTCTGTCCTGATGAGTCGAGAGCACTAATGGAGTGTACTCAAGGTAAAATACCTCAAGATGGTGTTGCAATCCCAAAGAAGTGTCAAATGGCTGTAAGTAGTTGTTTTATTTATTAAATCATCTTTAGAATGAATCGTAAATACTAATTACTATTTACTATTCCGTAATTAAATAATCAATATTACATTGTTGTAAAGTGGAATCTATTCGATGAGTGTCTAATAAATAGAACTTTACTCTTTGAAGAAGAGCAAAAGATTGCTGCTATGAACAATAACAATAACAATAATATTAATAGTTTAACTAAATCAAATCAATAAATCAAATCAATAAAGTCTTTTCAAATTAGAATGACCAATCTTTTATTTCTTTCTTTATTAGTTTCTATTTTTTTTTTTTTAAAACATGATTAATAACAATGTACTTATTGATATCAATGAGCTGTATAATCATACATATAATCAACGACTATCTATTATTATATGATCGCTTATTATTTATTTTTTATTATTATTTCTTATATAGCAAATAATTTGTTTTTCTGTTAAAGGTGGTAGTTACTGACTCTTATAAATATTTATGATATATGAATGTTTATGTTGAATGAACTATTGTTGTTGTGATGTGATGATGATGTGATGATTGATGATGATTATAATATGTAGATGATTATATTAGATTGATTGATTGATTGATTGATGGTTGTTCGAATGTATATGATAGCTCTAGTTGTTTGCTTTCTTGTAAATATATGGTATTCTGTATGCTGTATGATTAGACTGATGACGATTCTAAAGTTGTTTTGTTTTGTTTTGATTCTACTCTGTTTTCAATTTGATTACATGTTTTCGGCATGACTCCATTTCTCACCACAACTGCAACAAACAAAGAATAGAGTCATCTTATCAGACTTTTGACCCATAGATTGGAAGAAAATAGCTTCTCTACCACCACAAGCAGGACATTTCGATCCTTTAGTTCTTGGTAATGTTGGATCCGATGCAATATCGTGTGAGATCTGTGTTCTCTCCCTATAATAATAATACAAATTGAAGTAAAGATATATATATAAGTATGTATGTTTACTGCAATTGTTATTATTTTGACTGATGATTCTAAACATACTCTATTGAATGTTTGATTTCATTTCTATATACACAGTTATTGGATGCTTTCTCTTGATGGTCACAAATCTTACATGAGAGCAATAACTCTCTGTTTACCTTATCTGCAATTGGATATAAAAGATTATTGCTAGACAAATAATACAGATTGTTAGTTTTTGTCTCGAAATATAACTTTAAAACATATAATTCAATTACCATTCACCACAAAAATTCATATTTTCTTATTAAATAAACTATTAGCTTTCAATTGAAATTATATAATTATTGCTATTCTACAAGTTTTAATAGACTAATAACTAATTTATCTTTTTTTTTTTTTTAAAAAACTAATATTGTTTTTTTTTTTTTTTTTTTTCACACATCTGGTCTTTTCATTCTGGCGGTTTTCTCAGTGAATAACAATTTACAATGATGTTGTTTACTTTATTTAAATAGTTTGTTTATTTATTTATTTACAATAATTTATTTATCGATAGATTGTTATGATTATTATTCAGTTGGAGTTGAATCTGCTTTATTTGAATCGTTTTGCTCACTTTTGGTGGTTGTGATTTTACTACTCTCGCCAGAGTCTATTTTAATCATACGAATTGGTAGGACCATTTTATTGTAATCCTTGGTCTCTTTGATAGCGCGTTTAGAACCGAAAAATCCTTTCTTGGCGAATCCAAGCTGAGTGTAGAGACCAACGTAGCCTGGCTCGGTGTGCTTAATTGAAGTGAGTACGCCAATGGATCCACTGAAAGAAATGTTGCCTTTTGCACCAACGCTGCCACCTTGTCCGATAGCAGCACTAATATTAATGGTGAAATTAGCGTTGGCTTTCTCAAAGTGGAGCATATGGAATTCAGAGGCATAAAGATTTGCGTCTATAAAGCGATTGGGTTGGCTTGCCCAGGTCTTTAAGACAACCTTTGCAAGATCATCACCATTTACGACTGATATTTCCCTTTTTACCGGTCGGTGAATGATGACCAAGAATGAATCCTCACTATTGACAGTACATTGGATCTCTGCTTTCTGACCGGATTTGAGAGCAACCAGCAAATCACTTCCTATACTAATCTTATTGTCAACGTTGTAGACTCTCCATTCCTCACCTTTTTCTTCTCCTATAACGTCGTAACTGAATGTCTCATCGGTGTTTTGGAAATTTTTAAGTGCTTGTTCTGTTTTCACAATCGTTCCAATTCCATTATCATATGTGTAGTAGCTTCCAAGTTTAAGATTTCCACCAGTATCCAACCGCCATCCATCCAAATGTTTTTTAAATATTTTATTTATCTTTTTATCCATTTAAATTTATCTATTTATAATATATTTTGTAACAATATTGAATTTAATAATAATAATAATAATCAAATTAATGATTTTTAATCAAACAACTGATGCAAGCGTAATCCATAAAACTAAAAATATAATTTTTTTTTGTTTTTTCAGAGAATTGGTTCGCCACCTTGGGGAAAAGTGAACAATAACTTGCAAAGTGATTTCATTATTTTACTTTTTATTTATTTATTTATTAATTAAATTATTTGTTTAATTAAAGTTCTCTGTCAACTTGTTTTTTCTTTTGGGATGGTGATGGAATTGATGGACTAAAATTAAAAAAATAAATTAATATTAGTTTGACGATGTTTAGCTTAATATTAAAATAATAATAATATTGATTATACTTACTTTCTGAACCATTCGACCATATCGTCAACAGTTCTATCACCTGTATACTGTGCGCTTTCTTTTGCGTTGTGGAAGTAGATGGCTGTTGGGAAACCTTTGATTTTGTATTTCTCGCAAATCGACATCTCAGAGTTACAGTCGTAGGCGGCGAAATCACCGAGATGCTCTTTCTGAACGGTGATCGATGCTTCAGCGTAGGCTGGCTTCATACGTTCACAGTGACCACAACCTGGACTGTAGAACATAACCAAAGTCTTTGGATGGGTCTGAATGAATTGAGTAAAGTTACGCTTTGTCAAATGGTAGACTTGTGAATCGATTTTGTTCCATGAACCTGGTCCTGGAATCACTGGAATTGGTGCCAAAGGGTTTTCAACAAATGATTTTAAGGATCCTGCACTTTTTGGAAGTATGAAATCTGATAGTGCTTGACCATTCCTTAAAGAAAATGTAGTAAAAATAAAAAAGATTAGATTTCTCTCAATATCAAAGTGTGTTGTTGATTCTTTTTACCTACTTGTAATAAACAATTGTGATTGGATCTTGAATTTCATATTTCGATCTGGTTGCGAAATCTTTTTCTAAATCGATTACAACGAATCTTACGGATGATCCATCATCATTGAACTGTGATGAAATCTTTAGGAATGAATTCATAAACTTTTCAGATTCTTTTGTCTCTATTCATAATTGATTGGTCAACATTAATATTGGTTTTATAAAGGAATTGATTTACGATAGGTTTTAACTTACTTGTATAGAAATAAACAACAACATCTTTTGTACTCTTAATGAGAGAATCAATTGACTTTCCATTGGTAACAATCACATTGTTCTCTTCATAGTCAAATACCTTGGCACTGACTGTTTGAGAAGTTGAAAGCAATGCTAAAGCTACAACTATTAATAATATACAATATCTATTTGTTGTCATTTTTTAATAATCTAAATAAATTAAAAATCACCTGACTTATTTTAGTTTTAATTAAAAAAAAATGGTTTCAAGATTTTTGTTTTTTTTTTATCATTATTTTTGATTGAAAGCCTCGATCAACCCACCACCCCATTTTGATAAGAATAAGTAAGATTTATTATTATTGACTATAAATACAAAAAAAGGAAAAATCAATTTATTTATATTTAATAAAAAATATAATCATACTAATAATAAACATCTAATAGCTAATAGAATAAAAAAATAAAAAAATGTTGGTCATACAATAGGAGTGTTGTTTATCTGAAAATGGAACTTCTGTTGAATAAAAAAAAATGTTGTTTTTGATTGACTGCCCCATCAACCATTTTGATAAGAATAAGTAAGATTTATTATTATTTGACTATAAATACAATAAAAAAAAAGGAAAATATAAATATAAATATTTTTAAACTTTACTACTACCAACTAGTGCGTCATAGACCTTATCAACTTTAGATTTCTTTGGTTGTCTGATCTTTGGTTGTCCATTGTGTAAATTTAAAGTATGTCGTTTCCATGCGGTCTTTGACATAAACACTTGTCCACATTCCACCAATTCATTTTCATCTTTAATCATTTCCTCTGCTTTATCACTTGATCCTTCAGCAGTTGTTGGAGTCTCTGCTAGAGTCGATGACTTTGATTTCGACTTTGATTTCGATTTAACTTTGTCTTTGAGTGGAATAAGATGTTTGCATATCCATTCCTCACCGATATGGAATTGCTTGATGTGACTGTCTAGATTGGATTTCTTGGTGTACACACGTAGACATCCTTCGTAGGTACATGGGAAGTTGTAGCGTTCATCGATTGGCACGTGTGTAGCAGAGTGCAGTCGCAGTGCCTTTGCTGTCTTGAATGTCTTTGGACACTGTGGACACTGATGTTGCTTCGCCATTGGATGCGCAGACTTGATGTGTTTGTGAAGTTCGTGGTGAGTGTAGAACTTCTGGAAACATCCCTCCTCCACACAGAGATGTTTGGCGTCTTTGGTGTGACAGCTGTTGATGTGATTCTTGAGGTGCGCGGGATAGGTGAATCGCGACTTGCAACCCTCATAGGTACACTCGTACGGCAGCTGTTTAAGATGTACGGTTGCAACGTGACGTTTCAGCTGATTGTGCTTGTGGAACGACAGCTGACAGGTGGCAGTGTCAAACTCACATTTGTATGGTTTCTCCTGGAGATGCTGACATCGAACATGCATGTTCAGTTGATGTTTCAGCACAAAGCTGATGCCACAACCGACGTGATCGCAGCGGAATGGATGTTCACCGGTGTGCGAACGCATATGGTATTTCAAGTGGTGTGATCTACTGAATGACTTGTTACAGCCGTCGTATGTGCATTGATAGGGACGCTCACCGGTGTGTGTACGTATGTGATTTTCCAACTTTCCGATTCTATTGAATGCTTTGTCACACGATTTGTAGGGACAACCAAACGTTCTTTTTGGATCGGCTGTCTGCTTGTAGCAAACATCGTTCTTGACCAAGAGATTGTCGTCCAACGTCTGCTTCTCGCTGTTGTTCAGTCGATTCGATTTCCTTTTATTACCAAAGTGTATGTCATCGTAGATATCCACCTCTGGCTCGTCTACCTCTTCTTCCTCTGGAACGAAATCGAAATGATCATCTTCCTCCTCCTCCATTTCAGATTCTGTTTGATAGTCACTGTCACTTCCACTTACACTTTCGCAACTAAAATCCTGTAGATCGTTGTTATTCATTTCGACATCTTCATTTTCATTTTCATCTTCCTCTTCGTCTTCATCTTCTTCATCATAGTCACTATCTTTATTATTTTCATTATATACAACTATTGCACAATTATTATAACTATCATCATTATCATTGTTGATATTACTATTATTCTTTTCAACATGTTCATGTATAACGATACTAATATCTTCGAAATCTAATCTAGATCGCTTTAAAGATAATTCTTTACATGTATTTGTGGTTGTAGTTGTAGTTGTAGTGATTGTTGTTGGTGTCATATTTGATTCAACTTTATTCATTAGTTGACAACAAAAAACATATTAACAAAAATAAAATAAAATAACTATTGTTATACAACTAAATATATCAATTTATTAAAAAGCAAATTAATTTAAAGATTTGACCGTTATAATCGCTCGTTTTTTTTTTAAATAATAAAATAAAAATTAATTTGAAAATTCGAAATATTCAAATTCTGCGATTGGTTGTTGATTTTAAATTGTTTATTTATTTACAAATAAATTTATTGTATATACTGACATTCATTTTAATATTTATTTAAATACAAAATGAAAATCTTTGCTACAATAGTTTTTAGTTTTATAATATTTTTAATGGTTTCTTTGGTGTTTGGAAATGTCCTAGAAACGCTTCGTACTTGCAGACAACAATGTGATTCTGACTGGGTTTCTTGTGTAAATAGATTAGGAAAGTCAAATGTTGACAAGTGCAATGATATATTTAATAAGTGTTGGTTTTCATGTCCAAAATGAAAGAGTTATACCATTATATTATGTTTGACAAATCTAACTTTTTACACAAACAATATAATCAATAAAAAGGTGTCTTTGAAAAATATTTAAATTAAATATTTAAAAACTATTAATTTTTATATAGTCTTGTTGTATGGGCCTTATTCTATGAGTTAAACTAAGTTTATAATTTTTTTCAATAATATTAATATTAGTTATAGTTAATTTATTAAAGTCTTGGATATAAAAAACATATTGTTTATTCAGTATACTCTTAAAAGACAGTACCAAGATTTAAAAAAAAATTTAATTATTTTTAAAGATATTTTAATATGGTGGAGGTAGAAACTCTACGGGAATGAGTCATTTTCACTCAAACTTTTTGATTTTAACAATTTATCTAAGTCTATCCACTTAAAAAAATGGATGAGGTGGTTTTTCAATTGAAATTGAAAAGTTTCCTGTGTAGGAATCCGATTTAAATCCAATTTAAGAATTGAATCCAACCCAAATAACAAAGGTTGGTTCGGACACCTTGAACACAATAGGTACTTAATATTTTCAACACTGAGGTCTCCTTTATAAAGGAAATCATGCTTTATCTCATTGTTTGTCAAGGTTGATGTAATGTACTTATAATTGGTTTACTACTTTTCAATGTCCAATCTAAAACCACTCAAACTGATTAATTGATCTTTTTAAACCAAGAGTTCAATTCAAGTGAATCAACCTCAACGATGATGTCAAGTTAATTGTTGATCATATTCACACCTCCCAATCCACAAATCCAATCATAAACCAACCAACCAACCAACCAATTCTATAGATATTATATATTAAAAATATTTATTTATTTTTCATTCAAACATTTTGTGTCTTTCATTGCCCCACAATCTATTTTTTTACCAAAAATCCAATAATCTTTGGATCATCCTCTTCATAACATAAATAAAATTTTATTTATTCATAAAAAAGCATTAATATCACTTTAATTATTGACCTTAATTAAATTTAGATTATCACAAGATCAGTTTACAAACTAGACAAAATATTAAACTTTTGTTTTTAGCCTAATTACCAAATTAAGTTGAGACTTGAGAGTTTGAATAAAATATTTTTATTATTGGTGTGTTTTCAAAGCTTGGGAAAATTTTTGATATTTGCATTGCTTTGCGGGATTAAGACAAAGGTCTTCGTTTATTAATAATTACCAGAAAAAAAGCACTCCTCCACTCGACTGTTCCACCCGCAATGACTGTTACTATTACAATCATCGATGTTTGTAATGGATTCACAATAAATTTCTTAAAGGTTTAAAAAAAAACAATTTTTGTTTTAATAAAATAAATGATTGGTTTGTTCATAAAGTTAATTCTTACGGATGTCTTCTGATTTTGCCATTACAAGAGAAGCAAAGCATATGAAGGCAAAAATTAAAACTACAATAGTTAATGTTTTAGAATTCATTCTTTAGAATGTTTTTAGTTCTATATTTAAATGATTGAACAATAGTTCATTCTTGTTATATATGGTTTTTATTTATTAATAAAATTTAATATTAAATATTAAATTATTTTTATCAAACAATTTACAATTCATTTTTTAAAAAAACTGAAACAATAATAATGGGGGAGGGTTAAATTTATATAGAGTTACTTACTGATGTTAAATTAAATAATATCTAAATATATATAAAAAAACAGTTAGTTAAAAAGAGTTCATATTTATTTAAATTAATTATCTTAATGACCTACTATTATTACAGAGTTATATTCTTCCGAGAATAAATAAATCCATCACACTTTTGTAGTTAATAAATTAAAATACAAATGTATCTTAAAAAACTGGACAACATGTAGTCATTAATTATTGGAACTAACTTGAAATGAATACATAATTTTTTCGAAAAACAAATTTAATTTTGATTATTTATTAGATGTAAAAGAAAAGAAAGGGAGGATAATAGTGACATAAAAAATAAATAAACAAATAAATAATAATAATAATAATAACAGTCCAAACATGGGTGGGATTTTAACCCATATGGCCAGAGAAATATCTATTTGACTTAGAATTTGTTAGTAAAGGAGAATAATATATTTAAAAAGCAAAAATAAAATATAAAATAATAAAACTGATCTTATAATATTTAAAAATAAAATAAAAAAAGAACTAAAGATTTAATAAAGACTATACCTGTAGGTTGCGCCTGATTCAAATTGAAACGGAATTGACTCAAAATCATTTACTGATCCTTCTACCTTATATCTTGTTGAAGCTTTGAATACAAGTTTCGAATTAATACCGATTCTTTCTTTCGATTATTTATTAGTATTCTCATCAAATAGAAATATTTAACAGCATTATATTTTACAAATTAGTTGTGTTTATTGATTTGATATTTGAAATAGTACAGATGCACAGAATGCACGGTTTGATTGATCGTTTTTCATGATGGTTTGCCAAATATTCTTTTCTACCGAATAGACATAGTTGAAATCTTTGCCCTGGAGATAGTAGATGTAACTCTCATCTTTGTTGGCTTGGTAGTAAACCAACTGGAATTCCAACGATTTATAGTTGGTGGCTTGTAAATCTTCGATCTCATGAGTAATCACATTGATTCTGATGAATCCTTTGGCCGAGAGAATGTAGATGTTACCGACACCATCTGTACACATAGCCGGCGATGATAGTACAACCTTATTTGCAAAGTCAATCGGTAGATCAACGACTGCTTTTGTTTCCGGATCAATTCTTACGATTCTATTGTGTAGTGGAATCACAGAGTACATTTGGTTACCAAATAGCTCTGTGTTAAAGAAGAACGTTAAGTGATGGTAGTCTGTGTGTTCCAGCACAGAAAATCTTTCAAACTCTCTGGTTTTCGTATTGAATTTGGTTATGGTGGTCTGTATTCGGTTGTATCCGTCCAGTAGGTAGATGTGGTCATTTCCATCGTAGCAAGCCGATGTGTAATGGCACAGATTGACACCGTTCATCAGATGATTACTAAGCAGTCGATTCTTGATAGAGTAGAGCTGGTAGGTGTTATTGGGGATATCGCTACCACCGAATCGATAGATGTAATCGCCCACGACTACAACGGAATTGTATGCCCACCTGCTATCAAACAAGATATCCAAGTAGTCGACTCTATACTCATCGTTATTATCCACTTTATTTGGAATGGTTATGATTGCTGCACGTCTTTCCTTATCCGTCGAGAATATATAGGATTGAAGTTGACTCTGTTGTTGGACAGCAGGTGTAGTGTGTTGTTGATTTACATTCTCCAATTTAAAAGACTGCTGAATATCTTTTTTGATATTACTAACTATCTTTTCATTGGTAATCAACTTTAATTCACTTGGAATCGGTTGGTGTTTGTACTCAGCATTGTGTTTAATATACAAATTTAAAAGTGTATAGATATCGATATCTTTGATGCTGACGATGCTATCGATATTATTCTTACTAAATAAGGTATATATATTTTGTTGAATGAAATCATTTGAATCGATTGATTGCGAAATTGAATTGATAATATTTGATAATTGATATTTGTCAGTTGTATCGGAGGATGTAGTGGTTGTGGTGGTTGTTGTTGTCAAAGATGTTGAACTGTTATCATCATTATTGTTATCTTTTTTGTTCTTATTATTATTATTATTATTCAATAATGAAAATTGATTATTAATATAATTTAGATGGTTGAGTGATTTCATCTCGTTGACATGATTGTCAATCTGTTGCTCTAATTGGTCTTTGTCATTGACGATCGGTTTCTTTAGTTTGTGTTCCTCGACAACAAGAAGATCGTGTATCTCTGCGAATTTACTTGAAATCTCAAGTTCTGTTTGTTGGAGTTGTCTATATGCAACCACCTTTGCCTTTGTAACATCAAACGTCTTTTGTAAACTTGATTGAATATTATATTTAATATTATTATTATTATTACTATCACTTCCATTAATATTAGTTTCGCCATTTATGACGATGTTATTATTATTACTAATATTGTTGTTGTTGTTATTGTTGTTGTTGTTTTGATTGGTAATAATACTCGATTTGATATCTTCTATATGATCCAGAGAATGACCGTTATGCTTAAGTACACATCTGGAACAAAAAAATAAATTACATTCATAACATATGAATTTAAAATGTTTGTTGTGTTGTAAACATATATGTTCAATTGTGGTATCCATCAGTAATTATAACTTTGTTTAATTGTCTGAATCAATGTTTTTTATATGATCATGCTAACTTTTATTAAAATTTTATTTTTAAATAGAGCAAATCAACCCATTAATAAAAATAAAAAGTAGATCGATCACACTTTGAGACCCTCTTTTCAAATTTATTTAAGTGATATTGGTTAACAATAAGTTCATTTTACTCAAATATATAAAACATTACAATAATGTTTGTCTTGAGTGTTGTAATAAATGTGTGTGTAAGTGTGCGGGTGTTTACAATCAATATTATTAATAAAAAAAGGAAAACGTCATATTTATGAAAAATAGTCATAAAGTATTATTCTTACTACTTTTTAACAATAATGGGAATAAAATGAAAATATAAAACGTTTTATTATAATTTTAAAATAAGAGATAGAGAATAGAATGGTATAAATAACAAAACAATTCTGTAATAAGAAAATCATTAATATTCAAATCTCAAACTATAAATTATTATAAAAAATAAACTAATCATAATTATAATTAAAATGAAAACTACTCTGTGTATTGTATTGATTTCACTTTTATTAGTGTCTGCAACCTTTGCTGAGCCGGATGCAGGATGTCCACAGATCAGAATCAAAGACTGTCCAAAAGGTTTGTAATTAAGTAATACACCAAGGTTATTAAAAACAAAAAAAAATACTAACCCAATATGAAATTACTTAGGTGAGTTCTTAGTCACATCTGAAAACGGTCCATGTAAAATCCAATCATGTCATCCTTGCCCAAGAATCGGAATTGTAATTCACTGCGCTCCCGATGAACATATGGAGACCACTAATGAACAATGTCCAAAAAATCACTGTGTGAAGAATAACTAAAAAAATCAACATTTAATTAAACGACTATTCTGCCTAAGTCCAATTTTATTTGTAACACAATAAAACAAAAATTTAATATGTCCATCTTTTTTTTTTGTATTACTTTTTTTTTAATTCTCTTTTTCTTCAAAAACACTTCTAAGTCAAAATCCACAAACCAAATTAATTACTTTGAATACTTATTATTACTAATTGGTCAGAAAAAAAAAGGAAGATGTGATTCAAAATAAAAAAAAAACTATTTATTTGGTTTTAAATAGATAAATATATATATAAAATGATTTTATGTTTTATTATTTAAGCCATTTCATGGTGAAGAGATGGTTGTGCATGTGCTTTCTTATTGAAACGTTTTTGTCCAAGTACAGAGGTGATTCCAACACCAATCATTAGGATGGCGAACAAACCAGTTGGACTAATCAATAGAATTAGAGAATCGATTTCCTCTACGCATGCAACCTGTTGAACATCTTCGATGAATGGCATGAGATTGCTACATTTGATGAGTGGATGGACCTGTTGATCCCAGATATGTTGGAAAGCGTCGAGTGCTTGAATACCATTGACTGCAATCTGTGACATGTTCTTAATGTTTGGATTGAGACAATCGGTTTGACATTCGGTTACCGATGGCTCTTGTTTAACTTGACAGGAGATGAGTTGTTCACCGGATGCGCATGGCATTGCCTTTGGACAAGTGGCGACACCGCCAACACGACAACCCAGTTGGAAGTCGTAGATTGGCTGATTGATATAGTCGTCCATTGTTCCGTTTCCACAAGCTGGCAAACCTGTGCAGTTCAAAATGTGAGTTACAACGGGTTGTTGATCGTAGTCGTTGTTGGGATACAATGGGAATGTGAGAGTACAGAGATTGTCGATACCGTCAGTGCATGCCTGTTGATAGGAAGAGTCGAGAAGATCGGTAACAAGAGTCTCCAATTGACGGAAAGCAGGAATGGTGTTGCTTTGATTCTGACAATCCTTGAAGACTTCGTTGATCAATGGATTGGTAAAGTTGGACAAACCAGTACCAGTGGAATTGAAAGTGATACAGACGTCAGAGATTAGTGAATTCACTGGATAGTGAACAGAGAAGACAAACCATGTGAATGGCAATACAATAATGAGCGAAAGTGCAGCGACAACCGAGAGGAGTGGAATGCTGCAGATGGCAGAGAGTGCCGCGACAATACAAATAACCAAACCAACGATCAAACCAGCCAAAACAATGTCATTACGCCAACCACCGTATTTCTTTGCTTGAGTATCGATGTCGTTAGCTTTCTTTTGCATAGAGACACCCTCGTCGGTGATGTTTTGCAGCTGGAGAATGATGTCCTGACGAGTGTGAGGTGGACTGTAGATATCAAGTCTCTCAAACTCGGTGGAATTGACTTCGGCAGTGATATTCTGGAGTTGGGTGATGGTGTCGTCTGCCTTGGCAATGATGATGTCACCCACCTTATTGATACCCTTGGTGGAACGCGAGTTACCGGTCATCGCAGTGATAAACAGCGGAACTGCAGCGATGGCGAATATCACAACGACGATACGCAACGCCCACACCTGACAGCTGGTGTATCCCTCGCCAATCTCGGGATCCAGCTTTGGACCGGGACAGAGGAATCCATGTGTCGGACGACATCCACCAAACAAGAAGGAACGACCGAGCCAAAACACGACCGAAAGACACAAGCAAATCAAACCAATCAAAAGAGGGATACCCGACAACAATAGGACGGCCTCTGCATATTTCGGCCAGTCACAATCATCGACCGGTGTTCCACCACAGAAACCGGGTGGATATTTCGTCAACTTTCTGTCAGTAGTGAAATATGTATATCTTGTGATATTCGAGTAGTCCTTGATGATATCGAGGGCTCTCGACTCTGAATCCGCTGTAACATTACAAATTTGAATCGATAAAACGAAACAAACAAAAGCAATAATTGTTAATTTCATTTTATTATATTAACTAACTATCTATATATATAAAAATAAAAGATAAAAATAAATGTATATTACAAAAAAAGATTTAAGGTTTTGTGTTTTTTTTTTGTTTTTATTGATTTGTAACAATTTTAAAGAAATGGGGGTGTGTCGTGGTGGTCAATCAATTATTAAAAATAAAATGTGCAATATATTGTTGTAAAATAAATATGCTGAAGGTATGAAAATTGTAAAAATAATTAAATATAAAAAAAAAACAAAAGTAAGGTATGTATGTGGTTATAATATAATCGTAAGGAGTAGTTATAAATAAAATGATTGAGACTTTTAACAAAAAAAATAGGATTATGATAAAAATAAATGAAAAAAAGAAATTTAAAAATTGATTTAAATATGTGGTTATAGTGTGTTTTTTTTTATAACTGAATTGTGGTTTTTTTTTGTTGATCTAGATCGATTCCTTGAACAAAAATAGTTTTCATCAGAAATTGGTTATCAGTCAAAAGTGTCATATTTTTATATGCCCATCCTCTCACATTTTTAAGTTCTTTTTGTTTCCCCCTTTTCACTACACTGCACAAGAAACTAAACGACTACCTGGCAATTTTGTTGAACTTTATTACTTTATTTAAAAATAAACACCAAACAAATTCAAGTTTTTATGTCATCCTAGGATGGTTTGGTTGTGTTGTACAAGAAATTAACACTTCGTTCACTTCAATTACATTTAAAAATGTCGATTGATCTTTGTTACAAAAAAAATGTGAATCTGTTTAGAAATTACAAGTTAACTTGATTTTGTTCAGTCTATTCATTTATTTAAGTAGAAATTATTGACCATAAATTAACTTTTCATAAAGTTTAGTTATTAGAGTATTTAAATCTTTATCTTGTTGTGTTATTGTTATAAATTCATAGGTATCTCTAAATGAATCGAATAACAAAGTATCGTTCGATATCACTGCTTTGCCAAGTGAAATTAAGAAATCTAATTGCTCTGTAAAGATATTTGTTTGTTTAGTGGATGTTGATATTGATGTTGTTGTTGATATTTTAAATTGTGTATAAATATTAATGATTTGGTTTAACTTTAAAATATCGATCAACTCCAAGGCGTATCTTAATGCATTGATAAGAGATGACTGTTTATCTTGAATGGAATCCGATACTTTATATTGTAAAATAAACATATCCACCACAATATGATCCAATGCCAATCCAACATACAATCTAATGATTCTCTGTAATGTAATTCTAGATCTTGAATTCCTTTTTAGTGATAATTATATTAATAAATTGACTTTTTCTTTGTGAGTCAATCAATTAAAAATAAGCAACTTACATATTTAAAATGTTTGAAATTGAATATGATAACAAATAAAGTAATATTGATTTATAGTTGATACGATCGAATGATAATCCACCTGCTATTTCATCGAGGAATGTAATGGTTGATTCCAATTGTTGTTTTTGTTCGTCTGATATTTCGCTGAGTGCGGTAGTGCTGCTGATGGATGTGAGTAGATCGATGATAGTCTGTGGATGTTGTTCGGAAAGCTCATTCAAAAGATATTCACTCTCGAATAGTTTGTCTTTCATCGTTGGCGATGTGATTATTGAACTATTTAACAATGCTTGTGTATAGTGATATTCAGAGAGTTTACGATCGAACATTCTTGTCAGTCTTGCAAAGTTCAAATGTGTCTTTGTTTCCAAATTGATCTTTGACCAAATATCGACCTTTAAATCTAAAGGTAAACATGTCTGTTGATGTTGTTGTTGTTGTCTTTGTTGACTTTTTTCTTTTAATTCAATTGATGATGATGATTGTTGTTGTTGTTGTTGTTGAAAATGTAACATTTTCAATAAACATAGTGCAGCTTCCTTAATCATATGATGTGCAGTGTAATTCTTGGCAGCTTGATACAGGTTCTTCAATGTTAGATTCGGTTTCGATGGTACTATATTCATCAGTTCCAACTGTTTCTTTTGGAAACTATCTATATTTCCTCCATCTCCTACTGTTGCTGTAGCTGATGATGTTGTTGTTGTTGTTGTTGTTTTTGATGATTGTTGTTGTTGTGGTTTCTTTGGAGATGGCGAGCCAAAAGATTTATTTGCTATAGTCTTCTTCTTGTTCTCTTTTACTTGTTGAATATGTTTACTACTATTTAAATGTGTATTTAAAGTTTGTTCCGATTGAAATCGCTTATTACAATCATTACAAAACAATTCATTATTACTATTGCTACTGTTGCTATTTGACAATGTATCATATTGATCAATGTCACTTCTTATATTTGACTTTAAAGGTGATCCATTATTATTATTATTATTACTATTCTTTAACTTTAAAGGTGATCCAACATTGTTGTTGTTGCTATTATAATCTATTTCACATGATGTATTCGTAACGATCGATAGAGGTTCAAGTATGAGTTCATCTAGATCTAAATATAATTTTATTTGGCACTACTGTTAGAATGTTATAAGAAACCAAAAAAAAAAAAAAAAAAGAGAAAGAGAGTAGAGGCGATTAGATAGTTACAATCTTTTTGATTGACATGATTTATCTAACTTAAATGTGGTAATTGATTCAATCTACCAAGATATTCAGTCTGATTCATCATTTCATAAATATAATAGTGAATATATTGGTCAGATAAATGTGGTGCGTGTTTGTTGTTTTTCGTTTATTTTCTCATTAACAAATCTGACAACAAAATTTTCAGACACATATATGTATTTTTTTTGTTTGAACACATATCTTATTGATTAAAAAAATTGTACAATTACAAATTTTTGTTGTTGCTAATCTTTTTCATAACAATGAAATTATCTATTAAAATAAATAAATAAATTAAAAAAATACAAAAAAAGTTCAAAAATTTGAATAATTTATTAAAATCGGAGGGAAGACAATTTAATTGTTTGCGTGGTCAACATCATCATCAAATTAATTAATAATATTATCCAAAATTATAAATAAATATCTACCTTTTTTTTGTTAATTAAAAATAAAATATATTGTAAATTAAATACAATCAAGAATAGATATTCTTATCAAATATTTTATTAGAAATAACAAATAATAATAATAGTTGGGCTGTAGTAGTGTATTATAAAGTTATACATGAAATTTATAGAGATGACAAGCCCATTCGAATCAGCATTGTATAACTCACTGGGTGTTATGTCATCTGTTTGTTTCGGACTACAATATGTACCGCAAATGTATTTAAATTATAATAGAAGATCGGTTCAAGGATTTTCATTGCATAGCATAGTCATTAAACTGATAGGTGCTGCTTTTTTATTAGTAAATAGTTCTCTAACTGGTGGTATGATTAACAATAACAACAAAACAACAACACTTCTTAATTAATTAGCATTGATCAATTAATCTTATTATTTTATAACTTCTTAAAATTTTACAACAACAACAACAACAACAGAATCAATAAATGTAGTTTTCTATGGATTTATCAATGTCTTACAACATTCAATATTTATGTATCAGTATGTAGATAGAGATAGATAGATAGAGTATAATACTGATGAACAGCTTTAAAGCTATTACTATTAAATACATGGTTACTAACAAACTAAATGATATCAATCAATCAATCACTTGATCTATATTGTTGTAGATTTTCTATATATTCAAAAGATTCAGTTAATAGAACACTACCGTGGATTGCATTTCCAGTGGTACCATATTTAATTGGATATCTATATCCCTCTACCATGTGTAAATATCAAGGAATAACAGGTGTGTGAATGAATAACAATAATTAACTAACTATAAACATCACTGTAATGCTTAACATCTATATATATATATAGATATAACAAATAGTGTAAAACCAATTACACAATTACTTAGTCATTTACCACAGATGATAGTATGTATAAATTCAAAGACAACAATAGGAGTTTCACTACCTTCACAGTATTTAAATTTCGTGGGTGGTGTTGCAGGTGTTATAAGTAAGTATTATATTATTACTATATCTAACGTCAATAGGATCTTTATTGTTAACGGTATTTCTATTATCAAATCAAAGTGTGCGTAGGTATACCTCCAAAATCAACGTTGACCTACTTTATTTATATCAACAGTGTATGGCAAGCAATATCTATTTTCATCATGTATTTCTACTATGACTATCGAAAACTACAACTACAACAACATACAAATAAAACTAAAGCCGATCCAGTTTAGTAGAAGATACCTTATATATATATATAATTAATAATAATAATAATAATAACTAGTTAAACTCGACTCAACAAAAACTTCTTTACAATAATAAATCAAAGAAAGAAAAGCAGAGTTGAATACACATCAAGATCAAAATCTTTATAATCTTATAATTGATATTTATAATACATTTTATTTGTTTGGTTTTGTTTAATTTAAGAGTTTATATTTAATTTGTTCTTTAATATGTTATTATTTGATTTGTTTAGTAATAAACAATTTAATTGTTTGTTTAGTTTGACAGGTGTTAGTTTTGTTATTAATTATTATTATTATTGTTGTTGTTGTTGTTGATTATATGATTTTTTTTTTTTTTGTTTAAAGAAGGTTTTTAACCTCTATGATTTGATATAATTGATTTTCTGTCAAAGTTATCTGATAATTTAAATACGAATCTGTCAATCTTGTCCTCTGCTTCCAAGAGGATTTCATCATCGTCCAAAACACGCTCCAATCCGTCACGAACAATATACAGACAATACTCTTGTTCAAACTCCATGGCTACCTTCATCTTCTTACAAACCATCTGACGCACCTTTCCACAAAGTGTATCATATCCAATGGCAAACGAACAAAACAATACATCACCAAAACCTTCCAAACAAATTCTAACAACCACTTTACCACGATTGTCTGGTGGTGCTTCTTGTTGTTGTTGTTGCTGTTGTTGATTTGGTTGTGGTGGTGCACTAGATGGTGGTTGTGTAAAGTTTTGTTGTGATGGTGGTGTTGTTTCTGATACAGATGTTTTTTGGACGGTTGTATTATCGCTCTCGGTAACACGTGGTGTCGTTGGTGGAGACGATACACTTCCACTCTTTGAAGATGGATTGGAATATTGTTGCTGTTGTTGTGGTTGCTGTTGTCTTGTTGGTTGTGAAATACTATTGTTTCTCGAGTGCGATAGCTCTTCATCGAGTTTGTCGAATACATTGATAATGGAGGCACGTTCATTCAGTTGTTTGTTGGTCGATTCCTTACGAGTTGGTGGTACCGATCCTAGAGCAGGTGGTTCATCTTCATATTGAGGTTTACTATTTTGTTGATTGCTGTCATGTGCGGAATCTTCAAATTTAATGTCATTGCTAATGCTCATTCCCGTTTGTTTCTCCATCATCTCGATGAAACGCTTGCTTTCCTCTTGTTCTCTTCTCAAAATTTGATCCAATTCATCGTCGATACCGGCTAAAGTATCCAATATATCCTGATGAGTTTGATCCTTCTGACTCTCTTCCTCTTCTTGTATTCTACGCTTCTCTCTTGCTCTCTCTTGTTCTCTTTCTCTTTCTTTTTCTTTTTCTCTTTCCTGTTCTCTTGCTCTTTCTTGTTCTTTTGCTCTTTCTCTCTCTTTTTCTTTTTCTTTTTCTCTTTCCAATCTTTGTTTCTCCTCTCTCTCACGATCTTGACGTTGTTGATCAAAGTGTTGTTGGAATCTCTTGGCAGCTTCTTCACGCTCGAACTCCTCACGTTGAAGACGCTCAAGCTCCTCAAGTTCAGCCATCTCTGCAGCATCCTCTTGTTCAATTCTTCTTTGCTCAGCAAGCAATTCATTGGTATCGTCCATTTCATTCTCCAACATCTCCAACTCGAGTTGTCTTGCAAGTCTATCTGCTTTCTCCTCTGCCTCCTTTCTAGCTTTCTCCCTTGCTTGCTTCTCGGAATCCTGCTTCTCTTGTTTATCCTTCTCCTCTTGCAAGGCAGGTGATCTTGGTACTGGAGCTGGCTTAGTTCTTGGAACAGGCGATGGCTTAGCAGTGACACCATTCTCAGAGGGTGCAGTAGCCATTGGTTTGGCAATTGGTTTGGCCATTGGCCTAGCCATTGGTTTAGCCATTGGTTTAGCAGTGACACCATTCTCAGAGGGTGCAGAAGTAGCAGTAGCCATTGGCTTGGCAATTGGCTTGGCCATTGGCTTGCTTGCAGGTGGTTTTGAAGCAACTGGCTGTGGTGATGGAGTAGAAATTGGTTTAGTTTGTGGACTAGCTCTATTTTCTTCGTCCTTCTCAACCATTGCTTTCAATTGTTTATCTCTTGCAGATACGATAGACTCTGACTCGACTGCCTGCTGCTCTTCCAAACATCTCGACAATAGTTGTGACTTGTTCGACGAATCACCTCCAAGATAGAAATAATAGAATGATAAATATACTAAAAATGAACGTTCATCTGCATGATCTTCACTCCAACAATTGGCGGTAAGAATCTTTGGAATCTTTAGATGTTCATAAGCAACATCCAATACAACTTGAGCTTGATCAACCTTTGATTTCTAGAAAGAAAAGTAATGTTTTGTTAAAAAAAAAAATCATTCTTTTTGAGATGATTCATTAAAATCAAGTGGCGTGTTTTGTTAATCTTACTCTTGAAAGACTATCCATGTCAATGATATTTGGGTTATGACGTGCTATTAATGCAGCGAACGCCAATGGGTTGAACAATGCTGTTGGTGAATCGACAATGATTGATTTGTTGACTTCCAATGTCTTTCTTCCACACCATCCGATAAGCTTATCTTTTGCTGCGTATTCTTTCTCTCCGTTTGTCACGAATGCAATGAAAATAGAGTAGAGCAATCTGAGAATGACTCTTGGGACCTTGCAATCTACGATATCGGTTGCAAGCAGCTTTCCATAGTCGGCGCCCAACGATTTTAACATCTCCAAAACATTCTCGATATTGTGCTGCATTTCATAAACAGATTTTCCTTTTCTAAATTTAACTTGACGCTCAAACAGCGCGTCGACTACGTTGATAAGAACACATCCATCACTGTAGCAATTGCTAATATCGCTAGAATGCGCCACTCCAACACGTCGCGCCACCAGATATTCAGTCCAACGATTCAAAACTGTCGATTGTGTATCTATATTCTCGAGTTTGCCTTGTAGTTTGATATGTCCAAGATCTTTGGTGGTTGGAACGAATGCCATAGATGGCGTGGCGACAGCGCGTTGAGTAACAGTGGAATAGGCAGCGGTTGCCGCCAGTTCAGTTGCCCAAGCTTGCAAATCACCTTGATTCTCAGCCATCAGTGTATGTCGCTCAGAGTTGGACAGCGTGAGCAGGATGTGCGCACCTTGCTCGTTTGCCTTCAACTCGATGATGGCATTCTCCAAGACCAGCTCCATCTGTGGCTCCTTGTCTTCTTCGCTGGCGTAGAAGCAGAGTGTCGTTTGATTGGCAACACACCACACTTTGAAGAACTTTCCTGCTTTCTTTCGGAGCAAGTAGCCTGACATTCCACGACCCGGTTTGATCGATGATGCACTCATCTTTGGTGAAGCACCAGCTGGTGATCCAGAGGGTGGAGCATTTCCAGTGAGCGATGGTGAAGTTGCTCCCCCAGCCGGTTTTCCAGTGGCAGCCGCTGTCAAACTTGATGCAACACGCTCTTGGAAACTCATAAATTCACCTTTTATATTCAAAAAGTAGAATTTATACTCTTTCTTTTCGAATTTCAAAATTGTATCAAATGGAAAATCTGTCATCTTTAATGATTGTTTAACTAATAGTAGAAGAATAAAAGTAAATAATTATGAATCGTGTGAATACTGATTGGTTTTCTCCTTCAACTCACCTCCACCTTCAATTACAAATAGATTGAATAATTCCATTTCACCATCTTTCATAAATAATTTCTTTCCTAGTTTTTCACAGACTTCACCAGCAGTTGTCTTTGGTTCTACCACCATTGTTTTGTAAAGACCATCTTGATCAAAGACCTTCAAGATCTTCTTTTGTGGTGGTTCTGACATTTCTAACTGTATATCTCTATTCTAATTCTATATTTTTGATATTTCTATTCTGTCTGCTGTAATCTAAACTAATATAAAAAATATCTAATCTAATGTTTTAATGCAAATTCTGAGAGGAGATCTATCTTGTTAATAATTGGAATTGAAATATGGTCTTAGATTTGAAAAGTTGATGTTGTTGGCAATGTGGTGGTGGGGTGGTGTCGATCGTTTTAGATGTTTGTCACAAAAATGAAAAAGACATGAAAATAAATATAAAACTACAAATAATAATAACAAATAACAATAAATAACAATAAATAAATGTTGGTGCTGTCAATTTGTGTGTCACAAGAGACCAAATCAACTTTAGTTATGATCTTTTTTTTTTTTTTTTGAATTGAATTGTTAAAAAAAAACCAAAAAAAAAAAACAAATAGCTCAGGAGTATGAAGGAAATTAGACATGCAAATATCTAGTGTGGTTGTGGTGGCAGTTGGCTGCAGCAAAGAAAATTTTCATTTAACGACTTGGGTTTTTTTTTTTGATTTTGTAAATTTTTTTTGAATCATTGTTTTTTTTTCAATGATCAAACACAAGATGATCTTGATAATGAACAGTTGGTTATTTGAAGTAAGTCGATTAGTGAGTGTGGGTGAGTGGGAGAGAGTGTGTTTTGTTTTTGAATTGAATCGACAACTTCATTGCAAAAGTGTTGTTTTGTTTGTGTATCAACGAATAGAACTTAATAATAACAATAATAACTCTTGATATTTTTTTTGAAAAATAAAATAGAATAAAATAATATCTAAAATATTGTAATATTATAATTGTGCTGCAGTTGGCTGGTTGCCTGTGAAATCATGAATTACTTTCACTTTTTAATAACAATTTTCTACCTTTTAAAAGATAAACCAAGTTTGACTCTTGCTATGATTTAATTTGTTTACTGTCTGTCAACTTTACTTTAACTGAATGAACACTTTCGAATGTAGAGAGTAGAAAGAAAGACTGATGAGTTGCTGATTTATTAATTAATTTGTAAAATTACTTTTTTGTTTTTTTTTTTTTGCAAATGTTTTGATTTTTTATGAGTTGTAATGTGATGATCTAACGATCTTAACTAGATGCTAAATTGATGGGGTTATAAAGTAAATTGAGGATAGTTTTGTTTGTCTTATGTGTTTGGTTTTCAATGCGACACTTTTGAAATTTCAGACAGGTGTCACTTTGTTTTAAAATAAATAATAATTAAATAAAATAAATAAATAATATATATATATATAGAAATAATTTATAAACTATTTAAAGGTCTTCTTTATAAAGTTAAAAAATTGGGTTGCTGTTTTTATTTGCTAGTTGTCTTTGTTGGAGTAAGTGGGTGGTGAATTGATTGTTTGATTGACTGAGTGATTGATGGAGGAGTATTTCAATGTATCCGATAAAATAAAAAAAACAGTGGTTGTTGGCAATTGGAGTTTTATTAATCAGAGGAGTGCAAATATCAAAAATAAAAATAAAAATAAAAATAAATACCAATGTTTAATAGAAATATAAAAAAAATCTGTTTTTTTTTTTGAACTTTTTTGTAGTTTTAATTGAATAATTTAAAAGTTTAAAAAAAAATGTATCCCCAATGCACATCCAACTCATTATTAATGTGTGTGGTTTTTTTTACCAACAAACAAATGGTCTTTAATTTAATTAAAAAAAACATCGGATTTTATGAAACTCTGTTGCAGTCATAACTTGAGACCCAATTTATCATATGGGATTGATTACTTGGTGTTGTTTTTTATAAATACTTTGTGATCCGATGATATCCTATTACCCTATTATGCACGCATATTTGCAAATATCTCAATTAAATTGATACTAGATTATAATAGGTAGTATTAGCACTAACTTTATATTAACCCAACAAATATTGTTTGTTATTAATATTATTAATATTATAATATTATTTTTCTTTATACCAAAAAAAATTACACTAAAATTAAAATTATAATAAGCTAAAGAAAAAAAAATTTTGTTATAAAACAAAGAAAACATATTGATTTGAATTTGGTCAAAGATCTAAACCAGAAAAGTGAAAATGATGATTATCACAACACCTAAGAAGGATTTTGGGAAATAATTCGTATACATAAAAAAATTAAAAAATGTTAATAAATTAAGAAAATTTTTTGTAACGTTGTCGGTCAGATCGTTTTCTTAATTTTTTTTTAATTTTTATTTTATTTTTTAAAAAAAGAACTAAAAAAGAATAAGAATTGCAATTCTTGTTGATTCTTTATATATAAATTCTATCATCTTAAATTTTTGATTCATTTTTTTGTACAAATTTAATCAAATCTAATTAAATAATATATTTATTAATCAACACTTCTCGCTCACGCCTCCCTTAAACTAAAAAAAAAAAAACAAAACAACTTCACTCGCTACACCTTAAATATAAAACACACATATATATATAAAATAATGGCAACAAGTTAGTATCTTAATAATTTTAAAGAACACATATTGATAAATAACAATAACAACAATGACAACTACAAATATATATCCAATTATAAATCAATCGATCTTTAAAAGCAACGATAAAAATTAAAAAAAAATACAATGAAAAAACCAACTATATATATATTTGTTGGTTGTGTTGTTGTTGGTTTTTTTTAATGGATTTTATATGTTGGATATTGTTGTTTATTGATATTGTTTTCAATAATTTTTGAGTTGTTATAAATATATTAATATATCATTATTATTTTTAAAATATAGGAACTCAATACGAAAACAGTTGTGATATTGGTGTATTTTCAAAATTAACGAATGCATACTGTCTGGTAGGACAATGTGGATCGAAACAATTCTTTAGAACATTCGAGAAGCAATTGGCAGATCATATTCCAGTTTTCGAGGCATCGATTGCTGGTACTAGAATCATTGGTCGTCTCTCTGTAGGTAATAGCAAGGGTCTTTTGCTGCCCAACACAGCAACCGACCAAGAATTGATGCACATTCGTAATTCCCTCCCAGATTCCGTCACCGTACAGCGTGTAGAGGAGCGTTTCTCTGCACTCGGTAACTGTATTGCCGCCAACGATCACGTTGCCGTCATCCATCCAGACTTGGATCGTGAGACAGAGGAAATCATCGCTGACGTGCTCGGCGTCGAAGTATTCCGTAGCACCATAAGTGGCAACGTGTTGGTCGGAACTTACTGCGCAGTCACAAACAATGGTGCTTTGGTACATCCAAACACCTCTGCAGAAGATCAAGACGAACTTTCAGCTCTTTTCCAAGTGCCACTGGTGTCTGGTACTGTAAATAGAGGTAACGAGTGTATTTCAGCTGGTTTGGTCGTAAACGATTGGACTGCTTTCGTCGGTAACGACACAACCGCAACAGAAATTTCAAGAATCGAAAATATTTTTAGTTTACAGCGTGGAGTACCATCAAATATGTTGGGTCAAGTTAGAGATTCAATTATTGATAATCTATAAATAAATAAATTACTACTTCTTGAAAAAAAATATTTTATTTTAATTTATTTATTATTCTTTTTAAAAATTATATATAATTTTTATTAATGTTTGGCAAACCAACCAGTAGTGTTACCATCTAAAATATTTCTTACGTCGGTGCAATGCATCAGCTTCTCGAGGAGTGAAATCAAATCCAGTAGTTGGTGATCGGTTTTATCACAGAACCACGAGGTGATGGGAATTGCATTCTCTGGGTGGAGGAAGTAGGCGTGTGGCGAGTTGTCGACGATGATTGTGTTTCGTAGATCACGTCCGAGTCGCGAGAGATCTTTGATGTAGTTGCCTTTGTGGTGGTAGCAACTTTCTCTGAACAAACGAGACGATATCACTTTGTTTGGATCGATCAAATCGAGTACCTTGTCGGCATAGCGTGAGATGGATGCAGTGAAAATGACAATTTCAAATTTACCGTGAAGAAAATCAAAGAGTTCTTGGACGTACGGTCTCTTATTGATATAGAAAGTCACCACTCCATTATCCATTTCTATAGGCAGTATAATATCGGGCTCGGAGGTAGGTTTGAAATAGGAGTGTACCAATGTTTCATCGAGATCAATGACAATCGTCTTTTTCCCTTTGAACTCTTCGCTTTGAGGGGATAAAAGATATTCGATTTTTGGAAGTTGATCTATTACATTGACTAGTGGTTGTTGTTTACTCTTTGAGTTTTTTGAATGTTTATTATTACTACTATTATTATTTTGATTTGAATTTGGGACTATAATAATTTGATCATTTATTACACCTCTACGATTGGGTTCATCGACTGGACCATTATTAGTACTTGTATTTTTATTATTATTTGATTGATAAATGGAATATTGATTTTCTGAATCACTATCACAATCATCATATATATTATTATCAGTATAACATATTAAAAATGATAAGAAAAGATTCTTTAATTTCTTTTTACCTAAACAAATGGAGATTAAAAACAATATTAGTAATCAGATGAAATAAAAAAAACATTAAAATTGTTTTCTAAATTTACTTTTTTTGGAAAGGGTATTTTTTTCAGAATGACCATGATTTGATTTAGTTTTTTGTTGGGATCGATGATTAGATGATACTACTGTGGTTGGTGTGGTGGTCATTGGATTGGGAACTGTGCTATTTCTAACTTTAGAAATTTCTACATCTTTTATTGAAAGAGTTTTAAATGATTCCAATGAAGATTTTTCTTCTTCTGGTGATTGAATAGAGGTACAGATATCTTGGAATTTGCAATCTAACGGTTCCATTTTGGAAATTACAAATAAATAATATTTTTATTTAGAAAAAAAAAATAGATTGATTATAGAGAAAAGATTATATATATATTAATGGTATAAATTTGAATTTTAAATTTGATTTTTAAATAATCAATTTTGTTTTTGTAGTTAAAAGTTGAACTGACTCCCAGAGATGAAGAAAGTAGTAGAGTAAGTTAGGTCTTATTATTTATATTTTAATATTGATTTCTTTGACAACAAAAGACAAAAAATAATATTGAAAATTAAATGACCAATTCAATATTAATATTAATTTAAATGTATACCATTTCTATATAAAATATCAATTTTAAAAATTCTGTTGTTTTTTTTTTGGTGTTTTGATGATATTGAAGTTAATATTATTATTGGCTAAATCAATTGAAGTATAGAACAATACTATTACAGCAACAACAGTGATGATGGTAGTTGAGTAGAGGGGTGTTACTACTGATGATTGATAATCACACTCCAAATGCACAAATTTTAAATATTGCGTATGAGAGAGTGAGTTGATTTTATAACAAGAATGGTTGTTACTACAAAAAACCAACTACCGCTCCATCAAGACTCACTACATTCCACACCTAAAAATTATTGGTTAAAAAAAAAATACACACAAACTACCACTAAAAACAAAAACTCAACAGTAATAATTAAAAACAAAACACACAAAAACCATAAGATCAATAAATATTAAATTTAAACTATACAGGGATCTTAATGTGTGAAATATGAAAATATTGATTTCTTATAATGTAGTTTGATTCTGTACCATAAAACATATATAAATCTGTTTGTTATTGCATTAACTTTATATTCATCATATCTGGGTGACCAAGAGTGCACTTTGACACTATTATTAAAAAATAAATAAATAATTAATCAAATTGAATTTGAGTTCAAATACATAAAAAATTGAAATTTGCCTAAAAAGAATAAATAATCTTCAATGCAATCAATAATCACATTTTATTTTTTTTTGGTTTGTTTTTTGGTCACTCGATTTGCATTTTGATTATTTTTTTCAACAATAAATTTTAAAAAAATTATAAAAAACTGATAAAAAAGATTGTTTTTTTTTTTTTTTGGTAACTTTTTTCTATCCGAAAAAACATTTGCATTCCTACATCCGACAGTTGGTTGTTTTTATCATTGTTGTTTCTTGTTGTATTACTATTTATTTGCATGCAACTATCAATATCATTCCCATTAAACATTCATCATCAATCATTTATCACAGTAAACAGTTTTATTAACAAACAATCGCTGTTGTTGAGTTTTATTGGTTTTTTTTATAAAAATATATTTTTTTTATTTTTCCTCTTATTTTTCATGCATGTTTGCAGAATCAGTCTGGGAACAACTTGTTTTCTATCTTTCTGGTTGCTTAGTTTGTTTACACATTAGATTTTTATTAACTTAAATATTAATTTTTTTATTTATTTATTTTCTCATTTAACCATATATATGTACTTATTACAATATTTATATAAAAAATAATAATAGAAATAGCAATAATAATATATAGTAGTTAAATTATTTTAATCTAGATTTTTTTTTCGGAAAATAGATATTATTTTATTTTATATTGTATCATAGATGTTATAGATAATGGAGGTTAATTCATCTACCTCTTTAGCAAACAATGCAACGACAACAACAACAACAACAGTATCAGAGTCCAATGCATCATATGATTGTCAACCATTATTAAGTCATCATATTGAAAAAGGTGATAAATATAGGTTCTACTCGTTATCAACTGATTGTACAGGTGATAATGTTGCAATAGGAAGGTAAATGATATAAACGAACAATCAATAAAGAGGAAGAAACAAAAACTAATTAGATTTTATAAATGTAAGTGAAAAGAATCTATTCATTGCAAATATATTCAATGCTACAGAGGAAGATAATGGTGGAATACATTTTAGAAAGGTTTCATCATCAAAAGATATTGGTTGTATAGTTTTAACATGGTGTCATTATAAATCAAAAGCCAATTTGATTGCAACTTCTGTATGTTTTAGTTTTAGTTTTAGTTTTTCTTGGACCAGCAGTAGTACTAATAGATAGACGCGATAATGATTTATTATAATAGAGTTCAAATAATCTGATGATTTGGGATATTGAGGGTGAAAAATCAACACATTCCTATCAGAAAGCACATCTTCGTAATATTACATCGTTATCGTGGAACAGCGCCGACACTGATTTACTGGCGAGTTCCAGTGGCGATTCGTTCATCAAGATATGGGATACTAGAATCAAGCAGATACCATCGAATAGCATCGATACAAAATCAACACTCTCACAGGTGGCATGGAATCCTCATTCCAATTCAATGTTGGCATCCTCACATCCCGGTGAAGTAAAGATATGGGATGTTAGAGTAAGTAATTATTGTCTTTGAATTATTACCATTAAATTAACCTTTGTTATTATTCTCTTTTTCAGAAATTTGGATCACCTTTGGTATCATGGAATACACATGTCGGCACAATCAGATCGATCGATTGGCACTTTGAACAAAAGAGTGTTCTTTTGACGTCTGGCTCTGACAATGCAATTAGAATATGGGATGCATCACCACCCAATCGTTTGAAAAAGACATTCCAAACAGGTCATTCCTGTACAAAAGCAAAATTCTTGGTTTGTATAATTTATAAATTGTTGGATAGTTATATTTAGATAGTTTGTTATTTTACTTACATTCAATTGAATTATAAAAATATAGCCTTGTTCAAAAAATAATGCAGTTGCATCGTTTTCAAACAAAGCATTGTTGAATAATATATCTATATGGTCAGGACAGGTCGATCAACCAGTGATCAATTTGACTGGTCACAGAAATACAATCATCGACTTTGATTGGAGAATCAAGCATGTCAATGGAGAGGATCAACACTTCCTAATATCAATTTCAAAAGATAATCATATTAGAATGTGGAAATTTCAAGAAGATATGATTAATGTATATATATCTATTTATGATTGTGAATAGCAACAATATGATTTTAATATTGTTTTACTTATATTATTTTATATTTTTTTATATATAGGCTATTGAAAAAGTAGCAACTGCATCAGCATCTGAAACAAGAAAATCATTGTTTGTACCGGTGGATTTGGCACAGGAGTTACAACTGATATCAATGCAAAAGTATGAGAATATCGTCGTTGAAAAGACATCATTCAATGAGAGATTGTGTATTATAAATATCGAGAATAGAAAGGTCATTGTAATCATTTCACTACCATCACTTTATCCATCTGCTCAACCTTGTTTTGAAATCTTAACTAAAGATTCTTCGACTCCCATTACCAACGCATTGAAAATGAAACTTAAAAGAGTAATATAATCAATCAGCCAACCGATCAATCAATCAATCAACAATAGTTATTAATATAATTAACAATTTTAGGAATTTGATGGATTAGCATTGGAATTAATGGAAGGACAAGCAAAGAAACCATTCTTGTATAAATTGTTGAATAAATACAATGATAATCACGTCAATCATATTGAATCGTTTAGGGAGATCGATGCATTCATAGACTCACCGACAGCCATTCAAAAGAGAACTAGCAAGGAGCTGCGAGGTTTGTCATCGATTAGATTGGGTGGCTCGATTTCAGAGGAAGATATATCTGGATTGTCATCGAGTCAGAGCAGCAGTGGAAGTAGCGATGAAACACCACCTCTCATTGTAACAAGCAGTAGTCTATCGGCACCCGCTACACCTGAGCAACACTCTGTCGGTGCCGCTGGCTCTTCTACATCGGCCAACAACAGCATCAACCAAGCCAATAGAAACATACGTGGAGTATCAATGAATGGCGTTTATCCAGGATCGTTCGCACCACTGCCGCCAAGCACACCCTACAACCTTAGTTCTCAATCGATCTCATTCGAGATGTATCAAGTTAAATCCACCGATACTCTCACCGGAATCTCACTGCAATTCTCAATGCCAAGAGATATCCTAATACAAACCAATCGTTTATTCTCTGAGAAACTAATACCTGGAACCGTAAGACATCATCTATTCTATTCCCTTTTGTTAATTTAAATTAAAAGTAATAATACTAACCATTTTGTTAAACAAATATAATAATAGATACTATGGGTGTATAAAAGAAGAAGGGATGATTCACCTTCACTGGTAAGCTCAGATCCAACAATGTCCACTGACTCTAGCGGCAACGGAGGTGGAAACAGCTCGACTAGCTCACCAATGTTACAACCACCTTCACCCTCTATTTTCAGTAGTGGAAGTAGTAGCAGTAGTAACAATGTAAATTCAAGTCCATTGGGTGATAATAGTGGTCGACCAAGATCTAGAAGTAGTTCCTCCACTGTAAATATCAATAATCTCTTCAAACCTACTAGGGAAGAAGCAGAGATGGCATTCAAATCACTGGATCCAAACAACCAGATGTTACAACAACAACAGCTATATCACCAACAGTACCAACAGACAGGTGGTACACCACTCACCTCACCACAACAACCCAAACCCTTCATCAGTATAAACGACTCACCAGGCAGTAGTTCTTCCAGTGAAAAGTCAAAGCAAGGCTGGGCATCGAGATTCGCACAGATTCCAAAGGAAAATGTACTGAAAGAGGAACTTGTATGTTTCATGAAGGACAAGAAGATTCGAGGTGTCATCACACTCACTCCATACCAACTGATATTCCAATCCAATGAGAAGTCACCCACTCAGATATTCTCTGATTACAATCAGATCATATCATGTAAATACTTTCCGAATCACACTGAATGGTTAGCTCATTTATCAAAGTAAGTGGAAAAACAAACAAACTAACTTTTAAAAACTAATACTTAATTTACTAATCGAATTCTAAATATAATAGGGATTGGAAGAAAGAACAATATTTAATTCAAAAGAAGAATCAAGAGAAGAATGCAGACTATGAGAACTTCATTCAATCAGAGATCTCAAAGCTCAATGAAATGGGTGATGAGATGACCACCATGACTATCAACGGTCAGGTAAAGAATGTTTTGGTATTCCCATGTATCTATTTGTTAATTCATAAAGATAATTATATTCAAACTTTGTTCTTTAGAGGTATAAGTAAAGAGAGGTAAGAAGTGAATCATATATATAATAATAATCTAGCAATAATAGTAATTTACTAATATATTTTATTATTATTATTATTATTATTATTATTGTAGTGTACATAATTGTTTCGTTTACTTGAAAAAGTGTGTTAGTGATCGTAAAGATTCTTCACCAGCTAATGGTGTTTCACCTCTTTTGGGCGTATCGCCACCAATTGGATCACCAATACCACTACTGCTCACTCCAACACTACCTACAAACACAACCACAACAACAACAACCTCAGCAACACAACTACTACAACAACAATTCCTTTCAACATCATTTGAAGCGATTGATGTTAGCTCCCAATCTCCAAAACTTGTTAATAGATCAAACTTTAATCAGAAGATCATTTTAACTCCTGATCTATATAAAAAAGTATGTAAAAAATATATATATATATATCTAATTCTAAAGAAAGAAACAAATACTAATAACAAACAAACAACATACATATTAAAGCTACGACACTATTTACCAATGTCAGTTCAAGGATCAGATATAGAGTTACAATATAACACAACCAATGATGGTGTATCATTCAACACATGCTACAGAAAGATGAGAAATGTTCCGCAGTCTATTTTATTAATTAAGGATAATGGTGGATATGTATGTATATTTATATATTACTGTTTTTGTTAAAATATATAAAAGTTCTAATCCCAATTAATTTTTAAAAAACAAACTAGATATTTGGTGCTTTCATTTCAGACGAATTGAAACCTAAAGCAAATTTCTATGGTAGTGGTGAAACGTTCCTATTTAAATTGGAACCAGAGTTTCAGGTGTTCAAGTGGACCAAAGAGAATGATCTATTCATCTATTCGAGTCTAGAGTATATTTCGATTGGTGGAGGCTCTATGTTTGGTCTTTGGGTGGATACTGACTTTTTACACGGGTACAGTGGACCTTGCGAAACATTCAACAACACAGTATTGTCTTTCAAAAATGATTTTAATCCTGTTGTAGTTGAATTCTGGGCAATTAAATAAATCTTCAGAACACACACCATCATTTATGGACATATATCATATTCTATTCTGTGAATTTTAAAATTCCATCCCTCGGAACAATATCAACTAAATTGTAATCATTAATAATAATATAACAAAAATAATAATTTAGATAATTTAAATCAAATAAACTCTATTATATTTATTAAAAAAAAAAAAAAAAACAAAACTAAAGAACCAATTAAAAAATTGCAAATTAAAAAAAAAAAAAAAAAAAAAATTTTTAACTGGTTGCATTATCATATCATTTTTACGAATAATGATGAACGAACCAGAATTGATGACAATCTTATCTTATTTAAATTGCCCATCATCAAATTTGGAACAACTTATTTATTATAACTCATTATGATTTGTGTTGTTGCCGGGGTGATGCAAACACCAATTTTTTGACAAGCTAAAGGAAACAAAAAAAAAAAAAAAAGATTTTTGTACGAAAAAAATCGTCTGTAAAAACTTTTTTTTTTTGACAACAATTGGTTGAGCCATCTTCATATTGGATGAGCCCTTGTTTTTCTAGTTGCAAAAATCGAAGATATCATTATTATTATTTTTTTTGATTCCATTTTAGATTTATAATTTAAATTTTATTAGGTTAGATATGGATGGATGAAAAGAAAAAGAATCTTTTTTTTTTCTTATTTGTTTAGTTATTTTTTTAAATAAAATATATAGTTATTATAATTATTAGAGATAATATTTTAAAAAACAATGATTAAAATTATCTCTTTAGTTTTATCGTTATTTTTGATATTGTCGGTTGTCTCTGCCGCCATCGACACAAAATCGTTGATCGACGAGTACGTCTCACAGCTCAGAAATTTGGAGGGTGGTGACCAGGTCAGAGTACCAATCGATACCAAAGTTAAACATGAATGTCTCCACGAGGAGTTGCATGGTGATCATACACCAGACATTATCGAGCACTTCAAGAAAGACGGTTCCAGCCTATACAACAATGTCAACTTTTTACAACAGGAAGGCGATGCACCAACTCCTGGAGTAACAGGTACCAACAACTATACACTTTCACATCCACTCAATATCTTTATGAATACCACTTATCTCAATGGTGGAGATCCCCAAACTTGCTACAGTGTTGGACAATCCGTTGTTGTTGGTCAAGGTACCCCGAAAGGACCATGCGATAGAACCAACCCATCATTCCCATGTACATGGACATGTGAATCAGTTGACGTTGTAACTCCAGGTTTGGTTGCTTTGATCACCCAAACTATTTTGCCAAATCTCAACAAAACTTTTGCCACCTACTTGACTGCCAACGGTGACGGAAACACAACCATTCCAAACCAAAACAAGCAACTCTCTTGCGTTGGTGAAATGATTACTCTTCCACCACAGCCATTCACATTCCAAGGTGACTTTATGCTCTATATCACCGCTCATCCAAATACTCCACGTTCGATCGCCAACGGTGCTATGTGCGTGCTCTTTGCCAATGAAGGTCCAGCTATTGGTTTCCTCAATCTCAACCCAATGAACTTCTCATCGTTTGTCAATCAAGACCAATACAACTCCACCTGGAACATTTTAATGGGTGTCGCCATCCACGAAACCACTCACGCACTTGGTTTCACCCCATCGCTCTACAAGCAATTCATCGATCGTTCCACTGAGAAGCCATACAACTACTCGATCGCCGTTCAACAAGACTATCAAGGTGTCACACCATCCGGTCAGACATACACTCGTCCACGTTGGTACATCGTTTCGCCAATGGTCAAAGCCATTGCCAGAACTCATTTCAATTGTGACAGTTTGATTGGTGCTGAACTCGAAAATATCGGTGCCAACAACTACACTAGTCATTGGAAGGCAACCACTTTCGGAGAGGAGTTGATGCTTGGATTCGCTCTTCCAGTTGGACCACTTTCCAATTTGACTTTGGCATTGCTCTACGATTCTGGTTGGTTCGGTCTTGCCAATTTGGATAAAGTTGAACCATTGGTTTGGGGTAAGAACAAGGGTTGTGGATTTGCTGAAGTCTGTAACTCAACCACCTGGAACTTCCCAGGTTACTGGAATGAAACTCAAGCAAAGGGATCCTCTTCCGACAGCTACTGTACTGCCACTCGTTCTGGTGTTGGAAATTCATACATCCAAGACTATCAAACTCTTCTTCCAAAGGAATATCAACATTTCGCCGACCCTGAATTGGGATCCACTCAATCATTCCGTGACTACTGTTTGGTAACCGATATTATTTACTCTGCTCCATTCGGTGCCAACTACTACTGTAACGACGAGCAAATGTCGTTCTACCCAAATTCACAATACGAAACATTCGGTCAAGGTTCACGTTGTCTCGAATACTTCAATACTACCAGCAACACATACAAGCCATCTTGTTTCCAACAGAGATGTGATGGAAAGACATTGATGGTCGCTGTCAACAACCAATGGTTGGCTTGCCCAGATGGTCAAGAGGTTACTTTCTCAGCTGCCAACAACCTTATCATCAAATGTCCAACCGATTACTTCTTCTGCGAGGGTGATGCATTCCCAACAGAACCATCCGATCAACCAACAAACCCAACCAATCCACCAGTCACCTCTGGTTTCCCAAATATCACTAACAACCCAACCCTCACCCCAACCACTTCCACCACAGGTGTCAGTTCAAGCTCAACCTTATCCTACAGTTTATTCCTTGTTTTGGTTCTTTCAGCTTTTGCCCTTTTCCTCTAAATCCTATAATCGTTTATTAATTAACAACTCATATGAATCAATCAAATATATACTCGATTATATATATTTGTTAATATTAACCACTCATCGCCGATTCATTTTCGGAAGTGACAATATAAAATAAAACTAAAATAAAAATAAAATAAAATAAAAATATAAATATAAAATTTAAATATAAATTATATTCAATTTTAATATAAATAATATCTGGTGGTTTCTTAACCCATGGCGTTGAGCCTTAAAAAAATAGAAAAGCGTTGATCAAATACCGACACATTCGGAATTATGAAAAATTTGTTGAAAATATCTTCAACTGAAATGGAATGATTTTTTTATTATTAAAAAAACAAAACTTAAGTTATTTTATTTATTTATCTAATAAAATAAATGTTATACTATACATTAGTGTTCCTATTTATTTCATTGGTTAGTTGTCAACCAACACCAATCAGTGGTCCACTCATTACACCATTACCACAAACTTACACTTTCGGAAGTGGTGTCATTCGATTGAATACTGGCTTTTTTGATATTGCTGCTAATATCGAATCTGACCTTCTTAATAATGCAATTCTTAGATACCAAAAATTGTTCTTCCCTTTCGGTGTAGGATACCCAACCAACAATCCGATTGCCACTCTAAACATCAAGGTTTCCTCAGACTCTGAAATTCTTCAACTCTATGTTAGTGAGAACTATACAATTTCCGTTGAAATGGTTGGCCAATCACCTCAATTAGAGATCATAGCCGATACGATCTTTGGAGCAATGAGAGCACTCGAAACTTTTTCACAATTGATTAGTTATGATGCCCAGAGCCAGAGTTATTCGATTCCTTTTGTTCCAATCTACATTGATGACTTCCCACGTTTCCCATGGCGTGGTCTACAGATTGACACTGGTCGTCACTTTATTCCTACTTCTTTCTTAATGCACATCATTGAATCATGTGCCTACAGCAAGCTGAATACTCTTCATTGGCATGTATCCGATGGTGAATCATTCCCAGCTGAATCGAAATCACTACCAAATATAACATTGGGTGCTTTTGGACCACTAGCAATCTATACCATTGCTGACATGGAAGAAATCGTCGCCTATGGTCTCTCATGGGGAGTTAGAGTTCTTCCAGAGTTTGACGTTCCAGCTCACAGCTTCAGTTGGAGTACTGCCTTTCCCGGGATAATGGCAAACTGCCCAGGTGATAGTGATTTGGACGGTTGGCCATTAAGTCCAGCGCTCCCAGAAGCATATGATCTCATCTCCAAGATTTACACTGACATGTCAGAGATCTTCATTGATAAGTATTTCCATTCCGGTGGTGACGAATTACCATACGCCTGTTGGGATAACGATCCAGTTATCGCCAATTGGATGACACAAAACAATTTCTCTACCACCCAAGCTGAACAATATTTCGAAGATCAAATCACCAATATTCTTGATGGTTTGCAAAAGACCAAAGTTATTTGGCACGATCCGTTCGCCAATGGATGTGAAGTCCGTAAGGATACCGTTCTCCAAGTGTGGGACAACGCTCAAATGGCACAACAAGTTGTTAACGCTGGAATCAGAGCTATTGTTTCCTACGATTGGTACTTGGACATGCAGATTCCAGTTCCAGGACACACTCACTATGAATATGAAGATACCTGGTTGGATTTCTATGCCGCCGATCCATTGATGGGTGTCACTACCAATACCGAACTTGTCATTGGTGGAGAATCATGTATGTGGGGAGAGCAAGTCGATCATAGAAACTTTGATGTCAGAGTTTGGCCAAGAACTATTGCTATAGCTGAACGTTTGTGGTCCAATGAAAATGTTACCGATACCAACAAAGCACTTACAAGATTTGATCCATTCTCATGCCACATCTCGAACCGTGGAATCAATTCCGGTCCACTCTACCCAGACTACTGTTTATTAACCAGTGATTTCTCACAATACTCTCATCAACCACGTTTCAAACTTACCAAAGAGCAAATTAAAAATATTTATAACTCTCAAAAGTAAATAAATTTTTAAAAAAAACTTTAATATATTTATTACTTTTAAAAGTTATTTGCTTACTATATACAGAATGAGATATTTGATAATCTTTTGTTGTTGATTAAAATATCAACAAACATTAAAACCAGTTTGGATCTTGAGTATCATATAATAAAAGAGTGTAGTTTCCAGCTGGATATGGTTCAAACATAATTTTGTTTGTTTGACCATCTCTGTTTTTCAAACTAAAACAATTTAGTTTCAATGATTTCATGATGGTATATCTAGAAACTCCAACTGGAAATACTGCATAAGGTTTGCTATGTGGTGAGTCATCTTGAAAAATATTAACCTTTCCATGCTCTTGTTGTTTTAAAATATATTAGAACTTTGATTGTGTTAATAGTAAAGTATTGATGTGAACTTGTTTACCTATCATTGTAAAATCATTTAAAATATCTTGTAATTCCTTTTCTTCTTTTTGTTTTTCTCTTTCCAAAGCCAAGGCTGTTTCATCGAATACTTCAATGTAGAGATTATCACCATTCTTTAATTTAATTTTATCTTCTAGGTTGATTCTATCAGAATGGTCAATAGTTCTAATGTCTTTAGATAATTTATCTAATACTTCTATTATCTCTAATAGATTCTGATCGGCTATTGATACAGGTGATTTCGCAGATTTGTTGTTTTCTTGGTTTGATCCCACACCAACTTGAACGGTCTTTTTTGTACGATTAAGTAAGGAATATTCAATATTTACATCTTCTTGAATTGATAGAAAATCATTTTTTAGATCTAAAATTTCTTGATTCATTTCATCCATCATATGATTCTCTCTTTCTAATTTTGATTTACTATGTAAATAGATGCTTCCTTTCTCTGGTAGGAACTTACCACGACCATATTTCTGATGACTCTCTAAATAATCTAAAATATCCTTGTAAATTTTTACATCTTTGAATTCAATAGTATGAACATCATTGTTGCAGTGAATGTTTAGTTTTATCTTCATAGATTATGTTTATTAAAAAGAAACTTGAAACAAAATATATTTACGAATGAATTTTTATCACATAAAATTTTAATATATTATAGATTAAAAGTGAAAATTTAAGTTGTTTGTGATTAATTTTCTTTAAAACTCAAAAAAACAATCTTCATTTCTTGTTAACACTGGGGTTCTTTATCTTCAATTTATTATCACATTTATTATTACCATTAAGATCAATTTTGTTTTATATTTGGATGATTTTCTTTTTTTTTTAATAGAATTTAAATAAAGTTAACTTTATTTCGATATTAATTTCTAAATTTGTAAAATCAAATAAATGAAGAAAATATCTAAAAAATATAAAATATCTGTATTATAAGATGAAGAGTTTCTTTTGCTTAAGATGAAGAGCCTAAATAAACCAAAAGTGTTTTTTTTTTTGAAAGATTGATTTTTCAAAAGATTTTTCTGTTTCTGGTATCCTGACCAGAAAAGACGAGCTTTTTAAATCAAATCATGATATTCATGACAAAATAAATTTTATTATTTATCTTTTCTATATATCCATTAAATGTACAGTTTCAAATATATTACTTTTTCACTTCTGATATTTTTGTCTATTGCTTTGGGACACCAACAAATTCAGCAACCAACTGGCGGATACGTTTACTTCAAGTATTTCAATGATGCCAAATGTGATAGCACTACTGAATCGAGTGGATGGTTCTACAAGGACAACACTTGTGTGAGAGGAGCACTGTATGATTGCAGCGCCGGAAACAACACCATTTCCTACCAAAGTTTCAAAGATGCACAGTGCCAGGCTACACCGACACCAAAGACCCTCATCAATAGCGATCAGTGTTACGCCCAAACAATAAATGGTCAGGACTATGGATATATCGCAACCTGTGTCACCGACTACCTACTGCCACAACAATCGACCGTGAACTTTGGATACACCGGTGACTGCAATGCTGACAACTGGAAGGATTTCATCATTGAAACTAAATACAAACTTCTCAACACCTGTCAGCTTTACGCCAGTGGAGGTGTCGAACTCAGCTGCAACTCGACTGACCTCACCACACACCTCTACAAGCCATTCGAATACACATGCAGTGGTGAATCCGAGGAATACACCTTACCTTTTTCATTCTACAACGTCTGTTCATCAATCAATGAAATGAATATTTGTTTGGAATAATAAATAAATAAAAATAGACCTTAATTTATTTGAATAGTGTTAGTGATGATGTTTTAAATGAAAAAAGCAAATTTACGAAAAAAAAAAAACTAATACAAAATAGATTCAACACAATGTTTTTTTAAATAGATATCAGATGTTTGGAGCTAGTGAATATAATAATATATAATGATTTTCATTTAAATAAGGTCTTTTTTTTTTTTGTTTTTCTTAATTTGCATCGAAAATGAATACAACAAACAACAATAATAGCAATACATTAATACAACAACTTTTACATTTAAATAAAAACTATTTGAATAGCAATAACAACAATAATAATACAAATAATAACCCAAATAATAACAGTGTTTTCTCTTGGAATTCACTTCAATCTCAGCAACCAAATCCTTTTGTAAATAATAATAACAGTAATAATAGTAATATGAATCCTTTTTTAAGTGGTAATGGTGCAGACAATAGTAATATAAATCCTTTTTTAAATAATAATAATAATAATAGTAACAATAATAATAACAATAGTATTTTATATTCAAATTATATTCAAGATCAACAACAACAGCAGCAACAAGCAACACAAAATATACAACAACAACAGCAGCAACAACAACAACAGCAGCAACAACAGCAACAACAGCAGCAACAACAACAACAACAGCAACAACAACAACAAAAACAATTACCATTACAAATACAAGATAGTAATAATGATAATGGTAGTTTAATTGAAATTGATCTGACAGAATGGTGTATTGGTTCGAATCAGAATGTTGTGGGTAAGGCTCTGAATATGTGTAAAGAGATGCTCGTTAACTTTTTGAACAAGTTTGTTGGACCGAGAAGTCAGATGAATGGCTCCGAGCGACAATTTACACTGACTAGTATGCTCGAACACCAAAAGTTTGTTATGATCAAAAAGTACAACAACCAATCATCGAATATCCTCAACGATGTACGTCTTGATCTCTGGGATATCTCGGCGATCTGCACGTTCTTACTCACAAAGACAACACCGATCTATCAGTACAAAAAGGCGGTTTCACTTAAAGCACTGATAACAGAGATACAAAAGACAAGAAACATGTGGGCACATCAGAATCCATTGTCGATCGACGACACCTTTCGATTCCTCGATACCGTAGAGAAGCTGTTCCACGAACTGGACTTTAATCGCGAAGCCAAGGAGGTGCAGATCATCAAGCACACCAACTACTTTCATTCTTTCAACAAGGCATACAAGCTGTTATCACTCCCACAGGAATCGACAATAACCGATATCTTTAATTATGTAAACAATCTCAATGGTGTAGTCGCCACTTCACATATTACTCATCAGTCATCATCTCATCAACAAATGCAACAACAACAACCACAGCAACAACAACAGACACAATATCAACAACTAACAAACCAAATGAATGATGCACCTGTTATTATTATCGATGATGATATGGCTATGGATGAGCCATATGATGTTGATTCACATGTTACATATGCATCTATTGCTAGTGGATCCTTCAACAACAACAACAACAATAACAATAATAATAATACTAAAACAAGTAGCATCAGTAGTTCGAACAAAGACAGCTTTAGTATCGGACAAAAATCACAAAAGAGACGAAAACAACAAGATTATTCAAATGATAGTCAATCTCAACAACAATCAAAATCTACAGGTGGATTCAACATTATTGCAAACAATCCAAATAACAACATGAGTTTCTTTAAAAATAACAATAGTAATACGAACACTTATAATTCTATATTTCCTCCACTGTCTGGTGGTACAAAAAACAACAACACTAATAATAATAATAATAATAACAACAATTCAATTCAAAATTCAATAACATCTAATCCTAATAATAACAACAACAAAGGCAAGAACAAAAAGAACAAAAAAACAAAAGAATAGAGGTTGCAAAGATGAAATTTCTTCTAGCTCATATCTGGGATAATAAAGTAAATTAAATTAGACTATTATTAAAATTTTTATTACTTTATTATATTTATTTATTTCTTTTTCTTTTCTACTAATCCATAGTTAATAGTTGATGATGATTCTTTCAAGTCTACACAATACTTTCCATTGGTGAAGACATTATCTGTACCCTTTGGACCTGGTACATATGTTACATTGTTATTGATCAATAAAGATGGTCCAACAATACAATAGGTTCGTGGGCTAAGATCCTTAAATAGATAGCCACCATTACTATTTGATTGAGCAGACTTGATGAGTGAACCATCGGTAAGGGTGAGGTTCAACGTTACATCTGAGAAAGTCTCATCTGACAATGAACCATCACCCACGATATCATTGAAAATATAACCTTCAATGTAAAGTGGATAGATAAAAGATGCCCATACACCATTTACATTTCCATTCACCTCCATACATCTTACTCCATTTATGAATTTGTTGTCAGTGGATGGATTAGCAGGAATGAGATTATTATTCTTATCGGCAACATTCAGACAATAGTTTCCTGGAACCAGATTATCGAATTCGAAAAGACCATTGTTTGGTGTTACTATCTGGCTAACTTCAGTTCCATTACTTGAATTCAAAGTCACAGTGGTACCAGCTGTTCCAGATGAAGCATTGTAAATACCGGTCAAATTGAGATCGGTCCAAACACCTCCTTTGATTGAGTAGGTGGAAAGGAGTGTTTGAGGTTGAACTGACAATTGTTGGACTATTGGTCGTAGTATCATAGCCATGTTTAGTCGTTTGAAACCTGGATCGGCTACAATGAAACAATTTCTGTCAATGGTGAAATTATTATCTCCATTTAAAGCTTCACCAATATAGGTACGTGTTGGATCGAAACCGATGACACAATAGGAGCCAGTTTCAACGTTTTTGAAATTATAGATTCCATTCTTTGTTGTAGATAACTGTACAATGGATCCATTAGCGGTTACAAGTTGCATGGTAATGTCATTAAGTAATCGTGTCTTGTCCAATTTAAAAGTAGGTGGATCTGAATCTTGCCTATAAATTCAAATATAAACCTTGTGTATTAATATTAAATATAAAAAAAAGATTAACATTACTTACCAAACATAACCTCTTATATATGTGGTGTTATATACTGAAAGATCTATGACAAAAGGTACATTTGTTGTAAAACAATAAGTACCTTGTCGGTTAAAGAAATCATTTGAAGCGAACCTGTATCCTTTTGGAAGTATTGCTGACAAACAGTATTGCTGATTTTTTTCCACCGATAATTGGAAATCACCTTTGATTTCTACTGTTGAAATCAATTCGGATCCCTTTGAAATCTTCATTGTTATATTGGCTGGTGTATTATAGTTGATAACGTTATCATGAAGAACATCGACCCATGCATAACCAACTACAGATACATGCTCCACATTTTGAACAGAGATGTTTCGTATTCCACTGTATACCTCCAGGTTTCTGTCGAGTGTGAAACAATAGGATTTGTTTGAAAATTGGTTGAATTCATTCACGATTGTATCACTGTAGTTTCCACCTCTAACCAAGCAGTATCTACCGTCATCTAAATCTGAAAAAATAAAATGACCACTGTTATCGGAAACAGTTGTTTTCAAAGCATCATAGGTAGCAGCATCCCTCAGTTGTATTTCTTGACCGATTACGGGGTATTTAGGATTGAATATTCCAGTGGAGTTTACATCCATCCAGACAGTTCCGGTGATATTTAATGAGTGGTCAATAGCCATGTTGGCAACTATGTCATCATTCAACATGTCAAAACAATATTTTGGTGAGGAGAATGAGTTGGCTCCTGTAGCCTTGCTGATTTTGAAGCCTGCTGGAACACCAACCACCAAACAAAAATTGCCTCTTTTGTGAACAATAAATTTGTAGCTACCTTGTTCTTGAGTAGCAGTTATCGATTCAACATTGTCGTCGTGTGAAAGCACAACTTGTACACCTTTTACACCTTGAGCTGGATTGATAATACCAGTACTTTGCTCATCTATCCATACTACTCCACTTATCTTGAGTGAAAAAACCGTAAAAGGTGGCAATGTTTCATCGGGGATAGGGGGTGGTGAGATGGTGCCCTTTGGTTTCTCCCATGGTATAAAGCTTTGCGTTTGGGTTGGTGTTGGAGTTGGTGGTGGAGTTGGTGTTGGAGTTGGTGTTGGAGTTGGTGGTGGAGTTGGTGGTGTTTCCGAACTACTGGATTCTACCTCTCCAAATGCATTGCCATTGTTTGTATTAGTTGGTGGTGCAGGTGGAGCGGGCGGTCGTGAGTAAGTTGTGGGAGCAGGGGTTTCTCCAATTGGTACATTACTCTCTGAGGATTCGACAGGTGGAGGGGGAGTTGATTCTGGTGTTTGTGTTGGAGTTGGTGTAGGAGTTGGTGTTGGAGTTGGTGTTGGAGTTGGTGTTGGAGTTGGTGGTTCCGAACTACTGGATTCTACCTCTCCAAATGCATTGCTATTGCTTGTATCAGTCGGTGGTGAAGGAATGGGAAGGCACTTTGGAAATCCGTTGATTGATACACAAGAGGTATTGTCTCCACATTGAATGAAGATACAGACGTGTAGACACCTTGGTGGTAGATTGATGAATGGTCTCTGACAAACTTCATCGATACCACAATTGAGAGATTCACATCCTGGATCTGTTGGACCGACTAGCTCTGAGTAGGGAATGACTCTCTGACCATTGGCAATATCGGGAATACACGAAGCTAGACCATCGATATTCTCACAGTGGGAGCGATATGGGCAGCCATAGTTAAAGCAAACATCATCCGTAAGAGGTGGACTATATACACATATCAGACCCGCTCCTTCGTGAATACACTCATAGTTCTTTGGACACATATACCTATCACATGTCAATCTTTGTGGTATTGTACCAAATGAAAATATTGGGTGTTGGGGCTGTGGTTGTGGTTGCGGTTGCGGTTGCGGTTGTACTTGATCATTAGGAACACAGGTGGCTACATTATTTAATATTTGACAACTGAATCCTCCAAGACATACTTTATTATTACAATTATTTGAAATAACAACTAATTCAATTAAAGAAATTAAAAAAAAACCGATTAGTAAAAAAATGATGATCATCAGTTTTTTTTTTTAATGTCATTCATTACCTTTTATTAAAACTATCGATATAAACAATAGAATTCTTATATAACTATTCATTTATATTTTAGTTTGATTAAAAAAAGTATGTATGTAAAGAAAATGTTTTCAATTATTCTTTGTAAAGCTTGGATGTCGAATTGAAGATTCAAACAAAACCTGCTAATGTTTGATATAGTTGGACACTTTTATCGAATATAACAATATCGTCAACAAAAAAAAATAGTATTCGAACCAGTTGTTGTTGTTTTGATTGCTTTGATTGATAAATCTTCAATTAACTACCAATGTTGATAAAGAAAAAGAAAGCAATATTACATTTGATTGACTGTTTTAACAATATCATTTTAGGAAATGATAAATTATTTCTTTGTATTCAATATTTTTATATGTTTTGGTGTTCATTTTGTTTTTTTTTCAATTTTATTACTATAGGTTTTTAAACGATGAAGTAACAAAAATGATAAAGATACATTAACTTCACCACACATCAATGGGGGTGTTGGTGGTATGTTCATTTTCATCCGATGTATTGCATAATCATATTACAGACACCCAAAAAAGGATTTCTATTCTACACAATAACAATTTATTAAAACAAAAAAATGGATGGATATGATATTATTTTTTATGTATGTTTATATGTATATGTATATGATTATTTATTTTATTTAATATTAATAAAATCAAATAATTGTTCTTTTATTTTGTTTATTTTATTTTCCTATAAATAAATTAATTTTATGAATATAATATCGTGATTATGCGAATAAAAGAAAAGAAAAAAAAACATTTAATATATTATGTATATATATAAATAATAAATTTTCAAAAAATTTAATTTTTAGAGATTATCTTTGGAATATCGAATGCTTCGACAAGATTCATTAAGTTTGGTGCCAAAATAGTACAGGCATCACCGATAATGAATGGCAAGTCGAGGGCTTGATCCTCGGAGATCAAATGGTTGGTGATTATCCAACCCATATCGTCTTGAATCTTGACCAATGAATCCAACAGAATCAATTGGCATACAATGTCAGAGTTGTTGGTTTGGCTGGCACTTCTGAGGTTCTCTTCAAGCATTTGGCTTTCGAGATGGGCAACTGCTGCGCGAACAGCCCATGTTCCTACGTTATTGAGAGAATTAACTAGAACCTCGTTGGTGCAACTGTGTACTTGGCAACCGACTTTTGATAGTGATTCCTTGAGCTCCTGAGTCTTGAGGAAATCACGCATCTTGAACAATTGAATTAAACGTTGGAAGTTAAAAAGTTTCGATGGATCCGATTCGTTTTTCATTTGTTGGAAAGCTGGTTGCATATTGGCGCCTGGTTGCGATACAATGAATTTGGCTACGTTCATTAGTTGGCCGGTCTTGTCACCGTGGATCACATCGATGTCGTTACGACCGAGGAGGTGCTTGCAATCCATCATAGTATTTAGAGAGTGACGGGTGTACAATGCCTTGGTTCCATGGCAGTATGGTCTGGCAAACAATGGAACATTGTTTGGATTCTTGAAACATTTGGAGAGAGAACGATTATATAAATCGAAACTAATGGTTTTAGCGATTGGAATGAGTAATCGAGTTTGGATGAGTGGTTGATTTAGTTGTTGACGTTTATCACAATATTGAGCGGTTTCTAAAAGCATTTTCTTGACAGAGAAGGGGAAATCATCTTTGAATTCTCTGTATCTGACAGCTGTTAAAGCTTTTTTCAAGGAGTCTACATCAATTTTTTGTTGTTGTAATCTTCTTGGACTCAAAACTCCGGAAACATTATTAACTTGGAGCTCATCATCAACATTTAAAGAATTTGATGATAAATTTGGTAATAATTGTCTTGACAACTATATTAAAAAAATATTTAAAAAAAATAAATTAATAAAAAATTAATTATGAAATATTAATATCCAACTTACATTTTGGATTCTTTCAAAGAATTTGGCATCAACATTATCAATACAAGCAGAGTAAAATTCGGCAATCATTTTGTTTTTATTAAATAAATTCTGGAATTAAAAAAAATATATATTGTTGTGAGATGAGAAGAGGAAAGGATTGGATGGCAATGAAATAAATAAATTATATAATAAATAAATAAAATAGTATTTTAAATAATATTTAATAAATTAGTCTTTTTTGAAATGAAATGAAAAAATTATTTAGATTTAAAAATAAGATGGAAAGGAGATGGGTGATGATGATGAGTTTGAATGATTGGTTGGGTCGTTTTGTTTCTTTAGAAAATAATCGGGTGATAAAAATATTAGAAAGATAAATATAACTCTTCTTTTTATTGAAGATTTGTTTGATTGATTGTCAAATGAAGTTGGAATACACTTTTTAACTTTCAATTTGCACTCTATTTATATTGTTTCCTTTTTTTAAGAATTCAATACAATAATAAATTATTAGGATTGAAATTTAATTCCCACTCACCACAGACAGTAGGTCAAGTTAACATGTAAAGGTGCCACTTTCTAGAAAAACAAACTAAAACCAGTACCAACAGTGATAGCCATTCAGAATTCATATGAAAAAAAGAATAGTGATTACATTCCAATTTAAAATTGGAAAGTAGTAGTTGTTCATGACAGTAATATTAGCAGGTTTCTATACCTGAAAAGCATAGAATAGCAGCACACGAATGAAAAATGGGGAGAATCAAGTAGTGGTATTAACAATTGCTGTTATTGTGGTGGTGTGGTGTGTTCAACTTGTTTTTAAATAAAAATCAAAACCCAAAACCTTAAACAGGTTAACCCCTACAGCTAGAAAAAAGCAACAAAAAAAGCAACATCCTAGAAATTTTTTAAATCAGAATCGATTTTCTTGAGTTTAACACACATCATATTGAATATCAATAAAACACCATTGCTATTTACATCTGTGTTTTTGTTTTGCCACACAAGTGTTTAATGATCTATTTCTTGTTTACAAATTTTTGATAAAATGTAAGAGTAAAGTGTGGTTACCAATTGATTCGCCAACCTATCATGATTCACTCCCTACTTTGACAGTATTTCAACTAATCATTATTCACTGCCACCTTATACTACACTCACCGTTATGCATACCTTTGGTTCTAATTATTTAATTGAACCAAATCAAAAAAAAAAAAACAACTAAACATAACCATTTTGTTTTTCACACTATTCTAACTAGCTAAACTTAACTTTATTTTTAAAAATGTATTTATATAATGAGGCAAATGTGGTGAGTTGGGTAGCAGTTTTGATTTTATTATATTGTTTGTTTAGAACGAAGAACTAAATAGAGTCGTTTATAGATATGTGTTACACAAGGTAGTTGTGTTTACTTTTTTTTTTTTTTTTTTTTTTTTAATTAAGTGTTAAGATTAGTGGTGTTAATATGATTGTTAGATTGAATGATGGATAGTTACTTTCAAAATGTGGTTTTGATGATGATGATGGAAGTAGTTTGAGTGTGTGTGTGTGTTTAATAGATAAAAAGATTAAAAGAAGTGGGTGAGGTACATCAGCTTTGCTTAACCACTAAATACCACATCATGTACTTTAATATCTATTTTAAAGTATATTTATACAAATATATACATTTTTTACTTTATATTTGTTATATATGTTGTGTGTAAATAAAAAGAATCAAGTTAAGTTTAAAATCATTTTTTTATTCTAATAAGATAGTTATTATACCATATTATTTGATTAAAAATGTGGTTGTAATGTTGTTGTTTATTGATGTTGTTGGTTTGTTGATATGTATTTCTTTAAGTTTATTTATAAAACACCATACAATTTAAATGTGTTGTAGATTTGAAACTTAGAGGTATGCAATATGTTGAATATGACAATAATTTTTTAAATCAGACCAATGATATTCATGGCAATCATAATAATTAAGAACATATAATATACAAACAATATCGTTGATTCTTTATTGATTAGTGGTAATAATAATGTGTAACTTTGAAGCTAGTCAACCACACTCTTTACTTAAAAGGTAATGATTTACTTTATCTTTTAGTATACTTAATACTATTCCCTTTCAAAAGTTAAAATTTAATAAATCTTGTGGGTGGATGGTTGAATGTTTTATCTTTTTTGAAAAGGTATGTTTTGTTTGGTTTGGTTGATCTTGTTATGATCATCAAATATATAGAATTCAAAATCTCAACGCCAACCTGATATCATCTAACCTTGTTCAAATAAACATATACATATATATTACATAAAAGAGAACATGGAGATACAACACCCAAAGGTGATTGGATTTAATCTCCCAACCTATTGGAAATACTTTCCTTTTAAGTAAGTCTTTATTTTCATTATAATAAAACAACATGAAGCATCATATATATTTGCACCATCATATATTTTTACCAATATATAATTTGTTTTTTAATATTTAAATTAATCATAAATATCATCATATTGTCAACTATATTATGAGTATAATAAAATCTTTGTATATATTAATCTAGATATAAGTGAATAAAGTTTTTACATTCAGATATTCTTTTATTAGATATTATTCTATTTGATTATCTCTTTATCATAACCACCTTCAATTCAACAAATTTCTACCACCATTTCAAATTAGCAAAAAGCGTTTGTTTTGTTTATTTTGAAAAACGATCATGTTAAATTATGTGTTTGTATCTCAAAAACATCTAAAACACAACCCTTTTTTTTATTAACTTTTTATTAAACCAATTTTTTCTTTTCTCAAAGGTAACTAACTTTATTTGGCACTATTTGTGTACAACGAAACTGGAGATTATATTTGTTATTAATAGATTAGAATCTAATTTTATTTCAATATTATTAAGATCAAGAGGTTTGAAAATTTTGTACAACTTCTATTTTCTTTGTTTTGAATTGTGACCTTTGCACTTCAAAATTAGAAGCATTTTTCATAGCATTTTTTGTTATTTTTAGAAATGCCTAGATGATGATGACATCAATCCCAGTAACAGATGATTGAATTATACTAACAATGGATTTCGTTTTCTCTTTCCTCAGCATCGGTCTGAATCTTCGATAATCAGTTATCTCCACTGCTATTTCCAGCTTCTCCGCCCGTTGCTGATGATGAAGTGACTTACAAATTGATCACTCTACCAATCGGTTTACTCCATATTTGTTAAATAGTCTGATTAGCATTTTATCGATTAATTAAATTATATTAATTTGTTTATTAAACCATTCATTAATTCAATAATTAAATTATATTAATTTGTTTATTAAACCATACCTTTCAATTTAAATTTCAATTAAATGGTAAATATAATAAATAAAACATTAATAAGTATCTATTTATAACTCTTTGAACCATCATTATTGATTATTGTAAAATGTTTACTACATTTTGAAAATACATAATGCAAGATGAATAATTAATTAAAGGATTTTTTTTTACACACATTTCGCTTAAAAAAAAACTAATTATCTGAATTTAATTAAAATTCAAAAAAAAAACAATAATAATAATAGATAAATTATTTACAAAATATGATTTATTTTCTTGATAATATATAATACATAGTTAAATTAATAACCACCAGAGTCAGCATTGAAAGCTCTTGGAATTTTGTTACTGGTGAAGTGATGTTCATGGTTCAATTCATTTAGCTTGTCTCTGCAGAAATCAGCTTTCTTTTGATTCTCGAGTGGATCTTCACCTAAAAATAAAAAAGTAAAGTTAAAGTAGATGCACAATGTTAATATTAACCTTATTTTTTTAAAAAAAAAAACAAAACAAAAAAAAAGTATAACAACTTACCAGCGACAGCCCAGTTAATTTGATAGGTAATTGGCAATGATTGATATTGTTTGAAGATATCTTCAACCTTCTCTTTTGATAAAGCGGAGGAATTCAATTCTTGTTCGAGTTGAACGAGCAATTGCTTGGTTTGCAAGACAGATGCCTTGGCTACTTGTGGATCATAAGTAACTCCTTTAATGAATGTCATCTTTAATTGTTGTTTATTCTACAAATTTGTTTCTCTTTGAATTATAATTATAAATATTTTTGTTTTTAGATATTGTAAACAATGAATGAATATTTGAAATGAATGATAAATGCACTATTAAAACTGTTTTTGAACACAGTAAAAAGTACCAAGAATTAATTTTTTTAAAATTATATTAAAAATTAATTTTTAATGTTTTTTTTAAATCTATTAATTTTTTTTGAAAATGCACTAAATTTAAATATCTTCAATAATTTGTTACCCCTAAATGGTGGATTTTTTTTTTTTTGAAATTTTTTTTTATTTTACCTTGTTTGCATGGTTTTCAACAACAACTGCTTGATCAAGTAAAATTCAACATCATTCATATAATAATCATCATTTTTTTTATTCTTTTTTTTTTTAATTTGTAATCGGAATTTCCGATGACTACTAAAAATCAATGCAAAAACAAATATTTATGTATTCAACATGGTTATATTGATTACCTATTTTATTCAATTCCGTACAACAATAAAATAAAAATCAAGGCGCCATCCAATTTTACACCATAGTCATACCGTTGTTATAGTATAGTATCAAGTGTGTTGTCTTTTGTTTGTTATTGTCACTATCACCCCGACAAAAAAAAAAAAAAACAATTTCAAATAAGTAATTAATTAATAAGTAGTAATGAATAGAATTGCAATTGGTTCATATCACTAACATATCTGTTAACCCTATTAATAAATATATTTGTATCATCATATATTGATTGTTGTTATTGAGAAAAACAAAATTTTAAAAGATTTGTGTATTAATATTATTTTTTTTTAAAAATTTTATTTTATTTGGTGCAATACGTTCAAATATGCAATTGCACTCTATAATAACCAACTATTTACACTTTTCAATTAGGAAGAATATTGCTCTATCAAATTCTTTACTTTGTTTTTGATTAAGTTGTTGTTGTTGTTGCTGTTGTTTTTCGCGGTTGAATTGTTTGTTGTTTAAGAATATCTATCATTATTAATAATTAATGTAGTTTTCTAAATTTACAAAAAAGTTAAAATAATAATTTGCTATTATTATTATTGACTATTGTTGTTGTTGTTGTTGTTGTTGTTGCTTGTTGTTTTGTTATTTAAACTTAAAAAAGGGGATCGGATGGATTGAATGAGTTGAAAAGAAGGAAAGAGGAAGAAAGAGGAGAAGAAGAAGATAGAAGAAAGAGTATTATTAAAAAAAAAAACGTTGTTGTATATTGAATTTGATCTGCTTATTGTTGAGTTTCGGATGGAGCTGGTTGTTCACAGGTAGCTTGTTTCTCGAGTTTCATCTTGTAGTCGTAGATGGCATGCTTGATAGCTTGCTCGGCAAGCATTGAGCAATGCATTTTGACTGGTGGCAATGAGAGATGCTTGGCGATGTCTGTGTTTTTGATTTCGAGAGATTGATCCAATGTCTTTCCCTTGACCCACTCGGTAGCGAGCGAGCTACTGGCGATGGCAGAGCCACAACCGAATGTTTTGAAACAGACGTCTTGAATAACGTTGTCTTTGACCTTGATCTGAATCTTCATGACGTCACCACAAGCCGGTGCACCAACGGTGGCAGTACCGACGCTCGGGTCTTTCTTATCGAACGATCCAATGTTTCTTGGGTTGTTGTAGTGATCTAAAACACGTTCATGATAGAATCTCTTTGTTTGTACCAAACCACTACCGTTCAACAGCGATTGTTGACCAACCAATGAAGATCTATTCTTTAAAACAAAACCTCTTAAATGATTCATTATTATATATATTCTTTCTGTATGTATATTATATATGATTCGTAACAAAGCAACAATAACACCAATAAAAAAATGATTTGCTAAATGTTTGTTGTTGTTTTTTGTTTTTGACAAAGAATTCTGAAAGATAGTTGAATTTGTTTCGATTATTCTTTAAAAGCACAAACAAAAATTTTGCTGTTTATTTTTTAATTTTTCAAAAAAAAAAAAAAAACAAACTAAAATTTGAATTAATTAATTTATTAATTGTATATAAAAAGATTTTGTTTTGTCAAAGTTTTTTGACAAATTTTTAAAAAAAAAGTGGACACACGAACTACAGGTACTTTGAATGCACCACAGAAAATTCTTGCAATGTGTGTTTGAGTTTAATGATCTTTTTTGAATATTATATTACAGCAGCAGAAGTGTTTATTATTGTTATATTTAGAAATGTCATCGTCATCTATTGTTGAAACAGATCAACAACAACAACAACAACAACAACAACAAGCAAATACTGCTACAACACAACCACCAATTATAGATCCTCGTATCGTTCTTGGCAATGGATTATATCTCTTGATATCGCCTGTGGTTAAGGAATGCGATGCTAAAATACAAGAAGTATATCAATCACAAAAGAATCTATCGGAACAAATAGATTCTTTATCAAATGGTAAATAATTAATTAATTAAGATTTGATATAAACAAATTGAATGTTTTATTTTATATTAATTGATCATAATAATAGAATTGGAAAAGTTTAATAGTTTAACACAAGTACCAACTTTACATCCACATGTTCAAAAGTTGATGAATGCAAGAGGACGTCTGTTGGCTGTCAATAGCAAGTTGAGTATGATCATGATTAGATTGGACAAGTTGTCGACATCGGTGTTACAACATCAACAACAGCAACAAAAGACATCGGTATCAGATAGAATCTCTTTGTTCTTCAAGAGTAAACCATCTCCTGTCAAGCCATCGCCAACATCAAACACAATTGCTGCTACCGCAACAACTACTACATCCACTGATAACAATACAAACAACAATATTACTTCACAATTAGAACAAGCTGTCGATGTAAACACCTCAAATACCAACAACGAATCAACAATAACAACAACAACAACAAATGTAACATTAGAACAACAAACAACACAAGAACAAACAGAACAAACAACTGATGATAAGAAAGTAGAAGAAGGAGAAGCAACAACAACTACAACTACTACAACAACTTCATCATCTTAAAATATAATATATTTATTTAGAATAGAAATATTTTTGTATATCCACAACATTCTTTTAAAACAAAGAAATCATAATAAAATTTAAATTAATTTAAATATATATAATTTTAATGCTTGTATTTATACAATATTTGTTTTATTATTTTTAAAAGGTCGATATCGTCTTGATTCAACTTGATAGGATTTAAATAAAAGGGAGGTGAAATAATGATTATTTGATTGATTAAATTGGTTATTGAGTTCTTATCTTTTCTTGGCTGATTGTGTTGTACAACTCCTTTCACTCAAGTGCTCTTAAAAGTATAACAAACCCAGATCTTGTTATCTTTTTATATACTTTGTATTGTATCTTTGATCTTCTTCTTCTTCTTCTTCTTTAGTTACCGTTATTTGTTATCGTTATTGTTGTTTAGTTGGTTTTTTGTTTGTTTTTTTTGTTGTTATTTAATAAATAAAAGGTTTAGTTATTTTGAGATGATTTGCTATTCTATAGATTTTGAGGGTAAGGTGAATTGGTGATTAGGCGATTTGATGTTGGTTGATTTATAAATAAATTATAATTGATTATTATTATTATCGTTATTCATTTGTTTTTTTTTTTGTTATTTGTTATATAGCATCTATTTTGTTAAGAGGTGTTGGTTCTGATACTTTGAAACTGTTTCCACTACTGTTGCTGGCGGTGGTAGCTAGTTGTAGTGTTGAGAATGCTTGTTGGATCTCTTGGTGTTTGTCTTGTGGCAGTGTCTTTGAAATGATGAGGTCGACAACATCGACCTTGAGCGATGAGATTTGCATGTCGTGGTCGAACGAAATCGACAGTGCCCATTCGAATTCAAACTCGGGGTCGGCCTCTGTGCCCGATGTCGATTGTTGGCGTTTCGAGTGTACAGCGGTCACGGTTCCATCCTCCTCAAAGACGATCTTCATACGCCACGATCCACGCTTGTCTCTGAATGGCATGTCCTCAAAGAGGTTCGCTTTAATGAAATAGTAGGCCGGCAAGATGATCTTTTGATGACAAACCTTGAGGAGTTGCATCATTCTGCTCTGCTCGAGTACAACGTTTGTCAGTAGCGACAGCAGCTGCTGCGAGATATCACCTACACCCTTGATATGATCGCTATATTGCTCTTTGATTTGCTGTTCTTTCTCGGGACCGTCGAGCAGACCGGCCAAACTGAGGAGAACCTGCAGTACGACTTCCTCTTTCTTGAGAACCTGTGCTGTTGTGATGCCACTCGAGGTGAGAGTGGTAGACGATGTGAATTTATCAGAGTTGTTGATGGTTGCAACGCTTGGTGAACCGGTCGATCCAGTGGCGTTCGGTGACTGCTGTTGGTTGGTAGCACCGTCGCTACCCGAGCTGATTCTGTTGGCGAGTTGCTCGCCAGTGGATTCACCGGCGAGTGCGCCATTGATATAGGTTGGAGACTCTCCAGCGTTCAAGTTGTTCAGTGTAATCGATGTGACCGATTGGAATGTAAGATTGGCACGTCTGTGTAGCTTATCGACGATGTCGATCTTGTGACCGAGACGTGGTACGTCGGTGTGAATCGCCAGCTTGTCGTGTGTGCGTTTCCAAATGCCGACGGTATTTGACTTCCAGTTGATAGCGACCTGATTCAAATTGTTCTTGTGGTCGTCATTCAGCTTTTTCTTTGTCTCTAGCGATTCGTTGGAACCACCATTAGTCGACACCTGTTGATCTACCACTCTCTTTTTACTTTGCTTTGAAAAACATCCACCCATTTTATAATTTCCGAAATTTCCGCTTTTGTTTTTTTTGTTTTGTTAACTGTTGAGTTGTGAGATGCGCGTGTTGCGTGTTTAATCAATCAACCCTGTTGTTGTTGTTATTGTTGTTGTTGTCGTCGTTCGAAACAATAATAACAATATTACTATGATTATTATTAATTTCCTTTAATACTACAAAGTATAGTCTAAAATGTGCAAAAATAAAATAAAATAAATATATGTTAATAAATTTTTTCTTGTAATGGTTTGTTTGATGTTGTTATTGATGATGTTGTGATGTGTAAGAGTAATTGATGATGATGATGATAAGATCGAAACAAAAAAAGATTAATAAGAAAAGCATATGAAATGTAAATAAGAGTTGTATGTGAGTACTTTAGATTACATATGCGTCAATTGACGATTGGCAAATGAACTGCTACTACAACACATAAACCATTATTAATACTTTATAAAGAATAATTATTATTTATAAACAAATAACTTTGCCAAGTAACGGATAAAAACAACAACACCAAAAGTACTACACATTTGTTCAAATATTTTTATGTTTTAGGAGTAGATGTGATAAGTGTAGAACAATGGTAATCATCTTGTTGTTTGACTGTTTATCAAGTCAATGTTGTTTTGTTTAACATGTTAATTGTGTATAACTATATTTGGGTGATAATTTTTTTGATGAGTTGTGTTTGTCGGGTCTGGAATTTGTCCTAATCGAATCAATAACAAATCAGTGTCTATCTATATACCACTAACTTTTCCTGTTTTTATGTCTTTTAATCTGTCAGTCTATCTATTATTATTATTATTATTATTATTATTGTCTCTGTAATGAATTGTTTCATTTAACAACTATATAATATGTATCTTATTTCTCTCTCTTTATTTGTTATCGAAAAACAAAGCTATTTGAGTTGAAATTCAGTTGATTTTAGATGGCTAGAGAACAGTTGGATTGGCTGTGTATTTGCATTGCTATTATAGCAACACTAGATTTTGATATTGTGAGTGAGATGAGTGGACATGTCAACTTGATTTAGATCACAACAAAAGAGAATTTAAATTATATTTAAGATTTTTGATTTTTTTTTAGTAAATATAGCTAGTGACAAGTGAATAGGGGTGGTGTTAGGTGGGTGATCGATTGTAATTAGATATCACACTAAACAGTAATGAAAAAAAGTGGAGTTGTTGTGGTTTGCTTAATTAAATTAAATTTAATTTAATTGTTTTGTCTACTTTTGTGGTTTGATTGATTGATCGTTTCTTTTCTTTGTTAGTTAGTTAGGTAGGTTTGACAGATGATAATAATATAAGTGAGTAGATGCTATTCTTATTATGAAAAGAAAACAAAAAATAAAAAACTTGTATAACAAAACGTGTGGGGTGGGAACAATTATAGAATTATTGTTTATTTTAATTAGTTGATAAGACAGACGCTTGATTTGTAATTTGATTATATGTGATTCGGTTTTGAATTGCTTTGTTAAATAATAGGATACAGAGAGAGAAAAATTCTCAAAGACACAAATGACAAACGAGAGTGATGAGTGAGGTCTTTCGACAAACAAGTATACTATTGTATTGCTGTTGCTGTTGTGTTGTTGGATGCTGAATGTAAAAGTTGTTATAACACTGACTTTAAGCTAACGGATTTTACTAAATTTAAGAACAATGAATCAATCTAGATCGATCTACTATTAATATTCTATCAATTATAATTATAATATCTATTATTTTAGTAAATGTTATCACAAATTTGATTGAATGATTGATTATGAAAAAAAAAAGATGTCAACAAATTAATTAGATATTATTTTTATTTTAAAGTTCCCCAAAGATTTTTGTTCTTTTTTTTTATTATTTTTCGTCATCAACCAAATGACCAACAGTACTGTTGTTGAATGAATTATTATTTTACAAATATCTATATATATTCTACCTTTTTTTTTATTTTTTGTTTTTTTTTTCTTATTTAATCGATTCTACAATAATCTTTCTTTGATAAGTTACAAAATAATTGTACTACACTATTTTTTATTTTTATCTACTATTATCTGTTGATTGATTTGTTGCTTATCTACTACTGTTTGCTATGAGCTGATCTTTTTTTTTTTTTTTTTTAGAATTGTTGATATAATAGCCTGTTTGTTTGCATCGACTATTGGTTTGAATCAAAATTGAGGCGATAGTTGTTTATTATTGAAGAAAAAAAAAAACAAAAATATTTATGTGTAGTGGATGGTTTGATTGACAATAAAAATCACTTAACCACCATGAAAAAAAACCTTCAAAGTTAAAAAAATAAAAAAAATCGGTGGTCTTGGGTGATGAGGCCATCGACATTGGATCAAATTTTTTTTCCTTTTTAAAAAAAATAAACAAATTTAAATAAAATTTTGTGGTGGCAACAATATTTATTTTTTATTCCTGCCGTTTCATTGAATCAATGAAAAATTTATGGGCATAAATTTAAACAGAGACACTTGAATATGTATAAAATGAATAAAAAATATCTAAAACAGATAGACAACCGATAATAGTATAAATATTAGGTAGAAAATGATTTTTTTTATCCATTTTCAGGATTATGATAATTCTTTTTTCATTTCATCTCTTGTTTCAAAAAAAAAAAAAAAAAAAAAAAAAAAAGAAAGAAAGAATTTTAAAATAAATCGTTGTTATATCGAATTCGAGAATTCAAAGTTTGATTGATTGTAATTGTTAATAACGAATTTTATTTAATAATTATTTTTTATTCGTTATTTCTCTTTACTCCTTGTTACTCTTTGATTGTCTTGAAAAAACAAAAAATTTTCTTTTAAACAATTTTAAATATAATATTATTTTTCAACAGATAATAATGGAGCCTATTAATTGTAGATTAAGTTTTCTTATTCAAAGGAAAATCATAGAATATCTTTGGAGTCACAAGTCATTGACTTTGAAATACAGATTATCATTGGGCTTGGTGAGTCGTGTTTGGTTCAACCGTGTTTCATATTTGTTCAATCAGAATTCACATTTTATGTTTCGACACGACAAACCTCAGCCTCTGACAGACTATATACAACATCTTGACAACCCACTTTGTCCAATGAAAAACGTTAGAGTTATCAAGAAATATGATAAACAGAAACCTGACTCGGTTGATCCACTAAGTGGTCTTCATTTCGGAAGCAAAGAGTATGCTCGACTTGTACCGATCTACTCTAATCTAAACAAGCTTGAGCTGTCATTTCTATTGAATACTCCATTGGTGTTTGTTCAATTCACACTCAAAAGTTTTATAAAATATTCAGGTGTTACAGATACAACAACAACAAAATCAACAACAACCAATAGTAATACTGAATTCGTACCTGTACGAACTTCATTGAGATCGTTGACTATAGAACTACTTTCAGACCCCACCAGTATAATCCCTCCCACCAAATCAATGATTGAAGACCTATTCGATACCATACTTAATATCTTATCACCGATATTTAGAGATCTAGAGAGTTTAACCATTGATATCGGCAATAGAGAGATTAAATCTACGGTTTTAATTAGACTCTTGGAAAATCATCCCAATCTTCAATCACTGACTCTCAATTTTGAATGTGGAACTTTACAATATCAAAAAGAACTGTTTACAAAACTACCTCAAAACTTAAAGTTCTTCAGCAGCAATATGAACCCACAGCTACTTCCATTAGAAAGCCTTTTGAATTTGGAACAGATTGCAATTACCAATTTGCTCGATTCTGATCTAACTAGTGAAGCCCAACGATCAATAACTCATAAGATGAGAAACAACACCAAAATCAAAAGGTTCTCTCACCCATTCGCAATTCCAGTCGATATCAGCACAAAAGATCTATTCTTGCGATGTACACATCTCAATGAATTTCATATCTCATTGGAGAGCACCCCACTTCCAACACCAATCAATGTTATATTTCACTCGAATCTAAGGAAGCTAACAATAGATTGTCTTCTTAATGAACCACTCAACGAGAATATAATGTTAGGATTGGATCATACTTCACTAGTAAATCTTGAGAGTCTTACCATCAATGTGAATTTCGGTTACATCTTTGATTTACTATTGAAATTCATTCGAGGAAGTAAATCGCTCCGACATTTAGATATCAATAGGCCTGGAGTATTATATGGTAGCAGACAGTCAGAAAGTGATTTAAGCAACCTACTCTCCGTACTTACTGAAATCGATAATCATCAAATTTCGTATTTGAAACTAGATTACTTAGTGACACAACAAACCGAAGGTGAACTTATTAGGTTCTTATGTCATAAAAACACAAGAAACATCAGCAGTTTCATTTGCTACTATATCAACACCAATCATAGCAACACCTCAAAAAAAATAGATTATCTCAATCAAACTTACTCAAATGTCAACCTTTCATTTTCTGTATTTGGATCCCGAATGATTTTGATCGAACCAATTACAAGACAACAGTATCCCAAATAACATGCAAAAAAAAAAATTAACATTTATTTTGATTAATTTTTAAATAAATATATAAATTTCATATATTCGATAATAATAATAAAATTAAGAAAGTGAATGTTTTAGTAAAATTCATGAAGTTTTTTTCAGTTCTGGAAGCTTTTTTTAATTAATTTATTTTTGAACTCGTCTGATCAATGTACATCAAGAATTAATTAAAAATAGATAGAATAATTTAAAAATAAATAGAAGGTTTAATTTTAATTTAAATAGAACTCAATTTCAAAAATGACAAATCAATAAATATTAATAAATTCACTAATAAAATCAAGTAAATTAATTCATTACCTGTAAATCTATCAATAAGTAAATCAATACCTTAAGATGTCATCAAATCAAGTCCCAACATTACATTATGTATGTACAATCAAATAGAAATTATATTTATATGACAATTTACTGATGATCATAAAATATGTTATATTCAGTTCAATGGTCGTGGAAGAGCTGAAACCAGCAGAGTTTTGTTGACTTTGGCAAATGTCGAATTCAACGATATCAGAAATACACTGCCATTTGCTGATGATGGAATAAAACAAAAGGCAACCTATAAACAATTGCCATACTACATCGATGGTGATTTCGAAGTTTCACAATCGTTGGCGATCGAAAACTACATTGCCAACAAATATAATCTAGCCGGTGATAGTCTAATTGATAAAGCTAAAGTACTTTCGATTCAACAAGCATCCTACGATATTTCGATTCCAATCTTTACGAATGACACCGATGAGAAGAAAGATTTGTACAAGAATGAAACTCTACCACGTTTCCTCGCTGCCTGGGAGAAGATCCTGGTTGAAAATGGAGGAAAGTATTTTGTTGGCGCTAAACTGAGTGCTGCAGATGTCAGTGCATACACCACCCTTGAAAATCTATTCGCCAAGAACTTCAAAGATATCGTCGATAAATTCACAACACTAACTAACTTTAAATCAACATTTGAAACAATCCCATCGATTTCAAACTATTTATCAAAGAGACCAACCGATCTTATTTTCTAATAATTAGAATTAATGTATAAATAGTTATAATAAAAACAATCAGCCTAATATTTAATCTTTGAATTAATCTAAATTCATATTTTCGCAGAAATTCATTTTAATTGGACCATTATTTTTTTTATCAAACCTTAAAAATAGATAAAGTATCTATTCTTGTTGCCATATTACTTTGTACTAGGTTTTAATCAATAAATAGATAATAATGGAACTTGTTAATTGTAGACTTAGTATATCAACAAGTTCCAAGAGAGTCTTAAACTTTCAAATCCTAATCAATTTAATACCACGTGAATCTAAGGAAGTTAAAAATAGATTGTCTTCTTTATCAACCATCCAATATGGATATAAATCTTAGATTGAACACTTCTGTACTCGTCAATCTCGAGAGTCTAATAGTTAACGACAGATACTGGCACATCTTTGATTGGATATTGGAATTCATTCTAGGAAGTAGATCAGTTCGGTATAGATTACAAGACCGATACCGAAGAAGATAAAATAGAACTATTCACCAAACCTACTCGGATATAAACCTTTATTTCTCAGCTGAACCATGGTGATAACAAAATTTTACTCAAATTAATAAATATAGTTCATACTGTTAGCATCAAAAATTGTGTGCGCGCGCCAAAATTCAAATTTTTCCGTTGTAAATTCAAATAAAAAAAAGTGGGAAGATTGGCTGTTTTTCTCTTTATCTGAGATTTTGTGATTAAACAGTTAGAAGAACTATTGTGAACAGAAAAAAAATAACAATCAATTTTTATTATTAATCAATCAATAATCACAAAACTATTTAATAATAAAGGATAAAATTTATTAGATCATAATAGAAAGAACAAATAATATAAATAAATAAAAATGGGTGACGATCTAAATAATACCGTGATTGGTATCACAAATGAACTGATCGATGGTTCCAATACAGATGTAGATTCTATGCAACAAAGAAAAGCATCGATTGTTAAAACAAGAAAAAGAATGTCTATTTTAAAACTAAAGTAATTATCGATCATGACATAACATATCTTTATATTTGCAAAGTTGATTACTAATAACTTTATTTATCTTTATAAATCAAATAATTATTTAATCACTTTGATTATTGGAATCTAATTTTAAATTATTTGCAACACTACAACCAAACCACCCACAACTTGTATCTCAATATTCCAACTTCACACCTTTCTACTCTTTTTTTTTTTTGTTTTTGTTTTTTTCTTAATAAAACTACCTATCTTTTGTATTACTATTGTGTTTTGTTGTATTTTTTGCTTTATACTACCTTTCTTGAAAATGTTCATTACCATTCACCAACAAATAAAGAGAGATTTCAGAGGCAAAGAAGAAGCAGAGGAATCCAGTGATGACTTCTCAGACAAAGTTCAACTTGGATCAACGTCCAACCCCAAAGTTTAATCCACATGTAGTCAATAACACTGCCAGTGGAAACAAGAGTAATCGTTCGTCTTGCAAGCTATCCAAGCCAGATTTCGATAAGCTTCACGAAGAGGAATTCAAGAAGTTTCAATCAATCACTGACTACGATGCCAAGAAAAAGGCAGAGATGTGGGCAAAACTTGGATTTGCAAATATGCCACATCTCTCAGCATCCAACACCAACACCTCTTCCATTACAGTTTCCAATAATTTACCAGTGTTAGAATCTGAGAGCATCGACAACAATGACAATCAAGAGAATGATATACAACCAACTGACGATGACGATGCAATGGACATTGACCAAACAGAAAGCAATATGGTTAAACTTAAGCTAAGTGATACTCCACCAAAGCAACCAGACAATATAAAGACAACAACAACTACTACTACCACCACTATAAACACAATATCAACTTCTTCCACCGGATCAAGATTAAGATCAAACTCAACAACATTGAGAACACCAACAAAGTCAAGCAGCACCACTCCATCACTTTCATCCACTCAATCCATTACACCAAAGAAAACAACAACCACAACAACTACTACTACCCAACCAGAGTCACGTCTAAAAACACCAATTAAATCTTATAAATCAACAATAACAACCACTTCTTCTTCAACATCTTCAACCAATAATACAGTTTTATCAACTCCTAATCCAACAACAATTAAACCATCTATTTTATCAACGCCATCTACTCATACTAATAATTCTGTAAATAGTAATAGTACTAAACCACTTTCAACACCAATACAATCTTCATCATCATCAACATCCACCCTACTACCTACATTTAATGCAACTACTACAGCAATCGCCAAACCAACCTCTGCTAAAAAATCAACTATTCCAAATCCTTTTAGTTTCGCAACATCTTCGAGATCTAATGTAACAAATTGTAAGTTTACTCTTTTGAAAAAGAAAAACAATATAATAACAATTAACTAATTCATTATTATCGTTTATTTACATCAGCTGCGTCCAAAGCAAATAGTAATACTATACCAACAAAGAAATCATTGAAAAAGAGTATAAGCTCAAATTCATTGGCATCAACTATTTCTTCAACCATCTTCAAACCATTGCTTTCACTGACAAAATCGAAATCAAAGGACAAAGAACAACCTCCAGTGTCGACCAATACAACAACTAAGTCTTTGAGTTCAAGCGAGCCAAGCATCCTCAAGGACAACCAAAACGTCACAAACAATCCAGCTAATCTAAACTCAACACCTCTTTCAAAATCATCCTCAACTTTATCAGCATCCAAGTCCAAAACTACAACTTCATCGTCGTCGTCATCGAAACTATCGAGCACCATCCGCACAACTTCAAAGCCAATATGGAAGTAACATTTAAAAATAAATAAATAAATAAAAACAAATATAATTAATTTAAATGACATCAAATGTGGACTTGGACACACCCATTTTATGCAGGTTTTTCAAAAATAAAGGAAAAAAAAATCTTGTCAAAAAAAAATTGTGAAAAACAGCCACATTCTTAGATATTTCGATCGAGGAATCTGGTAACATGATGTAACTGAATCTTTCTTGGGTCAACCAAAACAGATTTTATATTTTAAGTTTTTTTTGTTTTTATTTTTTCGAAAAATAGAATATCTGGGTTTATAAATTTAATCTACATAAACAAAAACTACTTTGGTTCAACATCAATATATTTTCCATTTTCTTTTATAAACATTAAATAACATTAGATCAGAAATAGTACAAACATAAAAGATAGAATAAGCAAAAAATAAAATTAAAAAAAAATCATCACAATCATTTTTTATTTTGCAGTTGAGTGACCATTTTTGGCACTCGCTGATTTTACATATTAGTGCTTGCTTTATCTCTATATACATTTTTTGTGTTTGTATTATTATTTATATTAGGTTATAAAAGTAGTACAACATCAGTTTAAACATTCAGATCAATAGTAGTGACTACTACTTTGTTTTTTACCTTTAAATTTTTCCACACACCACCAAACTCTTTTTTAACATCTTTACTAATTTGTTTGTTATTATTATATCGAGCATCATTCACCATTTTGCATCATCTATTTAATCATAAGCTGCTGACCCAACACCATTTTGATTCATCTTTTGTTTTTTTTGTTGATTTTGCTGTATTTTTTTTTTTTTTTTTTTTGGCTTTTGCTGTTATTTAATTTCCCCATTAAAAAAACATTAGATATCATAATTTCCTCATATCTCATCTCATCATTTATCAGCAGCATATTAATTAAATTAGGTTCAACAGTTTTGCTGTCTTACTGTCACTTAAGACATAAATAATATATCCAACAACATAGAAAAGTAGCAACAATCAATTATAACAATTAAAAGATAGATAAATCTATATCTTTTATTTTTTATTTTCTAAATTTCCATCTTAAAAGTTTAGATTTATTATATATATATATATATAGATATCCATAATTTAAAAAAATGGATAATAACAATTTACCACCACCACCACTTTTAAAGACACCACCACCACTTTTGCCAAAGAGCAATAGTGCTGGATCGCTTTCACCACCGAATAAGAGTTTACCGACACCAAACAAACCACCACCCCTCTCAAAGCCACCACCTTTGGCCAAGCCACCTCATCTTGGTGGTCCACAACAGACATCACCACCATCTCAACTTCCACCACAGCAGACACCACCTCTACCTCCCAACGTCTCAGGACAACCAAAACCACCCAATAAACTGCCACCACAACCACCAGCAAAACTAATGACTGGAACACCAACTAGCACTTCAACAGGTAGTCTACCACTGCCATCTCAATATCAACAACAACAACAACAACCAAGACAACCACCACCTGTAAACTTACCACCTTTGCCGCCATCGAATATGGGCGTCAATCAAATGCCACCACCTCCACCAATGCCAACTAATTTACCACCACCACCACCTCTCAACACCGCACAAATGCCACCACCACCAGCGATGCCAACTACACTTCCACCATTGCCATCATCGATAGCCAACCTTCCACCACCACCAATGCCAACCAATTTACCACCACCACCAATCAACACCAGTGGAAACAGTATCAATGCGATCCCATCGACAAACATATCACCAACAGTCATTGGAAAGTCGCAACAAGCTCCACCACCAATCCTTAGTCCACCACCACCTCTAGCAACACCACCACTTGTACCAATATCCAACCCCAATCCAATGAACTCCTCGACAGAATCATTCTCACCACCACCATCCAACAGAAACTCTGTTGATTTAACAGCTTTGGATTTCCCTGAAATTAATACTCAAAATAGAGTAAGATTTAATAATATAACAATTTCAATTTTCTTTAGAAAAAGCATTATTAACTTTGTAAACAATTGTTTTTAGATTGCTGAAGAGAATTTCAATTATCTAAAGGATATTTATACTAAAATTACAAAGAGATCTCAAGCAAGTTCTTGTATGTATTTAATATTTCATATAATTAAAAGTTATTATTCATTCATTGAATATTAATAAAAATTATAATTTTATTGTTTTTATAGCAACATCAAGAGAAGGTCATAGTTTAGCAGAGGCATTTAAGAATTATGGAACAATGTTGATTGCACAACAAGATAATATTATGGGTCAATGTATGTTTAAGGTTGGAGATTTACACAGAGATCTAGAGACTTTTAGAGATCGTTTGGATAATCAGACTTTGTCTGGTCTTCGTGGTACCGTCGATCAGTATGTAAATCGTGATATCAAGTTGGTTCGTGCCTCAAAGAAGAACTTTGACAAGGTGCGATCTCTCTATGACACCATCGATGGCAAGTGCAGTGCCAATGCATCAAAGAGCAAAGGAATCAACTTGGTAAGACAGGCAGAGCTGCAACAAGAGCGTGATTTCCTCAAGGGTCGTGTCACCTCGACTGGACAGGAGTCAGCAACCACCATTCGTTTGGTTAATGAGTCAAACTCGGTCGAGATGATGGAGCAAATCATAGAGTATGTCGAAAGCTTGCAACAAGCTTCGAGACTACTGACGGAGCAACTCGATACAATGCAGCCAGTTCTGGCCAACTACAAGAAGGAAGCACAGAAGCGAAAGTCAGAGTTGGAGAAATCCATTGACCTTCAGAAACAACTGGATCGTAACTCGGTTGGTGGAAACGGTGCCAACAAAGATTCGCGAGTCAACAACTCGTCCGATAACATTGAGCGTGAAGTTCAGGGAGAGGATCCAAAACGTGCAAGAGTTCGTCGTTTTATTTCGGCGGAGCGAAACTATGTGAGTGGACTGAGTACTCTGGTGCAGGTGTATCTCGCCGGTCTGAGAACGGACGACCGTCTCTTCAGTAAGGTCTTCAAGGAAGACGAAGTAGCAATATTCGCAAATATCGAACCGCTGCTATCGCATCAAACGAAATTCCTGGAGGAGTTGGAAGGCTGTTTGAAACAATATGGTGAGCCAGGCGGACCAACTCTTGGTCAGACATTCTTCAAGGCATCGGGCAAGTTCATGTCACTCTACTCGGTGTATGTCGGTAACTTTTCAAAGGCATTGACCACTCTGAATCGTGTGAAGCAATCTAAGAATTTCCAGGCATTCCTAAAGACCTGTGAGGAAAAGTCGGATGGCGCAGACATTGATTCACTCATTCCAACTCCACTCACTAGAATCACCAGCTATATGATATTCCTCCAGGACCTCAAAGAAACCGACAGTTCCGATCCAAACGAAGCCAACTCGATTCGTGGTGCTCTCGACAAGATGCAAGCATTGGGTAATCTAGTGGGACAATCACACAACCTGATTCAATTGATGAAACTCCAGCAATCGTTGATTGGATTCGATGCTTCCTATTTGGTAGAGGAAGGACGTTTCTTGTTGAAGGAAGGCACTGTTTCAATGTCGATTGGCAATGCACCGGTATCCTCCTACTATTGTATATTAGTTAGTGATCTATTGATCTATTGTAAGAAACAGACTGCGCTCTTCCCCTCGGTTCTCTATGACAATACACTGGCAATTGCAAGTGGATCGTCCAGCAGCAATCTCGGTAGTAATACCAAGTATAAATTCGTTGGAAAGCTAGAGGTTAAGAATATGGACTTAAAGACATCACCAAAGGACGATGAAAAGACATTCGTTCTTACATCGGGTGTAGGAAATAATTTGGTGACCGTATCGGTTCAATTTGAAAACAAAACAATCAAAGAGGATTGGTGGTCAACCATCTCCAAAGCAATCTCCAAAGCAAATCAAAACAAGATTTTCTCGATTCCACTCGAGCATATCTATGCACGTCCAGCCGAACAAGGTCGTGCCATCCCACTTTTCGTACAGAGAATCTTGGATTATCTCTATGAGAATGCTGCTTCGGAGGAAGGAATCTTCCGTCTCTCTGCAAATCAACGAGTGCTCGATGCATCGCGTGAGGAAATAGAGACTGGAGTGGAACTAGACTACTCGGAGCTCGATATCCATGTGGTGGCATGTCTTTTGAAGCTGTGGGTGAGAAATCTACCGGAACCACTGCTAACTTTCAAGGAGTTTGATTCGTTTGTGGAGATTGCCGATATCGATTCCAAGCGTGACAAGTACATCGCTTTGAAAGCATTGGTCGAGAAGATTCCACAGATCAACAGATTCTGTACGTTCTATCTCATGCGAATGCTGACCAAGGTATCCGATAATTGTCAGGTCAACAAGATGACGCCAAACAATGTTAGTATTGTATTTGCCACACTGCTTCTCAGAAAGAAGGGTGCATCGCCAATGGATTGCACTGCTTTCAACTCGATCTTCAGTTTGGTCGAATGTTTTATGACTGGATTCCACGAGATCTTCATCGATATCGAGAAGGAATACCACAGACACCAGACGGAGCAGAGCGATGCGATGAAGCGTCGTACGATGCCACCGACCAAGTCGTTGCCAGGCATTCCACCAACATCGTCGCCAATGTCGCTGCCATCGTCACCAGACAACTCACCACAACCCACTCGCAGTGCAATGAACCACCACAGCCGAAACAACAGCAGCGGCGGCAATGGCGCTTCCAACGAAGACAGTGACTCTGACGACGACGAAGGATTCTCAATCGGAACCAACAGTAAGGCATCGATCACCATTCAACTCGGTGAGATCGTCAAACAAGGATATCTCACAAAGAAAGGTGCTATGCGTCGTAATTGGACAAAACGTTGGTTCGTACTCAAAAATGGATATCTATTCTACTTTAAGACTTCGCGTGACAAGAAACCAAAAGGTATCATTCAACTGGTCAATGTCTCTGTTTCGAAATCCTACTACAAGCCATATTGTATGGCATTGAAATCATCTGGTTCCTCAGACGAACGTGAATTCCTCATTTGTGCAACGAATCAAACAGAATTGGAAGAATGGATAGTTTCAATCAATAAGTGTTCAACAAAGGAATAAAAACAAAAAATAATATATAAATATAACAAATCTTCTTAAAAAAAAAAAAAAACTGCTTCCTTCTTGGATAAATAACGACTTTTAGACATTCACATTGTTCTCGTGTTTTTAGTTTGATTGAACGAAGTGTTTTTTCTTGATTAACTCTTTTATTTTTAAGTGTTAATTTTATTTTTATTTTAAAATAGGTTCACCTTTTATGATAACTTATAAATATTTATATATTATATTATAACTATAAGTTGTCATGTTAGAAATGTAATTGTAAAACTTGTATAACATAGAATTGTTAAAAAATCTATTCAACCATCTTACTTTGAATCAAATACATTTGGCTAGTTTAATTTTTGTCTGTTGTTATCCTAGAAAGAAACATGGAGAAGAAACCATTGTTGGATTTATCTCAACTACGATATCGTAGTAATAATGCTATAGAGCTTGAATCTACTAATAATAATAATAATAATAATAATAATAGCAACAACAATAATAATAATAATAACAACAATAATAACAATAATAATAATCTTGCTAGTAGTCATAATGATAGTAGTATTCATACAAATGAAAGTAGTAATTATCCTTTAAAAAGTAGTGCTGATACTGTAAATTATCAAGATATAGAGTCACAACAACCAATAACTTATCAATCAAATTATAATAATAATAATAACAATAACAATAATAATAATAATAATAATAATAATAATAATAATAATAATAATAATAATAATGGTGATAAATGGAAAGATTATGCACTTAGTCAATCACTTACAAATTTGTATTCATTCACATCGTCAAGGAATAAACCTCAACAACAAATATTGATTATCTCCGAAGAGAGAGATGCCCTATATTCCTATACATTCGATGAGTTACAAAGTATGTATATTCATATCTTTAGTTTTAATAATGATGATCATCAAATTTTAATTATATAATGATTTTAATTATTTTAAAAAGATTTCTTGGTTATGTTAAACCTAAAGAATATGTTTGATGTTGAAGAAGAAGAGAAGAAAGAGAATGATGAGAAAGAGAAAGAGGAGAAAGAAATAGGTGGTGGTATTCTGCATGACGACGATCTAGATATGCAACCACCACCCAATCTGAATGTTAAATCAACATCATCGCCACTTCAATCATCTGTAAAGTCACCTCCTGTTCATTTGTTAGATGACGACACACCAAATACAACGTCTACCACGACAACAACCACTACAAACACACCAATTGCCACTACGGGTTCAAACAGTAGCCAAAAAGTAAGTCCGATGGTTTTAGGAAGCGGTGGTGCTGCCGATGATAGGACTGGTCCTACGCTCTCTCCAACGCTGTCGCCATCGATTCACACCGTAATCGACAGTGGCTACGGTAGTGATCCAGAGGATGAAGATGCTTCCCTCAAAGACCTGATCAACTGCTTCAGCAGACGACGTCTTCCCTCGCACGTTCTCAAGAGCTTACAGGCACCTTGCTGGATCGATCTTCAAGGATTGACAGAGGAGCAGATTGAGATAGTCGGCGAGGAACTCTCTTTGCATCCACTGACAGTCGAGCAAATCCTTGGAAACGACAGCTCCGAGAAATGCGAAGAGTTTCCAGACTATCTGTTTATCATTTGTTCGGAGCTGGCCTACTCTGACTGCGCGGAGCTAGTCGAGAGCTTCTTTTACATTGTGCTGTTCCGTGACTACATTGTTGTATTTCATCGTGAGCCACTCGATTGTTTTGACAACGTCATCAAGTCTTTCCGTTATCTTGGTACCGAACGTTCACAGCTGTCTAGCTCCGAGTGGTTACTGTTTGCATTCTTTGACTCGATCAACGAAGAGTACACTTCACACAGCGACAGATTATCAACGGAAGTAGAGATTCTAGATACCTTTAGTTTCCAAGAAAACATTGAATACGGTGAAGTCAATCTTCGACTTGGTAGAGCAAGTCGAAAGTGTACACATCTTTTATTATGTTTATTCATTAAAAAGTAAGTTATCAATTATCAAACAAAATATAAGTATCAATCTAACAAACAACAATATAATAATATAGTGATATATTATCAGCATTACTTCGAGAGAATATCAGTCAAGAGACAGAGATGTATTTAAACAATGTTAAAGATAAGATTATCAGACTCAAACAAAATGTAAAATTAACAGAAGATCTACTTGAGAATCTAAAGAATGTATTCATTTCAAAGGTAAAACCAAATCAATGAATAATCAATTGAAATCATTTCAATTTAAGTAAATTACTAATTAATTCTGTTCATTATTGATTTTAGTTATCATTGATTATGAATGAAGAATCACATTCACTAAATAGTAGTATGCAAAAATTTACATCGTTGGGTCTAATTTTTATGCCTATGAATCTGATTGCTGGTGTGTTTGGAATGAATATGTTGTTCCCCGGACAGATAGAAATCAATGATCAGTTTCTCCCATTCATTTTGATCATAGTCGCATTGGTTATCATTGGTGCAATATCATTGTTACTATTCAAGAAATTCAAACTTTTATAAACAAAATAAAAATAAAAACTACACTACATTGTTATAAATAACAATATAATAAAAAAACAAAATATTCACTATTGTAGTTGATCATCCTTAAAAATTATTATTACATTAATTACCTTGTTATTTTATTTAAATAAAATTGTGAGAAATTTGTATCAATTTTAATAGAGTGTGTTAGAAAAAGATAAGATGGGTTGAACTCTCACAGTTCACAAAAACCACCTTGATTGAGAAAAACTCACCCTTTTTTGGCATTGAAACCCCTGGTATTTATTTTTATTTTTATTATTGGGGTTTTTTTTAATTTAATAAACAAAAAACAATTTAAATTAAGGTAGTCTAAGTTTTGTTCATTCCTACTATCATTCATTCCCGCTCAACTTTTATTATTTGTTTTAAATTATTCGATATTATTATCACTATTATTTTTATAACATATAAATTTAGTTTAGTGTTAAAAAAGTTATCATCAACGAACGCAAAAAAAACATCGCATCTGTGAGAAGAAAGGTGGTTTAAACAACAATAAATACAATTATTAAAATAATTGAATTTATTTTATTATTTGTTCATTTTTATAACACTTAAGATATTATATCTTTCACACCTTATTATTTTTGATATTGGCTATAATAATAACAATATTAATCAAACTACATAACATATTTATTTGTTAGCTGTACAGAATATAACAGTTTTCTGTTTTTTTGTTTAGAAATGAAATATTTACTTTGTATTGATGGCTCTGCCAGCAGCAGAAAGGCAGCAGAGAAAGTAACTTCAATGATTTCCAATGAAGACGCAATAATTTTCTTATCCGTATGTATGACATCATAGTTTTAAATTATCATTAATTTTTTTTTATTAATTATTTTTCATTATTATTTCACATAGGTATTTCCTCCAGTTCCAGAATCGAGTCAATTATGCTCACCAAGTTCATCAACCTTGAGTAAGATGGTTTTCGAAATGTTCTCTGGTGTACCTGATCTAGTAGATTCTAATGAAGATCAACAAAATCAATTGAAGAGATCCAACAAGAAAAAGACTGAAGCCCTAAAAGAATTACACTACTATCAGAAAATGAATATTCCTTGTAATGTAAATATCAAATTCCAATAATATATTTTCAATCACTTTTGTTTAACTTTCATTTTTGTTTTTTTTTATAGAATATAAAATATCTATTGGTTGGATCAAATGAAGTATCAGATACAATCACAAAAGTGGCAGATAAATTTGAGGTTGACTGTGTTGTGATGGGATCTAGAGGTATGGGTACTATTAAAAGGCTATTATTAGGATCTGTAAGCTCTCAAGTTTTACAAATGTCGAACAGATCTGTATTTATAATCAGATAAAATTGTCAACTATAAAAAGAGAAAAAATGACAAAAGTGTAAATAATAAGTAATATATAAATGTAAATATAAATAAATATATTATAACTTTTTTTTTTAAAATGTTAATTATGTGAAAAAAAGTAAATTTACTTTTTTTTTATTTTAATATTACATTGTTTTTTTTTTTGTTAATTATTATTATTCTCTAAAATCATATTATTGATTGTTATCATTTGTTTCAGTTGTTGTTGGTGATGGATGCTGATCACTATTAAACACTTCCAAGATAGAAGATGCGCTTGGTTTCTTCTTTTTGTTTCGGAGTGATGAAAACCATGATCTTGAGAGTGTCGATTTCTTGTTCAAAGAGTCATCGGCTGACGCGCTATCCAAGGTTGTAGAAGACATTAAATCTTCTTTGCTGTTCTTGGGTGAAACAGATCCGAGAGGTGTGAGTGATGGCGATGCCGATGTGGGTGTTGTTGGAGCGGATGAAGACGACGCTCCATCGCTGCCGCTGATTGTTCCGTTTTGTGAACGTCTGGCAATGGTTTGACGTCTGAGAATTTGGAATTCACGTTCTGCCGCTGGATTTGCAAATCCAATCGGAAGTCCAGATGTTGACGAACCTGTTGATCCAGAGGTGGGTGAAGCAGGCTGTTGTTCGTTGTCTGCTTGCTCCTGTTGGTCCTTAACTTCAGACAATGCAAGGTGTCTGCCACGAACCCTCAGAGTTGCATACTGTTGGCTGAGAGCAGCTTTGGCCAAACCAGCACGCTCTTGTGATCTCTTCATGGCTTCGTCATTTACAATCTTTCTGGCGTCGAGATCATCCTGAACTTTTTTAAATTCTGACATCCAAATATCTCTTTCCTTAGCATTAGGACATAATAACTTTAGAATACATGTTCCAAATGAATCAACCAATTCAATAATTAAATCTGATTTTGTAGAGTTACTTGAAATGGTTGTATTTGGCTGTGAATTGTTTGTTGTTGTTGTTGATGGTGATGTTGTTACTGTTGTTGGTTGTGTTTGAACTTGTGTTTGTGGTGCTGGTGGTTGTGATGGTTGACTACCGCTTGTAGTATTGTTGTTTGTTGTTGTTGTTGTGGTAGTAGTGGTTGTGGTTGTGGTCTGTGAAGAAATAGGTGGTTTGTTTGCGGTTGCTGGTGGCTTTTGATTTGAAAAGTGTGTTGGTTTGTTGGCGGCAGGTGGTGGTTGTGGTGGTGTTGCTGATGTCATAGTTCTATTCTTATATGGCAATGGAGCGATTCCAGTTGGTGAATTTGTGGATGTCCTACTTCTAGTGTGTGGAGCTTCGCTAGCAATAGGTGGTTTGGAGGTAGAAGAAGGTGGTATTGAAGGTGGTGCCGATTGTCTTAAAAATTGTTGAGGCGATGTATTTGAATGTGATGCTGATTTAAATGTATTAGTGTTATTATTGTTGTTGTTGTTGTTGATATTGTTATTGGGATGATTCTCTGGTATTTTAGGTTGTGGTTTATTGGGTGGTTTGCTAGAGGATGGTGTTGGATGAAGTGGAGGTTTCTCCTGTGAAGATGTCAATGATGATGAGCTGTTACTGTTGGACGCTGTTATTGGTGTTGGTGTTGTTGATTTCTCTTGTGAAGAGCTTAACGATGATGGTGTTGATTTCTCTTGTGAAGATGACAACGATGAAGTACTAGAATTCTGTTGCTGCTGCTGTTGTTGTTGTTCTGCAGTTTGTCTAGTTCTAAGTGAAACTAAATTCATTCTTATTGATTCCTTAACTTTGAGTGCATCTTTTCTCTTGACCAATCCACTTGTAGTTGGCTTTGTACCAATCAAAACATCGTTGAATAGATAGAATATTCTCTGTGACTCTTTACCACCTGGATTGATAACACTCAAAGATCCTTCATGTACAAATCTTCTATGTGGTTCTGCTAAATTCTATATTTATATTCAAAAAAGTTATTAATAATTGATCAATCAGATAAATAAATTAATGTTGATAGATAGTTACCTCAAATTTACCAATAAAGTTATTTTGAATCTCAGTTACTTTTTGGATATTCTCAGCTTCTCTCTTTTTCTCATTGATAGATGAAGCAACTTCTTGCATTCTCTTTAATGATTCTGTTAGATCTTGATAATCTATATGATCACTCCAAGTATTCTTTAGTAAATCCTAAAAAATTGTTAAAAACAATAATAATAATAAAAGGTGATTAGCATTGATGATCTTGTTGTTAAATAACAAATATTTGATAAACATACAGCTAATAACAATGTATATCTAGGAATTCTCTGTACTGGTAAGATCAGATAGTCGCTCATAAATCTACCATCAACCATTTCCTTATCGGTAATGAAACTATCGAATTTAGAGTTGTTCTTTCTCATACTGTTGATAGCTTCATACGATACTGTATATTCTTTAACATATTGTGTATAAACTTTTAATAGGAATATCTATAGATGATAACAATAGATTATTTATGATGATTAACAACATTAAAGTATTAGTAAAAAAAACATAACATATGTTGTTTTGATGTTATGATGATGATATTTACAAATTGAATAAAGATTGGACCAATCTTTTTAGAGGAAGACCAATCGTTGATGATCGGTTTAAGTTGTTCCAATAGAGAGTTGTTGTAGTTTTTGATGACTTCGAGATTGGAAAACACTTTTTTGAGTTGTTCGTCGATCGCCGTCTTGATATTGAGTTTCGATGCATTCTCTGTGAGTGGTTCAAAGTAGAATTTCTGTAGATTCTCTAGGTTCTTTACGTAGACCTCTTCGGTAGAGAGTATCTCCTTGACGATGTTATGACGATACGCTGCCATACGCACACGCTTATGATATTGAATTCTCATGAGATGTCCTCTAACCAATGCCTGTATTCTAATCCACTTCTTCTCATGCTGTCTTGCCTTTTGCATGATCTGTCCAGGTGAAAGCGATGCTCTTACCACTGGTTTCGAACTTCCAACAGTGGTTGACGACGACGACGACGAACCAGCGGAATGTGATGACGAAGACGAACCTCCTACGCCCAACGAAGAGGAAGAAGAAGAATGACTATGTTGTCCCGATGAAGACAAACGATTTACACCGGTAAAGCTTGTACCCATAAAACTTCCGGATGAACTAGGACGATGCTGGTGTCCTGATGATTGGTGTTGTTTAGGTTCGTTTGCAAACAATGCACGCTTGCATGGTGCACGCTTGACTTGTGTGATGTGTAGTCGTTTGAGAAGTGATTCGGTATCGGCAATCTCCTTCTCTGTGAAGTGAAGTTCGGCAGCTTGTTCGTCGGTCACCGGCTCGATGTGCTTCTCTGGCTCTTTGCCCAGGAGATGGTCGGTCGTTGATGCAATGTCGGCGAGTACCTCGAGTGACTCCAATACTTTGTAATAGTTCTTCTTCTCCATGATATCGGCCACCGCAAAGAGATAGTATCTCGAAACACCTAGATCCTCCAGTGCCTGTAGGAAGAACAATAGGTTCTCACGAATCTTAAAGTTTAGAGTGGTTCCGGTGTGTATCTTTGGAATGGAGTTGGCTTTGACTGAGAGCATAAGACGACACAGCAGTACACCATCACGCAAGCTCGAGTACAAATCCGAGGGTAATACCTCACCAATCATCTTTTCGATCCATCGTCGCACAGTGTACGTTCTCAAAAGAAACGATAGACAACTCTGCATAAACACACCAGTCGATGAATGCAATAGATTATTTGATGATCCTCTTGATTTTACTAATCCTATATTATTATTATTACTAGATGTCGTTGTTGTTGTTGTTGTTGTAGAAGTTGAAACTAATGTAGACATTTCATTATTATTACTATTATTACTATTATTTATATTATTACTAGTATCAGTTTTAGAATTGTTGTCTGTTTCTGTCGTTGTATTAGAATTGTTTAAGGTTGTATTATTATTGTTGTTGTTGCTATTATTATCGGTTGTAGTGCAAATATTATTGTTGTTATTATTAATGTTGTTGTTGTTGTTGGTTGAAATGCTACAGGCCTCTGCTGTAGTTGAATTTGTTTCAACAACAGGAGTGGTTGTGGTGCTTTCCTGTGGTTGTTTTTCGTCCATTTACACAACAAAAATGTGTGAAAATGACCCTATTAAGATGATGATAAGTTTTTATTGTTTGTGTGTTGCGAATGTGTGTGTTGTGGGCGTGCAATTATTATTATTATTATTTGATTGATTGATTTACTGATTTTAGCTAAATTTTATTATTTTTTGTTGATTGAAATCTCTCAACTCGTGTGTATGTGTGGGCGTTTTGTTGTTTCCAAATAAATGATGTTTATGCTCCTGTCCTGTGTGGGTTAATCTTTTTAGCTATAAAAAAAATGATAATAATAATACTGCTAAGCAACTTTACTAAAGATAGTATAAATTAAATATTAATGAGTGTTTTTGTTTGAATGACTGTTTGATAATGCTATGAAATTAGTTTAAAAATTGTGAAATGTGTTTTTTGTAACTGAATTATTATTATTATTATTATTATTATTATTACAATGATGAAAGAATGATTCAAAACTATCAATCATCAGAAGAAGAAAAAAAAACTTATTCTAAAGTAAATTTATATATATAAAAATATATTTGATTATTATTATTGTCTTTTTTTTTATTTTTGATCAAAGCAATGATGATTTAATCGTTTGGAAAAAAAAAATTGATATTTTTGTAAAAAATAAAAAATACACAAACAACTTGTCCAAGAAAAAAATATGTTTGTTTTGTTTGCAGTGCATGTATTGCATAAGATGACTAAACTTACTTTTAAAACTAAAGTTGATGATGTTTTATTATAAATGAATTTATTATTTCTTTTTCACGATAGAAAGAAGAAATAATCAAATAAAATTGTACAAAAATCTAAAATGTAGCAAATGATTTTTGATCAAAATTAAAAGAATAGTCCTGATTTTTTTTTTTGCTGCCCCCAAACCACATTAATATGATTGATTTTTTTGTTTTTAAATGAAAATGTAACCGCCAGAAAATAATTTGACTGTTTTTTTTTTTTACATTTTCAAATTTTAAAATTTTTTTTTTTGATCAAATATTATTTTTATCTATTATTATTTTGTGATGATGCTATTTGAAATTAATATGGTTAAAATGAACTATGAAAGAAATAGTGAGATGTTGCTCATGTGACTAGCGAGGTGGCTACCACTCGAGCCGGCTCCATTCGTTTGATCTACTAAAACAAAACAGACCATCATCATCTGGCCAGAATGACCAACGAATACCAACTACTATAGTTAATACAGTTCAATTAGAATTGTTAATTACAGGAAGCTATCATTATAATTATGTTATTTGCCCAACAACCTTTTTTTTTTTTACATGATGACGCATCATTTTAAAAACCATCTTCCTTAAACACAGGTGCACATAGGAATCTTTTATTTTATTTAGAATTAAATGAATCTTTAATTCTTTAATCAAACAAATATTTATCTCATTGTATATACTTTTTGTAAAATAAATAATGTCAAAATTTGTTCACTTTTATTAGTTTTTGTTTTAATTCAAACAATAAACACAAGTTCAATCACCAATGGCGAGGATGTTCCTGTGGTAATATACAGTTTCGTGGATACAACAGATTTATCCTTTATAAAGTATATTTTATTGATTTTAGTTTTCGCTCTCTAGCGGAGCAAATAAAGTCACTTCAAGAGATCATTGACCAATATCGAAATGTAGATGAAATGCTCTTCGATTTTATCTAAACAACAAGAAACTGCATCATCCTTAAGCAGAGGTCACATCGATTTTCACCACTCTTCAACAAAAGTATGACACAAAGAGAGTGCACTATATGGAGTTTATCTATATTGAAATATCACAACCCCATCTTGGGGGAACTTCTATGGACTATGAATTTGATGAATATGACTTTTATGGAGTACTTTTGCCAAAAGGTATAATTGAACCCGAATACAACTAGCAGAAGTGACAGTGATAGTGATAGCTCCTGTGATCACCACCTATAATCAACACTCTAATAAAAATTATTAATTTTAAATGTTTAAGCCTCAAAGATTGTATTCAACCTATTAAGATGAAACATATGTTTGTTGTTCTGCAGTACAGCAGTTCTAATAAAAAATATTTATTAATTAATTCTACAAAGTTTTAAAAATTGATCGGTCAATTTTAACAATATATATGATGATGTTGATGATGATGTTGTGGCTGAGAAGAAGTTGAAATATGATTAATTTTAAGGTAAATGTTATTATACTTTTATCTTATTATAATTAATTATTATATTTTGTGTTTGTTTTTGAAATATATATATATTTTGATCTGTAAGTTTGTTGTTTGGCATGTTGGTTTGTTTGTTTGTTATACTGTTGTTATTGTTATTATTATTGTTGATTGTTGTTTTATACACTACTCTTTCTCATGCTCTTCAACGTACTTTTACGAGCGGCCATTAAGAATGAATTGCCGGTGGTAGGTGAAGATGGAGACGATGACGACGCAATTGATCCACGCTCAATTGCCGACTCGAGGAACACGTTCTCCTCTTTGGTCCATGAGAAGTTCTTGAATGGCGAATCCAAGAGATTGGCAGATGATTTTCTTTTCGATTTGAATGTGATTGCCGGATTCAAGTCGGGATCGTCCTTGGAGGAGGTAATCTCTTTGATGGTCGGTTTGAATGGCGGAGTGATCATCTTTGACTCCAACATACGCCAGGGAATCAGCTCGAAGAACGGATGGTTTTGAATCTCCTGGACACCGCCTGAACCCAGCCGCTTCTTTGGATCAGGCACTAGCAACTTTTCAAGCAGATCCTGTGAGTCTGGCGATAGAAACATTGGTAATCTCAGATTTCCTTGAATCATTGCTTTGTACATATCGTTTCTATTCGATGCCAAAAACGGTGATCTTCCAGTTAACATTTCAAATAACAATATACCAACTGACCACCAATCCTATTAATAATATTAAAAAAAAAAAATGGTTAGTTGCTTGTGTTTGTAAATTTGTTGTGTTGGTTAGTTGTAACAACTTACAGCAGCTTTACCATGTCCAGCGCCAGTGATGATTTCCGGTGCCAAATATTCAGGTGTGCCACAAAAAGTGGTAGCAAACTGTCCATCGCCTGTTTTACCACCGACAACACTGGTGATTCCACTCTTTGATAAACCGAAATCAGTCAATTTAATGTGTCCATCTGCATCCAACAAGATATTCTCTGGTTTGATGTCTCTATAAATGATATTATTTGAATGTAGGTAATCCAACGATGTTATAACCTCTGCAATATAAAATTTAGCCAATTCCTCTGGGAATCTACCAGCCCTATAATTAAGTTAATAATTATTGTTATTAGATAAATAAAAGTTTAATAAACAACAACAACAACAACAATAACACTTACTTTTGTAAATGATGGAATAGCTCACCACCTGGAATATAATCCATACACATAAATAGATATTCGTCGTTTTGGAATGCAAAATGAAGTCTGACTATGAATGGATGATCCATAGTGCTGAGTACCATCTTTTCGGTGTTGGTGTGAGCGATCTGTTTCTTTTTCATCATCTCCTTCTTGTTGAGTACCTTCATTGCGTAGAGACGCTGGTTGTCTTTCTTTCGCACGAGGAACACCCGACCGAAGCTACCGACACCCAGCACTTTGAGCAACTCGAAATCGTCGATCGCCAACTTTTTCTTTTTCTGGTTGATGTTCTCGGATCGACGCTTCTCACTGTCGTCGGCATGGTAGAACTGGACGTTGTCCGAGGGTGGAGGTTGGCCGCCAGCACCGCCATTCTTTCCAAACAACTTTGAACCACCACCGCCACCTTCTTTTCCATTGCTACTGCTATTACTACTGCTACTACTACTTATACTACTGTTGCTTATTAGATTACCACCGTTTCCGATTGCGGTGCTGGTGGAGTTGGCATCGTGTAAAATAATGGTTTGTTGTTGTACAATTGGAATGACAGAGGAGACTGCAGCTGCCAGTGGATTCAAAGGTTTCGATGTTGTCGATGATGTCGGTAGGTTATTGATTGTCCTGATCGATAGATTACTTCCTGTCGATGGTGATGATGTTGTAGTGCTATTGTTGTTGCTACTACCATTGTTATTGCTGTTGTTGTTGGTTGGCAAGACAGTTGGTACACTGCTACTGAGCTTTGAAAGTTCGACGATTGGTTGTGGATCGTTGTTTTTCTTCATGACGAGTTGACGCTTAAGTTCTTCAGCACGAATCTTCCAGACACGTGCACCCTCAATACTATTTACATTGGGTGTATTCGGTATCATCGGATGCATCTTGATGTTGGTCGGTGTCAACGGACTCAAACCAGTGGTTTGCTCAGCACCGTTACTGTTGTAACTATTCGCTTTCGATGTATCTATCGTCAGGTTATTGGATTTTGCAATGTTTATTGGTGGTTGCCAACTACCATTATTATTGCTGCTATTGTTTAACGATTTACTTATATCTATATTATTTAGTTGTTGTTGTTGTTGTTTACTTGGTGTAGATGGTACTATCTTTGGTGAGACATGAGGTGATGAAGATGGTGATATATGCTGTTGTGGTTGTTGATAATCCGAAGAAGAGTTGTTGTTGTTGTTGTTGTTGTTGTTAACGTTTAGTTTGACTGGCGATTGTTGTTGTTGTTGTGCAGTGGCGGCAGTCGATGCTTGGTCACCCTTGCATCCGACTCCCAGTTTCTTAAACTCGTTGACGATTTGTTTTGCTTGCTCGGCAGACTCTGCTTCAAAGTGATACTTGTGCAGGAAGGTAAGAGTGAACTTCTGTGAGTCCATGCTGTCCTGATGGATATTGTAGACATCGCTATTCTTTACGAACCACTGACAGGTCGGTCCATTTAGATTGGAAACACCTTGTGAGCTTACTGCAATAGTTCTATTTTGTTTTGTTTTTATTTATTTTTTTGTTTTGTTTTTCAAAATCAGTCATTTTTTTCATTTTCATCATAGTTATTATAATTTAGCGCTGTCTAAGCAAATCATGCTTACCTTTGTTGTCGTTTGCCATAGTTATTTACTTTTATGACATCGAAAGAAGTGCAAAAGTGATCTTTATGATGTGATAGGTCTCTTTCTTTTTTACCGGGCAGTCCAAACCATGGTTTACTGCTACTCTTTTGTTTAAATGACATCTAAACACCACACGCACACACTGACAGACACAATAACACTACTATTACTACTTCTACTACTACCACTGCTACTACTTCTTCTTCCTCTGCTTCTGTTGTTTGATTTGTTTTGATCTTTGCAACGATCTAAATACTAATTGATAATGATGATAATGAAACTATATGTTATATGACTATATAATTATGTAATGTATTATGTTTATATAGTAATTTATGATCAATGATTAATGATTATGATTAATGATAAGATTTAAAGTTGGAATTGTCTTATGAATATTTTCGTCTGATTTTGTGTGTTATTTTATTTTTTGATTTTTATTTTATTTTTGAATAAATTTGTTTTTGGTTTGTTGTGTTGTAAAATGTTGGGTGCTAATAAAATGTTGGGAACACACTATCAGAGTTGATAAAAAAAACAACACAACTATCAAATAGTGACCCGAGGTTCTGTTCTTAGATATTAAAATAATAATAAAAAAATAGTTATAATAAATAAATAAATAAATATAAATAGGTAGATAAAAAAAAAAGAAGAATGAAATGATTATTTTTGAACTGCACTGCTGAATTGAATTGAATTGAACTAAACCTAACTCAATTGATAAGAAGTGAGTGATACTTATCAATTTTTTAGATTTAAAAATAAAAATGGGTCCAAATTAATTATAAACATATACTTTCAATGTTGTTAATCTATGTAGGATGGAAAGTTGAGCGGTGGTGTTTGGTTATTTTTGAGAAATCTTTTTTTTTGTTTTATTTTGAATGAGAAAAGTGGGGTCATAAGCTAAAATTATAAATTTTTTTTAAAAAAGAATCAAAATAAGTGAGTTATTTGATTGATCTTCAAAAAAAAAAAAAAAAAAAAAAAGTTTTTTTACAAAAACAAACAAAATTTGATGGAATAAAATCAGCTGATTTGCAAAAAAGCCCAAACATCTTTCAATTCATTAAAATAGCTATTTTCTCATATTTTATTACTGCTACAACAATGATAGTTCTTTTTTTTTTTATTTGTTTTTGGTTCTCCAATGCAAAAAAAAAACAAATATCTCATTTGATGATCGGAAACTAAAGTAAAAAAAAACCTTTTTTTTTTTTGCAAATTGTTGAATGTGAGTAGTCGGAATGACTATTTATTTTAAATATCATCAAAATTTACATCGGACATTGTCACATTTGCTTGCGTTGAGGTCAGTTCTTGAGTTGACGGATCGGATTGTTCATCCCCATTATTGTTATTTACTGTTTTGCTTGTGTTATTGTTGTTGTTTATGCTGTTGTCATCGGTTATATTCATACTATCATCTTTAAACTGTTGGTTATTGTTGTTATTGTTTAAATTACTACTATTTTCGCTAGTATTATTATTACTTGCATTATTTATCGGTTCTGAAGTGAGCGATGATGACGATGTACTGTAATCAACTTGAGAGAGTGACCCGAAATCAAAAACATCCTCATCAATTGACATGTTGTTTGGATCATCTTGTTGTTCTTGTTGTTCTTGTTGTCGTTGAAATTGTATTTGTGGTTGTTGTTGTTTTTGTTGTTCAACGACAAAAGCGGATTTAATTCTATTTGTAAACAGTGAAAATAAACCTGGTGACCTAAAAGTGTTTGATAGGAAAGAAAGAATCGGTAATAGAATAAAATAAAATAAAACTGTTAGTTAGTTTAAACTCGAGCAAGTTTATCATATTCGTTGAATAGTTAAATATTCTACTTACATATGTAACCATTGAGAGAGTGTTTCAAAACTATCTTTGGCGGCTTTGGATCTTGCGTTTCTTGTGACCTCAATGAGGTCCTTCGAAGAGAAGTGTAGGAGCTGGTTGGTAGAATCATAGAAATCGAATTTCAAGTTGGAAATGTGTACGAGTGGATATTGTAGCTTTGGCTCATTGCCATTGTTTCTGGTGGCGTTTGTTGTTGAAGCACTCGATACCTGTTGATATCCAACGGTCAGTGGAACGTTCACTGGATTCTCCATTGGTGTCGACGATTGATCTTTCAACCAATTCACTTTCGTCAGATTGATCTTGGCAATGTAACCACTGGCATCACAGACAAACAAAACTCTACTGTTCTCCAACCGATTACCTTCCAATTGACAAGTATTGTCACTAACATAAAGAAGTAAACCAACCAATTCATACTCTTGTTTGTTTTTAAAAGATTGTTGTTGATGTTGTTGTTGATATATTTCAATGTAGTGATTCAATTGATTTATAGGAGTGTAATTACTATTATTACTGCCATTCGGAGTAGTTGTTTCATTAGTCTGACCATTGGCAGTTGCTATTTGTTTGATCATAATCCTCTTGGAGGTTTGTAGCTCTGCAACCGGATTATTGCCAGACGACTTACGATTCTGTTGATATTGAGAGTAGAAGAACTGTTGCGGTTGTACATAGAGGAACTTGTAGCATTCATTCACCTTGATAGTATCGGCATCTGGAGGTGGATTGACAAAACACAATGTTGTTTCAACACCTCCACTACTATGTTGATTATCTTGTTGTTGATGTTGCGCTGCCAAAGAAGAGGTCGACTCCTGTGGTTCGAAAGAGAATTTTATTGGTGGAAGTGGAAGAAGAGGCATATGTTTGCCGGCATTTATATACTCTTTTGCTGACATGCAATTGCCGTTGCCATTACCATTACTGTTGTTATTACTGGGTAGAAACAATGGAATCTCTTGAACGTTATCATATGTCTCTTTTGGTGTTAAATAACCATTACTATTATTATTATTATATCTTTTAGTTTGATTATTATTATTATTGTTATTATTATTATTTCCATTATTATTATTATTATTAGATGAAGAATCCAGTAAATCCATCACACGGAATTTCAGGACTGGAACAACATTCCTCTTGGCAAACAATGGATTGGAACCGATCCATTCATTTAAATCATCTTTAGCTCTCTCATTTAAATCATTCTTTCTTCTCTCTGTTTCCATCATTAGCAAGCTTTGTTGTTCTTCGTTGAGCCTAGAGACATACTCCTCCGAGTAATCACTACTAACATACATATTATACAACATAGTTGCATCTTTAACATTTGATATATCTTTTAAACAAATAAGTTAATAAATACATATTTAAAATAATATTCTATATTAATATTAATAATGCTTACTTAGTTTAGAATTATATTTCTTTTTGTTTGAATTTGATGATGTTTCACGTTCCAACTTCTCATTGATTTCATATGTCTTTTGTTCCAACAGAGTCGACATCTTTGAGTCCAATTCACTTTGATATTTCTCTTCTTGTTCCTTACTTCTTATGATTGTCTGTGAGTTATCGCCAACAGTGATAGTCTCTTTGTAATATAAATAAAATGTTTTCTTTAAAGCAATTAGTTGATTGTTAGTTTTGATTTGTATGTTTTTAAATGATGATATAGTTCTTTTTGTTTTATACATACAACGATTTTCGTGTGTATACAAACAACGGTACCACCACCAGGAATAATCGATTTCAAAGTAACTGGAAAGTTGGCAGCTCTCTGAGGACCAAGAGTTTCATGCCAGGCAGCTCGTCTTGTCGAGTTGGTATACAACTGCAGATATACATGAGCAGCGTCAGCGTCGAATGGTTCACATCCATTCTCATTGCCAATCATCTTTGAATTCTGAATGCGAAGTTTCTGACCGACAAACAACTTTCCTTGCTTCAAACACCATGTCAAGTGAGGATCGAGCAACGCCTTCATTGAATACCATCCATCTGTCAATTCAATCGTTGCCTGTGGGAATTGTGGTTTTTTATCATCAGTACCAACATCAGCACCACCTAAATCATCACTATCCGATTGTTGATCAACATCGCCATTTGAGATAATATTCGAAATACAAAGTATCATATGAGATTCAGGTGCGTGATCACGTGCATACAGTTTCTTTAAGATCGATGGTTTCGCTTGAATCAGTTCACGATTGATTCTATCTTTCAGCTGTGATAAAACGCGTTGCAGAGTGAGGTGTCTTCCACCAAAGTGTTGGGGAAATGCCTTTTCCATCGATGCCAACTTCCATACGATCCATCCATAGTGATTATCCATCCATTCATCTGTAATAAGTCGTGGTTCAATTAGATTCTCACGTAGAATCATTGTTGATATCTCACTGAGACCTATTTTCTTCTGACGCATTGTCTTTGAATCTGGAACACTATCAAACCTAAAGTCAGCAGCGTTGTTTCTGTTCACTTCAAGAACTTCTCTCGATACCAAATTAACACAACTATGACTAAACGGTGTACCTAGGTCTTTCAATCTCTTTCTTCCATCTGTTAATTGCAATAGTTTTGGTTGATCATTTAACTTATTATTATTATTATTATTCACTTGATGGCTGTTAAATTTGTTATTGTTATTATTGTTGTTGGCGCTGTTGGTGTTGTTGATTGTTTTCATTCCATTTGAAACAGGAGGAGGTAAAGTAGGTATTGGTGGTGATTGTTGTTTGTGTAATGGTTGTTTTGGAAGTGGTTTCAAACCACTTCCAATGACTGGCTTGATTGGAGTTGACGATGATGATGATGATGATGTTACGGATGTATTTGCAATGGTATTATCTTTGTATGGTGAGATAAAACCAGTTTTCTTTGGTGTCATTGGCTTGATTTTAGATAAACTTGGTTTAAGTGGTGTAAGAGCTGTCGGTGATGTGGCTGAAGTTGTTGTACTAGTTGTTGTTGTTATCGGTGTTGTTGGTGTATCTATATTTGTGTTTGCTAAAGTGATGTGTGGAGGTGGTGACTTTGAAACAGGTGTGATCGGTTTGGGTTTGGAATTAAAAGATTTCATTGGTGTCAGTCCATTCGGTGATTGATTCTGTGCTGGTTTCTTTGGTGTTGTAGTCGTGGCATATGAGAATAGCGATGATGATGTCGCTGATGAAATAGGCTTATTAGCTTTGGATATCGTTGGTTGTTGTTGTTGTGGAGGAGATGGAGTTGATGTCTGTTTTTTAAATGAATTTGTTGGTGAACTATTATTATCTTTATCTTTTGGTGTATTAAAATTAGAAGACTTCTTATTGTTATTATTATCATCTTTATCTTCATCGTAATGATCATGAGGATCACCTTTATTCATTACTTTTTTGGATGAAGCTGAAGATGAAGTGGAAGTGGAGGTAGCAGCATTCTGTAGGAAATCATCTTCATCATCCAACTTTAGGTTACTGTTGTGTGGAACATCAGCAATTTTACGTTCTGCTTCCAATAGTTTCTCTTCATCGATCTCTACAGTTTTAAATATTAATTTACCATTACCATCAGCTTTAGCGCGACCAAATCCTTTGAATACACCATCATCATCACCAGTAGTAGCGCCGCCTGTAGGACGACCAAATCCACCGAATCCACTCATGCTATTACCACTTCCACTTTTCAAATTCTTCATGGCAACATGACCGAATCCATCCTTAAAAATATCGTCGTCGTCATCATCAAATTGATTTATTGTTTTCTTATGATTAATAGATTCTGATGATTTTCTTTTCTTACTATGATCAATATTATTATTATTATTATTGTTGTTGTCATTGTCATCTTCATCATTATTATTGTTGTTGTTTGATTGAGGTGAATCACTTCCACCTGTTTTTCTACTTTTCATCTTGTTTTTTTAAATGTAATGATTTAGATTAAATAGATAAATGTTGTTTGTTTATATGTATATTTGATAATTAAATAGTAAAAAGAAATAAATGATAATAATAATTAAATTATACCTTCTTTATCTCTATAATCTATTACTGTAAAAGTGATAATACTAATTTGATATCTGTCATTGTTTTCACATTATTTTCAAAAAATGAATTAGTTTTTTACAAAGATTTCTTAGAAAAAATTAATTTGTTAACACATCATCATTCATTGTTTGAACATTTAGATAGTTATAGTTAACAGATAAGATAAGTTTATAAAATGGTTGATTATGGTCAATTAAATCAATTTGAATGTATGTTGATTATTAATTAACACATATCATGATTATTAACATATGAATTAATATGAATTTATATATATATATATATATATATGTATATTATAGATTTAGATCACACTGCTGATATTATGTTTGTATGTTTTTATTATTAAATTGGAATTACTTTTTTGAAATCAAATTGAAATTTATATTAATAATAAATCATCATATTAAAGCATACATGTATGTATATCTTATATATAGTTTTATTAGTTAGTTAGATATTCATTGATTGATTGATATTCATTCATTCATTTGTACTAAATAGGGGGTGATAACCTTGGTGTTGCTTTCGAACAGATGGCATTGGCAATGATGAACTATATGGTCGAATTGGATTCAGTACATTTAGATCAACATCAAGAAGATGAAATTAAAGAACATACTATCAATGTTGAAGGTACATACTACTATATATTTGATAAACTAACCCACTAACTAACTAACTAACTAACTAACTAACTAACTAACTAACTAACTAACTAACTAACTAAACAAAACACTACTTAAGGTCATGATATGGATAGTTTATTATTTAGTTATTTAGATGAGTTTCTTTTTATCTTTAATACAGAGTTTCTCGTTTTCAAAGAGATCAAAGTTTTGTCGATAGATAAAATCAACTTTAAGATCACTGCAACTGGGTATGTTATTTTATGTTATGTTACTAGTGATGACATTAATATTTAAAATATTAACAATCATCATCTATTGATATTTATAGTAAAGGTGTAGAGTTGGATAAATCAAAGCATACTACAGGTACAGAAATCAAAGCTATAACCTATTCATGTATGAAGATTGAAGAGAAACCAGAGAAAACTGATATTTATGTAATTGTAGACATTTAATAAAATAAATAAATAAATCATTTGAAGAGAGAAGAATGATTTTTTTAAATATTGTTTGTTTATTTATTCATTCATCTCTCTATTTAGATGTTTGGATTGGTATTTAAACACATTGAAGCTTTGCTTATTGAAGGAATTTATCAATCGATTTTGTTGGTGTCTTGATTTCAATAAAACAATAGACCTCTTTAGGATTAATAATATCATTTACATTGTTATTATTATTATTATTATTGTTGTTATTTTCACCATGATTTGTAGATGTAGTAGTTGTTTATGGTAGTTCTTTTCAAACCATTCAATAATTGAAACCATATTTTCATTCTCATTATAATTATCACCTTTACTTTGAAGATCAAACAGTCTTTGTGCCAATTCTTCCTTTTTACTATCTAAATTTGAATTTTTGTCTAACGCTTTCAACTTTCTTTTTTTTTGATGATTAATTAAATTGATACCCAGCTCCAAGTTAAGTGGGTGATCCAGTTTCGCTTTACTTTTGTTCAAATGAAAACATATTTATTTTTAAGATCTATATTAAATAACAAGCTGTTAAGAAATAAGTTATTTAACTTTGTTAATTGGATACATTGTATCGTGTTAAAGAAGCAATATAGTTTAAGTTGGCAATGCATGATCAATGAATATCCAGAGTTATTGATAGATTACAGATTTGATGATCGGTATCTTTATGAGTATCTCTCAAAGTTTGGAGATGCAAATAAACATGAACAACCACCTTTCGATCGGTTAAAGAATGCTATGCTGGCTGCGATCAGACAGAACAGATTGGATCTGATAGAGACGATCATCAACAAACAACCAGGCCTTTGGCACTCAGAGATCATCACGTTTCATCAGGCCTACCAAGAAGAGTTGTGTGTAACCGCTGCTGCATATGAACGAGAAGACATTCTAAGGTATCTAATTGACAGTGTCGGTGTCAACTCGACTCTGGTTATGCTTGCCACTCTCAAAAGTACGGTTGCTACCAATCGTAATTTAAATATTGCTCGACAATGCTGTAAATTCATTGTATTCGATGAGTATATTAGTAACATTATCATGGCTATTGCACCGGTTATCAAGTTGAACGATTCCGACATTTTTATGATGCTCTACAACTGCAGTGCTTCTATCAAACCGATAGCAATTAAAGGTATATTGAAAACTGGCACTCTAGATCTCTTGAACGTGGTAAAGGAATTCGAGAAGAAGAGGTTTAGTGAATTAGTGATGTCAGTTGGTGATTGTATTTCAACTGCAGCCAAATATAATCAATTGGAAATACTACAATATCTTCTAGAGAATCAACTTGGTAAAAAGGAGAATGCCGATAAATATCTATCGTGTCGTTCTGACACAAATTTTGAGATCATTCAGTGTCTCTATGATTACTATAAAGATAGTATAGTTTCATATCCACTATTGATATCAAAAGCAATTGTATCTGGAAATGTTCGAGTGTTGGAGTTTCTACTTTCTTTGGGTCGTCTTTCGGATGACGAGAAAAGCAAATGTTTTGCAACAAACCCTATGAACTATGCAGCAAAGAACAACCATTTTGATATGTTAAAGTGGCTCCACTACAATCGAAGTGAACCGGTCACTAAAAGTGTAATGGAAGAAGCGATACTCAGTAACAATATGGCGATGGTTCAATTCCTGGTTGAAAATCGTACTGAAGGTTGTACTAATAAAGCTATTCAATATGCGTTGGAAGTAAGGAATTTGGAGTTGGCACAATATCTTTTCGATAATATAAGCGGAGTGAATTGGCAGATGAGAAACGATCTCCTTGAGACTCTTTGTTACAACGGTTGTTTGGATATCATTCGATTCGTACTTGAATACATTCCTCTGGAACATTCATTCAGTCGTCAAGCAATGATATACTCTGCTGCCAATGGATTTCTAGAGATACTAAAACTTATACATCAGTCGCCAAACTCTGGAAGTACCTTCAAAACAATGGACGCCGCTGCAGCGAACGGTCACCTCGATATTGTTGTTTGGTTGAACGAGAATCGGACAGAGGGTTGTTCAGTTTCGGCGATTGATGGTGCCGCTGGAAAAGGTCACCTCGATGTTGTGAAGTGGCTATATTTCAATCGTTCAGAGGGATTCAGTTCCACAGGAATGGATAATGCCTTGGCAAATGGTCATACCGACGTCCTAGAATTTCTTTATGAAAATAGAACGCAAGATTGCTCACCAAGATCAATACAACTCGCTGCTGAATACGGACACCTTAATGTTTTGAAATGGCTGATCGCCAATCAAAGTGATGATGATGTGAACGATCTTCAGTTTCCTTTAAGAGAACATGCCAAAAGAGGAGATTTGGAAGCAATTAAGTATCTATATGAAATAGGTAGAGCGAATATCGATCATTCAACTCTTGAGTTTGCAACTATTTATGATAGATTCAATGTAGTGCTTTGGATACTGGAGAATCACTTTGTCAAAGTTGACTCATTGGATTTTGGTCCGTTTAATAATGCTCTATTGGATAGTTATAGAAGTGATCCAAACAAAACTTTGTTAAAACTAAAAAAGCTTTCATATTGTCAAATCAACAATATTCCAAATATAAGTTTTTAATAAAATGATCTTCTTCTTTTTTTGCAATCAAACCATATGAATTCGAATAATCTACTATGGTTTGCACAGTTATCTTTTTTAAAAGAAAATGATTAATTTTTTTTTAAAAAACAAAAAGGTAAATTGTGAACTTCCAATTAATTTGGATCAATCTTAATTTTTTTTTATTTTAAAACTTTGGATACTATTTTTTTTTAAAAGTACCACTTCACAATTATAATTATAAATAGTAATAACAATGTGTTCGAATTTATCTAAATTACTACAAAACGAAATAATAAATAAGCTATTGAATGATTATGGAGATAGTAATAGAGAATTTCAACCACTACCTTCATACTACCCAACTTTGAAAGAGCATATCTACGATTACACTTCAGGTCAACAGGTATTCGATAGTTTAGAGTATTTCGAGCAGTTGAACTACAATCGATCGATACTGGAATATTGTTTGGTTTCTAAGGATTGGTTTCATTACATATCAACTTGTGCCAATCGATTCTACGCCAAACAATCACTCGAACTATCAAATAGTTTGTCGATTTACCAATTCGAGAATATCACACATCTCTATGCCGATTTCTCACCCGAACCATCTTGGATCGAACGCTTTACCAATCTAAAGAGATTGGTTATCAATACAGATGATGGTAAGCTCGTACAACAACTGATCAATCAATTTCCATTGATTAAACTAGAGGTCTTTGTCGATCAAGATAGAGATAGTGCAGTTGTAAATTGTGATTTATCAGCAACAGGTTATGACACATTGGAATTCGTACATATTAATGCCTATAGTATCTACGGGGCTGTGGATTTCGAAGATTTGGTAGAGAACTACTATAAAAGCTATCTCAAGCGTTGGCGTGCAAATTCAATCTACTTTATCTATGATGACGGTGATCATGACGGTGGTGTATGCAACCTCTCTTACAACCAACTATTCAAAGTGAAATCACTAAGAAACATTATCATTCCAGACGATCGTTTCTTTGCAAACGCATTGAAATGCATTGTTTCCAAGAATACTTTGATCGATTCATTCAGATGTAATATTCCGCTCGGTATATTCGATGCATCGGCTCGTTCAACATTTGTGGAAGATGATGAAGATGAAGATGATGAAGATGATGATGAAGAAGAAGATGATGATGATGAAGAAGATGATGATAGTGAAGAAGAAGAAGAAGAAGAAGAAGAAGAAAATGAAGCAAGTGAAGGTGATAATGAAGATAATGAAGTAGATAATTCGACTAATGGTAGATATTGTCGTTGTTTTCCATATGATATGGAGAATGAAGCATTGGCTCGTAGTAAATTAAAGTATTGGAAACAATTTTGTTCTATTCTTGCACGTAATACACGATTAAAGTATTTAGAGTTTGAAAACTTTTGTACTTTCAACAATGGTGGTTCAGTAGATGATCATAGTCTAAGGCCACAAACAATAGAATCGACATCATTAGCACTCAGTAAAGCACTTTCAGTCAATAAGACATTGACTTCATTGACGATCTCATGTCAGGTGCTATCGGGGTCATTCTTTCAGACGTTGGCACACTCCAACCAAACCATCAGTCATCTCTCTCTCACTGAATGTGGTACCGATCAAATTGGTCAACTAGCTACTCTATTGGAATCGAATAGCACAATACAACGTCTTGGTATTGCATTTCATGACGAATATTATCAAGAGATGATAGGCAGTAAACAATCAGACACCACAAAAGCTGCAACTGCCAAAGCTATTGAATCATTCTCACTTGCGATTCTCAACAACAACACAATATCAAGATTAGACATCAAAGAATTTGAACCCTATACAATTAGAACTCACATTGAAAGTTTATTCAGAAGTAGAGATCAACAAATATCCACCAAACTAGTGAATAATTATCTTGTTGGTGCTATTACACACACATTATTTTTTTAAAAAAAAAAAATTAAATAAATATTAATTTGGTTGGTGTGAACTTCACCCAAAAGAAATCTGATTGCAATCTCCATTGATTTTGAGAATGTTCCTTTGGCTTTGAACTTAGTTTAAAATGGGTTATTATTATTATCATATTATTATTGTTATTTATTTATTTCTATTATTCATGTATTATTATTACAAAGAAGATGGATATCAAAGTGTTGAATGACGATTTTTTTATTTTCGATATAAGTGAATCAAATGTAGATCAGGATGAAGATGACAACTTTCTATATCTAGACAACGCATGTAATTTCAATATCCTATTGATTATTTCAAGTAGATCTGCGGAAAATGAAGAGTATCCTACACTGTTCTCTACTCATCTCATACCGATATACGATCATATCTTCTCTGACGAAGGTGGCGTTATTGTATTACCCAAGTATGTTTACAACCTAAACCTTTCATTTCTATTCATGGAAGGTGATCAACTCTATTTTAAATCATTCGATTTAAAGACTGCTTCCTATGATATCAATATCAATTTTGACAAAGAGAAACAACGACAACAACAACAACAATTAATCACCTACAATCATAGTGATAATATCAATAGTCAATTATTAAAAAAGATTGTTATTAATAATTCACAAGCACAATCATATTATATTATTGCTAAATTCCGAAATAGCTACAACAAAGTGTTGTTAACTTTATCGAAATCATATGAAATGGTAATTATCATTAAGAAATGATAGAGACATTGCTAATACTAACGAAAATATCATTCAATTTAAAGGGTGTTTATAAATCAATTATCTATAGAGATAGTATTAGAGTATATGAGGGAATAGAAAATGAAATCAAAGCAATGGAACTACTGAAAGGAAAGAGTAACTTTGTACAACTTATCGACCATTTTGATGATAAACCAAATCAAACTTTTCATATGGTAACTGAATTTTGTAATCAAGGTGATCTAAGTCAACTCTTTAACTATAGATTTAAAAGGTAATAATAAAAATGAAAATATATTTAATTAAATCAAGATTTACTAATCAAACTTTATTATAATCGCAATCTATAATAATATTAAAAACAATAGGGGTGAAGATTTCCAAGAGAATCAAATATGGCAATTCATTATGCAAATGTTTGACATACTAAAGGAATTGGAAGAGTTTAAGATTGTACATTGCGATATTAAACCGTCGAATATTTTCATTAAAGGAAAAGATTTAAAGTTGGTCCTTGGAGATTTCGGATGTTGTATCTTTACGGACAAAAAAGAGGTCAATCAATTTAGTCAACCAGAATACAGTCAGTTCATGGAGCACCAAGACAAGAAAGCTAAATTACCTGCTACCATTGCCCCAGATAAAGAATTGAACTCTGTTACAAACATTGAAAGTGAAGATTCAGTGTTTGACATGGAAGAAAATAATGATGATATCGTCTTTAAAGCAACAAGAGGAACAAAAGGTTATATTGCACCTGTATGTAAATATATCATTATTATAACTATTAGTACATACTTATTTACATTCATTTTTATGACCAAAAAAAGGAAGTTAAATTTAAGTTATATTATCAACCAATTGATATCTATTCTATTGGATCAACAATTCTTAAACTATTATCATGGTAATTAAAATATAATTTTTTATTGATTTACCTTAAAGAAAATACTAACTTTTTTTTTGTTAGTTCTGAAGAAGATAAGGATAATCATGAAAAATTCAAATCAGATTCAAAGAATATTGTTATTAGTAAAGATAAATATACAGATCAGCTAATAGAGTTTGTAAAGTTATTACTGGACGATCAACCAAAGAATAGAGAATCGGTACAACTAGTATTTAGTAAATATAATAATATTATAACCAATCAGTTTTCAAACAACCAAGGAGGATATATAGAGTACAATATCAATAAACCAATAGGTGTAGGATTATTTACGGATTTACTAGAAGAGTTGCTCTTTGGAGATACTTTCAACCAGATCATCGAGCCAGAAACACTACCAAAGTGTCTTAGAAAGTTGGTCTTTGGAAGAGATTATAATCAACCATTAGTCATCGGATCACTGCCCAATTCGTTGGAAACTTTAGTGTTTGGTTTTAAATTTAACCAATTAATCCAACCAAAGATACTTCCTCCAAATTTGAAGGAGTTGAAATTCGGAAGAAATTTCAATCAACCTTTTGAATCGGAAACACTACCTCCAACTTTAAGAGCACTGAACTTTGGAGGTCATTTCAATAGGGAATTACTGCCAGGATTTCTACCACAATCGATAAAATCAATTAGATTTGGAAAGGAGTTCAACCAACCAATTATAGATATACTTCCTACATCACTAAAGGAATTGAAATTTAGCACAATGTTCAATCAACAGGTTCCACCAGGAATTCTACCACCCAGATTAAAAACATTAAAATTTGGTAATAATTTTAATCAGCCTTTGCCGAGTCTACCAAAATCATTATTGTCCCTTGCATTAAAGTTGAACTTCAATCACCCAATTCAACCAGGAGTACTGCCGGAATCACTGGAAGAATTAAAATTAAGTTGGCTGTATAATCATAAAATTCCAATTGGAGCGCTTCCGAAATCATTGTTGCTTTTAAAACTAGGTGATAAATTCAATCAACCTCTTGAAAGAGGATCACTTCCAGACTCGATAAAGTTTATTAAATTTAGAGAGGAATTTAATCAACCTATTGACGATGTTTTACCGAAATCGCTCAAAACTCTGGTGCTTGGAAAGAATTTCAATAAACCTTTACAACCAGGTGTGCTTCCTCCGCTGTTGGAAGAGTTGGCCATAGGTGAGTGCTATAACCAAACTCTAATACCTGGTTCTCTTCCAGATTCGCTCAAGAGAATTCAATTTGGAAATAGCTATACTCAGGTAATTGACAAGAGTATTCTTCCAACATCATTGGAAGGTTTACAATTTGGCGACTCTTATAACAATCCAGTACAGTCTGGCTCTCTACCTGAGACTCTGACATCATTAGTGTTTGGACACAGTTTTAATCAACCGATTCTCGAGGGTGCAATACCAAGTAAGGTAGAATATCTAGAGTTTGGCGATGCTTTTAATCAGCCTATTAGTCAAGGTACACTTCCAAACAACCTTAAAGAACTTGTCATTGGTGATTCATTCAATCACCCAATTAAACCTGAAACACTACCCAAATCACTTGAACTTTTAAGATTAGGTGAAAAATATAAACATAAACAAAAACTGCAACAATCAAAATCAATAAAAATAATATATGGTGAATTTGATTAACAACAAATAATAAAATATTTTATATATGTAATGAATATTATTTATTCGTCGTCGTCTTCATTTTCTACTTCCTCTTCTTGATCTTCTTCTTCTTCTTCTTCTTCTTGATCTTCCATTTCATCGTCTATTTCTTCATCTTCATCCTCTTGTAAAACTTTCTTCTCTTGGTTGTTATCCAAATTAATGATTGCAACAGTATTCTTTACATTGACTCTGTGCCATCTTCCAAATCTATGTTCTTGTCCGATTGCGGCAAATAATAAAGTTCCGTCTTTGTTAAATGTCATATCATTGATAAATCCATCCTATATTTAGATAACAATTAACAATTAATAAACTTTTATCTAAAATTAAATGTTCAAACTCGATACATACGATATTGATTGTATTAACTTCTTTCAATTTATCACCAAAAACTCCCCATAATCTAATTCTACCGTCACATGAACCCGATGATATGATGTCGGCAAACTTGACACAAGCAATCGATGATACCCATGGTAACGATGATTTTGGATGTACATTGTTCTGGATATGTGTTGGGTTACGCTTGACTACGTTCCACAGCTGGACGGATCCGTCGTCGGACGCCGACACGAAACGATCCTCGGCCAACAACGCTACCTTGTCGATCGATTGTTTGTGGCCACGGAAGATCAACTGAGTCTCCTCTGGAATCTTCCAGATTCTCAAGGTACGATCGCTACCCGAAGTGATACAACGCTCACGAGTCAGTGCATCGATCGATGTGATTGGATTCTGATGTCCGTAACGAGCATCGACAAACGCCATCTGACTGAGATCCCAGATTCTCAAGGTACGATCGTACGATCCCGAGTACAGGGTGTATGTTCCCTTTCTGAATGCCAGTGCCGATACAATGTCTTTGTGGCCACGGAATGTCTCTACAATACGATGATTGTCTTCGGTGTCCCAAACCTTGATGACTTTCTCCTCACCACCGGTAACCAGATACTTTCCGTCGAATGACAATGCCATTGCCAAAATTCTACCTGTATAACTATTTGTCTCCTTGTCTTTCTCTAGCTTCTTAGTAGTGTTTTCGTTACCTTTACCATCTTCAGTGGCGGTACTGCCGTTCTCCTTTTGTTCTTTTTGTTGTTGTTTTACTAATTCTCTATGTTTTCTTGAATTGATAAATGCTTTAATCTTAAATAACTTTTCTTTTGTACTTAAATCCCCTGTGTTTATAATAAATGATCAATTAGTAATTTGTTTGTATCAATAATGGTATCTACTCCATCGCTATGTTTACATACACTTAATGATTGCATCTCTTGATGCACTATATAAATATTTCTCATCGTCACTTAAAACGATGCATGTAATTGGTTGATTGTGTCCTTTTAGGAAGGTGATATTCTTGTCGGTTATATTTAATTCAGAGATGTGTCCTTTTAATTCTCTTTGATATTTATATGACTGCTTAATCTAATAACAAGTAACAACAATCAAATGTATTAATAATCTAATAGTTTTGTTTTTCAAATGATATTATTTTTAATAGTTACTCTATCTTGATGTACATCGTCTAGATCAGCCAATTCACCTTTGACAGCTGACAACTTTCTTAAATATTCTTTAGCAATTCTAATTCTCTTTTCATCTGCAGTTTCTTCTTCTTCGTAGATTGGTACATTCACTCTCTTTCTCTTTCCATTTTGATTCTCCTCCTCTTCGTCGTCTTCATCTTCACCATCTTCATCACCATCTTCATCACCATCTTCATCTCCATCTCCATCTTCGTCTTCATCTCCATTGTCTTCTTCATCATCACTATCATGAGTGCTGTAACCATTTGAAGTTTGAATTGATTGATCATCTTCTTCTTCCTCTTGTGAACCGTTATCATCATCTTCTTCTTCATCTTGTGAGGGGTTGTCGTCATCTTTATAATAATCGTCATCTTCGTCATCTTCTTCCTCTTTTCTAATTGGTCTACGTTGATTTCCATTGGCTCCACCTCTACTTCCACCTCTGGCTCCACCTCTAGCTCCACCGCCTCTTGAGAATCCACCTCTGTTTCCACCTCTGGCTCCACCGCCACCTCTTGAGAATCCACCTCTACTTCCTCCTCTAGTGACAGCACCGCTCGAACCACCTCTGTTTCCACCTCTGGCTCCACCACCACCACCACCTCTTGAGAATCCACCTCTACTTCCACCTCTGGTGATGTTGCCATTAGCACCACCTCTGCTTCCACCTCTGGCTCCACCACCACCTCTTGGCTTGGCAACTCTATTTCCAGTTCCAGGTGCACTACCTGGTTTCACAAAAAAGCTATCCATCAATCAATAGATCTGATCTAATACTATATCAATTAATCGATGAATATTAAAATATAATTATTATTTTAATAAAAAAAAATTACAAAATAAATAAAAAGACAAATCGTTCGTTTTTTCATTAAAAAAAAAAATTCAAAAAATAAATCAATATTTTTTTAAAAAAAAAAAACTAAATTCAAAAAAAAAATTTAAAAAAAATGATTAGACTCATATTATTTTTTTGTTATGTAGTACTACATAATATGAAACTTTATTTTGAATGACATAATATTCCTATGTAGATGGATTATAGCAGTCACTTTTGTTTGATCAGACATCGTCTCAAGTGATTTTTCTTCAAAAAAAATTGGAAAACAAAAACTAGAAAAAAAAATATAAATAAATTTCTTAAATTATTTATTTATATTTTGTTGATATAATGATCACGTCATCTTGTTTACCAAAAAAAAACCAATTAATTAATAAACATATTAACTATAAAATACATATGTATACTTTCTTGGGAAACAAAAGTTGTAATTTTTCGTGATTCATTAAAATAATCATGACGTTGGGAAAGAAGAAGAAAAAAAAGTTTGTTTGAATTTTTTTTTTGAAAATTATTTTAAAAAGATAACATAGTTCACAACCTTTCATTTTTTTTAATTATTTTCATTTTAAAATACAAATACGATTAAATTTAACAACTTATAATATTACATTTATAATATATATACTATACATACAGATATAAAAAATGGCAAGACGTGGAGCATCATCATCTAGATCATCACCAAAGGCACCAACTACTACCACTGCCTCTAAACCAACACCAGCACCAACCAACACTCACAACTCTGCACCACACCAACCAGCACCAGTTGTAGTTCAAGGTCCAGGTATCCTCTCAACTATGGCTTCTTCAATGGCCGGTGCTGTCGCCGGTAACGTCATCGGTCACGCTTTGGTCGGTGGTGTCAGCTCAATGATGGGTGGTAACGAACCAGCCGCCACTCAAATCCCAGAAGTCAACAATAACCAAAACATGCAATTGGCCAACGAAAACAACCAATGCAATACTATTTATAAGTGTATGTATAAATATTGAACAAACAAAGATAAGCAAACAAAACTAACAAATCATAATTTACAATACAAAAATAGCTTTCATGACCTGTTTAGAGAAGAACTCAAATGATCTCGCTTCATGTCAATGGGTATACGACTCATACATTCAATGTAAATCAGGAAACAATGGAGAGAAATTCTATTAAATAAAATAATTTATAAATATCATATATACTTTAATTAATAATTAACAAATATATATTTAAATTATAAATCTCTCATTCTATCTTTGATCAATTTTTTTTTATTTTTTTTATTTAAATCATTAATCTAAGTTGTTGAATATATGAATAGCTGATTCTTATTACTTAGTGCTGTTGATCCGTTGGCATGCGATATACAGTTGATCATGGAGTTGAGATGGTCTTTAATTGTAAGTTTGTCAACACCCATCGAACTTGATGATGAGTGATTTCTTTGTTGTTGTTGTTGATTGTGATTATTACTATTTACAAAAGGTGAACTATTGATGTGATTGTTGGAGATGTTCGACCAGTTACGAACTGGTATATGATTGAATTGATTGTAGATATCGATTTGTATTGGCTCAAAGAGATAGCCACTGTTCATTAGAGCGGAGGGTGGTAACGGTGGCGATGGTAAAGGTTGTGAAGATGATGAATTCGATGGCATTGGTAATATATTGTTATTTGATTGTTTTAACCATTGTTGTTGTTGTTGTTGTTGTTGTTGCAGTAGTTGTTGCTCGAGTATCAGTGGAGGTGGTGATTGTAAAGTAAATGGATTGTTTGTAAAATAGTTGCTACTACTACTGTTACCGATACTATCATTATCATCGTCATATTCATTTACGATGGAAGAAGGTGAAGTTGTGGTGGAAGATGAAAAGCTAAACATCTGGTGTGAATGTTGATCTACTAGTTGATCGTCAAATATCATTGATTGTTGTAACGCCGACGAATAGTGCAATGGATGAGGATATGGTAATGCTTCAAAACTAAATGAATCAGAGGTAAATGGATTCCAAACCAATGATTTATTATCATATGAACCTGTTATTATTTCACTAGTGTGTTGTTAAAGTAATATTTTAATAACTAATCTAATCTAAACTAAAATAAATGTTATACTTACTTATTATTTATAAATGTACGAAAGAAGAGGAATCATACATATCGTATAGCTTTGCTAATAAATACTCTTGATTATATAGATTATAAGTGGCCAATGGTTTACTCTCCATATTTATATCCCAAACTATTATTGTACAATATTAATATAATATTAGTTATTTTGTTTTATAAACTAGATACTGGTATCGTAAACATACTTATTAAAGATTCAAGATTTCTAGTAACGAAATATCTACCATCCTTGTTAAACTTTAAATCTAATATCGAATTTAAATATTGTGAGAATATAGATTGATTATTCTGTTTCGATTCATAAACTATAGTATTGGGAACATGTTAATAGGTAAACATATTGAAAACAATCATTAGTTAATAAGTAGATAGTTACTCTTTGAATGACCATTACAAAGTGCAGATATTCTCATATCACATAGTTTTACAGTTCCATTGCTCGTACCATAGATGAGTGAATTACATTGTAGAGGATGAAATTCGGTTACTCTTATAATCTCTGTTAACATTTGAATATTAGATGGTTTTAAATCGATAATATCTTGAAATAATAATAATAGTATTAGTAATTATGTATATGTAAATGATTGGAATGTAGGATAGTTACTATAACATTGTTGACCTATATTTAAATCCCACAGATAAACTCTAAATTCATCCGAGGAGAGAAATGTTTGACAGTCACTGTTGATACTGATAGAGTTTAAATTGAATATCTCTTCATGTTCATATGATTTCTTTAGTGTAAATTTGTATTGATTGTTATGATTGTTTATAATTCTCATTGGTATTTGGTGTATGCCGATGTCGGAAGAACCACTCAAACTAAAGTCATGTGTGAATCGCCAGAGTTTAGAGGAACTGACACTCGTCGACAAGAACAAGAGATGTGAACACGCCATGCTATTACACCAACGTATCTGAATCACACCTGACTCGTGTGCTTGATAGTAAAATAGAATATCAAAGGTAGACAGTGATGTCGATGTCGATGTCGTTGTCGATGATTGTAGTTGTAGCTGATGTTGTAGTTGTTGTTGTATATGTAATTGATCAACTTGTTGTTCCGATCTATCTAACATCATATCAATATCATTGTTAACAATACCGGATGGTGACGACAACGACGATATATTATCGTTATCCATTATAAACATGTCGTCTACATCGATGTTGTTGTTGGTATCATCACTGTAGTTATCATCTATTAGCATGATGTTGATGTTATCGGATGTGTTGCTCCTTCTTCTTAGGATTCTCTTGCGATTCATCGATTCGTTTGTGCCAGCAGTTATATCGTGTCTTTTGAGCGAGCCTGACGATGTTGACGACGAAAGTGATATCGGTAGAGATCCCGACGATCCAATTAGAGATCGACTATTACCACCACCACTCGATTTCACCATAATAGCAATCGATCCATTGCTATATCCAACAGCAAGATATCTTCCACTACTATCAAACTCCAAAGTCGATATTTGTAACATTTGATGATTCATTTTTCGAGCTAACCAATTAACTAACTAACTAACTAATTGATGTCAACTACTACTCTACTCTACTCTGTTCTGCTCTACTCTACGCTACACACTTCTCTTATCTTCCTTCTCACTTCCTAGCAGACCCAATCCAACGAAATCAAACTTCCACAAAGTAACTCCCTTCTTATAAATATCTTTATTTTTATTTCTTCCTCTCTTTTTTTCTCTTTATCCTATTTAATTCATATATTTTATATATCTTTATCACTCTTTATCTCTTTTCAAGTTAAAATTATTTAATTTAGTTTTGAAATAAAAAAATTAAAAAAAAGATCACATATTATTATTTAATAAACTCCAACAAAAAAAAAAACACATTATTAAATTAAATATTTTTTAAAAGTTCATTGACAGTTGTGTAGTTGTAGTATTGTTTATCATAATTTCATTTTAATTATTTGTGTTGCGTTTATCATAAAAATTGATAGTAATAATAATTTTTTTATTATATTTTTTAAACAATCAACATAAATAAATAAATAACAAAAAATAAAAATAAAATAAATAAATCAATTAAAAGTAATATATTATTATTTAGCTTTTCAAAAGATATCTCACTATTTATATAAATATGGAACATTTAAAGGATTTTAGTGCAAGGATAAGGGTAAGGTAGGGAACAATAAGGAATCCTAGATTAACACTGGGATGGGGGAGATATTGCCAATAGTGAATCATCAGTTCAAAGAGAGAGCTCTCTTACTTTAATGATTAAAGTGTAAATCAAAAAAAAAAAAAAAACCGAACGAAAAAAATAAAACAATTATTTACCATTTTTCTTTGCAGAGAATCCAAATTAATAATTATCGGGGTCATCAGGTTTGTGCTTTTTTAGTTGTTTTATTTCATCTCCTTCGATCATGACACCCCTCCACTGCCGTTGTTCCAAACAATATTTGTTGTTACCTATGCAAACTTATGATATTTTTTTTTTTTTTTTTTATAACAAATTTATATAATTGGTTGATCTTTTTAATTCAAAAAAAAAAAAAGAAATTATTCTTCTCTCTCGGTATCAGGATTTTTGTTAATAATTAATATGAGTGAAGGGTAAAAAAGTTTGCTTGAACCGAAAGAATTGCATTATAGCTGTGAGAGGAGAAAGAGACCTGACTTGTCATATGGAATGTTGTTTTGCTTAAATATTAATTTCAAGAGTTGGGGGAAGTATCTAACCACCAAAACAGTACTCAAATAACTCTTTGTATTTAAAATACCACTACTTTTTGATTTACCCATTATTCTCCTTTTGGGTGTGTTTATTGTTGCCTGCAATGATTTAGATTTTCGTGTTGATTTATAAATTATACGTATTATTATTATTTATTTAATTGTGTTTTTAATTTTTAATTTTATTATCAATTGACAATCATGATTTCCATCGATTTAAATAGACGGTAACCATTGCTTAGAATTTCAGTCATTCAACTCACTCATCCCTTAAACATTCACAAATAATTTCTATTTTATCTATTTGTTTAGATTTCTAATAGAATTATATATAATCTTTATTTATATACAATTTTTTTTCTAAAACAACAGTTCTTCAAATAACATTTGATATTAAACTCTCACAAAAATGAAATCATCAATTATCTATTTCATTGGTTTAGTTGCTGTTGTTGTTACAATCGCTTCTGCTTGCAGTACCGATCCATACAATTTGGGACCAGTCCCACCCATTCTCACCGCTGACGACCTCTCTGCCGAAGAGCTTGCCTTCCACACCAACATGATGAATCTTACCATTCAAGTCACCAAGCAATACAACACCACAGTTCTCTTCTCTGCTTTGATCGCCCACAAGAACGGTTCAATTCTCTGCACCGGTATCAACAAACAAAAGGACGGTCTCCACCTCCACTCTGAAATGGTTGCCATCATGAACTGTACCGATAAGCTCAGGGCATTGGGTGTCAAGCCAAATTTCAGCGACTACTATTTATACTCAACTGGTGAATCATGTTCCATGTGTACAGGTAAATAATTACCACACTTTTAAATGTTAATTACTCCTTTCATTTTTTTCTAATATTATTTCTAAATTTTTATCAATTTCTAAAGGTGCTATGTCATGGACTGGTTTCTCTAAGAATATCTTTGCTTCATCCAATAGACACTTGTATTGCGAAAAATGTTTGGGAGAGCAATTGTTACCATCCAACTTGATTGCCTATGCCAACGGTTGGAACCAAACTTCCTTGAGAATCATTGGTGGTATTCTTTCAAACTACACCGATAATCAACTCTTCAAGAGCTACTGTAACAATGCTTCATCACCATACAGAGTCGAACCAAAGTGCAATGCTGACTACAGCCCAACCTGCAAGGCCAACTCTGCCACCTCCTCCGTTGCTTCATTCGGTTTGGTTTCATTGGTTGCCGGTGTCATTTCTTTATTAATCTAAATTTAATTTAAAGTAAATGATTTCATATATAAATATTTAAATATTGATAATATATTTTTATTTTTAAATTATATAGTTTTATAAATAAATATTATTATTATAATTTCTTTATTCATATCTTATTTTAAAATTAAAAACAAAAAAAAATAACTCTTTCTTACAAACAATTTGATTTTAAAGTTAATTATCACATGATGGACCTGTTGAACCAGCAAAACATGAACAACTTAGAATATATCCATTTTCATTGATTTTAGCAACACCATTAAAACATGAACCAGTTACACCTATTGCTTTATACTATTATAATATTTGATTACTATTAATTAAAAATAAAAAATAATAAAGATTTGATTTCTTTTTAAACTTACATAGGAAAATGATTGTTCATCAAAAACAGTTACATAATATGGGTTTTGTTCAGATGGAATTGTAATGTTCGCAGTGTTTACACCTTGAATCGATTCAGAGTAGAAAGTATATGAATCTGTTTCACTGGAAACAGAGTTGGTGAATACACCTCCCAACAATTGTTTGGGATACTGCAAGAAATATGCACCACCAGCATAGTTACCAGCAGTGTTTCTATCAAAGACAGATTTATAAAAATTAACTAATAATGGACCGTAGCTTGATTCGAACATATTCTTGAATAAAAAAGTATAATATTAAAGTTAACAATCAAACGTAGATATATATAGTTACTTAACTCCTGCTCTACTTACAATTGCACCTCCATTTGAAACAGCGGTATTATCTGTTAGTATTGAACTAATAATGTTAACTTCGGTATAGTCTGATGATCTATAAGATACAAAAATACCACCACCATGATTGGCAGAGTTGTTTTTGAATACACAGTTTATCAAGTAGAGTGATGTTTCAATGGTATACTATTATATATAAAAAAGAGATATAATTGACATATTAATATTATAAAGATAATAGAGTTTAACTCTACATACAATGGCACCACCAGAACCGTCGGCACTGTTTTGATTGAAGGTTGTGTTGGAAATGGCTATTTGTCCTGGATTTTCACCAGCTACATATACAGCTCCTCCGACTCCACCATTCAAAGCTTGATTACCTTTGAAGCTTGAAACATCAATGGTCATGTTCACTCCATATATGGCGCCACCATAATAGCCGTTATTACTTTGGAAGGTAGAACCGTAGACTTTGATACCGCTCAAAGCATAGAGTGCACCACCTACATATGAACAGCGGTTTTTAGTGAATGAGGAGTTGACAGCATCCATCGAGTAGATACTAGCGACAGCACCTCCGTTATAAGCATAGTTGCCAGTAAAGGTGGAGTTGATCAAGTTTGCAGTTGAAGAGTAGATAGCACCACCATTGGTTCTGTAGATACTGTTATTATAGTAGTTCGATTGCAGTGATATAAGCAATCCGAATGGTGCAAAAACTACACCTCCTCCGGCTTGTGCAATGTTACCAACGAATGTACTATTGATAACGTAGACTCTGGCGAAAGAACAGCTTGCAAATCCACCATAATCACCGGCATAACTACCGTTACCAGTTACATTCAAGAGATAGAGATTAGAGTATAAAGGACTAGTTGAATTACCAAGAATCTCGATACTACCTCCATTATATGTAGCAGATCCGCTAATAGATAAACTATCAAACAAAATGTTTAATGGATTATCTCCAGAATCGATTGAAATGAATTGTGTCTATTAATATATTATATATAAATTAGTTGTTTTTACAATCAAAACTAATGAAACAAATTCATGATTGCTTACAGATTTACATTGGAATTCGACTAGACCACCGTAACCAATAAAAGAAAGAGAGCCAGAGAGTGGTGGTGCACCTACATTTCCTGGACAGTCACTTTGTCCATAAGATCCTGCCGGAATCAAAACTTGGTAGGATTGAGTTGGTTGCGCTTGACGAGAGAATGCTGTTATACAATCAGCTATAGATGGACATCTATAAATGATCGGTAAATTAAAAAAAAAAAAACAAATTTAATTTTCATGAAACCAAAGTTTTAAATTTATCGTTCCAAAGAAGAACTTTGAAGAAACTTACGTATAACCAGTGGGTGTAGGTTTGCATGTCGTAAAAATTATATTAAGTGTACATTGGGTGACTGAATTGGCATTGAACTTCTCATTTATCTCTTGTTTAACAGAGGCAATGCTCATACCATTGATTGTTGCAATAGAAATTACAACTAGTAAAATTGTATGTAATATCATTTTATTATTTTTAGATAAGATAATCTTATCCTATCTTTACTTATTGGAATGTTTTTGTTTAAAAAAACATTATTTATTTTTTATTTATTATTGTAAGATATTACTTTGTTTTTTATGCCCAAAACCGAAAATATCTTTGTAAAATTTTTAATCCTTCCTTTGTGTAAATCAAAGGTAGGATTTAAATCAAAAATGGTTCTTTAAGATTAATATAAGCTTATATTAACAAACTTCTAAAGAATATTGCACAGAGAATTCATAGCCAAAGTTTGTTTAATCTTAAGATTTTATTTTAATCGAAAAAGTGTAACCAAATGATATTTTTCATTTATCTAACTTTGGGCATCACCATAATATGAATATCTTTGGATTTTAAAAGAATAATAAAAATAAGTGCTCTTTTTTTTTTTGCAAACATATTTAGTTTTGAATAGCATTCAATGCCTTTTTTTTTTAAATCTATTTTGGTTGAACAACTTTTATTTAACAATGAATAATCAAACAGATATAATATAAATAGAGCTCTATTTATTAAAATAATAATAATTTTAACTTTTTGAGTTGATTTTAATTTAATCCTATGAAAGAACAAATCAAAAAGTCTAATTTAATTTTTGTAATTTGCACAAGTGAATCGATTCTTTTAACACTGTGAAATAAATGTGGTGTTTATTTTAAACAATAAACAGAGAAATGACATTCATTGCAGATGAAAACAATGTTTAGCATACATTATTGTAATAAATATAAAATTTTAAGAATCATACTTTTTTAAAACAAATGGATGAAATTAGTTAGGTGTTGTTCAGTAAGATTTATTTGCAAAGATTGTAAATAACCTCACATATCAATGTTTCTCAATATTATTGTCAAGTTCGTTGAACAAATAGAAAATGTTATGAATCACCATTTAATTTAGTATTTGATGATTATATTTTATAGGTTAAAATAAATTAAATTAAAAATATTTAAAAGTAATAGCTATAAATAAGAAGTTGTTCATTCACTGACATTCATATCATTCCTCAAGAAATATATTAGTATATATCTAACTAAAAATGCAATATTCAAAGGTATTTGCTATTCTCTCTGTTTTAGTGTTGGCTGTCACACTTGTGCAATCGCTTGAAGAAGCTAAGAAAGGACCATTGCAAATTAGCTTGGTAGAAGGAGGTCCCATTAGAAACAAGGGATCATTTACCAATAGAAATGCTGTCACCAATGAAGTTGCTCTCTTGCAATTTAACTTGATCTTTAGAAATAGACTTACTGATATCACCAACAGCGCTGGAAGAACGTACGCCAATTAGAATCGATAACCAGGTACTACCAGTAACTGGGTTCTTCAATCTCCAAGCACAAATCAACGGTATCAATGGTGCCTCCACTGTTTCCGCAGTCTTGGTCAGTCCAACCTGTCAACCAAACAGAGACAAATCAGAGCAACAACAAATTGAAAACGAAAGAAAAAACGTCATTCGTAAGGTTAAGGATGCTATGAACAAATCATATGATACCGGTAAAATATACACTGTTCAATGCCACTATTAAACTCTCATATGAAACAAACAAACATAATCATGTTAAATTAATTTCAATAAAATAATTAGCTGTTAATTTAATATCATAAGTCAATATATACAAATATTTTATTATTATTATTATAATTAACTTGTCATTTTAGAATGAATAAGTTCAAAGTCATCTTGTGAAATTTCAAATAGACCATTTCTAAAAATCATTCCCCATTTGTCTTGACGATCTTTGGTGAATGATAGTAGAGGTAGAAGCGGTCTAATAGGAGTAGGTGTAGATGGGACATAGTTTACATTTCTTCTAAATGGAACGAAGCTCTCAGACATTCGGAAAGAATAGATTTCTTCATCTGCCATCTGACCTATTGATGTAAAACTCTTTATTTCTTTTGACTTGATATCCATCGATTCTCTAGGAGAATAATATACCAGCCAATCGCCGCATTTCATTTTTGGTAAAGGTGATCTCTTACCGTGACAAACCTGACAGAATCCTCCACTAACACCTAAATTTACATGTTGTTTGGAAACAACAGCTATCCAATATTTAACCATAAAATTTATACAAATAGAAATCTATTTTCTTTAAAAATTAATACTTTTCTTTCAATAATATTATCTATTTAAAAAAAAGATATATATGTATCTTTTGTTTTAATTTTTAATGACCATTGTGTGTTTTATTTCCAAGAAAAATAATTGGATTGATTAAGAAAGGTCTGAAATAAAAAAAGTCTGAAACTAATAATAAATTAATTTAATATATTTAGTATTTTATTTAATATATTTATCTTTTTTAAATATTTTAGATTTAATGAATTGTATACAATTTGGGTTTATATTATTATTATTATTTTTCTAATAGTTCTTTGGATCAGAGAAATGAGCTACATAGTCACCAGCAATCGGAGCACTAATAAGATGTTCTGGAATATCGAATGCATTGACCAATGGGAGTGCATGCTCTCTTAAAGCACCACAAACCTTATTGATTGCATTCTCAATAGCTTGTGCCTTGACTGGTGCAAAATATTTATTTGAAAGGAACCATCCCATATCACCTGATTATTATTCGATAAATGAATGAATATTAATATTTGATTGACTCTTCTTTTGAACTATTATTATTATTAGTTGATCAACTACTTACCTTCAATTTTAGTTAAAGCAAATAAAATACATAATAAACTCAAGATTGGTTTGATACCTTCGTCAGACTTTTGAATTTCCTCTAGGAATTTCTCGATGGTGACACGCTCAACGTATGAGATGGCAAGTTTGTGAACGAGATCCAAGCAGGAATTCCATGCTTTAGCACCGGACATCTTTTCATTCTTGACTTTGGTACGTAGCGATTTAACGAGTTGACGCAACAGCTTGAACTCACGGTAGATGAATGCATCCAATAGCATCTCGGCGTCGAGCAAATGCGACTCGGTGTGCAATCGCTTGACAAAGAAGTTTTTGTTACGCAAAAAGATACCGATGTGTCCTTTGGAGTAGGTGTAGCTCAGCATTCCAGTGATTGCTTTGGTGCCGGTGAAATACGATTTGAACTCGACCAGCAGTGCCTTGGCAACCGCTTGCATCAAGACGGTGTTGTCTCCCTCGTAGGTGAGATCGACATCGGCGTCGGACTTGTAGATTCCGATACGCGAACTCGCCGCGAAACCAAATCCACCGCATGCCTCACGACAGATCTGAAGAGTGTCGGAACGATGCCAGGTCGACGCCGCTTTGAATCCACACGCCAAGAGGAAGACGTCACGCGCGTCTTTCTCGGTACGGTTGGAGAATCTAGAGATGACGTAGTGCACACTGATCTGGTAGGCATAGGTGGCCGCTATCAAAGGGAAGAGACGACGTTGATGCGAGAGATAATCGATGAGCAACTCCTCGGGATTACCGAATTGACGACGTTGCAAAGCGTAGCGAACAGCAATGGTGAGACCGAGCTTCGATGCATTCAACGCCATCGAGGAGACAGTGACTCTACCACCGATCAACGCTTCCAACATTGAGTTCTGACGGACATTCGGATTCTTTATCATTGTTGTGTATTCTCCCTTTTTGTTGACATCACCGAAACGGTTCAAGAGATTGTCGTATGGGATTCTGACGCGGTTGAACCAGATACGACCGTTGTCGACACCGTTAAGACCCATCTTTGGTCCGCAGTCGGCGCATGTCACGCCAGCCAGAGTTTGGCCAGTCTTTGGATCACGAATTTGCACGAGGAACGGATGCAGTCCGTGATTCTCGCCTTTGACAACCAGGTTGGCAAAGACAGTGGCGTAAGTACCGTGTTGTCCGGCGTTACCGATCCACATCTTCTGAGCAGAGTCGTTCGGAGTGTGAATGACAAACTCACGAGTGGAATGGTCGTACTCTGCCAGTGTTTCGACACCCTTGACATTGCTACCGTGACCGAGTTCGGTCAGGGCGAAACAACCGAGGATATTAAGACAATCGGTGTCTTGGTAGTACTTCTTATGCTTGTCTGTACCGAGGAATACAATCGATCCGGCAAACAAACCCCATTGCACCGACGACTTGACGGCCAACGACATGTCGGAGAGAACCAACGACTCTTGGAAAGCAACGAATCGCTTGAATTGCTCAGCGACTTCACCCATCTTTAGAATACCGAGTGATGCGACCATCTTCAAACGCTTCAGAGTCAAATCACGTTGCTCCGGTACATTGGCATAGGGATGTGGTCTGAAGATTGGATCTTTCATCAACTCGTACAACTTTTGTTTGGTTTCACGTACCTGCTCCTCTGGTTTTGGATGTCCGAGCAACACTTCCTTCAACTTGTCGACCTTGTCGGCATCGAGCACAGGCAAACGCCAATCGGCAGTGGCTGCAGTTCTAACCGATTGAATTAGCGATGCAGTATCATTCGATTCCAAATGACATGATAATGTTTGTAATCTTTCAAGTGCACTGTCCATCACTTTCTATATCTATATTTATAATCTAAATATTTATTTATCTATAATATCTATCACATTTTTAAATTAGTCATAATATAATTTTATTATTCTCCAACTTCATTAATGTTGGAAAATGTCATTGAATATTTTATTTTTTCGTCTGACTCGAAATGACATACCTGGTTGTTGTTTTTTTTTTAGAAGTTTTGTACAATTTTAAATTCAAACAAACAATATTGTTACAATAATATTATATTTTATTATATTACTTAAGCAATAGTTTGAAAAGAGAAATAGACAATGCGTTGAAAACTAATTGTGAATTTATTTTTTTTTATTATTATTAAAAATAGTGGTTATTATCCTTTTTTTTATCTGTATATAAATAAATATTTTCAATGATGATTTTATTTAATTTAAAAAAATGTGTGTGTATTATGTGTATGATGTATACTCTCTTAAATAAAAATGATATGATATATATAATATTGGTATAATAAAAAAAAATTAATATTGGATAGGAATTGAGATCAAGTTGATGCCTAGGAAGCTGTCAAATTTCAATCGATATTTAATTATTTATTGTCAAATTTCAAACTCTGGTATCGTTTATAAAGCCACTTTTCTCGAAAAAAAAAAATAAATGATTACATTTATTTCTATATATAGCAATCAAGGAAATTTAGTTTTTTACAAAAAAAAAAAAAAATTTTAAAAAAATTTACAAAAATTGTGGATCTACATTATTTGTCTCGACAATTGTTGTCTTTGGAATGAACTTATTTGTAATATCATGATGAGAAATATATTATTAAACTTGTTTTGAAGTTCAAATAAGTCAAATCATTTTGTTAGATAGTATTGTGGTGTGAGACAATGTTGTAAAAAAAATAAATAGAAAAATAATAATAATAGTTGGTTGATTGATTGATATTGTATGTATCAAATTGTTGTCATATGAATGAATTCACTTTAAGTTTCGGGCTGTAACTCATTTACAGTGAGCAAGTTTGAGTTTATTAACTGCTGCGCCAACTAAACATGAGGTTTAAGTTTAAAATTCGAAAAAAATGGGTTGATTATCAAATAAAGAGATAGAGAAATGAAAATTAGTTGTAATTTATCAAAGAATATTCAATATATTTTACATAATTTATAGTTTAATAATGTTAATACAAGAAATCTAAAAAAAACAGAAAAAATAGAAAAAAGCTCAATTTTTTTAGATATTTAAAAATATCACAGATACACTGGTAATGAGTTGACAACTTATTATTTGTTTGAAACCTTTGTAATTAAATTAAAGAGATGATGATATCATCAAATTGCAGGGAAAAAAGGCGTTGGCGTTAATGTGTTCTTTGCATTTATAGTTGAGCGTAATGTGGATAATATTAAACAAAACAGGTGCTAGGATATGAGCCAAGGGAACGCAAATTTATATTGCTAGAAAAATCATGCAAAACAAGATGATAATCAGAGGCAAAGGTGGGTGTTTCTCAAAGCAAGTAGGTAAAACCTTTGATTTCCGCAAAATATCAAGATTTTCAAACTCCAAAATATCTAAAATCAATTTAAAATCAAGGTGTGTGAATCTTTCACACAAGAATATTATTTAAATGCATTTCCAATGATTTTATAGACATTTGATGATTCTATTCTAATTGTTTGATAATTGGTAGATCTATCACCGACTACCCCCTCCCTCTCACTCTTTGGCATGACAAAAATCCATCGTAATTACTGTTCTTTGCTTTTGCTTTGCTTTTGCTTTGCTTTGCTTTGCACAGCTTTGCTCTTAACTAAAAGTAACCAATATTTTATCTAATAAATCTAATTAACAACAATAACAACAACAATAATAATCTATTAAATCTATTTTTTTTTTTGTTTTTCTTTTCTTTGTATATTCTTATTATAAGTTGTTTTGTTTATTGTTAGTTAGTTATTTATCTATAAAAATCTATATTTTATTTTAGCGCTCATACTAAAATGATTAATGTTTGGTTGTTAATAGTTAATTTAGTTTAAATTAGTTAGTAAATTAGTTAGATTAGAATGATGATAAATAAAAGTAATATTGTTAGTAACAACAATAGCAATAACAATAATGGTTTACGTTTTGACAATAGCAATACAAAGTTGAAGCAATTTATCATTACAAAGATCATTAATGAATCTTATCTCTATCAATTCAATGAGAATGATCTACAATACTTAATGTTATTGTTTATTGATCTTAGTGATGATGAAATATTAAATTCAATAGATTTATTACATTATTTAATAATGGTAAGGAAGAACATGTTCTTTTATTTTATTTTATTTTATTTTTTTGGTGATCCAACCAACCAACCAACTAAGACTAGTTAGATAATAATTTAATATTAATATTAATTTTGTTTTTTTAAAATTTTAATAATAGTTTATTGAATTACAAGTTGATAATTGGAATTTTAAGAGTAAATTACAAGAGTGTATTTCCGGTTATCTAAATAGATTCCATCAAAAGTATTATAACGATAGGAATGTCTATAATTTTGAAATCAGAATAAGGCTGATTAAGAGTCTCAATCAGATATTGTTGGTCAGTGGTGGAGTAGGTACTCGTATCATTAATTCGCTATTATGTTTTTGTTCCAATTCCATACTACGATCGATTCTCCTTAGTTGTCTCTACTACTTCTTGCCAGAGAAAAACCCTCTAAACAATGAAGCTCAACTCGCCAACACCACCATCCCAGCAATAAGCTCAACGACATTCGACCACATTCCAACCTACATCGAAGTCTACAAGACTATAAACACTCTATTCGGTATAGAATCAGAGTGTATCAATATAATAAATAATAATAATAATATCAACAGCAATAACAACAATAGCAATCAAAATAATAACAATCAACATCCAATTCCAATTTTAATTAAAATATATCTTACACTTTCCATCATTGATAATAATCCCAATGCAATAAAATTAATCAATAGTAATATATTTCAAATAATATTCGAGTAAGTATAATATTATAAATATATATATAATTAAAATTTAACTAAAGTTAATTAAATTATTAATAAATCATTCCTTTTTATTAATTTCTTTTCTTTTTTTTCAGATTCTTAATTAAATGTATAGAGAATAATATATATATTGGTAACTCATTAAAGACACTATTGTTGATAAAGAATAGTTTTGTTATTAATGATAGAAATATTGGTATGGTTCGTGATAGTCTTCCAAACAATGTTGGCTATCTAATTATCGTTATTGACTTGTTTGGTTCGCTGCTTACCGATGAGAGTGTCGCTGCTATTTTCAAATCGCTAAGCGACAAGTCAAAGGTTAGATTTGCAAAGCATCTACCTCTCGACAAGCTAATGTCTAGCCAACTGGTTGACACCATCAGCAGCAGCATTTCATTTGGCAACCTAAAGTCTTTGATGCTGCTCGATGTCTTCCTGGAGCGAGCCAATCGAATTCCCGATAGTATCTACCGGTGGCTTGCCAGTGACCAATGTCCATTCCGTCCGTTCGAGTCCGACGAGCTGAAACACCAAGATGAAATCCTTACAATTATCAAACTACTCTTGCATCTCTACGAGCTCGATAAACAGCAGCACAAGTTTATCATTGGTACTTTCTTTGTGACGCTTATACATGCCGCTCAAATCGGTGCGAAACTCATCGTTTCTCTAACTAGCAAGTATCTCACCGAGTACAAATCTCTGTTTCTGGAGTTGTCGCTGCAGTGTTTGTCAAGTGCTGCTTACGATGCTTATTGGTTGGCAGTTGCACCGCTGCTATCTCAAAGCCAGGTGGAGCGTCGCATTCAGGCACTTCTGGAAACCGCTCCGCAAAGTGCATATCATTTCCTTCAAAACTCAATTTTTCCAAACGAATCGTTCAAATTCCTTTTGGACAACATCAACTTCTCACCTGCTGCCAGTGATGGCGAGAAACTAATTACCGTTTGCATCGATGTCTTCAAGACAAACATGCCAAACGACGAGCAAATTAAATACTTTCTCGATAAACTCTTCAGAGAGATGTATGAAACTGTATATACTGTCAATAGTGACTTCTCAAATAACCGCAACCAACAAATTGCATATCTGCTTGACACTGTACATAAATCCGACAAGCTGTACATCCGACAACTACTTGACAATCAACTGCTGAAGCATCAAGTTACCAACATTCTCTACCAGACTCCAATGAAAAACATTGATATTCTGAAGCATTTTCCACACTACCAAAATGAATACCAAGTGGATCCGCGCAGTTTAGCCGAAACCAAGTCAATTGAACATCCGTTGTTCTTGGTGGATGGCGATAACAATGTAAGATCGTTCCTCTTCACCAACGTACTGAGGTTTTTGATAATGGACAAAACAATGTCGACCAGGTGGAAAGTCGACTTGGCAACAGTCTCCAAACAATTTCACAGGATTTGTTCGACGATCATGTCAAACTATCCAATCAAATCATTGAAGATCTTCAATGAGATGACTCACATTGGTTCGCAATACTGTCTGTTCAAGAATCCACCACTTCATTTGGTGGATGATCAAATTGTCTTTATTCCCAACTACCTTCTTACCGCCTGCATTGAGAATCTTCAATCGCTCACTCAAACATTCTCTGTTATCGCATCGCCAAACTACACGATTCACCTCCTCAACGCCAAGAATCTCAGACACATAACTTTCCGTGGTCGACTACAAATGAACGAATACTACCCAGAGTATTTTAACTATATAAAATCAACAAACCTCATCTCCGCTGTACAAGTCTCAAACGAAACGATAGAGATCATCGACAACTCCACAGACAACACCAAGCATGGAAACAACTACTCCAAGAGCTACTATCTAAATATATATTTACAACACTATTGTAACAACAGCAACAATACAATGGAATCGATTGTATTCAAAGTTAAAGGAGGTTTACATCAACATCAAGTATGCGTTTCAATATTGAATCAATTTAAGCAGTGTAATCCGAACATCGATGTTAAGATATCACTCGGTGATTTGGCTCCTGAGCCAACTAATGGAAACCTCACTGTTATCCCATGGTCTGCCAGTGATCTTTCATTAGTAACCGATTTGAAACTCAACTTGTACGCATCCAAGGAGCAACCAGGTCTGCAAAACATCAGACAGCTTTCAAAGCTCAACAAAATCGTTCTCAAATTCGATGGCTTTGAAAAGGATAGAGATCTTATTGCACTTCAACCAGAGATTCAACAACTTCTCAATCAAGGAACCGTCAGAACCGTTAGTTTCCACATGGAACTTGGTGATTCGACGGCTTCAGGAAACCAAAATCACTCTGCTACTATCCAGTCGACTGGCAACATCAATAGTCTGTCTCACCTCAATTCAAAGCTTGAGCAACTGTTTGATTTGATAAGGGATCACAACGATACCGTTCATTGCCTGAAGTTGAAAGTGGTGCTTAATAACTACAAAGATCTTCACTTGCTAAAGGATAGTAACAACGAACTGAACAAACAGATCAACAGCATCTTCAGGGTGGTCGGAGTTCAGCGTGATTTCAAATCGATCCAACAGATAAAGGTGGCAATCTACATGCCTGACAACAGAATGATCGGTGGAAACACAGCACACAACAGACATCTCGCTCCGATCGTTCTGAAGGCACCGCTCATCAACCGACAGCTCATCTCCAGAGTCTTTATTTTCTGCAAGCCATTCGGACCGATTGACAAGTCACCATACTCTGATTACCTTACATTCACAAGAGAATAGTTCATTTTAATTATCACTAATTTTTGTATCTCTTCTTAACATGTTCAAGATAAATATATAGATCGAATCATAAATAAATAAAAAACATAAAAAAAAAAAAACATATAAACAAACCAAATATGGCAACAAACTGTATTTTATTTGGTTTACATACCATCATCAAACACCACCAAAACCAATTTCTCAACAAAATTTTTTTTTAATAATTATTGTTGTTGGTTTGTGAATGGTTATAAATCAACGATCAACTTAATCATTCCACACGACACCTATGGATTAGGAAAAAATTAATTGAAAACAAAACTGTGTAAGATTTTTACAATATTCGAATTTTTTTTGTTTTTTTTTTTAATTTTTAATTTTTTTTATTTTGATTGACACTTGCTTGATTGGTGTGATGAATGACGGCAACAACATGATTATATGATGCATAGAAAAAATTAATAAATAAATGATTTTTTTTTTTTTTTATGATTCGATTACACAAATGAATGAATGGGGTGACATCCACATTGGTAAAAGAACTTAAATTAATTTACTTTGTTCTTTATCTTTTAAGATAAATAATAATATATTATAATAAATACACACACAAATAGTTATTTATATATTAGATATACATTGTAAAAGTAGGATATTCTAAGATCATCTAAAATCTAATCATTTCAAAATTGTTAATTTGCACCTTTCAATTCTATCTTAAAAGAAAAAAAAAAAAAAAACATTTCATTCATCTTTATCTTTATCTTTATTATAATGATTTTCCAATAGATTTTAAAATATCCAAATCGAAGTTGACTTCACCACCACTATAGTTATAGGTCATAGTCTTAGTCATAGTCATAAACAAACCAAACCACCACACATCAAATTAAATAATAATTAATTTTCATTGCACATATAAAATATCCAATTATGTAATGTATTTTTTTTTTGTTGTTGTTGTTTATATTAGTGGTTGGTTTGTGTATTATTATTATTTATTTATTTATTTATTGGTGCGGAGGGGGGGGGGGGGTAATGTCATTTATATAATAATTCAAAATAAGCGAATATTAAGCTTAACTATCCGTTTATTAAAACAACAATATGTATTTAAAAAATTTTAATTTCTTAATATATAATAACAATAAGGCAGATAGATACAGTGGAAAAAGCAATAAATTATATTATATATCATTGTAGAATTTTTATTTTTAAAATTTTATTATTTTATTTCTTATTTTGTTTAACATATCAAAAAAACATAAAAAATAATCTTAGGTAATTTATTAGTATTATTATTATATTGCAAGAATCACACAAAGCTAAGCTTCACCTATACTTTTATAACTAGTAATTTTATATAGTATTGTGTTCTTTTAAATGAAGTCATTAACCATTTTCACATAAAATCAAACCAATTCAATTGAAACAAAAAAAAAACGAAGAACTTTGTCGCGAAAAAATAAGCGATCAACAAGAACAAACAGTCAACTTTTTGGGAAATAGTAAGATGAAGAAATGAATGATTTTTATTTTTTATTTTTTTGTTTTTCACTTTTTTTTTTTTTGTTTTTTTTTGTAAAATGATGTGATGTTTTTATTTTTTTATACTTGTTTTAGTAGTTTTAGTAGTTTCAAAGCCTATTTACAATTAATTAACACTTTTTTTTTTTCAAATTGTTTAGAGTCAAATATAGATATTATAGATATAACTAGTTAGTAATAATAAAAATATAGTAAAAATAAGCATTTATATATAGAGCGGTTTTTCAGATATATCAATACAGACAGACAGATTAGATTAGAATGATATCAAACGATGGAGAATACTTTGTTTCAGATATAGAGAAACACAATACACTCGAGGATGCTTGGGTAACGATGGATGGTAAAGTGTATGATGTGACACAGTTTGTATACGATCATCCCGGTGGCGCAGAGATACTGACACCGCACTTGGGTCGCGATATCAGTCAGATCTTCTTGGATGAACGCGAACATGAGCATTCAGAGACCGCGTACAATATGTTGCAGCGATATCAAATCGGCTCGTTGGCTGGTTACCGCAAGTCGGCACCGTCGGTCTGCGAGTTGATTCGCTCCAAGGTCAAACTGAATTCTCTGAACAACACAAAGAGCAGCGGTAACACAAAGAGCGGCAGCAACGACAACCCGGCATCACTCGTCGGTCTCGTCGATGTCACCAAGCCAATGGTGCCGCAACTCAAGAACCTGCCAGGCGAGACCTATCTCAAGTGGATTCACTCACAGACAGGACTGAAAGAGATTATTATTTTCGACAATTCATTTCTAGAGCTATTCACCAGATGGCCATGGTGGTATATCTTCCCATTGGTAAGCAATCATTATATAGTGCATTTAAATGATGATGATGATGATGATAAACTAACAAACACTGTTTCGCTCTCTTTCAAACACTATATAGTGGATACCAACAATTTCATATACATTCTACGTATCAGCAACTCAATCAAATTCATCGCTTTTATTCTCAACATTTGTATTTTTCTTTGGATTGTTTTCGTGGTCTTTCATCGAGTATATTCTGCACAGATTCGTATTTCACATTGAGACATCATCGTACTGGGGTAACTTCTTCCACTTTTTCATTCATGGCATTCACCATCTAACCCCATACGATTCAACAAGATTAACTTTTCCACCAACTTTTTCTGCTTTAATTGGTAAGTCTCTTTATAATAATAATAATATATATTTGTATATTTAATCAATGTTTTAACAAACAATATAATTATAATTATTCCATTTAAAATAATAATAATAATAATAATAATAGCTGTAGGATTTTGGAAACTATTCCAACGATTCCCAGATTCATTACAAGCCAATGGATTCAATTGGGCACTCTATGGTGGTATTGCATGTGGATACATGTTGTATGATACTATTCACTACTACTTCCATCACGGTGACATCTCTTGGTTCCCAGCAAAGTTGAAGGAATTCAAAACCAATCATCTTAATCACCACTACAAGGATGACACAAAGAACTTCGGTATCACTTCAACTATTTTCGATATAATATTTGGTACTTATTAGATGAGGGAATTATCAAAATTAAGTGACCTTTAGAATAAATTTTTATATATTTTCTCAAACAAACAAAAAACAAATGATTTTTAATTAAAGAAATAATATCGCGTTAACAATGAGATATGATTGCTAAAAAATTATTATTATAATTTTATATTTTTAAAGGATAATTCCAAAAATTTCCATTCTCATTTTCATTGGATAATGATGAAATAAATTTTATTTTATTTAATTTATTTTATTTTTAATAAAAAAACAAATGTAATCTGTATAGAATTTTTTTTGATCAAATTTGTTTTTTTATTTCCAACCGATATATTATATTGAATATTAAATATTTAATAATTGAATATAGTAGAAGTAGTAGTATGTAAATGTAGAAGATAAAGATAATAGATATAATAATGGATGAACAACATAATTACTTAAGAACAGAGTCAAAAGGTGAATTGACTAGGACATCTTCAACATCGTCTATCAATTCACAATCGAGTTCTAGTACGATAAGTTTAAGAGAAGAAAAGAGAAAGAGTGGTTTACTATCTTTATTCAAAGATAAAGATAAAGACAAAGAGAAGGAGAAAGAAGATAAAAAAGAAAAGAAAGAAAAGGAAAAGGAAAGAGAGAGATTAGAGAAAGAAGAGAAAAAGAAGGCAAAAGAACTGGCAGAGAAACAAAAAGATGAAGAGAAAGCAAAGTTATTAAGAGAGAAAGAGAGAATGAAAGAGGAGTACTCTCAAATGAAGGAAAAGATAAAACAAAAAGAGAAAGAATTGAAAAAGAAAGTAAAAGATAAAGAAAAAGATAAATCCAATAATAATATCAATGATAATAATAGTAACAATAGTATTAACGATAACAATAGTAATACATTCAATACAAACTCAACTAATAGTCCAAACAATGAATATAGAACACCCGATTCCGAATCGGAAAGAGATTTATCAACCTATAGTAATAGTAGTAGCATCAGTACAATCAATACAACTCCAATACCAATTATAACAACATTTATTGATGAAAAAGAGAAGGAGAAGGAGAAGGAGAAGGAGAAAGATAAATATAAAGAAAAGGAGAAGGAGAAAGATAAAGATAAAAGTAAAGATAAAGAAAAGGAGAAGGAGAAGGAAAAGGAAAAGGAGAAAGAGAAAGAGAAGGAAAAGAAATCAAAGAGATCATCAATAAGTGAATTTTCATCGTTGGTAATTAGAAAGCTTCAACATTCTAATTCGTTTAATGAAGATAGTAAGAGTGGTCATCACTCTTCGAATCCTATTGCATCTTTGTTTCCGTTGGGACAACATCGGGGTTTGAGTCAGAAGCGAGATAGATCACCTACCACCGGTAGGAAGTCATCGACAGAGAATGACATCACCTACTCGGAGGACGATGACGATACCGATAACTCAACGAATACCTCTACAACCAATCCACCAACAACCATTGAGAATACAATAACATCTACATCCACAACCACAACTGGCTTCTTACAACAACCGACAACAACAACAACGACAACACACAACAACACTACACCCTTTACATTGTCACCTTCATCTTCGGTATCACCATCTACATCGACATCTGCATCGTCACCAAACAATATCATTGGTCATAATGACGACATCAATGCTCTCACTGACACCTCTTCGTATTCCGCTAGTTCTGTGCATTATCATGCTAATCCACTACAGCTACATCAACAGCAGCAACAACAATCGTTTGGACATCAAAGATCGTCGTCTAATTCATCGACAGGATCAACGATATCGGATGAAACACTGGCGAAATCAATGATATTCAAAAAGTATCTCGAGGATTACTATTTGACTATCGAGGAGTGTCAGAAGAATGGACAACCTTACAACCCTCTTATTGAGAGGAGAAAGCAACAACAACTCAAAGCAATGTTGACGTCAAAGTCGATCACGCCCACCAAGAAACGTTTGGTAGATGATCACAAACGATCGTTTTCCACAACTGGTGTACCACAGGATTTAAAGCATTGGATGAGATTAGAACATATGACACCTTCTTCCAATAACAATAACAACAACAACTACTATGAACATTCGCCAAGTAATCAATCAACATCATTCAGTTTAAAGTCATCGTCAGATGCCATTGCGCAACACCATTTGGATTCTCCAATGAGTTTGTCATCACCTGATCCTTCTTCACTGCAACAGCAAAGTAATCACCATCAACAAAATCAACAACACCAACAAGATAGAGAAAAGAAACGACGTGGATTATTAAAGAGAACGTTTAATCCAAATAGATTGTCGCTGACACTCTCTAGTTCACAACGTGGTATTTCCACGGCATCGTCTTCAGCAGCGGGAGGTGATCATAAACCACTGTCTGACAAATTCCTACCGTCCATCGATGTTAAGCTGAAAAAGATCTTGCCCAACATGAAGAATCTTCCAACTCTTACAATGCCAAACTTCCAACTGCTCCCAAAGCGTAAGAAAGACAGCAATACCACAGAGTTTAAAAAGAATGTAGATATCCTACTAGAGGAATTGGAATCCGATTCACCAAGTGGAAATACTTATTTTGAAAGTCCATATACATATAGTATGTATTCTATTAAAATAGGCAATTCATTTTTCAAACCTATTTATTAATTTTTGTTATCATTTTAATTTTTAGAACCACATCCATCCGTTGCTCAAACCTATAGAGATCAATTGAAACTAAGAAAAAAAGTTATATCTATTGACCAATTGAAAACTATGGCTACTAATCTAGAGGTAAAGATGCTGATACACTCCACTAGAATCCATGATCAACGTGAGCGATGTAAATTACTTCAATCAAGTATTGAACATAGTTCAAAGAATCTATCTATTTCAACTAATATATCAAAATCATTGGTAGTTGAGCAAGATGTAAGTTTTTGTAAATAATAATAATAATAATTTTATTATTATGAAACTACAAACAATTTATTAATACACATACTTCTAAAATGTTTTAACTTTAAATTTAAAGGATCAATTTGAAATTCAATCTAGAATTGAAAGATCGAAACCATTGATTGATAGTAGTATGAACTCTGTTCACGATCTCTATGAAAGAGCCAAACTGTTGGAAGACACTGTACAGATATTAAGAAGGTCGAAAAAGACCAACCCATTTGTAAATTTCATTGTAAAAATATTCATCACAGGCTGGTTAACAGGTTAGTAATACATATTTGTTTCATTATCAAATAACACATTATAATTGAACTAATCTAATAATTATAATAATCATCTAGCCATTTTCTCATTTGTATATTCAAAATTATTTGGTGTTCAAAATGAAGACGGTAGTAGTAGTTCCAAGAAACAAGATCATCTTCAAATGAATTCAGGTAGTTCGAACTCTGCCAATCAAAGTCTGATTGGTGTTGGAGTAGGAGGTGGCGGCGGTTTAGTGGGTGTTTCCGGTTTGGACGATCAGCAAATCAAAAAGAAGAGTAAAGATGACCAATTCCTATCTCAAGGCGGTGGTGGAACTGGTAGCAGTAGTGGCGGAGATCAAAGTGGTGAAACACCGACAACTATCAGCTCAGTCACTAGTGGCAACCAATCGAATATCAATTCCGTATTGTCGAACAATAACAGCGGTAGCAGCAGCAGCAACAACAACAATGATCATCTCAACAGTGATAATGACAGCAAGATGAAAGTTGCGCTCTCCAATCTAGAGGCAATGAGCAGAACCATCTCAATGCTTCGTGAAAACGACGAGAGTGGCGGCGATAATGAAAATACCGAGTCTCCTACCATCGACACTGAAAATGCTAGTGACTATAGTGATGATGGTGATGATGATGATGATGACGACGATAGTTATAAATCAACTTGATTGAAAATTTATGTAAAAAAAAAAAAAAAAAAAGTAAAAAAAATAGATCATTTTGCATGTAACCAGAGAAGTCTGAAGTAGTCTTTTTCACCATTATCCACCACCCAAAAACCACCCATTTTCAAATAAATAATTTTGGATTTTGCAATATTATTTTTTATTTTCTAACCCTGATTGAAAGTTTTTACCACCACACAACAATTAATTTTAATGATCAACATTTTTTTTTTTTTTTTGAAAATCTTTATTATTATAGTTTTTTAATTTTATATTTTTAATTATTATTTTTTTAATAGTTGTTGTTGTTGTATTTTTTTAGATTTTATTTATTTATATATAAATAGTATATAGATTATATAGATTATATTAGATTATTTTATTATTATTGATTTTTATTTTAGTTTATTCTAAGAAACAAAGATATATATAATATTATGGATAAACTAAAATCAATTGGAAAAGGAGGAAAGGATAGTTTGATGTCAAAGATCAAATCGGGAGGTGGAGCGTCTAGAGAGGAGCAATCAAAGTTTCAATTCGATATAAAGATTCAGTTTATCGATAATCTACCGATTTCATCTGGTCAGGTATATGTCTCTTGGAAGCGTGGAACAAAGTCGTCGAACAATGGTAAGACCAAACCCAAGGAAGTCACTGACAAGCGTGTCGTATTCGAACACCCGATTCAGATGATCACAACACTGCTCAAGACTCCAAAGAAGACCTACGAGTCAAAGAATCTAAGTATCTCCATCAAAGAGGAGAAAGGCAAGAAAGCATCGACCATCGGAAAGTCAATCATCGATCTCGCCGACTTTACATCGTCCAGAGACGAGCAAAAGAAGATTCTACAAATCAAACCAAAAGCAAAAGGAAAATCTTCATTTGCTTTACATGTATGTCTAATTAATTTTATTATTATTATCTATTTATAAAATCATAATTATATAATTATATAATTGAATCTAATAATATTTTGATTTAAATAATTAGATGAGTGTAAAAACAACTGAATTACAAATGGGTGCAGATGAAGAACCAATGACTGAAACAGATTTAAATTCAAATGATGGATCTGATGATGTAAGATCATGATTATCTATAATAATTTAAAAGTTATACTTACTTGTTTATATCATTTTTATCGAAAATAATTAGGAAGAGGAAACTGAAGATTTCAAGGATGACGATGATATTACAGAGGCATCATCGGTTTCATCTACTAGTACAACCACTCATAGTGATCCACCACAGTTGGTAAAGACTGCTTCTTCTTCTTCACTCGGAAGTACATCATCTACTTCATCAACATCAAAGTCAGCAGTTGTCGATACAAAGAAAGACAAAGAGAGAGAAAAGGAAAAGGAAAAAGAAAAGGAAAAAGAGAAAGAGAAGGAAAAAGAAAAAGAGAAATCTAAACTTGCAAGTTTATTAGGTACCAGCAGTAGCAGTAGTAGCAGTGGCAGTGGTGGTGGTAGTAGTGATAAGGATAAAAAGAGAATACAAGAACTGGAGAAGCAGGTAGACGATCTAACCAAGGAATTGGAATCCAAAAAGAGAAAGGTGAAAGAGTTGATCGATGAGAACATCGACTTTGAAGATAAAGTCAAGGATTTAGAGGATAGATTGGCAAGTGGAGGATCTGCACCGGCACCTTCTTCATCATCGTCATCGTCATCGTCAAAGGATACCAAGTTGATTGCCGACTTACAGGATCAATTGAAGCAAAAGGACGATCAACTAAAGCAAAAGGATGATCACCTCAGACAAAAGGAAATTGCAAATCAAGAACTGACCAACAAGAATAAGCAGTTGGAGCGCGAGAAGAACTCACCGACAACAGCTTCACCACAGTTGAATGGACACAGCTCCGAAGAGGTGGAATCACTCAAGCGAGAGATACAAACATTGAAACAAGAAGCTGCAGTCAATGCCGCGTCAGCTGGTGCCAGTACGATGATTGGTGGTGGAACCTTGGAGTTGAAGCGTAAGATTCAGGATTTGAATAGGGAGATCAAGGAGAAGGACGATACCATCTCAAAGTTAAAGAGTGGCGGTGCTTCGCCTGCACCGGCAGCAGCTGCTTCGCCAGCTTCTAGCTCTGTGAGTATCAACGCCGCTGTTGCGCCACTCGAGAAACAGATTGGTGAACTCAACAAAACCGTTGCTTCACAGAAGCAGGAGATTGAGCGTTTGAATGCCGCTGCTTCCTCTGCTGTGCTGGCGTCAAAGAAGACATCGAGTGGAAGCAACGAATCCGCTGAACTCACTCAGTTGAAGCGCGACAATGTCGAGCTCAAAGACAAGTTGTCCAACGCCAACAACGACCTCAAGAGAGCGAAAGATCAAAAGGAGAGTGCAGAACGTGATTTGGAGGAGTTGAGAGAACGTCTTCGTGATAGCCAAGACAAGGAAGATGAACTCAGAAGTAGAATCTCGTCACTCGAGGATCAGAATGAACAACTTCAAAACAAGGTGAACAGCAGTCAAACAATGGCAGCTGCTTCACTCAGTCTTGGTGGTGGCAAGTCAGACAAGAACAAAGACAAGGAGAGAGAAAAGGCTGAGCGACAAGAGCGAGAGAACCTCGAGAGACAACTGTCAGACACAAAGAAAGAGCTGTCAAACGAGAGAGACAAAGTCAGAAAGTACGAGAGAGAAATTAAGGATCTCAAGGATAGAATCAGACAGTTGGAGTCACAACAACAACAACAACAGTCATCATCCTCCGGAAACAGCAGCCCACAATATTCGTCAATGGCCAAATCAGACCTACAAGAACGTGAGGAAAACAAACTCATTGAGCAATGTATCTATGTTCAAACTCTTACATTTAGAGATGGGTATGTTGTTGAAAGATAATCTTTATTTAGTTTCTAAAATCAATCTAATTTCTTTTTTTTTTAACATCAAGTGTTGGAGCATGTGCACAATCATTGTATTCACAACTCCTTGATCAGAATGCATTCAGTAGTGAGAATACAAGATTATTTAACAAAGTAATCAATGGTTTAACTCAAACTGTTGAGGTATGTTAATTATATACAAGTTATAAACTAGTTGATACTAACATTGTTTAACCTATTACCATTAATGTTAATATTTAATAATATTTAGAAATCAATGGAGAATTCAGGTGATCTTTGTTATTGGATTTCAAATATATCAGGATTGATTCATTTAATTAAAGATGGACCAAACAATATCGATAGTGAAACAGATCCAATTCTCGATGGTGTGTTGATCGATCAAGAAATTTCATCACCAACCTCAACATCAAGACGAACACCATCCACCAATTTTGTATTCCAACTCGATTCTCTCTGTAGAGAAGCCTATTCATTACTATTACACAATATCTATAAGAAACTTAAACCAAAGTTATCAAGTATTCTAAATCAAGCATCTTGTATATTAGATAAAAAGACGTAAGTGCTATCATCATTATTTAATACAACTTTAACACATTGTAATTATTAACATTACAATTAAAATAATAATAGTAATAGATTATCATCAACACAAGCACACGCCAATGATCTACAAAAGATTTGTAAGATATTAGAAAAGTTTATGAACTACTTGAAAGACAAATACGTGTTCAATTCGATCATTCAACAGTTCTTTTCGCAGACATTCCATTATATCTCGTACACTCTGTTGTGTGAGATTCTCGATGGATCCAACTCGTGCACTCCAAGCGCTGGATTCAAGATCAAGCTAAGTCTGTCAAAGATTGAGGATTGGGTGGCCTCCAACGAAGAGAGAGAACTCTTGACCTATTGCAGAACCTATCTAGGTGCCATTGCAGATGCTGCCAATCTAATGGTGATCGATAAATCAATCTTTACCGACACTGAATCGATTCAATCAGCATTTACCACCCTGAATGTACTACAAATTAGAAAGCTTTTGGAGATTTGGAAACCCGATCAGCTTTCACCAGATCCAATACCATCAAATGTAATTTCAATGTCCAGAAGCAATTGGAATCAACCAACCAGTTCATTGCAACTCACTGTTGATCCATCTGTTTTAATTTCAATCACACCAATCTTGGATTAAACAAAAATAAATATATAATTTTGTTGTTGTTAACAATTGAATTGATCATCTCATTTAATAAAAAAAAAGATAAGAAAAAATAAAGATAGATATAATAAATTTATTTTTAGTTTAGTTGATATATTTATAATGATAAGTGTTGTGTTTAAGTTTATTTTTGAAAGTATGTTTGTGCACAGTACGCTCTATCCGATTGGTCATCTTTGAGAATAGATTCCCATTTGTTGTTTTCAATGGAATATATGAAGTTTTTATCTTTTCCTTCGAGTGAGTAAATAAAGCTACAATCTTGATTTGGTTGGTGGTAGATCAAATTGTGATTAACTATTCCAAAGGTGTTGTCCAATTTTTTGATTTCATAGGTTTCCACATTGATTCGATCAAATCTCAAACTAGATCGAATAAAGATATTGCCTTTGCCATCTGTACATGCTGCTCTTTCTTTATACTCGGGTAAATCGATTGGTAACATACATATTTTTTTGGTGTTGATATCGAATCTGAGAATCTTCTTTTGATAGGGAACAAAGCTGTAGATGCTGTCTTTGAAGTGGAATGAGAAATGATGGAAACCAGGATATTCTTCTGTACCCAAGAGTTCCCAATGAAAATTGTTGATATTGATCCTATAAATTAATACCATAATGATGTTTCCATCGATCAGATAGATATAATCTCGACCATCATAACAAACAGACACATCGGAAAACAGATTATAACCTTTAATTTCAAATTCAACAAGCTTTTCATTGGTGATTGAGTACTTTAATACTGGATGGTCAAAATTGCTTCCCTTGCCAAAAATATAGATATGGTTATCAGCAACAACCACAGACCCGTAGGTTAAACTAAATTTAACATTGGAATCGATATTCTGCTTCTCGAAATGAATATAATTGCGATCTGTGATATTGATAATAGATAGTTTATTATCATTATCTGCTGAGAGGATGTATGATTGTTTGATTGATTTTGGTCGTGCCAAAGCTGTTAATTTGAAAGCTGATTGAATCTGATTCCTAATTTCTTTAAGTTGTTTATCATTAACACTAAGTTGATATTGCTGTGGTTGGTTGTGTTTTACATTATTTAATTTAAATATATTGTTGTGTTCTATTAAGAGATTTAATAGTTGATGATCACCTATATTGGTTTTGTTGGTGTGATCATTCAAATAGAAAAGAGTATTACTATTGTTTTGAATGAAATCGTTGTAATTTGAACATTGTGATATCGATTGTATGATTGTTGCTGTTTTATATCTGTCTACAGTGTCTGGGGATATAGAGGACGACGATGGATTTGATTTATTTGGCGCAACAACCTTAGTGTCAAAAATATTTGCAAAGTGATGGTTGATTGAATTCAACGATTTCATTTGATTGGTTTTAGATTCGATTTGTTTTTCCAATTGTTCTTTATTGTCGATGATCTGTTTCTTTAGTCTATGCTCTTCGATAACAAGGAACCCATGTATCTCTTTGAATCGATTGGATATCTCATCTTCTGTTTGTTGAAGTTGTTCATATTCTTTGACTGATGATTTCAAAGAATCGAATGTGGACTTCATTACTGACTGAATATCATGAAATGATGGTATGTTGCTATTAATATTACTATTATTATTATTATTTGATTTCTGATGTTATCATTGATAGTTGGTTTAATATTATCAATATGATCGAATGAATGACCTGTGTTTCGGCGAACAAGCAGAGCAAATCAAAACATTGCAATCAAAACAAATGAGTTTATGTTTTTTGTTATGATTTGCACAAATATCCATTTTTAAAAACTATTACTATTATTACTGTTGTTTATAATATAAATATTATTGATGAAAATGATTAATATAAAAAGAACACCACAAAGATGAATCATATTCACTCATCAAAAAAAAACTCAAAATTCAAATTTTAATTACAATCACTTTCAGATGATTTCTTGTGTTTGATTGATCGATCGAAAGATATATATCGCAATGAATAATATATTATTGAAACAATCAAACAGTACAAATGTTAAACAGCTAACTACTTTTATATCTAATATAAACCGTCAGCATCAACTTTATCTTTCATCACTCTCAATTAGACAACGACAGACATCAAACAACCATTGTTGTTTAAACTCAACCTATTTAACAAATATCAATAATAACAGTAGTAGTAGTAACAATAACAATCTAAATTATAATGTCAAAGACTATTCTATTTTAAGTAAGATTAAGAATTTAATCGTTCAAACTGATCCTTTCGATACGATTAGATCAAAGTTTAAAGAGAATGAAACAGAGAAAGCCAATAGATTGTATGTCTTAATATTTAACAACCTATAATAATGATGATAATATATTAATTTTAAACTTGTAATTTACAGATTATCTGAATATCTAAAAGATGCAATCAAGAAAAAGACACCTGACAGCGAATTCAATGAGGAGTTTCAATTTTTGCTTGAACTCTCGCAGAATGGGTTGGCCAGCACCAAGACTCTCAATATATTCCTAAACTTTTACTATGAACTTGGTATTGAGAAATACTTTTACAACATGCTGACCTTCTATCGGAGGAACCGAGTGGAGATGGATCTCGAGACATTCGGTATCCTCTTTCAACAGCATATGCGATCAAACTCGCCTAAAGTCTACGACATCAACCGAACCGACGTCATTCAATACATAATCGAGCAGCTGGCCACCAACCACTCTGAGCTGATCTTTAGGAGATTCGTCTCGAACGAGGCAAACATCAATAAATACCTGCCGTCTCTTGTAATCTACAACCAACTGAAGGCGACACAGACACACTCGGACATCTACCAACGATTGGTAAAGATCATGGCAAGCGAACTGACAGGCGATCAAATTCAAAAGGTGATCGGTCGAATCTGCTATGTCTATCTCGAGCTGAACCGTCACGACTTGGCCACTGTCTGGTTCAGTCGGATGATCTACGAATTCAAACAGGAACCGAACCTCTGGATTCTCTCGATGTTTGAGAACCACTACAGCGTGCGTGTACTCCAGACGAACAACTTTATCAACCAAGACTACTACTTCTTTTGGCGAAGCTTCCGTAATTGCTATGGTAAACAACATCGCAACATCTCATACTTTTACGATTCGCTGCTGGTCGATGTCAACGAACAGAATCTGAGGGTCTCAAGTCAACTCCGCCAAAAGAAGCTGGAGAATCTACAACAGCAACTTCAAGAGCTCGAGGTATCTACCAAGAGCATGCCAACTCGTAAAAATAGACAATCTCTAATGAAAGTACGCCAACTAAGAAGAGTCATTGAAACACTAAAGGTATCGATCTCCACTGATTCACAACATCATGTTGCAACTGCTTCTACCAGTAGTTCTACTTCTCTGCCGGAGGAGTCGACCGCACCCGAAGATAACGACGATCCATCGTTGGAGGAGGAGAACGAGAATGACGACAACGACCATGACGACGACAACGAAGATGACGACGTTGAGGTCGACTCTGAAGACTTACAGGTGATCGATCCCAAGAACAAGTACATTCGTTTGAGAAACATCAGAGATATCGCAACATACTTTGAAAACCCGGAATCTCTTCTTCCCGACACACCGCTCATTCACTACATCAACAGTTTAAACAAGACCAAACTGATGGCTCCTCATTTCATTCCACCCTATATTCGTGTTCTCGTGAGTAATCCATACTACTTTAGTTCGCTCATCAAAAGCAAATTGGATTTGGCAATTAGTTTTATCCTAAAGAATGCCGATGTCACTCACTACTATGCAACCTCAATGTATGTGCACGAATTGATCATCCAAGGACTCATCAATATGCGACGATTCGACCTGGCCGAAAGACTGCTGGTCCATTGCTTCACGTGTAATCTCATGTATCAGCCCCCACAGAATCGATTCCAAGCCAAGATTGGCGTGCGTTTGATCGATGAACTCATCCTGCAAATTGTCATGAATGACAATGATCCATTCAACACCACCCTCATCAAACTAATATTGAATGTGCACCCCGAATATATACCTGACTACTTTGAGGCATTCGCTCAACTCAGCCTAAACAAAGCGGACCTCGATATTGACAAACTCTACGACCAAACTTTTAATATCCGTCCTCCAAGACTGCAAACCGTCATCCGTACCATGATATTTATAAAGAAGAATCAATCGAACTGGTTCAAGATGCCAAAGATTGAGGACGTCCTCTCTTACATCGCCACTCACAACCCTGTCATCTCAAGGATGAACAACCAAGACCTCCAATTGGTCTACCACGATATCTTTATGACACTCCAATACATGGGCGCCAAAGAGCTGAATATCTACATCGATAAATACATCGAGCAATTGAAACAAAACGAAAAGCAAGCTTTGGAGACTTTCGACGGTACCACTTCGCTCTTGATCAAACTGCGTCCCGAGAGAGCACTTGAAATCTTTGAACTTACAAAACCATCGTGGCTTGTGGATGATGCTGCCACCATCATTGCCAACGTCGCACAAAAATCCGAAAACCTCTCTCCTGAGACTGCACAGAAGATATCCTCATTCGCATCAAGTGAGAATACATCCACCAGAGAATTGTCCAGCGCATCGATCCTCTATATCAACTCACTATTAAACACAAAGTTTAGTGCCAACACTCAAACCGATTTGGAAACAACCAACTCTTCTGCTGACATGACAGAAACACTTTAAAAATATACTTTTATTTATTTTCGCTGTAACTGTAAATCAATAAAATAAATACATCAATTAATTGTTGTGTGTTTGTGTGTGTGTCAAGACCAATGTTGGTCAATAAAAGGTCAATTATTTAAAGAGGTTTTTGCCATTTTTTTTCACTCATTTTTTTTCATTTTTTTTTTTTAATTTTTGCTCAACCAAAAAAGCCTTTTTTTGATGATCATCAAAAACAATTTTATTTTAGATAACATTTTTTTTTTTAAATTAAAAACAATATAGTTTTATTTATATATATAAAAAGAAAAGAAAATGTCGTCAAAGTTGGGATTCGGAGCTATTTTCAATAGCTTTTTTGAAAGCTATAAATCAAGAACACCACAAAAGTTAAAAATCATCGATCTCTTCTTGGTATACGCATTCTTGACTGGTGTCATTGTTTTCGCATATTGTTGTTTGGTTGGTACTTTCCCATTCAACTCGTTCTTGGCTGCCTTCATTTCATGTGTTGGTACTTTTATTTTGACAGGTATTGTTTTTTTTGTTTAATAGAAATAGGAACCTAAATCTTTGTATACTAATTATTACTGCCTACTACCTACCCATCCCATTTTCACTCCTAATCAATTGAACTATTTTAGCATGTTTGAGAATTCAAGTCAACCCAGTCAATCACTTTAAAAATATTTCCTTTGAAAGATCTTTCGCCGACTATCTTTTATGTAATCTAATTCTTCACCTCGTCGTGTTCAACTTTTTAGGTTAAAAAAAAAAACAAATCAAACAAAAACAAACAACATAAAAAGACTTTGTGGTAGTAATAGAGTAACTTTTGGTTAGGTTATAATAGGATTACAGCACACACAGTCTTGTAGATTTATTCTTCAACTCAATCAATAAACTTCCAATCAATCATATACAACTTTTGACCAAATATTCACTTTTTTCTTAACTTTATAATTCTGTTCCACCTTTTAACAATGAGATCATTCCAATTTATCTATGAATGACATTATTGTTGCTTCCGCTTGTTATAAGCAAGCATAAGTACATCCCGAAAGATAAAATAATGATTGAATGATATTGATCTTGAACAAGTTCTTGATTATTATTTAAATAAAAAAAAAAGCAAAAAAAAAAAAAAAAAATTGGAAAAAAAAAAAAGAAAACTTAAGATATTAATTGATAAACATGATTAATAGTGTATTAATATATATATAATTATAGAAAATGAGTAAAAAGTACGATAAATTAGGTGATATTGTATTCAGCAAAGTTGATAAAATTGTTAGTATTGTTATTTATGTTTATGTTTAAAACAATCAAATTAGTATACTAATTGATCGATTGATCACCTTTCTACACAAAACAGAATGCAGAGTTGTTTACATTGACATACGGTGCATTGGTAACACAACTTATTAAAGACTATGAAGATATCGATCAAGTAAATATTAAATTGGAGCAGATGTATGTATTGTTTTCAAATGAATCGATCATTTAAATGCTTTGTTAATGCCTATGGCATTTAAATTTGATATTAATAACCAAATATTAATTATTATTATGCTAATTATAATGATAATAGGGGATATAATATAGGTGTAAGATTGATTGAAGAGTTCTTGGCTAAATCTAATATCGGTCGTTGCTCTGGCTTCCAAGAGACAGCGGAAGTCATTGCCAAGGTTGGATTCAAGATGTTCTTGGGTGTGACCTGTCAGATCAGTGATTGGGATGCAGAGAAGAAAGAGTTTCACTTGATCATCGAAGACAACCCACTCATCGACTTTGTAGAACTACCAGAACACTTGAAACACAAACTCTACTATTCAAACATATTGTGTGGTGTGATCCGTGGTGCACTAGAGATGGTTCAAATGAAAGTCAAATGTACATTCGTCAAGTGTGCACTCTCTGACGAATCTGCATCAGAGATCAAAGTTGTTTTAGAGGAAGTACTCTCTGATATGGCTCCAGTTGGATATGACTAAAAAATAAACCAAAAAAAAAAAAACAAAAACAAAATAATAACAAACAAATGACAACCATTCAATCACATACACACAATAATCATTAAATTTGATTGTAATAGATTACCAACAACTACGATCATATCATATCATATTAAAAGAAGTCATATATAGATGACTTTCTTACTTGTATAAAAAAAGAAAATGTTTAATTAAATTAATAGGTTTCGATTAAATTGGTTGATTGATGTACAAGTTTTTTTTATTTAAATATATTGATCTACAATGTATATAATAATCTATACAAAAAGTAATTATTTGATTTGTCGATTCTTTGGGTTTGTTTTGAAATGCATTGGTGAATTGGATTGGATTTGAATTTGAATTGGTTTGATTTGATTTGATTTAAGAAGATTAATAAACACCATCTTCATGTGATGCCGGCACTGCTGCTGCTGCTGGTGCCGGTACGTTGTATGTAGTTTCTAAGTGAACTGGTTCCCCACCACAACAAATGTAATTCTGACCATCTACGAAATCCTCGAGTGCCTTTACTTGCTTACCGTCGAATGAGTATACTTTACGGACGGGTCCAGTGACCAATCCGACTTGCTTAGAAAGATGTTCTTTCAACTGATCGTAAGTTCTGTACTTGGTCGAGTGAATCGTAATCTTCTCTCCGCTGTGCACCTTGTCACCGTTTCTGAATGCCAAAATCACCTTTGCCTTGTCTGTTCCGATGGCGAATTTCTTGGGTACGCCATCCTTGTACGATGAAACCACCGGTTTCTTTGAGCCTGGACTTGGTGTGCGACGTGACAATGACTGACCTGGCTGTGCACCCATCGACGACAAAGTTGGGGTAGTCGAGCTCTCGGGTGTGCTTGACGAGGTGGTGGAAGTGGTACTGGTTGAGTGGTCACCACTCGATGGCTCTGAACTAACGGATTTGGCTGTCGATATCGATGGATGTGCCTGTTCACTCTTTACAACAAAAATACCAATCAAACCCTTTGGATCTAATCAATTCAATTAATATCAATATACTTTCTATAATGTTGAAACAATAATATGATTGTTCCAAAAAAAAAAAAAAAAAAAACTTACATATATCTTCACTTAACTTCTCAGCACCACAACAAATATAATTCTGATTATCTTCGAAATCCTCTAATCCTTTAATCAATTTCTTTTGTGTAGAGTATACTCTCTGTACTGCACCGGTATATAGTCCAACTTTTTGACTTAATTCAACTTTTAGCTAACCAGAGATTAAAAAAAAAAAAATTAGATACCAGATAATTGATAATAAATTATATTGATAAGTTACTTACTTGGTCATATGTTTTATATTTAGTAGAATGTATGACAATACGGACACCTTCAACTTGGTACTTGTCTGCATTTCTCCAGGCATGGATTACTTTTCCCTTCTCCGTTTGAACTCCAAATTTCGACATTTTTTTGGCTGGTGATTCTGTAGTAGTTGCCATTATTATTGTTGTTATTGGAAATAATAATTGAATTAATATTAATTTAAATCTATAGATTAATCTTATAATTGATTGACTATTTTTATTTTATTTTATTTTATTTTATTTTATTTTTATTTATTTTTAATAGCTATTTTTTATTTATTTATTTTATTTATTATTATTGAATTAATAAATTAATTTATTATTATTATTATTATTGTGATTGATGTTGGTGTGGTGACTTGTTAATTATACAAATAGCTATTTTAATTTATTGACAATAATTAGTTGTAAAATCAATCAATACCAAAAGAAACATAACTCCAATGCTTGTGGTGTGTGTTATGTGTTTGTTTGTGTGTTGTACTTGTGTAAAGTGAAGTTGTAATTAAGATTTTAATGTATTTTTTAGTTTGATTGTATCTCTAATGTAATGATCAGTAGATACATTGATCGCAAGATTTACTGTTTAATGGATGACTGATTGACAAATAAATAAAGCGCTTGATCATTACAACTATAATTACTAACCTTTAATCTAAATATGTATATTTTATTTTATTTCTGTATAATTAAATTGTTTGATTTTAATTTTATTTAATTTGAACTGTGTTCTAATAAGTCTTTCTTTTATTTATTTACTTATTTAAAATTGTGTTTCAATATTGGTTCTTCTTATAATTATAGACCTAATAAATAATCAATTGTTATTAAAAATAAACAATATTAATATTTTTATTTGAATTAAAAAAAAAACCTAAGATAATATTTAAATTTTTCGATGATAGGTATTGAAGTTGTTTTTACCACTCAATCAACTGTGATTGGCACCAGATTTTCAACGGCTAAATTTAAAAAACATCCAATTTTCAAATAATTTTGTTTATAAATTGTTCACAGTTTTGTGGACTATAAATGAACAATTTAAATTAACTTTTAAGAGCGCCATTGTTTTGTACATTATAATTATATATTTGTTTTTATTGATTAATCTTTAAATGTTCTACTTAGTTGTTTTAATGTATATACAATGTAGAATGATCCGATTATTGAGAGTAACATAAATAGTAATTTAAAAAATACCATTTCATTATCACAGTGATGAAAGTTTTTCTAAAAAAAATAACAAATCAAAAGGGTAACATGTCAATAACTATAATTCTAAACTGTTTTTTTTTATATACATACATATTGTCTTAAACAATCAAAACAAAATTCAAATCCACATCTAAAACAAACCATATATGAACATCCACCTCTTTTTTCTAAATCAATAATAAATAATAATTATTATCGTTGGTTAGTGTAATCAGCAGGTGTTTAAAAGTTTCAATCCAATTCCCTTCCATACCTATAAAAACAAAACATTTTGGACATCTCTTTGTATTTTGAATTTTCCATAAATAAGATTTTAGTGCATCTTCGTTGTTTGCCAGATAGTCTTTGCATGGAGTAGTCCATGGATGTGTTCCATTACAGCTCGTACACAATACATATGGACATGAAGTACACCTAACTTGAAAACTACCTTTTGGTATGGGATGATGGAGTGTTGCTAAACTTGTGAGACTGTAGTTGGTGGTTGTATCTATATATATTAAATTATCACACTGTGGACACACCCAGTAGATATTGTTCAGTTTCTTCTTGCGCTCGGCGTCGTCACCCATGATCTCCTGAATCAATGACATCGACAGTAGGTTTGGACACCATAGACATTCAATCTTGTAGGAAGCGTAACCGTTTCTCTCGAGCTCCATCTCCAATGTCTTTTGCAGACAGGTTCGACACATCTCATGCTTGCAATTCTCTGAGAGAACGATCATGTTGTCGGGATGCACCTTCAGACAACAGATCTGACATCTTCTCTTGGTTTTAGACCGTAGCGAAAGTATTATTCTTTTATACTCAACATCATTGCCATTTAAATTGATTGGTGATTTTCCACCTTTTATCAAATTCACTGTATGTTTTAAATGCTTCATCTACAACTAACTATGTTTCTTATTTATATATAATATTATTCCTAAATTTAGATAATATTCTTTTGAACTTGATATTTAATATATACATATATAATACAACTAATATTTCTATCTTTATTTTATGTGTTTTAATTATAATAATTCTTCTCTCATTCTTTTTTTTTTTTTTGTTATTGCTAGCAAAAATGTTATCACTATCAAAAAAAGTTAAACTACAATTATATCATATATACATTAACACTATTATTACCATCACAATTGATCATCATTTTGATAATAGTAGTGTGTTAAAATCAAAATGATGATCAAAAATTAAAAAATAAAAAAAAAAATGAAAATGTAAAAGAAAAATTAAACACATAAAACACATATGTTTTCCATCCAACATTGGAGTAAACACACAAATATGCTAATTTTTTTTAAAAAAAAAATAATAAAATTTTATGTATGACTCTAAAAAACAAAAATCAATTTATTTTTTTTTATATATATATATAAATGTTATGAATTTTTAAATTTTGTTTATCTTTGACCCCGATACAACAGGATTAGCCTTTGCGAGGGCAGCCTTTCCAGCTGTTTTGTAATCAAAAGAACATTCGTGCTTATCAGAGTAACGATGAGAGGAACAAAATACATATTCACAACGGCACTTGAATCCCAATAAACCAACTTTCTTTGAACAACTGAAACATTTGGTTGTATCAGACTGAATCTTTTTTGCCTCGACGGATGATTCGGATGTGTTGTCATTGAGATCGGTTGAACTTGTAACTGTCTGTGCTTGTTCTTGGACTGGTTTTTCATCCGCTTTCTTTGGATATAAATCTCTGTAACATTTTGAACAATAGTTTGCTGTCAATGGATTACTAAAGAGTTTACATAAAAAAATGATTAGTATAACTGTTGTTGTTGTTGTTGTTGTTGTTGTATCTTTATATTATTCAACCTACCCAAAGAATCCACAATTGTTGGCACATTGTACTGGGGCGGCGGTTTTCTGTGTAGAGTCTCCTTCCATTTTTATTGATTTGTATGTCTATGTATAAATGATTAAATTGAAAATATTGTACAATTGATGGTAACTGTAGGTTGTAATTAAAGTGTTGATGTGTTGGTTGTAGTATAGATTATGTAAATCTATAGAGTAAATAAATTAGTTTTCTGTATTCTTAAAGAGTATTAAAAGAAAAGTTTGGAAATATATATATAACAAGAAGAATAAAGAGGAAATGTTTTGTTTAAAAATCAAATGAAAGTATTAAATCAAAACAATAAGAGAATATATTGCTATGTGTTTTAAAAAAAAAGAATGAAATTAAAAAAATAAAATAAAACGAGAAGTTATTAAAAGTCTATTTGTACAAGATTATATAAGCTAAAGTAATTTGTTGTTTGCTATTTTAATATTAAAAAACAAGTTTGCTTGAAATAAAATAAAAGAAGGTAGTTTAACCAACACAAAGAAGAGATAGAAATTTATATAAAAAAATTATTATCTTTTTGTTAATTATTATATTATATTATATTATATTATTATTTTTATATATAAATATATTATTATTTTATTTATAATTAGATTTATTGATAGAATGGAAACAAATATGTTTGTTGTATATATATCAAGAGAAAAAAATATTGTATGTAAAAAACAAATAAATTAAATAATTAATGAGAGATGATAGCGTGTGGAATTTTATTTTGTTGGGTGAAGTGTTTTGTTGCTGAAATTAGTGTATGGTGCAATGTTTTTTTTTTTTTTTTGTTTTTTTTTTTTTTCTTTTTTTTTGTATATATAAAGGATTATTTCTTCACACTATCTCATCTCAGTGACGCAAAAAAAAAAAAAACTTTTTTTTTTTTTAACCCACTTTTTTGGCACCCAAACTTAACAACCAACAATTACACCACACAAACACACACAATTAACTTAATTGTTAATTTACTTGTGTAATTAAGAGGCCAGCAGAATTGGTAATTAAAATTAATTGTGCAAACATTGAAATGCTACTACCCGTCACATACTATTAATTAGAGTGAGATAGTGTTGTTTTTTTGTTTGTTGTTTGGATGGAATGGTAGAGTGAGAGGGTAATTATCACTTTATTGTTATGGTTATTGCATGATATGTGTAGAATGAGGTAAGTTTGATAACGAACGAACACAAATAAAAATACATTATATTATTTGCTTGTTTATTAGTTTTTGGTTTGGTGAACACAGTAAATAATTAGGTGGTTTATTCAATAACTTGATATGCAAAAGCAGAATAGTAGGTTTGAATATTTATGTTATCAGTATTATTAATGGTAGAATATTCAAATTCTCTCTGTTTCATCAACTACGATGCGATGACAAAACATAACATAACATAAAAATATCATGTTGTATCTTGTGTGTGTTATTATATAAACAAACATCATATTTACTTGTATATAATTGTTGTTGTTGTTATTATTGTTATTTTTGTTATTATCATTATTATTATCACATTAAAAATGATTTGATTATTATATTGTTGTGGTGTAACACGTTCAGTTTGTGAATGTCTTAACATGTTGAGGTTCGAAGTTATTAAGAACAATATCACACAATCAAATAAACATAAAAAGAAAAACAAACACTCTATAACACACACACTCACTCTTCTCAACCATTGATCAGTTTTTTGATATCAGCATGTTGGTTGATTCTCTAATTATAAAAACAATGGATATAATAGCCAGATCTGGTTGTTTAAGAACCGGACAGTTGCTTAATTAATTATTGTATTATTTTATTTTATTTTATTTGTTGATGATTTTATATTTTAAAAAAAATGTGTTTGTGTGTGTGTGATTAGTGTGTAATAATTTAAAGATTGTTATTACTTTAAAAGCTAATGGTTTTTATAATTAGCTTAAAATTTAAAAACCCATACAAAAAAATTGATATCATAAACTGATATTCCATATTTAAAATAGTGAATCTGATATTTATGGATTTAATTGGTGTGGTTTGAAATTGTTAAGTTAACAATAAAAAAAAAAAAGGTGAAAAAAAAAAGTAAACGCAAATAAAAAATGACAATTCTGTTGAAAATTTTAATTGCAAAAAAAAACAAAAAAAGTGAAAAACAACGCAGATGTATAGATTGAGTGAAGAGAATGGAAGTAAAGAATAAAGATCTAGCAAAGAAGAGAGAAGGTTATTATATGATAACTTACATTTCGTATTTTTTGTTTACAAGTAGTTATTGTTGTTGGTTTTTTGGTGTTGTTACTATTTTAAAAAAAAAATTTATATACAGTATATTCTAGTTGGTTTTATTATTTGTAGTTGTTTGTTGTTTAAGCAAGACAAAAACAAAGAGTGGATTTTGATTGTGGATTAAAAATTTGATATATAAAGGATTTTTGTTGTGTGTTGTTGGCAAAGTAATAATAGAATTTGAGGTAGTTATAAATTTACTATAAAAATTATATTATTTTATCGTTGTGAAAATAATAAATAATCAATAATAAATGTAATATTATTTATATATTATATGTGTAAGAGTTTTGTTATATACAATAAAAAAAAAAAAAAAGATATTAAAATATATATATTGAAAAAAAGTATATTATAAAAATAGATATGTAGAATTGTGTGTGTTTTGTATTTGTTTCAAAATTATAAATGATCGTTCTTACTGAATCCACCAACTTTTTATTAACACTTCAGATCCTTTCCAAAAAAAAAAAAAAAAAAAGTGAAAAAAAAATGAAAAAAAAGAAAAAACTTTTATTGAAAAAAAAAGGTGAATCCACAATAAATTAAATTAATTTTTTCGAAAAAAAAACCATACTAAATTATTTTTTATTTTTTTTGTGGTGGTTTTATGATTTTGGAACCTGGGCTGGTTGTAACACCATTCCATTTTTCTCAATTTTCACAAAATGATGCAACATTAAAGGGCACAACTATTTTTTTTCAATTTTTATTTTTGATTTTCAAATATGAGTTTTCATTGGAAATTCGTCAAGAATCTCAAACTTACACACTTTAGAGAAAAATTGAAAAGATCTAGAGTCGAAAAAAAATGACAACCGAACAAAACCTTTCACACACAGATATTTAAAACTAAACTGACTTTTCAAGTAGTGTAGGTTAAATTTATTTTTCGTTTTTTTATTTTTATTTTTGTGTGGTTGCTAGTTTTTCGATACGGTGACATCTGTGTTATGCAAAAGAAAGGCGAAAAAGATAGATAGATTGATAGATAGATAGAAATAAGTGGTGTGTTGTTTATGACAACATACAAATATTTTTATAGCTAAGGATTTTGTTGGTTTTTTTTTTTTCATTCACACCATACTACCACATTTGAAGATATCTATCTTCAAAGTATTACACACACCACACAAACAGAACAAATAGAGTAGAGACAGCGACAAATTCCATTGGTCAAATTCAATCAACTAGATTCATGTTGCTTTCGTTCTCTTGTTTTTGAGGTTTTAAAATTACAATTTCGTTTTCTTTTTATTGTTTTTTGAATTTGAACTGTTATATAAGTGTGTGCGCGATAGTTTAACTGTCTTTTGGGAGTTGGTAGTTTGGTTGTTAGTACTAAGAACAGTGTGGTAATGGCAGTTGTTTTCTGTTGAGTGATCTATCTATCAATTATAAGAGATGGTGATTACGTTTTTGGTTCCGTCTGTCCAGTGGAAATCGACGATTCTCTTGGTTTTAGTGTCTATGAATAGCCAAGGGTGCGTAATGTAGGTGTTCATGTCCATTGAGCGACGACTTGGAATGACACCATAGGACACACGCTCACCGTTGAAATCGAGCCAAACCAACTCGATCTCTCTGATGGTTTCATTGTCGAATCTCACTTTTACCATATTGCAAGAGCAAATCGAACGAACGTTCTGTGGAAACACATTGTCCAGTATACTGTATCTCACTGTTTTATTCTCTACAAAGAATCTATTATCGGCATGTTCACAGTGAATCACTACATTTTGATTGTTTAAACCTCCACTTTCAACTTTCATCTTAATATTTCTATATTTAATATTAAGTTTCTTAAAATTTTTTGGCTTGAAAACTATTGTTTGTTATTTTTTTAACAAAAAACAAAAAACAGATATTTTCAAGAAAAATCAAAGCTTAAAATAAACAAATTACTTAAAAAAAAATTAATCATAAAAAATAATTTTATTTATTATAGTTCTTCAATGATTCAACATTAATACACACATTAAATTACAATATTATTGTTGATTGTATATCTAGAGTTATGAGTGTTGACAAGACAGTCTTAACAAGATTCTTTGATAGATATCTCAATTTCAAAAGATACAATCACGATAATGATTTCAGTTTGAAAGGACTCGACATCACCGGACTATTGCCTATTGCAGATTTGCGAGATGAACAACCAAAAGCACTTTTACTTTTCAATGTCGTAGATGTAGGTTAAATCAATTAAATTAAATTTAAATATTTATTTCTTTTTAAACTTATTGGTTGTTATTTTCAAATTCACTTTCATTAATTTGAACTGTAGTTTATTTATTACAACAAGCATTTCATGGATGATGGACAATCTGAAGATCAAATCAAGTTATACAATGCATTTATGTTATATGTATTCAATAATCTATCAGACTGTAGTGGTATGTTTCACAGCAGTCTAAAGTCCATCTCAAGGAGTACTTTTTTGCTAGAGTTTCTAAAACAACTTGGACAGACTCACCATCACGATATTGAACGGTTCTTCCAAAGTTTTTTAATAAGTCTATTCAGCAATGAAGATTCTACAGAGTTGGAAGAAATAGTCAAGATATTTTCGAATTTGGATGAGGTATTTGATGTCAAGCTACATTGTTTCGATTGGATTGTAAGCAACTTATCAACTCTCAACAAGTTTAAATTTCAACTGCTCTTCATGGTATTGAAAAAGATTGGCAATAACCAGAGCATCATTAACACATCAATATCCAATACAATATTAAGAGGTATCATTACATTCTATGATACCATAGAGCTGGAGGATTTGAAATCGTTGAGATGGTTGGGTAATCTATTCGACTCTAAGGATGCTGAGAATATCGAGTTGGTTAGCACTTTTTTAAATAATTTATGCACTTCTGTCTCGCCCAATGAAGCTTTAATCGATGTTGTCTATTCTCTTTTCTACCGATTACTAAACGCTGCAGATATATTCAATCATTTCTGTTTGCCAGAGAATGTAAATGGTGTTGAACTCGGAAATTACTCAATCTACTTGATGTGCTTGGAGATTGACTCTCAATTCTTGGTATCCGATGACCTAGGTCTCGTTGACTATCTAATTTATAGGATCAGCTACAATTCCACTCAGTCATTGATTATTCTTGATGCTTATATCAACAGATCGATTGCCATACCCAGACGTCTCTATGAACACCTTGCAACCATCTCATTCAATAGAGGCACAGTTTACAACGACGTTGATTTCTCTCTCAATCCCGTGGCTTTGGAGATTGTTGACCGACCTGACAACGAGAAGATCACTATTCTCAAAGTGCTTCTACATCTTTATAACGACTATACCACACCAAGTACCACTACAGTTCCGTACGAATATCACGATCCACTGTTCATCGCCGCATTTCTCAATATGTTTGAGTTGTTCAACACGCCAATGTACATTGAAGAGTCGATTATTATGATTCAACGCTTTTTCGAGTCATTTACTGTTGATGAGTTCGCCAAGCCTCTTCCTATTATATCGATCAATCTCTTCGAGTTATTTGAACACACAACAACATTTTCTTATAGAATGCCCCTGTATGTAGGGAAGCTGTTGATGTCTCTCAGTGAAAGTCATGTTACTGTGGTATTTAAAATCATTCAGAAATATCTTTCAAAGAACTACATCTATCTTATTCTGTACCCTGGTGACCAAATGTATGTTTCAGAGATCCTCAAAAAGCTGTATCAACTAAACGATAAGACTCTATTCTTCACCATTGTGGATGAACTCAGAGTGCGACTAATTACCAATTACATGATGGGGCAGCCAGAGTATGATAGCTTCACCAAGTATTTCAAAATCGTTAAGCAACCTGAAACACAACAAACGCTGGAATCTACATACAATCAAGTACCAACATTAAACACCACTCTATTACACCAAATCATTTACTATTTGTTTAAAGATAAGAAGTTATCTTCGGAGTGGAAGGTCGAACTGTCTATTGTATCCAAACAATTCCATCGAGTTTGCAAGTCGGTCGTATCTAACAATCCAATTCCGTCATTGAAGATTCACGATGTCATTGAATACATTGGTTCTGACTACTGTTTATTCAGTAGAGCGCCTCTATCTTTATTGGACCGTGATATTGGCTTTATCCCAGAGGCTGAGAGGATCAGTTGTCTAGAGAATCTGGAGGTTCTCACAGTCACATTCATTCTTATAGAGATGTATTTCGATTTTAAGTATATCATACTTTTGAAGCGTACAAAAAACCTCAAGCATTTAATCATACAAGAAAATGATGATTGTGATTATGATTATAATCTTTTGGATGACCAGGATCAATATTTAAATTTAGTTCAATGTTGTAACGATTTGAAAAGATACACTGAAGATGGATTGCCTGATATCCGACTGTATGGACAGCCAAGTCAATCAAGCATTAAAGATCTACATTTTCTTAGAGTAATACTGGATCACTATGTAGCAAAGTCATCAAACTTGGTATCAATCGATTACAAATCAAAGTCATCATTTGAGACACATACATCCCATTGCTTACCGATACTGACACACCTAAAGTCATTACAACCAAGGTTACAAATCAATGTTGCATTGAACACATCCAAAGAAGTGGACACGAATTTTAGCTTGGTTCGATCACTTTCTATAGAGGATGTATTTATCTTTAGTCCAAATCTTTGCATAAATTCATTGGATAAGTTAAAGATTAACCAAATGAAAATCAATAGAGATATTATCCAGCTATTCCAAACAACTTCAATTAAATCGGTCACTGTTATAGGATACAGCTTTGAAAATATCATTGATATCATTAAGCATATTGGAGATTCCACTAAGAGTATCACAATTATTCACAGAACAGAGGTGTTTATGAGCCAGGCTGAGTTTACAGAGTCACTCAACCAAATCATGCAAATTCTCTCACATCCAAAGTTTAAATCAGTCCAAGAAATTAAGTTCAAGGCAAGCTATTGTGGTAGAGATTACCCAATGTTGAACGAGGCGATCATACAGTCAGACTTGATCGATTTTAAGCAATTTAAATATACTGTCGACAACAAGTATCTTACAAAATACAGACTGGCACAAGATGAAATAGATAATCAAGTTTCATTTGATATTAGTTTAGAAAATTCTTCTGATACAATTACAACTGTGGAAAAAGATGATAGTTGGTGTAGTTCAGGATATGCTTAGTTCAAATAAAAGCAATTTTTATTGTAGAAACAAAATAATTCAAACTATTTATTATTAAAAAAAGTTAAATATTGGTTATCGATAGGTATGAAATCTTTAAAGTCGATATTTTTTTGGTATTGGTTTACCAATGGAATTAAATGATCTAAATTCCTAAATTTGTATGCCAAGGTGATTTGTTGTGATGCTCCACTCTTTGAGAGAATATTGAAAATGATGTTGATGGAGGTGGCAAGTGTTTTCTCATCTTGAATCGAAGTCAAGAATAGTTTTATCTTTTTGAATGTTCTGCCTAGATTAAGAAGATATGTAGCACCTACCAAGTTGTCATATAGACTGATTGACTCAATGGGAACATTCTCTAATAGTGATTTCAAATTAGCGGAGCACGGTGATTTCATTAATTTCAAATGACGCAGCGACTGAAATCTGTGCCAAGAGGGAAAATGAATGTCGTTTACAATCAGTTTATCAACAAGACGAAAGTCATAATTGGTTTGAGGAAATGTGTCATGCATCCTTGGGCAAAACAATGATCGTATTCTGATATTGCTTATTTTGCTTAGCTGATTGAGTATGTCGATAGCTTGTACATATTTCGTCATCCATATCTTGGCAATGTGATTGATGGATTCAAGGTGCGGATTGACCTGACAAAGGTAACCAAGGTCGTCGATGAATACATTTTGATAATAATTTGGTTCTTCGACAAATTCCATTCGATCATCGTCGATGATAGTAAGATGTCTTAAGTTTCCAGTCATTGGAAGAGCATGCATTCTCGGTTGGTTTGTATCCCAGAGATTGATGAGAGTGAAGCTCTCGAGATGTTCCAAGCACTCGGTAGTTAGCTCTTGAGGAATAAAGAAGATTTCGTAATTGTCTAGATGCAGGGGAGGATTTCTAAACAAACAGTACTGTGAACCAATATGGTCTATTGGTCCCAGAATCTTCAACGATGTGATTGGGTTGTGAGATACAATAGTTGAGCAAATCTTGTGGAACTGCTTGGAAACCGTTGACAAGTTTACAATCCACTGTGATGTTATCTTTTTGTCAAAAATAGAGTACTTTAATATTTCTAATACTGTAATATAGTTTAGTTGAACGGGTTCTGTTCTTGTTGACTCTACTATTGTATATTGTTGTGGATTGAGCACTAGACTAAGATAATGATTTATACCGCTGAAGTAATACAGTTGCATGTGGTGTATAAAGTAATAACAAAGTTGAAATTGAACTAAATCATTAACAATGTTATTGATGTATTGTGTGTTGTTGTTGGAGTATAGGATGTCCATAAGATTTGGGATATAGTAGTCACAAAACATTTTACTGGAGAATTGCACTACTTCCTCGAGGTTAGAACCGTTCAATATCGATTGGATGATGAGCATTACTGACTGCTTCAAACTGTGTTGCAAGAAACAATAAATATACTCTGGTTCATTCAGATCCAAAAGAAGATCGTAGAATTGGAAGTATTGATCTGGATATACACTCTGTACGAACTTTTCAAAGATAGATGGAGGGATCTTTTCTTTGGTTGCTCGAATGAAGGTTGCCAACTTTCCACTTGGTACAAGCATTTCGATTCTCTGGTTGGCGAGAATGCTCTCCACTTGACTGGCGGTCAACACACTGGCAGTCTCAATCCATATATCAAACTTTTCCTCGCAAAGAAAGAAAACTCGATGGTCATACCAGTGGTCAAAATCGGCATGGAATTTCTGCAAGAAGCGTTCTTGAAAGTAATACTTGTATTGGCCGAGTATATTTGCTCTGAACGATGTTGATAATTTCTCTGAGAATCTGAATATCCAGAAGAATAGAATATCCAAGAATATAGGATCTTTCTCTACAGCATACAGACTAAGTATAACCTTTATCGCTCTCTCTTCGTCAACGCCTTTGGCAAGTCGGAGGTTGTACATTAGATGATTTTGTACGAAGCTCGAATTGTCTGATAGCTGGGTTAGATGACTATAGATTTTCTTTGGAATTTCTATATTATTCTCTGTGAAAACGTGTAGATTGCAGATTGAGTTTACATCGTTGAGCGAGGAGATCGATTTACATAGCGTGTCAATGACAATACCATCGGTTGCTCTTAGGTGAAGCTGATCCATACCAAGGAGGTATTGATATTGTTGGTCATAGGCCAGGTATTTGAAATTTTTTAGAAATGAACCTAATAGAGTATATCTAGTATCTGTGCAATTAGCCATTAAATCAAATACCAACTGGGTAGACTCTTTTTCTTTCCTAATACCATGCTCTATGTCTGCATTGCTTAGCTGACTCTCAATAAGGTTGGAATCAATGAATCTTGAGAGTATCAAAGCATCACGTCTTGTAAATAGATACACTATCTTATGGTGTAATAAAACATGTATAATACACCTATTTTGTTTAAAAATAAGATAAGATAAGATAAGAAAAGAAAGAAATTGATTAGTTTTCAACAGGTAGATTGATTTAATAGAACTTTAATATTATACTTTACTTGAAAATAACATTCTGTTGATCATTAAAAATATGATTATAGGTTGGGTGGGTATTAATAATGTGTATGGCAAGATAGAGTTTAGAGAGAGGACACAAGCGAGGAAAGCCGCTACTATCATCATTCCTGTCATTGATCCAGCTAATACACTCTTGTTCAATGTCGAAGAGTAGGTTGAGATTGGTGTATCTCGTTTCCAAGTGTTGAAACTTATTCTCCAGTATCGAGTAGATGAAGCATTGGATAAACAACTGGCGAAGAGATTCGAATTTCATTTGGCAATCGGACCATAGTGACACCAGATATTTCAGTTCGAACTCACAACGCATCAGCAATATAACACTCCGGTAGAACGGTAGATTGACACTGATCTTCATTACACCGCACGTCTTCAATTCATCGAAAGATTGTAATAAACTATTCAATGCTTTGATCACATAGGTAACAATCTCAAATTCAATTTTCTCTAAAGATTTTCTGGATAACCACTATATTTAAATAAAATTTTAATAATAGTAATGATAAAATAGTTAGTTAAATACATACATAAATTTTATTTGATAATTTATCTATTGATTTTAGATGTTAACCTTTATCACTCTGAATAGCAGGCATCGATTAAGAGACTCGGAAACATTCTGTAGATCATATAAGATTCCATTGATTTCACAACCCAAGTCTTTTCTTAGGTCTTCAGTTGACATTGTTTTTTTCTTTTATCTTTAAATTAACTAGTTATTAAATCTACTAAATTCTCAATCAATTTTTACAACTTTTACATTGATTTTCCAAATATTGATGAAATTTTTTCAATTAGATATAAGAAAAAAAAAGACACAATTAATAAAAAAAAGAATTAAATCTCCATTTTGAAAAAATGGAATAATATTAATTAAAAAAGAAAAATCAACTAAAACTTTATTGAATATATATAATAATATATTTATCTTTTTATCCAAATCTGTAAAATTTTTTTAAAACAAAATAAATATTGTATAATAATAGTACAAAGACTTAGGGATTTTGTTCTTAAATTTTTAATTGAATTTTATTTAAATGTTAAAAATATAGAATCAAAAAATTAAAAAAATAATTTTTATAAAGTGTTTTATAGACAAGATATATAAATTTATATTTCTTCAAAAATATTTATTTTTAGTACAAATTATTATTAATATTTTTATTTTAAATATCTTTACAAGTGGCGCCCTCAAAACAATTTCCATTCATAAATTTTCGAAAGTGTCGTTTTTTTTTTTTTTTTAATTTAAATTTAAATAATAATTTTTAAAAACTAGTTATGTGTAACTACTCATTACCACCACTAGTAATACAATGAAAACTAATAATAATAGTAGTAGTAGTAGTAGTAGTAATAATAATAATAATAATGATTTAAAAAATTCAAATAATGGTATAAATAATAATAATAATAATAATAGTAATAGCAGTAATTATGAAACATTGAAATCAAAGATAATAGCAACGAATACACTCATTCATAAATATAAATCGTTACAAACAAACTATAAACAATTACAACAAGAGTTGAATAGATTGAAATCATTAAATTCAAGCAGTGATAATAATAATATTGTAAATTTAAATTCAAGTAATAATGGTAGTTTATTAAATGGCAGTGGCAAAGGCAATGTCAGTGGATATAGTGAGTTGGAAAAAGAGAAACAAAAATTGATACAACAGTTGGCATTCGAAAGGAAGGAATCAGAGTCGCTGAAATCACAGCTGGAGAATGAGATTAACAATCATCTACCGCTGAGAGACAGTGTCGAGCGTTCGGAGAAAGAGTTGAAATCTCTGAGGAGCGAACTTGAACAGAAGAAGTTGGTCATCGGTTCGTTGGAGGCACTCAATCAGCAACTACAGGCAAAGATTACCGACTACTATACACACAAGGAGAACAACGAGAAACAATCAAAGAAGCTCGAGAAGCTGCTGGATCTCAAGAAACGATTCGTCGATCTCAAGAAGGATAACGAGAAACTAAAGACACAAGTAATACATTTTCAGAAACAAAGTAATATGTTACAACTATCTGGTGGTACTGCTAGTGGTAATGGTAGCAGCACCGCTTCCTCTGCACCTGCTGGTAAACGTGGTAGATCTTCAAAGACGAAACAGCAGCAACAATCTGTCAATTCCGATAGTGAAGTATTGGATTTAGATCAAGAGCTATTCGTTAATAATGGTACAGAGGATATAGATCATTCATTAGATTCATCTATTGATGAAATTGATAATAACGATAATGATATTAATGACAATAGTAATGACAACAATCATAAAAATAGTAATAATAATAAGAATAATAATAATGTAGATACAGATATGGGTGTGGATGATTTAGATTTTCAAGAAAGTTTTGGTGGTTCTGGTTTTGAAGTGGATGACGACTATCAACCATTTTTACCAATAACTTCGACTACTACCACTACAACTACCACAACAAATACAAATACAGCTACCACAACAACAACGAATATAAGTACAAATACAGAAATAGAAGATGAAGAATCAACAACTACATCCATAATAGATGCAGATATCAATGATGATGATCATATTAATAATAGTAAAAATAATAGTATAAATAGTAATAAAAATAGTAATAATGTAAAGGAAATAGAAACAGTAGAAACAAATGTAGATAAACAAGTTAGTGATGATTTAGTTATACAGGACAAAGTGGCAGAGTCTGTTGATGATGACGACGATATCGAGTTTGAAGAACATAGAGATACAGAGCCTGTTGCTGTTTCTGTTGTGAGAGTGGTGGCTCCACCCATGCTATTCAACAAGATGGAGCAATCTCATGACTATTCAGATGACGATATCAAATTTGAAGAGCATCCACTACGTACTTTTGAAATAGATTCAACATCAACAACAACAACCAAAACAACAATAGAAGAAGATGATGATAATAATGATGATATAATTGTAAATAATAATAATAATAATAATAGTCAAACAAACACAACTTCAAATGATTCAAAAACTATAACAACAAATACTTTAGAATGTTCAATACCAACAATTGAAGAGAGTAATAATGATGATGATGATGATGATCAGTTGCAACTTGATTTGAAAGAAGGACTGGAAAAGATCGATGAAGTAAATGAAGGAATGGAGATTGATGGCTTACCTGCCGCCGAGACCACCAACAGTGGTGATACACCGATGTCAGATTCATCAGTTTCTGTTAAAGATGACAGCAGTTTAGATGTCAGCATTGATAATGATACAATGAATTTTGAAACTTACAACCATAAACCAGACGTAGAATTAATACCAGACATCGTAGAGTCAACTGATACAACCAACCAAACTCACAAGAATAATAGTCCAGATACAAACAATGATACACAATCTATTGCATTAGAAAACAACAACAATAATAATAATAACAAAAACAACGATAAGAGTAACGACAACAACAGTGATAATAATAATAATGATAATAATGATAGTAGTGATAATAGTAATAGCAATAGTAATAGTTGTAGTAGTATTAAATATTTAAATATAATGGATGCACCAATTGATTCACCTATATCACCTGGTGTAATATTTATAGATAGATATCATAGTGGTAATAGCCAATCACCAAAGAAAGATCGTTCTCCCTTGAAATCATCACCTTTGAAAGCAGCATCTGCAGCATCAGCATCACCACTATCATTATCACCAACAATACAATGCCAACCGTCAAACTTTAAGATACCACTTTTCAAAACACCTTCAATAGCAACAACAACAATAACAGAAACAGAACAATCATTACCATCAAATAATCTAAATAATAATAATTTACAACATAGCTCTACAACCACACCAATGGAAATCGAAATGAATCAAATCAAAGTCAATACTAAACAACCATTTCGAAAAGAGTCAGACACAATCACATCATCTTCATCGTCATCTACATCAAAAGACACAGTATTACCATGGCATAGAAAATCAGATAACAACAATAGCAACAATAATAATAATCAAATAAAATCAGTCACATCACCAATAAAATCTATTTCAAGCACCACACCAATTCCCAAACAGATATTGGATTTAGTTCAAAAATCAGTTTCAACACCACCATTGCCAATTCAAACAGAGAATGTTATAACAAGTTCATTTGCAATTCCACACAATCCAATACCAACACCACCAGAACAATCACAACCTCAAATTGAAACAAATAACAACAACACCACCAACAAATCAAGAGTTAGCAGTGACAGTCCCCAAGCAAATATCTCCAAATCAATTGAGAATGAACTACCATGGCTTACTGAATCGAATGCCAATGGAGATTCAACACGTCCAAGCAAACCAAAACGAATTCTACCAAAGAAATCGGCATCGAAACCACCTGAATCAACTCTATCACTCAAACGTTTAGAGACTTTATCATCACAAAACACATCAACACCAACAATAACTCAAACTCCAATTTCGCCACCCACCACCACCACCACCACAACAGTTCCACCAATTGAATCCACTCCAATTGTTGTTGCTAACCCAACCAAAGATATATCAAATACAATCACCACCAAAACCCTACCAACTCATATTCCAACAGTATCTCCAACTCCAATTACTCCAACTCCTACACCAAAGACAACAACTACCAAAGACACTAAAACTACACCAAAGACACCAATCAAAGAATCAACAAAGAAATCGAAAGCACAACCCAAAGAATCACCAACTAAATCCAAGACAATACCACCAACACCTCTGCCAAGTAGTAATAAGGTTGCAGCAGTCAGTAATAATAGTGTTAGTGGAAGTGTACCGACTATTGTCGAAAATACAATAGTAAACCCAGTGGGAGTTAGCAAATCTAGTCTATTTGGAAAGCTACAGCTAATTGCACCACCCGAAACAAACCAAGCTTCGTTACTACCAATGAGAAAACTAGGAATTTTAGATTCTACAGATTTGGATGTCAAGTCTATCAAACAGATTTTACAGAGTGTTGTTTCTTTCGAGATCACAGCCAACCAAGCGATAGACACACTGCAATCCAGATACAATTGTAAACAAAATCAAAGCATATCTGCAGAAACAAAGATTCAACTGTCAAAGACACTTATTGTAGATATCATTCATCAATTCACTCAACAAACACCCGATAAACAATCAACATCATCATCGACCACTTTTTCACTCACCAAACAATCGAATCAACTTATCATTTTCATAAATCAACTTAACCTATCATATACATCTATTTTTAAAGTAAGTAGTAGTAACAAACCTAACTATCAAATTAACCATTACTCTTTTAACTAACGGTTTCTTTTATTTAATTAGCAATTTAACTTTAAGAATGAATTTAACAAGTATTTGAACGGACTGTTGGTTTCGAACCTATTAAAATCAATCAAAGATAACAAAAATGTAGATAACTCTTCTTCTTCGGTTGATCAACCAACTTCTTTTTATCTATGGTAAGTTGCAATATCTATATATTTTTATTAATTAATTGTTTACTAATCTAATTTAATATAATATAGTTATATTTTCACTGTTTTGTGTAGAGTAAATAATGACTTGTCACCTATCATTACACTAATGTATGATCTTTTACAATTAAAATCATTAAACTCTATTGGTTATTTTAAAGCCATTTATCAAGTAATCCCAACCATTTTCAATGTAAATAGTAAGTAATATAATATATCATTCGATTATAATACTAAATCGAATCCAATACTAATACTAATTTAATTAATATTTATTAGATGAACTAGTTCAAACTATATCATGTTGTTTAAATCAATTATTATTGTCAAATTTAAGTGATAGTTCTTCAAAAGTAAGTAATTCAACGATTTTCTTTTTATTTAACAAACTAACTTTTTATTTTTTTTTCAATAACATATAGGATCTATATAATCATTTGAATTCGAATAATAACAATAACAAGATTGTAATAGATCAGTATACCAACGAATTGATGATTAAATTTGATATAGCGGTGGGTGACTCTGAACAAAGTACAGTCTTTGTCATTCTGAAATGTATTGAACTTTTATCTGTTTATTTGGGCTGGGTATGGACATTCAATCAATTCATTGCTACTAGACTATGGAGATATCTCGGTGGCATCACCAACAGTGTAATATCATGTCAAATGATACAAACACTCGGAACCGTAGCATTCAGCCACGTCTTACTCAACTCTGACACTACAGAACTACAAGGTATCTCTGATATAAAGAATACAATTCGTCAAATCTTATCATCGGAATGTAAGTACTAAAATTACTAATAATTTATAATAATTTAATTTATTCTAACTTTATATTTTTTTAAAAAAAAAAAAAACAATTGTTGTTTTTAGTTGACTTTGAATTCAAAATGAATACAGCTATGACATTGTTACAAATAAGTTGTGGAAATTCAGATGATCTAGCGATACTAGAGAGTTGGTATATGACACTGACAGCCGAGAACCAACATAGATGTTCACCACTCTTCAAACAATGTGTTTTACCGAATTAGAATCGAATTCGATGGAAATTGGCTTTTTTTTTTTTTTGAAGGAATCCCCCATTTATAGATTTTTCTTAAAGTGTAAACTGAGTGATCTATACAAAACAGGTGACATCATGCAACAAAAACAAAAAACTTTGTTTTGAAAATAAAATATCACGATAAAACAAAAAAAAAAAAATCTAAAGATCGCGTTGGATTTAGGCAAGCTTGGAAAAGCAAATAAAAATTGAGAAAAAAGTGGTTTTTAATAATTATTTTTGCTTTATTGATTGTTTTTATTTTTTATTTTTTGCATCAACTTAATTTAAAAAAGTAATTAAATAATTAAGTTTGTTTATTTATTTATTTATATTATTTATTATCTATTTATATTTATTTATTAATACATTAATATATATTAACAAAAATAAAAGAGAGAGAAAATAGATTAGTTTAGTTGTACAATTTAATATTTTTTTTATTTATTTTCACAAAGAAGTTTATATATAGAAAATGACTATCAATTCACCTGTGTTGGCAGGTAATTGGTTGTTTTGGTCGACGTTCGAAGAGTTTGTGACACCGACATTTGTGTTACAGAAATATAATGGACCGATTTGGTGGACTGAGAAATACAGAATACTGATGATGATCGAAGGTTGCAATAACAATGGTTATCAGATTGCATTTTCATCGACCAGAGAGGATATCGTTGGCAATTGGGAGATTATTATAGCTGTCTATCAAGATAAAGTGGAAAAGACAGGTCTATCACAGTTCTCAGAGAGTTATCTGCTGAATCTCATGAAGAAACTCGCAAAGAAGATGGCGAAACTCGAAGAGTTGAATAGTAAGAGATTGAAACTATCTGGTGATTCAGCGATAACAGTACCGCAACCATCTTCATCACCAACAACAACAACATCCTTTACAACAACAACAACAACAAACGAACAACACGAATCATCATCATCATCATCATCACCAAATAACTCATTTAACAATCTATCTATTTCATCATCATATAACTTTGTAATGCCATCGAATATGGCGATTGTATCAACAATGAACGAAGCAAACGAAAAGTCATCGATTAAACTTGGAAATCAACGTAGAATAGCGACGTTGTTCAAGGCATTGTATCATATCGATCCTATCACCATCTTGGAGCGTACCTACGCCAAGAAATATGAGGACGACGAATGGGTAGAGTGGGCAGACGAACGCACCGGAATGCGACCGATACACATCGCCGTCGAGAAGATGGATATCGCACTGATAAAGTATCTACTGGACAAGCGCGCCGATGTCAATATCAAAGACGTCCAGGGCTGGTCACCGCTACACTTTGCTTCGTACGCGGGCAATCTCGACATCTGTCACCTGCTGATAGAACAGGGCAATGCAGCGGTGCTCTCAATCTCCAAGGACGGCACGCTGCCACTCCACTATTTGGCGCGACACTCGTTCGAGAAGGCACAATCCGTAAAATTCCTACAGATTCTCCAGCTGCTGCTTGACAAAGGCACGCCAATCGATGCCAAGACGATACGCGGTGAGACAGCACTTCACAGAGCGGCATTCTTTGGTTCGCTGCAGGTGTTGAACTTCCTCATCGAACACAAAGCCAATCTGAACATACAGAATGTCCGTGGTGAAACACCACTGTATTTCGCGGTGATCGGTCGACACAAACAGATAGTGACACACCTCGTTGAGAATGGCTCCGATTGCAACTTGGGTGGCGCCACCGGTAACTCGCTAGATGCTGCACGCAAGACAGGTCAAAGCGATCTATTCTTCTTCCTCTCTGGTTTCTCCAAGTCACTAGATCCATTCGACTACAACGAATATGAAGATGAAGTTGAAATTGAATCAAATTCAATAGTTAATAATTATTTAAATAACAATAACAATAATAATAATAGTGATAGTAATAATAATAATAATAATAATGTAGATAGAGATAATAGTATGAGTATGAGTAGTTTAGATATAGAATGTATTAAACAATTACAAAATGATAAATTAGAACAGAAATTAAAAGAAAAGAATGATAAATTAAAGATTAATCATCGTAAGTATAAATTTTTATATCTATCTATATATGTATATGTATAAGTATAATTAACTATGATCATCTTTTTTTTATTTTTAGAAAACTTTTATCCACATATGTTTGTATTGATAGATTTTAGAGGACCTACATGGTGTTCATTGTGTGGTTATTTCTTGTGGGGTTTGAGACGACAGGGATTTGCATGTGAGGTGTGTGGCTACTGTGTACATCCGAAATGCAAGAAGAGAGCTACTCTCACTGAATCTTGTGATGTCGCCAGACAAATGAACAATAAAGATCATGCCAATTCAGATACCGTAGATCAATTCCTTTCTACCAGTAAACATCATAATGATAAACCATTACATAAACAATCAAGTAAGTAGTTTCTTTAATTAATGCTACTTTTAACAATATATATTTACTAATTCAATTGATTAACTATACAAATATTATATTAGTTAATAGAAAAAGATTGGAAAGTTTATATAATCAATTCAATACATTAGATAAAGAACAGCATGGATGTATATATAAGAAGGAGTTTGGTGAGTGTTTGGGATCGTTAATCAATGACAGTGAGTTACTCTCGGAAATACTATTTCAAGCATTCGATTCGAACCATGATGGAAAAATGGATTTGAAGGATTTCCTACATGGCGTATCTGTATTACAAAACTCTTCACAAGAAGAACAAATATTTTGTAAGTTGTTATTTATAAAAGATAGATACAGTGGTTAACTAATATGATTTGTTCGATATGTTTATTAGTTGCTTTTCAAATGTTAGATAGAAATAATAGAGGATATATTACGGTTGGTGAATTGAAACAAGTGTTACAATCGATCTATCAATCACTTGGTAATCTAAAGATCAATTCCATCAAGCCTGATACACTCATTCAGTATATATTCCCACCCAGTATTGTATATAAAGAACTAAAAGAAGAGATTAAGAAACCATCTCCTCCATTCTCAAAAGCACTCAAATATGGTAAACTTGTTAAAAGTTTATCTGTAGATTCAAAGATTGGTGTACATCGTACAGATGATAATAATAATAATAATAACAATAATAATAACAATGATAATAATAATAATAATGAGTGTAATAATGATAGCAATAATAATGAAAATAATAATAATGAATGTAATAGTAATAGTAATAGTAAAAGTGATAATAGTACAGCAACATCAGCTATGTCTTTTGTTCAACTTAAAGATGATAATCATTCCAATAATAGTACACCTTATTCATCGATGGGATCGATATCAGAGTCACCTATCGATACTAATATCGCTAGTAGTGTGATGTCGTCGTCACTACCATCACAATCTTCAAGTATTGAGATTGCCAAGATCGAACGAGAGATAGCTGCTGCTGCCACAACTGACGACATCGAACACTCTACATCTGACCAATCCTGTGGCAGACTTAGAAGTTCGTGCATTCGAACGATGCTCAACAAACCATTGGTCACCTCACAGTCACTGCCAACCAACACAGAGATCTACATCAATAGTTTAAATAATAGTATTAACAACAGTCAATACACAAATATTAATAATACATTATTAACAAAAGTATTACCTGATACAAATAATAATAATAATAATAATAATAGTAATAATAATAATGATAATATTAAAAAAGAAAAGAAATACTCTACAGAGATTAATATGGAAGGTAGAATCTATTATGAAGACTATAGAGATTCTATGATGAAACACTGTAACTTTGTGCAGAGTCTTGGTCTGGTGGAATTGGATGACAACACCAAAGAGCAACACACTCAAGTATCGAAATGGATGAGTTTCGAAGGCAAAGAGATCACTCTTGGTCACGAGAATTGGGAGACAATGCAGTACATTATGATTGGTATTAGAAGAGCTATCGGTGAGACAATGACTCTAACCAACAGATCTTTAAAACAAAAGGATTATGATGTTGTAGTTGAATTTAAATAGTATGTTGTAAATCATATTTATAATTATATATAGAGTAGTTGTTGTTGTTAATAATATCATATAAATACTAATTCTAAATACTATTGTTATTGTTATTGTTATATAGTAATGGATGGTTGTTTAAAGATTTCTCACCGTTTCCATTCAAAAAGATTAGAGACAAGTTGGATATCGATCCAATGCACTTTATGTTCTCACTTGGTCCAGAAAAGATATTTGGTAATCTGCTGCTTGGCAATCTATCACATGTTTGTGAGGTTGTCACTAGTGGTAGAAGTGGTTCAATGTTCTTTAGATCGAACGAAGGAAGATACTTACTCAAAACCATACCTCCCAACGAAGAGTTTGTTTTGAAATCGATACTTCCATCCTATGTACAACATATTCTAAAGTATCCAAATAGTTTAATTTCGAAAACACTTGGTTGTTACAAGTAAGTAATAGTAAAACTAAATTAGATTACAAACAAACAAACATTACTAACTAAAATTGTTTGAATCATTAGTATGACAACAAAGAATAGAGATTTAAGATTTATCGTAATGAATAATCTATTCTTTACACCACTGCCGATACATGAGAAGTATGACTTGAAGGGTTCGACCATTGGAAGACATGTCGAGTTGCAAGAGGGTGAGAACGAAGGTATGATTGCCGATGTCTCGCTTAAGGATTTGGATTTCAAGCGTACCTTGAACATCGGACCAGAGTTTAAGGCACCACTCATGGAGCAGATAGAGCACGACACCAAGCTGTTGGAGTCACACAACATCTGTGACTACAGTCTACTGGTCGGTGTTCACCGTGTCGACGAGTACTCGCCAATCGCACTGGCCAGCGACGACATACTCTCCAAAGACATATTCGACATTCTCGACGAAGGTTTCTTCAAGAAGAAATCCGCCACCTCTCTATTCCAACAACACTACGGTGGTATTCTTTCATCCGATAAGAAAGAAGTTTATTTCATTGCAATTATTGTAAGTTATACATAAATGCTATTACTTTACTTTTTTATTTCTTTTTTAACTAACACATACAACAACAACAACAATACTCACATAAATAGGATACATTGACCACGTGGAATTATAAAAAGAAATATGAAAATATGTTTAAATCATTGGTTCACGATTCTGTAAGTAGACTACTTGTTGTGTTTGTTGGTTGATGTTAATCATCATCTCAAAGATTTACTAATATTTTGTTTTTTTTTTTTTTTTTTCCATTTTTAGTCACAACTCTCTGCAATTGACCCTTCGAGCTATAGAGCCAGATTCCAAAGATTAGTTCAGCAAATAGTTCAATAAACAAAAATAATAAACTTTTATTTAAATAATATAATTGATTTGATTTTGATGATCAAAAAAAAAAAACTTGGCAAATCTTTGTCTGGACTAGACTTTAACCAAAGACTTGTTGTTATTGTTCCCTGCGTATGACGACGATTTTAATCGATCGAAATACATTCCCCCAAGATATCTTTGATTTGCAGAATTTCATTCATTTTCCGTTTTGTGTTTGCTTTTCTAAAAAGTCACCATTTCTCAAAACTTTTTTTCAATAACAATTTTAGTTTGATTTTTCTTTTTTTTTTGAAGTGTTTTTTAAGACACTGCTTGCGTGGGTTCTGATTTTTTTGATTTGATTTTTTATTTTTATTTTTAAATAATTTTTAAAGAATTTCAAACAACAAATTTGGTCTTGGTTTTGAGTATTGGTTAATTATTGATTGCTATTTATTTATTATTTATTTATTATTTATTTATTTTCAACAACAACAACAAAAGACAACACATATTATTAAACTATTTCATTCAGTATTTGAATAAAAATGCCTTTCTCAGATTATGAATTACACAAGGAATTAGGAAGGTTAGTAGTACACTTTTGATGTTTTCTTAAAAAATAAAAATAAAAAAAGAAAAACAGTGGTTTTTGACTTTAACTTTTATCATCGATCTAAATAAAATAGAGGTGCTTTCTCTATTGTATATCTAGTGACAGAAAAGAAAACAAAGAAGCAATGGGCTATGAAAGTTATCGATAGAAAATCATCTTCAAAAGCTGCTTTACAAACAGAGATTGAAATTATGAAAAAGATAGATCATCCAAGTATGTATATCAATAACACTATCGATTACGATTTTAAACAAAGTTTTGTTGTTGAATCTAATCTCTTATTGTCTATCTAATTATCCATAATTATAGATATCGTTAGAATGCATGAATACTTTGAATCTACAGATAAAATATATTTGGTGGTGGAACTTGTAAATGGAGGTCAATTGTTTGATAAGATCATGGAAAAGAAATCATTCTCTGAGAAGGAAGCAAGAATCATTGTAAAACAACTATTGGAAGCACTGGAGTATCTTCACAAGATCGGTATCGTCCACAGAGACTTGAAACCAGAGAATCTTCTTTTGAAATCCGAACAAGATCTAACCATTGCACTCTCTGACTTTGGTCTCTCAAAGATTCTATCGGACGATGTATTTATGAAAACAACTTGTGGTACTCCTTCATATGTTGGTAAGTGTTTTTATTCAACTTGTTAATATAAAGTTAGTTACGACATTATCTAATATCTATATATAAATGTGTTTGTGATTGATTGATTATTATTATTATTATTAGCACCAGAAGTATTGAATAATATAAACAATACACCTACTGCCTATACGGAGGCAGTAGATATGTGGTCGGTAGGAGTTATCTCTTATATTTTGTTGTGTGGATTCCCACCATTCTATAGCGACGACATCCGAAAGTTGTTTGAATCGATCATGGCAGCCACCTATGACTTCCCAGAGCAGTATTGGAAGAACATCTCAAAGGAAGCCAAACATTTTATCAACTGTTTCCTCACGGTCGATCCAGCCAAGCGTTACACTGCCAAAATGGCATTGGAGCATCCTTGGATCACACAGGCACCCCAATCACACCCACTGCCACATTGGAACGATCAAATCAAGAAATACGTAGTCATTCGTAGAAACGAAAGTAAAAAGTTTGGTGCCGAATTGGTATTCACAAAGTTTGTAAAACCTGCACCTGCCGCCAAAGAATAGATAGATCAAAACACAAACCTCTAAAAATAACACAAAACTAATCAAAAAACAACAAGTTATCACTCACATTCACCACACCATCTAGTAGTATTAATAATAATATAATAATAATAATATAAGAAAAACATAAAAGACTATCTATTCTATTCCTTTTCAAAAATTATCTCCACTCTCCGAAGCCAACACAACCACATTCTTTTTTTTTTTTTTGCAATTTTTTTTTTTAGTTGTAAAAAAGAAACTATTTTTATTATTAAAAAAAAAACAAAAAAAAAAAACAATTTGTACAAATAAAATAAAACATATCTAAAATAGTAATTGCATTTCTAATTATTAATTTTTATTCATTGCAAATACATATCTATAAATAGTAATTTAAAATCAAAGCTAATTAAATTTAAATAAAAAACTTGAAAAAAAAGCAAAATTAAGATGAAATTTAATAAGGTCAAAAATTTTCAAAAAAATCTTTTTTTTGAATTAATTAATAATTTTGTAATTTTTGTTTTTTTAACACAATTGTTTTGTGATATTTTTTAAATCATTCTAAACACATTTTTCAGTTGTAACAATTAAATTAGTTTTATTTATTATTACAAACCTAACGATTGTTTATCAATATGGAACCAAATTCATATAATAATCAATTAATATTCTTTTTAAATGGAAATAAAGTTATTATTAATAATCCAAACCCAGAGTTAACATTACTTACTTATTTAAGATCGAATGCTGGTATGTTATTTAGTTAGCTATAGTAATGATAAACTGTGTTGGTTTTAGTGATGAAATGAATTTTAATATAAATAATTGATAATTATTAAAAAAACAACATAGGTTTAACAGGTACAAAGTTGGGATGTGGTGAAGGTGGATGTGGAGCTTGTACAGTGATGTTGTCTCATCACTTGAAGACAGAGGATAAGATAGTTCACAGATCGATCAACTCTTGTTTGTTACCGTTGTGTTCGGTTGCCGGTTGTGCGGTTACCACCATTGAGGGACTTGGTAATGTAAAGGATGGAATGCACCCTGTGCAACAACGTCTTTCCGACCAGCATGGATCACAATGTGGTTTCTGCACACCTGGTATTATCATGGCACTCTACTCCTACCTCAGATCGCACCCAAATGCCACTCAACATGAAATCGAGGAGTGTTTCGACGGTAACCTCTGTAGATGTACTGGATATCGTCCAATCCTAGATGCTGCAAGATCTGTATGTTGATAAAACAAGTACTATAAATAATAATAATAACAACAATAGAAACAAAATATACTAATGCAATTCATTTCATTTTTTCTTCAACTAACTACTAAATCAAGTTTGGTGTTGATCAACCAAAAGTAGAAGAAGAACAACCAGCAGCTGTTGAGGAATTAAGATTACCAGAGATTGCATATGCAGACGGTGTTCAAAAGGATAAACCAGCCGAAAATATATGTCCATCGACTGGAAAGCCATGTGATTGTAAATCTAAATCTACACATGTAAGTATGGAGCATGCGAGAATGTTAATAATAGATTATTAATTTTCGAAAATTAGATTCCATCACAACCTCTAGATTTAAAGTCAGAACCTATTTTCCCACCATTTTTGATGACTTTGAAACAAGAATCTTTGAAGTTCAATGGTGATAGAGTGACTTGGTATACACCAACCACTCTTAATGAACTATTGAATCTAAAGAGATTGCACAACAATGCAAAGATTGTAGTTGGAAACACTGAAGTTGGAATTGAAACAAAATTTAGAAATATTGTTTATCCAGTCATTATTTGTCCATCTAAAGTTCCAGAACTTCAAAAAGTATGTTGTTTTGACTGTTGAATTGATATCAATAAGAAATTAATGTACCTTTTTTTTTTTCTATTCTAAATAGATTTCACAAGCAGAGAATGGTATTGAAATAGGTTCAACAATCTCTTTGACCGATATTAAATATTATTTAGTTGATCTATGTAAGAACATTGAAGCATACAAGACAGGAACATTCAAAGCAATGCTTTCACAATTCCGTTGGTTTGCCGGAAATCAAATTAGAAATGCAGCTTGTCTTGCTGGTAATCTCGTAACTGCCAGTCCAATCTCTGATATTAACCCTGTATTATTAGCTGCTGTATGTAATTTAATTATAATGCATTTAGTAGTAGTAAAATTAATAGCTGCTAATTCTTTATTTCTTTTTTTTTTTTAGGGTGCAATTTTAACACTTGTATCCATAAACGATAGAGGAGAAAGAATAACAAGAAAAGTCAATATAAATTCATTCTTCAAATCTTATAGAGTGGTAGATATTCAACCGGATGAAATATTGACTTCTATCTTTGTACCATATACACGTGAGAATGAATATATCGAGGCATACAAGCAATCCAGAAGAAGAGACGATGATATTGCCATTGTCAGTTGTTGCTTCAGAGTATTGTTGGCCAAGAATGACGAGAACGACTATGTCGTACAAGACTGTACTCTTGCATATGGTGGTATGAACGTAAAGGCTGTCACCACACCAGCTACACAAGAGTTACTTCAAGGTCAAGTTTGGCAAAGATCAATACTAGAGAAAGCATACCAAACACTTGAAAAAGTAAGTAGTTATTTTATTTATTTACACAACAACACCTCTTTAGAAATAATTGTTATTAACAATGGTTAATAATATAATAGGATTTACCACTTCAACAAGGAGCACCAGGTGGTATGATTGAATACAGAAGATCATTGACCACAAGTTATTTCTTCAAGTTCTTCTTGACAGTTAGCAATTACTTGTATTCCGTTTCAAATGATGTCAAACACAAGATTGAAGATAATGAACAATCGGTCATTCAGAAATATCAAAGAGAGATGTCAAGTGGTGAGCAAACTTATCAATATCAACCGTTTGTATTATGTAACATATTTAGAATATAATTTGAATCTTGATACTAATAATAATAATTATTAATGGTTTATAATTCTAGACTTATGAGTCCAGTAACAATGCCAATTAAACATCAATCAGCAGATAAACAAGTTACTGGTGAAGCACTCTATACTGATGATATTAAACACAATGCATATTCAGCTGCAATGGTTCTTTCAACTAAAGCACATGCTCGTATTAAGTAAGTTTTTTTTAGAAATGGTAGTGTTGTTTAGTGATATTAATTCTGACAATATATAATAATGATAATAATAGGAATATCGATTCAACTAAAGCATTATCAATGCCAGGTGTTAAAGGTATCTATTTTGCAAAGGATATTGAAGGTGTGAATCAAGTTGGTCCAGTCATTTATGATGAAGAGTTGTTTGCTTCTTCAGTTGTACTTTGTGTTGGTTATCCAATTGGTGTTGCAGTTGCCGAAACTCATCAACAAGCATTGGAGGCAGCAAAGGCAGTTGTCATTGAATACGAGGAGTTGCCTGCTGTCACCTCGATCGAACAAGCTATCGCTGAGAAATCATTCTTGAATTGCCACCATGTCATCAACAATGGTGATATCGTCAAAGGTTTCGAAGAGTCTGAGCATGTTATCGAAGGTGAAATGAAGGTCGGTGCACAAGAGCATTTCTATCTCGAGACAAACGCTGCATTGGTGATTCCAGGTGAAGGTTCTGAATTCATGGTCTACTCATCTACACAGAATCCAACAAAGACACAAAGCCTTTTGGCTTTAACTCTTGGTGTTCCTGCCAATCAAATCGTTGTAAAAGTAAGTTTTGTTTAGACTATTAAATTGGTTATATTTAAATCTATTTCATTACTAATAATTACGATTGGTGTTATAATTAATTAATTAATTTAGTTAAAGCGTATGGGTGGAGGATTTGGAGGTAAAGAAACTAGATCTATTTTCTCTACTTGTATTGCTGCTGTTGCTGCTCAGAAACTTAGACATCCAGTTAGAATCATGTTGGATAGAGATGTCGATATGATGACCACTGGAACTAGACATCCATTCATTGGTAAATACAAGATTGGTTTCGACAAGAACGGTAAGATCATGGCTGCCGATATCGATTTGTATGCCGATGCAGGTTATTCATTTGACTTGAGTGTCGGTGTATTGGATAGAGCCATGTTCCACTCTGAGAATGCCTATAAGGTGCCAAATATTAGAGTGAATGGTCGTTTGTGTAAGACCAACTTGCCAACAAACACTGCTTTCAGAGGTTTCGGTGGTCCACAAGGTATGATCATTTGTGAGATTTGGATGGAAAAAATTGCCAACTATTTGAAGAAACCACCCACTGAAATAAGAGTATGTAGTATAGCAATAAATATTATAACAATATATTTATTAATTTGGTTTATCTTTTTTTTTTTTAAGCAACTAAACTTTTATAAAGAGGGAGAGTTCACACATTACCTTCAAGAGGTTAAGAACTGTCAACTCCAAAGAATCTGGGATGAAACCTTACAAAAGAGTGATTATTTCAATCGTTTAGCTAAAGTTGAGGAGTTCAACAGAAATAACAAATGGAAGAAGAGAGGTATTGCAATCATTCCAACCAAATTTGGTATGTCCTTTACTGTTAAAACACTGAATCAAGTATGTATTTTGTTTTTTTAAAGTGAAGATGCAGTTCCAGCCTTTTAACAGTTCGAGCTAATATCTTTGAATTAAAATAATTTAGGCTGGTGCATTGGTACATGTTTATACTGATGGAACTGTATTGGTGACTCATGGTGGAACAGAGATGGGTCAAGGTTTGCATACAAAGATGATTCAGATTGCTGCCAAGGAGTTGGGTGTTCCAGTGGATAAGGTTTACATCTCTGAGACATCGACTGATAAGGTCGCAAATACTGCGCCAACAGCAGCATCAGTTTCTTCCGATATGAATGGTATGGCTGTATTGGATGCCTGTCAACAAATCAACGCGAGATTGGCACCCCTCAAAGAGAAAAATCCAAACTTACCATTCCAAAAATTGGTTGGTTTGGCTTTTGCAGAGAGAGTCAATCTTTCGGCCAACGGTTTCTATGCTACACCAAACGTTGGTTATTTCTTCAAGGACAGTGGTGTTGGTGATGGTTTACCATTCAACTATTTCAAGTATGTTGGGGATAAATTTTTTTATTTTTCAATTGTAGCTTTACGAACCTATTATTGATTAATTTCTTTTATTCTATTTCTATTTTAGTTATGGATGTGCATGTTCTGAAGTTGAAATCGATACACTCACTGGAGACTACACTACATTGAGAACTGATATTATTATGGATGTAGGTGATAGTTTGAATCCGGCAATCGATATCGGTCAGGTGGAGGGTGCCTACACTCAGGGTGTTGGATGGTGTACACTCGAAGAGATCGTTACTTTCCCCAATGGAAATCTTTTCACCAGAGGTCCATCCACCTATAAAATACCAGGATTCAACGATGTTCCAATCGTATTCAATGTTTCATTGTTGAGTAATGCTCCCAATCCAAAAGCAATCCATTCATCAAAGGGTGTCGGAGAACCACCACTCTTCCTTGGTTCAGCTGTTTACTTTGCCATTCGTAATGCCATTATGGATGCTAGAAATGATCGTGATGATGGTTTGGCAACCAAAGATGAATGGTTTAATTTAGCAACACCTGCAACATGTGAAAGAATCAGAAATACATGTATTGATAAATTTACAAACCAATTCAATCAGAAATAATAAAATAGTACCAAATTCACAAGAGTTATTTTTTGTTTTTTTTTTTATTTCTCTTTTCAACAATAAATAATCGATAAAGTGATAAAACTATCATTTATTCTAATATAAATATGTTATTGGAACAGGTAATCCTTTCTGGTTGTATCGGGAACTATTTTTAAAAATCTAATTATTTTTTTAGATTCAAAATATATTTATTTTAGAATAATGAATTAATTCTGCCAAATCTCCATATCATCATGAGAGTAAAGTTTTTGTTTATCTACGATTCTCTTTCCAGCGAGGTATCTCATAGCCTCAGAGTAGGACTGTGGTAAGATTCTCTTTGGCTTGACAGTATCGGCATCCTTATTATTACGACAAAGGAATGTAAAGTTGAATACATTGGACAGGTGCTTCTCGGACGAACCAGACACTGGATTTGATACATGTGCAACGACTTCCACTTGGACGTAGGTGAGTCTGTCGACAGACTCTGTATAGACAACGGTGGCGTCCAATGTGAGAATATTTCCAATATCGACTGGTAACACAAAAGTAATATCGTCCATACCAAAGAAGGTTGGAATCGATTCGTTAAATTGAAGGAAAGCAGTTGTAAATGCAATTTCAAATCCTTTTCTCATTAAATAACCACCAAAAATATTACCATGCATATTTCTTTCCTTTAAAAAGATAAAGTTAATATAAATAAAAATGTCTGTGTTGGTTTCGGTTGAATATTACTATTCTATTACTATTTGCTACTTACTTGTGGTTGACATAGGATTACAGTTTGTAGGGAGGTATCCTTCATTGGAATCCAGTGGAAATTGGATTTGTCGTCTTTCGAGCGCATAAAGAGATCGTGAATGATTTGAAGTTCGTCGCTGTTGGGTGGAACATTCTGAAGCGAGAGCTTTGCAAAATCGAGACGTGAAGTCTTATGGCTGATTCCGTCGTTGAATAGCTTTTGTTCTTTCTCGTTGGTCGGTACCAATCGGTTGACAGAGGCAGCACGCTTTGTCAGTGGATCTCTTGCCACCATTGTAAAGTAGGCTACCAACACACCTTCCCATTCACCAGTTTCATTATTTTTCGATCTTGCTTTGATAACGATTTCCATCGACGATTTTCCAACCCATGTGACAATACCCTCCATCTTGAAATCACGATCCGGTACCAATGGTCTCAACAAATGAATTCTATCAACCGATGCAGTTACAATTGTAAATACTTTTTCTTCGGTTGTATCCTCTGCATGTCTGTAGACAAAAAGAAATTAATTATTATTAATAATCATGAAAAAACGATGATAATAACAATATTATTAAAAACATACTTGTAAGCAACAGTTCCTGCAAGTGCATCCAGATCTTCAAGGAATCTACCAACTCTAAGATTTCCATATGGACTTAGATACATCTCACGTAGCGTGGTGTCGGAACTAAAATGAAGGTAGATTTCAGTGTAGCTGTCTTGTGGTGGCTTGTCGACGATCGGACGTGTAACAGTGCTACTTGGTGCTTGTTTCGATTTGATGTTGAAGATGGGTGTACGTGAACGCCAAAGATGATTGGTTACAGCTGTTCTATTCATATAACTAGATTTACTGATGGTTTTCCAATCGGTCTTACTAAATGATAGTGGCACAATTGTGATGTCGGACTGCTCCGATGACTTCAAACATGGTTTCTTAATCTCGAGAGCCTTTAGTTTGTCGGCAGCACTGTCGAATGTGACCAATGCGAATCCAATGTTCTCTTCATCGTCGAAAATCATCTTTATACCATTGGATGCAATCGAAAGTCCTTTAAATATGTCTTGAATATCGTTCTTGGTGACATTCGAAGGTAGTCCCTTGATTTCAACACTGTTTTGAATATCCAATTGATCTTCGACTGAACCAGCAGATGATGAACTATATTGTTGCTTCATTTGCTCCTTTAGCTCATTGAATCTATTTAAATTGTTTTGATTCTCTTCAGTACTCTTTGAAAAAGTTGAACTTGAATATGATCTACTACCATTTTGTTGTTGTTGTTGTTGTTGTTTAATATTATTTACAAGAACTGCTGATGCTGATGATGTTGATGATACAATTCTACTACTACCGCTATTTAATGATAGTTTCGATCCTTTTACTATTAATCTATTTAACATATGTTTATTTTGTTTTTAGATATATAAAATTTATATCTTTATTTACAGATACAATGAAATAATGAAAAACCTAATGTGTTTGATTTAGTGATCATCAACACACAACAGACCCCTAAAAAAAAAAACAAAAAATAAAAAAAAGAAAAATCTATATATTTTTTTTATCAAACATCCTGGGATTTGCATAGAATAAACAAAAGGGGTGATGGGTTTGTTCTGATTGGTTTAGATTAGATTCGTTTGTTTTTAAAAATAAGAATTAATTTTTATATTATTATTATTTATTTATTATTCTAATCTTCTACCCCATAAACGACGATTGGATAGTATCACTGTGTTGTAGATCCAAAGTGGGAGTTCGAGAGTGAGCGCTTCACTTGGGAGGTGACCTGTGTATCTAATTGGATTATGACTGGTTTGGTCGACAAAGTTCACTTTGGCACCACCTTCGACCTTGTTGTATCCGATTCCCTTGTTATCGAGGAACTTTTGAATCTCTTCGATGAGCGACACTATGTAGGTGCTCTGTAGGTCGGTATCGAGCAGACAATCGCCATCGTTCATTCCACCCTTGCCAAAAATATGTTTCAATTTACAGGTCTCCAAGAGAATGGAGCGTGCCGACACTTCGTTCTTCAAGTTGGTGATGATTCCACGTGTCTGGAATGTAATGGTTCTGAGAAACTCGGCGTTCAACTGCTGCAGCTCGTCACTCTCCAACGAGTGCAGTGTGAAACTAAAGTAGCCGAGGAGTTCACCGGTGAATGGCGACTCGTTGGAGAGTTCAAGGAATTTGTGTGACTCGAATTTGGCGCGTGCGTCGTAGCTGTCGATGAATCGGAATGAACCGACCACCTGATTCTTGTTGGCACTGACAATACTACCAGTGTCAAACTGACCCTTCTCAGTGAGCTCCAAACGTGTCAATGTAAGACCTTGCAACTCCTCCAGCAATCTCTTTCGCCACCACACTTGAGCACTGAAAACTCGTTCCATCTTCCAACGCGCTGGATCAGTGAAATCCGAGCATTGCTCATGCACTGAAATAATAAATTGTTCCGGTTTAAATCCTAATCTTTTCTTTTCTTCTATATCTAAAAGAATAAAAGAAAACCGGATATTAATTATAAACTGGTTCATTTAGCGCTTTGTGATCTAATAATTATGGTAATCAATATACAAACATTTTAGTTTAAAGAAATTAGCATATTCTATATCAGGTTTTGGAGTTGGTAGTGCACTGAAGCCCCATTTATCAATGATAAATCTTTGCCATATCTTATCTAGTTTACATAACATTTTGTTCCAATAACTATTTACACTTTTGAGTCTATGTAGTAATAAACAAGTTGATATGAATTAGCTACTATAGTTTTTAAAACAAACAATCTTTAAAATGATCATACCTTTGTACGTCTTTATAAGAAAGTGATTCGAATATACTGACTAACAAAGAATATGGTAATTGTATTGGGTCATTCACTTTTGTGATTGGTAATGCCTTTTGTTTTTGTAATTGTATATTTATTTTAGTTCTTGGACTTGTTACTGTATTATTATTATTGTCTGTTGGTGAAGTTATTATATCTGTTTTAACATTACTATTATTATTATTATTATTATTATCTATATTTGTTTGTTGTTCTACATTTGTTGTTTTTGTATTTTCAGAATCTGTCTCTGTTGTTGTTGTTGGTTTTGATGATGATGATGATGATGAATCTATACTTTTAGTTTTAAATAAAACATTGTATATAAAATATGTAATGGTAGTGGCAATCGATGTAATAAACAATAGATTCTTGTTCTTTAATAACAATTGAAGAAAACTACCGCCTCCACTACTATGATTAATGCCTCTGTACATTCTTTTCAAACGACTAACTAATTAACTACGATAATAAAATTATAATAAATGATGAAAAAAATCGGTAGACTTTGTTAAATTTTCACTATGTTACTGCAGAATGATCATTCACCCAATTAGGTTTTTTTAAAAATAAAAAAAAATAAGCGCCAAATTGTAGAAATTTTTTAATTATATGTATTTTTATTTAATTAATTTAATTGACAGGTTGATCCTTGAGCAGGTGGGAAGCATTTACAAGTTAATACATTACCAAATTCATCGATTGTGGCATAACCATCGTAACATTCTCCTTGTACACCAATTGCTTTCCACTATTTTATTTAAAAGGGAAAAATAAATTAATATATTTATTTATATTATAGGTCATTATAATAATAATAATAATGGTGGTTACTTACATATTCAAAAGATGACTCAATATAGATTGGAACTTGATAAAGAGTAGTACTATCGGTATTGGTGACATTTACAATGTCTGCTTGTAAAATAGAATTCGAGTAAAAAGTGCTGGAGAGCTTTTCTGAGCTCTTGGAGTTGGAAAAGATACCACCAATCAAAGATTGTGGCATCTGTTCAAAGTAGATACCACCTGCATAATTCGATGCTGTATTACCATTGAAAGTTGATCCCAACAAATTAATTACAATTTCCTCATCTTCATATCTTTGCTCTGAACACTTTATATTTTTTTTAGAAAAAGTTAATAAGCTTTAAAGTGGTTTATATTATTATTATTATTATATTATTGTTATTTCTACATACCATTACACCACCATTATTTCCAGAATAACTATCGTTGAATTGAGAAGTGAAAATATTGAAAACTTGAAGATTTGGACCGTTCACTCCGTAGATAATACCACCGGAATCGACTGCACTGTTATTCTTAAAGATAGTCTGTTGCAAGTAGAGCGAACCAGAGTCAATGAATATAACACCTCCTTTACCACCGGACCAATTATTGGTGAAGTTTGTTGTGAAGACAGAGATAGAGGTGTTATCGAGTGACTGAAAGAAGATTGCTCCACCCGATCCCTCGTACAATGCTTGGTTACTATCGAAAACGCTGTTGAAAATGGTCATTCCCGACTCGACGTAGATAGCTCCTCCATTGGATGCCGAACAATTTTCAAAGGTGGAGACATCGATGGTGAGATAGCAGGTGGCATACAACGCTCCACCGGTATTAATGGCGCTATTAGAGATTAGGCTGCTATTGAAAACCGACATTACTGTGGTGGCACTGAGACAACCACCGTCTTGCGCACTGTTGCCAATGAAATTAGAGTTGGAAGAAAAGATCTTGGAACCGGCAGCGACACCTCCCGATTGTGCAGCCACATTGTTCTCAAAGGTACTGGAGAAGAGATAAGTGATGTTGGCGTGGATAGCTCCACCATCTGAATATTGAGATTGGCAGTTGGCGATATAGGAATTATAAAAAATGTTTCGGATTGCCTGTGAGTAGAGGAATCCACCCTCCCTTTGCGAGGTACAACCGTGAATCGATTTTACATTGGTAAAGTATACAGTGGCTTCTTGATCACCGACGTAAATCGCAACACATCCACCTCTGTCTTGTGATGATCCCGATAGAATCAAATTAGTAAAATTCAAAACCATATAATTTTGTAAATTAATACTAATAAATTGACTCTATAGTTTATATGTGTTCCAAATTATTTGGCAAAAGATTAATTAATTGGATATTTTATAATATAAGGTTTCCAAGTTTTACATACATCTCCACAATTGAAATTTGCATATTTATCGACAGTTGGTGTTTTAAAGGTTAGAGAACCGTTCATTGAGATTGGAGCTTCGATTAGACCTGGACAATCCTCACTATTATAGTTTCCATCTTGAATGATAACTTCATAGGTTCCATAGGAATCTCCGAAAGTGGATAAACACTCTTCAATCGATGGACAATGCCTAATAATAATAATGTGATAAAGTATAAACAATTATTATTATTTTTGATAAACAAAACAAACAATAATTTTATAAGATAAAATACATACATTCGAGCATTTACAGATTTACATGAATTAACATTTTTATCGAAATAACATTGAGTTATCGCTTGTGAAGAACCTGATACTAGCAGGAACACTAGAAAAGTAATAAATAAAGAGATAGTATTCATTTTTGTTTTTACAATAGTCGATTTACGAAAATGAATGTGCAAATTCTAAAATAGTTAATGGTATTTGATTAAACCATTTTAAAGATTTTTTGTATAAACCAAACTTAAATGCGTCGCACATCTTGACAAATTGGGAGAAATCGAAAAAAATCTTTTTTTGTCGACTTTAGATTGAAAACTTTTTTGTCAAATCACTTGTTTATTTTTAAGCAAAAGACAAAGGTTGACAATATTCTTAAAACGCCAGTTTAAATTTTGCACATATAGGTGTTTTGTATAAAATTTCATAAAATGTATTTGTATGTTTTTTTTGATGAAAAAGTTAAACATTATTATTTGTCATTCTTGTTTTTCAAATAGAAATAATCATTTTACTACAATGTATTTTTTTTAAAAAATTCTAATAATAATAATTTTATAAATTTTTTAAAAACATAAAAATAAAAAATGAAAAAAAATTTGTATTGTGCCAAATGATTGAAAAAGTGATTGGCGCCAAAACTGAAAGAATTTTAAATTCAAATTTGAACTGAGATACATTAAAGTTAATTTTGTTTGAGAATACTTTTTAAATTTATGTATTTTAAAGTTATAAACTATATTTTGTCTTTATAAATAAGCTTGATAGCACGATTGAAAAATAGAACAACATTTAACGAAATAGGAAGAAAAACATGTTGACCTATAAAAAGAGAAACTCCACCTATAAAAGGAGACAAACTGTTGCAAGACCTCCAGAGAGTATGTTTTTATTCTTTGTCTTTTTTATTTTGTTTTATTAAAAAATCAAACAAAATATTAATATTTTGATTAAATTAAAATAAATATTACTTTATAGTTACAATTAATTTTAAAAAGAGAAAAGATAAAGAGGAAGAAAATACAACAACAGCAGCAGCATCAACAACCTCTACTATAACAACAGCAACAGCCACAACAACAGAAACAAATTCACCAAATTTGGAAATTTCTACAGAAATTCAAAATGAACAACCACAACAACAACCAAAACCACATTTGCAGGAACAACAGGAACAACAAGAACAAAATGTTGTTTCCAAGAATATTCCATTGTCACCAACATCGTTGTTATTAGAGAATAGTTCGAATCTGTTAACCAATATCAAAATCAATAGTCCGTTGTCATCACCGACTTCATCGTCGTTGATTGACTCCAATGAAGTTCCATTTGGTAATTCATTTGTAAATATTCAACAACAACAACAAATGCAAACTCCACAGACAAAGCAACAACAACAACAACAACAACAACAACAACAAATACAAACACCAAAACAACAACAAAATGAACAAATTAATATAACTACACCAAACAAAAATAACAAGTCAAATACTACTACACCAGCTAGTAAATCAAAAGGAACTGCTTCGAAATCAACACCAGCAACTACACCAGTTTCCACAACCAAAAAGATTAAGACTGTTCACAACAAAACTCCACAAATGAAACAACCAGAGCCTGAAGTCGTACAATTACAACCAACTCCAGTTCCAGCACCAGAACCTGTGAAAATACTTGTTGGTAAAGACACCAAAGATATCCTTGAGATTCTCAAACCTATTTTAGATCAACAACTTAAACTTTCATCCTCTACATTGAAACCTTTTTGTAAGTAGCAGAGCTATTATTTATCTTTATCAATACTTGATTATAATATAAGTTTACTCATCATTTGATTCATTTTGTTTTTAAAGTGAGAGAATGTTGTAAGAAGTTCACCTCTGAGATTACAAAGAAGCATGTCATTAAAGAGAACAGTCCACTGCATGTTCAGCAATATCAGCAATTGGTATCACAGCAACAACATCAGTATCAACAACAACTGGCTGTCTTACAACAACAGATTCACGAGCAACAGCAACTGGAACAGCAGAACCTTCTTCAACAACAAATCAACGAATCGATGAAACACTACAATCGCAACGTCAAGGTGATCGAAGTAGAACGAAGAATTGCAACAATGTCATCGTTGATTGATCGTTGGAAGAAAGAAGAACAACAATGGACTTCGATATTAACAGAGTTTACTCAACTTAATCTGCATACAAACAATAATAATAATAATAATAATAACAACAATAGTAATAGCAGTAATAATAGCAATATCATTAATAATAATAACTTCAATGCATCAATATTAAAGACACCTTCAAGATCTACTCGTACTGCACCAACATTGAATTCAACTGCCAAGAAGAAACCACCTCCTCAAGTAATGATGACTCCAATGCACAGTAAACCAACGAATCTAACCTCTAGTTTCCTATCAACACTTTCTACACCTGCACATACAACAACTACGACAACAACAACATCCTCCTCATCTGAAGATCAACAACAACAACAACAACAAAACAATGTTCAACTGGTTGAAGATCCAAATATAGCATCAATAAGAGATTCTATACTTTCAATTACAATGAGAGTAAGTTTTATTTATCTAATCTATCATTACTTTTTATATAAGAGTAAGTAACTAATTTATTTTTATATATTTAAAACTACCTAATATATAGTTGGACGAAGTGGTACCAAGACTAAAACAAGTTCAGCATACAACACTTGAGATTCAAAACTATTGCAATGATTTATCGTTGTATTTCCACGATCAGTTGTTCATGAAGCAACACAAGAATATCAATCAGACCAACAAGTTAATTATGAATTTAAAATCAATGTCGATAGCAATCGAAAAAGATCAACAACAATCAGATAACGATAATGAATCATCACAACAAAACAATTAAAATAACTATCTTTTCTTTTTTTTTCATATTATTAAATAATATCCTAATAATATTGAATGAAAATGTCTAACAATGTTGTAAATAAATATCTATTATAATAATACAATTGCTCAATATAATACTTTGATTAGTGATATTAGTGTAACAATATTAATTAAGGCAGTGTCGATACCCTAAACAGTCAAAGCATTCTCCTATATATCCTTGATGATGAAGAGATACAATAAAGATATTAAACAAATTGAAAGAATTCAAGATGTTCATTAAAAAGTAGTAGATGTACATAACTAAAAAGATTCTAAAAATTAAATAAATTATTTTATAATTGTTTTCAGGTAATATTTATTGATTCTAATATTAAAACTCTAGATATCACAGATAATTCTAAAAATTCGACTCTCGACATTGTATTTGAAAAGACTAGTTGCTCAGCACCACATCCTGAAGGAATAAATTTCTAAATTGAATCTACTGGTGAGATTATTTACATAAAACCTTTCAACAGTCCTTAATAAGAGAGATGCCTAGATTCGCAAGTAGAAAAGGAGAAGAGTTCCAGATTTAGGATCCCTTATTGATAATAACACATATGATAATACCAATTGCGCTAAATCAATTTGCACTACAAATATTTTGAGTACAAGTTGCTTGATTTCGGACCTAAAAAAACACCTTTCCAATACATTGTTCTAACTCTTCCAGCTGCCAAAGACGGTTGTATTGACAAAATTGGCTATACACAACATTTTAAAATATACTTTTAGAATTATCTGTGTTATCTAAACTATGAAAATTGAATATGATAATTATTATACTAAAATAATAGTTTTAAGATATAAGATATATAATATATAAATATATGTTAATAAAGTATTTTCTTTTTTATTCAATAAGAATATTGAAAAAATTTGAGTTTTAAAACTAATATAGATCTAAAAATATAATCATACATCATTCTGTAAAATATAATACCCACAACAAATATTTATTGACAGATCTCAAAAATGAAACGAAACCCCATATCAACCTAGTTTGTTATTATGCGCCTAACTCACAGGCTATCTAAAAATATGTTAATTGCTTATTATATTTTTACTTTTTATATGATTAAAAGATATAATATCAGAATGTTTTTTTTTTTGATTTATCTAGAACAAATGAAAACATCAAAGAATGATAGGCATAGTATACCAATATTTGCTTTGATCTGAGTAAAAGGCTCACTACACAAAATTTAAAATTAAAAGCTAGTTATTGAGATTGGTCTTTTAAAAAAATCAAATATACTTTTGCAATTCACAATACAATTAAATGTTGAACAGTGAGAGCGACAATATCGAGAATAACGATCTTAATAATAGGAAGAGATCTATCAACGATGTAGAACCAGATTCAAAGAAAGCAAATAAAAAGCTATCGGTCAAAGATGATCCTTTACAGGAAGATGAAGAGATAAAAATGACATTTGAACAATGGAAAGAGGAGTTATATGATCATAATAAATCTTCTTCAATGTATGTTACTTTGATATCAAATCGTTATTATAGAGATAGATATTTAATCAAACTATTATTAATATGTATTAAATCTATAAGTAATCAATTGTCAAGAGCAGAATATCAAGAGCAAACCAAAACATTCTTGGTGATAAATAGAAAAGGTAGATACTACGAGAGTATGGGACATACTGTTGGAGGTAAACTCTATCTTCATATTGAGGAGGCTATGTACTTAGCATCAATAGGTGCAATGGAGATATACTATAAAGATGCACCTCTCGTACTACAAGAGTGTTACAAGTTATTCGAAACTGATTATTGTAACTTCCCATTCTCAAACTATCAAGTTTACTCGTTTCTAAAGAAACAAGGTTATCATCTATTAAGATATATCAATGCATCTTCGAACACCAACTACAACAACAGCAGCAATAGTAGTAAATCAAATAAGTTTATATTTACAGAGAATGAAAGAAATAGAATATTAAAATCATTACCTAAATCAGTATTAACAACAACTACAACAACTACAACAACAAGTTTAACAAATAATAATAGTTATAAACAAGCTAATATTAAATTTTCAAGAAATTGGTGGAATGAAATGAATGATGTTAGTGAATGTTCTGTAAATAACGAGAAACAAATGGTCTACGTTGAGAATAAGGAAAATGAATGTAAACAAACCAGTGTAGACTATCATATTGCGATGCAATTAGAATATCAAGATAATCAGCACAACAATAGAAACAATAAGATAGCTAATCGATACAACAAGAATAAAGATAATAATTTTATAATATTAGAATCAAAGTTTAATAATAATAATAGTAGTAATATGAATAGCAATAGTAGTAATCCTAGATTTAAAATGAAATCATTAGTAAATATTGCAGGTCAATTAAATAATAATCAAACATTAAATTCAATCAATCGAAGACTACGTATATTTTCACCATTATCTATGGATAAAGTTAATAATATCAATAATAATAACAAAAATAATAATAATAGTAATCAACAACAATGTTTAACGATCGACTACAATGTATATAAACCTGGTTCATTTAAAAAGACATCACCTGGTAAACCTGACTTTAGAATCATTATTAAAACGTATGTTAATCTATTGTTTTTATTACTATTAATTAATAGGTAACTCTATATATTAAAACTAAACAACATTTATTTATTAATAGATTCAAAGAGAAGGTTCCTGATTTTAAAGATATTCAAAGATTACTAAGTTTGAACGACGATCAAGTTCCACTAAGATTCTGTGTGGTTGCAATGAATGATATTTCATTCTTCTCACTTGAAATAAAAGATATTCTTACTTTGGAGTAACAAATTCTTTACTTATTTTTTTTGTTTATTTAAATTAAATCATATGACTATTCGAATCGTCGGTATGTAAATGCCAATAAATGAGAATATTCTTAAAAAAGATATTTGCTTAAAACCGATTAAAAAAGATTTTAAATTGAAACTTCTTTGCAAAAGTTATTGATCTTACTCGTTTATTAAATAATCTTATTAAATGCACCCATCTTAAAAACCTTTTCATTTTAATTAAGTATTATTTAAACATTTTATAAATATATGTACAATGATAGGTAAAATTACGACCAATATTAAACAAATCAAAGATCACGATGGTGAATTAGAGCGATTCCTATACAAAGAACTCAATGATGATATATTATCAAAACAAGGTAGATCTAGACCAAATGAACAGATGGAGGTCTTCTTATTCTCTGCACACACCGATGATAACATATTGGTAGGTGGTATGAAAGGTAAGTGGTGATAACTAACAGATAAGCAATATTCAATGGTACCGGTTGGTTTGAAGATAAATACTTACTTAATAGCTTATAAACTAAATGATAGGCAAAATTCAGCTAAATGAACTATATATAAGTATGTTAGCAGTGCACAAAGATTACAAAAACAAAGGAATCGGATCACAATTGATGAGAGCAGCAGAGTCTCTAGCAAGAGAGAGATCTTGTCATCACATGATGCTAACAACCATGACTATTCAAGCAGAGGATTTCTATCTGAAACAAGGTTTTCAAGAGCTGACTAGAATTAAAAACTATCCATTCGAAAATTGTGATAAGATTTATCTAATAAAATATCTTTAAAGCGACCACCATATATTCGAATATATAAAACTATTTAATAATAAAACTGATCAATTTATAGAAAGTCATATATTATTTTTTTGAAAATCATATGTATGATTTTCAAAACTTAGAACTTTGTCAGAAACATAACAATATGTATCCAACATTAATAATAAAGAAATACTAGAATAAATATTTATACATCTGTGTTACTTGTTTTGTTAATATCATTTATTAATAAGTTTTTTGTGTCTTTTAAATATAATAGTCACAGTGAACAATTATTTTTAATAAAACATGAATATTTTTTTTGTTCTGGAAGCTTTTTTTAATTAATTTATTTTTGAACTTATCTGATCAAATGTTTCAAGAATTAATTAAAAAATTGATCGAATAATTTAAAAATAAATCGAAGGTTTTCATTTTAATTTAAATAGATCTTAAATTTCCAAAATGACAAATCATTCAATCAATCAAATAATTTCAAACAAAGCAAAATACAAGTAAATTAAATCATTTACCTTCTCTTTATATCTATCAATAAGATAAATTAATACTTTAAGATGTCATCAAATCAAATCCCAACATTACATTATGTATGTACAATCGAAAAAACAAAAAAACTATGAAATCATTACTAACCAATCAATATGAAAATTCTAGTTCAATGGTCGTGGAAGAGCTGAAACCAGCAGAGTTTTGTTGACTTTGGCAAATATCGAATTCAACGATGTCAGAAACACACTGCCATTCGCTGATGATGGAATCAAGCAAAAGGCAACCTATAAACAATTGCCATACTACATCGATGGTGATTTCGAAGTTTCACAATCGCTGGCAATCGAAAACTACATTGCCAACAAATATAATCTAGCCGGTGACAATCTAACTGATAAAGCCAAAGTACTCTCGATCTCACAAGCATCCTACGATATTTCGATTCCAATCTTTACGAATGACACCGAAGAGAAGAAAGAGTTGTACAAGAATGAAACACTACCACGTTTCCTCGCTGCCTGGGAGAAGATCTTGGTTGACAACGGTGGAAAGTATTTTGTTGGCACTAAGCTGAGTGCTGCCGATGTCAGTGCATACACCACCCTTGAGAATCTATACGCCAAGAACTTCAAAGATATCGTCGATAGATTCACAACCCTAACCTATTTTAAATCAACATTTGAAACAATCCCATCGATTTCAAACTATTTATCAAAGAGACCAACTGATCTTATTTTCTAATAATTAGTTAGAATTAAATGTATATATAATAAACCAATCAACTATAATTTAAATCTATGAATTTTATATTATTTTGCAAAAAAATATATTTTTTAATTTAATTTTTTTAAATAATGATGATTCACCAAAAATAAATTATTAATTATTACAAAATAGAACAGAACAACCCTTTTATTTTAATAAATCTAATTTGATTAGATATATAATAATACAATTATAATATAATGTCAGATGATGTTGAGAATAATCATGAACAAAATAGTGTGCCCAATGATCAATCATTGAATACAACAGATGATATCAGCACAGTTAGAAGAAGAAATTTAAATAGAGTGAATGAATCAAGCGATAAAAATGAGCAACCTCAACCGATGATCGAAGAAATCGATGAAACAACGTCAACAACTACTACTACTTCTACTACCACTACAAACAACAACAATAATAATAAGAATACCAATCCAGAAACCAAAGAACAAGAGAATACAGAAGAGGAAAAGGAATCAAATAATCAATTCGAATGTAATATATGCTTTGATGATGTATCAGAGCCGGTAGTTACTCAATGCGGACATCTATTTTGGTAGGTTATCGACGTCGAACTCTATCTCTTTGTTTCACATTTATCAAGTTTATTAATAGACGTTTTGATTATCAATATCAATTTCTAATTAGCTGGTCGTGTATATTTCAATGGTTACAATATAATGCAAGTCAACAGTGTCCCGTATGTAAAGCACCAGTGACAGAAGAGAAACTGATACCAATCTATGGAAGAGGAAGCAATGCAACAGATCCAAGAAAGAACAGATCAATACCACAACGACCACCTGGAAGACCAGAACAAGTAAGACCGAATCAGAATAACTCAAATAGAACTTATCCCGTATGTTATTTTAGATTACAGACAATCATTATTCAACATTCAGCTTTGAAACTAACAATAGCTAACTTAATTTAATAGGATGTTTTTGGAGCAAATCAATGGAACACTCAGTTTGGAAATGTATCGATATCAGCAGGCTTTGGTCTTTTCCCTGGCTTATTTGGATTACACTTTTATGTATGTTTCTAATCTTTTTTTGTTTACCCATTTATAAAATTATTAATCTAATATCTATCAAAAAATAGCAACAAAATAATAACAATAACAATTCTATTAATAATAATGGACGACCACAAAATAGTGCTGATTTTGAATCACTTCTTTTATCAAGAATATTCTTTGCAATTGGTATAATTATATTATTCTTTATATTAGTTAATTAGCTTAACAACAATTCAATTAAATAAATAATATTATTAAATATGTATATATAAATAATGAGAATTAGTTAGATAAAGTGTTTTTTTTTTGGAAGAGGTTATTATATTTTTAATATATTTAATATTTAAAATTACAAATTGTTTAATTAAATTAATTTATATATATGGGTATATGTTGATTAAATTGGTGGATATTTGATATTACAATCGTGTTGTTGTTGTTGTTGATATTGATTGATATTGGAATTGTTAACAACTCTTTTTTTAATCTGGATCACTTTGGTAACACAGTGTCATGTGATATGTCCAAATTCTTGATTGGTTCAAAGTTATCTACTTTAAGGTCAGTTAAAAACAAAGAAATCTGATGCACCTTTAAGAAATTGTAATGAATCGGTTGATACTTCATAATATTGGAAATCACTCTGTAAAGCGTTCTTCTCTTGTTCAAATTGATCATTCCTTCCACTTTGTCTGCCGTTCCTTCATCAACAAAAACTAAATCTCTTAAATGAATACCCCTACAGTGTGAACATATATATGTTAGTATTGCTATCACCAATATAATATGTTTGTTAAAGAAAACTTACAAAAATGGAATACATGGTGGTTTGGCATCTTTATAGGCCAATCTGTATGCTTTAAAGTTTTGATCGGAATGGAAAAGCTTCTCTAAATCTGCGTAGGTCTCTTGTTGTTGTTTGCTCAAATCCTTTCGCACTGCCTTTGTTCTCCACACCAAAGTATTATTGATACCACCAAAGATGGCCATCAGAGAATGGAAATTGGAAAGTGACTTTAAATGCTAAAATATTTCAAAGAGAATCAACCAAACAATCAATAAATCAATTAGACAACCAATATTGAATCTATCCAATAACAGCAAACTATAAAACATACCTCTGAAATCTTTAAGAACTTTGCAAGCAACTTTGATTTTCCTTTAGTTTGCTGTTCGCTTAGCAAACAAGATGCCACCCATTTAGTGAAATCATTGAATCTTCTCATCATCGCCAAAAGATTTGGTGCCTTTGATCTATACTGTGGTTTATTCCATCCTCTAATTAAGAATTCCTGTGACTAGAAAGTAGTTAAATAGTAACAATTGGTTGGTTATTATTATTGGGGAAATTTGACCGAATTATAAACAACTACTTAGCTGATACTTACTTTAATACTTTCATACATTTGGAAATCGATTAAACAAAGTTGTCTGGCAATCTCCTCCTCATCGATATCGTCAAATGTCAAAGTAGATGAAAATATGTTCTTTGGTACTTTTGGTTCGGGTGGATCTTTTAATATTGGTTCTTTCTTTTTGGCACTTACTTCTTGCTACATGATTATATAGTGTGGTGTTAATATAAGTTTAAACTAAATATACTATAGATTACATACTGTTTTTGCAATTGAAGTTCTTAGTTTCTTTGCCCATTGAGTCAGACCGTCTTTAACCATTTGATTATCGATAAAGTTGTTGAGATTGGCGAGTAGCTTCTCATTGAAATCCTGGGGTTGTTGCTCGATCCAGAAATTCAAAAATATAACAAACATACCCTTGTCGGTATGTTCTTTAGTTGGTGAATTGTAGATCTGTATCAATTTCGATAGGATTGTCTCTGCTGTTGTGAACGATGGATATGTTAAGAAAAATATCTTTTTAAACTCAGTTGTATCTAAATATTATTAGATATATTATATATTTAAAAGGTAAAGTTAGTTAGTTCGTTTAGTTTAGTTATTATTATTATTCATTTTTAAAAATGAAAACATACCAGTTGCATTTGGGTTGGTTGCTAACCACCAAATCAATTTGTTGAGAGTGGCAGCTTGAATTGTGTTGTTCTCTATATTCTTTGTCATGTTGACTCTCGAGGTATCGTTAAGATCGTCCCATATATTCTTGTCTTGTTCCTCGAGATCGTTGTCCTGGTCAGAGACATAGGCGTGATACGCTTGCACCTCGGGGTCGACCTCCCACGACTCCTCGAGTGCGCCAAACCAATTGTTGGCTTCTTTAATTCCGATTCTCAAGAGTGTCGGTAAACCTTCTTTCTCTATTTCATGTGGTATAACTATTAATTTTTAATAATAATAATAATAATAATAATAATAATAATAATAAACTATTAATATACTACTCTACTCTACTCTAATCTACCACTAACTATTGGTAATAATAATAATAGTTGTACTACATACATTTTACATTACATTCCTCTTGAATCTTATTCAATGTGGTAGATAGATTCTCCTCATAGAGATATTGCATGATCAATTTAAGTAATACTTGATCAGAGATGACATGACTTGCTTCAGTCTTGGCACAAGCTCTGTGTCTAGAATATGATTTAGTGTTGTTGATTGGTCTGATTCGCTCACGTAACTCCAATATATCCGGATGTTTTTGCATAACACGTGCAACCCATTCATTTGGAGGTATATTTAATTCTATTTTATTTTATTATCATGATCCGATGTTTTTTAATATATAATTAATATCAAAGGACATTATTACTATTGTTATTGTAATTAAAAATGATTAATACTAACCTTCTGATACATCTGATGCACTTATTCCAGTTGACAATGAGCTGACACTACCTTTCTTTGGTGTCAGTAGTAAACTGCCGCTACTGCTACTACCGAAACTATTTGTCAATCCACCGTTACTTGAATTCATCTTTATAAATCTATTATTGTTACTACTACTACTACTACTATTTACAAAAATAAACTCTTTATATCTATATATATATATATTTATTTACTTTATATAATATATATAAATATATTACTATATATATATATAAAAGTTTATTATCTATCTATTAAATGAAATTGTTGTTGTTATTATATTATTGTCAAAGTAGTAGTTACTACTGTTATTAACTTCTACTTCTACTTCTACTATTATTAATTGATTGATTGATTGTTGATTCCAATAAAGTATATAAATCAAGACCTTTTCAAATGATCAGTCAAATCCGTTTGTGGCGATTTTTTTTTTTTTTTCGATATTTTATTTTTTTGTTTTTTTTGATTACAGTTAATAATCTTCTTTATATTATAATATTGTTATTTTTAAAATGTAATTAAATTTACAATAATATCTATTTATTATATCTATCTTTGTATCAATCAATCTATATAAACATTAAACCAATCTGTTTTTTTTTTTCTTTTCAATAAACAACAAATCCTAAACCTTTTTTTTTTTTTTTTTTTTTGTTTTTTTTTCAAAATTTTTTTTTTTTTTTTTTTTGATCAACAGATAGTTTGAATAAGTGTGTGGTCTGAGCTGAACACAATTTAAACAACACACGATTGAAAAACCAGAAAAATAAAAACACAACCATCCTATTAAATTAGACAGCTCAACAACATTTTATACCTTAAATTTATTGTGTTTTTGTGGAATGTGTGAGATGATCAATGTTTGTTTAAGAATTAACAGATAGGATAAAACCTTAATCGCACGATTGAATTTCTATATCTTTCTTTTCTTGTTTTCTTTTCTTTTCTTACCAAACCATACCATAACCAACCTCTTAACACAAAATTTAAATTCAATTGGTTGTTGTCTATCTATAAGGATCGAATCTCAACAAACCCAATTATTTGACGACAACAATTATTTAATAATAGTAGTACTGTACGACTAACAACTACTATTACTACTATTAAAATTAATAATAATCTTTATTAAAATAAATTATTATTACTCTAATCCACCATCTATTTTTTGAACAAACCAACTAATCTTTCACTTTTCTTTTAAATTTTAAACTATAAAAAAAAACATTCTTCTGATATTTTGAATAATTATCTTGTTTTTTCTATTTTATTTTTTTTCTTTGGACATCTTAAAATCCTGTTTATAAATAGAGGAAATTAAATTACTTGTAAAATATCAAAATGTAGTGTAGCTTTTTTTATAATGGTTATATTAAATAAAATTAACAAAGATATTTTTAAAAAAAAAACATGGGATTTTAGAATTAAAAAGAATACATTATTAAAAACAAACTTATTCCATTGATTTTTCTTTTTATGTGTGAAACCTTCAGAAGCCATTTCTGTCATTTTTTTGATTTTTGCTGTTTTTTTTTCAGTTTTTTTTTTTTTTTGCATTGAAATTGAATAAAATTGTAAATTCGCTATTTCACTTTATATTTACTGTTCTATACTTTTTTGTATATTTATATAATTATATATCTGTATCTGACATTTCCGATTTTAAAAGAAAGATAAATAATTCTTTCGGATTTGTTCATATATAAACATTTTCGTTTCGTTTTTTTTTTATAAGGAATTCCAGAAAAAAAACAAAAAAAAAGAAAAATGAAATTCTATTTTAATATATTAGTTTTAATTGTTGCGTTTGCTTCACTTTCAAGTTCAATCGATGTCAGTAGGCAACAGAGGCAACACACAGTCAATGCACCATCCAATCTTCAAACATTCACTGCTCTGCTCGACTTGAACAACGGATTCCGTGTCGTCAGCGGAAACCAATCGAACGGTGTCGCCTGGTGTCTCTACGGCAACGAGATGATGACCACCGGTTGGGGATACATCTCCATCCAGACAAACGGTGCCTACAACGACACCCAACAAGCATCGGCTGCCGGTTACCTCGAGGGTTACGTCTCGGCCGAAATGATCTACCAAAACTGGTACAACATGTACGTCAACGAATACAAGAAATCGGTAAACGACAAGGCTATCGCTTGGATCGATTCCAACAATCGTTACATGCAACAACAAGTCGCTGAGAATCTCGACGATCCATACTGGCAACAGGTCGGATTGGTCATGACCCAGGTCGCCAGTCTCTTCCAGGGTTACAACGACGCCACCACCGATCCCTCCCAATCATTGGAGTTCTACGACATTCTCCTGATGAACATGGACGGAGATATGATCGACTTGGCACCGGCTCTCAACATCTCATTCGATGCCGCCACTGCTGCTGCTCTCCCACCAAAACAACACCTCGAAAACTTCATGAGAAAGACTGGACATTGCTCTTCGTTGATCAAATTGACCGACGACTTGACTGAGTTGTATGCCGGTCACACCACTTGGTCCTCGTTCTACGAGATGGTTCGTATGTTCAAGATCTACACTTTCGCTTTCTCGTCGAGCAGCTTGTCGCGTTCCGCCACCACCATGTTCTCTTCCTACCCAGCTTCACTCTCATCGATCGACGATTTCTATTTGTTGGACACTGGTTTGGTCGTTGTCGAAACTACCAACGGTATGATGAACAACAATCTCTACTACTTGGTCACTCCATCGTCGGTTCTCTCTTGGATCCGTGTCATCATCGCCAATCGTATGGCCAGCAACGGTGCCAACTGGTGCACCACCTTTGGTCGTGAGAACTCCGGTACCTACAACAACCAATGGATCATCGTCGACTACAACAAATTCGAGTCGGGTGTTGACGCACACGACGGAATGGTCTACGTCCTAGAGCAAATCCCAGGCTACGTCGAGTACGACGACGTCACCAACATTGTGCGTACCGGTTACTGGCCATCCTACAACGTGCCATACTTTGAGTACATCTACAACGTCTCTGGATTCAACAACACCCAATCCTACGGAAACTTCTTCTCCTACTCTGGAAATCCACGTGCCATGATCTTCCGTCGTGACGCCAACAACGTCTACACCTTTGAGCAATACCAAGCGGAGCTCCGTTACAACAATTGGGAACACGATCCACTCTCTGCCGGTAACTCTGGTAATGCCATCAGCTCTCGTTTCGATTTGGTCACCAAATCCGATCCAAACAACCCATACTTGAACAAAGATGCCTTCGGTGGTATCGATTCCAAGGCTGTCAACCACGCCATGGTTCGTAACATGCAAGTCGCTGCTCAATCCGGACCAACCTATGACCAACAACCACCATTCAACTGGAAGCAAGGTGATTGGACTTATACCCATGTCGGTATGCCTGAGATTTGGCAATTCCCATGGATGATTATGACCACCAACAACATGGTTCCAGCTCCAAAATCAAATTAAATAATAAATCCTATAGATGTTATTTGTTTAATGATTCTTCATATAAAAATATACTCAGTTAAATTGCTATACTCTGACGTTCTGTCACTTCAACAGAAACTAATTCGGTATTGAAAGATTTGATTATTTTTAAGGCTTATTTTAAAGATGATTGTTTATTTCTTTCTACTAAATAACATATTTTATTTCTCTCAATAAATGTGTAAATTGTTTTAAATTGTTGATTGTATGTTTAAAAAATAAAATAAAAATAATTTTTGACCAAAAGTTTATTGTTGTTCTTTTGTATAGAAATATAGATAACCATTTGTCAATATTCTATCTAGTACATTGGTGAATAGAATTTCTTTAACTTTATCATCGTCATATAGTTTCCAATATTCATTATTTTTCTTTACAAAGGAAACGTAGTGTCCAGAATCGATATCACCTCCAATATGTTGAATTATACTTTGTACATTGTATTTCTGTTCTGTTGTCGTTGTTGTTATCTTTTTGTTATTTGTTGGTTCGCTGTTGGAGTTTTCGTTAGTTGAGTTGTTTGTTGTTGTAGTGGTTGTAGTTGTAGTGGTTGTTGTAATGTTAATATTTGGTTGATTCATCTTGTCTGGTGAAGCTGGTGGTGGTGGTCGTTGTGGCGCACTATCATCTAAGATTGTTTTGGTATCTGGTTTATTTACAATGGTGGCAACTTTGATGGTTTTCAGTGGAAGAACGCATGAAGAGTCTTTAGTGATGGTCGATGTGTAATAGCTTCGTCGGAATCGTTTCAAATGCAAAACCAAGACATTCGGTGTCTCTGAAAAGTATTTGGTAATAGTCGATTTATCGTGAGAACACTTCTGACACTTTCTCTCAATGGTTTCCTCCTTCAAATAAATATCCAAAAGTTCCTGAATATTAAAGGTTTTGGATCTATTGATAGGATTATTAATGACGTTAATTAATATTACAACAATATAATGATATTGGTTACTACTTACGGTGAATGTGCAATATCCAATGAGATGTCGGTGAATATTTCATTGGTGTGAGTTATATCTTTACAATTTATACAAGTGATAATCTTGTGAATGGTCGATCTAAAATTCTTGGTGATTGGACAGATCGATTGGAGCAACTTTGGAATGTCCAAAGGTGATGATGGTGGTGATTCGATAGGTTGCTTGTCGTTGTTGTTTGTTGTTTCATTGTCGTCGTCGTCTGTAGTGGTAGTAAGTAGTAACTGTTTCTCCAACTGTTTCTCTTTTCGCTTTGTTTCCAACTTTTCATTCTCTTTCTTCAGAGAGTCCTTCAACTCCTCCTCCAATAAATCCATCAATGACAGCAGGAATTCATGAGAATCGTGTTGTGAGTAACCTTTAAAGTACGGATTGACATCGTCCAACAGAGTTTTGAATGACTTTGTATCCACACCATTAAAAGAATCAAACGATCGTGTTCCGCCACTTTCCATAGTCTTTTCTTTTCTCTGTAGTAAAATCAAAAGATTCCTATAAAAACTTGGCTTTTCAATTGATTCATTAAAGTACTTCTTAATTCTAAACCACAAGTGAAGAATGAATAATCAGTAAATATTCTTTTAACTATATCATTATTAATATATTTGTATAATATTTACTCATTTCCTTTTAAATCATTTACAATATCAGGAACACCAAAGAATGATTGTAAAACAGCATTCATATAACATGTATTTCCAAGATTTTTAAAACTAGTAAATGATTAGTTGGTTACTTCTATATGTAACTATTAAAATGGTGATGATGGTGATAATATTGTAGCTTACCCTTTTTCAAATGTAGAGACTGGAAGTGTATATGACGAATAACCCCTGGTGGAACTTAATGTTGATGTAGTTGGTCTTGGCAGAGGTTTAAGATCGATCTTCTGTTGCTTTGTTTTTGGTTCATTGGCAGCGATAGGTTTAAGTGATGACGGTGTTGTTGGTGCAATATTTAGTTTTCTTTTTGCTGATATAGATTCCGATGTACTACTATCTTGATTAAGTAGGTCATCTTTTACATTTACATTATTATTTACATTATTGTTATTTGTATTACCATTACTATTTCCATTTACTTTCTTGAATGTTCCATTCGAATGATAGCTATCATTATTACTGTTGTTGTTGTTATTGTTGTTGTTTGTCATCGATAAACTATTATAGGTTGGGAACAATATTGTCTTTTTGTTCTTTGTTTCGTGTGGAGATGAATTCTCGATTTCTTCATCCAATTCATTGTGTGATTCATTTGATGTGATTCTCTTTATATTATTACTATAATTGCTGTTGCTATTTTTGACTTTGCTTGGTGAGACTGATTGTGTTGATGATTTATCCATAGCTCTGAGTGCGTTGAAACAATCATTCAGCATTTTTGGTTCTGAACTCGGTAGAGTAGCGAGCGATCTATCATCACCATTTTTGATGTTGGGACGAACAGTGTGAATCTGATTGGACACCTTAAACATTGATCCTGTCTGTCCCTTCTTCATAGATCGAGGAATCGGTGGTGATTCCTGAGAAATTGAATCGTTATCAATGATAATATCTGCATCAGAATGTCCATTCTGTAGTGGATCGACTATCGACATTGATGAAGTTGTTTGTTTAAAATTGCTGTTTGTTGTTGTCGGTGTTGCTGCTGTTGTTGTTGTTCTATTTATACTATAGGTTTTACCATTTTTAATATTGCCATTATTACTATTACTATTGCTATTGTTATTGTTAATGCTGCTGCTGTTGTTGTTGTTGTTATCATTATTATTGTTGTTGTTGTTTTTTGATTTTATATTCAATCGATATGTGGCGGACCTATTATTATTAGGTTTACCAAAGAAATCGAACGATTTGTTATCCTTTGGTTCATTGGACGCACTAAACAATTTGAGTTGAAATTCTTTTTTTGAATTGCTGTTTAGATTCGATGGTGATGTCGACATTTTATGTTGATGGTTATGCAGATGATTGTTATGGTCAATATCATCTTCAATTGGATCAGAATGAGCTTGATGCACTAAGAATCGATCAGTTTCAACAGTAGAACCACTCAAATATTCAATTAAATCAAAGAGTTGTCTCCATTCATTCTCATCTCCCTCCTTTGGAATGTAAGCATATGACAGACTATTAAGAAATGTAATAGTGATACCATTGGAATCTGATGTGAATGATATATTGTTTTGAACCTTTTAAAATTATAAATAAATAAATAACTTTAGTATGAATGAATGAATGAATGAATGAAGTAGCTGATGCTGCTGCTGTTGTTGTTGCTCATTATACATACCAACAATGCAATTTCATCTGTTTTATTCTTTTTTAAATATATACAAACATCATTATCATCTAAAGAATAATTAGTTTAGTTAGCTTTGCTATTAGATATAGATAGGTAATGTTGATTTATGCATACCGTTCAAATGGAATAAAAAACCAAAGTGTTTAGTTCGATGGTTTTGCTCATCTGTTAACTCTATTGCATAGTCAAATCGATGCTTTAAGATAATCATCATTGAAATATTCCAACCTATAATATTAATCAATGATAATCTCTTCTCTTCTCTACTTTATATTATATTTAAAAACACACATTTGAGTTGTGACAAAAATTAATTAATTAAAAAAAATGTGAGGAGACTGTTAATTTTTTTTCTTGTTAATATTTAAATTGAAGACTGTAAATTTTAAATTTTTTACCAAGAAACCAATAATGTTCAGTTCAAATTCGCAAAAAAAACAATGTAATTTGTATTTTAAGTTAATATCACTTTTTAAATAACAAATCGTTGTTTTTTTTATTTTTTATTTAAAAAAAAATAGATATGTATTTATTTATTTATTTATTTTAGAATCCACCACTTATCCATTCATATTGGAAAGTGTTTGTCATTGCAATTGAAGGACTGGTGTGTATTTGCATGGTTGCCAAATCGATTACGGTGGTGGTGTAGATTTCCGATGTCACAGAGGAGAATAAGACAATGGAGCTACCCTTGACACCGAAAGTACTTCCGAAATTGTTGGATTGCTTGAATTTCGCTGGAACGGTGTAGATATTTTTGGTGCTCTGAGTGGGGGGATCGGCAGTGTAAATCTTAAAGTTACAAACGAGACAGAGGTCAATAAAGTAGATCTGATCGTTGGTATAGACAATCTGTGGCACCTGCATAACGAAATCGTAAAAGTAAACTGGCTCCTTAACGATGGTTCTAGTCCACATGTTGTAAACAACCAAGTAGGTACCCAATCTGAGCTTTGGTTCATCGATATTATAGATAATATAATAGTTTCCGGTGGTGGCATCGTATGATCCTACTGGATAAAGAGTATTACCGTTCATTGGAGCATATGGAAGTGAAACATATGTACTTTTAAAAGTAAAAACAACTATTAATATTAATGAAATCAATTAAATCAAAGTTGAGATAAAGATTTAAATCTTACATTTGTTTGGTATTAAAATCCCAAATGTAAATAGTTAGATTCTGTTCGTTCATGTCAACTGTTGGAAGTGCAACAAAGTTGTGAACTGGGTCGTAGGCATACATTTGTGCGTTTGCCAATCCAGAGTAACTGTCGTTTATTCTGTTTATCTCTGTAAAAGTATTGTCCTATTTTGTTTTAAAATTAAAAACAAATTAATATTAAATAATTGAAAAAAAAAAAAACAATAAAAAGTTATTATTTATACTTACATTGATAGAATATTCAAGAATTACGTCTTGTTGATCATTTTGGTCAGTGGCCAACAACAAAAAAGAATTGGTAAAGGGATTGCCAGAGAGGAAAGATTGGAAGAAATAATTTTGTTTACCAGCATCGACATTCTTTATCAACTCACCAGTGGTTGTATTGACAGCGTAAAATTGATGGTATTTGCCCATCATTATAAATTGATTGATATCTAGATATTCAATGGAAAGACATTGCTATATGATTTTATTTTATTAGTAAAAAAATAATTTTTATTATTTAACTTTACTTACATTTATAAGTGATAATAAAAGAATTGTAGAAAATAAAATTGAAGATCTCATTTCTTATATGTTAAAATCTCTGTGTCTGTATGTATGTATAATAAATATATTGTAAAAGTAGTTTAATTGATTTATAAAGACTATTCACAGTGTTAACTATTTATACCGGTACCTAGAGAGATACTTTTTAAGATTTATAAATATCTTTAATATCTTTAGATTTATTTTAATTTATAGATAATAAAATAAAAAAGAATCTAAAAACTATCTTATTTTTGCGAATTTAATATAAAAAGTTTGATTGAAAGTGATGTCATCACTGGTTGAATTCATAATAATGATCATCTCGGTATTACAAATTTTATTTAGGCTCTTTGCAAAGACCATCTTAATCTATTTTTTTTCTTTCCAAAAAAAGATATTTTAGTTCAATTTTTTTTTAAATCCGAATAAATGAGGATATTAACTAGTACAAAATATGGTTAATTTTTAAAAAAAAAAACGAAGTGTCTCTGATATTAAAAAGAAGAGAAGATTGAAACAACAAGAATACACTCTGTTCTTTCAACTGCAATGGGAAATTGCTTGTTGACAAATCAAAAGACAGTTGACTCTTAGCTTTAACAAACGACACACCAAATAAAAAAATTTAATTTTTAATACTGTTCAAATATCTTGTTGACCATCATCTTAAGTATTTGATCAATACCAGTTCATCTCATCTTAAGAACTCAACTTTTAAATTCACACACCCCAAAGAACTTACAAGTAATAATCAATCAATCAATCAATCAATCAATAAATGAATGAAAGATTAAGATGAAGTAATAAACAAAATAAATTTAATTGCAAAATAAAATACTTTTTTTTTTTTTTTTTTTTTGAACACTCAAATCCGAAAAAAAATGATTTTTGTATTGTTTTTTTATAGGAATAAAAATCAATTTATTGTTTTTCGGTTGTTATTTTTTTTTTTTTGAAATTAAAAAATATGTTTTTTTTTTTCTTCCCCAACCACAAAATTATAAATAAAAAAACATAAAGGAACGAATAATTTTTTTTTTATTATTATTATTACTCACCCTCCATCCATCCATCCATCTTTATTTAATTGTATCACACAAGTAGAAGTAAGTTAAGTTTATTTTATTTTATTTTTGTTAACAAAGCAAAGCAAAAAACAAACAACATAATATTAATATTTGATTACTATTTTTATTTTCTTAAAATATATTTAGATTAGACTTTTTTTTTTTTCTTTTCTTGTTGTATGTGTAAATAGATTAGTTTAAAGTTACAAATTTTTTTGTTTATATATTCATTTCATTTCATTTCCTGTTCATTTTGTATTTACATTATATTGTTGTACCTGTAAACCACTTCATTGTACACTTCACTTCATTAGTAAAAGTAAAAGATAAAAAAAAAAATCAAAACATTTCCTACTACCCTTCTTATATATCTATCTATATATATTTATAAATAACTTTATTTAAAAAAAATCTAAAAAATTTAAAAAATTAAAAAACAAAAAAAAAACAGTATTTATTTTTTTTTTTCTTTAAATTTATATTTTATAACTTCAACAATTTAATATTACAACATCCCGACTGTCCACTATCTGCACAGATGATTTTATAAAAAACATAAAAAAACAAAATAGGGTGATTTTTTTTTTCAAAACAAACCAATCAACAAACAAAATCGAATCGAAATAATAATAATAATTATAATAATAATAATAATAAATAAAATAATAGTAGTATCAAATGGATCAGAGTCTATTTAGATTCTCATTAAACGATGAATCATTGAATGATATCTCTGGATCGTTAATGAATGGTGGTCCACAATCGAGTTTCCAGCCAATCAATAATAGCTACCTAGGTTCAGCACCAACAGGATCAATGCAACAGCAACAACAACAGTTTGATTTAAATGGTTCATTCCATTTAGGTCCCTCCTCACTACTAGGTCCGAGCAGCAGTCTAAACCTTCACACTCACAATCATCATATAAATTTAAATAACAATAGTTTAAATAGTTCGTATCTGTTGAATGACCAACAGATGTCATCTTCACCATTATCAAAGAATATTGATTTCTCATTATCTTCAACACTAACATCATCGACATCAGCATCATCCTCATTCGATCAAACTCCTCCATCTCATTCCCACTTTAGCAACAACAACAACAACAACAACATTGGAGGTTTAAACAACAACAACAACAATAATGCTATTAGCAATAGTAACAACACTAGTAATTCAAATCTATTTAAATTAATGAAAATACAACAACAACATCATCAACAGCAACAACAGCAACAACAACAGCATCATCATCAACAACATTTTACCAATAGCTTAGATAGTCAATCATTATTTGATGATAAAGTTATTAGATCAGGATCGCCATTTAATCAATTCGAACGACAGTCTTGGGTCTCCGATACCAGTACTCTCAGCGACTCACTGAGATCGATCAGCCCAAGCGTTGAGCAACTGACAACCTTTAGCATGTTTGGCAGTGCCCCAGAAACACACCGAGTCAATCCACCTTTTTCATTTAATCACAACAACAACAGCAGTAAACCCAACAATCCACAACAATCGTCATTCCATCAACAACAGCAACAGCAACAACAGCAACAACAACAGTTCCAAACTTCACCCTCAACATCAGCATTCGACAGTAAGGCTATGAGTGAAAGAGAAAAACAAATCTATCAATTGAAACTAAACCAGATCAGTGGAAGCACTAGCAGCAGCAATAGCATTGGTAATAACAGTCCTGCCAGCGTGAGAGGAGCATCCGCCAATGCATTTGGTATCAACTTGAATACATCTGCCGGCACTTCACCTTCGTCATACCCTTACAACCAACAGAACAATCCAATTTTCAACTCTTTCGATTCACCATTATCTCCAAGAGGCGATATGATCAGCTTGAACTATTCACACTCTGCTCCACGCACTCTTCCACATTCCAGTTCGATCGGTGGAAGTTTGAACAACTCGACAATGGTATCATCCACAAGCTTGGGCAGTAACACAGGTTTCACATCTTTTTCATTCCCATCGAGTAACTCTATTCTCAACAACAACAACAACAACAACAACAACAACAACAACAACAACAACAACCAATCGTCTTCACCACCCATTACACACTCTCTCAACCCGAATACTAACAGCAACAGCAACACTTCAGTATCACCCAATGCCTCTTACAACAGTAATAACAACAACAGTAACAACCAGAAACAATATGCTCAAAAGATACGCCAAGTTGATAGCTATGTCCTCAAAGAGACACCAACTCGTACTCTCTTTGTCGCCAACATCAATCCGCAGCTCGACGACAGTGTCCTCACATCTTTGTTCTCAAAGTACGGTGCTGTCAAGTCGCTCAGCGGAAAGTCAAAGCATCGTGGATATATCATCGTTGAGTACTACGATATCAGACACTCTATCAATGCCATGCGTAACTTGAACGGTTCCGAAGTACACAAAAAGAAACTCGACATTTCCTATTCCATTCAGAAAGATTTCTACTGTGATCTAGGAACCCTGGTTGTCTTTAACTTGGAGCCAAGCGTCACCAATCAAGTGCTCCACAAAATCTTTGGTGCCTACGGACAGATCAAAGAGATTCGTGAAACTCCCAACAAATCCTATCACAAGTTCATTGAGTACTACGATATCCGTGAGGCCAATGAAGCCATCAAGAATCTCAACAAGATCGAAGTTGCCGGTAAGCGTCTGAGAATTCAACACTCCAGACCGGGTGGTAACAAAAAACAAACGAATCCATCACCCTCCGATCCCTACAGTGACAGTGTCGAGCTTGACTCACTTTTCGATCCATCACAGAAACCAATCACTACCATCACCGTCAATGGAAGTGGATCAGCTCCTTCTGCACTAATGACAACACACAATATCAGCAACTTGAACAACATCAACAACATCGGCAACAACAACATATTAAATAGCAACAGTATTTCCAGCAACAATCTAAATAATAATTTAATCAACAACAATAACAACAACAACAATTCAACAAGTAGTAATAGTCTCAATAATAGCAATATAACACCACCAAAAGTTCAAACACCAACATTGTCTGGTGTCAATCTTTCTTTACCAGCTGGCTGGAAATCCAAGATAAGCCAATTTCACTCAATGAATAACACCGATGGAATTACAACGAGCCTGAGTGATTTACAGTTGACTAGTACCATTTCACCACCGTCCTCTCCACGTGTTGCTAGTCTCCAACAGCAACATAAGCTCATTAAATCACCACGTAATCTCATTGGTGAGAAGAGTCCACGCAAAGAGCTATCACCCGAGCAATTCACTCTCTCAATTGAAAAGGTCAAGCTTGGACTGGACACTAGAACTTCCCTCATGATAAAGAATTTACCGAATCGATTGTCTCAAACCGTTCTACTGGGAGTGATCGATGAACACTTCCAAGGAACCTACGATTTCTTATATGTCCCAATGGACCAACACAGCAAAGTCAGCTATGGATATGCATTTATCAATTTCACACGCTATGACACTATAGTACCGTTTTACTCGGAATTCAACAACAGAAGATGGGAGAAGTTTTATTGCTCAAAGGTTTGCGAGATCACCTATGCCAGAATTCAAGGAAAAGCCAATCTCTTGCAGCATCTGAAAACATCCAACAAAAATAATCCAGAGATTTTCGAAAAGAAAATTCAGCCAATCATTTTTGTTTCTGATGCAGAGACTGGTTTGTGCGGTGAAATAGTTTTTCAATAAACACATATAATAGTTCATTCTCATAGTTATTATTATCATTATTGTTTTTTTTTCGTAATGAATATATTTATTTTATTTACAAAAATGTTAAACTAATGGTTTAATAATTTTATTGTATTTTGATTCATTTTTGTTGAAACAATTAAAAACCATTAAAATAAGTTACTTTACTTGTGGTACTTGTACAACTAAATTGAGTTTACTTTTAGAAAATGCATTTTCAAAAAGTGGATTGATTCATCCATTTTCATTCGAAGTTTACTAATCAAGAAATTTGTTTGGTGAGATTAATTTGGGGATCAACTAACTTCTACTCAGTGAATTCCCTCCAAATTTATAAATTTGATTATCTATAATAGTATCACACATCTAATCTAATTTCAGTAAACAACTTGAGATCTATTCATTTGTTGAAAATTGAATATTTAAATTATTGCAGTAATTGTTATACAACTTTAAATAAAATAGAGTGTTGTGATTCCGCTAATTTTTGAATATATATTATATTTTTTGATTAGATGATAATGTTTTACAATAATGGAAAAGAACAAGTTCTCTTTTTTATCTAAATAGTTAAATATACGTTCTCACCACATTTGGAAAATAGAATCATTCCATTTTTATTGGATATATAAATAGCTTTTTTTACTTTTTTTTTGAGTTTTAACTAAACTAACAACCACTTCCCACAATCTCATTTACCACTTCATTGTGTTGACAGTTTAACTACCAAGTGAATATTTGAATTTTCGATACACAAAGATATCTAGAATACAGTAATTATTTTGTTCGTAAATTTGGGAGGTTGATTTCAACGGGATGATCGTTGTAGAACTGAAAATGAGGGTGTAAAAGAATGATAGGATCGTTCCATATTGTGATCATCTACAGCTATTCCTTATACAAAAAATTAGTGTAGTAAATGTGGTGTGGTTGATGTGGGTTCCCGTGTTAATTATTATTTTTTTTTATTGTGGTAAATTAATAAATATTTTATTTGCTAAAGATGATGAAGAAGGATGTTTTAACAATATTAATATTGATTTTCTTTTTTTTTGGTCTGTCTCCTCATCAACTTGTTGTTATTGTTTCACTCAAGTTGAAATAATTTAATAAAAATTATTCGCAAAAGTGGTAATCTCGAAAATCAATTGGCAGAGGTTACTATGATCATCAAGATGTCTAGATATCATTGTTCACTTACAAATTAAATGATACTACAACAAAAATTTGAACAAGCAAAAAAAAAAAAAACAACTACCAATATAACTAAATTTATAATTTATGTATCACATTCCCAACATTTTGATGAATCACGAGATTTTATGATGCCTCTTATATGAAAAAGCTACCAATAATATAAAAATTCAGTGTTTGAAAAAAAAACATATTAATCACTACCATATTAATAAATATTTTGAATCAACAACTAGCAATGAAATTAATTACTATACTTTATAAAATATCATGTATTATTTAATGGTACCATATAATTGTATAAATGTGGTCGTATCACGCAAACTTCATCAAACAAGGATGTACAACACAGCATTAAATACCAATGATAAAATTTTAAACCATTAGTGAATTTATCAAGAGATCAATAACAATAAAAAAGAAAATTAAAGTTATAAATATATATATGTATATATTTTTTTATTTATAAATATTCTTTTTTATTCTATCACCACTTTATCATTTTTATCTTTTTTTAAAACCATCTTCCTCGTGGAAATTGTATTTAATTCAAATTTATAGCCCTTTTAATCATTGTAAAATTTAATTATTATTGGGAGACAAACCCTCCCTTTCTTTTTTTTTATTGTTTATTTTATTATTACTTTTTTCTCAACAATTAATAAACAATGGCACATCCGGTGGTTTTGTTGGTAAGAACAAAAGACCACTATTACAAGAAATGTTTGGAGGATTTTGCAAGTGGAAGAATTGTAAGCCTGAATGGAAATCCAATTAGATGTGTTTCTGAAAATGATTCAATAAAAAATCCATATGGTAAATTAATTATCAATTTTAAAATTCTCAAAAAAAAAAAATTCCGTTGACAATTTGAAATTTTTCATTTAAAATTTAGATGGTGAAATCCACTTTGTTCAAAGAAATCAAAGTCGTGGTGACTATAAAAAAAGAAGAAGAAAGAACAGTGGTGGTCCTTCATGGAAACAAAATGGTGTGGTCACAAAGATTCGGGATGAAAATAATGTGGTAAGAGTTTACAAGAGGACCCTGACTTTGCAAAATGAAGAGTCTGATTTCAAGCTCTGGGAGTTTGCTCTTGCCGACCCTACAACTCATACTGAGAATGATGACTTACTACTTCGCCACTATCTGAAGGACAAACCTCACAACTCTCACTCCAGTCACAACCAGACTCCAATCAATTATTCTTCATCCACACCTCCTCCTGCCACTCCAAACCCAGCCCCAAACCCAGCTCCTACAAATTTAGGTACGCTAGATATTGCAACAACAGGTAATTTGTCTCCACCTATTTTATCACCAACACCCATCAATGAGGAAATTCAACCTGCACATGTTGTTCAAACTCCTTATACCACTTTTCAATTGCCTCAACTCCATTTTTTACAAATGACACACTCTTATCCCCCTTCAATAGTGAGACACGAAGAATACGGTGGATCTAGAAGAGTGGCAAGCAGACAAATTCAATCCCCCAATTTTGCGCCATATCCACATCACCAAGGATATAATCACACCTCACCTATCCTTCAAAATATTAATAATAATAATAATAATAATAATTTCAATGTAAATACAACAATAAGAAGTTTGGCTCCTCTTCCCAACACCCTAACAATCAACCCTACTTCGTTCCAAAATTTAAATCCACCAATCAATCCTCATTTTAATTCTTCTTCTATTTCAAATATTGGAAATCCATCTAACATTCCACCTCCTAACACTCAATATTACAACAATCCAGCTCATCACAATTTTTTAGGACAAACCAATAATGTGATTAACCAATGGCAACTTCCTTTTAATGATCCAAGAATGCCATTCCTAGGTTCCAAACTATAAATAAAAAAAAAACAATAACTCAAACAACAATCATCCCATTGAAGGAGAAATATATAAAAAAAAAAATAATATTATTTGCAATCGGCAAATAAACATGAATATAAAAAAAAATAAATAAAAATAAATAAAAATAAAATTAAAGAGTTTCAAATAATAATTAAACTATTTATCCGACTCTAATTTTAAAAGCAATTCTTTTGCTCTTTTGATAATGGTTGGTGGCATTCCAGCCAGTTGAGCACAAAATATTCCATAGGATTTGTTTGAAACACCGGGCATAATCTTGTGGGTAAACAAAAGTTCACCATTCTCTTCTTTTACAGCAAGCGCATGACATTTGATCTTTTTCATTACGGTTGCCAACTTTGTGAGTTCATGGTAATGTGTTGCAAAAAGAGTTCTACATTTAATCGATTCCAGATATTCAATGATCGATTGTGCAATGGCAAGACCATCCAAGGTGGCAGTACCTCGTCCGACTTCATCCATAATGACAAACGATCTTTGTGTAGCTTTTTTCAGAATCGATGCAGTCTCTATCATTTCAACCATAAAAGTAGATCGATCGTTTGCTAGATCATCACTGGATCCAACTCTACTGAAGATACTATCCATTATACCAACTTCAGCTCTATCCGCTGGTACAAAACTACCAATCTGTGACATAATTGATATTAATGCGTTTTGTCTAAGGAATGTACTCTTTTTTTGCATAAATTTAATGTTAATCAACACAGTTTCTTGTTATCAATCAATATATTTTTTTGTATACTTACTTTACCACCCATATTCGGACCAGTTATTAACCATAGCAGTGAATCTTTTTGACTATCCAAATGACAATCGTTTGTAATAAATTGTTTCATTGTACCAGTTTTAACTAGTTGTGCATATTCTACAGTTGGATGTCTACCACCAACAATATTTAAAATAGGACTAGTATAAAGATTAAAAAGTTAATAAACAAATAACTAATTAGAAACTTTTATAAATTAATAATTACTTTTCAGTTAGTATTGGTCTTGTATAACTTCTTTCGATTGCAACTAGCGCCAATGAACATGAAATATCTATGTTGGCCAAAGATTGACTGGCTTTTTTTATCTTTTCACCGTAGGATTCAGAGATTTTATCAGCTAGTTGATTGAAGATCTTTTGCTCCAACTCTAACGCCATTGCTGAAGACCGATTAATTTTCTCCTCCAGCTCATAGAGCTGACTGGATTTGAATCTCATGTGACTCATCAGAGTCTGAGCATGAATGAAATGCTTGGGAATCTTTTCACGATGTGCTGAAAGTATCTCTATGTAATAGCCAAGAGATTGATTATGTTTGATTTTCAATGAGGGTATAGAGAGTTGTTTTCTCGTATCCATTTGGAGTTGTTCAATCACTGATTTACTCTGGGTTTGTAAGCTCATCAGTTCGTCTAGCTCCTTTGAATAGCCAGGCTGGATGAATCCACCGTCCGATAGAATAAAAGGAGGATTGTCTACCAATGCCTCTGAGAGAGTATCCAATAGTTCATCAAAGTTTGCTATTCCATCGATGAGGTGTTTGATATCACGATCGAATTGCGAGTGTCCTGCTTTTTGTTTCTTTTTCAGGCTATCAGAGAGCATTGCTTTGATGTAGGATAGCGACGCCAAAGTTGAGCCGATCGATGACAAATCTCTTGGTCCAGCGCGTTTAATATAAACTCTTTGAATACATCTCTCCAAATCATAGCATCTCATCAAAAGTTTTCGAATCTCTTTGATCAAGTCCGGTCTCTCCTGGAAATACTGAACTAAATTTAAACGTTGATTGATTTCCACTATTGATAGACATGGTGACTCTAAAATAATATTGGAAAATTAGACTAAATATAGAATATTCATTTTTCTTTAAGTTAATTAAGACATACGTATTCTTGAATGAAGTAATCTACTTCCAGTTGATGTTATTGTTTTGTCAATGGTATCGAGTAGACTTCCTTTTCTGATGCCTTGGAATGTTTTGGTGATTTCCAATGAATTTCTGGTGGAATGATCGATAAACATTGAGGTTTGAGTTGAGTAGGATTGTGGTAGATCGATGTGAGGTATCACACCAAGTTGTGTACTGAATACATAGTTCAAGATGGAACCAATACATCCAAGTTGATCGGTAGAGAACTGTGGAAACTGATCCTCCACATCTATATAGTCATCGCCATACGCTTCCTGAAACATCTCTCTATTCTTATCAAAGTAGAAAATAGAACAATCCTCTGAACTACTCAAATGATAAGGTTTCAAAATCGCGTTTAATTGATCACACTCCACAAGTTTTTGTGATATCAATATTTCAGATGGTGATATCTTTACTAATTCTCCCGCCAAACAATCGACTAAGTATATAAGTAAAGTTAGTTAGTTAGTTAGTTCATTAGATATATTATCGATCATCATAATAATGATATTGATTCACTTTACTCACATGTAGTTTCAGAAACATTGAATGAACCCGTACTAATGTCCAACCATGAAAGTGCAAATCTCTGAGTGGAGGTGAATTGATGGTTGTTTGGCAGTGTTGATAGTGATTTCTGTTTGATACCAATTGGCACTATAGAGAGGAGATAGTTATTTTGGTGGTGATACTGTTGGAGGAATCGATCTTCTGTAACAGTGCCTGGAGTGTAGACACGAACGACCTCTCGCTTGACAACCTTGCTGCCTCTGCCACTTCTAGATTTCACATCTTCCACCTGATCACAAACGGCCACAGTCTTTCCATGTCTTATCAACTTTTCAATATAGGTCTCTGCAGCGTGCTGAGGAAATCCACACATTGGTATTTCATTCTTTGTTGACTTTATACCTCTTGTTGTTAACTATTATTATTATTTTTGGTTATATAAGTATTTAGATTCATCATTTTTATATTAATTTTATATTATTCATTGTGATCTACTTACTGTAATGTGTAAGAGTGAAGAAACTTCTTTGGCATCATCATAGAACATCTCATAGAAATCACCTATTCTAAATAAAAGTATATGTTTTGGATACTTCTGTTTGAAATGATGATATTGTAACATTGCGGGTGTTTCATGTTGACTTTGTTGTTGTTTCTCCGTAGTGGATTCTGTTGAAGTATCAACTTTCGTTTTACTTGTTTTACTATTACTGTTACTGCTGTTGTCACTACTGAAATTTCGACAGTTTTGTGTTAAAGACAATGTTGGTAAACCACCACCATTACCACCACCACCAACACCACCACTTACCAACAAAGCAGTAGTGTTTAAATTATTATTATTATTAACTTTTAAACATCTATTATTAATATTGAAACGATTATGATTATAATAAATTAAATTAAGCTTATTTTGTTGTTGTTTAGCTAAATTTACATACATAATAACAAATAACTATATATTGTAAAAAATATTATATAAAAAGGTGGTAAAAAAGATACTTTGAATTTTGTTTGTTGAACAGCAATGTTTTTGCCACTATTCTAACACGTTGGCAATTCTTAATATGATTCTGATGTGTTTGATGTTTGATGTGTTGGTTCCCTTTTTAGTTTATATTTTATTTTTTTTTAAATTAATATTTATTTTGTTTTAGTTTTTTAATTAATTATAATTAAATTTCAATTTTTTTTAAAATTCATTTGTCAGAACTTATGTTGCTCTTCACCAAAATCTTTTAGTTTTAAAGTTTTTATTAATTATAGTGTGTTTGTGTTATATGAATCAGTCTAAAATAACAGTAATAGCAATAACAACAACAATAACAACTAACTAATTAGATTAGTAAATTGACAACACTGACATTCAAGTAATGGTCAAAGGTGGAAAGAAGAACAGTGATCTAAACACTGATCTTTCAACCGGTTTCGATGACATTGAATCTGCAACAACACTTTCAAGTTTAATCAGTAGAAGTAGTAGTCATGCATTTGAAAGACAAAACTATTTTAAAAATAGAAAACTAAGTGATCCAACTGAATATCTAGATGATAACATCATAGAAAGCAATCATCTTAACAATAGCAATAACAACATTACTAATAATAATAATAATATTATTACTCATACCGATCATCAAAATATATTAAATACATCAACATCATCAACGTCATCATCTTCATTATTATCAACAAACAATAGTATTAGTAGTAGTCAAAATAGTAGTAGTAGTATTAATAATAGTAATAGTAATATTCAATTAAATCATAGTAGTAGCGGTAGTAGCAATCAAATACAATTACCAAAAATAGATATTATTGGTGCACCTAATATCGACGGTCATCATCATCACCATCATAGGTCTGATGATAATGGATCATCATCTTCACCACCATCACCAACATCTTCTTCACATCAACTATCGAAATCATCAGAGATGAAGAAGAAATCGAATAAATCAAGAGTTAGAGCGATGTCTCTTGTCTCCACGGTACTTATCATCTCACAACTCTTAGGAATCTTTATGTTTGCACGTGGATTCTTCCCAAGGAAATCATTAATACAAGGTTACAATAGTTTCGATCAATATCCTTCTTCTTGTGTAGATGTAAGTTGTTAAGTTGTTAAGTGTTAGTTGTTGTTGATTATTACTATTGTTTTTATCATTGTTTATACTGATATTGTTTGTTAACACAAACACACATACACACAGAATAACATTAAAGTTGAACCACAATTTGATAAAGTGGTGTTTATGGTTGTCGATGCTTTTAGATCGAGTTTTATATTTGGTGAGGATCAACTCGCTATGAACTATACAAAGTCGTTGATAGACGCTGGCAAAACACATTCTTTTATTGCCCGAGCGAATGCACCCACCGTTACTCTGCCGAGAATCAAGGCGTTGCTATCCGGTGGAATACCAAGCTTTGTCGATTTCATCTATAATTTCAATAGCAACGATCTCAGAGAGGACAACATTCTCCACCAAATGAAACAAGCCAACAAATCAATGATATTCTTTGGTGACGACACCTGGCTAAAGCTATTTCCAAATCATTTCAAACGTTCCGATGGTACAACAAGTTTTTATGTTGCTGTAAGTTCATTTTGTTTGTTTGTTTGTTTGTTTTGTTAGACATGTTTCAATTATGACTAATTTACATTTAATAATAATAATAAAGGATACAGTTGAAGTCGATAATAATGTAACTAGACATTTGGATGAAGAGTTTGAAAATGACGATTGGGATGCTATGTTTCTGCATTATTTGGGATTGGATCATATTGGACATTTGGAAGGACCATACAGTCCTTTGATGGGTCCGAAACAAGAGGAGATCGATGGTATCGTTCAGAGAATTCATCAAAACATTGTAAGAAGAGATCAACTGAAAATGGAGCAATATCATAATGCATCGAAATATGATGATTCCATAGTGAAACCATTACCAACTTTATTTATATTATGTAGTGATCATGGAATGAATGAAGTATGTAACAAACAAAATATAAACTAACTAACTAACAAAGAAATGATAAACTAAAACAAAAAATATTTATTAATGATAGATTGGAAATCATGGTGGATCAACAGATTCTGAAACATCGGCTGTTTTAATTATGATAAGTTCATTGTATGACCATCAGAATGATATTGTTAAACATAGTGATACTCATTCAGAGACAGAGAGTGTTCATGATCACGATGAAACGAGTGGACGAATTCTTCTGCCATTCCCACCGAAACCACCTTCGGAGATAAATCAGGTCGATCTGGTTCCTTCACTCTCGATGCTGTTGAACCTACCGATTCCAATGAATAGTTTGGGTCGTATCATTCCAGAGTTGTTTGAGAAGTTCCTGCCGGAGGAGCAGTATCTTCGTTCGTTGGAGATCAACTGTCAACAACAGATCAATATATTGAAACACAATCCTCTGTTCTGGAAGAACGACCAGCCTGCCAAGCCAAAGATAGCGGAACTCCTCAAGATATTCGCAGATGCACAACAATATCATAGTTCTTGGTCACTCTCGCCGACACACTCACATTTCCACGAGAATGCTGCCGGTCTCTACATTCGATTCCTCGACGGTCTGCAATCGGAGTTCTCCGCGTTGCTAACGTCGTTCGACGATGATCTACTGCTGATTGGTATCCTGCTGATTGGTTCTTCTGCGCTTGTCACTCTGCTTGTTACCATTGCAACGATTGCAATGAACGATCATCAAGTGAATCTTGAGATCAAGGGTGTTGCTTTTGCTATTGTTTTTATCTTGTTCCTTATCGTACTGCTTGGCATACACTTTACAATCACCTGTATGAGTGGGGAGACTGATTACAACTATTTCTGTGAGGATGAATTCAAGTTTGGTGTTCTCAGTTTTGTATTCACCGCACTATCACTGCTGATCGGATTCAATGTATTCTTCTCAAAGAACAACCTCAAGCTGTTGACATACCCATCTCTCTCACCACTGCAACTCCGTAAAGAGAAATATATCATTATCATTGGAACTATCATTCATTTGATAAGTCTTTTCGGTAGTAGTTTGGTGGAGGAGGAGCATCAAACTTGGTACTTCCTAACGGTTTCGGTCATTCTCCTGCAGTTGGCACCTCACTCTGTCGCCATACTCTACAAGATTACCAATCACAGTCCAAAGGTTTACAAAGATAGTCTGAGACAGATGTTCATTCTCCTCGGTATATTGGTTGGACTTAGAGTAGTTAGAATTTGGAATCAAACTGGTATCAAGTGGTTGGACGATCAAGAACTGCTGCATGAATACACCTACATCGATATGGCAAAGTTCTTGACTTCCAACAACAGTATTTCACATGCTACACTCTGGCTACTCTCACTTGTATCCGTTTCAGCGCCATGTATATATGTATTCAGAATATTAGATAAACTTAAATATAGAAGAGGTGGTATTATATCTCAAGTAAGTAATTAGTTAACATAATATCATTATTACAAACAGTCCGACTAATCAAACTAACCAAACTCAAAAATAGTTAAGTTTTATATATAAATTATTTATAGTTTTATGTGCAGTTTCTATATTTTGTTATAAATGGGAATATATTCCTGCTCGATTGGTAGAATCTGTTTTTATTGCCAGATTCGTATATATTTGCGTTTCATTTTTAATGCTAATTACCATTACTTTTCCATTCTTTAGTAAAAATGTAAGTTGTTTGACTTTGTTTACTTAATTTATAGATAATTTCAAACTAACACGCGCTCGCTCCCAATTATTACATGAATATGTGTAGGACCGATCATTAAGTAATTCAAGTTCAGCTCAAACACCATCGTGGTTTATTGTAACTTTGAAATATGTACCGACTTTGATTGTGGTGAATCTGACGATGTTGTTTTTACTGTTGCACAAGACACACAATATGTTTTTATTCACAATCTACGGAGTGATTGCACACTACTACCTCAAATATCTGTTTGAGGATACCGGTCGAAGAGCAAGAAGTGGTATGACTGGTGTTATCGTCGGTCTGATATGTATCAACTGGCTAGGTCAATTCGGATACTTTGCACTGGGCAATTCCAATTCGCTGTCGAGCATCGATATCTCTGGTTCCTACACAGGTCTCATTGATTACAACCAATATTTAGTTGGTCTATTAACATTTGTAATCGGTTATTCCTCACCCATCTTTTTCTTTTTCGTTTCGATCTCTTATTACTCTGGTCTTGCAATTAAGAATACAAACGATAGGTATGTTGTTGTTATTGATAGTTCAATTAAAATCAATCACTTTATTAATCAATCAATCAATCAATCAATCAAATCAATCAATCTTTCTTTATTTTTTTTTTGTTAATTATTAATAATTAAGTATTAATCAAAGTGAACCAACTTTAAATACACCAAGATCAATCAATGATATACTAGATGAGTTACAATGGTATTCATTGGTTGGTTCACTATTGGATTGCGGTATAAAGTGGACCAATGTGTTTATATTCAGTGTGTGTATTCTGATACAACGATACCATCTATTCATCTGGACAGTCTTTTCACCTAAATTCATTTATGAGGTGTTTGATGTTGTCTTTGTCCTGGTAAGATTGATCTTGCACTCACTGTTTATCATCTACCTACGATTCATCGTTCACACCAAGGAGAAATCCGAAAACTCTCCAAACAACGAAGGAAACAGCAATAAAGAAGAATAAATAAATAAATAAACAAAAAAAAAGGCAAAAAATATTTTATTTTTTTATTAATAAAATCTAATACCCGAAGTCGGCGTGACCATTATCATTTTACCATTTTTTTGTTTTTATTGTTTTATAACAGTGTGGTGCACTACACAAAAATTGATTCATTTTGATTAATTTTGGGTTTGAAAATCATTTAATGGGCTGGTTATTTAATTATCATCATTTATAATGTGATGTGTTTTCATTCAATTTAAAATTGTTAATAAAACAATTAGCAATTGTTTATTTTATAAGAACAACAATAACAATGAAATATTATTATACATATATATTATCTTTATACTTTATATTAAATATTGCTGTAGCTTTATCGATTGAAAGTAATAACAGATTTAAGAAAGCAGAAGATTATGAAGTTCGTGGTAAACCTTTGAATCATATCGATTGGGAACAACAATTGGTTTTAACAGAATGGGATATAAGTAGGTAACTTTATCTTTTTAAAAATATGTGCAAATTCATTTTTGGCTTGTTTTGTTTTTGCACAGTTTTTTTTTCGCATCCTCGCATTATTATTTTGTTTGATCATTTAATGCACACAAAACATTCTTAGGAATGAAATTACACATATCTTAATTACTTTGATATTAATATTTATATGTTTTGTTTTAAACTACATTAATTATTTAAAGTTGGACCATTTCCATCGGCTCCCAGGGAAGATGGTAATGATGTTTTAGATGCCTTTGGAGGTATCACAGGCATACCAAGGGGAGATAAATCTACCTATCCAACTGACATAACTGATAATGGAAGAGCAGGATGGACACATATCAACGTTCCAGATGGCAATGTAAATATCAACTACAATGAGACACAAGGTGTGAACTGGCCACTCATCGAAGCATGGGCAGGTTCATCAGGTAGCTATTTCGCTGGATGGGCACTCTCTGATTTCTATCTATACACCGAACAAGTAGTTGTTGTCCAATGTCAAGGTGTTTCCAGATACTATATCGATGATGTTCCACAAATGGGTGATTCCTATGGTTCTGGAATTGCATGTAAATATATTAAATATTATTATTGTTCTAGAAAAAGAAAGGAATTCTAATATCCTTTTTGTTTGTTTTTTTTTAATTAATTAACTACTAGTTGGAGGATTAACTTTACAAGCTGGAAATCATACTGTAAGAGTACGTTTAATTGGATCGGAAGGTGTTGGATTCTTTTGCTCTGTCCAAACCATCGCAAAGACATCACCACCTTTCTTCTTCTATATCAATGATATTTTGGTGCCGGATGTAGTTGGTGGTTCTTTCTCATCGCCATATGTTTCCGTTACTGTTTTGAACCTTATTGATATGCCACTTCAAGTTACCGAGGCAACCGCACCGTTCCCATTCGAACTGGAGCTGATCGAGAGATTGGAACCAGTTGCCGTAGGACAAATGACACCGATCAACTTTAAGATCTCAGCAGTTAACAATCAATTTAGTTGTGTCAACAATCAGCTCTCCATTCCAGTGGCGCTTACCACCGACGCCGGAATCGACGACATTTCCATCCAAGTCAACTTTTCATGTAAAGCATTTGGTGAACCTTATTTATTTACTTTTTTGGATTGCGATAACTCTGTTCAGTATGCTGCTGCCACTCCACCTCTCTATGAATGCGCCACCGGTAAATGTCCAGTGCTGTTGACATTGCACGGTGCCGGAGTGGAAGCGGCTTCCACCGCTTGGACTGGAGCTTATCAACGTCAGAATTACTCATGGACATTGTTCCCTACCAATCGTCGTAACTACGGATTCGACTGGCAAAACATGGGACTGGTCAATGCTTTCGAAGCACTCAATGCTCTCGCTACCAATTTGCCGGGTGTCCCATCGAGTTTACAATCGAAATTTGGTGCCGATCCTTATCGTATTCTCTACGCCGGTCACAGCATGGGTGGACACGGATGTTGGACTATCTCCACTCACTATCCAGATAGAGCACTCTCCGTTTCTCCAGCAGCCGGTTGGATTGACATGTCGGTTTACTCACCGTTTTTCCTAAAGCTTGGAAACAGTTGGACAGATCCTTTCGTTCGTTTCATTCTAGATGCATCGATCGGCGACTACAACAACGATATGTACATTGGAAATCTTGCCAACATTCCATTGCTCGCTAGATTCGGTTCGATCGATGACAACGTTCCACCATACCATTTGAGAAGAATGGTAAGACTATACGATGAAATCAATCACAACAGTTCCGCTGGTATCATTTCAGAGGTTCCGGGTGAAGGACATTGGTTTAACGGTGTCGTAGACGATGCATTCATGCAAGCTTTCTTCAATGCCCATGTCAATACCAACATTCCATCGCTAGCAACCACTTTTACCGTAACAACTTTGAACCCCGCCACCTCTGGACCAAAAGGTGGTATCAGTATCGTGCAATTCCTTCAGCCCTATAGAGTCGCAAAAATTAAAGTTACACAACAAACTTCGAGCAACTGGGTTCTAATCACTCAGAATGTTCGTCGTTTCGGATTCGATTCACATTTCGGTCAAAAGCCAACCACCGTTGTTATCGATGGCCAACAATTTAGTTATGCCGCACTGCCAAACAGTCACTACTGTCAATTGAATCCAGGTAAATGGCAGGTTTGCACCGATCAAAGCTGGCTCTTCTCTGAACGTAATCCTAGCAACTACGGTCCAGTCATTCAAATTCTTCAATCGCCTATCCTTTTCGTCTATGGAACGACCGGAGATAACAATCAAACCGCTCAGTATCTTCAAATGGCAACCTATCTCACCAATCTATTCTACTATCAGGAGCGTTATGCCATTGAGATTATGCCAGACACTGGCTTCACAGTTGATCTACTCAATACCTACAACGTCGTGTTGTTTGGAGGTCCAAGAACCAACAAGGTTTCCAGCAACTTCCAAAGTGTATTCCCAGTGAAGTTCTCGAGTGGTGCCACTCAGTCTTGGACCATTGGAACCAACACATTCAGTAGTCCACAATCGGCATTGCTATTCCTCTCGCCATGCACTCAGAAGAACAATCAATATCGTCAGGGTTGCATGATGGCTGTTCTCGATGGCACAGACAGTGTCGGTCTCAACAAGGCACTCACACTCTTCCCAACTAAATCATCGTTTGCCATGCCAGATTTCGCTGTTGCCGGTCCAACCTATGGATATAGTGGTAGTGCAGGTCTTCAAGCACTTGGATTTTGGAATAATTTCTGGCAATATGACATTACCAATAGCTATGTATCATATATTCAACATTAAAAAATCAAATAAATAAATAGATCTATTTCCCTAAACTATATGTATACAGCAAATGTAAAAAAAGTGCGATCATTATTAACATATTGCTTAGTAAATAAATTTGTTTACCTTTAATTCATAAAAATTCAATAAATATATATATAACTTTTGTTTATATAAATGTATGATATTCATTGTCATCATCATGATAGGGTTGGTATCTAGAAGAATGATGTTAACACTTCTAGAATAGAATAATAATGATTTTGAAAAATCAAAAAAATATGAAAATTCATAAAATTTTTTAATAGTTCATTGCATCTTAAAATTTTAATTTAATTTAATTAAGTTTAATGTTTAATAGAATACTATCAAATACAATGAAAGCAGTAAGAATTCATGCAACTGGTGGACCAAAACAATTGGTCTATGAAGATATTCCAGTGCCAACAGTTAAGCCAAACGAAGTTTTAGTTCAGAACGAATGTATCGGTGTCAACTTTATTGATACCTATCATAGAAGTGGATTGTACAAGTTGGAACTTCCTGCTATTCTCGGTCGTGAAGGTTCCGGTAAGGTTGTCGCTGTCGGTGAACAAGCTACCAATCTCAAGATCGGCGATAGAGTTACCTATTTCAGTCCAAACTCGTACGCACAATTCACATCTGTGCCACAACACAACATATACGTACTACCGGATGGAATCGACTATGAAACCGCTGCTGCTTACACTCTTCAAGGTCTAACCGCTCACTACTTGGTGCGATCGACCTTTGCTTTGAAATCGGGTGATACCTGTTTGATTCAAGCCGGTGCCGGTGGTCTCGGACAAGCTCTCATCCAAATGGCAAAGATCATTGGTGCACATGTCATCACCACCGTCTCGACACCAGAGAAAGAACAGCTGGTGCGTAATCTCGGTGCAGACTATGTCATTAACTATCGCGATGTTCCAGAGTTCAGCGGAAAGGTACGTGAACTCACCAATGGCAAGGGTGTAGATGTTGTCTACGACGGTGTCGGTGCTTCCACCTGGATGCAATCGTTGAAATCTCTTCGTCCACTTGGATATCTTTGTTTGGTCGGTAACGCTTCCGGACCGGTTCCACCCATCGATCCATTGCTCTTGAGTGCCAATGGCTCTGTATTCATCACACGTCCAACACTCGCTGACTACATTCGTCAATCGGGTGAAATGCAATCGCGTTGCAAAGAGATATTCCAATGGATTGCCGATGGCAAACTCAAACTTTCGTCAAAGACCTCCTACCCATTGGAAAGAGTTTCCGAAGCTCATGAAGCATTGGAAGGTCGTACTTCTATTGGCAAAAATTTTATTACAACCACCAAAATAAAAAAAAAAAAGTCAATTATTATTCAATTAATATAATTATTATTCCCCACATAATTAAAGTGTTGTTATATTTGGAGAAAAATTAAAAGATAAAGTTGTTGCGATTATATATTTATTTATTCAATCATTTATTTATCTTTATAGGTCTTATTAATACTCAAGTGTGGATCAGACTAGGAAATTCGACTAATGAGTTTATGTTGCCCAATGATATATTGAACATATCCGAATCTAAAAAGTTACACTCTCAAATTTTATTCGAGGCTTACACTCAAATTCTCAGAAGGGGCGGAAAGACCATCACATTGGTACCCAAGTTTACAATCAATCACCAATCATCGATAATAAATTACATTAGAAAATTTTATTTTTGTTTAGTAAATTGCTTTTGTACCTTATGATAATAAGCCATTTCATCTTCGCTTACTGAAGGTACCAATGCGTAGACTGCATCCAAAAAGTGTTGTTGAGCAACGATTACTTGTTGATTTTCATCTTCATCTTCATCGTCATAATTTATATTACTATTTTTGCCGTAGGTATTGCTTGCTGATGTTTGTTTTTTCTTTCTTTTCTCCTCCAGTTGATTAATCATATCTTTGATGGCGTTGGCCAAAGCATCTGAACAAAGCGCATAGAAATCCGATCCAGTTAAATTCATTTCACATCGCTCGACAACAGCGCGAAGATCAACATCCGAGTGTAGATGGAATTTTCGTGTCAGTGCCTGGACAATCCTGAGCTGTGAATCTTTGTCAGTACTGATTCCGAGGTAGAGTAAACGGTCGAGTCTGCCTGGAATGGTGAGTGCAGGATCCAGTAAATCGGGACGATTGGTTGCACCGATGATGAAAACATCCGAAGATTTTTGCATACCATCCAACTCGGCCAACAGCTGTGATACGACTCTATCCATGACACCACCACTGTCGGCGCCATTACCACGACTTGGCGCGAGCGAATCGAGCTCATCGAAAAAGATAACACATGGTTTGGCTTGACGTGCTTTGTTGAAAATATCACGAATATTCTTTTCACTCTCACCGATATACATGTTGATAAGCTCGGGTCCTTTGACGCTGAGGAAATTCAACGAACACTCGGTGGCAATCGCTTTGGCAAGCAAAGTCTTTCCTGTTCCCGGTGGACCATAGAATAGAATTCCGGATCTCTTTCCGATACCTGACGAGAATAAATGAGGATTTTCAAGTGGCAGTTGAATAGTATCCATAATTTCACTCTTTACACTGGCCAAACCTCCGACATCGTCCCACTTCACATTTGGAATCTTTGGTGCACCGAGTGACGATGATTGGTAACCTTGCATATCGGCTAGCGCATCCGAGATATCGTCATTGACTACACTGATACCACAATTACAAACTTCCTCTGGTGAGATCGTTCCAACATTGGATATCACTCTCTTCATTGCTTTCATACCGGATCGCTCCACCAAATTCTTTAGATTCAAGGGTAGAAAAGAAGCTGTTCTCATAGCAATATTCTTTAGTGAAACTGAATTATTGATAGGAATAGAATTGAACATATTCTTTAATAATCTCGATCTTTGAGATTCATCTGGTGCCTAAATAAATAAATAATAATAATATTGGTTAATTAACTTGTTGTTTAAAAATGACTATATGAATATATATAATTACATCTAATTCTATTTCATATTTAAACCAACTTCTAAGTTTTCCAGACATATCATCAGTTGATTTTACAGTTGCAGCAATTAAGAATGGATAATTGATTCTGTTTGATTTTGAAGAAGATGATGGTGATGATGATGCTGGTTGTTGTTGTTGTTGTTGATATGTAGTTTCCATCATTAACAATTTATCAGATATCGATTGTAATGTTTCTTTTAATATATTGGAAATATTTGATTCTATAATTATAGATAATAATATATTTAGTGTTAGTTATTTGAAAATTAATTTGTTTGTTTATTTGTTTGTTAGTTAGTTTCAATTTACCTTTTTTCTCATTCAATGTGGTTGAAGGTGATTGTTCTAATACTTCGAAATTAGAAAGAAGCAATAAGGAAGGTGTTGCTTCAGATGCTCTCTCTAATATTCTCTTGATGTTCAACTCTTTTTCCGCTTCGTTGAAACTGTAGAGTTGGTAGCAATCCACTTCAAAAAGATGCAATCCTAAATGATTGGATAGTTGGCGAAGAAGAGTTCTCTTGCCAACACCACTGGCACCTTTCAACAGCAATGTACATTTGAAATCGAATTCAAAAGAATGAAAGAATGGCAGTGTCAATTCAATCATCTTCTGAAACTCTTTCTCATAGGCAATGAAATCGTAACACTCTTGTTGCTGTTGATCTCCTCGTGAATGGAATGACTGGATATGAGCTGGTAGCAACGATTGTGACGATCCCTCTTGAATCATTGTACTCTTCTCTTTGTCGATGACAAACAACTGGTCGAATTCATCGGATGGCGTTGTAATTGCACCCGGAGACTGTAGTGATTCCACCTTGAAGAATATCAGTGGGTTGTCGATTGCATTGTTGCCAAAGTTCTCACCGGATTCCACGGCAAAGAGATCACCCTCCTTAAAGATACGCACTTGATCAAAGAACTGAATCAGCTGATTGGAATAGGTGGCATGTCCATCGGATGCACTGGATTTCACTCTTGAGATCTTGACCTGTGAAGCAGTGGGGAAAGCAACACCTTTCAACAACGATATCTCTGCATTGAAATTCGATGTTCTGGACATGATAATTGATTTCGGTTCATATCCCAAATTGAACAATGACAATGGTGATAAATACACATATCCATCTTCTAATTGTAAATCTGATTGTATTGAATCTGAATCATTATTATAATTGTTATTACTACTATTGTTGCTGTTGTTGTTCATTATTGAGAATATCTTTATAACTATATATTTATGATTGATAAGTGATTTTAGCTTGATGGTGGCACCGTGGAATAGACCATATTGCTTGAGTGTACTTAGTGTTACAATTGCATCGTAGAGGTAATCGTAGTTTGGATCGATTAGCGGTAGATATATATTGCTGGGAATTGTCTTTAGTTGTCTAATTTGAACTGTATTGTTTAAGAGAATTCTATTGGAGTTGGGTGTGAAATGGAATAGCGATGAGTTGATTTGTGAGGAGGAGATTACTGATGATGAGAATACTGAAGATGATGATGATGTAGTTGATGATTCAAGGTTGAGCGATGACGGTGATATCATTGATTGCGAGAGTGGATGAATGATAAAGTTGGACACTCTCAAGTTGGTATTGGAGAGATAGCTGCTACTGCTACTGCTGTTGCTGCTGTTGCTACTGGCTGCTGGCGACGATGGAGATGAACCGATCTCCAGCCTGTTTAGCTTGCGCTCGAGATTGAGTGCCGACTGCTGATCTGGACCGACAATAATAATCGTTGTATTCGATGAGATCGATCCCTGTAGCAGAGGATAACACTCCATGATCTCGAATGATACCGACTGATTGTTGTGACCGAGTGACAACCGAGCATCTTGATTAAATAGTATAGAATTGGATATTAAGTAATTCTTAAACATTTGATCTGCTTTATAGTTATTGTTATTCTTGTTATTACTATTATTGTTGTTGTTGTTGTTATGTTGATCTGCTGTTGTTATTACACTTTGGAATGATTGAAGATCGTTAGCAAGCAATACGACACGCTCCAATGCAACAGAACTAATTGAAACAGTCTTCAAATGAATGATATCATCTTTTTTGAAATTGAATCGTTTTGCATAGCTAGCTGAACAATAAGCTCTTGGTAATCTATTTGTTGTTGTTTTAGTGGGAGTAGCAGCTGTTGTTGATGTTGCTGTTGAAGCTACTCTAAAAGTAGATAATAACTCTTGTTTACCTGGTTGATAGCATAGATATTTCAATCTATCAACGTTGTAACTACTACCATCATTGATATTTGAATTTAAATATCTAAATTGATTGAATCTATCTAGTTTATATATAAATATGTAGTTTTTCTGATAAAGTTGATGTTGTTGTTGTTCATCACCAAGGCTATTAACATCTATTATAATATTAAAGAGAGTGTTATTACTATCTCTATCATTTCCATATCTGGCGATGTATTGTTCATCTGATAACAAAACTACTTGATACCATTCAAACATTCTTGTAACAAGTGTATAAAACCTTAATCAAAATGATGTTAAACTTCTTTTAAGATATGAACTTCTTGATTTTTTTTTTTTTTTTTCTAAATTTTATTTTTTTAAACAAACATTCATTAAGGTTGTTTTCCTCAACAACAAGTTAACAGAGTTATAAGAACTCATTTAAATAAAAATCATAGCATGTAAGCTTTGTAAAAAGCTCAATAAGATGATATCATATCACTTCTACTCATTTAGATACAGATTATTTTAAAATAAAACTTTAATAAAATTTTTTTTTAAATTTAATATTTATATTTATATTTCACTATAATATGATGCAAACAATAATTAGATAAACAAAGATAACATCAAAATAGAGTTGAATGTTAAATCAAGATTATGTTCATAAAATAGAATAGATTGCATGCAAACTTTAAGACCTAAGCCCTATAAAGGTAGATCCTGAACAAGACAGACTGATCTGATTTCGTAAGTTAGTTGAAAATTGGGAATAGGTCAAAAAAAAACAAGAACAAAGACTTTTAGTTCAATCCATCTAGATGTAAGCATTTACTTGAGTAAAATAAATTTGAATGTCTGATTTTGTTATGTTGTATTCCAAACTTTATAATAAAAAAAAGAAAATAAAAGAAAAGAAAATAAAATAAAATAAACGATCTTGAGTGAGGCTTGATCTCATTTTGTATGTACCCTTCAGAGAAATAGTGTTACATTCTAAAGTTTAAATAATGATCATCGATATCATAAATGGAAAAGAGTGTCTCATAAAATAAATTGTAGATCTCTTGTTCAGTGATTCAAATCATAAAAGATCACAGATAAACTAAAACTTGCATATAATGAGGACTGACAAGGCGATTACAGTGGTCATCGAAAGTTGAAATATGTCTAATTTTTTTGGGGGATCAAAAAGAAGTTTGTTTGGTTTTATGAATGATTTTACTCGCTCCAAACCATCAAAGTACATTTTTAATGTGTTCATTCAAAAAATGATCACTTTTTTTTATTTGCGGGTTATAATTTCAGTTTTAAAAAGTGTTTTTAGAGATCGTTTTTGCTTGGCTTTTGGGCAAAAAAATCCGATGTTTGCATTTGTAATGGAAAAAAATCTAGAACAAAAAAAAAAAGTTTACCAAAAAATTTCTAAACTTTTGAAAAGGTGTGGATTATGTCTCTTTGCGCACCACTTCAAAATGCAAAAACCATCTCCCCGAATAAAAAAAATGTTGATGATCAGATCATCAAACCAACACTTTCAATCCAATTGGTCAAAAATTAACAAAACCTTGAAACGATTCTAAAATAAAAAGTTGTTTCTATTTATATTTTAATAATTAGTCGATTTAGAGGATTTCGCTTAATGGGTTTGTGGTGTTCTGTTGTCAAATCAAAACTTACTAACAGGTGTCTCACATTTATTTTTGTTTTTGCTAATTGATCTACTCAAAATATCGACAGTTTTCAAGGTTTTGTAGTGGGTGAGCCATCCAATGAACTTTAATGTATCCGGGATTGATTTTGCAAAAAATACTTTGTTTGTTTTTTAGTTTAGATGTTTACGACATCAAACCTATTTTATCATGTCTTTTTTCTAGCAAACAAAAGAAAAAAAACAATCCTAATTTTAACCTGAAGGTGATTCTTGTTTTGTTAACAAACATACCATTTTTACTTTCATTTTTCTTTACTTGACCAAACCAATCATTCATCTTTATAATATTTATTTGTATAATTACTGTTCTTTATTTTCAACTTCTTTTTCTTATCTCTTCTTCCTATCTGTGATCACTTCACACATTCTACTCTTTTGATAATTGTTGTCTCCAACAACATCATCATCACCAACAATGTCTGTACACTCAAAGAAGTATTCAAGTACATCAGGTGATTCCACAGGATCACTTGGTAAGATTTTGAATTTTTCAAAGTCAATAGAAAAGGGTAAATAATCATATCTATAGGTTTCTTATTATTCATGAAAAATTAATTTTCTTTTTTTTTCAATAATCAGGTGCTTTCGGAGTATTATATACAATGACAAAAGGAAATACATTCCCACGTATTTTAACAATTATAAGTCTTATTATTGAATTCATTCGTAAGTATTAAATATCATGTTTTATGATTTTCTAAAGAATGGTCATAAATTCATCAAACTGGAATTTCATACCTATGCCCCCATTACTTTTAATTAATTAACATAAAAAAAAAATCACAACCAAAAAAAAAAAACCACTAAAACACCTTTTCAAATCTCCAATCATAACATCAATTTTAGAATTAGTATCGTTTGGTTTCAAAAAGTTCTTTCCATGGGGTGGCGATGTAGGACAGTATGTAGTAATTTAATTCTCACAAAATTAAATAATGTTATTGATCACTAACTAATTGTTTTACTTTATTTACTTGAAATTTGAAATGATGATAGTTATCTTCGTTTAATTATATCACCTATTTCACATCCGTCCGTAGAATTGTCATATGACAGCTATACTATCCTTTTTTGGATAGCTATAGGTCTGATGACTCTTGGATTTATCAATATCTGGTATATTGCATATGAGTTTTATCGTGGAAAGATTGCAAACCTGTGGTTCATCAGATCGATTCGTTGGTTCGTGTCGTTCTCGGTCGCAGTGCTTTATATTCCTATTATCTCATTGTTTTTGATGGGTTTGGATTGTAAGTCTGGCGAGTTGGATCGTTTCTCTGGTGTACTTTGCTATGGCAATCAGAATATATCGATTACCATCTTCTCGATCATCTATATTATACTGTTCACATTGGTGGCATTCAGCAGTTCTGTTACCTACTATGAGTTTGATAGTAATATTAAAGATAGATTCTCAAAGTCACATGCTCGTGTAAGTTGTTAATTAAATATTATTTAAAAAGCAAACCAAAATTATAATTATATTAACAAAAAAGAATAATAATAATTATTATAGTTTGATATTACAGTACTTTTGGTAAAGACTATTTTTGCATTCTTTTATGAACTTCTGACAGATTATCCATGGTTATTGGCAATTGTTTATTTCATTGGTATGATATGGTGTGTCGGTGGTTCAATTGTATTTATGCCATATTCAAATCAAAGATTGAATCATATTGTAAGTTTAACATGAAAGTTTTCAATCAAATTGTTAGTAATCTATAAAAAGTCGTTTTCTAACCAATTTTATTTTTAAAATAGAAATCTGGATTCTATTCTTCTGTATTATGGATAAGTTTATGTACAATCATTACCTTAATAGTCAATGATAAAACATCTCCTGCAACATGTTATCTTGTTATTGTTGGTGTGATTCCTGCATTTTTTGCTGGTTATTTTGGTTGCAGTAAGTTGCTTTACTCTTTTTATTATTTTTTTTAATTATAATTAGTTGTTCTAATTTGTTCATAATTCTCTTTTTTATCTTTATAGGAATGTTTTATTTATATATAACATCACAAGTAAAAAATTTAATGTATAAGGAAGGTTCACCAAATCAATCTGATAGATCATTGGGAAATATTAATAATGCTAGTGCAGCCACTGGAAACAATAGAGTTGTCAAATTCGAAGAGCACCAATTGGGTTCAAGACACCAAATTAAATTCCCATTCTTTGAGAAGAAGATTACGTTTGCATTCTTTGTTGAGATTATGGCTCGTCACATTTTGAGAAAGCAAGATCAAGAATCGATTGACCGTGCCAACTACCTCTTCCAAGCCGGACTTCAATACTACCCGGATTCTTCTTTGGTCTGGATGGCATATGCCAACTTTTTGTTCAGTGTAAGAAAGGATCGTCACATCGGATATGCAGCTCTCGAGAAACTCAGACGTATGAATCCACCGTTCGACATTAGATTCTTTATTTTCCGTCACGACAAGGAACGTGAGCAACTGATGGATTCCGAGCTGAGAGGACCGGAGTCTGGAAAAATCCAAGACTTTGTTTCGTACATGGAATTCAAGAAGCTTTATATGGGTGCCAGAAAATATCACTATGCATGCCTGAATTATGTTCGTCGTTTCTGGCGTCATCTTCTCCACGAAACCGTTGACCTACAACGACTGAGCCAACTCTCTGGAAAGATCGCCGACACCGAAACCAAAGCCACCGACCAATATGAAAGACTATTGAGTTTAAATCCATCTTCTGTTAGAGTTATCAGAGACTATGCCCAGTTTATTGAGGAGATTGTCAAGGATAAGGATCGTGCTGTACGTCTCAGAAGAAAAGCCGATCAAATAGAAGACAAGATGAGTAAGAGCATCTCAACGGAGCATATCAAAGTGTTGTCAATCGATCATGAAGAGGATGACGATGACGTTAACCATGTACCCATTCTCGATGCCGATGGAATACCAATGGAGCGTTTGGACATTGATGATCCAATGGCAAGCGCATCGAAGGAGGAGTCGTCACACCACTCGGAAACAAACTCCTCAGAGTCCAGCAGAAAGGGTCATAGATACGAAGCATTCCAACAGTCAAATTCCATTAACAAACTCTCTTGGCTCATGATTGGTACAACAGTGCTATGTATTATATTTACTATTATCTGTTTGGTAGTTCTCAGAAATCAAATGGTCAACCAACGTAATTCATTTGGTGATATTCTCTCACTTGGAGAAGCTGCCATCGAATCCAATAACATTGCATCCAATTTTAACAATATGCAACAATATGCTATCACTTATGTAATCCAAAAGAACATGGAGGATAACAATGGAACAGGTGGCTGGACCGGAGGATCGACTGGACGTCCAACAACTGGAACTGGATCACAAACCACTGGAACTGGATCTCCAACAACCGGAACTGGATCACCGACCACTGGAACTGGATCGCCAACAACTGGAACTGGATCACCAACAACTGGAACTGGATCACCGACCACTGGAACCGGTTCTTCAACCACTGGCACATCAACAACTGGATCCGCAACAACTGATCAAACTACTACTACCACTACTACATCTACCACGGATCCGACAACTACCACTACTACATCAACTACAGATCCTACTTTAACCGCTGGTAATATTCTCTTTGAATCTTTATTGGCAACTTCAAACTCGACTACAGGAACTGGATCACCGACAACTGGATCGGCGACAACTGGCTCAGGTAGTACAACTGGTAGACCAGGTGGTAATGGAGGTGGTGGAGGTGGTGGAGGTGGTGGAAGAGGTCGATGGAATGGACCTGGAGGTTTCGGTGGTCTTAATATCACTTCTGCCCAAGCACTTGCCAATTTCACAATGTTGGTTCAGAGCACTCAGAGATCATTGAACATATTGGAGAATATCCATCGTGCAGTCTATTGGGGTGAAACATCCACAAGCGCATATGTATCCGACAAGATGGCTCAAATCAAACGTGAAAGTGGCCTTTCCAACATCTATGATATTGGTGATGTTCTATTTACTTTTGGTCAATTCAACAAGACCAGACCTGCCAACGACGACATCCTAGCAGATCTCTACGAAGAACCATCCGTTGTTCTTTCCTTATTTTTATCAATTGGAAATAACAATCAGCAATTCCAACCTGGAAATTGGGGTAATAGAAATAATTCCTGGAATGGCGGTAATGGTGGTAATGGTACTACTGGTGGTGGTAATGGTGGTAGAAACAATACCGAAGGTTATTTATCATGGAAGAATTCAACTACCAGTCAAATCTACAATTCCTGGAAAGGTGGAAATCTTTTTGTTGACAATGGACGTGCTATGTTGGGTGCCGAGGGAAACATTACATTGTTTGGTTATACCGCCTATTACAATCCTTACTTTAGATTCGTTTCCGACAATGGACCAAAAGGTATCTCGCAAATGTTCTTTGACCTACAAGAAGCCTATATTGTCACCATGCAAAACAAAGCAGATAATCTATCGCTGGACATTATTTATTTCTGGTTGGCCATATTTGTATTGCTCATTCTCATTGGTGTGCTATTCTTCCGACCGATCGTATCGAGAATCTCGCGAGAGAAAATCCGTACACTCATTCTCTTTTCACTGGCACCAAGAGATCTCGTTTTGAAAATGTCAAAACAAAAGATTAAAATGTTAAATTTGGACAGTGGAAGCGATAGAGATTTAATGTTTGATACCGATGAAGAGACTGCCATCATCAATAATACACTACGCAATGAAGATAATAACAACAACAACAATAACAATAATAATAATGAAAATGATGAAGACGTACAAACAACATCGTCAAGTTCACCAAGAAAAGGTGATTCCATTGAAATTTCAAAGCACTCCATTCTTTTGGCAACCGGTAGAAAAGATTCCATCGCCACATCCAAAGATGATATCAAACCATTGATTCATCAATCGACAGGTAATCTAAAGAAGTCTAACCTTTCCAAAGAGTATATCGCTCCCGAACCAAAAGAACAACGTGACACCGAGATTGATGTAGCCGCAACATGGGATGGTCAAAACAAGCGGAATATCAATAAGAAAACAATTAGATCAGTGTTAAAGAGACTGCATATATCCTATGCAGTAGCTCTATTCTTATTGTTTGGATTCATCACCATGGGATTGTTTATTTCCTTCGATAGAATCTTTGTGGACTATGACTCTGGAAGTTTTGTTGCCAGAAATTCAAAGCGTGCGGTCGATGCCCGTATTTTGAATTCTTTGGTCACCAGAATTCTATCGCCAAGATTGATGAATGACGGTACTGGCGAATGGATGGCAAATGTCACTGAGGAATTCCAATTCAATCACCAGTCACTCCCAGATATTCCAGCGACCCGATCGCTCATGGACGGTGCCGAAGATGATAGCTACACCTGTTGGATGGTCAATACCAGTCAGTGTCGTCCAGCTACCGATCCTTACTACTCAGAGGTTGTGCGTGGACTGGACTGGATCGTCGATACATTCATTATGCATTCACTCTCGCTGCAGAACACTCAGGCCAACCAGATACAGTCGAACAACACCGACATTATTTGGCTCAACGAGATCGGAAAGAAAGAGTTGCTCGATGGACTGGACAGGGCGTCGTTCCTCTACTTCCAATACTGGCAAGATATCCAGCAAACTGCAATCAATGTAATTACCGCTGTGATGGCAGTGACCGCTGTCATTCTCCTATTGATCTATCTCTTTGTGTTCAGACCATTCATAAACAGACTACGTGTCCAGCATATTCATACGATGGCTATGCTAAGACTGGCACCCGAAGCCATTCAAAACATGGAAATCAGTGATAAAATTATTGATGAGTAGTCAATTCTTTTATTCATTTAAATCTTTAATATCATTATAATATATTTAAATCAAATATATATTAAAATTAAAATAAATCCTATTATCAGAGTTACGAATATTTTTACAATTAATTAAAACCTAGTACTTTTGACTAAAACTATTAATAATAACTTAAGATTGTGAAGATTATATTATAGAAGTTATTTTAAACAGAATGTTCTATTTGGTTGAACCAAATTTCAGCTCAATCCACTTGGATACCTTGTCACAAGCAAATCTGAAAATAGTCTTTTAATGTTGTCTCGTGATAACCCTTAGCCTTCATTTTAATGTTCGATCTGTAGGTATGATCACAAAGTTAGAGTTTTTCTTATTCAAACTAATGTTTTAATCCCTTTGGTTTATCAAATTCAAAAAAATGTAAAGAGATTAAAGTAGCCGATAACAATGAAGCAACCCCATTCTTTCCACCATCACCCTCAAGCCTTCAATTGTCTGAGCAATTCCGTTTTGAAGCTGCATGGATCAAAAGTATCCACACTTCAATTAGAGTGTGGAAAGATGAAGGAATAGCATTCTTCTGGACCTGTATTGGTGGAAAGATTAAACTACCAGGAGAAGCCAATGACTATGCAGGATATACTTTAGTATGCTTCTGGCTCGATAACAAGAGCAGAATTCAACAATCTAGCTTACAAAATCTACCATTCCCTGCACCAGCTCAACCAATTAACACCAGACAATTATAAATTCGAAATAAATAAATCAAGAATTTTTCATCATCATCATACCTATTTATTTTTTCGTAAAAATATTCCTATTCTTTAAAAAAAAGGGCATGCAGAATCTGGTGACCCCCACCAAAAACAAAAGTTCAACAAATTATCACAAAAAATTTACATGTAATTGTGCAAGCTATCTTTTCTAAATGAGAAGATATTTGTTTACATATATTTAATTCAAAGAACCAAGAATATAAAATAAATAAATTAAAACATCATTTTTTCTAACTATAAAATCATGTAAAGACATTGTTAAGATCATTTCAAAAATAAACTAACAAGTTAAACAAAGAAATAAAAATGGGAGCACCAGGTAATTAATTGTTCTAAACAAAAAAAAAATGTATATGTTTCTTTAAAAAGTCTAAACTAATCTTTTATAATAATGTAGGAGCATTACCACCAACCGATATTATTGATAGACCAATTGAAAACTATTATGAAACAGTTCATTTTGTTAAGTTTCATACCCAAGATTGCATGCCAAATCATTTTAGATTAGTTTTGGCAGTGGAAAAAGGTTCTTGGTCAAGGTAATTTCAATATAAAATTAAAACAAAAACAAATATTTTAAAGATTTTAATTAATATCTTTAATATAGAGCTATTAGAGTTTGTGAATCTTCACAAAATGGTACTGCACCATGGAAAGAGATTAAAGTAGCCGGTAACAATGAAGCAACCCCATTCTTTCCACCATCACCATCAAGCCTTCAATGGTCTGAGCAATTCCGTTTTGAAGCTGCATGGATCAACATGAGCAACTACTCCACACTTCAATTGGAGTGCTGGAAAGATGAAGGAGTACCATTCTTCTGGACCTGTATTGGTGGAAAGAAGATTAAACTTCCAGGTGAAGTCAATAGCTACGCAGGACATACTTTAGTATGCTTCTGGCTCGATGACAACAGCAGAATTGAACAATCTAATTTAAAAAATGTACCATACCCAGCACCAGCTCAACTAATTAACACCAGACCATTGTAAATTAATTCTTATTTAATAAACCAGAATTTTATTGTCATCCTCTATATATGTTCATAAATTTAATTATGACTATTTTGTTTTAAATGATTAGAGTTTGATGATCGTAGTTTGGTGGGTGAAGATCAACAATTTAGTGGAATTCGTCAAAAAAAATTCTAAATTATTTCAACCAAAAATGTAAATGAATAATTTAGATTGTCAAATTATCAAGCGATCTATTATATTTATAGATAAAAGAAAATGAAATTTAAAATAGATGAGCTTGATGTTTACTTTCCCTATGCATATATATATCCTGAGCAATACAACTACATGGTTGCTTTGAAGAAAGCATTAGATGCTGGTGTAAGATATTATTAAGAAACTTTGAAATACATTGATAACATATATGTACCTACTTACCTATCAATACAATATCAATTACGCTACATATCTTATCTATCTATCTATCTATTTATTTATTTAGGGACCATGTATGTTGGAGATGCCTTCGGGTACTGGAAAGACAGTGTCGTTGCTGTCGCTGATCTCTTCGTATCAGGTGGTGCATCCCACTGCCAAGTTGATCTATTGCTCGAGAACGGTACCAGAGATTGAACAAGCCATGGAAGAGGCAAGACGTGTCCTCACCTACAGAAATGCAGAACTCGGTGAGAGTGCACCAAAGACGCTTGCTCTTGCGATGACCAGTCGTCGTAATCTCTGTGTGCATCCAAGAGTGTCGGACGAGCGTGACGGCAAGGTGGTTGACGCGATGTGTCATGCACTGACGGCGCCGTGGGCACGCGAGAATCCCAGTGCAGAGAAGTGTCAGTTTTTCGAAAACTTTGAAGCGCAAGGCAAAGAGATCTTTCTCGAGGGTGTCTATTCAATTGAGGATCTCAAGGAGTTTGGTATCAAAAACAAGCAGTGTCCTTACTTCTTGGCGAGACATCTCATCAACTTTGCAAACATAGTCATATTCAGTTATCAATACATGTTGGATCCAAAGATATCTTCGTTGGTCTCATCGCAATTCGCTAGCAACTCTATCGTAGTCTTTGACGAAGCGCATAACATCGATAACGTCTGCATCAATGCACTAAGTATCAACATTGACAATCAAACCATTGAAAATGCAACAAAGAATCTAACTAAAATTAATAATGGTATTGAAAAGTATGTAGATCTATATCTATCTATCTATCTATCTATATGAATATATATTTTATCAGTTTGTTGTACAGCTAAACTAACAAACAAATAAACAACTTAGTTTGAAAAAGGTTGATGCTGAAAGATTGAAGAATGAATATGTAAAGTTGGTTCAAGGATTGGCGAGATCAGGTGATACTATGTCAGCAGATCCACTGCTGCCTAACGAAGTTATTAATGAAGTGGTACCCGGTAACATTAGAAAGGCAGAACACTTTGTGTCGGTGTTGAGAAGATTTATCGATTATCTTCGAAGTAGATTGCGTACACAGATGGTAGTTTCAGAGTCACCATTGTCATTCCTACGTTCGTTGTCACAACTAACGACAATCTCTGCTAAAACACTGAGATTCTGCTCGTCGCGTCTCAGTTCACTTCTGAGAACTCTACAGATATCGGATCTCAATCAGTTCTCGTCGATTTCGGTTATCGCCGACTTTGCTACGTTGGTCGGTACCTATGGCAATGGATTCATCATCATCATCGAACCATACGATCAGAAAACACCTAATCAATACGATCCTATCTTTCAATTCTGCTGTCTCGATGCTTCGATCGGTATGAAACCAATCTTTGACAAGTACAAATCGGTCATTATCACCTCTGGTACACTGTCGCCAATCGATATCTACCAAAAGATTCTCAACTTTAGACCATCGCTAGTTGAACAACTATCAATGAGTTTACATAGAAGTTGTATTTGTCCATGTGTAAGTAATACATACAAACATACATACATACATACACAACATACATCTTTATAACTTCTACTAAAACATTGTTTATTTACTACTATCAATTAGATATTAACAAGAGGAAGTGATCAAATTTCGGTTAGCACAAAGTTTGATGTTAGAGCGGATACAGCTGTTATTAGAAACTATGGTGCGTTGCTTGTGGAGATGTCAGCGATTGTACCGGATGGAATCATATGTTTCTTTACATCCTATAGCTATATGGAGCAGATCGTATCGGTTTGGAATGAAATGGGTCTGCTCAACAATATTTTGAATAACAAATTGATATTCGTAGAGACCTCCGACGCTGCAGAGTCTGCTCTGGCACTGCAGAACTACAAGAAGGCATGTGACAGTGGTAGAGGTGCTGTTCTACTCTCGGTGGCGCGTGGTAAGGTGTCTGAGGGTATCGATTTCGACAATCAATACGGTCGTTGCGTTATTCTCTACGGTATACCCTATATCAACACTGAGAGTCGCGTACTACGTGCACGTCTCGAGTATCAACGTGACAAGTATCAAATCAAAGAAAATGAATTCCTGACGTTCGACGCAATGAGAACAGCTTCTCAATGTGTAGGTAGAGTTATACGTGGTAAATCAGATTATGGTATAATGATATTTGCTGATAAAGTATGTATATAGATAATAATCAATATTTTATAATACTACATTTAACTAACTTTATTATTATTAATAATCATAATAACAGAGATATAATAGACTTGATAAGAGAAATAAACTACCACAGTGGATATTACAGTTTTGTCAACCTCAACACCTTAATCTTTCGACTGATATGGCTGTTGCTTTGAGTAGAGCATTCTTAAAAGATATGGCACAACCTTATTCAAGAGTATGTATAAGAATATTATATTTATTTATAAATAATAAAAAACGATAACTTAACACGCTGACTATCAATCACAGGAAGAACAACTTGGCAAATCTTTATGGAATCTCCAAAATCTAGAAAAACATCAAGAAAAGATTGCAAACACAACAAATACAACTTCACCAACAACTCTTTTACTTGGTAATGGTCATGCCAATGGTAATGGTAATGGTAATCTCAATGGCACAACGACAACTACAACAAATACACAACTTCCTAAATGATAACAACATACATATATGAAGATGTAATCTCAGATGATAATAATAATAATAAGAGAACTAACAATAGTTAGTAGTAGTAGAGGTTGTGGTTAGATGAATAGATATCTATCAATTCTTTGCTATGTGATGCAGAATGTAATTAATTAAGTTATTAGGTTCTACACGTGTGTGTATAACAAAAACGAATCAAACAAGCAAACAACAACTTTGAAAATAAAAAAACAAAAAAAAAAATGTAATACATGTGTGTGTTGTGTAATTATATGTAATTAATTAAGTTAGGTTAAGTTGGTTTGAAATGAATTTAATATATCAAAAAAGTATTGGTAGTGGTTTATATAAACATTGGTATCGGGTGATTACAACAACAAACAAATTCAACACATCTTTAAAGTAGTCGTGAAATGTCCTTTTATGAGTGGTCGGTGGTATTCTCTGATACAGGGGGAAAAGCAATTGTACCTCCCCAGACAGATCAACTACCAAAAACGTGTATTGATCGAAAACCCATATTCCAATTAATCTCGAATCTAAAATCTAAAATCTCGTCTCTCTTTCAAAAAAGAACTTAGAAATTTCCCCAGAGTCCAACAGAGAACAAAAATAATCGTTTATCAACAGTACCATCCTCACTGTGTAACCTCTTAAACTTTAAAAAAAAAAAAAAAAATTATATCCTGTTCCACAAAAAAAAAAAACAACTAAAACAAACACAAAACGACTTGGGATATTTAGCATTTTCATGAAAAAATTGCAAAACTTTATTGAAGCAAATTATTTGAAATTTTGAAAAACTATTGTATGATATCGCCCATCTTTTTTGATTGAAATTTCAGGGTGATTATTTTTCAGTATTAACCATCAAATTGTGGGGGTTGAATTTATTTTTAAAACTAATCATGTGTGAAAGTTTATTGTGGTGGGCACAGGCATTTTAAAACTGAAAATTCAATGATAAATTACACAAGAAAGAAAATATCTTTTGGATTTGTGGTTTGGCAAAGAAAAACAAAAAAAAAACCAACAATATGCTTGTAAAGTTATTTTTTATGCCTTCTCACTTTAAAAGTCTAACTGCTAATTATTTATTTAAAAAAATTTGAGGTTGTTTTGGTGTTTGGATTTTTTGAAATAATAAAATTTAATTTTTAATATTATTTTTTGAATTTACATGCCCAATACCCATTAGCATCGACAACATTTAATGTTTTAAAATACAAATATAATTAGTTACCAACAAGTTAGAGAACATAATAAATAATTTTTTTTTTATTTTTTATTTTACTGTTTTGTTTTCATACTCATTTCATATTTTGTTTCCAACAACAAATCAAAATCCATCCAATTATTAAATTGTTTATATTAATTATAAGATATTGTACTACTATTAAGATTTTTTCTTGTCAAAAAGAAAAGTTCACTTCCATATTTATTTATTTATTAATATCATAATATATTCTTGTAAATACTACCAAAATCAACAACAAAGCTTAACCACAATTAAAAATGAAGATTTCATCTAAAATCGCCATTGGTATTTTATCAACCGCCTTATTTGTAGGTATCTCCTAAAACCAAAAATAAACAAAGATATTTATTTGGAAACTAACAACTTTTTACAATTATTTTTAACTATAGGCATTTGGAGTTACACAAATTGCAGTTTGTTGGGCATATAAAAATGTAAAGACTGAACACTCATGGGCTTACTACGCTAATGGTATCTGTTGTTTGTTCACTGGTGTCGTCGGAATGCTCTCCACAATCTTTAGACGTGAGAAGCTCACTCAACTCTTCTTTATAATGGCTGTCTTGACCACTTTGGAAGCATTCATTGTTTTCATTATCTACTCAAAGTTCTTACCACGTTACATCAAAAACAGTTGTGGTGGTACCTCGATCTACAGTGAATACTGCAGTGGAATCAGACAATATCTCGCTGTTTCAACTACTTTATTCTGGTCATTCATCATCTTTTTACTTGTATGTATTAATCAATAATCAATAACAATATCAAGAATTAACATTTTAACAAATTCACTAACAATATTTCCTTTTTTGAACCTTTTTTTTTTTTTTTTTTTTTTATAAAACAAAAACAGCCAACCACATCAGTTGCATCATGGAAATACACTGTAGCAACAATGAAGGGTAATGATGATGGTATCGAATTGGAAAAGAGATTACCATAAATAAATAATCTCTTTTAATAAATAAATAAATAAAACAAAATAAAATAAATCATATATACATAAAATTAAAAAATAAAATATGTACATATATGTGAATATAATAATCATTTAGTTATTTAATCAAAAAAATAATCAATGATATTCATAATTCATAAACAATAATAATCGGGAAGGGTTTGTTCATCCACCCTAAAATAAAAAATATCTTTTAAGATGAAAGTTCGTGGCTTTTTAAAATGATGTTTTTATTTTATTTTTTTGACAAAAATCATCAGCAAAAATATCTTTTATTTTTTGATTTTTTATTTTTTAACAAGGGAGTTAATTTTTTTGCCACCTTACGATCAAAAAAAAATCAAAAAACAAAATTTTTTTTTACTATTTTTTTATTGATTGATTTGCATTATTGTGTAGATAGTAATAGTATTTTTTATATATCTTAGATATTAGTTAGACTGTTGGTAACAACAATTAAATATATTAAAACTAGAACTTTGTAATTGTCATTATAACTAAAAACAAGAGTTCTATTTTTATATATTTATACTCTTTTCACTACACATCTAAAAATTAAAAACAACTATCAAATCAAATCATAACAACACACACCCATCCACTCACTCACTCACTATCATCTTTGATTTTATCAAACATCAAAGCACTTACAACTAACTAACTTAACTCCACCTTTTTTTTGTTATTTCACTATTTTTTTCTTTTTATATTTTGTCGTGTTAATATTAATATTTTTTAGATTTTGTATAATTATCTTTTCATCATCATTCATATTATTGAAATTAATAGTTCGATAATATCTTTGTTTTCTTTTCATTTTTTTTTCCTTTATATTTACGAAATTCAATACACATTCTTTATACATTTGTTGTTTTATTAGATCACATACTTTCATCAGAACAAAAAAAAAAAAACAAACCTTTAAAAAAAAAAACTCATAAAAAATTGAATTTCAATCATGTCCGAACCAAAAACAGCAACTCACAGACGTATTGGTGGATTGAACTCCAGAACCAAATCGGTTTCAGTATTCAATGTCCAATTCGAAGGTGGTCCTCAATTGAAAACAACTCGTAAGTTTGAATCAAAATTTATTTGATTTGAAATCAACAGCATCATTTCTAACACAACGAAATACATAAACATCTACTATAATGATAATTATCATCATCATCATCATCAAATAATAATAAACATATAGAACAAAAGAGTTATTCAATTCCAGCAAAGAAACCAGAGGATTTTACATCAAAGTTAAAGGCACGAACAGCAGGTGAACCAGTTTTTATGGCACCGGATGGAACTTTCTACGATATCAATTATGTTCAGGCATTCAAATACAAACAGCCAGAGAAGCAGCCAAATGGAAACAGTCATCAAAATGGAAATCAACTACTGGAGGAAGACGACGAGGAAGAGTCATTGGAAGACCAACTTCTCCATCTCTACAACAGTATTCCACAGATCGATGAATTCGAGAATTTCTTTGAGTACGAGCAGGCTTTCCTCAGCTGGCGTTTCGCCATCGAGACGTTGTTTGCCGATATTAGACTGCCGATGATATCGGGACGTGCTTTGTATCGTCCAAAGGTGAGTGACTACCAAAAGGTACGTGACACATCCACCTTTGACTACCGTCCATCGATGTCGTCCTTCTCGAACGAGGGTGACTCTGACGAGAAGAGCGATCCACTCAACAGCGAGATCGAAGACGACATCAACGGGCTGACCGATTCACTCGACTACGATAACATCAATCTCAAAGACCTGGAGAATTCCAACGATCCATGGGATACTCATCTCTATCCAGAGGAACCGGAACCAGCTGATTACGATACATTCGAAGGTAAGCTAATTAATTAGTCAATTCAGTTTGAACAATCATTTCCAATTCTAATTTTAATTCAATATTTTATCTTCTTTTTATTTTTTTCAGAGTATAATGAAGCATTGTTGAGATGGGCATCGGTTTGTGTTACATCACCATTCTTCCCTCCACATCCAGCACAACTAAAGGATCTCATTCCAATTCAATCGATCACTGAAAGATCTTCAAATCTTGTAGATGAACAATCTGGAAACATGAATGAAAGTGGAAAGAACGATCAACTTTCAAAACAAACCATTCCAATTAAATCTGGTATTAAAGAATATAACTTTATTGATGTAAGCAGCTAAAAAGATAGATAGATAGATATAGATCATGACATATATTAACATTACTTTACTTTCTCAGGATTCAAGATTCTTGAAACAATCAAAACAAGTTTATCATTATACAGATTTAGTATTCAGTAAGGATCCAATTTATAATTCGCTGAATGAAACTACCAAGAAGAGTATTAGATTGAATTTGAGTACTATCACTCTGAAGATTTTCACTGGAACAATCAATCCACAGATCTTCTATCACAAGTCACCACAGCCAATGCCAAAGATCCACGGTACTCTACCGCAACCGAGAACCTCGTTGTTAAAACCAACCAAGGAGTTCAAGAATCCACATTTACGTCGTACCGATTTGACACCGGACCAGCTCAAAGCATGCCAAGACTCACCCGCTAAAGTTGGTGGACAAACCGTTCAGTTCAACATACCGGGACACGACATTGTTTTTGACCACGCGCGTCTTGCCAACGACCACACTCAACAATATGCCTCGGAGTTGGCGTTGAAGTTGAAGACATTCATCTCGACCGGTCGTCTCAACCATTTGTGCTCGTGGTACTACCCGATGGTGTCGCAATCCACTCACCAGAAACACCGTGACGACATCGACTTGATTATCACCTCGCAGCACCGTCTCACTCGTGATACACTCACCATTGAATCGATCTCAGAGATTCTCAACGTCGGAATGTACTACGATAAGTTCTCCGACTTGATCGACGCCTCCTACTCTGAGGATTTCGACGGCGCCAAGACCTACGCCAATATCATCACCAAGTGTATCACCAGTGAGAATGTCGGACTGCTTTTGAACCAGTTGGAGAACACCAAGAGCCAGTTGTATCACGCCAAGATGTCGGCACTGGTTCTCACCATGTTTGCAAGCAACCAGGGTGCACCGATTCTTTCACACCTCATTGCGACCAACGATGTCCGTAACCTCTCACTCTTTGCCTACACCATCGACTATCTCTCTGAGTTGCCAGCCGATCTCTTCCCATGGAGCGATGAAACCTACACCATTATCCGTTCAACGCTAGGTGACTCACTTGAATCGATCTTCAAACTCACCTTTAGTTACTACTACCTCAACATCATCGGTAAGGTTTTGGATCTTCATGTACATTTATATTTTGCCAAATCGATCATCAATCAATCCAAAGTAGTAAGTAGTAAAACAATACAAAACTACATTATTATTATCAACATCACTAATTTGTAATTTAGTCAATTTCACATAGTTTGGCAAATTTGTTACAAAACAATACACCAAATATTTTGGATAAATTGTTCATTGGTATTAAACATAGAAGTACAACGGTATCATCGTTTTGTTTGTTTGTTTTGTTGCAGTTGATGAATAACAATGAGGGTATGGCAATTCACAACTGTTTGAAGTCAGAGTCTGCATTCTTCTTTGACCGTATCAAGCGTGTTTGTGATACACGTATGAAGCATGTGCAGTTCGCAGCACGTCGTCTCTACTCTGTGCTCACCAAGACACAGTGGATCGACTTTGTCTATAAGGAGTACACCAAGGATCCAGAGACAGCGGTGCGTGACTTTATCGGCACCGAAGAACACCGTCCAAGTAGCCTGCTTCTCGAGCTAACACTCGACTTTTTCCAGATGGCAATTCGTGCGACCATCGATGCCACCAACGCATCGCTGCCCATCTCAAACACCGCCGTCAACATTGCGACATCGCCATCGACACCCACTGTCACCTCACCGATTGGATCGCCAAGCATCGCCTCGTCGCCAGCTGCATCTCTCACACTTGGCATTCGTAACAAATTCCTCTTTGTGCTGGACGGCATGCTCTTCCACACTCTCTTCCACTTTATCATCAAGAATCCACGTTTGATTACCGTGCAAACCTCTACGATCACTCAGATGCTCGCTCAACTCGCGCATATCCACTGCAAGCTTGGCACCGTCCAAACAAGCCAGGAAGTCAAACCAATGCAAAAGCGTTGGGGACAATCGCAACTCTCATTGTCACCGATCGACATCCGTAATCTCTCCAGTAGAATCAACGATTTCTCGCAACCGTCCAATCCAAACTCCTTTGTGATTCGTACGAATCTCGTGCGTTGCATCCGTCATCTCTTCAAGATCTCGGCGGTCTACGAGATCATCCGTAAGGAGGAAGACTTCTACACTCGTCTTCTCGGTTACTGTCGTGACGGTACTTCCGCCGAGTTCAACCGCGAAGCCTGGAAACTGTTGTACCAGATGACAAAGAATCACGGTGGTACTCTCGAGACGCTCTCCAAAGACAACATCCTACAGAGTTTCATGGAGTTGGTCGGTACTTCGTCGCACTCCACCGTTATCACCAACGGACTGCACTACATCACCAAGATGTTCAATATCAACTCGAACAACACCAAAGCCGGCGTTATTCGTTCCAAGACCGATGTCAAGGTGGTCGAGAAAGACCTGAAAGCATTGAACAGTTTGTTCACATCGAAGCGTCTCTTTATCAAGATTCACATGATCTACAAGAAGTACATCGGTGCACAGCCAGGTTTGGCATTCGTCGAGTTGGCTCGTTTCTACAACACCATGTACACCTCACCGAACTGCGCCAAGCTCCTAAAGGACACCATCAAGAAGATGGAATACAAAGAGGGTCTCGAGAAGATTGGATCGATGTTTGATCCATCGATGCCAGCACTCCAAGCCGATTCGCCACTGCTCATGTCGTCGCCATCGTCGTCGTCATCGCCATCACAACCCAACTCATTCATCTCTGGATTCTCCTCGGGTCAATCGTTCAAAGACGACAACAAACCACCCACAAAATCAGAGTCATCACTCTCCACCTCCAAGACTCTCTCTTCCTTCAAATCAATGTTATCATTTAGAAAGAAAGATAGTGATAAAAGTGATAAGTAAAAATATAGATATTATAGTTATTTAACTAACTAAATATCGATCAATTGAAATTCATTTACAAATAAACAACATTTACATAAAGTAAATAATCATTTACTTTATCAAAAAAAAGTACAATAAAATAAAACGATAGTTAAATCAACTTAATATTGTTTGTTTTGTTTTTATCTTTTAAATTTAATATTTGCAATGTGTTTGGGAATCATTTGTGAATAGTTATTATCATTGAAAGAGAATGTTTATATCTTTGTACATTAAATATTTATCTATTTCGAGTGTTATCTCTATTATAGATATTTAGATAATATTAAGAATATAAATTGATTCTTGTTTCTCAAATATCTGTTCTTGAGAGTTTCATCTCGATATATATATTTGATTTAGATAATCAAAAAGAGATGAAACTCTCACAATCATCTTCCCTATTTGACCGTCAAACTTATTGTTGATTTTCCATTGGTCATAATTTTTCAAAATAAAAAGCCAAAATTTTTTTTTTGTTATTCGAAGGACATTAGTAACATGACTAATGTAATAACTACTCTTTTAGGTATAAAAGTATGAGTCAAAAATTATCTCATTGCACTGTGTACATTTAACACTGTTATAATATATAAACCATTACATTACCTGTAGATCAAATTAAAATTGAATATAGGTGAATATATATTGTAGTTTTAGAAACAAATAGTTGGAAAGAGGAATAAGTCTGAGCCAAAGTGGCGCTCAAGTCTATCGATAACGCGCCGCAGACTATGCAGACCTCTTTTTTCGCGACTACACAAGTATCAGCATTAGGTGTATGACAATAATTCTTCTATCTTTGATATAAACATGTTAATATATACCATACTTACATATGCAAACACACTTTAATTACTATATTCTATTCTTATTCTGTAGTTTATATACATTGTTAATCAGTTAATTTTTTTAATTCTTTTTTTTAAAAGTTTAATATTATCTTTATCTTTAGAAAAAGAATTAAAAAAAACAAATAGAAGATGTTGGTGCTCTATTTCAATGTTCTGGTGATTTTTAGATGATGTTTAACTCTTGATTATTAAATGTTCTATATTGGACAAAGGCGGAAAGAACAGCGCATACATACCCAAGACAGCCAGTGTTTAATCAAAATGGATTTGACTAGTGAAAAAGGTTCACCTATCGATATTGTCAACATTCACAGACTTTTATCATGAATACCAATAACAATAATAAAGACATTCAATTCAATTACTTGGATGATTAACAATGTATCTATGCAGAGATGATAACTCTTTTTTTCTTTTTTTTTTTGATAAAATAATCATGTGTTTATTTATTTATTTATTTACTTTTTGGAGCATATGATATTCACTGTTTCAGTTGATAATTTGAATCTAGATTGAAGAGTATCACATTCATTGATAAGCTCATTGGTAATGTTGTCAATCTTTTGTATCTGACCAATCAAGTATTCTTCAAATGAACTTCTATTACCATTCAGTTCTCTAAAAAAAAGCAATTGATGTTAAATCTGATACTTTTAGAATATAAAAATAATATATAATGTTAGACATCAGCTCCTAATCAATCATTGATACCTTATACACAAGTGTTTTGATTTCAAATTTCTCTCAACTATCTGACCGAATGGGTCTGAAACCAATTTAGCTTCATACACTTCTTCTGTTATTGATGATAATGGTAAAGGTGATGATGAGGATGTCGTTGTTCTAGTTGTAGGTGTTTCAACTATAGTAGATTGTTGTTGTTTCTCTATAACAGTAACATTTAAAGAAGTCATTGTTTTTTTTTTAAATAAAATTAAAAGAGTAAGTATCAAAAGAGTTATAATAATTAATTGTAATGTTTAAATTTTTTGAAATTAAAAAGATTTTTTTAAAAAAATAGTTTTTGCAGATGGTTTTTTGTTTTTTTTTGGTTTTGGTTTTTTTGCCAAAGATTGGGTGGTTTTAATCAGGTGTGATCGGGTGTGACAAAAAAAAAATCTAATATTAATCGCATTTTTTTTTTTTTTTTTGCAAAAACCATTTTTTTTCATTTGTAAATCTATGTGCTATGCCATTGTTAGAACAAAGTTACAACACTACCCTATTTAATTACCCCCCAATTTGCCACTTTTTGTATTTAATATTTTTTTATTGTTACCTAATAACAACACAACAAAAATATATAAATTTAAAAAATATTAACCATTTTTCTAATATTTATTATTTATTATTATTTTCTTAATCAATCATAGAGTTAACTTAATCATAAAGTTTAACAGACAGTAGTAACAGTATTGTATTATTATTATTATATTATTATTAAAAGAAGTCATTGAGTGAGAAGAGATAGTGTGTTGTTGTAGTTGTTGTTGATTAATTAGTCTTATCATTGTTGTTTGTTTTGTTCTACAATAACTATATAGATAAAGTAAAGATTTACTTACACCCATACACAAACACGCAAACACATACACCAAACACACATATTTATATATATATCTTATTGCAATTTAATTACCCAATAAAAAACTAAACAACACCACCATCAACATCACAAAGTAACTATTGCACTCACACACCACTCACTTTTAACATATTTTAAATAATTATTGTTTTTTTTTATGGTCAACAGGTTTTCAAGCAAATAACAACAATAATAACAATATATTATATTATTAAGTAAGAGGAATCAAGTTGTTTTGAATCACGTAAGTAAAAAATATATATTTTTTTGAAGATTTAATTATAATATAATTCATTTTTTTAACAAAAAAGTAATATAAAATAAAATAAAATAGAATAGAATAGAATAAATAGAGTAGATAATAATAATAATTTGTATTTGTAGTAGTTTGTTTAAATCTTTGCTTGAAAAAAACATAAATATATTTATAAACAAAAACAAAAAAAATCACCAAAAGAAAACACAACTTTATACATAAACATAAGCAAATGTCAACTAGTACTAGTACGACACTTGCAAATAGTCATAGTGTCAACGGTAAGCAATCACCGTCGTCCGGCAGCTTGAATGGAAGCAACGCGAATGGATCGTCGACACCACAGAATGCAGTACCACAATCGATGATAACCATAGCCAGTTCACCATCGATCGGAAAGGTGAATGCACCTGGTTCACCATTACCATCGTCGCCAGGCATCAATCATAGTGGTACCGATCAGATCCAACAACACGCTTCTCTAAATAATACATTGGCCAACAACCCGAATTACCAAGACAATAGAGTCAAGATTGACTACAACTTTGATGAGTACGAGGATCAGTTCTTTGCAAAGGCAATCATCAATGATCCACTTAAAATATCACTCATTCCAGATCTATTACATGTCAACTCTGCAAAGCGACAAACAAAAATCGTTGGTCCAAATGTTCCTGTAAATATCAAAACTTTTTTTTTTTTTGTTTTTTGCAATATTTTTTTTCAGATTCATCTGATTTGAATTACTATTTTTGGGAGATCTGAGTGATCTAGTGATCGATGATCGATTGATCAGTTACCAAAAATAGAAATTAATCAAATTAAGATTTATCAAAGGATCGATCGATCGATCGATTTATCCATATATCTTTAGATTTATTAATATTTTATTTTTCTTTTTGAAACAATTCTACTCTTAGGGCGATATTGTACAACATAAATTACCGGTTGGAGTTCAAGAATCGATTCAGGTTTTCAATCAAGATTGGACAGTTGTTACAAGAGATGCAATGCCGATACCGGCACTCGGATTGAATCAACTGAAACCACTACCAGTACAATCGTATGAGATCGACGGTGACTACGACAATAAGGATCCAAAGCTAGTGGAAACACTCAATCAAGAGTTGGTACAGATTGCAGCTGCATCGAATCTCGAGTTTAGTAAGGTAACAGAGGTACTGAAGAATCAGAGATCACCATTGTTTCAAACCTATTTCTCCGATGAATTGCCAGCGATCGATCAACCAAAGCAAGGTGCAGCCTTCACCGATCAAGTTTCATTGCAATTTCAAGTGGAGTGCACCGAGTTCAAGACACTGATCGGTGACATCGAGCCATTCTTTGGTAGGATGTTCCTTTTCGATGCCAATCAAGAGTCACCAAGAGATCAAATCATTTCCGAAGTTTTCCATTTCGATTTTGGAACACACCAAGAGTTATTACCAAAATCCGTAAGTGTTTTACTCAGCAACCTTATTATATCACCTTTTAACTAACATAATAATTATTATTTTCAAGACTGAAGTTGAACCACCTGCCAAAATTAAAAAAGCAATATTCTCAGTTAATAGACCATCTACTCATATTTATTTGATAGTTTGTTTCGATAAGGTTATGAGAGGTGATCCTGAGGAGACTACAAAGATTTATTTCAATTTACCTGTAAATTTATCAATTATTATATATTATTTCAAAAGTAATTTAAAATATTCATTATTTTTTTATTTATATTTTCTAGGGTAAGCCAAAAGAAATTGCTAAATTTAAAGATGAAATCAAAGATAGTCTTCCAAGATTAGGAAGCTTTAGACAATCATTTGTATGGGGATGCATCGAACTCTTTGATAATAACAACAATTTCATTTATACAACACCCAATGTCAACATAAAAGTTAACAACATCTCAAAGATTAAAGGTGATCTTTACAGTTTCGTTACCAAAGAGGTAAGTAGGATGATTAGAATTATTAATATATATATCAAAGTAACTAAACAAAAATAATAATAATAATAATATTTTAGAAAAAACAAACAACAAATTGGGTAGATTGTTCTGTAAAGATAGCGTTACTCAATGGCGATGCATCAGATAGTGCTAGTCAGGTCGGTAGAATCGATCATCTATTGCGACCGGTTTACAACGATAATCCAGCACCAATGATTCGCGAGGTCTACAACATTCAGCAGTCGAGCGAGCAGGATTTGAATATCTCTTATAGCAACGTGCTCTATTTCTATCCAAAGTCAGTGAATCTCACCAACTACAAGAGTGACAAGGGCAGTAGCTCTCGAAATATTTTCTATGAGGTGAAGATCTTGGCGGACGACACAAACGTTGGCGACTCTGGCCTTAAGGCAATCTATGGCAACTCCACATCTCCACTACTGACTCGTCGCTTCTACTCGACCGTTGGCTATCACAATAAGAAGCCAAAGTTTAGCGATGAAATCAAAATCAATTTGTCCAGCACATCTCACACCGAATCACCATCTTCTCGTGACATTCTACCACCTTGGATGTCGTCCATCGAAAAAGAACGAGAAGCCAGAGGTTTGTCTTGGCTATTGTGCTATTCGTCTTTTCGAGAATGAGCAGATCATTGTCGATGGAAAATACAAGAAACCAGTGGCCTCTGTATTCCCACCAAAGTATCTGGATATGGAGGCAAAGGAGCAGGTCAACACAAAGATGTGGGTCGATAACAAGAAGCCGGTATTCTCATTCCGTACACGTCTGGTCTCCTCTATCTACCCACAGGATCCACTGTTGTCGTTCCTCCTCAAGGACGGAGCTGAAAGCGACCAGAACATCTTGATTGAAACATTCAGAAAGATCAATGACGTTCCAAATACATTGAAATTAAAGTTCTTCCCTGCCATTTCAAGAATCATTTTCAAGTGTATCAGCACCACCTCCAAAGAACTTCAGAAGCAAGCGTTGATCGCACTGATTACCATTGTCGATTCCATCAGCAAGGAGCTGAAAGCTGAAGACAAACTGATGAGTTATATCACCTATGTATTCAGTAACGGTTCCACCACCGGTACCAATCTCTATGAGTCATTGGTACAGACTTGGATCTACCTCTTGGAGTCAAGAGATGAAAAGTCAGTGATTTCACTCCACTATGCATGGTTCCTATTTGGTATCATTCGTAAATCAATGATCTTAGATATTGATATCAAGAATTTGTTAAGTAAGTTGCAACTTCAAATATATTTAATATCTTGACCACTAAACTTACTTATCTGAATTAATTATTAGGAAATGGACGTAATAGAACCAATAGATTTACAGATGATTATTTACAAAAGTTTAAATCATTGTTTGAATTGCTACTGATTCAGTTGAAGCAAATTTATAGTAAGAGTATTATTGCCAAATCATTCATTACCAGCACTGCCTATTTCATAACCGATCTATTTGATATTATAAAGAGAGGTTTCTTATTCCGTTTAGTAAGTATTTTAGATTGATATTCAACAATTAATTGTATATTAATTAATTTCTTTTAATTTAAAAACCAGATACATTCATATATTATTGGTCTTGATAGTTCAAATTCAGTAATGGAGCTAACAGATTTGAAGTTTACATTCTTAAGAGTATTGGCATCCTCTGATTCATTCATTGCTTTGAATCTTCCAACAACTCATCAATTCCCAAATATCGTCGATTTCTATCAACATTTCTAGTATGTTTAAAAAAAAAAAAAAACAATATTGATAAAAATAGTTTCAAATACTAATGCTTTTATCTTTTTTCAGTAAAAAACATTTCTTAATTGGTATTATTTTACAGGAAGTAGGTAGTACAATCACTGCCAATGAGAAAGAGATGAGATTAAAGGCAATCCTAACATTGCGTGAAATCATGTCGAGAAATGATGTCAATCCAAATTACAATCATCCTCAGATTCGTGAGAGAATTGCAACACTCTACTTGCCGTACATCCTTATTGTTGTGGACAATGTTGAGCTGATCAATAACTTTGATGAAACCGAGTCGAGATACTGGTTGATCTGCTTCATTTACGTGGTGAAGAATCTTATCAATAGCAGTACCAATGTCATTGTCGATTGGTGGAAGAAAGAACCAAACAAACAAAAGATAATCACATTCTTTAATTTGCTATCGACCTCTGTTTCATTGTTTGAGTATCAAGGTCGTCAAGCAAAAGGACAAGTCAAACAACTGAATCGTGAGACTGCCAAAGCACTGCTCGAACAATACACCAACAACATCTCTGGACCGAAAACAGAGAGAACCTACTCTGTCTCGAGTTCATCCGATCGTTTAGTTGGAACATCGACAAGCACCACCACTAGCAGCAACAACAGCAGCAACAATAATGGCGCTTCTTCCAATCCAAGTACTTCACCAGCTTGGAAAACTCATCAATCTTTTATGGGATCGTCTAACTCCTCGGTGGAGCCAATCACAAGCGAGGCACTTTCCATCATGTCTGGAAATCTCAGCCACGAAGTTTCCATGACCGTGTTGAACACACTTGTATACTATATCAAAGACTATAAGCATGAACTGCATGGCCAGAGCTCAAAGACCAGTTCCGCCATGAAGCTGCCAGAGAAGCGTGACGTCACATTGGATAGAATCTTCAAGGTTCTAACGATGCTCATGAAGAAGCGTCAGTCGTATGCATTCGTAAAGATTGGATTCCAAGTTCTGACATCGGTTATCTCTGAATACAAAATACAATTGTTCAAGGAGAACAACACGATTTGCTCTGAACTGACACCGGAAATCTTTAAGTACTGCACAACCAACCACGCTCCAAACCGTCAGTATGCTACCACCTTGATTTTCTTGATGATTCTTAGCAACCACAAGCTCGTCGAATTGTTCTCGAGAATGAAGTTGCAATCCACTGTCTCCATCTCAAAGATTGTCAGTGAGAAAGTACAGGATTTCGAATCGTTGCTCACCTTCCTGGAGACGATCAAGCTTCAAATGGATCCAACCAAAACTCAACAAACGGTATTGATCTCCAAGATTGCAACCGATAAAATCTATTCGGATTTCGAGAGTTTCCTTTCGTATTTGGAATCGATGAGATCGTCGAATCCAGAGATCTCGGCTCATGTCAGTGATTTCGATGGACTGCACGCCTTCATTGGCAACGCCAAGCAACAGCCGTCCTCTCCCATTACCAAGTTGTTGACAGAGCCACTCGTCAAGGACATCGATGGCTACATTCATTGTCTAAAGAATATGAATGTCTCTGATAAGATTCTCAATGATTTCGACGGATTGTGTCAATGTCTAAAGAGCATCTGCGGTTTCATCAAGCACGCATTCGAGAAGTCGACAGTCCTCAAGAACGCCGAACCCAACAAAGTCGTCGCCCAAATGGAGGAGCTCTACAATCGTCTCATCGGTATCATCAACAACAGTGTTAAGATTCAACAACACGGTTACGATCCCGAGAAAAAGGCAGATCTCTACCATCTCCTTTCCAATTCATTCTCAGAGTCACCGGATCTACGTATCACATGGCTAAAGAGTTTGGCGACATTCCTTCAGAACAATAACAACTGGGAGGAAGCCGGTCAAACCTATATTATTGCCGCGGCATTTGTTTGTGGATATCTCGGTAAGCTTGGACGACTTCCAAAGAACTTGGAAATCGATTTCAAGATGGTATCGCCCAATTTCGAAGTCGACAGGAATTCACTGCCGGATCCAGCATTGCTCAAGGCTGTCCAGGGTGAAATCTGTCAGTTGGAGGATTTCACAGAGAAAGGTTTCATCAATCTGGTGAAGGAAGCGATCAAGGTTCTCAAGAGAGGTTCATTCTTTGAATCGTGTATCCAGACCTATCAATTGGTGCTGCCAACCTTCCATAAGAACCGTGACTGGAAGCGACAATACGAATGCTACTCCGAGTTGGTTGTATTCTGTAATCAAATGATTTCCGAATCGGCAATGACTCAGAGATTGTTTGCCAACTACTACCGTGTTGCTTTCTATGGCAAGGAGCTACTTAAGGATATGCATGGTAAAGAGTATATCTATAAGGAATTGAACTATGTCCGTCTATCGGATTTGTCAGACCGTCTACAACGACAGTACGGTGACAAGTTTGGTGCCGACAAGATCAAGCTACTTCCAAACAAACCAGTTGACGTTACAACACTGCTTCCAAATCTCATTTACTTCCAAATCATTTCAGTAGATCCCTATCATACTCAAGATGAATTAAAAGAAAGAGTTGCATCATTTGATCAAAACACAAATTTAAGTAAGTTCAAATAATTACAAAACAAACAAAACAACAAACTAACATATACATTTTTATTATTAAGATAAATTCATTTTCGAAGTACCATTTACTAAATCAGGTAAAGCTCACAGTGATAGCATTACAGATCAATGGAAGAGAAAGACTATTATAACAACTGAATCTTATTTCCCATATCTTAAGAAGAGAATTCCAATTCTCAAGAAAGAAGATGTATGTTTTTAAATAATGATTATTACTACTACTTTGAATTGTTTAAACTAACTCACGCGATTGTTTTAATAATTATTCTTGTAGATTGAAATTACACCGATTGAAGTAGCAATTGAATTGATTCAAAAGAAATCGAATGCACTCAAAGCAGAGTTGAATTCCGGTATTCAAGTTAATACTAAAACTCTACAGATTAACTTACAAGGATCACTTTTATTACGTAAGTTATTTTCATTTGTTATACAATCTATAGAGTTAGGTGATTATTTTACTAACTTTGATTGATAATACAGAGGTTAATGCAGGACCATTGGCAATCTGTAGTTCATTCCTTGGTTCGAATGATTTCGAGAAGCACAATGCCGAACACTTTACAAGATTACAAGATTCGATTAGAGAGTTTACAAAGGATCTCGGATTCGCTATCAAACTCAACGAGAAACTCACCAAAGCCGACGATCTGAATGGTCAAGAGTTACACTTCCAATTGGAGAAAGGTTACAGAGAGTTTAGAGAAAAAGTACATAAGCAATATGTTAATCTTGATCAAAATGATTTTGAAAATAGAGATTAAAAGAAATCATAATTCAACGATCATTTTGTTGTTATATTATAAAACAATCTACAATACACCTATCAATATAGTAATAATGTTAAAATAAAGTTATTAAAACAAATAGTATAAATATTTATTATAAAATATATCGAAATTGTAAGCAAAAATTGGTGTTTATTTAGAATTTCTAAAAAATGATAAGTAAGCAAAAGTCTTGTACGTTGATGAGGCTCTATGTTTGCAGTATATCGACGACATGTCTGGTCCAGCTCGTAATGATATATCCTCAAGGCAAACTGACATCTTTAAAGATGATCCAATCCTTGGGCTAGCAAAAACATTCTTGTGATTCCATTTTGATATGAACGAAATGGATAAATACACGCCACAGCAAGCATCACGCATTCTAAACGTTTATGAAAAACAACACTACTTCTGTGACCAGATGTTCATCAAAGTAATCAAATTATATAACTTTAATTGTATTTGGCTAAGAATTGGATCATCTTTAAAAACAAAAAGCGAGGATCTTCCAGACAAGACAAGTTTGTCGATACAATCTATCTGACTAAATGGTAACTAACTAACTAATAAGATTGTTAAAAACGATTGATTAAGTTAACTTTTATAAATGTTTTAAAATTTATATGTTATGTTTATTTATTACTTATTATTTATTATTTTTATAAATGATGACAACTGTGCCCACTATTCTGATTGGATAACAATAGATTGTTATTGAATCAAAATAGTGGGGGTAGCTTGCAATCTTTAATTGTTATTATACATGAGTAATAATGATATATACACATATTGAGAAAAAAAGAAAGATTTTAGTTTGTAAATTCAAATTATAGAATTTGGTTGTTGTTCAAAGATTACTTAAACATTCTTGTAGGTGATGAAACGTGTCGAAATGCAACTGAGTAGGTAAGTACTCGTGTGATAGTTTGATTAGGATTTCACTTGAAGAAGAATAACTGTTGTTCCCACTAGTGGTAACAGATACTCGATTCTTCAAGCGAAGCTACTGTTTATGTTACACTGACTTCTTTCATTTAGCAACCTTCCTCCTTGAGGATGCATTAAAAAAAAAAGAAGTGAAACAAAATGAGAAGCTAATAAACAGCAGTTCTATCAAAGTTGAAATTAAAAGGCTAAGGGTAAACTTTTCAAAGTGTAAAACAATAGAATCGTTTGAAACCCTAAACCAACCATCACATTACATTCCGCGCTTGAACCATCAATCCGTGCAATAACAAGAAAATAATACTTCCAACATCTACAAACAAACAATCTAAGAAACTAACTATACTATATAAATAATAATAATATTAAGCATGTAAATATATCTAAAGATTGGGCCACAAAAAAAAATGACCCTTTGATTTAAAATACAGATTTATTGTCAAAATTAAAAAAAAAAAAAAAAAGAAAATTATTTTGACAAGATCCCTATTATATTCTTTAGTTCAAATGTCATTAGATACCATTAAAATCATAGTGATAAAAAGAAAAATAAAAAAGATTAATATTAATCTATATAATATTTCAGTCTATAAACTTTTTTTTTTTTTCTTTCACTTCAGTACCATTTATTCAAAAAATTAAAAACAAAATAAATCAATTTAGTTATCTTTTGTTTTGGTTTTCCTTTCTAATAAAAACAATCAATATTTGATGTATTTAATTATGATTGTATTTCAAATTTGTCAATCAAATTATTTTTATTCTTTTTTTTTTGTTGATTGACAAATAAAAACATATGTTTACACTTTGTTTGCTAAAGAATGGAATATAAAATTTTTTTTGTTGAAACAACTTAAAAGACAATATAACTACCCAAGAAACATATAAAAATTATTATATTATTAGATATCAAATTCAATGTCAGGAAACTCTCCAAAAAATTTATTAGAATATATTATCTCAAAGATCCCACCCTCTTGGATACCCACAATATATCCTGTTATGGGGAGATACTTAAAAACACCATTGGAAAGATATTATAGAAAGTTGAACGAAAATATAGATTTAAGTATATATACATATATATTGAAATATTATTTTTATTTATTCTCATTAACTTATTAAATGTAAAAGTGGAATCACCTGTTAAATGGACTCCAGGACCACCAAAGGATTCAGAAGCAAAGAAATTGGTCAAATATTCAATGAACAAACATAAAAATTGTGAAAATTCAACAATACCGGTGAAAATCAATAATAGTACTATGGTGGTCGACTTTAATGTATATATAAATAGGAAATTTCAAAGAGGGCCCGAGTAAAAAATAAAGTAATAACAATATTATCTTTTTTAAGCATCAAAATACTGATTCATATTGAGGAAAATTGTTTAAATGATCATTGTTTTTTATTTATTTGGGTTTTTTTCATTTTTTTTTATTTCAAATAAAGGCGGGAGTTCTTTTTTAATATCCAAAATGATAGATATCGATTGGTTTTATTTTAGTAATAATTTTGTATCAATTATATATTGAATAATCTAATCTATTTATATATATATAGAAATGTATACAGAAAAAGCAATAGAAATATTAAGAGAATTAAAAAGATCTGAAAACTTACCATTATATGATGTTTGTATAATTTAATTTTACTTTTGTGATGTATCATATGAAAACACATTTTTAACTTTGTTCATCATCATTTATAATTAGGAAGATGCAATCAAAAAGACAATAGATGAAATCAATGCTTTAAAGAGAGAATTGCTTGAAACTATAGAGTAAGTAATCAAACTATCGATTTATTTTCTTGAATTCATTAACTAATTTTAGTCGCTTTATCATCATAAAGAGAGAATGAAGAAACAAAGAATACACCATACATCATTGCACACTCACAGGTATTTCATAATAGTATTCTGAGGAATAAGAGAATTATTTTAGCATATTTGTATGTACTTTTTTTTTACTTTTCGTTCGTTGTTATTAAAATCAATCAATTAATTAATCAATCAATCAATCGATCTTTATTCAAAATAGAAATGAAAGGTTAGAAAGAATTAAAGAATATAGATGGAACTCTGGTAGTGGTATTTTACAGCCACAACTTAAAGAATCAATGTCACCGAATGAAGTTAATTTTTTTACACAGCACGATAAGCTGCTGACGGAATATCATCAGGAGCTCGGTTTAGATTTAACAATGGATGTATTACAGCCACCTAAAGAGCTATTCATCGAGGTCAGAGTCATCAAAGAGTTTGGTGAAGTAGTACTTGCTTCTGGTAGCTCTGTACAATTCAAATTACATACAACACACTTTTTACGTCGTTCTGATGTCGGAAATCTAATCACTCAAGGAATACTAGAGCATATTGTATAAAACGAATATCCATCACCAAACATTTTAATAATAATAATAACAACAATAGCACGGTTTCAATTATTGGATACTCTTGATCATGAGTAGTTAGTTTATATATTAATATTGATATAAATATACCGTTTTTGTAAAAGTTAAAGGGAGTCGAAGTAAACAACCTACTTAATCAGTGTTCTTTATTAATTAACTAGAGTCACTTAATGCTTTCAGAAAAACAGAAAACAAATTAAATTAATCCAAAGAGTCACAAGAAACAACCTTGTCTTTACAAATATATATTTACAAAAAAATGTTTAGTAATATTTTATTTTTAACAATTATTTTAAAAACTTAACAAGATCGTGAGATCTAATGAAACCACCTTGTCTGTCATCATAGAGCAAATAGAGATGCTTATCAGAGGTATTCTTGATTTCCAACTTTTTCGATTTGTAGTTGATGCTTATCTTTGTGTTTGGTAGTTGTTGGCGGAGTAACTGATAACATTGGAACGGTTTTTCAACCAAACCATATGGTTTCATTTCATTTGTGTAAAAGTTGATTTCTACCTCCTCGAGAGTAGTCGGTAGTTCACCTATTTGCAAGTTTGGATTCTTGGAATCAACGAATCTGTGGAACGATAGGAACTTTAGATTTGGAAGATTTCCAAAGTTGAATGCATCGACGTAGTAAGTACCGAGCTCCACTCTCTCAATGGATGGCGGTAGAACGTTGTTCAAAGAATGCTTATAGAAGTTGCCGACTTTGAGTGATTTTAAATTCGGTGGTAACACATTCTCAGTGAATCGCTGTGTGAACTCTTGGCCAAACTCCAAATGTTCGAGCGATGCTGGAAGTGCACCTTTGGTTATCGGTTGATTGTATTTCTTGTCGAAACTCAATGTCTTTAGGTTGGGTGGCAGTGTACCCAATTGGAGTTGTTGGGAGAAACACTTTCCAAATGAGATGTGCTTCACTGTGTTTGGAATATTTCTTAACTTACTATTGAATTTCTTGCCAAAAATCAAAGTCTCTACTTCCTTTGGAATCTTTGAGAGATGCTCTGAACAATCCACTGTAAAAATTAGAATTTTTGGTTGATTTGACTCATCGTTTGATTGAATAGAGGCAGTTTCCTCTTCCTTGACAGAATAACTTGGTTGTTCAAGTACATCAAAAACTGACAAAGGAAATACATCGTCTTGAACTTTAACTTCTTCATCAAGAAGTCTATCTAAATATAAGAAATCTAATAAAAAGAATATTAATTATTAATTTTTTTTTGTTAAAACTAATTTCTAATAATTACCAAAATCATTTTGATTTCTTTTGATCTGAAAAAGTCTTAGTTTTTCAAATTTTATGTGATAATTCATTTTATCCATATTTGCAAATCTGAGAATATAATCTCTGTTTAAATACCAAGTCTTACTGGTAAGTAACATCATAACTCTATCGACATTGTCAATAAATTGTTGGATATACCAAATAATATATGCTGGTAAATCGGTAATTTCTAAATTTAAAACTTGAATGATTTCCATGATTTTATATTTTTAATATTAAAAATAATTTATTTTACATATTAAAAATGTTATTATTATATATTAATTTTTATTTGTTTTACACCATTTTTAATCAAATTCAATGAGTTCATCTCTTTTTATTATTAACTTCATTGTAAAATTTTAATTTTTTGAAAAAGAAAAGAAATTATATCTATAATTTTTCTCAAAAAAAATCGAAAAGGGGATAATGATCATTGATGTATTAATAACTCAATTTACATGTAAATGATCAAAAAAGATGAACCACAAAAATATTTGTTTTTTTTTTAAGAAAGGTGTTAAGATGAATGTTTTAATAAATTTTATTCCTATCCTTTTTAAAACTAAACAAGATGATTTACTATTTTTTTGTTTTTTGTAAACCCAGTTTCAGACAAATTAATTAAAAAAAAAATGTAAAAAAATAGAAAAATAGTTAGAGACAAGATTAATTGAATGAAAAGTAAAAAGAAAATTTTGACCTTTTTTTAAGATTACCAACCCTGAGATTTTTGGACCAGAGACTATTAAAAAACGAGCATTCGCAAATCCAAAGATATTTATTTTTTTTCCTAACTTAAAATCTAATCTTTTTTTATTAAATAAAAGAAATATATTTTAGTAATAGTAATAATAATAATCATAATGTTGTATTTATAAAAAGATAAAATAAAATAAATAGAAATTGTTGTAATATTATTATTTTTTTGATATTTATATATAATTTTTACAAACAAACAAACAAACAAACAAACAAACATAATAATATAACTATAAGTTATGTTATCTTTTAATAGGACGTACAGGATATGGATGTTGTTGTTATTGATAAGTTGTGTTGTTGTGGTGTTTGTGCTAGAGTCCAGTATGCTTACGACGTTGCGGAGTGGTGTGGTGTCGACATCACAACATGCAAATTATCAACAAACAACAACAACTACTAGTAGTTCAGCTCAATTCTCACAGGAGCAGTTCAATCGATTGAAAGAGCAACTCGCTCAAGTCAGTGCGGAGCTGCAGCAAAAGAACCGAGAGTTGGACGATCTCATTACCTATTCCACTGCACTCGAGGTCAAGCTGATATCGATCGGTGCCGACGAAACACAATGGGAATGTCAGAGATACACACATCAGGACCGTCATGACGACCCGACCTTTGACAGAGTACTGTCGATCGAATCGATGGTGAATATACAGGATTCGCGAATGAGACCGTCTCTCGAGATATCCGCATCGAAATGCTTCAAAGAGACAATGGATAAACCGATAAAGTTGATGTGTTCGAAATTCAATGCAGAATCGATACCAAGGAAATACTCACAGTCTATATTATCAAAAGTATCATCTCATGCTGACAACACAGAGAATATCACAGTTGAGAATAATAATCAATATATTACAGGTGGAATCTTCAACTTTAGAAATGGGGAGTTCAAGTGGTTCGAAGAAGTCTATTTCGATAGCTATAATGTTGCACCAAGTTTCGGAAGTAGTTGGGGTGATTTCAATAACGATGGATATCCCGATCTCTATGTAAACAATCACTATTGGACACCGGCTCTATATCTTAATCTAAAGAATGGTTCATTTGAAAACATTGCATTGAAATCAATACCTTTTCTTGTATGTAGATAAAGAGAGAGAGAGAGAGAGAGAGAGAGAGAGAGAGATGTCATTTGAAAACATAAAGATGTTATAACAATTGGAAAACTAATATATATATAATTATATGTTATTTTTAGAATGAGGATTTTAAGAATAAATTTATAGATAAACATGGAGGTGCATGGGCAGATTTCGATAAGGATGGACAATTGGATTTTTTTGAAGTTACAGGTGCCAAGTATGGAACCAGTGCGATTCCAAACAATCTGTTTAGAAATCACAATGGACTATTGATTGACGAAGCAAAGATGAGAGGTGTCGACTATCCATTGGCACGTGCAAGAACCATCTCATGGGTCGACTATGACAACGATGGTCATCTCGATGCATTCATAGCTGCACAAAAACGTGGAGATGGACAAGGTAAACCTGTTCTATTCCGACAAAATCCATTGAATAATACTTTTGTCAATGTGAACGATGTATGTAACTTTTAAACAACTTTAAAACATTTTTAATTAATATTAATATAAATATGAATTTGATATCTCGATCATTAGCTAATCAATATAGATTTAGATTCAAATGTTTTATTTGCACATTCAACAGATATTGATAATGATGGTGTGCTAGAATTCTTTTTATTGTCATTTACATTTCCTTTCAAGGTTTATCATGCTAATCAATATCCATTTAAAGATGTTACTACCGATATTTTCAATTTCAATTTGACGGCTGTAAAGAAATACTTTGGCAAAGTAGAAGAACATGCTCATGAAGTAAATACTTGGATTCCACCATCCGAAGACACTGGTTACTTCTCGATTATCAGTGACACTGTCTTTGGTGACATCGATGGAAACACCTGGCAAGATATAGTAATCGCAAGAAACTACTATGGAAAATGTATAGTTGAAATATTTTATAATCAAGGCTATGAAAGTCATACAGAAAGTAAGTAAAGTAAATTGCAATTGTATATCCTAAAGGATGTTTAATTAACAATGTTATAACAGAATTGGTGGAATGGAAAATTAAACAAATTTATAGTAAAGCCGGTGTTACATGCGGAGCGTTGGCAGTTGGCGATTTCGATAACGATAGAGATTTGGATATATTTCTATTGACCTATTTGCCATATTCCAACTCACCTAATGTATTTTTTATCAATAAGGGTGGCATGGAATTTTTAGTGAAGGAAGACGGTCTTGGCGCCGCTGGCTCAACCTTTGGAAAGGCAGAGTCAGTGTCGGTCGCCGACTACGATGTCGACGGTAGACTCGACCTTTTCATTACGAATGGCAAAGGATCGCCACCCTTTGACGTGGGACCAACACAGTTGTTCCACAACATCGAGAAACAGAGGAACTGGATTGAAATCGATGTCGTCGGTATCACAGAGAATCCACATGGATTCGGAGGAAGAGTATTCCTGCGGTCTTGCGGAACCACACAGATTCGCGACATTGAGAATGGTGTTCACTTTTCATCGCAAAACTCATTCCGTATTCATTTCGGACTCGGAAAGTGTCCGACCATCGATGAGATTAAAGTGTGGTGGCCTAGATCACAGAAATTCCAATCAAAGAAATCAATCAAACCCAATCAAGTTTTGTTATTCAAAGAGAATCTACAATAAACTTAAAACCAAAACATATACTATTTTTATCTAGATTGATAATTAACAAATCGATCTTATCCCAAAAAAAAAAAAAAACAAAAAAACTTAGACATTATTATTATTATTAATATTTAAACAAAAGATTTCATACATCTTTACAACAACAACAACTTATTTAATGTAAAAAATTAATTTAATGTATCTGATACTAAGATATTCACAAGTGAAGTATAAATGAAATTGTTTAAATACATATCCTTTAACATTTTTTTTAACCAAATTCAATATTAAAGTTTGTAGGTAAATCAATCCATTTCATGTTTTAACACTATTAACTATATTCATTTTGTTGATTTTGCTCATTGTAAAAATAGATCCTTTCTTATCTCTTGTTGTTTAATTAATATAACTTTGTTTTTTTTCAATTTTTCGTTGTTTTGAGATTTGTGGGGTTGATTATGTGATCTTGCATTTTTTAATAATAAATTTAAAATAAGCTTTTTTAATTTTTGTTTTTATTTTCTCTACGACAATTGTAGTAGTTGTTGTTGTTGTTGTTTTAATAACAAACAAACAAACAAACAATTGATTATTATTAATATATATTTATATATGGATAGTCTATTTAAATTGATAATACATAATTCATATATATTTCATAATGTTTGTTATCAAATCGGTTGGATATATAAAAGAGTTCATCCAGGATGTCAGTTGTATCGCTACGACGAGATCGATGTGGCGTTCATGCTGCGCCAAAAGCTGTTTCATCTGCTAAAGTATAAACTTGAAAGACAGCCATCTCTGTTTACTTTTGACATGGAATGTATTATCGCCATCTTCCGGTATCTCCGCGACTACGAGTTGTTTGTCTACTTCTTTGAGCGACATGCATCGTTTATTGGCGCGGTCAATCGCGCTATGCTCATCTCTGAGATGTGCGGTCCGCTTGGCTCAAATCGTGCGCCACTCAACTCGGACATCGTAAAGTATCTATTTGGACACCGACAGTTTGTCGGCAATGTGCTGCGCAAAGTGGTGCAGGACGGCAATGCCGAGCTGCTGGCGTGGCTCGTCGACAATGGACACTTCAAAAGCCAATCGATGGACTACGTATTGGTGCACGCCTGTGAGAATGGCAACGTTGAAATAGTCGATCTTCTCTATCGGCTGGAGAGCGAGCGGCAACTCACCAAGCTGTGCACACCGTACACGCTGATCGACGTCACCGCCAGCAAAGGTCATCTTCCCATGGTCCAATACCTGTATCAGGTTCGCCACGAGAGTTTCTCGAGCAATGCATTCGATTTCGCTGCGGAGGGAGGTCATCTCGACATCATTGAATATCTCTACTCGCTGCAAGCCAATCCGGTACACATCGGACAGGAAGCGCTGAACAAAGCCGCCAACTTTGGACACCTGGGAATCATCAAGTTCTTTTTCCAGCATGAAGCGAGTACGAGGATTGTAGATCGCTTTACAGCACCTTTGAAATTCGCTGCCATTCGTGGACACATCGATATGGTCCGCTTCTTCCAGGAGCATTGTCCCGAGCTGTTTCTGAGGTTGAATATCGAGGACATGATGGGAGCGGTCAAGTGCAAGAGTTTGGAGGTAATTCGCTACATAGAGTCATTGTATCCCGAGCGATACAACTGGGTCTACTTGTTCCACGCGTCACTGGCAGCCGGCGCCATTGAGATAACGAAATACATTCTCGAGAAGAACCGACTGGGAACACTGACATTCAGTGTCGGTATGATTAAATCGAATTTCAATGAGATGTTCTACCTCTGTTTGAATGCGGGTGTCGCTCTTCAGCTGGGGACACACGACGATCTGCTCGATGCAGTCGTGGGCAAATGCAGTCTGGAAGTGGTACAGTATCTCAGTCCTAAAATCTCAGTTTCATCGCCAGCCGTCATGGATTTGGCTGCTGCCGACGGCAACTTGGCAATCGTCCAGTGGCTACACCAGAACCGCACTGAAGGTTGTACGAATAAATCGATCCAAGAGGCGGTAGTTCGTGGTCATAAGGAAGTAGCTGACTTTCTCTTTCAGAACCGTACAGAACACTTGAACTTGACACCGGAAGTCTACTTTGATATTCTCGAGATACAGGACAGGCCGATACCGCTTGCAACCGCACAGATCCTCTACAGTCAATTCGAACCGGCATTCAAAGCGCACAGCGACTTCATTCTGACAAAGGTGAGCAAGGAGACCGGACAGTTTCTCTTTGAGAACAAGATGGTCGATCTCAACATGGAGAACCTGAAAACACTGATCTCCAACCGCAACTATGGTCTACTGGTACGAGTGTTAGAATCCACGAGTATCTCACTATTTATTATCGTGCAACTCGAAGAGTTTGCACTTCTCGCTGGATGTACTGAAATTGCATTATTACTTCAATCGATAAAGTCTAAAGCATCATCGTACTTCCAATTCTAAACTAATCCACAAACAAAAATTAGAAAAAAAAAAAAAAAAAGTTAAATTAATTAATTTTAAATTTATCTAAATATTTTTTTTCATATTAACATTATAAATATATACTTTAAAAATAAATTAAAAATAATAACAAACAACAAACTTATTAATTAATTCTGCATTATTTTGAGTAGATTTAATTCAAATCAATCTAATTTAATTTTATTTATTTTTAATCAAAAAAAAAAAAAAAAATTCAAAATTGAGAGGGAAATTTAAAAATTTGCAACCAGAAATTAATTAACGACTTTTTCGTTTTATTTGTTTGTTTATTTTGTTTTTATTATTAATTAATTTGATATCAAATTATTTGTACATTGCTATATATTTTAAAATACTTAAAATAATCATAATTAAATAGTAAATAAAGATATTATATTATATTATATTATAAATTAGAATAGGAATAGTTATGAAATGGTATTGACTAATCCAACAAGATTCAATGATATCTATGAGTTGCTAAAGAGTGATTCTATTCAAGGTGAAACTGTATTGCTTTTAGTTGCAAGAGATTGTGATTCTCTTGCTGCATGTAAAATATTCTCTGTATGTATTTTAATTGTTTTATATAATAAAAGTCATACTTTTACTTACAATCAAATCTTAGGAAATATTGCAATCAGATTTAATATCTTATAATATAAAGCCAGTATCTGGTTTAACAGATTTAGAATATGTAAATGAACATATGCTAGTTGAAAATGAAGAGGTATGATCTAAAGAGTGTAGTTTTGGTTGGATTTGACAACTTTTTACTTACTACCTTTTTTTTTTGTTTTTTTTTTTTTTTAATATTAATCAGCTGAAAACAATTGTAATGATAAATTGTGGTGGTAATATCGATATTGAATCAGTGTTTACAAACTTGAATACCAATCAATTGGTGTATATCATCGATAGTCATAGACCATACAATAGAAACAATATTGAAAATCAAACCAATGCAATCATCATTGACGATGGAACTTATGAAGAGGAAGAAGAAGAAGAAGATGGTGATGGAGATGAAGATGACAACGACGGTGACGATGAAGAAGATATATATGATGAGAATGATGATGATATTTATGATGACGATGAAGCAGAGGAAGTTGGAGCCGACGAGGAAGATGAAGACGATGGAGAAAAGGAGGACGATGACTACGACGGTGAGAATGTATATAACAGCGATGAAGATAACGATGAACAAGTTTTTGGTGGAGCAAAAGATAAGAGAAAGAATAATTCCGATGAGGACAATGACAATGAGCGTCCATCGATGAAAAAGAAAAAGAAAAACACTCCAAAGAAAAATAAAAAGAAAACAAACAGCAACAACAGCAACAACGGAAATTGGTTGATGGCGCCGAAAGAAAAGCGAAAAAGAAAAGAAAAACTCTACACTCTTACTATGGAAAGAGTGCTTCCACTATGATGTATCATCTAAGTACTGTTCTTATGAAGGAGTCCCTCGATGGCATACTGTGGTACTCGCTTCTCGGACTGACCGACCAGCTTGTCCACGAGAGGGTGTCACTCGAAGACTACGGCATGGAATATAAATATTTTAAATCGCTGGTTGCCAATAACTATCCGTCCGATGAGGAAGTTGCCAACGGTCGAGCAACGGTACAAGGCGATCGCGTTGTCCACTCGGAGGACTACCGCTTCATGCTGTATCGCCACTGGAATCTCTATGACAGTCTCTATCACTCCAAGTATGTCGCGTGTAACTTGAGAGCCTGGAAAGCAAAGGGACGATATCTCTTGGAGACTCTGTTTGCCCTGATGGGACTACCACTGGACCAGGCCAAACAAAAGTACATCTCGATGAGTGCTCCCTACAAAACCAGTCTGAAACGCCAGCTTTCCATACACGCACCGAAATTCGGACTGGACAAACTCTACTTTCCTTCGTTCTCCAAGAAATACGAATGCTCCATTGAATTGTCCGCATCGGATATGATCTACGCGCTCACAGCCCTCTTGGAATCCGACAACCTCGAAGACGATATCTCCGACTCTGAGGCTTGGGAACAGAATTTTTGGGAAGCATACGATGCACTTTCAAAGTAATTATCAGTCATTTTTATATAGATATTAATTAATAACCAATTATTATTTACTTATAATTTATAATTTACTATCTTTACCGTAGTAAAAATATTGAATTACTCATGGAGGGGTTGAAACAAGCGATCGTTCTCCAAAAGGAAATTACAAGACGTGTTGCCAGTATGATTGAGAAGCGTATCGTTGTTTTGTCCGGTCCATTTAGATATGCTCTACTCACTGAGACTTCGGATATCAAATATTTCATACACCCAATGGCACTCACAAAACTTGGTCTATTCATGATCGATGCTTTAACAGTAAGTATTTCCATTAACATTGCTTGCTATTGTTTTAAATATTTCATCATCTCTCTAAAATTATTGTTATTAATTATTTTTATTAGGCAATGAAGAAACAACCTAAACCATTCTTAATTGGTGCACTCAATGAAAAGAAAGGAAATTATTTGATTGTTGGTATCTCTGGATCACTTAGTACTGAACAACAAGCAAAGTATGTATTAATAATATTATTAACTTAATTAATAAATGCTATATAATATTAATAATAATATAATTAATTATTATAGTGAATTTGGTGTAAACTTTAGAGCAGCAGCTGAAATGACCAACTCTCCATTGAAATATCAATCATTCGACACTGCAGTTGTTGAAATCGGTAAATTAGATATGCCCAAGTTCATTGAACAACTTCATACCATGTCATCACCTAATGATGATCAAGATGATATTTAGATCCAATTCAAAAGGATAAAAAAAAAAAAAAAAAAAAAAACAAACAAATAATTAATCATTAATTTTAATTGATTATTACCAATTTAATAGTATCTATAAAATAAAAACTTCTTATTTTTTTTCAATAAACAAAAAGAATATATTTGATTTATAAATAAATTTAAAAAAGTTACCTCAAAAGAAAATAATACAAAAAAAAACCATTAATTATTTGTTGTTGAACATCTGTGATCAAAATTTTTATTTTCAAAATTTAATTAATTTGGTGTTGTTTTTTTTTTTTTTTTTAAATTTAATTTTTTTCCATCACCAATTGGAAATAAACGATATCAGCTTTTAGCACTTATTTATTTATATATTATTATTTTTTTATCTTTGAATAATATAAATTAAAAATATATAATCAAAAAAAAATATATATTTATTTTTTTTAGAAATCAAGAAAAAAAACAATTTTTTTTTATAATTTATCTATTCACATTGTTAGATTTACAACAATTGCTAACAACAACAACAACAATAGTAAATTTTATTATATAAAGAAAGGATAACTAACGATTAAAAATCAAATAATATATTATTAGTCGATTATTATTATTTATTATTATTATTTATTAAAAAAATATATAATAATAAACATTTGTAAATATATATAACATAACATTAAGATAAAGATAAAGAAAAAAAAAGAAAAAAAAGAAAAAAGATTAATCTTTAAGATAAAGAATGGGAGAATTTCAAGATGTTGATAGATATATTTCGATTCTAAAAGAATGTAAACCACTTTCGGAAAGTGAAGTTAAACATCTCTGTGAGAAAGCACGTGATATATTATTGGAGGAGTCGAATGTGCAACCAGTCAAGTGTCCGGTGACTGTGTGTGGTGATATTCACGGTCAGTTCCACGATTTGATGGAGTTGTTCAAGATCGGTGGTAACTGTCCAGACACCAACTACCTGTTCATGGGTGACTACGTCGATAGAGGTTTCTACTCTGTAGAGACCGTAACCCTTTTGGTTGCCTTGAAAGTTCGTTATAAAGACCGTGTTACCATCCTCAGAGGTAATCACGAATCCAGACAAATCACACAAGTGTAAGAGATCATCATCAAACCCAACCAACCAACCAAACACCAACTAAAACATTCAATTCAATTCAATTTAATTGTTGTTTACAAAACAAAAACAAAAACAAAACAAAACAAAACAAAACAAATCGATCTAATATTAAATTATATCATTTTTTTAGATACGGTTTCTACGATGAATGTTTAAGAAAGTATGGTAATCCAAATGTATGGAGATTCTTTACCGATCTATTTGACTATCTACCATTGACTGCACTCATTGAGAAACAAGTAAGTTTGTTTAGTTGATATTAATATTAATGAATGAGTGAATGAATGAATCCAAATACTTATGTAGTTAATTTACTATTATTATTATTAGGTATTCTGTTTGCACGGTGGTCTATCACCATCGATCGATACTTTGGATCATATTAGAAACTTGGATCGTCTACAGGAGGTACCACACGAAGGTGCAATGTGCGATCTGTTGTGGTCGGATCCAGACGACAGAAGTGGATTCGGTTATTCACCAAGAGGTGCCGGTTACACATTCGGAAAGGATATTTCCGAGCAATTCAATCATAACAACGGTCTGACCCTCGTCGCCAGAGCACATCAATTGGTCATGGAGGGTTACAACTGGTGCCACGATCAAAATGTAGTAACTATTTTCAGTGCACCCAACTATTGTTATAGATGCGGTAACCAAGCTGCCATAATGGAGATTGACGAAAAAATGAAACATACTTTGTATGTATTGAAAACACAAAACGAAAACAAACAAAACAAAACAAGCATTATAGTTCTAACATAACTTTACTTATTTCCTTTACATTCACATTCAATTTGTTTAGCTTACAATTTGATCCAGCTCCAAGAAGAGGTGAACCACACGTCACTAGACGTACTCCAGATTATTTCTTATAAGGTGGTTGCTACACCTCCTGCCATCCAATACTATCTCCACATGCGTGTGTGAGTGGATAGTCTATTGAATATAAGCGATCTTTTGTAAAAACTAATAATAATAATAACAACCTACTTAAACAACACAACAAAACAAAACTAAATTAAATTAACAAGATATTAATAATAACAACATAAAATTCACAAAACTTTTATAAATTCTTCTTTGTTTGATTATATCTACAAACAACAATATCCATCATGATGTTTCAATGAATGAATCATCCAAACCCAATTATATCATAAATTAAAATATTAATCAACATTCAAAAAATATATATATATAAATGTTATTGTTTTATTTGTTATATATTATAATATTAATCTAAAAAGTACTCTATTTTGATCTAGATCCTTCCTATATATATATTTTATATTTTATCTTTATGTATTTAAAATACATTAAAAAGATACAATATTTGGTCATTTATTTAAATTTAATTAATGTATATATAAATAAATACTTTTATTGTGAAATTAACAGATTCACACCATTTTACTATCTTATATTCTCTTATTACTGTTATTATTAATGATTGCTTTTATCTTTGTTATCTCTTTATGTTCATGTTTGATAGAATGGTACAATCGATCTTGTGTTTGTTGTTGTTGTTTGGTATTTGGTATTTGGTATATTAAAAAGGTTTTGGTATGTATGATTGAGTTGGTTTGTTTGTTTTTGGTGAATGTATGTCTTGTTTGTCTATATCGCTAATTGTTTGTAAAGTTGTTGTTGTTATTGTTTTTAGATCTTTCTGATACAATTTATACAAAGGTGATGTCTAAGCTTAAGAGATTGGCATTTTGGACAAACGGTATGATGATGAATGTTCTCGTGTTTCTTTGCGCTGTTTCTCTTTCTGTTTCTGGTGTAAGATACACGTTTCTTTGGTACGGCAGTCAATTCCATCTCACAGTCTGGCTCTGTAATGGCTGTAACGGGTGGTGGCTGCAATGCAGCGTCGATCTGTCGTTGACTGAATTTGATTCCACCGTAGATCGATGACATCGACCACTTTTGTACTGGTGCTGCTGGTGTCATGTACTTTGGTACATTGTTAATGAGTGATCCCAATAAACTTTTATTCATTTCTCTCTCTTTCTCTAATCTGTAATCTAATCTAAAAACAACAATAAACTAATTTAAAATTAATCGAAAAAAAATAAATAAAAAATGATCATTCAAATCAGAGTAATTATATCACACACAATTCGGTTTTGTCAACAATCGAAATTTTTACATAGTAACGTGACAAATTTTGTGTGTCGTTAAGTGCAAGTAAGCAAATATCTTTTTTCGATCCTAATTTGCATGATCATATTAATTTAATTAATATCTAAAATATAAAATAAAATGAATAATGATATTCTTAATATAATTATAATATCATCTTTAAAAGATGGAACTGGTAACACTATACTTGCGAATAGATTGAAACTCATATTCGAATCTGCAAATAAAAGTACCAGCCAACCAAAAACTATATCAAATAAGCAGTACAATGTAATATTATTTGATATAAACAAGACAATAGATAATTTAAATGATTTACTACAGTCTTTAGATAATCGTTGTAATGGTAATGGTATTTATTTACTTGGAATCAATGCATATAGAGTTGGTCATTTAATAAATAACTTAAATAAGAAGGTAATAGATCGGTTTTTTTAAAAGTATTTATATATCTTATTAATATCAATACATTATAAAACAGTATCTTTATTCATTGATATTTGGTGGTACAGACTTGAATGTTGCCTCAAAGGATGAAGCAAAACAAAAGATAATGAATCAATGTGTAGGTGATGCAATTCATTTGATTTGTTTATCGGATGAGATGAAATCAAAGGCATCTAAACTATGGCCAAATCTAATATCTAGGATGATTGTCATTACACCCTCAGTGATACCAAATGTAACAACCACAACAACCTCACCAACAACCTCATCAATATCTGATTCAATGAACTATTACCAACTATTCACAAACAATGTAATACAACCACCAATACCAACAGACACTATCGAAGAACTATCATCTAAATCAACAATGAAAATACTGTTACCAATTGGAATAAGACCAATCAAAGATCCGCTATTCTTACTAAAAGATTTCTCTAATTTTTCAATTAAATATGAACAGCAACAACAACAAAGTAATAATAATAATAATCAACAACAACAACAACAACAACAATCAAAATTCAAAAGAATAGTAATGATAATTATTGGACCATGTTTAGATGACAGTCTAATGAAAGAATTACTATCAACAATTTCACAATGTAATAATATATATTATACAAGTAGTATACCTCATCATCAGTTGCTACAGTTGATAGCAGAGTCTGATGTAGTTGTGAATAGCTCTATCGACGAAGGATTACCAACAGCGCTGATGGAAGCAATGCATCTTGGAACACTTACATTGGCAAGAGATAACAGTGGCAACAAACATCTCGTAGATCATATGGGTAATGGAATCATCTTCAAAACTCCAAGTGAATTTACAGAACAACTCGAATTTTATTTAAATACAGCAAATACAGAGCATATCCATTCTTTAATTAGCAAAGCAAAACAACAGATCGATACTAAATATTCATCAGCAAATGAAATTTCACAATATTTAAACTTATTTAAATAAATATTATTTAATGTGTTTTTTTTACCAATACTTGCTTTTATACATTTCAATTAGATCCTATATGAAAAGAGCTTGGTTGCTCATAGTTAAGAAGAGCCCTTGCCAATAGTATAAATACTTTCAGTTTCAGATAATTATCTTACCAGTTTCAAAAAAAAAAAAGGTTTCTTTCAGTATATATAGATACAATCAAAATATGTTTTTAAATAAATGCTCTTTAGACAAACAATATTCTAAATTATATAAAACTAAATCAGATAAATAATGCAATCAAGAATTTGACAAAGCAAAATTATAAGAGCCTGGCTAATTCTATTGCTGGTTACCACCGACCTGCCTGCTATTCGGTCATCCATAAGTAAGGGATAAATAAAAAATTATCAAATTTAACAATCATTTTTTTTAAAATTTCATATGAAACATATTTGAGCGTTGATTGTTCTTTTTGTTAATTTTGATATTTGAACTTATCTATATATTATTATAAATAATTCGTATTATTATTTATTTTATACATATAAAATGATTAAAAGACATTTGCCAGCTTTAGGTGCTGTTTTAATAGGTGTTTTAAGCGGTTACTATATCTTTTCGCCTGGGTAAGTAAAGATAAACAAAAGTTATTGGGTATCATCATCGCTAATCAACTCTTATTTTATTTATAATAAAATAGACTTCAACAAGTTTCAAAAGAAATGAGAATCGAAAACGATATTAAACAACAACAACAACAGCAACAACAACAAAAACAGCAATAGAGACTTTGTAATTTATCTTATATTTATTTAAAAAATAATTAAATTTAGAAAAGAACATTCTAACATTTGTACTGGTAACTTTAAATAGAATCTTGTTTAATAATAGATTTTAGCACATCACCTTGCGAAATGACTTGAATTGGTTTCATTGAATCATTTACATGATAGATTCTATGTACTTTTGATAGTTGGAATTTAACAAGTAACTCCTCGAGTGATGTTGTATCACGTACACAAATTACAGTAAAGAACTAAATAGACATCATCAAAGATAAGAAATAAATTAATTAAAAAAAAAAAAAAAAAAAAGATAGTTAGTTACAACATTGATTCATCAACTCTTTTAAATTTCTATACTTACTGGACTAGCTTTATCTTTTGGTACCATTTGTGTGAAGGTTCTGATTGGAAGGAATAGACGACTCATTAAACCACCGTCGTATCCTATCATCTTCAAGTCACTTACACTGATGTTTCCAGTGAGTTCACCTTTATCATTCAAGATGGCTACAGCGCTGACCTTCTTGTCGTAGATCAATTGGAATGCTTCAATTGCCATGTTATCATCGGTAATTGAAATGACATCGGATGTACCGAGATTGCTGATCTCCTCGATCTTCTTTAACAATACGCCATTTTCATTGAACTCCATCACATGATTATTGATGAATTCCAACACACGCGACTGTGTTAGAATCGATACCAAAGTACCTTCACTGTCAATCACTGGAACTCTATGAACATTCCACTTTACCATCAACTCAATTGCCACCTTCAAAGGAGCAGTTGCTTCAACTGGTAAGAATGGATTTCTCGCTGATAAATCTTTATAAAATATACAATTATTATTAGTAAAATATTTTATCGTTAAATATTTCATAATATTTTTTTAATATTTACCACAAATTTGACCAACTCTGTATTGTTTGAAAATTTCTTTTGTTTCCATAACCATATCCATTTCAGCCATTTCTGTCTTTGTTAGATTTTTCATACAGAATGCAACAATATCTATCATATCAATGAATTTATTAAACTTTCGATGTTCAATGTCATACACTGGTAATGATAGTACCTTCTTTTCTATCATCAGCTACATTTATTATACCAAAAATGAGGTATTAATACAATCAAATAATTTTATAATAACTGTGATTTACAAACCTTAAAAGCACTGAAAATATAGTCATTTGACTTTACACTATAGATATCCTCTGATTTATTTGGTAGGATATGACCAATAGATAACATTAATTGATTCATCTTATTTTATCTCTTTTTTAAAAACAAGTTATATTTATTATTATTATTAATATTGATTTTAGACTACTCCTTTTTATTATAGATAATATAAAATTAAAATTAAAAAAAATGAAATAAAACTATTGGTGGAGTATTAGAGTGATATGTTTCGTTTGGAGTTATCCTGGTTCTTCATAGTTTTTGTTGTTTGTTCAAAGTTGTGGTCACTCGCTCGCTCATATGAAATTTTTTTTGTTTGTGCTTAAGTTCGGCTGTTTTAAGTAATGGTTGTTGTAGGATTTTTGTTATTCAAAATCTGACTTGTTGGTATACCATTGACATAGAATTGTCAAAAAAAACAACAACAAAAAAAACAATAAAAGAAAATTTTGAGGACTGTTTAGATTTTTTTTTTTTCTTTCAAAATTTTCTAAAGATAGAAATTTCCTTGACATTTTGTTTTTTGTATTTTTTTCATACGTACGAATACAAGTTATTTCATTTTATAGGTTGGGTTTTTTTTTGCAAAAAATTTTAAATTTTTTTGGGGGCAGACACCACAGATCTACTAAAATTTTATAAAAGGAAATAATTAATTTTTTTTTTAAAAGATATGTGAATGTAAATAAATACACTTCGTCGTCTTTTTAAAAACAGGGTTTGAATTTTAATGAATTATTTTATATTAATACAATTTTGATTTTAGCATAAATAAAATTTATTTTATTTTTCTATTTTATTTTTGAATAATAATAATCAAAATAGACAAAATGATAAAAAACAAAAATATGTATCTTTTTTTATGTAATTGATATTTATTTGTTTGTAACAAAAAACATTAAATCGATCTTTTCAAATAAAGTAAAGATTGGTCAATCGTTTTCAAAAGATATTTAGTTGTTTTTTTTTTTGTAAAATTTTTTTTTTTGATACATACAATTTTTTGTTTTTTTTTATGGTGGATGTTGTTTTTGAGTGGATAGTGACTTGCAAAACAAAGAGTGATAGAATTTATATCTATATATTAAAAAATCAAGAATTCCTAAATCTAATAAATAAGAAAAGTAACCACCAACTTCTTCTCAATATTCCAATACTTAAAAGTTCACCCTACCTATCAAAGGTTTCACATTGTTGTTTAAATAACCCTGGGTAGAACTCTAAATTAAACTTTTAATTATAGAAATTTACCCTCTTTAATAACTATCATTTATTAAAGTTATAGCATTTTTCTTACCAGTTAAACTTTTTATTCAGTTAGACCAATCAAATCAGGTTATTTTATTTATTTTTTTTTTTTAACAATCGTAGAAGTGGTGATATCGGTGTATTTTGTTATTACTGTTTTGTTCTGTTCTTGTTGTTTTTGGCTTTAAATCAAAAGTGAAGTGACAGTGAATCACTCTCAGATGCATTCTATTCACCATCACCATAACCAGGCACTTCAACAATTGCACGGTTATCTCTATAAGGAAGGTGGTATCTATAAAAGTTGGAAAAAGTAAGTAAACTTAAAATAAAACAACAAACCGACAAACAAACAAACAAACAAACACTAATATAATATTAAATCAATATTAAAATAAAATTAGGAGATGGTTTTGTATTGAAGGTGATTGTCTGAAGTATTATGTGAATGAATCGAAAACAGAGCTAAAAGGTAGTATTTTGATCAGTGCGATTCTCTCGGTGAAGCCGATGCCTCAGAAATCATTGTCTAGCAACAATATAGCGACGGTATCCGATCAATCGTTATTCTCGACTCTGACAGATGTAAATAGTAGTGGTGGTAGTAGCGGTTCGAATTCACGTTCTGACCGCGACCATTCAAGAGACGGCGGAAAAGAAACCGTGTCTGGCTCGCTCAGCAAAGGAGCGAACAACCCTCTGTCTCGATCGATGTCAAGCACTTCAAACCGACCGATATCAATGTCCGGGTCGATCATATCGTTTCACAACACCGGTATCGGATTGAATTCGAGTGACAGCGGCAATAGCGAATGGATTTTCAGTGTTGGAACACAGCCGAGAACCTATACTCTGAGGGCAGCCACTGAGATTGAGATGTACTATTGGATACAAGGATTGCGTGGATTGCAGTTGGAGTCGAACCTACTGGCGTCAGAGTCAAAGAAGAACGACCGACCACTGAGTAAATCCGGTGGTATTGCTGGCGGTAACCACAAGAATAACAACGAAGATATCGATTACTACCGATCAGAAGTGCAACGACTGAAATACAGTATCAATGAAATGAAACAACACATTCAACAGACAAAGAAAGACTTCCAAATTGCAGTGACCGATCATAAATCATTTATATCGGTGATTCAAGAGCAATTTACATTGTACAAACGACAACATGAACAACCACTAAGAAGACAGAATTCAAACATTAATAATAATAATAATAGTAATTGTAATAATAACAACAACAACAACAGTAATAATAATAATTGTAACAAATCTTTAGATACATCAAATTCTAATAATCAAAAGAATGTTCCGCTTCAACAATATCCTCCATCAAAACATCCAATTACCGATCATATTGCACCGAATGGTATGGCTTTGTGGCAACCTGACGCATCAACACTAAATTGTTTCACCTGTAAAATTAACTTTACATTTTTTAGAAGAAGGGTAAGTTGAAATTATTATACTATCATCATTATTTGAATAATCAACTAATAGCAAAAATAGCATCACTGTAGAAACTGTGGACAATTATTTTGCTCTAAATGTAGTAGTCATTCTGCAAAAGCACAAGGTTATCATGAAAGCGTAAAGGTTTGCATTCAATGTGCACAATATATTTGGACAAAGCATGAACAAACTCAAAATGTTCTTAGTTTGTCTAATTAAGATTTATTATCACAAATAGCAAGAGCAACAATAACAACAGCAATAATATCACAAAACATAATTATTATTCTAATAGATAATATTTGTAAATCAACAACAAACCAATCAATTATTTAAAGAAAGATGATTTATTTCAAGTAAAAATAAGTTCTTCTTTTGACTCCACCAATTCCAAACATCAAACAATCAAAACAAAATTAAAAAAAAAAAAAAAGAAAACATAATTGGTTTATGAATGATTCATCATTGTAAGGATTATGTCTATCCATATCAGAATGATTTGTTCAAAAACCGAAATCAATCAATCATATTTTTGTTTAATTATTAATAATAAATAATCAATCATTTGATTTTCAATGGCTTACGATAATAATATAATGATGATGGTTTTTATCTTATTTATGAAGGTTTATTATTGATTGATCCTAAATAATCTTCGAAATGTGTTGACTTTACCCATTCGTAGGTTGAAACCATGATAGCACATGCCGGTGCAACTTTTGCAACTCTTGGTACCATTCCCTTAGTGAGACCAACCCATCCTTCTTGTTTGTATATCGATTTTGCGTGTTCGATTGGTGATGTCGAGTTTAATATATGCGATGTACCTGTCGATGATCCAGCATTTGTTACAACCTGTTTATGTTGAACTGTCATTTGAATTCTTGTCTTTATTACATCGATTGGTGTTGTCAAAATTGCTGCAATCGATCCACTCAGAGCACCAGATGTAAAATTAATTAAAAATGGTGATGGTTTATTATTGTTATTATGATTAAGTGTTGTTGTTGCTGTTGTTGTATTATATCGTGTATTAAAGTAATTCTATAATTAATGATAGGACAAAGAACAGTCTAATTAGTTAACTATATACAAATTGATGACTTATTATTATTATTATTATTATTATTATTTAGTTTACCTTAAAAACCTCATAGCCTGACCAATAGAATGCAGAGAATGGTACATCACGAATTAGAGTTGGTGAAAGACCACGCCACAGTCCAGTGAGACCAACGTTGTTAACAATATCTCTAATCATTGGAATGAGATTGGTTTTAGAGATACCTTGTGAATTTGTTCGGATCAACTCGAAAGGCGATGTAACCGATGCCGATATCACTCTTGCAAGTGAACCGGCTACCAACGGCACCAAATATATATTATCGTCATCTTCTTTCTTGAATTTCGATAGATTTTGTTTTAAATGTTCATATGTTGTAAAATATCTGTAGAATTGAGTAGTATTAATAAGTTAGTATCAGTTTAAACTTTGCTATATATATATATTAAAATAAATGTTAACTACATACATAGCAGTACTTGGTATTGTCATTAAAAGAGAGGGTGTCAGTCCTCGCCAGAGTGCAGATACACCCTCGCTCTTTGTGATCGTATAAAAAGAGGTGATCGTACTTTTTAGGTGAAATGGATGTGTTGTAGATGATGTCTGTTGCCTTGTTTTGACTACATCGAGTGGAGTCACTACCAATGCAGTAACCATTCCACCTATGATCGAGGCAAACATTTGTTTCTTTACACTGAATTCATTGGTTGACAGTGGTGTAATTGATGTTATTGATGCTTCATGTTTTATATTATTGCTATTATTATTGTTGTTATTTATATGATTAACATCCTCTTTTTTCTCAATCTTTATCTAAATTTATAGGTTGTTTTTTGTTTTTTACAAGAATGTTAGTTAAATTGATAAATATTATATCAAACAAAATGTAATGTACTCACTTTACTCATCGTAATCAATCAATAATGGTACCAATATATATATTTATTAATTAATGAATGAATGATTTTTAATTAATTAATTTTTGTCGTCTAAAAAAAAATAAAAATAAAAAATAAACTAAAAACAGTTTTTAAATAAAATATAAAATGAAAGTGATAATAATAATAATATGATTATTGTAAACAGAGTATTGTTTTATAAAATACACTAATCATAATTGTGTCAGTGCACGTTTATCAAGTTGGTGATTTAAATTAATATCGATTAATAAATAGATTCTTAAACAAATTTTGTTATTGTCGTCAAAATTTTGCAAACGAACTTAAGTTCCATTCCACAAGCTTTTTTGGAAATTATGTGTGACGTATTTATTCACTTGGTATGAAAAAAAAATATTTATTTAACTACAAAAAAAAAAGAATGATTTTTAGTGTTCCTCACAGCCAACTCTGGAATAATAATTATAACTACATTGCTAAACTTTCAACTGAAAAAAAATATTAAAATAAACTAATTTATTTTCAAACTTTAAAGAGTTAAATACAATTTAATTGTTAAAAAAGAACAAAAAAACAATAATTTATTTTATTTTATTATACTTTTTGTTTTTTAACTGGTTGTTCTTCTTCACTTTCTTTGTTTTCTTCTGATGGTGGTGTTGTTGTAGTAGGTGTTGATGCTGTGGGTGTTGTTGTTGGTGCTGTAGGTGTTGTTGTTGTTGTTGCTGGTGTAGTAGTTGTAGGTGTTGTTGTTGCTGCTGGTGTAGGGGTTGGTGTTTCTTTTGGAGTGGCTGGTTTAGTTTTAATTAAAATAACAGCAGCTCTTAAATAGGATCTTTCATACTCGCTACCTTCATTACCAGTAGTACTTGTGATAGCTCTATGATTTGGTTTGGTACCACTTAGTGATTTGTATGGTATTACAGAGTGAGCTTCGATATCCAAACCGTTTCTTGACAATCCATCGAAACCAGTGATACTATTGAGTCTAAAAGTAAATTTTGGATGATCCATAACATCGCTATTCTTCTCTAACAGTCCTTGTGTCCTTGGTAGAAGCGAGACTGGTGCGCAATCGTGATAGAGATAGCCAGTCTCTTCAATCTCCACCATTCCAATGCACGGGACGGCCTGCAATTTTTGAGCGATCGATCCAAAGAGCGCTGCATGTGGTTTGTCTTTACCCTTGAGTTTGCCAAGTGACAGTGTTTTCGTTGTATAGCTATGCTCCATAATATAGATCATTATACCGGTTTTCTCAAGTATATTCTCCACCATTTTCTCGACGCCAGCCACAATCTGCTGGGATTTGATCATCGAGCCAATGTCCACCCCCTCGAGTGCTCGCTTTCCTGACTTCAAAAGATTGTAGACCAAACATATACGATTGCCATCGGTGACCGGTTTCACTTCGTGTGTACAATCGGCGTAGAATGCGCAGTATCTGAGGGTGGATGCATCAGAATTTTCCAGTGAGACAGTATCCTCCTGTCCAGAGTGTGAAATAACGAGATCGCCACCTTTGTGCTCGCATGGCAGTGTGATAACCAGAGTTCCAAACATCTGATCCACTTTCTCTGAATCTTTGTGTGGCAAGAAGAATGCTCCCTTGTCGTAGATCAACAGCTTATAGAGATCGGCTTTGATCTTCTCTCCGGCCATTCCAAGCTCCTGAGCAATCTTTGGGAGTATTTCATTGAGAATCGGATTGATACCGGCGACTTTGAATGAGGACTTGTCCATCTGCCAGACTTTTCTAACATTTTCGTCGACCACCGTCTCTGTTCCCTTTCCGTGAGGTGCACGCACGGAGGCATCGACCAACTGCTTCACCTCCTCGTCAGTCGCGGGATACGATAGACTGCCACTCAATATTTTCTTGGCGGTGAGAGTTGGCATCGATGTACACTTCAAGCTGTCCGCATAGAAATGTTTACCGAATGACATGACATTGGACAGCTCCTTCACTAATTCTTGATTCTCCTTATAGTAGATACCTTCAAGTTGTTTTTCCATCTTTATATGTAATGTAAAAATTTGAAAATGACTTGAGAAACTTGATTACATCAAATAATATTAATGAATGAGTAGTTGTTTTTTTTTTGCTTGTTCAAAAAATCTGTTTGGAAATTTTTCATAATTTTTATATGTGGGTGCCCACAAATTTTACCAATATTTTTTGAAAATGTTGAATCTTCAAGTTCGCGCCACCCGTTGGTTACTCAAAAAGAATTATTAGTTCTTTTAAAAATTTTAACGTTAGACTTATAAGAAAATACTTTGATACATGTAGAACTGCACTACTACTAATCAAATATAATACTTCAAAATAAAAAAAAAATACAAAAATAATTATTGTTTCTTATTCCTTACTAGTTCGTTTTATTTTAAAATGGTGATGTTTCTTCAATAAATTGAATAATCAATCTAATTAGATTAGAAATACTTTTTAACTCAAGAACTTAAATTTAAACATTTTTATTTTTCTGTTATTAATTTATTTTTATTTTTATTTTTATTCATTTTTATTTATTTTTTTTTATTTATTTTTTTTTCAATTGAATAACCAAAGTTTCATGAATTTATACATATTACACAATCAATAAATCGTCGATTGATAAGATATAGATATAGATAAAGAAAATGTATCAATATATAATAAAACTACCAAATATAAAACAACAATCTTTTAGAAATAGATTATCTTGTTCAACTTTTTTAAATAATAGCGATGAAGTAGAGATAGATAATAATAACAGATTAATCGTTATAGATTCAACTAGTATACTATCACAAAATGACTTAAAGGATAAAATACAAACAATTACAACAATACCAAATAATAATCAATATTATTTAAAAGGTTTTAAAGATGATGTTGATAATGATAATAACAATGTAAATAGTAATAATAATAATAATGGTGTTATGTATATAGAGATGATGTTTGGTGTCGTCGGTGGTAAAGGTGGTTTTGGTTCACTCTTGAGAGGTAACTCTACAAGAGTAGGTCAGAAAAAGACAACGAATTTCGATGCTTGTCGTGATCTCAATGGAAGACGTCTGCGTCATGTCAACAATGAGAAGCGACTCAAAGAGTGGTACGAATCGGAGGAAGCAAGAAAGGCCGCTCTCGAGCAGTTCAAAGAGTCACTGAGAGGCAAGCAGGAAAAGGTTGCATTCAATCACGACGATTACATGCAAGAGGATGAAGAGGTTGCCAAACGATCACAAGATGCTGTCGTTGCTGGTCTAGCAGCTAAACGTAGACAACAACAGCAACTAAAAGAAGCTTTGGTGGCTACAACCGCTGCAGTAACAACCTCAATGGAGGAAGATGATGACGATAGTCAAGATGAAGATCAAGAAGACAGCGATGAAGATGAACAATCAACAAGCAGCACAACTACAACTACAACAACGACAACAACTACAACTTCCACGACATCAACATCAACAGCAACTACACCGAAATCAACAACAACAACAAATAAGCCAATGGCATTATGGGTACCTGATTTTGAAGACGAAGAAGAGGAGGAAGAGGAGGTAGATGATGAAGAAGTCCAAGAAGAACTAAAGAAACTTGCAGCAAAAAGTAAATCAATCACAAGAAGATAGATAGATAGATAGATAGATAGATAGATAGATAGAGCGGAGTGTTGGTATGGATACAACAAGTAGTCAACTTTACAAATAAATATCAAATAATAAGAAATCATTCAATCATTCTTAAAAAATTGCAAACATGCACCAAATAATAATAGATAATTCAAAAGAACTTTCAAAATTCTTAAATTTATGTGTGGTTGGTTTTTGCTGGTCTAAAACTTTACGAATAATTTTGATCATTCAAGAAAAAGTCAGATATTTTTTTTAAATAAATCATCATTTTTTTAAAATTTAAAAAACCTTTATTCATATTTCTGTTTTCCTTTTTTATTAAATCATTAATCAATATAATATATTATTATTATTCATTATTATTATTATATTTTTTGGTTATTTATTAATATTTTCACATATTATTAATAATTAATATAATAAATATATATGGGTAATACACCTAGTCAAGAAGCATTCAAAGTCAATGGAAGACCATTGGCAGCATACTATGATCATGAAAAGGTTGGAACAACCGTTGTCACCAGGACATCGTTTCTCTATTACAATGACAAGACACATCAACTGGTGAATACGGTTCAGTCAAAGAAACCAATAAGTTATGTCACCTATAATTTCGATTTAGATCTATTGATAACTGGAGAAGACGATTTTGTCATTCGTATTTACAAGGTAAATTACAATTATTATTATACATGCAATTGAATTGACGTTAATATTAAATATTTTCTACTTAAAATTTTCAAAGGCTTCAGATGGAAGTTTCATTGAAAGTTTACCACCTAGTGGTTGTACTATACAAGAATTGAATTCACTGGCACACAACGATCATGTCAAAGTAATATTGTTTATCGATGATAAACATTTGTTGTCGGGAAGTACCGATGGTTCCATTAGAACTTGGAATTTGGAGACCGGTGAAATGACTTCGGTCTATGTGGTCTCTGCTCCCGGACGTTCGGTGATTACCGACGGTGCGGTGACAGGTGTCACTGCGTTGGTCTACGACGAGAAGAATCATTTGGTGATTGCAGGTTGTGCTGACGGTATCATCCGTAAGTTCTCCGTTGAGACCAGAGCAGTGGTTGGAACTTTCGAGGGTCACAATCGTGGTGCCATCCTCAACTTGGTGCTCACCAACAACGGACATCTCATCTCCTCGTCAATGGATGAAACTATTCGTGTCTGGAACGTTGAGACCACCGAATTGGTTTGTGGATCCTATTTCTTTGCACAGGCATTCCACTATGATTCACATCGAGACATCCTCTTTGGTGCCAGTGACAACGGAACTGTTGCTGTTATTAAAATAGAAAATGATCCATCCGATCAATCAAAATGTAAGTATAGAAAAAACATTCGATAACATGTCATTTTCGTTCGGTTTATTAATTCAAATCCAATATTTTATATATTTATAGATAGTTTAAAGAAATTGAGTGTTTTAGATTTCAAATTGCCAGCACTTTTGAATTTATATTATAATACCTATGCAGATTGTTTGACGGTTACATCTATAGAGTCAAATATTGGATTCCTTCAAAATGTAACTGCAATTCCTCATCAAAATATCAATGTGAAGCGTGTAAGAGGTAGAACATCTTCAATTAAAAACAACCAACAGAATCATCAACAAAACCAACAGGACAACGATAATGATAATGGCGATTCAGATAGTGAAGAGGATTTAATAGATAATGATCCATTGTCATCTGAACAATTGGAAACAATTTTGAAACAATTGGCAGAGATTGAAAGCAATCCATCTTTAATCAAACATTGGAGTATCGATACTCTGACAAACGATCGTCTTAGCAAGTTGTCACAGTTGGGATCGGACTTATTCTTGGAGGACGATGAAATCAGTCAGATCCGTTTGAAAAAGTATAACGATGGTATCAACGAACTACAAATGACTAGATCAGAGTTGGAAGAAGAGTTTAGTGGATCTGTTAGATCTTTGCTTGGTTCACGTGCAATGTTGTCGGCACTGCATGTTGACACCGCTCGAATGTCAAAGGAAATGAAACTGTCACAGCAACGACAGGAACTAATGGATCGTCATCGTCGTGAGTTGGAAGAGTTCCAACAGTATTACGACAGAGAGATGGAGCAGTTCGAACAACAACAACCGATGCAATCGAATCGTGCAGCCAAGCAATTCCTTCAACGCACAGCTGCCTATGCACAAGCTCAAAACGACTTGGAACTCGCACTGAACGAACACATCTCCACATCGTTCCCAGTGATCGCATCGAAATATCACATCGGTGGAATCATTTCAGAGTCTGCCACCAATGTTTTCGGTGGATTCGACGCACATTCCTTGAAGTCCGTTGCCATCAAGTTGATGCCACCCGGTATCACTTTGGCAGCTCAACATCAACACAGACATCTCACTCGTGTCATTGAGACAACCTCCAGTCCACAGGCATCGTACATCGTCATGGAGTCGTGCCGTATGGATCTGAGTGAGTTGGTCACCGAGTTTGAGAATCACCTGCTCCCAATCGACATGGTGAAAACCATCATGTATCAACTGCTCGATGTTCTCTCCTACCTGCACTCCAACAAGATGGTAAAGCGTGACCTCACTCCATCGGCAGTGATGGTTGGCGACGACAACAAAGTAAGAATTACCCATCTTGGCTTGATGAAAGCACTGACCGGCCAATTCGACAACGAAGTAACCGTCGAGGAAGGAGTACTCTACGGTGCACCCGAGCTATTCTTACGCGTCATTACAACGGAATCTGACATGTGGGCAGCCGGTTGTCTGTTGGTCTACCTTCTACAGAATGAAGAGGAGAGATTGCGTCCGTTGTTCGACGCACACGATGTCAACTCAATGATTGCCTCGACTGTTCGCGTCATCGGAAGACCTACTCACACCGATGTCGAGTCGATGATTCGTCAGTGTACCTCCATCGATCAAGCCGGAAGAGAACTACTCAACTCTGCCATTAACCAGCCTGTTCCACTCGAAGACACCATCGACATTCTCAAAAAGCATATCTCACGTACCGACATTGATAACGATGCATTCAACCTCATTCAAAAGCTATTAACATTCGTACCTCAAAATAGAATATCTGCACAACAAGCATTATCACATCGTTTCTTTACCAATAATAAATCAATATCAAATAATAATAATAGTAATAATAACAATACAACTACAACAACAACAACTACAACAACTTCAACCACATCAAACAATCAACAACAAAAACAAACTTCGACTATTACTACACCAACACAAACACCAACTTCAACAACAACAACTACTACTACAACCTCAACACCAATTATTCAACAAGAAGAGGTTGAGAATGAAGTAGTTGTTGGATCTACACCTGTTTTAAAGCCAACAAATAATAATGATGGTGTTTCACCAGATACCAAAATAACACCACCACCACCAAATACGGTCAGTTTAGAGGATGTAAGCAATGTTGAAGTTGTTGCAGCTGCAGCTGTTTCAGATGATACTGTTGCTGATACTGATGCTGTTTCAGATGTTAATACTGATACCCAAGTCGAAGAGAATAACAAAGAAGATGACGATGATGAAGTTACCAAAGCAATTGAACAACTATCAGCCACAGAGGAATCTGAAGAACAAGCAGTAAATGACCAATAATAATAACAACAATAATCACATCTACCATCCATCTTTGTAATTAAAAGACAATAACCAAACGAACCAACCAAGCAACCAAATTTAATAAACTTTCAAATAAACTTTCTAAACATAATATAATATTTCGCTTTCTATCTTAATCTTACAATTACTATATACAACTATTATTATTATCTATTTATTCTTATATAGATGATATATATATTCAGCTATCACCAAATATAACAGATTCATTCATATCATCACCTCTTTTATGTTTTTCTCTTACTATAAATATATTTTATATTTAGTTACTGTTTGTATACAAAAAATATTATATTTCAGTAGCTTACATTGATGATAATGATTCATAGATTGTAGTTCTTCTTCACCTTGTTTTATCAGTGCTTCAATTGTTTCGAAATCTTTTGCATTTATTGTCTTATGATCACTGTTGTAATCATCAAAACAGTATTAGTAGATATTATTAGTATCACATTAAATAGTATTGATATTCTATTATATTCTTCTTATACACACTTAAATTTCTGTCTTGTATAAGCTAACATCATTTCACGACTTGAAAACTTTGGACATTCTAAGCTTGATCGTATACACCTTCTATATAAACTCAAAACCAATTTTTTATTTTCTTTTATTACTCTTGATGACATATTAGTTGTTAATATCTATATATATATAATAAAAAAATAAAATAATTTTAATTTAATCTTTATTTCGTCGAAATGAAATCAAGCAATGATCAATCTTTATGCAAAATCATTAAACAAAATTATTTAAAAAAACCCGCCTTCATTGATTAATTATTTACACCCTTTGAATTTTTTTTGGAATAAAAAACAAATAATTTTTAATATTAATATTTTGTAACTTCATTATAGTTGTTGTTCATTATTTATTTATATTTATACTTATTATACATAGAATAAAATAAAGATGGTAAAGAGAAAATCAAAACAACCAGAGCCAGAACCAGAGGAAGATAGCAATGAGTTTCAAGTTCAAGAGATCTTAGGATCAAAACATGTTGTAAGTACAGAGCTCTCTAACAAAGAAAAGAATATAAAAAACATTAATATTTTGATATTGATATTCAACGGATCAGAATGATAGAACATATTATTTAATACAATGGGTTGGATATGAAAGAAAAGATTGTACTTGGGAAAACTCAACACATGTTTTCTGCGATGAACTTATACAGCGATTCAATAAGGATCTCGACAAGAACAATAGCACAGATAAAGAAAAGAAAGCGCTCGAAGTGGAATTTCCATTTCCCGAGGAATATAATGACCCCAACTATCAGTCGGACGACGAAGCCGAGGAAGAGGAAGTGAAACCAGAGACAAAAAAAAAACAAAAGAAATCATCGAAATCAACTAAAAAATCAACGCCCAACACCAAAAAGAAACAGACTTCAACCACCTCAAAGACACTAACAAAGTCGTCGTCAAAGTCGACACCGGTCAAAGAGGAGAAATCGAAAGCAAAGCGAAACTCCACCTCTCACCTAAATGAAGTGCACGCCGGTTTCGAGTATGGCGACAAAGTTGAAACCATTCTAGGTTGTAAGATGTTGGATCAACTAAGCTTTTATGTAAAATGGTAAAGTGTTTGTTGTTTGACCGATTGGCAGTCAAGAATCAATCTAATCAAAACTGTTTGCTTTGATTTGCTTTTTTAGGGAAAACAAAGAATCGTTTACATATGTACCAAATCAAATAATTAGAGAGAGAGAACCACAAAAACTTATAGATTTCTATCAATCAAGAATACAAGTGAGTATCACCCACTCCATAATAAACAAATATCAAATCTAACAATGTTTGTCAAATCATTTATCTATAGTTTGAAAAAAAGAATTAAGGAATAACGATGGTAACAAGCATAACATTAATTATCATATACAGCTCCACAAAGATAAGATGAAAAGAAAGAAGAAAGAAAGAGAGAGAGAGATGTCAATGATTGTTAGAACAAATGAAGTAGAAACTTACTTTCATTTTCATCAATTATACTATCATTAGCCAAATATTATGTACACTTTAATTAATAACAATAATAATAATAATACAAAAGCAAAGCAAAATAATAATAACCAAGCTCAACAAGTTAATTAATAAATAGCTTATTTATAAGTTTTTTTTTTTTATATTCTTATTTTTTGTTGTTGTTTTTTTATCTTCTACCTTTTCTTCCAACTGTAATCCAACCATCTTCATCAGGTTCGTTTTTCTTTGGTTTTGGTTGTTCCTCTTCAACCATTGTGTCATCTTCCATCTCCATATCTCCAGATGCATCACCTGCATCAGTATCATCATCACTCGAATCATCATCCTGATAGCATCATGATTGTTAGTTAACTTGTTATTTGTAGTTTAATGTAGTGAATCAACAAAAAGATAATCACAACTTACCATTCCACTTGGATTTATACATTGGCTAATTGCAGTATTCATTTCTGTTCCGACTAATTGTACAACTTCATTAAACATTCCTTTGCAGCAAAAATTGAATATTTGTATGATGATTTCCGATACCTCTCTGTAAGAGTCATCCTCTGCGATTGTATTTAACTCGTTTGATAGACGATCTTCTAGAATCGACATAATCATATCTGGATACACTGGTTTTCCCATTAAGAATAGATCCAGTATATCTTGACGAATATCTTCTGCTTTCTCTTCCGATGATCTACCACCCCATGCATTCTGAACTGCCAACTGCAAAGCAGTCCATTGTAAGAAAACTCTCTTTACAGCTTGATCGAATACCTCCCAAATCTGTTCTTCTGTTAATGTTTGTTGTATTGGTTGTTGTTGTTGTTGTTGTGGTACTTGATTCATCATTATTATAATATAAATAATTGCAAAAAAAATAAATATAGAATAGAAATAGGACTATTTTAAATTACTTTCGTTCGTTTTTTTTTTTTAATATTACTATTTTTGAATAATTTAATTTATTTTTTTAAAAAATTATTTTGATTGCAGTGTTTATTGTATTATTGTATCACTCGGCAACACTTCGCTTTCAATAATATCATTGATTGGTCTTTTATATTATGTTATTATGATATCTTTTATTTATTATAAAATTTTAAACTTTTAAATACAAAGATTAAAATTGAAATTAAAATCAATGTTAAAAATAAATAGGTTCCTACTGGTGTTTTCTCTGGTTTGGTACTGTTGCTTGTTGTTGATGAATTTAAATGCACTTGCTCTAGTAGCTCAACACGATGAGCATTGCCAATGTCAGTGCGAACTATGAAAGATACAGTATATTTCCTGCTGACCAGTCGGTTGGATGATGTCTGATTCTTGGGAAGCAGTGTCGAGTTGTCATCTACACTAGCAAAGTAATGAGTAAGGTAGAATTCATTGTAGTTCACCGCTATTGCTATATCTCTATCGCCACCGGTATGTTTGATACATGGAGATAGATCGTCGTAGCTACAATCGGTTACATTAAACTCCTCGAAATCCGTTATCTTCTGACCATAGTCAGTCCAACAAATTGGTTGTTTGTCTTGTTGCAAACCATGATTATTATTATTATTATTATTATAACTATTAGTTTGTTGTTTCTCTAAAAGATTCCATCTAAATGTTAAACTTTGATGATTATTCATATTACAAATACCTGTTCTATCCAAACTTTAATTAAATTCTAAATTAGTTTGTATTTGTTTTGGTTTATATAAACTTTACTTACCCATATTCTCTCATACCACACATGTATTCGGCAAATAGTATTTCGACAGGTTTAAGGTAAAAGTTTTGTCTCAAATATGTAGACAGCGATGCCAGCTCTGTTCTCTTAAAAAGCAATCCATTCACACCGAAAGATGTTCTAATAAATTTAAAGCTAGGTAAATAGATTGTTGACTTTTTAATTAGATATGATAGAGTTGATAGTGAATTCGGACACATCCTAACATCGTCCTCCATAAACATAACATATTCACTCTTTTCTTTTGATACAATAGATAAAATATTTGATAACATCAATGTTTTTTCTCTTTTCTAAAAATATATTTTTAATATCATTAGTTTTAGTTATATTAATAAATTTACAATATACACTTACTATTGTACTTGGTATTGCCATTGGATTATTAATATCCTCTGGAACTATATCATCTATATCGTTGATGGTGTTTGTTTCCATGTATTTGATGGATTTCAGTTTGTATTTGCCAGCCAGTGTATTGGAATGATATTGTGTTGCATTATTACTATTATAAAGTGATACTATAAACTTGATATTGTCATTCGTATTTATATGTGTATTGATTGTGTTTAATAGATGACTAATGGACTGCTTTAAATTATCATAGTTATCAGTATTAAATGTTGATTGATTATTTATTTTATAATTAATATTATTGTCAATGACCAAATTTGTTAAAATGATTATATTGATTGTTTGATCTAAGTGATATCGTTCTGTATCTTGCTTCTGATGATTAGATATCAATGGAAGATGATATGATTCTTTCTTGGGTATCGATTTCAATATGGCATCTTTCTTTTTGGTAGTATAATAATTATTGATATTATTGATATCGGTTGTATATATATCTTCTCCTTGGTTATGATGACGATCTTCTATTTCATCATGATTTAAATAAATATATATAGATAGATTGAAAATGACAACTAAAACTAACAAAACTGGAAAACAACTTCGACATAAACTAGAAATTTCTTTCATTTATATATATCTAAATATTATATATATATATTATTTAGATATATATACTTAAAAAAATAGATATATACAATTTGATTTATTTTAGGTTACTGCTATACAATCATTTAAACAATTAATTTTTTATTCATTATTCATTAAATTAGTTTAAAAAAATAAAGTTGTTTATTTCACCCCACCCCAAACACACCAAATTTGCTGATTGATTTAATTGGATTGGAAGCTATTTAATCCAAAAATAAAAATTAATAAAAAAAAAAAAAAAAAAAAAGTCTGAATTTAATCTTAACCTTACCATATACTATTAATAAACTGTTATTCATATAAAAAAAAACAAAAAAAAAAACAAAAAGATAAAGAGTCTGAATTCACCTTTAAATAAATAAATTGTATTTTTATTTTAGGTTGGTACATTGTCACTTCGAACTCGTCGAATTTCTCAAGAATGTCCGTGATGAATGGTAAATAAATGCTATCGACTCCACGCTTCCAGATATTGTCATAGTCGGCTGAGATCAATGCTTTCACACGATCCCTTGTGTCCTTAAGGATCTCTGGTGTGAGGTAGGTTACTATCGATTGAATGCCAACCATCATTCCGTGTTGAATGTAGAGACCAGCGTTTTCGTTCAAGTTGATTTTACATTGTTTGTTGACGGTTTCGCGCATCTTTTTGATTTGAGTGCATTCGGAGTATGGATTCGAAAAGATTGAATAGAGAAGTGATTTCAGACGATTGATGTGCTTGTGGTAACCGACTGTGAAAGAACTGTTGACAATGAAGTTGATTCTGGTATCCAGAATGGTAAAATTCCAACCATCTTTGGATGGTGTATCGTTGGCTATAATATTTAAAAATTCATTCTCGCTTTTCTCCCAGAAATTGTTGAAGCGATCAAAGTTATTACAAAATAAATCGAAGGCCATGATTTGACCCAATTGTACATATTTCTTTTCATTAAAAAACTCTTTTATATTTAATTCACCAAGTGGTTTTCCTTCTACACACTCCATAACTAGTTTTATGAAAATATTAAATTAAAGTTAATAAAAAAGTTGATATCTCTTTATAAATAATAAAAATATTTACCCAAGAAAAATTTCTTTTTCAATTCTTTTTTAAATAATAAATCGGATGAAAATCTTTGTAGATTTTTAGACATTGAAGCGAATTCGGGTGTAGAATATTCAACTAAACGCATGGTTGGAATTGGGATACGGCATATGGTAGCAAGAATGGAGGAATAGACCTCTTGTGTGATATTGTTTGATGTTTTCAACATTACTTTAAAGTAATGTTCCTTGTCATCGACTAACTTTGAAAATGTAACGTAAAATAAACTGAATGTATTCTTTTGATTTTTATATTGACAACTTTCGACATGGACAACTCGACTCCAGTCCAAATTATGAATGTTTGATGGTAGTAGTTTGCTGTTAGCGGGGGGTTGGAATTTGTCGGATCCGTCAGAGCTGCTATTATCGTCTGCTATACTACTACTGCTGCTACAATTCTTGTGACTACTACTACTGCTTCCTATACTGCCGCTATTCAAATGCTTCTGCATGTTCCAGTCTTGTTGCTGACAGGTTGTAATAACGTTTGTTGAGTTGCTAACACTGCCGCCCAGACTGAAATTATCGTCTATAAATAAATGGGTACTACCAGCACCACTGCTTCCACCAGTTAGAAATGTAAGACTGGTGGACAAGGTTGGCTCTCTCTCCATCTTATGGAAAATAAAATATATATAAAATATATATATAGGAAAAAAAAGATATTTTTTTTCTACTTTGTTATTTCTACTATTTGGTTATTATAATATGATACTAAAAGGAATAAAATTTTAATTAATGAATTCGTATGATATATATAAATTTATGTATTGTTGTAAAATTATTGTTGTTATTGTTATTGTTATTGAGAGGAATGGAATTTTAATGGGAAAAACAAAAATAAACAACAATAACAATAATGAGTGGAGTGGGATTGCTATAATTATGAATTATTACTGTTGCAACTAGTTTGAATGAATAATACCAATATATAAATAGTAATGAATTAAAAAACAAATACGAATAGTGTGCTAAATATATACTACTTAAACTAATATAAGTATAGAGGCAGCAGAGTGAAAGGAAATAGAAAGAAAAACAAAAACTATTAATGGTATTATTATTATTATTTAATTTTCATTAATATTACTAAATACTATTAATTATATGTTTATTGTTGTCCTGACTGAATGAATGCTGAATGACAATAGTCTGTCTGACTTGTTGTATTACTATAGATGGTCTAGAGATTGGACAAGATAAAATACAACAATAAAAACAATAAATAATATAAAAAACCTTGAATCCTGGAATATGGAATAGGTGGAAAATTATGAATATTGAAAATTATTTATTATTAATGTTGAGAAATAGAATCCAAAATGAAATTAAATTGAATTGGTATTTTTTTATATTATTGTTTGATGGTTGCTACTGTTTTGAATCAATAAACAAATCCATTTCATTAATGTTGATGTATCTTTCCGATACTCTAGTAGAGTGGATTAGTGTCAAACACAGACAAACACACCAAGCAGATATACACCCCTCACCAAAACAATACAACAACAGTTAACTCAAATTATTAGTGCAAATTTGATTCTTTATTTGTCTTTGTTTGATGGTGGTAGTGGTGGTCGACAGATAGGTGGGTGATAGAAAGATGTGTGGTAAGTGTGGATCATATATACATATATATAAATAAATATATATGTATAAATATATGTATATATAAATTTTGAAGTGGTTACTCATTATTGTTGTTTGTGGTTGTGGCAGTGGTGTTGTATTGTCACTGCGAGAAAATAAATATAAATTAATGCATTTGCGAAAAGTAGATATTCACAAGAAGAAGGAAAGGAATATGATTATTATCATCATGTTTATTGATATTACTATGTTTTCTTGACAATGACAGTAGTTAATATGGGATGGGGTACGGTGATTTGTAATTGAATGGCTATTATGGTAATAGTCAAATATGACAATAACACATTGTTATTGATTCAAAACAAATACCAGCCAATAAGAAGTAATTATATATTTATATAACATAATAGTTTCACGATAATATTTCATTTCCCAACGGACACTCAGTGTTTGTGTGTTAGTGGATAGATAGATGGGGTTAAACTTATCTATTGACTGTGGTAGATAGAATGGTTGTATACAAAACCAACGAATCAGGAAATAATGATGTTATTGATATTACTACTATTGTTGGTGTTGTTGTTGTTGTTTATCGATATGATATGTTTAAAAAAAGTGAGGGAGAGATAGAGATAGATAGAGAGTGTGTGTTAGATTCAGAGAGTGTAATATCCAAGAAAGGTAATTCAAAAAAGCACCATATACAAATATAGTTAAGTATTTATTGTTATTGCATACTCAACGTTCTTTGCCCCACAGAGTTGACACACTATAAAATCGAAATGAACAATTAAGAAGAATAAGATGTATTATTACTATTCATCTTTGTTGTTGTTGTTATTGCTGCTGCTGCTCTTACATTCACAGTACTGTATATTATCATCATAATTAAAATCATCATAATTATTTGCATCATAAATAGTATTTATACTACCACCACCACTACTACCACAAACCAACAAACAAACAAATAACAATAAAAAAACAATAACCACAAATGAAAAACCATATAATATAAATAGTACTATAAATAAAATAATATGAGCTAATTTATTTGATCCACACACACTAACACATAGATTGATTAAACAATCCCCCCTTTTGTTGTTGTTGTTATTGTATATAAATGGTTATTATCATTTTGTCATATATGGTATAATCTAACCAAACAAATGAGGAATTGTTGTTTTTATGTGTTTTACTTCTTTTTTTTTTTTTTTAATTTAATTTCATTCATTTCGATTGGAGCATTTGTGGCGAAAATAGGATCGATTGATCATTGGTGAAATTTAGTTTTATGGTGTGGTAGTATAAATATACTAGAGTGTGGTGTGTACGAATGATTTAGGAACTGAAGTTGTTCCGCTTTGGCATTGGTGTGAAAACATATGATTGATCTGTATATGATTGGAAACTATGTATTTTTATATATAGATTAAAACAAATCAAAAATAGAGATGGAATTTTTCTAAATCTTTACCTTTTATTGGTTTCAATTTTTAATTGAAAGTTATATTTAGGAGGAGTACAACAGAATTGTTGAATTATGAGGTTTTATTGGATCTGCTTGATTAAGTCTATTCTATACTATTTTTAATCTATATAATCTATATACACATAATATACACTTGAATTTAATTATAACTACTTTATCTGATTGATCAAATCAATAATCAAAAACAATAAAATATATTAAATTAAATCAATCAATAAATAATTTAAAGATTTGTAGTTTTGTTTTATATTATTATGAAATAATAACTGTGTTGTTGTTGTTGTGTTTGTGGTGTTTGAGTTATTTTGATGTTTATCTAAGTTGTAAATATAATTGTTTGTTCTACTCTTGACAGAACATCTTTTTTGTAGTTGTAATTCTTGATGCCACTAGAAGAAAAGAAGGAAAGAAGAAGGTAGATGGATTAATTATAATTCTAATTAATTAAAAAACAAAATAAAAAAAAAAAACAAAAAGAAAAAAAAATAAGTAGCTCCTCATAAAGAAAATTTAATAAAATCAAAATGGAGAAAACTATTCATTAAAATTAATCACACAAATTCTTCTATATTTAGTAAAAATTAGGTGAAATGATAAAAATTTCCTTAATGAGATAATTCCTGATTCACTGTTGTAATGGGGGATTAAAATGTTTTTTTTATTTACCTTTTTTTTTTGCAAATTGAAAAAAAGGGTATGTGGGGTGGTGTTCCCTCATCAAACAAAAAGTAAAATCATATGAACAGGACCAATACACACTCATTCACCCAGCAATGCCTCATTTTAGGAAATCTTTTCATGATCATTCATATTTGATCCCCACTCTGTAGTGTCTTTTCTTTGAGGTTTCTAATTTTTCGAAATAGAATTCATCACTGCTGGTGATTGAGAGTGAGTGTGTTTGCACAATGGAAATATTTGATTATTTTCAAGATATCAAACCAAACCCACCACACATACCCTTCAACAAAGAAACACCTCTGACATTATTCAGATCTTTTTTTTTTTTTTTTGATTGATTTTAGTTCTTTAAATGGAATTCAGTGGTTGATGTGTGATATGGATCTAGGTTGATCCTTCAAATTTTTGAATTCAAAACCACACGTTTAATATTCAGTTCAAAAATACAGACCAATCATTAATTAGAATTACACAACAATATTATTCAGACAACAACAAGATCACTCACACCCCTTTCACCTCAAACAACAATAAACAACTGATTTATTAAGTGCAAACAAAACAGTAAAGTACAAGTATGAGGAAAAAATTTTCCTTTTCTAGTAAAAATATACCTATGAGTTGTTTAGTTGGAAGGTTATGTGTTAAGTTTAATTATTCATTGATCATGTATTTTATGTTTTGTCAATATCAAGCAATTGGTGATTGTTTTTTTAATCATATGATATCCATTCATTGGTAATTACTATCTATTCACCAAAGATATACAATTAACTATCTCACGTGTGAGTCTTAATCAATAAAAGTAAGTTACATTACTAGGTTTGTTACTTTTCTAAAATCTTAGTAAAAACTGTGAGATGGTTTGTTTCTTTTAAATGTATTTTAAGTTGTTTCAGACCCTGTTCAACATAATCAAAAAAATAAAAAAAATTTGTGCAAAAATAAAATAACACAATATTTACTCACACCCCAACACAACACACAAAACTGAACGATACAAAAATTAACAAAAAAAGTAATTATTTGAACTAATGTGTGCAATATCTATTATTCACTACAAAATTTAGTTTAATTAAACTAAGATGAAACTTACCAAGTGATAAGAATATCTCCAAAGAAAACTTCAAACCTTCTGGTATCACTTTTTATGTACCCATTTATTTCTACCATGGTAATTAATTATCATGAATATGGGTGTATTTATAATCTTTTTTTTTGTTTGTTTTTTTCTAACTGACTTATAATGGTAAGTATTAATTAAATTGTAAAACAGTAATTGATTGGCAATGTTAATTGTTTGTATCTTATAAAATAATATTTGGTTGATATGAATTGATTTACAAAATGGTTGTTGTTGTAGTTTGGAAATAAATAAATATTTTAATTGTTAAATTTTTTGAATAACAAGGTTGCATTAGTTCCACCAAATCCAAATGAATTCTTCAGTACTATATTGATTGATTTTTGTAGTGGTTGGTTGGCAACTAAATGCAATCCAGCTGCATGTGGTGTCGGTTGTTGAAGATTGAGATTGGGTGGGATAAGATTATTATTGAGCGCCAGTATGGAGAATATCGATTCAACACTACCGGCAGCACCCAACAAATGACCAATTGCACTTTTATTTGAAGTCATCGCTAATCTACTACTATTGTTATTTGAATTATTTCTATCAATTCCAAAGAGATCGATAACTGCTTTGCATTCAATGGCGTCGCCAAGTGGCGTGGAGGTGGAATGAGCGTTAACATAGTCGATCTGCTCGAGTGGATTGGTTATCGCTGCCTCTCGGATCGCCTGAGACATTGAACGACGCGCTCCTTCGCCAGACGGCTCCGGTGCCGAGATATGGTGCGCGTCCCCACTGGCACCATAGCCGAGCACTTCGCAATAGATGTGAGCTGACCGCGCCAAAGCATGCTCCAGCTCCTCCAGCACCAGAATACCAGCACCCTCACCCATAACAAATCCATCTCTTCCTTCGTCGAACGGTCTGCTCGCTTGTTGCGGACGATCGTTATACTTGGTGGACAGTGCTTTCATTCGAGAGAATCCTATGATCGACAACGCATTGATTGATGCTTCCGTACCTCCACACAACATAACATCCACTTCACCATACTTTATCTTCCTGAATGACTCTCCAATAGCATGAGCGCCAGTTGCACACGCAGATACCACTGAGAGATTTGGTCCTTTAATCTTATTCAATATACTAACAATTCCTGACGCTTCATTTATCAATATCCTTGGTACAAAGTAAGCACTTAATTTATTCATTCCCTGTTGTTGTTGTTGTTGTTGTTGTTTGGTTAAAATAAAAGTAACGATAACAATTAGTTAATAATCAAAAACAAACAAACAAACTTGGAATAAGTCAACACTTACTTGTGATTTTATCTTATCATATGCACTTGTAACTTCTCCTAATGCACCTATACCACTACCTATATAGACACCCTTATTTTTTTCGAAAGAAATAATAACAGTTGTTAATATTAACTGGTGATTTCGATTTGACAAATCAATCATAAACATTTGTTGTATTTACTGTTCTTTCTTGTAGTTCAACATTATTGAGGATATCTAATTTTGAATCTTGTAAAGCGTCTTGTGATGCTACAATTGCATACTTTATGAAATCACTACATCCTGATCTAACCTTTAAATAGAACGATTAGAAAAATGATAATTGATCAATCAACCAACCAACCAACCAATCAACCAAGCAAGCAAGCAACTTGATTAGTCGAACAAAGAATCACTATCATACTTGTTGTGGAATTAAAGCATCATTGAATTGATATGGATGTTCATCACCTCTTGGTATCTGAGCGGCTACCTTACAAGGTATATCTTTAAACTCCTCGAACGATAACGGTGCTATTGCACAACTAGAATCTACCAACCTACTCCAATTATGTTGTACACCTCTACCAAAGGGTGTCAACATACCTAAACCTGTAACAACCACTCTTTTCATTCCTCTACTGGTTTTATTCTATTTTATTTTTCTTTTTATTTTAATGTTATAATACAATAATATAATTAACAATGTTAAACTAATCAGTCATATGATCAACCAATTATAATGCTTAAATCATTGAAAAAAATTTAACAAATAAAAAAACGAAAAATAAATCTGATAAGTTAACACATAATCATTATTAGATTGTGACACGCAGTTCACTGTGATTCTTGACAAAAAAATAAAAATAAAATAAAACTATTTATTAATATCTTTTTATAGTATTATTATTATTTATTAATTTGATTTGGTTGGTGACTTCTTCTCTTTGTAGGTTCCGAGTAACTTATCGAGCCAGGTGAAACGTGATCCGTAGTTGCAGGTGAACTCCTTGTGATGGTAGTCGTGGAAGGCGGTACCTCCGTAGGTTGGCAACAAGTTGAATGGGAACAATTCAATGTCGTATCCAGAGTGGGTGAGCACTGCATCGAGTTGACGTAAGATGAACCACGAGTAGAATGTAATAAAGTGTGGTCGCAAAATGAATGCTGGTGCGAATGTTGCCAATCCGAGGAATACAACTTCAACTGGGTGTGCATAAGAAGCTGTGAAACCAAATGGTGCAGTGTAGTAGTGGTGCTCCTTATGAATGTTCTTGTAGAACCATGGAGTATGGAAGAATCTGTGCATCCAATAATGGAAGAAATCCTCTCCAATCAAACATAATAACATATCAAATAAAAATCTCCATCTATTATTATAATAATAAATAAATATTAATTAGTATTTATGAATATTACTTTAGGTAGTATTTGAATGATTATAATACTTACACAGGTGGCAATGGAAGGGAATGTTGCATTCCAAGAATTCTCGAGAATGGGAAAGAAATGATTCCAAGTGGAAGAACAATTAGAATATAATTTGTAACAAGGTTATTAATACATCTTTTAATATCATCGCTGGTTGGATATTTCTGGTAAATGTAAATCATATAAATTAATAAAAAAGTGTATGAAATTTTAAAAATTATTATTTATAATTACCTTGATTTGAATCTTTCTTGATTGGAACCAATGGAACTTGTCACAGAAATAAAAGAATAAACCACCGAGTGCATAAAGAAATGCCATTGAGAGATAGAAAATAAGGAACAATCCAAATTCACCGTAGCTCTCTAAAATCCAGAGCCAGGTATATTCGATAAAGTTTGTAGGTTGTGGATCTGACAAGGCGATGCTGTGTACCTCGCTCGATTTAAACAACTCGTACAACTGTTCTCTGATTTGAGCAATCATTTTCTTGTTGTTATTCTATACGAATGTACTAGTGTATTACTACCGCGATAAAAATACGTAAATTTGATATTTAACCTTGATAAAAAAAAAGGTAAGACAAAAATAATAATTTTAAAAACAAGTACAAGTACTACTAATAACTATATATGAAATAACAACAATATATATAACAAACTACAAAGTAAGAACTTCTTTTGCTTTGTTTTGTTTTTAATTAGCTAACTACTAAATAAACTATGATGAATCACTAATACAAAACAAACTAAAAACAAACAAAAATAAAAAATAACAAAAATAATAAAAAAAAAAAGAAAACAAAACTAAAAAAACTTGAAAAATAATACTTTTTGGTTTAGCCCTCCACCATCAGATCATCTTGTGCTCTTCTTTTTTATGATCACTCACTTCATTCGTTTTAAGAAATTCTTGTCTGAAGTGTGATGAAAAAAAAAAAAAAGATTTTTAATTTTTTTTTAATTTTTTTTTTGATTTTTTTTCTTTCCAAAATAACCTTTTACAGTTTGACCTTCATCATAATTAGTGATCATTGTTTTGTTTAAACACTTAATCCACGATCAATTTCCCACTCGAGAGTACTTTTTAAGGATTCCAAGCAATCTAAACAAGTGACGAAAGAGTGACGGAATTCAAATAGAATTAAGTTTACCAATATTACACACTAGCAAGACAACAACATTGGAAAATGGATCAATTTATCAATAAATTTGAAGAATCAGTTCAATCTACATTCGGTGTCGATGTTAAGGCCTACGATGAAATCGTCGGTTACAAGAATGCCACTTTCTACCTCTCATGGGCATTGAGTACAATCATTGCTTTTATGGTGGTGCGTTGGTTGTTTGGATCGTCTTCGGCTCGTTTGCCAAAGCGTGAAGCTCGTCCCGTTGGAGTTTCACCAGCATCCAAAGGAACTGGACCAACTATCGAGTGTGTCAATCCAGCCACTGGAAAGCTCATGGGAACCGTCAAGGCTCTCAAGGCTGACGAAGTCAAACAGACTTTGGAGGCTGCACGTATCGCCCAAGCCGAATGGGCAGAGACCTCTTTCGCCGAGCGTAAACAAGTACTCCAGGATTTCATCGACATGTTCATCAAATATGAAAAGGAAATCGTTGAATCCTCAATGAGAGATACTGGTAAAACAAGTAAGTTATTAGATTATTAGTTAGTAATGAAAGTTAATTAACAACAAATCTTTTTATTTTTTTTTCTGTGTACAGGATTTGAAGCAACATTTGGAGAGATTTTGACAAGTTGTGAGAAATTGAGATATTTGATCAACTATGGTGAAGATGCTCTCAAGACACAAAAGAGACGTGTTCCAATGTTGATGGGTACTAAATCTGCTCGTTTAGAGTATCATCCACTCGGTGTCATTGGTATCATCATTCCATGGAATTATCCAGTTCATTCGATTATCTCTGCTGCTGCCGCTGCCATCTTCTCAGGAAATGCAGCATTGGTTAAGGTTTCCGAGTGGTCCACTTACTCAAAGGTTCTCTTTGAGCAATTGATCCGAGAAGTTCTTGCCAAGCGTGGACACAATCCAGATTTGATTCAGTTGCTTCCAGGTATGGGTGAGACTGGTGAGGCTTTGGTTCGTAGTGGAGTCGACAAGATTTTGTTCATTGGTTCGCCAGCCACTGGAAAGCGTGTCATGAAGGCTGCCAGTGACAATTTGACCCCGGTCATCTTGGAACTCGGTGGAAAGGATCCAATGATTGTTTTCGACGACGTCGATCTCGACTGGGCAATGGGAATCGTTCAACGTGGATGTTTCATCAATTTGGGACAGAACTGTATCTCGTCGGAGCGTGTCTTTGTTCACGAACGTGTCTACGACAAGTTTGCCAAGTCTTTGGCCGACCTGATCAACTCACTCAAGCAAGGTCCACCCGAATCAGGACAAGTCGATTTCGGATCGATGACCATGCCAGCACAAGTCGACAAAGTAGAGCACCTCGTCAACACCGCCATCAAGGAAGGTGCGAAATGTTTGGCCGGTGGAAAGCGTCATCCAGAACACAAGGTAGGTCACTTCTTCATGCCAACAGTCCTCGCTAATGTAACTGAGAAGATGACTATCTTTAACGAAGAGGCATTCGGTCCAGTTGCCACACTTGTCAAATTCAGCAATGAAGACGATTTGGTTCGTATGGTAAATGGTACTGCCTTTGGTTTGGGTTGCAGCATCTTGACTTCCGACTTGGCACGTGCCGAGCGTATTGGAAAGCGTGTACAAACCGGAATGTTGACAATCAACGACTATGGAGCATCGTATTTGGTTCAAGATTTGCCATTCGGTGGATGTAAGGAATCCGGATTCGGAAGATTCAACGGTCCAGAGGGTCTCCGTGGATTCTCACGTGAAGTCTCAGTTTTGACCGATCGTTTCGGTATTAAGACTCCAGTTCCACGTTTGATTCGTTACCCAATTGATCCAGCTGCAGTTGGTATCATTCGTCAAGCCATCTTTATGATCTATCAAGCAGGAGTATTCAACAAGATTAGAGCTGCCATCAGTTTCACATCTCAAGCAATTAGAAATCCAAAGTTATTAATGTAAAAAAAAATAAAATAAAAAAGACTAATTGTTGTTTAAACTTCTGAATAAATAAATGCTCTGGAAATAATTTTATTTATAAATACAATTGAATTTGTTGTTTTATAATTTATAATCTGGTGGTTGGTCTTGTTTTGATGTGCTCGGCAACAGATGGGATGGCAGCAATCTTGTTGTAGAATTGTATTAACAAGGTGAATGGTGCCAAAACTTCGAGAAGATTGTTGTGTGTTTGTTGATGGAAGTAGTCGAGCAATGCAAAGACAGAGATATCGGCAAGTGTAAGTCTGTTACCTACAAAGTGCTCACCACCAGCAGCCTTCAAGTGTTGTTCGAAACGGGTTAAATACTTTGGAGCTGTCTCTACTTTGAATTTGAGGTTGCTGGCTTCATTGTTGGCTGAGAAATATGGATTATAGACGTCCTGGGTAGCATGAACATATTGACTGATCAAGGCACGTTCGACTGCGGTGTTACCGTCCAAACCGTGGACCTCTGCAAGATATGATTCGATAGCGAGTGATTGTGACAAACTGATATTCTCATCTTCATAGAATGGGAGCTGTCCAAAGTTGGCCTTTTCTTTCAATTCAGCTGGAATCTCTTTTAATCTGACATCGTTGAAAGCAACACCTTTCAACTTGAGAATGAAACGAATTGTTTCAGCACGAGCTCTAGCATCGAAATAATATAAAGTTGGTTGTGACATTTTTAATTTATTTTGTTTAAATAAATTATTGAATCGAAAATTTAGTTATTTGTATTTTATTTTTAGTAATTTGATGTTTAAAATGATTAATCAGTAACATATTTATAGTATAATTATCAAATTTCAATATTTGCTTCCATCAATATCGTAACAAAAAAGAAGCATTTTTTGTTTTTTCATATGCTTCGCGATCTATTCTTTTCAAAAGACCTGCAAACACAACCAAACATTCTTTTTTTTTTGTAAAATTAAATTTAGTATTTTTTTTATTAATAAATTAAAATATATTATATTTTTTTTTTGTTTAATTAAATAGTAATTCGATTATCATTGTGATCTGTCAATTTGGCTGGGTGCTTCTAAACTTTTTTCAATGTCGATTGAGACTTGGTTGGTATTTGTATCGTTAGAATAGATTCCATCGGCATTCGATTGGTCTTCGGAGTTGTACAACTTCCTTACATCCATTTTCAATTCACCTTTATCTTCTTGGGAGCCAGATGAGTCAATATTGTTGGGCTTTGCTCTGTTGGCAGGATTTCTACTGACCAGAATTGCAATACCAACCATCAAAGTAGTAAAGCTAATAGAATCAACCAATCTATAAATATAATAGTTTGTATCGTTTTTATGGAGAAAAGCCCATATCAAATAAATATCTAGCATCATTATAAGAGTTACAAGACATGCAGACATTATTAGAATCTAAATAAAAAAAAAAGAGATGATTAATAAAGTTATTTTAAAAAGTAAATTAGTCTTTGTTATAACCTACTCTATTGTTTAGTGTAACTTTTCCAATTTTCCAATGTTTCGAATCTCTCCATAAGAGGAGACCGTAAACCGAATATCCAATACATAGAAGTCCTCCATAGATAATCATAAATAATATATAAATATTATTATAGAATAAATCGTAAATACTTGAATCATCTGGATAGTGAACTATTGGGATAAAAACTCCAATGAATACTAAATGAACCAAAATGAATATATAACTTCCATAATGATTTAAGGTAAAAATGGCATCTTTTACTTTGAAAACGTTCTCGTATAGTCTAACCCAGAGGAGTAAGAGCAAACTGTAGGATGAATACATTGATAACCTTGAGAATAGAAAACAAAACAGGGTTGTTTTCAAAAGTTTGTCAATGGTTCCATTTGAATAGCTCATTTGGTCATAGAGTTGGATAAAAATATATCTTACTGCCATATGTTTTTAGAGAAATTTATTAATAGTTTATTTTTTAAAAAAACAGGGTATTGAATGCTTACAAAACATTCCAATGGTAACAATATAGAATACTACCAATCTAAAAGTTAGAAACCCTCTTTGTTTAATGATGGATTTGAACATCATCCACACAATACTCAAAAATCCTCCTAGAAACACAAAGTACAAAGCTCCATTGGCATTTAATACTTTATTAATAATAGGGAAGAGAGGGGATAACATTTCCAAGTTCTCTTCTCTTAAATCCATTTTTTTATTTTTTTAGATATATAATTGTTAATAAATAAAAGATTTGTTTTAAAAAATGTTTTGTTTAAATTATTGAAACAATGTTCTTTAAATACTTAAAATAGATGATACACCAATTCTATTGACAATAAAAATTCACCACATCACATTGTTTAGAGAGTTTGTTTATTATAAATAAACACTTGAGTTTAAGATGAGAAAAATGTATAGAACATCAATGAGAAAGTGAATCCAGTATGATAGATAGTACGAAAAACATAAAAATTCTATCTTTCCCTCACTTGTACCTCTTAAAAGTTTGATGATCAATCCAAATAGGAATGAATATAACACCCCTATTACTTTTTAAATCAATAAAGAAAAACAATAAAATAACACAAAATTTAGTTCACATCTAACACTTAACACACAAAATCATACAAGTTATAATTTCTTGGGGCATTACATATAATTTTTATTATAAAAATATATTAACTTAGGTGTTACTGTTGGTAGTGGTGGTGGGAGTAGTATCAGCAGAGGCAACACTACTGTTTATATTGTTATCACTTGAAATATTTTTTTCTTCATCATTAACTGAATTTGTTTGAATACCATCTACTTCATCTACACATGAGTACATTCCATCCAAACTATTGGCGGTTGAAATTTCTGTATGAGGTGAAGGATTGGAAGATGGAATTTGATCCATATTAACATCGTTAGATCTATTTTTATCAGAGAAAGTTTCGTTACTGTTTTTTGAATTTTTTGGTGAGGAATCATTCTTTCTATTTAATACCAAAGCCAAACCTAGATTTAGAATAATGTATATAACTGAATCGATAGTTCTGTATAAAATCATATTGTTGTCTTTGTTTTGTTGAACATATTGGAATACTAAAAATATTTCTCTTAAAATAATTATCGAGAATAAAACTATTGATGTTATTAGAATCTAAAATAACGAGTAAATGAATAAATTAACAATTGAAATCCTTTTAAGTTGAATTTTTTAGAATAATAATAGTTTACCCTATCATTTAAAGCTATTTTTGTATTCTTTTTTGATTCTCTCCAAAGCAAAAATCCAAAAATGAAAAATCCAACACCAACTATAAATGAATAGATAATAATAAAGAGAATATATATATGATCGAAGAACAAAGAAAACATTTTGGAGTCTTCATCGAAAGCCATTATCGGAATGAAAATTACAAGGAAACTGACATGGATTAAAAAATAAATATAAGTTGTAAAGTGTCTGAATTTAAAAATTTGTTCTTTCACTTTGAAGACATTGTGGTACAGTCGAACCCAGAGATTTAGTAGCATTCCATATGAAGTATAAATAAGTAGTCTTGATATTATATAGCCTGCCAAAATTACTTTTCTAATGACTTTTTCATCATAAGAAATCAAATAGTATGTTGAGATATTTATGTATCTTACTAATATTAAAAAAAATTTGTTAAATAATTATTAATCTTTTTTTTGATAAATCAGATGGAATATTTACAATAAGTTCCCAATATAAGAGTTAAAAAAATTGCTATTTTAAAAGTGATTATCTTTTGTGACCTTATCATTGATTTTACAGTTAACCAGCCTATCATGGCAATAGTAACAATGAAAACAGAATATAAAATGCCATCTGAAATTTCAACTGACTCTATTTCCCAGAAATAAAACTGATTGTCAATGTTAGATAATATAGAGTCTCTTGTGATATTTTTACTTGTACTATTAGAATTGATCATTTATAAAATTATAAATTGTTAAAATAATTTATTATTGATCTGATAATATTTTCTGAACAAATTATATAATGTGAATAGGTTTCTTATATAAAATTTACACTTAATATTAATAGTTAAGCAAAACAAAAATAAAGTTTATTCTAAAAGACAGATTAGCTGAGAAAACACAACTTAAAAAACCTGTTGGTTATCGTATGTTCAAAGAGGGATTAAAATTAGAAAAAAGAACAAACTATATTTACCATCACCCACATATTGAGCAAATTTAATTGAAATAGTTTCAACTTTTAAGCAAACCATCTTCAATATTAAGCTGTGATTGTGTGGGGAAACAAATTTAAATGAGGTTGGGGAAATAAATAATATTGAAAAAATTTTTAAACAAACAACAAACTGTGTGAATGAATATCATTTGCCAAAGCTAGTTGATAAATTGATCAACTATCATTATTATTATTATGTGAAAAAGAAATAAATAAAAAAAATATATTAAATGTTATTTATAATAAATAATTTATTAAATTTAATTAAACTTCACCATCCTTCCAAAGGAGGTGAAATAACACAACTAAAAATGTTATCGTGCATTGTTTGGGTTATTGAGAAAATATGATTCTTTTTGTTTAAAAATTTGGGTAATACAATTTTTGGTTGCTTTAAACTCTTTAAATATTTGCTTGGATTGCTTGGAAAAAAGAAATTGATTGATGAATTATTATTACTATTATTGTTATTATTATTATTATTTAGAAAACTATTAATATTAATATTTATACTATTATTGTTAATGTTGTTATTACTATTATTGTTAATGTTGTTATTACTATTATTGTTATTGTTATTGTTGTTATTATTTAAATTATTATTTTCTTGTTCGTCACTATCTCTTTTTCTTTTTTTATCAGCGATTGGTGAAAAAGATGATTCGTGTTGTAAAGGAGAGGGTGAAACTGATTTTTTGCTTATTGGATTAAAAATGAATTCGGAACTATATCTATGTTGTAAACATTTATGTGATGGTTTAAAAGAGTCCTCTTGCTTGGAGGTGTTATTGTCGTTGGTGGCAGAGTGTGAATCGGTAGTAATAGTATTTATGGTGTGTATGGATTTAGAGGTGGTATTTGTGATTTCTTCGTCGTCTTCATCGTCATCATCGTCCAGCAGTTCAAAGAGGACCAATGGCTGACTGGCGAGTATTTCACGTTGTTTAAGTTGATGTGAGGTGGTGGATACACATGTGGGATGTATGAGATTGAATGTCTCAAGCTCTGGCAATAAGGAATCCATCTATTTGATTAATTTGATTTTTGATTGATTTGATTGATTGGTTGATTGGTTCTAATTAAATAAATAATATTATATAAATGTAAAAATATTTTTGTATTTTTTTATATATATAAAATAAAACTATTATCTTTTTTTTTTTTTTTATAAAAATAAAAGTTTGTTAGTTATTGATGTTGAGAGAAGCAGATAAAAGAAATAACTGTTATTGTATTAACTCTATTTAATGACAAGAGTGAGAGGAAAATAGAAATAGAGAAACTTAAGAAGAGACCGCAAAATAAGTAGTGAATATGGTGTGAGTAACAGAAGATTGTTGGTTGGTTTAGAGTAGCTGAGGATGTGTCTATTCAGATGGATAAGGTAAAGTGGGGTGGTAAATTAAATTAAGTAATGTTGTTGGTTATTGTTATACTATTATTATTGACAGTGGTGTGTGAGTGTGAGTGTGTTGGTGTGATAATAGTAATATAGTGGTGGGCGATTGAACAAATGGTTAATTAATTTGGGTTAACTATTAGAAATTCTAATTGGATGGTGGTGGTAGTGGTAGTGGTGTGTATGTTTTAGTGTGGGTGTGGTAATGAAATGAGTTGAACTGGGCCGTGGTGAGGGTTTAAGTGTGATATATAATATTAATATAGATATCGTATCCAATGTGTAAGATTATATATAGTGTTGGGCAACAACAACAACAGCAACAACAACAACACTAAATATACAATAACAATAATTCGATATATGAATTAATGTTAGAAAGTTGAAATGATTACAGTAATGATTTTATACTCTTTTAATTGACAATAATAAAGTTTACACATCAACAACAACCAACAACAACAACAACAACAACTAACAACCACCCACTTTCACCACCTCACAACAACAACAACAACACGACTCTACCATATTTATTGTCATTTCTTCTTTAGATGTTGTGTGTGAGTATCATTCTCACCCTATCTCATATTACCATTACGCACTTTTAGCTTGTAATATAATTTTCTGGTGTGGACAGATACATCTGTTTACAATCCCAAACTAATAGTTAAGATGGATTTGTCGTATTATCAGTGAACAAAAATTTAAAGTGGTGGGGTGTGTTTCTGATATAAAGTCATGATTGTGTGGTGACATGTGATTGTTTATAGTTGTTGTTGTTGTTGTTGTTTTAAAAGTGTGGTGGTATTCCATGTTTGTAGCTACAAAAACTCATATAATCGGCGACTTTAACACATCATTCTACCCGACTATCTAAATTTCAGGGTGTAAACAAAGAGTGAATGACAACCATTATAATTATCCTTTTGGTTTTGGAAATTCCAACACACTAAAATATCCATTTCATCACCATCATCAACAACAACTATAAACAACAACACACATATTCCAATGTCATAATTAATAAAATCAAGTGGGGTGTGGTTATTTAATGAAAAAGTAAAAAAAATAAAATATTAAGTTGATCGTGTGGTGTGTGTGTAAATTTGGTGGGTTAATTAATAGTCTTATATATATGGATATATGTATGATGTTGTTGAATTTTATTTTTAGTTGAGATTCAATAGATCAGTCCACTTTTGGCAAATCTATAATTTCGAAATCCATCTGTGATTGGTTCTCAGCTTGGCAAAGGTTTCATCAGATGTGTTTGTTTATTATAGAATGATTAAAGTAATGTGCTGTTACTATTGAGTGATGTTGGAAGTGTTGTTTGTTTATGTATGAGTAAAGTGGATTTGTTGACGAATGAAGAAGTGGTTGTAGTTGTTGGATGTGACAATGGTGTTAATAAACCAATTAAACATTGATTTAAACAACATATTAAAAATAATAATAATAAAAACAAACGACATCAAATATGATGAAATTTATAAATAAAAAAAGGTGTGTTAACTTGTTGGTTGTTAAAATAATAATAATAATTATCATTATTTTTTTTTTTTTTGATGTTAAAGATATTTGTGGTTATATATATAACACACAGATAGATAAAACGAATGAATCAATGCGCTGATGTGTTAGGTGTGTCTGTTGACAAGTAAAGTAATTTCCAACTGTGTAAGCAGTAATGTCATATAGATCTCAATAGCATGACATTGCAACTTTAGGTATAAAAAGGTGGATGGTTTAATTGTCGAATCAAATGTAGTGTATTTTTTGAGTAAATAGGGTGGTCGGTGTGTTGGTGTTGTCGATATATTTACACTCAACTATGATTATTGGATGTGTTGTTATGGTCAGGTGATAAATCCGTTTTTCTTCGTGTGGGTGAGTGTGGTGTACATTTATGATTGATGTTAACAATTAAAATTATTAATTAATAAATTGTTACGGATTGGTAGGTGGGTGATAGTGTTGTGGAATATGTTGTTGTAATGTAAAATATTTTTATTTTTAAATCAAAAAAAAAATGATTGATTTCAAAGGTGGTATTGATTGATTATGATATACATCATAAATGGTAATAAAACAGTTGGTTGATCACTTTAATAAATTTTGGTTGATGAAAAAAGAGAGAAAGATCTTTCCAAACGTGTGTCTCTGCATTTAAATTAGATGAGACAGACACATATGTGAAGTAACAATGATAAATGGAAATTGTTTAAATAAATAATAATTATGATTATTCTGGGAGTAATTATATGTATTACATTGAACAAATCTACTCTGGATTTTGATTTAATGTGGTAAAATTATATTTAAATAATTATGATCGTAGGATGATGATAATAATAATTATTTGTGGTAAATATAATTTTTACAAAATATAATTATTAAGATCTTTTATATATAATTAAAAAAATGTGGTAAAAAAATAGCTACCAATGGTAAGCCGATGGATAATTAAATAATAATAGGTAGATAAGGATAGATAAAATAGATAAAGATAGAAAAAGGCAATGTAGACTAATATTTACCAAAAACCTGTTCTGATTCAATTGAAGTATTGTATTATTTTAATCTTGACTGGCCCGTTTAATAAAGAGTGTAATTACTACTACTTATTTTTATTGATATATTTTTAAATTGTGATTGATGATGGTTGACCGATTACAATTAATTAAGTGATTGATTGACGGTTTTGTTGTTATTATTAGTGTTGTTAAAGAAAATCCTTCTTTTTCTTTTTTATCTATCTTTAATATCACCACGATTATTTGTATTTAAAAATGGTAAAAGTAGAAAAAAAAAACAATCAAAACAAACCTACCTAAATAAAATATTTCAACACACAAAACTTTAAAAAGACTCTTCTGCTTAAAATATATAAATTCGATCGGATCTTTTTTTTGTTGATTGTGCAAATAAGAGAAATCCCCCACAAACGCTGGTTAGATGAAGTGGGTTTCTCAGTTGGTAGAGGGTGATATATTAAATTTTAATTGAAATTTATTGAAATGACAGACAAACAACCACACTGAATCCCGTGTCAACTGGTTAAACCATCAACCATACACTGCCACAATCAACAATTCTGCAAAAACAATTCACCAAAAGATTTAATTATGGTGGTCTTGTGTGGTTGTTGCTGGTTTCTGATGGTTTATGTTTTTTTTTTTTTTCAGGTTATGTGGGTGGTGTGGTATTGATTTGCATCGTGTTTTAAAACAAAATTCAAAAATCAAAAAAATTGAAGTCCTTCAAAAAAGATGAGTGTTTCATCTCTGAAAGGGGGTGTCAAAATAAAAAAAAAAGCTTTCAGATAATTGCCCGATTGAAATCAAAAATCAGAACGATTTTCTTTTTTTGTTTTACACACACCATTATGATCCAAATCCTTTTGATTTTCTCTACAAAATTAGATATTAAATGGGGTAATAATTTAATTGCATACCGTCAATGATGACATATACACAATCTACAGATTTTTGTATAAAAAAAGCATCGAAAAACAAAGAAAGTCAAAATAAAGGTTGTTGATTTGCTATTCTTTGCGAGTTCTCTGAATCACCACACTGGTCAAATTAATTAATTTTTATTGTGCAAAGCTTGATAAAAAAAAATTGTAAACAATTTCATTTTTATTTTATTCAATTTTTTTTTGACAAAATATTTTCAACCTTCTCAAATTTTCAATATTTTTTCACATTTTATTTTTATTTTATTTTTACTTTAAAGGATATTTTTTAGATAAAAATCATGATGTCTGATCCACCCCACCCACAGGATAATTATTGATTTTTTTTGTAATGGTAACATATAATCAAAAGAAAAAGTGGGGGGAAAAAAAAAAAAAAAAAAAAAAAAAAAAAGATTTTCGAAAATAAAATAGAATAACAAACTTAACATTATTTTGTTAATCACAAAAATACATGATCTTTTTGTATGACAATTCTATAATTATCGAACCCTGCATACCTCTAAGATTCTCTTTACTTTGGCTGCTTGTATTACCATTTGTGTGCCGGTGATTTAAATTGTTTGAGTTGTTTTTAATTTTTTTTTAAAAAAGGTTTAAAATCACACCATAAATCAAATCAAATCTTAATTAATAGTGAGATGTTCCCTGCCAGTAATAGAATGGACACTTAGCTCTTATAGGTAATTATTAATAAAAGCAGCAACCTGTGGTATCAAACAAAATACAACTGCACACTATTGCTACTGTTGGGAAGTAGTCGCAACCAACTTACATTAGACTAATCTTGAAATATATTTATCCAACACAATCTCTTTCCTACAAATGTTTCTATAAGAGCCTCTTTCAACAATAGATTAGTTGACATATATATCATGAAAGGGATCATGATAATTGTTTTTAGAATATTAAAATATTACTTTGTTTTCATTGTTCGGTCATTAGTAATAGATAAAAGTAATAATAATAATATAAAATGGTTGTGATATTATTCCTTTATTGGAGGATTTAATTTAAATTAATGAACTTACAAGTGTATGTGGTGAGTATGTTGGTTGTGGTGGTTAGTTATAAAGCGTGATATTCGTGAATGGAAAAAGCAAAATACAATTATTGGAAGGTTTGGATTGGATTTGTTTTTAAATTAAATATTTACATTTGGTCAATGTAAATTTGGAGGAGAATTGTTGTTGAAGCGAAGATGGTGTGGTGCGAGTGAAGCTGAAATTTGGGGTGATTGTTGTGGATTTGGTATCGATTGTTGTTGTTGATGATGGTGATTATTATTATTATTATTATTGTTATTATTATTATTTTGTAATTTATGGATTAGAATGTCGGTGAGAAGTTGTTCGATATCCGGTTTGTTTGAATCTTTACAGAGGTCAATGATCTCCTGAGGATTGCCTTGCTGGAGTATGTCCAGTCCGTAGGCGATGAGTTTTTCGACAACGTCGACACTACGGAATTGTATTGCAAGTTGCAGCGGTGAAATGGTTTCGTGTGGTGGTGTGGGGTGCTGTTGTTGCTGCTGCGTCATCGACACCAGGTGCTGGATGTTACTGTTGATGGGATAGCCTTTCTTGAGAATCATATCGATTACTTCGATCGGAGAGTAACGAATTGCCAGATTGAGACATGTCCATCCATGAGAGTCGGTTTCCAACAGTAGGTTTTCATCCATATCGACGATATACTCGGCAAAGTCGAGAGGACCATGCTTAATAGCCAGTTTCAAGGGTGTCCACTCGTCACTACTGATTATATCGATTCGTGAACCATAGTTGAGTAGTACCTGAATGATCTCTCTTCTTTGGTCAAGCATTTCACCACAAACTATCTTTCCATTAAAATTATTTTCATTATCTATAAATAATGCAATACAAAAAAGTTTGATTAATATTTGTTTTTCGCAGTCCATTTGTCATATTGCAATATGGTAAACACTTACTATTTAATTTAAAACCATAGATTTGAGTGTACATTAGAGGAGAATAACCTCTTTGATCAGTAGAATTTACAATTGCATTATTTTTTAATAATAATCCAACAATATCTTTGTCTCCAAGAGAACAAGATGTCATGAGAGGTGTTGTACCAATTCTATTAAAAAAATAAGTAAAGAAAAACATTTAGTTAGAAATAAAAGTAATATTTAAATATTTATAATAAATATTTTCTTACCTGTTTGGTATGTTGGGATTGGCACCTTTCGATAAAAGTTTTCTCACAATATCTATATTTGAATTTGAACATGAAATTAACAATGCTGTCATTCCATCGAGATTTTGTAAATCAAGTTCAATTCCTCTGTTGTGATTTGTGATGGTTAAAATAAATAAAAATTATTAATAATTAAATTTTATTAAAAAAAACAAGAATAATAATTAATAATTTACTTACTTTTGATCTAATAGAAAATCAATCATATCTAAATGGTTACAATGTGAGGCTAACATTAGAGGTGTCCATCCACGATTCTGACACTTGTAGTTTAAATCTGCCCCTGCTATCAACATTGTTTTCATACCTATCAAGTCATTGTGAAATGCAGCGATTAACAATGGTATCTTTTCGAAACGAGAGCTCTCGTATATGGATTGAGAACCCTCAAATTGTAGGTGTGAATGTGTTTTGTAGCGGATGGATGGTGTTGATGATGCCGATGATACAGGTGGTGTGGACAGCGAGAGTGAATGTGGTGGAATGGGTGGCGATCTTATTTGGCTGTGATGGACAAATTGGTCTGATTGTGTTGATGACGATGACGACGACGACGATGGCGGTGGGAAAGGTAGAGAGTCAGCAGGTGTTCCAAAAATATTGAAACTGTTGCTACGTTTTTTATAGAGATGGTGTGATTGTGAGAGAATGGGCGAACGGTCAATGGGAGGAGGTGGCGAACTCAGTAGGTCACCTGGCGGACGAAGGTGTTGTTGCATCCTTGGCGAGTTGTAGGCAGGCGAGTGTGTCACACTCGTTGAATATCGATTGTGTAAAGTGATGGGAGACATCGGTGCACTTGGTGTGGTGTGAGTGGAGTTGTTTCCACTGTTATCCATGGAGTTGGAGGAGTTGGAAGAGGAGGAAGTGGAAGCGGATCCCATTATTTTCGGGAGAGTTGGTAACATTGATGATGAGGTTGAGTTGGATGCAGATGATTTGGATGGTGAGGAAACGGGTGATGACGTCGGTGAGTAATGGGGAGGAGTGGCAGCGGAAATCGATTTCAAGCCATTGAGTTGGTGAGCGATTGCAATGAGAGGTGAGGTAGGAGGTGAATTTTCAAATGCACTGAAGCTGTGCGATTTCAGCCGGTTTGTAGCGGGATCGACTGGATAATGAGGGTGTTGGTGTGGCGATGCAAATGGCGGTGGTGGTGAAGGTGACGATTCATGATTTACCATTTGCGGTGAGTTGGAAGAAGCAGGGTTTTTCTCCACATAGCTCAGAGATGGTAGGTTTATTGAACGTTTTCGACCAGTTATATTGTTTGGATGATCCAAATTGTTGCTAAATCCAACACGTGGACTGTTAGGAGATTCGCCACCTCCATTGATATTCGGTGAAAAACTGGATATATTGTTGGAGGTGGTTGTAGTCGTGGTAGTTGTAGATCTCTTTATATCCATTCTGTCATCGTCACTATCTAAATTATATAACTTTAGCGTAGAGCTGGAAATAATTGGTTGTTTACTATTACTGTTGTTGCTACTGTTATTTGCTACGACAATGGAAGAGGACGAGGTGGAAGAAGAGCGTGAGCTTGGACTTGGTAACAACTCATCATCATCATCGTTGGAAAGATTGATAATGTGACTCAAGTGAATTTTATTTTTATGTGTATCCATGGATCAACAACTCTTAATGATTGATTTTACTACTATTGATTATGTTGCTTCTTAATCAATTAAGGAGAGGAAATGGAGATTGATTGACAAAAAAAAATAATAATAATAAAAAATAAAAATAAAATATTACTATTGTGTTTTTTTTTTGTTTCGAAACAACAAACTTGAAGAAAGGGCGGTAGGATCAGATCCAACAGTTTGTTTGTTTTAATTTAAAGATGATTACTATCAAGTGTCTATATATAATCTACAATCAATCTAATCTGATTAGAGCCCAGCTCAAGCTAAAATACTACTACTACTTCTACTAACTATTTAAAGTCCTGGTTGGTTGTGATGTATGTTGCTGGGTGTGTTTAATGATGCTGTTTTTTGAATGGAAAAAACAAACACTGTTGCAATATCTGTCTTGACTTCTCTCTCTCTGTCTCTCTCTTCGAAGCTGTGACTTTCCACTATGTCTGTATTTGACTCTGTATCTGTCTTGTATGTTTCGATGTGAGTTGGTTAATAACAACAATTATTATTGATAGTTTCAGCTTATACTGTTTTTGGGTGGATGGAGGATAAAACCTAACTAAGACCACACACATTTAAAATGAAAAAACAATATTTTTTTTTAATTTAGGACTTGTGAATCTTTTTTTGGATTTTTTTATGTTAAAAATGATTGGGTTGATGGATCAAAAAACCAAAAAGAAAAAAAAAAAAATACAACAAAGTTACAAAATTGGCGTGTCAAAGACTAACTTATGGAATGTTGTGTTTTTTTTTATTTGCAGTGGGGAGTGAAATATGTTTTTTTTTTTTAAACAAAAAAAAAAGAATGCTCAAATTAAATTTAGTTGGACTTTGTTATGATTGATTTATAATATTCGATTATTACTAAACAAAAAATAAATTAAGAAATAAAAAAAGTTTTGAAAAATAAAAAAAGAAAAAAAAACAAAACAAAATTTAAAAGATTGAAAGCAAGTTAAGCTAAGGTGGGTGAATGATCTTTAACTGGCAAATGTACAGTCAAATTGAGCCGACAAGTTAGTAAATAAAGACAATACACAAGTTTTCTTTTGAATGTTGTTTTTATTTCTCTGATTGAATTGAATTGCAATGCTCTTAACCAACCTTTAATGTAGTTGTAGTTATTGTGGTTTTGGTTTGATTTAAAAATCAAACACAACAAATAATCTAATATATATACTTTTTTTTTTTTTTTGAATAGGTGCGATATGTGGTGGTGATGATGAAATATGATTCTCTCTCTCTTGTATGCAATGAAATGTTGTTTTTGTTTTTGTTGTATGTGTTGTGATGTGAGGTGATGTCTTTTTTGACTATTATACTAATACACTATTATAATCTAATCTATTACTGTACAGAATATTAACTATGTTTAATGATCAATGTATGGATGGATGGATGGATGGATGGAAACAAGTTGTTTGATGATATAAATATACAATAACAATTGTTAATTTAATTTAAAATGTGATTGGTGTTTTGCAGAGTATTGTGGTGTGCTGCTGCGGCATAACAAAAGTATATAATGATTGTGGATGGTGTTTAGAAACTAGAAAGAATTCTGCACCAACCAACATTTAAACATATTCATATGAAGGAGTAGTCATATCAGTACGAGAGCACACATACTCAAGCAAAACTACAACAAAAAAAACCTCTAAGATATCGATCACACACAACAACAGCAACAACCTATAACTAACGGTTTATGTTGTTGATGTAAGAGAAAATCTTTTTTTCAGACACTAACAATATAACTTGTGCCCTTCTTCTTTCAAGTCAATTATTTGGTTTTGCTTTGTTGATTTTGGTCTTTGTTGTTGTTTTGTTTACACATGTTTTGGTTTTTAAGTGAGAGAGTGATGAAAAAAACAAAAATCAGCTACACACACAAATTTTAAAAATCAAATCACCCCATCAAAAGATATTTTAAAATGTATAATAATCAATGACAATAACCTTTATTGGATATTGAATATTTTAATTAAATACAAAAAAAAACAACAATATATTTAATCACAGTTTCGATCTTTGGAATTTATTTTATTTATTTTTAAAATAAAAATAGTTTAGATAAACAACTTCTCAATCCCACCACTAAATTCTAATAAATTGCACAATCCATCCATTGGCAATTAACCATAAAAAGAAAACTTTACTTTTATGGCAAAAAATGAATAATATCCAAATTTTAAGATATATTATAAATTAAATTAAAAGATATGATAAAATCAAAATAATTAAAAATATTATTTTATTTTTAACTTCAAGTTAACACATTGTCAATTTGTTGGATTCCCTATAATTTATTACAATGTCCTATTTCTAACAACTGTTTATCTACATTTATTGAAATACACTTTAAAGTAATTACTTTTTAAATATTAATTATTTAATTTTTTAATTGATTTACTTTTAGATTTTAATATATATTTTTTTGAAATTAACTTCAAATATTTAAACCTTTTTTTTTATTTTTTGAATTTTTGAATTTTATTGATAAACAATATTTGCAGTGTAGGTTTTTAACGTTCTATTTTAAAAACCAAAAAAGATAGAAGATCAAAAAAAAAAAAACAAAAAACAAAAAAACAAAAAAAAATAGTAAAAACAATATTATTATAATATTTCATTCTTATAAGTGTTTCTTTATTCAAATTAAAATCAAATGATTTTATTATCTTTATATTAATTAAACAATTTAAAATAAATGAATGAAAAATAACTATCATTATTTTACAACAAGTTTAGAAACGGTTTCATCACCTTTTTTTTTTTAATTCAATGATTATTGTTAAAACGTCTTTTTTGAAAGTAACAAGAGCAAAGAGGCTGCAAGAATCAAAGTATCTTTGTGTTTGATTCTCTTGTCAATGAACTGTTAAAACGAACTAATTTGCAGGATATAAAATGTAATAATTCATTTCAATTCAAAGAGAGAGTGTTTGTTAATTGATGTGACCACACAGTTATGTGAAAAGCATAAAATTAAAAAAGATATTTCCTATTTTGATATATGATTGGCAACTCAAAGATTATGTATCGGACATGTCGTGTCGATCCCCGCTACCACACGTGTGGTGTGGGTGTGTGATTATTGATTTATGGTTTTTGTTATACCTCTGAAAAAAAAAAAAGCTATCACATATCAGACTCCAAAGATGAATGTGAGGAGGGTATCCAATTCTCACAACTTGGTTTAAGTGTTAGTATTCTGAAGTTACAATCACATACTCTTCAGTCGAATAGAATAGTGTGATGAATCAGCCGATTTTACACACAAGAGAGGTGGTCACTGGAAACCTGGTAGAAAAACCAAAAAAAAATTTGGTAATTTCAATCAAAAAAATTAAAAAAAAAAACAAACAACTTTTTTTACTTTCAATAAATACAAAAACCAAAACATTTAAAAAAAATAAATTAAAATTTACTAAAAAACGAAAAATCTAATTGCTGATAATCAAATAAAATTAGATTGTTCCCCCAACCGTTTTTTGATTTGAAAGGCTCATTAATGATTCCTATTAATGGGCATCAAAATTTCAAATGAAAAAACTATTTAGTTTTTTTGTTTTTTTTTTTTTTTTGATAATCATTAATATTGATGTACCCGTTTCAAAAAAGATTGCTCCACTGATCTTCTCCTTAATAGGTCAACCACACTCAAATCAAAGAATTTCAGTATCCACAAAGAAAACACCTTGGAAACTTTCCTATTAAATATTATGTTTTTTTAGCTTGGCAAATGGTTTTCACTTGTAAAGTGACAATTAGCATAATCTTTGCCTTTTTACCTTTTAATCATTACTGTCGATTCTTTCAAACCCTCATCTTTTGCTTAAGTGTTATTTATTTAAAAAAAAATATTTTGTTTTTTGCTCTCTCCTGCCTTAAATTTCAAAAAAACGAAAGTACTAAATCACCAATACACCTGTATTTTTTCCAAGTAGGTGCCCACACACAATCATTTTCACTGTGATACATATAATATATTATATACATTCAAATTATCTATATACTTGTTGTTGGCAATATCATATCTATCTCCTTCACATCACATATGCTTACGTATAAGATATAATAATATTATTTTTCTTTTACCAAATAATTCTTGTAAAACTATAGTTATTTTTTTTATTTTTGTTTTTTTTTTTTTTTGTTGTATTATATTTAGATCAAAACAGACAACGTAGGACTACCTAAATAAAAAAATAAAAATAAAAAAAGAAAAGAAAATTGTATTTTTATTTAAAGTTTTCTTTTTAGTTTTTAGTTTTCACCCATCTCCGTCTCATTTCACCATCGAGAACAATCCCTACACCACCTCATTCAGCAAAAAAGCTAAAAAACTAAAAACTTCACCAAATTTGTCTGATATTTTTCACGCCCTGTCTAGGTTTTGTGAGAAATTCAAAATTAAAAAAAACAAAACAAAAAAGTAAAAAAAAACAACAATCGTCACCACACATTCGACTCGATTCCTCATCAATATCTTCCTAAAGTTCCAACAACACTTACTTAGTAATCAAACAATCACACTCACTCCTCTCCAATTATCTCTTTGTACTGTATAACTGTAATATTATTTATTAATCTCTATTATATTATTTATTTGTTTTATATATGATATAGTATTTATATGTATTTTTAAAATTAGTTTAAAATCAACCAAATCAACAACCAACCACTCCATCATTTTCTTCAACCAACAACGCCCAAATAGTTTAAACTCTCGACTTCAAAAATTTGACTTGATATAATATTCTACTAGTAAACCATTTGTAAGTAAAAATAAAACAAAATAATAATTAGTTTTTCTCCACCTCCTCTTCACACTAGTCGCCACCATCTCTGATAATCATACATAATTTCCAACAAAACGATTTTAAAACCATTATATATAACAATTTAAACTTTACACTCCACAAATTACCTTTTTTAATCCATCCTCCTAATTGATTGGGTTGAATGATCATTTTTTTCCTTGTAATTGATTTTCAACCCTATATATGCTGGACCAGGCATCCCTCTTTGAATATCGATTTTAGATATACTAAAATATTATGTTGTTAAACCATCAACAATCACCATCGTCACTTAATATCAACCCATTTGTTTCAACTAAATTAACGTATTCACTTGCTTTCTCTTATACTTTCAAATTTTAATTTAATTTAATTGTTATTGTTTGAACAGCGAAATTCACTCACATAGGTTGATGATATTTTTAAATTTTTAAAATTGATAAAACACAAGATTTGTGATTATCCCACACACCCCCTTTAATTATTCTTTCAACAAACCAAAAAAAGTTTATATTTTCCACACCCTCTTTTTTGGATTCCACCACTCCACTCCGAAAGAGAATTTAATTTATACCCCCTTTTTTTTTTTTTGTTAAATCTCAATAACGTCCAATGATTTTGGTGTTATAATAAAATTCTTGATCCTCATCTTGATCACATTGCTATCTATTCCATCACCATGATAGTCATACTGAGCACCAGTGTTATCATTTCTATCATTGAATCAAAATAACCAAACAAACAAATAATCATTTTTCAAACACTGAAAACAAAATTGAAAACAAAGAATCAACTTACTTTTATAATTTTAATATATTTGCCTACACTTTCGATCGTCATTTTCATGATTTGATTTTAATTGTTATTATTTTCAATATTGAATACGACACAAAAACACACTACCACACAACACATAACATTTAGCATAAATTACACTGATTTTGTTTTGGAAACAACGAAACAAGGATCACCCTCTCTTTATTATATTGAAATAAACCAAAAGATTGTTGATTTTCAACCTCTATATTTAATTTTTAATTTTTTTTTATGTGGAGGATTCAATTTAAATTTGGTGATAACATCAAACGAATTACTACCACCATGCTTGTTGATGGCTGTACCAACAACTCCAAAAACCTCCTACCGCGAACCAATACAATAATGCTTTGATAACACAATTTAAAATATTATATTAAAGCAGTAATAATAACAATACTTTATTATTCTTAAATACTCTACATCCATTCATACATAAAAGTATGTTTTCTATACAACGAAAGTATATTTAATCATCATTATATACATATAAAAAAAAAAAATATATTGCAAATTCGCTCATCATTTTGTTTAAAAACAATTTCTTTTTCAAAAGTCATCATCAAACAAACAAACACTCTACTAAAGATCTCTCCAATCTTTAAATATTATTTAATATTATAACTCTACCCTTTGTATGCACCAATTTGTGGCAATTTTTACTCATTGAGTCGAATTGATATTAAATAAGTTTTTTGCATTCAATTGTTTTTTTTTTAGAAAACAGTTTTTATTTTAGACTATCTCTAAATAAGTTTTCTTTTCATTTCTTTACATTACAATCCAACCTATTAAATAGTTTGATTGCAATCACCATCATCCGTCAACATATCGTTTATTCCTAAATTTAAACTAAAAAGTAAAAGATTCTTTTCCTAACCACAAACTAAACTAAAAACAAAAAAAATCAAAATCAAAAAAAAACACCAAAATCATTGCAAATACACCAAAAACAAAACAATCTCGCCAATAGTTTAATCTGAAATGACAACAATGATTGGTTTCTTTGCAAAAAACCAAAAACCAAAAATTGATTAGTTTGAATTCCCATTTTGTTTTTTAATTACTGATTGGCAATCAAAATTTTTTTTTTTTTTTTTTTGTCAAAAAAAGCTTTCGCACACCTCTCAATTAATCTAATTTAATTAGATTATTAATAACATTAAAAATAAAATAAAAAAAAATCCAAAAACTAACTAAAACTAAATTTCTTTTTCTTTCGCTTAAAATAAAAAACAGATTTAATTTAAAATTGAAATCATAATCAAACAATCTATCATAATAACAACAACAATACAATATAACTAAACTACATATCTTTGAGTTAGTCAGTGCCTACACATTCCAGGAGCGCTTTTTCAATTCAAATTCATTGTTCAACCAACTTCAACCAATCACCCTCATCACAAATTCCCGAATTTAAATCATAAACCGACAACAACAACAAAAACAAAAGAAAATGGAAGACTTTGAAGAAATTGCCCCACACATCTTGTTCGATCTAAAGAATCGTAGTAATTCTTTGTCAAAGAGTGGTAACAGTGCTGTCTCGTCACCACAGATCTTCACTGGACAAGATGCCGATGGAGTACCAGCCTCGCCTGTGTTTGGCCGCTCCAGTCTCTCCTCATCCTCAGGACTGAGAAACAAGACTGGTTATCACTCACCATCCAACTCATTTGTATTATACGACAACAGCAACAACAACAACACTAGTGGCGTTGCCAACGACTCGGAATCCACCACCACTACCACCGCTAGCAATAACAACAACCTGAAATCCAGCAGTGCCAATCTCTTTAGCAATATGTTCTATCAATCATCATCTTCGGGCGCACCATTCTCCTCCATTCCAATCCCATTACGCACAACCTCACCCACAAACACCTCACTCAGATCGTCCGCTGAATCATTGCTATCCACCTCCACCGATTCCATCACCAACTCCTGTTCATTAATTTCCTTGTCGTCGTCGCCACTTCAATCTGTACCATCATCCCCACCTTCGAAACCAATTAAATTCCACTCGTTCAAACAACAGCAACAACAACAACAACAGTATTCATCATCACCTGTAAAAAAGTCAACAACAACCAATCTCCTCAAACAACACTACACCCACCTCCTCGCCAATGATGAATGCTTCGTCCAACTCCTTACCATCGTCACCATCACAATCATGCGCCAATACCTCGATTCTCTGCAACCTCAACGATTGTCTTCTCTGCCAACGCGGACAGCCCGAGCTCCTCATTAAGTCGCCAACATGGGCCAGCATCATGAGAGTCGTCTTCTTTACATTACACCACGAGTTACGTGAGAAGCCATTCTTCTCACTCAAGACCGATGTCTATGAATTCATGACTACACATTGGGATATCTTGTGTCTCAACAAGAAGCGTTCGGAGAACTGGCACAAGCAAATCCAAGACATGCTTTCACACTCAAAGAATATATTTGAGTCCGGTATGGACACCTACAAACAAAATGGATTCTGGCGTTTGAAACAAATCATCGATCCATGGACCATGCAAAAGGGTGGTCGCAAGAACAGCACCAACTCCATCATGTCCTCTCCAGTTCAGACTCCAGGTTCGCCAATCACCATTTCCTCCAGTTCCAGCACAGCTTCCCACGCTTCATCACCACGTCAAACCTCACACTCCATCAACATCCCACGTTTAAATACCTCGCCCTTAATTCTTTCCAACCACGGACAGCTTTTCGATGATTTCAAAGTAAAGCGATCCTCGATCGACATGCTACTTTCTACCTCACTCGAAAATCTCGACATGGATTCCCCAAGAAAGAAACGTTTGTCAGACTCTGGAGAAGTTCACAGAAACTACACTGATGATCCAGATGAATTATATATTGATGATAATCAATAGATAATTTAAAACAAAACAACAAAACAAAACAAAACAAAAACAAAACCCCAGTATATTAGTCGTCACAAAATAATAATTATCAAAACAAAACTCCAACAACAAAAAACAAAAACATAAATGAATATTCCAACAAATATTTCATTTATAATATATTATTTATTTATACATAACATTACATTTATATATAATAAATTAATTCCAACTACAACCATATCATCAAATAAGAATTAAAATATAAAAAAAAAACAAAATAAACAAAAAAAAAAAGAAAAAAAAAGAAAGTAAAATTCTACCAACTAACTTGTCCATATGTAAACAATTAAAGATTGTAATAATAACAATCTTCTTTAATTAGAAGAGAAATTAAATAAAATAAAAAATTTGTTAAATTTATAAAAAAAAACTTTATGTTAAATTTATTTTAATTCATTAATTTTATGCTAATACCATTGGATCTTTATCATTTGTAGCTACTTTATCTGTTCCATTTTGATCATTATTATTTGAATTTGTTGTTGGTGTTGGTGTTATTGTTGAAACTGGTTTTTTCTTTTCTTTTGCAATTTGATCTCTTGTTTGTTTAATATTCAAATTCAATCTATCATACATAAGTTCATCCTTTTTCGATACAGATGGTTTGGTCTTGTTGAGTGCATATGTAAAGTCATCCATCGATACTTTAGGCTTGACAGTTTCTTTGGCGTCGGCATCTTCCTGACGTTCAAATACCTTGTCCAACGCTGACATGGCTGCCTCTTTAACCAACAATGAAAGATCGGCACCACTGAATGCATGACATCTCGAATCGGTACCGACCGCTGCCAAATCGACGTCGGCATCCAACGGAATCTTGGCAGTGACAGTCTTTAGGATTTCGACTCTCTCCTCTGGCGATGGCAGTGGAACATACAACAACTTGTCGAGACGACCAGGTCTGAGCATGGCACTGTCAATGATATCGGGACGATTGGTTGCAGCGACGATAAACACCTCTGAACGCTTCTCCAAACCGTCCATCTCTGTTAGCAGCTGATTGACAACTCTCTCGGTCGCTTGATTTCCACCGTCGGTTCCTCTCTTTGGCGCCAGCGCATCAAACTCATCAAAAAATATTACACACGGCGCGGAAGCAGATGCTCTCTGGAAAACTTGTCGAACCGCTCTTTCAGACTCACCAACATATTTATTCAACAATTCAGGACCTTTAACAGATATGAAATTTGCCTCTAAAAATGGTTACAAACAATAATTGTGAAGTATGAGTTTGTTTGAATTGAGTTTGAATTAAAACAATTTGATTGATACATACGACATTCACTTGCGATTGCTTTAGCTAGCAGAGTTTTACCACAACCGGGTGGACCGTACATGAGTACACCGGCTGGCGAATCGATACCAAGACCCTTGTAGGTTGCAGGATGTCTAATCGGACGGAGAATAGTCTTGGTGAGTTCCTCACGAATTGAACGAAGCGCTCCGATATCGTCCCATGTAACATTGGGTATGGTTGCAAAACCTTCTCTTTTGGCCGATGGTTGAACTTTCTTCACTGCATTCTTAAAGTCTGCCATCTCAATGTAGAGTTGATCGAGTTGGCTGGCATCGAAAGGCTGTTTCATTTTCTCTGGTGTATCCATGTTGGCTTGAGAGAATGCACGTACAATCGAAAAGGTTGCAGCGGTCTTTGCCAGCAAATTCACATCGGCACCGACATAACCAGGTGTCAGCGAAGCAATCTCCTGATAATCGAAATCCTTACTCAATCGCATTCTCGAAGTGAGAACCCTCAGTATCTTTTCTCTTGCAACCAAATCTGGTACACCCAACGCCATCTCTCTATCGAATCTACCACCCATTCTCAAAGCTGGATCAATAGATTCCGGTCTACTAGTTGCACCAATAACCATAATATGTCCATTATTTTTCTGAACAATTGATTCTATTTGTTGTTGTTGTTGTTCATTATTATTATTATTATTATTACTATTTGTTGATTGTTGTTGTTGTTGTTGTTGCTCATTGATATTTGATGATCTTGTTGATTGATAATTGGTATTACTTGTTGATGCACGCATATTCAATGAATCCATACATGTGAGGAGTTGGGCGACGATACGACGCTCCATCTCTTTCGATGCATTCTCACGTTTCGGTGCGATGGCATCGATTTCATCGATGAATACAATGCACGGTGCTTGTTCCTGTGCCGATGCGAATAGTCCACGAATCTTTGATTCCGATTCACCAGAGAGACCGCTTGCAATCTCGGGTGCTGAGATAGAGATGAGTGGAATTTTGAGTTCACCGGCAATGGCGTTGGCCAGCAGTGTCTTACCGGTGCCTGGTGGACCGTGTAGTAGTATACCTCTTGGAGGATCGGCACCTAGATGTCTGTAAACCTCTGGATGATTGATTGGATATTCGATTTGCTCTCTGATGTCCTTGAGAACCTGTTCGATACCACCCATATTCGAAAAGTCGACCGATGGAATAGTTCCGACCTTTGCAAGCGACGATGAATCCTTTGAGGTTGCCAATGGATTACGATCGGAGGCAACCGATGTCTGCGATTGTTTTAATCTACGTTGTTTCTTTAGAGTATCGTTTGGTGTTTGTGGTTGTTGATCTGCTGCTACCGTATCTGATTTTATTGGTGTGGTTGGTGTTGATGTTACGACATCTCTTGATCTCTTACCCAATGGATTGTTACTAACATAAACTGGTGGTGTAGTTGGTGGTGTCAACGATTTAGATTTCGAATCTGATTTTGAATAGTTTGAAAGAATAGTTTGATTTAAACTATTATTTTGTTGTTGTTGTTGTTGTTGTTTGTTATTTTGTTGTTGTTTAGTAATAAGTTTTGTTTCTGATATAAATTCAATGTCACTATCATGTCCATCTTCAGACATCATTTTATCATCTTGTGGTGGTTGATCTAAATTGATTTCTACTGTATTTGGTGTATTTGGTGTTGTATTATTGTTATTATTATCAACATTCTCATCATCATCAAACTCTGGATCATCAATATATTCATCAGTTGATTTCATAATAACCTGTATGGCTATAATAATTGTTAATCAAGTTGTTAGTTAAACCATAAATATATCTTTAACTATTTAACTACTACAAACCTCTTTCAACTTGAGTCAAGAATGGTTTATATTGTTTTCTATTGTACTCTGAGAATTGTGATCTTAGTTTGGTGGCAATGGTGTCGGCATCCAAATAAGCATTGCCTGAGAAGTCGAGACTCTCAATTCTCTCTACCAATTTACTATCATATAAATTCGATGATTTCTTCATCACCATTCTACATATAAATAATTATAAATAAATAAATAAATAAAAGGTGTATAAAAACGAAAATATATATTACATTCGGCTAGTTTAATTTATCGTTTCGTTTTTTTTTTTACAACACAAAAAAAAAAAAAATTATTTATTAAATTTAATAAAATAATGAGAATCGATCAAGTGGTAACTAAACTGAGTGTTAACACCAATTAGTTGTATTGTTTTTAATTATCTTTTTGATGAATTTAAATGTTTAGCTGTTAAAATATTAGTATTATTGTTATTGTTATTATTATTGTTATTATCATTATCATTGGTTTCAATGTTGTTGAAAACTTCACTTTCATTATAATCTAAATGGTTGTGTATTGTTGTATTAAAAGGATTGGTGGGTTCAATAAGATCTGTTCGGTTGGCAATGAGAAAATCTATAATATCTTGATGTTTACCAATGATTGCATTATCCAGTGCAATCTGCGAATGGCCTTCGGTTCGATTTTCATGGAGGTATTTCACTATATTGAGGTGGCCGTTTAACGCTGCACCCGCTAACGCTTGATGATCACAACCCTCTGCGCGATATGTATGGAGATACTTGACGACCCCCAGATGGCCATTGGTGGCGGCTTTGTTAATCGCTTGAATTGTGCATCCTTCATTACGATTTAAACTAAGAAAAATCACCATATCTATATCACCACGTGCTGCCACTGTATCTAACGCCAGCTTTGTACATCCTTCACTTCTATTGGCGTGTAAATAGAAGGTGATATCGCTATGACGATTCTTAATCGCGTTGTTTAGTGCGTGAGTAGTACAACCCTCAGTGCGATAGGTATGGAGGTATTTCACAGTTTCGAAATGGCCATTGGTACTAGCCATGTCAAGAGCATACTTTGTGCATCCACTAGTTGTGTTTCTACAGAGAAAACGTAGCATCTCTAGATCGCCAGTGGCGGAAACAGCATCGATTGCATATTTGGAAACTTCGAATCCTTTCAACATTATAAACTGTAGGAGTTCCAAGTTACCGCTTTCCGCCGCGTAGTCACATGATGCATTGCTAAGTTCAAATCCAATACTCAATAGGTAGTCTACTACTTGCCGGTGTCCACATAGACACGCGATATTCATAAGTATCTCTCTGAATCCAGTGGTCATCAGCTCATTGGTTGCAAAGCGGGTTATCAGGAATTTAATGATATCCAGTTGTCCGAATCGCGTGGCCGTTTTCAGGAGTGCAACGAATGTTGGTTTCACCACCTTTTCATAGCGATTGTTTTTCCTCAGAAACAACGAAGATAATCTGTCGAACACCGAGATCTCCAGGAGATCCTCGACTACCTTTCGATAGCGATCTAAATAGCCATAGTGAAGTAGTTGATCCGGTCTACTCTGTAGATCGTACCAACTGAAAATCTGGATTGGCTGGAAATGAATTCTAGTATCTATAGTACGCACCGATGCCTCCAAATAGTATCGAGTATAAATTTGATTCTCAGCGATATTCATCAGTTGGTAGATTGTTTTCTTGTGATATTGTCTTGCCAGTTTCTGTTGTTGAATCCTTACACATCTTGTTGTCAGAAAAAGAAAATTAAATATATATTTTCTTAAATATCGATTTCTAAATACTAAAGTAAATAAATTATTATTCATTTTTCTATTTTATTTGTTACAATAATTCTAAATATTTGCAATTTTATTTTTAATAGTTTTAAACTACTGTTGGTTACCAATTTACAAAAAAGCCCAACTTTGTGTGACGAAGCACCTAAATTAAGTGAATTTTAAAAATAAATTTTCCTACGATTTTTTGATCAATAATTTGTTTCCTAAATAATTCCATTGGTTTTAGATATTTGCAGACTATTTAATCAAAAAAATACATAAACTGTTGGAATTTTTTTTAAGCAATATTTATTATATTATATATTTTAACAAATATTCTTTAATTTTTTTACTTTTATTTTATTTATAAAGTTGAAAGTTATAAATTTAACTAAGTCTAATAAGACAAAAAAATTCATAGAATATGTGAAGGAAAATTTTCTTGAGCAAAGATCACAACCACGATTCAGATCTTTGCTCAAGAAAAAAAAAAATCAAAAAATAACAAAACAGTGCAAATTCAGACCAAATGGTCTGTTTTTTTAATTAATTTTAATTTTTTTTAAATAAACATTGATGATTTTTTTAATGAAAAATCCAACTTTGGATAAAAATGTTTTGATTTCTAACCGAAAAGTTTTGATTAGGTTGTGTTTTTTTTCATTGATCATTTTATTTTTAATCAGTTCTTTTAAAACATAACAGATAAATAAATCTATCATATTTATAATATACAAAAAAGATGTCAGTCAAATCTAAAATGATGATGGTTTACTTGAAGAAGAAATTCAAGAGTTTGTGCTGTTGCTGTTGTTAATAACAAAACAAAACAAAACTATGTATGTAAATATTAAATTTCATTCTTATTTTATAATATATTAATGAATAAAAACGAAATAGATTCAAATCCATAGATATATGTATAATTTAGTTTGGTGGTCCACAAATGTTTTTTTTTTGGACAACAATAGAATAAAAATAGAAAAAAAAAACAATATAGTTCATATTTAATTGTTAGTTTACATTTATTTATATTTATTTATATTGATATATATATATTGCTATTTCTATTTCTATTGATATCATTCTAAATCTTGAATTGTTTGATCAATTTGATTCTGGAAAGATAACCAACTGCTAATAGCAGTCGTATTGAAATGAAGATATTGAACCATTGCCTAGTGGCCACAACTACAAGCTTCATCCATTACATCGACATCGATTTCCTGAAATTGACTGGTATTTTCCAGGAAATATTTCAGTACGTTCAAGTGACTGAGTCTAGCAACACTCATCAAAGTATTGGGAGTACATTGTTCCGAGCGAATTTCATTCAGAAATCTGACAATTTCAAGATGACCATTCTTGGCGGCGTAGTACATTGTCAGTGGTGTGCATCCTTCCGTTCTGTTGAAATGCATGAGCTTGATGATATCAAGTTTTCCCATTGCAGCAGAATTCTCCATGGCTGTAGTGGTGCGACCATCACTACTGTTAACAGTCTCGATATCGAAATGTGAATCGAAATCCATTGCAACGCTGCTACAACCTTCTGTTCTGTTATCCAAAAGAAATTTGATCATTTCGAGATTGTCTTTGGCAAGATCGATCGCAATGGTTCCATTAGAATCAAACCAATAGCCAGCATTATGATGAGAGAATTGAGCAATCGCAAGGTTACCACAATGACAAAACTGATATTGATTTCATCGGGAGGAAGAAACGATTGATGAAGAAATTCTAAAAATTCTACCTTTCCCATATCCTTGCTGATTTTCTTTATAGTTGTTTAAAATCACTAATTGTTTTATTATTATTGTTATTATCTATGATTAGATTATCTTTAATTAAAGTGTTAAATATTGTTTTATATCTTTCAAAGTAGTTGAATTTAATTAATTCATTTGGAAAACAGCCAAGGTCGTACCAATTACATCTCAATGTATTGTTCATGAATATCTCTTACACTCTTATTTAACAATACCAATTAACTAAATACTTTCTTAAAAAGCTGATAAAGATAACTTATTTGACAATGATCATTGAAGTGTCATTGCATATAGTAGCTACTATTAGATTGAGAAAAAAATATGCATTAATAAGTTTTTGCAAATATATAGAAAGGTGTGAAATAATAATAATTTCGACTTTCGGAAGTCGATTTTATCATATTAACAATAAAAGGTTATTTGAAAAAATTAATAAAAAAAAGAACCCAAATCTTTAAAAAGATATCTCGTGGACACCAAATTCTTAACAAAATCTGTCATTATTTGATCAGCTAACTGACATAAAAAATGTTGCAACAAATAAAAAAATTCAATTTTTTATTGATTTATCCACTCGTTCATACGAACAAATAATTATATCTATAGATATGTTCAGATTAATAAATAATAGATTCATTTCAAATTCAAAATCGAATCAATTTTTATTATCTAAATATTATTGTTCAAACTATTTCTGTACAACTACTTCCATTAATTTTACATCTAATTTAAATAATAATATACATAACAATAATAGTACATCTAATAATAATAGTAATAATAGTAATATTATAAATGATATAAATAGAATACAAAACGAAACAACACAACAGCTAAAACAACAAAATTTTAATAATATAAATAAACAAAAGAAAAACAATGAAGAATCTTTTGAGGATGAAGAAATCAAGTTAGAGGAGGATGAGCATGATGATGAAGATGAATATTGTCTAGTTCATTCGAATATGAATAATGGTATTCCAATTAAAAAATTAAATCGATTTAGATTCAATTACCTGGGAGTAAAGTTTCAAATCGATGCAATGTCAAACTGCTCCGTATCGGATTTCATCAAGTTAATCTCTAGTTCAACGTTGTTTAGTAAAAACATGGTATTAAGATTAAGAAAGAAAGAAATGTTAAAGACAATGTCGAGGCAAGACTACATTGCATTGATAAGAAGAGAAAAATCATTCTTGAAATCACCATACATCCAATCATCTAACTCGATCTCACCGTTCAACTATAATCTTGAATTCAATGGAGAGCAATGTGATCAAAATTCATTGTTAAATTCATTTTTCAATAACATTAACACAACCACCACAACCACCAACACTAAAGATCAAATCAATTCATCTGAAATAATATTCGAATTAACACATTCAAAAGGTATGTAATTGTTAATCAATCAATCAGATTGTAAACTATATATATATTAACTTTATTGCTTTAAACAACTAGAATCATTAAGTAATAACAGTAGTTATGCTAATAACATTACATATCAAAAGGCATTTGAGGAATTGAAATCACTTGCAAAAATGAAGGATCTTCAAAATGAATTTAAATTAAGTGACCAACTTCTAGATGAATATATTCAATCGTTTGAGAATGAATTGGCAATATGTCATCCACAAATATTAAGAGATTTACAATTGGATAAAAGTATGTAAATTAAAATGAATTTTAAAATCAACAATACAATTAATTAATATGGTTTTTTATTATTTTTAGAAACTAAACATAGATTGGTTAATTCTATGATTGAACATTTTGATTATCAAAAAAGTTTAGAGTTAAAAAAGAAAAAGAAAATGGCATCTCCAAATGATTTGGTGGAGGAGATGGCTGATTTGAAATACCCTCATCGTTGGTTCCCAGAGGCACGTGCAATCAAGAGAAAGTTTGTACTGCATGTTGGACCGACCAACAGTGGAAAAACACACAATGCTCTGGAAGCATTGAAAAGTGCGGATAGCGGTGTTTATTGTGGTCCGCTACGTCTTTTGGCACAGGAGATTTACGATCGTTTGAATGCCGTCGATGTAAAATGTAATCTATTGACTGGCCAACAGAATTTGGTGGTGAGAGACGCTCGACATTTGGCATGTACAATTGAGATGGCTTCGACCAATCGGTTGGTGGATGTGGCGGTTATCGATGAGTTTCAGATGATTGCTGATCTTGGACGTGGATGGGCGTGGACACGTGCCGTTCTAGGGCTGCCAGCGAGAGAGATTCATTTGTGTGGTGATAACACTGCGGTTTCGCTCATTGAGAAGCTGGCAAAGACAACGGGTGACACGATTGAAGTCCGCTACTACGAGAGACTGGCACCGCTCCGCGTGGAATCGAAATCTGTGGACTGGCGAAGAACTCTGGAGAAGGGCGATTGTATTATATCATTCAGTAGAAGAGATATTCTGGAGACGAAATCACTGATTGAGCGACGTGGACTGAAATGCGCGGTTGTGTATGGTGCGCTTCCACCAGAGACTCGCGCGAATCAGGCGCAGCTCTTCAACGAGCCAGACTCTGGCTACGACGTGTTGGTGGCGTCAGATGCGATAGGCATGGGACTGAATCTGAATATCAGACGTGTCATTTTCTCAGAGATCAAGAAATTCGATGGCAAAGAAATGAGAAAGTTGGTTCATAGTGAAGTGAAACAGATTGCCGGAAGAGCAGGTCGTTTCCGCTCGGAGTTCCCAGAGGGTTTGGTGACGAGCGTAAGCAGCATCAATATTGGCTACATCAAAGAGCAGTTGGAGCTGCCAAATGTCGTGACGGAACGTGCCGGAATCTTCCCACAGGAAGCACAACTCGAGCAATTTGCAAGACATCTAGGAAAAGAGGTCAGAACATTCTCCGAGTTACTGGAGCGATTCTTTGAGTGTACCAATCTAGATAATCTTTATTTCATGGAGAATACTGATGATAAGATAAAAGTGGCCAGACTCATCGATCACATTAAATTGCCAGTCAAGACTAAATATGCATTTATAATGGCACCTCTCAAACTGAAGGAAAAGGAATCGAATATCGAGAAGATCTACGTAAAGTATACCGCTCTTTTCGGAAGAGGTGTGGAAGTTCCACATATGGTAGAGGAACCGATTTGCGTCAGCCAGGATTACAATGATCTACAAAACTATCTTGGTAGACTCGAAGAATGCTACGCGATTTTGGATCTCTATTTGTGGTTGGCACAACGATTCCAAGTTCAATTCTCACAGTTTGACACAGCCTATCAACTTAGTATCCAAGTGAATCAAAACATCACAGATACACTGATAAAACTATCGAACCTTAAGATCAGTAGAAGAGAAGAGAAACAGAAACTAAGAAATCAAGATAATGCAAATGGCAGCAACATTCACAACAGAAAAAGAGTTTTTAGACAATATATAAATTAACTAATTTTGTTTTGTTTTTTGTAACTTTGCTTCTTTTAAATAAGATGGATATATTTAAACCTTAATGATAAACATAAATAGTTTATCCAATTTTCAGTTTTGAAATTATCCTTAAAAAAAAAAATTGTGTAAATGAAAGGTTGCCCGCCTTTTTTTTAAAAAATGTAACGGATATTTTTTAATTGTTGAATTGACATTCTAGATTGATTGATCAATTGTTGTGTGTTTATTTATAAATTAATAATATTTCATTTTTATTTTATTTATTTTATTTTATAATTTACAAGTAGTGGACAATAAAAAAGAAGTTATTATATAATGCTACAAAAACAACAATATCTATCTTCATCATTGCTATCTTCATCACCGATTATCTTTTCAAGTTCAATTCCTTCTTTATCTACATTATGTATAGATAGATTGAATGAGATTTTATTGAATCAGAGTTGTAATTCAAATAGCAATAGTTATAGTGATAATAATGAAATATCAAGTAATAATAATAATAATAATAATAGTTTAAGGAAATTAGTTGATGGTTATTATCAAAATGAAAATATAGATGATAGTTTGCTATCTAGTGAACAAAGAAATATTAGAGTTAAGAGATACACTGATCTATTCGAAGTATTAGACCGCTCAAATGCAATCAATCTGAATACACTCTATCAATATTCAGTAGCATTACCTTTAGACTTTATAACTCATCTCGATTTCAAATCATCTCATGATTTAACCAACAATGTATTACATTCAATTAGTAGTAAGTGGAAATAAAAATAAATCAACAAACCAAACCATCAATCAATACAATTAACATAAACTAACATATTATTTTTACAGAAATTACAACAATACGTTCATTATCAATTGCAAATTGTAAAAGAATTGATCAATTTGGATTTCAAGCTTTAAAGAGTATGTTAATTAAATATTATTTGGTTTTATTTTAAGATTGTACAATTAATTGTATGTGAAATTTCTAGGTTTGCCAAAATTATTAGTTTTAGATGTTTCTGGAACCAATTTAGATAATGAATGTTTGATATCGGTAAAGGAAATGCCTAGAATCGAAATATTGAATATCAGTGGATTGAAAGATATCTCTGATATAGCGTTGGTACATCTGTCGGCTTGTACAACACTGACTAAACTCATTGCAAAATCAACACCACTCACCGACGATTCGTTACTCTTCACCTCCAACTACATCAATAATTCACATAGAAGAGCTGGATTTGTCTCTTTACACACACTCATACTCTCTGACACGTTAATAACCGATCGTGGACTACCATACCTCCTTGATTTACCTGTCATTTCACACATCGATCTAAACAACACAAAATGTACATACATCGAGCTATCGAAACTATCACAACAATTTAACAACAAAATTAACAATAACAACAACAACAATAATAGCAACAAGTTAAAGGCAAAAAAGAATAATAATAATAATAATAATAATAATAGTATATATCAATCATATCAATTGGATATTAAAAGAAATGTAAATGGACAATCATTGAGAGAACCAGATTTGGTCATGGAGAATAACCAACAGTGGCCAATTGAGAGAATCAAAGACTATCTGTTGAGTTTGAATAGTAGTAATACAAGTCCATTGGATAGCAGTAGTAATAGTATTCTATCATTATTGAATCAATCTTGTGAATCAATAGAATCCGATTCATTTAATAATAGTAGTTGTATAAGCAGTAGTGTTAGTTTGTTAAACTCTAGCTTTGAAATCGATTCCAGTCTATATCTACCTGTGATGGAGGAGTCCGATACACCCAAAGGCTTACTCGGAATCAAAGTGTTTAAAGATCCATTCTCAAACTCTCCAACCAAAAGACATCCTGGAATGATTGGTAATATCAACATATCATTATCATCACCAACACAAACACATCCTTCCATCAACTATAAACAGCATCAACATCAACATCAACAACAACAACAAACAGTTCCATCATTATTTTCAACACCAAAGAAGAATCGTATTAACAAAAAGAAGATAAACAATAACAAAAATGATAATGATATTGAAGATGAAGATGACTGTGATGATCTATTGGCACCTTCGACACCGGTTACACCTACAAAGCTAATGTCAACGCCGATGACACCAATCAACTATGTATATAATCTTTTGAAATCACCGAAACGCACCACTACATTGTCGTCACCTATCTACTCACCGAAATCCAATAAGAAACGACAATATCATCATCATCATCAACAACATCACTACGATTTACAAGCTTCACCAATGACAACCAACCGATATCCAAAGTCACCATCGAAACACTCACCATCAAGACCAAAGAAACTTAAAGACGACAAAGAAGTTGTTCGTAATCTATTTAATCAATAACAAACAAATTGAAATAATAAATCAAATCTTATTTATTAAAATTTACATAATTTTAAATTATATTTGAGGTTACACATATTTATAACATGTCGTTTTTTAATTACATAACACTCTTTCATTGCATTGAATTGTATCCGATCGGCTTGTATAGATTGATTTAGAATACTTTTATGATTACATCTTTTGTTTAAACTTTTATATTATAATAAAAGTTATACAATGACAACTTTCAGTAGTTCAAATAGACGTTTCTCTGCATATGCAACAAATGCAGGTATCTCTTGTGATATATTATAACTTAGATATACTTGTGTTTTATATTTCATTACTTGTAAAGAATGTTAGTATATAAAAAATAACAAATTAAAATAATTTATAATAAATATACACAATACCTATTCTTTGTATGATTGATTTTGAATTTGAATCTTTACCAGTTGTCATTAATGTCGATACTGCAGGTGTATTATCCTTTAAATTTATAGTTGGTTTAACATTTGTAAATGATATGATAGGAAATGAAAGGAAACATACCATTGGTGTATTCATTGAGACAAGCAAGTCGTTTAGAGTAGCAGGTAGTGTAGCTTCACTGACCCATATGAAAATAGGACCTTTGTTTTGTTTGAATCGGTAGAACAGATAGTAGATCTGTGTCTCTTCGAAATGCTCTACAAACTTATCGATAGCGATACCACTGTTCTCAGCATCATCCTTTACTTTCAAATCTTTAATATTAACTGATTCCAATATATTTCTATTCTCAAATGATAAAGAATCCATTTTTATTTATTATATATATAAATAGATGATGATATGATTTTTGATCAAATTAAATTTGGATGACTAATAATATTAATAAATCCCATAATTTGCTTGTTTTAATAAATTATTTGAACAAGTTGATTTTTGTTTTTTTTTTAAAATTTTTTAATTAATTTTTTTTTTTTTTCAATTTTGATAGAAAAATAGTAAATGGGTTTATAACCAAATAAACAACTTAGATTAAACAAATTATATAGATATATATCGAATTCATATAATATATATTAATAAACAAGAATCTGTTTAATAAAAGAATAACAGTAACTTTTTGCTCCCCACCACCCTTTTTATTTTTTTAAAAAAAATTTTCAAATTTGATATTTTTTTTTTTTTTTTTTGAACTTTCAAATCTAATTTATTTTGGTGATTGTTTAGTGGATTGTAACAGAAACAAACAAGAGTCAGATTAGACTTGTTTAGATACGACTGAAACTAATCAACAAAAAAACAACTAAAACATTGATATCAATACAAAACAACAATTATAATCATAATAATATTACAATAACAACATAATAATAATAGTATATCAGTTTGTATCTACTTATATGTTAGTTGTCAAGTATAGGAGTGTATAGTTTGTTTAGTTGATTGGTTCTCTAGATCTATCTGTCTAGTTGTCTATCTATCTATACATTATTATTGTTATATATATCTTCTTAATTGGTTAAGGTAAAGTATATATATATTAACTAAACAACTACTTATTAATAATAGTTAGAAACTAACATACATCATATATCATACATTTAGATAGATTATATAATGGCGAAAGATAAAGAAAAGAAAGGAAACTATTCTGGTTTATTCTTTGGTAATATCACAAAAGATGGTGAATTAGATTTAGAAGAAGATGGTTTCTTTGATAAGGTAATGAATTATACATGATCTTCTAAAGAAGAGTTACTTTATTTACTTACTTACTTACTTATTGTTTTTGATTGATGTATTACATTACTCTGTAGCAATTGAAAGATGATCTCGATACATTCACAAAGAAAGGATCGTATTTGAATATAAAGAGTTTGGGTGTCGATGCCGATGACCAGAAGGGTGGTGCTGGTGCCGACGAGCAGTTGGTTAGCACCGGCGGTAGCAGCAGGTCGTCGAGTGCCGTCGACTTTGAGGATATCGATGAGTTGGCCGACGACATCAACTCGATCGAGAATGAAATCAACAAGCGTAATGCAGATAAACTAGCGAAACAAGCTGAAGAGAATATAGCAAAGTTGGCACAACGATTGAAAGCCAATGCAACAACAACAACAACGCTGCCGCCATCACTAACGCCATTCAGACAACCATCGCTGTTTCAACCTCCGACTACAACGACAACGACGATCGCAAAGAAAAAAATAGAAGATGATTTCGATTTCGATGAGGAAGAGGAAACATCGGCAACATCAGCACCACCGAAATCATCGATGATGACAACAACAACTACTACTTCAACAACAACAGCAGCGGCAGTATTGAAAGTTGGTATAGTTTCACCACCCGCATTCGGGGCAGTTTCACCATCTGCAACATCATCATACAAACCAATTATAGTTAAAAAAGAGGAGTCAGTTCATTTAGAGGAAACAAGTTCAATAGATAGAGTAAAAGAAATAGCCAGTGATGAAGATGAAGCAGAAGAAGAAGACGACGACGATCATATGCAATTAGATGATACGAATAAAACAACAGTTACAAAAACATCAACAACTACAACATCAACAACAGCAACTACATTAGATAAACAATTACAACAACAACAACAACAAAAGAAAAAGATATCACCAAAGAAATTTAAATCAACAGTACCAGCGGTTTTGGAAGCTGTTAAATCTATATTGGAACGTCCAGAAGATTTCACAACGGAGAATGTAGAGTTTAAAACTTTTTGTTCTGGTAATACGTTGGACGGTGGCGCAATCTTTAAGTTCTCTAATCTTTTCGCACCGAAAATGCCAATGAATTGGCGACGTAGAGCGAAGCGACACAAGGCAACTCCAGCCGTTCAGATAACAGAGGATTTGTTGGAGCCAGACGAACAGACGGCATTCAATACTACACTGTCTTCGCAAGCCAGTGGTTTGCCGGCCGGCGCAATCGATGGCTCGGAACAGGGTACGATCGGTCCCGACGGCAAACTCATTGCGCTGTCATCGTCGGCAGTGAGTTCACCCATATTGAAATCGGTGGATGACCAACGCAAAGACTGTATGGTTCTGCTGCTTCACAACCAGAAACTACAACAACAGCTACAGGACGATGAGAATCTATTCGAACCACTGCGCGATCGACCCGATGAAATCTATGTCGACAGCTTCTCTGCTGTGCCTGACGAGTTGTATCAACCGCTCTCTCAACTGGATTGGGAGGATCAAATCATTTGGGAACCAAAGGAAACCGAGGAGGACGACGATCCTCTGCTACGAGCGAAACGACAAACACAATCCAATTTACCACCGACTTTTCTGAGTGCAAGTGTACAGATTGACAGAGAACTGGACGAGCCTAGTGCTGGTGCCGTTGCTGCTGTTGGCGAACCGGACCAGGCTGCTGGCGTTGTTGGCGCGAAGCGAAAGCGTTGGGGTGAATTAGAGGACTATACTTATTATCCATTGAAACTGACGACCGACCAACAGAAACAGCAGTATCAACAACAACAGAAAGAACAAAACAAGCTGGATGAAACACAGGTTGAGTTCAAGTCAACGATAAAAGATCAATGGTCGCTGTTTCCGCTGCACAATTCAGAGTTGGAAGCGGGTGACTGGATAAATGATATCGTTTGGGATGAATCGGCACCGAATTACAAGCCAAAAATAAGTTGTCTGATATTGGATTTGAATGATAGGAATATGTTGTTCGAAGAGCACATCATTAGGAAGACGGACGCACACGAACCTGACCAGGTGACTTCCAGCAAGAAGGGCAAGTCCAAGAAGAAGCAAGCCGCTGCCAATGCACTGGCATCGGCCGATGCCAACGCCGCCAATCTCGCAGCACAACAGCTACTAGGTATCAACGATAAATTCAATCTTTCCAACGATAAATTCTACAAGACTCTTGGAAAGGGCAGAGTACGTCAACAGTCTGGAAAAATGTCGATTCAACACTCACTGCCTGCCATCAAATTGTCGTTGGTTAAAACACATCTCTCGATTGAGGATCTCACTCATATGCATCGTCCAGTCATTGCTTTCCAAGCTGGACATCAATTCCGAATTGCTCTCTACAATAAAGATCGTCCAGACGACAAGCCAAAACAGCGTGGATCGAACCGTGCCGATCCAATGAAACACAAGCTCGACTTGTCTGCGCGTGAAGGTCGTGTCATCTTTGTGGAATACATGGAACAGAATCCACCATTGCTCAGCAACGTGGGTATGGCAACACGCGTTCGTAATTACTATCGTAGGAAGAATTCAGACGACGACCAATTCCTGACGTTTGACGACGGTGAAACTGTGATGCTCGACCACAACGATGAGTCGCCATTCCTCGGAGAAATCAATCCCGGTGTTCCCATACAATCAATGGTCAACAATCTCTACAAGGCACCGATTGCTAAGCACAATCCAAACCCAACCGATTTCCTTCTGATTCGTTCGCGTGACGGAAAGAAATGGTATATTCGTGAGATGGGAACGATGTATACGGCCGGTCAGATGATGCCAGAGATTGAAGTTCCCGCGCCAAACAGCAGGAGCGCCAATATGTTTGTAAAGTCACGTCTCCAAGCTTACATCTACCGTTTATTCCTAAAGAAATCAAATATTCAACGACGATTGAAGATATCCGATGTTTGTACAGCTTTTCCAGGTCAGTCGGAAACATCGATTCGTAAGCGTCTCAAAGATTGCTCTGACTTCCAGCGTGGTGGTGACGACAGTGGTTGGTGGACGGTAAAAGACAACTTCCCACTGCCGACCGAAGAGGAACTCCAAAAGTTGGTGACTCCCGAAGTTGTTTGTGCCTACGAAGCTATGTTGTCAGGACTCCAGAGAATCCAGGATTCCGGTATCATTCACTTTACCAATGCCGGTACCATTCCTACGATGCTCAGTAATCTCGATGAGAACGAACCACTGAGGAAGAAATGCAAACCGGTGGAAGACGAACTCAATCAGACTCCATGGAATCTGAGTGCCAGTTTTGTCAGTGCCATGCAAGGTAAGGGTAAACTCCAGCTAATTGGCGACGATCCACGAGGTGAGATGTTTAGCTTTTTGAAGATGCCACAGAAAGTTGTCAATCAGAAACAAAAGGCAATTAAACAAGCACTCCAAAAGAACCAGGTCACTGGTACCGATGCAGATTTGAGAAAGTTGTCGTTGAAGGAGTCAAAGATTGTGTTGTTGCAGCTCGGTGTCACTGAGGAGGTCATTAACAATCTCACAAGATGGCAGCGAATTGCGCTAGTTCGTAAGAAATCTTCGGAGGCAGCACTTACCAATGGAACCGATGGATCTATGACCAAGTTTGCTAGAGGTTCGAGATACTCGTTGGATCACCAGCAACTTCAGTACAAGGAGCAATGTCAAGAGATCTTTGAGAATCAGATGAAGGCAATCGGTGGCGATGGAGAAGATGAAGCTGATTTGGATCAGGATTTGGAGGATCTCCAGAAGGATCTGGAAGAGACATTGTTTGCCGACCAGCAATCATCGCGAAAGTCTGGCAAGGTAGACATGTTTGGCAGAAGAATCGAAGATGAAGACGAAGACGAGGAGGAACGTGAGGAATTTAATAAATTGATGGATGAAATGACCAGTAATCCACCTTCACCCAGTAGCAAATCTACGACAACCACAACAACGACGACCACCACCACTTCAACCTCTGACAAAAACACACAGGAACCAGCCACTCCAATGTCCACCACACACGATAGCAGTGGCGATGAATCAGAGATGTCATATATGGATGCCAATGCCGATGTCGAATTTGTCAAGCGTGTTACACTCTTCCCCAAACCAGACGGTAGTATCTATCGTAGAATTGAAATCATTCGTGATCCAGCGTTGATTAAGGAGTACAAGAAACGTCGCGATGAGAAGCGAAAGGCAAGTGGCGCACTCGATGAAGAGGAAATGAAACGTCAGAGACGTAAACTCCAAGAGAAACTACGTCGTCTCAAACGTTCCGAGTCAGGCCCAACCACCAATATGCCTGGCAAACCATCGACACCAGGACAATCGCCAATGGTCGATTACAGTGGCCACCACCAACAACCGATCATTGGATTCAGTGGTGGTAACATTCCGATTCGTTCCAGTTTATCTGAACAGCCCTCTATCGTTTCGAGTCCATCGCCAGTGCTACTACCAAAGATTAAGATTCCATCAAACATGGTGAGAAGCAGTATGGATAGCATGCACTTTGAAGAACCTCAGAGTCCAGTACCAAGTCCAAGTCCAAGCACACTTTCACAATCTGGTTCGATCATTGTTCGTATCAAGAAGGAGGATCTCCCACCCATCTCCAAAAAGAGAGAACGTGAAAAGAGTAAAAATGATCTTATGGATGACTACATCGACCAGCCAATTCGTACCTCCCAAAGAAGAACAAGAGTTAGAAAAGATGGTAGTGGTGCTGAAGTTGAACTATCAAATATCTTTGAAAAGATTATTGAGAAATTAAGAAATATGGATGAAGTAAGTTAATTTAAATTTATTAATGTATTTTAGCTAATTTTTTTATTTATTTTATAGTTTGTTGCATTTAGAATTAAAGTTACTCCAAAAATTGCGCCCGATTATCATTTGGTTATTAAAAATCCAATTGATTTGACAACAATGAGAGATGTAAATACAAACAAATCCTTAAATTGAATTTACTGGAAAAACTATTGATGACTAATGCCAACTTTTCTTTTTTTTTTGCAAAAAAAATTTTATTAATATAGCGTGCAAGACATTGGGAATATAAAACAAAGAATCAATTTTTGGATGCTATCAAACTGATGCGTTCTAATTGTTTTGAATACAATGAAAAGAGAAATCCTCATTTACTCCCGATTGCTGATAAAATGTTAAGAGAAACTGAAATATCATTACAAGAATATGTATGTGTAATTAACAACTGATCAAACATATGAATGATTTATTAATATTTATAAAACAACAGGCCTCACAAATCGAAACATTAGAAAGATCAATTTCACAATCTAAATTCACAGAGTCTAATCCACCAACACCTATTTCCAATCCTGCCACACCCAGTAGTCCACCTATGCATTTCAGTGTTGATTCGCCTTTCTTCCCACCAGTATCATCCTCTAAACACGAAGACGAGGAAGTTGATATAGTATCGCTCTCTGGTGTTTCTCCATCAACCCATTAGAGATAACAACCAAACAACATGACCAACCCACATCAACAACAACAATAATATATTATTTATAAAGTATACCGACACACAAAAGAATTAATTTAATAAATTTAATTATGTACAAATAATAATAAGCAGCAGATGACCAAGTATTTGCAGTTTAAGAAGTTATTCAGTATTTATTGATTTAAAATGATTTTTACTTTTTCTTTTGAGAGGTTGGTTTTGGTGGTGCATTGGTGGCCAAGTACTCATCGATTTTCGATGCCATATCCTTTGATTGATCTTGGAGAACTGCAATCTCTGATCTGACATCGTTGACCTTCTTTGAACCAATGTCGGTAAGGACTGGTAATAATTTAATCAAAGTGGAATCTTTTTGGTTTGGTTTGAATTTTCCAACATTGATGACATTGTTGTGATCATAAGTTGGAGCGCTCTCAATGAAAATAACCTTGTTTCCTTCTCTATTTACTTTCTTCATGTTCTGAGTGAACTTTCCTTTTTCCTTGAGACCAGAGTCAAAGAAGAGTTGACCTGAAAAATATGAATTGATTGGATCCAACTTGAAGATGATTTGTTCAGCTCTCTGTAAAAAAAATAAACGATATTAGCAAGAGCGGTTTAACTCTTTAGTTTTCGGCAACTATACTTACTGGTTGTTGGAAATCTGGTGAGTATAAATAGATCTCATAATATGGAAGGAGATGAGTTAGGAAGTAATCCAAACCAGCTCTCTTGTAAACAGCTGGGTGTTTCTATGAAATTGTTCAATATGAATATTAGTAGGTGTTGCTTTAAGATTGCCAATAATATATCGAATTACTTACATCTTTTTGTGAAACTTCAGAGATAGCATTGATATCAATGATAAGAGTGAATTCTTTTCCACCCATATTCTTTGGGAGTGGTGGTGGCAAGACTGGATGAATTTCAGCTGGTCCAAAAATCTAAAGTTTTTGAATTAGTACTTTATTATTTTTAGTCCTTAGAAAGCGCTTTCTATTTATAATTACCATTTCGAACATTGGATACTCTCTAAGATTATTGAAAAGGTTATCAAAGAATTCTCTGAATGGCTCTGCAAAGTTGGTGAGAATGGTTCTTTCGGCGCTAGACAATTGATATCTTTCGTCATCAGTAATATTCTTCTTGTATTGGTACACTAAAATAATAATAAGAGATAGTAGGTATAATATTGATTAATTAACCATGTGTTTACATTCTTAGTGATAGATCGATCGATCTATCTATCTATCTATCTATTTCATAATCATACATAAATAACCAGTTGTTGTACAAATGATAGTTGTACCCATGACAGTTGCAGTGATTGAAGACAAGATACCCTTTGCCTTGTGGAATCCTTTTTGTTGCTCTTGCTTGTTACTATTGCTATTTCCTGTATTATCGTTGGTGTTCTTTTCAGAATTGCTGTTGTTGGTAGATTGTTGTTGTTGTTGTTGATTACCAGCATTTGATTTATCTGATGAAAATGATCTGTAACCCAAATTGGATGCCATAAATGGTCTGTTTGAGAACATAGTCATTCTAGATGCCTTTGACATCATTGATGCTATTCAATTCATATATTGATATTAATAGAATGATCATTTTGTTAGTCTATTAAAATCGATACAAATAACTATTATTAAAAAGAAAACATACCAGATCTTGAGAACATCATCTTATTTTCTTCTTTTCTCTAAATCAATATATTTGTTGATCTACACAACCAAAAAACGAACTGAAATAAAAGTATGTAAAAGAGCAATCAAAAAAAATACATAAAAACTAAAAAAATCGATGACTAATAATTATTTTTTTTTTTATTTTTTTTATTTTTGTTTCATTGTATTTCATATGGTGAAGTGCTAATAAACAAACATTGAAGTAAAATTGAATAAGTCCAAAATATTTATCATATGATATTATTTATATATATTTATTATTAACATCTAAGTTCAAGTTAATGTTATTAGTAGTATTCAAAAATGTTTGAAGATTGAAAAGTAGATATAAAAGTAGATATAATATTATAACAAATAATAATGATAATAAAATCATATAATTTAATTTATTTGGAAATGTTTACAAGAAAAACATTATTATTTTCTTTTTTCTTATTTTTTTTTTTTTTATCTTTCGATTGTTAAAGAGTTGGTTTGTATATTATATTATATTATATTGTCTTTGTCTCCAAACAAACATTTGGTCGATCGGGTATTGATTTAAGTTTGAAATGATTTGATTTTGATTGAGTATGAGTATGAAATGTATTTAATTTAAATTTTTGATTATTTTTCTTTGTTTAATTAATTATAAACTTAAACATCATAACCAGAAAGATAGTGTGATCCTTTACGATTGGATCTGTTGAAACCATCGTATCTAGTAACGTGTGGGCAATATCCAATGAAATAATCTTTCATAATAACCCAAGCATTTGATGTCATTGGTGATCTGTCGAATATAGTAGATGAATCTCTACCGGCATGCTATATAGTATTTACCACAAGAAAAGTAAATAAATCGTTGTTAGTCAATGTTGATCATAATTCAACAACAAAGAGTAATCGTTAATAACAAATAACCTACAGCTAAAATTACATCACCACCTGGGTGAGAGTCAACGTATGAGGTAACATTGTAAACTTTACCATGTACAATAATCCAACAATCCTCTCTCTTGTTGTGTCTGGCGACCTCTTCGAGTGTGAACTGTGGTAATGTTTCGTCTACCAATTGTGAGTATGGGTATCCTGGGTCTATATAATATATGAAATGATAAATGATTAGTTATCGTTCTTTTCTTTTTCTTTTCTTTTTTAAAAACAAAACAAAGTGAAGAACATACGATCATCTCTTAATACATATGTATCTGGGTTCTCTAACATCCAAGTTTGTGGGTCAACTGGTTCTTCGTGTTCATGTTCGTGATCGTCGTGCTCATCGTGTTCATCGTGGTCGTGATCGTCATGTTCGTTGTGATGAGCTGGTGTCTTTGGTGCTGCTGATCCGAATAATCTACATCCAACACTGTTATTGTTCATCATCATAATATATGATCTGTTAATAGTAACATTCTTGTTGACAACAAAGTTTGATTTCTTTTGCAAAAGCTAAAAATTATTGTTATTAAAGGTAGATAATAAATTGATTAATAAGCGGTTCTATATGTATTAAATAAAGCATATATCTATTTCTCTATATATTCTATTTAGCTATCGTGATTGATTGATCAACACCAATTGATTCAAAGATCATTTGATATATCAACCAACAAACTACACTTCATTCACCTGTTTTTTTTTTTTGATCAATGATTCATACATTTGCAGAAGATACAACAAATCTTGATAATGATCTACCAAACATGCTTGATCCTGTATTGATTGATTGTAATAAAGTAATAAATTAAAAAATATAAAAAAAAAAAAATAAAACAATGAAAAAAATAATAAAAAGGAAAAAAAATACAAAAAAAATAATTTTTGATCATTTTTCATGATCTGTGCACTCTCATAACGAAAAAAAAAAAAAGACAAAAAAAAATAGAAAAAGAATTGCAAAAGTTTTTAGTTTAGATGTTTTGATGATTGTTCATAGCCATTTGATGAAGGAAAGCTATGGTATGATAAGTTTATTAAAGGAAACAAAGGAGATTGCCTATAAATTAGTTAAATCTCAGTGAATATGGTTCATCAGGGAATGAGAGCACCCTCGACGTCCACATGTCTTCCGATTTGGATAGGGATTTTGCCAACTCGGACATTTACACTTGTCTATTTTACATGGATAGAATTTATCCATTTCGAATGGATAATTCAGAAAATTATAAATATTATTATTATTAATGTTGCTATTATTATTGTTATTGTTGTTGTGATGAGAAATATTAGAGGAAATGCCGATACTTGATGATGAAGTTGAAGATGAAAGTAGAGGAGATGGTGTATTACTTGGAGACCTCCAATACTGAGAGGTCGATGATGTTGTTGCTGTCGTTGACTGCATCAACTGTTGTTGCTTCGGTGTAGATATGGTGGACGATGAACTATTATAGGGGTGCAGCTCAATGATTTGCTCTTCATTATTTAAACTATTGAATTCGAGTAGAGATGCACTACTATTACTATTGCTACCATTGGAATGCGAATGGTTGTTGGTATTATTGTTATTCAAACCACCACCATTGCCACTGTTTGTACTTCCGCCATACGGTGAATGCGGGTCACCATTTCTTAAGCCTCCAATATACAATGAATGATTATAAAGTCTCAGTTTCTTGGTCAAAAAAATAAAAACGCAATGTTAGTAAATTTGCAAAAAAATTCAGCACACATTTTTTTTTTCGTTGCAAGATCTAAAATACTTACATCGTTTGTCAGTTCGATTTCTCTTTGTTTTTCTTCAAGTTTCTTTTTCAATTTCTTATTTTTAGTCTTTAAATATTGATTCTCTATTTCTATGTCATGTAATACTCTTTTGTCACCGATCGGCACTGGGGATGGTTGTTGATAATGCAAATTGAGTTGTTGGTGATGTTAATATTATTAATTTAGTAAAGTTTGGTGATCTATATGAATTTTAAATAAAACACACTTACCAGAGATATCTATATGAAAATGGGTACCAGAAGGGAACCTCAAATCATTATTATTATTATTATTTACTAGTGATAAAACTGGATCTATTGGTATATTATTATTTGTATTACTGTTGTCGTCCTCTATGTAAAATAAATTTATCAGATATGAAGGTGATGTTAAGCAAAGTATTTCGTTGATTCTATCTTTTAAATCCAAGAAATCATTGAGACCTTCCAGTGAAACTTTAATTAAATATTGTTTATAATGTATATAATAATTAGATGAATTTGATATTTGATTATATGTTGTACTCTGGATATTGTTATTATGATTGTTATGATTATTATTATTATTATTATTATTATTATAGAAAAATTGGTTATAGTTTAAATGTGGGTGTGCATTGTTGTTGTTATTACTATGATGTTGATGAGATTGTTGTTGTTGCTGGAGTGTTTGAAGATGATGTTGATGATGATTTGTAGTGTTTGAAGCTGATGATGATGACGACAACAATGATGATGATGTTGACGATTTGTTTGTCATTGGTGATGACAGATGCAATGGAATCGAGTGTGAAGAATTATTTGACGAGGGTATAGGCGATATGGATATTATCGTTTGATAATTTGAGTTATTGCCAGCGACATTTGAGTTTGAATTGGAGTTGGAATTTGAATTAGAATTTGAGTCGGGAGAATCTGAATATTGATGCTGATGTTGATGATGTTGATGATGTTGGTGCTGGTGTTGGTGTTGATGGTTCTGTTGATGTTGATGTTGTTGTTTCTTAATTGTTGGTTTAATTAGACAATTAAGATCCATAACATCATCTTTTATGTTATTTAATAAAAAAATTCAAAGTATGGTAATCTTCCTTATTCATTCATTAAACCAAACCAAACCAGAACTGAAATTTCATGAGTTGAAAATTAAAAATAAAATAAAATAAAAATCGTTACTCTATCTCTCTGACTCTTTACACTTTTTTTAATCTATTATCTTTTTTTTGTTTTTTTGAAATAAATATAAAAAAAAATATTATAATTGAAATAATAACAACTTTTAAAGGTTGACAAACTAAACTTAACTAAACAAAACAAAACAAAATAAAACAAAACAAAAAAATCTAAAAATGAAAATAAAATAATAATTATATTATTACTAATAGTTTGAAACTAAACTATTGTTGTTAAAAAATAATAATTATTATTTATGTTTTTCTTTTTAGATGTGTATTGGGTCAATACAATATATTGTATTGTATTAATATTATTGTTGTTGTTGCTGTTGTTGTTTTTGTTTTTTTTTTCATTACACAATCAAACACACATCTTCGAAAGTTACCACCGCCTGTGTGAAATTGGTCACTTAACACATACCAACAACAACAATAAAACAACCCACACCACATCACAAAAAAAACAACAACGTTAAACAAGCTTTGGCTATGATTGGTGTTTTTTTTTTTCTAATTTTTTTTTTAAATCAATTTTCAATTGTTTCCCTCCCAAAAATAATTTCAAATTGGTGAAAAATCTAATGTTCGTCGACATTTGACACCACCAATTTTACAAAAAAAGATTTAGTGCTCCGCACTCTTGTATTATTGTATGTTGATTCATTAAGACAAACCAGGTTTCTAAAATTTTTTTTTATTTATTAGATTTATTTAATTTTAACAATTTCCGTCTGCAAATCTATAATGCCTGGTAGTGGTGTGGTAAATTTAAGTTGTTATTGTTGGTTATTGTTGTTGTTATTGTTTTATATAATATTTTTGTTTTGAAACGAAAATTAGTAGGCAATTTTGTGATTGTGGTGATGACCTCACCATCGTTTCATATTCTAATATTACGTTCCTCCTGCTCCTCCACAAACACCACACCCACCACACACACGCCCACAAACACACCAACTATTCTATTCTAAGTTTACTACTTACTCATTGAGACGGAGCTACGGTCGTCAAATTCACTCCAATCCTCTCTAAAAATATTTTTAGTTTATCATGAGGTCAGTAAATCATTAAATAATTTTGATAGGACGAAAAAATAAACTTTAAAATGATAACTCATTAATGAGTTTTCACACACAGCAACAACAACAACAACGGTAACACTTACTCTAAATCTACATTATGAAATTCTTTGCCTGATGACGATACAACAACCCAACAGTCCTGTATATTTTAATTAATTAGATATTAATTAAACAGCTTTGCAAACATACACGAGAGTTTGTTTCAACCTCTCCATCCACGAAAAAAAAAAAAAATCTAAACTTTCATCTAGATATCTATCTCTCACTGGTATGTTTTGATATCAAAATAGAATAGCTTAATGTGGTATACTTACTCTTGGATCAAACTCTTCTAATTCGACACCTCTACAGTCGAAATGGGCGACCACCATCTTCTCTTCACTATCACAGGTGCGTTCTTTCAAACCGTTCACATTCTCAATGACAACACTGTTTTCTCTACCACAATTCTTACATTTTACTGTTGTTTGTTTTGTTTTGTTTTGTTTTGTTTTGTTTTGTAAACCAATGACAATATGTTAATAATCTTTTTTTAGATTGTTTATATATGATGTAGTTGTTTGTCTATGTATATCTATACAACTTAAAATCCACTGACTACTTCAGTATACATGAATTCATACTTAAAAGATTGACTGTGTCTTTTCTTTGTTCTATTTGTTCTTCTGGATCGATACCGATATGGTTTTCGGTTAAAACTAAACAGTTTGAACACTTCAATTTGAAGAACCATATTTTGTGTGGCTCTGGATAGATATTTTGTACTTCTTCTGTCTCTGCAAAGATCTTTACTGCTAACTTTACCATTGTTATAATGTTTATACTTTATATATTTACTATAATTATACTTTGAAAATGTGAAAAATGAAGATGAATTTAAATAATTTGTTGTCAGCTTTTTTTTAAAAACACTTTGAATGTTTTTGTGAAAATTAATTGATTTTCATGTTTTTTCTAAACCAATTCTCTTTGGAATTGTAAAGCTTGAACAAAGACGATTAACCGTAACTGAGTCATTAAGAAACTTTGATTTTAAAGATGTTAACAATAATGAGCCTCATGAGGTAAAGTTAACAAATTTAAAGTTAAAACAATGCGACCGATCTTTTATTATAGAGTTATTAAATTACTCTTAAGTTTATTTTAACTCGATATCATCAGAGACATAGAATCAATCACCAATTAAACCAAATATTTTTTAAATGGTTCAACCAGTTGAAGAAGCTTTTGGTAGTTGGCAGAGTTGTCAACATCGACACCAGTCTTTTGAATGAGTTGTCCATACTTTATCACATCGAGATACAGTTGAAGTGACATCTTATCGTAGTCAGTGTTGTGAGTTGGTACTACTGGTGGTGTTGTTGTGCTCGAAGCCGCTGTCGTCTTCTTCTTTAGTTTATTTAGAATTTCATCTGCTTTGCTAAATGATGATAATACACCGTTGGCATTCTCATAGAATCTTAAGATTAAAATAGTAATATAGTATTAGTTAACTATCTTTTTTGATTAGTAAATAATAGCTAGTTAAAATAGTAATTACTTTTCACTTATTGGTATAAATATATCGTTTGACCATTGTGATTTGAATGTCGATGGAATAGAATTTGCTTTGTTACTCAAAAACGATTCGAATGGATTGACGAGTAGTTGTACATAGGTTGATGGTTTTGTTGGCATCTATTAAATTTAATAATAGGAATATATATATAAATGTTAGCTTAAAGTTATTGTTGTATGTAAAGCTTGTTGTTGGATATTGATTATACTTACAGGTTTGTTGGTCAATCTATAGGTGGTTGTCAATGAGTTTATAAAGGATAGACCTTCTGAACACTTTGAGGTAAAGTGATTAACAATAATGATAGATATTCTCTGTAGTATTGATTGTAATGACTTTACAGATTCACTTAACGAATTGTTAATGAGATCTTCGATTTCTTTCAAAGGATTGTTGATTGCTTTAGTAACCATTGGTTTAAATTCATTATTTATCTTTAATTATTCAATCAATAATATTAATAAAGATGAGTATAATTCATTCATTATACATATATATATATATATATATTCATTAATTACTTACCTTATCGATTAACTTTAATATATCGGAGTATAAATAAACTAAATTCTCTTGTGGTGTATATTTGTTGATTGATCGTTGATCTTGTTGTTGTTGAGTAGATAATGTAGATGTAGATGTGGTTGTAGGTGAAGCAACTGTAGGTGAAGTAATATTTGATGATGGTGTTGTTGTTGTTGTTGTTGTTGTTATTGGTGATGTAGTTACAATGTTTGACTTGTTTGGTGATTCAATATGTTGAACTGCTTCCAGTACATAGTGTTCATATCGTTGAATAAGCTGTAGAAACAAACGGAAGAACTTTGAGCTTAGCTCGTAGATGAAGATACTAGACGACCAGCAGTGTGCTGCGGTGACGCAGAGCGAGGTGGTCTGTGACAGGTGGAATTGGTGTTGTTCGACCTGAGGATTCTGCAGGTTGGCAATGGTGTCGTAGCAAGTGGTCTGAGAGAGCGAACGTTCCAGTTGCTGTGCAATCTCAGAGAATCGCAGCTGGAAGTAGATGGCAAAGTTCCAACGCTTGAAAAAGTTGGCATAGCTCGGCGACTGTCGCAAGTCACGCAGCTGCTCGACACTGTCAAACATAGTCTCCTCGAGAGTAGCAACAAACTGGCAACTCAGCATAAATGTCTTGAAGAACAAATCCGGTATTCCCGTTGCATAGATAGGTTTCAGCAATGCAAATTGTTCCTCTAACTCTGGCATCAACGATTCACTCACAAAGTTATACTTACTAGATATAAACAATTCATTAACTTTACTACATAACTTTCTAAATGATCTGATGAATATATAAATATATTAATATTAGGTATTTTAAACCACAAATAAAAAGTAGTTAACATTAATTAACTAATTTATACTTACAAACATTCTACATTTAAGAATGATTTAATTTGTTGATAGATAGTTGATAATCCATCACAAGAACCTTTGTTATTACCTTCAAGATTCTTTATATTTATAATCTATATTTATTTATATATAAATAAATAGTTTAGTTAGTTTTATAATATGCATTATTAATTAATCTATAATTACAGATGATAGATGAGGTTTAACTATTGTTTTTCTAAATATTTTATATGGTAGCGAGAGTTTCTTGATGACTTGATACAGTTTGAGACAATTGAATAATATATCAACAATTGTATTTGGTACTATCTCACTATCTACTTTTATAATACATCTCAATGTCTCTGTGAATATTGGTTCAATCTTTGATTCAATTTGGTTCGATAGTTCTAATAATTTCTATATATATTATGAATGAATGAATGAATAAGTTAACCTATTACTTTTGATAAATAAACATTAACTAAACATTAATTAACCATACCATATTCAATTGTTGAAATATCTTTAATTTTGACTCTTCGGATGATAGAGTAAGCAATTGATTCTGTATCTGATAGAATGTATTTGATATACGTTCAATTACAAGTTCAAGTGTTAATGTTGTATTCTTTGCTGCTGTTGTTGAAGTTGATGATGATGATGATGATATAATAGTAGTAGTTGTTGTAGGTGATAAACTATTACTATTAATAGGTTGACCTGTATTATTAAACAAACTTAATTGATCGAATAGATTATGAATATGTGTAATCGATTCCGATATCGATATATACAACTGCAGCAGCTGCTTAGTATGATCGATCTGTTTCTTCTCTCTAAGTTTATCTTCAACACATTCTCTAACTTTATGAATATCACCTTTGAATGTCTATATATATATATATATATATATATATACAATGTATATGTTAGTTAATATATATTTGTATATGATAAAAGATATATAATATTGTTATAGTTACAGTTATTTCAGATTTAATAGATGACAATGTATCGTTGAATTCATTTAGTACGACATCGATACCAACGAGTGACGATGACAATGAGAAGAATGAATGATACTCTCGGTTGATGAGTTCAACCAGTTCAGTGTCGAGACACTTGGAGTATTCTCTCAGGTCTTTCTGAACACTCTCGAGTGGTACACGCTTCCTACAGTCGGCGATGAACTGATCGACTTTGAATGTATCGGCAACAAACACCTCCTTACTGAAACACAAAGGATTGTACTGACCACCTATAATAGTTGGTTGTTGATATGACATTGCTGTATTACCACCACCACCACTACTACTACTATTATTCAATCCATTATTGTTAACAATATTACCACTACTATTTAAACTACTATCAAAACTATAATTTCTATTCATATCTATCTATCTATCTATCTATCTTATTTCATTTGTTTATCTAATATTATGATAATTCAGTGAAAAAAAATTAAAAAATTTTAATTAATAATCTCTCTGATTGATTGAAGTCAGAGTGTGAAGAATCAAATTAATTTGACCAAAAAAAAAAAAAAAGTCTTTTTTTTTCTACCATCCAGTGAATAAACAATGATTAATTAATATAGTATTTTGTTTTGCATATTGAAAAAAAAATATATTTGTAAAATATCATAGGAATTAGAAATGCGACTTATTTAGTTTAGGGTCAATATAAAATTAATTTTAAATTTCCAATTTTGTAAAGTGTTGACGATTTTATATAAATCTCCATTAGTGTGATCTTGCATCATCATAATTAAATGGTTTTGTTCAGCAAAAAAAAAAACAAAGTGATCACAGATTTTTATTTTTTGTTATTTTTTATTTTTTTTATTAAAAAAATGTTATCTGACTTTTGACTCATCAATTCCACATAGTCAATTTAAATTGTAATATTAAGAGAGGCTGTGAAAGAGAAAGAAAAGATATTTATAATATTGTATTGTTATTATTGTAATTAATATTTGTATATAATAATTGTTAAAGTAAATTAAAAAAAATAAAAGAATGAGTGGATTTTCAACATCAACTGAAGATATTCTGTTTGAAATGGATAGACAGAACAAAAAGATCAGTGAAACAAGAGGTAGACCACTAAGTCTTAGAGATATAAAGCGTTTGCCAATCGATATAAGTGGTAATACCCTGATGGATCCAGTCAATATTCCCTCGAAATTCAAGCTGTTCCAAGCCACTACCGATGCCGGTAATCTCTTTGCTTTTGTACAGTATAATCTTGCCGATGGTGTTCGTATCTCTGGTCGTTCCATTGATTCGCGTGTCAAGCTCAGCTACGACCTGCCCAACCACTCGACCCACATCAAGTCGTTCATAAGCAGCGGTGAGAATGCACGTGGCGTTCGTGAGCACCAAATCGGAGTGATGGTTCCAAATCTCTATTCCAGCTACAAAACACGTATGGGATCGGTGGTTCAATTTGGTGTAGGAACGGGACTCCGCATGCGGGGAATCTCTTCCCAACAACTGCGAGTATCGCCATTCCTCCACCCGAAGCTGACAGTGTTTGGTCCGTTTGGTTGGTGGCAGATCAGTGCACCACTCAACAGAAATGCAGGTATTCTCCAAATGAAACATCATATATTCTTTTCGATTCGCGGAACCACCATGTTGTCGAGTCTCGAGTTGTCAAGCAGCCGTCTCGCTCAAAGCATCAACAGTTACACACAATCGATTTTCAATAACAACAGCAGCAGCAGTAGTAGTAGCAATAGCATTAAAGAAGATAGTAACTCCAAGTTATTATCAACATCACCGAAATCAACCAATTCACAAATTCAAAGTCACGATACTGTAGAATACAAGATCGTTCATGTCGCCTCTGCAACCGAGCTAGGTGTACGTAGAACTAGTAACAAATATGCTTCCAAGTGGGAGTTACTCCTTGGTTTGAAGCACAACGTCGCTCACTCTGTTTTCATTCAATGTCTATTCACCCATACCATCGGTGAAAGAACCGACTTTGCACTTAGTTTAGGATTAGATTTATAAAATGAAGTTACTATTACACAAACAACAATACTCCCCAAAAAAAGTATTTAAGCATATTATAATAAATAATAAGCAATAAAAACATTATTTGTTTAAGCAAAAAATAATATATAATAACTAGTTATTTATCATTTTACTTAAAGAAATCTGATATCTTTGAATTCTGTTTGGGTGCAACTGCTAGTTTTGCTTTGGTGGCAGACTTCTTCTTGGTGGCAGCAGAGCTATTGTTGTTGTTGTTGGCTATTGAGTCGGGCAGTGCAAATTGTTCCATACGAGCATTGTAAATCAAGTTGGAATCGTCGGCAGTTGTAGAATTGCTTGCTGCTGATGTTTTGTTTGATATCAAAGATTCACGCAACTTTAGCATCCATTTCTCGTTGAGATACTCACTGAGGAACTCGAGAGCCATCTGTAACCACTGCAGCTTGGTCGTGCCGGCTTTGTTGGTGGTCAGTGAGGATGCACGGTAGATATTGGTGTTCGAGGTCTCCAAGTAGGTGGCAAGCGATCTTGCCTTGCACTTTAGCCAGAGGAGTAGTCGGTCGTCGCTCAGCCTATAGAGATCACTCGAGTAGAGCGTTGTATGGTCACATATCAACTCTAGTTGTTCGTGTGTGAATGTGTAGCCAGCTGCTTTCAGTTCCTTACCGGGTTGGTCACTCTCCAACTGTGATTTCTCAACAAACTGAACTTTCGATACATTTCCACCAGAGTCCGAAGCGTTGCCTCCACTCTGACTTCTAGATCTCTCGAGATAACCGATTATCAAGAACAAAGGATCAATTGGACAACTCATATATAATGATCCATCTTTATAAAAATAACAAATAAAGATTAGTTATTCTTTCAACCAATTTGATTAATAATCGAATTCAAACTTAACATACCATGTCTAACACCATTATTCATAAACCAAGATGAAGGTGATTCCTTATAGTTATTAATCTCCATTACAATTTGATTCTTTCTATCTACAATATATCTTGTTTCATTATCTGAAATGAGTGAGTAACGCATTACATTAGTAAATGATTGATTTGTACATTCTAATTTTAAATATAAATAAACTTACTCGATTTCGGATTTAAAATTGATACAATAGTTAAATTATTATCTTTATCTTTATTTTCATCTTTATCATTATTATTTTGATTATTTTGATTATTATTATTATTATTATTTATATCTTTATTTAAATTATTCTCATGATTATATACAATGAATATTCTATCTTGATATGGAAGTTGTGTAGTGGCAGGATCAGCTTTTACCGCAGCAGCAGGCTTCTTTATTGTTGATCTTGTAACTCTTTTTCTCTTCTTAGATGTATCATCTTCCTCTTCCTCTTCCTCTTCTTCTACATCAATATCATCGTCGTCCTCTACTACTTCATCCTTTTGTTTTGATGATGGGTCATCTAGATCGAATTCATCATCCTCATTGAAACTGTCATCAATTGATTTACTTGTTTTCTTTCTTCCCATTATCTATCAATTACAGTAATTAATATATGTTATTGCATAACAACCTTACTAACTTTTAAATTTCCCTCCAAAAATTGATTTTTTTTTTTTTTTTTTTTTTTTGTGGAATAATGTTTAACTTGCAACTTTAATCTCATCATTGGAATATCATATTTATTTTTATTTATATTTTAATCAATAATAAAAAATTATCATTCTATTGAAAACAATCATACGGCATCACTTTTTCATAATGGCGAATGAAAGATTCTCTTCCAAAGAACATAATCTTGAAATATTATTATTTTACAATATCACTATTAGATTCTTTTATTTTTTTTTTGCTTCAAATGTAATTTTCTTTAACAAAAATAGACACAAAGACTAAGAATAAGTTATTAGGATGTTGACCATATATTTTTTTTAATTTATTTTTCAGAAAAGATCTTTTTCTTCTCAAACAAAATTTTCGTCATCTTGAATACCAGTGCAAATTTATTCAAATTTTTCGTTACCATCATCTTTAGATTTTTTTTAAAAATCTTTGTTTGCTCGACTCTGGGGTATGAACGTTAATATTATGAAAAAACAATTTTGAGAATGTTAAACTTACTCAACTTGTGATTGAATACTTTGACATGATTGAAGAGATGTATTGACAACACAAACCAATGTGTTGGAATCGATTTCTACTGCTTTGGTAGTAGTAAAAATATTTACAGATAATAATAAAACGAAAAGGTAAAAGTTTCTATTCATTTTTTTTATTAAATGGTGGTACCAATTGACTAATAAATTAGAAAACCATGTTGTTTCTATATTTAATTAGAAATAGTTTAATATTATTATCATAAAACTTTAGGGTCCATTTGCAAATATCAATTTATCCTATAAAACTGATATTGTTTTCGAAGGATTCACTTTGATTGGTGGTGGATACAGTGGTTCTTTCAATGGAGGTCTTGTTTCTGTGACATATTCTGGTTTTAGTGGTTCACCAAATCTTGAATTTGTCAATACTACTATCTCTGGAGCGAGTGTAAAGAGTAATGGTGGTTGCATCTATTCAGACGGTATGGTTGTATCTGTTATCAACTCGACTATCTTCAACTGTATGGCTCAAAATAATGGTGGTGCCATTGCCACTGCCGAAGGCGTAACCCAGAGTGTATATGTTATCAATTCTAACATTTCGATGAACACTGCCTAAAACTATGCTGGTGCAGTCTATACCCCTCTGCTGTATGTCAACAACTCCACCTTCTACTATAATAGTGCTGCCTCAAGTGCCGGTGCGCTCTACGTTTCCACCTTCATATCGATTCAAAATAGTACTTTCTATCGAAATATTGCAACCCACAACGGTAATGGTGGTGCCATCTACTTCAACGGACAAATGTCTTCTATAGTTGGAACCACGTTTATTCAAAACTCTGTACTAGGTATGGGTTCTGGTGGTTCCATCTATGCTGATAATATGGTTTTACAAGATTGTCAATTCTCCAGTGATAACGCATACTTTGGAGGCTCTATTTACTCGATTTCATCATTAGTTGTCAGTAGTTGTTCGTTTGTTGGTTCAAGTGCTGATTTATATGGAGGAGCTATTTTGGCAAATGGTAATGTCAACATCAATAACACTTTCTTCAATGGTGCAACTGCCAACTCTGGAGGAGCTATCTATACTCAAAATGCTGGATCTACCAATATGATCGAAGATTCTCAATTTTTCAATAATGTTCAGGTGGTGCAATTGTAAGTAGTTTAAAAATGAATTCTCCACTAAACTTTCTAGTTCTAAAACAAACTTTTTTTTTTATCTTTAGTACAGCAGACAAACATCTTCTTTCTTTTTGAGTGGTACCTTGTTCAATGCCAACTCTGGTAAATTTTTTTTTTTTTAGTATTATTCAATGAATTAAAAATTACTAACAAACTATTATTACAGCAACTATTCAGGGTGGCGCCATGTATTTCAGCGGTGGTGGATACCCAAAAATGTTTTATGGTGGTAAATTCATATCAAACTCCAATTTGATGAATCCAACTTACAATACTTTCAATACTGACATGATCAAAAATGTAAACACTGTCAATATTTCAGTTGATATCTTGATATCGCCCACCCTTTACAGTGTTCCACTCGTTACCGATGATTCTTTGGTATATGTATGTATTATTATTATCAAAAATATTTATTGAAATTATTAAATTTTTTTCTATTATTTTTTCAAATCATTCATTAGCCAGTTGCATATGGAGTTCTGGGAGATTGTTTCAATGGTATTGCTACCATTTCCACAGGTGGTCAAGTTACATCATGCCAATGCTTCCCAAATTACTCAGGTAGTTCATGCAATAACAACTAATAAAATTTTTTTTCGAAATTCAGAATCTGATCCACTTGGATATCCTGACCTTTGTTAATTTTGACCCCTCTTTTAAAAAGATTTTATCACTGTTATTTGATTTCATTGAGATTCAAATAGAATGAAAAATCTAAAGAAGTTTCATCAAAAGTGACGTCACTTTACTCTGAAAAAAATCCTAAAAGTCAAATTTTCCAAAATAAATTTATAAATATCGACATATTTTATTGTCAAATTATGTGTGATGTAAAAATCTTTCTGTGCGTTTTTATCATACCAAAAAAAACCTCGTCAAACTCAAAAACCAAAGAAAATTTCACCCTTTTTTTGTTTAATACCAAGACTGTCGAGATTTTTTAGATATTTTCATTAAAAATCTTTTTTTATTGGCAGATCTTAGTTTTTTAAACAAAAGCTAAATCACTTATTTATTTTTTTGATATAAATACATAACTAGTATCTTTTTTTTAAAATCAAATACTAAAAAAATGAATAGAAACATTTACTTTTTCGTTTTATTATTATCTGTAAATATTTTTACTACTACCAAAGCAGTAGAAATCGATTCCAACACATTGGTTTGTGTTGTCAATACATCTCTTCAATCATGTCAAAGTATTCAATTACAAGTTGAGTAAGTTTAACATTCTCAAAATTGTTTTTTCATAATATTAAATTAATTTTTTTTTATTTTATCTTTAGAACATGTCCATCCACCGTCAGTTGTATTTCCTATTTACAACAAACTGTGCAAAATAATCCATCATATACCACAACAGTTGTTGTTTTGGCTGATGGATTGAACTATAATGATTGTCCGGGTACTATAATCGGTCTTCCAGAATCTTATATTCATGTTTTCGTCGGTGGTTCCAATTCTGTTTACCAATGCAATGTATGTTTCTATTTTTATTTATTTATATATTTAATTTTCTTAAAATTTTAATATTCTAATTTTATTATCATAAATCTTTAGGGTCCATTTGCAAATATCAATTTATCCTATAAAACTGATATTGTTTTCGAAGGATTCACTTTGATTGGTGGTGGATACAGTGGTTCTTTCAATGGAGGTCTTGTTTCTGTGACCTATTCTGGTGTAAATGGTTCACCAAATCTTGAATTTGTCAATACTACTATCTCTGAAGCCAGTGTAAAGAGTAATGGTGGTTGCATCTATTCAGACGGTATGGTTGTATCTGTTATCAACTCGACTATTTTCAGCTGTATTGCTCAAAATAATGGTGGTGCCATTGCCACTGCCGAAGGTTCCGATATTGTAACTATTACCAACTCTAACATTTCGATGAACACTGCCTATAACTATGCCGGTGCAATCTATGCTTCCATTCTCAATGTCAACAACTCAACATTCTCTGAGAATACTGGTGCTATTATTGCTGGTGCCCTCTACGTTTCCAACTTTTTGTCTATCCAAAACAGTACTTTCTATAAGAATGTTGGATCCAGCGTAGGTAACGCTTATGGTGGTGCTATCTACTTCAACGGACAAATGTCTTCGATTGTAGGAACCAAGTTTATTCAAAACATTGTTTTAGGTATGGGTTCTGGTGGTTCCATCTATGCTAACTATTTGACTTTGCAAAATTGTGAGTTTTCCGATGATTCCGCATACTATGGTGGTTCTATCTACTCAATTTCATCTTTGAATATGGAAAACTGCACGCTTGTTGGTTCTAGAGCCACTATGTATGGAGGAGCTATTTTTGCAAATGGTAATGTCAACATCAGAAACTCTTCCTTCACTGGCTCAACAGCCTACTCTGGTGGAGCTATTTACACTTCAAACGCTGGATATTACAATATGATAGAAGATTCTCAATTTTTCAATAATGTTGCTAAGACAGGTGGTGCAATTGTAAGTAGTTTAAAAAAATACTCTAATAAGTCCACTCACTAAACACCTTACAAACCTTTTTCTGAATTACAGTATAGCAAACAAACATCTTCTTACTATTTTAGTGGATCCTTGTTCAATGCCAACTCTGGTAAGTATTTTTTGGAATACTTTAAATGAAATTGATAGTTTGCTAACAAACTATTATTACAGCAACTATTCAAGGTGGAGCTATGTATTTCGGAGGTGGTGGATACCCAACAATGCTCTATGGTGGAAAATTCATTGGAAACACCAACAAAGTAAATCAACTTTACGACACTTTCAATAGTAACGTTTTTAGCAATGTAAACACTGTCAATGTTTCAACTGATATCATTACATCAAACACACTTTACAGCGTTCCTCTCGTTATTGATAATTCTTTAGCTTATGTAAGTGTATCACTAATATTAAAAATGATTATTGAACAAATATTAATATTTTATATATTTTCAAAATACATAGCCAGTTGCATATGGTGTTCTCGGGGAATGCTACAATGGTATCGCCACCATTACCACAAGTGGACAAGTTACATCATGTCAATGCTTCCCAAATTACTCAGGTAGTTCATGCAATATTAACTATTAATAAAATTATAAAAATTTATTTAATAGTCATTTGAACAATTTGATTTTGATCAATTTCTGTTTGATCTAAATTGTAAAAAGATAATGTAAATGTTAGAATCTCAATTGGATTGAGTGTAATGGTAGTTTGATGAGTGGTTGTATTGCTAGCGATGATGGAATTGGCTGATAAAGTAGTTTGTTGAACCGATGTAATATTGAACCTGTTAAATAATTGACCTAGTGATATAGTAATTGGTTGAGAGAAAACATTGTTTTGATCAACTTGATAAATATTGATTAGTCTCATAATCATCTGATCACTATTATCCCATTGCCTATTCAATGAAAGTAAATGTAGATTCTGAGGGAATGGATTGTTGTTTTGACCAAGTGGACTATAAAATGTCGACATCTTTTTACACCACTGAACTATCGAATTACCTTTGATCGGTGCAAACATCTTGAGTAATGGGTTCTCATGGATCAGAGTGTGTTGAGCTCGAAGAAGTTCTACTCTCTCTGGTTGTCCAACTAATATTCTGGATTTAATACGGGTTGTACTTGTATCGTTCAATGCTTCATGAATAGAGGTTTGTATATTGTCTGAACGTCGTATCAATAGGAACTCTAGTAGTCCATTGGCTTGACTGCTTACACCCATAGACTGTCTATGAAGAACTGCCAGCTCAGAGTTTGAATCTTTAATTATAGCGGTGTTTATAGATGGATAGAAATTACCAACGATTAAACTTGAAACATCAGAGTCATTAAATTTCTCCATCCATTCCCTTTTAATTGTTTCCAATCCATTGTTTGAATAAAAGGTAGCACCATTGCTAATAGATGAGTTGAATCTCATGGAGATTTCATAGTTGTATCCAACACTAACAATATTCTCGATTTCAAAATATTGATCTTCCTGTGCAATAGTCCCAGACTTGGCGGATGTCGAATTGTAAACAGTGAATAGCTGTGTAACATTATTACTATAGACAATGATTACCATTGATAAAAGTGGTCCCTCCGTTAGATAGAACTGAGCGGATGTTGCATCAAGTGGATGTGGTTCTCCATGTACTCTGAAATGATAGCAATCATCGTGCATTGAATCGTATTCATATAGCTTTTGATTTAATTCTATTCTATTTCCACTGCTGTTCAAATCCATATAATATTTCAATTCTAATAAATAATTATTAGAAGGATTCATTTGGAAATGAAGTTGGAATTGATCGTTTCCGATGATCACTATATCCATGCCCTCATCTTGGCAATTGCCATATGAAATAATTTCATTTGGTATTGATCTATATGCTGGTATTGGATAATATAGTTCTCCTTGATTCGGTACGTATTCAAATTGATTATCTCGATTGCCTATGCACATGATAAAGTAGGTGGTGATACCCAAAGCTGGAACTGACGCTTCGAAATATAAATGCCATTCGTCAGTATCCAATCTTTGAACTAACTGTGACGGTATAGGTTGCTGATTATAGTCATACACTGCATAGTTTTGAATACCCACTGGAATGTCTACGTACTCCACTCTACTCCATGCCAAACTATTACTCAATGAAACAACCACCACTTGTCCAATAGTCATACCTTTGAGTAATATATCTTGATAGTCAAATCCATACTCTATTGATTCGTTCGCCAGTAAATATGATACCATCGATGGTATTGAATCCAACGATGTATTTTGAGCACTCCATAGCATATTGAAGTAATCGTTCCTAACATATTCCTTGGCAGTTCCAGTAACAGCATCATGGTGTGTAAGAATACCACTAACATTCCTGTGTAACTCTAGTGCTTCGAATACAAATTGACTATCGAATGTATATTCAGAACTTGGCGTTGCACTAGCCAATGAAAATAGAATTTCAATACTTCTAAGAATTGAATCCGAATCTCGTACAGTCTGCTTGAGTAGTGGGAAACTAGTGAAGTATCCTGACCAATAGTTTATACAATTATTAAAATTAGCATAGTCGTTGGCAAGACACTGGGTATAGGTGAAATAATCGGTGTCACTAACATCTGGGAAATCCGAGGGTTGTGTTTCCATTTCCACCGCCTGGAAGTACTCGCTCAGTGTCGCATATCTAATATTTACATTATAGGAGCTGTTTGAATTGATATAGGCTATTAGCAGATCCATATTGCCAAATTGCATACTGGCTTCCTGGAAACTAAAATCACTTCCAAATGGAACCAGTAAATTGTTATGACGATAATAGAGTGAACGCTGCCTTACAATTTCCAGAAGAATATCTGCTCTTTCCGCTATATTTTCGGGGGTGATTGGTGGATTTATTTGTGGATTACTTTCAAAATCAAATCCTGTACAGGTAATGTTTACAGGGTCGGAAGCATTCTGGTAGCAAATCTCTGGTGTATTGTAATGGTCATCGAGAATATGAGTAAAGATGGAGAGTGATCGGGAATAGCTAGCGGATGGATACCAATTGAATTCAAAGGAACGATCGTCTATCAATGAACCGGATCCAACTATATCTGGCGATGCATTGAATTGGTATTTCAAACGTTGATCGACTCGGTCGATAACATGATACTGGAATCCCATCAGTCGGAACAGCATAGGTGTGAGATTCGAAGCTCCAAACGGATCGATTTGCCAGCCCACTTTCGGGGTCACTCCAAATTCACCGAGAAGGAACTGATGGCCCAGAGTCATCTGATTGATCACCGCCTGATAGTGAGCGACAGCTTCGTCGTTCTGTGCCCATCCACCACCGATGAACTCAAGCTGTTGATTCTGGACCAACTCTCGAACCATTGATTTAGTCCAATCGGTTTGTTCACTCCACCATCTTTCAAAATAAATTCTAAATCGAGGTTGGAAATGGAAGAACGTTTGTTTTTTTTAGTTGAACATTCTTTTTTAGTGCACCAGAATCATTTGTACAAATTCTAAATAAAACAACTTACACTTCAGCCCAATTGAATCTTTTCGATGGATCTTTTAAGAGAGATTCAATAACACCTGTTAGTATAACTGTAACATTTTCGGTATAGTATTGTTCGTATGTTTGTACCCATCCAACATCTAAAATAAAATATATTAACAAAAAGTCATTAATGTCAATAATTCTCGAAAAATTAATAATTACCACAATGACTATGAGGTATTAAAAATACATTTAATCTTTGATTGTCTTGTTTGCTATCGATTGGTTTTGAACAAACATAGATAGTAGATAATAATAAAAATACAAATAAAATTACACTTTTTATCATTTTGATTTTAATTTAAATGGGGGAAGAAGAATGCAAAAAAGAAATGTTGCTAAGAACACTAAAAAAAAAAAAATTTTGTTTATATTTACATTTTAAACTCTATCTTAATTAATAAATATCTTTAACTCTACTCTATTGATTTAAAGTTTAATTTGATCTCTGAAAATATACCTTTATTTTTAGAATTACTTTTTTTATTGTTTTTCACTTCTAAAAGGTCCGATGATGGAATGATTGATCTATTAAAAAAAAAAAGCCTAATCAAGTTAAATCAAACGGAAATCGGGAAAAACAAAAAAAATAAAAATGAAATGAGCACATTTACAACTTTTATTTTGGTTTTTGTGGGGTACCCCACAAAGTCAGTACTCAATTGATTTAATTTAAAAAATTGTTGTTGTTTTTTAATTATTTTTTAATTTTTTTTCATTTTTAATGGTGATGGTGTGGTTTGTTGTTCATCACCATTAAACTTTTTTGATAATTATAATCTATTTAGTCAGTATTCTTTTCAACCTTTTAACCAATATATTTGAAATATTTTCATTTCGAAATTGAATTTTATACTATAAACAGATAATTAATTATATAAATAATAACTTAATTATAGTTAATAAACAAAACAAAACAAAACAACATATATAAAATGTTCTCTAAATATCGTGATGAATTAATTGCCACTGCTGTATGTATTAAATATTATATATATATATATATTTAACTAGTTATGAATTATTATTACTATATATTTTTATATATTACACCGAATTTAGAAAAAAAATATCATGATATTTTTTTTTTAATTAAATTGATTTACTTACTTTATTTTTATACAATTTAAATAGAAAGCTATTGTTGCACCAGGTAAAGGTATTTTGGCAGCTGATGAGAGTACAAATACAATTGGAAGTCGTTTCCAAAAGATCAATTTGGAGAACAACGAACCAAACAGACGTGCCTACAGAGATTTGTTGATCAACACTGAGGGAGACATCAACAAGTTCATTGGTGGTGTTATTTTGTTCGAAGAGACACTCTACCAGAACGATGAGCAAGGCACTCCATTCCCAGCCATCCTCAAGAAGCACGGTATCATCACCGGTATCAAGGTCGACAAGGGAACCGTCGTCATCCCAGGTACCGACGGTGAGACCGCCACACAAGGACTCGACGGTTTGGCCGATCGTTGCAAGAAGTACTACGAAGCCGGTGCCCGTTTCGCCAAGTGGAGAGCCGTCCTCAAGATCGACGTCCCAAAGGCATTGCCATCGCAACTCGCCATCACAGAGAATGCCCATACTCTTGCACGTTACGCCGCCATCTGTCAGGAGAACGGTTTGGTGCCAATCGTCGAGCCAGAGATTCTCATGGACGGAACTCACTCCATCGAAGACTCTGCCGTCATCACCGAGCGTGTCTTGGCCGCCGTCTTCAAGGCTCTCAATGACCACCACGTCATGTTGGAGGGTGCCCTCCTCAAGCCAAACATGGTGTTGAACGGAACTGGAAACAACGCACCAGCCACCCCAACCAGAGTCGCCGAGCTCACTGTTCGTACTCTCCAGAGAACCGTTCCACCCGCTTTGCCAGGTGTCGTTTTCCTCTCTGGTGGTCAAACCGAGTTGGAAGCCACAGCCAACTTGAACGCAATGAATCTTCTTCCAAACCGTCCATGGTCACTCTCATTCTCATACGGTCGTGCACTCCAAGCTTCGATCATCGCCACCTGGAAGGGTTCCAAAGACAACATTGAGGCTGCCCGTAAAGTTTACCTCCACCGTGCACTCTGCAATTCACTCGCTCAACTCGGTAAATACCCAGGTGAAGAGGCAACCGCTGAGAACTCTCAAAGTTTATTCGTTTCCAACTACAAATATTAAATAATTATTAAAAAGAATTCTAGAGATTAATCTTTTTTTTGTAAAGAAAAATAACAATTGAATCAATTCTTGATTGTAGTTTAAATTTTAAAATATTATGAAGAGAGAATAGAATCTTTAAGGTTTCTGTGGGCGATTGTCAGTGTCTGATCATGAATAGTTCATAAATAACAGCAATAAGTTACTTTATCCAAAATTATGGATTATCTAAAAACAGATAGATAACCTGATCAAGGTTAAAAAAAAAAAGGAAATAACAAGTTTTTTGTTTTTTATTAATTTAATACATCAATCAGTAAAAATAAAATTTTCAAATCAAAATAATATTCAGAACATCATTCATATCAAATATCATTTTTTAGGAAGAATTAAATTCAATATACATTAAATATTTTTAGGAAAAGGAAAATAACAATAGACAAGACTCATAATATTGTCTATTTCTTAGAGTCAAGATCAAGAAAACAAAACTATTTTGACAATGTCAAGATCAAGTTCCAAAGTATTTTTCATATAACAAACAGGATATTTGAGTTAAATTGAAAGATGGTCGATTAATTAAATAAACATAAAAAAAAGGTTTTTATTTCTAATCAACTTTAATAAATTAAAATGAAGTGCTTTTTCAAAAAAAAATTACTAAATATAATTTTTAAAAATAATGATAATTATTGTTTTATTTGAAAAAATTGCTTAAGATTTAGTGTGAGTTGTGTGTTTTTTTTTTGATCAAATTTTTTTTTCATTAATTTTTTCATTTTTTTTTTTATTGATTGATTGTTTTTAATTAACAACGTACTTTTTATAATCAAAAAAAAATCTTATTATCAATAGATAGACAGACTGTTTGGAATTTGATTCGATAAATCATAGCATTTATTGTAGCCTATACCCATTAAACTCTATTTTATCTATTATTCTTATTTATTCTTCTTTTGTATTATATTTTTTTTTATTTAATTGTTAAAATAGTAATAATATTAGTAAAAGTACCAATAGTAGCAGTAACAACCAACAACAACAATAGTAGTAGTGTAGAAATAATAATAATATTAAGTGTTTATGATAAATTGTTTTATTTTAAAAGAAATCGAAATCTAAATTTAAAACAATCACTGTTATAAATATATTTATTATTTTTGTGTATAGTTTTAGTTCATAAAAAAAAACAACAAAAAAAAAAAAAAAAAAAAAGTAAGTGATCAAAAAAAAAAAAGTAAGTGATCAATCATAAATATCAGAGTAGAAAAGTTGAAAGAGTTTCAAAGTTAGTTATTAGATGTCAGACTCTCCCAATCGAAAACCAGTTGGATCTCCTGGGTTGGTGTCCTCGTTTGGATCGCCATCGTCAGCTTCTTCAACTTCATCGATGAATTCATCAACCTCCTTCAATCTGAATGGCAATGGTAGTAGCAACTCTCCACATCATCATCACCAAAAACAACCTAGTTATGGAGGTGGCAGTAGCGCCAACACTGTAAATACCAATAGTAGCAGCAATAATACAATTATAAAATCAGTTTCAGCATCCACTGGACTCAATAAATCATCGAGTGGAGTAAAGACAACAGGCAGTGGAACATCACCAGCATCTGTATCATCACCATCATTATCCACAACCTATGGCAATAATAACAATAACAACAGTTCAACTACTTCTACAACAACATCAACATCAACAACAACAACAACAGTAGTTGGATCATCATCATCATCTACCAATTTCTATTCTAAAAAGAATGTTGAATATATATTGCTGGCAGAGTTTGATATTGACATTGGAAGTAAAGTCAAATATCAATATCCATGTCCTACTGGTGAGGATGAGGCACTGCTTGCAGAGTTTATGCTTCCGGACGGTGCTCACAATCGTGATGCCGATTGGACTGTATTCTTCTTAAACCGACCCGATCCCGATGGAATTCTCTCAAAGAACAAGAAAGCAAAACCAAAGCCAAAAACACAAGGCAAAATTATATGGTAACTATTTATAAGTATAATTTGGTAGTTTACAACAAGTATTAACTAAATCATTAATAAATGAATATAAAGTACAATAGAAGCATTCATTTATAAATTCTCAGAGGAACAAGAGTCAAAGGGTTGGGTAATGTTAGATGCCGACAAATTAACTCTTCAAATCTATTCAGGTTCTATCAATGTAGTTGGAAAGAATAATGTTTTAGTTACAAAAATGTATGTGTGTTTATATTAGTTGTACAAATAAGTATTTATATTAACAATATTGTTGTTGTTGTTGTTGTTATCGAATCGAATCAAAGTGAAAAACATTCAGATCTTGAACACACTCAGTTGGAACCATTGTTTGATTGTGTGTTGACCGATAGTGGAACGGCACTGGGTGTAAGATTCTCAGAGGCCAGCGAAGAGGAGCAGTTCTTGCAACACGTCAATAGAATGATAAAAGAGATGGCGGAGGAGAAGATTTTGGCGGCGGCGGCAGCTAGCACCACGATCTCTGACAACAACAACAACAACAACAGTAATAATAACAACAATGGAGCTACCGACAGTTTGAATAGATCGACCAGTAGCTCTAGCAGTAGAAGCGATTCTAACACACTGGCGACAGCAGGAGGTTCTCCATCAACAACAACAACAACAACAACATCATCATCATCACAATTCCTCTATTGTCTCAACTATATGAACAATCAAAAAGATGAATCAGTAAGACGTGGTGCCATTGTAAAATCATTGGCAATCTGTACAACTCATCCATTCATTCATATTTACAAGGTATAGTTAATCAAATCAAATCAAATCTAGATATTCTTTACTAATATCGATGACTTTGATTGAATATAATATTATATAGCCATTTATGATATTAGGTATACAGAAATACTATAGTTCACCATCGCTAGAAGTAATCATTGAATTATATAACTCATTGAATAGTTTGGATATGTCGACCGTTCCATTCCTAAACGATGTACAAAAGCATATCTTGAGATCATCACCCGACAAGAACAAACAGAGTCACTCAACAAATATAACCTATCTTGGCAAGCCAATGCCTGTATATATACCTATAACATTATTCCCAGACGAAGTTGGTGATGTAAGTAAAGACAAAACACAACAGATATAATATTATATTTCCATTCTCAAGATAAAACTTACACAAATCATCTATGTTGTATTTTACTATATATATAGTATAAAGTAATTACATTGGTACAGAAATTTGGAAATGATGTAATGAAGATATTCAATGGTATATTGTCACAAAAGAGAATATTGTTTTTGGGATATGGATGCAGTGCCGGCGAAGTTTGTAATTATGTGCTGGCAGCGTGTTGTATGGTTTGTCCGCCATTGAAGGGAATCAGGGAGCGAATCTTCCCGTACACCAATCTGGTGTATCTCGACTTCCTCGAGGTGCCCGGCTACATCACCGGTGTCACCAATCCGATGTTCGAGGAGAAGACCGACTGGTGGGACATCCTCTGCAACATTCAGACCGGCAAGGTAGTGATGAATCCGTCGTTGGTCACCGAGATACCCGACAAGTTTGCGCAGTACGACAGCGACTTTATGGCGGAAGTCAACTACAACATATCGGCGCACTACGGCGAGGACAAGATCAAGAGTCTCTTCCAGGAGTACACCCAGCACATCGTGGATATGGCGCTCGACGAGGAGGAGTTTGCCGACGACCAGACGCGCGCTGCCGCGCTCGACGCGAACAAGCCGCGAACCGACCTCTGGACGCGCACCAAGACCTACAGCACCTATCTTCAGGACCGCGAGAACTCCAAGAAGAACAGCGCCATCAGAGATCACACCATACAGCAATCGATCAAGAAGCTACGCAAGCGTAAGCACGTCGCCGAGAAGGAGGTGCTAAAGATCTACGATAGTTTCCTCAACAGCATCAAGACGGAGCAACAGGTGACAGAGTTCCTAAGTTATCTGCCCAAGTCGCACGGTGGATTATTCCCTGTGGCGGTGGGTCTATTCCATCAATCGAAAGACGTGCGTAACGCAACATGTGAACTACTGAAGCGTTTAGATAAGATACAAACCGGTAGTGGATTCATCTCTGGACTCAACCCATTCCTTAAACAATGTTATGAAAGAAATTTGAAATATCAATAAAACTAAGACAACAACAACAACAATAATAATAATACTAAAATTTCGATTAATACTATACTACTACAATCACGCCAAATATAAAACAAACAAAAGTTAAACATCACCAACAAACAAAACATACACACATAAATATCAAAAAAGTAAATTATAATAGATTTAGAGTACAATAATAAATACACACAACCAATTAAACATTGATATATATTATTATTTACTTATGATTTAAATATGTACAATAAATCACCAATTTAGCTAAACATATAAAACATTTGGTATTGTTTATTTTGAAATCAAAGTTGCTTGTAATCTTCTCTTTGGTTTACCATTTGGTAGTAATGTTTCAGTTGAAGAAGAAGTAGTGGTAGTGGTGGTAGTTGTAGTGGTTGTTGAGTCATCTGTCTTTTGTTTCTTTTCAACTTGTTCATCATTATCGTTTGTGGTAGTGTTATTAGTTGAATCACTATCAATCTTTCTCTTTAGTGATTCTTGTTGTTGTTGTTGTTTCTGTTGTTGATGTAATTGTTGTTGGGTAATCTTTTCAAACAGAGTATTCTGGTAGGCATCTAAACGCAATTGTTTTGCTTCCTTCATAGACTCTGGCCAGTTTTCTTCCTCCAGAGGTATACCAAGTTCATTCGGTTGGAATGCTAGATACGAGCAGAATCCATCCTGTGAAGTAACCATTAAAATAGATCCGTCATGTGTCCTTGATATATACAAATCGTTAATAATTAATTGTAACAACTAAAAATGCTTATAAGCATTATAATGCTACTTACCAACACATATCTGTAATAGGTGCATAATGTATATCTGAAATGACTAGTATTGGTTGTAAAGATTGAGTGTCGTATAATATGATTGTCTCTGATGTTGCAATAGCAAATATCATCTTGTAGTTTATATCAGACAATTGTGATGTCTTATCTTTATCCAATCGATATATAATCGGATTGAATTTAACTGTTAGCGATGGTTTGTTTGATGGTAAATGTATTATAGGTCTGTTGTTTATAGTTAACATTTAAATGTTAGTTGTCAATTGTTTATCAAATAATAATAGTAATATTATTATTTTCAATACCTACTTGTTTGGTATACTTCTAGAGAATAAATATGATGTACTTCTAACCTTTTCATTTGGTGATGATTTAAATTGTCCTGTTGGTGTAATAAATAATGATCCATCTGGTGACCATGATGGTCTTCTAAAAAATCTATTAACAGCAGCAATCATCGTTAATTAGTTTGCTATATATAGTTTGTTTAAAGATAAGCAATTGCATTATCAAATGAGTTATACATACGAAGATACACATTCATCATAATACATTCTATGTTCATGATTTGATGTTTCTGTTGTTATTTCATTATTATTATTATCTATATTATTATTATTATTATTATTATTATTGTTATTTGATGTTTCAGTAGAGGTAGTGCCTTCAGTGAATACTCTCTTAGATAGTACATTTTTTAGTTGTACAAATTGTTTCTTTGATTGTTTCTTCTTTTTTGTTGTTGTTGTTGTTGTCTTTTCTGTATTATTATTCTCATAGAGACGACAACTACCATCTGCACTCTCTGTCAATAAGAATCTACCAAGAGGATCCCAACACACACCTTGTACATAATGTGTATGTTCTTCAATAGTTTGAATACAATTTCCTAAAAATAACAACAACAACAACAATAAAAATAACAAAAAAATATTAGTTACTATCTTTTTACAAAAGTTATTATAACAAACATACTTGTAATGGGATTCCAAATTTGAAAGGTATGATCTGTAGAGCAGGTTGTTAGATTCAGTCCGTTTGGTGACCATGAGAGGTCGTAGCTATCGGTGGGAACACGCAACACTGAGATGGCAGTCCATGTTTCTTTGTTATTACTACTGTCATTGTCACCATTCAAATCGATTGATGATTGTGTTGTTGTTGTTGTTGATGTCGATGTTGTTGATGTCTCTGGTGTCGAAGCAGTTGCTGCTGCTGCTGCTGTATTAATATGATTTGGACTTAATCTCCAAATGACAACAGTACCATCATCGCTACCCGATGCCAGCAGATTACCACCGGGTGAGAATCTTGCTACATTGACATGCTTTGAGTGTTTCGACAACGACGAAAGGAAACTGAATTCAACTCCACCTTTTTCATTCTTTTGATAACTCCAAATCTATAACTAGCTAGTTAGTTTCATTTTTTAAAACTCTAATAAATAGATTAGTTACTTTAATATCATTATCAGAACCAGTTGTACATAGTCGATTTGAACTTGAGTCGAAATCGAGTGAATATATTGGATCTTTGTCATGCCACAGAATCATAACAGTTTCACATGTAAATTTCATCTTTCTTTTCTCTTTCTTCTTATTCCAAATATTATTATTGTTATATTGTTATATTGTTATATTGTTATTATTATTATTATTGTTATTAACATGTAAGTTGATTATACCATCATAGATAAATCTAAAAAAATAAATTAATATGAATTAAAAGATGTTCCCGCTCTTTTTTAAAAATTTAAATTTTTCAAATCACACACACCAAACTTCATTCCTCTCTAATAGATAATTTAGAAACTAGATAAGATAATATATACAACAACAATAATATCCAATATTAAGAATTAGTTTGCAAAATAAAATAGAATTTGTTTGTTTGTTTGTTATAAAGTAAAGAAAAATAATGGATATGGATATAGATGAATCTATTCTATCTAGTTTTAAAGCTATTGGTATGATAGATCAAAATGACTTTTTAAAGAGTAAGTTTTTAGATTATGTTTTCGATTGGTCGGTTGTTGGATGGTAGATTTCTATTTACTTATTTTCGTTTGTCTGTTTGTTTATTCTTATTTTTAAATAATCAGTGCATAATATATCAAAAGAGACAGGTATAAGTGCAGCTGTTCTAGCTGTGGAATGGGATATCTATGCTAACGAGAAGAAGTTGAACGACCCACAGTCGTTTTGCGAGCACATTGGTAAATTTAGAACTGTCGTCAAAAAGAAAGCAACACAATTAAAGAAATCATCGGCATCTGCAGCCGCTGCGCAACCAGCTGCATCCAAATCATCAGCAAAATCAGCAACAGCAACAACAGCAACAACAAAATCAACAACAGCAGCAACAACAACAGTATCATCAACAACAAAACCAACAGCTGCTTCAGTTGTTTCACAAACAAAAACAACTAGCAATAACAAATAACAAAGATGATTTTGAATTTGATTTTGGTGATGATAATAATGATACAAGCAACAATAACAATGATGTCGACTTAAGTGATTTCGATTTGAAAGGTATACCTTCGCTTCTACCAGTAAAGAAGAGTGTTATCAACTTTAATTATGCAGCGAGAAAAGAGTCTTCAAAGATCGTATCAACTTATAATAAGGAGTTGGTGATTGACATGAGATCGATGGCACCGAGCATCAATCTCAGAGTGATCGATGACATCCAACAGTCACTCAATTCAATGAAATACATGTCCGATACAATCGTAAACAGAAGCAATCAGTTGGTATTGGATAGCACTCAATCACTTAAATCAATGGTGTTTGTTGATACTGATGGTAAGGAGTTGATTGATTCAAAGCCAACAGCAACAACAACAACAACAACCGCAACATCAACATCGTCAAATTCATTGGAAACAGTTCGAATCGCTGGTAGAGTATGGCCATGTGATAACGGTTTGCTCTCCAATCGATTCCAACTGCTTGGACACACTCAAAAGGGTATCGATTCCTTTAAATTCCAAAAAGAGACTGCTTTGTTCAGTGGACAACTGGTAACCGTTGAAGGAGAGAATATTCCAGGTTCAAATTTCGGTTGTTCTTCCGTTTACTATGTAAATATTAATGTATTCATTTTAACAAGTACAAATAATAATTAATTAACTTTCTATTTTTTTTTACTGTCATAGCCAAAACAATTGGATTTCTACAAGAGTGAATCGTTAGAAAACCAAGAGAAATCCGTTCATATTATGTTTGCCAGTGGACCATTCTCATTGCATCACTGTTTCGATTACACTCCATTGGATGACTTTTTAAAGTTGGTAGAAAAGAATCAAGCTAATCTTGTAATACTTGTAAGTATAATGGTACAGTCATTCCTCGATGATTTTCTATTTATTTAACAAACAATGTATTGGTTTTTTTTTCAAAAAAATTATCAGTTTGGACCATTTATTGATGAAGGACATGACATGGCTCAATTCCAGAACGATGAAAGTTTGCTTGATACTCTCTTTGCCAAACTCGGTGCACTAAGCGCCACCCAATTCATTGTGGTTCCATCGATTCACGATATCAATAGTGAATACATTTTCCCACAACCACCATTACCATCTTCAAGAGTATGTTTGTCTTTACTTTCTTTAAAGAAAAATAATCCAAATAATTTCATTAATCTCTTACATTTTTAATTTTAATATTTATTATTTTTAGAAATATAATAATGTCCAATTTGTATCGAATCCATCTACTTTGTTGGTTAATAATTCATTTACAATTGGTTTGAATAATACAGATATTGTTGGTGATATTCAAAGAAAAACATCAAGGTATTAATTGATTGAATTTAAACTTACTCTTTAAAATATAATTTAATATTAACTTTATTAATTTCTTTAGATTCAATTTAAATAACAAAGATATATGTAAAATGATTATTCAACAACAAAACTATTATCCATTGCATCCATCAGAGATACCAATTGAAATGGCCAATTGGAATTTGATGAAATTCCCTGGTTTCACACCAAATTTAATGTTATTTGGTTCTAAAACTCATTTTACAGAGGTAACTTGATTAGATTAATTAATTTTTATTCCAGTATACTTTACTTTAAATACTAATTTTCTTTTCTTTCATTATTTCTTTTCTTTTTATTTCTTTTTAAATTCATTATTTAAAATAGAATGTAAATGATGTATTGTGTATTAGTTCTGGTTCACTAGTGTATTCTGACCACCAAGGGTGTTTTGTTGATATATTCATTAGTTGTGAGAATCAAAATGATGATCAAAACAACAACGACAACAACAACAACAACAACACTAACACCTCGCTTTCAAAGAAAACAAAGACCATTACGACTAAAATTTAAACTGATATTGATGTTGGAAGAACACAACAATATAATATATATTAACATATCGCATACCATAGCACACCCAACCCAAAACCCATATCAAAACTGACAATGTTCAATCATCTCAATCATATCATTTTTAAAAGAGCATCCCAATTAATAATAATAATAATAAAATATTAATATATATATTTATTATTATATAACAATAATACCAACAAAATCAAAGAATGTATCCTATCTTACCATTTTGTAAAAGTTCCTTCCATTTTCATATTGTTGTGGTTTTAATATTAACATGATGTGTGTTTGTGTTTTCTTTTTATAAGAAGGTTTAATACCTTTAGTGATGAACAAAATGTCATAGAACAATCCTACAATAACAATGTGTTTCTGGAGATATAAACATAGAGTACTGTGTGTTTAAATTTTGTTTTGTATGAATGAAAAGAAATGAACTTTTTAATTCTTTTAATAGGCTCCAGATGAGTGTTTAATTATGATTTCTATCATTCTTTCTTAAATAGATGTATATAATTTGTTTATATTTTGAAATGCTATTGAACCTGCAAGTGCAATGTTAGGTTGGACCTCTTCTCATTTTAGTTTGGTAATATTTAATGAGGTAGATGTGGTATTGTTATTTGTGGTAATGATATTAAATCTTATGGGTACTTTACGATGTGTACCGTATCTATATCATAGTTTATTTATTCATCTGATCAACAACAACAACAAAAACAAATTCAACTTCTACCAACAAATTGTGTTGATTGTTAATGTTGATGTTGATGTTTCTTGTGTTGAGTTGTATCTAATCTTAATTTAAATTTTAGGTTACCATTTTTACCCACAATAACCTTAACTATTGTTCCATTCCTCATATTAATAATAATATGTTATTGATTGAGATATTGTCAACCTATATGTTGTTATATATTCTAATATATTCATAAACTTCAACTCCTTTTATTACATTACTTTCTTCAACAACTCAAATAAGCTCAACACACACTCATCATTAAAATAACACACAGACACACATATATATATAATAATTTCACACTAATTTTACTATTGAATTCATTAAAACAACACACTCGTGTTAGTGATGCACCGGTGTTTTTTATTTATAATAAAATCAATTGGTTGATGCTCCTCCTTTTCTTACTTAAGTTTAATGTGATTGTGTTTAAGCAAATTAATCAAACCAAATAATCATAATATTCATATCAGATAGAGAAAAAATAGATTTATTTTTTTGTTTTGTATAAATAAAATTTAATAAATATATTTTATTAATTAATAATAGTAATAAATATATTTAAAATTTAATAAATAAAATATTATCCTCTTAACTTACAGTAGTTGTTGTGTTGTACTCTATCTTTTTCTATATCTCTGTTACTATCTCAGCTCCAATTTGTTACTTTCAATTTTACTCTCACGAACTTACTTTACTCCATTCCACACACAATCTCACTCATATATAAATATACAAACATTGCAGAACAGTCAGCCACAAATAAAAATAATTGTTTTTAATCACACTAAAAATACACACACTCAGTTATCACATCACGATCACATCCAATTTGTTAGTTAGCTAGTTATTATTGCTGTTGTTGTTGTTTTTGTTCTTTAGTTATTTTGAATATTAACATACTATTGTTATATGCTTTTGGAATAATAAAAGTGATCTTTAAAACCAACAAATCTACTTACTTTCTCTTCTTACTAACTCATTTTTTGATTTGTTGTTTTTTGTTTGTATATTTATTTTTATTTAATTTATTTAATTTCATTTGTTTGTATTATTAAATATTAAATTAAATTTACGTACTTTCTTTTTATTCTCTCTTTTCTTGTCCATACTACTTTAAATTATGTTAACATATTGAATGTTCTATTATTAAAATCAAATTTAATTAATAAAAAACATTAAACAATCCAAATAAACATAAAAATAATAATAATATACTTTTATTTATTTCCAACTTTTAAATTTTAATTTCCAATATTTCCATAAAAAAAATAATAATAATATTATATTAATAATAAATATATATATATTTAAAACTTATTTATAAATTAAAAGTTATGATGAAAATATGTCTACTTCATACGCATTAAATGATGGAGTTGTACAACCAGTAAATAGAAATAGTGGATTCAATAATATTAATAATAATATTAATAATAACAATAATAATAATAACAATAATAATAATAATAATAATAACAATATTACAACAACAGTGGTGACAACACAGAAGAAAGCAAGAATATTTCAATGGATTGAATCATTTAAGCGATCAAAAGATAAATCAGGTTCGAACAATACAAGCCAAACCAATCTTTTACAAGGAGGTTCGAGCAACAGTAATCTGATGAATCTCTTAAATATTGGTCCCTTAAATATACAGGAAGATGAAGAGATCAATTCGAATTCCTCTCTCTCATACACCTCAGAGACATCTTCTTCAGGCTCACCTTCACCACCAACATCACCACCAACTCTCACCTCAATATCGCCACTCAGCAACTCTGCACAATATCAAATTGGAAACTACTATCAACAAAACAACAATAATAAAGCTGGTGGTAGTTCCAATCCAAATTCGAACCCCTCCTCCAAAGATGGAGCAACAACTCCACTAAGTTTGGCAGCTACAAATTTCTCATTGGAACAGCCACCCATTCCATTCCCCCTATATAATAATAACAACAACAATAATAATAATAGTAACAATAGTAGTACAACAAATTCTCCACAACATCAAAATAATAATATTAAACCAACACAATCTCCACAACCACAACAACCACCTCCTATTGTAAAGTCAACATCATTTTCAATTCCTACCAATAATAATAATGTATCTCCAAATACAAAATTACAACAATCACAACAACAAATTTCAATACCTCCATCAATACAACAACAACAACAACAAATGGCTTCGGCACCGGACAGAGACATAGTTCCGTTGCATCGCGAAACCAAGGCAACAAAAGAAAACTTTTATAAAACCATTGAAGATCCGAAACAGTTTTCCAAGTTCAAGAGCTACATGGAGAACTACCAGAGTATGGAGAATCTGAATTTCTACTTGGAGATCGAGCGGTACAAAAAGATTGCAAAGGAAGACGAACGTAGATATACAGCCAACGACATATGGCGCCGTTTCTTTGTCGAGGATGGATCTTCGCAGCTGAATTTGGAGTCTTGTCTCAAGAAACGAGTAGAGGAAGCCATGAAAGGAGAGCCACGCATTGATCTCTTTGATGAAGTAGAGAACCAGGTTCTCGAAGACATGGTGTGTGATGCATTCCTCCACTTCCTAACATCGCCATTCAACCAAGAGTGGAGAGTACAACCAACAGCAAATAAAATATCGACTTCTTCATCGACGAACAATCTTTCAGAACAACAACAGCAGCAGCAGCAACAACAACAACAACAACAACAACAACAACAGTTACAACAACAATTACAACAATCACCACAATCATCTGCATTATTGTTGCCAACTTCACCGGTGTGTCACTCACAACCTATTTCAGTTCCATCACCAACCAATAACAATAATAATAATAACAATAACAATAACAATAATAACAACAACAATAATAATAATAATAACTATAATATAATTAATTCACCAACATCACCTATTCAATTATCTATTTCGATATGTGCATCTGACAATCCAGAGATTTGTCAAATCACAAGGATCGACGCATCAGACATTGAGTATATACTTGATGAGGTGATGAAGAACAACATATCGATACACAATGAAATCAACTACCAAGATGTAATGGTTAGTCACTGGTTGGCATCAGGTGCATCTGGTAGAGTATATTTGTAAGTAGTAAAGCCAACTAAAAATATTTATAATATACTTACTTAAATAACCATTTCATATTGTTAATTAATTATGAACAGAGGATTTTGGAAAGGAAAAGAAGTAGCAGTGAAAATATTTGGACATGAATTCAATGTGTATTTCGATGTTGCCGAGTATCGAAGAGAGGTTGCGCTGATGACCATTCTGAAACATGAGTGTTTGGTGCAGTGCTTTGGCTCTGGATCGTATGGTTCCAGCTATTTCCATCTCACTGAATACTGTCCGAAGGGTAGTCTCACAGACTATCTAAAGAACCCATTGAACGTCTTGGACATTAACGCAAAGATTACATTTGCACTTGACATTGCCTATGGAATGAGATATCTTCATTCAATGTCGATCATACACAGAGATTTAAAGAGTATGAATATTTTAGTAAGTATCAATCAATCAATCAATCAATCAATCAATCAATCGCAACCAATCATTCATTCACATTTATATATATAGTATATATGTTATACTTACACAAAATTATCAATAGATTACCGATAATAATAAGATAAAGATTATAGATTTTGGATCATCCAGAATCACCAATAAATATATGACGAGTCACGTTGGAACTCAAGCATGGATGGCACCTGAAATCTTTACTTCCAAACATTATACTGATAAAGTTGATGTTTATTCATATGGTGTTAGTAAGTTGAATTGTAAATAATATAGTATTAATATTTGATTATTAATATAAATGTTTCTGTTTTATTATTATTATTATTATTATTAGTTTTATGGGAGATATTTACAAGAAGAGCACCATATGAAGAGAATGTACCATTTAATGTTCCAGTTTTGGTTGCAAAGGGAGAGAGACCCGATTTGCCAACCAAAGAGTTCCCACCACAGATTGCCAATCTCATCAAGAAATGTTGGTCACACAAACCAGCACACAGACCATCCTTCATCAAAATCTGTTCCTACTTGGAAGACATTTCAAATCAATCAAATAATAAAAAGAAACTATAATAAATAAATAACATTTTAACTAAAAACTATAATAAATAAAAATAAAAAACAAAAATATCAATCAAACAATAACTAAAAAATATTTTAGATATTTTTGTTTTTTTTTTTGGAACAAGTAATTTTATATAAAAATAAAAAACTTTATTCATTTATATCTAACATTTTTCAGATTTCTTATATAAAAAAAAAACTATAAATTTATATTATAATAATATATTTTGAAGATTAAGCGACTTCATTACTTTGGCAAGATTTTTTTTTTTTTTTTTTTTTAAACCAAAAAAAACTGTTTTGCAAACACGGAAAAAAAATAAAATAAACTTTGACGAGTGGCAATAAAACGACAAAAAAATAAATTATAATTAGTTTGGTCAGTTGGTTCCATCGCCAATAAAATTACTAATTACACAAAACATATAAATAAATTAAATAGAAAAAAAAAGATAACAAAAATAATATCAATAACAAATATAAATAGGAACCAAATAAAGAAATAAAATTTTTTGCAATTTATTTTTTTATAAACAATCCCAATAATAATAATAATAATAACAACAACGAATAACCACACTTAATATATATATATATATTTATAGAAACAACAAATAGTTTGAAACATTCTAAGAACATAACAATGAGTTCTAGTTCTGTTGAACAACAACAGAATGATGATGATAATGTCAATAGAGAAAACGAAAATAGAGAAATGTCAATTCTGACGAGTGGTGATGATGTTGATATTCAACAAAAACAACAACAGCAATCTTGTTCGGAATCAATTGAGAATGGTACTGCTATGCAATTGGATGACAATGAGAAGAATGATGGCAATGGAAAAGATCAAGATCAGGATATTGTTGAAGATGAAGATGTCGAAGATGGTGAGATTGACGATGGAGGTATTCTCGAGCTTGGTGGCGAACCACTTCTCAAGTTGGAAAAGATTGAAGATCAATATATAGATACTACGACGCCTGTCATTTTGGCATCGTCATCATCGACACTGCTACATGATCATCATCATCATCATCACGAGGGAATAATCGATCATCACATGATGGACGATCACGTTCATGATCATGATCATGACTATCATCATCATCACGATGTCGACGTTGATGTCGATGAGTTGTACGCTATGAATGGAGTGGTGGCTGTGGTTGTTCCACCGATTTTGGCATCGGACGACGACGAGGACAACCTGCCAAACTACCACCAGCACCCGGTAGTTGCACCGGAACAGATTATGTATGGAGGTGCCAGTTCATCGATGATTGTCGATCCTCATGCTTCGACGACACCCTACACATCGGTGGTGGGCGGTCGACTCTACGTACCGTACGCCAACGACGCCAAGAAGTTGGAGGACAAGGAAGACGACTTCCTTGCATCGCTACGCGACTATGAGAAACTCAAAGAGAAGCGAGGACGTGACCGAAGTTGGAGTAGGTCTCGTTCGCGGTCGGTCAACAGACGTTCCTACAAACGAAGACACAGCAGCAGTCATCACTCAAGAAGCAGAAGCAGAAGTAGAAGTAGAAGTCGTAGCAGCAGAAGTAGAAGTAGGAGCTATAGAAGATCCTCTTACGATAGTCAAAGTCGAAGTAGAAGCCGTAGTAGAAGTCACAGAAGAAGTTATAGAAGAAGATCGAGCAGGCATTCATCGAGATCGCGAAGTCGCAGTTGGAGTCGGTCCAGTCGTAGTCAGAGTGGTTCGCGAACAAGATCGTCCACACATCACAAGAGCAGGAGAAGTGACCGATCTCGACGTTCCAACAGAGACAGAAGTCTATCGAGAAGTTGGAGTAGATCAAGATCGCGATCGAGTAGCTACAACGATAGAAGCAGTAGGAGCAGATCAGGATCAAGATCAAGTAAAAGAAAAACAACAAGAGATTCAGGTGATAAAAACAACAACAACAATGCTAAAAAGAATAACAATAAGAGTAGTACAAGTAGCAGTCCAGATAAATCTGTTGTAACATCAACGACAACAATAAAAAGTAATGAAGTATCAAGTACAAAAGAGACTGCGACAACTTCATCAACACCACCTCCTCCACCTCCAACCATCATTTCAACAACGACAACACCATCACCAATAATCGCAACTCCAATACCACCCCCTCCACCTGCAACAATCATTTCCACACCAATTTCAATTGCTTCAACGACAATAGCAATGCCAACAGTAACAACAGCATCAGCAGCAACAGTTTTTACGATGGCACCACAACAACAACAACAACAACAACTACAACAAACACCTAAGATTCAATTTGGATTCAACGCGAAACCAAATATTAATAATAATAACAACAACAATCCCAATATGTCCAATGGTTTTGGCAACCATCATGGACATTTTAATAATGGTGGCGGTGCTTACAATCAATATCCACCACCACCACCACAACTTTCACCTATGAACAACGGTGGTTATAATCATCATAATCACCATGGTGCACCACCACCACCTCCACATCACAATCATCACCATCATCCAAGAAACGATCATTATTCAAGACATCATGATTACGGATATGGTATGAACGGTTACAACAATCACTATCCACCACATCACAATAGAGGTGGACATCATCATAATCACTACGACCACCGTGGTCCACCACCTCCACATCACTACGACCATCGCGGTCCACCACCACCTCAACTTCCACCACATCCACATCACAATCACTACGATCATCGCGGTCCACCACCACCTCTACATCCACATCATCAACCAACACCACAACCACAAATTCCACAACAACCACTCATTGATAAAGCATTACAACAGCAATCACCTCATTATCAACCACCTCCAACTCTTAATTCATCATCATCTTCAACACCAACTTTAAATAACAATAACAACAATAACAATAATAACAACAGTAATAACAATATAAACAATTATAGTATAACAGGTGAAAACTCTGCAAATACAACACCTTCCAATACACAATCAGCTTCACCTCAACCATCATTGTCACCTGTCATACCATCAGTTACAACAACAACAACATCAACAACACCAATATTAACACCTTTATCGAATAACAATACACCTGAACAAACATCATCACCAAATACACCAATATCTACTACTTCAACAGTAACACCAACATTAACATCAACAACGACAACAACCACAACCACTACAGCTACATCTAAAACTACAGACACCAACAATGATAGCAATATTATCGATAATGATAATAATCATGTAAATAACAAGTCAAATGAAAATCAACAACAATCAAGCATAACACCAACAACAACAACACCAATACCAATACCAATAGCATCACAATATGTGGTACCTCCTGTTACCAATACTGCAGTCACCACCTATTCAACATCGGAATGGGTCGGAAAAGAGATAGAAATTGGAGAGTTGGTAAAGAATGAATATAAAATGAATTTAATTATAGATATCGATCATATCTTAATACATTCACTTAAAGGTAAATATTATGTTTATAATCTTTTTTGAATCCCTATAATCATCTGCTAATACCATTTTTGTAAATTTAAACTAATCAAACTACAACAGAAGATATGGTTGATCAAAAAGAAAAGAGTGATACCATTCAGTGTATCATTGATAATTGTACCCACTACGTTAAGATTAGACCATATACCATTACATTCCTTAAGACCCTCTATCCTCTATTCAACATTACTCTATTTTCACTCAATCATAAATCTTGTAAGTTATAATTTTGTTACTCTCATTATTACCAACAACTTTGAATAACTAATCTTAAATCATTAATATAGATGTCAATAAGATGGTTGAAATAATAGATCCAAGTAAAACATTGTTTAAAAACATTATAACTATTGAATCGTTTGGAGACAACATTCCAAAGCAACAAACGAATCGACCCTACTCACTATTCACACCTTCCAACTTTTCAAGTATCTTTAAAATCGACTCATCTGAATCGATCGTTGTTATAGATGATCGAGAAGATATCTGTATGTATATACACACATTATATATATAAATATAGAAATGACAATTTACTAATTACTTTTATTTTCTAATATAATAAATAATAGGGAGACAATTTAGAGATAATTTGATTATGGTTGAAAGATTTATACATTTCAGTAAGGACGTTGAACATTCGAAAATTACAACCTACCACTATCCATTCTCGATTCAGGATCTTTCGAAACAATATCACTTCCCCAAGTTGGAACCATCGATTCCCTACTTGGAGATATTCTCGCGACTCTTGAAGATCATTCAATGCGAATACATGTCGAGAGTACAAGAGACACAACAGATCAACAACAACAACAACAACAACAGCAGCAGTGGAAAGCAACAACTAATGGCAGGCGCTCAAACTATCGACGATAATCTCAGTCAATCGAGAACCATCATGAAAGAGATCAGACAGAGTGTTCTGATGGATTGCAATATCGTTTTCAGTGGTATCTTCCCAAAGCAGATCGACTCTGCCAAGTTGGTTACGACGCGAATCGTGCAACTCACAGAGTCGTTCGGTGCCAAAGTCCAAATGGATATCACTGATAACACCACTCATCTCATCTACATCAAAGAGGGTACCTCCAAAGTATTGCAAGCGATGAAGTGTGGCATCAAAGTGGTTCATTTCGCATGGCTAAGAGACTCAATCTATCATTGGGAGAAAATGGATGAATCAAACTATCAAGCGCGTTCCACTGTCATTCCACAACTAACACCAACAAAGAAATAGAAATAAACTTTCATTTCCTCAACTTACTTTTTTTTATTAAAAACAAATGACAGATATCACCTATTTTAGTTATTAAAATTATTGGTTGGTCTAACATTTATTTATTTATTTATAGAGGAAATATGGTGAGAATGGCACTAACAGCGGTAGATTCTAATCGTGTATATATTTATGTTTTTTTTATGATAAAAGGGGTGACAATAAGATGACCTGTTGTTTTTATTGAAAATATTTTTGGAAATAATTAATTGTTAGATAATGTCGCAATATAAAGATAAAGTAGATCCTCTGTCATCTCGGAACAAGTTTCTGGATCAAAGTGAGCAGGAATATGCTTTTCGGAGAGGATGTAAGTGTAGGTGTAGAAGTAGTATCATTCGAGATGATTAATTCTAGTAGAGAAAGAACACATAACGGCATTGAAGCAAAGTTGAGGTGCTTTTATTCAAAATAAATTAAAGTAAAGTGTTTAAAAAATTATTATAGTTATCATTCGAATTAGGAAACATTAAATATAAAAACAATCAATATCTCAGTGAATTGAAAATTAAAGAAATAAATATTATTGAATTCAAAGAAAATTTTATTTAAATTTATTATGCTGAAATACCAGCCAAAATATTAATTCCAGCTTGGGCTTCCAAGCTTAGGCTTTCAAATTGAGACTCCCAGCCTGAGACATCTGCATTTTCTTGGTCATAATCGATTCTGAGATCTCCAGTTGATTGAATAAAGTCATGAATTGGATCGGTTTCAACTGAATCGTTGTTGATCGAATTAATGACTGCGATCAATGGTGCCTTGAGGTAATGACCCATAGATCTACCAAAGAGCGAAGCACCAATTGTCAATGTTGTGGATCCGGAGCTGTACGATGTAGTGCTGTACATCTTGCAGATACCAGTGATATTATCGTCTTGAACCTCGCTAAAGGTGAGTGCATACGATCCCCATCTTCTGATTTTGTCTCTGGTGAGGAGCATGTAGGTATTGATATCTCTGGCGAGTGTGTATAGCGATGGAATCAATTTTCTTACAAGTTTGGCAGAGTCACCAAATAGGATTCTTGGAACGAGTGCGTCAAATGCTTCCAACACATCGTTTGGACCGTCTGTTCTTACGGCGCGATGCTTGGTGATTTCAAAGAGGAATTCACCCATAACAGTGTAGACACGTTTGGCAGCCAAACCATCGTCATATCGCGCGACATAGAGTGGCTCCTCTGGACAATAGAGGAGTCCGATTTCAAAGGAATCCAAAAAGCTTGGATTGAGGAGACCGTATGCCAAGACACCGACGTGGCAAGCATTCATCATACCACCTGCCAACTTGACAAAGTTTGCATCGGCTTTGAATTTATCAAACTCTGGTTCCTGAAGATTCTTATTGATATAGTTGGCAGTTGCTTGACTATCTACAGTGGTTGGCAAAATGTTAGGAATGGCTGGATTCTCCAAGGCAACTTTGAAGATGAGATTGGAAAGCTTTTCCGCTACGGATTCGTTGGTTCCACCGAAAGCAGTCTTGAGATTGGCGATCAATGGAAGCAGTGGATGTGTTGTATTCTTTTGGATTCTCTTGAGAATCTTGAGAGCGGTGGCAGAGATGATGCTTCTGACGAGCGGTGTGTTGATGAGATTTCCAGTGGCGTAGAATGCCAACGTTGTGTAGATGTAGGTAGTCAAGACATCGTTGGACAAGATAAGATTTGGTTGTAAAAGATCGAGTTTGGTCTTTAACTCTGCGAATCTGTACGTGTCAAACTCGTTGTCGTTGTCGATGTTGGCGAGTTGGAAAGTGACGGCAGCGGTGACCCATTCAGTGACCTTTGGTGCAGCCAACATGTATGGTCTGACCTTGCCGTTGAATGTGGCGTAGTGGTAGATGTATGGAATGAACGCTGGAACCAACTCCTTCAACGCAATAAAGTACAACATCATATTGATACGGGTGAACCACGAGCTACCACCAATATGATTGAGCTCCAACTCTACTCTGCCACCTCTGATCGATGACTTGTAGCTACCGGCTTCTTCGAGATTGTAGAGAGTTTGGAGAAGCAAACAGCGGGAGTAGTTACGGAAGAAGGTGGAAACCTTGGTGTCCTGTACCATCTCGAGCAGCTCTGCATTGAGTGTTGGTCTGGTCAATCCTAGAGCTGCCAAACCGAGGTCACTCTGGAAGTAGTTGCAAATGTCAATGAAATACTGTTCAGACTTTTGCTTGACAAAGTCAGTCTTAGTGGTCGGATTGAAAGTGGTCAACGCGAGGAATCCTGGAACTGTCAGAGTGGCTAGATCAGTTTTTGCGATATTTGGAAATTGTGCTAAAATTTTTGCATCTCTCCATGCGATAAAGGAAGAAAGGAATTGACCTGCAATCTTGGACATTGTTTCTTTGCTAAGGATATATTATATATATATATATTGTTATACAGATACAAAACAGTCTTATTTAGAAAACAAACTTAAATAAGAAATGATTAATGTTATTATGTTTTGTTTTTGTGTTTCATTTTTATCGAATCTGTTGCTTGTTTTGTTTGTTGGACTGAACAATAAAATTAGTGATAAAATAAATCATCAGGATGTTCCAAAACTTTGAATCGATTGATTTTCAAAAAAACTTGTTTTTTTTTTGCAAATCAGATGCATCTTTTTCGATCAAAATGAAGAAATACGTTTGTGAGAAATTGTTCACCCTCAAATTTCAATCAAAATGAATAATTTGTTCAATCAAATTACAAAATGTCAAACCTTAGAAGGTACCTTCGAAAAAAATCTGACAAAAACAGCGAACAAAATGAATTCAAAGTAATCTTGTAACATTGCATTGCACACAGTGGTCTTTATTTGATTCCAAACGAGTTCTGTTCCTTGGAACAATCAAGTTTTACAAATCAGTTCGCATTATATTATAAATATTTGAATTAGTGTTTTTAGATACTATATATTTATAGTTAAAAGAGAATACATATTTATTTCCAAAGGTCCATTAATTATACTGTGTGGCTACCATTTCCATTTTGATCGTAATATAGATTCATTCCCCAAGCATTTATCGCTCGAACCAATAACTCAATAAACTTCATGAATACTGTAGTATTTATTCTGACATGATATCCTGTAGAAAGAAAATAAAAATTCTAAAAGATTTTAAAAATATTTTCGATTTATAATAAAAAAAAAATAAACAATTAACTTTTTTTGTAAAAGAAATATTCTTACAACATCGAAATCAAGATCGATTAGTGTGAGAATCTTAAGAAAACATCTGTTTTTTGTTTTCGCAATTTTTTAAAAATATTTCTCAAAAAAAATTCAGAAATTAAACCTTTTTATAAACTCCATGAATTGATTCCTTTTGGTGCTATTTTAATTACATGTAGTATATTAACTTTAACTTGGTTTATTTATTTATTATTTATTGTATAACCAAACCAATGTTTTATTAAACTGACACTTTTTAGATAAAAGAAAACTTATAAGAAAAATAAAAACAACAAAACAATGGAACCACCACCACAAGCAGACACTACACCATTACCAAATGGTTTAGATTCAATTAATTTGAATACACCATATGTAGAAATAGAACAACCACAGCAGCAACAACAAATTAACACTACCACCACCACCACCACCACACCAACCACCATGTCAATGATTTCATATGGAGAAATTGAGTTTGCAGATTTCAAGGATTCAGCTGTGTTGGATGGAACTTTGAAGTTACAATTGCAAGTTCCTCCACCAGAAACCGAGAGAAAACTCTTGTTGATTGTGATGGTCGATAAGTCAGGTTCGATGCGTCACGTCTGGAATCAGGTGCAAACCGCTCTCCAATATCTCTTTACCAACACACTCAACCAACCGAATGAAGTTATCCTCGAGCTTGTCTTTTTCAATAACACCGCTTTCCGTTTGCCATGGACTGTCGACAACTACCGTGAGTTACTCATGAATGAGCGTGCCAGTGGAAAGACATGTTTCGCCGCACTCTTTAGTTTGGTGGGCGACATTCTCCGTCAGTACTTCCGCAAGGGAACAGCATTCAAGTCCGACCTCTACTACGATCCAAAGACCGATGTCTCATTGGTGTTACTCACCGACGGTTCTCACACCACCGTTCGTGATCATCGTGCTGCATTCTCTGAGCTCCAACAGCTCATCAAAACCATTGGATGCGCCACTATCACCACTCACACCATGGGATTCACTGAGAACTCTCGGTACTCTGATCTCGATGGTATTCGTCGTATCTTGGGATCGCGTCCAGGAATCTATCAGTATGCAGAGCCATCGGACGGTCCACATGCATTGCACGACAAGTTGAACTTTATCTTCAAGTGGGTGTTCACAACTGGTGACACTTTCGAGTCTAATCTCTGCTTTGACGTCGGTGATAACATTCAATTCATGGAGAGTGGATCGTCCACCCTCCCAATGAAGTTGATCTTTGACGTCGATGGTCTATGTGATGTCAATGTTTCTGTTACACGTCGCGCCGACTCCATTATGAAGCCAGTCAACTTTACTTTGCAGCTTGAAAACAAGCGATTCTCAACTGTTTTGACACCGAGCTTGGTTGCGCAAACTCAAGATGCAATGGTTATTCGTAATCTCTCTCGTTATCACGTGGAACTCAATAAGCTTTACACCAGAGTGAACTCTCACGACCAAAAGAATGTGCCGTCCGACGAGAACAAGAAGCAGTACATCAAGGAGTTGTTGGATTTACAAAAGTTGTTAAATGACATTGACAATGCTTTGATCTTTACATTCTCACGTGTCCCACGTCAAACCATCACCGAAATGAAGACAAACTGTTTGAATCAGATCTCACAACTCTTGGAGTTGGTCAATGGATGGATCAAGACTGAGTGGACCGCCAAGACTTCTGCACGTATGGCAAACATCACCTATCAATTTATGTTTAAGAATGCCGGTCGTCAGCGTCGTGCCACCATGAAAATCACCAGAAACGCCAACACAATGATGCGTGAAGCCGACAACTTGAAGCAAGTCGATGTCGACATCGACGAAGTGTTGGAAGGCGTAGACAAGGATCTCTTGGAGGCAAGTCAATCGTTGTTCAGTTGTACATTATCGCTCTGCAATTGGGCAGAGCTCGTTGAGGAGCACGATTGTCTCGGATTTGGATTGTCAATTCAACGTCCAGAGACCGTGATTGACGATCCCACCCAGATCCGTATCAACGACTACTCAACTACCTTCCTGGGTAAATCAACACTTGAAGATGCAATTGCTCTTTCTGTACATTCCGTCGGTCAGGAAAAGACCACCGGTGGTTTCGAAGTTGGTCGCGATAAGATTGCCGCTGCCGTAAGAGGACGTGGACGTGAACCGATCAACGCTTGGATGCCACTCTACTTGCACGATGCCCATTGGCAAAACATCAAATTCCAACTTCGTAACATCATTGCCTACTATACCACTTTGGATCCAATGGCATTCTCTTACGACCAGATCAACACTATCTTTTTGTTATTGGGTACCATGGTTTCAAAGGATATTGGTGAACGTCAACTCCAATTGATCATTCAATTCATTAGAACCTGTCGTGAGATTACCCATCACTTCAAATTCCAAGAGAACATCAAGAAGCAACTCATTTCACTCTTAACCAAACCTGTATATAATGTTTCTGAACAACCAAAGAATATCTTTGTAGTAATTGGTTATCTTATGATTTTTACTGATAATGGTAAGAATAATAATTATTATTTATTAATCAATCAATCAATTTTATAAACTAATATTTTTTTTATTTTTACTTTTATTAGAAATTAAGGAATTGTTAGGAAATGATATTGATTGGATCAGATTATGGGAATCATTGGTTGAATCAGCTGTTAGAAGATCATCTTTTACCTTCTTAAGGGAGAAGGAACAATCTGAAATTGATGGAGTTGTTAATGATATCTTATATGGTGAAGAATTGACTTGTGATACTGATAGCAAATTAAAGACTGAAGAAGATTGGATAAATAATATCTTTGAACAAGTAACAGTAAGTAAAGTAATAGATTTATAATATTTAAATATATTACAATATTAACTAATATTATTAAAATAGAATTATGAATCAAAGGAAGTTAATATTAGACATGATTCAGATGATATCGATAAGTATTTGAATATCAGAAGATTACAACCAACTCCAAATAGTAAAAACGATTTCAAGATATTCGAAAATAGATCATACAATTTGATTGCCAAGTATTCGAATTTGTTGGAGAATCGTGGATATCCAACTGTCACTGCTATGAAGTCATGTCTCCAATTCGTCTACAACTGGCGAAATATTGTCAATGGTAGATACAAGCCAGAGTTACCAAGCGATTTCGATGCTTTCAAATTGATTGATTCTCAATTTGGTGTTGCTCCAACCGAATGGATTGACTATATCAAGTCGGGAATGACAAACAACAGCACCAATTCACTTGGAAACTACTTGGCAGCAGTCCACACCTACTACACTCCAACTGCTGCTGCTTCTTTAGACAAATCCATTATACTCTACAAGTTAAAGTCAATGATTTGCCAAGGTGTAATGTATCGTGTCAATAGAGTGGCAAATGCAGCAGTAGAGCGTGGTGTCTTCACAGATACTTGTGCCAATCCATTGGAATGTTTATCAGAGATGAAGCGTCAAGTTGACGATCGTCAAGCCATCTTACTAAAGAAGATGGAACAAGCACTCTACTTCTCACAGAGAATCAGCTCCGGTCTAAAGTCAACTGATTTGGATTTGTTTTCCTCTACCATTCCAAAGCACGGTGAACCAGGCTTTCCTATTTTTATTCAGCAATGGCAAAAGCGTAATCTCGAGATTGAAGTTCCTTTTGCCGAACAAAAGGTTCTAATGATTCTATCCAATGTAAGAATTCTCATTCTCGACAATGGTGAAGCAGTCGCCTTCCAGGTCAAGAAAGTTGTTTGGAACATTGGAAAAAAGGCATTCAACAGGTTCTCAGCTGCATGGGGTCGTGACAGGTTCCTCCAAATGTCATTCAATGCAGATCACCAAAGATATCTCTTGGATAAACAGAATGCAAATCCCGAAGACCTATTTTAATTTAATACCGCCCACCTAAACAAACAATCTGTACATGTTTCAATCACTCTAGAGTAACAGAGAATAGAATAAAATATTATACATTTTCTGATATTCTATATAAGGTCGACCTTTGGGAACCAAATAATTTGATTTTTATAATTATCTAGTGTATTCTACACAAAAACTTTCAAAAAAAATAATTTGGAGGCATCTCATCTAAAAACTGAAAGAATCAATCGAAGCAAAGATAATTTATTGATATTTTTTTGAATATCTACAAACTCGGATTCCCATTTTGGTTGGAATGTAATCTACAAAAATGAAAGATATGCATTAAACCAGAATGTTTAATTAAAGATGTTTGATTAAATGAACTTCCAGCTGACATGAAAGCAAAAGCTACTTTTGGCCAGGCTCCATTGGAACGTGCACTCATCAGTCAATACGTCAATGCTACACAAGATCTTTACAACCCCTACTTTAGAGCCAAAGACGATGCCAGTAAATTGAGATTCAAAACAGATATTGCGCCCAGACTTTTGGCACGTTTCGAACAACACCTGAAGGCTGCCGGTGGTGAGCACTTTGTAGGTAACAGACAGACACTTGCTGACATCTCTGTGTTTGCAGTACTCGATTATTTCTACCAACAAAAGCACGACAATCTTCCAGAAATTCTAGCACCCTACACAGTTGTTAGAAAACTTTTACAAAGATTGCTGCCATCCCATCGATTTCAGAACACATCCAAACTAGACCACAAACCAGAATAAAATAACTATAAAATTAAGATCGTATGATATCATCAATTTGGAAATTATCTTGAGACCAGTGTTAACAAAATAAAATAAAACCAGGATTAAAAATTAAAATAAAAATGAGTGAAAATCGATCTTTTTTTACAATTCGGTTTTTAAAATCATGATTTTTTTAAAATAAAAAAAAAGGTGATGTGTCAAAAAAACCATTTTTGTTCTTCTACAAAAAAAAAAAAAAATAATCTATTTTAGTTTCAATCACATTTTAATGTTAACCTGGTTAACTTCATATAGAAGATATGGAATCCAATGACTTTCATTGAATATAACCAATTTTAGTTTTTTTTATTCTGGATCCTGGTTCATTCCTTAGCGGATATCCCAAGAGACACGATACAATTGTTCCTGGTAAGATAAAATTATTATTTTATAATTATTATCTCTAACTAAGATTGGAATAGAAACTATTTAAACAAATTTATTTTTTGAAAGTTAATATCAATCAAATCAAATATTCAATCATTTAATTAAATATATAAAATCTCTTCCACTTTAATATCTCTATTCTCAAACATTAACTTTTTTCAAGATGAAATTCTTAATTGTTTTATTAGTTTTAGTTGCATGCGTTTCATCCAAACCACATTTTCCATACCAATGTCAAGAGCCAAATGGATACACCACAAATTATGAAGCTTCTGCCTTCAACTCTTTATTACCAAACTCCAATCAACCACCATTATCGTTTTTTGAAGGTAATAAATAATATTAAATATTAAATTAAATAAATAATTAATATTAATTTAATAAATATTTTAGCTGGAAATACCACTACCGACTTTGTTGGTCAAAGAACTTTCAGCTCTTATGTGATTCTTACCGAAGGCCAAGAACCAATCATTGGATCTATTTGGGAGTTTGGTAAAACCAACGAGGGGTTCATTTTGCAAAATGATGTTTGTGTCAAAGTATCATTGAACTCTCCATTCCCAATTTAGCTTTCCATTGGGTGACTTATTGGGTAGCTTCTTGATTGGTCAATTCCCAGTTCAAATCTATAATGCTGCTGCTTATTCCTTCAATACCAATCAAACCTACCTCTATGATCCAAAGACCTGCTCATTGGTTTCATCGACTATAAGAAACTCCGACAAAGCAAACCCAGGATTTACCCTAATGAATTTCTACAACTTTGAAAACACTTTTACCGAATCATGGTTTGATTTGCCATCAGCTTGTTCATCACAATCTGTCGTCTCAATTCCACATACTGTCACTCCCCAAATCAACAATATTTTAAAAGGATTCTTTTAAATCAATAGAATTTTAATTTTAAAAAAATTACCAATTAACCTAATAAATTATTAAAATAATTTATCACCCCAAACCCTAACAATAATACAATTTTCTTTTTTTTTTTTTTCCACATCCATTCTTTGTATGATTTTTTAAAGATGAGATATTGATCAATAAGTCAAAAAATATATAAAATACTCTATTATTATTATTTTTTTTTTTAAAACAATATTTTATTTTATATTACACACTATTGATTACCAGGATAGACATACCAGTGATATTTCTTTTCGGAACTGGAGGGATATGGAATTGCTTCGGGTGGAGGTGGAGGTAATACCATTGGCTCGCTATTGAATGCAGTGGAGTCGGTAGTTGGTTCACTTTTAGCAACTGGTTTGACCAGTGGACTGCTCAAAGTTGAATTGGTGGTTGTGGTGGACGTTGTTGTTGTTGTTGAAGTTGCTGTTGATTTTGTCTTCTTTTTTCTATCATAAGAGTTGGACCTCTCTTTCTTTACTTGCTTTGGATTGTACTGATGGAATTGTGGTGGTTTTACAATTTGTTCGACTGTTGGCATTACATTGGCAGACTCTGATGCTGAGAATCTGGCGAGTGCTTCTGCAATGTTTTTGGGTCCAGTCGATTTGTTCTGATTGACAATATTGGTCCAAACATCTTTGAGTAGCTCCATGTGCGCGAAATCATAGGTTGTATTAAAGTGAATCCTCACAAGCAGCATCGCTTCTTGTCGTGGTGTAAGAATGGTGCTCAGCGACGAGATGGTATCGACCGACTGATTTCTCTGGCGAATGAAATTCTTTTTCAAACAATCCAACTTTCGCGCGAAATCCAGAATCTGTCCGATTTCCAGTGGTGTGTTTGTTGGTGGCATTCCATCTTCGGAGCCGGTCGTACAAACGGTCTGTCCACCCAATGCGTACTCAGAGTTGATACAGATGGGTGCGCCAGCAGTGATGACACCACACAGCTCGCCTGCCTCCGGGTTGTTTGGCAGTACCAGAATCTTGGTGTAGAAGAACTTCTTGATTTCCTTATCGAGTTGTTCACGCTCGATCTTTAGTTGTGTTTCGATTTTGTCGTGTTCGATTCGCAGTGCCTCTAGCTTCTGAGATTGTTCATCGGTTAGATTCGCTTCCTTCTTGAAGAGATGGAACCATCCATCACTGGCAGGACCGGAAATACTCAGAACTGGACGGTCACTCTTTGGAACGTATCCCATCGACGCCAACTTGGACTGTGTGTAGGGATGGACGATCTTCTCGACCTCGCGCTCTGCAATGGCATATCGCTTTGCAATGGCAGAGTGGAACAAATGCAGCAGGTAGGCGAGCGTTCGTTCGTCGTTCTTCTTTATTGCTTGACTCATCTGTATGATAATCTGTTTGCCTTCCATCAACATTGCAATCAACTCTGGTTCCGGTCTCATAACTTCAACACCTCCAGATTCCTATAATAATAATAATAAAAAAAGAACATTGTTAATCTCTATAAAGATCAATAGACATCGCCTGATAATCAAATCAATCAATACCTTTAATGATTCATTCTCTCTTTTTAGTTGATGATTTTCAAATGTAAGAGCAGCAAGTTTTGCTTCGATCTCTTTGATATAATCTTTTCTTCTCTGTCTGTAATTTCTGCTTGCTAGATTCTGATTGACACGATTGGTACCTTTACCGTCATCGTCAAACTCCTCAAGTTTTGAAAAAGTGATTGGTTCACTGGTGGGATCAAAACTCTGATAACAATTACCAAATGCGTTATTATTATAATATTGTGGTATTTGTAATGGTTGTTGTTGCTGTTGTTGTTGTTGATTCTCTTGTTGTTGTTGTTGTTTTCCTTTCTTTTTACTCTTCTTTGGTTGTGTTGGTTGTTGTAATGGTTGAAGTTGTGGTATTTGACTATTTAGTATTGGCGTTGAAATGGGTGAAAATGATGCTTGTTGTTGTTGTTGCTGTTGTTGCTGACTTATTAAAATGGGTGGTGTTTGTTGTAAACTATATTGTAATGGTGAAACTTGTGGTGGTGATAATGATGCTTGTTGTTGTTGTTGTTGTTGTAGTTGTTGTTGTTCTGGTGAAGATGACATTGTTAGATTTTCAATGATCAACTGTGATTGTACTTGTGGTGTTTGACTATTTATATTTGGTTGTTGTTGTGGTGATGGTTGTTGTGGTGATGACAAAGGCGATTGTTGTTGCTGTTGCTGTTGTTGTTGTAATAATCTTTGTTTTTGTTCCATTTGAAGTTGAAGTTGCTGTTGCATTAAGAACTCCTGTTGATGTTGAATAAATTGTTGATGCTGTTTCTGTAGTGCTTCAATATGATGTGGTTCAATTTGTTGTTGTGGCTGTTGCTGCTGTTGCTGTTGTTGTAAATGAATATTCATATTTAAATCATTATTATTATTATTGTTGTTGTTATTTATGCATGTATTAGTTTGTGGTGATGATAATTGTTGTTGCTGTTGTTGTTGTTGTTGCTGTTGGAATTGCTGTTGTTGTAAAAGATGTTGTCGTAGCTGTTGCTGTTGTGATGCAGAGAGAGGCATTGATTGTTTGTTCAAATCTGGGTTGATCTGAGCATTGGTGTTCACTTGATTGCCACTGTTGTTCAGCGATGGTGGTTGCTGAACCCAATTCAGTGGATTATATTCCTGAGGTGTCATCAGCCATAAGTCCTGCTCTGGAGGTGGTATCAGCTGAGAAAAGAACGATTCGAATTCATCCATTCCTAACAACTATATTCGATATCGATATATATATAAAGGGTTGAATGATTATAACTAACTAATTAAACTATTATCTAAATTTATTATTTTATAGATTCTATTAATAACTTTTTAATTCTAATTTTAATAAAAATTAAAAATTAAAAAAAAAAACTATTTTGCTACTATTTGCAAATTAATTGCTGACCTATGAAATCAACAGCTATTACAAAGTTGATAGTTCGTTGGTTGGTGATTTGATTTGATTTGATTTGCAATCAAAAAAAAGGTTTTGTCAAAAAGTACAAAATAAAAATATATAAATGGAATTCAAATAGATAATAATATCTCCACTTCTAGCTATTCTTATTATTTAAGTATAAAAAAAATAATTTTATGTGTTTGGTATAAATTTTCAGAGTACACAATAGAGAATGATGATGATGATGATAATGATAATAATGATTGAGAAGGAAGGTTAGAATGGGTGTGTGTTGTTGTATCTAATCAGTATGTATGACAGACACACAGGTGGAATGTATTGGGGGGTATGAAAAAAAAAAAAAAAGAATGATGATGAATGAGTTAACTTTAGAAAATAAATAATTAATAAAAAGCTACTGTAAAAGTTTAAAAATAAAATGTCTATGTAATTGTCTCTCCAAGACAGTGCAGTGATTCACGAATCAACAACAAAACACACTTGATTCAAAAAAGCACACTTTTGCATTCAAATTTGATTGTGTGTTGTGTTTGTATTGAAATATCATATTATAAAGTGAGTGGGTGTTTGTTTGTTGGTTCGAAAAGGAAGACGACAAATTTCAATTTTTAAGAATAAAAAAAAAAAAAACGATAATCAAAGAATATCGGATATTAAAAAAAAAGGATATTATTGGTATTTAAACAGAAATATTGTTTTTTCTTATTCTTAAACAATTATTTTTTACTAACCTAAATTAATTTTCTAAGTCCTGTCCAACTATAATATTTCTGATATTCTTTTTACTAATCTTATATCTATCTAATTAGACTCTCAAAGAAAACTATTTTTAATTTAATAAATATTAATTTATACATATATGAACATAATTAATTAACTTTATAATTTATCAAAAATCAAAAAAAAACACTTTTTTTTCTTCTATCTATTTTGCTGTTATACTTTATTGATATCACAACAACAATTTGAATTTTTTAATTAAAATTGAAACAACAATTAAAAAAAAAATGAAACAGAAGAAAAAAAAAAAAATAAATAAAAAAATCTAAATTTCAAACAATTCAGAGAGCAACAGGCTTAATTGTGACAACAATACTTTCATTTTTTCATTTTTTTTTTGAAAATTAAAATTCAAAAACAATGTATTCTTTTCATCCCATTACACCATATTTTTGCTCAAAAAATAGACAACATTATTTTGTGCTTAAGATTTTTTATTTTTTTGGATGAAAGGGGTTTGGGGCATTAGAACATCCCTTTTTCTACAGGGCTCAAAGTGGTTTGTCCCCGATTTTAAAATTGAGATTTTTTCAAAATTCATATGTGTGATTAGGTGTTTGGTTCTGGGTGTTAACAGGCATTTTTTTAGACTCTCTTTTATTAAAAGCAGCACGACAACCATGTCGGTAGTGACAGTTGGTTTGAAATAAATTTACAATTTTCATGGTTGACAAATTTATAAAGGGGTGGTTCAATTTGCAGTCATGTATCATCATGATATCTGTATACAATCTGAAACTATTGACTTTTTTTCTACACCGTTTTAAAAAATAATTAATATTAATTTATTTGGATTTTATTGGATTGGTTTGGTTGTTTTTTTTTTTTTTTTTTGACAAGTAATCGAGGTTATAGACCCATGAAAATGACATGTCAACAAGTAAAATCAAGGGATCTCTTTGTAAATGAGGAGTTACTTTTCTCTTACTCTTTATTGTAATTAGCAATCTGTACATAGTAATAAAATTGAACCGAACCGAGTTAATATCAACTTCAAGTTCCTCCATCACTCTTTTTCTGGTTAAACTTTCAAATCTTATATAATATTTCCTATGTGGTTAATCTAAATAAATTAAGTTTTTTTTAGATCAATATCTATTTATAAAATCACTACAATTATTTATACTAAAAAATAAATAGAGGTAATATTTTTATTTATTTTTATTTTGATTTACTTTTTTTAAGTTGGAGAATCACCAAATCCAAAGTCCCAGAATCCAGGAGGTGTTGATGGTGGAGTATCATCGTGTCTGTGTCGAGAACACTGATTTAAAAGTATCTTTTTGTCAAAATTATCGCCTAGCACTGCATCATAAAACTATTATTGTGATGGAGAAAGAAAATGAACAAAATTTGTTTTTCATGAATTAGTTAATCTTGTGGATTTTAAGAATATCCAAAAAAGGTTCCGTCATTGATCACCCTTCATGATTATTTCACACCTGTCTTCAAGAAGAATTTTCATCATCAATGATTTTGAAATTTCATTTCTTTCGAAAGGTCATCAGGTGGTGGTGGACCTGATATTCATAAAACTACTAAAGTTTGTGTCGATGTAACATACCTCTTTACAGTGTTGACATTCGAATCCTTCTAGTTGCTCACGTTCCGCTTTATTCCTTACAACTTCAGAGTATTTATAATTCTTTTGTTTTGTGGTTGTAGTAGAAGTAGAGGTTGTTGGCTGTGAAGACGTAGGTGATCTATTGTTATCACCAAATCGATTTGAAAGCAATTGTTGTGGTGATTGTGATTGTGACTGTGAAATTGAAATAATCTGTTGTTGTAGTTGTAATTCTTCTTCCTCTTTATGTTTATCATTGATTAGTGGCAAATCTAAATCATCTTGTGCATCGAGTATAACTGGTTCATTGCTCTTTCGTTTCTTGTTCCTCTTGTCATCAGTCGTCGTTGTTGTTGTTGTAGTTGTAGTTGTGGCGGCAGCAGCAGCAGTCTCTTGTTTCTTCTGTACATTAACAATCTTCTTTTTCATTTGAAAACTATTACCATCTGCATCTCCATCGCTATCACTTCCACTCTCTACAAACTGATCACCCAAATCAAAGTTATTTACAAATTTACTACTATTATTATTGTTGTTATTTTTACTACTATTATTACTACTATTATTAGTGTTGTTATTTTTACTTTTATTATTACTATTATTACTATTATTATTACTATTATTATTACTATTATTATTACTATTATTATTACTATTAATATTATTATTGCTATTACTATTACTATTACTATTATTATTGCTACTGCTATTACTATTAATATTCTCTTTGTTTTTGATATTGATATTATTTAAGTTAATACCATGATCTTTTATAATTTTAATTAAAATCTCATTCTTTTCTTTCAGTCTACATTTGTATGAATAGGTTATATTAGGATGAATGATAGATTTAACAGGGAAATAATATGTGAGTATAATATCAAACCTTTTATATGCTTTGACTAAAGTTATCTTTTCTTCTTCCCATAATTTCTTTTGTGTTTGAAACTCATTCTCTACCTCTAAATAAATATATATTAGTTATATGTATAATCATATTATATTTGTTGAGTATTAGAGGTAAAACATACTCATTATATCTTTGGAATGAGCATTTAATAGTATTTTAATTGCATTCTGTATATTCTCACCACAAACTACATATTCACTGTCATTTTTATTATCATCTCCATTGTTGTCATAGCCATTGGTTGTATTCATATAAAAACTAGTTATTATTATTACTATATTATGTTATATCTACAAAGAGTGTTGTCCTTAATTTAAAAATGATTAATCTTATTTTTTTTTTTTGTTGCATAACGGCGAAAAAATTTAAATTTTGTTTTTCAAAGAAATTTGAACTTTTTTGAATTATAATTAAAAGTAACTTCCAATCGTATAATTAAATACTATTGGTTTTAAAACATGTTTATTTAGATTATGGTGAACCGGATGTTGTGTTGTTATTATTGTTATTATTGTTATCGGCATTGTCCAGTGGTTTCAAACCGTATTTCTGTCTAACTCGGTCGATGTGCGCTAATCGTAATGTGTTATTTATACCGGTGTATAATGAGTTGTTATGTGTTTGGTTTGAATATGGTTGTTGGTGCTGTTGCAGCTGTTCTTGTTGATTCGAATCATTTATAGGATTTTCTTTAAAAATATTTACATTTTGTTGTTGTTGTTGTTGTTGCTGCTGCTGTTGTTGCTGCTGCTGCTGCTGTTGTAGTTGCTGTTGTTGTAGTTGTTGTAGTTGCTGTTGCTGTTGTTGGTCGTATATATGAATGTTTGAAAGAGACTGATTTAATGAATTGTTATTGTTTATTTGTTGTTGATTTATATAGTTTAAATATTGTTGGTGCTGCTGTTGCTGTTCTTGCTCAAGTATTAAATGGTTCTCATGTATATTATTAGCATGACTGTGATGATGATTATTATTATTATTATATATATTTTGTTGATTATGTTGATTATTGTGTTGGATATGATGGTGGTTGTTATAATGATTATTGTGCTGCTGATTATTATTATTATTATTATTATTATTATTATTATTATTATAATGGTTAACAACAATACCATTATTACTACTTCCGATATGCAATCTTCTTATTTTCAGTTTAACATCGTCATTATCATCGTCATCAGCAACAACTTCATTATAACTTTCATTTTGAGTTGTATGATTATTGTTATTATCATTAATGTTGTTATAATTCATTAAATAAGCATTGTTGTTGTTTGTGTTGTTGTTGCTGTTGTTATATATTAGATTATTTATATGATTGAATTGATTGTTGATATTGTTTTGATGACTGACAATGTCAATTGCAATGCTCGTGGCACCCTCATCTACATCTCTTTTTCTTTTGAACATGTTCGTTCTATCTATCTATCTTTTCTATTTTCAATAAATAAATATCTTTATATTATTACTTTAAAGTTGAATATAATATTTGTATCATTTTTTATTTAATTAATAAATTAATTTATAAACATTTGTTTTTTTTTTTTTTTTTTTTTCAAACTAAATTTTACATTTTTTATTTATTTAAAATAATTCAAAAAAATTAGACATTTGTTTGTTTTTTTTTTAAAGATCTTAAAAAAACAAATTTAAAAGATTTTTTAGATATAACTATATTATTAATCAAAATTTTATAAACAATTTAAAATTATTTTATTTTAATTATTTTTTTCAAATATCAGAAAATCCTAATTATCATTTACAATTTGAAAAGTATCTAAAAGTATAAATTGTTTGGAAATTCAAACAAGTAGTTGATATATTTTTTTAAACAAGATACTATATTTGATTTCTTGTTTTTTTTTGTTTTTCAAATTTCAACTTCTTGATTAAATTTAAATCGTAATAACCAATCAAAATAATTAAACACCTTTTATCTAAAATCTAAATCATAATTTATAAGAATAGTAAAATGATGATGCATTTCTCTCTCATATTTGTTATGGTTTTTTTTTTTCAAAATAATATAATTTGTTGAAAAAATAAAAAACAACATTTTTCTATTTATGATATAATTGTTGTTAATTATACAAATATTGAGAATATTGAGTCTAAAAAGTTAACTTATTACTAATGTTCAATACACAAAATCATGGGAAATTCAAAAAATTGTCCAATGGAATTCTAAAAATAAATATGTGTGTGTAGCAAAAAAAGTTTATCAATTTGGGAACTTTTTTGATTTTCCGTTTCTCTTGATAACTAAAAAAAGAGAAAGGCAAAAACATAAACCAAATAATAGATATTAAAAATAACAGTGATAAATTTAACCTTTACTATTAAAAGTCGACTTGATCTTCAATTTGAATTATTACTTCCAATTTCTTTTACTATAAATAAAAAAAAATCTACCATTTGTTCAATTTAGAATTTTATTAATATGGATGATTTATATTTAAGAGTAAAAGGTAATTTTATATTTGACCAAATTCTAAATTATGGAGGAATCTTCAGTCATATCCAAATTGTATTTGAAGATGGTCACTCTGAAAACATAAGAGTTTATACAAATGAAGAAGATGCAATCAAAAACTTTTGTAATATCTAAAAATTAAATTATTATTATTTATTATCTAAAAAAAAGTATTCTAATTATTATTTCTTTACTTTTATTAACAGATAATGATACATTTGTTGTTATTATTTTATTTTATAAAAGTTTAGAGGATAGAAACAAACCTAAAGAATGGATAAGAGTTTGTCAGAATACGACTTATCAGAAAACCGGAGTTTCAAAAGAATTTCAACTGGAAAACATAAACTCCCCTTTCAATAACAATATTGCGTTCTCCTACATCACTTTAAAGAGAGATGATAAATCAAAGCCAAGAATTCTCCAAAATGAAGTTGAATTTCCAGCTATTGCCAAGGACTCTTCCAAAAAACGAGATCTATCTCATCTTCGTTATATGGTGTCCTATCTTCCAGAGGCCGATTTCATTCCAGTATATGATTTAAGTTTAGTCAGAATGGTGATAAGAAAATACTACCTACAATTCATCACTAAAAAGGTAGTATGTCAACCTAGAATAATACCATACTCACCAGAAAAGAAGAAGATTACCAAACCAACCCCTAAAGAAGTAAAGTTTGAGAGGTTGAACAAAAATAATCAAATTCAAAAACAACCAATTATAAACAACTGTTATTCAAACTTAGTTGAAGTGACTACCCCTCAACTGAATAATCTTAATTTATACCCTTTGGAATATTTACCAATTATTGAATCCCAGGGAAATCAAGATTCTACACCAATTTATTTCAACCCAACCAGATTTGATATGAATAACTATTTATTTAATAATTTACAATAAGGTAGGAAATTACAAATATTCCTAAATTGTTACATCTTTCTATAAATAGAATTACAAAAAATTATTAAATAAAAAATCAAATATTTAATTATTATTTAATATGAATTATATATTTTGAATATATTGTTAATTTAAGATTCAAATCTATCTTATATTTAATAAAAATTTACTTCTTTTGGGTGTGTCAAAAATAGACAAAGGGGTTAAAAAAAGAGAGGTTGTCATTGCGTGGCATTGTTATTTTTGTGTCGTGTGATCACTTTGTATTATGATCTCACAGGGATTGTATATCGTTTCACTATGACAATGGTTATTGTCATAATTCCACCTTTGGTTTTATGTGCGAATGTTCCTTTATTGATTCTGTGTTTTTTTTTTTGATTATGATTGTGATCAAGTTATTTGTGTTTAACCTAAATCCTATCATTCTCAATTTTTTTCTTTTGTTTTTTAATTTAGAATCGGGAGACATATCAATTAAACTGTTGTTGTAACGTTTCAAATGCTGATAAGTACTAATTTTTAACTATCTGTGCGGAACATGATAGTGTTTTGTTAGGTACTTATCATTTTTGAAATTTAATAATACTTTGATTGGTATATTATATTCAATGCCACATTTATCGACAACAAAATCTGCTCTGTTCTATCAATGATTAATTCCTATAGTTAAATAATTAATTATTGATACTATATTGTATTAAGGGATACAATAGCATTTATATTATTATTAACTTCCTCATCTATAGATACAACATTGATTGAGGTTTGGAATATTTATTTATATCTGTGTTAAAAATTTGTGGAATTTCATCTTATTTTCACTAAATTTTTTTGTGTGAATTGGTGAAATCAAAACAACACAAGACTTTTAATCTAATATTTATAAACAAGATTTGTAGATATATATATTAGATATGTTTATTATTAATATTATTGGAGTTTGTTGATCAATTGATTGATCTAATCAGCTGATCAATGATCTAATATATCATGTCCTTGTACAGACAATACAATATCATAGACAATCTGAGATAGACAAACGGTAACTGTTATCAAAAGTATCGCTTTTGTAATGTGTCGATTGTACTTTTCGAATCGTTTTGGATAAGGCTGTACAGGTGAGATGGTATTATCTATCTTTTGTTCATCGTATCTGTCATATTCATTAACTATGTTGTTGTTGTTATTATCGTGGTCGTTATTTCGTAGTTTAGAGGAGGAAGAAGTAGCTTTTAGATAGACAATGAAGGGGATAATAAAGTTTACTGCACTATTCAATATTAATGATGACCAATTTAGAAACTGTGCGAATATACGTTGCTGACAAAACACGAAACTAATCAACCAAGGTGCAATTACACCCCAGAAATACGATGACTTGCGACCACAGATGTGACCTACGTACAGGTTGTACCTGGTCGTAATAAAACAAACAGGTATGCCAGGCATTATCACACCGAGACTGAAGAGATACGATGCGATTCTGGTGATCAGTGGTGATGGCGGTAATCCCATCAGCGTTAGGATATTGTCGGTTCCCAAATACTGGTAGGAGAGAGCACATAGCAATCCAATGAAGAGGTAGCCAAACCATGAAAATACACCACTTGCCCAAACTACTTTGTTAACACTGACACTGTCTTTCTTTTCGTTTACCCAAGACGGTATGAACATAGGATACGCCCAAGAAAAGATAAAAACACTGACCAACTGACCGAAATTATCACCAACCACAGGAACTCTATCCAATTCCAGACCATTCAATATAAATTGTATAATAAACTCTGCAAGTAATAAAAATAAGAATATAAAAGATAATGTTTGTACAATCTAGAATTATAGAAAAAAAAAAAACATTAATATAAATATTAAAGAGAGATAAAGAATATAGTTGTTATGTTTTACTTTAACATTGTCATCTAGATTCATAAAGGAAGTCGGTATTGATATTAAGCATATTAAAAGATATCCAATGGTAATGTTGATGGATCCAGATGTATAGAGTGATGTTATGTCATCGGTAGACAGGAATTCGAAATGAGGATAAATATTCAAAGCAAATGTCTTTTTAAATATTAATAGAAAGAATTGATCTATTGACTAAATAATAATAATTATTTTTAGTATATATATAAATGGCAAGTTTAAAATTCAATATATATATTTACCTGTGCACATATTACAATACTCGCAATATTATAACATTGTATACATAGATTATTTATGATTTGAAAGAGAAAATGACATTTGTTACCGAAATAGTATTTGATTGCAACACTATACTCGATGTGTTTGTCAAATTTCCTGTTGCCTGGAATCAACGCCAGTGATTCACATAGCAGGGTGGAGGCCAAACACGATACCAGCAAGAAGAATGTCAGTGATATCATTGTCAAGATGAATCCACTCTGTTGGAATACCACTGGAATTGAAAGTACACCAGGTCCATAGATCTGATTGACAATGAATATGAATGATCCAATAGTAGAGATTGACTTTTGACCTAAACTATGTCCACGCTCCGATCGTATCGATATATCCTTGGGAATCAGCAACTCTCCACCCTCTATTAAAACCTGTGTTTCATCACCTCCATCATCTTCCTCCTCCTCATAATAAACATCCACATAGTTATTAATCGTTGCATGCGGTTCAATATGTGGTTCCATTCTTTAGAATAACTTTCAAATAATAATAATAATAATAATAATAATAATATATTATTTAATTTCTAATAAAAAACAATAATTATAATATTTATTTACATTTAGATAATTATTTTTTTAAAAAAAAGATAACTAAATTATTAAATAATGTAATCGAGTAATTATTTTATTTTAAAATAGCAATAAAATATATATTTAAATATGTTGATTGTTATTTATTATAAAAGTTGTAAATTTGTTATTTTTTACTATAAATAATCTTATATATTTATAAATGAATAGAGATTTACAAATCATTTGTAAAAATTGAAAAACTACTTTTACACTATTAAAGATATAATTTAATTTTAATTTATTAAAATTTTGAATTACATTTAAAATTGAAGGAATTCTAATTGAATCGAATAAACACACAACTTCAGCTTATTAATATTGCCAATATTATCTCTCACAAAAAATAAATCAAGTGTTGATGTTTTTCACACCACATCAAACAACATTTTTTTTGACCACACTAAATTTAGTGAGTGTTAACAATTGTATTTATTTTTTATTCTCTACCTAACTGATGGTGCAAAAACCAAAAAATAATAATATTATATTTAATAACTTAAAATAGTTTCTGAAATTTTTTAAAATTTTATTATTAGAATGTTGTTTTATATATTTTTTTGTTTTGTTAACTATTGGTCTAACCAATAGTTTTATTATTTTTTTTTAATTGCTGAAAAATAATAACTTTGACGATCGAATTAATTAAAATAGACCAATCAAATTCGAAAGAAATGGTGATAGTTTGTTAACTAAATCGTTGATGAGGATTGGAATTGACTCTGCAATATGATTCGATACTAATCGATTCGCTAGAATCCAGCCCAAATCATCGTGAATCTTTACTACAGTGTCAAGAAGAATAAGATAGTTCAATATGGGGAGGTTGGTAGATTCTGGGAATTCAGTGATACACTTTAGCACCTGATATTCCAAGTGAGCATTGGCATATTTAATTGCAAAACTACTGTTTGTATTGATTTGGTGAATCAAGTGATGATGTTCATTCTGTTGGTGTTCTAAATGTGATGTCGATTGTTGTCTGTTCTCTAATTCATTCTTATGGAATCTTTTCAATGTAATTTTGAATTCGTTGAGCTTCAAATTATTTCTAACTTCAAAGAGTGAAGTCAAAAGTCGGAATGACAAAAAGTTGGCTATGGAATTGGTTTGGAGACCGATATTCGATGATGGAATGGCATCAATGTGAGAGAGTGAACGTTCGTTTTGCAAAAGGAATTTGGCGAGTGTCAAGAGTGGACCAGTCTTATCACCATGAATGATTTCGATTTCATTGCGACCAATAAGTGATTTGCAATCCATAATAGTAACTACAGAGTGCTTGGTATAGAGTGCCTTGATCGATGCACAATATGGACGTGCAAAAAGTGGAACCATCTCCAATTTGAAAAAGTTTGATAGTTTTTGGTTGAATAAATCGAATATAATTGTTTTGGAGACTGAAATTAGCAATCTCATTTGTACATTGAATTGATTGATCTGACCATTCTTCTTGACAAATTCCAATGTCTCTTTCAACATTTTCTTTAACTGGAATGGAAAATCATTTTTGAATTCTCTGTAAAGGACTGGCGTTACAATGGACTTCAAATAATTAAAATCGATATTATAGCCAACCACGGAATTTGGTTGAACTGATTCATCTGTGTTATTTGAATTTCCAATTACAAATGAATCCAAATGAGATAAAACCTATTTTAATTTTTATTTAAATGTACATATAGTTAATAAATAGTGTATTTTTTATAAAAATTTTTTCTTTTATTTTAATCCTTACTCTTTCAATTCTGGAATTTACAGACGATTGAATTTTATTATTTTGTATACTAACTAAACTATCTTTCAACATTAATGTTTATTAATTTTAGATTTAAAATTTAATTGATCAAAGCATCAATAATTTCGATGGTTTTATAATTGAATAAAAATCAGTAAATCTTGTCTTTAATTTTATTAAATTAATTAAACTTTTTTTTTTTTTTATTTTGAAATCAAAGTATAAAATTCCTTTGATTACATCTAAAAATGATATGAATAATGTTTAATATTTGATTTACTTTTGCAGAGGAGGTATTATAATTTTTATTGTATATTGATCAGACTGGTCAAACAATCCTTCATCTGAAAAATATGCCAATATTCCAATAGTCCAATATAGTAGCTTGAATTCATTATTGTTTTTTTCACGCAAGCAAAAACTTTAATTAAAATGAAATTTGTTTATGGTGTGTGATTTGTGATGTGTGTTGTTTTGTGTGTGAGTGTAGGTATAGGGGATTGAAAATAAAATCAAATAGAAAAGAGGAGAAATACCACCACCACTACCACCTACTGAATTAATTCACTTAAAGAATAAACAAAAATCTTCTTCTTTCTTTTGTGGCAAATTTGATATCGTCATTCTAAATATCCTTTTATAGGATGAAATGGATTGAGTTTAGATTTATTTATCTAAATTTGAAGACCTATTTTACACAATGATTATAGGGTGAAAAGACATTTGAGTTGGATAGTTGGTGTATCCTACCCATCAATAATACAGATATACCATCACACTCATTCTTTGTCCAATTAATTATAAAATAAATAAATTAAAATAAAATAGTAAATTAATTAATATAAAAAGTGTAATAATACATTAATCACTAAAATCTATGATAAATTAATTTAACACTAAAGCAAATCTAATCTGATCGTTAAATTTTGATTAAAATAAAAATAAATTTATTTTTTATTTATTTTATTCAATTTTAACAATATCTATTGTTATGAATGATTGTTTTAATATTCATTTTTTGTTTGTTGTTTGTATACAATTCATCGATGCAAATTGATTTACCAACAATCAGATGTTTTAATGTGTTTGTTGTCTGTTTAAGTGCTTCTATTATGTGTTTACCGTTGGTGAGTGCACGACACCTATTTATTTGTAGAATATATAGGTTCGTTCGATTTGATGATACAATTAGATCTGCAATTGAAATTTCAAGCTCCGTCTCTGTCATTGTGTAATGGTGTTTCAATGATAACATATATATTGATTGATTGTCAATTAATGATGTTATCAACAACTTTGCATGTTCTCTATTTAACATCATTAAAGAGAGATATCTCAGAGAGACCTTTCTTAACGACGAGTAGAATTGCTGATTTAAATTGTAGAAATGATTCAACTTTAATCTTGTCAATGTTTGATTTTCCAACAGAAGATTACCAAACATTTTAGTAATTGGTTCTTGAGGTACAGTTGATAGACTATCATTTAGATTTCCATCGATTGATAGTGATTCAATATGTTTATCATCTTTCAGTGCTTGGAATAGTTGATTGAATTGTTCATAATAGAGATCAGAGTAATCGGTTCCATGATCTGCCAGCTTGAATTTCAATACATTCAAACTTGACATCCTTAGTTGGAGAATTGATGTAAGATTCTTAATTGAAACGTTGGTAAGTTCCAATTTGTAAATGGTAGTTAATCCTTTTAGACTGAAATTGTTATCATTTAAATCGAAAAGACAATTGAGTTGAATCGTTGGCTTATCCAATTGAGTTGATTCTTTCTCTATCATTTTCAAATGACTAATTGCAACTTTACTATCTATATTACTATCTAAATCTACTATAGTCTCTAACAAGCTGATATTATCACTATTCTTATTAACGAATTGTATTGCCTTTGATATATCTTTTTTAGATAATTCATTGGAGATAAGTGGAATCAGCTGATACTTGAATCTGTTTGCTGTCTTATGTTTGTTGATGAAGTGTTCCAGCAAGACGATCTCTGACATCAATGTAACTGTTTCTAAAACACCATTGTTCAGTATATTATCTAGGAACGTATCGAAGCTCTTTCTCCATGGGTAGATATCACGGATCACCAAAGATTTAATGTTACTAAACTTCAACAAGCTAAAGCTATTCGACTGGAATATCGATTTGGCATCATTGAGATAGATGATTCTCGATTCTTTAAATCGTTTGGTATAGTAATCACCAATGGTACGATGGTTGTATATATAGAGCACATCTAACTTTACTTCAGGACCAATTGGTGGCTTGGCTTTGCTGATGTGTGTAGGTTGTATTGTCATCACGAAATCTTCAATGGCAAGAGTATCACTGAATTTCACATCGAGATGACATAGTGATTTGGAAATCACATTGAACCAACTTTTACAAACCAATACAATGTCAACGATTGATGTTCTTGGTTTACAGTCGAATTCATGTGTTCTAGTTGGTACTATCGTGTCAAAATTAAAATATAATTTAACAGGATCCAAATATAACAATATTTTATTTAAAATATATTCGTTTATGTTTTCCATTTATAACTATTTGATAATAAAAAGAATGAAAGAGAAAAATAATAAGAAAGTAAATAGTAGACTTAGTTTAGAATTAAAAGAATGATAAATAAATATTTATCTTTAGAAAATATCTAGATAAAAAATCGGATAGTTTGAAATAATCAAAAGTATTTATCTTGATATATTGTTTTTTATCTTGATATTCAAGATACTAATTAGTTATATTGTTTTAAATTTATATACATTTTTATTATTATATGGATTTGATTCGTTTGATATTATAATATATTTTTTATAATATTCTTATTCGTTAGATTCGATTCTACTTCATGTAGAGACTTGTGTAGTTCAGAAAAGGTGTTGGAGATTTCTTGTTCTTGTGATTGTAGATGAAGGTATTGTTTCGATAGTTTTTTGAGGTCTTCCCATACTTGCTGTGTTTTAGAGTTGTATTGTTTCAATTGATTTAAATGATCGATCTGTTGTTGTGTGTTGTTCACCATGTTCTCAATGGTGTGTTCTTTGTGCTCTCCTACCACACACTGAGAACAAACATAGCGTTTACAATCATAACAAATAAACTGTAGTTTATCATTATGTAAAAAACATTGTATTCTTTCATAATAATATTTATCTTTTATTATTGTTACTTTTTGATTATTATTACTATTATTATTATTGTTATTATCTAAATGTTTATCATTATCATTATTATTGTTATTGTTGTTGTCGTTGTTAATGTTATTTGCATCTAAATGTTTATCGGAATCTATATTCATTTTGTCTTGTTCTTGAAACTCTAAATTTACATTTTTTACATTGTTGTCTTTGTTGTTTGATATTGTTGATTCATCATCAAGCGCTGTAACAAATTTATCTTGATCAACATTTAAACTATCTATATTATGAGTTAAGTTTTCAATATTATTGTTTGATTCATTCATTTTGAACATAATAAAAACAATGAAATTACATGCCTTTTGTTTTTTATAATAAATATTTTAAATTTTTTTTAAATTTAACTTCTTGGCTGTTGCAAATACAATTATTTCTAAAATCAGCAGACAGAATACGAAATATAGATTATTCAATTTCTAACAAATATAGATATACAGTATAGCTTATGAGAATAAAGTTTTTATTTATTTATATGTATATTTAGAATTATATTTTATTACACTTTTTAAAAGTAATAATTAGTTTTATAAAAAAAACAAATCTAAAAGTATCTTTAATAGACACTCTTAAACGTGAATTGGAATTGAACTCATAGTTGCAACACCTGTAATTGTTAAAAAAGAATGTATAGAATTAGTAATTGTTAATATGTTTGAAAAAACAAAAACAATCATAGAGGTTGTGATGTTTTTTTTAACTTAGTTTTAAAATACTTACCGCAATGATTGTTTCTGTCCTTAGCAATCCAAATGTAACCGGCATCACCCCATCTGGTACCCCAGGAATTTTTAACGATCCAGTAGGCAGATGATCCTTCGGTTCCGTAACCAACAGCCAATACACCGTGAGACAACGAGGTCGATGAACAAGCTGGGTCATAGAAGACACCGGATTTGTAGAGTTGGAAGGAGGAATGGGAGGCATCCAAGGCAATAGCCACAGGACCGATGTTCAACTTGGCAGCCAAATCAGCTTCGGATCCACGCTTGATGTTGGAGTAACCGGAAAGCTTGGCACCGTTGTTGGCTGGATTGTACTTGCAGGTGTAGGAGTCACGCATCTCATATGGGTATGATTCTTCAGTGTTAATACCACCCTGTTTTACGATATATGACATTGCGCTATCCATCAAACCACCTTGGCAACCGTGATTTCCGTAGGAACGTGAGCAGTCCATCAATTGTTGTTCAGAGAGTGAAACAAAGTTTCCAGTGGCAATTTGGTGAGCACCTTCGACAGCACCAGTAGTTGAGAATGCCCAACACGATCCACCTATAAAAATGCAGTGAATCAATTGTATTAATATTTATAGTTGTTTTTGTTGTTACACATTATATTAGATAAAACTTACATTGACCTTGATCCTTGACACGACCGACAGCACCGTTGTTTCTCCAATCGAGAGTGGAACGAACTGGTTGGTAAACTTGATCCAAAGTGGCTGGTTGAGCAGCGAAATTGGAGGCGTCGACGTTCATACCGAGATAGACGGCACGGTACTCTTCGTTGGTCAAATCGGCAAAGACGGTGGCACCGAGTTCGGTTTCCTTGTTGACGGCATTCCATCTGTGGATGAAATCAAGATTGTCCTTGAAGGCACTGTATCTAGTACGGAATTCATAGGCATCGTACTGACGATCTTGGACGACCATCCAGTTGGTGAATTGATTTTGGTAGTGTTTCTCGGCAAACAATCTTGATCCGGCAGCAAGACCGACAATCATAAAGAATGCCAATAGTAATCTCATTTTTATTTGTTATTTATTGGTTGTTGTTGATGTTTTTTTAATTTAATAAATATTATTATTTATACAAAATTATACAATATATTATTATTTGTTAATTTAGAATTGTTGGTGGATTGAATGATTTAATCTTGATTTACAATCACTTTAAATAGTTTGGTTTTCAAGATGTAAACAAAACCTTTGGAAAAGTAATTTAGAATATTCTTGTTTAGTCTGGAGATTGTGTCATTTTTTTTTGATTAATTTTTACTAATTTAGAAGTGACCTGTTTAATGACCCTGTTTTTTTTGCAAAAATTAATCAAAATATCGTTGTGGTATTTGGCCTGTTTAATTAAAATTGTTGTAAAAAAAAATCTGAATCCTGTTTTGCAAACTAATATATTTTTAAGATGTTTGTGGACACCAGAGATCCACATTTGATCAAAAAAAAAACTTTTTGTTTTTTATTTTTAATTTTAATTTTTTTTTAATTTCTGGATGAGTAATTATTATTATGAATGGATTTGTGAATGTATGACCACTCTTTTATCTAAATTATTGTGTTTTTCGAGTTTTAAAGCTGGCATTACAATTTGAGCTAGATATTTGTCAAGATGAAGATGTACCAGTGATGTATCTTGTCTTTTACAAATGTCTATGAGCTTTTCTTTATCTTTTTCAAGTTTAAATAGACTACATCTTGTAAGATTCAATTCATAGATATTCTTGTTGGTCGATAGCAAATCCAAGAGTGATTTCGTTAAATTCAATGTATTATCATTGTCTCTGACCAATTGCATTGTTAGACTGGTAATCGATTGATTGGATTGCAACGACTTGGTGAGTCCAGAGAAAATAGATCCTTCCATAACAATTACTTTCAGTGTATTGAGTTGGCATGTACCGAGCGATTCGATAAAAGCATTGTTGCAATGAACAAAACTTATCAGTTTTAATTTGGTGATTGTATTATTGATTACTAATAGGTCGGAGAATGACTTTTCTATTTTGAGTGATTTAATTGGTTGTACCATTCGCTTTGATTGTCGCCAATCGGAAATGCAAAGGTTTGTAATCGTTTTGTTTTTCTTGATTGCTGTCATTAGTCGATCCACTCCATTTGTAAACTCTTCGGTGTCACTATTGAAATTGGTTTTCAACTTTAGTCTCTGAAGATAAGGTGATGTTTGTCCATTTAGAATCGCTGCAAGACTGTCTGGATCGATAACGGTAATCGAAAGATATCCAATATAGCTGAGTTCATGCACACGCAGCCATGCTTCCTTTGTAATTTTATCTGACCATTGATAGGTCTGGAGTCTAGTGTGACGATAGGATCCAACCGATTTCTCAATGAATTTCATATGGTCAATGGTGTTGGACAAGCTGATCTCATCGAGGTCACAGTCTACAACAGTCTCTAGCCATTCGACTCCACTCTTTGGCGACACCAGATACTGGATATTCTTATTGACCAAATCCTGTGCCAAGTTGTTGGAGATGGTCGGTATCACCTGATATTGGAATCTTCCTTTGGCCGGGTGTTTGGCGATGAAGCTCTGCAAGAGAGTGATCTCACTGCTCACTATAACGGTTTTCAGTAGCTTGTTGTTAAAGAATCGCTCCAATAAGGCGTCGAATGTCTTTTTCCACGGATATACATCGACCAGCATCATGCAACTGATATTCTCAAATCGCAGCAAACTGTACTTGCTAGCAAGCACCGAAACATTTAGTTTTTGCGAGCGCTTTCGATTGTTATAGTGTTTCTCTCGACACGGATAGACTGCAATTACCTTGGGTGATTCTATCGAAAACTCCAAGTAGTACAACATCTTTGAGATTGTATTGAACCACTCCCAACTGACCAAAGACAACTCTACCAATGAGAATCTCGGGTATTCAAGCTGGTCATAAGTTACACCACATCTATCTAAAAAACTTTCCATCTTATCGAAAATTCCAAGAGGATGTGTATTTTTAAGTATTAGTTGTAATATAAAGTTATTTATTTTCATATCTCTATGTCTCTTTATCTTTGTTACTAATCATATGATTACAAGTAATTTTTAAAAAAAGAATAAAATCAATCAATTCTAGCGTGGTTATTTTATTCTTGATCATTTATTCATGAGTCCACCCACTGCTTAAGTATTTTTAGTATAAAAAATCAATTTTTATTAGAATGAATTTGATTGATGTAACCTCCGAACTATTAAAAAAGATATTTATATTTTAAAAATAAACAAGTTCGTTAGTTAGTTTTTTATAATTATATTAATAAATTCTTAATTATTTCTTAATTTCTTACCAAAAAAATAAATTTCATATTCTTTGATTAGTTTGTAGAAAACAAATTGATTGGATTCAGATTTCAGGTTGTTAATGATGAGTTCGTTATTACATACGGATATTATTTGAATGGATCGATTTAAATCGATGTAATCAGAGAATCTTCGAGCGATGTCATCTATATCGGTAAAGTAGTAGCCAATGTCAAGTCTGACTAGTCTACTATTGATTTTTAGTTGTTCAACTATGATCTGATCGAAATTCGTACGATAACCTTGACTTAGGTAGAGGTGACGAATCGTTTGATCGTTGCCCAAGTTCGAGAGCCACTCTTGATGTTCCGGTCGTAGTATCCGCATTTTCAGAGTGTTTAGATTGCTAAAGTATTTCGTGGGATAAAAGAATATACTGAATCGATCACTCGATGGAATCGAAACGTATGGATCAAACTTGAGATAGCGAACGCTCGTGTTGATCGTATCTATCTGCACGGCTGGAAGCGTATCGAGCAATTTAAACCTAAAGTTTTGTGCAAGTTTCAATTTCCTCAGGGTGGTATTGGCGAGTAGCGGAGCAATCATCGAGTCATCGAGGATGTTCTCGAGATGCAGCGATATTAATGTTTTGCTATTTACAATGTAGTCGAGTACTTTCGGTTCGTAGACGTTGAACGTGAGAACAAGCTTGGTGAGTTGACCGCCAGCCAGACACCGACTCAGTAAGTGATAAAACTCTGTTGGTATCGGGTGTTGGTGTGTCGAACTAAAGAACCGGTACGAGAGTTTCGAACAGGTGTTCTCGGAATTTATACTCTGGAAATCGTCGCGGATCGAATGGTAGTATTGAACGAGTCTCACCTTTTCCATCTGTGTCTGGCGTTGTACGATGTTAAACAACTCAGTGATATAGCCAAAGGAAGTGGGACCGGGAACTTCGACCGCTGGCAACACCGTGATTGGTATCGTTATCATCTTGAGCGTTTCAACAAACTGCTCGGTTGTCAGGTTGAGTCCGCCGACAAACGATATCGTTTTGCAATGACAATTGATGATATCGATCATCTGATCGAGTAGCTTGTAGTTGGTATCGTAGTTGTAGTTGATAGAGATGTTCGAGTGTTCCGAGACGATGCGCCTAAAGATATCGAGAAACTGACTCTCCAGCATGATAACCATTCCAAAGATAGAAAAGGTGGGCACGTTGATAATGATATTGTTAGAATATGATAGTATACAGTAGGGATTCAACATCTTCTCGTAGTCATACAGCCTGCAGAACCCATAGAAGCTGACAGGCGAACATTCCACCTTGAAGTAACTTTGTACCTCTAACTTCATGAATTCAAACCATCGCTTTGAGACCAGATTCAAAGATAACTTCCATCTAAAAGTAATACCAATATCATGAAACAAGTAATTGAATATCTTTTTCTGTATATAATTTAACAATGTTCTATTATAATGATTATTGCTATCTTTGTTCTTGTTATTATCTCTTTCTTCAATAACTTGACTTTTATTAATTATTTCATTTCTATCATAATTTTTAAACAATAAATTTAATGAATAATTCATTCAACATATAAATATTATATACAACCAACTATTCTATTTATAGATAATAGTTAGTTAATTAATAAACAAACAACAAAAAATAACCAAGATAAACCAAAAAACTTAATTTTTAATGAAAAAACTGCTTGCGGGTTAGTATGCTAATGATCATATTATTTATTAATGAAAAGAAAGAAATAGTTAATAGTAGTAATGATAAATACAAGATTATTTATATCATTGATAAAGATTAAATATGTTTGTAGAATAATATTTAATTATGTAGTAAAGATCAATACTGTTAATAGTGGTTATAAGAGTTTAAAGTGGAATCAACTCATTCTATCACCAATAGATCTTTCATATTATGGCTATTTAGAACCACTTAGGAGCTACATAGAATCTCATCCCAAACAGATAAGAAATACATTTAAAGCATCGATATCCTATGCTGTGCAACAGGGCCACCTTTCAGTTGTCGAGTATCTAAAGTTCAATGATATGACTCGACAGTTTGAGTTGCCTACACATCTCATTGCCATCGCAGCAAAATCAGGTCATATCAACATCATTCGATTCTTACTAGAGAGGAATCAAGCTAGTGGTGGAGGTGGTAGAGGAAGAGTAGTCGCAGCAGAGAAGAGTCAAGATATGGCATTGGCATTGGTATCCGCTATTGAACAAGGCAATCTAGAGATCATTAAATATCTAAATCAACTGGTGAAACCAGCAGTAAAGCAAGATAAACGATTGACAAGAGCAATGGATGTCGCTGCTTCCAAAGGGTACCTCGAAGTTTGTAGATTCCTCAATGAAAACCGCACTGAAGGATGCACATACAAAGCGTTAGAGTCTGCAATCGTTCAAGGCCATATAGATGTTGTTAAATATCTATATGAGAACTGCACTCACTCTACAACAGCAGGTTTAGACTCTGCTCTCTATATAGCCGAATCCAATAAGCAATCAGAGATAATCAACTATTTAGAACAGCAGCAGCAATAACACCAATGTTAACAACAATTGGATAATATTTAGAATATATATATGGCTCGTTCAAGTTGACTACTGTTTATAAGAAATAGAACAACAGAGTAGCTCCACAACGAAATCTTTAGTTAGGAGTGAATGAATCCGAAAATATCATCAACAAGCTAATAACATCAGATTCACCATTAAAAAAACTTCATACCAATGATACCTCCGGATTAGTAGTGCAATACTATACTAAAAATATAATTGCTAAACAAATAAACTAAATTTTTACAAATTCTCAATGTTTTCCCTATTTTAAAATTAGTAATCTTTAATTTCCGATTTACAAGTTGTTTAAGGTTTTATCTTCATAATTTATATACATTTCTACCAACTATATATAATTTATATTATTAATTGTTACTATTTTATTTAAATGAAATACATATATAAGTAAGTAATGTTTGATTTATAATTTATTTTTTTTTAGTTTCATTAAACATTATAATAACTTTAAAGTCAAGATTACATATCAATGAGCACTAGTTTTACCGGTTTATATGATATGTCCACCAAAACTGCTTTTTATGCCGATTTGGTTCCGACAAATTCAATGACAGCACATAGACAGTTATACAATTTAGTTAAATCAGATGCCACTGTCAATATGTATCTCTCCGACGACAGCACGAATCATATTGGATTCTCGAGAAAGTCCGATCATTTGTATGGGTTCAACTCGGAGACTCACAACAGGATTTCAGTTGGTCAATGCAATGCTTCAGGTCACAGTCAAAAGATCTATGTTGCCAAGAGTGTTTTCGTATTCCATGATGGGAAATTCAATGAATACAGTATCTTCCGAAAAGCTTTCAGAGCTCATGGATCGAATCTGTATGATCAAGAGGTCGAAGATGGAGTGTACACTTTGGATTTCTCTTGAATCCTCTATAATTATTATGACCACATCAACCAAACTATTTAAGTTTTATTTGGTTATGTATGACATTAGATATGTAAATAATATTAATACTTCTATTTTTATATATTTTTTATTCATGCTCTAAAGATTTTCACCAAAACAATCAGAGTTTCACCCCCAAGCAAATAAATCAAATTATAAAAAATTAAAAAAACTAATCAATCTTATTTTTTTATTTTTAAACAATCTAATTAAATTTAGTTCTATTCTTATTTTTTTATTTTTTATAGTAGTTATTTTGTATATTATTAAAAAGATATCATATCATTAGTATTAGTTATGGAAAAATGAGTGATAGAGCATTTTATAATGTTTGGAGAAATAAAGTAATAAAATCAATAGTTTTCGAAAAGATATATGAAATTCATAGTGCAGTGAAAATTAGATTAGGTCCTGTCTATAAATATGATGAAGTGATCTCTGGTCATTGGATGCTTCTCAACTACCCATCGCTTTTGTATGAGAAGATCGATCGTGAAGAATACGTTTATTTTGATTTCAACGCTATAAAGCTGGTGTGTCAGCGGTGTGAAAACTACCCGCTGTTTCTCAAGGTTGCCGAATATAGCAACGCCAAGATATTCTTTCATCCTTCGTATCCTGTGACTTTGGAGTTGGCAACACGCACAGGCTGCATCGAGATCGTAGAGTACCTCCATTGCAAACTCGATATTCCCGTGACTGTTCAAACTCTTACCAACGCTGCGATCGAGGGTAATATGGAGTTGCTTCAGCTGTTTTGGCGACATTCGAAATCACATGGTACCGTTTGGAAAAGTGAAACACGAACGATTGTCGATGTCGCTGCCAGTCATGGACATTTGGCGTGTGTCCAGGAACTCATGGGTAAACCATTCCATTTGCATCCGACTGAAGATGGCATTAATATGGCTGCCTACTTTGGACATTTGGATATCGTAGAGTATTTCTTTGAGCATGAGTATTGCGATGATCCTGCTCTTTGGCGAAGATCGTTGGAATCACTTGCAAACAAAGTCGATGGCTTGGATCTAATGAAGCGGTTGGTCAACCGATGGAGTAGTTTAGCGTGGGGATTGGCACTACCAATGTCAGTGGCGAATGGAGATAGTGAAATGATTGAATATCTACTTGGTGAAGCCAAACAAGTGCCAAATACAATTGCAATAACCAAGTGTCTGCATTTCAATAGGTTGGATATACTGGAAAGATTTAGAAACTACCTGTTCCTAGCTAATGGAATGGATGATCGGATGTTTATCAGTTTGATACCTGATGAAGCTATGGAAACAGTTGTGGAAAGAGGATTCCTCGATTTAGTATATTATCTACACAAGGAAAAGTTGGCACAATTTTCAGAAAAGTCATTGGGAGATGCCATCACCAAAGGAAATACGGAACTGGTTCGTTATATACTTATCAATTCACAGCTTGTGATAAACCAAAGCAAAATATCGAAAGCCATTCAGTACGGGAATATCGAACTGATCAACATGGTGAAAGGTCGATTTGAAAACACCAATCTTCAGAATCCAGTACATATCAGTGATTCCGCTAGAAATTCGATGCAATCCGGTTGGATAAACAGTGCAATCTATAGCTCCAAATTGGAAGTACTCATTCACGTTCATGAGAACTTTGGATGCGCTCTGAAAGTCGATAATCTATTCATTGCACTTCAGTGTGGAAATTTAAAAATTTCAGAGTACATCTATGAAAAGGTCGACATCTCTACGGATCGCTATAAAGATCTTATCACTTGGAGTATGCGACGTGGTAGTAGAGAGTTGCTTTCGTATTTTCTGGATGCAACGCCCGACCGAGTACGCAACGATCCAAACAATATTATGTTTCTCAGTGATTTGTTTGGCTTGATCAATGACTCACACGAAGATGTCATTCCACTAATTTGGGACTATCTGAAATGGAGTCAGTTAGATCTGAATCAATTCCTATCGAACGTTATCAACAATTCAAAAATTCAATTACTTCGATGGGTTGTCGATAAATTAGCCATTCAATCGATCAATTTTACACTGCTGACAGATATCTATCGTGTCAATTTAGAGACAATCATTTTTATAATACAATTAAATCGGAAAATGGTAGACAAGAGTAACAGAAAAGACAAAAATTTCAAAGATCAAACACAAAACTTCCTCAAACAATATATCAACTATTTTGTTAGAAACGGAGCTTTAGATGTATTACATTACTTTCACACTCAACACCAAATAGAATTTACCAGTATAGATTTATATACTGCTTTATTTCACAATACCATACCTCTTGTTTATCATTACATTAAAAAACAGACATCATCCTTTAATCACACCAAATCAAACAAATTATTTAGCAAGTTTATAGATTTTCTTACACCAAACCATAAGAAAAACCAATAAACAAACAAAAGTTTCTGTAAATAAAACAAATTATTATTTTTAATAAATTGATTATTATTTTTGTTTATTTTTTTCAATTGTTTGATTATTCTTTTTTTGTTTTTTTTAAACAAATAGAAAATTTTAATAAAAGTTTTTAACAAATAGAAAGAATTATTACACTTTAGATATTAGATCAAGTATGTTACATTGGTGGAGTAAAGTTTTTATATATATGTGCTTGAGTGTATCCATCACCTACCAAACTGAGTAAGGTTTTAGACTATTGGTTGCTCTATGAAAACAAATTTCTATCCTGGAATACACAATGCATCCAGCTTTTGTTTTTGTCCATTTATTTCAGTATTTTTGTATATGGATATTTGACTGTTGTAGGTTGTAATGTTGTTGCAGATCAAATTCTGGTGGATTGGGTAATTAAATTAAAACAAAATTAAATATAGTGAAGTAAGATTTATAAATTTAAATAAACAAAAATATAATTTAAAGTTAAAGAACCTAGAAGCTGTATCATATGTTTTAAGATAATAAAAAAAAAAAGAGATTCGAACTCCAATATGCGCGCATTTAGGGTTTTATTTTACAAAATTTGTATCAAGAATGGGAATCGAACCCATGACCCAAACCGTGTTAAGGTTTTGTGATAACCAACTACACCATCCTGACTTTGATGTAAGTTATATTTAATTTTAAATTTTTAAATTTTCAAAATTTTTAAATTTAAAAATTGATTTTTTTATTTTTTTGTTCTCGCTTTATTTACTTTCAATATTATAAAAATGAATATAATGATATATCTGAAGTTGTAGATCATGACTTTTAAGAATTTGTATACAAGTTAGACTCTATTTTCTTCTTGTCCTCCTTCTCTAATATGATATAGTTAAGAAAAATTATATCCTATTACTTTTCCCAACTATTATTCAAGAAATAAATTCTATCACTGAAACATCTATAGTTTTCTTTTACATAATCTACAACTTCAGATTTATTAAATTTCACTACTTTTTATTGACAATGTTAACAATCAAACAAATTTACACACTTCTTAAAAGGTAATCATTAAAAATTATATTTGCTTTTACTTTCTCAAAGTAACTAACATTGTAATGATAGGTATTAGAAATCGAACCATTTGATATCAAACCACCAAAATCCAATATCTAACCGAATCTCAGTCATAAATAAAAATAATATTAATATTCATAATAAATAGATTATATATAATCCTAAAATTTAAATAAAGCGTATTTATTATTTCCATCTTAGCAATAAAGATTTTATGGCGAGTCTTTACATAGAGTTTGATTGCTTTGCATTGGTTGAAAGTTGTATTTAGGTGGATCGTTGTGTTGTTGTTAAATAATCATAGATGATCGATCATCTTTAATTACTGTTGGAGGTGTATGATGATGAATAGTGATTTGGTGATTGGTTGTTGTTGTTGTTGTTGTTGTTGGTTTCATACATTCATTTAGTTTAATTATCTTTCAGTGACATTACTAGACATTCTCTTGTCTCGAGTACGTCGTGTGGAAGCACAAAGTTGTCTCTCCTTACGGTCTCCCAGATGGTGACGTCAAAGAAGATGAACGATCCGATTTCGTAGGCTTGTGTAACGGTGGACTCAGTGTTCGGTGCTTTTGTCAACCATATCTTGCCTTCCTTGTGATAGCGCCATTCACGATCGTACAGCTCCAATGCGGCGTGTATCTGTAATATATCCTTTGGCATCGAGTAAAAGATATAAAATAGTGTCTCGTATGTGAACAGACTCATTTTGAACGCTGGTGATTCCAGTCCTGGTGTTGAGTAACACGCTGGTAGATAGTACTCTGGTTTTCTCTGAATGTTTGTATCGTACCAAGGTGATCCAAATTGTGTACTCAAATCACTATATCACATCAATAAATATCAAATGAATTAGTAACTATATTCTATATACATTGAGTTTATAAAAACAATCTTGATAATAATTACCCAGCAGAATTAAGATTTAGACCTAAACATGTTAAATCGATTCCAATTGTAAGAGTACTAACATCTACATCTTGTGTTTTAATAATGTTTAATAATCCTAATAATCCATATTTGTGATTTGGCTAAGATTGTTTTTTTTAATGTTAGTTAATACGTAAAGTAAATCAAAGTATTTTAAGATATATCACTTACATCTTTTAGTAATTTATCATCCTTTTGTGAAGTTCTTTGTTGAATTTGTTGTTGTTGTTGTTGTTGCTGTTGTTGTTGTTGTTGTTGTTTAGATTGTTGGTATTGTGATGAATATATATCTTGATCATCCTGTTGTTGCTGTTGTATTTGTTGTTGAAGTTGTTGTTGCTGTTGTTGATGTAGTTGCTGTTGTTGTTGATGTGTCATCTTTGGCATTTTACCTGATCCTCCAAGTGCTGGGAAATCATTCAGATTATCGTAGAGATCCTCTAGTTTCGGTTGTTGAGAATTTGGCTGCATACCTCCAACAACACCTTTTTGTTGTTGTTGTTGTTGCTGTTGTTGTTGTTGTTGTTGTATAACTTGAGATGCGAATGTCTGTGGATTAAATGATTGTTGTTGCTGTGGTTGTGGTTGTGGCATACCAGGTCCTGGTCTCTGTAGAGAACTCAGATGTGAAGACATTGTATTGAGATTCGACTGTTGTTGCTGTTGAGCTGCAGATTGTTGTTGACTATTTACACCGTTGATTCCTCCACCAATACGATTGTTTTGTTGTTGTTGTTGTTGTTGCTGCTGCTGCTGTGGAGTTACACTTCTACCTCCACCTACTTGTGACAGAGGCTGTTGTTGTTGTTGTTGCTGCTGCTGTTGTTGTGATGTCAATATACTACCAACGGAAGTTCTCAGTTGTTGCGGCAGCATTCCATTGCCAGAACCAACACCGACACCACCGCCAACTACATTTCCACCGCCAACAACCGATTGTGGTGGTGGTTGTTGTCCAACCAAGTTCATGTTGGACATTGCGTTCATCATCGATGCCATGTTCATCTGTGGTGGAGGACCGCCCATCGAAGAGAGTGAGGGTGGTGGTCCAATGTTTGGATTCGGCATGCCCATGCCAACCATCGATCCCATCGATCCGGGTGGTCTCGATGGTATACCACCGGCACCGGCAGCATTACTCGGGAATCTATTCATCGGTGGTTGTGATCCTGGCGGTGGTACCATCACACCTGGTGGCGGAACCATCACACCTCTTGGATTCATCATATCGTGTGCACCTATTTAAACAAACATTACATTTTGATTTCAATATTCCTGATTTCTTTTATCTTCTTTCTTTCTATTCGATTCGATTAGATTCAAACATTCAAAAACAACTTACCATTACGAACATTCATATTAGTATATGGTGAAGACATTCCGTTATCAATCCTGTCTTATCTATCTATCTAACTATCTATCTAACTTCTATCTACTCTATAAACTACAACACACAATTTATATATCTTTGCGCTATATTACACTTTAACTTTAATTGAAATGATCGAAAATATTAGTTAATGAAGTTCAAATGTGATAATAATGATCAATTTAATTATTATATTATGTTGTTGCACTAACTATTTTATGTAATGTGTTTATATTGATTTTCACAACTCAAATCTTTACATACATTCAATTAATTATTGTAAATTATGAAATATAAAAATTTAATATGATACTCAAATAATTGAACAAACCTTTAAAAAAAAAAAAAAAAAAAAAATGAAAAAAAAATGAAAAAATTTTTAAACAAAAATAAACAGTTCAAATCAAATGTTAATCATTTAATAAAAGTAGAGATAGAAATATAGAAATAGTTATAATATAAATAAAATATCAATTTTTGATACTCTTTCAACCAAAGACTTTTGTTGTTTATAAACCAAAAAAAATATATAAATTTCTCAGGAAAAAAAGTTTAAATTAAAAAGAAAAAAAACCATAAAAAAAAATTGGTTACAGAAATGCACACTTTTTAATTGTTTCTTGTTATTTGATAGAGATAAGATCTCTTGCAGCAAACTTTTAATGGTTTCTTTTGGTTCGAATCCGATTTGGAGATCTGTCCAATGTCACAATTAACATTTTATTTTTTTGTTTTAGTTTATTTTGTTTTTTTTTTTTGCCTCCTCCAGTTTCAAAACTATGATACTCTCGCAATACAATTGATCAGGATGCAATATCTTTTCTATTACAAATGGTGTTCCACTGATTATGTTATCCCATTCAACAATATTGCATCATCATTGAATGCCAATGGTAGAATTCACATTCAAGAATTCGTAGCAGATCTTTCTCACTAAGGAAATAAAGCTTAATTAACTTTGATTCTTAATCAGACTAGTTGTGAATGATGTTCTTTATAATAAAACAATCGGCATTTGGAATTGTCTCAAAGAAACTACCAGGATAAAAAGATAGTCTACTATCAGTGGGAACATAACTTCATCTATAACTTTGGGTAAATCAAAATTGATAACTTTCGTTATAAATTTCTTTTGATAAACTAATTAAATATTTATATTAATTTAAGAATAAATACATTATTAATTTAGTTTCTTATATTGCAGCTGATCCTCCGATATCACAGACAACTTCAAACTTTCCATATTCTCCAAGTTTTGCTAACAATGGTATAGCTTCAACTGCTAGACCTGTCATGCCTGTAGAGAAATCCTTTGCAACTTGTCGATTTTCAAGACAAAACTGCAAGATACTCTTACCATTTAGTGATCTCGAGGTTTGGCAAACACCAGTCTCTAAGGTTTCATATAATGAATGATAAGGAAGTGAAAAGAATTGTCCTCCCAGCATTACAACTGTATCTCTAACCGAAGGATCACAAAATGAAAATGACATCTGGTTATTCTCGAGAATAGTATTTCACTAACCATTTCATTAAAAATACCATTTAAAAAAAGAAAAAATTCATTAATCTATATAAGTTCACCTCATTAGCAATTTTTTCTATTGAGATAATAGATTTACCTATTATTTTTGGAATATCTTTTTATTTATTAACAAACATTGTTTAAATTTGCAATAATTTACCAAACCTTGATATAGTATATAAAGATGAAGACATTTGAAATCCCAAAGATCCTAATGATTGAATTTTAAATATAATATCTGGATTAGATTTAAATCTTTTATTTTCAAATTGATTATCCATTTTAATTAGAGTGATGAAATATTATAGAAAAATAAAGAATGAAATTGTATTTCAACTTGTTTGAATTAATCTCTAATATAAATAATAATAAAAATAATAAAATTTTAATATATATTATTTATTATATTATTTTCTTTTATTTTTATTTTTTTATTAAACGTATTTTATTTTACTCTCGTTTGACTCTTCTGCTCGTTGAGTGAAGAAATAAATTCATTAGTGATTTACGTAAAAGGTCGAATGGGATAATAGTGAGTGAGGCAAGAATGATTACGACCCATTCGTTCAAGTTGAGTCCGACAGTTCTTAGTACACGTCCACCAATATAAGTGAATACGATTTGCACAATGAAAATAAAGAGAACCACCAAAATGAATCCCTTGTTATCCAAAAGATGATCGAACAAGTTGAGTCTGTGGGTACGAACGTTGAAGGCGTTGATCACAGCCATAAAAATAAAGAATACAAAGAATGCTGTCAAGAAGACCGGTTCTGAAGGAATTCCATTTCTTGTGAAGAAAGATTCAACATTATCGTTAGTCAAGAATGTAACTGACATTGCCCAAATGAATGGTCCACCACTTAAAATTGATGCCCACATTCTAATATAATAATAATAGTAAATATGTTAGTTGATTAATTAACTTGTATAATTGTATTGATGGTTGTTTGTTTTCTTCTTATTTACCTTGGTGTAATAATATTTTGATCTCTCTTGATTGGTTTATTCTTCATGTAACGCTCGAGAGCTGGTTCACCACCGAATGCAAGTGCTGCAAGAGTGTCCATAACCAAGTTGACCCAGAGCAATTGAATAAGTGTGAGTGGGAAATCGATACCCATGAATGGACCTAAAAATACGATAAGAGTTGAAGCTACATTGATGGTCGATTGGAATACAATGAACTTTTGGATCGACTTGTAGATGGTACGACCATAGAGTACGGCTTTGGTAATCGATGCGAAATTGTCGTCGAGAATGACAATGTCGGCTGCCTCCTTTGAGACTTCCGATCCACTGCCCATGGCGAAACCGACGTCGGCGTGCTTGAGAGCGGCGGAATCGTTGACACCGTCACCAGTCATACCGACAACCTTGTGAAGCGATTGAGCGACATTGACGAAACGAGTCTTGTCCTTTGGCAGTGCACGAGAGACAACACGGAGATGTGGAATCATCTCCTTGAGACGCTCGTCGGTGACGTGTTGCAAGTCGAGCGAAGTGATGACGACACCCGGTTGATGCTCTTCACCCGGTGCAATCAATCCGATTTGATGGGCGACTGCAATGGCTGTTTCACGCTTGTCACCTGTAATCATGACGACTTGAACACCTGCACCCTTAGCTGTTTGAATGGCACCTCTCGATTCCTCACGAATCTCATCGTAGACACCGACGACACCGACCAAAATCAAATTGTTTGGCAACTTTTCAGTCTCCTTGAGTGGCTCCTTTGAAACGGCGACAGCAATAACTCTGATACCTTGCTCCGAGAGCTTGTTGATCTCTGTAGTGAAAGCATCGATATTTGGAATTGGTTCAATGAAACCGTCTTCATTGAAGTGTGAAGTACAACGACTAATTACAATCTCTGGTGCTCCCTTCAAACAAGTGATATCAATCGAATCACTACTATGATGTTTAGAACACCTAAATATAACAATAAACATGTTAGAAGAATGATATCATTTGTTATTCGATCTGAGAAACCAACTTACTTTAAGATACCTAATGGTGGTTTACCTGATGGACCACCTTGAATTGGAACATTCATCAAGGCAGCGGAATATTTACGTTCAGAGTGGAATAGAATTTCCTTGACGATCTCTACGCTGTAATCTTTCATGAGTGAGCTTTGGTCGAGGAATTGAAGGAGCGCTTTGTCCGATGCGTTTCCACCAACAATTTGTCCGTCCCCATCGATGACGGATGAAGTTGATTCTCTGACTGCAAAAGAGAGTACATCTCTGAGTTCCTGTGGAATCTGGTTGAATCCTTTGTAGGTGACACCGCTTCCACTGACAAACGTACGTGGAATGAACTGACCCTTGGTGATTGTACCTGTTTTATCGACAAACAGAATATCCAAACTACCGGCAGTCTCAATTCCAAGGAGCTTACGAACGAGTACTTTGGCCTTCAACAACTTACGCATGTTCAACGAGAGAACGATGGCAATCATCATTGGCAAACCTTCGGGGACGGCGACGACAATAATAATGATGGCGAGGGTGACCGAGTTGACAATGTCACGGAGTACCATCGGGTAGTTGGAGATGTAGGTGCGGATCTGATCCCATTGATAGCCATTGTCCATGATGAACTGCTTGAAGAGGAACGAAACAACGATGAAACAAGCACCGATGTATCCGAGTGTCGAGATGTTGTCGGCGAGTCGACCGAGCTTGATTTGCAGTGGCGATTCACGCTCGTCTGCCTTGGAGAGTTCGACGGCGAGCTCACCGTAGATGGTGGCGCTACCGACGCTGTCGACGAGGAGCACACCCTCGCCGTCCTCCACTACGGAGCCACGGAAGCAGAGATGGTCGTCGAGGAAGTTGTTTTTGTAGGCTGGCTTGTAAGAGTCGGGTGCCACTGTTTTCTTCTCGAGCTGGCTCTCACCGTTGAGCGACGATTGATTCACAAAGAGTTCACCGGCAACCAACTTGCCATCGGCTGGAATCTTGTCACCAGCTTGTAAAAGTACGTAGTCGCCGACTACGACGTCAAAGGCGTAGATGTGTTGCACGTGATTTCCGTTACGGAACACGTTGCACTTGATACGCGATGCCTTCTCTTGGAGCTCCTGGAAGGAGTTCTCGTTCTTGTACTCTGAGTAGGTCGAGACAAACGTGGCCAAGAAGACGGCGCTTGCAATACCGATACCCTCGAACCACTCTGCATAGCCAAAGAATGCCAAAACCACTGTGATTACCAACGCCACACACAAAATATGAATCAGTGGATCTTCAAAGTTACCTTTTAACTTTTCAAAGAAACTTTCCACCTTTACAGGTGGCAGTGTATTCGCTCCATACTTTTCTCTACTATCATTTACTTTTCGTTCATCTAAACCATCAAAATGATATTTGACCATTGTTTAAACTCTATCTATCTATATATATTTAAATATCTATCTGTATATTTCTATCTATCTTTTAAAATTAAAACTATTTATAAAAAAAGCAACAACTAATCTATCTCTCTAACTATATTTCCTATCTATTTACTCTATCTATCTATCTAAAAATAATCTATAAAATAACAAAATAATCTATTTTTACAATATATATAAATATAAAATATGAAAAAATAAAAATATGAATTAATAATTTTATCTAATTTAAAATATTGAATCTATCTATTTAATTTTCAAATTCTATTCTTGTACAATTTTATTTTGAAATTTGTTGATTTAATAATTAAATTTAATTTTTTGTTATTGTTGTTGTTGTTGATGTTGTTGTTGATGACTGTAAGTTGTGGTTTATTTATTGAACAGGTTAAAAAAAATAAAAACGAAAAAAAACACAAATTCTTAATGATATAAATAAATGAATGACTGTTTTATCTTCTTCTTCTTCTTCTTATTATTATTTTTGTTTTGTTTTGCTGTTGAGGTTATTTGTAGTTATTATTATGTTAAGTAGACAGACTCTTTACTTATTTTTGATTCGACTTACACAATAATAAAAATTAAAATATTTAGTTTTTTTTTTTTGTGATATGCGAAGTTTAATTCACTATCCTATCTGTTTATCTAAATAAATAAGTTGCAACTGTTTATGATTCTTAATAAGATTGTTGGTGTTCAAGAAAAAAAAAAAAAAAATATGTTTCGTTTAAAAATTTAAACTTTGGGGTTTTTTTGAAGTTTGAAAAAAAATTAATTATTTCATATTTGGGATCTTGGTGTTTGATGACTCATCTATTCCTTAACTTTTAATAGTCAGAAAATTCAATCACAAAAATAATTTGAAAAAAAGAAAAAAAAGAAAGTTATAAAAGTATATTTATATGAGTCATTAAACAAGTTAAATTTAGAATATTCTAAACATCTAAACAATCGGTGGATGGAATGAACTACCAACATAATATGTATATCATATAGTAACAAAATCGGAACAATATTTGAAATTATAAAGTTTGAAATTTCTGATTTGGTTGGGTTTGAAATCTTCCTTTAATTAATGGAAAGATAATTGGAAATCTAATTTAATTTAATTTAATTAATAAAACATATGTTTTTATTTTTATTATTTTATTATTATTCATAAAAAAATTCCATAAATATTACATTTATAAATATTGTTGGTTTGAATTTATTACTATTACTATTTGATATTGTGTTGGAGTTTGTGGTTTTAGATGGATTCATATGGAACTGAACCGGCAGTGTCTACACGACCAGAGATGGTAAAGTAGTCGCTGGCACGCGATGGCGAGAGAAGGATGGAGAGACCGGCCAATGCCAAGAAGTTAAAGGTGACGTAGAAAGCGAGAACGACCTTTTGACGAATCCATGAATCGACGGCCGATGCAACGATACAGATGAATGGCAAAGCCAAGAACCAAATGACGAATGCAATTCCAAAGTAGGTGTAGAACTTACGCTTGGCTGGGTGGTTCTCTTCCATGTAGGTGTTGTAACCGCACCACATGAACCAAACCATGGCGAGTGAACGGACGACCAACAAAATAATACCTGGAACAGTGTCGTACATGTAGACGGTCGATGCCTTGTCTTGACCAGCCTTGTACCAGATGAACATAATCAAATAGAGTGCTGAGAGAATACCCATAACACCGAGAATGATCTTCTTCTCATCGATGGTGACTCTGGAGATAGCCCAACCCTTTGCAATCAAAATCAACAATAAGATGAATGTCAATTGAGCACCCAAATCCAAAACTAAAAGAACAATTATTAGTTTATGAAATGTACATCAAATTTGATAATTTAAAATTACTTACGTTCACCGAAACCTTGTAAACCTTTAGCACCAACACCATCATGTGAATATGCACCGTAGTGAATCAATAAGATAAAAACAGAAAGGAATTCCAAAATAATTGAAATGGTTAATAATTTTACAATCTATTAAAAAAATAAATAATAGAAAATATTAGTTGAAAATTGTTTTGATACCTTAAATATATGTTTGTTTTGTTTTGTTTTACTTACTGGGTGGAATGATTTGGTGGACATGAGAACCCAAGCAGAGTAACAACTGTATGCACCCAAGAGTAAGAAGAACCAGAAGTAGACGAGATACATGGCCTCAAGACCTTGATCATCGTATGAGAATTCAGCTTTCCAAAGGCCACCAGCATTGATCCAACTGATAGTGTATTCCAAGTTGATACCGTCGTCGTCTTGACAGTTGGCAGCAACCAAATACCAATAATGTGGACGCATAAAGTCATTTACTGGATAGGTATATTTCTCACCGTCAAAAGTTGGTTGTGGGTTGATTGGAAGTGAGATGTTGGTCTTTTCATCACAAGTCTTGCTTGATTTGTAAACAGAGTTCCATGATCCTTGAACATCATCATAAATATATAATCCAATGTTTGGACTGCTTGATTTTCCAGAGAATGTGAAATGTCCCTGACCTATATAGTAGTAATAAATTATAGTAATTAATATTAGTAAAATAATAACAATTTTCAAACACATATTCGAAATATCTCACTATTTCTTTTTTAAAATAGTGTCAAATAATTATATATTTAAACTTACCATGGTTACCAAAACAGAACTTATCTAAATAGGCCCACGAAGAACTGGTCTTCAAGTGACCTTTGGTGTATTTGGCCTCGGTGAAGGTGGCAAACAAAGTTACCAACAATACGACCGATATCAATAATTTGATTTGAACTTTCATGAGAGTGCTCAACTAATTAAATAACAAAAAAAAAAGATAAATAAATAGTGTTCTTTGGTTTTCAGTTTCTCAACAATAAATCTGTTTACTTCCCTCTAGATTCGCAAACAGTTTTTGCAAAAAAATAAAATTATTAAAAAATAAAAATAAAAATAAAATAAAAAAATGCTTGAAAAATCCAAAAAAAAAAAGATTTTTTTTTTTTGATTGATTCATGTATTTGCACATAGACAGGTGTATGTGAAAAAAAAAAAATCCATCCATTTGGCACTATTTTTTATTATGATGGTCAAGTTTCTCTTGAAAACCACAATTAAAACATCAACAACCACTTCCAATCATCGGAGTACATGCCAATCGGTGAATTGAACCCAACACCTCAAAAAAGTATGGAAATAATAACTTGATCCAAATCGGATCCCACCAGATATTTTTAAAAAATAAAAATAATAGATATTAAATAAAGTTGCATTTTTTCAAGAATCTAGTGTTTCATAGTTAGTTTATTTCTTAAAATTTCACAGAAATAGCATTTTGTTAATAAAATATAGTTATTATTTGTTATCAAAGTTATTTAAATCTACAAGATGACCATAGAATAAAAAAAAAATGAAATGGAATTTGGTGGTAAATATATTAAACAAGACGCAAAATTTATAAATAATATTCAATTGAACTAAACACTGTGTTTGCCTGTAAACAGATATATTTGTTTTAAAATATATTTTTGTTTTTCAAAATGACCTAAAGATTGTATACAACACAGGACAGGTTGACTCTTTGAATTTTTTTTCACTTAACTATATTTTTTTTGCAGACAACTTGATTTTAAATACAATAACAACCACAACCCCATCCCAAATTTTTATTGTAATATTTTTGTTTGGATTATTATTTTTTTTTTTAATTTTTGATGGAATCAAATGAAAGGATGTTACTGAAATAGGGAGATCCAAATTTTTTTATATTGTTTTCTTCATTTTAAATAAATATAAATAAATAAATACATATAGAATCATGTCAAACAAGAATTTAGTATCACATTTTGAAAAGGTATAAAAGAAATAATATATTAAATTTTACTTGGTAGAAAAAATTTATTTAAACATTATAAAATTATCAATTAACAGGAAATTCAAAAGGCAAATGAGCCAGCAGGTGCCAAAGAAAGAGTATGGACACCAAAGAAAGATGACGACTACTCAAAACAAACCGGTTTAAAAGTTGGCAAAGGTACTCCACCACCAAAGAAATCAATCAGTCAATTACCATAGGTTAGTGTAGTGATATCATATGAAACCACACCTCTCTACGAGTAAAATGTACAAAGAACAAAACAATACAAATAAAAATTATTTATCAAATCAATAAAACCTTATATCTTAATAATAATACATGCTTGTCACAGAAACTTTTAATTAATCAAGAGTGGTTTAGGTGTCAAAATTTTTTTTTGAAATCGCAAAAAATAAAAAAAATAAAAATAAATTTAATAATAAACTTAACCATGGTGCAAATCGTGGAGTGGTTGAAGGAGTGGAAACGGAGTGTCTGTTTTAGAATTTTCATTTTAATATTGAATTTTTTTCTAGATAAAAAGATGTGTATCAAAATGATAATTAAAATATCATCTTTTTCAGTCTGATACACCATTTCTTCTCTCTGCTTCTGTTATCCTATCTTCTTCTTCCTCCGTTTCCTCTTCGCTCCTCAACACCTACAATCTCTCCTTCCTCTTTTGTATAGTTTCTAGTAATAACATAACAACATAAACACAGCACATAACTTAAACACATCATTAAAGGTGTTTTTTTTTTTTCATCCGGTCAATACAAAACAGCAGGTCTAAAAAGTGTATGTATACAATATTAGTCAGCGCTATACAACACTACACTTCACCTCACTTCACTTTACTTTGCTTTATTTACTTTGCACTTCGTAGCTACTCATCTCTCTCTCTCTCTCTTTAATATCATTCTAAGAAGTCTGTAGATCCTTCTTCTTTTCATTTCTGACACGTGTCGTGTTGAATAATATTATTTTTGTGTGAATTCTATCTTTGCTTCCACAATTAAGCAAAATGTTTACCATTATTGTGGTTTGCGAATTGTCACCCCCACTATTCAACGCTTTTGCACATAACAACAAATCATAATCATATGATTACAATGTCGATATTTTTGTTGTTGTTTTTTTTTTTTTTTGTGATTCGATCGAAATTACACCTAACATCTACATCATTCAAAACAATAATAACCCGATAGTTGTACTTTTAAAAAATTTTAAGAAGTTGTTGTTTGCCAATAATAAAAATTGATTGATTCAAACCCCAATGTATATGCATTTCCCATTAAAAAAAAAACCAAAATAAAATCATAAAAATTAAAATTTTAAAAATTTTCATATTTTTTTTAAATTAAACCAATTAATTGGTTTGCATCCTGGGTACAATCTTCATTTGCACCATTTTATTATTCGTTCAATTCATTGTTAAGTGTTTCACCGTCAAAGTCAAGTCAAAGTCAATAGTCAATAGTCAAATAACATATCTAATTTAATCATAATATTATAATAACTAACAAACAAATAAATAAAGTTAAAAAATTTAAGTTTTTTTTCACTTGGATAAAATAAATGTTTACTACTTATTAGATTGATTGGAATCGGATTATCGGATTGGAATTGCTCTTTTTTTTTTTTTTTTTTTTTTTTTGGGAAAAACAAATTGCTTTTTATTAGTTAGTTGCTAATATGAATATGCAATATAAAATGGACACGAATGAAAGGTATGTTGGTTGGTTGTGTAACCTTCTATTAAATAATATAGTTATATAAATTATTAACAATCAATAATAATGGTAATACTATTGTAGTCGATTAAATGAGTCCATATATGATTATCTTTGTATGAAGGGTTACTCAAAGACTGCCGAGTTGCTCATTAAAGAATCGAATCTTCAAAGTCGACTGAATTCACCTTCGAACTACAACGATCTGCTATTACAGGCTTGGAATTACTATTTTCAGTCGTTCATACATCCTACACCTGCACATCATAATCATCAACAAACTCCACAGCAACCACAGCAACAGCAACAACAGAATGAACAACAACTTATTCAAAATCACAGTCTAAATCACAGCGGACACAACCATCAACAACAACAACTTGTACAGCAACAACCACCACCACCACAACAACAACACGATAATATCCAACTATCAACAAATAACAATAGTAATAATATTTCACAACATTCATCATCAAACAATATTTATTTACCATCATTACCCAATTTGAATCCGTCAACTACACCAACAGCAACAACAACAACTACAACAACATCAACTAATAATAATAATAATAATTCGAATCCCAGCTCAACTTATTCTTTTAATCAACTTTTACACAATGTAGGTGCTTCATCGATGATACACATCGATTCTGGTCCTTTTTCAGCACAACTAAAACAACAGCAACAGCAACAACAACAACAGAATGGAAATGGTTTTAACCTTTTTAGTAATGATAATAAACATGGAGTTGACTTATCACCGACATCACTACTGGAACAGTTGGCGAATAACAGTCCACCCAACATGTCACAACTTAGCCTAAATAAGACTCCCCTATTCAATGGCAATGGCACTGGGGGTAGTCAGCCTTCTTCACCTTCGATATCATCTCTACCAAATGGACATAGTCACTCTCATAGTCATAATCATAATCATAATCATAACCATAATCATAATCATAACCATAGTCACTCTCATAATCATACACATGGTCAAAGAGAAATATCATCACCTCTATCGCTGAATGGTTTATCTGCTTCTACCACCACCACCACAACAACTACCACTACCAACTCTACTGCAGCACCATTACAAACTTCTTCACTTTTGTTACAAGGTGGTGATGATGAAGTAAGTATAAATATCTTGTTAATGTTTGGTTATTATTTAATATTAAAATATATCTTTTTCTCTATAGAAGTATCAATGTACATTCCAAGGATGTAATAAATCTTTCTCATCGATGGCCATATTAAAGAGACATCTTAAAGAACATAATGGATCAAAACCATTCATTTGTACACATGAAGGTTGTGGCAAAGGTTTTGCAAGAAAGTATGACTTGAAAGTACATTTACGATCACACACCGGTGAGAAACCATATACTTGCTCATTCCCAGGCTGTCACAAAAAGTTTGCTCGTAATTCAGATTTAAGATTACATGGTAAGTAGTAGTTATTTTAAATTTGTTTATTTGTTAGTTTAAATTTGTTTACTAATAAGAAATGCTTGTTTGTATGTTTTTTATTTTAGAGAGAATACATTCAGGAGAGAAACCATACGTCTGTGATTGCGAAGGATGTACCAAACGGTTCATTAGACAAGCCGATTTGAAAAAACATCAGAAAACGCACAGGGTTCACCAAGGTCATCATCCTCATAAGCATGGAATCGGATGTGGACACACTGCCATCGCTCACGAAGACCATGTGGATTTCCTTCACGATAGACATCTGCACTCGATGCATCACGATCATATCGACGATCACAGTATTGAAATGACCGAGTTGAATCCTACTCTGTGCACTCCTCACTTTGTTTGCTCGCATCATGCCGACGGATCGTCACACAGCAGCACTTGTGGCCACGAAATGATTCCACACACCCAAGAGGACGGAACGATACACTATGATTTCCTTGTGGACGGACATCTTCACCATGTACACGATGGTCATTGCGACGATCATGGTATGGTAAAGATTGTAAACAATTTCACCGACTGGATGGACGGATTGGAAGATAGATAGAAACCTTATAAATCATATTGTTTTATTCTCAATTTCATTCTTAGTGTAAAGAAGTACCAACAATTATTATTCTCGAAAAACAAACTTTACAACAACACTTGATAATTTGTAGTTAGTTAGATCAAACAATTAAAATTCCCACAATTTATTTAAAAAACTAGTTTAGTTTTCTCAATTATTATTATTGTTTATTGAACAAATACAAATAGCGATATTTTTATAAATAGATAAAATATTTTATTTAATCAAGTTTTTTGTAATTATTTTCATTTTTTTTTTATTATATATTATTTATATAAGAAAATGTTAAATATATTTAAACAATTTTTTTATTATTTCTTTTTTGTAGTTGTGTTTTGGAGGGGAGTTGCATGTTTAACATGAAGCACGACCAATCATTCCGGCAATCTTCTTGGCAGTCTTTTTAGCATCAGCCTGTCCCTTCTTGTCTTTCAATCTTCTTTCTCTTTCCTTCTCTTCCAATTGACCGAGGAATTTGTTGGTACTCTTATTGTACTCCATCTTGGTGGCACTCAATGGGTGTGGATTGAGATGAGTTTTTCCACCGCTTCCCTTGACCATCTGTGAGATGAGATTGGCAAGTTTCTTGGCGTCGACTTGACCCTTCTTGTCTTTCAATCTTCTGGTTCTCTCTTTCTCCTCGATGAGATCCAACTGTCTGTTGTCATGATGCTTCATTGGACTGTCGTGGTTAACCTTCAACATATTTACACCCTCTGATTTCTTGATCATGTCAGATACCTTCTTGGCATTCTTTTTGCAATCGGCCATTCCCTTCTTGTCGGCGATTCTTCTGGATCTCTCCTTCTCTTCGATCTTGTTCATGTGTTTACCGGCGTTGATCTTTGAGAGGTTGGTGGAACCCTTGTGGAGGTTGGCTCTGTTTCCTTCTCTCTCGACCATCTTGGAGATCTTCATAGCATTCTTCTTGGCGTCAGCTTGTCCCTTCTTGTCTTTCAATCTTCTTTGTCTTTCTTTCTCTTCCAAGGAGATGGTACGATGAGTAGATGTGTGGTGATGAATGTCTCTCTTGGATGAGCTGTGTGGAGATGGGTGGAGACGTGATTTTCCACCGCTCTTCTTTACCATATCAGCGATCTTCTTGGCATTCTTCTTGGCGATTTGCTGTCCATTCTTGTCAGCGAGTCTTCTGTTTCTCTCTTTCTCCTCGACCTTGTCCATGTGTCTACAGGCATTGATCTTTTGAGTGTTCATGTTTCCAAAGTTGGAGAACTTGAAGCTGTGAGAGTTGTACTTACTGCTGCTGCTTCCAGTAGTGATTGGAATTCTTGAGAATGAAGATGATGGACGAGAGACATGGTGGAGTGATTTCTTTCCACTTCTCTTGACCATATCAGAGATCTTCTTGGCATTCTTCTTGGCGAGTTGCTGTCCATTCTTGTCAGCCATTCTTCTGTTTCTCTCCTTCTCTTCCATTTGGTGAACGGCCAAACAAGACTTCTTTCCGTGGAATGGCTCAGTGTGTGGGTGTACACGGATCTGAGCAAACTTGGAGGTGTTCTTGTGGAATGAGTTCTTACCGCTTGGGTGGAATGAAGATTTGGATGGAGTACGTCTGAGTTGATGACGACCACTTGACTTGATCATATTGGATACCTTCTTGGCGTTGGACTTTGAGATTTCCTGACCACGTTTGTCACGCATACGATCGGTACGTTCCTTCTCCTCCATTTGATGAGATGACTTGAAGAGTGGTACATGCTTCAACTTTTGGAGTTGGACACTGCTGTTTGGTTTGACCATCTTTGAAACCTTGTTGGCCAACAGCTTCTTCTGATCTTCACCACGCTTGTCACGAACACGACGATCACGTTCGTTCATCTCCAATCTCTTGGACATGATACGATTCTCATTGGAGTTCTTGGCAAGATCCTTGTCCAATCCAAAGAGTCTTCTATTTCCGAATCCCTCCTCCATGAACGATCCAATCTTACTATTGACACCGGATTTCAAGTAGGTTGGATTGAAATCTTGGATTCTTCTTCTTCTCTCTGCTTCCTCGGCTTCAATGACTGAACGGAGGTTGGAGTGTTCCTCACTTCCCAAGAGAGTAATGTGTTGAGTGTTCTTACCTCCAGTCTTTGGAATGGTAAGAGTCAACATACCACCTTGGAATTTTGCTTGGATAGATGATCCATCAATTCCTAAAAAATATAAATAGAGAAAATAGAATAAAAAAAATAGAAATTGTTAGAAAAATAGAATAGAAATAAATAATTTAAAATAGTAATTACCTTCTGGTAATGCAACAGCACGATGGAATTCACCACCTGAATATCTTTCACGACGATGGAATTTCCATTCATCGGTGGACTTTTCAAATTTACTACCCTTGATCGATAGGAAACGTCCATTGACTTGGACATCCAAATCATCACGTTGGAAACCTGGCAATTCAAGGATGATTTTGTAGTTGTCCTTGGATTCACAGACATCCATTCTGGGTTTCCAACCCCAATCGGTTGGTTCCGATGTTGGATGAGTCAAAGAGGAAGTCCAGTTCTTCAATGTCTCATCGAAATGATGCTTAAGACCATTTAGTTCTTCCATTGGATGGGATAACCAATTATTCATTGTTGATGACATTTATACTAATTCTGGTTTAATGTTTTTTTTAATTCAAAAAAAAAAATAATAGAATTATAAAATAAGGTTATATAAAATGGTTTTAAAAAAAAAAATTAATTAATTTTATATATATAAAATTTTATTATTTAATATAAATTTAATTTTTCTAAAATAAAAAAAGTTTTATATAAATATATAAAAAAGTGTTTTAGATATAAAATGTTGATAAAAGAGGAAATTGAAAGAAAAAAAAGAAGGATGGATGGAAATTATAATATTGCTATCACAAAATTAATTTAAAGCAACTGGATTGTTTGCAATGAACTTATATAAATAAAAGTTTATTTAAAGTGGTGGTCCTTATTTTTCCATCTTTTGATAACTATTGTTGTTGTTGTTGTTGTTGTTGTTTTGGTGTGTGTGTGCTGTGTGTGGTTTCGTCGACCAACCAATAATAATAATTGCTTCTTTCCATTGAAGATTGAAAAAATGCATCTTCAATTCACTGATTTCACATGATTTTTCATTTTTGGTTAAAAAAATGTCTACCTTTCAATGAGAGTGGGTGTAATTTCCGATTGAATTATTAAGAGATTTCGAAAATTAAAATAATATTTTAATTATACACGCGCTTTAAATATATATATAAATGATGTTTGAAAAATTATCATAAAATGAAAATCGCATGCATTTACCACAATACGAAAAACACAATGTAATAATATCTCTACACAACACTATAAAAAGAAAAAAAATAAATAAATTTTGTTGATAAAACACACAACACACATTTAAACACTATTTTCCAAATTGAATGAATTGAATCAATCTTTCGTTCGGATTATCAGTAAAGTGTTTTGTTTGCAATGTCATTGATGTTGTGGTGTGTTGATGTTTGATATTTGCATCAAACACTGTTGATCGTTTTTCTTCTTTCTCCTACTTTTTGACATTGTCATATATATATATATATATATGAACTGTATACACCTTACTCTCCAAAGAAATTGTAAAATTATTGAAGTAGCACCATATCCGATTGAAAACCGAGTTCATACTAAAAAATTAATGTATAAAAAAGGAAATTAATTAATATTAATTTATATTAAATTTGATGATCATGACTTATTGTGATTTCACAAACAAACACACTTTACAACAACATTACATTTCATAATCAACAAACATATTAAGTTAACCTTCCATTAAAATAACACATCATCAATATGTATTGATTTGGAATTGATAGATAAGATATCAATCTTAATATTGAATTATTTGTTGATAATGATAGTAAATTTGTTATAATCTTCAATAATTAATCAAATATTTAATTAATTATTATTATTTAAAAAATAAAATAAAATATAAAATAAATATTTATAGCAATAAACAATAATAATAATTATATAATTATGTTTTGTTGAATGTACATTCATTGATTATTATTATTAATAGGTTGTATAGAACTCTTACCATAAGTTTAATAAATCCAGATATAAAATCTTTAGAGAAATTCTTTAATATCACCAATGGTACAACATCATCGAGTTCATCTTCATCTAGTTTCATTATGCCTTGTTCTTCTGCAGTTCTTTGCATAAGATCAAAAAAGCTTCTAAAATCGCCACCATAGTAATTCTTTATTGACAATATCTATATTTATAAATGAATTATATTTGATGTTTTAGTTTTGAATTATATATATAAAAATTGTTTGTTGTCGTAGTTATTGTTGTCGTAGTTATTGTTGTTATGTTACTATTGTTGCTATTATTATTATTGTTGTTGTTATTATTGTTGTTGTTTACTTACTTGATACATTTTATTGATTGCGTCACTCGTTAGGAATGTAATATCTTGATGGTGTTTGAATGTTTGTACATAGTTTGGGTTGAGAGTGAATAGCTTTGAGAACCACTCAACAAAGAGGTCGGTACCTTCTGGTTTCGATATTTCATTCCACATCTTCAGTGTACAGTACGCCTGAAACTTTGATTGAAAGTCATCTTTGCCACCGTTCTGTAGAAGTTGCGATGCGTACAACCTTGAAAACTCTAGAATATCACTCTCGTAGAACCTGCCCGTCTGTCTACGATCTATTGCAAACAACGTACCCAAATGACTAGTATCGATCGTACATTCTCTTGGTGGTTGCATCTCTAACAACTCATCCAACACCAAATAGTCTTTTCCATTCTTATTGACGCGTTTGAATTCATCTGATATATTAGATCCAACATTACCCATAACTTATCTTTATTCTTCTCTTAATTCTTCCTCTTACTTCTTCTTTTCTAAATCTTTAATTAAATAACAAACTTTAAAAAATTTATATCAATCAATCAATTTGATATTTAACAATTTGCAGGTGTGTTTGTTTTATTTTTTTTAAAAATTCATAACAACTATGATACAATTGCGCGCAATTTTGGTTGAATTATAACTTTATTAGTCTACTAATAATTAAACATATATTTGTATATATAATGGCAAAACGTAGTAATAAATCAAAAAGTAAAAAAGAAAAAGAGAAAGAAAAAGAAAAAGAAAAAGAAAATGAAGTGGAAGAAAGTATACTTTCTGAAAAAAATGTAAAAGATGTAAAACCAACGGTATTGAAAAGGCTGAGAAGAAGATCGTCTATTACTATCTCTAATGAAGATGAGGAATATGATAAAGAGGTTGCAGATGACGATGAGTTTATGGGTAGTGATAAAGATGCAGATGATGACGATGATGACATTGGCACTGCTACTTCGACCAGTGATTTCTCGTACGAAGACGATGAAGATGCTATAGAAGAAGATCTACCGTTGGACGATGACGACGCTCCCCAAATAGACGAGGAAGACGAAGAAGAAGAGGAAGACGAAGACGAAGATTTCTACTATCAGATACCCAGTGATGAGGAGCGCGACCTTCAAGACAACACACTACACGAACTTGACAAGAATGAAATGATATTGCCCGATGACGAGCTTATTCTAATAGAAATACTAAATGAAGATCCTGGTATCTTGGTAGATGCTGAATATTCATTAATTGTAAGTATTATTATAATTATAATTATTATATTTATCATTTGTATTATAATCGATAGATTTGTTAAATTAACATGTATACTCTTCAAAAAGGGATTGGAAACAGAATCACCTCTACTACAGATTGGCAATAGAATATTCAAAGGCTATTATCAAGATGTAGTCGGTACAGAGATGTTCTTTAAAAATATAAAAAGAGCTCAAACTAATGTAGTAGCAGAGGTCTTTAAAGATATTCAATTAGATAGTAATAATAATAATAATAATAATAATAATAATAATAATAATAGTAGTACAGAAACTATAAATCAAACAACAGATCCCAACAATAACAATAATAATGACACTAACAACAATAATAACAACAACAATAATAATAATATAGAAAACAATAATAATATTACAATTGGTTCATTAAAAGATGATAGAGTAGATCAACTAATATATGTAAACAAAACCAAAAAGAAAATTGTATTTACAAATGTACCAAATCTTAAACCGAAATCACAGATTCCAACAACACCTTCAATGTTACTCAGAGACCAAATTCCCAAATCTGTTCAATCTTCTCAAAAACAAAAATAAAGAAGGAGACTATTCAAATTAAATTATTTCATTCATATTTAATTTAATTTAACTAAATTAGTATTAGTTGATGTTCACAAAATAATTCATAAAAAAATAATAATAATTAAAAAAAAACAATAATTTAATAAAAAAAAAAAAAAGGACAAATATTAAAGAAAAATAAAAATGAAAATAATTTAAATTAAATTCTAGGATCATCCCCAATTTAGGTGCACAAAAATGCCAGGTTACACATTGTTTTTTATATTTTTGAAATTGAATGGTTATTTTTGCAGGTGGTGGAATCAACCCATTCTTGATTGTTTAAAAAAAATTTTCTAATTGATTAAATTTAATTTAAAGTTTCTGAAAACACAATTTATAAATCCAACTGTTTAATTAAATATTAAATTTAAAAGATAACAACAAATAGAATTCATTAAAAATCAAATATTTCATATTCATTTATATTTTTATATATATTTATTTCTTTATTTTTATTTCAATATTAATTCTTTCATTTTAATTGGTATGTACACATCATATTGTATTAATACAAAAAAAAAAAAAAAAAAAAAAATTTTTGATCTATTTTTAGTAGGATTACACTTTATACTTTATATCGTAACAACATACAAAATAATAATAATATATCATAAAATCGGTGACAGTGTTTTGTTTGGTTTATATTGTAAATTTCAGTTGGTATGTGACACAAAAAAAAAAGAGTAGTTGCCATTGATCAGATCATTTTCACACTCTCTACAGTGCAATATGCAACGATTTAAATCAGATTGATTTTATTATTTGTTATATCATATACTCTATGACATAATGATAATCTACAGAAGCAATAATCACTATAATATGATTTCGCATTATTGATATGTAAAATCTTGTTTTTAAATCATATTAATCAGTAATGCAGTAACATCATTATTCTCTTACTATTAATAATAATCAACATCACAATACTTAACACACACTGGAATAAGAGAGTTCCCATAACACACACAGAAACACAAACACACATACACATTAAGATAACAATCATTTAAAATGCATAGTGATCATGTAATATACATAGTGCGTACAGATTGATGTGAGGAACAAGATGATCTATTTGATGCAATACTATAGTGTATATTAATTACATTGCGTGTGATTAATTTTGAATTATTAGCTGTTATTATAATCACAATAAATTTCACATATTACCTCCTTTTTCAAATTCATCAAAAAATGAATGGACATATAGTTGATAATTAATGTATATCAACACATAACAATTTAAACATGTAATAATAATATAATATAATTATTTAAATCGTTCACATTTAAAATAATGATAAAATGTTTTGTCATAATAAGTTCTGTTTTTTTTTGTTTTGTTTCTGGGTGAGTGTGTGCACCATGTGTGTGTTATTGTGGTGTGTTTGTTTGTTATTTAATTATTACTACTTTTACAACTTTTATTGTATCAAATAATCTAATTTGACCTTTGCAGAAACCAAACCCAACCCTAAACCAACCAAATAACCAACCAATTTGATAAAACCCCACATTCTTCCACACACTCTATATATTTATAAATAGCAAATGGCAACAACCCACATATGACCCCCTACTATATTAATTATGGTCATATAATTAAATTTTTCAATTTGTACCTTCAACTATTCCATTTCCTTTTCTCTTTTGTTTATTTACTTTTGATTCTTTGCTTCATTTTTGTTTTTGCTTTGCTTTATTCTCGTTCTACACAAAAACAACAGCAAAAAAAAAATATTATATATATATCACTTATTATCTCAATTTGTAAGTTTTCACCATTAATAATATTATTATATTGTCACTATCGATAAAGATAAATTAATACATAAAAATAAAAGAAAGAAATCCTAAAAGAAAATAAATCACTACCACACTCACTCACTCACTCATGTTGTTATAACATAAACAAAAAAGATGAACAATAGTAAATAATAACAACACACTTCTTAAAACTTTATAAAATCCTACTTTTTTTTTTTTTGTTTTACCTCCAAATTTTACACACACAAACAACACAGTAATACTAACATTTAAATTAATTTTTATTTCTCAATTCCTCTCTCCACCTTGGCTTTTTGCTATTAAAGTAGTAGTTTCAGAAAAGAAATTTCTCATATGACCGTATAATTAAATTGATTTAATTTTTTTTTTCTATATTTTATATATATTTCCTATTTGTATATTTATATTATATTTATATATTTCTTTTTTTTTTCTTTTTTCTTTTTTTATATTTCTTTTATTAACTTTAGGTTTGAATCATTGTTTGTGTTACTGAAATCTTGTTATTTCAATTACATATAACATTTCTCACCTGGTATTTAAATATTCCTATCTCTTTCCTTTCCCTATTCAACTCCTTTTAATTTTTTTTATTTCTGTAAATTCTTCATAATAATATTTGTATATATTTTAAATATTTTTTTAATTTTATAATTTTATTGTAATTTGGCCTTCTTATTTTTTAGTTAGCCAATTTACCAATCACCAACAACTCTTCAGCACAACAACTAGATCAACAACCAACCAAGATAATATATAGTTTAAATTTTATTTGTAAATACTTTTTTAAAATTCTTTATATTGTTTTTTTTATAATCAATTTTAATCAAGTAACATTTTTTTCTTTTAATTGTATTTAAAATTTTAAATAATAATAATAATAATAATTAATATAGTTATATTTTTTTTAATTAATATAGTTTTTTTAAATAGTATTTTTTTTATAATAATAATATTTTTTTAAATATCGCCACCAATTATATTTATAATATTAATAAATAAATTAATGAATTCATCAAACCAATTAATTATTAACGAACCACCAAGATTCGGATTGGAGTCAAGAGGAAGAAATAAGGACATCAACACCCGAAAGTATAAGGAATTACAAAAGATGAAACAATTAATTGTAAACGAAAAAGCGAAAAAGGAGGAAGAGAAGCGACTCAAGAAACAACCTCCAAAAGATCCAAACCAACCCAAAAAAATCAAATCACCACAACCAAATAATCTATCACAACCAAGACCGCCCTTGGTCATTGGAACCGATATTGACAAGGAATCACTCTATCCACAATCCCAAGACTACGACAGAGATGAAATCAACCCAAATGAACTCATCTATGGCACCAAGAAGACCGTCAATGGCTTCCAGGATGATGTGATCTTGTCTTTCAACCAAAAAGAGCGCATCGAGATCCAAAAGGCAATCGAGGAGAGCATCAAGGAATTCGTCCTAGCTTCCAACGTCGACAAGGTCGTCCAAGAGATGGAAGAGGACTTTGTTCTATGCGAGAGCGAATCCGAGTCAGAGTCGGACGATGAGAAGAGCATCGAATGCTGGGAGCTGATGGATGAAGCATCATCGAGCCACTTAGTTAACCTCATCACCACCCCATACATCCGTCTCAACTCTGATAAGGAATTCCCCAAGCTCTCCAACAAGCCAATTCATAAGCAAGTTACCCTCACCAACCCATGGAACCATTCAAAGCATCTTATCGAAGCTATTTCACAACAATCATAATCAAAGTGTAAATAATCAATCAACAATCAAACAACAAATCAACTCCAAAACCACATAACTGAAAACAAAAAAACAATCAAAACTAAAAACAACCAAAAAAAAAAACCAAAGTCAATCAATTAACAAAACATTGTATAAATCTTAATCAATCAAATCCAACAATAATAATAATAATAATAATCAAAAACAAAAAATCAAAAAAGGAGAAAAAAAACTATAAGAAAAAATATTGAAACTTAGTTAAAAATGAATAATAATAAAATAGTTAATAAACACTTTGATTTAAATGTAATATTTGATTTCATAGCAACTTGAAATCTTCTTTTTTTCTTAAGAAATTTATTTTAATGTTTAATTTGGGTTTCCGAGTGCAAGGAAGAGACTGCATTATTTTTACCTAATTTAATCCATTTCTTCCAAAACAATAGCTCTTGAACTCCACTAATAAATTGCATAACCATTGCAGCCAAACTGAATGGTATCATCGATAATATCCAAACACCATAACCAAACTCTTGAACAATGTATCCCAAGAAGAATCCGGAGAATCCACTAGCGATATATTGGAACATTGTCAAGAGTCCAGCCATGAGTGCAGCATTTCTAACTGTTCCAAGATCCAACAATGCAGTTACACCTATTGTTAATTAATGTAAATGTCGATTTGTTAATTTCAAAGTTAAATTAAATTGCGAATAGTTTATACTTACTTAATACATTATTAGTACCAAACATAATTACCATCAGAGTTATCAGAGTGATTGTCGAGGCGACTGCGTCCGACAGGAAATAAAGTGCGGCGATCAAAACATTGAGGAAAAAGAAAAATATAAATAGCGATGGGGATCTCTTTGAATTGAACGCCAAATCTGATAACAATCCACACAGGAATCCACCTGTCATTGCACCAATCGATACACCTGCAGTACAAAGTGTCAGCAATGTTTGGCTTGGATTTGGACCAAATTTCTATATTATTTTAATTTATTTATTAGTTAATCTAGATAGTAAAAATAAAAAATCTATAGATAGGTTTATAAATGCAACTTACATCATTTAGGAAAGGTGTGTACCATGCAATAAAACCTTCTTTTATCCAACCGACACAAAACAATGAGATTGCGTTCATGATATTATCTTTACTTAGTAATGGCTGAATGTTTTCTTTTTTCATTACTTCTTTTACCATCTCCTTTACAGCTTGTTTAAATGTCAATTTTGTTTTAACTTGGATTGGTTTGTCATCGAATGAATGATCATCTTCACTATTAATAATTAAACGATTGTCCATCATTTCTCCTTTTATATCTATAGTATCCATATTGGTATCATTCCATTGTTCACTAATAATTATTATATTATTATTACTACTACTATTATTACTATCTATTGCTGAACTGTTCTCTGCTACCTTTTTCTTTGGATCTTCATTACTATCATCACTCTCGAAATCTGAATGATGCTCTACAAAAGAGTTGATCATCGACATTTGGATCTTCTCTGGATGGTTATCTTCAGTGTGTAGGTGATGCTCTACTGGATCGGTGAGATCAACATCCCAACCGCATTGATATGGCTTCTCGGTTACTACGACAAGGCATAGGATACCGGTGAATACTAACAGTGCTCCAGGTGCCAAGAATAAAAAGTTCCAGCTTAGTGGCGAATTCAAGATTCCCTCACCTACGTTTAGTGTAAAGAAATAGGCAGTTGCCAGGACAGCCGAGAAAATACCACCGAAAACACCAATCTCCGAACGTCTATACCATCCCGAGTTTATCTTGTTTACCGATCCAGTCGACATTGATTGGAAAATAAAGTTCAAGCCATTGAAGAATCCAAATAGCAAAGTGGGTGGAATGACTTTAGCGGCTGGACTGTCGTGACCGATCAATGTAATACCCAGCAGGATATTTGTCAAACCCGATCCCAAGACGCCAATAACTACACAGGGTTTTGGACCGAGATAGTCACCGATAGATCCTGTCCATGGGCTAATAAAGGCGTATGTCCAATAGCCAATACTCATAATCCAACCGAATTGGGCAGTGCTCAGTAGATTCTTTCCATTCGAGAGAGTAACCACTGAGAGCAATGAAAACTATAGTTAAAATAATTTGGTGTTGGTTTCTCGAGAACTACAACAACAATCATCATCGTCACATCCACATCGCCTCGTCTCTGGAAATAAATTATATAATTATTTTAATATATTTACATTATATCTACCAATATAAATAGCTGAATAAGATAATCCAAGTGAGAACCAATTTAAAAACCTTCTTAATCGATATTTCAGAGTTAAAGGTCTCTGTGGATTCAATCTTAGAATATCAATAAGTACAAAAACTACAATAAGTGATAGTACTATAATAAGAAATATAAAAGATTATTGTTAATATTTTTTTTCATTGATAAAATTTGCTATGAAAATTTATTTATTTACCAAATAGAGTAAGTGATAACGAAAAAATATTCATCTTTTCAATTTATTTGAACAAATAAAATAAATTTATAACATTTAATTATAATTGTAGGTTGGTTTGATTTCGATTACTTTTTGTAAAGGAATACAAAGAGACTCTTCAGTTTAATGTGTGTGGGTGATCGGTAATTAAAAAGAGTTGAGCTCTTTTATTGAAAGGTGAATAGTTTACTGTTGATAATCAAAATGATTAAAATTGTGATGAAATAACCTGCTGTTTACAAAAGCACCTATATTACGACATTTAACCCCTAAAAGGAACATTGTTTTTAAACTATTTTTTTAAAATAATAGCAATTGTTTTTTTGGACCATCACCCCACACTAAATTAGAGTTTTAAATTTTTATTTTATCACAGCTTTTGGGATTTTTTAAATTTTATTTTATAGACACCACACAATCAAATCATGATTGTTTACAGTTATTTACATACTGGTTTGTTCAGCCAATTATATAATTAGCAGGTGGTTGTGTGTGAAAGTAGTAATAATATATAAAAAATAAGATAAAGATTTGAGGAATATATAGGATTGAATTAAGTTCATCAAAGAATATTTATTTAAGAAAATCAAATTACAACTCACAAACTATTTTTTGGTTTTCAAAATTTATTTGTTTGCAATATTTTATAATTACATTGTTATTAATTTTTATGTTGATTAATTTCTTTCATGATTGTTTCATCTTCTATTGGAACGAACCAGTTATTTCCATCGGCCTCGATATCTTGAGCCATCTTTTTGATACGGTTCATCTTATCTCCGAATGCCATATCGTATTGATAGGCAGTGGCTACTGAAAGTGCAACAAGAGGTGCGATCGCTGCTTCTGGTACTGGTTTACCTCTCATCTTTGCTGATAAAAGAGCTTTTTTATTGGAAAAAGAAATAAAAAGATTAAATGTTAACTATCAAATTCTTTCTATTATTTTATTTGTTAGACATCATACCTATAAATCCAAGAGTTGTTACACCACCGAACCAATAAGTTCTCTCTCTAGTTACGGCCATTTGAAAAGCAATTTGTTTCTTCATCATTCTATCTTGTAGTTTAATTTGATTACTCAGCTACCAACAACAACAATAATAATAATAACACCACTTTATAAGTCAACCTTTATTTAATAAAATTATTATATTTGAGAATCAGAACTTACTTGTTTTGACTGCATTTCACTTTGCATAGCCTTTTGATTGGCAGCCATCTTATCGGGAATAGAATTTATAGCACCCATTTTAAGAATCCTTTTTAATTAATAATGTACACAAAAATAAATACTTGAAAGTTTATTTGTAGTTAACTTTTGGTTAATAACTCTTGGTTAAAAAAAAATAAAATGAAATTGAATAATTATATCAATATATTTGTAATCTCTCGACAGTAATTTATACGTCTATAAATATCTGATAGAATTTAATTAAACCCAAAAAAAAAGTATTTTTAAAAAATTGTTACACCCTGTGTTAGTTTATTTTGGTGTCATAATTATGATATAAATAAAATCCAACCAAATCAGGACATAAATAAATTGTTTTTTTTTTTCAAAATAAATCATCACGATGAGGCGAGTTACAAAGATAGATTATTTAGTTTAATGTATTAAAATATCTAATTGGTCAAATCGATCTCTATATTTCTAATAATGGGTTACTTGACAATCACAAATCATTATGACTTCATCTAGATGCTTCATTCTAAACTTGTTATTAATTAATTAATTTGAACAAATCCTACAACAAATTGCCAAAACCAACTTCAACAAATACTATTATATAAAACCTCATTCTATGCATAATTATATGTAAATTAAAATAATATTATTTTGTTTAATTTAAAGGTTGGTTTTTATTAATAAAAACTTATCTACTTTCTTTTGTAATTTACAAATAATTGCTTCTGTTTTGTTGTTGTTTGTTGTTGTTTGTTGTTGTTGTTGTTATTATTATTATGATTTGTATTATAAACTAGATTTATAATGATCTAATCTATTTTTAAATATAAATATAAATGTATATGTATATAATTGAAGATATCAGTTCTTATCATCAATAATTATATTCTAAAGATTGATTGATTGATTTAATTGATTGATTATATGGTCGTTATTATGATTGGTGTATGTATATAGTGTATTGTATTGTATTGTATTATGTTTTATGCTCTACATCCAAATACACTTGTAATACAATACATAGTCTTGTTTTCCCATCTGTACGAGCAGTTTCCATCGGTGTTGGTATCCCAAAGACAAGATGATGCAGTGTGGAAACCAGCACCAACCTTTTGGAATATAGTGCAAGTAACAATATATTTGAATGGTCTGTTCAATTCCTGTAGCTTCTTCATTGAGTGATCAATCACACTCGATGTCCATTGTGGTACTTTACTATGTTGATATTGTTGATTTTGAATTGTTACATCGACTGCCTAAAACAATACAATATAATTTAATATAATAGGTATTAGTTTATCTTGTATATTATATACAATATTCAATTGTTTGAATTGAATGTTTCGTTATTACAGTTTGATTGTATTGTTTATTTACATACATCCTTTAAAATAGCTAAAACATCCTCTACCAAGAATTGTGTTATCTCTGAATTGTTATCCTATTTAGTAGTAGTAGTAGTATCAACAATTAAAAAGTTAATATATTGTATTAGTTTGGTGTCAAAACTAAAATAGATAGTAGTAGTTAGTTATATTATACAATACAGTTGTCATTTTTGTATATATTAATAGATTTAACTTGAATAATGTTCACTTTTTATTTTATTTTTTTATTGCAATGATAATGATTGCTTGCATTACTTTTTTAAAATTTTTTTTTTAGATTTTATTAGTTTGATTGTTTAAATAAATAATCTTTTTTTCTCTTACAATGACAATCATAGTATTGATTGATTTTATTCTTTAAAAGATTTGATTTTTACAGTATGATCTGGGTTTACAGAATATTTCTGCTAATGTCCTCTAATGTTATGGTATGTAATATAATACAACTACGAAAATGATCGATGGCAGATATTCTGAAAGTAATTCGAACTACCACACATATGGTATCTTCTCACGAATGGAAACTCAGCTCAACTATCAACTATCAACTATCAACTACGTCCGTTTACAATTAGTTAACTTCTTAAGACACTATATAAAAACAAGGTAAAATGAGGGTTTATTCAAAATTAATCATCATCATGCAGTGCTGGATATCAGGCTTCACCATGACGGTATAACTATCAGGTAATCAACTCGGCGTCACCGTGCAGCTGCCACCCAGTGTCATAGTAAGAAACGATTTGGTCAATCTAGATTTTGAATGGTAAACTCAGATCATACTGTAAAATAAACTATTAAAACAAGTGTTCAATCTTTGAACGCGAATCAATAAATACAATCAATTGATGGTAACATAGTTTTTTATTATTTCTTTATTATTATTATTTTGTAAAATCTTGTTTCCAAATGAATTCCTCTTGTATTCCTTTTGTTTTGTTGTCGTATTCACATGAGTTCTTACAGGTGTAGATTGAGAGTATTCCAAAGTCAATGTCGTGAATCGAAGAGACTTGATTGGAATCGATGTCCAAGAAATAGAGGAGTTGCGGTAGGATTTGCATTTCCAAAGAACGTTCGCCATTGCAATTTGGACAGCACGGTATATCGCTGTCAGTTGGAACATTCTTCTCGGATACCCAGAGTGTTTGGTAGTTGACGTCACGACAGTACCGCAGTATTTGATCGCGATCGCTCGATGTAGTCTGTTTGAAGATAGCCAGTTGACGATCCTTCAAATTGGTGAAAGTCTTCTCAGAGAACTCATTGTCTTTGCCAGTCTCTGCCAGATAATCTTGATAGTTTTCCAATGCTTCGTGATCCATTGTCACGTTTCCAGAGTCGCCTTCTCTCAATGCCAATTCTTTGCCTGGTGCCGCCGATGCTGTTTCTCCATCCTCTTCTTCTTCACTTTCATAATCATCTTCTACTTCATCTTCATCATGTCCACCATCATCTTGTCCACCATCTTGATTTGTATGTTTATTTGTCACCAGGACGACAGGAGTCTGCTCAATGTCGTCGCAGACAATGAGGAATTCCTTATAGTGAAACTCTGCTTTTCTCTTGGCGAGTGTATGGTTGTTCTGTTTGCATTGTTCACGATGTCCAAGTTCCCAATCGCGCGACTGATGATCTTTTCCACAGTAGTGAACACGACGACAGTTTCCACAACGTGTTGGTGCTGCACACCCGCAGAATGTACATTGTGGTTGACGTGCATCCTGCTTTGTCTTTGATACTGCGAAACCCTCTTCGTAACGACGATCCTCTTGATCCGCCTCATAGTAATCGTTCACCTTTGGCAGTTGTGAACGGAACACTCTGTATCTGTGACAACGTGCTTTCTGACAGCAAAACACAAACAACATTCTATGATAGGTTCTAGCATGGTCTGACCAAGGTGCGTAGAATTGCAACAAAAACGACATCTGCTCCTCACAGACATCACACTTGAAATCACTATTCAATGGTAGATTACCAAGATCTAACCATGACTAATAATAATAATATTATAATTATATTATTAAAAACAAACAGTCAGTCATTCTGAAATAATCAGTTGTTGAAAAAACTAACTAACTAACCAACTACTTACGGGTTTACCACCAACTTTATTTGGAAAGAAATCACTTGTCAATTCATCTTGATCGAAATCAGTTTCTTGAAAACCAAGTGTAACCAATGGTTTATGTATTTTATTACTATCTGTCATCCTATATATAAAATATATATATATATATTGTGTAAAGGTAGATGTTTTGTTTATCAAACAAAATAATAATAATCAAAAAAAAATTTCAAAAAAAATGATTCAAAAATTAAATTAAAAAAATTAAAAAACGAACGAAAGAAATCAGATATTATTGAAGAATACTGCAATGGTATTAACAACAAAAATAAAAATACATTTTCATCATCGTCATACCTCCTTAACGATTCAATAATAATAATTTAATTCTTATTCAAACTTAGTTAAAGTTTTTTTTCTTCAATTATTTCAAATAGTATAAGAAATATTTTAAACTTTGGAACCAAAGAAAAAGAACATAATTATGTTTAATTTTAACTCTTAGAAAAATGATGAGGGATATCAGAAATCGGTATCTCACCTTACATTGGGGTATGATTTCTTTAATCCCTTTTTTCACTCCTGGAAAAAAAAAATTGTGAACATTTTTGGTTTTGTTAATTAATTTTTTTTTTTTTAACTTCGTGGACAATAATAATTTTTTCATTTTGTAATTAAAGCAAGCATTATTTATCAATCTATCTTTTAATTATATTATCTATTTAAAATTATTTCTAGATTGTTTGTTTTATTGTTTAGTTTGTTTTATTGTTCTTTGTTTTTTACATTTATATCTTTGAAATTAAAAAGATAGAAAGATAATCATAAAAACAACTACAACATCAAATAAACTATAATAATATGGAGAATAACAATCTTAGTTCAAGTACTGGTAGTTTACCGTCTGGTAGTTCACCGTTAGACAATGAGAAGATACAAAAGATCGTTTCAAACTATCAGAAAGTAAAGACACAGAATGCTCTATTGAAAAAAGCTATCATTGCTGTAAGTCTATCAATAATGATAATAATGAAAATGATGACAAATGATAATAATACTCTTATTTTTATTTACATTTAAACAGGAACAGCAAAAATCAAGTGAATTGGATAAAGATTTGAAGGAGAAGGATCAGGCGTTGGTGACAGCGATGCAGGAACACGATGTTTTGGAGTTCAACAACCAGAGATTAACAAAGCGATTGCAAACCATTCAGGATCAGATGAATGAGAAGCAACAGGGTGGTGGAGGTGGTTCATTCAAGTTCTTTGGTAACAAAGTTGAACTTCAAAAGAAGGAAGAGGAAATCAATCTATTGAGACATGAACTTCAAGAGAAAATCGATGATAATCGTAAGTACAGTACTAATATATACTAAATATACAATACTAATCTATTTATTAATAAATAACATTGTTACTTATTCAAATAATAATAATAATAAATATATAAACAGAGAATTTACATAATGTTACAAATGAGAAAGAGATTGCTTATAAGATGGTAGAATCGAATTTGAAACATCAGATCTTTGAGCGTGATAAACTTATTGTGGAGAAGGACAAAGAGATTGAAAAACTGATAAATCTTCAAAAGGACAACGAACAAGAACTCAAACAACAGACACAATCTTTAAGAAATACCGTTACTAATTTATTGACTGATATGAAAAAGTAAATATCCAAATAATATAAGACTTGAATTATTAATTAACAATTATTGTTTATTTGTTTGTCTGTCTGTTTGTTATTATATATATAGAGTTTTAGCAAGTATAAAGTTAAGAGATGATATCATTGAACAAATTAATGAACTTGTAAAGAATTGTATAAATAATACACCTGTTGTTACAATTGTAAGTTAAAAAGTTAACAAAAACAAACAAACAAACAAACAACAAAGTTTGATTAATGTTTTGTTTTGTTTTTATTTTGTTTTAGGATTATCCATTGGATAATATTACACCATCGAATGAGAGAATCAGTTTCGAAAGTTTGGTATTCGATAAGGATTTCTCAGTGGACACATCGCATGATTCTATTCAATCGTTACTCAACATTGACAATTGGAGACCAAGTTATAGATCAATAGTCTCAAACATCCAGTCTATTTTCTCACAGAATCTAACTCAATTGTCATCGATCATCGGTTCACACAATCAAAAGATGAAACTGACTGAATCTACATTCAAAGATCAACTACTAAAGTTAAATGGTAAGTAATCATACAAACAAACCAACAAACCATTATAATCTAATTACTTTTGAACTATTATTATAATATTATAATAGAATCATTAAATCAATTGACTTTGGAGAAAGAGGAGAATGCATTCACTATGAATACGGTGAAGGATGACCTGTCACAGAAGGAGTCGATGCTGTCCAATGCCAATAGGGATATTCGTGAGTTGAAGGATTTGATGGAGCAACTCTCCGATTCCAATAGGGAGTATGAGTTGCAGGTGGAGAGTGACGCCGCCAAGTTCAGTGGTTTGAAGACAAAGCTCGAGACTGAGTTGGAGGAGTTGAAGAACACTCATAAGAACGAGGTGAAGCAACTCTCTGATCAACATCAAGGACTACTCAAACACCAGAAGAATATGATGAATTCCAAGTTTGAAGAGCAGCGAACATCGATCAGTCAATACGAGAAGAAAGTTGCACATCTTCAACAACTGATGGCACAGCTACAGCAACAACATCAACAACAATTGCAATCATTACAACAACAACATCAACAACAATTACAACAACAGCAACAACAACAACAAAAGTCACCTGTTATTCAATCTTCACCTGTTAATCTAATGGATAATGACTTGATTGATACTCAACAACAGCAACAACAAACATCGACAAATGAGGTTATAACAATAGATAATAATAATAATATTAATAATAATACAGTACTTTCACCAAATGGTTCACTCATTGATTTATCATTCTTTGAACAACCAAATGTTAGTGCAACAACAACAACAACATTATCAACATCACAAACCAATTCACCAAATCAACAATCATTCAATAGTACAAATAATAGTCTGATCGATCTCGATGATAATAGCTTTGATTTACAACAACAATTGGCAACTTCATCAACACTAAACAATTCAAATCCATCTGTACCACCACCAAAGATTGAAGATAATATCGTTGTTACCATTCCAAATCTACAGACATCCACCAACGATTCATCGTCATCATCGAACAACACCACCACAGAACAATCAACTATAACACCATCCGGTAGATTCAAACTTAATGTATTAGATGATTTTGGTGAACAATCAGATGTAAGTTCCTGTTAATAATTATTAGCTTATTAACTTAACCTTAAAGTTACTAACTCAAAAAAAAAACACTTTATCTTTCTCACCAAATGCATAGTCATTGAATTTCTCATTTGAAGATAAGGAAAGAGAGAAGGAAATGAAGATTTACTATGAGAACAAGATTACACAGCTGTTGAATAAGATTTCCAATATCGATGCTAAAACGCTACGTTACTACGAACAGTACCAGACACTGCTAAAGAAAGGACAGTTCAATGAGAATGTCCAGAAAGAGCTGGAGAAAGCAATGAAAGAAGCAAAGGAGACCAAAGAGGAACTCGAGATCACTCGTGTCAACTACGACCAACAAATGAAGATGCTTACCGAACAATATATCTCGCTCAACGAATCGCTGTCGCAACTCGACACAGAACTCATCAAAATCAAACAACACAAGATCCTCTGTGCCAAATGCAGAGCATGGAATCCATTGGAGAACGTATTCGCACCTGACAATCACCAATTACTTTGTTACAAAGGAAATCATCCACTTCAAACCATCACCAATTAAAATAATTATACATAAATTTAAACTAATAATATTTTGAGAAAAAGATTTAAAAATTGAGATATATATATTAATAATATTATATTTTATTTATTTCCATCCAGTTAATTCTTTCTTCTACTTCTACTACAGTACTTCTGGTGATTTCTCTTCTTCTAATCATTAACACCTTGATCACTTGCTACATCATTGTAAACCCAGTTAGAACTAACAATCAACACACTGTTTACAATTGTAGCAATTGAACAAGGTGTTAATGACTATTCGTGTAATCTTTTCATTCTTCACTCCACCTATAAACTTATTGTTGATGAATTAAAGTTGGATACATCGATATTATTAAGTAATCTTGCATTATTATCTGAATGAGTATATAATTATTAAATTAGTAAGTGATTGTAGATCCTCGTTGTTTTTCATATTTATAGCTACTTACCTGATTATGCAATGTTTACATTTTAACACACCATCTTTTCCTTTGTTGTTCTACTCCCTTCACATAACGTAAATGAGAAACTTACCCGATCTAGTCAAATAAAGCAATTCGCATTCCAAATCAACACTGAAAAATGTTAATGATGATTTTACGTTTTATAAATCGATTCGTTAGAATTGGTTGTAGAGTAGTACCAAAGAAAAGAGAACGCTCTTTGTGGATGGAAAAAGACAGAACAAAAATGGTTCTAAAAATTAAAGGGGAAATAAAAAATATTGTTGCATGCAGGTGTTTGATTGAACTCAATTAAATTTTTTAAAATTATTTAAGCAAGGACAAAATTTAAATTTATTTTATTTTTAATTTTCTTTTTGTTATTTTATTTATTTCAATGGTATGTATTATTATTATGTGTATGATACTGTAATTAATGACCTCTACTTATTGATATAATTACAATGTTTTAGTCAAACGAAGTTAATATAGATGTAAATTTAAATGCTATCAAAGCAAAAGCTGAAGATATTCGTAATCTACTGTTAACTACATCGACTTCGAATTGGGAAGATGCACTCGGTCATTTCATTGTGTTATCCGGTGAATATAGTGCTTTGATGCACGAGATATCAGAGTTACCAGGTTCTGTTGCTGCCGTTCCAAGTGTCATTGGTCCTGATCAAAATCAAAGTATGTTGTCGTAAATAAAAGGTTTAATGATAATAAGATAACTAATATTATTGAATTTTTAAAGTACCTAACTTGTTGAGAACAAAGTTATCACCAGAGTTGGAGGCAAAGAATCGTGATGCTATCGTTTCGTATCAACACAACTTGAATCTGGAGGAGAACACACCCACTCAGATGACGATGGCAATCAACAAGCAGATCAAAGATTTGAATGGTAGTTTGGTGGATATCGACAAGGAGTTTGAAGAGAAGATTAGAGACAGACAGAGATTCAAACTGGCGAAATCTACTTCCAATGTGCAGACAAATACTTTGCGTGATATCCTCTCTGCAACAATGCTTGGAAATGGTTTGAGAATACAGCAGCAACAGTTACCACCACAACCTATTGCTCAGCCAATCCAACAGCAGCAGCAGCAGCAACAACAGCAATCGACAATTCAACAACATAATGCACAACAAGCAACTGCAGCGAGTGCATCGTCATCTACACAGCAACAACAACAACCTGTTGAAAAGCAACAAGCAACAGCAGCAGCTCAACAACAACATGCAGCACAAACTGCACAGCAAGCAATGCATCATCAACCCTCACCACCTATGCTCCAACCATCTAATCTGCCACCAAACATTGCTGCTACGAATGCACAACAAGCACATGCACATCCACCTCTCCAACAACAGCAACAACCACAACTCGTACAGCAACCCGTTCCACAAATACATCAGCAACAGCAACAACAACCAAGTCCTATTTCACAACAACATCAGAAACATCCACAACAAATGCAACAACCACCAATCGTACATCAAATCACAACACCTACAACACCAACTGGTGTCGTACACAAGCAACCTCCTAACATACAACAGATGCAGACTTCACCACCCATTCAGCATGCTGTTCCATCGCCTCACCCATCCACTCCAACATCGATGCAAAAACAACAACAGCAACAGCAGCAGCAACAACAAGTTCCAGTTCAACCGATGCAAGTACAACAATCAACTATGCAGCAGCCACAACCCATGCATATTCAAAAACAAGCTGCACATATTCCAGTACATAATTCACCGATGCAACCATTGACTGCACAACAACATCAATCACCTATTCAACAACACTCGCCTGTCCACACGCCAACCACTGCAACACATTCACAGTTGAACACAGCCACTTCACCTGCACAGATGACACATCCACAACAGATCCAACAACAACAGCAACAACAACCAATCGTACATCAAATCGGCACACCTCAAGATCAACATGTTCAACAACACCATACTCCTCAGCAATTGCATCAACAACAGGTTCAAATACAAAACCAACCATCCGTTGCATCGCCCCTCCACGCCGTTGGAGTGCAGACACCAACACAACAGTTACAACCACCACAATTTAATCAACACCAAGCACAAATTTTACAACAACATCAAATGCTATTGCAACAGCAACAACAACAGGCAGCTCAACAGCAACATACTCCACAACAACCGGCACCTCACACACCTATCAATCCACTGACACCAACTCAACCAACAAGAATGGTCAATACACCAACTCAGATGACTATTCCTTCACCATCACCCTCACAAGCATTCACACCACAACAAGTCATGGCATCGACAAATCCTCAACAACTGGTTGGCAACGTGGCAGCACAACAAGCAATGGCACTTCAACAACAGGGTGGCATTGTAGGTGGTCAGCAGGCACAACATGCAGTTGGTCAGGTCACCGGAATGGCGGTCCAACAGCCACACCAGCCCATTGCCAACATTGGACAACAGGTTGGTGTCCAGCAACAGAATACACAACAACAGCTGTACGCACTACAGCAACAGCAACTATTTCAACAACAGCAAGCTGCTAAACAACAACAGCAGCAACAGCAGCAACAACAACAGCAACAACAGAATCGACCGACACCACCAACCATCAACAAGAACGTTGTAAGTTTTCTTCAGCAAACCGTTGGTAATCCACCACCGGCAATTCATAAAATGGCAGGTACACATCAAGATTTTACTTCTACTAATCCAACGCAACAACAAGTTGGAATTCTTCAACAGCAACAGTCTCAACCTAACAACCAGCAATCTCTAGGTATTCAACAACAAGCAGGTATCGCACAGCAGCAGCCGCAACAAACCGGAGGTGTCATTCCACAACAAGCCGGAATGGTACAGCAGCAGACCCAACAAGCAGCCAACCAGCAGGTCGGTGTCGTCCAACAAGCAGGTGGAGTTATTCCACAGCAAGCAGGAATGGTTCAGCAACCAAACCAACAAGCCAATATCGGTATGATGAATCCTCAGTACCAGTTGATGCTTCAACGACAGCAGCAAGCCGCTGCCGCTGCCGCTGCTCAACAACAACAGAACCAACAGACTCAACAACAACAACAAAATCAACAAGGACAACAGCCAACTCAACAAAACTTCACTGGATTGCAAGCTGGCGCTCAAATTCCGAATCAGTTCACCCCACAACAAGCTCAGCAAATGCAAGCATTGATGAAGCAACAACAACAGCAACAACAAGCACAACAGGTTCAGCAGGTACAACAGCAACAACAGAACACTGGTGTGCAACAACACCCAATGCAAGTACAATACCAGCAAGCAGGTCAACAAGGAGTCGGTGTCCAACAAATCAATCAAGCCACTCACAAAGTTGCACCGATGCAAGGAATACCAGGTCAGATGCAAGTCGGACAACAGGTTCCTGGACAACAACAAATTCCAGGCCAGCAAATTGGTCAACAAGTTCCTGGACAGATGGGAATGGCTGGACAATTCCAAAGACCAAATCCTCAATTTGCCGCTAACGCTGCAGCGATGCAACAAAAAGCCAACCCAATACAAATGGGACAACAAACATTGACTCCTCAACAACAGCATATTCTTCGGGCAAGACAACAAGCCGGTCAGTTACCTGGTCAAGTCCAGCAGATTCCCGGCCAAATTCAACAGCAGATTCCAGGTCAAGTTCAACAACAGATTCCAGGTCAAGTTCAACAGACTGTAAATATTCAACAATCTCCTCAGCAACAACTGCAACAACCACAACAACAACAGTACCAACAACAACAAGTTCAACAAAATCAACAAGCTCAACAAACTCAACAACAACAAACTCAACAACAACCTTACTATCAGGTTGGTGTGCAACAACCACAACAACAGACCCAACAACAACAACCACAAATGGCAAACCAACAACAACAACCTCAACAACAGAACTACTACCAACAACAACAGGCTCAACAGCAACCACAACAACAGACTCAACAACAACAACAACCACAACAAACTCAGCAAGCACAAATGGCAAACCAACAACAATATCAAGTTCAGTATCGTCCGAATGCAGTTCAACAACCAGGTCAACCGGTACAACAGCAATTGAATCAAATCCCACAACAAACACAACAAAGATTCATTCAACAACAGCAACAGCCAGGTCAACAGATCCCAATGCAATACCAACAAATGCAACAGCCACAGCAACAACAGCAACCACAACAAACTCAACAACAAATGCAGTATCAACAGTATTTACAACAGCAGCAACAGCAACAACAACAGCCACAGCAACAACAACCACAACAAGCTCAACAACAGTATTGGACTGGACAATAAAACAAAGATCATCAACAACAAATAAAATAAATCATTTTGTATATTTTCCAAACCTTTTTTTTGGTGTTACTACTAAACAATTTAAAACAACCTATTATTGTTATTATAATAATCTAATTTATTTCTATTTGGACCGTGACCTAATTAATTATTTTGTTTTCTTTGTCTTCTTTTGAGTCTCTCTCATGGCGTTGTTGTATTCAAACTCCATTAGATTCTCAATGGAGGAGGTATCTCTAAGATAAAAGTATCTTCCAATACTCGAATTGATGAGTAATGGGAAGATATGTGGTACAAAAATAAATTCTACAAGACAGAAGTAGATTGGTGCTAAAATCATTCCTACAATACTTCCAAAGATCACTTGTTTAGCTGTATGATAGTAAAGATGATATCTAATAAAGAGTTTAATGAAGAAGTGTTTAGTACAGTTTTTTATAATATTCTTATTATGTCTAGTTCATTATATTAATTTACCTTGAATATGCAACCATGATTGCCAAGAAATAGAGGAATATGATAATTACACTTCTAAGATATTGACAAATCTTAATACGTCTTCTAATCAAAAAGAGTGTCATAAGTGTAGCAAAGAAGAACATAAACTGTGAATGACTAGATGGCATACCATAACTTTGTTTTCTTAATTCCTCTTTTAAATTATTTATACATCATTAATATTAATATTATATTGTAAAAATAGATAAGATAGCATCTCGACATAATATCGATTTAAAGAGGTGTAAGGGTAATACATACTGAAAAAAGCAGGTCTATGTTCTTTGATTGATTTCTTTAAAACATAGTTTAATGATTCACTTAGTACTAGACCACCAAAAACAGCAGCAGTTCTAAGATCACGTCTAAATACAAAAAGAGTGATCGCACCGACGGCAATAATCAATGGTGTCAATGTGATGTAGGCATTCAACAAACCATATGGATCCTCTGCACTATAGTGTACAGTGGTAAGTTCAACAAATGTTAAACTAGTGTGAAGATCTGATACATCTGTCATTCTATATATTCTCTTTATTTAGATTGTTAATCTTTTAATTATAAATAAATTAATAACCAATAAATATATAAAAGGAAAGAAAAAAAAATTTTTTTTTTTGCAATTAACGATTGGTTGGTCTGATTGGGAATTTATTTGACTTTGACTCAATTCAATTGATTCCGATTGTTCCAAACTAAATGAGATTCGAATACTTTACTTATTTTTAATTTGATATAAATAAATTTGAAATTGTTTGGTTTTGTTTTGTTTTATTATTGATAATATTTTATCGAGCTATTTAAAACCATCCACTCCTTCTAAAGAAGATGGCTGAACCAACACCAAAGAAAAACATAACCAACATGAGTCCAATGAAGAAATAGTAATCATCGCCACCTGGGTAATGTCCAACCATGGCGGGTAGTCGGACATTCATACCAAAGACACCGGTGATCAACGAAAGTGGAATAAAGATGATGCTCACCGCAGTGAATTTACGCATGCTTCGGTTCACCAGGTTGGACGACTGCGATACCTCGAGCGACATTCTCGCCATGTAGATGTTGTTGATGTTGGCCAGCAGACGCTGCGAGAGTGTCAGTTTCTGGAGCATTCGATAGACGTGATCCTGAACGTTTCTCAGGTATCGGAACATGTTGGACGGCACCAGTTTCTCGTCCCGTAGCAGACCCGAGATGATTTCACTCTTGCCAAAGACACCGCTGTGCAGCGAGATCACACGACGACCCGCCATACCGATACGGGTGAATAGTTCGTTTTGCTTCAGTCCACTGAGCACCAGTAGCAGTTCATCGAGTGACTGCACCTCCAACATCAGCTTGTCGACCAAGTCAATGTAGATATCTGCGATACAATCGAGATAGGCATAGATGATCCAGGCGGCCGAAGGAAGCATTCCAGACGGTGAATACTTGATCATTCTCATCACCTGTGATGTACTGATCAGTGGTTTCTGGTGGATCGTAAATATCATATTCTTAAACAACAACAGGTTGAGACATCCCGACACCAAATTATTGGATCCATCTTCATAGTGAATCTCATTGACAACCACAAACAAATGATTTGAAAAGAATTCACATTTCTCTCTTGTTTCTAATATTACGATAATAATAATAATTTACAATAATTAGTAATTGAACTTTCTCATGGTTCAAAGTGTAAATTCTTAACACGTTTTACTTACCACGTTTATTGATATCACTGATTGTCAAGCTATGAACACCAAGCAATTCACATATCTCTGTTATTTCATCTTCATTCAATGATTGTAACTCTATCCAATAGTGAATGCTTGAGTTTTGGCAATCTTTCTTCTCTTTTATAAATTCTATTATTATCAAGTTAGTATTTATTGTTTTCTAAACCAATTCCATTTTATATGTATATACCAATGATTTCAGAGAATGACTTTAGAGCTGGATTGCTAACTGTGGAGGTCACAACAACATGCTTACCAAGTGATAGCATTATATCTTTCTCAATGGTTCTTTGTATTGTATCGCTACCAGTTGGCATTATAAGTGTACTGACATTCTGCTGTGGTTGTTGTGCTTGTTGTGAAGGTGAAGATAGAGATGAAGTTGAAGTTGAAGTCGTACACACATGCGAAGAGGAAACAGGTGGTGAATTCATACAACTATTAGTTATACTACTACTACTACAGTTATTATTTTTACTATTATTATTATCTAAAATAATTGTACTATTATTATTATTAATATCATTGTTATGATTTTGATTTTGATTATCGGATGATGTCGAGTTTGAAATGGATGTTCCCGATTGATTCAAAGGTTGTAATTCCATTGTTTTAATATTTTGTTGATGCTCAACCAAACTAAAGTGAATATTATTATTATGTATTCTATTTATAGAACTACTCTTCTATTCTTATCTTTTTTATTTATTTTTAAGAAATAGTTAGATAGATTTAGAGAAACATATCAATTAAATAAATAGATAGATTATATTTAAAAGTAGTAGTTGGTGGTAGTATCTATATATATATAATATTATTTATAAAATATTCAAGGCATTTGATCTAAAGTCCTGTCAGTTCTTCAGTCTGATTTTATTTATAATATAGAGAGAGAGTGAGGTGGTGCACACACAAGTAGTGGTCTGTTGATAAAATAAATAATAAAAGACTATAGCAAGAAAAAAAATATAACTTTTACACTTTGTTTAAAAAAACAACAATGCATTAAACATTCATGAAGGGGTTTTATTTTTTTTATTTTTCCACACACAAAAAAAACTGATTCAGATATTCCGATGCTTTGTTTATTTTTATAACTGATTTTTAATTGCAATCGAAAAGTTAACATTTGGAATAATCCGATGTTCCTTTTAACATCGTGATACCAACCAAATTGCCCAAATTATTTTGCTAAAAAAAAAAAAAGTTGTTTTAAATTGTAAATTTGTAAACAATTCAAAAATATCAGAACTTCATTGGAAATAATCAATTAGTGTATTATAAAAAGGTTACAAAAAAAAAAAACAAAAAAAACAACTTTATCTTTATTTTATTTTTTTTATTTTTTATTTTTTTATTTAGTATAATGTAATATTTAAGTTTATTTGTTATCTATATATAGTTAAATTAATAATGAATGATATAGATAGATTGTTTTTCAGTTTAATCAGAAATAAATATTTGAAAAGTTTGATTGTTAAACATGTTCATAGTGTACACTCAAAGTTTAGATGTATTTGGAAATCAAGAGAACTTCAGTATATAGATTGTCTAGTTGAGAGTAAGCTCATTGAGAGAATAGAGTGTATCAATGGACATTGGTCATTCGATGCTATAGAGTATTGGACGGTCAGATCTCTAGAATATATTGTATCGAATCCACTACGTTACGAAACATTAATATATCAACTGGTGGAGAATGATAAGAAGAGCAGTGGTGGTGGATTTCAATTGCCTATAACAAGTTCTGTTATTTGTAAAGCGATCGAGTCTGCAGTCGGTGTCGATTTCTCATTGGTTAAATACCTGATGAATAACTATAGATATTCAGTGTCTGCCAGTTGTTACTGTAGTGCTGCTGCGCGTGGACGTCTAGATATCATTTGGCATATGCTCTCAAACTATCCGAATGTTAGAATCGGTCGACTTCCACCAGTGGAAGCGGCAGCCGCCAATCAGCTGGAAACTCTCATATTCTTTTATCGCTATCATCAGAGATTGCTAAATGAAAGTGATGTTCACTACTATGACAATGCTTTTAAAGTGGAGCTAAACGGTGATGTCGACAAGAACAACCGCGTCAAATCTATGTTTGATAATAAGGTGATATTCACATATGCTGTGTTGGATAGAGCGGTTGGCGCCGGTGCAGTGGAGTGTGTACAGTATATTCTGGAGAATCGAATCGATGGATTTACACGTCAGGCAATCGACGGTGCTTGTCAAGCGGAGCTGTTTAGCGATCGTCATTTCGAGGCGATCCGGATTGCTAGAAAGACGCTGCATGCTGACTGCTCGGAAAGTGCGGTATCTGGAGTTATTAAGCATGGACGTCTCGATGTTTTGAAGTATCTACACTCACAAAAGTTGCTAAACAAACCGTCAAACAGCGAGGAGAACAATATTGTGACGTCGACCGCTGCTAGATACGCGAGTCTAGAGATGATACGCTTCCTTTTCGATACTGCAAAGTATATACCTGGAAAATCAATGAGTAGTGAAGTTTGTAAGAATGGTCGACTCGATGTGCTCCAATATATGCTTGAGAATAAAAAGCGATTTCAAGTGCATGTTGAGACAACTATGCCTTACATGCTGATGAGTGCAATCAGCGCTGGACAACTCGCGATCGTTCAACTTTTGCTATCGATACGTTGGGTGACCAAACAAATACGGAGTGAGGGAAGTGGTAAGATTCTTGCTAGTGCAGCTGTGGATAGTTGCGGTTTAGAAACATTGGAGTATCTGCTTAACGAACATAAATGGATGTTCCCAAAGACGTTGGAGCGATTAAATAATCTGCAATTAAGTCCTGCTATTCTCTTGGCGAAAGTAAAGTTGCTAACAGCTCACAACATAAAGTTTAATGTGGGCGGTTTCAACGATTTGTTGGCAGAGCATTCCCTGGAGATTTTCAAGTTCTTCGAGCAACAATATCAACCGTTGCCAAACAGTGAGAACTATTCTTTACGAGCTGCAAGTAAAGGACGTTTGGATATATTGAAATACTTGGTTGGCAAAGGCTATGATGTCCATCGATATGTGTTGAGAGTCTCCAACTTTGAGACTGCCAAATACTTGGTGGAGGAGTTAAACATTCGAGCTGAGCTCTACATCATTGAAGTTATTGTGGATTTGAAAGATATCGATATGATAGTATATCTGGACAAACGATTCCCGGGTTTGTCTGTTTTGCCATGTACCATTTCATTGTATGCGGCAAAAGGAAGACTGGAAATACTAGAGTATCTATTGGGGCGATACATTCCACCCAATGAAAAGCCAATCGACTTGGAAATATCAATGGCAAGAAATAGAGGTATACTTACACTGCTACTAAGTAAACGATACTGTCATCTATTCAAACCTTCTGAAAGCCTAATCCATGAAATAATTTTCGAAGATTTGGTAGATTCATTAATGATTCTTTTGGATGTATACAACAATAGTAATAATAGTAATTATAATAACAGTGAAGAGCAGTCACCAATCATATTCTCTGGACATACTCTTTTAGCATCGAAATCACTTGAAGTCCTACTCATTCAACTAAAATATATAAAACTAACTAAACGGTTACACTCTGAACTAATGACACTTGCGCTAAGCAAAAGTAGATTCAGTATATGGGATTATCTATCGAATTTACCAACCAATGATTTAGAACCATAGTAATAATGTAATAACTTTATAAACAATAAAATAGTAATACTATTTATCTATCTATCTATCTATCTATTTATTTTTTGTTTATTTTGTCCAGCAGCTTTTCTACTCTCTTCTCTTTCGTGTTTTAATTGTTCGTGTTCATAATACTTTTTGAGGAGTAATGAGTCACGAGATTTGATTTGATCGTCGGTGTAATCAATCTTGATATCGAATGCCTGGCTGAATTTCTCGAGGGCAGCAGTCTTTTCGGCGACGTCGTATTTCTTAAAGTAATCGATGGCCGCCATCGAGTGTTCCGAGTCCAAGTTGATCTTCAAGAGATTCGCTTGATTCCTCCAGTACTCTTCGAGCTCCGGTTGGTCGTAGATCTTGTGATATGCCCAGAACGCCGACACGATGAATGTGTTTGGTTTCATAGCGCACTGCTCGAAACGCTGCTTGTTCAACTGGATCGCGTTCTTGTAGTCGTTGTCATAGAGGTAGTGTTGTATCAACTGGCCGATGACCTTACCCTTTTGAATCTCGAAGCGCTTATCGTCCAGCACATTCCAAATCACTTCACGAGTGGGTGGACACTGCAATTGATAGTAGTTGTTTTCCTTCTTCTCTTTTTGTTGTTCGTGCGCGTCGATCAGCGGCTGCATGTCGGTGGTGAACCAATTTACATAGCCATCGATTTTCGCTAGATAGATGATAACGTTGGTGATGTCATAGATATTTGGTAAGTTACAGAGTATACGTGCTGCTTTCGCCATTCCCTTGTAGTAATTGACCTTTCTGTAGTGCTCCATGATCATGAAGAGCATGGTGTTTGAGGGTGCCGTTATGTTTGCAAAGTAACTGTCGATCCAAGTCTGGGTGTGAGGTTTATGTCCAGCCTTTGAGTAGTGGTGAATAAATATAGCATAGGTGTACTCGTTCGGTGCAATACTGTTCTCTTGCATGCGGGCAAACAGCGTGGTGACTTTCTCAACTTTTCCCGCCTCCATGTACGCGCTCATCAGCCTATTGTATCCGTGGACATTGGCGAGCGAGCTCTCCCAGGAATCCAGTAGATCCTGTGCGTCTCGCTCGATCAAATAGTTGAAAACCAGCGATATCTCATCGCATCCAAACATCTTTGGAATGGTGCTACGATACTGGTCGACCAGTGAGACGGCCAACTCTTTCGAACTCTTACTGAAACACATCGGGATGATACGCTTCATCACCCAGGCGTAGTGATCGAGTGCCTCTGGTTTCAATTTCTTCATGAAATCGACAGCTTTCTCTACCACGCCTTTATCCAAGTAGTAACGAATACACAGATCGACTGTGTGGTTGGAGAATGCAAGCTGCGACTTCTTCAAGTAGCTAATAATAGTGTCGGCATTGTCCAATTGTTTTGCATCCAAAAAGTATTCGAATATCATGTTGTACGACTTGATGTTTGGCTTCACTTTGAAATGATCGCTCTCCAGTTTTGTCCAGATGGTGAGCAGCATGTCCGATGCTACTCCGGACTCGTTGACTTGGCCACCTTTCGCCAGACGTCCAACGGCCACAACACTCTTGAAAAACTCCATGAATCTGTTGATCGCAAATATATTGTCATTGAGAAATCCTACTTTCTCCAACGCATGAAACAACTCAATAGATACCAATGCTTTATTATTTGATTTCAAAAAGAAATCGATCCTATTTGTGTAATGAAATGGAAACAATACAGTTAGTTAGTTTTCTCAATCAGAATTATGATTCATTTCCAAAACAATTTGTTTCTGTCTAAAACATACAATTCATTCAATTCTTTTTTATCTTTTGTTGGTGAATTCAAGTAGAATCCCAATATATAATCGACTAGTTTGTTATTGTTGATCAACGATTTGAAGTCGATCGATGAAAATTTGATGGAATCTATTGTCATTCCCTTTTGCTCAGAGAATGATGGTCTTTGAAGTTTATTATTACTACTATTACTAAAACTATTGATTTTTGGTTTTACATTTGAAGTGGTGGTGGATGTATTGAAACATCTATTATTACTAGTAATTTGTTGTTGTGTTATATATGATGATGATGTAAGTTGAGGTTGTTGTTTTACCAACAAAAATCTATTAAAACCATTTCTATGTATATAATTTAACAACATCTTTTTAATTTTAATTTATGAAAATGAAATGAAATGATCATAGATATCTATCAAAATTTACTAAAAACTAAAAATAAAAAAAAAAACGTCAAATGAAAAAACCTGATCACTCGATGATATTAATAATTAATTAATTGAATATTGAATTATTAATTAATATTTGAATATAAATATATATATAGTCAGAAAGATCATCATCATCATCTCATCAACAATAAAATAAAATTTTCAACGATAGTTTTATAAGCTTATAAAACTCCTATAGAGACAGTTAATAAATACAATTGTATCAGAAATTAAACTATATTAATATCACCATTTTGAAATTTATTGATCTTGAGTCGATAATACATTAAGAAAGGTATGGAAATTGTATTATTGTTGTTGATTTCAAGAAATATTTTTATTTATAAGTTTTTTTGTCAGAGAGATAAATCTTTAATGATTACTTTTAGAGTTAATTTCAAATCAGTTTTGTCTTACTCCTAACCAAAGTTGACGCCTGTCAATCAGTTAACAAACTGATAGGAAAAAGATTGTAAAGAAACATATGATGATCTTTCTGACTATATAATATTAATATATATCAATATTCAATAAATTATACTTTTAACAAAAATTAAATTGGTTTAGTCAAATTAAAATTTATTAAATTTATTTCTTTTCTTTTTAATTCCATATTTAATAAATAAATCAATTGATTATTATTTACGAAGTTTCTCTCAAGTCTCCACTCCACTCTCTTTTTGACACTCTGACAACCACTTCGTTCTGACCAAATAGGGAGATCTGACTAAACAAATAAAAGTGAGATTTGAAATTTCTAAAATTTTGTTTGTCGTTTTTCAACAAGAAAGAAAAAAAAATGAAATTATCTTTTTTGTTTTCAATCATTCTTTGTATTATTTTTTCAAACTTTTTATGGTGGAGTTTTTATAATAATAACAATAACAATAGCAGTGATAACAACATAATAATCGATAATAGTAGTAGTATTAGTTTTAGTGATAATAAATTATTATACATTGTAGAGAATACAGTTTATTTATTGGATAGAATGAGATCACTAAGGAATTTGGCGATGGAGTTGATGAAGGAGGACAATCGAGCGAGTTCACCTGCACTGTTCAATAAGCTAAAGAGAGAGTACTCGAAATACTATCATATAAAACACCCAGAGAACTTTAAATATGACCATGCATCACGATTCGTACAGACCAGCTTTGACCAAGAGACCTGCCAGTTCATCATAAAGACACCTCGTTGGAATGCAGTGACTAGCGGTCTAAACTGGCTGATGATGTGGTACTACACGAAAACAGACTCAATGGGTTACATCGGAATGGGTAACATGTTCATACTTTCAACCGATCAATATAGATTGTTATTCAGACAACCTTCATCAACATCTTCACCATTGTTGACATCAAACACTGAGAATAACAACAATGATAATAACAATGATGGTGGTGGTGGTGGTGGTGATAGTAGTATAAAATCATTGGTTAGATATTCAAGTTTGTTGGATGTTGGATCGGGTTGTGGTGCAACCACTCAGCAATTACAACCGATGTTCAAAGAGGTGGTTGCTACTGAAGCATCGAGTGGAATGATATATAGTTTAAAGAAAAAAGGAATAACGTAAGATAAGATAACGATAAGATATAGATCTGTTGTTATGATTTGTTTATTAATGTGGTTATTTATAATAATGATAGAGCAATTTATTGTACAGATTTAGAAGGTTGTAAAGAATTAGAAGATAGAAGAAACAGCTTCGATGTTGTGTCTTGTTTGAATGTTTTGGATAGATGTGAGAGACCGATCACTCTGCTGCAACAAATGAAACAGTTTATTAAACCGGGTGGTAGACTTTTGTTGGCCGTTGTCTATCCTTTCAAGCCTTATGTAGAATTTGGTGGAAATAATAATAAACCATTCGAGAAATTAAATGTAAGTGAAAAGTAACTTTAGAGTTAAGTCTTAAATCTTATTGTGTGTTTAGATCAAAAATATATTAACCATCTTTTTAATTATTATATTACAATAATTATCTATAGATAAATAACAATTCAATTGAAGAATATATAAGCTCAATGATAAGCAATGTATTTGAACCAATAGGATTTAAAACGGAATCGTTCACAAAGGCACCATATATATCGGAGGGTGATAAGTATTACGATAACTATGTTTTGGTTGATACTCTTTTTGTTTTATCTGTAATGCCAGAGAATGAACAATCGAATTCTACAATCAACCAATGATAACTAGTTGATTGATCATATATTATGCTATAAGAATAAACATTATATTATAAATAAAACATAAAAACAAAAGGTTAACAATTAAATTAATTGGTTGGTTGTTTTCCTTGCTTTATACAAATCTGACGAGCGTGTGTTCAAAAAAAAAATTAAAAAATCTGACATCTTTTGGAATGATTACTTTCTTAACTTAAAAATTAAAAAACTATTAATTATTAAATATTTGTAATAAAATATTAAGATAAAAGATGTCGACAACAGCATCAATTAGAAATAAGAAATTGATTGCTATTGAAGCTGATATCGAGAAAGCAAGATCCGATAAGGATTTCGCTTCTTTATTATCATTGTTAAAGAAGTACTCAAAGATTACATCATCGTATGTGTTTTTTATCATGTCATTTCATATCTTCTTTGACTTGATATCATTTCTTATACTTATTATTACATATGTTAATTAATTAATACTTTTATATATATTCATTTGATCAAATAGAAATAATGAAATTCTAGAATGTTTAGTGAATGCAGAGAGATATATAGCCGATGAGAACTATCATGACGCTCAAATAATGCTTGATAGAGCATCATTACTTAAACCAGATGACCAAGTATGTATTGCAATACTGTTGCTGTTGTTGTTGTTGTTATTTAGAGTTTTTTACTTAAGTACAAGTATATTGACAATTTGTATGTTTATTTTATTTGTAGGAAGTTATTGCATATCTAGGTTATGTTGATTACAATAGAAATGATACAAAGAAAGCATTGGAGGATCTATCGAGATTGGTCAATCCATATACGAATACAAACAACGAGATGATATTGAACTACAGAAAGATTAATATATTGCTACAGGCATTCAATATCAAGGGTAAATGTCAAGAGAGTCAAGGACAAAGTGAACAAGCACTGCAATCCTACGAGAATGTCATCGATATTGCTTTTCGTTACTTCAAATCGTTCCGAGCGATCGATGTTTACACCAGACCATTCGTGATAGATGCATTCATTCACTCTGCAATGATACATCGTTATTTCGGGTAAAGTGTTATCACACTTTGATTGGATATCAATCATCTATACAAACAAACTAGCTAGTTAACTAACTAAACAAAACTAAAATATCATAATCAATTTAGTAATATTGGTGAAGCAGTTAAAATACTTAGAAATTGTTTATCGAGTCAAATTATATTGACTGCATCGAGCTATAGATATGCATTGTTGACATTGGGAGAGTTGCTACTGAGGAATACAACAGATAGATCTTATATACCGGTGCTGGATGCTGCCGGTGAACAACAAATCAGACCGGGTCACTTTTTCATTCCTGCTGACCAGGTTGAGGAGTCACTCCTAACGCTTCTACACGTTGAACAACTACAACATTCACAATTACAACAGAATCCACAATCATCTATTATAACCGATCAAGATATGTTAATATACGACGATCTCTGTCAGGGTTACTGTAGAAAAGCACAATATTATCCAATTGTAGAAGTAGGTAGATTACAAACTAAATACTTTTTTTTGATTAAAACATAATGTTAACTAACTAACGTTAATCGCGATTGTTTTTAAGAATTATGAAAGATCATTGACATCTAAATTCACAGAGGTACATAGATGGACACAATTGGCACTCTCGCTCTACTGTGCCGGTAAATATAAGAGATCGCTGTTTATTATTGAAGAGTGTTTGGCTTTGACACCAAACAATATCGATTTGATATTGTTGGGTTCAAAGATTTGTATTAATCAGTTGAACCAGTTCTCTAAGGGTATTATGTTGGCGAAACAGGCGATCGGTCATCTCGACTCGACTGTTGGCGATAGTGTGCAGCTGGCTAATGCATATCTGCTGATCGGTGTTGCCTACGAGAGAAGAGCACTCGAGTGCAAGTCGTCACACGAGAAGCAGAGCAACCAGATTCTCGCAAAGGACAACCTGTTGTTGGCATACCGCTTCGACGCGTCCAACTACAAGATCTCCTATCATCTCGCACTGGTCTATGCTTATATCCGTGAGGTTTCGCTCGGTCTAAAGTACATACAGGAGTCGCTATCGATCAACCCTGACGAGCCGTCCAGCTGGAATCTGCTCTCGCTGCTGCTCTCCTCGAACAAGGCATACGAGCTCGCGTACCGCGTCTGCAAGCACGCGCTCTCTCTGTCGCCGACCAACATCGAGCTGCTCCTCACCAAAGCGAAGCTAGAGATTGCGTTGGACGACGGTTCTCAAGCTCTGATAACCTACAAGTCGGCGATGTCACACCTCTCCAACCACACACTGACATCGGTCGACGACTGGGACGAGACAGAGTCGGTGCCGCGCAACCGTCACCAGTCGGGCGGACCGTCCTCCATCGTGTCGTTCGATATTCGCTCGGCGACAACCGCCGACCAAAAGTCGTCGCATCGCTCAGAGATTATGTCGTCGGACGGTGTCGGCGACGATCCTCTCAACTCGCCGGGTTCGCGCGAAATCCTCAAGGTGCGCGCCACCACCTCCAACCAATCAAACTCGATCGATCGCGAAACAAACCGTCGCGTTCAACTCTGGCTAGCAATAGCAGAGGCATTCATTCAACAACGGATGTTTGAGGATGCAGCGGCGTGTCTTACCCAGGCCGATACCATTAGCGGCTCCAACCCCGACGTCTACTACCAACAGGGATACCTCCTGGAGATGCAAGACTTGCGTAACGATGCGCTCGCCAACTATCACAAAGCACTTACCATCGATCCCTCACATACCAACAGCGCTATCCGTATCGCTGTCAACCACTTCTCGGCAGGCGACGACCTCTTGCTCGCCGAGAACAATCTCACCACCATCTTGAGATCATACGACCCAACATCGCACTACGCCTGGTTCCAACTCGGTATCGTCCTAAAAGCCAAAGGTGACATAGAAAGAGCATCGGAATGTTTCAAAATTGCCATAGAACTAGATAAGACATCACCATTAATACCATACGAAACAATATCTAGACATATTTAAAAAGAAAGTAAAAACAAACACCTTACATTAAAAAATTAAATAGTTTTTATCAATTAATAATAATAATAATATCATAATAATACATATAATAAACACTAAAAACATTCTAATTCCTTGTTATAATAAATAATTAAACAAACAAACAAAACTGCACATTTTTTTAGTTAAATATATTATTATTATTATTATTTTATTATTTTATTATCTATTATTTCTGTTCTTTATTTTGCACCACCAGCTAATAATGCAATTACACTTGGTTGTCTCATAGATTTGTAAGCATGGAACAACATGAATGGGACCCAACCATAGTAAAATATTTTCTTTCCTGTCTCTACGAATCTACCAGTCTTAACAACCAATCTATCCCAAAAATTTTCTTTCATTTCTTTATCTATATGTGTTTATCTATATATATATTGTATTGAACAACAATAAGCATATTAATACTTGAATGAATGTTTAAACATTCTTTTTGTTTAAAAGTTCTTAAGTAAACTACTGATTACTTTACATTTTAATTTTAAAAATTTAACAAAAAAAAGGGAAAAAACAAACAAATCTGATCAATTTAATAATAAGTTGATAAATCTGTATGGTGAAGTGAAAGATGATTGGCAATGAATCAATATGTAATTTAAAGTTTAATTGAATAATGCACGAATCATGAATAGCGATGTAATTACGCACCGAAAATTTCAAAAAACAAATTTTTAACGTTACATGTTTTTCCTGTAAATTTGTGTATGCCATTAATTAATTATAGGATTTACATGATATCTCTTTTTTTATTTTTATTCTATTAAAGAAAGCATCAGATATTTAAAACTTCTGGTAGTAGTAGTGGATCAAAGTACTTTGATATATAATGTTTGATGATGACGAGGATTTAGATGGTTTAGATTTTGGTGATTCTCAATCTGTTTTCAATTCGACCGCTACAAAACAATCTCAACAACAACAACAACCCCAACAACAGATTTATATTCAGAAATCACAAGTTACTCTTAACAACAACAATAATAACAATAGTAATAGTAGCAATATAAATAATGTAAAGAGTTCTTCAAACTTGAACTTGGTACCTCCACCAAATTCAGTGTCTAAACTCACACCCAACAGCAAACCAATAACAACACTTACAAAGCCAGTCAGTACTATTGCTTCTAGTGCAACAATTATTAAACCAATTATCAATAATAGTAATAACAATAACAACAACAACAATAATAGTATTAGTAATAGTCAACAACTGCAACAACCACTAACCATAAACAAGCCAGTAGCTAAACCACTTCCAATCCAACAACAACAACCACAACAACCAAAGAAGCCATTATTTGAAATTCCTTCACAAACACAATCATCTCAATATACAAGTGATCTCATTAAGAAAACAGATATAAAAGATTTATTATTGAATCATAGGAATATTAATAATCAGCCAATTACTACTACTAATACTAGTAGTAGTAATAATAATGTACAGAATAAACAACAACAGCAGCAACAACCAGTAAAATCAATAACACCACCTAAACAACCACAAACATTATATCATGATAATGACCAAGCACAACCACATCTCCAAACACCTGTAAAGCGAATGAAGAATGATTTACAAAATCCAGTACATATTCAACAACAACAACAACAACAGCAACAACAAGATATATCATTACCAATAACACCATCAAGGAAATTCCCTGGCCCAGCTGGATCATTACCACCTTTGTTACCAGGACAAAAGATACCGAATCATTCAATCAAACCACAACAACAACAACCACAGGATAATAATAATAATAATAATAGTGAGGATGGCAATCAAAAGAGTAAAACAGTATCAGTATTTCTCAAGGCTAATCTTCAGGATATTTTCAATTACGATTTGTTCCCGGTGGACTATTGTCAAGGTCCGTGGGTTCTAATGTTAAAACAACGTGGACTTCCCCCGTTTGGCAGTGCAAACGACAATCCTCTACTCTTAAAATATAACATTGATTATGTGCTGCGCGAAGGCTATCAGAAGAAAGTACCTCTACTGGTGGTCATGATAAAGTCGCTCGTTGCAACAGAGTCAAACTTTGAAACGGTGATAAGCGATCCCTACGGAGAGATGAAAGGCACCATCCAGAAGAAGATAGTACTCGAGCACTATCCGGAACTCTCAAACGGTTGGATTCTCGTACTGAAAAAGACATCGATATTCAACCCGACACCGACATCGCACTACGTCAACATTGTACTGCCAAACATTGAATATGTATTCTCACCGAACGATCTAGGTATTCAAGAAGCAAACGATGAATTCGATGTAAGTAGCTATTAACTTCATATATTGTTCCATCTTCTTTTTATTAATATATAACAACTTGTTGTTTTATCTATCTAATTATTAGCAATTGGCTAATAACAGTTTGGAACCATACGATCCTAAATCAATATATCAAGCGATACCAATTAGAACACCCGAACAAATTGAAAAAGAACTGTTGGAAAAGAAGTTGGCCAAGAAATTACATGCGGAATCACTGAATCCCACTATACAACCGCCACCACCTCCAAAGAAATCAGCAGCAGCAAAGAATAAACCAAAAGGTAAAAAAAGAAATAGGATTAATAGAATCAATATTACGAATACTAATATAATCTCATGTGTATAGCTAAAGGAAAGCAGCCAACAACAACATCATCATCATCATCAGCAGCAGCAGATACGACAACTAAAAAACCAGCAATAACAAAACAAGTAACAACAACAACTACAATAACAACAACAACAAAAGATAAATCTAAAAACTCTAATAATATTAGAGATGAACATAATGATAATGATGAATATGAAATGATAAACTTAACACCTCCACAACATTCACCAAGAGATATAGACATTCCAACAAAAAAAGACGATTCTACTACTAAATCAACGATGATCGTTCAACCTAAACAACAAGTTCAACCTATTTTATCTCTGCAAAGCAGTCAAGGTATCAGTAAACCATCAAATCCGATTACACCTCTTAAGCCTTTGATACCTTTACAACCAAAAGTGTTACCAATACCAATTTCGAATTCTCAACAACAACACTCGCAATCATCAAGTCAACAATCAGTAACACCTAAATTAATATTAAAAACACCCACGCCCATCATCGCCAAAACCTTGCCAAAGCCAGCAATCGTCGAACCTGTCAAACCAACACCACCACCACTTCCAACACCACCTGCTATTAAAACACATCAACCATTACGCCCACCATCCAGTTATTTTGCAACTGACAACAACAACAATACCAACAACAGTACCAACACCAACAGAAATGAAATAGATGATCTTGACTTTGATTTTGGTGATACTGGAGATGAACAACCTCAACAACAACAACAAAACAACATAAATAATCTCCACAATAACAATAACAACTCTAATTTCACATTACCATCAAAATCTAGTATACCAAGTTTTCAAAGAAAGCTGACCCCTATAAATTCTCTTCATACAACAATGAGCAATGCGAAATAAATAATAAAACTATTAATAGGTATCTGGATGTTCCGAGAACTGGTACTGTACAAAATAACAATATTTAATTAAATCTTTATGTTTTTTGTTTTTTCTTTTGTCTGTCATCTTGAGTGTTGGCATGAGGTTCAGCATCTTTTTGTTTGCGCATCGCTTCTTTTGCCAGTTCTTCTAAATCGAAATCCGGTTGTTGAGTTGAAATCTTCTTCCATTCCATCCAAGTCTCGTAGTCCATCTTAACGATGGAGTGTCGTTGTTTCGCTTTGCCAGTGGTATAGTCCGCTTCGTCGGGTGGCTGTGACACCTGGATATTGATTATGCCATCTTCGTCCGATGCCAACTTGGCTTGTCCGTCTTTCAAGAGGAACGAAAAGTAAAAGATATTCTCGACGGTACGCGAGAATGACTTTTGATCGGTGAGGGTATCGATTTCATCGATCTTCTTTTTGTTCTCTATGTAGGATTTCATTGCCTGTACACGACCACTGGTCGATTCTGCTACCATCTTTGTGGAATCGTCGATCTTCTCTGCGGTTTCGAGCTTTCCAACATCATCTTTTTGTCTTCTAACCGGTGCCTTTCTTGTCTTCTCGACGATCTCTATATTCATCGGGCCGTACATAAAGTCAAACACCGGTACATCATTAAACTTTGAACTGACTTGTTCACCAAACTTATTCCAACCGTCTTCCGTAACTTCATTATCTTCACCGAGTTGCACCAACGAGTTTCTCAATCTAGTAATGAAATTGACAGTGTCAAACGAACTTGGTGCGACTTTGAACCTCTGTGCTTGTTCATAACCAAGTTGTGATGTTAAACTGAGTAACTCTGAATCTAAAGCTGCTTCTCTAGGTTGTTGTACTTTAAATTATTAATAGATAGATAGAATAGAAAAGAAATCATGTTATTAAACTATTATTATTTTGGCGCCAAAATATATGATGTATCGGGGATGGATGAACTTTAAAGTTTATTTATTTACCTTTTGAATATAATACATCTACTTTCTTTAAGACATCTAAAAGACCTTGACTGTCAGGTTGAATAAGATCTTGTTTCTTTGCTGTGCAATAGGTTAATGAATGATAGGATTAATAAAAAAAAAAGTTCAAAATGATGATGGTTTACAACATACCTTGTGTCTCTTGAATAAGAGTTCTGTATTCTCTTCTGATAGTTCTTCTCTCGTTTTGTGATTGTTTCTGTGGAGTTGTCATGATGATTGTATGTTTATAGGTTTCATTCAATTTATTAATACTACACTTAATTAAAAATCAAGAAAAAACGAAAAAGGAAAAAGGAATTTTTTAAAAATTTTATTTTTTTTAACGGTTTTTAGATCCAATGACAACTTTAAATAAGTCTTTTCTCAAAGTATTGAGATCAATGGATATGATATCTGATTATTAGATTTCATATCTAAGAATAAATAAAAACCAATTTATAACAACAACACCACTCAATACTAAACAACAACATTGACATTAACAAAATCGATACTCATCGCAATAATCTAATGTAGACATAGACAAAAATAATAAAATTATGAATAAATATTCTTATTCCTGAATTAATGTTGGGAAAAAAACATGATGGTGTGATATGATATGATATTGAAATTTTTTGCATAAACTTCACAAACATTTAAAAATAAAAAATAAATTTAAACAATATCTTGATAACAATTGTGTGGGCAAGATATTTGTATTTTTGGTACCTTCAAACAAAAATAATTTAAAAAACTCTAAATTTCTCGGTGATTTACTGCAAAACAAAATTCCAATTGAACGCGACATTAAGAGGATGAAATTTAGCTCAAAGATTTTTTGTTCTTGTATTTTATTTTTAACACTTATCTTGGTTGTGATCCGATGTAAGCACTACAATTTCAGTGACTCAATTGGAAAGAACAGTAACAACTACATTATTTATTTAACCATACTCTTACTTTTTTTTTAAAAAAAAAAAAGGGTAAAGAAATGATAAAGTTAATTATTAATTTTATTACAATTATTGTATTATTATGTGCTATATCAACTATTGTTAGCGGTACCGCCGCCACAGGATCCTATACAGCTACATTTAATCCAACTCAAAATTGGGGTGTGTGGGAAGGATTTGGAACATCGCTTGCTTGGTGGGCTCAAACCTATGGAAACAACACTGTCCTAGCAGATATTATGTTTACTACACAGAATGTTACCTATTTCGATGGTACAACAGTGCTGCCAGGTCTTGGTTTAAACATTGTCAGATATAATGCCGGTGCATCGACTTGGGTGGAGTCGTTCGGTCGCAAAATGGTACAGTCACCAGAGATCAAGAGATCTCGCCAAGTCGAAGGCTACTGGTTGAATTGGGCATCGGAAGATCCGCAATCCGACAGTTGGAATTGGGCTGCCGATCCACTCCAGAGAAATATGATGGCAATGGCACGCGATAGAGGTGTACAGTACTTTGAACTGTTTAGTAACAGTCCTATTTGGTGGATGACCTACAATTTGAATCCAAGTGGAGCGGATCTGCCGGCAATGAATAATCTTGAGACTTGGAACTACCAGAATCACACAGTCTACATGGCGACAATCGCTCAGTATGCAGCGGAAAACTGGAATATCAGCTTCACATCGATCGATCCATTCAACGAACCATCCGGTGATTTCTGGATTGCATTTGGATCGCAAGAGGGTTGCCATTTCGATGTTGAAGCGCAGAAGGACGTCATTCCATATATGCGTAAAGAGATTGACTCTCGTCGTCTTACCGCAATGTTGGCTGCCAGCGATGAGAATAACTATAGACGTGCACTAGATACATGGAACTCATTTGATTCATCAATTAAACAAGCGGTTGATAAGGTCAATGTTCATGGATACGAGCTGACCAAAGGACCGAGATCAGAACTCTACGAAGCAGTAAACTCACAAGGAAAAGTATTGTGGAACTCTGAATATGGAGAAGGTGATATCACTGGTCTTTCGTTGGCTACTAATTTACTACTTGATTTGGCACAACTGCATCCAACCGCTTGGGTATATTGGCAAGTTCTGGATATTAGTGGATGGGGTATGATTGAAGCAGATGAGAATGCCAATCCTCCAAGCATTGGTGCCGTTGCCACCAAATACTATGTGCTAGCTCAATTCTCGCGTCACATTCGTCATGGTATGACAATCATCCAATCGAGTGACGGTAATTCCGTTGCTGCCTTTGACTCTGTGAACAACAAGTTGGTAATTGTCTCTGCCAACATTGCATCCTCTGCTCAGACCATCACTTTTAATCTATCCAAGTTTACCACCGTCAATGGAGGCTATGGTGGTATAGTTCCGCGTTGGGCAACAGAGACCAATGGCAATGGTGATTTATACAGTTATCATGAAGATACCTATATTCAAGACAAAATGTTCAGTGTAACTTTTAACTCTCAAACCGTTCAAACTTTTGAAATTGAAGGAGTTTATTTATAGACGAAAAAATATTATTGAAAAAAGCTAGTGATCACAAGACAAAAAAATTAAGCTAGATAAGACATTAAATATATCAATTGTATACTTTGTTTTTATATCAACAAATAAATAAAAAACCGTTATTAATTTATTTTTTAACACTTCTTCTTCTTGGCTTGGAGGATTTAATCTTTCTAATGGCACTGCCATTCCAATTACCATTATTCTTTGGTCCTCTATCCTCTGGATGTGGAAATTTATTCTAAAAATATCAATAGTATAGGAAGAAAAAAAGATATTGATTAGTTCAAAGTATCTTTGGATATATGATTGCAAATTGAAAACACTTACAGGTTGATTTGATCTAATAGTTGTTTCAAATATTTCCCAGAGAATGAGTATATGCCTGATGTATAGAACAGGGAAGGATGTTAATGTAGCTAAGACACAATCGATGTTCAAACCTGAATTTTCAAGCACCGAGATAAACTCTTCACGGCTCTGTAGCTGTTTGAATAAGCCATCCGATTCCTCTTTGTCAAGTGATGTACTCAGCTTACAATCTCTCAACTATAATAATTAAATAAAATCAATAGAAATAGATATAGAAACAAAAGAATAAATAAACAAATATTAATTTATTGTTTGATATTGATATCAAATTAAATTAAACCACTTGGTTTATTATATAAAATTAAACCACTTGGTTTATTATATTAATTAACTCTTACAAATAATAGTTTCTGTAACACTCCTGACATTGTTGTTTGAAATGTATAAAAATGATAGTAGTTTATGGTTTTGGTTATAATGTTTGTTACACAAATGTATTTGTTGTTTGTTTGTTAGATAAGTGTAGAAATGATTTTGTGGGACATTTATAATGAATGATAGACTTTTAATACTGCATTGTTTATCAATTGATAAAGCCCACTTTTCATTGAAGTCGACAACAACATCAACAACGACAACAATAAATTTGATACACTTCAGTTTGCATAAATCATTGTTAGTTTAGTTTTGGAAACTATAGTTTGGGGAGGGGGAGGTGGTAGCTATTGTTCTATTGATTGTAAAGTGTGTTGAGTTCATCATCATCAACAATATCATAAATAAAATTTTTTTGATTGACAAATTGTGAATTGTGTTATTTCAATTTGGTGTTTTGAGCCTCATCTCTAAACTTAATTTTTGAGGGTAGAAATTAAATTCTTTAATATTTCTTTAGTACACTTATTTATTCTAAACTATGGGAATTTAATTATCTTATATATCTAAATATTGTTCTTTGAAAATGATTATAGATCTTCCAAACACCAAAATGTTGATATCAATTTTCATAATTCATCAATAAATAAAATTAAACAAAAACATTTGTTATTATTTACAAATACTATATATGTGTGTTGTGTTATTTTATTTGATTTTAATTTCTTCTGGGTTCTGCAGTCAAAGACATCTTATAGATGGTTTCTGTATCGGGTGCACGCAAATCCAATTGAGATTTCAATTTGTTGTTGACTTCATGGAAATATTCAAGAGTGTTTTGGAATTGCTGAATCGATAGAATGGTCGCTGCAATCTCACGCTGTTTGGTAAAGTTTATCAGTTTGTCTTCACGGTAGTCCGGATTGCCTTCGTAGATGAATGTCAAGTCCGTCAGATACACTCCGAGGTATGGAATGCACGCGGATGTCGTTTGTTTCAGACGTTCACGATACTCTTTGTAGCTGCTGTTTGGCGAGAGGAGTCGCTGCAGTGCCTGGAACGACTGGAGCGACGCCGATGGTAGCTGCTCCCACGTCTTGGAGAGACGCGACACCGACGCCGACTCCAACGACGACAATACCTCCATTGCACCGTAGAAGTTGTTGAGTTGAAGGAACGATTCACCGAGAGCAATGATACGCTTCATCGCAGAGACACGCTCCTTCACTTTGCCATACTTGACGATTTGCATTTGAATCCAGAAACTAACGTTGTTGAAATGCTCTGTGAATCGCGCGATATTCGGTGATGTTCTGAACTTTGTCTTGTTCTTTGTCCAAGCCAAGTCCAACAACTCCTCTGGTCGGATCGATTTGAACATCTCGAATTCAATGAGAGTGATCTGTGTTGCAATGTCGTTGACTTCGTAGTTGAAGAGAACACGATCGTCGACGACCATCATCTCTGCAATGTCTTCTTGACTCAGCGGTTTCAAAGGTTGATACTCTACCAAAGCAACGTAATTCTCTTGTTTTCTTCTCAATAGTGCTTCTAGATGTACTGCATATCGATCCATATTGAATCTTGGCATAATTGTCTTTAATAGATATTGAAGTAACTCCAATAGCTCCTCATTCTCGAAATCCCAAAAGAATTTAGCAATCCACAATTTAATAACATTGAAAACACTAAAGTATAATGTATTAATAAATGTAATATCTTGATATGTTATGTTTAATTTAACTTTACCTTATTCTTAATTGATCTTGTTTCGATGTTCTCCAACCACTAACATAGTCATCCATTTGAAGTAGTGTTGTGGTTAACTCCATTGCTGGTGTGCTACAGAATCTAATGATTAACAACTCCATCAATTCAATGGGTGAAACGAATCTTCTAAATGTCAGGAGGAATACATTTGCAAACTTCATATCGTGATTGTCTATCTTGGTGAGTCGCTCGATCAAACGATCCAATGTTGCACAGAGAATTATGAATTTCTCTGGATTGCTTTCATCGACCTTGAATTTAACTGAATCGGAATTAACACCTTCCGGTAATTGTTTTGCATTCATATTCAACAGTTCTCTATTCTTTTTCAACATATCACCAATATTATCATTGAAATCGATGTTTCTAAGTACAGACTATATAAATATAAAGATGAAAGTAATAAGTAATTAGTAAAGTGTTTAAAAAACCTTTTTAATTAATGGTGTAACTTACATCTAAATGAATTTGTAATATAAACTTCTCAGCGAATAGATCTTCGATTTCACTCTTGAGTCTTGAGTTTTGAATTGATTCTTCCTCTACTTTTTCTTTTGCAGCTTGAAGTGAACCATCGATGTCACTCAACATTCCAAGGAGATAGTCTGCTTCGTCAGATTCATCGTCATCGATCTGATTGATGGTGTTGTTGTTTGATTCACTCTCTAGCTTTAGATCATTCAAAATTTCACTCTTTCTCTGTATTGCTGCATTTTGTTTCGACAATGTCTTTACAATCGCTAAAACATTCTCCAGTGGATTGATAACAATCTTGTGTGCATCTCTAATAATCATAATATTAACAATAATCAATAGCAATATAACAAATATTGTTAAACATAAATGCATAATACTAGATATTCTAACATTATACTAGAAATAATAAGTTAGTTAGTTATTTAGTTAGATAGATAAATATTCAGGTGGTTTGTTTTGTTATTACAACAACTTACAGAATTATCTAACCAAATAGATGATGATTGATAATCATATTTTAAGATTGCGTTGAATTGTAGATTAACGATTTTAGATTGATGGTTGTAAAAGTCTTGGTTGGCGACGGAGAGGAACAGTATATCGATGTTGTTGTGCGAGTTGCTAGAGATGTAGTTGTTGACAGAGTCTGTGAATGTTGTTGGATTGCTGGCTAGTTGGTACTGTAGGTTCGATAGTGATGCTGTGTAGCCATAGAGATCGGTGCGGTCCAGTGAGAGTAGCTGTGTTGCAAAGAAAACGAGAAGCACTAGAAACACTATTTTGTTGATGACCTCTCTTATGAGTTTGTCGCCGAGTTTGCTTGCTTCCACCTGAAGATTGTCTTGTGTTTTCTGTCGTGGTCGCCATATACGGTGGTGAAGCGTTGCAACCAGCGACACCCGGATGTACGCGCCGCAGAACCGGATGATCCTTCCGGCCTGTCCGATCGCCAGTACTTGCAGCTCGTAGGGAATCGCTTCTTTGCGCAAGCCAAACACTACGTCGGGGATGATGGAGAGCGTCGATATTACATCGAGGAAAACGACCACCGTGTTATTGTAGTAGTGACGGTCGTATACCAATACACTCATTACAATGTCCAGTGTGAAAAACAATATGATAAGCAGACGCACCGCCAAGATTATATAGTTTTGAATGGTGGAGTATGGCGAACCGCAAATTCCAATGATGTCGTCTATGAAGAGAATAAAGAGGATGGCAAGCACCATCAGTGTGATATAATATGGCGATTCAATGACCGAGAGAAGTCCACGTCGAAAACTCTGTGATTTCTTGGTCGGTGGTAAAATTGTTACGGAGGCGGCCAGCGATTTTCTTCGCGACGGTGAGGCTGGCGGTGTATTTCCACTGCCGTTGGAGTGGTGAGGGTTGCTTACGGAAGCGCCATCCAAATTGAATGGTGGTGGCGATGGTGTTGCGAAACTACTTCGTTTCAGGTGTCCACTGGCTGTCAACTCGCCAGGCAGACTACTGAAACTGGGTGATCTTTCATTCATTTGTACAGGTTTATCGAGAATCGATATGGAAATATGGTGTGGTTGTGGTTTATATATGTGATGAAGATTTTCAAGAGCTGTTGGTGGTTTTGGTGAAGATGGAATAGCTACACCTGGTTGCTGTTGTTGTGTTGTCATTGTTTTTTGTGTGGTATCTACAGAGAGTGAGAATGTTGGTGGATTTAACGTTTGCTCTGAAGACGGTGGAAGCATACTTGAGGAAATTGATGTGTTTGAGGTGGATGGATGAATACTGAAACTATGATGTCTTGATTGCATTGGAGATGATGGAGCAGATCCTCCTCCTCCTAATCCTCCTCCTGATCCAACTATATTTAGAGGTGATAGATGTGATTGTCCACCACGAGGTGAATGAGGTGGGTGTGGTAATGAATTATCTAAAGCTGTTAAATTCGGTGTTGAACTACTGTTGTTCTGTGCATTATTTGTTTGATGATCCAAATCCAATATTATCTTGGTAACCTCGTCCATCACAATCATATCGAAACTGTGACTTCTCTGTCGGTTTCCCTCGATTTTCTTTAATCTGTTCATTTTATGTTTGGTATATTATTCTTCCAACAAAAAAAAAAATCTTTCTGTTTTTATCTAAAATACATGGAGTGAATTTGTCTCATTAAGAATATGATTTGAGACTACTATGCTACTACTACTATAATACTACAAACTAAAAATATTACAATTAGAGAAAATTATATAGTTGCTTGCACTTTTGCACTATTTTTTATTTTTTTTTGGTAAAGAAAGTACAGGAAAAAGGTTGTTTGATCAAAAAAAAATAAAAAACAAAGTTAAAAAATAAAAAAAAAATAGATTTTAATTATCAGACGAAGAAGGTTTTAAGTGTGGTCAAAAATTGGTTTTGGTTAACCAATCAATCACACTGTTTTTTCAAAAACACACACTCACCCACAAAGAAATCTCGATTTAAATTTAATTTTTTTTTTTACAAAAATATATTTTTGGATTTGTTTGATCAAAGTTTAACGGTTTATTTCTTTTTCGAAAAGCTTTAGACATCAACCAACAACTAAAAAACAACGTTGACTTATTTATTTTTAATGTGACAAACATCAACATCACATCCAAAATTCAATAACATATCGATCCAAACTTTTTGTTGATTGCTGAGTGTGTCACCTGCGCCTTTTACTTCGACAAATTTAATAAAGTAGGACTCTTCTAACTGATCATCGGGATTACGAGACCACAAAAGAAGATCGGGCATACCATGTGAAAAGCATGTATAGTCTTCAGTTATCAGCTTTGAACAATATCCAATCAATCCACCTCCAACATGATCTGAGATATCAATTAATTGTCTAATAATAATAAAGTTAGTTAATATAGTTTTAGATTAAATATAAATATTTTTATAAACAACAAAACAACACTTACTCTAAAGAATATTTATCCCAATTTATACATCTAACTACTCTTCCATGATATTTCTCCCAGATATATTCAAGTATTGCTTTACGTTCATCACGTGTACTATTTTTGAGTTCTTCCGCTCTTTTGTTGATTAGGTGCGCTCTTGATATATAGAATTCGCTTGTTCCGAAATCCAGAGGTGCATCTTGGAACGGTGATTGAAATACAAAAGGAATGTCAGAGTCGAAAATGATATCCCAGAAAAACAAAACAAACATCGATAGAAATATAGAGGTTTCACAATGAATACCTTTCCACTTTTCTTTACATTCCGTTGCATAATAATTCAGTGCAACTCCCTAAAGATTAAAAAAAGAAAATAAACATTATTATTGGAATATTATTATTAGTAAAGTTTCATAAATAATAATTTTTGAGGTTCAATAAACTTTGAACATACTTCAACATTGGTAATAATTGGTGATTTCTCTTTATCCTCTGGATTCTCTATAAAGTATCTACTTTTACGGCCTGGCAGTCCAGTTTCCACTTTTTCACAATAAACAGTGACTGGATTTGCTTTTCTTATTGTATGTGCCATTTTAATAAGACCGTCTGGTACATTAATATTTTTATTTCTAGATATATGAAAACAGTTAGTTATAACTCTATTTATAGATATTAAATCAACATTATTATTATTTACCTTGTCAATTGTAAATAGTGATTTTCCAAAGCTAATCTATCACCACTTGTCACTTTTTCATCTTTTAATGCACGTTCACAAATTACAAGAGCATCGTCACTTCGATTCAGATGTTTCATATTGATGATCATTCGCTGCCACCAATGTCCACGTTTTCCAGGACAGAAAGGCACCTCTGTCAGTACCATCAGATGGAATATAGCCTTATCATACTCCTTAAGTTTCTCGAGCAGTGCAATTCCACTTGTTAAAACACGTGTATAAACCCAACCAGGTGTAAATCTTAGTGCAAATGTAATGTTATTCCTACTTCCAATATTGTTGTTGCTATTATTATTATTGCTCAATTTATTATTTGTCATATTTGATAACTTCTCTGCACAATCATTTATCATTGATATCACTGTATTCAACTCATCTTGATCGTTTCCAGTCGACTTAATGTTGGTACTGTCGAATCTCTCCTCTATCGCCTTGACATCTTCAAACTCCAAAAGCGATGCTCTTGTTTCAAAGATATTTCGTGATTCTCCATGATTATTACTCTTACTCTTATTGCTATTATTATTGTTATTGCTATTGCTATTGCTATTACCATCCCATATCTTATACTCTGGAAATTCGATACCCATAATATTGTTAACAATGAGCGACGTCGAGTTATGTATTTGCCAATTGTAAAAGAAAAGATGATGAATCATTCTCCAGAGTTTGACAACGCTATCGTTGACTTTGAAACATACGCCAATGTTATCCTCCACCAGTTTCTTGTATCGCTGTTTCGGCGAAGATTGCGAACTGATGTTAAACATCAGTGTCGATTGTCCTCTACTGGGATTGCCTTTCAGCAGCTCGAGCAGCGCCGGTTTCGTAGAGTCTTTCGGTAGCGAAGCGTTACCGATGATCTTCTTGATGGTTGAGACCGTTAGGATTGGTGCCAGTTCATTGTAATCGTCGTGTTTGGTGTCGTACAAGTGAAGAAACTGACAGGTCACCAACTCATCGCAGCTGCTCTTGATATTTTTGATCTCATCGTAGAATATTGAATCTCGCCGGAACCACGGACCTTTTCGGTTGTACAGCCGAACAAAGAGATGTCGCGCACTGTCGTTCATCGAGTGGAATCTCTCTACCATTGACAACTCCTCCTCTTCAAACAGATGTGAATCTCTACTGATAACAGTGTCTGTAACAGTGATGAAATCATTCAAATAGTATCTAGAGTAATCTGCATTCTCTTCTGAAGTCAATGATGGTGATGATGATGATGCTTGAGTAGGTGAATCTGACAATGATAACGACGACGGTGGAGTACTACTAATATTATTAGGTTCATCTTTTATCAATACTATTTCATCTTTTATAACTATACTATTATTGTTATTGTTGTCTGTTATTGAAGTTCTTTTTTGTTTCTTTAAAAAGTGATGTTGTTCATCTTTATCATCTTCATCTTCATCTTCTAAATCTATTATTTGTGATGCTTGTTGAGATTGAGGTGATTGTAATGGTGTTGTTGTTGTTGATTGACTTGTTGTGGTATTGGAAATATCGAATGGAATAGGTGATAATAATAGTTTTTGTGATTGTTGTTGATGTTGTTGTTGTGATGGTGATGGTGATGTTGTTGGTGTTGACATTACTTTGGTAACAACGGTTGTTACAGTGGTAGTGGTTGTAGTTGTCTTTGTTATGACACCGTTGTCATCTTCCACAACCTCTACCTCCTGTGATGATTTAGATTCAACCTTTTTCTTTGGAAAGAATTCAAGCATCGATGCTTGTCGCCCACTGAACGAAGGGAATACCTTATCACTCACAGATTTATAAATACTCAATTGTGTAGGTGATATATTACTATTTTTATTATTTTGACTACTACTATTGTTATTAGCTTTACCTCCACTCCCACCACCTCCTCCACTACTACTACTAGTAGTCTTTCTTTTATTACTATTATATACCATAATTAAAAAAATAATTAATATTTTAATTATTTATATTAATTATTTATTTACTAATTTCTAATAAATAATTATTATTACTTTATTTTTATATTTTTTCGTTTTTTTTTTATTTTTAATTTTCTTTGGGCGGTTTGTTTTTTTGTTTTGTTGTTATTGTCATTCATTGTGTTGTTTTGTTTACATTACTAAAAATGGATAGTTTGACCAGTGAAAACAATAGTGGTAATGGTGGAAGTGACAGTGTTAGTGTTAGTGTTAGTAGTGGTAATGGAGATGTAGTAGTTGAGACAGTGGATACAACTACAGCCACAACCACAGCTACAACTACAACTACAAATACATCTGCAACCACATCGAGAAAACCAGGTGAAGCGCCAATCAAATCAGAGTTTCTCAAGGCAAACAGAAAGAGAACCAATGAAGAGATGGAAGCTGATGAGAAAGCTCAATCCACCACTTCGACAGTTCCACAAACCACTGGCAAGCCAAAGAAAGTAAAGAAACAAAAGAGTGAATACATTCCTGAATCCGATAGGGTAAGTAGTGATGTCGTTTATTGGTCAGTTTTGTTTGCAAACAAATCTTATTCTAATTGTTTTATTTTGTTTGTGAACATTATCTTATATACATGCATATATATATTTAGTTATGTCAAGTTTTCTTAAAAGAGAAATCATGTCCTTATGGTGATAGTTGCAAGTATAGTCATGATCTACAAAAGTATCTGTCTACAAAGCAACCGTCTTTAGGAAAATGCTATCTCTACGAGACCTACGGAGAATGTAAATACGGAATCAAATGTCTCTTTGGTGGTGATCATATCGATGGTATCAACTCGATTGTCAACAAAGAGGTTAGTGATAAATGTGACCAATCACAACACCAACTACAAAACGATGTATCCAACGACATTAGAGTAATGCTTACAAAGAAAAAATATCCATTCAAAAAGACTGAAGAGTATTTCATGTAACTATCATCATCAATTATCATTAATATTTATACAATTTTAACAAACAAACTAAACATATTTATAAAAATAATAGTAAAAACAATCTAGAACTTAGAAGAAATCAAAAGGGTAACAAAAACAATAACAACAACAACAAAAAGGAAACTAAATCAGAAGAGTCAAAAGAGGATAGTAATGTTAATGCTGCTAAAGTAGATGTCAAAGTAGAAGAAACAACAACAACAACTGATGCTACTACAACTCAAACAGAAGATAATAATAGCAATGTTTCTCTTATTAAACAATCACATGAAGGTGTAGAGTATCATGTTGAAGTACCTTTGAAACCACAGGAGAAGAAAAAGCTCGATTGGAAGAATCAATTGTATTTGGCACCGTTGACAACCGTTGGTAACTTACCGTTCAGACGTATCTGTAAGTCGTTGGGTGTCGATATTACCTGTGGTGAGATGGCGTTGGCATCGAATATCGTGCAGGGTCACAAAGGTGAGTTGGCACTGTTGAAGCGTCATCCATCTGAAGACAAATTCGGTGTACAGCTGTGTGGCCCTCACTTGGACTCGATGATGTCCAGTGCCGAGTTCATCGAAGACAACCTCAATGTCGATTTCGTCGATGTCAACTCGGGTTGCCCGATCGATCTCATCTGTAATATGGGTGCGGGTGCCGCTATGATGGACCGTCAGAACCGTATGGAAATGATCCTCCGTGGAATGTCCAGTGTTCTGACATGCCCACTCACCATAAAACTACGTGTCGGTCGTACCGAAGAGAATCCGAACGCCCACAAAATCATCCCGAATCTCGGTAGCTGGGGTGCACAAGCGGTGACCGTCCACGGTCGTTCTCGTACACAACGTTATACCAGACTTGCAAATTGGGAGTACATCAAGCAATGTGCTGAAATCTCACCGATTCCAGTCATTGGAAATGGTGATATCTATAATTGGAGAGATGTATGTTGTTTGGCTAAAGAGTATAAATATATATGTCATAATATTAATCTTTTTTATTATAATAATTATAGATTGAAAAATCATCGGATTCAATCTCTGCTTTGATGGTTGCAAGAGGTGCTCTTATTAAACCATGGATTTTCACAGAGATCAAAGAGAAAAGAGATTGGGATATCAGTGCATCCGAAAGATTGGATTTGGTGAAGCAATTTGCTAACTATGGTCTTGATCATTGGGGATCTGATCAACTTGTAAGTTAAAAACAAATCAAAAACAAAAACATAATTATTCACATTATAATATTCATAATAGGGAGTTGACAATACAAGACACTTTTTGTTGAATTGGTTATCGTTCTCTCATAGATATGTACCAGTTGGTATTTTGGAAACATCCTACTCAAAGATCAATGAGAGACCACCAGGTTACTTTGGTCGTTCCGATTTGGAGACACTGTTAGCCAGTAACCAAGTATCGGATTGGATCAAGATTTCCGAGATGTTTTTAGGACCTGTTCCATCAAACTATGACTTTATTCCAAAGCATAACTCAAATTCCTATGATGCTCAAGGTTAAGTAATAAAATAATTATAATAACAATAATTATAACATTAAACCAATAAATTTATATTTAGTTATTATTACTACCATGCATAAATAAAACAAATGAATTGAATAACAATCAATAAAGTGGGTGAAGAAATGAAATGAAGCGAAGTGTAGTGAAGTGGGTTGTCATCACACCCACACTTGATCATTCATTATTATAAAAACCAACATTTTATATGTTAAATTTTTTTCAATGACATTTAAAAGTGTTAGTTATACGATGATAGATATAAACATTGTAAATTGTAAACACATGTTCATACCCCAACTCACATATGATGATTATCATTGTGCTTCTAAACATGTAATATATATAATATATTTAAGGGAGTATAATTGTATAATTGATTGGATTTTGAAATAATTTATTTATTTATTTATTAATTTATTTTTAAAAAAAGAATTATTTTTGATTTGAGTGAAGAGCTTTCTTGTATTTATTTCCAATATTGATTTTCTTTTCTTTTTAGATATAAAAAATAAATAAATATATTTATATATCATAAATAAATAAATCTTTATTTTTTATTTATTTTGTTTTATTATTTTAAAAGAAAATGAAAGTTTTATTATTTTTTTTATATACCTTATTTCTTTTCAATTTGGTAGTGTCAGAGGACACCAATAAATTTCCAAATGCTCCAAAGATTATGGCTACCGACCAGAATATGGCAACTTTACTGGAATTGGTAGATTCACTTCCAGCGAGTGAAGGTGATACAAAAGTAGTGTTGGAAGTAATATTGGACCCTCTTTTCGATATTGAGAAAATACCAAGCTCACAAGACAACAAATTGAGTTTTATGAAATCTCAAAAAAATTCATTAAAACTCAAAGACAAAGAGAGTGACATATTTAATCAAATTCAGAAATTGGGCAATTTCTTAAACTCAAACAGTGATAACAAACCAGATTCCTCATCAGAAAAACCAGTAAGTGAGAATACTTCAAATGAACCAACAACAGAGAAAGAAAAACCCTCAGAAAGTCCAACTACAGATAAGCCAATAGATAAACCAACAGATAAGCCAACTGATAACCCAACAGATAAGCCAACTAATAACCCAGCAGATAAGCCAACTGATAACCCAACAGATAAACCAACTAATAACCCAACAGATAAGCCAAATAACCCAACAGATAAACCAACTAATAACCCAACAGATAAACCAACTAATAACCCAACAGATAAGCAGCCAGCTGATAAACCAACTGATAAGCCAACTGGTAAGCCAGAAGACAAACCAACCGATAAACCCGCAGACAAGCCAACTGATACTGATAAACCAAAAGACAAACCAACAGAAACTGATAAACCAAAAGACAAGCCAACTGAAACTGATAAACCAAAAGACAAACCAACTGAAACAGACAAACCAACCGATAAACCCGCAGACAAGCCAACAGAAACTGATAAACCAAAAGACAAGCCAACAGAAACTGATAAACCAACAGAAACTGATAAACCAAAAGACAAGCCAACTGATACTGATAAACCAAAAGACAAGCCAACAGAAACTGATAAATCAAAAGACAAACCAACTGAAACTGATAAGCCAAAAGACAAGCCAACTGATACTGATAAACCAAAAGACAAACCAACTGAAACTGATAAACCAAAAGACAAGCCAACAGAAACTGATAAGCCAACAGAAACTAATAAGCCAACAGAAACTAATAAGCCAACAGAAACTGATAAGCCAACAGAAACTGATAAGCCAACAGAAACTAATAAGCCAACAGAAACTGATAAACCAAAAGACAAACCAACTAATAACCCAACAGATAAACCAAATAACCCAACAGAGAAGCCAACTAATAACCCAACAGATAAACCAACTGATAAGCCAACAGACAAACCGCATGAACATAAGCATAAAAAAGATAAAAAGAATAAAGATAAAAAGCCTACCGACAAACCAACTGAAAAGCCAACTGATAAACCAACAGAAAAGCCAACAGAGAAACCAACAGACAAACCAACAGAAAAGCCAATTCCAAAACCATTTGAACCACCTTCTCAATCAAACTCACCAAAACCAAACCCAACTACAAATCCTGAAGGAACAATAACAGGTTTTATTCCATCTGGTCCACCAACACACACTCAGTTACCAGATGCTACGGGAACTATAACAGCTTTTATTCCAACTGGTCCTTCTCCTCAACCCCAATCAGCTCAACCATTCACTCCAAGACCAACACTTGACAATACTCCTCCAAGAGAAATTCCAACCAGGTCACCCAATCCAAATGTTCCAAAGCCAGGAGAGCAATACCGTTGTGGAATTGAATTAAGACAAACCATTCTGAAAAATCTCACAACGCCAGCTCTTTTCTTAAAGAGTTTGGAAATTATAAACTTTGAACCGTTCGCTCATAGAACCATTACAGTTCTCAAGCGAACATACTATAGTGTACCTGGAAATTCATTGAATATCAATATCGAGACTGTCTGGGAGACTGGAACTCCTCAACCAGAAGGACTACTGGAGAGAATCGTCTACATTGGAAACAGTGAACCCGATGACTACTATGTTATATGTGATGATATCATTCACCGTCCAGTTCCACCTACCTATTCACCAGCGGTTGTTCCAACACCAGTGGTCAACCCCGTTCCAATCCCCACTCGTGCTCCTCCACCCAACGATGTAAACACCAAATGCTCCCTGTTCTACAATGAAAAGAGAATTGGATTCATTCGTACTGGATTCTCTGTCAGTATTATCTGGTGGGTTGAGATTATCAACCAAGGAAGTACACCAATCACCAGTTTGGATATCAGCTTCGAAGATCCAGTTACCAATGTCAATGGATTGGTTCCAACACCGAACAGTCCACTCACATTCTCTCTACCAAGAGGTGTTATCATCCGACCGGGTAGTTTCTTCTCATTCACCTACTTCTCTCAGGGCACAGAGATGTCACCGATCAGATTTTCCAACTACCCAGACAGCTGTCATGGTTCACAACCTAAGGACAACGCCAACTCCCAAATGCAATGCAAGGCAACACTGACTCAACAAAAGACAGCAAGCGGAGTGGTGAACGGTCGTCGTATAACCAGTTGGGCAGTGGTGGTAATCAACACCTCGCCAAGCGGCACCAGACTCTACGATGTCACCATGTCAATCGGTGACCGTATCAACTCCGCACAAGGCATAGAATATGGAAGCAAACCAAGAGACGAAGTCATCCACTTCCCACAACAGATAAGATCGCTCGGTTTGAGTTCCGGCGAATCATATGTATGGTACTACAGTAAAGATGGTTTGGACCAAGCACAAATCAACCTATTATCAACCAACTGTGTACCAGAATATTATTCAGATGTTTAGAAAACATCAAAGAGTTTTAAAATTATTATAAATAGATAGATATATATAAAAATCAAATATAATTAAATAAAATGAAAACATATATTTAAATTAAATAATAAAACTTTGTATTTTATTTGTTCTTCTTTTAACTTGTTAGCTTCTTTTAGGAAATTAGACGGTTATTATATCACTTTTAACCTATTTCTGGCCACTGTTGGAATTCAGCATGAATATCGGTTTAGTTTGATCTAAGTTATTGTTAGACTGATCAGCAGTGATGTTTTCATTGATCCCTCTCTCCCTATATGAATTAGTTCTATAATAATGCAGTATGAAACCAGAGATTCTAAAGATTCAAGAGACAGCTGTGGTGATCGTATTACTAGTTGAGGATTGTTTTGAAATTAATTCATCAACAACCTCGGTCAGTGCAACGATTTTAGTTTGTATTTCTTTCAACTGTAAATGTTGTTCAATATGGTTTGTGTATTTTAGCTATTTTGTAAAATGAATGTTAGTTACACTTCAAAAGCATTAATTTAAATGATATATAACAAACCAATTCCGTGATTCTTTAATTGTGAATCGTACCTACGACTCGATATACCATAGTTTAGTATGGAGGAAGTAACTTTCATTGGGTTACAATCAATTCATTCTAAATTTCATAAAAGAAGCTAAATAAGTTTAAAAGAAATAATAAACAAGTCTCATTTTTTTTTGTAAATCGAAGCTACACTTGCTCTTTTGCCAATTAAAATTAAATCTTTACATTAAATCAAATAAAAAAGAAAACAAAAAAAAAAAAAAAAAAAAGTATTTTGGTGATGATCTTTGAACCCGCCAAAATTTGCAATAAATATTAACATTGTTTTAAGATATATATCTTTAGTTTGTTAGATTTAGTTAGATTTGTTAGTAGCATTAGATTAACATTAGGTGTGTGTGTAAAAAATGGATGTTATACTTCAACAATCGATCAATGATTGTTTGAATTGTAATATGCTTAGCAATGCGCTGTTCTTGGCCGAACGACTCGTTGCAGACTACGATTGTGATGACAACTACTATCTGTTGGCAACCATCTACTATCGACAAGGTAGATTAGCACAAGCACATTCAGTACTGAAGAAACTACAGTATCTCAGTAATGGAGTGATGATGAACGGTGAAAATAATAGTAGTAGTAGTTCTTCAGCATCGTTGTTATCGACGGTCAAGTCGATGCAACTACTCGCTCAGTGCTCACTGGAGATTGGTGAAACTATGGAAGCAGAATATCTTCTAGAGGAGTCACTCAAGCTAATATCAAACCAGAGTCATCATACGACAAACGACTTAATCGATACATGTCAAATAGCTAGTATACACTACCTCTTGGGACTGTCATATCGTCAGCTCAACAAGAAGAACGAAGCCATAAAACAACAGCACTTGGCACTACAAAAATACCCATATCTCTGGGTTGCATTTGAACAACTCTGTCAACTAGACATTCAAGTTGATCCAACAACATTTTACAATATAAATAACATTCAACAACTACAACAACAACAACAACATCAGCATATTCTACAAAACAATAATAGTTTAAATGGACTTTCACAAATATCTTTTATAACTAATAACAATAACATTATCAATAATAATAATAATTTAATCAATAGTAATATTAATAACAACAAAAGTTATGATATGAGTACAGTTAGTATGGATATGATAGCATCGTCAATCGGTAATCTCAGTGAGATAAAGACACCACATCAGCTACAAGCAAGTCTGCATCATGCACCCCGTAAATCGACACAATCAGTCATTCAGTTTAACGATTCAACGTCGTTCTCCAGTAGCGTGGGTGTAGGTGGTCTAAACTTTGACATGATCGATTCGACACCACAACAAAACAAGACACCAAAGTTCAATTTAATGAGTAATCTAAATAGCAATAATAAATACAGCAACAACTACAATAATAATAATAATAATACTTATGATATATCAGATGTAACACCAAGATTACCAAATAAAATCAATAACTTTAATTTACAATATCAACAACAACAACAACAACAACATTACCAACAACAACAAAATAATACTAATTCAAGTCAAAATCAACCAATACCAATGTCATTTGCAACACCTGCTCCACCAACTAGTAACTCTATTCAATTTTCAACACCGATGATGACACCTTCACCTATGATAACGAATAACTACAAAGCACTACCAGAAGTCATTAAAAAGAAGAACACAAAGAAGAATGTTTGTATAAACAAATCAAATCATTATTTGAAATAATAGTATTAAAAAACATAAAAGTTAACTTTTATTCTTTTACTTTACTTTTTAGGATAATGAAATTGGAATACCTTTCATTGGAGAGCAATTATTATTTGAATCTCAACAGCAGCAACAACAACAACAATTACAACAATCACAACAAAATGAAAATCATAGATTATTTAATAATACTACTGTTGGTGGTGGTGGTGGCAACGGCGGTGTAAAAAAGAATATTGATAAAGCAGAGAGACATGTACATATAGGTGGAATACAAGAGATACTGCCGGATAATCATTCAATAGGAATAAATGTTGGTAAACCAATGACACTCGATGAGATTGGAAACGATAACAACAACTACAACTACAACAACACTTACGAACAACAACAAAACTATTCTCTACCAATTGAACAAATACAAGAAGCTCACAAAGAATTGTTATCACTTTTCTTTATCATTGCAACAGCATATAAATATTTATACAAGTAAGTAAAAAAGATAAACTAAATGAACACTCTATATATTGAATTTGTTAACTAACTTTGACTTTTATTAAAGTTATCAATGTAAAGAAGCTATTGATACATTTAATAGACTATCAAGTACACAAAAGAATACTGGTTGGATATTAACGATGATTGGTAAAGCCTATTTTGAATTGGTTGATTACCAACAAGCATACAATGTTTTCGAACAAATAAGATCGATTGAACCTTACCGATTGGAAGGTGCAGAAATCTACTCAACCGTTTTGTGGCATTTGAAAAAGTATGTAGTTGCAATACATCCATAATCTTCTATCATCGTAATTTAGTTAATTAATATCTATAATGATCATTATAATCTATAGAGAAGTAGAATTAAGTTACCTAGCTAATCAATTGACGGAATTCGATAGATTGTCAGCACATGCATGGTGTGTAGTAGGCAATTGCTTCTCTCTACAAAAAGACCATGAGTCTGCGCTAAAGACATTCAAGCGTGCCATCCAACTGGATTCGAAGCTCACCTACGCCTATACACTGTGCGGTCACGAGTACTTCTCGAATGACGATCTCGAGAATGCACAGATCTACTATCGTTCCGCTATCAAGATCGATCCACGCCACTACAACTCGTGGTACGGTCTAGGTCTGATCTATTTCCGCCAGGAGAAGTACAGTCTCGCCGAGTATCACTTCCGGAAGGCACTGTCGATCAACGGCACTAGCTCCGTACTGTACTGCTACATCGGTATGACACTGCAATCCAATAAACGCTACGAAGAGGCATTGGTAGAGCTACAGAATGCACTGGACATCTCGCCAAAGAACACACTGGCCAAATACAAAAAAGCATCGATACTCTTCACACTCGAACAATATCATCTTGCATTGAGCGAACTCGAGGAATTCAAAGAGATCGCTCCCAAGGAGATTTCAATCTACATTCTAATGGGTAAGGTCTACAAACGACTAGGTCAACTGGAGAAAGCACACGACAGTCTTACCATTGCACTTGATATGGGTCCTGAGAATTCAAATTACATTCGTTCCATCATCGACAAACTTTATCTTGAAGATGAAATTGATAATCAAGATATTTCTGTACTTATTTAACCTTAAATAAAACTTATAAAATAAATAATATTAAAAAAAACTAAAAACTAAAAACTAAAAATCTAAAAAACTATTGTTTTTTTTAAGAATTTACATTAAACATATATCTATATCTTACAAATGTTCAATAATAAATTGTTGTTGGTTGATGTATTAAATAGATTTTGTAGGAATGAACTTTTAAAGAGATATAGAGAGTTGTCTAGAATCGCTAGACCAGTGTTGTCTGACGAGAGACTTGACAAGTTGGATAGTGTTTTACGGTCGAGAACCGATCGTGTTGCAATCGTCTGTGACAATGTAAAGACCACTGGAAATGTAGCTGCTATCATTCGGTCGTGTGAGGCAATGGGAATACAACACATTCATGTCATTGACGATCAGCCATACACACCATTCAACGACATCTCGAAAGGCACAGAGAAATGGGTCACCGTTCACCGACATCATACACCTCTCGATTGCGTAGACTATCTCAAACAACAACGATATCAAATTTGGTCATCCGATCTATGTGAAGGTGCAATTAGATTCGACAATTTAGTTAAAACATTACCAGCAACAACAACAACAACATCAACGACAACGACAACAACATCTATTATTTCACAAAATGATAATGATAATGATGATAATAATAATAGAATAGCAATTGTATTTGGTAATGAAAAATCAGGTGTAACAGAAGATATGAAGATTTTAAGTGATAAACGTATATTCTTACCGATGTATGGCATGGTACAATCATTCAATGTCAGTGTTAGTGTCGGTATGACGCTTGCTATGCTTCAGATGCAAGGTGTGCTCGGTGGAAGTTTAAGTGATTTCAACAAAGAGAGACTGCGAGCACTCTGGCTCATCAAATCAATACCAGATCATCAACTATACTTTGAAAGACATGGAATTAAATATAACTATCTTTCTCTATTCACAAATAAAGTACCTCTTTATTAAATATTTTAAATAATTGTTAAACAATAACAACAATATTATTATTATTATTACCACTATTTTTCTTTAAGAATTCGAAGGAAATACATTAAAGAAATGATATATTTCATCTTGATCGTAAACTGCCAATTGTGTCGAACATATTTGACAATGTACTGCATGATAATATTCCTTATTTCGTTTGGTAGTACCGGTATCCACCTGTTTTTTGTTGGCTGTATTATCTTCTTTGGGTGTATTAACATCTTCATTGTAGTTATCATCATCTTCTTCTTGTTCATCATCCACCTCTTCTTCATCATCTTCTTGTTGCTTTTCATCTAGAGTATCATCACCATCATCGTTTTGATATAGCAATCGATTTGAAAAGTCTATTTTACAGTTCTTGACAAACATTGCTCTATATTGATTCTTAAAAGTATCATGTCGTTGACAATCAACACAAACCAATGTGAAACAACATGGACAACTTAGATATGCATCTGATTTTGAACCTAAATAATAAAAGATATTGATTAGAATGGATCATTCATTTTGTTTTGTTTTGCTTTGTTGTTTAATATTAAACCACATTACATACCAGACTTTTTTAAATTCTTTTCTACCCATGCTTCATTTTCGTCATCTTCATCTTCATTGTAAAGTAAATTATCTTTCTCTTCTTGAGTCAGTTCATTGTTTACATCCAACTCTAGATCACTACTGTCATCAGCGCTTGAATTATCGTCACCATCGTCATCGACAAAGTTGATCTTTTTAAAATTCTCGTTTAACTTTGAATTATTATTATTATCATTTTTGTTTGTCATTATAAAATAAATAAATTAAAATAAATATAAACTAATCTACATATCAATATAATGATTATATATATAACAATTATTTTAATAGATATTGTGTAAATTTCAAGAATAAGATTGTAAAAAAAAAATAGTTTTTTACAAGTTATAAAAATATATTACATTTTTGAAATGCAAAAAAATATTTTTTAATTTTATTTTTAAACTAGTTATATTATATATATATATACAAATTATGACAGATATTGAAAAAGATAATAATGATAGTAATGATAATAATGTTGGCACAACAACAACAGAACCAAAAGTAATATTTAAAAGACAACAAAAGAACAGAAATATTAGAAAAAGAGATATTAGTAGTACTATTCTACAAGATAATAATAGTAATTCTGAAACTTCAGAAGAATCTACAACTAAAGAGAATGATATAGATACAACTAGCAGTAGTAGTGCAGCTGCTCAAGATAATAACGATAATGATAATGGTCAAGAAGAAGGAGGATCAACATCAATAACAACAAAGAAACAAAAAGTAGTAGTAAATCAATATACAACAAAGAATGTAACAAAGACAGATCATTCATACTCAACTACAGGCTCTGCAAAACCGATGATGAGTGAAGCCGACTCGTCTGCCACTTTGATTGAGCGTGAAGACAATATTCCAGAAAACACAGATAAAGAATCGATAAACAACGACGATGGAATCTATCGTGGAATGAAATCATACAACAACTACATCGAGAAGAAATCGGATTTGACCTATAAGGGTGCCGGTGTAAAAGCAGGTCCAATCAAAATAACAACTTCAAACTATAAAACATCAGTTAGATTTGATTATCAACCAGATGTAAGTTAATATTAATAATAACAATATATATTTAATTTAAGTAAATTATTAATAATACTAATAAATAAAATAACTCTATATATATATAAATATAATAGGTTTGTAAAGATTATAAACAAACAGGTCAATGTTCATTTGGTGACACTTGTAAATTCTTGCACGATCGTAGTGATTATAAGGCTGGTTGGCAAGTGGAGAGGGAATACGAAGCCGAGCAGAAACAGAAAAAGAAAGATAAAGAAAGTGAAAAAGAACGTGGTTTTAAAGATACAGAGGAAGAAGAATTACCATTTGCTTGTTTCATATGTAGGAAACCCTTTGAAAATCCAGTGATGACAAAGTAAGTACTTTAAGATCAATATATTATTATGTCAATTCATTTAATTTACTTACTAACTTGCTGCTTATTACTATTATTATTATTATTTTTAGATGTAAACATTTCTTTTGTGAACAATGTGCACTGGATCATAACAGGAAGAGTAAGAAATGTTTTATATGTAAGGAGCCAACCAACGGTGCATTTAGTCAACCCAAAAAAATAATAGATAAGCTGATAGCCAAATCAAAATTAATGAGCGAACTAAATAAAAGTTTGGATGATTAGCAGCAACATTATTATAATATGGAATCACAAAGAAATACTCTATAAAAATTAATTGGGAATTTAACTTATTTTTGTTATTTTATTTATTTTAATTAAATTTCACCTATTTGAATAGTTCTATCAGATAGACTATCAGGTTGTTGGAAATCGACTTCCATAAAATGCTTTCTTAAATTTGTACATGATTTAATTGATTTTGAACATAATCTGTTCATTAAATATACAATGGCATCGATGAATCTTGGTAGATCATTCTCATCTTCACCAATCTCTGCATAAAGTCTAATATATTGAACATGTGCAACTATATTTTCCACTCTTGATGCCAATATAATATATGCCTATAAATGTTTTATAATCAATTTGTTAATAAAATAGTTTTTTTTATATTTGGAATATCAAATATTTACAATAATTGAAATTAATTGATCTGGTTCATAACCACCATGAGGAATTGAATATACTCTGATCAATGTAGATGAAGTCTCTTTGATACAGTTCAGCATGTCATCCGGTGACTTTAGATGGTTGATCTTCTTCAACTCATTGATTGATCGCGCCCATCTACTGGCATCGAGATACTTCTCCGGAATCTCTTCCTGTATGAAATTCTCCAAAAAGTTTGGTAGATTAATCTTAAAGTTTAAAGCCATTTGGAAATTAATATTTAATTTAGAATAATGAAACAATCTATTTAAATATAAAATAAATCAATATTTGTTAGCTAAGCATTAGTAATAATAAATAATTATAATTAATACATACGAAGAATGTAAGTTAATCATTAACTTTCTCTTGTAGGTTGAATAAATGAACATCTCCATTGGAACAATCTGTTCAGAGGTTGGTGAATTCATAAGTTGTTCTTGTATTTCTGACATTGATTTTGAAATCTTATTAAACAATTTCCTAAAATTAAAATGTGAATTAGTATGATTATTATTTATTGACGTTAAATGATTTGTAAAATAACTTACTGAATAGTTGCTTTTAATGATAGACAATAATCACACATATCCAATTCATCACAATGAGACTGGAAGTAGATCTCTTTACACTGACAATACCTAAGACCTTCACAGAATGATTTAATGAATTGAATGTACTCATCGATTTCATTGGTGATCGAAGTGTTGAAGAAGAATAAACTACAAAACATGTTGTGTTTCTTATTGAGCAATCGTTTTTTGTATTGTTCCAACTGGTCGATCGATCTTATCTGTCGCATATATTCATCTTTCTCATTGTTATTGGATTCTTCCTCTTCTTTCAAAATCAACATTGCCAACTTCTCATAGTTATTCGCAACGATGTGATCGGGTAACACTGCCAACGATTTCAATATCTCTTCAAACTGATTGTATGTAGTATTATCGGTTGGTGCCAACCGCGATTGTCTATGAAGAATCAAATCTCTGAGACTGTCCGAAGAGAATCCACACTGTGCTCGATCAAAGTGGAGAAACAATGTTTTCAAACCTTTAGCAATCGTAGCAATATTTCGCTTCTCAATCTCATCTGATTGCGAATATCTTAGCTCCCTCTTACTACTGTTGTTGCTATCAATATTATTACTACTTCTATGTCTTGATAGCGTTGGTTTTGCTTTGGGATTGGGTGTTGAGTTGATCCAGAACAAAACCATACTCTTCTCATTGATCATTGGTATTTCACCGACCATTCTTGCACTACTCTTCAAAGACAATCTCTTGAAATCCATTGAATTATCCCAACTTATAATCTCAATGATTTTCTTCAAATCATAATTGGACAACATCAACTTGATATCGCTAATACTATTATTCTTTACTTGATATGTTTCTAAATAAAATGGAATTAGCTATTTATAATATGTAGAATATTGGTTATGCTAGTTACCTTTAAAATATGATTTCAAATCATGGACAGAAATTATTGAGTTACAAAAAGATTCAAGTTTATCTTTGAGATTGTGTTGGTTGTTCAGTTGTTTAGGAATGGAGTCTGGTGATTCCACGTAGGTACGAATGCGATCGGAGAATATACGTAGATTATGCTTGATGTTTTGTGTTACGATTTGACCGGTTATCATGTAGAGATTGTTGGGCTTGACGAGTTCCGGTATGATGTAAGAGGAGAAGATGATATGAACAACTATCAATCGTAGACGAGCCTGTTGTTCCTCTTGAGTTGCGCACGGACTGGCTTGATTGAGAAGTTCAAAGCATCGTTTGGTGAACCACTTCAGTGCGAATGGAATCAAGTAGGATTTGTTGAATATCTCCAACAGGAAATTGGCAATCTCTTCGTTGATGATGTGTGTTCGGTGTTGGTTGATGTCCGAGTTGATTTCATCGTCGTGCTCCAAGTTGAGAATCTCATTGGTGACTTGGTCCGTTTCAAAGTTGAAGAGCGGATACTGAGCAATCGAGATGATCGGTCCTTTGATAGCGTTGATAAACAGCTTGCCAAATGTATTCGATACGTAGGAGGAGAGCAAGTTCAACGAGAAATACTCGTTGGCCAAGTCAAAGTGCGATGGGTCGTTGTTGAACTCGCGGAGTAGTACGGTTTCTACGAGTTCGAGGTGAATGCGCTCCTCCAGCTCGGTCAAACAGCCGTTGAAAATGGCACGTGTTATAAAGTCGGCCAGTTGTGTATGCTCAATGGTTTGACCGCGGCCAAGCCTGTTGTTATGCTCGAGACAATCCGCCAGGATATTAGGATTCATTCGTAGTGAATAGAGAACCTTTACACAAGATGGCATCTCAAACATATCCAGCGATACAACGGTGGGTGAGACATTCTGACAGAATGATTGTGAGAGTTTTAAAGACGATTGTTTACTATTGAAGTTCTGCTTGCAAGGCGAGTAATAGGCACCATTGTTTATCATTCCATTCGATTGAATTTCCAACTCTTTTATATCATTTATTGTCATTTCAATCTCAGAGAGAACTTGCCGTTTCTTATCCTTCAAAAACATTAATCCTGTCATTTTATATTCTTTCAGAGTAAATGAATTATCTTGAATGGTATTGATTAAATTAATCCATATTTCATTATTGTTTTGTTCAGATTTTTGAATCGATTCCGATTCTTTATCATTTGATTTATGTATTTCAGGTCTGGATTTTACAAAAGACAATGTTATTTCTTCCATTGTTTTTATTTTTATTATGATAGTTAAAAAAAAATAATTATTATTTCTAAAATATATATTTGTTTAATTTAAAAATATAAAAAATAGATATATTTATATAGATATATAGATATATAGAATAAAAGAATTTACAAATTAACAATAATAAATAAATGAATAAAATAATTTAATTTAATTAAAAAAAGTAGAAAATGTACATGTGATAAAGCTTGATATAGATTTATTAACTGGTAAAATTGAATTAGAAAAGAAATTATCCATAAATAATAGATGGTTCAAAATGATTATTTGTACTACTCTAATAATAAGCTTTGAAGATGTATAAATAAATCACACCTATGAATTGAGGAATTGAAGGGAGTACTAACAACTGAAAACCAGTTATTTAGCTAGTTTGTTTGTTTGTTTGTTAAACTTTATATTTTAATTTGATGTGATTGATTGGTGTTGATGTTCTTCATCCACCACATAAAAAAACAAAACAAAACAAAACAGAGAGGTGGTGTCGAAATAAACTATATATAGATATCAAAAATATTTAATGTTACTGTTGAACAAGTGTTTGAACAATGTGAAAAAAGAGTAGTAGTGGTTGGTGTGAAGTTGATGATTGATTTGATTGATTTGATTGATAAAATTCCTATCCTGATTTCTGATCAAATAATCAAAAAACTTAACACACAATATACAAATAATAATATCGAACAGTTAAAGTATTGTTTTGTTTATTAAACAAAAAAAATAAACAACAATATATTATAATAATGAGGAACGAATGTTTATAAAAAAACAAAATCATCATCGGGTCATTTTTCATCTGTTTAAACATTTAAGTTGGTTGTGGATCACTCGAATTTCAAAGATCGCTTACACGAAAAGTAGGTCAACTTTTTATTTTTGTTGTTTTTTGATAATTATTGTTTACTTTTTTTTTTTTTTTTAATAAGGTTATAAATAGAATAGTAATAAGAATATATTTATATTTTCACTCTCCATCATTTTAAGGAAATTAAATAGTCAAGTTACATGATCAAAATAAAGAGAATAAATTTAGAATTAGAAATATCTATATATCATATGTTATGTTTTTTTATTCATTATTGATCTTTAAAAATAATGAAACCAACATTATAACATTTAAAAGTTAATATTTATTTACAATTAGATTTAAAAACATGTTAACAAAGACAGTTGTTATCTATAGATAACAGACGTCAAAACAAACAAGTCGATTTCCAAGAAATTCACTTATAAGTTTTTATTGTTGGCAATGACTATTATCTTTTTTTTTTTTTTAATGATTTGATACAAATAAACATTGCACTTACATTGGTGTAAGCATTACATTAGTGTTGTTGCTTATTATTTAATTTAATAAAATTTAATTTAATATTATCATACATAAATAAGAACTGCTCATTTGATAAACTATACTTGTTTTTTTTTTTTAAAAGTTAAGAAACATAATAATAGATAGCAATGGATGATGACGATGATTTTGACTTGCCTGTTTATCCAGGTTTCTTGGATTTATTACAACAACAGCAACAACAGCCACAACAACAACAACAACAACAGTCTACATCTTTGACTACTTATACACCTTCAAAAACAGTAATCATACCAACATCTACACCTTCACCATCACCATCAAAATCAAAATCAACACCATCACCATTACCATCACCTTCAATACCCAAGCTATTTCCATTGACAAAACAACTTACACCACCACCACCATCAACGATACTTTTGAAAAGTAATAGTAATGGATCAGTTAATAATGACAGATCATCATTGTCAAGAAGTAATAGTGATACTACTATTAATAACAGTTTTAATAGTAGTAGTAGTTTAGGTAGTAGTTATAATAGTAGTTTAGATTATAACAGTTTTAATAGTCAGACACAGACACAGTCGTTATCATTACCATCACAATCACAATCACAACTTTCACGTTCAAACAGCGGCAACAATACAATTGGTCATAGTCAAGCTCAAAGTATTAGCAGGCAGACATCAACGACAACAACATTATCACCAGGTAATCACCAGTTTACTAGAAGTAATAGTAATGGTAGTAGCAGCAATAGTATTAGTAGTACTGGTAATTATTTATCACCACCTCCATCCAATACCATAAGTAAACCACTGCTACCACTAAAACCAGCACCTACAAGTCAACCAATTGCCAACAACAACAACAACAATAATAATAATAATAATAATAATAATAATAATAATAATAATAATAATAACAATAATAACAATAATAACAATAATAACAATAATAACAATAAACATCAACTATGTAAATCGTTCGACACCTACAACACCGACAACAACACCGACAACTACGACAACTTCAATAATCCAAACACCAAACAATTCACCCAATAACAATATCAACAATAAAACAGGTGGTAGTTCACCAAACACCAATACTTCACCAAACAAACCATTAATTCCTCGTCTGCTCAAACCACCTCCATCGTTAATTTTAAAAACAAACCCTAAACCACCTCCATCGTTTAATGGTAAACATTCAAATACACCAAACTCTGTAAATAATAATAGTAATAGTAGTAATTACAATAATAACAATGTTACAAGCCCTTATAAGCCAGTGTCATTTTATCATGCCGGTATGAATCAATCAGAAATAGAAAAATCGCGTAATTTATACAAGGCTCACCAAAATAATCAACATTATTATAATACCAATTACAATAACAATAACAATGATGTTTGGAGATCTAATAAATCATTACACTCTGCTACATTCACAGATAACTCTGATCATCCAATAAAGAAACAGAGATGTCCAATCGATCAATCATTCGACTTTGACTCTCTAATCACCGATGGCGGTAATGATAATATCATTTTAACAACTACACCATCAAAGTCAGTTACAACAACCAACGGCAGTAATATTAAAACAACAAATAAATTAAGTGCATATTATTCAGCTGGAAATGGAAATGGTATGGATCAATCATCAGATTCTAATAATAATAATAATAACAACATCAATGATTATGATAATGATGATGAGGATTTCGAATCAATAATATTCACACCATCTTCATCTTTACCGCTTGATGGTGATGATGATGATAACAATCAATTTATTTCAAAACCAACAGTACCAGTACCAACATTAACAAATAATAACAATAGTTTTGATCAATCACCTATTTCTACTACAACCTCAACCACCTCTACTACTTCAACATCGACTTCTACTTCTAATTCAACACCAAAGGCAAAATCAGCTTCAAATCAGAAATCATTCACACCAAAAACATCTAAAACAAAGCCAAATATTACCTATCAAACAGTTGTGTTAACAACTGAAAATGTACCCATTCCACCGGCATATGAAGAGGAGAAACCATTACCTCCAGCATTTGGTCTGTTCAATCATCACAAGATACAGACCACAAAGATAAATACACCTCATGGCTACAAAGAGCTCTCAGATTCGTTCAACATCGAACAACTTCAATCATTCATATTTGATAACATCGATAGAATCATATTTGTTTCATTTGGTTTACTGATGGACAATGATAATACAAGTTTTCGATCACACGATAAGAAGAAATCGAAAAAGTCAAAGGATGACGATGATCAATCGTCGACCTCAACTCCTTCGAGAGGCAGTACAAGAGGAAGAGGTAGCGCTGCCAGCTCAAGACGTAATTCATCGAATGACGGTGAGTCTGACTCTTCTTCCAGTAGAACAACTCTTAATGAACCGATTGGAATATCACTTTGGATTCCAATGGCTGATAATCGTGATTGGACCAACGGATCGATGTCCATCGCCAAATACCATTTGTCACTGGTAAACAACTTGGGTGGTGTGCCAAACGATAAGTTGGCGTTTATGGTTCGGCTGTTGGAAGATGACAACATCAAGAAGGTGTCGTTCAATGCGAAGGAATCGATTAAACCGATGTTGTGGCTGAACCAGTGGATGCAACCATCGAGGTTGATCGACCCAAAGATTGCTGCGTGGGTACACAACACCGAAGCGGAGGAGATGAAAGGATTCGAACTGACATTCCTCTATCATCATCTGGTGGAGAACAAAGACTATGAGAAACAGATCAATTTGCCAATGATTAAAGAACTGCAATCACTCGATAGCAACAAAGATCTGGTGATCATCAACAACGACAACAACTTCTCGATGTTCCCGAACGATCTGAGAAACTCTTCGCTCGTCATGATTGCACTTGAACAGCTATTACTTCAACTCAACCTCCAAGCGCCGTTCTATCAAGAGATGAGAGTTGTTCCAATACTTTCAAGTATGTAAAACAAACCAAACACCTTACATTACTTTGAAAAATACTAACTTATCTATATTTCTGGATAACCATATAGAAATGGAATTACATGGTATTACTTTCAGTCCAGAAACATTTAGAACTTGCTCTTCAAATTTGCAAACATATGTGCAGAATCTTCAGGGTAAATGGAATACCGAGTTCAAGAAAGACAGTGCCAAGTCGTTGTCGAGTCCTGTGCAAATCAAGGAATTCCTGTTGACACAGTACAAGATTACAGTCAGTAATACCGGCAAGCAAACTCTTGTCGATCTGATAAAGAAATATCCAGATGTCCAGTATATCAAGGATATATTGGAATATCGTCATTGCAATAAGATACTGACAACCTATGTTCAACCATACCTCGATATTGTGAAAGATGAACAAGCACCTTCCATTCACTGTCAATGGATTCACACTGGTACTGCCACCGGTAGATTATCATGTAAACAACCTGTATGTTTTATTATTATTATTATAATTTTATCAAATTTGATGGCTATTAACTAATTAATTATTTACAGAATTTACAAAACCTTCCAAGAAATGCGTTGAATGTAAATTATAACGATGAAGATGGTGATTCCGAATTGGCTGATTTCAATATCGACGAAGATGAAGATGATAATATGGGTGCGAATAATCAAACGATTTCGTTGAATGTGAGAGATGGTTTCGAAGCGAGAGAAGGTTACACTCTTATTGGTCTGGACTATAGTCAAATCGAATTAAGAATCATGACTCACTACTCGAAAGACCAAAAGCTGGAGGAATACTTCAAAAACGAAGTGGATGTTTTTAAGCATATGGCGCATCACTATCTTGGCAAACCAGTTGATAAAGTAACACCAACAGAGAGAGAGCAAACCAAGCGAATTATCTATGGTATCATGTATGGTATTGGTCCACATTCACTCAGTCAGATTCTCAAGGTATCCAAAGAGCGAGCCAGTCAATTTATTAACGATTTCTTAAATAAGGTAAATATAATTAAATTTTGCCAACTATTATCTCAGCTCAACTAAATTATAATTCTATCATTTGAAAATAGTTCCAATCGATAAGAAACTATATTGAGGAGGAAAAGAAGAAAATCAGATTAAAAAAGTTTATAAAGACAATTGCTGGAAGAAGAAGATTGCTTCCACACGTCAACTCGCAGGATCCTAACCAGTCACATAGAGCGTTGAGACAGACTGTCAACTCAATCATTCAGGGTAGTGCTTCGGATATTATCAAGGAAGCAATGTTCAATATCCACGTTTATTTGTCACAGTTGTCAAAGGAATACAAATCTCTTGATCCACACAACGATCCAAGACTACTGCTTCAGATTCACGATGAACTCATATATGAGATTCCCGACGCAATGCTTAATGATAAGGAGTCAGAGGTCTGCATAAACATCAAACGTATCATGGAATCGGTATACCAAGATGACTTGACCGTACCTATTGCAGTGACAATGTCCAAGGGTAAATCATGGGGTACCTTAACTTCTTTTACACCTACAACTTCCAACCCTATAACTATCAACTAACTTATCAATTAATTTAATTAAATTGAACAACCTATTCATAACTAATTTTGGTTAAACTCCAACATTAGTTAATTTATTAAACTATTAGCTATTATTGTTATTGTTATTATTATTATTATTACTATCATCTTTTTTCAAATTTTTATCATTAATTATTATTGTTTTTCTTATTGATATTATTGTTACGTTTTGGATATTGATGTTGTTGATTATGTTGATCTCTTGCTAGTTTTTCTTTCTTTTTGGTAATGGCTTTCTCCATTTTCTGTTTGTTTTGTTGATTCTTTTCAAAGTTTTCATCTTGAGAGGGATCGTACAGTGGTTTGCTAAATGAAAATACTTGAACTCCGCACTTTTGTGTTACTCTTGCCGGTACGTTTCTGTTGAGTTGCTTGCTCGATCTCGATCCGAACTGAATGGCTTTCTTTATCAGTTTGGTTGACTCGGTCAGTCCCAACGACTTGGCCAACTCTCTGAGGATACGCTTGTCCCCAGTTCCCTGTGGTAAGCTCAAATCACAGACATAAGAGAGTGGTACACTATTTAGATATTCGATAACATTCTCATCGAGATAAGGGAATCTTGGTTCACGACGGTTGCTACTTATGACACGATCGTCTCTCCCCAGATTTCTCTTCCAAATACGATTGAAATCTTTGTTCAACTCTGACTGTAAGACTTGCCATGATCCACGCGCAAATGCACTACGATGTCGTCCGTAGCCAGCCAGCTGTTCATCTGCACCCGATCCCATTAATAATACCTTACAGGTTGTCATTACTCTCTGTTGTTGTTGTTGTAGCTTTTCATCGACATGAATAATACCCTCACCACGACCAGCAAACCAAAGTGCCAACGATATTGTCATATCCATAATAGTGATGGCTGGATAAGAGAGTTGGTAGACAATTGGTTTCGCCCAATCCATCCATTGGTCGGTGACATTCACTTTAATCAGTATCCACTCGCGATCCGGTGCCATTGTGCGCAACTCGTACAAACCGGAAATCGCTGTCTTTCGATCTGGAACCTTGTCAAACTCGTCACTCGTTGCGTTGTCATTGCCAAATGCAACGTTGATCAAGTGAATCGGTTCACCCGCTGGAATGTGTTGATGAGAGACTGCTGCGAGTACCATCGAATCCAGCCCACCGCTAAACAAAACACCGACACGACCTGGAAGAGCAACTGGTTTCTCTGCACAGAAATCAGGTCTAATTAAATCTGGACATTCATGTGTCAAATCTGGCAAACCTGTTACTCTAGTCGCTATCGATCGACTTAGTTTCTCAAACAAACCGTCTCTATACCCTTCGAAAACCGGTTGTTGCCATTCCGAACCATCCAATGGTGTCATTACAGTTCTTCTACCAAATGGATAGAAATGAAGTTGATCTATAGTTTCATTCTTTTGAACAACTGAATCAGTTGAAAAGTTTGTTGATGTTGTTGTAGTTGATGCATCTGTTGTTGACGTTGTTGTTGGTTGATCATTATCATCATCATTATCATTATCATAATCTAAAGTTGTAAAACCGATATTGTTGACCAATGAATTGTTATCCCATGGATGACTTTCTAGTCGCACGAAAGATTGTTCACCAAGATCCTCGGGGAAATGAATCGAATACAAACCAAAGGTGTTAACTTCATTCCATTGTGGAAGTGGTTTAGTATCATCTATTCCACTGGGAAACGATCCAATCGATGCCAATATAAATCTATCATTACTCTTATTGACAAGTAAAGAACGTCTTCCCAATACATCTCTGCCAAACCATAATTTTCTTGCTGATTTCTATTGTTATAAATATTGTTAACAATTGATATTTTGACAAACAAACTAACTAACACAACCTAGCTAACTTACATTCCAATAAACAAATGCAAAAGGTCCTTTAATTTTTAGAAACAATTGTACAAATGTATCGTTTGAAATTCCATCAGACTCTGATGATGACGAGGATGAAGAAGAATCCGCTTGATTGAGTAGATGTAATAAGAATTCGGTATCATTCTGATGTACCCCAATGTGGTAACCGTCAAACAACTCACCGTTCCACATGAGTATATTTCCGTTGATGTCGTGTTGTGGTTGCACCGTAAGATCTCCTCTCATTCCAAGTACCGATGCCATCATATTTATATTGACGGTGATGTTGTTGCCACACTCCAATGTCATTGTCTCCATAATCTGTGAATCAGGTCCTCTATTAACCAAACGATTGAGTAAATCACTCAAAACCCTATCAGTTGATTCCTCTATAACATCCCCATTATTACTACTACTATTATTATTGATAGAATCAGGTGATCCAATTGGATCTAAAACTGTGACACCTGATATTACAAATGAAATACCACACATAATAATAATAAACAAAAATACTGAAAGAACGACAATCTAAAAAAGAATCCAAAAAAAAAAAAAAAAAAAAACTGAATCAAATTCATAACAAGTTGCATCCAGATTAAAAAAAAAAAGATAAAAAGTTCAGAAATATTTATTTATATATTAGCTTAAGACAAAATTATACAATTACAATGAATTAATTAACCTATCTTTTATTTTATTTCTTTTTTTCTTTTTTTTTTTTTGAACGTTGTTTTAAAATTCCAAGTTATTTCTAATCTTTTTAAAAGTAGTTGTAAACAATTGAATTTCCAATTATTTTAGTACAAGAAAGGAAAGAAAAGTCAAATCAAATTAATTAAGTTGTCTCGACTATTAATAACTTATAAAATAGTAGTAAAAGATAAATAATGATGAAGATATTTAATTAAAAGACAAACAACTAAAATTAGACAACATTGAAACTTTAAAAAAAAAACCTTGAAAATTTTTAACAAAGATTTTTTTAATTTATGTTTTTTTTTTTTTTGGGTGTGAAAAATAAAGAAAGTGAGATCGATTGAAAAGAGTGTTTTGCAAAAAAAAAATTTGTTGAACCGATTTTTGTGAAAATTTAAATCTTTAATTAGAATAACAACATAATATATAAAGTCGTGTTTTGAATTCAAAACAAAACATAAAACAACAAAACAAACAAACAAATAATTAAATTAATAAATTATTAATATTAATTAAAAAACAAATCAACCATTATTATTTAAAAGTTAGTTTAAATTCAAAAGTTTATAAAATTTTAAAGTACTCTTATTTTGTTCAACAAATAATAAATATACTTTAAACGTAAGTGTAATTTACAAATACAGCTACTATTACAACAACTATTACTACTACAAATAGAATCCAAACAAAATTATTAGTTTCATTTGTTATTTGTTATTTTTTTCAACAACAAATAATAAGTATTCAAATGTTTGAATCTTTAGTTATAAACAGATAATACAATCAAATAGCTTCGAATGTTTAGAAAATTGGCAAATTTTAAACAGATAAAAGATTACCAAATTATCAAGTTTTCAATAATAATAATTGTAGTTAAACTATCAAATATGTATATTTGATAACAAACGTAGAACTTTTTTTTTTTTTTTTGGGAAATTGGAATGTGGAAGGATATTTAATATCAAATCTACAACCAATTTCATCGTTGTAATTCCAAACACTTTATTGTCACCAATGTTTTCAGTGCTACATCTTTGAATCAAATCTTTAAATTTACAGCTTACAGTGTTGTGTAGTTCACTAGCACTGTAAATCCTTCACCAATCAGTAAAATCAATCATCAATCAATCAACTTTCATTTATTATAAGTATATTTGTTATAATAATGAACAAACAAACAGAATGATCAACTATTTAAAAATAAATTTTCAATTAATTGTGGAAAACAAAAAAACAACAATAATAATAATAATCAAAAGCCAACCATCCATTTTTATAATATTAAGAGATTTGTTGTGAATATGGTGTGTGGTAATGATGCATCGTACTCCAAAATCAAATCAATCTAAAAAGCAATCACATCACACTCCAAAATCAAAACACTGTGGTGCTTAGATTAGCCTGAACACCAAAAACATACCATCACACTAAAAATTGAAAATCATCAAAATAATTATGTTTTTTTAAAAAAAATTATTTTGGAATGGCTTTTCTTTTCATATAACTAAAATTTGAAAGAAAACAAAAAACTTTCGTTTTTGGTTTTTTTTTTTTTTTTTTGTTGTTGTTTGAGCATCAATAATAATAGGGTTTATTTGGTTTTTCTTTGCAAAAAAAAATAAAAAATAAAACAATTTTTTTATTTTAATTTTTATTATTATTTTAAAAAATTAACCTCACTACACACCTCTGCCATCAATAGAAAACAAAAGAAAATAACAAAATTGTTATTGATATAATATATAAAAAAAAAAAACACACAACACTGTATTGTAAGTGATATATTTATATATATGTATAGATATAAGATAGATATAAAATATAAATTAAAACAACATCAACAACAACAACAACAATAATAAAACAACTGTTTTTTTATTTATTTTTATTTTTTAGTTAACTTTTTTTATTTATAAATAAATAAATAAATAAACAAACTATAATAATTTTTTAATATTATTTAGTAGTATCGCCATTTTTATCATAAATTATTGTAATCCAAATATTACATCTAGAAATAAATATCAAAAAATCCAATAATAACAACAACAACACATTCACACACACAACAATAACACAATAACAAACAATTGTACTATAATTTTACAAAATTAAATAAAAATATGGTCAAAATAAAATCGAACAATAACAATAATGAATAAGCACAGCAGCATGACATATCTAATCATGAAGAATGAATGAAAGAAAGAAAGGAAAAAAAAAGAAAAAAAAAATAAAAGAAAGAATAGATGTCTGATTGATTGATTTGATTAATTCATAATTCAACGGCACATCAACAACATATAACATATAATACATAAACTACTATCTGCGCAAACAACAACAACACCACTACACCACCCCCCACTCAAATATTTATACTTATTTGAATAGTTAGTCAATTTTGACATCAACCAATTCAATTCATTAACAACATTAATTTGTTTGTTTTTTTTTAATCTTGTTGTTATGTTATTGTATTGAATCAATCACTATTCTCTTCTATAATATAGAATTTAATATAATAATAATAAATAATAGTTTTTTAGTTTATTCTGTCTTTTTGTTAAAATTAATTTATAAATATTTATTTTTGTAATAATTACCAAACTTTTGTTGACCATCACAAAATATCAACATCGCCAAAAAAGTCAAACATTTAATCATCATCATTATCAATAACAATAATAGTTTAATTACTTGTATTTGAAATTCAAAAAAAAAAGTTACTAACTTTTAATATCTATCTTTTAAAACAATCAAATAATATTAAATACATTATAGTAAACAACCTTGTAGTAGTAAGTAATCAGTTAAAAAAAAAAATTAACAAAAACAATATAACTAACAAATCATATTTACTCTTTTTTCTTTACTTTATTTTATTTTTATTTTAATTAAATTTATTTTAATTATTATTTTTATTTAAACTTACATCTAACCAAAATCAAATCACAATCTCATCTCACACCTCCAACCTATCTTTTTTTTTTTATAATTTTTTTGTTTTTATTTTTTTTATTTTTGACTCTTCACTCCAATTTTTTTTTTTTTTTTTTTGCCAATTTTTTTGATTTTTGATTTTTATTTATTTTTCGCACAATCACAATAATAATTCGATCTTACAGTAGAACCAACCCAAACAATATTAAATTCACCTCAATATATAAAATATTTTAAATTTACTTTTTATAATTAATAATAATAACTATAACAGAAAATGCAAGCAATCAAATGTGTAGTAGTTGGTGATGGTGCTGTCGGTAAGACTTGTCTTCTTATCTCATACACAACAAACGCCTTCCCAGGTGAATACATTCCAGTAGGTTTTTTTTAAATAACAAACACATTTAATTATCTATTAGCATATAAATTGAAGATATCAAGAACAACAAACAACAACAGCTAAATACAGAGGTCTTTAAAAATGAAGAATCATAGAGTGAATATTAGATAGTTTAGAATTTTAGGTTACAATAGTAATAGTAATAGTATAAATAATAATAATAATAATAATAATAATAATAATAATAATAATAATAATAGTAGTAGTTGTTGTATCTTTGATTTATATGCTACAAGTTAATAATAATAATAACATAATAATAATATTTTGATATTAATATTTAAACATTTTTTATTATTATATAGACCGTTTTCGATAACTACAGTGCTAATGTAATGGTCGATGGTAAACCAATCAATTTGGGTCTTTGGGATACTGCCGGTCAAGAGGATTACGATCGTCTTCGTCCATTGTCATACCCACAAACTGATGTTTTCTTGATTTGTTTCTCTATTATTTCACCATCGTCCTTTGAGAATGTCACCGCCAAGTGGCACCCAGAGATCGGACATCACGCACCAAATGTACCAATCATTTTGGTCGGTACCAAGTTGGACATGCGTGACGACAAAGAAACTCAAGACAGACTCAAAGAGAAGAAACTCTACCCAGTCTCCTACGAGCAAGGTCTCGCCAAGATGAAGGAAATCAACGCTGTTAAATATCTTGAATGCTCTGCTTTGACTCAAAAGGGTCTTAAGAATGTTTTCGATGAGGCCATCAGAGCCGTCATCAACCCACCAGTCCACAAGAAGAAGAAGAGCTCATCTGGTTGTCTCATCTTGTAAACAATAGGAGATTTTTCGAATCAAAAAAAAACTTAATTTTTCTTTAAAGACATTGTACCTCATTAATAATAATTAAAATCCTTTTTAAAAAAAAAATTAAACAAAAACAAAAAAAAACATAATATAATCTTATTAAATACTAACTTTACCTTCTAAGGCTATAACCCTCAAGATTAATGTTTCATTTTTAGAATTCTAAATTGTTGTTGTTATTTTTTATTTTATTTTTTTGAAGTACTTCAATTGTTATCAATGAAAAACAAAGAACAATTGTTTAGAATTCTTTGTTTTTTAAATTCCATCAATAAATATTAAATTATCAATCTTGATGACTTGTTGTTTAATTTTAGAGAAATAATATTATAAAGCAGATGTCAACAAATTCAGTGAATTTTCAAAAATATAATTATAAAATTTGATGATCAAAAAAAAAAAAAAGTGTGTAATTAATAAGAAAAGAATTGATTTTTTTTTTTTTTGAGGCACACTAACTCATTTCTTTAATTTACAAAATCATTTGATTTTAATAGATCAAATAAATACACAATAGTTATAAACAACAAACAAACATTTAGCAATGGATAATTGGAAACAATTCATTAGTTCTGTAGAGTCAATTTCATTGGATGAGTCGAAAGTAAAGTTGAACGATGTCATCAAGCAACTCGATATACCAGAGACTTACCAAGAGGTCATCTCAAGTGCTGCTTTCTTATTGTTAGAAGCATAGTAAGTAGTAATAATAGTAATTAATTCATTGTTTGTTGTTTTGATATACAAATAATATAAACTTTAAAAGTTAAAAACAAAAAAAAAAAACAAGCAATGAAAAATAAAATAAAATATGATGATTTAAACTAATATTTTTCTTTGATTAAATTATTAATAATGATAATGATAATAACAGTAAGAACAATAAGAGTGCCCCGAGAGAGGAAGCAATTAAAACATTGACTGAAATCGAAAAATCATCACCACCAGAACTTAGAGTTGAAGTTGGATACAGTATTGGTCTTATTTTGTTTGGATATGTAAGTGGTCTGATGTTTACAACTGTAAACCTTATAAGCAAACATCAACATTCAGTAGTTACTAACACTTTATTTGTTTTGTTTATAGTCACAACTCTTCACTGATCAAGTTCAAATTGGACTTTTATTGAATGCATCGGAATTCTTTCAAAAGACAGTCTCTATCAACCCACAACACATGGGAACATTGACTGCTTTGAAAGAAACCTATTTGATTTTGGTATGTTCCAACAACATATGTTTGTTATTGCTTGACAATGAATGGCAATTATTAATACTTCTTTTCTTTTTTCTTTTGTAATTGGTTAATTTTATTATATATTTAGTCAAATATTACAAGTGATAATCAAAAGATGTTTTATTCTACCAAGAGCAGAGAGTTTAATAAATATATTGAAGCAGTTACCAAAGGTGAGGATTTCAAGGTGGCACCATCCACCTATATCAAGATTGAAACTGCCAAGACCCTCAAGGAAAAGGCTACCGAATTTTTCAAGGTTGGAAACATCAAGGATGCATTGGTCAACTATCACTATGCCAAAAACTATATCACAGGTTTGATGGACTTGAACACTGAAAAAGAAAAAGAAATCAAAGCCATGAGAATCATTTTGCTTAATAATATTGTAAGTACTCAATTCAATTGAATAACCATAGCAAGTTAAATGTTTTTCTGTTGTTAATATTTATCAACATTGTTTTTCATTATATTTAGGCTGTTTGTTTGATGAAACAAAATAAATTTGAAAATGCCATTAGATCTTTAGATGAAGTGTTGGTGGAGGAACCAAAGAATGTAAAGGCTTTGTTCCGTCGTGGAAAATCACACTCTGCACTCAAGAACTTTACACAGGCAGAGAACGATCTCCAAGCAGCCAACGCCATCACACCGGGTGACAAAGAAATCGTAGCAGAGATTGCACTCTTGAAACAAAGAGCAAAGTCTCAAAACCAAAGAGAAGGAAAAGCATTTGCAAAGGTCTTTGATGATTAAACTATGGTACCATAGTTTTATTTTAGAAAATACCCAATGCAATGACATGATTATAATAATAATAATATATATACATAAATACCACCATCACCACCAACAACCAACCAACCAACCAAATGAAATAATAGTAGTAGTAAAAAACATATCTTTAAAAATAAACTAGTTATTAATTTAGATTCCATTTACGTTATATTATATTATATTAGTATGACAAATAATTTAAATTATTTGTTTTTTATTTCTATCAATGAAATTTCTCTTGATAAACGATGTAGTGGATGAAGAAACTTTACATGTTTGAGCTTTGATAGGTGTTAGTTGGTAGACGTCAAATTCTTTGTCGTAGCGACTCTCTGGTAGGTTGACGAGGTCGGTCACAGAGAGTTTGTTGGAACGGATACTTTTGGTGGTTTGGTGTTGGAGTTGTTCGAGCTGTTCTCTTTCTCTTTGTTTCTTGATGAGTTGCTGTATGGTGTCATCGAGCTGTTTGTCTTTGACGGTCTGGCAATCGCGCTGGATGATATCGAGTATCGCCTCTGAGAAGTTGTTGTTGGGATAGGAACAGCGGAGCAGTAGGACAATACGCTCCATCGGTGTCGGTAGCGTCTGGAGAATGAGCAGCAGCAGTTTCTGGTTGATTGCATAGCCAATGAAGTGGATGTTCTCACTCTCGATGTATTGTCGCACGAATTCCGGTGTCAGCATGCCTCGGCGTTGCAGCACACCAAAGATCGAAGCGTAGTAGTCTTGGTAGGTGGAGTGTGAGAGTTCCGGTATGTTGAGTGCAGGCAGCATATCGTTCTTGAATTGCTCGAACGAAAGTCGTTGCAGCTGGTGCTTTCCAAGATAGAGATCGGTGGCGACAATATAGCTATTTACATCTTTTTGGTAGGCATTGCTGTTGAACATCTCCATTGCAGAGTGATACTCGTTGTTGTACACCAGTGAGCTAAGCTTGCAGTTGAACAGTCGCTGTCGGAAATTGTCGATTCTCAACTCTTCCCACTCGAGGTTATCGACAAGTTGTCGCGGATCATGGTGATTCTCAATGACATAGTCCGAGTAGATCTTTAGTGTTTCGTGTCGCAGCATCTTTGGATTCTTTGAGATCAATGCAATCATCATTTTCATTGCTAGTTGGATGTCACGCGCGTTCAGCAGTCCAATGATAATGCCATTCCAAGTGACCACCGACTCTGTGAGAATGGAGAGATTCGATTCGTTCGGAATCAAATAGTTTTGTACAGCGAGCTCAATGTTGTTTTTCAGTTTGTCTTGCAGTTGTAATGGTTGCATAAAGAGATCTCTAAACATTGGCGGTACTTTCGGGAGGAATTCCGAGTAGTATTGTTCGGTTGTCAAGACGGTTTGGAGAGTCTGAGCGGCCTGCACGATGAGGTCGTCGTGGGGCAGGTGATTCTGTGAGAAGTTAAAGTGTTGTAAATGTCGAATGATACTGTCTGGATCCTCTTGGTTTGTCTTCATTCCACGCGATAACAGTTGTTGAAGTTGTTGGTCTTCGTTGGTCGGTTCTCCCGCAACGATGCTGCTGCCCGACGACAACAGAATCTCTGATACCAACGGATCGAGAATATCTTCAACCTTATTGGCTACTGGCGAGTTGATAGTGATTCCCTTGCCTTCGGAGAGGAACGACTTGCTCAGTTCAAACCAAAACAACGTGCACACTTGCTGTCGCAGAATTACTTTTGGCCGACTTGGCTGCTGTTGGAGCGCTTCCTGTAGCTGCTTCAAATGGTACCTGTAAAACACTCTGACGATACTCATATTCGGTGTTTTTCCGTGGTTTGCTCGTAGTTGAAGGTATGTCATGAGTGCTGGACGATACGCGCCAAAGTGCAGGTACATCTGTATGAGATAGCGTGTGGTCATCTCGATGTGCTGTGGATCCTTCGCCGCCAGAACCTGCGAAACAAAGTGGTATATATCTTGTTTGTCGTCGAGACATTGATTTAGGAACAGTAGATTCGCCATGAAACGCGATGATACTGTCGAGAGCGAGTTGGCCAGAAGCTGCACAGAGGTGTTGTGGTCGTGTGGCGACTCTGGATAGGTGTTGTGAATCAGCGATTCCAAAATGAACTGGATGATATCGACACGCTGGAATCGCTCCAGTGAGATCGACATGTTGCGCATCACAAAGAACTGCAGTGTCAGCTGGTGAGTCGACATATTGGGAAACAGCTGAAAGTGTGCAAACAACGAGCAGGTTCTCTGCATTCTAAAGTCATCGCCAACCGAGCAATAGAATTGCAAAAACATATTCAACATATCGACCGTCAGCTTCTCCGTTTGTTCAAGTGCAATGAAATTCAACAGTTCATCCGACTCTAGCAATCTATGATATTTTATAGAGGTATCGAAAAAATATGATTGTAATCTAAAATAATATGTCAAATACATTCACACACAAAAATTGTTAAAAAACAATGATAAAACATAAGATAAGATATTACAAACACTTACAATGTTATAATTTTAATTGTATCTTGTTCATTCTTTATGAAATTCTTTAATCTGTTTACGATGATTTCATTCTCTTTGTCGTGATCCGATACTATTCTTTTGGGTGGTGTAGGTGGTAGTTGTGTGATGGTTGATGATTGTTGTGGTGATATTAGTTTACTCTTGAAATCACGTCTATGTGTAGACTTTGAAATATTCGATAGATCTACTTCATCGTATTTCTTGCCACTGTTGTTGCTATTATAATATCTACAGCCGAGTATACTAGAATATGAAATACTTGATCTATTTAAATAAAGAGTAGATGATCTATTTCCAACAACCAATGTTAGAAACCTATTCATCTCTTATATTTATAGATAGAACTATATATTGACTGACTGATTTCAATCTGATCACTTAGAGTGTGAAAAATATAAATCTGTTTTTTTTTTTTTTTTTTTTTTAACAAAAAACGCTACTTTGCTTTCGTTTTTCAAACAATCAATATTAAATATTATTTGTACGAATTATTTATTTATTTTATTTATTTTTGAAGGATTATATTTTAATTTAGTAGTCGTCGATGAAAATCACAGAAGCATTCCTATCTATGGCTTTTTCCAGGACCTATTAGAGTCTCTATCACAACACCACTCATCGATAATGAAGAACATTTAGAAGACACTCCTAACCAGGGCGATCTATCTGTTTTTCCGATGAAGACATATTCAACACCACACACAGTAATCAGCAGAAGCAAATAGTGTGCAAGAACCGGATGTCTTCAAATTGGTGAACCTAATTACAAATAGTGTTTTAATAATCAAGTTTATTTAAAGTATTAAGAATCATTATCTTTAATATATTTATCATATAATGTTACAAAAATAAATAAATAAAATAGTTAATAGTAGTACAATAACATAATATAGTGCATTATTTAATTACAATATACATATAGAAATTTAATCACTACATTTATTTATTTTTATTATTGTTTTTAGTTTTATATTTAAAGTGCAGGTCCATGATTTAAAATAACAGCTTTTACATTGCAATACTCTTGAATGGCATACTCACTGAGATCCTTACCGAATCCCGATTGTTTGTAACCACCGAATGGAACGAGATAGTGAATGTAGTTGTATTCGTTGATCCAAATGGTTCCAGCTTTCAGTTTCTTCTCAACACGGTGAGCAGTGCTGATGTTCTCTGTCCAGACACCGGCAGCCAATCCGTAAGCAGAGTTGTTGGCACGGGTGATCACTTCGTCAACGGTTTTGAATTTGAATACACAAACCACTGGACCAAAGATCTCTTCGGTTCCAACACACATGTCGTCCTTCACGTCGACGAGTACAGTCGGTTGGATAAAGTATCCACGATCGGTATGCTTCTCACCGCCGACCAACACCTTGGCACCCTCTTTCTTTCCGATGGCAAGATAGTTGAGTACACGGTCAAAGTGCTCCTTGCTCGCCATTGGACCTTGGTCGTTCGACTCGAATGGATTACCGACCTTCAGTGCCTGGACAGCGGGAATGAACTTCTCCAAGAACTTGTCATAGATTCCCTCTTGGACAAAGAGACGCGAACCAGCACAACAACATTGTCCCATATTGATATACATAGCATTGACAGCACCCTTTACCGATCTCTCAAGATCGGCATCGTCAAACACAATGTTTGGAGATTTACCACCGAGTTCCAGTGTAACTTTCTTCAAGTTACTCTTTCCGGATGCTTCCATAACGAGACGTCCAACTCTGGTGGATCCAGTGAATGAGATCTTATCGATGTCAGGGTGACGAGAGATTGCATCACCAACGGTATGTCCATATCCATTGACCATATTGAAAACACCTGGTGGGAATCCAGCGTCGGCAATCAACTGGCACAGTGCGAGAGCGGTGAGCGATGTGTGTTCACTTGGCTTGGCGACAACGGTGCAACCACTGGCCAAAGCAGGTCCCAACTTCCAACACATAATCAAGAATGGGAAGTTCCATGGTGTGATGAAAGCGGCGACACCCACTGGCTCGTGTCTGGTGTAGGCAGTCAGGTTGTTGGCGGCACTCTGGATGAGCTTACCCTGGATCTTGTCAGTCCAACCAGCGAAATATCTAATGCAACCTGCAGCTTGTGCCAAATCAAAGTGGAGCGAAGCAGCATATGGCTTTCCCATCTCTGTTGTCTCCAAAGCGGCCAACCACTCTTTGTTCTTCTCAATCAAATCGGCCAACTTGTACAAAAGAGTACCTCTATCAGTAGCAGACATCTTTGACCATGCTCCATTCTCGAATGCATCTCTTGCAGCTGCAACAGCCTAAATTAGTTGTTAATAATAATAAAAGTTTAATTAATATTAAAAATTAAGATTGATTTATAAATAAAAACCTGTGTAAAAAACTTACTAAATCTACATCTTTTGAAGAACCTTCAGAGATTTCACAGATCAACTCTTCAGTAGTTGGATTGAAAGTTTTGAATTGTTTTGGCTCGACTGGATCTACCCATTGATTATTAATAAATAATTTAGTATTTGGTAATTTAACTTTATTTGCTTCAATCATTATATAATTAACTGATGATACTATTTATTTATTTATATAAATATTTATATATATGAAGACTGTTTGTTTAGTTGATAAATGAAAAATGATTTAAAAATGAATGAGATAGATATTTTTTTTTGTTATTGAAATTTAATTAAATTAAAATTTCTTTTCAGAAAAGAATATTAATTATTATTTAAAGTAGCAAAAGATTTTTATTTTTATTAATTACTTTTACATTTTTGGCCAAAAACCAACTTACAAATTGAATTTTGACCAATAGAAATCCAACAACCAGACAAATTTTGAAGTGACTTTTTTTTTTTTTTTTTGTGCATAGAATCAAACCTTTAATAAAAATTAGATAAAAGAATACTACTGCAGTTATTTATAGTATTTAGGTTAATGTACACATAGATTATTTTATTTTAAAAATGTGTGAAATACAAAACTTTTTTCCCAAACAAAATTAATCTACGTGAATCCTGTTAGTTTTTCCTCAGTAGACACACAGAGAACACCATTAACTTCGAGTTCGAAAGTGACCTCGATTTGTGGGATGCCTTTTAGTGCTTTTTGAATACCATTACTAAAGTGTATAGTTTTGATAGATATCAATCTTCACAGTTCTGAGCATGATAAATAATAGTTTGACAATCTTTATTATATTTTGTATAAAATTTTTAATTAATTATCCTTTTCCAATAATTAACTTTACCACACTCCATGTCCTCAGCAGAAACCTGAAGAATTCCATTAATATCTACTGCCAAATTGACTTTTACTTTTGCGACGCCACCAGATTCTGGTGGTATAACAGGTAAATCGAATTGACCCAAAAAAGTGTTGAGACTGGTCATCGAACTTTCACCTTCGTAAACTTTAATCAATACCTTTTTGCTTTTTAATTGTTTTATAGTGAAAATCTTTGAAAAATTGTATGGAATGGGAGTGTTCCTTTCGATCAATCTTGTCATAACTCCATCTCCTGTCTCAATACCACAGTCCATGGAGTGACTTCCAACACTGATTTGATAACTTCAGTACCTTTGGAGTTTGATAAGATTCCAGCCTGGATGACAACACCCTTTGCAACTTCTTTCTCTGGGTTTTCTACCTCTCTTATTTTTTTGTAACCAAAGAATTTCTTCAACAAGTATTTGATATATTGAATGCGGGAGGATTCACCAACCAACAAAACTTCATCAACTTGGTACTTTGTCAAATTGGAATCTTCTAGAACTTTCTTTACACTATCAATAGTTAAGTCGAATAAAAAACTGTTCAAATTTTCGAATTCGGTACGAGTTAATATCTCTTCTAAACTTTCACCATCAACTAAGTATTTGATTTCAAGAGTACTTTTTGTAGAAGTGTAAAGTTCTCGAATGGCATTCTCTGTAGCATTTCTTAATCTAAGGAGTGCCAATTGGTCTAAAATGGGGTCTGTACCGGTCTTACTTTTGAAGACATCCAACATGTACTTCATAATTCGTTTGACATAGTCTTCACCACCGGTGGAATCGTCTCCATTGGTGGCTAGAACTTGAAAGATTCCTTTTTCGATGCTCATCATTGAAACACCTAACGTACTAACACCCAAATGATAGACTAAGACGTTCTTCTTATGAGAAGTGGTATCTTTGTAATAGTATGACAACGCAGCAGCGGTTGGTTCATTAATGATGCGTAACACATTCAATCCTGCCAAGACAGTTGTATCTTTCATGGCTTGACGTTGAGCATCATTGAAATATGAAGGACAAGTAATTACTGCATTCTTGATTGGTTTCCCTAGGTACGATTCTACATCATTCTTTATCTTGGACAAAATCATGGCTAAGATTTCCTCCGGTGTGTAAAGCTTTTGTATTTTTTTCTCCATAACTGAAACATATAGTTTATCATCTTTTGAAGAGATCTTATAGGGCAACCATTTTATTTCATTTTGAATAAAAGGGTCATTGAAACTATTAGATTTATTTGATAAAAAAAAAATTATGTTAAAATTTGTTTTTTTTTAAAAAAGATGAGTGTCTTTTTAAAGTAACATACTTTCTACCAATTATACTTTTTATATTGAAAATTGTATTTGTTGGATTGTATTTAGCAAGCTCCTTTGCTATGGGACCGATAAAATTTTGTTTTATACCGAAATAAACAAATGAAGGAGTTACACTATATCCTTCAATGTTTGGAAAGAAAAATACACCGCCATTCTTGTAAATCCCTACACGAGTATGGGTTGTCCCAAGTTCGATACCGATTACTTCTCCATCAACAAGCTCTTTTTCCTTAGTGTAGGAATAGTTTATAGTGCATAAAAGCAAAAATAAATATAAATAATATGAATTAAAATTCATTATTTTTCTTAATATTTATAAAATTACAACTAAACAAAGTAAAAATCTAAAAAAAAAACATTATTTTTTTTAACTGGGAGAATCAAAGTTGATTTTATTCATTTGAATTAAACTCATTCCAAGTAAAAACTTGCAGCTTTAATTTTTATTTGTTCAGTCAATTTATAAAATTTAAGTGGTTGATTGTTATCCAAAATCCGAAATTCTTGGGTTAATACTTCAGGTTTAAATAATTCTTTGTGATTACAATTTTATAAATTTAATTAGTTTTAATACTTGGGAAATTTATGTGAATATATCAAATAAAAAAAATAAAAGATTAATCTAGATAAATGTAGTTATTTTAACTGAATTTTGTGGTTTTTTAATACCCTTTTAAATGAAAAAATGGAGGTCTGATATATTCTATTAGAGTAATATATTTTTAAATTAATAATAATAAAAGATTATTTTAGAATTTGTTTAAAAATAGAAATCTTCCAAAATTATCAGGAAAGATAGTTTTCCCAATTTTTAATTAACTATACATTTTTCCAAAAATTAACTTTACCATACTCCATGTCCTCAGCAGATACCATTTATATCAACTTAAAAATTTACTTTTACTTGTGCATCTGTTGTAAACCAGTATTTTTTTGGTATAACCGGTAATTCGAATTTACCCAAAAACCTGTTGTCCTTGGTCATAGAACTTTCGCTTTAAAAATTTGTTGCAAAACCTTTAATCTATTAGATTCTTTTTAAATTAACATGCTTTCTACCTATTAAACGCTTTATATTGAATATTGTATTTTTTTGGATTGTATTTAGCGAGGATCTTGGCGTATTGACCAATGAAATGACAATCATGACTGAAAGATACAAACGATGAGTAGAGCGGAATCCCCCACTATTTGGAATGAAAAATACATTTCCATTCTTGTAGATACCCATACGCGAGTGTGTAGTTCCGATTTCGATACCGATGATATCGCAATCTTCTTCCTTTGCATAGGAAATGATTGTTGCGAACAAAACCAAAAATATATAAAAACAATGAATTAAATTATTTTTAAAAAATATTTACACTCTTCTTTCATGCTATTGCAGAGGTAAAAAAAAAAAAGAAAAAAAAAAGGTTTTTTAAAAAAATTAATTTAGATTATCTTTATTTTGATTTAAACATATAACATATAAGATAAATAATAGATGTAAAATGAATATAATAAAAGATTATTTTTCGAATTGGTCTATCTTCAATCAAAAACAAACTAGAAATTATAATGTTGTATTTACAGGAATGACTGGTGTCGGCAAGACATCATTGTTGTACAAGATGAAACTGGGTGAATTCATTGGTGATAGTGATATTGGTCGTGGCACAATGTATAATGTAGAGTATTATAGCTTTAGAGACAGACAATTCACACTCTGGGAGTTGAAAACGATCTCACCACATGCAACACATGTCAACTTGAAAATCGATGTTCTAATATTGGTTGTCGATAGTTCAAACGATAGGCTTCACACTCTACAAGAAACAAAACAATACTTTTACGACGCATTGAAGGATGCATTGCAATACAGCGGTGAACAAACATCTATTTTAATATTAGCAAACAAATGTGATCAACCAAATACATCTATTCTCAAAGAGATTGAAGATCAACTAGAACTTCCACTTCTAAACAACTACATCGATAACAACAGTAGTACCAAAAGCAATCATCTGTGGCATATTCAAGCTGTATCTGCAAAGTCAGGTTATGGAATAGATGAATCATTAGATTGGATATCAAATATATTAGAACTTCAACAACAAAATTATTAATAATCTTTTATCATAATTATAAATTATTATAATACATATTACATAAAAGTGATGTAATCGTAAAGATATATAAGATTTGTTTGTAATCGAGTTTTAATAGCACTTCTTTAATAGAAATAGATCTATTGTCGAATCATCAATTCCTTGCATATAACTATAAAATGGTAAGTAAATAAACAAATTCGTCATCATTATTTTTCGCATTTTATTAATAATTTTTAAAAAATAATATTTTATTAATAGTTTATTAATAGTTTATATCTTAGATTAGTAACATTTTTTTAGAACTAGTATTTGGACAATTCGTAAATAGAAAAATGAAGATTCAATTTTTAAAATAACCAAATACAGATATATATATTCGTAAAAAATAAAAATTTGTTTGACAGTCATTATCCATGTTTGTGTTTTTTTAAAAAAAATAAAAATATAAATAAATACACACCCACCACAAATCTTCTTAAAAAGATAAATCCTAAAAATATAAAAAAAGCTATTAATATTAATTATTGTTTGTTTACCGTTTCAGGAAATATATGCCCAACTTATAAATATGCATATTTGCTTTAAATGAAGAGCTATAGTTTATTTTAATTTAAATAAACCAAATGTATTATCACAACATGTCAAAGAATCTTTTTGGAGCTGCAAGCAATCTTGGTAACGCTGCTGGTTCGAGCGGTGGATCCGGTGGAATCGGTGCTGTCCACGACGGAATCGACAGTGGTCTTGGTGTCGCCAGCAAGACCGGAGTCAACACTCAGCCATTGAGCCAAGCCAACAACATGGCCAGAAAGTTCACTGGTAGCGGTCAGCAACAAGGTCGTCAAGCCACCAGCAACAATATGGAAGAGGAGAATTTCCAACAAGGTCAACAACAACAAAAGCCATTCAACCAGGCCAACAACTCCAGCAACCAATCAGGTATCAACCAACACCAGTTCAACTAAACACTCTACTGTGATGATAGAATGCTTACCTTTTTTTTTCATTATTTATTGTACATAACCAACCAACAACCTCTTTAATAAACAAAACATAACATAAAATCTTTTTAATTTTTCCTTTCCAGACTCTGGATTTGGAATAATCAAAAAAAAAAACAAAAACAAATCTTTAATTTTTTCATTTTATTTGAAGTTGTACATTTATGTTTTGTTTAATTAAAGATATATAGTTGTTTATTAATATTATATTATATTATATTGAATTCATATAAAGATGTCAGAACATAGTAGTCCAAGTGTTAAGTCACCACCGATTACATCAGCATTTCCTTTTCCTTCTTATTATAATAGAGAACCATTCTTTACATTACAACCAATACTCAATACACAGAAGAAACAGTTACAAATGTGGCAAGAACTGATATTATCATATACTCGTTATCACAAGATCTATGAATTAGATATCAATGAATATATAAAGAGAGGTTCTGAATTATTTAACAATGAAAAGATAAAGAGTATTTATTACAGTGTTTTATCTATAGATATATAGTTTAAACATTTAACATCTTATACTAATCGATAAAACCAACAAATTAACTTTAAATAAATAAAAAAATAGGAAAGCTATCACAAGAGACAATTGTAGCAATATTTAACGAAATTGTAGATTCTGGTTATGGTGAATGGTTAGATAAAGATAAGAGTCGTGCATTGGTATGGTGGAGAAAACCAGACGAGTGGGCATCGATCATCTATCAATGGGTCGTAGATAGTGGTCAGACCGATTCAATCTTAACTGTTTGGGAAATACAAAAAGGTGACGATACAAAGAATCTAGGTAAGATATCATTATAATAATAATAAGATAATATAATATACAAATCAAAAAATAAATTAACTTTTTTTTCTTATTACAAAAATAAATATTTAGAATTTCATGAAATCAATACAAATATATTAATGAAAGCATTGAAATCACTTGAGAAACAAGGTAAAGCACAAATATTCTCTGGTAGTGAAAATAATCTTGGTGTAAAGTTCTTCTCTGTATAATAACAATAGTAATATCATAAATAAAACACATATACATTTAAAAAACCTATTTTTTTATTCTTAGACTCATTAATCTAATTAGTTCAACTAATATTATCTTTAAAGTTATTAGTTTGGCGCTCACTTTAAAAAGTCAACACCACTCGAATTTTTGAAATCGATCAAATAACAACTTCAAGAATCTTTTTTTTTTTTTGATCAATGAATTGGTTGTTTTAGATTAATATTATATTTAAGATTTATTTATAAATAGATAGATATAGATAGTAATATTAATATTACTAAAACACAATGTTTAACATTAAACCAACATCATCGTCATCTTCTTTTTCTTCCTCTACTTCTTCAACCACATCGTCATCAAACAAATCAAACAAGTTTGTCAATTTCAAATGGTCTCCAAACAGTGGTGATCTCTTAATATTCGAATCTAATCACTATTCAAAGAAACAAAGTAAATCGTCATCAACCAGTAAAGATAAAGATGTATTAAAGATACAAAAAGATGATATACTCTGTGAGATTAGAAAGGTAGGTTTGTTACAGCATAATTGAATAATACATTTCAATACAATATCTCTAGAGAGAATTAATATACTAACTAAATTACTATTGTTGTTGTTGTTTAGTTTTATAATGAAATGTATTCACATTTCAAAACATTACAATCAATAGATGACAATGGTAGTGATTCAATGATACCGGACGAAAGAGTAAGAGAGATATCAGCTATTAGCAATCGTTATCAGTCTGTCTTATTGGCAACGATCGATCAAATTCAAAAATCATTGGATTCCGGTAACTACTTGGACTACGATGATAGTTCACAACAAAGAGAGAATCCATTCGATGAAGATTTAGTGTATGTATTAATTAATATATATAACAAATGCTATGTATTGATTTACTTATTTATGTTATTATTGCTATTGTTAGTATTAAAGAAAAAACAAGAATTGTAGAGATTATGAAAGAATCTAAAGAATCAAAGATAGAGTTAATTATATTCTGTGGTAGTGTTAATAGTATCTATCCGTTGTTGTGTGCAAAAGTATCGAGAGAGTTGGGTATAAAGTGTAATTTGATTGCACGTGAATCACTATATGAAGTTAAACCTCAATATCAAATGGCTCTCAAAGGTATACAATCGATGTTGACCATACTTACACCATCACAATACTCTCAAAGAATTAAATATATCGAAGATAAATATCAATCATCATCATCATCTCAATCAAATAATATAACATATGTAGAATGTGATGATTTATATCAAAAAGTAAGTTTGTTATATATATATATACATCTTATCTATACAACTTGTATTTACCTTTAAAACTAACTAACTAAAACAATGTATTTTTTTAATATTTTAGTATAAATATGAATATGATAATCTACAAGTATTGTCTATTATTTGGAAGATTGCACATCTGTTTTATTTCTCACCTGCTATATCACCCTATCAATTGATAGAGTGTCTACATTTCGATAGACAGTCGTTGCACAGTCAGTTTGTTGCTATGACCAGTATGTCAGTGTTGGAGACCGACGAGGGCTATCAGTATGTAAATTCACTGCTGGTCAATGGTTGCATCGATGAAGCCATCCACATCTTGAACTTACACTCGCGTCTGCCAAAGTCGAGTCACTCCGTGCGTATGTCTGTGAGTACCGCGCGTGGAAAGTCACCGCTTGGCAGCATCATTGAGCTGCTGCAACGTATGCCGATTAGACGTCGCTTGCAATCGAACAATGCAATCAATGAGTATCTGGCTCTCTGGACTCGCTGGCACCAAGAGGCAGAGGATCTGCGCATCACCTACAACAACAGCGTCGACGCGCACCTCCAGGAGATTCTCGACATTGTCGCCGGTCACGAACCAACCGTCTTCAAATACGCCAACGGTTTCCTCAGCTCGATTGTCGCCAGCATGCTGTTCATCGAGCACCTGGGATCGACCCAACAGATTCGTCAGCTCTTCTTGCGTTGCTATCATAGAATCACGACACGTTCGACACTCGACCGTATCATCCTATCGTTTGCCACCAACGACTTGGAGTCGGGATTGAAACGAACATCGAAGCACTTCTCTTCGTGGCTGGTTACACATCTCACCGATCTACTATATCACCACCCTTATATCTTGAAGAAACACTTTGCAGAGATATCGCCACTTGCCAACATCCGTGACAACCTAATCGTTGACTATGCCCAGTATCTCGCTTCTGACCAATCGCTTGTCGAAGTTGCATGCAACTATCTACTGTACACAAAGAACGGTCCTTTCATTATCGACCAAATCATCCAACGTCAACCAATCTCCAGTGAGAAACAAGCATTGAAACTATTGGAATATTGTCAATCGCAAGATACTCAAAGATTTATTTATAGAGTAAGTAATTACTATTTTACGCCATACCATTCATTATCTCTAATTTTAGTTACTATCATACATTTCAGATGTTATCAATGGAAGATTATAAGAATCAGCGATATGCTTCTGCTCTGTCTTGGTTGATGAAGGGTAAAGATAGTGAGAGAATATCTCAACTATCAACCTACTTGCTCAATGAAAAGTTGGATTCAAACTTGTTGGATGACTTACAATCATTGGTAGAAACAAAGTTGAATGAGATTCAATATTATAGAGAATTAGATTTCTTAATTAAATATAAAGAATTAATTACACTTTGGAAGGTATGTTATGTTGTCAAACTAAACTAAACACTGATCAGTATATAAACTAATATTTGGTTTTTTTTTTTTAAAGTAATAAGAACTTTGATGACTATTCCAAATGTTTTTGTGGTATGCTTAGAGATAAAGTCGTACCCAAACCATTTTGGATTCGTTTGTTATTGGATATTGTACCGTTACTCGAAAGCTCAAAGAAAGTATACTTTGGATATGACGATACCATTCTGCTGTTGAATTGCTTGGAGGAGATCTGCTCACCACATCTGATCGATCAGTATCTCGAGGGTGTCTCTGATTCTGAAATTCAGACACTCCGATTGGCACTCGCTAGAAATGTATCGAAATCATTTATATTTGCAAATCATCATTCAAACATCAGCAACTCACTGACTACCATTAACAACACCACTGCCATGATAACTCCATATTCACCAAGTAAATTTCAACAACAATCATCGTCATCACCTTTACAATTAAATAATGGTTATCATGCGACAGCAACATCATCATCGACAACACCAACCAATATTATAAACTCAACAATATTTACAATGAATAAATAAAGTAAAAAAAAAAAACATGGAATTTTCCTACAACATTGAAAACAAAAAAAAAAAAACTTTTATTTGTTTATTTAACAATATCAGTACGATAGTGTACATTATCTAAGCTGTTATTTTTACAGGTAATTTTCAATAAGATCGGTAACTTTTTTAGCGGAACTAGTAAGTTGAGTTGATAATATTTAAATTATTTCTTAAACTCAGCACTATTTCCACTTTAACTCTTAGCTATTTTTGTTGAGGGCTGATTCGATCCTGCCAAACTTGGACCACTTAGACAATTTAATTTAATAGTTACTATCATTCATTTCAGAATTTTAAAAAATATCAATGTTGTTGGAAAATCCAATGTCTTTAAAGAAAATAATAAATAATTTAATTTTAATTATTGAAACTATTGGCTATTATTACCCTTGTTGTTGTTATTAAATATTCTATTTATAACCTTTTGAGCTATTGACTTCGAGTTGTAGATTGAGTCGTTTACACCAACTCCAATCATATGATTTCCACCGAGTTGCAATGTACCCTTGTATTTATCTTGGAGATGCTGTTCGATTTGTTTACAGAGTGCTTGGTGTCCAACTGAATAGTGTGGAATTGCATTGTGGTAGATGGTGGCTGCGGTGTGTATAGGACGGGTCTGTGCTTCGTTCAATCCTAGGTATTGTTCGACATGCTTAATCGCGATATCGATAAGTGTAGACTTTTTCATGTTGATGACATCTTGCCATTGAGGATTGCGTTGTGAAATGCCAGAGTTACCACCAATCATTACAGTGATAATCGATCTGGCACCACCATTACCCATGCCTGCCGACTCTGGGAAAGTATTGCTGTCCACAGCGACACCTAATACAGGCAAACCTTCACGCGATGCAACTAAATATCCAAATCCAAGTCCTGACACTCTAGCTCTAACGGGTGTTGAATCATAGACAAGATTGACAACAGCGATATTGGAATATTCCATCTTGGAGCATAATGCCGCCAGCTCACTATCGAATGAACCCAGTGGTTTCTTGGACGCCCATTGATGTAGAGGCACGGTAGATACAACAGTATCATATTCATGTTCGTTTCCATGACTATCAACTAGCCTATAAACAGGAGTACCGTTCTTATCGCTTCGTTCAATCGATTGTATATGGGTATTCATATAGAGTTTACGCTCTGGAATCGATTTGGTCAGTTTGTCTGTCAACATCTGTAGACCTCCGTCTTTAAATGAGAAGATTCTAGTGGAATCGTTGTCTTTGTTCAACATGGATTTGACTCGCCTAACGGAATCGTGATCCAATGACAATGCAGTCTTTTCCAATGACTCTGCCTCTTGTTTCTTCTTGGCGAGCAGCGAACCCAATATGAGTGATCCACTCTCACGCTCCAACTCATACAACGATGGGAAACAAGATTTAATAGACAGTCGTGTGTAGTCACCACCGTGGATACCTAAACAAACTGGCTCGACAAACATCGACGCTGCATTCTCACCTAAACGACGACTGAAAAACGATTGTATCGACTCGTCCTCCTCTTTGCTACGCGATCTAAAGATCTCTGAGAGTATCGGATACACCAAGCCATTGGAGAATCCAAAGCGCACGGCATTGAGAAAACTCGATGGCAACGGTTGAACTTTGCCGTCGATCAACATATATCTGGTTTTTGCCTTCTTGCACGCGAACAGTATTTGATTCTCCAGACGCAGCTCCGCCACCAGATCCAGTGTATGAATACCGTGGCCGGCGACACGAATCGATCTTGGTCCTCGCTCGATAACACTCTTCTCCCATACCTCTGTCTCGATACGACCACCAGTTCTCGGCGAACTCTCAAACAAATCGATCTTTAGCATATCGTCTTCATTTTGCTTGGCTCTTAGTTGTGCTGCTAAACCCACACGCTTCGTAAGATAATGATAAGCGGTCAGACCAGAAACACCACCACCTAAAACAGCAACTCTTTTTCCACCTTGAGTTAAAATAGATGACTATTATAATAATAAATTATCAAAAAAAAATTTGTTTTAGATTAAAAAAATTAGTAAAAAAAAAAGACAAGTCTTTCAAAGAATAAAAAACATACACTCATTTATATATCTATAGATGATTTTTGATTATAACTACTTTTAACTATACATAAAACAAAATAAATGAACTTGAATAAAAACAAAAATACAAATAACCTATATATTACAACAATTATATTAATTTAAATTCTAATTTAAAGAGCTAAGAAAAAAAAAAAATAGATTCACAAACAACTTCACATGTTTGTAAAAATGCATTGCAATTTTTAAATGAAAACATAATTGTGTTGTGTTCTCTGTTAATTAACCTTAAGAAAGTAACTAAAAACAAAACAAATAAATCAATAGAATAAAATAAAAAGATATTTATTACTCTAAACTAAAATAAACAAAACAAAACAAATTCAAATATAATCTTTAATATTTGAACCAGTACTCTCGATAAATAAAAGTTTAATTTGTTGATTTATATCATTATTAGATAATAAACAATATTAAAAGAAAAAAACTATTAAAATTAACATTATAACATTGTTATTATGAGCAACTTAGTTAAACAAAACAAAAAAAAAAAAAGAAGTTCGGACGATTTTGCAAAATGTCATTTTAAAAAATTTTCATTTTTTCGCAGCGATGGTGAGCGTAGTCACATGGTGTGGTGATAGATGAGAGTCTTGCTGCTCACACAAGTCCTTTTTTGATTCCCGTAGTTATCTGATTCAATTTATCAGCCATGGTACAAATCCCCACTGAAAACCGTCTCAAAATCTACAACTCTCTCTTCAAAGGTGAGGATTAACCAGCATACTGTAGATATGTAGAAGAAACAGCTTTAGGTTAGTTAGATTTAGAGTTATAGAGTTGGATATTGCGATAAACAAACGAATCTATGAATATATCTAAACAAATCTATGACCATCGACTACATCTTATTACATATCTATCTAGAAACTCAAAAACAACAAAGCAATCAAACTAACATTCAAACTACTACTACTTTATAAACAAAAACAGAGGGTGTCTTAGTTGCCAAGAAGGATTTTGGTGCCAAGACTCACCCAAATGTTGAGGGTGTTACCAATCTTGAGGTCCTCGCCTGCATGAAGTCACTCAAATCCCGTGCTCATGTCACCGAGATCTTCAACTGGCAATACTACTATTTCACCCTCACTGACCAAGGTATCCAATACCTCCGTCAATTCCTCCAACTTCCAGAGTCCGTCGTCCCATCTACTCTCCGTAAACCAGCTTCACGTCCAGTTGAGCGTAGAGAGAGATCTGATAGACACGAAGATGGTAAGCGTATGGGTCCAAGCGGTGAATTCACCCCAGGTTTCGTAAGTATCAAACAAAACAAACAACATTGACATACAGGTTTAAACAATAATCATTTTTACTCATTACAACCTATTTTTACTATTACTTTTTATAGCGTGGAGGAGATCGTCCACGTCGTGGTGGAATGGGATCCAGTGGATACAGAAGACGTGAAGAGGGTTCTGCTCCACGTCCAACTCAATCAAACTAAGCGCTTAGTCGTTCGGTGAAGGATGTCAAAATAAAATAATTTTATAAAAAAACAAACACAGCAACTACTCCTTCATTACACATTAGAAGGGATTGAGAGAGAGAGTGTGTGTGATTAGTTGATTACAGTTTTATCAGTTTTATCATTTATATTTTTAGTTAGTCATTTAGTTATTTAGTTTGTAGATGGTAGCTCTATTTTTAAGTTTAGGTTTGTAATAAAAAAACAGAGAAATTATTGAGAATACTCAAAGTGATTTATGTATTGTACAAAAGTTTATAACTATATATTATTTATTTTATATATGTGTAATATTTCAAAAGATGGATGATCACTTGTTGTTGTTTTTTAGTTGTGTGGAGTGTCAGAATGTGCCAATATATGCATTGCGAACATGACTTGAGTGGTTTTGGTCTTCAAACTCTTTTGGATCAATCTAGAGAATGATTGTTTTGCTTCTTCATCGTCTAGATCCATCAAGAATGCTTCACGAAGATAATCTATATCATTTCTTGTTGATAATTCAGGAATACCAGTTGATAGCATCTATATATTTATCATTATTAATATTAGTAACATAATTATGATAAATAAAATGATTTAAACTTACAAGATTAAATAAAATAATAAAAAGATTTCTTTGCTTTCTAATGATATTATAGGATAGACAACATAAATCGGTGAACCATTTGAATGAATCACTCTTTTCACCACCCATTACATGTGCAAATTCCGGTGTCAATACAAAAGGTGCTTTCTCCCGTTTGTATCCATGGAATTTCATGATATTTCCCAAGAAATGTGCAAAGTCAATATCTGAATTATAAAGTTAATAATAGTTAGTTATTAGTTGGTGATTTTTGAATCATATTATTATACTTACGGAAAAGATGACCTGAAGTTGCAACCATAATGTTATCATTATGTCTATCACTTATACCAAGTAGATAGGTAGCGACACAGTAACCGGTGAGTGAGTTTGTAAAGTTTTGAACTACCATTTCCATGTCGGATTCAGAGTTACGCTCTTTTAGCCAATTGGATAGCGGTGTCTTGGTGAATGCAGCGGTTGCTCCACCTGCTGCTTTCTGGATGTTGGCGACTGTGTCACTGTCGGTGACGACTTCGATGAATCCCATGCCGTCGCCTGTTGCCGTCACGTTGTAGATAGAGAGATGCAAGTCAAGTCCATCACGTTTCCATAGGTTATCCATGATTGAGATCATCTGGAGCGTCAGGATATCTTGACGTAGATCGTCACCGTGTTTGTAGATCACACTAATCGGGTCACCGAGTGGATCGACATTCTGGAAGCTGAGAAGTAGCGGCGTGGTAAAGGAGTCGAGCCAACGACATTCGTTGACAATGATTCCACAGGCTTGAGTATTGTATGACGTCGGTAGGTGGAATGTGTTTGGCCAGCTGACGCGTGTCAACTCGTCTTGGAGTAGTTGCTTACGCTTGTTGGCCGGTGCTTCCTTGATGATCTTGGCGATCGACTGGAGTCGTGTGACAACCTCCATCTGTTTGACAAACTCATGACGTTGGTCTCCACAGCCTTTGAGATAGGTTTCCAGGATGAGTGAGTATCGATCCGATATCTTTTGGTTGTGCATCTCCGCCTCGAGATGCCAGAACAGCGGGTGACCTATGACTGCACGATTGTTGAGTGCTCGCTGAATGAGGAATCTGGCGAGCGCGGAATCGTGGTAGGATTCGTGTTTGAGCGACTGGATCAGTTGGAGAAGATAGAGCGCCAGGTCGCTGTCACTCAGCGAGCGCAGACAGTTCACTGCATATTCACGTACGAGTTCATCGGCGAATTTGACATCGAGTAACTCGAGTGCTTCCACGGGGGATGGCGTTGCCCAGATGGAGAGAAGACGATGTGCTTCTTTGACATCGGTTGGGTTGTTCCAACGAAGCGATTGCAGTACTTTCGATAGCGAGTGAGGATTGTTGCTCAGATGCATACGGTATGTCCAAATAAACTGTTGATCAGACGGTGTAAGTTGATACATTGGATCTTTGTTGATTAGTATCTGCAGTCTTTCTTCATCTTGCTTTCTCGCTTCGACATAGTCGGTGATCTCGGTTCGTTCCATCAACTCTGGTCGTGGGAAGATAACGGGGAATGGGAATTGTGAGAGTTCAATCACTAGCGATGGACACAGCTGATGGTAATCGCTGATGTTGGTTCTGTCGCCTGGCCATAGGATGAGACTGATGACACCACTCTGAAGGTTACCCTTGTAGTCTATCAGTTGGAGATCTACCCAACCAACAGAGACACGTTGCTGCTTCTCGGATTGAGCAAACAGAGTGAAACACAGCTTGGTTGCGCGCGGTACATGACAGAGTAGCAGGGTGGATCGCAGCCATTCACACCACCATGGATTGGCAAATGGTTTACTGAATGTCTCCAGTGCCGGAGTGAGCAGTTCCTCACCGTGATACATTGCAACGTCAATCATCAACTTGATATCGTTGGTATTGACATCGGGAATCAAGTGGTTGAAAAGACTGGGATTCAGATTCTCGAGACAAAGAATACGAATCTCAAAGGGACGATTGATCTCGTAGAGCATAATCGATCGTTGAACTTGTTGTTTAGTGATTTGATTACGTGATGCCAAGAGGAATGATCCTTTTCCTGGTGTAGAACCTATTGGTGTTGGTTTGTTTGTTGTCGATGCCGGTTGTTGAGAGTAGGTGAGTGCAGGTGGTGGAGATTGTGAGAGTGAAATTGGATTGACAAGATCATCGGTGTAACCATCGATGTGTTTCGGCAGGGAAGATCGATTAACAAGTGTGAATTTAATGTCTTTTTTGCGTTGGAGACGGTTGCGCACCAAATCCAATGCCATCACTTGACAGTCTTTGAGGACATGGTCGGTTGTTCCAGTGATACGAATGACAAAGTCCGATGCTTTCTGGTCGACTAGCAGCTTGGTGGTGTTGTTATGTTTACTAATGACACGCTCGATAATCTCGCTAATCAGATCGGTACCGTTGACACTGATAGTTGTCGAATGGTTATCTGGTGGCAGGTAGAATCGAATACGGAAGTTCGACGGTAGAAGTGGATCTGCTCCGCTGCAGGTGGTGAGTTGAGCAACCGTTACTTTGACACGTTCTCTCACATCGAGTTCATTGAAATTGAAAATACTACTCATTGTCTGGCGGAAGTGTTTGATTTCATTCTCACCATTGCTCCAACAGAGTGGTTTGCCAAGTAGTGAGCCAATTTGAATCTGTGCCATCTTCTTTCGTTGTTGTTGTGCCTTGACATTGTGATCACGTTGTTCGCCAAGCGAGAACGAAGCGGTTCTCTCATTGCCATTGTTCAGTCTGTTTAGAAGTGGATTGTTGATATTGTTAGCAAGAGAGTTTGAAGGTGACGACGAAAGTTGATGTCCACCATTCTGAATCGTTTGTAACCTATTCGATACCAATTGATTGTTGGTTCCACCATTACTATTTACAAGTAATCCTCTATGGCTATTGTTATTATTATTCTGATTGCTATTGATTCCATTGGATGGTATTAATATTGAGTTTGAAATAATCTTATTGTTGTTGCTGTTGATGTTGTTGATGTTATTATTATTGAAAGTAGTTGTTAATTCATTGAAATTGCTTGATTCTGGTGGTGGTGATGTTGAAAGACTGTTGAGATTGTTGCTGTTGATCAATTCTTGCATGCCTGGCTTCAGTACAACTAGTTTCGGTAGCTTGGTGGTGGTGTTGGTATCGTCGACCGATTGCACATAGTTGAGAATGACACCGTTGCTATTGATTGGGACAACGTCAGAGTCGAGTGCCGCACTCTCAATTGCCAGAGTACCGACTTTCAGTGCTGCAACAACCGATTCAAATGTACTAATTAAATGTTGTTTGAATTCATTCGATGTCGCAACCAACGGACATCCAATAATTAAATTGATATCCTTATTCGTCGTTGATACTTGCACTGGGAATTGTTTAGATCTCAAATTGGTCAATGGTTCTTTCAAACCAATATATTCAGTCCAATTTCTACTAATATTATTATCTTTGTTGTTATCAACTGATAGATCTGGTTTGGAAGGAGAGGAAGTAGTTGCACCAGAGTTTGATCCAATGGAGTTGGATTTCTGTTGTTTGAGTAGGAGAGTTGGTTCTTCGGTTGGACTGAGTGCAAATTGAGTTGTGGATTGTTGTTGTTGTTTGTTGTTGATGTTGATACTATCGACACCGGCGATGACGCCAGAGAGTATACGATCGGCTTCGTCGTCGCCGTCGTCCAGTCCATCGTCGTCGTCATCCTCCTCGGTTTCAAAGTTGGGAGCATCGCTATCGTCCGTAACCATTCGATTCTCAACATCGGAGCCTTGCGATTGATATTTCAGTTCCTCTTCCTCGATGGCTATCAGCTGTTGTTGAAGACGCGCCAGTTTCATTCTCTCTCGTTCCCTCTCCTTCTCGGTGGCTTCATCGTCCTCCAAGTCATTGTCGATGTGGACACGCAGTTTTCTGTGTAGTCTCGGTGATAGATTGTCACCGGTACTGCCGCCTGGCGATTCAGAGACTTCACCGCTGCCACCTCCACCGCCACCACTTTGCATACTAGTGTTATTATCATCGCGATCATCGTCACTAAGAATCAACTGTTGTTTACTCGTCAGAATATTACCAAAGGTATCACGTTTGATATCGTGTTGTCTGATCTTTAAATATCTGTCGTCTTCCAAATCACCACCACTAGAAAACGATGAACTATTTACCATTCCACCAGTGTTATTACCACTAAATGAATCTGTTGAACTATTTAAATTATCTAAATTATTACTATTGTTATTGTTATTATTATCATTTTGATTTATATTTAAAATTGGTATTGAACTTGAAACTGCAACCTTATTCATATTATTATTGGTTGTTGATTGATTATTATTATCATTACTATTTACGACTGTACTAGTATTTTTACTATTATTGGTATTATTGTTATTATTTGATAATGAAATCGATTGACGTCTTTGATTTCTATTGAAATGTCTACTATGTCTTTTGTTGAGAGGACTGCTTGTTGTACTACTACCACTGCCAGTACCGTTTGTTATACCCTTTGAGAATGCAGTTCTAATGGATCCCAATTGTTTCTTAATGATATCTGCTCTATGTTTTCTTGCTTTAATTCTATTTTATTGGATATATATTTCAGATACATATTTCAGATGGATGGATAGTTGATTTTAAAATTTAATATGGTGTGTTGAATTGAAAAAGTAAAGTGTTGAAATGTGACATATGTATATATATATAATATTAGTATTTTGATAGATTGATAAAGTAAAGTAAGGTTGACAAATTAGTATTAAATAGCAGTTAAATAATAGATCTTAAGATAGATGATAACAAACTCTTTTGATTTAGGCACTAAAAATACCTCTATTGACTCTTTCTTTGTCATCAGTGACTTTTGAATGTCTTCGTGTGCATATACAAACTTTACAAATTCAATCTGTAATAAATCATTCTATTGTATTGCAAGAATAGAGTTGGATTTGTTAGGTTTTCATTCTCTGTTACTTCTTCAGTTTTTAGATTTATATATATTTACTTTGTTCAAAGCTAAAAAGTAATCTTGGTGACTCGAGTCTTTAAGGAAATCTTTGTGTAGTTTGAATATTTCATATTTAACATGATCTACAGTTGCAGAGCTCTGAAATGAAAATGTACTAGTTTGTTCATTTATAACGATCTTTATAAAGAGTAGTATTTGAAAAAAAGATGTTAATGTTAGTGTTAAGTTAAAGTAGAGAATGAATAACAAAACAAACAAATCAACAAACAAACAAACAAACAAACACACACAAATCATACATAAACAAAATGCTTACATGTACTGAAAATCCATCATCGAAATACTTATTTTTAGAAAATCTTTGTTCTTGTGTTCTTTGCATATTTTTATTGATTGTTTGCTATCGATCAAAATCTTAAAGGTTTTGATTATATTGTTTATCTGATTATTATTATTATTATTATTATCTAAACTATTTGTTATCTATCTATCTTTATCAAAATTAGTTATTATTTTTAAACATTATTCTTGTAAAAAAAAAAAAAACTATGAAAAAAGTTACTATGAGTGAGATTGATTGTGATTGGTATGATGTCAAATTTTAATTTGATAGATTGATAGATTGATAGATTGATTGATATAGTTATTTGTCGTTGGAAAATATTTATCCAATGTTAATATACCAATTAGTAAAATGATTTCTAAATTGTTTAAAAGTGGAAGTTACTACTGATTGTGTGTGTCAGTGCTTTTCTAATCGTTATTGTATTGTTGATTGAAAAATTCAAATCAAAATAGAAAGTGATTGTATTGTATGGCGGTAAGTAATGCTAAACTTATGACAGTGTGTTTATGCATCAGTTGACACTAAACTGGTGGTCTTTGCAATTTTAAAATATTGAAATTAAAAAAAAAAAAAAAAAAAAAACAAAATATCACAAACTTTTTTGTTGCCCTCCAAAAAAAAAAAAACAAATTTTGGTGGGGGGCGCTGTGGTATTTAGTGAAAAAAAACAATAAATCTTAAAAGTGTATTTTTTTTAAAAATGATCAGATATTTATTTTTTTTAAATAAATTTTGTGCTCTTTGGTATTAATCAAAAAAAAAACAATTTGTGATTGCAAATTTATATGAATGAAATTGATTTGTTATAGATATCCATTGTGTCAAATAAAAAAAGTGTAAATCTCAAAGAGACACAGAAATCCCAATTAAATGTTAACTAAAAAAAATCTTCTTTTGGATATTTATTTTATCAAATCGAATACAATTCTAAATATTTATTTCAAAAAGAATATAAGAATTTGTTAGATAAAACTATATTTTTAGATAGAATTAAATTGATTTAGATAATTCATTTTTTTGATGGAATGGGATGGATGTGATAATTTCAATATATTATAAATATAATTATTTATATATACTAAGAAAAAAAAATCACAAAAAAAAAAATCAAAATATTTATTTATGTTATTGATGATATTGAATACTTTCAACATTGGATTGTTCGGTATGATGCTTTTGTGATTCGTTGTTGTTTTTGTTTGGTGGGAAAATAATACGTTCCAAATTGACAAATGGTTTTTCAACGGTGAGATGTACTAAAAAGGCGGCGGCGAATGACATGACAATGTTGGCGGTGTACAGCCATGCGAATTGAAGTGGTGAGTAATGGTCGAATGTTGTTCTCGAGTATTGGTAGGTCCAGATAACGATTGGATGAATCATATAGGTGGAGAATGTCAATTTCGAGAGGTAGTGGAATATCTTTATCTTGAAGAAATCCGCTAGGAAACCACCGTGTCCATAGAATGTCGCCATCATAAAGAAAGACAATCCAACGGTGAACATTGTATGAGCGAATGCATTGAACAATCCATTCTCAATCTTGTTCCAACTGGTTCCTTGTAGTCCTGAGTAGGGGATATAACTGAAGAACATGGTGATTCCTAGTGCCATGGCATAGGCAAACATTCTAAACACTGGTTTGTCGTATAGTTTCTTGGTGGTTTCGTGTGTGTAGAGGAAAGCGACACAGAGACCGACAGCGTATGGACCGACTCTTGTCCATGGTTTCTGGTAGATGTCGGTGGCGAAAGAGGTACTGGTGAATGAGAAATCAAAGAATGTGGCAATGTTGAATTTGATTGTCAACCAAATGTTGGTGGTGAAACAAATGGCGAGCAGAATGACAACCCATGTATAACCAAAGATCTTCTTGTATCTGAATGACAGCAGTACGAATGGAGCAATCAAGTAGAATTGCATGTCATTGGCGAGATACCATCCCCATGCAAAACACTCTTGTGTTAGAGTCGATGGATGCAAGTTGTTGATGTACAACAAATTGGTCCACCAATATTGATCGCATACATCTAGACTCTGAGCGAACTGGTACCACATTGGACCACTTCCAAACATTGGCATCAGTTTCCAATAGACAAACAAGAGGAAATACATCAGTGGCGACAAACGAATGTATCTGTGAAGTGCATATTTAGCCCAGAACAAAAGTGATTTCGCTTTTTTCGAGTCCAACTGCGATAGCAGTGTATGTGCAACCAAGAATCCACTCAGCATGAAGAAGACATCGACTGCAAATTCACCGGCTGGAAGCGCTTGGAATGAGAAAAAGGTACGAACCGTTCCAAACACATATTGGATATTGTCGAGACCTGGCGACAGTGAAAAGAGTAGCGAATGACCCAAGACAACCCACATTGTTGAAACAGTTCTAATTCCATCGAGTGCATCAAAGTGGCGTTTGGTCGATTGACTTCCAATGAACGAACGGTAGTTGTGGATGAGCGAGAACGACAAGAAGATACTGGCGATGATAGAGTTACTCGATTCATAGTCAACCTTGAGTGGACTACGACGCGATCCATCCAACAGTCCTTCGAATTCATCTTTCTTGGCGGCGCTGGACATTTGGATTCTGATGTACTCCATCGAAGTTCCAATCACCACCATCATGGCAAAGCAAATGCAGACACCCAACATCACTCCGGAGCCGGTTGTCCAGCTCTTGTAGGTCTGGCCGATGTGCGAGTAGCAATAGGATTGACTAGTTCCTTTATCTCCTACTGGTGCAATGATTGACATGGTTAAAATGAACTCGCCGAGAGCAGCCTCAATATCGGTGGTGGTATTGCAACTTGGCGGAATGCAAAGTCCGATCATATAGGGATAAGAAACATTCAGGAATGGAACATCATAATCAGTCTGATAGATACAATAATGCGATACATTGGAAGGAAGTTGCAAGCAATCATCCATATTTCCAAGATCATTTGGTGATCTTCCAGTGCTTGTCCACACTATATATAAGCAGTTAAAAAAAACAAAAAAAAAAAAGTTTCACAAAATTAGTAAAAAAACCCTTGATTTGATTTTTTTTGATCAAAAAAAAACAAAGATACACGAAAATAACGGGATCCCGTTAATTTTTGTAAAAACTACTTACTTTCAAGAGCATTTATTGGATAGCTCATCATAGTCTGAACGTCTTGCAAGCATTGTGGAGATGCAGCAGGTTCGGACGACGATGAAAGTTGATCATTATTATTGATTTGTACTGAAGAAGTCAAAGACAACTGTGCAACAACAACAAATAAGATGACTATTGTTTGAAATGAAATATTCATATTTCTACTATATAAATCTTGAGTACTTTTTTTTTGTACAAGCCAATAAAATATGAAATTTCTTTTTGTTTTTTGTTTTTTAATTGGTTGAATTAAAAATTAATTCAAAAAAATAAATAAAAATCTAGATTTTGTTTTTTGTTATAACTAAAAATAATGCAAAACTATTCGATTGAAATAAGAGAATATTCGATTTGAAACAAGAGAATATTTTAGGATTAGGTTTGATTTATTTATATATTGATCGTAGTTCAGATGTAAGCGTAAAAAATAAAATATGATCATATTTTTCTTGTTAAATAGGGAGTGTTAATTTTTTTTGTTAATTTTTTTTTCGGCTTGTTAAAAGTCTAATTTGGGGTTATAGAGGGTTTAAATCACCTGTAATCCAATAAGTTAAAATAAATGTTACCCTGGGGTGTTAAATTAATCACTGTATTGCTTCACTTGTTTTTATTTTTCTAGTTATAATCATCGAACATTATCATTAGTGTTAGAGTGTATTAATTTAAATTTTAGGTATTTAAAGATGATGTTGATCAAAAATTAATTATGATCATAATGATGACTTACCAGGTGTAAAAACAAATTTAACAAAATATCTATTGTTTGCAAACAATAGGGATTGGTTTGGTTGATTTTTTGGGTTTTGATTACTTTATTTATGTAATGGAATTGTCGATAATGTGGTTGAATCGAATTGATAAAACCTTATATTATATCTAGAAGAATATTTCATTTACAACATTGTTGATTCTTCATTTTTCTGGATATGGTTATAATGATTAAAATATAACTTCCATATTTGGAAGGAAAAAAAAAGGGTAACAATTTTATTAAAATCACTTTAAATAATATAACATCTATTGTATTTGTATTTTGATTTATGTTATCTCAAATGATAATTTGCAATGATTATTGATTGATCAAATATTTTATTATTTTTAAATTTATTATTTAATTTTAATATTAAATTTATTAAACTTTATTTGCAGGATTGGTTGGTTTATTGTTATTATTATTTTTGGTATTTGTTGGTAATAATATACGTTGTAGATTTACAAATGGCTTCTCTACTGTTAAGTGAAGTATGATTGAAAGTAGGATTGTGAATACTAGATTAGAAGTGACTTGATAGGAGTGTTCAATTACGGAGTAATGGGGAATACTTGTTCTTGAATAGTTGTATGAATATATTACTATAGGATTAATAAGATACATTGCGAAAGTAAGTTTGGAGAGGTATCGGAAACAACTGAGTTTTAGGAACTTGGAATAATAACCACCGTGGCCATAGAAAGTTGAAAGCAATGAAATTGAAATGGCTGCAGGGAATAGTGTTCTTGAAAAACCCAAGTAAAGTCCAACGATAAGTGGACTCCAAGTTTTGAGATAAGTATCATATTGGATGTACGCTAAGAACATTGATAGCCCAAGACTGAAAGCATATGCTATATATCTAAATAGAGTGATTTCATACAGTCTCTTTGTTGTTTCCATTCTATAGATGAATTCCAATGCAATTCCAAAGGCAAAAGGGCCAATTCTCACCCATGGCTTTACATAGATTTCATTGGCGCCTGGAGTGAGGAACACTGATATATCATATACGATATTGTTTTCCACACTAATCCAAATACTGGTTGCCAAAGATATTCCGAAAAGAATTGCAACTAATATGTAGCCGTATATCTTTCTGTATTTGTAGGCAACTAAGACAAATGGTGCAATTAAATAGAATTGGGTGTCGTTTGCCAAGTACCATCCCCAACTATAGAATTGATTAATGAAATCCTTGGGGTATATGTTATTGATAAATAGTAGGTTTGTCCACCAATATTGTTGTGTTCTCTCAATATAAAACTGACACATCTGATACCAGAGAGGACCACTTCCCATCAGAGGAAACAATTGCCAAAATAAAAATATCAAGAAATAATAGAGTGGGCACAATCTAAGTAATCTGTTGACTACATACATAACCCAAAATAAAGGATTTCTTGACTTGTTTGATTCCAAACTCTTAAGGAGGATATGTGAAACTAGGAATCCTGTTATCATGAAGAATAGATCAACTGCATACTGAGAACTATTAATTGCTTGATAGGCATATGATTTATATCCTTTGGCCATAAAATACTCCATATCGTTGGACATTGGAAATAGTTGGAATATTCCTGTGTGAGAAATGACAATCCATATAGCAGCTAATACACGAACCCCATCCAAACTATCGAAACTTCTACTCTCTGGTAAGAACATGAATGCTCTACAGTTTTTAATCAAAGAAAACGAGAGGAATAGCTTTACAGTGGTTCCTCCCTCCATGAATTCCTTGGATTCTTCTATCATCATCAGTTTCGACATGTACGATCTTATTAACTCTAGAGATGTTCCAATAGCCACCAAGATTGCAAACAACACACAAAAACCCAAAACAATGCCAGCACCTACAGTCCAATTCTTTTTTGGTGGATCTCTGGTATAGAAATGTGTTTGTGTATCACTTCCTGGTGGTGCAATTATCAGCGATGACATCATTAGTCTATTCAACGCCGACTGAACATCATCGGTGGTATTGCAACTCTTTGGGAAGCAAAGTCCTACAACATACGGCAGTGTCATATTCTCCATCACAATTGATGTTTGATAAACACAATAATGTGTCACGTTTGGTGGAAGCATCAAACACTGTTCCATATTTCCCAGTTCATTGGGTGATCTACCCATATACATCCACACTATAAAAAATAATAAAAATCACCAATTTTATTAATAACATTTAACAATCTTTTCTATTTTTTTTTATTTAAAAAGAAATATTTACTTTTCATTGAATCCATATAGCTACTATAACTAAAGCTAGCCAGCAGATCAATATCTGTTGAACATTGTGATGGTTGGTTTGTTGCTGATGAGGAATCAGTGCTTTGACAAAATATCAAAGAAATTGATAAGTTAATAATTAATAAAAATAGAATAAAATTATTCTTCATAATAAAACTAATAAATAGATATCAATATATATATAGAATGATAATATAATATAAATAGAATAAATAAATGATAATGAAATTAATTTTTATTTGTTACCCTTTTAATCAAGCTAATCATCATCTTTGTATATATGTATATATAAAACATTAATAATTACAGTAAATAATGTTACTTCAAAATTATTACTGTCAACATCGTCTCGAAGAGTCGATACAATCAGGTGAAACAATTATACATTATTAAAGTTTATGTTTGTAATAACGCTATAATTGGTAAATAAATACCGATCAATAATTTATTTATTTTACTATCTAATTATAAATATACTATCGATCATATAACGTTGTGATCAAAAAAAAAAAAATCAAACTAGTGGTAAAATACGATTTTAAAACAAAAAAAAAATCACATCATCTATTAAATACAAATATTTGTAATTTGTCTAACATTCATAACAACAATACTGTTATTATTACTATTACCTATTATTGTTATTATTTTTATTATTTTTATAAAATAAATAAATGAAGTTCTAATCTACTCTTTTTTTTTTTTTTTTTGTTAGTTCACTTTTTAAATTATAATGGAAAATAAATAAAAATAATTATTATTTAATTCAATTTTATTTTTAATTGGAATTTTTTGATTTTTTTAGGGGTATATTAACATTATTATTCGATCTTCGCTACACACACCCACCAGGTTTGGTTTTTTTCGAATATTGTGGGTGTGTGGTGGAAGCTTCGCAAAATAATGAGAAGAAAGGATAAACTTGAGAGGATTCTTCCGCTTACCACATATAATACCACAGCAATTTATCGTCTTTTTTCGTTTTATTTTAATTTTAATTATTTTATAAGTATGATCTTTGAATCACACCCAACAACATCAACATTCGAAATTTAAAACAAACAATCTAAGTGTCAATCAATATAAATATAGTTTAACCCACCAAACTTTTTATTTAACAAATAATACAACAACATACATAGAACAACGAGTAAAAATAAAAACCTACAAAAATTAATTAATACAAAAATATATTTATTGTTATTATCATACAAAAAAAAAAAAAAAGAAAGCAAATCAAAATAGAATAGCATACACACAAACACAAACAGAGACACACATACACACACCACACTGCATATAGACTGATAGCAACAACAACACAACTAAAATACTTATAATAGTGAAATCCTTTATTAAATTCAAATTTTATACTCTTTTTTTTAAAATTTAAATATATATAGTTTAACTAACTTATCAATAACAATTGTAAAATAACAGAAAAAGTAGTACAGATAGATAACTAATAAAAGAATCATAATAATATCAAAAATAATTAATTACAGCAAAAGCAATAACAAAATAAATTAAAAGGTAAGCAATTTTTAAAACGAGTTCAAAAAAATTTGTTTTTTTTTTTAATTTTTTTTATGTGTGTTTTTTTGTTAAACGAAAAACAAAAGGTGTATCTTCACTAGTTGTTATTAAAACTTATGCCCACCCCATTCCCGTATAATGCAATCACCAAAGTGTAATAATAGGTTCAACAAATGTTACATAAAAGTTAACTTTTACACTATAAATTAATTTACTCATTTATGTTCATCTGTTGTTTTTGTTGTTGTTGCTATGTTTGCTGATATGGGGTTGGGTTGTTACGAAAGTTATTTATAATTAGAGTAGTATACAAATTAATAATACTATAGTTCAAAATTCAATTGCAATCAAATCAAATCAAATCAAATCAATCAAAAAAAAAAAAAAAAAAGTCAAAATCAAATATTAAATTTGAAGTAGTAACGAGATAACAAAAAACAATAGTGTAGCTCTGTTATCAGTAGTTACCTTGAATTGAATTGGAATTAATTAATTAACAGTTGAGACTTTACGCTACTTTAAGCAGCTGCAACTATTTTAAATTGCAACAACTATTTTATCCCAATATTATATCAATATATTTATAATTCGAATCACTTTATCAATTTATTTTTTGCCCTTTTTGTTTGTTTGTTTTTTCTTTTTCTTAAATGAATGTCTAAAATTTAAATTAAATTATAACTTTTGATAAAGTTTGATAACTTTGAATTAAATTTATTCGTTAACTTATCTTTAAATTATATATTTCGAATATTTGAAAGAATTAATAATTAATTTTTTTTTTTTTTTTTAATAAATTCAATATGGATAGATAAATAATTTAATATTAAAAAATAATTTTAAAATATTACCAAAAGTAGATAGTTTAGTTTAGATCAAATAATTGACAATCATAAAATCATAATAATAATTAAATAGTTCGAATTCAACCATCTGGAAATTAAAAGACAATTTTAAATTGTAAGTTTTAAAAAACAATATTGTTATTTTTTTTTTTAATTTTATTTTAAAAAATTAATATCCAACAAATCAATGAATTACATCTATAAATAACTGTAAAATTTAAATATTCTCTACATTTTATTACGATCAAAAAACCTTTATTATATTGTGTAATGGGATAATAAATTGATAAATGTTGGATTGTAAATTTTTATTAATGGACAAGTTAACTGGTCATTTTACATTATTCTTTTTTGTAAATTCATTCATTGTTGAAAATCTACATTATTCTTTATTCTCTATATCCACATCACATCAAACTACTAAATCTATTTAAAATTATGTATTATTTATAGTATCTATAAATAATTATATCTGTTATAACACTTACAATTGTATAAAATAGTCAAACCATAAAATAATTGATTACACATCTTGAAATTAATCACAATAATATAAAGTGATAGACACCACTTCAATCACATCACTACCACACAAATTTAATTTTTTATCAGATGGTAAAATAAAATTCATTTTCTATATACTTTTTTCGTTGTTGATGTTGTGTTATTTTTAAGTGGTGAGAGAAATTGCCCGCGAAAAGACAATAACAACCACATCAACATTTGGAGACTAAAGAAATAAAATCATGATATTAATAACCCATTAACGAATTAATAGCTATTTGATTACAAATTATAACAACCTCAATTTGGTTAATATAAATCAAATCATTGGAGCAATAATAATCATAAAAATAATAGAATCACTTGTATTTCGTACTATTATACTCTGTGGTTCTATTCTATTATTCTAAATTTAAATTTGAATATGTCACACATAGAACAGAATAATATTCCAACAACACAATCACACAAACAGAGTGCACTTACAAATAATAGAGAGCCATAGTTTGTTGTTGCTGCTGCATGTATCTCATTTCTATCAGCACACACTATATTACCATTAATGTAAACATAAAGAGATACATACACCTGTCAAAATGTAAATGAAAGAAATCAATATTTGTTAACAATTGAAATATACGATGAAAAGTGTGTTATTATTTGTTGTTGTTGTTATTATTATTATCAAATATTTAACAATAAGCATTATAATTTTGATTAAATATATAATTTTATGTATACTAGTCTTGACATTCTTTTCATTTACAGTGTTGTTTTTGTTGTTGGAATTCAGTGAGTAAAATATCCTTCTTTCCGCCCCCTTTTCTTTTATATATCTTTTGGAAAACACAATAAACACAACACAGTAAAACTCTAAACACTCCCAACCATCAAAACATTCCATATTGGATGAAAACAAAATTGTTTGTTTGAATTGTGTCATGTGTGGTGGGTGTAGATGGTGGTGAGTGAGTGTGGTTGTGTTTATTAGAGAAACGATTGACTCTAGAGCTTGTCCTATATCTTCCTTTTTACCTTTTTACCTCTTTTTTGTTTTTGTTCTTTCAAATGTTCTCTATCAAAGCATGCTATATGATATCAAAACAACAACAATAAAAATAAATTTATATGTTGAATAATTAATTTTTTAATTAATATATTTATATATTTGAACATAATTACTATTCCACCACCTTTTTGTATCGTTAATTATTAAACTTCCCATTTCATTATAACCAAAAACAAAAACAACAACAAATTACACAAAAGACAATAAATAAAATCATCAAGAATATAAAATATCTACACTTTTTAATTATACATACATCATAGCTAAACTTCGTCATTTAGGTCAATCTCCTATTATACAAACACAATAAAAACAAAATAGTTTTCATCTTTTTAGTGTACATTAAAAATTAAACATAACATTTAAATAAAATCAATAATAACAATAATAATAATATTACTGCAAAATCAAAAAATTAATTTAACAGACAAAAATCATCAATTTATATACAACAAAGTCATTGTAGAATAATAATGTTATAATTATAATTTATTATCATTTTATTTATCTTTTTCTTTTTTTATAATTATAATTTTAATAATAATAATAACAAACTATAAATTTATTTTAAATTATTTATTTAAATATTATTGTTTATTTTAGAAACAGTACAATTCAACACTCTAGTTTTCAATTGATAACTAATCCAACCAACATATAATTAAAAAATAACCTCTTAAAAAAGTAATTGAAATAGGTAATTAATTTATTTTTAATATAATATAATTACATCAGCTTGTTATACATTTTTATTTTTCTTTGAACTTGAAAGTGTTTTTATTGTCATTCGATAAATTTTAATTAAAAAAATCTTATTTTTACAGTTTGTGTTTATTTTTTTTGATCACACTTCCTTACCAAGTTTGGAATATTATTATTTGGTGTACACACAAAGAATAACTGTTTAATAACTAAAATCGTTTTTACTGGTATTTTAATCTTAAACAATCGAATAGAATAAACTTTTAAATTCTTATCATCTCATCATTACCTTGTTTATATATATATATCAAAACAACAATTTATTAATATATTTATTTTTTAAAAATCTATAGATTTTATATATATTTATTCAACAAATTATTTATAATTTAAAGAAAATCCAATTCGAATTTTCCTTATTAGATTAGATAGTAGAGAAACTTTAAATTAAAAAAAACAAAAAAAAAAACAAACAAAAATGGAAACAGAAATAATGATAGAGACAAATTTAATTCCATCCTCTCCACATACCAACCAAGTAGTTGATGTATTAAATAATAATGAGAATAGTATCAGTAGTAGTAATAATAATAATAATAAAGAGTTAAAAGGAGAGTCTGGATATTGGTCACATGATGTTCTCAGCATTATATACACTCTTTCCAATTGGCTGCGAGGAATCGAAGAGAAGCACTTTGATCCAGAGGAATATAAAGAGAAGGAGAAGGAGCTGTGGAAGGAATGGGAATGGGTTTTGTCGACAACCGAAGAATTTGTACTGAAGCAAAATCAACAGGAATCCGAAAAGGTTCTTGGAGAGCTAAACAATCTCAAAAAGACCGCTTCAAATCTCAAAGTCAAACCATACTTTATCAATCAAGCATCCGAACTCTTGAAAATTCAAACAGATCTCCATCTGGACACATTAAAGTCACCGTTGGATTCCAACAAACGTTCCGCTGTCATCTCCACTGTCATCAACACCATGGAGTCGCAGTGGTTGAACTATATCAAAGAGAGATTCTTCTACGATGAGGAGGAAGCCAAGGAGCCAGTCGAAGATGGTTGGGTAGAGTCAAGCGGTAGTGATTCGAAATCGATTTCAAACACATTTTTATCCGAAATATCCGAAGTACAAGAAATCAAACAGAATTTAAAATTAAACAACACATCTTTCGAAGACATTATCATTTTAAATAAGAATATAAATAAGATTACCTGGATTCAATTCCTCGATAGCTTTAAAGGACAAAAATACTCTAAAGGTATCACTGCAAGAATGGTAAGTTAATTAAACTATTAAAATATAAATTATCACATTCATTTTATTAATAATTGTTTTTAATTTTTTTTAGAAGGATATTGGTTTCCAGGCTTCACATGGTTTAGATGGATCTCTAAACGCAAGAGTTTTAGGTGATATTACCTGGTCAATCTGGAATGCTTTAAATACTGCTTTAAAACAAATTAGGGAGTTGACTCAGGAAGAATCAAGGGAATTAGTTGAAAATGTTTCACTTTTACAACCTGTATTATTAAAGCTTTGGTTAAATACAAAGATTAATTCAAAGGTAAATATTTCAATTCTATAGTATCTATTATTTAATTATCATTACTAATAATTTTTTAATTAATATATTTAGATTGGTGTCAAGAATGAAGGACTTGTAGTTGAAAAGTGGAAAAAAGACGAATTGAGCAAAAAGAAAAAGTAAGAAAACTATAAAATATTTTTAAAAATATTAATAAAAATATTAATATTTGTTTTTTAATCAATATTATTAGGATTTTAGATTTAAAGAGATCTGGCAAACTTGATAAATATACAGGTGAAAAAACCATTGTCATGGCACACGAGAGAAGAGAAATTTCATCTCTTAGATCAACACTTGAACAAAAACTGAAACTTAGACCAAACAACTAATCACACCTAATTTTATTATATTTATATATATATATATATTAATTAGACTTTTATCTCATATATACACATTATATCTATAACCCCATTATATATTTATTCTATAACATCCTGAGCTATGTATATATTATATTAATCAAACTCTGTACAGTAAACTTTGTAAAAAAAGAAAAATAATAAAAAAATGATAAAATTAAAAATCATAAAAAAATATTTTGTTTAATTGTTGTTTATTTTTTAAATGTCTGATTATTGATTTTTTTATGCAGTTGATGTTGGCTTGGCAGGTGCTGCTGGTGCTGCTGGTGCTGATGATGCTGGTGCTGATGATGCTGGTGCTGCTGGTGCTGATGATGCTGGTGCTGCTGGTGCTGATGATGCTGGTGCTGCTGGTGCTGATGATGCTGGTGCTGCTGGTGCTGATGATGCTGGTGCTGCTGGTGCCAGAGCTGCTGGATTATCTTTTGGTTGAGTCGGTTTGGTTGGATTTGGATTGGGTGTAGTTGGATGTAAAGCGGCTTGAACATTATCTAGATATTTTTGAGCATACTTGTTTAACAAGTTAGCAACATCCTTAATAAATTGTGGTACCATTGAATTGGAATAGAATTCGAACATCTTGTCATCCTAATATAAATAAAATTAAAATTAATTAAAAAAGAATATCACATATTTTCTTTAAGTTTAAACGTACTGGTAAGAATCTAATTGAAAATCTAGTTATTTGTAAATTATTAGATCTATTGAACCATGTTGAGCGATCAGCAGAGGTCTTATAATCTCCGGAAGACAATGTTTTATTAAGTAATTCGATATCCTCTTGATCTACATCCATTGGCAATCTCATTGTTAGAAATTGGAATTTCTTGGTGTCAATATTTATAATCAATTGCCAAATGTTTGGATAACTATGAAACCAGATTAATTAATAATTTATTTTTCCAAATTAAATAAAAAGATTAATAATTACCCTGCTTCAGATTTTAATTCAACTATTCTAGCTTTACTCTGATAAACGGCAATAGGTGGGAGAGAAGGAAATGAAGGTCCACTAGTGAATTGACTTATGAATGGTCCCTGGTTCCCTGAGTATGAACCATATGAAATTGATACCAGAGCCAAGGTTACAGCAATTAAAATTATAATTTTCATTTTTAATAAATATCTAAAATATATCTAATTAAAAATATAAATAAAAAAAGAAACAATGAGAATCAATTAATATAATATTTTGAAGGAATAAATAAATATAATTTATTACAATTATTCATTTTTTATTGTTTTCACTGATCATCACTCATTATTCAGTAGAAAGAAATAAAAAAAAATACAATGAAAAATAATTATGTGTGTTATTTGATCAAGTACTATTAATGTTTTTGAAATCAATGATCACTGGGTGTGTGTGATATTTCAACCATATGACAATAAAGGGAGAATAAAAATATTATTTTTAATTTGAATATTCTTATTTTACGTATCGATAATGGTCTATAAACCATCTTATCTGGAGACCAACTCTACACAGAAAAATAGAAAAGATTAACATCATGATTCTTTTGTTGACCCAACACAGAATATCGCGATATGTGAATAATTATTAAAATAAAATAATCTTTTGTATTGTTAATTTGGTATTAAATATATTTCTTTAACAATTATTATTTGTTAAAGAAATTAACTTTGTTTAATGTTTATTTTGGAAAGGGTTTAAAAATATACAGGTTTAAACAAATACAAAGCTTCAACTTGAAATGGTACGGAGTTTGTTGTTTCGTCTTTATGTCTTCGAACTATGATACTGTACAGGGGTTGTTGAAAAAAAAAACAAAAAGGCAAATTGTTGACCTTTTTAAGTATTACAAGTTATTATTATTGGTTGTTGTTGTTGTTGAACTATTATTTGTTGTTGCGGATTGAAAAGTTGTTGATTGTATTATTATGTAATACTTTTGACTAAAATTATTATTATAACACAGAATTTTACATTGTCTTACAGAATGTATTTTGCATGTTATTCATTGTTCTGGTCTTGATTTTGTTTAATTTCTTAACGTTACTGGATACCATAGTCTTGAATTTGGACTTTGATTTGTTGTCATCCTTCTTTTGATCCTTGATTCCACGCTCGCGACGACGCATCTCACGAACCAATTCGTAGAAAGACTCTTCGACGTTGTGACGGGTACGGGCAGATGCTTCCATGTGCAGCATTCCGAGACACTTTGCAAGATCTTTACCTTCTTCGAGAGTGACTTCACGCAGGTGTTCCAGATCGCACTTGTTACCTACAAGCATGATTGGAACGGATTCCTTGTCGAGTACACGTGAGACTTGCTCTTTGAAAAGGGTGACTTGGTCGAATGATGATCTACTGGTGATTGTATATACAATAATGAAACCTTCGCAAGAACGAATCCATTGGTCACGCATTGCTGTAAGTTCCTCTTGTCCGGCAGTATCCAGAATATCCAGAATGCAAGCTTCCTCGTCGATGACAACTTGCTTTCTATAGGAATCCTCGATGGTTGGATCGTAATATTCAACAAAATGATTTGAACATAATTGAATTGTAATGGATGTCTAAAGATAAATATAATAATTATTAATATTTGTTATTTCAATTTTATTTTTTTAGTTTTCTAGATTAAACTTACCTTACCGACACCACCATCACCCAAGACACAAATCTTGAGGTTATTATGGAGACCACCAGCGCTGGTGGTTTTAGACTTGGATGGCGAAGAAACGTGATTCTCAGACATTTTGATTTGATTTATTTATTTATAATTATTATGATTTATTTATAAGGATATTATTAAAGTTTTTTTTTTAAAGACAAATATTTATTTTAAATATTCTGTCTTATACAAATTATTATTATTTTATTAAATTAATAAATAAATAAATATTATTTTTGTATTAATATAATGAGGTATTTAAAAAAAAATATAAACTGGTATAATTGTTTTTGTTGTTTAATTAATTATCTTATTGATGGACTGATTGAATTGTGATGATGTTATACTATCGGATTTAATAGATAACTTGGTTAATTTCTACAAAAAAAAAAAATACAGATCTCTATCTATTATAAATGTAGAATGGTTTGATTTTGGTTTAAAATTAATACTAATATTAATAATAAATCAATAATAATATAAATATATAAATATATGTAGAAATGCAAAAACAAAATCCTAACTGTGTGATTTACAGGTCAATAGTGAAAATGATTAATTAATACTATTTGTTATTGATTGTTGTTGAAGCAATTGGAATTTCAAAAGATATCTTTTTTTTGTGTGTTTGTGTGAGTTTTATTTTGTTTGATTTAGGTTAAATTATTTGTTTGTTAATTGTGTGTGTTGTGTGTGCGTGTGTGCAATGTTATTGAGTGGTTGGTTTTTATTACAAAAAGGGGCTGAAATATCAGTTGATTGATTTTGATATTATAATTGTTATTTATTTAACGTTTATTATTATTATTTATTATTTTTATTATTATTATTATTATTATTTGTTGATTGTTTTTGGTTATGTGGTAAATAATTGTTTGTTGGTGTCTCGAATATATACAAACTCAAAACCTATTATTAAATCAAAAAAAAAACCTTCTCTTCATTAACTTGGAGTAAAATTTTTAAGTGAATTTTTTTATCAATACTTTTTTTATTTTTATTTTTATTTTTGTCTTGCCAATTTCTCGATCAGAAATACAAAGGAAACCGCTATAGTGGGGTGTAGTTTTTTCGTGAGGTTTCAAAATTATGAGTAAAAAATTAAATCCATCAATTAATAGAATACCACAATTTTTTGATGAATGTGAAAAAAAAAAAAAATCTTTTTTCTTTCGGTTCTTCTTTTTTGCAATTTTTTTGCAACACAAATCAGCTCCTTCCCTTCAAATTTGCCCATTGTTCATCATTTTGGGTAATCCTTGCCACCTCCATCATTGTAAAAATTGTGTGGTTGTGTGGGTGTTTATTTTATTTTGTACTTAAGTTTAATTCCTTCATTCTGCAAATGGCGATTTGATAAAAGTGTGTTTAATGGTCTTTTTCTTCCAGGTTACCCCCAAAGCACTTTTAGCAGGTACTCAAAGCCATTCGCAATAGCATCAATCAATAAGTCAAACAATCACAATACAATTAAAATAAAATCATTTCAATTCAATTCATGGGTAGATAGATTTGATTTCATTTGAAATAAAAGTGTGGTGTGTTTGACAGAGATCAATGTAAATATGTGTGGTGGGCACATGTGTTACTCACATTGGGATGTTGACAGTTCAACTAAAAGTGTGACAGAAAAGATATTTTGTGCAACAATCATACTCCTTAAATCTTTTTTGGTTTGAGCTTTGATCTGATATTCTGCTGGGCTTTTCTTCACTCCTCAATAAATTTTTAATTTTATTACAGAGATCTCTTAAAACTTTCAAAAATCCTTTGATTGATTTTATTTACAAAACAAACATGTTTATCCTTTTTAATCATTGATTTGTAAATTTATCCGTTCCTCATTTCATTGGAAACACCCGATATCTAACATTTGAATATCAACATATATTAAACCAAAGCACACACAACCAAATCACACAAACACATTTAATTCAAGTAGAAAAGCAAAGTTAACTCTACACTTCCAATGATTAATCAAAAACCATTTAATAACACTCATTATACTTTAAATGTCATATTCTTGAAATGGTTGTTGGTGCAATGATATAACTTAAACTATAATTAGTAATCAGCAAATTGAAGAAAATGGGTTTGGAGCAATTAATTGCAAGTGAATTTAAATTAAACTTTCCAATCAATCAAAACATGAATTAATGTGTTTAATGTGTTTGATTGTTTATTTTTTTTTTTAATTCTACAATTTAAGAAAATATAATATTTAAATAACATAACACATATGTATTTCATTATCTATATTTAGGTTGGGAAAGTTGAGTTTTCATTGGGCGTTTCTAATCTTAAACATGTTTAATCAATCTATTCTACTACAATTCTCTCTAAAAATAACATTTTTATTCTTCTATTGATTAATTAATAACCTATAATTATATTATTAAATTTTAGAATTACCACTGTGACCTAAAGTTGGTGAGCAGTTATAACTGTTCATTTCATTGGTTTAAAATCTGTATGCTAAAAACAGTTCATCATTGTGAATGAGTTATCAATATACTAAACCCTTTTTACTTTTGAAAAGTTTAAACTTTTTATATATTAAAATAATAATAATAATAATAATAATATATGTATAATTTTAAAACCCTTTTACTTTAGGTTTATTTAAAGAGTAAAACAACTTCATAGAATATCAGTCAAAGATTGATCAAATCTTTTTTTTGTAAAAATTTAATTTTTTTTTGGTTATGAGAATTGAGTTCAATGAAGATCTTCATTTTTGTTTAATTGATTATCTATCTATTTATATATTTATTATTAGATTGTTGTTTTTAGTAGTACTACTATATAATGAAGTATTATGCACATTATGAATCAACTCCAGAGTTCACATTGATTGTTCAAACAAAATCACCAACAGAAACTGTTAAAGATTTGAAACTGGTTAGTTTTTAAGTTTTTTTACTATATTGATTGTTTATAAGTTGATTTACATATCATTAATTATCATTATTATTATCATGATTTATCTTATAATAGCAATTTGTTATAGAGTATAATAAGAAATTCGGTGAACAGAATCAATTGACTTCGAATTGTATCGATTTGAATGATACCAAAGGTAGAAAGCAAGCTGATACTACATTGATTACAAAGGTTGTAAAGAATCTAGAGGATGTCTTTGTGGTAAAGAATTCAAACACACCGATTCCAGATGTTTTTACTCCTGCAGTGGTAGTTCCAGAGGTAGTTACACCCGCACCCACCGTCACAACAACCACATCCAGCAAGTCAACCACATCGAAACCAACATCATCCACACCGAAACCAAAAGTATCTTCAGAGTGTGACCCAAAGAGTAAAGTCATAGTTGAAGCATTATTACAACAGGCTTTAATATTATATGATAAACAATCATATAAAGTATGTATCTAGATTTTCATTTCATTTATGATGTTTGAACGGTTTGAACAACATTTTTTAATATTCTTTTTGTTTTGTTTTGTTTTGTTAATGTTTAGTCAGCATTACCTTTGTTTGAGAATGTATTAAGTTTGTATCCACAAGAGAAAACGACTTTGTACAAACTTGCCGATATCTACTATCAAGCAAAGAAGTATGAACTCTCACAAAAGTATATAGAGTTGGCGTTGAAGTATCATGCCAAAGACAAGGACTATACGCTGTACTTGCTCGGTGCCAAGATTTGTTTGGCAGTGAAGGAGTACGAAGATGCCATTACACATTTGAAGAGTGCATGCGATGCTGCCGGTTCCAAGCACAAAGAATACCTGACTTTGCGAGCGATGCTTGGACGTGCACTCTACGACTCTGGCAACCAACACAACCAACAACAAGGCTGTGATATTCTCAATACTATTGTTCACACCGACGAGTCGGTTCTCGAAGGACTGATGGGATTCGCACATGTGCTGATCGATCGTCAACAGCTTGGCGATGCTCTCACCGTTCTCATGCAGCTGTTGTCGCGTCTCGCCAACAGCGCCGACCGTTCGCCAGTCGCCGACTTTACCAAAGATGCAATCGCCGACATCGTCAAGAAGAAAGGCACTGAATTTCTCTTGTCTCAGCTCAAGGACACTGTCAACAGTGCACCGGTCTATGCATTCATGTCGTCAGTAGTCAAGGAGTATGGCGCGGTCGAGGCGGCAGTCGATTTGATGCGACTGGCATACAACGCCGATCCATCCAACGCCAACTACGCACTCAATCTCGTACACAATCTCGAGGTCTGTAACAAGTATCCAGAGGCAGTGGTCGTCATCTACCAATACCTCACCGCCAACAAGCCAAGAGGATTGTCAAACTACAAATTGACCAACGGTAACATTCTCACCATCCTCGGCAAGCAAAAGCATATCGACTATCTCAATAAACCTGAGAACTATGCCAGTTGGAAGTTGCCAGTTCCCGAGGGTGGCCCGGTGCAGGTCGACAAGAAGATTTTGGTGGTCGACGACGACGATCATCCCAAAGCCGACAAACCATATACCAAGTTTGATTTGGATTTGATCTCGCTTTGGTGTACTATAGCCAAGATTTTCTATGTGGTGGGACTGCTTGAACCATTGCCATTGCTCATCACAGCGCTCGAGCCACTGAGAAAGGATCGTAATCTCCACATGACAACAGCACGTAATGAACATGCTTACTTCTGTTGTGTCTCTCAGTTGATGGTTCACAAGCAACTGCCAATTATCAGTGCACCACCCATTTACATTGCTGGTGACAGTCATGCTCTCACCACTTCTTGGTCGTCGATTACCATCAACGGACAACCAAGATTGTTCCATCCACTCTTGACAACCGGTCTGAAGATGTGGCATTTGAGACCAGCCAGCAAGTTCTTCCCAAAGAATAACTTTTACAACGTGACAACTACCGCACCCAAAGGATCAGAAATCGTCTTCCAATTCGGTGAGATTGATTGTCGTGAAGGTATAGTTGTATCAGTTGAGAAGTGTAGATATAATGTAAGTTTAGTAGTTTTAAAAGAAATAACAACTCAGTCAAACAATCAACCAACAGTATTACTAACAACTTAATTCAATTCAATTAAATTATAGACTATTGAAGAAGGTATGGGTATTACCATTGATATCTATATTAAAGCACTCAAGGAATTGGTTTCAAAGTATAATTATAAAATCTATATACATCCAGTTGTACCTGTATTAAATGAAACAAGGTAATTATTGCTGTTGTTGAAAACTACAAGAAACTAGAAATCTAATTTTATCTTATCTTTTTATCATATTTTCAGAGTTCTTGTAAAGACCTTTAATAAGATATTTAAACAAAAGATTGAAGCAACCAAGGAATTGAAGTGGTTAGATTTCTTTGATCAATTGCTAGACTCTACAGGTAATCAGTTCAATACCCAATACGCATTGGATGGCACTCACATGAACCCATCATATATCAAAGAACTTATGGAGCCAGCAATCAACAAACATTACCAAAAATAGAGAAAATGTCATCGACAAATCAAATGAATATTCATAAATTTTAGTAAAACATAAAGGTTACAAATAAATGAGTGACTCATTCATTCTGTTCTTAATGATTTCTCTTAAATACCATATGGTGGATGTAACTCTACACTTACCACTCCACCTTATCTTCTCAGTTCTTAAGCTCAAAAATTTTGTTTTTTTCATAAATATCACTTAATCAAATCTGAAAATGACTGTTTGTTTGGAACAAAAGTAATAGTGAGAAAAAATAATGATAGATCTTTTTCATCAAAATAATCTGATGAATTAAGGTGATGGGGTATTGCATTTCAGGGGTGGGATTGAAAAAAAAAATTTTGCAAAAAAAAAAAACCTATTCGATTAAACCAAAGAATGTGTTCTACCAGGCTAATCTAAGGGATTTTGCGTTTAAAAATTATTTCTGTTAAAAATAGACGTTTTGTGTTTATTTTGCAAAAATGGTATACAACAATATTCGTTAATCTGAATGATTTCTTTCATTATTGTTTCATAAACCATTGAATGTGATCTTATAATCCAACATTGACAAACAAAATCAAATTAAATGTATGTGTGTTTGTGTGTTTGTGTGTCCGAGTGTGATTTAAATGTGATGAATTCATTGTCGTGACAAACAACCAAGCAAAAACAAAAAAACCAAATAAGCAAAAAAAAAAAAGTAAACCAAACAGAATAGAGTTACAAATCTTACATTCATTTTAAATTCAATTTCAAACTATTATTTAAAACATTTATTTTATTAAATCATAACTTAACTTTATTTTCATTTTTATTTATAACTTAATACTGTTGTTGCAGTTGTGATGTTGTTTTTGTTATATAAATATTAATTGTTAATTTTATTTTTTAGTTATTCATCATTTCTGCGTATCAATATCATCACTAACGGATTATACCATCAAAGATCTTTGTGTGTGTTTGTGAATGTCACTTGTTTTGTGATTCTTTCTCATTTTTTTTTTTTGTGTTAACATATTAAAGATTTATTTATAAACATCATCAACATTCTAAATGATTTTACTTTATACTAATATATCATTATCATCATCATTATTTCAATATTTATAAAACCATTTATTTTTTTATATTTAACATTATCATAATTATTAACATTATCGACGGATTAATTAATATAGGCAATTGCAGTTGGAAATTTCAGTTTGTTCCAAAAAAAAAAAATAACAAAATTAAGATATAGATAAAAACAGAAAAAAAATATCCAAACATGTTGGAGGGTGAAAATAATAGTGGAGACGCAATCCTGATAAACAGTTATGAGAATAATGATGGAGGTGGTAGTTATCCAGATGAAAGCTATGGATTAATAGTTGAAGAGAAAGAGAAGGCCCAAGAGCTGAAATCAGACGCCGATCAAGATAATACAATATACATAGATACACCGACGCCAGGTGGCGAAAATGACGAGGCGTCTCTGGAGAAACCAGCGATCACACCACTTCCCTGGCGAAAGCTGATGGGTCCATTCGTATTGTTGGTCTGCGAAGCCATTGGAAATACATCACTCTTTTCCTATATTGGTTTCATGATCATCCACATGGGAGTGACCGCCGACGAAGACAAAGTGGGATACTACGCCGGTTTCGTAGCATCGTCTTTCAGTTTTGCGCAATTCGTAAGCAGTTTCTTTTGGGGAAAAATGAGTGACAAGTACGGACGTAAACCGATTCTCGTTATTGGATCGGTCGGCTCCATTATATCGGTGTTGGCCGTCGGACTCTCACCGAATCTTCCACTACTGATCGTAGCGAGAACCATCAATGGAATTCTCAATGGTAACATCGGTGTCATTAAAACATACATCGGTGAAGTAACAGATAAAACCAACCAAGTTGAAGCATTTGGTTGGATTGGTTTAACATGGGGTTTTGGTAAGTTTTCAGTAATAACTATTTATGAAAATAGAAGATTATAATGAAAAGCTAATTATTATTTATTAATTTAGGTTCAATTGTTGGACCAATTGTTGGAGGTATTTTAAGTCAACCTGCACAAAATATTCCATTCATTTTCAAAAATAATTATTTCTTTGGACATTTGTTCCCTTTCTTTTTGCCAAATTTGGTGATTGGAATTCTGACTGCTATCGGTTTGGGATTCACCTATATGACAATGAATGAAACCTTGAAGACATTTAAATCCACGAGAAATGATATTGAGATGTCAAATGTTGAAGTAGGCGCAGAAGAGAAGGAAGAGGAGGAGCCAATGGAATTGGAATCCAAGAAAGAACCGATCGGAGTTGATATTGACATCGATAGTCCAATACTGAGTGGAGAGAGTACGCCTCCAACCTCGAACATCGACTACGAGTCGGATAGCGATGAACATGGCAACACAGAGAATAACGATATTCAAAAGAAGGAGAGTCTACTGAAAGATGCAACCGATGCAATGAAAAAGAATAACCAAGATCTAGAAATGACTTCACTCAGCGGAATTTTGGAGCAATCTGCAACTCTACAAGCCAGCGGTGGCATTCCAAAGAGTTCCTTTAAAGGCAAAAGAAGAAGAGCACTACACGAAGTGGACTTGCTTGCCAAAGAGTTGACAAACATGGTGAACAAATACACACCAAGCATTTTCAAAGACAAGTTGATTCTCTCGGCAACCATGTTGTACGCAGCCGTAGGTTTTGTTTACACAATGTACGACGAATCCTTCCCGATCTGGTCGTTGGCGCCCATCAAACACGGTGGACTTTCTTTTACCTCGAAGGATATCGGAATATGCGGAGCGATTGGAGGTGTCTCTGTCATTCTAATGCAAGTGTTCGTTGTCAAGCCAATCAGTCAAAAGATTGGAATCATCAGAACGTTCAAGATGGGTTGCTACGCTTCGGTAGGCACATTCCTTTTGTTCCCAACGCTCAACTACATGGCGCCTGAACCCGAAAAATCATCGAAAACCCATTTGGTCATCTTCTGGATCGTGCTTTCCATTTTCACATTTATCCGTAGTTTCTGCGGCCAATTGGTGTTCACACCGGTGATGACACTGGTCAACAACTCGGCAAACTCTGCGCGAAAGGGACAAGCCAATGGACTTGGTCAATCACTCGTTGCATTCTGTCGTACTATAGGACCAACACTGGCATCGGTAGTGGTGGCCTGGTCGGTATCATCAGGTCATCCATTCCCAATCAATCACTGGTTCGTATTCATCATCATGTCGTTAATGATGTTGGCACCAGCTATCTACACCAACTTCCTTCCAACCTCATTAAATGCACCGATTGAAGAAGATGGCAACGAAGAAAACTCATTAATGATGCATATGGAATAATAAATAATCCAAATACAAATAAACTTATAATATTTATACAAAAAAAAAAAGTTAAAATTAAAAAGGTAAGATTCTTTTCTTTTGCTTTTTTTGATTTTTTTTTTTTCACCAGAGATTTGTTTGGTCAATCAACAAAACAACACATCCTTCATACATTCATCAAATATTACCAAAAATAGAAACCATGGTGTGAATATTATATTTTGTAATAAAAAGTTCCTACTCTTTTTATATTATATTTTAATTTAATTTATATTTTGTTTTGTTTTGTTTTGTAACTCTATAGCTATGTTGTATGTTATTTATATTATTATTGTTGTTGTGTTGTTGAGCTATGTTCGCTACTGTGTTGTTGATGATGTTACTGCTGTTGATGCTGTGTGATGATGTTTATTATGATGCATAATCCTTATACTATACTAATATATTTAACAAAAAAGGTGAAATGAAAATAAAATAATATTTTTGGGGCTATAGGGATATCTGTTTAATAATACATAACTTCACCCTCAGTACCGATCTTCTTGAGCTTGAAGACTTGACCACAGTCCAAACAGATGGTTGGCTTCTTGGCGGTGACCTTGTGGAAGATGAGGTCGTGTTCCTCACCTTCACCTCCTTCACATCCAACTGATCTGTGTTCAAAGATTGATTCGACAACGACTGGGCTCTTCAAAGTACCGAATGGTCCAGTGAGGATTTCGTGACCGAAATCGTCTATTTATTTTAATAACAAAATATTAGTAAATCAGTTATTCTTTTTTTTTGTATTCTTTTTATTCTTTTTATTCTTTTTATTCTTTTATTTCTGTTATTTCTGTTATTGCTATTGTATCTAACATGCATTTTTACTATTATTATATCTGTATTATGTATTATGTATCTGTACTGTATCTATATCTACATATGTACTGTATGTAATGTATCCATCTATATTGATCTCAGCTAATGATTTTCTAAAAAAATCATCTGTCTTATGTGGAATATATCCCATGAGAATGTTGATTTTCCCACATTGTTTTTTTGCAAGCTAAAGTTTCATCTGATATGTTGATCACGTTGACTGTTTTTTTTTCTTTTATGCTGAATATGTTGATTCTTTTTTGACTCTTTTGCTGAATAATATTTTACTTATAGTGATATTATCATTATTGTGATTATTATTACTATGGTGCTAATATGTATGATAATTACCTCTCTTGATGGCTCTTCTGGTGGCATTCAACTCAGAAACTTCAAGAAGAGAGTTGTTGTTTGGCTTGTGGAAGAACTCCATGGAGTGACCTGGAGTGAACATCTCCTTAACGTATTTAATCCACTTTGACATTATTACTGTACTTTAAATTTATTTAATAAAAAATAAAAAAAAAAACAAAAAAGTAATTTCTGAAATCTAAATGATCACAAAAAAAAAAAAGCAACGAACAAAAAAAACAACTCAAAAATTAAAAAAAATCAAAAAAAAAAAAAATGAATACACTTCACACTAAAAATTTAATCACACAATGATGAATGAAAAAAAAAGAATCATCCAACAAAAAACCTCAAAAATTAAAAAAAGAGTAACGTTTGAATATTGAATTTTTTTTTGTTTTTTCTCATTTCGTTCGTTGTCACAAAAAAATTTTGTTGATAAAATAAAATTAAAATAAAATGGTTTTTTGGAAAATAAGAAAAAAAAAGCTTGGGCAGAATTTTTCACTCACTTACTTAGTTGTGAAATAAAAGCCCTGTAAGTAAATAACTATTACGAAATAAAGCATCTGTAAGTAGAAAATCTTTAGAAATTGTAGATCTTATAAATTATAAACCATTATCAATCTATTTATATTTATAAAACCTCAACAAACTTTAATTTATTTTTTAAATTAAAATTTTAATTTTTTGAACAACCATTTTGAAAAAGCGAACAAAAAAGATGAGATTTGTTAATTTTTTTAACATAACAACAATATTGTTTTTGGCAAAAGAAAAAAAAGAAAGAGAAGAAGTTGGAATTATGTAAATTTACACAACTTTTTCTTTGACAGTAATTCTATTACCCAGCTTATTAAAGAAGAAATGTGGATAAAAATATATATAATATATAAAAAAATTGGAAATAGTTTATAATTTATTTGATTGAATAATAATTATTTTTATGAAATAAAAACTAACTTTGAATATTATTATTATTTTTATATCCAATGAATTATTTAATATTTATAATTTTCAGATGGTCAACCTAATAGTTATTTAAAAAAAAAGTTGGAATTTGGAAAATTGAAATAAAAAAAAAAAAAATGACAAAGGGTGCAGAATTGTCACTTCAAGTACTACAGGAAGTCAAGGAAGGTGTACCGATATCACAGGTCGCTAGAAAGTACAATATCAATGAGACTACAATTAGAAGATGGAATAAGAAGCCAATGGACAGAGACTCCATTAAGGCACGTGCCAAGAAACAGGGAAGAAAGAGAAAGGTAGGATCGGATGTAGAGAACAGTGTGCTTCAGTGGATTTCAAATGCAAAGGGTTTCACATTGCCTGGACTTGATAGTGATAGTCCTGCCATGGAAATTGACAATGAACATCAACATCAACATCAACATCAACAACAACTTCAAGATCCTCAGAAATTAATGGACATGGACCAAATCGTTGGGGAAGATGAGGGTGACATTGCCAGTGGAAGTGGTACTGGAAGTGTAACTGTTGATCAACAACAACAACATGAAAATATTCATCATAATAATCATCATCACCACCATTCACAACAAGAAGATACCAACAATGTTGAGAATGAAGTAGTTGAAAATGAACAACATCAACCTCAACAAAGAGATGGAGATGGTGGAGAATCACATCAAATTGAAAGTGAACAACAACAACAAGATATTCAAGATCCTCCAGCTGTCCATGAGGATCAAGAGGAATTGCAACAGCAACAACATATGATTGTTGTTGATCAGTGTCAACAGGAGTTGGAGAATATGTCAGGCAACAAAGGTGATATCAATTCCATTACCATTCAACAATATATTTTCGAGAAGTTCAAGATCGAGTTGACACCATCGTATATCTCACAGATGATGAAGCGTAATAATATATCGATAGCAAGGAGACCGAAAGCAGTTGTTCACAAGCCACCTGCACCCGCCACCATCGAGCCAACTCAACCAAAGAGAAAGCGCGCCAAGACAACAACATCGTCATCATCATCATCTACTTCTTCATCTCAGAGAGCCAAAGGTAAATCCAGTAGAAAGTCTGCAGCGGCTGCAGCGGCGGCAAACAACAACACTTCCGATGCTCAACCATTGGATTCATCGGCAGAGATTGTTTTGGGTGAGGAGATCATTGATGATCACTCCAATGCAATCACCTCAACCACATCGACCACTACATCTACCACTACCTCAACAACGACAACAACAACATCAACAACACCCTCGCATATATATCATTCCTCACCAACAAGCTTTAGAGCACGTAGACATGTTCCATTCCATATATTCTCACACCAAGATACTTCTCATATCGAACATCAACATCACATTGACCAACACCAACAACAACAACAAATTGAACAGCATGCACACCACGAACAACATGCACAACATGAACAACATGAGCATCATGTTACTGAGACCGAACAGGGCACATCTCCTGAAGTGATCGGAGAGGAACATCCACAGCATGTCCATGAGCAACAAGACCAACAACAGATCCTACATGAACAGCTTCAACATGATCAAATGGAACAACAAGAACAAGTCATCCACCTTGAACAACAACAAGTACAACAACAACAAGAACAAGAGCAGGAGCAAGTGCAAGAGCAACAAGTCATCCACCTTGAAGAACAACAAGAGCAACAAGTACAAGAGCAACAGGATATCCACCTTGAAGAACAACAACAAGTACAACAACAGCAAGAACAATTACATGAGCAGCAAGCACAGGAGCAACAAGTCATCCATCTTGAGCAAGTGCAAGCACAGGATCATATGCAAGAAGATCAACAACATATTCAAGATGAACATGCTCTACAGCAACAACATGAGCAAGAACAAGTACACCAAGGACAACATGTAGTTCATGAACATGACCAACAACAACAACAACAGCAATCCAACGAGCAACAAGTGGTTGAGCATATTCAAGTACAGCATCAAGAGCACGCCATGGTTGAAGAACATCAACAACATCAGCATCACATAGATGAGCAACAACATCTATTGCACCAAGAGCAACACATGGATATCCAACAACAACAACAACAACACGATCCTAATCAACAGCAAGACCAAGTCGAAGTGCATCACATTCAACAAGAACCAGAACAAGAGCAAGAACAAGAACAAGTACATCCAAACTTTGGTATCTATGTCGGTATGATAGTTCTACAGGCAAATCCAGATGAAGAGCAACCTATGGATCAACACCATATGGTGGAGGAACAACAACCACAACAACAACAACATATGATAATGGTACAGGACGAGCATCACATACACCATCATCATCATCTGAATCACCATGAACATATTCAATATACAGAACAGACTGTTGTTGAGGGTATGCCAGCAGATCACCAACATCAACACCAACAACATATAGAGCAACAAGAACATCACATTCACCATCAGCAACACCAACAACATGAAATTGTAAATAATAATACAGAAACCATTTATCACGATTACCAACAACAAGAACAAGAACAACAAGCACCTGTAACATATGATAATCATTTAGAACATCAAACAACTCAACATAATGACCAACTGATACATAATGAACAACAGCAAGAACATCACGATCATCATGAACAACAAACTCAAGAGATGGAACAAGAGCATGCACACGAACATGTAGAAAAAGTAGAAGAAGAAGTCTTAGTTGGAGAAGAACCATCAACATAATATTAAAGACAAAAAAAGTGAGATATCACCCAAATTGGATATTTGATAGTGCATCAAAAATTCATTAAAATAAAAGTATGAGAGTAACTTTTTTAAAAAAATATGAAGAACGAATACAAATACAGATATATATGTTTCTAGAATAATGTCAACATGTTTATGACACTATTGTAATTTACACATATATTATTTTTTTTTATTCAATACCACATCTATAAAAATCACCCACCATTATTAGAATAAAATATCTGAATTTGGATTGGGTTGCGAACCAATAAATCTTTTTTTTTTTTTTTTTTTTTGCTTTTTTTATTAATAATCGCAATTCAATTGAATTGATGAGGTGTTGTTTTTTTTAAAAAACAAAAAAAAAACAATTAATTTTGTCTCTCCCAAGATCACAATGTGGGTTCACAATATGTGATAGGTGGCGGTCACACTCTAAAACAACCTCAAAGTTTTTATTCGTGTTATCATCTGTTGCCAATCTATCTTTTTTTTTGCTTTCACACTATTAATTAATTTATTTGTTACCATTCATTTTAATTATTATTTCTTTTCATTAGTCAAAGAACAATTTATAGAAACTACTTTAGATATCTTTCCTTTTTTGAGAGAAAACAACCAACTTTGTTATAAATAAAAAAAAATAATTTAATATCATAATAGTTTTTTCAGTTTTTGAATAGAATCAATAATTTAATCAAACAGTAATAACAATCAATATATATAATTTAAAAAATGAGTGTAAGTATCAAAATATTTCCAAACAAGAAAACACAAAACAAATTATTACTTTATTTTTATTTTATTATTATTTTTAGTATTATTGCAAAAAATTAAAGATCAAATAAAATAAAAATAAAAATAAGAAAGTTTACACACACAAAAATAAGAATGATAAACTAATTTGATTTTTCTTTTGAAATTGTTTGTTTGTTTGTTTGTTTTTGTTGATTGATTTTATTTTATTTTATTTTTATTTTTCTATATTTATTTGTATAAACTGTATATATAATTAAATCTAGGGATGTGGAGGTTACTGGGATATGGTAGATTGCCTAGTTGAGGAATTCGATGCTCAACAAGTACTACCGAAATTATTTATAGGATCAGCACAGGCTGCCAACTCTGTTAGCAGTCTCAAAGATCACAACATTACACACGTGCTTTCGATTTCTACGAACCCACCAGCCTATGGAAACGACAATCACTTCAAATGTCTTTCAATCTCAATCGAAGACGAGGAGAAGAAAGATTTGAAATCGTATTTCGATCAAGCACACAAGTTTATCGATCAAGGTAGATCTATCGGTGGTATTCTTATTCATTGGTAAGTAGTTTCATCTTATTGATATCAAGCGGAAAGCTAACTAATCCTGATTGATTTATCGATTGTGTTATCAATTCTAGTTCTGCTGGTGTATCGCGATCTGCCACCATTGTAATTAGCTATTTAATGTCATTTTTTTTCAAACCATTTATGTATTGCTTCCAATACCTAAAATCGATTCGTCCATGCATACAACCAAATCGTGGATTCATTTCACAATTGATCTCCTACGAGAGTCTGTTACTCTCTAAAACCACACAGCATCTTCAACAACAGGTATCTTCACAGTTGCAAACGAAACAACTGTGTTGTAGTGATAATAATAATTGTTGTAATGACACACCTACCAATAATAACAACAACAACAATGCTAACAACAACAACAACAACAAAGATAATAATGTATCACAACAACAACAACAACAACAACAACAACAACAACAACAACAACAACAATCAACAAAAGTAGATCTGTGTTGTGAGAATCAAGGGAATATTAAAGTTAACTAATTAAATTAACTATCAAAACATAACAATATTAACAACAACAATAATAACAATAATAACAATAATAACAACCTCAGAATATCACATTTTAGTTTAAAACATAATATAGTATCGAAAATAATAGTTTAACTAATAAATAATCATGACAAAAAAATAACTAATTCATTATTTGTACAAATCAAACTTGGTTTAAAAAGATTGTTATTATTTTGTTTTTTGATTGGGAATGGAGTTGTTGTTATTATTTGTTTTTTTTGATTAAATTTTATTACAATTGTTAATAAACAAAAGATGTATATCACAAATAAAAAAAAAAAGAAAAAGGGTTTGGAAGTTATAAATCTAGAAAACTGTAGTTAGCGTTGGTTGACTTAACCCCATTTGGCAGGATCACCACCCAATAGAGATGGAGTTGCAAAAGCAGAGAGTAACTCTTTTCCAAGTGATTCCATTGTGGACATGACCTGTTCGGCTACCTCTGGTTTGCCCAATAGCTCCTCATCGTATTCTCTTACCGCTTCAGGTAGTTTCGATTTGATGAGTGCACGATCCAAGGTATCTGGAAGCTCTTGTATGTAATCGATGTATGCCAATTTATTTCTCCAAACTTTTTCACTTAAAAACGGTGACATTGCCATAAACATAACTCTCAGCCAAGTCGATGGATGTATAATATAAAAGTGTTTTAAATTCTTTTTGAAACTAAATGTCGATATCAATATTAAATTAACATTCAAATAATTATAATTATATCCATATATATAATTTAAACAAACATACTTTCTTGGTAACATTTGATAGGTTGATGTTAACCATGATTTCTCAGGTGTACTTTCATTTCTTAATAGATGATGTGAGTATACCAATGTATATTGTGATCCTTTTACAATTGGTTCAAGTGTTAAACTAAATAGATATTCAATATGAAATGAATGTAATAGTAGTAGAAATAATTGGAATTAGTTTGAAAACAATTGTTTGCATAAAAATAAAATAAAATGCAAATGATAATTTACCAAATATATTTTAATAGTTTCTCAAGACCTTCTTTTCCGATTGGTAAATTAGTTGCGATGATAAGATATACTGGTGAACCATCTGTATCACATCCAACCGGTATGAAACATTGCGATTGTTCAATATCACTGAAATCCTCAACCTTTGCTCTATCCATCATCTCTTTATACTGTGGTGTTACATCTTCCAACTCGGTAATGAGAATCGATGAAGTTGCAGTATTTGTAGTAGTACTACTTGTAGTTATATTATTCATTTCTGTCATTTCTTATTTTATTATTATTATTCCCTTTTTTTTGATTAGCAACTAACTAATTAACTGATGATTTACAAAAATAAATAAATATTAAAATAAATAAAATATATATAGTATTAAAAATAGAAAATAAAAATAAAAAAGTAATTCAAAAAGATATGTTTAAATTTGTATGTCTTGCGAATGAATACTGATAAAAACAAATTTATTTAATTAAAATGTTTTAAAAAAAACTGCTTTTAGGGGTTATTTACCACATTTTTTTTTTTGCAAATATTTTCGCCATCCATGATAAGCAATGTTATCATTGAACAACAACACAACGATCATTCATCATCCGTTTTATTTTATGATCAATTTATGTGTAGAGATAATTATGAAAAGTTACAAAACTTTTTTATAGCAATTTGTAAATAAATATCTATAAATCTATGTAATTGCTTTTACTCGAATTCTCTTTTTCGTATTTTTATTTTCTAAAAGACATTGTATAAAATTAATATTTACAAATAAATATACATGTATTTGATCTTTCTCCCAAATTTGATTAAATTTGAGAATATTTTTTAATTTTGTTCTGCAGAAATTTATTGGAAGAAAATGAAGTTGATGTTTTTAAAACAAAAATAAAAAAACTTATTTAAATTGAATATTTAATAATAGTAATAATAATCACATTATTGTATTTTTTTTTTAAAATTTAAAGGATAAATGAATGGAAATGATAATCAAACAAAAGTTGTAAATAATAATAATACAGAGAGTAGTAGTAGCAGTGATGATAGTTGTAGTAGTGTTGATAGATTGAAACAACTGATAGAGTTAACAAAGAGTGGAAAACTATCAAATAGAGACAGACATGAGTTAATGACAACATTCAATACAGGCATATCTCAAATAACGTCATCAACTGAAGAATCAATCATCAATCAATTCAAATTACATTTGGATCTACAACTACAAAAGAAACATCAACAGCAACAGCAACAGCAACAACAACAACAACAATCACAAATTGTTGCTAAAGATAATGTTGTTGTTGAAGAAACTGTAGATGAAGATGAACAAAAACAAGATGAAGTGGAAAAAGTAGAGAAAGTAGAAAAAGGAGAAGAAGAAGAAGAGGAAAAAGATAAAGAAAATAACATTGTAAATAGTAGTAATAGTAATGATAATAATCATGTGGAGGACGATGGTAATATTGGTTTAGATGAATTACAACAACCAATACTGGATTTACATTTCATTAATTACAAGAATTATATATGTGAGGGTTGTAAGAAGTGTGAAGAGTACATCGGTGGTAAAACCACTGAAAATGGAGTCAGCTGTGGCAATTGTGGATGTCCGACAATCGATCATATCCCACTGTCAGATGATGACTATGATGACGACAGCTGCTCATCAGAGAGTTTCTCAGAGAGTTACAATGATATTAGCGAATACCGATTACACCAACACGAAATCAGTGACGATGACGACGACGAATACAATCCTCCAACTTCCGAGGATATATAAATTCATTAATAGCCATCTTAGCCTTCATTATATTATATTAAGCTATTATTAAAAAAAAACATTTAAAAAAACTATAAAAAAAAAGTAGAAATATATAAATTTTTGTTTATATATATATAAATATACATATATGGAGTTTATTTCAGTCTTTAAAATCAAGTTTACTAAAAATAGCAATTATTTTAAATAGTTAACTTTGCATTATTTACACACACACACAACAACACGCAAAACACACAAGCACATAAAACACCATTTATCTTAAATTGGAAACACTTATATAAGTTCTTAAATCTCTACCTGATTCGTATTATTATTAATAGGGTTAAATATTTAAATAAGGTAACTTTAGGTACCCAAGTTTTTTTTTTTTTTTTTTTTTGGAATAATCAATTTTAAAATTTTGTATTATTCCATACTAGTTGGTCAATAGGAAAATCAAGTTTACAATAGCTTTGTATATAGCAAATTACTATTTAAAATATATATTTTTTTCAACAAGTTGGTACCCGAGTCCTTCCACACAACAAGTTTTGTTAGTACTTGTTGTTTGTTTGTTTGTTGTTACATCTTTGTACCATTTAACACATTTTCTGGCAAACTCACCGAACCCGATTATGATCATCTTAAAAAGTTTATTATTGGTTGTTTGCTTGTTTTTTTATTTATTGTTCAGTACATGTAGAAAGTTAACGCCTCCCAACTTTTCTTTACTTAAAATGGAGTATATTTGTTGTGATTGATTGAAAAAACAAGCAATTAATTACATTCTTACCCTGTGTGTTCCATTTCTAAATGGCTACACACATAATAACATAGAAACTAGTGACAGTGGTGTTTTTTTTTATTTTTGCTTTTAAGATGAATAAATGGTGTTAAATAAAGATACCGTCACACACACACACACACACACACACAACACACACACACACACACATAATTATATTTTATTGTTTTATTGTTCAACTGGAATACCATTCTTTATATTAATTGTTATTGTTGTTTTATTTTTTTGTTTTAAAATTATTGAAATTAAAAATTTTATTATTTATTTTTATTTTATTTATAACTTTTAGAATAATGTAAGAGCACTATAGTGCTCATGAGAGTAACATACACCAGAACCTAGAGCAGCTCAACCTTAAGCTCATCCCAACAAGCATCTCAACAACTCACATTTTGATTAAATTCAACATCTCAACAACAACATAACAACCTCACCCATTTTTAAAATCCAGTAGTTTAGAATAAACAGCTGTTTCATCAATATTTATCTTTTATATATCTTTATATATAACTATCTATCTATCTTTTCTATAAAAATAAATCTTAGAAATAATTAGATTCTATATCCAATAATCTTTTTAATAATAACATTTCTAGAAATATTATTATCCAATTCTATTAGTTTTTAATATATTATTATTAAATAGATTAATAAAAGTAAGATAATGATAGAGTTAGAGATAGAAATATTCTCTATACATATATAATTATTGAATATATATATTATTCCTTTATTTTAAAAGTTTCTTTTTTTTTCTTTATTTAATTTACTTTTTTTTTGTTTTATACTTTTTTTATTTTATTTTCAATTAATAACCGATGGATTAATTAATCTATAGATTTCGACTGGTCATTCATTCATTCTCCTAAACACACACCACACCATACCACACCACACTTTCTAACATAAATAAACATCAAACCACATATCATATGAAATCAGCACACACAGATTGAAATCAGATTATTGTCCAATTAAAATTTTTGAAAAACCAAAAATTGCAAAACTGATTGATTAAGCAATTCCAACCTTTTTTGTATAAATGTTTCTAATTTTAACAAAATATATGGACACGGGGTTTTTTATAATCTTATTTTATTTTATTTTTGTTTTTTTTTTTAATTTTAATCCCCCAACTTATCTTTAAAAATTTTGAGATTAAACTGACTTAACAGCAACCACACACTACGCCCCGACCTAACCTATCATTCTAATTAAATCATAATAATCATGATCATAAATGATCTACTTTTTAAAATAGAAATAGGTTAATAAATTATTTAAAAAAGTAGTAGTAGTAGTATATTTGTAGTTATAATTGTAACTTTACTAAATGTGTATCTACTTTCTTTCAATAATTTGTATTTGAAATATACAAATTAATTTTTTATCACCTTTAAAAAGATAAAGATAAAGATTAATTTTGTTGTTTATGTTTATTTTTTAAATATTTATTTTGGTATAATTAATTTTGTGATTTATGTTTAAGGTGTGTACCGGTTCGTTTTTCATTAAATTATAACTTCAATTCATTTGAATTATTTTAACCATCGAAAAATTAGATTCATTCACACATCGACACAAATCTATTTTATCACAAAACTCAAAATTCAAGTGTACCTAAATCTTATCAGTTCAATTCAGTTATTTCCATCTTAATTATATAATTAGTTGAATTGATATTCACAATCCTTTTTTTTTTGTTGTTTTTTCTTTTTTTTTTTTAATAATATTATCTACAAATTAATTAATCTATCTATTTATCTATTTATCTATTCCAATCTGTATAATTTTTGTAAAAACAATCAATAACTAATAAATTTCTTTATTATTTTTATATATTTATTTTTTATCTTTTTTATTTTTATTTTTTTTTACTTTTTATTTATTTACTTTATATATTCATGACAATAATAACATTGGATATATTTGATGATTTATCATCATCATCTATTACAGTTCCATCTGTAAATCAAGTGGAGTGTTCAGGAGCGATATCAACATTTCAATCGTTGAAACCTATGAAGAAAGTAACTTCGAGGAGTACTTTTCAAATCATGAAGTATTTTGGATCACTGGTATTTTGGTTCCTAAAGACGGCTGTTCTGCCGGCACAACCAGGATATGTTTCATCATCGATAATGAGAAGAGCACGACTTCTCAGTATTCTTTCGTTAGTCAGCATCGTCATCTATATATTGTGTTCATGTTTCACACCGAGTTTTCTCTATCCATTTTTCCTGGTGGCTTCCATTGCCATCTTTATCAACATCATCATTGGCGTACGCTTCCAATTGTATACTTCGACTTCACTCATCTACATAGTTATTCAAGCACTCTTAAATATCTCGACAGCACTCTTTTACTTTACACAAATCCCTAAAGAACAACATAAAACACTGACGTTGTTCCACCATTTTTTCATAGCCAACATGATTTCCGCGTTGGTCAGCACCAGCATACTCTTTCCAAGCTATATATATTCCGGAATTATTCTATTGGTGCTTTGTATATTAAACACAATTGGTTGTTCAATTTTATATTATGTTTTGAAAATCCCAGAATTAGTAAGTTACTACCTATTATAATCATAAACTTTTTACGAATCTTTAAATTAACATAAAAAAAAACCAAAATAGGTATTTCAAAATATTATTATTTCAGTTTCAGCATCAGTTTTATTATTCTTTCACAGTTATATCATTACAGTAGATTTGAGCGAAAAAGATGAAAAAGAACAAAGAATCAGATGTCTTTTCAATATTAGCTCAGATGCACTGATAATTCATAAAGATGGTGTCATAATGGATGCCAATACCACATTTGAAACAATGTTTCAAGTTAAAACAGAATCTATTCTATATAAAGTTGTAAGTTATTTTATTTAATAGTATATTAAATTGATTAATTAATTATTCTTTTATAGCCATCATTAATTAGTGAATTCTTACCGGATTTCGAAAAGTTAACACATAACAATCATTCTTTTGAAACCTATGGTATCAATTCTCTGGGTGAGAATTTCGCGGTTTTGGTAAAGGTGGAGCATGTTAAGCATAATTCAGATGATATCGATATCATCTCAGTTATTGATACCAGTGCCAAGAAGAAGTTGATCGAAGCCGACTTGGCGCTGAGAAAGGCAGAGGCTATCAATGAAGCGAAAATCAACTTCCTAACAACGGTGAGTCATGAAGTGAGAACACCAATCAATGGAATATTGGCATCTGTCGAAATCATTGAGAATACAGTGTTGAACGATACTCAACGTGATTTTCTTAGTTGCATCAAAGATTCAGGTTGTTATCTACTCGATTTGATCACAGACATCCTTGATTTCTCAAAGATCGAAGCTGGAAAGATGGAACTACAAAAAGTTGAATTCAACATGATAACAATGTTGGAGGAAGCAATGAATATTGTATATACAACTGCACAAGAAAGAGTATGTTTTAAATATAAATTCCAGATATCTAGATATTAATATTCTTCTTTTACCAGGATTTAGAAATTTTATTGACAGTTGAAGAATCTGTACCAATTGTTGTTATTGGTGATCCGTATAGAGTTAAACAAGTGCTATTGAATTTCTTGTCGAATGCTATTAAGTTTACACCGAAAGGACATGTCATTGTTAGAGTTAAGCTGGATAAATCCAATCCTAACCAGGATTCGTCGAGTTTGGTAGATTATACAGTATGTTTCGAAGTGGAAGATTCTGGAATCGGCATCAAAGAGGAACAGATGGATAGTTTGTTTACTGCTTTCCTTCAGCTCGATGGAACCTCACAGAGAAAGAATCAGGGCACAGGACTTGGACTGAGCATTTCCAAGAGGCTCTGCCAGTTGATGGGTGGCGAGATAACTGTTCGTAGTAAATTTGGAAATGGATCGACTTTTGCTTTCACATCGATGCTCCAATCTAAACAGAAATGGACATACGGTTCTATAGGCAGTTCTCTAGCACTATACAATTCTAACCTCTCGATGATTCACACCAACAATGAGCAATTCGTTTGTAAGTCGATTAGAGGATATGTTTTTGATCCGAATCCACACGTTCGTAATTCAGCAATTCATTTCTTCTCATTGCTAAAAATCAATATTCAAGCGTTGGAGTCGGAGCAACAGCTTCTTAATCTCGTACAGAATGGCGGTGATTTAGAAACTCAGTATTCAAGTGAAGATATTATTTTAGTGATAACAAAGGAGCTGAGTGTATCGATGATCGAGCAGATTTTCAATTATAAATCGAAACAACAACAACAGAAACTTCCATTAATTTATTGGATTCTCATCAAAGATGGTCAACCAAATCCTTTTGAGAATCAATTCTACTCCAGTAGTATAAGAAAACCTTTACAATTACCAAACGTTGTAGAATGTCTTTATTCCATTCAAAACCTACCTATTCCAGCCGATTTACACTACCTTTTAACGAATAACCGTACTACCAGAACAAACGATTTGAATTCAAGTGGTTCGAAAGAGAAGAGAAAGGCACTTCATCATCATAGAACATCAAGTTATGGTGACCATGTAGCAATCACCAGAGCATTGGTACAAAATAATAGAAGTCCAAGACCAACTGACGCTTCTCAATTATTTAATATCAATAACCAAAACAACAATAACAATGATAACAATAGCAACTCAGATCATTCCAATAATATTTCCAATGAATTATTAGGATTGAATCATTTCGATTGCAACAAAAACATATCGGATGTAACTACCTCTTCTCCACCATCGGGTAGATCAATTAGAACAGACTCTCTGAGTTTGTCATCTGCATCGCCAAACTCTGAATTCTCTCCTTTCGTTAACAGTTGCAGCAACAACAACAGTGGCAATTGTATTCATCCTGATCCGGCTGTCGATGAATGCTCCATCAATAACACGATGGCTTGTACTCCACCTTCGATTTCCAAGCCAACGACACCTCGACAACTCACCAAAAAATCGAAAGCTATCAAACAACTCAACACCTCTGTTTCCGTTCCAAGTACACCATCATCTATGAAGTCATCCAGCTGTATATCGAGTGCAGTTGGAGTGGTAGTGGCCACAACCGACCCTGCCACCTCTTATGAAACCATAAGGAAATCGGCTAGTATGTACGAAGTAATCAAGTCTCCAACACTCGAGCTCAGATCTTCACCGACTTTTCAATCGACCATATCGATGCCACCCATAGATAGTGTAACTTTGAAATCGAGTCGTCGTCAAAGCATACCATCTCTCGACCTAAATCTGTCATCTCAACAGGAGGAATTCAGTAGAAAATCCAGAAGTTCTTTAGGTTCCTTTGAGATATTCTCACCGACTTCACCGACAACCACCAACATCCCCATCAACCAATTCTCCATTTCCTCAACATCATCAACATCATCCAACTCGAATTCCTCAAACAATTTAATGGGTAACAACAACAACATTAACAATAGCAATAATAGCAATAGTATTAGCAACAGTCCTATTATTACTAGTGGTGACAATACTGTTATGTCTTCTTCTTCTTCTTCCTCCACCACCATTGGCAAACTGTTAAAGTCTAGTTTCAAGATATTGTTGGTTGAAGACAATCCCACCAATGTAAAAGTGTTCTCCAAGTTCCTGAAGGATGGCGGTTACACTGTTGATGTAGCGTGGAACGGTGTTCAGGGAGTGGAGGCATGTAAATACACATACTATCCTATTATATTTATGGATTGCCAGATGCCTTTGCTCGATGGTTACCAGGCGACCACCAACATCAGATTGAGAGAACGTGAAATCATGGCCAGTGATAAACGCTATAAGAAGTCATTCGTAATTGCACTGACAGCAAATGTCACACCTAGCGACCAAGACAAGTGTTTCGAAGTGGGAATGGATGACTTTTTACACAAACCACTCAGAGGATCAACTGTTCTGCTGAACATCATCGATAAATATCTAAAGAATTTCAACGAAGATGATTTAATCTATTTGAATTCAAACTATTATAATAATAATAATAATAGTATTGTTAATTCAACAACTACAACAACTACAACAACTACAACCACTACAACGACAACCACAAATATTATCAATGATAGCAGTAGTAATGGTAGTATCAATATGAACAGTTGTAACAACAACAACAACAATAATAGTATTAAATTCTTAAATAACAATAATATTGTCAATGTCAAACAAGGTGCTTGACAACAATTATCCTTTAATAAATTATAATACTGTTGTAAATTAAATCTCTATCATGTTAGCAATAATATCTTACATATTTACTGTTATTTTATTGTTGAAAACTAACAAATAATTTAAATTAAAAATTTTTTCTCAAAGTTTTTTAACGGATAAATAATTTAAAAAAATTTTTTTTTTTTTTTTTTGGGATCAAAATCGTCTTTTAAAGTTTATTTGTTTTTATTGTTTATTCATTTTCATTCATTGTACATAGATAATAAAAAGTTTGCTTTTTTCTTTCAAAAAAAAGAAGAATTATGATTGAATAAATAACATTAGTATTTTAGAATTATATATATAGCTTAGTTTTTTGATAGAATAAAAAAATGGCTAAAGAATTGATAAAAGTAGATGATGGTCCAAAGAAGATGTATGTTATTAAATTTAATAGGTGAAAAACACCACTATCATAGAGTGTTTGTTGATATATAGGAATAATCTATAGATTCTAACTTTAAAGTTTTTTTTAAATTGTTTGAAAAGTGGTCATATTCAATTTGGTATTCTATCACCGGATGATATGATTAGTCTTTCACATGTAGAGATTATTAATAGAGAGTTATTCGATCAGTCCAATAGAGGACCGATGCAATATGGTTGTCTTGACAATCGTTTGGGTACTTCGGACAAGTCGATCATCTGTAAGACCTGTGGATTGAGTATCGTCGATTGTGTCGGTCATTTTGGTTATATAAAGTTACAACTACCCGTATTTCATATAGGTTATTTCAAAAACATTACAAATATTCTACAGATGATTTGTAAAGTAAGTAATTAACTACTACTACTATTATTTGAATGTTGTTATCATTTTCTAACAACCATCAATTTAAATTTAATAGGGATGTTCAGCTATATTATTGGATGATGAGAAAAAGACGACTTTCCTGAGAAAGATTAGAAACAGAAAGTTGGATGTACTTCAGAGAAGAGCGTTGTTGAAAAAGATATATTTGGAGTGTAGAAAGAAGAAGTTTTGTCCGCGTTGCAATATGGTACAGGGAACGGTGAAGAAGGTGTCGGCGCTAAAGTTGGTGCATGAACGTTACAAGGGAAAGAACGATGAGTATATTCGTGATTTCCTGTCGAATTTCGATGAGGCGATCAAATATAACTCCGAGATGAAGGGACACATCAAGAAGGCGCAGGAAGACTTGAATCCACTGGTGGCGCTCAACCTCTTCAAGCGAATCACCTCACAGGACACAGAGTTGCTCGACATGAATCCAGAGTTGGGACGACCGGAACGACTGATTCTGACGCACATTTTGGTGCCGCCAGTCTGCATACGTCCGTCGGTGCCGATGGACGGTGGCTCTGGCTCGAACGAGGACGACCTCACCATGAAACTCTCGGACATCCTACACATCAACGAGAATATCCGAACGAATGTCGACAAGATGGAAATGGTTGCCATCATGGAGGATTGGGACTATTTGCAAGCGAGTTGCGCTATCTATATCAACAGTGAGTTGCCGGGACTGCCTCTGCAGATGAAGCCACAGAAGCCGATTCGTGGACTCTCACAGCGTCTCAAGGGAAAGACCGGTCGTTTCCGTGGTAATCTCTCTGGTAAGCGTGTCGACTTTTCCGGTCGTACCGTAATTTCACCCGATCCCAACTTGAATATCGACGAGGTGGCTGTTCCGCACTTGATTGCGCTCACCATGACCTATCCGGAGCGTGTCGCCGAGTACAACTTGACACGTCTACAAAAGTATGTTATCAACGGTCCCGACAAACATCCCGGTGCCAACTACATCATCTATCCGGACGGCGAGAAGAAATGGCTGAAATACGGTAATCGTGAGAAGCTGGCAGCGGAATTGAAACCTGGCGACATCGTAGAGCGTCATATTATCGATGGTGACGTCGTTCTGTTCAATCGTCAGCCTTCACTCCACAAACTTTCAATTATGGCGCACAAAGCACGTGTCATGCCATGGCGTACTCTTCGTTTCAACGAGTGTGTATGCACTCCGTACAATGCAGATTTCGACGGTGACGAAATGAACTTGCATTTGCCTCAGACCGAGGAGGCGCGTGCCGAAGCGCTCATCCTTATGGGTGTAACCAACAATTTGATTACACCGCGTAATGGAGAGCCACTGGTTGCCGCCACCCAAGATTTCTTGACGTCGTCCTACTTGATTTCGCGACGTGACGCCTTCTACGATCGTACGAGATTCGCCTATATGTGCACTCACTTTGCCGATGCCTACGAACACATCGACATGCCACCTCCAACCATTTTGAAACCGATCGAACTCTGGACTGGAAAGCAGTTGTTTGAAGTGCTATTGCGTCCATCCGTCAAGTCGCATGTGCTCGTCAACTTTGAAACGAAATCGAGAACCTACGAAAAGAATCTCTATATGTGTCCAAAGGATGGTTACGTTTACTTTAGAAACAGTGAGTTGATGTGCGGATCCATCGATAAATCAATCATTGGAGGTGGTAACAAAAATTCGTTGTTCCACATTCTGATGAGAGATTTCACACCTGCGATTGCTGCCAATGCTATGACGCGTCTGGCCAAGTTGTGTGCGCGTTTCCTCGGTGACCAAGGATTCTCCATTGGTATTCCCGATGTAAAACCATCGTTCGAGCTGAATGCCAAGAAGGACGCAATCATTGCTGTAGGTCACGGTAAATGTGACCAATTCCTCACGGCCTACAAAGCCGGAAAGCTACCGGCTCAATCCGGTTGCACTGTCGAGCAAACTCTCGAGTCCAAGATGAACAGTGTTCTCTCAGACATTCGTGATGAGTGTGGTAAGCTGTGTATTAAGGAACTCCCACATTATAACTCACCGTTGATTATGGCGCTGTGTGGATCGAAGGGTTCCAACATTAACATTGCGCAGATGATTGCGTGTGTCGGACAACAGACTGTCAATGGTACTCGTATTCCCAATGGTTTCACCAACCGTACAACACCACATTTCCCTATCAACGCAAAGGAACCACCCGCCAAGGGATTCGTAGCCAACAGTTTCTACACCGGTATGATTCCCACAGAGTTCTTTTTCCATACGATGGGTGGTCGTGAGGGTCTGGTAGATACAGCTGTCAAGACAGCGGAAACCGGTTATATGCAGCGTCGTCTGATGAAGGCACTCGAAGATCTCTCTACTCAATACGATTACACTGTGAGAGATTCCATCGGTGGTATCGTCCAATTCATCTATGGTGATGACGGTCTCGATCCAGCTGGTATGGAGGCGAAAGAACGTCCAGTTGACTTTGCCCGTGCCATGATGAGTGTCAAGTCTACAAAGCAATGTAGAAACGAGGAGTCACTCCGTCCCTACAAAATCAAACTGCTCCTGGAATCACAGCTAAAGAGTAGCAAGTTTGCTCAATGTACAGATTTGTTCAAAGATGAAATCAGATCGTTCTTTTACGGAAAACCAAAGCAAGAAGGTTACATTGAGGAGTTGTTAAAGTTGCGTAAGAGTTTCAATCTTCCATCCTATGAGGTTGACGGTGATCAAACAATGACATCGGTTGAGGACGAACCGCCCGCCCGACTGACTCCCGATCAATTCGAACATTTGGTCGACCAGATTCATCGTATCACAAAGTCACAGCTAGAGTTATTCTTGGAGATTTGTCTCGACAAGTACAGTAGAGCCAGAATTGAACCGGGTACTGCAGTGGGTGCCGTTGGTGCCCAAAGTATTGGTGAGCCAGGTACACAGATGACTTTGAAAACTTTCCATTTTGCTGGTGTAGCCAGTATGAACGTAACACTTGGTGTGCCTCGTATCAAGGAAATTATCAATGCCGCAAAGACCATCAGTACTCCCATTATCACCGCTACGCTCAACTGTGACGACGACATCAGATCGGCGCGTATCGTCGCCGGTCGTATCGAGAAGGTAACTCTTGGACAGGTTGCTATTTTCATCAAAGAGGTCTTTAGAAACGCTGGTTGCTATATCACTATCAAGATCGATAAGAAATTCATTGATTCTCAACAGCTCGACATCGATCCCGAATCCATTCGTAGAGCGATTATCGGCACAAAGATACTGAAACTCAAGGAGAAGCATGTTATCGCTTCGGGAGATGACAAGATCCGTGTGGAACCAGTGGACACCTCGCGTGAAATGATGCTCTACAATCTACAGTTCCTCAAGAACAACTTACCGAATGTCATTGTCAGAGGTATTTCGACTGTGAATCGTGTGGTCATCGACGAAAAGAATGGAAAATACAAACTTTTAATCGAAGGTTACGATTTGCTGCATGTGATGACAACCGCTGGAATCAACGGAACTCACACCAATTCCAATCACATGATGGAAGTAGAGAAATATCTTGGAATCGAAGCAGTTCGTCAAACGATTATCGACGAAATTCAAATGATTATGATTAATCACGGTATGTCTATCGATAGTAGACACGTTATGTTGCTGGCAGATCTTATGAGTTTCAAGGGTGAAATCTTGGGTATCACTCGTTTCGGTATTGCAAAGATGAAGGAATCCGTACTGATGTTGGCGTCTTTCGAAAAGACAACCGACCATCTTTTCGACGCTGCCGTTCACAGAAGACAAGACGATATCGTTGGTGTATCAGAGTGCATTATCATGGGTATCCCTGTTCCACTCGGAACCGGTCTTTTCAAACTTTTATACAACTCTAGAAAGACAAATCTACCAAGAAAATCGTTGTTACTTTCTGATTAGATTGGTGATGAAAATAAAAGTTAAATATTTAATTAAACATTTTTATTATTTATAATCTTGGACATTGATTTAATAATCTATTTAAAATTGAACTTAATTGTTTGTACAAAACAATCCAGATTAAGAATAAGAGTAGGAATGCAATGAGTGGTATCAGTATTGTAATACTGACAATCTTGGCTGCAAAGCTGAATTCCAATAAACCTTTTACAATTTCCACAATCGTCAATAAATTTAATGAAATAATAAATAATGCAATTAACCAAGATACAATTATTACCTATTTTTCGAAATTGACATAGAGAGTCAGTGTGAAGTTTAAATGAATAACAAAATTAAAATAGTTTACTTACAAGTTTAGAATTTTTAAATTCTTGCATTATTTCTTGATCTGCTGTAAATTGAATCAATGGAATAATTGCGAATGGAAGTGCAAGTGAAAGAAGAACCTGAGAGAGAATCAATAAATCGTAGGTCATTTCTTCGCCCATCAATGAAATAACAATCACTGCTGGAATGATTGCTAACAATCGAGTTGTCAATCTTCGAATCCATGGTGATACTTTAAGATCTATGAAACCTTCCATTACAATTTGACCTGCTAAAGTACCGGTTATAGTTGATGCTTGGCCAGCACAAAGTAATCCTACACCAAATAGAATAGATGCTACTCTTGCTCCAACCATATCACCCAGTAGCTTATAGGCATCTTGAAGTTGTGTTACTTCGATATTATGCTTATAGAAAACTGCTGCTGCCAAAATAATAATAGAAGCATTCACAAAGAATGCTCCATTCAAAGCAATAACGGTATCGATTGTATTATATTTAATGGCTTCGGTTATCGATTGATTGGTATCACCTACTTTTCTAGACTTAACAACACCGGAATGTAAAAATAAATTGTGAGGCATTACAACAGCACCAATGATACCGGTGGCGACAACTACAGATTTTGTAGTCAGTGTCGGAATGAATCCCTTGAAGACCTCTTCTGCTTCGGGCTTGGCATAGAACAACTCCACTATGAAACAAAGTGTAATGATTGTCATCAAACCAAATACAACCAACTCTAACTTTCTAATTCCAAACTTTTGAATCGCTAAAAACAACAGAGTATCCAATGCTGTTATCATAACACCTGCTATCAAAGGCAAACCAAATAGAATCTGTAGGCCAACTGCCGATCCAATTACCTCTGCCAAATCCGTTGATGTAATAGCAATTTCACAGATGATCCACAAAATAATTCTGGTCAATCTTGGATATTGAGATTTACAAACACTTGCCAAATCCTTTTTCGTTACCAAAGCAATCTTAAACGATAGATATTGTAAAAGTAATGCCATTATATTACTAAACAATAGAACCCATAGTAGTCTATACCCAAATTGAGAACCTCCTTGTAAATCAGTTGCCCCTATTTTTTTTGGAAAACTATTAATAATATAGTTTCCTTTATTAATAATTTTAGTTTTGTACATACAATTTCCAGGATCCATATAACCAATAGAAACAAAAATAGCAGGACCTAAATATTTTCCTAATTTTTTGAAACTAAATCCTTCTCTAAAAAGAGATAAACAAAAAGTTAGAATAAAAAATAAAAAATTGTTACTTTTTATTAAATTAATTTCATACTCTTGTGGTATTAAAACTGTTTGATCTGTTTCAGATTCGGCTCCATCTTGCTCGATAAGTTTACAGTATCTGGTGAATTTATTATTATAGTTATTATTCTTTTGTTTTTTACTCTTTTTCGATGTTTTGTCATTAAAGATGTAAAAATCGAATTCGTCATTCTTTTCATCGTGGCGATCATTTAGATCCATAAGTTCAATATCATTTTTCGATAGATTAAAATTATTGTACTCATAACTGATTGAAGTGGAAGTGGGTGATTCTGTCAACTCTATTTTATTTACACCAATACTTTCTGGAATTGTAAAAGTTGTTTCCACTTGGTCAAACAAAATAATTATTATTGGTATTTTTAAAATTATCTTCTTCATTGATATTCGTAAGACCACCACAACTACTATTACTACTACTACTACTACTGATACTGATAGCAGGATCTGTTTCCACCATTTCTAAATAAAATTATTTAAATAAATAAATATATTTATATATATTTAAATAAATAAATCTACAATATAAATTAATTTAAACAAAATTATTTACTACAACTATTTTTAAATACTACAAATTTATTTTAATCAGGTGATTAATTAAAAAAAAACCACCACTTTTATTTATCACATACAACCCTTTTTTATATTAACTTTGCATCATTAATGGGAAATCGGGTGGTGAAGCTTGTGTTTTATTCTTTTTTTTTTTAACAGTCAAAATAAGAGAAAAATTAATCTTGATCATTTTTATGATCTTGATACTTAATATTGACAAAGTTAGCATGCTAATCACTACATCAACTTCATTGTCAAATGATAATTTCTGTATTATGAAATACGTATTAATTACTACTTTTACTTAATACTGTTTTAATTAATCATTTTGATTGATCATTATTATTCATTGAATATTTATATATCAGATAAATATAGATAAAAAAATAGAGGTACTCTTTTCCTTTCCATTTTGAAATAAAAACGAAATCAAGCTTGAAAACAAAAAAGTCAATGGAAATATTTTTTTAATGAATTTATTTTTTAATTTTTTTTTTTTAAAATAAACACTATCAAAAAAGATATAGATAATTGACAATCAAAGTTGATTTAATATTCTAATATTATAAATAATATATATATATAAACATAAAAGAGAATGAGTGAAGCTGATATTCTTAAAGATTTCAAAGGTTCAATGACTTTGGACACCGAAGCAAATATTCTATCTGTATGATTATTATCTAACTTGTTGGTGAATGATGATCATTATCATATCATTGTCACCGTAATAATAACAATAATAATGTATATCATTCATTAACATTCATCTATCTATCTATCTACTATCGTCATATTATAGAGCGCAGGTACATTACAATCAGAAGGAAAAGATTTTGCAAAGACAATTCTATCGATGTTACAAGATGTCAACTTTATCACTACATCTACCAAACAAGATTTTAAGAGATTATCAAGTATGTTTTTGAGAACAACAATCGATTAAACTTTAGCACTGTGATTCACAATTGACTAACCAAACCTATTTCTATTATCACAAAAACAGTTATTTATTCAGATCAAACCTTTGTAATCACTATTTCAAACAATAAGATATTCGTTGTTGTACAATAAATTAATTTGATTTTGAAATAGTATTATTAATACTATAATTATTATTATTATTATTAAAAACAAACAAAACAAAACAAACAAACAAAACAAATGTTTAAATTTACTTAAATTATTATTATTTTATTATTATTATTTCATTCTATTTCTTCATTTGATATGTAATTAAACATAATCTTGAAAGAAGAGCAGACAGTTGTAATAATGAATTGACACCTTGTGTGATACGAAGATTTGTGAAACCAATCTCTTTGATAAACTCTAACTTTTGGTACTCTGGCATGTCGAGTGTCTTGGCGACCTTGAAGAACGTTGAGATGATATCCATCGAACTGTAACCTTTATCCCAGAGATCTTTGGTGTTCTTGAAGGCGTCTTCGAAACGACCGTCGGCACAGTGCTTCAGTGTCATCTGCACGATCATCGGGTGCGGCTGGTCACACACCCTAAAGACGTTGTCGCCACTGACCATCTCGAAACCGGTGAACGTCGACTGCAAGTTGTTGAGTGCCTGACGCATGTCACCCTCCGCCGTGAATATCAGTGCTTCGAGACCGTCGTCGGTGTATGGCACCTTCTCTGCTTCGATGACCTCACGCAAACGCTTGAGAACTTGCGCGTCCGTCAAACGAGTGTATCGCAACACTGCGCAACGCGATTGTATCGGTTCGATGATCTTTGACGACTGGTTGCAAGCCAGTGCGAAACGTGTCGTCGAGGAGTAGATCTCCATGATACGACGCAACGCTTGTTGTGCACCGGATGTCATACTGTCGGCTTCGTCCAGAATGATAATCTTGTGACGTCCAGGCGGCAAAGTAACCTTTGTCTGTGCAAACGTCTTTATCTTATCACGAACAACGTCTAGAGTACGATCGTCAGATGCATTCAATTCATATACAGCTTCTTTATAGTTTGGACCAAGCAATTGTTGTGCTAAACATAGAATACTTGTTGTTTTACCTGTACCAGGTGGACCCTTTTTATTAACAATCATTAGAACTAAGTTAAAAGATCATCATCATTTTTATATAACAACTAATAAACCTACAGATATAATAATATTTGGTAGATTACCATCCATTGATATACTCTCTAATCTTGAAACAGTCTCTTCATTTCCTACGATATCTTTTATTTCTTTTGGTCTATATTTCTCTACCCATGGTAATAATGCATCACTCTTTGCTGATGAAAACATATCTATCTATTCTATTTATTATTATTTAATGTATATATATACAAAATTATATTTACAAACAATGTAACGTTGTTTATTTAAAATATTTGATTTTGAACATTTAAAAAAAAAAACAAAAGTTTGCGCGCCAATCATTTTTACTCGTGTTCTCATTTTGGTCTTCTTCACCATGATCAAAGTTAATAGTTATAATAATGTATTATTAGAAATTTAAATTTGTAAAAATACTATGTGTCAAACATGACACACAAAGCTAACTTTATTTTGTGAATGTTTTACAGAAACAGTTGAAAGATTAATCAAGAAAAGTGAAAGGTGGTGATAGGTATGTAGGATATTCGATTCGAACCTATAAGTGTGTGAGAGAATTATAATATAATACAATTTTGTTTAAACAAGTTGGTAATTCGATAAGTTGCAGTTGGTTGGTTGATTTGTATGTACAAGTGGAAACTCAAGGTTGAGTTTGATATGAAAATTTAAATTTTACAGAAACAAATAGAAGGCTGCCTATTTTCTATTAATAGGATGAAGTGGTACTGTAGATTGCAGCGTATGGTGATCCACATACCATCGAGGTACTGCTAGTTACCGATGTCGATTTGGTGCTCTGACGAATGTTGTTCCAGAGTCCTATGGTCATCAGCTTTTGACCGTCAACATTGGGATGGAAGCAGTCAACGCTCGAGAGTGATGTCGATGCGAAAACAGTATCGACCAAGAATGGCTGGTAAGTGATTCCAACGGTTGTGGTGGTTTGGTCGACACTAGACTTCCAGGTTGAAATGGCATTCTTCATTCCAGTGTTGGCGGCAGTAATGATACTATCCAAAGTAGAAGTGGACTGAGACCACAAACATGGACAAATATTATTAGCTTGATTGTAGGATTTACATGCAGAGGCAGTAGATGAATAAACTGTATACAAATAATAATAGTTAATATTACAAATTTTTTTAATGATTTCAAAACTAAAACAAACACTTACATTGAGAGATCTTTGGTAATCCAACCATGTTAATCATTGTTTTTTGATTGAAAGTAGTTGTGATGTTTTCAATCAATTCATAATAGTAGGAACCCCAGAAAGTTGGATTGGTTTGGTAGGCAGCCTGTGTGGTTTGACACATGGTGCAGGCTTTGAAGAGACCGAGGTACATGGTTACCATTTTCCATTGGCTACTTACATTGGTTGAGCCTACCTTGTTGTTGGCTTGGTTGACAACAAAGTTCAACTCACCGTTGATATAGTCTTCACTGCCCTTGGTGGCACCGTTGAAACCGTCGTACGATGAATAGTAGGTACCGGCTGGACGTGCTCCGTTCAACAGATTGACGGAACCACCTGTAAGTGTAGCAGCGGACTGTGTTACAAAGTTATTAAGAGTCCAGGCATCGGTTTGGTTACCTGTTACATAAGAGAATCCACGATACTCATTGGTTGACAATGGTGATGAATCACCAGCCAAGAAACCAGCGGTTACAGTATCACCGAGTGAAAATAACATTTTAATATCCTGAATCAAACTATTAGTATATCTTTTCAAAAAATATTGTTCAATCTTTGGATTAATCTAAGAATCCATTTTATAATAGTTATAACTATTATATTTCCAACCAACTTATAATAATAATTGAAAGTTGGATTAAATATATATCAATTGATGAAGTATATTTAATTTGTTTTAAGGTAAACCATTTTTGTATGGAATGTTATGTTACACTAAAGTAAACATCTTTGGCATAGGTAGGATTGCTTGATGTGGTTCCGGAAATACATGATGGTAATGCAGCATATGCTGTCATCATATGTAAGATATATAAAGTTAAAAATATAGATTTAATGTACATTTTTTAATGAAATATTATAATAGTATATATATGTGTGTGTGTTTGAATAAACAGGAAAATGTATTTACAAAGATGTAGAATTAAAATTTTATAATATTGTGAAATTTGTTGTTGTTTATTATATTTGTTGAATACAAATAATTCCAAAAGTTGGTCCTATTTATACATTTCTAATTCCCCCAAATCAATTCCAATCATCCTATGGTTCATTCTTTTTCAAAGTATACAACTTACACCTTCAAAGTTTGAGTAATCTGGGAGTATTAGATTGATAAAAGTCCAAGAGATTGAAGATTTACTCTACCCATTTTTCAAACCATTCTTTGTAAAACTTATAAACTGAAAGTAGTAACTGTTCTATATATTAACTTAGAAGTACCTCCCTCATATAGTGCCAGAGTTTAGATGTTGGGGGAAAAGTGTAGAAACAAAACACCAGGAAGGTATGTGATGTGGTTTGGTCGAATAAAAGTATTAAATATTGTATAGTTGTGGTACTTGTTTGTTGTGTTTTAGTTGTGTTGTAGCTGTTTGTTGTAAGTGTAAAAATATGACAAAAAGGGTAGAGCATGGATGAATGATCATCATCATTCATGGCTGAGGCAAGCTGCCAACAACTTTATGAATTCAAGTTGAATTAAATGTGGTAAGTGAGTGAGTTGAGGTGAGGTGAGTGCGTGCGTGTTTGTGTGTGTGTGGGGGTACTTTTACTTTCATTCTTTCATTTGTTGTTGTGCTACTAAGATAAGGTGTGAAGCAGCCAACCAAACTTTAATAAATCGATATATGGATCATTGTCATCATTGCAGCTGATTAGAAATTTAAATGTTGTTGTTGTTGTTTTCAAATTTGTAGGAGCTGGAGGTCAGCTCCATCCAGAGAACACTCGCATATATTTTTTGTTGTTTGGTGGTGGTTTTTTTGGACATTCATTGTTTTGAGACAGATTGAAATGGTTGTGGTGATGGTGGTGGTGGTGTCAGTGAGGTGGTGGGGTGTTACCACTGTCCAACGCTGCTGTTTGATGAGAAATATGTGTTACAGGTAATTTAAATAGAGATTTAAATCTAGGAGCAAAATACTTTAAAAGGATAGTTTTCTTTTCAGAATCATGGCATTTGCAAAGAAAAAAACACCAAAATGAATTCAAATAATTTTTTTTTAATGTGCTCATTAACAAAACTTTAAATTTTTAATTAATAATTGTGGTGTGGTGCATTGATCACAAGTGCCCAGCCCAACAATCAGCAAGAAATATGACCTAACACCACCCACACTCAACACAAATTTCTTTTTTTATTGATTTTGATTTTTGTTAGAAAAACAACTTTAAAGATGGGTACAAATTCCTGGCCATTTCTATAATTGGTACAATTTATAAATCAATAAAGCAGTGACACAAAATCAATAATCAATCAATAGGTGTCATTTTTTGTTTTTTTTTTAAAAGAAAAAGCCTCACCATTGCTTCAAAAATTGAATAGATTGTAAAGTCCTATCTTTCTGTAGAGATACTCCAGAGTAATCTCCAAAGTCATCACCAATTTTATTTATTTAAAATCATTGTAAATGATTGAGGAAGATCTATATTGAAAGCTCTCTTTTGAAAAATAGGTGTTTTTTTTGTTTTTGAAATTGTATGTGTGTTGCGCCACTGACCTGTTGTTGTTTTGTTCTTCATTCTGTTATTTTTTGTTGAATTGAATTGTGAGTTTGAAAGGTTATAGGAATGTGTGAAGTTGTTTTGTTTGTTGGTATTTTTTGGTGTAGATCAAAAGCAAGCTTGTGAAAATTAAGATCGACTGTCGAATTGAATCTTAATTAAACTCGAGTATACTATAGCGGTGTGTGATATAGATTTGTTTTGATTTACATTTTTCCAAATTGAAAAAAATAACAAACTCTTCAACTTTATAGGATGTGTGGTGTTTGTGGCTAATGGAGATATATTGCCAATGAGTTGAGAAAAAAAAGGAAATAAAAGAAAAACAATAGGAGATAAAGGTGAGGTGAAGTTGATAGGTGGCAAAGGTGGTGAAAGTGTCATGTTGTTTTTAGAAATAAATGATTAAAAGAAAAAGGTGTGTTTGTTTGTTTGTTTGTTTTCTGAATTAATCAGAATGTGGAAGGTTGTGGCTCATTGAAATGGTGTCAGCCTGTGGCTTTGGATCGGCCTTTCTGTTGTGTTGAAGGTGACTTCGGACTAAATGACCGGCAGCAAGTGCGGACATCAGGGAAAGTTCACCAGCCATAACAGCACCGGCAACTACTCTGGCCAATTGCTCAGAGTTAGAACCTGGACGCTCGACATTGGCACCACGAACCTTGAGCAAATCAAGGCAGGCAGCTTGTGCTGGAAGATGGGTTCCACCTCCAACGGTTCCGACTTCAATCGATGGCATTGTTACGGAAATGTAGAGATCCTTACCGTCGTTGGTTGGTTCCATCAAAGTGATACAATTGGAAGACTCGACATTCTGAGCTGGATCTTGACCGGTTGCCATGTAGAGTGCAGTGACGATGTTGGAGGCGTGAGCGTTGAATCCACCGATGGATCCGGCCATTGCCGAACCAATCAAATTCTTATCGATGTTCAATGCTACCAACGATGGGATGTCGGTCTTGAGTACGTCACGGACAATGTCACCAGAGATGGTGGCCTCACAGACGACACTCTTTCCACGACCCTCCAACCAGTTGATAGCCGATGGTTTCTTGTCGGTACAGAGATTTCCAGAAAGTGAAAGGACTTCCATCTCTGGGAAGTATTCTCCAATCACCTCGAGGGCTTTCTCTACACCTTTGCTGACCATGTTCATACCCATAGCGTCACCTGTGCTCGACTTGAAACGCAAGTAGACGAGACGACCGGCGATAACAACCTTGATACTCTTGAGACGGGCGAAACGCGAGGTCGAATTGAAGGCGGAAGCGATTTGGTAGAAGTTTTCTTGGTTTTCAATCCATGACTTCAACTCGGCGGCACGGACAACCGATGGGAAACGACAGACTGGTGCTCTGGTCATACCGTTCTGGAGGATGACCGAACGGGCACCACCCGACTTGGTGATGGCTTTGCAACCACGGTGAGTACTGGCAACCAAACAACCTTCGGTAGTGGCCATTGGGATGGAGACGAGCTTACCGTCCAACAACAACGGTCCGGCAACACCGACTGGAATTGGAATGTAACCGATGATATTCTCGCAACAGGCACCCAAAACCTTGGTGTAATCGTAGTGATCCAATGGCAAGTTGGAGATGGAACGATTGAAATCGATATCGGATGGTGGTGGGACGACGGTGGGAATGCTGGCTGGGTCTTCACCAGAGGTGGCAGCCTTTTCGGCGGCGGCGACAACTGCTTGTGCGTGGAGAGCACGTTGGTGCTCCTTTCCGAGATCACGTGCCAACAATTTACGACGGATACCAACTGCACGAGTAAAGTTATTTGGAAGACGAACCTCGAGGTTGTGTGGTTGGATCTCTCCTCTATCTACCATTGAAATGATCTCCTCGTCACTGAGATTCTCAACATTTCCATTCTTTACATTCTTTGGAGTTTCCTCTTTTACACAGGATGGTGGTTTATAATTCTTTTGTTCGGAATGAATGAATTCAAAATTTTGATGAATTGGATAGATCGATTTTGATAGTGAATCAGCAGCAGCATCATCATTATCATTGTTTGGATAATAATCATGAAATTTTGAATATTTGTTTGGATGTTGTTGTTGTTTTATATATTGAGTTGAAATTGGCATATTAATTATTAATATTTGTGAAAGGTATAGAAAACAAAAGAATATTTGTGAAAGAAAAGAAAATTATATGGAAATAGTTTGTTAGATATTTGTTAAGATAATCTTTTTTTTGAAATACAATTAACTTTCAATGTCCATTTATACAAGTAAGGTTAAAGTTTAATTAATTTTCATTTAAATCTGAATATTCAGTAAGTCGAAACACTTGTTTCTAATTAGAATTTTAAAATTATTATTTTTGATTCCACTCAGATTTCTCTCTAAGAAATAGGAGATGGTGGTGTTACAAGTTGTATGGTGTGTATGATGTGTGGTGTTGTTTGCTGTGGTTTTGGTTGGTTCGCATATAATTATTTTAATTAAGTAAAATGGGGGTGTGGAATGTAACTTCATAGGACGGACGATTGAAAGTCAAATTGATTTTTTTGGTTTTTAAAAATTACTTACATCTCCAGTTGTTGCAGTAGCAAACATACGAAGTTGTTGTCTAACTGGACCAGTAAACTTGCTGGAAGATTGTGTAGTTTTCAATAAGGCTCTAAACATTTTATAAATGAAACTTTAAATAATTCTATTCCTGTTTTATTGTTATTATTTTTAATTGGTTAGAAATAATTTGTACTATTCTTTTCTATTCTATTCTTATTCTTATTCTATTCTTAATCTTTATCTTATTCTATTTTATTTTATTTTAATTATTTGAAAAACTAAGACTCCAATTAGAGAACAACATAAAGTATAAAATATAAATTAAGGAATAATTAAAAATGAAATCATATTAATTTGTTTAAATTGTAATATGATTTTGTTCATCTCATTTATTATTATTATTTATTTATTATTTTTTAATTAAACCTGTAATAATCTGATATTTGTTAAACAAGTGGATAAAACTAGTCATCGACCGAAACTTTGTTTTAAAGATGGTCAATATTCATTGGAAAAAAAAAAACTAGTACCACCACATGGATATGATATGTAAGAGGTGGTGCAATATGTGGAATTTCTTTAACCGAAACAATTCGATCAGTTTATAAATAAATTATTATTACTATTATTATTATTATTATACAAAGTATATAACTATATTATATAATCATTTGGCTGGACAATAATAAATATGTGGGTGTGGTGTTATAAAAGAGATTAATAAATGAATCTTTAAAATTAATTGTCAGGTGGTGGTGTGTTACTGTGTCAAAAAACAATAAATATGCTATAATATATTTGTTTGTGTGTGTTACTGTGATATATAAAAGATCCAAAAGTTTTTATCAAACAATTTTGAGAGTTGTTAATTTATAGTTAGGTTACCTTTGATTGAATTGTGAATGTGAATGAAAAAATGATATCTTGGGTGTTTGGTTGAAGATGGTGAATTGTACAGAGCTAAAATATTCTTTTCTTTTTAGATTTATAATTTGTTTTATGAATTAAAAAACTATAAAAATAAGATATATAATTATATAATTTCAAATGTTAAGCTCGCACTGATAAATCGTCTTTTTCAATAAAGCAACACTTTTTAAAAGGGTAAGAGGAATGGTGTGCATCTTCCTACTTATTTTTTTTTATTTTTTATTTTTAAATTTTTTTTTATTTTTTTTTGTATTTTTATTTTTTTGAAAAAAATTAATACAAAAAAAAATCAAATCAAAAATAAGAACTATCATTTGATGATCAAAAAAAATGATGATGAAAATCAAAATTATTTCAAAAAAAAGTGAAAAAAAAAAAACAAAAACACAAACCCATTTCTTTTTTTTTTTTATTTCATTTAAAATTTTTTTTTTAGTTTAATTTTAATTTAAATTGATTTTTTTTTTATTTCCTTAAACTTAAAAAAAAGTTTTTTTATTTAAACATTCCTTTTATATTTATAACAATATTTATATTTAAATAACCTCAAAGGTTGAAAAAAGAAATAGAAAAGAATGACAGAAGAAGAAGAGATTTTCGGAGATGAAATCATCTTTGCCGCCGCTAAAAAGTAGTTAATTAACAAATATAGTAGTAGTGATGATGATTGTTTAAAATATGATTCGATGATGATGATGATGTTAACCTCATATTTTTATTTTAGGAATCATATTTCAATGTTGGAAGAGTTCTACGAACAGAGAAAGAGAGCGAATAACTTCAATCCAAATCTAACGGATGCACTTGGAAACACTCCATTACATTACAGTGCCACTTTCAATCACTATGAAACATCACAGAGACTGTTGATTTTGGGTGCCAATCCAAATTTCCAGAATCGTGCAGGTGAAACACCTCTTCATCGTGCCGTATGGTATAATCACGTCAATATTGCCACCCTTTTAATTGAGAATGGTGGTGATGTATCCATTACCAACAACATGAAGCAAAATGCACTAGGTCTTGCAAAATCATTAGATATGAAAGCATTAATACAGTCTGCACAACTTGGTAAGTCAATAGTTAATAATCAATCAATCTCTATATAACCTATTCCTAATCTATAAATGTTCATTATATATTATTTTAGCTCAAAAGTTCAGTCCAGACGAATTTGCTGATGACGATGAAGACGAAGAAGAAGGAACAGAAAAGAAACCAGTAACATCAAATTCAAGTTTCCACAGTGATATGATTGCTAATGATAGTGACGATGAATAGAATAATATAAAAGATATTTATTTATTTAGTAATAATCAAAAAAAAAAACAAAACACAAAATCAAAATCAAAATCAAAAATCAAAATCAAATTAATTAACTATAAATATTGCAATATAGTTATTTTAAAAATAGAATAGAAAAGAATCAAATCAATGTTGTAATAATAAATAATAATATATATAATTTAATATAAATCGAAAAAAAACAAACAAAAAATACGGAAAACCAGTTTTAATATTTATTCATTAAAATTTGGATCAGCCTTTTTTACCTTTATGAAATTTTTATGGTTTGACTTCACAACCATTCATTGAAATTAAGCTAAAAAAAAAAAAAAATCAAATTAAAAAAATTTTATTGAAAAAAAAGCCACTGCATGATCATTTTTTTAATTTTGGGTTGATGATTGATTTGATTAAGTTGTATGGGTTAATGATAATACACTAATCAGATGTTGATTGATTTTTAGTTTTCATAAAATTCATACTAATAATTCGAATTATTATTAGTATTACTTATTATTTTATATTTATATATAATCTATAAATCTTATATCTTATATTTATAATATATATTATATACTTATATAAAATAAATAAAAAATAATAAAATTTTGTATTTCTACTTATATTATTTATATTATTTATTATTTTAAATTAAAAAAAACAAACAAAACTTTTGTAACATTAAATTAAACTTTGTTGATATTATATATTTATAAACAAAGACAACAACAATAACAATAATAAACCATGGCAAATAAAAAACCAGAATGGAATAACGCCATGAAGAATGAGGGTCTCGATGATATGACCCTCCTTTCAAAGGTTACCAACGATCAGATCTTGGAAAACTTGAAAAAAAGATTCGAAAAAGATATCATCTATACCAATATCGGTGATGTATTGATCTCTGTCAATCCATTCAAACCAATTCCAATCTACACTGACGAGATCCTCCATGAATACGAAGGAAAGTCACGTATTGAATTGCCACCACACGTCTTCTCCATTGCCGAACAAACATACCGTTCCATGATTAACGAAAAAGAAAATCAATGTGTTATTATTTCAGGTGAATCCGGTGCTGGAAAAGTAAGTTTTTAAACAAAATTCCGATTGATATTAAATTATAATAGATAGATTCAGTGAATTCTAAATATTTTTATTTCTATTCATATAATAATTCTATAGACTGAAGCAGCTAAAAAGATTATGCAATATATAGCAGAGGTTAGTGGTGAGAAAGGTAGTACCAGTAATAAAAAGGTGGAGCATGTTAAATCTATTATTTTGGAAACCAATCCGCTCTTGGAAGCTTTTGGAAATGCCAAGACACTGCGTAACAATAATTCATCGCGTTTCGGAAAGTATTTTGAAATTCAGTTCAATAAGACCAATGAACCAGAGGGTGGAAAGATTACAAACTATTTGCTAGAGAAATCCAGAGTGGTTTTCCAGTTGAATGGTGAGCGTAATTTCCATATTTTCTATCAGTTCTGTCGTGGTGCCACCAAGAAGGAGCAAGAGGAGTTTGGTATCTACGGCCCAGAGAATTTCGCATATCTCACCAAAGGTAACACTCTGGACATAGATGGTGTCGACGACGTCGAGGAGTTTGCCGCCACTCGTCACGCCATGAATGTCATTGGTATCACCGCACAGGAACAATACAATATTTTCAAGTTGATCGCCGGTATTCTCTGGCTTGGAAATGTCGACTTTATCGAGCAGGCAGGTGACAAGTCGAGTGTTGCCGATCAATCGGTACTGGAGTTCACCGCACAGCTCCTCAATGTTCCAGCCAACTTCTTGAAGACCACCCTCGAAGTGAGACAGTTGGAGACCAAACATGGAAATCAACGTGGAACTCAATACAATGTTCCACTCAACAAAACACAGGCTATCTCTGGTCGTGATGCGCTCGCCAAGGCAATTTACGACCGTCTTTTCAATTGGCTGGTGGAGCGTGTCAACCAGGCCATGGAGAATCCAAACGTCGGTCTTATGATTGGTGTCCTCGATATCTACGGTTTCGAAGTGTTTGACCGTAATGGATTCGAACAGTTCTGTATCAACTATGTCAATGAGAAGCTCCAACAGATCTTCATTGAGTTCACCCTGAAGATGGAGCAGGAGGAGTACGTCCGTGAAGGTATCAAATGGGAGCCAATTCAATTCTTTGACAACAAGATTGTGTGTGAGTTGATCGAGGGTAAGAATCCACCTGGAATCTTCTCGATTCTCGACGACGTTTGCCGTGCTGTCCATTCGCAGTCGGACGGTGCTGACAAGTCGTTGCTCCAGCGTATCGCAGGTTGTAAGTCCAATCCTCATTTCGATGCTCGTGGTAACGCTTTCTGCGTTAAACATTACGCCGGTGACGTCATCTACGAAGGTGCTGGAATGATCGAAAAGAACAAGGACACTCTTCTCAAGGATCATTTGGAGTTGCTACAGATTTCAACCAACCAATTTCTGGTTGGATTGTTCCCCGATGTCATCGACCAAGACTCCAAAAAGCTGCCAACAACAGCCGGTTTCAAAATTAAATCACAAGCCAACGATTTGGTATCGACTTTGATGAAGTCCACTCCACATTATATCCGTTGTCTCAAGTCCAACGATATCAAGAAACCCAATGTTTTCGACGGTCCTCGTGTGCTCCATCAAATTAAATATCTTGGTTTGCTCGATAATATCAAGGTGCGTCGTGCCGGTTTCGCATACCGTACTTTCTTCCAGAAGTTCATGGAGCGTTACTACTTGTTGTCCGACAAGACTTGTTATGCCGGTGCCAACATCTGGAAGGGTGACGCACTCGGTGGTTGTCGTGCCATTCTCCAGTCGCAAAATGTCGAGCAATCGCAATACCAAATCGGTAAGACAAAGATTTTCATCCGTTATCCAGAGATGTTGTTCGCACTCGAAGAGACACGTGAGCGTTACTGGCACGACATGGCATCGCGTATCAAGAACGCCTATCGTAACTACAAGGCATTCCAATACGAGTGTTCCAATCGTATTAAAAATGCTTTCCGTAACTACAAACTCTATCGTCAGCGTTGCGCCCAAACCATCCAGGGTTACTACCGCGCCTGGAAACAAGCCAGTCCATACTTTGATTTACGTATGCAAACCGAACAGCTTATTCAAGGCAGAAAGGAGCGTCAACGTTTCTCAATGATTAGCGTCAGAAAGTTCTATGGAGACTACTTAGACGTTCGTTCTCAGACCTATTTACTCGACGCTATGGCCGAAGGTCGTAACGAAGAGGTTGTCTTCTCTGCCAAGTGCCAGATTATCGTACATCCGCTGTTGTCGGGTAACAAGATGAGTCCAAGATTCTTCATTATGACCAAACAGGCAATCTATTTGATCAAACTCAAACAAAAGAAGAATCTCGCACAATACTTGTTGGATCGTCGTCTTCCACTCTCAGAGGTACAATCGTTCACCATGTCCAATATCGGTGATAACTATCTCTTTATCCACGCTCCAATGGATTTCGATATTGCCATGTGTTGTGACTTCAAGACCGAGTTGGTTGCACTCATCAACAAGACCAAAGGTTCACAACTACCAATCAACTTCTCGCCGGAAGTCGAATATCAAAAGAAAAAGAAGAGTAACAATACTTGTAAGTTCCTCAAGGACGAGATGCACAAGGAACCATTCTTCAAGAAGAATACTGTGCATATTGCTTCACAGTTGCCACCTTCAACCACCGTCAACAAACCACGTAAGAATCCAAGTCGTAACTTGAGCAGCGGCGGTGGAAGTGGAAGCGGTGCACCCAAGAAACTGCCACCACCAGGTGCCATCAAACCAAAGGCTGCCGCATCCAAGCCAATGCCCACACCAGGAGGTGCCAAGAAGATGGCTCCAGCTCCAGGAGGTGCTCCAGCGAAACCAATGCCAACCCCAGGCGCCAAGAAGATGGCACCGGCTCCAGGAGGTGCTCCAGCGAAACCAATGCCAACTCCAGGTGTTGCCAAAACCATGCCAACTCCAGGTGCTGCCAAACCAATGCCAACCCCAGGTGCTGCCAAGCCAATGCCTACTCCAGGTGCCGCCAAACCAATGCCAACTCCTGGCGCTGTCAAGCCAATGCCAACCCCAGGTGCCGGCAAGCCAATGCCAACTCCAGGTGCTGCCAAACCACCAGGAGGAAGAGGAGGACCTCTCCCAACACCAGGAGCACCCAAACCAGCTGGTGGACCAAAACCAGCAGCTGCCAAGCCAGCAGCACCACCCGCTGAAAAATACAAAGCAGTGTACGACTACGATGCTCAACAACCAGACGAGCTTACCTTTAAAGAAAACGATATCATTATATTGGTAAAGAAAGTTGATAACGATTGGTGGCAAGGTGATCTAAGAGGTAAAGTTGGAATGTTCCCATCCAACTATGTAGAGAAAGCATAAGAGAAGAAAAAAAAAGAATATTAAATTAATTTGAAAAGAAAATAAAAGATAAAAAAAAAAGTATTATTTATAAGAATGAATTTATTATTAAATATTAAATATGACCAATGGAAATAGATTGTAATAGTTGTATTTATCATTTTAAAAGTCAGCATTTGTATTAAATTCATAGGTTGATTTGACTGCAACACCTGGTATGGTGTATGACGTATTGCGATGTTCGAAAAAGTTTGTTCTGGTGTCAATAGAGATTAACTCCATCCAATCGAATGGGTTGGCAGTGTTGTAGATCTTCTTGTAGCCAAGAGCAACAATGAGATGATCGGCGACAAATTCGATATACTCGGACATAAGGCGGTTGTTCATCCCAATTAGATCGACCGGAAGTGACTGAGTGATAAACTCCTTCTCACAATCTACAGCATCACGAATAATTGATTCAATTGTTTTGGCATCTAGCTTATTTACCAATTTAGAATAGAGAAGACATGCAAACTGACAATGTAATCCTTCATCACGGCTAATAAACTCGTTGGATGAGCATAGTCCTGACATCAAATTCCTCTTTTTCAGCCAAAAAATAGAACAAAAACTACCGGAAAAGAAAATACCTTCAACAGCGGCGAAAGCTACTAGTCTCTCTGCAAATGATGTGGAATTAGATATCCATTTCAGTGCCCAATTAGCTTTCTTCTGTACACATGGAATTGTCTCGATTGCATTGAACAACTTTGTCTTCTCGGCTGGATTCTGAATATAGGTATCGATCAATAAGCTGTAGGTCTCGGAATGAATGTTCTCCATAGCGATTTGGAAGCCATAGAAACAACGAGCCTCTGGTATCTGCACTTCGGACATGAAGCGTGTTGCCAGATTCTCATTTACTATACCGTCGGAAGCAGCGAAAAACGCCAGAACATTGCTAATAAAATATCGTTCGTTATCGTTCAGTTTATCTTGCCAATCTCTTAGATCGGGTGCCAAGTCAATCTCCTCCGCTGTCCAAAACGATGCTTCCGCTTTCTTGTAAAACTTCCAGACATCTTGATGTTTAATGGGAAACAGAACGAATCTATCTTTATTCTCTTTTAAAATTGGTTCTTCTTGCATCATTCAATTAAATATTTTATTTTCACAAACTATATAGTTATTAATCTTAATATTATTTATAGTATATATAATTTTTATTTATCTTTAAATCCAATGATCACAACATACCTATTCCAAGAAATTTATTATTGGAAAAGTAAAATCATATGCAATCATTTTGTACCCCTAATAATCGGAAATTTAAATTGTAAAAATCAAAATGGTGTGTCAAAATTAATCCGTTACATAACGGCGTTATTTTTTTGCTAAAAATTTAAATTTTTTTCGGTTTGTGGGAATATTTGATCGAAATGATTTAAATTCATCTAACTGTTAAAGTTAATGCATTAATGAATTTGTATTGTTAGAGCAACATATTCGCCAAAGTTTACAGATAAAGCAAGCTAAATATTACAATCTAAGAAGAAAGAGATCACCAATATCTGAAATCACTGAAACGAATAAAAATAAATATTTGTAACCATATTCTTTTTTTTAATGTTTTTTTTTGATCAACGATATTGCCTGGCAAACATTTTTTGGAAAAAAAAAAAAAAATAAGGAAAAAACAAAAACCTAACCTTATTATTATTGTTCTAGATTCCAGGTTCTAGACAATAATAATTTTAATAATTATTTATATATATAAGTTTGTTTTATTTTGTTTTGTTTTGTTATTATATGTCTGGAATTTATTTATTGTGGGGCAACTGCTGGTTGTAAAGGTTGTTGTTGTTGAGCTAACCATGGATATTGTTGAGTGTATTGAGCATAATATTGGTTGACCGATTCTTGATAGGCAGCAGCCAAAGCCTTGGCTGATTGATACTTGACACCACCGTTCATGGCGACTGGATAGCAGTCGTCACAAACTTTGACTGGTTTGGGATAAGCTAATTTGGTGATTGGTGTTTGCTTCTCTGTGCACTTGCCGCAGAACACCTTCATGCAGTGACGACAGTGATGCTTACGATTGAACAACGAGAAACTGGTGTTGCACTTGCGGCAATTCTTGACCTTGTCTTCGTCTTCCCATGGATGACGGTAGCTGACATCGGGTGGCAATGGTGCACCTGGTGGTTGATTTGGAATGGCAGAGTACATGAATTGTGGTGCGAACAGAGTAAGTGGCAAATTGACAGAGAGATCGATGGCACCCGGAATATCGAATTCCACCTCAAGGGTGTACGACGATTTGGCATGATCACCAAGGGTGGACGATGGTTTGAGGTCGACTGGAATGTTGAATGGCAAGTAACGCTTACCGTAGAAACATGGATTGATACCTGGGTATTCTTGTTTGTAGACGACGTGGTTGATGGTACGGTGGTAGAGGTGAGCGCGCAACTCCATACGATGGTGAACCTTCAACGAGATACGACGTGTCGGTTTGACAGAGGTGTTGTTTATCTTTAGCTTATTGACGAGTGTCTCTCCTGGGAAGTAGGCATTCTTGTTGAGCCAGGCCTTGGCGACGAGCTTACCCTTGGTCAACATGAACGACTTACGATTTTCGGCAAACGATGGCTTGACCAACTCGTTGCAACGCTCGTTCACAATGAGACGAGTGGTGAACTTGAGGTCGTGACGGTGAGCAACGTCGACAGTTGCTTTCACCTTGTAGAGAATCTTGGCAGAGTAGTGTCCCTGAGCGTCTTTGCCGTCCTCACAGAAAGTTCCTGGGAGGGTTGGTGGCAGCTGATATTGGAAGGGGAACGAATAGTGACCGGGATTGACATTTCCTTGGTGTGGGTAGACACAGATGGTCGAACGGAAGAACTCTTTGTTCTCTTTGTGATCGATGGTTTTCTGGACGGTACGCTTGTTCGAGCCTTCTCCCTCGGTCTCGAGACGGTGCTCCTGCAGCCAGACACGCTCGAATCCCTTGAATTTCACCAAGACACCCTTGGCAAAGAATGGGACGAGACAGTCCATCTCAACGGTTCCACTGATCATGTCACCACCGACATACGATGGTTGGTTCATAGTGACCCAGATCTTGTTTCTGGTGTCGATTGGCACGAATGCGTGTTCGACGACTTCCGCTACGGCATTGACCATGCTACCGACGACATTCATCATACCGTTGACAGCGGAAGTTGTTCCCATAAAAGCAACATTGCTAGCAGCAAATGAATCGTTTGTATTCAAAAATGCTTCATTCGCTAAATGTGGATCACCTTTTACAGTAACTTTGAAATCCATCTTTTTTTTTACAACTCTATTTTTATTTTGTTGATAAATATAAAAAAAAAGTTATTAATTCTTAGATAGATATATAAGATTATATAAGAAAAAAAATAGAAAATGATTTTATTTTATTTAGATGTTTGATTGATTGATTGATTTTTGATGAGGTCAAAACTCTTTAAATTTTTTTCAACCTGATATTTTTTTATTGGATTTTTGATATACTACTCAATAACACAGTACAGTCTCAGTTGTTTAAAAAAAAAATCAAACAATTTTTTTAGATATTTGAGGTCAAAAAAAAATCAACAATAAATAAGTTTGTAAGTTTTTTTGAGGTCACCCAATCACTGATTTATTGCAAAAATCTATTGTTTTTGGAAATGGTATCTGGTTATTGTACAATTTCGTTTTTTTAACAAAAAATTTTCATTGTCTTTTAGGTAGAAAGCCAGGACCAAAAAAAAATTTAACATAAAAATACAACTATATTTTTTGAAAATAAGCAAAAATGATGATGTGTACAAGATTTGATTTCCAGTTAAAAAAAATAAAATCTTTAAGATAAATTAAAATATTTCAAAGATAATTTTATTTTTGTAGAGCGAGACTTGCTTTGCAAATATTGATTAAACATGATTTATTTTTGAATTAAATTGTCTATTTATCCGATTAAATAAAAAAAAACAAAAAAGTCATTCATATTCCTTTCAACAGTTTTTTTTTTTCGAAATTTAATCCCGACGAGAATACACTCATAGATCTATGGAGTAAAGAATAAAGTCATGACATGACATGCGCGATTAAAAAATAAAAAAAATAAAAAAAAAATGTTTAAATTAGGTGTTGTTCATCTCGGTTTAAGAAATTTAAATTTCACAACAAAAACAGCAACTAATGTAAAGTGTTGTAATTCCACTGCTACAACAACAACAACAACAAAGTTATTTTTGAATAAAAACAACAACAACAGTAGTAACAGATATTATAATATAAATAATTATAATAAATATATAATAGATACAGTTAGTAGTGTAAAAATGGATAAAGAAATTTTAGAGAAAGCAAAGAAATTGGCTGGTTACAAAGCTGTCGATGATAATTTAAAGAGTGGATTGCGTGTTGGTATTGGAAGTGGCTCCACTATTAAATATGTTGTAGATCGTATCAAAGAGTTGGGTTTGGATGTCATTTGTGTGCCAACTTCATTCCAATCGACACAACTCATTGTCAACGCCGGCTTGACACTCTCTGACTTGTCGCGTACACCCGAGCTCGATATCACCATCGACGGTGCCGACGAAGTCGATTCACAGTTGAATTGTATCAAGGGTGGCGGTGCTTGCCAGCTGCAAGAGAAGATCGTCGCCGCTGCCTCGAAGCGTTTGGTAATCGTTGCCGACTTCACCAAGGACAGCCAGGCGTTCGGTCAGCAGTGGAAGCGTGGTATCCCAATCGAGGTGGTGCCAATGGCATACGTGCCCGTTATGAACAAACTCAGTTCGATGTCACTCAAGCCAGTCTTGAGAATGGCAGTCAACAAGGCCGGTCCAGTGGTGAGTGACAACGCCAACTTTATCATCGACGCACAATTCGAGTCGATCTCTAACGTCGCCGAACTGGCAACCAAAATCAAAATGATTCCGGGTGTAGTAGAGACCGGACTTTTCGTAAACATGGCTTCACGTGCTTATTTCGGACAACAAGATGGTACCGTTAAAGAGAGAACCATTTAGTAAATAAATAAACAAAAAAAAAAAACAATGCATATAATAGTTAATTTTTAAAGACAAAGTTTATTTAAATTGATTTAACAATTAATTGGATATATAAATGATTCTAATCTGCATATAGTCGATTTCATTCTATGTTCTTTTGTAAACGATTCATATATATATATAAACTGAACTGAAATAAAGATCTGTCAGATGCAGTACATTCGCATTATATCACACACAGCTTGCTCTTTTGGCTCCTTCTTTGCTCTTACTGATTGGAACTGAATCTTTAAATCAGCTATCTATCTTTCGACATTATCTGTATAATCTATTAAAAATCATCAGTTATATCTTCGATGTTATTCCATTCGGTGGGTGTGGTATTTTTATTTTTAATTTCAACTTTTCTATTTTATTATCAATAATTATTGTCGTTTTCTTTTAATGTATACCAATGGATGTAATATCACGATCATTCTTATTCTTTATGATATTGTAGAGTTGTTCAAAGAAATCTTGTCGGACTTCTGGCACTTTTGTGTAGTCTCCCAAGTAGAATTCAAACAACACACTGCTGAGTCGATTGTTTTCGATTTTCTTGAGAAGTTGCTGGTCGTGAAGTACGAGAAGCTCACCACTTTTGGTACGAATGAAATCCAGCTCTGATTGAGTGGTCAACTCTCTGGATTTCGGCATGACATCGCGCAGCTCTGCCAACATGATCTCCATCTCCTCCAGTTCCATCTTGTATTTCGACCAGAGCAACTTGGTCATACTCGATTCCAGTCCGTTGTAGATGTGACTCCATGTCACCTTTTTGGTGGGTCTCAGCTTCACTGCCATGCCAACGCCATTTCCAAGCATCTGATCCAACACCTTCACTCTATCCCCGACAAACTCTGATTGTTCGACACGTTCCACTTGTGAACCTAATTTCAATCTCGCTTCCAATTCATCTATATATACACCCATTGAGTATACATTTATCTCTACACAAAATTTGAATAGTAGATAAATAACACAACATTAATAATTTTGATATATTTACAACTACTAAACTACTAGCTAACTACTTACTCATAAAAGACATTACACGAGTACCTATATTTACAAAAGAATATTCAATATCATTATCTTTGTTAATCAATTTCTTTGGGTATTGATAACCAGTTTTAATTTGAACAATGAAATCTTCATGATCTTCGAAATACTCTTTACACAATACAACACTTGGTAATAATAATGCCAATGATGATACACCAATTATTTTTGTATATGAATATCTATTTTGTTGTTGTTGTTTTTGTTGATAATCATTGTTATTATTATTACTATAATTATTATTACTATTATTATTTAAACTATTTGTACAACTATATCTTAAAAGATATTTATTATTATTATTATTTCTACCTAATAATAATTTTGTTGAATTTCTACCAATTGAAGTAATCATTTTGACTAACTGTTAATATATATAATTAATTAACTCTAAACTAAAATGAAGATATATATTAGATTTATACAATTGCACATAAAAATAAAACGAAAGAAATTTGTGCATCAGAAAAAAAAAAATAGTTAACACACAATTTTGATTTTTTGACAATTTATCACGCGCAATGAGATATGTGTTTTGTTCCGATTCTCATATCAAATTTATGGATATGAATATCATTGTTATTATTAATATTAAAATTAAATAGAAATTCTATTATAAATAGAATTTTTGTTTATTTGAAGATGATGATGATGATTCGTTGTCAAAGTTCATTGTTGATGGTGATGCCGATGAAAGATTATTTCTTTGTTGTTTTAACTTCTTTGATTCTCTGTAGTTCTCAATGACAGTGTTACGTAGGAGATCCATTCTTTGTTTCTGAATTTCATCACGACGCTGTTGGAGTTTGAGTTCTCTCTGTTGTTCACGACGTTCGTGATTGTCGTCGTCATCGCTATTTGCATCGTCTTGCCAGATATACTTTCGCTTGGCAGAGGCAGTGGTGTTTGCCAACTTCTTGGCAGAGAGATCTTTGACCACCGGTAGAGTAGGAGGACGATCTGCTTGTTCACCAAACTTAAAGTCATCTTTCAACTCCTTGAAATCCTTAATCTTTCTCTTCTTTTCACCTGGTTGCTTCTCTTGTTGTTGCTGCTGTTGCTCTTCGTAGTCATCTTCATCATCACTATTAACACCCAAAGTTTTCTCTTTCTTTTTCAATTTCTCTTTGATCTTTCTTTGTTTCTGGAATCTAATAATTATAATTAATGTTAATATAATATATCTATCATCAATATTTTCAAAATAAACGTAGTTAAGTCAATACATTACTCTTTTCTCTTTTGATAAGTAGTCGATTTCTTCTTTTTATCCTCTTGAACTTCATTGTACATTCTCTTTTTAAATTTGGTATTTGATTCACCTTCCTTTTGATAGATTTGTAATGTTTCTGCTGTTGTTGATGATGTTGTTGTTGTAGTAGTGGAAGTAGAGGTTGTTGTAGTAGAAGTTGTTGGAGTTGTTTCATCTGGTTTTTGTTGTTTCTTATTCTTCTTATTTGATGATTGTTGTTGATCTTTATCTTTATCTTCTTTATCTCTAAGCTCATCGTTTGCTTTCGGTGTTCTCAAACCCATGAGAATCTGCAGCTTGATCTGATCCTCCTTGTAATCGGTCTCCTTATCACAACCACCTTTCTTTGCATTGACTCTCTCCAACTCCAGCTTCTCCTTGTGCGACAACTTCTTTTTCTTCTTTCTATCGGTTACCTCTTGATCTTCGTTATTATTATTATCTTCATTTCCTACTTCATCTCCTTCCTCCTTTTCTTCCTCCAACTCTTTCTCTTTATTCTTCTTATTTAGATTTGCTTTATGTTGTTGTTGTCTCTTCTTCTTCTTTGACTCGATTGATTTCATCAACTCTTGAGCGTCAATCATTGCCTTCAAGGATGCAGAGATCTTATCTTTTTTAGCTTTGTAAGGTTTATCTTTACCGGAATCTGCATTTTCAAGAGGCTTTCTTGTACAATATGGATCACAAGCCTTCAATCTTGATTTTGCACTAATAGTCATAGCTTTATTTGATTGTTTAATATATATACCTATAAATATTTTACAATTTGCAAAAAATAATTATTATTTAATTTAATAAATTAAATTTTTCGTTCGTTTTTTAGTTTATTTTTGAAAAAAAAAAAAAGAATTTTAAATTAATTTACTTTTTTTCAATTTTTTTTAGACAATATCAGTAATTGATTAGTTGTTCATTTATTGCGTAATATTACAATAATTAGATTTTTGGATTAGGAACATTTTCAACACTTTAATTTTTTGATTAGTTATCTTTCAATAACAAAAGAACAAAAGAAATCAACTTTTAAAAATTGTTTTCTTTTCATGATCAATGTAGATCTACAACTGAGTTGGTGTGTTCGAAGTATCAACCAAAAGATAAAAAAAACTTGATATTGGCTTGCTTGCAAAATAATCATCAAAAATTTATCCAATATTTTTATCATTTTATACTTCTTATAAGTTCGATTTTCTAGCCAGATGGCAACCTTATTATTAGCTCCCTTAAGAAATCATGATTTTCATAAAACTTTGTGACCTTTTTTTGGTTTTTTTTTTTTCATAATAATGACCAAAATTCTACCCACCTTGTATAAATGACGACAAAACAGTGGTTCACTTAATGGCATAAAGTGTGGTTTTGGTTATTATGTTCCAACTTTGCGAAAAAGATATTTTACAATTTAAATATCTTTGGTACTTATTCAAAAATGTTTAAGTACCTTTTTAAAAGTTGAACTAGTTAGTTTAAAATTATTTAAATTGTAAAATAGAAAAAAAATGAAAAAGATAAATTGTATTTTATTTTTGGTAAATATAATAATAGGATCGATTGTAATTGACTACAATCAGGTGATGATCGTTTCAGCAGCGATATCAACAAAGAAAGGTGTTACCTACGGAGCAGACAATCGATCACAATCAATTATTTGTAATGACTTGGCATCGTTTAATGTTTCATGGTATTACAATTGGGGAAAACAACCGAGTTGTCAAGCCGGTGTCCAAGGTGTAGAGTATGACCCTATGGTTTGGGGCAAAGCAAATCTACCAGTCGGTAACATTGCTCCAGGCAATTGGATAATGGGATTCAACGAGCCAAACTTTATTGGTCAAGCAGATCTCTCACCTTCAGCAGCCGCTGCACTCTGGCCACAAATTCAACAAACCGGAAGAAAGAATGTACTTGCGGGTTTAGCTGATTGTGGTGGTGTAAGTTATAGATAACTCAAACAAGGTGTAATTATTAACTAATCAAACGAAACATTCAAATAATATAATCATGTAGGTCGGTGGTAATTGTAAATATAATACAGTACAATGGGCAGTTGATTTTCTGGGTAATTGTACTAATTGTCAGGTCGATGCCATTGCTGTACATCAATACTATTGCTCTGCATCGGATGTGATGACAAAGATTAATAGATTGTACCAAGCTACCAAGAAACCAATATGGCTATCAGAGTTTGCATGTAATGGAGCGTCTAGTTATCAACAGGTGATCGATTTCGCTAAGGAATTGCTACCACAACTAGAATCAAGTACGGTAGTCGAACGTTATTCATGGTTCATTCACTGGTGTCAAGGTTGTAAATCAAGTGATCTACTATACTCATCGTTACTCTATGACAATGGTACGATGACACCATTCGGAGTGTATTACTCTAGTTTCGGTACAAATAGTTCAAGTGGAACAACAACAACAACTTCCACCACCGCCACCACCACCACTACTACTAGTACCACAGGTGATAACAATGGTTCAAAACTCTCAACCTATTACATTGTAATTGTATTAGCTGTATTATTATCTTTATTATTAGTTTAAAATAAATTAATATGTTACCTTTGAAGAAAGGTGTCTGTGTTTATGGTCAAGTCATATATAAACACTTTAACTTGATGTGCACATCAATTAAACAAAATGGATAGATTGATAAACTTAGCTAGCTTCATCAACGAATTTTTTTTTTCATCTCTCAATTGAAAAGAACAAGAAGTCATATAACCCATCATTTATAACTATTAAGATATAATTACTATTACATATTGTTTATTTAAAGAATATATAATATCTTCAAATTAATTTATAAGTATAAAATTCTGTTTTTTAAATGTAAAATAAAGATATTTTTTTATGAGTAGTTGATCAAAAAAATTGATTAATGAATTAATGATCGTTTTAAAAGATGAATAATAGTAATATCCAAAATATTTTCGTTATTGCTCATACCGATCATGGTAAGACAACTTTAGTTGAATCATTAGTTAGTAATAGAACTATCAAGAAAGAAGAGGACAGTGATATCACAACGATGGGTTCTTTGTTTCATTATGATTTGCCAGATTCCGTTCCATTACCTCTTGGTTTAGATAGCCGTCGTTTCTTATTAAATCTCATTGATACACCTACAGTTGATATAGGTTGTAGATTGAAAGAATCAGATGATGCTCTTGTAGTGGTGGATGTTGTCGAGGGTGTCTGTGTTTCTGGTCAAGCTATGCTTCAGCTTGAACGCATCAATTCAGTACTCTTTATAAACAAGATGGATAGATTGATCTTAGAGCTTCAATTGGATTCAGAGGATGCATACCAAACAATCAATAGAATAGTTGAAACAATCAATGTCTCTATTCAACTTGGTGGTAATGGTAGCAATAGTAAACAAAAGAGAATCATCGATCCAGTAGTTGGAAATGTTGCATTTGGAAGTGGAGTTCAAGGATGGGCATTTACACTTGAGAATTGGGCAGCTTTATATGAGACAAAACTAGGTGTACCAAAAGAGAAACTATTGCGACGACTATGGGGTAATAACTTCTTTGATGATGTCAACAAGAAATGGGTATCGAATCGAGTCTCTGAAGATGGAAGAACTTTGAAGCGTGGATTTTGTTTTCTCATCTATGAACCACTCCGAGACATCATACTCGCCGCCAACGAAAAGAACTCGGAAAAACTCACCAAACAACTATATTATATTAATATCAACTTGACCAATGCAGAGCTTGAACAAACTAGTAGAAAAGAGTTGATATGTACAGTAATGAAAAGGTTTTTATTAATTAATAACTGTATTATTTCAATGGTTGTTAAACATCTACTACTACCTTCACCTTCACCTCATAATAACATCATTTAACATTAAACTTCATGACAATATATATTGATGAAAAGAATGTTCAAAATGAATCGATACATTATTATTATTTATTGGTGATTTCGATATTTTAATTTAATTTGATGTAGATCTCTGTGATCAACTCTTCCGGAGCAACTTTAGTGCAATCATTAAGATATTGTTCGATCGATGGTTTTTCAGAGGGAACTCTGTTGGATTTCGGTAACCATGTCTTGAAGAAATACTCGTAGGTTTGGTGTAGCTTCTCATATGGACCTTTATGGATGAACATGGCATATTCACCCTCTTCCCAAATGATATGCTTGATTGGTTCGTCACCGGTGAGTTTGAGTGACACTAGCTGTTCAGTGGTAAGCTTGACAGCGGCAGCTGACTTGAGTTCATTCTCAGGCACCACACAAGGATTGTCATAAAAGAAACCGAGGAATGCACCGTGTTGAATGTTGTGCTCACCGATGTACTTGAATAACTCGCCACAGCTCTTCTTAAAGGCAACGGCGAATGGACCAGTACCGAAAACACCAATGGCATCAGTCTTTGGAATATTTTTAATTTCGATATTTATATCTTGCATAATATTATTTTAGTTGTATATTTATAATATGAATTGAACAAATCTATTTATAACATTGATAATCATATTGCAAGTAGTGTAAATTTCCTGGAAATAGGTCGTTGTAACCCAATTTGATTTTTAGTTTAAACAACTTTTTCATTGACTTTGTCTCATCGCGCCAAAAATTTTTTTGTTACAAACGATTTAATATTATAATATTTTAAAATATTTAATTATTTATTCTTTAGATTAAAATTTTTTTGTAAAAACTTTGAATGGTGATTAACTTGATTGGGTTAAAATTATTTTTATATATTGGTTTCTATTGACATTGTTTATCACTATCAAAGTAAAAAATATATATTTTTTCTGACATGTACATTATCAAAAAATATTAGATTTCTAACAATATATAATTAAAACTTCTATAATATTGGATAGAAATCCAACATATCAACAATTTATGTTTTATTTCCAAAGCAATATGGTTTGTCCATCATTTAATGTTGATTGAAAAGCAGACATTCAAAATGGTTACCGCCACTACAGTGTCAACTGCGTGAACGATATGCTTGACCTTGTTAGAAATCTAATATCTCTTGTATTTTTTTTTTTTTTTTGTTGGGCTAAAACCAACCATCGGGGAATATTTTTTGCAGTTTTTGTTGTTGATGATCAACAAAGACAATATTTAATGAATACGATATCATTCTCATAAACTAACCATTCAACTCGAACATATCAAAAATTTTAGTAATTCTTCTTCGAAGATGTCATTTAATTTGGATATCCAAAATAAATGTAATAAAAGCCAAAAAAAAGGATTTAGTTTACAATTAAAAAATAATAATTTGTTTTTATCACTCACATTCAGCACCAGGATATTTCAGAAAGTAACTTGAAATAGGAGTTGGCAAATTTTGGTCGATTTTTTTTTTTTGTTTTTAGAATTTTTTCAGTTTTTTTAAACTTTTATTATTATGTTTTTGTAGTGTTTGAATGAATTGTTTTTCAATCACTTTTTGTTTTTTTGTTTTTTTTAATGCAAGATATATACTATACTATTATTAGATTAAAAGTATAGAGAGTGTGAATAGAATAAATATAATATAATATAATAAATAGATTTACAATAAAGATGGTAAAGAATCAAAAAGAAGAAGTTTATGGAGATGACGAAGAAGATGTACCAATGGTCAAGGTTTTAGTGTTGGGTGGACCACGTACAGGCAAAACCAGTATAATCAATAGATATTGTCACAACAAGATACCCTCCAACTATAAAGTAACAGTCGGTGTCGATTGTGTCAGTAAGATCACCGTTGTCAATGGTGTCAAAGTTGAACTTTTCTTTTGGGATATATCAGGTCAAGAGAGATATGCTCATATGACACGTGTATGTTTATTCAATCATTTCATTTCAATTATCAACTATCATCTAAAGCATAGAATATTTAATATTAATTTGATCAACATTATTTATTTGTTTTGGATTCCACTATGTAGCAATATTTTGAAAATGCTAAAGGTGTATTTATAGTATTCGATGTTTCCGATGAAAAAACACTGGAAGCAGCAGAGGCATGGAAGGCAGAGGTAGACAATTGCTTCCCCAACGAACCGATCCCATCGATACTGTTGGCAAACAAGAGCGATAAGATATTGGATTTGAAAGAGGTACCCTACAGAAGATACGATCAATTCTGTGAATATAACAAGATTGTAAAGTGGTTTTTGACATCGGCTATGGCCGGAACAGGTTTGGATGAATCAGTCGACGAACTCGTCAAGCTGATCTTTGACAGCAACGCCGATCTAGCACCAAAGAAACCCGTTGGTTTTAAATTAACTTCTGCACCACAACAACAAGCAACCACAGAGACAAGAAAGACTTGTTGTTGATATACTACCTATACTACCTATATTATACAATATGTTTACACATACAATCATTCATTTTACAACTTTTTAAATACCACCCACCCACCCACCCTTTTTAAACAAATCCAATTTTTCATCACCTACCAAATTCAATCACCAAACAAACAAACCATTAATTAATTAATCAATTCAATTTCATTGCATTAAACTTAAGTTCAAGGAGTTCCACCAAACAGTAATAATACAAATGTAATACTTACTAATCAAATATAATTATCAACCAACCAATTCAATCAAAACCAATCAATCAAACAAGCAAAGCATTAACTAATTTATTTATTTAATGTACAAATATAAATCTTTAATAAAATGTAAATAATAATATTTAAATTAAACAAAAAATATAATCGATTAAATATCTTTTAATTTATTACCGATAATAGTAAAACTAAATTTTTTTGATGAGGGAGATTTAAATGAAGGAGGGAATGAGATGAATGAAATTTTAATTCATTTTTGCACGATTTCAGTATTGGTACTTACAAAACACACTAAAATATATATTTATTCATCACTCTGATATTTATATTAAATCATGTTATTTATTTATATATATGATATGGAAATAGAAAAATAATAGTAAATAAAATATGAATGATTTTAATTTAATAAATATAAATATAAGATCAAAAGAATTATATCAACCAATTGAAGAGGATCTGGGAAGAGATGGTGTTGTTTCTTTAGTTAAAACGTATCAGCTGATAGAGGCAACCGTATCACCCTATCAAAACGTATTGTTTGCATTGAGAGAGAAATTAAGATTAAATTTAATAACAGCAGCAGCAGCAGAACAAGATGACAGTAATAATATAAATCATAATCAAAGTAATAAGAAAAAGAAGAATAGTAAAAAAGATAAAGATAATAGTAAAGATAATAATAGCAATTATCAATATTACTTTTATATTAGAAATAAAAAGATAGAGGAAAATCAAACGTTTTCAGATTTAAATATTAACAATGGTGATATAATAGAGTCGTATTCCAATCCACTATTGATGGCAATGTCAATATTTCAAGGATATACAGCCAATAAAACACAAAAGTACTACAAATTCGGAGTGGTACCTGCTCTAAACAAAATAAAGACAGATCTACCTTATCTAGGTGATAATATCGAATTAATAAGACAACATGTACCAACAAGTAAATTATCTATCATATATCTATAACTAACTAACTAACTAACTAATCAACTCATTATTATTATTATAATAATTTAGTTAATTATAAACAATTGGAATTACAATTTTCGGATTATAAGTTGTTTGATAGGAATACTATCGATCCAATTGGTCATTTCATTAGGAGATGCTACAAGTTGTTACCGGAGCAAGAGTTGGAGAATATCGCTAATACTAGAGCGTCTATTAATATCTATGGTGTCATACCTGATACACCGCCACAACTAAGTGATACAGAGTCTGAAGCGAGTGAAGATGCAACACAACCCGACCCAAATTCAACTGCTATTCTAGCTTACACTCAAACCGATACTATCAATAAGGATGGCAGTAGTAGTACTACAAATCAAAAGGTATACGTAGTTGGAAAGAACAAACTACTAGATTATCATTTCGATGAGAGTAAAATTGGAAAAGAAACAATAGAGAATGTAGATGATGAAGAAGAAGAGGATATAGAGTCAACACAACCTGATTATACAGGTTATGATAATAATAATGATAATGATAACAATGATAATAATGATAATAGTAACAATAATAATAATAGTAATTTCGATGAAGATATAGAAGCAACACAACCTGATACTTCGATTGATGATTTAGATAAGGAAGATGCTTGTTCGACAACCGATGAGAATAATATTTCAGTGGAGAAAGATATAGAGAAGGAGATGGAGTTGGATATACAACCTACACAGGAGGATGATCAATCTACACAGGAAGATGATCAATCGACACAGGAAGATGATAAACAACAACCTGATAGTTATATTCAAAGTGGAACGGTAACACCAACCAAGAGTATCAATAGTAATAATAGCGATAGTGGCATCAGTAATCGACCAATTACACCCGTAGATATCAGTAAGAATAAAGCAATTCAACTACAATTGGAAATAGAACAACAAATCAAACAAGCACATCCACAAAAACAACTAGAACAACAACAAACCACATCACCTCCAAGGAATAAAAATAAACTAGAAGATAACAACAATAATAATAACAATATATATAACGATAGCTGTAATAACAATAACAACAATAGCAATCATCATAATAATAAATATAAAAGAATAGATTTTGATAATATTAATACGAATAATAATAATTGTAGTAATAATAATAATAATAGTGATAGTAGTAGTAATAATCGTTTTATTCAGCCAATAACACCACTTGTAAATAATAACAACAATAATAATATAACATTATATTCAGATAGTAATAATAATAACAATAATAATTACGAAAAAACACCAAGAAAGTTTGAGATTCTAATGAAAGATGGAAGATTATTACAGAGTGATAGTAAATCATTGTATGACCAGTTAAAGTGGATCGAAAAAGAGAATTTGAAATGGATAAGTTATTTTCCACCCAATACCGTTCCACTGTTACCAAGACCAACATTTTCAGATCCACCATCATTCTCTTCAAAATAACAATATCATAATAAAGAATAATAATAATAAATCTTTTGTAAATATTATCATTATAAACCAGTAGTAAGTTAATTAAATTTGAATATATTTCGAAAGTGTATCTACAAGTTTATTATATTGTCTATTTAGTTGATTGATTATATTATTATCTATCTATTATATTATATTATATTATATTATTATATTGAAGTTTGAGTAACTAAACCAAACCCAACAATTGAAAGACCAACAATGAATGCAAATTTAGCGCCACCTACGAACGGTGCCCAACGTTCGATCGATTTCAGTTGGGTGCCGTCGATACACTTGATACCGATGGTCAGTGCACGCGGTGCATACGTAGAGTTTGTTATGAATAGACCACGATTGATGTTGATGCCATTGAGTTGCAGTACCTCTTTGAACTTTGCCACGTCCTTCAGAGGCACCGGCATCTGATAGTTCTTACACTCGACGTACGTCTTTCCAAAGAATCCATAGACAACGTCGATCTCTGATATATTTCCGTATTTATCTTTCAGAATAACGTTCCGTTTGATATTGAACTTCATTTGATTGTGTAGCAAATTGCATATTCTCTCTTCGAAGCGATCGCCTTTCTCTTTCATCAGATTCCTTTTCCTCCTAAATGTATTTCTAACTCTATTCGATAGCGATGCATATTTCCCTGATATTATCATAACTTTTTATAAACCTATTATAATAGTATATATTTCTAAATTATTTATTAAATAAAAGAAAGATCGATATTCAACAAAAATAAAACCGTTAGTTTAACTTCTCATACAAAAATTTGTATAAAGTTTACATTTTTTTTTTTGACGTCAACATTTTGTAATCATAGAAATTTAGATATATTAACAGCAATATAAATGGTTAACCCAATGATATTTTAGGAAATTAATCAAATCAATCACAATCGATCAATTTTAAAAATGTTAAGATATAAATCATTAACAAACACAAATTTTTATTTATTACAATCAATTTCGAAAATAAATAACAACAACAATTATAGTTGTTTTAAGAATAACAACAGTGTAACATTTTGTATAAATAGTAATAGCAATAGTAATAATAATAGTAATAGCAGTTGTAATATAGTTCAATATCATAATTATTCAAGTAAACATCATCATAGTAATAATAGTCATCAACATCATCATAGTCATAATAGTCATAATAGTAATGAACATAATAGTCATAGTAAACCAATACCAAATGCAAGATCAGTATTGAAAAAGTTCTTTTTAAAAGTACATCCCGATTTGTTCTATCAATATCCAAAGTTAAAGAATATCAACGATAAGTCACTGCGAGTTTTACAAAGTTTTCTAGAGGAAGTAAAGAGTGAAAAGGTATCGAGTAGATCATACAAGTTGGAATTCTACTACTTAGATGCACGCTCTGCAACTACAACCAACGAAGATGACATACCCTACGTAGAAATTTCATTCGATATCGACAATTCAACACCCAGAAAACTAAATACAATGATAAAAAAAGCTGAACAAAAGATACAAAATTTATTAAAGTAATAATAATAACAATAAGTTAAAATAATAACATTATTTATTAATAAATATATTATACATATATATATATATATAGAATTACAGGTATTACAGATGAATTCTATTTAAACTCACTACTTGGAAAAACAGTGAAACAACAGCATCCGGATCAAGTTTTCGAAGCTGCCGATAGTCTGTTGAGTTTTCTGACACACTACTCGAATGATGCACGTGAACGTTGCCGGTCGGTCATCGATGAGGAGCGATCGATCGATATTATGTATACCTTCTTTTTCATGGAGCATCGCATCAGAGTGTTGTTTGACGATCTCGATAGTATCACCATCGACAAGAAGAAGTGGATTCTCAGAGAGTTGGAATCGATCCTACACGTACTCTCACCACGAGTGGCAGGCGATCAGCTGGTCGATAAGATATTTTACAGTCGTGATAGAGACCGACAAGAACGATCGAGACGTTCGAAGCTAGAGACATTTCATTTCTCGGATGAACAGATCGATCAACATAATAATGAAAATATCGATGAAGATTATGACGGCGATGACGATGGCGATGAGTATCAATATGTTAATAAATTCAATCCATTTGGTGAGAGTAACAATAATAGTAGTGAAAAACAACAGAAGCAACAACAATATATGGGATTTGGTCAGAGATTGAAAAGAGGTGGACAAGAAATGAAACAACAATTGTTTGAACCATTTGGATTGTTTAAAGATAAGGATAGTTGGCGAGGTTGGGATAAGATTAAAGCTGGTTTCGTCACACCGGAAACCTCTGAGAAAACAGACGATTCACACATCTCATTGAGACTGGAAGGTATGACATTGTTCTTTACAAATAAATCTGGTGTTGATTTAGAAGGTAGATTACAATTAGATATTGAAAATCCTCAAAAGTATGTTATGTTAAATACAAATCTTATTCACTTATAAAATATTAACATATTATTATTAATCTTAAAAAAAGTTGGCAAGAAGAACTGAATTTATTGAAACCCTCGATTGTCATTAGGAATATAAGATCATGTAGAGATAGAAAGAATTTGGAGATAGAAGCAGCCGATTCAATTGGTGTAGGATGTATCTATACCGATTACAATGAACAAAACACAAAGGAGTATATCGATTATTTAAAGTTTATCATTGAAACATCGGCTGTTTCAGAAGGCTATATCAAATCGAAATTAAACGATATCAATCTAAGAGTCGTAACACCAAATTCAACAAAGATAGAACCATTTACACTTGATGAAAGGTAATGTTAAAATTCAATATAATAAACTATCAAAATAACTAATTAATAATCTTTTCTCACTAAAACATTAGAAATGGTGTAATTAATATACCTTTACATGGAAATGTTGAGGAGATATGTAAATTTGTAGAAAAGACAGCTGATCATACCATAAGAGAGTTCGCAAAGCACCAGAACCAATTGAGAAATCTATCGCAACTAGAGTTAACAGTGAAGCGACAATTTAGACTGTTAAAGCTAAAGAGACATCCGGATATCACTGATGTAGACATGGTCTCTTGTTGTAGAAGACTACTGAACAATCAACAACCTTTCTTACCGCTATTGTTCAACATTAACTTGGTGGTTGGAAAAGAAAATCACATTCATCACGATGGATGGATGTCAATAAAATGGGATTTTGAACTTTAACAACAATTTCTGTTTTCTGAACTTCCTCCAACAGTTCAATCTTTGGCCCTCCCGTTGGAATCGACCACCGCTCAACCATTCGCTTCAACTCTTTCAAATATATACATCGTAACCGGTAGTAAAAAACTATTTTTGAGAAAACTAGACGAAAACATATATCTCTTATTTGGTCAAACAGGATATTATTTTAGTGCTGCATTTATAAAAGCGTCTGATAGAAATAATCATTTCTTTGACACATTAAAAATAAACATCTGAATGAAAGTATTAAAATAATTTGGAAATGAAGCAAGTAATAAGAAATCACATATTAAGTTAATCTCTGAAATGATTAGAATATCGTAGTTGAGAATTTATTAAATATTATTTTTGTTAATTAATAATTAATTAACTAGTTCAAAGTTATGGTTTGTTTGGTGATATAAATAGTGGATTCTTGATTGTTTTGTTGTTTGATAAAAAAAGATGTTTAACCTCTTGATACATCTCTTCCAAAAATACTGGCTTTAGTCCAATCGAATGCAACCAACACTCTGTTTCTAATGCTCAAACATTTTGAAAGATAAGCAGATCTCCAAAGCAAAAAGGTTGCCAATCCCTCGGATGTAGTGGTTTTGTTGTCGGCGTCCTTGATCTGGAAGACCGCTGACTTGTCACCTACGTATGCGAGTGTACCCATGTGTCTATATTTAAAGAGTGGTTTCTTCTTGAGATCTGCAGTGAATTCCTGATCGTTCATCTGTCCTTGTTTCTTCTGATGGAGATCCTCTGAGATGTCGTTGAACAGACGACCGAGATAACGTCCTTGCTGACTGGCAACCTGTGCAGTTGGTGCCAGTGGTGTTACGCTGCAGTCACCAATCGCCCAAATTCCATCGGCTCCCTTCACACGGAAATATTCATCTACGACCAAACCACGACGGACATTCTGTACTTCTGGTCCAATGGATTGAATCAGCTTCTGAGTGACTGGACGTGGTGCATTTCCAGTTGCCCATACCAACATACCGTATGGGACGGATCTCTCTTTCTTCTCGGCGTCTCTTACAATCATTTCTCTCTCCTTAACACCAGTAACAGCTGTTTGTGTCCAAATCTTTGTTGTTGGTGAACTTTGTAATTTCTTTTCGACATGATCTAATAAATTTATATTAAAAAAAAAAGTGTCAAATTGAAATATTACTTTTTTCTGGTAAATTTTATTAATACCTACCAATAATATTCTTATCGAAAACAGTTAAAATATGTGGAAGTGCTTCTACTAATGTAACTCTACAACGATCTGTCAAATGTTTTGGAAAAGCTTTCTTTACATCATTGGTAATGAAATCATTAAGTTCTGCGCAAAACCTAAATATTCATGAAAGATTAGAATTATAGAAAAAATATGCAATTAAATTATAACATACTCTACACCGGTTGGACCACCACCAACAATTACGAAATGTAAAAGTCTATCGATTTCGGCATCTGGTTGACCTGGATAGCCGGCAGTTTCGAAACAATCGATCATTCTATCACGAATGGAACGAGTGTCACTGATCTCCTTGAGGAAACAGGCGTTCTCTTTGACACCTGGAATTCCAAAGGTTGCACTCTCCGCTCCGACTCCCATAACCAGTTGGTCGTATGGCAACTCAAACTCGGATACCTCTCCTTTGACCGCAGAGTTATCGTAACACTTTACTGTTTTCTTTACTGGATCGACCTGGAGACATTCCGCTTCGATGAAAGTGACATCGTCGGCATCGGAACGACGACAATACTTTCTGATTGGCTCCATAATCGATCTGCTCTCGGTGGTACCAGTGGTGGTTCCTGGCAGCAGCGGAGTGAACAAGAAGTAGTTTCGTGGCGACACAATAGTGACGTTGTAACGATCGGTGTAGAGCTTACGCAACAAACAAAGACTGGCCCATCCAGTACCGAGAATCACCAGGTTGGGACGATCCTTCATCTCCTCCTTGGTCAAACGGTGTCTGAATTTATCGGTGATGATATCGAGATCGTCGTTCACCAAGAGATCCAACAATGTAAGCGAGGCAACAGCAGTGGCTGCTGCACCACCCCAAAACAATAATCCTCTCTTCTTTTTCTTTTGGCTATTTTTATTATTATTTCCATTTTCATTGTTGTTATTGCTATTATTATTATTATTTTCAGTGGTAGTAGTAGTTGTTGAACAATAATTTCTAGAAATGAAAGATGAAGTGGTGGATCTTTGATTCAACAACAAATTTCTAGATCCTACTAATGTAGATCTATTTAATACTCTAAACATAATTTATATGGAAAAAGCTATATATATATATATATGTAACTATCTATCTATAATACTAATTATGAATTAATTAATTGTAGTTGTTAATAAATCGTAAAATAAATATGATATATAAAAAAATATTGGTGTTCTTTCTATTTTTTGTTTTTTTCTTTAAGGTGATGTTTATGAAAAAACCCTCCTTCTTGTTTTTATTTTTATTTTGTTTTATTTTTTTGATTTATATTTGTGTGTTGTGTTGATCAAACCATCAAAATTAGCCTTCACACACGGACTCACTTTAACTTAACCAGTTTGAAAAATTGATGCGTTTTTTAAGATTGGGGCTCACAAATTTGGTTTTTTTTTATTTTCAACTTTTTCGAACCCATCAAAACCTTATTTATTTTATTTCGTTTTACTATTTTTTTTTTTAGTATCAAATATATGACATACAAAAAAAAAAAAAAAAACTAAAAAACAAAAAACAAATAATAATAATGTTGTGTAATTCAAAATATAATATAAGTAAAAATGGTAATCTAAATAATATAATAATTAATTACAAGTCGGTTCCTATTCATATCTATATTAGATCTAATGTTGTAAAGTCCTGGAAGTAACTATGATCATATCTATATCGAAATCATATTTGAACCTTTAGATGAGTCTAATGATCGAGAAAGTAGCTGCGTACCTACTGAACTATATTTGATGCTAAAAGTTTATTATTTTTATGTTAATAAATGAATTTGAAATATGATAAATTGAAGTTGATTTTTTGTGAACTAATATTTCGATCATTATGGTGGAAGATTAAATCGATAGTTTTCAAGATAACTCAATATCACAAACGAATGAAAAATAAAAAATTATTATATTATTTAGATTACCATTAAATTAAATTAAAATCATATACTATATTATTTTATTATCTTCATACACACAAATATTAGTTCACAAAAAAATCAACTTCAATTTATTGTTTTTGAATCCGATTCACTCGTTTTTCATGTTTTTTTTATTTTTATTTTTTTGAGCAGTGAATGAGCAATGACAAAAAGTTTTTGTCATTATTGAAAAAAATAATAGCTATTATTATAAATTTAAATAAATAAACACTAAAATTTGTTAGTTTTTTTTAACTACGAATATATATAGATAATACAATAAAATGGATGATATCGAAGCAAGATTAATTGAAATGAAGTTCTACACAAACATGTTTTCAAGGTATGAATGAATGAACAGTAGTAAACTAACATTCATCAACCTAACATTAACATTAGACTAGAGAGGATAATAAATACACTGCTTTGTTTTATTCACTAGTCATAGTTAGTTTGTTAGTTAGTTTATTAGCTAGATAGTGATAGATAGAAAAGAACATGTTTATTAATAGGATAAAAATATCATATATATGCTATGTTATGTTATGTTAATTTATAATTTTAGTTTGCAAAGAATCTGTACATCAAAATGTATCTCGAAATATAGTGACAGTGATTTGTCAGTTGGTGAATCAGTATGCGCAGAGAGATGTACAGAGAAATGGGTAGAGACCTTCAAGAAAGTTCAAACTAAGCTCCAACCAGGTTCCGGTGCTCCAGCTGGTAACACTGCCGTTCCAGCTGAACTCCCAAAACAAGAACAACCAGTAAAGAAGGGTTGGTTCTAAATTAATAAAATAAATAACAAAAAAAAAAAAAAAACAAACAAAATCACAATAACTTTATCTATCTATCTATCTATTAACATATCAATAGATATCTATCTACATATCTATATCTATATCTAACTTTACATGTAGCACAGCGATGTATTTATATAAACAACAAAAGATTATTCAGATTAAGATTGATATTGAAGTTCATTTTATTAAATTTCATGTTAAATTAATTAATTAAATTTTAATTGTAAAACACACACACACATAACTTCAAACCACTTTATTTTTTGTTGAAATTATTAAAAGTTAAAGTAAACAATCAAGTTTATAATTATTTGTAATATATATATACTCATAGTTTGATAAATACTAGTAATTGATAATAGTAGTAATTGATAATGGCAACAATAAGAAGTTGTACTCATGCTGGTAGTTGGTACTCAAGAAATGGTATGATTGATTAACAATCTATCAAACTATGAATTTTAAATGTTTAATTAACTAACTTTATTGTTATTTTTAAAAAAGCATCTGAATTGAGTAAGCAACTCGACAATTGGTTAGGTGAAACTAAATCTATTGGTGAGAATACACGTGCTATCATTGTGCCGTAAGAATCTAATACATTCTCTTCTCACTTTGTTTTAGATATTAATACATTTTTCTAAATATTAATAATACAGACATGCCGGATATAGTTATAGTGGTAGAGCTGCTTCAAGAGGATACATAAACTTGGATGCATCAAAGTAGTAAGTATCAATCATTTTTTATATTAGATATCTCTAATATTAGTGATTAACAATGATACTATCATTCTACCATTCATAAACAAAGTAAGAGAATATTTATTCTTGGACCATCTCATCATGTCTATATGAAGACATGTGGACTTACCAAATTGACACATTTCGAAACACCAATCGGTAATCTTGAAGTCGATACCGAGGTTATCAAGAAGTTGGACGATACCAGTATATTCACATGGACAACCAAAGATGTCGATGAAGATGAACATTCAATTGAATTACATTTACCATATGTCGCTAAAATGATTCAAGAGTAAGTGATTATATACGATCGTTTATTATTGTTTATTTTACTTGATATTAATATAATAATTTGACCAATTATTATTAGTAAAAAGATAAAGATTGTACCAATTATGGTTGGTTCATTATCAAAAGATACTGAAGAACAATATGGAAAGGTGTTGGCGCCTTACTTTGATGATCCCGAAAACTTCTTTGTTATCAGCAGTGACTTTTGTCATTGGGGAAAGCGATTCGGTTACACTCACTACAATCAATCGGCAGGTCCCATTCACAAGTCCATCGAAGAGTTGGATCGTACTGGTATGTCAATGATCGAAACAGGTGATCCTCTCCAATTTTCAACATATCTTAAAGAGACTAAAAATACCATTTGTGGAAGGTATGAAAAAAAAAAACACTTAATTCTTTACTTTGATTAGATTAGAAACTAACATTAAAAATTTATTGTTAGAAATCCGATTGCTGTTATGTTATGGACTGCCAAGAACAGTCGTAATAAACACTCGATCAAGTCACTTCATTACGAACAATCAAGTCAATGTATGAATATGAATGATTCATCTGTAAGCTATGGTGTTTTGGCAATCAAACAAGATTAATCTAGTACTTTTGCTTATATTCATTCAACTTTATTCCTATTTTTTTTTTTGAATTTTAAAAATAATTTATAAATTATAATTCAGTGTGTACACAATTTGTAAATAATGCTTTTAACCAAATAAATAAATACATTATAATGATTCATCTATTCTTTATTCTTATCTAATGAACCTGAAAACTTCAGAATAAAGAAATTTCATTGGAGGTTTGTTGGATTTTATTTTTTTATTTTTAACAAAAAATTTAAATGATAATAGTGGTTGGATGTTACCTCGCACACAATTAATTAAAAATCAGAGTTTACTTTACTTTATGTGCATTAATAATAAAAGCAGCAAAAACCAAAACCACTCACACACAAAATCACATATTTTACAAACAATTGGTATTAAAGTTTAACTATTTATTTTTTCTTTATTTAATTATTTAATAATTCGTTCATATTATTCATAGTAATTTTCATAATCTGTTTTTTTTTTATATTTTTGGTTTTAAGCAACCAGCGAAACAAATTACATTGCGCAAAAAAAAAGAGATATTTTTTGATCATTCATTTTTTATATTAATTAAATATCAGAAGAGAAGACAGACATTCAAACAACAAATATATTATATTGATATTGTGTATAAAACAGAAATATGGCAGAACCAAGACCATTTAAAATAGTGTTTTTAGGTGATACTGGGTATGTATTGAACAGTTCATAGCATTGTAGTCATTAGATGAAAGTAGACTTTTATTAATATAAACTATTCAATGCAACTCTACTCTACTCAATTATAATTACTCTATTCAAGTGTCGGAAAGTCATCGTTATTCTATAGATTAGTATTCAATAAGTTTAATCAAGATTATAGACCTACTACAGGTACTGATTTCTTAAGTAAATCATTTTATGTTCGTGATACTGTTTGTAATGTACAGGTATGTATAGAATATTCATCGCTATGTATACACATGTATGATTATTTAAATAATAATAATAATAATTGTAATTTCAATAATAGCTTTGGGATACATCTGGTCAAGCGAAATATTGGTGTCTGACAGAGATGTTTTGGAGAACGGCAGATGCAGCGATTCTGGTGTACGATGTTTGCAATGAGAGTAGTTTTAATAATCTTTCGTTCTGGCTGAATCAGTGTAAATCGAAATGTCTAAACGAAGACGGCACTGAGAAATCGAATTTTACTTTCATAGTGCTTGGCAATCAACTCGATATTCAAGCGGACGAACAACTACAGAAACAGAAACAAGTGAAATATGAAACAGCTCAGCAGTGGTGTAAAGACAACAAAGTGAAACTGTTCTACGAGGTATCGGCAAAGGAGTCGACCAACCTGAAAGAATCAATCGTTAAATTATTAGAAACTTTATTATTAGATCAATCCAATATAGATGAAAAGTAAGTCATCAGCTAAAAGCAAAACAAAACAAAACTAAACAAAACAAAACAAAACAAAATAAGGAATAGTTTACTAATTTAAAACTGAATTTTATTATTATTAGCTCACAAGATAATGAAACAATTGAATCACCTTTATTACAATCGAGCAGAAATATTAATCAATTAACACCAATGCCGATGTCACCACCGTCGAAATCAAGTCCTACATGTCAGTGTTGTACTATAATGTAGCACTTCAGTGAAGAATTGTGGTTTTAAAACGGATCTTTTTTTTTATTTTCATTGGATTAGGATATGATAGTTTATTTGGATTTACTGTTGGTATCATGTTGACTACCTACCAAATATTCAAATCTCTTTACATATTACACCATATAAATATATATAGAGATACAGTAATTAATCAAAATGTATAAAATTAAATTGGAATAGATAATTCCAACTTCAAAACTATATATAATAACTATTTTATTATCAAATATATATATATATATCTCTATTCCATATTCTATTCAATCATTCATTCATTCATTAATTATATTAATATTTATTATTATCTAACTAACTAAAACTAACTAAACTTTCACACTTTTTTCAACAATGTTAGTCAACAATACAATAACGTCAACAACAACAACAAAGCAACAATACTTTATCAAAATATCGAAAATAAAATACTTAATATTAAATATACAATGTTGAATATTTAATATAGGTTTATTATAACTATTATATAGCTATTCTTTTTGTTTTTGTTTAAATTGATTTTTCAAGTAAAACCAATTCCTCTACATAGATTACATCGTTGTGTGTATTCTCATGACAATGATTAGGACATGTATAAATGAATATATTTGAAAAGTCTAAATCCGATGATGTAACATGATACACTTGTGTAATAATAGTGGAGAGCACTTGGAATTCAAATACCTTTTGTGATCGACACTTTTGACATGGATAGAATGCACTGACCAACTTCTTTCCTGCCTCTGACATATACAATGCTTCACCTTTAAATGAATATCTAATAATAAAATAAAAAATGTTAAAAAACTAACATTCTACCTTTCTTATTTATAACTATTATAATTACCTTACGACTTGATTTGGATTATGTGAAATTCTCTTTATGAATTTACTGAAAATTCTATCTTTAACATATTCATAGGTTTCTCCTGACCATTCGTCACCCTCTGCTGGATCATCTACATAGTGAAGTTTCGATGATTTCTTTGATGTCGTTTCTTTCTTCAATACTTCAGTGTCAATATACAAATAGTATTCTTCGTATTGATTACTCTTATCGTTTTCAAATGTAAACCCAGCTGGTTCACTATCATCTTTGTTAATTGATTCTTGTTGTTGTTGTTGTTGTTGGTTTTGAGTTTGTTGTTGTTGTAGTTTCTGTTCTTTTAATAAATCTTTCTTTTTCATTTGATCTTCATGTAACTGTTTATTTCTCTCTTGAATCAATTCCTCCAATGATTTCTCTTGTCCCTTTGATGGTCCTGTTGTAGTAGTGGTTGTAGTCGTGGATGTTTTAGAAGATTCCTTTTTCTTTGTTGAAGTACTTTCACCAATTCCCCAATCATCAGCACCTTCAGCTCCCCAATTATCATCTTCATCTCCGTTGTCATCATCATCATCTTCATCATCATCTCCCCAACTATCATCTTCATCCTCAGCTTGTTCTTCACTAATTTCTTTTTCTTCTTCTTCTTCTTCTTCTTCTATTTCTTTATTTTCATTAACTTCTGCTTCGTTATTGTTATTCTTTTCATCATTGGATAGTGTATTATTATTATTATTTTCTGATTTTATTTCATTATTTACTTTAATCATTGTTCTAATTACTTTCCAACTATATATATATTGATATAATACAAGGTTAGATAGGATGTCTTGGTAATATCTATATGAATGAAAATGACATTACCCTTGTGGTTTAGTATTACATTTTGTACAAACGAAAACATAATAACTTCTTTCATAATCTGGTAAACTATCTAGAGGTGCATAGACTTGCATTAGAAAAGCCATCTTTTCCTTATTACAGCTTGAGCATGTTATATCTCTATATTTAGCAGGTGGTTCTGAAAACCAAACCTTTTTTGATTTGTGTTAATTAATCATTGATTAATCGATACAAACAATATTGATACATACAGGAGAACCACCTATCTTTGAGATAAATCTATATTTATCAACTAAATCAATCGGTTCATCTACGAATCCAACGTAATTATTTAATTTACTCATATTCTATTCCTTTTATTTACTTGTTTATTAACAATATCGATATAATATCAATATTAATTAAAGAGTAGGTTCAAAAAAAAAACGAAACACATGACTCGTTTTTTTGGTACTTTTTATTTTATTTTTATTTCTTTTTTTCTTAATTTTACTTTGCTTTATTTATTTATCTTTTTTTATTTTTTTTTGTAATATATTTATTTAATATTTTAATATAGAGATTTAAAAATGGTATATATCATCTATCAATATAATTTAGAGAGATATATGTATTAATAGTTTGTTTTGTTTTGATTTTAGTCAAAGTTATCATATATTACACCTGAAGGACTTAGAATTGATGGAAGAAGAAACAATGAGATTAGAAGATTAAATATGAAGATGGGTATATTCAATAGAGCGGATGGATCAGCATATTACGAACAGGGAAATACAAAGATAACGGTGGCTGTCTACGGTCCACGCGAAGTGGCGTCGAATCAACGAATGTTGCACGATCGTGCCATCGTCAATTGCGAGTACTCACAAGCAGCGTTCAGCTCGGCAACCGATAGAAAACCAACACGTAAATCCGATAAACAGTCGTACGAGATTGCATCGCTCATCAAACAGGCATTCGAATCGACCATTCAGATCACGCTGTTTCCACGCTCGCAAATCGATATCTACGTGCAGGTGCTGCAGGCTGACGGCGGCCTGAAAGCGGCTGCTCTGAATGCCGCTACGCTAGCGGTGATCGACGCCGGTCTACCTATGCGTGACTTTATCTGCGCGTGTTCGGCCACCTTCATCGAGGGTGTCCCACTGTTGGATATGAATCAAATGGAGGAGCGTTCCGGTGGTGCCGATCTGCTACTCTCGATACAACCACAACTGGGTGGTGTCATCTCATTGAACATGGAATCAAAAGTACCACAAGATATGTTTGAATCGGTTTTGGAGCTAGCCAATCTAGGTTGTATGAAGATATTCGCATTGCTACAAACTGAAGTTAAAAGACATTCCGCAGATTTATTATCAAATCAAATAAATCCTAAATCATAACAATAATAACAATAACAATAGCAATAACAATAATTAAAAAATAAATAAAAAGTGTAAAAATGAAAAGTTAAACAAATCAAACATGTAATTCATTCATTCATTCATCCAAAAAGTAATAATTATAACAAACATGTATCTATAAAAACTACATTAGCAGTTTAGTTAATCTTTGATTATGTTCGATTACATTGGATTCATTGTAATAAATAGTGAAATCTATCTCATCAAGAAAATTCAAAAAAAATAAATAAAAAATAAAAATAATTCAAATGCCACATCAACAATTAAGCTATTTAATTTAAATTTTCATTTCATACATACATTTTTTTTTATTTTTTTATCATTAATCATATCGATAAGTTTGTTTATTAATCAAAAATCATTGTTTTATTTCAATATATATTTCTATTTATTTCCATATAATATATTCTATTTATTTTTTTAATGAATTAAAGTTTCCGATTAATCAAAAAATCATTGTTTTATTTTATATTATATTAAGACGATTCGTTAAATTACCTATTATTACAATAATACAATACGATACAATAAATACAATACAATACATAATCATTTAATATAGCTATAGTATTTATATATATATATATATAATTTTTAAAATTTAAACATGTTTTATAAATATGCATGGGATCCTAAGCTAATTGTAGGGCAGATTATTTCGGTTCAATGTGTATATTATATGTTCTTGGCGGTTTCATTATATGTTTTAGATTCTATATTTCTCGATGCACTCTCTTTAGATCAGATTTTCTCTTATCAATCTACCAATGTACATAGTCAACATGGTTGGGTAGTAACCATTTCTTTTTTATTAAATTCACTTTTTGGGTATGTTTATTAAACACATTATCATTAATTAACTTGTAAATGTATTATACTAATAATAGTATTTATATTGTATACGATTAGATCTGTTTGTTTAAGATATATAGTTGAGAGATCAAAGAAATGTTTAGATCATGCAGCAACAGTAACGTTTATACATTTTGTTTTTGTTTGGTCGTTCAGTGGATTCCCAAAGACAGCTTCATGGTGGATCGTTCAAATCATTGGAATGTTTATAATGGCTATTTTGGGAGAGTATCTATGCATGAGAAAAGAGATGATGGACATACCACTGTCGCGAGCCAAAGAACTCGATTCAACACCTATTCTCTTACGACCACCAGTAGCACAACTCTCTCCACCTTCACCTTCATTCAACACAGAGACCTCTCCGATTCTCTCTGATAGCACATCGTCTATTGTACTGGAAGATTTCGATGGTGATGAAAATAATGTATAATCAATCAATTATAATTAATTAAATAATAATAATATATATATATATAAAAGATTCCAGCAATTTAGCTAAATAATATATTCATCGTAATTGGACAATCAGACAATCAAGCCTATAGATTGGAAATATAATATAGCTGTGAAATTCACATTCAGGGTTACAGAACAAAACAAAAGTTGAAAGATGAATTACTACAAACTAATAAATTATTACAACCTATAATGACAAAATGTCAATATAGGTGGAGACCTTTCTCTTCTTCTCAGTCTGAAAAGCAATATTTTTGGACAACACTTTAAAACGAATGCTACTCTTTTATTTATTTATTTTTTTTTTTGTTATTCTTTTATGTTTTTTGAGAAACTAAGAGCTTCACAAATTTCGATTACTGATAGTCTTGATTTTTATTGTTTTCGTTCCCAAATTTAAAGCAAAGATTTAGCATTCCTTGATTTTGATGTAAAAATCTGGAACTAAGATTTACAATCAAAAAGGAATTCGTTTTGCACTGGTTTTAAAATCAAGCTCAACAAAAGATTTTTTTCGAAAAAATATCTTGAATAAAATTATAGTGTTGATTTTCGCATTTTATTTGGTATCGACGGAATCCATTTTCATAACTGAAAGAGTGTACCGATCTCATGTTGTTGCCTAATCTCTAACCAAGTGTTGCGGCATTCCATTTTTAATATTTTGCTACATTACTAAAATTTTTTTATTTTTTTTTTTTTTGATTTTTTTTAAAAAATTTGGATTCTTCTAAACCATCAATGATTTTTTGTAGTTTTATATAAAATCTTATTATTATTTACTGATATTAAAACAATATGTATTCACAGAGATACTATATTTTATTATTTTCAATAATATTATTCCAATCAGTTTTAGGAGCTTTTGATATTTTGAATTTTCCTACAACAGGACACAATTATGAATTTGTAAATTTAAATTTAACAGCTCTAGAAGCTGTTGAATATTGTAATAATCAAACTTATCTAGGAAATAAAGGGTAAGTAAAAATATTTAAAAAATGTAACGATACATTGGATAAAGTAAATTAATTTTTTTTAACAAATTAAATAAAATAGATATCTTGTAACAATCACTTCTCAAGAAGAAAACAATTGGTTAAAATCAAAATCTTTAACTTATTTTACAACTATTAAAGATTTTTGGATATCAGGATCCTCGTCATTAGAGGAGCCAGGGATTTATTATTTTGATTCCGGTCCAGAAATTGGTCAATTATTTTATAATATTTATAATGATACAGTAAGTATATGTAAACTTAAATTTGAAATTAAAAATAAATCTTTAAATTAATAATAATATTTAAAGTGTGGAATTTTTTGTGATTTCACAGTAATAGAACCAAATCTTATGTTTAAAGCGAATGAAACTCATATCCAATTTTATTATCCAGTCAACACTTGGAATAATAAGAATCCGACATACAAGTCACCTTTTATATGTGAATATATTGGAATGGAATGTAAGTAGTTTTATTACTTCAAGATAGGTCTTAATTTTAATATAGTTTTTCTTTAGTACCAAATATTGAACCGATAGGAACATTAGGTGGAAAAATTGAAATCACAAATATCCTAGGATGGAATTTACTAGGACAATCATCAGTATATACAGTATCATTTAATAATCAAAGACAAGAAACTCTTAATTGTCAAAATGTCAAAGTTTTGTCAAATACCTCTTTGTCTTGTGATCTTCCTGCTGGATCGGGTGCTTATAATGTTACGATCAGTAATGGTTCAAAACAACTAAAAACGAATTTTAGATTCTCACCTCCTCACATTTCGCTTATTGAACCTAATTTCACCCAAAATAGTGAAGTCACTATCTCGGGTTTCAATTTTGCAAATGATTCGTTTATGAAGTTCTATGTAACCAACAATAGCTATGAATGTATCAATGCAAAACAAATAAGAAATGGTGTTATGGTTTGCACTATTACTTTAAATATAAATTTCAATATTTCATTCCTACCCTTGATGGCTGTAGCTGATGGTTTAAATGGCCAATCAATTAAGCCTGTATTTAGTAAGTAGTAAAAATTAATTTTTATTTTATTTTTTATTATGTTTTAAATATTAATTTTATTCTAGCTTATAATAATAGATATTTCTCTTGTTGGAAATCAGCAACTTATTTCAATGAAACTTTGATCTATGCTAACAAAGTCTATCAAGAGGGTATGAAAGCATATATGGCAATTGTGGAAACATCTGATATGGCCAATTATTTCCACAGAGTTTGTTCCAATTATGGATCATCAAGTATTTATTACACTGGATTAATTTATAACAGCTGTAAGTACACATTTAAAAAAGTAATCGAATAATATCTAATGAATTTTTTCTATGTAGTCTTTACAGCGATCAATGGTCCTCAAGCAGGACAAAAGGTTAAATATTATGATTCAAACTATACAACTTTACCAACTCCAATATCTCCAGCATCAACCTACTACTCATATGACTTTATAACATTTACCTATACTGAGAGAATTGTTAATTATTCATCTGGTTTACTAGCAGAATATTATAGTGTTCGTAAGTATAAAACTATCTTTAGTTAAAGAAATAGTAATATTTTATTAATTTTAATTTAAACATTATTTAAATAGAACCACAATTTTCTACTACCAAAACCTATACAGTTCCAACCAATGGTTCTACTATTACCATGGATATTAATGTTTATGGTTCTTCATTGGAGCAGAGTTTCTTTACATTTAGAGGAGTCAATACCACTTTTTATAGAGATTATACCATTCAATCAATCTCTATTCCTATTCCAGCTGGAGCAGGTGTTGCCCCTTATCCTCTGAGTATTTCCACTTATTTTGGAAGTCAAATTCTTACCTCCACCAACACCCAACTCATACAATATGCTGCACCTGTGCTTCAAGGTTCATCAAAACCAGAGATTTTTGGTGATATTACAATTTCTGGAACCAACTTTAACAAAGATCCACAATTGGTTAGTGTCATGGTGAACGGGAACAAACCATGCACCAATCCAAAGATGCTGACCACTCACCAAAAAATTTCATGTACATTACCAAGTGGTTATGGAACTAATAGTATTACTATTAATGTAAATGGTTCTGTTTCCAATTCATTAAGTTTCACATACATTGGACCAACTATAAATGGTACTTCAAAGATTACAAACCGAGGTGGCAACCTAACTATTACTGGTGACAATCTTTTCGATGACCCAAATTTACTCTTGGTTTCAGTTGGATCTTTGAAATGCGAGAATATATCTATTATTAAAAGAAATGAGGTTATTCAATGTCAGATTCCTTCAATCAATAACAATCAAACCAGACAAAATGTTTCTTTATCATTGAATGGTGTTAAAGCACCATTATTCCAATTTGATCTCTCAACTTATCCAACTGTACTCTATTCCACTCGAGGATATTTCAACACTACAACACTCTTGACCATAGTTGGAACCAATTTCGTCAATATTTCTTTGGCTATCGATATTGAAAGTGAACCATGTTACAATATTACTTTTTACTCTGATACCAATTTGACATGTTATTTCAATGGTCAGACCCCACAACCAACAGAAGATTCACTCTATGTCAATGTATCATCTTTTGGTATTTCAGGAGGTGCCTTTGTTTTTAATTATATATTCCCCAATGAAACTAAATGTCCAACCTCTCCAGCGGGTCAAGTTTGTTTTGGTCATGGACAATGCTTTGAAGGAAAATGTAAATGCGATGATGGATGGACATCCAATAACAACTGTTCGATCCCAGGTACACCGAGTGATCCACCCATTATTGACAATGGTACAATTATCAATCCTTCAGGAATCAACTTTACCAGTGCTTTCATTTACATTCGTGAATTAGATACTCTCAGTCAATCGATCAAGGTATTGGCAATGTCAAGTGTAACCTGGTCTCAAAACAATGTTACCAAAGAGTTAACCGGTCGTTTCCCAAACAATGAAACAACAATAGTCAGAGCAAATCTCACAGTTTACAACGAATCAACAACCATCAATTTTGCTGGAGAAACTATATTCATGCCTGCCAATTCAATAAAATATATTATAGAGGTGACGGGCTGGAAGTTTGCAGATCAATTGAACACCTTGGAGTTGATCTTCCAAACCAAGACCGATGCAATCTCCAAAGATTCCTGTGGAAGGGATATCAAAGTAACAGCGGACAACAGTGAATCTGCCTACCAAGTAATCTCTGAAAATGCTATTCTCAATGTGAACTTTGCTAAGAGGCATTATGTTGACCACAGAGTTATGCTTTCCAATTATGTAGTGTTACCTTATGATGACCCTTTGGTGAACAAAACCGAGATAATCAATGAAACCTCTCAATTCACGTTGACAATCGCAATCAAGACCAGCAGTTTCAACGATTATATTCTAGTCGATCCAAGTATCAGTTCGCTGATTCTGACAAAGACAACTACCAACAATGGTTGTTCAAAAGAATCCAATTGGAAGATCATTGTAATTGCAGTCGTTTGTTCAGTAGTTGGTGTTGCCATTCTAGTGGCATCGGCAATCATCATCAGAAGAAAATTGAAGTGGCAAAGAGAAGATAGATCACTAAAGATGAGAGAAGTCTCTGCAAAAGAACAATAAACAAAAGAATCATCGTGGGAAATTATCTTGTTTTTCCTATTTTAATCTAGATTTATTATCTTTAGCTAAAAGATGTTGTCTACTCAGATCTTCATCTTCTTCGAATGAACTTAAATGAAGATCTGAAGGTGATTTCTGAATGTTACTATTGACTATCGATGCATTGGTTGTATTACCACCACCACCACCAATCATAGAAACAATATCGTCGTTATACTTTGGAAAGATCGGTGGTCTTGATAAAAATAAAAATCTACATAATATAGTTGTTGTACTCTTTCTATATGGATTCTTTAAACCTTTTAACTTTATACAACAATTTTAAGTTAATATAATAAATTTGTTTAAGATTTGATTGCTATTGATATATATATTTACATCTTCTCTGGTTGTAACATCTTTACATATAAGGTGTAAATGATATCCTCCCAAACCTATTAGAGTCCAAAACAAAAGGAATGCATAACCAGCAAGTAATAATGCAACTGGTGATTTTGCAACTGCACTAACAAATGATCCTTGCTCCTATTGTTTGTTTGTTTGTTTATATGGATGTTGTTAGAATCTAAAAGAGATTGTTATTCCTATTATAAATATGAATATATATACATTTGTAAGTTTGATAATTGTGACAATTGAACTAGCCATTGTCATAATCGATAGGCCTACTGCCGACCACACAAAATATACAAAGTATCTATAATTTCTTTTTCCAACACAATTGCTTATCCAAGGACAATGATGATCGAATTCCATAACACATCTATTACATTCTGAGCAATGTGAACATCTAGGTGGTCTATATATATTACAAGATTCTTTATGTATAGATAATCAAATATTAGTTACTAAATAGAAAAGAATCAAAACTAAAACAAACTACTTACTACAATAAAATATGGTTATCGATTCACCATTAATATTGATTGTTTTCTTTGATTGTTTCTTTTTCTTTATTGGTATGTTGTTTGGGTTTTGTTGTTGTTGTTGCTGTTCGAATGATGAAATCGAGTCTGAACTCGATGATGGATTGGTATCTAGTGCTTTATTAATATTATCACTACTGACTGTCTCTATATCTAAAAATGTACTATTACTATTACTATTATTATTATTATCTAATGGCATATCTACTGTTGTATCGTCTATCGATTTCTTTATTACTCTAGGTAGGTATCCAGGATCTATTGATCGTGCTACCAACAGAGTATTGACACTCGACACCAATAGAAATGCCCATGGTATAATAAAATAGTATCCAACTCTAACATATAATATTGGTATACTAAAACAAAACAATTCAATTTTAAAATCTAATTAGTAAGTAATCATCTAATTTAATAGTCTATTATAATTATTATTTAAAGTTTAAACTTACACAAAAGAAGCAAAGAATATAGAAGGTATAATAATTAAAGACAATGCAACTAAATACAAGTATCTAGTATTCATTTTCTATAATGTGTGAATATATTATTAATATAATATATATATTTGTATTTATATTTGTTTACTCAAAGAATGATTGAATGAATAAAAGACAGCATTATCAATGTTCATTATACTAATAAACCTTTAAAAATAATAAATAACATGAATAAATTAATTAGCAGTAACAAAAAAATCTTTTCAGAAAATGCGAATTGTTCTTTTGGGGATGCAGAAGTGGTTCTAAAAGACAAAAACTATTTTTTTTTATTTTTATTTTTATTTTAATAAACAAAGAAAATGTAAATATTATAATTATATATATTTATATAACTAGTTGAAGAATGATATATGAATAGTTGGAAAAGTTAATTAATAGGTTATTTGAAGAATGTTTGATACTGAACATCCATTGAATTTGGTGCAATAGCAAGAAAAGTTGATCATGTTGGCAGAGATTGAAAGTTTTCCACCATTCTTACAACCGTCATGCTTTACCCATCCACTCCATTTGATTAATCCCGGTGCTACTTTGGTGCAGGTGATAGTTTGATCATATTGAACCTGTCCTTGGAAGATGAATGATCCTACCCCATTGGAACCACTTACATCACAAATAAGGTTGGCATTGCTCTCTAGATCGATATCTGCTTTCACTTGAATCGATTTTTGGTTGTTATTGGTATTTTCATGATCTTCTCCGGCAGTTGCGTCGCTCTTTTCTTGATTGTCAAAACGATTGGCCATAGCATAAATACAGATACAACCAGAGCCATTCCATCCGCAGGGAAGATTATCACAGCTACATCTGATACAATTGGTGTATGAACTCTGGCAACTGGAATCTGAGCAATCGGTTGCCAAATTTAAATTGACAAATAATAAATTAATGAGTAAGGCAAATAAAAAATATTTTTTGAACATTTCCATTTTTTAGGATAATAGTTTTATAGAATAATTTTTAAATATATATTTTAGATTATATTAGATTGAATTAGTTATTTGGATATTTTAATAGCCCATTCATTCCCTATTTATAATCATGAGATAAATGTGTCAAAAATTAATTTTTTAAGATTGATAAGTTGACAATATATTTAGTACCACTAAAAAACTTAAAATTTTAAAAAATGTATGATAGATTCTCTCTTTCAACTGACAAAACAATAAATTATATCTAAATATAATCATTTGTCTAAAGATAAATAATTAACACACTTTGAAAATTAAAATTTAAAGTCCTTAATTTTGAGAAAAGATGTTTATTTTTTTTTAAGCATATACGAAAGTTAATTGTGATTGTATTATGATTTCATTTGACAGGTAATTGAGAAAAGCGGCTGTAGGAAGCCAATCGTTTGACAACATCGAATTTCAAAAGAATTCAGTAATTGAATAAAAGATTTCTAGGTATAAAGGCCAATTTTTAACTAAGTGATTCAATCTCTTTAGAAAAATCATTATAATAACTATTGAAGAAGGTGTATCTGGTTATTATAATATTTCAGTATTGGATATTGAGGTAAGTTGATCATCCTTGACTCGCTCTCTTAAATAATTGACAATACTTTTCAGAACTAAGAGCTAACTTTCGCATTTTTGTTGTACGAATAGACCAAGACATTGACGACCAAAGGTTCTTTCCCATACCCATATGATGTACCAATTTCATTTCAATATAACTCTATTGATCTTTTTAGTGGTCTGGCATTCACTACAAACATGTGACGTTAACAATCTTATCCCTTGAATAGCAATCTTTAATTTGAATGATCAAACTGCGTAAGAATATCAATAACAAACAGTTTTTAAACAACGACAACATCATACTAGCCACCAACTTTTTTGTTTTATCTATCTCTCACGATGATCAGTACAAATATCCTTCTCAATGGAATGAATTGTATGAATAGAGCTCTTGGTGAATACGATAGCTACTCTCAAATCTATTATGTCAATAGTGATAAACCAATCTAACATTCGCTCTATTCTCATTGGAGAACAATAACTATACACAGCGACAGCTCCCATATGCTCTCGGAGAGAATAGCTCTGTCCAACAAGTCTTTATCTATCAATCTTCTCTCTACTCTTCAAACCACCTCACCTCTATTCGCTGAAGGGCATAAATATGAAAGTGTTCTGTGCACAATAATAATAGTTTTTTTGTGTAAACAAGTTTTAATCATTTAAAATAAATAAAATGAATTTAATCAAATGCTTGTTTTGACCATATGGCTGAAAAAAAGTGTTCAACCAAATGAAAGTAATGGATCAGATGATAATAGTGATGATAATGATGATAGTTTAAAAAAAATTTTCAGTTATAAAACAAAAAAAAACTGATAAATTGGAATCTAGATTTTTTGGAAATTTAAATACATAATAAACATGTTTCGATTGCAATCATCAACACCAACTTTCTTATTATATATATATTTATTTATTATTATTGTTTATCGTTGAATTGAAGTATTTAGATATTTAGAAAATGGTTGAAATCGTTCCTACTATTGCAATTCATGGTGGTGCAGGTACAATTACAAGAGCCAATATGTCGGCAGAGATGGAGGCTCAATACAACGCTGTTTTAAATCAAGTATTACTCGGTGGAATGGAAGTACTTAAAAACGGTGGTACTGCAATGGATGCTGTTTGTGAAGCTGTTAGACTTGTAAGAATAATTAATAGAATGAAGATAGATATATGGATTGTTAATTAGTTTATACACTCTCTTACCTATTGTTGTTATTATTATTGTATTGTTATTGTTATTGTTGTTGTTGATAAACTAATATTATTTAGATGGAAGAAAGTCCATTGTTTAATGCTGGAAAGGGTTCGGTGTTCACATCGGATGAAACTCACGAGATGGATGCATCCGTAATGGATGGTAGCAACTTGAAAGCTGGTGCAGTCGGTGGTGTCCAACATATTCGTAACCCTGTACTTGCAGCTCGTGCCATCATGGACAAGACCCGACACGTCATGTTGATAGGCGAGGGTGCCGAAAGATTCATAAAGAGTGAAACAGATTTGGAAATAGTCGAATCATCATTCTTTTTCACACAAAACAGATTAGATCAATTACATCGTGCAAAAGCAATGAAAAAAGAAGAAGAACAACAAGAACAACAAGAACAAAAAGAAAAAACAAAGAGTAGTGTTGTTATACTTGATCATGATGGTGCAAATATTTTGGCATTGGATAGAAAGTATGGAACTGTTGGTGCTGTCGCTCTCGATGGTAACGGTAATTTGGCGGCTGCGACATCCACCGGTGGTATGACCAATAAGATGCCTGGTAGAGTTGGTGATTCACCGATTATCGGTGCCGGTTGTTACGCTAACAACAATAGTGTGGCGGTATCGACTACCGGTGTCGGTGAGACATTCATGCGTACCGTTGCATCGTACGACGTCTCTGCACAGATGCTCTACGGAAACAAGACACTCGAGGATGCTGCCAGCGATGTCATTTTCAACAAACTGCCGGCTGTCGACGGAGACGGTGGTCTTGTAGCGGTCGACAAACACGGTAACATCACAATGCCATTCAATACCGAAGGAATGTATCGTGGTTTCATAAAGTTAAATGAACAACCAAATGTATATATTTACAAATAAATAATATCTACACCAGATTAATATTTTTTTACAAAATATCCTCAGGTCAAAATGTTTGGATGGGATTTGCAAATCAATCAAATCTGTAATTTGATTTTTTACAAAAATATCTAAAAATGGCTTTATTTTTGTATTATTTTTTATTTTTTGTAAAACGAAATTTAGAGTTCATTATTATCCACCATCTTTACTAAATCAAATATATTAGATATATTCATGAATAGTAGAAATAATGAAAGTTGTTGAATTCCTAGTATTTCTTTCAATTGTTTTAGTTGGTGTTGTTGTTGGTCGGGATCAATGTAGATTCGCATCGCTCTACACTCAGAATCAATTGTATAACGATCCAACTGCTCAACAATCCTTTATAAACAATGTTTTATATTGGGAAGGAAATGTAAGATTATTTTAATAATAACTTTTTTTGCAAAAAGATTGTACAACTTTATTTATTTTTTTGATCTTTAAAGTTCCATCAACATTTAGTTGGTATTAATGCAGAATCAGCATATACATATGATGGACATACATTGGATTATGCAACTGGAGAGTTACATTCACCACTACATACATTCAGTGCACCCTCTAAGGAATCTATTCATCTTGGTATGATGGCAAATGCTTTGACCGGAAAGACATCGACCGGATTCGATGCTTCGATTTTCTTCCATCAATCGGTTGACAATAGTTCCTCTTCGGATCCATTCGACAATGTGATAACTACACTCACCCGTAAGATTACAACCTATGAGAATTTCAATAAGCAATTCCCAGGTTACGGTGGTTTTATGCCGTGGGTCAGCGTCAACAATACCGGTATCTATCCACTTCCAGGATATTGGTCAGAGAGAGTTCCAGGTTTGGATAACGGTGAAATGATTTGGGGAATGTATGCCGTAATTCAAGCACTCAAAGCCTATTCAGATCAAGCCGCGCTTCTCCAAAGATATCAAGCATACCTCGATCTGTTGACACAGAACGCCAAAACCATCTTTTACACCAATCCAGGATGGATCAATGCTGTAACTCATATCGATAATATCTATGCTCAACCAACTCCATCAAACTATCAAAACGATTGCAATTGTTTCTTAGATGATCCAGTAAGTAAATTCAATTTACAATTAGATTGGATAAATAACAAAACTAATATTATTATAAACCAACCAGTATGAAGGTGAAATGCTTACTGTATATATGGATTTATATTGTCAATGGGATAATATTACTGAGAGAGATCAACTTTGGATAAACAAAAGAGCTTTGCTCCAAAGTGTTGAATTCCAATCGCCAGAAGGAAATATTACTGTACAAAGAGGTTGGTGGTTGTATGTAGAAAAAACAGAACATTATCACTCTGGGAAAGTAAAGCCAATAAATATTAATTGTATTTATTTTTATTTAGCTCATCTCATGAACAATGGAAATATTTAATGTTACCCTATAGAGATATCGATATTAATAGACGTGTTTTTGAGAATGGTGAACGTGCAAGAACCTATTTCTCAAATATGAACCAATATCCAGGACTGTTTGCCTCGGTTAACAATGTTACTCAACCAAATACCTATGATCCAAACTACGATGGTGCAACTGGAATTCAAGAGATTGCATTCGAGAGTATTCAAACCAACGATGTATTTACACCATATGGATCGTATCCATTGTTTTTAGTTCAAGATGTAGGTATGTCACTTGGTCTTGCTTGGTATTACAATATGATTTCAGCCCCGGCAATGCAGAACCAATATGGTTCAACTGAATCTGGTAGCAATCAAGGTGATCTTATTTGTCCACTTTTAACTTGGGATTCAAAGAGTTTGTATTAAAAATTATAATGTACATTCTAAAAGAATGTAATCAACTAATATAAATTTTTCAAACATAGTCACCACTGTCTTGGCAATGATGGGAGGTGCAGTAGATTTAAATAGAAATGGATTAACAGTTGACAATAAAATTAATAGATTCTATCAAGTTATTGAACGTGAGTGGACTCTTGCTTTCCCTGTGTTGAATGGAGAGAATATTGACTTCCAACTTCCACCAGTATCAGTACCAAAAGTATTAAATGATTTTACTACTTGTTCAAATTAAGTATTAAATTTGCAATAATAAAGGTTTTTTATTTAAATTCAGTAAAATATATATTAATATTCTTGTAAAAAAATACATAATATGATAACTTATTATTATATTTTTTGTTTAGATTGATATATATTATTAAAATTTGGGATATTGCTAATATTATTATTATTATTATTTGGTAGAGGAGTGCTCACTTGATTGTTTGTGCTCAATGGTTCGGTTGGTTGATTGGCGTTTGGATTCTGAGCTCCCATATTTTGATAATAGGAGTAATAATATAAGTTATTATACTCAATAACTATTTCAAGAGCCTTTGTTAAAACCCTTTCATTAGTAGCCCACTCTCCATTGTTAAAGTGTAAATGTCTTGCAATGGTATCTATTAAAAACTTTTCTTTTTTATTTTTCTTCTTTAAAGGGTTCCTGGATTATTTAAATAAGAATTAGTAATTTATATAAATTTTTAAATATACATTTCTTAAAGAGTAAAAATATTACTTTTTAAATTCTTTTGAAGGACTTTTCTTCACATTCAATTTATTTTTTGAACCAATTTTAGGTTCTTCAATTGAATTTATAATTTGATTATTATTATTTACCATTTCTGATTCTTGTTGTTGATTTTTTTCCATTTTTCAAAGATTTTTTTATATACAAATATATATTTTTTGGTTTTATTTACAAATAATTTTTAAAAAAATAATTCTATTTAAAGAAATAGTGAATTTAGTTATATCTATATTGTTGATGAATTAAAATTAAAGTCAAAACCTTGATTGGTATTTATAGGTATCAAAAAAAAAAGAAAATTTTATTTATTTTAAACTTTCATTATAATATCTATGCCTCATAATGATTAAAAGAAAAGCAGAAAAAATTACCTGAACAAGTTGATACTTCTTTAAATTAATAATGATGTTTACATTTTGATGGGATACAAAGTAATAAATCACAATGAACTGAGACTATTTTGAGCTTAGATCATTCATAAGAGTTGTAACTCATAGGAACTTAACAGTTATGTGTTGTTGTCTAAAGTTTAAATTTGATCTGTCTCTATAGTGTGTACTCGAAATATGCTGATTGTTTATTTATTTATATTTAAAGTAAGGTACCATTGTCAAATCACTTGACCATAACCTCCATAAGAAATAGAAAGCTTTTTTGCCCACAAACTATCAAATCAATCATTAAATGAATCAATCAAACAAAAAAAAAAGTTCCATATTTGTCAATTTTTTTGGTGAGTTGATACAAAAAAAACAACAAAAACACCCTCATCAGCAATAAACAAACTTTTTTAATTAATCAGAAACTAAATTTATGAAGGCTATTCATGAATTTTTAATTAAAAATTTAATTTAAAAGAAAACTCAAAAAAGCCCCACCAAAACATAAATTTACATCAAAGAACTCCCACAAAACACCTTTAAGATGGCTCTGGTCATTTTGATTTTATTGATACATTGTTTTGGTGATCAAAATCCACTACAAAGAACAACACACTCACACTCGCACATAACACTCAATATATTTTACAATTTCAATCAGTGGGTGTCCAGATCTGACATTTGAAAACTGTAGAAAGCACCCACCCCCTCAGTGATTGTAGCTGGCATTAGTTCAATAGAATTTCAAAAAAACCAAAATCTGTATTGACTCTGTGTGTTTGATCAATTGTTCAGTCAGTCAGTAAGTCCCCCCAATAATTAAAACAATACAAAGTATTAGAGTGCTAAAATTAATTTATTTGTAGTATTAAAAACATAAAAAACAACATCTTTTGTTTTTATTGTTTTTTTTGATTGATTACTTTCATTTTGGAGCAAGAAGAAAGTTCATGGTAAGAGTTGAGTTGAGAGAGAGAGGAAATGAAAAAAAAAATAAAAAAGGTAAAAAAAAAAAGAAAAAAAAAAAAAAAGTTGTTGTTTTATGGTTGGTTTGTTGGTGGTGTTGGTGACCACTACACTTTTTCTCTATTGCACTATTGGGTTGTTGGAGTTTGTAAGTTTCTTCTTGCGTTTAAACATCTTCCATTTTTCTGTGACAATTTCAAATGTTCAATAAAATCGATTTGGTTAGTAATTCACACGATATTTGATTGTTTGAATATTGATTGATCTACAAAATGAGATTTAAACTTACCAGCTTCATAATCAATCTCAAAAATAACGGTTTCAACGAACATCTCATCTTTTTCGTTGGTTTTTTGCTCGATACTTAGTGGAATTTGTTTCAAATTACCTTCGTGGGGTGTCGGATTTCCTAAACAGTTTCATTAAAGGCGTTTAATGTTAATAATAAATCTTTGATATTTGATTGATCTAAACCAATCAAATGCAAATTGTTTTGAATTATTTAAAAAAACAAAAGTTAAATCTTACTTTTATCGACCGTTACAAATCTTTCAATAATCTGTCTGTTCTCGGGGGTCAAGTGTGTAGCAGTTTCTAAAAGACTCTCCAATGACGGTTGCTGTTGCTGTTGGGGTAGTGTTTGTTGAATGTCAAAATTTGAAAATGTTTGTTGTTGTTGTTGCATGTTAATATTTTGAAGTGGTGGTTGTTGAAGTTGAGGATGTTGTTGTAAATTAGGTAAAACACCAATTTGATTATATGAAATAAAAGGTTGCTGCTGTTGTTGTTGCAGTGGTGTTTGTAACTGTTGCTGATAAAGCAATGATTGTAAAGGTTGTTGTTGTTGTTGTTGTTGTTGTTGGAATTGTATTGAATTGTTGTTTGCAACAGTTATTGGAACATCAGGTATAACATTATTATTGGATCGTTGTAGCATGTATTGAGGTTCAAGTGGAATCGATCCGTTTTGCTCGAGTGCATTCATCAACGTGGACAGTCCGCTGAGGTCTGGCTCTCCAATTGACTGTTGCTGTTGTTGTTGCTGCTGTTGTTGTAGTTGTAATTGTTGTTGATGTTGTAACAAAGAAGCCGAAACTGTATCGGCTATACTATTTACATTCATGTGGTTAGCTGTAACATTGGGAGAACTAATGGGTGAGGAACTGTCTCTGATGGTTGGGGTAGTCTCTGCATCTCCAGCATTCTTTTTCTTTCTACCTGGGGTACCACCACCAGTCTTTTGTTTCTTTACAGAGGTCGCTGCAGATTCGCCACTACCATCATCTTTATTCTTTCTCTTCTCTGCCTTTTCTTTCTCTTTCTTTTCTTTCTTTTCTTCTTTCTCTCTCTGCTTTTGTTCTTTCTTCTCTTTCTTTTCACGCTCCTTTTCTTCTTTCTCTCGTTCTTTCGCCACTTTCTTTTCTTCTTTTTCTCTTCGTTTCTGCTCTTTCTTATCCAACAACATTGGAGATGTTTCAATTGATTTCGTTTGCTTCTTCTTTCCTTTAGAAGGATCATGTACATCCATTATATTTATATTTTCATGTCCATTATTATTATTATTATTATTATTATTACTTTCATGAATTGATTCTTCGATATTATAAAGTTGATGTTGTTTTTGAATTTGTTGAGGTGGTAATGGTTGATGCTGTTGTTGTAGTTGCTGTTGTTGTTGTTGATGAAGATGAAGATGTTGTTGTTGTTGTTGTAGTTGTTGTATTGGTTGATTAATTTGTTGTGTTGATGGATGATGCATCACATGTGATTGTTGTTGATATAGATGTTGCTGTTGCTGTTGCTGTGGCTGTTGATGATGTTGATGATGCTGTTGTTGTTGTTGTTGTTGTAAATGTTGATCTAATATTCCACTAACACTACTGCTAATACTTGGTAAGTTCAAATTCGATGGTAGTTGTGGTGATTCTTCTGGTTGATGTGTAGGTGATTGCTCATTGACAGACTGTCTTCTCTTCTTGGTTGTCTGCGTACTGGTGATCTCTCTAACCTGATCCAAATTCAGTGTCATCATCTTTGTCTTTTTCTGTATTCCTCTCTTCTCTGAGGAGACACCACTTCCACTGCTCGCCAGATGATGATGTCCACTCATATTCAATGACCCAGACATATTGAGTGGATGTTGTTGCTGCTGTTGTTGCTGCTGCATTTGATGTTGTTGTTGATGATGATGATGATGCTGTCCACTCATATTCAAAGAAGAATTCATCATACCTATATTACTATTGCTACTGTTGAGTCCACCACCAACGCCACTGCCACTGCCGCCACCAGACAAGTCCAGTGAGTTCGACGAGTGGTGTGTACGCGGTATGAATATATTGGATTTTCTCAGTGGTGAAGGTTGTTGTTGCGAATGATGTCCACCTAGTCCCACGCCATATCCGGATCCGCTTAACTTCAGCTTGTCATTCCTCAGTCCCGGACTATTACTATTGTTATTACCACTGTTACCACTGATATTGCCTATACTATTGTTACTACTGCCTATATTATTATTAGTACCATTATAATCACCACCTCCTATACTATAGAGATTCTGACTACTACTGGAACCAACACCACCGCCAATTGGTACTGACGACTTTGAGCCTGAGAGAGTCGGTGTAAAGCTACTGGGTTTCTTGGCAAACACCGGTAACTCTGTAATGGGTCGCTTCATCTTGAAATGTATATTCTCCACCACCGGAATTGGATTAGCCAATACCTTTGTATTCAAATACATATATTCCAAAGGAAAGAAGTTTGGTAAACCATCTTTATCCACTATAAAAAGTTCAACAAAAATAAACATATGTTAAAAAAAAAAAACAATGATAATAATAATAATAATAATTTAAAGACACATACTTTGTGATGATAATTTCTTTAGTGTACTGTTAAATGGTTCGAGATCTAGATTTACAGGTATTTTCTCTTCGGATACCTTTGAGAGTAGGTGTGCCAATGCTTTGAGCCAATCGTCTTCTTCCTCGTCGGCAATCTGTAGAAGCATATTGATTGTCATCTCTAGGTCTTGGAATTGCTTCTTTCGCAGACCGAGAAACGAAAACAACACTTTCAGACGAATGAGTGTATCGATCTTTGTAAACTTTAACAAACAAAACTGTAGTATATCTTTTGTGAGAATCGGTGCCAACTTTTCAGAACTCCAAGTCTCTTCCAACTTGGAAGTTAACCATCCTTCGACATCTCTATGTTCCATTCTCCAAAAATAACTAACTAAATCAATTAACTAAACTAATATTAACTATAATACAACAACAACAAAAAAAAAATAAACAATTTTTAAATGAAAATTAACTCTAGAGGTGTTATGACTAACTAAATGAACTATTGATTATATTATTATTTGAAATAAAAATTAAATAAAGAATATATTATAAAAACTATATATACATATACTTATATATATATATATAATTCAATAGTTATTTGTCTATATATTATACATAAATATTGTCAATATGATGTATTGATAATATGATGTGATTGATTTTTATTGTTAATAATGTTGATAAAATTTTTCAAATGAATTTCATTATTTTTTTTATTATTTTTTTTTTTGATTTTTTTTTTCAACGGTCAAATTTTGAAAATTTGAATTTCATTTTTTAAATTTAAACTTATTTTATATATCAAAAATCTCTCATCCTTTCTTTATAAGGTGTATAACTTTGAAATGATTGATTGTGTTAGTATCTTATCATATGAATTGATATTAGAAGAATGAATAAAATAATAAATAAAAAGTTTAACTTAATTGAACTTTCAATCCTCAACTGCCCTATTTATTGTCTACCCTAACAGTCTTAAAATTAAGTGATTGTAAATAATAATAATATTGATATCATTTACACTATAATAGATATCTAAATTAATAATATAAAAAATACAAAAAATGAATTGTCATTGAGCAAAAATAAAAATGGGATACATTGTTGATGAGATTTTTTGTTTTTTTTTGTTTAAGAATATTAAAAATAAATAAATTTGTATAATAAATAAAATAAAGTAATGGTAGGTAGGAAAGATTGATTGTTTAAAAGAGAGTAGAAGTAGTACTATACAAACATGTTGTTTTATTAACAAAAATTTGAACACATTGCACACACATATCAAAAATTAAAAAAGGCAGATTTAATTACAGATAAAGATATCAAGAACTTTGAAGAACAGTTGAAGGGTGTAATTTTAGATAGAGATAGATTGAGATTGGTAAAGACCATTGCCAACTCTTTTAGTTTCACCTCTGAGAATGTAAAGAAATTAGTTCAAATTCAACATTGTAAGTATAATAATAATAATCAAGTAATGAAGTAATGCTTCTTTAAAATCAATCACATTAACAGTCAATTTATAATATTTGTAGATGGTGAACCAAAGATTCAAACTGCAATTCTTATGTATCCAAATGTAACAGATAAACAAAACTATCAGATTGTAATCGATCAATTCTATGAAGAAGAAAAGAAAATGATAAAGAATCAATTGAATATAAAGTAAAGTGAATCATCATTAATTGATTCAATTTCATTATTGGAACATATTAAAAAAAAAAAAAACAATAACAATAATAATAATAATAATAATAATAATAATAATAATAATTGTAAATTTAATAATAACAATAGGTTTTTAAGTTCTATTTATTTTCTTTTTTAACAGTTTATAGTTATAATAGTTACTTGTTTTTTTAGTGGGTTTGGTTTGGTATGATGATTGATTGTATATGTTGATAAAAAAATAATTTTTGATATAATTAATAAATTAATAATTTATAAATTATTTCCAGCTGGTTTTACCACTGGATCCACCACTGATGAATCCAGTTACCGATTGTCCGGTAGCGCTTTGACCACTCGATCCAGATCCACTGATGTATCCAGTGACAGATTGTCCAGTAACGGATTGACCTGATGACTGACCACTTGACCCCGATCCACTAATGAATCCAGTTACCGATTGTCCAGTAGCGCTTTGGCCAGTGACGGATTGACCAGAAACACTTTGACCACTGGATCCAGATCCACTGATGAATCCAGTTACCGATTGTCCGGTGGCTGATTGCCCAGTAACGCTTTGGCCAGTAACAGATTGACCGCTCGATCCAGAACCGCTAATGAATCCAGTCACTGATTGACCGGTTACAGTTCCAGAACCAGTAACGCTCTGACCACTGGAACCAGATCCACTGATGAATCCAGTTACCGATTGTCCTGTGGCTGATTGTCCAGAAACAGTAAGGGTTTGGCAAGATGACTGACCACCGCCACATGATCCACCACTAATGAATCCGGTAACAGATTGTCCAGTACCGGTTTGAGTAGAGGTTTGGCCAGTTACTGATCCAGATCCACTGATGAATCCAGTAACCGATTGTCCAGTACCGGTTTGAGTAGAGGTTTGACCGGTTACTGATCCAGATCCACTAATGAATCCAGTAACCGATTGTCCAGTACCGGTTTGAGTAGAGATTTGGCCAGTTACAGATTGTCCAGTTACAGAATGTCCCGTTACAGAATGTCCCGTTACAGATTGTCCCGTTACACTTCCACTAATGAATCCAGTGACCGACTGTCCTGTACTGGTTTGACTTGTTACAGATTGACCTGAAGTAGATTGACCAGTTACAGATTGACCTGAAGTAGATTGACCAGTTACGCTTCCAGAAATGAATCCTGTTACAGACTGACCAGTGGTGATTGAGGACGGTCCAGTAGTAGATTGACCAGTAGTGGATTGACCAGTTACGGTTCCAGAAATGAAACCGGTTACACTCTGACCAGTGGTAATAGTGGTGGTGGCTGTAGTCGAACCAGAAATCATACCAGTTACAGTTTGACCAGTGGAAACTGGTCCGGTAGTTCCAGAGATTGAACCGGTAATAGATGATGTTGTGGATTGTTGCCATGTGAATTGGGTAATAGTTTCGGCTGTGGAACCAGTGATGACACCAGTGATGGTGTGACCGGTGGAAATAGATGAGTTAGCGGTGGTCGGTTCAATCTTATTCTTACACTCAATCAAACTGTAATATACATAAGCTGCATCGGCAAACGAAGTGAATTTAAATTTCATTTTATCGATTCTATCGTTTGGTTGGAGAATTACGTATGCTGGGTTGACAGAGGTTTCGTCACCAAAGCATCCAATATCGATACTATCAACATCGTCTTTATAGACAATGGTTTCATATGCAGCGGCGGTAGAGAAATATCCAACCATAGCATTCCAACCTTGCATATTCAGTAGTCTGCCTTGATTGTAAGCAGAAAACTCTACATGCTTATCACCACTAATTCCACCAATTAAAATACACATATTATCAACTGGGAAATCCAAATCCATTGTAATCTCTTTAATGTTTTATTGTTTGGAAAAAATAGAATTAATAATAATAATAATTAAAAAATAGATTTAATATATTAATAATTATTTTATAGTTACCGGAACTATCATCATCTGCGCAGCAAGCATGACAATGAGAATGTACTAAAGTATTTAAAGTGTTGGCTCTGATAAAGTTAATTAGAGTTTGATTATTGAAGCATGGATCCTGGGCAATCAATGTATTTCCAAAGTATGTTGGTTTTCCTGCAGTTCCATTTACAAAGATATTTGGAGGCTGAGGTTTTCCAGCCATTCCGGTTGTGGTCCAACCAACTAATTTTGGACTAGAGTTGAAAATTGGACAAAATGATGCTTGTGCTGGCACCAAACTAGGGTCCACTGGTGTTGGAATTCCAAAAACTTGGGTCATAGATCTTGGATCAATGGTTTTCTCAACTAATCCAAATCTACCATATCTTCTCTCGGCTGAATTGACCAGTCCAAAAAGGACCAGCAACAATACTAGTGAAATTTGAATTCTCATTCTCTTACACTCTCACTATTTACCTATTTTTATAATTATTCTTTTAATTGTTAGACTCGTAGATAATAAATCTATAAAATTGGTTTATTATTAAAAAGAAAAAAAGAATAAATATATAGAAATGCAATTAATTAAGTAAATAATTAATTCAAAGCAACAATGAAATCAATTCAATTATAATTATTCTTTCCTCTATAAATTTGGTATGCTGAAATTCATTATAGCTCACTACTTGCTTTCTATTAAAAACAAAAAATGAATTATAAAATAAAATAATAATTATCTTAAATATATATGTGAGTACATTCTTGCATATGAAACAACTCTTAAAAATCATATGTTATTTCATACTCATACTGATTGATTTGATTTTCATTGTTCAAACACACACCACACACACACTCACTTCCATCTCATTGATCATGAATGTTTGTGTGATGTTAGTGTAGAGTTTTAATTTTCATTCATTATTTATAAGCACAATCATCTTTAATGTTATTGCATAATATAATGAAAGTTTTATTTCAAAAAAGGTAGTGGTATATTTATTTATTTGTTTGTTTGTTGTTTATTATGAAGTATTTGATTGTTTGGTTTTATGTTGGGTTGGTGCTATTATTAATATTATTCAATTTACATTGGAGGAGGAGGTGGTGGCATACCGAATGGTGGAGGAGGTGGTGGCATATCATCAATCATTGGTGGAGGTGGTGGAAAGCTATTTGTCATTCCCTATTATAAAAAAAAAAAAAAGAAAAGAAGATAATAGTTAGCATTAGATTAAAAATAAATGAGTGTTGAGTTGATATTGAAAGATAACAATATTACTATTGATTTGTTTATAATAATAATAATAATATTGTTGTTGTTGAATCTGTAATTTGATTATATTTTATCTGATGTATATATAATTGATGTCAATTCGAATTTACTTACAGCGGCGGGTGGTGGTGGTGGTGGGAATGAATTACTTCCAGCCAAATTGTTACTGCTTATACTATGAGAGAGAGGTGCATTCGATACTTCTTCGACGGTGGTGGTGATGATGAATTGCTCTGCTTGCTCGGTGGCTGGTGGAGATAGTACCATGTTGGAGGGAGCTGGTGGTGGGCAATAAGTATTGAGAATCGAGAAGATCTGTTGGTTCATATCCTTCACGAATTGCGCAGTCTTGAAAAAGTTTTTCAAAGCTGGCTTATCGCTACGAACTGCTGCTGCTTCCTCAACATTCAAAATATGATAACAGAAATCAAACAATTCAAATCGACACTACAATGAAATAAAATAAAACACATTAATATTAATGTTTTGGATACCAAACAACACAACAAAACTTACTTGTTGACCCAAGAAATGAATAAAAGTACAACCGGCCCACATGTAACCGTCTCCAAACAACTCTTGGTAGGATTTGTCGTTTTCGTTGGTGAGTGGCCAGCATGTTACGAATTGGAGTGCACTCCAGAGACGATAGAACTCGGTGGATGAGTCGACGTTGATCACTCCGTTGTCTGGTGCGGTACCGGACCATTCGGAACGGACGTTGTTGAGAATCTGTGAGATACGTTGAAGTACTGATTTGAAGAGTGAGGTGTTGTTGTCGGCCGGTCGATAGAATTTATCGGCACGCCAAGCGTTTCCAACGATCTCGTTGAAGTACTCTGGTACTTTGGTGACATCGGGTTTCTGTTCGATGAGCTGTGCCAATTTCTGGAGTTGTGAGTAGAGTGGCGATTGAAGCGTTGGATCTTCACCGGTGGGATCTTGATACCACGATTCCGGTGTGAATCCAAGGAACGGTGCAGACTTGGTGAAGATCAGTGCATCGGATTGAACGAGTGCCTGATCCAAAAGGTTCATAAACACGATACTGTTTCCAAGCTCACGGAAACACTGGATTACCTCTGGACGCAAATCGGGATAGGTGTAGATATCCTTTAGCTTCAACTGGAAGTAACCGTAACCTCCTTCAGTTCCGTAGTCGTAGATCGGTAGTTTCTGACTTGGTGGCATACCACTCTGGATCAACTCACGACAGTACGGTGTGAGAACATTGTTGATTTTGATCTCAATGTTTCTGAGACACTCACCGATAATCAACGGTAGATTCTTGCGACCGACGACGTTGATCAGAGCGTGCATGTGTGGCATACCAAGGAAGCTCTTGTGCAACTCGGCAGAGTTGGCATAGGCAGCATTCAACTGCTTGTTTCCAAAGAGGAATAGCGGGTTGGTCTTTGGCATCGATTCACGTTGAACCTCCTCGGTGAAGAGATACGGTGCTTTGATGAAACGCTGGGTGATCGAATTGAATGTGTAGTTTGGTGCGAAATCAGACATGATCTCAAAGATGGTGTGAAGAGCGATACGTCCGTGGTAGGAGACGAGCGATGTCGACTCGTTCACTTCATTCAAGATCGACTCCAATGGATCCAACTGAAGGAATTGTGAGAGCAGTCTGTAGGTCAAACGGATGTTGATCAACTGAGTTTCGAGTTCGACGATCGATGTCAAATCCGATGCTTCGTAACGCGAGATGGCATACTCGATATTCTGACGCAGGTAGGTGTTTTGACGCTGTGCCAACAGGCCAGAGAGATCGACGGAACGTCCCAACAACATGATGTGTTTCTGACGGAGCAAGACATCGAATCTCGACTTGGGAATGTTCAACTTGCCCTGGAAGTGGAAGGTTTCCAGCTGTTGTTTGTAGCTCTTGTCGAGGAGGATGTTCGATGCGGTCGTCTTGAAGTGAGTGTAGATCTTACCGGACAGCTTGTAGAGCAGCTGATCGAAACAGAGATTCAACTCTGCCTCGATTTCGTCGTAGAGGAATCGTTGGTTCAACGACTGGAGAGCACGGTGTGCAGTGTCGTTGTACAATCCCAGTGGGTAGAAGATGTATTCGATGAGCGAGGGATCGTCCGACTCCAAGATGTGATCGGTCAGAATCCATGGCAACGATGTCTCAATTGGGAATTGTACACGATTGTTCAACTCCAAATAGAACTCACGATACCAGAGATCGGCAAGATCGGTTATCTGGTTGACGGTGCTACTGATGTTCAGCAGGTAGCGGTAGTAGAATGCAGACTTGTGGAATGTCTCCAACTCTTGGAATTGCGAGCTGCTAAACTCCTTCTTCTTGTCCATCAACGACGACACGATGGTGAGGATCAGGTCGAGTTGGGTGCTCGAGGGTGGAACGGCACGAATGGGAATCTGTGGCTTCTCTTCGCCACTGGTCGACTTCTTCTTGACGTTGGCGGCTTCGACTGGCTCCTGACCGTTGAACCAATCGGCGGCGAGATTCTTGAGTTGTGTCAGCTCGAGCTTGATGTGCTCCTTCTTCTTGGCGAACGACTTGATGGTCTCACGCAACTGCACCTGAACAAACTGTTGAATTTCATTGTGGATGATCTTCTTGATGAGTGGCTCCAGCAGGGATTCGTGGCGAGCCATCAACGAGCCAAGACCCTTGATCATAGCGATAAACTGGATGAGAGCGACACGCTCCTCAGGACGATAGTTGAACTTAACGACACGCTCATAGTCAAACTGTGCGGGAATGGTGTTGTCGTTGTTTGGCTTTGAGTATTTCCAGGCGGATTGCTGGAGGACACGCGACGACCAGTCCGAGAGGATACGCATACCGAGCAAGATCACCTCGGGAACATCGGTCTCTGGGAAAGGAAGTGGATCCTTTGGATTGCGGGATCGCGACGCACGGATATCATTCACCATATTGGCGAAACGCGCAGTGTAGTCGATGTAGAGCTGCTTGGTCTGGTCGACACAGTGGATGATCTCATAGTCGAGAGCGACCTTTGATTCCAAGGTGGAAGTTCCCCATGCCTTCTCGTCAAAGTGTGGCGAACGCTTAACCAGTGCTTCGAGGGTGATCTGCATGTCTCCGTACAGTGGGACGACCGGATTCTTTCTAAAGATCTTGGCGTAACGTGACAAATTCAACGACTTGTTCTTAAAGATGTTGTGTTTCGAGTCGTTCTCGTCGATCAAGAACAAAACATATGGCATCACACGCAACAAACAATGCTTCTCCGACGGCAATATATACTTATCGTTATCCAAATAGTCTGCGCACTGATTGACGATGATCGGGAGAACATCGTCAAACTTTTCGATATTATGCAAATCCTGCTTCAACGTTGTAGTGATCGAATTCTGATGTGCCAAAAACAAATATAAAGTATGATTCTCCTGTGTCTGATCTTCAGCTCCCGACATTTGTTTTCTCAAAAATCCAGATGCTCTAGAAAAATTGAATATTAAAAATTAGTTTTTTCTGGAAAACAAATAATTTCTAAACACACACACACTACCACACTGCCACTCAACTACTACAACTACTACTACTAAACATACCTTTTAAAGAAAGAGAAATCGTTGTTCAAACATGCTTTCATGTTTTTAAGTGCATCTAGCAGTGCGAAAAGATCGAGTAGTTTGATTAGATAGGATATCAGTGCTTCGGAGGCGATGATTGTTTCTTTCTTCTTGTCGTAGGTCTGTGCGAGTTTCTTGATGTACTCGCAAAACACTTTGATGGTATCACGCTGGAAGTACATAAAGTCTTTGAGCTTCTTGATCTCTGGTTCGAGCACTTCGAATGTGCCCTCGTAGATCTGCTGCTTGTTGGCCTGCTCGGAGGTCTTCACCTGTGGCAGCGCCTTGGAGCACGAACGATAGGTGTAGACCATGTTGATAAAGTGTTCACCTGCCTTGAGTAGTTCATCCATCTTCTCCATTGCGGCCATCTCCTCTGCCCATTGTGTATCGTAAGCATTACGGTCAAAGAATGCATTGCTACTGTACGAAGAGTATCCAACACTCGATGGTAACTCCTCGATCAACGATTGATCGTCCTGAAATGGAAATGACTCTAGAATGTCCACTCTCTCATTTGCATCTTGAAGTGAACTAGACATATCTTTATCTTTATCTTTTTTATATTATTACTATTATTACTATTGTTTAGCGTTGTTATTGATTGATTGAGTGAAAGTTGTGTATTTATGAAAATATGTGTGTTATAAAAGAAAAAAAGAAATAATGAGTAAAAATAAAATACAAAAAATAAAGATATTTTAAAAAAGGTTAAATGTTGTTGTTTTGATTTATATATATTTAATGTTACAAATGATTTGGAGGTGTATTGGTGATTGATTGGTGATTGATTTATTGCGTATCTATATAAAAAGAAAGAAGAAAATATTTAAATATTTTAAATCTATTTAATTATGAACTTGTTTGACCTTTCTAGTTATCTCTTTATTTAAAACAATGAATATTGTAATCACTTAAAAGTTGATCAAAATTGTTTGAAAAAAAAAACCACTATTAAAAAAATAAAATAAAAAAATTGATTTTTTTTTGAATAACAACAAAATTTTTTATTTTTTTTTGCAAAATTGGATCGTGTGTTGATTGGTTTTTGACACCAAGATCTATTTCGATTGTTTGCAAACACTCTAACTATCTTCTTCCATATGGATTTTCATAGTTGTTATATTTATTATCTCGGTATTATTAATTAATTAATAATATTATGTTCACCTCATTATGATCTATCTACTTAAAAATAAAGGAATATTAGTAACTTTTATAAATACACTATATTATATTATTTTATTTTTGAACCCTGATTGTACTTGAACAAACACACAAATTGATCTTGGTACTATTCTTTGAGTAAAGATACAAGTAAACAACAAAGAATTGTACTATTCAATGATAAATAATGATGTGTTTGTGGTAAAAAAAAAAAAAAAAATTACCTTTTTAAAAAACTTTTAGTTCGTTTTTTAATTTTTTATTTTATTTGAGAAGAGGTACTTTTTCAAGCTAGTCTTATTGTCATAGAGTAAAGTTAGTATATCAGAGCAGTATTAACAATGTTGACTGTATCAAACTATACTTCAAATACAATTCTGAGACATGGTTGTTGTAGTAATAGTGGTAATGTCTTGAGAAGTAGTTTAAATCTAACTTCGAGATTATACTCTACCACCAATAATAATAACAATAATAACAATAATAGTTCAAACAACAACAACAATAATAACAATCAAACTCAAAATCAAAATCAAAATCAAAATCAGAATCAGAATAGACCAAAGTTATCATTTTTGCAGGATAATAGATTACATGACCCATCGAAAAGACCATTGTCTGCAATCTTTAATTTCCCATTGAAGCAAAACCAACAAGCATCACAGGGTCAATCTAATAATAACAATAATAATAGTAATAATAATAACAACGCGAATACCAACACCAATAATAGTAATAGTAATAATAATGGTAATAGTGGTAATTTATTCTTTTCATCACCACTTTATCAACAACCACAATCCGATTTATTTAAGAATATAAATTTCAATCAACAAAAGAATGGAAATCAACAACAGAATCAGCAACAACAACAACAACAGCCGAATAACAATGCGACAAACAGTAGTAATAGTAACAAATCGACATTCCCATTCTCTGCGAAACAATTTCCAAATATACCACCTAAACATCAACAACAACAAAATCTACAACAACAACAACATCAACAACAATCACCTATCTTTAATATTCAACAACATCAACAATCGACAGCACAACCACCACCACAACAAGGAACTCAAATTTCATTTTTAAATCACTTGAGACAATTGAACCAGATGAATCAAAAGACATTACAACAAAATAATCAACAACAAAATAACCAACAACAACAACAACAACAAACAACTAAAACACCACCAGGAAACAACAACAACAATAGATTCAAAGATGCAAATTTCGAAAACTCTCAGAAACAATTTGAATCGTCATTGAATCAAAGAAATGCTGGTAGAATTCAAACACAAGTACTCACTGGTTTCCAAAATCAACAGAATCAACAACAACACCACCAACATCAGAGTGGACAGTCATCAACATCGCCAACTGGTAAAACTTCATCAACATCAGCATCATCAAAGAACAAGAAGGATATTCCAGATTCCAAGCGAAAGGATCAATCGAAACAGAGAGCCGATGGCTTTGAAGGTGAGAATGGCGAAGACGATGATTTCTCCGATATGTTTGGTCGTGAGCGAAGCGGAAAAGACAAGAAAAAGCTGAAGAAACCCAAGCGTGAATCCGGTGGTTACAAAGCGTTGAAGGCAAAGCAGCAAGCCGATGAAAAGCGTTCGGCACGTGACTTTGACAACGACAGAGAGTTTGACGACAACGAATTTGACGAGAACTACGACTATGGCGATATCATGAGACAACGAATCGAGTATGGCGATCACGACATTGAGGAGGGCGAGCTCGTTGACGACACTGTCTACAGCGCTGAGGACGTAGCCAAAGTCAAATACTTTAGCAAGGCAATCGATCCCTCCACCCAAGTGAGATTGCGTGTCAACCGTGCATGTCGTCAACTGGGAATCAAGAAGCTCAAGTACAACGAGGATATCGTTCGTCTCCCGAATGTCAGGGTGATCGGTACCGACAGCAAACTGGTAGCCGAGTCGATCAGTGGCAAGGAAGCAATGAAAATGGCCAAGTCACAGGAACAAGATCTCCTTTTGATCCACGAATCAAACAACCCCGAAAACCCAAGCATCGTCAAGTTTGTCGTCATGTCCAGACACGTCAAGTCCTACGAACTCAAGGTCAAAGAACTCAATGCTAAACTCAGAAAGAAAGATAAAAATATATTTGTAAGTTGTGATATAAATTGTTAATAATAAGAAATAATATGTTACTAATTATAAATATAATTAATAATAATAATAATAATAATAATAATAGTTGTCACCAACTATTCAAGCATCCGATTTGGATATGAAGATTAGAAGATTAAAGAGATTTTTAAAGGCTGGATTGAAGACAACGGTGTCATTGGTATTCCCTGCGACATTGTTTAATAAGGAGGTTGGTGATCTGATATTCAAAAAGGTGGCAGCACCCATTGCTAGATACGGTAAATTGGTGGAGCAGTCTGATACCGACAATAAGGTGATGGTTGCCAAGTTTGTACCGTTGTCAGCTGCTGATTTAGCAAAGATAAAGAATGAATTGACCTACAAAGATGAAAATGGAAATACAATTGAAGAAGAGGATGATGATGATGATGATGATGATGAATTTGATGAGGATGAAGACGAAGATGATGAAGATGAAGATGAAGAGGAGGATGAAGATGAAGATGAAGATGAGGACGAAGATGAGGAAGATGAAGATCAAGATGAGGACGAAGATCAAGATGAAGATCAAGATGAAGACCAAGAAGATGAAACAGAAATAGATAAGAAACAACAACAGGTACAACAAACAAAGAAAGAACAACCTCAAAAACAACAACAAACAAAGAAGGAGTTAATGGAAGAGTTGAAGATGAAGCAACAGGAGGAAAAGAAAAAGAAACAACTTATGAAGGAGTTGGGTATCAGTGAAAAGGAAGAGAAGATGATGGATCAAATTTTGAAGCAAGAGAAGATCAAGGAAGAAAAGAGGAAGGCTAAACTTGAAGCACAGAAAGCAGAGGAAGAGAATAACGACAACGATGATATAGACTTTGATGATGAAGACGATGGTTCCTTCAAGAAGAAAGGTCAAAACAAAAAGAATAAAAAGAAATAAACAAAACAATATCTATCATTGTACCTATACAAAAAACATATTGTTATCAATCTATTATTATTTTCATTGTTTATTCAATAACTAAATAAAACAGACAAACAGATCAGATTATTATTATTATTATTAAAAAATAATTAACTTTTTTATTTTAAAATTTAGGTATTCCCTAAAAGTTGGAGAGTCGAAATTTAACGACCAAGTTAAGTTAATGAATGAATTCCATTTCGGTGTATTTTTGAAAATGGATTATTAATACTAGGATTATTGTTGTTGTTTGTTGTGTTGTTGTAAAGAATGTTGATAGTTTGAAATATTATAATATCATACATTTGGTATTGTGAATTGATTGTTTGTTTGAATTGGAAAAATGATTGATTGACTGATTGATTTAGAAAAAATAAAATAGTTTGTTGTTGATTGTTTGGGTGAAATATGTTAAGCACAAGCTTTTGCTTATTTGTTTGATCTAATTAAACTGAAAAATTCGGAACGTGTACGAGAATCTTGTTCAAAGACACCGCAGACCGATGATGTTACAGTGGAGGAACCTGGTTTTTGGACACCACGCATCACCATACACATGTGTGAGGCTTCGATGACGACAGCAACACCCATTGGGTTGAGTGCTTCGTTGATGGCCAATGCAATTTGACGTGTCAATCTCTCTTGTACTTGCAGACGACGTGCAAAAATCTCGGCGATTCTTGCCAATTTGCTCAGACCCAACACCTTACGATCTGGAATATATCCGATATGGCATTTACCATAGAATGGTACCATGTGATGTTCACACAATGAGAAAATATCGATATCTCTTACAACGACCATCTCATGATGATTCTCATTGAAGATGGCACCACCAATAATTTCTGGAAAAATAAATGGAAAATAAAAACATTATTAGATTATTTTGTTTGTTTGTTTGTCTTGTGATATTATATCAATCGAAAACTTACCATCTACTGATAATTCATAACCATGTGTAAAGTACATCAATGCTTTGGCCATACGGAGTGGTGTCTTTTGGAGACCTTCACGCTCTGGATCCTCACCGATGCTCTCTAGCAGTGATTTTACGTTTCCTTGCATCAGAGCGAGTGTCTTCTCGTTGTTGACCGATGCGTCTCTGACTTTGGTCTTGACTGAGGCCAACAAGGCGTTGGTTCCGTTGGCTCTGTCATAGACTTCGTCTTCTTCCTCCTCTTCTCTGTGATGATTTTGATAGATCTTTAAATCGGTGTCCATTGTTATAAGTTGTATATTATATTACTAGTGTGTAGTTTTCTGTATAAGAAAAATGAAAATAAAAATGAAAATGAAAAATAAAATAAATAAATTGATTAATTAATAACTAATGTTTAGGTATATTGTCTATGCAAAAAAAACAACAACAATTTGTCAGAATAGAAAAAAATAAAAAAATAAAAATAATATTTAATAAATGGAATGAAAAAAAAATGTCAAAAAATTGTTTTTAGAATAGAAGAACAACCGAACAAAAAAAAAAACAAAGATCTTGTCTATGTTTAAATTAAGTAAAGTAAAATTAAGTTAGGTTTAGTTTAGGGAATGAATTATGATTTAAATTGATATGATTTGATTTGATTTTACTTTTAATATATTTATATATTTTTTGTTATTATGTATTTGTATTTGTTGTTTTTAATTATTGTTTTTGGCACTTAAATAAACCATTTACTTTTTTTAATTAAATCTTGGAAGTTGCGTGGAGAAGTGTGAGCGTGCAGAATAACCTTCTTGAACTTTTGGTGTGTGGTGGGGTAGTGTGGAATGTTGTGGGGTATCAAAGTTTTAAGAAAAAAAAAAAAATCAAAACTTTTGAAAAATGAAATCATGTCGTTGGTTTTTTGTTTGTGTGTGCTGACAGCATACATAAACTTTGAGCGATTCTAGAACAGAACAAGACACAACTTCATCGATTTGTACAAATAAATGAATTACAACTTACAAACAACAAATTAATCTTTTAAAAAAGATAAAACTTTAACAAGAAACAAATTCACCATCAAATTATGAAAATGTTAATGTAATGAAACAAAAATGGTTATTATTTGATTATTATTTTTAGTGTTAAAATGAAATGTAACAGTCGAGTGAATGGATGCATGAACGAATACTTTACTTTGAAAAAATAAAAAATATGTGTGTATGTAAGTTAAGTTATTTAATAACCGTTTTCTCGAACTTTTGATAATTATTTATATATATAAATAGATAATTTAATTGTTATTGTTGTAAGTGAATCGATTTGAAAGTGTTAGTTTGTTTAAATAGTTTCATGTTATTTAATTAGATATTTTCAAAGATCATATTTAGTGGCTCTTCTTAAAGAATCAAATCTTAGCTATTCCAATTCTGCAAAAGATGCTGGATACTTTGATGGAATCTGTCAAAGAAAAGTTGAAAATGAGAAAAATGAAAAATTTTGTTCCATCGAACAACTAATTCTGTAAAAGTGTAAACTTTTGATTACTTGATTTGCTTGATGATACTTATGATATCATGACTAAGCGTTGGTTATAATAATATCGTACATGCGGACTGGTTGATGTCGCCAATTCCATATATTATTCCGATATTTATGATGTTATTATATTGTTTTGTTTTTCATTTTATTTATTGTCATTAACAATCACAATTTTTTTACTTACTTTTATTTAGTTATTATAGTGTTATAATAAATGAAAAAGATAGATAGAGGTTTAAATGAGTGATCAAATGATGAACTGACTTTAAATACCTTGTTTTTTTTGTCTGTAGATTTTTAAAACAAATCGTTATGTAATGTTTCTTTATTATTTATTTATAGTAAGTGTAGATTAGGTGTAGTGTAGAGAAAGGGATAGATTACCAAATTCATACAAAGCCACCAATAAATGTCTTAAACCAATTCATCTAATTTATTAATTTTTTATTTTTATTTTTTCGCTTATAAGCAATCATTACCATATCCTATGACTGGAATCACTGCACTTCCATGTCACCATTAGTTTGATTACTACTCGAAGATTCTATATTTAATCGAATCACCAAAAAAATGAACATTCATTTCAAACAAAAACTTTTGAAAATAAAAATAAAACATTTTTTTTAACCAGTTTTGCAGACAATCAGGGATTTGAGCTAAAAAAAAAAGCAAACGATTGTTTTGTGTTTAATAAAAAAACCACGAGGTGTTTAAAGTTTATTCTGATGATCAGATTTGTTGTTGTTTGTGTGGCAGTTCACCTTACAAAAACAATTGTTAAAACAGACTATCAGTTTGACAAGAACATTTCAACACACAAATACATACATAATAAAGTCACTTGTGTTGAATATATACGACTTACAAACTCTATTTTTGAGACATTTAGAACATAAAAATAGAGTTATCACTGATTCTTAAAAGTTGGTTACAACAACACATTTTCCTCAAAAATAGTTAAATGAAGTATCACCTTTCATATTATTTGTAAATAAACATTTAAAAAAAATAATAATTGAAAATAAAATAAATTATTGGTTAATTAAATAATAAAACGAACATATATAGATAAGGAAGATTTTTATAATTTTTTTTAATTTATAATTTAAACTATGATCATATGAATGAGACATTAAAAAAAAAAAAAAAAAAAATTCAAATTTTGGCGCCAATAATTTAGAAGGAATTATGATTGAGCAAGCTTTTGACAATGTTTGATAGTTTAATATCAAGATAAGTTCTTTTATATATACATAAGTTACTATTTAAATATAATATCTATTGATAATGAATGATTTTTAAAACAATCAAAGCTTAAAGAAGAAAGAAAGATAGAAAAAAAATAATAATTATTTATTATTATTATTATTTTGTAATAAATATAGAAAATAGTATTAGAATATTAATAATATGGAGAAGTTAAAGAATAGATTATTCAAAGCGATCGAAACCAATGGAGCTGCAGGTGAATTCTCAAAGTTGGCAGCTCCCAAGTCGGAGGAGATGAATATGACAGAGTTTTTAACGTGGTTACCCAGTAAGCACCATGAGAGTCTATTCGATTCACTCTTAAACAATAAGTTGATACCGTTGATCGAAGAGGAACTACTGGTACCATCGACAGAGGATCAAGACATCGATAGCAACACCTCCAAGACGATATTGATCGATTCACTCAAGAGTTTCGAATCTATCATCCACATTTGTCATTGCTATATAAAGATCAAAGAGAATACCAATCCACCAGAGCAACTCTTTCAAATAGCAACAATATTTCACAGTAAGTTTATAAAGTGTTTCAAACTATATCAGTTCATTCCATTTTAATATTAAACGATATGAATGTTTTTTTTTGCAAATTCCAGGTTTATTATTACCAATGTTAAATTTACAGATGCAAATCGAATCAACCCAGTTGTTTTCAAAAGATATACTTTTGAGACTATCGAAATTATATGGAAAGATTGCCAATGAAATATCATTGCTTTGTGAAATCTGGTTCAAACAAGATCGTCCCAACAAAGAGGAACTCGTTCCTCAAACCATTGGTTATCTTGTTCAGAAAGCTTTTGAATCTACAGTTGTCGCTGGTATGAAATTTATATTTAGAAATTACTAGATCTTTTGATTTTATTATTATCGAATACTAATATTATTCAAAAACATTTTTAATAGATATAACTAGATTATATAATATGAAGAATGCGTTGCTATTGTTGGATTTGGGTGATGAGAGTTCCGAATCTATAAAGGAGTTGCTGCTGGGTTGCTTTATTCAGCCACAGTTTGTAAAGTCAGTGGAAGGCAAGAAGATGTTGGTATTCCTCTTTAGTTTGCGACCACAGTTTATCGATTTGATTCACTCTGTAGTCAAAGGACAACTGGTGTTGTGCAGTCGCAGTGTTTTGGAGGCATACGCCGAAATCTACTATAAGGCATGGCGTGCCGCTACCGGACCGTTTCTGCTGCGCATTGAATTTGGCTGCCTGCAAAACTTGGCGACTTGCGCCATTCATGCAGCCAATCCAAAGTTGTTCAAGTGTTTGATGGCATTCCTCCACTATTTCCACGAAAAGAAAGCAGTGGACAAAGCAATCGATCCGATGCTGCTGCGTGTCTACGAGCCGATTCTCTGGCGTTCGCTTGCCGTGGCAAACTCAGCGGTGCGCGCCAATGCAACTCGACTATTCATGGACTCCTTCCCGATCTACGACTCTGAGGCACCGACTCGTGAAGTAGACGAGCTGCTGCAACGCCAGTTTGTCGAACTCCAGAAGCTGCTGTTTGATCCGGCGATTGTCGTTCGTCACGCCGCCGTCCAGGGAACACTGTGTGGCGTGCTCGCCAAATTCTGGGAGATCATCCCGGTGGGAACCTCAAAGATCTTACTCACCAAGATCATCTATGATATTGCACGCGATCGTTCCAGTGGATTGGTGAGAGAGTCGGTATTCGAAGGAATCCGCTACCTGTTGGACAACCAGCCGCTCTCTCACAGCATCGTTAGATTGCTGCTTCCTCACCTCTCCAACCTGATTCACGACAGTTCCGAGCGTGTCAGATCGGCATTCCTCGATCTGCTCTTGTATATCAAGGGTATCTCCACCATTCGCTTCCTTGACATCGTGCCATTGGAACACCTTTTAGAGCGTATGGTTATGGATCACGCCAACGCTCCACTCTCGAAGAAGCTGACACAACTCCTGGTGGAAGCTTACTTCCCGGAGAATGAACATTCGAGTGTCATGATGAACCGGTGTATCATGCTGGTGAAGAGCAAGCGTGATGCAACCATTGGATTCTACTCGAATCTCGTTGGATTCGTCGAGTTGCGTAACATTGCCAAGTTCCTGGCGTACACCTTCAAGTATATCGTTGCATTCCTCGAGAAGCATCCGGATTCCTCTCTACTGCTGATGTCTGAAAATCAACCAAAGACCACCGGTAACGTCACCAATAAAACAGGCAAGAAAGGTAGAAGATCAAAGAAAGAAATAGAGAAAGAAAAGAAAGAACAGCTTAAGAAAAGAAAAAGAAAAAGAAAAAGAGAAAGAAAAGGAAGGAGGAGATGATGAAAACGAAGAAGAGTCAAAAGAGGCAGAGGATATTCAAATAACATTGGATGATATCGAATGTCTTTTGGAAATTGTAAATAACACTATACACTCTATCAAACCATTGTTGGAAGAGTCTGAGAATCAATATATTTTAAGAGTAAGTTAATAACATTCTATAATCATGATTTATAAGAAAGATATTGACCAACTTTATTTGTTGTTTCTATTTCTATTCTATAGGCATTGTTGTCCAAGTTTACAGATGAGAGCTTAACAACTTTGTATTTCTGGTTGTTTGGTGCACAATCACCTAGAATCAATGCAATGTCATTAACAATCGATATTGCTTCGTCAATGGGTGTCAATAACTATCCTATGCTCTGTGAATTCTTATTAAAGAATCTTAATGAGGTATGTATAATATAACAATATATATATATGTATATGAATAGTGTATGTATTAATGTATTTATATATATCATCGTTATTTATAGATTGATGAAACAACACCAGATAAACTTAAAGAAACATTATTATTATGTCTCTTTGACAATTCACCGAATGAAGTGTTGGAACTCATCTTTAAGAATATCAGTGAGCCAATTATATTGTTGGAGCAAATGTCGTTGAATCCAGATTCAAGTAGTAGTAAACCAAAGAAGACCAAGAAGAGAAAGAGTAATGATAGTGACGATGAACAAGATGATGAGGAGGAAGAAGAGGAACACGACAATGATGACGAAGTTACCAACGAACAATTGTTGGCGGAAGCATCCAATCGTGCCATAGTCTCGAATATATTCTTGAACATTCTGTTGAGGCACCAGGTCACTAGAAACAGTACACTCTCACAGCATAAAGTACTGGCAGAGCTGATGATGAGTCTTAGCAAGTACATGCCCGTCATTCAACAACGTCTCACTCTTTTGGCCAGTGGCAATGACAATGACAATAACGACAGCAGTGTTTTGATGTTAAATGACAAGCTATTGCTATCGCTATTCATCGTGTACTGTAAGATATTGTTCCACGTAGAAGGATCGCAACCAACTCTTCAAGCGGACAGCGAGTTGTTCCAGGACTTCTTTGAATGGGGAGGTCAAGTAATGTTACCGCTTGTCCAGTCATTCGTTCAGGATGTAGTGATCCAACCAAACAACAACAAGAGAAAACAACCTGATCATGACAGTGACGATGAGAATCAACAAGATGAATTCGATATCGAAGAGGAGAACGCCAGATTCAGGAAACTCCCGCAATTCCCGCTGGACATTGCGCGAACCTACTTGTTGTTCGTCACAGAGAATATGACACTTGGTCTGGCTGGACGTTCCACAATGCGAGGATTGTGCGAGCATGTCGAACTGCTTCTCGACCAAGTTCGCGAGTGTCGTATGATGTCTCCACTTCTCCCGATTGCCGCCAAGTTTATCTACCAACTCTACTATGCGACCAGTAACAACGGCAGCAACAACAACAATTCATCCACAACAGAGGAATCAGCTGATGGTGCTGGTGTTGCTGGTGGTAACAATGATAATGACCAGATGATGCATATCGACCGATACAATCTATTGTTGGGCAAGTTGCTGGTTGCATCTAGTCGTACGCTGCCAATGACCGGCCAGTCGGAGCGTCCCATACAGCTGTTCAAGCTGACCGACTTGATGCACCTGCATCACCAGCGAACCACACTCGGTCCATTCGTAAAACAGCTGCTCGAGCGTATCATGCCAGAGATTACAAACATTGGCAACAAGATTGCACCGAGAACCATTCAGACTCTGGAAGTACTGACACCACTCACCAACTTTATACTGTCACAACTTGCACGTAGCAGCATAAACATCTCGACACTAGCCGACCAGCTTTCATCGTATCTCAAATCGGAATCAATGTCCAAACAATCCATTTACAATTCACTCAATATCATTTCAATCATTATTAAAACATGTATTATTTATTCAAGTAAGTAATTTTAAAATTAAGATAGATAAAATAATATATAAAGATTATACTAATATAATAATAATAATAATAATATTTTTAAATCTAAATAGAAACAACAGATTTTTCACCATTACAAAACCTTTTGATTAGTTTCATTTCTAAACTTCCTCATCTTTCAAACTCTGATGACGATGACGACGATGACGATGACTCTAATAATGACATTGACAACGGACCAAAGATACTTTACTCAACTATTTTAGAGTTATCAAAGAATCTATTAAATGAAAGTATGAAAAAGAATAGTAGTAGTTCTGCACAACAACAACAAACTAAAAGTAAAAGAAAAGAATAAAATTATAAAAAGTTATAAAAAAATTAGTTTTTTTTTTATAATAATAAAAAACATTTAAATATATTTTTGTTTATAGTCAATGTTGTATTGTTGTTGTTGTTATGTTGTTTTCATTGAAAGTCAGTTTTACCAAAAATGATTTATTTGATTTTCTTTAATTATTGTAGAATAACGATAGATATTGAAATCTTAATATTATTATTTTTTTTAATCAATGAACTATAGTTTGAAGCAGATCTTTTTTAAAAAAGGTCTAAATGAGAATGCCTATTTAGGAAATAAATTTAGTTTTACCACGATGTTTCAACACTTTCATTGCTACATTTTCCTTCAGGTTTTTTTCAAAAAAAATCAAAAAATAACCTTTTTTAGAAATAATTTAGTTTTTGAGTTTTTTATGTTGGTATAAATTCAACATTACCACGTTTTAGTACAATAGATGGTGTGAAGTTATTCACATAGATGATATATCAAAGATAAATTAATTCTACACTAAACATTTACACTTAAGAGGGCTATTAGATAATAATTTTTATTTTAACACACAATTGAATGTTACCTACTCACCTCTACTACTTTAGAATATTCTATTTAATTTTTTGCAAATCCGATGAATAAATAGTGGGTGGTGGGTGGTGGTCAGTCCTTAGGACTAACCAAACCAAGCCTAACCTTTCATTGAACTTTGTTTCTTTTTAAATAAATTAAAATAATTGTTTTTTTAAAAAACAAAAAAAAAAAAATCAAGTAGCAATAAATAAAAAAGCTAGTAGTTGGAGGAGACTACCTTTTTATTTTTTTATTTTTTTAAATCTTTGATATCCAAATATTTAGAAATTCACATTTCACACCTCATATATATCAAAAAACTAAGGTATGTAACTTCTAGATCCACTTTGCACATTTTTATTTTTATTTTTAAAAAACCAAAAAAAAACAAAAAAACCTGTCCAATACTTTTAAAACAAGATAATGAAATCTGTAAAACAAAAAATAATTTCCTATTCTTAGTTTTTAAATTTACTTTTAGTATTTTTAATTTTAAATTTTAAAAAATATCAATTTACTTTCAATAATAATCAACAGTAACATAGGGAATATAATATAAAAAATTAACACACACACACAAACACACAGAAATATAAAAACAAACACACACACATACATAAATTAGACTTTACTAGTTTTTAGCTATTATATAATATTGTATTGTATTAATTCTTTTTTTTTATTTTTTTACTGCTATATCATAAATTTTTATTCGAATTAAAGTTACTGTAACTACTGTAGTTCAACAAACATATCTTTAAATTCAGTTTTTAATCAAAAATAATTATTTTTTTATTTTTTATTTGTAAATAACATAAGAATAATATTCTCTCGTTTTTGATAGATTTATAAAATTTTATATTTTTTTCATTGTAAGTCTTCAAAACTTAGACCTTTCGAAAGTCCAGAGTTTTGTTTTTTTTTTTGCTGAACTTTGAAAATCTAAAATTCTAAAAATAGTTAAACTAATGGTTTTTCATCTTTTATTTTTTTTCGTAATGTCTCTTATGTAGAAATCTGATAAGATCAAACATTAGATAATAGTATTATTTATTTTATCAATTGGTATGTACAATATTTTATTTGTTGAAAAACTAACTACTTTTGGTTATATTTCTTCATTTCACCGATTTAAATACCATCTTATTTCGATCTATTAATTCATCTATTTCAAATGACTACACAACACTTTACAAATTATAGAAATTTTATCAAGTAACAGGTATGAATGAATTCTTTAGAACATTCTTTTAAAATAATATTAGTAATTATTAATTGTTAATAGTTTTTTTTTAGAAAAAAACAAAATGTCATTTATTAAAAGGAAACTTGGAAAGAAAGATAAGGGTGGAGAGTCAGAGGCTCCAATGACAGAGGCACAAAACGATGAGGTTTTCAAGAATATAGATTTCGGAAAGGAAGGAGAAGGCAATGAACCTCCAGAGGATAAGAAGAAGCTATGGAGCAAGGTCAGTGGTCTCATTGGAAAGGATACTATGTCTCTGGTGTCATTACCGGTCTACTTTTTCGAACCCCTGACAGTTTTGGAGTCTCAGGTTGAACCGCTTCGTTTTGTACATTTTATTGAGAAAGCGTGTACATTGGAGAATTCTATGGATAGAATGGTGTATATTACTGCTTTCAATATTTCTTTATTTAGTTCATATGTAAGAACTGGTAAGTTTGTGTCATTTGCAAATATTATTTTTTTTTTTTTAACTAACTCGAATATAAAAAATTTTTAATTTCTAGCTAAACCTTTTAATCCCTTACTTGGGGAAACTTATGAATATATACCAAAGAGTGGAAATTATAGAACATTTTGTGAACAAGTTAGTCATCATCCACCAATTGGTGTTGCCGAGACATCCAGTGATAAATTTAATCTTCAACAAGAGTCATGGATTACTACCAAGTTTTGGGGAAATTCAGTAGACATTTTTAGTATTGGTAACAATCATCTTTATCTCAATGATTTTGGAGATCATTATACTTGGAAAGTACCACAGTACGTATAATCATTTTTTTCTTTTAAGTGTTGGTACTATTTATTAATGTTTTTTATTTTTTATTAGATCTTGTTGTCACAATATTATTATTGGAAAGATGTGGATTGAACATCATGGTCAAATGACAATTACCAATCACAAGACTGGTGAGAAAGCTGTATTAAATTTTCAAAAGTCAGGATGGTTTGATGGAACAACTAGAAAAGTCAACGGTGAAATCTTTGATAGCAATGGAAGAAAGAGATTCTTGGTTAGTGGAAGATGGAATGAATATATAGTTATCACCAAGTTGGATGACCATGGAGTCAAATTTGATGAATTCACCATTTGGAAAGCTGAAAATGATCCTGCAGTTGCCAATAATAAATGGAAATTGGGTACATTTTTACAATCATTAAATGGTATGTTTAAATAATTATTTTGTTAAAAAACTTTTTTAAATATTAATTATCTATTTACTTATTTTCTATAAAGAAATGACACCAGAGTATGAAAAAATTTTACCTCCAACTGATTCAAGGTTGAGATCTGATAGAAGATACCTTGAAATGCAAGAAAACAAGATCGCCAACAAAGAAAAGAATAGAATAGAGGAGAAGGAAAGAGAGAAAAGGAGAGAAAGAGAGAGAACTGGTCAAGTCTGGACACCAAGATACTTCAAGAAGGTGGACGATCCAGTGTTTGGTTATAGATGGCTTTTCAATGGAGAGTACTGGAAGGAAAGAAACGAGAGAATCAGAGCATTTGAATCACAAAACAATATAAGTAGTAAACTCAGTTCTATGAGTCTGACTGATGAGTCTATCTCAACTCCTGATACTGCTACATCTGGATTCAGTAGTATTTCTTCCAATGATGGATCTATGGCATCCGATGGTTTCAAAGGAGAAAGAAAGATCACATACACAACAACCAACACCAACACTGCAGGACATTCATCACATTGAAAAAATCTTAATAAATTAAAATAAAAATTATATTTTTTTTTTATATGTAATTATATTTAAAAGATATGACAAACAAAAAAAAAAACAATACTATAGATAAAAAACATAGTTTAACTATTTTTTCATAATACACAACTAATTGAATTGCAAAAAAAAGTGTTTTATTTCTTTGAATTCTCTTTCTTTCTAAAGAAACTTCTACTCAATGAATTGAATCCATTGTTTGGAGAAGATGTTTTCTTTATATCTGAACTGACTGATTTCGAAGGTGACGATGAAGATGATGGTGAAGAAGGTGATGAGGATAATGATGACTTGGTTGTTGCTGTTGGTACATTCAGTTTTTGATCGTTAACAAAATTGTTTTCATTCTCTCTGAGATCCATTTGGGATTGACTGCTGCCGCTGCTGTTCGATGAAATGACCATCTGTTGTTGTGACATGGTTGGTCGTCTCAGTGAGATGGATGCTGTGTGTGCACGATATGGAATCAAAGGATGTTGTCTAATGAATTGTGCTGCTCTCTCTTCAATCAATTTCTCCAGCGCATTTCTGATGAGTTTCTCTTCGGATTCGTAGTACTCTGTCTCTGACAGTGGGAAATAAATCTGTTTCCAAATCTTCATTTTCTTGATCGAGCAATCTGGGAATAGTACATCTTTCTCATCGGATCCTTGGTAGAGTGGATTGATACAATCGGCTATCACCTGATCAATGTCCAGCCAAAGACTAATGGTTTTACTACAGGCACTCAAACGTTCACGCTCCGTATTGTACAGGAAATTACCATATTTACCACTGTACGTAGCAACATATATGAGACGCAAGAAATGTGAGTTGAATTCGAATTTGCTTGGGAATTGGTTGATAATCTGATAGACAGCCTCTAAAAATTGAATAAACACTGGTGAACGTTCGTCTTCATCCTTTCCATAGACTTGTCCACAACGATGTGCAAACTTGTGACCAAAAGACAGCCATTCTTTCTCGATCAAAACCTGGAAACCCCGAATGGTACGATAGTATGGATCCAACAGTATCTCTGCAAGACCAACCAATTGACTTGTTCTGTCCCAACCATCGGAGCAATGTACCAACACATTGGAATGTTGAATGTGAATCAACTTGGCAACTCTGACAGCACCGGCCATAATCAACTTCATGTGTTGGAACCAGCCACTCGACTCTAGGTTTGCAAACCACTGACTCTCCTTGTTGATACTCGACTCCACTGCATCTCTTAGCTTTAACAATGAATTACGCATTACATGAATATTAGCAATGTCCATAAACTCGATTTCACAATTCGGGTAGTTTGTCATGATTTCCCACCCGGCACCTTTCGCTCTGTTACCGACGGCGTTGGCATAGGGACGCGCGTCAATAATATAGAGTGTTTTGTCACCGGATTGCTTAACACGATCTGGACTGGTGGAATTGACTGGTGTCGACGAGGAAGTCAGTCTGATAGCATTCAACATGAATTCATCTTCCTCACAACGATTTCTTCCGATTCCAACACGTGGCTGACTGCAACGTGTAATCGAGGTCTTGTTGCTCCAGTGACGATAGGAGAGCGCAGGTATTCTTCCTTTCGAACGGAATTGCGCAACTGCTTTCAAGTGTTCGTCGGTTATCGACTCGGGAACAACGATCATCGAGGGATACGAATCACAGAGATAGTAGGTGGTGTTGGAATGACTGAATTTCCAGTCGACAGAAGGCACACCCATACGAGCGTACTCATCGCGTGGACTGTAAACATTCCATCCGAGATTCTGAACCTCTGGACTTGTGAATTCCGAGCGATGGACGAAACAAAACAGCGAGTTGGAAATGATGTTATCCACACACTTTCTGACATCCTTCAATGCATTGGTGGTTTTATCGAATGACAACGAAATGGTTCTGGCATCTTTACAAAGGAAATTCAAACGATATGAAAAGTCACCTATCGATTTCTTCTTACCTGATTTATACATCTTTGTTATTGAATGAAGACTAAATGATTTCTATTAAATTTGGTAATTAACACTACAAGTTAGACTAAATATTTTCAAAAATATAAGATATTAATTCATTCTCATAGAACATACCTTGAAATGTTGATTTTGATGAATTCCATAGAATATAATTTGAAAGTTTGTTAAAAACATTGTACCAATGACGTATTCCTCTTCATTTGTAGAGATGTCTTTGTCTTTGTTGTTGTTGTTGTTGGAATGACCACTGTAGCTGTTTACATTGCTATTTGTTAATTGTTGTACAGAAATATTGTCGTAGAGATGATATCTACACTCTACTTTGAGTAAAAGCTTCTCACCGTCACACAACATAACATTGTCTGGCAGTGACAATGTTCTAATACTATTCAATTGATTTCTAATGTTTCTAATGATTTCACCGTATTTCAAAACAATAGTAGTCGATTGCTCAAAAGAGAGATGTTTCTTGATTGCCAATATCTTTTGTCTAATATTATCCAAACATTGTTGCAACACAGTATGTAGCGAATCAATACTATTAGTTGATCTTTCAGTAACTTTGGTAAATAATAAGATGAAGTTAATTAGTTATAAATTAAAACAAGTTATTTGATTGTTAGACAACATAAACATACTTTTGGAACCACGTTTTGATTGATTTGATTTTGAATGTATAATTTTGATAAGTTCAGCAGCAGAATCTGTTTTTTCAGTGGGGTTGTTGTTTGATGATTGTTGTTGTGTCATTAATGTTGATGCTCTTGGTGTGAATTGTTGTTGTGGTGGTTGTTGATTAGATGAAGATGCTAAATATGGTTCTGGATCGACAGTCTCTAACATTCTCTCGATATCAACGAGTGACTCTGCAATTCTCATTACCTCCTTGAAGGATTGAAGGAATTGTTTCTCTCTCTTCATCTCTGTAATTTTGAATATGATATTATCGATGGTCTTTGTAGTGATATCTCTCAGTTTCTCTAGTTTCTCTTCGGCTGCCGCTGTCGACACGGAATTATTTGACATTGTCATTGAGAAGGAGGACGACGATGAAGAAGACGCCAATACATGTGGCTGTACTGCATTGTGTGTCGTCGTTGTTGAAGCACCGTCTTTCGATTGATTCATCATACTATGATGTGATTGTATAGAACCACCTGATTGACCAATAACCGAACTACTTGCACTATTATTATTATTACTTGATGATGCTGCTCCTGATCCTGATCCTCCTCTTGGTGAATTTGGGGTCAACAAAGATGACAATGAACTACTACTTATTAAAGTAGGTGGTGGTAGTCTAGATGTCATCAAAAAAAAAAATTGAAAATAAAATAAATAAATTAAAAATAAATAAATAAATAAATAAATTAAATAAAAATGCGATTAATGACAATACAATGAATGAAATAGGCTGTCAATTATTCTTGATTGATTTTTTATGTCACAGTAATTTTACATTTTTTTCAAAAAAAAAAAAAAAAAAAAAAAAAAAAGAATTTTTTCATAAAAATTTTCAAATAAAATTAGTTTGGAGAAAAACCACACCCTTTTGATAATAAAAGTCATCTTTAAAGATGGGATTGAAATTGATCAATTCTCTTTGAAAATTGTTATTATTTATGTTTTTTGATTCTATTTTTTATTTTGCTTAACTATAGTTTTTTTTTAATCATCAAAGAGTTGAATTTTCTAAAAAGTATTATTTAACAAAGTGCAAGCTTCCTTTTGAATGTTTAGTTTTAATGTAGTACAACATTTTATTCTTAATAAAAATACAATTTCCTATTTGGTTTGATATGATTCGATTTGAAGTTGTTGAGATTGTTTGTTCTTCTTAATCAAAATCTGGTATTTCATCTATATCAACTTCGGGTGGTGGTTGTTCATCTTTTGGTCGTTCAGCCGGAATTGCCATCATCAATGGTTCACCGATGGGCTGCGCAGGTGTGACAATGGTGGGTGTATGTGGTTCTTTGACTTTGGGCGAGGTGCTCTCCAATAATAGAATTGGCTTTTTCATTCTCACGAGACACGCTCCACTTGTCATTCTCGACTTGCAGGGGTCGGGGATGTGAAGGACATCCCACTCGTTCGTTTTGACATTGTACACATGATTGGAGTTGGCCTTACCACACACCATGTAGATGTAGCCGACTTCATCCAGTTCGTGATCGAGTGTCTTACGATAGATCATTGAGAAAGGTTTGATATTGGGTGGATTATCGAGGAGTTTCTTCATCTTGGTGACTATAGACGTGCAATAGAAGTTGTTGTAGTAGTCGACAAAGTAGATGAGTTCCTTGCCGTCGAAACAGATACAATCGGTGGAGATGTGGAATCCCATGTCCTGGATGATGATGCTCACCGCGTGAGTTTTGACGTTGAAGGCGATCAACGAGAGTAGATGTTCCTTGCCGTCACGATTCGCCACGATATAGACCTGGTCGTTGTGATAGAACGAGAGCGCATGGAAGTTCTTGGAACCTGTTGAACCAAGTTTCTCAAACTGCTGTGTTTCAATGTTGAATCGATCGACTCTGCTAATGTTGGAACTGGTCGATTGTCCACCGGTTAAATAGATGTACTTGTCACCGTCGTAACAAGTTGTGATTGAGTATGCCCAGCTGATACCCGTGATCGGTTCCGATTTATCGATGCGTTGAGTCGTCATGTTGAAGCGGTAGTAACGATTGGGATGACCATCGAATATATAGACACTGTTATCACGTGCACATATAACCGATTGCAGTGTATATTTTGTTACAGTCACCGCTGGTATGATATCGATAGTCATCTTTTGTAGATCGAAAATCGAACAGTGTCCATCTTCAGCCACCGAGAATATATAATCAAATTCCTCTACTCCTTCACCTTCACCATTGTTTGTTTCATTTGATTGTTCATTTGTTGTTGTTGTTGTTACTGATTTCTCTAAATGAATACAATCATTTATCTTTGTCATTAGTTTGTTGAGGAGTGGACGTTCTATCTTGAGAGAGTATTGTGTTGGATCTTGAAGTTTGTTAATATACTCATTGTTGAATATTCTGAAATGTCTTTGGATTGTTTTCATCATGTTGAATTGCTCCTGTTGCTTCAATCTTTGAATCTCGTCTTGGTCCATTCCAGCGGTTTGTCCACCGCTATAGAAAAGTGTAGATTTGTGAACTTTGCAAAACTGCTCCAACGAATCACTTTGATTAACCGACTTTATAATTGATTCCATATCGTAACGATCGGTTGTATCTTCCGATTGGTCATAAGAAGAGGAAATTCCATCCTCACTGTTATAGCTCTCCCTTATTCCAACAGCGACGCCACCACTGCTACTATCTAGACTATCTCTAATATTACAATTGCTAGCGCTTAGAGCACTGGGTGTACAAGTGAATTTCAGATTATCGATCGTTTTGAACGATTGGATCTCTTGGAGTAGAACTTGTACCGCTTGGTAGTTGCTGTCTTTGGCGTCGACCAGTGACTTTTTCAGCTTGTGTTCGTCGAGCATCAGTGACTCGTGGAACTTTCGGAACTCAGTGGAGACATCGGCCACTTTGTCTTGGGTGAGTTGGTAGGTGGCTGCTTGCTTCTTGATGAGATTCCATAACAGATCCAACCGTTGTTTAACGACGTTTTCCTCGGGCTTGTTTGGTTTGGTAACATTATTTTGTTCGTTGATGATCGACTCACCGATGTGGTCGATCAGCTCTGTCTCTGCGAAATGATCTCTATGCTTTGGATCATAGATACACTTTGCACATATAGTTTCATTGCATCGATTGCAAAGAATATTTAACTCCACTCGGTGTTGGCCACATAGATTATCAAAACTATCACTAATATTTATTTTTCTTTTAAAATAATCAAACATAATAATAATATAAATATCTACTTTTATTTAAAAATAATTAATTAAATAAATAAATAGTTAAATAGTTAAATGATAATGTTAAAATTTAGATTGACTTGGTTATTATTAATAAGGTTTTTATTTTGGATCGATCTGTTGCTCTAATCGGTGCACCCAAATCTTTTTTTAAAAAAACAAAATAGATTTTTAAAAATTTAACAAAAATTAATAGAAAATATTTAGATTCATTCCAAGCATTGTGCACATTTTTAAAAATTAATCAATGAAATTTCAGAATAGCAAAAGAAGTGTGAAAGCAATAGATTTAGATAATAGAGAAAATGTAAAGAAAAGATAAAGGTGAGTGATTTGAAATGAACCATAAACTAATAATGTTGTTAGAGTTGAGGGTTTGACAAGCAATGGTTGGTGATTATCTTATCGGGTTTAGGACGCTCTCTCACAACACATGAAGACTCCATCATTCTCCAAAAAGTGAAAATTATCAACTTTAAAAGTAAAAATCATGAGAGAGTAAGACACCTGATCCTTTTATTTTATTTATGATTTCGGTTTAGGACGCTCTCAAAACACATGAAGACACCATCATTCTCCAAAAAAAGTGAGAGGCTTTAGCTACTTTTGTAAATACATGTATAAGATGATGTTTGAAATGGGCTACTAAATAATCAATTTGAATTGTTCTAAGATTTAAATCTATTTAAATTTATATCTGCTTTGGAAACAATTTTGTTTGACCGGGTGAAACTAGTAGAAGAGGTTAACAATAAACTCTGACCATCTACCTCTTTCACATACGCATCAGGCTTCTTGTCATAGCCAGTTGGTACTGAGACACCAATACTTGTTGGATCTTGTGACCACGTCCATTTGAGATACACTAGTCAAACTTCGAGATATCAATACTTCCAATGGAATCATATCAGAGTAGATATCTGGACTAAAAACCTTTGATAAATCTACTTCTTTCGGAAATTTTTTGCACATTCCTCAGATTTGGGAAGTCAATAAAGAGAAAAATTTTATGATGAACGTGGAATGATTCCCAAATCATTGGCATCTACAAACTCTTCAGATATGTTTGTATGGGTTAGAGAAATTGGTGTGGTGCGGGCCTTTGGGGTGATACTATCAATAGGAATGGTGTCAGCTGTTGTCCAAGTGGGGATACCAATTTGAATGGTAGCTGGAAAATTTGTTTTAGCTTCTCTAAGGGCCTTTGTTTCAGGATAGAGATCCGTGTCCAAGTTTCTTTTCATTCTTTTGCTTTCCTAATAAAAAATTAAAAAAATTAAAATAAAAATTAATTAATTATATTATATTAATTAATTAAAGAAATTAATTTAAATAATAGACAAATGGATTATCATTCTCATTATTATTGATACTTTTAAAAAAAAAACAATTTTTTTTCTTATTCGATTTAAAAATTTTTTTTTATAAATATAATTTATATAAATCAAAAAGAAAGGAAATTCATTTTAGATTTATTGATTGGTATTGATACAGATGATGAACGATCATTGATGATTGAAGCTGTTGAGGCATCAGTGCTTTGACCATCGCTAGAGTTTGACGATGTTAGATTGGATCTTTTGAGATCGAGATGATTGCTTCCAGTGGTGGTTGGAGATGTTGATAATAGTGAAGATGATGATGTATCTGGTGTTTGTGGTGTATTTAGTGGTTTTTTGTTGGTGCTTGGCATCGAAAGTGTATATTTTCTGTCGAGAGTGGCCGATGCCGGTTGTGAATCTGAACTGCCATCATTACTACTACTGTTATTATTGCTATTCTTATTATTGGTTGTTGGTAAATCTAAATCTTCGGTCGTTGATTCCGGTCGGAATGGCTCTTGGTCGCCACCGCTGACCTGTAACTGGTTGTTATTATTATTGTTGTTGTTTTGCATTGATGCGTTTGGATGACGCAGTGTAAACATGACACGATTCGATACACGTGTGGCAATGGTCGATCCAGTCTTTCCACCCCATTTGGTGGTGATGGTAGGCGGGTCGTATATGTGGCGCGCCGACTTGTTTTGACTGGTGGTGTCGCCGCTGCCGTTGGCACCGCCACCAGAACCGCCACCACTACTCACTGTTAAAATACGGTCATTCAAGCTGACAGATTCGAATTTGGATAGTTGTACTAATTGCTTCTGGTATTGATCGCTTGGTATGCTCGATCCACCGATTCCGGTGTTGGCGGCACCGAGCGCGTCCAGTATCTTTCCACCGACTCCGACACCGCCAATCTGTGGCGCCGACGACGACGACAGCGAGGGAAGTGACGGTAGCGATGGCAGATTGTTTACAACGCTGTTTCCCGACGATTGGCCACTCTGTTGTGTGGAGGTGCCACCGACGGCGCCACCGGCAGACTCTGCCGACATGACGTGTGGCGCCACCTCGCTGAGACGCTGCGTCAGCACATCGCAACCGTCCTCGCCAAACAATATTCTCTCCATGCCAAAATAGATTTCGTTGTATTTCTTCTGTAGCTGCACTTCATTCAACTCCTTGGCTGCGGTGAGCAGTAGTCGCTTGACACGCGCCAAATAGAGGGCACCCTCATAGGGGTTATCATTGGCATGGGCAATCGCAAGAATAAACAATTCATTCAATATCATATAATAAACTCTATACATATTCATAACAACTATCGATCCTGATAAATGACTAGTTGATCCTTTTGTACTGTAATAATAATAATAATAATAATAATAATTGAAGTTGTAGTTTGTTGAATATTAGCAACTAATCATGAAATGAACAAGTCAATCAATCAAAAATTTTGATCCTAATAATAAACATACATAAATGCATTGTCATATGCTGAAATCTGATTTAAAAATGCTTTAGATGCTAAATTTGCTTTTTCTGGTGAAAGATATTCTCGTCTATAAAATTGATAATAGTATCGATTAATAACGTATTTGAATGTTGTTGAAAATCTATAGATATACCTACACATTTTGAAATAATATATTACCATTATGTTGTTGTACTACCAATCCAACAATTGTCATTTTCGTTGTTTAAAACACTCTATATATATAAAGAATAATGAATTGATACCGTATTTCTTTTTATCCTATAAACTATAATTATATAATTTGATTATTAATAACAATGAATATGATCAGATATGATGATTAATATTGTGAATGAAATGAACTTTAAAATGAATTAACACAAATGTGATTGATTGAATGATAAAGATCAATTATATATACAATTTAAATAAATATACACTTTAATAAATAAATAACTAAATATCGATTTGATTTGTTTTGATTGATTTGATTTGATTATTGTTGTTTTGTTTTGGTTTGTCTTGTTCTTAATTCCTTAATGATTGGTTGGTTGATTGATTGATTGACACTGTGTGTTGATTATCGATATCCTACATTCAATTCCAAATTAATCAATTTCAATGATGATGATTTCTAACTAACTGACTGGTGATTGCTATAATACAAATATTAAATGCTACTAAATATTAAATAAATATATATTTAATTGTTGTAGTTGTAGTGAAGAAATAATTCTTGTTTTTTTTTTTTTTTTAGAAATAAATAATATTGTTGTTTGTTTGTTTGTTGTTCTTGTTGCTATAGATTATTGTTGTTGCACAACCAACAACATTCAATTCAATATTCAATTTTCAACATTCAACAACAACAACAGCAACAACAACATAATAATAAATAATAAACCACCAATATTGATTGTGAAGCTTTTTCTTTTTCTTTCTCACTCTCAATTATCTTATCTTTTTTACGATTATTGATAAAAAAGTAGTAGAAGTAATTGATGTTGTGTGAATGAATGAAAGAATGAAAGTGTTGTGTGGTGAGTTGTCGTTTTAGGGGGGGGGGGGGGAAAGAAGATCGATAAAAAGATTTGTTAGATAGACAGATTATGCTAAACTTAACTCATCACAACACACAACAACAACACTAAAACACAACAACACTAAAACAAACCCAAACATAACACTTTTTATGTTTATTCTGTTTGGTATGAATTATTATTGATTTTTACATCAACCATTGTTCATTTGTTTGCTTAACACTGCCTCTATTGTTGTGATATTCACTTTCACCAAATGGTTCAATTTGGTTGTTGGTATATATTGATATAATGTTGTGTTCTACATCTATTTGACATATATAACCATCCACATAGTGTTTTTTTTTTTTTAAAAACAGAATATAATATTTTTATATATACAATGTTTGCAGTTCGTTCAATAATAAAAACAAAAACACACATAATCTAATCTTTAATAAATAATGACTATGATGATGTAGTTCCTATACTACACTATTTCTATATAAATACTATATAAAGTATGAAAACACAAATAAAGTGTGATAGTGAAGTGATACCATTGTGTTTGTTATTTTATATTTTATATTTTATATTTTTAATATTTTTGTAATTTATAATTACCTTTGTTTTGTTTTATTATCTAACTGAATGAAGTAAAATATGTGTTATTGGTATTTTCGACGATGAGGATGATGATGAAGATGATGATGTTGATGATGTTGATGTTAATGATGATGTTGTTGTTGATGCTAATTCAAACAAAGCTAATATTAAACTAAAAATTATTATTTACAAATATTCTGTTGATTGCTATTTTATTATTGTTATTGAATGATGATAACAAACTAATTTAAATCAAAGAATAGTTTTTTTTTTAGCAACAAGTTGTTTTTTTTTTTTTTTTTTTTTTTTTTGAAGATATTTGTGATCATTAATTTTTTTTTGGGCGATTTTTAGTTGCTTTGCGAATAAAATTATATTTGCTTTCATGCGACAATATTTATTCGTTGGTATCCAAGTCAAATGTTAGAATTTAGTGATTTAACAGATTCAAAGATTAAATATTATATAGATTTGGAATAATATTCAGAGTGTGTTGACATTAACTTTATACTTTATACTTATTTGCTTTTTACTTTTTTACGTTAAAACGAAAAAAAAAAAAAACAAAAACAACATATTAAATATAACTGCTATTATATTATTGTTGTTTGTTAACGATGATATGTTTGTTATTATTATTATTATCTATTTTTTTAAATTGATTTGTTGTTTTTTTTTGTTTTTGGTTTAATTTTAAATTTTATTTTCATTCTATTCGATTCGATTTATTTACTCTTGACTGCTGGTCTGTTCTTTTCATCGATAGCAACGATATCGCTGACAGCCTGTGCGAATTGGATTACATTGATCGATTGCTTGACGAAGCAGATTGGGAACCAGATGTACCATTGGATGAAAGCAACAGCTGGGTGTGACACGAAATAGTATAGATATGAGAATAAGAAGAATCCTTCATTACCTGTTGTTGTTATATATTCAATATAGATGAATTTGTTTGTTAGTAAAAAAAATCATCAACATAGTTATCATTATCATCATATCATTATTGTTATTATTATCAACAACAACATACCAAAACACATAAAAGCCAAAAAGTATTTGTTACCATAGTAGATTCTCATGATCTTCAAGTGGTTGTCGGCGACGGCCTTGTGTGACTTGCTACCGCTTGACATTGTGCTGACAAGACGTGCGAAATGAGAGAGGATATCCAATACAATCAAAAAGATATAGATTTTAAGATGCTCTGGATAGAAATGACTGAGTACTACAATCAAGGCAGCTGTAGAACAACGATCTGTAACCATATCCAATAATGCTCCAAATTGTGAACCTATCATAATAATTATTGAATTGTTATATTTAGTTTCAATATGCAACAATTAAATGAGCGGTTTAACTATCAATATCTTTGTAGCTTGAACAACTTACATTGATTGAAATATCTTGCGGCATGACCATCGGCCATATCTAAAAGTGCAGACAATGCATAATATACAAAGAAACTTTGGTAGTCACTGTGCGAATAGAAAAAGGCAAGTGTTACGAAAATAACTCTGGCATAACCTAATTATTGAATAGTTGATTAACATCTATATGTTAATAAAACTGAGTGTCACATGTGATGATTGAAATATGAACAACCTTGCATTGTTCATTTGAAACTATCTATTTACCAATTAAATTTGGAATATAAAAATAAACACTTGAGACCATAGTTGTTTATTTTAATATAAATATAATAATAATAACAAAATAATAAAGATATATAAAAAAATTAATATAAAATGTAGAAAAACTACTTTAAAGGATATTGGATGAGTTTGATTGAAATGAAATACCTCCTTTTTTCCAATTTATATAATTTTTCAAAAAAAAAAAACAAAAAAATGTTAATTTTTAAAAAAATTTTAATTTTTAATTTATTTGATATTTTTTGTATAACTAGTGTGTGTGTGTTTTATCATTACAACCATTGAATTTCTGACATTGCAATTTAAAAGGTGGTTAACTAATTTTGGGAAATCAAAAAAAAACATACAACAAAAAAGAAATCGAACAACATGATTTCTTCCAATTTAAGTGAAAAATACAGTAAAATAATAACAATAAAAATAAATAATCTAATTTTGATATTTATTTTCAAAGTTTATTATTTTTTTTCGATTTCTTAGAAGATACCCACTGTATCACTGTTTTCAGGTAGTTTCAATTTGGAAACGGGTGAGGTTGATACCACTTTGAGGGTGTTGAGATCGAGTGTTGTGAATGTGTATTCATTGATTTTTGTCGATGTGACAAATGTGATGTAGTCACCTTGCCATGCAACTGGACTGATGTTTACGTTGGTACTGAAGCTGGTTGGCACCTCGAGGAACTGCTGGTATGTCTGTGTTTCGAGGTCGACAGTGTAGAACTTGAATGACGGTCCCCAGAATTGGGTGTCGATCAACACTGGTCGGCCACCACCGAATACGATCTCTGGGAATTTGAACTTCAAGCCAGCAAAGAAATACTCACCTACCACCTTTCTCGAAAGCAAATTATAGATGGTCAAATGAGATCCGGTATTATCTGTGAAATAGAGGATATAATAATTTCCTGTCGATGGATCGTAAGCACCTTCAGGATAACCGATGGTAAAATCAATTTGACCATTCAGTGTAATTATATCACTTTTTTTGTTTTTTGATGGTTTATTATAAATATTAGTTTAAGTTTGATTAGATTCTTTAACAAAACAATATTAATAATAATATTTAAACAAACATACGTTGATTTACTAGCAAAATCCCAAATACATAAAGTTACATTTGACTGACCGGAGAATGGAACTGAACCAACAACAGCAGCAATTTTATGAACTGGATCATAGGCATATGGTTGAATTACAATTTGGCAACCATCGTTTGGTTCAACAGATTCCATTGGAGTGAATACATTATTCTGTTTTTGTTTTGTTTTTATTATTTTTTTGATTAGTTATAGTAGTTTAAATATAAATTTTTACTTATTATTACTTACAGGTACAGAATATTCAATGATTTGATCATTGTTTTGAATATTTGTAACTAATATTCTAAATGATTTATCGGTACTGTTCGAAGATAAGAAACCATTGACATAATAAGAGTTGTCAGGTGTCTCCAAACTCTTTAGTAGTTCACCAGAGGTTGAGTTGATAGTTACCAATTTAAACTCATCCGATAATATAAAAAACTCTGTTGGTACATATGAATGTACGATCTATTAAAAAATAAAATAAAAAGCTTAGTATTTGTGAAATCCTTACTATTTGACGATACACAGAACTTACATTTATTAATAAAATAAATACAAATATATATAAATTGTTATTTATCATCTTTTTATTTTAAATATGATGTTTTACAAAAAAAACTTTGTAATTCAAACTACACAACGAACTATTAAATAGTTTAAGAGAAAGAATATCAAATTAATATCACATTTAAAATCAAAAGGATATATTAATTGATCTGATTGGATTTTTGTGCTTATCCTACAGATTTTTATAGATATTTAGATTTTTTACAAAAAATAAAATATTAAAGTGGATTGTGCTTTAAAAAAAATAAAAATATTATAAAAGGAGCGATATTCAATATGATACCAAATTGTGATAGGATGAAAATGGTTTTCCTGTCTTTTATCCTAGGAGCTGATGTCCGTTTTATACCCAAAAAAAGCGATAGATTTACTTTTTAAAATTAATCTAAACATATCAATAACTTTAACCAAAAGATATGAAATCACCAAATAGATATTTAAACAATATTAAGGTCACATGTGTATCTATCTATCAATTATATTTTCAATTGGACTTTCTGAATATCAAATTTTGGATAAAATAAATGTATTTTTTATTATTTTTTAAATTTTTAAGAAGTATATCCATTTTGATCACCAAATTGTGATTGAATTAATTGATTGTATGGGTTGACTTGACCTAGCCAATCTGGGTGGTCAGTCATTAATTGATTCCAGAGAACACCGGTGATCAAGAAGTTGGCCATTTGATTTGGATGGAAACCATCGACTGGTTCAATCAATTGCCATGTTTGTCCACCTTGTGCAATCCATTCAGCGTTGATTGCAGGGAATGGGAAATCGTAATATTGCATATCGAAATGAGTAAAGGTGTAGTTGCTAATGATTACGTTGTACATTGCCGAGAGTTCAGCGGCACGTGCACTGGTGGCATCACGAATAGTTTCATTTGGATTCATCCATCCCCAACATGGACTGAGTTCCAAACAATTCAAAAAGTCATAGACCTGTTCGTAGGTTGCACCGATTGGGTGAGTACGGTTCCAAAGTGAATCCCAGAGGACACGACCATCGGCCAAACCAACGAAAACAACATGCGAACCCATTGGCAAAACACTGTCCAAATAGTTCAATGACTTCAAGGTGTTGGCTTCGAATTCCTCGGTGGTTGTCATGTGATCCAAGTCGTGGTGACCGGAACAAACATCGTTTCCAATCAACTCCAAGAAGAGAAGAACTGGGTTGTCGGTTTGTTGGTGACGAGAAATCGATTGAATGTTTCCGTTGGCAACATTACCGGAACGAGCACCGTTGACACCGGCATTTTGATAGTCACGATGATTGCAACGATTACGCTCCAACAAACGCAAATAGATGGAATCGACTGGACCAGCTGAGGAGTTGGTATTCCAACCGGTGTAACTTGAACGCTCTGGCCAATCGAGTTCATTCTCCAAGGTGGCCATCATTCCGACGTAGGTGGTAGAGTTGATGTCTGCAGCGGTCAACCATTGTGGTGGAATTGAGAAATGAGCACCTGCACTGTCACCAACGACAATGGTACCCATAGCTCCAGAGTTTCCACACAAAACTTCTTCCCATGATTTATCTAAAGCATTGCTACCCATGATACCATTACAGTTCCAATCGATATCTGGGAAATTTGGATCGTTTTCAGCACCTGGATAGATGTGTTTGGCAGTGTCATCACAATCTTTTCCTCTCCAACTATATCCTCTGAAAGTACTATCAACTAAATTATAATTATAACTATTAATAAAATATTGATATAACAAAGCCTACTGAAAAAACAACACATACGTGAATATCTATCACCATCCAAATCTTCAATTGGTAAATGTCCATTTCCGAATTTGTTAATCAAGTTCTTAATCCATTGCCATGGGTCAATAGCATTGAATGCTGCAACCTCTGGTCTGTTGTAGTATGGACCGGTGAAGGTGGCTGTTACATTGTTGAATAAACGGCATGTTGGGAGAGTACAGAAACTCATGGAGTGACAGACATCGTCGGCACGTTGATATTGAGCAAACTTCTCAATAACATCATCTCCAAATGTATTTACTAACCAAGTACAAATGGAAGCAGCTTCCTTTGGTAAATATGAACAAATTTCATCCATGGTATGTTCAATTGATTTCTCATGAATAACTGAATATTGATCTACAAGATTTAAAATCTAAAAGAAAAAATAAAATTATATTAGTTTTTTCATTTAAATTAAAACATTATGAATTCATAACATCTACATACAATTGTACAAGCTGCGCATGAACCACCACCATTGGCTCCACCTCTGAAACCTTCTGCCAACTGTAGATCAAAACCAGCAAAAATCGATTGTTGTTGTGCTTGTTTGTTGGTTGAGTGACTCTCGTGAGTATCGACTGCTACTCTGAAAGAATATCCAATCGTCACCAACAACGATAATATTAAAATAGATTTAAATAACATTGTTATTTAATTACTATTGAATATATATATATGAAATAAATAAGAAAGGAATGGAATAATAAAAAAAATGAACAAAGATCAAATTCAGAATCAAAATGATTTGAGATTAAGCAAAAGAAATTTAAAAAAAATTAAAATTAAATAAATTTGTACAATCCTACGAAAATTCAATATACTTTCATTTGCAGCACACGTGAATCTGAAATGCCCCAAAAATTCAAATATCTTGGTGCCCCAATAGCATAAAAATTTTAAAAAAGATATTTTTTTGATCAAAATTTCTAAAATTAAGATTTTTATGAAAAAAGTTAACTTTTTCGAAAAAAAAAAGAATTTAAACTCATGATTGGTAAAGTTCTTTAAAGGAGTATCAATTACTTATTTGATTGTTATTTTTGTTTTTTCCGACCATTTTCAAATTAATATTTGCACTTTGCCGAGCATTTTTCTTATTTGAGTCTTTTACAATAAAAGGACTTGAGTTCATATAAATTTAAAGTTGTTAAAACTCTGTTTCGTCTTTTTAGTTTTTTTTTTCAGTAAAATTAAATTAATTATTAATTATTTTATTAATAACCACCTTGATTTCCGAATAGAGATTGAATTATTTGATTATTTGGGTTGACTTGACCTAACCAATCTGGGTGGTCAGTCATTAATTGATCCCAAAGTTCACCGGCAATCAAAAAGTTGGCCATTTGATTTGGATGGAAACCATCGACTGGTTCAATCAATTGGTAGGTTTGTCCACCCTGTGCGATCCACTTGGCATTGATAGCGTTGAATGGGAAATCGTAATATTGCATATCAAAGTGAGTGTAGGTGTAGTTCTTGATGATTTCATTGTAGACTGCTGAGAGTTGAGCGGCACGTGCACTGGTGGCGTCACGAACAGTTTCATTTGGATTCATCCATCCCCAACATGGACTGGTTTCCAAACAATTCAAAAAGTCATAGACCTGTTCGTAGGTTGCACCGATTGGGTGAGTACGGTTCCAAAGTGAATCCCAGAGGACACGACCATCGGCCAAACCAATAAAGACAACATGCGAACCCATTGGTAATATGGTATCCAAATAGGACAAAGATTGGAGAGTGTTTGCAGTGAATTGTTCGATGGTTGTCATGTGATCCAAATCGTGGTGACCGGAACAAACGTCGTTTCCAATCAACTCCAAGAAGAAAAGAGCTGGTTTGTCAGTTTGTTGGTTACGAGCAACCGATTGAATGTTTCCTCCGGCAACTTTGAATGAGTCGGCACCGTTGACACCAGTGTTTTGGTAGTCACGATGATTACAAAGATTACGCTCACGCAAACGAAGATAGATGGAATCGACTGGGATCTCTGCTGTGGATGGAACCCAACCGGTGTAACTGGAACGATGTGGCCAATCGAGTTCATTTTCAATGGCACCGATCATACCTTGGTAGGTGGTGGAGTTGAGTTCACTAGCAGTCAACCATTGTGGTGGAATTGAGAAATGAGCACCTGCACTGTCACCAACGACAATGGTACCCATAGCTCCAGAGTTTCCACACAATTCATCCTCCCATGAAATACCACTGGTAGTATTCATACCAACGATACCGTTGCAATTCCAATCGGTCTCTGGTTGACCTGCTACTGGTGATGCACCTGGATATACATTATTGTTGGCATCGTCACAATCTCTACCTCTCCAATCGTAACCACGGAAAGTAGGGGCATCAGAGAATCTATCAGCGTCGGCATCTAAAGCTGGAAGATGCTTCTGATTGAAATTATTGAAAATATTCTTTAACCAATCCCATGGACTCTCCTTGATTGGTTTGATCATACTAACACCACCGAATGGTCCTTGGTAAGTAGCAGTTACATTATTGAAAAGACGACATGATGGGAGTGTACAAAACCTAGAAAAAAAAAAAAAGTTAATGTCGATTCAAATTCCAAAAACAAAATATCTGATATTTACTTGAGTGCTTGACAAACATCATCGGCATGTTGGTACTCTCCGAAATATTGAACAATTTGATTTCCATACAAAGAAACAGCAAGTTGACAGGTTTTAGAGGCATCCTTTGGTAAGAAAGAGCAAATATCATCCATAGCTTTATCAATTGATTGCTCGTGAAGTAATGAATATTGTTCAACCAAAGAAAGAATCTAAATAAATAAATAAAATAATGATATAAATAAAACTATAATCTTTTTTTTTTTTTTTTTTTCTTCACCTACAAGAGTACAAATAAGACAATTATTTCCACCACCAGTGCTTGTAATACCATCATTGTTGACTGGGATGTTATGAGTTGGTCTTACGTTAATTCCAACTGTGACACTCAACAAGAGTGCAAATAAGAATAAATAAGTGAATTTCATTTTTATTTGATTTCTATCTATTCTAATCTAATATTATTACAACAACTAAACTAAATCAAATCTAAAATGATTTGAGAGATCAATGTGGCTATTCTACTCAAAATGAGTGGTGGATTGGAAAAAAAAACTTTTGAATCTTTAAGATTCGTGAAAAAAAGCATAGAAATTTCTTCAAATATCTGGGTGTTGAAACCATCTCTCACATCAGAGTGAATTTTCGACCCAGTTAGTCTCTGCTACCCCCAACCGGTTGCGATTTTTCAAAAAACACTATTTTTTACCAAAGTTCCCAATTCCAGTTTTTTTTCTTTGCTGATTTTTTTATAAATAAAATCAAAATAATCATTTTCGTAAAGTTGTAATTTATATTAACTGATGATTAGATTATTAATGAATTGAATTAAATTAAATTAAATTATGAATTATTTATGCAAAAAAAATGTAATATTATATTATATAATTTTATTATTGAAAAGGATTACCAATTTGAGTTGGAATTGTTGAAATCACCACCTCCTGAATAACTCTTTCCACCACCACCGTATCCACCACGACTGTTTCCACCTTTGTTACCCCATGAGCTTCCACCGCCGGTGCTGTTGCTATTTTTGTTCCAGCTTCCGGCATTGTTCTTGTTGTTTTCCCAGTGACCAGCGTTGCTGTTTCCACCACTGTTGTTATTCCAATTGTTACCACCTTCACTTCCACCACCGGCGTTGTTGTTTCCCCAGCTACGACCACCACCACTGCTATTGTTATTTCCCCAGCTACGACCACCACCGTTGTTATTACCCCAGCTACGACCTCCACCACGACCACCGCCACGACCGAAACTACGACCTCCACGTCTATCATCGTAACGATTGATACCTTGCTTGGAGTATTGCAGTAGATCTTCGAGGGCAGGTGGAATATCTTGTTTGGCACGTTGGAGGATCTTGGCGAGATCTCTCAAGTTGTTATCTTCACGACTGACGTAACTGTAGGAATCACCCTTCTTACCAGCACGACCAGTACGACCGATTCTGTGAACGTAATCTTCAATGTTGTTTGGGAAATCGAGATTGACGACAGCCTTTACGTTGGGAATGTCGAGACCACGCGCGGCAACGTCAGTGGCAATCATAATTGGGATACGATGGCTCTTAAAGTTGGCGAGACCACGCTCACGTTGGTATTGCTCCTTGCCAGAGTGCATGACGACGCTGTTCATTTGGAACTCGTTGTAGAGATACTCGCTGAAATGATCGCAATTACGCTTTTGATTGCAGAAAACGATGATCAAGTTATCCTTTTTGTCTTGATTGTGAATCTCTTGAATCTGTTCACCGACCATCTTGGCGACGTCTGGACGTGTCATGCCAGTGGTGGCGACTATATGTTGGTGGACGTTGATGTTGGCCGACAATTCAGTGTTACCGACGGTGACACGAACCGGCTTGTTGAGGAAACGATTCGAGAGTGACTCGACTTCACGTGGCCATGTAGCAGAGAACATCAGAGTTTGACGCTCCTTTGGCACCTGATTGATGATCTTTTCGATCTGTGGCATGAAACCCATGTCCAACATACGATCGGCTTCGTCGAGCACGAGGAACTTGACGGTTTCCAAGTGGTTTGGAGTGAGCAGATCGTTGAGACGACCTGGTGTACCAACGATAATGTCGACACCCGAACGCAGACTACGCACTTGCAGTCCCTTTCCGGTACCTCCGTAGACACAGAGTTGACGGATAGCAGTTCCCTTGACGACGTTCTTGCATACCTCTTCGATCTGTTGAGCGAGCTCACGAGTTGGTGCCATGACCAGCGCGAGTGGAGTAGCTCCGTACTTACGCTTTGGATGCTTGATAATCTCCATCAGCGCGGGCAACAAGAATGCCAATGTCTTACCGGAACCGGTAGCGGCCAGACCGACCAAGTCGGCACCGGTAGAAACGATTGGCCAGGCTTGTGCTTGGATAACCGAGGGTTTAGTAAATGTTTGGAATGCTGGTTGGAAAATCTTTGGGATCTCGATATCTTTGAAAAATTGGATTGGGTCTGGTTTGATGTGACCCTCTACTTTAACGTTGTGTTCTCTTCTCCACTCTTCGGGTGACAAAACTTTGTTGTCTGTAGTGGTAGATGATTCTTCTTCATCACTTTCATTGTTGTTGTTCGATGATGAGGATGTGATATTCTGTACTCTTTGTTTCTTTTGTGTTTGATTATCGTATTGAACATCTTCTTCCTCCTCTTCATCATATCTTCTCTTATTATTAGTCATTGTCGATGGCATCTATTATGAAAAAAAAGAAAAAAAGAAAATAAGAAAAAAAAGAAAGAAAAAAGTAGCAACAAATGTTAGTTTATCATCATTATTTTACTGATTAAAAAATCAAATCTGATTTTAAATACATACTTTCTTCTATATAAATATTATATATAGTTTGGCAAAATATATTTTAAAAAAGGTAATAAATAAAGTAAAAAAAAAAAGGGATTGATACAAATAAATAATTGTATAAAATAAAATAGGTCAAAAAAAAACCCGAGCGAACGATTTATCAAAACTATTTTTGCAAAAAAATGTGAAAAAATAAATAAAAATAAATAAATGGTACAAAAAAAAAAACAAAAAATCAAAATTAATTAAATTAAATTATTGTGAAGTGGTTGGTGTGTGTTAGTTTAATTATCTCAAAACAAAAACATTCAATTTTTTTTTAAGCTAACCGTCAACTAAAGTCGAGTCAAGTTCTTCCAACTTTCGATAAATCTTCTTAATTAAACAGTTTGTTTGAAGTTAACTTAATTGATTAAACATATTATTATTTGTTTTTTTGTTGCTATTTAAATATTTGATAGAATATTTTTTAATACATAAAGATGATGATCGGCTGCAATTATTGGTCTGTCTTCGTTGTTGTTGTTGGTTTGTGCCCAGCTGATGTGATTTGATTTGAATTCGGTGGCTGCAATCGCAGAGATTTCCAGTTGGTGAAGTAGTTTGCCAGTTGCTGTCTGTCGGAATTGGAGGAGTGTACCGCAGCCAATTACGTAGGATTGTCCACTCGGTGAGAATCTTACGATGGTTGGTGGTGATGGCAAGTCGCTCGCCAGTGTGTAGAGCAGCTTTGCGTCTTCACCTACGGAGTAACGCACATTGAGATCCCACATCTTGATCTGACCGTCTTTGCCACCGGTCACAACACGACTGTCGTCCTGATCGAACGACAAACAATAGATACTACTCTTGTAGCCAGTCAACAACATTGCCTTGACACATTTATCATAGGAACCGTCACGCTTCAAACATACTTCCCAGATCTTTAGCTCCGAACCAAAAGTGGCGACACCAAAGAACTTTCCATGTCCACTCATCGCAGCCATATAATTCTTCATCTGTCCAGTTGAAAACGATGTCAACATCTCACCTTTTGTACTCCATAGTTTAACAATTGAATCTGGATATATATAATTGATATTAGTATACTATGTTTCAATCTAAATTAATATTTGTTTACTTTACCATCTAATGAGATCACATAGTTTGCGTGTGACGATGAGGTGAGTGAAGTTACTGGAACTTTGTGTTGGAGTGGCACTGACCAACGTTGGAAGTAGGTCTTTCCATCTTGTGTCTTTTCATTGGTGACTGTGTAAGAGATGAGTTTGTCTTCGAGGGTGGCATAGATATCACTGCCTTGCCAAGCTATATTTCTCGCATAGTCAAACGGCAGTGCAATATTATAGGATTTGACAGCGTTTTGCTTTGAGGTATCAAAGAACGATGGATAGTTGAAAATCTTGATGAATCGCTCATTACAACAATAGGCAACATTGTCACCGGATACAGAGAAACCAGTTATCTCATTATGATTAATTGTCATCGCTTTGATTACTTTTTCAATCAACTTGTTAGTTGTTTCACCCATTATACTTGGCGATGAAACATTATTATTGGTTGTAGTAGTAGTTGTTGTACTCTTATTATTATTATCATTTACATTCTTTCTCTTTGATGATGTTGTTGTTGTTGATGTTGTAGATGCATTTTTATCTTTTGATTGATCATTCACTTCATTCTTATTTTTCTTATTATTCTTTTTGGTTGACTTGGTATTTGATTTACACATGAAATTTACAATGATTGCCACAATTAAGATTGATGGTAAAACTATATACCAATGATCGATTGCCAACTCTATATATTCTGATTCCATGTTTATTATCTTTTTATTAAAATAATGTATATAGATCTATTTAAATTAAACTTTTTAAAATAACTGAAGTTTGAGAATTAAAAATGATAAATTTAATTAGATTGTGGTGTTCAACAAGGTTCATTTTTTTTTAAAAATGGCAATGGGTAATTTGTGGTGATCTTTAGATAGATGACAATTAATTTCATTTTTCTTTTTTGATACAAAAGGTTTGTTGGTTCATTCCCAATCAAATATTATTTAAATTTTAAACCAGATAAAAAATATAAACTAGATATTTTTTAAAACAATTCAAATAACAAAGATGAAGTTCCTTCAATTTTATCAAAAATAACTTTAATGTATGCACTATTCAGCAAACAAAAACTTAAATTAAGATGATGTTTGGAACAAGAATCTTAAAGCCGATAATGATTCCAAAAGTTGTAAAAAACTAATGAAAAGTCTCTTGATTTTTATAAATATCTTTTTTTTTGATTTTTTTTTAAAAAGATATTTATTTTATAAAATAGAATCTTCAAATGGTTCTATCATCTTACTATAAATTCATAATAACTATAGTTGTTGCATCAAGATTTTATTTAAACAAATAACTATCATTTTTACAAATCTTTGTTTAATCAACAAATATCAACCATATATATAAATTAACGATGAGATTCATTCTATCATTATTATTAAGTTTGTTTTGCTTGTTTAGTTTAAGTACTGCTCAAACTATAAATATAACACCCTATGCCAAAGGTAGTGGTAGTGCACCAGAAGGATTAGGTTACAGTTTCCCACTTGGAGAATGCTTGGAGTTTGAATCTGATTTGGACGTTCAATTGCTGTGGACCGATTTGAATCAAGACAATATTACACTGACCTATTACTCTCAGGGCTGCAAGAGTGTCGGCCAACAATATGTATTTGCTCTCAATAGTTTGGTTGAAGATTTCTCACTTAAATATGTTTATCTACCACAATCGGTAGTGTTCTCAACTGAGAATAATATGCCTGCTAAAGCAATTCAATTTTACACCTATTACACCGAAACCAATACCTGTACGGGCACATCATTCCTTCAGTACTACACCAATGGCTACAAAGAACCTTCAGGTACCAATTTCCAATGTCTCGGTGGTGGAAAAGCACAAGTTGTTACTTGTTATGGTGGTAACTGTATTCCAACAGTATACACCACTAATCAATGTAATACAGATGAGAATCCCCCTTACACAGTTAAATGTTAAGCAGTAATAAAGTGTTACTTTCAATACAATCAATCAGTTTTATAAATGCCATTGATGTCAATACCAAACAACAAAAAAAAACCCCATTTTTGTACATAAAAGTTTGAGATAAATATTTATATTATTTATTAAATTCCTACTTGGGACCAATTGTAGGAATTTAATAAATAAAAATACATTAAACTAAACTAAAAAAAAAAAAAAGTTTAAAAATACATTAAACTATTACTAGAAACCATTTGTACAAGGTGTTGACTCTCTGATTTTAAATTTAGAAATATGCTGATAATTATTGTACTATCACTATATTCAAACTATTTATAAATTATTTTAAAATAAAATAGGTGAGTCTATAACTGCGAAACCTGCAGCTACACCACCCTCATCGGAAGTTGATGTTTTTGTTCTTAATAAAATACCACCATTTTCATTGTATTCAATTCTATCACCATTTCTATTTGAAAAGAAAAAAAAAAGATGGTTTACCAGTTAGTATCTATTTAAATGATTATCGAAATTGATTTATAATGTTAATAACATACCCTACATATAAACCAAATATACCCAACTCATAGAGTGCTTCGATTTCATGGAGTTCTCTCTCACGAATGATATAGCTGCTAAAGGTTTTCGGTACGATACGATCCATTAGGATGTAGGAAGACAAGTCATCGGGGGACATCGTTTGGAGTGAAGTACGTACGTTCTCGCCATAGATATTGTTGCCGCCACCCTCTCGCTGTGGCTTCATAACAAAGAGCTCAGGATGTTGAATTGCTCGCTCAACAACCGATCTGTCGATATCCTCCTTCGAAAGACTATACAATCCAGTGAAACTATCACGCATACGACCAATTGCACTGCTATCACTCGGCTGATACAACTGCTCGAGAATTCCAGTCTTGGCAATGGCCTGCTGTATCTTCTTTGCGCCCACGAGATGATTGGCAATCGAAGGACACTTTATCGAGAGTGATCTCTCAACCAACAATCTTGCATCCCATTCCTTCTGACTTGGATAGTCATTCGGTGTATATCCAGCTCTATAATATGAAATAGCAACTTCCATTTCATCGCTAACACCAAAGCAAAGTAAGGAATGTCAATAACATGTTAAACAAACTAAATACAAAACAAAACAAAACAAAACAAAACAAAACAAAACAAACATACATTAAAAGTGCACCTGTTTCAGGATGAAGAGTAGCTCTCTCATTGATGTCCTGTAGAGTTCTTCGGATCATTCTGATCTTGTGATTCTGCCAGAGAGTGTATCCAATCATTTTCTGATCCCATATGTTACGCTCGTCCGGCTGTACTATTATCATTACAACGGCATCTTGCTTGCCGTACAACTCGAATGCCTTGGCGAATGCCTTGCAGAATTCGACGTCGGCATGATTCTCTGGCAGACTAGCCAGTGGGTATTGCGATTGAAGTCCATAGAATTCAATGAGGAACTTGTGCATCTCCGATACCTTTGTAGAGATACATCCAAACGATGAGGAAATAGTATTCAACTCGACCTGATACAACTTCCAATCCTCTTCGTTGTCAGTGGCCTGATGTAACATATAGTCCGATCGGAAAATACCTAGTTCAACGCTTTGTCGCAAACCTTCCTTATTAACAGCTCTATGAATCTCTAATAGCGATTGTGTAAAACTATCTTGTACACTAATATATATATAAAAATATATTAGTAAACTTATCTATTTTATTTTGGATTGTCAATCACACCATACTTTTTCAATGTATCTTGTATATAATTATAATTTCTACTTAATTGATGTACCAATTCATTGTAATCTTTGGCGAGTGAATTTGCAGTGCCGTACAGTTTCTTTGGGAATCTGTTTGGTAGTAGTGAGATTGGAATGTGTGTTACGATTGGATATGGTACGACTTCATTCTCTTGATCTGTTTTCTTCTTTTCGAAAATCAAAGAATGTCCAAACGACCAATCTATTGCTTGTTTTGCAATCTCTTTAATAGTTGTTTGATTTATTTTATTTGACAACATCTTAATTAATTACTATTCTATTATATTATTATTTTAATTTTAATTTAATTTATTTTATTTTAATTTTAATTTTAATTTTAATTTTATGTTATTACAAAAAAATGTTACTAATCTAATTTTATAATTATTGTTGTTTATCTTATCTTTACTTGACTAACTATCTTTTTATCTATTTTTATACAAAAAATTACACGTATCAATTATTTTGGGTTGAGTCAGCAACACACACAACTTTAAAGCAACTAAATATTAAAAAAAATTTCAAAAATTGCTCAAAAATTAATTTCATTCTAGAATTCATTTGGTTCTCTTAACTTCTTATAATTTTGAGAGTCATTTGATTGTTTTCATAAACAACATCTTTTCACACAAAGAATTTATTAATTCTTTAAAGTTACATCGTTTTTTAGAACCAAATTTTTAATCAAAAAGAATCTTTTACAATAATAATTTAATAATTTAATACGTTTTTATTTATTTAATAATATTAGTAAATCGTAGTTAGTATAGTATGTCAGATCAAAACGTTCATAATATCGTCAATGGAATTCGATTCATTGGTGAAGACGATCATGAGGAATTGGATATCGAAAGAATAAAATTCATTATGAAGCAGTAAGTCGCAAATTATATATATCATGTTATTGTTGTTAATACTATAAAGTTAGATTTGCTTAGCTAATAATATATGTTTATTAGTACACCAACACCACCAATCTCTGAATATCAATTCCAAGAACTTACTGAAGAAGTTATCATTACTAAAAGAAATAAAGGTTTGTCTGTCAGCAAAAAATACAATATTATATTATTGAATATATCAAACTAACAATTGTTTAACATATTTTTATTTCTACTCTCAGAGAGAATAGGTGATTGTACTATCTGTGTTAATGAATTCCCACTTGATACAGAAGCAATCAAACTTCCATGTAAACATTACTATCACTTTGGTATGTGTTTTTAACAAACACTTTGATAAACTTACCTCTAACATTAACATTTGCTTTATCTATTTAAATTTCAATAGATTGTATAACACAATGGTTAAAGATGCATTCAAACTGTCCAAACTGTAGAACCCAACTACCAACAAACAACAGTGAATACGATGCATACTCAAGAATACTAGCAGAGCACGAAAAGAAAGAGAGGGAAGGCATCAACGAAGATGAAGATAGATCAATGAGAAGACAAACTAAAAACAGTGGAATGTTCTCATGAGAAAAAAGGTGATTGTTTGTTACAATAATGCAACCCTTCCCTCTACTTGTATGGTTTTTAAAAAAAAAAACCAATCATATAAATATATAAATAATATATGTAAATTTATCAAATAAAATTTAAAACAAAATTTGTATAACATGCATAAATCAACAATTAAGAATGAAGCAAATATAAATTTTTTAGATTTTTCTAAAAATTTTTTTTTTTTTTTTTTTTTTTTTTTTTTTTTTGATTGAATTGAATGTGAGTGTGGTTAAGATGGAACGAAAAAAAGTGTTAATCAAAAACAATAATTTTTATATTTCTTTTTTCTTAAAGATTGTTTTATTTCTTATTTTACTTTATTATATTATAATTATTAAAATATGGATAAAGTTAATAATAGAATTTTAAATCTTACTCAGCATTTACTTGTTGTAAATCCAACCAGTGCAACTTTAGAATCTGAACAAACAGTAGCTAATACTACTAACACTGCCGCCAAAACCGCTGTTGTTAAGAAATCAAAGCATGATGCCGATATTGAATCTGATGGATCGTATGTATAACTAGATATCGATCATTTATTTAAGTTACTTATAATTATTACCAATTACTATAACTATCTATTATTTTAGTATTGCAAGAGAAAAGTTGAATGAAGAGGAATTGGATATCACTGTAGAGATGAACACAAAGACCAATCAATATGAGATAAAGACAGTGCCAAATACATTGTCGTTCGATCAAGGATTTTTCCATGCGATTCGTGCCATCGAGTTGTTGGCAGAGGCCGACCCACAACGTGGAATCGTCATTGGTATCGCTGGTCCAGTCGGTGCCGGTAAGACGACACTCGCCCAAAAGATCTCTGGTCTCGTCAACGCATTGGTCATCGATCTACAGGATTTTGTCAAACTAGAAATGGTTAAAGATAACAATTACGATGATCCAATCTTAATTGATTATGATAAAGTTGTTGTAAGTAGTGTTTTTTTTTTTTTTTGGTTATTTCATATTATTCTAAATTATAATAATAATTATAATAATTTATATGGAAAATTCTAATTCTAATTCTATTTTTATTTTCACACACACATTCACATTTAATTATTATTAGGAATCACTTAATAATTTGAAAAAGAATCAACCAGTTGATTTACCAACCATTATCAAGCATAAGGAGACTGGTATTGCAAGAGTTGAGATCAAACGAGTCACATTGCCAGCCTCGAAAGTGCTGATTCTCGAAGGTTCCTATGCACTGAGTGCCAAGATCAGACCACTTTTGGATATTAGTATTGCAATCACTGGTGGTGTTCATCTCGATTTAATTAAGAGAATCATGAGAGATATTGTTATTGCCAAGAGTTCAACAAAGGTAAATAACAAACAATCAAACAAACAAACATATCAAATTGTACTTTTATATGAACTTTTCAAAACTGATTATAATTATATTAAAAACAATATATTATTATAGGATGTTTTATTACAAATTACAAATGTAGTATTCCCAATGTTTAAAGCATTTGTAGAACCAGATTTGGATCAAGCAAAGATAAAGATTCATTCATCTTACAATCCAATGAGTCAGGTGGTGGAACCAACCTATGTTTGCAAAGCAAAGTACGAGTCACACAAAGAGAATTTCGATCAATTCTTGACATCGCTAAACAAAGATGTCAAACCAGTCAAGAAGATCTTCTCCGACATGTATCTCTACCCACCCAAATCTATCGATGGTATCTCACAGGCTGACAAAACCAATTGGATTCGTATAAGACGTACTGATAAAGGTCAATTCAATATTTATTTCTATAGAGAAGTATGTTGTTATTATGTTTGTTTAAATGTATATTTTATACTAATAATAATAATTCCCGTGATGAATTAATTTGTTTTTAGGTTATGGATGCAACTATTAATACTAGACCATCATTAAACTTTGAGATCTCAGTAAAGACTATTGGTGGATTGTTATCGCTGGGCTATCAGATCGGTGCAATCTTGAATAGAACGGTCGAGGTTTGGTATGAGAAGAGTGGAATCATCGTCACCAAAGAGTATATCAAGGAGTTGGAGAAGTATTTCATCCAGATCAAAGGTCAAAACAGAAGAGAGGTCATTGAGTTTGCCGATAAACTCAAGATGACAAACATACACGTACCACAGACATTCCTTTATCTCTATTTCAAAAAGTTGAAGAAAAACAAATTAAGATCGGAAGCAAACAAGAATAATAGCAATAATACCAACAACACCAACAGCAACACCATTATCGATTCAAAACTTCAAAAGAATAATACATCAAAGAAAATTAAACAACAACAACAACAAAAACAACAAGAACAACAATCAAAACAAATTATAAAACAATAATTTTATAATAATATATTTAAATATAAATAAAATCAAAATATAATATAATATATAATTTTAAATTGATCCAAAACTAGACTATACTATTTTCTTTATTCATCGACTCGATTATTATTATCATCATTTCTTATTCATAAGAACTTTAGTCGTCTTTTAAAAGAAGTTCGTGAAAAAAATGAAAATTTCATTTTTAAAAATTAAATATTAATTTTTTTTTTTCAATTGGTGCTGTGTGGGTGGTGTGTGGTGAGCGAGCCGCTCTCAGCACTGCGCGAGTTCCTCTGTCTTCAGAAACCACTCGTTACATGAGGACTTCTTACTCCCTACTATTAGTCAATCTTTAGATTCCCACAGAGACTACGCCCCACAGAATGCAAAAGTTGTATGTATCTCTACTTTTACACTACTATCCACAAAGAAGAAGAAGAGATTACTAACATCATACTACTACCCACCTACTACCTAAACTACTACCTATCTAAACCACTACTAGCATCAAACAAGGAAGATTAGTCATCTTATTGAACGGAAAGTACGCCGGTCGTAAAGCTGTCGTCGTTAAAAATACCAATTTAAGTATAGCGCTACTAGAATCTATCGAATCTTTACTCTCCAAACTACTCTATCATAGATGATCATTATATCGCTTTTATGATGTGAATCTATCTTTATTTCCAACGATATTTTATTATTAGAGATTTAAATGACTTTAGTTTACCTTTCGATGAGCCAAACAAGGAGCGTCCATATGGTCACTGTCTCGTCGCTGGTATCGACAAATACCCACGTAGAATCGTCAGAAAGATGAGCAGAAAGGTCATCATGAAGAGAATCGCCATCCGTCCATTCGTCAAGGTCGTCAACTACAACCACATCATGCCAACTCGGTATGTACCACACAAACAGTAACAGAAACAAAACAACACAGGAGTCATTCAAGTTTTTTTATAGCGAAATAGTGATAATGAAAATTGGATGATCATGTTGTTTATGAAAGAGTTAGAGCAATTAATGTTAACATAATTTGATGATAATAATAATAATAATTTAGTTACAATTTCGAGACCCGTGAAGAGAACTCATTCAACGGTATCAAGGAATCTGTCACCATGGAAACCGCCAAGCCAGCCAAGCGTTTGAACACCAAGTACGCTGTAAAGAAGATTTTCCAAGACAAGTATGTTATCATCAAATGAATTTAATTTAAGTTTGAGATGAGTAAATATTAATATTATTGATTCTTTTAAAAACTAAATAGGTACAAGGCCGGTAAATCCAAGTGGTTCTTCACCAAATTGAGATTCTAAATTATCTTTGGTCTTCCTTATTGATCAATAAATGTCTCTTCTAAAGTATAAAACTTAATATATACAAAATTTATTGTATTTTCTGGTTTATTAGTTTATTTCAAATATTATTCAATTGTTGTTGTTGTTAATCGATTAGGAGTTAAACGTTAATACAAATATAATCTTAATTATAATTTGAATAATAATTTTGTTTTATTGATGATCACATTTCTTCTTTTTTAATTTGTTGCATTTGAATTTAAATGAATGACTACTGTTCAACAAATATATGGCATATGATCTTCATCGTCCATTTCCATATTATTAAACTTATCTGATACATAATAAATCTGATAAAGTGGTTGTCAGTAAGTAGGTTTAAATAAACTTTGCATTGACGATTTAAATTAACATACATCTTGATTATCTTGACTGTTCATATGATCATCTTGTTTCTGTTGTTTATTACTTCTTGTTTCTGTTGAGCATTTAGGTTGTTGTTGTTGTGTACTTGTCGTTGATAAACTACCACTACTACTATTATTAACACCACTATTTAAGCTAATATTACTAAAACTATAATTTACATTATTATTATTACTATTAAAACTATCTATATTATTGTTGTTATTATTATTATTATCATTAAGTGAAAGTGAATTAATTTGAGGAGATAAAGTTGTTCTTAATAACAGAGGTGAATGATTACTATTGTTGTTGTTGTTGTTATCAAGTGTATTCGGTTGAGTTTGAAGAATATATTGTTGTTGTTGTTGTTGTTGCTCTATCCTACAAGACTCACATTCTTGATAATATATTCTTTGCTGCTGTTGCTGTTGAAGATGTAATAGTTGTTGCTGTTGATATATATTCAAATTGTTGTTATTGAGTGACGCTAAATTAAGATGATATACACATATATTCATATTGATTATTGTCTTCTACTTAAATTAAAAATAAAAAAAAAAACAAAAATAAATAAAATTAAAAATAAAAATTGCAAATAAAAATTAAAAGAAATAATAAATAAATAAGGATGTCTCTGACTCTCTAATTAATTAAACTAGGAAAGAAGAAAAGATCAATTCTTTTTTTATTCAGTCCAAACAAAACATAACATAATAATGATAATGACATTTGAATAAATCAAATAAAAATATTCAAAAAAAAAAATTAAATGAAATTTTAGTTAAATTTTAAAATTTCTAACGACATCATGATAATGTTTGTTGTTGTTGAAAATCAAACGAACTTTAAAATGGAACTATTATTTTTAATTCATTTAACTTGAATTCTTAGATTCAAACTTATAAATTTTATTAATAAATAATAATTTGGAATAAGGATTGAAATTATCATAATTTTAATCTTTTTTAATTTAAATTAATTTCTTGTGTTTATTTTATTTTTTTCAATTAATTTAATGTATTTTTAAATCATGTGCCAAGTTATATATATAACTTGTTGAAAGTATATTTTTAGAAGAAACCACAAAACTTTTATAACATCAATTCCATCTTAATGGGTCATTTCATTTAACTTTTTCCAAAAAATTTATTGTTTTTCATTCACACTTTAACATTTTGATTGGCGCTATGAGTTGGAGAATAAGTGAATTAAAAAATAAAATATTAACACACGCACACACAAACACACAAACACCATCAATGTCAATATTTTTATATTAAATTTAAAACCTATTAAATCATCAATCAATCAATCAATCAAGTCAAACAGATTTAGAACAATATTTTTTTTGGGTGTTTTTGTTTGTTGATAGATAGAAAACACACTCTATAGTACATACAATATTGTATTGTTCAAACTCTGTGCCAGCAACCCTGTAGCATATCATCACCACTCTATTCCACTTTACTTTATTAACACAGCGGTGTCATTTGTGTGAGCAATTCATTCATTCATTCACTAAAGTAAAGTAACAAAGCATCAATTCAATCAATCACCTGATCTTTAATTGAATTTTAAACAACACTGCAATTTAGGTATGTAATTTTATTTTAATTAATAACCAAACAAACAAAAATAAAAAATAAACAACAACAAACAAAATAAATAAATAAAACACATCGTAGTAGTTGTAGTTGCAGTTGTTTTTCTTTATATTGTTTGTTTGAACACATAATAAAATAGTTTTGTTAGTTATTCGTAGTCTTTGTTTTTTATTACTATATTATACAAACAAACATCCAAACCAAACCAAAACAAATATATAATAACAAACCATTTATTGTTATTACTTTAATATTATCCTCCAAAAAAAATAATAAATATAATAAATAATGGATGTTCATCAAATTATTACCAACAACAATAATAATGAAGTGATTAACAATGGCGGCGGTGGTGGTAGACCAAAATCAGTTTCAACTAAAATCAATAATATGATCGATGACATTGAATTCAAGGGAATATTGGATCTCAGTGGCAAACAGCTGAAAAGAGTTCCAAGATTCCTGGCGGATTGCGTCGATCCTATTGTCGAACTGAATTTACAAAACAATCAGATTGAATCGCTGTTGTTTGCACTTCCACAATCTTTCAGTTGTCTAAGAGTATTGAATTTGTCTCACAATAACATTGTTTCACTCGAGGTCAACTTTAACTCACCACTGCTAAGTGGATGTTCGTCTCCACACCTAACATCGTCCACACCTCCATTGACACTCCAATTGAATTCAATTGGTGGTGGAAATACCAAATTAACATTGGTATCAACAACGACAACAACAACCACATCAACAACATTAACAGCAACATCTGAACACTCACCACACCAAACTAGTAATAGTGGTAATTCATCACCGAAAATATTTTCAAACTCACAACACTCTTCACCCATTACATCTTCACCCCTTTTAACTACACTACTTTCATTGTCCGCTGCCAATAACAATAGCAATAATAACTTGGCATTACCATCAATATCATTGCCACCAAAGATTGTCGATCCATTGTTGTGGATGAAGAATCTAAGTCAGTTGATCCTCTCAAACTGCAAGATAAAGTCGATTGGTGACACTGACTTTACTCTGTTTCCAAACATCCAAATACTCGATCTACAAAACAATCAAATTCAAAGTATATCGCAGAATGCATTCAAGACTAATCTCCAACTCAAGCATATTAGACTCTGCAGGAATTCACAGTTGTCTTCGCTGTCTTCGTCTATAACCTCACTCGCGAATCTAGAGTTTCTTCAGGTTTCGTTCTGCGCACTCCAGACACTTCCAATTGAGTTGGGTAACCTCACCAGTCTGCTCGTCCTAAAGCTATCGAACAATCGCATCGAAGAGATACCGATCTCCATTGGCAAACTAGAGCGACTCACTCACCTGGACATATCACACAACCTTCTCAGAACGTTGCCACTCTCACTCGGCTGCTGCAGTTGCATCACTGAGATTCAGATATTCGGTAATCCACTCGAGGACAAAACACTACTCGCCAACAAGTGCTCTCAAACCATTATCAACTACCTCACAAGACGTGTCGAGGATCACAACTACCTACAGACTTCCAACACCAACACCTCTGCGCAAGGCAAAGCCAAACAGATTCAAACTAGAGACGGTGTCAGTTTCGGTTCCATTAGTTATCTCTCACTCAACGATATCTTTTCAAAGATTAGAATTAGCAGGAGCGGAGGAGCAGGCGGTGGAGGTGCCAACAACAACAACAGCAACGGTAATCCAACGAATCAATCGCGTGGTAATGGTTTGAAGCAAGCAAAGATGAGCTCCACCAATCAGAAGCAAGCAGCCTTGGAATTCATAAAGAACGATCTCAAGTATGCAATCGATCGCATCCAGAACAAAGTGAATGATCCCGAAGTGCAGCTGGATTTCCTCTTGTTATGTGGCGATGCTATCAGATCGACACAAGAGAACTTTGAGTGCATGTCAGAGCTACTCAAGAAACCGCAATTCAAATTCAACTCGGAAACACCGCTACCCACCGAAGACAAGATCGTGCAACTCAAAAAGGTAATCAACCTCAAAATCGAAAAGGCAACCGTCTACTCCACAGCAATCTATATGTATCTGTTAAGATGTAAAAGTGATAAGGAAATCGATCAAATCTATACAACAATCATGGATTTCCACTCAAAGTTGACAGATTTCTAATTTTTGTAAATAAATAAAATAAAACTTAGTATTTTTTTCTAAACTTAACAAACTGTTGTGATGTACGTTTAATGGATTTGGATATTCGCAATTAATTTTTTTTTTTAAAAAAAATTTGTAGTTTGTCCATTTGTTGCTTCTACAAATTAAAAAAAATATGTGTGGTTGACCCCAAATTTTAATTTTTTCCATCTGTCAATGAATGGAATTAAACATTTGCTAATCAACAATTAAGTTGTTTGAGATAGGGCTACTCAAGATTTGTTGGGGAAAGATGTTTTTTGAAAATTTTTATAGAGATGTTTATATCTAGCCGAAATAAATTCATTTTAAAAATAAATTAAAAATCCACTTGATTTTAATATCTTTCTTAAACTGAGTTGACAAGTTGGTTCTCAGTCTAAAAATCTCTTTAAAAGCTAAATCAATTGATTTTTTAACCATTTCTTTTTATCCAAAATCACAATTGTTTTATTTCATTTATTATTCTCATATATTTTATTTGAATAAAATGATTACAAAAAACTCAGCCTTCTCATCACAGGAGCAAGGAGCTGTAAAACCAAATGTTGAGAATGAATTGTGTAGTGCACTCTCAACGATCAGTTTACAATCCACAACACCTGTTAGTCCAGCTACTTCAACTACTACAACTTCTTTCTCCCCCTATTTAACATATATGCCTTTAAACTCCCCACAAACTAGCCCCAACTATTCACAATATTCGCATTCAAACTTCCAACAAGCTAGCCCCAACTATTCACAATCTTCGCCTTCAAACTTCCCACAAACTAGCCCCAACTATTCACAATATCCGCCTTCAAACTTCCCACAAACTAGCCCCAACTATTCCCAATATTCGCATTCAAACTTCCCACAAGCTAACCCCAACTATTCACAATATCCGCCTTCAAACTTCCTACAAACTAGCCCCAACTATTCACAATATTTCGCATTCAAACTTCCCACAAGCTAACCCCAACTATTCACAATCTTCGCCTTCAAACTTCCCACCAAACTAGCCCCAACTATTCACAATATTCACCTTCAAACTCCCCACAAACCAACCCCAACTATTCACAATATTCGCCTTCAAACTCCCCACAAGCTAACTCCAACTATTCACAATATTCGCATTCAAACTTCCCACAAACTTCAACTTCAGCCGGTACACCAGAAACTAAAGAAGAATGGGAAAAAGCAATTAAAAAGCTGTTGGAACACCCAAACCCTTTGAAGGATCTGAGTGTATGTATTAAACTATAAACTATATTTATTCCGAATAAATTTTTAATATCTCAATAGATTTCAAAAGGTAAAACCTATCCAGTGCCCTCAGAATATGTGAAATTTAAAGGTCCTTATGAATATTTAGATGTGGAAAAAATATCAATGAATAGAAGTAAATTTATTCAAGATATTACGCATGACATTTCATACTATACGGAGATGAAAGAAATAGCTTCAATAATCGTAAATGACCAGAGTATAAGTCGCTCATCATTTCCTGCTGACCGTTTTCCTTTGATTAATGGAATGATATCTCCTCCACAAACTAAGCACGATCAGCAGCCTCGCTATGGGGAACTAAGAGCTACTAGCTCTCCACCACCAACAAGTTCTGGCAATCCAGAAATTAACCACTTCACGTTAGATCACTTTGATTTTATGATGTCTACCCCAGTTGGCCAAAAGAGTTTGAACGACCTAAAGATAACCAAAAAGGTTATTTTCACACCATCCACTCAAAGATCCAATTGTGCATTTTTAAATAGATCGAAGGTAGTCAGTCAAGATTATATTACAGTCCTAGTAGTAAGACCAAGTGAATGGGATAATTATTTTGATCGGTGGAGTGGCTTGCACATGATCCGATTACCTTTACCACAAGCTGGTGTTGGATATGTGCGTTATTGGATTCAAAAGTTGGCAGAGTTTTTTGGATTAGAGTACTGTTGGACCATTGATGATTCTGTTTATTCATTGCAGAAAACAATGGATATAGGTTGGACTGCATATATGGGGACTCTAGAGATATTGATGGAATCTTATAAAGATAGTAAGTATACAAAATCATTATATTTATTTATTATTATTTTAAATCTAATGAGTACTCTGATTGTTATAATTAGGAATTGGTTTACTTTCTTTTAAAAGAGGGGATCGACCTCAAAGTGAAGAGCCTCCCTCAATCAAGTTCGCACAGGTATTTGTATTGATGAACATTAAATTGCTGGCTGATAATGAAATTAGATATTGCCCAGCTCTTTGTGCCAAAGAAGATTGTCTGATTTCGATCGATTGTCTTTCCAAAAACATTTTGGTCATTGCTATTTCGGGACCGTTCGTCAGAGACTATACATTTGAGAATACTGGTGCCAGAAGTGCAGAGGCAGGATACAGTAAGACATTGCCTGCAAAACCTCTTACTACAGTTGTAGATAGCAAAGAAAGTTTTACTGCTAGACTAGGTTCTCTAGAATACCAGGATCTAAGACAACAATCTGAAGGTAGATACTAGACTAACTCACTTTAACAAATAAATAATCCATTGACAATCAAGAATAAAAAAAAGTTAATAATTAAAATAAAAACCAATCAATCTTTGATAATTATCAGCTTTTTTTTACATTTATTATAATAAAATATTAATGTTTGAGTGCTGCTCTTTTCAAAAAGGAAGGTGGTGGTGGAAGTGGTGGTGGTCGATTGTTGGTGTTGTTGCTGGTTTGTGGTCGATCTAATATCAGCTCATGATGATGTCCAAAAGAGAGATTACTCTGTTGTCTATTGATAGAGCTAGATGTCATTGTTGAGGATGGCGATTGCGATGGTGATGATGTTGTCAACGTATCTGTAGAAAAAGGGATGCAATAGAATAGATTAGAAATATTATATTCACCTCTCTTTGATTAAATATTTAAATTATCATTCACCCAAACAAAAATAAATATTTAAAGTATCTATTTTTTTCTTACCACTTAAAATAACTTGACAATTGACATCGTTGTCTGTTTGTGCATAGCCAACTCTCTGTTTCTTTAGGCTATTTACATGATACTCATTGAGAATGAGTATTTTATTACTGTCGGTGTTGTTGTTGTTGTTATTGCTGTATGATTTAACGTCATCAGAAGACCAATGATCATCATTTAGTCTCTTATTTCTAGAATTAGCATAACTGTTTATATTATTGTTGTTGTTATTGCTAATATAGTTGTTAATATTTTCGTTGTTGTTGTTGTTGTTGATATAACTATTACTGTTATTCATGCATCATAAATTTGAATTAAATTAAATAGTGTTGAAAAAAGGGTCAGTTTAATTTAGGATCAAAAATGATGGTGTTAAATTTTCATCATTCAAACGAATTCATTTTTGAAAAACGAAAATTTTTGAATTTTTTTTTTTTTTTTTTTTGATTTTGATTTTTTTTTGGTCATTGACTATTTTTTTTTTTCACTACATTTTCTTGTTTGGACTCCTACTTTCTCGATTAATATCATATATAATAAAGATATATTATCTTATAGAACTAGTTAGTTAACAATGTTCAAATTCTCAACTATTCAATCATTGTCAAAGGTTGCTTTGAGATCATACTCTACCACCGCCGTATGTAATCAACGATCTATATTCAAAATCACATGATATCTCACAATACAAGAAATAAAAATAGAAAGCAAACAATAATATAAATCAATCAATCAATAAATAATAATATAATCAGAGATATCTTTCAACATTTTATCAGTTATTCAAAAAAAAAAAAAAACAAACAAAATTAATTAGATTAGAAAAAATAATATTAATATTATTCTCATTTTTTTATATCTATTTTTTACATTGGGATTGGATTTTAATGATTGGATTTTGTCTTATTTTGGAAATATGCTTTTGGATTTGATGAAATAAATACAGAACACTAGAGTCACATTGATTCCAGGTGATGGTATTGGACCAGAGATTGCAGAGGCTGTCAAGACTATTTTCTCGGCTGCCAAGGCACCAATTGAATGGGAAGAAGTCAATGTCAACGCCCAAACTGGTGTTTCAACAGAGATTATCGAGTCGATCAAGAGAAACAAGGTCGGTTTGAAGGGTCCATTGGGTACCCCAATCGGTACTGGTCATCAATCACTCAACTTGGCCCTCCGTAAGACATTCAACTTGTACGCCAACGTACGTCCATGTCTCTCAATCCCAGGTTTCAAGACCCGTTACGATGATGTCGACACCGTCGTAATCAGAGAAAACACCGAGGGTGAATATTCAGGTATTGAAAACATGGTAAGTAACTTTAATATTATATTACAGGGTTTGATTATTTAAGAGTTGTAGAGCAACCAGCAGAAGAAAGAAAAGAAAAGAAAAGAAACAAACAGAAAAAAAAACAAATAGAAAGAAGAAAAAGAAGAGGGTTGTTTTGTAATTAATTTTATTACTACACTTAAATTTCTTTCAATATTGTTTTGTTTTTTTTCTTTATTCTTTCTTCAAACAACAACAACAACAACAACTCAAATGATTTAAAACCATGATGGTTATTTAGAATAGAGAATTTAAATATTGATTTTGATATATGTATTTTTAAAATAATAATAATAGCCAGTTAAGGGTGTTGCCCAAAGTATTAAAGTCATCACAAAGGAAGCTTCAGCAAGAGTTGCAAACTATGCTTTCCAATATGCCTTGGCTAACGGTAGAAACAGAGTTACCTGTGTCCACAAGGCCAACATCATGAAACAATCCGATGGTCTCTTTGTCAAGACTTGCAGAGAGGTCTCAACTCGTTACCCATCAATTAAATATGAAGAAATGGTTGTCGATAACAATTGTATGCAAGTAAGTAGTAACAAACAACAAAAATATTAACAAATTACAATTCATTTATACTTATATAACAATTGTTTTCATTTAAATTTCAAAGTTGGTATTGAATCCATCACGTTTGGACGTTATGGTTCTTCCAAATTTGTATGGTGATATTGTCAGTGATTTGTGTGCCGGTTTGATTGGTGGTCTCGGTTTGACACCATCCGGTAACATCGGTGAGAATGGTACTGCCATCTTTGAGGCCGTCCACGGTACCGCCCCAGATATTGCCGGTCAAGGTAAGGCTAACCCAACTGCCCTCCTCTTGTCAGGTATCATGATGCTCCGTCATCTCGGATTGAACGAACATGCCCAAAAGATCGAAAAGGCTGTCCTCACCACCATCTCTGAAGGTAAATTCACCACCAAGGATTTGGGTGGTAACGCTGGTACCGCCGATTTCACCAAGGCTGTTTGCTCAAAATTAAATTAAACACCTAAAACCAAATCAATACACATAAACAAAACACAGAATACAAATTTACAACTATTGAATTAAATAATCAATAACCTTTTTTTTTCTCATTTTATCGCTAAAAATAAATTATAATTACAAACAAAAAAAAAACTATGACCATGTGTGATCACTTGTCTTTATTTGGTTAACACCATTTTTTTTGTATTGAATTTGATTGTGTGTTGATTGTTGATCATTTCATCAGATATTTCATGTATAAATCATTTATAAGTGTGTTTAAAGAAGTTGTTAGATTATATTCAAATATTAATGCAATAGAGATTGCAAAGTTTAATAAAGAATATGTAGATGAAAACAGTTGTAGTAAATCGAATTCACAGAGTAGTAGTTTATTGGTTAGTCATTTAACATTTGATCAACTTGATAGGCTATCTGATTTAGTTGCACAATCTCTGATTAATATTGTTAACAATAGCAATGGCAATAATAATATAAAGAGTAAAAAAGTTATAGTAATAGGTGTATTAGCACAACATTCTTATCAATTAATCATTTCTATACTTGCTATTTTCAAGGCTGGTTATGTTTATCTACCTTTGGATCTATCATTCCCAAAAGAAAGATTATTATACATGATAGAGAATTCAGATTGTTCACTAATAATAACACAACATCAACAACATAATTATTTCAACGATTGTAATAGTAGTGTTTCAGATTCACATCATCATTGTATAGATTGTTTAATAGATAATCATTTGGATAGTAGTTTAAGTTATAATAATGATAATAATATTTGTTTCCAACCATTAAATAATAATTCAGATGATCTTGCGTATGTATTAATTATTATTATTATTTGTCTAATTTTAAATTAACTAACTTATTAACGATCTAGATATTTAATTTATACTTCTGGATCAACTGGAAAACCAAAAGGAGTGGAAGTCAATCATGCTGGAATTGTTAATTTTCTGGAGTGTCAAATAGATGCATTTCAAATGAGAGGCAATCATACGAGAATACTTCAATCACTGCCTGTTTGTTTCGATGCCAGTCTGTCAGAGATTGGATGTTCACTTCTCTCCGGTAGTACTCTGGTAATTGCAGAGTCTGTCGAGCAATCCGCCATTGTAAGAGCATCGCCAAAGTATTTCTTTGACTATCTCGGATGCAATCGAGTCACCACCGTTATGTTGGCACCTTCATTCATATCGCAAATTCAACTAAGTGAAATCGATTCGATTGTTCCACAGTCACTGGAAACCATTGTAGTGGGAGGGGAAGTATGTCCAACCAGTGTGATAAGCGATTGGATCAAGTTTGTAAGATTGGTCAGTGTATACGGTCCTACAGAAGCAACTGTTTGCAGTTCACTCTTAATCTTCCCAAAGTCACACGCAGTTAATCAACAACTACCAAATACCAATAGTATTGGCAATCCGATTGCAAATACCGATATCTATTTGGTGACTTCACAACAATCACGTGTTTCAGTTGGTCAAGTCGGTGAGGAAGGTGAGATTTATATCTCAGGAATAGGTGTTGCACGTGCTTATCGTGGACTTGACGAATTGACTGCTGAGAGATTCACAGTGGATAGCGTCACCGGTGTAAAGACGTTCAGAACAGGCGATTGGGGAAGAATGCTCAGTGATGGAACCATAGAGTTTAGAGGTAGAATAGATAATCAAGTAAAGTTCAACGGTCAGAGGATAGAATTGGATGAGATATCTCGATCGATTGAACTCTATCCATTGGTACAACAAGCTATCGTTGATATTAAACAACTACCGAACAGTGGTGATAAGATAATGGTTGCCTACATCACAATGAAAGATATACCAATATGTCAAGCCAATATTCACAATCAAGAGTATAATAACAATGATATTAAATCGATAGTTAACAAGTTCCTGGCAGTCCGATTACCAAAGTATATGATTCCATCACATTATGTTATAATGAAGCAGGGTTTTCCTATCAATTCAAACGAGAAGATAGATAGATCAAAATTGCCTCTACCAGAGGATATATCATCAACAACATCAACAAATAATAATAGCGAAACTATTGAATCATTGTTACAGATTATGTTGTCAGCTGTTCTTACAACAAATAGTATCGATGTAAATGCAGATCTTATATCGGATTATGGATTGAATTCAATTGGTTCCATTAGGTTTATTCAATTGGCAAGATCACATGGAATACATATAACACCAATAGTAATATATAGAGAAAGAACAATTCAGAGAATAGCTAAATCATTACAACATCATCATCAAAATGACAACAAAAGTACAAACACAAACAATAATAGTGAAGTAGAGCAATCTGTTTTAAATCTTAAAAAGATTGCAGACCAATTGATAAACAATTATCTAACAACAGAAACAACAACAACACTTAAAGCAAACAGTAATAATAGCAATAGTAGTAGTAATAATAAGAATAGTATACTACTTACTGGATCAACTGGCAATCTAGGTATGCTGCTTATAATATATTTAATTTTAATAATAACATTATTTACTAATAGTTTAAAAATAACAAATAGGATCACATATATTATTAGATATCCTAAAGAGTGAAGAATATAAAGATTATGATATTTATTTATTGGTTAGGAATAGAGAATCTGCAATCTCTACTATATACAATCAAATTGATTATCTTAACGATCCAATTGCCAATCAGTTAAAGTCGAGAGTCATACTAGTTACTGGTGATCTCTTAGCCAGTGAAAATAGTAATAGTAATAGTTATATAGGAATAGATCCATCCATTTTAAATGACATTGTCAAATCTGTTACCATTGTTATTCACAGTGCTGCCACTGTGCATATGAACTATTCATTCCAACAAATGGTGAACGAAAACGTAGTAGGTTTGCTAAATCTACTAAAGTTATTACAGCAATGTAGTCAACTTAAGCAATTCCACTATTTATCTACTCTATCTGTATTACTTTCCAACAGTGATAAGTGGTGTGATAACAGTAACAACAACAATAACAACACCTTTGTCACTATTTACAACAATGAGAGTGTCTTTCAGCATCATGATAGTAATATAATCTATGGTGCATATGCACAGACAAAGTGGATCAACGAATATATTCTAGAGACAACGCTTTCGATATCAGAGTGTCGAAGTAACAACTTCAATACTCATATACATAGACCAGCTATGATATGTTCGAAATCACCAAGTTCAACCAACTACCTTAGTAGACTCTTACACTCTTCGATAGCAATCAAATGTTATCCAAGTCTACCTCAACGAATCCACACTGATATTACACCAATAGATAGTTTTATACAGTCTTTCACCAACAATCTAATGAAATCACAACTACAACAACAAACAACAAACAATATTCAATACTACCTGTATCATAATCAATCAATTTCACTTTTGAACCTTTTTAAAGAACTTAAAACAACTAAAAATAATAATAATAATATAACTACAAATAATAATAATAATAATAATAATGAATTACAATTACCTTTAGAAATGATTTCAACCTCAGAATGGAAATCAAGAATTATCGAACAATCAGAATGTATACCTAATATGATGAATTTCATAACTCTATTGGATATATTAGACGAAAATAATGATTATGTAAGTTATATAAGTCAAAAAAGATATTTTTTAAATACTAATATAAACTATTTAAATATTCAGATTCATTTCGAAAGAATTTTGTTTCCGGGTCGATTTCTATGTGAAAATCTCGGAGTTTGTTGCAATCCTGGAATTCAAAATATCAACATTGATGATGTCGTTTCACATTGCTAAACTGCAAAAAAATAAAAAAAAAATAAATCAAAATGGTGTTGGAACTCTGGTCTGGGTTCATTAAAAATGCGAAAAATTATCATGTGATTTCGTTTTTGATTACTGCTGTTTTAGTTAAAAACACCCACCAACGTTTCGGAAAATTTGGTTTTTTTTTTTTTTATAGATTTAATATATTTGATTTATTTGCACTCACTGTGAAATCATATCATTTTATTATTTATTTATTTTGTTGTATTATTATTTATTTTTTGCAAACCAAAAAGATTAGATCGATCTAACCTCAATGAATGGAATATAGTGATAAAAATTATCATCAGTTACCAACCACAGCTGTTTTGTCAGATCAATCATTAAAGTCAGGTGGTGGCCATCCTTATGATGAATCTGACGATATCAACAATAGAGTAGACTATGAAAAATCAGATGATATTATTATAGATAGTGAAAATGGTGCAGATGATCGTGGTGGTGGTGGAGCTATTGTGGCTTTGAATGATAATGAGACAGGTGGTGTTGATGCTTATGACGAAAAGGAAATAGAGAAACAACAATTAAAGAGTAATGGTGGTAATAATGGAGACAGTGGAAAAAAGAAAAAGACACCGTTTTGGTGTTGGATTTTGTTGGTGTCGGCACTGCTTGCCATGTCATCGAGTGGACCAGCTCTAAAATTGATAGATGCGCCACCACTCCGTAAAGCAAGCTGGCGTTTACAAACGACCTCTTATATTTTGTTGATTGGATTTCTCTCGGATCTTCATACACTCTATCCACTGCTGAACTTTCATCTCACTCGGGCATTTGCCAGTGCCGTTCCGGGTGTGGTTATCCGACTGCTCCCACTGGCCTGGCAAATGGTAATCAACGATCTCATCGCTTCGAAACTGCCGAGTATCGACGAGCGACGTTCTCTCCAATCAGAGATACGCGCAAAGTTCCTCTCTTGGCGAACCTGGCTCATTCTGGTTGGCACAGGCATTGCACTGGGTCTACACTTTGGATTCTGGATTACCAGTCTCAACGAAACCAGTCTTTCTCACTCACTGCTCTTTGTAACATCGAACCCCATCCTCATTGTCATCACGATGTTGGTGATGCGTAAACCAATCTCCAAAGGTGAAATCATTGGTTGTATCATTGGTTTCCTTGGATTGGTATTGACAATGTTTGATTCACTTTTTCTTTCATCTGGAGAAGATAATGGACAATCTGTAAGTTTATAGAAAATATATATAAACATAATATACTTTAATTTAATTAATTTCCATTATTTTAATAATATATACACTTATAGCCAACGGTATATGGAGATGTATTAGCATTGCTTGGAGCAGTAACAGTTACATTCTATCTTTTTGCAGGATCTAATCTTAGATCTTGGCTATCCCTTTATCTCTATGCGTTTCCAGTTACTGCTGTTGCATCGATATTCTTAACAATCGGATCGTTTATATTGGAAACAATGCCACCTCCAACAGTAAGTAGATAATATATATGTATTTCTAATATTTCAAATTATATTAATTCAAAAAAAAAAAAAAAAGGAACAACAATCATATGGAATATGGGGTTGGATGTCACCTGCCTTTATATTACCAACTTTATATGTTGCATTATGTAAAGTATTAGTTTTTTAATAAGTTATAATAGTTATTAATATTTAATATTTATAAATGTTTAGCACCTGGATTTGTTGGTCATACCGGTATGAATGCAATTATAAAATATATAGAACCTGTAGTTGTATGTTGTTTGCTCAATTTTATTTTATTTTATTTTATTTTTTTAAAAAAAAAAAAAAAAAAAGAATACGAAAAAATATATTTATGAAAATATCTATCTAACAATATTCATTCATTCATCTACTATATATAGATTTCAGTAACATTATTACTTGAACCGCCAATCGGTACTTTGATGGGATATGTACTTGGAGTTGGTGATGTTCCCGGTGTATTTACATATATTGGTGGTCCAATTGTGGTTGCCGGATGCGGTTTGGTAACTATATCTTCGTACAGACGAACTAAGCAACAGCTACTGCAGCAACAACAAGCCGAAGAACAACAACTACAACAACCAATGTCAAATTCCATTGATATCAATGATATTCCACTCAACGATGACAACGACGACGATAACGAAATCAATGATGAATATGGTCATAGTAATGATGATAATCAAGAATTGGATCTAATTCCAATGGATACAATAAAAGCTAATCATTAGTTAGCAATGAATCGAATCGAATCCAATTGGTATTTATAACATTATCAAATAAAAAATTGAATCAAAATCAAATCAAATTAAATCAAAAGAATTTTGTAATTAAACAATTAATATAATTCCATTTTAGATATCCAAATATGGATTGATATTTAATTTGAAAAAAAATAAAAATATATAATTTTAAAAAAAAAAAATTCATAAAAAAAAAAAAAAATTATATAAACACACTTCTTTTTTTATAAATTCCATTATTTTCCAGGATTACTAATCAAACAAGTAAGTAATATTAATATTTGTTTGTTATTTACTAACCGGTTCAATCGAATAACGACTGGTATTCACTGTTTGTATAACATTGTTTCCATTAAATGTGTTTGTCACCTATTTCCATATATGATCTTAATGCTCTCGGTAGGTAAGGTGTACAAATTGCTATTGTCTTGGTAATTGGTTCGATACCATACCATTCCATATCATATCATACCATTACATCAAATGGAGCGTGATATCATCTCTTTGACTTTATTGCCATAACTTTTTATTATCATTGAACTTTCCTTACTTACCATAAAATGATATGATATGATATGATATGACACATACATACATCATATGGATCATTATTGATACGTGTAAAACGACCATCAATCATTCATCCAACAATCATATCTATCATTAACAAAATATCAAGTTTGATAATCAAAACTTCTAAACATCATTCATATGTTATTATATGACAACTGGAATAACCAACAAATAACATTGATCATCGCCAACTGAAATGGTTGGCAACAACAATCAAATACATATTACCAAACAATACCATTTGCCACCATGATGGTGTTGATGTGTTCAAGTTTTGGTATGTGCCATATAACAGATCGACAAATTGTAATCCAGTCGATTATTTTATTTGATTAGAGAAAAGTGTAGCATCGATTTTTTTTTTCTAGTTTTTTTTTTTTTTTTTTGTTTTTTTCGATATGGTTCCAAGGGGAATAGACAAGTGAACATTCTGTTATCAAAAAAACTAAAATTTTATATCTTTTTTAGCACCACATGTTCAATCATATATATATTTATACATATACTATCTGTTTATAAAAAATTATTTGTTCAAAAAGGAAAATAAAAATACATTTCATTGCCATATCATCATATACTAATAAAGGTATAAATCTTTTGTTTATATAAAGCCATCAACTGGCAAACAAACCAATATCATTATATTATCATTCAAAGATCTTGGAATCATTGATTTGGTATTGATATTTGCCAAACGAAACGATTAAATATAAATTTATTGTTGTAAATCATTTTTAAAACATTTGGTCAAAACATCTAGTTTTATTTTTATAAACTTGCTCAGCATTTGCTTTGTTTAACAGAACAGCATTAAAACTCCATTCCATTAAAAAAATTGGTTTTAAAACTATTTTTTTGATGGCTGTTTGTTTGTGTGTGCTACTTTTGAAGAGGCTGCTATATGTAGCATCTCCCCAATATTGCACCACCCAATAATTATTAATGTGTTTGATTTTTTTGAACACCCAGCAAATGAGGTTCGTAATTTTATACAGTTTTGGTCACAATTTAAAAATTTGAAATTTTTTTATTTTATTTTATTTTTTATTTTATTTAATTTTTTTTTTTTGTTTTTCCAAAATTTTTTTTTAATTTTTTTTTGGATTCTCACACACCAATTTCTTCCATGTCATTCCAGTCTTTTCAAAAATCGTCCAGGTTTTTTTTTTTTTTTATATACAACTCAGTTCAGTACCAAAACCTAAATATTTAATTATTATTGTTTCCATATTACTATATAGTTATAGAAATAATAATTATAATATAATATCTACCAAATTTATTATTAGCCATAATAAAAAAACTAAATATAAAAAAAAATAGATAAAAATCGATAAAACCAAATTTTTTTATTATCCAGTTTTGCTGGAATTATCATACATATTTATTTATTTATTTCCAGCCATATCAATTATTTATACCAAATACTCAAAATTATCAGTTAACTAACAAACAAAAAAAAGTAATAGATAGATTGGATTATTCAAATTTAAATTAAAAAAAAAAAGAGTAAAGATAGAGTAGCATGGATGATTTAGTTAATAATCATTCCAATCCAAATAATAATACAACAACAACGACAACAAACAATAGTAATACAGCAACGGTACAACCTGTATCATCAACCAATAATATGTCCACCAATCAAATGGAAGACAAATCGATAGTAGAGGAACCGCTCTCTGTTGACAATACACCGGGTTCGCTCAAGAGATCGCGAAAGACCGCCAAGATTCGTGGCGATGCCGACGAGGAGTTTGGCGAACTGGAGAATTGGTCAGACGACGAGCCAGAGTCTGAGGAGGAGTTGTCAGACTATGACGAATCCAATGCCACTGGCAACAAGGCTGACAAACAGAATGACGAAGACGACGATCTTATGACCGACGCCAACGCACAGACTCCAGTAAATCCAGAACCAAAGAAACGTGGAAGAAAACCAAAATTAAAGAATATCAAAAAGAGAATGTTGTTGGAAGCGCAGAAAGCTGCTGAATTACAACAGCAACAACAATCACAACAACCAACACAACAATCATCATCATCACAGTCACAACAATCAATTCCTTCTCCATCATTAACAACAACAACACCAACTGCCACAACAACTACAACAACAACAACTTCATCATCGTCTTCAAATAATAACAATAACAACAACAACACACCAAACAAGACAGATATCGAATCACCACAAAACAAGAGACACGCCAAGAAACCAAGAAAATATGGAGACGAAGAAGAAGAATCACCAGAGAAAATAGAGAATCCAAAGAACAAGGTTGGTAGACCAAAAAGAGTTGTACAAGACGACATCATGGAAGATGCATTCGAAGCTGAATTAGAACCAATTTCAGAAAAGAAAAGTAAAAAATCAAAGAAATCACTACCAAATACTTTAGATGTATGTTATTATTATGATTATTATATTCTATTTTAAACAAATATTAACAATATTTTAAATTATATATATAGATAAGACCATGTTGGTATTCAACATGCTCAAAAGCCGATAGATCATTGAAGATTCTTAGACCTTGTTTAATTCCAACTTGCAAAACTCATGCAATTAAATCTGAAACGAGAATATATGAAGTACTTGGTAAAGGTGTAAGTATCATTATTATTATAAGTAGATCTGTTATTATTTAATTGTTATTAATCATCATTATTATTAATCATTATTATTATTATAATTATAGTTTTGTATTGATGAAAAAGGTAATAAAGATACTGTTTGCGGTATTTGTGGTGAATCTTATAAACCGTTGTCACATTGTGCCAATGATGATTGTGCTTTCGGTTATTGTGAACCGTGCACCAATATCATTGTCGGTAAGCACGGCAATGCACCGAACGGTCCAAAGTGGGTATGTTGGGTTTGCAATTCCGTCAAGTTGCGTGGCAAGGAGAGAGAGCGTACCAGATGGGTTCGTGAGATCGTGACACCCAGCAATCAGAATCAACCACGTAAGCCACGTCTATCATTGAAACATTCAAACTTGGCACCGACAATGTCACAGTCGCAGTTGATCCAACAGCAACAACTGCAACTGCAAGGCACACAAGCACCGACACTCGACGATGGTTCACTCGCCGGTCCCGGTCGTCGTAAGAAAAAGCTAATCTCCACACCCGACTATGAAATCAATTTTAGAAAAGGTCGTAAACGTGGTTACGACGATGAAACATCTGCACCTACATCACCAACCAATAACAACAATAATAACAATAATAATAATAACAATAATAACAATAGTAATAATAATAATAATAATAATAATGATGATACATCACCTGATTTATATACATATCACTCTATTATGGCACCGGAAAGAGATCCAATCAGTCCGGTAGACTTTTTCATTGACCAATCGTTCAATTCGATAAAGTATTTCAATTCGCTGTTGCAAGATCCACCTGCCGATGCAATCCAGCTGTTCAATAACATGGTGAATACCATCAGTAGATTGAGAACGATCCGTTGGTCGAACGACTATCAAATGGTGTGGCGAGCAATCGAAGAGTTGGGTATCCTCTTCAAGCGTAACCTCGATAGTTCACAGACGATCATTGCCATGCAAGAAGAGATCAAATCGATGGACGACGCCATAATAAAGTCATCGAATAACAACACCAGAAATCAACCGTTGGAACGTGCCATCTCCCGGGTGTTTGACCATCACCAACTGTCGAATCAGATCGAGAAGGAGAGCAGCTCCACTAGAAACATTTTGTTGATAGCGATCGACGGTGCACATCGTACGATCGAAGAGGTCACTCAGAACTTTGAGTTGGACATCCTGCGTGACAAACACAAAGAGGAGCGACTCGACCAGGAGCTCATCACCATCGACGAGCAACTCAAGTCTGTCAATAGCGAGATTAGCAATCTCAAGCAACAAGAGACCGAACTCCTAGAGCAACTCGCCAAGGTACGTGGTGGTCTCACCCAACTCGAAGGTCTCAGAGATACTTTTAACAAGAGAGTCTCTGATATCAAGATCGAAGGTTTACTCGCAAACAATGATATCTCAGAGAGAGAAATGGATTGTAGATCTAAAAAAGCAACTCTTGAGAATGAAATTAATGCACTTAATTCATTATTATCGTATGTATAAAAAACAAACATTAGAAGCAGCAAACTATAGTTGATTATTAATTAATTATTCTTTTCTTGTTTCATTTCTATGTAGTTTGATGGAAGGAGTATATTGGGGACATGAATTCTTCTATAATACCGAGATTGGTAAATGTGAACAAGCTATCTGTAAAAAGATAATTGATATCAACAAAAAGATTGATTTGTCACGTAATGATATTCCACTTGCAATCTCACTGAAGCCGGCAATGGTAAGAGAGTTGAGTACTCAAGAAGATCAAAGCTCGGTGGTCACTCTTGAGAATCAAGAGGAAAAGTTGGTATCATTCTTGAATCCATTCAAGACTCTTGCAATCTATCACACTGCCTGTATGGACCATAATGTACCGGATTTCCATTTGGAGAAGCCAGACCGTATACGTGTTGCCATCAATACAATCAACGACTTTGTTGCCAAGTATCCATCGATCGTCGAAGTCTACAATACTCCACCCGAGGTAGAACTCAAATATGTGATGGCTGTTCACGACGCTCATTACATTCGTAAGTTAGAGACACAGTTGCCACCTGAGAACAGTGAGTTGGAGACTCATTTGGAGAGCGACAACACCGGTGCTATGATCACTGTCACCCAGAAGGAAGGTGGTGAAGACGATGATATCTATGATACTTTTATCAGTCATCGTTCGATGAAGGCTGCCATGAGAGCCGCCGGTTCTGTTTGTGCTGCTGTCGATGCAGTTACAAAGCTCGGTTACCATCGTACGTTCTGCGCCATCAGACCGCCAGGTCATCATGCCGGTCGTTTCGGTCGTACCAGCGACGCACCTTCACAAGGTTATTGTCTCATCAACAATGTTGCTATTGGTGCCAAGTATGCGTCATTGACAGCTGGTTACACCAGAATTGCTGTAGTTGACTTTGACGTACATCATGGTAACGGAACTCAAGAGATCTTGAGTGGCGACGATAACTTTTTGTTTGTCTCCATTCATGTTTGCGATGAGAAGCGATACTTTTATCCAGGTACCGGAAGAGATGTCGGTGAAATCCACGAGGATGGCTCCTACGAGGGTAACGTTCTCAACATTGGTCTCAAGAGAAACAGTGGTTCTGCGACATTCATCCAACAGTGGACCAAGAAGATCATTCCACGTCTCGAGGCATACCGACCACAATTGATTTTCCTCAGTGCAGGATTCGACGGTCACAAAGACGATCCAACCAACGGTTTGAAGTTGAGTGAAGAGGATTACTACACAGTGACCAAGATGATCAAGGCGGTTGCTGCCAAGCACAGCAGAGGTAGAATCATCTCTGTACTCGAAGGTGGATATGGTATCGAGAAAGGAAACTCACTACAAAAGTGTCTTCAAATGCATTTGAAGGCTTTGGTAGAGGATTCCAACAACGAAATCCTATATTCACAAGCGAGCTCTGGTGATTTCGGACTCATCAAGAAGATTTACAATGTAGACACAAACAGTACCATTGGCAAACCAAACAAGAAGGGTGACCTGGAGAATGTCGCTCTTTTCAATACCGTTGCCAAAGACTATTTGGATAGCATCAAACAAACACCATCCGCTTCAGGAACAACTTTGCCATCTTCATCTACGACAAGCACAACAGCCGCCGCCACTACCACTACCACAACAACATCAGTTCCACCATCAAACACAACACACTCCACCCAAAACCATAAATCAAACGCTGAACCATCGGATAGAGTTTTTGAAGTCGTCAAATCCTCTCCGACCAACTCTACGAATGTAGTAAACCCAAAACCACCCATTTTACCATCCATCCACTCAACAGACACTCTAAACCAAACCAATCAGTCCTCTCACCTCAAAAATCAGTTGTAAATAATTCCGGAGGAAATTTGAATTACTTGAGATCTGAATAAAAATTATATGGATAAATAAAAAAATTTTATTAACTTTTATTTTATATATTCTGTTTATTTTATTTTTAAACATAATTTTAATATCTATAAATAGAACAATTCTTAATGAAAACATTTTGAGTGTATTCTCCACAAGCAGCGGTAAATCCAACATATGCAGAATCATCTTCACCAATGCCAATAGTATTGTTGATATCGATGTTAACTTTAACAACTTCGTTGTGATCTGCTCTTACTATCAATTGCTTTCCAAATGGTTCATATATAATCTCTACTTGATGATAGTTGAAATCACAAAGTTTGAATGAAGGTGAGGCAAAGCTTAATGCATATTTGTGTGCTGAGCTGTTAATTCCGACACCATTAGTATGTACTGCAATATGATTGTCATTTGGATCGTCACTAAACTGGTAGTCATCAAATTCCACGGCAATCGATGATCCTATTCCAGTGTAGCCAAGTCCACTCCCTCCATGAGTTAAACTGCTTCGAACTGATGTTCCTCTCGGATCGTTGTGTATCACGAAAGCAAATCCGTCGGCTGGTGGTGTCTCTTGCTGTTGGAAATCCTTTCCCATCTTAAAATCGAATCGCACAATGAAGCCACCAGAGATATGACGCACCTTGTTCTTACTCCAACAAAAACAATTGACAACACCAGAATAAATATCTTTAATCAATCTTAACTCTGTATCCCCATGTTTATCTTCCTCATTATTATTATTGTTGTTGGTCCACTCTATATTCTGTGAATAAACAACAGGTGTTGAATAGATAACACAGTTTCTCTTTGTCAATTCAAATAAAGGTAAACGAACAACTATGTTATATAAAAGTACTTTGTTCTTTAAAACTTTTTTTGCAAGTTCGCAATCTATATTACTAGTTTTATCATTATTTTCCATTTCGAAACTTTAATATAATATTTAAAAAGATATTTATAGATATCGTATTTTTTTTAATTATTAATATGAAGTTCTTTAATTAAAAAAAAAAAATTTTTGTGGAACAAATTATTAAAAAAAAGTGTGTTAACACACTCCCAACAAAACAAGAAATTGTTGAAGTAAGTTTCCCAGAATATTTATACATAGTTAAAAACTTTACTTAGATCTAAAAATTATTACTATAAAAATTTTTTTAAAATATTTAATATTATTTTTTTTATTATTATTATTTATAACCATGGATAGGATATCGATTCCATTTGGCTAATATTTGATGAATTGGAAGAAAGTTGAATTAATTCATTGACTTTCTTGATGATTGGTGTTAGGAATAGAGTTTTATCTGGTTGTGTTGGTGGAGTAATTATATTGATTCTAGCATTTAGCATTTGGTTGACAACATTTACTGTCTTGTCCAAGATCTCTTTATGTAAGAGTTGAGCTGTAGGTATTGGTTGTTGCTGTGAATTTTGTTCAGATATGTACCAACATAGTATCTCATCAAATAAGTAACAACTTAAAAGGTTAACAAGTTGATCCTATTAATTTAAAAAAAAATGAATATTAGTTATTTGATATTTTTTGCTTATTTGTAAATGGTGATGATTAAATTACCTTTGATTCCGAAAGACACATAGAAGTGGCCAACAATGAACTCTGATAACCACCCTCAATAAATACAGGATTGAGGAATGTTCGAATGTTTTGAGTTAAACGGAATGGAACCACACCATGTTCGTTGAAATCAGAGTTTTCTGATGTACATATTTCAGAGTTCCATTTACCGAAATAAACAGTTCCTGAGGTTCTTGAGAAATAGATGTCAGATGGTGAGAGAGTAGCAATCTTACTGAATAGAATGTAGGAAATCAATGAGTGTAGACCCCATTGTGATGCGAATGCCAGCTTGAATTCATATTGCTCTTGGTAGGTTGAGATATAACGTTGAATGTAATTTGAGAACAGAGTGTCTGTCATGTACTTTGACATCTCACGGAATGCTTGTAGTTTGGTGGGTTTGTGACTCTTTGTTGTTCCGTTGGCAGGTGTCATCTCTGGCGTGGCAGAGGTGGTGGAGGTAGCCGCTTGACTTCCCAAGAGTTTGTTACGATACATCAAGAGTGGCGAATACAATTCTTGTTCTGGAATTTGATTGGACCAAACCTTGATGAGCGAGGTAAGCTCATTACCACCGATTGCCTGAGTCAGATTCATTTGGTTGTTGATTGGGATCAACGTTGGATATTGATTGAATGTAATACCACGACGTCTGGTCTCACGGTACTTGAGTAGCAGATTGTTTACGGAACAAAGGAATTGTGAACGTCTTTCACTGGTTCTTGGTGCTTGCTTTGCTGGGAAGAGCGGTGTGTCTATATCGATGAGGAATGGATAGGCGTTACCGTTGATACCGTGCAGTGTAACTCTTGGACAGAGCATACCGTTCGAGTTCTTCACCATCTGTGCAGTCAGACCGATTCTCTCAACCTTGATATTGTATTCTCCACTTGGATCACGTGATCCCCTGTAGATACTTGGAACCTCTAGTAGCGTTGGACGAAGAGATGCAAGTGTTGGGACAAGGCTATCCAATCGAACCGTAGAGTTTTGTCCATAGTAATTGGCAACGGTTGTAGATGAATCGACCTTTGTGTATATTGTACACAACTCTACGGAATGTTTTCTTTGTACCCATTCAATGAGTTTAACAATCAAACTTGAGAGGGACTGTCCTTCGGTCTCAATGAAATCAACTTCGAATTGAGATTTGTATTCCTCTACAAGCTGAGTAGTATTCTCTAGGGTTGTGACCATACCACAGAAATAGTGTTGGTATACTTGTTTAATCATATCGCGGATTGTAGTTGGAACTTCCTCTGTTGATTGAATTCTAAATGCCTCGAGGAGAATGTGATTCAATGAAGCGGTAAAGTGGTGAACAGCTGGGATGGTGTTTGCCAACTGAATGAATCCGTTCAACATTGTATCGATTTCACTGATCAGACAAGAATGATATGGCTGTAGTCCAACCGAGAGTGTTTCTGCCATTTTGAGTGGGCCTGGTGGAGATGGTCCGGTTGGATTGGCAACAGGTACAGGTGCAGTAAGAATGGGATTCTTTGGATTGAGTTTGATATCGGACACCAGTTTTCTGAAATGATAGTATGTGTAGTTTGGATAGTAGCAACAAATCTTACTGAGGAGTTGCCAACAGAGGAATCCATAACCTTGGAATTGCACACTCATGTAGGCACCGGTAATAAGAGTTGGAACATAACTCAACCACAACCAATGTGGAATAATGAGTGATCCAGTCTTTTCGATGGCAGAGAATACTGTTTGTGCCAATGTTGGTTTCTTGACTGCTGGAGTGGCGGGAGTGTTTGGATCGGCAGCGTTGGTACCATCGGCAGCTGTTGGTTGTGCTCCTGGATTTGCATTGGCAGCGTTGGCAGCGTTGGCAGCAGCGGCAGCAGCAGGAACAGGAATATTATGTGGTACTTCACCACATCCATTCAAATAGAGTAGCCATAGTATTCTTGGAAGAAGTTTAGTACCGTATCTAGGATCACATCTAATACCTTGGATGTAGCAATTGATTGCACTCTCTGCCCACGATGCTTTCATCTCTGGATCAGAGGTTTCACCGGTGAATTGTTTATCACAGAAGTAACCCCAATTTACCCAACTCTTTGAATGGTTATCAAACAGTTGAATGGCAGTCGAGAAGTTGAGATTGGCTTCACTGATGCGACCGAGTCGATTCTGGAATTCACCTTTCAGTTGGAAAAACTCTGACTTTTGAAGTGGCAAGAAGTAATCCAAGTTTGTACCGTTGATAATCGAAATACCGGTTTCATAATGCGTTGGAAGTTGAAGATAACACTTGATTTGCTCTTTGAGATTCAAAAAGATGTCTTGAACTTCAATTTGAAGATTGAACATCTTTGACAGTGAATTGAGACATAGCTCAATTATGTGGTGCTTACGATTGACGTGTGCATATTTGTTGGTTGTCCAAGCAGTCTCTGGTAGTACAATTGGTTTGTTTGGTGTACCGGTACCGACATTCATAAACTCTGAGATTTGTTCAACACCCTGGTTAATTAAGCTGAATACCTGTTGACGCCAAGTGAGGAGATCGTTCCAAACACCGGTGTCTTCATCCTTGCTTGGCAGACGTTCTCTCCAGATGGCAAAGATCGCTTTGACGTCGGTGATGGTGTTGGCAAGTACTTGTCGAGATGGCTGATTAGTTGGTAGACTTGAGAGAGTAACTTCCTTCAACAGATGCACAGCTTCCTGGAGTTCGACGACCTGTTGCATTTCAATCAATCCTTTGTTGTGAGCATGGAAAGAACGTTCCGGAAGACTGACCCATCGCTTTAGAATCAACTGATTCGAATTAACAATGTTTGGATCGACATCACTGAATCGCTTATCGATAATGAGTGAATAGCCTTGTAGGATCTTTCTAAAGGCAGTGTCTTCGAGAGGTGCCAACTTTGTAAGCGCTTCTTTCATGATGGGCCAAGCCGACAACTTCCAAGAGGATTCGACTAGCAGCTCATTCATATTCTGTTGTGAGCGTGCATAGTCCAACAGTACTTCCCATTGATTCAAACGTTTGGCACATTCAATCCAATGATCCTCCCAGAGTAGATTCTCATTCTTGCTGGTTGCTTTCGCACCGTTGCTACTATACTTGTTCATAGCAGCCAAGTAGACTTCCTGAGCGGATTGGAACATATAGAACTGTTCGAGAAGCAATCCAAGTTTAGTTTCATCACATGTGAATCTTCGACGTAGTAGACCAAACAATAGATCCTGTTCGTTCAATGTTTTATAGAGATAACCGAGTGCATCCCAAACAGGCTCTGTTTGTTCCGGTGTTTTCGTTCCCTCGAGAACATTGAACTCCAACATCTTGATAGCTGTGAAGAACGCGTTGAAGTGTTCACCAAGATAACTGATAACCTCGACAGGCACCTTTGGTTGAGGTGTACACTTGGATATCGACTCTAGCAACGTCTGGATAATCTGGTTCGACGACTCAACATTGTTAGCTGCTGTTGTTGCATTCTTGTTGTAATCTTTGGAGAGGAGGGAAGTGAGTGATTTCGAGAGTTTGTAGTGTTCATCACGTGAGAGCTTGCTCCACAGCGAACTGAAAATAGACACCCACAAACTGTGACAGAGTTGATTGTCAACGAATATCAATTCTCGCAAACTAGAAATAATATCACCAACAGATACGATCTTACAAGTATCTAGCCATTTGTCAAGACCACTGAGTAGCTCTGAGAATCCGAGTGGCATATTGGGAGCGACGTCAGATTGACCGGCGACATTTGGTAGGAGCGATTGGAACTTTGAAACACCCTGTACAAGAGATACAGGTTTGCCAACAGGTAGAATTGCTATGAGCAAGTCTAGCGCGTGTCTAATCCAATAGGTATTTCCAAGTTGATCCCACTGCTGATTGGCAATGATATAGTTGAGACGCTGGTATGGAGTGGAGCTGATGGAGCGATGCAATATCTCAAACAATCCTTTTCTAATCTTTGGATCGTGTGAGCGTAATCCAAGCATAAATCCTGATTCCAACTGTGAGAGTTCAACACGACTCGATGTTGGATCACTATAGACCTGATGAATCAAATTAAAGTAGGAGGCAATCAAGTCTTTTGATTCCAACTGACCGAACCGACTCATCTTCAAAATGAAATTGACCTTTTCTTTTGATTGCAAAACACCTGCATACTCCTTTTGTGTAATCAATTGTGTGGTGAAATTGAGACACTCTGTGAGTAGCTCGATATCGTTGTGTCGCTCGAGCAACACCAGCAACGATTGGAGGAATATCTTTTTGTGGTCGGCAGAGAGTTTGGTAATCTTTTGTCGAATCAAATTGAAACACTTTGAGAGCGCGGCAATGATTTCTTTTTCAGAGCGTTTCGGCTGGAATTGGACTTGTGCTGCGGCAGGTGGTTTGAGTGCAGCGGGTTGGTTCGGTCGTGGTGGCTGCTGCTGAGCGGGCACAGGATTGGCTGGCTGTTGTACAGGTATGGTTGGAACTGTTTCTGGACTGAGCAAGTAGCTAGTGAGACGATGGATGATCTTTATGATGTTTGGTAGGTGTGGTTCGATCCAGTCGGGATTATCCTCTTTGAAGACGGCAATCAGCGAGAGTGTCTGAACGTTCAAACTCTTTTCAAAGTTGGAAAGATTCCATCCGACTGCCGTTGAGACAGAGTTGTAGAAGCTGATGATGTCAGGATGAGTCGACTCCTTACCAAGCGGGAATGCAACGAGCATCTTCTTGATGATCGAGCAAATCAACTGAGAAATCTTTGGATTGTCTTGGTTGATCGACGGTAGGAATTGTGGAAGATTGGCAAGATTCGCCGGCACAAAAGTGGCAACCTGATACTCCAAGATAATATTCAAAATATTTAGAGTGGTCGAGAGAATGAGAACTTGGTCACTGGCCAGTGATTTCTCAAACGCCGAGAATTTGATTGATGCGTCCGGCCAAATAGAGAGCGATTGACGCAAAAGTTCAGAACATTTCTCGACGAGTGCAGTGTTTTTGGCATCGGTTGCATTGGTCATGAGTCTAATGAGGAATTGGAGAATGTGTTCCACTACGTTGGCAGGTGGGCGATACTCGTCGTCTGCCGATTGAGTGATCGGTGTGGTTACCTGTTGACTTGGTGTTGTTACACTGACTTCGGTGGTTGGTGTGACTGGTGGAACCGAAGCGATAGTGGACGGTGTCGAACCGGTGGTGGTCGAAGAAGACGAGGCGACACCAGCACCCGAAGGTATTAGATGAGGATTCAAACGCCACTTTTCCCATGTGATAATCAACTCTGTGAGATCGATAGACAACTTCTTGTTCTCCGGTGAGATGTTGGAAACCAATCCCAGCTTTGGAAGCGAACTGACCATTTGTGGAATGAATTGTGCACGTGAGGAATAGAACAGAACGGGATGTCTGACAATGAGCTGAAGGATATGCACGAGTTGTTGAGGTGTGTGTGATTCTTCAACAATGATTTTCTTTGTCCATTTGATCCAAGTGTTTCTAATGTTATCACCAATCAATCTGGTTTTCAAGGTGGGAACTAGAATGTCCAACGCCTGCTTGACAAGATGTTTCGCTTCGATTTGGAATGCTTTCAGTAGTTGTACGTAGACTTGCAAAACAATCTTCGAAGGTGTTTCATAGGCTTCGATGAATCGACACGCCAAAACATAGGCAGTCTGACGACAAGTGAAATCATCATTCTTAAAGTGATTCCATGCGAATTTGATAAGTTCTTTACGCACATCAATGAGAATCTGTGGAGCATTCTTTATGAGAGTTGTCTCCAGTTGGAGAAGTTCAATCAGGAGTGTCTCATCTTGGATTGGCTCTGTCTCTAGTGGGAGAGACTGACGTGCCAGATTAGAAAGAAGTTCGTCGGCTGCCTGTGACTTGTGAGCACCGTTTGGACCGTGCTGGAAGAACGATTGAACGAGTGGCGACACGATATTCTGAATGGCGTGAACCTTCAGTTCTGGAGTGGTGGTCGGTGCCTTGGCAAATTCGAGGTAGGCAGTGAGGATCGATATCTTTTGTTCGACGGTGGTCGACTCTGGTAGTTCATTCTGATAGAAGTCACGCAGGAATGCGAAATCGATTGGACCACGAATGGTAAAGGCAAACAACAGGTAGAAGAGCAACTCATTCTCGGCATGGTGTAATCGACAACACTGAATGAAACACTTGACAATCATTCTGGTCTCCTTGATGAGGTTTGGCGATACGATATCACCGGACACCAATTGGCCTTTGCGACCTGGATGACGCCAAATATCGATGAGACGATCGAGTATCGGACGATGAAGAGTCAGCCAGTTTGGAATGATCTTGACGATAGTGTTGATCAAGCTGAGCGCCAAGAATTGATAGTCCGGGTTATATGTAGACATAGCATCGATCCAGTGTTGATAGTTCCTGGCTAGCTCGTCAACGATGGGACGAGCGATATCACCGGCTTTGACAATCAGCCTGAAGGTTGTAGCGTATTGCGGGAGTAGTGGAGTCGACTGAGGAACGGTCCAAGCTTGAGAGATAAAGATATCGACAGCTTTTGCTGGATATTTCGCAAGGAATCGGATGAGTGGCGCACGATAAGGACTGTTCACCTCACGACCCAACTGCTGTTCGAGTTTCAATGTGAGGACAGTTGTCTGCTCCAATAGCTTCACTGCAGTCGGCAAGAGATGGAAAGTATCAATGATGGCAGCACAGATTCTCACCTCTTCAGTCTCTTTGAAACGATTGGCCGCTTGAGTAAGCTTGCCGGTATCGTCAAATTTCTGAGATACTCATAGAGACGTTCTCCAAGTGCAGCGTTGAAGCAGGTCGATAGCAGTTCGAGTAGTCGCGATAGACCCTGCAGGAATGGCACCGATATATTCTTGGGATCAGTGAGATTAGTCAACACCGGTTTCAAGCAGAAGTGTAGCAGATCACGGTGTATTCTGTTCTGTGAGATTGCCAAGTGTAGACCACGCTTTGCTACTGCAGCGATCTCTTTGTTACGAATGGTGACTGCCTTGAAGAATGTACGAATGATACGATTCATTACATCGGTGACACCCTCATACGCTACAAACTCTGGACACGCCATTGCGGTGGCAGCCATTTCCAGGCCGGCTTGACGCAGCTTGGCGAGAAGCGAGATGTTCTTTTGCGAGTTTGCTTTGATTTGAATGCTTGGATCTTCGCCACCCGATATATTATGACAATCTTGAATGAATTTGATCGATTCCTGATTGAAAGGAATCATCGATACCTTTTGACCGATGCAAAAAGTGAGTGCTTCCATCACACCGGCCTGAGAGGCAAACGAGAGAGTCTTTAGCGACTTGGGTAAGATACTCATAAAGAATGCACGTGGATCGTCGTGTAGCAAGTGAATTGGAATATTGGTGATTTGTGAAACCAGTTGAATCATCTGTTGAACGAGCTTGCGAGTGTGAGATTGTGAGGCAAACAACGAGCGGAATAGACACTCGATGAAATCTTTAAAGAGTGGTCGTTGTGTTTCATCGAGTTGTGCAAGTGTTGCATGTGGTTTAATGGGAGGTGGTGGTGGGAGTAATGCAGGTTGCTGGACAGGTCCATTCGGTTGTCCAGGAGTACTACTGGCTACAGCAGCAGGTGTATTGGCTGTGTTGGAAGTTGAAGTTGATACAGTGGTTGGTGTAGAGATGGTTGTTGTCATAGCATTGTAAGGTGATGGAGGAACAACATTGGGTGCAGGTGTCATTGGTGAAGACGGCGAGGAAATACTCACCGGAGTTTGGTCCAACATTGTATTGGCCAACGAAGGAGTGGGTGGAATTGGTGTGGATTGCGCTTCAATATCCATAGCTGTGACACTCGGTGTCATAACACTCTCAGTGTTTGCAATTGAATTGGCATTCAATGGTGAAACAGGAGATGATATAGTTTGATTGGCAGCACCATTACTATTGCCATTGCTATTGGTGTTGTTATTGCTATTTGTGTCAATATCCATTGGTTGTTCAACAATTAAATTACTTGGAGAACATGCTTTAACAAGCGATTCAACAACTTCATTGGTGTAGTCAATGAGTGGTTGATAACCGGAATAGGTAAGATCGTCAACTACGTGTAGCAATGCCTTGAGTAGCTGCGTTTGATATTTGTTCATCCATTGACGACACTCTTGATACTTGCCAACAAAGAATTGGATACCAACAACGCCAGCATGTTTCTGTCCGTAGTGACTCTGGTAGCAATGATTGATGAACGACTCAATGAGATATTTACAAATGGGTGGTGGTGAATCAGCGCTGCCATCGGAGCTATCGATACTCGCGCCATAGATAGTATTGATGGTCTTGTAGAATATCTCGAGAATACCGTGTTGATCTTCGAGTGACAATACATTCTTGGATTCAGAGTTGCGACGTGATAACAACTCGATGAACGAATCGATTATGAGATAGGGATTGAGTTCGCCAGTGGCCAGTGGACTATTCATTCTGCGAGTGGACATCACCAAGAAGAACGAATGTATTAACTCTGTTAGGAACGGACGTGATTCGCTCTTGAGAGCATCACAACCGTAGGCAACAAAGAAACCAGAGAGCAGCAACTTGATAACACGCTTCTCTTCAATCAGCTCATCTTTACACTTGGTAGTGTTCAACAGTGTGATAGAGAGAGAGGATGAAGATGAATTTAGATTTGAACTACCACCGGTATTTCCACCGGCAACAGGAGAAGTTGGAACCACGTCCATCGATAAACTATTGGAAGTGGTGACATCTGAGAATATTATACTGACATTGCTATCGAGTTGTTTGTTCGATTGGATGGTATTGTAGATTTCCGATGCATGTGAATTCAATGATTCCTTGGTGTTTAGCTTGAGACTGACAATAGACTTGAGGAGATTGAATGCATTCGTCTGAATGAATGAATCCGATGAGTTTCCGTAGAGTAGATTGGTGGCTGACTCGATCGTCTTGTCAAGTGAAACATTGATGTGGGTGTTGGTGGCGGAGTCGATGGGCATCAACAATCTAAAGGTATCGAGATTCACTTGTTTGCTTGTGAATAGCGGTGTTCCAGAGATGACGGTTGGCGTTCTACTTTTTCCGGCCATCTTTCCGAGGACTCTGACTGCATGCGGTCCAAAAAAGTATGGCGTCGGCTTCAAGTGTATCCAGATCGAGTGGAGAAACTCTGATTTGTGCTCCTTGAATATGTTCAGGAGGAAGTCACCGGTGATATTATCGATGAGCACCTCAATAGTGCTGAATGCAATCGAGAGTAGATCCGATGAATTCGATTGCAGTGCCATTATCAGCGGACGAACCAACAGATGTATACAAGGCAGGAATGAACTTGTTCTCAGCGGGATGATGAGTGTAAGCTCAATAAAGAGATAGATCATCTCTTGTGAATAGGAACTCGTTAGCAACTCATTGAGAGTCTCGAGAATCGCTGGGAACAACAAGGTTATGTCTTTGTGGAAGTCGGATTTCGCACAGTTTCTAAAGATAATCTTTAGCAACATGAAATAGTGTGGCGAATCCGAATGTTTCGATTCAACGGCGAGCTTAATGATCTGCAATATCATACTGGACAGAACCGAATGAATGGCAGGTTCCACTTCATTATTTACATTTTGAACTGATCCAAAAAGATGTTTCAACAATCTAATTAAACATGGATCAGGTTTATCATTTGGTGTTAAATTTCTAAATAACCAATAACAATATATCAATTAGTATATATATTATTAGTTGTTGTTATTTCTTAACTTTACTTACTTTAATTTTTCATTTAAAAAGGGTGCTAAAATCTCAGAGAATATCTTACTTGGGTTATTGGTTTGTATTGGTTGAGATATCAATAGAACTTGTGGAATGATTAAGAGGGTTGGGTCTTCGCTTGCTTTTTCATAGAGGAATCCCATGACCGATGTGAAAAGCTCTTGGAAAGTGCGATAGTCCAGTTGGAGCAGTGTGTTGGCATAGTGTTCGAGGTTCTCCTTCTCTTCGTTGGGTACAGGATTGACACCTCCATAGATCGGTAGACACTTTACAAGATTCTTGAATAGTTTGATGTACATGAGTGATTCATCGACTGGTGGCAGCGCAAAACGAATATTCTGTTGACCGGTTGCTGTCATTATAGGTCTCTGACTCGGACATGAATTCAATGCCCAAATCGTGTTTCTGAATCCACCGATTATACATTTAAGCAATCCTCTACAATCCTTTACAGGATCACTAACTGGCATACCACCACTTGTATCAGTAGTTGTAGTAGTAGTAGCTGTTGCTGTTGTTGTTGTAGTTGTAGCTGCTGTTGTTGTTGTTGTTGTTGTTGTTGAAGTTGAAGTTGTTGAAGCTGTTGATGTTGATGATGATGATGAACTATCTTCATTTGTATTTACATTTGATTGCTGTTGTTGTGTTTGCTGCTGTTGTGTCTGTTGTGTTTGTTGTAATTGTAGCTGTTGTTGTTGTTGTTGATTTAATTGCTGTTGTTTCAATAGATGTGGAATTTGTTTTTTTAGACTAACAAATTTGTTAATGAAAGACTCGAAAATCTTATATATGATTGAACGAGCCTTGAATTCTGGATCTGGTTTTCTTGGAATATACTCTACAATACTGATAAATAGCTTGGCGGAAATCGTTTGAATGCCAAAATGATTGGTCGAATCGTGTAGGTGTTTCGAGTAGAGTGTCACAACCTTGGCGATGTGCGTCAGTGTTAACTCTTGTCGCATATGATGAATAAAGTCTGCCAAACTCGAGTAGGCGATGAATTTCAGTGTTTCGTACGATGTCTTTGATGTTCCGATTAGGATCTTCTCGTCGAGCAGCACGTCGAGGTAGTTGATGAAGCGGATCTTCAGGTCCGACGAGAGAATGTAACGCGTTGCGATGAGCAGCTCCTTGCGAATGGCCGACGACTGTGCCGGACACGATTGGAGCAGCTGGATGACGTACTTGGGGAGCGTGTCGATAAACGGACGAACCATATCCATGTGCTGCTTCAAGATGTACGCGAGGAACGACAGTGTCTTGACTTGCGCAGCGATAAAGTCGACGTAGAGTGCGTGGTGTGTGGTGGGAGCGGTCGCCGGCGGAACCAACGAGAGCGTATTGACAATCAGCGGAATGAACTTGGAGACGTTGGGAGAGACCGACGACTGATACAACTGGAATAAAAGTACAACGATGACAGGACATTCCGTTATCACTTTGAATGACGACATACTCGGAGTGATACGCTGTCCTGTGCCGCCAGCACCTGGTGCTGCCAGTGGTGGTGAAGATGTTGTATTGGCGGCGGCGGCAACGGCGGTAGTTGTAGTTGGCGCGGTGGTGGTAGTTGTAGTTGGCGCGCCAGTTGGAGTGGTAGCGACGACAACTGCACCTCCACCAGTTGGCGAAGTTATTCCAGGTGTAGAAGATGTTGTTGTAGCATTACCTGCACCGATGGCAACTGGTAATGCAGGTGGTGGTTGTTTAAAGAGCTTGTCGACGGTGGCAGGCAAGTCACTGTACATCTTTTGTACGATATTTAAAAACGGTTGAACCTCACTGTCCAGATTAGGACGGTAGTTCTTGTGCAGCTCCATAATGATACGCAAACAGATGATTGCATTATCTTCGTTGTCAACCTCAAGCAAATACATTGAAAGTTGCAACAAGTGTTGAACTTGCGGCCTCAACAACTCATTGTTTGGCAGCTTATTCAATATCTCTAAAATTATATTTCTAATCTTTTGTTCTGTTGAATTTGCATCGAATTGTACCTGTTGTTATTCATTGATCATCATATCATCAACAGCAAATATAAGTATAAATAGATATAGTGGTTATTAGTATTAAACAATAACAAAGGTATTGTAATTGATTTACTTACAGGTATCCCTTGTCTAACGATATTATAAAAGACAGGAAATAGAAATTGAAGAAACGAACTGTATTCACTCGAATGTATTACTTCAATATTATCTCTAATCTCTGTCACTATCTGAAGCAATGCATTCAATTCATTGTTGTTATGCATTTCAAAACATCTTCGAGCGCAATGCTCAAAGTTAACTTGATGTGTAGACATCTCTTTGTAGAAAAAAGAAACTACCAATACTAATAACTACTTTTTTTTATCTCTACAAATAATTAATAATCAAACTACTAATTTGAATGTTTAAACAAGTAAGTATTTACTAATGCTTTTTTTCTTCTTTTTTTTTATTCTAATTATATATACTTACTTTACTTTTATATATATATTTATAAAAGTTAATAATAATGAAAAAAAAGTGAAAAAATATTTATAAAGTTTGTTTGCTAACTATCAAACTAACTAACTAACTATATAAAATGAATATATATATAAATAGTATATAGATATATATATTATCTTATAAAAGAATAGATTTGAATTTGATAGTTGGAAGAGAGATAGGATAGAGATAAAGTAAATAAACTACAAAAAACTAGTTTGTATTAATATGCACTTCAAAAAAAAAAATTTTTAATTTTTCAAACTTTTTCGAAAAAAACTTGGTATTACAGAATGACAAGGGTATGGTCAAGGGTAAGATGTATGTTACATTATTTATAAATAACATCATTGTTATTATTATATTGATATGAGATTGTTGCTATTATATTTGTATATTGTTGTTGTTTTTGTTTTATACTGGTGTTATTAATGAAGGTGGTGGAGGTGTCCATGATGAGACACGGTTGTTGTGATCGAGATAGTAGATACGACCGTGATCATCGATACGACACTCCCAACCGGGTGGAAGTTGTGGTCTTTGGTTCGGTTGTCTACCGTTGTTCTTTCCACGAATGGTTTTGCTGTAGTGATCTTTTCTGTGTTTTCTAAAGGTACGTTGAATCAAGACAGCCGCTTTCTCGCGTTTCTGCTGCTCGCCAGCAACACCACCGCTACCTCCAAGCTGTCCACCACTTCCTCCAAGCTGTCCACGCTTTTCAATCGCGTTCCCCGAAACTGGATTTTGCCAAGTAGTTTGTTTAGTATTATGATCTATATAGTAAGTTCTACCGAATTGATCTACTCTTGCTTCCCAACCATCCGGTAATTTTATAGTTAAATCAGGTGATGATTCTGTTTGCGTGTGTAAAATGTTAGTGTTAGAAAAGACAACTTTGTTTTGTTTTGAAGTTTGAATAGTTTGTTTTTGAATAGTTTGCTTTACTTACTGGTTTGATCACCTAACAACTTTGGTAGTGGTACACCAGAGAAGAATGCTTGGGCGTTGACTATACCGGTCTCTTTGTGTAGACCGTCTCTGAGTTGTGCCAACTGAGGAATATCGTTGAATTGCAATTTGATTTGGATGTCTGCAACTTTGTTGTTATCCATATCGAGTAGGAACGTCTTGATCAACTTGATATCACCCTCGATAAATGAAAATATACTCTTTACGGGTATCTTGATCTGTGCTTGTGTAACATTCTTGAGAGAACGCGATTCCTTCAATTCGAAATGCAACTGACTGTCGACGAAATCCTTGAGTGAAATCACCTGACTAATCGGTGTAAGTCCAGCCCATGTCGGACAAGAAGATCCTTGAATCTTTTGTGTTGAAATAATATTGTTTTTACTGTTGATGTGGAAAATTGAATTCAAAATTCAAAATTAGTCAGTCAATCAAAACATTTTCTAAAACATATATATATATATAATTGTTTTTGAAATAACTAACTTACTTTAATGAATACTCAATGAAATTGGTTGAGTCATGATGTGAAGAGAATAGAGACTCGTGCATGTTGGTGACGGAGAGGTAGTCGAGACACAAACGAATTCGAGTGATGTGGTGCATTTCCAGTTTGAATTGCAGACGGCCAACACCGAGTGTTCCTTTCGTGAGGAGGAGGTCGTGTGCTACAGGTCCGGTAGCGAGCGTGTAGAGGTCGACTAGCACCTGACCGACGAGCGAGTCGGAACCGATCGACTTTCGCTTGTACAGTGATATCTTAAAGAGTTTGAGGTTCAACTTGTGAATGAATTTCGTCTCGTACTGGAAATCGAAACGTTCCTTCCACTGAATGGAACCCTCACGTGAAGAGGTTACAACATCGGTCTTGCATTGTTTGAACTGGTCGAAATCTGTTGTTATATAAAGATTTCTATTTCGACGAGTGTGTGAAGCACTCAGTCCACTGATAACAATATTAAACTTATCCAAAGTATTGTTACCATTGGAATTACCACCATTTTGTTGATTTTTACTCATTTATATATTTATATTATATAATTTTTATAATTTGATATATATATTTATGAAAAATATTAAAAACAATGATTTGATAAAATATTATATAATATGAAATATAAAATGTGAATATGAAATATATATAATATGAATATGAAATATTTATGATAACTAAAACTAAAAATTATATATAATTACTATACAATACAAACGAACTTACTAACTACCTAACAATATGTACAAAAAAATTAAAACAATAATAATTTGTTGTTTAAAGTATTAAAACAAAAAAAATTTGTGGTATGAATTTTGATTAGGAAAGTTTTTGATCAGTTAACAGACTACCTTTGCAATTTTTTGATTTGAGCAAAAATTTTGAGTAAAACGATCGAGATTTATAAAGTGATCAAGAATAAAAAATTTCGGGTTTATGTATTTATAAATTTAGGTTGTTCAACAATATCATTAATAATAATAACAAAATAATTATCAATTATTTGAAAGAAAGATCAGATTTAAATTATCACATATTTAATAACAACAGTGATCTATCATTATTTAAAAAAAGATCAAAAGAAATATCATGATTGATCAAAAACAAAAAATTAAAAAAAAAAAAACATATGAAGTTTTTTTAGTCATGATTTATGAATAGTTAATTTATATTAATTTATTAATATATAAAATATGAATCAAAAGAATTTAGAACTTTGTAAATCATTGATAAAAACAATCATATGTTGATCAAGCAACACAAGCAATCTCACAGTATAACTCATTGATTAATAACTTACTTTCACATGTATGTTTTATTTTTATTTTTTCTTTTTTTTTTTTTTATTTTGGTCATTTTTTAATTGATTATTGGAATTGAATTCATTCTATAGAGAAAGCTACCGGATGTTGGTTGGGATGACAATGTTATAGAATGGTTCATCAATGAGATCTCAATGATGGACTCGAACAATTTCATAGAGAATATCGGTGTTGGCGAACGTGAAGGTCGTCTCTACTCTCAGATTGTTGCACGTCGTCACTTTGGACTGGCACACGGCATCGGCCGCAGCGGTGATATCAACGAGCAACAACCGAAAGCAGCGGGATCCTCTCTCATTCAGAAACTGACAAACTACTTGGTGTTGGATGCTCTTAGGATTGCCGGCCTAGAGAAATCGATTGACGCCTGTCTCGTTCTGCCGATGGCCACAGGCATGACGATTGCACTCACCCTCATGACAATGAGACAGACCAAACCGAAAGCAACCTATGTTCTCTGGCCTAGAATCGATCAGAAATCATGTCTCAAATCGATCGTAACAGCATCTCTAACCCCCATCGTCATTGAGAATCAGCTGATCGACGATGTCATAACAACCAATCTTCAAACCATCGAAGAAACAATCAAATCACTCGGTGCCGAAAACATTCTATGCGTTATGTCAACTACATCTTGTTTTGCACCTAGAATACCTGATAAGTAAGTAGTAGCAGCAGCATACTTTTTGGAAAAGAGTAACTAACATTCAAAATATATTGTTGACAAACAAAAGAATTATAGAAATAAGTGAATTGTGTAAAAAGTATGATGTTGGACATGTTATTAATAATGCATATGGATTACAGTGTACAAAGATTACACATCAGATTTCACAGTCTGTAAGATTGGGTAGAGTTGACTATGTGGTGCAAAGTACCGATAAGAATTTCATGGTACCCGTTGGCGGTGCAATCGTAGCCAGTCCACTGGCAGAGAACATTGATCGACTCGCCAAGAACTATCCAGGTCGTGCCAGTGGCGCACCGATTCTAGATCTATTCATCACGCTTCTGTCAATGGGAAGAGCGGGATATCGTAGACTGCTCGACGAGCGCAAGCAACTACTTCCTTACTTTATCGATGAGATGAGTAAAGTTGTGAAGGAGGTGGGTGTCGGTAGAATTCTAAACACTCAGGCCAATACCATTTCATTCGGTATTGCAATTGACTCGAATGACGTCAGTAAGAGCGTGTTGGCAAAAGATAACATTTCAATGATTGGTTCAAAATTGTTTATGAGATCGTGTTCAGGTGCTAGAGTGATCGATGTACAATCGGGTCAAAAGAAATCGGTTGGTAACATCGATTTCAAAAACTATGGATCTCACATCGATAACTATCCCACCAGCTACCTTACTGTTGCTTGTGCAATCGGTATTACAAAAGAGGACATTGATCTTTTCAGTAAGAGATTAAAGAAAGTATTAATGAATAAATAAATAAACATTTTAGAGGGAATATAATTTATCAGTTTCATCTCTATACAAATATAAGTAGTTTTATTATAAAAGGCAACTCTGATCACATGTGAAAATCAATACACTGAAAGAAATAGAATAGAAAGATCCAACACATGATTGATAATCGACAGTTTCGAATCATATCCTTCGAATACTTTACAATTATAAAGATTTGCAATACAACCATTATCTATATCAATTCCGAATTTACAGCTTCGTAATAGATTAAATTAAAATTAGTAACCAATAATATATAAAATAAAAAAAAACCAAACCATTTTAGCTAATTAATTAACACTTACCATTCTTTACTACGACTACTATCATTATTATTATATTTCGATTGTAATTCACTTAGCAGTTGTGAACCGTTGAAACCACAGTTTCTTGAAAGTGTAACAATTAGTGAATGTAAACTATCGATGATGGTGTCGACTACCAATGATTCCTTTGGTGATAGGTCGAGCTCCGATTTCAGCGACTCCAAGTGACATGCCAAAGACATCTCCATTGCACCGCCACCAACGACAACATTGCCACCAGATTTCGCAATCCTGTCAATCACTTTGATCGTATCTCTCAATCCAATCTCTGCTTCCTCCAGAAATATACTTGTAGATCCACTTAATAATATAGTTCCAAATTTTGATTTATTATTATTATTATTACTACTATTGTTGCTTTTGTTGCTGTTGTTATTATTCTCACTACTATTATCACTATTCATTGTAAATAATTGGTATTTTTCATTATCTATCAATATTTGTTTGAATGTATCACATCTACCATAGAATTGTATGTCCTCTGCTAGATCCAGTAGTGTTGATTGTATCTCACCACCCAATGCACACTTTATCCTATTCATAGTTTGACCATCAACTCTACCACTACACTGTATACCATGTTTAACAAATTCCTGTGTTGCAAAATCACCTATACTCTTTATATTTAATAAACAAATTGGGTGCAATTAGTATTATTATTATTATTGTTATTAATATTTAAGAAACAATAACAAAACACATTAAACATAATTATAACATACTTTTGTTGATAATACAACATTAATATTATTCTTATAGATATTATCGAGTTGATTTAAAAATAGATTCCTCTCTAAATCTATGAATTGTTGATATTGATTCATGCTGTTGATCTCTAAAGTTGCATATTCCTTTTGATGTTTCAACTCTACATTGATGTCCAACAATAGAATCTTTGGTTTACTAATGAACCTTGGTAGACTACTCGATCCAGCATATGAGAATGTTTGTTTAAATAAAATACCATCTATTACTCTATAAACAAATGTATTACCATCATCATCATTATTATTACTACAATTATTCTTTGTACCAATAATCGATTGTATACTATAATTATTTATATCTAAATTATCTATTCCTATAATATTAATTAAACTATAGTTATAACAAGTTTTAATTAATAAATATTCATATTAATATAACATAATAATATACATTACTCTTTAATGATATTAAAAGATAAATGATGATCAAATAAAACATTTCCAGCTAAACTTGTTTTGATAGTCGATTTTAGAGTTTCATCACATTTTATATCTATTTTCAATTTGTTTCCGTTGAAATATTGATTGATCGACTTTTTACATTTCTAAGATCGATAGATAGAAGTTTATAAATAAAAAGTTATTATTGAGATTTAAAACAAAATAATATGAAAACAAACTCACATTTAATACATTGACAATTAATTGTGGATCAAGATTAAGTGTTGTAAGCATAGATGAACATCGCTTTAATATCTGATTCAATAACAATATGATTTGACCTACACCATTACCATGCTTTAATATAAATATAAATATGAAATTAATGTTAATCAATCTATAGTTCTAGAAGATAATTATTTCAACGAAATTCAAATACTAAGAAAAGAAAAGGTACCTTTTGTTTATGTTTTAAAAGAGGATCAAGTAGAATATGATAGATAGGTGAATCAATATTTAATGATCTAACTATTGTCATTGAATCTAATAAAATTAAATAAATAAATAAATAAATAAACTATTGTTCAATTATTGAAATACTATTCATATTCTAGAAAAACAACAACAATTATAACTATAAAAACAAACCTTTTGTAACAACACTATTTAATGTTGAAATTAAAGATGGATTATCATAGTTTGTTGAACCATCTTCTTGTTTATCATCGCTAATTCTACTGATAATCTTTACACCTGAATAAGGTCCGAAACTATCAATCAAATAACTTGCAATCAATTCCAATTCTTTACAATTCTCAACTATTCTTTCATTTAAAACATTATAATTATTATTATTATTATTATACATTTATATCTAATATATAATAGTTTGATTGATTGATTAAAAGATTGATAAAGAGCAGCAACACATTATAATGTATTGACTGATTGTTTGTGACTTAGACAAATTGAAAAACTATGTCGATTTTTCGTAGTTCAGTTGAAATTCAAAATATTATTTTTTCGAAATTTTTATTTTCATTTTTCAAAATTGCTCAGTGTTGTGGGGTACTCACTGGCTGTGATCCTCTGTGTCGCTGAGCCTGCAATCCAGCACACGCACACACCACTCACTCTCATTCTCTGTCACAATAGCAATCGATATCCTCGTTCACTAGTTTTCTTCTCTCAATCATCAGATCATTAAGGGGATTCAATAAAAAATGAAGTATGTAGAAAGAAATAGAAATGATAATACTTGTTAAGAGTTATCATCGTAGATAGAAGATAGATAGACAGGTCAACAGATGATTAACATAGTTCATTCTCTACCCTACCCACCTACCTAATCTAACATTATAGGACTGGAATTTGCAATTTCTCAGAGTTCAAGATCTATCCAGCTAAGGGAATCAAGTTTGTCCGTGGTGACTCAAAGGTTTGTTATACGTTGTTTGAGATTACAAAGTCAGTTAGAAGCTAATTATCATCTCCACACATACATTACTACACAACATATAGACTTTCCACTTTATCAACGGTAAGGTCGAATCTCTCTTCTTCAGAAAGATCAACCCAAGAGATATCCCATGGACCTCTGTCTACCGTAGAATCAACAAGAACGTTTCAGTCGAGACTGGTGCCAAGAAGAGAACCAAGAAGACTCAAAAGTTCGAGAGATCCATCGTTGGTGCTTCCTTGGAAGTCATCAAGCAAAAGAGAGAGCAAAAGCCAGAGTTCCGTGCTGCTCAACGTGAGGCCGCCTTGAGAGACATCAAGGAGAAGAAGAAGGCTGCCGCCTCCACCAAGGCTGCTGCCCCAAAGGCTGCCGCTGCCAAGAAGGATGCCCCAAAGACCACCAAGACTGCTGCCAAATCCAAGTAAATTAATGGTGTTTTTTAATGTTCCCCTTAAATATGAATAAAGTATTATAAAAAAAAACAAAACTACTTTCCTACTACTATTTTTATCATTATACATTATGCTGATCGAACAAACAAACAAAAGTACACATCATTAGATATAGAAAGTCATATTGGTTATTTGCACAGAGTTTATTTTTATCATTGTCAGATTCAAAATCAATGAGATGAACATCATAATTGGTTAGTTATAATATCTTATAAGAGATACTGTTGTTATTGATTTATTTGGTCACCAAAACTTATGATTTTCATTGATTTATTCAATCTCCTCACAAGTATTTTAAACTTTTCATAATACTCAGTTTGGATAAGGTCTTTCTTTAATTAATTTAAACTGTACCGATCACCGAGAATCTAAAGATTATAAAAGGATCACAATATTACCAAATCCATTTCAAATTTGATTAGGAGAATATTAGATTAAAATAAAAAATATTAATGCTATGTTATATAAATGATTCTTATTATATGTTGAAATGTAGTTTCACTGAATCCTTCATCGTAAAATCAGTTGAACCATTCAAATAAAGTCTGAATGTCCAATACTGGAAGAATTACTATAGGATATTCCATTCATGTTGGAGCAAGGAATATTTGTTCCTGAATGTCCATTGTTGGAAGTATTTTGAGTACAACTATTGGTTCAATCTGCGCTGGTGTAGGTCTCACTTGTTCATGAAGGTGAATTGGTAGTAGCACCCAAGTTGGCCCTGGGCGCTCTTGTGCTTGGGTGTGAAGTTGAATTAGAAGTAGGAGTGCCTAGTCCTGTGATTTGGTATTTCTACAGTACATAGTTGCCACTAAATTTGGATTCATTCCGTATATAACATGTAGACTATTTTCGTTCATAATAGTTTCCACCTAATCCTTTAACTTGTATAGATGATATCCGAATTGTCTTTAGAAATATGCACTACTTATGTCTAATTCGGAAATGCTGTTGGAGGTAGGTTCAACAGACTTTACAATTAGGGACGCAATAAAACTACACTCTATATCATTATATATAGAATAAAAATAAATAAATAATTTTCATTGTTGTGATTTATTTATCCACAGAAAAGAATAAAAAACAATTTCACACATATGACTGAACTGAGAAAAATAGTAATGATTTTTATTCATTTAAATAAAAAAGTTCAACCAAAAGTAAAGATGTTAATTTAATCTATTTTTTTTTAGTTTATTAGCAACTTTCTTTGTTTCTAATTATTAATAATTAATATTGAAAGAATTAAAATATTTTATTTTAAGAATATATTACTACCTTTTTCAAATAGTCATAATTATCATTTTTTAATTTTAGTATTATTAAAAAAAAAATTATAAAGTAATTTTTTTAAATTTACTAAATTATATTATTATTGTTGTAATATAAAGTATCCATTTATTCCTGTAATTATTACCAATATTATTTAAAATCACAAGTATTTTTAAATTTGACTAACAAATAATTGTGGTGTATTATGTGTGTTAATGATGAATCAAACTATGAGTTTTAGAGATATTTATTAATATCTACTAATAATTATCAATTATCTATTATTTTTATAACTTTGAATGTTATAATTATGGTTTACAAATAAGTATTTAAAGAAGTTATCAAACTTGTAAATTTCATTCAAAACAAAATATAAATATAAATCTAAAATCAACTTTACAATAATATTTCTAGCTAAATAAATAAAAAAGAATGAAGTTTACAAGTTTTGCCTTTTTGTTGGTTGCCATTACATGTTTGTCAGCAGTCTCTGCGACATGGCAACAAGTTTGTGGATCGAATGTCTGTGGTGTCGGTCAAGTCTGTGTGTGTCGTGATGGTGTCAGCAACTGTGTCTTGTTAGATCAATGTCACGATGTTGCAATCGTTCAGACTATTGAACGTACTTGGGAAGAGAATGGAGTACCATTCACACTCTACCGTGTTCATGTTGTCAACTATGCACCAATGACACTCCAACAAATCGTTATTGAAACCGACTGTACCTTGAACCCACGTGACAACAACTCTGTCTGGAATATCATTTACGATCACGGATACTTCCTCCTCCCACAATACGCTCAAGGTATCAAACCAGGTCAAACCTTCACCTTTGGTTACATCGATCACGGTAGAGTCGCTCCAAACCTCTTCATCAAAGCACTCACCTATTAAATAACTTATCATTTCATTTAAAATATATTAATAAATATAAATAAATATTAAATATAAATCAAATTCTATAATTGTTTTGTTATTTTAATTAATTTATTGTGTTAGATGACATTCTGCATAACTTTATGATTTGAGTCCTGTAAAAATTTCAAGTAACGTTGAATTTTGAAGTTTTCAATTTTTTGATTTTTTTAGCATTTCGCATTCGCTTGTGTGAGTGCCCACACCAAGAGTGTACATATGTAAAAAACTCACAGTTTTAACGTCCCTTTTCCACCTCGTTTCACAGACACAATAACATGGGTATATATCTTTGAAATATTTCTATCACCTTGAATCTATGTCACATCCATCCATCTATCATCATAATCCACAGGTTAACAGGATATAGTATTGTCGCTATAGGAAAGAAAGAAACAAAACATAATAAAAGAATAGAAACAGAGATTGATACAGGTTAGAAAGATGATAATGTGGATGGATTGATAGGTTTGATGGTGAAAAGATTTACATTTAGATTTAGAAATATTGTTGTTAACATAAAGTATCAAATCTACTATTTTGATAAATAGGTATTTCACGTGATTCATTGCACAAGCACAGAAAGACCGGTGCTGCTCGTAAGCCAAACTACAAGAAGAGAAAGTACGAGTTAGGTAGACAAGCTGCCGAAACCAAGATTGGTGACAAGCGTGTCAGACCACTCAGAGTCCGTGGAGGTCACCTCAAGTTCAGAGCTCTCCGTCTCGAGACTGGTAACTTCTCATGGTCCTCAGAGAGAGTCACCCGTAAATGCCGTATCCTCAACGTCGTTTACAACGCCACCTCTAACGATTTGGTCCGTACCAACACTTTGGTCAAGGGATCCATCATCCAAATCGATTGTACCCCATTCAAGCAATGGTATGAGCAACACTACGGTATGGCTCTCGGTAAGAAGAAGGCCGCCAAGAAGGACGCCGAAGAGAAGACTGAAGTCAAGAAATCAAAGTCTGTATTGAGACGTATTGCCCAACGTTTAAAGACCAGAACTTTGGAAACCGCTTTGGAGAACCAAGCCACCGACGGTAAGTTCTACGCCAAGATCACCTCACGTCCAGGTCAAGTTGGAAAGTGTGATGGTACCATCCTCGAAGGAAAGGAGTTGGAGTTCTACGCCAAGAAGATCCAAAAGAAGAAGAAGTAAACAAATCTTTTTCAGCAACTCTTCAAGAACCATTATTTACAATAAATGATCCCAAAAAATACCCATATAAATTAAACCTTTTAATTATATCTCTCTCTTTTAAACAATTATTTGATCAATATATTTTTAAACTCGACAATCAGATCAGATTACTTATAAATAATCTAACAATCAGTCAAATCAAATAACACACAAGTGATTGTATTGTTATAAATATTAATCAGCATTCAATTTTCTTTTTTTTTTTTTCAGTTACATCTACAAGTTAATTGGATTCAATCTACAATTTAAACAAAATGATCATTTTGTTCCATAAGTTATAGTTTCAATTTGGCGGTTGGAAACATGTTATGAACTTAAATAAATATTTATCAATATCTTATGATGTTATAAATTATCATTTTCCATTTTTAACTTAACAAAAATCACACACAGTTTTAGTTTGTTCAAAATTGGATTGGAAAATTCCAAAAGGTGAGCAAGTGATCGAATTGATATTATAGTGAATGTGGCACCCAAAAAAATAACAAATTTCAGACTTATCAGTTCAAAAAAAAACATGAAAAAATCAAAAATTTGCACAATTCACAATAATAAAAAAAAAACATTCCTTGCTTCCCATTCCACACAACAACCTCTCATAAAGTAAACTTAGCATTAGCAAAACAAAAATTGAGAGAGAATTCAAAGATAAAGAAAGAAAGACAAATAACTATCTATAGATAATCAATCAATCAATCAACTAATTAGTTACTTAGTAATAATAATACTCATAGTAATTAAAATTAGTATATTTTTAAGCTTCGTTCAGAATTGATTACTATATTAAGCTATTAATTTGGATAGATGTAAGAAATATAAAAAGACAAGACAACAACCATCACCAACGACCACAACCACCACTATAAATTATACATATACACAACAACCACTGCGCACTCAAATGCAAATAAACACATATGTTGTGTTTTTTTTTTTTTTTCGTCATTCACCAGGATTGTAAGGTGTGATAAAAAAAAAAAAAAAAAACAAATCATCTTAAACAAACCAACAACACAACAAATTGTACAACGATAGAGAAAATGGCAGCAACAACAATAACAACTAACAATATCATATTTTAAATGTTTGTCTTGACAAAGCAAAACCAAAAAATACATAAACAAACATCAGATTTCATTTGAAAATTACTTTATATATTTATATTATTTGCCTCCATATCCATATTTATAATTAAATATTTGTTATTTATATATATTTTAATTTATTTTTAAATAGAAATAAATATTAATTTAATTTTAAATATTAAAGTTTAGAAAAAAACAAAACAATATAGAGATAAAAGATTATTATTTTTGGAAAAAACAAACAATATATATAGTATAGCAATTTAAACTTGCTTTTTAGCTTATAAGTTATTTTAGGAATCAATTTGTTGTTTTTTTTTATAACGATATTTAAAAGAAAGAATGGGACGTCAACATCATCATCATCATCATCATCATAAAAGTCATGGTTGGTCGAATTGTTGTATCGCGCTGAATACGATCTGTTTCTTAATCACTTTGATTGCAGGTGCTGTCATTGTCGGTGTGCTGTTGCGTCCGTCGATGGAGTATATCGACGGTTGGCGTCGAATCAACTGCACGCTCGATTCGCAGGACATCGGCAGCTGGTGTCAGCAGAGCAAGACCTGTCAGCAATCGACCAACCAGATTCAATTCCCCTCGTACTTTTACGACAACGGACATCGTTTCCCTTTCGAGTACGACGCGAACGACTCACCGTTTGACGACAGCGGATCGTCCGAACCGGCACCACCCAATACCTGTCCGACAAGCGCCAACACCCCGTGCTACAACGGCACCATCGGATTCCACTATCAGGCGAGCAACGACAGCCTGCTCAACTACAACCAATCGCTGTATGTCGCTGGCGAATACAAGAATGCATACTCGTTCGTCTATCACTTCAATCAGACATTCCATTGCTGGATCGACGTCAGCAACGACACCAGAGTCTCTGTACTACCAATACCCAAATATTCACCAGGAGGTGCAATTGCCACCGCCATTCTCTTTTCATTTTCACTGCTATGTCTAATTCTACTGTTTATTTTCATTTCGATTCGTTGTTTCTGTAGAGGTCATGAATATCAACCTATTTATATTAATTAATATCAATCATATTTTTTTTCTTTTGTATAATTATAACGATCCACTCACCATTCAATCCCAATCAAAAATCCAATTTTCTATTTATAGAATTAATTTCTTTATTATATACATTCAAATCGAATCATAAATTAGAAATAACTAAATAATAACAATAATAATTATCAATTACAAAGGAATATCGTGTGTTTATAAACGATTTACATAAATATAAATATTCCAATATGGATACGATAAACATATTTTTTGTAACTTTTAATAATAATACGAATCCAATCATAAGATACTATCAGTAGTAATAAATCAATTAACCATATCAACATCACAGCTACTAATACAGAACCAACCAATTTAATTAAATAAAAATCAAAAAGAATAATATATTTTTTTTTTTAATTATCCACTAGATCAACGTTTATTTTTGTTTTGGTTAAATTTCGTTTTGAGATGCCACGCTTGCTATGATCGTTAATTTGCAATTCTGCTAAAATAAGAAGGAAGTGGTTTATCGTGACGATGCATTCATTTTTTGGCGTTTTTTCAATTTTTTTTTTTTTTTAATTTTTTTTTTTTTACAGGCAATGAATGAAGGTGACGAGGCAGGAAAAGATTTATATGGTGGGAGATCTCCATACGTGCACAAACCATTTTTTTTTTTTAAATTTAATTTAGTGTTGTATTATTATTATTATTATTCATTTATTTATTTGTTGATATCTGACTGATATTTTATCAACCAAATAGATTTTGATTAAAATAAAAAGATGTCAAAGTTAAATTTATTTTTAACTATTTTATTTGCATTGATTGCATTGTCGCTTCTGGCACCAACCAGAGCCATCGACCAAGATGACGCCGCCAGAGAGACCCTTAAAGTAGACCTCGATATGAAAGGTCCAAAAGTACCACTTCAAACCGATTCAGAAGTAGTTCAAAGGTAACTAAATAATCAAAAAAGAAAAACATATATTAGTTAAGTTATTAACAAAATAAACAACAAATAAAACAGAGAAAATGAAGCAATTAAATCCGAGGGATTCAGTGTTGCCGAACAACAATTTATTGAGGAACAATCAGAGAAATTCAAGTTCCAAGCAGAGGTAAACAAGTTGATGAATATCATTATCAATTCGTTGTACTCAAAGAAGGAGATTTTCTTGCGTGAGTTGATTTCCAATGCCTCCGATGCGTTGGACAAGATTCGTTTCTTGGCTCTTACCAACCCATCGTTGTTGGGTGAGGGTGATCAAGCCAACCTCGATATCAGAATCATGATCGACAAGGTCAACAAGTACATCCATATCATCGATAGAGGTGTCGGTATGACCAAGGACGAGCTCGTCAAGAACTTGGGTACCATTGCCCAATCCGGAACCAAAGAGTTCATCAAGAAGGTAACTGAATCCAACGATCCAAAGAACTCATCGAACTTGATCGGTCAATTCGGTGTTGGTTTCTACTCACTCTTCTTGGTTGCTGACAACGTCATCGTAACCTCAAAGTCAAACGAAGATGACCAGTAAGTAAACTAACTAACTAAATAATAATAATAATAATAACAATGTTTAAAATCTAATTCATTCATCATCTTCTTTTTTTTACTTACTATAATCAGATATATTTGGACTTCAACTTCTGAAAATGAATTCTCAATTGTTAAGGATCCAAAGGGAAATACTTTGGGTAGAGGTACAAAGATTTCAATGCATATCAAGGACGACAGTTTGGAATTCTTGAACCAAGATACTATCAAGTCATTGGTTAAGAAGTACTCACAATTCATCAACTTCCCAATTTCAATGTATGTATCTCACCAAGAGGATGCACCAGAGGAAGAGACTCCAATCGATGCCAAGCCAGTCGACGAGACTGAAGTCAAGGTCGAGGAAGAGGAAACCACCGACGAGCAAGAGGAGGAAAAGTCGTTGATCGACGACGCTCCAAAGCCAGCAGAGAAGAAGAAGATCGATGTCTTCGACTGGGAGATTGTCAACGATCACAAGCCACTCTGGGTCCGTTCACCAAAGGAAATCACCGAAGAGGAATACAATGAATTCTACAAGACTCTCTCCAAGGGAACCGAGAATCCATTGGCTCACTCCCACTTTGTCACCGAGGGAGACACCGAATTCCGTTCGATCATCTACATTCCAAACACCCCACCAGCCAATCTCTTTGATCCAGAGGCAATCATCGACGGTTTGAAGTTGTTTGTCCGTCGTGTATTCATCACCGACAGCATGAAGGATCTCGTTCCATCGTGGTTGCGTTTCCTCCAGGGTATCATCGATTCCGACGATTTGCCATTGAACGTCTCTCGTGAGATTCTCCAACAACACAAGATCCTCAAGAAGATCAAGGACACCTTGGTCAAGAAGTTCATCAAGCTCGTCCAGGATCTCTCGAACAACGAAGACAAGACCGTCTACCAAAACTTCTACAAGAAGTACGGAAACAACTTGAAGTTTGGTGTCATCGAAGAGACATCAAACACTCACAACAAGAATCGTTTGATCAAGTTGTTGATGTTCCCATCATCCAAGGATGAATTCACCACTTTCGAGAACTACGTCTCCAGAATGAAGGAGGGACAAGAACAAATCTACTTTATCTCTGGTAAGTCAAAGGAGACTTTGAAGTCATCGCCATTGATCGAACAAGCTTTGAAGCGTGGTTACGAAGTCATCTACATGGTTGACCCAATCGACGAGTATTTGATTCCACAGATCACCACCTACAACAACAAGAAGTTGACCAATTTGGCTCGTGAGGGTGTCAAGTTTGAGGATGCCGTCGCCGACGAAGAACAAGAGAAGCAAGTCGCCGAAGAGTACAAGCCACTCACTGATTTCCTCCAGAAACAACTCGGAAAGAAAGTAGAGAAAGTAGTCATCTCCAAGATTCTCGCTGATTCACCATGTGTTCTCGTCACCAATCAATGGGGTGTCACTGCCAACATGGAGCGTATCATGAAGGCTCAATCGTTCGGTAACGCCCAAGAGGACAACTACATGGCCATGATGAACAAGAAGATAATGGAAATCAATCCAGATCACACTTTGATCAAGCAACTCCTCTCAAGATTGAATGAGTTTGGTGCCGACGACGAAGTCGCCAAGGTCTCTGCTCAAGTTCTCTTTGAAACCTCTTCACTTTCCTCAGGATACATTGTTGAGAACCCATCGAATTTCGCCAACTGGATCTACAAGATGATGGAAGTCAGCGGTGAAAAGATCAAGGAAGCCTCATTCAAGGTTGAAGAAGAAGAACAACAACAAGCTCAAGAACCAGAAGTTGAAATGTACGACGAACCAGAAGAAGATGTTCTCGATGTAACAATTGACGAAAACAACAATATGGACATCCCAGCTGCTTCAATCAAGGGTCACGATGAACTTTAAAATAAAATAAAATAAAATTATAATATTATATACAATTAATTAAATCTCAAATTTCATAACTTATTTTGGTCCACTATTAAAAAATATAACATTCATCACATTACTTTTCATCTTCCTTCCCACAAGTTATTAAAAGTTTTGTCCAGTTTGAAACATGTTACAATTTTATTATCTATAAAAGCTAAAATGAATTCTTTTTTTCCTTTTTATTTCAGTTGCATCTTTGTCTTGAAAACAAATACCTAGGTATTAAATTAAACAAAATATATTTATCCTTTTCTTTACTAATTGTTTTATTACTATTCTTGTACACAAAAAGAACTAAGGAAATCATAATGATTTCTTTTCATTAAATATCAGAAGGTGGTTAATTTTATTATTGTCAGTGTTATTATTATGAAGATGTCTACTGGAGAATCCTGTCTATAGTTTGTAAAAATTCTATTTATATATAATTGTAAATGGTATTTGAAAAAAGACCAGAGTTGATAAATAGTATTTAAAACTACCATTTACATCAGACAACTATTAGTCAACTTTTCATTCTATATAATATAATCTTCCTTTGGAAATTCAGTCATGTATCTTGGACAAGGAATTGATAAGAGAGGTGGTTTAAATTTCTTCTGCACCATATCTCAAGAAAGAGAAATTATCAACTCTTTTTGAAAACATATCATCAACTTTCTTTTTATTATAATATCATAGTCACAACACTAACAATAATCAATCTGGATCCATCATGATAGAAAAATAAATAAAATAAATAGAGATTTTGTTTCTTATATTAATCACTTGTTATTAAATATTTATAAAGATTGTTTTGAAATATGAGTCAAATTGTAAATTTAAGAAGTTTTAAGTACAGTATACTTTTCAATACTTGAATTCTTCCATTATTTTTCTGGTCACTCAGTGTATCCTTGGTTTGAAAACAAATAAGTAATATACTAAAGATAGAGAAAAAGGATGGTTGTTCAATAAATAATTAATTAAAAATATCTTTATTTTACCATGTCCTGTTGTTACTTTAATACTTTTTCTTTTTAATAACTTTCTTTTCAACTTTTCTTTTCTTCAAATGACCTGTTGATTGTTCAGAGTCGTCCATCGAACGTTTCTCTTTCTCTGAAAGTCCAGCCTCTTTAATTTCGTTGGTTGCAACACGGATTGCTTCGTTGACACGCTCTGAAAATACTAATACCGATTCTTGCTCTGTTGGGAATTCCTCTAGTTTCTGTTCGAGTGCATGTTCGATTCTCAGGTAGATCTCGACATCGTATTGAGTTACCAGTGTGACGGCACGACCTGTACGACCAGCTCTAGCAGTTCTACCGACACGATGCATATACTCTTTCGAGCTTACGGGAACATCGTAGTTGATGACCAAATCGACCGAGGGAATGTCCAGACCACGCGCAGCAACGTCGGTAGCCACCAGAATATCCATTGTTTGTGCCTTGAATTTGTTGAGTGACGACAGACGTTTCGATTGATCCATCTGACCGTTGATAGGAATCGCCTTGAACGAAAGATTTCTCAGCATTATAGCCAACTTTGTGGATGCAGCGCACGTCGATGTGAAGATAATCACCGAGTTACCGGCGAGTTCATTCAAAATATAGGTGAGATAGCACTCCTTGTGTTTGTATGGAATGAAAATGTATTCCTGTTGTAAAGTATCGACTGTCGAGTATTTGGTTGCCACTTGAATCTTCACCGGATCGTTTAGCGATGCACGTTGCAACTTGGCAACTTTCGATGTCATCGTAGCAGAGAACAAGAATGTATTACGATCCTTTGGGATCACCTTGAGAATGGTATTGATCTCCTCCTCGAAATCCATACCCAGCAGACGATCGGCTTCGTCCATAACAAAGTATTTCAGCGTTTTCAAGTTGAAGCCTTTGGTGTTCTCCAAGTGGTAGACAACACGACCCGGTGTTCCAACGATGATATGTGGCTTCTTGGCGAGTGCCATCGATTGAGACATCGTGTCGATACCACCGACCAACACGGCGCACTTCACACCGATAACGGCACCGAGTGCCTCTATCTGATCGCTAATCTGCACGGCCAACTCTCTGGTCGGCGCGAGAACCAAACCAAAGAGACCCGACGGCTTGGCAAGCAGTGCCTGCAGCATAGGTATCGAGAAAGCCGCAGTCTTACCGGAACCGGTCTGTGCCAAACCAACGATATCCTTACCGGCCAACGCCTCAGGTATTGCTTTTCTCTGAATCTCTGTTGGATTCTTGAATCCCAACTTTTTACATGCCTCTACAATCTGTGGATCTACACCCAACTTTTCGAAAGTAACAACTGTATCTTCTTCTGGATTTTCAATCAATGCCATTCTTTATATAAAATTAACTAATTATAATATAAATAAATATTTAAAAGTAATAAATAAAGATATAATATTAATATTAATCAAATAAAACAAAAAAAAACTAGTACAAATAAAATTGTGAAATTTGTTCGAATTTGTATAATTAAAAAAAAACGTTATCGTTTTTTTGGAAAATAAAAATTAATTATTTAAAAATAAATTGTTGTTTTTTGAAAGCAGCACTTTAACAAAATCGAACGAATTGAGAAGTAAATTAACTTTTTTTTTTTTGATTTATTGTTGTTCTTTTTATTTATTTATTTAATTTTGCTAATTAATCATGAGCACTACAACAACAAAAGATGATTCTAAAAAAGTAAAGAGTTATAATAAACCACATAACAGTACAAATAGAGGTAGAAAAACCGATTGGAAAAAGAAGAAAGAGATCAATAAAGAGAAAAGACAAGCACCTTTCAGAGCGCTGCAAGCAGAGATCGAACAGATTAAAAAGAGAATAGAAGATGAGCAACCACAAAGAGGTGTATGTGTTTCTTTTCAACTATTAAACTAGTTTTGTAAAACTATTCATTCGAATGACTTACTGACTGATACATATATATATTTATAGTCAAATCCACTTGCAAATACAAAAGAGGAATTAGTTGAAAATAATGAAACTAAAGATTATAAAGTATCATATACCACTGCAAGACAATTTAAAGATCTACCAATCTCTGCGAAATCAATACAGGCTTTGGAATGGGGAAAGTTTAACAAAATGACAGATATTCAAAGAGCTGCCATTCCACATGCTCTCTGTGGCCGTGATGTCTTGGGTGCCGCTAAAACTGGTTCAGGTAAAACATTAGCATTCATTGTACCTGTATGTATATTTTATATATTCGAATTGATTTCGAATCTATCCAATAGGATATAATCATTAACAATGTTTATCTTTATATTGCTTTTTTTTCAAGATGTTGGAGTTATTATGGAGAAATAATTGGACTGAAAACGATGGTGTAGGTGCAATTATTTTGGCACCGACAAGAGAGTTGGCCATTCAGATATTCGAAGTGTTGAGAATTGCAGGTAAAACACATTCATTCTCGGCCGGTTTGATTATCGGTGGTAAGGACGTCGCCGGTGAGAAGAAAAAGATTGGCACAATGAATATCTTGATTGCTACACCGGGTCGTCTGTTGCAACACATGGACGAAACCGATGGATTCCAATGTTCGAATCTACAGATGTTGATCTTGGACGAAGCCGATCGTATTTTGGATATGGGATTCTCAAAGTCGTTGAACGCAATCATTTCGAACCTCCCGAAAGCAAGACAAACCCTGTTGTTCTCAGCTACTCAGACTAAATCCATCAAGGATCTCGCTAGACTCTCATTGAAAGATCCAGAGTATATCTCTGTCTATGACAAAGATCAAGTTTCAACACCAAAGAATCTTCAACAAACCATCTGTGTGACTGCACTCGACAAGAAGATCGATCTTCTCTATTCATTCATAAAAACACATCTCACCAGTAAAACAATTGTTTTCCTATCGACTTGTAAACAAGTAAGTATAGTAATTGTAGATTTTTATTAAATGCTAATTGTTGAAACTAATCTTGTTATTCTATTTCCTAAACTATTATTAGGTTAGATTTATGTATGAAATGTTTAAATTATGTAATCCAGGATGTAGATTATTCCAATTGCATGGAAAGATGAAGCAATGGACGAGATTGGAAGTGTTCCAAAACTTTTCACATTTCTCAGAGGGTACACTGTTTGCTACTGATGTGGCGGCGAGAGGTCTTGATTTCCCAGAGGTTGACTGGGTCGTTCAGATGGACTGTCCAGAGGATATTCAAACATATATTCATCGTGTAGGTAGAACTGCGCGTTACCACCAGGGTGGAAAGTCATTCACTGTGTTGTTGCCGTCGGAGAAGGAGGAGTTCACCAAGTTGATGGATAAACAAAAGATTAAATACGATATTATGGATGCCAATCCGAATCAGTTGGTCACCATACAAGCACAGCTCGCTGGTTTTCTCTCGGAGAAACCGGAACACAAGTACTTGGCGCAGAAGGCATTCGTTTCCTACTTGAAGTCACTGCATCGTCAGGAGAATAAGAATATGTTTAAGTTGGAGGAGTTGAATCTCGCCGATTTCTCAAAGAGTATGGGTTTGCCAGGTGCTCCAAAGATCCAGTTTGGCACCGGTGGAATCAAGACCGATAAGAACACTCCGTATATGCTGGCCGACATCAAGAAGAAGGAAGCTGAGAAGAAGAAGAAGTTGGCAGCCGGTGAGAAGGTGGCTGATGACGATGTCGAGGATGAAGCCGACAAGAAGTATGGATCGAAATTGAAGGACGACGATGTGGAGTCGGACGAGGATGAGGTCATCAATGCAAAGAAACAGTTGACCAAGGTAGAGAAGTTGTTTATGAGAAAGAATTCCAATGTTTTGTCGGACAAGTACGAGCGATTCAGAGACAAGACCAAACAGGAGGATGACGACGACGTCTTTGTAATCAAGAGAAAGGATCATGATATTGAGGGTGCCGATGAGGACAGCATTGGCGAGGGTCTGACAAAGAGAAAGCAAAACAAGATCAAAAAGAAGTTGGATTTGGGATACGAGTCCGATATGAAGTTGGTAGAATCTACTCTTGTTCCAAAAGATGGATCACTTCCAACTGAATACCTCCAGAAACTCAAGCAAAAGATGGCAGAAGAAGATGTCAAAGATAAGGATGTCCACAAAGAGAAGCGTAGATTAAAGAGACAAATCGAAAAGGAGAAGGAAGCTGGTGTCAAATCAAGTGATAGAACTGTAGCTTACTTTGTACCACCAGAAGATCAAGAAGAAGAAGAAGATGGTGATGATGATGAAGATCAAGATGAAGATGAAAATCAATCAGACGATGATGAAGAATATGACGATGAAGATGACGATGATCAAGAAGAATCAGAACAAGAAGAAGAAGAAGAAGAAGAGAAACCAATTAAGAATCAAAATAATAAGAGAACAAAGGAAGTTTCAATTGAAGATCAAGAAGATTTGGCACTTAAACTTTTAGCTAAAAAGAAAAGAGGAATATAAAAGAAATATTATAATATAAAATATAACAAATATTTATACATGCAAATTACAAAATTTATTTATTATCTATATCTTAATTTTGTTTATAATGTTTGTTCTTTTCTTTAAAATAAGCTAAGATTATATTGATTGGTATTTGTATCGAATGCGTCCAATAGATTTAAATGTAGATTAGCTATAAAATCATTGATGATAGGACCAAATTGCATAACGTTCTCTGGTTTCTTTGATTGATAGTAATTATTAAATGATATAAATACCTTAGCTATATATTTAGATATTCATATATTAAAAGTGATAATGATAGATGTTTAGTTAGTTAGTTAATAATAATCATTATTATTGATATTTAATATTATTAACTCTTACCATATAATTCATTGAAATCTCTCATCGATGGTTTGGTATAAATAAAATGATTTTTAAGATGATTCTTCTCGGAGAGTAACATATTTACAAGTTTTGAGGTGATGTTGATTCCTGTGATTGCAAATGGGTATTGAAATTTGCTGTTTGCGCACTCTAGAATGTATTTAGTTTCCTCTTCATAGTTTGTTGCCAAGTAGAGCAGATTCTCCAAACCGAGAAGTCCCATTCCTCTGAAATCAGTTGCTGGATCCTTACCTTGGAATCCCATATGTCCCCATTCACTTGTGATTCTTGCCGATCTTCTTTTATTTGGGAAAATAGAATTCCACAACTAAATTGATAAGCAACAAACAAATATTAATATTAATATTATTAATTATTAATCATATAAATATATAACAATATTTACTTGATCTAATTTCTCTTCATGTATTTCATTTTCAGAATCATAAGCTTGATCTCTTAATAAAGTGATTTGTGCTTTCAATGATTGTAATGCTGACAAAGGTTCTAATGCTGCTTCTAAATTTGGTAATATACTAAATGTAGTGTAAAGAATAGTAAAAAATAAAGCAAATTAGAATTAGACTATTATTTTCAATTTAAAATGTATATATTATAATATATTATATTACATACGTTGATTCAAAAGCTAAAAGATCTTGATTAATTTTCTTAATTTCGACGATTGCCATTGCAATTGTATGTGTATCGAATTCAGCCAAGAGCGATGTCTTTATTCTATTCAACTTTGACGAGTTCTCAATACTCTGTTCAATGAGAAGTCTTCTATTGTGATTGCTTATCTCATAGTTATGACAAAGTCTCTCTATTTCACATCTACCCGTGTAAAGATGTACAAAGAACTTATAAATCTTCCATAGAAATAGTGGGCAATACATTATTATATATCAATACAAGTGGTTAAATATAGAGGCAACAATATAAAATTAATAATACTAGTGAAATACAGAGTAAAAAGAAAAGAAAGATCGATAAACTAATCAACAATACAATGATTAATTTAAAAAATAAAAATAAAAATGAAAATTTTTTGAAAACCTAATCAAAAAACAAGCAGTGCAAATTTGCAACTATTGGAATGCCAGCTTATCAATTAATTAATCGACTTCTGTGTGTGGTTGGTTGTTTATTATAATAAATTTATATTTTATTTATTGTTTTTTTTTTTCTTAAATAATTATTAATTTCATTTTACCAGATTCTAATTTTGGCAAATTTAGATTGAGGAAATCACTTAGTTCTTTTGGACAGATTTTGAAGATGTCGAGACCGTTCTTTGTTTTGAAACTATTGTCAATGAGGATCCAACGTGTTTCCTCGTTTGGATCGGAATCTCTGGGGTTGGCCAATGTCGATCCCTCCAACTTCAAATGACCTTCCTCAGCAACCTTGATCAATCTACTGGGTGTACCTACAACCACTCTCACCGGGTATCTATTCAACATATCGATGTGTTCCTCAAGTTTCTTGTGTTTCGAAAAGTATAATCCAACCTTTGATTTTACATTGAAATCTTTTAATACCCTATAAAAACAAACAAGTTAAGAGTGTGCCAATAATACTAATCACGAAAGAGATAAACATACTTTGAAATACCAATTGCTCTTGTAGCTGAACTAGTCACTATAGTTACTAAAGGTGAGCCCGATTTCAATTTCTTCTTTGGTAAATCATGAAGTAGAGGATGTAATTGTCTAAGTAATTCTGGAAGTTCTTTAACATTTTGATTTGCTTGTATGAAATATTCAGCTATTATAATAGATGATAATTATTGTTAATTGAAAATGATACTCTCAATATATATATATATATATAATATATAGTATGAATTTTCATCTTACTCTTATATTCTTTTGCTTCTAAATCGGTTTGATTCAATTCCTCTTTGATTCTCTTTGTTAAGAACATAGCTTGACTGTCTGCCGAAAAAGTGGTGACACTAGATTTTAGATCACCTAAATTCTTATCTTTGATTCTTCTTTCTTTGATTTCCTCCTTGCTGATACCAACGTTTGTACTTTTCGGTTTGTTATTGCTATTGTTATCTTCACCGATTATCTTCATTTCATCCTCATCGTCATCTAAATTCTTTGTTTCGAGCAATTCAACATCATCTGCGCTAATCGATTGATTATCATTATCACCTCTTCTTTTCTGAAAATTATGAAGAATATTGTGTTGTTGTATTAATATTTAAAATGAACGAATTGATCAATTGTATATTGATTTTTTACCTTTAATGGTTGATCACTATCACCGTCATCATTGAAACTAACTAGATCATCATCCAAATCGTCGGCAGACTTTCTCTTGTTGTTTCCATCTTTGAAGATTCTTGGTGCACCTCCACCTCTTGTACTACCACCACCTCTTCCACCTCTTCCACCAACAGAACCACCTCTACCACCTCTTCCACCTCTTCCACCTCTATCTCCACCAGAAGCATCTGATCCAGCAGCAGACGGATTGTTAGCATCTGCAAAAGTATTCAACTTTTTATTCTTCTTATTGGTTCTAGCTAATTTCTTCTCTGGACATTTCATTACACTGTTTTATATATAAATATATTTATGTATATGTTACAAGGTTAATATAATCATAGTTCTCACTACTACTGTTAATTGAATAGATATAATAATATAAACATACGTATGACCAGGTTTGTTACAATAGAAACAATTGGAACCATCACCTTTCTTCTTTGGGCAACGAGTAGATCTAAAATAGTCATTATTAGTAAATATCAAAAAAGTTAGAATCTTATGTAAATGATCAAAGAGTTGATTTGTAGAGATGATAATACATACATATGATCTGTTTTATTACAAATGAAACATTTGTTACCACCCTGACTCTTTAAAAACTTCTTTGATTCATCCATGGTATGGTATAGTGTTTCTATCGGCTCTTCTATTACAATCTACAATCAATCTAATAAATAAATGATGAATGAAAATTAAAATCAAAAAAAAAATATAAATAACTAAAAAGGAAAGCTATTCTTGCTTATTATTATAAATTATCTTTCGTTCGTTTTTTTTTTTATTGAAAAAAATATTTTTTAATTTTTAAAAAATTTTATTAATTTTTTTAAATTGCCAACTCCTTAATCACTTTTGATCATTCCTCGAGAATCACACACAATATTAGTAGTAGTATAGGTTTCTCTGTTATGTTATTTATTGATACATTATTAATTAATAATTAAAAATATAGTTGTTTTTTTTGTTTTTGTTTTGGTTTGTTTGAAAATAAGAATTAAACTGATGGTCTTGTACAGGTAAGACTACCACCTCCACGGTAGAGAAGATCTTGATAGACGACCGAGGTGGCAACTGGGAAGGAAGAGGTGATATCGATGATGACGTTGGTACCACGAATAACACGGAATCTTGGAGTTGCACCGGCGAGAAGTTGAGTTCGTACCGAGGTGATACCGGCAGCGTTGACTGGTGTGCTGTAGGTCTGGCCGTTTTGGATGATCTCAACTGTGGCTGCACCGGTAAGGAATACGAGTGCTTCTACCTTGTCCGATACTGGATCACATGCTCCGGAGGTGAATGTTCTGTTCTGTTTGGTGAGATCTGGTTGTTGGGTGGACAATGAGTTACGGTGGAAGTAGTAGAGAGCATCACGGTTGATAACTGGTGCCTGTCCGAGTTTGTACCAACGCAAGTAGTATGCCGAAATGTCATAGTATGAGAACTGGGTACCAGTCGATGGTGACAATTCGGTTCCTTCACTGTAGTCGTTCCAAGTGATGATTTGGATCCACTCAGCTCCTGACACGATAGCGCTGTTCCACATAGCTCTAATAGCACCGGAATTATTGGCTTCCCAGAACTTGTATGACTTTGGACGATGGTTTTGTGACATGACTGGTGACATGTATTTCTTTCCATTGTTATGAAGGAAATTCGATGCTGTTACAAAACCTGGTGCTGTTGAAACACAGTTTCCGTCCCACTATAAAAAAAAAGAGAGATTATTTAATATTTAAATTTGTATATGTTATTTAATTATAATATTATTTACCTCTGATTGTCCAACTGAAATTGAACCATAGTTATTCAAATAGTTTTGGTTGATATCTGGGAATACTGGCCAAAAGGAAATTTGAATACCAACTTGATTGAACTTGGTGATTTGGTTTTGCCACCATGCACCTGTCTTGCTGTCAGCTCTGTATGGTGATAATACCAATTTTCCGGTACTGTCACGAAGAAGAGTGCCGTTGTATGGGCTATCCCAGAGCTTCTTGATAATTGGTACAAAAGTATCGGCAATATTGGCTGTGTTGGACCAACCGGCAAGCATATCTGGCATCAACACAATTTTGAAACGACTATCTACAATTGGAGCATTCTTCATCAAGAGAATCAAACGTTTCCAATGATCAGAGGTTTCGTCAGATGACAACATATCGTAGGTGAAGCCATCGAGTCCAAGCGACAAAGCTCTAGTTACCTCCAATTGCATATCCAAGTCACGATAGGTAGACATATCTGGACGTACTGGTCTTGGCAGTGGACGTTCACGAATGAATCCTCCATATTGTAAATGCTTTCCACCTTCACCAGTTGGTTTTAGGAAGTTATTGGTATAATAATCATCCTACAAATTATAAATAAGTATATCTATCTTTCTACTTATATATATTTAAACTATATTTAACTTACTGTTGAGACTTTATTATCAATGGAAATTGGGAACAATGAAAAGTAATGAGCAAATACTTTTTTTGGTGAATTTAAGAGTGCAGTGGTACCTGAATCGGTAAATGGCCAACAACTTGTCAAATTGAATTCAACAGCTTGAATAAGTATTGGTGAAGCAACAAAAAAGATAAATAATAATGATAATACTATTTTCATTTTCTTTAGATTAATTGATTGATTGATTTTGTTGTTCAATACTTCCGGAGTTGTATTTTATACTGTTTGGTTCGTATGCTGTTATAACCCGGATTTATTTTTAAATTAAAGTAGAATTTTAATTGACATTACTACAACGTTGACCCATTTAATCACCCATCAAAGTAGATCAACACCACCTAAACAATAAAACAAGTATTGTGAAAGTTGGCTATGTCAATATCTTATTCATACGTTCTACATTTTTAAAAAGAAAACAAAAAAAAAAGAAACATAACTTGCCTTTGATAGTAGTAGTAATATCTTGAAGGGTTGTATCAACTCTAGTTTCAATATATTTTAAGATATCTCCAATACCAATAGCCTCAAAATGCTATATATTGCCTAAAATTCTACAAGAAAATAGATTTTAAGAAATAAAAAAAAAAAACATCCTACAATATTCAAACACCAAACGAATATTGATGAATAAAATATCAACCGATAATATTGGCAGGGTATAATGATCTAAAGACAATCAAAAAAGAAAAAAAAAATTAAAACAACAAAAACAAAAAAAGATATCATCATTCTTGTATTTTGTTCTTTTCTTCTTTTCTTTTTTTTATTACTATGAAAAATCAAACATACTAGTATTAACTTTTACCCATTTAATTAATTTTTGTTATGAAATAAACCCCTTTATTATAATTCATTTAATTTTAAAATTTCAACAGCATTAAAGTTGTTGAACTGGAAAATCGTACTTTTTGCAGATCAATCCTTGAGGTGTTTGTAACCCTTACAAGCCCTCAAATGGCATACACAAATTTTTCAAAAATAAAATGGTGGGTTTCCAATTCTCAAAGTTGGAGTAAATAAAATGAAAAGACTCTTACAAAAAACAACAATTTTTTATGAAAATAACATCCACAATTTATTGTGATCTTTCTGTGAAATTAAATGTTTAAAAAACAATGGGCAAGTTACATCATAAATTTAAAATAATTGTTGGAACAAAATATCTATTTTTTTCATTAAAAGAAAGATTTTTTTGCCAAATTAATGGGTATCTCCTATGATATGAATAAATAATTCTGGAGAAGTGAATTATTTTGATAATAAATAATATGATATTATTTCAAAATTTATTTTTATTGAAGATCTTGATATTTTACACCTCTTGGTTCCAATTTTAATGAAAGATGGAATAGTCCTTCGTCTGTCATTGGCGCAAATGAATGAGGTAGTCTTTGTGACATTGATTCCATGTTGGCAATGCTTTTGCGTTTGTTGTTGAAAATTGAGAAACTACCGTGGTTGACGAGTGAGTGATGACCGCCACCACTGGCTGTCACTCCATGACTACTGATGTTACTGCCTGGCGAAACGTTTCCGCTGCTGTGTTGTGGTGATGCCGAACTGCTGTTGGTAGTGCTAGCACCGTTCCATGTCGAAGTCGAAGACGATCGGTTGTGTGACTTAGGCGAGAGGTAACTGTGAGTATCTTTACTGGCGTTTCCACCGGCGTTCGTTGAGAGCACGCTAAAGATGTTGTTGGTACTGATACTCTTGGCACGACTCGACTTTCTTGGTATTGCTGCGCTATCGACAATAATTGGTGTGTCGACTGAGGTGATGGTTGTGGTTGTGGTAGATGTTGTTGTGGTGACAGTCATGCTGCTGAACGACGACGATACTGAGAGTGATGTCGTTGATTCCGGTGTCAACATCGATTGAGATTTCGAATGATTGATACCAAGTAATCTTCTGGGTGAAGGTGGTGATGGTGGATTGGAAAGCGATGGTCTACGTTGTTGAGGTGGTGGTTTTGATGGTGATAACATAGATTGTTGTGGTGAAGCTGAGTTTGAATTTGAAGAAGAAGAAGAGGAATTTGATAATACATTGTTGTTGTTGATTGTGATAGCAGGTGTTGGATTAACTACTTCCTTTGGTAATGGAATCAAGTGATCACTACCACTTACAAATGAATTCGTTTCATTATTATTATTATTAATATTATCACTACTATTATTGATATTATTATTATTATTATTGTTGTTGTTTATAATAATTAATGGTTTTGTTGGTGATATTGAGAGGTTTGGTGAAGATGTAGAATGATTGTATTCACCGCTAATGATTGAATCGAGAAGTTGGTGTGTCTCTAGTTCCTGCTTGGTTTTGATGGAAGATGGTAGATAGGTCTCGCTCATACTTCTCTCAAAGGTGGGTGGTGTGAATGGCTTCTTCTTAAAGATTGAATTTGAACTGCCATTCAAGAGAAGATTCTTGTTTGGTGACCAGGTATTGTAGTTGTTTCTCTTCTTATCTTTGTCCTCCAATGTAAAGCTACGATACAAACGATCTTGTGATAGCTTTCGCTCCAATAATTCCTCGGAATTCTCTTTGGTAGTCAAACACTCTTTATCACTACTATCACCAAGACTGGTCTTCTTCTTTGTTGATGGAGGTAACTCAATTTCATTATCACTACTATCACTTCCACTTTCATTGTTATTATTATTATTATTATTATTATTGTTATTATCAACTTCATTGCTATTGCTATTGTTATTGTTGTTGTTGCTATTAACATTGTTATTATTATTATTGGAATTGTTGTTGGATGATTGTGAACTACTTGATTTAACAAGATAGGCATTGGTTGCCTCTCCAAAGATGTTAAAGTTTGGTGTCAACAAATGAGTCAATCTTGGATCAGCGTTCAAAAGATAGCTATTCTTTTGAAACTGTTGAATCTGTTTGATGCAGTTGTAGACCATCTTTAGCTTGGTGATGTTGATTGAGGCGCTGTTGATGTCGTTGCCAGTGTAGTCGGGATTGCCCTCCTGGATAAAAGTCATATCCGAGAGAATCAGTCCCAAGAAAGGAATACACGGAGTGGTAATTGTTTTCAACTCGTTACGATAGTTCTTAAAGTTCTCTTCGCTGTCCATCAGTTTCTCGAGATCCTGCAGTGCCTTTTGGTTTACCTTGGGCAAGATCTTCTTGGTCCACTTCAGACGCACCACAGCCGAATGCGAAATTCCAGCATAGATAGCCATCATCGAGTTGTAATTACGCAAATCATGCAAATGCTTTGCAATCTTGATCAACTTGGCCATCACTTTACAACGATCCTTCAACTTCTCCTCGTTCAAAATGGTTTGAATGACATTCATTGAGATCTCATTGAATCTGCTAATCAACTTTGTGATATTCAAAGCTCTGTCCTTCATATGTGGTTTTCCCCATACTCCATTCATCAATTCTGGTGGCTAAAAATAATAATAATAATAATATTGTTTAGTCAAATACTCCAACTGCTTCTTCAACAATTCATTTCCAACTTACATCAATACAAATGAAAATAGCATAATCAACAACTGTAAGAGATTTAGCTATCTCTTTGGAGGGTGCATCCATGATGGAGAGGAAAATGTCGGGAGTTGACCAAGTGCTGGATCTAGGACGTGTTTCAAATCGGAATTCGCTGGGTGGCGGTGTCATGTGGTTGGAGTGGTCGGTGGCGGTGAGGTGTGATGGCGATCCCATGAGCTGATTGACACGTTCGTGTTTCGACATGGCAACGGGTGGTGGCGATGGTGGTGGCGAAGATTGATGGTGGTGATGCTGAAGATACGAAGGTTCTTCGAGCTCCTGTTGCTGTTGATTCCAGAGTATGGTGGGTGTCATGTGTTCATGATCCTTACCCGATGATTTCAAAGAGGTGGCCAGCACCGTTTTGATTTTGGCATTGGATTTCTTCATTACGTATTGCTTGTCGACAACGTTGAATGGCGAGTGGTAGGCAATGATACCGCCACGCTCTATAATCTTGGTCTCAACAATATAGGTAATCTGGTTGCACAAATCCAACAATCTATTGTAGTTGTAAGACTCCTTATCGGTACCTCTTATCTCCAAAATGAAATCTTTAATCTTTCCAATAAACAAGTAATCACAAAGTGCTGGAATATAATAGTTTTGTAGCCAATTTCTTATAATTGTACAAATCCTCATTTGTGACTGTGGACTTTCATTCTTGAAACTGAAATTGAAATTAATAGTTATGAGTTAGTTTAGTTAAAGTTGAATGGATATGATTTGTTATCTATGAAAATACATACATTGAAATTAATTTATCTATAATTTCATGTGAGTCATATATACATTCATAGGTTGTAAAAAAGGTTTTGGAGATTGCAGAGATATCGTTGTTCTCATCGATGAGTTTGTATAATAGTTTCTCAAGACAACTGGAAAGGATGATACGTTTCTGTCGTTTCTCTTCTTGGTTGGCCAGCTCCGATGCCGACATGGTCGAATCGGTTGATCCATTCAATTTGGATTTGGCCGATGCCGATTGACTACCTCCTGCCGATAGAATAACCGATGGGATTTTCTCAATGATTGACAATGTTGGTTGTGGTGAGTGACCGCCTGTAGAACCAATCAGCTGCGAAACACCGCTCAACAACGAGGCATCGCTTGGTGGGAATATTTCACAAGAGTTTTGTAGTGCTTGAACGAGACGTTCGAATGGTGTTCCATTGAAATTCATAGTGTCGTCCCATTTCGGAATGGCTAGTGTATATCGGTTGTGTGAACGTTTCGAAACGGGAGGAGGTGATGGATTCGGTGTGGAAATGGCTGTCGTTACAAAGGAAATCGATGAAGATGACTGTGAGAGTTGAGGTTGTTGGTTGGATTGTTGTTGTTGCAATTGTTGTTGATCTGTCTGGATAAATGAAGTGGTTGAAGGTGATTTCGAAATTGAACCTGTAAAATCGTTGTCGTCGTCGTCCTGTGAAATAGATTTCTTTAGTTGATGAGAAAGAGGTGATTGCTGTTTATGTTCGTTGTTGTTGCTGCTGTTGTTGTTGATCAATAATAATGAGAGTTGTGGTTCCGAATTGGAGTGTGAATGAGGTGAACGAGGTGGCGATGTAGCACCACTCGTCGACAGATTTGGATCACTCGTTTGTTTCTGCTCAGAGAGTGCTTTGATTTTTCGGATCAACTCTTCACGCTCGCGACGCCACTCTGATTCCTTCATTCGTAGACTGGACAACTCTGAGTTTGCCTCTGAGAGTTGTTCGCGCAGCTCGTCGACAATTGGTGGTGGCAATGTGGTTCTCACATTGAGAAGTGACTTGGTGCGCTTCGACAGTATCGGAGACTGCGATGGCGATGTATTGGTGGAGTCGTCTAGACCGCCAACGACGCCACTATTTCCGACTCCGCCGCCAATGACAAAGTCGTCCTCGGTTGGCGACTCTTTTTTGCCACGATTCAGTAGTCGAACGAAAATACTGTTACGACGCGCCTTCTTCTCTGGCGTCGACAGCAACTGAGATGCGCTGGCAGCAGCACTCTCCAGATTATCAGTGGAATTGTTACTTCCGAAACTGGATTTAATTTCCACACGTTGATCCCAACTGTTGTATGCATTCTGTTCACCGCCACCATGAGTACTGGTTGGCGTCGACACCGCTGACGAGTCATTGCTATTTTCCGGTTCGTGTAAATTCATTTTCGATACTCTTCGCAACGATCTTGTAATGAAGCTGAAACGTTCTTTCTTGTCGGACTTGGTTGATGAGCGTGGTCTGTGTGTTGACGGTGGCGACGACTTCAACGATGTGGTGGACGCGCCGTCATAGTCGTCCTCGACAGTGACAGTATCCATGAATTTCACTGACAGACTCGAGTTGGACGACGACCTCAGACTGCTCGATGACAAACGACGATTAACACCTGTGCTGCCAGGGTGAAGACCACCACCACCATTGTGGTTTGGTATGGAGAGTGTCGGTGAAGATGCTGTTGTTGGAAGGAGTGTGTGTGAGGAGAATACGACCGACGATGAAGTGGGTGCGTTTGTTGTGGTGATACTCGGTGTATTCAATGTATTTGATTTGAATTGTGCTGAATGGTGGTTGTGTGAACTACTACTACCACTACCACTACTACCACCACTGCTATGTCCATCTTTGTTTTTCAAACCTTTTAAAAACTTTCCTAAACCACTCGCACGACGTTCTCTCATGGGTGGATGCAAAGGTGGTCCCATAACCACATTTTGCTGTTGTTGTTGTTGTTGGCTGTTTTCCGACATTTTTATTTCTATAAATATCAAATAATCTATAAAACTATCGAACAACTAACTAACTAACTATAGAATAATATAAAAATAACAAAAATATAAAAAATTTTGACTAGACTACTATACTGTAATGCTTGTGTTGACTACTATAACTATTATTATCACTACTAAATATTTGTACTGTTTGATTTTTAAAATTAATTTACACTTATTTTTTACTGGTTGTTTTTGTTGTTGTTGTTGTTGATGTGATTTAAATTAGATGTTGGTTGTTGAATTGATCTGACTGTTGATTTGATTTAATTAAAAATCTAAACAAAAGATTATTAAAATAAAAATATATAAAAAAACAAATAAATAAAGATAGATAATTGATTTTGTTTATAGATAAAACACAAAGTTGTAAACAATATATTATAATTATGATTATATTATTACTAATACTGATGTTTCTGATTGGTTATTTTGATTGTTTTAGTTATTTGTTTGCTTGTGGATTTAAATCAAATTGTGTTGTGTGAAAGGAAATAAAGTAAGAAGGGGAGTGGAGACCCTTAGTCCCCACTCTACTTATTTCAAATGGATATTATTAAAATGGTAATTTTTTGAGGTACCAATATTGTTTTGTTGGCAAATGAGTTGTGTTTTGATTGATTGACTGATTGATTGTCTCCGTTGTTGTTGTTATTGTTGATGATGACACTAATATTATTAATACTATTGCTTCTCTCTATTATGAGAGTGATTTTTGATTTCCAATTTGAATCGATTCAATCGACAGAATTAATAAAAACAAAAGTTGTAGTGATCAAACTCTAGAGTGTTGAATGAGGTGTGTGTTATTGAAATTGTTTGTTTGTGTGTGTCTGTGTGTTGTGTGAGTTTTGAGTTTGATGGAGTTGGTTTGAAATTGTTTGTGTGTGTGTCTTGAGTGAGTGAATCTGTGTTAACTTTAGTGTGTAATATTTAATAATCTATTATGTCTATCGATTATACTGCTGTTAATATCTAATGATTTGTCTGACTTTTACTATTACTACTCTTTTCTACTCTGCTCTTTTTTTTTTTTTAATAAAAACAACAGTGTGCGTGACTTATAGGAATGTTAAAGGTGACGTGTTTTATGTTTTGTTGGTATTGTGTGTTGGTGGTGTTTGTTTACTGTAAAACAAAGTTGACTGTTGGAGTTATATATTCAAAAATTTGTATTTTTGTTTAAAAATTGTAGTGAGTTGTTGATATTTAATAATAAATAACTAATATCTTTCTGTTGTGTTTACTACTCTAAATAAAATTCAATTAATAAAAATATAATAAAATTGTTAGGTTAGTTAGTTTGGATTTGTTTGTTATTATTATTATTATTGATCAGTAGTATTAAGGTAATGTAGTTGGAGTGAATGAATAAAAGATGATATTGTTTTGCTGCTTTTGTGTTAAAGGAAAAGAAATTATGTAATGACAAAAGCAAACCAAACCACAATCTATTTTTTGTTTTATTAATCAGGTGGTAACTTTTTGTTTTGTTTTTTTTTGTCTTTGGTTGGTGACAAAATTGGGTGGGTTTTTGATGATCTATGACACACACAGAGCAAAAGCAATTTCATGTTTGCGAAAAAAAATTTTTTTACCACTAAAAGTAATAAAATTGATTATTTTGGTAAACCACCAAGTGTGGTATTAAAGAGATGAGAATGCGAGATGTGTTGTGATGCGAATGCGCGTGCAAAGTGATGTGTTGCTGTCTGCAGTCCACTTAAAAAATTTATTTTCTAAAAAATCAAATAAAGTTTATTCTTTCAAAGTTGGAATAAAATTTATTGTCATTCTATCATTGTTGTTGTTATTGTATGGTATGGTATAGTATATGTGTATGAATGGATGAATTATACGAGTCGTGTCATGACTGAAAGAAAAATAAAATAAAAAAAAAGTAAAAAGTGAACAGAATAAAGTAAATTTGAATATTTAACTGTTACGAGTTTGTGATTGGTTATGTTGTGTTGTGCTATTATTAATATATTACCAATTGGAAATCTCTTTTTATAATCGAATTGGAATTTTATAAATAAATATATAAATGATTGTTTTTTTTTTTTTCCTGATTGGTTTATATTATTATTTATTAAATAAATATTAATACCAAATACAATTTATATTATTTAGTTGTTTGGTAATGATTGTTCTTTTTTTCAATTTTATGTTTTCTCTTCTCTTGTTTTTATCTTGTCTTTAATAACTTTGGAATTTAATTTTTTAATTTTTATATTTTTTTGCTTATTGTGTTGTGTAAAAAGTAAATCCTGTGTTCGAACAGTGTTGTATTAGTTCGAAATGATGTCTATCTTTATCTCTATTGCTATTTCTATCTGTACTTGTATTATTATTACTATATATTTCTATTTATGTGTGATGGTGATGGTAGTGGTATTGGTGTTGGTGTTTGATTGTTTGTGGTGTGTTTGCTTAAATTGGTATGAAAACATAAAGACTGGAGGTGTGATGGTTTATATAACTTGTTCACTGTTACTTTGCAATTTTGTAATTAATGAACATTTTAATTAAAAAAAGAAAAAAACAATTTTAATATTAAATTTGCGAAAATTTGATCGTGATGGACATGTTTTGTTTTGTGGTGTGGTTGCTTGTTTGTTTGCTGTTAAAAATAGAAAGATCGATACACAGATTCGATATTGCAAAAGAGGGTATCTGTTGTTGTAACGGATAATTATCAAAATTTTAAATGGTTATTATTATTTGTAAACCAACAGCATGTTTGGATTTGAATAAATAAATACCATTGATGTTGTCACTGGATGATTCGAATTGTGGTTAATGGAGTTCTCAAAGAGAAATAAATATTGTGTTGTGTTTTTGTTTGATAGGGTTCTGATCGATATAATAAGTTTTCTTTGTGTGTGAATGTCTTTTGTTTGTTTGAGTGTATGTATGTATGTGATTATGTGTGTTGTAAATAAGTAAAAACAACAATTCGATTGGTAAAATCAGATGGGTTATAAACTTTCGTTTGGTTTAAACACACACACATACAAAACACACATATAATTGAAACAAATGACCGTTAAGAAATAAATGAAATGAAGAGTGATTTTAATAATAACAGTACTTTTACAAAAAAATGTTTGTTTGTTTGTGTTTGTTGGTTTGTGTTGTAGACTCTTTTGATGATGATGTAGTAGCCACATCATAAGTACTCATAGTATGAATTGTAAGTGTGTTGTTGTTGTTGATATTGAAAAAAGGTCAATGGATATATACAATTTCAGTAATAATAATATGATCTATGGTTTAAAAAAAAAAAGACTGACTTTAGCAGCTGTGTGTTCTCCTTTGAACATTTTAATTATTATTATTATTATTATTATTAAAATTACTATTATTATTATTTTAACCTAATACTAATTATTAGTTAATGAATACATCACGATAGGTAGGATAGGGTGGTTAACCTTAGGTTTCCAGTTGAAAATAAAACACTACAAATAAGGATCTGTGGTCTATGTTCAGAGATGAACACGTGTTATTGTTTTGATTGTCAAAACTCACTTTGCTTTTGGTAATATTAATTTGTAAACGATAACTTGACTGATAGAAGGTGGTTTCAAGTTCAAATCAGCTGTTAGTTGTATGTAGTTTGTTTATGTATGATTTATTGTTGTTGTGAATGATTGCAAACTGATAATTATTGAAAATTGCAAAAAAAAAAACCTATCTAAATATCTTAATTGTATTGTTATTATTATTTATGTGAAGTTTATTTATAAATAATTGCTTTGATTGGTTGAGGTTGTCGTTAGTTAAAAAAAAAAAAATGATGGACTCAATTCAAGCAAAAAAACCTCAAATAACATGATTTCAAAAAAAACCTTAAACTCTTTTTTGATGATTTTCAAAAAAATAAACAAACAACAGATTGATTTCGCGTGTTAACACTGATCGAGATCTCCAAGAGATTCATGAATCTTTCATTGATTTTCTTCATTTTTATGGAATTCGTTATTTCATTGGTCCACCACTTTTTTTTTTTTTTTGATTTTTACAAGTTTTGATTAGTTTTTTTTAAAACATCAAAAAAGTCTAAGACATTTTTTTTGAAATGCAAAGTTATGAAAAGACTCGATCATTGCTGTCCATCGATCTACTACTATAAACTCATGAGTAAATAAAAACAGATCTTTATAACATTACTTTTTTAGGAATGAAGAAAGGTTTTAAAACGAAAAACCATTTCGCATTTTAAAATAGTAATTTATTAAATTTATTTCTTTTATTATAAATAATGTTTTTTTATGATAAATTTAAACAATGTATTTATTTAATGAGTAAAAAATTATAAATAAATAATAGATTTATAAATAAAAATTTCTTTTTAATATCATTTTTCATTTTATTCCCAAAACAATATTAAAAAAGTAGAGAGATTTAACCCTGCCATCAGTACCAATTAGATAAATATATGTTATTTAGATACCCAAATAAATTCATGTTGATAATACCAATTATAGTAATAATTTTTTAAAAACTTACAATGTTGTAAAAAAATTTAGTTTTTAATATATGTTATTGATAAAATGTAGTTATATGTATGTGTGTTTAATATTTGTTTGTGTACTATGTGTGTTAATGATGAATCAAACTATGAGTTTTAGAGATATTTATTAATATCTACTAATAATTATCAATTATCTATTTGTTATTTTTATAACTTGAAATGTTATAATTAACTTCTGAACGATTGCAACATCTTGACATTGATCTAACAAGACACACTCTACCGTGTTCATGTTGTCAACTATGCACCAATGACACTGCAACAAATCGTCATTGAAACCCGGTCAAACCTTCACCTTTGGTTACATCGATCACGGTAGAGTCTCTCCAAACCTCTATATCAAGTCACACACTTATTAAACTTATTAATTAATTAAATTTAATCTATTCGTTCTTCTTTTCTTCTTTCATAGCGTTTATCAATAATATAAATATAAATAAATAATATTTATTTTTCCATCGAATTATTACTTTTAACCATTGTTTCTACTTTGAATAAGCTCAAGTTGTTGTTTATGCTGAAAACACCATTGTGTTGTCATTTAATGACAACACAAAAAAAATAAAAACAATTCAAAATGTGGGTTTTCTTTGGAATTTCATTGCAAAATAGTGAGTGTGGTTAAACTCATAATGACACCACAAAAAGATCTAAAACAGGAAAATGGATTCGAAAAAAAGAATGAAAATGTAAAGTTCTTTTAACTTATAAATAGATTAAATATTTAAAGAGATTAGATTAATAGATATTTAATAAGAAATAGAAAGATATATATATATATATATATATAAATAATAAATACATAAAAAATGAGAGAAATAGTTATAACAAAACCAGGATCATACGATGTACTTCAAGTCAGAACATCACCTGATCCAACCGTTGGTGCAGGTCAAGTTAAAATCAATGTTAAAGCATGTGGTTTAAATTTTGCTGAAGGTAATTATTATGTTTAATATATATTTAACAACAAATAAAGAAGATTAGATTTTAACAATGTTTTATTTTTATAAGTTATGGCAAGACAAGGATTATATCCAGATGCACCACCTACACCTTGTGTTGTTGGATATGAAGCTGCTGGGGTTGTGGGCGAAGTGGGTGAGGGTGTCACATCGGTTTCAGTCGGACAAAGAGTTGTTGTTTGCACCAAGTTTGGTGCTCATTCCGATACCATTGTTTTAAGCCATCAAATGGTATTCCCGATTCCTGATGATATGACATTTGCAGAGGCATCATCGATTCCAGTCAACTATATCACTGCCTATCATATGTTGTTCAGAGTTGCCAATATTCAACCGGGTGCAAGAGTTCTTGTTCATATGGCTGCAGGTGGTGTTGGTGTCGCCGCCATCCAACTATTGAAAACCATTCCCGATGTCACTATCTTTGGAACTGCATCACCAAGTAAACACGAATTCATTCGTCAACTCGGTTGCACACATCCCATTGACTATACAACCAAAGATTATGCAACAGAGATCACCAACATGTATCAAAATGAACTTGAAGGAAAGAGAGGTGTTGATGTTATCATTGACCCTTTAGGTGAATTCAAGTATGTATTATCTAATAATGTTGTTTTTAATCATTATCTAAACTAATTGTTTTATCAAATAGGTCTGGATATCATATTTTAAATCCATGTGGACATATCATTGCATTCGGTGTTGCCAACATGGTAAGTGGATCAACAAGAAGTATCTTTAATATTTTGAAACAATATATGAGAGTAAGTACTATATAGTAATATTATTATTTTATAACTTTATAGAAAGATGAAATGACTAACTTTACCTACCAACAAATAGATTCCATCGTTCAATCCATTACATTTAATGAATGATAACAAGACTGTTTCTGGTGTAAATATTGGACATCTTTTCATTCCATCGCAGATACCAATGATGAAGCAAGAGATGTTAGAGATTCTAGAGTTATTCAAGCAAGGAAAGTGTAAGGCTATCGTCAGTGAACAATTCACTTTTGAGCAAGCTGGTGAAGCACATAAATACATCGAACAAAGAAAGAATATAGGTAAAGTTGTTCTTGTACCAACTGAGGCCGATAGAGCAATGACTCCTAATTCTTAAACTTTCAAAACATACTCTCACTGTTATCTCTATTCGAATTTATCTAAATTTGTTTAGCATCTTTGTAAATAAATGAATATTAAATAAGTTATTGTTTGTTTTTATTTACTTTTATTTTAATTTGAATGATGATTAATTTGAAATATCCTTTAAAGGGTTGGTAATGAATATACTGTGATAGATAAACTGGATTGGAGATAGGTAAACATAGTTGTATCTATTCCTGGCATTGAGCGAACTAACCATCACTAGATGTTCCAGTCTAGCATTTAGGACAGGTTTCTTGCCCTGAGAGTACCAAATTATTAAAATCTAGGTTAAGATTTCTAACAGTATCATCTTCGGGGTTGTCAACGTTATCATCATCTGATTCTTTATCATCTTCTTCTTTTTCTTTATCTAAATTTTTGAGGGGAATTTCATCACTAAAGATGTGAACATGACAATGAGCACCAATATCCTTAATTATTGTAAAGTTATTTTCGTTGACATAGAATTGAACTGGGTCATTTGGTTTCAAGGCATTAATTTTTGGTGGTTATTGTTGTTAGGAAAAATAAAAATATTATAAAAATCGTGGATTTTTCCTTTATTAACATAGGAGGGTGCACGGTATGAATTCCAAGTTGTTGAACTTAGGTCTTTAGGAAAAACCTCAATATTAAAGTTTCCGTGTCCTTTGCAGCAAGGTTTTTCCCCATCTCTTAATCCATAAAAACAAACCTTATTTCCATAATCCCTGTTTTGTGGATTTCTTTCACTTGGAGATCCAAAAAGGGTCCGCTTATTCTTAATATTGATTAAATTATCCTCTATTGTACTATGAACTAATCTTGCAGGATGTGTCTCCATATCTAATAACTTCTATAATATTAATCTCTTTTGATAAGAAAATAATGTGATTGATCTATTTTGATTGAGCTATTTTGTTGAAAAAAAAAAAAATAGTTTTTATTCCTTAAATATTGCAATTTTTTGATTTGATTAATTTTTTAAAAAAAACCAAATTTATTCTACCCTAGAGCGAATTAAATGATTCCTATAACAATATATTAGGTTAATCTTCATTATATCACCTCCCTAAATCCATATCTGAATAATATTTTATTCAAAATCAAAGATTAATAGATTATTAAATTCAATGATTTCTAATCGATATATATATATGTCATATTTGTGGTGAAACAGTTGATTTTGCTGGTCGATCCTTCCAAAAAACTGTTTTTTTTTTTCTATTTTCATCGCATTAATTTTATATATCACAGGCCCACTATTTTTATATGCTTTATTTTGATTATTTTATGTGATGTGGTGAATCTTCATTTGAATCACCTCCCAATTCTAACTGTATTTAAAATTTAAAAATAAAAAATTAAAATTTTATTAGAAGAATTAATTCACAAGATCAAAACCTCTATTTCAATCAAACCCATTCATGGATATGGATTAATAATTTGTTTTTGCCAATTGTATGGAACAAAAAAAGTTGGATAATAACTGTTTAATTATATAATGATTAAATTTTATAAATAAATTAAACAACACTTTTTTCCAAAGTGATCGTAACCCCAGGGTTAAAATGACGAAAAAAGAAAAGTCGGATTCTATTGTAAAACTTTTTATTTTATTTTATTTTTGTTCATGTTCAATAACACAATGTGTGTATGTCATGTCATATCTTGACACAAAATGTCACATTTTAGTGAAGGTTAATTTTGTGTTATCTCTTTTGTTTTCTTTGGCCATCTCCATGTCATTTTAGTGGGGTGTGGTTAGTTGTTTTGATTAGTCCAATAAACAATTGCATTTTATTTAATAATAATTCCACAGATTTTAAACATATCAACAATTGACAATAGCAAAAACAGCAACAACCAACTCCCAATTCTACTACTTTATTTTAAGTATTGCATGTCCAGTCATCACTTTTTATTTATCTAAATTCAATTTATTTGATCATATATTCAATAAATGATCAAGTATTATTACTAAACGAATCAATCTATCAATCAATCATTAAAAGTAGTTCATGATACCATTAATAAATTTACTTTATAAATGATAGAAGTTATTTAAAGAATAACATTGACATATATATATTATTTATTATACTATAGCTATTTATTTTTTTTTTATAACAATTGTTATTGTTTTTGTTATTGATATTGTTACTATTACTGTAGTTTAGTTGTTGTTAGTTTTATTATTTTTGTTTTAGTTATAACTACAATACCAATAATACTATAATATGTCGAGTTTATTTAGTAGAATATTTAAAAGAAATAGGAATGATGGTGGTAGTTATCAACAGGTTGGTGGCGATGCTGACCTGCAACAAGAACAACAGAATGTAGAGAGAGAGAATCTGTTTGACAGAGCATGTCCAGAGGAAAGTGCATCGATACCGAATAGAATGTTCTTTTTCTGGGCACAGAGAATGATGATGACCGGCTACCGAACTCCACCATTGCAGCTGACCGATCTCTGTAGAGCGCCCGACGCCGTCAAAGTCGAGAACACTCAAGACTACATGCACAACATCGATTTCACAAAAAAGTATCCTCTGATCTTTCACATCTACCGTCATTTCGTCATTAGATACCCTATTCTCTTGATAATCAAGATACTATCTGCTGTATTTACTATTATGACTCCATTAGTTCTGAAAACGTAAGTATAACTAAAGTTTGCGATAATAATTTTTAAAATATTCATTTTTAATTAACTTTTTTATATTTTTATTAGATTCTTATGGTATATACAATTGGAAGATAGAAAGATATATATATGCTGGTTACTTTCGGTTGGGTTGTTCTTTTCATCCTGTACACTTTCATTTACGAATCAATATGGATTTTGGTATGGTATGAGAATGTGTCTGGAGATGAGAGGTTCTCTGATTACCACCATCTTTCAAAAGATGTTGAAACTCAATAATAATGCAAAACGTCTATTCTCCAGTGGTGCAATCATGAATTTGATATCCGTGGATATCGATGCATTCGAAGAGTATTTTTGTATGTTAGTTAATTGTGTAATATTATCTCCAACAAAAGAAAAACAAATACTTATTATTTTTCTTTATGTATTTCTCTCTTTTAGGGAATAATTGTATTGATATATTTATATATCCATTTACTATAAGTTTTCTTTTGGCATTTTTATGTTATATTGTTGGTCCGGCTGCTGGATTGACTGGATTTGTTTTCATGGTGATTGGTCTACCGACAAATGCTTATCTGAGCAAGCGCCAGAGTGACTTTAATTTGAGATCGCTGAATCTGGGAGATGATCGTGTTGGCCTGATGAGTGAGATTCTCACTGGTATCAGATTCCTCAAGTTGTATGCCTGGGAGCAGCCATTCATCGATCGAGTAGAATCGATTAGAAAGAACCAACTCAAACAACTGAGAGTTCGTAATCTTTTCTGGGCATCATCGTCGCTTCTCACCCAAGTACTAAGTGGAATCGTATTGCTAGCGACATTCTCTGTGTTTGTGTTGCGTGGTGGTCAGTTGGATGCTACCACTGCATTTACCGCGCTTACTATTTTCGTCAATATGAGACGTCCATTGGAGATGCTTCCGGAATCAATTCAACGTCTGATGAAAGTATTTGCTTCGTCCAAGAGAATCGAAGCATTCCTCCAAACCACCGAGATTCAACAACATATGATAACTCACATAGACACCAGTTCGGATATTAGAATTGTAGATGGTGAATTCACATGGGATGATGCTGATTATTCCAACAAGCGTGGTCAATATGACAGTAACGGTAGTGGAGATGAAGAAATTGGTGAGATTAGCATGATGATTCTCCAAGATGGTAATAACAATAGTGTAGGTGGCTCAGCTGCCGACAGTCCTAAATCACATCTGGTAGTTGCTAGAAACACTTTGAACGACGATGAATCAGGTGAGCAGATTACCACTTTCGAAGAAGTAGAGTCAATCGGTATGATGGAGGATGATACCAATTCGCCAGAGCGTGCTCCCTCCGTTTTGAGTGGTGTCAACTTTGTCGCACCAGCTGGAAAACTTACGATGATCTGTGGAAAAGTTGGAACAGGCAAGACAAGCTTGGTTAGTGCACTGATAGGAGAGATCTACAAAACCAAAGGAAGTGTTTTCACTCCACGAAAGATGGGTTTCACCTCACAGTCACCCTTCTTGATTAGCGCATCGCTACGTGACAATATTTTGTTTGGTGAGGAATTCGATGCCGATCGTTATATCCGTGTGTTGGAAGCGTGTGCACTGGATACCGATTTGACTCAGTTTCCTGCCAAAGACTTTACTGAGATTGGTGAGCGTGGACTAAATCTATCGGGTGGTCAAAAGTCGAGAATTGCATTGGCGCGTGCGGTTTATGCAGATCCCGAATGCTATTTGTTGGACGAACCTCTGAGTGCCGTTGATTCAGAGGTTGCCAAACATCTCTTTGAGAAATGCATTCAAGGTATTATGGCCAGTAGAACAAGAATTTTAGTAACTCACCAACTTCAGTTTGTGCCATCCGCTGACCATATTGTCGTAATCCAAGATAACAATGAAATTCTTCAAGGAACCTACCAGCAACTAACAGAAAAAGGTATTGACTTTGAGTCCATCATGAAAGCAAAGCATATCGATATAAACAGCTCTATAACCGATTCACAAGAAGGTGACAGTGCCAGTCCAGATAGAACAACTACAACTACAACAACAACTACTACAGAAGAGCAACAACAAACATCTGCTAAAATAGAATTAATTGTTACAAATGCACCAGATTCAAATCTTCAAGAGAAAGCTAAACTTTTGGTACAAGAAGATAGAAATAAGGGAGCCGTCGGAATGGATACTTATGGTCCCTACATTAGAGCAGGTGGAACTTTGTGGTTCTTTATTATCGTATTCTTTTATTTGTTTAGCCAGATATCTTTCCAATCTGCCGATTATTGGCTTGCCATTTGGTCAAAGAAACAACTCGACGGTCCACACACAGAACGATTCTATCTTTTCATTTATATGTGGTTCATTTTTGGTTACATCATCCTATTGACTATCCGTTACTTCTCACTGGGATCTTTCACTCTTTATGCAGCGGCAGAGTTACACGACAAACTACTTGCCAGTATCATGCAAGCGCCAACTCTTTTCTTTGACCAAAATCCAACCGGACGTATATTGAATCGTTTCTCAAAGGATATATCTGATATTGATTTATCGATTTTAGAATCGCTCTCTGATATAATGTATAACGGTACCTCGGTGTTTGTATCGATTTGTATCATGGTATTCATCAATCCGATTATGGTTGTGCCACTTGCAGTACTCTCTGTATTGTACTACTTTGTCCAAATTATCTATCGTAACACCAGTCGTGAGCTAAAGAGAATGGAATCCATCTCGAGAAGTCCGATATTCTCATCAGTGGGTGAATCGTACAGTGGATTGGTAACGATCCGTTCTTTCAAACAACAACAACGATTTATCAATCAGATTCACACACAGATCGATGTCAACCAACGATTGTATTTCTACAGTTATGCATGCCACCGTTGGATGGGAACGAGACTAGAGTTGATTGCATCCACTGCAGTATTCTTTTCTTCTTTGTTTTCCATCTATAGTTCTGCGAGCAACCCAGGCTTGGCAGGATTGGCTGTCACTTCTGCACTTGGAATGACTGGATTCTTGAATCGTCTGGTCAGACAATACACTACATTGGAAGTAAAGATGAACTCCGTTGAAAGAGTCAACGCATACACTCAAATCCAATCAGAGGGAGATCGTCACTCGCTAACGAATCCTCCTCCTCCAAGCTGGCCAGAGAAAGGACAAATAGAATTCCGTGACGCAGAAGTTAGATATCGTCCAGATATGGACCCAAGTTTAATGGACTTCAATGCCACTTTGGAGTCATGTGAGAAAATCGGAATAGTCGGTCGAACAGGTGCTGGAAAATCAACGATTGGTGTAGCATTGTTCCGTATGGTCAATCTATCAAAAGGAAGGATATTGATCGATGGCATTGATATTGGAAAGATTGGATTGTACGAGTTGCGAAGTAAGCTAGCTGTCATTCCTCAAGATCCGTTCATATTCTCTGGAACGATACGTGCCAATATCGATCCATTCCACGAGCGGTCCGATTCACAGATATGGGATGCTCTTGAAAAAGTGCAGCTAAAATCGGTTGTCTCGTCCATGCCGTTTGGATTGTCCACCGAGATGCAACAAGGTGGCGAACTCTCGGTTGGACAAAGACAACTACTCTGTCTGTGCCGTGCACTTTTGAGAAACTCAAAGATTGTGCTGATGGACGAGGCAACTGCAAGTCTCGACTATGAAACCGATGCAATCATCAAGAAGACCATTAAAGACAACTTTTCCAATAGTACAGTACTCACGATTGCACATCGTCTCGACACTATCTATGACAGTAACAGAATCTTGGTCGTCGATAAAGGTCGTCTAGCAGAATTTGATACACCGACAGCACTTACCAACAATCCGGAATCGAGATACACTCAACTTCTAAGAGCACAATCAACCTATTTATTTTCAAAATCAAAACAAGATAACTAAAACTATGAAGTCAACGAACAATACATCCAAATACATTACAAATAATCTATTAAATAAATATATTATTAAATGAATAATCTTGCCCACCTTTTTTTTTTAAACCAAGAAAATATGAAAATTTTATCTATAAATTTATTAAATATTCTTTATTTTTATTATACATATACATTGATCAATTAATAGTCAACAGGGTAGAATCCAGTTTGAATTTTTATACCAGTATTTGGTGTAGTTTTAATAAATAATTTTGCTTTCAGACCAAAAGAGTTTGGCGATGGAGAAGGTGAACCTAGAGACACAATATTCTCTTTATTGTTAGATTAGTAAAAAGATTTTATTTATAAATTGAGGGAGTACATACTGAAAATCATTTAATATTATTTGTAAATTATACTATGTTTATGTTTTTAAAGAAAAATAAATTGGAATACAAGTCTAGACACTAAGTGTCTTTATATACTTTTTTAACTCCTAGATGTGATTTTTCCTTTTTTCGAAATTAAAAACGGTGGCAAACAATTGTGTTCAATTGTAGAATTATTGAGAGGGAGGATAAGAAGTTTAAGAACAATAATGTAAAAATACTCTCTGTAAACCTTGAAATCTTGGGTTGATAAAATTTAAAGGACGGATTTGATTTGTCAAGATGAATTGCTTACCCACTTTGATTAATTGTGAGCCTTTAATCAAAAATGAAAGGGGGTAGTGACAACAGCATTTTTTCATGTTACAGTTGAGTTCACTGTTCACTAAAATTAGCAAAAAGAGTTGATTTTTATTAGAAATTGTTGGGGAAAATCATAATTTCCAAAAAACAAGACTGAATAAAACCAGTATTTTTATATGAATACTTCTCATTATTTCTAGAAGTAAGTTAATATGTAACAAAAAACACTGATTAAAAGTTGATCAGTTCAATCCTTGCTATCTTTAAAATGGAACTTTTTAAGTAAATAAAAGTTGTAATATAAAGTAATAATAATTTGTACAATGAGTTTTGTTTGTTTTTTTTATTTTATAACTTATTTTTATTATTATTATTCGAATATAAAAATATATACTATTCATTTTGTATTTCAGGCTCATCATCGTCAATAAAGAGATCTTCTAATGTTAGGTTTGCATTGCCTGTTTCTTCTTGTATTCTCCGTAGTAGTGAATTAAAGGTGTCAAAGTTTGTTTCGTTTGCACCTGAAAAGATGGCGTTACATTCACTACATATAAGAACATCTACTCCGGTGATGATTTTATTTAAATATCGACTGCCTTCCTTACAGAAAGGGCACATCGAACCATGTTTTGATTGAATACCTATTATTAAGTTTGCAAACATATTATTAACTGTATCACTATTCTGCATATCTTATTAAATATTTAAAAAATAAAATAAAAAATAAAACTAAAATCACTCATTAAATGTTTTTCTTGGATGTGCTCTCCAAGCAGATTTCTCTCTAGGCCAACGCAAAGCAAGTTCCACTCTATCCAATCGATATCAACGAGGGAAATAAGTCAAGAAAAAAATAGGAAATAAGTCAAGAAAAAAAATAGGAAAGTAATAATAGATATAAATATAAATATACAATGTGTTAGTTTGTTTAAAAATTGATCAATTCAACTTTTTAGCTTCTAATTTTTTATGACCGTTGAAAAATATATTATTTTTTAAATTTTATTTTTTAATTATTGGATGTTGCAATTTTTTTGGTTTTCACAGACAACACCCAGTTTCACCATACTTCGCATCATGAAATTTCCAATTTTTTGTGGGGTGTGATCACATATAAAATGAACAATTTTTTTGTTTCACACTTTCGTTCAATTTCATTAAAAAAACAAAAAAACAATAGCAAAACTCCTATTATCAGTATTTTGAATTAAACTTATATAAAATTACAAATAAACAAATATATAAATAATATATAATATATATCATTACAAATAATAGTAATAATAAAACAAATATTTAAATAATAAAATTATTATAATTTTAGATTAGTAACAAAACTGGATTATTAGATATCGAAATCAAAAATTGTTAAAGTAAATTTCAAAATAATAACAATATCATATTGTTGTTCAATTCAAACCATCATACAAATACAAATTGTATCAATATTTGATAGATACATACATACTTCCCGTTTTTCTTTGTAACCACCACACCCACCCCCTTTTCCTTTTCGATTCATATGAATACAACAGTGCAATACATTCAACCACGATCCTACTCACTCACTCACTCACTAGATTCAAAACAACATTCAACAAACTACCTTCATTTATATAAAATATAAATATAGAGCAATATCATAAATTAATATGAATCATCAAACCAACAACAACAGTAAATTCCAAATTGAACGAACTAAATAATCAATTTTACAAATTATCAAATAATATTGTCCGCTTTTCTTTTTCTCTTTTCCTACCCTTCTCCTAAGATATCCATACCTTACATTCTCTTTCCCTTTCAACCTTACTCTTTTAATAATAAACATAACAAACAAATAAAAACACGCTTTTAAACAAACTAAACAAACATTAAACCTAAATAATAATCTCAATATTATAATCTTTTATTATTTCTCAAAATCTTTATAATATATATTTATCAGTAGATTTCAAAAATTAAATAAACTAATTTTTCAATCATAAACAATCTTTATATAGTTATAGAAACTTGTAAAATTATAAAAATATGTGTAGATTCATTCATTATTTAGGACCACCCATCAAGATTTCATCGATTGTAACAGAACCATCGCATGGATTGGTTCAACAATCACTTCACTCAACATGTCCAGGTGTACATTTGAATGCCGACGGTTTCGGTATTGCCTGGTTCGTACCAGAGATCTCACCGAATCCAGCGGTCTTTAAGGATATCACACCAGCCTGGTCCAATATCAACTTGCGTCAGTTGGCAAGAGTCACCAAGTCTGGCTGTATCATGTCTCATGTGCGTGCCGCCAGTGCCGGTGCGATCACCACCAACAACTGCCATCCCTTCACCTACAAGAATCTCAGTTGGATGCATAACGGTACCGTCTCCTACTTCCCCAAGTTGAAGTTGAAGTTCTACAACATGTTGAGTCAATCGGCGTTGGAGTCGATCAAGGGTACCACCGACTCTGAGTGTATCTTTGCTCTGTTCATCACCAACTATGAGAAGGAAATCGGTTTCTGTGCCAAGCCAAAACCACATTTGTCGCGTCCAGTCTACTCGACCCACTGTTTGCTCGAGCCTGAAGACGAGCCATTCCCCTACACCGACAATGCCGTCGTCTTCCCAAAGGTCATGCAAAAGACGATCTCACAGATCCACCAACTGATATTGGACTACGAGGTTGAGAATGGAATCATCTCGGCCAACGACGAAGGTGCTTCACTCCAAACCACATCGACACACTCCAAGCTCAACTTGGTCGTTTCCGACGGTTACGCAGTGGTCGCCACCCGTTATGTCACTGGAACTGCCGACGGTGCACACACACTCTATTGGTCACGTGCCAAATCGATCGTTTGCGACAAAGGAGCATGCACTCTCGGATCGTCGAAAGGTGGTTGCGATTTATATAGTTTGATTATCAGCTCAGAGCCATTGGCCAGTGATTTCACCTGCGAAGAGGTTCCAATCAACAACATGGTAGTTGGAAATTCAGAAGGTCATTTCTCAATTCAACAACTATAAAAAAAATAATAACAACAACAAAAATAATCATATATATTTCACAAAAGAGGTCGATATTACATCTTTTTTTTTTCCCCTCCAAACTACACCGACAACCAAACTACTTCACCACTAACCTTTAGGTCACAAAACAATCATGACCACTCAATATATCAAGGTCGACCCCTATCAAGCTCAATCACCAAACAAATTTTAATAAATCGATTATAAACAATTTTTTTATGTAATTAAAAACAAGAGATTTAAGAATGTTTGAACTGATATATAATAAAAGTATAAACAAAGATACTAAATTGGAACATCCTATTGTAACAGGATAATCTTTGGTGTTGTTTTTTTTTCAATACAATTAACTTAAAATCTACAACCTAATTTTTTTTATTTTATTATTATTATCATTTTTGGTTTTTAAAAAAAAGGTAATAGAAATAAAAATTAAAATCAATAATTGTCAAAAAAATATAATATTTAGGTTTTTAAAACGATCTAAGATTGTGTGTCATTATTTTGATTGAAAATTGACAATAAAAAATAGTCTTTTGGTGGTAGAGCTTAATGAATCACTATGTCAGCACACTGCATCAAGATGAGATTATTTGAAACAATCAAGATTTTTGGGAATGAAAACAATACAATAAAACTCCTTATAATTTTGGGAATTCAAAAAAAAAAAAAAAAAAACAAATTTGATTAAATTTTTTGCAGGTTTTTTTTTAATTAATTGTTTTTTTTTTAATTTAGACGCCCCAAAAAGTGTTTATAAGATGGTAATTACCATCCTTAAAAAATTTATAAAAACTAATTCCATATTCGAATATATTTATATATTATTACTAAACACGAGTGTCTTTGTAAATATTTTTAAAATAATATCTGTAAATAATATTTATATATATAATAATATAAAAAAAAATAAAATTGTACTATAATAATATATTTTAATTAATCATTAATTCTTTAAGTCTCTAATTCTATCCGTAGGTATTCAATAATATATTTTATTTTTATTTTATAAAATAATATCTTTAATAGATATAATTATCTGTTTGTTTGTTTGATTTTTTTTTTTTTTTTTCTTATTGTTGTTTCGATTAAATATACAAGTAAATTTTAAGATTTATGTACTTCACTCCCACCTTCTATTGCAACTATAGTCAAACAAATGATTGCGCTTTTGTGCAAACAAATAATTCAATTTAGAATATAATAAAAAACAACACACACAAATTATCAATATACAAATAAAACAACCACCAAAAACAATATAGAATGTATATTGCCAATTAATATTTTTTTTTTTGTTTTTTTTTTTTTGTTATGTTGACAACACCCTATTTATAATTTCAAATACAGATAGTGTGTGTTGGTGTGTATATAAATTTGGTCACACAGCAACATTCATGGTTTTAAATTGTTTCTTTGCTTACTCCTCTTATTTGTTTGTTGTTTTTTGTTTTTTTTTTTTTATAACTATAAGAAATTAAAATTAGTAAAGTTTTTATTTTGGTACTACATCAATAATAATAATAATAATTATTATTATATTTATCATCAGTAATAATAATAATAATAATAATAAAATATTGAATGGTGATATAAAGAGTTCCACCTGATTCTATTTATTTTTAAGATTCATAGTTAGATTGAGCTGGTGTGTAGGGGCAGAAAAAATAGATAAATATTGGTTGGAAATAATAATAATAATAATAACAATAACAACATCAACAACTATAACAAATAAAATAAATAGTAATAGAGTAGAATTGTATTTAGATTAACTAAGAGTGATATTTAAAAAACAAAACAAAGAGGATCGAATGTTATCTCCAACCATTATTATCAACACTATACCCTAATCAATAATAATTAACCATAACAAATACAACAACAACATCAAAGATTTTATAAAAGTATGCATACCTGTTTCTTTATTTATCAAGATCCATTTTGAAATAAATAATGTCAATTAATATAAATATTAAAAAAAAAAACAACAAAAATTGACACCCACAAACCAAACTTGTAACAATAATTAGTATAACTTACATTGGCACTACACTTATATAACACAGCCACCCAGGTAAAAGGGAAATTCCCTCTTTTTCGTTTATTATTTGTTTTTTTTTTTTTTTCATCACATAAACATAAACATATTAATTTTTTTAAAAAAATTATATCATATCCCAATTAAAGAATCAAATATTTAATTATAATTACTTTTCATTCTGTTATTCCGTTACAAAAATTAACAAACAACAATAACAATAACAATTAAAAATCAAATTTCAATTTAATTATCTTTCAATATCAAATTATTCATAATAATATCCTTACCCAAGATATTTAATAGATATCAATTATAACATTACCTCTACCTCGATAATTTAATATTCATTCAATTTTTTGTTTGTAAAATATCAGTGTACAGTACATTTTATTTTTTTTTATAACTTTATTTATTGTTCTTTTCATTTGAAACAAAGTAAAGAAGCGATACCTCCTTTGGAGTGAAATAATACATTTTTGACTAACTTTAATCTTTACAAATTAATTCCAATTCCATTTTCATTAGATTTGTACATAATATTTAAAATTTCCTTAGCACTACTATTATAGTTAATAGTCTTTTATTATAGAAACTACAGTACTTTAAAATATCCTCATCATTCTATAATATATATATTTATTAAATTTTACTCTATTCTATTTCTTCACCAATTATATTATAATTTTATATTCTATATTTTTCAAAAGTAAATAATTTTCACTAAATGACAAAGAAAAAAGGTAAATATTAAGAAAGAATTTCTAAACATAAATATTAATTTATAAAAAAAAAACCAAATAATAATAATATTTTAATTTATCATTTATTTTTTTTAGGAACCTATTGTATTCTATCTCTTGATGGTGGAGGTGTTAGATCAATTATTGAATCAGTAATATTATCAAGAATTATAAAGGTATTCCCAACGTTTTTGGATCATGTTGATCTGATAACTGGTGCCTCAGCAGGTGGTATTCTGGCCTTGGTGTTGGCAGCCGGAAAATCAAACGATGAAACCCAAGCATTCTTTAAGAAGATTGCACCAGAAATCTTTTACAAATCATGGATTCATGAGATTACCTCGTTGGATGCTGCAATTGCACCGGCATACACCAATTTAAAGTTGAAGCAGGTGTTGACCGACGAGCTCGGTGACGTGCGACTCAAAGATCTTCCAAAGAAGGTCTTGATTCCAAGCTTCCAGCTCGACAATCACTCCACCAACGTGCCGGGTGACGAAGAGCAACCACCAACTCCGATCATCGAAGGTCACCTTCACAATTCATTCATCGAGGAGGACTTTGAGATCATTCCACCACAAATCAAGGATCCAACACACAGACGCTGGGCACCAAGATTCTTCCACAATCTTCACCACTCGAAAACCAACAATCACACAGCAGTCGATGTCGCTCTCAGAACTAGCGCTGCACCAACCTACTTCCCCATCTATCAGGGATTCGTAGACGGTGGTGTCTACGCCAATAATCCATCGCTCTGTGCTATCACCAGTGCCATCTCCTCTGGTGTGCCACTCAAGAACATTGTAGTGCTATCGCTATCGACAGGACGTGATGGTAAATTTGTCTCGCCAGAGCAGTACGGCAAAGGAGAGTGGGGATTGGCTCAGTGGGCACCAACACTGGTCGATATGTTGTTGGACTCGGGTGTGGAGATATCCGACTACCAGTGCGCACAACTCTTGGGATCACAATACCATCGTGTCGACCCATTGTTACCCAAGGTGATCGATCTCGACCAACCAAAATACATCCCAATGTTGGAGGAGGTTGCCAACAATGTCGATCTTGCATCGACAATCGAGTGGATCGGTAAATTCTGGTTCAACAAGAAAGAGATCCTCTCTGTCAAGACACCAACAACATCACCATCATTCGTGCCAATGCCAAGCGACGTTCCACCACAAGAAAACATTGATGCTAACGACGATAAACAAAATAATTCACAACCATCTGTTACAACAACAACAACAACTACCACCACAACAGAAACAGATACCATCGGTGTAACTATAGCCACGAGGAGTAGTTATTACTGTTCAATAATGTAAATTTTTAAAACAAATAAATATTATAAAAAATAGTTTTTTTTTTTCTAAATATATAATATTTTTAATATAAAATTGCGATAAAAAAAAAAGTTGTGTATTGTGTTGGATATCTCTATCTGATCTGTTAGATTTATTTTAAAAAAAGTAGTGAAATTTCCCAAACAAAAAATCTGACAACAATTTAATGTGATATCGTTTTTTTATCAAAAAAAAAACAATGATTATTTTCATTTAATTTACTTTTTGTTTTCTATTTTTAATATTAATAGTAATACTACTATCATATATAAGAATTAGAAAGAAATGATGCTAGGAAGATCATTGTTGAATAAGAGATTCACTCAATCATTGACTACCTCTCTGTTTGGTTCGGTCAACCGTAATGTAGTCACTAAGCGTAACTTCTTAAATATAGTACCAGATCGTATGTTTTTTTTTGTAAAATACAATAATACATAGTTTATTTCTTTTAAAAGAATAGTAGTATTTATAGCTAACATATATTTATAAACAAATACATTATACATACATATAGCATCAGTTGGATTGACAGATGAACAAAAAGAATTCCAAACGATGGCATTGAACTTTGCAAATGAAAAGATGCTACCTTTCGCACCAAAATGGGATCAAGAAGAGTTCTTCCCAAAGGAGGTCATGAGAGAAGCTGCTGAACTCGGTTTCGGTGGTATCTACGTTGACCCAGAGGTTGGTGGTTCAGGTCTTTCACGTGAGGATGCAACCATCATCTTTGAAGCACTCTCATCTGCAGATGTATCTACCACTGCCTATATCAGTATTCACAAGTAAGTAATATAATTTACTTTTTTTAGAGTTGAAAGAGAAGGAAACTAATCAAATTATTAACTGATTGATTAAATTAGTATGTGTGCAGGATTAATTGATATCTATGGAACAAATGAACAAAGACATAAATATCTTCCATCTCTGACCAAGATGGAATCGCTATCATCGTATTGTCTGACGGAACCAGGAAGTGGATCGGATGCAGCATCACTCTCCACTAAAGCCGTTAGAGATGGCGATCATTTCGTGTTGAATGGATCCAAGGCATTCATTAGTGGCGGTGGCGAGAGTGATGTCTACCTTGTGATGGTGCGTACCGGCGAGAAAGGTGCCAAGGGAATCAGTTGTTTGTTGATCGAGAAAGACACTCCGGGACTGTCGTTCGGTAAGAAAGAGGAGAAACTCGGATGGAACACTCAGCCGACTCGTGCCGTCATCATGGAGGACTGTCGTGTGCCAGTCGCCAACCTGATCGGAAAGGAAGGTCAAGGTTTCAATATCGCAATGAATGCACTGAATGGCGGTCGTTTGAATATCGGTGCTTGCTCGCTTGGTGGCGCACAAGCCAGTTTAGTAGCGGCGCGTGACCACCTCAAGGTGCGTAAGCAATTCGGACAGCCACTTGCCAACTTCCAGTCGATCCAATTCAAGCTGGCCGACATGGCCACCAAGTTGTACGCAGCGCGTACCATGCTCCGTAACTCTGCCAAGATGTTGGATGCCAAAGACCAACAAGCCGCCGTCTACATTGCCATGGCGAAACTCTTCACCTGTGACACCTGCTTTGAGATCTGTGACGAGGCACTCCAGCTACACGGTGGATACGGATACCTCAAAGACTACCCAATAGAGAGATATCTTCGTGACACTCGTGTACATCGTATTCTTGAAGGTTCCGATGCCGTAATGCGTTTAATTACATCACGTGAAATCTTAAAAGATAACTAAGTAATTGAATCAATCAAATCAATCAATCGGCCATTAGATCAATCAATCAATCAAGCAATCAATCTCAAAACTTTCACACACAAAACACAAATTCACATGTATTTAAAAAAAAATAAAAAAAATAACAATTAAAGATATTTATATAATAATACAATCAGATAATAATAGATAAATTTCAAATTTCTATTTTATTAATTTAGATTTCAATACTTAATTATTTATTATATTTTATTTGGTCAAACCAAAAAAAAACTTCTTTTTTGCTTTTACTAATTCTTATTTCTTATTTCCATTAAAAAAAGTATGTTGGGTGTTATTTTTGTCAAATTCATACATGAAAGTTCTAAAATCTATGTGTTCCAAACCACTACCTGGCCAATTAAAATCGAAAAATCAAAAAACTTCCAAAATCTCAAAACATCTGAGAAAAGTGTTGCAAAGGAAGACCACACTTAAAAAAAAAAAGTTCAGTGCTGATTTTTTAGAGTTTTTGAATCTCATTGTATTTTGAGAAATTCGTCACGTAATGATGATTTTATATTTTTGAAATGGGCTGGTGTATGGCGCTGGTATGACTCCCTCCAAAAAAATTGTTTTTTTAACTAGAAAAACTATTTGCAAATGAAATTCCCTCCCCCTCATTTAAAAAAAAAACATCAAAGTCAAAAAATAACAAGAATCATTTTTCATTTTTCCACACTTACAAACAAACAAATAAATAACAATAGATAAATAAAAAACATAAATCAACAAACAACACAAAACAAAAAAAATAAACAAAAAAACCAAACTATTTATTTAATTTTGTTTATCGAACACCGTTCTTTTCCTTCTTTTTTATTATATTGTTTTTTCACAAACAATAGCTTGCACACCCACACAAACAAACAAACAAACATTACATTTACATAAATAAACACAACACAACGACAACAACAACAACAACAATAAAACAACATATTGCATCAAAAAACACACCATTCAAAATAATAATTATCCATCGTCTATCCAATTAAATTTCATTTACAAACAAATCAACAAACAAAACAAGTAATAATATAATAATAACTATATTATTATTTATATCTACAATTTAATAGAAAAAGAAAGAAAGAATCAACATTACTCATTAAATATAATCAATATATAAACATATACATTTAGATTCAGAAATATTTATATTTATATTATTTATTTATTTATTTAAATTATAGAAAAGTAACAGTAACATCTAATAGTAATATAATAATAATAATAATAACCGAGTATATCAATATTAATTGAACAGTTCATAAAAAAACATAAACATATAAACACAAAACTAAAAGGTAAATATTAAAACTATATAGTACAATCTACTATTTTATATGATCATTTGTCTTTATTAAGATTCTACAATTATTTTATTACTGCTTTTACGAGTGATAATAGATAGTTTATTGAATCAACTAATCTTTTTTTTTTTTTTTTTTTTTTTGTTTCAAACTTAACAATAACAACCAAACAAACAACAACCAAACCCAATTTTAATGATAATTGTTTATTTTTTTAAAAAATACAATAAAAATTTATAAATGATCATACTTCTACAATTTCTATTTATATATCTGGATAACCATGAAGTGCATTCATTATTAATACCTACTTTCTTTAAATTCTTTCTATCTTTCTATCTTTCCTTTTTTTTTTTTTTTTCTTTTATAAATCTAAAAACCCAAAATATACAATAGAATAATAATAATATTTAAAGTAAAAACAAAAAAAAAACAACATATCTAATATAAATATAAATAACAATAATAAATATTTAGTTTCAGTAGCAACAAACAGAAAAAAAAAAAGAATAATAGTAACAGTACAATAACAGCAATAATCGTACGAGTAATTAGTAAAAGAAAAACTTTATTTTGTTATTATTAGTGTAGCAAATAATATGTAAATTATGGTTCTAATAACATTTGTTAGGTAAGTTTTAATTGATGTACAAGAATGGCGTACTTACTATTCATTTAAATTCCCTTAATTATTATCTTGTTATTGAAAATATGTTTCACCCCTACAACCTATCTATCTTTAATTACATTAAAAATGATCGTAATGGCATTTTACAAATGCATAATGGTGCGTCTGCGGCTTTTCTTTAAAAAAAAAAAGGACGACTCTCTAAATTAAATCCAATTATATTGTGTTTGTTTATTTGTTTGAGATGTAAACTACACAAAATTAATTTGAACAAGTCATATAAAAAAAACAAATATTAAAAAAAAAAAGGTGGCTCATAGCTTTTGAAAAAAGATAATTAATTATAGCGCATTTAAACTAATGAATAAGTGTATGTATTGCTCCTATTAAAACATGTTTGATTTAACATTCCTCTCTTTTTTTTTTTCTTTATTTTCATTCATTCACATTTATATGATTGCTTGCTTGGTTGGTTCAATTCATAATAATACAAATACAATTAGACATGGAGAAACAGATTTCAATAAGAACGGTATATTGCAAGGTCATTTAAATATCCCTCTCAATGCCAAAGGCAGACAACAAGCGGTTTTGGCTGGTGAACGACTACGTCAGGATCATTCGCACATCGATTTGGTGATTTCATCGGATTTAGACCGTGCCTATGAGACAGCTTCGATCATTGTCGACCAATTCAATGGTGGCAAAGCAGCGCCAGCAGTCAATTCCATCATCACAACACCGTTACTTCGTGAGCGTTATCTTGGCAAGTTGGAGGGTGTAGATCTTCGACAATTTGTCAACTGGGAAGAGCTCCCAGAGGCAAAGAAAATGATCCAACTCCAGAACATTCTCTCACAGAAATCAAACATCAACTCTATCATTACACCAACATCTCCTGCCATTTCCTCAGTGACATCGGTAGATTCTCTCACCATGCAGACATCGTCCAGCAACAAGCTGTCCTCTGCCAACATTCTCAAACACCTTCCACAGAAGGAATTAAAACTCGAATCCAAACACAAACTCATTAAACGCGCAAAAGAAGCCTTTCAATTCATTTTGAAACAGGTTCCCCAGAAATATTTAACAATTGGAAGAGAAGACAATAATGTCAATATCAACCAACTTCAACAACCACAATTCGCAATCTCTGCCAATGCAGATTTAGAACAACCAATAGCATCAATTACAAATCAATCTTTGGATCTTGATAACCAAAATTCAATCTCTTCTCCATCCTCGACACACTCTTCACTCTCTACCTCTTCCACATCATCTCAATCCTCTCTTTCTTCATCTACCTCTTCAGCATCTTCCATTTCTTCGAATGAACATCAAAACGGTGAAACAGATACCACCAACATCAACTTTGCTTTCAACAACATCAACATCACCAGCAACACCAATAATAACAATAGCAGTTCCAGTTTATCAAAATCAAATACACCACCCAAGGAATTTCATATTTTGGTAGTTTCACATTCTCTTACACTAAAGACTATTCTAAGTCTTCTTTTATGTAAAAGACCACCAATCTCAGTATTCTGCAACACAAACACCCCCGACGATATCACCCAATCGGAACAATCGTCACACCAAAACTTCAAATGGATTCAATTGGAGCTTAAGAACGCATCGATTGTCCGTACCAGTTTTAGTCTGATTGAAAAGAAATCCTCTGGTGAGGATCGCAAGAGATTACCCAGAGAAATCATATTTTTCCCAGTTGCCACTGTTGACGATCAAGAATAGATTGACAACGAACAACAAAACAATTCAAAACCACCAACCAACAAACTAATCAACCCAACTGATCAAACCTTGATTTTTACAATCAATTTTTTAAAAAAATAATATACATTTATATATATAGGAATCAAAAGAAGTTCAAACATACTTCTCACCACCTTTATCTATTTATACATACACTTTGGGGAGAAATTTATCCCTTTATTTTTTTTACTCGATTACTAAAGTAATTATTCATTTTTAAAAAATAAATATCAATAAATTGTTTTTATTTAAATATATCATCATTTCGTTCGTTTCTTTTTAGTATCTAAACTTCATTATTATTATTCGTATTTTAATAATATTAAGAGTTTAAATTTTTCTTAGTAAAAAAAAATGAGATTTAAGCGGGCAATTTAAAATTTTTAAATTTGTTCATATTATTTTTTAATTCATCTCGATATTTGTTATATTTTTTAATTTAATATAATTATTTTAGTTTAGTATAGTATATAGATATAAATATGTTGTGGATAGATAAATATAAACCAACATCGTTGGATCAAATGGATTATCATAAAGATATATCAGAGAATCTAAAGAATATGGTAGGTTTTATAAAGTTGGTCAACGAACTAAATTTAGTTTAGTACCATTCTAATGATGATTTATATATATTTTTAGATATTAGGTGGTGATTTTCCACATTTGCTCGTATATGGACCTTCGGGTGCTGGTAAGAAGACAAGAGTGATGGCTACTTTGAAAGAGATTTACGGTGCCAACTGTCTAAAAGTAAAGATTGAAAACAAAACATTCAAACACCCATCGTCTAGCAAGAGTATACAGGTTACAACAGTTAGTTCACCCTATCACATAGAGATCAACCCTGGCGAAGCAGGCTCATACGACCGTCTTGTCATTCAGAGTATCATCAAAGACATTGCACAGTCACCACCAATCGATTCACAATCTTTTGGTAATTTTAAAAGTAAGCAGTCCTTAAAAATCAACATTAAACAAACAAAACTAAACTAATATACTCTATCACTATAATCATTATACAATAATAACTATTAGTTGTAATATTGAATGAAGTTGACAAGTTGTCAAAGGATGCACAACATGCACTCAGAAGAACAATGGAGAAGTATGCCAACTTTTGTCGTTTGATTCTATGTTGCGATAGCACTTCAAAGGTAATCGATCCAATTAGATCGAGATGTATGGGTATTCGTGTACCGGCACCAACCAAAGAAGAGATTGTCAAGGTGTTGCAAAACGTTGCAAAGAAGGAGCGTTTCGATTTGTCTGCCGAGGTTGCCGGTCACTTTGCTGAGAGATCCAACGGTAATCTGAGATATGCTCTTCTACTACTCGAATCAAAGAAGACCAAAGAGTATCCCTTCCAAACGAACGAACTTCCGCTACTCGACTGGGAGAGCGCCATCTTCAACGTCGCCAACGACATGATCACAGAGCAGAGTCCTGCACGTCTACAAGTGATTCGTGGTAAACTCTACGAACTCATCGGTCATTGCATCCCACCGGATATCATCATGAAGAATCTTACATTTGCATTACTAGAGAGGATCGATACAACCATTAAATATGATATTATACATTGGGCTGCTTTTTATGTATGTTAAAAATAACCTAGAAGTTCAACTTTATATTGACCCAGTTCTTTTACTAACTAATCATCATCATACAAATTGCATCAAATAACAAACAAACAAACAAATAAATAGGAACATAGAATACAAATAGGAACAAAACCAATATTTCACTTGGAAGCATTCATTGCCAAGTTTATGGCAATCTTTAAAAAGTTCCAAATGGAATTTCAACCATAACATCACATCAACCTAAGTAATTACTCACACTATCCTTTTCTTTGAAAGAAAATGGAGGTATATTAATATTTTAATAAAAATTTACCACCTGTTAATATTAAATTAATCAAACATTGAATTGCAAATAGTTTTTTAGTCAACTTTATAAAGATTTATTCATTGATCAAAATGTGATTTGGTGTGTTGTAAAATTTCTGCCCGGGCTCTATTTATTGATGCTTTTGTTTTCATTGTTTGATGTTTTCGAAAATGTTGTTTTTTTGAATTTTTTGTTTTTCAAAAATTAAAAATAAAAAAAAATAATAATAAAAAAATAAAAAAGTTTTAGCCACTGTGATAACGAAAAAAAATTAGACTTTTGAGCTTTCCTTTTTTTCCCACTCCCTGTAGAACACTTGATCCTCTCACAGAGACATAAAGATTTAACAGAATGCAAAACGAAGACAAGAAAAACATCGAATTGTACACCCCAAGAAAGTGGTATGTATAATTGATCTACTCTCTACTTTATCTATCTATCTCTATTTATTTAGTTTTTTTATTTTTTATATATTTCTATTTTTTTTTTTTATTTATAATATGTCGCTACACACAAAATTTAGAATAAAAATAGATTAGTAGAACACAACAGATAATCAAATAGAATAGAATAGTTAGTTGGTTGGTTAGAAAAATAGTAAAAACAGTACAAAAATTACTTGGTTTTTATAGAAAAAGAAAATTGTTGTCAACATATAGGTTAAAATAAGATGACAGATTAGAATTTGAAAATTACGAACAACAAAGAGAGTTAGTGAAAAGATTATGGTCCTTTCATTCAGCATCTAAGCAATTTTAGTACATAGATACTCGAGAATAATTAATTATAGATCAACAATAATTTATAAACAAAAAAAGATAAAACAATAATAGAACCTAAAATAGATGATAAATGACAGCTTACTATTAAGATTCAATCAATAATCAATAACAGATTACTCGTATAATTCAGACAATTTGTGTTGTGTTAGCTAGCTAGCTTTGTTTTTGTTTTATTTTATTTATAAAATACGAAAAAAAAAAAAAATTAGATAATGAAAGATAAACTAATTGAATATTGTTGTTTTTATACTTAATTTTAAATAGCTCTGCCACCAACCGTTTGATCACTGCTAAGGATCACGCTTCAGTCCAAATCAACATTGGTCACGTCAACCCAGACGGTATCTACAACGGAAAGCAAACCTCAGTTGCCTTCTGCGGTTTCATCCGTAACAACGCCCAATCCGATGCTGCCCTCAACCGTATCGCCCAAAAGAAGGGTTTCTTGAAGAGCTTCTAAACTTGTTTGTTTAATAAACTCAAATTTAGCTTTCTTTAAATCTTAAGAATAGTTGTTATATAAAAGCAATCATATAACCTGTCTAATTTTTCTTTTATTAAATATACTATTCTTGATGAGTGATCAGTTTATTGAAATAAATTTTATTAAAGTGTTGTTCATAACTTTAAATAATAATGAAAAAAAGATTCTCGGTCTCATTAATTTTTTTGAAGTCTCATATCAATTTTTACCCAATTTTAAATAAAAGAAACTGTTTGTTGGCACAATATGAGATAATGCCGTCTAAGAAACAATTCTTCAATTTCTATTGACGTAAATTAGTGTAAGGTTTGTAGTTAAACATTACAAGAGGGATATCCACAACACTTGAAAAGCGAATTAATAAATTCAAAGTGGATTCTTCAACTAAATACTCAAAGTGTCAATAGTAAACTAACATTAAAAACATAATTTGTAGAGAGTTGGATTTTAGTAATTTTTTGATAAAACTTTATTTTTGTGTAAAACAAAGAAAATATTTTCTTCTATTGGAATATTTTTTTATTTATTTAAAAAAAATTAATCTTCTTATATATATGAAAAATTGATATATTTTTCTTTGTTGAAACAGCTTATTATTTTTTTTTTACTCTTAATATTTAAGAAAGCTTCATATATTTTTATAATCCATTCAAAATAAATAAATTTTGCTCCAGGTTTTTGAATTTTTTGATAAATCTCTATATTTTTACACTTTTTTGTAAAAAATTATTTCTTTATTATATTTATCAATAGAATGGTCTTTAAAAGAACTATGAAAATTTTTTTTTTTTTTTTTTAAATTCTAAGTTTTACCACCTTTAAAATTTGAAAATTTAATTAATTTATTTGTTATTGGTTTCGTAAGACAAAATATTTTTGTTTTTCTTAACCAATACAATATATAAAAATAAAAGAGTATATAAAAAAAAATATTGTGATACTTTTTAAAATTTTTTATAATCTATTCAAAATTAATAAAATTTAATATTCCTATTTAATTACCAAAGCTAAAATTAAAAAATATTGGTATGAAAGTATAAAAGTCTGGAATTTTTTTTGAAAGTTGATAAATAAGTTGATCAACAACAAAAGTAATTCATCGGAGGTGTTTAAAATCAACCAAATTCTTTCTGGAACAATCATGTTCATTCACAGTTATTGTTTGCCATCCCTTTTGTATCATGTATTGAAATTAGAAATTACTTTTTATTAGTCGAATTTACAGAAATCAATTATATTAAAAATATTTGATTTATTTCTATTTTTTTTAATTTTTTGTTCCCAACTAATTATTCTGGTTGATTATAATAAAAAATAAATTAATTTTTAAATATTTAAATCAAATATTAATTAATTGAATTTTTTTGAATGACCGACAGATAGAACCAAATTTGGATTCGGCAGTTTGGCAAATGGATCGATAAGATCTTTGAAATATACTTTGTAGATAGATCCAGTCCTTAAATACCAGAGACAAAATTTCGGTGTTTTGAAACTAATGTGAACAATTGCAACGGCACCGATCGGAGCTATCCTGTTTAAAAAACAATCTACAATGACTCTGTTCCAAAAATAAGCTGGTAACTTTAAATAAAAAAGAGAATTCTACACTTTTTATGCAACATAATCTCCTTTTCCAATCAAAAAGGAATCGCATAGTATCAACAAAGCACAGTATTCTCAACTGAAAACTGCATAACACTTTTTTTTTGAAAAAACAAAAAACTGATCAAATATATTTTTTTTGTTTTTTCGTCCAACTCGGTAGTAGTGTGGTTAACAATTTCATACTTTCATATGTTTTTAAGAAAAAAAAATAGAAAAAAAATCAAAAAAATAAAAAAATCACAATTGTTTACTTTTTAAATGTGTGGTGTCAATATTCTTTTAGTTTCATCTTTGGCCCCCTCACCCACTCTAGATTGATCGTTAATTTAGATGATTCATCATTAATCACGAAATGATGAATGCCATATGAAAACACCAAATAGAGGTAGTGCGCGATTATTTGCTCTACACTCCTGCACTGTGACGGCTCCGCTAGTGTTATCTGGAAGCAATGTGAATACGTCCATCACCCAGACCTGTCAAATAAAAATTGACCCACTCTCATATTAATTGTTAAAGTTGATGGTTGTTTAAATAATGTGAGAGTTTTGTTCGATTTGATGATGATGTTGATTTGTTAAGAATAGAATTTTATTCTTTTTTGTTTTTGTTTTTTTTTTCTTCATCATTATAAATACAATAAAAAAGATTGTAAGCATTTTTGACTCTTTGTTTGTCTTGGCTAGTTAATTTGTTGGGTTTGGGATTTTGTGGTAAATATTAATAACAACAAAAATATTATTAATAAAATTAAGTAAGTCATTATTGATAAAACAACAACAACCAAACACCAAAAACACGATTGACACTATTTCAACTTCTGCAACGCATTATAATTTCCATTTCATTTGTTACACCCCTCACATAATTATTTTATCTGTTAATTATTTATTTGTTTTTATTCATTCAATATTCAACTTTTTTTATTATAGCTATTCGTTTAGTAGTATTATTTTTATATTGACACACCAACTAGATAGATAGATATAAACAACACACGACATAACCAACAACACTAACATCAACCATTGTCTCATATTATCATCATCGTTGCATTTTTGATACAAGTGATAGTTTTTAAAGATCAGAAATTGAAATATCATCATATATAACAACACTAGTATTCTTTCTACAAGATATTAATAATAAAACCAATCCCAGTACTAATCTTAGAAGTTCTATTAACAATATATCAGTACCAGTGTATATTGAGACAGTAGCAGCAACAAACAAAACATTGTCCAACAGTGTAGCAACAGTACAACTACCACACACCTGCTAAATTAAAAATAGAACATATATACAACTTGTAGTTGTTGTTCTTATTAATTTATCATAGACTATAAAGTAAAGTATCATAATATTATATTTTTTTATTATATCTCAAATGTGGAGACAGGAACAAATAATCTATAACTTGACTTATTATTCCTATTTAAATAATTATTATTTTTTTTTTTTAATAGTTTTTTTTTTTAAATTTTAAATAATAATAACAATAACAATAATAATATAGTAAAGTCGTTCAAACTAAATTTAGTTTTATTTTATATTTTCTTTTTTTTGTTGTTATCATTCATTATATTTATTTATATAATAATCATAATTTAAATTCAATCTAGAGAACAAATAAACAAACTGCTTTTATTTGACTATCTATAAAGGTATCATTGGTATTTATACAATTGAAGATTAATCATAATCATTAATTAGCTGTTAATTTAATATAATAATAATAGTAATAACTTAAATCATTAAATATTATGTGTGAGTTTATAAGATGAAGACTTTTAAATATATTTGATAATGGTTTTACACAACAACATCATTTATGTCGGCGAGAAAAGAATTAGAAATTTAGACTTTTTTTTTTTGGTTTTTGGGTTTTTTTTTTGTTTTTTTTTGAATTGTTAACCACTAACCTGGTTTGGTGTTCAAACAAACATATTTTTTGAAAATTTTCATAATTCTGTTTGTGTTGTTGTTGTTTTTTTATGAATTAATTAACCACAAAACAACAACATCTATCTTCTATTCTATATTAAGCAACAATATCAAATTAACAAAACTTTTAAAAACAATTCAAATTCAAATTGTTATTTTTAAATTCCACAAGAATCCATCCATCCACTTTTTTTAAAAATTAAATAAATATACAAATATATTTGTTTCTTAATTGCCAATTTTAATAATAATAATAATTATTAATTGAATCAGTCTTGTGTTCTTCTTTGTTGACCGACATAACGTTGCAATAGTTGGACAAGAATTCAACAATTCAACAATTAAATTCACCATTTGTGTTGGGAATCAAAAAACCAAGAAAAAGAATCATCAACCAACCAAACAAACAACAACAAAACCACCATACGAATCACAATCAACATTGATTCCTATATTTATATAAAATCCTTTTTTGAACAGGTATTTTTTTTCAATTCCACAAATTCCTATCTTTATATTTTTTTATAATTTTTTTATAATTTATCAAAATAATAAATAAATATTATTAGACATAGCAATAAAATATAATTTTTTATAGACAAAACAACATCAGTAATATATTTTTAGTAAAATAGTCATTTGTTTAAAAAACTTTTTAATCTTGAAATTCAGTCTTTAAAAAAACAAATACATAATATAATTTATTTTTATATACAAATAATATTTAGTTTTACAATCTACAAATTTTTTATCTTTATCTTCTTTTTTTTTTTTTTCCATTTGATTTAATTTTATTCTTATTTGATCTTTATATTTATATTTTAGTATTAATCATTCAATTTTTAAAATTAGGTTGAAGGTTTATTATAATTTTTAGTTTTATTGTTTCTCTTGAATATAACCGAATTCGGAAGAAATGATAAAAAGCAGCAGCAGTAACATCAATCATTAAATAATTTATATCATAATAGATTTTTATATATTTATATAGTTTCACATCATTATCAGTATTATAATATTAATATTTTTATATATTAATCATTAAAATATCGACTTAAAGTATTTTTATATATATTTTGATTTATTTATCTAAAAGTTTGATATGATAATAATCAATATTATACTTTAAACATTATATATTTAAAACATTTCATAAATTTATCTTAAAAAACAAAAAGTAAGTAGTTTTTTTACTTTCAGATTATCTATCTATCTATTATCTTTTAAAACTAACATTGAAAAAAAATAAAATAAAAATTTAAGAAAACAAAAAAATAGTCACAAGTTAAATCACTTCCAGCAAATTATATTACTGGATTAAGAAGAAAATCCATTATTCAAGAGTTGGAAAGACTGGACAATGCCCATGTTGGAAAAGAGTTTCCAGCACGTCCAGAAGACTACACTCTTTTAGAGGCCATTGGTGAGGGTACTGAGGGTACTGTATGGAAAGCAATCTGCAATACACTAAAATGTAATGTTGCTATTAAAATAGTTGATTTGGAAAAGTCATCACCCGAATGTATAGATGATGTATTAGTAAGTATTTTAATTATTATTGATTATCATTGATTATTTATTAATATTAATTTTTTATTTATTCAATTTAAATAGAGAGAAGTTGCAGTGATGAATGAAAATAATCATCCAAATCTAGTTCAATATCACACATCGTTTTTGGTTGATTCATCGCTTTGGTTGGTAATGGACTACTTGGGTGGAGGATCACTGGCAGATATTATTAAAGATAAATTCCCAAATGGTTTACCAGAGATTCTGGCAGTGTCAGTTTTGAAGGCATCGTTGAAGGGACTGGAGTCGCTTCATGCCCATCAGAGAATTCATCGTGACTTCAAGTCTGACAATATTCTCATTGGCAATGAAGGTCAAATTGAAGTAGCAGATTTTGGTGTCACTGCTATTCTTGAGAAGAACAACTACAACTATAGAAAGACAGTAGTTGGTACACCGTGTTGGATGGCACCTGAAATCATCACCGAGAAAGGCTACAACCAGTCGGTCGACATCTGGTCGTTCGGAATCACCGCTATCGAGTTGATCCGTGGAAAGCCACCCAATTGTGAACTGCCACCCAACAAGGTGTTCATGTCACTCCTCTTTAATTCACCACCCTCGCTTCAGGCAGAAGTCGACAAGGGTATTATTTCACAGTACTACAAGGACATGGTTGATCGTTGTCTGCAGAAGGATCCCGCAAAGAGACCGTCTGCCGCCAAACTGCTCGACCACAAGGCATTCAGAAACGCCAAGAAGTCCGAATACGTAGTGGAGCATTTGCTCTCCGGTTTGACGCCATGCGAAGACCGTTTCCGAAAGAGTCATGGCCCATATTCACAACCATCGTCTGCATCGAACAGTCCAGTGAATTCTCGTTCGAGTTCACCGGACTACTTTATAGAGAATCGCGATGTCAACTTGGTGCGTAGTGCAGGTGCTGAGTATGGCAGCAACCATCGCTCCGAAGATCGTCCAGCCGGTATCTTAAAGTCCAACTCGGATCTGGAACTCAAAGACAAGATGATTCCACGTGTATCGTCGCATCCAACAGAGCTGCATCGTCTCGACTCGAACCTGAGTAACAGTTCAGGCAAGTCATCGCCATCGCACTCCCCACCCAACGAAGAGAGAAAGATGGCATCGCCAGGCGTCAAAGAACACCGTAGATCATCGATTTTCAGCCATTTCAGAAGACATTCCATTACAAAGATCTTTGGTTCACCAAAAGACTCACCTAAAGACTCACACCAACACCAACACGAGAATAAACATGAGAAAACACCATCTCCACCAAATCAACAACATCATCATCATTTCCATTTCCCATTCTCAAGACACCACCACAAGGATGTCCATGAAGTTGCAAACTCTTAAAAATTTTTAAAAAACAAACAATCAAAAAACAACATTGCAATATTACATTATTTAAAATACAATATATATAAAGGATTGGTTTGCTCCAAACCAAATATAAATTATTACTATTAAAAAAAAAAAAAATTTGTTTATTACTTATTTTGATTTGTATTTGATATGTGATTATAATGATGTAAAAAAACTGTAGTGAGTATTTTCAATCACTTCATTCGTTAAAACATAGTTTTATTTAAAGTTGTTCATTCATTGATGCTGTATTTATGTTTAATAAAATAATTTATTATTTCATACGTTGAGTCCATACGAGTGCAATTGTAAAGGAAAAGTAGTGTTGAGTGGGTGCTGCTAATACCAAACATTATATTCTTTTAATAACTACTTGTACTGCTACACTCAAGCATCGTAGCCATATACCGACCAACTTTAAGTTGAATAACAATAAATATTCACTTAAGTTTCATATTATTACTACCAGTAATAAAAGATATTCAGAGTTTTCAAAAAAATTGAAAAATCGTGTGATATTTTTGATAAGAAAAATTACTTGAAAAACCATTTTTGTGTTTTTTTTTTCAATACCTTGCAGATTTAATGTTCAAACAGATCAAAAAATAAACATAAAGTTTTCTATTACATCATACAAACAAGTACTTGTTTTTACAAATAAAAACCAACAAATCATTCAAAGTTTGCAATAAAATAGTAAAAAAAAAACACCAATCGATCTTTATTATTTATTTTATTGTTATTGTTATTGTTATTGTTATTATTATTTTGAAATCAACACAACACAGCAAACACAATCATTTTTATTAGTTCAATTAATTAACTAAAAATTGATTTATAATTACTTTTATAATTCATTGTTTATTTTTCTTATTTAAATAAGTTAAAGTAGAAAGTAGAAAGTAGAAATAGAATATTATTATTGTTAGTATAGTCGACTATACTAACATATTATATAGCTAGTTATTGTTTATTTTTCATTATTATAACACACACAGATCAATCATTCAATCAATTAATATATATTATTTATTTATTATATTCTTTCGAAAATAAAAAGATATTTTGTAATTTTAAATTAAATCATATTATATATTCTTAAACATATTTTTATTTAAAACTATTATTTATTTAGATATATTATATATATATTACATATTTAGTTAATATTATTGTTAATAGTAATAAAAATGACAACCACAACTACAACTAAACTATATTCAAATATCAATTTGATTACATTAGATTCATATGTCATTTTACAACCAGATGCAAGAGAGGATCCAGTGGATCCAAAGACAATCTTCATTGACAGAACCACTCTAAAGATTGAAATGAAGAGTAAGTAAAGTAAAATCTTTAGAGTAGTTAGATAACCAACCAACTTTCAACTATTATTATTATTATTATTATTAGATAAGGATAATGCAACAATAACATCACCAGTTAAATCTACACAAAAGATATTCGGTTGTGTTGGTATCATCAATCTGTTGTCAGGTCCACAGTTGATGTGTATCTCCGAGAAGCTAACTGTTGGTGCCATTCGAGGTAACCATCAAATCATACATAAAGTCATCAAAACGATTCTTCATCCAATTCTGAAAGTACCAATTCCACTATCCGAAGATGAGGTAGGTTGAAGTGTAATCAAATATTTATTATTAGTTATTAGTTATTGTAGTTAGAATTATCAAATATTAATTAATTAATTAATGATTTTAAAAGAAAAAAGAAGAAAAGAATTATATATCTGCATTGAATAGTATGTTGGAAACATTTGATTTCTACTTCTCCTACGATTTCGATGTTACACATTCAGAGCAACGTGTCTCTGACATTGAAAGAAATCCAGAGAGATTGGCACTACCACTGTGGAAGCGTGCTGATCGAAGATTCTTCTGGAACTATCATCTACAAAGTGAATTCATAAAGAATGAATTTCATCCTTTTATTTTACCTGTAATGGATGGATGTAAGTTACTGTTATCATAATTATTATTTTACGTGTTGTGTAAAAAGTATATTAACAATATTATTTTAATGTTTAACTAATAGTTATTAGTATATTAAATTGTGAAATCAATACGAATCAATTCAAATATATATTTATATCGAGAAGAAGTTGTAAGAGAACAGGTACCCGTTATAATATGAGAGGTGCAGATGCATTGGGAAATGTTGCAAATTTCGTTGAAACCGAACAAATCATTGCTTTTGACGAGGTATTGACCTCGTTTGTACAAACTAGAGGCTCAATCCCATTGCTATGGCAACAAAAAGGAAAGGGAATGAAACCAAGACCTGTTGTTGATCATTCAACTAAAGCTGTAAGTTTATAAGATATTATTGTTTTTGTATATTTATTATAATATTAATTATTATTATTATTATTATTATTTATTAGGATGATGCTTTTAAATCACATGTAAATGAATTGAATCGATTGTATGGACCACAGGTTATTGTAACATTGATTGACCAGACAGGTGGTGAGATGTCAATTGGTGACGCTTTTGAGAGTCATTCTCATTTGATATTCGACAGAAGCAAGTTGGAGTATTATGCTTTTGATTTTCATGATCGTTGTAGAAACAATCACTATGAGAATCTCTCAGAGTTGTTGGACAAGGTGAAACATCATCTCGACTCGTTTGGCTATTTGTTCAAGTCCACTTCGGCGATGCCTTCGTTGGTGCAGACCGGATCGTTTAGAACAAATTGTATCGATTGTCTCGACCGTACCAATGTCGTACAGAGTATGTTGGCGCGTTATATTCTTCATAGCCAACTGACGCGTATGGGTATCATCTCGAGTTCCGAGCGAATCGAACAGCATCCAATGTTTGAGTCGCAGTTCAAGAATGTGTGGGCGGACAATGCCGATGTCATGTCGGAGCAATACACAGGAACTGGTGCACTAAAGACTGATTTCACTAGAACTGGAAAGCGTAGTGTCAAGGGAACGATGGCGGACGGCTACAATTCGGTGCGTCGCTACATTCACAAGAATCTAAAGGACGACGCCAAACAGCTGGCGATAGATCTCTACTTGGGACGTTTCATTGTTGAGAAATGGCTGCCAGAGTTGTCGTCAGACTATGGTGAACGCGATGTTTTGTATCTTCATGATATTAATAACAACGAGGGTAACAGTGGTATTCCTTCGATTATCAAAATCAACAGGGAACTAAAGACTGTTAGTACTACCACTAAACTAAGTGGTAGAAAGAAAGACTATCCATTCGATTCGATCTTGTTGCTTGAGAAGGGCAAGTTGAATCACTGCTTGTTAAATATTCACTACATTGAGAATCCATGTCATGATTCATTCCTCTTTGCAACTTCATTGGAGCGTGAACAATTCCTACAAGACTTGTACAAACAGAAACTTCCAAATTGTTATATTCCAGCCAATCCAGTTGCTTCAACATCACTTCGTTCACCACTATCAATATCCTATGATTCTCCACAAATCAATAGTAGTAATGAACAGTTAACAGAGCCATCATCACCAGTTGAAACATCATCTGATTCTAAAGAGTCAATAACAACAACAACAAATGCTACTACAACAGACGAAGATGGAGCAGCTACACCAACTACTGATATCTCTGAAAATACAACAACGACAACAGAAACAACAGAAACAACAACAAAAGAACCAGTGTTATCACCACCTCAACCACCACCAAGACCACAAAAAGATAGTAGATTAAAGTTATTGGATATGTTTGATGTATTCATTGGATCTTGGAATATGGAGAATATCACAATCAACTCAACACTTCTTGCAGAGTGGATACCAAAAGAACGTGATTTATATGCATTGTCTGCACAGCGAATTGCAAGCGATCGTATTTCACCTGGTTTCGTGATGAACTACAAACAATATTGGTTCTATTTGATTCGTCAGTATTTAGGATTGGATTATATTGTGGTTTCCTCGGCCACTACTACAAACACTGCATCGATTGTGTTGATTCGCAAAACATTGGCACCCAGTATCAACAATACACAGGTTAGCTACCTGCAGAAGCGTCCTACCTCTAAGCGTACTTCCAACCAAGGTGGAGTACCACTCTCTGGTTCTGGAAGTGGAAGTGGAAGTGGAAGTGCAGGCGGAAGTGGACAAAACAGCTCAGGATCGACCTCTCCAAACTTTGAAACATCGATCATCCAGAACAGCGTAGAACCAACACCGGCTCCCAAGAAAACTGGTGGTATCTCCTCGGTTACCAACTTTTTCAAGCTTGGATCAAAGATAATGGAATCGACAAGTAGCAAGCCAGCAGAGCTTTTCAAGGAGTACAAAAACAAAGATGTACAATATGGAACTGTTATTTCATTCCACATTCGTGAGACATCGGTTTGTTTCGCCAATTATTGTAACAACAATGCAACTGGAACGATGGAGACAACTACACCGGATGACATCAATAACAGTGTAATCTACATCAAGAATAAACAATACTTGAATGGATCGAATCGTTATTGTTTCTGGTGTGGTGATCACGATTCTGTCACACTGACATCGAAGCTCGATTGGAAACCAATAGTTGACCAAGTCAAGGATGAAGATGGTAAACCAAAAGGAACGGGTGTAATCTATTACAAGGCATTGATGGATGCCGATCCACTTGCTATTATCCAACAGGATGATAGCCCCGCCAAGGAATCATCCAGTCTATTCCCACCCATTTCCAGTGATGTTATCATGCCTGTTATTGCACCGTATTCATGGTTGTCCACTGCCGATCTTCCATGTTTTATATTCATCAAATCATTGGTAGCAGACCAATTCGAACTACTACCAAATGGAACGAAAATCGATGCCTTCTTGGAGTTCAATGCCTACCATTTGATATCCGATGAGAATAACAATAGTGTTCGTACACCAGTGGTTCGTTCTTCTCTACCGGTATGGAGTGACACTGTTGAAATTAAATCGTTCATCGATGACAAAGAGTATTTGAAAACACAATATATCCAAGTTGCACTGGTTGCCAAAGAGATGCTCGATTACACTCTCATTGGTAAGGGTGTGATTCCTCTGAGAGAGGCATGTGGCGACGGTCCGACTCATTTCAAGATCAATCTCTGTTACGAAGACGAGTTGGCATGCCAACTCCAAGGAGAAATCCAAATCTACTCGAAACTTGAAGTTGCTAAAATCGTTGAACAAGCAGCTTCACAACAACAAAATATCTCATCACCACCACCAGTTCCAGTTAGAAATCATCCAAATCATCTTCAAAATCAACATAACCAACATCATAATCATCATCAAAATCAACATCATAATCAACATCATAATCAACATCATAATCAACATCATCACCAACAACCACACCGACCAGCACCATCACCTCCAGTTCCTCAATCACCTTCGAACAAGTCACCTATACTGTCATATATTCCATACTTTTCCGGTCCGAAACCACAGGAACAACAAACATCACCATCATCGAATCCAGCTTCACCAGAGATGACATCGCCAAGCATGATGATGCAGTCACCAACCACCTTGATGCTAAATGCCAATCACGAACTCTCGTCGCCAACCGAACAACAATCAACACCACCAGCCACACCAAACCGATTCTTTGGTGGATTGAGTAAAGTCGTAGATAATCTCAAAGATATCCGTGTATCTGGTGAATTCTTATTGAAGCCATTCCAATTCAAAGATACAACATCTACCTCTGATGATGTAAGTGGTACAAGTGTCAGCAGCAGTGTCTCACTAAACTCGTCGACATCCTCTACATTCAACATCCAAAGTGGTACAAACCTATCTGATATTGCAGATGAATCATCGATTTCCACAAACTCAACATTCAACTTACATAATGGATCGAATCTCAACGACATCACCGACGACACATCAACATCCACTCATAATCCAATGGCAGAGTCACAAGAAGTTGACTTGATCGATAATAATGAATCTGATATTCAATTTAAAGATGAATAAAATTATTAATTCAATAATAAAATATGTTTAAATATAATTAAATATTATTATTTATTTTTATCGATATTATAGTTAAATATTTGTTTCTTAATAATAATAATAGCTGTTATTTATTGAATAATTCATTGAAAGTAATACTAATTTTATCTTATAAAAATATTGTAAAATTCGATGAATTGGAGAATAATTTAAAACATCCCAACTCAATAAAAATCGGTTTGATTGGCATTCAAATGGGTCAATTCAAAACATAATATTTAAACAAAAACAAATAATAATGATGATGGAGAATAATAATGAATTAAAAACAATCGATAAGCATTCACAGTTATTTAAATTAATAATAAAGAATAAATATGTAGTAAATATAATATTTAATTATATATCACAGATACATTTAGAGATATGTTCAGTTAGACAGAAAATATATCGTTTCGCAGAGATACCTAGTCTAGATTGGTTGGCAGTCAATCAATACGTTGACTCGCTGCGGTACATCTCCAATCTATATGGAGTAAATCAAATGTTGCCTAATACTCCGATGTTGATCGTTGCCAATGCCACTTCACTACCACAGTTACAAGCGGTAGAGAATACTCTTAAGATTTCATTCAAAAAGACAGATTACCTACAACATCATGCCAAGTTTGGATACGATTGGTTCAAGTCGAATATTATATCGGTTAATCATCTGGTTTCGTTGTCTTGGGAAGAAAAGAATCTTGCAATTAAAAATGCAATTCTGCAAAACGATGAAGATCTATTGGAGTATTTGTTGGTAGAGAATGGATGGTCTACTGAAATCAGTACATTCAACATCGAAAGACTTTTAAAGCTAGAGAGTGAGCGAGCTTTCAAGATATTCGATCATTGTAGAGAGTATTGGTCAGTACTTCAAACCCAGGAGGTCTTGATGAGTGGAACCATCAGACATTTCGAAAGGATCGTTACCGATATGCTTCCAGTAATGGTTAGTTCGCAATGGCTGACCAATATCATGATCAATAAGAGACCGAGTAACACTGAAATATACCATCTGTTTAAGCAAACACTCAGAGATAACGACATGGAAGATGTAAGCTATGAAAACAAAGCTGTTAGTATCGTTCAAAAGGATATGGATCTACAAATGTATCTTTTAGGAATTGGATCGAGAGTTGAAAGAAAAAAAGGACGACCAGTCATTGAGCAAACTTCTATTAATGCTATATTCGAAGAAGAGCTTGGTTATGCTTTGGCATTTGGCAACATTACAATTGCCAATTGGATCATCGAATATTTCAAAGAGTTTAATGGAAAGGCCAATAAAAATCACTTTATCAATTTATTCCGTAACGTTAATCATTCGGTTCAGCTCTATGAGGCGGTGATTCCCATTTGTGTGGACTTTGGTGATTATAATCGTAGAATGGCGGTTGTCAGTGCCTTACAAGTTCACAACTTTGATGGTTTGAAACATCTGGCGACCACCTACCCTCAAAATATATTGAATGATCTAGCAGCCAAGGAAATAAAAATACTATATAACTGCAAGAAACTCCTTATAATCGAATCACTTTCACCAACACTATTTTTTGATCTTTTGGCCAAACCCATCGAATTCCAAAATGGGTCATTCAACGATACATTGTCAGAGATTATATGGCTATTCAACCTGATAGAGAACAACTACGAAATGTTAAAGTTAAACAAATCACTCATGAAATTCATGGAACAACTATTATTCCTTCTTAGCTCTCATCATAGCAACATATTCAAGCAGATCTATGGTAGTTGTGTTCATCAAAAGTGTAGTGCTTTCGATTATTACATGAACATATTTAAATTACCAGAAAAAAGTATTGATGATCAATTCAAAAAAAGTAATAAATAATGAAAACATTGTATTTTATTAAAACATTTATATATAAAATCTTTTTGTACATTTATTTTCAAAATACTATTATTCGTAATGTTTCCTTGTGAGTCTTATCGCCGTGTAGGTAGCCGCCAATCCTAAACCAGGTGATATAATACAGTAAAATATACCTATGATTGTATATTTCAATTGGTTTCTCTCGGATAAAAGTACGGTGTCTAAACAATAGCCAGAGAATGTAGTGTATCCTCCAAACAGACCAACCATTAATCCGTATCGAAGATCGATGTTAATATTCATTTGTTCTACACCGACCACCTGAACTACACCTATGATTGCACATCCTGATATGTTGATGATAAGCGTGCTCCAAAAGGTATCGGTCTTGAGCACATGAGCAAAAAAGATATTTAAAAAGTATCGTATTAAAACACCTACAATACCAAACAGAATCATCCAACCGAATCTGGAACCATTGAAATAGTCATCATGAACTATATGATCACTGCTTTCATGAATACTATCACTGACCACTAATGAAACTGTATTCATAACATATAATAACATTAATTAAAAAATGTAGTTCAAAAAAATACCATCTTTTTACATTTTTCAATAATAATAAAAAAGAATGTTATTTATGTTCTTTTAATTAAAAATAATGATTTAAATTTTTTTATTTTAAAACACAAAGGATGCAATTCTAAACCTGAAAGGTTCAGACACTGTATGACATACATCTTCCATAGTGGAATCGATTAGACAATATTCAGAATCAAGCAGTACATTGATCGAATAGGCATACGAATCATTTGAATTGCGAATTGATGATCGACAACAAAACAATAAAGTTACACTATTATATTATCATATGTTAAATTGACTACTTTATTTAACAATTTATGTTATGAAGATATTCCCTTTTGAGAGATCAGATTTGAAGTGATGTCTTCGATGCTGTGAGGTTTGGGGCGGATATGCTTGCGAAGTTTAGGAAACGGTGAAAGATTCAACGTAATTGGAACGGATGTAAGTGATTCCGCCATGAAAATATGGTCATCTTCACTATCACTGCTAAGATCTTCAGAATAGGAACTACAAATGGAATTACTTCGAGTGTTCGTTTCACTGCTAGAATCGCTCATTGAATGTTGATAGATACTAATGTTGTTGTTGTTGTTGTTGTTGTTGTTGTTGTTGTTGTTGTTGTTGTTGTTGTTGTTGTTGTTGTTGTTGTTGTTGTTGTTATGATTGTCAACGTATTGAACTTGGACGTTGTCAAAGACATATGTGAAATGCAATTCCCTTTGAAGATCTGGTAGTGTTGTTGATATCTGATTGAACTCATCTATCAATTTCTGACAAACATCCTTGGTCAATTGATTCTTATTCTTGTCAATCCAAGTAATGATTTCATCACAAGAGTTGTTAAGTACATCCATTCTATCGATTAAATCTGCATAATATTTAATATCTTGATTCTTTTGATGATTCTTGGTGTTGGTTGACGATATATTACAATTGGTTTGTGATTCTTGGTGTTGTAGTTTATATACATTATTTATATCTATTGGTGTTGATGATTCTATACAATTTAATTTCAGTGATGACATTTGTTTTTGTGTTTGATTTGTTGATGATGTATTTACATTTGTGAATCTTACATAATTATTACTATTATTATTATTGTTACTATTATTAATCGAATTTGAGGTTGAAGTAAATGACTTTCTCTGGTGTACATTTGATGCGCTATTATTTAATGATGGACTGCTCGATATGGACGATGGATTTTGGTTGGGATCGATCAGAGTAGTAGGACCATTGCTATTATATTTCTCAATGAGCTGTTTAACTGATTGTCGTCTTGCCAGTGGTGGTTTATGATTATCTATATCTATTTTGTTACCATTGTTTTGTGAAGCTGTGTATTGAGATGATAACTTATTTGAATCCAAAATATTTGGTTCCATTTTAATTTGTTGTTGATGAATATGATTTTCTAATGTTCCTTTGTTGTTATTATTATTATTCAAAGTTGAATATTTATTCTTTTGGAGTGCAGAAGCAAATGATAATGATTCTTTTTGATATAATTGTTGTTGTAATTGATTTTGTGGTTGATGATGACGATGTTCACTATTATTATTGTTTACTCCACCTGTGCTATTTTCAAAGTGAAGTTGTTTTAAATCGTGTCCAGGTTCCTTAAATAAATTATGTAGATTACTGAAACTAATGGGTGAATATCCTGAAATCAAATTGACCTACAGATAAAATTTATTAATAAAAAGAATTCAATTTTAAGTGGATCGATTTAGAAAACTTACAGCTGGAACTAATTTCAATGATTTTTTTCGCTGATCTTTATATTGATTATGATTCTTATTTGGTCTAAAATTTAAATACAATTAATAAATAAATAAATAGATTTGTTTATAAAATAAATATGGTGATTGAATTATGCTATTATTGAAATTGGAATATAATAAATTTAAAAGTTTGTTTAGTTGATTGTTATTATTTATTGGGTTGAATTGCTTTGCTGCTTTTATAATATTATGAGTATTATTAATATTTTTATTAATAAAATTTAATATTTTTCTAATATAATGATCAAAATGCAGCAATTATAAAGCATATAAAATTCTTATTTATTTGATTATTTAGGTTTTTTTTGTTAGATGATAGACGATGGCCATTTTAGGTAGGCTATTATATATATTTTATATATGTTTTACGATTAAGAAAATGTGGTGGGTTTAATTGTGTGAGTGGGTGGGTTTTATAAAATGATGATGATGATAATGATGATGCATATTACAAACCACATCAAATATATTTCTATTTATGTTTAATTATTTATACACCTCGTATATCATTGTACACTGGTTTTTTGTTAATCAAATTATTATTGAACTATTCAGCCATACCATACATGGATTTTCAAATTTACCCATAGAACATATATAAAATCGTTGGTGACAATATATATATTATTTTGGAAATATTGCAAATAATGATAAAACCCAACATCCAATCCTAACAAACATAGTAGATGCTAACCTAATTGGATGACAAAAATGGTGTGGAGAGTAGTACACACAGGTGATGATTTAATTAACAATACAACAACAATTGATTTTAATATTCATATCATTTATTTTTACTCAATATAAAAACTTTTATATTGGGTGTGTAAGCAAAAATATTGAATTATCATCATGATATGGTTGGGGTTATTCAAAAAAGAGCGCCAAACAAATGAATAATGTATAGTTAAATAATAATAATTATACTTTGATAAACAAATAATGAATGAATGAATGATACAGTGCTCTTTCAACACGATTGTTTAATAAAGATGTGTTGGTATGTGTTTATCTGATTATTCGATGGGTTGAATTAATTTGATGTGGTGGTAGTGTGTGTAAAAGATAAAAATGCAAAAATAATCGTCAGGCTTATGTTAATTTGTGACTGTAATGGGCAGTTAAATCATTGATGTTAGTTGTTATTTGATGACAATAACATTTAAACTTTTTTTGATCTGACTATTGAAGGTAACAACAAACAAAATAACTTTAATGACAATAACTCCAAGAAAAAAGAGTCAACTTACACTCCAATTGAAACCAGTCTGTTGTAGATTGTATCTCTTTGATGTTCTGTTTCAGTTCTAAAGTAGAATACTCTAACGTCGTTTCGAAGTATAATGATATTGGATTCCAAAATCTTAACGGAAAGGTCTGTGATGGGTATCACATTGACTGGAAGCTGTGAAGTTCTCTTTTTGTAACAGAATATCTGTAACTGTTGAATCTCCACCCATCTAGTTGACCATTTTACCTTTCCTTTCTTTTGAATATAACCTGAATACAACATAATATCTACAGCCTTTTTAAAAAAAAAATATATATTAATATTTAAAAATTAATTTATATTGTTTATCTACTTACTGGACATTTACAATTGAGTGGATCACTCAAGATATCAGTCATAATGGTATTAAGTTCACATCTTTCATTTTTACTAGCTGCATATACACTATATCTAAAAAATATTTAAAATTATAGAATTAATATAAAATAATCTGGAAAAATAACAAACATTTTGTTTGAGATTAATTTGTTGGATAGTTACGAATTTGGTTCGGATGTTCTTATCGTTAGAAAAGTGGGATCGAAAGGACATAGTAATGGTTCCAAAAGATGAGTGAATGGCACAATTCTAAGTTGCTTTCCACGACGACTTATAACTGCGATTCTATAGTGATAGTCAAACTGTAGTACAAATGGACGCATCCTTTTCTTTGTGAATACATATATACAATATCTAGCTAGATTTGTTGATAATATACAGAGGTCATTTGAATCTTTGTTATGATTGCTACTACTGTTTTCCTGTATTGAACTTTGAGAAACGAGTCCCATTGATATAGCTGTTGTTGAAACTACATTGTTATTATTATTATGATTTGTTATCTCTGCAACTGAAACATTTCCAATTTCAGATGATGAAGTTATTTCACCACTATTCCGAATTGAAACCATTCTTTATTTATACACTCTCTAGTGTAAAGAGATAATATAAATGATTGCAATTTTAAAAAAAAGGTTTGATTAATTTGCGTAAATCTTTTTGTTTTTTTTTTACAAATTGAGATATTTAATTAAGTAATAGATATTTAATTTATTTTTTTTTAAAAAAAAAAAAAACACTGATTCAGAGAATTATTTTAAAAAACTATCAGATTTGCAAAAAAAAAAAAAAAAATTAGGTTTGATAAATAAAAAAAATCTGATAAATAAAATTAGAAATAAATGGATAAATAATAAATGAATTAAATTACAAAAAAGATAAATATAACAAAATCTAAATATGTATATGTTGGATGATTCAAATTAAAAATAAAAATATTCCAAAAATTCTTAACTGACAAAAATTTTGATCTTAATTATCATTGGAGCTTTCATTATTAAAAAAAAACAATCTTTTTAATTTAAATTGGGTGTATTGGTGGGTTCTCCAATGCCATCCCGATTCATTTTTATATTAATAAAAAAAAAAAAATCAAACTTTATTCCATTAGAGGAAATATTTTTAATTTAAAGATCTGGGTGGAAAGAGAGATCAAAATCAATTAATAAGGAATTATTGATTAGATTTATAGAAAAAGAAAATTTTATTTTTATTTTCAACAATTTAAAAGAATAATTTAATTTGGATGTAAATTTAATAGGTGAGTGCTTTGATGAAGAGATTTGGTGCGACTCTACCATGATCAATGTAACCAAAGGTGAAGGTTTGACCTGGTTTGATACCTTGAGCGTATTGTGGGAGGAGGAAGTATCCGTGATCGTAGATGATATTCCAGACAGAGTTGTTGTCACGTGGGTTCAAGGTACAGTCGGTTTCAATAACGATTTGTTGGAGTGTCATTGGTGCATAGTTGACAACATGAACACGGTAGAGTGTGAATGGTACTCCATTCTCTTCCCAAGTACGTTCGATGGTCTGAACGATTGCAATATCATGACATTGATCTAACAAGACACAGTTGCTAACACCATCACGACACACACAGACTTGACCGACACCACAGACATTCGATCCACAAACTTGTTGCCATGTCGCAGAGACTGCTGACAAACATGTAATGGCAACCAACAAAAAGGCAAAACTTGTAAACTTCATTCTTATTTATTTAACTTTAGAGAAATATATTATTGTAAACTTGTTATTTAGATTTATATTTTGTTTTGAATGAAATTTACAAGTTTGATAACTTCTTTAAATACTTATTTGTAAACCATAGTTATAACATTCAAAGTTATAAAAATAATAGATAATTGATAATTATTAGTAGATATTAATAAATATCTCTAAAACTCATAGTTTGGTTCATCATTAACACACACACACACATAACACACTACACCACAATAATTACATTATAATATAATTTAATACCTATTATTTTAACAATTATTAATAATATTGGCATTATTAACTTGAATAAAATGGATACTACTTAATATAAATAATTATACAATTTAGCAATTATTTTTATATTAATATATTTAAATGATTGCCAATAAATAAATAAGTGTACATATATCGATGCTTTTAAAATGATATCTCTCTTAACAACTTTGTATTTGATGGGCACCAATAACATTTTGGTAAGAAAGCACTATGTAATGTATGTATTTATATTATTGTAATGACGATTAATATTAATAAAAAGAGTATGAATAGATAGATCATAATTTAACATACCGGCATGCCAATCTTAGATTCTTTTCTAAATATTTATAGGTAACATTACATTCAGGGTGTGAGTTTGAAATAAATCTAATAGATGATGGTTCAATGTAATATTTCCAATTAGGATTCCACGGTTGAACGCCTGCATTGATTTTACCGACCAACTGTATATTATCGATCACTCTACCTGCAATAATAGATCTTGCGTACTCTATTTCGTTTTGATTTGTCATCTTTACGACTATTTCATCATCATTTACAATATCTTTCATTAAGAAATATGCTGCTGTTGTTGTTGTAGTTGTGGTTGTGGTTGTGGTTGTTTTTTTAACCTCTACCTCTTCTTTTGATGCATCATGTGTAACTATATTATTACTACCTTCACATTTACTATAATCTTTACTAACTATTGCTCCGACAAATAGAATATTAACAAGCAATAGCATTAAAATAATAAATATTTGTAATTTCATTCTAAATTCAATAATAACCAATTTTTTTTTTTTTTTAGATTATCAACTAAATGTAACATGTTTATTTATTTCTTCTTGTTATCGTTTGTTGGTGATAATGATTTTAGATAAGTTCTTAATTTGATTAATTGTTGTTTAAATCTTTCTATTATTCTTTGTTGCTGATTATTGTTATCTATTTCATTACTATCATTATTATTATTATTGTTACCATTATTATCATTGTTGTTATTATTAGTTAAATGTTGTTTCAATAATAGTTGCTTAATTGTTTCAACAACCTTTGATTCGAGTCTACTTAAAAATTCGGTGACCTTTGAAAGAGGTAAAGTTGTGGATCGCAAAACTTTTATCTGTGAAAGATGCTGAGTGATCGTCGTAAGTGAGTTCAGTACAGAGCAATCTCGCAGTTCAAAGACTCTATCACTACTCATTGACTCTAATATATTGATAAATGATTCTATCTTTTGATCTTGTTGTTGCTGATATTGTTGTGATTGTTGTTTCTGATTACTACCCACTGGATATAAAACTGATAAATATAACCAGATTGCATAGTATTCATTATATTTACTCTTAATATTGATATTAATTTGATTATTACTATTATCATTATCATTATCATTACCAGTGTCATTATTATCATTATTACTAAGATCTTCAAGAAATAGTGATTTGAACTCTGGTACTTGTTGTGTGAACTTGCAAAGCATCTCTGACTGACAACAGACTGTTGTTAACCAACGTAATGACTCATTGACCAATGATTCATATACCTTTAGAAAATAATATTATTAGTATTAGATGATCAATGATGGTAAGCTTTAGTATGATATGTTAACATACAATCGAATCGGTTGGATTATTAATTAACTTTAGTGTTAATGTAAGATATTGAGCGAATAATGATTTCTGGAGATAGAGTTGATCCCATCCTTTATAGTCTAACTGATTGGCAATATACAATGTTATCTTTGATATCTATAGTTAGAAATATATATATATAGGTAGAATTATATTAGGAATATAGTTAGTTTGCCAAATTCATATTCTACTTACCATTGACATTTCATTATTAGAGTTACTATTAATATGTGTAAGTCGATTGATTTCCAAAGAATTCCAATAGGAAAGTCTATTGGTCAGATGTAACAGATTATCGATAATTGATTTATTAAGATAATCTAGTGATCTCTTTGACAATGATTTAAGTGGAATCGATACCAAACTATCAAATAATGATAATAATGTATCTATTTGGAAATTTGACAGTAAAGCAGTACTATGATTATCGTTTGATTGTGTAAAGCTGGAGGAAGAAGAGGAAGATTCAATTAGAATATCTAAAAGCTGTGGAAGTATATATGGTATTTCATTTGGTTTCGATAGAATACGATCACGTAGTATATATATAAAGAGTGGAATGAGTGCTGCCAACGGTAAGAGATGTTCAGCTGAGAAGAGTGAATTGACTATTGACTTGATGTCATCCATTATCGAATAATCTTCCCATACGGTATCATTTGATATATTATCATAACATGATTGTTTATATATATCGATTAGCTTTTCACAAATGACAGACCAATTATTATTATTATTATTATTATTATTATTATTATTATTATTATTATTGATATTTTCATTCAATCTATATTTAGCATCATAGAATTCCTTTGTAATATCTACACCTCCACTATTAACATTGAAATCCTTATAATTATCCTCATTATCTTCTTCTACTTCTGCTGCTATTTCATTATTACTATGATCTATTATTTCTTGATTATCATCTGATTGATCAGTTTCATCATCATCATCATCATCATCAGATTCATCATCAATATAATATCTATCAAGATATTCTAAAAGTTCATTTGATTCCTTTACTCTTTGAATGATAGATAATAGTAGGTGTGGTTAATATCGATAACATTGTAAAATATGCATCTATTAATAGTGGAATTATAGAATAGATTACCTTAAGATATACTTTAATTGTTTTATAAAAAATAAATAATATAAAGAAGAATATATACTACCATATTCTTGATTGCTATTAGTTTGATCTTTAGTTGTTTTTGTGGTTGTTGATGATTGTGAGTTTAAAGTTGTATTATACTTTAAAGAGTACTCTGTTAATGTATTTAAAAGTATATTATTGAATTTAAAAGGCGGTAGTGATGATATGGTTACTGTTGATGTTGGTGTGAATTGATTATCTAACGCTATAAGTCTATTTAATAGATCATCTAACAATAATTTCAATTGTTTACTTGATATCGTTGGAAAGTCTGTTGATAATCTATCGTATACCTCCACCGCACTATTTAGACGTCTGTCAAAGTAAATATCATCTTTATCCTCTTCTTTGATTTCGCCATCAATGTTATTTGATAACATCAACTCTTTGATTAAATCATTTAAACTAGACATATTGATCTAAATGGAAATAGAAATAAAAATCCATAAAATTTTTTCGAGCTGTAAAGCATTGAAACCTTTGTTTTTTTTTTTAGGCACAACAAGTGATCATATTAAAATATAATAAATTAATATTAAATGTTAATTGTTTTTAATAGAATTAATTGATATTAAAAAACAAGTAAAACACAATGATGTTAAATATTTAGATTTTTCTCTTTATTGTTAATTTATAACCTTCGGTATTGCTATGTTTCTGACAAAGTTCAAGGTTTTCTTTATCATTTAGTAAGTCATTAAAGAAATCATAAGTAATCTTTTGACCAGAAGTGTGTAGTATGATTTTATGACACTTTGATGATATGCTGTTGAATGTGGTTATAAACTCTTTAATTAGTTCTTTCATCTGTTCGTTTTCTTTGTATCCCAACCGATTTGATTAGTATATGATACAATATCTAACTTTCTAATATGTTTATTGGATTTCAACATGTCGAGTGTCCAAAATCTAATATTCAATAATTATATATCATTCTATCATTAATAACCAAGATGTAACACCTTTAAATATTTAAATTTTATATCTGTGGTCTTTCTTTTTTTTTTTGTATAAACCTAAAAATCTATAAATCCAACCTTTCCTCATCAATCATACCTATGTTGTTTTTTACAAACTTTGTTACTTTGAAAATTAACTTGTGTGGCCATAGTTTCCATCCAACTCTTTTATTTATTCTATGTGTAATGTTGTTTACAGCATTATCACAAGAGAAAAAAATTGTGATTTAGTCACTTTCACACCATTCAATATATATATTTAAATATATTCATGATTTTAATGGTGTTTTGACAGTCAGTGATTCAGGTAGAATAAAGTTGTTTCCTAGGTATTAAATCAGTAGTTCCAATTAATACTCACCTCTAACCGACCACTCATTACAAGAGAATTTAAGCGAAGCAATTCAATAAACTATTCATTATATATTAACAACTATCACAATTTCTAATAAAATTAAATTAAATTTTTTTTTCTACTTGTTATTAATACACTTGTTTTTTTTTTAAACAAAACTTCTTCTCATTTTTTTACAAATAAATATATTTTTAAAGTTTATAATATCTCGAACTGTCCATTATCTCAATCTAAAAAATTATGAGAATTGGACGGTATTATTAAAAAATCAGATTATCTGGTCAATAATAATATCAGTTTATATGCAGCCAAAGCTATAACAATAATTATATAATAGTAAATCAATATTGAAAGAATATTATCTTCAGTCCCTTTGAGAAATCTTGGAAATGAAAGCAAATTTGGTTCAGAATTTCAAGATTTCAATAACAGGAAGATGCCTCAGAATTCACGAGAAAGATGGTAGACCACATGGGAAATATTCACTCTCATTGGAAATATAAAGGCATTGGTGATCTACTCAACTCTACTAAATTCTGCCATGTTGTAGAGTCTTTGAAACAGGTTGTTCTTTCTAAACTACATTCCCAGAGTTAAGCGTGATTTACAAGATGAAGAGATTATAACTATGTCATCAACAACAACAGCAACAACCACAACAACTTCCAATAGTGTTGGAAACACTTGGGGCAAGAAGAGTGGCAATGACCAATTGGTGAATTGATTTAAATCCCTTTTACACTTCACTCTAAATCAATTCACCAATTGGTCGTTGCCAACAATCAATACAAATAAACTATTATTCTTTATTTTTGTTTAAATCTTATCAGTTTTATTTAGAAGTAAAGGGAAATTTGATCAACAAGCTTAGTTCTTCTTGGCAGCGGTCTTTTGATTCTTCATTGGACCCATAACCTTTGATTTCTCATCGGAAGTTTGATATCAAAATTCTACCGTGACCGAACTTCGAAGATGTATCAATGAACTTTAAGCTGTTGTTTTTAATGATTATTAATGTTATTAGTTTATATGATCACTATATTTAAATAATAAACTTAATTTAATACTTACACGACCTTCTCGAGAGCTGGACGTGAGGTATCGTCATGGAGTGACTTTCTGAGGGTCAAGTTTAAAACATCAAGTATATATAAGGTTTAAAAATGATATCAACAATCAACATTCCGAGTCAAACAAGTCATCAAATTTCAATTTGAACACTATCCAATAAAAATAAATTTCTGATTGTGCTTAACTGAAATACCGATTGACTCTTTGAAAGATAATCAATAGATTTCTTTAAAAGTTGAGATTGTTCTTGTTTGTTGTATCGTGAGTCTTTGAACAGATAATCTGTGGCAATTGTTTTCGATATGATATTGAACCATTCTTTACAAACCAAAACATAATTCAATACAAGTTTAATAGGTTTTTTATTCTTGTTTGGTAGCAAACATCATCGACACATAATCTGAAATCACTCTCCAAATCTAATGAACCAATTGATAGACTAATGATTTTTTGAAGAATTATTTTCGATTGTATCAATTTGTTATTATTATTACTATCATTATCGTTGTCTTGATATGACATTAAAAAGTGTTAATTCAAGGACAAGAATTGAAAAAAGAATTTAAAAAAAAATCAAAAATTTGATCAAAGTCAAACAATCCTTGATTAACAACTATTTTTATACAATGTATTAAATGAAATTATTTTTAGATCTGTTCGACAACAAAAAAACTATTTAAAAATTTGAACATAATTAATCTTAACCTTTTTTTTTATTTACAAGTTTATACAATGAATTGAATGGGTATTAAAGAAAATTGTTTTTAATCTCATCATTATCTGTAACGTTCTTGGAAATCTTGATAAGCATTGGATGCCATGTTTGTTAGTTTTTTACTTCCATCCATAACTGCATTTGATAGTGAACGTATATCTGTTTTAGCAAGATACATCAATTTATCTGCTATATCAGATGCTCTCATATCTAGATTTTAAAATAAGTAATTAGTTAAATTTAAAAAAAAATCATTTCATTAACATAATAGTTACCTGATAACTTTGGTGATTCATCTCTATTATAATATTGAGCACTTGAAATAGATGTTGCACCTTGAAATGCAGATAGTCTTGCTTGTTTCTCTGGATCAAATTTGGTGTCTTTATCATCTCCGAAATACTGTTGCGATGAAATAGACTTGGCATTGGAAAAATTCTTTCTTGCATAGTCACTAGAATCATTACGATCGTTTGACTCTTTAGACTTTACTGACTTTCCACTATCATGGAATTCAAAATCTCTATCATTATTATAATTATCTCTTGTTGTCGATGATGTATTTTTATTTTTCTTTTGATTATATAATGGTTCCCTAAATTTTTAATAATATTAATAAAATCTAAAAATACTATAAATTAATAATAGTTTCAACTTACTGAATAGTTTCTTCAACATCAAATATTGAAGAGTACTGTTGTTTGTTTGATCGGAGTTCTGGTGATTGATTGGTAGGTGATTTATCCGTTTGAACATTCTTGTTTGTAGATGACGATTTGTTTGTAGAGGTCTCTGGGATTGAATCCCAATCGTCGTCAAATGACTGTTTGCTGATACGCTTGGTGGTGGAGGTCTTTGCGACAACCGGTTTCTTTGATGATCTTGTAATACTAACCTTCTTATCGAAATCATCCCATTCACTGTCATCAGCAACCACAACTGTCTGTTGCTTTGGTGTTGATTCTTGGCTGTTGCTTGATGTATCAACAAGTAACGGTGATGAATTGGAAATTGATAATGGTGAAGGATTTGATTTATTTGTCAAGTTTGGAGATGGTCCTGATTTATTTAGTGTCGCTACTGCTGTTGTTGCGTTTGCCTCTAATGGTGAAGATTGATTTGGTGTTGATGTTACTGAAGATATTGATTCATTTGTTTCATTTAATCTAATATTTATAAATAAAAAGGTTGGTCAATAAATAGTCAAGGATTTAAATCTTTCTTTCTTTCTTATCTATAGTTACAATTTAGCAGCTTTTGTTTCTAATAACTTTCTATAGTTGATTGCACTGTTTGAGATATATTTTTGATCAATTTTCTCATTGGCAATGCCATGCTCTGAAAAGTAGATTCTTGCATTCAAGTTACCACCACATTTCATTATTCTAAGTTGTGAAGGTTTCCATGAATCTATTGTTATTGATCTAAATAAATAATATATTGTGTTTAGAATATCATTAAATATATAGATATCAAATAATATACTATTTACCTTACAAAAGTTATATGTGTTCCAAGTAATCTATGACTTGATGCACAGTCAACACAAATATAAATACCAAAAGGAATTGATGCCCATTGTGGATTTTTAGATTGACAATCAAAACAAACCTTATTTTCAGATTTATGTGTTTGTTTCTGAAAGAATGAAACAGATTCTGATAAAGGTATTGATTCTTCTTTAATTGTACTCATTATTTTTTTTTCTTTTCTCTCTTTTAAAATATTCTATTACTGCTATTAACTTCTTACACTGTTACTACTACTAATTCTTACTAATACTATTTATTTTCTTAATATATTTTAACAAGCTTTAAAGTAAAAGTGAAAATCAATAATAATATTAAAAAAAAACAAGGATAAACACTTGTTGTTTAAATTTTGGCTATGTTAATAAATAAATGAAATTGAATTAAATTTTTAATATAAAAATTATGTGACTGACATTAATAATAATATTAAAAAAAAAAAACAAATGGTGTGTGGTGATGTGGTTAATGCAAAGTCAATGTTATTATTGTACGTAATGATATATTACTACAACTACTTTCTTAATAGTTTATTAAATAATAACGGTATTAATTGTTTATGATTATTATCATTAGTTGTTGTTGTTAATGAATCATCTGTAATATATCCACCATGTAATGATTCATCTAATATTATGATTTGATTATTTGATATTCTACGTACTCCTATTGTATAGCTATTGGTTTGACTTTCTATTACTACTGTGTTGATCGATGCCGGTAGTTGAAGTATATTGTTCTTCTTGAAGAATGACGATGGTACTTTGAGTATCTCTAGGTTCAAAGGCAATGAATCTCGTTGTAGAATCATGTCGAACCTGCTACCCAGGTCCAGTTCAACAACACCCTCGGGCAATGCATGTTTCGGCAGTGGGTTGTCTGTCTTTCGATCGTAGTTGGTCAGATAGATGGCGAGGTGTGTAACTGTCGACGGTACCAAGCCAATCGGTAGCGGCTCGGTGAATGCATAGTTGAAAGAGAGATGCTTGACCGACGTGGGAATCGATGACGATGGAATGGTCTGCTCGAATGCATCTTCGAAAGCCAGGTGAGTCACCGACGATGGAATAACGATTTGACGCGACGGCAAACTCTTGAACGATGCCATCGTAAGCTGTTTGAGTGTGGGTGGAAGAACGCCTTCTCCCAATGATTGGTTAAAAGCCCATCCCAAGTACAGACTTTCGAGCCGCGGTGGCAGACAGCCTGGTCGCAGTTGTTTATTGAACTTCTCGCCAAACGATATGTGTAATATATGATCTGGAATCGCACTCGCTTGAATAGATTGATTAAATGTATTGAAAAACATTAAATGAGTTACATTGTTTGGTATCGTTGACAGTTCGCTTGTATTTCTGATGATTATCGATTGGTGTCTTTGTTCATTTTCAAACTTTGAAAATAATCCATTTGAACTTAAATTATCTAATACTTCAAGTATATATAAAAAATGAATAAATCAATCATAATTATAAATTTAAATCAATCTTTTTCAGTTTACTTACTATATTTATCTATTGATTTTATAATGATAGGTTGAAAAGATTGTAATTTAAAAAGTGATGATTTCAATTTCCATTTATTTGTACTATTACTATGACTGTAGGAGGGTGATGATATTGATTGAGGTTGTTGATACTGTTGCTGATGATTCTTATACAGATGTTTTACATTGAAATATAGATATTTACTACGTTCATAGTAGAGTCTTTTCGATACCAAAGCAAAACATACTCTATCTATATTTGATTCTATAAATGATATAATATGTGATAATAATAAATGTGATAAATTCGTTAAATTCATCATTTTTATATAAATAAATAAATCTGTTTGAAAAAAATAATGTACAGCGAAAGAAAAAAGAGGGGTTTGGGATGATCATTTTTTAAAAAAATTTAACTGGATAATAACGGAATTAAAATTTATTATTAAATCTATATTTGTTTTGGATATAGCAATTATTTATATTATTTAAAGATTACATTGTTTATTTGATTATGTTAAAGAGATTTGAAAGAGTTTCACTTTGTTTCTTAACTAGCTGGTAAATCATATATTCTGCACAGAGGTAAGCTACCACTAACAACATATATTGATCGGATCTACTTTAACAGATTTATTTATTAGTAGAATGAAAAAATCAATCAAAATCCTCAATAATCTTCAAATAAGGCGAGACAATTGATTGTCTAGAGAACTATCTCTTTTAACTTACCAATGTATACTTATTAGGTAGATAGTTATTTTAATGAGTACTACTTTTTATTAATATCACTTGATAAAGAGGATATCATTTCAATTTATCTCAGAGAATAGTAAAAAATAAACTAAACTCATGCACAATCCGTTTCCACCATTAAAAGTAAATAATAAAATCCATAAATATCGAATTGATTTTCATTCAGTTCTGAAATCGATATTTAGATGCTATTTGATTAAAGTGTACATATAAAAATTTTAATTAGTTGTATGGTTAGTTTTATATAACCCCATTAATCATGCTGATAACAAAATCACTATGAATTTCATTGTGTTCTCAAACACATATGGGGGTTCCTGCACTTAATTTAGATTTAATTTCGCACGTTTTTTTTTTTTGTTTTATTTCATTGTGAGACATTTATACCTATATAAACAACCTAAAAGTAAGTTAATTAATTAATTATTTAATTAAAAACAATGAAGTTAAACCAACATTTTTTTGTTTCAGAACAGTTATTACTAAACTTGTCAAATGATGAATCATGATCCTTAACGTTTACAATAAATCGTTATAATAAAATTAGAGAACTTTTTGACAATTTTTTAGAACCTATTAGTTGATTAGATTGCAATAGAAAATGGAACTGGTAAACATGTTTGATTCAAACCACTCATGAATTTGATTCAATTCCTAGGATAAGACAAGTTTCAATATCTAATTAATATCATCATCAATTTTTTTTTAAAAATTCTTTTTTTGTAATTAGAATTTATTTATTTACAGTGTAAATCAAACCTAAATAGGATCTCAATTTGGACAGGTGAGAAAAAAACATAAAAAAACTAATCAAATCAAAAGATAATGGATCTATACAAGTGAACAGGTAAAATCTTATGATTTTAATATATCTTGTAATCATCATCTCAAAGAACACAACAACATCAAGAATCAAGATGTAAAAATAAATAAAAAGAATGGAACAATCAATTCCTATCAACTACTTTTCATTCCTACACCATTCTTTACACAAACGCTTTTCACAATGAATAAAAAGTAGTAGCAGTGGTAATTGGTTCATCTCATAGCTATGATACAGGTGTGATAAAAATGGAGAACAAGCCTATGATCACAATCAATTTAAATGGGTACTTTTTTTAGTACACCACTCAAAAATGTGTGGTTGAATCTGTTTTTTTTCAAACAATTTCATTACAAGTGTGTGGTTTTGTGTGTAAAAAAAAACCAAATAAAAACAAGATGAACACCATGATTGGAAGTTTAGGTGTGTTTATACTTAGTGGTAGTGAAACATACCAAAAGTTGTTTGCAAGCGTTGCCGTCAACACTGTAATCAGGTCTTTATCTGCTCAATGATTGATCATTCTCAAAAATAATCTCTACTTTAGATTTACAACAGAAAACAGTTTTTTTTTTTGTTACTTTTTTTATTTGTTACAAACTAATTTATTACTATTAATTCTGTTTTATTATATTAATTATATGTATTGATGGTGAGTGTGGTACCTCCTGAGTAATCTTATTGTTACCAATTCGTGTGTGTGAGTTTCGAGATAAAAAGAGTGTTTGAAAAACACAATTAAAATATTGTTACAAAAACACACACCTCACTTTTATATTAAAAACAGACACACATTATTATTACTCTGTCAATCATTATGTCAATCACAATCACAATTATAACTAATTGTTGATTACATGCAAGTATAGGTAGTTTGTTATTGATAACAAAAAATTAAAAGAAGATAATAATGAGAATTATCCAAACACCAAACAAAACACACCATCAAGGTTTCTATAAATATTGCTGTGTTGTTGCTGTTCATTTGATAATCTATTAATCAAATATTAAAACAATCAATAGATATAAATTTTATAACAATATTGATTTATATTTATAAGCAACCAACACAACACAACACTAAATATATTTATTTGTACGCAAAATTAAAAAAAAACAATCACCCAAAAATTGTTTTTATACTACCCATATCATATTATATAATTTCACCTCATTCTTTATATAAAAGCGTTTCTTTATTATTATTTAAATTATTTATTATTAAATTTCTTTAACTTTGATCCAATTGGTGGTTAGTTATTCATTATAACAAACTACCTAAAGCAACAACACACACTCACACCACTCTAGTACATTAACAACATCTCTATCACAGGAGAAAGGAAGTGATTAACCAACTTCCATCAATTCAGCAGAATAAACTCTAGAGCTGTTTATCTGCTTTGCTAGCTATTCAATCTTTTGTATTATAAATATTGCTACAAAATAAAACCAATAACAAATAATCCAAAGTAAAAATATCACTTCACAACAATTAAAAAACATCAACTGTTCGCTATTGTTATTATTTCTTTAATTCTATCCTACCAAATTAATTAGAGGATTCTTTTTTATTTTACATTAAATAATAAAAATAGCATTTTAAAATAATAATAAATAATCCAAATATATATTTAACTTCTGTAATAATTATAATATTCAAATCAACTGTTCAAATCAATATAAAATACTTTTTTAGATTGAAAATTTATAAAAAACAATAATAATATTTAACAATGACCAATTTGAAAATTGTAATCCTTGGAAGTGGAAGTGTTGGTAAATCCGCTGTCACTATCCAATATGTAAATGGAGAATTTGTTGACCAATATGATCCAACCATTGAGGATATGTATAGAAAAGTAATTGAATTCAATGGTGACCATATTATGTTGGAAATTATGGATACTGCTGGAACAGTAAGTAAATTTGGAAAATCAAAATAAAAATAAAAATCATTAATTTATTTTTATTTATTTAGGAAAACTTTTTGGTAATGAGAGATTTATATATTAGAAATGGACAAGGTTTCATTTTAGTATATAGTATCACTGCTAAATCAACTTTCTATGAATTGGATAACATTAAGGAACAAGTGTGTCGTGTCAAGGACTCAACGACCTCACGTATTCCAATGGTGGTTCTTGGAAACAAGTGTGATCTTGAGAAGGATCGTCAAGTCGCCTCGAAAGAGGGTCAAGATTTGGTTGAGAAATGGGGTGGTAACGTTGACTTTTTAGAGACATCAGCCAAGAGTAAAATTAACATCTCTGCTGCCTTTGATCAACTGGTCAAACAAATTCGTTCCAAAGACCCAAGCAAATCAAAAAAGAAGAGAACCAGTGGAGGTGGATGTAAATTATTCTAAACAACCATTTTATTTTTTAACCAACTACTTGTACATCAAAACTTCACATTTATGGTCAAACTGCCACATCTTTCTAAAATCTTGTACGAACCTTTATTATCCAATTCACATTTTTGAATACATATTCAAAATAATATTAATTGTACTATTCAAATTTAAATAAATTGTAAAAATATAAACTATATTAATTATTCCTTTATTTGGTTTATTTTATTTTAATGGAATGGAATGAAAAAGATGATCCGCATTGCATTTGCAAACACCATCTTTTTCTAAAAGTGGGAGGGTTGTTTTTTTTTTTTTTTTTTTTTTGGGTTTTTATTTTTTTTTTTGTTTTTTATTTGTGACGACAAAAACTCATCGGAAAGTTGTTTGACTTTTTTTCAAACTATATTATTTTGGTGGTGCACTAAATCAAACCAGGTCGATGTTCAAACTCTTTTGTTTATCTTTTTTTGCACAACATAATTCCATTTTTTTGATTTTCACCTTATTTTTTTTTCTTTTTTTTTCTATTTTTTTTTTATATTTTTTTTTGTTTGGGTTACTCGTCTCATGAAATTTTGTGTTGTGAAAACATTTTGAAACGAAGCAGTATAAGCAGCAGCAGATAAGAGTCACCACAACAGCCAATTCAATTTTGCAGTGTCAAGTTTGATTGTATAATTTGTGTTTGACTGGTAAGAATAATTTACTTTTTTTTTTTTTTTTTTTTAATATAAACATTTGTAATAATACCTATATAAATTTCAAATCTGTTATCATCATATCAAAATACCGTACCTGTAATTATTCTATCATCTGATCAATCTTACCCTACTACTTCTACATCATTAATCATCACTCAAACACACTTTAATTATCATCATCAACAAGACCTTAGATTTAGTTTCAAAAATTTAAATGTAGCTATGAATAATCATTTTTTAAAAAAAAATTCATAATCAAAAAAAACAGAGATATATATCTAAAAAAAGTGCGTACATTTATGTCTGATGGAAAAGATTACCTTCACCCCAATTTCATCATCACCCACACCACTTTTTTTTAAAAAAATTTTTTATTTGTTATATGCATAAATCAAAAGTTTTATATCATATGAAAAAAAAGTAAAAAAATAGAAAAAGTTGGAGTAGTATAATATTCAACAACAACAACAACAACAACATCATTATTATTAATAGTAATCATTCATTCACTTTTGTTATTGGCAACAGCCTTTACTCAAAAGAATGTTTATTTAATAAATGTGAAGGATGATGAGTAATATGATGTGTTTGATGATAATAATAACAACCATATAATTCATTGGCGTGTGTGTAAAGTGATAAATACGTGTGTTTTATTAAATTTGTTGTTCAGACTCGATCCACTTACTTGCTTACACCCACACACATATTTATATATTTTTTAAAAAGCAATTGAGTGATGTGATTCTAATATGCAAGAGTATATACTTTACATTTTTTTTAATAACTCATTCATATCAAGGAGTAAAATATATATATTTTTTTTCATTGCATTTTATACTTTTTAAACATAGTTGTTCTCTGTACTAATAATACTTTATAACCAATCATTGCAATCATTTCATATTATCATTAGTTTTAGGTAATTGCCCTATTCATTAATTGAAAAAAAAAAAAAAAACAAATTCTATTTCTTTCTTCCTTCACAAAGCAGGATCATTAAATATAGCTTGTTTATTTTAGTTTTTTAAATCCAATCAATTCCAACAAGTTATTACAAAATCATTTGTATTATTTTGGTTTGATTGTTTTTATTTATTTGGTTTGGATAATAATATAATAATAATATATTTCCAAAACAACTCCTCTCCTCCTCATTCTTCTTCTTCTTCATTAATTTCAAAAAGTCAATTTCAACTCAAAAAATTTCAAAAAGTAGTTAGTAATAACATTTATAATGGTACCAACAACTACAACATCCTCAGAGGTCACAGTTAACTGTGTGGTTGAAGAATCAACTACCACTGGTAATATTGCTGTTTCATTGCCAGACAATGCTGCCGTAGAGTCAAGCCAACAACATCACTCACACCAACCACACGCACATCACCACCACAACCACCGTGGACATAACGGTCACCACCATCACAACCACAGCCACAACCATGGTCACCACCATCACCCTGCCGCCGCCGGAAATGGACATCACCACCATGCCAATGGAAACAATGGCGCCATCGTCCATCCAATGATGCATCCACATGCCCATCCACACTCACAGCCACATCACCATCACCCACACCACCAAATGGTGATGCCACCGATGCCACACCATCCAAACAACTACAACTACCTGGCATCACAATACACCTCACTATATGTTGGCGATCTTGCACCCGATGTCAATGAAATCATGTTGAGTGAACTCTTTTCAAAGGTTGGCCGTTCCGCCGTTGCCTCTATCCACGTCTGTCGTGACTCTATCACTTTCCGCTCACTCGGATACGCTTATGTCAACTTTTTCAACTCGATCGATGCCGAGCGTGCTTTAGATACATTGAACTACTCACAGATCATGGGTCGTCCATGCCGTATCATGTGGTCACTCCGTGATCCAACCAAGCGTAAATCAAACGTAGGCAACATCTTTGTCAAGAATCTCGATAAACAAGTCGACAATGCTATGCTTTTCGATACATTCAGCAAGTTTGGAAACATCTTGTCATGCAAGATCGAGTATGAAAAGGGTGTTTCCAAGGGATACGGTTACGTCCACTTTGAGACACAAGAGTCTAGCGATCGTGCCATCCAAGGAGTCAACGGAACCATGTTGTGTGGAAAGCCAATCACTGTCGAGCAGTTTGTCTCCAAGGTGGAGCGTTTCAAAGAGAAGAACGAACACAAATTGTTTATCAAGAACATCGATGAGCTAGCCACCGTAGAACAGCTCCAAGCAGAGTTGTCTCGTTTCGGTGAGATTGAATCTTGTATTATTAGATTGGACAACAATGGAAAATCAAAGGGATTGGGATTCGTCGAGTTTAAGTCGGTCGAGGACGCCCAACGTCTCATGGACAATCCAGAACCAATCCAAATCCTTTCGAAACCAATCACCATCGATCGTATTAAAAATAAAATGGAAAGAAACATTGAGCATCGTCAGATCAAACAACAACAAGCCAATGGAAATCCAAACAACAACAACAATGTTGTCAATAACTCTACAGCGCCAACAGTAGCAGCAACAACAACAACAACAACGACAACAGTTGATAGCAATGGAAATCCAACCAACAGCAGCAACAACAATAATTCAGTAGCACCAACCAATTTAACATTATTTATTCACAATATCGATGAATCCATCGACAAGGAAGTTATTCGTGAGGAATTTGCCAAGCATGGAACCATTTTGGGTATCAAGATCGTTCAAGAGAATGGAAAGAACCGTGGATTCGGATTCCTCTCGTACTCTACTCAGGAGGAGGCCAACATTGCCATTGAAAAGATGAACGGATTCATTCTGGGAAGCAAGCCACTCTCTGTCAGTTTCTCCAATCGTAAATACAAGAAGCGTATGCAACAGTTGCAAAGCAACGGCAGCAACGACCCATCACAACCACAACCACAACCCCATATACCATTACAACCGATGCCATACTACTTCCGTAATCCATACCATCACCACCACCCACACCCACACTCACCACACCACCAAGGTCAAGTTTTCCACCCACACCAACAACCACCATACTATACACATCAAATGCCACCCAATGGCACCACAAATGTCGTCCAACCCACGTTATAACAAACAACAACCACAACAACCACAACAACAACCAGGACAACAACCATCTTCATTGCCAATGACAACACCACCATCATCATATAAAGGTGGACGTTCATCTTCCATCCCAATGAAATCAAACAACATTGGAGCCAATCAGCCAAACGGTAGTCCATCATTCTATCGTAAACCAAGATCATTCAATCCAAATCATCATAATAACTCTGGAGCACCACGTAGTAGATATAATAACACTAATAATATAAATAGCAATAGTAATAATAACGATTCAACACCAACTACACCACCACCAGAAAATGCTTTATCACAGGCTACCACCACTACTACTGCCAATGGAGAAGAGACAACCAGCAGCAGCAGCAGCACTACCACACCAGTAAATATTACATATAGTTTACACTCTCTGTTAGAAATGCCAGAGAACGATGCCAAAGAAATAATAGGAACAGAGATATACAATATCGTCACCATGAAATATCCAAACCAAGCGCCAAAAATCACTGGAATGATTATGAGCTCACATGAACTCAAGGAACTCTATGAGATGGTTGTCAACGGTGAAGTTCACAACAAGATAGAACAAGCACAATCTCTCATCGACAGCCAACAACAACAACAACCACAACAACCAACTTCCATTGCTGCCAACTAAAAGGTTAACATTAAGCAAAAGAAAAATAAGTTTAATTAAAACCTTTTTTTTTTACTTTTTTTTTTAAAAATAACATTTTTGTTTTATTATATCTATATTTAAATATATTACTGTCAATATTCTCAATATTAATATTTTTATTTTAGTAACAAATACTATTCTTTTGTTTCAAATTTGATTGTTGATTACAAAAACACAAGAATAAAAAAATGTTTATAAAAGGAAAAAGTGATAAAACGCCAATATAAATATGAACATTTTATATATTTATTGATCATAGGTGAAATGATGTATCATCTTGATTGATTTAGATATCAACAAAAGAATAGGATGCAACTTTGACATCAACAGTACATTGATTGCAAGGGTAGCACCATGGGATACAGTACTGATCTACATCAGGTACCTTTCTTACTGGACACTCGGCATAGTTTACAGCCATATCACAAATTTCTTTGGTTCTAAATAAGACCATTAAAAAATGTTAGCATTTTTATTTTAAATTGATAAAATGAACTTCATTTTTTTACATACTCGATGTTTGGTAGAATAACTTTGACACCATCGGTGCAAGTAAAACTACACTCGGGAACCGCTGAAACACTTGAAAGTGCAATTGCTAGAATTAAAGCCAAGAGGATAAAAATTTGAGATTTCATTGTACGTTATTTTATTTGTATAATTATTGTTGTATTTTTTTTTTTATGACTTTATAGGTCATCTTGTAATTTCTTATATAGAGATACTGAAAGAACGGAATGCATTTCTTTTACTTGTGTGTGTAAAGACTAAGAACATTGAAATGGAACGGAATAACTTTGATAATCTCAAAGTGTATGAAGTAAACACTAACCTTCAAGATATTTCTGTGTTTTTACTTTTTTTTTTGCTGAGCCAATTTTTTCAAGATTTTTAAAACAAAAATTTAGATTTTTAGCAAAATAAACTTTATTTGGAAAAAATGTTGAAACTAAAATAGTTAAAAAAAAGGGATTTTGTATCAACAAATTTTCTTTGATAAGCTTCTGTTCCATTTATATCAAAATTTAGTAAAAAAAGTTTTTTTTTTTTAGTATTAAACAAAAATGATACATCTTAGCTTTTATTCCGTTCCATATACTGTTCTTAATCCATATGCACAAAGAAATAGAGATGCATTCCGTTCTTTCAATATCTCTATAAATAGTAAAATGTTTGTGAATGAGTTATCAAACCATTTCAACCACAACAAACAATGAAATCTCAATATATTATTTTATTTGTTTTAATACTAGCAACCCTTACACTTTCAAGTGTTTCAGCGGTTCCTGAGTGTAGTTTTACTTGCACTGATGGTGTCAAAGTTATTCTTCCAAACATCGAGTATCTATAATTTCATTTTAAAAAAATAGTAAATTATAATAATATTAACTATTTTTTTTTTGTTTGATTAATTAGATCAAAGGATATTTGTGAGATGGCTATAAAATATGCATCTTGTCCAGTAAGAACATTACCAAATGTTGATAACCGTTGTATTCCCTGGTGTCCACCATGCAGAAACTGCCCTGTCAATGTTCAAATTGAATCTTTTTCATTTGCCCATAATTATTAAATTAAATAAGAAATTAAAATTTTTTTTTTATTATTTTCATTTTTGAAAATTTAACCTCAATCTTGAAGATTGATCTTATTTATCTAAATCTTGTATTACTTTCTGAAAAACCAAGTGCGATACAAATTTTAACCAGGATCCCGATTCAATTACACCAGGTGGATTTTAAATGAAAGATCTTTTCCAAAAATATCAATAAACGTACCATTTGTATATATATAATATTGACTGTGTTGCCAAAGAACCTGTGAGCGGTGTTCAATAATGAAACACTATACCTTGATCCAAAACTTGTTCACCAGTGTCACTTCTCCTAAGCAATATCAATGCCACTCATCAAGGTTATTCAATCAAGAACTTTTTCAACTATGAGAACTTATTTGATGAATTTGCATTCGATTTACCTGCGGATTGTGACAACATTGGTCCAAGTCAATCAATGATATCGACAGTGAACTCTTTGATTTGTTTAACAATCCAATTAAAAGAAAAAAGAAAGTTAGAATCTTTTAAAGAAGATTGATAAATAACTTATCGATTTATCACAAATAAAATACCTGTTGTCATTTCACCTTCTATAGAGATATGACAAACATCCCCTCCTCATTAACGTTACAAAGTATAGTTTTTTAATATTTTTGTTTTTAACTAGAGACATACATTACAAGTGAACAATCCAGAAAAATTTGATTGTCAAGATGTTTTTATGATCAAATAGATCTATGGTTACTTATTATGTAAAATGCGAAAAAAAAATTGAAAATCAAAATACTTGAGCAAGTTATATTGACAACTGTTTAGCACACTTTTGTTATGTGAATTTTTTAATTTAATTTTTAAAACTTTTTTTTTTTAGAATTATTTTTAATAAAAAAATGTTTCCTCATTAAGATCGGAAACAAAATTTTTTTATTATTATTAAATTATTTATAAAATGTCATTTCAAGACAACGATAATGATAGTAATAATAATAACAAATTGATACAATCGAAAATAATTCTTCAAAAAATCATTAGTCTATCAATTGGTTCATTAGATTTGGAGAGTGATTTCAGATTATGTGTCGATGATGTTTGCTACCAAACAAGAATAAAAAAACCTATTAAACTTGTATTGAACTATGTTTTGGTTTGTAAAGAATGGTTCAATATCATATCGAAAACAATTGCCACAGATTATCTGTTCAAAGACTCACGATACAACAAACAAGAACAATCACAACTTTTAAAGAAATCTATTGATTATCTTTCAAAGAGTCAATCGGTATTTCAGTTAAGCACAATCAAAAATTTATATTTATTGGATAGAGTTCAAATTGAAATAGATAAAGACTCAAATATCTGTGAGTATCTCTTAAAGTTTAGCAATCTAGAACGATTGTCAATCTTCACCAACAACATGAAATTGATTAAGGATATCATTCGTCTCAAACCTTCACTCAGAATTCATTTGTATATCGATAACTTTATATTCTATGTTGATTATACTGAAATAGAATCACTAGATCAAGACTATTCACAGTTGGAACAAGTAATAATGACTACAAGTGACCTGGCGGCCGATGGATCTTATGATCGTGGTTATAAGTTTGATTTCAGTCCGATCAAGAGATGGCGTGTCAACACTCTCTATTTCGAATATGATGGCGGTGGTCATAGCAGTGGAGCACTTCACATTCCTTATTCCAAACTTTTTAAAATCGATTCACTGATATCCATTACAATATGTGACGAGGATTATGTCGATATCAAAGAGTTAAAACTGATTGTTAACGATCATATTGAATCATTCAAAGCTTCATCGATTCTAAGTTTATTTGGAAAGGATGAGAATGATGATATTGGATATTGTAGTTGTACCTATGGTTCCGAAGATGATCATACCGAAATGATTGCAAACAACAACCAAACTGGTGAATGGTTAGAGTTTTGTCAAAGACTCTCCAACAATAAATCCTTGAAAACACTGTCATTGTCAAACTTTTGTTCGAATCACAAGATAAGTGATGAATCAACATTCAAATTAGTATCCCAAAGCTTTTCTCAATCATTATTGGTCAATACTACACTCTCTAATCTTGAAATATCATGTGATATTCTTGGTGAATCATTTTACTCTTTACTCTCTCACAATAATAATACAACGATAAACAAACTTATACTCTTAAATCTCAATGAACAACATCTTATGTGGACACTCGACATGTTGAAATCCAATAAACATATTAGAAAGTTAGATATTGAATCATATACCGATAAAATCGATTGGGGATACAAAGAAAACGAACAGATGAAAGAGCTAATTAAAGAGTTTATAACCACATTCAACAGCATATCATCAAAGTGTCATAAAATCATAGTACACACTTCTGGTCAAAAGATTACTTATGATTTCTTTAATGACTTACTAAATGACAAAGAAAACCTTGAACTTTGTCAGAAACATTGGAATACCGAAGGTTATAAATTAACAATAAAGAGAAAAATCTAAATATTTAACATCATTGTGTTTTACTTATTTTTGTAAAATATATCACCTTGTTTAAACCAATATATTGAAAGTTCTTTGTAATATGATAATCTAATCAGATTAATAAACTAATTTATATAATTTTTTGAAATAATTTAATTACCTAAATAAATTTTATATTGATACTGATGCTCTCGAAACTAAGAAAATATTTTTTTGGGTGATACAGACAGCTTACATTGATTCATCAATCTGTATCGATCCTTGGTATTGAATCAATACTCACAAGAAAGCAACTTAAACACATTCACCAACTATATCAAGTAATGATGTACCAGATATCAATATTTTGAAGCATTATAACCTGATAGACTAACTTATAATGACTGCATATTAATGTGATAATAAATATCAGTGTTGTTGAGTAGTGAATCAGTTGTTTATACCTATGTTTTGTTGTTTATTTTAACTCTAGATATATAATAATTTAATCACATTTAAATAATAATACATTATCATAGTACTATTTAAAGTATAACATGAATTCGTACTATATATCACACTAATATATAAATTTTTTGTGTGATAGAGATAATTTTTTTTTGTTAATTTGTTAATTTGAGCTTGATAATAGTATCAAAGAGTAGATATTCAATGTTTAGCATCGATTACTATTAAATTTATCATCAAAATACTTTAACATTAATATAATTGTTGATAGACGATTTCAATTATATATTTTTATAACAATCAATACAAATAAACTATAATTCTTTGTTTTTGTTTAAATCCTATCAGTTTTATTTAGAAGTAAAGGGAAATTTGATCATCACGCTTAGTTCTTCTTGGCGGCGGTCTTTTGCTTCTTCATTGGACCCATAACCTTTGATTTCTCATCGGAAGTTTGGAATCTACTGAACTTGGATGATGTGTCAATAAATTTCAAACTTTTGGGAACAAATATTGTTGTTTTGAATGATTATTAATGTTATTAGTTTATATGATCACTATATTTAAATAATAAACTTAATTTAATACTTACACAACCTTCTCGAGAGCTGGACGTGAGGTGGCGGCATGGAGTGACTTTCTGAGGGTCAAGACTATCTTACGTGGACCAATAACACAACCCTTGATCATGAGGAACTCGTGCTTGACAACACCGTAGTGGACGAAACCACCAATTGAGGTAATGGTCTTGTGGGTGATAAAGTATTCATCTCAAAACTTCACTCAGAATTCATTTTTAAATCGATGACTTCATATTCTATGTTGATTATACTGAAATAGAATCACTAGATTAAGACTATCATATTGGAACAAGTAATAATGGTTTTTGCAGCCTTCGATGTTGGTTGTACGGCTAGGCCTACTTCTCGTAGTTTCAAAAGACAGTATATGACGTTCAATGCGAACTGTGTAGAAGGAAAGATAAAGAGTTTACAGGCGTTGAAGACTGGATATATAGACTACATCAAAAAGATAAGAGAAAAAGCAAAGTTTAGATACAATAATGAAATGATGCTAAAAGATGAAGGAAAAGCATACTAAATAATAACTGTGAAGAGAACAACAACTAATAACCAAAACAACACGCAACAACAGAAAATTCAGACAACAACGAGAGCATTTGAGTTCTGGAGCCAACTCTGGAGACATATCCAACTACATTAAAAACAAGAAGAACTGGTCAGCTCCAGGCCCAAATGGAATTTGCAACTATTGGATTAAGAGGATTAAGAGATACCATGAGGACCTAGCTGAAGCCTTCAATGAGTACCTATACTTGGATATCATGGAGTTCCCTAAATGGTTCTGTGAAGGAATAACATACCGGATCCACAAGGGAGGTGACAAAGAGGACGAAGCCAACTACAGACCAATCACATGCATTAACAGCACATGTAAGATATTAACAGGAATAGTAGCCAAGCACCTCCACCAGCACACCAAAGTCAACAACCAACTGATGGAAGAAGTACAGAGAGGTGGATCAATTACATACTACAAATTCACAAGATAGACCTGAAAACCAGATCATGGAATTATTTGACTACAAACTCATATTCAGTATAGATGGAAAATGGCAAATAGACAAGGATGGAGAAACAATACTACACAATCACGATGGCAGCCCTACAATCACAAACCCCATTTCAGCTCCACTACGATTGTTTCGTTGTCATAGGCACTTTGAATTTTTACTATGATCAAAATGCACGTTTCAAAAGTTATCATTTTTTTACAATTTGTCGAGATTTTTACCACATTAAATTCAAAAATTCCAAAAAAAAAAAATTAATAATAATATTTAAGATTTAATTTAAGATAGTCAATTAATAGTTATTTATTATCGATTTGCAGATTTGATAGCAACAATAACAAATTGAAATTGAATTTTTAATAACAATAGTGAGCTCAAAAATGTATATAGAGAACAACACCCAATTGAATCAACAGCTAGAACCAAATTCTGAATCAAACACAGAGAAAACCTGGCAAGAAACTGGATAGCCCGATGAAGATTCATACGCGACATGTTGACCACCACCTATGGCTTGCACTGACAGAGAACATGAACACCCTGTCAGCAAAAGGAATCATGGGAAATGCCGTAACGATCCAAAGTGTAGAAAGTGTCATTCCGCAAGAGAGTCAATGGAGCACATTGTATCCTCATGCCACGCGATGAAACTATTATGTATAATACCAAGACACAACATTGTAGTGAAAGTGATACTCAAAGAGATGCTGAAGTTCCACAGAATACCTTACAAGCCAGGCGCAGTCTACCAGTCTGACACCATTGAGATCCTACATGAAGCCAGAATAGATAATGCACTGACCAAAACCAACAAACCAGATCTAATCGTTAAGAACCGAACCAATCAAAAATCATCGAAATATCATGAAAACAACATTGTTAAAAGAAGCCGAGATAAGATTGAAAAATACCAACCACTAGCAGCCGCACTTAAGAAGAGTAACCCAGACCACAATGTAGCAGTCATACCTATAATCATTGGTGCCTTTGGTACATACAACACAGAGACAACCAAAGAAGGTCAACCTACTGTCCACGACCTACCCTACTATCTAAAGCAGCTAGACATCAGAGACCACTCCTACACTTTAAATAAGATCATCCGATCCTCAATCACCGGAACAGCCAGCCTGATCAGCCACTGGCAAGGGTTAAAACTGTAAAATTCATATTAATGTCCAATAGAAGTCAACATACTAAAGCAACCAACTCTGTTTTAATTAAACACAAATTTAAATAAAATATGAACACTTTTAAAATAAAAATTAATCCTCAACATTGATTAGTATTCACATTATCACCCTATCACCTTAAATTCAAGATATACTTTTAATTACATTACAACCCTAGATATGTCAGTTTCAATCATATATTTTTATAACAATCAATACACTATTATTTTTTTGAAAAACAAAACAAAACTGGCTCCCAACAACTTTCGCCTGCACATTAATTTTAAAAAAAAGTAAAAATTAAAAATTAGTGGGGTTAATGTGATCTGAGTAGTTTTTTTTATTTTTTTCGATTTATGGTTACAAGCAAGAGCCAGTTTTGTTTTGTCATATCAACATTTAGTTTTCTTTGTAGGTAATAATATTATAATCAATTCAAAACAATTTGGTTTATTTAATATAAATCATCAATCTCTCTGAATTGATGAAGAGATGAATTACATCCGTATTTTTTGTGGGTTGATTTAATTAGATGCAAATATGTTTGTATTAAATCTAGAATATTCATATTCAATAATTGCTTTGATTGGAGATATATATCTTGTGCTAAACTAATAATTCCATTTCCATTGTGATAGGTGAAATGTAAAACTCTACAATCAAAGATTGCTTCCAAGAGTTGTGAAATGAATTGATTGTATTGATTATGCACTCCATGAGAAGTTAAGATAATCATTCTGAATGATGGAGAACTAATAATCAGAATAGGTCGAATTCCATTTTCAAATGAATTGATGATTACTGATTTAGTTTGAATACTATCTTTGAGTGATCTGAGTACACCGAACAATTCATCTTGATTTCTAACTTGAACCTCCTCTTCCTTAGAGTACTCAACATGGGTTGGTATCAAATTGTCACAACTTCCAAAGAAGTCCAACAATTGGGTGAGAGGAATTGTAGAATCACCGAGAGATACCATTGGTGAACCTTGTGGGAATTGCTTATCCATAATCGTAACTCTATTTGAACCCATCCAATCTGTAGTGTAGCTATTATCACTGAGATAGAGATGTGGTAATCTGTGTTTAATAGAGAGCTGAATGCATAACGCTATGATTTCCATTAATCTTTCACGTTTTCTGACAACATTGCATTCAGATTCCAAAAATCCATAAGATATTCTCAACATATGTGTCACTACAATACTGGATCTGGCATTCAGAATAATATCATTCTTTAGACTATCTGATGTCTTGATCAATGTACTACAAAAGTGATTGTTTTCATCTACCTCTATTCTGATCTTGATCAACTTTGATCCAGATTTGCAATTCCATGGAACCAACTTTGTTCTATCTAAAGATATCTTGAATGACAGTGTGAACTCTGATCTCTTTAAACTAGAATCAGATATTTTCTCCTCGATAGCTAACTTGAAATAGTCATAGGTTGGGTCAACTGATAAATGTAAAAAATGAATTGCACCCATTACAAATTGCTCATATCGAAGTCCTCTTGTGATGCAGCCTGGGCATGGATATGGTAACTTAGAATTTGGATTGGGGTCTATATACGTGTGACCTTTTGGACAAGTTCTATTTGTTTAGAAAGATAATATTAATTAAAAAGATTTAATTATATAGTTAAAAAAATTTTGAAAACTTACATCTGAGCACATTCTTTGCATATTCTAGACAATAAATAATTGTTGTTGTTGGTACTCATTATCTTTTGACCAGAGGAAAGTTGTAAGTGACCACATTTTCCTTTGAATCCAAATATAATATCTTGTCCATCCTGACCTTCCTTCAACATAGAGATGATTTCACCTTTTACTTCATCGCCTGTCTCTGAGTATAGACCTTCAAGTTTCTTTAAAAGGATGAGATTATTTGAACAACCACTACATGAAGGAACGGTTCCATAGGCAAGTTCATAGAAATTGATTTCAAGTGGATGATTTGATGGACACTTAATCTTTCCAAAACCTGGGTGGTCTTTGTTAAACTTTGATTCTCGGATCTTGCCTTCCAAGTTTCTTTCGTCGAGAATATTCATTTGGAACCTATCAACCAACAATGGAAGATTTTGAATGGCTAAAACTTGAAGATAATTGAGAGAGCAACAGGGAAGATGAAAAACTTCTTGTCCTTGATTAACCATCAAATTGTAGAGTTTTCTCAACTCTTCAAGTGAGTAAGGGGTTTGAATACCACATCTTGAGTGAACAAGAATGTAATGTCCATTTTGATCAACTCCTGACAAATTGAATTGGTCTGAACAATCGATATGGTCTAAAATGACTTCGGTGGAACACTTTCCATTCTGACAATCGCTACAGAGCATAGTTATTCTGCGACTCTCTCCTAAGTAAAGTAAGCATCGGTAGATGTACTTTAAAGTGTAAGGTATATCCTTTAAACAGCCATTACATGGGAGAACAATAGTATTGTTATAGACTGGATCATCCTGGATAGGTTGAAAAGGTTGGATTTGGGTCAAGTCAATAAGATTAACCTTTTCCCCAAAGTAATCCTCCATCAACTTGATTAGGAAATCTCTCTGGTAGCATTTGGGGCAAGAAGAGTTGGCAACCACCATTTGGCGAATTGATTCAAATCCATTTTGAACTAACTGTTCGAGTTCTCGGAAACAAATCGAATATTTGCAAGCTCCACAGCCATGATTGAACATGAACCCATAATTGAGTGTCTTAATATCCTTTTCTTCTATATCGTAGTTGTATCTCTCCATTTCTTCAAGAGTGAGTGTTGTGGGTGAAATTGTATTCACAAACTTTAAACAAATAGATATTTTTAATCGAGAGTAAATTGTTTTAAGGTTTCCACTATTGGAAGTTGTTGTGGTTGTTGTTGTGGTTGTGGTTGCTGTTGCTGTTGCTGTTGCTGTTGCTGTTGCTGTTGCTGTTGCTGTTGCTGTTGCTGTTGCTGTTGTTGTTGTTGTTGCTGTTGCTGTTGCTGTTGCTGTTAACTCTGGAAAGGTGGTTTCGAAAGAGCAACCAGTTCCAAAATCTCTACAACAAAAATGGCAGTATTTGGTGGTGTTGAGTAGATCGCCAATTGATTTATCTTTCCAATGAGTGAGAATATTTCCAATGGTCTTGAAGTCACCATGCGGTCTTCCATCTCTCTCGTGAATCTTTAGGCACCTTCCTGGTATGGAAACCTTGAAATTCTCAACCAATTTTGGATTCATATCCAATATTTCTCTAATGGACTTGAGAAAATATTCTTTAAATATTGATACACCATGAGTTACTATTATGTAATTATTGATATTCACTATTATTGCTATTGCTTTAGCTGAATATAAACTGATACTATTATTATTGGTCTGGTAATCTGATATATTAATAATACCGTCCATTTCTACTAATTTTTAAATTGAGTTAATATTATTTTGCATTTTATATAAGTATATATTAATTAATATTATAGTAAAACTTCAAACTTATTATTATTTTTCTTACCATCACATTGAAATTTGAAAATATTAGATGTAAACCTCACAGGATCCCAAACATTTTCCTCTGTCTTCACATACAATTTGAATCCATTTGGAGTAGATTGCTTTGATGGATTTGTTTCTCTATATCTTTCAATATCGATTTTGTACTCTCTGATAAATTTAATCATATCTTTATTACTCTTTTGATATGCTTTCTTAATTGAATTTTCCTTTTTAAAGTTATCTATTATTGCCATCAAATCTTTACTTTGAAGTTTATTAAGATTTGATTCTGACATGATTACTATTCTTATGATATCTAGTGATAATTAATTTCAAAAACAAATAATGTAAAAAAACTTAAAAATATTAAAGAAAACAATACAAGTGAATAGGTGAATAAGAATATTAATATTCGATAAGATAATTTGATATTAAAGACAACTTGGCTAATAATAACAATATTAAAAAAAAACAAATGAGAAATTATGATTTTGTTTAGGGTTGATGTAATGAAAGAGAATAAACTAAAAAAAGTTGAAAAAGGATAATGATAAATAGTAGGATACTAAGTTTTATAGTAAAATATATTAAATTATTAATTATTAAAAGGATAGTAGGAATTTATTAAAATAACAAATGCAAAGTGACTTTGAATATTATATTGAAAGATAGAATTTGATTTAAAGAAATATATTTATATAAGATAATGGATAGTTCTAGTATAATATAAAGATAACAAGTGTAATTGATAAACTTTAAAAATATATTTATTTGAAAAGATGAGAAGAAGTTTTGTTTGAAAAAAAAATAAAGAAAACTAGTGTTATAAAAGGAAAAAACAAAACAAAATAATTTATTAGAAATAGTGATAGTTGTTAATATAAAATAGCATTTAAGATAGATAAACGATGCTTGATGTGGATGAAACTAAAAGTGATCTTTATTTTATATATTCTATGACTCTAATGGTGTTTCGACAGTCAGTGATTGAGGTAGAATAAAGTTGACAAACTAGGATGTTGCTGGTATAGTAATTCCTAGATATTGAATCAGTAGTTCCAATTAATGCTCACCTCTAACCGACCACTCATCACCAGACCATTTAAGCGAAACAATAAACTATTCAATATTATTTTATATTAATTTAATTAACATCACGTTGACTTTATTTATATCACTAATTATTATAACATTATCTAACATTATTACTATATATGTCTTTATTACCAAGGCTAATTCTGTAAATAACATATGTATAATGCAAGATTTGTAGATTATTTCTATCAATGCAGAGTATAGTTGATCGTCTCTAGATTCTTTAAACACAAATGATTTTGCTACTTCCTCTGACATGATTAATTGTAAACTAGATACTGTTGATATGCTAATGTTTATGGTGTTGCATCTGTAATAATGATGTTTGCTATTCTACTTACTCGTATTGATCTACTATAGTTATTTTCATTTAATTGGATACCACCACTGACTGATCTTGTGCGTGTCAATTGATTATCGATGCTTTACATATTTTTCAGTTTGATAACCATAATCCAACCAATTGTGCTTGTAACCTCAATGTTTTTCGATGTCTTTTTAGCAAAACCCTCCAAGACATCTAGTCTGCTTTCCACTGTGAATTTTCATTTCATTTAAATTGACACATGTGCCAAGGAAATTGAATACTGGTGCCCATTGTTCAAGACCTGCTCCACCCGATTCTTATTCCAATCCGAATAATAAAATTCCATATATCTCGCTCCAACAGTGGGTCGTCTCTTTCTATGATCAAATTTACCAGCTACATTTAAACGATTTCTTTTGTATAACTTTACTACCACTACTATTGATCATGCTTAGTGTAACACCATTCATGTGCAAAGGTTCCACTGCTAACGGACATCTATTAACTATACTGATTACTTTTGAATCCACCAATTTACTGATTAACGACGACATAAAATTTTTATGTTTAAAAGTAGCTGGTGAATTTGATTTCTCTGGTATCACTTTAATATTACTATTATTATTATTGTTGATTATATTTAGTGTAACTCCATTTACACACCAATCTCTAACTTGTTGATTCTCTATCCAATCTACTTGTAAATGATTCCATTGACAATCACCACTTGCTTGATCTGGTGGTAATAATAGATCCATTATTAAACCATTCTGCCAATTCCTATCTTGAGAATCCAAATCTCCCATAACCAATTCTTCCTCTTGGTCCTCAGCGACCAACCTATCAAAGTAATCAATAAAGATACCATTCGATATCTCGACGTGGGGTCCCTCCTGCACATAATGTAGTTGTTTTGTTAGTGGCTCTCCTTCTCCATCTCCTCCTCTAATACCTTCACTTGCCTCTTGAACAGCTGGATAGTGATCACCAAAGAGGTCTTGACTAAGTTGTGATCACTTGATCTATATTACCACCGTGCCTGCACCATACACCTAAACCAGATAACCTTTGAACGCTAGAGCTGTCGCGAATGATTCTTTATCGGTTGCTCTTTGCTCCATTCCTTCATTGGAACATTCTGGTCTCGTTGTGGTGATTGAGAACTCTGTGAGGAGCCTTCTTTGAGCTCTCCTTTCTAGAAGGATTCTAAAGAAATGATCTATTTTTCTTTTTCTTCTTATAGGTCACTCTATCTGGATATTCAGAGAATCTTGTTGTTGATGCTAGACTAGCAATATATCAACCACGTACTAAATGAGACATACACGAATAATCATGCTTCACACTGATAATGGTATTTATTTTACTTTATTAATACTACAACAAATGTTTAAAATAAAAATTAACTATATATCTATAAAAATAATAAATTGATATGTAATGGCATTAAATATATAATAAATAAAAAAATAAAAAATATTGAATGGTGTGAAAGTGAGTAAATCACAATTTTTTTTTCTTTTGTGATAGTGCCGTATCGATCCAAGCCAAAAACAACAAAATAACTCCTACACTTGATCTAAACAACATTACACACATAGAATAAATAAAAGAGTTGGGTATGGAAACTATGACCACACAAGTTGATTTGCAAAGTTACAAAGTTTGTACAAAACAACATTGGTATGATTAATGAGGAAAAGTTGGATTTATAGATTTTTAGGTATATACAAAAAAAAAAAAAAAAGAAAGTAAAATTCGATGACCACACATATAAAATTTAAAGGTGTTACATCTTGGCATATAATGATTGTATTAGGTTTGGGATTAAAGTTTTCTCATCTCTATTTGGATGGAATTATAATTAGATACTTATAATAACAATGTTTAAATTAATCCTATCAATTTATTAAAGTTTTAAGTTATCCTGGTATTGAATCAATCCTCACAAGAAAACAACTTGAACATATTCACCAACTATATCAAGTATTGATGTACCAAATATCAATATTTTGAAGCATTATAACAAGTTAGATTATGACTTATACTGACTGCATATTAATGTAATAATAAATATCAGTGTTGTTGAGTCGTGAATCAGTTGCTTATTACTATGTTTTATTGTTTATATAATTAACTCTAGATATATAATAATCTAAATCACATATAAATAATAATACATTATCATAGTACTATTTAAAGTATAACATGAATTCGTATTATATATCGCTAATATATAAATTTTTTGTGTGATAGAGATAATTTTTTTTTTGAAAACTATACAATTTTATTTAGTTTTTTTTTTTTGTTAATTTGAGCTTGATTACAGTATCAAAGAGTAGATATTCAATGTTTAACATCGATTACCATTAAATTTATCATCTATATCACTTAAATTTAATGATATACTTTAATATTAATACAATTGTTGATAGACGATTTCAATTATATATTTTTATAACAATCAATACAAATAAACTACTATTCTTTGTTTGTTTAAATCCTATCAGTTTTATTTAGAAGTAAAGGGAAATTTGATCATCACGCTTAGTTCTTCTTGGCGGCGGTCTTTTGCTTCTTCATTGGACCCATAACCTTGCTCTTCTCATCGGAAGTTTGGAATCTACCATGACCGAACTTGGATGATGTGTCAATAAATTTCAAACTTTTGGGAACAAATATTGTTGTTTTTAATGATTATTAATGTTATTAGTTTATATGATCACTATATTTAAATAATAAACTTAATTTAATACTTACACGACCTTCTCGAGAGCTGGACGTGAGGTGGCGGCATGGAGTGACTTTCTGAGGGTCAAAACTCTCTTACGTGGACCAGTAACACAACCCTTGATCATGAGGAACTCGTGCTTGACAACACCGTAGTGGACGAAACCACCCATTGGGGTAATGGTCTTATGGGTGATATCGAATTCAGTGGCACCGGTTGGAATGGAGGTTCCGGTGGCTGGTTGAGCCTTACCGATACGGTAGATCTTCTTGTTGGTCTCAACACGGTGGTGGTAACCTAATTGACCAGCACGTGGGACGGCGGTTGAGACACGGGATGGATGCCAAGCTCCAATACAGGCAACCTTACGGAGACCCTTGTGAGTCTTACGTGGGAGCTTACGGACACCCCATCTCTTGATGACACCATTGAATCCCTTACCCTTGGTGACACCGATGATATCGATCATCTCGTTTTCGGCAAAGACAGACTCGACGGTGACGGTCTTTTCAAAGTTCTCAACAACCCAGTTGACCTTGTCGGCGATGGAACCACCGTTGACTTGGATTTCGACGACTTCAGCCTTCTTTTGACCCAAGTTCAATTTGTGGACTTGAGTGTGAGCGATGGCACGGATGACAGTGCACTTTCTCTTGATGGCAGCGATGGCACCATCGATGGACTTCTTGTCGTTTTCGTACTTCTTGGTGTACTTGGTGAAAACGAGGTGGTTGGCAGACTTGTACCATTGTTTGTAGAAACGTCTACGGAATTCGTTGGACAAATGTTGAGCCCAGACGGTCTTGTATGGACGAAGACCTTGAGCGGTTTCCAAGTAACCAACCAAACCAACAATGTACATTGGTGGGCACTCCAAGATGGTGACAGCCTCGACGACTTCCTTCTTGTGCATCTTTGAACCTGGCTTTTCCAAATCACGAACGATGTGGGTCATACCAGCCTTGTATCCCATAAAGGCAGTCAAGTGGACTGGCTTGGTACGGTCATCCTTTGGGAATGACTTAATCTTACCTTGGTGTCTGGCGGCTCTCTTTCTTGGGAGGAAACCCAAAGAACCGTGACGTGGAGCTATTGTTTATGAATGTGGTTTGATGAGTACAAAAATCGACGTGATTTAAAAGAGGGATAGAGAGAGGGTATTCATTTATGCCTAAAACCACCCAAGCACAGTCTCTTGTCATCATCGATAAGAGGATGTATGAAAGTGAGGTATTAAATGAATGAAAATGTGATTTTTCAATACATTTGTCATTCCTGAAACGAGAGTAGTAGTAGAGTGATGAGTAATTAATCATCAACTGTGATTGAAGTAAAGAGTTAGATACATCTTTCAACAACACAATATAATACCAATTGCCTCTTTACTGATGAATCAACAACCCACCACCAACAGTTTGTCATATTTTCATAGCAAGGCATAAATGAATAAGAGATAATCTATAATCTATCATGATATCTTACCTTCGAACTTTCTGTGTGACATCTTTGTGATAGGATAAGGATCTGTTAGACTGTTGGAATCAAAAATTTATTGCTTTTTGTTGATAGACTCAGAGGAAGCGACACGACTCGGCAGACGACACCACTCACAAATTTTTTTTTCAAAAAATTAAAAAAAAAATCATTTCGATCAAAATTCCAAAAACCAAAATGTAACGTTCAAAAATGAGAACTGACAAAGAATAAGTGGCAAACATTGAACATATTCGTTTTAATAGTTTACAATTAATTATAAATTAAATAAATCATAAAAAATAAATAAAAAAAATATAAAAGAGAGATTTACTAAAGTATGATTAATGATTGTATCTCAAATTCCCTAAGTTGAACAATAAATTATTGAGTTATACAAATATTTCAAAAAAGTACAACTAAACAATTATTTATTAATAATATTATTTTTATATTTTTAATTATCATTATTTATTTTGTTTCAAATATGTTTCTAATAATAATAATAATAATAAAAATAAGTTTAGAATTGACTTCCAAAGGTGATTTACTACCACTCATTTAATTGATAAGACTGCTATTATTTCAAATGTGAATGCTCAAAACTATTCATTCTCATGGTGATTTCAATTGAATGTTGGAATTATAATTATTTTTCATTATAATCTTTTCAAGTAAATGAAACTATTTCACAAATGTTAGAGATTATAAGTGTAAAGATCAAACAAAATTTATTTATTGAACGTTTAATGCCATCAATTCCGAGTGGTTCAAAGAATTATAATTTGTCAGTGGTTGAAAAGGTTCCAATAATGATATATTATTGCCTGCTGAACTTCCAAATATCAAAGAGCCTACTATCGAATCACCAAACAGTGGATCTATAAGCATCTCCGGAAATAATTGTAAATCCTTATTATTTATTTGAGTTATTTATAAATAATTGCTAGTATTAAATTTATTTGTTACACAATGTTTTAGTTTTAAAAAGAAACGTAAAGGACATTAAAAAAAATCAAAACTTTTTAAATATATATTTTTAATTTATTTTTTAATTTAACTGATTGATGCGTTGGCAAGTGATTTGGCAATACATTGACCAGCGGTGGTTTGGAATGGACATCCTTTGTAGGTGGCAACACGATCAGCATTTGTTTTCAATTCTTTGAGTACCTCTTCGACAGTCTCTGGTTTGAGAACCTTGTCGTGCTCACCTGGGAATTCAGCGAATGAGACACGCTCACCAATTTGTGCGGTGGCTGGTACGTCGACAAACTCGACGGCAGTGTGGTCGGCATTCGATGCACAAAGTACCATACCCTCGGATTTGACACCCTTCAAGTTACGTGGCTTCAAATTACAGAGTACCAAAACAAGACGATCACGCATCTCTTCGATTGGTACAAACTTTACGAGACCCGATGCAATGGTACGTGGACCAGTCGATTCACCGAGATCGATCTTCTCGACGTACAATTGTTCGGCGGTTTCATGACGACCGACCTCAACAATCTTACCGACACGAATTTCAAATCTAGAGACATCCAATGGTTTGGCTGGTTCGGCAGCTGGCTTCTCACGACCACTACCCTTCTTCTTGTCACCACCGGCAGCAGCAGCAGCTTGTTTATCATCAGCCTTCTTTTCATTTTTATTATCACCAGCAGCAGCAGTTGCAGTTGGTGCAGCAGCTGGTTTCTTTTCCTTTGGTGGTTCGGGTGGTGGTGGAGTGGTTGAAATTGGAACTAAATCTAATTTTCCATTGCCCAAAAATGTTGTATTTTGAACAAAGTTGAACCATCTTGTAACATTACAGAATAAGAATCTTTCTTTATCATTTAATTTAACCTATAAATAAAATAAAATTAATTATTAATTGCTTAGTTGATTATATTTGTTGTTTTGTTTTAATTTTCACACTTACAATCCATGGATGTAATAAAACAAAATAGATATAATCGAAAGCAGTAATAGTTGAGCCAAAGATATAGACAGTATTAATTAAATCTTTGTTGAGTCTATGAATTTGAGCATCTCTCTTTCTTGCATCATCACTACCAAGTAATTCACTGATTGAATCTAATAATTTAATAGTATTATCAATCTATAAAATTGATAATGATTGTTAAAAAAGAGTTAGAATTAAATTGTACTATATTTGCTAATCATTTGAGTTTCTAGTTTGTTTTATTACATACACCAGTGGTATCGGTTGGTAAAAGACTCTTGATAGTTTCATTATCAACAAAGAGTTTTGAAAGTTTATCTACTGGTTGGATTGGTGTATTGTTACCAGCACATTTAGCAATCAAATGATTAAGTTGTTCGTAATTCATTTTTAACTATTAACTAACTATAAACTAAAAAATAAAGAAAGTTCAGCAAGCTTTACTATTTATATAATGTAATTTAATTAAATTTTTTCACCATTGTTTCTCACATTATCTAACTCAGCACCTTGACTTCAAACAAAAAAATAAAAAAAAAATAAAAAAAAATTTTCAAAAAAAAAATCGATTAGAGTTTATTTTTTTTTAAAAATTAAAATTGAAATAAAACGAATAAAACGAAGAACCTTATTTTTCATCATATCTACCTGATAGTGTAGTTGTTATTAATTTGTAAAATTTAAATATATTTATTATAAAAAAAAACAAAAACAATGAAAATGGATAATATTATAGTTGATAATAATCAACAACAACAACAACAACAAGAACAACAACAATCACAAAAGAGAAGTGCCGCAGATTTAATTGGTAGTAATATTACTGCAAATTCATCATCAAAATATCAATGTCTACAATTAAATAAGAATAATAATAGTTTAAATATATCAAACAAACAATATAAATCATTACCTAAATATACTAAAGGTATATCGGAAGAAGATTTTACAAAACAAATTTTAGATTATTTAGATATTGATCCAAGTATGAAATTATATAGTTATAAATAAAAACTAAATTAATAAACTAATAAATTATCTTTTACATATATGTATGTAGAGTTTATTTTAGAAGATATTGAAAATATAACAAAGATTGAATCAATCAAAATTAGAGAAGGTGTTTATATGAATATTTTAGCAAGACATTTAGATTACCAAGTGTTAAAGAATTGGATCGAGGAAGCTATGACCAATAAGCAATGGAGAGTAGTTTCAATGTTGGTTGTTCTTTCAAATTCAGTTTCATCATTCTTGGTACCATCGCTTATCGCCAACTTGATCAACGCCAGAAAAGACAATTTGCTCCAGGCATGCTTGCGAACGATGAACGACATTTCCGTTGGCGATCAAATTCTCATTATAAAGTATTGCTTGGAGAGCGTCGCCAGTAGAGTATCGCTGTTGAACTGTGTGTTGGTATCTAGATATACACGTTCGTTGATGGTCAGTGAAATACGTTCGAGCCTCTCGATAGAGCAGTGCTCAACATTGATGAAGCACATCATGTCGAACCTAAAAATCTATGCCGATATGGAGGATATCACCAAATCAAACGAAAACAACAACTGTGAAATCATATTATCGATGAATCAACTGGTAGAGTGGACATCGATTCTACTGGACAGCCACTTCCAAGAATGGATGAGAACTCCAGAGATACTCGAGCCATACTCTGAAATCATTCGTAATCTTCAGTATGAAAGTAAACTTATCGGTAGATCCAAAGCATTCATTCAATCAAAATTGGATTCCGAACAAACTATAGATGCAAATTATTCAATTCATTATTTTGATTTATAAAAAATATAAATAAATAAATAAAAAAAAAAGATAAATATATAAAAAATAAGATATTAGTTTAGTTTATTTTGTTCAAGGAAAAAAAAAATTTTAATTAAAATTCATCGGATGGTTTTGTTAAAGTTGGTGGACTACTTGGTTGTTGATATCCTTGTGGAATATAGGGAAGTTCACCATTCGATTGTGTTGGTGGTCCTGTTTGATAATTTGTATTGTATGGTGCTTGATATTGTATTGGTTGTTGTTGTTGTTGTTGTTGTTGTTGTTGTGACATATCATATGGATATTGTTGTGCAGGTGGATATCCTGGTTGATATTGTACTGGATAGACACCTGGTTGTTGTGGTTGATAACTTAATGGTGCAACTTGGTAAATAACTGCAGTTTCAATTGCAATTGGGTATTCCAATTCCAACTATATAGTAATAGAATAATAATAGGTTAATAAAATAAAGAAGTAATATTAGATTATTGTTATTTTAATATTTTTTTAATTAAAAAAAAACACTTACATAAATTTTACGTTGTCTTCTCTTTTGATGAGATCCAGTATGATGATGATGTTTCTTTAGTTTCTCACGAATATGTATTTTCATTCCACGTGGTTGAAGTCTGGTGTTTGCGTCGTTAATGGCATGCTCCATACGACTCATTAGACGACGTCTGAATGAAATTTGAATTCCAATTAGCGAAGAGATGGAACCGACAATTAGAATGAAACCAATAATATAGAGAGCGGGAATCTCTTTTATGAAACCAACGAAAATAAAGATGATGGAAATAAAGAAACCAATGAAACCACAGAATGAAAATTTAGGATAAGTCGTTCTAGATTGTCCATTTATATTTCTGATCATCTCCTCGAATTCCGGTGGTGGCAGTAAAGCTGGATTCATTCCCTTTGGATAGAGTGTCTCGAATCCAAAGAATCCTCTTGAGCTTTTCTGTTTTGATTCATGTGATTGTTTTATTTTACAACTATTCATTTTAAATATAATTTATATATAAATAAAAGTTTTAAAATATTAATATTATTTAAATAAATAAAACTAGATTAAAATTAAAAAAAATATTATAAAAAATTTACAAAAGCAATAATAAAATTGATGTGAAATAAATAAATATATTAATAAATAAATAAATAAGTGTTGTTTGATTATTTTAATAATTTATTTGAATATAAATATATATATGAGAAAAATGTAATTTTAATTTATTTTAAACTTTCATACTTCACTCACAAAATTGAGATTAAAAAAAACAAAAAATTAAATATATAACCCAAAAAGTGTGGTATTTTTATAAAAACGTGATAAGTTGGACTTGCATTAATTTCTGTTATGGATCATATTGATACCTCGGCATTTTATTAATATTATTTCCTTGTTTGATTTGCAAAGATATCACTGGTATTTTTATGTTTCGTCTGAAATTTTTTTTTTAAAATTTAATACTAAAATTTTTTTAAAAAAAAAAAATTAAACCGGTACTGAATATCCTGATTGTTTAATGGTATAGATAATATATTCTGGTATCAGAATAGTAATCTTGTTGTTCATAAGGTTTTTTATTGTTGTTGTATTGAAAAGGAATCTCATTTTTATCTAATAAAATAATGCTGATAAATAAAAATAGATTTATTAAAATTAAAGAATTAATAAAAAAAAAACCTTGGCAATAGCATATTCAAAAGAAATACCATCATCTATTGCCTAGCTAATTCTATTTATCTATTTAAAACGCCTTCCAACTACTACTAAAGTCGTTGACAATAACACCGATAAAAATAGATTTTGCAAAATTATTTGTTTTTTTTTTTTTTTTGGAAAAAGGTAGATTTTTTCTTTTTAATGTTTGTTATTTTTTTATTTTTTTATTTTTATATTTTTTTTTGATGATCAAATGAAATTACATCTCTGGACCACCATCTGGAACGGAAGAACCTCTCATACCCTTTCCGGCCTTGATGATTTCGTCGACGAGTAAAAGTTGACCGGCAATGATTGGAGCGGAACGATACATCTGTCTGAGTACGCTGTATTGATCCCAAACACCCTCGGCAACTGGATCCATTGGCTCACCGGTGATAATATCTAAACCAACGATGTGTCCTTTGGCAAACTCGTCTTGCAACTTGATGAGAGTATCCATTGGATCGAAACCAGAATTCTCGGCCAATGTCTTTGGAACGACCAAGAGTGCGTCGGCAAATGCTTGGACACCGAGCTTAGTTCTACCCTGGACGGTATCCTTGAATTTCAAGAGGTCGTTGTGTGCGGCAATCTGGAATGCACCACCACCTGGAACGACACAACCGTCTTCGATAGTGTTCTTCACTGAACGCAAACCGTCACGCAAGGCATCCTTGATCTGTTCGATGGTGTGCTTGGTTGGACCCTTGATCAAGATGGTGCAGGAGAATGGATTCTTGACACCCTCAACAAATGTATATTTTTCCTCACCGATGGCGTGTTCGTACACCAATTCGGCATGACCCAAACAATCGGGTGACAAGTCGTCCAACGAGTTCATGGCGACACCACCACAAGCCAATGTCAAACGCTCCATATTTCTACGCTTGGCACGACGCAATGCGAGAATACCAGCTTTAGCCAACATATCCAAACAGATTGGATCGATACCCTTTTGATTAATAATTACAAAATGCTTATCTGGAGTGTCACAAACATGATTCTTTAACTCGATAATTTGTTTACATCTTTCGGCTACCAATTTGTGTTCACCATCAATCATTCTTGATCTCATTTCATGATCTTTATATAAGAAATTAGAATTTACTTCACTGTATAATAAATTTGAGAATATATATAATTTGAATATTATTAGTTCGTTAATTGTATATAATTATTGAAATAAATAAAGTTAATAATTCTTACGTCTTTTCAAATTCTAATGATACGTTGAATGTTAGAATGAAACAATTGGTTAATCTCTTTGGCATGTCTGGATGACGAGCACCATGATCGAGTACGAGACCCTTGACGAGGTGAGACTCACCTTCGGTACGGTGTTGCATTGTCATGATTTCAACCATGAACAAGTCGAGTGGTTCGTCTGGCTTGTGGATGGTGAGGATAGAGTCGACAACGTTCTCTGTGAGTTGATCGGCAACCTCAACCGGGAGTTTGGTACGAAGTGAGGTACGTGCAATAGAGACCAACAACTCACGATCCAATGTATCACGACTCTGTTTGAATTGCTCGAGGAACTGAAGACAACGATCCTTTGCCAACTCGAATCCCTCTGACAAGATACGTGGATGTACATTCTCTGCAAGATATCTCTCTGATTGCTTCAACATCTCTCCAATAGTAATGATATTCGATGTTGTTCCATCTCCTGTAATATCGTCTTGTGCTGTTGCTGTTCTTGCAATCAATGCTGCTGTTGGATGTTGAATTTGCTATAGATATTATTTTATAGATGATAGAGTTAATTGGCTTTTCTTTGTTGTTATTTCAAAAGCAATATTAGATCTGATTGCTTATTGAATGATGATTTGATTTGATTGATTGATTGATCATACCATTTCATGTAATAAAACACTACCGTCTTTAGTCAATTTAATATCACCAGCACCAGATACCAACATCTTGATGGTACCCTTTGGACCTAGATTAGACTTTAAAACAGCTTGAAGACCTTTGGCAGCACTGATATTGAGTAACAATGATTGTCCTCTCTTTGCATCTGCAGCAGTACCTGCTTGTTTAATCATAGACAACATTTTCTAAATTATATATATTCTATTATCGTATACAATGCAAACTTTATCGATCGCTCTGTGAATATTGCTTTTTATCGTTATCTAATCTAATCGAATCTTGACCAAACTAAAACTAAAACTAAACTTTTTAATAAATATCTATCTATATATATATATAAATTGAAATGATCTAATTTAAAATTCAATCAAATCAATAGTTTTAATTATATTAATTTATAAATTATTTATTTAGTTTTTTGTTTTTGTTTTTGTTTTTTTTTGTTGTCCTTTTCACTTCATACAAAAAAAAATCAGTGGGTTTGTTAGTTCGACTTTGAAATTAATTTTTTTTAAAAAACAAAAAAAAAAATTGGAGATTGGTAGCTTCAACGTTACAAATTTAATCACATTAACATTATTTTAAAATGTTAATTAAAGAATATTCATTCATTATTAATTTTAATTTTGTTTTTTTTTTGTAACTTATATAATTAATTTTAATAGACAACTTTATTTATTTATTTTTTAATTTAAAACGAGATATAAACAGATATAGATATAGATTGATTTGAAAGTTTATAGATATAAATAGATAGTTATAAATATATAGATTATCTGGATCCATAAATAAATGGAAAATATGATATCTTCAACAAATAGTGCTAGTAGTAATAATAATAATAATAATAATGTTGAAGTTTCAAATGGATTTATGACACCTAGCAGCAATAATAATAATAGTAGTACGTATTTACAGTCACCTCCAATGACACCATTTTCAAATGTAAATTCAATATCAAACAGTTCTGCTGCATCCGCTATGTTATCAGCTGGTCTTGATCTTACTTCTTCACTAAAGAAAGCAATGTCTGAAAGAGATAACAAAGATAAAGATAAGGAGATGATGGATATGGTTACTACTACAACGACAGCAACAAATCAAAACAATAGTATTAATAATAATAATAATAATAGTATATCGACACCTAATAATAATAATAATAATAACAACAGTAACAATAACAATAGTAATGGTAATAATACAAATTCAACTACTTCTTCTTCTTCTTCTTCATCTTCTCTTACACCTACACCAACAACTTCAACCACTACTACTACGACAACAACATCAACTACAAGTACATCGACTAATAGCTCAGCAACACCGACATCTAGTAAATTATTTTCAAGTTCAATTGCAAGTTCACCGACACCAAAGACTTTTAGAATCGAAGTGGATTTGGCAGAATGTAATAGGGAGATTGACTATCGGTCATTGCTAAAGAAGGAAGCAGCTGTATATCAACGTGCACAAGACAAGCTAAAGATCAGTGACTCTTTTTACAAGAAAGATGAAGCATCACGTTTAAAGTCGTCAGCCGAGCTCGAGGAGGACATCCTGCCGATTACAACACCTCACAAGAACAGACTGACTGACGTCATCAACAAGATCGAGCAGATTCACAATCAACGTGTTGGCGACTCTGATGACGATTCCGATCGATACGACAGCGACGACTCATTCATTGACAACTCTGAGATGAACAACATCGAATCCGATGTTGAGAATCACTATGGTGGATTCTTTGTACACGTTGGAAATGTTGAACAAAGAGAGAGAAACAGTGACGATGAACAGTATGACGATGACTTTAGAGGGCATAGCAGCAATAGCAACGGTAATCATAGCAACGAGAAATACACACAAGTAAATGAACAGTCTAAAAAGAGAAAAGTAGAGACAAACACAAGTAGTGGAGCTAATAATGGTGGTAACATCAGACCTACCGTACCGAAAAAGAAAGTTAAAACCAACAACAATAACAATAATGATGAATCTGTTATCAATAGTTTATTATTAAATTTACAGGATGAGATAAAGAATTGTAAGTTGAATATATATTTACTGATTTTTTAATAATTACTAATTGTTTGATCATATGATTATTAATTTAGTTCCTGATGACTTGAAGAATCTACCAAGAAAGATTAGACCTTTACTTTCGAATATATATATTGAAGTTACAAAGTCAAATTCACAGGGATTCTTGTCTGGACATATCATTACACGTATCGCTTCATTCTGGCCATTGAAAGAACAGACTATTAGAGCGCATCTAAAGAAGGCATGGGAAGAGATCGGTGAGAAGACTGTGATAAAGAATGAGAGATTGGCTGAAAAATTGGTGGAGAAGATCAACGAGCTAATCATATCTTTCAAGAAAAATGTTGAAAAAGAAATGAGTGAAAAACATAATAATAATGATGTAAGTAATAATAATAATAATAATAATAATAATAGTAATAGTAATACAATATATAATTAATTATATCAACTAATTCAAATTGAATTTATAAATATTTAAAATAATAATAATTAATTAGGGAGAATATATGTTTAGTAGAGTTTGTAGAGATTTATTATATCAAATTGTTTCAACCAATAAGGAGATTGTAGAGTTGAAGAATAAGAATGCGGAACTAAAGGCAGAGAAAGAAGGTAAATCGAGTGATGCTATCGTTGAGAAGACACAGAGAGGTCAGTTGTACAAGAGAATCGTTGGATTGTTTCCAGACGGTTGGATCACCACCAAGGCATTGGCAAATGCTTATTCAACAGAGAGAAAGAAGGAATTGAAGAAATTGGCAAGTGCTGCCGCTACGAATACCAACAACAACAACAGCAGCAGTGGTACACCATTGAAAGTGGAATCATCTACACCAACCAAGTCAACACAAAATTCAACACCCAAATCAACAGAGAAAAAACAGGACGATAAGAAACATAAAGAAGAAAGAGAAAAGGAGAAAGAAAGAGAAAAGGAAAAGGAAAAGGAGAGAGAAAGAGAGAAAGAAAAAGAAAGAGAAAGAAAGAGAAGAAGAGAGAAAGAAAAGGAAAAGGAGAGAGAAAGAGAAAAGGAAAAGAGTAGTAGTAGTAAAAGTAGAGATAGTAAAGAAGGTGGAGAATCAAGAACATCAAAATCTTCTTCTTCTTCTTCTTCCTCTTCTGCAAAAGATAGAGATAGAGAAAGAGAAAGAGAAAAGAGAAGATCTACACCTGATGATAAACATAGACATAAAGATAAAGAAAATAGTAGTAGCAGTGGTAGTAGTAGTAAAAGTAAAGAAAAAGAAAGAGATAAAGAAAAAGATAGACATCGTGATAAAGAGAAGGTAAAGGAGAAGAAGGAACGTAGAGATTCTCGTGATAAAATGAGAGATTTCCTTGATATCGATGATCAAGACGATGATAAACTGGTGGACATTTTATTTCTCAGAGGCTACCAAAAAGAAAAGTAAAAGATCGTCCATCTCTTCTTCAAAAGAGAGTTTACCAATGATTTCATCACCATCCTCGTCACAACAACAATCTATCAATCATCACAGCAGCAGCAACAACAACAATAATAACATAAATAACGATAATCATAAACAATTAAACACAAGTAAACCAACCGAGCCACCAACACTATTTAACTTAGATTAGATTATAATGTATAATTGATGATGAATAAATAAATCAAATATCTAATTACTCATCAAGGTATTTATTTATTTATTTTTAAATTTTGAGTTAATAAAGGTTCACGATCAAATAGCACGCAAATCATGTTATTGATATAGTTTTGAGCTTAAACAGAAACAATTATGTAGATTTATATCTAATTCTTTTTGTTTAACAAACCAGCTCATACCTGCGACTTATGAAAATTTAAGAAAAAAATATTAATATTATTAAAAGCATGAAAAATAGATGTAAAACAAAATAAATCATCGTGATAACAATAAGTTCCATCCATATTAAAATTTTATTGGATTTTTAATATTTATTTAAATTTTTGAGTTGGAAAACTTAATACAAAAACAAAAAAAACAATATCAAAAAAACTTGAAAATGTGGGGTATATTTTTTTTATTTATTTATCTTTTTCTTTGTACTTTTAATAAACATAAACAGATTATTTATTAAATTTCATTGTTATTGTTCTTCTTTTTTCTTCTTTTTAATAAATATAATAGTAAAAAGATAAAATTACATTTTTATATAAATCATTATTAAAAAACGATCATCAAATAATATTATATATTTTATTTGATGATATTTTGTAAATAGTTTTTTTTTTATATATATATTATATTAATACACTACTCCCTGTATATTACTTTTTTTTTATCATATTCACCTTTTTTTTTTATTATTATTAAACTTTAAAATATAAATATAGTATAATGGATTCTTCATATTCTTCAACATCATCTTCGTCTTCCTCATCATCTTCATCTTCTTACTCAAGCAATAATAGTAGCAATACAAACAGTAATAATAATAATAATAACAATAATAATAATAGTAATACGAATAATAATGGATCGATGATCAGTGAGAATAGGTTATTTGATTTATACGAGTATCTTGGTGTACCAAACGATGCCACAGAAGAACAAATTAAAAAGTCATACAAAAGACTTGCAAAGATCTATCATCCTGACAAACCAACAGGTTCACGAGAAAAGGTAAGAAAAAGAAAAATAATATTATTACAATCATGCTTGAGCGGCGGCAGCTTGTACAATTAAAATATTGATTTTATATTTATATTGATAATCATCAAGTTTCAAGAGTTGAATGCAGTCTATGAGATAATGTCAGATCCCCAAAAGAAGAGAACCTACGATTACTTCAAGAAGAACGGTGTCAAGATGCCATCGATGGCTAGTCTTAGCGAAGACGAAAGCAAATTCTTGTTGTCGCACTTCTTTATTGGTGCAACTATCGGCACTCTCTATTGTTTGATTGCTGTCACTATCAGCTTCATATTCTCTGTGCCAATGACAACCACTTTCTTCCCATCACTTCCAATCTTTATTGGTCCTGCCATTGCCAATCCAGATCAGAAATCATTTGCATTTGCATTAGGTGGTTTCAGTGGTATGATTGTAAGTTGTTAACTTTATAACAATGAGTAAATGAATAATAATAATAATCAAACTAACTATTTACAACAATATATTAGGCATTACCATTCTATGCTGCGGGTGTAAGTTATAATGTTGGAAAGAAACTTTTAGAAGCACCATATAAATATATTATGGGTGACAAGCAAGATGGCTCTGACAACAACAACAACAAGTCGGTGTTGGTGTTGGATGAATCAGAGTTTGAATTCATATCAAAAGCGAAAGCCGAGTATGAAAAGGTCGACGAGATCGAGAGAAATTGGACATTCTTGTCGAGCGAAAAGTCAAACAACAACAACTGTCATACCGAAATCTTTGAAAAGGTCATTACAAACATTGTTGAAATGTTTGGTGTAATCGAGAAACACTTTAATCAGATGTATCCCTCAAATGATTCAGATTTAATATTAAAGAAAATGATTGAAACTAAAATAGTATGTATAATTTGGATGTTTTTTTTTTTAAAGAAAAAGAGTTATTTTTACTTACTCGTGATAAATTTATAGTATTATGAAGAAATTGAAAAGATAATAAATAAGGCAACAAATAACAATAATAATAACAATGATAATACAAGTGATAATCAAACAGAAAAGATATATCCAACTTTGGAAGAGGATACAAAGAGTAAATTCAAAAAAGTCAAAGAAACACTCATGAAAACATTGGAGGATTTAAAACAATTTGTTTTGAGCATTGAAAAAGGAACAGGTGATCCTAAACAGCAGATTCCACTACTATCTCTAACAAAAAACATCGAAATCTTTTTAGAGGAATTTATTTTTAATAGTTTTGAATACTATCAAATATAAAGATTAAATACATACAACCTTGTAAATATAAATAAATTTTAAACATTATATTATATATGTTCACTTATATAAGAGCATTCATTAGATTTAAAATATTCCCTAGGGAATATACAAATTTAATCAAAAGTTTTATTTCTTTTTTTTTTTAAAAATAAACAATAAAGAATTGTTACGATCAAATGAGGATATGACTGTTAGCTAATCATTGGTGCCACAGTATAGATGAATCGAAAGTACATTGTACAGTGGGCTATTAATTTCAAAAAGTTAATAGTCTTTTAATTTTGTATCTCAAAATTGGAACAAAAAAAAAAAAGTTTATTAATTATCATCTATTGTGAGTTTAGTCGATAATTCATTTAAAGATATAAAAGAAAACGAATAGTATTTTTTTAATAATCATTCAACTCCGATCCCGAAATAGACTATTGTTTTAAATTTTTTATGGGGCTTTTTTTATTTAAATCTACCAATTCCCAATGATTACTAGTTTAGTTTTTTAGTTTTTTTTAGTTTTTTTTAGTTTTAATAAAAAGTTTAGTTGTACATAGATATAAATATATATATATAAAAGATAATAATGTCATCATCAGAAATTAATAAAGAGTTCAATTTAGTTGTTTTAATCTCTGGAAACGGAACCAATTTACAAGCTATTATAGATGCAATCGAGAATGGTAATCTGCCAAATGTAAAGATCAGTGCAGTTATCAGTAACAAATCGGATGCATTCGGTTTGAAGCGTGCAGAGAAAGCATCGATCGAAACAAAGGTATTCCCACTTCAGAGTTATCTAAAGGGTGGTGAAGGTCGTGACCGATCGACCTACGGTACAGAGTTGGCAAAGTTGATTCGCACATACCAACCGAAACTTATCGTACTAGCGGGATTCATGTTGATTCTGACACCATCATTCTTAAATGAATTCGAAAACAACCAGCCACATGTAGATGTCATTAATCTTCACCCTGCTTTACCAGGTCAGTTTGCAGGTGCCCACGCTATTCAACGTGCATTCGAAGCCTACCAAAATGGTCAAATCAAACACACTGGATTGATGGTTCATAAAGTAATTGAAGAGATTGACGCCGGTGAAGTTATCATGACCGCAGAAGTACCAATCAATGCCGAAGACACATTGGATATCTTGGAAGATCGTATGCATAAAACCGAACATATTACATTGGTTTCAGCTATTAAGAAACTATCACAATCACATTTATAAAATAACAATAACAATAACAATAATAATAGTTTATTTATAAAATTATATTACATCCCTTGCCATTGTTGATCTTTTGCAATTGCTTGTTTAATATCCTCAACAATAGATTTGAAGGTTTCCGATGATAGATCTGGTCCATTTAATAAACCTGAACTTTGGTCGATGTTCAAAGGTTGACCCCATTGTTTATCTGTGAATGTCTGACCATGAGTAGTTACAGGGTGTTCGTATCTTGGCAAAATATGATAGTGCACATGATGATATTTCATATCAGCTGTGGGCTTACCAGTGTTGTCTTGTGTCAGATTACCTAGTTGAAAGATGTTTGGATATGACATGCCATAGAGCGATCTAAAGACACGTGTCATCATGGCTATGGCTTTACCAATCTCTAAAAACAATGAATCCGGTTGTTGAGCTTGTTCATATAGATCAAAGGGAGAGACATGCTTTAACGGTGACACGATACAACGGCCAAGCCAGTATTGATGCTCTAAAATTACAACTCTTAACATCTTGTTTTGAAAAAGCACTATTCCTTCATCTGCATCTTTACAACCAATGCAATTTGCGATAATGTCCTCCATTGAGTCTTAAATTAACAATTAATTTACAAATATAAACTATGGTTTGAATAAAAAAAATGATTTTTAGCAATTTTGGTGCCAATTCTGAGTTAATTAATATATCAATTTTATTTTCAAAAAAAATTTCCCCAAAATAAATAAATATCTGAATTATGATAGACAGCTCTTGCAATACTAACCTATAAATAAAAAATAGATAACAATAATATTACTGTTAATGAATGTCGATTTAGCTTTGTTTGTTTGATAATAAAACTTACTATTTTTTTTTGACCACCAGATAAATTTATACCTTTTTCACCAATTTCAGTTTGATCTCCACCTGGAAGAATCTTTATATCTGGAATGAGATTACATCTGTCAATGACACGTTGGTATTTGTCTTCGTCTAGTTCAGAGGTGAAAATGATGTTGTTTTGGGCGTAGCGTTTTCCATATGAATGATAGCCTGAAGACAATAACAGTCAGACGGTTGTACAGATTGAAAGAAATCACCTGATACTTCTTGATCACATAAATGTTTCCTTCATTTTCCATGATAACCTTTTGAAAAATTGATTCCATTTTTAATATTAGGATAAAGTTCTTTTCACAAAACAAAACTGGCTCCCAACAACTTTCGCCTGCGCATTAATTTTAAAAAAAAAGTGCACTTTGCAAATTAAAAATTAGTGGGGTTAATGTGATCTGAGTGGTTTTTTTTATTTTATTCGATTTATGGTTACAAGCAAGAGCCAGTTTTGTTTTGAGTACTAAAAAAAATTAATAATTTAAAATTCACCAAAGCTTCGATTTCTCTGTCCTACGTAAACTAAATGTATAAAGTTATGATACTTGGATTTGTTGAAAAGAAAATAAATTCGACCAGCTATCATCCAATAGCTTCGACAAGTATCGAGCGCACAACAGTTAATGTCACCCTTTGGATATCCAATAAATCTTTTCTGATTTTTTATATTAATAGCCTAAACAGCAGAAGTGGAGGAAGAAGCAAAAGAATCGAGATCGATCGTTTTCTTCGTAAAAAGAATATCATCTGCATAAATAGCAATACACTCTATTGAGTTCACTTCGTTTACCTATGGAGCGAGTGTGCTTTCGTTTCGAGCTGCAATCTCCATTTGATATGATTTGATTGCAATATTCTTCGGAAAGTTGTTTAGTTGCAATTAAAACTCTAATTGCCTTGTATTCATACCAAAGAATTTGTTTTGAAAAAAGCAATACTCCTTCACTTTCATCTTTGCAAATAAATTCTTCCATTTAGTATAAAATCAACAACAATTTGAATTGAAAATTAATTTACAAAATATAATTTAATTTATTTAAATATAATTATAATATTTCTTGCTTTTCTAACTTGGATAAAAAAAAAGATAATTCATTTAACCAATAGAAATCTTTTTTGCACCTTTTTTTTTTTCTTTTTTTTTTTTTTTTTCTTTTTGATTGGGGAGTTGATTTGTATTACTACAACGTTGGTATTGTTAATATTACTATAAAAAGATCACTTGTACTCCAGGCTAAGATGGTTCTTTTGCTGAAATAAAAAGTTTTTGGAAATTTGATAGGAAGTCGTTGGTTTGAAGATTATTGTTGTTGATATCGTTCGTGTTGGTTGAGCCAGTGGTGACCAATTGAACATTGGTTGGAAGATATTTTAGCGCTGATAGTTGTGAAGCTGTAGTCGACGTTGTTGTTGTTGTTGTTGTAGTCGATGTTGAAGTAGTAGTAGCTGTATGTGTTGAATTACTTTCTGATGAATCACAGTTCTTTGTAGTACTTGGATCACAGTTTGGATCTACATTATTACCGCCTCCCATTGGAACACCATCTGGTGATATTCTTGGTTTAATAAATCCCAGCAAAACGGAGGTAACAACCAATGCCAACACGACAACTCCAACAACAATAGCACCAATAATAAAATATTTCTCTGTAAATAAAATTAAATTAGTGTACCATTTCAAATAATAAAAGGATGTATATAAACTTACTTCTTCTCTTATTCTTTTCAATTTCACGTTCTAACTCATCAACTTTGCTTAATACTTGATTCTTGTCTCTGTCGAGTATGTCCAATTCGATTTGGACGCTGTCAACCTTCTTGGAGAGTTCCTGGGTGGCACCGACATTCTCCATGAAGATGGCATCTTTGTTGACCATCAAAAAGTCAGAGATTACAGTACCATCGTTGAGAGTACGGTCTCCGGTTTGTTTAACGGCGTTTGGAATGCCAGCGCGTTGTAGCTCTTGTGCTAGAACACCACGGTCGCCTGGTTCAGTGACACCGGTGGCGTCTGTCCATTGCTTGATGAGACGGTAGTCATAGAGACGCAGACGGTTGATGTGCTCAAGCTGCTCGGCGGTATTGACTGGACGGATATCTGTCTTGACACGTTGGTCTGATGGAGTAAAGAGGATACCAGTTACAGAGATATTACCATTGACCGAGAGTGATTCTGTTGGATTTTCATTGTTAACACCGACATTACCATAGTGATAGAGACCACCATGAGGGTTTTGATTCCAACCGACTTCGTCGATGGTAGATGTAGTTGAAGATGGTGCCATGTCAACACTATTACTTGTTGTCACTGGGATTGTCATCATATTGTCGTTGTTATTATTGTTGTTTATATTTTGAAGAGGTGAGGGCAAGAATGAGGAGGTAGTCGTTGTTGTTGTCGTCGTTGTCGTTGGTTGTTGTTGTTGAAGTTGGATTGTTGTGGGTGAGGTCATCGGTGATTGATATTGATGTTCTTGTGCGATTTGTTGTTGTTGTTGTTGCTGTTGTTGTTGTTGTTGTTGTTCGTAATTGTTGTTTGTGAGGTTGATGATATGTGATTGCAAGTGTTGATTTTGTGGTGTCATCATAGTCGTCGACCTCATAAGTGGGTTTGGGATAATCATATCCTCTTGTTTGATATCAATATGATTATTGGTGTGTGATAGCTGTTGTGGTTGGTGATGTCTATCAACAATGATGGTTGGTGGCGATGCTTCGGGTTGACTTGGTGAACTGGAATTGGCAACATTCATATTTGCCATTGCAACAGAATGGTGATGTAGCTGTTGTATCAATGTGTGATGATGAAGCATTTGCAAATGTTGTTGAGTTGTTTGTTGTGGTTGTTGTTGCTGTTGATTTGATTTCTGTTGGTTTGTGGTATTTGGCGTCAGTGGAGACGAGAGTGGAGAGAGATGTAATGGTGAAGGTGTTGACATATTACTAGTATTAATAGATAAGTTTGGATTCAACATAAATGTATTCATTTGACTATTATTATTATTATTATTGTTATTGTTGTTGACAACGAGCGGATTTGAAGTATTTTCATTGGTGGATGTTGTGGTAGTTTGTGGTGTGGTTGGTTGTTGTTCAAAGTGTGGAGTCAAACGAACTACTTGATTACTTCCAACATTGTTGTTGATGCTGCTGGAAGTCGATGATATGATGGGTGTTGGTATGGGTCTGGGGGATGATGATGCCGATGAAAATGTAAACATTGCGGTCTGAGGTGATTCTGGTTCGGATCCGCTGGCGACGTTGCTGGGTGTTAACGAACCGTGCGAGAGTGATGGCGATGCTGGGAATGGGTTGGAAATAACAGCAGCGTTGCCAGTGGGCTGTTGTTGTACATTGGCAGGATGTCCAGTTCTGACGATGAGTGGATCCGATATGAACGATGAAATGCAGTAGTCACGGCCTTGGTAACGCGCGGAGATAGTAAGAACCAATCGGAAGAATTCTTGCTGTGGGTTTGGCAGCTTGTGTTTGCGCGCATTGTTAGAGGTTGCCTTACGGAAGTGCAGACGACTGATTGTGATCTGGTCGGCGTTACTCACCAGCTGAGGAGGTGGTGCCTTTTCTTCGGCTTTCTCACGCTTCGAGTTGGTTTGGTAGAGTTCGACCTCAACCTCCTCTGTTGGCATGACGGTGGAGCCATTCTTGACACCACGAATACTAATATACAATCCCTCGACAGGACGATTGACACCGTTGACATCGATCAACGGGCGTATCTCATCAAATTTGAACATATGATGAATCGTTATACTTAATTGAAAATGATTTCTTCTATAATATACCCATGAATTATCCACCTGTGAAAAAGAAAATCCTTTCTCTGCCAAAACTGATAAAGTTGGTGGTTGTCTATAATTAAAAAAAAATATATATTAACAACATATAATTTTATTTTATTTTTTGCACTCATATTACTTACAATACTTCATATCCATATTGATTTACAAGTCTATGCCAAAAGTTGGTACAATATGGAACCCAGTGAAATATATTGGAATTATCTATGATGTAGCGACGTTTCTTTACGGGTGCTGTCGATGTAGATGAAGATTGACCCTGCTTTAGTTGTACCTCATCGTCTTCATCTTCAACATCGAAATCATCATCTTCACCGTTTGTAGAATCACGTACACTCTTTGATTTCTTTGTATTTACAACATTTGTAATGGTACTAGGTGAAGTTGTTATTTGTTGTTGTTGCTGCTGCTGTTGCTGTTGCTGTAATAAATGTAGTGAAGTTGGTTGTGGTGGTTGCTGTTGCTGCTGTTGTTGTGGTGGTTGTTGTTGTTGTTGTTGACCACCAAATAACATCAAATTTGAATTACTATTCGACAGTAATTCTGTATATTGTCCACTGAGATGTTGGAATAGATGTGCCGAAGTTGGATCCATATTAGTAGCCGGCTCTACTATAAAACTAATTTATTTATTTATTTTCAGAAAATATTAATTATTACTTGTTTTGTTTTTTCCACTAAAAAAAAAACTAATTTAATTATTGGATGTGCGTTGTGTGATGAGTTTTGACTTTATCACTGATATTTTATAAATTATGATTGATATGAATATATTTTTCGAAAATATAAAACAATTTATAATTTAAGAAAACATACTAAAATAAAATATATTATTCTGTTTATTCTAACTTTAATAATCTACTACGAGTAAAACTCTTTGATTTATTGTTATGTTATTGTTTGAGAAAAAAAAAAATCAAACAAAAAAAAAAAAACAGAAGATAGTGAGAGAAAAAAAAACAAAAAAAAAAAAACTTTGTGCACACAGCGCTCAAAGTTGATTGGCATCGCAAAAAACAATCAAAAACAAAAAAATCATAAATATAATGGGAGTAGCGTGAGGGCGTGTGTGGTTTTTTTAAATTTGCAAAAAATCAAAAAAAAAATAAAATAAAATTGAAATTAATCAAAAATTAAACCCTTAACAAAAAAAAAAAAAAAAGATTTTATTCAAAAATTAATGTCGAGCAAATTAATTGAGAAAGTGTTTTTTTTTTTAGGGCAGATGCAAAGACAAATCGAGATATTAAATAATAATAAAAAAATAAAAAAAAAATATTGAATGGTGTGAAAGTGAGTAAATCACAATTTTTTTTTCTTTTGTGATAGTGCCGTATCGATCCAAGCCAAAACAACAAAATAACTCCTACACTTGATCTAAACAACATTACACACATAGAATAAATAAAAGAGTTGGGTATGGAAACTATGACCACACAAGTTTTCAAAGTAACAAAATTTGTACTAAACAACATTGGTGTGATTAATGAGGAAAGGTTGGATTTATAGATTTTTAGGTTTTTAAAAAAAAAAAAAAAAAAAAAAAAAAAACAATGTAAAATTCGATGACTACACATATAAAATTTAAAGGTGTTACATCTTGGTTATTAATGATTGAATATTAGATTTTGGATTAAACAGTTCGATTTATCAATTTCGGAATGATTTAATATCAAGTTTATTTGAATTTTGGTAATTCAAGACAATGTCTGACAAAAATGGTGTTGCATGATTTGGTATGAATATTTACTTACTTATTTTCACTCTCATTTTCATCAACTGGAGAACTCCAATTACTATTTATAAAACTATAAGAGTTTGTATTATTATTATTATTATTATTATTATTATTATTATTATTATTACTATTACTATTATTATTATTTCTATTTTGTTGTTGATAAAATGAATTATTATTATTATTGTTATTCATCTTATTCACTATTATTTAAATATAAAAAAAAATAAAATCCAATCAAAATAATAACTTTGTTTAAGGATTTCTAGTGTAAAATTGTATATTAACTACTTGTATTGGTACTTTTATAGTATGATATTATTATTACTAACTACAGAATTATTATTATTAAATTTATATATAAATCTTTTCACTATCTCTGATTGGTGGATTAGATTTTTTGAAATGTTTAAAATTATTATTTCTTCTATTTATGAACATGACCACATTGAACTCAAAAAATGCCAAAGTCGAATAATTATTAGAGTATTAATAATATCCGTAAATTGTCAAATTTATAGAAAATCTATCTCCTATGATTATTATTTCTAATATTCTATAATTGTGATTTTAGCTGTTGTGAAAGTGTTTGATACTGATGAAACCAAATTTTATGAATATTAAAGATGATAGTTGGTTGATGGATGTTAAATCAAAAGTGCCAATATTTCTATTTTCTGATATTTAACTATTTTAATATTTCAATCAAATTAATAAAATAAAAGAGATGAGTTAATAATCAACTTTAATTATTTGTTTGGTTTATTATGGTTATTATTATTATTATCTGGTTGTCTTTTTATTTGGTATCAAAGTTTGATGATAAAACTACATTGTTGGTTGTATTTTAAATTTGTTTGATTTGTTGTATTTTTTATTTGGTTAGTTGTTGTTGTTATTGTTGAATATTATTTGTCTTTTAGTGATGTGTATGGTATTTTTGTAATTAATAGTTTGGATCGATGTTTGTTTGTTTGAAAGTGATGTGAACAAAGGTTGTTGTTATATATGATGAAGTAGAAGAATGAAGAAAAGAAGCAAAAGAATATGCAATTTAGAGTGTGGCTAGTTTCACTCCACTTGTTAAAACAAAGAAAAACACATGTAAAACTAAACACCAGGTATTTTTAACTTTTTAGATGATCATCTAAATTGTGGTGGTATTGATTGGGGGGTATGTATGTTTAGTGTGAATAAGTTGTGGGTAGGGGACTAACTAACTCACTCAATACTATCTATTTATGTGACAAATGTCCGGTTATGGAATAGCGATTTAACTTAGATAGTGCCTTTAGAAAGTAACAAACATTAACCAATTTTGAGTATTTTTAAATAGTATTATTTAGTTGTTGCTCTTTTTGTTGTACATGTTTAGTTAGTTATTGTTGTGAGTTAGTGTGAGTGTGTTTGTAGTGAGTTTTTAGGTGTGGTCGTTAAACAGATGAATGGTTATACTTTAATATTGGTTTTTTATTATTCAATCAGATGATCAAAATGATTTATTTTTATTATTATTTTACAGTGACAGAATATTTGATGCTGATAAAAGTAGTTAGGGTAGGAATTACCAAAGCAATATAATCTTGAATTTGATTTAGTGGTCTTGTGGGTATGTTAAAAATATGTGTTTTAGCGAGTGTGAAAAAATAGCAATTGCTTGATTTTAACTTTTACAATGGGGTAGTAGGATAGTTTAACTAATATATATTTTTATACAAATTTCTATTTTATTATTTCATGACACAAAAAAAGAATATTAAATTTCATAAATAAAAGATAAATAAAGTACTGAACAGGATGATTTTAAATTGTTTGAAATAATGTGGTTTAACATACTTATTATTTCTTTTTGAATTTTTTGATATCTTTAGGTCTTACTATTTTAAAAAAAAAATTTACTAAAATATAACTTGTAGGAAATTTTTTTAAAATGAAAAATGTAATTTGATTGTATATTTGGCGATGGTTCGTTTGGATATCAATTGATCTTAATATTATTTTTTTTAAAAAAAAATTATTATTTTCAACTAAAACTATGTTGTGGTTTATAGTACTGTTTTAAAATAAATGTGATATATATGTTTTTTTTTTCTTGTTGTTTTGATCTAGTAGGTTAACTAAGATTGAAAGTATCAAAATAAAAAAAAAAAAAAAGATGAGTTGAGTGTTACAATATAGTCTTTTTATTGAACCAACTATACAAATATTAATCTAAGTTTTGCAAGTTTTAAAAAACTACAAACAATCTTAAAAAAAAAAAAAAAAAAACTATTTTTTAAAATTCGTTGATACCAATACAAAAGATTGGGGTGAAATAAACACAAACACGTGACAACCCATGTGTCGATATTGATGTTGAATAATTTTGCAAAAATGATGTTTCTGAAAAAGAAGACATTTTTTTTTGAAAAAAAAAAAAAACATAACCAAAAATGTACCAAATCAATTATGTCATACCCTTTATTCCGAACCAAGTTAATGCTATTCAATACCGAATGTAAAAAAAATCAAAAAAAAAAAAAACAGGGTTGACAGATCAAGAACTCTTTTATAATAGATAGTACATCATGTATGCGTAGATGCGTATTATGTGGTTAATTTTGTTGTAGTTGTGCAGAAAGGGTTTTATGTTTCGTTTTTTTTTTTTTAAAAACACAATATTTATTGTTAACCAGGTATTTCTTTATTTATCTGATATAACTTCAATTTCATCATAACCTGATAAGATAAATTGACCATGATTCTTTATAGATTATCGATTCCCTAACATTCATATCAACAGTTATAACTCTTTTTTAGCCTTAAAAGACTAGATTATTTTTATTTTAATTTCAGTACTATTATCATTGTTGTTTTATTTTTTGTACATTTTAAAAAAAAGGTTGATAGATATTTTATTTGTTGTTGTTGTTGTTTATTTTGTTGTTTAAAGTTTAGCCTTAATATTTGAATAGTCTGCTTCGTCCAAGAAAAAGTCTATAATTAATGGGTGACCTGGTTTGTAGGCGTATTGATCGAGGTTAGTGATACCGGCACGACGTACGCACTCCTCATCGATAAAGAAGTTTCCATTGACCGATGCTTGTGGTTGTGTGAGAATCCAATAGGCAGCGTCAGCCATGATCTCTGGCTTACGACAATCATCTTTAACCTCTGGACCAGAAAGCATGGACATTGCAGCAGTGTAGATGGCGGTCTTTGGCCAGAGAGCATTGAATGCAATCGTTCCTTTGTATTCCTCTGCCATACCCAACACACACATCGACATACCATATTTTGCCATAGTATAAGCAGTGTGTCCTTTGAACCATCTCTTATTCATATTCAAAGGTGGTGAAATGTTCAAAACATGTGGGTTCGATGATTTCAAAAGATATGGTAAACATTTTTGAGTTGTCAAGAATGTACCTCTTGTATTAATACCCATCTAAAATAAAAAAATAAAATAAAAACAAAACATAGTGATTAGTTTAATGTACAAAGATACTAATATATATATATATATATATATATATATGTGGTGGGTGATATAAATATATTTACCATTAAATCGAATTTCTTTGATGTTGTATCAAGTGTACCGGTGAGATTGATAGCACTGGCATTGTTGATGAGAATGTCGATACCACCAAATCTCTCTACACCCTTACGAACAGCATCTTCAATTTGTTGTTCGCTTCTGATGTCGCATACGCATGGCAAGCATTTTCCACCGGCAGCTTCGATTTCTTTTGCAGCCGAAAAGATAGTACCCGGTAGCTTTGGATTTGGGTCTGATGTCTTGGCAGCAATGATGATATTAGCTCCGTCTTTAGCTGCACGCAATGCAATCTCTTTGCCAATACCTCTAGATGCACCAGTAATAAAAATAGTCTTTCCTTTTAATGACATTATTTTAGTTTTTTTTTTAAAAAATTATTATTATATATAGAATATTACAAAAAAAAATAAATAAATAATGTTTATATAAATCAATGTACAATAAAAAAAATAAATAATATTAAACACTCATTAGTGTACACACCAAATTTTTTATCTTTTTCATTCAATTTAATAAAAAAATTGAAAAATTCATTCACCATATGATCGAAATTGAATTCCTTTTTAGGAAATCAATCAACTCGAAATTAAATAAATTTAAAAAGATTTCTTAAACTAAAGGTTTATCTGAACTTTTATAACAAAGATTTTGATTTATTAATTCATAAAATAAAGTTTGTTTTATATGAAGTTCTTAAAATATTTTAAATATGATTTATTTCTTCTGTTTCTTAGGTGGGTAAATATCTTGTTCATTTCTATTTTTCGATCTATTGGAAGACCATAAGAGACAATAAGAATACTAAGACTTAAATATTTTTTTTTTTTTTTTTAATTTACATATCCTAAAGGGTGATGTCAATAATTTCCTTTTTTGATCCATTTTATATAACATGAAAGTTTATTAAACTTTTTTCTGTTTTTCGAAAATACTTAAGAGAATAATTAAAATATCTCTAAAAAATTTGGTCATCCAACTTGTCTAGATAATTATCTATAACTAATCAATTCATTTTGCCAAAGCTTTATTTATAAATTAAAGTAAAGATATTATTCTGTTTCATCCGATAGAGTTTAATAGTAATTCTCTAATTGCTCCATCATAACTCTCCCTCATAAATACATTAAAAAATTACAATTTTAGTCAAAAGTGACTGATAATTCCATCAGAGGTACAAAATAATTCCTATACCTATTTGCCTGTTAATGAGTTGGAGGTGATCTCGTGATTATAACACTGTTGATAAAAGGTTCATAAAATTGAAGCACATTGATATTCAACTCAATACTGAAAGGTGTAAATACTTAACAATGGTATTTAGTAACCATTCATACATCTAGATTTTGATTATTAGAGAATTGGTTATAACCAATCAGTGATCGATACTTTGTGGTTTGTGTTGGTGGTTTTTTGGAATTTGGATTGTCACACTTTATTGTTTTTGTGTGTATATGTGTGATGTATTGCTGATAATGATTAATGTTTGGGTGGTGAGAAGTTGGGAAATTAATACTATAAAAAAAAACAAAAAAAAAAAAGTACATAAAGAAGTAAAAAAAGAGGGAGTCAGCTGCTATAGATAACATACTTTAATCACCTAACCACAACCACACCATATCAAACCTCACGCAATAGCTAAAACCATCATACTTGATGACCAATAGAATTTATGAATATTTTTATGATCTAACTAACAACACTTGTTGTTGAAGAGCTCTTCTTCTATTATTGTTATTGATTTTTATTTACTTTTATTTATTTATATTCAGTTCTACATTCTTTTTTTGTCCAAAATTAAAATTCTTTTTATTAGGAAAAAAAATAAAGATTTTCTGTTTCTAGAGAATAAATCATTTTTTTTTTTAGCTCTATTTTTGTTTTATTTTTTTTGTTTTTGCAAACAATCCATCCTATTTTTGCTTGTTTTTTTTAATTGGCTACTAAATCAAGATTTACCATATCTAAAATTAACATTCATATAACCTCGTCCATTAATTAGCTTTGTTAACAAACCAACCAATCAAATTAAATCAAAACACTATTTTTGTTGTCTTGCACACAATCTTGTAATACTATAAGATTAGATTTCTTTTTTTTATTTTTATTTTTAATCATCCCAGTTTACATATATATCAAGATTCCAACGATTAAATACTCTTTACTTTCTATACACATATATAAATAAAAAATAAAATAAAAATGAAAGAAGATTTACTCCGACAATTAAATAATATTAATAATTCTAATAGTTGTAATAATAGTAGTTATAATTTAAATAGTAGTGGTGTATCATCTATTACATCAACATCATCAAATGATTTAAGTAGTTTCAACAACTTCAAGGGTTGTAGTATTTGTAAATGTCCACATCATCAACAACAGCAATTACAAGAACAACATTTACAACTACAACAAGCATTGTATAATAATAAAAATAATGAATCATTAGTTAAACTGAATGTAGGCGGTCAAAGATTTATTACAACAAGAGATACACTACTGTCGAAAGGCGAAAACTTCTTTTCATCTCTATTAAATGGATGTATTCCATCTTTTAAAGATGAAAAAGGTTATATATTTATAGATAGAAATGGTCGTTACTTTAATGTATGTTAAAATGAATAATAATAATAATAAAAATAATTGAGCAATCTAAATAATTAACAATATTAATAATAATTTTTTTTTTTTTTAAAAAAAGTTCATTTTAGAATATTTAAGAACAGGATTTGTAGATATATCTCAAGATATAAAGATAGAAGCAATCTTTAGAGAAGCAGATTTCTATTGTATACATGGATTCCAATTGCAATGGTTAGCACAACAACTACATAAGAGTGCTGCAGTCAGTAGAGCTGCCAGTAGCAGTCGAATGATTGAAAAAGACAATAATGAAGATGATGAGACCAACGTTGTAAACAATGTAGTAAATATAATCAACGATGTAAATAATCACCATGTAAATCACCACACCAACACAACCGTTCGAAGAAGACAACTTTCAAATCAAGACTTACGATGGTCTTTGGGTGCACTAGTTGAAAGATTATTAAAAATTTGATAACATCGTACATCAACCAATTAAATTTATGTAGATTCTATTTATTTATTACGATTGTTTAACATTTATAACAATAAAATTCAATAATCAATCAATCAATTAGTAGTATTATTATTAATAATGATGTGATGATGATGATAATAATACCAAAGATAATTTAAATTACATTTATATTTGTATTTTATTAATTTATTCTATTGCCTAAAAGAAATATGGTGCAACAAAGTATCTAATACCAAAACCAGCGGCACAACATAAACCCTGGAACGCTAATAATGTCAAACAAAGACGTTTCTCTGTCATTGGTCCAAAAATCATAAGACATAAATTGATGATTGTCAAGTTGGTTGGGATTGCTTCCATTTTACCTGTTGATGCATTGAATCTTGGTACTCTATGTCTTGGACATGGAATCAATCCAAAAAGTTGTGGTACACTATACAAGAAATTTAGAATCTATTGTCGTTGATTTTGAATATTTTGTTAATAACCATCATTATGCAAATATCTATCATAGTCGACTTACTTGTGGGATAAAGAATAATAATAAGGTTTTACTGAAATGGCAGAGAATTGCAACCACTGCAAAACACATTCCGGCAAAATAGGTGTAGGTGTCACCAACAAACACTCTTGATGGATACCAGTTGTACATGAGCAGTGCGAATGTTGTGAAAAGGAACGGTACCATAAGTACGAGCGATAGTAAGTGTGGCGAAGTTGGGAGGAGTGTTGCATTGAGAACTCCACTGGCTACCGACGATGAGTAGTGTAACTTCAACTCTACGAGATTGTGAATGATGATGGCAGTGGCGATCACTGCACTCTGTCCGACCTCCAATCCGTTGATACCAGCTAGAATATTAATAGAGTTGGTACAAAAGATGGCCAACATCAAGAGATAGATACGATAGAAGATGCCTAGGTCAACCACCTGTCCGAGGAAAGCACGCAAATTGATTGGGTAGTTGATGTCTGGAACCACTACAGAGGTACCACCTGCATATGCTACCAACAATGGTAATGATGCAAACAACGGGAGAATTAACTTGTATCTCCAACGAAGATTTAATACATCATCACTGAATCCCAATAGAATCATAAAGCAAATCGATGTTAATGCTGCATTAAATTCACTCAACTTGAATTTGATTAGAAACTATAGATCATCATCATCATCACCACTATTACTCGGTAAACCAAAATATTTATACATACTTGAATAGCCTCTGGGAATGAAAACCATTGGAAAAGTTGGAATAAAATAACACAAACCAAGAATACAACTGAAGTTGCAATACCAAGACTTTCTGGACTAGAAACGATATGAATAGGTAAGAATTAACGATTACATGTGTGATTGATCATCTCATTATTTTTGTGTGCTTACATTTTTTTTCCCGAGTATTTTGCATCACCCTTCTTATTGAGATCCATTCCGGCAAGTCCAGCAGTCGATGTCAATTCTGCAACACTCGGAATCAATCTGTAGGTCAAAACACCTGCGCCTATCGATAGTATTGAGAGTTGTACAATGATCCATTGAAGTGACAATGATGGTAATGTTGTCATATAGAGTGTAGGTGGAATTACACAACTCAAAATGAATACAAGTAATCCTTTATCCATTTTTTTTTTATTTTTTACTATTCTATCTTATTCTCTCTTATATATGCTGAATATTATAATAATAGTTTTGTTTAATTTAAAAAAAAAAAAAGACTTGATCTTTGATTTCAATAAACCCCATTTATTATCATAATTTTTTTTAAGCTGACTTGTCTTCAAAAAAAAAAAAAAAAAATTTTTAAAAAAAAAATTGACACTTCTGAGTCATTAAATTGGTCAATATTATGACTCAATTCCTTTATTCATTGATAATTGATTATAACAACAAAAATCTATTGAATGAATCATTTATCCAATAAAAACATAAATTACCCTTTCGATGATTCATTTAGAAACTGTTATGTGAATTTAATAAATATTATTATAAAAAATTTAAAATTTTATTTAAATTGTTCGGACAATTTTATTTATTTATTTTTGTACAATTTTATTTTTAGTAGATCTTTGGAACTCTTCTTCCTTTCTTTGCGAAATCAAATCTAGATGATTCTAGTCCACCCGATGTGTAACCAGTGGTTTGTCCTGAAGTGGCACCTGAGGTTTGACCAGTGGTTTGTCCTGAAGTTGCAGAGGTAGCTGAAGTTTGACCTGAAGTTTGACCAGTTGATTGTCCAGAGGTTTGACCTGAAGTTTGACCTGAAGTTTGACCTGAAGTTTGACCTGAAGTTTGACCAGTTGATTGTCCAGAGGTTTGACCGGTCGATCCAGAAGTTTGACCAGTTGATTGTCCAGAGGTTTGACCGGAAGTTTGACCAGTGGTCTGTCCAGAGGTTTGACCGGAAGTTTGACCAGAGGTCTGTCCAGAAGTTTGTCCAGTAGTTTGTCCAGAGGTACCGGATTGAGTGGTTGAACCTGATTGGGTAGTGAAACCAGTACCAGAGGTGGTGGTACCAGATGATCCTGATTGTGATCCAGTTCCAGATTGAGTAGTTGAGCCTGATGTACCGGATTGAGTGGTTGTTCCAGATCCTGATGTACCGGATTGGGTGGTACCGGAACTAGATGTAGACTTTCCTGATGATCCACCCGATGACTTTCCTGAAGATCCACCTGAAGATCCACCTGATGATTTACCTGATGATCCACCCGATGATTTACCTGATGATCCACCTGAGGATCCACCTGATGTCTTACCTGAGGATGAACCACCGGTGGTGGCTGGACCAGTAGTGCTATGTGTAGCAGCTGGACCAGTAGTGCTGTGAGTGGCAGCTGGACCAGTAGTGCTATGTGTAGCAGCTGGACCAGTTGTGCTGTGAGTAGCGGCTGGACCAGTAGTGGTATGTGTAGCTGCTGGACCGGTAGTGGTGTGGGTGGTCGCTGGACCAGTGGTGGTATGAGTTGTTGCTGGACCGGTAGTGGTGTGAGTGGATGTAGTTGAACCGGTAGTGGTTGGTTTAGGGAAAGCAACATAAATAGTCATTGCAGCGAAAACACCCTTGATTGGCTTTGTATTATTATATACAGCAATGGTGGTGTAAGATTGTCCTTTGACCAATGAAACAATCGAAGAACATGGGGTCATTGCAAAGAGAAGTCCATTTTGATAGACTGGATTTGATACGCACAAAACTTGGTTGGTTGGACTTACCAAACTTACGTTGAGAACACCAGTTGATGCGGATGTCAAAAAGTAAGCGGCATCAACAGTCGATTGCCAGGTGACACTTGCCTTTTGTACAAACAATCCACCAGTACCTGGAACATTGAAAGAGGTTGAGTTTGCAGTGGCCGAAGTGGATGTACGAATCAATGGCAAACTTGCTGAAGATTGTGGAGAGAACTTCAAGTAGTAAGAGACTGAGACATTTTGGATATCTCTGGCAGTGGAGAAGTAGGAGAGAGTCAACGAAGCATTAGAGTTGGCTGGGATGGAGATAACGTATGGTGATGGGAAAACCATTGGTTGGGCAATGTTTGAGAGTGTGAATGATACAATCTTTCTAGTGGATGGTTTATTTACTGTGATATCAACAGCCAATACCTTGAGGTATTCACGTTCGTATTGTTTGGCGCTGGTTTCATTGAGGAACATAACTTGAACACCTGTAATCTCATAAGATCCCTTAGGCATTGGGATATTATTGAAAGTGGTAGTTACAACTTTTCCATTTACGACTGGACCTGCTTTTATTTTATAGTTAAATGTTTGTCCACACTATAAGAAGTTATATTAGATTAATGTTTGAACGAAAAAAAATATATATAAAGAATTAATGTGGAAACATACTGCAACAGAAACTAAAAGTAAAATAGCTAATAATGTTAATTTCAACATTGTTTTCTATTTTTAATATAAATAATATAAGATTATCTGATTTGAATGAAAGTTTGTAAAAAGAAACAGAGAAGAAGTTTTACGATCAAGGATATCGAAATTATTATCAATTTTTTCTATTTTTTTTCAAAAAAAAAAAAAATCTAAAAAAGATTTGTGTAAAACCACCTTAAAAAAATCAATAGAAAGTTCTAACGAAAAAAAAAAGATATTTACGAAAAAAATGTAAAAAAAAAAACTCCGTGGGTGGAGATCTGATTGGAATTATTCACATGAATTTCTTTCCAAGCTTAAATTTTGCTGTTTCTTTGGGATTTTTTTTTCGCATCTTAAAGCCTATCAACAAAAGTGAGGAGAATATTTAGAAAAAATATTTTTTTATTTTATTTTATTTTTTTGTATTTGTTTACTTTCTTTATCTGTAGACATTTTTAGACGTTAATTGTTAGTTTTCGATTAATACTTAACCTCCTTTTAAGGTGATTGATGAACGAATATAAATGGCCTAGCAGTGAAGACTGGGGCAAACTTGCAAATATGTAGTTACTTAGTTTATCTGTAGACATTTTAAACCTTAATCTATTATCAAAGCTTTTTAACATCAGGATCAAAAGCCGTATATCGGTTTGCGACCACCTGATGACCGGAGCTTTTTTAGTCGTATATCGATTAACAAATCACTCCTTTTTAAAGCTCCGTTACTATGCATGCCATTCTATAGCTCCGTTACTATTCTAGTTTCTCCATAGCTCCGTTGCTATGCCTGTCGCACCATAGTTGATTGTGGTATACATCAACTCCCAACCTGATGACTCTGAGAGTCCAAGCTGTTTTTCCCAACTCAGAAACACAACATTCTAAAAAAAATAAAATAAAAAAATGTTCCCATACCATAAATCACTCAAAATTGAAATTTTTCCAGACACCCCCGTGTCTTAACGAAAGTCTGAACTTTTCCTTTCCATTCATTCGATTTTGCAGATACATTGCAAAAGCAAACATGGATTGAAGTTGTTTGTATAACGTCTTATTACAATTTCTAGTTTATATTTATTTTTATTTTTTTAAACCAATTTAGTTCCGCACTTTGTGCAAAATTTACTTTCTGGTTTTGCTTCTACTCTACAACTTGTACATTTCTTTGGACCAGTATTTCCACCTACAGATTGAATATATTGTTCTGATGGTGCTATAGTTGTGATGTATTATATATTTAGTGATGCTTGATTCGAATGTTTATCAACCAACTGTTTATTTAACTAACTTACCCAATGGGTATTTGTGTTTAACGTTATCTTGTGGATTACAGAAAATTTGTTCATGGATTGCAAATACTTTTGGGGCTGCAGCTTGTTCCTCTTTGATCAAGTTACCATAGCAAATCATGTGATAATCCTTTTTTTTTTTTTTTATAGTATGATTTTTTAAAAAAAAAAAAAGTTGGTCAGATAATTTGATGTTTTGTTACCTCATTCTCTCATCTCTCTCTTTCTACTGCTCAGCCAAACCACTACTCTTCACAAATCATGATTATAAACTACCATACCACTCCCTTGTAGAACTGACGTTCAGCAAAATAGACTTTTTTATTGCAATATGGACAAACAGCAGGTGCTCCAACAGTTGACATTCTCTCTCTTTTATAACTTGTGAAAATAATAAATAAATAACAAAAATGTAAATTAAAAAAGTTTAAATAATTTCGAAAAAATTCTCTTAAAAACAAAAATGGATCAATTTTTTTGGGTTTGAAAATTTTTTTTTTGAAAATTGTTATTTTTATTTTTTAATTTTTTTTTGGGTATTATCTAACAATCAAAAAATTATTATTTATCTTTTATGAAAACATGGTGAAACAATTATTTAATTAAATATTGTTAATAAATACGATTCTGTTTATTCAAAAAAAAATATATAATTTTTTGAGGTTACTAAAGACTGTATTTTTTTTTTTGCATTTTCTAAAAATAATTTTTTTTTTTAGATTTGGGTTAAAAGGTATAATATTTTTTGTCAAAAAAAACTAAAAACCACAAAACACCCATTTTTTCGGATAAAAAAATCCATTTGACAAAGTTAGTTGATGTTGACTTTGTTGCTTGTTTTTATCATAATTGGATGGTGTGGTAATCAAATATAAATAATTTTGTTTGAAAATAATTTTTTTATTTAATTTTTTTTGGTTTTTGGTTTTTTTTTTTTGTTTTCCTTTTTCTTTTTGGCCATAGTACTGTGAATTGATTGCTCTGACTCTTTAGTTTTTATATCTTTGTTTGCATTTCAACATCACATACTCACACATTTTGAAAATCGAACTAATAACAATCAATAATAATCCATTGTTATCAACAGTGTAACTGTAATTGTATTTTCGAATTTATTTATTGTTAAGTCAGCTACAAAAAAAAAAAGCAGACAAAATAAAAATATTTTAATTTTTTTTAAAAAAAGGTAATAGAATAATAACAATTATTAATCAAATTCAGATACAACAGCAAATAGATAAAGAAGGAATTGTCTAATTTCAGCACAAACTTCAACAGCAGGATCAAAACAAAAATATCAACCCCAAAAAAAAAAAAAAAAAATTTCATTTTTCATATTTTTTTAATTCTTGCAGCATTGTAAATTTTTGGATTGATGATCACGATAACTACTTATACTGCTCAAAAGAAAAATAAAAAGATCAATTAAAGATAGATAGAAAGATATATAATTGTTTTTTTTATCATATAATATTTTGGTTTAAAAAAAAAAAAAAAAAGTAACAAGTCTTAAACGAAAAAAATTCACAAACAAACACAATTAATTTTATTGAATTACCCATATCTCAATCAAACCCATTTCCAACAACCATTATAATATCAAATAAAAAATAATAAAAATAATCAAAATAAAAAAAATTAATTTGAATGATCATCATTGGTAAATTAATGATAATGTGTTCATTCAATTTAATTAATTAAATAAATAATAAAAAATATTTTAAATAGTTAATAAATACTAACATTTTGAATTATCTTAGTTTATAATATAGTATTTATTTGTATCATTAGAAAAAAAAAACAAAAAAAAAAACAATAATAATTTATTTCAACAAATTGTACATCAATCCCCAACCAAATAAAATCAACTTAATTTATAGAAATCAGTAGTATTAGAACTTAAGGGCTAGTAGAATAGTAATAACAGAAAGCAACAATGGTATGTAATTTAACAACAACCGTTTCAAATTGATCAACAGTTAATTAACTATCTTTATTTTTTAGTCTAAAAAAGTACAAGCCAAGCAAGGTACAGATGATCTTGTTATGCTTCCAAAGATCTCTGAAGAGGAGATCGTTGAAAATTTAAAGAAGCGTTATATGAATGATTTCATTTATGTAAGTTGTTGTAATAATCAGTTCAATTAACATAAAATATTAATAATAAAAATATTTTTTATTTATTTTATTATAGACAAATATTGGACCTGTATTGATTTCAGTAAATCCATTTAGAAATTTGAATAATACAGGTGATGATTATGTCGAAGCTTATAGAGGTAAACATGCACAGGAAGTCCCACCACATATTTATCAGTTGGCAGAGTCCTCCTATCGTGCAATGAAGAACGACCAGGAGAATCAATGTGTAATTATCTCTGGTGAGTCTGGTGCCGGTAAGACAGAGGCAGCCAAAATGATTATGAACTATATTTCCAAGGTATCTGGTGGAACTGAGAAGGTAGAGTATGTCAAACACGTTATTCTCGGATCGAATCCATTGCTAGAGGCATTCGGTAATGCCAAGACACTGCGTAACAACAACTCGTCGCGTTTCGGAAAGTATTTTGAAATTCAATTCGATAAGGCCGGTGATCCAGTCGGTGGTAAGATTTATAATTACCTGCTGGAAAAGTCAAGAGTCGTATTCCAGAATCCAGGAGAGCGTAATTTCCATATTTTCTACCAATTGTTGGCCGGTGCCTCCGCACAGGAGAAGCGTGACTTTGTACTGTCCACTCCAGATTCATTCTACTATCTCAACCAATCAGAGTGTTATACAGTAGATGGTGTAGATGATGCTGCCGACTACCGTGAAGTTCGTGACGCCATGAAAGTCATTGGTTTGTCTGACGAGGAGCAAAGCATCTTGATGCGTATTGTGGCATGTGTTCTACATATTGGAAATATCTATTTCATCGAGGACGACAAGGGAAATGCCGCCATCTACGATCCCAACGCCTTGGATTTGGCTGCCAGTATGTTGTGTATTGATTCGGCCACTCTCCAGAATGCCATTCTCTTCCGTGTCATCAATACCGGTGGTGCTGGTGGTGGATCTGGTAATCGTCGTTCCACCTATAATGTGCCACAAAACGTAGAGCAAGCAAACGGTGCTCGTGATGCTCTGGCACGTACAATCTATGACCGTATGTTCACCTGGTTGGTTGAGCGTGTCAACATAGCTCTTTCCTACTACCAAACACCGTTCAAGAATGTCATTGGTATTCTTGATATTTTCGGATTTGAAATTTTCGAAAAGAATGGATTCGAACAATTCTGTATCAACTTTGTAAATGAGAAACTCCAACAATACTTTATTGAACTGACATTGAAGGCCGAACAAGAAGAGTATGTCCGTGAAGGTATCAAATGGGAGCCAATTAAATATTTCAACAATCAAATCGTGTGTGATTTGATCGAGGGTAAAGCGCCACCAGGTATCTTCTCATTGCTCGACGATATTTGTTATACTATACATGCACAGTCGAGTGGAACTGACCAGAAGTTCTTGGAAAAGATGGCCGGTGTCTTTGATGGACATCTTCACTGGCGTGCTATGACCGGTGCATTTGCTGTGAAGCACTATGCCGGTGAGGTGACTTACGAAGCCGAAGGTTTCTCCGATAAGAATAAGGATACTTTGTTCAGTGATCTGATCGAAGCCGTCCAGACCAGTAAAATGACTTTTCTCACACAGTTGTTCAACGACGACACCACTTCGTCACTCCAAAAGAAGCGTCCAACAACCGCTGGTTTCAAGATTAAGAACTCTGCTGCCGACCTTATGAAGGCTCTCTCCCAGTGTACTCCACATTACATCCGTTGTATCAAGCCAAACGAAACAAAGAAAGCCAAAGACTGGGAAGGTAGTCGTGTACGTCATCAAGTCCAATATTTGGGTCTTTTAGAAAATGTTCGTGTACGTCGTGCCGGTTTCGCATACCGTGCACCATTCGAGCGTTTCTTGCGTCGTTACAAGAAACTCTCTCCCAAGACCTGGGGACTTTGGGGTGAGTGGAAAGGTGATCCAAAAGAGGGTGCCAGAACCATCTGTCAAGACCTCGGTCTTGATCCAAGCCAATGGCAAATGGGTCAAACCAAAATTTTCATTCGTCACCCAGAGACTGTTTTCCACTTGGAAGAATCTCTCGATCGTAAGGACACCGAGTGCATCATGAAGATCCAAAAAGCCTTTAGAAACTGGAAGGCCAAGAAGCACTCATTGGAGCAACGTGCCCAAATCGCAGATATCTTTAAGAACAAGAAGGAGCGTCAACGTAACTCTATCGATCGTAAATTCACTATGGATTACATTGATTTCGATAATCAATTCCCAATTCAAGAGGCAATGGAAAACGCACACAAGAAGGAGCGTATTATTTTCGCCGACCACGTCGTAAAGGTTGACCGTCGTGCCAAGACCAAGCCATTGACTCTAGTCGTGTCGGAGCAAGCCATCTACTTTGTCGAGAAAACCATCAAAAAGAAGATCGAAACATTTACATTGCTTCGTAGAATTCAAATTAGAGACATTAGATCGATTTCCGTCTCTACATTGGCCGATAACTACATTGTTTTGGGATTGCCAGAGTTTGACCAAGTCATTGAGAACGACAAGAAGACCGAGTTGCTCATCAATATCATTGAAAACTACAAGATTCTCACTGGTTCCGCTTTGAATATCAATTTCTCTGACAATATCAATTACACATTGAAGAAGGGAGAGCAACGTACAATGACTTTTGCCAAGAACGAGCAAGCTCAACCAATTCCTATTCTCAAGAAGGGTGGAAAGGGTCCAGCTGTTGGTGTTGCCACCGGACTTCCAAGTTCCACAGACTCCACACCAAAGAACTACAATCCAAATTCAATGGCCCAAGCTCAAGTACGTCCACCACAAGCCGGACGTGGAAGAGGTGGAATGCCACAACAAAATGGAGGTGGAATGCCACAACAACAACAACAACAGGCACCAAGACAAATGCCAGTTCCACAAGGAGGTGGAATGCAACAACAGGCACCAAGACAAATGCCAGCTCCACAAATGGGTGGTGGAATGCCACAAGGTGGAGGTAGAGGAGCACCAATGGGTGCTGGTAGAGGAGCACCTGTAGGTGGTGGAGGAAGAGGAGCACCAATGGGAGGTGGTGCACCAGCCGGTGGAGGTCAAATGCGTCCACCACAACCAAAGCCAGCTGCTCCACAGAGACCAACTGTCAAAGCTTTGTACGACTATGATGCCGCCAGTCAAGACGAACTTTCATTCAAAGAGGGTGACCAAATTGTCATCATCCAAAAGGATAATGGTGGATGGTGGGAAGGTGAACTCAGAGGAAAGAAGGGTTGGGTACCAGCCAACTACGTCAGTGGTTAAACTAATCAAATCATTTATTTAAAATAAAATAAAATAAAATAAAAATGAAAAAAAATAAATTATAATTATTTTGAAATTAAAATCAAAGTAAATTTGCTCAATAATAATAATATTAATAATGTATAATCATAATAATAATGTATAATAATAATAAAATGATAGACTTATTAGATTTACCTAATATATTGATTGCAAAAATATTTAAATATTTATGTTCAAATTATTGTAATATCGATTATTTGTTTGGTTCATCTTTTATGTTTAGAAATTCTGTAGTATCATTGGAGTACACTAACAATGTACTGATAAGATATTCACTTCTGTCACATAGGTTTGCCAGTTCCATTATACCGCTGGTCACAACTTTGTTGAACCTCTACATTTACAATCAATCAGATTATCGTCTGACAGTACAACTCAGCCAAAGAGGTTTAACAACATTATTCACATGTAAACCAATCAACTTTTTATTCATTTATTTCAACTATAAAGGAATAGATAATAATCAATCAATAGATGATACAACTATTAAATTATCAACAATTAATATTCGTGCTGGACCATTATTATATTCAATTCTAAGAGATAAAGTTACACCTACAACCATTCAAGAGATGACAATCAACTTTGAAGATAATCAAAATCCATCGACACTCGAATATCTAAAAGACTATCTTAATATCGACACTCTTCCTAATTTAACTTGTCTGTATCTTAATTGCCACCACAGATTAGAGTTTATCGATGATCTGTTATCATCTCTACTGAATGGCAACAGACAAACAATATTCAATCAACTAGAATGCTTCAGTTTAAATTCTAATATTGAAAAGTCAACTTTACAATCATTGTTAGAATCTATGGGATCTACTTTGGTATCTTTGTCATTAGAGTCTCTTGGTGGGTTCGATTTAATCGTTGATTTCTTGTATCAAAAGAAAAGTCTACCACTCAAACATCTAAGGTTGATAGATATCAGTGATATGACATACGCAAACACCACAAGACTACTACAGTGTTCAAATGTAAAGTTGAAATCATTCACAACTGACCTATTCAATGTTGAATATAGACCAGATTATTTCACAAACAACAATCCACTTGTACTGCTTCAGAGATTAGAGATATTCAAACTGCCAACTATCATCAACAACAAAGAAATGCTTACTATGTTACTTAATTCAATAGTACAATGTTCACAACCACCTCTTCTTGCACATTTGGATATAAAAAAGTCGTTGTTACCCTCGGACTTTGATCTTTCATTTCTAAAGAGTTGCAAGTATCTACAACGATTGTCTGTTAATACCGGTAATCTAAAATCAGTTTTCAACAACCTGATGGGTCATCCAGTGCTAACTTCACTACAAATGGAGAATCCTGCTGATACTGTGTTTGATGAGGAGACTGCGTCTCTTCTCATTGGATTCCAATCGTCTTGTAAACGTCTCAAATACCTTTGTACTCATTTAAACTTCAACAGTAAGGTACTCACTCCAGAGTTGACCAAACGGTATATCGATAGTATCAGAGAGCATCGTACATTGAAAGGCTTTCAATATTACTTTGTTGATCTACCAATCTTAGTATCGATAGTCGAGGTATTAGTTGAACGTTCTTACGACCCCAACATTGAATTCCAGAGAATTCAGCTATTATTTGGTACACCCATTGTATTTCCAAGTGAAGAGAATGTTCTACTTGTTGATCAACTGTTTCATCATCTATCGAAACTTAAATTTAACAAACTATGGATGGGAATTAAAATCGAAGAAAATACAGTTGATAAAATAATAACAACAATAGAAGATAAAGAAAACAATAACAATAATGATAGTAATGAATATATACATGGAACCGATCCAGTTAGATTAGTCAATAGAATTATAGAGATGTTCAAAGAAAGACAGATAGATACCAGTCATTCCAGTTTCAATTTATTCAGTACGAGCCCTTACCTTGCTGAAACCGACAGTATTAATCGACTTGTTAATACTATTATTTCACAAAAGCATGTTGACCCACTACAATTCTTTGTCTTTAGATCACTATTTAAATATAAAGTAGATAGTGAAGTAATCATTCGATCTCTCTGTCCCAATATAGAAATAGACAATTCTGCATACGGCAAAGTTGTTGATCTCAATCAATCTAGAGAAGTCTCTGCTGTCATCATCGATCATAAACCAACAGGTTATAAAATTAGTTATCGGTTAAATTAATAAATTATTCCTTTTCTTTCTATTTATTTTGAACATGCTCTTTATGATGTTTATTTATCTTCTTTATGTTTAATCATATTGTTATCAACTAAATGAGGTACCTCTGCAGCTAACCATGGTGCAAGCTATAATATTAAATATATAAATAAATAAATGATTAAGTGATAATATTAATAATATTATAATACATACACCAAGTGCTAAGGCATGAGCAATACCGAAATGAGGTACATTTCTAGCCCACAATGGTTTGAAATGAACAGTTAAACAAATCTTTCCACCTCTGTACATCTTTTCTGTTTTACCTTCTAACTCTGGAATAGCAACTTCAGGGGCTGTCTCTGGATAAGTAATTGGCATCTATAATAAATATATAAATATAAATATATATATATATATATGAACAAGTTAGATCTATATTCAATTCATTATAAATTGTAAATATTACATCAAATTCTAAATCAAATTCATATTTCTTAAAGTTATAGATATACCAGCATTTACCTTGCCATCTATAGAATACAATATTATATTAATAAAGTTTGTTTAAGATAGCATATAATACGTATTGATTGGTTTATTACCTTGTACCTAGTGGATTAGATTCGATGGTGAACCAATCGTTATCAGACTGTTTATTGATCTCTACATATCTAATTAGAGCCATGTACTCTTCTTTTAAACGTTCAACCCATTTATCACCATCACGTGGACCTGCACGTGTTGTCAATAAAGGTATCTTTGCAACTGTTTGTTTTGTACCATCATCCATCTTTGTTATAATATAAATTAAAAAAAAAAAAAAAAAAAAAAAAAGGCGCTGATCAAATAAAAATAAAAATAAAAATTTTGATTTTAAGTAAAAACATTTATTTTTGATTAGACATACCACCAAAAAAAAGTTTACTTAATATTAAACTTCATTTTTAGTTAATTATATATTTGATAAGAAACTATCATTGATTTTTCTCAAACAGTGAACTATTCAACAATTAAATTATAAAAGAATAAATTCTAATAGTTAACTTTTCACTTTTCTATAAATATATATTTCAAGTTTGATTATCTATCAATGGGTATGTATATGCTTTTACATATGAATCCAAAAGATTTTACTAATCAATGATATAATAGCAAACTTTGTAAACTCTTACATTCTTGTAAGAAATCTTGGTAGATTGAGTTACGCAAGATGTTCAAAAGACTCTAGGTGAACGTGCCCATGAAGGAAACAATACACTACTATTGGTTGAGCATTCTTCGCCAATCTTTACCGTTTCTAATAGTGAATGTAAAGAAGGTACCAATCTCCTTAGTAAGTGAATATACTTTTCTCACTTTGATGCAACGAGTCGTAGCTTCATCTTCTTGTCACCATTTTTTTTCTTGAGATGATTCCCTGTCGGATTGGATGGGCACATTGTTACCCTTGAATACCAACTTTGGCACGCGCTTTGGAGTATTTAATATATTGGTTTTGAGTTGTTTTGCAACTTGAGAAATATCATATACAATGCAGCAATTAAAGAGCTCCTTCCAGATCCAGAGAAAGATCGTAAGGAGACACTTCGATTTCTTATTAAATACAACATTGTAAGTTTATTTTTTTATTATTTATCAATAGAAATATAATTAATATTTTTTTTTTTACAATGTTTTTAAGGCATTAATCATACCAAATAAAGAAATTAATAAATTGTTGGCAGACAATCATTTGGAAAACACAGATCCAACTGAATTGAGAGTTAATATATCTAAATCTTTGTTTATAATTCTAATTATATTTTCAGTTGGATCTGTGTTTTCCAAATGATTGTCTGCCAACAATTTCAAGTACCAAGCAATTCTAGTTTAAATTCTAAGCTATCTATCAATGTTATGCTTTACAACAACTATCAACTAAATCCAAAAAGACATTCATCTTTGTCATATTAAAAAAAGTCTGTTTGGAATGTAAATTTTTGTAAATAATATATAATCGAAGAATCAATTATTAGTTGTAATTTGTTAACTAATAAAATGTATAAAAAAATATCTTTTTATTTGTTTTCATCTGTTTATTATATGAATAAAATAAATATTATTTTAATTAATTTAATAAAACGAGCAAAACAATAATAAAAAGCAAAAGTGATGGAATCACTCTATTTGAGTTATTGATAGGGTCAGAGGTAGTTGATGATGTTGCGGTTGTTGTGGTTGGAACTTGACAACCATTTACAGTGACAGGTGTGGTTGATTGACATCCAGAGATTTCAGTGATTCTGATCAAATAATCGGCACCATTAAGATTGTTGAATGTGTATCTATTGGTATTCTTCAAGGTGGTGATCACAGAGTTATTGATGAATATAATAATTAAAGAGTTAAACTAATAATTAAGTGATGCTGTTGAAACGATGTTGATGGTTCCACATGATGGTGAGTTGATTGTTGAATTGATAATATTACTTTCAACAGTCAATAATGTTTGGAGAGCGAATTTACATGTTCCAGAGGCAACGTCTGAAACGATTGAATAGTTTCCTACACCGAGAGACAATGAATTACTAACTTGAACTCCATTCAAAGTATAGATGGCATCGGCAGCTTTAGTTCCATAGAAACTGGAAAGTACAACTGATCCATTTCTACCGGCGACACATTGATTTTTGACATTGTATGTCGTAGTGAATTCAGTTGCTTTGAGATCGAAATCAAACAAATTGGTACACAAGTAGTTGTATCTGCTGACAACAGCAATTACAATATTTCCACTATCAAGACCTTTAAAATTGAGTGTAGACATCAAAAGGGTAGTGACAGTATCTTACGTTACCATCTAATGTTGACGTATTCATTAAACAACACTGTACGAGAAAAAGGATGAATACTTTTTCTGTTCAATTAGTTTTGCTACGCAACGTGATGTGGACAAGTTGTATAACAATGGGTAGCATATACGATAATGATCGATAAAACAATCTGAAATAAACTTTAAATAAAGTGGTATAAAAAGGAAATTGAATTCTTTGACTCTCTTTTGCTTTTCTTAACTTAATGTGCTGAAGAACATATAGGATCTGTTGTCGGAACGAATAGCATCTTTTTCTGGTCCAGAGATGACAGTTTAGCGACAATTAATCGATTAAATCATTGTAGAACCCTGAAAGTGATGCAATTCCTCCACTATCTACTTCCAAAGCTCAATGCATTGAACACCTCAGTAATTATTTGGTAAATTGTTTTGTATAAATATTTTAACTACTAACTATAGTTAAAGACAAAAGAGGATCGATGATTTTATATTCTTAATCATTCATTATTTAAAACCATATCAACACACCTATTCACTCATTCAACCAATCAACCAACATCAATTGGTCTAATCTTTGATTAATTCATTAATTTTTAGAACAACTCAATTGGAGGTGTCTAATCAATTTGACTATAAAAATGGTGATCACACCTATCGATGACTTGATAGATATTATTTTTTAAAAACATTTTAGAAGCAAATAAATGATAAAATAGGTTTCATCAAAAGATAAACTATCGTTTGGTATATATTGTTATTTGTTTATTTCAAATTGATTATTAAATTCTGTAATTATTTTTTAATGTGCTTGTTAAAAGATTATAAAACTTTATTGATGAATACCATTTGGATACAACCTAAATAATAAAAGAGCAGCAAGGAAATCATAATGATTTATTAAATAATTGGCTTTTAATCATTTTTATCTAAATCTAGATTCTTAAAATTAGTTTTACATTAAAATAAAATTTAAAAACGAAACACATACCTGATTGGGTAAAAGGAGGTTTAGAGTATTTGTCTTTGGGTTCTGGTAAAATTTGGCCAATATACTGGGGTGGGTTGTATGATCTATTGGTTATTGGATGGACTAACCCTTGATCTATTGGAGAATTTGGTTTAGATGAAACCTTTGGTTTATTGAGAGCGAATCCTAGAGATTCGTCTGGATTGAACGACAGAGGTTGCTGTGAATTGACATCGTGAGGTGGTTGTGATGGTGTTATTTGTATTGGACTATAGTATGCAGGTGATGTGTTCTCCGCACTTACCCTTGAGCCAGAGGATGGTAATGGTGTTGTTGATAATGGTGTATGAGTAGGATTTGTAGGATGTGATATGGTGTGTGATGGTATTAAATAAATTGTTGAAGCTAAGGTTGGATCTCTTGGTGTTGGAGTTGAAAATGCAGGAGATACATTGTTTGTTGGTGTTGATGGTTGTGATTGGGTATTTGATTGTAAAGCTGTTGTACCAACAAGTTGATTAATAGTATTTAATCCTAAACTTGTAGATAGAGTAGAAGGAAGTACTGAGATGATTGTTGTAGATGTGACTGTTGAATGTAGTGATGATAATGATTGTTGGTTTGTACTCATTGTTGGTAAAGGACCTACTGAATTTGATTGTGTAGATATTCCTGTCGTTAAAGGGATGGGAGTAGCTGGATTTGTAGTTGAAGTTGATTTTACTATTGTATTATATGAAACTGTACTTGATTTTGAAGAAGATTGTACTTTGGGTTGTTCGAGAACAAATGAAAGTGTTTCATCTGGGTTGTAGGATACTGGTGAAGTGGAAATACCTGTGGTTGCTGGAACATATGGAGGTAAAGGTTTTTCTGTTTGGTATATAAAAGTTGTTGAGGATTGTAACAAAGTTGTAGAATATATTGCAGAAGTTTGTGAACTAGTGGTTGTAGAGATTGTTGTTACAAGATTGTCTACTTTTGGTTGTTGTGGATTTACTGTTGTTATTGGTGTCTGTGAAAGAGTTTGTTGTATTGATGATGTGGTACTTGATGTTGCGGATATTAACATAGTTGAAAATCCATAAAGTGATGACTGATCTGATTGATTTGTTCGTGAATATTAAAAAAAAATAATGTTAACATATTGAATTATGCAACAACTTTAATAATTGTTTAGTTACCTATTGGATTTGGAGAAGTCGAAGTTGTATGAGGTGAAGTGGTTTCTGAAGAAAGGGAGGGTGTCTGAGGAATTCCATTGATTGATGAATATGATAATGATTCATTAGGTTTGCCCGAAATTGATAATGCTGTTGCGGTTGTGGTTGTTGTAGGAGATATGATGGATAAGTATGGTTGTTTTGAAGTTGATGATAGTCCATTGATGGTTGACAATCCTTGTGTGTTCATCATTGATGTGGTACTTTGCATAGACTGAATTGGTGGACTGCTTTGTGAAGTCGTTCCCAATGTTGATGCAGGTGATGGTATTTTAGGTTGTTGTGGAACAAATGATAATGATTCATCTGGATTGTGTGATATTGGTGTTGAATTAGGTGATGTCGTTGAAGTTGTTGTGGAAATTCCATTTATAGATGTTGGATTGTTTGTTCCAGATGCATTTATTGTAGATGAAGGTTTGTTGGTTGTCGAATCTTGTTGGTTATTTGAAGGAGCAGTTGATGATGATGATGGTGATGTTGTTAGGTTGTTTGTTGAAGATTTAGTTGTTCCTATCATTGTACCTTTTGGTTCTGTATTTGTTGTTTGTGGAGTAACATATTCTGTTGTCGTAATTTGATTTGTTGGTGATCTTGTTGTTGCTATAACAGTAGGAGAGTTGGTTACTTCATTTGATGATTTTGGTTGTGGAGTAGATGTGGATGTGGTATCTTGTCCAACTGGAGTTGTTGTATTGGTCATTGGAGATACATTCGGGTTTGTTGTTTGACTTGAAATTTGGTTGCTTGTATGTTCACTGGTTGTTGTTGGAGGAGATATTTGTGAAGAGTTCAATGGTAGAACAGAACCTGTTGTTGGTGCATTGGATATATTTGGAGGTTTTGTTTGAGTTAATGTGGTTGTGCTTGTGGTTGTTTGTATTGGCAATGATGAATGTGTAGATTGTGCTTGTGTATTTGGTGAAGTTGTCATTTCATGTGTATTACTTCCTGTTAGATAACTTTGAGGTAAACCAGGGTTTGAATTAGGTGAAGTTGTTGGTTTGTTTGAAGTGTTTGGATTTGCTGCTGAGTTTGTTGTAGTTGTAGTTATTGGTTGGTTTGTTGGTATTTGTGTTGTTGAAGATATTGTTGTTGCAGGTGATGGTACCTTTGGTTGTTGTGGAACAAATGATAATGATTCATCTGGATTGTATGATATTGGTGTTGAAATAGATTTGGGTGGTGATGTGGATGATGTTTGTTTTGATGTTGTCGTTGAAATTCCATTTATTGAAGATGGATTTAATGTAGATGAAGGTTTGTTGGTTGTCGAAGCAATTGAATCTTGTTGGTTAATTGAGGGTGTTTTTGATGGTGAAGTTGTCAAGGAAATTGGAGAATTGGTTGTCGAATTGGATGGTATAGGTTGTTGTGGAACAATCGAAAGAGTTTCGTTTGGAATATTTGAAATTGGTGGATTTGATGACTGAGTCGATTTTGGTGACGAGGTTGTTGAAAATTCTTGCATTGTTGTTGGTGGAATATCCAAAGAACTTGAAGATGGAGCATTGGTTGTTGGATTTGTTGATTGTGGTTGTTGAGTTGCAAATGTAGTAACTTGTCCAAAATTTGGAGATGTTGTTCTAATTCCATTTGTTGGAGATGATGTAGATAGAGTGTTGGAGGCTACATTTATTGGTTGTGTTTGAGTTAATGTGGTTGTGCTTTTGGTTGTTTGAGTGGACGATATTTGTTCTAAATTCGTGGTTGTTGTTGTTTGTGTTGTTCCAAATGTATTTGGTAAAGTTGGCGAAGTTGTCTTATCATGTGTATTACTTCCTGTTAAATAACTTTGAGGAATACCAGAAGTTGTTGTTGATTGTTGTCCCAATTCTGTTGTAGAGGATGGAGTGGTTATAGGTGATGGTACTTTTGGTTGTTGTGGAACAAATGATAATGATTCATCTGGATTCAATGATATAGGTGTTTGACTGGTACCTATTGTTGAAGAAGAAGGATAGTTTGATGGATTATCTATTGTTGGCTGAGCAGTTCCTTTCGCAAAATTTGAATTTAGTGAATTCGAACTTTGTGGTGATGTTGTTATCATTTGATTTATTGATGTATTCAATGAAGTAGGAGCATTGGTTGTTGTATATGAAGACACTTTTGGTTGATCAGGATTGGTTGAAGTGTTTGTGTTGTTAATTGTTTGAGATGTCATTCCATTTGTTGATGTTATTGATGAAAGTGTAGTTTGTGAATTTGGTGATGTTGTTGATTGGGTGGTTGGTCCGTTTGAACTTGGTGTTGGTGTGATACCATTACCTGTTGATATACCTGAGTATGTGGATGCAGATGATGTTGTTGGTTTGTTTGAAGTAATTGGAATTGCTGCTGAGTTTGTTGTGGTTGTAGGTATTGGTTGGTTTGTTGGTGTTTGTGTTGTTGAAGATATTGTTGTTGCAGGTGATGGTACCTTTGGTTGTTGTGGAACAAATGATAATGATTCATCCGGATTGTTTGAAATTGGTGTTGAATTAGGTAAAGTCGATGAAGATTGTTGTGAAATTGTTGTTGAAATTCCATTTATAGATGTTGGATTGGTTGTTCCAGATACATTTATTGTAGATGAAGGTTTGTTGGTTGCCGAATAAATTGTTGTGGTTGTTGACTCTGGTTGATTATTTGAAGGTGTTGCTGATGATGATGGTGATGTTGTTATATGAGTAGTTGGCGATCCCGTTGTTGCAATTGGCATTGGAGAATTGGTTGTTCCAAAAGTTAACTTTGGTTGTTCATTAGATGTGGTATCTTGACCAACATTTGGAGAAGTTGTATTCACTCCATTTGTTATTGAAGCTACATATGTGCTTCTAGTTGTTTGAGAGGGAGTAGATGATATTGTTGTTGGCTGTGCTTGTGCTACTGTGGTTGTGCCTGTAGTTGTTTGTGTTGACGATATTGGTGCTAAATTCGTGGTTGTTGTTGTTTGTGTTGTTCCAAATGTATTTGGTGAAGTTGTCATTTCATGTGTATTACTTCCTGTTAGATAACTTTGAGGAATACCAGAAGTTGTTGTTGATTGTTGTCCCAATTCCGTTGATGTAGACGGGTTGGTTACAAGAGATGGTACTTTTGGTTGTTGTGGAACAAACGATAATGATTCATCTGGATTGTATGAAATTGGTGTTTGACTGGTACCTGTTGTTGTAGTTATTGAGAAGATGGGAATCGATGGGTTGTTTTTTGTTGAGGATGTCGTTCCATTTGTTGTTGTTGGTTTGTTAGTTGCTGGATTTACGCCATTTGACGAAAATGATATATTTGTGGGATTGCTCAGAGTAGAATTACCATCATTGGGTAAAGATATTATAGTTAATGATGTGGTGGGTGGATAATTTATATTTTGATTGGTTAAAGTAGAAATTGGTATTGTTGCTGAATTTGTTAAGGTTGTGGTTGTTAGTTGGTTTGTTGCTACTTCGGTTACTGGGGTTAATGTTATCACAGGTGATGGAGATTTTGGTTGTTGAGGAACAAATGATAGTGATTCATCTGGATTATATGATATTGGTGTTGGAATAGGTGTTTGATTTGTATTTGTGTTTGTTGTGGTTGTGGTTGTTGGTGATTGGGAATGAGATGAATAGGGTGAGTCAGGTTGTTTTGAGGTTGATGAAAATCCATTGATTGTTGATATTCCTTGTGTTTGGGCGTTCATTAATGGTGAAGTAGTTCCTGATTTTGTAGATGATTGTGATAAAGATGTATATTAGTTTTTGAAATGTAAAAGTATACTTTGATAAATACCTGTATCAAGAGTAGTAGATTGGAGGTAGGAAGTAACTGGCTTTTGTGTGGTTGCAAGTTCTGACGGTGTATGTGTTGTTCTGCTCGGATTTGTGGTAGGTTGGTCGTTTGACGAACGAGTTGTTTCAATTGACGGTTTTGGTGTGGTACCTGTACCTGTCGATAAGCTCGAATCTGTGGTTGCGAGTGATGGTATTTTTGGTTGTTGTGGAACAAATGATAATGATTCATCTGGATTGTATGAAATTGGTGTTGGATTAGGTGATGTCGATGAAGGTTGTTTTGAGGTTGTTGAAATTCCATTTATAGATGTTGGATTGTTAGCTAAAGATGAAGTTAAGTTGTTTGTGTAAGTTATGTGTGTAGCTAAGGCATCTTGTTGAATGTTTGAAGGAGTTGGCGATGATCCAATAACTGTTGTTTGTGAATTTAATGTTTGGGGATATCCTGATGTAGTTGTAAGTTGGTTGGTTGGCGAACTTGTTGATATAATAGACAATTCATCTGTTGTAGTAGAAGTTTGACCGTTTGATAAAGTTGTAATGATGATAGATGGTAACCTTGGTTGTTGTGAGGACGAAAGTGTTGAATGCATATCCGATGTAGTTTGATATGAAATTGTTGGTAATAATGTAGTTACTGACATTGTAGTGGTAGGTTTGACAGAACTGGAAAGTGTTGATGGTACTTTTGGTTGTTGCGGAGCAAATGACAATGATTCATCTGGATTGTAAGAAACAGACGATGATGTTAGAGTTGTGGATATAGATGATGGTGTATTTGTTGTTTGATGTTGTGGTGGTAATGAACTCGGAGATGGTGTTTGTACAGTTGTCATAAAACCTGTGCTATCAATACTAGTTATTGTTGGAATCGATGTTGTTGGTAATAAAGTGGTTGACATGGTTGTAGTTGGATTCACGGGACTTGAGAGAGTTGATGGTGATTTTGGTTGTTGTGAACCAGATGAATTTGTTTCATCTTGATGATATTGTGAGGATGACGATGATGTTGTAGTTGATATTGAATTTGTTGACTGGGGTGTTTCTGGTGATGTTTGAATTGAAGGTGATGGTGTTTGGAGAACTGTTGTTAAACTTGTTAAAGAAGTTGATATTGTTGTTGCAATAGCTGTCTGGTATGAGAGAGTAGGTAACAACGTAGTTGATTTTACCGTTGTTGGTTCGACAGGACTGGAAAGTGTTGATGGTACTTTTGGTTGAGGAACAAATGAAAGTGTTTCATCTGGATTGTATGAAACCGACGATGATGTTGAAGATGTGGATATTGATGATGGTTGTTGTTGTGGTGGTAATAAGTTTGGAGATGGTGTTTGTACGGTTGTCATAAAACCATTGGCAGAAGAGATTGTTGTCGATGTTTGTGCTGGAGTTGTTGGTAATAAAGTGGTTGACATGGTCATAGTTGGATTCACGGGATTAGAGAGAGTTGATGGTAATTTTGGTTGTGGTGTATATGAAAGTATTTCATCTGATACTGATGGTGATGATGAAGTTGAAATTGAATTTGTTGGTTGTGGTGTTTTTGGTGGTGTTTGAATTGAAGGTGATGGTGTTTGTGGACCTGTTGTTAAACTTGTTGTCATTGTCGTTGCAACAGCAGTTTGATCTGACGGTAATGGTAAAATAGTTGTTGACATTGTGGTGGTTGGTTTGACAGAGTTGGAAAGTGTTGATGGTACTTTAGGTTGAGGAACAAATGAAAGTGTTTCATCTGGATTGTATGAAACTGATGATGCTGAAGATGTGGATATTGTTGACAGTGCGTTTGTTGTTTGATGTTGTGGTGGTAATGAATTTGGAGATGGTGTTACAGTTGTCATAAAACCATTGGCAGAAGATATTGTTGTCGATGTTTGAGATGATGTTGTTGGTAATAATGTGGTTGACATGGTTGTAGTTGAAGTTTGGTCTGAAGAAATAGGGAATAATGTTGTTGACATTGTGGTGGTTGGTTTGACAGAACTGGAAAGTGTTGATGGTACTTTTGGTTGAGGAACAAATGAAAGTGTTTCATCTGGATTGTATGAAACCGACGATGATGTTGAAGATGTGGATATTGATGATGGTGGGTTTGTTGTTTGTTGTTGCGGTGGTAATGAATTTGGAGATGGTGTTTGTACGGTTGTCATAAAACCATTGGCAGAAGATATTGTAGTTGTTATTTGAGCCGATGTTGTTGGCAATAGAGTGGTTGACATGGTTGTAGTTGGATTCACGGGATTAGAGATTGTTAATGGTAATTTTGGTTGTGGAGAGTATGAAAGGGTTTCATCTGGATTATAGGAAACTGATGACGGTGAAGAAGATGAAATTGAATTTATTGGTTGTGGTGTTTTTGGTGGTGTTTGAATTGAAGGTGATGGTGTTTGTGGACCTGTTGTTAAACTTGATGACATTGTCGTTGCAACAGCAGTTTGATCTGAAGATGGTAAAACAGTAGTTGAAATTGTGGTGGTTGGTTTAACAGGACTGGAAAGTGTTGATGGTACTTTTGGTTGTTGTGGAATAAATGAAAGTGTTTCATCTGGATTGTAAGAAACCGACGATGATGTTGAAGATGTGGATATTGATGATGGTTGTTGTTGTGGTGGTAATGAATTTGGAGATGGTGTTTGTACGGTTGTCATAAAACCATTGGCAGAAGATATTGTCGTTGATATTTTAGCTGATGTTGTTGGTAATAAAGTGGTTGATGGTAATTTTGGTTGTTGTGGAGCATAGGAAAGGGTTTCATCTGATACTGATGGTAGTGAGGAAGTTGAAATTGAATTTGTTGGTTGTGTTGTTTTTGGTGGTGTTTGGATTGAAGGTGATGGTGTTTGTGGACCTGTTGTTAAACTTGATGACATTGTTGTTGCAACAGCAGTTTGATCTGACGGTAATGGTAAAACAGTAGTTGACATTGTGGTGGTTCGTCTGACAGAGTTGGAAAGTGTTGATGGTACTTTAGGTTGTTGTGGCGCATATGAAAGTGTTTCATCTGGATTGTATGAAACTGATGATGTTAATGTTGTGGATATTGATGATGGTGTATTTGTTGTTTGATGTTGTGGTGGTAATGAACTCGGAGATGGTGTTTGTACAGTTGTCATAAAACCATTGGTAGATGCTATGTTATTTATTGTTTGAGCTGGAATTGTTGGTAATAAAGTGGTTGACATGGTTGTAGTTGGATTCACGGGACTTGAGAGAGTTGATGGTGATTTTGGTTGTTGTGAACCAGATGAATTTGTTTCATCTTGATGATATTGTGAGGATGACGATGATGTTGTAGTTGATATTGAATTTGTTGACTGGGGTGTTTCTGGTGATGTTTGAATTGAAGGTGATGGTGTTTGGAGAACTGTTGTTAAACTTGTTAAAGAAGTTGATATAGTTGTTGAAGTTTGGTCTGAAGAAATAGGGAATAATGTTGTTGACATTGTGGTGGTTGGTTTAACAGGACTGGAAAGTGTCGATGGAACCTTTGGCTGTGGTGGAATAAATGAAAGTGTTTCATCTTGATTGTATGAAACCGACGATGATGTTGAAGATGTGGATATTGATGATGGTGCGTTTGTTGGTTGTTGGTGGGGTAGTGATGAATTTGGAGATGGTGTTTGTACGGTTGTCATAAAACCATTGGCAGAAGAGATTGTTGTCGATGTTTGTGCTGAAGTTGTTGGTAAAAATGTTGTTGATATGGTCGTAGTCGGATTCACAGGACTGGAAAGTGTTGATGGAATTTTGGTTGTTGTGGAGCATAGGAAAGGGTTTCATCTGGATTATAAGACAATGATGAAGTCGATGAAATTGAATTTGTTGGTTGTGGTGTTTCTGGTGATGTTTGAATTGAAGGTGATGGTGTTTGTGGGCCTGTTGTTAAACCTGCTGTCATTGTTGTTGCAACAGCAGTTTGATCTGACGGTAATGGTAAAATAGTTGTTGACATTGTGGTGGTTGGTTTGACAGAACTGGAAAGTGTTGATGGTACTTTTGGTTGTTGAGGAGTAAATGAAAGTGTTTCATCTGGATTGTAAGAAACCGACGATGATGTTAATGTTGTGGATATTGATGATGGTGCGTTTGTTGTTTGATGTTGTGGTGGTAATGAATTTGGAGATGGTGTTTGTACGGTTGTCATAAAACCATTGGCAGAAGATATTGTTGTCGATGTTTGAGATGATGTTGTTGGTAATAATGTGGTTGACATGGTTGTAGTTGGATTCACGTGACTGGAGAGTGTTGAGGGTAATTTTGGTTGTGGAGCATAGGAAAGTGATTCATCTGGATTATAAGACAATGATGACGGTGAAGAAGATGAAATTGAATTTGTTGGTTGTGGTGGTGTTTTTGGTGGTGTTTGGATTGAAGGTGATGGTGTTTGTGGACCTGTTGTTAAACTTGTTGTCATTGTCGTTGCAACAGCAGTTTGATCTGAAGATGGTAAAACAGTAGTTGAAATTGTGGTGGTTGGTTTAACAGGACTGGAAAGTGTTGATGGAACCTTTGGTTGTTGAGGAACATATGAAAGTGTTTCATCTAGATTGTATGAAACAGATAAAGTTGAGAGAGTACTCGGTATTGATGTTTTTGCTATTCCATCAACTATGTTTGGTGGCAAAGATCCATTTGGTTGTTTTGGTGCCTGAGATTGTGTTTCACTTTGATAGATATTGCTTGTTGTAGGATTAGTTTGTACAAAAGTTGTACCAGTAGTCAAACGATTATTAGGAGTTGTTGTTGAAGTTGATGGTACTTTTGGTATCTGTGGAACAAAGGAAAGAGATTCATCTGGATTATTTGTATTGGGGAGTGCTGTACTTGAACTTGTAGTTAATGTATCAGTTGCTTTTGGATTTGGTAAACTTGTGATAATATCAGTGGAAAACTTTGGTATATTTGTTGTTTGATATGCTGTGGTGGAGATGGACGCAATATCTGAAGATGCAGGTAAAACTGTAGTTGACACTGTTGATACTAAGTTTGAGATAGTTAATGGTACTTTTGGTTGCTTTGGAACAGAAGAAAGTGTTTCATCTGGATTATATGATATTGATGGATTTGGCGTTTGACTTGAACCTATGGTTGCTGTTGTAAAAGAATCAGAGGTTGTAACGACAGATGTAAAAGGTGGTGGAATTGGAGAGAATCTTGGAGTATTTGATTGATTAGGAATGGATGATGTATAAGTAGATGATTGAATTGCTGGAAATATTGTTGATGTAGATTTTAATGTTTCAGACAATGCATATGTTGTACCTGTAGTTGATTTTGGACTTTGAGGAACCTTTGATAGTGATTCATCTTGATGATTTGTATAAATTTCTGTTGTTGTTGTACTTGCAGCAGTCATGTACGTTGAAATTGAATGTGATGTTGGTTTAAAACTTGAAGTTTGTGAAGATAATGGTTCTTTAGGATATCCATTTGTAGCTATTGCTGTTGAAGTTGATAAAATAGAAGATGTTAAATCTATAAATGTAGTAGTTATTCCATTTGTTGCTGTAGTTGCAGTTAATGTTTCTGATAAAGTTGTTAATCTTGGTAATCTAGGTTGATTCTCTGTAACTACATCTAAATTTAAAAATAGCATAAAAGTAATTAGTAGACTGTAACATATGTACTTATTTAATTAAAAGATGACTTTACCTCCAATTGTGAAAGGTGTAGAAGTTGTTATTGAATTGTAATCTATTGGACTATTAGATTGTTGAACATCACTGGTTCGAGGAAAATGCTTATTTGGAGGAATAGGTGGTTCGGTAAGATGACCAGTTGTAGCAGCAGGTGGTGATATAGGGCTTGATGATGTTTCATTTTGTTTTGTATGAAAGATGTTTTCAAAGTCAAAGTCAAAAATTCCAAACTCTGATGAATCATTATTGGCTGGTTTGGGTGTAAAGGTTGGAATGATGTATACATTAGATGTGAGGATTTGCTCCGAACCAACATGGATTTGAACTTCACTTGGTGGAGGAGAATTAACTGGAATTGAACGAATTGGTGTATGAGGTGTTGGTTCTGATGTGTCTTCTGGTGCATGTATTGTTTCTTGTGTTGAGGTAGTAAAATCTGGACTGGTAAATGGTCTTGTGAGATTATTATTACTCGATGTTGGTGATTGATTTAATGGTGATGCGCTATTTGATTGATTGGAGATATTAATAGCAGTATCAGGCTGTTGTGTAATGACAGTAGGTGATTGATTAGTCAAAGTTTCCGGCCTTTTTGGTGTTGATGTTTGATTTGACTTGATGTTTGGTAAATGTGTATCTGTGTTGGAACCAATTGAAGTTATTGGTTGTAAATTTCCATTTTCGTTGGTATTTGGTGAGAAAATTGGAGAACTCGTTGTCTTTGGGGAAGTTGCTATGGTAGAGTCAGGTGTTGCTGTAGGATAAATTTGATTGATTTGGCCATTATTATTATATGGATTCTTTGGTTGGGGAGCATGAAGGGGAGAAGATGATTGTAAACTTGATGTCTGTTGTTGATTTGAAGTAGTATCATCATGAATAACCTCGGGGGAACCACTACCTGATAAGGATGGTGCTACTGTCAAATTAACTGTTGAGATCTGAGCTACATTATATGGTTCTTTTGTAGTTGGATTATCACCAATATTTTGAATTAAACCTGTTGTCATAACAATAGGCATTTCACTTTGGCTAGGCGGTTTGGAATGTGAAGCAGAAACCGCTGCTGGTTGATGGTCAAAAATAGAAATACCTTCAAGATTGACAACATTATTATCAGATGGCTCCGAAAATACAGTTGGATTTGGAGACATAGGCGGTCTTTGAACATGAAATGTTGGTGTTGGTGTTTGAGTAGGTGTAGGTGTCGGTGGTTGTGTTGGTGGAGGAGTAGGTGCTTGAGTTGGTGGCGGAGTTGGTGGCGGAGTTGGTGGCGGAGTTGGTGGCGGAGTTGGTGGCGGAGTTGGTGGCGGAGTTGGTGGCGGAGTTGGTGGCGAAGTTGGTGGCGAAGTTGGTGGCGGAGTTGGTGGCGGAGTTGGTGGTAGAGTTGGTGGATGTGTAGGTGGTGGTGTTGGTGGTGGTGTTGGTGGTGGTGTTGGTGGTGGTGTTGGTGGTGGTGTTGGTGGTGGTGTTGGTGGTGGTGTTGGTGGTGGTGTTGGTGGTGGTGTTGGTGGTGGTGTTGGTGGTGGTGTTGGTGGTGCTGGTGGATGAGTTGGAGGTTGAGTTCTGTGTGGCAACGGTGGTAAAGGAGGTATTACCTGTGGTACTGTATGATATATTTCAGAGGGTGTAGGTGCTGGTGTACTTCGTGGTACAAAAGTGAAAGGTGGTAATGTCTTGGGAATTGGTGGTATCATTATTATTGGTGGAATATAAGGTGTTGGTTTTGGCAGCTCAATGCACCTAGGTACCAATGGACAACAGGTATCAATACAATCGCTCTCTCCTTTTTGTAATGAACAAGCGTAACCAGGTGGACATGTATTTTCTTCACATTTCTCTGTTTATCATTTTAGTTAATATCAAATTGTAACTATTTGTATATATTAAATATACATACTATAAGGTACTCTGAATACGTGTGCTTCCAATGGCTTACAATTGGTGATTACCTTGTAGGTCTGATTGTTTGGCATAGTTGCACAATAGTATTCCGAACTACAACCGCCACTTGATGCCATGTTGTTGGCACAATAGAATTTAGTTTTTCCACAACAATCTTTCATGTAGGTCCATTGACATACGGGTGAATTCTGCTGGCACTCTGGGTATTGATATTCTTCACAGTTCACTATCAATTTAAAAACATATTAATAAACATTGATTTTAATGTATTGATTCATTTGGACTTACTTGTTCTTGGAACACATCCAGAGTAACTAGGCCAATTATAACATCGGTCAGATGGATGACAATATCCTGAACCACATTTGAGTCCAATTGGTGCGACTGGTGGAAAAGGCTCATTGATGGGAACACATGTTGGAAGACTATAGTTGAGACAGATAGTCGGTATATCAGTTGGACATAGTGAGTTCTGACATGTAGATATCGACTGTAAATGAATATTATTTCCAATAGCAATACACGTTGGAAAACCCATAATCTCCCTACAAAAAAAGTTTGTTGGACAAACCTTGTCGCATGCCTTTAGTAAGTCGAAATTAAAACGACCGTTTACCAACTGAGGTGGATGTGTAGCTTCCGGGGGAGTAGGATATGGTGTTGATGGTGCATATTGTGTAGGAATTGGTGTTGACTGCGGTGGAATATAAATAGGTGGTGGATAAGTAACAGGTGGTCGGGGTTGTGGTGTTATAACAAAATTTGGAATGTATTGTGGTTGTTGTTGCGGTTGCTGTTGTGGAACACAAGTAGGTACACCATTTATCATTATACACTGATAGTTATTTAAACAATGTAAAGTTTGACAATTTACTTGAGTAGGTTGCTGATATTGTGGTTGTTGATATTGTGGTTGCTGATATTGTGGTTGCTGATATTGTTGTTGCTGATATTGTGGTTGCTGATATTGTGGTTGCTGATATTGTGGTTGTTGATATTGTTGCTGTTGATATTGTGGAACACAAGTAGGTACTCCATTTAACATTACACATTGAAAGTTCATTAAACAATGAAGAAGTTGGCATGTTAATTGTGTAGGTTGATTATTGTAATGTTGTTGTTGTTGTGGAGGTGGTGGATTATATGCTTGATTTGGAACACAAGTTGGACTTTGACCTATCATAACACAGTGGAATGCACCCAGACACTGAAAGTTGCTACAAGACGACGGCACACATGTTGGAACACCATTTAACATCTGGCAATGCAATCCATTGAAACACTGGAAATCATTACAAGTGGTAAGTGTCAGTTGTTGAACTTTGTGCTCACTCGATAGCAGACAACGTGGAATCTTCGGGCAGCAAGGAGAACGAGTACATGACGGTCCACCAGGTGGATCGATATACTCACAGCCATTGGGACAGTGTTCACAACTGATATTCGGTTGTTCCAACTGTCTGATTGTTTTTGGATAGCAAGTAGTCCATAACTCAATGGTGTCGTTTGTGACGGTGTCCAAACCACAGGACATCTCATTCCGACAGAGATCATCGCGCTCCATACTTACACAATAGCCACGAAGTTCACCACAGCAACTGGTGAAAGTAATATAGCTACACATCGGAGCAAACAAATCACAAGAAGTTCTGGAAGTTATGGACTCACAATCTACCGATTGAATTCCTTTGACATTTTCTTTTAGTATTGTAATTAATTCACTATCTTCACTATTCTCATCTTCAGAAAAAAATGAGTCAGAGTCGGAATCTGAGTGGTTTAATGCTAGTGAATTTGATGATGACAATGATGGTAATGGTGATAAAGTTATATCGAAAGATGAATAATTTGATGAAATATTTAAATTATCAATAACAATAATATTATTATTATTATTATTATCATTATTTATTTTATATGAACTATTATTATTGTTAATGTCATTTGATGACGAGATTTCAACGGATTGTGAAGAAACTACATTTCTAATGCTATTGTTGTTATTACTAAAATTAAATAACAAAACAAACAATAAAAATAAAACAATTTTGTTTAACTTTATATTATTATTAAAATTTATTGAATATAATAACATAACATATATATATAAATATTTTAATAAATAAGATAGTCAGTTGGAGTTAATTTATAATTATTATAATAATTAGTTCATAGATAAATCTATCTACCAAACTAAAATTAAAGATAATTTTGATGGTAAGTTAACAAATTTGGTTGATTCAACGACGATAACACTCATTTTGAATTTAATAATAATTTAAACAAATTTCTCATTGATGTTGATTTGTATAACTAATATATATAAGTAGATGTACATTTTATAAAAAGATGTTTTTATCATTATAATAAGGTGTGTATATGATTATTGATTGAATGTATTTTCATTGTTGAAAACGACCATTTTTTTTTTGGTGTTAGTGAAAATGATCATAGTTTTGGAGTGTGTTTTTTTTTAATTTTTTTTTAATTTTTATTATTTTTTTTATTTTTATTTATTTACAAAAAACAAGAAATATCTTTTTTGAATCAACACCTTATAAGGAAAGATATAATAATAGATAATCACACAAGTCTATTGATATCAAATTTATCGAATAATGATTTCTAATTTTTTTTTAATTTTATAATTTTTTTAAAAATTTAAAAGAAGAATAATTTTTTTGAAATCAACTCAGTCAAACAAAGATATTATGATAGATAATCACTTGACCAGTCTATTGATTAATTAAACAATAAATAATTAAGCAAAAGTAAACCATCTTTTTGAAACGAACACTTACTGAGTTAAAACAAAGATACAATGATAGACAATCAACTAGACGAGCCCATTGATATCTGATAAAAAATGTAAAAAAAAAAAAAAAAAAACCAAAAAAAAATATAATATTAAGTTACATGTTATTTATTTTAATAAAATATCTTTTTGGTTTTATATCCTATCTTAATTTATCTTATCTTTTCTTATTTCTTTGATTCTAATATATTTAAATTGAATCTAAGTTTAACTTTCATTACTTTGAGAACTGATCCTACACATTTAACTACTAACTGATACTCACGAACGAAGCTGGCATCGACACCAGCTACTTCCGATGGTAATACATTGGGTGGAATCGAAAAGAAAAAGTCACCTTCGAATCGGTCTTTGGAGAGTGGGAATTTCGTGGATTGGAAGAACTCGCAACGACCAAGCTTAGCAACGGTCTTTCGAGAACGTCTCTCATAGGCAGTTCCAACAATCTCCATTCGCGTCTCGGTCATGAGCATGTAGGCAACGACCTTGTCGACTTTCTTTGAAGTTGGATTGTCAATGATAAATGCAAATTGTACAGTTTCACCGGCACGATAGAACTTTCTCTGTAATTGGATCGAGAAGAACAGTGCCTTGGACTTGCCAACGAATGTTCGTCGTTCCTCTTGGTAGAGACCGGTGGTGGACTCGAAACAATGTGGATGATAGGCACGGTTGTCTTTGACCTTCAATGAGAGATTGACCAGTGAGAATGGCTTTTGACAACCGGCACAAATGATGGTCACAGAGAAGCACTCGGGATGCCATGAACGCTCGAGTGCTTTGATGCTGTTGGTAGAGAGAGTGGCACCACAGGCAGCACAACGATCGCCACCAGTGAATGTCGATGGAACTGTCGAGGTTGGCGACATCAACATTCCAGTGCCATTTCCTATTGGCGATCCATATCCACCGGATCCATTACTTCCTATACTACCTGAGCTACCTACTCTTGGGAATCCACCACTTCCATTCAGCCCGTTATTGTTATTATTGTTGATTATATTCATATTGTTCATGCTACCGACGGATGGGAATTGACTTAGAGCTGAATTACTATTATTCATACCACCACCACCACCTACAGTTGGGAAATTACCTAATATACTTGTACTACTAACAGTTGTTGTTGTATTTGTAAATATTGGTTGTTGCTGTTGTTGTGCTTGTTGTTGTATATATGGTTTCAAAGTTTCTACACGATCTAAATAGATCTTTGCTTCATCACTAATACTCTTTTTAATGATAGAGTCTGGTTCAGATTTGATAGCAATCAAAAAGTATGAACAAGCTTGTTGGTAGTACTCACTTGCCTTTTTATAATCTCTAGATTCCTCTTCCTTTCTACCTTTCATTGCTAAATTTGTAGCTATTTCATATGCTTTAAAATATAGAAATATTAATGATCAAACATAATTTTCAACAATATCCAATTATTATTATTATTTCACTTACATTCTACTCTACCCATATTTGATTTCTGTGTAAATTGATCTCCAGAATGTAAAGATGATAATCTTGATATATTGGCTTGTGATTGTTGCTGTTGTTGTTGTTGGAATGATGGTTGTTGTAATTGTGGGAATGATGGTTGTTGTGAGAATGTTGGTTGTGGTTGTGTTTGAGGTAGTTGTGGAAATGAGTGGATTGTGTTTGCTGGTGTATTGGCAACAGCGGGTGAAACAGAGGATGGTATCGATGGGAAATTGAACGCCAAGTTGTTTGATTGTGGTGCGGCAGTTGGTTGAGCAGCAGGCATTTGCGGAGCCATACTCTTAATGAACTTGTTACGTTGTGTGTACTCCTCGACCTTTGATGAGATCAACGCTGTCTTTGCTGGGTCTTTCTCACTGATGATGGCCAACTTCAAATTGAGAATAGCCTGTTCATACAATGTCGATGCCAACGTATAGTTTTTATTCTGATCGGCTTCCACCGCCGATCTGGCAAGTTGTAAACCTGTTTGTAATATTTCAGTTGCCATTGCCTTCCTTCCTTTATGTTTGTTTTGATATTAAATTAAAAAAATACAAAAATAATAAATAATAAAATATATATATTATTTTTTCTTTTTACAATATTTATTAATAATAATATATAAATAATTATACAATGAAGTTTTTTAAAAAAACTAAAATAAATTTTAAAAAGATCTTATATGTTGTTTAATTTATAAAAATGAACTTTTGATTTTTTTTAATTTAAACACACAAAAAAAAAAAAAAACAAAAATAAATAATTTTTTAAAAAGTTGAAAACAATAGCTATATTCTTCTGAAGAAAGCTGAGTGTCATCACGATTTCAACTAGTTAAAACAATCTTTCAGACTAAAGCGTATTGAAGTGACCAAGAATCGAAAACTTACATCTTTCTTTTTGTCCACCTTTTGCTAAAAAAAAAACCTACAAAAATTTTTGAACAAAAAAATTTGCAAATTTATAACCACGGCAGATATTCAATGAATCGGATCTCTCATTATAAACCGACACTATTTTAGCTTAAAAGTCTAAATTATTATAAAGGATATTGTTTCAAACAATGTTCTTGTTTTTCAAAGATTTTCATCTTATCTAAAGAGTAAAATTTATAACAAATAAACTTAATAATAATAATAAGAAACATTTAAATTTTTTAAACCCTTACCAAAAAAAAAAAAAAAAAAAGAAAGAAATAAATTGCAAATTTACAATTACTTAAAGAAAAATGAAATTTCTACTTTTTTTTTTATTTTTTTTATTTATTTCTTTTTATGATTACTTTTATTTTTTTTCTGATTCGATCTTTTAATTACAATTTATCAATAGTTTAAATATGTATAATAATGTAGATGATCAAAGCAGTTTTCTTTTTAAAAAGCTAATCAATAATATAGTTATATCTAAATTGATATTTAATCATGTCTATTCAATACACAGAGGATCACCAACCACTTTTATTAATCCAACCAAGGGTACATATATAAATAATGACTCGCTTGTTACAATGTTGAAATTTGGTAGAAATGATTTATTCTTTGAGAATACACATTTACTTTTAGAATATTTCAATAGGAATAATAGTAATAGTAATAATAATAATAAACAATATCAACCTATTTCAACTTTAAAAGAAGCAATGTTAACAGGTAATTTAAGAGTTGTCAATTATCTAATGGATAATATAAAGTCATTGTCTGACTTTGGTGAGCAACCAATGGCATTAAAGGATATCCTCACAATTATCAAACAAGGATACACGGAAATCTTTGATATCGTACTTTCACTGAGGATCGACTTTGAACATATTGGTAGTATATTGTTCACCATCATCAATTCACATCGATACTTGATGCTTGCCAACTTTATTAAATATCTAATGATACACCATCCTGTGGTTAGAGATTCAATCAATCCAGAGTTATCTGATTCAGAAGACGACAATCAAGATCATTTCTATTTAGATTCAAATTCAGAAGAGTCAGAGATATATGAGAGTATAGGAAACTTGGATTTTAACGGCAACACTGGTGGTGAATCACTTGGAAATGGAAAGATTTTAAATATAAAGATCAATGAAGCTTTGGAGTCGGATTCGGAACGAACCTATGATCTATTGCTCAGATATCATAAGAGAATCAACTTGGCGAAACATTTCAAACTTGGAGAGAGCTATCATGATGTCTGGCAGGTTATCACTCTCAAGGCAATGGATGCTGGTGAATACAAAGCCGCTGAAATGCTATTCAAACGAAGAAAAATATGCTTTCATGAAAGTATGTTTGAGTATGACAACCAGTTCCTACAGCTAGTTCTCAAGTATTACCAGCGCGAAGAGATCATTGTCGACGATGTCATCTCACTGGCGATATCGCGTGGTGACATTCATTCTTTCCGAACCATTCTAAACTACACGGAGCTAACAGAAGGAAAAATTCAGCAAGCATTAATCTATCAATCATCTATCGATATTATCAACTATATCATTGACCATGTTAAGCCCACTACTACATCTTTGGAGGCTGACGGCAAATGGATATTGGATGATCTTTACCATCAATATTGTAGCATTGATATACTGAAAAGATTGTTAAACAATAGATACTTTGAATGTAGATTCCGGTTTCTATTAGCGACTGCTATTGAACACAGACTGGACGACGTCATTGAATATATAATGGAGAATCAACAACTGTTTCAAATTGACTATGTAGCGGCAATATCGGCAGCGATCACTCATGGCTACTTAAAGATACTGTCGATATTAATCAAACAAAGTCCTAATCTTGAAATAGAGGTACCCGATCCTTACTCCAGTGACAGGAGCAGTAACTGCCGGCAAGGAAATACAAGTAAAATCGATGGCAATGCATATATAGCTGCTCTACAGATGGTTTTAGACAGTTCGATACGAGTACAAGTTAGTATAAACGATATCTGTTACTTTTTTGCTAGGAGGTTGTCTTGGTATCCCTTCCTTGAACAAGTCGTTCGTATGCTACATCAACGCGGTGTCATCGAGCACAACGATAGTGTCGTTGACATCTCTACATTCCCAGTATCGAAATCGCTCTTGGAACTGCTCGAAGAGATGCCTATTAACTACGCCGATTACTCTATATACAACTGCGCAACATCAGGCTCGTTAGAATTGTTTCGATATCTCATTGAACGACATCAACAACTTTGTCCTCCATCCGCTCTCAAGGCGGCATGCGAACGTGGATTCACCGATATCGTAAAGTACATTGTCGAGCGTAATCTCGTAGATGATCAATATGTAATCGATGCATTGAGACGTGCCATTGAATGTGGATATCTCGATCAAGTTACCTATATGTTGGAACACAAATTCACAGCGGATTACTTTAGAACGACGCTGATGAAACCAAAGTTCATTCGTCAATCACTAAAGTATCCAGATATTCTAGAGTACTTGTTACCAAGTAGTGATCTAGACCTACGGTATCTCCTAAGATTCCTAATGACCGAAGATTCAGATGCTCATAGAGATGCATTCAACATCGTGCTAAAACAATACCTAAAGAATCACCCAACCACTCAACCATTCATAGCATCAACACCGAAACAACTTGTAAAGAACAACCAATATAAAGAGATACAATCGATATTCGATCTTAACCTTGTACATAACACTCATAGAGATACAATACTCAACGAAATATATAATCTATCGATATCCTATGGTCAAATAAATATAATTAAAATATGTAATAAATTAATAATAAACAATAATAATAATAAATAAAAACAATAAATATATAATTATTATTAATTTTAGAATATTTAACTTTATATAATTGATTAATTAATTCTTAAAGGTCGATTGTGAAACTGATTTCAAAACATTGATTGCAAAGTCAAGGTCAGCCTCTGATAGAACGGCATTGATACACAAACGAATCGATGGTTCCGGAATGAATTTCTCGGTTTCAACATACTTAGCACGAGTTATTAATACACCGCTGTCCAGTGATTTGTCAACGAGTTGTTCCAATAGCTTCTCGTCGTCCTCTCTGTTTCCTGTGGATTCTTTCAAACGCAAATGAATTACCGGTGAGAGTGGCGAGCCACATACCTTCAAACCTCTGAGGTTGTCTTGGAGTTCCTTGTACATATAATGAATGTTATGACTCAATGAATTGAGCAAATCTGGATTGGAATCCAACAGATCGATAGCTTTGGTGGCAGAGGTTGCCAAGTATGGTGGTAACGATGCAGAGAATACATATCCAACACCATTCAAACGTTGATGAGTAACAACTGTATCGGAACCAACACAGAATCCACCACCCGATGAAAATGCATTTGCCAAACTTGCAGTTCTAATTTCAACTTGTTCAGCCTGTATATATATATTTATTAATATTAATATTATGGTTCAAGTTAATCATCATAACTTATAATTATTTATAATATTATATACTTACATCAATATTATAATGCTCGGTTATACCTCTACCAGTTTTACCCAAGATACCAATTGAATGAGATTCATCGATGATGATTCTGAATTTGTATTTATCTTTGAGTGCCATTATTTGTGGAAGTGCACAGAGTTCACCGGTGTTGTAGTAGATACCCTCGACGACAACAAACTTTCTAGAGATCTTTCCTTTCTCTCCGGTCTTGTTGGTCAACTCCAAGATTCTAGTGAGATCCTTGATGTCGTTGTGCTTAAAGTAGTGTACTTGACTACGAGAGAGCGACAAACCTACTTGAATCGGTTGCGATACACAACGATCGGCAATGATGATATCACCGATCTTTGAGAACGAAGGAATCGTAGAGGAGATGGTGGCGTAACCCGACGAGTAGAGAATGGCAGGCACAGTGCTCATGAACTTACCGAGACGTTTCTCGAGCTCAATGTGCACGTCGATCGAACCGTAGAATCCACGCGGTCCACACGAACCGACACCGTACTTGCGAATGGTTTCCTCGGCTTTCGCTTGCACTTCGGGGTGTCCGATGAAACCGAGGTAGTTGGTACGTGCCAAGTTCAGTACGTTGCTATGTCCGTTGACGGTGACGTGTGTCGGTGTGGTAGAGGTGATCACCACTTCCTTTGAGTTGAGAATCTGCATCTTTGAGAGCTTTGGTGCGAGTGGGATTGGACGCCAGTCTCTGATCAACTCTTCTTCCTCTGACTTTGAGAGAGAATCGTTCTGACGAGGCTTAAATGGTCTCTTTGAAAGTAGATATACAATGAACAACAGCATCAAGCCATGCAAAAAAAGATGTGGTGCACTTAGATTCGTAATAAAACTTTCAATATTCTTTGAATTTAACAATTCATTTAATGTTGTCATTTTGTTATTATTATTATTTTTTTTTTTTGATTTTACTTCTTCTTCTACTTCTACTTTTCAAACTACAAATACAAGGATAGGATTCTATTCTACTTTTTATATATTTATTTATTTATTTTTTAACCTATTTATTATTAATATTACTCTTTGATCTTGATATAGTTATAAAAAATCTATATATATTTATAAGAACAACTAAATAAATAATTTATAAAAAAAGTAAGTTAAATTAAATAAAATAAAATAAAATAAAAGGTAATGAAAAGGTTTTTCTGATTTTTTTGTTTTAAAATGCTATTAAGGTGATTGTCTTTGTCTGTAAATTGTCGTCTCTTTAATCAAAAAAAATTAATCAAAAAAAAATAAAATTGGATAAAATTTTTATGCAAAAAGATTTATAATTTTTTGTAAGGTTAGGTTATTGTTTTTGCTTATTTTTTTAGTACTAAATTACTATTAAAGTCTTTATTTATAAAAAAAGGTTATAAATTGGTTGGGTACAACAATTAACTTTAGTTTATAATTATCTATTTTTTTTATACATTTTTTAATCAGATTACATTTTTAATTGATGCACCAATTGCTTTAAATTTAATTTATTGCAAAAGGTAACTTTTAAAATCTAGATGATCTTATAATTATAATAAAATAATACAAAAACAATCAACGTTTTAAGTTTATAATATAATTACAATTTATTTTAAATTAGTTTAAATGATAATCTTTAAACTCTGGTCTGTTCTGTACCAACCAATGACGTGTATAGTAGGACCCGTCAGTAATTGCTCTATTAGTGCATCCTTCAGTCCTATTTTCAAACAACCATATGATGATATCTAGTTTTCCATTGACGGATGCTGTATCTATGGCGTCGGTAGTTGGTGATTCTTTTGTATTTTCATGAAGCCACTTTAAAATCTTCAGGTTACCGCGACCCGCCACATGATTCATGATATTGAATGAGCTTTTATAACCATTAACAAACAACCATTGGAAAACTGAAAGATTATCGTTTTGAATTGCCGAGTCATAGAGTGAATAGATATTGTATGTATCGTTGGAGCGATCTTGGTTGGCACGCAGATAATCCAATACATGAATATGTCCTGCTTCCGCTGCGTCCTGATACATCCGGTTGCCAACTCTGTCTTGTGGACGGTTGACTGTCAACCATTCCAAAATATCTATACGACCAATCGCAGCGGCATTATTAAATACATTGTGAGGCCAACACTTTAACTCACGAACCGCTGTAGTTCTCGGCTCAATCGACTTTGCCGAAAAGAATTTAACGATCTCTAGATTTCCAGAGAGTGGAGCGACTATCAATGCTCGTTGGTAGTCCCATTTATTGGTTCGATCGACCATGTATTTGATAATATCGAATTTACCACATTGTGAAGCGTCACACAGCAATTCATTGGTGAGGAATATTTCGATCTCATCGGGTGGAATGCAATCAACAATGTACCTTAGAAATGGTAAGCTGCCTCCTGATATTGAATTTCGCATCAGAGTGAATACATAATTGTTTCGTAGCGTTGGAATCGAACGGTTTAATTTCTCTAGATAATGTTTAAATTGATCGACATAACCATTGCCTGCCATAACCTCTGGATTATCGATCACTTCAACCCAACGATATCTAGTGTTACCTTTAGTGTCAAACAACTGATTAAAGTTGTATACATATTGAAAAATCTGTTTTCTTAAAACAACATTTTTTAGAATTAATATTAATTTATCTTTTGCTATGTTCATAGTATCTGTTTTCCAAAAGAGAGTATAATGAGTGAACAAAAAAAAAAGATAAAATTAAAAAAAAGGAATTGGATTGCAATTTAAGTCTATTATAATAAATCATTGGGTGTACTTTATTTTCTTTAATGATTATTGATAAACCAAAATTTATAGTTTTTCTCATTTCCTCAATTCATTACAAGATAGAATTAGTAAATCAACCAATTCTTCAACGACAGTATTAAGTGATATATTCATTTCAATCGTGTAGGAGTTAGAAACCACCCTAGCTTTATAGCTAATAGTAATATTGTTATATTTAACAGAGAACCAGTGACAATACAGGCTTTGTCGAGGTGTTTGATTTGACGAGTTGGGGTATACGACCGCACATGACACGTATAAAGTCTTCTGTTTGTGTTCTGTCTACAGCTACAATATCTGGTATCTTAATCTGCACACACCGATAACATCAAAGTCGATTGTACCTTCGGGTTTATTACATTTGAAGGTGTAGTTGCCGTTAATTTGGGTGTGGTTCTCTGTTGTAACGCTTATTGTTGTTTTGTTGTTCTTAGTTTATGTAGTGACACTGCAGTTATGTAGTTTGCTGATTATTGCATTAAGTTCGTCGGTAGATAGTGTACTTTCTGTGGTATACTTACCAACACACTTAGTACACTAGAAGATAGATTTAAACTATTAGAAAAAGTTATTAATCATCATCGTATACCACCACAACACCAGCTTTTGGTTGCTGGTATACTACAGAAAGTACACTATCTACCGACGAACTTAATGCAATAATCAGCAAACATGTTTTGTTGGATTATTGAGAAATTGGTTACTTTGGAGATACTTCAGCTTGGGTGGCTTTAGATGCCATCGAAGCGAAGGTCTCTTGAGTTTGGTTGTGTAATTCTTTTGTTTGTTCCATTATTTCTTGAACAGATTGTTTCGGTAGCGATCACGAAAAAATGAAGTAACGAAGAAAAACAAAAGTCAGGATGGTGTAGTTGGTTATCACAAAACCTTAACACGGTTTGGGTCATGGGTTCGATTCCCATTCTTGATATAAATTTTGTAAATATATGCCCATTATGCGCGCCATAATGAGTAGGGTTTTTTTTTTTTTTTTTTTTTTTTTTTTTTTTTTTTGTTAAAAAGTTTGTAAGAATAAACAACATCACTACTCTCATTTCATTAATCGTTAATCTAATACGGAAATTCTACTTTTGCGGTACTCCTCTCTACAAAAACAACCTATTTGATGAGTCTATCATAAATGAATAATATACAACACATATCAGTATTGAAATTAATTATAAACTTACAGTGAACATATTGTCAGCACCCCATTATTTCCTCATCTTCATTTTTCAATTATCCAACTTTCATCAGAATTCTAAGCAACTAAATAGTCTATAAAATAACAATAGCTAAAATATGATCCTTATGCATATTCGTACCTTTTTAGATGAGAAATGATATGTTTGGTTAGATATCGTACTTCATTTGCTAGCTTCTCCTATTTCTTTATCTACTAAACTTTCTAGTTTCTTTTTTCAGTTTTAGTTCCAACTTTTAAAAACAAAACAAAAGTAATTTTTCAATAAAAATATCTGTAAACTAATTAGTTTATTATCTTTGTTTAAGAGATACAAGATCAATCCATCCATCATCTTCTTTAGCAAATCTATCCTTGATCGTTTTGATTTGTTTTAATCTTTCCTCCAAGTTGGAAATAAACTCAAATTTTCCATCGAATTGCATTGATATTAACTATAGATAAATAAAAATTGTTAGTTTTAAAACTATATTAATAATTTTTTTTTTTTTTTTTACAAACATTTGCATAAATTGCAGTTTGAACAACCAAGAATGGTAATGATTGTTCAGAAACCATTTGATAGTTATGTATTGGACCAAAGATTGGTATTTCTTTCTTTTTCTTAATCTCAACTCTATACCAACCAATATCCAATGGATATATTATGATATTGACAAAGTTGAATTGTCCAGAGATACATTGTTGATTGAATTCCGTTGGCGAATCTGAAAAGATAATATTTACATAGTCATTTCCTATATGACGTTTCTTGTTGGTAAAGGTTTTGTCATTCTCAATGTTTGGCATCATTGTAGTTACATGGAAAACGATTTGAGAGATTCTGTCACGCCAGTGAATTGTAAACTCTCCGTCGGATTTACCGTTGCGATCGAGTCCACCAGGATACACATCGACACGATCAGCAATACGGACTTTCTCACCAATACCAGACAGAAACTGGTGATATCTTGGTGATCCTTTGGTATTGGAGAGGAATTCTTCTTCGGTTTTCTGTCCAGCACCAATATAGATGATTCCAATCTTGTAAGTCTCTGAACAAAAAGTGTGATCCAAAACACTGAGAGCACGATCAAATGAATGACCAGGTTTAATCTCGGTTGTCAGATCGCCAGAGAATTGGTGAAGATGATAGAATACTACGGATGGGTCAAGTATCGATGGATCGATTGTATTCTCTGTCAGAGGTGGAGGCGATGGTGAATGTGGCGGCGATATGCCTCCGACCAGTGAAAGTACATTGGTTGTATCGTAGTTGAGCGATCGATTTCTAAAGGAATCGTGTGAGGTTGGGTGATCGTCAAATAGATTGGGAATATTTGTCAGACTGGAAGGAGTGATAGACGGTAGAGTCGACGATGAATTTGATTTCTGAAGTGTTGGAACACCACCGACACCACTGCCGGCGGCAGCACGTGAGTACTCTGATGGGTCGACCGGCGAGGACGAGGTTGGTGAATAGGGAATAGTATGATACTTGTTCCTCAAGTGATACTGAGCCATATGACTTGTATGTGAAATAGATGATGGTGTTGGTAAAGTATTGACAGGCAGACTCGACTTTGGATGGTGTTGCATTGCTCCAGTCTGTTGGATCTGTATGGGAGTTGTGCCACTAGAGGTAGTCGGAATTGGGTTGGCCAATTGCAATGGTACATTCCTATACTGCTGTTTGACTTGTACCAGTGATTGTTGTGAGAATTGATTCAAGTTTGATGTCAGCGGTATGGTTGGTACTATTTTAGCACTTGGTTTAAATGGTTTCTGAATCATGGTCGTAGGAGGCATATTTGAAGAACTGCCAGTATTTGATTGTTTCGTTGAAAACTTATCAGTGTTTGAAGATGAGCTTGGATTGTTGGTCGTTGATGCATTGTTATTTTTAATTGGTCCTTCCTTGGGAATGAGTCCAGTCGACAAAGGAGATATCGGTTTAAACGATGATTGTTGCTGTGATTGTGATGATGAATAACTTCGTTGCTGGAATGTAATATCGATTGGCGATTGAGTTGGTGTTGGTTCGAGGATGATAGGTGAAATGTTACGGTCTGTACTTTGAGGCGACGAAGAATTCTGATTCTCCAGAGTAAAACTGGTTGATTTGATCAATTTAGTTGAACCGTTCGAACGTTTGAGCTCACCGGTACCATCTCCAGAGGTTGTTGATAACAGATGTTCTTCGATCCTATCTTCGTTGGCCAGTGCAATCTTTGGAATCTTTGCAAGACTAGCTACTCTTGGTGCAAGATAAGGTGAGTCGTCGTCTACCGACAATGAGAAGATTTCTGTTTGTTTGGAGAATGATCCATCTACACTGTTGTTTGTCGACGATGGAACACTGTGAAGAGTAACCAATGTTGATTTTGAAGGTGGAGGTGGTATTTCAATTGGAATCGATGGTAGATCACTGGTACTGTTTCCACCGCTACCCAACAGTGATGTAACAATAGGAGGTGAACTGGATCCAACATGCAACAGTAGTTGTGCATTCAAGTTTAATTTACAATTGTTGTTATTGTTGTTGTTGTTGTTGCTGTTAATGTTGTTGTTTGTGTTGCTGCTGCTATTACTGTTACTATTGGCACTGTTGCTAAGACTGCTGCTCTCTGTAGTTTGTCCAATGATAGGCGATGAGTAACTAAAGTAGGAGAGTATCTCTTCGTCGTCATCAAAGGAGGGTAGTGGAGGATAGAACTTGGAGAGAGTGGACAATGGATTAGGAGTATTCTCGCCTGAACCATAGAATCTATGACTGTAGGGACTCTCGAGATTACTCTGAAGGAATATGTTGTCACCATTTTCCGAGCTGGACGGTGTGAATACCGGTATTTTAAGATCAGTGATATCATCGAAACTATCAACTAAAGTCTGTTCCTCTTGATTACTATTGTTGTTGTTGTTGCTATTGATGTTGATTTCATTCTCGGATAATGAAACTGGAGGAAGTGCACCATGTAATATACGCATCTGTCTAAAATTCTCATACAAGTTGGTATCGGAATCCAACTCATAGTCTGAGTAAAGATTGCTATTATTGTTGGTAATCGGTTGTATAGCTGGTTCTAATACTTCAACAGCATCTTTGTGCACTTCAGCAAAAGGTGTTGGCGAAGGTGAGAGTATGTCATTGTTGATATAAGGTGAGAATAACAGATTCTGTGAGGATATCAATTTGATTGGTTTGTTGAGCTCTTCGTTGTTTGATTCCAGAGAATCGTTAATCTCTTCTTCTCTAGAGGCATCAGGTAGCAACGACAGATTTAAATTACATTTTAATCTTTCGGATGTAAAGCTACCACTATGGTTACTTTGCTTTTGTGGACTTATCATTTCGAATTCCTTTGCCAAGCTTTCCAGTCTTGTGAAGCTGTCGACTGTAGTTTGGTGTGATGCGTGTTGGTTGGATGGTTGTTGTTGTTGTTGTTGAGTTGGTGATTTTACAATTTCTGGAACTTTGTCAAGTGTTGTCGATGAACCATATGGTTGTTGACTTTGTGGTGTTGTCGATGATGTTGTTGTCGCTGGGTTGGGTGTGTTCATGATGGATGCCGATGTTGCAGTGGTGGCCGTTGACATTGAGTTGGGTGTCAATTGAGTGGTGGTTGTTGTCAAATGTGAAGAAGAACTGGATGGTGTTGATGATGTTGTTGTTACAAATGTTGTTTGTTGAGTCGGTGAAAGTGAATGATACTCGCCCGATACGGATATTGGTGAGAGTGAAGGTGAAAGTGGTGAGGTAGGTGAGAACTCCTTTCGGAAATACGGTTGTTTCGGTAGATTCACCAGTAGATTATAGGTGTTGCTCTCCTTTGAATAGAGGTCGAACGATGACGATGGATTTTGGAATCTCATCAACCATACGACACAGCCTGTTGCTTTTCGATGGGTGACCTCTGCCCATCCGAGTTTTCCTGTGCGAATCGAGATAAGCGAACAACCCTGAATCCAAGTCTTGATCAAACCTTCGTGGAAGATGGGACTGGAGTGACGCATTGGGTAGTGGAACGGATCGAAATCGGTGTGGATATAACGGTTGAGCAACTCTATTGAGATCTCATTGAGCAGTGCATTCTTCTCTTTCAACTGGCTGTCCAGTCCCTTGATGATGTTCTTCACCAGCAGGATGCGAGAGGAACTACTACACGCGGTGAACCAACGAATCAAACTCTGGAATGCAACCAACACAATCAACGTTGAATACTTTGATCGATCAAAGAATTGAATTAACAATTTGAATATAAAAGTAAGTGTTTCGAATGGAAGTTGAGTAGCCAACGTCGGAATCGATACCATTATATTCAAATATTGTAATATTGAGAAATATGTATCTTTTTGTGTATTACTTGATGTTGATATCTAAAATAATAATAATTTAATTCATTAATTAGTAAGATGTAAATTTAATTTCTTATTAAATATATATTGTGATAACTTACTTGATGTAAAGCTTTAGCAATGTTTTGTATGTATTTCAATGTTGTTTTTAATGGGAATTCACTAATGCAAATGGATAATCCATTCAAACATATTGCTTGAATTTTATGTTTGTTTTCGCTTGATGCAGACCACTTTTGACAGAGTCCGTTAAAGAGTGTTGTAATGATGTTTTGTGATGACTGTTGATTACTATATGATGATGTATATGATGCTAAATTACAAAGGATTTCAAATCCAATAATATAATGTAATTCCTTTTTACCTTCAGAATTCTAATTATTATAATTTGAAAAAAAAGATTATAATGATGTTAATAATAATAATAAAACTAAATATGATTTAACTTTTTTAATTAGTTACCTGATAATCTGTTATAGAATGACCTAGTATCTTATCGTTTAGTAATTTAATGATTGTATTTACAAATGAATCGATTTCATTATCAAGTCCGATGAGGATGTATTTGTTCTTGAGGAACGATGATATCGTTTCGAGGATGAGAGTGTACAGTTCGAATGATGTCTCTTTGGAAAGTCGGTCAACCAGTAGATTCCAGATGACAGAGATCGAGAAGAATCCGTCGTTCGATGGTTTCTTCTTTTTAAGGTTACTACTTGGTTGTTGTGATTGTTGTTGTTGTTGTTGTTGTTGTTGTTGCTGTTGTAGTGTTGGTTGTTGCTGTGTTGCTGCGCCACGCGGTGACTTTAGTACCATCGACGACACCTCATTGATAAACAAATTCACTGTGGAGCAATGAATGAAAGGCGACGATACTTTGCCATATTGCATTTGATACCATTTCGTAGATGACAAACTTGCGATCGACAATAGAATATCTTTTCGTAGCTGAATGTTTTCATGAGAGATGTGAGAGAGTAACATTGTCCATGCTTCGATGGTTAGCGCACAGGCAGGGTGAATGAATCGCGACGAGAAGATGCTGATTAAACCCTGAAGTGCTAGACGAGATACATCCTGTAGTTGTGGAGGTGATTCACGTATTGCACGGTCGAGATTGCTGATGAGAATATGATAGGAAGCCGGTGTGATCACTCGCATCGCCATTTCAACCATCAGTTCTAAACCTGCTATACGAATGGTGATATCTCTTTCTTTGTGTATGTCGTTCAGTGCCGGAAGTATTATACTCTCGATGATGTCCTCGCCATAGATTACATGATAGCTAGAGTACAGCTGTTTCATAGTCTGCAGTATCTTCTTTCTCAGTTTGGTTCTTGTTTCCTTCTTAAAGAAGAATTCAACGAGTGCGTTCATCTTTACTATCCACATTGCATGAGAGGGATGTATCTGTGAAACCTGTGATTGAATGATCTTCATGAGTTGCTCCTCGGTTTTCAACTTGAAGAAATAGGAACTGACTTTGAAGAGTTCGGTGTGGCTGCCTTGAAAGAGTTGTTGCTCGTCCAACTCCTCAATGAGATTGATAGTGTCACGCAACACCTTAGCAAGTGAACTGTTATTGATATTGTTAAGTGTGGAACTAATATCGTTGTAAATCGATGTATTGTTGACGCTCATCATTGTTTGGTTGGCGCCACCGGTGTTGACACCACCCGATGCGTTGTCCATGTTGTTCTGACTGGCAACTTGACTACTCTGGTTGAATGCCTGATTACCGAGTGATATATCGCCACCCTCAAACATTGAAATCAACAAGTAGATACGCTCGATAATGATAAAGATTAGTTGCCACTCGACATGCAGTTCTCTTCCAAACTTTTTGATTAACCGACGAATTGCCAGGATCACTTCGAATGCGATAATCTCTTGTCGGCCAACGAGTGAGTTGAACAGTGACGGTAAGATGAATGCTGGACTGATGCCCAGTGTTGGAATACGCTGAGGTCCCCACACCGACATTCCCAGGAAGAAGACGGCGCCACGCAGCAGATTGATAGTGTGTCTGTTGTGTGGATCGTTTAGTATGGCACAAAGCGAGCTGATTCCCTGGTGAGTGTAACGCTCGAGAAGTCGCTGCATCGTAGTACACGACTTGTCACAAGCAATGTCAATGTTTACCGTGCGACTCAGACTAGAGATTATCATAGAAATACAAGGTGGTGGAATAACCAACAGCAAATTGGAAACGACATCAAAGAACGACAAACAACATTCAATGACAGCAACACAAGTAGAGGAATTAGATATCAAACAGATGTTGTTAATGAGCGAAGCCATGTCACCCTCCGATATGATTCTCTGAGAGTAGCGCAATACTCCTTCGATGAGGATGAATAATTCGTTGAGGATTGAGTTGAGTGAGTCACTCAGATTACCACTACCACCGCTACCACTGCCAGCGCCGCTACCACTATTACCGGCGCCACTTCCTCCACTGGATTGTCCACTTGCCATCACAGCGACTGCACTACCCGACTGTTGTCCTGCATTGCCAGCAGAGTTGTTCCCACTGTTTCCACTACCACCACTACCTCCACCTCCACTACTACTGTTACTATTAATCGATGAATTGATAATATTCAACCAGTGTATCAGGAGATCTACTATCTGTGATTCAAAAGGTATAATGTCGCGTCCACCTTTGATTAGCGCTGCCAATGCTCTTATACGAAGAGACACTGGAATCTTTGAACTCGATGACTGGAGTATAGTGAAGATATCACGTTTAATCGAACCACTTAGCATTCCATAGTGTGACTCTATCAGTGCCATCATCACATTGTATGCAATGATCTGTGCTTCCATCGGTATATTCTCATTGTTTGATGTTGATAATGAAGATGTTGTTGTTGTTGTTGTATTTGGTGTTGTAGTTGTTGTCGTTGTTGTAGCTGTAGTAGTTGTTGTTGTTGTTCCTGTTCCTATTGTTGAAATCTGTGATGGTGGAAGTAACAAATCAGATACCGACTGCCAAATCTGTTCTAGATTGACTTGATCGATACGCATGATCTTGATACACTCTGAAATCTCTTTGAGATATGCACACCGCTGTGATAGATTCATTGTACGACTTGCAACAATCTCCATTCTAAACTTCTCGGTGAGACTTTCAATCTCAGAGTTTGATCGGAGAATGCTACCACTGCCATGAGATGAATGTTGGTGATAATGATGACTATGGTGCTCATCTCCATCCAATCCTGTTGTAGCTGTACTGGTTGTTGTTGTTGTTGTAGATGGTGAATTACCAGTAGCAGTAGCAGCAGTTCCTCCACCAAAGATATCTTTGATACGCTTCAGTACATTTGACTTTGGTGATGAAACACCTCCATCAAACTTACCGCTGCCACCCTTCATCTATCTTTATGTTTGTTTCCTAACTAACTAACTAGCTAACTAACAAACTAACCTAAACTATTTACTTCAACTACTTTTGTTGTTAAAGTAATGTTCTTTACTAACTATTCTTCTTTCTTACTTTCTTTCTTATTAATTTAACCTATTAATCTATCTATTTTTATAAACTAAACATATATAATAATAATAATAATAAATTGTATAATATATACATTCGAATAACAATCAATAATATATATTTTTTAAGTTTAGTTTTTAGACAACATACGCAAGGATACTCCAATGAAAAAATTTTTGAAAAAAAAAAAAAAACAAAACAAAGAAAAAAAATAATGAAAAAAAAATATCTAAATCTTTGTAATACATAAAAATACATATTTATTATTTATTTACAAATATTCTTTGATTATTTTTTTTTATTTATTTATTTACAAAATGAGATGTTATGTTATGTTATATTATCATAAATATAATGTTGGAACAGATCTTTGAACGAAGGTACAGGGCACGAATTTGAGTGTGGTTCCAAATGAATCGCAATCTGTTAGACAGTTGGCAGCGAAGTTTGTTTCTACTTTGATATATCGTAAAACCAGAACGATCTTAGAGATGATTTCAATGATAGTGATTTCGCGGTCTGCTAATCTTGATTCCGATATGAAGTGGGTGAATGTTTTATGGTCTGTTTTATTGTTGATTTTCCAAATCTGTGCTATTATAATAGGTCTCTATCTCCATTTTACTTTTTTTGATCTATCACTGAAGGCTTTCTTTTTATTTTCTAAAGGTTTTTGTTTGCTCTCATAAAATAAATTAATTTCATAATCTGTATACGAGATAGAAATTCTATTATTTTCTTATAATATTATTAGATTCAAACTGTTCACGGCTGTGTATAGTTAATATTCTTCGTTTAACTTATATATGAACTCAGTAGAGTGACCTGTGCCTTCGTTCAAAGAATCTGTACTAACAATTATATATATATAAACATCTACGATTAATGCAATCTCAAAAAAAAGTATCATTTTATTGGCAAGCAACATGAATTCCAATCAAAAATAAAATAAAATAAAAATTAAATCTCTTTCCAAATCTATCTCTACTTATAAAGATATCTCTGTTTGATGTTGGTTGGTGGTAGTCCAATTTAAATAAAGTTTATAACTCTTGGTTTTAGATTGGTTTTACATAACAACAATTATAACAAACACTTTAAGCTTTATAAACTTAACTGATTGATTGATTGTTTGTGTGATTGATTGATTGTTTGTGTGATTGATTGATTGATAAGTATTATACTTGAATAGTGGTTGGTTGGTTGATTTGATTGAATTATTATTACACTAGTGATGACAGAGACTTGTTTGTTGTTATAATAAATAATGTTTAGTTTGATATAATTTATAAATATATATATAGTAGTAGTTTTTTAAGCTGTTGCTGAGGGTGTACCGAATCCAGTATCTTTCAAGAACCATGGGAATATACTTGCTGCAACACTAAAAAAGAATGTAACGATTGCAATAATCCATCCTGTATATGGTCCATACTATAGTAATTCATATTAGAAAGTAATAAAGTAAGTAAGAATAAACTCTTTAAAAAATATTTTGATTATATGGTGATATTATTTACTTTTACTTCATTGTTTGAACCAGCCCAGTGGAATTCACATGTATCAACACAAGGAGTGAATACGTCGGTGACTGTGTTGGCGTTGTTGATGTCCTTTCGCATTGCCGGTGTGAATCCACCGAGAATACCAACTGATACCAAAAGCAATACAGTTCCAATGATAATCATGATCTTCACCAACAACCATGCACTTATACTTCCAATTTGCTGAACAACTTCAATCTGTACCAACACCGCTAAAATCGTTGTAGCCAAATAGACCAGCCATGAAATAGCTGCCATTGCAACACAAGCATTAATAATCTGATGTGAACTGTTGTTCATTAATTGATATATGTTAGTCTATCTATATTATGTTTCGAAAAAGGAATGAATTCATTCATTCATTTGAAGTAAATAACATACTTTGTTAATTCTCTTGATCCCCAATCGAAATCGATAGCCGATACTTCATTGCCATCTTGTACAATGGTACTCTTTATCTGAGTAGGATAGAAATAGTAGTTTGCAAAACGTCCAGTGCCCACCTGTTGATTTACACGGTACCATCCAGTTACGCATGCCGCAATCACCAATGCCAATATGCCTATCAACATTAATATGGTGATCGATGTATATTTATTTGATTTAAAATTTGAAAACTGTGGCATTTCTTTCTATCTATCTATCTATCTAATTTATTTATATATTTTCTAAAAAAAAAAATTGCAATATGATTTATTTTATTACTGATATTGTTGGCAATAGTTTGAACTTTATAAGTTAATTGACATGCTTGATGTTTTTCAAAACAAAAAAAAAAAGAAAAAAAAAAAAAGAAAAGAAATCTTTTTAATCAGAAAGTCATACTGCCAAAGAGATGGAACCCCCAATAAGATTACACTTATTTTGTTTTTTTTTGTTTTTGAAAAATAAATGGGGTAATTTTCTATTTTATCCAAAAATTACAATGTGGTAAATTTTTATTCAAATAAAATTTATTAGTTTTTTTTAAAAATTTGCGAATTATTTTGGTAAAAAATACATGAACTAGTTGGGTTGATGATTACACTTGTGGGTCAATAGTGATTGCATTGTTCGAAATTACAATGAATTGTACAATCAAATAAAGAGTAAAGACATAATAATTTCAATATTATTTTACTTTTGTTTGCTGATAACAATCATTTAATATTGAACCAAAAAGCAAAAAAATGATATCACAGTCAATCGCAATCAAAATTATTTGAAAAAAAAAACAAGACAATTAATTGTTGGTTACTCTGTTTTTAAAAACTTATTTGTGTAATTTTATTTTATTTTTACAATCTATATTATAGTGATGTTAGAGATAATGATGATAGAGATGTCAATGATAGTGTAAGAATACCTCCTCCAGTTGTTGTTGTTGTGGAAGTTGTTGTTGTTGTTGTTGAGGAGCCAGGCTGATAGTTATCATCTAATATCATATCGGCACCCTTCTCTGCTATTACCATTACAGTGGCATGCACTAGCGAGTTAACAATGGTAGGAATAACCGATGCATCGACAACTCTCAATCCATTGACACCGATCACTCTGAGACGGCTATCGACAACCGCCATCGGATCGCTAGGTGCTCCCATCTTGGCAGTTCCGCACCAGTGGTCGTGAGCGATCGTATTGTTTTTCACCCAGTCTGACAAGTCGGAATTCGAAGAGATACTCAACGGCGGTGATATCGATGATGCTTTACTGTTCATTGGCGGATAAGACATGACACGTCGTGTCTCCAATATGCCTCTTATCAGCGTTTGCACATCGTCATTGTCATTCAACAGCGAGAAATGAAGCTCTGGTGATTTCGTATAAAAGTCATTGGCACTACCGGTTTGGTTGCTACTCAGTCCGATCCAGTGGTTATTAGGTTTCGGCTTGGATATCGACACGCCAATCGATAGCGTTGGATAGGGTGTGGTCGATCCTAGTGTTCCGGGAAGTATGAGCATTACATTCTCACTCACTCCAACTGCCGATGCATTGGGACGTAGCCAACAGCCAACACTGAATCCAGGCGTTGCCAGAATACTATCGCCGGTACCTGCTTCAAACTTATTGGTCTCGGTAAACAAGTCGTAGAAAGTTGGACGTTGCTCAGGAGAATTATAAGCCCACACAGTAAATGCGAGGAAATGGTTTTGTAGGTTCTTTCCGACACCCGGAAGGTTAGAGTAGACATTTGGAATCTTTGAAGAGTAGCTACCGAGATACGTAGAATTACCTATTCCACTATTCATTAGAATCTTTGGAGTGTTCAATGCACCGGCCGACAATATAATCTCCTTGTTGGCGGTGAATATGGTGGTGGATTGATTAGCAAATTGGATAAGTACTGACCGTGCAGTTGGTGGTCCACCCGAAGTCGATGATGGAACAAAATTGATTTTCAGAACCGTTACTTTGGTTATCAGTTTAATATTGGGAAGCGACAGTGCAGGCAGCAAATACTTGTGGAATGGCGATGACCGAATTCCATGTTCGTCGATATTGAATTGGAAATAGCCACAGCCGTCGCGAACATCGTTTTGGAAATCGGAATTGAATGGTAGGCCTGCACTTGCCGATGCTTGAATGAAATCATTTCCTTCTTGGTCGAAAGGTATCGTTTTCACTTTGATCGGACCGGAATGTCCATGATTGGTCGATGCCGATAAAGCAGGGTCCAGTATAGTTTCTATCCTCAAAAAGTAGGGGAACAAACTCGACCAATTCCAACCGCCAACATTCCAACCATCGTAATCAGCTTGTTGACCTCTCTGGAAAACCATTCCATTGTGCATTCCACATCCACCAGTTACTTTGGCCACACCTGCTCCCGGTATATCCCAATTCAAACCAGTCAAGTAAACACTACTCCAATATAAAGGAATATCATACTTTGTAAATGTTTTCTAGAAAAAAATGTTAAAATTATATATTATTTCAGAAAGATTAAAGTAAATATTTACTTGTGGTGTATATGTATTCTTGGAATTAAATGTACCTAAATTAATTATTAATTATTTAATAAATATTGTCATTTTAATTAATATTTATTAATTAAATTTACCTTGTGTTCCTGCAACATCTTGACCATTTAATCCTTGGGTTTGTACAGATTCTTCGCCAGCATCCAAAACCAAAACACTACTTCCATTCTTTGCCAATCTAGATGATACAATGGAACCTGCTGAGCCAGCACCAATTACTATATAATCATAACTTACACCAAAAACTATATTGATAAACAATAAACAAATAAATAATATCTTTAACATATTTCTCTAAGAGTTTAGTTTTTGAATTTTTTCAATTAAATAAATAAATATATAAATATAATGAATATAGATGCTGATATTTATATGTTTGTTTGTTGCTCTTCCAATTGATGAAAACATTCTTTTTCATCCTTTCCTTCTTAAAAAATATAAAGATAGAGTAATTATGATTATTCTATCTTTTCAGGGCATCACTATTATTATTAAAATAGTTTTTGGTGCTTGTATCGTATTGTGCTTACTACTTTAGATGGATCACTCAACTTGAGTTGAATCTTTTTATCCTTTATGATATTGATCATGTTTTAAACGCCCTAAAACACACTCTAGAGTTGACATTTTCTTTCCAAACTAATAGATAGTTGGATTTCATCATCCAACCAAAACATTGATGAGATAAAAGTGCTGATGAAATTGATCAACTTGAACAAGCCCAAAAATCTTTACAGTCAACAAGAAACACAAAATACTATCACTTTTAAAAAAAAACCTAAACGATCTTAAATATTTATGATACCTGAGTAGTGTGTGTGTGTGTTGTGTGTGTATGTGTGTAAGTCTGTTTATGATTGATGTGGTTTTATTGATTGTGTAGTCAATCAAAAAAATTTTAATTTTTGAAAGAATTTATGATAAAAAAAATAGTGGTGAATTTCCAACTTTTTGGTTTTTATTAACATTTTAATCTTTTAATATTGCAATTTACTTAAATTAAATTAATATATATTTATATTTGATAATAATTTAAATGATTAACAAAAAATAGTAAATGGGGAGTGACAGGTGACTATTCTATCTTTAGGGGGATAGTTATTTGGAATTGACCATTTTCGGTTGAATTTAATTGAAACTGTTAAGATTAACAAACAAAATAACATTACTTAAATTACAAATATATTAATTATTTAGAATAAAAAGATCTTTATTCTATCTAGTAATTTGAAGTTATCCAATAATTAGATGTCTTTTGTCAAGTTAGGTAGGTAAGTAGTTATTAGAGTTGCCTAGTAATAATTAAGTTGGTAATTTTTTTTTTTTTTTTTTTTAGTTGAATTATGAATGAGATTATTATTATTATTATGTATTATCAATTAGTTATATCTTTATCATTCAAAGTGTTTTTGTTGATTGTTGTTTTTTTTTTTTTGAAAGTGGTTTTATATTTCTTTTGATTCTATTATTCTTATTATTGTTGTTGTTGTTGTTGTCTGGTTTCTTCAAGGTCTTCAATTTGATCTTTTCTGATTCTATTCCAAATGGACTCTGCTTCGACAAAATTGTCGTAGAGTGATTGTTGTACGAGTGATTCGGTGTGGAGTGTCTTTACAATTTGCATGACTTCATTGAGGAAGTCAGTGGCTCTCTCGAGATCCTTCTCGATGGAGATACAGTTGGGGAAGATCGACTCCATGTCTTCGATCAACAAATCCTCAAGGATCATACCCTTGGCCATCAATCCCATACTGGCATTTGGTTGGACAAAGAACGGCAGGTTATTCGAGAAGCTAGAGTACTCTGATGGCTCCAAAACGATCTTGTGTGTAAGGAAATTGGAAAGAGCGGAAATCTCAACAAGATTTCTAATCGATTTGTAGAGAGTTCTAGAGATCTCATGGAATGCCATCAAGTCATGATCGATTGGTCCTCCCCATGGTGTATTCTATTAATGATAAAAGAATTGTAATTTAGTACTAAAACGTAGTTGATTTGATTTCTCACTAAAGATACATACATCCAAGGTAGAAGGTAAAATACTAAGTATTCTTGAGAGTAATGCGGCGGATGCGTTGGTAGCTGGACCTTCAAAAGTTGGTTTTGGATGGAAATTCAATTTATCAGAGGTGATACATTGTGATCTGATCAACTCAATAACCAAAATAATCTCCTCCAAAAACTTGGAATTCTTAATGTTGGCCAACAATTTACCAAAAACTGTAAGCTTTCCATCTTGGATATATCCCATCAATACCAATGTCTGATAATAAATATAAAATGATGCTTCATTTGGTTCCTTAAACTATCATATGATAAATTTGTTAATAAGAATCTAATATTATTTTTGAATGAAATAATGAACTTACTTGACTATTTTCTTTAGGAGTACCATTTGAATGAGTATCAGAGTTGACGATGGATGGTGAAGTAGATGCGGAAGTTGTTGATGTTGTTGGTGTTGACGAGGAGGTGGTGGTTGTTGTTGGTGTGGAGGGAGTTGATGATGATGAGGTGGTGGCGGCGGCGGCAGCGGCGACTGCATTTTCGAAACACTTGACAACAGTTTGGAAAGTGGTGGAACCGCTTAGTGATTGAATGACTTGCTTCATCTCTGGTGTGAGATTGAATGGTTTTGCCTGCTTGCCAAAGACGGTCGACAGTTTCTTTGAGTGTTGAATCTCCTCTTCCTTTGGCTCGAACCAACGGATGTTTCTAATGGACTTGTTACTGATTTCCTCGTTCAGAGTGCACGACAACAATCCAAGAGTATTTGTTCTGATTTCCTTTAGATACTCCAACATTCTGCGGTACTCCTCGGAATCGGCAGTTGGATACGGTTCAAACAACACTCCACTAATTAGATTATTAATAACCTGAGGACTGACTACACTTTGTGAAAGGTAGAAATAGAGATCATTTGGAAGTCTTGGTCCAAAGATTGAATTTAAATCACTTGGTTTACTGTTATTAATTAATAAGAAAAAGTTTGTTATTTTCGTTGTTTGTTTGTTTGTTTGTTTGAATTATGAATATATTACTTACACTTGATATGTTAAATCTTTATATAATGGTTCACAACTGCAGTTGGTGTAGTAGACCATGTGGTTGCGAAGAAGACATTTGGTTTTCATGAATGCTTCCATGTACTTGTCAGTGTTGAAGAGATAGCTGTGATCTTGGATGACGGCGATACCCGATTGGAATTGTCTGACCATATCGCAAGCGGCACGGAAATGCACCAAGTTATTAAAGTTATTTTGGAAAGTTCTGAAAATCGGACAAAACTCATATCCAGACAATAAACAGGCATCAACAAATTGATCGTGTGTCAAATGTAAATCTTGTAAAACCATCTTCAAATCTACCCATTCAAATACTCCTTTCTATAATAATAATAATAACAATAACAATAAATATTAATATTATAAATAATCCAATTGGATGTTTAAATAAATAAATAACAGTCAAAAAATAAACAACAAACATAACATACCTCGAAATCAATATCAACAATGAGACGATATACTCCAAATAATAAAAGATCGTATCCACCCCAAACGGCATTGAGATAGTTCTTCTGAGTGGGATCAGAGAATAGAGCTAGTTGTGCGGCTGCCCAGAATGGTGCTTTGAAACATTCGATATTGTTCTGTCTGAAAAATGCAACAATCGATGGAATGAATTGTAATAATAATGTTTTCTCTGTTATGATTATATATGTATGTAGTGTATGATTTGAATATTAGGTAAGATAAGTAAAAGAGTAATGGTAGTAGTAGTTTGAAATAAACTATCTATTATTGTTGTTTCATATTTACCTGATTCAGCAGAGAATTGTTTTTCGGCAGCTTGGTACGATGCTTTGTAATATGCTTCCCAAGCAGTGCTGAGACGACCTGCACGTTGATGTGCTTGTGTCGATTGATTGTTTCTGTCTTTAATAATCGATAGTCCAGAGAATACAAAAAATGGATTGATATTTGCATTTCTACACAATAACAATGGTGGTAGGTGATAAAGTAAGTTTTACAATATGTTAATATGATGATCATCATTATGATTGCTTCAATTCAATTCTTAATCAACAATAACAACAACAACAACAACATACTTGAATTTATCTAATTCAGATTGAATTACATTATATAAAGTGAGAGGAGCACCACCCATTGTAATTTGGAATGGTTCCTTTAGTTGTAGCTTCGGTAGACACCAATGCATTGCATCTATACCAATACGATAGTCATTGAGCAGTGATATCTTTGATGTTTTAAGATGTGATTTCTCGATGAAATCTAGATTAAACATAACATTATTACAACATAACTATATATTAGATATTATTAGATTATTCAACCCAATTGCAAATATACATACCAACAATAGTTCTATTTAAAGGCATGTTTGTTTATCTATTTATATATTACTGTTTGTTTTTTTTTTTTTTTTAACAAAAAAACAAAAAAGAATTGATCAATTGTGTTTAAACTAAAAAATAATATGATCAAATATCTAAAAAAATATATTCTAATCTGATCTAATGTCTATATATTATATTTATTATATATCTATTATTATTATTTTACTTTTTTTTTTAGTTTTTATAAAATGTTAATTAATTAAACAATAAGGTGATGATAGTGATTATGATGGTGATGATTGATTAATTGATATATTAATATATTTTTTTTTGCACTTCAAATTATGATTATTATATAAATTAACAATTTATTTATTTTTATTGTATTTTTTTTTGATCATAAAAAACGGGCTTTTTTTTTTCATTTTTCTATTTTTTTTTTTCAAAACAACTTCAGCTTTTTTTTTAGCGAGTCTACACACCCCCAAGACAATTCTAGACTGAGAAATAATAAATAAATCAAAATTAATTCAATTTGATTTTATTTTAGATTTATATATTATATATATTTGTTATTTTTTATAGATAGATAGATAAAGATCGATCGATAACGAATCACACATAAATCAAAAAAAAAGATGAATATAGATCAACAAATCGAAGCAGATTTCAACAATCCAAAGTTGGATGTCGTACAAATCGATGGTATCGTCGTCATGAAGATCATCAAGAACTGCAAAGAGTACTTGCCAGAGTTGGTACCAGGACAGTTGTTGGGTATCGATATTGGCACCAGCTTGGAGGTGAGCAGTTGCTTCCCATTCCCAAACTTGCGTGACCAAGAGGACGATCTCAACGAGGGTGGCATCGCAGAGTATCAGTTGGAGATGATGCGTTTCTTGCGTGAGGTCAATATCGATTCAAACACAGTCGGTTGGTACACCCCAACCTACTTGAATTCGTTCTTCAACGAATCGGTCATCGAAACACAATACAAATATCAATCGGCAATCAACCAGAAGTGTGTGTTGCTCGTGTACGATCCAATCAAGACCGCACAAGGAACACTCTCGTTGCGTTGCTACCGATTGACCACCACCTTTATGGAGTTGTTCCGTAACCACCCGTACAGCCGTGAGCGTATGGACAACGCTGCACTCTCGTTCGCCGACATCTTTGAGCAGATTCCCATCCGTATCCACAACGCACAGCTCATCAACGCATTGCTCTACGAGTTGCGTGACGATTCCATCTCGAATTTCGACCGTTTGAACATCGGTAACAATCTTTACTTGGAGAAGGTCGTCGAGGGTATGACCGACTGCGTCGACTCGCTCTCACAGGAGGTTAGCAAGGTTGCCAACTACCAACGTCAATACCAACAACAACAGTTCATTCGTAACTCTTTCATTCAAAAGAAGACATTGGAAGGACAAAAGGTCGAAGAAGAAGAGATTGCCGCTCACGTCGCTTCCATGGTCAACAAACCATTGCACGCACCATCAAAGGTCACCAGTTTATTGCTCACCAACCAAATCAACAACTATTGCGATCAACTTTCATCATTTTGTGGAGGTAGTCTGACAAAATTATCTCTCTACAGAGAATTGACAAACAAATAAATTAAATAACCAAAATAAATAAAAAAAAAAAGAAAAACTATACCAGTAACAATAAACAATATAATATATATTATCTAAAAACAAAACAATATTAAAAACTATAACCTTTTAAATGTTTATTATTTAAAAGTTAATAAACAAATATAGCGTAATAACAAATATATTATTAAAACAAAGTTTTATATATTTATTTGATAAATTAATTACAGAATTTTATTAGAGATACCAAGTTAATATTATTTATATTATATTTATAATAGATAATATAATTAACTTTAAGTTGAACTATTATTATTTAAGAGTTGTATTGATTGTAGTGTTGTATTTTGTTGTTATATATTTGGTTTTTTTTGTTTTAAGGAAGGGATGTAAGTGAATTGATTGATAGGTTAGAGGTAGAAAGATAGGTTGTTCATTTGATTGACTGATTGATTGATTGATTGATTGTTTGATCGATTGATCGATCGATTTAAGTATTTGATTGATTGATTCTATTCATTGATTCGGTCATTTGTTGTAAATGAATAGTAAAGTATTGTTCTAATTATTATTATTGTGATATTTCATTTCTTTTTTTCTTTTTTTTTAAATGTATTTCTTAAGCTGATCCTTTAACATCATAGACTAATGTAATATTATCACCTTTAAGTAATATCTGTCCCAGAGGTTTTCTTGTTTTCTTTTTCATTGAAATTTCAAATGCATTATCTAATACTAAGTTCATATATTCATCAAGACCCTATAAATATGATAAATGAATCTATAGATTAGTAAAACTAGTTCATTTCTTTCTTTTGTTTAAAATGATATCAATATGAACATACAATAATAACACCTTCAATTCTAAGATCTGTTTGTTCGAATAACATGATTTGTACAACTGACTTTTGTGTTAGGAACTTAAATATCAAGCTCTACATAAGATATATATAGTTTTGATTAGTTAATTAATAATCTTAAAATGAGTAAACGATAAAATATATAAGAAATCTCCTATATTTATCTTTATCTACTTAAAACATACCACAGGCTTGAGCATAACAGATTTCTGTCTATATTCTGACATTATTTATTATATTTATATATATATTATATATTTAGACTATAAGAATATACTTTAAAGTAATCTAATCTTAATTAATTAGTCAAATAGGTTTAAAAGAAAACATTACAAGTCAGCTTTGGCGATCATGTTGTTTCTCTCATCAAAAAAATTCAAAAATTTTTCATTTTCTTTCGTATTGTTGAATTTTCAAAGTTTGGTGTGGACATCAAAGGTCGGCTTGATTGGAACTGACTGTGAACATCAAACAATATTAAATATTGATAACAAATGAAAAATTATTGTTATGATTTGATATTATTATTATTGTAACTATTATTATTTATCATTTATTTCATTTATCTTTAAGTGGTGGCGAACCTGATGACTTTGTAATACTGAGAGTTGGCCAATCTGGAACACTTTGAATTAACTCTGGTCCACTTTGTTTAAATGCTTCTTTAGTTTCTTCGTCATCTGATGATTTTTTAAATAATAATCAAATTTTGATTAGTTAGTTATATATTTGTTATTGTTGGTATTATTAATAATACATACTTTCGATTGCATTGGTCATCATTGGCATAACAACGATTAGAATACCAGTGATACCCATCATAATGATCATTGGTGATTTGAAAAGACCCCAAATACTAAAGGGTGCGTGTTTCTCAAAGAAAAAGGGTAGTCCTACTGGTTTCATGGTGATTGGTGATTGTACTACTGTATCATTATCATTTCTAACTCTAACTTGACGTTGTTTGCTTACGTCGACCTTCATTTGTCTGAAAACATAATCTTTACTGTCTACATCTAAAATATATGATCCTGTCGGAATATTAACACTGGTAGTAGTAGTAGTATTTATAAATATTCATATTAGAATTATTATTAATATTAGTTACTTGTTGCTTGCTGTTGCAATCTAATCAATTTTATAACATCATATCGACGTTAATTGACTCACTATAAAGATTACACAACAAAAATAGTACAGGTGAATGAATGAATGAATGAAACCTACAAAGAGAATTGACCATCGACATTTGGTATTTGCTCAACAATATTATTTTCATCTACATTATCTATCAATCTCAATCTTATATTATCTAACTTTATGGCATCTAAATCTTTAATTAACAATATTGAATAAAATGAGTTAATAATCATGATCAATATCGTTTTCTTATAGATAGATAGATAACTTACATTCTTTATTGACACCAAATGATAGTTTACCATCTAATTTATTTATAAAAGTAGATTGATATGAAACATCTATTGTTATCAAAAATAATACTACTATACTGCTTATATATATATATCCTTTCATTTTCTTTTAAAAATAAAATTGTTTAACAAAAAATTTAATCTAACAGTTTTTATGTTCAAAAACTATTTTTTTACATACAAAAAACTAATTATTCTTACAAAAATAAAGGTTTATATAAATTAGAATTAGTAAATAAATAAATTGTATACCTGATCTCAACTGTTATAGTATAACCAAATAATCAATATTTTGAAATAATTTATAAAAATATTTGTATTACAATATATATTGTTTTTTGAACTTCAATGTCCATCATGATAGCTCATTTCAAACAAAGAGTTTTAATTAATATTTTTTTATCAAAGTTTAATATGGTTTACTATCAGTAGCATGTATTTACACTGTTAGGTCAAATTTGTCAAAACATGTTTTGAAAATGAAGAGTATTTCTTCAATTTATTGAAGGTCTTGAACTTAAGCACAAAAACATCTTGACATACAGAGTCTTGCTTCTTCAATGGTTGGCTTTTGGAAGCACATTCTTTGACAGAATTCCTCACAGTTATAAAATGGTGGGCCAATTGTGTCTGTATAGGAGATAGCTATCGTGGCAGACAGTAAAAGAGCAACTAACGTAAATACTAAGTTTTGATACTTCATTAGGAATATTATTTATTGTTAATGATTATTAAATTTTGTAACTAACACTATAGTCATGACTCTGAACATATAGTTTATGTTTATTGAAAAATAAAAAACAAACAAATTGAATTATACTACAGATATAATTTAAATCTAAAAAAACATATATATTGTGCACTAAACTATTATTGTGGAATAAGTTAATCTAATATAAAATATAACAAACTTACATCTTTGTGCTTCAGACCATGCAAGAATTTCACTCTCTATTGATTTTTTATTAAACTGTATATTATTTTTATTGTTACAAGTATTATATGATTTAAATAGTATACTACAAATGTATCTTTTTCTTTTCAATCTAATTTGTCTCCATAGCTTGAGTCGACATACCCTTTACATTTCAAGAGCATTTAAATGGGATCACTAACTACAAATGACAACCATGAAGTCAAACCAAAATCTATTTTACCCTTCTCAGGTTTTTGAACTCTATCGAATCTAGAAAAGATAATGGTCTCACAAAAAGAATAGAGAGTGGATGAGATAATTAATCTTGCATGATCTGAAGCCCAAGGTGTAAGACTTGTTTTATAGATTAGATTTCCAGTAGTTAACTTTTTTTTTTCGTCTAGATAATCATTTTCAAAATAAAAAAGAAAGAGGTAGAAAAGAAAAAAGAATCTAGAATGCCAAAGAGTATTAATATTTTAAATATACTAAAATTTGAAAAATGTTGACACTTATTAATACCAAATTGGAATTCTAAACTCCGATTCATGCCTGCTGCTACTTCAAGACTTCAGAATATTTAATTAATCAAACACTGACTCATAAATTCAAAAGATGTATCAACAATAGGTAAATTAATGGGATTGAATATTCTTATTGAGAATCACATGAAATCTACATTGGAATAGCTATTGATGTTGTTCTCTTCCAAAATGATGTTTTTGCCTCTGCCAATTATCTATCTATTAAAAAAAGATTTCTCTGTTTCCATTTTTTTAGTTATATTGCTTTTTTATTTTTGTTGTATTTATATATTGTAGATCTATTTATTTATTCTCGATGATTCCCATTATATCGTGTTCATTGAGTAAATAGTAGGTTTTATCTTCGATTGGGATGACTTGTGTCTTGGCATTTGGTGAAATCAAAACGGTGTCACCGGCTTGTACGATGGTTCCAGTGAATGTTCCGTCTGGTTTGTATGCACCTGTACCAACAGAGATGACACGAGCGTGATTTGATGGTCCCTTGCTTTGTGGCAAACAAAATACCACCTGCTGTTTGTGTTGGTCCAGACAAACGTTCAACTAAAACACGATCCAACAATGGAATGAACTTTTTAAACTAATATATATTATCATTGTATTATTTCAAATTTAAACAAATATTAGTTAAATCATAGTTCTCATAACTAAAATATTCAAATATATATATATATATATACCTACAGACATCTTTATATAATATATTTAATTAAAAAAAAAAATAATCAAACTGATCAAATCAATTAGTTTATCATGTTCAAAATCAGTTCAAAAAATCATGCACACTTGACACCCACACAATCAATGTCTCATCCAAAATTTCGTTTTTTCCTTTTTTTTTTTTTATTATTTTTAATTTTTTTCTTTTTTTATTTTTATTTTGACGAACGACTCTTTTTTTTGATAATAAATAACTAAAATTATTATTTTTTTTTATTATATTAAAAATTTATATTATTTATATATTATTAGAGAATGAAAGAATCAATAAAAAGAAAGATTGCCGAAGAGGATTCAAAAAGAGAGAAAAATGAAAACAATAATAAAAGTGTAAAGAAACAAAAGAATGAAAATAATAAGAGTACAAGCAGAGTTGCTGCAGCAACTACACCACAAGTTAAGGAAGATGATAGTATATTTATAAAGAAGCGTGTTCTCGTTATGTCTACACGTGGTATCAGTCCAAAGAATAGACATCTTATGGGTGACCTCTTGGATCTCATCCCACACTCCAAGAAGGAGTCAAAGTTGGACGATCGTAAGTCACTCTCACTCATCAACGAGTCCTGTGAGATGAAGAGTTGCAACTATGCCATTCTCTTTGACTCTCGTAAGCATACCGATCTCTATCTCTGGATGGCCAAGACACCACTAGGTCCAACCATCAAATTCGGTGTTTCAAATGGTAAGTAAATTTTTTTCAAAAGTTAAGTTTTCGATTATTATTTTGAGATATTAATATTAAAACAATTTATAATTTATAATTTATTTAATTTTTATTATTATTATCAAATATGTAGTTCATACATTGGAAGAATTACAAATGACAGGTAATTGTTTGAAAGGAAGTAGACCATTTTTACATTTCGATGCAACATTCGATGGACAACCACACCTTCAGTTGGCAAAGGAGTTGTTGACACAGATCTTCAGTACTCCAAAGGGACACGTAAAGAGTAAGCCATTCTTTGATCATGTATTCGCATTCTTTTATCAAGACGGTCGTATTTGGTTCCGTAACTACCAGATCTCCGACCACGAGTTCAAGAAACAAGAGCGTCTTCTCACTGAGATCGGTCCAAGAATGATTCTCCACATTTCAAAGATTTTCTCTGGTGGTTTCGGTGGTCAAGTATTATATAGTAATCCAGAGTTTGTTTCACCAAATGATGTATGTTTTTAATCAAATCAAATCAATCAATCTATTCATCAATTAATTATTAATCAACCTTTACTTTACTTTTAACTTTTAGAATCGTATGAACCAAAAGACATTAAAAGCAAACAAGTATGTCAAGAAAATTCAATCTAGAAAGGTTTCAGAAGAAAGACATAACAGCGCATTTATTGAGCCATCTGAAGTTGAAAGATTATTTGATGAAGACTATCACGGACTTGAACAATAGAATTAATATTTGTCTAATAAAATAAGCTATCAATAGAAACAAAGCACAAAAAAAAAAAAAACAAAACCAGTTATTATAACTTTTAATAATTGAGATGATAATAAGTATATTTATAGAAATCTAGCGATCTAACAATTATTATTCAGATAACAAATGATTTTGATGTTGTAGTTGATGTTGTTGTCGTTGCTGGAGGTGATCAGTTAATTTATCTACAGTCATTGAGTTAAGCGATAGGTATTGGTAATCAATGTATTTCTCGTGTTCTATGAATTCAAAAAAGTTCAAAATTTAATAGATGATAAAATGGGAACCTTCTTGCCTGTCTAGTTTAAAGATAAAATTGTTTTATTAATATATAACAATGGTCTTATTATGAAGTAAAGTTTAATTTATAAATATATAAACAAAAAGTTACTATATATAATTCAAAACAAAAAGGAGATTTTTTCTATTAACCAGTGTGATCTTTAAAGAATGTTGTTTTTGTGTCAGTTGTTACCATAATATCGGATATATTATTACTGTTGGTAACCATCACTATTACTATATGTATAATATGCTTAATTAATAAATCTATCAAACAAACAACACACACCACATATCAAATCAAACAAACACACTTTTTTTTTTTTACACAATCCAATAAGATGATGTTTGTTGTTTGTTTTTTTGTTTCAAGTTGGTGGTACACAAAAAAATTTCAATTTTTTATTTATACTGGTTTAAACATAATCATTGATATTAAGTTATCAGTATATAAATATGGTTATTTATGAAAGGTTAAATAAGGGGGTGAAACATGAAGGAGTTGATATCAAACAATAATTGTTTATCTTTGCTTGATATGATTATTAGTTAATAGTAATATTTTTATGATCTCATTCATTAGTTTGCATTTTACAAACTTTTGATTCACAAGTAATGTAAATTTTGATTGATGGTTGAAATTTGACATTGAAAGATTGAGTGAGCAATAGAAAGAGTGCGTTAGTAAGTAAAAAATGAAAGAAGTCACTCTTTTGAGGGAGTCATAACATTGTTACTTTCAAAAAAAGTTAACACTTGATACTTGGTGAAAATCTAAAAAAAGGAAATATTGTTAGCATTCACTTTTTGTTTTCAATCAAGAAAATTGACAACAATATAACCTACTACAAATCAACTTTTATTTTTTTAAAATATAGTTATATTGTTTCAATCTATATTTAAATCATTTTGTTCAAAAAGCAAATCTAATCAAAAATTAATATTAATAATTTAAATAATTTTATGTAATAGACTTATCATTATTATTGTTTAATCATTTTATCTCTTTTTTCCAATTTTATATTTTATTATATAATTTGTTGTTCCTAATAAAGAAAAAAACAAAAATGTCATTGATTTATCTAAATAAAATAAAATATTCATTTTTGGTATTATTTATTTTATATAATATTATTTTAGTAAATGGTGATGTTAGCGTTAGTAATATAGTTTATGATAATGGATTTGCCTATATTTATGGAAATGGATTCCAGGTTGATAGTAACAATATGTATATTGGAAACAAAAAGATTCCAGCAACGGATTATACAGTTTTCAACTCGACATGTATAAAACTATCTTTTTCCTATTCTTCATCAGATACAAGCATTATAGTTCAAGGAGCTGTTTTCACTTGGAATCCAATCTTCATTGATAATGTTTCAAATTTCAAAACAGAAGGTGGTTCAATTACAGTCAGTGGAAATTACCTTCAGGATTTGAATGCTGACAATCTAAACTATATTGTTTTAAGCAATTCACCTAGATTTTATAACACTATCTCAAATTCAAATATTTCAATGACAATGAATGTTTTCAATGTTCCAAATTCATTTTTAAATACAATAGCTGGTGGAAATATTCCTTTAATAATTAGTATTAGAAATAAAAATATAACAGATACTTGGGGATTCATTGGTAAGTAGAAATTTTAAAAACATAATATTAATAAATAAAAAAATTCTAATTTAATAAATATTTAGAACCAACTATTACAAATGTAAATATGAGTTCCAACTCTATTACTATAACCGGAGATAGTTTTGGAACAGTTCCAAGTAATGTAATAGTCACTGTCGATGATTTTACTATTCAAACTGTTTCAGTAACAAACCACACTCAAATTATTGCAGATTCTAGTAGTTTACCTTCTGGATATTTCAATATTGCTGGACAAAAGAATATCGGAATTAAATTAAAGAATTATAGTGATTCATATATAATTAATATAAGTATGTATCTTTTTTTTTTTTAAAAAAAAAGTTGGATTATCTTGAAAATTTTAATTCTAATTTAATTTTTTTATCAAATTTTTTAGGACCAATTCCTAAATCAGTAACATCAGTATCAAGTGATAAAGGTGGTATAATTACAGTATCTGGTGATTTGTTTAACCAACTTAGATCGAATGGAGCACAAACAACTAGGTCTATCACAGTTGGTCCATTTTCATGTGACAACACTCAACCATTGTTTTTAAATAGCAATGCTTTTACATGTGTGATGCCACCATTGAAATCTTCTTCGGATGAAGGTTTGAATCTACCAGTTTCAATCACTATTGATGATGCCGAATCCACAGTCTCTATTTCATTTAGCTATGATATCCCAAGAGTAGAGAGTATCCAACAATTTGGAAATCTTATTTCTGTAAGGGGATCACGTTTGTACTCTCCACTTTCAAACGATTCGAAAGTAGTGATCAATGCTACCTCTTACACTCCTCAGTCTATAAGAGTAGATAATACAACAATGTTCAATGATATCACCAAAGTTGACAGCAGAATCTTCATTTTGGATTTACCAATCGATCAGAACTTGTTGGGTGGATCATACTTGGGCTATACCACCATCCATAAAGGAATACTCAGATCCAACGAAGTGCCGTTCGTTATCAAACCTGATATTGGTACAATTACCTTCCCTCCTACCAAGGGTGGTTTAATATCTATAAACGGTGCACTCTTTAGAAATCCTATCAATGTAACATTAGATAACAAAATCAGCAAAACTCCTTGTACCAATGCAACACTTTTCAGCACCAATTTAATTACTTGCAATCTTGCACCAGGCTCTGGAAAGAATATTTCTATATTAGTTACTGTAAATAATTTAACTTTAAACTCAATGATTAGTTACCAACGTATGTAGAAACAATTAGATTGATAATAATTTGAATACTAATAGTTGTTTTTTGTTCTTAACATAATAGCACCATTGGTAATTAGTGCTACCTCAGTTACACAGTCAGGTGGATTTGTTACAATCTTTGGTGAGAATTTCAGTCCTGAAAATCTTGATGTGTTAATCAATGGTACCAGTTGTTCAACTGCACCAACCTGTTTGTCGGATACTATGATTCTATGTCCACTCTCCAGCGATGTAATAACCAACCAGTTTAACTTTGATGGCTACGTCCCTGTATCTGTTTTTGTGAATGGGCAAGTAGATACCAAGAGTGTTTTCAAAGTGGAATCTGTCTCTGGTACAAGCCGATTCAATTACCTTCCGATTATATTACCAATTGGAATTATAACGGTTCTCTTTATCGTAGGAACAACAGTTGTTCTGACATACATTAAAATCAAAAAGTATCGACAATTGAAAGCTGTAATGAAATTTATAAATTCAGACTAAAGCCAAACCTGTTTAACCAACCTAACAATATATACATTTATAAAAAAAAAACAAACAATAAGATTGTGAATAAAATTATATAATTTTCGAAAAATTCTTGGCAAATCCTGATTTACTATTTCTTAACTATTGAACTAATTTATTGTTGTATCAGATTATTTCTCTATTTCTTTACAATATCGAATTTCAACTTTGTTTTTCCAATTTTAATTTTATCACCAACCTCCAGAATGTGACGATCGATAAGCTTACGATTTACTTTGGTTCCATGACCGGAACCCATATCCAATAAAACACAACCATTCTCACTCACTTCGATCTTACAGTGAGTTCTAGACACCAGTTTATCCTCTACAACTATATTACAAGAATCGGAACGACCGACAGTGTTGGAACCCAACGATAGTTTGGAAACCTTTGGCTTTGATCCCGGTGCTGCACTGTGTGGCACGTAGGTGAGTGTCGGTACAAACTTCTTACCGAGTCCACTGAACTGTGCCTTTGGTGGTGTACCGCTAATACCACTAATCTGGTTACCCAGCGGAATGATTCCAATCTCGCCATTCTCTGACAGTGCTTGTCTCGGTCTGCCAGACTTTGAACACTCGAGTGCATCCACCCAATCGTCCATCGCAATCTGGTGTTTCGCTTTCAGAATAAACACAGACAAAGGTGTCGATAATTTAAATGAATATTGTAAATCCGATGAAATCGATGTATCACATCTAGATATATCTGTATATTTCAATGTAATAACTCCTTGTGGTGGCTAATTGTGAATGAAAATGAAAATGCGATGTTAGATAAGTTTGTTGTTGAATAACTATTGATTGGTTGATTGATCGATAACATACCAACTTTGAAGATTTATAAAAGTACAAGCATTGATTTAGTAATGCGAAATAATATTGTTTCCATGTGATTTCACCTGTATTTTCATCGTCTTCCATCATCAATAGGTTTCCTGTTTTCTCCTTCTTTGCTTTACCGATGATATGTGTTGATTTATTATCGATCTCTGCGAGCAACAAGAGTAAACGATCGAGCTCCAACTCTGTCTTTTTCTCAAACAATGGGAATACCTCTTGGAATGCTTCGAAACGCTCGTTGTAGTCATCGGCTGACAATGTATTCTTTGCCAATTTCTGCATCACAAAATTCCAACGCTCGAAATCCTCGTTGTTACACGCACAGAATGAATCGATTCTCTTGAAGGAGAACACCTGGAACATGTAGTTACTGAATTCCGGTGTTTTCATATCAATGATATTCTTTTCTCCCAAGACGATCGGTGGTGATACAAATGAAATAGAAATAATTCCTTTTGGTTTCTTTGACTATAAATATATTAATATTAATATTTAGATATGATGTCAATAATCAATTATCTTTTTCTCTTTCTTTTCCAACTATTAGTTTAATTATTAAGTTAAGATATTCTTACAGTTTTAGATTTATAATAATATAAATTATTTCCATTCAATGCGAAATAATAACGTTTCCAACCGGAGGAGAATCGTTTCTTCTTGAGTAGTTCACCTTCGATCGAACAGACTGGACCATCTAGCTCTACAAAAGTCCAGGGTCTTTCGATGACCGAGAGCAGGTATGAGATACGACGATCGACATCCGAGTGCTTATCAGAGATCTGTTTGATGTCGGTGTTGGCACGAGTTCTTCGCTTCTCATCGAACATTTTCAAAATGGTCTCCTGAGTTCCACTGCTGTGACTTCCACCGATCGTAGGCATATGATTCACGCTATTCTTTCTCTGAGCTCCACCACCGTTGCTATCCAACGAGTTCTTCTGAGCGAATTCATTTCCCAATAAATTGATTTCTTCATCGGAATCGGAATCCGATATATCTACTAATCTACCAAACATCTATATTTCCTCTATCTATTTTTATAAATCAAGTATCGAATCGAATAGATCTATTGATGATGATAGATATTGATTGTTAAATTAGTAATGAAATAAATTACTATCTTTTTTGTTTTTTTTTTTGTATCAGCAATATTTGTTATTTTTTGTTGATTTTTAGTGATTTTTATTTTTGTGTGTTGTTGGTTGATGATTATTTATTACACACAAATCAGCTGATTAGTATTTGATTTCAAATGGGTAATCACACACCTTATTTTACAATATAAAAAAAAAGTTAACTGATTTTCAAAAACGATTGTTATTATTGATAGATAAATTATACTAAACTAAAGTTATTTATTATTTAATTGTTTTTTTATTTTTGGATTGATTCATGGTTGGTCCATAAACAGCTTTCTTTTTTTTTTTTTTTTTTGTAATATAATTTTTCATTTTTTTTATAAAACCCAAAAAAAAAAAAAAAACAACAGTTTTTATTGAGAATCAAAAATAGATCATTTGGTTTTTGTGTGCTTTAAAATGAGATCGAGATCTTTTTAGTTCATGGAATTATCAAAATATCACAATTTATTATTATTTATTTATTTTATTATTTTTTGACATAAAGAAAATTAGGACTTTAACTGGTTTCATAATTTCTTACACAAAATTATTATTATTTTTTTTTACAAAATAAAAACAAATGAATCATTCATATAATTTCCATTGTTATGTTTTTCAGATATTTAGGCGTTCGTTGAATTGAATGAACTTTGCAATAAGATTGTAGTACCACAATGGCAAACGTCACTTTCTACACTTTATTTGGTTATTCTATGGTTCACCCTTTTCCAAAAAGCTGATGATTTTTCTACATTATTTAAATAATTTTATTTGAACAAAAATAATAAACAGTAATAAGAACATTCATAGAACTTCAAAAAGTAATGGTTTTATTAAAAATAAAATAAAAATGAATGCAAATAAAAAATGAAAAACATATTTTTTATTGTTATAGTTATAAAATTGAAAATTTCTTATTTATTGTTATCTGATTATCTATCATTATGTTGATGATGCATTGCATAATCGTCGTCATAATTATTGTGTAAATTTAAATTATATGAAAAATCGATAAAATTTAATTAAAATTTTTTAAAGTTCATTGCGTCTTGTCTAAACAATTAATTATTACCCACTTGTTAGATTATTGTTTGTGTTGTGTTTTCTAGTGTTTTGTTTAAGAAAATAAATAATATATAATAATAATCAATAAAATGAATCAAATTAAAGATTACTTTTCAAATTGGTTTGGATCTGAAGAGGCAGAGATTACCGGTGAGATTCCATCACCGCAATGGGAGATCAGTGGAGAGAACTTTTCATTGGATGGTCCAATACCTGTTGATGCTAGCAGCGAAGATAAATATATATGTAGATGTGGTCAGTCAAAGAACTATCCTTATTGCGACAACTCTCATCTCAGCTACAATCAGAACAACGGTACAAACATAGGCCCACTGAAAATCAATCAAGAGAAAGACAGAGTTGTTTACGTATGTCGATGTGGTCACTCAAAAGAAAGACCTTTTTGTGGTATGTGTTTTGTTCATTCAATTTTACATTTAAATAAGCTTTAAACTAACATATGTTTCAATTCTATCATAATCTAAACATACAACAAGATGGTTCACATACAAAATTAAAATATATAAGGAATAAGAATGATCATGAGAATGTTATAGATTATGTATTTGTTGTTATGGTATTTACTACTTTTGCGATCTTTGGTGCAAAAGCATATGAAACTCATTAAAAACAAAACAAAAGAAAAACTTAATTATTAATAAAAAGTATAATCTAAAAACAACCATATTGTTATGTTATGTTATTTATATTATTATTTTAATGTTCTTTTATACAATAATAATAATAGTAACTATTAAAAATTACTATTATTTATTTGATATTTTTTCTTTTTATTTCTTTTTTTTTTTGTTTTCTTTTAGTTTTATGTATGTATATATCTAGTTTGTTTGTTTGTTTGTTTTGCTTGTTTTAATGTTTTTTATCATTGGTGGAATGAAGGTGGTGGTGGTGGCATTATACCTGGTGGTGGTGGTGGAGGTTGTTGTTGTAGTTGTTGTGCTAGCATTGGTGGAGGTGGTGGGAATGATGGATTTACACCGTATGGCATGTTGGCAGGTGCACCCTGTTGAGCAAACGCTGGTATTCCTCTCTGTTTACCTGCAGCGATAAGACGTTCTGCATGACCACCGTGTTTCTCTGTTGAGTCTTTCTTTCTGGCGTAGGTCACAGAGATCGGTTTGTTACACAAGAACTGACCGTTCATCGCCTCTATCGCCATATCTGAACTTGTAAAATTATCATATGAAACGAATCCAAATCCTTTTGAAACTCCAGATGATGTATCTCTCATAATCTTTCAATTAGTTAGTTAAGTTACGTTAGTTAGAAAAAAAAAAACAGATCTAAACAACAAATGAACATAACATACCTTTGGAGGTTGTATAATAGTACCAAATTGACAAAATGTATCGTGTAGTAGTTTCTCATCGACTTCACCATCTAGATTACCAATGAACAAGTTCGCACCGACATCAATCTTATCTTTATTTCCCTATATAGTATTATAATATTTTATGAGTAATGTTTTAAAAGAATAAGTTAGTAAATAAGATAAGATCGAGATTAATGATGATGATGATTGTTGATGATAATCTTACTTTTTTCAATTTCAAAGGTCTACCAAATAACTTTACATAATTCATAATTCTCATTACATAGTCTGCGTCAGCTTCACTTTGAAATTCAATATATGCTCTACCGGAATGTTGTTGTGTCAGTTTGTCTTTTGGCATGAATACCTTTACTACTGGTGCAGCTTGTATCATCAGTTCCCAGAGTAACGACTCTGTCACCTGAGGATCTAAATCACGAACCTGTATACAAGCATCCAAGTTTCTTTCTTGAGGTATATTAGATGACATTATTAACTAACTAACTATATATATTAAAACTGATTGAACTTGATTGACAACCAATTCAAATCAATTAAAATTAAAGTGATGAGAAGATCCTACTCATTCATGAAAAATTTTAAAAAATCGAGTATTTTTAAAATTTCTTGAATTGGTTGTTAAATGACACTCGTTTTATTTGACAGTCAAAGTCTGTGTTAACCTTTCAATCAGATCAGATCAAGTTATATGCTTAACAAATCGATCAATCGGATCGGTCGATAAAACAAAATAATGTTAAGAATTATTAATAATAATATTACAACTAATAGTAATAATATATTTAAATCTATCATTGGATTAGCCAGTAATAGTAACAGTAATAGTAGTTTACATAATGGATTAGGTTATAATATTAGTAAATATTTTAATTATAATAATATTAGTAATAGTAATAATAGTAATAATATAAATTCAATATTATCAACTACAGTATTATTTAATAGATCTAATAATAATAGTATATTTAATAATGGTTTTAGAAGTGATGATAATTATAATGATAGTGGTGATGTTGGTGTTAGATATTATGCATTTAGAAAGAGAGAATCAAAGAAAAAGTTAAATAAGATAAAGAGTAATGATAATAATAGGGATAGAGGTGCAAAGCGACAGCCTAAACAAAGACCAAAGTTACAATCAATGAAAGTATCGAGAGATCTAGATACACAAGAGAAACTCATTGAAGACAAGATGAATGAACTCGAGGATAGAATCACTGAAAATAAAAAGTCATCAAGATCAAGAAAATCAAATAGCAATAATAATAATGATTCGGACGAGAATATCAAATCAAATAAACCATCAACATCATATAAACCAAGAAGAGGAAGAGTAAAGATTAGTTTTGATTTCTTAAATGAAAAGAATGAGAGTGAGCAACAACAACCAGAACAAGAACAAGTAGAAGATGTTTTATTGGAGGGAGAAGTAGATGAAGAGAATCAATTGAATATAAAGAATCAAGAAGTTTTAATTCCAAAAGTACCAAGAAAATCTAAAATTATTTCAACAACAACTTCAACAACCTCAACAACTGCAACACCAACAACTTCAAAAACTAAAAAAGAAAAGATTAAAAAAGAAAAAGATGAAGTTGATAATGATGATGATGATGATGAAGACGATGAACCAAATCAAGTTCAATTAATTCTGGAAAGTAGAAAGAAAGAAGAGAATTCAGTTTTATGTGATGATGGAAAATCTGTTGCTACAAAGGTGGTTGAAGATCTAGATGGAATGCGTGTAGATCGTTGGGTTTCCAATCATTATCCGGTGATTACACATTCACTACTTTGTAAATGGATTAGAAGCAACAAGATATCGGTCAGTGATTCGTTGAATGGCGAAAGAAAACAGGTGGAGTTGAACGATCGTTTGGTCACTGGACAATGGGTCAACGTGCCGATGAAGGCGCTGAAAGAACAACGATTGGCAGACCGCAAAGAACCAACGAAATACGCCAGACTCAGCGATGAGGAGATCAAAGAGATTCGTGACTCTGTGCTCTACAAGGACGACCAGCTGTTGATCATCAACAAACCACAGGGTCTGTCGGTGCAGGGTGGAACTGGCCTGAAGAAACATCTCGATATGATGATGTCGCATCTGAAGTTTGAGCTGGAAGAAGCACCACGATTGTGTCACCGTTTGGATCGAGAAACCAGTGGAATATTAATTCTGGCGAGAACGCGCAAGGCTGCCACTGCAATGGCTGACAAATTCGAGATGAAGCTGAAGCGACGAACAACCAGACAAGACAGAGACAAGAAGGATAAACAAAAGAAAGATGGTAGTGGTAGTGGTAGTAGTAGTAAGAAAGATAAAGATAGAAGTGGTGGTGAAGACGAAGAGCTGAGAGATGACAACGGTATTAGAAAGACGTATTGGGCGTTGCTGACATCGACACCCAATCCAAAGGAGGGTCGTATACGTGCGCCTCTCAAGAAGGTGGTGCAGGATGGCGAGGAGATGGTGATTGCTACCAAGGAAACAGGTGATGGAGCGAAACTAGCGATTACAGAGTACAAGGTGGTAGAGAGTTCGCTGACCAACGCATCGTTTGTCTCTTTGTGGCCAGAGACTGGAAGAACACATCAACTCAGAGTTCATTGTGCATCGATTCTGAGCTCACCGATTGTCGGTGACAAGAAATACGGAAAGAACGACTCCGTTGCATTCCAAAGTGTACTTGGTAAGAAGATACCACTGCACCTTCACGCCAGAAGAGTAGAGTTTTTCCATCCAGAGACCAACAAAAAGATTGATGTCGTTGCACCATTGCCTAAAAACCTTGAAAACTCATGGGATATGCTTGGTTTTACTGCTCATGATACAAAATAATAAATATACATATGATGTATTAAATAATCAACATATTTCTATAAACAACATTATTTCTATTAACAACAACAACTTCAACAACAGCAAAGTCAGATGATCATTGGAGATCACTTAGATCATTCCAAGTTTTACAGTTGTCGAACGATGCATTAATACAAGGTATTATAGATGGTATTGAAGTTGTTGTCAATAACAACAGCAACAATTCTATAATCAATCTAAACAACCTACAGCCTACATAGGTCCAAACAGAGATCTGAAGAATTTTCAATAATCTCGATATCTTTTTTACTGATACCATATATATATAATTTAAAAAGAATAAACTATCTTTACTTTATCTCGATATACTACACTACTGTGCCGGTTCTAAATTGATAAACATAATTAAATTCAATGAATTATCTCTTGATAGGAACCAAAAAAAAAAAATTAATCTAAACGATCTTTTTTTATCATTAATGATTTTTTTTTTTAGATTTTTTATTACATTTCATCTGTTTGAAAGATTTTAGAACACAGTTAGTTGTTTATCTATTTTTACATAAATGGCAAAGAAATCAAAAAAGAAGAATAGTAGTGGTAGTTCTACGAATGTTTCAAACAACAAAAACAACAGTAACAGCAATAATAATAATATAAACGGCAATGTTACTTTATCCAACAATGCTTCGACAACATCAACGACACCACCTTTATTATCATCTTTTGAAAAGTTTATAAATGTAGACAGTTCACATTTCACTGGTAACAACAACAGTAACAATAACAATAGTAATTATAGTAGTAATAATAGTAATATTTATGATAATAATAATAATAATAGCGATATGAATAGTAATGATAGTAATCAACCATCACATATACAACAACATATTCAAAAACAACAGAACAGTCATAAGATCAATAAGATACTCGGTATGCAACTGTCGGACAATGATATAGCGATGCTAGAGACAACCATTCTCAAGATAAAAACGAGTTCACAAACAAAGAACTATTTGAAACTACAACAAGAGTTGAAACCACCACACGAAACCGTGATATGTTCGATGCGACTCGCCAATAATGAATATTACAACGAACGATACACACAAGCCGTGGAATATTATAACACTGCAATACAATTAGCTTCTCAACATCCACCTTTTATAGTATCAATATTATTAAATAGAGCAATAACTAAATTAAGATTACAAGTAAGTAATAATAATAATAATAATAATAATAATAATAATCATGTCACGACAAACTAAACTAAAGTTTATCTTTATAAAAGAATAATATTAACACTAACTAACTAACATGAATGTTATCGTATAGGAATATAAAAAATCAATACTTGATTGTACATTAGCACTATCGATACAACCAAACTGTATTAAAGCATATATATGTAGAGCATACGGTTATTTCTTTACGAAAGAGTTTAAAAAGGCATTCTCCGATCACTATATGGCTGTACATATAATACCGCCTTGTATACCACTTCGAAAAGCAATGAGATTATCACATCGATCACGTCTGCTATGGCAAACTGTTAAATTAGAGACATTACCACCTAATCTAAGATATGCACAACCTTACAAAGGGTATGTATGATGTTTGTTTTGAATTTCATTGAATTAAAATAGATAGTTTTATTAACTGTAATAATTATGCTATCTTGATTGTTGTTGTTGTTGTTATTGCTGTTATAGTATACAATTGGATTGGCTAAGCGATTTTAATATATTGGCAATCGAGGAGGAACCATGTAGAATGCATCTACTCACTAACTTTATAAACAGCCAGATCGAAAAGTCACAGAAAACCAAAGAGAAACCGACTCAGATGCCATCGTTGATACCCGCCGGTGAATCGTTCTACGGCAATCTATGGTCAGAGTTCGAAGAGTATCATTCACAGATGAAAAGTAACATTAGCGAGTCACTCTCATCGAAACAGAAACTACTAGGAAACTCTGACTTTCAGAGTAGAGACTACATCTCCGCCGTCGGTCACTACACGAAAGCAATTAAATTGAATCCAGAGTAAGTAAACAGAAAACAAAACACAAAACAACGTATATATTACATCTACTAATAATAACTTATATCTATGTGTTGTATCTTTAGAGATCCATTTTATTATTCGAATAGAGGTATTTCATTTTTAAAGTTGGATAGATACTTGGAAGCCATTACCGATTGTTCGGTTTCCATTGAGAAGCAACCGTCTGTCAAGGGAATGAAAGCATATCTGAGAAGAGGTGCTGGCTACTCGGCGATCGGTGAGTACAGTGCCGCCGAGAAGGATTTCCGTGCTGCTCTCAAGTACGAGCCGGATAGCCTGGAGGTCTTGCTCGGACTGGAGAAGACACTGAAGCTCCGCGAACAAGAAATGAGAAAGACAATCATTGACAATCCAAGCAACGTAGATCTATTGCAGACACTGAAACTATTGCAAGTGGAAATCGAACAACTCGCAACCAAGATTGCACCCTCTAAAAATGCTGAACAGAAATCATCATCGTCATCGTCATCGTCATCCTCATTATCATCATCAACCTCATCATCACCTCTATCAACATCATCTTCACAAGTAGTCAATAGCAACAACAACAACAATAACAACAACCAGAACAGCAATAATAACAATTCTACTAATCTCAATACAAGTGGCAACAAAATCAATGTCAATATCTCTGTTCCATCAGATAAAAAGCCAAGAGTACCATTTTACAAACCTTTTACAAGTGGTAAGTGTAGCTAGCAATCATTTATAATAACAAAATCAATCGAACTAACCTGTTTTACATTACCAGCACATATGGCAGAGAAACATGAAATGTTGGAATATTTTACAAATTTAATCAACAAGAGAATTGGACATCTACCAACTTCGTACTTAGGTAGAGCAGAGGTACATCTTCAACTTGATTTGTTAAAGAACGCCTTAGATGACTACGAGAAGGGATTAGAGTAAGTTGTACTACTAAAACAGTCAATCTAAACAATAACAATACTAATTTGGTTTTTTTTTTTCATAATTAGGATTGAACCAAAGAATATAGACTTATTAAATCGTTATAAATATGTACAGGGATTATCAAAAAGCGCTTTATAAATAATATAACATTAAATGTTATAACAAATAAATAAAATAAAAAACAATCAAACATCTTCTTTGTTTGTTTCCCGCCAAAAACTTCAGAATCACCACAAAAACAACTTGCAAACACTTTATTTTTTTATTTTTTAATCTAAACAATACAATGCTGCTTAATTAGTATTAGTGGCATCACCAATCAAATCGTTAATCATATATTTATCTATAATTTCACTTATAATTTATTTTATTTTATTTTATTTTATTTTATTTTATTTTTGTTTTAACATGTATATTTTAAAAAAAAAGATAATAAAACATTCAACTACCTATTTATTATTTATTTACTTATTAACAGTTCACTTCACTTACACCAATAATTAGAAATATTCTTCATTGAAATAGATAATAATATAGTTTTTAGAATTTTTAGAATGTTTTTTTTTAGTTTTAGTTGTTGTTGTGACTTTTGCCCCAAAAGCCAATCTCCTCTGCTTTGATATGTAATAATAATACAAAGGCTTCCAATAGTTTGGTTGCAAATAACATATCAAAGTAGATTGTTTCTTGTTTGGGCTAATTGATTTGCTATAATTTTCATTGTGAAAGGAAACTTAGCACCAAGCCACACACAAAGTATTAGAAATTTGGTTTTGGGGGAAGTTTATTTTTTTGCTCAACCTTCCAAAATATATTTTTGATCGATTCCACGATCGCAAACTTTTAAAAAAAAAAACCCCTTTATTTTATCAACAACTTCTGATCTATCAACATGTGGGGGCATGCATATCAGCAGTTTATTTTTAAATTTTTTAATTAATTTAAATTAATTGACTCATTTTTTTCATTACTTTTTGAACAAACAATCATTAACACACACACTCAACTCAACCCTAACACAATGGTAGGTCAGTCAAGCAAACTGATCAGGTTTAGTTTTTTTTTTTAATTTTAAACAAAAACGAACTGTGAACCGTCGTCAAATACGGCATCTATACACACACCACAAGCACCAACCAACACACCACAATCAAAATCTAAATCTTGGTACAAAACAAAAAAATAAAGAGGAGGCAAATCGATCACGAATTTAAAAATTAATTGTTTATATTTATTTTTAAATTAATTATCGATTGATTGATTGATTAGTTTAAAATAACTTTACTCTTTGACCTTTGTCTGAACTGAATATTTATATACTTTATCTTAATATATATCGATTTATTTATTACTAAATTAAGTAGAGTAGTATCTTATCATTTCATTTTAATTTCACCTTCATATCTCTATCTCTCGCATTCATTCACAAATAATATCTTAAAAAAAAAAAAAAAAAAAAAAATCTAGAGTTAGACAGACAGAATGAAGTTGAAAATGGAGTCCTTAAGTCATCGGACTCTATTGAATACTACAACTTTTTTATTATTTATAATATTATTTATTTCGACATCGAATGCAGCAACATGTAGGTTAATAAAATACATAATCTAACTTTATATTATATTTGGATTGGAATTAAGAAAAAATAATAATAACTTTATTTTTATCTATATTTTTATTTAGCTTTGACTGGAATATCGCTTCCAATGAGAGTTACTGGTTACTCTCCGAATCCAGCACCGAATGCAATATCCAACAATGTACTTACGATTAGCGGTCAGAATTTCCTGGGTGTAAATTCTGTCAAGATTGCCGGAAATCCATGTAACATTGTCAGTTCTAATCCATCACAAATCATCTGTAATTATAATGTGCTACTCCTGGGTGGTCCGACTCCAGTGACAATAACAAGTGGAATTGCCGGCACCACTGTAGAGGCTTTTATTTTTAGCTATCCAGTTCCGCAGCTATCTCCATTGCCAGGAATACCACCCATCTTGGTCAACACCACAATGGCTTTTCCATTGTCCGGTAATTTCTTTGTTTGTGGAAAGATCGTAGTTAAAGTCAATGGTGCAGTCGCCCCATACCTAACTATCGCATCTTGTAACCCAAGTAACTTGGTTGTCACATTCAATTCGGTTTTAGTACTTGGCAACTATCCATTGGTTGTATCCAATGATGGAGCAATCAATTCTTCACCACCTCGAACCATTAACTTTGTTGGTAAGATAGATATATAAATATTTCATTAGATTTAAATTATTTACTTACTCTTACTTCCTTATCATGTAGCACCAACACCAACAATTAATAATATTAGTCCAAATGTAGTACCATCTAATACACCAGGATATATAAGTATCATTGGTACTGGATTTATGGATGGATTATCTTCAGCCACTATCAACGGACAATCTTGTAGCCAACAAACAGTAACACCAACCTCAATCGAATGTAATACCAATGCTCAACCAACTTCCTATGGTCTTGTTCCAGTTTATGTTACAAACAATGGAATTAAATCCAACAAATTTGATGTAACACATCTTCGTATGTATTCAAACAAAATATACAAATAATTTGCAATTAAAACAATCTTAATACTAATATTATTATTATTATAGCACCAATTCCAAGTATTAGATCAATTTATCCAAATACTATTGCAATTACTACTACTCCAACCATTACTATCGATGGTTCAATGTTTATTAATGGGTTGACATCTGTAAAGATCGGTGGTTTACCATGTTCAAATATGAATATTTTGAATATGGGCAACCTGATTTGGTGTCAAGCACCTGCTCAAACAGCACCTGGTACTCAACAGTTGATCATTACCAATGGAAATGTTAATTCAAGTCCATATACTATGACCTATAATGTTTTGACACCAACAATCACCTCTGTTTCGCCAGCTATTATCACAATCAATCAAGTCAATACTGTTAGTGTTATCGGTACCAACTTTGCACCGGGTGTATCGACCGTATCGCTTGGTTCAATTCAATGTTCAGTCACATCATCAACCTCCACCCTCATAGTTTGTTCCTCGCCAATTACCACCACAACCGGTAATGTTCCAGTGCAAGTAAAAACACTTACTCTGGTTTCCAATACAACTGGTATCTTACTGGATCCAGCCAAGCCAACAATCCAAGCTGTTTCTCCAACAACTCAAGTATCTGACCAAATCACAACCCTAACATTACTTGGTACCGGATATCAGCTGGGCATTTCAACAGTCAAGGTTGGCAGTGCAGACTGTACAGTGATGAGTGCTTCAACTACCCAGATTGTATGTATTACTCCTCCACAGTTGTTGGACGCCACCGTGAATATTGTCGTTACCAACAAACAATATATATCAAACCCCTTACCCTTCAACATTAGACCATTGGTCCCAATCATCAGCAGTCTCAATCCATCTGCCGTTCTCAACAATCAATCGACTGTTGTTACAATCGTCGGTGCCAATTTCGTTGTTGGAATGGTCTCAGTCTACTTGGATAACATTCTAATGACACCAAGCCAGCAATCCAATACCCAGCTAGTAATAACCGCCCCACCAAAGGTATTAATAGGTACCGTTCCACTATCTGTGAGAAACACTGCCGCTCTCTTGGCAAATACAGTGTTGTCATACACAGCACCTCAACCGTATATCAATTCAATCAGTCCTACCTCTTTCATGGCAAATCAAGCCACTCTCATTACCCTCGTCGGTTATGGATTTGTTTCAACCATTAGCAGTGTATCGGTAGATGGTGTTGCATGCAATGTATTACAGACAACCTCAACCTCTATTATCTGTTCCACTCCAACACTCAATTACATTGGTCCAAAGAATGTATGGGTGTCGAACGGTGCACTCAAATCCAACAATTTCTCAGTCAACTACAATGCACCATTGCCAATTATCACCTCTGTTTCACCAAGTTCAGTCATCAATGTCAAATCCACTATGGTTACAATTTCAGGTTCCAACTTTATGAATGGTGTCACACAGGTCACCATGACTGACTCTGTAGGTACCCTCCAACTACCTGCAACAGTAACGGCCACCAGCATCATATTCCCCACCATTGAAATTGCAGAAAACGGTCCAAGAAGTGCGAGAATAACGAATGGCAATCAAATGGCTTCCACCTCAATAAACTACATTTCACAAGCTGTCACAATTACCAACATCAATCCATCGTCAATGTTGAACAATGTTGCACAAGTAGTAACCATAACTGGTACCGGATTTGATTCAAGAGTTACCACCTTTGTTTCCGACACTTATTTCAGTTGTTCAAATCCAGTGTTTACACCAACCACTATCATTTGTACCGTTGCACCAGCTCCCATCGATGCCTCTAGAAATGTCACTTTGAAAAACATTGATGTCACCTCGAACACCGTTGGATTCACATTCATTCCATTGCAACCGACAATCACTTCAATCTCGCCATCCACTGTATCCAATCTTGGTGGCACTCTGGTAAGTGTATTTGGAACCAACTTCCAAACGAATATGTTGAAGCTCACTCTTAATGGGGGATTGGTATCATCAACCGTAGTTGTCAACACCACAATGGTTACATTTGTTAATCCACAACTGATTGGAACCATCGGATCTCAAACTGTCCAAGTTGCCAATGGTAATAAAGCAGCTACAATTGGTTTGATTTACAAGTCACCAATTCCCACTGTAACCAGTGTCAATCCAACTTCTGTATTGATGACAGGTGGATCTATTGTAACCCTTATCGGTACCAATTATCAAGTTGGTGTTACAAAGGTCTACATCAACGGTGCATTAGCTCCAAACACAATAATTGCCAGCACAATCCAACTCTCATTTACCGCTCCTTTGATCTTGGCAACTGGTTCCATCAGCATCGTTGTTTCCAATGAGTATCAAAACGCTACCACACAAATCACCTATACTGCACCAGCTCCAACACTGAACTCTGTCAATCCAACAAATATTCAAGCAGGATCCAGTTCTGTAATTACTTTGGCAGGTACCAACTTTGTGAGTGGATACTCTGTTGTCACTGTTGGCAGCACTTCGTGTACTGTACTCTCGACCACTACCACGCAAATTCTCTGCAGTGTTCCAATCATTCTTGTGAGTTCGACCATCGCCGTCAATGTTATCAATGGTCCAAACTTGTCAAACTCGATCTACGTGAATGTTGTTTCACCTATACCAACCTTGACATCGATCTCCCCAACCTCCATTCTTAACAACGTCAACAATGTAATTACAATTAACGGTACCAACTTTGTACCAGGCCTCACTTTTATTACATTCAGAGATCTCGTTCCAAATACACCAATCAACTGTCCCATTAACACCACCAACATGTTGAGCGCTAATTCTGCCACTTGTGTTCTCCCAACAATGGATTACGTTGGTCAAAAACAAGTGATAGCAATCAACACACCAGTTGTATCGAACACCTTACTTCTCCTAGTGAATTCACCGGTTCCAATCGTTAACAGTATCACACCTTCCCAAGTATTAGCTGATACACCAACACCAGTTACTCTTACTGGTAGTAATTTCGCTTTGTTACAATACACCAATATCAACATCACTTCAAGTTCAATCTCACTGGTCACACCAACTTTTGTCAACAACACATGTATTATTTTCAATTCAGTTGTATTAAATTCAATTGGCACTGTTAATGTTACTGTTGTTTCCTCTGGAGCTTCCAGTCCAAGCAATGTTGTTAACCTACAGTATATTCCAGGTTTACCAGTGGTTTCAAGTTATCAACCAACACCAATTCAATATGGAATTGTCAATTCCCTTACATTGACTGGTTCAAGATTCTATGGTTTAACTTATGCCTACTTCGATGATGGTAGTGTATGTCCTATAACCTTCCAAAACTACACAACCATTGTATGTAGTACACCACTGCTGACTATCCTCCAAGGAGAGCCAAATGTCCGACTCTATCTTCAAAATCAACAACTACTATCCGATCCCATCTCAATTGCAATCGTACCTCCAACTCCAACCATAACATCACTCGACCAGAAAACATTGTACTCAGATCGTACCACTCAACTATTAATCAAAGGATCTGGATACTTGGCATTTGGAACCTATGTTACTATCAATGGTGTTTCATGTACCATACTCTCGATTACCTATAACAATATTACTGTTGTCGCACCAAAGTTATCGAAGGGAGCATACTCTTTGATTGTCGAAAATATTGATGATTCTTATACTGCATCTGCACCCATTCAGTATATTGATCCAACACCAGTTATCACATCTGTTTCTCCCCAAGTTGCCAATATCTTTGAAACTAGATTTGGTGAAAACAGAGTAACAATCGTTGGTAGTGGATTCATGCAGAGTTACTCTAGTGTATTTGTTGGTGTCTATGAATGTATTCCATATTCAGTCAGTTCTATGTATATATTCTGTGAGATGCCTGTTGTTGGTACTCCAGGTGTTCTCGCAGTCAATGTCTTCAACAGTGAGTTGATGTCCAACACCAAGTACATTGAATACATCAATCCATATCCAGTCAACTACGTATCACCAACCTATGTTTATCACAATACCAGTGAATCAATTACCCTCACTATTGTTGGAGACAATTTCGATGAGAGTGTTGGTTTGGGTCAGGTATTACTCAGAAACTCTGGAGCCACCTACAATTGTACCATTCAAAATGTTACTGAATCATCGGTTGTATGCACTTCAGCAATGCTTCCAGTAGGTGCCTATGAGGTAATGTTCTATTCCGGATTATTACATTCAAACTCCACAACTTTTTCTATTCTCGACAGACCACTTTCATGTCTCTCTTCAAGCGGTGCACCAGTATCATGGTGGTTCGCAAGAAAGATTCCACAAACACAATCATACATCTACTTTGATAGTGAATCATCAGATGTCAAATACCTCTCTTCCATCTCATCAAATACAAGTTGTTTAGCAATTACTCTTGATCAGATCAACCAAGATTCCTATTCGTTCAATGGATATGCAATGTATAACGACCATCCATGGTATGACGACTACTCTGGTCAGCTTGCCAGATCTGTCAAAGGAAATCCAAATGTCAACCTATCACTTGGTAAAGGAATACTAGTTGCTCAAACCTTCTTCAACGTCACCTATTCACCTGGATTCCATATTAAACACTCAATGGAAGGTTTCCCAATTCCACTTGCCAATGGACAATTCAAATCACCGTCTGACTATCCAGATAGCTGGCTTCCAAATGACTACCATCTTAGACCAACTCAATCAGATGATTATTCTCTCGGACACTCATTCCTATGCCACAACTTTGTGGATTCCACCGATATTATCAATGCAATTCAAATCACCAAACCATTTATCTACTCAAGTAACAGATACAACACTGAAACAGCTAATCTCCTCACACCACTGTTTAGCACCAACTCATTGGTTAGCTACACCTCTCAAAGTTGGTCGTCAGGAGTGTTTGTTTCTTCAGGATACAAACAGAATATATTCTCGCCAATTGGATTGTTACCATTATCAATTACTCTACCAGCGAAATATAAACTTCCAACCGGTGCAATTGGAGTCACAGAGACCAAACTGTCATCGGGTTTTGTCTCGAAATACAATATTTCAGTGAAACTTTCACAATGGAAATCGGATATCGATAGAAGTTACATTGCTTTCAATGACACTCATATTTGTCTTGGTGACTACACCGCCAAGACTGCTATGGGGGGAGGTCTCGCTGTTTGTGTCTCCCAAGTATTGTTTGGTGAATTCTTTATTGACACCATCTTCAAGTATCAACAAACCAATTGTACAACACTGCAATGCTCCAACCAAATTCAGAATCAATTCTTTATCTCCATTAAATCCAAGTTGCTATTCGATACAACCTATGTCAACAGTGGTCAAATGGCCACTTACTTGGATGTTGTAGATCCATTGCTACCAAACACCAAGTTGGGTATCTCCAATCTTGGATGTACTGGTCAGTTTTGTCCATTGGATCAAAACGTCAATCAAACTTACCAAACTGATTCCGTTTCGATTTTCTCATTCCGTGGTAGTTACAATCCTGTTTTCAAGGTAATTCTACAATCAACTGACAGCTCCATTGTCATTAGAAATTCGAATGGTCTACCAATTTCGATTGTCACCTACAATACCACTGGTACCTATATCCCACAAACCACTTCGACCACCCAAAAGAATATTGTCTTCACCTATAAACTATTGCAATTGGCAAAGAGCGTAATTGATAACCTTGGTTTTGGAACGATCGGTGATTATGATTTAACCATCCAAAGTAACAATAATGCAATTCTCAACGGTCATTCCAATATCCAGATTAATATGGATAGTTTAGATGTCCAGTCATTGTTCCGAGCAATTGGTTATGACTTATTGATTCAACTGAATCAAAATACGTCTAGTATCGAATTGTCAACACTCACTTTAGATACTTTTGAATCTTCCAAATCAGAAGCATTGCTTGGAGGTATGGTAAACTTTGTTGCCATGAAACTCAGACAGTTGACTTTACCAACACTTCCATTGTCAATGATCCAATCCCTCACTGATTCCACTGGACAGTCGATCAATCTCGAATCATTCACTAGCTCCAGAATGACAAGAAGAAACGGTGTACTATCTCAAGGATGGATCACTGCATACCTCTGGGATTTGACTGATGATGAAAACGATGATTATGTTGACCCAACACTTAGAAGACCACCATACAGTGACAACAACTTTGGAAATCAAATTGAATTCAAATATATCCTCAACAATACAAAGATCAATGGATTGCAATCGGATATTATTTCATTCTCTGAATCGTTGTTCACTTTGTTGCCAACTTACAATCCACTTATCATTCCACACTCTCGCTCCATCATGAAATACAACAATATCTTTGAATGCACTTATTGTGTTGTTGAGAATCCTCCAGCAGTAACAAACTCTTCTGACTTTGAAAGTGTATTGCTCTCTCACGGTGTTTGTCAATCAACTATTGATTCAACTGCTATACCAACGATCTCAGAAGTTCAAGACTTTATATCATTCTGGATTTCATCAATGGAAGAACCCACCAATTGGGAAACCAATCAAGCTCTTAACATCCTCTATTCTTCTCAATTCAAATCAATCTATTCCAATTCATTGTTATTGGAAGCACTCATGCAAGTTGTTGATCCAACACTTTGTGAGTTTGGAATTGAGAATGGATATCCAATCACACCAAAAGGTTTGGAGATATTCACAAGAGTTCTTGTCAATCAAATCAAATGTTGCAAGAAAGAAGATCTCGTACAATGAAGTCGATACATTCTTTGTTCAACCATTGAATGCTCAAACTGGATTGGCGATCATCACCTACAAGAACTATCTTTGTGCATTCAACATTGTCAATGAAACTGATTTCAACAGTGGTGCTATTCTCTCTTTATGTCCAAGTGGACCAATTGTCACATCGATCACTGGAACCAACGGACCAACACACTCTGACAGCAATGCAATCACCTTGGTCGGTCATAAGCTGTCGGAATCAGGTGTTCAAGTAACTGTTGGCGATGAGGAATGTCAAGTCCTCAGCTCAACTGACACCCAATTGATTTGTAAAGTTGGACAAGGTGTTGGTATATTACCAATCAGTTATTCGAATATCAACACAAATCTTCCAACCGAAACACCATTATCCAATTACAACTTCACCTATAACTTGCCAACAATTACTTCTATCTCAACTTTGAACTGGCCAGTTGCAACCATTGGCGATAAGATAACTGTGTTTGGAACAGACTTTGGTTTCAGCAATGACGATACCTTACTGTTTGTTGACAAATTTGGTTATGAGATAGAACAGTTCATTGTCAATGGAATCAACAACCAAGGATTAGTTTTCACCTCCAATGGAACTGGTCTGGGTAAAGTAGTTTCTATTGTTGTTGGCAACCAATCAACTGTTGCCAATGAAGACTTTGTTATCGACCACAAAGCACCGACAATCACCTCAATTTCCATCAATACATCACCAACACCAGGTGGAGGAGAGATGACAGTCACTGGTACTTCATTCGGTGAAACTGACTCATCCATAGAAATATTCATCGGCACACCCTGTGACACAACCATTAGAATTGATGATAACACTGCCATTTGTACCATTCCAGCATACTGGGGAATTAACCAAGTTTCTATAACAGTTGATGATCAATCATATGACAACGGACCAACATTCACCTATCCAGTTCCAGTCATCTTCCAAGTCATCCAGACCAACAATACTCCCACTGCCAACGGCAGTGAATTCTGGGTGGTTGGTTCCGATCTCGGACCTCTGGGATACAGTGACTTTAATATGAGTCTCTTCCTAAATGTAACAGTCGATTGTGATGTCGATGAAGATTGCTACTACAACGTCACCTATGAAGACGGTCAGGGTAATCCAGTGCCAGTTCCAACCGATCCATATCACAACGGTCTCTACTTTGACCCATATGTTCTCATGAATGAATCATACCGTACCACAGTCAACTTTGACTGCATTCGTTGTTACTTGCAACCGGGTGTAGGATTCTCAATTCCAGTGAATCTTTCATATGCCTATTATTCCTCAAATATCATTGAAAATGGTGTTTCGTTCAACCGTCCAACCATTTCCATTGTCAGTCAGAACCAATCAGACACAGATGGTGGTCAACCAATCACAATCATCGGTTATGATTTCGTTCCAAATGAATTGAATATCACCGATGAATATGAACTTTTCATACTCAACCCAGCATACACAACATTTGAAGGACCACTCACATACAGTAATGCAAGTATTGGAAGTTATCTTCTCAATAATATCACATTCAGCAATTCAACTTTAGTCACTGGTAACGTACCACCAGGTATAGGTGCCAATCTAACAGTTTCATTGTTCATTGGTGGCCAAAATGCAACACAAAACTTCACATTCTCATACAATGCACCAAATGTCAGTTCAATATCAACATCAGACACACCAGGTCAAAACATCACGATTTCTGGAATCAACTTTGTTCCACACAACGTTTCAGCAGGTAATTCAAGTTTTGTTTTGATCAATGGAACTGAATGCAAATCACCAGTTTGGATTTCATCAAGCAACATCAGTTGTACTCTTTCACCAGGAATTGGAAAGAATTTGACTGTTACCGTTTCAATCAGTGCTCAAAATAATACTGATAATACTTTATTCTCATATAATCGTATGTTATTATCATAATTATTAAATTTTTTTATATCTCAATATTAACGTATTTTATTTAAATAGTACCAAATATATCAACAATTTCAAATAGTACAACAGATGGAGATACCATTTCATTGATTGGATTTAATTTCGTTCCAAATGGAGTTGATCCAGTCAAATCAAATATTACGATTGCTGGACATGCATGTGGAAATGTCAATTGGATCAATGAAAACAATGTGACATGCACAGTTCAAGCAGGAATTGGAAAGAACTTGACAGTTTCATTGATTGTTGGTGATCAACCAAATCAACAAGACAACATTACATTCTCATATCAACCACCAGCCATCAAGAATATCTCAAGTACCGATACCGATGGAGGTCAAATTACAATCGATGGTTCAAACTTTGTTCCAGAGAATGTTGAACCATTGAACTCCAACATCACAATCAACAGTGAAGATTGTAATTCAATCGAGTGGATCAGTTCCACAAAGATCGTCTGTACTCCAAATCCAGGAATTGGTAAAAATCAAACATTCGTCTTGTTTGTTGGAAATCAAACAACATCTGACAAACAATACTTTAACTACAACGCACCAACAATTTCAAGTATCACACAATCCAAGACTGATGGTGAACAAATTACAGTCACCGGAACAAATTTTGTTCCAGAGAATGTTGAACCATTGAACTCCAATTTGACAATCAATGAAAATGATTGTAACGACATTGAATGGGTCAGCTCAACTGAAATACGTTGCACAGTTTCAAAGGGTATTGGAAAAGATCTTTCAGTTACCTTATTCGTTGGAAATCAAACAACATCTGAAAAATCAACATTCAACTACAATGCACCATCGATTTCAGCGGTATCTAAATCAAATACAGTTGGAAGCTCAATTACAATCGATGGTACAAACTTTGTTCCAGAGAATGTCGAACCAAAGAATTCAAACGTCACAATCAACGATCAAGGATGTGAGAATATTGAATGGACAAGTTCATCAAAGATCATTTGTGATTCACCAGCTGGAATTGGAAAAGATATTTCATTGACACTTTTCGTTGGAAATCAATCAACCACTTCAAAACTTTCATACAACAGTAAGTATTTAAAAATGATTATTAGAATTTATCTTAATAATATTCATAATATTCATAATATTCATACTAATTTGAAATTATTATAAAGTTCCAACATTAGATAGCACTGATCAATATGAAGGAGATCCATCTGGAGGTGATTTGGATAACAATCAAAGGTGATAAACTTTATTCCATCACAATTCACATCAGATATCAATCAGAAACCACAAGATTCAAACAATTCAGTTTCAATCGATGGTAATCAATGTCAATCAGTTGAATGGATTGATAACAACAATGTGAAATGTCAAATTCCATCAGGATCCGGAAAGAACAAAGAAATCAAAGTTGTTGTTGGTACACAAAGTAGCGAATCAAATCAATTATTTGATTACAAATCACCAACAGTCACATCTATTTCACCATCAAGTGGAGATAGAGATCAAGAGACATTGGTTACGATCACCGGTAAATACTTTGGACAAAACCCAACTGCCACAATAGGTGAAGCTGGAGAATGTACCAATGTTGTAGTTCTCTCCAAATCGAATGGAAACGATCGTTTACAATGTAATGTTCCAACCTATGACAGAAACTCTGATGAGACTGTTTCAGTCACTTTGGACGGTCAGAAATCCAGTGAAACATCAGTTACATACAAATATAAAGGAACACCAAAGATCGACTCTATCTCACCAGAGTCAGGTTCAGTCGATGGTGATTTCGAAATTACATTATCAGGTAAATTCTTCACCGACGGAAGTAACTCACCAACTGTATACTTTAACTTCCAATCGGTCTCAGTCACCTCGTCATCAGATGACACCATCAAATTCGACGCGCCAAAAGGTGGAGGTGAGAAAGTACCAATCTACGTCCAAGTCGGAAGTCAAACAAGTAGTGTAAACACTGACTTCTCATATGATGCACCAGATATCACATCGATCACACCAGACGAAGGACCATATGATGAGCAAACTTCAATCACAATCGAAGGTTCAAATCTTGGTCTATCTGATCAATCAATGCTCACTCAAGTTTTGATTGGTGCAATGCCATGCTCCAATATCCAAGTACAATCTTCTGACAGTGTAACATGTACTGTTGAACCATCTGAAGAAGAAGGTGAAGTAGAAGTAACACTTTATTTCTACACTCAAAGTGCCACTAGTACATTTACTTTCACTAAAGATGATAGTAGCAGCAGTAGCAGTGAGAGTAGCAGTGAAAGCAGCAGCGAGAGTGAAAGCAGTAGTGAGAGTACAAGTGAAAGCAGTCAAGATAGTGGAAGTGATGGTAGTGACGGTAGTGATGGCAGTGACATGAGTGAAGGTAGCCATGAAGGAAGTCACCAAGATGATACTACAGATTCTACATCGACCACCTCAACAACCTCAACTACTTCGACTACAGGAACAACAGGAACAACATCATCGACCTCATCCCAATCTACAACTTCATCTTCTACCACTGGTGGTAACAACAATGGTGGAGATGGTGGAGATGGTGGTGGTGGAGATGGAGGTGGAGGATCAGGTGCTGGTGCTGGTGCCGGTGCTGGTGCTGGTGCCGGTGCGGGTGCTGGTGCTGGTGCTGGCGCGGGAGCTGGTGCTGGTGCTGGTGCCGGAGCTGGTGCAGGAGCTGGTGCAGGAGCGGGATCTGGAAATCACGACTCAACAAGTGGAGGTTCAAATCCTACAACATCTACACACTCTACAACGACCTCTACCACTTCAACAACTTCTTCAACAACCTCATCAACTACTGGAGAGAACCCAATTACCTCTGGAAGTTCGACTACTACAACCACAACTGGTACAACCTCAACTACATCTTCAACTACTGGAACAGGAGTTCCAACAACAGATTCTACTACTGGAACTACTACATCACCTTCTACTTCTACTGGCACAACATCGACTACCAGTACAACAACCAGTGTACCAACATCGACAACAATGATAGTAACAGGAAACTCAACAGAATCCAGTACAACCGATCAGACTACCACTTTGTCAACAACTTCAACAACATCTACCACTGGAACCTCGACAACATCAACTACTAGCGAACCAACAACTGTTTCTACCTCCACAACAACATCTGGAGATTCGACAACATCAACTACTGGTGAAACCGACAACTGTGTCTTCCTCCACAACAACATCTGGAGATTCAACAACATCGACCACATCAACCACTGGTGAACCAACAACTGTTTCTACCACTACAACAACATCTGGAGATTCGACAACATCGACCACATCAACTACTGGTGAACCGACAACTGTGTCTTCCCTCCACAACAACATCTGGAGATTCAACAACATCGACCACATCAACTACTGGTGAACCAACAACCTCGACCACATCTGGAGATTCAACAACATCGACCACATCAACTACTGGTGAACCGACAACTGTGTCTACCTCCACAACAACATCCGGAGATTCAACAACATCGACCACATCAACCACTGGTGAACCAACAACTGTTTCTACCACTACAACAACATCTGGCGACTCAACTACCTCGACTACATTGACCACATCTGGAGATTCGACAACATCGACCACATCAACCACTGGTGAACCAACAACTGTTTCTACCACTACAACCACATCTGGAGATTCGACAACATCGACTACATCAACCACTGGTGAACCAACAACTGTTTCTACCACTACAACAACATCTGGAGATTCGACTACCTCGACCACATCAACTACTGGCGAACCCACAACAGTATCTCTAACCACCACCACCACATCTGGAGATTCAACAACTTCGACCACATCATCCACAACAGGTGAATCAACTACATCTGTATCAACAACTGGAACAACATCGACTACTGGTGAACCAACAACGGTGTCCACCACCTCATCTGGAGATTCAACAACCTCGACTACATCATCCACAACATCGACTACTGGTGAACCAACAACTGTGTCCACAACTGCGATAACATCTGGCGACTCGACAACATCGACAACAGTATCCACTTCCACATCAGGAGACTCAACTACCTCGACTACATCAACTACTGGTGAATCAACAAGTGTGTCCACCACCACATCTGGAGACTCAACAACTTCGACAATTGGTGAATCAACAACTGTGTCCACAACTACAACAACATCTGGAGATTCGACTACATCTACTACTGGCGGATCAACAACCGCATCTATCACCACCACCACATCAGGAGACTCAACTACCTCGACAACATCAACCACTGGTGAATCAACTACATCCACAACCACCTCTACAACTGGAGATTCAACAGCCTCGACTACATCTACAACCAGTGAACCAACAACCGTATCTCTAACCACGACTACCACATCTGGTGATTCGACTACTACTTCATTGACAACTAGTGACTCAACTGTATCGACTACAGGTGAACAATCCACTACAGCCTCAATCTCCACGACCTCGACCACTTCAGGAGATTCAACTACCACTTCATTGACAACTGGCGAATCAACAACATCATCTCCAACAACCTCTGATTCAACGGTATCCACAACCACAGGTGTATCAACCACCTCATTGACAACTAGCGAATCAACAACATCAGCACCAACAACCTCTGATTCAACTATATCAACAACTGGAGATCAGTCCACCACAGTTTCCACCACCTCGACAACTGGAGATTCTACTACCACCTCATTGACAACTGGAGAACAAACTACAAGTGTATCGACTACATCGACCACATCAGGAGATTCTACTACCATTTCATTGACAACTGGCGAATCAACAACATCAGCCCCAACAACCTCTGATTCAACTGTATCGACAACTGGAGAATTATCGACGACAGTTGTATCAACTACGGTCACTACCACAGGTGGAGATTCGACAACCATTTCATTGACAACTAGTCAATCAACGACAGATGCTCCAACATCGACAACCTCTGGTATCTCAACCTCCACTGTATCGACTGGAGATTCAACAATCTCAACAACATCGACAACCGGTGAATCAACTACATCAATCCCTACAACTGGTGACTCAACTATTTCGACAACTGGAGATCAATCCACTACAGTTTCAATCTCCACCACCTCTACAACTGGAGATTCTACAACCTCGACTACATCTACAACTAGTGAACTAACGACAGTATCTCTAACCACCACTACTACTTCTGGTGATTCTACTACCTCTTCATTGACAACTAGTGACTCAACTGTATCGACTACCGGTGACCAAACCACTATAACCTCAATCTCCACGACCTCGACCACTTCAGGAGATTCGACTACCACTTCATTGACAACTGGCGAATCAACAACATCATCTCCAACAACTTCTGATTCAACTATATCAACAACCACTTCGTTGACTACTGGAGAACTAACAACCACCATCTCCATCTCAACCACAACAAGCGGAGACTCAACCACCTCGACAACATCAGGAGATTCGACAACCACCTCATTGACTACCAGCGAATCAACAACCTCAGCACCAACAACCTCTGATTCAACTGTATCGACAACTGGAGATCAATCTACAGGTGTACCAACTACCTCGACTGCATCCACCACCTCGACAACTGGAGATTCTACTACCACCTCATTGACAACTGGAGAACAATCTACAAGTGTATCTACTACATTTACAACTAGTGAACCAACGACAGTATCTATCACCACCACTACCACAGGTGGAGATTCGACTACCACTTCATTGACAACCAGCGAATCTACTGTATCAACTTCTGGTGACCAGACCACTACAGCCTCAATCTCCACCTCGACCACATCAGGAGATTCAACAACTAGCGGATCAACAACATCAGCTTCTACAACCTCTGACTCAACTGTATCGACAACTGGGGATCAGTCCACCACAGTCTCCATCTCCTCCACCTCGACAACTGGAGATTCTACAACCTCGACATCGGGTGAATCAACAACAGTATCTATCACCACCACCACCACCACCACAGGTGGAGATTCGACTACCACTTCATTAACAACCAGCGAATCTACTACCTCGGGTGTATCGACTTCTGGTGACCAGACCACTACAGCCTCAATCTCCACGACCTCGACCACATCAGGAGATTCGACAACCACCTCATTGACTACTAGCGAGCCAACAACATCAGCTCCAACAACCTCTGATTCAACTGTATCGACAACTGGAGAGCAAACCACCACAGTCTCCATCTCCTCCACCTCGACAACTGGAGAATCGACAACCACCTCTTTGACAACTGGAGATCAGTCCACTACAGTTTCCACCACCTCGACAACTGGAGAATCGACAACCACCTCTTTGACAACTGGAGAACAAACTACAAGTGTATCAACTACGACCACCTCATCGATAACTAGCGAATCAACAACATCAGCCCCAACAACCTCTGATTCAACTGTATCGACAACTGGAGATCTATCGACAGTTGTATCAACAACATCCACTACATCAGGAGATTCGACAACATCGACAACCGGTGAATCAACAACAGGCTCTATTACCACAACAACATCTGGAGACTCAACGACCTCTGTATCTACAACAAGTGAACCGACAACAGTGTCAACAACAGGCTCTATTACCACAACAACATCTGGAGACTCAACGACCTCTGTATCTACCACCACTACCACCAGTATAGATTCGACTACTACTTCATTGACTACTGGTGAATCAACTACCTCTTCAACATCGACAACCGGTGAATCAATTTCAACCACAAGTGGTGATTCTACAACTTCTGTATCTACGGCATCCACTGTTTCTACAACTGGTGAATTGTCCACAACTGGTGATCAATCTACCACAGCTACATCTGGAGATTCAACTACCTTAACAACTTGTAAGTATAGTACTATATCGTGTAAAACATCCAATAACAGTTCACTAACTACCTCCACTTCTTACTTTTTTTAGCTTCGATGTCCACAACAGGTGATTCGACTCCTACAATTTCCACTACAGTATCCACTAGTGGAGATTCCATTTCAACAACCTCCACAACAAGTGAGTCGATCTCTACAACATCGACATCTGCTGAATCGACAACAACCGTAACTACATCTATCGATTCAACCACGTTAACCACTGGTAAGTATATTACTCTTCTTTGGAATATCCTATTTCTTTAACTAACTTGATTTCCACAGCAGGTGACTCAACTACTTCATCGGGAAGCTCACAATCCACAACAACTGGACCAACTCTTTCAAGTGGTGACACCACCTCATTCTCATCTACCAATGTAACATCTGATTCGACAACATCAACAACTGGTGCTGGATCTACTACATCTGGATCGGTAACAACTACAACTGGTGCTGACTCTGGATCAACTACAAGTGCTGCTTCTGGATCGGTATCAACTACAACTGGTGCTGATTCTGGTTCAGTATCGACAACATCGACAACTGGTGCTGCTGGTTCCACTCAAGAATCAACAACAAGTGCTGTATCTGGATCTGTATCGACAACATCAACAACTGGTGCTGCTGGTTCCACTCAAGAGTCAACAACAAGTGCTGCATCTGGTTCTGTAACAACAACTGAAGCCGCATCTGGATCTGTATCGACAACATCTACAACTGGTGATGCTGGTTCCACTCAAGAGTCAACAACAAGTGCTGCATCTGGATCAGTTTCAACAACATCGACAACTGGTGCTGCTGGTTCCACTCAAGAATCAACAACAAGTGCTGCATCCGGCTCTGTAACAACAACTGAAGCCGCATCTGGATCAGTTTCAACAACATCAACAACTAGTTCTGCATCTGGATCTGTATCTACAACATCGACAACTGGTGCTGCTGGTTCCACTCAAGAGTCAACAACAAGTGCTGCATCTGGTTCTGTATCAACAACTGAAGCTGCATCTGGATCGGTATCAACTACAGGTGATGCATCTGAATCTGTAACAACAACATCTACAACTGGTGCTGCTGGTTCCACTCAAGAATCAACAACAAGTGCTGCATCTGGATCAGTTTCAACAACATCAACAACTGGTGCTGCTGGTTCCACTCAAGAATCAACAACAAGTGCTGCATCGGGATCAGTTTCAACAACATCTACAACTGGTGCTGCTGGTTCCACTCAAGAATCAACAACTAGTGCTGCATCGGGATCAGTTTCAACCACAGGTGCTGCTGGCTCAACTCAAGAATCCACAACCGGTGCTGATGCATCAGGTTCTGTGACAACCACTGAGGAATCTACAACCCGACCATCATCAGGATCCAACTCAGACACTTCTACCACTATCACAAGTGAAATAACAAGTGCTTGAATAATTACTACAATGCAATACTATTTCTTATTCTAAAAAAAAAAAACAATAGAATCAAATTAATTAAAAAATAAAATTTAACAACAAATATTAAATTTAAAAAAAAAAAAACAAGACAAACAACAAACAATTACAAAAATCAAGATTTATTAATAGATAAGATAACCCTGTTTGTTTTTATTATATGCATTAAATGTTAGTGTTTGGATCAGCTCAGCTGACTTGCAACTTTGAACAACAAACACATAAATTAATCAAAGATGATGTTGATACACCAAACACAACACACAATACTGAAAAAACAAAAAAAAAATGAACAAATAAAATAAAACGATTACACAAATAATCAAATCAAAAAAATATCAACAAAATCTTATCATAATGTAAATAATTGTTTTTAGTTAATAATAATAAGTAGAGCAGTGATTATTCACAATTATTTTTATAATTATTATTTATTTTAAAGGTATACCTTTAAGTTAAAATACGATATTTATTCTTTTTACATTAAAAAAAAAACAAAAAATAGTTAATTGTAAGTATATTGCTTGCTTTCTTTTCTTTTTTTTACTTTTATTTAGAAATTGTTTTATGATAAAATAGCAATGTTATAAATTTTTTTGCAACCTCCGAATGGATAATAACATTCAATTGAATTGATTCAGCGTTTTGTTATTTGCAGCAGAACTTCGGTAATAGTGTTAAATACACATGTTCTGCAAACAAACAAAATTAATAATCCCAAATAATCCACACCCATCATTTCCGATCAAAAGTTGATTTTTCAGAAGAATTTAAACTATTATAGTTTTGAAAAATTTTTTTATTTTATTTTATTAATCATCAATAATAATACTATTGTTTTATTTTATTTTGTTCTTTTATATATATATCTCAAACAAATCAAATCAAATACAAAAAAAAATAATAAATTAAAACACACAGACATAATTTATTTTTTAGTTTAAAAGAAAGAAAAAAAAGATTTTCAGGCGAATAAATCAAATTAATTAAACCATTTCTGATCATAGACCCTTATTTTCTTACCCCCAAATAATTATCATAATTTTACCAAATATTTTTTTTTTTAATTGAAAATCAAAAAAATAATAATCAAAAAAAATCAAATTAAAAACAAAAAATCAAAAACAAACAAATCTGACCATTGGAAATAGCTAACGCCAACATCATCACATACCCCTTTGATTTCTTAAGGAATTCAAATCGATTTTCAATTGTTGTTATTATTTATTTGATTAAACTCAACAACAAACATATCATATTTCTTTTCATATTCACAATCATATTCATAATCAATTTTTCATAAACTAAACTAATTAGTGTTACCAATCAAATCCAATCAATCAATCAATCAATCAATCAACAGTAAAAAACAAAGAAAGAAAGAAAGTAAAGAAAAACAAGATATAAGAATAGATAGATAGATAGATAGACAGGATTTAGGGTCAATTCGGAATTGAATATGGCCTCACTCACCACAGAGGAGTTACACCATTGTGCAATATGTAGTTCAACACAAGTCCAGATTTGCACTGGATGTCTCTCTGTCTACTACTGCGGATCTGAGCATCAGCTGCAGCACTGGCCACAACATAAATCTCAGTGCTCCGGACTCAACAAGAGATCCGACCTACTTGGACGTGCTGAGAAATCGAGGGAAACAAGATCAAAGAGTATCTTAGATGTAACAAACAGTCGTAATAATAATAACATTGGAATATCACAACAACAACATCATCATCTGCTGCCACTCCTTCCACTACTCCTACATCAGCTCCTTCTCCAGTCCCTACTCCCTCTTCCTCTTCTACCTCATCTCAGAAGCAGCTGAATAGTAGTACTGGTGGATTGAGTGTGGAAGAGAAAGAAAGAAGACAGGCAGAGAGAGAGAAGTTCATGACACGCGGAGTACTGCCACAGCTTCAACAGCAACTACAAATGAAAGCTGCAGCTCAGCAGAAACAACAGTCCCAGACAACCTCACAGCCACAGTCACAACCCCAACAGAATACTACTCCACAACCACAACAATCCATTATACAAATACAAGCAGCCAATATACAGAAGCAACAACAACAACAACAACAGAATACTCCTCAACAACAACAGCAACAACAGCAACAACAATATCCACAATTACCATCGAATATTAAACAACAGATTCAACAAATACAACAGAATAGTAATAGTACACCAACATCAACACCACCCTCGAATACACCAACTGCTCAACGAAAAGTTACATATATTAACAACAATTCCAATAGTTCATACTCAGCACCAACCACTCCACAACAACCGAAATCAACGGTTGTACACTCCTTCTCCTCCTCCAATCTCAATAGTAGCAGTGGTGGATTGTCAACGTCATCGTCATTGTCGTCGTCGTCAGGCGGTCAACAACAACAACAAAGCAATCCATCCAATCAACAAACGACTTCATCGTTCTCGGCACCGCCATCTGTCAATAACTCTGCCGACTCTATCGACATCTCAAGCAGTAGTGGCAGTGTAAAGAATATACAAAGTCGACTTGGCCAGTTGAACTTCCAGATTCCATCGACTGCAGGAGCAGGCTATCGTCGCTCAGTGATGCCACCACCGAAATCTGCACCGATGACAGACATTCAAGAGCAACCACAATCACAATCAACACCGACATCGCCCACCAACAATCTCACAACTTTACAGCAACAGCAACAACAACTACTTCCAGAATCAATGGCATCGGTAGAACAAATGTTATCTCAGCTACAACAGATAACACCGCCAGCTACTACCACCACCACCTCCAACACTACGACAACGACATCCACTCCTACCACCACAGCATCTACAGCCAACAGTTTTTCAACGCCATCGACTCCACTGCAAAACTCCTCAGCCGGACCGGCCAGCACAATGCCAGCACAAAAGATAGTACCGCTACGAACACACAAGAAGAATCAATCGATGCCAGATATCACTTCGAATCCTGTAATATTAGAGAGACAACAGAAATTACAACAACAAGAACAACAGCAACAGCAACAGCAGAACGATGGTGACGACGATTCATTCATACAATTTAAAGAAAGAAATCGTCCTAAAGGATTAAGATTTAAAGAAACACCCATTGATACTGATGCTCCACCTGTATCAGGAGGAAAACAAAGAAGATCGGCCGATTTCGATAATACTAATAACTCTGCATTCGTTGAGCAGACAGGTGTCACTGGTGGTAACAACAGTAATTATAGTAGATTGGAATCGGAAGCACCTTTGATCGAACAATCTTCAGAAGTACCAACACCATCAGAACAACAACAGCAACAACAACAAACGACAACAGGTGGTAAATTGGCAGAGAAATTCAACATCATCAAAAAGAAGGCTGGTGTAGTATCGGCACTTACCAAAACAAAAATGTCAGAGGTTGCCCAAAAAGCAAAGAAATCGCTCAACAAAGAACAACCACAAACTGCATCAGAGAATGGTATGTTATAATCAATCATATGATAATATATTAACAAAACATTAACTAACTAACTAAATACAAAACAGCTGCATCACAACAACAACAACAACCAAATATAAATATAGTTGATTGTAAGATATTTGGACAACCACTACCGGTTGCTATTCAGAGGACAGCTCATGCACATCCACTACTGCCGGATCTTGTATATAAATCGATTGAATATCTGAGAGAACGTGGCACCAAGGAGGAGGGAATATTCCGTCTGAGTGGAAGTGCCTCTGCCATTAACAAGCTGAGGGAGGAGTTTGACAGTGGCGCCGACGTTGACCTGTCCACCCAACTCGACCAGCACGTAGTGAGTGGCATTCTCAAGCTGTATCTCCGACAGATACCAGAGACACTGTTCACCGAGGAGTATCCCGAGGAGCTCGAAGGTCTGCGTGCCGGTGGAAACTCGCCCGATGCCGTGTCGATGCGTATCAACGGTATCACAGCGCTGTTGAAACAGCTACCGGAACCCAATCGTTGTATTCTACATCATCTGTGCTCGCTGCTCAACATCATTGCCTTTGAACCGAGCACCAAAATGACGACTGTAAATTTAGCAATCATCTTTGCACCGACACTTGGTTGTCCAGTTGAAGTGATGACCGTACTCATTGACTATTATGAACCAATATTTTCAGAACAAACTTATGACTATATACAATAACCATAACATAACATATCATATCATATCATATATTTACAAAACAAACAAACAAACAAACAAACAACAACTAATATTAACTATTTATTATTATTTAGTTATAATAATAATTAATTATAATTATTAGTTAGTTTCAAATTTCAATCAACTTATTTAATTTATCAACAAATATCCAGAAAAATATTTAAAAAAAACAATAACAATTTAACTCCTATTTATTCTTGTATTAAAATTTACACCAATTAATTAATAAAATGAATTATAACTAACTAATGCCAATCAATGTCATAACAAAAAAGCTTAAAATCACACAACTAAACTATTTAATCTAAATTTGGACATTAATCAATTATGATTAAACTGCAGTTGGGTACCCAAAAACTTTTAAGGTTAATTAATTATGTATGTGCGAGAGTTAGTATTCATTGTGGTTTATTATGATAATTAACGATAGAAGATGTGCAGGCAACTTTTTTTTTTGCCCCAAAAGTTAACCTTTGCAAATAGACCTATTTTTGTGGAAACAAAAACTATTTTTCAATCGGTGTATCACTTGATTTTGATTGATTTTGGGTTGTGATTGAATGTTTTTTAACTTTGATTGAACAAAGATGACCTTATGCTCTTGGTCTGGTGCGTTTTTTTTGAAATTTTTCTTTTTTTTTTATAAAAATAAATGTTGACTTTAAAATCATAACACACCCACCACCAATCTCTTTCCAAGATATAGATTTCAGCTATGATCAAAAGGTTGGTTTTTTTTGTTTTGTTTTGTTTTTGTTCGAACAGCAAATGAAATGAATGATTATCGATTCAATATTTAATCAAGTTGAATTCATAAATCATACACACATTTATGCAATATGACGAAATATTGATATGCGAATAAATGAATTAATCAATCAGTTTCTTTGGGTTGAGAGCGAGATTAAAATATCTATCTAGGTTTTTTGTTTGTTGGTGTTTTTTGTTGTTGTTTTATAAACTTTATTTTTTTTGTGTAGTTTTATTGTTATTTTTGATCAATCAATCTGATTAAAGAGTGTCTTAATCAATTTTAAATATTGATTGTCGTTTTTTTTCTTATTATTATAATATTTTATTTACTATTAATCTTCTTCTAGACTTATCTAATTTATTTATTTTTTCGACACTTTTATAAAAGAACGATAAAGATAGTAAATAATAGTTAATATTGTAGTATTACTTCTTTTTAAGCATCTCTTTTGACTTTGTTTGATCGATTAGTTAACAGTCAAAAAAAGTAATTTTTTTTCTAAAAAAAAAATACCAAAAAAATGAAGATACGAGAGGTTCTTAATCACAGAACTAATCTGTATTCATTTTTATTTGTAGTTTTTACAATTTTTATCCAATTTCAATTTTCGAATGCAAGTAAGTACTTATTTTTTATTTTTGTCTACCACTTTTCTTTTGTGTGTGTGAGTTTAATTAAACTTAACTTTTGGTTGGCCATTGAAATATGTCAATTTGAAGAGATAAATGACAAATATTTTGTAATATTACAAAATGATACTTGTTAAAGAAAATTAAAAAAACTATAAATTCTAATTTTTTTCATTATTTAATTCATTTAATGTTATGAATTATTTGTAGCGACATTACCGGTTACTAGTGTAACCCCTTTACGAATTGTTGCTCTCAGTGAGCAAATTATCACTGTAGCAGGTGCTGGATTTTCTACGAGTTCCGTAGTTGTCATCGTGACACCTACCAACACCATCAAGAATCTTTGTGTCCCGGTGGGGATTATTACCTCTGTAACGATTATCTGTAGAACCGAAAAGATCCGATACACTGGAGACTACACTCTCTATGTTCTACCAAACATTATTACACCTCTCAACATCGGTGTCGATCAGGGTGTCAAAATCAACTTTGTTCCGACCATTGGAAGAATCTCCAATGTTTCACCTACTACTAGCTTGAATCAGGTGACCAACAATGTGCTGACAATCACCGGTCAGTGGTTCATGAACGACGTACAGGTCAGTCTCACCAATATCCACCCAATCACTGTGACTTCGGTGACTGACACAATGATCATCTGTAGCTTCTCTCAGCTACCAATCGGTGGCAATGCCTATCCAGTCGTCGTCAGAAATCCAGGTGCCGCCGCTGAGAGTTTCCCATTGATTGTGAACATGCCCGTGCCTACATTAACCTTCGTTTCACCCAACACCGTTCTAGTCAATTCAAATACCTCCGTTCAACTTTATGGTAACATGTTTGTATGTGACAAAGTCTCCATTAAAATTCGTAACGTAGCTGGATACTTTGCTGTAAACCAATGTTCACCAACATCAGTCACTGCAACTTATATTGGACAGCCAGCAATTACAGCTGGAGGTACCGTCATTCAAGTTGACAATGGAGGTTTTACCTCAAATGGCTTACTATTCACTTTAACTAGTAAGTTAATTTTTATTTATTTATCATTTCTGTTGCTGACTAATTCGATTCTTATTCTAAAATAGATCCAGCACCAGTCATTAATACAGTAAACCCAGGTTCTGCTATTTCAAATGTTATCTCAAGATTGACTATTTCTGGTTCAGGATTTTTACCATCGACAACTGTATTCACACTCAATAGTAATATTTGTCCAGTGGTTTCTTTAGCATCCAACACTGCAATAATCGATTGTCAGTCAAAGCCAACCTTATATGGTAGCTATCCATTGGTTGCCAGAAATGCTGACCTCACCTCAAATACCTTTTTATTCAAAATTGTTTGTATGTATAATTAAAAATCAAAAAACAAAACTATCACTCTATTCTTTATTTATTAATATACAAATCCTTTACCAAACAAACCTATAGCACCAACTCCAACCATTAATACAATTTTACCTAATCCAGTTGTTGCTGGTTCAGTTAGTCCCCCAGTAACTGTAATGGGTACAAACTTTATTAATGGACTCACTACTGTTACTATCGATGGACTTCAGTGCTCACCTCTTGGTGTTAGCTCACCGACATTCTTGACTTGTCAAGCTCCTACCTCTCTGCTTGCAGGTACACGTAGTCTCATTGTCACCAATGGTTTGGTCAACTCTGTCACTACACCGATCCCATTTGTAAATCCAACACCAGTAATCCAATCGATTTCACCAACTCAGCAAATCTCTGATGTAGTCACCCCGTTGACTATCACCGGTAGCGGTTTCTTATCGAGAGTTTCCGTTGTCACAGTTGGACAATTGGTTTGTGCTCAGGTCAGCATTACAGCAACCAGAATCATTTGTAACTCTAATGTTCAACTGATTGACTCTACAGTCAATGTTGTTGTTACCAACAGCCCTATTGTCTCAAATGTTGTACCATTTATAATCAAGCCACTTACACCAACAGTAACCGCCATCACACCAGCAACAGTTCTCAACAACCAGACCACTGGAATCTCGATTACCGGTACTAATTTCGTGCTGAATGGAATGACTAAAGTCTACATCAACAAAGTCTTGGTCCCATCGACCACCCAATCCAAAAACTTAATTACTGCAGTCGCTCAACCACTCCCAGTTGTCGGAGTTATCACACTTTCAGTTCGTAACTCACCGGCTATTCTTGTCGATAAAACGATTACCTATACCGCTTCTCAACCAAAAATAGCATCGATAACACCAAATATTCAGACATCGGACGTACTCACAAGAATCACCATTAGTGGTAGTGGATTTTTAAATGGTTACTCGACTGTCAAAGTTGGATCGGTTGTATGTGCACCAGTCAGCACAGCCGGAACTCTAATTATTTGCAATTCTCAACCACAGTTACTCGATGCAGCAGTGAATGTAGTTGTTACAAATGGTCCACTTGCTTCAAACTTGGTTGCACTAACATTCAAACCGTTGGTTCCAACCATCACAGCTATCACACCAGCTACTGTAGTCAACAACGTTTCTACACCAATCTCTATTATCGGTACCAATTTCGTTATTGGAATGGTCAAAGTCTATATCAACAACGCTCAAGTAGCACTAGTTTCATCGACCAAAACTCTGTTGGTTACCAGTGCACCTTCATTACCAGTTGTCGGTCCTCTTCAACTCTCAGTTAGAAACTCTCCAAGTATTTTGGCAAATGGAGTCATCACATATGCCGCCTCTACTCCAGCCATTGCCACCGTAACACCAACAACTCAAGTACCGGATGTCATGACACCAATTACCATTGCTGGTAGTGGTTTCATGCAGGGTGTGTCGCAAGTTAAAGTTGGAGCAGTTGCATGTCCGATCGTGAGTGTAACCGCCACCAGAATCATTTGTAATTCACAACCACAGTTGGTTGACTCCACCGTTAACGTTGTAGTCACCAACGGTCCAATCAACTCGAATGCAGTTCCATTCATAATTAAACCATTGGCACCAACCATCACCGCACTCTCACCAAAAAGTGTACTCAACAACCAGACATCGACAGTATCCATCACCGGTACCAACTTTGTCGTTGGAATGGTAAAGGTCTACTTTAACAACGTCCAAACATCCACTCTCACCATCTCAAAGACTTTGATTGTCGCCACTACACCTTCACTTCCAATCATTGGAAATGTTGCAGTTTCCGTAAGAAATACACCAGCTATCATCGTTAATACAGTAATCCAATACAACGCTTCAACACCAGCTATAGCATCTATTACACCAAACACTCAAATTCCTGATGTGGTGACACCAATTACCATTACAGGTACTGGATTCCTCAATGGAGTATCAATAGTGAATGTTGGAGCACCTGTTTGTACATTAGTAAGTGTAACAGCCACCAGAATTATCTGTCGAGCACCAATCCAGTTATTGGATGCATCGGTCAATGTTGTTGTCACCAACGGTGCAATCAAATCGAATCTAATAGCATTTGCAATCAGACCAACATTGCCAACTATTACCAGTATTCTACCAGCATCAGTTCTCAACAATCAATCGACACCAATTACTATCACCGGTACCAACTTTGTTGTTGGCATGGTTAAGATCTCCTTCTCCACTATTAACGTAGTTCCTTCTTCAGTATCTAAAACATCGATTATTGCCCTTGCACCATCGATTGCAGTCGCTGGGAATGTTGCAGTCTCTGTTGCCAATACACCGGCTTTAGTTGCCAAATTCAACATTGTCTACAATTCATCGACTCCAGTGATCACTGCTATCACACCAAACACTAAAGTACCCGATGTAGTTACACCAATTACTATCACAGGTACTGGATTCCTCAATGGATACTCAAACATCAAGGTTGGCACAGCCATTTGTCCGCCAACAAGTATAACCGCCACCAGAATCATCTGTAATGCACCAGCACAATTGCTAGATGCCACAGTCAATGTTGTCGTAACCAATGGTGCAATCAATTCCAATTTATTCCCATTTATCATCAAACCATTGATTCCAGTGTTCACCAGTATAACACCAGCAGCAGTTCTCAACAATCAAACCACTGTTGTATCTATCGCTGGTACTGACTTTGTTTCCGGTATGACCAAAGTATACTTTAACAATGCTCTAGTCACCCAAACCAAGTGGAGTAAGACCTTGATTGTTGTTAACGCACCATCGCTTCCAGTCATTGGAAATGTTGCTGTATCCGTGCGTAATACACCAGCTCTCACTGCCAGCAAGACTATCGTATACAATCCATCGACTCCATTCATCCAAACCTTGACTCCAACACAACAAATCCCAGACCAATCGCCAGATTTAACAATCACAGGTTCCGGTTTCCTTGCTGGTGTTTCGGTTGTAAAGATTGGTACATTGGTTTGCGCATTGACAACCATTACAAACGTTCGAATCACTTGTATCGCTCAAACACAGTTCAACATTGATGAAACTTTCAATCTCACTGTTACCAACGGTCCTTTAGTATCCAATCCAATTCCATTCTTGGTAAGACCATTGAAACCAACTATAACAGCGATCGCTCCGAAATCAGTTCTCAACAATCAAACCAATAGTATTACAATCACTGGTAATGACTTTGTCCTATCAATGTCTAAGGTTACTGTCAACAATGTTGCCGCTCCCACCACCCTCATCAACAAGACAATGATTATTGCCAACGCACCATCGATTCCACTCATTGGAAATGCTCTGGTCGTAGTTAATAACTCACCCAAGACATCGTTGACTGCAAGCATCGCACTCCCTTACACAGCTTCCACTCCAGTAATTACAAAGCTCAATCCACTTGGACAAGTTCCAGACACACCCACACTCTTGACACTCACAGGTAGTGGTTTCCTCAATGGTATTTCCTCAGTGACCGTTGGAACACTCCAATGTAATATTGTCAGCTGCAACGGAACTACAATCGTCTGTAATTCGCTCCCACAACTCGTTCTCACAGTGTTGAATATCGTTGTCAAAAACGGTGCTCTCACCTCCAACGCCGTGCCAATTTCATTCAAGCCATTGCAGCCAACCATTACTTCAATCTCACCATCGGTTGTAGCCAACAACCAGACTACTGTCATCACTATTACCGGTACCAACTTCGTAGTCGGTATCTCTCAAGTCCAAATTCGTGGAATTACAGTTCCAGTCACCCGTGCAACCAAGACACAGATTATCACAAATGCTCCAGTGATTCCAGTGATTGGAGTCGTTCCAGTTGGTGTTATCAATCTTCCCTATCTCGTAGCCAACAGTACTATGACATACGCTGCATCTGTGCCATACGTTTCTGCAGTGACACCAGCCAGCCAACGTCCAGAAGTTGTATCGCGAATTACCATCACTGGTAGCGGATTCCTCAACAGTATTTCCACAGTAAAAGTTGGAACACAAGTTTGTGCACTAGTCAGTGTTGTTTCCACTACTATTATTTGTGACTCCAGAGCTCAACTGATTGATGCAGTTGTCAATATCGTAGTTGCCAACGGTGTCGTCAATTCCAATACCTTCCCATATACATTCAAACCATTGCTACCAACCGTCACATCTGTAGCGCCAACATCCGTACTCAACAATCAATCAACTGTTATCTCAATTGTTGGTACAAACTACATCAATGGAATGACCAAGGTATTCATTAACAATGTTGCAGTACCAACGGTATCGACCACACCAACATTAATCGTTGCTTCCGCTCCATCATTCCCGATTGCCGGAGCAATACCTCTGTCTGTTCGTACCTCACCAACATCGATGGCCAACAGAACTATCACCTATGTCGCGTCCACACCAAGAATCTTAACAATCTCTCCAACTTCACAAGTACCAGATGTTATCACACCACTTACTATCAACGGTAATGGTTTCTTGAATGCATACTCTGTTGTCAAGGTTGGATCTGCCATTTGTACTCCAGTATCAACATCAGCAACCACAATCATCTGTAATGCACCAGTTCAACTGATTGCTTCTGTCGTACCTGTAATGGTTGTTAATGGTGCTGTCAGCTCGAACATCATTAGTTTCTCTATCAATCCATTACCACCAACGTTCACTAAAGTCACACCATCTACAGTTCTCAACAACCAAACCAATGCAGTATCAATTACCGGTACCAATTTCGTTGTTGGAATGACTAAAGTTACCATCAATAGCCTTGCAGCAGCAATTACTTTCATCAACAAAACATTGATTGTAGCAACATCGTCTCCAGCTCCAATTGTTGGTCCTGTCAGAGTTATTGTTACCAGTACACCACAGTTGTTAGTTGAGGGTGTAATAATGTACACTCCATCGACACCTTCGATCCTCTCGATTTCACCATCCACACAAGTACCAGACGTGCCCACACCCATCACCATCACTGGTTATGGATTCCTCAATATAATGTCCACTATCAAAGTTGGAAATATGGTTTGTACACCGGTAGTTGTAACTTCGACATCGATCATCTGTCAATCTCCACCTCAACTCTTGGATGCCACTGTCAACGTTGTTGTCAGCAATGGTCCAGTCAACTCTAATCCATCGCCATTCATATTCAGACCACTCACACCGGTAATCAACACCATCGCTCCACCAACCGTTCCCAACAATCAAACTACCACTATCTCCATCATCGGTGCCGATTTCGTTGTTGGAATGGTCACTGTCTATGTCAACAATATACAAATAACACCACTTTTCGTTAGTAAGACTGTCATTGTTATCACTGCACCATCGCTTCCAAACGCAGGAAATATCACTCTCTCCGTACGTAATACTCCAACCATCTTGGTCAATAAGTTTATTCTCTACACTGCTTCCACCCCGATTATAGCATCTATTTCGCCAGCCGTACAGATTCCAGATGTAGTTACACCAATTACAATTGCTGGTAGTGGTTTCTTGAATGCTTACTCATCGGTTAAAGTTGGAGCAGTTGCATGTCCAACTGTGAGTGTAACCGCCACTAGAATCATTTGTAATTCACCAACACAATTGATTGATACATCTGTCAATGTCGTTGTCACAAACGGTGATATCAATTCAAATGCCGTTCAACTCTCGATTAAACCACTAGTTCCAATTGTCACCAGTATATTACCATCGTCAGTTCTCAACAATCAAACCACTGCTGTCTCAATTGTCGGTGCCAATTTCATCATTGGAATGTCACTCGTCTACATCAATAATTCACCGGTAACCGTTCAAGTTCCAAGCAAGACATTGATTGTTGCTACTGCACCAGCCATCTCAACCATTGGAAATGTACTATTATCCGTTCGCAACTCACCCTCTACCACATGGAACTCTAACATTGCATACGTTGCTGCTCAGCCATTCATCACATCGATTGCACCAGCATCAATGATTGCCAATCAACCGACTGTATTAACCATCCTCGGTTATGGTTTCACCACCCAAATAAGTGTTGTCACTGTTGACGGTGTTGCATGTAATATCATATCACTCTCAGGTACCACCATCGTTTGTACTGCACCGGCATTCAATTATATCGGACCAAAACCGATTTCAATTGCCAACGGATTGCTCAAGTCAAACAACGTTACACTTACCTATAGTGCTCCACAACCAACAATCTCATCAGTCAGTCCAACTACCGTAATCAATGTTCAGGGTCCACCAATCACCATTACTGGTACCAACTTTATCCCAGGTGTCACAGGAGTGGTTATGTCATTTGAAGTTGGAACACTTCAAATGCCATTGGTTTCGATTACTCCAACCACCATTATCATCTATGCAGGTTTGGTTGGTGAAGTTGGTCTAGTTGGAATTAGAGTTACCACTGGAACATTGTCCGCTTCCACGTCAATTTCTTATGTATCACAAGATATTTCCATCACTTCAATAACACCCGATACCGTCATCAATGATCAAGCACATTTGGTTACAATTGTTGGTACGGGATTCGACTTTAGAACTACCACTCTTGAAGCAGCCTCAAGCTTTGTCTGTCTCTCTCCAGTCATTACTGCCACCACGTTTATTTGTACAGTTCAATCAACTCCTTATATTGGACCACAATTTGTCCAGTTGAAAAATATCGACAAGGTATCGAATCCTTTGACTTTCAACTTTTTACCATTGCAACCATCGATCACCTCTATCAGCCCATCAGTTGTTTTGATGAATGTAGCAACCCCAGTAACCATCACTGGTAACAACTTTGTTAACGGTGTCACCAAAGTCTACTTGAACCAAATGTCGCCTGCCACAAACATTTTAGATTTTACACAATTGGTATTTGAGAGTATTGTGTTGGTGTCGTTTGGAGCACAAAACATTACAGTATCAAATGCAGCCAATGCCAATGCAACAACTACTTTGTTCTATGACGCACCAGTCCCAACTGTTACCTCTGTCCAACCAAGTTCGGTAACCTATGGTGCATCTACCACGCTCACTATTACTGGTACAAACTTTATCAACACTTACACAGTTGCCCAAATTGGTGGTGGCGTTTGTGACCCTCTTTTCGTCAATGCCACTCAAATACAATGTAGAACCTTTGTTATCTCCAGCATTGTTCCGGTTACTCTATTAATTTTGAATGGTCCAAAGACATCGAATGCATTTAATATACCAATTGCTTTCCCACAACCAATTTTGAATACAATTACACCAAATGTTGTATATAATAATGTCCCAACCTCTGTTACAATCAACGGTATTAACTTGGTTCTAGCAACAACTGTTATCACTTTCTACGATAGTGTGTATCCAAATATCACATGCAGTCCAACTGCATTGTCTGTAGACAATTTCGTTTGTAACTATCCACCAACAAATATGGTTGGTGTAAGAAATGTCATTGCAAGCAATGCCGGTAAATATTCGAATGTTTTGACTCTTACCGTTCAATCGCCAGTTGCAGTAATCAACAGCGTATTCCCATCACAAGTTATCTCTACCACTGTCACCCAGATCACTGTCACTGGTTTCAATTTCGTTTCGCCACAGCTCACCACTGTCTATTTCGATAATCCACCAGTTTCAACTACACCACTCTTTGTCTCTGAAACTCAAGTTATCTTCTACTCGATTGCCTCTCAGCAATTAGGTTTCAAGAATATCACCATTGGTAATACCGGTGCTGTTCAGAGTAATATTGTCGCCGTTGAGTATGTCCCTGCTCCACCAGTGATCAATAGTTTCACACCGACATCGGTCACCTTTGGAAATCCAGTTTCCATTACTTTGACAGGTTCTGGATTCTACGATATCTCCACAGTCAAATTCGACGATAACACTCTATGTGCAGTTATGTTCCACAACAGCACAACCATCGTTTGTGAAACACCACCACTTACCAGCATCCCAACCAACTCTGGTAGTCCAGTATTGAATATCGTTGTCACCAATGATCAATATAACTCTAACCAAATCACCGTCAATGTCAATCCAATCGTTCCACTCATTTCCAATATCGATCCAACTGTTGTATATGTCGGACAATCCACTTCAGTCGCCATCTACGGTTCAGGCTTCATGAATGCTGGTGTCAATGTCTTGCTCAATGGCAACTTGGTGCAAATCGATCAAGTTAGTTTCGATATATTGAGAATAACTGTTCCAGGATTATCCCAAGGTCGTTACAATTTAACTGTATTCAACGTTGAGCCAACAAATTCCGCTCAAGTTGAGATTGAATACAAGGTTCAAACTCCAGTTATTTACACTGTATCACCAACCCAAGCCAACATCTACGAAACCAGATATGATTACAAGAGAGTTACCATCTACGGTACTGGATTCCTTCCAGATATCTCAACCGTTAAAGTTGGTGAATACGATTGTTCTCCTTATATCATCAACTCCTACTATGTTTTCTGTGAGATGCCAGATGTAACATCACCGGGAATTCGTCCAGTCAATGTATACAACTACGAGGCAGTATCAAACACCAAGTACATTGAATACATCAATCCATTCCCAGTCAACTACGTCTCACCATCCTATGTATACCACGACGATAGTGACACAATCACAATTACCCTCTACGGTCAAAACTTTGACAATTCCGACGGTTTCGGTGAGGTTTATATCAAGAATGACCAAGTCAATCGTTTTTGTTCAGTCTTAGAATTAAACCACACTCAGGTTATTTGTAGAGTTGATATGTTGCCAGTTGGTTCCTACCAAGTTGAATTCCATTCCAATCAACTTCAATCCAACTCCACTCCATTCGCTGTTCTTGACAGACCACTCTCTTGTCTCTCTTCAAGTGGTGCACCAGTATCATGGTGGTTCATCAGAAAGATTCCACAATCACAATCGTACATCTACTTTGATAGCGCTTCAACGAGTGCACAATATTTCAATTCAATTTCATCCAGCTCCAGTTGTTTGGCATTGACATTGAACCAAGTCAAACAAGATTCAAATACACACAATGGATACGTTGCATACAACGATCACCCATGGTTCGATGATTTATCAGGACAGCTCGCCAGATCGGTCAACGGAACTGCCAACATCAACAAATCACTTGGTAAAGGTCTCCTTGTTGCACAGACCTATTTCAATGCCACCTATTCACCTGGATTCCACATTAAACACTCAATGGAAGGTTTCCCAGTCCCAACTTCCGACGGCTTCAAGTTGCCATCTGACTATCCCGATAGCTGGCTCCCAAATGACTATCGTCTCAGACCAACTCAAACCGACGACTATTCATTCGGTCACTCCTTCTTGTGTAATGGATTCACTGATTCCACCGATATTATCAATGCCATTGAAGTATTGCGTCCATTTGTCTACTCAAGTAACAGATACAACACTGGTACGGTCAACCTTCTCACACCATTGTTCGACACAAGTTCATTGGTTAGCTACACCTCACCAAGTTGGTCGTCAGGAGTATTCCTCTCATCTGGATTCAAACAAAGTATATTCCCACCAGTTGGATTGTTGCCATTGTCCATTACATTGCCATCGAAATACAAATTACCAGCCGGTGCAATCGGTATTATCGAGACTAAACTCTCACCTGACTTTGTCTCAAAGAACAACATTCCAGCTAAACTTTCACAATGGAAATCGGATGTCGATAAAAGTTACATTGCTTTCAACGATACTCATATTTGTCTTGGTGACTACACCTCCAAGACTGCATTGGGTGGTGGTCTAGCAGTCTGTGTGATTCAACCAGTCATTGGTGACTTCCTCATTAGATCGATCTTTAAATATCAGCAAACCACTTGTAATTCAACCACATGCACATCCAGTTCCACCAAGAATCAATTCTTCATCTCCATTAAGGCTAAGCTTTTGTTTGATACTACCTATGTCAACAGTGGTGATTTATCAACCTATTTGAGCCTGGTAGATCCATTGTTACCAAACACCAAATTGAGAATTTCCAATCTTGGATGTACCGGTCAACTCTGTCCATTGGATCAAACTCTTAACCAAACTCTCCAAACCGATTCCTCCTCGATTTTCTCATTCCGTGGTAGTTATGACCCAGTTCTCAATGTTGTTCTTCAATCAACTGATAACAATATCACTGTCAAATCATCATCTTCCATCTATTCATTCCCAATTGTCAATGTTTCTGGTACCTATATTCCACAAACAACAAACAATTTCCAAAAGAATCTCATTTTCAGTTACCATTTGATACAAATGGTAAAGAAAATCAATGATAATCTTGGTTTTGGTAATCTCGGTCCAATTACATTGCTTATCTCTGATAATGTTGGTATCATCAACAATATGTGGGATTTCCAAATCTCTATGGATCCACTCGATGTAGAGCAATTGTTCCGTGCACTCAGTTACAATGTTCTCTACCAATTAAACAATGGTATTGTCAGTACAGAGATGCCATCATACCATATCTTTGATGCAACTGACAATAAATCAGAAGCATTGCTTGGAGGTTTGGTCAACTTTGTTGCCATGAAACTCAGACAGTTGACTTTACCAGCACTTCCATTGTCAATGGTACAATCTCTAGTCGATCCAGCTTCAACCCAATCTGTCAATCTCGAATGGTTCACCAGTTCCAGAATGGATAGAAGAAACGGTGTCAACTCACAAGGTTGGATCGCAGCCTACCTCTGGGATTTGACTGACGAAGAAAACGATGACTATGTCAACACCTCTCTAAGAAGACCACCATACAGTGACAACAACTTTGGAAATCAAATTGAATTCAAATATATCCTCAACAATACAAAGATCAATGGATTGCAATCGGATATTATTTCATTCTCTGAATCGTTGTTCACTTTGTTGCCAACTTACAATCCACTTATCATTCCACACTCTCGCTCCATCATGAAATACAACAATATCTTTGAATGCACTTATTGTGTTGTTGAGAATCCTCCAGCAGTATCAGATCCAACCAACTTTGTAAATGTATTGCTCTCCCACGGTGTTTGTCAATCAACTATTGATTCAACAGTTCTCCCAACGATCTCTGAAGTTCAAGAGTTTGCATCGTTCTGGATTTCATCAATGGAAGAACCAACCAATTGGGAAACCAATCAAGCTCTTAACATCCTCTATTCTGCTCAATTCAAATCAATCTATTCCAATTCATTGTTATTGGAAGCACTCATGCAAGTTGTTGATCCAACACTTTGTGAGTTGGAATTTGAGAATGGATACCCAATCACACCAAAAGGTTTGGAGATATTCACAAGAGTTCTTGTCAATCAAATCAATGTTGCAAGAAAGAAGATCACTTATAATGAAGTTGAAACATTCTTTGTTCAACCATTGAATGCTCAAACTGGATTGGCGATCATCACCTACAAGAACTATCTTTGTGCATTCAACATTGTCAATGAAACAGATTTCAACAGTGGTGCTATTCTCTCATTATGTCCAAGTGGACCAATTGTCACATCGATCACTGGAACCAACGGACCAACACACTCTGACAGCAATGCAATCACCCTTACCGGTCACAATTTGGCGGAATCAGGTGTTCAAGTATCTCTTGGTACTAAAGCTTGTCCAGTTATTAGTGCAACAGACACCCAATTGATTTGTAAAGTTGGACAAGGTGTTGGTATATTACCAATCAGTTATTCGAATATCAACACTGTACTCCCAGGTGAAACACCATTATCCAATTACAACTTCACCTACGACAAGCCAATTATCACTTCCATCTTCCCAAGTTCACCAATTGCTACTGTTGGTGAGAGAGTTACCGTCGTCGGTAAAAACTTTGGTTTCAACAATGACGATACACAATTGATCATCGACCAATTTAGTTATAAGATCGTATCATTCACCACCAGTATGGGTGAGGAAAGCTTGTTGTTCTTATCCAATGGAACCGGTTTGCAAAATATTGTTACTGTTGTTGCAGGAGGACAATACACCACTGGAGCAGTACAATACTCTATTGACTACGAAGCACCAACTATCAACACTATCTCAGTCAATACATCGCCAACACCAGGTGGAGGAGAGATGACAGTCACTGGTACTTCATTCGGTGAGATTGATTCTTCGATCACTGTATACATCGGACCAGCTCAATGTGCCGAGACTATCAGAGTCAATGACAACACTGCTCTTTGTACCATTCCATCTAGTTGGGGTATCAACAAGGTAGGAATAGTAGTAGATGGTCAATCCTATGTCGACGGACCAACATTCACCTACCCAGTTCCAAAGATATTCCAAGTGTTGCAGTCCAATAATACTCCCACTGCCAACAGCAGTCTTTTCTGGGTGGTCGGTTCCGATCTCGGACCTCTTGGATTCACTGACTTCAATATGAGCGTCTATCTGAATGTCTCTGTTGAATGTGAAGTCGATGAGTTCTGCTACATGAACAAACAATACATAGATGTTGAAGGTTTTCCAATGCCAGTCCCAACCGATCCATATTACAACGGTGAATTCGATCCATACGTTCTCCTCAACGAATCATACCGTACCACAGTCAACTTTGATTGTTTGGTATGTATTTTGCAACCGGGTGTAGGATTCTCAATTCCAGTGAATCTTACTTACCACTACTATGACTCGAATATCATTGAAAATGGAGTGTCATTCAATCGCCCAACCATTTCCAATGTCAGTCAGAACCAATCAGACACAGATGGTGGTCAACCAATTACACTCATCGGTTATGATTTTGCTCCAAATGAATTGAATATCACTGATTATCTTGTTCAATACACACCTAACCCAGCATACACAACATTTGAAGGACCACTCACATACAGTAATGCAAGTATTGGAAGTTATCTTCTCAATAATATCACATTCATCAATTCAACTTTAGTCACTGGTAACGTACCACCAGGTATAGGTGCCAATTTAACAGTTTCATTGTTCATTGGTGGCCAAAATGCAACACAAAACTTCACATTCTCATACAATGCACCAAATGTCAGTTCAATATCAACATCAGACACACCAGGTCAAAACATCACGATTTCTGGAATCAACTTTGTTCCACACAACGTTTCAGCAGGTAATTCAAGTTTTGTTTTGATCAATGGAACCGAATGCAAATCACCAGTTTGGATTTCATCAAGCAACATCAGTTGTACTCTTTCACCAGGAATTGGAAAGAATTTGACTGTTACCGTTTCAATCGGTGCTCAAAATAATACTGATAATACTTTATTCTCATATAATCGTATGTACCTCGAAAAACAAATAATAATTTTTGTTAAACTATTGACTACCCAATTAATATTATTTTCTTCTTTTAGCACCTAATATCACAACAATTTCAAATAGTAAAACAGATGGAGATATCATTTCATTGATTGGATTTAATTTCGTTCCAAATGGAGTTGATCCAGTCAAATCAAATATTACGATTGCTGGACATGCATGTGGAAATGTCAATTGGATCAATGAGAACAATGTGACATGCACAGTTCAAGCAGGAATTGGAAAGAACTTGACAGTTTCATTGATTGTTGGTGATCAACCAAATCAACAAGACAACATTACATTCTCATATCAACCACCAGCCATCAAGAATATCTCAAGTACCGATACCGATGGAGGTCAAATTACAATCGATGGTTCAAACTTTGTTCCAGAGAATGTTGAACCATTGAACTCCAACATCACAATCAACAGTGAAGATTGTAATTCAATCGAATGGATCAGCTCCACAAAGATTGTTTGTACATCACCACCAGGTATTGGAAGAAATCAAACATTCGTCTTGTTTGTTGGAAATCAAACAACATCTGACAAACAATACTTTAACTACAACGCACCAACAATTTCAAGTATCACACAATCCAAGACTGATGGTGAACAAATTACAGTCACCGGAACAAACTTTGTTCCAGAGAACGTTGAACCATTGAACTCCAATTTGACAATCAACGAAAATGATTGTAACGACATTGAATGGGTCAGCTCAACTGAAATACGTTGCACAGTTTCAAAGGGTATTGGAAAAGATCTTTCAGTTACCTTATTCGTTGGAAATCAAACAACATCTGAAAAATCAACATTCAATTACAATGCACCATCGATTTCAACGGTATCTAAATCAAATACAGTTGGAAGCTCAATTACAATCGATGGTACAAACTTTGTTCCAGAGAATGTCGAACCAAAGAATTCAAACGTCACAATCAACGATCAAGGATGTGAGAATATTGAATGGACAAGTTCATCAAAGATCATTTGTGATTCACCAGCTGGAATTGGAAAAGATATTTCATTGACACTCTTCGTTGGAAATCAATCAACCACTTCAAAACTTTCATACAACAGTAAGTATTTAAATGATTATTAGAATTTATCTTAATAATATTCATAATATTCATAATATTCATACTAATTTGAAATTATTATAAAGTTCCAACATTGGATAATATTAAATATGAAGGAGATCCATCTGGAGGTGATTGGATAACAATCAAAGGTGATAACTTTATTCCATCACAATTCACATCAGATATCAATCAGAAACCACAAGATTCAAACAATTCAGTTTCAATCGATGGCAATCAATGTCAATCAGTTGAATGGATTGATAACAACAATGTGAAATGTCAAATTCCATCAGGATCCGGAAAGAACAAAGAAATCAAAGTTGTTGTTGGTACTCAACGTACTGATACCAATCAATTATTTGATTACAAATCACCAACAGTCACATCTATTTCACCATCAAGTGGAGATAGAGATCAAGAGACATTGGTTACGATCACCGGTAAATACTTTGGACAAAACCCAACTGCCACAATAGGTGAAGCTGGTGAATGTACCAATGTTGTAGTTCTCTCCAAGTTGAACGGAAACGATCGTTTACAATGTAATGTTCCAACACGTGATAGAAACTCTGAAGAAATAGTCTCAGTGACATCCAACGGTCAGAAGTCAAATGAAACCAATGTCACATACAAATACACTGGAACACCAAAGATCGATTCGATTTCCCCACAATCAGGTTCAGTCGATGGTGGTTTCGAAATGACATTGTCAGGTAAATTCTTTGTAGACGGTGACAACCAACCAACAATTTACTTTAACACACCAGCACAAACCCCAACCATTATCTCTGCAACCTCAACTACCATCAAGATAACCGTTCCAAAGGGTGGAGGTAGAAATATTCCTATCTATGTTAAGGTTGGTGATCAAAGCAGTAACACAAACACTGACTTCTCATACAATGCTCCTTCGATCAGATCGATCACACCAGACGAAGGACCATATGATGAACAAACTTCAATCACAATCGATGGTTCAGATCTTGGTTTAGCCACTGAATCTTCAAGTACCCAGGTTTTGATAGGTGCAGTTCCATGCTCCAACATTCAAGTTCAATCGTCATCGTCAGTCACCTGCACTGTTGAACCATCTGGTACTGAAGGTCAAGTTACTGTTCAACTTACATTCTACTCACAAAGTGCAACTAGTTCATTCACTTTCAAGAAAGATGATAGTAGTAGTGAAAGCAGCAGTGAGAGTCACAGTGAAGGTAGTCAAGATGATTCAACAACTTCCACTACCTCAACATCCACTACCTCAACCACTTCGACTACTTCAACTACTTCGACTACCTCAACTACTTCATCGACAACAGGTGGAACCACCTCTAACCCAACAACAGGTGAACCCACTTCAAGTCCAACATCAATATCACCAACAACTGTTTCTCCACCAATAGCTCCACCAGTTGCACCCCCAATCGCTCCACCAATCGCACCACCAATTGCTCCACCAATCGCCCCACCAATCGCACCACCAATTGCACCACCAATTGCTCCAACCGGAGGTGATACAACATCATCCAACCCAACAACTTCATCAAATCCAACTACTTCGTCAAACCCAACAACTTCATCAAATCCAACTACATCGTCCAACCCAACAACATCATCTGACCCAACAACATCAACAACTTCAGAGCCAATTACATCCACAACATCAACTACTGGAACTACAGGAACAACTGGCACAACTGGAACAGGCGTTCCCACAACCACATCTACAACCGGACCTTCTACTACTGTTGATACTACATCTGGTACCACCTCAATTCCAATTACAACAGGAGGTAGTAATACAACTGATTCCACAACTACATCTACCACCTCTACAACCATGGAGCCAACTACAAGTAGTACCACCACCGAACCGACTACCGTTGGAACAACAACAACTAGCACTACCATTGAACCAACTACAGTCGGAACAACCACAAGTACTACTATTGAGCCAACAACCGTAGGAACAACCACAAGCACCACCATCGAACCAACAACCGTAGGAACAACCACAAGTACTACCATCGAACCAACAACCGGAGGAACAACTACTACTGAACCAACCACAAGTAGTACCACCAGTGAACCAACAACCGGAGGAACTACTTCAACAACAGGTGATACAACTTCCTCAAATCCTACAACTGGTTCGAATCCAACAACAGGTTCACCAACATCGGTATCACCCACCACAGGATCACCAGTTGCACCACCAGTTGCACCACCAATTGCACCACCAATTGCTCCACCAATTGCACCACCAATCGCACCACCAATTGCACCAGTCGGAGGAGGTGATACAACATCGTCTAATCCAACAACTTCATCCAACCCAACTACATCATCCAATCCAACAACATCATCAAATCCAACTACCTCATCAACAACATCTGACCCAACATCGACAACCGGTGGAACTACATCTGAACCAATTACTACAACATCGACAACTGGAACAACATCTGACCCAACATCGACAACCGGTGGAACAACATCTGAACCAATAACAACATCGACAACCGGAACAACTGTAATCCCAACAACATCAACAACTGGAACAACATCTGAACCAATTTCAACAACAACCTCGATCCCAATCATCACCACAGGTAACACTACTGACTCTACCACTTCCACAACATCGACAACTGGTGGAACTACAACCACCGAACCAACAACCATAGGAACAACCACAAGTAGTACTACTATCGAACCAACAACTGGTGGAACAACCACAAGTACCACCATTGAACCAACAACAGTCGGAACAACCACAAGTAGCACCACCATCGAACCAACAACCGTAGGAACAACCACAAGTACCCCAACAACAGTAGGAACAACTACTACTGAACCAACCACAAGTAGCACCACCATCGAACCAACAACCATAGGAACAACCACAAGTACTACCATCGAACCAACAACCGGAGGAACAACTACTACTGAACCAACAACCGTAGGAACTACTTCAACAACAGGTGATACAACTTCCTCAAATCCTACAACTGGTTCGAATCCAACAACAGGTTCACCAACATCGGTATCACCCACCACAGGATCACCAGTTGCACCACCAGTCGCACCACCAATTGCACCACCAATTGCTCCACCAATCGCACCACCAATTGCACCAGTCGGAGGAGGTGATACAACTTCATCCAACCCTACAACATCATCAAATCCAACAACTTCATCCAATCCAACTACATCGTCCAACCCAACAACAACATCTGACCCAACATCTACAACCTCTGGTACGACATCTGAACCAATAACAACCACATCGACAACTGGTACAACAGTCTCAACAACATCAACAACTGGAACAACATCTGAACCAATAACAACATCGACAACCGGAACAACTGTAATCCCAACAACATCAACAACTGGAACAACATCTGAACCAATCACAACCACATCGACAACTGGTACAACAGTCTCAACAACATCGACAACCGGAACAACATCAGAACCAATCACAACCACATCGACAACTGGAGTACCTACAACATCGACAACTGGCACCACTGGAGTCCCAACCACCAGTCCCACTACATCCGAACCAATTTCAACAACAACCTCGATCCCAATCATCACCACAGGTAACTCTACTGACTCGACCACCTCCACAACCTCAACAACTGGCGGAACAACCACAAGTAGCACCACCATCGAACCAACTACCGTAGGAACAACCACAAGTACCTCCAGTGAACCAACTACAGTAGGAACAACCACAAGTACCACCATTGAACCAACAACAGTCGGAACAACCACAAGTAGCACCACCATCGAACCAACAACCGTAGGAACAACCACAAGTACCACCAGTGAACCAACTACAGTAGGAACAACCCACAAGTACCCCAACAACTGGTGGAACAACCACAAGTACTACCATCGAACCAACAACCGTAGGAACAACTACTACTGAACCAACCACAAGTAGTACCACCAGTGAACCAACAACCGGAGGAACTACAACTGCTGAGCCAACTACAGTAGGAACAACCACAAGTACCACCAGTGAACCAACAACCGGAGGAACTACTTCAACAACAGGTGATACAACTTCCTCAAATCCTACAACTGGTTCGAATCCAACAACAGGTTCACCAACATCGGTATCACCCACCACAGGATCACCAGTCGCACCACCAATTGCTCCACCAATTGCTCCACCAATCGCACCACCAATTGCACCAGTCGGAGGAGGTGATACAACATCATCCAACCCAACAACATCATCCAACCCTACAACATCATCAAATCCAACAACTTCATCCAATCCAACTACATCGTCCAACCCAACAACAACATCTGACCCAACATCTACAACCTCTGGTACGACATCTGAACCAATAACAACCACATCGACAACTGGTACAACAGTCTCAACAACATCGACAACTGGAACAACATCAGATCCAATCACAACCACATCGACAACTGGAGTACCTACAACATCGACAACTGGCACCACTGGAGTCCCAACCACCAGTCCCACTACATCCGAACCAATTTCAACAACAACCTCGATCCCAATCATCACCACAGGTAACTCTACTGACTCAACTTCAACAACCTCAACAACTGGTGGAACAACCACAAGTGAACCAACAACCGTAGGAACAACAACCACCAGTGAACCAACCACAACTAGTACCACCATTGAACCAACTACCGGAGGAACTACAACTGCTGAACCAACTACAGTAGGAACAACCACAAGTACCACAAGTGAACCAACAACCGGAGGAACTACCACTACTGAGCCAACAACAGGTAGCACCACAAGTGAACCAACAACCGTAGGAACAACAACCACCAGTGAACCAACCACAACTAGTACTACCAGTGAACCAACTACGGGAGGAACAACCATAGGAACAACCACAAGTACCACCAGTGAACCAACTACAGTAGGAACAACCATAGGAACAACCACAAGTAGTACCACCAGTGAACCAACAACCGGAGGAACTACAACTGCTGAGCCAACTACAGTAGGAACAACCACAAGTACCACCAGTGAACCAACAACCGGAGGAACTACTTCAACAACAGGTGATACAACTTCTTCAAATCCTACAACTGGTTCGAATCCAACAACAGGTTCACCAACATCGGTATCACCCACCACAGGATCACCAGTTGCACCACCAATCGCACCACCAATCGCACCACCAATTGCACCAGTCGGAGGAGGTGATACAACATCATCAAACCCAACAACTTCATCAAATCCAACCACAACATCAACAACTGGAACAACATCTGAACCTATTACAACCACATCGACAACTGGTACAACAGTCTCAACAACATCGACAACTGGAACAACATCAGATCCAATCACAACCACATCGACAACTGGAGTACCTACAACATCGACAACTGGCACCACTGGAGTCCCAACCACCAGTCCCACTACATCCGAACCAATTTCAACAACAACCGCGATCCCAATCATCACCTCGGGTAACTCCACTGACTCGACCACCTCCACAACCTCAACAACTGGTGGAACAACCACAAGTGAACCAACAACCGTAGGAACAACAACCACCAGTGAACCAACCACAAGCAGTACCACCATTGAACCAACAACCGTAGGAACAACAACTACAAGTGAACCAACTACCATAGGAACTACTTCAACAACCGGAGGTACTACCTCTCTACCAACAACAGGTGTATCCACATCGACCACATCAGGACAATCAACAACCGGCTTGACAACAAGTGAGCCAATTTCCTCCACTACCTCGACGACAATCTCAGGAAATACCACCGACTCAACAACTTCCGGAACATCCACAAGCTCAACCACAGGAACTGGAACAACCAGCACAACAACTTCTACAGGAATTTCAACCTCGACTGGCATTTCAACCACAGGTGGACACCAATACTACACTCGTTTAGAAGGTTTGATTTATAATGACACCAACTTTAACAATGAATTAGACGAGAATGAGAAACTGTTACCAAACATGGTGATCCGAATCATTGGACAAAACCTTGATACCACAGTAACATCGAACGCTAACGGATCATTCGAGTATCATTTCACAGAGTCTGGTATTTACACCATAGACGTAGTCACCGATGAATCCTCGCCATTCTTTATTCCACAGACCCTCCAAATTGAAGTATATGTTGGTCATTTGAATGACATCAGATATTGTGTCAATGTAAACGTCTCTGTCTTCTGGAAATCTGATAACGGTTGTATTGGAACCATTTCCAACGCTCAGCAATCCCTCAAAGTCCAACATGGAACATTCGATGCCTCCGACTGGGATTACGATGTTTCCACCGGGCCAAATACCTTCTCTTTCCCAGAGTATTGTGACGTTGAACTCAATGGTTCCATTGTCACTGTCCACTACAAATCACAGGTAGAATTAACACTCTATGCCGATGGAAACTTGAATGGATTAGAGGATAGCAATGAAGCAGCTTCCAGCTACCCAACTGACACAACGCTCTTGGTCAAGTCAACTGTGAATGGAAAAATAATCAGTCGCTCATTCCATATTGATTCATTACCCTCGACCATTACCATCGATATTCCTGACAATAGTAGCATAAAGCTGATCAATAACAACAATAATATAGTAAGCAGTTACAACACAAAGAATTATATTGTTGCCAATCCAAGTGTTACCTCAACTACAATCGATAGAATTGGTTTCTTCAAAGCTAATCCAAGCGATACTGTTACCATGACTGGTGCCGACTCACAGTCACTCTCGCTCTCATACGGTAAATTCAACAAAACATTCTTTGACAACATCGGTTGGAACAGCATAGATGTATCAGTCACTCCAGGACCAAATCAAATGATTATTGTAGAATCGACCGACGGTACAACTCAAGAAGTAAATAACGGTCAAAATTCTATTCTCCCTAATTCCGATATAGCATCCATTGAAGTAGTATATACTGGTAAGTAAAATAAACAAAAAAACAAATGAACAACAACCCTAATAATATCATATTAATTTATTTTTGTTAATTTTTATTTAGAACTATTCAACAATCTGCCAAACATTCCAACAAATGGAGGAGATATCCATCTAAGAAACATATATTGGAATTATGACGTGAAACCAGTGCTCTCTATTGAAGGTGTATCGATCGATTGTTCTCCAGAAAGCTCCTCATCTGTTAAATGTTCAGTTCCTCCATATCTTAACGGATCACCAAGCAAACACATAGACATTAAATGGAATGGAATGAGTCTATTCTCCAATGGAGATATCAACTACGACGCCAGCACAACCACCTCAAATTAAATTATAAAATGGAAACATAAAATAATTCAAATAAAATTAACAAATAAAAGTTTAAAACTATAATTATAAAATGTGTAATTTCCTCCTCCAAAAAATGAAATTTTGCACAGCTTGTGAATGTAATAGGAGGAATTTAACAAATTATTTCACAATCATTATATTGCACTCCTATTATTTCAAATATTACAACTTGAAGATATTATAATGGCCATCCACATATCAGACAGTGTGTTGAACATTTAGTAGTTGAAGATACATTTTTTATTTATATGATGATGTCCATGCTGTTTGTCTAGAAAAAATACAAAAGATAGCTATATTTCATCGAAAATCATGGTATTACTGATAATTAATGTATTATAAACTTTATTTATAAAATAATTATGTCTTGGAATTCAAGAAATAATTTATTAAAAAAATAATATTTTAATTTATTTGTTCTTGAGTTTCAGATAGAAAGGGGTATAGAATTGATTGTCAAGTCCAAATAGATAATATAATTGATATTGATGTGTTCAGTTGTCCCAAATTCCAAACTTGAAAATCAATCCTATACATTTCATGTATGAAACTAAAAACAAAAAAATAAACACTTACTTTTAAACCAAATCTATTTTTACTCTTTTAATTGTATTTTATTAAACTCTTATTATATACGAAAAAAAATATTATTTAAATATGAATTAAACTTTAATAATCTACTTAATATTCAAATTAATTTTAGGATAGATCCATCTAATAAAATTATATCGGAATTATATCTTGAAACCAATTTTATTTATTAAGATGTCAAGAGTTTATTTAAAAATCCCAAGTTAAGTTTCCTATCTTTATGGCTCACAAAGCATATATATTCTTTGGAACGGAATTAATTTATTCTAATTCAATATTTTCTAAGATACATTCAACAATACACCAAATAGATCGAAAGATAAAATAATGTAAATTGGTAAAAAAACTTTTATGTGGTCTCTCTAATTTATACATTTTTCAAAACATCGAGATATAAATCTAATAATAATCTTGTGAATAAAAAAATCAAATTTGTGGTAAAAATTACTATTTTTGTTGTTTTTCATCAGATGTTAAAAATCAAATAAACCCCCACACAGCCAAAATAGTGTTATGCAATCGCCAAAAACTTTTTTTAACAAAAAAAATGGCTGAACAGCTGTGGTTCGCTATCTCAATTTTTCTCACTAGGTTTAATTGACTGTTAACAGATATTAAGTTGACTAACAATAAAAAAATGTAACAAACATTGGAGTAATCTAACTATCCCAGTCTTATATCATATCCTTTTTGTTTTAATAAAACAATTCTTTACCAATAAATCTCTAAAATGTTTTTTAATCTAATAGGCTAATTTTGAATAAATGTGTAATTTCATTTTATCCCTCCCCTAAAATGAAAAAATTTTGCACTGCTTTTTGTGCATTTGCAAAAATAATTCGAGAATACAAATAAGCTGTGCAAATTACAAACCCAACCTATAAAATGAAATTACACAATTCAAACATAATTAATTCAAAAATTCTTTTTATTTAATTGATTATTTTAATAAACAAAACAAATATGGTTGAAAATAATTCTCAAAATTCTAAAATTGATATTGCGATCATCGGTATTGGTATTCGTTTACCAGGAAAAATTAATTCACCAGAACAATTTTGGAATGCTCTCCAAAATTCATTCGATGGTGTTGTGAAAATTCCAAAGGAGAGATGGTCTGAAGCATATCATCAACACCGATTGATTACAAATGATAATGCAGGTTTATTGGAGTTGGATGAATGGAAAAAGTTTGATCCACTATTCTTTGAGATCGCTCCAAAAGATGCTCCTGTTCTCGATCCACAAGAGAGAATGCTTCTTACACTCACCTATGAAGCATTGGAAGATGCCCAGATTCCATCAAAGTCATTATCAGGATCAAACACCGGTGTATTTGTGGGTGTATCAACGATTGACTACCATCATTTGAATACTGGATTTAGTCCATCCTACCCTGCCCCAAAGGTTTTGTGTGATTTTTCAACACATTCTGTGATGGCAAATAGAGTTTCCTATTGTTTTGATTTCCGTGGTCCATCGATGTGTATTGATACCGCTTGTTCATCATCTTTGACCGCAACCGATCTTGCAATCAAATACATTCAAGATGGTGAATGCGATATTTCACTTGTTTGTGGAATCAATGCTTTGTTTGACCCTGAAATTTCAAAGATATATAGCAATTTTGGTGTTCTTGGAGATCAATGTCGTTCTTTCGATGCTGATGCAAAAGGTTTTGTCAAAGGTGAAGGATGTGGAGTGGTTGTTTTGAAAAAACTTTCAAATGCAGAGAGAGATGGAAATCGAATCTATTCAGTTATCAAAGGAAGAGGTATCAATACTGATGGTCACTCAAACAAAGATACGATATCTACACCTTCAAATGTGACACAATCACAAAATATTAAACTTGCTCTTCAGAGATCAAATATTGATCCATCAGAAATCTATTATGTTGAAGCACACTCCACTGGAACTGTTGTTGGTGATCCAATAGAAGTCCAAGCATTAATCGATGTTTTTGCTCATAACCACACTCCCGAAAGACCTTTGAAGATTGGATCAGTAAAAACAAATATTGGTCATTTGGAAAGTGGTGCTGGTGTTGCATCTCTTATCAAAGTATCTTTGATGTTAAAACATAGAAAACTTGTACCAAGCATTAAAATGAGAAAATTAAATCCAAAGATCCCTTTTTTGGAATCAAATATTCAGGTTGTTACACAAGTTGAAGATCTACCTAATGATAGATTGATTTCAATGGGTATTAATTCTTTTGGAATTGGTGGATCGAATAGTCATATCATTTTACAAGAATATAGAGATGAATATAAATTCTCAAGGTATATTTTATTAATAATTTATTTCTAGAATATTTAATTAATTGTTTTATTCAGTTTATCAAAAGATTCATTTTATCATTCATTTTTAATTCCAATAACAGCCAATTCTTCTGTATCGATAGATAGATATATTGAATCAATCAAGGAATATCAAAATAGAATTTCTTTGAAAGAATTCGCATTATATCAATCAATTACGAAATCATTCCATTCGAAAAGAAAAGTAATTATTGCCAAAGATTGGATTGAGTTCAATTCACAATTAATTCAATTTAATGGCCAAACACCTTCTCTTGGAAAGAAATTGATTTATGTTTTCTGTGGACAAGGACCTCAATGGAATGAGATGGGAATGAATCTCTATCAAAATGAACCAATTTATCGATCAATCGTTGATAAACTTGATAAAATGTTTCAAGTTTATTCTGGATACAGTATTTTAGATAAAATGAAACAAATCTCCAATCAATCTACTGATATACACAAACCAATTCTTGCTCAACCTTCTTTATTCATTTTCCAGGTTGCTTTGGTTGAACTTTATAAACATTGGGGTTTAAATCCATCTATAGTTTTGGGACATAGGTAAATATTATTTTAAATTTGTTTTAGTTTTATTTTATTAACAAAAAATAAATTAAAATAGTTTTGGTGAAATGACTTCTGCTTATGTATCAGGAAACATTTCATTGGATGAATCAGTCAAACTTGTTTATTTAAGAGCAATATTCCAAAATGAAACAGTTGGATCTGGAAAAATGTTGGTTGTTGGAATAAGTGCTGATAAATACAAAAATGATTTCCAAAATCAATTCCCAGCTCTTGAAATTGCTTGTTATAATTCTGAACAATCAATTGTTGTAACTGGAAATGAAGAGAAGCTCAACGAATTGGTCAAACAATTAAAGATAAAAGAGATTTTCAATTCATTCCTTAGATCTCAATGTTCATTCCATTCAAAACATCAAGAAGTTATAAAAGACAAAGTAATCTATCAGATGAAAGTATCTAACTCTGAAAGATCAAGAATTCCTTGGTATTCAACTTTTACCGGAGAGCTAAAGATTGATCCTATTGATTCTCAATATATTTATGATAGTTTGAGATATCCAGTTTACTTTCAGAAAACATTACAATCGATTGAAAGAGATATTGGAAGAGACTTTAGTGATTATGTTTTCTTGGAGATATCACCCCATCCAACATTAATCAGTTTAATCAAAGAAACACTTCCATCTTCAAAGATTATTTCTCCAATTCAAAGAAATAGAGATGAACAGTTATTATTCAAATCATCATTGGCAGAACTTCATTGTCTTGGTGTTAATATCAGATTCCAAACTCAATTCAATACTTCAGATATCAAAAACCCAGTTTGGAGAGATAATGTTTCTATTCTACCACGATATCAATGGGATAATGAACTCTATTGGAATGAATCACATCATTTTACAAATAAGAAGACATATGGACCAACAACTTCTATCCTTGGAAATCCATCATTCTTCAATGGAAATCAATGCTTCCTATCGGAAATCAATATTGGAAGTAAACCATATCAGTATTTAAAAGATCATCAAGTGAAGAGTGGTCCACTTTTCCCAGGTGCTGCATATATTGAAGCTATCATTGAATCAATGAGTTCAAACAAAAAAGATATTCTTGTAAATCGATTGGATTTCTTCAAATCATTCTTCTTGAAGGAATCTGATCAAACTCAGAAGTTTCTCACAAACATTGAAAAGATGTCTAAGAACGAATACTCTATCAATTTTTTCAATAAGAACAATGATTATTTTGATGAGAGTGAAGAATGGCTCCCAACTGCCAAATCTAAAGTAACTCTACTTCCGAGTTCAACTTCAAAAGTGTTAGATTTTGAATCATATAGAAATAAATGTAATTGGTCATCATTCACTTCTGAAGAATTGTACAAAAAGACACACAGGTTAGGATTGAAATATGGACCAGCATTCCAACATATCAAATTAATGTTAGTTGGTGATAAAATGTCATTTTCAATTTTGAATGTGAGATCTTCAACAAATGCACCTTCAAAGATTTTCAATTGTACTTTACTTGACAATTGTGCTCATGGATTATTAGGAATAATTGATGATAGAAGACAATACTTTGCAAAATCAATTGAAATGGTAATCAATTATCAAAGTATTTCTGAAGTCGAAAGAAACCCACCTGATGAACTCTATTTATTATCAAGAGTAATAGATTCAACTTACAATGACATTATTGGACATTGTCAGTTGGTTCATCCAAATGGTACTTTGATCTTGGAGATGACAAAACTAACAGTTGGAACAAATGAAAAATCTAAAATGAAGAAAATTAAATATCCAGTTGAAGAACTTATGGATTCATTCTATCAATCAAAAGAATCTATTTTAAAAAGTCCAAAAGATATTTCTCTAAGAAAAGTGCATACAGAGTCATCACTCGGTATCAAAGTCAATGATTTTGAAATTGATTCTATTCGATTATTGTATTCAATGTTTTCAAATATTTTACTAGATTTTAATCTTTCTATACTCGATCAAACAATTAAAGAATCTTTTGTCAAATTCAGTCTAGTATCATCAAATACAAACATTAAATTATTTTCAAGAATTATAGAAATTCTAAAAGAAAATAGATCAATATTAGAATCTTTTGAAGAAAAAGATTTCAAAGAAACATGGAAATATTCTATTCCGTTATGTCATATGGAACAAAGTGTTCAATCAATCATTGATGTTCTTTATGGAAACTTTGAAGTAGAACTTGATAATCAATATCAAAATGATATTTTGGAACACTATATCAAACAAATAATCAATATTGCGGTAACTTCCATTTCAGAAACAATAATCAATTCAAAAGAATTGAGAATTATTAAAATATTAGAAATTGGAAGAGAAAATGGAAAAATGACCAAAATGATCATTTCTCAACTCGATGAAATGTTATTGTCTCACAAAAAGAATAATATTCAAGTTCAATATACTTTCACAAATGCTTCACCAACTTTAGTGAAAGAAATGAAAGAAAGATTCACAAACCAATTCAATTTGAAATCAAACTTGAAATTGAAATTTAAGGTTGCTGATTTCGATAGAGACTTTATTGAACAAGATATTCTTCATTCATCATACGATATGGTATTAATGTCATTGGAGCTTCATATCCGTCCAGATATTAGAATTCCAATTGAAAATTGTTATAATATTCTTTCACCAAATGGAATATTATTGTTTGTTGAACCTGCACACAGTGTTGCAAGTATCGATATTTTGTTTGGTAGATTCAAACAATATTGGAATTATATTGATGGTATCAGAGATCATTCTTCACCAAATCTAAATCAATTGGTTGAGTTACTCTCACAAAATAATAGATTCATTAATACAAAGATTTATGGACCAATTGATTCGAATGGAAATCAATTACCTCCTGATCAAGGTCTTCTTAATATCATCCATTCTCAAAAATCACCTATTAAATCTCTTCCCATTTGCAATATTCAACATCTTGTTTTAATCATCAATGAAAATCAATCAATTCCTTTGGAAATTTTTGAACAATATTCCAAAAAATCAATATCAATTGTCTACTCAAATGAAATTGATCATAAATCAGGTTTATTGTTTGAAGCATCTCATATCATATTCCTTTCAACAATAGAACAACAATATATAAACACTTTTCAAACTACATTATTCTCGTTGGTTCAATTAATTCAAACTTTTAGATTTCGAGAAAATCAACCATCAATTACTATCATCACAAAAGATTCTGAATCTTCAAATTTCTTTTCAAATTCCGTTGTTGGATTGGTTTACACAGCTATGGTTGATCATCGAGAGCTGAATCTATTATTGGTTGATATTGATTCACCTTTGAATGGTGAGAATATTGAAACAATTCTTCGTCTCAATGAAAATAGACTTGGTGAATATCATTACTCAATCAAGAAGAATCAAGTCATGGTATCAAGAATAAGGAAAATCAAAGATGATGTTTTGGAATATTCTCATGCCTTTGAGAATGAAATAGAGAATCTGGGAGTTGCTCCAAATGTCAATTTAGATTTTAAATTAATGAATAGAATAGTTGGGCCAAATGAAATCGAAATTGAAGTCAAATCAGCTGCAATTAATTTCAAAGACTATTTATTCCATCTCAAATTAATTCCAGAAAAGATAATGATAAGAGGAGATATTCATCATCCACCACTCGGACTTGAATCAAGTGGAGTTGTCACAAAGATTGGAGAGAACACAAAGAAGTTCAAAGTTGGAGATGAAGTTGTTTGTTTCCAAATTGGAAAAGCAATTGGTTCACATACTATTTATGATGAATCATTCTTTGTTCCAAAACCAAAAGAACTTTCATTCATTGAATGTTCATCAGTTGGAACTGTATATTTATCAGTATATCATGCTTTCAAAATTACCAACTTTGATGCAGAAAGTGAATCAATTCTGATTCATAGTGCTACTGGAGGTGTTGGACTTGCAGCATTAAATACTTTGAGAATGATGAATTGTAAAAGAGTTTTTGCAACAGCTGGATCACAAGAAAAGATTGAATATCTTAAATCAAATTATTCTGATATTTTAATTGATGTATTCAATTCTTCATCAATTGGTTTTGCAGATTTGATTAAACAGAAATGTAATGGAGTCGATGTTCTATTGAATTCTTTATCTGTTGAATATATGGAAGAGAACTTCCGTTCAATGGCTCCTCATGGAAGAATTGCTGATCTTACAATTACTCATATTCATAATAATGATACTTGTAATTATGGTCAATTCAAAAATGATCTTATTTATTGTCCAATAGATCTTACTTTTACTGCAAAACACAAGACAATATATATGGCTAATTTATTTAAGCAAATTCTCAATGATATTTCAACTGGAAAACTTCAATTGACACCAATCAAGGTATTTGATATCACTGATATCAAAGATGCTTTCAAATTAATGAAAGATAGAAAACAAATTGGTAAAATTGTTTTGGATTGTTCAAATATCAAAAATTCTATTCTTCAACCATTAGTAGAATCAAAAAATAGACAACCATTACCAAAGATTCATTACAAAGTTCCAATTTCAAACACAATAATTGTCACTGGTCAAAGTGGTATTTCTCTTGAACTTGTCACTTGGCTTTCTAAACATTCAAGTGCATCAAATATTGTTGTGTTTTCAAAATCAAACATGAACAACAGAATTAAACAATTGATAAATTCAACAACATCCATGAAAATAGATTTCTATTCAATGGATGTTTCAAATTTTGAAAACTTAAATTCAAGTATTGAAACAATTTCAAAGATTCTTCCTCCAATTGAAACTATTTTCCATCTTGCAACTATTTTTGGTTCAAATCCAATAAATGAAGTGACATTGGAAAATCTCAAAGAAGTTAACGATCCTAAAGTTATAGGTGCCTATAATCTACATAAGATTTCAATTGATTTAAAGTTACCCCTCAAACAATTTATCGTATTTTCATCAGTATCTGGATTATGTGGATCAGCCTCACAACCAGCTTATAATTCAGCATGTCTAACAGTAGATGCCTTATGTAAATATAGAAACAATATTCTTGGATTATGTTCAAAATCAATTAGATTAGGTCCAACAATGGGAGAAGGAACTGTGGCTGAATCTGAAGGAATGCAAGAATACTTTAATTCTAGAGGTGTAGAGCCATGTCCACTAAACAAGGTAATCGGAGGAATTGAACAAATTATTTCACAATCATTATATTGCACTCCTATTATATCAAATATTACTAATGGAAGATGTTATGATGTCCATCCACATATCAGACAGTGTGTTGAACATTTAGTAGTTGAAGATACAGGTAAATCAAACAATTTACTTGATTATGTTGATCCAATAGAAGCAATCACCGATGGTCTTTCTAAACTTCTCTCGATTCCAAACCACAAGTTAAATCATGACACTCCTCTCAAGAACTATGGTGTTGACTCAATGGTCACCGTTCAAGTTAAATTTTATTTGGATAATATAATTGATATTGATGTGTTCAGTTTGTCCCAAATTCCAAACTTGACAATCAATTCTATACACCTTTCATATCTGAAACTCAAAAAGAACAAGAACAAATAAATTAAAATATTATTTTTTTAATAAATTATTTCTTGAATTCCAAGACATAATTATATTATAAATAAAGTTTATAATACATTAATTGTCAGTAATACCATGATTTTCGATGAAATATTTCATAATATGATGATGTCCATGCTGTTTGGCTCTAGCAAAAACAAAAGATAGCTGAGAGGCTACCTCTGGAAAATAGTTTTCGCATATATGTTTGACAATGGGTAGATGACCATTTGATACTGAATAGTTTAGGCAAAATATATCAAATGGACGTAGATCACTTGGAAAGCTTAGTAGATATTTAAATAATTCCAGATGACCCTCTCTAGCGGCACTGTTTATCGCTGTGTTTGTAAATCCTACGGTACTATTTTCCATTAGATATTTTATGACATCCAAATGTCCACCACTTGATGCAGTGTCAATAGCATAAACTGTACAGCCCTCCGTTCTATTCTCTTTCAAGTAACGAACGACATCGAAATGACCATTGAAAGCAGCGTTATCTAATGCTTTCCATGTGGATGGAGTTCTCATAACCTCTGTTAGATACTTGACAACGTTCAAATGGCCTAACAAAGCAGCTGCCTCTGTTGCCTGTGAAGTTCCGTTGACATTGTACTTTTCGAAAATGAATCTGATAACCTCTAGATGACCGGCTTGAGCTGCACGATCTACCGCCTGACTGGTTGGTCGCTGACTGTAGCCAACTTGATGAAGCAATTCGAGTAGCGATAAATTCCCTGAGGGTGCAGCGACATCGAATATATTGAAAGATATTGTCGAGAGATCAACCATATGATTTCTAAATAGATAATCAGCTACATCAACGAAACCATTGAAAATAGCATTGTCTGCCGCTTCACCAGTGCATCCTTCCGTTCGGTTCTGATGTAGCCATGCGACGGTTTCTAATTGTCCGTTGCCAGCGGCGCCATCAAGAGCATCAGAAGTACAACCCTCAGTTCTATTTTCATGGAGCCACCTTACGATTTCGAGGTTGCCGTTGCACGCGGAGACATCCATTGCCTGCACCGAGCAACCTTCAGTTCGATTCTCGTGTAACCACTTTACAACTTCGAGGTGGTTGTTATTACAAGCATTATCCATAGCATGCACCGAACAACCTTCAGTTCTATTTAGATGGATCCATTTTACTATATCGAGGAAACCTTTGGTGGCAGCGGTATCCATTAGTTCCGCGTAGAATGAAGATGGCGCCAACTGATCGTTTTCATGTATCCATATCAAGATATCGAGATGCCCTTTGTTGACCGTACGCTTCAGTACTTCGGAATTGGTAGGGCAACCATGCTCGTATAGCCATCTCACGATATCGAGATGACCGTGCTCAGCAGCATTGATCATATGCGACTCACTAAGAGTTAGCGATCCATGTATCTTTTTCAAGCCTTCGTGGTAGAGGAATTTACATGTCTCCAAACTACCGTAGTGACAAGCGTATATCATTATACTGGTGAGATTCACATAGTAGGTTGACACCACATCAAACAAGAATTTGAGCATCGGCAGATTGTGTTGTCGTATTGCAATCTCAAATTCCCTGTCGGTGAGCTTCAGGAATGCCTTCTTGTCACGCTCCAGCATGAACGAGAGAATCTCACGCTGGTCGTAGGCAACTGCACACTGCAGATGTATCGATGTGAACTGGTAGTCCTTGTAGCTCTCTAGAAACAACACTAACTCCTTCCGATAGCCATAGGATATGAGAATAGCAGGTGAACTCAATACACTTGACCATCTTACTGAGTTATAGTTATGTTGTTGTTGTTGTTGTTGTTGTTTTGAATTTACATATTCACCACTAACCAAACAATTTATATTCCTTACAGATGAAAATATTAATTTTCTCAACACAACATTATTCAATATATCTATAAAATATTTATATAATAACATGTTATTATATATATTATTAGAATAATTAAACAATCTTTGCGAAAAAAAAAAATAAAAAAAAAGAATCAAAAGATAGAATGGAAGTAAAGCAAACACCCCATAGAATTTTTCAAAAAGAACCCCAGACCAACCACCTAATTAGTTTGTTTTTAATTACTTTTTTTAACTTTTCACCAAAATAAAATGAGATTTTCCAACTTATCTTGAATTAATATTTTTCATAATGCTGTAAAGTGATTTAAATTATTAATAAATATACATTCTTATAGTAGTAGTTTGTTTGTTGTATTATGTAGCATATGTATTTAATAATAATAAAAAAGTAATATATTTGTAAAAATAAAAAAATAAAAACAAAAAAGTTTTAAAATAATGAGTAGATATAGTGATGGTGAAAATGAAGAACACCATTTAAACGTTGAACAGAATGCAAGTATTTTGCATACACCATCCATGTATTCATCTGTCGGTGGTGATGACGATGTTTCTGCTGAAAGAGATCTATTGGAGAACGATGATGATGATGATGTCGACCAAGATAAAGATCATCTATATAAAAGATCAAATGTTGGATACGACGACGACGACGATATCAACTTAGATCATTACAACAATGACAAAGCGAAACTATCACAAAATATATTCAAAGATGAGAGTTTACCTCAGCTTACAGTAAGTGTTAAAATTAGTTTTGTTTTAACTTTATTCTAATCTAATAAATATTAATATGTTAAATTATAATAATAATAATTAGGTTCGAGCAAGTGTTGTTGGAATTGCAGTTGGTGCTCTTATGTGTTTTAGTAATATGTATTTTGGATTGCAAGCGGGTTGGGTAACGATGGGATCACTGCAGTCTACGCTGTTGGGTTTTTTGGTGTTTAGATTGCTGCAGAAAAAGTTGAGTCGACATTTCAATCATTTCGAGAACGTGCTGCTGCAGACGATAGCTGTGGCCACTGCTACGATGCCGCTGGCCGGTGGATTCGTTGCCGTCATCCCGGCGATGAAGAAGATGTGGCGTGAAGACCACCCAAACCAAGACTACCCTTCGTATTTCTCGTGGTGGTCGCTGTTGCTGTGGTCACTGGGTCTGGCGTTTTTCGGTGTATTCTTTGCGGTGCCGCTCCGCAAACAGAATATCATTGTCGAGAAACTAAAGTTCCCATCGGGAACTGCAACCGCTCAGATGATTCGCGTGCTTCACCAGCTCGATGACGATCAAGTGCATACCGAGCTACTAAAGGTAAACAGCGAATCGACATCGGAAACCATCACAAGCTCAAAGGATTTCGATAGGAAGTTCAAGATTCTCTTTATTTCATTCGGTGTTTCCGCCGCCTATAAGCTGCTGGGCTATTTCTTCCCGGTGGTAGAGGAGATTCCACTGTTTGGAACGTATCTTCAGAGCACTTGGCATTGGGCGTTGACACCATCTCCAAGCTACATCGGACAAGGTATGATTATGGGAACGAAAACCGGTATTTCGCTGATGATCGGTGCCATTTTGGGATGGGCAATTCTCGGTCCGATCGCACGAAACAATGGATGGGCAACCGGTAGTGTAACTTCAATCGATGGTGCCTCCGGTTGGACACTCTGGGTCGCTTTATTTATAATGATTTCGGAATCACTCATTTCACTGGCTATTGTGCTTGTTCGTCAGCTTCTCATTCGTTTTGGATACCTGAGAAATCATCGGTCACCGGAGGAGAACGTCGATCCCGCACCAGAGAGCCAGCAGGTTCCTCGAAAGTGGTGGATCTCTGGATTGGTCGTATCGACCGTTCTCTGTGTGGCCATAGTATCTCCGTTGTTTGACGTGCCAGTCTATCAGACTTTTATCGCTGTGGTGCTGGCGATGCTAACCAGTGTGTTGGCGGTGCGTGCACTCGGTGAAACCGACTTGAACCCGGTCAGTGGTATCGGAAAGATCAGTCAGATAGTATTTGCATTCATTGCCCGTCACAATATCCTTGCGAATTTGGTTGCCGGTGCCGTTGCAGAGGCCGGCGCTCAGCAAGCCGGTGACATGATGCAGGATCTCAAGACTGGACATCTGCTGAAAGCATCGCCACGCATTCAATTCTACGGTCAGTTGATTGGTTCGTTCTTCTCGATATTCTTTGCTGTAGCTGCCTATGAGCTGTACGACAAGGTCGGCAACATGTCAGAGAATGCACCGATGGCGAATGCCTGGCTTGGCATGGCGAGGCTGGTCAATGGAAACAACTTGGCGCCACATGTACTACCTTTTTGTATTGCTGCAGGTGTGATCGTTTCATTCATTCCGATTATCGAATCGATAAACCCACACATCGGTGAATATCTGCCAAGTGGTATTGCAATTGCCATCGGTATTTTAGTTAGACCCAACTACATCATTGCCAGATGCATTGGAACGGTCATCAACTGGGTATGGAAACGCTATAGATCCGATACATACAACGAGTATATGATAGTAGTTGCATCTGGTTTAGTATTAGGTGAGGGTGTGACATCTATTTTCACCTCCTTACTTTCAATCTTCCATAAATTTTAATGCTAATCATAATGATATTAAAATAAAAATGGCAGCAACGATGTTATCTCTACAACGATGTCGTGTGTCATCAGATAATAGTATTTAAAATATTGGGGTGAAAAAAAAAAAACATTTGTCAACAGTGGTAGTGTGAGATATAACTATTCGTTTATTTACCACTGCTTTTTTAGGTTTTCAACCATATACTCAATCAGATTTGTGTTGATGATTTTCACCTTTTTTTTTCTGCCATTCTACCATTTTACCATTTTTCAGAAAGGGTTAAAAAACAACAAAAACAAATCATATGAGTATGATGATGATAGATAAAATGAAATAATTATAATTATAATAAATAAGTGATAAAGATATCTTTTCTATCTCGAGAAATGAAAATAATTATTTTTCATTCTTCATTTTTTTAATTATTTTTTTTTTTTTTTTTTTTTTTTTTTTCTAATGGTTTTTAAATAATTAATTAATCAAACCAATAGAGAAAATAAAATGAAATATCCTCTTAGGGAAGTTTATAGTAAATTAGATAAGCAACATAGAGAATATTATGACAAATACGGTAGATCTCCAATCTTTCTGAAATGGATTACATTTTTCACAAAACTCTTGGAGATTTACTATTTCTTCAGGTTGTTGCCAAGAGTATTTCGTACTATCTGGTTGTACTACTATATTCTAAAGAGAAAGAACTCTAGAATCCTGCTCTATAAGGATGTTATTTACTCCAATAAACGACCAAGAAACATCACAGATATCTATACGCCGAGGGAAGCATCCAACAGACCCTGTGTTATTTTCGTTCATGGAGGTTTCTTGTGTTCAGGTGACAAAATAAAGAATGTAACTCTAGGAAATCAGCTGGCAAAGAATGGAATAGTTGCTTTCGTTGCCAACTATACTCTGTACCCGAAAGGTGATGGTAATGACATGATCGATGACATGGCAGAGATTGTTAGATGGGTGCATGACAACGCTGAGAAATATGGTGGTTCGCCAGAGAATATTCATATGCTTGGCTATAGTGCTGGCGCTGCAATATGCTACTGGTATCTCTCGACACGAAAGCAACTGGGACACCATACCAAGATTAACTCATTCATTGGTGTCGGCGGTGCCTACTGTCCGAAAACTCACTTTGTCATGCAAACCCATTCGGGATTCGAACACAATGTAGGATTCGTTATTTTTGAGAAAACCTTCGAATACAACCTTCACCAATTCATTAAAAACAATCCAAACTATGCCAAGGAGATGCCAAGAACCTATATTCTCTTTGGCAACAAAGATCATATCGTTGGCGATGGCAATGGAAAGGAGATTATCGAGGTTCTTCGTGCGCACAAAGACAATCAAGACGATACCAAATATATAGAATACAATGGCGGTCACATAGATCTCTTGGCCTATGCATCGGAACAACCAGTGGAAGAGACAATCAAGATACCTCGTGATACATATATTACCAAAAGACCAATAACTATGATTTCATCCGATATTATTAATTTTATCAATTTAAATTAAAAAAACATACCTAAAAAATAATATTTATATAAAAAACAAACAAACAAACAAGAAAATTAACTATTAAAATTTTATTTATCAAAAAAGTTATTTTTATTAAATAAATCCAAATATATATTTATATTTTTATCCAAAATATTTCTATATATATCTATCTATCTATCTATGTATTATTGTTTTAAAAAAATTAAAATAAAGTATTGTACAAATTATTCGTACTAAATTAATATCGATCTATCTATAAACAAAAGGTTGGATTTGAATGTTCTTTTTGTTGTTTTTGTTAATGAAGTTGTTGTTGTTGGAGGTGTTGCTTGTTTTAATAGTCAGCTGGAAGAGAGTCAATCCAACCATGATAATCGAAATTCAATTTTCCACCAAACTCTTCAAGTAGATGATTTGGATCGACAAATTCTACCATCTTCTCTTTCTTTCCGACGATTTTCAGACGCTTAACAATCTTGTTTTTGATGAATGTCTTTGCGAAACCAATCAAGAATCTGAGGAACCACGGTTGATTAATCAAGTAGATCGCCTCAATACGTCCTGGGAATATATTCTCCAAAGATTTACCTTTCATCATATCGGTAAGTCTACTATCGAAATTCTTCATTGACACCTTTGTAAGATCCTCTACTACAACCATACCATTTCTATGTCCAATAGAACTATTTTTTTAAAATTATTAAAATTAGCATTACTATTAGTTTTGTTTTGCTATCAATATTTCGAATTCAATATCTATTACTTACTCTTCATATACAGTGATATCTGAAAACCAAAATAAAATCTTCATACAATCTACGAAATCATATTGTTTGGGTATCATCTTTGATGGATAGAGATAGGCAATCACTCTGCCGTTGGCATCTCTAGTGTCTGGTATAAAGAAACTGTACATCTTCTTTACTATATCCACGTTGACCTGTGCCTTTCTGAGAGGGAATGGAATTCCCAACTTGCTTCTGAGGTCAATATTGTTTTGTAGTGTCTCTGCTGCCTTTTCTACATTTAACTTCTTTGCAAAGAGATAAACCATTAAATAATGATCATCAATATCTATTTATAGGGGAAAATAAAAAAAAAAAAAAATAATTAATAAAAAAAAAAGGGCATGCAGATGTGAACTGACTAACTAATACAAACTTTGAGCAATTGACATCTTTTTAAACTCTGCCAATCTTTGGAGTTCCTCTTCAGTTAAATTATTCATAATTTTATATTTCATTTTTGATTTTTATTATTTGATAAAATTTTTAAGTTTTATTATATAAATGAAATGAATTTGAATTTATTTATATTTATATATATATATATATTGTATGTATGTTTTTTTATGTTTCTTTAAATATTTGAATTTAATATCTCTTTTAATTTTTTGTCTTTTTTTTTTGTAGAGTAAATTCAAACTATTAATAGTTTCTGCTTTTAAAACACCCTTTTATATCATTCAAGATTCTTTGCATTCACAAATTTTGACCTGGTTGGAACTAACACACACACACTTTTAAAGTAAGTCAAAAAAAAAAAAAATCTTTTTTGGTGATTCCTCTCCCAATTTCCGATTGCTTCTTTTGTCACACACAAGAACAATTTTTGATGAAAAAAAAGAAAGATGATCGGGTGTCACATCAACATGGAACATGCCTGGTAAAATGGTGGGTTTTTTGAAACTAATACTCATGACAAACGCCGACCGTTCAACTCAAAAAGTAATAATACAAAGATAGAAAAAATAAATAAATACTTACCAGGTTTCAATCCAATCACTATTTTTCAAAGTACCAGGTTGGGTTGTATGTTATTATTATTATTATTATTATTTATTATAAGTAATCGTACGAGTGATGATGATGGTGGTTATATATTAGTCAGTGAATCACATCGAACATTGTAGTAGTTTATAAAAAAATAAAAAAGCGATATTTAACACAAAAAAAAAATAAAAAAAAATGGTGATGAGAATAATAATAAAAAGAATCAATAAGAATTGATTGAATCAATAGTAAATGATTGATTTTAGATTACACTTGTCTTGTAATCATGTTTATTAGATTGATATTACCAAAACATTTTATTGACACAGAAAAGATAAAGTTTTAATTTTTTGTGTACTTTTTGACTTGTTAACTTACTGAATACATTGAATTCATTCTTTTAAAATAAATAATAATAATTATTATTTTAATTAAAATTTAATGATAATAGTGTAATTTTGAGCTTTTTAAAAAAATAAATAAATTCTAATTTAAAATTGCACTTGTCGACAGAATATTTAGAATAATAAATCTAGAATTCTATTGAATATAGTTTTTAGGTTGCAATTAGCTGTTTTGCTTGTTACTTATCACGAGTGTAATAACAAGAATCATTCGAGGCAGCTTTCTAAACACCATAGCATAGTTTGTTTGATTATTAAATTATATTGTGGGCGATGTTAGACATTGGTTATTTCTTTTCTGCTATTGTTGTTGCTTTGGTAAAATTGAAATCTCGTCCAATGGTAAAACAAAATATTATTATTTAATTTAATATTAAATTCATTCATTTAAAATAATACAAATTCATAATAATATTTTGGCGGTCTTTTTAAAAAAATTTAAATTTAAATAATGAACTTATTGTTATTATTTAAATGGTCCATTTTAATGATTATTTATTAGATAGTATATAGATAGTATATATATAGGAGTAGTTTCTGATTGTTAATTCTTAAATTTTTGTTTTGTTATTTATAATTATGGATCTTGGTGCAGTTGAAACAGAAGAATTGTTGGCCATTATAGACGAAGTTAAACTGTCGTTTGTAACTAACAATGAAGTTGCCAACATCGATCATTCACAGAGTATACACAAAGAGATTACAAATGCATTCATACAGCAACAGGATGAACTTTCTATCGTAGTGAAAGATCTCACACAGAAACTGATAGCGTTCGAAAAGAATGAAATGAACCGTGAGGATTCAGATGAAGTACACAACTCTAAACTAAAACAATATCAAGATCAACGTAGAGCCATACAATTGAGTATAACTCAATTAGAGAATGATATATTGTAAGTTTAGTTATAAGGCTATTTAAATAACAATATAACAATAACAATAGCAATCTTTATATTCATTATTAATCATTAATTATCTTTACTCTTCTTATTTGTAGAGATTTAAAAAAGACATTAACATTGTCAAAAGAACAATCCGCTAAACTCAAGGAAAGAGAACAACAACTTGAAAAACAAAAGAATCAATTAATACCATATCAAGAGTATGTAATAATACACTTTATTGATTATTATTATTATTATTATTAGTAGTTAGTTAACTAATGATATATATTTTATCTTTTAGACATCTATTTGCTTTGTATAGTGCTATTAGTTTGATTAGATGGGATATACCAAGTGAACAATCAATGACACAAGATAACAATGTTGTAACGGGAATCATGTCGAAACCAAAATATGGAAAGATATCAAAAATATCTTTGGATCCCGTGATTGAAGATCGTTTTGAAATGACGGAACGTCTGTGGGATATGATTGATAAAGAATGAAATGTCATTTAATTAATTAATAAAACATTTGTAAATATAATAAAACAATTCAATAATAATTATAATAATAATTTAAGTACTACTTTTAAACATTACATAACATTTTATAAATGATTAATTTAAACAAATTTACAAATTTTATTAAAGATAAATTATTAATATTACTTTAACATTATTTAAGGTGATTTTCATTATGTTGCAACTATTCATAAGAATTTCTTAATTATTATAATTGTAGTTGGTTGTTGTTGTTGTTTGATTGTTTGACTGACTGATAAAGATATTGAACAATAGATAATAAATAGAGTATAGCTATATAGATATAATATAGGTTTTGAACCATAAAAAAGAAATAATCATTATTATGTTTGGGAATTGGTTGACTTTTGGTATCATTTTACATTAAAAAATGATATATATAGATAGATAGATATTTGTTTTGTTGTTGTTGACAAATGTTGTTGTTTCGATCGAAATTGTTATTATTTGATTTGACTGTTGTTAGAATGGTTTAGAATCTTTCAAAGAATTCTGTCTTTTTCTTCCTTAGAATATCAGAGGCGTCGATAAATTCGTCGTCGGCATCATCGTCGTCGTCCTCTTCGTCGTCGTAGGAGTTGCTGTCTTCGCCGTCAAGCGAGATCTCGCGCAGCTTTGGTGTGAGCGGTCCCTTGTCAGTGGTGTTCTCGAGATTCTTCCAGTCGATCGACTCAAAGAATGGATGACTCTTGATCTCGTTGGTACCGTTGCACCCACAGCCAAGACGACGATCGATGTCGACCACAACCAGCTTCTCAATCAAGTCTTTCGCCAGCGGATCAAACGTTGGCGGTATCTTCTTGGAGATATCGCACTCACGCACCAGCTTGAAGATATGGTTGTGCTGGTCGCCAATGAACGGCGGAACACCGACGAGCATCTCGTAGATCAAGATACCGAGTGACCACCAATCCACCGACTTGCCATGTCCGTGACCAGAGAGGATTTCCGGTGCGATGTACTCGGGCGTGCCACACATGCTCTTGGTGTCATCGATAATTCGCTTGGCAAAACCAAAGTCGGTCAGCTTGATATGGCCGTCGAGATCGATCAACAGATTCTCTGGCTTGAGATCTCTGTAGATGATACCCTCGGAATGCAGATATTCCAGCGCCAATATAATCTCTGCTGCGTAGAGTCTAGTGACTTTCAGAGACAAGCTTCGGCACGATCGAATATGATCAAACAACTCACCACCGGGAACATATTCCTGTAAAAAATATAATGATTTTCTATCCTTATAAGTTGCAAATCTAAAAATTTTTAGATAGATGGTTAGGTTAGTAAACTCTCAAGAAGGTATGGTTGGAAATAGAGGATTATCAAATTATTGGATAATTACAGTTTTACAATGAATCGATGATCGATTGCCAAGAGTACTTCCTTCTCACTACATACATGAGCTTCTTGTCTGAGTCGAATGATTTTGTTCTGGTTGAGTATCTTCATGCAAAACAAACGTTTGGTGGGCATGTGCTGACAAAGTCGCACTTTTGCAAACGATCCGCAACCAAGCAGATTGAGAAGTTTAAAGTCAGCGAGTTGTGAGTTGTTAAAGTCAACCGGTGCATTTCTGATCTCTGGCAGGCTCAATGCCAGTAGCACCGACTGCGAATTGTTGGATGGTTTCTTCTTCTTTGTTGTCGGCTGTTGTTGAAGTTGACTCTGTTGGAACTGCGCTTGTAGCTGTTGATTCTTTTGTATTTGAACTGCCTGTTGCTTTTGAACCTGTTGAATGTGTTGCAGTGTCTGTTGAAGCTGTGAAATGTGGTTTTGTTGTTGGTAGAAAAGTGAGTGGTCAGCCGACACCGGTGTTGTGAGTGCCAGTGGTTGCATCTGTTGAAGCGATGTCGTTGCTATGGTTTGCTGTATGGTTGGTGGTTGTTGTTGTTGTTGTTGTTGTTGTTGTACAGGTAGCGTTGCTGCCTGTGACGAGACAGATTGTGGTGAGTATTGTTTCTGTGACTGCAGTGTTGTTTGCTGCGGTGAGTGTGAAGGTGAAAGATTTTGGGGAGCGGAAGACGGCGACGATACTGAAATATTGAGCTGTGACAACATTTGTTGAGACGACTGAGGAGATGATACACCTTGTTGGAATTGTTGTTGTTGTTGCTGCTGTTGCAAATGGTGTGAAATCTGTTGATGTTGTTGTTGCTGTATAGTTTGTTGTTGTTGTTGTTGTTGAAGATACTGTTGAATCATCTGTTGTTGTTGCATCTGTGTTATTTTCGATTGTAAACCAGGTTGTTGTAATTGCTGTTGTTGAAGTGGTTGAAGTTGTGGTTGCAGTTGAGGTTGGTGTGGTAGTTGTGGTGGTGGTAAATTATCGAATTTAGACGATGGATAAATAGGTAGTCTTTGCTGTGCAGTAGTGAAATGCTGCTGTTGCTGCTGTTGCTGCTGTTGTTGCTGTTGTTGATTACCGATACCAATAGTTCCACTGTTGATATTGATATTGCTGTTGCTCCCACTATTGCTATTGTTATTGTTGTTGACCAGATTATTGGCAACCAGGCACGAGCCTAGTGTGCCACTCAGTTTCTCAATAATTTCAAACGCCGTCTTCAGATAGCTCGATTTCAATAACATTCTTGTTCCATCACTAGATTGCTCCATAAACTATGAAAGTATACCAATAATAATTAGAATCTAACTACTAAATTGAAAGGAATGGTATTATAATTATTATGTTACATACATCACATAAAACACCTAGATTCTTGTGGATCTGAGATGCAGATATATAGAGATAATTAATAATGACAGGATGCAGCGAGATCATATCGGGAAGATCGGGCAATATTGGTTGTGAAATTGGCGAAGTTGATTGGTGTGGCGGTAAATGTTGTTGGAGTTGTTGCAGTTGTTGTTGTAGTATCTGTTGTTGTTGTTGCTGCTGTTGTAGTGGATGTAGTGATTGCTGTTGTTGTTGCAGAGGTTGAGGTTGTTGTTGAGATAGTTGTTGTGGCTGTGTAAAAGAGGTGGAAATGGTTGTGGTCTCCACTACTTTGACAACGGGCGATGATACCACATTTGAAGATGTAGTAGGTATACCATTATTATTATTATTATTATTATAATTCGCTCTATTATTATTATTATTATTCATTAAATTACAACTATTATTATTATTGTTAACGCTGCCTGTGCCACTACTACTATTATTATTGTTGTTGTTGCTGCATATTGTATCGTCTACAGAAGACACTGGCGTAGTTTCACTGCTTCCTCCACTCTTATTCATACCATTATTATTGTTATTATTATTATTATTATTACTCACAATCAATGCAGGTATTAGTCCAATATCGTAAGCTGAATATAAATTACTATTATTATTATTGTTATTACTATTATTATTGCTGCTGCTACTACTATTACAATTATATATACTTGATTGATTAAAATTATTATTATTAAGTTGTTGTTGTTGTTGTGAATCTATTTCGTTATTTACAATGGGAGGGTTGATTCTCTGACTTTTAGGTGAGTGTTGTTGCTGTATAGTTTGTTGTTTTTGATTAAATATATGAGGACTATTACAACTGTTGCTTATACTACTACTATTGTTGTTGTTATTATTTCCACCAATATTTATACCACTACTAGCGCTACCGATTGTTGGATAGCATCTACTATTCAATCCATTTATATTGTTTGTATTTATTAAATGAGTACTATATCCATTGATTCCATTTGTACTATGGTTGTTGTTGTTGTTGTTGTTATTGTGAATAGCTGCTGCATTCAAATCGTGTCCGAATGAAAGTGAAGATGCCACCAAAGTTGAATCTATATTGATACCATTATGATTGCTATTGCTATTACTGTTGCTATTGTTATTGTTTACCGTGGTAAATGCATCTATATATCTATAAAATATGAAAAACAACGTATAAGTGGGCAATAGTTGTTTGTTTTGTTAAGTTATGTTTTACTTACTCTCTTTTCAGTGGATTCTTGGTGTATGGAGGGTCTTCGTTTGGTTCGCACATTTCTTTCCTTTTATGGTGATCGATATATACATCAATGATATTCTCCATGACCGCAACTACCGTACTGTACAGTAATGCTGGTTTGAATGTTGCACTGTTGGCTCTATGATTTTGTTGTTAATTGAAACAACAACAATAGACACACAACAAAGACTGTCTCTACCTTCTTCTTCTTCTTCTACTTCTTCTTCTTTCCTCTTGTTATTATTACTCAAATTTGAATGTGATGTGTACTATTTATTTTTTTTTTTGTTTTTTTTTTTTTTTCTGACTTTCTATGCTAATACTAATTTATTTTAGTTAATTGATTGATTATTATATTCTCTTCTCGCTCTCTCTTTCTCTCTCTATCTTCAAAGTGAAAGAAAAAGTAATAAGAAAGATAGAAAGGAAAGAAAAGGAAAAAAAAAAAAAAAAAAAAAAAAGATAGGGTAGTATGTGTTTAATATTCTCTATTGTACTACTACTAATTCCTACTGCTGCTACTACTATTTCTACTTATTAAATTGATATGTTTACAGTTGTGTGTATGTTTATTACTATTTATTGATTAAAATAAAAATTGTTGTTGTTATTATGTGATAAATCTATCTATATTTATATTATATATCTAAATAAAATTTAACCAAAATCCAAAAAAAAAAAAGAAATGGGAATAAAAAAAAAAATGTGATGTGTGTGATAATTATAATGCTGTTGAAGTAATTAAATTTTTCAGTAAAGCAGTGTTACTTGACTGAAAACAATATGAAAAGAAGAATGGTAGTCGTAATACTCTATTCACTTTAAACAACTAGCTATATATATATATATTTATCTAAACTAAAAGGTTCTTTTTATTTATTTATATTTTATTTTATTTATTTTTTATTAATTTTTACAATATTAATAAAATAAATTGATTCAATAAAATGAAAATTGGTTATTGTTACTTGTAACTAGTTACTCTCTCTCTCTTCTCTCTCTCTCTCTAATTAAGTTTGTTTAGTTAAAAGGAGAATTCTTCTCTTACTACCAATTCAGCTGACAACAATTCTGTTTGGTGATATTGCGATTTCAATTCAAATGAGTGAGTGAGTGAATGAGTGTATGTAAGAAAATGGATGGTGAGAGTGGTGTGGTGTATATTTAATTAGTAAAATTAAAAACAAAAAAAAAGAGATATATATATATTTATTATTAATTTATTTTTATAGTATGATGGATGATGTCTGATGTTTTTTGTTTTATTTATTTTCGTAATTGTTGTTGTCGTTGTTTTTGGTGTTTGTTGTTGTTGTCTCTTTCTGAGTGGTTATTTATTTAAATTATCTATGCAATTTTTTTGTTTTTAACTTTTTGGAACTATATTTTTTAAGGAACACCAAAAACAATAATATTGTTGTTGTTTTTTTTTTTTGTTTTTTTCTTTAATGGTATTACAGCAGCATTAAAATAGGAAAATGAAAAACAAAACAAAACACTTACATTATAAAAATTAATTAAACAAATTATAAGTTTTTTAGTTTTTGTTGTTTTTGTTTTGTTTTTGTTTTTTTTTTTTTTTTTGTTTAGTTGGATGGATTGAAATGAATTGATTTGGATTGGTTTAAATATAGTGTGGGTGAACATGTCACTCATGTGCACACTGAAAATACTCTCAATATTAGGTTTGTCTTGTAAAATTTAAAATGCATTACTTCCTTCCATTCACACTACACTATCCAATTTCTGCTAGCATAGCAAATAGAAGAGCACAGACAATAATGTTATTTTTTGTTTGCTTTTGGTTATTTTTTTTATTTTTTTAAATCACAAATGAAATAACAAAAAAAAAATGCATGTTGTTCAAATCATAATATATAATTCATTATTTTGTTTTGTTGATGTAACAGTTGGCATAAAAATAAAATAACCAGAAAGACAGAAAGACAAACAATGTTACTACTTCATATTAAAAAATAAAATAAAATAAATAAGTAAAATAAAAGAACATGAACAGAAATAGTGGTGAGTATACATCATTGTTTTCTCTTTTCTTATATACACACTATTTTTGGATAAAATGATTGATAATAATATTATTTAGATTATATATTTGAAAAAAAAAAAAAAGGAGAAAAGTTATTTACTTTTTTTACCACAATCAATTATCCACCATTCTATCAAATAAGTAAATAATGCCCATGTGTGATTACCTTGATAATGAAATAGTCAATATGCTTTGGATTTAAATCCCTATCATACAAAATTTTCATTGCCATATATGCTTTTTAAATGCACAATAAAACAATTGTTGATCAGAAAAGTTTGAAAATTATTATTATTTTAAAACCATTGATATTGATAGGTAGTTTTTTTTTATTACTTGAGAAAGCATTTTTGGAAAAATCCTTTTAAGAGGAAATTGAAAATACAACTAGAGAAACAGAATTATTGTATAGACTTACCAAAATAACATGGGAGTTTGCTTCTCCGCCACATCTATGGCGGGCACAACCGTAAACATTAAAATGACTGTGTCTGAGGGACCACAACTTCCAACTCCAGGTTATGTATTCATGCAGCAAGGTTCGTAAGTATTGCATCCAATAGTCTATTCTTTTTATTTTTTATCTGAATTCATTTCATCATCATAACTAACCTAAAATATTCGCTAGAACTTGTGATGTCTCCACTCCCATTCCCCAAGAGTCTACTATCAATTCAATTTGGGATCCAGCTAACTGTGTTAGCAGTAGTGACCAATTTACAAAATATTCTGCTGTTAGCTTCCAACAGAGTAAGCCTGCAGCCAATTTAAATACTAATTTAAATGGATGTGTGAATCAGTTTTTCTTCCAAGCAAAGTGTTCAACTCATTTCAATTTCTATCATGCCTACACATTGTTGGATAGCTCTGTACCGCCAAGTGCATTCCAGCTCTCAGCACCAGACATCTCATTCACTAACTTCAATATAGTTAGAGGTTCCATTACAACCACTGGTGTATGGTATGGAATCGGTATGAATTTAATCGTTTACTATAACGATACCAAAACCAACCAATGGATTAATACAAACTATTTAACCACCGGAGTTACCCAATTTATGGCTACCATTCCAAGTTACACTTACCAGACAACCACACAATTTAAAGTAGTAGTTGCTGGTATTGATTTAAACAATATTCTAACCATTCCATCTGCTATTTCCAATTCCATTACAATGCCAAGTCGTAAGTATAATTTCCTATTTATTATAAATATTTTTTTTATTAAATTAGCTCGTATCACTCTCTCTCCCTCAATTTTATTTATAGCTGTGCAATTTGGAACTGTGAATGTTGTTAGTTTTGGTGTGACTACTGCTACAATTAGTTACACTGCTTCAGGCGGTCTCTATGGCTATTCAACAATATTCACAATTTCAGTGACTGGTGCAAGTGATTCGATCCCTTCATCTTGCGAGATTGACACCAGTTGTACAACAATCAGTTCAACCTGTACGACATCTACAGGATCGTGCACAATCACAGGCTTAACACCAGGTTCCTCTCCAGTTTTCACAGTCAGTGCCCTAAACTTTAACAATCAGTCTCCAGGAGCTCCAGTAACCATAAACTTGTATAAACAGGCTACCTTCACAAGTTTCACTGCAGTTCGATCTAGCACTGCACCCGACCTCATCCTTAAATATGACATTGTCAACGGTGTGCCAGGAAGTGTTCAGGTTCAAGTTTTAATAAATGGAACAGCATATAACAATTGTCCATCGGCAGGACCAAGTTGCACAATCTCTAGTCTGTCAGCACCAAAACTATACGATGTATCTGGTGTTGTAACTTCAGGTGGTGCCAGCTCAACTAAGAATCAAATGTTTATGCTCTATGATGGTAAGCTATAACTTAATATCGATTTGGAAATCAATGAATGAATATATTATAGTCCTAATACATACTTTTATCATTTTTTCAATATCTAGATATACAAGCAATTAATATTGGATTAACTCAGATGACAACTAAACAAATTACCATAAGCTATAATGCAACTGGTGGTGATCCAGCAGCGACTACATGTACTATTTATTTGAATGATGTCAATGTCTATAATGGAATTTGCCAAAAAACAAAGACATTCTTCTCCCTATCTCCTGGAGTACAATATATTATTAAGGTAACCGGAAGCTATATGGGAAAATCTAGTAGCAACAGCATAACTTTGACTACCTACCAAACTATTACTCCACCACAAATTACATTAAATAGCAGTACCTCCTCGATCAGTTTAACATACCAATCTACTGATGGAGAGGTTGGATCATCACTCTACACTGTACTCTTGAACAACACACAGGTCCAGGGTTGTATCCAAACCACCAACTTACAATGTACAATCTCCAATCTTGAAGATGGAACATGGTATCAGGTTCAAGTGGTTGTGGTGAATGATGGAACAACCAAGTCAACATCTCAAACCATTCAGACATACCCGAAAATCAATAGTTTACAAGTTGTCGTTGAACCCAAACTCCCACAAATCAGACTTAACTATTCAGTTGAGGGTGGATTCCCAGGTGCCGGCTACGACTTTTATCTATTCTTGAACGATGAAAACTACACTTCTCAATGTCTGGGAAATATCGATAGAAGCAAGGCCGATGGTAGCTGTCTGGTAAGCATGTTGACTCCAAATACTGAGTATACTGTCGTTATCCAAGCAAAGAACGATGGAACACTGATTGAAAGTTTACCCAACACCTTCATAACATACTATACTGTTTCATCACCGAATATCACTATTACACAGACCACCGCGGACAAAACTCTTACAGTCGACTACCCAACTGAAAACGGTGTACCAGGAGAATCCGTGTATTACCTCTACGTAAATGGAACAGCCATTCCATCATGCTCCAATAGCAAGACTCCACAGTGCATTCTCATTGGAAATTCCATTCCACTTGATGTAAACCTTGTTTTCTTTGTCCAGGTCAAAAATGCCCTCGATACTGAAGACTCTGGAAATATAACTGCTCACCCATATGATTGTAAGTATATTATTATTATCAAACAATGTTTAAACTTGATCAATCATCAATTTTATTAACAACAATATATCTAGATTTAAGCAATGTAACAATCAACGTATTAAAGAGCAATTTCACTGAAATCAATATCTCTTGGGATAACTCTACTGGAGGAATTGAAGGTTCTACTTTATATACAGCTTCTATTTCAACCGATGGTAATGATTGGTCGTCTAAGTGTGTACATACCGCAATCACAAATTGTTTATTTGATGGACTACAATCAAACACCCAATATTATTTCAAGGTTGATATAGTCAACTCTGCATTCCCAGACTCTATCTCTGCATTCACAACAGCAAATACACTGGATCCAAATCCACCATCTACTGGTTCCACAACAACAACTACTGGTTCCACAACGACTACAATTTCCACAACAACAACTACTACTGGTTCCGCAACGACTACAACTTCAACATCACCAAGCACTACCTCAACTACTGATTCAGGAGATACAACGGCAACAACTGGTCTTAATTCTTCAAGCCGTGTACAATCTAATTTATTATTTATTTTATTATCTTTAATTATTTTATACACTATTTAATAAAATACTGCTCAATCAGATGTTCAACAGATATTTAAATAATTGAAAAAAAAGTTAAATTTAATTTTAGTTATTAATAATATTTATAAATATTTTATTAAATAATATTATTTGGGAAGAGTGAATCTTTTTTTTAGAAATGTTTTAAATTTCTAAAAAAGTGATTGATTTTGTAAACATTTTGACAAACAAAAGATATTGTTTAGAGATGGATATCGAGACAATCGATGGTGATAATATCCAAGACGTTGACATCAGTAATGTGAGCGTCAAGGAGGGCAGTTTGGTTGGATGATTGGAAACCATTCATACCAGTTGAACCGGTAGTGTTAGCTTTGATTGATGAGCTTGAGGAAGCAACCAATTGAGAGAGTGATTCTATAGATAATAGAAAATATTTATATTAATTAAATGTTTTTAGAAATTAATTTAATTTTGTTGGTTTACTTACTGTACAACATTTTTACAGAGTAGTATTAGAAGGTATTAGTATTAAAGTAATATTAATTTAAGTTTTTGATTTGAATGAATAATTTGGTTTGGACTTGGCTTTTTATAGAGTTTCTTTCTCTGTGGAGGTCGTACATTTCAAACAGCCGAACTACTAAACTTCAAACTTAATTGGCATTAAAAATAAATTTGTAAACTACCCAATATCATAATCCCATCTGTATTTCGAGAGTAATATGGAAAGATATATATTTTTTTAAACATTTTCTTAAAATTCTATCTATCTATAGTTACAGATGAGATGTTTAAGAATTGAAATTAATCATTAACCGTATCATCAAACTGATACATAAAATGACGTGTTATAATCGCAATTATTAAAATTGTAAATAAAATAAAATTTTCAACAAAATCAATCAATATCAAATCTCATCCTCTTACCATATATGTTGTATTGATAGTTAATTTATTTTTTTCATTTCTATCTCTCACAGGTGTGAGTGGTTTGTTGAATTTGTAGTAAACAAATATAAATAAAAATTATAAATATAAAATTTTATTTAAAAACTTTTCATTTTCCAAACAAGAATAGCGGATAGTGTTGATATTGATTTTAATCAAATTTTTATATTACAATACAAAATAAATTATTTTTGATGGATTTACCATTTTTATTAAGGTTTTTCACATATAAATAAATAAAAAACAAAAGAATGAATGACTTTTCAAAATCATAATGTTATGAGGTGTATGTATTAACTCTGTATGAAACAATTAATTAAAAGATTTAAATAAAAAATTATGACAATGTTGTGTTGAAGTAATATGAAAATTATTGGTGGAAATTGAATTGAGGAAAAACGATTTAATACTATTATTAAATAAATTATATCCCAATAATTTAACTATTCCAATAATTTAATTGATCGAATCGATTATACAATTATAATAATGAATCAAATACAATAAATAATAAATAAATTATTTTGATAGAGCAATTACATGTGTCACTGATGCTGCAATTTCCTCTATATTACCAATTGACGAGAGATTATCCAACAAGATTGGCATATTATATACACATCGCTTTTCGTTTGCCAATTGAAAATCGTAGTTCGATCCCCATCCATAATATCGACCTTGACTATCCTTTGCAATCACATATTGGTGTCCAGTCCAAAACATTTGAATGTTTTCAATTGATTTGATATGATTCAACTCTCCAAACTTGAAATCATCGCCAACTCCTAACTGAATTATTATTATAATTATTAATTTGAAATTTTTTTAAAGTTAAATAATAATAATATAAACAATAACAACTTACTTGACCATGACTATTTGATCCAATTGAATACATGTTTCCGGAATCAGTGAGAATATAGTTTGAGAAACTACCACTTCTAATATGAATTACTTTACCGTTGACGCCTGAGAGATCTAGCTCAAACAAGCCTGAGAAACATCCTTTCTCCATGCCGCTTTCCACTGGTTTGCATTGTCCTTCTTGGTTGCGTCCCCATACAACAACCTTGTTGCCGGTGGTCAGTGCAATGCCATGGAAATAGCCTGCAGAGATCGCAGTAAACTTGTAGTTTGTCACTATTTTCTTTGGAACGCGCTCGGTGAATTCCGAGTCATGTCCAAGCTCGTTGAACATCGCCGAGCCAAACGAATAGATATCACCGTCGTTTGTGAGAGCCAGAGAGAATGTAGAGCCAAGTGCTAGCTGCTTCGTACCGAGATTCGATAACTTTGTATTGAGCAGCGGTTGGAATTGCAGTCTTGCGTATTTGGCTGCGCCAACTTGTCCGCTGTTACCACTACCCCAGAGGTATGCAGTGCCATCGTCATACACTGCACCGTTATGGTAGGTTCCACTTGTCAGTTGAACTAAGCGCTTACCGCTGTCGGCAATCGTCTTATGGAACTCCTCATCGATCGGTTGTATCGTCTCCAACAGTGGTATCTTACCGTTTCCAATGATCAGCTGACCGTATGCATTGTTTCCACAGCCATACAATCTCGACTTGTCTGTTGCAAACAACGAGCAGGTCGTACAACAGCTGATATTCGTAATATTGTCATAGAGTAAATCTTCTATAAGTGTTGGTTTAATCAATTGTGTAACATCATTTCTAAGTCCTACTTTATTATTAAAAAATAAAGCAACAAATAGTTGAATAAATATCAATGTCGAAAAAATTACAGTTTGTTCACATTTTATATTTACATTTTCCATTTGAACCACTTCCCCAAGAATATACTAATTTGTTGTAATTATGATAATATTTTAATAAATTGGTATATTTTACTCTAGGAACTACTCAATATAAAATTTACCTTTTAGCTTTACATGATCATTGTTGTTGTTGTTGTTGTTGTTGTTAGTATTATTATTGGTGGAACTACAAAAGTTGAAACTTTGATATCTATATACATTATTGATTAAAGCGTCATGCCTGAATAATGTTGTTGATGTTGCTGATTTGCTTAATCTTTGAGATGCTGATATTACGTTCATTAACATATTTAAATATCTAGGTGATTAATCAATCAGTCATACTTCAAAAACAAAGAAAAGAAATGAGCTTGAACTTAAACCAATTTTTTTTTTTTTTTTTTTTTTTTGATCATTAAAAATGAATGTTTTTTTTTAGCTAAAGATAATGAACAGCCATCAACTTTAACTGATTATTTAATGCACTATTATTGATTCATTTAGATTGATAAAGTTGTGGTTTAAAGATAATTTACTCTAAAATCTTGTTTGTTATTATTTTTATCATCAGCTGGTGGTGTCATTTTAAAATGAGTCATAACCATCCATTCTTTTTTTATTCTCCTGTTATTAAAACAGACAATAACTAAAATTCCAACGAAATTCTGCAATCAAGTTGATCTTCCCGCTTTCCACAAACAAACAGTTTGCCAAAAAAAAAATGAAAAAAAAGAAATTTAAAAATCACATTTGGTTTATGATGGTGTTAACAATAATATCATTGATATTTATTTAAAAGAAATCAGAAGGAAAAGAAATGCTTTGGTTTTGAATGAACAACAACAAAACAATGATGTTTCCAAAATGTATTTGAAATTAATCTGTAATGCTGAAGTGTAAGTAAAAAAAATAAAATAAAAATCTGTCTTGTAAGCATTGTAATTCTTCTTTTCTATCTATGTGAAGATAAACCCTTTATTTACTCGATCTCTTGAACTATCTCATCAGCATTTTGGACCAAAATAAATATCCACCAATTTAATGATAGTTTTTTCATTAGATGGACCTGCAAAAAAAACCTTGGTATTACAATTCCCAACTCTGGTTTAGTGTACATTTCATTTGTATTGTTTATTCCCATTGCAATGATCAACAATTTTATTTTATTTTCTGTTCATTTTTTTTTTGGCAAACCAATCTTTTCTTTTATTTTTTTATTTATTTTTATTTTTATTTTATTTAATTCATATTCTATCATTTTTTTTCTAAAACAAAAAACATGGAGGGTGTTCATTTCCGCCCATCTCAACTTTGTTCCTTAGACCACCATTTTGCTCTCCAAAAAATTTCACAACCCCCTCCATTGAATTTTTGCATATTTTTACAAGATTTTTATTTTTCAAGCTCTGCATTTTTTTTGGTTGAAAGTTGGTGATGTGTGTTATTGGGGCACAGCTCATGAGAAAACAAAATATCAAGACCATGCAAATTTTACACCAGGATATTACTGCTCACCCTTCATTCATTTTTTTATGAAATCAAAATAATGATATCACATCAAAAAAAAAAAAAAAACCTTTGTACAAAAATGAATAAAATGAGATGGCACATGATGTAGGCAATCTGTGTGTGCGTCATCATACTACTAAAAAAATCAAATTCTTTTTTTTTTTTTTTTTAATTAATCACAGCAATAATTTTTTTTTTTTTTTTTGCTTTTTTTGCTATTCAGACGATGTGGCGTAATTTATATTTTGTTGTTCTTAAAGTTTTTTTTTTTCAAATTTCTTATTATTTAAAGAGAATTTAATTAAATTGGAATAGGTCCACAAACAAACAATCAACTAATCAAAAAATAAAATAAAATAAAATTTGTTTAGATTTTAGATTTAAAAATATTATTGCTTTGAAGAAGAACAAGAAGAAGAAGTAGAAGAAATATAGTAGTAGTACAATTACAGATTAGATCAAGTATAGTATTAGTAGGTAGACAGATTAGATTGATCTTAATTACAAAACCCTCCTTTTTTGTTGTTGTTTATCATAATCTATCAATTCAAACAAAACTTGGCATAGATAAATAAATATCTTTGTACTGTGTATAATAGTATTTTTTTACCAATAATAGTAATAATCGTATATAACAATATTGTCAGTTGTAATAGTCATAGTGCATAATAAAACAAACAATTGTTAATCATCCTATTAAAAGATAAAAATAAAATCAAATCAATCGAAAATAATCTAATCTTATCAAAACAAACACAATCTAAATTAATCACGGACTATATAAAGTATTACTACTATAACAGTAGTTTACCACGTTACTATTTTTAGTGTCATCATGATACTTAATTTGAATCTACACCGATTCAATAAGCAAATAGCACACAAACACACTAAATAAACACACATAACCACACACACTCTCTTAAATTCCTTAAATTAGCATTTGATCGATCTCACCAAGTTAAACATATCATCACACAATAATTTATTTAATTAAATAATATCATTGATTGTCGATTATTGTTGTTTTTGTCATAATAAAAAATCATCATAATAATAATGATAGTTATTCAGATATCATTGTTGCTATTATCAACAGTTACTTGTGATTAACTGCTCCAATTGTTATTATCTACAGATAATTAAAACATAATAATCAATGAGAGCAGAGTTAATTAAATTAAAATATATATATATATATTAGACTTTCCTATTTTGGTCCATAAACCATCATGATAACTAACCACCACACCACAGATGTGTGAACAATTTTACATTTTCGATTTGATCTCTATTCAACACTATTTTTGTCTTGATGTTAGTTTGGTTTAAGTTTTTTCTTTCTTTTAATTAATTTATGTTTTTAATTTAATGAAAACATAATTCGATCAACTGGCTTGACCATTCTTTGTGCGATGATGATGATGGTGATGATGCTACTGGTTGATCAAATCCTATAACATGGTTCATCAAATCATCAAATCATCAAATCATCAAATCATCAAATCATCATAAAATTAAAATTGCCTTTGGCAATAGTGTGTGTAGTTACAATAACATATACAAGTTATACAAATATATATATATATATAATGAGTTTCTAAATCACATCTCACCACGAAAACAAAGAAAAAATTACTATATTTATATATTTCCTATTTTTGTTAGACAAATCAATCCATCACAATTTACCACCATAAGTATACTTCTTTAGTATTCGAATATTAAAAAAGAGTGAATATCCAATTTTCTACTCATTCCTTTAATGGTATCCATCTTGTGCTAATCAATCTGATATGATGGTTTACAATTCAAGATTCTATTTTCTTTTCATGAGGATGTGTATTGCTCTACAATCCTTAGCATCTACCTTTTGTTGTTTGTTTGTTCACACTGTGATATAATCTTACATACTAAAAAAAATAAATAATAATAAACAATTATTTGTTGTTTGCTTGCCAGATCAACAACTGTTATCATCTTTCAAAATGAAGGGTGAACAAACAAACACAACCCGATTCCACCCGCCTTCCATCATCGAAAAAAAAAAAAATCATTCTCATACCACCCGCTTCACTTGATCATCATCATCATCATGACATCCATTGTCATGAAAAATACATTAGTAACTGTCATCATTACTGGCAACAACACAAAATCTCTATTGCCAACAATAACAATAACAACAATAACAACCAACACATTTATTGCATGACTATGGTTTGAAATATTAATATTTGGCGATCATCAATCATTTATTTTGACTGTCAAAGCACCACATATGTGCCTCTATTTAATTAATTTTTGCAACATAAATCTTGTTTGCATAACATGGTGGCGAATACCACGACATTTGTGTGTGATAGTGGTGAATAATCAAATTGAATTTCAAAAAACTCACACTACTTTTATTAAAAAGGAAGAGTTACTCGTATGATATGTTAATTAATTCTTTATAAAATTAAAAGGACATGAATACACCACACTACTACCACCATTAAAAGTTCATCATCTTCATCTGAAACTCAAAATAACAACATCATCATCATCACATCTCATAGCAATCAATGTATATATGTATGTAGGGTGATTATGAAGTGTTATTATTTTGTGAAACCACCACCACCATTAACAATAACAACAACAACACATTTATTCATTATGTTTGTGAGTGTTAGTGAGTTAGTTAGTGGTGCATGATTATAATTGTTAGTTAGTTAGTTAGTTGATCAATTGCTTGATTCTTGTTATACTTTATAAATTATTTATAGCAACAACAACAACATCATCAACAACAACCAAACAAAAATAAAATGAATTTGATGTTGTTTAGCTCTTTTAATTAAATAATTGTTTTTTTTTTTTTTTCTAAAATGATATATTGATGTTGTTCTACTACTATTACTACCAATAATGTTATTTTGAGCCTATCAAACTATCATTACATTTTCCACCTTTTTTGTATATAAAATTACTTTTGATGATCGTCATCATCAAGCATACATACATATATAAATACATATATTTTATATAAAATAATCTTTTACAACAAATATTTATTACTTTATCACATTCTACATTAACATTTCTAAAAAAGAATCAAAACATTGATCAACGACAACAAACACAATATCATTTAATTGATAACCATTAACCGATCACAATCCAATTTTATTGATACACAATCAATCAACAGTTCCAATATATCAGCAACTTAACAACACATAATACCCACTAGCATCACGTATCTCGACAGCCACCAACAACAACAATCATCAACCAACTAACCATTCATTAATATATACATATATATATCCATATAATATTATATACACTCTAAATTGTCTATATATTTAGATTGTGATTTCTTTTCAGCGAATAAACCAATTTGGGGGCATTCAGCTAAAGTTTTTATACCCTTGTTATTGATAATAATAATAATATTTTTTAATTGTTTGACATATATCTAAATTATTAAGCGCGATCGCACCAATATTCTCTTGTTCTATCATATCGATATTGTGTATATACTCAAACATTATTGTTAAAAATTGAACATTAACAATAATATCAAAATCAAAATACTAAATAATCAAACCGCAAATAATAATAATTCCAAACTATAATACTTTTAAACTTGAACCATCTTGTTTATATCAAATCACTCTTTTTTTTTTCTGTTATTTGCTTCCAAAACCATCAAAATTAAAACTTGAAGCAACAACCCACTTTTTACTTTTTATATTTTTATTTTATTCATAATACAATCAATCAATCAAATATTATCCAAAGCCAAAGCCAAAGCCAAACCAATCAAATAAATATATATTTTTTAATAATAATAATATAACTGACAAACAATTAGTAAAACATAATCAATCATTTAACAAACAAAGTTATTATTTTTTGGAAATAAATAATCTGGAAAATTATAAACTTTTTTTTTTTTTCCATTAAATACATAAAGTTATATAATCATGTCAAGTCCAACAATTTTAAATTCACCTCTTTACCGGACAAGTTTTCACTCGTCGTCATTGTCATCGTCATTGTCGTCATCAGTATCACCCTCTTCATCTCCTATTTCAAATTTTTTATTCTCTGAAGACTCAACTAACTATCCAATCAATCATTATCATAACCAGTCTCCGATTAGCCATCACCATCATCACCATCAACAACAGCAACAACAACTTTACAAATCATCATCATTAGATTCACCCAGCTTCAACAATAATAGCAACAACAACAATAATAGCAACAACAGTAATAAAATGTACAGTCCAGAGCTCCCACCAATTTACGACCTCTCCGATCCATCGTCATCGACCGAGTTTAGAATCGGCAAGATGAAGCCCGACGTCCAAGACGAAGACCGCATCAAGAAGAGGCAGGTCCGTCTCTTGAAGAACCGTCAGTCCGCTGCACTCTCTCGTCACCGAAAGAAAGAATACATCACCAATCTCGAGTCGAAAGCACAGGAACTGCACTTGGTCACACACGAACTCCGCCAGAGTGCTTCCACACTGACCCGCCACCACTACGAGGCAACCACCCACCTCGACGAAATGGAGCAAGCCTTCAAGCAGATCTCCATACACAACGAATTACTTCAAAAGCGAATCGACGAAATTTTAATCACCACAACAACCACCGCACCATCATCATCAACTACTTCCACCGCCACCACACCAACTCTCGAAAAACCAAATAATAACGCAACATCCATTAGTAACACATTCTCTGTTCAAACACCACAACAAACAAGAAGATTCAACGATGAAATTGTAATTGGAATGAATAAGATGAATTGTAATAATAATAATAATAATAGTAAAAATAATAATAATAGTAATAGTAATAATAATATTTCAGAGAATAATAATAATAATAATAGTCATCAAGTTTCGGGATTTAATCAACCATTCCTTAGTATTTCAAATCCAAATGTAAATTCATCACCTGCTTATCTTACACGTGCAAGATCATCTTCTTATCACCCAGCACCAATGGAGAGTAGCGCAACACCCAACCAAAGTTCAACATTTTCACCAGATTCATCACCTCTGCTGCCGTCTCTTCATCACATCGCTAAAAATATTAATGGACAAGTCTCCCCAATGCCAACACGTAACTCTACCAACCTATCATCGTCACCAACTAGAAAGAATCTTCTTGGTTATCATCATTTCCATCTTAACACTGCCAATAATTAAACAATTTTTGATAATAATAATAGTACTATTTTTTTTATACTTCCTTTCCCCTCCAAATATTTTTATTTCCAGTTTTTTAATTAATTAGCAATTAAATTAAAAACAACAATTCATTCAACAACAACAACAATAATATTAAATTAATTATTTATAGTAATAATAATTCTATCAACTCAACTATCCATCAATCAATCTCCATCCAATCAAATCAAATTATTATCAAACAAAAAAAAAAAAGCGATTTAAATAAGTTATTATTGTATATTTTATAATACAGTTTTCTTAAGTTTAAAGACTGTATTATCAAATATATATTATTACTTTCAATTTCAAAATAATAAATTGATTGATTTACTTTAGAGTCTATTATTTTAATTTACACCTTATATTTAAATCTTAATATTAATCTTATTTTCTTTTTTGTTTGTTTTTTTTTTTGAATGAACTAGTTCATTTTTTTAATTTATTTATTTACAACACCCAACATCTTTAAATCATTTATATAATCTACCCATCTCTTACAATTATTGTATAAATCAAAAAAGTGTTTATGTCTTCCTCTCTATTATTATTATTGAAATTGCAATATATAGTTTATGATTAGTAAAATGATTATTAATTTATAAACTTTGATATATATGATAGTTACAGTGTTAATTACAAAATGTCTCATTGACTTTGATTCAGCTGATAGAGTTGAATCAACGGGAATTTCACCTTTTACTATCATCTTGTGTGGATCGACATAAAAGATTCTTGGTGTGTCTGTTATTATCATCACTCTCTTCTTTGTTATTAAACCTGTTTTCTTCTCGAGTGTTGCTATTGCCAGTATGATCTCATTGTTTGGCAAAAGGAATCTGTTCCATACTATATCTTTCTGTTCCTCTCTCAGTTCTTTCTTTACCTCTTTTCCACCAAGTAACAGTTCTGTTGGTGATATAAATATTCTACAATTATTCTTATTGTTGTTGTTGCTATTACTATTTATATTTTGATGTAAAGGACTGTTTATATTTGATTCTGTAATTGTATTTGAATTTATATTAGAATTTGATGTTGAACTTGAAGTAGTGGAAGAAGTAGTAGTTGTTGTTTGTGATGAAGATCTTTCTCTTAGAATAACATGATTATCACTAAATAATGGATTGTTTGGAATTGCTTCAGATTGTGATCTAATTCTATGTAATTGATTGGAACTAATATTGTTGTTATTATTGCTGATGTTATTATTATTGTTGTTGTTGTTAATACTAAGATTGGCTACTGTTGTTGTAGTAGGAGAAACAGGATCAATTGGAACTATGACTGGAGGATCACATTTGGCAAGGTTGTTAAAGTCGATGTCCCGGAAGAATTGGTGCGACCGTATCTCTTGGAAGGAAGGACGTTGCTCTGCATTCAGGTTAAGCAGTCTGTCGACCAGGTCTTGTGCGTCGGCATCAAAGTTGGGCGGGTATTCAAAGTCGCGCTTGATAATCAGCTGGAATGTCTGGTAGTCGTTGAAGCCTTTGAATGGCAGCTTGCCCGAGACGAGCTGGTAGATCAGACAGCCGAACGACCAGAGATCCGCCGACTTTCCGCTTTCTTCTCGACTAACAACTCCGGACAGACGTACTCGGCGGTGCCACAGAACGAGCCGGAGCGCACCAACGGATCGTTTCCCAGCTCCTTGGCAGTGCCAAAGTCACTCAGTTTGATATGCATCGATTTCGACAGGAGAATGTTCTCTGGTTTCAGGTCACGATGCGCAATACCATGGCCATGCAGATACTCGAGAGTCACCAGTATCTCCGCAGAGTAGAATCTAACGACATCCAAACCGAAACAGCTACATTTCTTGAGTTGTTCGAGTAAATCTCCATTCGGACAGTATTCCAATATAAAATCTTTATATATAGATTGAGAAAGAAAATTACATGTAAATATACTAACTCTAATTTCATTAGATAATAAATAATCTAGATTATTTATTCTTTTCTTTACTTACATAGATTTGTTTCATCTTGAAAAGTATAGAATAGTTTAACAATGTTTGGATGATCAAGTGAATCGAGTATTGTTTTTTCAGTGTTTACATATTTTGCTTTCTTCTCTTTGAGTATAAGTTGTTTATTTAGTATTTTAGCTGCATATCCTTTTCCTGTTTCTTTTTCAATAACCAATTTAACCTATTGATTTATTAGTATTATGTATGCCAAAAATGGTTAATGATTGTTTTTCGCGCCAACATTTTTATTTTTACTTATTTTGATTGATTGGTTGATTGAACTTACCTTTCCATAACTACCTTTTCCTATTGTTCTAATGAAATCGAAATCCTGTTTGGTTTTCTTTGTTGAGTTGGGTGCAGGCTGTGATAGTTGTTGTCTTATGAGTGCCTCAGAGTTGAAATCTTTTTCTTTTACAAAGAGCATCATATTGTTGTTTGTTGATTTACTTGCGATTGTTGGTGTTGTTGCAGTTGTTGGTGGTGTTGGTCTTATTGATGTTGGACTGCAGTCGCTGTTCATATTCATATTCGTTGCATTATTCAATGTACCACCTTCGGATTGACTGATTTGTTGTTGAATTCTCTCATCTTTACTATTCATTCATTAAATTAATATAATTACAATTATAAAAATTAATATAATTATAAACTATAACAATAACAATAAGAATAAAATCTAATCAAATAAATAAAAAATGATATAATGATTTAATATTGTTAATAATAATTAATATGTGTGTTTATTTTTTTTTTTTAATTTTTTTTTTTATTCTTTTAATTACAGTTTGTTTTCGCATTCATTTTCAATCCAATTTTAAACTTTCAATGAAACTCAAGTAAAATCCGAATAAAATTGAATGGAAGTCAGGTCATCAACTTTGCTTTAATTGGTGCGATTGGTCTTTAATTTTATATTTTTTTTGTTTTTTCGGTTCAAAATAAAATTCATGAATAGTTGAAAATCATCATAACAATAATAACCAAATTATTTATTAAAAGTGTTTATTATTATTTATATCAGTTCAGGTTAATAACATTCATTACAATATCCCAGTAAATTAATAAGTAATTGCTCTTAGAGTTAATGAGATATCCCATCTTTTCCAAAAGAAACAATGCATGGAACCAACTCATCCCCACGATGGGAGCTCCAATACAAACAAAGCCCGTAACCAACGCTTGAGAGTTGTACGCTGCGGTGATCTTCTTTATGATGCGTGCCTCCACACCAAGGTGTATTGTAAAGAGGACAAAGAGGAAGAGGGCTCAAAGCAATAAAAAAAACCACACAGTAAATTTGGGTGTATGAACTTCGAGTAAGAAGCAAGAATGCAGCAACATTAGAAAGTTTTCACTTCAATCGTAAATAATGCTCTTATCACTTCATTGAATCCTTAGCAACAATAATTAACTTTACTGGGATATTGTGTAATGAATTGTACAATATTATAACAACATATTATCATTATTTTCCATTGCAATTTATCTGATTTTTTTTTTAATTTTTCTATTTCTTTTTTTTTTTTTGTATTTTTTTTTTTTTTTTAATGATTCCAACTAACAAACAATAACCAACTGACATCGCATCCTTTCACTTTTCAAGATTAAATTTTCATTGTTGGTTGTTTTGTCTGTCTATTTTCAATTGTCATTTAATATTACATTATTTTTAATAATACTATATTATTATCATTAATATTATATATCACTACAAAAAAAAAGTAGAGAAGAAGAAATATATACATTTTATTTGTAAAAAAATAAAAAAATTTGGAATTTATAAATTTGTAAAGAGAGAAAATGATGGAATCAAAGAAACCAATTGTCGTATTTGTTTTGGGTGGACCAGGATCAGGTAAAGGTACACAGTGTGCCAATATCGTCAGAGATTTCGGATATGTACATCTGTCGGCTGGTGACTTGTTGCGTGCTGAGCAAGCATCGGGTTCAGAGTATGGTGAGATGATTGCCACCATGATTAAGAACGGTGAGATCGTTCCATCCATCGTCACTGTCAACCTCCTAAAGAAAGCGATCCTAAGCGACACCACCAAGAACTACTTGGTCGATGGTTTCCCAAGAAACGAAGAGAACAATAACTCATGGGTTGATACTGTAAGTCAAGACAAGTCAAGATAAACCAACAATCAACAATCAACATACATTGTTTGTTTATCAAAATTTGTTTTGTAGTTAACTAACATTATACGTTTCTCTCTTTCTTAAAATTACAAATCAAAAAGATGAAAGATCTTGTAGATACAAAGTTTGTTTTGTTTTTCGATGTAAGTAAAAGTTATTTGTAATATATATATATATGTTGAGAATATTGTTTTGTTAATGTTCGTTTGTTTTTTTTCTTTTAGTGTCCAGAGGAAGTTATGACAGAGAGATTGTTGGGTAGAGGATTGAGCAGTGGCAGAACCGATGATAATTTAGAGTCGATCAAGAAGAGATTCAATACATTCAACACACAAACTAAATTCGTTGTCGATCTCTATTCGAAGGAGAACAAAGTAAAGATTGTCAACTCCAACAGAGCAGTCGACCTTGTATACACAGATGTAAAATCAATATTCGGAAGCATTAACAATTGAAATAAATAGTATAATAACAACAACTTGTAGAACTTAATCAAATAATATAAAACAAAACATAATCAACAACATCATCATCATCATCATATTAAATAATATACATTAAATATAATAATATTAAAAAAATAAAACAAAAACAAAAATATGATTTTTTTTTTAAATGAAAGAAAGAAATTTTGTTTTTGGGAATATCAGAGAGAGATTGATTAATCTGTAACTTGTCATTGTCATATATATATATTGTATCAGTTATTTGTATTAATAGAATAAATAAATAGTTAGTTAGTTAGTTTGTTAGTTAAAAGAAATATATAAACCAAAAATGAGTAGTAGTAGTCAAGATATAACTTATTATTCTATGGGTCTGAGTAACACAGTCAGTCATTTGTTACAAGATGAAGAATGTATAGACAAGTTTCAATGAGTACTATATACTATTGTAATCGTTTAACCTTGTTTTGTTTTATGTTTATTTATTTGATTATATTGGTTAAGACTAATCAAACTAAACTAGATTAATGACTGACACAACAATCACTTTATAAACGATGAATATTATTATTATTATTATTAGATTTACAAAATGAAAGTGGATGTAAGATGATTCTATATCTGGCAAGTATGGGATATATGCCACCAGAGTATGTAAATAACGAAAGAGAGAGAGAAAGAGGAATCATTATGATAAACTTACTAACAAATCAATCATAGAGAAACAACAGATACAATGATGACACTTTTAAAAACAAAGAAAGAAGAAACACTTGTAAATTATATTATGGCTGTATTTCATCAGTTGTTCGATAGATACCAATTCCATATTGATTTTCATTTCGATTTACTTCAATCAGTGTTAATGTCGATAGATCATTATTATAACGATGTACCACTTGAATCTGGTGTAATGTATTAGTACTATTATTATTATTATCAAATATCTTAATGTTAACAAATATACCTAACTATTTATCATTACTTTACTATTAGATTACACATATACCAATATATAACTCGATTTCATTATTAAACTATTTTGTATTAGTATTACAACATCTGACCGATCAAAAAGTATACGATAACCCACTGAAAACCATTCTCGAGAGAAACCGAAAGGTTACATTCTTCAAAGCGATATTCTCTGTTGTCAGTAAATGTGACTTGGAGGTCTACAAAAATATATTAAAGCTAATTACCATTGTATGTTATAATGATAATGTTAATGATAACTTTGTTTGTTATTAACTATTTTGTTTTGATTTTTTTGTTTTGTTTTGTTTTAAACAATCTAGATATATCAATTGTTTGATGTTGTTATTCTTAGGGAATCGATTACACCGCAGTTGTGTAATGATTTCAGAGGACTGCCCGATTCAAAGAAGGTTCTCTTTGCGCAGCTGATGGAGAATAGCACGATAAAAAATCGTATTCTCGAGTACATCCTGCAGGACATCTCCAATAAAAAGTATGCGCCGGCCAAGATGCTCACTCAGGAGGTGGCGATCAATCGGCTGGTCGGTTTCTACCTGCGATGCACACCGACCTACAACCTCTCAAAGTCAGACACAAGCCGACGTCCACTCGAAGTGTTTGTTATCACCATCAACCAGCTGCTCCAATCGATCCTCTTCACCGAGCAGTACGCACCCGACCAAGACTGGCAAGCGGTCCACAACGAACTCACACAATTCACCGAAATCATGAAAATGGAGAAAGACGTCGATAAAGTGATTACAATCAACTTGTTAATAATGGATACACTAGTGAATGGTAAACTTATTCAATATAAAAATAACATTAATAATAATAATAATAATAACAATGAAAATCAATCAATTACAACATAAATTTACATAATAATATTATTGTTAAAGTTTTAAATTTGACAATGTATGTATAAATCCCGACGGAATGGAATGGAATTGAAGTTGGAGTTGAAGTTGAACAGTCATTAAAATGTTATGACTCACACAAACCAACAACAGTCAAACTAACCACATTGGCAAAACAAAACAAGAAATAATAATAAAAAAAAATTGAAAATTTCAAAAACAACTTTTCAATCTCTGATTATTTATTTAATAATGAATGAATGACCTGTCCAAAACTGACTTACTTGCAAGACTTAAATAATTATTAAAAATCAGTTTTAATACCTTTTTTTTATTTATATATATATATATATATCATTGAGAGAGAGAAGAAGAAGAAGAAGAAGAGAGAATAGAGAAGAGAGATTATTATTTCTTTTTTAATTGGTTAGTTAGTAAAAGATGTTCACCTCTTTCAATCCTATTCATATTATACAAGGTGAAATCTATGGTTTGCTTTCACATTTGAAATTAAACACGAGATGGTCATCGAATCAATCGTTGCTACCGGACAACTCCATTTTGAAATCATTAAAGAATCTAACAAATATACTTCATAATGAATCAAGTACGAAACAACATTGTTCATTCATACATTCAACTATTCAAAATAAATAAAACAGTCAAAGATCTTTGAAGAATTAATACCTATTTTATTTAGATTTCGAAAGTTTAGATACATCTACATACTTGGATCCTTTCCTCTTGGTCATTAGATCTGCAGAGACAAGCGGTCCTATCACTGGAACTGCATTGACCTCGGTCAACAAGTTTCTTAATCTATTTATCGGTATGTTTTATATTATATTATATTCGAATATAGAAGATGATTATTAATAATAACTAACTAACTAAATGACTATATTGGTTATTATAGATTCAGAATCAAATAATGCACCGAAAGCAATTAGATCGATTGCTGAATCGGTGACACATTGCAAGTTTGAAGCTACCGATTCCAAGAGTGATGAGGTGGTTTTGATGAAGATATTACAGGTGTTGTCGTCGTGTATGAAGAATGCTGCCGGTATCTACTTGACCAACGATCTAGTGTATGAGAGCATGAACACCTGTTTTCTCATGACTGACCAATCGCGATCGTCAGAACTCCTAAAGAAGACCGCCGAGACAACACTACAGGAGATCGTAACCATTGCATTCCAACGATATAACATCTATCATTCACCTCCAACACCACCACCTCTTCCACATCTAAATAGTGAAGATCAACAACAACAACAACAACAACAACAAACACAACAGCAACAACAACCACAACAACAACAACAAAATAAAGAAGAAGTAGTAGTAGAAAATGAACAACAACAAAATGTTGTTCCATTGAGAAAGAGTTCAATTAGTGCTACTCTAACGATTACAACGACAACTACCAGTACTACTACAACGGTACAAGAGAATCTAGTTGGTGGTAGTAATGAAATCGATAAGATCATTAGTTCGTTCACTGATGAACCATCATCATCGGCCACTTCGCATCTTCATATATCGGATGACAATCAATTCTCGCCAAACAACGATCTCTTCTTTAGTAATCTTCCACATTCCGGTGAGTCATTAGTAAAACCTAATGATTCTACGCATCATCATCATCATCATCATCAAGATAGTAATAATAATAATAATCATAATAATAATCATAGTGGAAGTCATTCTCCAAAGTCACCAGTATCTAATAATACAACACCCGTTTCAACACCAGTAACACAACCAGTACAACATCATCATCATTCACTACCAACCAATTCTCTATCTTCTACACCACCTATTAATTTAAATAATAATAATAATCATCAACAATCAAATAATAACAATAATAATAGTAATAGTAGTGGTTATCAACAACAAAACAAACAACAAAGAAATTCATTACATCATAATATTACTGTTGTAAATCCTAAATTAAATCAAAATCATTTGGTTGATTCTGGTATGTATATCTCTCAAAAAGGTTATCTTTTGTTAACAAAATAATAATAATAATAACAACCAAACAATATTATAATCTAGATAAATCATATGATGAAACAGTATTGATAAAGATATTAAAGTTCTTTGTCGACAATATTGTATCACCAGTTCAAATGGACAATGAAATCACTCGACTTTTATCATTGAATGTCATCAATCTTATCATTCAGATGCGTGGATCAACCTTAGAATCATCAACAGGTATCATCGCTGTCATTCAAGATGATCTATTTAAATATTTATTACAAGTAAGTAACTTTGTAAAACTACAATTATATTATATTTAAATAACAAAGTAGAAATACTTATTATTAACTTTGCAAACCTTTAATATTATTTGTTGTACAACAGAATTTATGTAAGAGTATACCGATCTTCTCATTGTCAATGAGAATCTTTTTCAATTTGTTTGTTTCTCTTAGACACTGTTTGAAGGCGCAGTTCGAGGAGTTCTTCAATGTGCTGCTCAAGAATATCGTCGATAACAAGCAGCTGTTCGAGTTGCAAGAGTTGGCATTGGAGGGCTTGCGTGATTTCTGTAAGTTCCCACTGGCGATGGTCGAGTTGTTTGTCAACTACGACTGCGAGATCTACAGTAGCAACGTCTTTGAGTCACTTTGTAAGACACTCTACAAGAATTCATTCCCGCTGTCGGGCCCGCTCAACACGCTGCACATGCTCTCGCTGGAGAATCTACTCTCGATCATCCAATCGATTGACGACCGTTCCAAATACCCAAGATACATTCCACACTCGCAGCTACCTGCATCCGACAGTCTCGAGTTTATGAAGAAAAAGAAGTTCAAAAAGATAATGAGTATCGCTGCTACTCATTTCAATCGTAAACCAGCCGATGCTTTTAATTATCTATTAGGTATGTACTATAGTTATTATTATCAAGCTAAAAAACTAACTAACTAACTAACATTAACTTTTGTTTTAATAACTAACTATATATATATATATATAGAGAATAAGATATTCACAGAGATCAATGCAAAGAGTATTTCTAAATTCTTTTTGGAGACACCAAAGTTGAATTTAAAGACGGTTGGTGAATACATTGGAAAGAAATCAAACAAAGAAGTACTCTCAGAGTATCTAGATTACTTTATTGAGAGATACGATGGTTATATCTCTGTTTACAGAGCATTCTTGGAGAGTTTTATTATTCCTGGTGAATCTGCTGTTGTCGAACATATCTTTGAGTTGTTGGCTCGTAAGATCTACGAGAATTTGGAATCTAGAGGTAAACATATCTTCCAAACCGAAGATTCTCTATTCCTTTGTCTATATTCTGGTTTAATGTTACATACATCTACTTTTAATCCAAATATTAGTGTAAGTATAATCTATCTATTATAATATGTTAGTTTGTAGTAGCGATCGCTTATTAATGTTATTTCTTTCTTTAGGCAAAAGATAGAATGACTTATCAATCATTCGAGAGAATGTTAATTCCATGTCATGTCTCGAGTGACTTGATCAAAGATATGTTTAATGAGATGACTGTACAGCTGTGTGCTGAAGATGAAACAACAACACCCGGTGTTATCACTAATTCCACTTGGAGAAATACACTTAAGAAGTAAGTTAGATCTAATCACTTATTCATTCATTAGTTGGTTATTAACAACATTGTTATTATTATTTAATAATATTGAATAGAATCAAAAAGATGTCGAAATATACAACTATCGATTCGAATGAATACGACAGAGAGATCTTCCCTATCATTTTGAATGTAGTGATTCCTTCGATCTCCAATGTTTTCGAGAAGATCGAGAATGACTCACTGAGTAAGCGAGTGTTGGATGGATTCCATCTGTGTGCTCAGGTCTCTGCGAACAACAACATCAATGAATCGATTGATAATCTCATGAATTCACTCTGTAGCAATACGACACTGATCGAGAAGGACGGTGTCTCTCTCAACCACACACCGTTCATCGGCGATAACAAAGCACAGCTGGCAACCATCACCACCTTTGAGATTGCAATGAAGTACTCTGGTCACCTAACAGAGTCATGGAAGAATTTGATCATGGTCATCTGCAAGATGCACAAACTTGGACTACTCCCAAGTATTTTCGAATCCATTGATTTCCCAGTTGAAAACAATCCAACTCCTGGTCAAGCCAATAGAAGTACGTGACATAATATTTAACAATTCCACATAACTAACTAACTAACTAATATTTATTCTTAGATGTAGATCAACAAATTCAACAGAAATCATCATCGATTTTGAGATTCTGGTTTGCCACTGGAGATGAAGAGATCGAAGTTGAAAACAAAGACGAAGATAAAGCAAAGATTTGTGTTGAAAATTGTCATATTAAGGATTTATTCTTGGAATCAAAGTATGTATTATTATTAATCTTTTTAATTAGAATGTTAATGTTAATTTTAATTCTATTTTTTTTCCAAAGGAATCTACCAATTACATCTTTAGAACATTTACTACAGGTTCTATATAATATTACAACGCCAAAGACAAATGGATTTAATCAACCACAGGCAATGTTTTGTTTTGACTTGCTCACACATGTTGTATTATTAAATGTCGATCGTTTGAATCTTATTTGGGCTGGGCTGGTCAAGCACATCGAGAATATCATTCAGGTGTGCGAGGGATCGACCTCGTTGATCCCGTTCATTGAGAAGACTGTCATCTCATTGATGTATCTATTGATCCGATTGTTGCATGTACCCGATGTCTCCAAGTCGTTGGAGTCGTTGGTCAAGTTGATACTACGTGTCAACCCGGTGTTTGACTCGATCGCCGAGAAGATGTCGAGTGCACTCGTCCAGTTGGTACGCGACCAAATCAACTTCCTCTCGACCAACCACAACTCATGGGAACCGATCATCGGAATGATTGTACTACTCTCTGGCAATCCAAAGGCATCGACTCGTGCCTGTGAAGCACTCTCGCTGCTCGTCCAACAGAAATCACTGACATTGGAGTCTTGCAAGCAGTGTTTGACATCTGTCAATTGCTTTATCAACTCGAGCACCGTTCCACCAACGGTTACAATCAAAGCGATGGAGCTACTTCATTACATCTTTGTCAGAATCTCCGAGTTGAATAAGATCACTGTGTTGCCAGTCAACGAATCGTCGTCGATCACCGAGAAAGTTGCAAAGAGAAGGATGGATCAGAAGATCTCGGAAACATGGGATCAATATTGGTCACCAATACTTCAGACAATCTCTAAACTCTGTGTAGACACCAAGCCAAACATCCGAAACAATGCGATGAGTTACCTGCAAAAGTGTATACTCTCGCCAAGTCTCGAAGTACTCTCGCCATCAAAGTGGTTCAGTTGCTTTGTTGACATTGTTTTCCCACTACTCAATAATTTGAAGGACAACGCAAAGGAATCCAACTATGAAGATACCAGACTACGTGCTTCCGCTCTACTTTCAAAGGTGTTCCTTCAGAACCTCAATATTATCATCCAGTCCAACGACTTTACTATGCTCTGGACTGAAATCTTGACATATCTACGTACCTACATGGGATTGTCAGAGGTTCTATCTGAATCCGTACCGGAATCTCTCAAGAATATGCTGCTGGTAATGAATAACTCTGGTGTATTCAAAGCACCGGATCCATCGCATTCAGAGGCATCCATCAAACTCTGGGACTTGACATGGGCAAGTATCAATGATTTCTGTCCAAAGATTCGAGAAGATGTTCTATCAAGAGTTGATCCAAATCATAACCAACAACAACAAGCACAACAAGCACAACAATCACAACAATCACAACAACAACAAAATACATCAACAACAAAAATAGAGTCTGCAACACCTCCAATCTCTATACCAATCAATATTACACCAAACATGCCACCTCTAAATTCTCCACAAGACAATATCAATAGTAATAATAACAATACACCAAGCAGTTTGGGAGCAGCAATAATCTCATCACTTGGAAGCAGTGGTGGAATCCCAATCCCAATCCCTTCTCCAAGCTCAACTGCAAGTAATAATATAGTTCCACAAAACAACAACAATAACAACAACAACAATAATAATAATACTAGTTTATCACCAATAAGCTCTCCAAAGCAAATATAATAATTACCATATAAATGATTTATACAAATAATATTTATTTATATTTTTTAAAACAAACAAAAGCATCTTTTAATATTATAATTTGTAAAATGTGATGACTAAAGTTATAATTTTCACAATGTTGTACAAAATTGAATCACATTTAAAACAATTGATTTTATCAGTACGATCAGTATTGATTTTACCGACTCTGATTTTTATCCAAGATAATGTCATGTATGAAAGTTGATCGATTTACAAATAATTTACTTAAACAAAGGTTGATATACCACTAGTTTACAAATCCACATTCGAATCTACAAAAATAAATTAGGTTTTTTCACTTTTGTTTACCTAAACTTTTAATTTTGTGTGAATCGTTAATTTTATACATATAAAAAAATGTAGTATGATTAATCTATTCTTATATATTTTTAACACACATAAATCAAAATTTTCCACCACTCCACTCTGATTGATTAGAAAAATTCACCCACTTTCTAAATTTATCATGGTTTTATTAAAATAAATCTTTAAAACTAAATAAAGATGGTAAAAATAATTGGTGTATTTGATAAAGAATGAGAGAATTGAATAGTCATTTTATTATAATTGACAAAACGACTATTCCCAAGTGTAAAATCCCCACACCTTTTACCAATTAAAGTTGAATTAAATAGTTAGATGATCTTACTCTGAAAATGATACCTGACCAACGTCTTTCAAAATGGATATAAATAATATCTTTTAATTTATTTAATTTTTATATTCTATTTAGTATAAATAAAGTATTTAATTAATATTTATCAAGATTTATCAATTAAATACCTTATTTATTTTTGTATCATTACTAGAAAAAAATGAATAGTGAAAAACTTATTCTATGTACATTATTATTTATTATCTCTTCCTCTGAACTGATAAATGGATATGGAGAGCCAGATCTACTTGGTAATCCAGTATGGCAATCGAGAGCTAGTTTTTTATTAGTAAATGCTGTTAGAATTGGTAATTTTTTTAATTGAAACAATATAATTTGATAGAGATTATAAATTAATATTAAAAAATTCTTTCTAGATCCATTGATATATTTACAAAAATATACTAGAATGCAAAATTCTGGAATTCTAGATCCAAATAATTATCCTGCTGTTCCTCCTCTATATTGGGAGAATACACTTGGTTTATCATCATTATCACATTCCGTTGATATGGCAGATAATAATTGTTTTTCTCATCCTTCATGTGATGGTACTGATACATTTCAAAGAATCCAAAATTACTACCAATGTTCTCCTCTGGCAAGTGAGAATATTGCAGCTGGTTTGCTGTCTCCGCTCGATACAAATAATCAATGGATTTGTGATTCTGGAAGTGGTGACCCTTATTCTACTTATTGTGCACCCGATGGTAGTGGAGATGGACATAGAGCAAATATCATGTCGAGAGTATCACGAGTCGGAGGTGTTGGTTATGGAACCAGCTATTCTAGTACCTACCATACCTATTGGACTCAGGATTTTGGAGAGGCTCTATGTTTTAATATCTCTTTTCCAATCCATTCGGGATCACATATCTTTATGGATACAAAATATACTATCTTCATGGTTTCTTGGTATTCCGAACATGCTCCAAGATCCGCCTCTATTGTCATCGACGGAAAGAAGATACCTCTCCAGCTTGACTTGGGTACCAGAAGCAAAGGTATCTACAGATTTACATCACCAATTGGTACCGCATGTAGAGGATATTACTTTTTGTTTGAAAGTAGATTCTTTATTTATAGATATCCAAATTTCGGATATCTCCAGACCTATGGTGAAGGAAGTTGTGATAAATCTTTTTCCTATAACGGCACTGAGTATCACCAACCAACTCAGGCTCCAAATACTATTACCTCGAGATCAACTGGCTCCACTGTTTCTACCATGTCAACCATTTCCTCTATAACAACTGCTTCGACATCCTCTACTAGTTCTACTTCTGCCGTGTCCACCACAACAGCATTCAGTTCGACTGTTGGAGTGATTCCATCTGACTCACCAGTTCCTACTCCAACTATCGCTCCTCCAACTACAACTCCTTTCAAACCGATTGGTAATTTTATGGGTTGTTTTAATGATCAAGTTGCTCATGATCTATCTGGAGAAGTTGTTGTCGATACCAATTTGACAAACCATAGATGTCTTCAATTTTGTTCAAGCAAACTATTCCAGTATGCTGGTACTTCTTTCGGTAATCTTTGTTATTGTGGAAATAGCTTTGGTTATTACGGACAATCATTAAACCAAAGTGATTGCTCTATACAGTGTGCTGGTAACAATACTGAGAAGTGCGGTGGTATAAATAGATTATCCATTTATAAAACTGGTTATGTTGGTTGCTATGATTCCAACAATGCGTACAATAAATTCGTGCAAGCCAGTAAATCTGAAAATATGACATCGAATGGTTGTAGAACATGGTGTAAATCTAAAGGATATGAATACTCTGCTACGACCAACCAGAACACTTGTCTTTGTGCTGAATCACTTGATCTGTCGGCTCTAAAGACTGTAAATGATGATTCAAAATGTAAAATTAAATGTATTTCTAGTGGAGAAAACGATTATTGTGGATCTGATGATGTAATTATAATTTATCAAAACAAATGTAAGTATTACTATTAAACAAAATAACTTTTAATTAAATAATATAGTTTACCTAACAATTTTATATTTTTTAGATTTAAATACAACAACCAAATCAATTCCAGAGTATTCAAGTGATGAACAAATATTACATCATAATGGAGACAGTCAATTAATTCCTTCCAATTATTATTTATTCCTAATATTACCGTTGTTATTTTTAATATACTAAGAATAATAATAAGATTGTAAAACTATAATAATATATGTAAATTGTAAAATTACTATTATTTATAATAAAAACAAAACCACTGTAATTGATTTATAGTGGTCCTATTACCATTGCCTTTAAAGATGTTCCTTTTTCGAACGTAAACCTTCTTTTTTTGGTAGTATAAGTAATGCATTTGATTTCTTCATACTGAGTAAACGACATGATGCTTGAGATCCAGTGCTTTGCGAGACAAAGCAGCTTTGGTTGAAATCCCAACTGATAAAACAACGGTGATATTCAGGTCTCTCTGGATCCATTCTTACACGTTCGCCAAGCTTGGTTTCGACCAGTGGCAAGTTGATCTGTGAATGTCCTGACATCTGACGGAGTGCTGGCAATACAAAGAGATAGAATGTAACCATTGTGCTAACAGGATTGCCTGGCAATGCGAAAACCAAAGTCTTCTTTCCAGTCTGGCCGTTCTCAATGGTGGCAAAAGTCAAAGGTTTACCTGGTTTCATATTTACACGTCCGAAATGAACTTTACCGAGTTTCTCCAACAATGGTTTCACTAGATCAAGTTCACCCATAGACACACCGCCACTAGTAATAATGACATCGGAACACTCTGCAGACTTTACCAAAGCTTCTTTTAATGGTTCCAATTCATCCTTAACAATTCCATAGTTCTTTACGGTTTGAGCACCAACCTCACCAAAATGTTGACTGGCTTCCTTAACAATCGAGGACAATGTCAAAGAATTAGAATCTCTTATGAATCCTTCCTTTACTTCCTTTGTATCATGTGGCATCAATTCATCTCCAGTTGAAATGATCTATCAACCAACAATCAATTAATAACCTATTCACTTATCTTTTCTAATAGAATGTTATTACTTACTGTAATCTTTGGTGGTTTAAAAACAGAAATAGTAGTTACTCCTAGTGTAGCTAGTAATCCAATTTCAGCAGCACCAATCTTGTCACCTTTGTTGAGTACGGTTGTTCCAGCTTTGATGTCACTGCCAACTGCACGAATGTCTTGACCAACTGCAACTGCAACATCTACATTTATCACCTCCAATTGTGATTCTGTGGCTTTAGTAATGATCTGTGTATCTTCTACCATTACAACGGCATCATAACCCTCTGGCATCATTGCACCGGTTGTAATACGCACACAGCTTCTCTCTGCTTTCAGTTGTTGTTCGGTAAGACGATGTGCATCGCCACCACCAGCCAACGAACTACCCAGCACAACATACTGACCGACACCATCTACAGAACGTACTGCATAGCCGTCTTTAATAGATGCTCTAAATGGAGGGAATGGTTCGACTGATTCTACAGAGGTTGCGCATGCCATACCCAACGATTCAGCAATGGGAACTGACTCCACTGTCTTTATATCCTTACATTGCTCCAGAATGATACTGACAGCTTTATCGACGTCAATCATTGGATACTTTGATCCTCTTACACTATCTTTATTTCCTCCACATGTATGATGACCATGGCTATGACTATGTCCGTGACTATGTCCACCATGACTATGTCCATGACCACCTTGAGTATGACTAACACCAAACTTTGATGAATCATCAGAAGAGAATGAAGTTGGTTGTTTGTTTATATCTTTTGATTGGTGACTCTCTGGTAACGATGCTTTTTGGTCACTTGCTATGAGTGCCAGTGCATGTGGAAGTGCAGGCATAATGGTGATGAAGTTCTCACGCACCGCCTTGACACTGCCTGGCAGCGTGAAGATCAGTGACATATCGGTGATACCGGCAACCGGTCTGCTAAGCATTGCGTGTGCAGTGATGTCAAGACTGCTCTTTAGCATTGCAACAACGATACCCGGTGTCTTCTTCTTGATCAACGGTTCGATTGCCTCGGGTGTTTGGTCACGTGGTGAAAATCCCGTTCCGCCCGTGGTAATGATCATTCTGAAGTCCTTGGCGATCCATTGCGATACGATCGAGCGAATGGCATCGATGTCGTCGGGCACCACCTTGTAGATGACCGATAGCTTCAGAGTGATATTCAACTGTGACTCCAAGATCACCTTGAGTTGCTCTTTGATGATCTTTATCAACTCTGGTCCCGATTGATCGATTGCTTGTTGTCTACTAACTCTATCGCTAATAGTCAATACACCGACCTCCCATGATTGTAATTGTGGTTGTTGAACAATATCTGTCATGCTTTAATTAATCTTATGAAAACAAAATTAAAACAATTTCATGAAATGAACTTAATTAGATTAAATTCTTTTTTTTTTTTTTTTTTTTTTTTATGTTCAACCTTAGAATTATGCAATCAAAAAATCAGAAGCATTATTGTAACCCCCCAAAAACAAATAATTATAAAGAGAAGTGCATTTAAACATGTAAATAAACTAATAATAATTGATTTGATTATGTTTTATTTAATACAATTATTTTTGTTGAAAGATATATTAACAACTTTTGAGATCTTGAAATTGATTTGTAAAGTTTGATGTGAACATAACAAAGGTTTCGACAATGGGACTTAGTGTTGTTTTGATCATCTTTTCTTAGTTTCAATACTAGGAAAGCGACGATGGTCTAACTTTGAAATAAAATCATAGAATACCTTTGTTTAACTAAATATTGTTACGATAGTCTATCTTATAATATTAAGATCTTATAATATTAAGATCGTTCAATAACCAATAAAATATAAATCTAAAAGGTTTAAACGCGTTCAAATTGCAATGAGAATCCTATATCAACTTATGATTTTCATTTTATATAAATTATTTATAAATAAACAACAATCTATATTTTGGAATGTATGAAAAGAATAAAATAGATCTATTTTAATAATAAAAAAAAAAATAACTATTATTAAAAAATAAAAACTATTAAATAATCCTGATGTAACTCTTAGTAAAAAAAAAAAAAAAATTTGTTCAGAAAATATAAGGGTTATTTTAATAATAACCACTCTTATAATGACAGGTTTCGTTTATTTTTGGTATGCCTAAAACACGAAATAGAGGTGCTACACCTTACAGCAATGCTTTCTTTCGTGTCACTATGACCGTTATAATATTGGTGTTGCTGATATCAGATCTTTACACAGTTTAGTTTATTAATGATATCATTAAATGGATGCACAACAGAAATAGAAGTTGAACTATGTTACTGTTTTCTTTCTTTTTCTTCTACTTAAAGATGGATTCATTCATCGATTTCTAATCAAAAACAACAACATTTGTAATTTTATCTAAAAATAAATAAAGTAATAATAATAATAGAATTATAATAATAATTATAAAGAATGACTAAAGAGAATAAAGGTATGTCGGTTTTCGACTTTGTACACTCGAGAAAGTACTATGGTCTATCAGTTCCTACCAATGTCATCATGGAGAGCATCAAGACATGGTGGTCATTCCAAAAGTTTTCTATTGATCTATGTAAACATGATCCTATCTCTGGAAGAATATTTGGAGAGTATGTTAGTTTTGTTATATTACTTTTCTTCTATTTATTTACTAAACAATAAATTTAAAAGGAAATCAGGTTTACATATAAATTTTGTACCGAAATTCAAATTGGATGTAAAGAAAGATCCAGTTGATGGAGCTGTTGTATTGCATTTGTCTTACTATGCCAGAATCAAAAAGACTGGTATTGCAGCGGCTTTTCTTACTTCGGGACTCTCGGTTGCGATCGGTGCCGGTACGATGACTGTTCATATCGCAGAGGCAAAGGATTTCCTGCAGACATTCTGGAAATGGTTCGAAGGAAACTACCAGTTGGTCAACATCGTAGTGTTGCTCTGTGAAGATAGAAATCATCCAACTCCAGCACAACCAATTGCCGTTGCTCCAGTAGTAATTGCTACACCTACACCAACACCAGCACCGGTAGTTGCTCAACCACCAGCACTAGCACCATATGGTGGTTATAACCCAATGACAGTATCGCCACTACAACAACAATCCAATCATGGATATCCCATGCATCCCTATCAACAACCAGCAGCAACAGCAGTACCATCTCCTATACACTCACATTACCAACCTCCACCACCACATGCAGCAATGCAACCACATTATCAACCACAACCAAGTACCGGTCAATTTGTATCACTTGAAAAGAACTATCCAAATGGATATTAATATTAATGTATTTTAAAATAAATATAGTCTCACTTTGATTATCATGAGTTAATCTTTTTGAAATCTATTTCTATCTCATTTCTTTAAAAAAAACCTAATTAATTATTAATATAATACTTTCTTTGAATTTCTTTATCGATAATTAAAAAACCAATCATTTGGAGTAATAATAAAAAATATATTAATGATTAATTGAGTAGAAACAAATTTAAACTTTTGAAGTTCTATTTTTTATTTTTATTATTATTATTATTAGGATCATTTGCTATTTTTTGGCAAATGTAATTTGCTAGAGGTAGCTCATTTTTCTCTATTTTAATTATATTAAAAATAGGTTCGGAATCAGTGTCCCTGGGATCTTGTGACTCTTGATCTCCACAATCATATTCAACTAATGGTTCGTGTTTTTTTCTCTTCAGATCATGAGAATCAACTGAATTGATATTGTAGCCATTTTCAAGACTTCGCTTTGAGTTTGTTTTTGTTGGCGTTGATGGAGGATTTTTCTTTTCTTTTATGATATCGACTTGAATTTGAACATTGGAATTCGGTCCAAAGAAGTGGAGCAATATATCTTCAATAAAATTGTTATTTTTAATAAAATATTCTTCGCCTCCTTTTGTAGGTTTGGTTCTATGCCTCTTCCATTGGTTGAATGATAAATGAAAGAGTGAATTAGCAGCTATACTTCCAGATGATTTTCGATACCTATCGAACGAATTTCCATTGAGAGCATTCTTATCAGCATTGAATCCTATATTCTTTGTTTTGCCATTAACTTCCATTTGGAAAGGACCCGAATTTTCTATATCATCCTCTATAGAACGGAAAGCACCAGCTAAATTATCACTTTTGAAACAAAACTATTGAATAGAAATCAATATTGTTTGATCTTTTTTAAAGTAAAACTTAATTATTTACATACCAATAAAGAACCATAACAAGCTGATTTACTACAATACATATTTTCTCCACCGAAACATACATTCCAATCTTTATATTTCTCACCAGGTGGAAGATAAGCCAATTTTGAATGATCCATTTCCGATCCATATCCAGCCCCCCATTTGAATTCTTGTGTCTTTGTTAAAACTTCATAGGTTGTTTTAAACTTTGCAAGTTTAACAAGTTGCTTTTGGAAACCAAATTGTGCATCTGCAGTTGTCCAAGTGGAAATAGTCAAATCAGAACTTTTTCCCTTTTCTGGAAATGGGAGACATGGTTGAGTTTTACACTCCTCTTTAAACAAATTGTTCCAAATAGAACCTATCTGATGAGTAAAGGGTTGAACAGATAAATGGAATTTGAAATTATCAGTTGCTTGAATGGTTTGAGTAGTTGCTACAATTTTATCAATCTTTTTGAATCTCTTTGAACCAGATCTAGATGCAACTGTTCCACGATCGATATCTGGGTTTAAATAACTTAGATACTCAATCATTTGATCAACTATTTAAATTTATAGTTTTTAATATATTTGAAAAGATTTGGGATAATTGTATAAATACCTTTTTGAATAGATGAGAGAGATACACAGACAATATGTTGAGCAAAACTGTCAGCTCTTGGAATATCCATGAAAAGATAATTCAAATCTACAGTTTTGTAATCCCATGAAGGTCGAAGCTGAAATTCTTTCAATATATCTGAGAGGAGGGACATTTTTTCCTTTTTGAAGATATCTAAATTTGGACATGGAGAACCTGACTTTGATCTGAGGTTTGAATCGAAGATATGGTTGGGTGGTAATCCTTTGTAAGCGAATTCAAGGAACTCTAGTGTATCGACCAAGTAATCGGGAACATCTTCAATTAAATCGAAATGATCAATCTTTACAAATCCATTTTCGTTTTTGTTTCCTTTTAAATTTGGGAATTTTGGCAATGAATGTTGTAACCAGAAACCATCATTCTTACCCTTTATTATTAAAAAATAATAATTTAATAGAAACACTTCACAGTGTTAATGAATCATAGATAATATTTTTATATATCATACCCATGAAATCATTCCTTTTTCGTGTGTCATTGACCAATATTTATCATCTGGACCGGATATAGTTTGAAAACTCCATTTTTTATTGAAATTATTGTTATATGCTAAAAAATCAGATGATTCATCTTCATTGATTTGATCCAAAGTCATTCCAAAACCACTGAATTTTGATCTCAAGAATCTTCCTTGCTATATATATATAAGTAAAAATACTACTAAAAATAGATCTATCTTTAATCTTACTAAAAACATTGGTGAATCCATCAATGAATCATGATATAGATAGAGGTCCATGAAACCAGGAAGCTTAATTGTCACCCAAAAATCGACCGATTGTTGATCATTTGTCAACAACGAATCTCTTTGACATTGATGTCCATCAATAATCTTGATATTTAAAGTTAATATATAAATTAGAAATAAAAACAATTTTACAGTTATCATATTATTTTTATTATGAATGTATATAGAGTTGATTAAAATTTTTATAGTGATTGTTTGTTGAGTATTTTTTACTAAATTGTGAAGGTTTGTTTTTGTGTATAAAATTTTCTACAAACGGTATTTCTTTAAAATGGTACAAAACTTCTGCAGAAGTATGATAACCACCAAAAATAACTCCATTATTTGCCTCATAAAAGAAATACTGTGTCTCTTATTTTCTAAAATTAAAAATGCTTAAGTTTTGAAGGGTGGTGAACAAAAAAAAATTAACAGTTAAAAAAATTTTAGTGGTTGACCCAAATTTTAATTTTTTTCCATCTGTTTTAGAATTAATTAAATTATTCAAACACTTGTAATTTAAAACAAAAACATTAAATTTTAATTTTATGTGAGTGATTAACAATTTGATTGGAAAGATGAAAATTGATTGGTAGTATAGTATACAAATTTTTTACTTTATTTGATATTTAAAAGTTAGAATAATCTTACTATTTTAAAAATAGTAATAATAATAATCTTAACACTAAAAATATAAAATTATTTTTGATTTTAAATAATTTGAAGACAATTTGATTTAAAAATACAAGATAATGGTAGTCTATTAATTTTAATATTTATTACAGACTAATCTACAAAAATTCTCTCCTAAAAAGGATTTTAATCAATGGAACTTTTAGAAATGGCTATACAATCATGCTTTTTCTACCTGTATTTTCTCTAATTTAGTGATAAACAGAAAAACTTAAATACACTAAAGTTACTATTTTTTTTATTTTTGGTGTAAAATGAGGATGAACTTTGAAGTTCTATCTGTTATTATTATTAGGATTATTTTTCATTTTTTGAAAACCAACTTTTGCATCTGCAGTTGTCCAAGTGGAAATAGTCAAATCGGGACTTTATCCCTTCTTTGGAAATGGGAGGCATGGTTGGTGTTTACAATCCGTTTGGAATAAATTGTTCCAAATAGAACTTATCTGATTAGTAAAGGGTTGAGCAAATAAATGGAATTTGAAATTATCGGTTGCTTGAATGGTTTGAGTAGTACTATCAATCGTATTGAATCTCTTTGAACCAGATATAGATGCAACTGTTCCACGATCGATATCTGGGTTTAAATAACTTAGAAAATAAATCTTTTCATCAACTATTTAAATTTATATTTTGGTTTTTAGTGGTGAATATTAATTTGAAATGTTTTTTTTTGCTTAATCCTTGCTATATATAAAATAATAAAAAATTTAAAAAAATATATTTCCAGACTATTAACTATCTTTAATCTTACTAAAAACATTGGTGAATCCATCAATGAATCATGATATAGATAGAGGTCCATGAAACCAGGAAGCTTAATTGTCACCCAAAAATCGACCGATTGTTGATCTTTTGTCAACAACCAATCTCTTTGACATTGATGTCCATCAATAATCTTGATATTTAAAGTTAATATAACCAATAAAAATAATAGAAAACCTAAATTTATCTTATTCCTATTATTTTGAATATACATTATTTAAGGTTGAATATACAAATTATTGTATTGTATTTTTAAATAAAAAAGTTTTAAGATTTGGGTTTTGAGGGAAGGTTGTAGATATTCTTTTTTAGAAGTTCCATTATTTAAAAATAATCACCTTTTGGTTAAAAAAATAAATGAATGAATTAATGGCAAGACTGGAACCTCTGTTGTTTTGGGATCTATTTTTATTTTTGATTTTATTTTTGCAACGGTATCATTTAAGTCAGTGCGATTCCGCAGGTTTAGAGTGATCGATTCCAAATGCATCCGCATATCGAACAGTGCCATTCGTTGATTTTAGTGAGCCTTCTTTCAGCTCCAATGCCATGAGAGACTCACCTGCGAAAGGTGCTGTTAAATGTTTGATTAACTCTGCGCTGAATCCAAATTTCGGGTAGTAAGTCGGGTGACCAAGTACGATGACAACTTCCACACCTTGATCTTTGAGCATCCGTAATGATTGTTCTATCAGTTGTCTGCCAATGCCTTGCTTCTGTAGTGATGGTCGAACTGAAACCGGTGCCAACGCCACTGTTCTTATATTCCGTTTGCCGTCGTCCAATGTAACTTGCATTTCACTATACATAATATGACCTACAACTGATCTATCGTTGTCTAGCGCTACCAATGATAAAACATCTTTCTTTTCATCACGTAGTTTCTCTATGATATTGGCAGTATCTAAATCACCATCGAAAGCCTTCAAAGTAAGATCTCTAATCTCAATGAATTGTGATTGATTCTCCTTTTCAATACTAATATTTGTCATATTATTCTAATGAAATAACTTATACTATTATAGTTATTATAGTTAACTATCGTTTTAATCATTTTCCATCACTTTATCATTTGCTTAAACAAAAAAAAATATCTTTTGTGAAATTTCTCAAAAAATAAAATTGCTGGTTTAAATCTATAAAAGGAAATCATATATGATTTTGCATAATCATGTCATATGACTATCTTGGACAACTAGATGTGTCATTCTTTACTTATTTGATTAAAAAAATATAAATGTTTATTTCAAAATTATCATGGAACTTTTAAATTAATGACAAAATTGTTGGAATAACTAAAATGATTGAAAGATTGATTGATTTGATTGATTGAATGATTGATGTAGTTTGATTATAATATGTCTATATATATATATTATTTGATTCTGTATTGTTTTGATTTTGATTTTGCTTTGTTTTGTTTTGTTTTGTTTAATGTTTACCATTTAATTTCTTGGCATCTTGCTCGTTCAATTTCGAACGAATGTGTTGTACGATGAGATCGATGGCGACGACGTTATCGGCACCTCTTGGGATAATGACGTCAGCATACTTTTTAGTTGGTAGAATATATTCGTCGAACGAAGGCTTGACAAACTTCTCGTATTGATGCAAAACACCCTCGAGACTTCTGCCACGCTCGGCAATGTCTCTCATGACTCTTCTGCTCAGACGAGTGTCAGAGTCGGTGTCAACGAAAATCTTAATGTCCATCTGATCTCTGATACCCTGTGAATATAACGATAAAATACCTTCGAAAATAATAACATCGATACCATTAATAGCTACTGTCTCTTGTAATCTAATATAATAACAATAGCAAACAAAACAAAACAAAGAGCAAAAGAAATTCAAATTGTTGTTAATATCATTCATTAATAAACATAACCAACAACAATAACAACGATTTTAAATTATTACCTTGTATGTGTTTTAAAACAATAGGTTGGAATATGGAATTTGTTACCTGATTTCAATTCCTTGATTGCTTTTTGTGCATATTCCCAGTCGAATGCATCTATTTAAACAACATTGCAAATCATTAGTTATCTTGCTCGATATGATTGATCGATCGATTTGATTTGATTATATAGATCAGTTAATTGATTATTTACCTGGGTGATCAAAGTTATAGGATGCAACATTTTCAAGATCTTCATGGGCCAATGGTCTATAGAAGGAATCTAAACAGATGACGGCAACTCTCTGATTTTCCAATCTCTTAATGATTTCCTCACAAACGGTAGTCTACAAATTTATTTAATATTTTTCGATTTTACGATTAACAAAACTTTTGATAATAAACTGATTTCGAATGGTTGTTTGATCGTCTGTCTGGTTGATTCAAATCAAGTAGATTGATTCTTTTATATAAATAATATTTATATATTTACCTTTCCACTTGCAGTACCACCAGCAATACAAATCATAAGCATTTCCTTCATTTTTCTATCTATTTATATAAATTATTATTATAAAGATTATCGACGAGTATAGAATATTTATAAATAATAATCAAATTTTGAAAAACAAAAACAATATTAATAATTAAAAACAAATAAACAACAACAAAAATAAGAGAAATAGAATTGAATTTGGAGTTGAGTTGAATTGAATGCAAGAATCTTAATCTTAAGAGATTGTTAGTTTTTGGGGTATCTTGGAGGTGAGAAGCATGTTTTTGCAAATTTAAATAAAAAAAAAAAATTAAATAATTATTTTTATATTTTTGTTACATATTTTTTTTGAACAGACATTGATTGATGAAAATAATCGTATTAACCGGTTGATTGTGGTTGTCGATTTAATCTTTACAAAATAAAAAACAACAATGCATTGTTTATATTATTTTTATTTTTTCTAATATATTGATTGTTAGATTCGTTTAGTTTATAATACGGATCATTACATTACATTACTATCTTCTACTTCTTCTTCCTCTTCCTCTCATTATTATTATTATTTTTATATATTATCATCATCAGTATCATTAATACTGAATTTTGATGCGTTTTGTATTTGTTGTTGTTGTCCTCTGTTTATCAGTGGTGATTTATCTCTATCTCTATTATCTTTATCTTTATCTTGATTATTATTAATGTTATTGTTATTTTTAAATTTGGGTGAGGTTGATACTGATGATGATGATGATGATGAAGATTTAGGTGATAATGAGGATATCGATGATTTCGCTTTCTCCAATATCTTTAAACATATGGCACCGCGGTGTTCCTCAGGATTGTCTAGTGGCTGGTCGTTTTCGAGTGGCTGATACTGTTGCTTCTGTTGCCGCTTGAATTTGAGTGCGTTGTACATAAAGAATCCAAACAGCGTCAGTGCCATGCCGGCATAGTTGATCGGGTGAAACGGCGAGGGATTAGGGAAGATCAGTGAACTGATGATGATGAGAAATACGACTTTGGCATTGCCGACAATTGAATAGTACAGCGCAGACGTGTACTGCACGATATAGAAATGCGAGAGGTTATAAAAGAATGCCGCTACCGCCAGCCCGACCACTATAAGGCTTGGAACGAGCGGGTCTTCTGGCGGCTCACGAATGAAGCGCGGCAACTCAATGGCGCAAAACAGCGGCACAATAGAGAGTGCCGACGGCAACGACGTCACCGTCAGGATCGTTATCGTATTGAGTGAACGATCTTTGAGTAGCGATGCAATGATGATCGTTTGCAGAGCGGCAAACACCGTCGACGATAGAGAATAGAGGAATCCCATCCTGTCGAAATCCGGGTTGTTTAAGACGGCCAGTGCCGCGCCCGTAACAATAATCGCGATCGCTAGTAACGACGTCCAGCTGTAGCGCTCCCGGTACCAAACCATGCAGATCAACACAACAAACACCGGACCTGTCGCCTTGATGATTTGGTTCAGTGAAATCGACATGGTGACGATACTGATGTTCTCGAGTACATAGGTTGCCGACTGGAAGAGCGCGGCTATCAGCAGTGTCCATTTGCGACGCCACAGCGCTTCTCTCGGTGGGAATGCAGCCATCTTAAAGACAAACATGAAAAACATGCAACCAATAAACGTTGTAGTGGTTCCAGTGAGAATAATGAAGATCGGGAATTTGAAACCGATCTCCACCAGATACTTGTTCGCCAGCTGCAGCGCCATATTCAGCGCGATCCAAACAACCACCCAGAACGTTGATTTCAGCATAATTATCTTTTTACTTTCAGTATGTGGTTGTTTTTCATCATTACTATAGTTATTATCATTATCTATATCTTTAAAATCTACATTATTGTTTGTTGAAACTAATTTTTCATTTTGATCGTCATCTTCATTATCTTCATCGTCTAAACTATGACTATTACTACTACCACCACTATTATTACTATTTATATCGTTTATTGAGTATATATTGTTATTGTTACTATGATATTCATCTTGTTTATGTCTTTCAGATGCTTGATCATTAAATTTATAATTTACACTACTATTAATAATACTATTATTATTATTTTTTATATTACTATAACTATCTATTGAATCATCTATAAACTTATTATTATTATCAAAAGACATTCCTTACATTCCTTTGTTTCTTGTTTTTGTTTTTTCTTTTTATATTTTATTATTGAGATAATTCAAAATTATTAGTTTTCAATTTGAAAAAAATAACTGAAAAATATCAAAATTTTTTTTTTTTATACCAAAGATTGATTAATTAAAAATAGACAAGCCTGGTATTTGAAAACTTGTTGTTTATAGAATAACATTTTTAGTCAATGATTTAAAATTATGAAATTCTTATTATTATTTTATCAATAGACTCGTCGAAAGACTATCATTTTATCTTTGATAGAGAGATTGATACTATTTCTTTATAATTTTGGTATCAATAGACTAGTATAGCAATAATGATAATAGATAATCTATCATTATAGCTTTGTTTTAATAAGTGAGATGTTCATTTCAAAAAGATATAATACTTTTACTATTGATTAAATAAAATAAAAAAAATAATTCTAGTTTTTTTTCTATTTTTTAATTATTTTTATTTTATATTTTTATATCAATAGACTCGTCTAGAGTTTGTCTATAATTTTGTGTTTGTTTTGATAAATGAGATGTTCATTTCAAAAAAAGATATTATATGTTTACTATAATTCTCGGAATTTTGAGTCAAATTAATTTTTTGATTTAAAAAAAAAAGTTTGTATTAAACTTAGATTACTTTCTTTTTAATAGTTGGTTTTAGAAGAGTAGATTTCAAAGAAATTTTCTTGTTTTTGATTTAGAAATGTGTGAATATAATGATAACTATTTATATTAAGATTTAATAGATTTTAAATTGTCTTTCAAGCATAGATTTGTCAACTAAGAGAAGATCAGGTGTATTGTGTGAAAAGTCTTTCAACAATTTTTGACACCAATTTTAATTCACAAATTTTGCCAATTCTTCGATCTCCATGGAATGATATCATCAAAAATAAAAAATTTTTAAAAAAAATTGTAATCAATAAATTTATATAGATATTTATTTATATTTTTTCTTAAATCTATTTCTTAAAACAAAGTATTCATTTGTTTCATAATCAGTTTGTAATATAGAATAGAATTGTAAATCAAATCAAATCAATGAATAATAGATAGATCAACTAAAGACGTAGAGAAATGAATAGTAATGAAAATGAACAATTAAAAGTAGAAATAGATATAAATATTGTTGTCAGAGATGGTGATAATGATCATATTGAAAATGAAAAACTAGCTAGTAGTAGTGGTGGTAGTGGTAATAATAATGAATATGACAACGATGACGATGATGATGAGTTTTTAGATATCTACGGATTCCGATATAGCAAGAAAGCGAGTGGTAAGACGATTGAGGTGTTGAACGAGATGGCTCAGGAAGATGAAACCGAGAACTCTGAGAATTGGTTTCACTTTATACGTAATCGCTGTGAAGACAAGATCGATCGACTCGCCAAGTTGGAGCATGACCGATCGTTCATCGACCTCGTCAACAAAGGCATACCCCGTCACTACCGTAAGAAGGTTTGGCTGTCATACCTCGAGGCATCGTCACTCGAAGACTTTAGAAAGGAGTATTTCAAGTTACTAAAAGAAAAGGAAACACAATCAAAGATAAGAGATTACAAGACTGAAATTAAATTGGTAAATATTATTACTATCCTATCTTATCTAAACTTTTCTTATCTTATCTTATCTTATAAACTAATATAATTATATATATTAGGATTTAGATAGAACATTCCCGAATCATCTACTATCGAATGATGAAACTTTCAAAGAGAAGATTCAAAACATTTTGTTTGTATATAGTATCAACAATCCTAATGTTGGGTATTGTCAATCGTTAAATTACATTTCATATATATTGTTATTGATTATTGAAGATGGTAAGTTAGTTAGTTGTAGTGTTTGTTTAAAATGATAATATCTAATTCTAACTTATTTTACTTTTACTTTATTAACATTAATTAAAGAGGAAGAAGCTTTTGGTGTTTGAATTACATTGCAGATAAGATACTACCGGATTACTTTACACATACGATGTTGGGTGCACAGATCGATCAACAGGTATTCAATGATCTACTGTGTGATATGTTTCCAGACTTGATGAATCACTTCAAGAGAATCGGTGTTGTCATTCAGATACTAACGATTGAATGGTTCCTATGTCTATTTTCAACGATATTACCTGTACAAGTAAATATATCTATCTTATTCTCTTATAATAATTCAAATATTAATGTTAATTGTTGTTATTGTTATTTTCTAATAATATAATAGTTTGCTTTGATTATTTGGGATAATCTGTTTGTTAGAGGAAGTAAGGTGTTACTAGAGATCGGATTGGCACTGATAGAACTCAATATTGAATCGTTGATGAAGGCGACTTCACACGCGCAGGTAGTTGAGATATTGAATTCTCTAGACAATGCTAAACAAATTCTAAATACAATAAGAGTAAGTAGTTTAAGTAAAGAAAGTATGTTGAATATCTCAGTATATCTAACTCTTTTGCTGTTGTTACCTTTTTATTTAATAACACACAACAGACATCACCAAAGAGAATCGGAGTAGTAATGTCAAGAAAGAAGATACAAGATCTCAAATTGAAACATTGGCAAATCACAAAGAAACAGGTTAAAGATAATGAAGAGCAAAAGGATATCAAATATTTAATGAAATTTACATCTTGTAAGTTGTTGTTATTATTATTATTATTATTATTATTATTATTATTATTATTATTATTATTATTATTATTATACTAATAATAAGTCTATATTATATAATGTAATATATTATAGTTAGTTTAGATAAATTAAAGAGCTTAAAAGAGGAATTCGATATATTGTCACACGATGGTACAGGCATAGGATACCTCCAATTTCATCAAATAATCATGAGATTCTTCCCCAACTGGAAAGATCTTGAGAATCTCTCGAACGACGACAAACAAAACAGTGAGAATCTAACTAAACTCATGGAGAAGATGTTCGAAGCCATGGATGAAGATAATGATAGACTTTTAAATTTCAAAGAGGTAAATATATTTTTAATTATACACAACGATATTATTCTTAACTTATTCATTAATATAATATATTAATCTTTATTTATTTATTTTTTAGCTTGTTAAAGGTTTATCAATATTATCTCAAGGAACATTCGATCAAAAGTTAAGATGTAAATATTTATTAATCATATTCAAATTCGAACTAGATAGATAGAAAACAAAACAACTTACTTACTTACTTACTTACTTTTATCGTTATGTTATGTTATGTTATTGATTAATAATATAGTGATATTTAAATCATTTGCAATTGAATCAAAGACCTATTTAACGAAACCAGAAATACAATCGATGATAGAGTTGGCTATTTTCTTTAAAAAGATAGATACCGATCGCTTCACACGGACACAGAAGTTCTTGGAGCAACTCGAGGAACACACTACATTCGAAGGTCTAAAGAAGATGGCACTTGAGAATACACTGATTCTCGAGAGTTTTCAGACACCGACCAATCCTTTCTCACCTGTAAATCACGGTCCTGCTGATTCGTCGACCAGAGAAGGTCTTAAGAGAAGAAGTAATTCTTTTCACTTATTAGATGAAGATAGATTAAATTCTATCTCTTCACTCAGTAGCAACAATAACAATAATAATAACAGTAATAACAACAGTAGTAACAACAACCATAATAATAATAATAATAATAATAAACACAATAACAACAACTCTGATAATTGTAATAATAATAATAACTCCAATAACAATAGTAGTAATATCGGTAATATTACTTCAACACCACAATCATCATCATCATCTACATCAACAACAACACCACAACCATCAAAGTTCTCAACGGATCTAGACAATTTAAAAAAGAAGATAACCGGTGAACCAATCATCAAAAAGATAATTAATAAGAAGACAAATCAGAATAACGAATCAAATAGTAACAATAATAATGGAGGAAAGAAGAATACTGATAACAATGATAAAAAAAGTAATAATGATAACAACAATAATAATAATAATAATAAGAAAAGTAATGAAAATATTGAAAAGGAATCAGTATCTTCATCTACCCATCAGTCACAACAACAACAAAGATCTAATATCGATAAAGACCATCTAGATCCATGTATAATTATGTAACTAATACTATTAATATATATCACTTTAATAAACATAAATCCACCTACAATATCTATTTTTATTTATTAATTCAATCTACAATCTGACGGTGTGGATAATGATGATTTGTTTTTGTCATCGAAATAATAGTAATGATAGATTCATCTTTGTTAAAAGATAGTATTTCTTTGAGTCTAGTCTAGATATTCGCAACCATTTATTTCCATTGTATTTTTACTAAGAATTGTACTTTTTGATATTGTTTATAAAATTTATTGGGTTTTTTCAAATTATTAATTCATTATAATTATAATTATATTTTATTTAAATTTTATAACTTTATATATTATATTAAATTTATTATTAAATAAAATGTTTAAACAGCCGAGAATCCCAAGTCATTAAATAGACCTACTTGGAAGTTCATTAAACCATTGTTAAAATCGACAAAGTTATTTGTAAGTTGTTGGTCTGTTTGTTGATGTTGTTGTTGTTGTTGTTGTTGTTGGAGTAATCTTTGTTGTTGTTGATGTAACATCATTTGGTGTTGTTGCTGAATGTGTTGGAGATATATTTGTTGTTCTATTGTAGCAGGTTGCATCTGTTGAAGATGTTGAATTTGTTGTTGTTGTAATTGTTGATGATATTGATATTGTTGTTGCAATTGTTGTTGTTGTAGATATTGTTGTTGTAATGCTTGTTGTTGTTGTTGTTGTTGTTGCTGTTGTAATACTTGTTGTTGTTGTAATGCTGCTTGTTGTTGTTGTTGCTGTTGTACTTGTTGTTGTTGCTGTTGAGTTGTGCCATCTAATGAGTATTCAAGTTGTGGTACAACCATTTGATTCTGAGCGGCAACGGCAGCGGCAGCACCGGCAGCTCCAAACATATTAAAGTAATTCTCGTAGGATTGGTTGATGTGATCGACCTTGACTTTGTACGGGCAGATACGACAAGAACAAAGTGATTCACCGCCGATCGACTCTGAGATGCCACACTTGTCTTTGATTTGCTCATCTTTCTTCATTTCCATTTTGACAAGTTCGAGTATCTCACACATGGTCTGTGCATCGTTGGCACAGGTGTTGATCTTGAATGCACTGTCGGCACCGTCGGGATCAAGACACTGCAGCTGTTTGAAAGCACAAATAAACTCTTTGAATGCCTTCTGGAAGTCGTCTTTGTCGGCGACACCCTGTTGTTTGGCACCACCGGATTCGTCTTCCGATCCGTTGTCCGAGCAGTTTGTCTCGATGATCTTTCCTTCGTGATCGACAATCTTTGGCGAGTCGGCATTGGGAACGAGCAGACTGTTGACACTGGAGTTGTTGGCGGCGAGAAGCGCACCGAGATTGTTCTCCTTGTCGAAATAGCAGAGTTTCTTGAGCAGTCTTTGTTGCTCCTTTTGTTGGTGTTCAATTCGATTGAGTGTATCCATGAGTGAGTCGGTTGGTGCTCTCTTTCTCTTCTTGGCTTTCTTCTTTACTTGGTCGGGCTTGGAGACAACTCTGATGGGATGAGTGACAACTGCCAGACCAGCGATCTCCTTTCTGGTTCGTGGATCTACTATTCTTACACGCGCACGGAACAGCATATCTTCAAGCTGCGATGAGAGTACTTTTATTCTAAGTTCAACAGTCAGTTGGTCACCTTCTTCGTTGGCTCTGGTCTTGTATTCGAGTGGCTTCATGGTTGCAGAGTCGACTTCTTTCAAATTCTCAGAGTCATACACTAGATGTACCTCGGGCGAGAGTTGATGGAAATTCAGTGAGTTGTCAAGCAACGTTAGAGTGAGGAGGAATGGATTGTTTTTGACGACTACATGAACATTCTTTTGGACACCGTTCTTTGAGAATTTCTCCTCGACCAAACAGGTTTGTTGTGTAATCGATATACGTTTATTGCTTGATTGCATTGCAGATGGACTGGAGTTAGATTGATTCACAGGACTATTATTAATGGAAATATTATTGGGAATGGGTGATGATGTTGTTATATTGCTGCTGGATGACGGTGATGCAGTTGAAGACTGTGCTCCGGTGCCAGGCTGGTAGTCAGGAACATTCCTCAATAGATGTCCTGATGGCGCTATATGTGGTAGATGTGGAACAACAGCATGACCTAATTGTTGTTGATGTTGTTGTGATAAATATGGATGTGGAATTTGGTTTTGGCCATTAATCATTCCATTATATGCTGGATTTAATTCCATCGAATGGAATTGAGGATGGTTATTAACCATTAAACTCATTTTACTAATTTAACAAATTTTATTATAGTAATACAAAAAAAAAACTTAACTATTTATATTTATTATTATTGACAATAATTATTAATTAAATTATTATTATTTAATATTTTTAAAAGTAGGGTAGTAATATAGATGTTACCTGAATATAATATTTATTAATATTTATTAAACTCTTTTTAACTATAGATAGATATTTATTATTTATTTTTAGAAAACTGGAAATCCAAAAATAAACAAACAAAAAAATAGTAAATAGTTATCAGGATATAAATCATATAGGTAACCAAAAAATGATGTAATACTATCGATGATGAGTTGTATACGGTTTGTAGTGTGGTATAACAATGGTAGTAGTGTTTAATTAGTTTTGGAAATTAATTAACTAATTATTTTTCTATTGTTTTTTTTTGTTTTTGAAGACAATGGTGATGGTATTACTGTGATAGATGATGATGAAGATATTGTTGTTGTTGTTGCTGGTGAAGAATGGGGTTCTATATATTTTTTTTATATGGCAATATAAATATTATGAAAGTGATTGATGATTGACCAAAGAAGAAAAAAAAAAATTATACAATTTCGAATGATGGTAAATTTAAACTAAATGCTACCAAAAAATAAATAATAACAAATAATAACAATAAAAAAAAAAATAATCTAGAAAATTGGATTATCACAAGTTGCTTCCTGTTTTACAAATAATAGTTTTGTAGAATAAAAAAATGCAAATTGGAAATAGCAAAAACAAAAAACTGATGATGGTTATCAATTTTGTTGTTGTTTCTATTCTATATATATATTGGTTGTCTGATGTTTGTAATAATCCAAATTAAATTAAATAAAAATAATAGGGATATCTTGTTATTTATGTCTTTTTTTTTTCAAATTTATTCTTGATTTAATATCATGATATTGTTTTTTTATTGTACTGTTTTAACTCCACTCCTCAAAACACACAAACCCACACACTCATTTATACAAACACACTCATCAAAAACATAATCATAAAAAGAAAAACAAAACCAAAGACATACAAGTAAAAACACAACACACTCACTCAACTCTGACTTATCTCACTACACACTCACACTCACATTGACATTCACACTAAAACTCACACTAGAACAGAAAAAAAAAAATCGTCACTTTGAATACAAAAACAAAAATAATTATATTGATAATCCCTTTCAACTACCTATCCTATCCCATGCTTATATATAGAGGATTACATCATATGACAATGTATCTACATCTAAAAAATAAAGATATAAAAAGATATATATACATGTTGTTTTTTTGTTGTTGCTGTGGTGGTGATGGACAAAGGTATATATATTCCAAAAATATAGTTTGTGTTGTCTATCTCACATTTCATTTGTCCTTATATGTTGTATTTTCCTATTCTATCCATTTTCTTTTTTTTTTATTTAAATTGTTTTTTATCTACAGGAGTATATCAACAACAACAACAACAATAAGAGCAGCAGAATCAACACGTTTGTCACATCACATGTTAACATATCATCATTCAATCACTCACTCCTATTTATCTACTAAACCAGCAACCAGAAAAATGGAAAATGAAGAAGTATGTACATAAAGCAAATATCATAACAACAAGTGTGTGTACCCCAAATTTTTGTTCAAATAACTTTTTCCCAGTTAACCAATCAAACAAATCCATCAATGCTAATATGATATACTTCATATGTAACATAAGGTATAAAAGTATTATTGCTTGCTAGTGTTATTTGTAGACTATCCACATCGACCACACTTAATATCCCACAAAAACCACCATATTCGACCAAAACAATAACAACAACAACAAACAAACAAACAAACACTACCACCACTATTTTTCATCTCAAATATAGATACCATTCAACACTCTCTTACAGTGCAGCTGACTCTGTTTTCACCTATTACTATTCTAATTATAACCAAATGAGAGAGATGAGATGATAGGCAGAGAGGAGTGATAATGAATGTAATAACGAGAATAACAATAATTTTATATAAACAGAGTAACGAGAATGGTTTGTTTTGAAAACAACAACAACAACAACAACAGGCAAACAACACTATTTCCTAATAAAGTAAATCAACTTAATAGGTAATTGCTGTCTTATTATCATTTTACTATTATTATTTGATTGGCATGATTATCTGATTAATACTTATATATCTATCAATATTATATTGCAGATTAAAATAAAACAACAATTACTACTATCATAAAGAATTAATTTCTTGAATTCATTAAATTGAATTGTTTGATATTTAAAATATTCTTATAAATTTTAAAAATAAAAATAGATAAAAATAAGAAAACAAGAACAAACAACAAATAATTCTAAAGAATTAATTTAGTTGTATGAAAGGCAAACAACTGATTTTGTTATAATCATGATCAGAAATGTGTCAACTCAGATTAATGATCGATTTTAGCAAAAAGTTTTAATATTTTTTTATTTTTTCATCCAAAATTCTTTTAAAAAGAAAAGTGTGAAATCAATTTTTTGCTAAAAATAATTGATTGGTTGAAAGGAGGGAAGGTGGGAAGGTGTAAGAAAATTATAACACTGCGATTAAAACAAACACATGATTGATCCTCCTCTTTTTTTAAAAAACAAAAAACCAATTTTTATTTATTTATTTTATAACAATCATTGCTTTTTTTGATTTTATTTTATTTTATTACAATTCCAAAATTAATTGATCAACACCAATTTTATTTGAAAGCAATAGATTAATTTAACATGATTGAACAGATAAGGAATCGCAATAAAAAAATACAACAACAACAGCAACAAGAGGAAGATGAAGATGAGGAAGCTAACAACTCACCCGAGTCTACCACATCAACGACAGCAGATCAACAAAAATCAACAACAAAATCAAAGAAAAAAAGTAATAAATTAATTAGTTAATATTAACTAATATTAACAATTTCAATAATCAAATTAATATGTACATTAACTAACATGTTATTATTTCTATTTTTTATTATTAGTACTCACATTAAGATCATTTAAGAAATCAAAGAGTTCAGAAAAGTTGAATAATCAATCGGAGAGTTTTGATATTTCATCTCCGACTTTGATGTTTTCAACATCGGAACAACATAGCAATAGTAATCAAAAACCTCAAGAGATATCACCACTATCATTATTCAGTCAACATCAACAACAACAACAGAAACACTATTTATCACCGACATCTACATCACCAGCAAGTGCAATGTCGCCAATTACACTATCACCATCGCCATCGTCATTGGGAACACCACCGATAATGACAACGATAACATTACATAATAACGATAATAATAACAATGGCAATTCAGAACAGGTTTCCGATGGAAGACCACCAGTACCAAAAAGAAATTTTACAGCATCACCAACAACACATTCACAAACACCCGCTGTACCACCGAGAAACAATGGATTAACAAGACCTGTTTCACCGATAAACAACAACAACAACCACCATCAACAACCTCCACCAACAGCACCAAGACCACTACCAACTCCATCGCCACCCTCAAACTTCACAGCTACAACAGATGGTCAACAACCTAAAAGAATGGTAAATCTAAGACCAGTAACACCACCACTTTCAAACAATCATTCAAATGCAAATGCAATCAACAATCACAATCACAATCACAATCCAAATCCAAATCATAGACCAGTTTCACAACCACCTGGAGCACAACAACATCCAGTAATTCCACCAAGAACTCGTATAAAATCTGATACAATTGTACCTAATAGTAGTGGTAGTAATGGATTATCTCAAAAGGATAACTGTAATTCCCAGCATGAAAATGGATCACTGTTGAATGGTCGCACGATATCTTTGATTGGTCAGGATGGTGGACTTTCAAGTCCGTCCACCTACTCGCCAAACTTGAGGAGCAACAACAGTAGTGGTGGTAGCAATAGCAGTGGTGGTGAACTGTCGTCATCCGATGAAGCCAAACGCAAAACCATGCGGCAAAAGATGTTGTCCAGAAAGACTGCATCGCTGTCGCTGCGCGACGACGACGCGCCCGGAACTGACGACGCCGATGCCGACGCTGAAGAATACGGAAGTAGCTACGAGATGTCGCCTAGCTCTGGATCATCGAGTGGTTCGTTCTCATCGTTTACAACAACGACAACATCGTCGTCATCACCCAACGATGGTTCTTCAATGGACATCAATAACAACAACAACGGTTCAGATGTTGTGTCGTCACCACCTACTACATCTGCAGCAGCAGCAACAGTACAACAAAAGAAACGTGGATTCTTCAGTAGTAAACGATCTACTGTTGCGGTTGACTATGTTGATCCGAAGGAGTTGATCATTGAGAAACTGAATTGCGTTGAACAGGTGGCGTCGAGACGTTCGGCGCTTCCACCGATAGCGACTAGCACCACTACCAACCGAGTGGTCAAAGAACTGATTGAAACCGAAGCAGACTATCTCGATGATCTCTACATTCTTATCAACTACTACAAGAACAGTATGATTGAACTATCGCAACACCCATCGATGAGCATCAAAAACGAAGATATCAACTATGTATTCTCCAATGTCGACGAACTCTATGTCATCAATCTACGCCTATTCAACTCACTACTAGAAATCATACCAAACATGGAAAACATCAATAACTATCCAAATGTAGATGAGATATTCTTTAAGCATGTATGTAATAACTAGTTATTAATAATGATGATATTATATTTATCTAATCAAATTCAATATTAAATACTCAATATACTCATAGACCAACGCTTTACAAAGATATGTAACATATTTATCAAATCAAGAACAATGTAATAAGCAATTAGTATCATGGGAGAATAATAGTCAATTATCTTCTATTTTAACTGTAAGATTTAGAATTAGATTAATAATATAAGAAGTTATAGATTATGTTAATTAGTTAACTAACTGTTTTTATTGTTGTTATTTTTGTTGTTGTTGTTGTTGTTGTTGTTGTTGTTGTTGTTGTTGTTGTTTTTAGCATATAAAATCACTACCAGGTGTAAAGAATCAAAATATATCATCATATGTAATAAAACCAGTACAGAGACTATGTAAATATCCACTGCTATTGAGAGAGTTGAAGAATACGGTACCGGAGGAGAATGAACACTATCGTGCTTTCGAGAGAGCAGCTAAGCTGATGGAGAAGATCGTATCGGATATCAACGGAAAGATAAAGAACGAAGAGAAGATCAATGAGATTAGAGATCTCATCGGTAAGGAACACGATTCACTTCTCCTCAAGAAAACACTCCTCAAAGAGGGAAAGACAAAGATCTTCAAAAAGGAAACCGGAAAGAGTCAAGACGCCACTCTCTACCTGCTCGACGATATCATCATCGTCTATAAATCATCCATACTTCAAAAGAATCGCGTTGTAACCATTTATCTATCGAATCTACTTGATATTAGAGATATTGAAACAAAAGGTAATAATGATCAATAATAACATAACAATCATTAATATAAAGTTAACTAACACTATTACTATTATTTAACACTATTAATATATATATATTACAACACAGAGATTAAAAGTGGATTCGAAATATTACATCTTTGCAAAGAACAAGCGTATAGACAATCATTTTCTGCAGAGAACTACGCAGATAAACTACTGTGGATTAGAGATATAGAGGATGCAGTTCACGCATATCAAGTCATCACAGGACAACCAATGTCAAATTATACATAGATAATAGCTACACAAACCCAAACCCTTAAAAACCATATCAATGTAATTAAAAATGTATCAATAAAAAAATCTTATTTATTTATTTCTAAAATAAAACAAGTTTATTTTAATATAATATCAATATAAATCTTTAAAATAATTTTGTGTCAATTTAAATCCATAAAAGGAAGTTCAGATTGATCACTCAAATCTCTGAACCACACAACACTTTTGTTTTTTTTTTTTTTTTTCTCAAATTTTTTTGATTTTTTTTTTGACAATTTTTTTTGAACAGTATCTTGAAGAAACACTTGAAAATTTGTTCAGTTTTGTTTTTAACCATATATTTATATTTTTAAACAACGAAATTTTATAATGTCAGTCACCGAAAGATCATTCATTGCCATCAAGCCAGACGGTGTTGCCCGTAATTTGGTCGGAGAGATCATCGCCCGTTTCGAGCGTAAGGGATTCGTCCTCGTCGGTCTCAAGCAAATCGTTCCAACCGCCGATTTGGCCAAGTCTCACTATGCTGAGCACGCCGAAAGACCATTCTTCGGTGGTCTCGTCTCCTTCATCACCTCTGGTCCAGTCGTTGCTATGGTCTGGGAAGGTAAGGGTGTCATCGCTGCCGCCCGTGCCCTCATCGGTGCCACCAACCCATTGGCCTCCGCCCCAGGTACCATTCGTGGTGATTTGGCCATCGATGTCGGAAGAAACATCATCCACGGTTCAGACTCTGTCGACTCTGCCAAGCGTGAAATCGCCCTCTGGTTCGCCGAAACCGAGTTGCTCGCCACCGCCACCCCAAACCCACACATCTACGAACCAAGAAATTAAATCTGTGTCTGACTTATTCTAAACTTTAATAAAGAATAGATTTGTTTATAATGTAAATGCAGTTAGTTATTCAATCAATCTCACCTCATTATTTATTGAATGTTTTAATTTAATTTTCAACATCATATTGTTGAATAACAATTTAACATCATTTCCAAATTCATGGTTACAATTCTTCGTTAATTAAGTTATTCTTATATATTTAAATGTATAGTACCAGTACACTGTTTTGATCATATATATTACTCAATTATTTTCCAAATAAGTTAAATGTGTGTGGGTTATAGATATTAAAATACAAATTGCTTTTGTTTTTTTTAAAAAAAAAACAGATATATTGGTTGATCCGGTAATACCTCCAATGATGAGTGTTTATTTATATATTTTTATTTGGATGTTGGGGTAAGAATTCGATAAGGTTATATTTATGTAAATCATTGTATTGTTCAATACCATCAATAAAAAACTACCAAAAAAGGAATGTCGAATCAGACAATGAGATAATAGATATATTTAAAAGTATAAAAAAAAAGTGATTGTATTTATCCATTAAAAATAAAATGAATTTTAAACATATATTCTCAATAGTTTTAAATTTAATACTAATAGACTTGGTACTTTCCAAAAATAGAGGTAAATTAATAAATATTTATATGTTGTTTAATTAAAAAATATAATAAATTAATTGCTTTCTTTTTTTACTTTTTAAAATAAATAGAAAGAGATCATAAATATAAAGAACCAAATCTAAGAGATGCTGGTGTTGGTATTGCTATTGGAATGGGTAGCTTTATTGGAGTAATGCTAATTATATTTACAATTATCATAGTCTATGTCAAGTTAAATAAAACAGAAAAAGAAACTAAGCAACTAGAGAATCAAAATCAAAATCAAATTCAAAATGCAACAGAAACCCAAACACCAATTGAAATTAATTGTTAATATAAAATTTTAAAAATGAATTAAAATAAACAAGAATCAGTTAATTTAAATTATTTGTATAGGTTTTATTGTTGTTGTTACTATTATATAAATATATATTTCAGGTTTAAAAATAAAAGAGAAACACTCAGTTTGTTTATTATTATTAATCATCATCATTATCGATTCCTTCATCATCATTATCAGAGTTATAATCGACTTCGTCCTCTTCGTAATCATAATCACCATCATCTTCGTCGTCATCATAGCCAGCATCGTCATAGTCATCGAAAAAGTCCATCGGTTTGTTGAGTAGTTTCATCTTCTCGACCTGTTTGGCACGCTCCATTGGATCAGAGTCTGGATGTGGTATTTTAATGTGTGACGGTACTTTCTGGTTGGCCTTTGCAATGAGCGCTTTGATACGCTTTTTGTAGGCTTCGCGTTCGTTCCTCCACTCTACCGATGCATCTACATTGGCGGGTGACGATGTATTCGGTGCACTTAGTAATGATATTACACTGAGTATAATTGTGGTAACAGTTTGAGTTGGTAACCATCTTTCCTCTGGTAACTCTCCACTTGTTTCATCCTCACCGGGAGGGTGTAAAATTGATATACAAACTTTTCCATCAGTATAAACTATTTTTTTTTCCAAAAAAAATAAAAAATTGTTAGAAATAAATATTTAATAAATATAGCTATAATTAATTACCATTTGGATGCCAAAACTCTGATAGAAATACTAAGGTAGGTGGACTCATTGGGTAATCGTTTGGAAATTTCATGGAAATTTGAAATATACCTCCCTCACTTTGAAAGTAAATATTTATAAATATTAGAATAATTTGTTGGAACAGTTTGATTGTTTGTCAACTTACTAATCAGTTTCAGGTGGTCCTTCGACATAAGCTTTCCATTCAAATAGATTTTCATTTACAAGTTCAAAACAAACACCTTCAATAGGTTCAGATTGTATCTCTACATGATAAATGATAGTTAGTAAGGTGGTGTTTAAATATCTATCTATTTGATTGATTGATTGATCTGTATTTTAATCTGTTTTAAAAAAACCAATTGATACAAACAATGCTATAAATGATTAATCATACTTTTGAACTGATTTTGTAATAATTTAGATGCCATATCTGTTGTAGTTATATCTATCTATTTATCTATATGGTTATAAAAATAGAAAAAAGTAAAAAATAATAAATAAAGTATAAGTATGATATAAAATTGATTACATAATAAAAAGTTGTTTTGGTATTCCGGAATGATTAAAATAATGTGAACTCATTGGCTGTATTTGGTGTTTTTTTTTTTGGTATTTTTAACATCCAAAATGGTTAAATTAAGGTAATGAACAACTTCAAATTAAATTATTTTAGTGTAATTTTTGCAAAAAAAAAAAAAAAAAAAAAAAAAAAACTAAAAGGTTGTGAAGTTGTTTATGGAATTGATAGATTTAGTGATAAATAATTACCTTTAACTTAACTCTTAGTTTACAATAAATTTAAAATGAATATAATAATAATTGGTATATATATATATAATCTATTGAGATCTATCTAAATGTTTTTTCTTTTCTTAATAAACAAATTAAAACTCGAGAACTAATTAACTAACAAAACTAATAAACTAATTAAAAATAGAAATTTAGATAAATATTAAATGATACTAATATATAATATTATGGATTGATTGGAATAGTAATAGTTTAGTAAATTGAGAATAATTTATTTATTTGATTTGATTTGATTGATAGATTGAATTTGTATTTTTTAATTTTATTTTTTGTATATTGGATTAATAAAATAATGAATGTTTATTAATTTTTGATTTAATTTATACTATTAAAAGATGATATTATATTGATATGGATAATAGTACTGTTGGATTGTTCAATACATAATTTCTATTTATACAAAACGATAATACAATCAACACTGTATTAAAAAAAATAAAAATAAAAATAAAAAAGCACAGATGTCTGTGATAAATAAATAAGATTAACACACTAATATGAATCAAAATAGTAATCTGTTATTTTTTTTTCTGTTTGTATGTTTTTTTTTTTGGTTTGGTTAGGTTGGCATTGGGAAATCAATCAATTCAATCACTGTTTCTAAAACATATATCATATAAATATGATTGATAATATTACATTTTGGTTGAAGATAACAAAAAATAGGGATTTGTTTTGAAATAATTTAATAACATCCATTTTTTTTTTTAAAATTTTTTTTTTTTTTTTTTGTATTCGTTTGTGTTTTGAGTGATGATCAAACAAACAAAAAAAAAAAAAAGAAAAAAATAAATCAAAAAACTCAATTGTTTTTTTTGTTTTTCGCACATCAACAAATTTTTTTTTTTTAAAAAAAGATAGTAGATTTTGGATGATAGTTAGCGTAGAAAGATAGATAGAAATATAGAGAGTTTAGTTGTTTGTTTGTTTGCTAGTTAGTTATTAATAGTTACAAAGTTTAGTTAGATTCGATAGATAGGAGAATAAAGAAAGAGGAGAATATAGGAAAGAAGTGAAGATAGGAAGAAAAGAAAGTGGATTGCCAATCAATCAACCAATTAGTTCACCACCGAGTTTCATCAATTTGACACCCAACCACCTTTTTTTTATTTATTTATTATATTTATTTAGACTCATACAAAAATAGTTTAATACACTTTTTTATTTATTTAATCTTAGAAGTTACACAACACAAACAGGACAAAAGTAATTCAATAATAATAACAACGAGAATTAGTTAGTTCAGTCTATTTAATATCATCAATTCATTCCTTCCGACAACAACCTGTACATATAATATAATAGATATATAAAGATAGAATAGAATAGAATTGATTTTATTTTTTTAAATAGTTTTTTTACAATCCATTGAATAAATGTAAGTGATCAATCAATCAATAATTCATTCATACAATCAATCATGGAATTGAACTTTTTTAGAATGTTGAAAACAATATAATTGTAATCGTCGATCAATCAATCATGTCATTAGAAGATTGGAGAAGATAATTGAATTCATTCAAGATGATCAACAGCAAGGCGATGAAGAAATACAAAACCAAAAAAAAAAAAACAAAAAAGAAAAACAAAAAAAAGAAATGCTCTTCATACCCAAAATTTTTTAATTTTTTTTTGCTCTTTTGGTTTTGTTGTTTTTTTCTATTTATTTTTTTGGTTCACTCGCCTAATAAAAATAGTTGTACAAGATTAAGAAGAAGTTCAACCTTTATATTTATCTCTCTCTTTAAATCAAATTAAATTAAATTACTACTCTTATAAGATCAAACAACACAACAACACACACACCATTAATTAACCCACAACAACAACAAAACAACAAACACCACTAAAAAAAAAAAAAAAAAAAATTATTATTTATAAAAAAAAATAAAATAAATAGAATTGAAATAATTAATTGTATTTATTTTTTTTTTAAGTGGTTGGTATCACATTCACCATCAGTGGGTAGCAGTAGTGTATGTAATTTAGTTTAGGTTTAAACTTCTTCATTCTTGATACAACCACAACCATTCCATCAAAAAAAAAAAAAAAAAAAAAACAAAAAAAAAAAAAAAATAGAGAGAATTGGATTGAATTCAAACAACAAAGTTTTATCTTTATGCTCAATTCAATTAAATAATAATATTATATTTAATCAACATAACAAACAAATAATTGTTTCTCTTCTCTCCTTTTTTTGCTTTTTTGTTTTTTTTTTTTAAGCTTTTTGTTACTTCAGAACACAGACACCTGACCTGACCTTCTTTTTATCCAACAACATCAACATCCAACTCAACTCAATGCAATAAATTTATCTTTTTAAAAATTTTGTTTTTTTTTTTCGAATCCAAAAACAAAAAAAAAAAAAAAGTAGAATTTTTTGTTTCATATTAAATTTAAATCAGCCATTATATCAATTTAAAAATTCCATCTTCAAATCAACAGCAAAAAAAAAAAAATATATATTTTTTAAAACAAAAAACCAACTTGAAGAAGACTATACGAAATAAAACAAAACATACAGATCTAACATCATCCAGTTAATTATATTTATAGCAAACATAACATAGCATATCATCACATTTTTTTTTGTTTAGGTTCATTCTTTTTATTTTTTGTTTTTTTTTTTAGAAAAATTAAATTATTTTTTCGTATTTATCTTTGTTCGATTCAAATTCAATTCATTTGGAATTTTCACAATTTAGTAAAAGTAAATACTAAATTATAATATTATATTACCTTACTTTTTATTATTATTATTAGAGTTTGTTTGTTTGGAGTTAGTTAGTTAGTAAAGACAGTCAAGACAGTTAAGAGTTAGTTAAGCAACAGTAGTAGTATTGACCACACACAAACAATGTCGTCAGAACCACTTGAATGGAAGTTTAGTCAAGTCTTTGGAAACAAAGGACCATCCGATGATATTACAGATGGTAAGTGTTTTGAGAGAATTAATTTATTAGTTTGTTAGTTAGTTTGATCGATCGATCGATCTATCATTAGATCGAAGATCAAAAAAAAAAAGAAAAAAAGAAAAAAGGATGATGATTGATTAGTTATAACTTGTTTAATAACATTATTATTATTTATTTATTTTATAGTTGATGTAGTCTCAGCAATAGAGTTTGATAATACTGGTGATTATATTGCAGCTGGTGACAGAGGTGGTAGAGTTGTTCTCTTTGAGAGATCCTACGATAAACAGGCGAGTCAGAGTGGCAAGAAGAAAGATAACAAATTACCCGAATATAGATTCTACTCTGAGTTTCAAAGTCACGAGCCAGAGTTTGATTATTTAAAGAGTTTGGAAATCGAAGAGAAGATCAACAAAATTAAATGGTGTCCCAAACAGAATGATGCTCACTTTTTATTAACTACCAATGGTATGTGTATATTGTTATCTATAGTAGATCAACAACAACAAAAAGAGAAGAGAGTTGTCGTTGAAATTTAAAAGTGTACAGTGTGAAAAGGGTTATCTAATCTTTGTATATAATAATAATAAACTACTATAGATAAAACAATTAAATTATGGAAAGTTTACGAAAAAAAGATTAAGCAAATTGCAACTTCATCACCTGCTCCATCCAACGGAATCAATAGTTATAGCAGCAGTATTAAACTGCCAACAGCCAATAACAACCATATAAATAGTCATAATAATAATTTAAATAATAATAGTATATTTAAGGTAGAGTATAATCATCTATGTTGTTATTGGTTGGTTTGTAATATTAACGATTTTTTTATTTATTACCTTTTTTAAATTATTTTATTATTATCATTAGATCCCACGTTTACAAGTTAGAGAGACAGTGATTACTGCGCAACCAAGAAAAGTATATGCCAATGCACATGCATACCATATCAATTCTATTTCATTAAACTCTGATGGAGAAACATATATCTCGTCGGACGATCTTCGAATTCATTTGTGGAATCTCAACAACAATCAGGAGTGCTTCAATGTCGTCGATATTAAGCCGCACAACATGGAGGACCTAACAGAGGTTATTACTTCGGCAGAGTTTCACCCGACATCGTGTAATATATTTATGTACAGTTCAAGTAAGGGAACCATCAAGCTTGGTGATCTTCGTTCCTCTGCCCTGTGCGACCAGCACAGCAAGGTGTTTGAAGAGGAGGTCGATCCCGCCACCAAATCGTTCTTCTCAGAGATCATCTCGTCGATATCCGACATCAAGTTCAGTCGTGACGGACGTTACATCCTGTCGAGAGACTTCCTCACCCTCAAACTCTGGGACATCAACATGGAGTCGCGTCCACTGAAATCCATCCAGATCCATGACTACTTGCGTCCCAAGCTGTGCGACCTCTACGAGAATGACTGTATTTTCGACAAGTTTGAATGTACCATCAACCACGACGGCACTCAAATGCTCACCGGAAGCTACAACAACTTTTTCCACATCTACGACCGCAACTCCAAGCAAGACGTTTGTCTTGAGGCATCCAGGCAAGCCATTAAACCAAAATCAAAAACATTGACCGGTAAGATGAAATTGCGTACCTCAAAGAAAGAGTCTAAAAGGCCTGATGACATTAATCCAGATACTATAGATTTTACTAAAAAAGCGTTACACGTTTCGTGGCATCCAAAGGAGAATTTAATCGCCATCGGTGCAAATAATACCATGTATCTATTCTCTGCAAACAGTTAAATATGCAATCACAACCATTAAAAAGAAAAAGAATAAAATCAACAACAACAACAACAACAACAGCAACAGCAACAACAACAACAGCACAGCAACAAGCAGCAGATCAATAATCAGAACAACAACAACAACCAACAACATCAATCAACTATAAAAATCACTATCATCGTCATCATCATCTCCAATCTCTCCTTTACAGCAACCACACTAATCTAGTCTCCATTGCTCTCTCACTCTCTCTCTCTCTCATTCCAACACCAACACTAAGTAATAATAATAATAACAATAATAATAATAGCTAAAAGACAACCAAATTTACCAAGTAGTATTAACATTCACTGAACACTGAATCCATCCTTTGCCAAACAAACATAAGAAACATTTCTATTTTAAAATAATGGTGAGAAACAAACAAATCTATCTATTTTTTAAAAAAACATCACTCTAAATCATTCTCTAACATTTTAATTTATTTAGTGTCAATGACTTTACCACAAATCATTTCTAAAGATAATATATACATCGTTATCATTCCTAACAAATAATATTGTTAAACAACAATAAACAAATATTAAATTAAAAAAATTATCTGATCATCTTTATTTTTTAAAATTATTATTCGGTTTTTCTTTTAGTTTTTTTTTTTTTTGTAAACCACATTAAATTAATTGATTCATTTTTCTTTGATAAATATGTTAACATCAAGTTTAAAGTCAATTAATAGTTTGCATAGTTTAAATAGAATAAATATCAATAGTAGTATAGGTGGTAGTAGTTATAGTTATGGATTTACAAATATATTTTCAAACTCTGTAGATAATTCATTGTTTCAACAAAACAAATGTTATTATGTATCAAAAGTAGAGAGAGAGTTGCAAAAGCAAAAGCAACAGAGATATAAAGCAATGATGAAACAACGTGCGGAAATCTTGGAGAACACAGATATCGATGCAATTCCAAAATCTGATATTGTATTCGATAAGAAAGTACCGAGGTTAGAGTTGATGATCGGTCAGAAACAAACGAATGTTATTAAGGAATCTGCTAGGTCACTGTGGCATAAAAGACAAAAAGACAATAACAATAACAGTAAAGATGATGAAGTTGATCAACAAGGAAAGAATGCACAGTTCAAACAAACAAAGTTTGAACAAAATGTTTTAAAGACGATAGAGGAGAGAAACGTTGGAAAGATCAAGATTTCGAAACCAGCAAGGGGAAAGACCAAACTGGATGTATTGAGAGATCGATCAAAGTTTAAACTACCAACCTACTTTCATTCGAAATTTGTTTATGTCGCTTCGGCAAAGTCAAAGGAATCGTTTATACCGGAGAAGTTGCCAGAGGTTGCTTTCATCGGTCGTAGTAATGTAGGAAAGTCGAGTATCATCAATGCAATCACACAACGAGGTCAAGCAAAGACATCGGATAAACCAGGTTTTACACAGAGCATCAATTGGTACGAGTTGGGATCCACTCTCTATATTGTCGATCTACCTGGCTATGGATTTGCATTTGCCAAGTCACAGAAAGTCGATCAGTGGAATCAGTTGACTCTCGAGTATCTCACCACAAGAAAATCATTGAAACGAGTATTTCTGTTGTTGGACGCGCGACATGGACTTAAAGAGAGTGATCATGAGATTCTAGAGATATTGGATAAAGAACATGTAAAAACACAGATAGTATTGACCAAAGGTGATTTAGTTGAACAAAAAGAAATAGCCAAACGTTTTACCTTGGTGACGGAGGTATGTGTATTTTTCAATTGACATTGACGCTCACTCATTGAACAATTATTAACTTGTTATTTAACTAATTGTTTTTCTTAGGAATTGAAAAAATATCATCATACACAGTTACCTGTTATATCGGTAAGTTCAAAGACATTTGGTGGAATTCCAGAGCTAGCTTCTTTGATTAAAGGATTTAAATTGCGTAAGAAACCAGAGGTAATAAAGCCAACCCAAGCGCCAGTTGAGAAGAGTCAAGTCAAAAAACCGAAATCAACAACTTCATCGACAAAGAAGAAAGAATTGGTGGCGTCAAAAAAGAAAGCAACTATTTCACCAGAGATTCAAAAATATATTAAAAAATAATAATGTTTAACAAATATACAATTATATCTTTTTGTTTGTTTGTACAATCTTTAATTTATAAAAGTTTTTTTTATACTAAAAAATCTACGACTCGTTTGTTGAAATTGATGGTTTGGGACTGGATGAAATGGAAAGACTGGGTGGCATCGCTCCTTCTTTAGGCAGTTCGTTGGCACCGTTGCTGATTGTAGAGATCATTGGAGATGATTTGTTATTCTTTCCGTTGATCACGTAGTCTTGATCGATTGTGTGTTGTCCAATCAATGAGGGTGAGGAATTTGCAGAGTTACTGTTGCTCTTTGAATTGCTGTTGCCGTTGGAATTACACTTGTTGGCACCATTGGCGGGCGCGGATGATGGTGTTGATCCAGTGATAGTTGGTGTCGTCACAGTGATCTTTTTGATTTGATTTAGTTTTACAAGTTTACGTAGTTCATTTTCATTTCCATAGGCAGGCTTCACACGATACGTCAACTGAATGTCATCACCAGACTTCCAAAAGAATGCTCTCACCGTAGACAGTGTGTAGGTTGGCAACAGCACCTTGTTGTCACAGAGCATCTCAATGTATTCCTCTACCAATGAGTTTGGCTCCAACAGTTTCAGTTTCCACGAGATATGGCCAATGAGCTTCCTAATCTGGGTGTGAGGAGCCTGGTTGAATTTGATGATGCCCTTGGCGATTGGAGATATATTCTTTTCATCGCTCGGTGACATCATAAAGTAGATGTCTTTGGTCTCTTTCTTCTGTGTTGGTCCACCAAAGAGGCAATCGTACACCCAAGTCGGAATGACATCGACCGATTCCAAACCAGTGAATTCACTCAAACGGATTCTAAAACTATTATTTACATTGTTGTCATCGAATATCACAATGGATGTATCCTTGGGTAATTCGAAAATCATTCTCTTGGGAGGCGCCTTGTTGGTTGACGATGGTGGTGCACCACTCATAGCAACTTTCTGTCTATTAGAGTCGTTATTATTGTTGTTGTTGGTCGACGATGGTACAGCTTGTTGTTGTGGTTCATCCTCTACAGAATCCACTGTATCACCATCATATTGATTACTATTTACATTGTTTTGACGATTATGTTTCTCTTTTACAAAATGAGAGAACAGTGAGGCTAGAACTCGTTCTCCTGTGTTATATAGTTCGTCTGGCTCGCCCTCTTGGAGAGTGACACCCAGGTTCGAAAGATGTGCATCGGCGCTAAAGCAATGGGGTGGTTCCATTGTGATGTTGATATTTCCCGTCTTGGTATCGACGGAAAGCCATTTCGGTATGCTGATGATCTCTTGCAATTCATTGACCTGCTTATCGAAATCCACTTTACCATAGTCACCAATCAGCTCGCCCTTTGTTATATCCCATAGTTGTACATTGTCGCTTGTGTCTTTGGTGAGGACATGTCTTCGATTATTCATTATGTGATGCTTTATCATTCCTGGACGTCCAGCGATCTTCATAATCGGTTCGTTGGCATTGAGAATCGCAGAGATGTTATTGACACTCTCCTCATCCTTGTCCTCATCGATGAAGCGTGGTTCAATCTTTTCTTTGGTGGCGCCATTCAACGACCAATTCTTAATCTCCGAGTCGGTAGTCGATACCCATATCGATTGACGCTGCTCGTCATGCACAATCTTGAGCACTGGATTCGCTTCCTTGCAGACAAGAGTCGACTGGAATGTCTTGAGGTCGGTCGAGTATATCAATCCGTCACGTCCGCCGGAGTAGACGTGAGAGAATGTCGGCGACACGGCCAGACTCCACACCGAGTCCGTATGAATATCGTCAAAGCTGTGTATGCATCGCTGCATACCGATGTCCCAGAGTCGGAACGATCCATCGCTACTTGCAGACAGACATCTTCTGCTGTCCGACGAGATGATGATCGATCTAACATTGTCGGTATGTCCCTTCAACTTGAATATCTTCTTGCCACCGACGACATCCCACGCTCTAATAGTTCGCTCGGTCGAACCGGCCAACACCAACGACGCTTCATTGTTTATCGCCAAGCTGTATATCGATATATTATCACCACCTGCTCTCGCTATATTGAATTGTGGTACATAGTTATTTGATAATCCATTGTTTAATGATGTCGATGCAGTTGTTGTTGTTGATGATGTAACACCATTTCCATTTGACAATGTTCCAGTTGGTGTAAATACATTAAGATCCCATAGAACAATGTGAGAATCCAAACCTGACGATGCGAAATAGTTGGCATTCGGAGCATATGCCAATGCTTTAACATAATCTTCATGTCTTCTCTCTGTTCTCAAACATTCACCACTGTTTGTATTCCATACTTTTATCGATGAATCAGATGATCCTGAAACCACTATTTGATGTTGTTATTGTTCATAATAATAAGATTAGATAATTAGATAAGATTTATATAAGATTTAGATTAGATTTAGATTAGATTTAGATTTAGAGATTTAGAGATAATTAGATAATTACATATAGATTGTTTTGGATTTATAAATATATCATTGACCCAATCGTTATGACCTTCGAAGCAATGTTTGTGTTGTACGCTATTGGTTTGATGATCTACGCTCCACAGCTTCACAGTTGAATCTCTGCCAGCCGAGTAGAGTTGACTACTCTCATTATCAAATACGAGTGAGTTGATACCAAAACAATGTTTATCGCCTCGGACATCACCAACCGAGTAACTCACTTTATATCTTGCTGGTTTACTTCTAATTGGTTTATGTAAAAGTGTATGTGAATTCATATGATCTTCACTATTATTATGTGTTAAATTACTACTATTATTATGATTTATATTACTATTAATTGTACTATTATTTATATTATTATTATTATTACTATTATTATTATTATTATTATGTAAATTGTTATTTTTTTGATTCTGATGTTGTTGTAATTGTAATTGTAATTGCTGTTGTTTATACAAATGATTATAATTACTATAGCTATTCTGGTTTGAGTTTGATGATGTATTGTTGTTTGCTGAGTTTGGTATTTGTACAGCAGAAGATTGACCGTTACTTTGTTGTTGCTGCTGTTGTTGTTGTTGTAGTAATTTTGCTTGTTTAAGTTGTTTATACTTTTCGGGACTTGGTGAATAATGTAACATCTTATAAAAAAATAAAATAAAATTAAGAATAGAAAACAAACAAATGTATATAAAACTATATATTATATAACTAGGTTAAAGAATTGAAAATAGAAAGCTAGAGATAGATTGATAGATAGATAGATATTAATATTAATTGCAGAACATCAAATTAGAGATCTATACAACTGGAGTAAACATAGTTATCAACTTGGTTTGATTCTAGAGAAAAAAAAAAATTAACATTTTCAAAAAAATTAATTGTATTTTTAAAAAATTGAATTTTTCTTTCTTTGACTCAACACTGCTTACATCTAATCGCTAGGATTGCATCAAGCAGTCCAGGTTAACTATGTTTACTTAAGTTACTCTCATCAAATACTCATTATATAAGAATAATTAAACAGTTGGTATTATAATTATAATCTGAGTTTAAAAAGAATAAAAAAATATAATATTATTATAATTAGTTATAATAAGTCATTAAAGATAACTTAACTTTTCAAATTTAAAAATTAAATTTTAATTTAAAATATTTGATGTGATGATCATGTTTTGATTTGATTTGTTTTGAATTTAATTAATTTTATTTATTCTATAGTAATTTATTAATTGTTTTGTGTGTATATATATATAATATAATGCCAAAGAAAATATTATCAGATTCAGAGGATGATGAGATTGATACTAGTACTAGTATCAAAAGAAATACTAGTTCTAGAGCTAGTACTTCTTCAAAGGTGAAACCAAAGGCAGCTGTCTATTCAGATTCAGAGTTGACAGACGACGGATCGTCTTCATCGAGTAGCTACGAGACCGATAAGAAGAGTAGAAGTAGCACGCCATCTGTTTCATCATCTTCAAACACACCGTCGAGTCAAGAGGATTCCGACAATGAAGTAGAGGTAGAGGTGGAAGATGTGGTAGAAGAAGATGAAGAATCAGAACCACCCAAAAAGAAAGTAAAACAAATACATAACACAACTACATCATCATCAAAAAATAATAATAATAGTACACCAAGTAAATCAAAACCATTAAGTTCAAGAAGACAACCTACAACATCAACAACTAAAAATACCACCAAAAAGTCAAGTAAAACAAACAACAATAATAATAAGATGTCAGATGATGATGATGATGATAATGATAATGATAATAATGATAATGATAATGATGATGATGAAGATCAAGATGTAGATGTAGATATTCTAAGTAATGATGAAACACCAACAACAAAGAAGAAACAACAACAACCATCGACACCTATATCCGGTAGATTCAAAAAGGGTGGAGGTAGTAACAAGAAGGTTTCACCACAAAAGACAGGCTCTACAGCATCACCAGTGCCAATACAAAATCTAGTACATCCTTTCAAGAATCCATCGTTTGAATTCTCAGTGATCGACAACAAAAAGAAACAAACATGGAAACCCATCAAACAAATATTGGCCAATGAACAATATAATCTATTACCTGCCAATTTTCCAACTTGTAAGTTCATCGCCATCATCAATCATCAATCATCATCATCCCCCTAACATAGACAAAAACATTATATTAACAATCATTCTTTATCTAGATGTAAATATTCAAGTTTCACCATCATTAATACCACCAAAGAAATATTGTGATATAACAGGTTTTGTTGTAAGTTATAAATATATATTATTCATATTCTATTCTTTAAGGAAAAAAAAAAAAAAACCAAAAGTACTAATACATCAATTATATATATATTATAGGCAAACTATACAGACCCAAAGTCAACTTTGAGATATTGTAATTCTTCAGTTTATTCACAAATCGAAAAGTATCCCGATAATGTAAAGCAGTCTTATATAGCACTAAGAAAGATGTTGAGATGATAATAATAATAATAAATAATGGATTGGAGGTTGGTTGTTACATTTACAATTTATCGACTATAATGATGTTGCTGTGTTTGTTGTTGTTGTGGTGGTGGTGGTGGTGGTTGTTGGTAGTAATGATGATGATGTTGATGTTGATATCCATCCCTGTTGTTATGATAAGAATCATATGGTGGTTGTTGTTGTCTATTGTCGTGTTGTGGTGGTTGTTTTTGTTGCCATGTATTATAATTATAATCAGAGTGGTGATATTGTTGTTGCCATGAGTTATAATGTGATTGTTGATGTTGTTGTTGTTGTTGTTGTTGTGACCAACCATTGTTGTTTCTCTGATTGTTATAATAATCATTCCAAGACTGACGATTATTATCTTCAACTGTTGCAGCAGCAACAACAGGTTTCTTCACTGGCGAAGTAATAGTATTATTATCATCACTTTCCTTTGCTTGTTGAGATGCTGGTAATGATGATGTTGATGTTGATGGTTGTTGTTTTTGTTGCCAATTATTATGTTCTTCCCATCTCTTTCGCTCTTCCCATTGCTCCCAACGCTTACGCTCTTCCCATTCACGATATTCTTCTCGCTTCCTATGCTCCTCCCATTCCTCCCAACGTCTACGCTCCTCCCATTTCCTGTATTCCTCTGAACGGTTGTCATGATGCCATGTCGAACTCTCTTGAGGTCCAGGCTGCCAGCTATCTGCAACGGCGCTATCACTCTTCCAGCTGTCTCTACTACTATCGTACGATGCTCGAGATTGCGAGTGAGATGGTTGTTGTGAGTGTGATGCTTGATATTGTTGCCATTGATTATATTCTGCTGTCCTTCTCTCATCCCAACGATTATGATTATCATAATCATTGTATCTGCTATGTTCCTGTGGTGGTGGTGGTGGTGGTGGTGGTTGTTTGTGATAGTTGGTAGCAGCGGCAGTAGCATTAGTAGTCTGTTCATTTGGATATACTGGAGCTCTATTATTATCATATACAGGTTCTCTAATTGGAGAATGTTGTGTTTCTCTTGCCTGTGAGTGCGGTCTTTCTCTTGATTGTGAAACTCTTGATTGTGAAAGTCGCGATTGAGATTGTCTTTCTTTTTTGACGATTGGCGGACTTTCATCGCCTGAATTGTCCCAGTTATTACAACCATAGTCACCGCTGTCGTAGGAAGAAGATCTCGAAAGACTGGGTCGTGCTTTTCCAGAGGATGTTGTTGATGCTCCCTGATTGCTCTTCTTGTCCCTGAGAGGTTCGGTCTTGATGAGAAGGAGTCCGATGAGCGATCTCTCAAAGATCGAATCGTCTTTGAATGGCATACCTTTCAGCTTGTGTTGAAGCACACTGAGCAGTGACTTTGTCGGGTTGGGAACGATAAACAGCTCGTCGGCAAACGGTTCGCCAGGAGCGTGTGTCTTTATCGGGGTATGGTTAACGAGTACTTGCTTCTGAGCCATCAGAGTCTTGTAGATGGTGTCATAGGTCGACTTGGTAGCTTCGGTTGGCAACAACAAGAAGCTGGCACGCACTCTCGAGCTGGAGTTCTTGTCGATGTCTTCGATGAACGACGCGAAACTGCCGAAATGTAGGAACGAGCGGAAGACAAACTCGCGCGGGAAATTGTCGATCGTCTCCTTGAAAGAGGTGGCGCCATTGATGTAGTAGAAGCCGCTGTTAAAGTATTCTTTGTTGTTGGCGGACTTGTTGCAGTTCAAACGGATGTTCTCGATGACCGGCGTTGGCAAAGCTGGTGACTTGTCGCCGGGACTGTTGTTGTTGTTGTTGTTGTTGTTGTCTTTGGCGGGTGGGATTGGTGGCGAGTAAACATTGTCGAAACTGTTCTCGTGATCGGTCCACGAGAAGTTTTCATACTCTGCATCATCGTAGATATTGTAGCTAATGGAAATCTCATTGGAGCGGTCCAGTTTCGGTGGAGCATCTGAGGAAGCAGCGGGACCAAGTGAGACACTCGGATTGAGATCCTCGTTGATCTTCACCTTCTCAAGCATGATATCACCTTTCTTTGTCTTTTTCATGTAGACCGCATTGTCCTCCGGTAGAACGATGCTTGTGATCGACTTTTTGATGATGTCTTCACGCAGACTCTGTAGTTCCTTTGGAGCCAACTCCTCTGGCGACTTGAACACCAACTCGATCACCGAGATCTCATAACACAAAACTATTGCACGTAGTTCATTATTGTGAATGAGATTGTAACTCAGACTTCTCGCTCTATTCTTATAGTCTTGTGGGAACGACACATGCAGCTGATCTTCAATCTTCCTCGCCAATTCATTGATCTCCTTGGGATCTTCGGTGACCAATCTCGTTTTCGGTATGAAAAGTGGTAGTTCCAATGGAGGTATTGGTAGCAACACCAGTTTTGGAATGGGTGGAGTTGGAGGAGAAGGTGGTGTTTGTGCTGGTGATGGTGGTAATGGAGTTACATGTATTTGTTGTTGTTGTTGTTGTTGTTCATGGGTAGTAATTTGTTGAGTTTCCATTGGTTGTGGTTGTGTTTGTGTTTGTGTTTGTGTTGGTGTTGGTGGTTGTATTTGTGTTTGTTCTTGTTGTGGTGGATAAGATGATTGTAAATCCATTGATGTTGGGAATGGAGATATTGATGCACCAAAGATATGGTCAGTAGTGATTTGAAACTCGGTTGGCAACATCTCCTGAATGGAGGAACTCAATGACATGTTATCATCAGAGAAGTACTTTTGTCCCATAATATTCAAAATGGCTTCGTTGATCGTTGGAATATTTGAGATATCATGATTGAACCTGACTTCAGAATCAATTTGATTGGTATATGGCCAACCCATGGAATGTGGTTCAGTGATTTGTTGTAAATCTGAATTCTGTTGCTGTTGTTGTTGTTGATCTGGTTGTTGTTGAATTACACTACCAACAGCAATTGCAGATGTTGGTTGTTGATATGATTCTTCAGTTTGTGAAGGTGGTTGTGGTGTTTCTTGTAGTGGCTGAGGATGTTGTTGTTGTTGAAGTGAAATTGGTTGTGACTGTAATGGTGGAGTTATATCCATTGGCATAACGTCATTTGATACCAGTTGTTGCTGTTGCTGTTGTTGTTGTTGTTGTTGTTGTTGTTGTTGTTGTTGTTGTTGTTGTTGTTGTTGTTGTTGTTGTTGTTGTTGTTCAGGAGGAATTAGAGTAGGAGCACTACTTGGAATTGGTGATAAATGAGGTGATATCACCGGTGTTGTATTTGTTTGTTGATTGATATTATTATTGTTATCGTTTGGAGTAGGACAATCTGGAATGTGAGAAGTTTGTTGTTGTAAATCTGAATTCTGTTGTTGTTGTTCTGGTTGTTCTGGTTGTTCTAGTTGTTCTGGTTGTTCTAGTTGTTCTGGTTGTTGTTGTTGTTGTTGTGGCTGTACATTAGTGGTTGTTGTTTGTGTTTGCATGGTTTGAGAACTAGTCTGCAGACTGGCAATCAATTCCTCGTGTTCTCTTATCAAATGTTCATTGTGTTTATCGATGCTTTGCTTTAGCTTTTCATGATTTTCTTTCTTCTCGTTGATATCCGCTAAATACACCTGATATTCGGCATCAATCTTTTCCTGTTGCCTTGCATTAAACTCTTTAATAAACTCTTTATCTAAAGTAGTAAACAATTGTATTAATAATCAATTATTACTCTTCAATCTCTATTGTATTAATATATTTCAGTTTCAAACACTTACTAAAAGGTTTAGATAAGGAATTGGAAAATAAAAGTCTAACACGATCTCTATTGTCTAAACTATTTGGCAAATTGGAAACACTTGATTTAAGTGGTGGACTATTGCTATTGCTATTGTTATTGCTGTTATTATTACTATTGTTATTATTGTTACTATTGTTATTGTTATTGTTATTATTATTACTATTAGATTGAACACTACCTGCATTTCCACTTGATACATTATCATCGTTATGGTTGTTGTTGTTATTATTATTATTTACATTTAAGTTCTCACTTGATTTGTTGATTTGACTACCACTACTACTACTCTTTGATAGTTTAGCACGCTCCTCTCTTTCTTGTTCGATTGCTTTCTTCCTCGCATTGGAATCCTCTTTGATATTCTTGAGTAGTGATAGCTGCTTCATGATCTCCTCTGACGATTTCTTTGGTGCGTGTTTGGCGCTTCTGTCACGTGGCTTGAAAACGTCGGTCGGGGTCGGTATGATTTCTGGCTGAGTGAATGGCCACTTTCTCTTGTAGGTCGACGGTGTATTGCCATTATTATTGGTTGGAGTGGTTTCACCAACCTTCTGAGGTGGTGTCTTCATCTCATTCAAAATATCATTCAAATTATTTGAGGATGAAGAAGAAGAAGATGAACTTGATGATGATGAACTAGATGACTTTGTCCTATTAAGTTTCAATGCTATATTAACACTTCTATTCTTATCTTTATCCTTAACCTTATTCTTATCTTTGTTGTTGATACTGCTGCTGCTGTTGTTGCTGTTGCTGTTGTTATGGTTTTTGTTGTTTGTCATGGTTGGAGTTGCTTTCTTTGGAGTTGTGTTGTTAACACTTGTTGATATTCTTTTTTGTATTGTTTTTGTTAGTTATTCCACTTTTAGCTTTTTTCTTCTTGAAATCTCCATCACTTTCACTGTCACTGTCACTGTCGCTATCACTATCACTATCGCTGTCACTTTCAGAGTAATCTGAACCACTGATATCACTATAACTACTGTCGCCATCGCTGTAACTATCGTCGCTACTACTGAATATTCTTCTCTTGACAGGCAACTTCTTGGGTGTTGGATAGTTGGTTATCGTTCTCTTGCTGGCTGCAGCAGGTGATTTCGATGTTTTGTCTTTCGGATGCTTCAGCTGAATATCGCTGTTGCTGTTGTTGCTGTTGCTCTTTGTAGGTGTCCTTGGGTAGTCGCCAAGTGTCTTCTTCGCCTTGGGTGGTGTCTTTAGCACGTTGTTGTTGTTGTCATCAACGATTGCCTTCTGCTTCTTTGGTGTTCTCGACATGTTATCCAACCCACTTCCGTCTGGCGCCGCTCTCTTTGTAGGTGTTGTTATTGACGTTGTTGACTTTGTTATGTTATTCAATCCACTTCCTGTATATTCTATACTCTTTATATTATCTAAATTGTCTGTTATTGCTTCTGATGTTAGAATACATAGATATGGTTGTTGTTGTTGTTGTTGTTGTTGTTAACTACTTACTTGCTAAATTCCTATAGTATGCTTTCTGCACTGAATTCTCTTTAAAATCCTCGATGAAGATGGTGATGTGACTGACGTATGAGCAATGTGGACATACGAATGCGTCGAGAAGTTGCGATTGCTCTCTGGTGAGGTCGACACAGGGACCGTGAAACCAAATGCCACAACGCTCACAGCACAACATGAATCCATACTCTGGTCGTCTGCAATAGCAGTGAAGTTCATCTGTTGTTTCCTCTTGTGACGATAATGGTGTAGTTGTTGTTGTTGTTGTTGCTACTGCTGGTGCTAATGCTAATGCTGATAATGGTACACTACCACTACCACTGCTACCACTTACACTAGATTGTAAATGTTTAAAATAAAGCAAATTGAAATAGCTATTATTTTGTACTCTATCTTTCATTCCATTACCACTGCCACTGCCACTGCTACCAAAGTGGTGATCAAAATGATAGTTATCATGTTCATTATCTACAGGTACAATACTACGACATTGATTCTGAGTGTAAGAAGACAGAGCATCACCATTATTCATCTTCATTTCATTGTCATTATCTTTGCCTTTATCTTTGCTTTTATGTTTATCTTTGTGTTTATCTTTATCGCCATTAGAGCTATTATAATCTATTGTATTGTAACTATGATTATAATTGTAATTGTCATTGTTATTATCTGAATATGAAGATGTTGAAGTGGTAGTCGTAGTTGTCGTTGTTGGTTTCGTTGACATCTATAATATATTAATCGATCAAGAATGAATAAAAATAATCATATAAGATCAAAAACAATATTAGTATTAGTATATCATATCATTTAATCATTCATTTTATGTTAACAATTGTTAAATTGTCATCATCATAATCATCATTATCGCCATCATCATTATCATCATTGTACTATCATACTAACATTATTATTATCTTCGAATATTGAAGTCATTAAGGTTTTAATTAAATATTATATAAAAATATTCATATAAGTAGAATGTTACTACTACCAATGCAAACACTCATATTAATTTCTTTAAAGAATAATTGGTTAAAATATTACTAAAATATTGGTGGTGGTGACCTTCACTGCTCTGATTAATGACATATGTATTTTTTTGCCAAAAAATCCAACTTCAAAAAAATTTATCTTTATTTTTCACTTACTAAAATTGGACAAAGAAATCATCAATTAAAATATTTCTAAAAATAGTTGAAAAAAAAAATTTCTTTAGAAAATTGACAAGAAATGTAGTGAAGTTCATTGTTTGTTGTTCGAGTTAGAATAGAATAACAAACTTTTAATGAAAGCTAATGGAAAAGTGAGATAATATTGATTTATATCTTTTACCACATACCAGTTTCTCAAAGCATCTCTTGAGTTACCGTGCTCGCGAGAAATCTGTTTACGTTCCCGCAGTACCAAAATGTCAAATTTACAAGTATCACTTTTTTGAAAGAAATTTGACTCCTGAGAGAGATTTGGTTTCAAAATCATTATCTTTTTATATTTATTTATTTTGGTAGTTTCTTTAATTCATGAAGTAACCATATGGCAACGGAAAGAAGTGTGAGAGAACCAGCTTGATGAGTGGCTGCCAACGGCGTTGGAACAAAGGTCAGTAATGTAGAGATTCCCAGGATGACTTGAGCAGTTCCGACTGCGGCCAGAGTGTTGGCGGCAGCACGTGCGCGTGGACTGAGTCCGCGACGACCACGATAGGCAAGTGCAGTCAGTCCCAAGATCGATGCGTAGGTGACGGTCGCCAGCACACGATGTTGGAATTGCACGGTGACATCGTGCTCAAACATGTTCTTGTAGGCGGGCTTGATGCGCGGATTGATCAGATCCTCTGGCACCCACTGGCCACCCATCAACGGGAACTCATTGTAGATCAAACCGGCATCCAAACCGGCAACGAAAGCACCGGACATTGCAGTGATGAAAATCAGTGCCGCAACGGGTGTAGCGAATCTTCCGACTTTGCGCGCCAGTTGCTGGCTGGCTGCAGGCGCCGACGCCAACTGCGACTTGACCAGTGCCGAAAGCTTCGGAGACACCAAATCCAGACCGATCCAGAGCAGCGATGAGTAAATAACGAAAGCGGAACCCAAGTGTGCTGCCAGACGGTATTGGCTGACACGCGGAACCTCGCCAACAATCAGCTTCTCGTCGAGTCCCGACTTGACCATGTACCATCCCAACGCACCTTGAGCACCACCTAACAAGAAGATGGCAGTCAATTTCTTTCCCAAAGATCGATCGATATATCCCTTCTTCAAGTAATATACGAATGGGAAGAAGAAAACGACACCAATCAATCTACCCATCAATCTATGTGAATATTCCCAAAAGAATATCTTTTTAAATTCTTCAACTGTCATTCCTTTATTTAACCTATAGTTATTGTGTTTTTTATAAACATGTTTTTGTTAGAATATATTGTTTGTTGTTGTTGTTGTTGTTGTTGTTGTTGTTGTTGTTGTTGTTGTTGTTGTTGTTGTTGTTGTTGTTCTGGTTGTTGTTGTTAGAATAAAGATTATTAGTTTCGACTTACTTTTGATATTCAGGATATTGTTTATATCTATTGAATTCTTCTTCCCATTCCTCTTGAGATAAAGGTGGAATTGCACCAACGATTGGTTTCCACTCGACCATTGATAGACCGGATTCAGTGAGTCTTGTGATACCACCAACGACAACCATTGCACCTGTCAATGCAGCTGAAAACAATAACCATCTACCAACTCTTTTTCTACCTATTTCTTCTTTATCTGTTTGTTCATTATTATTCGATTCTTCATTTACTTTTTCTTGATTATTCTTCTCTTGTTGATTAACATTCTCTTGTTGATTACTTGAATAATATCTCTTATTATTGTTATATCTATTACTTATAATATTATTATTAAATAATCTATTTATATTTGAAGAATTCTTACTATTATTATTTATATTTAAAAATGTATTATTATTATTATTAATATTACTAAATGATTGTAATCTATTCTTTGATTGATCTTTAAATTTGATTGAAGATGCTAATGACGATGATGATGTTACAGTCGATGTTGATAATGTAGTGAAAGATGCTCTACTAATTGCATTATTACTACTACTACTACTACATGTCGATCTCACTTTTTGTAATACATTAATATTTATATTTGACTTATATAAAGATAACATTTTATATTATCAGATATCTATCTGATCAAAGTCAGGTGGTCAGTAATTGTAATTGTTTATACTGAAAAATCAATCACACACAACCACAAATCTTATTCTGGAATCACTGGTGATCATCATTTTTAGTTTTTATAAAATTTTTATTTACAATTATGAGTAATCATTAGTTGTCACAAAGACAAAGCTGGTTGACGATGATGTTTATAAATATCTTTATTGTATTGATTGTATTGATTGATTATGATTATTATTATTATGATAATGAAATTAAGAAATCATACCATAAAGAAATGATTACTATTCGCAGTGGGAAGTAGAGTAGTCTACCTATCATACCTTCGTAGGTACTCTTTCGGTAGAGTTTGATCAGTTTGTTGGGGAATGAGAGGAGTGTGTTCTCGTCGAAACTCGATACTCTGTCGATGATTGTTAGCTGTAGTTGATTGAATGCAAATGTGAATGCTTGTATCTGTGTCTGTAGGAGAACCAATCGTTGTGTGAATAGCACTGCTACCGTAGATGCCAGTGTAACGGGTAGCAGAGGTGATCGATAAACTAGATACTGCAATATATACACTAGGAATTGCTTACGATCGGAAACACTACCGCTGCTGTAGATCATCGCATGATTGGTATACTGGCGCTGCTGATAGTTAAACAACAGACAATAGACACTGGCATACAACAAGTAGAAACAAACATTGCTCAGTGCTTGCAGCAGATACTTTTGCAACACCGGTGTCGTAAGTGCTGGATAGCTTCTATACAACGATGGCGGTATCACTGTTCCATATACCTCTTCAATTGATTTTTCATAGAGATTGACACGATATATTATATTCGATTGTTTAAGATGATCATTACCTTTCTTGTTAATAATATTACTAGTATTGTTGTTGTTGTCGTTGTTATGATGATAATAATTCTTATTATTATATTGTTGTTGTTCATTTAATTGATATACAATCTTTAGTTGTTGTGAATGAAAATCTATGTAGGTAGATGAGATGGCGATGATTACTATGGCAAGTAGGAGCTTGATGTTGAATAGCGATAGTTGAACGTTGTATTCGTAACGTTGGCGACTCTCGATCGAACTAAAGATAAAGTCGGTGCCGAGCAGTATGTAGACCACCGATACCAATGCAACATTAGAGAGCAGCTCCACTAGGAAACCCCGAGCGAATATCGACCAACCAAACTCATCGATAAAGCATTCCTCTACGACACGCCGACGTTTGTCTACGACCGTCGCCGACTGTAATCTCCACAGGTACGAATGATATCGTTTAAGTATCGGGTAGATCTGTCTACGTAGTCGCCATAACTCTATAGGATAGACTGTGAATGAACTTATCAAAACTGAAACCAAAAGTGATAATATACTATAAAACAATTGTTGTTGTTCCATTATTATTACATTGTATATTAAATTTTTGAAAAAAAAAAAAAACAAAAAAAAAAAAGGTGGAATGGAGTGGAATGAAGCCGGAATGGAATGGAATGAAGAATATTTGGATTGTTTGTTTCCACTTAACTTTTACAACTACAAATGATGTTATGTATGGTTATAAAATATTTATTTTATATTAATGCTTTTTTTGATTGGAGTTTATTATTGTTATTATTTTCTTTTAGATTATCTGGTAAATCTTTTAAATCATATGATTTGAAATTGAAATGTTTTAACTTCATTCGACCATCCGCTGCTTTGGTGGTATCTAAAAGATACTCTTGTATACCACAGTTATGAACATTCTCCAGCGCCAACACACCTTTCTCATCGAGATGTTGGAATAGACTTCTAAATAGTTTGTAAGGAACCTGATGTGTAACCACCAATACATTCCTACCGGCATAGTCTCTAGATAGTTTCTCCAAAAAAGAATGTACTCTTTCTTCAACTAATGAAAATAACAATTCGATGATCGATCATTTGTTGTTAGAATAAAATAACAAGATTTCTATTTACTTATCTATCTATCTACTTACCATCACAATAGTTCTCACCTGATGGCATCTTATACCAGTATTTACCTTCACGCATACGCGTCTGGTATTCGCGCGGGAACGTCTGCTTGATAGCCTCTTCGGTCAGGCCGTGGAAATTGCCAAATTCCTTTTCGCGCAACCAATTGCTGGTGTATCGCTTCAGTTTGTATGGCAGTTGATTGATGATTTCCTCGGCGGTGTCGATCGCACGGATATAAGGTGAACTGAAACAAATGTCGAATTTGGCGGTCGTCGCTAGATAGCGGCCTGTCTGCTGACTTTGCCATCGTCCTAGCGCCGTAAGTTTTATGTCGGCATCTCTGACACTCGATGTCAAGAGAATATCGATATCCTCTTTATTCGGTAGATCGAGCTGTGCGTTCTGTTCCGACTGACCGTGTCTAACGATCACCAGTCTGGTTGGCCACTTTGGTTTCACCTTTGTACCGCCATTGATATAGGGCATTGACAACGTACGATTGAGACCTACTGGTTTGAAACTATCGATATTGCAAGTCATGAGTGGCAGTTGACTATCTTCGTGTACTCTCGAACTAGATGGTGTCTTTATCAAGCCTGTCATTATCTTTGTCTTTAATCTCTTAATGACAGGTGTAGAATCGAAATGTTGATTCGTAACATTATTACTATTATTATTACTACTATTAACATTAACATCATTCAAATTAAAAGTACTATTATATGCTCTTTTCAAAGGTGTTTCACCAAATTCTAATTTAGGTGTTGATGAAATACTATTATTATTACTATTATTACTATTATTACTATTATTACTATTATTACTATTATTACTATTATTACTATTATTACTATTATTATTGTTGTTATTATCAATATTGTTATTGCTGTTGTTGTTGTTTTTTGTTGTCGAAGTGGTTGTTGTTATTGCATTTTGTACGGTTTCTTCTTTAAATTCACTTAGAAGATGTACATCTGTTATTAATATTGGTTCAATCGGTGAGTTATCATCGTTTGTTGGCATATTCTCTATTTTGTGTAGAACTGATTCCGTAGATGGATGTACTCTTCCCAGTAGCAAGAACTTATTGTCAAGAGCATCCGCAGAATCCAGCGAAAATATTAACTGATTGTACCTTCCCAAACCAAAAAGACCTCTCTTATTAAACCTTGATTTACTCTCTTTAAGTAGCTTCTTGAATTCACGATCTAAATGAACACTACCACCACCAGCCTTCTCTTTATCATCTGTAATCTCCAATTGTTCATCGATATCATCCTGATCGAGGTCATCGTTAAAGAAGTAAGATGAATTTTCAATGAATGTATTGGTTTTTGTAAATAATGATGGTACTGTAGTTGTAGTAGTAGTAGTTGTTATTGTATTATTATTATTATTATTATTATTATTATTATTATTGTTATTATTATTATTATTTAAACTAAATCTACCGGTTTGAATGAATAGACTTTTTATTATTCTATGTATGAGAGTGTCGTTGTATCTATGAAGATTAAGTTGTTCTAAGAATCTATTGACGATGCCTGGAGATTGATCATTGAATAACTCAATTACAATTCCTCCGACTGTTGTTACTAATAATACATATTGATTAGTGGTGGTACCATTAACTTCACTAATTAATTGATCTTCTTTATTATTACTATTACTTTTAAGATTATTATTCATTTAAAAAACACTCAATTAATAACTTGGTGTATGAAAATACAGATAATGAAATCAAATACTTAAAAAAATCATTATCTTTTTTTAAAAAAAAAATTGAGCCATTTTTCTGAGAATTTTTTAAAATGAATTCAGAGTTATCTTGTGATAAAAGTAAGGTATTTTAAAAGTTATCGTTCTTAAGAAATTTCATTCATGGTTGTTTTGAGAGAAAATAGATATATAGTAAATCAAATCTATTGATATTTATTAAAACAATTCCAGATTTACCATGAATATTATTGCTACAACTATTGTATCTCCTCGTTTGAACGAGCACAAAATTTTTGGATACTTGAAAATTAGATCTATTTTTCTCTGAATCTTGCAAACTTTCGAAATCAAAATATCTGCTTTATAACATTTTTTTGTTTTTTTTTTCAAAAACAAGAATAATAATATATATTTTTTTAATTTTTTAAAATCTTTCTTTGAGTATTTGTCATAATAAACAAAAAAAAGACAATCTTATCAAATTATTATATTTTTACAAAGGTCATAATACCTATTAAGTGGGTGAATGTTTTCATTCTACTCATTCTAATGGGTGTTGTCGTGGAGTCGCAATTAATCACTGATCATAGTCCACTAGTTGGTTATAAATACGGTAAAACTTATTTCACCATCTACGGAACTGGTTTCAGCCTTGAAGACATGAGGAGACCCGAACTATACCTTGGTTCTACAAAACAATCTCTGTTGAAATCAGATTTGCTCGATGATGGCGTAACTTTTAAGTTTGTCTTTTTTCTTTGGAATCCAAAAGGTAAAGATAGCTATAGTATTAGTCTTCGACAGGATGGAAATATTATTTTTAGTGGTTTTATTTTTAATTTCATATGTAAGTTTTAAAATAAATTTATTAAAGAATTAAAATAAACATTTATTAATTTAAAAATAGCACCAATTGTTGATAGTATTACACCAGAATTCTATTACCCAAGAGGTTTCGAAACTAAGATCCTTACGATAACAGGTAAGAATCTGTTGTTGGAAGATGATGATGAAATTAATGTAAACTTTGTTGATGTTGACGAGCGTTTCCCCCTGAAAGTGATAAGTGCTTCTCGCACGGAGATCCAATGTTACATTCCAAACTACCGAGAAGACAAAAACAAAGTTTTCAATGTTTTCATATATCCTGAAGGACTGTCGCAAGGTGTACAAGCTTTGTATTTCAGTTATGAAGTGCCTTCATTATTCAGAGTTAGACCATCAAGAAGTATATCAAATAGCAATCAAATAACTATTTTTGGAAAATCGTTTGTTGATGATCGTAATAACTTTATTATCATAATTGGTGGTCAGATATGCCCAGTACAAAAGATTACACCAAATTGGGTAATCTGTCAATTCACACATACCGATCCAATTCCAGATGGTCAAAATGAATTGGATTTACCAATCATTGCTGTTATTGATGGTCAATCTGTTAAAGGAATTCTTAGCTTTGTTATTTATCGTATGTACTATTTGTCAGGAATTCAAAGAATCTCAAAATTTTAATAATCTTTTTTTTTTTCAGGACCTATCGTTTCAAGCATTTATCCATTGATAGCTTACAGTAATACCAAGTTTCAGATTTCGATAAATGGAAGATATCTTGGTGAATCGGATTTTGCTTCATTTGGAAATGTTGGTTGTCAAGCTACACAAAGAAGTGATACCCAATTAATTTGTATTTTCGATACAACTGGTACCAATATCATTGGTTCATATCCTTTGGAACTAAATATTGGTGGAAATCAAATTTCCTTTGATGATAAGATTTTTACTTTTATTGGAAAGCCAACTATTATAGATATTCAACCCAAAGAGATCTATAGAGACGGTGTTTGGTATTTAAATATTCAAACAGAACATTTACCAGATTTCACCGATGTTTTATTAAATGGACAACATATAGATTCGAAATTAGTATCTTACAATCTTTTAAAGATTGAATTGAATATTGAAAAATTAGGCTTACCAATAGGAGATCATACTATAGAATTATATTCCAGTCTTGACGGTTCAATTCTATCCCCACCAATGATTTTCTCAGTGGTAGATCCCATCATCACAATGACTCCAACGGTTGGATATGTTTACTCTGAAACCGAAATCGAAGTAGAATACAGTAATCTGCCATTTGATCTTTTTTCAAATGATCATATGACCATCAGGATTAAAGATACTAAAGTCGATTCAAAATCAATCAGAATTATCGATAAAAAGAAATTCTCATTTTTGGTTCCACCAAAATTAGATGGTCCTGCAACCGTCGAAATATCGATTCTTTTTCATTCTTACCATGAATTTTTAACTATTCTTCAATTCACATATTATGAACCAACTTTCACTTTATTCGAGCAAGATGATGAAAACTTTGCAATTTCAGGTCTGCACTTGGATTTTATAACATCGATTCAAATAGGAACAGAATATCTTTTAGATATGTCAACATGTTCTATTTTTTCCGAAGATCGTATTCTTTGTGATATTCCATATTTTTTCATTGGATCATATCCAGTTACTTTATTCGTCACCGACAGTTTCTCTATAGATCATGAATATCAAGAGTATTTCATCAAAATCCAAGGTCCGGTCGTTTCAAAAATAAAACCGAACAGAGGTTTAAATCGAATTCAACAAACAATAATGATATATGGTAGTGAATTTTCAAATGATCCAAACCAAGTCCAAGTCATTGTTGGTGATGTTGAATGTCATTCCGTTCAGATTCTGGATAATGGAAATACAATCTCATGTATTCTTCCAGAATTGAAAAACGTTGGAATATTCAATGTTTTCGTTATAGTGGATGGTATCAAATCTGATGCCAATATAGAGTACAAGTCTGACTTGGTTTCATGTCTTGGACAACGGCCAACTTATGGTGTGACCAATGAAGTTGTTGATTGGTGGTTTATCTATAAAATTGCCAAAAGTGAAACCGAATCCTATTTATATATTGACTCAACAATGGATCAATTGAAACTATTTGACAATCTTCAACATCTCAAACCTTTCGACCAAATGCCACTCAGTCCATTGGAATCAACTGTTATGCAACCTGCAACCTATCATATCTATTACAATGATCAAATTGGAGGTAGAGATGATTGGGGAGGAAGAATAGAGAAAAAAGCAAATGATGGTACTATAGACGACAGATACGGTCATAGTAAAGGAATTTCACTTTGGGATGAGGTTGATGGTCAAGTCTTTGGAATTCATATTCAACATTCAAATCCAATATTTCCATCATACGAAGATAAAGGTGATGGTATGAAATTTAACACACCATATGAAGGTATTAAGTTTCTTGGAAAGAATGTTTTCAGTCAACATTTCTTTTGTTACAACACTGATAATATGGAGCAAGTTGCAGAGTATATGGTAAAGAACTCTGTAAAGGTTTTTTCTTCAAATGTGTTTAAGGATATAGTCAAATCACCTCGAATGGAGAATTATAAATATATGTATAATTTGATCAAAAAAGATTCATCATGGTCGAAAATTTATAGGGATGCTTGTGAGAAAAATATTAGAAATGGAAACGACAATCTTGACAATATCTGCTATTGGAATTCAGAATTCACAACAATTGGAAACGATTTGAAAATGAAATATTTTATGAAAATTGGAAATAATTACTATCGAGAAGATGGTCTATTCGAAAACCCAACCAGATCAAAGTATATCTTGAAGAAACGGACCGGACTTGAGAAGTTTAATAATGTATATCACGATGGAGTTGACTTATGGATGGTAGTAGCAGATCATTTCAAAAAGAAGATGTTTGTTCAAATGTCTTGTTCCAATGTGTTTACGAAAGACGATCAATATAAAATTATGCAAATGAGACCAACTGAACAAGTTATCAATGTTGCACATTTGGAACTTCCTCAATATCTTTCACCAAAGTCAAAATATGGAAAATATATCACTAATAGATTTGCCTCAGCTTTTTATGAACATTCAAAATTAGGATTTCCAGTTTATCCAACATATTCAACTGAGGTGCAAAATGATAATGGTATATATTACTTAATAGAATTATAGTTAAACATTATAAAATTTTAATTAATTATATTAAATAGAGGACAACTATTTCTGTGTTGGTGATAGCAATCGTCATAATGGACAAGGTCAAAGAGCAGGTGGTATCATTTGTTTCTATCATCCTACTCTTGTTTATCAATTCAATAGAATGGTTCGAAAATATGATACATATAATTTATTAGGTGAAGGAGAACGAATTACATTGATGACATCGTATGTAAATCCTTTTATAGAATAAGATAAGAATTAAATATTAACGATATCAAAATATTTAGAAAGGACTCTATCGGTTTATTCTTTACAATGCAGCAACCAGTTCTATTTTTTAGAGTGGACCAACATCCTTTGATCAGTTTGGAAATTAAAGATTATATCAATGATCAATACTTTTCGAAATATCCAAAGCAGAATCTTTATCTCGATAAGATACCTCCAAAGGGGTATTGTGATATTATTCTTGAACTCCAAGTTCTAAGAACAAGTAAGGAAAATGTTGCACCAAAAGAGGAGCAATCAATTAGTTCAGTTCAACCTAATACGTTTCCAGAACAAAAACAACAAGATATCAAAGACTATGTTGCAAATGATATCTATTCAGTTCATTACATTGCTTTCGATGAAAAAGTTGGATCAATTTGTGATTTTAGAGATGATCTCATTCAATGTTCAAAAGAGAATGCTCGAGTTACACCCATTACGAAACCCCAAACACAAGTATCATATCCACCCTTGGTAAATGATCAAAAAACTTGGGATCTTCAATATTCTTTACCTCTCGAGAACAAAAAATTCGTGCTTGAAAATAATGATGATTTCAGATTGATACGTTTCACTTCAAAATTCATGACAATGTTTGAGAATCCAAAAAGAAATTTCTATCAATTTGTTTTCGCTCCATCACTCTCCAACCACTTCAATCCACCAACCATATACAGAAGCGAACTCCAAAGTTGTTACGAAGAAGAAATCGCATATTTTATGACACTTCATTATATCTATTATCAAGCAAATGTTCAAAATCAAATTTCATTTTCAATTGGAACCAATGAACCAAATTGGGCTAATGGTGTAATCTTTGCAATTTCAAAGAAATTATTCAATGTAAATATTAATTAATTATTATGAAAAATTCCAATTTTAAGACTAATTTATTTATTTATTAATTTAGAATTTTAGAAAGTCAGATACATCTTTAATTAATTCATGTTTTACTGTTGTTCCTGGATTTTCAGACATTAGTAATAAAGGGTACTTATATTTTCTTTTAAAACAATCTTAATATCAAACTAATTTTTAATATTAAATCAAAAAGTGATGTAGATATGGATGATTCTGTATTTAAGACAAACGCAAGAGCAGCTTGGGCTATGATGTGTCAAGACAACAATTATGCCAATTCTGGAAGAACTTCAAATGATATTATTCCACCGTCAGTGTTACTAAATGCAATGATAAAGATGACAAAAATGAAATCTCAATCAATCGATTCATTATCATCATTATATTGGATCATTCCAAGTCAATATAGAACAATCTATAATTTCAAGATCTGTCTCGAAAAGAATAGATTAGAAACAAGGATGATTGATGATACTGAGCTTGGTCTTTTGAATCTGATGAAATTGAAATCATTCGATCGATCAAATTCGTTGTTATCATCGAATAATCAAAATTCAATAAGCTCAATATCAAAGGATGAATCAGAAAGCAAGAGTGGTGTCCAACAATTGATTTCCACAAATCTATTGAATTCAAGTGATATTACTTCTTTAAGTATTTATCAAACAATGAAACTTGAATTATCATTTGATAAATGGATTTCAATCAATGGTCAAAGTCAAGCAATTCAAACTCTCATCGTAGATCCTTTCCACCAATATCATAATCAACCAATTAAATTCATTGAAGAATTGAATTATTATCAACCTGGAAACAATATTAAACTTCAATTACAATCAGTTGGAACAACTGGAACAAGAATTACTCTTTCATCACCACTTTCAATTGTTTCAATCACTTTTATTCTAGAAAGTCTTTTGAAGACAACCAGTAAAACCAGTTTTGGAGATTTCGAAGTTTTCTATCATCCAAAACCAGTCGATTACATTGGATATATTACAAATGATTTTGATGGAATGATAATTTCAACAATCAATTCTCAATTATGTGATATCCAAATGATTAATCAACAAGATTATCAATCAAATAGATTTGATTCGATTTGTTCAGGTGTTGGTCCAATCATCACATCAGTAAATCAATTAACAGGTCCGACCAATGGTGGATATAAAATAACTATCAATGGAATTAGATTCAATTCTTCAATGATTGTTTCGATTGGAGAGAAGCCCTGTCATAACAATGAATTGCTATCAACACAACAATTAGTTTGTCAAGTACCAAATGGAGTTGGAAGTAATCATGAAATTATCATATCAACACAACAAACAATCTTCAACATTCAAAGATCGAAATTTATATTCTCTTATCAACCACCAATAATCACAGGAATCCAACCAAAGATTTTAAATTGTCATGGAAATGATAATTTAACGATTTCTGGTTCAAACTTTGGAATGGATGCAATGAATTTACAAGTTTTAATCGATGAAACTCTGTTTTGTCAACCGATTATCAGTGTTGATTCTGAATCAATTGTATGCTTGACACCATCTGCTATTGGAGACTATCGATCGATTACAGTCTTTGTCGATGATCAAAGATCGATTTTTAATATCGATACAGTCCAGCAACAATCATTCAATTTCGATGGTCCAAAGATTATGGGATTCCTTCCACCATTTGGAGATCCAAATGATAAGATCTTAATATTTGGTAATGGTTTTGGAAATGAAGAAGATTCAGACCTCCCACCACTTGTTTATATTGGTGATAATCAAGTTCAAATCAACAATTATACAAATGGTAGAATCGAATTCCAATTAGAATTTGAATCATCTAATCAATCATTGATCGTTCAATCAGGTGATCAATCAACGATATCCGAATTCCATTTTAATCCAGCCAGTTCAGATAATCTATTAATCTCAAATTTCAAAACTACAGGAGGATTAATTGGAATTAATGGATCTGGATTCGGATTATTCTATGATGATGGAATCGAAATTCATATAAACTCGATTGTCATACCATGTAGTTCATTCAATGAATTCATAGAATGCTTTATCCCACCTGGAATCGGAAAGAATCTATCATTGTCAGTTGTTGCGCTATCCTATCAACCTGAAATCTTAGAAAACTACACAATCTCCTACTTTAAACCACAGATTACATCTGTTAAATACAAAGATTCGATCATCCAGATCTTTGGATCGAATTTTGTTCCTGTTGATCTCGGTGTATCGTATAACCCATCAGACTCTTTTATCAAATTGGTTTATAATGATCGCAATGTAATATGCACAACATTCCGAAACAGTAAGCTCGCCGAGTGTGAAATCGGTAACATTGACAATGAGGATCCGATCACCATAGAAATCATGGTTGGTGGTCAACTCTCAAACATCTATTCATTCCATTAATAAAATTATTTGAAACTTCCAATAAATAAATAAAACTTTGAATAAGATTTCCTTTTTTGTTTAATATGTAGTATGTTTACTTTTATTTCTTTAAAAATTTGAAATGATCGTGTAAAAAATAATTCAAAATTCTTGTAAAAAAAATTGTTTTTCACCCCTCACCCAGTAACAGGATATTAATTAGATCAATTTAAATATGATAAATAATTTTTGTTATCGATATCGTTAAAGCATTAACAATTTCATTAATTAAATTTATTTATAGTTTTTTATTTATATCTAACTTTTAACTATAGACATGTCAGATAAGACAGGTTCATTTTTTTCATTTTATAAGTTATGTAAAGAATTGGAGAATGAGAGTTCACACACCGGTAAATCAAAGATCGTAGCTTTGTTTGTAGATAAATTCGAGTAAGTTTACTAGAAAGTAAACTATTGGGGTATTCAAAACAATCAATATCTAATTAGTTATAATTTATTTGTGTAGTGGCGATTTATACTTGTTGGCAAAGCTGTTGTTGGTTAAAGAAGATAAAAGAGTATTTAGAATCAAAGATAAACAAATGGTAAAGATCTTGGCTGAAGTCTGGAATGAAGATCTAGATGAAATGATTGCCGATCTTGATAAAGGTGATGTAACAGAGACTGCATATAAGGTAAATTAATGATAAACCATAGTTGTTGTTAAAATAAACATAATATTAATAGATTATTTATAGTTTTATCAAAGACAAGAAAATATTCCAACTAAATCAACTTTGACACTGGGACAGGTCGATGAGTTCTTGGATGTTTTGACAACCATATCAAAGTTTGACGATCAAGTGAAAGCGATTTCGAAATTCCTCAAGAAGTGCACTGCTTTCGATTGGCGATTGGTTAATCGTATCATCGATTCCGATTTGAAGATAAATATGGGTGCCAAATACTTTTTGGAAGCGTTGCATCCCGAAGCGATGGATGCCTACAGAAAGGCCAACAACTTGCGTGCGGTCATCGATACTATAAAGAGCGGTGGATTCGACAAGAAGAGTGCTGGCGATGGCTCGGCAATGAAGATGGGATCGCTCGGTATCTCGTTGAAGCTGATGACACCGATCAAACCGATGCTACCGAAAGCGTTAAAGTCAGCGGATGCCGTGATCTCTGCGTGCGGTCCGCTCTTCTATGCGGAGATCAAATACGATGGTGAGCGTATCCAGATTCACAAGCAAGGCAACGACTATTTCTGTTTCTCGAGAAACTTGAAACCGGTCCAATCGTGGAAGGTGGAGCAGGTGAAGCCATACATTCCCAAGGCAACGAAAGCCGACTCTATTATTTTGGACGGTGAGATTCTGTTGATGGATACCAAGACTTCGAAGCCGCTTCCTTTTGGAACACTCGGTATTCACAAGAAGAATGGTTTCACCGATGCAACAGTCTGTGTATTCCTGTTTGATATCTTATATCTCAATGGCAAGTCGTTGATTGATCTACCGATTTCGAAGCGTCGTGAGATTCTCGAGAGCAATGTCAATGTGGTTCAGCATCGTGTCGAGTTGTCAGAGATTACAGAGATCGCTGGAAAGGAGGATAAACCGAAATTGGTGGCACTCCTGAATCGTACTTTCAAAGAGAAGCTGGAGGGTTTGGTTATTAAGGATTCCACTAGTGTCTACGAACCGGGTTGTCGTCATTGGATCAAAGTGAAGAAGGATTATCTCGCCGGTATGGCAGACAGTGCCGATCTCCTGGCGATCGGTGGTTACTATGGAACTGGAACAAGCGGTGGTTTGGTAACGGTATTCCTGATGTGTTGCTACGACGAGGAAACAGAAACATACAAGACAGTCTGTAAGGTTAGCGGTGGTCTGGATGATGCTGCCATCGGAAAGCTTCAGCCAATCGTAAAGAATTCGATGATAAAGATTTCAAAAGATTCCACAAAGGTACCACCCTGGTTGGATATTCTCAAGGCATACACACCGGATTTCATTGTGAAGGATCCAAAAGAAGCTATGGTATTTGAAGTGGAATCGGCTGAACTCACAGGAACCAAGCATCATACCTCTGGATTTTCTATGCGTTTCCCAAGAATCGTAAAGATTCGTAAAGACAAAGATTGGGCAACATCTACTAAATTTGCAGAACTAAAGGATTTGGCAAAGGATGTTAAAATTGTACCCTATGATTCCGACGATGAAGAAATCAAACCGGCTTCAAGATCGACAACCTCTACTACAGCTACCAAAAAACAAAAGACAACAGCTACTACTTCGACCACTACCACCACCACTACCACCACTACTTCATCATCTAAATCCTCTCTATCAAGCAACAGCACAAAACTAAAGGGTAAAGTCATTTATGTCCAAGGAGATATAACTGATCCATTTAAAAATGATAAAGAGAATTGTACTGTAAGTAGGATAAAAAATATAATTTTATAATTAAAAATTTATCAACTATTAACATGTTATGTTCTTTCTTTTTAGATAATAATAAACTATACTGATAATTCAGGAAAATGGAGAAATGCAGGTGTTCCAGGAGCGATTTCAAAGAAATGGAAGAATGTTGAAGATGATTTTGTTAAATCTCCAATACCTTTGGGAGAAATTAGAACCACAAAAGTAGTACAAGGTGATAACAAAATCTATGTTTGCAATGTATCCTGTGTCAAAGCACCGGAATCAAAGGCCGACAGCCATACTTTTGAAGTCGAAGAATTTGGTGAGACTCTAACACAGGTACTCTCTATTGCCAAACACAAGGATATCAAATCGGTTCATTCAGTAAAACCAAACTACCCAGGATTGAAATGGGCAACTCTAGAAGAACTCTATGTAAAGAAGTTGTATGATAAAGCTGTCAGTGTATTTATTCATACCAGCGATGTTGGTACCACCAAAACTGGAAGTGGAAGCAAACGTAAGGCTGACAGCGAGGAAGAAGATCCATTGGCTGCAGACGAAGTAGCATTGCCATTGAGTAATATTTTCGAGGGTGTCAATGCGGTGTTTGCCAACAATTTGCCGCCTGCCAACATCAAGAAGTGGGAGAATATCATTTCTTCGTTTGGTGGACAAGTCTCAACCAGTTGGATACCAGTCGGTGCCTCGAAAACCACTCATCTCATTTGTGACGCAGCTTGTGAGCTGTCGACACATGTCGATCGTCTCGGTGGATTGGTTGTCACATCCAAGTGGATCGAAGATTGTTTCCAGAACGATGTTATCATCGATGAGAATGAATATCTCTTTTACGATCCAACCAATCCTGATTACGAAGCACCAACCAATGACTCTACCTCAACCACCAAAACAGATGATAGTAGCAAGGCAGTAACTTCGAAACCAAAGAAATTTACATTACCAGATTTCTTCTCTGGCTGTGAAATCTATCTTCACCCAACGATGCTCAATGACATTGACACACTTAAGAGATACATTATTAGTTATGGTGGCCAGATATTGGAAACCCTTTCTCCACAAGTATCACATATCATTAGTAATGAGTCGAAAAAAGAACTGTTACGTGCATTTACCAAGGAAAATAGTAAAGCAACCATTGTAAATTCATTGTGGATTTGGGATTCAATCAATAGTAAATCCCTGTTATCCACTACAGACTATTTAATTAGTAAGAAATAAAAATTGTTGTTTAATTTATATATTCTTTTATTGTCAGTTTTATTTTATTGTTTGTTAAAAAGATCATCTAATTTTCTCATTAATAATTCAATCATAATTGATTTCTAAAATAATAAAAAAACAAATAAATATATTATTGTTAGTTGGTTATTTGGAAGATGATATGATAAAATGATTTTTATAATTACCTTTGGAATTGTTAATATAGAATCAAATAATCTCTTATTAAGTGATGGTATCTCTTTTTCAAAGACATTTCTTAGTTTTGTGAGGAAATCCCTGCTCTCGTCGAAAGAGAGTACCGGAGTGGAAGTAGAGGTGATAAGTGAAGTTGGAGTTTGAATCTGAGGTCTTTGTGATTGGGAGAGTGATTGGGTGGTAATAGAGTTTGATGAAATCGGGGTGGATGGAGTGTGTTGAGTGCTTTTAAAGAAATAGTTCATTAGTTTCTGAGTTCCAGTTGGTTTCTTGTCCAAGAATATCGATTGTGGAGTTTGTTGTTGGCTCTTGTTGTTGGCATTCAAGTCACTGAGTTGGAGTGGTAGTGAACCGCTGCCATTCATCGATGGTGTACCATTCAATTGTTTAAAGGGTGTGGTGACTGGTGTCGAGGAGGTAGATGCCGAGAGTAGAGGTGGAGAATTAGGTTGAACAAGTGGGTGAGTGAATAGATAACTAACGGAATGAGTATAATAGTAGGCATGAGAGACAATAAGAACCAACAAGGTTTCAATGTTTTCCATTAATAGATCGTGTTGGAGTTGATAAAAGTTGAGTTTCTCTTTGAGCTTTTGTAATACCAATTGATTTCTTTGAGTAACATTTAAATCTTGATAATTTTCATTTTGCAATATCTATAGATGTTTAAAATAATAGTCAATATTATTATTATTACATTTGTTTACAATTTACACTTACAGATTTATATTGTAAATTTGATAATTGTTCATAATTATCTATATTTTGATTAAAGAATGTGATGACATCAATGGTTTGATAAAAGTCCACCAAACAATTGGTTAAATATTTGAGTGGTAAATCCATAGTTGTCAAAGTCGGTTGTTGTCCTTTAACAAATGATGAATTGAAACAGATTGTACCAAACTTTGATTCTGTGAGAAAAAGAATATAATACAATATTAATATTAATTGGAATTATTAAATAGCAAATTCAATTTTGAGTAGTAGTTACCTGGTAAAATTGATACTCTTCTACAATATAAAATTAGATCTCTACAAATTAAGGATACCTGATTTCTTACTTCAACTTCAAAGAGTGAACGTTTCTCTTTGAGATTGGTGTACTCGAATTTGTTCTTCATCTCTTGTTGCTCATCGTTGGCGGCATCGATATCGGAGAATGCGTTGAACTTGGTGTACTTGGTTAGCAGCGAGAGTAGAGAATAGTGAATTTTGTTTGCTTGAAGCTTGTTGCTAAGTTGGCTGGCAACGGTCTGATGCTTGGCGAGCTGAGTGTAAATGTAGACGGTCAGCTGCAGGATCTCCAGAGTGACAGTCGATGGATGTTGATGGGAATCCAACAGGATGGTCTTGAGCAAATCGCTGTGTGTGTTGGTAAAGTTGGTGATCTGGTTGTAGACATCCATACGATCGTTGGACAACAAGAACATTCCAGCGATGAGACGCAGTGCCGGTAGCAAGAGGTGCGAGAAGATCGACTCCTCGTCTTGCTCCGACGGCAGGTAGTTGAACATCTGACATTGCTGTAGACAATTGATGACGTTGTTGCTCATCAACACTCGCACACCGTCACCCTGTTGTGAGATACAGAGAAGCAACGACATCTGTGCTTCGTAGAGTCTGAGCTCCTTGATACCGACGGATTCCCAGCTGTCAGATAGATAGCTGGAACACTCGGCAATCAGAGTTCCAACCAAACCTTTATCCTCGATGTACTTGAGAATACGATTACCACGGTGAACGTCCAGCGAGAGAAGCACCTGGAGACAACTCAGAGCGGCAATCTTCCATCCACTGGCAAAGGCATTGCAATCCGCTGCCAAAATACGGATGAAACGATCCTCCACCTTTGCCAAGAGTATCAGATTGTAACGTTCGATTGACTTGGCATCTTCTGGATTCATACGAGAGTGATGCATTCCATTGATACTGGAACTTCCAGAGACTGACAAACCGAAAGGTGAATCTCTGGCTTTGGCCGCGGCATCATCGGATGCCGTCAATTGCAGATAGTTGACAATGGCAATATAAGCGATACCTCTAATTGGCTGGTATGGCGACTTCAACACGGTCTGAAGCAACGCTTCAAAGATACCTTTGATCTTGGTTTCGAGTGTCTCGCTGAAACTACTGAGTGGATAGGAATCCTTCTTGACCTTGAGAACGTAGAGCAACGAGAGGATAGTGTAACCAATGGAGACACCGCAATTCACTGGATAACGTTCGTTGGCGAAATCGACTACCAGTCGCTGTAGCATTGCGAGTGGGACTATCTCGTCGATCGACATGATAACATCGTGTTGAATCAAACTCTCGTTGACAAACAACTTCCAGGATTCGAGAGCACGCGACTTTGATCCGAGCAGCGAGATGTAGGCATTGAGTCGTGCACATGTATCCATCTCCTTGTCGATGTCGGCATTCGATTGGTAACGACCGTCCTTCTCGAGATGACGACGCAACACTGGCAGGTTAATCAGTTGGCAATCGCGAATGCTGGTGATGCACTGGCTCTCGAGGTTTGGCGAGAGTTCGAAACAGCGAGGTTTGTGCAGCTCCGGGAAGCTGAGGTCGATCGCATTGAACATCGAGAGCACCTGAATGTTTTGGTCGCTGTTGCCGAGCAAGCTGGCAAAGTAGGTCTTAATGGTGAGGTTGGAAGTGGTGTGATTGGTGACGGCCATCGTCTTGAGCAGCCACGCCAGCGATGAGATATAGGCATCCTTGGTTCTCTCCTGCGGCGACACAGCAATCTGTTGACGCAGCACCGAGATACTGTCGCGATAGTAACTCTGCTGGAGGAACGATATCATTGGTTTACTTGTCGACGGATTGCATGTCATCTTGTTGATGATCTCGTGGTAGCAGTCGTTCAAGTGTGGATAGCGAGCGACGAAATCGCGATTCGCAACCTTGCGCAGCATCACCGTCAAGCAGGTACGCGAGTTCAACTCAAAGTCGGTCGAGAGATCGTAGGTCGACGGACAACCGAGCAGGAAGTGCGCCAGTGTGTAGTTCGAGGTGTAAGCAGACTTGTCGAGACAGAACAGAATGAGCTGTGCAATCGTCCATTGAATAGAGTTCGAAGCGTACTGCTGGAACTGAACGGATTGCTGGTAGTAGCCGCCGGTAAACAGCTCTTGGTCTTGCTCGATGTACTCTAGCACCTTGACGAACCGCTCGAGAATGTCGTCGGGACAAGACACCAAGAACAACGAAGATATACGCTGAGTGTAGATCTCGAAAGAGTAGATCAAACGCAACGCTTTCAATGCTATCTCGCGGTTCTGATGATCTATCAACTTGGCAATACTGATAATAGGCGATGGTTGTAACGCAGACAAATGAGTAACAATCGACTTGGCGTCGTCCAACGAATAGACAGTATTATCCGACACAAACAACAAGATATCTAAACATCTACATAATGTATTCTGGAACAAATCATTTGAAATACTTTCTTGATTAACCTGTGGTGTATAAATAACTAAAGTTAGATTTGCTTGTTCGTCTCTATAACATGTTAATCATTACATATACATACATTTTCATTTGTAGCTGTATCAATTATATTTATAATTGTTTGAAGTGTTAGGTTGTGTGATTCTCTTGTCAACTCGATGTAGAGTGGATAGACTGGATGTTTACGATCGATGACATGGTTGATGATCGACGACTTGAAATGAGAGAGACAGAATACAAAGATGTTGAGAATGGTCAGTGTGAATTTCCACTTGTCCAAGATGTTGTTGAATGCCTTGTTGTTGAACGACGAGAACAAGTTCATGATATGCTCGAGATACACTTGCATCACACTGTCATTCGAGCGATCAAACAAGAACGGCGATCCTTGAATCAACTGATAGAACAACTCGAGAAACTGCTGAGTGAAAGGGAATTCACCGTGTTCTGAGCTTTGTGATTCCATTCTCAAACCACTTGGGAATATCTCTGATTCATTTAATAGCTTCCAAATCTAAAAGAGAAGATAACAAGTTAATATACAAACAAACAATAACTATATTATAAACAAACAATACATACATCTGGAACATAAATTGGATACTTTGCGCAAGCTGTTATCGCTTTGAGTGTAGTGGATTTCAAACCGACAGAGACTGGCGCTGTCACGTAACGGAAGAAGAGCAATAGGATCGGTGTGCTTCTGCTGAGCATCTGTGCGAGATGCGGCGAGTAGTTGATGACCTCGGTGATGAGACAGAGGAAGGCGTTGAGTGCTTCGGTGTCGGACGGCGACAACTCGGTGTTTGGCTGATTCAAACTCTCAATGTAGAATTGCATGTGTTGCAGGATCTTGTTCCATGTGAACTGTGCAGAGTCTTTGGTGAAGAAGTTGTACACCTCGATACCGTTGCACACAGTGAGTGCCGCCATCATCCTGAACGACAAAGTAATCAAAACGTTCGGTATTTGCAACCACAACGACTTTAGATATCCACAGTTCTCTGCAAACTCCCAGAACTTCTTTGAACTCTGCATTCCATTCGAGTAGATTCCGATCATCAATTGATTGAAACTATTTAAAAATGGTAGATCTAAATATCAACAATAATATTATTAATTTGAATGTTAATAAATTGTTTTGTTTTGTTTTGTTTCGTTTCGTTTTGTTTTGTTTTGTTTCGTTTACATACAATTCATCTTATCATTGATTGGGAAATATTGTATCAAAGAACAACAATATTCATCTAAAACAAAGAGGTAGAAGTTCTTTAGTGAGTTGTTCTTGAACTCTTGGAATTCGACGATTCGAGCGAGAAACTCTGCTGGGTTACGATCCTTTGGGAATGCACGTTGTGACCATTGATCGAAATCATTGGCTGATTCCTTTAACTTTAACAAATAGAAAACTGATTGTAATGTTGATTGAATTGATAAATCTAAATAATAACAATATTGTAATTGATGATGATGATTAATAATCTTTGTTCTTTCTATCTCTCTATCTATCTATCTATATATTGTCAATATTGAATAACTTACTATGTTCCCAATCCGATGTAATATCTGCTTCTACTTTAGTCAAGAATGTATTGGATGTCAATGCAGTGTTTACTGTTGGTTTATGTTCGTGTGGATTCATTAGTAATACCTTTGATTCTACAAATATAACAAAGATATTCAATAATAATGTAAATGTAATCTAAATATTTAGATATATATTGGTTAGTAAAGTAATAATAATATCTAACTAAGTATGCTTCTCTTTAATACATACTTGGAATAATGGTGAATATAATGTATTGTTTGGTTGTTGATTCGAATATAACTTTGAAACTTCTTTTAACTTTGAGATGAGAGATCTAATTGATTCTTCTTTTAATGTAAACTATAGTAGTAATAAATATGTTAGAAAACAATGATAATGATGATGTTTTAATAATAGAACATATCTATATTACTATTATTATTATTACTTACCTGGAAACTTATCAAGAATAGACAATCTACGATCTTTTGACATTCCTGTAGTCTATAGGTAGATTCCTTTTGATTGGTAGGAACAGTTATATTTCTGATCTTCTCTTCTAACAATCTTAGTAGTACAGTGACCAAACAATCGTTGTGTTGCGATAACAACTCACACATAAACATCTGTAATATATCTCTTTTGGATTTGTCGTCATCTGTATTCAAAAACTATAACAATATCAATATATTAGTAACTAATCTACATATCTACATAACTAACAATAAAAACTAACTAAACAATAATTACATTTAAAATCTCTCTTAGTGTATCTAAATAACATGATCTTGCTTGATATAGATACTCTTCACATTGATTTATCAATAAAGTTGCATCACGTGTAGATGTCTATATAAATATGTTGTTTGTTTGTTTGTTAGTTAATTGAATGATATATATATTAATTGTATATACATTACCATGTTTACAACTCTTGCCAGTGTTTGGCATGCTAGATACTCATCGATGTTCAATTTATCAGAGATTTGGAATGCAATATTGATAAAGTCATCGACAACCTCTATGATATCACCATTGAGATTGAATTGCTTTTTGATTCTTATCTCTTTGCGTTGTTGTTCACTTATCTCTTTTACGATCGGTTTCAACTGTAGGAATTTGTTGGCACTGAACAGATCGCGCTGTGCCCACAGGAACTGTGAGAGTTCATTGCTATTGATGATCGATGATCCACCACCGATTGTATTTTCATCAGAGGTTGTTGCACCTCTTAGCAATGCTAACAATCTACCTTGTGGATCTGAAAATACTTCTTCTTCCATCTTCTACTTTCTTCTCTCTTACTTCTTCTACTTTCTTCTTTCTTCTACTACTATGTTTGTTTGAACCACTATTTTACAACTTCCGCTCTTTTCTTTTCTTTTCTTTACTTTCTATAGAAATGTATATGTATGTATGTATAATTATCTAATCTATTTGATTACAATAATTTAATTTAATAGATATAAATATAGATAAGTAAGAGAGGTGTGGTGCATCAGAGTACTTGATTGATCTTCACTGAAAAAGGTGTGATCATTTGATCAACAAAAAAACCAAACACAGTAGTTCGAAAAAAAAAAATGAATAAAAAAATAAATTTAAAAAAAGTTTTCGATTTTTTTATCAACTTGGCGCCTTTTTCAATCAATTTCTTAAATTATAGAATCAATGATGATTAACAATTAATATTGTTAGATTTGATATAAGGTTAAGAAATAATAATTAATAATGGATAGTAATAATAGCAGTAGAAGTAGTAGTATTTATAGTGAATTGCTAATTGATCAGAATGATTTGGTGAATATCGGTAAAATGAAGGTCGAGGATTACCTAAACTATCAGTTGAAGTTGCAGATCGATGACATTATGAATCACATGGAGAAAAAGATTGCCGACTTGAAAGAGAATTCCATCAAGAAGAAAGAAGAAATACGTCTACAATTGAACAGTGAAATCAATAATGAATCTGCTGACCAAGAAGATGACGATGATGAAGATCTTTCCAACGATGAAAATGCTGCCAACTAACGAATCAATCAATCAACCAACCAACCAACCAATCCATTCTCACCTTTTTTTTTTTGTAAATAACCAAACCACTTCAACAAATAATTTCCTAAAAACAATAATCAATTTAATACGATCAAACTATCTACAATTAATACCAAACCAACCTTTACCTTTAAAAGATGCACACTTCACATTTTAAAATCATAATGTGATTATTATAATACTATAATATTATTAATAATAATAATAAAAAAAGACGTCACAATTCATTTAAGTGATCTCTGATATCAGATATAATATAAATATATTTATGATACAATTAAAAATATTCAATTATTTTTTTTATTTATTTACAAAAATTACTACTATATAACAAACACCCAATTTAATTTAATATTTATCTATGATGACATTTAAACTTTTGTGTGATTTTTGGATTCTCTCTCGTCAGTTTTGTATGCTTTCTTCTTCCTGCTCTGGTATTTACATCGAAAGGATTTATAATGTTGGAGTTTGTGATTTTTACTTCATTTTGAACTGTTTGGTCCACTAAACTACTGGAACTTATTAAACTGATCAAAACTATTGCTTTTACAACTAAAAATAAAAAATATTAATATAAAATTGGAAATATATGGTTATATTTAAATATTTTTATTTTACCTTCTTGTTTCATTGTTTTTAGGTGTAATTAAAGTGAATAAATAAAAGGTATGAAATAAATTAGTTATCTATTTTAATTATGTAAATGAAAGAAATAAATATATATCTTTTCTTTTATTTATAAGAAAAAGTTATTAAAATATTAATTTTTTAAAACTTCAATCATTAAATTGATGACTCATCTCATCAATCTCTTCCCTCAAATATCAATAAACACACAGATGTGTATATCTCTTAAAATTAAAGGTTGCAAGGTTAATAATTAATACCAAAATTTTTATTGTAAAAATATGAGAAATTGAAGTGGTTTGCTTTTTTTTTTTGATTGTTTGCAAACACTCCTAATTTTGGATAATAATAAAAGAATGACCACTACCACACTTTACAAAAGCCTTTGTTGTTGATTTTTTTTGATGGTGGTGTTGATGATGGATGTCATCGAATGGTGCTGCCGAGTCGCCACTACAGCTCTGTAGTATTTCGGTTATAGGTTTAACTAGACATGGTTGGCATTGATTCTCTCCGTCTAAGCCAGGATAGACATCTTCGCATAGACCAAGCTGGAAATGTTCGTTCCAACCAAATGAATAGAGCGATAGGTCCTCTGTTAGAACCAACAGGTGCTCGGAACCAATCGAGTAGTCTAATATCCTCGATTTGTCAAATGGGTGACTCTGCAGAGGTAGGAAACTAGTTTGTGGTTCCACTTGAAATTTACCGTTTCCAAGTTGTCCATAGTCACCGCGACCACATAAATATAAAATACCATCCACCTTATTAAATAGACAACTGTTACTCCATCCACATTGAATATTAAACTCTTTATCTATTAAAATATTATTATTACTATTCACCAATGTTGGTTTAAACCTATCTTGTGTATCACCAAGTCCTAGTTGCCCAAACTTGTTACTACCAAAAGAATAAAGTTGATTATCGCTACTCATGACGAGGGTATGCTTTGCTCCACAAGCTACTTTAGCTATACTACAAATGCCGCTACTTCTCGTCTGCTTTGTTGCCTGTGCTTCTAATAAAGTGGAGTCCGAGTCCTGCTGGGTGAATTGAATTATTTTTAACTTTGTTGGTATATCTATTTGATCTTGATTGGCGTCAAGTCCCAATTGTCCAAACTTATTACACCCCCATACAAAAAGATCTAGCTCGCTACTAACTGCAGTTGAGTGTCTCATTCCACAGGATATACTCTTAATTGCTATACCCCTTAGATGTTCAATCACTCTCGGTATCAATTGGTTAACATTTTTTACATTGTTGTTGTTTTGTTGTTTTCTTTTCAAGATTAATCTTGGTTTTTTTACAGTGGTAGTAGAAGAAGTAGAAGTAGTAGTTGGAATAGTTGTTGTTGTTGTTGTTAAATTGGATGCTAAGTTGTTTGTTGTTAATGATTTAATAGAATTGGATATAGAATTTTCAATTTCACTTGTGGAGGATGATTTACAATCTGGCAGAGTATTAATATTTGTTTTTGGTATTGGGCTACTATTTGATGTGGAAGTTGTGGAGGGGGTTGAATACCCAAGTTGCGAATGGTTATTTGAACCGAAACTATATACTAAACCATTTGCTAATTTTGATTGATATAAGTTATTAAATCAATCATTTTGAAAATCAAGTTCTATATAGTTTAATTAAAAAATAGAATATAATAAATTTTACTTACAATCTAAAATCAAGGTATGATTCCAACCTGCTGCTGCTTCCAATACCTTGTGGTCACTATTACTACTGCTATTACTACCGCTTCTACTGATATTAGCTATTGGTGGTAACAAGTCCAAGGGTGTCAGAGTATTGATGTTGTTAGATAACCCAGTGCCCAATTGTCCACAATCATTACCTCCACATACATAGAGCTGGTAAGCATTGTTGGCGTGGTGATATTGATCTAAATCTTCTTTTTCTTTTTCACTGACTTGTTGGGGTTGATCGAAAATAAATACAGTATGGTAACCACCACCAGTGATTTTCACTGAGGGAGTAGCGCAAAACAACGAACTGTTGTTGTTTTTGTTGATGATAGTTGATGTGATATTGTTTATTGTAAGTTGTTGTTTTTGTTGTTGATTTTCAATATCGATATTGACAATGTTTGATTTCTCAATGGATCGACAATCACGAGCTCTTGACAGACTGAGGTTTATTTTACTGGGTACACTCACATCCAGATCGTTTGCCAGACACAATTGTCCAGCTGATCCAGAACCCCCTATATCAAAAAAAAAAAAAACAAAACAAAAATAAATATCAAAAAAAATATAGATTTATAAATCTTGTTAGTAGTTATTAATATACTGCAGCCGACCTTTAAATAAAACATAAAAAGTTTTTTTATCGATCGCAACTCTTCTTATGGAAGTTGTATGGTTGTAGAGGTCATTAAAAGTTGGACAAAACAAAATAATATCGTTAACAAACAGGTGCAAACAACAACCACACTTAATCAGTGAATTCAAGGATTCACCCACACATAATTCAGAGATTTGTAGATTAATTAATTAAACATCTTGTCAAAATTCTGAATCGGTGATATTAAATAGTGGCCACCCCAAACGCATCTCGATAATCTATTTTAAAAGATGGTTTTGGGATTTGAAACCTTGAAAATACAGTACAATAATTATTTACAACTTACATGAATAAACTGAGAAATTTGTATTTAACATCATCCACAGTGATCTGATCAAAACAACAAAACTGTTGCAAAATTTTTACTTTAGCAAGAAATGACTGTGTTTTAATGGATTAGGGTGGACCGAAAGAAGATGAAATTTGTTTTTTTTGCAAAAACCAAAATAAATAAAAATTAAAAATTAAAAAATAGAGGACAAAAAAAAAAACTTAAAAATTTGGTGATGGGTTTTTGTTGAAGGGTTTTTTCCAACTTAATTTATGTGCAAGGGTGGTTTTTGATGCATGAATCCATCACTTTTTTTTTTTTTGTATTTTTCATTTGCAAATGATAAATTATTTTCAGAGGGTTGTTTTTTATTGGACAAACGTATTTTTAGGTTACGAGAAAGATTCGGACAAAAAATAATAAAAGTTGAGATACCAATCACATTTTATGATGCAACCACCCGCACTCTGATTATACAGATCTATGAGATGTTATGATTGTTTTGGTCTAATTCATGGTTTGATTGGTTTTGCAAATTGTGGTTTTTTTTTTGCTTTTGTTTTTGATGGATTTTGGTTTTTGCTTGATTTCAATTTTGATCAAAAAGTGATCGATGTATGAATTGAGAGTGGTCATTTTAAAGAGGTGCGCATATTGAATTTGATTGTATTTAAAAAAAAGTTTCTAAATTTAAATTTGTTTTCGAAATCAAGAAGAAAGAACATAGATCTTTATTTTTGTTTTTTTCACCTAAACAACAACAATAGTTAGTCCAATGTTGGTACAAGCCATTTTTTTTATGGTGTGGTAAAGAGAGAGACAACCAACAAAGATTAGAAGTAATACCATTTGCATCACGCATGATCTACCACAGAATCTAGAAGAAAAAACTCACATACTCAATAACAATTAAAATATTTAAAGTTCTCTTTGGGCAAATCGGTGACGTATAAAAGTAAAATACCCAAACCTATTTAGCTTTTCATATATTTAAATCCTTTTATTTTTAAAAATAATAATATTTTCTATCTCTCCTCTATCTCTTTCTTTATTTCACACACATCATTTCTTATTTAAGTTGTGTCTTACTTTCTTACTTTTCTACCTTTTCATATTTTAAATAAAATTGTTGTTGTAATAATATAATTATATATACCTGTATACTACTACTACCTATTATAATATATATTTTAAAGACATTTCATTACATTGTGTGTTTAGAAGGCTCACGATTATAAAATGTCTTCATTATACTCCAGGAATTCCCATGGAAGTAGTGGCAACAGTTCAAACTCTTCGTTCAAAAAGATTTTCAAATTCACCAAATCTTTTGAGAAGGGTGCATACTCTGTCATGTATGCCATGACCAAGAATAATACATTCCCAAAGATTCTTACAATTTTTAGTACAATCATTGAATTCATTCGTATGTATATGGCAATTAATTTAATCAAATATAATTATAATATTGTGGTTTTCTAACAATCAAACAAACTTTGTTTTTTTTTCTATTTTCTTTTTATTTGCAATTTTCAGAATTGGTATCTTTTGGTTTTAAAGCTATATTTCCATGGGGAGGAGAAACCGGTTATTGGTTAACACGTATTATTGCACCATTTTCACATCCATCGGCATTGTTCAAGTATCAGGCATACACGATTTTGTTCTGGATTGTGGTGTCGCTGATGCTCCTTGGTTTCTTGAATATGTTTTACGTTGGTTACAAGTTCTATCAAGGAAAGATCGCCAATATCCATTTCATTAGAACTCTCCGTTGGTTCGTAAGTTTCACAGTTAGTGTATTATATATACCTATAATCTCGCTGTTCCTTATTAGTCTGTATTGTGAGCGTGATCAAATCGGGCAGAGCGTACTCGCAAAGTTCATGGATCAAGATGAGAAAATCCAGTGTTTCGGTTCCACCAATTCACCGTTGGCTGCCATCTCCATCGTTCTAATCATTGCATTCAGTTTGATAGCATTCCTCACCTCACTTACATACTATGAATTCGATACAACAGTTACAGCAAGATTTGCTAAACCACATGCAAGAGTAAGTAAAGATTTAAATTAACAATCTTTCTTTTGTTTTAGAAAATTCTAATTTATTTTATTGTAATTTATTTTAGTTTGATGTAACTATATTATTAGTAAAGACAATATTCTCATTCTTCTTTACACTCCTCTACAAATATCCATGGGTACTTTCCATTACATTCTTCATTGGTATGATTTGGTTAACATTTGGTTCAATTTTCTTTTTACCATTTAATAATCAACATTTAAATCAAGTTGTAAGTATATTATTATAAATATTTATAAAAGAAAATACAATATATATTCTAATAGTTGTTTTCATTAGAAAACTGGATTATATACATCTGTTCTTTGGGTTTCAATTTTAACAATGGCAACTTTGGCATCGAATAATACAAAGTCTCCAACCACTGCCTATTTGGCATTGGTAGGTGTTATTCCAGCATTTGCTCTCGGTTACTTTGCCAATTATTTCTATTACCGTTGGTTGAATATCAAACTCGATGAGTTTTTCGAAGCCAACGGTGGAATGAATAGAAGTCGTAGTCGTTCCGATTTCGCTTCCAAGGAAAAGGATGCAATTGAACTTACTCAATCCACTGCTCAACTCACTGAGAACCGAGTGAAATTCGCAGAGAACCAATTGGGTAGCAAGAAAGAGCTTTCATTCCCCTTCTTTGAATCGCGATATGTATTCTCACACATCGTTGAGATTATGGCGCGTCGTTTGCTTGCCGACCGTGAGACCGACCAGGATTCCATCGACAGAGCCAACCTCTTCTACCAGTGCGGTCTCCAATACTTCCCACGATCGACACTCGTCTGGATGGCTTACTCTAACTTCTTGATCTCTGTGCGTAAAGACCGTCACGTCGGTTATGCATCGCTCGAGAAACTGCGTTCGCTCAACCCAAAGATGATCGATATTCGTTTCTTCATTTTCCAACGTGATCGTGACAGAGAGCAAATGATGGACTCGGAACTGCGTGGTCCCAACGCTTCAAAGATTGAAGATTTCGTTTCGTACATGGAGTTCAAGAAGCTCTATTCTGGTGCTCGTCGTTCGCACACCCAATGTCTGGAGTACATCCGTAGATTCTGGCGTCATCTCGTTCATGAAACCGTTGATCTCAGTCGTCTCTCCTCGTTGTCCGGCAAGATTGCCAACAGCGAACGTTCTGCCACTGAGCAATACGAGCGACTTCTCAGTCTTAATCCAAGCTCGGTTCGTGTGCTCCGTGACTACTCGCAGTTCCTCGATGAAGTCGTCAAGGATCGTCATATGTCGGCGCGTCTCAGTAAGCGTGCCGACCAAATCGAAGAATCCATGAGTAAGTCGCTCAGTATGGAGCACGAAGGTGGTCTCGGAGCAATCACAATCGACTCTGACCACGAAGAGAAGCTCGAGAAACTTGAGAAGGAGTCGATCGATCGTCCAAATTCAAGCTCCAAAGACGAAGACACCTCTGACACCTCGGGCTCAAGTCATCGTGCTGCCCGTCGTTACGCCGAATACCAACAATCCAACTCGATTACCAAGCTCGCCTGGCTAATCTTTGTTACCGCCCTACTCTCCCTCATTTTCCTCATTGCTTCGTTTGTTGTTCTCCGTAACCAAACACTTTCTCAGAAATACGCTTTCCAAGGAATCGTTTCTCTCGGAGAAGCTGCTGCCATCTCAGTTGAGATTGCCGGTTTCGCCAAACAAATGAAAGGTTTCACCTACACCAACGATGTTCAGGCATTCAACGATATGCAACTAGTAGCAGTCAGGTCACTCAACATCCTCGAGAATATTCATCATGCTATCTACTGGGGTGAAACTCAACCGTACAGTTTTGTTGGAGACGACATGTACGACCTGATGTCACAGAATGGCTATCATATGTATGATATTGGATCGAAGGCATTCAAGTACTCCGATTTCAACAAGACCAGACCAATTACTCCAACCGCCGAAACACTTTACAATCTCTACAATTCACCGAGTGGTAATTTCACTGTTTACATTCCTAGCGCCGCCAATTGGACCGACATGGAATACAACTTCTGGAAAGCTGGAAATCTCTTTGTTGACTATGGACGTAAGTTGTTTACTCATCCCATGAGTGCATGGTTCGCCATTGAGGACGACATTGACTACCAATTCGTTACCAACAACGGACCGACTTCAATCACCAACGAATTCTTCACCATTCAGGAGGCCTACATCACAAACATCCAGGATGTTGCACTGAATAATATCATATTGATTCTCATTCTTTGGGCAGTGGTATTTGCTGTTCTGTTGCTAATCGCTGTATTGCTCTTTAGACCGGTTGTTTCTCGTATCACCAATGAAACACTTCGCACCATGATGCTCTTCACCCTCGCACCCAGAGACATGGTAAAGAAGCTGTCTGCCAAGCGACCAAAGTTCCTCAATAACATTGACAGTTCATCAGATCGTGATTTGGAATTCTATGAATCCGGAGGTGAAGAACCAGACCATAAGGAAAAGAAAAAGAGTGCTGCTGCCGGCACTGCAGATGACCAAGTCATCGATATCGAGAAACTTCAATCAGATGAAAATCAAGAGAAAGAACACTTACTACAAGACACCCCAATCAAGATGGAAAAAAGAAATGTAAACAAGAAATCATTGAGATCGATCTTGATAAAGTTACATTATTCATACATATTTGCTTTGTTCCTACTATTTGGAATTATCACAATGTCGCTGTTTGTATCGTTTACTGAGACACTGAAGGATTCAAACGCTGGAAGCGACCTGACATTGTGTGCACAGAGATATACTGATCTTCACATGGTTATCTACTACTCATTCGACTATGTCACTATGAAGGACGAATGGTTCGCCGGATTGCTACTCAAGTACGTTGACGACCTACAAATGAAACATCAACAACTCGAATCGCTCTCCTCAACGCGAACATTGATGGAAGGTGGATACGGTTGCTACATGATTAACAAAACATTATGTAGAGCTTCCAACGATACATACTATGGCGATGTAAGTCCCGGTTTGGATTGGACAATCGAGCAATTCATTCAGAACGCCCTGGAAATCGGACATACCACCAACACTTCGTTGTTGTCCACCAACATGGAGCCGCTAGCCTGGATCAACTCCGTAGGAAACAACGAAGTACACGACGGTATGGCAAGAGCTACCTTTTTGTTCTTTGACGAGTGGCAAGATATCCAAGCGAAAGCTGTCAATAGTATCACCATTGCATTCGTCGTCGGTATGGTAGCTATCGTTGTCATCTACGTCGTCTTGTTCCGACCGTTCATCAGACGTCTCAGAGTACAACACACTCATACCCTCGGTTTGATCCGTCTAATGCCAAAGGATATCCAATCATTACAAGTCGATGATAAACTATTAGAAGATTAAAATTATGTATATCAAACTCCCAATATTTATTTTTTTATCTCAACCAAAAACAAAAACAAAACAACAACAAACATATATATATATTTATATCCTCAACAACACTACAAAAATATGTACATAGAATTAAATATTATACCGATCGTATTTAAATTATATAAATCTTTTAATAAATATAAACTATTATTTCGAAATAATTGTCAATTTTAAAATATTTAAAAAAATCCTCTTCGATACTAGTAATAACAATCAATTTTTAAAGTTTATTAAATAATAATATCAATAAATATGAATACTTTTATGACAATTCTTGATAAAAGTTAACTATCAAAACTCTTCCAAATTGTTTGTTGTTGGAGAGAATCAATTATAATAATTTTTGTGCAAGTGCACTTATTGAAGTTTCTAAACTTGTAAATCAGACTGATTGAAAAGGAGTTGGACAAACACTTTGTAAAGATAAACAACTTCACAACAATCAAGAAATAAATAGTTCATCAACCAAGTATGACCCCCAATTATATGAAAACCCAGTCATTAAAGCTAATTATCAATCAAACAATCTCTGGATTGAATTCAAAAGAAACCTTTACAAATAAATATGCAAATGAAAATATGAATCGATTGGATCTCTTTGACCGGGGGTTCATTTTGATCATTTCCAAACGATTCATTGTCTATCCACCTGCACTACAACTTTTAATTTTTACCTTTTTTTTATAAGATATTTCGGTGATTAACAAAATTACATGTTTCTCATGGTCACTTGGAAAGTAAAGAAGAATTTTCAAAATATCTCTCGAAAAAAACAAAGATTTGAAACAAATATTGTTTTGTAACTATGTTTAGATATCGTATTTTACATTTTGAAGAAATATCAACCCGGATCGATATTTTTTTTTGAGATTTTTTTAATAATCTTAGCAATATCTTTTATTAATGGTTTGATAAATGAATCGGACAGCTTTTCAACGTCATTCATTTCAATTTCAATTCAATTTCAATTTCAGAAAGTAAACAAACTTTACTTTGAAATAATTATAATAATAACAATGAATAAATCAACGTTTCTATCGGTATTTAATAATCAATCATTAAGCAAGAGAATATTCAATCAGGTTTCACTGTTGAGCGGTCAGGGTTCAAAGAGTTGGAAGTGGTGTGACGTTCTCAAACTACCACATATTCTTGCCTACTACAACTATCTCCCACTGCTAAAGCAATGTCTGGGAGCTATCTACTATCATGAGTTCATCTTTAGTGAGATCAACAAGATATTCGTTCATGCAATGGCCGGTGGTTCATTCGAAATGGTAGAGTATCTCATCGATTACTTCCAAGTGAATCCGGTTTTGCAATCCAATGGATTCTTCCTTAATGATCTACTTTGCTTTGCTGCGTCATTCGGTCGATTGGATATGGTCAAACAACTCACCGAGAAATACGATACCTACAAATGGTTCTATTTCAGTCCGATGATTGCTGCCCCAAAATCTGGAAATATGGAACTGCTACAGTATGTTGCCGCCAGAGTTGAGCCTGACGACGGAGATGACGCTGAGAGAAGTGGCAATGTCTTTAACTCTTGTGCAAGATATGAACGTATCGATATGATTGAATGGTTGGTCGCCAACAGATCAGAGGATTTGGCAGAGAGTGACATGTATTATCATGCTATACTGGGTTGCCATCCCAATGTCATTCAATATCTACTACAACATCACGCCGATCGCTTAAAGAAATATGACCATAGTCTAGTTGAGATGGCTGCTCTCAAGAATCAGTTTGATACATTGAAGATTCTCGTTCGCTTGGGATGCGCTCTTACTCCTTTGGTCATGGACAATGCAGCAAGCATTGGAAACATCGAGATGTTGGAATGGATCCATCATAACACCACCACTGGATGTTCAACTAGTGCTATGGACAGTGCAGCAAGAAACAATCATTTACAAACCGTAATATGGCTGCATGAGAATAGATTGGAAGGATGCTCTACCTTGGCTATAAATGATGCTGCTTCCAAAGGCAATCTAGAGGTAATCAAGTGGTTGAGTGAGAATAGAAGTGAGGGTTGTACAACCACTGCGATTGACAACGCCGCAGGTGCCGGTCATTTGGAAACTGTTCAATGGTTGAGTGCTAATAGAACCGAAGGATGCACTGCGCAGGCATTAGGTCAAGCTGCAATCAATTCACACTTGGAAACCGTAATGTGGTTGAGTGCCAATAGAACCGAAGAATGTCCATTAGATACTGCCACTGTCGTCGCCAAACAACCGAACGGATTTGCCGTTCTGCGATGGATTCATGAGAATAGAACGGAACGTTGTAAACCAAAGATTCTAAACAATATTGCCAAGCAAGGTTTCTTTGAAACTTTCAAATATCTTTATAATCTCGGTTTCTACAGATGCTCCACTACAAAGTTGATGGACAACGCCAGTACCTATGGAAATCTCAACATTCTGAAATGGCTCCACGAGAATACCACCGAATCATGTACGACCTCTGCCATTAATTTCGCTGCCAGAGAAGGACATCTCGATTGCGTACAGTTTCTCAATGTAAATAGAAGTGAGGGATGCACAGTCGAGGCAATGAACAACGCTATCGACGGTGGTTATTTGGAGGTCGTCAAGTATCTGAATGACAATAGAAGTGAAGGTTGCTCACCAAATTCGCTAGAGAGAGCTGCTTCACACGGACATCTTCACGTTTTGAAGTGGCTTAAACAGAATAGAAGCGAAAGATGCACACCAATGGTATACATCTACGCTGTAAAGAATGGTGATGTTGAAATGGTTAGATGGATCGCTGAGAATATCAAAGAAATCGATATTCAATCGATTGACACTTTTTCCTACATTGGTTTGATTTTCCATATGGATCACTTTGGTATGGCAAAATGGGTATTCAGCAATGTAGCTATTCCCGACGAAACACTCATCCAATACAAGAAAGATATGACCAAACTCTATCCATATGCCAAACGAACAATAGAAGTCCTAGATCAATTCTTACCGGAAACACCAGAGATTCCAAACAGTGCTTTGCCTTCAACTCGCAAGAGAGCTCTTCTTTTCAAGAACAAGAAATAAATAAACAATCTAAATTATATTTTAATATCTTTAATTAATTTATTTTTAAACATTTCTATTAATTTATTAATCTTTGGAGTATTATTTTTTTGTTTCCAGGATGTCATTGTTACAAAAAAAAGAAATAATAACACCTCTGCGTTCAATAATGGAATGTGTGACCAATTCAAATTTGGTATTTCAAGATTGCAATTTCAACAAATAAAATTATGGTCAAACTACCTCTTTAAATAACCTTGGTCTTCAAAATGTTAACATGTTGGTCAATAAAATTTACAAACTATTAATAAAAAAAAACGATTCGAATTGTACAATCTTATTTAATATATTTATCAATTTTATTTATTTTTACTGGAAGTTGATACCTTGAGATAGTGGCATTTCTGTTGAGTAGTTAATTGTACATGTACTACGTCTCATGTATTGTTTCCAGGCATCGGAACCAGATTCAATTCCATCACCAGTCTCTTTGTGACCACCGAAACCACCACCGATTTCAGCACCGTTGGTAGCTACGTTGACGTTGACGATACCACAGTCGGAACCGGTTGGACCCATCCACTTGAAGACGTTCATTTGATTGTTGGTGAAGAGTGATGAACTGAGACCTTGTGGTACTTCGTTGTTCCAGGCAAAGGCGTCGTCGAGGTTCTTGAACTTCATAATGTAGAGGATTGGTACAAACAATTCGGTCTTGACGATTGGGGCGTCGTGGTTGATCTCAACGATGGTTGGCTCAACAAAGAAACCGGCACGCTCGACCTTCTTACCACCGTAGGCGATCTTACCACCTTGCTTGACGATCTCTTCGAGACCCTCAGTGTATTCCTTGACGGCGCTGGCGGTGTGGAGTGGACCGACGAGGGTACCCTCAGCCAATGGATCTCCAATCTTGACGGTGGCGTAAGCCTTCTTCAAACGCTCGAGTACGGCATCGTAGTGGCTCTCGTGGACAAAGAGACGACGACAGGTGGTACAACGTTGACCGGTGGTACCGACAGAGGCAAAGAGAACGGCTCTCAAAGCGAGATCGACGTTGGCATCCTCGGCGACAATGATGGCGTTGTTTCCACCCAACTCGAGAATGGTACGACCAAAGTAGGAGTGAACGACCGACGAGATACGACGACCGACCTCAGTGGAACCGGTGAATGAAATCAAACCGAAACGCTTGTCTTGGATCATCTTCTCACCGACGGTACGACCTGGACCGATGATGGTGCTGCAGATGGCACCGTCGAATCCATTCTTTTCGAGGACGTCGACAACAATCTTGGTGACGGCGATGGTGATGAGCGAGGTCGATGAAGCACCCTTCCACAATTGAACGTTACCACAGATCAAAGAGATGGCAGCGTTCCAACCGAGAACGGCACATGGGAAGTTGAAGGCAGTGATAATACCGACCAAACCCAATGGATTCCAATTCTCCAACAAAACGTGTCCTGGACGTTCCGATGGCATAACTTGACCGTTGATCGAACGACTCAAACCAGTAGCGAAATCGCAGACGTCGATAAACTCTTGAACTTCACCCTTGGCTTCAACGAAAATCTTACCCATCTCCAATGAAATCAACTTGGCCAATGGTACAAGCTTGGTACGAAGAGAATCTCCAATCAATCTAACAATTTCACCTCTCTTTGGTGCTGGAGTCTAAGATAAACAAAAAAAAAAAAAAACAGTTGTTGTCGAAATAATTAATATTTTAAAATGATCAAATTAATTAATAATAATAATAAAACATACCAATGCCCACTTTGTTTTGGCAGCAGTCATAGCTTGGATGGTCTCTTCATATTCCTCAGATGTAGCCTATAAAAAAGATTGATAATAAAATATTAATAATCATATGTCAATCAAACGAACAAATAATAATAATAATAGCTATATATTTGAGAGAAACTTACACCTCTAACAGTAGCAATTACTTCACCGGTGGTTGGGTTGATGCTCTTGATGAGATCACCTTTACCTCCCCATTTACCATTGTAAAGACCAGCATTCTCTTCGGCGAGACCAAGCTCCTTCAAGAATGGATATTTATTAAAAGTCAACTCAGACATTTTCTATATATATGATTGATTTATAATTGATAATGATATATATATAATATAAAAATAAATTATATTTATATATATGATATAACAGGGTTGGTTTGGATAAAAGTAATGTTGATTTTTCAAAAACAAAAAATTAAATTATAAAAAATTGTTGTTGTTGTGTGAAAATAAATAAAAAATAATAAAAATTTAAATTAAATTATAAAAAATTGAAGTTGATGAAGATGGAATGATATAAAAACAAAAAAAAAAGAATGAAATTTCGATTTTTTTTTTTTTGAGGGGGACCAGGGTGCTAATCATTAAAAATTAAAAAGGGAAATTGAAAGTAACTTCAGTACTTTAATCCGAAAAGTGTGTTGTTTTTATATAATTTTTATGTATCATAAAAAAATGGGCAAAGAAGATAAATATGATCATTCTGAAACATCCTTCCCTTCTTTTTAAATTTTGCATTATTTTTTTGTTTGTTACTTTGTTTCTAAATTTTATTACCATATATATATATAAATATTATTTGTTTATTATATTTTATAAAGAAGAAAGTTGATTTCAATTTCTATCGAAAAACCAACAAACCAAAAATAGGGTTTTTTGTTTAATTAACATGTTCTAAAATGGAATAAATCATTTAAAAAGTTGAGATATTACCATAATTAGTAATTAGGATATATATGAAGTTGTTTTGTTTTTGTTTCTATTTTTTTTGTTGTTTTTATTTTTTATTTCTTTTTTTGTTTTTATTATTTTTTTTTTCTGTTTTTATTTTAGTTTTTTATTTTATGTTGTGACTAACTCTTATCTGTTCCAATCGGTAGTATATATCTAGAAAAGATGGTCTCTTTTCAGGTGATTGCTCCCAACATTCCAATATCAACGATTTAAATACATCCGGACAACTCTCAGGTATTTCCAATCGACTGCCAGATTTTAGTAGATCCTTTACAAAATGTGGATCCATTCCATTGAAAGGAATTGAATTTGTAATCAATTCCCAAAGAATAGTGCCAAAAGAAAATCTATTAAATTAAAAAGATCATTCAGTTAATTATTGTTGTTTGTTAGTTTTTGATTTGTTTGGAACCAAATTTGGTGGTTAACTTACACATCACTTTTCTCTGTGAATGGTTTACAATTTAAAATTTCAGGAGCTGCGTAGTAGGCGTAGGTCAATCGGTCTTTGTCGATTCCATTGTCTTTTTTCTTGCATGATGCCATTCCGAAATCACAGATCTTTATCTTGAGAGCATTGGTCACCAGCAGGTTCTTTGATTTGAGGTCGGTGTGGTAGATGGGTGGCTCGTAGTTGGAGAGATGATAACACCCGAGTGCCACACCCATGGCAAACGTTAGGATCAGTTTCAAGTCGATCTTGACCAAGCCTTTCGTTCCCTCGCGGTGCAGCAAGTCGTAGAGTGATCCGCGCGGCAGATACTCAGTGACGATGTAGCAGTATTGGCCGTGAGTACAGGCACCGTAGTAGCGTAGCAGATTCTCGTGTGGCTTCAGCTTGCTCAGTATTCCGACTTCACGACGGAAGTCTTCGAGTGACTTGTAACTCTGGAGTTCCAGCTGTTTGATGGCCACTTCATTGCGTCGCCAATAGCCGTGATACACCTTACTGAAACCTCCTTGGCCAATGAGTTCACCGATCTCCAGCTCCTTGAAATCGATCTCCCATTCATACCGTATTCTGGGTGGTGAATTCTTTAGTGTATTCGATACTCTAAGACTTTTATTAGGTGTTGAATTACCACTACCATCCAAAATAATATTATCATTACTATTATTTATTTTATTATTATTATTTTCATTATTATTATTATTATTATTATTATTATTATTATTATTATTATTACTACTATTTTCATTATTATTATCATTGTTATTATTATTATTGTTTATTGTAATGTTACCAAATAAATTAACAAAACTTTCTTCCATATTTCTTCTTGGATTTCCAGAGATTGGAATTTGCTGGAAATCGAATGATTCTTCGTTTAGAATATCGATATCCAGTTTATCGCAATCCGGATGTTTAATATGATAGCGTATTGCTTTCAATCCAAGATGATAGAATGAAGGTAATGGATTACCATCTACTCCAATTTCTCTTATTGATCTAAATAGTTAAAAGACAAGAGTTAATAACAAACCAATTATATTTCTACTGCTTTAACTATTATTACTACCTACCTGCATTTTAAAAAACTTGTTGGTAATGATGAGATTTGATTATTATACATTTGTAGATCTGTCAGTTTCGTTAGGAATCCAATGTCACCGGGTAGCTGGGTGATGTTGTTGTTGGAGATGTCCAGCTTCTTCAGACTGGAGAGGAAGCAAATGGAGTCGGGCATTGTTTCGATGTGATTGGACGAGATGTTGAGCTCGATCAGCGATGAAAGATGGTGAATGGTGTAGGGTATCGATTTCAGTCGGTTGTTGCTCATTGTGAATTTCGAGAGACGTCCCAGTGAGATCAGCAGTTTCTCGGGAATCGCCGCGATTTGATTGTAGTCCATCGAGACACTGTGAAGCTTGGCCAGGTCCTTGATGTCTGGCATCTCGGCGAGTTGATTCCTGGCGATGTTGAAAACCTTGAGATTCGCAAGCGTGGCGACACCGCTGATCCGCTCGATCTGGTTGTGCGAGAGGTCCAGCGTCTGAAGCTGGCCGAGCGTCTCCAGCGACGCCGAGCTGACGGCGCGCAGCTGGTTGTTATCGAGTAGCAGTTTCCTCAGGGATTTCAGTCGGTGTGTAGCAGGGAACTCTGCGAGTTCGTTGTTGCAGAGGTAGAGTTCGCGCAGTGATCGGAGCGAGCCGATCTCGCTGCACAGCGACCTGATGTTGTTGTGTGAAAGATCCAGAATGGTCAGGTTGTGTAGTGTGTTGATGGTCGGTGGAATCGACTCGATCGCATTGTTAAAGAGAATCAACTGGTTCAGGTGTCGCAGATTCTCTAGCTGCTCGGGTAGCGCACTGATCATGTTGTGCGATAGATCCATTATCTTGAATTGATTGTTTGGTGGTGTCGTAGGGAATTCAGTCAGTCCGGATTCACTCTGATCGAATTCGTTGTCCACCATATTGGAGAGAGGTTCAAACCAGAGTACTGGATTCACTGATCTTTGATGATGATTGTGAGGACTTGAAGATGTAATCGGTACAGCTGATGATGATGATGCCGATGATTGTTCATATGCATGATGATGATGTTGTTGTTGATGATTATCATGCCCTCCACTCCCTCCACCTCCTCTTTGTTGTTGTTGTTGTTTATGATGATGGCTACTACTACTACTTCCATGACTACCAACTATTGCTGTTGGGGTAATATGGTTCGTGTTGTTACTTCCTATACTTCCTATATTACTACCATGAAAATTTAGTTGATTCTTGAAACTATTACTGTTATGGTTGTTGATGTTTATACTGTTGGATTTGAAAGAGGAAGAAGCTGATGATTCATGTGATGGTGATTTCAGACCGTTTTCCTGTGTTTGGAAATAGTGGTCAATGTTTTCGAGATCGTTTTCATCTAGACCCGATTGAACTGAATCGATATCAGACCGATCCGAATCGTTATCTATGAAACTGGTATTATGCTGATTTCCACCGAAAAATGAAAATTGTGAAAATGATTGTCCATCCAATGAATCTAAATCGATTTGTTGTTGTTGTTGATGCTGATGTTGTACTTGATATAGTTGATTATTATGATGTTGTTGATTATGATGATGATGATGATGATGTTGATCATTATTTTGATTCAAACTATGATTATAGTGATTATTATTATCATTGTTGTCATTATCATTGTCATTGATATTGCTAGTGTTAGCGTTTGGATCTATATAACCAACACTAACTATATTACTACTTCTACTGATCGAACTATTTATATGACTAATATTATCTAGTGCTTGATTATTGTTATTGTTATTATTGTTATTGTTATTGTTATTGTTAATATTATTATTGTTGTTGTTGTTGTTTTCATCAGAATTTGTATCTATATATCCTATAGATATATTCATCATTTATAAAGATATAAATTATTTCATTAATGTGTTTTTCAAAGTAATGAAATCAAAATGAAAAAAAAAAAAAAACGTTAGAATCAATCGAATGATTGATTAGTTGGGGTTTTTTTTTTTGCAGAATATTATTTTTTTATATATAATCATTATCATAATAATGCTTTAAGTTGTTATTCTTTGATTAATTCCCTCCTTTTTTTTTTTTTAGAACAACCAAGTACTCTTTGTTTTCGTAGATATGAATGACTTAAAGGTAAATCAACACAGATTAATTACTTAATTCAAATCATTATATTAGAACAGTTACTTAAAATCAATTTAATAGCTTAAATTATAATCTCCTGCCTCAGAAGATATCAACGAACACGGTACCACACTTAATGGAGTTGAGTCAAACTTAAGTATAAACAAATACATACACGAAAACATAATGTACTCTTCTCATTTATTATCGCTCAGAAAGTAATGATTTTAGATCTAAACAACAAACTCTGATTCTTTACGATCGATTGTCTTGTCCAATTGGAAGTTTAAGAATGTTAACTCTTGAAAAGATAAACTTATTAATAATAATAATAACAGTAATAAATAAAAAATACAACAAAACAAAGGACGACATTGCAACAACATGTTTAATGCAAATCAGTTTGTTTTGTTTTTTTTTTTTTTTTTTTAATTTAATATTATGTGTAATGTGATTGATTTTGTATTTTATTATTTTCCATTGTTGTTTGGACTTTTGATGGAGGAAATGGATGAAAGAGATGAACCTGAATTTAGTGAGCTTGGTGATGTTGGCATTGAAGTGGAAGTTGTCGATGTGCTTGTGTTTGGTTGGTTGTTTGTTATACTTAAAAGGCTGTTACTATTACTATTATATGAGTTGTTGTTGATGTTGTTGTTGCTGCTGCTGATGCTGACAGATTTCTTTAGAATGGAATCCCACTCGGATTTCGATGTGATATACTCGTGGCGGAGTTGGTTGAGTGCTTTGATGATTTCCTCGCACGACGGTCTCTGCGATGGCTCTTGATGTACACATTGTTTATATAGTTGGACGAGACCGGCCGGACAGCTCGCTGGCAGTGTCGGACGGAGACCCTCCTTGGAGTTCAACATGATTTGAAAGTCCATCTTGATGTGAGGATACTCTGTGTAGGGACGCGAGTACTCGCCGTTGATGACGCGAATCAACAGCTCCCAAAACACAATGCCTATACTGTAGATGTCGGATTTCGTTGTATAGGGCGAGCCGGTGCCGTTGGCAACCTCGGGCGAGCAGTACGCGAATGTTCCACGAATCTTGGAGAGTGTCTCTAAATTGTCGGCAGTGTTGAAACGCGATAAACCAAAGTCACTGACCTTGCACTCCCAGTCTTCGTTGACGAGGAGATTCAGCGACTTGAAGTCACGATGCACGATCTGCGGCGACCAGTTGTGGAGACACTGCACGCCGAGTGTCATCTGCATGGTGAACTGGAAGAAACGGTCCCATCCGATATCGTATTTCTTGGTGTTCATCACGTGGTAGAGCGAGTCGCGACTGCAGTACTCCATGACCATGCACAGCTTCGGCTCCAAGCTGGCGCCATAGAAGGTGACCATGTAGGGCGAGCGAATCGATGCCATAATCTGAAACTCCTTCTTGAACTCCTCGAGTTGCGACTGTGTGGTGATCGCCTTGAGCACTTTGACGGCGACCTCCTTGCCCTTGTAGATTCCCTTGTAGACCTTTCCGCTGGAACCCGAGCCCAGCTTGAGAGTGTACTCCAGCTCCGAGTGGTGAATGACATAGTTTGTGTTGCTACTGATGTCGGCCAAGCTCGACAACGTCTCTTTGAGCTCGTCCGAGGAGATCGAGCTCGACGACTCCATACTGCTCACCGAGTTTGGTGTATTCGACTTCAACGACTCCATTGAAAACTTCTTGGCACCAGTGTGGTCGTTACTACTCATGCTGTTGATACCGCTCGTCTCTGTGGTCGGCACTTGATCCTTTAATAATCTACAATTCTTTATAATCTTCAAACGATGTCCACTGAACGTAATCTTTAGCGAGTCGAGCGTCTTCTCATCGACATCCGGTAACAAATCCATAAAGATCTCTTCCTTCACAAAGTTTAACCAATATTGTTCTAATTCTATTGATCTTAACCAATTATAAACATCTATAAAAAAAAAAAAAAAGAAATAATAAAGAAATGAAAAAAACAAAACCAAACCATTGTTAATAAATAAATAGCTAAAAAACAAAACAACAAACATGTTCTCTTTCTTTTTGCTTACCTTGAACATTCTTTAAAAAATTGATTACTTTTACATTTCCACCTTGAAGAGATAGTTCATAACATGTTTTCTTTTCATTTCCTTTCACTGTGATATCTGCACCTGCTTTTACCAATACTGACACCAAATCCTCACGACCAAGTCTTACTGCAAAATGAAGAGGACTCTCACCTCTTGAATTAAGTACATTAACTTCTGCGCCAGCCTAAAAATAATTATTATGTTATTATTGATAATTAGTTATTAATAAATAGATAATAATGATAATAATAATAATAATAATTGCTGTTGATGTACAGTTTAATATTTACCTCTAATAAAAAGTTTACCATTAATAAACGAACGGAATTATTGAAAATTGATTTGTGAAGTGGAGTTTCACCATTCTTGTTTTGAAGATTTACATTGACACCTTTCTTTATAAAAAGTTGGAAAGGTTCTTGACAGTTCGGCGACTTGAACTTTTGGCAAAAGTAGTGCAATGGTGAATTCCTATCGTCGTTTGTTAGATTTACATTGATGCCTTCGAAATGCAACAGTAACATTAAAATCTGATCATCACAGTAACTTGCTGCTACATGCAATGGTGTATATCCATTTTTATCTTGTTGATTAATATCCATCCTATATTTATTTTTAAATGAATGAATAATTGATCATTTTTTTAAATTTATTTAGTGGTTAGTATAATGAATAGATTGTTCAGATAGATCAAATATACACATATGACATGTATTGATGATGAATGACTATGATTATAATGATGATGATAACTCACTTATTTGTTTGATAGAAATAAAGTATATCTTTTACTATGTCAAAAGAACCTTGTCTGAGAGCGGCACACAATGGTGTTTGGTCCATGTTGTCGAAACCGGCCAACTCTAACTTTGCCTTTCTAGCCTGTGATAGCCTCTGTTTGACCTTGGCAAGGTCTTTCAGGGCGATCGCCTGATGTAATTTATTGACTGGTTTGTTCATGAATGAAGGTGTTGTTGGTAGAGAAGTTGACGATCTTCTTGTTATTATTTCGTTCATCCAAGACTTCTTCTCTACAGAAGATGTCATTCCCTAAAAAATACTACTATTTATTATTTATTATATATTTATATATTATTATTATTTATTGTTTCAAAAATAAAAACAAAACAAAACAAAATTATTTTTTTAATTTTATTCAAAAAAAAAAAAATAATAATGATTGATTATGATGATATTAATATTATTGATGTTATTATTATTACTATTTATTTATTACTACTTCTACTTCTACTACTACTCAAACTACACACTAAATATACTATACTATATATACTATAAAAAAATTCTATAAAAAAAAGAATATAAAAAAGAAAAATATAAATATAAAAAATTATAATACAAAATATAAAATTATTTGTTTTTTTTTGTTTTTAGTTGTTGTTGTTGTTATTGTTTGTGATTGATTGATTGATTGATTATGATTATGATTACTACTAAACTAATGTGATGTTGTGCTGTGTTTGCTTGCTGTCAATTGTATTACTACTTTAATTGATATTTTGTTTTTTTTGATTTTGATTTTCTACAATTCTATTATTATTATTTTAATTAATAAGTAATCATTTATTTAGAGGTGAACATATCTTAATGCAATGTTGTCTAAATAAACTATACTTTACTAGCTAAATAAAAAATAATCTATATTTGTTGTTATTATTTAAGAAAAAAGCTAGTTGATAACATTAATCATATTTTCCAGTATTAAAAAAAAAAAAAAACATAAAAAAAAACAAAACAAAAAAAAAACAAAAACAAAACACACAAAAATTTTATCTTTTACTTTTGCTTTTTTTTTATATTATCAAAGTAAGTGTGGTGTTGTATTATTTTATTAAGTATCAAAGTAGCAAGTTGTAGCTATGTAAAATTTATAAATAAAATAAATAAATAAAATAAAATAAATATCAAGTACTTATATATAATATGATGAAACTAAACACTTCTTGTTTTAAATTATTTTTTTTGTGATTCTCAAAAAAGAATTATTTATTTTTTTAATTGTTTTTTTTATGTTTTTTTTTTTTTGATTTTTTTTTTTTTTTTGATTTCATTCATAAGGGGGAAAGTGTTGTTTTTTCCTCAAAGGTGTGGGGAAGTTCTGTATTGTTATTATTACAGTTGTTGTCTTTGTTTGTTGGTGGTAAATCAAATTGTGGAATGACGAAAATTTTTGCTACTACTATTAATATTACTATCACTTTACTTTGTTAAGCAAAGCTTAATCAAACACTCCTAAACCATACATACATTTTGTTTCATCAAAGTGTGGTTTTATGAGTGGTGTGAGCGTTGGTTAGAGTGTGTGATTATTGAATAGGTAAAGAGGGAATTTCATCTGCCTTTGGCTTTGCCTCAATCCAATGTATCTCACAAACAAACAAACAAACAAACCAACATAATAAAATAATGAGCAAAAAAAAATAAATGTATGAATTTTCATTTGCACCACACATAACATAAATAACAAAGATATTTTATGAATAAAATATACAACATCATCATCATCATCATAATAATTTAAGTTAACCGAATGAGCAATAAATCAACAATAATAGTTAACTGTATCAGAATTAGTTTAAAATTGATCTATTTATATTAAATAGTGGTGTTATAATTATGACCGATGATTATTATTACTATTTTTATTACTATTGTTATTATTAATTTTATTTCTATTGTTTGTTGTTATATTTTTGTTGATAGTTGGTATGGTGATTCCACTTTCTTGTGTTATTAAGTTAATTAACTAAAATGGTGTATGTGATATTTTTATTTTTATTTTTATTTTTTTCCAACGACAACTAAAGATGTTATATTAGTGGTGGTGATTTCATTGTGCTCATAAATGTTGTTGATGTTGTTGTATTAAAACAACAAATTTTGGTTTACAGTGATATAAACAAAAAATGAAACAAAGTGATGGTTTGATCTACGACCAACTGTAACTAAGCATATTAATTCGCTGTTGTGTCAGATAACAAAAAATAGAAAATATCTTAGTTTTTTAAAACTACTAATAATTTGTTTTTTCTTTCTTTCTAATTGTATAAGTAGTAAGTTTGTTGATTAGAATACCAATGGAGATAGATCCAAGACAAATCGAGATAAAATGAGATCTCATTTTGCCCAAAAAAGACATTAATAAAATTGGATTGAGCATTGGGGAAAAGAAGTTTGATCAAACTTCATTTAATTACTAGAGATTCAATAGGAGTAGTATATAAAATCTGGATTAGTCGATAAATTAATTAAGAGATAACTGAAGGGATTTTCTTTTTTCTGAATTTTTATTATGTATTAGCTATTTTTTTATTTATTTACAATAAATATTTTTTTTTTTTCCAATTTAAATAATTGTTGGGATCAAACTAAATAAATTTTAATATTATTACCCACCAAAATAAATATTTATTTTTAAATTTTTATAAATAAAATTTATATGATCTTAAAATATCATTTTATATTTATCGGATTATTATTTAGTTTTGATGTCTGATGTATGCTGGGATAAATAAGTAGTTTTAAAATTTTAATAAATTTGATGATTGTCTCTAAAAATCTGATTAAAAAAATTGACCCACATTACAATTCAAAATAATATCACAAATTGTTGATCCGTGGTTTTTTTATAAAAAGTTGGAGGTTTTTTTAGTCCAAATTATTGGTGGGTTTTATTTTTAATACCAAACAGTTTGATCAAAACCCAATTTATTTAATAAAAATGTCGACATCCCATAGAATTTACAGATTTTTTGATCATGGTCCAATTTGATCAAATTTACCAACCAGTAAAACACCTTTAATTTTTTTATATAAATACTGTAGGACCAACGACACAGAGTGTAAAATAATAATAATCTATATATAAATAATTTGTAAATTGTAAATAATAATAATGAAATATTTATTTGTAATTTGTTTGACAATCTTATATTGTTTGTCAATTGTAAATGGATACGGTGAGGAGTCTGCTAATTCACCTGGACATCCAAATTGGGGTGAGAGAGAATCACATGCTTTATTAAATGCATTAAGAATTTGTAAGTTTTAGATCTTTTCTTTGAACTATTAATTATTTGTACTAATTTAAATTATATCTAGATCCAAGAGGATATGTTAGAAGTTTTTTCGAACCATATAAGGGTAAAGATATTGGACCAAATGTTTTGGGAAGTAAATATCCATCGCAGTCACCTCTCTACTGGGACTATACTCTTTTGTCATCGTCGATCTATCACTCCAATGATATGGGTACCAACAATTGCTTTAGCCATGACGACTGCACCGGTGGTGCATCGTTTGGTACCAGAGTCAAGAAGTTTATCAATCCAAAGTGTAATTCTTACCTCGGTGAGAATATCGCTGCTGGAATGTCGAGTGGTATCTCTGCCAACACCTTGTTGATCTGTGAGAAGGGTGACACACCATGCTATCCCGACGGTACCAACGACGGTCATCGTAGCAACATGATGAGTGAAAACTACGTTGGTGTCGGTATCGGTTTGATGCCAGGCGTCGCCAAGGGCAGCTACAACTACTATTGGACACAGGACTTTTCGAGTTGCACAATCGGGTTGCCATCGGCTGGCTATCCAGTGCACGGAGGATCACACACCATCATCAACAACGAAATCATCTTTTTGGCAGACTTTTTCGATAGTGTCAACGGTACCACACCCAATCAGAAATTGTTGAGACTCTCCAATGGCTATGCCTATGAGATGTCAGAGGAGTACTCTGAGACTGGACAACTCTTTACCGTCCGTAATGCCAATGTCACCGAGTGTATGGGATACATCTTTGAGTTCAAAACCGAAGCAGGAACATTCAGATATCCATCCACTGGAAGTTTGCAAGTAATCACATCACCAACCAGCACTTGCGCAGCATGGGTTAGCACAGAGGTTCCACCATCGACCAACAACATCAATTTTGGAACAACACTTCAATCATCTCCAATTCTCACCATCTTATTTATCACTATTGTATCAATATTCATAACTCTCTAAGAAACAAAAAAAAAAACATTTTTTGTTTTTTAGTGTCTTAACAACAACTCAACTTGTAATATCAATAAATTTATTTATTTATTTAATATGTGAATTATCATAATTAATTGTTAACAAGTCGAATGCCATTTAATCATTATCTTTGAATAAGAATCATCAATATTGTTAGATGTTCGTTTGAATGAGAATCTTTCCAAATAGATTTGAAATGGCATTAAAGTATCCTAACACATTTTTAAAAGTTTGAATATACAGATGTAATAAATAAACAAATGAAGTGAATATCAATACATGAAAAAATTAAATAAATATAGATTTAAAAGTAATCATTTGAATGTTTTATATTTTTTTTTTTATAATTTAAAGGACTTCATTTTTTGATCATAAAGTTTATGTCATCATCGGTGCTAAAAAATGCATCGCAATTTTAGGAAATTATACCGAATTCTTGATCAAATATATAATTATTTGTTTTTTTAATATAGTTGACAATGAAAATATTTTCATTTTTAAATAGAAAGTTATGGAATCCATATTTAAGAGCTTTGGATAGCCATCCTCTAATCAGTAAGTTCTAACTAGAACTGATCTTATCAGAATGTTAGCGATCATTGTTAGTGAGATCTAAGAAAAGCAATTTGTATTGATACTAGAGCAATTGTTTTGTTTATCTCTATATAGCAAAGTCAATCACTACTGGTGTACTCATGGGTACCGGTGATGTTTTAGCACAATCGATCGAGCACTACACCAATGACGACAAGCACAAGAAGAAGTTTAAATGGGATACAAAGAGAACTCTTACGATGACATCGGTCGGTATGGTGTTTTCAGGACCTTGTTTGCATTTCTGGTACAAGACTTTAGATCGATTGGTAGTTGGCGAGGGTGCAATGGTCGTTGCGAAAAAGATAGCGTTCGATCAGATCGCATTCGCACCGGTAGTGATCTCTGCTTTCATTTTCATTATGAACTCGATCAACGGAAAGACTCCGTCACAATCACTGACAACCATCAAAACCGACTTGCCATCGGCACTCAAGGCCAATTGGTCACTTTGGCCGATGGCTCAGATCATCTGTTTCTCAATAGTACCACCCTCACTACGTGTTTTATATGTATCTACAGTCAGTGTATTTTGGAATATATTTTTATCACAACTTGGAAACAAACATAAGAAATGAATCAAACAATCAATGAATGAATGTAAATCGATAATAAACAATATAAAATAACTCTTTTTTTTTTTTTTTTTTTTTTTTTTTGTTCTTTATTATATATGTATATTTTCGTTAATCTAATTCTACACTCTTTTGATTTTTTCTTTCTTCCATCATCATTTTAATTTTGTATCCATATTTTCTTTTGATAATAAAAACTAAAATGGTGGCGAGAATAATAAAACCTAGAACAGATCCTATAATGATACCGATTTTCTGGAGTGTTGTTAATCCTGTACTTTTACAGACAGAGTTATCGTCGAGTAGCACTGAGAAATCTGGGTCCAACATTGCAACAGTTTGGAAATTAGGTATGTTGATTCCCACGAAATATACATTGGTGTGATCGGCCGATTCTGCACCTCCATCGGTTGCATTAGCATTGAGAAGTGTGTTTCTTACTTTGGTTTCTATACCATCGATTATGGCGGTATCGATGAAACGTCCGTACAAACTCTTGTCGTTGACTCTCAGCTTGATCCATGTCAACTCTTGACTTGGATCTGCTTCTTGACTCGAACAACTATCAGAGTTGGTTGGGTTGATGTTGGCAGACAAGATAACTTGCAGGTAGTTTAGCCTGTCTTTAAAGGGATAGGTGGCGACTGTGATTGTATACTTCAAGGTGAATGGATCCATCGTTAGATTCTTACTGCCAAACTTAACCTGAGATCTCTCCGAGTAGTAATAGACATCGGTTTGAATGGTGGCATTGACAGGTTTGCTATCTATCGTTGTAGAGTATCGGTATGCTTGATAACTACTCTCAGTTCTATTGGTAAGAATCCAACTTGTCAGATTGTATCTCTCAACAATAGCTCCATTGGTATCAATCTCTCTTAGTTCTACCACAGACACACCAGCAGTAAAGTCGAATCCAGTGGTGACTGTAGTTGGATTACTAGGATCATGTGTTGTAGTGGTATTGATAATTTCTAAATAAATAGAATAGATGATTAATATATATTTTGTTGAAATATATATTATACAAACAATATTGAAACTTACGTGATCTACAATTATAACCAGAATAAGGAGGAGTACAGATACAAACACCATCTTCACATCTTCCATTGGTGGAGGAACAATCTGAACATGGTTTGTTTGAAGGTGTCGTTGGTGTTGGTGTTGGTGTTGGAACGATATCGGGTGGAACGATTCCTTTGAACCAAACATAAAACGAATTCGATAGTTTGTTCTTATATTTCAATTGGACGATTAAATAGGCGCCACTGTTTGGTTCCACTTCAATAATAACGACACGTGACGATGAGCTCACTAATTTGGCGGTGGAATTTTGAACTCCTCCTAGAGACACAAATGCAGTAGTGTTGTCAGTGAGGGAACCTAGTAATCTACCATAGATAGTTAGCAATCCACCTGATGTCGTCATTGGACTTGTCGATTCAATAATTGGAGAGGCAGTCGATACATTGAAAGTGGTGGTTAGGAAATATGGTAAACTCATATCCTTTAGTGCTTTCGATGAGAATCCAGTTATCACTTGCATACTATCGATGGCACCGTAGATCGAAATCAAAATACCACCATTCGCACCGAAACCATATGGCAGTTGTTCATTCACAAAATATCGATTAAGATTATTTCCCATTTGGACATATGAAGGTGTCGAAACATAGAAATCACCTTCTATCGTTGTAAAGTAAACTTTTAGAGGATAGCCAGTCATGATTGGATTGAAATATTGAATTTCAAATGAGAAATTGGCGAATCTATTTCCCGATACATCAACATTCATCGCTGGCATGTAGAATTGTCTGATGACGGCTTGTGTTGCATTTGCAACTTCTGGATTATCGTATTGAACGATCAAATCGTTCATTTGTGTTGGTGAATTGAGTAACGATACAAAAGGATTGATATAGATATCGTCGTTTGTCCACGATGGTAATGAGGTAGCCAAATTTCCAAGATAGTCATATAGCTCCAACGATATCTTTGCCTTGAACTTTGTGCTTTGTCGGCTCAACATCAGTGAGACCCTGTGTGTAGATTGGAATTGGTCACCCGATATTCTAGATTCATAGAAGAGAGGCCATCTGACAAGGTAATTGGGATTTTCATCGGATGTAATATAGAAAAATCCATTCTTGAAACCAGATTGATCGTTGATTGTGAATGTCCAATTTACAAGTACCTGCTCAGTGATTACAGCTGGACCTGAAGTTCTTCTGAAATCACTAACAATTGGACCCATTAAATCAGCATCTAAAGATTAAGATTCAAAATAATTAATTGATTGGTTTTGATTTACTTGTTAATAATATAAAACATACATGTTGAAATAACTTTCAAATAGGCATTTTGATTGATATTTGGAAGTGAAGCAAGTGAGCTTGGTGTAAATGAAGCTGGATAATTCCAAAGTAGATATTCAACTGGACCAGAAAATAGTGATTGTCTTAATGTTATTGGAATGACAAACAAACTTTGAACTGGATCATAATGTCCTTCAAAGATATTCAAATCTGCTTCACTCTTGGCATAGTAGTTTCTCTGTAAAATTTGGATCTTTGGATTTCCATCCTTTACACCTTTACATGAGAAATATAATGTAGTGTTTGCTGGTCCATTCGTAACATCAATATTATTTGGTCTAAATTCAAATGAATCAATATCAAATGGATTCATAGAAACTATGTTTAAATTCCAATTTAATTAGTATTTTTTAATAAATGATTTGAGTAATAAACTACTTACAAAATGGAAGAGGAAGAACTAATGGTTGGTTTACAGCGTATGGAGTTCCTTGTAAATAATGTGAAGCTTGTAATGTGATATCATATACAGTGTAGGTTTCGGTTGCAATTGGATTTTCAGTGATGACTGGCATCCTTATGAGTGATTCATATCGACCATTATAGAAATCACCCTCTACCAAATCAGTATTGTTAAGTACTATTCCATTCTGTAGGGTTGTCTTGTAGTAGCCGGCTACACTTTCGATTTCCAAATTGACAATGGCAGTGTAGGAATCGATCATCGTAAAACCTAAACTTTTAATGAATGGCATACCTGATGTCGGCATTGGTGTTGGCCATGAACCGAAATTGATTTCCTGTGATTCAAAAGCCAAATCATGAAAAGCTGAAATGGGAATGGAGTTTGATGATTTATAGGGTGGGAATAGCATTTGGAAGCTAAATTTGGTTTGTGAAATGAATCCAAAAGGATAGTCTGGTAATGGTTTCTTTGAAAACTTCAAGTTTGGAATATAGGAGGTGTATGAGTAGGTTGCCCAATTGGCAAATAGAGGAAGATCGTTCTTTGACAATATATCGAAACTTCCAAGTGAAGGTGGTGCGTCGCTAACAACGTAGTTGAATGTCTTGTAAAGTCTGTTGGAGTTCTGAGAATACACAGAATATGTGGAATTGTAATTTGGGTAGGGAATGGACAACATTCCGAAAATAGATGACTCTGTTCCTAGCAGTGGAACGAATCTGGAGAGGTATCTTCTTGGACCATAGTTTATGAAAATTCGAATTTGATCTCCTCCCTGGACCAATACGGTTGAACCTATAGTTGCTGCTTTATCTCTGATACTGAGGACGGTTTTATCTGGGAAAGGGATTTGCACTGATGGAGCAGCGGCGGTTGTCGGTGAAAACGGTATGGTTATTGACTGACTACCGCCACCGATGATTACGATGCTCACCGGTGCTACAATGTCGGAAGTAGGATAGGGTGCTAAATCCAGTTGAAACACCGGATTGTTTGTAAGCACGTGAACAGGACGCATTCTGCACTGGAATAATCTGTTCGCCGAACAAGTATAGACTCCATCACCTACATTTGCAATCATATTCGTTATTTGAACGTACATTCGATAGGTGTCGGAATATGGAGAACCAACAATCGTCGACGATTTCAGTCCGATTGGTGTTTTCAGATCGGAACAAGGTGAACCGATCTGCACTGTTTGTTGAACATCGCTATTCGACACATTGAGAACGGCCACGTACGATTCGTTGGTGAACGTCGAAATATATATGATTTGCGTGTAACTTTCCGGGTCAAACGCTCTCGGTTCAATATGAAAACTGACATTCGGATTGTCACTGGTGATTTGGCTACTGATGATTGCACTCGATGTATTAAACAGCATTACATAGGATATTAGTATCGGTAGATTACAAAACGATGGTGACGATATGGTCGATGAATCCAAAATTAGGAAAACAGCTCTGCCATGTGTCAAAGCAACATTGCAGCAAAGTAAGATCGCCACCACTATCGAAATGATTGAAGAATTTAACTTTATCATGAATGATTAATTTATTTGTGGAAAGAATTACGATGAAAATAGATATTATACATAAATAGATAAATAATTGAAAATATGAAATACTGGCAACAAACAAAAACTATAATCAAATTGATTGTAACCAAACATTAAATCAGAAAATGTTTAAACGTTTTGTGTTTTACACCATTTCCAATATCTAGATTTTTTTGTCATTGAACTCAAAAAAAAAAATCATAGTATTCGACCCCACTTTTAATTGGTTTCACCCCATTTTTATCAGAAAGATGTGTTCTTTTTTTACGGAATCTTTAAAACGAATCCAAGACTGGTGGACATTGTTAATGGGTAATTTAAGCCGATGAATGATCCATTGTTTAATAGTTTTTTATATTGTTTTCAGAAAGAATCAATCAATTATAGATATTTCAAAATATCTATTTTTTTATCCTGAAGTGCTGCAGTTTATTCTGACTTTACAGAAAGCTTTGAATATATAGTATTCTACATAAAAATTCTAAGTATCAGAACCTTATGCTAATTTAAGAATATGATGAACCTGAAGCTAAAAAGTTGAATCGATCAATAAATATACAAACTAACACATTGTATATTTATATTTATATCTATTATTATTTTTCCTATTTTTTTCTTGACTTATTCCCTCACCAAAAACATTTAATGTAGAATGATTTTAGTTTTCTTTTTTTATTTTATTTTTTTAAATATTTAATAAGATATGCAGAATAGTGATACAGTTAATAATATGTTTGCAAACTTAATAATAGGTATTCAATCAAAAGATGGTTCGATGTGCCCTTTCTGTAAAGAAGGCAGTCGATATTTAAATAAAATCATCACCGGAGTGGATGTTCTTATATGTAGTGAATGTGAAGCCATCTTTTCAGGTGCAAACGAAACAGACTTTGACACCTTTAATTCACTACTACAGAGAGTACAAGAAGAAACAGGCGATGCAAACCTAAGATTAGAAGATCTCTTTATTGACGATGATGAGCCCGAAACAAAATGAATAGTATATATTTTATATTCGAATAATAAGTTATAAAATAAAAAAAAAACAAACAAAACTCATTGTACAAATTATTATTACTTTATATTATTACTTTTATTTACATCAAACGAAATCAATCTATCTATCAATTATTCAATTTTAATTTTATCTTTCTTTTGTTTTTTTTTAATTAATTTTCATTTGATCAAATGATGTAATTTTTAATGAAAAAAAAACATCGTGATGGGAAATATTCATAATAATTGTGCCAAAACCGATGCATCAGTGAGCAAAACAAAAACAACACGAAAAATTGTCTTTATCTATTTTTATTTTTTTTTTGTTTGGGTTTTTTTTGATTAGATTATTAGAATCAAGATAGAAAAATTTAAAATAAATAAATAAATAACTAGTTTTATATATATTATTGTTGTATTATATATTGTAAAAACATAAATTAAATATAAATAAAATATAAATCAATCAAATCAAATCAAATTATTATAGAAAAATATAATAAAAAGAAAAAAAAAAAGAGAAGTTATTGATAGCAATCAAATCAAAAAAGAAAGAACAGGACAGATATATTATACTATATGTAGATACAATAATAAAATAAAATAGAATAAAAGATTGGTATTTTTACTAAATAAATAATAAAGATTAGAGGATAAAGAATAAAGATTATAGATTAAAAGATAAAGATAAATAAAGATAGAGATAGAAAAGATATATAATGAATCAACAAACTTCACCGCGATCTGCATCGCCACCGACAACACCACAAAAATTTCTGGATACTTTCGATGGCTCCATAGAGTTGATGGATTCAATCGATGATTCACCGCAGTTCCGAAAGCAATTGAAGGATACCGAGCAGAATATCGAGGAGCTCGGCAACAATATCAAAAAGATACTAAAGTCGGCAAAGCAATCGTGTGACTTGGGAATCGAGTACAACACATCGTTCAAATCGTTCGCTGACGATCTTCTCTCGTACCGTGTCGATGCAAAGGTAAACGATGATCTTCTCGAGAAAGGAATGATTAAATTTACAAACGCACTCAAAGAGATATGTAACTATCGTGAAGTATTAGTAAGTAAACATATTCAATATTGAACAAAACAAAGACAAGACAAAGAGAAACTTTTGCATTTTGTTAACACTTTTGTTTTTTTTTTAACAAACAACAACCCAATTTGCGGAAATGATATTATTATTATTATAGCATTTTGAAATGGAGGCATTGATTCATAATCCTCTGCAAGAGTTTGCAGAGAATGACTTGAAGAATGTGAAGGAACAATATAAAAAGTATGACAAGTACAGTCAGCAACACGATAGTGCAGCGTCGAAACTCGGTCAGATCAAGAAGAAGAACTCGACAAAGATCGAGGAGGTCGGCCAGGAAGTGACCGATATATTTCGTGCGCGTGTGCAACACAGCTTGGATCTGGTGGAGAAGATGAACGAGGTGCAGGCACGACGACGTTTCGAATTCCTCGAACTCTTCTTTGTATATCTTCACGCGCAATCGACATTCTTCCACCAGGGCTACGAGTTGTTCCGTGATCTCGAGCCACACATGCGAATCTTTTCAAGCTACCTACAATCCACTCGTAAACATTTCGACGATGAAAAGAAAAAACAAACCAATCAAAAGAAAGATATTATTAATGTATGTTGTTGTTTGTTTAATCAATCAATCAATCAATCAATCAATCATTATCAAACAACTAACCTAACAACTAATAACTTTATCTTTAAAATATAGAAACTAAATGCATCATCTTCACCGACACAAACATTCTCATCTTCGCCATCGGTCAATGGTGGAATACAATTCATGCAGGGAAGAGCATCTAATAACACTGCGAAACGTGGATATCTCTTTAAGAAATCAGACTATTCTTATAATCGTAGATTCTTTAGCTGTGAAGATGGCAAATTAAGTTATTTTAGAACAGGAAATGTATGTTTTTGTTGTTTCATATAATGTGTGATGTGATGTAATGTAATGATATACTTATACTCAAATACAATACAACTATCTAGGAAACTACACCATCACATGAATTCGATTTATTCTTAACAACAGTTAGAGTAAGAGAGGATTTGGAACGTAGAAATTGTTTTGAAGTACTCTCACCCGATCGTTCTTTGATATTACAAGCAGAGTCGTACGAAAGTATGATGGAATGGATTCAAGTACTTCAAAACTCAACTGCAAATCTAATCAACAATATATCTCCAAGTAATTATCAAATATCAACAATAACTATTTTAAATATGATTAATAGTTTACTAACTTTTTCTTTATTTCTTATTATTTTTTTGTAGAAGATAAACCTAAATCACAAGTAAACAATAATAATACACAGAACAATAGTAATAACAACAATAATAATAATAATAATAATAATAATAGTACTTTGAATTTTTGTAACACTAGCAATGGATATGTAAATAATTCACTTTCACAATCACAAGACAACTGCAATGACAATGACTCACCACTGGCAATACTACGTTCGCTCGACCAATCCAATACAATCTGTTGCGATTGCAATGCAAAAGATCCAGAGTGGGCGTCTATTAACTTTGGCTCGATCGTTTGTATCGATTGCTCGGGTATTCATCGTGGTTTGGGCGTGCATATCACCAAGGTGCGTTCGTTGGTTCTCGACAAATGGGAACCAGAGTTGCTCGGCATGATGAAGTGTCTGGGCAACGATCGTGTCAACCGAGTGTTTGAAGCGTGCGTGCCATCGGACCGCGTCAAACCAACGATAAACAACACATTCGAAGTACGTTCTCGTTGGATACGCGATAAGTACGACAAGCGAATGTTTGTATCGTTCATAGAACGCCCGCTCGAAGAGCTGAACAGTATGTTGTACACCGCATCCGGGTTGCCGGACACCGGTCGTCTGCTCGAGTTGATAGCGTCGGGGGCCGACTCGAACCACTACGATCCTGCACACCAATATCGCTCGCCACTCCACAACGCCACTGCACACTCGCAAGCGCAGAACCTCTGTCTGCTGATACAGAACGGTGCGCAATCCGCCATTCAGGACATCGATGGCAACACGCCGTTGCACGTCGCTGCCGACTCTGGCTCGTCGGTGTGTTGCATCCTCTTGATCATGAAAGGCGTCTCGCTGCTGACCATGACCAACAAGAACAACAAGACAGCACTCGATCTCGCAGTGGACAAAGGTCAGGTCGGCTGTGTAGCAATTCTCAGACTAGCACAACTTCAACGCGACGAAGGTAAACTTACGTTTGACGAGTCATTTGCAGAGGTGTTACGAGGTTTCTCAAAAGAGAAATAATCACACTGCTTTTGCGACAAATAATCAGTAATCAACAACACAACACAACAAACGCAATACATAAACATAACTAGCAATATTTGCAAATTCAAGTTATATTTATCTATCTCATCTGTACATAAAAAAAAAAAAATTCCATATAGGAATCTATAAATTAATAATAATAATGTATTTATTTTATATAATTCATTTATTTATTTAAAAGATTCAATTATATCTATTCAATTTAATTTCAATTAATGAAATGATATTTTAGTTAATTTAGTAAAAATAAAATAAATTCTAGATATTTATTTTTGAAGGTCATTTTTTGCTCTGCAAATGAAAAAACAACAGAAAGTCAACAGCAGTATTATTACCGGTCAAGTCAGATATTAAAAATTTTTAAACTAATCATCGTTTTTTTTTTTTTTTTTTTTTTTAACTTTTGAACAAAAGTAGGTTTTTTTTTTTTTTTTTTTAAAATCGATTGAACAATTTCAACCTTAATTAATAATTTTAGGTTACTTTTCTAGTTATATATACATACAAATATATTATATTATATTTATTTAAAATATTTATATTTTCACAATAATATTTATATTATTTTCACAATATTTATTTTATTTTATTATTTTTTAAAAATTAAAGATTTTAGATAATTAATAAACAAAAACAGTATAATTTTGATTTTTCGAATAGAATAGATAAAAACAAGAGAGAGAGATGTTGGATATAGATCATTATCTTGATTTTGGATTCCCATTGGACCAAGTCAAGTTTGTATTGTGTATGTTGTTTTCATATCCGATGGCGATGGTGTTGCGTTCACTACCGAATGCCTCTACGAAACATATGATGTCGATCGCTCTCGGTATCTTTTATTGTCATTTTTCGTTGGGTGCATTCAGTTGGATTCATTCATTCGCCAGTTCGCTGGTCTGCTATATAATGGTGAGTGTACTGCCACGTCGTGTCTCGCACATCTGGGTGTTCGTATTCGCTATGGCATACCTCTCGATTTCACATTGGTACCGTATGTACACCGACTACATGGGTTGGACAATGGACTTTACATCGCCACAGATGGTGTTGACTTTGAAGTTGACATCGTTCGCCTGGAATCTCTACGACGGATCGCGTCCTGCCACCGAACTCACCTCTGACCAACAGAGACGTTCCATCAAGAAGGTACCATCGCTTCTCGAGTTCTTTGGATTCATCTATTTCTTCCCAACATTCTTGGCTGGTCCAACCATTGAAATCGGTGATTATCTTCGTTATACCTCTGGTTTAATGTTTAAAGATGGTGTAAGTATAAGAATATCAAACACTATTATTATTATTATCATTAGAAAAGTTGTTAATTTCATCAAATTTCTCTCCCACCATTAGAAATCAAATGGTATTATGCCAAGTCCAAACTTTGCATCACTTCGTACATTTGTTTATGGTATTCTTTGTTTCCCATTGATTATTATCGGTGGTACTCTCAATATGGATTATCTCTTAACATCTTCATTCGCAAATGAACCATTGTTATGGCAGTAAGTTGATTTTGTCTTTGTAGTTTCTTGATTGATTTAGATAAATATTTACTAACTTGGTGCGCACCAATGATAACAGAATTATTAGAGCTCATCTTCATGTTATGTTGACAAGATTCAAGTATTACTTTGGATGGTATATGTCTGAGGGTAGTGCTGTGTTGTCCGGTATCAGTTTCAATGGATACGATAGCAATGGCAATGCCAAGTGGGATCGTTTGACCAATGTCTATCCAATCAAGGTGGAGTTGGCGTCGAACGTTCGTGATGTCTCGACCTACTGGAATATGGGTACTGCCGACTGGCTCAAGACCTACGTCTATCTCCGTTTGACACCGGTCGGAACCAAGCCAACTTTCGGTGCCACCCTCGCCACCTATGCCACCAGTGCTTTCTGGCATGGATTCTACCCGGGCTACTACATCTTCTTCATTTCGACAACCTTCTTGACCGAGGTTGCCAAGGATATCCGTCGTAAGATCCGTCCATTCTTTGTGAGCGGAGCCGAAGAGAAGCCAATTCAGCCATGGAAGAAGCTCTACGATATCGTCGGTGTCATGGTTACCGCCTGGTGGTTGAACTTCTTGGGTGCCAGTTTCCTCCTCTTGAGTTTGGAGAGAACCCTCGTATTCTGGGGTGTATTCAGATTTATTCCATTAATTATGTTGGTCGGTGCATTCATTTTATTGCGTTTCTTTGTGCCTGCACCAAAAGTTTCCAGAACTCCAAGATCAGCATAATAATAAATGGTAATAGTAGTGATAATATATAAAAATAAATAAAAAATAAATCCCTAGATATACTATGGACATAATTTTAAAATGAATCAGATCAGATCCTATAGATTTTATTTGGATGATGGATAGTTAACTTGATACTTTGAATATTGATATGGTTGTGCTGTCAATATGGTTTGTGAATGAGTTGTAGTTAGAAATTGTTGTGGTGGTTCCGAATAGCTAGTTGATGGAAAAGTGTTGTAGTTTGAATAGTTTGTTGCATTAGTATTAAATGTGGCGGATCTAAGTGGTTGCGATAGTTCAGGATGGAAAAATGGTTCTTCTTCAATAATACAAAGATTGGTATTGAATTTGATAAATCTTTGAACTTCTTGTGATAATCCTACTGCTCCCAACTATTTTAATAATTTAATTAGATTTATTCTTTTTTTTAACTTTATATTGTTTATTTTGTTAAACTTACTCCAAAAATTAACCAAAGAGATGAACTTATTGTACCAACTATTAAAAGTGCTTGATTATAGTTGAAAAATAATCTATTTTTATCATTGATATCTTTTCCATTACTTATTTCAATGATTCCAAAAATAAATACCGTTAGTGTAAATATCCATACTAAAATAGTAAGGATTTGAAACTATTTTTTAAGATTAGATTATGAATTTTATTAGTAAATAATTTATTATTTTATTATACAATAAATATTTTCTTACAATCGAGAGTATAATGCTACTCTTTTTAAATAATCCAATGGTTCCAAGTGCAATAACAAATAAACTAATCAATCCATTAACTAAATGTACTACACTAATAAAAAAAGATGGAATTGTTGTGACGGCCATTGATATTAATAGAATTTTATATCTTCTATTCATCATATTCTTGATATCACTAGGATTTTGAATATTTGATGGTTCATCTTTGTGATTATAATATGTTGGTTTTTTATAACTAGTTATTTTATTCATTTTATTTTTATAAAAAGGATATTAAAAATTTGGTATAAATAGTTATTCAAAGTCTTGATAAGTTCCTTAGAAAGAAAAAAAATGATATCACATATTGATCACCCAATTATATATGTTAAATCAATCAATATTTTTAACATACCCCCAATTGGATAAATAAATAAAACCAATCATATTTTTTTTTTATTTTATTCATTTTGGGTAAGATAATTAAATATCAATATCAATTTAATTTAAATATAAATTAAGATAAAATACTGTTAAGATGTTTTATTTTAAATATTTTGTTTATAGTTTGTTGTTTTAATCTGGTTTTCATATTTTGAAGATATATTTAGTAATACGTAAAGCCATATTATTTATTCAAAAAGTTTAAAATTATTAATGATACATATCAACTCTTCACTCATCAAAGTTACATTAAATTTAAGTTTGTTATGGTATTTTTTTTTGGGATCTTGTAAAAAAACAAAAATTTTTAAAATATTATATGAAAGTATCTCTCATGCCATAGATTTTAATAAATTTTGACTTAAGAATTAAAATTATAAATTCTTAAATTTAATTTAGAGTCTGGTAACTATAAATTTTTAAAATGAAATTTTAGTAATTATCATCCGACTTTAACTCAAGTGGTAGAGTGTTTGACTGTAGTAAGAATCACAAGAGATATCAAAAGGTTGCTAGTTCGAGTCTGGCAAGTCGGATCTTTTAATTTTTAAACCCGGATGCGGTATATGTTAAAAAGTTGGAAACCTTCAAAACTTTTGCCTCTTCTTTGCAACAATCTTCGCGGACCAACTATAACCAATGCGTCTAATCACACTAAATGAACCAATCTGTTGTTATTATTCACATAACGCTGTAAGTGTTCATTTACATATGTTGTACTTCATGGAATATTGTTGGTAAATTATTAGTTTTGAATTTATATATCCTGTTGATTTCGATATGTACACTATCTATTATTGCTGAATAGATAGTTATAATATAGTATTAACTGTAATATATACTGTATCTATGGAATTTAACTTATCATAAGGTTAATAATCATGTCAATAGAAATTGATAACTTGATGAAGATCGTTAACGATGGTAACTGTTAATATATTCCATTTTTATGCTCCATTCCTTAAAATGGCAGTATTATGAGAGCAACATGTTGATCATTTCTTTATTAATAATTATAGTAGTCGAATTTTACGATTATTTGTACTGTTTCATTCTAATCTATTGTAATTCAACATGTTCGCTGATATGATCATTCGAATCTTCAATAACAATAAATATAAAGTGTAATTGATTAAAATTACTTACATATTGATATATTGATATGCTAATAATACATAGATATAATCTATGAAATAAAATCTATTCATTTAATAAAAAAACTAATGTACTTGAGCAATCAATGCTTAACTTCCTTTCTAGTTATAATCCAAGAAGAACTAAAAAGATTATAGTTCTTGAACATAATAATATTATAAAAATGTTTATTTGAAAATAAGAAAAAAATATTTGTTTTTCTTTTTTTATGATATCTTCCCTGATTTAGTTTTAAGATATCTAACTGATTTTTTTGATCAGTATTATTTACTCTTTTATAAAATATAATGTTTAATCAAATTTTAAATAATATAATTTTAAGAAATAAGATATTTAGATATATTCATGATATATCATTAAATATCATTAATAATAACAATGAAAATAAAGATTATGAATATCATGATCAACAACAACAACATATTATTGTTTATAAAAGTTTAATAATAAAGAAATATCATGAAATCGATAATGCAGGATGGATGTTGGATAATCATTACTATCAACTCTTCAGATACAAGCTACTCAGAGGTGAATCAATCTATTTCACAACATATGCACTCAGATTGCTATTCTCAAAGTACTCATCGAATGACATGCAACTACAACTCATAAAGCAGTTGTTCAATAGCGATTGCTTACCACTTCGCCTACAGAATAACCAATCACATATCATGGAGAGTGCATCGATATCGGGTTCAATTCCACTGCTAAAGTATCTCTTTGTTGAACAATCATTTGCATTGACATCAGGTTGTTTGATCTCTGCGATTTCCGCCGGTCACTTGGATGCTGTCGATTTCATATGCAGTAACAGCGCGCCAAAGTACCGGTTGGAAGTGACAACCTATTGCATAGAGGCAACGGCATCGAAAGGAAATCTCCAGGTTTTGAAATATCTATTTGAAGTTCAGGTCGATCTGCTGATGCACTCCGGTGTGATGGCGAACCGAAAATGCTTGATTCGCTGCATCGACCTGGCAGCGCAAAACGGGCATCTCAATGTGGTGATCTACTTCTACGAGAAGCTGAATGTCGGTCCGTCGAACGCAGCAGACACCGCGCTGCTCCACGACCACGAAGACATTGCTCAGTACTTGGTGGAGCGCGGTCACTTCTCGGCGAATTCATTCGGGTTGGCGGCGGGCACCGGCAGCATCAAGCTGCTAAACCTACTGCGCTTGAAAGCGGGAATGCGAACACGCTTTCCCATACAGTGTATGGATAGCGCCAAGAGCAGTCATGTGATCTATCACGTGCATGGACAAACCGAAGGATGCACGGTTATCGCATTTGAGAATGCTATCAAACGAGATGACTATGAGTGTCTGGTGTTCTTGTTCGAGTGGTATCACAATCGATTGGATAATTTTCATTTGAACAATCTGTTTCGTTGTGCTTGTAACTATGCGCGGATGGATATGGTCAAGTTCATCTATGGCAAGATGACACTTCCACGCATACAATGGTCACAAGTTCTATATTCCAACAATCAACTTGTTCAGAAGAAGTCGGCCGATAGCAAGTACAGTATTGCCGATGTATTCGATTGGTTTCACGAAAACAATGTACCACATTGCGGTCCTGAGGCATGGCTACTAGCAATGGAAATAGGTTCACTGGAAGCACTGAAGATAATAATGGAAAAGGTTAAGCCGGATGCCAGTAGAGATCATAGTTACTCTCTTAAATTGGAGCTGATAGATATGTCCGTTCGAAGCGGATCTCTTCAGATGATAAAGTACATCTATGATAATATTAAACAGAGCTGTACAGAGAGTGCAATTGTTTTGGCTGCATCCAATGGGTATCTTGCGATTCTTGAGTTTATCATCGATCATCATTTCGATATGATAAAAACAAACAACAATGCAGATATCCTTACAACCATAACAGATCTTTTCAAAAGCGGTGTAAAAAGTGGAAGTCTGGCTATTTTAAATAAGATATTGTATTATATTGGAAAGAGATATGGTGGAAGCGATAGTGGAAGTGAAAACGGACATCAAACGACAATAGTTGTCGAACAATCATTGTTGGAGATCAACCCAAATTTGAAAAAATTGATGTTTGTAGAGACATTGGAAGCTGGGCATTTGGAGATGTTCACCTATCTCCTTGAACGATACAGTCCACTAATGGATCAATCCACATTCAACATGACACTCACCGAGATACTAACGAGATATGATAAGTCAACATTAGAACTACTGTACCAACATCAACCTACCAACTTTTTCGATATTGTTGATGACATTCCATCGTTCGATACCTCCTCATTTGCAACACTAGATTATTTCTTTAACAAATGTATCTCCAAGGATAAATCAAAGAATCTTCAAGCAAATCCAAAAGAATTATTTAAAAGTAAAACATTATCATTGTTAGGTATAGGCATGAAGAAAACTTAGAAAAGAGGAGAGCAGAGATAAGAATAATAAATTGTATATAAAAATTTTAACTAGTTAAAGTTATTGATTGAACTGTACAAATGAATTTAAAAATTTATTTTATTTGATTTAAAATTTTATTTGTTGAATTTTAATTAGTTGAGTTGACTAACTGAATGAATGATGTGCAGCAACGGTAGTTTAAATCTTGCTGAATGATTCAATTTCAACGGTTTGTACATTGGGGAAGTTGGTGATTTGACTTTGGAGGTCATCTACGGAGACAGAGTCTTCTACCACACATGAGATCATCAAGTGCTTGAGATTGTAGGCGAGACTCTCACACTTGGCTTCACCCCAACATAAGCCTGGCTTGGTGATCTTACGGATGTTTTGCTCTACCAACTTGAGATCCGAAGATTCGTCTTCTGGTCTAACATCGAATACAATAGCTGACTTTTCTTTCATTTTTATTATTATTAATTATTTATTTAGATATCTAATGAATTTAATTAAATTAAATAAGGATAATTCATCAATTTATATTTTTTTATAATTAATAATAAAATTAAAAATATTAATTAAAATACTATAAAACAATCAAATTTGGTAATTAGATAAAAGGTCAAGACTATTGTGTTCATTATTAATAAAATATCTTTTCCAATTTGGAAAATAGTTTTTTCCTTTTTTAGTTTTTTTCAATAAAACTAAAAATCTGTATAAAAGATTTTTTTTTAATATTAAAAAATTATGAATAAATAATTTTTTAAGGAAAAGATTTATAAACTCTTTTGATTAAAAATAAATTCCCTTTTTTATTTTGTTATGAAAAAAAACTTTAGATAATATTATCTAAAGTCAAAAAGTTTTTTTTTTGGTGCTCGAAAATAGTTTTGGAATAATATTGAACAGATATTACCTTTCTAATATCAAAAAATAATTAATATGTTCATGATTCTAAGGATATAAAATATTTATCTAATATTTTTAATAAGAACTAATAAGATAAGAATTTCCTTTTTATTCTATTTTTACTATTTTTTTAAAGATTTTGCTTTTGACCGAAGAAAAGAGTAAAACAAAAAATAAGTTTTTGAAATCAACACCTCACGCAATAAAACATATATATTATGATAGATAATCACTAGACGAGTCTATTGATATCGAATTTATCAAAAAATAATAAGAATATATACTTTTTTCAAATTTTTGATTATTTTTCTTCTTATAAATTTTTAAACAATCTTTTTATTGTTTTGTAAAAAATACCAATTGTGATGGACTACCAACATCTATGTAGTTATTATTGAATTGTAACTTACCAGATTGTTGATCGATTGTGAAATAGGTGATGTTGTCACTACGTTGATTGAGTACGTAGAGGAATCGGTGGGTTGGGTCAATTGTTAGTGCACGTGGGAAGTCACCGCGTGTCCAAACCTCCTCGATAAACGATAGAGATCCATCTTGCTCTGAGATATCAAAATGTGTTATGGTGTTACGTAATCTGTTCAATGCGTAGATACGCTTGCCACACGGCGACACTACGATACCCGATCCAAAACTACTGCCCTTGTAGCCAGCTTCGAAATTGGAGATGGTCGAACGTTCTTTGAGCAAACCGGTATTGCTATCAAAGTCGTAGTGTGTAACGGTTGAAGACTCTTCATTGATGATATAGGCATAGTCTTTTGAGGGATGGAAAACCAAGTGACGTGGACCGCAACCTTTCGAGGCAGCGGGAATCCAAGCTGGCGAGTTTGGTGCAAGATTTCCATTGGAATACTTCCATTGGTAGATTCTATCCTGTCCAAGATCGGTATGGAAAGCGTAGCGTCCGGAACGGTCGGTTCCAATCCAGTGGGCATGCACACCGTCGTGACCACTAATTGAGAAACTTCCAGGCTGCGATCCTTCAGCGCGCAACGGACCGACATCGCCAGCGGTCTTGAAGAACGAAGATGACTTGCTGACAGCACCATCGCTACCGATTGGGAATACCGCTACCGAACCACAGGCATAGTTGGCAACCATGAGATGTTTGTTCTCATTGTCCAACGACAGGTGACATGGTAATCCACCGAGAGCATCACACTCCTGGATAAAAGTCAACGAACCACTTGCAACGTCGATGCTATAGGAAATGACAGATCCATTGTTTCCACCCTGATAGTTGGTGATCTCACTGGCAGTGTACAATTTGTTGTTAACGCTGTCGATCACCAATTGAGCAGGTGACTCCTTGGTGGAAACAACACTCTTACGTGTGAGAGCACCTGTTTCCTTGTTCATAGAATACAAGTATACACCTTCACCATTTGGATGGTATGTTCCAATATATGCTAAAATCTCAGACATCTTGGACTAGTCTTTTTCAAAAATGATTAAACAAATTAATGCTAAAAACATAAAAAGATGTCATGACATGAAATTTAATTAAATTAAATTTGTAAAATCAATTTTTAAATAATTTTTTTTTCTTTTTTTTTTTACTCTTTTGTCCTGGTCTAAAACCATTGATATCTTTGTTATTAGTATCTTTTTAATATTAAAAAAAATATTATTTAAATAATATCAAATAAACAATAATTCTTTTTTATTTAATTATAATAAATAGTAAAATATTTAATATTTTAAAAAATATCTGTACAAAGATCAAAATCTTTTTTTTAAAATTTTGCAAAAAAGACCCGCAAATTACTACCTTGATCAGATATTTTTACAAGTTTCCGTGGTTGGCACTACACAATTCCACTCACAATCGTAGCTGTTTCAATCAATGACAACAAAAATGAATAATCTAACTCTTCATTTATTTTTAAATTCTTTTAAATAAACAAAAATACACAGATAAAATATATATATTCTTGATAGAAAGATGATGAAAATAAATAATACATTTTTAATATTAATCGTTGGATTAGTATGTTTGGTAGATCTTTCAGTACAATCAAACTTTATCTATATTACACCATACTCTTCAGATGATGTTAGCTCCACACCCTATGGTATTGGATATAATATACCGATGGACACTTGCTTGACGGTCAATGGCATCGATGTCATGTTCCACCAAGCGGATCCATCTTCCAACAATGTAACAATGACAGAATTCCTAGATAATTGCACTACTGCTCACACTCACTACAGCTACAGACTCGATGAAGTAGTCGGCTTCAATCTCTTCTATGGTCCAAAATACAACGCCACTCTCTCACTAAAGACAAATGCTATGCCATCGGACGCCGTTCAATATATCTACTACTACTACAGTAACTTCTGTTCCGGTCCAACCTACACTATCTATTTCACTAACGGCTACTCAGATAGTGACGGTAAATATTTCTGTAACAACGACGAGCCACAAGTCTTTGCTTGTTACAACGGTAACTGTGTCCAAGTTACATTCGATCACAGCTGTAATGAAGTTTATTACACACCTTTCAAAGTTCGTTGTTAATATTTATAATAAAATAAAATAAATATAAAATATTATGTTTGCTATTTACCAAAAAACAATAAACGAACGATCCCATTTTTTTTCATCGCCATTATGAAATTTCGGCATAAATCAATCGATCAAATGTTTCCATTCAATGATAGAGAAAAGAATAGCTATTTGGGGCATCAACCACTCTAATTTTTTTTAATTTTTTTACTGTTTTCGGAATGGAATGAATAATTTTTGTTTCTTAAGATCGAGGTTCTGAGAAAGAAGTTCTTTGTAGATTTTCGATAGAACAAAACAAAACTGGCTCTTGCTTTTAACCATAAACCGAATAAAATAAAAAAAACCACTCTGATCACATTAACCCCACTAATTTTTAATTTTTTTAAAATTAATGCGCAGGCGAAAGTTGTTGGGAGCCAGTTTTGTTTTGAAATATTTTATTTTTGATATTTTTTATTAAGATCATTTGCTGGTCTTGATAAGATATTTTATTAGATTTTTTATACCAGTATAATTGTTCATCTTAACTTTGATGATAATGGTTCTAAAGTAAAATGAAGCAAAGTTGAATTATAGAATGAAAAAATCAGTCAGTTTTGAAAAAATAAATGTTCGAACAGGCTCATACACCAAAGACCAATTCAAAAAATTTGTATTTATTTCTTGGTAACCAGTTTCAAAAGATCCTTTTCAAAATAAAAGGATTTTCAAACACATATTTAAGTAACTTTTCTTATCTATTTTCTTTGTTAATTTTCTATATAAATAATAAAAAATTTAATAGTTTACTTTTAGAATAAAAAAACAAAAACAATGTACAGAATAAATAATATTATTTTAGTAGTTATTGGATTAGCTTTTTTGGTTGATTTATCAACTCAAACAACATTATCCTATATTTATATCACTCCCTATGGATCTAATGAGACAGCTAAAACTGACACACCCAATGGAGTTGGATACATTTTTCCAATGGACACCTGTTTGGATATGAATACCGGTACCAATATTTTGTTCCACCAAGAGGATCCTAACTCCAACTCTGTAACAATGTCCCGGATGATAAATTACTGCACCACCTTAGTTGAAAATTTCACTTTCACCTTGGACGAAATGACAACTTTCAATATTATCTACGGTCCAAGCTTCTACTCGACTCTCTCACTGAAAACCAACAACATGCCAAGCGATGCCATCCAATTCTCCTATTATTACGACAGTAGGAAGACCTGCGTTGGTCCAACCTACACCAAATACTACACCAATGGATATTCCACTAGTACCTCCAAGTACTATTGTAACAACAACGTTCCAGCAGTATTCTCTTGTTCCGATGATAATTGTACCCAACTCAATTATTCAGGTTGTAATTCCGGATTTTTTTACGGTTCATACATAGTACACTGTTAAATATAAATATTTATATATATATAACTAAACTAATATTTAAACAAAACAAAACAAAACAAAACAAAACAAAACAAAATAAATAAATTATTTTTATTCATCAAAAACAAAAAAACAAAAAAGGATAAAACTTATGTTTATATATATGTATCGTTGTTTCGCTTATTTATTATGAATTCTTATTTCCTTTACCTTTGGAAATTAAATATCTTATTTGTTTTTCTTTTCTATCCATCATATACATATCCATTGATTGTTGTCTTTGTTCCTTTCTCCTTTGTCTATCTTCTAAAAATACCTTTTTATCTTTGTCTGCCATTATAAAATTACCGACTCCAAGATAAGCTTCACTTCTTTCTTTATAAGCATCGATATGAGTTGGATTAAATTTTATACATTCTGAATAATCTTCAATTGCCTATAATTATTTAATAAAAATTAATTAATAAAAAATTAATTAATATATTCTCAATAAACAAATAATAATCTAAACTATACCTTTTCAAATAGTTTTAATTTATTAAAACATCTAGCTCTATAAAATTTGATAGCTGGATGCTCAGCTTCTGCCAAATAGTTCATCGATGATGTAAAATCTCTTATAGCATCCTCCCAATTCATTGCTTCCAAATGACATAATCCTCTTCTAAAATAATTATTTCCAAGTGTATAATTATCCAAAACTAAAGTAGTGAGTGGAAAATAATTAATTAAACTTGATCAATCTAAACTAACTAGCTAATTGATTGAGAAAACATCGATTTATAAACTGCCACTACTACTACTACTTACTGTATACTCTTGTAGATTTATAAAACTCTTGGTAGTTGTTGAAAAATAGATTGAGTAGTTGCAGTGCCAGTCTTTCTTTGCTCTGGAGAATGAGAAGTTCCGCTGCGTAGGTCTGGGTCGGTGGGTGATGATAGTTGCACGCCAGCGCTTTGTCTCTGAGGTGGAAGCAGTTGTTCATCTCGGGACGCTCCGCTTTCAGGAGACATCGGCCTTTGCCAACGTAGCCGTCCGGCTTGGAGTCGTCGCAATCAATGACCGACTCCCATCGACGTATGGCGTGAGCGAGCAAGGTTTTCGCACGCGAACTCTCTTTGTCGACGACATTGTCGTATTCGTATTCGATCATGAAAGCATTCAGCGACAGCAGCCTGTAGGTCTCTTCGTGTCGATAGGGAATCGATTTCAACGCTTCACTCAGATTGTGACTGGCCAAGTCACGCTGTCCCATCATGAATCGCGCAGCTGCAATACGTGCATTCAACAATGCACCTTCGATCTTATCATTACATTGTTTCAATGCCTGTGAAAACTAGATTGATAAGATAGTCAGTCAGTTAGTAATATTACAGTTAATATCTATTCAATCATTCATTCATTCAGCTTTGAACCGATATTCAGCATCGAACCATATCCCACATTCCATTCTATACATACAATTTCGATTGCTTTACTATAGTTATGTTCTTTATAATATAGATCAGCTTGTTTAACTAATTGATTGATATGATATGAAAAATCATTGATTTGGTCGTATGAGGTTGTTATAGTTGTTTTTGTTGTTTCTTTGTTTTTTATTTTATTGTTATTACTATTTTTGTTATTGTTATTGCTGTTGTTTGTTGAATAATAGTTTTTATTAAATGCAAATGTTTTATGATTTTGGTTATTATATATAAATGTGGTAGATAAAGATGAAGTTGATACTATTGTTGGTGGTGGTGTTGTTAGTGGTGGTGTGTAAAAGTTTATATTTAATTTTAGAAAAGATGACCTTAAACAGTAATCCGATGTTGTTGTTGCTGCAACATTATATTTGCAAACTATATTTCTAATTCTATTCATTAAATATATTAATTAATTATCTATCTATCTACAGAATATAAAACATCAGTATTTAGTATTGAATATATAAAAAGGTAAAACAAACGAATATGGTTGTATTAATAATTAAACTACAATAAAAAAAACGACAAAATCGATTGAGAATGAATTCTTTCATTTTTTGTCAAGCATTAATAAAGTTTTTTTTTGAATTTGTCAATCATTTAATATCCGCTAGTTTGTTTAAATATGTTCATGATTGATTGTTTTGTCAATCAATCGCTTAATAGAGTAGAATTGAATATAATGTAGATGACAGTAACAACAACAACATACCCCATTAATTGCTCTTTCTTTGATATTTGACAGCTTGATGATCTTGCCAACTAATTTCAGTTTTCAGAGCAGAAAAACTAACAAACATAGTCATGCATTCACTATAAATACTCCATGGGCATGTGCTCAAAATAATCAGTCTTTGTTATACAATATAATTACAATATTATCTCTCTATCTCTTTATCACTATTAGTTATCATCTTTATCTCTAATATAATTATAATTATTATTGTTATTGTTATTATTATGCCAAAGAAATCTGTATCTACTACCTCTGTTAAACAAACTACCAATGGTAAACATCTAAAGCATAAGAAACAATATGGTATTGGTGGTGGTGGTGGTGATGACGATGTAGACGAAAGAGAAGATTGTACCAGTACTCTGACAACGATAACGACTACCATTCTAAAGAAAAAGTCGAGCTCTGAGAATCTAAAGAGAGAGAAGCACTGTGCATCCGAGAGAAAAGGCAGAGAGAAGAGAAAGAACCTATTGCTTTCTCTGGCTGATATGGTCGGTCTATCCTCTTCAAGAGATTCTATGGTTGTATCCAACGACAAGAACTACGCTGCCTCCAGTACCAAAGAGAAGAAATCGGCCAACTGTGATACCAAACCGACTGCTGCCAACATACTTACCAAAGCCATAGATGTCATTGCCGAACTAAAAGAGAGAAACGATATTTTGATTCAACAATTGCAACAATTACAACTAGAACATCAACAAGTATCAGATTCTAACTCTACTTCAATTACAACTGCTACTTCCACTTCCACTTCAAATATAAATATTAGAGCTAGTTCTTCTATGGTACCGAATACAAGTTCAAAGACAATATCATCGGCATCATCAACAACAACACCACCATCATCATCAACCTCTACCAATACACTACCATCTTTACTGTGGATGTTGGCAGAGGTGGGTATTTACACTAGACAGCATAGTGCTGAGCTTGAAGTACATCATTGTAACAACAACGATACTATTTCATCAGCATCTTCGTTGCTAAGTTCTTTTGGATCTCTTCCTCTATCACCATTTCTACAAAAAGATAATGATTTTCATCGTCATTCAGACAATAATTATCAACAATTTCACTTTTACAATCAAAATTACTGTAATTTGTAATAAATATCATTTAAATAAAAAAAAAAAAAATACAACTTAAATTAATCTTTGTTTTCTTTTTTTTTTTTTTTTTGAAACTTTACTTTTACTGATTGTGATCATAATTTGTGATTTAATGAAATTTATTTATAAGTAATCAATCCAATGGATAGTGAATATAGAAGTAATATTTTTAAAAAGATAATAAATTCTAAATGGTTGTGTAGTAAGATATTTCAAGAGATAAGAGATTTTCATAGATTCTATTGGTCTGGATTGAGAGAAACTCTAACATGTAGTTGGGATGAACTTGGAATGATATGTGATTGGCAAGATCTCGGTTGTTTCCCAGAAGAATTAATAAGATTCAATATGAATGATCGGTACAAATCGATATTCAATCATTTATGCTTAGCAATCAAAAATGATCAATCTAATGATCACGATGATAATGATGATAGTCTTACAGTTCTTGATCACTTTAAGCTACAGTTCATAAGATCTCTCAAAACTGCATCGCTATATGGCAATCATGACCTCATTGAGTATATATACAATCGATGCGATCATAAAGATCGAATAGCAATTGATTTCAGATCAATCTATAGATATGCAATGAAAGGAGGTCATCTTTCAATTATTAAATTTCTCAATGATAAGAGTATCATCGAGTTTCTCAAAGAGAATAAAATAGAACAGGTATTCTCTGTTACGTCCATTACCAAAGCAGCGAAAAACGGTCATCTATCGATAGTACAGTATCTCCACGAGAATAGAAATGACGGTGCAACATCGAAAGCAATGGATATGGCAAGTGTTAATTCACACCTAGACATCGTGAAGTACCTACATTTCAATAGGACCGAGGGTTGCACCTATTTGGCAAAGAGCAAGTGTAAATCCATGGAGATTGCAGAGTTTCTCTTCACCAATCGAACAGAACAATCATCATCGTCCTATATAGGTGCCATTGAATCGGGTGATCTAAACTTGGTTAAATACATCTATCAATGTTATCCGAGTGACTTTTCAGGAGGAGGAGGTAGTCCTATCGATTTGGCAATGGAAAAGGGATTCTTTGATATTGCTGAGTATCTCGTGGTGAATGGAATCGGTCAGTGCAGGAATTCAACAATTACAAATGCTGCATTTCATGGTCAGTTCAATCTTGTAAAATTAATTCATAAACAACTTGCTAGCAGTTCGGCAACAAAATCGAATGAAATCCATTTGTTTAGTTTCCTACATGCAACGAAGCATCGAAATAACTTGGAGCTTGTTGAGTTCTTGTTTACCAATAGGTCTGGTGTAATTACTAGTGCTGCCGTTGAAAATGCTGCATCAGTTGGAGATCTACCAACACTGAGATTCCTTCTTCAGCACGGTGGAGAGGGTACATCTATTGCATTAACGAAAGCAGTTGTCAACGGTCATTCCGAAGTTGTAAAGTTTCTTATAGAGAATCAATCAGTGGAATGTCCACCCAAGCTATTGGATACGTTCAATATTGAGAAACATTTCGAATTGTTTCGATATCTACATTACAAGAGACCGGATTTGCCGATTAGGATTGCTATGGATTGTTTGGCAGCTAGTGAGAATCAAGCAGCAATGGAATGGTTCATCAACAATCGAACGGAGCGATTCACCTCGAATGCCTTTGAGTATGCAATCAAACACAACCGACTATCAAACATTCAATGGTTACAACGAAATTGTAGCTATTTGCAATTGGATGCGAAACACTTTAAGAGTGCTGCGAACCGTGGTTATTTTGATATCGTTCAGTATCTAAACAGTCAAAACACACCATATTCAAAGAAAGTAATCGAGAAAGCAATCAATAGTGCTTCTATAGATATCGTCAAGTTCTTACATTACAATCGTAGCGAACCGTGCTACAGCAAAGCATTTAGGAATGCAATTCAAAACAAAGATCTACCAATCCTCAAATTCCTCCTGATGAACCGTACCGAAGAGACCTATATCAATCCCTCTTCAAAGTTCTACCATTATCTTCAAAGATCAGAATTCATAAAGAAATTAAACATTTAAAAAAAAAAAACAAAACAAATTTACTATTTTAATAAATAAATAATTGCTAAAAAAGATAAAATAAGATATATATATTTCTTTTCAATCTAATCAAAAAATGAAAGAAAGAATGAGATTATTATATTAATTACAATAAATAATTTTTATAGTAAAAAATGAAAATAATATTACCCCCTTTTGCTATATCCCTTACACCAATTTCATTGGAATTAAAAAAAAACAAATAAAAAAAAACACCAAAAAAGATATAAAATTTTTTTTATGTTTTTTTCATTTTTGCAATCTGGGTGAAATTATTATAATAATTTAACTTAATTATCATTAAAAGAGGATTTTTTTAAATTAAAATTTGATGAAAATGTCAATAAATTCATTAATCCTTAATCATTTGCTATAAACACTTGTGTTGGTTTAGTGTCAAATAAAATACATATCCTTATTAATAATTTTATGGTGTTACTTGTTTACACACCCCACACTCTCACACTAACTCAACACATTCATATCTATTGAATTAGGAACAACAACAACAACGAGCAAACAAAACAATCACAAACCAATTGCAAAGTTATTTATTACTACAATTTTATCATTCATCAACTCAACTCATTACTCATTTCAATATAGTTTTTCAATATTAATCAAAATTAATTTATAAATTAATTGTATTAATTTTCAATATTAATCAAAAGCAAAACAAAACAACATAAAGTTCAAACATACATACTTTAAACCAAATATATCTAGTTATTATTAATATTAGTAGATTTAAATTAACCCTATAAAGTAATTATCATTATTCATTAGTAAGTATAATTTTAAATATCAACTAGCAAAATATATTCATTAGTTTTTCATTACCAGTCCAAGAATATGCAAAAACAAAATTTAAAAAGAAAATGAAAAACATCTTCAAATTAAATTAAACTTTTTTGATTCAAACATCAATGGTTGTAACAATATGACAACAATGATAATAAATATATATTTATTACCGAATGATTTTGGTTGTTTGTCTTATGTTTTCAAATTTTTTTTTTGTTTTTCCGTTTTATTTATTAGTAGATTCATACTTGAATTGAGGAGACAATCCAAAAGTAAACAATTTTTTTGGGTTTCAAAATAATAATAATAATATATATATTTAAATAAATCATATATATAATAAATATATAAATGAAATTTTAAATTTTGATTTGTTTTTTAATAGAATGATTGTATATTATTATAATTAACAATATTATTCGTACTAATAATAATTAAATTAATAGAAGAAGAGAAATATAGAAAGGAAATCATAAATTAATTCAATCAAACAAATTTATGTTCTTCAGTTACAATCTAAATAACTCAACTTTTGTTAAATATAAATTTAATAATCTATTCGAACATTCGCCTACAACCAACTTCATTTCGACTCACTTTGCTTAGCTTCTAAATAATGGATACGATAATGACAAAGCCAATTGGTCACAAAGTGATAGTAGTATATCATTCATTGCCACTCTCATTAAGAAAATTAAAATTAGGAGGTAAATTAATATATAATGTTTCAATCAATCATTCTCTAATCAATTAGTTATTATTTTAGTTTGGTCATTTCATGATAGAAATCTATATTCTTTAGTTTCATCATTAACTTCATTAAAGGATCAAAAAGGTAAATAGAAATTTATTAATTTTTTAGAATGACAGTATATAATATTTATATTCTTTTTTTTTGTTTATTATCAAGTTATTGAGAAACATTGTTGGGTAGGTTGTCCTACTACTAAAGATAAAAAGCTAGTTTCATCTGAGAATGAGCAAGCTACAGAAGCTTTAAATATCCAATTGGCCGAGAACTCTTGTATTCCAGTTGAAACTGTTTCATCGAAACTCTATGACGACGCAGTCAACAAATTCAGTCAGCAATTCTTGAATCCACTGTTCCACTATGACATATCCGACAGTACTTTTCAAGATTCTCACTGGAAATCCTATAAGCTTTTCAACAAACGTTTCGCCTCTAAAATTGCAGAGATATATCAACCTGGTGATATTGTTTGGATTCATGGGTATGATGTTCAATTATTTAGATATTTAATGTTTTCTTTGATCAATGAATTCTCTAACCATTAAAAATTATAATAGTATACAATTATTATTAGTACCTAAATATCTTAGAGAATTAATTAATAGCTGTTTAATTGGATTCTTTTTGTATTGTCCTTTTCCAGCGGTCGAGATCTACAGATGTTTGGCATCGAGAAAAAAGATTCTACAGGGAATACTTGGATCGGATTTAGTTGCTTTCCAATCGTATTCCTACTCGAGATACTTTATTCAATCGTGTACTAGAATCTTGGGTGTTGCCGGTGGTTTCGATGGGGTGAAGTATCGTCAAGAGAGAATCGGAAAGGAACACCTCACCAGAGTATCTGTCTATCCCGAAGGTATAGATCCACTTGAAACTCAACGTTCCTTGGCATTCCAAGAGACACAACAAAGACTTGCTGAATTGAAAGCTAGATTTAAAGATTTAAAGATATTTTTAGCAAAGTAAGATTAATAAGATTGATATGTTATCCTTTTTGTTCTTGTTATTAATCGACTTGTTTTTCATTGCTATACTGTAGAGACCAGAGTGAATTAATTGATGCAACAAAAATGAAATTGTTGGCATTCGAGTATTTCTTGAGAAACAATCCAGATTGGATTGGCAAAGTTGTATTTTTATTGATTTGCGAACCTGGAGATAACAAGATTATTTCGAGTATCAATGAGACTGTGGCGAGAATCAATGGAGAGTTCAGTCATGTAAGTTTTATTCCGATTGAATATATCAGCAGACACTGTGACTATGAGGAGTTGTGCGCGCTCTACTCTGTTGCACATGTGTTTGTCTCGACGCCACTGCGTGATGGTATGAACCTAGATACTCACGACTATGTCAGTTGTCATCGTGATCACAACCCAGGTATTCTAATCCTAAGTGAATTCGACGGTGCTTCAAGATGTTTCGGTGGAGCTCTAACTATTAATCCGTATGTTGTTAGTTATCTTTCTTTAAATCAAATTTGTGTACTAATGCTATATTTCGCTCTCTCTCTCTCTCTCTCTCTCTCTCTCTCTCTCTCTCTCTTTATTGTAGATGGAGTAGATCACAAGTTGCAAATGCATATCTACAAGCATTGACATTATCAAGTGAGGAGATTCGTTTAAAACACGAATACAATCTTAACTATGTCCTAACAAATACCAGTTTTGTTTGGGGTGAAGCATTCCTGTTTGATTTACTTTCATGTCAAACAAACTCTTTGAATCAAGATATCGATTCATCGATATTGGATACAAAGAAATTAGATCAAACCTATAGGTTATCAAAGAAAAGAGTAAGTTGATTTTACATTTATGTTGTTTAACTCCTGTTGTTGTTGACTTACTCATTCGATTATTATATTATTATTATTACTTTTTAGTTTTTAATTTTCGATTTCGATGTTGTATTCTCAAGTACGACACAAGGTACTAAAATGGCACAGAAACTATCGAACGTTCTAAAGAGACTCTCCAAAGATCCAGGCAATATCATTTACATCGTCACCAGTAGAGATACAGACACCTTGGAATCACTGTTGGAAAACATTCCCGTTGGATTGGGTGCTGAACACGGCAACTTTCTAAAGTCATCGACTGGAATGCCAGAGTTGGATGGCTGGAAGAACTACTCGGAGGGCAGCGATCTCTCTTGGATAGAAACGGTAGTTCCCATACTGGAGTACTTCTCTGAGAGAATACCGGGAAGTGTTCTCGATGTCCGAAAAGTCACTGTTAGTTGGTGCTACCAGGAATGTCTGACTAAACACGCCGAGGAACAAGCACAGGAGCTGCTCACACAGCTGGTAGAGGTCGCTGCTAAAGCGCCAATCGAGATCATACACTGTAATCGCACCATTGAGATCAAACCGTCGGGAATGAGCAACGGTACGGCAATGAAGAAGATAGTCGATGAGAATCCAGACACCGACTTTATTTTGTGCATGGGCAATGGACACACCGATCCAAAGCTATTCGATCTTCTCGACAACGATAATCCAAATCACTTTGCAATCTCCATCGGTAGAGTAGAATCATTTACGAAATACTACATCAATAACCAATATCAAGTGTTACGTATACTCGATCATATATCATCTCCTCTAAGTTCGAGTCCAATTCCCATTTTTTCTGAAGCCATTTTTAAATGATCGCCAGCCATCCTTTTTTTTTTAGCAATATAATTATTATATATTTTTTTTTTTCAATAATAAACTATCATTCATATTAATAATAATATTTTTGTTAATATTATTATTATTACTCAATAAATAAAAATAGATAGATAACATTTTTATTTGATGATTCTTTAAATAGTTTATTTTTATTCAATTTCTTTTGCATTTCATTTGAATACTACATCGATTAAATCTTCATCATCCATATCCTCGTTGTTTGGCGTTGATTTCAAGTTCAAATTCATTCCATCGAATTTCAATAGGATCTGTTTGTTGGGTGGTGTTATTATCTTTTTAGATATACCTGTTAGCAGTTTCTCAAATGTATCATCCTAATTTATTAAAATAGATATTTTTGTTGGTTAACTAACTTGTTACAAGTGAATATGAATTATCGATATAATTTACCTTTCCAAGTTTAAATTTATGTGAATTACCTTCACATCTCAAAATTAAAACAAGTTTGTTGGGATCGTCTATCGCTTGAGTTGCAATTGGTGGTGCATCGTTGAGATCAACACTCATCACCATTGGTTTAGCAATCTCTTTGATAGTGACATCGAGTGTATCTTGATCGATGAGATAGAGTTCGTTTGGTGATTTCGAATGTTCCATAGGCAGACCATATTGTTTCAACTGAAGATCTGCTGCAACCAAATTGAATTGCTTTGAGTATTTATCTACCAATATCTTAATTGGTTCTTTCTATAAATAGATATTAATAGTAAGACAACTGAAATTCAGATAAAGATAGATAGAACTATACTTACTTGACGTATCTTTAAAGAATATGGTTGTTCTCCTACCATTTTTAGGAATAAAGTAATCTCATCATTGGTATCATTGATGGTTGGGAATGAATTGTTGCTACTACTACTGTTACTACTACTATAACTATTATTTTTGTTGAATGATTGTATTTCGGGACTGTTTGATATATCTATCGATGAAGATATTGAACTATTTACATATGATGAAGAAGATGATAAAGATGATGAAGTCGATGAATTTGATCTCGTGGATGAACGTGTTTGAGGTATTATTGCAATACAATCATTATCGTCATCGTCTAAAGAAATTGCATTATTATAATTATTGTTGTTGTTGTTGTTATAGTTATTGTTGTTATTCTCATTTTCATCATCATCATCTATATTATTATATTCAATTGAATTTACAATTGTTTGACTATTATTATTATTATTATTATTATTATCTATTTGATTATCATCATTACTATATCTTAGAGGTGCAATATCTTCATTTTCCGCTTCATCTAAATCTCTGTGTTTATGACTTTTCTTTTTCTTTTTAGTCTTTGCGCTGGCAGGTCTACCTTTTCTCTTTGCTGACTTTGTTTCCTTTACGAATGATTCACTGTACGATTCTTCTTCCTCTTCCTCAGCCATCATTCTATCGACATCAGCCTCTGACAATGCACCTCTATATTGAAACACAGGAATATAGTCATCTGATTTATCCATTCTTTCTTAACTTAACATAAACCAATAAATTATATTCTATTATTATATCTTAATAAACTAATACTTGGTACTAATACTAATAAATAATCATAAACAAAATATGTTTTTTTTTTTTTTTTTAAAAAACTTATTTGAAAAAAAGGTGGCTCGAATCATCATTCATTGATTTTATAATTTAATTCAAGTCATCACCTTCCTGAATTTAATTCATTTGCAAATGAGAAACTGACTGATTGATTGAAGCGGGCTTGCACTTACCAAATAAAAAAAAAAAAAAAGTTTATATTATTTTTATAAATATATCAATTATGTTTTATTTTTGATATTGATCCATGTCTGAATGATTCTCACTATCTTGAGAGAGTTCAATTGAATGTTTCAGTTGTCGATGCATAGGTATGTGACTTTGTGATAGTTTGATTGGTTGAACGAGGATGGTGGCGAGTGTAAACCATACTATTGTGACTGAGAATACAACAGAGTAGCCCAACTTTCTAGATTCGATGTTGTCGAGGATGAATCCTGTTATCAATGGTGAGAGTGCTTGTGGAATAACCATGGTCTGATGCCAGATCGCCAGATCCTTAGCAATGTCTGCGTTCTCTGGCAAACAATCGAGCGCCAACGCCCAATCCACTGCTTGATAGGCACCGTAGCCCACACCGAAAATACCGGCGAGGATCATCACCAGCAACAACGAGGGGTTGAAACTGATCACCAGGAATCCAACGATACACGCCGACATTGTTCCACACGAAACGTAGACCATTACTTTGCGACCGAATCGATTCGAGAGCGGACTGGCAATGAGTGAGGCCGGCACCGACGTGACTACGATAATACACAGCAAGACACTGGTGTAGGCAGCGGCATTCTCTACCTTTATGACATCGGACAGGTAGTATTGAAAGTATGGGAGCACCGCATAGACACCCATCTCCTGGATGAATCGGGTAATCATCACCCAATAGAAATTTCTATAGAGATGCGATGGCAGATAGAACGACTTGAAGAATCGCTTCACAGTGAGTCGCGGTACATATCCCTTTTGCTGGTGCTCTCTAACACCGAAAACCGTTGGCATCGAACAACCGATGATCAACACCATCAAATAGCAATACAGACTGAAAAGAGGTGGTTTATCCTCATTCTTGGTGCCAATTAGCAACAGTCCCGTACCGCCCAGTCCCACCAAGTTGCCGAGCGCATTGGCAAACGCCAGGAATCCCGAGGCATTTCCATACTTTTCGTTGGGGACCATGTCAGGCATCAGCCCAGAGAACGGTCCACCCGCCCAATTCATTCCGAATTGCATCGCCATCAACAACGCTGTGAAAATCACAATATTTTTACCGGCGAATGAAAGCAGCAGAAGCGATGCGCCACACACTAGAATACCGCTCAAAATGAATGGACGACGTCGTCCGAACCGACTTTGAGAGTGGTCCGACAGCCAACCGGCCAGCGGCGACACTATCACCGAAACTATAATACCGAATACCGGCAGCAAAGCCGTGTAGAAATCCTTGAGTTTCTCACCGCCCATATAATACAGTTGACTTGGCCAAACGATCGAGATGACCGCACTCATCACTGCACTACTTCCAAACCAAAACGAAGTCAAACATATATAAAACTTTATCAGCTGCCAACGTCCAGTCGGCAGACTCTTTGCTGGCGTACCATCGCTATTGTACGCGCCACTCTTTCCATCGCCATCATAGTCGTCATCCTCTATAAACTGTATATCTTTCATAACAAATTCTTCTCCTCTATTATTTTCATCATGAATACTATCATTATCTAAAAACAATAATGTTATATATTAATAAAAGATCAAACAAACAAACTTCAATTTCAAAAAACAAAATGCTACCTTTAAGTGATGAATCATCGTCAAATGCAGAAGCAAGCGATGATCGTAATAACGAATGTTCCGGTGAATGTGCACTGTCTACCAATGAAATAACATGATTATCTGAAATACTTCCTATTTTCTTTTCATATCCATCGTCGTCGAATGTAAAATCTCCTGATTCTATCATTTTTTACTTTATATATTTTATATTTTATTTTGGTTATATATTGTTATTATTATTATTATTTATACAATTTTTATTACTATTATTATTATTTAACTATTATTATTCAGCATGTTGATATTTGATTTTTTCACCAATCAAATCAATTTAAGTTTTACTTTTCTTTTATTTTCTTTTCTTGTTTTGTTTTGTTTTAATTAATAATACTAAAATTTACAATGAGTATGAATATGATTATTATTTGTATAATAATAATAATATATAACTGTGTGTTACTTTTTTTTTTAAATACTAAAATTGAATGATAATGATATCTATCATTTCATTCTAAAAATAAATAAAGAAGATAATACAAAAAACTGCCGACACCACCTCAGCACCATCAATTTGCTTTGGTGTTTGAATAAAAAAAATAAGATTTTTTCAAACCCCCATTAGAAATTTTTAAAATTTTTTGTGTTATGTAATTTGTTTTATTTAAAAACTATCTTTTCCAAAACCCCTAGGGGTTTTTCACAACCACAATCGAGATTTTAAAACAATTTTTGATTTTGAAGATTCATCTGAAAATATCATTTTTTAAAATTCTGATTAATTTTTAAAATATTTTATATTGATATTTATTATTTAGCATTATCATACACTGATTTGATTTGTTAATATACTTGCTTTCTCAATTCTTTTGTAAATGTTTTATATCTTGTTCTTTTACAGAGATACACCAATTTAGTTGTGGAACAAGTGTTTGCTCGTCATCGAATACTTTGACAGAGTAGTGACCACCGTACAACTTTGAAGCGTATTCAGTTCCGTTGTCATCGATAATCACGTCCAATTCGACGAATCCAGTGGCAACGTCTTGAGTTTCGACGAATGGCCATTCCGACTTTTCATTTACCCTGATTGAGACTGCGTGTTTGTAGTCGCCGTACCATTTGCCTTCTGGTGAGAACACGGTGAATACGGTGATCCACCCGGACAACCAGGTCGGTCCCGATCCACCGCCGATATGATTGGCAATGCGATTCCACCAATCGAGAAGATCTTCGTCTAGATAGCCATCGTCATTCACCGATTCGCCGCTAACCGAACGAATGAATTGATCGAGAATCGGTAGTAACATCGCCGACCATTTACTCATCAGCTTCTGCTCGCCGACATCAAACTCCACCAGCCGCTGAGCTTTATCTTTCAGTGATTTCCAATCTTCTACCGATCCAAGCATGGTTACTGCTGACAATCCACAGCGTAGTGAGTATTTGAAATTATAGTATTTCTTCATTGTCGCCATGAGACAGACCGCTCCAACAATTCTATCGTTGTAGGTTGTCGTTGAGAATGATGGCATTGACCAATCTCTTATCGACGGATCTTTAATGTTGCGGGAAATCAAATCGGTCATTGCCAGAGTCATTTCGTCGTAGGGAGCATTGAATAGCGTCGCATTGGCAACAACCTCCAGATCTTTCTTGCCTTGGAAATCGACGAGTTTCTCTCGGAGCTGTTCAGAGTTTGCATTCAAATAGAATGAGAATTGTGTCATTATCGCTATCCAAACGTCGTCTGGTCTAATGACAAGTTTATGATGTTGGGAATACGCGTAGAAAGCTGATTGTACAAATGAATTTCTTCCAATGAAAAAGTGATTCTTCGCATCATCTACTTCGATACTCGATTTCAATGGAACATACAATGGTTCCGGTACTTTCTCAACTTCATATTTGGATGTTGGTTTTTTTAGATGTTCGGTGTGGTTGAACTCACTGAGCTTTGAAACCTTCTCACGATGCTCTATAATTTCAAATGAAGTTGATTTTACATCTGAACTTAAATTTTTATAATAATGTGACATATTTTTAACTATCTATTGTCTTTTTCTTTTTAACTATCAAAAATAAAAAAATGATTATTTATAAAAAAACAAAAATCTATCTATCAGCATTCTTTCTTTAAAAATTCTACTTTACAAATAAGGCTTTTTCAACCAAAATTAGATTAAATTTTTTTGAACTTTCTGTTTAAAATTATTTTCAAATAAATTAAATTACATAAAGACATTTAATATCTTTTTTATTTTATATTTTTAATTGTTTTCTAATAATATATAGAAATATATATATATTAACAAATAACTAAATAATACAAATAATATAATAAAATAAAATAAATAAATTTAACAAAAAAAAATATAGAAACAAAAGAAAACATAAATAAAATATTATTATAACAAACTACTTTTAATTACTTCAATCTATTAATATTTAAAATCTTAAAAAAAAAGATTTAACAAAAAAAAAACAAAAAGGAATGTCACAATATTTTAAAAATATGAGTAGTGATGTAAAATCAATTAGTTTTGATGTTACTGGTAAGCATGATAGTTTCAAACCGACAAATGAATTTGATTATGGTGAAGATTTCAGAAAGGAACAATTCAAAACGAAAATGGAGAAACCTAATCAAGTACCGCTTATGAGTAGTATCGATAGTAGCGACAAGAAGAATCATCTATATATTGGTCCGAATTCATTTGTGAAATCATGTATACTTGCATACTCTGACCATCATAGAATCGTACTGAGACCCGATGATATATGGATTTCGATAATGACACAATTCTCATTCTATTTGAATGCAAACTCTGAACAGCTCCGAGAGAAACTCGTCGATTTCCAAGGCAAGAAAGAACTGACTGTCTCTGCCAATGCATCACTGTTCAGTGCACCGTACGACGATATGACTCTGGCAATGACCGATTTAATCGCCAAGAACATTAAGGATCCGTCGATAAGAGATTGGTCAATGCCATCATTCTCAACGACAACCTATAACGATAGAATTGTTGGAGCGGTCTGTCTCATGGCGACAATGAAGAATTTCTTTCAATTTAAATATCAACTCTGTTGTGGATTGCCATCGGTAACCCTGCTCGGTTCGGTAGAAGATTGGAAATCACTGAAAGATAAAGCTCAGCGTCTGGTGGAGTTTGATGTCGGCGAGCAGAAGCTGATGAGTAAATGGTCGGCGATGTTACTACCGATTCTCGATCAATTCATTCAATCGGTTAATGGAAAACCAGATATTAGCTGGTGGAATAGAATTGCCAATTATGTTGGTGGTGGATCTGGACCGACTTGGCTGTCGGGATGGATCACAGCATTCACTGTCTTCTCTCCGGAGGGCGTGTGGCTTGGTGACAAAAAGAAAATCTTTTCAATGAACGATGCCACACATTTAACTAGTTTCGAGTGGTGTTTTATTGATACTCAAGATATGGCATGTGGATTCGTCGAGTTGGATGTGATTATCGATGACAACGGAACTGAATATAAATCAAAGCTCTACGGTGGTCATTACACAGTCAAAGTTTTCGATAGCAACCAAACACTGGTTCCACAGCTTAATTGGTGTATCACAGTTTCAGATCAAGATATAAAATTATTAAAAAAGTGAAAAAAGTATCAACAAATGAAGATTTCTATATTCTTTTAATTCCTTTTTTTTTTAAAAGAAATCTCATTTCAATGTATAAAGTTAAATTGCTAAATAAATAAAAAAGATTTATTCTTTGTCTAACACTCTATCTATTCTCAATAATATTAGAGTGTTAAACAAAGAATCTTTATTGTTTTAATTAAAACTAGAAAAAGGGTTCGAAATTTTATAGTTATAAGAATACCTATTTTATTTAGTTAATTTAAAATCTAGGGCGTCATAATGTTTTGGTGGACTGCATCCATATATTTAACAACCTCTTCCGCAAGTCCAACGATGACTCCAACAACCTCCGAAATTTACAGTCTTTTCACATGAAACTGAATCCACTCCATTTGGTTGACCTTTTAATTTTTAAATTATTAATTAGAAAATAAAAAAGAAAAATGAAAGAATCAAATAAAAAATGAATAGATATATTTACAATTATGACCACCTTGAGAAAGTCCATTTAAGAACATATCTCTGTTGTGTGTTGGACTGAAATGGCAGGCGTTTGAACATAGGTAGTAGCACCTTCCACCTCTATCACTGACGGCACTGCAAGCGGTATCACAAGCAAGAGATACATGGGCTACACAAAATACCAAAACCATACAAATAAATAATTTATTCATTTTTATATAATAATAATTAATTGATTGTGAAATATAAATATAATTAATATTAGAATATTATATGTATATAATAATAGTTTTGTATTTATAGCTTGTCAACTTCAGCCATTCCTTTTATTCATTATTTTCCTAGTCTTCTCATCCAATCCCATGCCATCCTGAACTAAGATTGTATACATCTATCAATCTATATATTAATTATTAAATTTTACAAATTGAATGTATAGAAATCGAAAAATATAAATCTGTTTTTACAAAACTATTTTGATTGGTGGTTTACTAGTTATTTGAATCATAATATGTTTAATTCCACCCCCAAATTTTAATTTTTTCCATCTGTCATTGAATGGAATTAAACATATGAAATGGGTAAGAGTAGTGGTAATGTGCTAATATATATAGTCTAATCAATCAAATGCAACTATTATAATATAAAATAATCTAATCTCTATAGGTAGTGCATATCAACTATATTATAATGGTGTGGTCTATTAATATAGATATTTTATTGTCACAACCCCAAAATATTACTAAATACGATTCTATAATGTGATTTTGTAATGAATATTACATTTATAATTAATATACAGAATTGTATATAACCCACACACATTCACACTTGTCTTTTTTTTAATTTTTATGAAATTTCAAAATAATACATTATTAATATAAAATTAAATCTATGCTATATATATTTAAAAAAAAATATAATTTTAATAGTAAAAAACAAAAAAATAAAGTTCAATTGACATTTATTGATGGCGATTAGTTTTCTCAAAAAGGACAATCATCATTGTTGTTGTGATCATCAGTCATAAAAAAAAAAAATCCTTAATTCCGATGTTTTGGTTTCGAAACACTTATTCAAAAAAAACTTTAATATTTAAATAAATAAAAAGAGTATACGTAAATTTCATTAAACTATTGGGTTTGACCAAAAAAAAATGAAAAGAAAGAAAAGAAATCAAACTTTGATTAAAATCAATTCAAATATTTTTGAACCTCTATATTTATCTATTTATCTACTTTAATTAACAATAAATATAAATAGAATAGAATAAATAATTTTATCTTTTAATTTAACTAGATAAATAAGGAATCCGAAACCATTCAACATTGAGGTGATATTTCAAATATATTAGGTAAGAATAAAAGAAATCAAAATTGTTTTTGTGAACTTGTTTTATAACTTTGATTAATTGGTTGATTAGTCCTTTAAAAGGTTATAATTGTTTTAAAATAATTTGTTATTTGATTTTTAATTCTTTCATATCCAGGGAAGAGTTTAAACACACAATTTAGTTTGAAAAGTTAAAGAACAATTGTTTTCATTGCTTTATCATTTTTTTTTTAAACGATCACCTTTTTTACATAAATGCAAAAAAAAAAAAAGACACAAAAAAGTGTCTATAGGGTCATAATGAGTTCTTTGTTTTTAGAAAAAAATTATTGATCACAATGTGTGGTGGTGTTTGGAAAAAGCAAACAAGATATTCATAGATTTTCAGATTACCAAAAACAAGAGGAATCCGGATCATTTCATTTACATTTTTTTTTACAATTTTAGCAATAGACAGATAGATAGATAGATAATTAGTTAGTAGAAAAGTAATATTTTATTTGTACATAAAGCAAGCAATCAATCAAAAGTGTTTGAAAACTTTGATTATATTCTATATATCTAATATCTACACACACACTCACCACACACTCACCACACTCTTACTTTCTTTTACACTTGTTTTTTAAAACAACAAACAAACAAACACTTCTAATCACATCACAGCTATAACATCGAAAACGATCACTTTCAAGTTCATTTAAACTGAAAATCATCTTTATATTAATCTATTCATATTAATTCGATTATATTTAACTAATATATAACTTTCTTATCTAAAAATAGTTGTTAAAGATTGATTGAGTAGTAGTAGTAGTAGTTTTTTATTATTTATTTATATATTGTTTATTTATATTAATATTATTATATAACAAATGTTATCGGACGATATTGGTTTAGATACATTTAATAATAGTAAGAAATATTCAGATAATGTACCACTCTTAAGAAGAAGTGGTGGCAGCGGTGAAGAGGGTGACCATGAAACGTCACAGCCAACATACGGATCGACACCCACCAAGTATGTAGCGATGCGTAAACTTACATTGGGAGAAAAGATATCGTATGGTCTTGGTGAAGGTGGTCTTTCAATCTATCAGGTCATCAAAGGTTTCTTCTTGAATACATTCTTGCTGTCGGTCGCTAAAATGGATCCACTCTATTCAGCACTCATTCTTTTCACAACAAAAGCAGTCGATGCATTTTCAGATATTTTCGTTGGATCACTCTCCGACCGTACCAAATCACGTTGGGGTAGACGTCGTGTTTGGATTCTCTTCGGAGCATTACCATTAGCATGTCTTTATTGTGCACTTTGGTAAGTTACTACAAAACAAAAACAACATACCTATCTAGATATTTATTAATCAACCTAATTATCTTTATTATAATATATTCAAACTTATTTAAAAAAGGTTTGTTCCACCATTTGGACAGATAGCAAAAGTAGCATATTATCAAATAGTTGTAATTCTTTTGAGTATTGCCTATACTTGTGTAGCTATTCCATATTCGGCTATGAATGCAGAAATTACTGATGATTATGATGAACGTACAAATTTGGCTGGTGTAAGTAACCATAACCCCTTTTCAAATAGAATTGCAAACCCTCATTTTCAGATATTAATATTACTATTTTTCTCTAGCTACGTATGATTTCTATGATGTTGGGTGGTGTAGTTTCATCGTTTGTACACTCAATGTTGATTACTGTGTTTACAAAGGAAGAGGATGGCGTTGAAGTCACCAACTACGAAAAAGGTTATTTGCTGAGTGGTGGTGTTTGGGGTTTCGCTATGATGATTCCTCTGGGTATCACTTTCTATGGCACGAGAAACATCAAGAATGTCAACAACACTTCGGAATCACACGTACCATTTTTCAAGGGTCTCGCTGTGATGTTTTCGAATCGTGCTTTCATCACTGTAACACTGTTGTATTTCTTCTGTCAGATTGCCGTGCAATTTGTGCAAAACAATCTGCTGATGTACTGCACCTACGTTGCAGACGCAGAGTCACAATTCCCATATATTTTGGCAACGCTCCAGATTTCCGTGTCGGTCTTCATTGTGGTGTGGGGCAAGCTGTCTGTCCTCATCGGAAAGAAAACCGTCTATTACATCGGTGGAATATTCCTGTTGGCTACTTTTATCAGTTTGTACTTTATCCCACGTGGAAACATGCCGCTGGTTTGGGGTGTCGCTGCATTCGGTGGAATCGGTGTGGCTGTTGCATTCCTGGTGCCAATGTCAATGTTGCCCGACGTCGTCGAGTTGGACGAGCTCAAGACAGGCGAGCGTCGTGAAGGTATTTTCTACAGTTTGTTTTTGTTCTTCCAGAAGCTCGGATTGTCCGTCGGTCTTGCCGTATCGAATTTCGTGCTTAGCGCAGCCGGCTACACTTCACCAGACTCTATCGATGGCAGCAGCGATGAGATCATCGACAACAACAAAGAGAACGACACTGTTATTTTCGCATTGCGTATGCTTGTCAGTGTAGTGCCAGCAGTCATTGTATTATTTAGTTTCGTAGCAGTATTTTTCTATCCGATAACCAAGGAGTCTCACAACAAAACAAGAGAACTCCTGAAAAGAAAACGTGAAGGTGAAACTGTAATCTTAGAAAATTAAAATAATAATATCTTATAATAATAACAACTCGAATATTTAAACATATATATTTATATTCATTCCAATTGGAGTGAAAACCAAACCAAATAATTTCCAAAAACATCTTTTAAACTTAAACTAATATTTCAAGAGTGTCAATAGATTTCAATTAAATCAATTCACTCACATCGAGGTACGATGAAATAAATAAAAAACTTTTTTGTTAACATTCTTCCAAATATAAAATAATATTCTCATTATGTAATTTGTTCTTGTTGATTAATTAAATAAATATCAATTTGAAAACAAAAGAATTGTTTGAAAGTAGTTGGCATCAAAAAAAAAACTATCCAATTCAAATAAATTATAGTTTAAAAATACCATCTTTGGAAAAGGTAATTATTTCAAACATGGAGATGTAAATTTGCTTTATCTATTAAAAAAAAAATAGTACATTTGTTTTTATATCAGTATTTGTTTGTATTATTTTTTTGTAGATCTTAAAATTACAAATTTCTCAATGATATTTTAATATGTGAATTGTTTTGTTTGTTGTTCAATCATCAAATAATTAATATTAACACATAACAATAAATATTGTACTTTATTTTTATTTTATTTTATTAACTGTGCTGCTGTTGTTGTGGTAAAAAGGTAGATAATAATAAATTAAATGATGATGTGTTGGTTAGTGGTGTTTTTGATGTGTGAACAAATGCAAATAAATAAAAATAAAATAATAATATTGAATTAGTGTGTTAAATCGGGATCATCAAAAATTGATGACTTATTTGATGTTTTAGATAGAATTGACATGTTGATGTTAATAATCGCGTGTGGTACATAAATAATGATTGATCATGTGAAACAACAAACACTTCTTTTACTGACAAACAAACACAAAAGAGTTTTTTTTTAAAATATCATAATAAAATTAAGAATGACAGATATTATTATGGTCTGGGTGTTTTGTGTTGTTGTTATTTTATTTTAACACCTACCATACTTGGTCGAAACCTTTCTAAAATGGAAATAGAATACAATCAATGCTTTTAAATCAGTATTTTTTTGTAATAAGGAAATTGACAACTCTAATCTGAACACAACTATTCATTCATTCATTCATCATCAAACCAAACTCACACTGACACACAACACACTCTTCTCTCATATATGCCACAATTATACAATTGATTTCAACTGCAGCAGTAATAAACAATTAAACTCTCTCTTACTCTCTTACTCTCTTACTCTCTCAAATAATATCAGATAGATAATCTAATTTCACAAGAATATAACAAACAAACATAACAATTTTACTTATTACATATATTTACTTTTTTTTCATATTAATTTATAAATAGATAGATAATAATATTAATAAATATAGTTTAGTAAAGTTAAGTTAAGGTTAGATTAGGTTAGTTATTTAGATTATTGTTGTTTATAAATAAATAAATCCAACAGGGATAAAATTAAAATATTAGAAGTCTACTACTATTTATCTTATTCTTTCTAAGTTTGGATAAAAATCAAATCATACAGTTCATCACACCTAGAACTTTCGTTAAAAATTTGAATCTACAAAAAAGTTAACAGCTAAATATTACAACGAATCAATTTTTTGTGGATCATGAGCAATTCAAAAAAGTTAATCTAGATCGTGATTTTCGAATCTAAATATGACTTTTTGTTAACAAATCAGAGGGTGCCCAGAAATCATAAAAACAAAAAAAAATTCAAAAAAAAAACTTTTTCTCAACAATCATCAAACCACACACAAACAATTTTCATTGTTTTTTGTTTGAAAACCGGAGCATCACCTATTTGAAAAAAAATTGCTCAAGAGCTTTTATTACACACCACAGTACCAACCCACCTTTTGTTTTTCTTAAATTCATTAATTTTGATTCGATTCATCACAAAAATCTTTATCAAAACAGTTTTTTTTTTTGTTCTTTTTTTTATTATAATTCTTTTTTTAAATTTAAAAAAAGCAATATCTTACTAATATTCTTTTAAAATCATTTTATTTATTTATTTATTATATATAATAACATTAGGAAAAAAATATACTATATTATATATTTAGAAAATTGAATTTTTTAGATTGAAAAAGTAAAGTTTAGTTATGATGGATATAGTTTTGGAGACCATTCCTGAAGTGGTCATCATTGCTACAGATGATCATCAAAGTGGTGAAAATAAAAACACATCATCATCGAATATCCAAAATAATGACAATAATATACAAGCACCACAGAATAATTCTGAAATTAAAAATAATGGAAATAATATAAATGAAACAGGAAATAATAGTGGTGGTGACACTGCCACTGCAAATAACAATTCAATTGGAAATAGTAATAGTAATAGTAATGGTAATCTTCATTTAAATATCACAAACACAACTACTATTGTTGTGGCGGATGGAGCAAGTTCGACGACTTTGGAGCTAGCGGATTCTATAAAGCAAGTCGCTTCACCGGTACTTTCGAGTCAACCTACATCATCGAGTGGCAAGACCGATCACACACATCGCTATCGTCACTACCTCGAGAACAAAATCAATAGTTCGTCGGTGCGTGACGACGGGCTGTCGCGCGAACTCACCAACTTCCCCGACGACAACATTCAGCTGTCGATGACGCAGCAGCAGCATCGCACCAAGGAATCGACCATCACCGTCGAGACACTGCCATCCTATATACAATGTGCAATCGAGTCGTTCAGTGCTCCGCGCAAAACAGTGGTGCGCCAGTACCAGCGCTACCGCAAGGAGGCGGAGCGACTCGTGCATTTCGACAACGACAAGTACGACTGCGACATTGAGCGCGAAACAGAGAAGAGTGCGCTCGGATCGTTTGCAATCTCGAACCAACCCGACTCCAAAGATATAAACACCGAGTTGCTCGCTGAATACCAGCCGGGCGAAACCGAGCGCGCCAACACTGACCTGCGAAGCAAGGGTCGCGTCGGATTCTTCCGTTACTTCCGTCCCGACTACAACTGGGGATCCGGCATGGAAGTATCGATTTGCAATCGGTTGCCACACGATATCTGGACGAAACCAAACTATATGAATGTCCTGATCGAGCTGAAAGGACTGGTGTTTATGCTGGGTGAGTTGGAACCATTCTTTTGCTCGCTGTTCATCTACGATGCCGCCAGCAAGAGCAAACTCTCAGAGACTTTTCATTTCGATTTCAACTCGGAGCAGATGCGTCAGTTGCTCGCCAAACATTCAGAGCCTGCCGATCCAGTCACACAAGCTAAGCATCTCGTTGTTTCGCTGCCCGTCAAGCAGATGTCGGACATCTGGATAGTGGTGCGCATCAACAAGGTGATGCAGGGCGATCCCGACCTCGTCAAAGAGCCATACATGAAGCTGGAGGAGAAAGATGTCAAAGCGATCAAGAAGAACAAGGCAAAAGTATCGGATATCGTCTCGAAGTTCTGTGAACGACTCGGACAGTACACACAACCCTTCTGTTGCTCTGTGGTTCGTCTCACAGAGAATGGCGACGTCAAGTACGGCGCGATCGATACCGACGCACTCTTCAAAGTCGTGCCAAAAGACAACGCCGATATCGACGATCTAATCGCCGACTACAAAGATCCCGCTCGTCAAAAGAAGCTGCGGTTAATTCCAGGAACACTATCTCTCAACATTTTCAAGCCGGCCAACGATCTTCCGCCACACACAATGCGACTGGATCCATCGCTCGATCTCGTCGTCTCAGGACAGCCTTTCAACACCAGACTTCCATCTTCCAACTCCATCTTAGTAAATAGCAATATCAACAACAACAACAACGCGAACAGCAACACCAATATATTAGCGCAGACAAGCAATGGCGATGTATCACCGACTTCTTCGTCCTCCTCGACTTCCTCCAACAACTCTTCACCGGCGACATCATCGCCAGTGTTGCAACGTCAACAAACAATGATAAGAGGAGCAACTCTATTGAGTATTGTTCCGGTGATTCGTGAAGTTCAGTGTTTGGCCAAGGAAGAACCGATTCCAAACAGCGAGTTTATCAACAACCTCTATATCTATCCCGACACTGTCAATCTCTCGAAAGCACACGGTCGTAACGTTTGTATTAAAGTGGAGGTGCGTGACTCTGACAACCTCTCGCACCCATCGCTAAAGATCATCTACGGAAAGAGCTCCGCTCAGACTCTGGCCAGTCACTTCATCACCGAGACACACTATCACAACAAGACACCGACATTCGTCGATGAGATCAAGCTGAAACTACCACCTACACTGACCTCTCGCTATCATTTGCTATTCACATTCTACCACGTCATTTGCAACAACAAAAAGAAAGAGGAAGACGCCGAACAACTGATTGGATTCTCTATACTGCCGCTGTATCGCGAGCGAAAGATCTGTGACAACGGACTACACCAACTGCCACTCGCAATCGGCTCACCAAAAGACGGTTATCTCAAAGCCGACGAGAACGACTACACTCTCTTGGAGTCAGGAAAGAGTCTATTCAAAGTGAACATCAACTTGAAATCTAGCATATATCCACAGAACACCTATTTAAACAGATTCTTCTTACAATCAAATAATTCATCTATTTCTGATAATGATATGAATCAAGTAACTATATTTTATATACATTTCTTAAAGTTATAGCTAGTTATACTAATAATAATCAATTGTACAATTTTATTGTTTAGTTATTAAATGATTTCAATCATATTGATGCAGCAGAAGCAATTAGATATCTACCAGTTATTATTAGACAATTGATATTGGTTATGTGTAATAGAGATGCAACTGTTGGTTGTAATGCAATTAAAGCAATGTTTATTACAATTTCAAAGTATGTAAAATATATATATGTTTATTGTTTAATTAAACTTGATATTAATATAATCTTTTATTATTTAGAATACAACAACATTTAGGTGAACCATCTTATCGTGTACCATTATTAGTTTCTTATATCTCACATGTTTTTGATAATCCAAAGGATACTAAAATACCTGTATATTCTGCACTCTGCTCTAGATTTGTATATTTCCTAATGGTAAAGAAGTATAGTCAGCAAAATAACAACAGCAACAACAGCAACAACAACAGCAGCAATAACAGCGAATCAGAGATATCAAATGCAACTTTGTTTTCATATTGTTGGTTTATCTTTGATTTAATTATTAAATCATTATCATTAACTGCTTTAGAATCACCTGAAATGTGTATGTATTAATTAGTTAAAATAAGATATACTTATATATATAAACTAACTAACTAACTAAACAAACTAAATAATAATAATAATAATAATGATATCTTTTATAGTAAAAGGAAATAGAGAAGGTAAATTCGATGGTGATTTCATAAAGTATGTACCAAAGATGGTTTCATTTGTTATTCATCATTTCCATGCTAGTTTGTCAGTGCAACAGGAAAGTCATTTGGAGGGTGAAGCCAACAACAGTTTGGCACTGTTTGTTCGTGACTTGTTTGCTGTGTTTGATCGTGGTATCACTTTGGATCTGGTGTTTACCTACTGTCATGAGATCAAGCAGGCTACGCTCGCTGCAACCAACGACTCTGACACGACGACACTGCTCTTCTTCAAGTTTGACTTTTTAAAGTTGTTGATCGACTACGAACACTACTTGAATCTCAACATTCCGACCGTTCCGACCATAGGAAACATTCAGCATCTCTCACAGCGTCTGATAGATGTTCATCCGCTGGCTGGTCTGCTCATATCGGAGGTTCTGCAGGTTCTGACGTCGCCCATCAACGAGGTTCGTTCGGTCGCGCTCAACACGCTGAGCACGTTGCTCATCAAGCATGAATACGACTCGCGTTACCAGTCGCAAGAGAAGCGTGCTCGTATCGCTGCTGTCCACCTCCCACTGATTCTCAAGCTCATCGAGGAGTACGACCGTTTCACTCAGTGGTTCCGCATGTCCAGCACCGAGGAGAAGCGATTGTTGATCGGTTGCATCTTGTTCATCCTAAAGAATCTGTCGGCGTCGCTGCTGAAACAGTGGTTTGCCAAGGAAGTTCCTCAGAGAATTACAGTGTTGTTTGAGTTGCTCGATAACTGTTTGACAGCGTTTGAGTATCATGTTCCAATGCGCGCAATGCCCAATCCACTGCTTCAGTCACTTCCAATCCCTATGCATTCCAACTCGATGTTGTCGCCATCACCCTCAATGTCCAGTCCGGGCGGTGGAATCGGTGGTGGTAGTGGAGGTTCTGACATTCCGATGAGTTCAATCTCCAAGCTTCTCAAGAAGAATCACAACAATCATCAGAAAGGGGGTTCGTTACAAGTCACAGGATCCGAAGGTTTGCAATCGATGCAGTCTTTCAATGCGATGACACTCAGCAGCTTGACGGCTGGCGATCGTGGAAGTCTGGGAGCCGGTCCCGGAAGTAACAACAGCAGCAACAACAGCAGTGGAAACACCAGTCCTTTGACTAGTGCACGTGATTCACATCATCTGACAATTCAACACTCGATGTCGAGCTTGTCATTCTCGACACCGGTCGAAGGTTCGCCAGGCTTGTTGTCATCGCCACGACAACCACTCACACGCGCGCCATCGATAAGTAGAGTTCGTCCACTCTCCAGCAACGAACCAACACTCTGCGCTGAATCCAATCTAATCGTATTGGATTTCGTTGAGGAGTTTATCGATGCCTATCAAGTGAATCTCGCCGATCCTACTTCTCCAGTGATGGAGAGTGTTTTCAACTTGTTGATGGGATTGCTTCGTCGTAAGCAATCACATCGTGTTATCCACTCGCTGTTTGCATCGCTCCATACCTTCATTGCCAAGTTCCGTCTGCACTTGTTCCGTGTCAACAATCAATACTGTGGTATTCTCTGTCAACACATTCTCAACTATTGCAACTCCATCACCAAGAACATCAGAATTCAATCGACTGCATTCTTTTACAGTCTGTTCAAGCATAATCACCAGGAGATCGGAAACTTTGGTCGTGTCAAGATTCAATCGACTATCGCTCTCTCCAAGCTGGCGAGCGACAGTAAGTTCATTCGTGGTGGCGCCAGAATGTTGGAGAGTTCACTGGCAACACTCTCACTCTACTCCTCACATGAATCGTCGACTTGCAGTGATTCCGCTATTCTCTCAAAGGAGCAAATCGATACGTTGTCACCCGACGAGATCAAGGTGGTTCGTGAGCGATTCCACACTCAGATTCAAACGATGAGTTCCAAACTCATAAAGATCATCCGTGATACCATGCGAGTGAACAAACTCAAGGCACACTCTGACCCAGAGACAGTGCATGAGTTGTACTCAAAGATTGCATCTGGTTACTCTGATACTCCTATTATCCGGCTGGACTGGCTCAGCGCACTGTCTTCGCTGCACGTCGAACAGGAGAATTACTTTGAGGCGGCGATCTGTCAGATTAGAATTGCGCTTTTGATTCACACCTACTTGGAACAACATAAACTACTTCCTTGCCCGTTGGATCTATCGCTAATCGACAGAATCAATCCTAATCTCAAGGAGATTGTAGTGGAGGAAGACGAGGGTGTATGCACATCGCCACTCTTCTCTGTCGAGGGTATGAGATCTTCGATTCTCCTAGCTATCAACCAAATGAGAATGGCAGAATGCTTTGAATTCTCTATTCTTTTGTACAAGGTGATCATCCCGCTACACGAAAACGATCGAGACTACATTCGTCTCTCGGAGTACTACAAGCAATCTCACAAGTTGTACGACGAAATCATTCGTTCCAACGAGAACAAATCTAGAATGCTGGGTCGTTACTACCGTGTCGGTTTCTATGGCAAGCGATTCGACGAGTTGAACGGAATGGAATTTGTATATAAGGAGCCGAAACTCACCCATTTGTTTGCGCTGACCGAGCGTCTCAAGTCGTTCTATCGCGAGAAACTAGGTGAGCAAATCTTTATCTTCCCTGACAGCAGTCGTGTCACAAAGAGCAACTTGGAGCCGGATAAACTCTACATTCAGATCACCTCTTTGAAGCCATACTTTAAGGATTCCAGGACCAACTACTTTGATAGAAAGACACTGTTGAATCAGTTTGTATTCATTACTCCATTCACACTCTCTGGAAAATCACAGGGATCGATCACCGAGCAATTCCACAGAAAGACAATCTTGACTATTGAATGTGTCGCTCCGAATATGTTGAAGAGATATCCGGTTGTTGATTACAAAGAGATTGAGATCTCACCAATAGAAAACAGTATCGAAGCGATCACTCAACGTACTCGTTTGTTGGCGATGGAGATCAACCAGTCGCCACCCAACATCAAGACACTTCAGGGTGTTCTACAGGGTTCGGTGCTGCTGCAGGTGAATGCAGGTGCCATTGAAATCTGCAGAGGATTCCTCGCCAAATCACAGCGTGCTAGCTGGCCAACTGAGAAGGTCAACCAACTGGCCGACGGTTGCACCGAGTTCTTGGAGCAATGCAAGAATGCACTGTTGATCAACAAACGATTGATTCAAATGGATCAAATTGGATTCCACCATGAATTGGAAATCGGTTATCGTAAGCTACAATTCAAGATGGACAAGTATATCAAAGGTGAAATCAACGAGTCGGATGAAGCCGACATTGATAGACAACAATCCACTGCCAGTTCGGCACACGACGACGACGACGACTCACAGTTGACCATGACCGAAGAATCGTACGACGATATCTCAATCAAGGAGTCGGGATCCATCCTGGAAAATATGACACCCTCATTACTGTTCATACCGAATCTCATCAAAGATAAAAAGAAGTCTGGATTCCTCTCAGTGCGAGAAGATCGTAAGTCAAAACGTGAGAGTAGAGAACTCAAAGACGACAGTAGCATATCCTCACCAAAGGCATCCGATAAACTTAAAGCTGTCTTTAATCAATAAACTAAATTATTATTACATTACAATAAATAATTCCTGATCTTCTCAATCCGCAAGGATTTACATTTAATTTTCGCGTGTGTTCCATTCCATCTCGAAAAAATAAAAATCTCGCAGAAAAAAAAAAAGATCAAAACTTAATTGAATTAAGTCTGGGAAGTTACCAGGATGGAAAATTTTGATGCGTATTGAAAATCGCTCTACTATTTTTGCAATATAAATAGCAAATGATCATTTTTGTAAAACAATATATATTTAGATAAATAATATTTAAAATATGAGGACAAAACTCTTAAAATTAACAAGACAGAATAGTTGTTATAACGAACTTTGTTTGGTGTTACCACCAAATGAAGCAAAAGATATTCATGAACAACTTATAAAATCATTAGATCTAGCTACCCTGAATAAAAATCCTGTTAAAATACATATTTTAATTGTATTGTTCCTGATTGGTATAGATATCATTGTAAGTGTATGGCTAAGAAGTGTATGGGTGATAGCTCCATTGTTCTTTTTGAATCTGTTAGTATTACTTTTATTTAGATCATTAAGAGTAAGCAGAGTAAGTATAATATAATATAATAATATGATAGATATTATTATTTTAAAACATTGAATGTTGGTTTGTTTGTATACTTACCAAAGTGTTCTGTATAGTTACACACTAGATTAGAAGAGATTTGTAAACATTATAATAAGAAATATGGATTCAGAGGCATATCTTTTAGCTGTCAGAAATCAGGATTCTTTACAACCTACCAAGAGATCACCATCACAATTCAAAGCTATGCTCAGGCAGTGTTTAACAATACTACTGTATCACCACAATCGTCGAGTGTCGGAGGTTTCCACTCGGAGCAAATCGATAGAATACTTAATACACCCATTCCTGAATACTTAAAAACACCAATCTTACCTTCACCACAAACTTCCTATTCAAACTACACAAGTCACTCTAGTATTGAGATGTATCAATCAAATATTAATAACAATAACAACAGTAATATTATCTATGAATCTGAAGAAACCAACAACAACAACAACAACAACTATTATAATTATAGCAGTTACAATAATAATTTAATATCAAACGACCAAAACAACTACAATAACAACAATAGCAATAATCCATATCAATCATATCCTGGATTCTTTAGTAGCTCATCATCAACAACCAAAAATCAAACTTTAGACAGTGTTGATAATTAAATTTGTAATATCATCAATTTAATCTATATATATTTTCCTAAAGATATTATGATAAATATATATAAACATATCTGTAAATAGTAAATAAATAAAAAATCATCTTTTCTATCCATCCTGTAATCTCTGTTTTTTCTAAATTAAGTTATTAATAGAAAGGTAAAGATCCAGGATAGTTTAAAGCAAGGTTTTAATAAAGTTGGCCATTTTCATTTACAGGTCTACTAACTACGTCCTTCGACATATTTTTCTCATAAGAAAAATCAATTAACCTTATTTGTAAATGATTTTTTACTTTTTTGTCCATCAATAACACAACAAACAATAAAAATAACAAGAGTAAGAATTCTTTTGATATAATTTTTTTAAAACATTGAATGTTTGTTTGTATACTAATCATGTCTTACCTTTATTATTATTTAATAGTTCAAGAGGTCTAGAAGAGATTTGTACGGATTTTAATAAGAAATATGGATTCAGAGGAATATCGTTTATCTGCGTGAAATCAGGATTCTTTACAAACCACCAAGAGATCACCATCATCATCCATGACTATGATCAGACATTAAACTATGCTACTGTACCACAACAACATCGTCAAATCACTCTAGTATTGAGATGAATCAAACAAATATTTATAACAATAGCAACAACGACAACGACAACAATATTAATTTTATCTCTGAATCTGAAGAAAACAACCAAAACTACTTCAATAACAACAACAATAATAATCCATATCATTCACATCCTGGATTCTTTAGTAGCTCATCATCAACAACCAACAATCTTACAATAGATAGTGTTGATGACTAATATCATATCACCAATTTAATTTTCATAAAGCATTATGAAAAAATAATAAACATATCTGTAAATAGTAAATATATAATAAAAAAATTCAACAAATAGTTGTAAAAGAAACAAATACTCTTAATTTAGATGATTAAATCACCCACACAGCATATACAAATGCAAAAATAAATAAGCTAACTTTTCTTAATTGTTAAAATATGTGAGGTTCAAAACTAAAATGGTTGAACCTCACACAATTTTCTTTTAAAAAATAGAATTAAACTTAACTTGAGGGAGATAGAGGAACTCAAACTCGTTTCCTTAAAAAAGGGTGGGAGTGGTGGTTGATAGTTAAAGAAATTTAAATAAATAAAAAATAATATAATATACTATACTTTTTTGAAATTATTGACAAAATAAACATCACTGCGAAGAAAAAATATATATTTATTTAAAAGCTGGCAATGAGGAAAAATTACAGTGGTTAGTAAATTGTGTTGCAAGAATCCAATACCAATACTGCAAATCTGATGATTTTTAATCATAAAATTGTGTGTATGTTATTTAAATTTTGATTAAAATGGAAATTTATAAAGAAGACACATAGCACTTAGCAAACAACTTCCTCATTTGCATTTAACATTAGATTGTATAGGAGGGAAGAAAATGAATAGAATTGTCATCCATCATCAGAGAGTGTGGGTGAGTGTGTGAATAAAAAATTATAATCACAAAGAAAGTGCGTGTCCAAAGGAATATGTGGTGAGTGTTAAAAGTGCGAAGCAATAACAAAAATAAAATAAGTACATAAAACCATCAAGAACAAACACATTGTACACTTCTAGGTGAGAGTTACAATATTTTATAAATAGAATAAAATAGAAATTAAGTGGTTTAAATGAATGAAAGGACATACACAAAAACCCACAAAACATCCTTAAATATTTAAGTACAAACCAAACAAACAATAAAATTGAGTAATGATTGGTTTTTGATTGTTTGATGTATGAGTGAGTGTGTTTGTGTGTAAGTATATAAACACTTTAAAAAGTACAAGTTGACTATTGTTCAGAATACCATTTTCTCCAGTTCATTCAATAACTCATCCATTCATTCATTCATACATACATTCTTTCAAAAAATCAAGTAACATTTATTCCATACATTTATTTTTTTTCGAACTTACACAATAGTTTTCCTAAATTAATAAATTTATTTTTATTAATTATTAAAGTGATAAGGAATAAGAAATTATTAAATTGTATAGTAAAAAAAGTAAATATAAACTGATCATATATATCTTTTTAAAAAAATTGATTTGATATTAATGTTCACTTCAAGGTTGAATTTTAAAATTTCAATTAGATATATCAAATATAGAATGCAACATTTAAAACATTCCATTTCTAGAATTCGACTTTTCAATAAGAATAGTGAACTTAACCTTAGAGATGAGATGAGAAAGAAAGAGGAATCCGATAAAAAAGTTTGTGACATTCTTGGTATTGGCAAAGAGGAGTTGAAATCTATTAGAAACACTGAAAATATTTCAACTACCTCGCTTTCCACCTCATCTTCTTCAATAACCATTCCAACCAAAATCAAAATCAATACGATTTCAGCTGATAAAACAAATTGTATCGTTGGAAATGCATAGTAAATAATCAATATTGTAAATAACATTGTATTTTTATACAATAATAATAATAATTTTAAATAATTATGATGAATTTCAAAATTATTATATATATATCAATTTTAAAAAAAAAAACAATTATATACATATGGTTTTATCAATTTTAATTGTTTCGATATTGATATCCCAAATGTATATAACTATTATTTTAAAAGGTTATAATAAATATATTTCAGATTAACTAATTAGTTAATATTAATAATTACATAGTATAAAATAACTTCCTTTTCTTTTCTTTCTTTTTGTTTTGTTTGTCCTGCTTTTTATTACTTATTTTGTAATTGTTTGATAATATTTTTCATCTTCCATGTTACCGTCTTGTAGTCTTGCCTTTAACCATCTTATATCATGTTCATTTTCCTAAAATAATAATAAACAAGAATAATTAATATTTGAAATAAAGATAAATCAATTAATATTTGATTTCAAATTGTATTGTATTGTACATTACATTAAATGTTATAATATATGGAAGTGGAACTCTATGAATGATTTGATTCTCAATAAAACTACGAGCATTCATTACCGCTGAGCTGTCATGTGAAATAGATGAACCAATAAACAAATAGATATGTGTTTGTGCATCATATATTAAAACTCTATCATTTGTTAAACTATCAATCTTTGGTGAAATCTGATGGTAGTGAAGTGATGAATTGATTAAAAACATATTAATTAATATCTCTTGTAGTTATTTGAATTGAATTTCCAACATACCTCTATTAGTTGTTCTGACTGGTCTGATTGAATTAACTTTGGTAACATTATTCTCATGGAGTCAGTAAAATTGGTATTGATAAACAACGATGACAAAACTTCGAAATCATCGTTATTCTGAATGATTGATCCAAATAATACACCTTCTCTAACTAAATACATCCTATGATTTGATTATTATTAATTTGATTTGATTAGTATTATTTCAAATAGGTTTAGTAATAATATTCGCTAAAAATATGAATATAATTTCTTACTTTTTAATAAATTGTTTAATTGTATCTGGAATAGTAACAGTATTTCTAAACCATCCTTTCTCTATATTTGAACATTTCTGACTAATTGACTTTAATTGCTTATCACTAAAATAAAGTAAAATAGAATGATGAAAGTTAGTTAACATTTAAAAGTACTTATACTAGGTAGGTATTTAGGTAGAGACATACAATCTATCATAAAAATTGAAATATTCATCTTGGTCAGAGTTTGATGATGATGATTTGATGGAATCTAAAATCAATTTCTTTGAGAATAGAACTGAACAAACATTGAGATCCAATGAATCGATGAATCTGTTAAAGTTACCAGTGGTTTTGATTCTCTTTGTAATCACTCTGAGTATTCTATTCTCTGAGTGGTCGAGTAGGTGCACCACGAATTGAAAGTAGAGATAGTCCTGTGGAATATCCTCTTGGAGTTCAAAGAAGATCGACAGTGCCACATCCTGTTGCATATTGGTCAGCTCCACGGAAACACTACAGAATCCACTCGTACTCTTATTCTCTATATCACTGATAAACAATTGCTGTTCATTCACCTTTGTAGTTGGTCCAATCAAATGTGTAAGATTAACTTGTTCAGGACAATGAATATCCAATCTACTATATATTCCACTATCTAATAATGATGATGATGATAGTAAGTTAGTTAACATCTATAACATATATAGCATAACTATAAACTAGTTTATACAATGTACATACTTTTAATAATTGAATTATACATGTTCTGATATAACATATCGGATCTGTCGGTATCACCAAGATGGTCGTGAGAGATAAACAGTTGTCCAGTGGGAAAAGCCAATGGCGAGAGAACTTTCGCTGAGAAGTCGTTGAATCCAATCATGTGTAGATCGATTGCAATCGACTTGCGATAGGCTCGCTCACCCAGAAGTTTGTAGTATTCACTGGCGAGTTGATTCGTTGTTTGGCTGTCAGAGGTGGACGAGGACGAAGAGGAAGCGATGGATCCGCTCGCTCCAACCTGGATCGAACCCGGTCCAAAGTTTGGTGCCTGATGTAGGAACACAAAGATACGTCCACTGTTTGCAGTGGATGCGTTCACCAGTGTCAGAGCACACTCTATTGCGACGCCAAGCGACGACACCGAGTGAACCGACGACGATGCAAACTGAGCGGCCGTCTCCATGAGCGATTGGAAGTTCTGTTGAAACTTTTGCAAGCCACCCGCTTGAATCGATTCGAGAAACATCTTTTTCTTGAGCTTCAGTGAGAACGACGTGGAGTTGTTGATGGACTGACCACCGTAGATCACCTTGGCAGCGGAGAACAAGTTGGACGACGACGACATCTCGTAGAGTGATACAATCTTTGAGAACGAGATCAACGCCACCATCGATTCCTGTGGAAGTTTACTCAGTAGCTGTTGTGCCGATCGATCTATTATCTCCAGTTCCTCCAACGGTAGATTCTCATCGATAACAAACATATATACATTTGGGTGTTTTGCAAAACTTTGTGGACTGTTTGGTGCAACAGTTGACGCTGTAGTTGTTGCTGTATTTACATCCGTGACAACACTACCACTACCATTATCAATCACGGTTGAAATCGAATCCGATTCATTGTGTTGTGGTGAAGAGATTGGATCGGTTGGAACAGTAGTTGTTATTGTCGTATTGAACTTCTTTCTCTTCTTGATATCGTAGTGATCCGATTGCAATACTGTTTGAAAGTGGTCGGTTGCCCACCATCCCAATCCTTGTTTGACTTCCCATATAGAACGAACACCTTTCGTACCAGAGTCAATCGGATTGCTATGTCTACAAACTGCACAAATCCAATAAGGATTACCATGTAATGAAATTGACGATGATGATGAAGATGCAGATTGTGATGATTGCGATTGTTTCTTCTCAAGCTTACAATAGATGTTGATATAGGCATGACATTTCGAGCATGACGGTGGGTAGAAATCAGTGGATTTCGGTGTGAGCACTGGCCGATCGAATGGCGATAGCAATAAGCCCATCGGTAGCTGCGAGTTGTTCAGCATCTCCATGCGATTCGGCAGTGCGTACGATGCAAACAACACCGATTGATCGAGTGTATGAGGTGCAGCAACTTTGTTGGCGAGCATGTTGTTCGTATCGTAGTATTGTGCCAGATCATACTGTGGATGAAGTGCAGCCATCAACAAGTCATGCGAATTATCTCTGTACTTTGCAATGGTGTCGAACCAATTCTCCGATGTAACACCACTGCCACTTCCAGCACCGGTAACATCAACACCATCCATAGATATCTCTAAACTTGCACTCAAACCACTGACATGATCATCATTATTGATGTATGATGAAGCAGCAGCTGATACATTTGGATTGCTCACTGTGAATGATGGTGTAATATCAACATTATTCAATGTTAGATTCTCTAGTTTATCTATAACTTGTTGTTGTTGTTGTTGTTGTTCACTTTTATATTGATCCATTTCTATTCATCATATTTATCTTATTCGATTTACAAAAAAAAAAAAAAAAAAAGAAAATAGATGTTTAATTAAAAAAAATGAACATTGAAAATGAATAATTTAAATTTTTATTTTTTTTACTATTTTGCAATAACATGCAAAGAATGGTTTGACTTTGACTTTGAGGATTAAAAAAGAGAGATCTCTCCTCAAACTTGGTTAACAGTTTTTGAAAATACTCAATGTCAATTTGTTAGTCTTTCAAGATATCGTATTCAACTGTAAATCTACAATTAAAACCATATCCACCCTCTGCAATCGGTCGACAAAGGACATGTCTTTCCTTGGAGTGACTGGCCACTGGTTGACCAATGACTTCGAATATCACCATTGTCTCTTAGGGTTAGAAGACGTGGACGGAAATAAGAAAGGTATATATGAATCTGTTATTTTTGAACTGTGAATTATCAATATTTCTGTATTTAAATAATTAATATTATTTTATTTATAGAGGATACGCACTCTCGAAACTTTTTCTTGAGGTGGTCACCAAATTTTAAATTAATGATAGGATTCTCTGCACCACCAGGACAGTGACAATGGATCAAACAACCATACACTTGTTGAATCTCTAATCAAGGAAAACGATTTAAAGATGATTAATGTTGACTACAACTAGGTTTATATCACCAATTAATAATAGAATTGTTAGAGCAATGCGATATCTTGGAAGACAAACAACTTGAAAAATAAAATATTGCAAATTAAAATAAATAAAAATGGAATGGTTGATTTAAATTTGATATCAAATTAACAATTTGTTTATTCGGTAAATTGATTTGATTTAGTTTTGTTTTGTTTTGTTATTTTATTTATAAATAGTTTAAATAGCAGAGATAGTGTTGTTCATGTATGGGATCATGTATTGCTCGAACCAGGCATCGGTGAATTGCAAATGGTTACCAGCACATGGGATCTTGGTGACACGACCTTCTTTGTCGAGATACTGGAGTCCGATCCAATCTTGGATGTAGAGATCGGTCTGTTCCATTGGGATCAACTTGGTGGCTTGACCGGTGACGTAGTAACCGAACCACTCGGACTCACGTGGAATGACCATTGTGTCCTCGGTGAATTGCACCATGACAAACTCGTTCAACGAGATAAAGTTCTTCTTGTAGGTGTCGTTCTTGGCGGGACGAGCATTGTTGATGTCGGCAAGGAACTGCGATTTGTCCAAGTAGGTCTGGTAGTCGACTGGATCCTGCCAGTATTGGGCCTGCACCAAGTGTGACTGGACCTCGTCGGTGTAGACTCCGAGCTCGGCCATCTCACGGGCCAAATTGCAGAAGGTGCTGTTTGGCTCGCAACGTGGCATACCGTAGACACCCTGGTGTTGACCACCAACGGAGATCAAGTTGTAGACGGGTGGGTCGTTGCAACGCTCGACGTAACCACGAAGGAATTGTCCACCCTGCGAGAAACCGATGGCGTTGAAACCGTTGGCCAATTGTGGATCGGATTTCAACATCGAGCAGACCATATCGATCTGTTCATTGACTGGCTTGAAGAATGAATTGAACTCGTCGGCTTCCAAAGAATCTCCAATCTCAATCGATTTTACATAGATATTTGGGATTTGTGCTTCAATCAATTTCTTGATTGCACCCATACTAAAAATTATAAATTATTATTATGTTGATTGTTGATTGTTGTTGTCGTTAATTTCTGAATTATATATATAAGTTGTAAATTTCAATAATGATAGTGTGATACTTACGAGAATGAATAACAACAGGTGTCACCCATACCATGCCAAATTACAGTTGGACGTGGGGTTTCAGCTGCCATTGATAAAGCAAAGAAACATGTTGCTAATAATACAAAATATAACTTCATTTTTAAATTTATTTCTATCTGTTGTATAATATTTATATATATAAAAATGAATAAAATGAATAGTGAAATGAAAGTGGTGGTGGTTATTTTATTTTTTTAATTACCTTCATTTCAATTCTATTCAATCACAAAAACTTGCTCCCCACTCAATTCGGATATTGATCAAATATTTTTAATTAATTTTTTTTTTTTTTTTTGAAAACATAGACCCGACCTCTATTTTTTTTTTTTTTTTCAATTCCAATTTCTTCTTTCGGATGAATTTCAAAAAAAAATATCTGATTTTTTTGAATTCTAAAGGTTTTTCTACAATTTTTGTATGGGCAAGCACAATCTCTACATTTTCTAAGGAATTGCCCTTAATTTATAGGGTACCCACAACACTTTTGTTTTTTTTTTGCTTTTCATTTTAAGAATGCGCATTGAGTATGATGTCGATTTCTAATATCTTATTTTTCATTTGATTTTTACATATTTTTTTATAATTAGATTTTAAAATTATAAAAAATTAATAAAACTTTATGTTGTATTTTAAAATTTTAAAAGATTATAGTTTATTTATAATTTTTACAAAATATATGAAAATGTTTATTTATTTTATTTTGTTTTAACTTTATTCTTTTCCTTATTAAATGGATCGCTATATATGAATGTTCCAAGTAGTACTAGTGTAGTGGATATCCAGAGAGTCGGTGTGAATGGATTCTTGAAGTAGAGCACCGATATGATGATACTGAGGAACTTTCTGATACTGATGACAAGTGTGCATGTGAGAGTGCTCGTTTTACCGGTGAGAATGAACACTCCTTGAATACAAATGTACTGTGTAACCACATTGATCAGCAAGTAGAACCACTGACTTGGCATCGTTTGAAGTATCGGTAGATACGCAATGTCAAGTCCAAGAGGTGCAGATTGATTGTTCGCTACAACACTTGCAGTTAGATCTTTTATAAAGAATAAAAACAGTGGTAATGATAATAAATGCTATAAAGTTACATTATGTTAATTTTAAAGTTCAAACGTATCTATACTGTTTTGTTGGAAAAGAAATACCTACAGAATAAAAGATAGTTTCTCTGTGACAATCTTTTCCATGATCTTTGTAGGTATTCTCTTGAATGAGACCAAGAACCGATGATAAAAACATTGCAATCGTCAACATTGTGATACCAATAATAAAAGTAATGATCGATGCAGTATCTGTTTCTTCAAATGTAATCTTCTTTTTCTGATTGATGTTTTAAAAGTAAAGTTAAAAGTTAATAAACTAAACTAAATCATATTGTATATGTATATTTATATTGTAATATTGTAATCACGTACATGTTCTGGTACAGAACTAAGTGTAGCCATTGTAATACCAATGGTAACCATAAGTAATGAAATAATCTGTTTCATAGTGAATCTAAAATATGATTGATTTTTAAATTAGTTAGTAGTTAGTTCATCTGTTCATTCATTTCATTATTTCATTGATAGATTTGAACTTACTCTTTTTTAAAGTATAACATGCTAATAACAACGGTTGATAATAATGAACTCGATCTAAAGATCATGTGAAATGGCAGAGCGATGTTGAATGACAACGCCCAGTTATTCAATATCGAAACAATAAAGAATATCGATACCATCAATGCATAGGTACGCATCGGTATCTTTCGCTTTAAGAATCCATTCGGTACGTAGAAACACAGAAACACTCGTTTCCAATGGATATTAGTGAGGAACGATATAAAAACTACAAATGTAAACTGAAGAAATGTAATCAATTGACTCTGTGATGAATCTTGTCTTTTATTTTTTTAAATATAAATATAAATATATATATATATATAATTATGTATTAATATCGACTATGGTTATTGTTATTTCTAAAATGAATTTAGTATTTACCTAATGATCATTTCAAGTGAAATCACATTTGAACAGCAACCAACCATGATCATGGTGATCGGAATGAGTGCGAAATCAAACATATTTACTGATAACGATGATGATGATGATGATGTGATGTCACTAAATGATTATATAATACATTAAACAAATCAAATTCGTCGGCTTCTACAACATTTAAAAATAGATTGTTCATCAGCAGCATATCCAGCAAATTTTGTGTTGTTGGACGATCCTGATGATCATATGAAAAATAGTTTTTTTTTTTATTTTTAATTTTTATTTTCCTTTTTTTATACATATCAAACACACATATTACAGATTCATTAATCTTGTCTTGTGTAAATATTAATATCAAACATAAAGATAGATATGTTAAGCATTTTAAATAAATCATTAAAATCTTCTAGTTTTATTGTTAGACCATCGACTTTGTCATTGGCAAGTTCATTGACATTAAGATCGAACTTACTACAACAACAACAAGCTAAATCAGATTTTAATAGTAATAATAACAACAGTAATAGTTTCAATGGAAATAGATATTATTCACAACATTCGATTTCTGATCAACAAGTAAAAGTAGAGATTAAATATCCACCAAAAAAGTCATCGGCAAAATCATTGCTACTTAGATTCCTTGGTTTGGTGATTGTCGGTAAGATCAGTTGGGATACTGTCACATCGATCATGGCATACAAGAAAGGTTCAAAAGAGATAGAGGAATTCCTAACAGATGCATGGAATGAAGTATTACAAAATGTTTATACAATGGTAAGTTAATGTTAAACAAAACAAAACAAAACAAAACAGTACAGAAAATAGACTTACATTTTAGTAATATTACTTACTTAAAGGCAGTCAATAATAAAGAGGTAATCAATGAATTGGGTGGACCGGTATCGATGGGTGCACCACCACAAGGATCGACTTCACCGATAACCGAGCTATCGAGAGAACTGTTCATCGGGTTGAATCTACCGAAATCACCAAAGGATATCGATACATGGTATTTGAAACCGGTCGAAGGATTGAAATCATCGACTGCCAACCAATCAACAGCAACCACCACCACCAAAGACAATCAAGATAAACCTGTTTTGGCACCACAACCAAACTCATGGCTGGCATTCCCCTACGTAGAGACAACCTCAGAGGTAACCATTCCAATCAGAGGATCAAAGAACAGAAACTCGGTATCGATTATTCACGCCGTAATCTATGCCAACGACGATAGATGGCGTGTATTGAGCGCCAAAGTAATTCATCCCAATGGAAAAGTAAAGGTTTTGATCGAACCTGATATCAAGGTTGAACCTCAAACAAAACAACAATCGAAATAAATATATCATCATCAAAACTAACATGTTTTTTTTTTTATATTTTCGGCTAATACCAATTTGGAAAAAAAAACAAACTGATTTCTTTGAATTGATGAACCAATTGCAAACTACGCAACAACCAACGACCAGTCTTCTTGTATTTTGATTATAATATTTTGATTTTTTTTTTTAGATGAGGGAAAAGAAAAGAGAAGAAATGGTTAGAGATAGATATTCTCTCATTTCTAAATAGTTTCTAGAAATAATGAAATAAATAAAAATGATTAGGATATAGCTAATAATAGTCAAAAAATTGCCTTTTTTATTTTTTTTTTTTTTATTATAATTGTACCATTCCTGATAGTCAAGGTGTAGAGCTTGGTATTACTCTACAATACGTGTTTATTTATTGTTGGAGCAGTTCAGCACATGCCGACTGAGACGGCCATCATTTTGAGTAAGGGATGATGTTCCCTTTGATGGTTTGGCAGACGGAGTATTTAAGCCACTTAGAATTCTAAGCGGGTACGTGTAAACCACTCGGTGTTCACCTATGATAAACCTGCTAGTTACTGTCGGTGTAAACTTCATGGGGTCCAAGATACATCAAAAATCTGAGAAACAGGACAGAGGTATCAATTGTATAAGACTGATATACATTTATTTGTTATAGAAAGTAAGAAATATATTCTAAGATAGATCTTTGTAAATGATTAATAATTCGTATATCATTTTAAAAATTAAAAAAAATAAGATAAAATTAATTTGTGCAATATTTCTGAAGTAATAAAATATTTTTAATTATAGTACTTTTAAATTTATTTTGAAATATTTAATTAAAATATATAAGAATGATACCAAGTAAAATGTTAATAGAAAGATTAAAGATTTTTGGAATACTTGATTTGGAATACTGAATGGCATAAGAAGTTATTCGTTTAAAATACAATTCTAATTTTCAACGGTTTCAAGACTAAAGAAAAACTAAACAAAAACAAACTAAGCACAGAACACAAATAATATTTATATAAAAAGAGTTTATTTAAAAGATTATAATTATATTTAATATAAAATTTTAAATAGTTTTTAAAAAACAATTAAATCCCTTAACTAAATTTGATAAATAAACAAATCAGATCGATGGTGTTGGTTTCGAGCTGAGATAGAAGAGAGAGTTGTCTAGAGAATCCATTTCTCCGCTTACGGTCTGCAGGAGCATAGATTCCAAGAACATTGAAAGAGTAGTGTGAGTTATTGATAGTAACAAAGAGAATATATAACTTTGCGACATTGAAAGAGTAGTGTGAGTTAGGGATCGACCTAGAAAACAAAGTAATCTATTCAGATCCAGGTCGCCGCCTTTGAGTTTGATGATTGTAGCACCTGTACCCATACCGCTGGAGAAGAGAACTTTTAAGCATTTTTCAGAGCAATCGACAGTGACTCCTTGGGAGATACATGTCTGATGATTTTATACCAACTTGGCCTAAGAGGGGTGGAGTGTGATTTTGCTATTCCAGTATGCGCGCATCTAGTGATGAAAAAATTAAAGTTACTCCCCTTCCGGGAATCGAACCCGGGGTATCAGTGTGAGAGACTAATGTGTTACCACTACACCAAAGAGGATTTGGATGATTTTGATCTAAAATTTAAAATTTTTATTTATTTACTAACACTGTAAAAAGAATCTATAATAGATCATTTCCTCCAATCAAAGACAACTCCAACCACGACATGCTCCTTCTGCCTAAATACAGATGCTCGATGCATTGGCAATATCACCCAGACGAGAAAACGGACCCACCGATCATTAACAACCAGAAGATACCAATATCTACATCCGCTGAAAGATACCTGGGTCTGTACTTCACGTCCGACGGATTGCATCATTCGTTTGATTCTCTGATCAACTCTATTAAAGGACACCTGGTCCGTTGGTGTCACTTTACGTACCAAGATTGCTCACCGGTGAACAATATATCCCACAAGACTTCAAAGTTGGTGTGATCACCACTATCTTTAAGAAGGGCGATATCTGATCCAGCTAATAGAAGACCTATTACATTGCTTAATTGTGATTATAAAATATTGTCTAAATCTATAAATGAACGTCTGAAACCTGAGGTTGAGAAAGTCGTTAGCGTCTATCAAACTGGTTTTGTCAAAAATCGTTACATCATGGACATTATAATTACCATGAAAGAAATCATTGATTACGGTAAACAATGAGGTATTAAAGGTTTGATCACTCTGTTCGACTTCAACAAAGCATTCGACTACATATCGCATGGGTCCATCCGCCGTACTCTACTTCATGTTGGTACACCAATACATCTCGCTGAACTTATCATGAACATGATCTCTGGCTCTACCGCTCAAGTTCTGGTCAATGGTTATCTCACTGACCAATCGCGCTGAACCGTGGTACCAAGCAAGGCGATCCGCTTTCGGCCACTCTGTTCGTTCTAGTCATTGAATGTTTATCTCGTTGCATCAGGTTGTGCCCTGCCGTTGGACTACCAATAAACGACCACGGACACACGCTCAAAATCAACCAATTCGCCGATGATTCCCTGGTAGAGCCAGAGATCATGTTCATGATAAGTTCAGCGAGATGTATTGGTGTACCAACATGAATACTAACCAGGGATTTTGCCATATATCCTAGTTTCGACTTCTGTTTGAACAAAAAGATGTAGGACAGATCCCTATTATTGAGAATTTCATTATTTAAACAAAAGTACTTGATAAGTTGATTGCTGCGAGAGACCTTGTTCATAAAATAATAAAATAGTTTTTTAAAAATTGAGATTTTTGCTGATTCCACATTTTATGGTTTGAATAATTCTCTAAATTTTCACAAATATATTTATGATCAGATAAAACAAAACCTTGTACTATTATACCAATGATCACCAATACCTATAGAATCATTAATGTAATCATCTATTGTATTATTATTCAATATTTAATTTGTAGAGTCTTACTATCGAATCATTCAATAGTATATGCACAATGTACAGGTATGTTTTCAATTCAATATGAGATCGAAAGTTTATTTAAGTAATTTAATTACTAATTACTAGTAATTCAAATTGTTATGTTGTGTCTATAGATTCTGCAGAAAAACCTATTATAGATGATTGGGGTTTCGAATTGATCGGAGCTGGTGGTAATGCTAGTCTGTTGTCGAGATGGGTGGTGAACGACACTGATCAATCGCCAATCAAATTCTGTTTGGATGATCAATGTGGATCGCCAGACTACCGACTCGATGGTTTCTACTATGCCTTTTTCAGCATGAATGAATCGATAGCGAGTGGTGCATCACCACCATCGACAACATCGATTCAACAGAATTTCACAGCACCTCCCATCAAAAACGATGAACAACTATCGTATATACTCTATTTCTTTGCTTCGTCGACTAGTTTCATTACGGGATCGATCAAATTCCAACTTGAGGTGTATATCGACGAGAATACAGTGGCGGTTCTCAGCAACACCATTTACCAACAGCAACACAAGATCGACGTCACCGACTATGTTAACATGCCACCGTTAATCCACAGACTTTCATTCATACTTACCTACAGTTCATCTGGTAGTAACAACGTTGAAAACAATCAAAGTAGTGGAGATATTAGTGACATTGGCAGTAATAATAGGTTCTCAAGAAACGGTATTCTACTGTCAAACATTATCTTGAGAAGAGAACCAAAAGTAAAACAACCATTGGATTTATATGTGGATGTGGTTAGGGGTTCTGATAGGACGGGCTACGGAACTAAGCAATTGCCATTCTCATCGATTGCAATGGCACTGGCATGGATACAGACTACCTTTACTATCTACTTGGCCGATGGAAACTACTGTGGATATCATGCCGCTGGCGTTGTGGATTCATCGATATCGATCATCGGTCAATCGGCGGACAACACAGTTATAAACGGTCAACAGAGTATACAACCACTGCATTTCCTGACGTCGGAAGCGAGTGAACTGCTTTTGTTGAATCTAACATTTATCAATGCCTACTCCAGTAGTATGTCCGACGGTGGCGCCGTTCTAAACGTGAACAACGCCAACAACGCAACTCTCCACAATGTATATATGTATAACAATACCGACTTTTCCAATAGAGGAACGATAGCGGTGACCGATAGTGCATCAGTAAACATCACCGGTTGTCGATTCCGCTATTCTCAATCGATCGTTTCCACCAATAATCCTGCGATCAACATCAACTCGAAAGAAGTTAAACTCTATGTTTACGACAGCGAATTCCGCGAACAATACTATATAAACTCTGCCATTGCCAAGCGAATCGTGGTAGACTACTCTCGCTTCTACGAGAGGAATCTACTGGTTAATAGGTGCGCCATTTCCACATCGCTAACCGATCTCGTTATCAGTAACAGTCATTTCAACAAATCGGCAAATGGTTTGCTCTGTTTGATTCACTCCAGTGCCAACATTGTCAACACTGAGATGCTAGAGGTTGGATACCAGATGCTCAACGCGCTCAACAGTAGTGTTACTTTCGACAATTGTTCCATTCAGTTCTGGAGCAATATCAACGATTCACTTGTCTATTTAAATGAATATTCGACAGTTAAATTCCAACGGTCAATAGTATATCCAGCTGCAACACAAAACACTCCGATCATTTTGTTTCAAGCGATAGGTTCGTGGCTGGTGATCAACAACACTCTGCTTTCAGCCAGCAGAGAATCACTACTCTACCAGATAATAGATGGCGATCTACTGGTCGTAGATTCAACCATGTACAATATCAGTACAAAGATAATCTATGCATCCGGCTCCAATGTAGTGTTTCACCAGGTGACCACGCGCAATTTTACCGATTTGGATGTATCGGATTTATTTTCATTCAACATGATGAACAAACGGACGAGAATGGTTAAATTCCTAGATTGTACATTCCATATGGTGTATGGAGTGTTTCGATTCGTAAACTCGAATCTCTACATTGCCAACACGACGATGCAGGATATGGCGTTCACCGGATTCTACTTTGACGGCTACTCTGAAGTGTTAATACAAAGCTCTACGTTCGATCGAATTTCCACCGGTAAAATATTTGTATTTCGATCTTCTGGATTCATAAAGATTGGCGAATCGAAATTCCTAAACCTAATTTCCAATTCTATCATATCGGTTCGCACCAAGCTATTTTTGGTGGCTAGCAACACCTTGTTTTTAAATAACTTTGGTTATACCGGTGGAGTGGTCAATGTCGGTGGTACAGACAATAGAGTAGAGTTTTATAATTGTATTTTCACAAACAATTCCGTTAATGTAAATGGTGGTATCGTTTACTCGGTTGGAAAAGTCGATATTACATTCAACAACTGTAAGTTCTACAATAACAGCGCCAACCAAGGTGGAATCGCATTTTTCATAAAGGAACCACCAATTTTCAATGCATGTGAATTCAGTGGGAATCATGCAAATCTCGGTGATATCATGGCATCTACACCAAACCAGCTTATTCTGACAAACGGTAGCTTCCCAGAAGTAGTTCTTTCCAATGTTACACAATTCACTGGGTCCATTCAGATTGGAGATATTCTGAATCAGATTAGTACCTATCAACATATTAAACACACTGTTTATCTACAGGTTGGTGGTACCACGATTGCTTCTTCTCCCTTTATAAATGGTAGTGCCTACTTTGATTCAATCGATATCATAGGAGTGGTTGGTACTAATTCTACGGTTGTCTTTACCAGTAGCTCAAATCTTATACTACCAATGAAGTTACCATATAATGTATCTGTGCTACCATGTAATTCAGGTTACTATCCAATTGACTCCTCTACGCAATGTTCGATATGTCCATCTGGAAGTTATGGGTATGACGGAAACAAATGTATTTCATGTCCACAGAATGCACTTTGTCAAGGTGGTGATCAAGTTTCAACGAGACCTGGATATTGGTTTGATGAAAATCAATTTCCAAGAGTGATTTATGATTGTGATCAATCATCACATTGCTTGGAGAATAACACGTGTCTTGAACATACATTTGGTGTTCTTTGTTCATCGTGTAACAACACCGAACAATATTATTCATGGTTTGGAAGTTGTATCGAATGTACTCAGACCAACAAACTGGTAATTGCTATTGTTATCATTGGAATGATTCTCCTCGTTCTTTGGTCACATAAATCAGATTCATCATCAGGTCTGATGAATATTGTTGTCTATTTCGCACAAACAATCATGGTACTTTCGAAAGGTGTTAATTTCAGTATTCTTTCACTCCTGAATCTCCAATTGGAAAGTGGAGGATCATCAATCATTGGATCGATATGTCCAGGACCATTCGATTATTACCAGAGACATTATACGACGTTCCTTGTTTTCCCAGCAATTATTTTCATTCTCCTCATTTTCACAATAATCATCACGATTATCAGAAAGTTTAAACCGAATGACCAACCAATATTTCCAAGACAATTTGGATCATTTGTCAAGTTATTGATGAATATTTATTCACCAATCAGCACTGCAACATTTACAATATTCTTTTGTCAACAAATTGGAATTGGTAACTCGGTTTTAGTCACAGATTCATCAGTTCAATGCTCTGGAAATCAATATCGAACAGCACTCAAAGTCAGTTATTCAATGTTGGTTGTTGTTCTTGGAATTCCAATGATTATTTTCATCTTATTATTCAAGAATCGAAAACACAATAACGATGCATCAATCATTCGAACATATGGAGCATTCATCTTGAAATACAAAACATCATATTATTATTGGGATGTAATATTATTATTCAGAAGATTGGTGATTGTATTGGTGTCGATTATGGATCAAGACACACCAATCAGATCATTCCTTTTGATTGGAGTATCTCTGATCAGTGTCCTTCTTCAATTGAAACATTCACCGTTCATCAGTGAAGGTGATAATCAACTTGAATTGGTATCACTGATATTGATATTCATTTCATGTATTTACCTTGGAAATGAAATTGAATCATATCTTGAAGATTGGATCATCATCGTTTGTTGTATTTCATTTGCCATTTATTTATTATATATTATTTATACACATTATCGAATTTCAATTCTCAAACGAATCAATCATTATCTTTCAATTCTCAGTCGTGGAAGGTTTGGATATGAACAACTACACAATGAAATGGAAGAAGATCCACAAGATGACCACAATCAATTTGAAATTCCAATTTTAAAAAATAAAGTCAATGAAAATGAAGAGATTGATTGATTAATATTAAAAATAAAACTATAAAATATTTTCAGAATTCGGAGTGGTTGTTCAAAGATTGTTAATTAAAATTATTTAATTTAATGATAACTATGATATTTATGATGATTATGGTGTCTCTTCTTTATGATATATACAACTAATACGAGTAAAAGTATACCGGCTATAGAACCAACGATGATACCTGCGATTGCACCGGGACTAAGTCTACCTTCGGAGGGACAAGACATTTCAGTGATATCGTAGTTACCAGTGAATTTACATCCAGCTCTACCACCGTTTGAACATGAAACCAAACTATCAGTATCGGAGGTGATGTTGTTGATTACAATATCAGAGTCATCACAGAAGATAGGGTTGATAGAGTCTTTGATTAGATTATGTGAAAATGTTACTCCGTTGAACGAGTTGGACGCTACGTTGTCGATGTACAGTACACTACCGGAACCGTCGGGACCAACAGAGTTACCTGTGAAAGTGGTATTGGTAAGTTTGAGAGTTTGTGCATCGAAGATGTAGATGGCACCACCCGATTGCAGTGCATAGTTCGATGCGAAAACACAGTTGGTGACAAACAATGCACCGTGGTTAAGAGCGATCGCACCACCAAATGCCGATGCATTGTTATTGTTGATGAGAGTACCGGCGATAATAAAGGTACCGATCGAGTTGAAAGAGATTGGTGCACTTCCAACGTTGTTGGAAATCACTGAGTTGTAGAGCTGAACAAAGTTTTGGAACAGCATCATTACACCGCCTCCCATTGGATCTACTACACGCTGGACAGAGTTGTTGGTTAGGGTCATGTTGTTGATAATCACATTTCCATTGTTACTAAATTTCAAGATGGAACTTCCTCCGACGTTGGAATCGATGAGAACATTGCTCATTGTAATCGTTCCATTCACTAAGTAAATGATACCGTTGTTTCCTTGATTGCCAACGATGTTGCTATTGGAAATGTTCACTTGACAGAAGTTGGTGGTATAGAAAACCGATCCGAAAGTACCAGAGTTGTTGGTGAACGTCGAGTTGGAGAAGGTGATATAGGAGTTCAGTGTTGTCTGGAGAGAAACGACACCACCATAGTATGCATTGCAATTGGAGACAACAACATTCTCCAGTAGCAATATGGTGTTGGAGTAGTTGGTAGTGATATAGATGACACCACCGTAGACACCGTGGAATCCCGTACCGTTGACAATGTTTAGGTATTGGAGTGTCAAGACAACGTCACCGTGCTTCTGCTGACTATCCATAATACTAAAGAGCAAACCATTCTCTGCCAGATCGACAGTGGCATATGCATTTGGATTACCCTGCACGGTGAGTGTTATGTTTACCAAATTGATATTGGTGTTGTTTGGACCGGTGTATGTGTAGTTACCCAAATCCAGCACGATATTAGTTGAGTTGGTGGCACTGAGAGCAACAGCGATATTAGGACATGCATTATCTGTTGTGTTTCCACATGGCATAGTATATTGAACGATATTTGGATTCAAAATTAGCAGTGTTTCGGCTTCTACTTGTGAAAGTACAAGTTGATCACCAAGAAAAACTCCAAATACTAAAAATAGTGAAAATATTAATGAATATTTTAATTTAAACATTTTTTTTTTAAATACAAATAATAATGTATGAGTTATTATTTAATATAAATAGATTAACCTTAGTTTAAAAAAAGTAACTCATTTTTAATTTAACAATGTTGTTGGTGCCACCTTTAAAAATCTTAAAAATTTGGATATTTCAATAAATATCTAGGTGATAGTTTTTTTGATTTTTACTTACTAGATTATGGTCCCATTTATTTTCAAAGTGGGTGTGTGTTAAAATCTTTTGGAATTAGTAACACGCCAGCACCGATGATAGGAATCTTGACTTGATTAATAGAGAAATGAGAAATTTCATATCCTATCATCTTTTATTTATTGATTTCTCTTTCAAAAATAAAGAGTGATATTTGAATTTAGATATTGTTTGATTAGACTTTAATTTGCGAGAATCATTAAATTGTAGGAAAAGATAAGATTGATTTGTATAAATATTTGAAATGACCTGGTAGAGAATAAAATAAATTAATTCTTATATAAAAAAAAATATGAAAAACCATGTCTTAAAGATTAAAATTTTTTTCAAGTCACAACTTTAAAAATCATTAATGTTTATAGGATAAATTTGGTATCAATAGACTCGTCTAGTGATTATCTATCATAATATCTTTGTTTAATTTCGTGAGGTTTTCAATTCGAAAGCTAATGAGTGTGATCCAACCAAAAACCTAGGTACATTCGAATGTGATAGGTTGTATAAAGATCGGATTATCTCTTTTGAACAAAAAACAAACTATTACACTACCCAATGGTGATCAATTAACAAGAAGACAAAAAAGCAAAGAGAAAAAAAAGAGACCATTTTTTTCAAATAAAAAATCAATAAAAATCTGAAAAAAAAAAGTGTAAAAACTGATCTAATATTTACAATTTAGTTATTTTAATCTATTATTAGTTCTGCTGCTATCTAGGCATAATGTAATACAATGATAATGAATATATCAAATCAATATGTATATAGTCTATTTCTATTTTTTTATTTAATAATATTATTTTTCGAAAATTTAACAATAGTTTCATCATCATCACAATGTTCAGGTATGTCAAAATCTAATCATAATATGTGTATAAGTAATAGATATATTAAAATTAAACTTTTAACTTTTAATTTAATCAATTGTTTGATTTTAATTAGAAACAATTGATAGACCAATTTTAGATGATTGGGGTTTCGAGATGATTGGTAGTGGTAATCTTGATTCACCTTGGGTGACAAAAGATAATAATATATCCAAGATTGAATTTTGTACGGATGATATATGTGGATCACCCGATTATCAACTCTATGGATTCTACTATGCGTTTTTCCCAATTACCAAAGGACATACCTATGACTATATGTCATTATCACAACAATTCGACTTGTTAGATTATACTGTCGATAACGAAACCAAATACTATCTCGATTTCTTTGTATCATCACGAACCTTCATACCTCAAACCACAAAATTCGAATTCACAGTAACTATAGACCATATAAAGGTTGTACTAATAAGCAACTCTATATATTCACAAAGTCATCGAGTAGATATAACCGACTTAATAAGAGATAATAATAATAATACAATACATACAATTACTTTTCAATTATACTATGGAAGTATAAGTGGTAGTAGTAATAGTAGTAGCAATAATAATAATAATAATATTGGTTTTGATGATGTACCAGATGGTATTCTTTTGTCGAATACTATAATAAAGAAAACACCAATAAGCAGGAAATCAATGGATTTGTATGTAGATATCTTGAATGGATCGGATAGAACAGGAGATGGATCTAAAGAGGCACCATTCTCATCGGTTGGGATGGCAATCGAGTGGATCAGTCCGCTCTATACTATCCATGTGGCAGATGGAAGCTACTGTGGATACTATGCATCTTGTATGATTAACATGCCACTCTCAATTGTTGGTCAGTCCGCTCAAACCATTCTAAATGGCCAGAATCGAATCAAACTATTACATTTGAATGCAGGACCATATTCAAGATTGACATTCTCCAACTTTGCGATAACCAATTCATTTTCGAGTCTAATGGTACACGGTGGATCTGTCATACACGTTAAAGATAGCTGGACTATAGAGATGGAGAATATGAGCATCACAAACTCCTATAATTCTCTGGAGAATGGAGCGATAGTAGTTACTGAAGGATCGTCAGTTTCGATCAACAATTCATATTTTCTAAACAATTCGAGAGATGCCTGTCCAACCATCGATATCACTTCAGTAGATGCTACGCTATCGATCGCCAATACCGAAATGAATGAACTCTCTGCTATTACATCGAATTTCGCGCAAGTTTATGTTTCATCGTCTATATTCAATCCGAATGCCCCGAGATTTAGCGCAACGCTGTGTCTCTTTTCATTCTACCTTACGGAATCACTCTTTAAAGACTGTGAATTCAATAACCATAAACGAACTATCTTTTGTATGGTAAAATCGAGTGTGGAGATAGAGGACAGTCAGTTCAATGAAAATGAATTCATACATATCGATGTTTTCAAAAGCAATGCTACCGTTAGTAATTGTACAATCGGTTATGTCACACCAAACTTTCCTTCCATTATCAGCTTGAATGAACATTCAAACTTTTTTTTGCGGAACTGTTTGGTGTATAAATCCTATGGAAATTCAGTGGTGACTCTTATTCAAGTGGTTAGTTCAACAATGGTTGTTGATAACTCTCAGATATCTGCTACCACTGGATCAACGGTATTCAATATAGTCAATGGAGATCTCTCAGTTAGGTGGTCTCTATTCGCAGAAAATGATATGGTAATTACCTATGCATTCAGTTCCAACGTACAATTCGAGAACACACTCTTTAGAAACATCAAAACTCAATCGTATATATTTATGTTCCAAATGCAAAACATACCACCAAAGTATATTATATTCAAAGACTGTATCTTTGAGGATATCGCCGCTAAGCTGAAATTCGAAAACTCTAATCTCAGGTTGATAAACACCACTCTAAGGAATATGCGAAACTCCAACCTCTTTTTCCAAGGCTACTCCAATGTCGAGATTCACAACTCATCGTTTTTGAACTTTAACAATCAAATAGTTTTTTACTTTACATCAGTTGGATCTCTCAATATTACTGGTTCAAAGTTTCGTAACAACGATGTTTATTCATTGTTGTATTTTTCGAACGCTCAAGTAAACACAGTAGTATCGGACACGGTGTTTTTAAACAACCAGGGTCTTGACGGAACCATTGGTAATTTAGATAGTCACATCAGCGATATCTCTTTCTTTAATTGTACTTTCAAAAATAACACTTCATTTGGTCCAGGAGGAGTCGTTTATACCACCGGTCAGAACAACGTGGTATTTAAAGATTGTACTCTAACAAATAACACTGCGTTGCAAGGTGGAATTTCTTATTTCTTCTACATTCAACCGATATTTATTAATTGTACAATAGAGAATAATGGTGCAGTATTTGGTAATGTCAGTGCATCTCTTGTGAATCGTCTGATACTTAGCGATGGAGTATTCCCAGAGATTGTCACTTCCAATCGCACCCAATTCACTGGTACCATTAAATCATGTGATATACTAAATCAAACCTATCCATCACAACCATCGAGTGTCTTGGTTTATCTGCAGGTTGGTGGTAATACCATTGCTTCTTTGCCTTTTATCAATGGAAGTGTCAATTTTGAATCGGTGGAAATCGTTGGACAAGTTGGAAGTTCCTCTACAATATCATTTGTTAGTAGCTACAGATCACTTAAACCATTGACACTACCATATAAGGTGACTATTTTACCATGCAATCCTGGATACTATCCTATAGAATCATCAACACTTTGCTCAGTTTGTCCACCTGGAAGTTATGGATATGATGGAAACAAATGTATTTCATGTCCACAAAATGCATTCTGTGAAGGCGGTCAACAGGTTTCGACGAGACCTGGGTATTGGTTTGATGAAAATCAATATCCAAGAGTGATTTACGATTGTGAACAATCATCACATTGCTTGGCAAATAGCACTTGTCTTGAACATACATTTGGTGTTCTTTGTTCATCGTGTAACAACACCGAACAATATTATTCATGGTTTGGAGGTTGTATCGAATGTACTCATACCAACAAACTTGTTATTGCTATTGTTATCATTGGAATGATTCTCCTCGTTCTTTGGTCACATAAATCAGATTCATCATCAGGTCTGATGAATATTGTTGTCTATTTCGCACAAACAATCATGGTACTTTCGAAAGATGTTAATTTCAGTATTCTTTCACTTCTCAATCTCCAATTGGAAAGTGGAGGATCATCAATCATTGGATCGATATGTCCAGGACCATTCGATTATTACCAGAGACATTATACGACGTTCCTTGCTTTCCCAGCAATTATTTTCATTCTCCTCATTTTCACATTAATCATCACAATTATCAGAAAGTTTAAACCGAATGACCAACCAATATTCCCAAGACAATTTGGATCGTTTGTCAAGTTATTGATGAATATGTATTCACCAATCAGCACTGCAACATTTACAATATTCTTTTGTCAACAAATTGGAATTGGTAACTCGGTTTTAGTCACAGATTCATCAGTTCAATGCTCTGGAAATCAATATCGAACAGCACTCAAAGTCAGTTATTCAATGTTGGTTGTTGTTCTTGGAATTCCAATGATTATTTTCATCTTATTATTCAAGAATCGAAAACACAATAACGATGCATCAATCATTCGAACATATGGAGCATTCATCTTGAAATACAAAACATCATATTATTATTGGGATGTAATATTATTATTCAGAAGATTGGTGATTGTATTGGTGTCGATTATGGATCAAGACACACCAATCAGATCATTCCTTTTGATTGGAGTATCACTGATCAGTGTCCTTCTTCAGTTGAAACATTCACCGTTCATCAGTGAAGGTGATAATCAACTTGAATTGGTATCACTGATATTGATATTCATTTCATGTATTTACCTTGGAAATGAAATTGAATCATATCTTGAAGATTGGATCATCATCATTTGTTGTATTTCATTTGCCATTTATTTATTATATATTATTTATACACATTATCGAATTTCAATTCTCAAACGAATCAATCATTATCTTTCAATTCTCAGTCGTGGAAGGTTTGGATATCAACAACTACCGAATGAAGATGATTATTCAATCGATTTACTTTCAAAAGAAATCAAGTATAACTCATCACCGCATGTGGTGGATGAAGAGATTGAAAATGATACTGAAATTTAATAAAGAAATTTAACATATGCCAATACAAATATATATTCAGATCGTCTACAAAGAGAAATAAAAGGATCTTATCTTTTAATAAATCTTTATTTTAATAGTTACTATTAAAATAGGATGTTTTTATATGGAGATAATTGACAAAGAAGAAGTTTATATATATAAAGAATTCTGTGTGAAACAAATTTCAATAATTAAATATTTCAACAAAAACAAAGCAATATAATTTGTTTTTTTGTAAATTAAATCTTTAAAAATTGTTCACTGAATTTTGTAGAATATAACATATATTACTAATATTTTCGAAAAGTTGAAGATAGTTGAACTCTAAAACTAGAGTGTACGATTGAAACATGAAAAATAAGTGTTAAATTAAAACATATTGAAAATGAAAACACTCATCTTTATAAAGATTAGTTTTAAAGTTGAAATTTTAAATCAAGTTGCTTGAATTAAATTTTATATAAACTAACTAGATAGGATATATCTTTCTAGTTCTTTCTTGTTTATTATATTAGAAAGAACTATTATTTTTTCTGATTTATAAATCACAAAACGTGATTATTAAAAAAACAAATTCATAGAAAAAAAAAATTAAAAAAATAAAAAAAAATAAAATAAAAAAAAAACGAAACGAAAAAAAATATTTTTTTTATTATTTTTTTCTTAATTTTAATCAATTTATTTTATTTTATTAATAATAAATAATATTAATAAAAGTTTAGAGATAATATAGAAAGAACTAGAAAGATGGATAAAGATCATAGTGGAAGTGAAGATGAACAAGATAACTATGAAGAGTTAACTGACGAGCAACTCAATGAATTGAATGCGTTGTCATCGAATAGAAACGATCCTTTCCGTGTAGCACTCGGTGTTGCACCAGCAAAGAATGCTACACCCGTTGGTGTTTGGGGAAATCTATCTTCATTCTTACAGTCACCAACATCCTCATCATCATCATCAACAACAACAATAACACAACAACAACAATCAACAACTGAAGAAGTAGAGGGAGAAGAAGCTGAAGATGGTAGTGATGACGATGAAGGTGAAATCATTGGTACTATCGGTGAGAACGGTGAGTTGAGTGAATCACTCAAGACACTGACTATCTCGCATGCCAAACAGACAGCCACTCATTTGGTAATCGATACCAACGCTATTTTGCACTCGTCGACACGTCTTGACACCCTTGGAAAGGTGCTCTACACTATCGAAGAGGTTCTCGATGAGGTCAGAGACAAGAAGACACAGTTGTATCTCGAGACATTCCCATTTGAGATCAAAACAAGACAGCCTACACCAGAGTCTTATCAAGCGGTCGTTGACTTCTCACACAAGACTGGTGATTTCGCTTCGTTGTCGACCGTCGATCTCAAGGTACTGGCATTGGCACACACACTTCATGCCGAACACGATGGATTAGATACATTAAAGACATCACCAGAACCAACTAAACCAGCACCAAGACCAACTAATAATAACAATAATAATAGAAATAATAATAATAACAATCCAGAACAAAAGAAGAAAAAGAAAAATAACAATAAGAAGAAGAAGGCTGCTGCCGCGGTAGTACAAAAGGATACATGTTGTTCACACGATCATGGAAAGGTAGAAGAGAAGAAAGATAATAGTAGTAAAGTAGTAGTAGATACATGTTGCTCACCAGCTACCACTACTCCACATACACACCAAGTTGTAGATACATGTTGTTCACCAGCATCCACTACGACTTCAACAGAACCAGCTACAACTACAACTACAACAGAACCAACTACAACTGCTACTACTACAGAATCAACAAAAGAAATAACAGAAGATAATAATAATAATAATAATAATCAATCACAACAAAAGAAAGGTAAAAAGAATAACAAAAAGAATAGTTTAATTGTTAATATGGATGAGCTGCCAGAGGAAGACCCATCTAAATTTGTAGATCCAAGAGAAATACTCGAAAAGATGAAAAAGCAACGTGAAGCAGAGGAAGAGGAACGCAGAAAGAAGAGAAAGGATAAAGAGGATGAAGGTGAATGGATCACCCCAGACAACATTAAAGCTAAATTAGAGAAATCACAATTTGTTACAGGTGAAGAGATTAAACATGTAAAAGTTGCATGTATTACAAGTGATTTTTCAATGCAAGTAAGTAAACATAAACATATAATAATAATAATAATAATAACTTAATAGTAATGATCTTCAACATTTGTATATTTATTAACTTTTTTCGTTTATTATAATTTTATAGAATGTTATGTTACAAATGGGATTAAATTTATTAAGTGTAGATGGTTTAGTTGTTAAACAGGTGAAACAATTCGTTTTGAAGTGCTATTCGTGTAATACAACCACCTTGGATTTCAGTAAGGTTTGGTGCGGTGCCTGTGGTAATCAAACCATGGTCAAAGCTATGACTTGGGTCGATCGCTTCGGAAATGTTCGTGTCGGCAAGGGTTCCGGCAAGCAATTTAACAATCGTGGCAAGAAGTTCTCGATGCCCAAGGCCAAGGGTGGCAAGTACCACACCGATATGGTGTTCACCGAAGAGCAGTACATCCATCGTCTCAAGGTCACCGGCAAGTACTACCAGAAGAAGAAGTCGTCGACCGACAACGCCATCGGTGACGAATCATTTGAATCTGGTTTCTCGTTTGCCAAACCCGGTGCTGACATCACCATTGGTTTCGGTGGACGTAATCCAAATATCGCTCGTCGTAAGATTGGTAAGAAAAATAAATCGATTTCCAATCATTAATAATAATAATAATGATAATAAACAACAGACAACAATAACAATAATGATATTAATAATAATAATGATGACGACGACGACACTAACAATTAAAAATCAGATTTATTGAGAGATAATTAATTACAACTAATCAACCAACCAATCAATCAATAAATATCATTACACACTTTTTTAAATAAAAAAAAAACACAAAAATAATAATACAAAATAAAATAACTTTATTTATTTTTTTTTTTTGAAAAAAAACAAACAAATGAATCTAAATTTATCTATCATTACACCATACCAAAATATTTGATTCGTTCGGTATTGGTAACACGCCAATTAAGGGGTGGGAACAAGTCACTAATTGAATGACTGCCCCACTTTCATCGGATTTCTGTTTGCAAAAAAAAAATGTTGATGAAATTTCATTTTAACATGTTGTGTGAAGTGTAAAAAAAAAAAAAAAAAAAAAAAAAAAAAAAATACAAGAAAATTGATAGTTTTGTTGGGATCATAAAAAAACAATAATAATTTTCATATTTATTTTTGATTTTTGTTGTTGTGGTTGTTGCTATTAACTATAGTTTGTTTAATTTTATATATAGATATATTATTTAAATATGTTTAGATCGATTATCAGTGGTTCAAAAGCAACCTTTTTGAATGGAGTTGTCAGTCGTCAAGTGAAGTTGGTGCGTAACTTCTATAGCAATCGTGAGTTGATGGGATTCAGCGAAGAACAAATGCAACTCCAAGAGACCATTCGTCAATTTGCCCAAAACGAACTTGCACCGATCGCCGCCGACGTCGATAAGAACAACGCATTCCCAATGCACATGTGGAAGAAAATGGGTGATTTAGGTCTTCTTGGTATCACTGCTCCATGTAGGTTTCAACAAATGTTAATAACATAACTATATAGCTAGCTAGTTATTTAGAGAAACAAAACAAAACAAAACAAAACAAACAAAAAAGGACGATAATATTAATATCAGTAATTACCAATTTTCAATTTTGTCAAATTAATTTTAGCTGAATATGGTGGATTGGATATGGGATACACTGCACATTGCATTGCCATGGAGGAGTTGAGCAGAGCATCGGCATCGGTTGCTCTCAGCTATGGTGCACACAGCAATCTCTGTGTCAATCAAATCACAAGAAATGGTAATCAGAAGCAAAAGGAAAAGTACCTGCCAAAGTTGATCTCTGGTGATTTCGTTGGTGCTTTGGCCATGTCCGAACCAAACGCCGGTTCCGATGTCGTTTCAATGAAGACCAGAGCCACCAAGACAAGTAAAGTATCACAATATCTCTATATATAATTAGTTTTTAACTTTATAGTAATAACGATGATGAAACTTCCTTCTTTACTTCCTTCTACACTGTAATACTATATCAATTTATAGGTGGAGGATGGGTTTTAAATGGTACAAAGATGTGGATTACCAACGGTCCAGATGCCGATGTTTTAGTTGTCTACGCCAAGACAGATATCAATGCAGGATCGAAGGGTATCACTGCCTTCCTGATCGAGAAGGGAATGAAAGGTTTCTCCACTGGACAGAAATTGGATAAGCTCGGTATGAGAGGTTCAAACACTTGCGAATTGATCTTTGAAGACTGCTTCGTTCCAGATGAAAATGTATTACAAGACGTCGGAAAGGGTGTAAAGGTTTTAATGAGTGGACTCGATTATGAACGTTTAGTATTATCTGCTGGTCCATTAGGGTAATTATAAATAGTTACTATAATATTTTATGTTTAACAAACTTTGATAAATTAACAGAATCTTTATTAATTCTTCACATGTGATTAGTATTATGCAAGCATGTATGGATAATGTTGTTCCATATTTACATCAACGTGAACAATTTGGAAAGAAGATTGGTGAGTTCCAGTTGATGCAAGGAAAGGTTGCAGATATGTATACAATTATGAATGCAAGTCGTTCCTACGTCTATTCGGTTGCCAAGTCGGCCGACAATGGTTACACCTCGAGAAAGGATTGTGCCGCCGTCATTCTCTACACCGCTGAGAATGCCACTCAATGTGCACTACAAGCCATTCAGACACTCGGTGGTAACGGTTATATCAACGAGTTCCCAACCGGTCGTTTATTGAGAGACGCCAAGCTATACGAAATCGGTGCAGGTACCAGCGAAATCAGAAGAATGTTGATCGGTAGAGAAATCTTTGCTGAAACTGATTAATATAATATTTATTCAAATCTCTTCAATAAAAATAAGTCACATCATAAAAAGGAGTAATTCAGACGTTTTTCATTTTGAAATATCAATCAATTGGATTGCACAACAACTGAAATTAAGCAAATCACTTATAAACAATCTGATCCATTTTTTAATATCTTGGTCATCAACACAAAACTGTGAATGCAAAAACATTCTTTTTATTTTTAATTATAATAGCATCTTTAAAATCTGTTTTATCCACCTTAAATTAAAGTATTTGTGTTGATTGGTTTATACTTTCTGATAATAGTAATCATTATGTATTTGTTATTATAATATAGAATAGCTTGATTGTGTAAGTGTATTGAGTTTTTAATGATTGATAAAGAGAATGGAATGAGATTAGATAAATGTGATAAAATAAGGATTTTATTCACCATTTTCGATAGTTATAGAAGTGCACTCTTTCCTATAGAATTGATGTGCTTTATTGATTGTTGTTCCGCGAGAGTTGAATTTGATGATTGATTTGTTCAGCAATCTTTTCAGCACTATGTGATAGTGAATTGATTTTGAATACTTTGGTTCCTACGTTCTTTGTACGAATATAAACAGCTTTTGTAAAAATGAAAAGAACACGTTCTGCCTTAACTTCAATGATTTCCGACAATGGTATTTGTTTGGTTGTATTGCTATAGGTATTTGTAAGAGTAGACTCGGTGTTGTTTATGAACTTTACATTATGAATATCTAATCTGTCAAACCTGATATGAACATTGGTTAATCTCATGATGCTTTGATCAAACCCAAGTGTTCCTATCCATCTATCTATTTCCTTTTCACCTTCCGACCATTCTTTAAAGTTTTTTATGTAAGATGTAAATTCATGATTCGTTGAATTATTTGTCTTAACATAAACATCTTTTCCAGTGTCGTCTGTATATTTATTATATCCTTGAGTGGGTACTTGCTTTTGAGACATTTAAACTTATTGTTTTTTATTTAAATTAATAACTATTAAACCAATAGGATATTACAATAATCAAAATGAAAAGATAAAAAGGATTTTTGATTATCCATTCCAACTTTTAACATCAGATATTTTGGAAAATTAAAAATTTGATAAACAATCTTGATCCATTTTTTAATATCTTGGTGATCAAAACAAAACTGTGAATGCCAAAAACTTCTTTTATATTTTTAATTAAAATAGGATTATAATATATCATCATTATTAGTTTACTTTTTTCAAATAAAATATTATATTTTTTATAAAGCAAATGTAAAAACAACAACCAAAAATAGATGTTTATTTACACATCCCATAAAAATCAATATTTTAATATTCACTATTTTTAAAAAAACTGTTTTTTTTTTCACCCTAACAAGGTCCTCTTCCGCAATTAAAACTTCTACTGTCAATGAAACCTCAGGATCTGTCCATTTATTTATTTTTGAATTCAAAAATTACACCGCTTGCGGAAAATTAATTGTAATAATTCTGAATGTTCACTCCAACACCAGCCAACTAATCAAGTAAATGAAATTAACTCTCTTCCCAACCTGCCAACTAATTAATTAAATCAACCAACAACTAAAAAGAAAAAAAAATAGACTACGAAAAAAACTTGATGGTAAATCCATCCTTTTAATACAACTTTTAATAAAACATGTATACCACTTTAGTTATTATAAAAAAAAAAAAAAAAAATAATTCTGAATGTTTCACGTTAGTTTCTTACAAGTATGTTGTTTCGCGAGTTTCTCTTATCAAACATAAATACCACAAGTACTATAGCTACAGACTTTTAATTGGAGGCACTCGTGCATCAAATTAGATGGTCCTATTCGAACTACAGTCGACTTCACCCACCTTACTGCTGCTATCATACATTCGTTATAGCCAGCTGTCCAGTGTAATGTTTGGATGGAACCAATTCAAGCTGGAAAATAACAGACTAATTGCTTAGTTCTTTACCAGTTCGCCTGATCACAAAGTCTTGTTTTCACTGAATCTGTGTGATTATCTCTCTTTCACTTTGGTAGATTTTTTTACTCGTTATTTCTTAAAATATACACCTTTTCCAACATAATATGTATTTTATAATATCTTTGGGTGTATTTCTTGAGATATTAAAAATTATTTTAATTAAGAGATCTTAAAAATAAATTAAAACTAATTATAACTTTTTTGTAAAAAATATAAATTATTTAATGATTGATGGTGTATAAGATGAAGAAAAAATTTCAAAATAGAATGAAATGAGCTAAGGTACATGAGATCAAATATGGATTTTAATATTTTATTCATTTCCACAGTTTTAAAATAGAAAGTGAACTTTTTTCCTATTAAATTAATATACTTTTTTGGTTGTTGTTGTTTGGGGCGAGTTGAATTTGATGATTGATTTGTTTAGCAATCTTTTCAGCTTCATCACATTGGAATACTTTGGTTCCTACATTTTTTGTACGAATATAAACAGCTTTTACAGAAGTGATCCTAACCAACTATCAATTTCTTTTTCACCTTCTGGCCAGTCGGTAAAGTTCTTTAAGGTAGATGATTTCTTTACTTAATAATCTTCTTGACTCAAAAGATAAAGATCTTTTCCATTGTCATCTGTATGTTTAGTATATCCTTGTTCCGCTAGATGATCTTGAGACATTGGATTGAGATAATTTAAATTATTATTATTATTAACAAAGCTTATTAAAATAATTAAAAACATAAAGAAAAAGAATACAAAACCATTTAATGATTGTAAACAACACAGATATTTTGTAAAATTTAAAAATTATGGTTTTATTTTAAACAAATGATTATTTTGAGTTTTGGCTTTCGAAATGTAAGTTACCCTATTTATTATTTTATTATTATTACTGCTGACGCACCGTGGTTTGTAGTGTCAATAAAAATCTCCCAGCAGTCATTTTCTATTGAATATCTATAATGTCTGAATATATTGCTTCTTATTTCAAGGCATCGTACTGCATAGACATAGCTTTCTTTGTCAGATATCTTGCTATAGATCATGCCGAAACCATCTTTGGTCAGTCTGAATGAAGCAAACTCTTTGAGTTGTTGTTTTTGGTTTGTTTCTGTATTGTATCGATAGAATCTGTGACCACTAACGAAATACAGTGATTTATAGCCATCGTAACACACAGATGTAATGTTCACACCCAAATCCCAATCCAGACGAAAATGACTACCAGTTGTGACATCGATACCATATCGATTAAGACGATTCTGACGGTCATTTGGTGAACCAAAGATGATTAGCTTTTCCTTTACAAAGAATGCTTGACAGATATCGACGGTATGAGTATCCATGAAATTCTCAAACTTTAGTTTTTTTAAATTAAACCGAATGATACGCTTCACACCACCGAGTATATAGATATAATATCCACCATCGTAAACTGCCAGTCTATCCTTTCCACAAATGACAGCGGGATCGATGTCTTCGATTAAATCAATTGATATACTATCGAGTGAGAATCTACAATACTTTTGACCATCGACTCCACCAAATATGTATATATGGTTACCAACTGCCACTGTAGATCTCGATGTTCCTTCAAATCTATAGTTTTTAGTATCCTTTATCGATTCTAATGTACCAACTGAATGATTATATAATGAAATTGATTCTTTGTGTGTAGATAAATAATAATAGATTGGTGATGGATTGGCTATTGGTTGCTGAGATGTACTAATAGAGATTGTATTTTTGAGAGCTTGTTGAAGAGTTTCAAGTTCTGTTGGTTCAACAGTGATAAAGTATTCATCGACTGTTTGTTGAACAGCGTATGTAGCTGTATTGAATTCATTATTGTACTTTGCAATAGTATCCAAAATGATGAAATCTGAATTGTTATGAAACTGTTTATTTTGATGTTCAATATCGATATCTGGACATATATACTCGTTGTTGACACAATATTGAGCATATTGTTGGAATGTTTCCGATTGATCGATGATTTCAAGAGCTGTTGGTAAAGTTGTATCATCATTACAATACTTTTGGTCGTCATCATCGCCATCACTACTCTCTTCTTTTTCTTCTTCTCCATCACCACTCTTTTGATTATTATATATGCTATTATTTAATTTGATTATTCTAACTATTTGATTGAGTTCTGTAGTCTTTTGATCGATATCGTCAAGTGTGATATTTTTATCTTTGGTTATAGGTGATTTCAATTTGTGTTCTTCATTGATTAAGAAATCATGTAATATCTTAAAGTGCTCGGTTATTAGTTTCTCTGATGTATCCATTGATTTAAATAGAAAAGTAGATTTCTTAATCGAGTTCCATAGGTAGTTGATGGTTCTTTCGATAAAACATAAGTTTATGTCGTAATCCGCACATTCTTCATTGTCTTGGTTCTCTTCTTCAGCTTCTTCTACAACTTGTTGATCCCCAACTTCTTCTTCCTCCTCTTCAATAAACTCTGTTTGATCATGATCATTATCGGCTTCACCATCATTGTATTCTAATAGCACCTCCTCCTCTTCTCCTATCTCGTATACTCCAGACTGATCATAGTTATCATCTACATTAATATCTTCTTTACTACTTGTATTACTGTTATTATATAATATTTTATAGAATGATTCTCTAATATCTTGAATATTATCCCAATAATCGATATGATCATTGAATTGCTTTAAATGAGTCCTGAGACATCGTTTACACATTAATCTATGACATGGATAACAAATGAATTCAAATGAATCATTATGAACTTTGCATATGTTCTCCATATCTTTGTTACTTGTTGTCAAAGAATAGTCTATTTTCGAAAAAAAAAATCCAATAATATTTACTAGAACTTTATCACCAATTTTTTTTTTTCGAAAATAGACTATTTACAGCTAAAACGCCCAAACCCTTTATTTGGGACTCATTTGTCTGACTAGTTTGAATTAAAAGCATATTTTTCTAATCCTATAAAAATCAACAGAATTAAATTTTTCTCATGACAAGGTACTCTTCTGCTCTACCTAAACTACCTAGGATACAAACCCCAAAAAAATCGACCATTTCAACCAGTATATGGTTGAATACTCAATATTTAAAACACGAACTTAATATCGTTCACCTTGAATAACTTATAATTTTTTGGTTAAACCAAGATAATAAAATATTTCCATAATTGTTAGTGGTTTCAATAAAATTTTCCCAACAGTCATTTTCTAATGAATATTTAAAGTGTTTGAATGTATCTGTTTGTTCTCTTGTTGACCAGGTACGATAGAGGAAGAGATCGGAGTCTTGGATGCGATCAGGGTTGCTTGGAATACATCCGACGGGAGTGAGTCTGGGCGTGTGACGGGAGGGACGATATCAGGAAACAAAGTAGAGGTTGATGGGATTGAATCATTATCATTATTGCTTTCGAGATCGTTCATTGTAAGATCATTTGTTGTGGTTGTTGTATCAGTCGGTGCTGTTGCATTATTGGTTGTTGTGGTTGTTGTTGTTTGATCAGTTGGATCTGACATTTCTTATTCAAGTGATAATTAATAATAATATAAAATAATGTTTTTAATAATATCTTTATATAATTTAATTTTTAACTTTATTTTAATTCTTTTTCTTCACCGTGAATTATTTATTTATTTTCTTTAATTTTATATCTTGAATATTGAATAATCAATTGAATGAATCTTTAACGTCGCGTTAAACTCAATATATTCATTTATTGAGAAGCTTGGCGGCTGAGTGTTGAATACTTAATTTAGAAACAACAGATTCTAATTTAATTATTATTTTGATCTGTTGTTTTGAACTATTACTTATTTAGTTGATTAATTAATTTAATTAATTATAATTGACTGTTTCTTATATGTTGGCTGGTAATTATTATTGATGTTGATTGATAGGTACCGGCATTGCCTTGGCGGCTACCTTATTGTCCTTAGACGGACAACAGTATCTCTTCGAACCTCAAGGCATCGTACTGCATAGAGATAACTTTCTTTGTCGGATATCTTGGTATAGATCATGCCGAAACCATCTCTTGTCAATCTGATTGAAATCGAGATAGTAATTGGTTTCGTTATCGATAGTATAATCTAACAAGTCGAACTGTTTTGATAATTACATAAAGCCATAGGTATGTCCTTTGGTAATTGGGAAAAACGCATAGTAGAATCCATAGAGTTGATAATCGGTTGATCCACATATATCATCCGTACAAAATTCAATCTTGGATATATTATTATCTTTTGTCACCCATGGTGAATTAAAAGTTAAAAGTTTAATTTTATTATATATCTATTACTTATACACATATTATGATTAGATTTTGACATACCTGAACATTGTGATGATGATGAAACTATTGTTAAATTTTCGAAAATTAATTTGAATAAAAGATGATAGTATATGAAATTTCTCATATCTCTATTAATCAAGTCAAGATTCCTATCATCGGTGCTGACGTGTTAGAATCTAAATTTAAAATTTTTAAAAATCAAAAAACTATCACTAGATATTTAGTGAAATATCAGAATTTTTAAGATTTTTAAAAGTGGCACCAACAACATTGTTGCACCTGCAACACTGTAATATTAAAAATGAGTTCCTTTTTTTTAAACTAAGGTTAATCTATTTATATTAAATAATAACTCATACATTATTATTTGTATTTAAAAAAAATGTTTAAATTAAAATATTCATTAATATTTTCACTATTTTTAGTATTTGGAGTTTTTCTTGGTGATCAACTTGTACTTTCACAAGTAGAAGCCGAAACACTGCTAATTTTGAATCCAAATATCGCTCAATATACTATGCCATGTGGAAACACAACAGATAATGCATGTCCTAATATCGCTGTTGCTCTCAGTGCCACCAACTCAACTAATATCGTGCTGGATTTGGGTAACTACACATACACCGGTCCAAACAACACCAATATCAATTTGGTAAACATAACACTCACCGTGCAGGGTAATCCAAATGCATATGCCACTATCGATCTGGCAGAGAATGGTTTGCTCTTTAGTATTATGGATAGTCAGCAGAAGCACGGTGACGTTGTCTTGACACTCCAATACCTAAACATTGTCAACGGTACGGGATTCCACGGTGTCTATGGTGGTGTCATCTATATCACTACCAACTACTCCAACACCATATTGCTACTGGAGAATGTTGTTATCTCCAATTGCAATGCATACTATGGTGGTGTCGTTTCTCTCCAGACAACACTGAATTCCTATATCACCTTCTCCAACTCGACGTTCACCAACAACTCTGGTACTTTCGGATCGGTTTTCTATACCACTAACTTCTGTCAAGTGAACATTTCCAATAGCAACATTGTTGGCAATCAAGGAAACAACGGTATCATTTACGTAGTGAATGGAGCGTTTAAAATGAACAATGTTCTCATCGATTCCAACGTCGGAGGAAGTTCCATCTTGAAATTGAGTAACAATGGAAATGTGATTATCAACAACATGACCCTAACCAACAACTCTGTCCAGCGTGTAGTAGATCCAATGGGAGGCGGTGTAATGATGCTGTTCCAAAACTTTGTTCAGCTCCTCAACTCAGTGATTTCCAACAACGTTGGAAGTGCACCAATCTCTTTCAACTCGATCAGTACCTTGGTCATCGCCGATACTCTCATCAGCAATAACAATGCATCGGCATTGGGTGGTGCGATCGCTCTTAACCAAGGTGAATTGTTTGTCACCAATTGTGTTTTCGCATCGAACTATGCACTGCAATCGGGTGGTGCCATCTACATCTTCGATGCACAAACTCTCAAACTTACCAATACCACTTTCACAGGTAACTCTGTCGGTCCCGACGGTTCCGGTAGTGTATTGTACATCGACAACGTAGAGTTCAACTCGTTTAAAGGAGTAACATTTTCACATAATCTAATCAACGACTCTATCAACCCTATCTTCTGTGATGACTCTGATATTGAAATCAACAACATCACCTCCGATACTGATAGTTTGGTTTCATGTTCAAACGGTGGTAGAGCTGGATGTAAATTCACTGGTAACTATGATATCACTGAAATGTCTTGTCCCCCTGAAGGTAGACTTAGTCCCGGTGCAATCGCAGGTATCATCGTTGGTTCTATAGCCGGTATACTTTTACTCGTATTAATTGTATATATCATAAAGAAGAGACACCATAATCATCATAAATATCATAGTTATCATTAAATTAAATAATTTTAATTAACAATCTTTGAACAACCACTCCGAATTCTGAATATATTTTATAATTTTATTTTTTAATATTAATCAATCTCTTCATTTTCATTGACTTTATTTTTTAAAATTGGAATTTCAAATTGATTGTGGTCATCTTGTGGATCTTCTTCCATTTCATTGTGCAGTTGTTCATATCCAAACCTTCGACGACTGAGAATTGAAAGATAATGATTGATTCTTTTGAGAATTGGAATTCGATAATGTGTATAAATAATATATAATAAATAAATGGCAAATGAAATACAACAAACGATGATGATCCAATCTTCAAGATATGATTCAATTTCATTTCCAAGGTAAATACATGAAATGAATATCAATATCAGTGATACCAATTCAAGTTGATTATCACCTTCACTGATGAACGGTGAATGTTTCAATTGAAGAAGAACACTGATCAGTGATACTCCAATCAAAAGGAATGATCTGATTGGTGTGTCTTGATCCATAATCGATACCAATACAATCACCAATCTTCTGAATAATAATATTACATCCCAATAATAATATGATGTTTTGTATTTCAAGATGAACGCTCCATATGTTCGAATGATTGATGCATCGTTATTGTGTTTTCGATTCTTGAATAATAAGATGAAAATAATCATTGGAATTCCAAGAACAACAATCAACATTGAATAACTGATTTTGAGTGCTGTTCGATATTGATTTCCAGAGCATTGAACCGATGAATCTGTGACTAAAACCGAGTTACCAATTCCAATTTGTTGACAAAAGAATATTGTAAATGTTGCAGTGCTGATTGGTGAATAAATATTCATCAATAACTTGACAAACGATCCAAATTGTCTTGGAAATATTGGTTGGTCATTCGGTTTAAACTTTCTGATAATCGTGATGATTAATGTGAAAATGAGGAGAATGAAAATTACTGCTGGGAAAACAAGGAATGTCATATAATGCCTTTCATAATAATCGAATGGTCCTGGACATATCGATCCAATGATTGATGATCCTCCACTTTCCAATTGGAGATTCAGGAGTGAAAGAATACTGAAATTAACACCTTTCGAAAGTACCATGATTGTTTGTGCGAAATAGACAACAATATTCATCAGACCTGATGATGAATCTGATTTATGTGACCAAAGAACGAGGAGAATCATTCCAATGATAACAATAGCAATTACCAGTTTGTTGGTCTGAGTACATTCGATACAACCTCCAAACCATGAATAATATTGTTCGGTGTTGTTACACGATGAACAAAGAACACCAAATGTATGTTCAAGACACGTGTTATTTGCCAAGCAATGTGATGATTGATCACAATCATAAATCACTCTTGGAAATTGATTTTCATCAAACCAATATCCTGGTCTCGTTGAAACTTGATCACCACCTTCACATAATGCATTCTGTGGACATGAAATGCAAATATTTCCATTGTATCCATAGCTTCCAGGTGGACATTCCGCACACTTTGTCGATGAATCAATGGGATAGTATCCAGGGTTACAAGGCATAATAGTTACATTGTAAGGTATGGTAAGTGGTTCCAAAGAACTTTCGTTACATGAAAAAATGACTGTTGAAAAACCTCCAACCTGACCATAGATAACTATGTTTGTGAAATTGGCATAACCATCTTCAAAAGGTACGGTTGCAATTGTATTTCCATTCACCATGAGGTATACTCTTAGGTGATTGTAACTTGGGTTTGGATAGATTTGATTCAAGTTATTACCAATTCTAATGATACCGGAAAATATGGTTTCCCTTGAAACAATCACACTTGGAAATTCGCCGCTGGCAAGCTGCAGATGTGTCGGATTCGATGCAATGATTCCACCAAAATATGCATTATTATTGGTAAGTGTACAGTTTCCGAATATCGGTAGCTTCTCGATGAAATAAACAATGGAGCCACCTCCATTCTTTGCGGTATTGCTATCGAGTATGGTAAAGTAGAATAGGATGGTGTTGAGCGATCCAGCATAGATAATTCCACCATTATAAAGAGAGGTATTGTTACGGAATGTACAAAATAGGAAATTTAGAGTGGATTGGTCACCGATGACAGCAATACCGCCCTGCGATAGTGCAATATTGCTTTCAAAGGTACAGTTGGCAGCTTCCAAGAATAAATTATTACTGCCTTGTATAATGGAACCCTCCGATCCATAGTTGTACTGGAACGTACAATTGAAAAAATGAACCCTCGGGCCATTCAAAACAAAGATCGGTCCAAAGTTTGATATGAATTGGCAGTCCTCCAGATTCAAGCTGGTGGACTTGTCAATGTCAAAGAACTTTCCGGAATTGATAAGTTTAGAGTTGTGAATAATCAATCGTGAATTGACGGCTTTGATGTAACCATAAATATCTTGGAATAGGCAATCGATGATTAAAACATATGCACCATTGTACTGCTCGAGAATAGTATTGAATTTGAAAACTTCGTCAAAGTAGGTGGAATTTAAAAACTGGCTGTTTGACAGCCTAATTTTGGTTTGCGATGCCGATATCAATAGACATTGAGTATCCCTGATGATGGCATCAACCAACTGCAAGTCACCTTGTAGTGTACTGAACATGGTTCCCTTTCCACCGACTAGCAACGAGCTGTTGACAAGCAAAGTAGACTGCGACATTGAGAACATTAGATTGGGCGAGGTGTAGACACTTGTCGAAGAAACACTGCAATTGTAGAGATGAGCATACGAGTTTTTCGAAAGCATCATGACTCCACCTTGGCTGGAGTGCATAAAGTGAATCTCAGAGTTATGAACCTCTAGCGTACTCTGAGTGGCATAAAAGTTGAAATAGTTATCTTTGAAATAAGAGTTGCTAACATAACTCGTTGAATTGGTAAGACAGATCTGACCGGACAACGATTCCGAAAAACTGCAGTTCCTAATAACCAGATTCGATCTGAAAATGGAACAGGAACACGAATTCAAATCATCGTGATTACCAATAAACACCGATGAATCGATCACAATCGAACTGGCAAAGTCGACATATAGATAATTGTTATCGTTGTTGAAAACGCTGTTAAAGATATTCAAATAGGTGACGACATGGCTGTTGGAAAGACTGGCAACACCGATCGTCGGATTCTGGTTGTAATCGGAATTCGAATTGTTTCTAAATTGACAGCCGGTGATGTTGAGTGAAGCATTCTCGCGCAGAGTGATAGAACCACGATTGGAAAAGTCAGCGTTATTATACAGCAGCAGATTCTCCAAGACACCAGTGTTGTTTCCACCGTTCAAAAGAATGATAGCGCCACCATAAGTACTGTTGCTGGTGTAACAATAGACAATCGAGAGTGTCGAGACTTTGAATATTAGATTGGTTCCTGTCACCTTGAAAGGGTAGATTTTTCCCAGACCATTGAGCACGGTGCCACCCGAAGACTGACCAACGATCGACACTGAATCGACAATCTTACTATTCATGTTATATCCACAGTAGACACCGTCCGACACATAAATAGTATGCAAAGGTTGAATCCAAGCCAATGCCATTCCAATCGAGGAGAACGGGGACTCCTTTGTCCCGTTTCCTATTCGGTCTGATCCACCAGATGCATCCACATAGAAATCTCTTGCCAGTCTGGTTTTCTGTATTCTTTTAATCTCCAAACCAGACAGCAGCAATGCGAAATTATCGGTATTCCTGTTAATTTTATTGCTGGGATTAGAATTCCTAAAAATGACTATAAGATCCAGTTGGAAGTAAGAAGAGCTGTCCACGATGTACTTGGTGACGTCGACAGAGTGCTCCTCATTGTTGATAGAATTGATTCGAGTTGTAACACCGTTTTGATCGATGTAGATACTAAAGTCATATTCAACATCGACCGGGAATAGATTGGTGGAAGTTACGAAAAAGCTTAGAATGTACGATTCTGTCAGCTGTTGCTGTGCTGTCAGTGGTACCGCACTGAATTGCTGTGATAGCGTCAGCATATCTAGAGGTGACGATCTGTTCATATTGTACTTTGCATAGTAGTAGCCGTCGAGCAATATACCGGTGTATCCACACTCCTGGTCACGACAAAATGAAATAAGTGGACTATTAACGGTCCACGGTGAAGGTAAACCACTACCGATCGATTGAAAACCCCAGTCATCTAATATTGGTTTTTCGGTTTCTTAAAATTTTTATATAAACAACACAAAAAGAATCAATCAATCAATCAATAACTGAGTACTAAAAATGAGCTATCTTTTTAAACAACATACCTGTACATATTGAAATTACAATAGATTGATGAAAAGAAATAATACAAAATAATAAATAAATAAATAAATATATACATAACATTTAGATGTCTTTTTTTAAAAATAAATGAAATCAATTTTAAGTACTTAAAACTGTGTGACTGGTTTGTTTGCATGATACTCAATTACCTGGGTTGTTTTCAAAAAAATCTTATAAGATTTCCAAATATCGAGAATTTTTTGAAATTATCTTGAGGTTGTTAGTGTTATTTGAACATTATTATTTTAATAAATGAATAACTAAACGTTTAGTTATTCTTCTTTTCTTTTTGTAGATTTATTGTGTTGCTGTTGTTATTGTTGTTATTTGATGTGTGTGTTTTTAAGTTTACTCTACCAGCTATCAATACATTAAATACTGTGAAAATGTTTAGTAGGAAATAGATGTAGGTAGCGTTCATCTCAAAGAGTAGATCTTTGAAGAATCGGAATAGGTATTCATGTGCCACAAAGAATGCAATGATAAAACTATATGGATAGCCAGCAAAGTATAGTACTATCGGGTAGGTGTAGAAATACCAACATAGGAATGGTGTATAAAGACCTCGAGCAAATGTAATCGCCAAGAAATTAACAAATAAGAAAACAAACAACATTGCTCTATCTCTATATAATTTGATGTTTTCATTAGCTATGTTGCTATTGATAATAGATGTTGTTGAATTAGCAGTCTTTGCTGATGTTGATGATTTATGATCACTCTTTAGATTGTCTAATGTTATCCACATTCTAATTAAGAATATAATTATAGTTGTTATCAATAATAATAACTTTAAAATAAAATAAAAAATGATAGAGAGAGCGAGACAGGTGTTAATAAATAGTTATCGAGTTAATGTAGAGCTACATACTAAAGTTATATTGAAATAAGATGAATCATATATTACTCTTCCAACAAATTTAAAGTTTCTAGTTTTCTCCCAGAGAAGAGTTCTACTTATATCATATGCAATTGTTATGTAGGCAATAGGATTGGTTAATAGGAATGGAATACCAATAATAATCTAGAAAGAAGTATATTGAATATTTAAGTTAAGTTAAATATAATTTTAGTTAACTTTTGAATATACTTTACCTGTAATGCACCCATTATAAATAGATTTGTTAAAATACTACTAAATGGGAGTGTATTGGCGAATATAAACAGTATTGCTGGTGAATAGAATATATAATTTAATTTCAATGATACCAAGAATGAAAATAAAACAGAGAACCTTTTATATCTATAATTTTAATTGAATTAGATTAGTTTGTTGTTGATTTGCTAATATAGTTACTTACTGTTTGTTTAATAAGAGCAAAATAGATAGATGTAGTATAAATGTTGATGGAAAATCATTGATAACAACTCTAACATTGTAGAGATGTAGTCGGTTCGATATAATTGGAAGTATAGCTAATATGATCGGTAGTTTCAATCGATCACATATCTTCTTGATCGTAATGAAATTACATATCTCCATCAGTGCCCAGATGATTTGGAATGCTTGGAGTGAACCTCTACCTGTAAGGTAATAGAGTATTCCATACAAGTAAAGGAATCCAGCTGGATAGGTACAAGGACCGTGATAATGCATGAAATGTGAATAGTCGAAATCAAACGATGATGAAGTAAGAGAATCTGACGGTGCTGGTGGTCCACTGTCAAAGTTTGGTGTCCAAAGTGGTTGAGTTTTCGGAGTGTTCAACCATTGCTCGATATGATGAATATGTGCTGGCCAATCGTTGGTAAATGTACTCTGAAAGATGATTTCATAGGCTGACAGTCCAGCGATCGCCAATACACCGATGTAAAAGACAACCGGTGAAAATAGTATACGGAAAATCGATAGTTTACTAATGATAAACGATTCGATCGATTTGACAGATGATTGTACGATTCCAATGTGAAGAACGGCTACGATGATTAGAAGGAGTCGGGTGGTTTGGATGGCCGATGCATTGAAGATACCGTCGTGTTCGACAGTCGGTTGGTAGGTTGCGGGTGGTGGTTCCAGATAGAAACTGAGCTGGCGTGCCAATCCGTCGCACGCCGTAACAACCGTTGGTACTGTCTCACGGAAGTAATTCAAATGTCCACCAGTTGTACCTACCACCAGATAGTAATATCTCAAGTTGAACAACTGAAACTCGCTGGTTTCCAACGACTCCAAGTCAATAACAGAATGGAGAGCATAGTCATTAGCATGATTCCTATAGATAACCAACTCATTGGTTGATGGATATTTTACCACTAGATAGTGTGCATCTTTTGAGAATCTCATTATCGCGTTTGAACTACTACTACTACTATTGACACCACTACCACCACCACTACCACTACTACTTGGAAATGATCTAACCAGCTTTAATCTATTCCTCTCTAACCGAGTGATATGTACGGTATTCTCTACATCCATGAATGAAATAATGGTAGGAGAAGTAGTTGTTGTGAATGATGATGATGTTGAGGATGATGTTGAAGCTTGACAAGGTTTAGATGAATGTGTATTAATCTTTAGGAATGGGAATAATGAAGGTGTGATGATGTTTTTTGTCTCCCACTGCTCGGTTGCGTCACTCAACGAATAGAGTACAACGAATGGTTTATCTGACGATGTATTATGAGTTGTATATTTTGGAACAATCATAAACTGTTGATTATAATCACTATGCTGCTTATCGACAGCCAAGAATACAATATCCAGCAATTCGAAATCCAATTTAATCGTATCCATTTCTCTACCGTCCTTATACTGTATCAATAACTTACTACTATCCAATACAACCATTAAAATATTTCCATCCGGTGATATTAATAACTTTTTAATTATCTTCTTACTATTATCCTTATCATTATCATTATCATTATTATTATACTTTATAGATTTAAAACTATTATTATTATTATTGTTGTTTTTATTAGTTATGCTGATGCTGTTATTCCACCAAATTTCATTATAATCATCCTGTGGAAATACTATTGTGAATCGAGTGATGTTTGATAGACGATGATTGATATCGGTGTTGTTATTATTCAAAGAGGTCAATGGCAATCTATTATCTATTCTATATTTCGTTTTGTCAATCTCTTCGTGATTATATATATCGATATAGGTGTATTGACTATCGGTTGAGAGTGTAATGAGTTGTTTCTGGTCGGGTGTCAATTGACATTGGTGATGTCGAACGTTGTCCCTCAATTTCAGCTCGCCATAATAGAGATGACTCCAATCGGGATAGAGATTCGGATACATTAACACTCGATGAAACTTGGCATAGCCATCATCTGAACAACTAACTATATACTCTGTCGAATTCGATATAGATATTGATTGAATATCTCTATATTTAATATTAATATTAACATTTAAATATTTATATATATAATGATTGTATAATTATAATACTTTTTATGATCTTGAGTTTCCCAACCTAAATCAATGGCACGATTACGAAGTAGTCGCCATTTCATTGTAGGACTATAGTCGTGTGGTGATAATAGAGTAGACCATTGATGACTCTCATTTTCAATACTTTTGGATAATGATGAATCAATATTGACCATCAACAACACCAATAATAAGAACAATAAACTCAATCTATATTTATACATTATTTATTTTATTATTTATTATCGGTTGAAAGATACAAATTGATTGACTGATCAATTTGATATCTGAACAACAACTGAATTAACAATAATTAATCATTTTTTATTTTTAAATTTTAAAATATTATTTTTAAAAATAATCACTTTTAAATACAAAAAGGTGAATTGATTGTAATAACAATAACGTTCAATTAATAAATAAGATATAAATAATTATTTATACCTTATTTAATTTAATAACTCTCTAAAATCGTGTGTAATGAATTAAAAATTTAAATAAATTAAATTAAAATTTTGAACTTTCCAAAAGTCAAATTAAAAAAAAAATCTTTTTTATTGACTTCTCTCTCTGGTATGGAATCCCACACCTAACACACACAACACGATCCATTATACAAACACACACACGAGTCAGTCTGTCTCTTTTTATTCTTCCTTTTTATTATTATTGTAGGTTGGTGATTCATTTTACTAGTATCATTGTTGTTGACAAAACAAAAACAAAAACAACAAAAGAAAAACAAATAAAAAAAAAAAAAGAAAAAATAGAAAAAGAATAATTAGTTTGTTTTTTGATTGCATTACATTTACTATATTTATTTAAATTCTATTCTATTCTATTCTATTCTATCTTTCTTTCTATTTGCTAGATTAACCAAATCCAATTATAATTCAACAACATTTATTAATTAATTTTTATCATTTTTAGTATTTTTTTATTTTATTATTTATAAACATACCTCTATACATACATTATTTCGAAATAATTATTTAAAAAAAAACATGTCGTCAACAGGTGAAACAGAGCAATCGACATCTACAGGTATTCCACCAGAACAAATTGTATCTGAAATTGTACAATTCATTGATCATAATGGTGAAATAGTGTAAGTTTTAGTTAATTTAATAAATAGTTATTACTAAATATATATATATATAAAAGAAATTAATAATAATGATTATGATGATAATGATAATAATAATTATAGTAAAGAAGAGAATGATCAAAAGAAATCATTTTTATCATGTTTATCAGAGAGAGCGGATTTCTTAACACGTGGATTCGATTATTCAGTGATTGCAATTCTCGGACCACAATCGAGTGGTAAGTCGACACTGTTGAATCTGTTGTTCAATACAAAGTTTGCTGTGATGGACAGTGTCAGTGGACGTAGACAAACTACACAGGGTGTCTGGATGGGTATCGCCAATATGAACTCACCAGAGACCTACTTGATCCTCGACGTCGAAGGTACGGATGGTCGTGAGCGTGGTGAAGACGAGAAGGCATTCGAACGTAAAACATCGCTATTCTCACTGGTATTGTCGTCGGTACTCATCATCAACATGTGGGTACATGACATCGGTCGTTACAACGCTGCCAACATCGCACTCCTCAAAACTGTATTCGAATTGAACTTACAATTATTCCAAAAGAAGAGGTAACTAACTAGCTAACTAACTAACAAACACTTATTTGTATATTGTTTTATTAATGTTTTTTTTTCTTTTATAATTATAATAATATCAATATAAAATAGTTCACATAAAACATTATTGTTATTTATCATTAGAGATCACGATGGACAAACACCTTTGGATCAATTAAAGACAACCTTGTTACAGGATATTAATAATGTTTGGACTGAATTATCAAAGGTATGGATATATTTGAAACTATAGTTTTGGATAGTGAATGAAATGATGCTAATTGATTTGATTAACTATTATATATATATTATAGCCAAAGGAATATGTAAATTCAAAGGTTGCAGACTTTTTCGATTTCGAATTTACATCGTTGCCACACAAGGTTTATTGTCCAGATCAATTTTTGGAGCAAGCCAGTCTGTTGAGAAACAGATTCCTCGAAGCAAACTCTGACGATTTCATTCCAAAGAAGCAATATAGACACGACATTCCCGCCGATGGTCTCTACCAGTACTCCAACAACGTGTGGGAGACTATCAAGACCAACAAGGATCTCGATTTACCAACGCAAAAGGAGATGTTGGCGCTCTTCAGATGCGATGAATTCGTGGAGGCATCCTACCAGCAGTTTGTCGTCGAGTTGAAGCCGATCCGTGAGAAGATCGAGAAGGGTCGTATCTATGAGGGTTTCGGTGACAAGGGTAAACAGTTGCTCCAGGCCTGTCTCGAGTCGTACGACCAACCCGCTTCTAGATACCACGCTGACACCGCCGCCAAGAAGCGTTCCGGTCTGAGCGATCGTGTGCTTCTCGAGCTGCGCACTCTCTTCAACAAGCAGATGGAGAAACTCTATGAGAAATCGATCGATTTCTACAAGAACCTCGTACAGGAAACCGTTGGAACAAAGAAGACCGCAGAGAGTGGCAGTCAACTGATTACACACTACTCGGTCTGGGCAAAGAATGTCAAGCAATCGACCATCGACTACTACTCGGCCATTGCAAAGGATTCCGTCGTGCCAGACGCCAACTGGGACTACTCACAGGACTTACAGGAACTCGAAGAGAAGATCACCAACGAACTCGAGACCCTGAAGGAGAACCAACTCAACAAACTCGCCAAATTCATGAGAGATATTGTATTCCAACAGATCGGTCAGCCACTCGTAAAGATCACCGAGCAAGCTAGAGACGACATGTGGAAGAGAATCGCCGAGTTACTCTCTGATGCATTGTCAAAGAATGAAATTGATTATAGAAAGAGACTTCAAGGTAAAAATAAGAACAATAATATTTTGAAATAATAATTAGTTTATTATCAATTGATATTAACAAACTTACTTTTTATTTACTATTTTAGATTTCGATGTTAAGGAAGAAACTATTGAAGATACAATCAAGACTTTCAGATCGAATGCACGTGATCAATTGAGACAAAAGATGAAAGAGAGATCTGAATTCTTGCCATTGAGAATGAGAAAGAGATTCGAAGAGTGTTTCTCACTTGATGACAAGAAATTACCAAGAAAATGGTCTAAACACGATGATATTGGTACCATTTTTGAAGAAGCAAGATTTAATGTATGTAGAGAAACAAGAAAAAAAACATAACTTTTCATAATTTATAAACCTAACTAAATATTTAATCAATCAATATTATTTATACTTGTAGGCAGAGAAATTGATCGATTTGTTTTCATATATGAGATTAAATGAAGATGAATACGAATTTACATTCTTTACTTACGATGAAGCCTCAGGATCACAAGGTTCTTCGTCACAGAGCGGCTCATCCTCGAAATCATTCGTACCATCGGCTGTAATCATCGATCCAGAAAATATTATTTTATCGTACGAACAAGGTGTAACACTTGTCGACAAGTTTAGATTGGATACCAAGACCGACTATATGAATGCATTGAATGAAATTGTAAGTTTTGTTTAGTTTATTTTGAAATCAGAACAATTAATTAACATTCTTTTTTTATTTTCATAATATTCAGTCAAGAAGTGCAAGTACCGGTGGAGTACCAGGTTACATGATTTTGTTACTTTGTGTCTTGGGATTCAATGAATTTATGGCTATCCTAATGAATCCACTCTATTTGATAATGGCAATCCTCATCGGAACCGGTGCGTTTGTATTACATAAACTTCATTTGAGCGCACCATTTATCGATATGGCCAGTCGTTTGTTAGTAGATGTTATGAACAAAATTAAAGATGTTGTATTACAAGTAGAGCACCTCTCAACTCATCACCCAGATTCACGTGACTCCATAAAGAAAAAGAATGACTAAGAAATATAAAATAGCCAATAATCAATAATCAACAATAATAATAACTTATATAGCACAAGCAAATGATGATCAAACAACAACCAGAAATGCATAAAATAAAAAACATTTATTAATTACTAATAAGAATCGAATCTAAAAAGAGTACACAGAATTTATTTATAAATCTTCCACTGCATAATGAGAATAATAATCTACGTATTGATTATCTTGATGATTATCTTCATCCTCATCATCCTCATCTTCATCATCATCGTTTTGATTGTCTTCATCGTCATTTTCTTGGTCGTTTTCAATGTTATCACCAGGTGTTGATAATTTATCTTCTTCTTCTTCTTCGTTTGTATCTTTGTAGAGTAGTATATTGATAGATCCATATCCACCGGCTTGGTCAATGATCGCTTTCTTTCCAATCAAACCTTTCGACAATAAAAGATAGAATTTGGAGTCTGCCATTCTGGGCGATTTGTTCAATAACGATACAGGATCAGGGTGATTGGTCATAATGTAGTCGAGCAGTGTCTCAAACAGTTGGTAGTTCTCAAGATTATCGGGCAACTCTAGTACCATCGGTACCAAAATCTCGAGATTCAAAGCCGATGGCTTATGTTTAAGTAGGAAGGCAACCAAGTCTCTGCTTCCAATCTGTCGGATATTCGAAACGAACACCAAACTCTTGGCTGGATTCAGATTGAAGAGTCGCTCCACCAGGTTCATGTTTTCCATGCGAACTGCAGTGATCATCACATCGAGATGCGAACGAAGCTCAAGTTTATCCAATATGAAATCGGTCAGGATCCAATTGCGCACCTCCATCGCTTTCCAAAGTATTGTCTTTGACACGGTGTATCCCTGTTGGTTAATTAAGTACTTGAAGAGATTAGAGTCGGCGGAATTGATTACCGATTCCAATGTGGAGTTGTTTGGTGGATTGGGACTGTCGGTCATGGTGCTGGGAAGTCCAAAGAGGAAGTCGATAAACCAGATCGGATAGCACTTGAACACCGCAAGATTTATCAACTTGAATCTATCGTCGTATTGATGAATCGATCCAGTGGCAACTTCTTCATTAAGATTAGAATAAATAGATTTACTGTCGTAGATCAACTGAAGTGTCTCTTTGATAAACTGTAATTTCGGTAGGTCAATGTCGCCAACAATCGTTATCTCGGGGTATAATACAATCTTGATTGATTTAGATATTAAAAGCTTCAATATCTCTGTGTATTTGTCGAATTCATTGTTTAAAAGATTGATATCAAGTGAACACACCAAATGTTGACAGTCTGCATGCGCTAGGTACTTGTCGATATATCTATTATACAAATATATATTGGCGTTATCGTAAGCTGCTTGTATGATTGCATTATAATCTATCGAATCAAAATGATTAAGATCTAAATATTGAATAACCGCTTCCATTTCGATTTTTGGTCGCTGCTCGAGGAAGAGATTATGTGCTGATACTATCAGCAGTTGAGTAGTATTGAGTTGATATCCAAATGACTCTATCATTTTGATGATATCGAGACTGATTATATCGCCGTCCACATAGATCTTGTGCGTCATTTCCTTATAGATTGGTTTATATCTTGTAAACAGATAAAACAGTATTGCTACATCTACACATTTCGTAGTATACATAAATAGTATGTCTTGGTCGTTCAGCGTGATGCCTGCTCTTTCATTTTGATCGAGCATCAACTTTAGACATTCCAAGTCTCGGAATGGTTCGTTGACAATCGTTGATTCAATGACGCTATCGCTTATTCTCATCTTTGGCAATCGAACGGTGACCAAGTTGAGCATATATACAGTGGGTTTGTAAAAGTAGTTCAGTTTGTTGTACTCATAGTTCTCGAAACGCTCCAACCCGGTGATATCCAATACGGAGTTCACAAATTTCACATCGCCAGTATCAATTGCAATCGTCAAGATCATCGACCAGGTATTGGCAGACAAGATGTTCAATCGGTGGAGTGTAGCTATCATTTTTGTGGTTCGTTCCAATTGGTCTTTGTTAGTGTCGAGAAAGATGCATGGGAGATCACACAAGTGTGAACTACTACCTTGGACCGGTGCTTTCGAAAAGTTGTGAACCAACCATTCCAGACGTTCAGTTCGGTTGCTGACGATACAACCCTCGATGTAGCTAGCCAACTCGGCGATCGATGCTTTTGAATTCATCTTGAGAAGGTAACTGAAAATGTCGTCGTCGAGATTCATCGCCAACTCTCTTGTGTGACTGTAGAGCAGATCGACCATGCCCATAGTCTTTTGAATGGTAAAGTCCCTACGTTGTTCATAGAGATATCGGATAACTTTGTAATTGCAAGTGGTGTACGCTGCTTGGATAACTCGATTCTGCGATGGCAGCAAATGAAGTACACTATTGATATGCTCAAAGAACAGATCGGTCCTATGACACTTTAACATATCATACAACATCGATTTTCTCTTGAACTCTGAACCCTTCATCGGAAAGGAATTGATAGTTCTATGTATTTCATATATCTTTTCAAATATCACCGATCTAATATAAACATTAGATAACAATGTTCTAATATTTATTGTATTATTATTATTATTATTTATTTCCATTTTTTGGTTTTGAAAAATTAGATGAGAAGTGGTAATTTTTTGGTTTTGGAACAGAAAAAAATTAGTAAAAATTTCAATATTTGCTGCTGATTAAAATCATATAAATAAACCAAATTTTGTCGAAGTCTTTCCAAGACCGGTATTATTAATATATTGACTGGTGATTGGTGCTAAAAGCTATAATCTCCAGTGATTGAATATACCCAACCCAATGCCATACTACTCAACTCAAACAACATATGCGACCTCACTCGGACTCTTTGAAATATTAGAATATTTAGTATCGCATTAAATTCCGAACAACCTGCACTTCTATTCTCATTCAAGAATCGAACGATTTCCAAGTTCCCATTGAGAGCGGTCAAATCCATGGCTCTCACAGAGCTTGGCGCACCATGTTGATGCAAAAAATTATCCTTATTTAATTAATTTTATTTAAAAAAATTAATGTATTGAAATAGAATTTGTTAAAAATTAAAAAACTTACTGATGAAAAATAAAAAAAAAATTGATCGACTGATCTTGATTCGCAAATGAACCAAATAGATTAATTTAATATTAATTAAAGAAATGAAAGAAGCAAAGAGTTTAAGGAATAGAGAAAATAGCTCAGCCCGGCTTAACAAGACATAGAGGTGCCAAAAAAGGTGATTCAAGTCAATGTTAACTGTGACAGATCACCTTTTTTTTGATAGTATATCTACCAACTTTTTGGAACAAAATTCGATTAGAATATCTGAATATTGGTCCTTCATTTGGTGATCACTATTGGCTACGCCTTTTAGCAGACCAGGCCGCTGTTTCCGTGGAAAACAGGTCTCATTTATATGGGGCAAAAGCGCAAAACTGCAACGTTCTAATTCATGCTGAATTTCTCACATGGATGAAATACTCACCATACGGATATCTTTTATACTTACATAACCGTTGTATATGGATAAAACTCGTTGCTCGATATATAATACATAAATAACTATACATAACTCAGCAACTTTAAACTTTAAGGTAGCTTTTGTAAATGTTATATAAACACTATATATCGTAAATACACGTGATATTTCATATTTAATATAAATATGGACCTCATGTGCGTGTATAGGTGATGATAACTCTCGATTTATTGAAGTAAACATATATAAATATGTTATAGACTTCTGATTTATGTTGGTTTCTGATTATATATCACCTTTTGGTTCCAATTTAATAATAAAATATTGTTTATCTTAATGTAATCTACAAATACATATATATCTTTATTAGACATAAATAAAATTGTAATAACACCCAGTCACGATCGTTGGAAATTTGCCTTCTCATTTCTTGCAAAAAAAAATTCATTTTTGAACAAAATTTTATATGAAATTTTAAATATTTAAATTAATATAAAATTATTTGTTTGTAGATTTTATTTAAATAAATTAAAGAAAGATTTAACCAAAGTTTTATCATTCGATTGTGCTACATTGGTATTAGTTGTAGTTGAGGTATTTTGGGAAACAATTTGAGGTTGTGATGTAGAAGATTGTACATTATTCAAAATGTTGTTGGTGGTATTATTGATTTGAAGGTTTGCTTGATACAAAGAAATTGTTGGTTCTTCGTCTATTGTCTTTCTTTTCTTTTTAGATACATCATAGGTTATTTTGATAATATCCCTGTCAAAATTTGATTCAATTAATAGGGTTAATTGAGTGATTTAAAAAAAAGTTGAACATACTGTGTATCTTGGGAGGTTATTATGGCACCCTTGCGCTTTTTATCTCTCATTACTATAGCCCGTTCTTTTTGGGTCATGGCTTGAGCATTTGCCGGAACAATCTCTTTGTTCCCGGCTATAGCGATTTCCTTTGAGATAGAGTTTTTCGGCTTTTTAAGAAATATTGGGTCGCAGTATTCATGTGCCATCCAATTGAACAAACCAGACTTAATCCAAGACATTCTTATATTGGACGAGTTGAATGATGATGACCAAGCATGATAAGTCAACATTTGGTAGTGTTTATCGTTCACTTTAAACTTTGGATTGTCCTTTAACCCATCTCTGAGCAAATTCGATAGGTGTTGAGAGAATGACGAAAATAGGACTAAATCCAAAGGCTGGAGAATGTGAGTCAGGTTTGATGGGAACGTCATTATGATAAGATTATTCTCATCACAAAGTTTTTTTTCGTCAAAGAAATAATTGGATATGTGATTGTCCACTAAAAGCAGCTTTTTATCTGTTTTCTTAAATTGTCCTAGAAGCCATTCGACATATTCTTTCTTTATCTCTTGCGTTACCTATAATTTATAATAATACAATGTATCAATATTGATATATTAATAATAGCAATAGACAACTTTGGATCAAGTTATAAAAAGTTGCCAACTTACATATCCTGACTCATTAGCAATAATGACACCATAATTTGAATTTTGCATGTGTTCCCATTTTACTCGTTTAGGAATCTGGAGAACGTTATAGGGTGGTAGAGCATGACCAGATGCTGTTATTGTTCCAATCATTGTAAAGTGTTGACTTTGGGATTGCTTGGGAAACCTAGGTTTGACTGTCTCAAATTTGTTTCCACCGTCAATAATGGCAACCTATATTTTTATAACACTTAGCTAAATCTTTCGAAAAAAAACTAATAAATAGAATATTAAATACCTTTTGATTCATTTTCGTGAATAAAACACCTTTCTCATCAGAGTTTATCACATTCTTTGGTTGAATTTGGTTTTCCACTATCACTTTATGAACACTCTTGATGAAACCTTGAATATCGGCCTCTTTCTCCGCTTTTAATCTGGCTTCATCTTGAAACTTAACCTTTCTTAACTTTAAGATCGGATGTTTTTGTTTCAGCTTTGTCCACCAGTCACGACCAGGGTGACGACTCATTGTATAGCCATATTTGTCATATACCTTTCCGACCACCCAATTTAGAATATTCTCTTTCGTTATCGGAATATTCTTGGTGTTTGATTCTTCTACCATCTTTATCATCTCTAATTCTTCTGCTTCGGTGAGATATCTACCTCTTGGCTTAAAGGAGAGGTTATTTTTTTTCTTGGATAGCTCACTTTCAGAAACTCCATACTTTTGAGAGAGCTCCTTTTGAGTAAAACCTGTATCGTTTTGAATTTCATTTATTGCTTCCATCAGCCTCTCTTCTCTGCTCATTTGACTAATCCTCTGAGGTGTTACACGTATGATATTGCTTAATTCTTGTGTATCCTCCTATTAAAAGTGCTATATTAGCACCATCTTTTCTAAATAATAACATAATTTTTAAATAATGTTAAACTCCACATACCATTGCATTGATACATTCTATTTTAATATAACTTTGTTTATTTTTATCTTAAAATCTACAGATATTAATAACTTAGCTTCAAAAAAAAACAATATTAATTTTTTTAAAAATTTTCACAAATTTGTGCAGAAATGAGAAGGCAAATTTCCAACGATCGTGACTGGGTGTAAGTAAAATGAAAAACGGTTGAGTGCTTAAGTCCCGATCAAAAAAAAGTCGCGAGTGGTTTTTTAATTTTTAACATTTATTCTGGAAATCAATAAATATCAATCCTTAGAATCCACCAGTAAATTTATACACTGGTTTACAGAGTAGTAAATCCTTATACTGTGGGGGATTTTTTGTACATTCATTGTCAATTACTGATTTATCACAAATGGATCTGGCATAATTACATGATTCGGCATAATTAGAGCCTCTATCACATTGAGAAAGATATCTAAAACATTCTTTTCCCAATTCTTTCTTTGCATCTTCATCACTAATTTTCTTATCACACCAACAGGCTCGAGAAAAGCCTTGATGAGTTTCCCATTTAGGTATTTGACCAGATGGACAATGACCGATATGATTACAAGGTTTTGCAGTACAATAATAAGCATTATCTTTAATATTCAATCTGGCATCACCTTTCAAGTAAATAATAAATCAATATAAAATTAAAATAAAGTTTAATTAAAAAGCAACATACCATCACATCCTGGTGCTTTCCATGCTTGACAGATTGTAATAAATACCAAAACTGTAATTGTTATAAAAAATAGTTTCATTTTTTTTTAAATAAGAATTTAAATAATATAATAATATTTTGAACAAGTTTTTTCTTAAATAGAAATAAATTTGTATTTAAATTCTAATATTCTATATTATTAGAATCTCGGAGATGATCATAACAAATGAAAGATCTATTATTACCTATACTACTATCTAAACATTGGTTTAACAAATAAATTATTATGTTTTTTATTTTTATCTGAAATTATTCACTAGATTAAATTGTTCGATTGGTTTAAAAAAAAAAAAATCTATATATGTGTTGTAATAAATGAAAAAACTATTATTACGTATACTACTATCTAAACATTTGTTTAACAATAAACTAATATGTTTTTTATTTTTTGAATCCCACTTTTGGTAAAACAAATAGGCAGTAACAAGCGATTTTGTTTTTCATTTAGTTAAAATATGATTCTCATTGAAGTGACAATATTCTTGTACTTAATTTAAGTTTGATAAATAATTAGAAAACAAATGTTAAACATTATATTTAAATTAAATAGGAATCTGATAAATTTATCTGAAATAAAAAATTGTACTTAATTTAATTCGATACAGTTAAGATGGTTGTTGTTACTTTTTTTTATGACTTGAGAATTTAAAACAAGAAAAAATAGTGAATCATTCTAAGGAGTTGATTTTTTATTATATATTTAATCTAATATTTAATATCACTAACAAATTTGAATATCCAAATAATCTACAATTTGTGTTGTTTAATGAAATCGAGCCTATCCTCATATCTAAGAAAGTCAGAGTGTAAATAAACTGAAGTTATATGAGTGGTGTTTGCCGGTAGGAACTTCAGGGATCTAAAAGATTTGTGAATCAGCTTCACATTATGAAAAATTTTGTTTCTAAGAAATTTTGATTTTAATATCTTTTTAAAAGCACATGAATTCTTACTAATATCATACCACCAAAGTTTGATTAACTGACTTAATGGAAGACATTAAACTATTTTTTTACTCTTCTTTTTATGTATGTTTTTGTATTATAATATAATTAATAAATAATGGTTATTGCAAAAGGTTTATTGTATTCTCAAAAAAATCTTCACCAAATCATTTTTTTTGTGTGTAACAAGATAATTCCATGAATAATACAAATATCTTTTTTAATTTATTAAATTCAATAGTTATAAGAAGGAAAATATTCAAATATGTAAAAGATTATAATAGATCATTTATGCTACGGTTTAAAAAGATATCAATGATATGTAATTGGTATGATCTAGGTTGTTTTCCAGAGGAGTTGATAAGGTTTAATATGACTGATCGATTCAAATCAATATTCAATCATGTGATCACTTCAATCGATAATCAATCAGAAGATCTATCAATGCTGAATGATTTCAAATCACTATTCATCAAGTCATTGCCATGTGCATCGAGCTGTGGTAATATTGATTTAATCGAATTTGTTTATCAAAGATGTCAACAACCTGGAACGATAGATTTTCTAACAATAGCAAACAAGGCAATCTGTAAAGGACACCTTTCCATCATCAAGTTTCTTCATGAGAATGGAATCAATCATGTATTCAAAGGTGCGATTGATGAATGTTCGAAATATGGTCATCTAGCACTAATCAAGTATCTACATGAAAATAGAACGGAAGGTTGTTCGAAAAAAGCAATGGATCGTTCAATAAAACGTGGTTATTTCGAGCTGGTTCAGTATCTTCATTCAAACAGATCGGAAGGTTATAATAGTAAATCATTTTTTAAATGTAAAGATCTTAGGATTGCTATGTTCTTGTATTCCAACGGATTGGAAGTACAAGCAAACAAAATCGATATTGCAGTTCATTCTGGTGATATTTCCTATGTGAAAGCAGTTGTTGAGAATTTCTCCGATCAATGTTCAAGCTATTCTCTATTATATGCCATAGACAATAATCATCTAGAAATTGCTAAATATCTTTTGGAGAATAGACCCGAATGCTATTTCTCGGTAGCAATGAAACATGCAGCATCCACAGGTGACCAAGAGCTCATCAAACTCTTGCATTTCCATCCCAATAGCTCCGGGCCCACCGCTAATGAAGTTGACTTTGCAACTACTATTCCCAACAACCTAGAGATTGTTGAATTTCTTCTCAATAATAGACCAAGTGGATGCACCAGTAGATCAATAAATAATGCTTCACTAAATGGAGATCTCTCAATTGTTAAACTCCTTCACCAACTTGGAAAGGAATGTACTTTTAAAGCGATCGATAACGCAGCAATCAATGGACATTTCGAAATCGTTCGCTTCCTCAATGAAAATCGTACGGAAGGATGTTCTCCGAATATTCTGGATCAAGTTGCTGAACATCATTTCGATATATTCAAATATCTACATTATAACAGAAATGGACTAGGGTGTACCTCTGCAACGCTGGAGAGCTTTGCTGGCTACAGAAATTCCGATGCACTTGAATGGTTTATGGACAATAGAACCGAACGATTTCCTGCCTTCATTCCATTTTTAGCATTTAGAAACAATCGATTGTCCAATGTTAAATGGCTTCATGAACATGGATTTTTGGAATTTACAGATTTCACTGCAATCTATGCTGCAATGCATGGCGCATTGGATATTCTTAAATATTTATTGGATCAAGGGGCACCATGCTCATTTAATGTAATGGATAAAGCAGCAGAAATAAGATCGTTAGAAATTGTTGAATACCTACATTTCAACAGAACCGAAGGTTGTTCAAAGATGTCAATGAAACTAGCTGTTAAAAACAACGATCTTCCTATTTTCAAATTCCTACTCAAAAACACAACCGAAAGACCTGTTGGTGATTATGAAAATACTATCTTCTATAGATACCATCAAAGATATGACTATATTAAAAAACATAATCTTTAAAATAAATAAATAAATAAACAGTGACCTCAATAGAGAAGTTAAGTTAATTTAATTTTTAAATAATGTACATTGGGTGGGTGTATTTTATTTAAATTACTTTATATATGATAAATTATTTGATATTATTATTATTATTATTATTTTAGAAAAGACCGTGGTTTGCCTTCTCCTTGTTCTTCTTCCAACCTGGGAGTTTAGCAAAATCTTCTCTTGACATCTTGAAAGTAGCAGCAAAGTCTTCATCGTTCAAGTAGTTTTCTAAATTATTGGCATCAAGGTGAGCCGGTTTCTTCTTAAGTTCGGAAATTGGGTAGGTTTGTCCTGGTGAGGCTGGTTGAGCTGGTGCAACAGGGGAAGTTGGTGGTGATTCAATCTTGGCAGCTGGTTTTGGAGCTGGCTTTGGAACTGGTCTGGAAATTGGTTGACCGGTAGCGGGTGAAACTGCTGGTCTTTGTACTGGCGATGGCTTTGGTGCAGCTGGCTTGGGTGAAGCTTGGGCTGGTGGTGTTGGTTGTTGGCTGAGTTGTGGAACTGGTGCTGGTCCAGTTTGATCTTGGTACTCTTGCTTACGAATGGAGAACAGTTTCTTTTCGGCTTGCTCCAACTCTTTCTTGAGCTTGAGAATCTTGACTTGTGCTTCCATCTCGTGAACCTTGAGACCGGTGAATGACATACCGGTGGCATCGAATGTCTCTGGTTCCTCATCTTGTTTACCGACCGACTTGGCGGCTTCTACCAATTGAGCAGTGGCGTTCGATACTTGCTTGGCAGCCTGAGAGAGTTGTGAGTTGGATTGTGAGTTGAGGTCGGCCTTGGCTCTCGATGCAGATACCAAACGAGCGGTAGTGGCGGCGACACCACGTGCAGCAGCAACCAATGTTTCCTCTTCAGCCTTTCCTTGAGTGGAGTCGTTGGCTGAAACTACAAGAGTTTGGACGGAACCGGCGACGGCTTGGGCGGCAGAGATCAAACCACGAGCCCATGTTGGATCACGACGGTAGACAGCACCTCCGGTCTTGGCTTTACCTTGTTGGACCAATTCATGTTGTACTTCAGTGGCGCATTTAACCAAGATACCAGTGGCAGAGGTGATGGCACGAGCAGCTTCGAGAATGGCTTCGTCGATACCGGCATCTTCGATACCAGAGGCAGCACGAGTTTCCTCACGCTTCTTCTTGGCTCTCAATAGAGCAGCAGTAGCTTCCTCAATGACTTTGGCAGCTTCCTTGAGCTCCTTCTCGGCAATTTCTTCGAGATTCTCACCGGCTTGGAAGAGTTTCTTGGCTCTCTCACCACCTGGCAAGTCTCCGGCAGCAGCGACGACGTCGTTGATGGCTTCGGCAACCTCTGAAGAGGCCTCTGACAATTTGTTTTGGACTTGTGGGTTGGATGGATCGGAACGTTGGTTCTTGGCGGCTTGTACCAATTTGAGAATCTTGTTGGAAGCATCCTTGGCAGCTTCAGTGACATTCTGTTGGATGACAGCATCGTCGGTGAGACGGGTCGATCCCTTGGCATTCTGGAGCAATGACTTGACAGCGGCGGTTGTTCCCTTGGCGGCATCGTTGATTTCATCTGGGGCATTGTTACATGTGCTAACCAAATAGGCAATGGACTCGGCGACTGACTTGGCAGAGGTGACGACATCCTCGGCACTGGCATTTTGATTGGCAGTGGCATTGGCGCTGTCGTAATTGGACAATTGCTTTCTGATTTCTGCAGCGATTTGATCGAGTTCCTTGATACCCTTGGTGGTGGTTGATGAGGAGGTCAATGACTTCAAGGTATCGACACACTCGTCGACATTCTTGGAGGTGGCTTGCAACTGATTCTTGTTGGCTGGTGTTTGGTTCTTGTGAGTGGATCTGCTGGCAGATACAGCGGTTTGAACGGCAGCACTGACATTTCTGGCGGCATTCAAAATTGCTTGTTGGGCAGATGGGTCAGAGGTGAGAGCAGCGGCAACCTTGGAGGTAGTGGCCAACTTCTCGTTGAGCTCGGCAATGTATTTGGCGTTGGTGGCAACGTCTTCAATGGTCTTCTCAGAGGCGGCAACAAGATTCTTGTTGGCGTCGTGAATCTCTTGCGATTGCTTCTCGATCTCCTCTTGTACTTGTGATGGAGTGTAACCTTCGGTGTCGGCTTCGACTTGACCGGCGGCGGCAAACAATGAGGCGGCATCGAGATCGGTGGTGATTCTGTTGATGGTGTTCAAAGCGTTTTCGATATCACGATCGCCAGTGTCACCAGCCTTCAAGGCACTGATCAAGTTGGCAATGGAAGCAGTGATATTCTTAAAGTTGTCGTTGATCTTTGATTGCAAAGCAGTGTTCTTGTGATCGGCACTGGCCAGCTTGGCATCGGCAATGATGTTGGCGGTGGCGTCGACAATACCGTTGGTGGCATCGAGCAACTTTTGTTTGGCGGCGGCATCGTTGGTGGCGGCGGCAGTGGAACGTGAGCTCTCGACCAAACGTGGAATGATAGAGGCAACCTTGAGTGAGTTTTGACCGATCTCCTCTGGTTTGTTCTTGGCGGCGTTGACCAACGATGAGATACCGAGAGCGAGCGACTTGGCAATGTCGGTGGTATCGTCTCTGTACTCTTGGTAGGTCTTACCCTTGGAGTCATTGGCTGGCTTGTAGAGTGTCTCCTTTGACTTGTTGATAATTTGGATCGACTCATCACAGTCACGTGATTGCATAACACCACCCTTGACAGAGGTGAGGATATCAGCGATGGCTTGTGAAGCGTTGTAGGCTTGCTTAGAGTCAGAGACGTCACCGCTCTTGGCGTGGATCATCAACTCCAACATATTGTCAGCCAACTTCTTGGACAATTGCAATTGAGTTTGCTTGATGTCTGGGTTTGTGGTGAGTGAAGCCAATTGCTTGGAGATGTTGACAATCTTTGGAAGAATGTTGGCAGTGTCCTTGGCAGCCTTACCGAGGTTGCTTGGATCAACCTTTGGTGCGGCCAAGAATGTCTTCATGGCGGTGGCCAACTCTCTGGAGACTTCGACCAACTCCTCTTGACAGGCAGTGGCAGTCTTTCCAGCTGGTGCAGTGTTTTCGAGCAAACCAATGGCGGCATTCAATGAAGCAGAGTCGAGATCGACGACAGCCTGTTGGATGATTTCAATGGACTCGTCGATTTCCTTTTGCTCTGGTCTCATACCGTTGATAGCAACCAACAATTGTTGGACACCATGTGAAACGGATTGAGCAGCCGATGAGAAATGTTGGTGAGCATTTGGATCTTTGGTACCGGTGGAGATGTTCTTGCTGACAGCCATGAATTGGGACATCGAGTTGGCACAGGAACGTGAGGCGTCCAACAAGGTTTGTTCGGCTGGCGAGAGAGCATCCAAATCGATTTGAACGGTTTGGGTAGTCTCGACACCTTCGACCGATCTAAGGAGATCACGAAGATTCTTTTGAACCTCATCACGAGCTTCGTTGAGCTTCTCTTGGTCAGAGACTTGACCGGATGCAACTGACTTGGCAATGTTGACCAAACGAGTGGAACCGTTGGCAACGTTTTGGGCATCCAATAGAATCTGTTTCGACTTCTCTGGGTTACCAGAGGTGAGAGCTTGTGAAGACAACTTACGAGCGGCATTCATCAAGTTTGGCACTGAGAGAGCCAAATTCTTGGCGTTGATGGCAGCCTCCTTCTTGTCTTGGTCAGACAATTGCTTCTTTTGGCAAGAGTGGTGGAGTGTGCTGGTGGCAGAATCGACCTTACCGGCGAGGGTTGCCATACTGTCTGGATTTTGTTCTCCGCTGGTTCCGTAGATGGCAGACTTGGTGCATTCGACGACATCACGCAAATCTTCGGCGGCCTTCTTACAGTTGATACCCATCTTCTCGGATTGAGTCTTGGAGTTGACGACTTGGCTACCGTGCTCGGCCAATTCCTTGGCGGCGGCAGTCAATGCCTTCAAAGCATCCGAACGAATACCGTGGCTGATGTCACCGCTGTTGAGTTGAACGATACAGTTCTTAACGATTTCGATGGCGTCACCGATTTCAGCTTGACCTGGAACGGCAGATTGGATGGTGTGGATCAACACCTTGACTTGGTTGTTGACGGCGTTCTGGGTGTTGGTCAATTCGCTCTCACCTTCACCTGGACGGGCAGCAGAGAAACGACTGGCTTGCAACAACTTAATGGTGAGCTCACCGAGTTGTGCCAAGTGCTTGGCAATTTCGACGGCGAGTGTCTTGTTTGGACAGGATCCAGTGGCGGCGTTGGCGCTGTCGACCAAACCAGTGTAGGTGGAAGCAGTAGTCTTTGAGGATGGACCCAAAGCAGATGGATTGCTACGAGCGTTGGCCGATGTCTGTGAGGTGGAAGCAATCAATGCCTTGGAGTTTGAGATTGCCTTGTCAGAGTTGGAACCGTACTCACCACCCAAGTTAACTGGTGGATTGTTGATACGACGGATATCGTTCTTGATAGCTTCGATAGCGTCGTCCAAATCTTTTCCTCCTGGATCTCCACCCTTGGAAGTGGCCAACAAAGCAGCCAATGCTTCGGCGATTGCCTTGACAGACGATTGGAGTGCAAGTTCCAATGGAGCATCACCTGGATTGGAAGAGACGGCACGTGCACAACTGACCAAGTTGGCAGATTCAGTAGTGATTTGCTTGGCGGCACCAAGAACCGAACGTTGAACCGAACGGTTCTGTGAGGTGGCAGAGACGGCCTTAGCGGCGTTGGTGACTTGAGCGACGGCAGTAGTCAAGTCCTTACAAGTGCCACCGAGTTGATCTGGAGCAGTCTTGTATTGGAGCAACACTTGCTTAGCAGAGTTACCCAAGGCTCTGGCGGCGACGTTCAACAACTCCATAGCGTTCTCACGGGTCTGACCTGGAATGTTTTGGATGAGACCAGATTGAGCGGCGTAGGTTTGTGCTTCCATTTCGGCTTCGAGAGCTTGAACTTGCTCGAGAGCATCATCGAAATCTTGTTGTCCGACGGTGGAAGTGAGATCTTGAATGGCATCCAAGAGTGCTTTGATAGCATCGGAGGCGACATTGGCAGAGGTGGTCAAGTCCGTCTTCAAGTTTGGATCTTGTACCTTTGGAATGGCAGCCTTGGCGTCGGCAACCAATTGGAAAGCGATTGGTGCGGAAATCTTGATTTGGTCGATCAATTGGTTCTGCGCAGAAATGTCGTTTGGCTTGGATTGCGAGTTGTTGATGGCACCCAACAATTCACCGACTTCGTGGTTGGCCTTGGCGATAGAAGCAATGATACGAGCAGCATCTTGATCCGGTAGAGTTGGCGAGACTTGCTTGCTGGTGGTGATCAAACCGGTTGTGGCAGCACAGGCGAGCTTGGCATTTGTTCTGAGTGCTTGGAATGCCTCCTCCTTACCGGCGTCACCGACCAACTGCTTGGTGGCCATGGCAAGACGCTTCGAAGCTTCTTGTACCTTGGCAAAGGCAGCCTTGTCCTCGGGGTTCTCAGCAGAGATTTGTGCGACCTCTACCAAGTAACGAGCGGCCTCAGCGACTGCCTTGGAGCATTGGATAAGACGGTCACGAACAGCTGGATCGTCGGTCTTGAGAGTGGCACGCTTGGCACCGGCAATCAAGTGGATCATTGACTCCTCGATCGATTTGGTGGCGGCTTGCATAACGTCTGGACGACCTTGCGAACCGAGAAGTTGAGCGGTTGCACCCAAGATAACCTTGGCGGCGTTGGAGAACTCAACGTCGTCGCCACTCTTTGGCTGAGCCAAATCGGCGGATTGCAACAAGTAGGAGTAGGCGTCGGCGATTGCCTTGGCACGGAGTCTCAACTTTTCGAGACTGGCTGGATCCAAGTTGGAAGACTTGGCGGTGGCCAACAAGTAGTTGAGTGAATCCTGAGCGTTTTTGGCGGCGGTGTTGAATTGGGTACGACAATTTGGATCCAAGATGGTTGGTGCCAAAGCTTGAGCGGTTGCCGAAGCGAGCACACCAGTTCTACCGGTATCCTCGGTGGCAGAGTTCATTTGATTACGACGAATTGGATCGGCGATCGATGCAGACATTTGATTGGCTTGATTGACGAGCTCCTGAGTGGCGAAAGCAATTGCTTTACCAGACTCCTGGAGCAGTTTCAATGTACCTTGATCGGTGATGGCACCAGCACAGGCACCATCCAAATAGGCAGTCATCAATCTCAGCTGTTCGGCGGCTTGAGCAATGAGATTCTTGGCGTTGTCGTCGTTTGGATTGGCAGCAATCTCCTTGGTTGCCTTGAGCAACTTGGAGATGGCTTCGGCGACACCACGAGCACCGTCAAAGAGTGGCATCTCTCCGTCTGGATCTTCACCAGAGGCAATCGAGGCGGCACGAGCGGCATGCACCAATTGGTCGATGGTCAAAGCAACGTCACGTGCATTCTGGTCCATCTGTCCACGATCCATTCCATTTGGATTGTTTAGGTTTCCAAGGAGTTTGCCGGCGGCGGCAGCCACTGCCTTGGCGTGAATGGCGAGTTGTTGACGCCATTGCTGTGGAGTCAACGACGACTTTTGTCCGATGACTGAATCCGGTGCAAGCTCCATCTCGTTCAACAAATTGGCGACGGCAGCAGACGCAGAATCGATGTTGGTAACCTTGATGGAGAGGGGTCCACCGAGACCACCACGGTATCCGATCGACTGGCCCGGCACCGAGTATTGTCCTTCACGACCACCGGCACCGTCAAAGCCAGAGAGCGACGACGAGGTAGTGGTCTGCGAGGTTTGACCACGAATACGACCGATCGACTCGACCGAAGCAATGTCGGTATCATTCTCTTCAACGGTGACACTGGTATCCTTACGTTTCTTCATGAGAATCTCAATGTAACCACCGAGCAACTGTGAAATAGCCTCACCTTCAGTGGTCATGACACTCACATAGTCTTCCTCGTAATCACCGAAATCCAGTGTGAAAGAAGCTGGCGAAGCTGCCCATCTACGAAGATGGTTAAGTGGATATTCTTTTTCAATTTCTTTAGACTCTGCATCCAAACGCAAGATACAATCTCTAGTAATACCTAAAAGCTTTGGAACCGGTTTCTTTTGTCCCTTAACACGTTCCTATTTGTTTCATTAATTATAAGAGATATTTAGTTAGTTCGGAATCATAAATAGTTCAGTTCAGCAGTTGTCAACTTACTTTAGTTTGGAAGAAAGTAATACCATAGGTTTTAAGAGATCTACAGAGTTGTACATAACGGAATTTCGAATTGGATTCGGTCATACCGACCAACTTTCTAAACTCTTTGTAGATGTCCTTCTCGGCATCTTTCTTCTTGTGGTATGATGGTGGCATGTACTCTTTGATCTTGAGGTAACCGGCTTTGTGAATGGTGGTGTTGTGGTTACCGAGTTGGATCTGGCATTGGAGTGCAGCGAATTGGATTGCCTCGTCGTACGAACATGGATGACTACCAGAGATGATAGCATCACGCGACTGGACGTACACCAAATGCAATTGGATCGGGTCGTCACGATTCACATTGAAATCGTCGACAAAGAACTTCTTCTTGAGGAGCACGATCTGCTCGTCGGTGACTCCCTGCTCGTGGAGTGCCTGAGTGTGATTCAGCCACTCGCCGCTGGCGACACCCGCTGCTGTCTCTGCCTGCAACGAGAACTCCTCGTGATTCTTAATACCGATTCTCTTACCAACGATCTCGATGATCTCTCCCACTGTCAGACTGTCGTCCACCAACAAAGTCTTCAAAGTCTCGTCCATCAATCTAACCTTGAGTGCTCTATGTTTCTTTTTATAATCGATTTCATCCTATTATATAGGTAGTTTGTTTGGTCAATCAATGTTTAATCATATCTAATTAGTACTTGTTGTTTTGGTTTGTTTTTGTTTTTGTTTGAATCATCACTTACATTCATTTTAAGATCATAGAGTTGTAGTGTTTTGTCCATCTTTAACCAACGGGATGGACGCTTACCTTCGATACCTGGTTGGAAGAGACCGTGGTCGTCACCAGTGTCGTTGATTCTCTCACGAATTTGTGCGCATACTTCGTGGACAAACATAGTTGGGGCGAATTTCATCGCCTTGACTTGATTGTCTCTGACAATTCTAATTTTTAAAGTGAGAGACATTTTTGTTTTTTGTTTATACTACACCCCTTTTACTAACTATTTCTGTTTGACTGATTTGTTGTTGTTGTTGTTTTATGATTTTACAATATTGTTGTTGTTTTGTTGTTGTTTTGTTGTAATATATATTATATACAATTTAATACTAATAACACATATAACTAAGGTTGTTGGATCTGTTGTTACTATTAATATTTATTTTCTTATCTAGATTTTTCGTAAAAGTAAATTTTATTTTTTGTTTATTAATAAATTTGAACTTGTTTGTTTCACTACTGTTTTGTTTTAAATTAACAGGAATTGATTGATTAATTGATTTTTTGAGATTGATTATATTATATTAATTTTACAACAATACAATAAATATTATTATTATTATTAAATAATATATATATATATAAATCTATATATATCTTTAAAAGATGGATGAAATGATTTGAATTGAATTGGGAATGATTTTGTAAACAATGACCTGTTTGTTTGTTTTGAGCGGAGCAGAGAAAAATGTGCCCAAAATTAACAACAAAAAATTATTTTTATTTTACAATGAAAAATTTTTAACAAAAAAAAAAAATAAAAATTGGATGTTGTTTGTATGCTATTTTTTTTAAATCTTTATTCTAAAAATGATTTTGATTTATTTTCAGTTTTTTTTTTTTTTTTTTTTTTTATGATTACATGAAGTCATTTAAAATAATGCAAAATATCAAAATAAACTGTGATGTTGAACTCACAACAAAACAAAAAAATATCACGACCTGACCCACGCATATTTTTTTTCATAAAATGAATTTTGTTTTTGGGGCAATCAAAAAAAAGTGGAGGTTGATCTGAAAAGGTTTTAGGAGAATAAATCATTTGAGAGCGCAAAATAGGTGTCATAGGATGCCCGTAAAGGATTGTTTTTTTTGATTACCATGGGCTGTAATTGATGAGGTTGCGATGAAATGGATTTGCAATTGTTTGTTTTTATTGATCAACAAGAGAATCAATCAATTGTTCGAAAAATAAAATAAAACAACAGAAAATTTATGAAAAAAGAATATCAAATACAAAGAAAACGAGTCATTGCAAATACAAAGCAAACGAAACAACAATGAAAAATAGTATGCATACGCAAGTGAAGTGCAATGTTTGTTTTTATTCACAGAACAAACATACCTTGTTTTTATAAAAACAAGCACTGAAGAATCGTGAACTTTGATATTTTGAAATAAAAATAGATTTTTGTTTTTTAAATGGTTGGGAAATGTGAAGTTAAAAAGTAACAAGCCTAGTGTTGGTGAATTATTATTATTATTATTATTATTATTATTATTGATACTTTGGCACAATTTCTAACTATTTAAACAATGGCTGATTTATGATTCTGATTGTTTGATTAAATATATAATATAAAAATAAATAAATAATGGTAATATTATTTCTCTGTTGGTTGAAAAATAATATTTATTTGGTTTTGATTTTGATTTTGAAATTTTATTTGGTTCCTGATTCAATTAACAAACACTAACTACAACAACCACAGACTATAAATAATAATTTGTTTTTGTTTTTTTTTTTAAAAAAATAATATTTAAAAAAATATATATTTGTTTGGATAATAGATAAGATAATATTGTTTAAATTTGATGATATATTATAGTTTGTATGTGTTAATTTGAATTGAATTTAACGATACTCTGTATCGAGATAGCCAAAACCAAAAAAAAAAAACAATATCCACCCATATTACAACCCAAATTCACACTGAATTAAAAGTGTAACAGTGAGTGGGTCGGTAGATGGGTGGGAACAATATTAAATATGATGGTGATGTGTGAGTGAGTTAGTGGTGTTTGAAGAGAGAAGATGCAGATCATCATATAAGATGATATATGTGTATTGAGGGTAATTCAATTCAATTCGATTCGATTAGATTCAAATGTAAATTAGATTGTTATTGTATTTATAGTCAGAAGTAAAAGGAAATAAAATATATAATATAATATTGATGTTATTTTTGAAAGAAAGACACAAAATAGTGATGTATTGAATGATTTTATTAAATTAAACTTACAATAATCTATAAACTATAGCTTAAATAACACCTATATCTCTGGATCTACTACTACTATTATTACTATTATTACTATCGTTTCAATTCAATTTGCTATGATGATAATTAAAGTTGTTTGTTACTGCTTTGTGTTTTACAAATTTACTTTCTCTTTTTTTTTTTTGATTGATTGTCTTTTTTGTATTAGTTATTATTAAACCACCCAATTTAATAATAATAATGAACTATAAACTATAAATCAATAAAGTAAATGATTTTTTTAATAAATAAATAAATAATTATAGGATATTTTGATCAATATAGGTTTGAACTGAAATGTTTTGTTGTTTTTGGTTGATGATGATTAGATTATGATTGTATACAAGTAATCTTATCAAATCAAATAAATAAAGCTATATATATATTATATAAATAATTATTATATTAATAATATTGTTATTATGTCAAAACCAAATAAAGAAATGTTAAATGTTGGACACAAAAAATGAAAAAGGCAAGTGATTTGCATAACAACTTGTAAAAAAATTAATAAAAATCAAAAATTTCATTAAAAATGGCATTTTCAAAGCCATCAGGTTAATTGGATTTTCACATCCATGTTTTTTTTTAAATTAGTGGTTTCTTTATTATAAAAATAATTCCCCCCACTTTAAATTTGTTTTTTTTTGCAGAATCCCACACCACAAAATGAGGTCTATCATCAAAATTCATTAAAAAACTTTGATTTTAAAAGACTTGTGGTGATTGTTTGGTTGGTGGTTCTGATAAAATTTAAAAATATAATGTTTATTTTTTTTTTAGCTGTTACAATGAATCATATCAATTATTAAATAGTTACCTCCAAAAAGTCATCAATGATTTTTTTGTTGTTTGTCATAACATTTCAATGAATATTAATCTATCCGATTGAAAGACTTACCATGCTTTAATAGATAGACAGAGTTTGTCTGATTAAAAAGCCACCGTATTCAACACAACAATTAATGATACCAGATGAAATCAAAGATGTCACGCAAATGATCGCCCACATTAATTTATCTCTTTTTTGTTTTTTTTTTTCAATACTGATCATACAATTTTGTTGTTTATGTTTTTCGAAATAATTTCAATCAAAGGTGATTTACGGCAATGTAATTTTAGATATTTATATTTATTTTTTTTAAAAATGAATTTATTGTGTTTCAAAGCTCCGACAAAAGAGAACCTTTGTAAATTTTTTTTTTTGTTTTAAAATTTTTTTTTCCCATTTTTGTTTTTTTATTATTATCATAAAATTGACATAATTGATACAAATAAAAAATTAATTTCTTTCAACCCGAAATCAATCTTTAGGATTCAATTATATTATTGAACACCACCCACACTCACTCACGGTAATAAATAACTTAGTTTAAAAATTATAAACTTTTTTTTTTTAAATTCTATATATTTTATTTTATTTTCTCTTGTCTTGTCGAGATCAGTGAATTGAATTGCTGGTATTTTAATTATGTTTTCGTGGAGTTGTTGATATAGGAATTGAAGATGTGTGGACGGCATATTAATAATTAATGGAAAGATCTATACTATATATTTCCTCTTTCCTGGAAAGAGGAACGAGAATCAACACGACAGAGAATGAGAAACGTAGTATTGGTGTGGGGTACTTCAGACTTTATTATATAAGGATGATTCATTTACAAGGCTACTTATACATTGTAAATAATTTGGAAAAAAGCATCGTTATACTGTAGGTTTGGTAGAGATTGGCTTGCTGGTTGTTTGGTTGTAGTGGTGTGTATGGGTTTGATTTCTAAAGAAAACCGATCATCGAGAGATAATTCGATGATCAGAATATTTTGAGCTATCAAAATATATATTTGGCTGGAGATTGGTTGGTTTGTTTTATTGGGTTGCTGTTGCCTAGTTGCTGTTGCTGATGATGATGTTGTTTTTTTTTTTCTAGAGGTAGGTGGGTGCCTTCTGAATTAGACAATTAACCAAATTGTCGTATTATACAATTTAAATTAATAAATATAGCTCAAAGTGGAATTTGAGTTTGAACTTGATATTTTAAAAATACAAAGGAATATCAATGATTTGAATTCGATAGATGTTGAGGTGGGGAGACAACAAACATTTCTGATGGAAGTGGGGTTGATAAAAAAACAAATATAAAATAATATATTGTAAATCAACAGAATCATCCTACTGAATGTGATCCGTAGAATAGTTGTGACTTGAGTGAAAATTTGGGGGAGGTGAAAATTGTGAATTGTTTGGTGTTTGGCCGTTGGTGCTCCAGAGGTAGGAGTTGCTGTTGGGTTGTTGCGGTTGTTGGTCTTTGTTGTTGGAGGGTGGTGGTGGAGGGATAAGCGATCCATATTGATTCATATGGAGATTGTTTGGTAGTTGCTGCTGTTGTTGTGGTGATATTCCATAGGTGTTTTGTTGGTTATTGTTGGGTGTGGATGTTCCAGTGGTGTTGGCTTGTGGTGAGAGTGATATTTCTTTTTTGATTTGTGGGTACATCACTGGGTGTGGTAGTGACGAGATGGATGGTCCTACGAGTGGAAGAGGTGGCGAGTGTACTAGTATCGATCCGGCAGGTGGATTGATGTTGTTTGGAAACAACTTTTGTTGTGCTATTGGAGCTCCAAACTTGTAGTGCTCGATTTCCTTCTTGAGAGAACTGTTTTCATAGGAAACGTAGTTGAAGGTATTCATAAGATCCTCGTAGGACTGTGCCATCTGAGCATAGCTATTCTGAGAGATGATGAGTTCATTCTTTAGTTGAGCGACTTTGAGAAGGAGTGACGTGTTCTCTTGGCGCACCTCAGTGGCAGAGGAAAGTAGTTGCTTTTGCTTCAAGCGACGTTGACGTTCGTGTTCACGATGCTGTTCACGACGTCTAGCAATTGAGCTTGGTGATCTATTTGGTTTGGGTTTGGTGGCTTTGGTGGGTGAGTTGTTGTTTGCGTCGACCTTTGGTGTTGTGGTGTTGGAGGCATTTGGATTGCTCAGGGTTTGGGATTGAGATAGTTGGTTGGTGGTGTTTGTCGTAGTTGAAGTCGGAGAGCTCAAAATTGCATTTGGAGAACCCATTGAACTTGAGTTTGAGGATGATGGCGATTGTGGCGAGTTTGGTGAGATTGGAGGTGCATTTAACGATGAGGACGATGAAGATGGCGATTGGAAAATGCCACTGACCATGTTTGGAGAGTGTCCTCCTAGAAGAGAGTTAAATAAAGTTGGATATTCGGAAGTTGTATTTGGGGTGGTATTGGTAGATGTGGAGGAGTTTTGTTGTGGTTGTAGTTGTGTGGAACCTAGGGCATTGTTGCCGATGTGAAGAGATCCCGGTGGTGGTGGTATTGGTAATCCTCCACTGCTACTTAAATTGTTAGTAGAGGTTGATTGTTGTTGTTGTTGTTGCTGCTGATGTGGTGGAATGTATGTGTTGACAGAATTTGATAGTTTAAATTTGTGAAAGTTTGAGTTGTTGTTGTTGGATGTTGTTGACTGGTTGTTTTGTAGTTGCTCCTCTTTAATTGATGGAATGTTGATTGGATTAATAAAAGAGTTGAAATGGAATGTGTTTTGAGGAGGTGGTTGATTTGGTAGAATTCTCTGTGGCTGTGGTGGTGCTTGGATGGAATGCATTGTTTGTTGACCGATCTGAAGTGGTTGTATATAAGAGTTGATATTCGGTTGGTATTGAATAGGCAAAGTTGAATTCGGGTGATAAGATAAGGGGGGTGAAGAACCAAGATTTGTATTCTTTTTTGGAGTTTCTCGACCGATCATATTAATTTATTCCAAAGATTATAGTGGTTTTGATAAGGTTGAATTAGATTATAGATGAGTAGTTGGATGTTGTAGATTGTTGATATTGTTTTTGGTCACTTTGTGATCAGGAAAGTAAATGTTAGATAATGCTGTCTTTAATCTGGATAAACTTCATTTGGGAGTTAGAAATAGTTCCACAGATGATATAGATAATATTGGTAAGGTTTGTTTTACTGGAATTATACCTATAGGGAAAATTAGTTTAAATAATATTAATACCAATTTTATAATGTGTTAATTCAAACTCAAATCTATAGATAGTTAGATAGATATTTTAAATATGCCATTGTTTATTGTCATTTATTTTTTCATTAATTAATAGTAATACAATCAAAAACTTACAAAAATATTTTTGGATTTGATTGATGAGATGATTTAATATCAATTGAATGGTTTGATAAATTACAAGTAATTTTCATCCAAGTCACTTATTTACAAAAATAGAAAAAATGTACACTGATTAAATAAAATTAATCACGATATGAAATATTAATAAATTGATAAATTAGGATTTTTGTTTTAAGATTGTTAATTAATTAATTTAAAAAGATATAACAACAATGTGTTGAATTGTGAAATTGGATAGTTGGTAAAATGAAAGTGAGCAATCGCTGACAACTTGAATTTGACAAACACGAGACTCCACTTTGGAAAAATAAAAATTAAAGAGACATTTTCAAAAAAAACTAATTTTGTATGCCAACTACATGTAGTCACTAAATTGGCAAATCGTTGGGCATTGGTTTAGCTTGGTTGCTGATCAGCAACAATTTGCCATTTTTTGTTTGTTGTGGGCAACTGAATTAAAGATAGGTTGAGATGGTCCAAACATCTTTACCCCTCTTCTTTTCAAGATTAGCCCCACTAAACACAAAATATTTTGCTTTATAAAAAAAATAAAAAAGCTGTTTCAACTTTTTTGAAAAATTTATCCAAAAAAACAAAAAAACAAATCATCATTGCCTCTTAAACACGAAGGACGCGATAAAGCACGCCTACATTACCATGATAGGTATCGTTTGTATTGAACACGAGAGATGGTGGTTGAAAGTAAAAATAAAAAAAAAAAGTGAGTTTTTTAAAACAACAACAAACTAGTATTTTTTTGGTAAAATTTTGGTTGGTTACTTTGAATACAAGTTGGTTGGGTGGTGTGTTATATCGATGATTAATTCGATCGATTGACGATTCGACATGGGTTTGCAACCTTCACTAGGATATCCAATTAATTTAGTTTTTAGTAATTATAATTATTATTATTAATATTTTTTTGATTTTTGATTTTTTTTTTTTTTACCAAAATAGGAATAAAAAGTCATGACTTTATGAAAAAAAAAAATAAATATAAATAAATTGTTTGTTTTTGTTAAAGTTTGGTTTTTTTCATATCATTCTTTTTTTTTTTTCCAACTAAAATCAAATGTTGTTGAATTCTCAAGTTGGATGCGCAATGCTTAATGATTGGATGATAATTATTAAGTATTGGATATTTACAGTTTGCAGATGTGGAGTTTAGAAAGAGTCAACTCTATTTATGGTGTTGTATTATTAAATAAATTATATTGCAAGTATTGATAATAAATTATGTCTAAAATCTTCTTTTTCTGAATCAACTACTTTAAATTGATGAAGAATATTGGTTGTTGAGTTTTGTTTTTGTAGGTATTGTTGTGTTGGATTGGTGTCGAATCAAGATGGTGATGATTAAGATATGTTGTGTTTTATATTAATTTTTTTTATAAAACATTCAAAAACAAACACATCTATTAGACTTGTATCTTGGAGTGAATTTAAAAAAATGCGATACTTTAACTACCAGACAATGATAGTGAGGTGGTGCGTTATGTTGATTTTCTGTTGTGTATGGAAATGTCTGGAATGTGAATGATAGGGAAAGAAATTATGTTTTTAAAAAAAAAAAAAAACAAAAAAAAAAAAAAAAACAAAAAGTGTAGTGGTGTTTGTTTGCTGATTGATTTTAATCAAGATAGTAGTAGTTTCATAGATTTCGAAAAATAAAAGATGATTATTATTAATATTACACTTCTGTAGGAAATGAATGAGCTTTGAGAAACAAGATGAGGTAAGCTTGTCTTATTGTAGTTGTAGTTGTAGTTGAGCGCTTGTTTGTTATTCTACAGTGGTGTGAAGACAAGACATCCAAATAGAATATGGTGATGTTATTGCTATTGGTTTTATTAAAAACTATTGTTGATGATGATTGTTTGTTTAAAATAATCAATTGGTTTTGAAAAACATATATATATTTAGACAGAATGAGATAGAACGAATAAAAAGATTAATCTATTCAGTTTTTAAATATTAAATTAATCAAATAGGCTAAATAGCTACTGAGTGATGCTATTGCAAAACAGTGTTGACATTGATTGAAATTGAATTTTCAAATGGCGGAAGATGTGATTGTTGTCAAACCCATATCCACTCTGTCCAACTCTAAATATCTAGGGTTGAATTCATAAGTGGTATGGGGTTAATCGTTGAGCTGAAAGTTTCCATACACCACTCTATGTTGTGTAATGAAAAAATAATATGATGAGGTGTGTGCGAAATTTGTATAAATACATAGAAAAAAAAAGAATGTAAATCAAAACGTCAATATGATAATATATGAGAGTGGTAAAGGTTAGTAAAAAAATATAAAGATTGGGAGTTTATTAATCAAATAAAAATCGACCACACTCTCTATTTTTTTTATTTTAATGATTCTGTTCTCCTGCTTGTATAGAATCCAAAATCTTTGAATAAATACAACCAGCATTATATTGGTAAAAATTATACAAAATCAACAAAAAAAGTTTTAAAAAAATGGAATAAAATAAAATATTTATATGTAGAAAAGGGAAATTGGATTGAATGTTGTAAGATGTTCCACGAGGATGCAAGTAAGTGTATGTTAATTTTATATGTATATTCAATAGAGTGTGTAATGTAATGGGAATAGCGAGTGATGATGATGATGTTGTTGTTTGTATTATGTTATTGTTAATCATTATTTCACTTAATAAGGATTGATTGATTGATAGTAGTAATTAATTATCAATATTATTATTATTGCTATTTGTGTTTGAATCTTAAATTGCGGTTCGATCAATTCACAAGTTTGTTGATATATTATTTTGAAACAAATATTGTTAATATGTTCTAGTTTTGAAATATGAATCCAATCAATGATTTAGAGTGAGTGGTATTTGCTATCAATCTTTTGTATGGAATGGGGGTGGAGTGTGTTGATATTTTAATTTGTTGATAGTTTTGATAGGTGTAATGGAACAGTGGTGGTATTATTATTACGATATCGTGGTAAGGGAAAAGTAATAACACTTATCACTCTGTATCAATGTTAATCAATCAAATAAAATAATTACCATATTGGATGTGATTACAGTAATTAATGAATACATTAATGTGATTAGGGTTTTAAAATCGCTTGAATAAAGCACAATGGGGTTGACAATGGCACATTGTATACAAGTATCAAAACTATGGGTAGAATAAGTACCTTTTATGATAATCTGGAGTGTTATTTATTGGATTCGAACGAGCAGTTGTAGATATCTTGACTTTTTTAGTGTAGTGATGTTATTCCTATTATGGTGAAAAAAAAAAAAAGTTTTGGGATAAAATTAGTATAACTTGAATTACTACATTCAGCTTTTTGAACATTCACAATAACATTTCATGAATTGATACATGTGCATTTACACATAAATATCACCTGTAATATCTATATGAAATGTATAGACATAATTAATGTGCAAATTTAACTTATTTTAAATAATTAAATTTTAATTTTTAACAATTTTTTGTTTTTCATGATTTACTTTTAATATTGTTGTTGTTATTGTGGTTTCTGATTTGTTATGAATAGTTTTTTTTTTTGCTTCTTTTAGCAAATGACAATGATTTAGTTTTAACTTTTCTAAATTTAAAAATATGAGTTGATTAAGATTAAAAAAAAAAACAAATATATTACAATGGCTCTTTTAAAGAAAATAGATCTGATGTAATTGCAGCTAAAATAGAAATGCATCAAACACGTTTATAATTTATTTTGAATTGAAATTGTCCAATAATAAAGGTAGAATGCTGTTGAGAGCCTGCCGGCTGTTGAATAAAATAGTGGTGATTACTATTGATTAAACAGTAGTGGTGTGGTATTAATATGGTGGTGGTTAGATTTTAAGGGTTGTTTATTGTGTGTGTGTGTGTGTGATGAAATCAGTATTTCTTTGTAGTTTTGATGATATTTGTAGCTACTTTGGCTAGATTGATTCTTGCCATCATCAATGAGGAGAGTAGTTTTAAAATGATTGTTGGTGGTCAAAAAATAAATAAAAAAAGTCGTAAATTTATATAGTAGTTTTGGGTGTAGTTTAATAATTTTTAGTTCATCACAAAATGAAATGTCCAATGAAATGAAGATGATGAAATGCCAACATTTCGAATTTACTTAACATATTTTTGCAAAAAATAAATCCAAATGTACAATTTATGAAAAATAATGGAATGTTTGTAATATTGTTGTTGTTTAGTTGAGAAATAAGTTGAACTCTAAAATGAAAGCAAAATTGTAGCTTTGGATATTAGATGCATTCAACAATCAAATAGGGAACAGTTTTTAATTTGAGGATCAAAGAAAACAAAATAAAAAACAAGTTGAAAAATAGTGAGAAAAAAAAAAACTAACATTCTATTGTGATTGAAATTAATAACTATAATACCCATTTAATATTTTTTAAAAACTGCAGCCCACTAAATAAGTGTTTAAAAGTAGTAGCAATGTGCAACTTATCAAAATAGTACTGTATGCTTTCAAAGAACTTAACACACATCTGCCCAATAGTTGTCCTAAAAAGCAATGTTTGCAAATAAAATTTTAAATGAACAACACTCTGGAATGATTTAATTTAAAAAAAGAATTATTTTTAAATTTTTTTATGAAAAACAAATATCTTTTGATAAAACAATCATTGTTTTTTGCAAAGATGAAGTGTGAGTTTTGAGATGGTTTTGACAAAAAAGATATAAAATTTTTTTTTTTTATGAAAGTAGTGATTAAAAAAAAAGGGTCAGATAATTGAAAAAAAATCCATATTTTTTTTGTAGGTGGTTGACGAAAACATAAATGATTGATAAATAAAAAAGAAAAATGGAACTTACCAATTAATTAATTGATTAGTTTAGTTGATGATTAATTGCTTATTAATTAATTTGGATACTTTTTCTTCTTTAAAACTGAAAAATAGATAAAAGTTGAGTATTTAAGTTAAGTTGTTATAAAATTTTATGTAAACGACAGGAAAATGTTAAATTTTTTGATATTAAAAAAGTTGGTTACTGATTTTGCTGTTGAGAAACAGGTTGCCAATTAATGATTAATCGGTGGTTTGAATTGAATTGAAATGAAGGGCAAATGTATTTTATAATTTGAATTTATGATATGATTTGTTTGTTTGCTTGGCATATAAGGTACTGAGGTGCAAGAAATGATCTGATCAAGTTGAAACCTTTTATAGGACATCAACTCTGTCATTATTAACAGTGGAAATTAAATTTAAATATTTAAATAATAAAAATCTATCGGTGTAATGCCTTTTCAAAATAATTCTTGTGCATCAATCACTAACCAACCACCACTTTTTATCTCTCTTTTAATTATCCAACGAACAACATTTAACATTGCAATAAATACAATAACAATATTCAAGCAACAAAACACAGCACATAATATATCATTCACCTCCTCACACACACTCTCTCACACACTTCATTACCTGAACACACCTCTCCATTCAATATACCTCCACAATACAATACCCCACTGATTCAGGGTGCCAAAACAAACTTTTTTCCATCACAATAATTAATGAAGTATAACTAATGAATAAACATAACAAAAAAAAGGAGGGTCGATTGAAATTTGGAAACTCAGTATTATCAAAAAAAGGAATAAAAATATGAAGTCGTTTGACTTTGATAGTTGGATAGGTATATGAAATAAAAATAGAATTATTTTTGGTTTGTTTGTGGTTGTTTTAACACAATAAATCTTAATAATAATGGAATATGATAAATGTAATGATACTGATACTAATAATAATAATAATATTAATTCCCATGAAGATATAATACAATAGTGTGTGTGATCATCACAATTGTTAGTATTTTCTCATATTATTTTTTATAGTAGTAGTTCCTGAATGATTTAATAATCTTGGTGTAATCAAATATTAGTTTGAAAAACAAAATTATTTGATTTAAATAGAGAGTGTGTGGTTTATCCTTTCTATTGATGAAAAAGAGGGTGTGGTGCGGTAATCTATCATACTAAAATTTATTCATATGATTACATATTACATTAAATTTCACTCAACAACAATAAATGGCTGAATTTGTGATAAGAGTGAATAAGACGACACAATACAATAGAAATTTGTAAATATTGTATTATGAAAAAAATAATAATAATTTGAAGCACACACAAAAAGTATGGTGCAAACTTGTATGTATTTTGAAAGTGAAATTTTAAGAATGCTGTTATGTATTGTTCTTACCTAATTTGTCTTGTTATGTCGAATAACGCCTTATATGAAGTTGTTTCGGTGATCTTATGCTCTTCAGTTCAATTCGGTTGGTCTGAACTGTCGCGAAGGTACTACCCAAATGTTGATGATGGACTTGTTGTTAGTTAATTTCTAAAGGTTTTTTGACTATACCTACTGAGTTTATGGTTGGTTTTGGTCAATACTATTAATATTATTATTATAGATTGTTTGTTCGATTTGGTTTGCTATTGAAGATAGATGGCGATTGAACAACCGGTTATTGGAAGTTGGTTAATGGGATAGATTCTGGAAGTGGATGGCAGTCTACTACTATCTGGTTTATTATTATTAATTGCTGTTATGATTTAATTTAATATATAGTTGTGGAGAAGGAAATGATCTGTGATTATGATATTGATGGAGATGGATTGTTAGATTAATTCGATAATTAATTTAATATTTTACCAAACAATCCAATCAGTATTCGGTTTTTTAATATAAATTAAATAATAATATTCTGCAATTGATAGTTTGAAATGATATATGAATAAATTAGGTTTTTTGTTTCTGTTGTTTCACTTCATTCCTGTATGAAAAACGTTGTAGCAAAAAGTAAGTATCTTAAAATTGAATATGAATGAATGAGGGTGTGGATTTAAATAAAGATAAAAAATGATAAAATGTAACAGTAGTTGAAAGAAAGTGGTATTTAAAACAGCAATCAGCAGCTTGTTAACAATATTTATCTTTTGGAAATGAAAAAATATGTAGATAAGATTTAAATTTTAATGTATATTGTTTACGGTAGTTGTAGGTTAAGCTATAGAATATAGAAATTAAACTATAATTTTATATATAAAATATTGGTCTTTTTGAAAATATTATTAATATGTGTTTTAATTTAAAGAAATATATCCAGTAGATAAATTTATATTTTCCATCCTATTCTATTTTTTATAGAGCGGATTATTATTAATCGATCGATTGTCTATTGAAGAGATATTAAATATTTGACAAAAATAAATTATAATAGCTGAGCTGTTTAGTTAGTTAGATAGGAGACAGAGATATTTATATATTTACAAGAGATTGTTAAAGTGTGATGCACAAAAAGAAATGAAGTAATTATAATGTATTTATATTCACGTGAATTTCCATAAACAATATACTACTAATATTTAAATTGTATTGCGATGGAATTTATTTCATCCATTGGGTTTAGTGGAATCCTACCAAGTGCAACAAAAGCAAACTGAAGTTTATCGAAACAAAACTAAATATAAAAAACAGTTTCAAAATTACCATCCATATAGCTTTTGTAAAACAAAAATTTTTCCTCCTCTCTTATCTCTTTTAAGAAAATAAAAAGTGTCGATCTAGTTATGATTATTGTTTGTTTGGTGTTGATGATGATGGTGTTTTTAGTCAGGTGGTGGTGCTGGTGGTAGTGTGGTCTTTATTTATTTAGTTTAGACAGAACAATATCTAACGCATCTTTCATTGTCGTATATCTCTCGACTCTAGATATACATCTAACGGGTTGTAATTACTTGTAATATTAAGTACAAATCCAAACTTACACACAACACATTAGAGAATCATTGTCGAATTGATTGGTTGCCTGATAGAATAGAAATTGATAAAATTGTATAAATCAAACTAAAATTCATTTCATCTTCTCAAATTTTTTAAGGAGTGAGATAATCATAATCTAATGGTAGTTTTACCAAATCAAAGAAACCTATTGTTATTAAACAAAAATAAAAAATAAATTGTAAAATAATAATGAAAAAAAACAAAAACAAAAAAAAACCTCTTGTTTGTTGTTAAAGATGAAACAATGTTGTGGTATTTTAGTTTTATTGGTTAAATTCAAGATTTTTTTATTATTTTGATTGGAATATTTGAAATTTGTGACACTAACTTTGGACCATCAAATTAATCACGATGATTGTGATCTTAATTGTTTTTTTTTTTTTTTAATATTTTAAAAACAATATTCATGTGTGGGTGTCTTTTTTGGTTTAATCAATTAATAATACTATTTTGCAAACAACAAAATTTTGTCTGAATTTTTTAAAACCTTTTTTTTTTTTTTCGAAATCGATTGCATTTGATATTTATTTTTGTCCACAAAATCGCGATTTAATGTGATTCAACCCCCAATCACATTTTATAGATATTTTATAAACTGTTTATCTTTTTGTACAAATATGCCGACACCTATTGATTGGTATATATTAAAAAACCTTTTTAAAATAAATTAAAATAAAATGATAAAAAATAGATTCCGTCTGAAAAAAAAAAAAAAAAAAAAAAAAAAACAAAAATTAATTTATTGATTTATTGATTGATTAGGAGCAAACTTTTGACTTTGTAGATGGTGAAGTGAATGATGATGCATGTGATTTTGATTGAAAAGGTGGTCAGTGTCAATACAAATTTACAAAAAAATTATTACATATGGTCGGTGTCCAAATATATAACATCAATAAATCGGCACAAATCCACTGTATATAGGGAGAACAACACAAATGACAAATTACATCACAGAGCATTTCAAACAATAAAAAAGTTTTTCTTTTTTCTTTTTCTTTTTCTAATAAATGTTGAGACAGAGTTCGACGATATTTATCTTGAAAGCTCAAACAATTGTTGTTTTGCTTGTTTGATAGTTATTGCATTTGATGTTGGACGAAATGGAACGGTTATTTAAGTAAATACATCATTATTTTAATGGTAGAAAAAAAAAAATAGAAAATTGTGTGGTTGTGTTGTTTTACTGCAAAGCAAAGCCAAGCAAACCAATCAATCATTATTTTTTTTGTTTTCTTGTATTTCCGCCACATTCCAGAAGAACTTAGAAATGAATCTCTCAGTTTTGTTGGTTATGGTGAGATTGTGGATGGGCATCTTGTTGATGATAGGCAGGATAGTTTTGTTGGAATTGCTGATTGTACTGATGTTCAAGATATCTCAATTTCGACTTCCAATGAACCTCCAACTCCTCGAAATACTTTACATCTAAACTACTGAGGGTCAACTATCAATAGTGTCCACAAAAGTATTGTAGAAAAGTAATAAGTGGATAGATAATTAGTATGAAATTCATTCATCATTAATTAACAGTTTCAACAACTCCACCTACCATATCTAATAATAATTGAATTTTAAACTCCAGTACATTGTTACTATGAACCGACTGCTTTAATTGTTGTTTTAATCTATTTACTTCTTGTCTTAATTGAATAACTTCATTATCTAATAATAATAATAATTATTATTGTTATAGTTAGTCAGACTATTTTTTTTAATTTAAAAATAACATTAATTACCATTATTATTTGATTTTGGTGTTTTCGGTGTTGATGGTGAAGTTGGTGCGAAGGATGAAGGTATCGATCCGGTAGGTGTTGACATTCTTTGACCAAATGTTGATGGTTTATGTTGTTGTGGTAGTTTCTTTTGTGGAATTTGTTTATTTTGTTGTTGTTGTTGTTGTTTTTTGTTTAATAGTTGTTTTTTATGATTATCGATATTACTTTCACTTTGATAATTATTATCATCATCATCATCTTCTATATCATCCTCATCATCATCGTCCTCATCCTCATTATCATTTCTTTTATATACAACAGCTTCTATACTATCTTTTATGTTTAAATTAATCATATCTACATTAACACTATAATCATCATCATCGTCATAATCATAGGTACCAACTTCGTCATCACCATCATCACTACTAATTTCATTATCACTATTATTCTTATCTATATCATTATGATTATTATTATTTTGATTATCATTTTTATCGTCAATACCGTTACTATTATGATTATTATGATTACTATTACTATTTGACATTTTACTAAACTATCTTATATCTATTTATGTATAATATTAATATTAATATATCTAAATTTAATTTAAGATTAAAAAAGGAAATTAATTAAATGGTTATTCACTTGTGAACCATTGCACAACACCCTAAAATTTAATCTTTTATTTTTTTTAAAAAAAAATAAAACAAATTGTTATTTTTATTTAAATCTAATATTATTGAAGTTTGATTTTTTTTATGCTTATTTGGTGATTGATTAACTTATCAGTTATTATTATTATTATTATTATTACATAAAGTCATCATCTTCCATCGATTGATATTTGTTTGATTTCATATTCTCTGATTTCATGACAGCGGTGTAATGCTTGATATCCTGTTGTTTCTTCTTCTCCTCCTGAGCTTTGATGTCAGCTCTCTTGACCTGTTCGGCTTGTGCTCTCTTCTCGTGTCTCTCCTCACGATCTCTTTCCTCACGCTCCTCCTTGAGACGTACATCACGTTCCTCTCTCGATTTCTCGATTCTATTGATGATCAATGGTACTTTCTTTACATTCTTAACATATCTTATCTGTTCGGGTGAGATAGATAGATGTTTAACATTATAAGTTAATCTGATTAGTAAGTATATAAAGAACGACTCTATAGATAGTTATCGGTTTTAAAGTATGTATACTTACAGCAGCTTCATTATGATACAAAACTTGACCTGGTTCCATATCACGTGTCTTTTTCAAGTTTGCCCATGGGGTGTAGACAATGTTGACGCTGCTCTCCTTGCAACCTTGAATCGAATTTTGCTTGACCAACTGACAGCATTCCTCCAAGACGTTCTGTGGAATATCGTTGATGGTCTCTCCCTTCTTCAATCTGAGATAGACGTGTGCCGACGACAAGTCATCGACGTGGAACCAAATGTCTTCAGGCCAACCGTATTTAATCAAATCTTCATTCTCATATTTATCACGACCCATATAAACTAAATAATCGGGTTCTAATTTATATATATTCATAAAAAAAAAAAAAAAAAACAAATATAAATTAGTCATTATTATTTCCTTTTTTTTATTTTTTATTTTTTCGTAAATTTAATTCTCTGTTTGTTTGATATGATTCGATTTGATTTGATATGATATGATATGATATGATTCGATTTGTAATGTAATGTAATGAAAGAATTGATAGATAGATAGATAGATAGAAATAAAGAGTAACTATAGAGACATACCACAAATCTTAAAGAAGAATACCATTTTTGTGTTATGGTGGTTTGTTTATGATAAAGACTTTAAAGAAATCTATGGTTGAATAGAAATGTTATTCAAAACTGTATTGTTAGTGTTATAACAAAGCAATACACCTGATACTGTTATTGATACGACTGACTTTAAAAAATGAATTGTTTTTTAGTTTTGTTGGAATTTCACTCTATTTTTTTTTATTTTAATTTTTAAATTATTTTTTTTTAGTCTTCCCAACAATTCACTATCAATAGATATTGTTAACAAACAAGTATACCATTGTTTTTCTCTATTCTTTATTCTTTCTTTTTTAATATATTTTTTATTTTTTATTTATAAATAAAATGAACTTTAAATTTAATAAAATAAACTTTAAATTTAATAAAATATTTTTATTTAGTGTTTGTTCATTGATACTACTTTATTGATCGATCTAATTGTTATCCTCTGTAGTGTCTGATTCGCTATTATCATCATCATCTTCTTCATCTTCATTATCATCATCATCATCATCATCTTGATACTCTTGCTTTGTCATGATATAAACATAGTGAACACCTTTTTGCTGGGATGTTGTTGGTTTCGGTATCTCTAGTACCTCTATATTCCATTCTGTTTCCTCTTGCTCCAAATAAAACAGGCGGTCGTCTGGTTCGCCATAAGAGATTAAAATGAACTTGCCCAGTGGCTTCAATATTCGATATATTTCCTCGCACATTTGCAAGGCATTGCTATGTAAATTATCTCCACACTAATTAATAATAATAGCAACGTTAACAATTTATTGAATATCATTTTGATATATTAATCATGATGGATTGATTAAATTGATTGATTAACTTACCATTATAGCATCGAAAGTACCTTTGTCAATAATGAAATCGAAAAAGTCATCTTTAAACGGGGTCTCCATGATGTTGGCAGCCATATACTCTAAACCTTTACAATTCTTATATTTCTCTCTGAGTTGATCGATAATAACAGTCGATATATCTATATTTACAATCATTTTATAGCCATCTTTATTCATTTCCTCTGATAGCACTATTTTTTATTACATAATAAATATATATCAGTAATCAATATTTTATAGAGATTTATAAATAGATAGATACATACATGAATTACCACAACCTACCATCAATATCTTACCATCTTTGTTTATATTACTACTGAATGTATCTCTCAGACCATTATAGTCTTGGTACCAATCAAACGAATCAGTATTACTAAAAAAATATTATATTAAAAACAAAACATAAAGATTAATAATAAGAATATATAATAACTTAATATAATATAATATTTATATAGTAAATAAATAAATCAAAAACTTCAACAAACAATAACCAAATAACAAAAAAGAAAGATAACATATAATGATATTGAACAAAATAACTCTGTATAGATCACTACTTTTTATAACGAGAATCCCAATATGTTTTTTCACCGTATTTAGTCATTTTTTTTTAATGATATCCTATAAGTTTGCCAGACAGTTATTAATTATATAAAACAAAGTGATCATTAAATTAAACTAATCATAAATTTTCTTTTCGAAAATGATCACTTTTTTTTCATCACCACAATGTTTTTTTTGATGTTGAAAAAAAAAATTAAAAATATTTATTTAATTGCAATAATATAAATATTTTTAATTTTATATGCATCTTTTAAAAAATTGTGAAAAAAAAATTTAACAATTAATAATCCTAGGTTTATAAACATATAAACATATAACCAATAAACTAAACTAAAATTAAAATTAAAATCTAAATTAAAAACTGTTTGATTTGTAGAATACTTTTTTTATTTTTTTTCATTAAAAGCTTTGATGAGATCAGCCAATTGAGTTGCTTCTTTATTTACTTTAGTCAAGACGTTATCCAATTCCGGTTTAGTTAGGGTTGTGTATCGAAGTGCTGTTTTTCCATGAGTAGACAATTTTTTGAAAAGAGCAGCACGACCTGCGTTGTTCTTTGAATCATCGAAAACAGGAAAGTCATCGATACTATCCAACGCCATTGGGATGAAAGTCCTTTATCAGTCACGAAGTTGTAGAGCTTCGGCCAGTGCTATGATTGCTTGCCTGCAGTTTGCATCTAGAGGATCCCCCTGCCTATAATTATAATTAAATCAAGCAAGGTAATGGTAAAAATAGAAAAATAAAAAAAAATGTTAATATTAACAAACCAAAACAAATCAAACAATAATTATAATAGTTTTAAATAAATCCAGCTCACCTTGTAATTTCTAAGATGACCAGCAACTCTTTTGTAACAAAAGTGGTCACGACCAGATCCATATTTTGAATTGGGCCAAGCTCTGTCGATACTGTTGTGTAGACGAGTCAGCTCAGCATGGATCTCCTCGACCGAGGGTGGCGGCACCGTATCGATGAACTCATCTTTCAACTCTGGGTGTTTCTCCTCGATGAAAATCGAAACCATCTTGATGAGCTGCGGGTGTGTGAGTGCACTGAGCACATTCTTTAGTGTTGGTCTTGCAACCTTTTTGGGTGTCGATTGTTTTCTTGGTTTCTTGGCTGCCTTTTTCTTGGCTTTTCCATCTTCTTCATCCTCTGATTCCTCGTCTGATTCATCGTCTGATTCATCGTCATCCTCTACAACACTAGTATTGGTTGGATCTTGTAATTTTTTCAATTCTTCCTCTGATTCCAATGTTCTTTTTGTCATTTTTCTAGCCGTTAAAAGTAATATGTATTTAATGTGAAGTCAATTTTCGAAAATTTGAAAAAAAAAAATTTTTAGCATTGAACAAACAAATAATTATTTTATTTTATTTTATTTGTTTTTTTTTTAATTAATTAATCTAACTTTGTATTATAATTAGAATGGCAATTACGAAAGATCAAGGTTCTTTGTTTATCTTTTTCACATGAGATGATCTAATATAATGAATATAAATGAACTGATTGTATTACAACTAAAGTGAATTGAAAAACAATATTAGATTTATTATTATTTTCATACAAATTTTTTTTTAATAAAATTAGATAAATAGAAAGCATTTTTATTATAATTTTTTTCTGTTTTTCAAGAGAATAAATCAATTCACTACTGTTTAATTAAACAACAATATATATTTTAGGAATATGGATAAATTTAATCTATCATATACAAGTGATGCTGATGAATCGAAATGGTTAGATGCATTAAAGTCATTCAATGATAATAATCAAGGTTAGTAACTTATATATATATAAGTTATTCTTTATAAGTTATTCTTTATAAGTTATTATTTATAAAATGGCATATTAATATTGTAAATATGTTATTTTAGATGCAAGAACATTCATTGAGAAATATGGCTTGAAAGAGAAAAAACAATTCACTTTGAATCTTTTCGATATTCTAAAGGGTGAGGTTACAGGTCGTGAACGTAGTAGTGCAGCGTTGTATCAGACTATGGTTGCTCTGCGTATCTCTCTGCGTGAGATCGACGCCTCCGAGGTGGAGATCGTTGCCGGTGGCATGCCGCTGTTCTTCAAGTTTGGCAATGTCGGTGAAGACAACAAGACTTCGATACACTCCGATGAGATTCGTGACGAATCGATGCGGTGCATCGTCAATTGCATCGCCAGAACCAAGTCACTCAATAGCAAGTTCCGCGATGACATGAACGGTCCGCTTCTCCTGCTCGAGGAAGTCAAACAGCCGCTGCTCAACGACAAGGTGGCGCTGCCGATCTACAAGATTCTCGTGCACAGCTGTCCGGACCACGAGATGCGTCTGAAGCTGCTCAACAAAGGTCTGCTCGATGTCTGCACCGAGCAGCTTGAGCAACGCACGAAAGACGGTTTCGAAGCGTCGGTTATCCTTGGCGACCTGTGTCGATTGATGTTCACCGCCACTATGCACTGGGGTCAGTTGGATCGTGGCGTCAAGATACCGGTTACCGAAGACGACCACAACCGTATTCGTCGTCTGCTACCCACCTACAAAAAGATTATGACACAACACTGCACCACCGACCAACCGATGTACCAAGTGAAACTCGCACTCGTATCGACCCTCCTAAACACACCGAAATCATTGTACGACGAGATAGTAGATCATATTCCACTTTCCTATCTCGAAGAGATCTTTACAATTCAATCTGCTTTCTTTGATAAGTAAGTGTTATTTACAATTATTATTTTTGTAACTACTAATTCATTGTTAAAATAACTAATCAAACACAATCTATCTATGTATATATATATATATATATATATATATATATATATATATATAGACCAGAAGCACCAGGTGAAATGATACCAATAACAATGTTATTAGCAAACATTGCTGAGAATGTACCAGAAACAAGAGATCCATTGAAAGCTTTCACATTCCCATCGGAACTCATTAAAGAAACAGACGAACCATTATCTGTTACCATTGAGTATGTTTATATAACAACGATCATAAACTTTACTTTAGATATATTAAAGATGATAAATTAACAATATCGTTACTCTTTACTTTTAATATTAATATTTTAGACCACCAAAGGAAGCAGTTACTCAAGGTATCAGTTCTAGATTGATTCCACTGATGACCTCAAGTGATATTGGATTGAAACACTTTGTATCAGAGTTCTTTTATTATATCTGTGATGAAGATGCCAATGAAGTTTGTAGATTGACTGGTTATGGTAATGCTGCAGGTCTGTTGGTTTCCAAAGGTTTGATGTCATTAGGTGGTCAATAATAACAATAGTAATAATAATATAGTTAACAATCAATAATGCATTATTCAAAAAACAATTAAAAACAAAAACAATACAAAAAAAAGAAACAAACCAATTATAATATTAAAATTTGTAAATATAAACAAAATAAAACAAAGAAAAGAAAAGAAATAATTATTAAATTATTATTATAAACAAACAAGTGAAATCACTTTAATAAAATCAAATCAAATCAAACAAAATCATATATTTTCACGAGGATAAACAAATAAATATCTTAACTTTTTTTTTGCAGTTCAACTAAGTTCTTATAATATCAATAAAATTCCTTAGATTTGTTAAAATTTTCAAATAAAAACTTTTTTGTTTTTTACATATCTTGTCGACATTTCGGTCAATGGATGAGGGGTAACAAGCAAATCAATGATTAACTTTTTTTGTTAAAGCGCTCACAATGTGAATACCACCAGTTTTTTCAATGATGAAAAAGTTCCAGACAAACAAAGACCACACATACACATCTTATTTTATTTTTTGTTTTTTTTTTTTTTACAAAAAACTATGTAATTTTTTTTTGATTGTTTGGAAATTACAACAACGATAGTGCAATTTTTCTTTCATCTAATTTTTATTTTAACTTATAAATAGTTTTAGAGATAGTATAGTTTATAAATTTTTGTTATAATATAAATTTTGTATATAGTAGTTGTAGTTAGTAGGTTTAAGTAATTTCAATAGAAATGTTCATCTTTTTTTTATTTGTTTTGTACAACAACACATCAAGTGTTTTGAAAACACACTTCACTTTAAATTGAAAATTAGATCATTATAGTAATATATAATCATTATAGTACTACACATACATATATTTATATATAATCTGATTTTTACTATATAGATTCAAAAATGCTCATCTTTTTCAACAGCTAGCAATAAATTCAAAATGTTCTCGCTTTTTTTTTTTTTTCTTTTTGGGGTGTGTAGTGCGATGTGTAGTGGTCAACAAAATTTTATTACTATAATAAGAGGAGTAAATTGAAAATTTATATTAAAAACTAATTGTAGTAGCAGCCACACATCACATCACTGCATTAATTAATAACGAATAATTAATTTAAATCAAATTTTAATTAAAAGAGTAGATGCGAATAACAATCATTCATTTTATATTTATATTAAATAAATCATTGCGCTGCACCTTGTTATATTATTATTATTTAAAAAAAGATTATAAATTAATTAATAGTAATGATAATAATTACCTAATCAATCAGTCAATCAATATAATATAAAATAATCCGATCTGTCTTGCTTTACTAGGCAATAATTTAATTATGTTTTTGTAAATATTATCAAACAGACAACAAACTTTAACACAAAACGAAATCACAATCAATTATGTGTATGACATACATAGTAGTATTTTCAACTCGACCTATTCCTATTTTGTTTATGGATTGATTGAATTGTACTCTCCAGGGATATAGAAATAATTCTCATTATTATTATTTTCAATGACATTGGTTGAATATAGTGTATTTCAATCCATCAATCAATTATAATTTATAATGATTACTATAACAGTATTTATAGTCCGAAACAAACCACACCTCAAATATATAATAATCAAAGAATTGCATCAATTATAATATTAAAATAAATAAATTATTTTTATCATTCAATATTAATTAATATTAATCAATTAAATTAATCAATCAATTATACTATTCAATTAAAATAGTATTCATACATAATTCACAACACACCCCCACACCTATCTATCCCATGCTTATTCGTACGTCATCTATCATATCAATATATATATTTCTAAATAATTTTGAAATTCCATTACGATCTACTTAATCCTTATTTCTTATTTTTAACTCTATCTATCTGATGACAATCCAGTCCACTCCAATCCAGACCAACCACATTACTAAATTAAGTTTTCTTATTAAAAATAAAAATAATGAAAACGAAATAATAATCTTATATTACCCTACCCCTTTATCTTATTAAACACAGGTTATTGATCAAACTATGTGATCAACACACCACACCCACAACACAATCTCATCACCCACTGTTTTGTACCAACATCATAATCATCAAAACAAAACGGTCAAATGTAACTCAAAATCTATCAATTTGATAATAATAGTTTTAGCAACCATTTATTTATTGATCAATTAAAAACAATATTTATTTACTAACTTTTTTTCATCAATCAATAGGTTTTTAATATATTAAACAATTCAAATAAAAAGAAAACAATATCATAATAGTAATAATAGAATAAATAAAAAAAAAGAATAGAAATAATAACAATCATCCAGTTAGTTACTTTTAAAAATAATCCAGTTTATTATATTAATATATTTTAGTTAATTTTATAACAAAAGTATACAGATTATTTTTTTAAGCTTGGTATTGAACTTAATAATAAAAGATTCAAACCTTGCCCAGTATATAGTAATAATAGCAAATTAGTGTAATAATACAAAACTAGTTCAAATATTTGTTAAAAGATCATCCAATTAAATATTAAGCGATTGGAGTTGAAATTGGAAGCAATTTTGGAATTTGTTGTTGCTCGTTTTGAATATGGGTGTTCAAGGATCTAAAGATGATGCTTCAGTTTATGTCAATGGAGCCAACAGGTAATAAATAAACATATAAAAAATAAAAAATAATAATAACAACAACAATAATAATATTAAAATTTAACAAAAATAACAATAATATTTATTTTTATTTATAAAATTAATTTTTATTTATAGACACAATGATGTACTCACAGATAAAGAAAGTCGAAAATATAAAAGATATACCATTCATCATAAAAGAAACAACAACAATGAGAATGATATTTTGGATATATCCAATATGATTGATGTATCACTGATAGAGAATCATCTTAATAATATCAATAATAACAATAACAACAAAAATTATGATAATAATACAACTTTCGATACAAGTACCACAACCACTACCACAACCACCACCAGCAACACCAACACAAACAAAACTCATATTAATAATTTATCAATTTCTTCACCAAATAATATAAATTATAATAATATCAATAATAATAATAATATTTGTAAACAACAACCAAGTATATGTATAAATAATAATAGTATCAACAACAATAATAATAATAGTAATTTAAATCAAAGCACAGGTGGAGTGAAATCCAAGTTTTTACAAAGAAAACATAAAGCAAAAACTATAAGTTTGAGTAATAGCCATATTAATAATAATAGTAATAATATTAGTAATAGTAATAGTAGTAGTGCCAGTAGTCTTGGTGGGTTGAATAATAATAATACTAATAGTAGTAATAGTAGTATTGGCAGTAGTAGTACCGGTAGTAGAAGTAACAATACGAGTTCCAATAGTTTTGGAAACTTATCGCAAACACCAAACACCACGGCGACCAGTCACAGCAGTCTAGTGTCAACGATTGACAATAACGATTCACTGTTGTCGTTGTCCTCAGGAGTCGGATCATCGTTTGCATCGTTGGACGAAGTCGAATCGCTTCCACAGCAACATCAACAACCAATATTCTCAAGAACCAGATCGAAATCACTGAATCTTCACCAACAACGATCATATCTGGCCGTTGGTGGTAATCATCAACAACAAATAGCGTCATCATCAAAATCCTCATCGAATTCATCTCCAAAAGAAGATAGACATTCAATCACCAACAACAACAATACTGCTAATACCAACAACGACAACAAAATACAAGGCAGAAAGAGCAGATCGAGCAATGCACTTTTAAGAACACTCCAAAGAAAAGTAAAGAAAGATAAATCCGAGGAGTACAAAGAGAAGAAAGAAAAGGAGAAGGAAGAGAAACAAAGAGAAAAAGAGGAGAAACAAAGAGAAAAGAAAGAAAAAGAGAGAGAAAAAGAAAGAAGAGAAAGAAAAGGAGAAGGAAAAAGAAAAAGAATTAAAATCAACTTTAACCAAACTATCAAGTTCCGTAAATAGTAATCATAGTAATAGTAATAATAATTGTAATATAGTAGTGCCAGAATTAAGTGATAATCATCAAAACAACAAATCATTTGAAAATATAGTATCGATCGAAGAGAATAAGTTTGTAATTAAAGATATTATTTATAATAGCGAGAGTTTCAGTCAGTTGTTGGAGGAAGAAGAAGAAGAGACTGTTGTTGCCGGTAACAAGAGCAAGAGCCATAGTAATAGCAGACCTTTCTACGACGATCTCTATTGTGATAACTTTAAGCTAAATAATCCACTTTCACCAAGTTTCGACTCTATCCAAGAGGTCTCCGAAGAGGACTACTACGCTAGCAGCCAAGCAGCAGGACCGACATCACCATCATCCGCCAGCAGTCAACCACCACCACTTCCCAGAAGAAAACCACCACCCCTACCACCAAAGAACTTCCGTTCTTCGAATACAACACCAAACACCTCATCTTCAAACCTCAATCAATACATCACCACCAACGCCACCACCACTGCCAACAACAACAACTCAATGGATACTCCGGGATTGATGTTGTCACCGCTGAGTCTGGGACAACGCTCACCGATGTTGTCCCGTCGCCAGTCCAATCTGTATCCACCGTCGGAACCATCGATGCCATCGCCTTGCAGCTCGCAACGCAACTCGGTGGAGATTCACAAGTTGGAGGACATCTTCAACTACACCTTGCTCGACAAGATTGGCAGTGGAACATTCAGTGATGTACATCTCTGTCGACACAAGGAAACAGACAAACAATACGCAATCAAGATCATCGATAAATCATTGGTGCAAATGATTGCTTCACACACCGATTTGGATATTTCTACCGAGGTAAACATTCTCAGTACTCTATCACATCCTCACGTCATTAAATTGGTTGAGCATTTTGAATCGGAAATGAATTATTATATCGTTATGGAATAGTAAGTTGTGAACCAATAGCTTTTTATCTTAATGATTTATCATAATGTTAACATTTTCAAAATTATTATATTACTTTAGTTTATCAGGTGGTGAATTACTTTATCAATTGGAGGAGACACATAATAATCCGGAGAACAAGAGTGGCGTTGCCAATTACACTGAGCAATCGGCAAGAGAAATCATTAAGCAAATCATTCATGCAGTGGCTTTTCTACACAAGAATAACATTGTACACAGAGATCTCAAGCCAGAGAATATATTGTTCAACGGAAAGAGTGAGTTTGCAACGTTGAAGATTATCGACTTTGGTTTGGCGTCCTACTACAAAGCACCTCTAGCCGATATCTGTGGTACTCCCGATTTCCAAGCGCCAGAAATGATAAAGAGACAAGGCTACTCGTATCCAGTCGATATCTGGGCAACCGGTGTTATTCTTTATATCCTGCTGTGCGGACACCCACCATTCCAGGGTAAGAACTCAATGGCGATCATGTCGCTCATTATGAAAGGCGAGATCAAGTTTGATAAGCCAGAGTGGGAGAATGTATCGGATTCCGCCAAGGATCTAATCAGCAAGATGCTGGATTCCGATCCCTCAAAGAGATTGACTGCCGAACAAGTATTGCAACACGAGTGGATGCTCATCCAGTCAAGACCAGAGGATTCACCAAGACTGAGCGGTTCCTTCCACAAACAACTTCGTCGTTACAATTCACAGCGTTTCTTTAAAGCTACAGGTGATACACTGCTAAAGAGTCAGAGGTTTGGTATTTATTCACCTGAATTGATAAAACGTAGATCAATCCAACTTTAAAAAAAGAAAAGGAAAAGGAAAAAAAAAGAAAAGTAAAAAGTTTGATTCACCAAGAATAAAATGTTTATTTAAATTCTCTTATTTTTTAAATTAGAACCGAACCACAATCGGGATCTTGTTAATTGTTTATCATTGATATAGAATGGTCCATTAATTCATATTTTGATAGTGATTTGAATGAAGAGCTTTGTAGTGTAGAACTGTCATTATTAAAATCTACTGGCGAAGCTCTTTCAGCTGATGTGGAGATATAAATTGGTTCTTCATTTTTGTTATTGTTCACAATGTTGTGGTTGTTGTTATTGTTGATTGGACTGCCACCAGTAGAACAGAATCTTTCGTAAGTACTGGTCAACACAACAGATTGTCGTAGTAAAGCTTTTATTTCATCTAAAGCATTTTGATTGTACGAAAATTTGAAAACCAATGGACTAGCTCTATAGGGTGTGTATCCGCTATTGAACTGATAAATTAAATCCAAGATAGTAAGATCTAAATTGTTATATTGGCTCTTGGACCGCCGGAGGCAGATATTAAAATATTTATCTTTTCCAAAAAACGTGTCTCTGTTTTCATTGATAAAAGTGTGTAACGATTCACAATGGCGAACTGACTCGAGAACCAAGGGTAGAGAGTATTGATCATCTGTGTTTTCATTTGTCTGTTCATATTTTGTTTGATCGATATTGATTGTATTGACTAAATGTCTGAGTTGTTCAAGTTCAAATGCTAAGCAATTTGAGGTGTATCTTTCCCCATAATCCCAACAATATTGTATGAATAAAACTTTCACTGGGATTTCTTCTAGCACTATTAATGTTGGTACTACTATTATTACTTTCACTACTATCAATATTTTGACTGTCATTGCTATTTTTGTGAATATCTTTAAGTGTACTTTTGATATCTCCTATATAGTCTATTTCATGATCTTGGTGCTCTTTCATATGAATGGTCAGACACATAGGACACAATAACTTTTTATATGCATGACATATATATTCTTTGTTTTTATTATGTTCCTGACAAATTAAATAATTTAACATTTATTATTTATCTATTATCTTTATTTCAAAAACTTTAATTTAAATTTAATCCAATAATTTAGTTAGTTTGCTTTAAACTTTAAATTTTAACAGTTGTTTTAAACCCCTCAGTTGCCCACCAATCAAAAAAATTAGAATAAAATCACCAAAAAATTTATTTGGAGATAAATTTTTGTTAATGGAATAACACGATCTTTTTTATTGGGAAGTTTTATTTTCAAAATAAAACTATAAAGAGAGGAGGGATGGTTGTTATTTTAAATTGAAAAAATGGATGTTGATACTATAAAAAATCTAATTAAAAATAGCACTGTCACCAGCAATGAAAAAAATATCAAAAAAGACTCTGGACATGACCTGTGTGTTCAAGAGAGTCTTAAACCGTACCAGCTTTCTTCGTGCCCTAATGCTATCAATGATGACCAAATTACTTGTCTCTCAAAACAAAAAGCTATTCCTGAAGTCGTAATGATTTTACAAAACATTGACTGGACTCCCTACAGAGACTATCCTTATTTGCTTTTAGATTTACTATCGAATCCAACTGATATTCGTACTCGATGTAAACCTGTTGCATCTTACTCTGAGATCATAGATTCAAAAGTAATCAATAGAAATGATAGATATACATTCACTCAGAAGAAAGGAACACTTACCACTGAATCTTGGTTCGAAGGTACCACTACGGAAGTTGGTGTTGCCATTGAGATCTTTGATGGCTGTGCACCAGTCACGACAGGCTATTTCTATTATAAATCAATATCACAAGAGAATCTGAAATGGAAAGAAATGATGAAGGTAGGACATTACTTATTCTATCAAAATAAAGTACTCTATGTGTTTCAAATGGAATTTCCTAGTCTATCGGTATCACAAATTGAAAAAGTGGCAGAGTGTTTCAATTTGTGTCATCAATATCAATGTTTGGTGCCAAAGGTTTACTTCAGAGGTAGAAGCTTATTCTATTTTGTAGATATGTATAAAGATGAACCATTCTATAAGCTATACTCTGATCAACTCTATCAAACATGTTCAAAAGAGGAGATTATTGATTATTTATTAGGTGATGGATATAATAGATGGTAATAAAATAAAATTTTCAAAGGTATTAGTTGTTCGACTTTTTTTGGCGGGAAGCATAATTATTTTGCATTAAAAAAATAAAGACCATTTATTTTTTTTATTGTTTTGTATTATTTATCTATGTTTATTAATGATGGATATAATGGCCAACTGTCAAGTACTAAATCATTGTGTGAATTCGGTGCACCACATGCGCTGTAGTCGATGAAAGTTGAAGAAACACCTTGGTGCAATGTTATCACACCAATGGTAGCATTTCCTGTTATATAATCAAAGGTGTTGAAGAGTGTTCCCGATGGATAGCTACCTTGATCGTATGCACCGTGAAGAATTGTATTGTCACATGCCGAGAGAATCAGCGATTGCTCGATATGAATAAGGAAATCAGAGAACAATCCATAGGCATAGTTTAGTACTTTCGAGTTGCTATCAGTGCTGGCTGTTGACTCACATACTCTTGGCGATGGTCTCTTGTTTCTTGTCTCTGTATTGTAGCAGTATCCTTGGTCGTGTATCAATAGCACATGTGGCTGTCCATTGTAGAGTGCCATCGAGAGTTGAGGATTTCCACCGACATCCAAAACAGATGGTCCACTGGTGACGTTAAACGATAGATCTTGCTTGATACATACATAGAGTCCAGAGATGGTTTGCTTTGATGTTGAATCGAAAGTGACAATTCCATCATAGAGACACGGTGAGAATGGATTGTGAGAATTGATTGCGCTCATTGTGTTGATATCTTGGAAGTCAGGCGACTGATTGGATAGGAGACAAGTCGGACCTTGTACAGAGAGTGGTTCCAAGAAAGGTGAGATTGCAATCGACCAAGTTGTTGCTCCGAAACTGCATGTGGACGATGAATAGTATTGTATGACTTCCAATGATTGTGTTCCGTTGGAATCTGTCTTTTGGTTAATGAAATCCAGTGTCGAGCTGAGGAATGACGCACCCAAATCATTTGGCAGCACGCCAAAGACCAGCGGTTTAAAATCGAGTAGTAAACTTGAATTGTTTAACTCCAAACTATAGAGAATATATCCAGAGTTTTCATTGTATGTAAGTAGCTGTTGGTTTCCAATCATTTTGGCATATAACAGCTGTCCCCTATCACCAAGTGGCAGAGAAAATGTTCCAGATTGATACAGGTCTCCAAATTCACCTTTCGATACCAGTAGATGATAGTAATACACCGATGACTGATTGGTAAAGAATGTAATGGTAAAGAGTATCTGCTCGATCTCAGTGACAACTACCAACGATCCGAAATAATTCTCTGGAATCTGAGAGATTGGTGAAACCTCGAGTAGTTTGCTATTCTCTGGAGACATACTGTCGAGTCGGACATTCCATGAATTTCTCGAGGTTTGTGTACCTTGGTAGACTAACATCTGAGCTGGATCTATATTGGTAGCGTATCGCAGTGGTGCAAAACTTTGCGAAGAGTGTTTCAGTTGACAATCGATATAGGATTGAGCAACAGAGTCGATTGTTGCTTGATTGGATGGCTCCCAAACCAACACTGGATAGCTGGCGTTCGGTCCACTGAATTTACCAAACGGTGGCGATTCCAAACACATCAAATCGATGAGAAAACCTGGAATAATCGGTTCAATCGGTAGATCCACCACTTGGAATCTGTTATAACCGAGTGTTTCGTTGTTGGAGTGAATCGCTTCCCAGGGATGTCCGATCCACGTCGACACCAACGGATTCCACAGTCCCATCAAACAATCGAGTGGCGCACCCGATCCATCGAGAATCACCTCCAAACCAAGGTTGTTGCTCTCGATTACCATTGTCAGATTGCTAACTAGTTCGGTTACCAGTCCGATGAAATCGTTGGCCGATGGCGATTTCGAACAGGCTTTGACAGAGGACAGCTTGAAACAAAGTGCCATGTATTTCTGTGGAAACGGTGACTGATACCAATATTGATTATTCTCCACATAGTCGACGACATCGATCGATGTATTGTAGCTAGTTGTCTTGACTGGCTTGTCGTGACTCAGAACAAAACAACCACGTGGATCGCCTATTGATTGGGAGCTACAAAAACTGGCATCCATATAGTGTAAATCGATCTTGCTCCAAACGGTTCCTTTTTTATACATCTGATGCCATTCATTTAAATCGTTCCACGAATGCACCTGGTAATTGATGTCATATGGCAATGGTGTTATACTGCTATCTAAAAATGTCAAACCCGAAACCGGTGCTATAAAATGAAAATTAAAAAAAAGTAGTAACAAAGTCGAGATTACTACATTGAAATTATTATTACAATTTATATAATAAAATTTCATTTATAATATATATAGTTAGAAAATATTTATAGAAAAATATATATAAGAAAAATAGATTTTTATGGAATGATTAAGATGAAGCTGATTCTAATAAAAGAACAATGAATAAATAAAAATTTACTTTTAAATAAATAATGATTAATCAAGAATTGATTGTTTTTGTCATACACCACAAAAAAATAAAGAACAGATAAATATAGATATAAAATTTGTTTATATCATCAAATTAACACCAAATTAAAAAAAATTAAATAATGATAAATTTCAAGGTTGTTAAAAATAATAATATTAATGATTAATAACACACATAAAAAAATAGAGAAAATAAAAAAAAAATGTAAAATCAAAGCTATTTAAATTTCTTTCGGAGATTCGCTTGTAACCACATTTTAAAAAAGTGTGGACCTTTGCACAATCACCAAAAAAAAAAAAGTTTAAATCACTTTAAATTTAAAATATCTATTTTTTTAAATTTCTTTTACTTTTTTCTCTGAATAATAAATTTAATTAAAATTTATCATTCTAAACTAAATATTAAAATTAAACCATTTTTTTTTTTGTTATTTTAATTTTAAACGAAAATGTCTAGAAGAAATAAGAATTCTTCTGATAAAGATAAAGATTTAGATTCCAAAGTTGTAGATGACAAACTACCTTTGAAGGATTTGTTGAATGATGATGATGACAATGATAATATAGATACGAATGCTCTACTTGTTGATTCCGATTCAGAGGATTCTGGTGACGAAGTACAAAAAGAAATCAAATCTAAACTTAAAGAAGTAGTTAATAAGAGATATCACGATAGAGCTGAATTCGAAAGAGAGATAAACAACGATTCAAAGATTCCATACATCATTGGTGGCATACTGTTCATTATCACTGCTTATTTCAGTTGGCAATTTCATACTTTTGGAACTACACAATCAGAATAGTATAAATAATAATCAAACAATATAATCAATTAATCAATAAACTCAGCTTGAATCAACATGTATATACTACACTTACTTGTAATCAGTCAGATCAGCAAAGATCTTTAAAGATCATTTTATTGGCCCATCTACCATTGAGATCACAAAATTTAACCTTTTTGATAAAAAAATTTTAAAAAATAAAATAAAATATATATTATATATTGTATCATACTTCTAATATTAGTTTATTATTTATATTATTTATTTAAATTAGTAGAGAAAGTATGTCAAGTAGTGGTACGAAAGCTTCTGATTCAGAGATTATTATTTCCAGTGATGAAAGTGACTCTGAAGATGATGAGGTGAACAGTCAAGATACAAGTGTACATGATATACCCAATTTACAAACACAAACAACATCAACATCACATAATAATAATAATAATTCATCATCAACGTCACTAAATGTTAACAATTCACTTACAAGTCATACAATTGGTGGTAGATCTAATACGGTATCTACTTTGTCATTGAAAAGAGGTAGAGAATCAACATTAGATATTCAACAACAACAACAACAAGAAGAAGAAGAAGAGGAAGAAGAAGAGGAAGAGGAAGAAGAAGAAGAAAAAGATAATGATACCACCAAAGTTGAAGATAAAAAAGCAAAAAATGAGTTACAACATGTCAATGCTGCTCCACCATTTAAACAACAAACACAACAGAAATCAATACAAGTTGAACAGACTAAAGTAGAAGAAAAGGTTATCAAAAAAGAGAAATGTCTTTCACTAAGGAATTCAGTTTTATGGATATCTGTTTTTGCTATTATCACAGGTATTCTTTTCAATATAGATTTGAAATCAAACCAATTGAAAGATTCCGTCAACAAAATGTAAGATATCTTAAACTTGTTATGTAGTTTAAAACATCTATTTCTCAAATACAGTATCTAATCTATTACTTTTTATTCAATTATTATGATACTACATGATTAAAGTATGAAAAATGATACACCTTTAAAAATAAATTATATAGATAGATTTAAACAATCATTATTAAATCAAGAGGATCATGTATATGGAAACCTGTTTACTGGAGACAATCAACTGAATTATAATATCGGTGCGACCATGTTCTTAAAGCAATATGGTCAACATTATGCAATGAGATCTCATCGTAATTCAAAACAGCTAGAGAAACCTTTGAGTTACCATCTATCATATCCATCGAGCGCAAAGAATGAAATGTTTGCTTTCATTCAACAGTTTTATACTCAAGTATTCAAGAATCAACAGCAACAGCAACAACAAAAACAACAATCAGGTTCATCATCGTCGAAACAATGTATGCATCACTTAAGAGTGGATACCGATGACTTTGTAGGATTTGCAAGATCAATGTTGAAATCGATCGGTGACTGCGAACGTGTGTTGTTCTACACCTATGCAGATGAGAAGACCGATCTTGCTTTGTTGGATTCCGTCTTTGATGGATCATTACGTTTGAATTCGATCGATCCTTACTCATTTACACTCAACCATACATTCGTACTGCTGACAAACGTAGGTCAATCGAAACTATCCGAATTCTATCAGAATCATAATTACAATCAGCAGCAGCAACAACAAGAAGAAGTTACAAATATAGAATCAATCGATCTTGTTGAAATACTAGTTAAAGAATCGAAACAACATTGGCAACATAGATTCTGCACACGAATATCATCGATGATTCCTTTTATAGATGTAAATCTACCGCCTGTAAAAAATCAATAAAACATAATGTTGTTATAAATAGTGTATAAATATATATATATATATCTTGAATGGTTTTTTGTTGTTGTTTGTTTTTTATTTTATTTTATTTTATTTTAGTAAATAGTAGTAGCTTGATTTATCTGCTCTTCTTGGATGAGATGACAGCAAGGTACATTCCCCAACAGAATCCAACCATGTTACCAAAGAGTACACGAAGGTGAGATGGTACAAATGAGAACTAAACAACAATAATAATAATAATAATAAAACAGTGATTTGTTAGAATATAATTATATAATAGTTAAGTCAGTTGGTTGTATAAAAACACATACATTGATGAATTGAGCCAATGGCCAAACCTTCCATGAAGCCTTGAGAGGTTGGGAAAAGATCAAAGTAAAGTTTAATGAGGATAGCACCTGGCTTACCGTCCAACAATGCCAAAACGGTGTAGAAGAGAATATTGATGAATGGTGCGAAAATCAATTGATCGGCAAGTAACTATATATATAGTTTAGGTTTTAGATAGTAGTAGTTAAAGTTTATCATGATATTAGTATATATTCGATGTCATTTAAAGGTGTGAACTATATTATACCTTTCCAACTACTTGATATTTATCCTTAATGTTTCTAAAGAGACGATCGAGAATGATATGCCAGAAGTGACCGACTGGTGAAGAAATCAAACCCCAGATTGTGAACTTGATAACACGTGACCAGTCGATCTTCTTACGCTCAATGAGACCTTGAGCAATGATATTTGATGTAAATGAAAGGGTAGCTGAGGTAAGTGCCTAATAATATATATAATTATTAATAAAGTCATTAATTAATTTGATTATTCTTATATAGATTCATTATAAATAAAAACAAATAAAAACGAAAAACTAAATATATTCTAATTATTAAGAATTACTACTATTATTTTTTTTTATCTAATCGATCTATATCTTATCTACTAATCAAATTGAATGTTTTTATTTAGCAAAATTTACCTTTGTAGTGATTGGAGTGGCCTTTAATCTCTTCATGTACCATGAAGTGAAGCAATCAACAATTGTTTGTGGCTTAGAGTTTGACATTATTTATTCAATTTATCCTTTATATTATTTACTATAATGATTATAGCAATGATCTTTGTTGAACAATTGTTTTCAAAAAAAATTTTTGAATTTTTTTTTGTTTTATTTTTTTTTGCAAATCAATCAATGTTTATTGGATAATTATTAGATTAAGATGAGATGAGAAATGATGGTTGGTTTTAAACATATAGATGACCATTCAATACTTTAATTAACTCTTTATCGTTACCTGCAATTTGGAATAATAATTCTTTTCTTAATTGTCTACTCTCATCATCATTATCATTCAATAAAAGTATATCTTTAACTGATTCCTGTGTTTTCATGATATTATATTATTTAAAGATTGAATTAGTATATTAGTGTTAATAGATAATTATGATAGATAGATTTAAAGAGTACTTACAATTGAAGATGATAATAAAATATCTTTAATAATCTCAATGTTGACTGTATTCTTTAAGATTTCATCGTTACTCTTGCCAGCGAATAGGTATTGTAGTAGATGATGTTTGGCGATCTTGTAGAGAATGGGTGCTTTGGTTTTTGTTACTTTTGATTGTACAACTGCATTCTTGTAGATCTGGATCATTGTGAGATCTTGTTCGGCCGGTTGCATGTATCCACTGTCGCCAAGTGGCAGTTCCTTGTTGCTACCGACGTTCGATGTCACTGTGGGTGCACTCAAGTACTGTGGCGATTGGAACAACTCATTCCAAATCAAAGTTCGGAATTTCGTTGGATAGAATTGACGCAGGAATATCCAGAGATACGTTGAGTAGACATCGGAGGAGAACGACGACGAGATAAAGTTGGCCATGAAATCCGTGAGGAACTGGAAGAATCGGTCACCGAAATACTGAAGGAAATCAAACTCCACTACGGGGTCGTCGTTCTCTGCCTTCTCCAGTGAGAGTCGGTTGAGTAGCAATCCAAACATCTGATTCAAACCGGTGGAGATTGTATTGTTTGCCCACGGTTCGTTCTTCACCAGGAATACCATCATCAGATGCTGATAGACATTCTCCAGTGGTATCGATAGTATATATTCGGAGCCAACGCCAAAGAGCGATTGTATGAATATCAAGTTGTGTTCGATGAGTGGTTGTGATTCGGCGTCAATCTCGTCTTGGTCATCGTCGTCATCAAAGTCACCAAAGTTGTCATCGAAACCGGATTGTTGTTTTCTGGGCACGCGCTGTGACTCGTTATAGAGATACTCGAACGGTGTATTGTACCAATCGTAGGCAAGTGGTAGTAGCGAGTCATATGTTTCAAAAGATATCAACAGTGATTGTGGAATATACTCAACAGTTTCTTTTGTTGCTTGGAATTGTTTAGAATATTCAATAGCTAATTAAAACATTGGATTAGTACAATGAATGACAACTCCAATAATGTTATATTTTAATTTTACTTACTTGTTGGTGGAAGGAACTTCTCTTGATAGAATGACATTAGAATGGTTGATACACTCTGAACTTTGGTACATCCAATCATTGAAAGATAGTCCGGATGCAATGTTACACTCTGTAGCAAATCGAATAGCAATACATCATCATTTGGAATAAAGTTTTGGATAACAGACATACTTGAGGAATGATGGAACTTTGAGAAACTTGGATCGAATTCATCCTAAAATTATAATAATATTATTAGTTTAAACTGCTGTGCTTTTTGTTAAATACTTATATAGTGAGTATACTTACAGTTTCAAATCTAAGTTCATTCATTAGTTTTAATAAGAAGTAATATAAATAAGTTTTAGATCTATTGTTTGTTAATAAAAGATTTCTATCTTCCTCAAAGTGAATCTAAATGATGATGATGATAATGTTGATAAGAAAAGTATTAATGAGTTAATAAACGATTGTTTTGAAATGTTGAATGTTGTTTTTAATATATATATATTTACACTTTTATAATCAACAGTGGATACCAAGATATAGTGAAGTTGAATGAAAAAGTCAGCCTTGTCAAGATGGAATATCATCTTGGAGATAACACGGTTTTGTTGGATGCTAAACAGTAGATATCTGGTGATGGATAGCCACCATTCGCATACTTCACCGTCGTAGTATCTACAGATGGTATCTTTGTTGGTGTCGGCAGGTGTCGATTGTGTCGGAAGCAAAGAGAGCACCTTCTTCTTCATATCTTGATAGAGAGTAGTACCAAAGATTGAACCAAACAAATTAACGGTTGTACCTTCAATTAGATCTTGGATATTCTGGTGAGTGTTGGACGACTTTGATGCAGAAGATGCAGCTGCTGTATTGTTGGTAGAAGATAATTGTAGTTTACTGAATTGCAATGGTGTCTTTATCAATGAACCGGCAATAGAGAAATAACTTCCAATGAAATGAATGATAGAAGAATGTAATCCAATAACAACATATGTTAGGAAACTAGATTCAACCTCTTTAAAACTGTGATACTATTGCAATGTTAGAATTTAAAAGATATGATAAAATTAGATAAGATTATCTATATACGTACAATAACACTTAATGTATGTGATGCAATAAAGGCAGGTTCAACATATGATGATATCTTATCAAATATTGCAGTTGATTGATCATTATTCAAATCGAATGTGAATAGTATGCTATCTAAAAGATTATAGATTGATCTAACGATTTGAAGGAATTGATTACTTCTAAGGTTATCCATACTATTATTATTATTGTTGTTGTTGTTGTCTTTGTTGTCTTTGATGTTGTTATTATTTTCATTATTTGATATATCATAAGAGTAGTTATTGATATACTCTGTAAATAACTTGATAAAGTTCAATGCTGGTGTAGTAATGAACTCGATAAAGTACGGAAGATTGATATGATAGACCACCATCACTCTAAAGAGTTTGCAACTCTCCAATAGAATAGATTGGTCGACTGCATTGCTATTGTTCCAATAGTTCTTTATCGATTCAAATAGATTGAATGGTTGACTAAATAGTTGTACGGCAATGGTTCGCGACGACTGACACAATCTTCTAACGAGTCGAATTGCCTTGACTTTCAGTACGGCGTCATCGTCCTTTCTCACCAGTATGGCATCCTTGATGACATCGATGAGATAGTGACACTTTACGATCTGCTCTGACATCTCGGCAGAGTGACGCGACATTCTCGTGAGAATCTCGAGGATCAGCGATGCACGCGCACGATAATCGATGGCAGTAAGACCCTCGTTCACCAGCAGATATCTAAAACGGTTGAGAATGCCCATCTCCACCAAACCCTCGAGTAGATCACGTGCGCACCGCTCATCGTCATCCAACATCTCTTGTTGTTGTTGCTGATCTTGCTGGCCAGGTATCATACCTTCGAACTGCGTTGTCTTAGCGATTGGCTTCGGTTTGATTGCGAGCGATTCCAGTGCACGATGACATCTCGACTCTATCATTTCCAACTCCTCTTCCTCTGCCTTTGGTACAATCAAACTATACAAACAACCAATGGCAGCTGACAAAACAGTAGGTACTTTCGAATCGATCAAAGTTCTCAACAATCTCGGTAACTTTAATCTTAGAATCTCTCTAAACAAATATGATTCTAAAGAATATCAAGAAATGTTGTGTTAACACAATCAATGTTTGTTATATCTATCAAGTTGCAACAAGTGGTGTATTATAATCTTAAGATATACTTACTTTTATGTGGATAATAACCATTGTGTATCTTTTGCAAGATGAATGATATCGTTCTTAGGGTAACCGATGACTGTCCAATGTTTGTACTCTTGGCAAGTTGAATGAGTTCGTTGATTGTGTAGCCAGCCTCTGCAGCTTCATCACCGTGATGATGCAATCCTTGGTGTACAGGTATATCTTGACCACTCTGAATCACCACACCATTGAAATCGAATCGCCACTCCACAAAGTTGATAACCGATTCTCTAAACTCTCGTTTGGTTCTATCGGCTTGTGTCAAATCTTTCATCCATTCCGGCATATCATTCTCTTGTAATTGTTGTTGTTGATCACTGTCATCCAATTCCTTTACTCCTACCTTATTATCTTCATCATCATCATCTTCACTATTATCAATATCCATTGGTTTGACTTGAGAATCTTTATGATTCTGTAGACTCTCTAATATCGATTCAATCGGGTGCAGTTGTGTTGTTCTCTTGCCATCCTTTGGCTTTGGTTGTTCAGGTCGTGGTTGTTGGTTCGCTCGCTTTGCTCTCAGTTTCTCGACCAACGCAGGATCCAAATGCTTCAATAGATACTCTTGATTCTCGAGAATCTCTTTCTCTGACATCGATTGCATCTTATCACGATTCTCTTTATCAATTAATGATTGTTCATCGTTATTATTATTATTATTGTCTGTATCCATTTCTGTAGATGTTGCTGACTTGTTGTTTTTCATACCGAATGACTTGAACGATCGGTGCATTGGTACGGGGAATGACTGATTGCTATTCTTCTTCTTTGGTGGCTCAAAGAGTGAATCGGTGACATCTCTCTCGTAGATCTTTGAGATTACAGAAGTGATATGTTGGTCATGTTGATCGAGCATTCTCTCCATATCTTCGCTGTTACCATGTTGTTGCTGTTCTTCTCTATATGCATCTGGATTTACAACAAATGGAGGTGGAAGCATTGAGACATCATCGTCATCATCCACTACTCCTTTTCTCTTTCCACTACCTCCAATATTTACTTTATTACTTCTACTACCACTATCATTATCATTTAAGGAAACTATATCTTTCTCTACAACATCTTCAATAATAGGTATATTATTAGCCGTTTTTGAAGTACCAACAAACTTATTTTTAAATCTTGAAGTAGAGGTTGAAGTAGAGGTCGAGGTTGAAGTTGAAGTCGGTGCAGTTGATTTTTCTGTTACTTGTTGTTTATTTATATTATTATTATTATTATTATTAGTGTCAACTGTTGTTGATGTTGTATTTTTTTAATAATAGGTGGTGGAACACCTTTGACAACTTTAGCGGAAGGTGCTTCTCCACTCTTTAAGAACTGTTGTTGTTGTTCTAACAGTTGTCTTGATAACAAATCGTCATCGTCATCACCGAAATTATCATCGATATTTGATGTTCTAAATACTTTTCTACTATGACTATGTTGATTATCTGTATTACTCATTATAATATCTATATATATTTATATTAACACTTATAACTAACTCTTTAGATTAAATTAATTACAAGGATATGATTTCTCGTTTTTTTTTTTTTTCATTTAAATAACTTCACAATTCATTTTTTTTTGAAAAATTGATAAATCTTTGAAAAAAGAAAGATAACAGTCCATTAATTGTTTTATATTAATATATGTTTTATTTTATATTTATATCTTTGTAATATATGATTATAATATGATTGTTGATGATGATTGTGTTGTTGCTATATTATGTTTCAGAGGTTTCTGATGAATGATGACTACAATATTGAGTTAGCATTCCCTTGATCTTTTGGAAGAAGATATGCTTTCTGTAGTCTGGGAAGTTGTTGAGTGCAACCACTTCTTTGGTACCGTCGGGGAACTCGTAGTTGACCTTGGTTGGCTCAAACTTGTGATGGAGATAGTGTTGGAAATCGTGCTTGTCGCTCTCGAAATACTCTTTGGTGCAGTAAAAGCACTTCGGTACATTCTTCTCGTACTGCTCAAGCTGGTAGGGCAACTCAACCTCCTTGGTGGTGATGTACACCTTCGATGCCCTCGATTTGTCTTTGGGTCCTGTGTGGAAGATAGCGAAATCATGGTCACGTAACTTGTCGTATTTGCCGTTGTAGTAACCGTCGATGCTGGCGTTGACAGCGTTCTCCTCGTAGAAGTCGTCCTCGTCGGAATCACCGTAGTAACCACCGTCGTCAGAGTCGTCATAGTCGTCGTCGGAATCACCATAGTAACTGTCGTCGTCGTCGGATTCTTGCATTCCACCAAACATGCTCTTAAAGAGGTTGCTGAGAATTTCGGCATTGCCTTTGGGTTTATTTCTGTTCTTTCTAAGAGTGCTACGATTGTCGCCGCCCTTGTTGTGGTAGCACTGGTGATAGTCGCACCAACCGTCACTGTCGTCGTCAGAGTCGTCGTCGTAGTGATGGACATTCTCATAGTAGGTGGCATCGCCAAATACCGATCTCGATGGCATCTTTGGATTGACAAACGAGTCGATTTCTTCGGCATCGACACCTCTGGCTCTAAGGAAATCCTCAATTCCATGCTTTGGTTTCGATTTCGACTTGGATTTGGACTTTGTCTTGGATTTCGACTTGTTGTTGTTGTTGTTATTCTTGTTACTCTTCTTCTTGTTCTTATTCTTCTTGTTGTGCTTCTTGTGGTGGTTGTTGTTGTTGTTGTTAACATCTCTGGCATTCTTTGATTGCTCTTGAGAGGTACCGAGGAATTCCAATCCTGGCATATCATTGATATCGACCTCCAAATCCAAATTACCCATTGTGAAACTAGAAAAGTCGATCTCTATATTGCTGGTTGGATCGACTGCGGATACTTCTTCTTCTTGTTCCTCTTCCTCCTCTTCTTCTTCTTCAACTTCCTCCTCTGAATCTTCATTGTCACTAGTCAACAAAGAGAATAACGAGGGTTTCGATTTGTTATTTCCAGTTGATTTGCTATCTGGTTTATTGTTGAGTGAACTGTTCCTTATTGCTTTGACATGAATAGTACCTGTTAGATCCCTAGAAGATGACTTGGGGCCAGATGGATTGGAGATGATCGGAAGTTTATTTTCAGTGTTTGGTTTGGATGGAGCTGGCTTTACTACTGGTGGTTTCACTTCAGACTTTATTGGAATTGGTGATTCTACTACAGTCACAATAGGAGTTGGAGTTATTGGTGGTAGAATATGTGATTGTGTAGATGCTTGTGTTGGTTGTATTGGTGTTTGTTTTGGTATTGGTGTTTGTGATGGTGTTGGTGCTGGTGCTGGTGTTGGTTGTATTGGTGTTTGAATTGGTTTGGGTGTTGGAATTGGTGCGTGTGATGGTGTTGTTTGTGTTGGTTGAATTGGTGCTGGTTTTTGAATTGGTTTTGGTGCTGGTGGTTGTACTGGTGTTGGAATTGGTACCTGTGTTGGTGCTGGGGCTGACTTTGGTGTGGGTGTTGGTTGTGTTGGAGCTGGCTTTGGAGCTGGTGTTGAAATTGGTACTTGTGTTGGTGGTGTTGGAGCTGGCTTTGGTGTTGGTTGTGGTTGTGTTGGTTGTGTTTGAGTTGGAGTTGGCTTTGGAGTTGGTTGTGCTGGTTGTATTGGAGCTTGAGTTGGTTGTGTTGGAGCTGGCTTTGGTGTTGGAATTGGCTTTGCTTGTGTTGGTTGTATTGGAGTTGTGGTGATGATTGGTGTCACATTTATTTTGGATGTGTTATTTGTTGCAGTAGAGGTAGTTGTTGTTGAAGTTGTTTCGCTATTTACTGGTTGTTTTTTTTTGTATTGTTTAGGTACTTTCGGTGTCTTGATTGGCTTTGGTTGTGTTGTTGTGGATGTCGATGTAAGTGTTGGTGACTCGTTGTTTAGATCTGGCGTTGCTGAGCTATTGACCTTCACATACTCTTTGGTTGGCTTTACTTTCTTTTGATATACTTTGGTTGGCTTTTGAGCTGGTGCTTCGACGGGGACTGGCTTTACTATTGGAGTCGACGCCGGAACACCACTAAAGGTATTCATAAAAGGTTTTGGCTCAAGAGAGTTGTTATTGTTGTTCATAAACATAAGATCTTTCATTTGGAAAAGAGAATCCAGTTGTGTTGGTGGTGGTGCTACTTGTTGATCGAACAATGGATGTGGTGGTTGTTGTGGTTTAATTGTCATTGGTGTGTATGAAGGGTGTGGTGCTTGTATTGGATCGAGTTGTTGTTGTTGTTGAGGTGGTGGTGATTGTACTTTAGGTACATAGACTGGCTTTGATATTGGTTTGTATGTGTTCTTGTTTTTATTGTTTTGAATTGGTGCTGGTGAAACCAAAGGAATGTTAAATACTGATGGTTGTTGTTGATATTGTTGTGGATGTGGCTGCGGTACAGGTAATGGAGTTGGAATTGGTACCTGTAGAGCAGATGGATGTATTTGAGTTGTTTGTTGTTGATATTGTTGTGGATGTGGCTGCGGTACAGGTAATGGAGTTGGAATTGGAACCTGTAGAGCAGATGGATGTATTTGAGTTGTTTGTTGTTGATATTGTTGTTGTTGATATTGTTGTTGCTGCTGTTGATGTTGTTGTTGTTGATATTGTTGTGGTGGCTGCTGTACAGGTAATGGAGTTGGAATTGGTACCTGTAGAGCAGATGGATGTATTTGAGTTGTTTGTTGTTTTGGAACATATTGTGGTTTAGCAAATGGTTTATAAGATGGTTTCTTTTGTTTCATGTTGTTGTTGTTATTATTATTATTATGATTGTTGTTATCATTGTTAAGATCAGTAACAGTTGCAATAGCTATAGGTTCGTTAATGATAGGCTGTGGAGGTGTAAGAGGTGTTGATGACGGCGATGGCTGAGAAGCAAGTGGAGGTGAGTTCTTTGGTACATATACATGTTTCTTATATTTGTTTTGAACTTTGACTGGCTTCACAGTAACACCTTCAATTGTTGGAAAACTACCTTCATTATTATTATTATTATTATAGTTGGTTGCGGTGGAGGTAGTTGTTGATGGGATAGTCTCTAAATCTTGAGGGTTGTTATTACCATGGTCTTTTGGATACTTTGGAACATATACTGGTTTTGAAGTACCAGCTGGTGATTTATAAGCTGGTTTATTGGTTGTTGGATATTGCTTGTAAGGCTTCTTTGATGGCTTTGTAGTGGTGGAAGTGCTGCCAGTAGTATCATGATGGGTGTTATTGTTATCGTTGTTGTTATTAACACTACTATTACTATCATTACCACTTAAACCAACAACTGTATGTTGTTGAGGTTGAGGTGGTGATGGTGGCATTATATATAAATATTATCTATATATATTTATATAATCTTTATTGCTAGATAGATATTAGAATCAAATAATAATGAAAAAAAACAAAAAATTTTAGTCAATCTAATCTCAACTTAAAAAAAAAAAATAATAATTAAAAAAAAAATAAAAATAAAAATGAATGAATAATTATAAAAAAATTGATATAAATCAAGTTTTAATGTCTGTTTATTTTATTGTTAAGATGATTATATTATTAAAAATAAAACAAAATAAGAAATGTAAAAAATTTCACTTTTGTTATAACAATGATTATTTATATTACTAACTACTAAATATCTCAATGTTTGTGAGTCAGTGTGGGTGTGTGAATTTCAAACCACACATCAAAATTTCACCTTTTTAAAAAATTTTTTGATAAACATTTTTTTTTATATTACATTTTGTTTCATTTTTTTTGAACATTAATATCAATATATATTTAGTTAATAATATATATTTATTTTTACTCAATAATGTCGACAACAACAACATCATCATTTGTTTATCCAAAATTAGATTTAAAGGTACCAGTACCATCAGATATCGATGTTGCATCGGCAGCCATACCAATGCCAATCTCAGAGATAGCCAGTCACATTGGTATCAGAGAAGATGAAATCGACTATTACGGTCGTTATAAAGCGAAGGTACATCTCAGTGTGTTGGAGCGTCTGGCCAGCTCACCAAACGGCAAGTATGTTGTTGTCACAGGTATCACACCGACCCCGCTCGGTGAGGGCAAGTCGACCACTACCATCGGTCTGTGTCAGGCGTTGGGAGCGCACTTGAAGCGTCCGGTGTTCTCGTGTGTGCGTCAGCCTTCGCAGGGACCAACCTTTGGCATCAAGGGTGGCGCTGCCGGCGGTGGCTACAGCCAGGTCATCCCCATGGAGGAGTTCAACCTGCACTTGACCGGTGACATCCACGCCATCACCGCCGCCAACAACTTGCTCGCCGCCGCTATAGACGCGCGTATTCTCCACGAGAACACTCAGACCGACGAGCAGCTCTTCAAGCGTTTGTGTCCGGTCGCCAAAGACGGCTCGACTCGTTTCGCACCAGTAATGCTCCGTCGTCTCAGCAAGCTGGGCATCACCGCCAACACACCGGCCGACATGACCGCTGAGGAGATCTCCAAGTTTGTTCGTCTCGATTTCGATCTCTCCACTATCACTTGGAATCGTGTTCTCGACACCAACGACCGTTTCCTGCGTGGCATCACCATTGGCCAGGGCAAAGAGGAAGAGCGTTTCCAGAGAAAGACAAACTTTGATATTAGTGTTGCCTCTGAGATTATGGCTGTCCTAGCGCTGGCCACGGATTTGGCCGATATGAGAGAGCGTCTTGGTCGCATGGTGGTCGGTGCCAGCAAGGCTGGTATGCCAATTACCGCCGACGACCTCGGTGTCGGTGGAGCGCTCACCGTCTTGATGAAAGATGCCATCATGCCAACTCTCATGCAAACACTCGAGGGAACACCGGTTCTTGTTCACGCCGGTCCATTCGCCAACATCGCTCACGGTAACTCGTCGATCATTGCCGATCGTATCGCCTTGAAGCTCGCCGGTTCCGAAGGTTTCGTTGTCACCGAGGCTGGATTCGGTGCTGACATTGGTGCCGAGAAGTTCTTTGACATCAAGTGCAGAACCTCTGGATTGAAGCCAGACTGCGCAGTTATCGTTGCCACTATCCGTGCGCTAAAGATGCACGGTGGTGGTCCAAAAGTAGTTGCCGGAACACCACTTGCCTCTGCCTACACCGACGAGAATCTCGAGCTGCTCGGCAACGGTTTGGCCAATCTCGAACTACACATTCAGAATCTCGCAAAGTTCGGTATCCCCGTTGTGGTTGCCGTCAATCGTTTCACCTCGGACACCAACGCCGAGGTGGAGCTTGTCGAACAACGTGCCAAGGCAGCCGGTGCATTCGCAGCGGTCATGTGTAACCACTGGGCACAAGGAGGTGAAGGTGCCGTCGCTCTCGGTCAAGCGGTCATCCAGGCGTGCAATGAGCAGCCAGCCGACTTCCGTTACCTCTACCCATTGGATTTGTCGATCAAAGAGAAGATCGAAACCATCGCCAAGCAAATCTACGGTGCCGACGGTGTAGAGTATCTCCCAGAGGCAGAGCGTAAGATCGAGCTCTACACTCGTCAGGGATTCGACAAGCTGCCCATCTGCATGGCCAAGACACATCTTTCGCTCAGTCACGACGCCGAGCGCAAAGGAGTACCCAAAGGTTTCATCCTCCCGATCAGAGATGTTCGTGCCAGTATCGGTGCCGGATTCATCTACCCGCTGGTCGGAACGATGGCAACCATTCCAGGTTTACCAACACGTCCATGTTTCTATGAAATCGATATCGACGTAAAAACTGGAAAAGTAATTGGATTAAGTTAAATTGATCCATTCCAAATTATAAAGTTAAAATAAGTTAAGATAATAAGATTTTAAAAAAACAACAAATTACAAATAAATTTATTCCAATTTTATTTATTTAACAAATATGTAAATAAAAAAAAAAAAACAAAGCAAAGTATAATATGTAGTTAATAGTGTATTTATATTTATTTATTTAGATAAGAATTAAGATCAAGCTAATAGATTAAGATTAATCTTTGTGTAAATGTACTTCATGTGGTGGAACTACTAATACAGGTATAGTAGAGTTGTTGATTAGATAATTACTAGTGCTACCAAGAATGATTCTCTTTAGCTTGTTTAGGCCTCTAGTTCCTACGACTACCATATCTGGTTTTATAATTTCAATAGCTTGCATAACAGCTTCACCTGTATTCGATTCACTTTTTATATTTGTAAATTCCCATTTAACCTGTTTATTATTATTATTATTATTATTCGTATTAATATTAAAAATGTTATTATTTAATTTATTAAATAATGATATATTAAATGATATATTTTTATATACTTTTAATGCTTTACATTCAGATTCATAGGTTCGCTTTATTTTCTCTGATAGTTCCATCTCTTCGATATTTGTAATCTTATCTAGATTATCACCGAGTGGATCTATTAAAGATGTCTTTACATTGTGTGTCACATGTATAATGGTGATCTTATCGTTATCCTTCGATAGTTTACCAACGGTGAAATGAAAAGCATTCCTAGAGTATTCCGAGCCATCTACACAAACTAAATAATTCATATCTATTCTATAATGTTATTATTATTATTGTTTTAAATATTATATCTTTAATATACTCCGCTCTGTTGTTGATCAACAAAAAAGAGCAATTGATTTTTTAATTAAATCAAAATAAAAAAATAAAAATAATTGTAATTATTTAAAAATTTACCTAATTTGGAAATTCAGATAATTTTGGTTAGGTTTGCGAACATGCATGATAAGTTTCTATCTCCAACAGTGAACATCAGTAGATGAAATTATTTATTTTTAGATCCGATGGTTGTAAACTTAAATGTTAAATGTCGTCAATAACTTATTCAAATCAAAAGATTATAACTCTGATTCATTGTGTCAATCTTATCTCTAAAACAACAAGAAAGAATATCTAGACTTATCAATTTACAACCCATTTAATTTAAAAGTTAACATTAAAGTTAACAAATGATACTTTATTGGTAAAGTTTTTAGTTTAAAACTAAATAATGTTTACTGTGTAAGTAAAGTAGAGTTACACTAATTTCTAATAAATCAAAAAAAATGTACAATTTAAAAAAGATAAGATTTACTTGAGAAGCTCCAAATCGGATAAAAGACATCTCATTAATTTATTCGTAAAATTTTCTGGGAAAATAATTATTAAATAAACATTCATAAATTTATAAATAGTCTACTCATCATTGAGATGAACAGAATCAAGATATTAACTAATCAATATAAATTTTTATTTAATAATAAATATAATAATGGTCAGATAAATAAATCTGTTATAAATTATTTTAATAGCAACAATCAAATCAATTATATTCACTCAAGATTTAATAATTACAATATAATAATAACAAGACAATACTCTACAAAAACTCATAAACTATTGAAAATGGCAGATCAGCAGAATAGTAATAATAATAACAATACAACAGCAGCAGCAGCAGCAGCACCACAAAAGAGAGACTCTGTAACTCTTGGCGATCGAATGAAACAATATGAAGTATCGATGAATACACTTCATATCACGGATAACACTCCGTTCATCATTCGTCTCGATGGTCACGGTTTTAGCAAGTTCACAAAGAACTTTGTGAAGCCATGGGACATTCGTGTGCACAATGCAATGGTTGAGACTGCAACGGTTTTGATGAAAGAGTTCAATCCGACATTGGTCTATACGTTCAGTGATGAGATTACTCTCTGTTTCTCTTCGTTGCCCGACCAAGAATACCAAGAGCGTCTCATTGCCACACAGTCACAGTCACTGCTTCCCTACAACGGTAAGGTTCAGAAGCTAATCACTCTTGCCGCTGGTATTGCATCGACCACCTTCTACAAGGTAATCACCTCGCAGACCTACGACTCTGCTACCGAGCCAAAGCTGACTCAATACCTCGCCGAAAGTCTTCCACATTTCGACGCAAGAATCTTTACACTACCAGATAATCAAGAGATTATTGTATGTATTATATAACTTTAGTTAATGAATGATGAATGATTAATAATAATTACAAACATAAACTAAACTAACGAATGATTTGTTATTGTTTTTTGTTTTTAGAATAATTTGGTTTGGAGAAGTGTAATCGATTGTAAGAGAAACTCGATCTCTGGATTGGCACAGGCACACTTCCCACACAAGCAGATTCAAGGTAAAGGTGGAAAGGAGATGAAATCTATGCTGTTGGCAAAGGGTATCGATTACTACAAGGAACCAATGTGGTACAGATTCGGTGTATTCCTCAAGAAGCAGTATTATACGTTGGATTCAGTATCACCTGTAAATAATCAATCGGTTCAATCGATCAGATCCAAAATCAGAAGAGATTCGTTCAACATTCAGCACTTCCCCAATGCACTCGACTACCTTACTATCAAAACATTACCAGAGAACTTTGATGATTCGAAATTAACATAAAAATAATAATAATAATAATAATAATAATAATATTAATAATAATAATAGTAATAATATTAACAATTATATAGTTAAATAGATATATAGATAGATAGATAGATTGATTGATTCAAATCAAATCAAATCAAAATAAATTATATTTATTCTAATAATAACTAAATATATTCATTCATTCATTTATTTATTAATAATAATAGTTTTTTTTTTTTATTGTTTAATGTTTTATTTGATTAATCTTGTTGTTGTTTAGCTAGCTATTAAATATATATATATTAATATAACAACTTTATTATAATTATTTGTTATAATCGACTCTATCTTTAACCATTGTTTCTTTGAATATTATATAATAATAATTGTTTTTTTTATGTGTTGGTTGAGAATTTATGACTATAGATATAATTGATAATATTAGAATTTATGTTTACAATATACTTTTTTAAAAGGGTTCATTATGATACTTACGAACACTTTTGACATTCATAGAAAATGGTTTGACCTTCATCTGCAGATCTTGTTTGAGCAGTCTTAAAGTACATCTTTGTATGTCCGCAGGATGGACACAACTCATCGATTTCGGCACCACGATCTTCCTCTTCATCTTCAACCTTTTGTGGTTTAATAAATAATGTGCTCTTTGATGTAATAATCTTTTTACCCAAAACTATAAATATAATTATTCGATACATATGATTAGTAATCATCATTATTATTATTAATCATTGTATAAATAAGTTAACTAATACATACTTGACTTGTCAGCACGGAATTTACATGTTGTGCATTTAATTTGCTTTCCGAATGGCTCGAGATATTGCAATAGCGAGTTACACTCTGGACAGAAATCTGCTTTCATATCCTTGGCCAAAGATTTCCATATTGTGTTACTTTGTTGTTCAGTTTGTTTGTTTGATGATGATGATGATGTAGTAGTTGTTGTGGTGGTTGTTGTTGTTGCTGTAGATTTCGATTTTTTCTTTTTCTTTTCATTTTCTTCGTTGGCGGCATCTCTCTTTTTCTTCTTTGACGACGACTTCTTCCCTTGTTGCTCACTGCTGTCACTGTCTACATCACTCTTTTCGCTACTGCTATTCTCTTGTTGTTCTTCTTCATCGTCATCGTCACTGTCGGATGTCTTTTTACTCTTCTTTTCTTTATTCTTTTTGCTCTTCTTTTTCTTTTCTTGTTTGTCTTGCTTTTCTTCTTCCTCTTCCTCTTCTTCGCTACTCTCTTCTTTCTTACTCTTCTTGCTACTCTTCTTTTCCTTCTTTTTGTCTTTGTTTTTCTTTTCTTTCTTTCTTGATGATGATTTCTTGTCGGTGTCAGACGATTCACTGTGAGTGGATTCATCATCTACCGACATCTTATCGCTCTCATCTTCATCGTTCTTCACTACCTTATTCTTTTTAGTTTTGGTGTCTTCGACTACCTTTTTTGATTTTACTTCTTTATCATTTGCCATTTTAATTTAATATATTATTAATTATTATTGATCAAACAATATAAGTGTTGTGCTCAACTCCAAACAAATAATAATGTAATATTGATTAATCAATCGACTCGTTTTTTTTTGAAAATTGAATTATTTTTATTTTTTTTAAATTTAAAAAAAAAATAGATTTTTTTTTTTCGATCAATGGTGATTAATGAAGTATCTAATTTGCAAAAGAGTTGCTCGAGGATAGGAATGATTATTAATTGTATGATTGACTTGGTGCAGATGATTGTAGTTATCGGTACTTTGGACAAAGTTGGTGGTGAATTGTTGTTGGAGTGGATCCCGATATAGATCTTAATATTGTGTGATTGTTGATGTTGAATCGTATCATATGAAATTATATAGTTTGATTTAAAAATTGTTGCAATGTAGAGGCTGATGATTGGTAAACAGTCCACGAAAGCAATGACTCAATGCACCTGTACCAAAGCAAATATAGATGCGTTGTAACATGGATATTAATATTTTTTATATAAATTCTTTGAAGAAAAGCAAATGTCATTCCACTACCACTAATCCAACAACATCATCATCAACCTCAACTTTATGAAACATTCGGGAAAATGAGTGGGTTTGGAGGTGTTGATGAATTATTAGTTTCTCTTTACTATGCCGGTTTCCTCTCGTTGCAATGCCAGTTGCTTCTCGTTACTATGCCGGTTGCTTCTCGTTGCTATGCCGGTTTCCTCTCGTCGTTATGCTGGTTGCCTTTTGTGTATACAACAACTAATAATAATCAAAGCTAAAGACATAATTTAATAAAATTTAAATATTTGATATTATTTTTTTTTTATTTTTTGCTGAGTTATTTAATGTTATCGAGTTGAGAAAAAACAGTATGTAAAGTTGATCCTAGGTGGTCTTCAGGTTGGGAGTTGATGTAATCCAGCACCAAAAAGATGACATCTTGTTTCAAAGAATTTCTTTGGAATACAAATATTAAGTTTTGCACACAATTCAGTCAGAACTGGAACTGTGTACTTCTTGATCTGGTTATCCAATGAATCATCTTGCACTTTTTGTTTCTTGCGTAGGGTTTCCATTAAAGAGAATTTCTTGACGTATGGGGATTCCTTGGTATTTGGGTACTGGACAACATATCGTAAAAACTTGTATAGGCTGAGTGGGCACAGAGATTGATTATCATATACATGTGATATAATCTAGTAAGGGATAATATGTCTTCGCAACTGGTATGTCTCATGGCTGGATTATCCATTGGAATAGAAAAATCATCATTCTTAAGAAACAACCAGCACCACTCGCCTAGTATATTGACAACTTTTGTGAGCAAAAAATATCTAATCTAATATCACTGCATAATCTGTATTTATTTAATAATTGTTGGTTAGTATTTAGGTACAATATTGTAGTTTAGTTTACTACTATTCAATATAAATCTTTTGTATATTATAATAACTTACAACACTTATAACACTTGACTAAGCTTAAATTGGAATTGAATCTAATTCATTACTTTCTTAAAATAATTTATTAATATTCTTAATAAAAAAACAAGATAAATCAATATAGTGGTGATCTAGATTAAGTTAATATAAAAATCTACATCAGTCGACAGTTTCAATATTATAAATTACAAGATCACCAACTCAACACCAACAATTGGGTCATATATGTAGAGTGTAAAACATATCTTGAGAAGTAGCTAGCTACTTCCAATGTATTTGTTTTATAAGATAAAGTTTATATTGATTTATCTTGTTTTTAATTAAGAATATTAATAAATTATTTTAAGAAAGTTTCTTTAATGATGATTTAATAATGATTAATTTAAACTGTTTGCTTTGTTTGGTATTATAAAATTGAATATATATTGATTGATAAATTTAATAAAAGATTTTAGATTTTATTTAATAGTAATTTAATCTGTATATATTTGAATGGATACACTACGTGACATGTTATATATATAATATCAAAAAAAAAGAACCAACAAGGCTGAGGTCGCTCTTTTATTTAAAAATTGATAACTATGATTGGAGTAAGGAATAATGGAATTCCAACCGATCAAATAATATCATATTAATATATAAAAGACTAATTCAGTGAACACATTCGATCAAGAAACAGCTAAATAGCACTCAAATACCATTATATGCGTCAACTAGCAAGTTTCATACAATCTACTAGGTACTGAAAGACAATACACCGAAGTGCTAGTCTCAGCAGCCGGAGGCTTAAGTGTCAAGCACTTTGTGACGCCCCTGTTCCAAAATAATAAAAATTAAAAAGGCCCTCTATCCTATCTAATAAATAGTAGGTCAAGTCTATGGCGCTTTTATTTTTGATAATATAAAACAACACAAACAAAAAATATAAAAAGAACACTAAAATAAATCAAATAAATAGTTTTTAAAAAACTCAAAAAATAAAAGGTTTCTTTGTGAATAAAAAAAAAAAACTATTTAGTTAAAAACAAAAAAAACCTTCTTTGCAGATTTCTCAATTTTTTATAAAAATAAAATCAATTCAAATATATTGTGTGGGGATAAATTGAATTTGATTTTATATTCTTCACATTTTTATTATTTCTTTTTTTGTTTGGTTTTGAAAGAGGAGTGTGTGAACCAACAAACTGACATACAACACAGACAGAGCAGCTGCTTTCAATTTAAACATTTTTGCTTTCAAATCATACAAATAAAGTATAAATACACATATCAATACTTCAAGTGTACATTGTAAATCTTAATTATTTTTAATTATTATTTATAATAATTTTAAAAATATCAAACCAAACTATTTTTATTCTTTTTTTTTATATCTACAATATAATATTATTAAAATATAAATATAAATAAAAATAGAATAAATTAATAATTACTTATTAAAAAAAGATTAGATTAGATTCAAAATATATATATATTTGTAGTTAGTTAGCTAGAATTTTAAGATTGTATATTATTATTATTGGTGTATATTTAATGTAGAAAAAGGAAAGAAAATGAGTAATCCTGTAAAAGTAGATTCAAAGAGAATAGATCTGTTGATGAATCCGAATGGTTTGCAATCTGGACATCGATTGCAAGAACAACAACAGAATATAGTTAGATCAAATAATCAACAACATCAACAACAGCAACAGCAATCTATGTCATCACCAAAGAAACCTAGATCTAAAGAAACATTGGATGTTTTTGGTGATATAGATGAAGGTTTCTTAAGAAAACCAACACCAATCTCAAGACAACAACAACAGCAACAACCAGCACCTTCCTCTTCATCTTCTAAATCACATGTATATTCAAAGCAATCTGAACAATTATTAAAACAACAACAACAACCACCACCTTCATCAAATAATAATAAATCACAATTATTACCTGTAAAGCAATACCAACAAACCAATTTAACAAATGAATCAAAAGAACAACGTAAATCAAATATTTCACCAAATCCACAACAACAACATGCACAAAAACCATCATCGACTAACCATAAGATGACGGTATTTAAAGATTTAGATTTCTCAACGTTTGATGAGGAGTACAACAATGAAAAGGGTACCTATAAATTCGATGACGACTTTAGTGATAGCAGCTCTCAAGATCCAACGCCACCAACCAAGAAAAAGTCATCATCATCTAAAAAATCTTCTTCTTCTTCATCTTCTTTTGTAGACGATGATGATTTTGTCGAATTATCATTAAATGATGTAACTATTCTTTTTAATATAAACTATCCAAATGTTTCTTTCCTAACGTTTTATTTTTAAACTTAAATAGTTGGAAATAGGTGGAAAACAATATTGTATACCATTTTATCAGGCACCTGAGATGTGTAGTAATGAAGTTAGAAATTGGTTAGATAAACAATGGTTCTTACCATCAAATAAGAAAGATATAATGTAAGTTTAAACATTCTTTCTTTCTTCTCATGTTTTGTTAATATTATTAATTCTTTTTTTTATTTAAATTAACATTTATTGTAACAGATGGTCACCGCAAAATAGATTTTATTATCCAGTATATGTTTTCACTGTGAGCGCAACCATAAGTTTCAGTGCATCTTATGTGGTACCGGAACAGGGTGTACAAACTATATCAGAGACAAACACACAGGTCTACGATGAGATCATAGCTTGTGCATCAAGTTCTGTTGACATAAATTTAGTGGAGAAATTAATATTTGGTAAGTTTTGTAATACTATCTAAGAAATATAATATATATATATATCCAACGAAAACTAACCAACCATACTATTTTAAAGATAACTGCTTTTCACACAGAACACCTTATTTTTTGCCGGCCAAAGACGATTTAGAAAAATGCTCAGGCAAACTCACAGAGAAAATGCTTGCAATAGATATTTCGAGAAATGACATTTGGGAAGATGTAAGAAACTATCATTTATATATCCTTACTGAATACTAATATAGCAAATAACAATACATACTTTTTATAATAATATTCTAGAAGATACTTTCATTCATTGAGAAAACAGAGAGAAGAAGATGTCAAGAATATATACAAAAGAAACATAAAATAACCAATTTCAAATTGGAACTAGCCGAACCAAAGATAGTTAAGGAATCAATGATAGTGGTCTATCTACCGATTTCAGCAGAGAACTTCCAGCTTGGTGGTAAATTCTATGATACCCTCACAAGTGGAAATATAGGTCAAACTGTTGGACGATCACCAACCGGAACAGGTATAAATACTTTTTAAAACAATAATATTAAAATTGTAAAACAACTAACAACCAACAAATAACAAATATAACAAAACTTAAAAATAGGTATTGTAGGTGAAACTGTATTCGGAATGGTATCTAAAGTATCCAACCTGGTTAACGATTCAATTGGAATGTAAATGTTAAAAAAAAAAAACAAAACTATTATTTATCTATATATATTTCTATTTATATTTATTTATATTTATAATCACATTTATTTAATTGATATATTAATTATTATGATGATGATCTAATTCAAAATTGTACACATTACAAATATTTTAGAAATCCAAAGTAACAAATCATATAAATAACTATATAATTAAAACTTCCATACAATCCATCCATTTTCATTTACCATTTATCTCTCCCCATCGTTTATCTTCCTCAAATTCAACATTAAAACGCCAAACGATGTTAATATTGTACATTCATTTTTAATCATCCTCACTTTAATATTTCAATCACCATTATTACAAATAAAATAAGAAAACTAAAGAACCAGTTTTTGACTATACATCAAAAAAAAAACTAATACAGCAACAATTACACTGGTGTAACACTGTTTAGTTTTTTTTTTTTTTTTTTCTTATTTATTTTTTTAATTACTATATTAATCGCCTATCGCATGGTTTAATAACAATCTTTAATAAAATATAACAAAAAAAGGTATCCATTTAGCTGTACATCATTAAAATATTAAGATAGATAACTTGGTGCTGTTGGGATGAAAATTCGGTCGATCGTTGTTTTGTAAAAATGTTGTCAACTGGTTGGTCAGGTAAGAAAGAAGATTGCTAAATTTACATTTGCTTTGGTTGGTGTGGAGGTGTTGGGTTGTTCGATGGCTGTTGTTGTTGTTGTTGCTGTTGATTGGCCATTGGTTTCATCTTTCCTGGCATCGTTGGTATTTGTCCTTGTTTTGAGAGCACATTTTTAATGTTGGGGTCATCTTTAGCGATTGGATTCGCACTCAAATTTGGATTTTCAACAAAAGTAAATGTAAATCTAATTGTAATATCAATAATTCATTAATAAATGATAATTTATCGCTATTATTATTATTAATGTTACATACTCTCCGATTCTTTCAATAACTCCACTCTTTCCAACATATAAAAATAATGATTCATGAAAAATCGATGCATATCCACCTCGTAATCTCAGAATATCACCGGGTTGAACCTGTTCACCATAGACATCAAACAATGTCATATTGATGCTAGCAGAGCCATCAGCAACCAATACCTGATATAAAAGTAAATCTTTCTTTTTTATAGGTGGCACTACAATAATATGTAATTTGATATTATAATAATTAGTTAACAATAACATTCATTTTTTTTGTAGTTTTGCAGAGTTACTTACTTTTCTCTAAAACAATAAAAATAGTATTTATATTCTTTGCATAAGGTTTGATATCTAGTATCTTTGTGTATACTGTCGAACCTTGTTGTGATTGCTGCAGTTGTTGCTGACCTGTAGTAGGTTGTTGCTGTGGTTGCTGCTGCTGCTGTGATTGAGGTGGTTGTTGTTGTTGAGGTAGTATTTGATTAGTTACATTATTTCCACTTTGATTAAAACTCATTTTGAATGTATATATAAAATGACAATCAATTAATTACATTGAACACTCTTTAATTTAATCAATCACTTTAAAAAAAAAAAAAAAAAAAGGTAAAAAAATTTTTTTGAAAAAAATTACTTCTGATTTGGTGTGATTCGGTTTCACAACTTTTTGATCAATCAGATCATATTACTATCAATTTCTATATTATACTTTACATAACATAAATATAAATATAAAAATGATTAGATTCACTAAACAATTGGTCAATGTATTCAACAATGTTAAATCTAAACCAAACCCAATAGTTGTATGTTTTATTAGAACAGAATTAGAGTTAGATTATACACAATATATAGAATGAATGAAGAATGATATTAATATATAGATATTATAATAATATAATATAATGATGATTCCTCACTACGTTTAGGTATTTGGTGTTGGTAACTATGGTACAATTTCAAGTCGTAACAGTGTTGGTGCAAGAACAGTAGATTATTTGGCTAAAAACTTAAAGATGGATTGGATCGATTTCCAAGATTGCAGCACAAAGATTACATATTCACCAGAGAATCATTTGTTGTTGGTGAAACCAGACACCTATTTAGTTAAAGATAATCACGAGGTTCTCAGCAGATTGATTCGTTTGATGCCAAACATCAAGGCTGACAACTTCTTGGCGATTCACTACGAGCATCTCTTCAAGTTGGGTGTGGTCGAGCGTACCCACGGTGGTCGTACTAAGCACAACCCAGGTTTGGCAGGTCTCACCAACGTCTTCCAAACGGAACACTACTATCGTGTCTCGATGGGAATCAACCATCCATTGAACGACGTCACCTTTGAACACACAATCTACTCGATGGGATCGGTCTATGGTGATCTCCAAACACCGTTCCTCTTGAATCGTTTCCCAGATGTACAATTAGAGTTGGTCGATCGTGTAGTCGTACCGTACGCCGCTAACGAAGTACTCACCGCAGTACTCGAGATGAAACAAGCAATCACCGAATCAGAATCTGCCAACCCTGAAAATCTTGTATATAGTGGTCAATGGAAATCACCTCGTATCGATACAAAGAACATCGATCTAGCTAAATAAACATAATATAACATTAAATAAATAATAAATAATAATAATAACAAAACTTTTAACTAACTAATTAAAGAAATACAAGACTATATTTATATATATTTCATTTTTTTTAAAAAAAAAATAATAACTTTATCTTGTTATGTTTATATGTTTATTTATTTACATTGAGTATGTATTACCAACAAAGAATGAAACTTTATATATCTTAATAGATAATATGACTATCATTGAGATATATTTATATTTATATTTAAATCACTTTCATGTAATCTTTATGAGTTACTTATATATATATATAGGTTGTATATTTATCGCTTCTTATTTAGATCTGATTTTGTTTCGTCAAATAATGCGTAACCATCTGATTGTACAACTCTCTCTTTCTTTGCGACATCGAATCCCTCTTGAGTTCGTCTTGCTTCCTCCAAACGTTTAGTTTTATCAGTCATGTACTCTTTACGAGATACGTACAAAGCACCCATTCCAGCGCATGTTAAGGCAACACTATTCGATTAATATTAATTAGTTAACTTGTATTCTAGTGTTATTCGTAAGATTAGTCATATCTTTACTTACAAACCCCATACAACAGAAGAAGGTGTATTCATTTTTACGATATGATTTAAAAAAATGATATGCAAAAAATCGATTTAAAAAATTTTATTTAGTAACGGTCGTTTCATGTCAATTACTCATTTTATTAAGCAGTGAAAGCCGAGTTTGTTAACAACTCAAGATAAAAATATGTTGTATAATTTATAAATCTATTATTAAAGTAGAATATAAAAGTAAAAAAAATAAAAGTTTAATAATAAATAAAAAAAAAAAATACAAAAAAAATATAATATTATTAATTTAATAATAATAAACTATTAATTATAATAAAATAAAAGGTCTTTCCTTATTACAACTCAGTTTATCTGTTTGTTGTATGAAGAGGAAAAGAATCGAATGACTGCGAATTTAATCAATTAATAACAATTGTTTTGGAAATTAAAATAAAATTTAAAAAAAAATTAATTTTTTTGTTTTTTTTTTTGAAAATCAATTCACCAATATCACAAAAGTGCGGGTAATTTTAATTTATTTAATTATTTTTTTCATTATTTTTTTTTAATTTTTTTTTCTCCATTTTGAAAAACAACAACGTCAAAAAGGTATTGTGAGGATGAATTTTTTTCATTTGTTGTGGTTGTGTTCAGGTGAGTGGATTAAAAGACAGCCAACTATAAATAATAAAATATATATTATTCTATTAATTAATAAAATAATATAAATTAATCTTTAATAATGAGACAAACAAACAAAGAGAAAAATAGTTTTTAAAAAAATAAACTATACTACTATTATTATTTATATATTTGTATATTGTTTTTGTTTAATTTAGTTTAGTTTTGTGTTTGATTTTGTGTAATTTAATACTAGTGTTTGTTTGTTTGTTGCAACAATTAAACAAACATTAAAATCTATTGTTTGTGAGGAGTAGCAATTAGATAATAATATAAGTTTTGTAGTACAAAAGATAAATAATATAATCGATCAAAAAGACGACATTACAATTACATTCTTTAAAGATCAATACAACTTCTACTATTTTTTTTTACTACAAAACTATAATACTATATTACTATATTGCTATATTACTTACTCTATTTCTAACTTTTGTTTATTTTTTTTTTGCACGTCAAAACACCAAACCACATAAAATATTTATTCAACCAACAAATAATAATAACAACACATTTTTTTTTTGAAAAAAACAAAAAAAATAAAATAAAAAAAAATTCACAACAAAAAACCCCACAAAAGATAATTAAATAATTAATAATTTAATAAATAAACAAACAAATAATCTAGATTAAATGTATCAATATTACATTCTAAACAAAGATATTATAATAAGTTAAAAATAAATATTAAATAAAGAAATACTAAAAAAATATATAAATATTTTTTTGAAAAAAAAAAAAAAATAGAAAAAAAATATTAAAATGTGAATTCTTTCTTTATTTTTGCGTTTCATTATTTATTCACAGCAGCAGTTGATTCTCTATTCTTCCTTCTTTCTATCTATTATCTATGCTGTTTTAAAATAGTTGGTCAGAGGAAGGAAGAACATAAATTGTACTAATACTTTACTTTACTTTACTTGATTATAGGTGTTTGATCAATCATAGGATAACATTAATAACTTCACCAAACAACAACGTCCGACTTTAAATACAACAAAATCACCAAACAACAACAACAAATCAATCATATTTATAAAAGGATTGTTTTTTTTATTTATATTTGTCATAATAATTATATATATTCACCATTTCAATTTTAATAATTAGTTTTGTTATTATTAGTAACATTATATCTTTTCAACTCCATTGTATCAAAAACCAGTTTATCTTTAATATCATAGGTTAATCATAAACTAGTAGAACTAGGAAGATCAATATATTTTGTTTTATATTTCATCATATAGTTAATCACACATCACATCACACATCACACTTCACCTTCACCTTCAACTTCAAACTTTTTTTTTAAATCTAAAAAAAGAAAAACAAAAAAGAAAGAAAACTAAAAACTAAAAATAAAAAAAAAAAACTTTTAAAAAAAGAAAATTAAAAACAATTGTTATCTTTTTGTTTTTAATATAATATATCTTTTCCGATTTACATCTATATATATTTCTTCAAATATAATAGTTTACACACCCACTATCACACACACACTACACACTTTTCATCAAATATTGTTTTTTAAATATTTTATATAAATAAATAAAGTCATGGCTTCGGTACAACATTCTACTGCTGAAGTGAGAAAGGTAAAGAGAGTACAATTCGGTATTCTGAGTCCTGAAGATATTGTAAGTATTTAAAAATAGAGAGATTGACACAATGATTAGCAATTTGAAGTTCATTGTTATTGATGTTGTTGATGATGATCTTATCATTATATAGAGAGATATGTCTGTGGCATTGGTTGAACACCCAGAAACCTATGAAAATGGAAAACCAAAAATTGGAGGTTTAGTTGATCCACACATGGGTACCATCGATAAAACACAAAAGTGTGCAACCTGCTCTGGAACGATGGCTGAATGTCCCGGACATTTCGGTCATATCGAGCTTGCCAAACCAGTATTTCACATTGGATTTATCAATACAGTACTAAAGATCCTAAAATGCGTTTGTTACCATTGTTCCAAACTATTAGTAGATACTGTAAATATCAAAAATCTAGTTCATCATCGATTCATTCATTCATTTTATAACTAACAATGGTATTATTTATAGGATGATATACACTTTAGACAGGCATTGAAAATTAAAAACCCAAAAAGAAGATTGAATGCAGTTGTCGATATTTGTAAGAATAAAAAAGTATGTGCAGTTGCCAAGGGCAACCAGGAGGATCAGGTAGATGATCTCTCAAAGACAGACGAAGAGTTGGATAGAAAGCCAAAGGCAGATGGTTGCGGTAATGTGCTGCCAAAGATCACAAAGGAGGAATTAAAGTTTGTAGTCGAATTTAAAGATGTACAGGACGACACTGTCGAGAAGAAGTCGGTGTTGTCAGCAGAAAGAGTTCACAGTATATTAAAGAGAATCCGTGATGACGATGCTCGTGCTATGGGTTTGAATCCCGAGTGGGCACGTCCCGATTGGATGGTGATCACCGTGTTGCCGGTCCCACCACCACCAGTGCGTCCATCGATTATGATGGATACTGCCTCGAGAGGTGAGGACGATTTGACTCACAAGTTGGCCGATATTGTCAAGGCGAATCGTGAGCTCAGAAAGCAAGAGAAGAACGGTGCACCAGCACACATCATCACAGAGGCAACTCAATTCCTGCAGTTCCACGTTGCCACCTACGTCGACAATGAGATTCCAGGTTTGCCTCAGGCTCAACAACGTTCCGGTAGACCACTCAAGTCGATCCGTCAGCGTTTAAAGGGAAAGGAAGGTCGTATCAGAGGAAATCTGATGGGTAAGCGTGTTGACTTCTCAGCAAGAACAGTCATTACTGCCGATCCCAATCTTTCTATTGATCAAGTCGGTGTGCCACGTTCGATCGCACTCAATTTGACCTACCCAGAAACGGTGACACCATTCAATATCGACCGTATGAGAGAGTTAATTCGTAACGGTCCAAACGAGCATCCCGGTGCCAAATATATTATTCGTGAAGACGGAACTCGTTTCGATCTTCGTTTTGTAAAGAAGATTACCGATACTCATTTGGAGTGTGGTTACAAGGTAGAGCGTCATATTCAAGACGGTGATGTCGTCATTTTCAATCGTCAGCCATCACTTCACAAAATGTCTATGATGGGTCACAGAATCAAGGTCATGCCTTATTCTACTTTCCGTCTCAATCTCTCTGTAACATCGCCATACAATGCAGATTTCGACGGTGACGAAATGAATCTTCACGTACCTCAATCGCTTGAGACAAGAGCTGAAATCATAGAGATTATGATGGTACCACGTCAGATCGTTTCACCACAATCGAATCGTCCAGTCATGGGTATCGTACAGGACACATTGCTCGGTAGCATGAAGTTCACCAAGAGAGACACCTTCGTTGAGAGAGATCTAATGATGAACATTCTCATGTGGTTGCCATCGTGGGACGGTAAAATCCCACCACCCGCCATCTGGAAGCCAAAGAAGCTCTGGACCGGTAAGCAACTGTTCTCGTTGATCATTCCAAACATCAATCTTCAGCGTTTCGGTTCGACTCACAGCGACAAAGAAAAGGAGAAATCAGAGATGGCTGCAGACACTGTCGTCATCATTGACCAGGGAGAACTTCTCACCGGTATCCTCTGTAAGAGATCTCTTGGTGCGGCCAACGGATCGATTATTCACGTAGTTATGAATGAGCACGGTCACGATTCGTGTCGTCTCTTCATCGATCAGACACAGACAGTGGTCAACCATTGGTTGATTAACCACGGTTTCACCGTAGGTATTGGTGATACTATTGCCGATGCTGCTACCATGAGCAAGGTAACAAGTGCCATCGCCAACGCCAAAACACAGGTAAAGGAGCTCATCATCAAGGCACAGAGCAACCAGTTTGAATGTCAGCCCGGTCGTTCTATGCTAGAGTCTTTCGAGAAGGAAGTCAATCGTGTGCTCAACACAGCAAGAGACGATGCCGGTACCAGCGCACAACGTTCCCTCCAGGAATCCAACAATGTAAAGGCAATGGTAAACGCAGGTTCCAAAGGTTCTTTCATTAATATTTCACAGATGATGGCCTGTGTAGGTCAACAGAACGTAGAAGGTAAACGTGTCCCATTCGGTTTCCAAAACAGAACACTTCCACATTTCACCAAAGACGATTACGGTCCCGAGAGTCGTGGTTTCGTAGAGAATTCATATCTTCGTGGTTTGACACCACAAGAGTTCTTCTTCCACGCTATGGGTGGTCGTGAAGGTCTTATCGATACTGCCGTAAAGACTTCGGAAACCGGTTATATCCAGCGTCGTCTCGTCAAGGCTATGGAGGACGTCAGTGTCAAGTATGATGCCACCGTTAGAAATTCACTCGGTGATGTCATCCAATTTGCCTACGGTGAGGACGGTCTTGACAGTTGTTTCGTTGAGAATCAAATGTTTGATTCACTCAAGCGTGACAATCAAGATTTCATCAAACTCTACAAGCATCAGATCGACCGTTCCGACTATGGTGACGGTTGGATCAATCCACTGATCATCGAGGAGATTCGTAACGATTCTACCATTCGTGAGACACTGGACCGTGAGTTCAAGCGTATCGAATTCGACAGAAATCTGCTACGTACTGAAATTATTCCAACCGGTGAAGCTTCATGGCCACTCCCGGTCAACTTGCGTCGTATGATCATCAATGCTCACAAGCAATTCGGTATCGATCATCGTACTATAAGTGATCTCAATCCGGCACACGTTGTCAACAGCATCGAAGGTTTGATTTCACGTCTAAAGATTATTGCACAGATTGATGCCAGTGAAGAGGATACCATATACAGTCAAGCGTGGAGCGAGACTCATCAGAATGCTACTCTACTCTTTAGTATCCTGTTGAGATCGACACTCTCATCGAAGCGTGTACTCGAAGAGTTTAGACTCAACGAGAAGGCTTTCAACTGGATGGTCGGTGAAGTCGAGAGCAAGTTCCTCCTCTCTATCGTAAATCCAGGTGAGATGGTAGGTGCACTTGCTGCGCAATCCATTGGTGAGCCCGCCACACAGATGACTTTGAACACTTTCCATTATGCTGGTGTGTCTTCAAAGAACGTAACTCTTGGTGTACCACGTCTCAAGGAAATTATCAATATCGCTAAAACTGTAAAAACTCCATCACTCACTATCTACTTGCAACCGGATGCCGCCAAAGACTCTGAAAAGGCCAAGTCAGTTCAATGCCAGCTCGAATACACTACGATGGCAACGGTTACTGCCGCCACAGAGATCTACTATGACCCAGATCCACAACAGACATTGGTCAAAGAGGACGAGGAGTTTGTCAGTCGTTACTTACTCTTGCCAGACGACGATACCAAAGCCGATGATGTCTTGTCACCATGGGTGTTACGTATCGAGTTGGACCGTGAGATGGTTACTGACAAGAAACTCTCGCTGTCCGACATCACCCAGTGTATCAAGCGTGATTTCGGTAGACTCAACTGTATTTTCAGTGATGATAACGCAGACAAACTGATCATTCGTATTCGTACCATCGAGGACAATGACTCCAAGACCGACGGTAACGATGATGACGATACTTTCCTTCGTCGTATCGAAGCCAAGATGCTCAGTGAGATGGTGCTCTGTGGTATTCGTGGAATTAAGAAGGTATTCATGCGTCACGATGACCAAGTCAGAGTCAACGAGAACGGTGCATACTTTAGCAAGAAGGAATGGGTACTCGATACCGACGGTGTCAATCTCCTCGAGGTAATGAGTCATCCAGACGTCGATCACAGCAGAACCGTGTCCAACGATATCATTGAAATCATTCAGGTACTCGGTATTGAGGCGGTGCGTAATGCATTGTTGAAGGAGTTGAGAGCAGTCATTTCTTTCGACGGTTCCTACGTAAACTATCGTCATTTGGCAATTCTCGCTGACGTTATGACCTATCGTGGTCATTTGATGGCCATCTCCAGACACGGTATCAATCGTGTAGAGTCTGGACCATTGATGCGTTGTTCTTTCGAAGAGACCGTAGAAATTCTCATGGATGCCGCCATGTTCTCAGAGACTGACGACGTAAAGGGTGTCACTGAAAACATCATTCTCGGTCAGCTTCCACCACTTGGAACCGGTAGTTTCGAAGTCTATTTGAATCAAGACATGATCAAGAATGCTCACTCGATTGCCATGCCAGAGCCATCGACCATGATGTCACACTATAACGAGCCAGGCAGTCAAACTCCTTCACACGATGGTGGAAGTACTCCATATCATCATCCATTCAGCCCATTGGATGCACCATTCTCACCATTTAACGAACAATATCGTGGAGATTTCTCACCTTCCTATTCTCCTGCTAGAGGTTCATCTTCAGGTGGATTCTCTTATTTCCCAGCTTCACCAAACTACAACGCAAACAGTCCATCGTATTCACCAACATCACCGAGCTATTCACCAACTTCGCCATCATACTCTCCAACCTCACCATCATACTCGCCAACATCTCCAAGTTATTCACCGACTTCCCCATCATACTCACCAACCTCACCGAGCTACTCGCCAACCTCGCCATATTATTCGCCAACTTCGCCAAGTTACTCACCGACCTCACCAAGTTATTCACCAACCTCACCGTCATACTCGCCAACTTCGCCAAGCTACTCACCAACATCACCAAGCTATTCACCAACCTCGCCAAGCTATTCACCGACCTCACCAAGTTACTCACCAACATCGCCAAGTTATTCGCCAACCTCACCATCATACTCTCCAACCTCACCAAGTTATTCACCAACATCACCAAGCTATTCACCAACCTCCCCATCATACTCCCCAACATCTCCATCGTACAGTCCTACCTCTCCATCATATTCACCAACATCCCCATCCTATGCTCCATACAAGAAGAAGTAAAAGCATAAGATATTGGTATCCAGCAATGATCAAAATTGGACTGATTTAAAATCAACACAAGATTTAACAAAAAGAACAAAACATGTAATGAAACAACCTGAATAATTATTATTAAAAAGTAAAAAAATTGGAAAAAATAAAAAATAAAAACTCTTTGTTAAATCTTAAAAAATCATTTGATGTTTCATTTATTTATGTTGCATTTCATTTAAATATGAATAGAGAATTATTATCATCTGTATATGAATGCTTAGAACATCTAAATTTTAGTAATATAACAAAATTAATAAAACAAAAACAAGTAAGTATGATAATATTATTGCTATTATTTAAGCTTTTACTATGTATTCTAACTGATATGTATTTGTATGAATAATATAAAAGGTAACAGATTCAGTTATACCATGGAATAAATTCCTATTACAGATTCAAAATCTCTCGAATTGTGAGAGCATGTATTATAAGCATTCATATCTTTCGAAAACCAATAATATACAGGATCAATATATACAGATATCAAATGATTTAAAGAGTCTATTGAAACCAATTGTTTCAACAGGTACACAGCAACAACAGCAGCTACAGAAACAGAAACAAGATGATGACCCTGAATATTCTTTCTTCACTTCATTACTCCTACAAACATGTATTATAGTACAAGTTAGAATAGATATGATTGGTGTGTAAGTAAATCTATCATCTTGTTAAATATTCTTATCATCACAAGAATTAACAAATGGATATATTCAGATATACATCTTTAGTACTATCAATAAGTCAAACGGATTCAAACTTGGATATGTTGGTAAATTCATTAGATATGATACCTACAATTTATCGTGATAAAATAACACATCCTTTATTACTAGGAATGAAAGCAAATACAAAGTAAGTACAAATATCAGCTGCTGTCTATAAATTGGAATATTTATCAAAGTATCTAATCTATTATATATAGTTATGAAATATCAATCTTAAAGAATTTATTAAAAGTTAGTTTATTGTTATCAAAGCATGTATTCAAAGATTCGATATTGCTATTGTTTCAATCGAGAGTAGATCTCGATAGTTGGAGAGACTTTGATCATAATCAAAGTAGAACGTTCGAACAGAAATCAGGTTCATCCGGTTGGCAATCGAATTCTATTCATCAGTGGCTCTCATTGTTTTACAATGCACTCTTATCACGTTCTACTCTGTACTTTCACTTCCCGCTAAAGACAGTCGAGGAGGAAACAGGTGGATCGATGCTAACATTCCGTGAGGCAACAATGAAGAACAATCCTGACTATGGCACACTGATAGAGTCGTTCTGTCAGAAATCAAACGCCTACTTCTTTGGTATCTTCTACGAGTGCAAAGGAAATCCATACTCAAAGATTGGCTATTGTTTCAACAACGAAGAGAATATACCGACTGGTTTAAGTTCATTTCCACCTATATTTTATATTCCAAGTGTATGTTACATACATCATCATTATTATATATCTATTCTGACTGAATAGTTAATTTACAATTATATTGTTTTTAGGATAAAGCACCAACACAACATTTACCAAATATCATCAGTATTTTATTGGAGAATTCATCTGCCATTGAGAAATCAGGTGAAATATTCTATTATTTAGATAAACAGAAATCAGATATGCTACAGACAACTTCATATCAACATCCACAGAGACATCAACTTGAATCATTAAATGACTACACTTATTTCATGGTTAGAATAGATACTCAACTATTTATCACTGTCATATATAAAGAAATTAAAAAGCAAAAGGATATATTGATAACGGAATTCCTAAAATCAATCGTATCTAATCTACGGAATTCAAGTATATTTAATAGTTTACGAAATAAAAAATCAGATTAATATTGTGAGTCTATTTGTTGTAAAGTTATCAAAATAGACATTCCAGATAATCAATCTTTGAAATCCAAGCTTATGAGTAGAAAGATTAATGATTTCAACAGTTTACATCGAGAATTATATAAATAGACTTTATTCAATATTATTCTCTTTTATGAATTGGTACGAATACCTCAAGTAGTCTAATCTGATCAAAAAGTTATCTTTAATTTCGAAAAAACTATTTTACTTCATTAATATTATAGCTCACACTTAAAATGATTGAAAACAAGATTTTTTCTCCTGCACCAATAGACAACACAATGAAATGAAACATGTTTGTCAGAAAAATTTGACTCGGCTGTCAGAAGCGAAAATTTTCGAAAATTCTTTGATTGCTTTAAAGTTATTCTCAGATGATCTACAACTTTATACTATATTAGCAATGAACAGAATTCCAAGTTTGTCATTAGTACAGCTTAGATATATTAGATCATTATCATCTTCTTCATTGTCATCTATACCATCATTCAACCCTTATAGTTATTATCATTTTTCAAGCACATCTCAAGCACTTTTATATAGTACCTCTAAATCAGACAACAGAGATAATAAAAATAATACACATTATAATAATAATAATAATAGTGTTGATGAAGTAATAATAGATAATAATAACAACAATGATAATAGTAATATAGATAATAATAATAATAATGAAAGAATAACTCATAGAATAACATTAAAGAAAAATATAAATAGTAGTAGTAGTAACAACAATAATAGTGATGATAGTAGTAATAATAATAGTATAAATGAATTGTTATTTCAAACTGTTAAATATGAATTTGATCAAGATAAGATCGATGAAATGAATAATGAGCTGTCGGATATCGATAAGCAGTTGGAGACTCTGATGTTGGTCGATCAGAGTAATAAGCGTTTCGATCGTATCTTGATGAAGAGACTGTTGCGGCGAAAGAATCAACTCTTAGAGAAACTGCATACACCTAAACCACCATCACCTTCAACCAATAAGCTAGCAGCCATTCAAATGCGACAGGATATGTTCATGTCGATGCTACCTATAACTCTGACTGCACCGCAAGACAAAGAGATCGATCAACTATTTCTAAAGTTTAAATATTCACCTAAATTAGCATTACAACAGTATGTATCAGTAGCAGCAGCAGCATAAAGTAAAGAAGTTTGTTAAGTTTAAGACATCTAACAATTGTTATTCATTGATAATGTTATTATTCTCAGATTGAAATCATTACTTGTAGGTACATATAGAGTAATGATGCAACCTGAACAAGTAGAGGATTTCCTGGATAGAATGGCAAGATCAATATACAAGAGTACTGAAGTGCTGAATTTATTGCTTCAATACTATACAAAGAATGATAGATTGGCCAAGATTGTACGTGTAATCGATTGCTATGACTCACAGAACGAAATGAACACTGCAACATTCGAGATATTATACGAATATGCAGAGAACAGAGAGTTTCTAGTATTGAATAGTTATCAAAGATTAGATGTAATACAATATATATTGGAGCGTGTAGTTACATCAAATTCAACAACAAATGATATAGTAGAAGAAGAAGAAAAAGATAATAATAATAGTTGTAAAAGTAATAATAATAAGGATTTAATTCTATTAAATTGGAATCTTAATGATCAACCATTGAAATCACCACTTGGACAATTGATAGTATATAATGAAGTAACTAGAAACAAAGGTGTGCTGGCGTTGCTAGAGACAAAGCTGGAGAGTGTCGATGAGCTGTGCAGGGATATTACGATAAACGACGTCATCGGTCAGTATCTCTCGATACCCGCGTATGACGATGCACTCGCTTGGTACTCGAAGCGTATCGCCAAGTACCGAATGCTACCGAATCATCACACCGTCTACAAGTTCCTGGCGTTCCACACCAGCACCAAAGACTACGGTCTCGATCAGTATTGGATGACAATCAAACGAATGTTTGCAGAGACGTGGCGTGGCACTCTGACTTCGCGACATCTCAGCAAACAGCTGAACCTATCGATGTCGACGACACTGCAGCGTATAACACTGGCGGTCAGAGCAATGAAGAAGATCAACGAGAGACAAGACACCGTTTTGAAGCGTGCTTTGTCGCAGTCAAACACAGTGGAGGTTCGCAAAGTGCTGCTGGAATTCTTCTTTAAGCGTGGCGTATTTCCCAAGAATTCGATGCTTTTGCGAGCGTTGCAATTGTTGTTCAACAACGACCCGGTCGATTACCTCGAGAATATAGTGCCGGCGGCAACAGCAGTCTTCAAACCGTTGGTGTCGACACCACAGGTGTTTAGTACGGTGTTGCAAGACGACCTGGAGCGTGGTATACAACTGGTTAGTCGAGAAGATCCATTGTTATTTACGAACTCACAACAGACTTGGAATGATATCATCATTGGTTTGATAAAGAGAGATGCGCCGTCGGAGCAAACGATAGAGTTGATTTCAAAGCTGTTAAAGTCGATGATGGCGAACGAGTTGTTCATTCAGCCAAACACAATCAAAGCAATTGGGAACTACATGTACAAGATCAACCATTTCGATAAGGACATCAACGATTCTCTGAATGAATATTCAACGAAACACAATCTTCCAACGATCCTGACCAGTCATTTAAATATATCATTACTCGCACAGAAGCGAAGATTCAAAGAGGCACATCAGCAGTTCCAGGTGATGACAGACAAGCGACCACGCACCTATCAGGTGGCGACGGAGCTATTCCTCCAGAAACACTCTTATTCCAAGTTGGTGGCGAGCCGATTGCGATTCATTTGGGTAGAGCCAACACTTGAGGATCTCGAATGGTATCTCGGTATTTCATTGAGCTACAACCAAGTCAATCAATTCACTCTGTCGTTGGTGACAGCTGCACTCGCCAAGGACAGCGGTAACTCGAAAATCGGTCAGTCGATAATCAAACAGTATGTCGCACGAGAGAATCAGGTACTTACAAACGACGGTCAATGGAATGTATTTAGTCGACTCATGAAAGCACTGCCAAATGAGAAGGAACAAATTCAGTTCTTTAAGCACATAAGCCAACATCAATTGAACACATCGGACTTGAAATTAGAACTACCATTTAAACTCAATGAAAACACTCAAGATATCAACGAATTACTCACAGATACAACCACTTCAAATCAAACCAACAACAAAACAACAACACCACCACTTTCACCATCAACTATAAATTATATTACCGACAACTTTATTAACCATAAAGTGATTCATTGTGTTTCAAGTTATATTGGATCATAATTATTTAATAATAATAAAAAAAATGTCACCAAAAAATCATTATTAAAAAATATTTGATTTGTGTGGACCCAATTTGACTCACTACTGTTTTTTTAGCAACTGGTTGCTGTTGTTTCTTGATTCAAAAAAAAAGGCAAAAAAAAAATTGATCTCAACAATCATTTCTTATTTAAATTTACATATAAAAAATATTTATTTATTCTATTCATTTTATTTTTTTATAATCTACATATTATAAGAGGAGGTGAAACTTCATCGAGTCTGATGGTTATATGTAAAGATGGTACTCCAGAATCTAAAAAAGTTAATAAATATTTAAATAGTAAAAAAATGTTTGTTGTTGAACTAAATGTAGATATTAATCAAGTATGTATAAGAATAGATTTTTAACAATTAAAAAAATTAAATTTTAATTTGTATTATTTTTTTTAAAAAAAAATATCAAAAAGGATCAATCTTATGAATTCACTCTTAACGATATTAAAAATGAAGATGGTACAACAACTTCATTGGTATATCCTGTGATTCTAACAATTTCGAAATCTAAGCAGTACAGTAAATCAACTCTAATCTATAGAGGGTCATATTCAGAGGAGAAATATGAGAATGTATTTTACACCAGCGACTATTTACTTTTCAGTAGCTGTAAAGATAGTCCATCCGATCATATATGTCCGACCGTGAGAGACTCCTCTGGTAAGCAGGCAAGGATTCTGTTGTAGTTGTGACCTTGGTAGCTATTTTGGAATGGATCGCGACAGCCGTGCGCTTCTCTCTTGTATTCTCTTTGAAGGTAGATCTTCATCTGCATCGTATATGGCCGAAAGACCACTCCTCTACGATGCCTACTCAATAGAACCACCCATGACCACCTACGATATAATTGTTAATATTACCCAGTTCAACGAGACCAGTGGAGCTACCCAAACTCAGACCTACCGAATGGGAAACGATAACCTGATTATCAACGCCAATGGAATCGTTATCAAATTGGAAGGTGATTTTGCATGGCGTCAAGCCTTGAGAACCTTTGAGAGCAGCATGTTTTTCGTTCTCAAAGAAAAAACAGATCCCAACAACCCAATACACAAATTGCCTTTCGAATTGAAAGCTTTGGTTTTTCCTATATCATTCCTTGGTTCTTCAGGGGAATGTAGTAAGATTGCAACGGGATATGAGGCTTTTCAGAATCAGCCTAATCAGTGTAGTGCACCAATGAACGCATGTCTAGATAACCAAATAAAGAAGTTCAGGGATCAAGATATGGCTTTGTATGCCAAGGGCAAAAAAGGTCAATACCAAATCATCAACTATGGTGCTAGTGCTGACATCTATCGCTATACAGGAAATAAAAATTTGTTCCTTCAGGTCGAGCTAGGTGGCAAACAAACATCAGTTCTCACAAATAAGATCAAAGCTGACAACTTTGCATATGCCTACAAAGAGAGTCCAGCTGTATTTGTTTCGAATCGTCTTGAAACTTTCGAATCAATGTCCACAGATGGAATTCTTTATATTCAAACAAAGAATATTGGAGCGACCAAAGAACAATATGATCTCAATGTTTTGAACTGTACAAATGGTATCACAGTCAACACACCTAGTCAAGTGTTCACCATGAAACCAAACGAAATATTTGAAAGCAAATTCGAAATTAGAACTGTAACTAAATTAGGTGGTATTCAACATTGTTATGCCGATTTAAAGGGTTTTGCTATGGGAACACTGTTTGACTCTATTCTTATTAAATTCAATACTACCGATACGGTCATTATTAAAACTTTTGAATAAACTACGGAAATAATATCAATATCTATTTATGTCCCTATTCAATCAAAAACAAAATTGTATTGAGAAAAAAAAAATTACAAAATTGGTGTAACAAAACAAGTGAAGCGCCTAGATTAACCTGTATTCCTTTTTTAGAATTTCAAAATAAATTAGTATTCTTAAAAAATAATTTAAGTTTACATACACCTTCATATTTTTAATATCTATTTACCACAATAAAAGAAGAAAGTGAACAAAAAATTTGGACAATGGTTTCTTAGAGACAAAATTATAGTGGGTATTCGAAAACTGTGAGACCTAATCTATTTTTATTTCATTTCTTTTAATCTATTTTCAATTCTCTTTGCTTCTTTCCGATTTTTCGATTTCTTTTTCAATAAAACTACAGTAGCCACAGCAACAGCAAAAGCAGCCACTGACAATACAACTACTATGGTAACAATTTTCCAAGTTTCAAATCCCTTCGAACATTCTTTTGATTTCGAATTGGGGTTGATTAAAACTGAGAAATCTGGATCTATGATGATACTATTTCCATAAGGTAAGATCATTCCAATAGTAATTAATGATTCAGTTTTGTTGACAACCTGATTTTGAACAAAAATTGGCCGGTTATCTGATAAACCAAATGGAAGGAATCTACCGTAGAGTGTTTGATCTCCATAAGAGATAGAAAGAAAATTAATATCTGATGCATTGTTTACATTAATTCCAGGTTCTAAGCATTTATCACGGTTGACAACTGCTTTTGTTTCCATCAAGACTCTTATTTGATTCAACCTGTTCTTGAATGACCAATTATTGATTGCGATCATCAATTTCAAACTATTCTCTGGATAAAATGTTGATTGTCCAGCAAATTTAATCAATCTACTATTCTTTGAATATTCAATAGTTGCTTTGATTTGATCTACTTCTGGTGTGGATGATTGTAAATTGTAGGTTGAGATACTCAAAGTATCATTTCCAATTGTTGAATGTATCCATTTATCTGTTCTAATTTCTCTAATGACAGATGTCAATTCATCTATCTCTTGAACTGCGATTATATTGAAAGTAAAATTTAAACCATCTTTGACAATGATAATTGGTGATGGGTTGGTGTTGTTTGGCAAAATAATGATATCTGGATCCAACTTATTATGACAATTGTAACCACCATATCCACTTTTACACTCACATATGCTATTTATACAAATTCCATTTCCATTACAAGTTGAAACAGGATTACACTCTGCTTGATTCTCGTATATTATCGATCCATTTAAACTATTGGCATACACCATAATTGTAATATATTGACTGAAAGGAATGTTTGGAGCTGGAGTACAGATAAGTTGTGTATCATTTAAAGATGTAATATTGCATTTAAATTCAGATATTGTTACTGAAACATTGAAAGGATTAAATCCAAAGTTTGCATTAACTATCAAAACATTGGAGTAAGTGTAAGAAATAATTGTAAAATCTAATATTTTTAAAGAGCATTAATAACAATATTTTGTTTTTTCAAATTTTAAATTTCTTACCTAAAACACTATATAAACCGACTTGAGAAAGAGTGTCTGATATTTTTACCAATTGTGGGGTGGTTGTAGAATAATTTGAGATAATACAATTCAATTCTTTGGTGGAGTTAAAAAAAAGTTCACAACTCCGATTTCCTATTGAAACACTTAAAGGTGCATAAATATTAAACATTCCAAATGATTTTACTAATAAGTCACCTGAACTTAACCTATTCATCAAGATATAATCTGCTTTAACTAGAAAGATAAATATATTAATAAAAATAGTAAAATAATATTTTAAAGATAGAAAATACATACTAGAAAGACCCCAAAAAATATTGAAAGAATAATTATATTTTGTTGAGAAAGAAACTGTGTCTCTTCCATATTCTGTTAATACTCTGTAACTATAAAATTCCATTAGTATTAGCTTAATTCTTTGTATATATAATTTTATAAATCAATATTTACTTAAACCTGTAATTGGGTGTATCTACCAGCATTGTATTGGGGCTTACATTATCTCCATATCCTAAACTCTTTCCAATGAGTTGAATATTTACTTTAAATAAAATTTGAATAATTTAATTTAGTTTTTGTTTTTAGATGAGGGATTTAAAGATTTTCTTACAATTAGAACGAAAAATTAAATATCCAAGCCTATCAAGTGTAATATCTATAATTGATTATTCAAGTTAATTTTTATGATAAATTACTTTAAAAAGTTGGTTATAAGAAATGATACTTACTGCATTTATAGTTTGATGGTGGAGGTGGAGTATTGGAAGGGAGTCTTTGAAATACATCTGGCCAATAACAATAAAAACAATCTGGTACATATCCTGTGTTACTAAGAACTAGATCATATAAATTAAAGTCATTAAGTTGACAATAATTATCAAATAATTGTAGGGTAACATTTTGGGTACCCGTTATAGATATAGAAGTCTTCACACCCTCTATATAACTAAAATCCATACTACCAGATGAATTCGTACTATCCAATGATCTTGAGATATGTAAATAAATATATAAAAATGAATAGATAATAAATCAAAATACTTACAGAGTAAAAGGTCCATTAGTAAACCAAGATGCATCAGGTACATTAGGTACTGAGGTTCTTTCTACTTTCAATGTATCAAGATAACATGTTTTAGAAATAGGTGAATATCCATCAAAAACAAATCTATACTCAATTTATTATTAGCTCTTTAGAAAAAAAGAATATATTTATAATAAAACTTACAATGATTTTAAATAATAAAATATACAATAATCAGTTATTGATAGGTCACACTTTGTTATACTCCTTTGAATTGATATTTATTAGAATATAAAATATTAAAATAATCGGTTGTTAATACATACAAATAATTTAATTTGGGAGCATTAGTTACTTCTAAGTTTATATTGTTTAAAGTCCTATTCAATGTAGAGATTGATAAATAAGAGAATTTTTTAATTTTTTAATTTCTCTTACATATATTCAATTGAATTTGAATTAAGAATAAAATTTGGATTAATGCTCGAACGTACATCAAGACTAAGAGTTAACAATGAAGGGAAATATTGATCAGAAATTTTGAATACACCTCCTACAATGGTAAACTCATCTATAGACTGCAAATCACTATAAGAAGATTCCCTATTAATATGTAACTGTAAACTATTATTAGTTTACTTACCAATATTGAAGTGGTGAATTAATAGGATTGGTAAAATCCACTATCATTCCATATGTTGGAGTGTATTTAATATCATATAATCTTAATTCTGTTAATGTTGACAACGATTTTGTTAAACTAAAGTTACTCTGGACAATAGCTTTTTGAATAAACCTGTTTTTGAAGAATTAAATAAATGGTTAGGACAAATAATATGATAATAAGTTATTTATACTTACAAGGAGACTAAATTAATATATGTAGGAAAACTATTTGAAAATATAAAAGTTTGATCATAGAAATTTAAGGTTTTTAAGTTTACATTATATTGATTGTCAAGTAAAGAAAGTATATTGTAAGATGTATTCTTTTTAGGTCCAACTAATAATTCGAAACTAATTAAATTTGGAAAAATTAAACTATCTCTGTACACTGGCTCCCCAATGTCTATTGAAGATGTTGATGAAATTGTTCTAATGGATTAATATTTCAATAGGTATGTATTAGTGTCTATTGAATTTAATTAAAATTTTATATAAATATTTACATAGTTTGAATAGTTTCTGCTCCATCAACTATATTACATTGTAATCCAGAAGTTGTAATTTCACTACAACTCTTTCCATTTACATTCCAACCTGTTTGATACTAAAATTTAACAAAATTTAGAAAAAATAAAATTCCTTTTTAAAATATTAAATATCAATATATTTACTTGAGTAATCACAAATATGATTGATTCCACTATTAAAAAAATAATTAAAAAAAGTTAACTTTAAAAGATCAAAAAAATAACTAATATTCTTTACATACGTTCATTTTGACTCAGTTCATTTGATTTTACTACTTTTATATTTTTTAAATTTAAAAATATTAAAATGATTAATAAAAAATAGGATTTAATCATTTTTATTATTTGTATATTAATATTTGTTTTTTAAAATTTATAAAAACAATTTTGGTAAAGAACAAAGAATATTATTATTAAATTCAAATTTAATCAATTATAATGGTTTATGTTTAAACAAATATTTATGTGATACTAGATATTTATAAGGTAACAACAACAGAAAAGTGGCCACTTTTCTAGTAAGAATTCAATATAAACGGTCCCACAAGGAACCTGGACTACTTTTTTTTCATATTATTTTTTTGCGCACGATGAGATGAATCAAAAAAAAAGAATTTGTTATGACCCCCCCTTTGATATTTTTTTTGGAGATCGAAGATTTTTTTGAAAAAATCCGAATCCTAGATACTTCTTTCTTTTTTCTAACTTTAATCAAATAGGGGTAACTTTTGGTTATCAAATTTTAGTACTTTTTAAATGAAGATCGGGTGATTTTAGTATAAAATAATAAGATCCATATTAATAACATATTTACTGATCAGTTTTAACAAAAAAATCTAATCAACTTAAAATTATTAAAATATGATTGGTTAATATAATACATATTCCTTTTTTCTTTCAAATTCTTTAAAAATAGGGTTACAGTTACAAAGGTCTATTTATAGTATCTTAGTTATTTTGATGTTTTTCAAATTTTAGTTTTATAGAATTACACTGTAATTGCTAAGGTAATATAGAATATATAACAATTGTTTTTTTGTTAGAAATAAGAATTATTTGTCATATGGTGTTTAATCTCTAGCTATGATAGAGAGTTTGTTGAATAAAATAAATATTAGTCTGCGAAATTTATAAAAATATCCATTAAACATTCAAATATATATTGTTTAAAAGTTTATGTTGACACTCAACAACTGTAAGATCTATTCTATCCTAATACTACTCAACTTAAATCGAGCAGTTATGCACAGATTCAATCTTAACACCATTCTTGAATCCTTACAGCTTTCAGGTGGTCAACGATTCGATTGGACTATTGAAGGACAACATCACTACTCTTGCTTCACTTGTCTTTCATCATATCTTGATTAGTGTAAGAAGGTTCATCTGTGTGATGCTTTTTTTTTTTTTTTTTTTTTTTTGCAAAAAAAGATTTGTTGACTCATGATCAGTCAACAAATTGCAGGTATTGATATTAACCTGCTAGTTCGTGTTTTATATTATATTTACATTCTCACACAGGCCGTGAGAAATATAGCCAATAAAATGTTATTATTATTATTATTATTATTATTATTATTATTATTATTATTATTATTATTATTATTATTATTATTATTATAATTATTATTATTATTATTATTATTATTATAAATTATTAATTAATAAGTTGAGTAGTATTAGGATAGAATAGATCTAACAGTAGTTGCGTGTTGATGAACAACAGTATAAAGTGATCATGTGATGCTTGTGGAGCAGATCATTTTTTTTTTCATAGGATACAATACTTACCGCATGCGTTATAATGATGATTAAAAATTTGGGGCTCCACCGGGAATCGAACCCAGACCACTACCACCCAAAGGTAGTATTGTACCATTCAACTATGGAGCCTCTGGTGAAGTTCATTTTTATAATTTAAAATTATCATTTGTTTCAATCATCATTTTTTGTGCTTCTAATTTTTTTTCAATTTAAATCTTAACAATGATTTCTTATTTGGTCAATCAATCTTCCCGAAAGTAAATTCTTTTAATAATACAAAGATTCACAATAATAACAGTATTGCTAGTGACAACCAAAACTTTTCTTCAAGAATACATGCAGTTTAATATTAAAATATAAATAGTCCGAGAAATGTCATTTAAATTCAATTTTGATGTAGATGTATGATTGTGAATCAGTTTAAATTAATCAAAGAAATAGCTATAACTAATGTTGGAATGTCTTGACTTAAGGAAGAAACAGAGGAAATCAAACAGAAATCGGACGGTCTTGAACAGTCAGATGATACTGTGATAGAGGAAAGAGAAGCAAAGATTATTGATTACAATAGCTCACCTATTTATAATACAGACAATATTGAACATCTATTGAATGAAAATGGTATATTGGTAGAGAATGTGCCGTTCAAACAAGGTGTTCAATTGAAGAAACTTGCAAAACCATTGGTTTCGTTATCTACTAGTAGTGGTAATAATAATAGTACTGGTGGCAACGACAACAATAACAACAACAACAATAATAATAATAATAATAATACTCTCCAGATGTCACAATTAATGGAAAGTGAATCACTAAACAACATGTTGAATTCAAACAAATCGGATTTAATACCGGGTGTATATGAAGGTGGATTCAAGCTATGGGAATGTGCAATCGATCTCGTTAACTATATGATCGAAAAGCAGATATCTCTACAGAATAAACGTGTCTTGGAGATTGGTTGTGGTCATGGATTGCCTGCACTCTACTGTTTGTCGAAAGGTTCAGATGTTACATTACAAGATTACGTATGTACAATCTGCCTCTTATATTCATTGTTTAAATTTAGGTTTAATTAAACTAACCACTTTAATATTTATTTCATTTAACCAAAGAATCAAGAGGTTATAGATACACTCAGTATTCCCAATTTGAAATTGAATAACTTTAAAGGTCAAACAAGATTTATATCTGGTGATTGGAAATATGTTGATGTATGTATATTATTAGTTGGTAAGCAAACTTGTAAGGTACTTAATTTACTAATAACTATCAATTCAACATTTAAAATTCAATAGACTTTATTAAAAGAAGAAAAGTTTGATCTAATTTTAACATCAGATACTATATATAATATAAGTTCATTCAAAAAACTCTATAATTTGATAAAGAATCATTTAGCACCCAATGGAATATGGTAAGTTACAATTGTTGTTAATTCGAATCATTAGAGATTAGTGATGTTCACACCACACCTATGACAATGTTAAAATATTATAATCACCCTGTTATTACCTATATAAACACTAATCTTCTAAATTGACTTTAACAAGTTTGTTAAACTAATTAAATGAAACACATCATCATTTATTTATCTATTAATAATAACAACACACACTAATAATAATAATAAAGAGATAGAATTTACATGATTAAATTGTTACTAACACACAAACACCTTAACACTATTGCTATTTTATACCTATACATATAAATAAATTCTTAAAATATAGTTTATTGGCAGCAAAATCATTCTATTTTGGAGTGGGTGGTAGTGTCTTCCAATTCAAACAGATGGTGGAAAATGAAAACTATTTAAAGGTATATTACTAATGAACAATAACAATATTATTTACATCATTCAACATTCACAACAACAATAACAATAAGAGAGACGAGTAATTCGAAATCAACCACAAACAAACATAGTACTATCAATCCAAATCAATCTGATCACCCCACATCCAATCAAACCACACCAACAAAAGCTAAAAATATATTCTGAATCAGTGGTTAGTGGGTTTTTTATTTTTTTATTGGCAGATTGATTGTTTTTGATATGAAGTTAAATTGATCTATCATTTTCAAACAAATCAAAAAAATCAAAAACGGGAACATGTTTTTGTTAAGTTTGGTTGTTAAAATACACTATCTAAATGAAGGATGGATCAACATCACATCTATTAACAAACACTCAACACGATAGTTTTTATTGAAAAAGATAAAACTTGACATACCTACTTTTCTCATCTTCCAACCAGTTGATCATTAAATTATGTTGTTAGCGATTTAGAAGAGGAGATAGACAACTTTTGTGTGACTTTTTCTTCTTTTTTTTAAAAAAAACAAAAAAATAATACTAGCAGTACTTCTCTTTTATTAGTTTTATTCTTATCGACAAATCAGGAACTAACTTTGCAACTTCTTCTTTATTCTTAAACCAAAATAAAAACTAAAATAACAAAAACAGTTGGAACAATTAGAAAGAATTAGCGATGGTTCATCAAACCTTAGAGAAATAATCGGTCTCCAACTTCCATGATAATCAATCAATCATATTATATCAACAACACATCTAAAACACTCTGATCGGTGTCACCTAACTATCTTCAACAACAACAACAACAATAAATACAAAAATACATAAATCATTCTAAAAGTCTTAAAATTTTTCATTCCCTCCACACTTTCCTTTTTCCATTGTAAACTTGACAGGTTTTATCAACATCCATCATCACCAACAGCAGTAGTAGTAGTAGTAACCAATTATTAGTAATCATTGTTGTTGTCGCTGTATATTGTTACTCTTTCACCTAAATAAGCAATAGGAAAATAGTTAATGTCATCATCATTACCATATCACCAACAACAACACACACTTTTAACAATATATTCATTATTTTTTTTAAAGAGGAGTGTTAAGTTTTTCTTTTAAAATAACAACCCATCATTCTATCTAACATAGTGTTTTACCACACTTGGAATTTCCAACAACAACAATAGCACACACTCACACATTCATACCAAACACTCACTGACTTTTATCCTCCACCTACTATCTCACTCACATTACCTACCTTCTATTACTTTTTAAAATCTACATTACCAGAGATTTTTTTATTATTAAGTTAGCCTCAAGATAATTGCATCGTATTTATTAAAATTATATAATTTATCATACTTCAGTCAAAACAACAACAACAATAAAAACAACATCCAACTACATTAAAACTAAATATTGGTGTGATAATCTACATCCGATTCCCACTAAAGGAGAGAGAGTTACCATAGAATTGAGCACCACTAATTGGATGAAAGTATATTGGAAGTTTTAAATTTACAACAGCAACAGCAACAACCAACTTCATTAGTATCTTCCATTTGCAATTCATTCTATTGAATTTGTTATTTTTGGAATCTTTATAATCTTTGCAACCTATATCCAAAAACAATAAGAGCTTTCAGAGTAGTGATTCTTTCAATTGGTGCAATATCCACTTCCTCTCAGTTTAGTTCTAAACTCCTAAATAACTTCTTTTTTTTCTTTCTATATAATCTTATATGATTTACCAAAGGAAAAAGAAATGCATTTAAAGGGTTCATTCACCTCCATTGTTTCATTTATTATTCCAACATTGCTAAGGAATTGGTTTAGTCATACAAAACAGATAATATCTAAAAAGTTTCAAACCATGCTGCCACTGTGTTACCAACAATTCACTGATCCTAAAAGAAGGATAACTTTATTAAATCCTGTAGTAAGTATAAATATAAACTTTCTTTATTCATATATCCAATAAAGACTTAATTATTAATTCTTTTATTCTTATTTAGTTTTTAGTTTTTACTTTATTTATTTTTTTAGTAGCGGTGTCATTTGCACCATCTTCAAATGTAAATGCATATCCACAATCGAATGCCAATAAAGTTGCATTAAAATTAGCAAATGTAAATATTATTATCTATACACAATTATTTTTACTATATTAACAATTCAATTCAATTAGGCTATAAAGTTTAAAACAATTTCACAAGATGATCCAGATATTAAAACTGATTATCAACCATTCACCGATTTCATTCAATATTTACAACAAGCATTCCCAGTTTTACATAGCCACTTGAATCGAGAGATTATAAATAACTATTCGATGTTGTATCGATGGGATGGTAGCAATCCTGCGCTGAAGCCATTCTTTATCAATTGTCACTACGATGTTGTGCCTGTTGATATGTCGGGCTGGTCGGTCGATCCGTTCGGTGGTGTCATCAAAGATGGCTATGTTTGGGGTCGTGGTTCCATCGATAACAAACTGATCGTAATCAGTGCGATGGAGGCAATCGAAACTCTGCTGAATCGATCGTACGTCCCCGAGAGAACACTCTATCTTGCCATCGGACATGACGAGGAAATCGGTGGATACAACGGCCACAAGATGATATCGGCACACGTCCAAAGCCTCGGAATCACCGCCGAGATGATTCTCGACGAGGGCATCCCGCTGCTACAAGCCGGATTCCTCCCGGGACTTAACACCACTACCGCGTTGCTCGGTGTCAACGAGAAAGGCTACGTCTACTTCAACATCACCGCCACTGCGCCAGGCGGTCACTCCTCGATGCCACCCTCACAGCAATCGCCAATCGGTATTCTCGCGAAAGCCGTCACCGCCTTTGAATCGAACCCGCTTCCACCACCGAACAGCACACTCTACCCGAATCAATTCCTCGATCAATTTACACAGCAACAAATCGAAACGATTCCATTCCTCGACTACATGAGAAGAACTACCACCACCGTGACAATGTTCCGCTCTGGGATCAAGCCAAATGTGTTGCCGACCACCGCCACCGCTTGGATTAGTCATCGTGTGGTTCCAGGCGATGACGTCGATGCCATCATCGAGAGAAACAACCGCTTGATCAACGACACCAGAATCAAAGTTATCATCGACGCCAAACTTCCACCATCGCCATACTCGAGTCCCGCCGCCAAGCCATTCAAAGCGGTCAAGCAGTGCATCAAGAAAATCTTTGGACAAGACGTGAACGTCAAGTCCGGACTCATGTTTGCAAATACCGACACCCGATACTACTGGCCGGTGTCACCCAACATCTATCGTATAATGCCATGTGTTGTCAACAGTCAAGGACTTGCAATGCTACATGGCTACAACGAGAAGTTGGCAATCACTGACCTGGTGAAAGCAGTCAGCTTCTATCAACATATCATTAGAAAGTTTAATAATATTGATCTCGACACAACCATAACCGACATTGATTAAATTATAATAATCAAAATATTTAATTAAATTATTAGTTTTTTTTTTAAACAAAACAGAATCGTACAATAAAAAGTAGTTTTGCATTATAATAAATGCTATAGGAGTTAGTTAGTTCAAGTGTTTAAAACAAATTAATTTATCAATTTGATCAAATAACAATCAAAAATAAAAACAAAACGTAAAAAAGAAGAAGAGAAAAGAAAAAAGTATAAAAGAATGATGATATTTGTTAGACCAAATTAATTCATTTATAACAAACAAATATAATATAGCAACTTTAAACACAAGTTGTTGTTCTAATCTACCTTATTAAGGTCAACTTATTCTTTGTTTGTTTGTCTTTTTTCATTCACATCAAACCAAAATAAAAATAAAACAAAAAAAGGAAATAAAAATCGACGATTTAAAAAAATAGATTTATTTATTTTTGCAATAGAATGATACCTAACACACTCTCCACCTTGCAATTAATCATCTGTTCTAGAATTTGCGAAAAAGTTTAAAAGATTATTAGTGTCATGACTCATTTAAATTAATATATATCTTTGCACTCAAAATTGTTTTTTTTTTTTTTAAAAAAACAAAAAACAAAAACTACCAATATTCTATTATTAATTGATTCAAGAGAACAAATTAAAAATAGTTTGTTTTATTCAAACCACCACCACTCATCGACTTGCTCTCTGATCGTGCACTGTACAACACAATACACACTAGAATAATAACATCAACACATTCACATTTAAAAATAAAAATAAAAACAAAAAAACAAGCAGAGAAGTAAGAAAAGAAATATTGAAAATAAGAGAAGAGAATTGTGAGAAAAAAGAATAGAATCAAAAAGAACAACAAAAAAGTTGTGAGATTGAAGTATTAAAATACAGTAGAACCAGAATCATATATTTATAATTAGAACTTCAGCTTGCTCTTCCTCGTAACCAACAAACTACCAACCCACACCACACCGATACCCCCACACCTTTATCACACCCGTCCGCGCGCACCAACAACATATATATAAAGTAATATTTTATTGTCAAAAGTTGAAATTTCAATTTAAATAATAACTTTGTTCAATTAAATTTATTTAGTTTATTTTTGTTTTGTTTGTTTAATTATAGTTTTGTTGTTATAAATTTAATACATAACCATTTCTTTATTTTATTTTGGTTTTGTTTTCGTTTTTTTTTTTGTTAAAAAACAATAGTAAAAAACATAAATCAAAAGTATTATAAAATGGAAGCAAAGCTTAAAATAATAGAGTTCTATGGTGCACCATCACCAAATGTAGTAAAGATTCACCTGTTGCTGAGAGAACTTAGGGAAGTACCTTACTCGTATCATGAAATAAATATTAGGAGAGGTGAGCAATACTCCCCTGATTTCCTAATGATAAATCCCAACGGAAAATTGCCGGCCGTAGTTGACCACGACGTCGAGGGTGAACCAATCTCTGTGTTTGAATCAGGAAATATACTGTACTACTTGGCCAACAAGTACGATAAACTAATACCAAACATAAAAACAGATCCAAAATCTCATACTGAAGTTTTAAATTGGGTATTTTGGTAATTATCGATCACAAATAGCAAATTAATTAAAGTGATTAAACAATAACTAACTTTTGTAATTATAGGCAAATGTCAAATTTAGGACCAGTATTAGGGGAGTTAATACATGTATGTTGCTTAGTTAGTTTGTTTGAAACATAAATGTATATTCGATATTTATTAACAACTTCATTTGTTATTTTCGAAATGACGGTTACTATAGTTTAATATATATGCAGTAGATAAACATCAATACTCAATCAATCGATTTGCCAATGAACTGAGGCGATTGTTACACGTGTTAAATAGAAATCTAGAGGATCGTCAGTATATTGCCTCGAAAGATCAGTTCACAATTGCAGATATTGCAACCTATCCTTGGGCTAGATATGTTTCTATACTACCGGATATCAGTGTCGAGGAGTTCCCCCATCTCTACAGATGGTTAGCACTCGTTAAAAGCAGACCATCAGTAGCAGAGTGGGAGGAGTTCGAAGAGGAACAGAAAAAGAATAACAATAACACTAATAATAATAATAATAACCAGCATCATCAACAACAACAACAACAACAATCATCATCACAAAACAAGTCTCATACAGAGGCTGAAGAAAGAAAATCACTGATACATGCACAAAGATCCGTACCCATTCCAATTTCAAACAATCTACCAACTCCAAACAACAATTTATCACCTCCAATTTCAAATCAAACATAAAACAAACAAATAAAAATAAAATATATCATTTTACAATTTATTTTTTTATAAAAAATATCCAAAGAACATGAAATGTGTTCTTTTTTGGAATCTGATTTCAAAAAAACAGCATTGCAGATATTTTTTTTTTTTTTTTGTTAACCAAAATTATTGTGGACCATCTTAATTTTGTCAATCAATCTTTACAAAATTGTTAATCTAGTTTAAGAGATATATATAAAAGATGGGTTTTAAATTACCTATAATTGATATTTCATCATTTGTAAATAAAGAATCACAAGAATCAGATAGATTGTTGGTAGTTCAACAGATTAGAGATGCATGTTTAGTTCACGGCTTCTTTTATTTGGTGGGTCATGGTGTACAGCAAGAATTGATAGATAGGCTAGACAGTCTCTCGAGATTGTTTTTCCAGTTGGACGAAGAGACTAAACAGAAATATAGAATGGAACTCGGAGGTAAAGCTTGGCGTGGTTTCTTTTCGTTGGGTGGTGAGCTCACAAGCGGTAAACCCGATATGAAAGAGGGTCTCTATTTAGGACAAGAGTTGGAACAGGATCACCCACTACCCATTCACGGACCAAACTTGTTCCCAACTGAGGTCGAGGGTTTCAAAGCGACCATACTTGAATATATCGATCAAATAACACAACTCGGTCACCGCGTAATGGAGGCACTCTCCCTCAGTCTCAATTTGGATAGCCAGTACTTTAGCAAGAATTACACTGCCGATCCACTCATTCTCTTTAGAATCTTCAACTATAGAACACAGGTAGCTGACGATGCCAGTGAGCGTTGGGGTGTTGGAGAACACACCGACTACGGACTTCTCACCATCCTCTATCAAGACAACATCGGTGGACTACAAGTGAAAGTTCCAAATCAAGGTTGGATACCAGCTCCACCAATTAAAAATTCTTTCATTTGTAATATTGTAAGTGTTTTCAAATCAATAATCATAACAAAAGTATAAATTTACTTGTTTATTAATTAATGTTTATATATGTAAAGGGAGATATGTTGGAAAGAGTTACAGGTGGTTTATATAGATCGACACCACATCGTGTGGCATTAAATACAACCGGTAAAGATCGTCTGTCTTTCCCAATCTTTTTCGATCCAAACTTCAACGCAAAGGTACGTCCAATCGAAGGAATAGAGACAAGCGACAACAGTACAGAGCGTTGGGACAAATCGAGTGTATTTTCATTTGAGGATACCTATGGCCAGTATCTTTTGAAAAAGATTGGTTTGGTATTCCCTGACCTCAAATCACAAGCATTGGATACAACAAATAATCCAATAAAACCAACCGCATATTAATTAGTTCAATTATGATTTGATTCTCTTGTCTATTTGTTTTAATTTAATTATTAATAGAGATAATAATATTGAGTAAGTTAATAAAAATTCATTTGACTTTTCTTTCCTAATTGGTTTAAAAAACAAAAAAAAAATCGAGAAATCGATTTTAATATAAATTTTTAAGCAATTTCCAAATCAATTTAAAAAATGATTTTTCAAAGCCACAAAGATATGTTTGGATGTCCAAAAAAAAAAAGATTTTTTTGAATTGCAAAAAAGACACAAAAGATGTCGAAGATTTGGTGTTGCAATGAATATTTCAACCTTTAATTTTTAACCAACAAAAGCAAAGGAGAATTGTTTGGGAATAAAAAACCTTTGGAAAACAAAAAAAATCAAATCAAATCATATATATTGTTTGCATCAATTCCACTTCAAACGACATCGTTTTTTTTTTATTACAAAAAAATATAAAAAATACAAAAAGAATCAAAAAAAAAAAAAACAAGAAACATTAAACACCTTTATTTCTGATCGATTAGTTTTTTGTTTTTTTTTCCTTTTCATATTTCTCTTTAAACTTTTAAATTATATCTTTATTTATTTATTTGTGAATTAATATTGCTTTATTAATATTTTTTATAAATTTTATTTATTTCAACTATTTTTAAAAATTTAAACTTAACTTTTAAAACAACATAGATTAAACCCTAATTAAAAATTTGCAGATAGCATTTATTTTAACACATTGGGTGAAAAAAGATTTATTTAATATATATTGTTCATAATCACAGTGTTCACCCACATTTGAACACAATCCAATAATACACTGAGTTGTCGTAACAGTCAAAGTTACTATTTTGTAATAACTAATAGCTTTGCTCAAACATAATAATTTTCAATTCAATACCCTATTTATACTTTTATTTATTTATTTATACCGTTTCATTTTTGTTTTTCCTCTACTAAATTTGAAACATCGATCATAAAAATTATATTATTTAATAAAAAATATATTACATAGACAAATAGAGTATAATCACCATCAGATTGTACGAAAAAAATAAAATAATATAAATAATAACATCAACATCATCAACATCATTTATTAGTCAAAATACATAAATTTATCATTTTTATATTTATAAATTTATTACTGTTTTTCATCTATTTAGAAATTAATTACTTTCTAAAAGTACACTTTAAAATATTTAAAAAATTGTTGGCAATTTTCCATTCATCTTTTATTATTAAATTTGATTTGATTCATTTTTAAATCAAATAAATAATGTCGATTTTAAAATTTCTTAAAACTCTTAAATTAAAAGGTAAATACAGATTCACAAATCACATTTCATTATTTTTTGGGAAATGCACCAATTGATGCAAATTTCTTTTTTTTTTTCATTAAAAAATTAACAATCAAAATTTTATTTTATTAACATTTTTAAACAGGGAATATATCACCACTTAAATCATCATCTTATTACAGTGAATTCAAGTCATATCTAGCTAGTAATGAAATTAGTAATGAAGCATTAGATCTTCTATTCGAATGGTATACACTTATCAGTGTTGAACAATATTGTAAAGATTATCCTTCACCACCATCTAAACTTTGTTATTTCGGTGGTAATGGAAAAGAATCAATATTCATAACATGTGAACAATGTTGTACTTTTTTAGAAAACTATTGTATTTGTAAGTAAATAAATTAATAATATTATTAAATAACTAAAAGATTAAATTAAATTGTTCTAACAAATTCTAATTGTTTAAATAATAAAATTCTAGGTTTACAATGTTTTATTAATAGTCCACATGAACATTTAGAGAATCACAAATTAATATTATACAAGAGTGCAGGTGCAATCTGTGATTGTGGAAATGTATCCATTATGAAATCAAGTGGTTTTTGCTATAATCATTGTGATTCCGATTGTGCAAATTCAAACAACACCACAAACAATACCACTCAAATGAAAAGTGGTTGTGATGATGTGATTGAAAATAAAACGGTAACTTTTTCATTGTCATCTTCAACTACTTCCACTATTAGTAATGGACAGATTGGTAATGGAGGTGGAGGTAATTCATCACCTGTTGTTCTGAGTAATTCCACTTCGTCTTGTGGTGGTGTCGTGCCAATTAGTAGTTCTGCCAACTCCAAGACAACGATAATGGTGAACGACAATCTCTATGAACTACGATTGTTCTTCCGACATCTCTTTAGATACCTCGCCGATATCGTAACGGAGAATCTCAGTGAGACGACGATCGTTGCCAAAGACAATGGTGAACTCATCGCAAAGATCGAGACAATCTCGCAGTGGATTGTCAGTCTGCTGACACAGTCGTCGATGCTGCTCAACCTGGTGTCGGAGGAACTACTTGGTCATGCTATTGACACAGGTTTGACAATGGATCAACACTACCGACTTACACACGCTCCGCTCCAACCGATCATACTCGACGTGGTGTCGCCAACAAAGCGTTCAAAGAAATCACTACAGTCCAACTCGAACATCGTAGAGGCACAGAACAACATTGATATATTCATCAAACACAACTACTCCATTCACTACCTCTATCCTTTCTTGATTCACTTGATTTGCAATCACAAGCCATTCAAGTATATATTCCTCAGATACTTCCTACCGATCTACAACGATTACTATCACCTTAGTTTCGGTAAATCGGCGTGTAACGGTATAAGTATACTCTCTGTCGCCTACATAGGTGAAGATTCACTTATCAACTATGTCTCAGTGGATAACGATCCAATCAATAATTTAATTAGTATTATTTTTAAACAAACTGTAAGTTGACAGCTTTCAACTCAAATCATTAATAATAATAATAATATCCAAAGCTAATATCTATTATCTCTATTTAGATTCGAATGTGTAAAGAGATATTGGAGAATGTTTATTTAACAAAGAATCAAGTTGAATATTGGTTTAGATCGGATCTCTATATTTTAAAGACAATCTTTAAGATCGATACGGTCATTAAGCATATCATGTCAGAGTCTGGTCAGTTCATTCTCGATGGTATGTTTGAGAGTGCAGCGTCGATTCAAGCATTGAAATGCGTTGATAGTCTTCCATACGTAGAGACACTGGGTTTCGTCAAGGAGTTGGAAGCGAATCATCAATCGTTCATCAATGCGCTATTGGATGATCGATCCGGTATTTCATCGATTGACTTTTTATCGGCGCGTTTCAAACACTATATTCCGCTGTTGAGCTACGGCGATCCCAGCAGCGTGAAACCACATTTCCCACTGTACAGAATGCTCTCTATCACTCTGTTAAAGTACTATCCGATGTTGCTGAACCGACTGGATCTTTCGGAGCAGTCATACACCGAGATGGCTACCACCCTGCTGATGTCATATATGCACAACTTAGCATTCGGTCTCGGACACGTTAGAAGCAAGTCGTTGGAGCAGTTCGGTGACTATACCACCTACCTTGATTTACATCTACTCCAACATGCACTGATTCGACTTTCACCCGGTAAGTTTATCGATTGTTTCATCCGATGTATCGCCAACTTGCATCCATCCGTTCAGACACACAACAAGATGTCGCTTATCCTGAGCTTGTTGATATCGATATTGCAAGCGCGTCCGTCGTCGGCGCCACCTTCCACCTCGGAGATTCGCTATCATCTCATCCAGTACATGGCGGTTCACGACAGTCTCTTCATCGAGAGAAAAGCAATGGCGTTCATCTTTGACGAAACGCCACTCGAGCAGATCCAGTCGATCTACTCGGAGATCTGCACCAAGGAGAGCAAGACAAAGTATGTCCTGAAGAAAGAGTATTGGAATCAGATCGATCCGCACTACTTCCATCACAACCAGGAAACAAGAAGACAACGTCCACCCATTCGCTATCATCTTACACCGGGTGCAACTGCCCCGCTTCCCCCAAGCACGCTTCCACCCATCGCCAACCCAGAGTTGCTCAATCTCGTCGATATCGTCAATCACGATTCACTCTTTAAGATGTTGCTAAAGATGATGTCTGAGCAATTCTATCAACACAAACTCCCAAAGGAGGATCCACTCAACCGGTTGTTTAGAAACTACAACGTCACCAACGATTGTCTCTATCTCATTGCGCTATCACTCCAGATGTTCAAAGAACATACACTTCCTTCTTTAGATCTCATTGCTAATCGTTCTATTAGCAGTGCAATCTCAAAGTATATTTCCAATAGAACAAGATCATCAATTGAAACACCAACCATAACAACTACAACCACTACAACAACTACAACTAGTAGCAGTACTTGTAATTCAAGTTCAACAGTTACTCCACAACAGTTTTGTATTGTTTCTCTACTTTCTAGTATTGATATCTATAAGAAAGATAGTAGTAACAGTGGTATGAGTGAGTTGGTTCAAGTCTCATTGTTGGATATCATGATTGACCTGTGGAGAGAAACAACAGCTACACTCGACCAAGAACAACGTCCATTGCTTCAACAGATCTTCTTGGCAATGATAGAGGTCGATGAACAGTTCAAATCTTATTTCAACTCGTGTAATGTCATCATTGAAACACCTGAAGAGATAAAGAAGAAGTTGGACGAACAAAAGAAGTCAGTATCTGACAAGCGAAAGAAACTACTTCAACAAATGAGACAGCAACAAATGTGTTTCCTCCAACAGGAAACAGCTGGCGACTCAATGACCACCACTGGATCACCTTCGCCATCCACCATTTCCATTGGTTCGCCAATGACACCTGAACTACCATCGCCAGTAGCCATTCAACAAGTTAATCATTCACCAATCAGTCAGAGACATGTTGTCTCTACATCGGAATCTACAACATCGATTTCTGGATTACAAGAAAACAATAGCAACAACAACAACAATGAATCATTGGAATCATCAGATGATTTAGTTTGTATTGTTTGTAATCAATGTTCATCCATTGATGAACCTCTACATGTCATTGGATTGATTGAAAGATCACCTGTTATGCCACATCATCAGAAACAGGAATACGAACGATTGATGCAAGACGTCAGTCTGACAGTAGAGTATAGAAAAGCCTACAAAGAGGTGAGAGGTCGTCTCATTCAAGACATTCAAACTGCTCTACAATCGAATGAGAGTGCCGACTTGATAAGATCGATGCTTCCAATGGCATTCCCCTATGTCTATCCAACCTATGTCAAGTCTTGTCATCACTATATTCACCAATCGTGTCTTACCAAACTACATGAATCCTATGCAAATGGATTCAACTGTCCACTCTGCTCTAATCAAGCCAATGTTATTATTCCACTTCCACAAACCAATAATAATAACAAACATAACACTCTCTTACAACTACATCAATCACTTGCAACCTTTGATATTAAATCAATGAAAACGCCGGTCACTGACAAATACATATGGAAGTTCCTCTCACAGAATATCGAACTTCTTGAGATTAAAACTCGTACCTCAACTCTCTACAACGAGCCAAACGAAGATCCCTACTTTATTCTCACGGAGAAGGAGTTTGAACGTGAGCTGTTCACGCTGTACTTGCTGTTCAACTCGATCATGTCAAACTCGAATCAATTCACGACATCACACGATATCCAACAGACCAACAGCAAGCTCATACGTACGATGGATCCATTCACCAGCCACACATTCATGGTGTATCTGCTCTACCACTATCACCACCACAACGATGGAAATCTCGACGGCCAGATCCAAGACGATCTCAAAGCAACGGTCGAATCGTTCTACAATCAAATCATATTACATTACATCTACAAGGAGAAGCAATACACCAACATCATCTCGACGCTCGCCGATATCAAACGATCGCCACACATGTTCCCCAACCTCCTGGAGAACAACAACAACCAACTGCCATTCTTTAGAAAACTCTATCTCTTTACGTTCCTCTTTAACCAATGGAAGTTGGACAACCCACAATTCGGACAGTTTCCACCTATTTCCAAATCAATGTCAACCAGTGCCATTGATAGCAGTAGTAATAACAACCTTAGATCATCGCCAATATTGGTGTCATCAGTGTCGACATCCAATCTATCGAGTATCTCTTTGATGTCAAACAATAACAACTGCAACTCACCAAACAACAACTATCGTCAACAGAAACCGTTGAATCCATTCAAGTTGACACTCGAACAATTCTCAAATCTTGACTTCCTACTGGAGAGTATGGGATTGATCACATTGCAATCGTACATACAGACTATCAACCTCAGAGAATTCGAGAAACATCTTGAGAAGCAACCCGCTTGCTATCCATTCCCTCTTCGCCCATACGACAGCGTAGTAAAGCTTGTCGATCTTCCAAATCGATACTTTGACTACCTCAAAGAGATAGTACATCCATTGGAATACTGCAAGCATTGTAAACAATTGATAACTCGATCATGTTTAATCTGTAATCAAAAGCTATGTTTACAAACTTCATGTAACAATACAATAAGATCTGTAAGTAAAAAACAGTTTAAAACATTCTTTATTTATAAAAATGTATATTTTAATTAACAAAATATTATTATTATTACTATAATAGCATATGAAAACATGTCCATCACAAGTATTGGGATTGTATTTGAGATTTGAAGATCCTGGAATAACAATGCTCGCCTACAACAACGCACAGTACTATAAGATCTATAGGTCGGCAGATGGATCATCAACCTCTATCATTGACACATCGTTTGTTCTCTACAAGAAAGGTTTAAAGAAAATCTATAAACTATGGATCAACAGTACAATCAAAAAGATAGGTCACAAATAAAATATATAAACAAACCTGATCATTAAAAATAAAGATTTTATTAATTTTAAATTTGTTATGATGTGTTGTTTTGTTTTGAGTGTTTTTTAAATAGAATTACAACCAACCTGGTAAAAGAGTGAAATATCATATTATTTATCAAAATGATGAATGATCATCTATCAATGAAAATATATTTATAATTATTTTAATATTTTGTTTTTATAATAATAAAATTTGACTTTTACTATAAACTACTATTTTCATTTATTTGATGATCACATCAAAAAAACTATTTAATTAATTAATCAAGTTTTTAACTTAATAAGGAAGAATGATCAATAATTTTAATAAAAAAAAGGGTGAAGTGTGTGAGATTTTTTTAAAAAAATCAATCAATCAAATTTTTAAACAATTCTATTAGATTATAATAATTTATAATTTTACTTTAATTTAATAATTATATATATATTTAAGCTTTATTTCTTTATTATAATAATAATAATATATTGGTGTTATGTATTTTTAAATTTATTATATCTTGTTTATTTTAATTACTATTTGTGATTTATTATTACTATTTATTATTAATTGATTATTACTATTTATTATTCTATATTTTATATCTTTTTTATATATATATCTATTTAAATAACCTATAAATATATATATTGGTTGTTAAATAACAAACACCAAGAATGAGTTTTTTAAAAAGAGCAGCATCAGTTTCACACTCTAGCTGGTGGTGGAATCCAACGATCGATCAGCTATTGGCAATAAAAAATGCAGATTTCGATAATATAGTTGCATGGTTGGATCATAATATAGATAAAAAACAAACTCAACAAAATAATAATAATAATGTAAATACTAGTAATAATAATAATAATAGTGGATTCACTCCTGGATCATCAGAGACAAGAATATCACTGACGATACCACAGATACACCATTGCTTTCTCAATGCAAAAGAAAAGAGTGCTACCGGTCATCCACCAACACATCTCGTTATCAAACTACTCTATGAACTCGAATTACAATTCATAAAGCTATTCAATGTAGACTCTAAAGGTTCATCTCAAAGATTTGTAAGTTTTACTTTACTATATAGGAATATTCACTTAAAGCTTAAGAGATCAATAATGGTTTGCCTAACTTTAAAAATGTGTGTGTGTGTATTTGGTATCAATTCAATTCTCTAAAATAGAAACAATATAATTCGTTTATACCGACGAATGAAAATACTTCGATGTTACATTGGTCGATGTGTTCAATCGCCAAGAATAGAATAAAAGATCGATTCGAATCGGTGTTTCAGGTCGATGATACCGGTGCTTTCAAGCAGATCTTCAGTGTCTACGATCATTTGTTTGGAAAGGATAGCGATCAACGCGATCATCTGGCAACGCAGTTGAACAGTTCCATCAAAGACAATCCATCGCTAAAGTGGGAGATCATCACCTACTACTACGATATTGTATCGCATTTCTATGTGTTTATAGAGTTGATGTATCATGTACTAAGAGTAAAGATGCCATCTTCATCGACTGTAACTTCTCCAACAAAGAACAACAGCAGCAGCAGCAGCAATGGTAATGGTAAATCTGGTGGTAGCAACAGCGACTCGATCGCAAAGAAACTAAAGACTTATCGTGCCAATATCGAATCACAAATGAATGGAAAGTCATTCAGTAGTCATTATCTGCGTGTCGACGAATCAAAGGATAACTATCTGCTGTTCGATCACACCGGTAACATCACAATGATGCACTCTGGTTTGAATTCAAAGAAACCAATAACCAAACAACTCGAAAAGATAACCGTTAGAAACAGGCTGTACGATGACACCAAAGAGATATCCAAGTATCTTTTGCTGATTGCCGACGATTTGGATCTATACTTTCAATCGCCGTTCATCCCGATTAGCGGCGTGTTGCGACTCTACGATGTCTTGCTCGAGACCAAGAGTATAAAGATGTCGCTCTGCAAGTACTGTCAGCAGGCGTCACACAGCACAACGAGTTGCTCGTACTGCGCCGACAACATATGTCAGGCGTGTCAACGAAGAGATCAGTGTGTAAAGTGTTACTACTTGAATCATTCGATCGGTGTCAAGGTGCAGATACACGACGGCAACAACAAAAACAAAGGACCGATCGCGATGATCAACATCAACTCGAGCAAGTTTATCGATTTCACCACACAGATATTCCATGTCTTCAAAATAGACAAGGGCATGAAGATAGAGTGTACGCTTCACGGACACTCGACGGTGTTGCTGAACAACGACATCAACATGCATCTGGCGTTGCGCAGTGGCGACAGCAACACATGCAAACTGGTTAAAGTTAGAGTGACCGATCCACCCATCAAAGGACTGCGACTGAAGATGTCGGATCTCAAAGAACTCGAACCGATCGGTGAAGGTGGATGCGCATCCGTCTTTGCTGTCGAGGCACCCAACACACCGGAACTTGCAAACGTCCCAATGGTACTAAAGAAATTCAAGATTCCCTACCACGGAGACGACTCTGGTGTGAGAAACATCAACAAAACCATCGATAAATCTGTATATAAATTTAAAAGAGAAGCGTCATTTCTATCGTAAGTAGCAGTAGTAGTTAGCTAATTGACTGAGAAAGTTAAAGTGGTAGAGTACGCTAATATTATTATTCATCCTTCAAGTCAAGTGGAATCAGAGTATATTATAAAGATGTTTGCTTTCGTAGAGGGAAACGATGATACTTCGAATGAATTTGGTATTATTCTGGAGAGAGCACCACTTGGATCACTTAGTAACAAGCGATACAGTGATTGGGAGTTGATCTTGTTGATACTGCTCGATATCTGTAACGCTCTGATCGTTGTTCACGAACGTGGATTCATACACCAAGACTTGAAGCCGGACAATGTGCTGCTGTTTAGCGAGTCGGTCACGGCACCCGTGCGTTGCAAGCTCAGCGACTTTGGTATCTCGACGAAGCAAAAGAAGATGCACAACCTCGGCCACACCGGAATATCGAGAACCGCCGGCTACAATGCACCAGAGCACGGATCACACGGCAACTACAACGAGCTCGTCGATATCTTCTCGTTTGGCGTTATGATGTTTGAGATCATCACCGGTGAATACTTTCTAAACTATTTCGGTAATCCCAACTTCCATTGGTCCGACATCGATATGCACGCCTCCGTAAAGAAATTGAACGAGAGTATGACAAACACCACACCAGAGAAAAGACCACAATCGATGACCGAAATCAAAGTCAGCTTAGAACGTATACTTCAAGACTACAGAACTCAGAAATGGGAGATGAAAGATTATTCAAATCTTCATACAAAAAAGAAATAACAAACTAATTAATAAATGTATATAACTAACTAACTATCTGATTGACAATGTATATAACTAATTGAACTGATTGACAATCAAATCAATGTTTTTAAAAAAATTGATTGACAAACAATGATATTGACTCAAAATAAAAACAAAAATATCTAAAGTTTTTTTGATTGACAAACTCGCTCACTTTAAAAGTCTGATTGACAATATTGTCAATTGGCTAAGGAGTTGTATAGGTATGATGGTAATAACAGTTCCCTATAAAAAGGGACAATGAAATCATTTAAAATGTCAACAAATATACAAATATAAAATAAACTACAATTATATAATTATTAAAATTAAAAATGAATAAAATAAATACTCAAATCTATCAATATTTATTTGTAAATAATATCAAATTAAATGGAAGACAACTGTTGTCAAACAAAAGAGAAAGATTTAATTGTTTGAATCCACAGAATCATTTCTCTATGGATTGTCTAAATGGAAAATCATTCAACATGCTATTGCCACCGCCCAGTGATATCGCTGCCCTGGTAAAACAATCAACTGCAAGAGTCATCAATCTTCAAAGAGTCACCGAGTTCGAATACCACTTAAAAACAATCGTTTGGATATTACTGCACTGACCTTACCTATCAAGAAAACATTTAATTTAAACATACACAGGAATATCTTTTTAGATATTCAACAATTAATAAAAAAAACCTGTTACAATATTAAGATTTGTTTTTAAAAAAATATATTTAGACTAAATTTTAATAACTAATAAGATGATGTTATAATGTCTAAACAAACAATTCAACATATATACATAAAATAAGTAATAAAAAAATTGAAAAGAAAAATGCGACATTATGTTCGGAATAAAAAGAACATGTTCGGTGTGTGAATTTAAATTTTTGCAAAATAAAAAAATTTCTGTTTTTCCCACTACTCGAAATTTCCTCCCGTTTATGAAAGTCAACATCATTGAAAATCATCATTTTTTAATTTAAATTTTGCAAAAAATATTTTTTAACTATCTTTTTTTTTTTTTTTGCATTCTCTATTCATTAATTTTTGATTTTAGATAATTATAAATCAAACTTTATCGAGATATATATACAAATAAATAAAAAATGTTATCAAGATCAATTTCAAATTATACAAAGGTATGTAATATTAACTACATTTACATAATAAAATAAATAAAATAGAATATAAGAAAAAAAAAATATATAAATAAGAATATTACTAGACGAATTTTATTTTTTAAAAATTGCACTACACCTTCATGTATCTAATTATTTAATCATTTGTATATATATTTAGTTAAGTATTAGATATTTCTCAACTTCAGTTAAAGGAGTAGAGGAAGTAGTTATTGTTGCAGCCAATCGTACACCAATTGGTGCTTTCGGAGGTGCATTGTCAGCATTACCAGGAACTAAATTACAATCGATCACAATTCAAGATGCTTTGAAGCGTGCCAATCTCAAGCCAACCGATGTCGACGAGGTGATCATCGGTAATGTAATCTCTGCAAACTTGGGTCAAGCACCAGCACGTCAGTGTGCGATCGGTGCCGGTCTCCCACACAGCGTCGTCTGTACCACCATCAACAAGGTCTGCTCATCCGGTATGAAGGCAGTGATGTACGGTGCTCAATCGATTATGCTCGGACACTCCAAGGTGGTTGTCGCCGGTGGTTTCGAATCGATGTCGAACGTGCCCTACTACACCGACAAGTTGCGTAACGGTGCCAAGTACGGAAACGCTACATTGATCGACGGTCTCGTTCGTGACGGTTTGGCCGACGCCTACGACGGTAGCGCCATGGGTGTCTGCGGTGAGGACAGCTCCAAGAAATACAACATCACAAGAAAGGACAACGATGAGTACTGTGTCCAATCGTACAACAGAGCGATCGCCTCGCAAAAGAACGGTGATTTCGCCGGTGAGATCGTCGAGGTGCCAATCCCACAGCGTGGTGGTGCCGACCTCATCGTCAAGGAAGACGAGGAGCCAAAGAAAGTAAAGTTTGAGAAGATCCCAACTTTGAAGCCAGCCTTCACCAAGGACGGTGTCTTGACTGCTGCCAACTCCTCCAAGTTGAACGACGGTGCCGCCACCGTCATCTTGATGGCTGCTTCACAAGCCGCCAAGATGGGTATCAAGCCAATCGCCAAGATCATTGGTTTCGCCGACGCCGAGCAAGCACCAATCGAATTCCCAACTGCACCGGCTCTCGCCATTCCAAAGGCATTGAAGAACGCCGGTATCGACATCAAGGACGTCGACTTCTTTGAGATCAACGAAGCTTTCTCATGCGTACCAATTGCCAACGCCAAGTTGCTCAATATCGATCAATCAAAGCTTAACGTTTTCGGTGGTGCCGTCGCTATGGGTCATCCAATCGGTTCATCCGGTGCTCGTATCATCACAACCTTGACAACCGTACTTCAAAAGAAGGGTGGTAAATATGGTGTCGCTGGTATTTGTAACGGTGGTGGTAAGTTTTATTTAAAAACCCAATCATTCAAACTATTATCATATCGATCTTTATCTAACAATCACTTTTATTATCAAATCAAAAATAGGTGGTGCAAGTGCAGTTGTTATCGAGAAGCTTTAAATAAACAAAAACAATTATTATATTTATTACAAAACAACAACAACAAAAAACAAGTCGATTCAATACACAGAAAACTTTCTTTTTTCATTGATATGAATACAGATTTTACTTGATTTGATATTATTTATTATTCAAAAGAAAAAAGAGTCTGGATTATCAACATATAATGACTGGTTTTTCCATTATTTATACAAATTCTAATTGATATCACTTACTATCGTTCAAAATCTGTGTTATATTCATATTGTGTCGTTGCTAGACGATTATTGTATCTACAACTAAAGCAGTATTCATTACGTGCACCAGAAAATATATGAAGTTCATATTTAGTATCTGACATGAAATTTACCCACAAAAAAAAATCAATCAAATTGTGAATGTTGTTAATATGATTGATTGACAAATTTGTCAATCAAAGAACTTTATTAATTATTTATTTTTTCACTATAGTGAATAGTTTAATATAAATATGGCTATGATAACACTTCTTTATATATAGTGCATTCAAATACAGTACAGCTTCAAACAAAGAGTTACAGAGAGTTATGGAGTTCAATTTAGAGTATATGTCAGAGTTGAACTTTGATCTTGAACAATTTATGCATGAGCAAAGTCTAAACGTCACAAATACCTCCAAATCCATTGGAAATAACCAAGTGGAGTATAATAAGTTTGTAAATCATATAAAACGACTCTATAATGCCAATATTGAGAAAACAGAACAAGATTTTGAAATCTTAAAGTTAAGAGTTATTGAAGCTGCTGGCGATGAACTTTTAAAAGTAAGTAATAAAAAAAATCAAACAAACTAACTAATATTCAATTGATATTTAATTTAAATCTATTAAAAAAAAAATACAAGGATAAAGATGGATTTAATTATCTGAAAAGGGTAATCGATGAATTGACACTGGCTTGCTTGGAAACCAAATTACAGTTTAGAACAAAGTACACCAAGGAGATTGAACAGATGTTCAAAGAAAAAGATCTCATCGTCGGTAGAAAGAAGAGAAGACCATCGTCAGCAATATCAAAGAAGTGGCATAGTGAACCTCTTTTTGATGGTCAGTCTGCTTATCAAGATCAATTCATTGCTTCATTATGCTGCGTAAGTACCTCCAAGCTTTGTGAAATGAAATCAAACAGAAAGAGAACCGGTACCACTACTAAAAAGAAATCGGTTTCAAAACCAAAAGCTGTTAAAACATCAAAAAAGTAAGAGCAGCATATTTGAATTCAAACAAACATTATAATTATATGTATGACGATTATTCTTCTTAGTAATAAGAATCAATAGATAATTAAATGATAAATAAAAAACTTTGTTCTTTTTGGTATTTTGAAGATTTATATCATTTATTGATAACTTTATAAATTAAGGCAAAGTCTTGATCCTGATTAGATTGTATACATTCTAATTATATCTTATTACAACAACAACAACAAACTTTTTTGATCACACTACCAACCAATAACAGAGGGTTGATAGTTGTTGTTATTGTTATTGTTATTGTTGTTGTTGTTGTTGTTGTTTGAATTATTAATATAATTAAGCTTAAAGGTTTGTTTGAATATTGTGTTGGTTGTTTTGATTGATTGAATGAATTTCTTGTAATTATACCATTAATATCTTACATTGATGGTTTGAAACGTGTAAGGGGGAGGGAGGAATGAATGAGGTGGTCGATGGTGGATGAAATATATATAATAAAAGTATGTTGGTGTGATTGTTATCCGCCCAACAACTAATCCCATTGTATTGGAAATCCGGTTGCAACTGGCTTGTCATGTAAAATATTTCTTGTAATTTTTGTAATATCTGGTGTTTCTGGTGGGTTCTATTATTGTTGTAGAGTTATAAAGTGAGTAACGTTAGATCATTATTATTATTATTATTATTATTATTATTTTAGTGGTAATTGATTGATAAACCTACATCAATGAGCTCTTGATCGCAATAAGAGTTACTAACATAATAACCTAGACGAATGAAATCTCTTCCTTTGTATGCACAGATTAAAAAGACAACGGTAACACCCAGGAGATCATCTTTTGGGATACGTGATGAATCGGGTGGATCTACTTCGAATACAAACTGATAGGTACCAACAGATACTGGGTCCAATAAAATGCTATCCAACAATTGATCGTTCTTCTCTGAATCTGCTGATCCTACATATACTACTTTCCATTCTAATTCTAAAATGATGTATATTATTATGTTAGTGAACTTTTTAAACATCCATTATATATTTATACAAAATATATAAATATCTATCTATCAACAATTTTTAATCTATATACCTTCTTTAATTGGTGATATACATTCAAATGATATATCAAATATTAGAGGTGTATCGAAATTGGCCGGATTATTATGTATTAACACTTGTGTAAGTTTAATGTGACTCATATTGTTCTTGTTCTGTTTATTTGTATATTGATTGTATGTGATTGATTGGGAGATGAGTAACAATGATGAATGTTTGATTACTGTTTGATAACTTTTGATTCCACTTTGTTTTTTTTAAATGTGAAAAAAATAAATAAAAAATAAATATTAAAAGATAAAATAATATATTTATATAGTTTGATCGAAAAATAGATTTTATAAAAATGATTTAATCAAACAACATTAACCGTTATTATACAACTTTATAAAAAAATTAACCTAAAAAAAATATTGCGCTCTTTTTTAAAAAAATTTAAATTTATTTTTTTCAAGTTCAAAAATGATTTGTTTTTTTTTTTTTTTAATTTCATTTTTCTTGAAAAGCAAACTATTCTTTTCCTTATCAGAAAAATATCGGTTGACTATGATGCAAAACCCTTTGTTATCATTTTGTTTGTGAAGGAAAAAAATAAATAATGATATAGTCTAGCTTGTTTTGTATTTTTTTTTTATTTTATTTTTTTTTAATCTTAGTTAACTCAAAAAGACAGTTAGCCAATGATATATTCAATAATTATAAAAGAATTTATAGATTTAGAGATATCTCAGTTGATTTCAGAGAGAGTTGAATCATCGAAATATGATTATCACGGTGTAAAATATCATCGTGTACAAAATTCCATTATCAACAGTGAATGGTACGATATTTACTATCATCAATTGGGTATAGTACCACAACTCAATAGTTTACTCAACCTTAAGCTAGTTTCAAAACAATGGAATAGTTCAATCAATAAACTTGTCAATCATTTCAGATTGAACAAAGATAACTATAAGATTAATAGCTATAGTCATGTCGAACCAGATTCAATCGTTTCTCTGAGGATCGATGGAGATAATTGTTCTGCCACCAATTGCAATGAGAATGATATACTGGAGCATTGGAAAGACAAGTGTAAATCACTGGTTGCCCTACACCTTCACAATTGCAATCACCTCGATCATCTTCGGCTCAGTAAGATCATCAAAGAGAATACCCTGTATACTGTCAATATCAAGTGCCGAAGGATAGTGAGCGATGAGACATTGGATGAAATACAAATGCTTTTGAAGAGTCAGTCTCAGTCACTCAGATACCTAAATATCAGTACATCTCAGGATCTCGAAAGACTGCTGGCGATTCTGACATTGTTTTCCAATTTGGAGAATCTCCATATTGAAATCTCCTCAAGAAGAAGCACTGATATAAATTTGTCTTTGCTTACCAAGTTGTTGAATCCAAAATCTATGGTCAATTTGAAGAGAGTGTCTCTCGATTTCTGTCTTCAGATACCCCATGAAGCCGAAAGCAACGTTCAGGCATTCGTAGATTCACTGATGGCCAATAATCAATTGGATTCATTTTACTTTCGAAACTACTTTGGATCGACATCAGAGTGTAATGAAAGTCTATTGTTCGATTTTAAAAAGTATAACAAGTCGTTCAAAAAATCAGAAAAACACGCTCTAGACTTTGAAGAAGAAATCAACGCTGATCTTTATCCAAATCATTTCGGTCAAACCAGACCTCTATATTATAAAAAACCTGAAACAAATAAAAATGACGATGGAGATGAAGAAGAGGATGAAGAGGAGGAGGAAGAAGATGAAGACTTAAGATTTAGAGAGGATGACGAAGAATCACAAACTATATTCATTTTTGAAAATGAAAAGAAAACACTTGAATTTTGTGAATTGGATACATGGAAAGACGAACAAAGTCAAGGTTCATTCTCTATCAATTTATTTAAAAATAAAAATACTCCCATTTAAAATACTTTTGAAAGTTTTTTATTTATTGATTGATCCGCAACTCAATCTAATATTTTTTTTAAGTAATTCTAATTAAAAATTTTTTTTGATATATATATATAAAACTCATAGTTTGGAACTCTTAAAAATTTTTGATCTTTATTCCACAATCTTAAATTATATTTCATGAAAATGTTCAGGGAGGTTAATGAGCTACTGTAGCTTAGACTTAAAATAATGTAATAACAAAATGATATTTAAAATTGATCTTATTCTACACCTTCGAGAAAAGTGGAAAGAGAAGATCTTCAGAGAGTCTTGGAATTTTAAATAATTTAACTATTAAACAACTACAACTTTTTGTACTCTAATTACAAATATAAATTTCAACTAACTAAAAGTGTTAAATCGGTTTGGCGTTGTTAAAAAAAATCTTGTTTTTTTATTGAAGGCGAATATCTTTTCTTATCTATTAAATTAAAATTTAAAAAAAAATATAAAAAAATTTTTGAGAAAAAAGGAATAGCTAAAATTTTGAGAAAGTGAAAATAAACCATAATCAAGTGATACTCATTGTTTAGGAATGTTTACAATATATGATAATGTTATTTTGATTTGGGCTACTTGCGACATCTGTTCAACAATTGTGAAGACTCCATCATATTACGATACATTGTATCGCAACATTTAACAACCTAAAATTGTGAAATCTAAAGAGATTCGTCTCAATAGAAATCACTACAGTTGGAAGTGGCAACACTTCTGAACAAACCAAAAAGTAATCATGAAAAGATCTGATACCAAGTAGCCTTTTTTATTTTTCCAAAACCAACTTCACTTTTAATTAAATTTATATTCAGAGGTAGAAACACAGTATTCAGATTCTTCTCAATATCACTTCCTGGTGAACACCGAAGACGAATGGTCACTGGAAAAACCTACTACTCGCTTCTACCTCTTCGACGAATCATCAGACCTAATGATTTTTTTTTTTTTTTTTTTAATGAAGTAAAATTGATTTAGCAAGTTATATATTCGGATGGTGTGTTCCATCAAATTTTTCTTTTTTTTTTTTTTTTTTTTACAGTTTTTACTTTTCCATTTATTCTGCAAATTGATTGCTATTTTGATTATTATTATAATTATTTTAGTTATTGTTATTTTATAGTTTATTAATTAGATGAGAATACTGATGATTTATTTGGTTAATTTAATAATGAAGAAATGAAGAAGAGGAAATAATTGTTGGCCGACATTTGAGTGGTACTGGTTATTAAGTTTGGATTGTAAGTTACTTATACTTTTATTTATATTTAATTTCATTACTTATATATGCTATATATATATTCATTTATCATAGATTCGTTAGATAGTAGGTTGTTTTCGTGGAGAGGAGTACCGCCAAAATAGGATTTACAATATAATTTCCATATTTAATGAACTACAAGTGAAGCGAGAGTAGTGATGTTGTCCTTTCTTCTTACCAACTCATACTCATCTTCCATAGTCCAATCGAATCGTTGACCACCTGAAAGCTGTAAGGATTCAAGAATATTGTTAATATTGAATCTGTGCATAACTGCTCGACAATTAATTGCTTGGCTTAAAACAAAAACAAAGAATGAAGCACAGTTCACATTCTTTGTTTTTGTTTTAAGCCAAGCCAATAATCGAACGAGAGAAGAACCGGAAGACAGTGTTTCGCCCACGCTGGTGTTTGGTAAGCGATACATAGGTGAAGATACTGTCGTAAGATGTGTAGTCGAATTTGGTTGGTGGTAGAGATAGTTGGAACTGACCATCAGTTAGTGGCGGAATGCCATGTTTGATGATCAATAGGTGGTCGTAGATTAGCTTCAGGGGTGGGTGGTAGAGTAACTAGAGTTGATCAGAGAATCATGTGAATGATCCAATCCGTCGGACGTGAAGTACAGACAGGTATCTTTCAAAATATGTAGATATTGGTATCTTCTGGTTGTTAATGATTTTTAATAAATAAGTAGATGATCAGTCTATTTATTTATTAATCATCAACTCAAATAATTTAAAGACTATTCAGAGTTACAGATTGGTGGGTAAGTTTTCTAAACCTTCTTAAAAAAGGTTTCAATCCGCATGCGGACACATATAATTAAAAAAGGTTTTGCAAGCTGGGAGATTCGAACTCCCGAACCTTGCGGACTAGAACTTGAGTCTAGCGGATTTAACCACTTTCCTAAGCTTGCTTTGATGTTGTGTATAATAAATATGTAATTTTTTATATATTTTAAATTTCCAAATTTTGAAGATTTTTGAAGATTAATAGGTAATTAATCATTGTGACGAATTTTCTCATTTCTTTTGCAAATAATGTCTAAGAATTGACAACTTTGGCTCATGAAGACGAAGATAACTATAAGATCATGAAAGGTGAATTCAACGTTTAATGCTATCAATATAATATTATATTCGATTTTTTCTTGCATACCCAAAATAATATCAGTGATATTATAATAGTGCTTCATAATGATTGAATTAAACTTGATAACAATCTGGAAATTTTAAGCTTCTCTGATAACAAACTTAAAGTCGATTTATACTACTATTAGTTTGAGAGGTGTTTTATAATTAAAATTAATTTCTAATTTTATAACTGAATAAATTATTATAATATTTAACTTCTTCAAGATAGTATATCCATCATGATCTTTCTGTATATCATTGATAAATGCCACTTTGGTATAAACATATTTTTATACAAATAAAAAATAGTAAAAATGAAAAAATGTGAACATCAAATTAATTGATAAAAAATCCATCAGATCATTATATATTTGCAAACTTACAATGCATTCATCAAATATATGTAAAGCTTTAAGAAAAAGCATTTCATTTACAAACAATATTAATAAATCATCAAGGTTATATACTCAATCAAATCATCACTCTTTCAGAAACTATCAGACTAAAATATTAAACTACTCTCCAATTCTATCTACATCAAACATTAATTCGGCATCAATTTTCAAACCTGTTTCATCATTATATAATTTAAATCATTGTAGAAATAATTACTCTTCATCTTATTCTTCATCGTCGTCATCATCTTCAAACAATCAACAACACCAAGAACAACAACAAGAACAAAAAGAAGAGCATAAATCAAATAATAACAATAATGAAAGTTCAAACAAATTCAAAAGAACTTTATTTTATGCATCTGGAACAAGTATTGCCTTATTTATTGCTATGAGTAGCATGAATACCAGTGGTAACAACAACAATAATAATAATAATGGCTCTTTTATTGAGAGAATTCTAAGCCGATTCAAAATTACTGAAGGAACCTTAACGATTGCTTCGATCATTGCATTGAACGGTGCCATCTTTTTACTCTTGAAAAATCCAGCTTTCTTCAACCGCTATAGTAACCATTTCTTTTGCTCCGTTCACAATATCTCGTCGCATCCAATGTGTTTGTTGCTCTCCAACTTTACACACATCGAAGGATTCCACTTTCTCTTCAATATGGTCGGTCTCTGGTCGTTTGGCCAGGTCGCATATGAATACATGGGAATGTTGCCATTCTTGGCGTTGTACGTCGGTGGTGGACTCATGGGAACACTCACCAGTGTCACACACAAGCTTATTACCCGCGGTTTCAACATCCCATCGATCGGTGCATCGGGTTGCGTGCTGGCAGTCGTCGCAGCAAGCATTCTCTTTGAGCCAAACAACCGTGTATCGATCATCTTCCTCCCGTTCCTCAGCTTCGAGAGTCACACCATGTTGTATGCGCTGATCGCTTTCGATCTTGCCGGTGTGCTGGGACTCGGTAGATTCACCAATTGGGATCACAGCTGCCATCTCGGATCGACCTTGGCCGGTGCCATTCTCGCCGACAGCTACCGATACAAAGCAAACTTCCAGAACTTCCAAGGACAAGGCACTACCTCCGTGAAAAACCTATCGACCTACTCCGGACACTTTAGCAACGGACTCTACAATGGATCGGGTGTACTTCATAACATCCCAAACAATGAAGTCTTCAAGGGATTATTTAAAGATGGTACATTTGTAAGTGGTGAACTACGTCGTAATGGAAAGTCATATTCAGTTCAAAGAGTTGTTTCATAAAGTAGAGAAAAAAAAAAAAGAGATAAAGAAAATAACTATTTTAAAAATCAAACATTAAAAACCTTTATAAATAAAAAAACAGACTTTGAATCGTTGTTTATTTCAATCATGTACTCTTCTACCATTTATATATTTTAATGATTTAGTAGTTTGTTTATACTGACTGTATGATTCCATGGTGTCGTGTATTTGATTTCCGTGAAAAGAAAAGTAAATTAGATTCTCTAGGGTGTCGCGTTGTGAAAGTGCACTAAAGACACTGTCCATCTTGAATTCGTTATTGGAGATGTCGAGATGGGTCAACGATTTATTGAGAGCAAGTGCGTCTGAGAAATACTGTTCATCTTTCAAATCGTTGTAGTTGATTGATAGTGATGTCAGAGTATTGTTGTTGAGCAACATATTCGATAAACTGTACATGTGTGATTGTTTGATGCACTCGTGTAGTGAGAGATATCGGATTGATTTGTTGGTACCCAGATTGATAAAAAATTTGTCAGAGACTAGATCGCATGAATCCATTCTCAGAGAGATAAGAGAGCTATTGGTCTCGATGGCATTGGCAAACAATTGGATGTTGATACCCTCTGAATCGGCACAGTGGGCATATTCTACTACTCTGAGGTTTCGAATCACTCCATTTTTTGACAACATTGTGCAAAATGACTCAATAAGTGATTCGTTTAGACATTGATTGAGAACCAGCTTTTGGATGCAACGGTTACTCTCCAGTGCTTGGAAGAACTGGTTGGTCAAGAATGGAAGTGATGAAAGATAGAGGACTGTGATACTAGTGTTGATGTAAAAGGCATTGGCAACTTCCGATGCCAATTGTCCAGTTGGAATACTTGTTGATGTGAGTTTCACCCGACATTCCTTGAGTGATTTACTTTTACCAAGTTGCTCTGAAAGAAATGACAGTAGATTTGGATCGGATGCCGAAGTGGTAATTGCCAACTTTTGAATGGTGGAAATGGAAAATACCTCTGAAATTGTTTGAATTCCATCTATTGTCATCATCAGCGATACACTTGAAAGTTGTTGACTTTTGGCAGAGAGTGACTTGACTAGGGGGAGATATCTTTCTCTGTTCAACACATTCTCTCCTCCATATTCATGGAAAACCAAATGGTACTCTTTGATGGTGGAATTGAGTGAAATTGCCTTTGATAATATTCCAATTTCATGTCCATCATTCTCCCAGCCATGCACTTCCAGTTCGAGAGTGTTCAGATTTCGATATTTTCTGTTAAGTAGGATACTAGAGAGCATTGTCATCTCAACATCGTCGACAATTTTGAGATGAGTCAGCGGCGAAACCACAGAGTGAGTGAGCACCACATTCTTTTGATCGAGTTCATCCCCACTGAGAAACGATACATAGCTGTCTCTAAAAACTCTGTAGAGAGATAGCTTTGTAAGATTCTTGATGATGGAGAATCTGTTGAATTCGCCATTCAATAAAGTGGCAAACTCTCTGGCATATCGCTTGTTCCTCATGGTCAGAGTGAAATCATTGAGTTTTTTCGAAACTATTTCAAAAAAACACCAACTGACCATTCCCAACTTTTGTCTCCATTCCTGATGTATTTCATTTCTATAATCGTACTCCTCATCATCATCCAACATAAATGGAGACAAACTTAATTCTATTATATAATTTCGAACTAAATATGGTAAATTATTAAACATTTATAAAAAAAAATAAAGTAAATTATAAAAATAAAATATAAATGACTTTTTTGTTTTTCTTAATTAACTAATATTATTTATATAAAAAATTGTGATCGAATAAATGAGAAAATAAAATCATTAGTTTTAATTTATATTTTCTATTTTATATATATATAAATTTTAGATATAAAAATATTATACAATAAATAAATAAAATTTCTTTCTTTGGAAAATATTATTTTTTTTTGGTTTGTTGTTTTTTTATTTTTCTATTCTATAGAAAGAAAATAAAGATTTAAATAAAATTTAAAAAATATTCCTAAAATAGTTGGTCTAAAGTTTCTTTCAAAAAAAAAAACTGGGTGGTCTGAAAATTTAAAAGATGACCAAAATTAGTTGGTAAAAAAAAATTTGATTTTTCCCTTGGACATTTTTGTGTATGACAAGACAAGAATAAATAAATTCAAGAAAAATAAATAAACAAATTAAAAGAAATATATTTACTATTTGATTGTAAAATTACTTTTTATTTTATTCACATTTCTATTTTTAAATAAGTCAAATATTGGCTTAAAAAAAAACAAACAATTTTTTTTCCCTCTCTTTTTTTGAATTTTTTTTGTAACCAAAAAATATTGATCACTGTTTTGTTTTTTTTTTTTTTTTTTTTTTTGTAACGGTCATCGCATTTTTGCATTGTTTCGATTTCTTACTTTTTAATATTGCCAACAACTATTATATTATTATTGTATATTTAAAATTATTATTATTTAATTTCATATATTTTGAATGAAAAAATGAAAATTCAATTTAAATTAACACAAATTGCATTGTTTGCTTTATCATTATATTTATTCATTGCATTCTTGGAGGGTGCCAAACTGTGGTTGCCTGAGAATGTCTATACTTTGGCATCGACCTATATGGACGCTGTAAACATCGATATAGTGCTTTGGTTGTTATCGTTGCTGGTGTTTGTCTGTGCCTGGAATATCTGTGGTGTCTCCAAGACGTTCTCACGTATCCTGCTGGTTGTGCTGCTGGCACGTGTTACACTGTCGCTCGTTTCGATCCTGCCGGACTATCTCTATAGAAACGTCGTTCAGCTGAACCCAGCCTACTTCAATGTCTACGCTCCACACTACGAGCGATTCAATACCACACCACAGATCCTCGCTATCCAAGCGGCGTTCGGTCTCTTCTTCATTACACTCTCCATCAACTCGAAGCTGGCCGACCGCTTCTGGATGACAAAGACCATCATCATCGATTGGGTGTTGGTTATCGTTGCGCTGGTTGTCACATCGATCATGGATCTCGTTGGCAAGTCAAACTACTTCTTTGTCGTCTTGGCATACACTCTTGGCGCCAACGTATTCGGCTACGCAATCATGAAATTCATCGAAATGCAATGGGCAATCAACAATCAATATCTAAATATCTCAAATAATGTTGTTTTCGATACCGACGCAACCGTTGTTGTAAACAAAGATCATCTTTCTTCAGAAGCAACAGAAACATCACCATCACCGTTCGTCGATGATACGGACTATAGCAAACTATCAGAGGATCAATTGAATGAGATTTTGTCAGCACCATCACCGGATCACATGGAAGAACCCGAAGATCCATCAAAGGTGTTCATCAACAATCTCGTTGCACCAGTGTTTGTTCGCAGCCAAATCCGATCGAAAGAGATCGTTTGTGCAACTCTCTTGTTTATTTTCGTACTGTCGAACCGTCTCATGGAACACCCAAGCTCGATCAACGCATGGAAGTTAGCCTCGCTTTTTGGCTTTACATCGACAATCCTTGCTTATTTCTCGAGTATATCAACTAAAAGACCAACTTCAACAACAAAATCAAATAATACAACAATCACCACATCACCACTACCAAGAGAATGTTAAAATATAAACAAAACCAAACAAAACAAAACAAAACAAAACGAAACAAAACCACTAATCCCAATTTAATTATTTAATAATATGTAATGTTAAATAAAGCTTAAAAAACAAAAAAACTAAATCAATTTGCCTTTTCATTTAAAACAACATACAAATATCTTAATTAAACAATAAATCATATCAAACAAGATGAATTAGAGTGACACATATTAATAAAAACAAAATATAATAACCTCTATCATATAAACATGAAGTAGATAATAAGGTTTGACCTATTTTTTTCGTAATGAAGAAACTTTCTTTCAATAACCAATTTCATTAAATAAAAACATTAAATTAAACCTTTTTTATCTTATTTAAACTATTTTTCTTTATTTTATTTATTTGTGTAGATATTAATATAAACAATGAACGCTCATTCGTTTAATTAAAGAAGATAAAAAATTGGTTAAAGCAGCAGGTAACGTTGTAAAAATGAAAAATGATTTTTCAAAATTTTTTTTTTGAATTCCTGACAACGACCTCACACAGCTCGCAGAGCACGCACCTGACGGGTTGCGAGTGTTGGCACAGTGATTCGGCTCATACTTAATTCTATTGAGAGTATCCTAGATCAATTGTTAGCACCCAACAGGTATTTATCATATTATATTATTATTATTATGAGTTAAAGATAGTTCATCGTTGTTAATAAACTCTCAACCAACCCTACTTCCCTACCTACTCCTCTACTATCTATCTCTCTTTCACTTTATCTATCTATCTTTTAGAAATGGCCAAATCAAAGAACCACTCGACCCATCACAGAAACTCCAAGGAGCACCGTAATGGTATCAAGAAGCCAGTCGTCCACGCCAAGACCTCCTCCAAGGGTGTAAGTATCAAGACAAAACTCTAAGAAATATATAGGATAGAAATGTTAATAATGTGTTGTTATTATCAATAGTTGGACACTAAGTTCGCCAGAAACCAAAGATACGCCCGTATTGGTGTCAAGCCAGAGAGATACGTTCGTGGAGATATGCAAGAGCAAAAGCCACACAAGAACCCAAGAAAGAGCGTCAAGCAAATCTTGGCTGATCTCAAAGCTAAGCAAGGAAAATAAACGTATAGCAACCAAGATGTGAACGTGGTTTTTTAAAATAAAATTGGGTATTAACAGAGAATATCACATTATTGTTATTCAAAAACAACACATGTAGGATTATACAGGTTAGGATATTCTAGATTCAATTCATACTAGTGAGATTTAGAGAGAACAAACATGATTTTATGACTTTATAATAGTAAAAAGTTGCACCATTAGTTAATGGTGAAAGTTATAGTGCAATAGAACTGTAAAATCTTTGAGCTCTCTTTCTCGAATAATACAATAAGAATATATGTGTTTCTATTTTTTAAATGATACAACAACAATAATTAAATTAAAGATGGCGATTGTATTGCTTTGATTTAATTTAACTAATTAATGATTATTAATCATTATCAAAGTTTATTTTATTATCATTCACATCTAATCTTTTTTTTTTTAGCCATATCTTGTCTTATTTTAAAAATTTCTTTTTATTGATTTTTAAGTTGATGGTAATAGTAACAAGTGTGGTCTTCTTGTTGTTATTATTATTATTATTATTGTTTGTTATTACAGTGTATTGTTATTGTGTTGTGTTATCGTTATTTATTTGTTTTTATATTTAATTTATTTTGTTGTTGTTGTTGTTGGGTTTGTTTGTTTTAATAGTGATGAAATAGAATCAACCCATTTTTGTGAATTATGTTCAACGTCTTCTAATAAATATTTTCTCTTTGGCTGTAGTTAATGTAATAGTCGTTAGAATTTGCTTTGTTTTTAGATTAAGGTTGTTGTCTACTACTTACTGTTTGAATAACAAAGTTTGAACCACTCTTTACTTCAGGTTTCAATGAGGATGACCATGGTATTTCACCTTTTAGTTCCATCTTCTTGGGATCGATGTAGATGAGACGTGGCTGCGACGTGAGAATGAGTTGACGCTTCTTGATTGAGAAGCCTTTCTTCTTCCACACCAATCCAGACTCGACAATGTTTTCATTTGGCTGCAGGAATTGCGCCCATTTGGCGCGGTCACTGTTTCGCTGTTGTGATGGCGATGAGTTTGACGGTGACGATCCTGTTGGCGAGCCGCTCTGCAGACCGTTGCCAAGATTACCATTACTCGAACTAAGTGATTGTTGTGAGAGATTGTTATTACTATTACTACCAACGTTGTTGTTGCTGTTGTTGAAATTGTTACTGCTGCTGTTGTTGTTATTGCTAATATTGTTGTTGCTATTGTTGGATGCTGAGAGGTCGTGTGTCTCCTCAAAGACAATCTTCTCGGTGGGTGGAGCAATCGTTGGTGGCGTCGCTCTATGTAGGTTCTCCCAATCGATTCCCTCAAAGAATGGATGTTGTTTCAACTTTTCGAAACCGGTTGTCCTCGAGCCAAGCCGATCGGTTGGATTGACAACTAGCAACTTCTCAATCAAATCCTTTATCACCGGGTTCATATTCAGCGGATAGACCAACTCGCGATTCGAAATCTTTTGGAATGTTAAAAACTCTGTCTTTCCTCTGAATGGTAATCGTCCGGTACTCAATTGATAAATAATACATCCTAATGCCCAAAGATCAGACCTAAACAATTAATTATTTTTCGCGAAAAAGTAAGTGGTAAGTAAGTAAGTAAATAAATTGTCATTAGTTAAACCAATGTGATAATCCTATGTAGCTACTACTACTACTACTTACTCTGTCGAAGTCTCTTTGTTATTGATTAATTCCGGTGAAACATATTCTGCAGTTCCAACGAATGAATTTGAACGAGTCAATTCTGGAGAGGATGGAGTTGATGTTGCCGGTGCTGTTGTTTCGTTGGTGGTGTTGGTGTTGGTGTTGTTATTTTTGGTGGCGTTACCAATGATTTTTCCAGTACCAAAATCTGTTACTTTTATGTGCATGTCGTCCGCCAGCAATATATTTTCGGGTTTGAGATCGCGATGAACTATTCCGATGCCATGAAGGTGTTCGAGTGCACTAATGATTTCCGCTGTATAAAACTTTGTACATTGATCGTTGAACGATCCAACTGGTTTAATGTGATGTAGTAAATCACCTTGTGAACATAATTCCAATACATAATCTAAAGCAACAGAGGCAGAAGAAGAAGAAGAAGAAGAGCAAGGATGGATTATAAATATTAGACCAATTCTAATGTGTGTAAAGTGTAAACACAACTACTACTACTACTATCAAGTTCCAACTTACATAAACAATTTTCAGAACGAAAAGTAAAGTATAATTTACAGATATTTGGATGGTTGGCTCTACAGAGGATCTCTTTTTCTATTTGTACATATTTCGCTTTGTTCTCCTTGAGGATATGTTTCTTTTCGAGTATTTTTATGGCGTATTGTATCGAGGTTTCCTTGTCGGTACCCAGCACCACCGCACCGTACGAACCCTCACCGAGAACCTTGCCAATGGTAAAGTCATCGATAGTCTTCTTTTTGGGTGCGATCGACGGCGATGAGTTGTTGGGTGAGCTGATCATCGGTGAAAACGAAATGTCATTGCTGCTGACTGCCGATTGCAACAGATGTTTCAAATCCACCGCGTTCTGTGTCGTGTTACTACTGATACTACTTCCACTAGCTTCTCCACTGATGTTGTTGTTGTTGTTGTTGTTGTTGTTCTTTACTTCATCAGATATACTACTATGTTGTTGTAGTTGAACAGACGAGTTATCATTATCATTTACACTACTAGTAGATACATCATCATTATCATTTTGATGATTCATTATAAAATCTATCTATCTATCCTATCCTATCTATCTATATGTATATTATATATATATATATTTCTATTTTACAAAACTATATATTATTATTATTTGTATATATTTAAGTTTTTAAAAAAACTTATAAAAAAAAAAAAAAAGATATTTATTTTTTTTTTTTTGCCAATAATGGTTTTGTTTTTTAGATATTCTTTGTTTTCTTGTTTTTTTTTTTGTTTATTTTGGTTTAAGAGATATATGTATATGTATTTCTATATGTATAATATATGTATATATAATATATGATTTAGTTACTTTATTATTGTTAATGTATTTTTGTATAAGCAATTTAAGAATTCTAATAATCAAATTGCAATAAAATTATGTACAATTTAAAAATAAAAGTGATTTTTTATTAATTAATTAAATATGGATAAATGTATATTTTCTAGAGTTATTTGTTTGTTTGTTTTGTTCAATCAATGATTTAAATTTAAATTTAAAATAATCATTATGAACAGTCCATCAAAAATAGTATTTTAATTTTCAAAAAAAAAAACAAATTGTTTTGTTTTTGTTTTTTTTTTTTTTTTTGCAATTGTTTATTGTGTTTTAATACATAGAGTGAATAGATTGAAAGATAATAGAGTGTTAATCAAAAACAATCGTTTTTCTTAAAAAAATTGTCGATATTGTTGGTTGTTGTTGTTGATGAATGCTGTCATTTTTGTTGTTTTATGATTTTTTCTGTTGTGTTAAAAATAGAGTAATCAAAATTAATCCAATACCATTTGGTTGGTTGACTCAACACAACACAACACAATACACGCACATACACTCCAAACACACACAACAGAAAAACAACTCTGTCCCTCAAAATAACTCGATACCAACAATCATCATTTATCTATTGCCAATTTTAATCTTGTCTATTTTTACATTCCCTTTCATTTTTGTATTTGTTTTTGATTAAAACAACAACACATTCATACAAATAAATATATTTTTTATTTATAACTTTACAAACTAACATTTTATTTTGCATTTCATTTCATTCATAAGTACATACTGATGCATATGAATATGAGTGTTAGCATTGCTTTGGTTTGTTTGATTGATCATTTAATTATTATTCTTTCAATTACAACAGTTAACTGTTATGTTGTAACAAATAATATAAATTACTGTTGTTATTGTTATTGTTATTTATACAAACGATATTATCACAAAAAAAAAATTAAATATTCATATTTGTTGAATATCATCTACATCTATTATCAGATATTAATAAAGGAAATGTGAGTTACATATACGTAAAAGTATGGGATGACAATAAAATTTATTTTAATTAACAGAAATCAGTAGAAAGTTATTTTTAAAAAAATAATTGATGATATCATTTTTAGAGCTATTATTAGATCCAATCCAGTGTATCATTTATTATTTCTGGACAATAATCACCATGATGATCTAATTAACATTTAAAATTACAATAAAGTTATCTTTTTTTAGCTGGTCATTTAAAAAAAAAAAAGTATTATTTTTTTATCCTTTAAAACTTATAAAAAAGTCGTTAAAAATATTGGTTTGTCTTATTCTTTTATTATTATGATTTATTATATTTTCCGGGAATTTATAGTAGTTAAAATGACTGACTTAAATCAAAAAGGAAATGTTATTGATTCCGTTAAAAAATTTAAGCAAACTCCAAAAAAATTATTTCTCAAAAATTTGAATTCAAAAATTCTAAGAAAAAAAGATTTTATTTGGTAGATCCAATTCAATAACATGATGTATCTTGCAAATAATTACACTTTTATTTTTTATTTTTTTCCCGCTAAAACATATTATTATTATTTAATTTAAATTAGAGAATTCTAGAATACGATCGTGTTGTTAATATTAAATTTCTTTAATTTGACAAAAAACAAGAACAAAAACAAAAACAAAACATACATATATAGATAGTTAAATAAATGTCAGATTTTGAATTTTCATTTACATCATTGGATTTGTTTAGTAATGGAAATGGAGGAATCAGTTCACAGCAGCAGCAGCAACAACAACAACAGCAAACAGATAACCGAGATCAACAATTAATAAAGATAGATAACAATGCACCAGAGTTGGTTTTGTTAGTTGGTCCACCGTGTTCAGGTAGGACTTTCTACTATTATCAACACTACAGATCGACACACATCAGAATATCCGCTACAGAACTGTTTCAGAAGGATCGTGAACTTTCATTTCGATCGATCATTCAGAATCGTGTGTTACGTGCACTCCAAGAGGGCAAGAGTGTGGTGATCGATGACACCAATCACATGAAATCGATACGTGAGTCGTACATTCAAGCACTGATAAAATCAGAGACACCGGTGTCTCGCATCGTTTGCTATAACTTTATACCGTCGGGAGGCGAACTACAGATTCAATGGGCATTGTCATGGGCATACAGTGAGCGGTCGATGGTCGAAAGCGTCGGCCAATCGCAATTCAAATCACTAGATTACGTGCAATTCAAAGCAGAGTATCAGACTCCACTGAAGCGCGAGGGATACAACATGCTCAAGGATTTGACGACACCACTGTTTTTCAATCAGCACAGCGATGAACAAGAGAAAGAGTTGAGCAACATCGCCCTGTTTCTCGACTCGCGAACACTCATCGCGTTTGTCGATCGTTCGAACCAATCGCCTTTCAAACTGCCAGCGGGAACACTCAAGTTTAAGTACGCAGTTCAACTCATCGCGTCGGCGGACGCTACGATCAAACAATGGATATCAAACTACCCAAAGAACGGACCGAACGGTCAGCATCGTATCATCATGCTAATCGATGAGGTATCGCTATTTCCAGCGTCGATCGATTATACCGATCAGATAACAGTTGAATACTATAGAAAAGAGTTGAAAAAGGTTATCAAACAACTATCGGACTCTATTTGTTATCCGGTTTACTATTACTATGTTCCAGCATTGCAGCCCGGTAATGAATTCTATCGATTCCCAAACCTAGGTCTATTTGCTATAGCTCAATACAGACATCGACTATCTCTCCAGAAATCAATCGTTGTCGTCGATGACGCCGATCCAAAACTAGCGACATCAATACCATTCAAAGTTATTTTATCATCTAAATTCTTTCAAGATTCAACATGGTCAATTGAATCAAAAATGTAAATATCCAACAGCTGACATAACCACTTTTAATTGATAGTTAATACTTACAAACTTTCAAACAAAATATAGATCAAAGAATTTATTAGATAATGTAGTTAATATTCCTTCTTTTCTGGAAAGTGTACAGTTTGTAAATTATGATGATATCGATGGTTTCGTACCAGAGAGAGGATTACCAATGTTTTCAAAGGCTTTGATGAGAAAGAATGAGAAAACAACAACAGAGGAGCTTTTACCATCTGGAAAGAGACATGGAGTCTATATTCCGCAAGAAGACAAAGTACAGAGCGATCATCAACAAGATCAAATAGATTCCGACCAAGTTGTTTTCGATTTCGATTTCGAAACGGATGACACTAATGACAATGACAATGGTCAGAACACTAGCACAAAAGCAACAACGGAATCCAATTTCGATGAGAATAGCAAACCGTTGCCATGGGTTGACAATCGATTCATGGTTGAATTTGGAATCGATTCACAGAGTGTTTATCGTGGTGATTCTTATTACCGCGAGGCAAGACTTAGCAATGTGGAGCTCAGTCATAGTGAGCCCGACTATTCTTCACCGTCGATCGCTGTTCGTGCTCAATGCAAAGGAACATCGCCTCAGCCATATTCACTGTTGATCCGATACCGAATGAAAGGCAATGTATTGACATCGCCCATATTGGATACTCAGTGCAATTGTCCGAACGGTGTGAGAACCTACGGAAAATGCAAACACATCGTATCGTTATTCTATCATTGCAACGCACACTTTGCTGAGAAACCCGTACAGAACAAGTACGAAGAGATCTGCAGTAATACACCAGTCAAGCGTAAACTCCCCGAGTGGATGGCACCTGGCAAACCAACCACTTCACATTCAGAGTACAAAAAAGTGTCGCCACAGAAGAAGACATTGAATCTCTATTTCCCAGAGAATGAAGTATCAAACAGTGGAAGACAAGTAACACCAAAGAAACATGGCAAAGCATCATTGGTATTCGAAAAGCCAAAGTCACCGCTCAAATCACTGACTTTCTATGGATCCAATCGTTGTAAAGACTGAACCTCTAGATTCGTCGCCGGTGAAAAAGCAAACTTCTACAACAATTAATTCCGATCTTTTCATTCAACAACTATTTGGAAATCAAAGAAAGAGTTATATCAATGATAACAGTAGCAACAATAGTGGTGACGATGACAGCAATAACAAAGCTAATCAAAATAGTATGTTGGCAATGGATACTACCAATGGTTCCGATGAGTTTTGTGTACCAAGAACAAACTCTGAGGAGTTTCTTCGCTCAGTAATACAGAAGGAATTTAACAACACTCACGAACCAGTCCAATCATTTTCATTAATGTCAAGTCAAGATGACAATACAACAACAACAACAACAACATCAACATCCACCACAACATCTTCATCTCCAACAACCAAAAAGAAAATAAGTTTAAAGCAAATATTAGAGAGCCAAGGTTTTCAAATCGATATTCCATCTTCACTATCAACTTCATCACCACCACCACCACCAGCCACAAATTAATCGCTACATCATCATCATCTAATTTATGTTTTATATTCTATTTATATTTATATATTTATATTTTTCACACGGGAAATTCATACCCTAACGATTTTATTCTCCAATCACCCATCGCATCTTTAGTCCACTGTACAACTCCAAAATACATTTTCGATTTCTCCTCACTTTGTATATGAACTGTAATTAATTAAAATAAATAATTATTTTTTGTTAATATAACAATTGCTATCTATTTCTGTATTATTTTTTCTCTAATTAGAGTGATTCTGGGTTGAATCAAACAACAACTTACTGTTTTCATTATCCAGCACAGTATAATGCTGTTTAGCATAGAATTTGTGTGCGGTCACAACATCACAATCGCTATCCTCATCGAACCAACTGTATACCAATGAATCACTGAACTCCATGATCTTCAAACCATTCACCAACAACAATAGCTTATCACCAGGGTAATCACGAGTGATTTCCAATTTAGATCTGAAATCTCTGAACCAACTATCTTTAAATGAACCACCTAAAATCATCTTGTCTAGCAAATCGAAATCTCTTAATCTTACTGCCTCTGTTTATTAAAAGATAATGATAATCAGTAACCAGCTTATTCTTAATCATAACAGATTGGTCGAGTAGTAAATAAAGAGATACAATACCATAGAATTTTAATAATGCTTTCTCTGAATCTAGATTAAGAAGTGATAATTGATGATGATGAAGTTGTTAGTTTGTAATTCACCATTAATTACATATAGTAGAGTTATAATCACTACTTACTCTGTAAGAAATCTTGTGCCTCCTGAATGTCATCCATACCACTGTACCACTTGGTGAATTGAAATATTGGCCAAGTGATAATTTGATCGTATAGATCACACTTGATAAGAATGTTATCATAGATGTAATATGCACCAACCTTTAAATCTTTAGGTATCTTTTTGCTGATCAGTGATTCTTTTAGTTTTTCGTATCTTTTCAACCTATTGAAGTTAGATACTTGTTTCTTGATCTTTTGATTCACAAGTGTAGTATCTGTTGCTTGAGAGTGTACTTTTGTTTTTGTTGCTGGTTGTGTTGCAGCAGCTCTTTCTTCTCTTATCTTTGAAAGATCCAATTCTACTATACTATGATCGTTGTTGACAACAGATTTCTTGTTGATCGTATCCAGTGCCTTTTGAAAGAATACATTCTTGTGCCAAACGGAGAATCTATCGAAATTTGGAATGTTTCTTTCTACGAAAGCCTTTGCATATCTCTTTCGGTTGGATTGTATAGTTGTTGTTGATCCACTCTGTATTTTGGGTGTGGGTGTTGGTTTTTTATCTTTACGTATACTATTAATCAATGAATTCCTCTCAATTGGACCATACTTTGATTTTAATGAATTAAAAAACTGCATATTATATAATAAATTTAATGAAACATCACTGAACTATTGTTGTTGTTTTGTATATAAATAAACTAATTACAAATAAGATAACAAAAGTTTATGTTTTCAAAAACTTTGTGATTTTTTTTAAAAAAAAAAAAACGATAGTGACTTACGTCATCAAGATACCATTTATGGAATACTATCATAAAGGGTCATATACCTACAATCATAGTGACAGAACGAGCACCAAGTAAAACTATGAAATAAAAACAAATAAATTAAACCTATCTACTTTTATATCTGATTATTTTTAGTGAATGAAAGTTTTATTGACCAGTGCGATTCAAAATATTTTCAAAAAGGTTAATTTGTTATATTAGAAAATATATAATAAATATATATAGATTTATTTAAATGCTATACTGAAAGATGAAAGTACAACTTCCAACTCTTTGATTAATGATTCCTTTTCCTCAGGAGTCTCAGTGAAGAACATCATTATTGAGTTACCATGACCTTGTAGTTCAAAAGCATTCTTTGATATTGTGCCATAACATTCTAAAGGAGAGATAATTATGTTAATATTTGAATTGAAAAAAAAAAAGTTGTTTTATGGTTTGTAAATGAATGAATATTATACATACTTTGACCATCATTAATATTTCTTAATTTAACATTGGATAAAGGCAAATTGTTCTTGAGTTGAAGTTTCTTCTTGCTTTCCTTGGCAATCAATAGTAGATCGTTAAAGAGGTAGTAGATTCTGTCCTTTCCTTTCTCCTCCTCGGTCGAGTATTGGGAGATATGGCCTTCACGGATAAGGAATCTCGAGTCGGTTACCAATTGGAAATCCTTTGGTTTGTTCTCGATTCTGTTGGCAATGTTGGTCAGTGTCTGGATTCTGATCTTCTCGTTCTCCTCTTTACGCTGATTCTCATTGACGTCCGTACAGATATCCTGTACTTCGAAAAGAGAAATACACAGGTCATCGTAATCTGCATGTGATGGCTTGGTGTACTTGATGATCTCCTTCAACAGTAGCAGATATCTAGTGATACGCTGGACTGGTGTGATCAGCAACGACTGTAGGTTGGTACCGGTCGCACTACCATTGGTCCACAATGATTTCTCAGAGTTTTTCAAGAACGCTCTGAAAGAACTCTTGGCATTGGAAAGTCTTTCAATAGTCGATAAAATATTTTGGAAAGACAAAGTAAAATTATTATAAATAGTTTTAAATTCATTTAGTGTTACCTATATAATGTTTTAATAATAAAATTTTGTTAGTTATATATAATACTTATGAAGATATATTGTTATATAAAACTTACAAATTCAACTAAAATATCACCAATCTTTTGAGCAGATGTCCACTTACAGACTCTCTCAACTAATCTTCTATATAAATCTTTGTTGATACTTAGAATGATTTCATGTTTACCGAAAATCAAATCGACTTCCTCCTGTGAGATCATTGGAATGTCAGCTTGGCAAAGTCCACGGAGTGGGAATGCGAAATGTTCGATTAACTTTTCTAGACCTTCAACGTATGTGCATTCAGTATTGATAAGCTCTCTGACTGCCTTGGTTCTGAGCTGTTCACGTTTGTAATCCTTTCTGGCTTTCCAACGACGAACGTATGATTGTAAAATGATTGCAGCCTGGTCTTGAGTGAGGATTCTGACTGGCTTTGGTGGAATAAATATAGATTCAAATGAGGTAGAGAGATCCGGTGAGTGATCGCTTCTGCCGTGTGGTTTCAAAGTTGACGATGATGTGGTTGTAGATATAATGGATGACGAAGATGATGTAGATGATGAGGTGGTGGTTGTAGTTGTGGTTTTGATTCCGGCTCTTCGCTTCTCATCAGACTCAAACGATACAGACTTCTTGTCTTTGGTAACTTGTGGGGCAAATGATACAGTTTTGGAGCGTGGCTTGCCGTTGTTGTCTTTCGATGGCATGGAAGCGTCCTTCTTTGGATCGTCAAAGGGGAACGAAGAAGACTTGCTATCGTCCTTCTTGAGCATGCTGGATGAGCTTGGGTGCCAGTCATCAATATGAACACCTAGAACACGTTCATTCGGACACTTTTGTTGGCAAATTGGACAAGTGAATTCAGTGACGGTTGGTGGCGATGTTGCTCCAGCTCTTAAACCGGTTGCTGCTGGCTTCTTTGGACCATCCTTGTGGATTGTCTCGAGCTCCTTCTTGATTCTGTCTTTATCCTGTCCCTTGACCATTGGATTTCTGAGAGATGGTGATGGCATGTTGGTGGTTGTGGTGGTGGATGACGATGACGATGATTGACTGTTGGATGTTGATGTGGTGGTGAAGTTCTCAAAGAGATCCAGTGGGAATCCAGAGGAAGAAGAAGGTGCAGGAGTGGTAGTGATATTTGGAACTGCTGTGGGAGATGTAGTAGTGGTTGTGCTACTTGAGGTGCTAGAATGTGAGGAAGTGGTGGTTGTTTGAGCAGGTGGAACCGAGAATGGTGTACTCTTCTTGTCGTTGGACATCTTTTCCTCATACTCTCTTCTTACACGCTCTTCAACTTCCTTACGGATCTTCTCTTCGACTTCCTTACGAATCTTCTCCTCAGACAAAACTTCAGACTTGGGGGAGAGTGTCTCAATTGGATGATACTTGTCCATATTCTTTTTGACTTCATCTTGATTACTAAATACAGGTTTTGGTTGTTGTTGTTGTTGTTGTTGCTGTTGTTGTTGCAACTCGAAAGGTGAGGGGTTGATTGTAAGTTGGTCAAATGCAAACATTGGGTTGGGAGAAGTAGCTTGGACACTTGACGATTGTGTAATAGTTGTATTTTGAACCATTGAGTAGAATGGTTGTTGTTGTTGTTGTTGTTGTTGTTGGGGATTTGATTGTGGTTGGTTGATCAACGAGTTGTTGTTCATTGTACTTGGTAAAATGGAGGAGAGAGCTGCTGTATTTCCATGTTTAGTTGGGTTAGCAAACGAGTTGATTTGTGATGTTGTGGAATGGGAGGGATAATGTTTTCTTTGGCAGACATTGCACCAATTGAACCAGTTGGTGTAATGCTATTAGTTTGTACAGGTTTGGAGGTAGGCATATTGGTTGGCAAACTGTTGGTCAGTGAGACATGTGAGCCCGAAGAGGTTGGTGATGGAATTGGGTTGGAGGTAAGTGATGAAGCAGTAGCGGGAATTGGTTTTTGTGGTGATACGGATGAGGATGGTGATGTATTTGGTTTCATCATGATCATTGGATTCTCCATTGAGATGGGTGGGCTCATCATTGTAGGTCTCTGTTGTTGCTGCTGTGGTTGCTGAGGAATTGCAATGTTTGAAGTGATTTGAGACGATGATTGCTGTCCGATTTGCATCTGAACAGAGGTACCTGGTTGAATCATCATGTTCATTGGCGGCATCATGTTGAGTTGCTGCTGATTCATTGGATTCATCATGAGGTTGTTGTTCATCTGTCCAATCATTGGATTCAACTGCTGATTGATCTGCTGATTCATCATATTCAACTGATTCATATCGATGGAGGTGGTCGTGGTTGGCATACCTTGAATGTTAATCGGTTGCAACGGTTGCATTCCGTTCATAGGACTCATAGCAGGCTGCATTTGACCCATTTGCTGTTGGTTCATTGGCATGCCTTGCATGTTGATTGGCTTCATCGGACCCATTTGATTCATCTGATATTGATTCATTTGGTTCATCTGATTCATCTGATTCATCTGATGCATTTGTAGCTGTTGTTGGTTCATTGGCATGCCTTGCATGTTGATCGGTTGCATACCAACAGGCATTCCCTGTTGCATATAGGCAGATTGTGGAACCATCGAAGGTGAATTCAGAGTGCTGACAATCTCTGCATATTTATTCTCGTCGTTCCAGTTGACTGCTTTGTATTGCGGTTTTCTTTTCTCTTGTTCTATGGAGAGGAATGGGTCATTGTCATTGGTTGGGAACCATCTATTGTTATTCTTCTCCTTTCCACCACCACCGCCACTACTACTGTTGCTGTTGCCGCCACTTCCAATCATCGAAGGGATTGGTTGCATCGGTTGCATCTGTAATGGTTGCATCGGCTGCATTCCAATTTGCTTCTGCTGTTGTTGTTGTTGGAATCCTGATGGCTGTGGAGTGAGCGGAGCCTGCAGTGTTGGCTGCATAAAGTTATTGTTGCCATATTGTTGTGTATAGTAAACTTGTTGTGTTTGCGAGAACGATTGATTCATATAATACTGTTGTTGTTGCTGGTTCTGAAACTGCAGATTTTGACCTATAAATAAAAATTCACAAAATATTAGTAACGAGTAAAGAAAATGAAATGAATCAACAAATCAGCATGGCTTACCATTATTTTGAGGTTGCATTTGCTTACTTTGGAAACTAACTTCAAAACTCGATTAAAATGTTTGGGGTGAGGACTCTGCTGAGTACAACAACTTTAATATTCCTCTATTTTGATAGAGATGGTGTTGTTTGTTGTTGTTTGTTGATTTTTAGTAGTTGTTGATAGGTAATGTTACAATGTAACTAATTTAGATTTCTAATTTTACACTTTAATAAATAGATTATTATTATTATTAATTAACCAAACTAATAACACTAAAATTGAAAAGAATTTATCTGTTTCTATCTAATTCTAAATTAAATATAATAATATTAGTATATTTATTGAGTGGAAATGAATTGATTGATTAACTCTAAATGATTGATTGATTGATTATAAATAATTTTATTTTTGAACTGATATGAAAATAAAATAAATAAAATAAATATAATATAATAATCTGCAGTTTATTACCAAAACACAAAAATAAACAACATTAAATAAATTAAATAACAACTATTGATTCAAATTATTTTTTTTTATAAAGGTGATTTATACTACTTTGATACAGTAGTTGTAGAAGTACTAGTATAAGTAGTTAGTCGGCTATCACAAATGTAATAATTAAACATAAAAATAAAATAAAAACAAAATTTAACTATATATTAGTTGGGATATAGTAGGAATTGTCTTTGTTTTATTTTTATTACAATTATTTTGATATTTTTTGTTGTTATAATAAAAGATAGAACAATCGTAAAAACAAAAATAATAATAAAAATGAAATAAATAGATATAGATAGGTAGATAGATAGATGTAATGTATGGAAAAGACAGATAAGCAAAAAAAAAAACCTTAATATTACTCTTATTATTATTATTATTTTTATTTAATTATTGGATATGTTTTGTTTTGTTTGTTTTGTTTTGCAAACTTGTTTTATTTTTTTTTATTATTATTTCTATTTATTTAATTTCTTTATGGTTGTTGTTGTATTCTATCTCATTTATTTATTGTTGTTGTTTTTATTGTGGCTGTTTGTTATCAGTCAATTGTTAGATGTGTGTATATAGATTTGAAGAAGAAGAAAAGTGGTAATGAAATAATTAGAATTACTAATATAAGTTGTGTGTTGTGCTGTTCTGGTGGTTTGGAGTGTGAGGTGGGGACAGTGTGTGGAATGGAATGAATGAAATGTGATAAATTGGAAAGTCGAATAAATAAAATTGTATTCTCTTTAAAATAATTAATTAAAAATTATAAACCACGATTATTTTGTGATGATTATTATTATTTTATTTAATTGATTGTTTTGTTTGATTGCTATTATTAATGCAAACACAAATAAAATAATAACAATTCAAACCAAACTTAACCAAACAATTTAGTTGAAATTGAATATGAATTAATGTTTGTGATATTTTCACATAATATCATGAGAATTTATATTTTTATCTATCCCTCATACCATATTCCCTCACACTTTAAAAACAAAAAAAAAATCACCACAATAAAAAAAAAAAAAACAAGAATTTATTACAAATGATCCAAATTATATTTTAAAGTTATGGATTATGTAAATAGTGTTTGATGTGTGGTGCTGATAGTGGTGGTGAATGTGGTGAATTATTATTGTTGTTTTTGCATTCAATTAAAGTTTGTGTGTGAGAGTGATGTGTGATGTGGTTTGGTGTATTTATTGCCAATCACATATATATATTTTTTATATATATGATTCTTTTAATAGACCATAGTTATTTAATCAAAATTTACTCTATTATCAATAATAGAAAAAGAGATAATGAATTTATTGATGATGATGATGATAGATGCTTTGTTTTGTTTTGCTTTGTTGTTATTAACAACACCCTCACTATATGATGATAGTATTACTGTTATGTAAGGTGTGTTGTTGTTGCTGCTAACTGTTATTATATTAATGAATTGAAATGGTAATAGATCTCAATATTTTAAAATAAAACTAATTAATCAGCAGTTTAATTTTTAAAAATATTTGAATTGTTAACAATGTGCTTCCACCGAGTTGGTTCTATTGGAATTGAACTAAAATAGATCTCTGTTATTACTGCTACTACTACTAATTATTAATAATGAACAATAACAATAATTATAATATTATTGTCGACCTATTTCTAACATTCCAGCATGTTGCTATAGAATATTAAAGATATATCTATTCTATTGACTATGTTTATCATAGCGGTATTATTTATTTATTATGAGGAAGATGATGAAGAAGAATGAGGAAGATGATGGTGTTGATGATAATGATAACAAAATTTAATATTATTTACAAACTAACCTAAAATAACTATTTTCTATTTTTTAATATTTGTATAACTTAATTATTATATTTATTTTTTAAAAGAATGATTTAATTGATTGATTTGATTGATTGATTGATGATGTACCTATTAAATTTAATTAAACTTTATTTTTCTTTTCTTTCCTTTCTTGATTGATCTCTTTTTTTTTTTTTTTTTTTTGATTATGATGTTATTGTTTTGAATTATTATTATAATAATTTTTAGTTAAATTTGAATAAATACAAGCAAATTATTTTGAAAAAACAAAAATTAATTTAAATTCAAATTTGGCCATTATTTGAAAATATGAAAAAAAAAAATTCTTTCCAGTTTTTTTTTTTTTTTAATTTTTTTTGATTAAATTTGAATTTTTCAAAACGACAAGTTTATTTTATTTTTTTTCATACTCCATAAAGAATGTTCTTGCGACAAAATTGAAACATCATTGTTGTTGTGGATGTTCCAACCAAAAACCTCTCCTTTATGATTGTTTCCTATCTTTATCAGTAATATTGCCCATTAAAAAAATATGATTTTTTTACAATTTTTTCCAACTTATTGAGAGCACTCACTCCCACTGTTTAATCATCCATAGGTACTACCTTACTTTAATATTTAACCACACACACACAATAAAATAATATTTTTTTTCTTAAAATAACAACCAGGTAATTAATTTTGGTGATGTGTGTGTCAGTAGTGGTAAACAACAAAAACACCGTTACGTTGGACGAAAAAGTATCCGAGAAACCTTATTGTTGAACAGTCGTCCTTTGGAACCATCATAAATTACAGTGGGCTACTACTCAAAGGTGGAGTCACTACTATCTTCCAAATTGTAAACAAAACTAAACAAAACAAAACAAAACAAAACAAAACAAAACAAAACATAAATGTTCTAATTAATCTTTATTATTCACAATTTTAAATTTGCAAAGTTTCTTGAACGATGGTATGACCAACAACAATTTCAATTCATATAATTGTTGTGCTATATATTTATCATAATAATAAAGATTACTTTAAACAATATTGTTTATTATAGAACATTTAATAAAACAAATAAAAATAGAATAGAGTTTTAGTTTATTATTATATGAAATAAATATCTATGGACATTGCAATGAAATCAATAAAATCATAAAATAAATTAGTAGTCTCTACTTTTGTTTTTTTTTTCTCAATCCATCCAAAAATAATATTTAATAATCTCGAAGTAATTTTGTTATATTAGTGATTTGATTGATATAATGTATACATAAATAAATAGTTTAGTTAGTTAGTAGAATATTACTTTAAGCAAACTCATACTTATAAATAACCTTATAACAAATAAAATCCAAAATCCAAATTCTACAATTTTGTTGGTGAAGAGGTGAGGTGATAAAAGCTCTCTACTGTAATTCATTTGTGTTGTTGTGGTGGTGGTGAAAATATTTAATATTTTCACTGGTGAAACGAAACGACAGCAGCGAGACTCGTTTTCGACATCAAATAAATTGAACTAAAAACTTTGAAAAAAAAGTTAAAAAAAATTAATTTCACTTTTTTGGTGGATGAGGGTGTAAAAAAAAAAAACAAAAAACATCTGAGATGGTGAATTTTTTTTTGAGCTAACTAGTATTACCTGTTTCCTCATTATAATACAATTTTTATTTTTTATTTTATTTTATTTTATTTTTCTAATAAAAACAAACACAAACAATAATACATACATATAGAAATCTATAGATTTGATTTGATTTTTAGATTAGATCCTTAGTTTAGTTTTTAGTTTAGTTTTTAGTTTAGTTTTTAGTTAGTTGTTGGATTGTTGTATTATTAGTTAGTGATATATTTTTATATATTATAGGAATAAGAAAAGAAGAAAGAAGAATAATAGATGGCAATGTTTCGTAGGATGAAGGATCTTGTGAAAGATCTACCTTTGTTTCAGGAACAACAACAACAACAGCAACAGCAACAACAAACAAATGATCATTTATCGCCTAGAACAACAACGACAACAACTACAAGTGGACATCATTCTCCGTTATCACCAACACCACAACCAATAACACCACCTACACCACCAATAAGAAGAGATTATGATAGTTATGCAAATAGATCAACAACAACAACAACCACTACAAATCAACAACAGCAACAACAACAACCACCATCTATTGATCTATGGAGTATATTCACTAGTTCAGAGGTTCCCTCTGTAAAACAACAGCAGGCATCGACTGCCAAACTTCGTTCGCTATGGCAAGACTTTCTCTCGAGTAAGTCTGACCGCGACAAGATCAGTCGTCTCAATCGTCTGCTCCCACACTTTATTGCGCTTGCCGAAGACCAGAAGTTGGACGTCCGCAACATGACCGACATCTTTGGAAACAACGCCAAAGCATTTGCTTTTGCCGTTTCACGTCGTCTAGTAAAAGATCTCCAGGAGTTGGCAAAGCTACAACAACAACAACAACCTGGTAGTGGCGGTACCGGCCAGCAACAACAACCACTCACCAAAGAGATGCACTCGAAAGAGGTATACAAATACTTCTCACAGGCCGGCAGCAACAGTAGCTGTGGCTTTGAGATTCTCTACACGATTGAGCTGCTCTCGGAGGCGTCGGTTGCATGCGAGGCCATGTCGGAGGCGTCGGTTCCGTCGTCGCTCGTGCGCACACTCCAACACCTCTTCCAAGTACCGATAGTGACACTCGAGTCTACCAAGGGTGTCATCGAAGACAAGATCATACACACTCTACGCAATCTCTCCAAGCAAAAGAACGCCATCGAAGAACTGCAGAAATCCGATACCCTCTCCATCATGTTCAGTCTCATGTCCAACGAGTGTCCGGCCACACACCGACTACTCCGTTCCAAAATAGTGTCATTCGGTACCGATCTAACCGATCTATATCCACCAACTATTACATATATCAATTCAAAGGTAAGATACGCATACTTAATATATAGCATTAACATAACATAACATTATTTAACTTTTTATATTGTTGTTATAAAACAATAGAAAATATTATTACATTTAATTCAAGATTTAAATAATTATTTTGCATTCACAACAGAGACATATGTTGCAATATGTCAAATGATTATAAAGATTCTACAGGAATCATCGAAAAAGTCGGCCATTTTGTTGGACGACTTCCACAAGATCGATGGATACAACTTTTTGTTGACATCGCTCTTTAGACTGGAGTCTTCAAAGGAGAAAGCCTACTTGATCGACTTCTTCCTCGATTCACTGTGTTCGTTGATCTACGTTGGTTACGGCCACATCACAATACCAGAGAGTTCACCTGTTCCCTATCAAACCTCAATTTCACATAATCTTAAAGAAATATCAAGTAATTATACTATTATCATCATAATCATCAATAACTAGTTGATCTAATGCATTATCTTATCTTGCTTCTCTCTCTTTCTCTATAAATTAATCATCATCATCATCATCATCATTAATAATAATAGATCAATTATATATAACAAAGAATGAATCAGCATTTCTAGTATTAGAGAAATACTTTTTGAAATCGAAATACGAAGAGAATAGATTGAAGATTTTGGATAGAATTCTTACAGTCTACTCGTCGAACCCAATCAACTTTCTTCTTTTACAACATTTAAATACTTTGACAAAGTTTATTCAGGACTATGAATTCTTGAGTAATCCTTTAAAAGTAAGTTGGCTATTCTATTGCTATTGATATTTATATTAATTCGTATACTAATTAAACGATTTATTAGTATCATGTTATGAAAATAGTATGCTTTGTAGTAACAGTTTTAAATTATGTTCCATTCCAAGAGTTGAGTACATTCTCTCTTCTCTTGAATGAGAATCCATCGGTATTCACATTGGAGATGATCTACCAATTGATTTCGACATTGGTCAACTTTGAGTTTAGATATAAACATATCTTTAGAGAGGCTGGACTTTTGGACATCCTCATCAAGGTCATCGATTTAATGACAATAGAATTAAAGAAAGAAACACCAATCGATCATATAACATATCAAACTTTAAAAATTAAAAATAATAACAGCAACAGTAGTAACAGTGAACAACATCAACAACAACAACAACATAGTGATTATAATAATAACAATAGCAATGTAGATAAAAATAATAATAACAACAGCAATAACAATAGTAATCACAACAACAAACAACAAGAATCATTTACAATTTTATTAGATTCAATTTATTTATTAACAACTGAACATCCAGATAATATTGCAATCACAAGAAGATAGTAATGTATCAAATTGAAAAAGATATAATAGTACTATTCAATATGTATTAACTCTTTGATGATTATAATTTTAGTGGATTCTTTGATACACTATTATGTTTAGTACCATATGGATTTGTTAGAGGTAAAGCATTGAGGATTTTACAACAACTGATAAAGTATGATCCAGATATCTCACAGCGAGAATTCGATGGATTGATCAAGATTCTTACGATGGGTCCACACCGATCGATTCAAATGAAGACTGATATTTTCAATGCAATCAGAAAGCTGTTTGGTATCTCAAAGTATGCTAGAGATTCATTCAGAGAGCATGGTGGTTTCGTTGCCATCATTTCAGTGCTTATCGGTATGGAGTCAAGCTTTATAAAGACTGTACCAGAGGTAGCTAGACAAGATCAAGATCAACAACAACAGCAACAACAAGAAAAAGTAGGAGGAGAAGGAGGAGATGATAAACAGACTGTTGTCGAGGAAAGTGAAGAGGATATCGAGGAGAGCGTATTGAAATCACAGTTTGAGGACAATGAGAAGTTGGCGTTGCTCGAATCGATCTGCAGAATTACAACTTCGGCGTTGTGTGGAAACACACTGAATCGAACTTCTTTCGAACAGCAGATTGGCTATTCTACTTTTGCTTCGGGTCTGATGATGACCGGTGTCCTCTCGACTCTCTATGCTTCGCGTGTCGTCGACTTTATTTTCGATATGGTCACAGAGAATCTCAATGGAAGCGAAGCCATTGGCAATCGTATGCTGATCAACAATGTCGATGCATTCCTTGTGATTCTCGATATCATTCCTCACATTGACAATCCCGACTACGTGTTGGATATCATCAAGCGATTGAATGAGATGGCAGACTATGGCCGTTTCAACCAGGAGGCACTCTCAAAGCTGTCGATCCCCGATTGGATTCTAACGAAATTCCCCAAGTCGCTGATGAATGTCAACGATCCACTGCAACCGCATCTCCTCAAGCTGATACAAACGGTCGGTGCCAATTGTCTGTCGGGTTCGGAGCTGCGACGATTCGTTCGTTTGTTGCAGCCGGAACACTCGCCTGAGGTTCTACTCAAGATCCTGGCGTCGATGGCAAAGTCTCCGTCGACTCCACCCTACTTTGAGTTCAACCCGAACAACCGTGTCAGTCACGGCTACATCCACTTGCCGATTCAACAACACCAGTGGCCACCAACCAACGGATACACCATCATCTTTTGGCTGTACATCGAGAAGAACGGTCCACAGATCGACCTGCTTCAGATCTACTCTGAAGACAAACGTTCGAATCTCACCATCTTTATCAAATCCGGTGTGTTGACAGTGCACATCCTCAACAACTCAAAGTATGTCATTGAATTCCCGAGTTTCACATTCGAAGAAGGCAAGTGGTATCACATTGGAATAGTACATTCGCGTCGTCTACTCAGTGGAACCGACTTTAAATTGTTTGTCAATGGATTCCTCAAGCAGACAGCATCGAAAGCTCAATACCCGGCACAAGCATCAGGCAACCTTTTCTGTGATATCGGATCGGCACTACCCAATCGCTACACCGGCGAGCAGATCTGGCGAATCGGACCATTCTACCTGACTGAGGAGCCAATGTCCTCGAAGCATATCAACACCATCTATTTCCTCGGACCAAACTACAGTGCCAATTTCAAGGGTCGTTTCTCACCGTACCAAACCTACGAGATTATCAATCACCAGAACTTGACGGCCATCAAAGAGCTGGACTATGGCGACCAGCTCGGTCCACTCAATCTCGTCAAACTCTCGATGCAAATCGACGAATCGCACATCATCATTGGTCTGTGCGCCAACAACAAGAGAATCACACGCAAAGGTCACGGAATCAACCAACAGAACAACGAGAAATCAACACTGCCACCTCACATTGAGTATATTGTTGGATCGAGTCGCGACACCCCGACAAAGGATCCCGATGTCAAAGTGGAGATTATCAATCAAGCCGATCTCAGTGGTAAGCTGAGAGGACAGTTGATGGGTAATGTCGAAGCATTCCGTCGTAACAAGGTTGCCGATGGCATAAGAAAGATCGGTGGAATGCCAGTTGCCTTGCTTCTCTTGGAGAAAGCAAACAGCTCGGAAACACTTCACGACGCGATGCGACTGCTGGTCGGTGTCATTCAAGGTCACTCTACAAACACCCATGAGATGTCACAGATCAACGGTTACGAATTGGGAGCTTGGGTTCTCCGTCGTAAATCACAGTATTTCAACAATCAGATCATCGAGTTACTCTTTGACATTGTCGGAATCAACGGTAATATTTCGGTGACTGGTGTCGCCAATCGCAACGAAGGTACCGTCGCCAATTGGAATGCGTGTAAATACATCTTGATGAACTATCAGCTCTGGAAGAACACCTCGCTCGACATTCAGAAATTCGTGTTGCAAGGATTCAGCGATTTGATTGTGGACAATCATCAACATCAATTCAACTCTGACAGCTTGCGAAAGATTCATCTCATTCAGGATCTCTTTGACATTCTCCAGGACGATACGGTTTGCGAAGATATCGTTCCCAATATCATCACAGTGTTGTTCAATATGTTCAATGAGAAGCTGATTGAAGACGACGTTCGTTTGATCTCGGCGTTCTTGATATCCGGGCTGAATGGACAGCCGTCGCGTCGTCGCCACTCGCAGCGTTTGGTCGGCGGTGAAACGAGAATGAATCGAACTGTCAATCGTGTCTTCCAGATGTTCCTCCAAGTGGTTACCACCTCGAAAGACACCAGTGTAATCTATCGTCGTGTCTCATCGTTCTGGAGTTTCTTCTTTATCAACGAGCAGCATCCACCTCTTTCCGTTGCCTTGGCACTGCGTGTCTCTGTCGCTTTCTTCCTCATAAAGTCAGACTACTGCCATTCCTTTGTTAAAAAATCTGGATTCAAGTTGCTCTCAAAGATTCTCGGTAATCTATGCGGCTATCAAGAGATCTATGTGACACTGACACACTTGCTCCTTGGCAGCACTCCACAGTCGTTGCTCGACCAACAAACTCCTGGATCGACCAACTATCTTGAGTTCCACGAATTACTCCACATCTTCAAACTGAACGAGCAAAAACTCTATTGTATTGAAGCGGCAGAGTTGATTCTCTCGCTTGTCAAGCGTAGCTACGAGGACAACTATCGTAGCGTTCAAGATCGTTCCGGTAACTCTACTGGTAGCGGCGACGGATCCACCTCAATCCTCGACTTTGGCGGACTCTCACCAACTCCACCTTATTCCACTGGTAATATGTCACCACATATCTCATCGACATCATCTTCACCTCAATCTTCACCACTAGCTGTTTCACAAACCATTGGAACACCAACCAAAGAGAGTAGTGGTAGTTCCTCCACCACCACCTCGGGAGGACAACAAACCAATACAAGTTCAAGTGTATTTCAATTTGTTGGTTCACTCTTGAGCAAGGTTGAGGAGCGAACATTGGAGCTAGCAGGTGCCCTCGAAGAGACCGACGGACAACAGCCATCTTGGTCAAACAAAAAGAAGCGAGCCAGTATCTCTATTTCTCACTCGCAATCTTCCGCCAATCTAACTTCGGTCAGCAGTTCATCGAGCATCAACAATAATTTCTCGAGTAGTGTTTCCGACATTGGTGTCGTTCCACCGTTGATGCCATCGGCTACACCCGAAGTTGCATCGAACCTCCAACATACAATGCTCACCTACTTTATGTACTTGTTCCACGAGAATCATTCTTTCCAACAAGAGTTCTACCGTGCCACCCTCATTGAGTCGCTGATTGCCATTCTCTTCCCGAACGGCTCTGTCAACTTGCCTCCAGCAAGTCAGACTCTCCAATCGAACAACTCGACACCTCCCAAGAAAGATAGAGTATTGGATTTGGTGTTGAAATTCCTCTGTCAGATCGTTTTGTCTGCACTGAGAAAATCTAGTCGCGCCATACCGATTGCAGAGGCAGTCCTCGATGGAACTCCACTGAAGACTACCGACGACGACTATATCACCTATCACACTCGTATATTGTTTGAGATTCTCTACACCATAGAGACCAACATCACAAAGAGCGAGTTCTTTGAGACCGACAGAGGAGTGCATGTAAATCTTGTCAAGTTCTGCTCGATGTTGGTCGATCGTGTCTACCTCGACATCTTCAAACACATTTCCAAACGAATCTTGTTGTTCTTGATCAAGATTCTCGAGAAATTGGAAGCGGATCGTCCCTCCATCAAACAGGTACAACCAATCTATCGTAGTTTGAATCGTATTATCTTGTATATGATTAACAATGCTTCGGACAGCGAACTGAGTTTCACAATCAATCATATTTTGAATCACCAACGTATTATCTTTAGTGACAACAACAACGATGCCGACTTCATTGGTTCACTATGTTATCCTTTGTTCCGATTGACCTTTGGTGAGAGTGCAGCAGACACACTCGAGTCTGCCATCAAACTGTGGAAGCTGCTCGTCCAATTGAAATCACCATTTGCCGAGACACTCAATTGGACACTCTCCCTAAAGACACAGCAAAAGGGAGAGGTCATCGATCTTCGTCCTGGATTTGACTTGCTGGTGTCCAAGGGATCTGGCGAATTCAATCGTTGGATGCTAGAAAACATCACGCAACTCAACATGGTCTTTGAGGAGAATGCCAAGCGTGCTCACCTCAACTTTACCAACGCCGAGCGCAAGTCGGCAGCCGACTACATGGCCGATATTAAATACCGTAGAAAAGAGCGTACTCAGAAGCGTGAGAAGACCGAAACCAAAGCCAGTGCCAACGAGAAAGAGAAGAACGAGCACACCACAAAGAAGGTGGAATTCTTTGTGCGCACAGAAGCAGAGAGAAAGAAGAAGATCAAACAGTTGGAGAACGACAAACAAAAGTTCAATGCCAAGCAATTCGAAGCCATGAGAGATCAGATCACTAGAGAGCGTGCTGTTTGGGGACCAACTCTGCCTTCGCCACTCGACAAGTTCAAGCTTGACTCTACTGAAGGACCGTATCGTATGAGAAAGAAGACCGAGAAGAACTATGATTTCTACAAAAACTATCCATATATCCCTGTTACCTTTGTAGAGAGCAACAGCTCACTTATCCCATTGCCTTGCTCAGATGACTCCAAGGCGTTTATGGATATCGCTGGTACTCCAGATGCCGAGCTACTCGAGCCAGCCTACTGGAAGTTTACAACTGCCGACGGAACAGTCCTCTCAAGCTCTTCTCCTGCTTTGTCCAGTGCCGATAATAACAATGAGCAACAGAGCAGCCAATCTGGTACCAGACCAAGTTCATCCACCAAGAAGAGAAGTAGCTCACTGCTCTCCTCTGTCAACAGCATATCGTCTGGCATATCGACCAGCTCCAAGTTACCATCGGAATCTGGATCGCCTTTGAATGCATCCACTGATATCACACCACCGGAATCACCGTTGCAATCGTCAAGTGAGGACATCACAGAGGGTAGTGAATCCAAGTTGTTCACTCTCACCGAAGATGAGAAGCAATCGATACTCTCTGGCGATGTCGATACCGACACGAATCAACAATCTGGAACACCATCGTTGACTAGTCAAGCACCTCCTCAAGCATTCAATCAACCTGACGAAGAGGAAATCGAGGAGCAAGAGGAAAACACTGGTATGTCTACCAATGAAGAGGAGAATCTTGCATTCACAAGATTGTTGGATCCCTATGATCAAACCTATTTGCGTGAGGAGATGAGACGTAATCCGAAATTGGGTTCAGTTATGTTCAATTGTGGAAGTGTCGATGGTATGGACAAGATTGAAGGTATTCTCTTGTTCTGTCCGGTCAACTTGTACATCTTTGATGGCTATGCCAAGGATGAGCATACCGGAGAGATCTCTGAAGTCGAAGAGAAGATCAATATGGAATGGATGGCAGAGGGTACAGTTTTGCCAGCAAAGAAAGTCATTTCACACAACTACATGAAGTGGGGATGGGACGACGTAAGAGAAGTTCTCAAACGTCGCCATCTGTTGCGTCCTGTCGCCATTGAGTTGTTCTCCACCGACGGACGTAATACCCTGATTGTTTTCAAAGATGAGATGACTCGCGAGGAAGTTCACTATAGAATCGTTACCAACGTATCTAATAACAGTATTGGTGATGTATCGGGCATCAGTGGATCGCAAACAGTCGAGGATGACCGTGATCTCGGTGTCAAGGAGAAGTTTACTTCGATCTGGAGAAAGTCGCCACTGACTCTCAAGTGGCAACAAAGACAAATATCAAACTTCCAGTATCTCATGCATTTGAATACTCTGGCTGGTCGTTCCTACAACGATCTTACACAGTATCCCGTTTTCCCATGGGTGCTACGTGACTACGAATCCGATGATTTGGATCTCGACGACCAGTCGGTCTATCGTGATCTCTCCAAGCCAATGGGTGCGCTCGACGAACAGCGTGCAGAGAAGTTTAGAGAGCGTTTCGAGAATTGGGACGACCAAGAACTGAACGAACACAATCAACGCGTACCAAAGTTCCATTACGGTACTCATTATTCCTCAGCTGCGATCGTGCTCTACTACCTGATTCGTTTGGAGCCATTCACCCAGCACTTCCTCAAGTTGCAGTCTGGTCGTTGGGATCAAGCCGATCGTCTTTTCAGTTCCATTTCAGAGGCGTGGACTTCTTCATCGTGCGGTTCGACTGGTTCCATCATGGAGTTGATCCCCGAGTTTTACTATCTCCCCGAGTTCCTTCTCAACACCAACAAGTTCAACTTTGGAAACAAACAAGGTGGAGAAGCCATCAATGATGTCGTCTTGCCTCCATGGGCAAAGGGTTCCGTCCACGAATTCATTCGTCTGCATCGTAAAGCACTGGAATCCGACTATGTATCCGAGCATATTCACGAGTGGATCGACTTGATCTTTGGTTATCGCCAGCAAGGTAAGGCAGCAGAGGATGCTCTCAACGTATTCTACTACCTCACCTATGAAGGTGCCGTTAATATCGATCTCATTGAGGATCCAATCGAGAAGGCTGCAACCATTGCACAGATCAATAACTTTGGACAGACTCCAAAGCAACTCTTTGATAAACCACATCCAAAACGTCAGTCAATCCTTCCTTCATTCCCATTCTACGCGAAAACACTCGTTGGAAACTTTATTAAGGATATTGGAGAACCAGTTGGACAGATTCGTCTCATTAACGAGCGTTGTGCTCCCGCCGGTTTCTACAAGCATTTGTTACCACCCAATTTCACTCGTTACCTGGCATGGGGATTACCAGATGGTAGCATCCGTTATCACAGTGCCGGTGATAAAGTAAAAGCATTGGAAGATCACCACGATGGTCCACTCACTTGTCTAACAGCAACTGACGATGGAAACATTTGTGTCAGTGGTGGAACTGATAGTGTAAGTATTGTTTTTATCAATTTATCAAATTAAATCAACTGTTAATAATTGTATATTTTTTTTTTTTCAGATGGTTTGTGTTTATAATCTAAAGAAATTCTCGCTATCAAAGAGATTGATTGGACACACTGGAACAGTGACAGCTCTGGCTGCTTCCAGACCTTATTCAGTGATTGTCAGTGGTTCAGAAGATCAGACATGCATTATTTGGGATCTCAATAGATTGTGTTACACTAGAACACTTACTGGACACGATGGTCCCATCTCTTGCATTGGTGTTCACGACACCACCGGTGATATCGTAACCTGCTCTGGTACCACCATAAATATCTACACGATCAACGGTGACTTGATGCTCTCCTATAAGACCTCACAGATTATCTACGATCAAATCACCTCTGTGCTCTGGTCAAAGGGACCAGAGTGGTTGAACGAGAATGTTTTGATCACCGGACACCGAGACGGTAAGATCAAGATCTGGGGATTGGAGAGTCGTCTCCTCCCATCGATTGACAACGAACCACTCTCGCCACTCGCCTACAAGAATGTAATTATTCTTAGAGCTACATTCCACAGCCCCACTGCTCATACAAATTCTGTAACATCAATATATCTAACAAAGTAAGTCGAATAGCTATGATCATAATTTAAACACTCATATAACTAACAAACTATTTAAATTTCACAGTGATCAACAAAAACTCTACTCTGGTGATATTGATGGAAGAGTATGTATGTGGTCTGACAATGAAATAACTCAGGTAAGACAGAGAGGTTGGGGTGGACTCAATACCGATCTCAGAACTATATTACCAACAGGAACTACCAAGAAATAAGAAATAATAATAATAACAATAACAATAAAAAAACCAATAAAAATGAAATAATAATAAATTGGATGCTGGTGAAAAAATATGATCATCAATAAAGCACCACCATCATGTGTAAACATAGCAATCATTTTAAAAAATTTCACACGCAGTGTTATAACAAAAAACTTTTATTCATTGTTACTGTTGTGTGCAGATTGAAATAATATTATTTCATTGTTGTTATTTGAGAATGTATGATGGGAGTGGTAGGGATCACTAATGTAATAATGTAAATAGAAATGATCATTATTATTAATTATTTTTGGAATAATAATTATTATTATTAACAAATGAATTCATATGATAACTTAATTTTAATGGATATTAAGAAATTATAATAATAAATAATTTTCTAATTTATTTTCTTAACTTGCAAAAAGAAAATAAAAAAAATGAAATCAATATTAATAGGTTTATTCTTGTTGGTTTCGTTACTGACCATAAGTTCAGTCAATGGATTAAATATGAGAAGTTTACAGTTTCTCAAATCACCTGATCTATCTTGTATTATTAATCCATACTCTGGATCAGCTAATCAAGAATTCAGAATTACAGATGGATCGCTTGGATCCTTTAGTATAAGTAAACCAAGCAGCCAAACCAAAGCAACTTCAATTATCAGTGGAAACTACAAGATGCCATCTCCATGTATAAACAATACTCAGCTTGCTCAATTCTTTGGTCTTTCTTCTGGAAATCAAGGTTTTGCATCAATGGTTCAACATTTCAATTGCAGAGGTGAAGGTCCAACTTGCGAAACTTTCAAACTAGACAGACCAACAGCAGGTGTTTGTATATTAGTTGCCAATGTCGATGCCGATGACAAGTTAATTGTTCAGTCAAGTAGCATGGGAGTTGCTATTCCACAAACTAAATGGAATTTCGTATCTCAAGGTATCTTTGACCCGAGTGGACCAAACTGTGCTCCCATAGATTCAAAGGCAACCACTAGCAATTTGATACTGGGTTGTTATTCCAAAGATTGTGCAAATCCAAACTACAGCATCTACAGAATGAATGATACTGTAGATAATATCACTTTTTGCTATGAATCACATTCAGAGAATGGAATGGTATCGTATGCAGTGACTGCATGTCCTGTGTCACAAAGACCAACACCAGTAGTTGGTGTTAAATATGCAGTGAGTGGTATTGCCTTTAGAGATCTGAACAAAAATGGAATCTATGATATTGGTGTAGATATGCCTTTACCTAATATTAGAGTCAACATAATAAATGAAAATACAGGACAAGTACCATTCGATGCATTCAACGATCGGGTCGCACCAGCTATTACAAATTCCTATGGATATTATATTTTCCAAGGTACGATTAATATTAATTTCACACAATTTATTTGTTACTAATAATTTTTAAAATAAATAGCGCTTCTGGGAGGATGGTATACTGTTAATTTTGAATTCAAAGGAGGATCAGTTGTAACTCAAATGCCATCTACTATCCAAACAATGCCAAAAACCAGCAAAATCTACGATAACTTCAAAACATTTAAATTTATATTAAATTCAGATCAAACTGTTCCGGTTTCATCAGGAGAGATTGATCCTATAACAGATACATCAAGAATTCTAAGAGACATGAATGGAGGAATCATATAAATTTAATCAAAAAAAAAACATAAAAAAAATATTAACAATTTCTTAAGTAAAAATATTTCAAAAAAACATAAAATAAATCTTTTAAAAATCTTTATTAAATATTAAATAAATCTTTATTTTTTTTTATTCCCTTATACTATAACTAATCTGATTGTAATATGTTAAATTTAATCTGGTATGTGTTAAATTAACTTTTCTCTTTACACAGATTTTTAATTAACTAACGTGGGGTTTTTTTATTAAACACACCAACAAATGTTTCATATTTTTTTTCAGAATAAATTGGAATGAAATCAACCCACCACGTTGATCTTTCATATATCATTTTATAATCAAAAAATAATATAATCATGGTAAAAACACATAACTCATAGTAAATAGTAGTTCACTTGTGTAATTTCATTTTATCCCTCCCGCATAAAATGAAAAAATTTTTTCAAAAATAATGCGAGAATACAAAGAAAGTTGTGCAAAAAAAATTTAATGAAATAACACACTTTTTATCATAATTTCATATTGCATCTAATTGAAAATTAAAAAAAATCATTTAACATTGTTAAAAATGATGAATGATTGCATACTTGTTAACTTCAACAATTCAGCCTACTTCTACTTTATTTCATTTGAAAATGAAAATTAATCCTATACACTAGTGCTCAAGTGAGGTACATTGTTTCATTGTTATGAAGTGATAAATTCTGATGGTGTTATATACACCCTTAAGATATATTTACTTTACTGCATACACATCAATTCTGTATATGATTTATAATTATAATATTATTATGGATTGTTTTTATCATTATAAATATATGTCAGTTTAGCTAATCATTTTTTTCATCTCTTCTTTTGAATTGAATCATAGTTAGTTAGTTTACTATTCTTTATAAATCTTAAAGTAGGATTTTAATAATATTTTTACTATTATAATTACTAATTAGTATCAAAAACTTTTTCTTTGAAACAACAAAAAGGATGAAGCTCTTTCTCTTGGTGGTTTTGTTGGTGGCCATTTACACTATAAATGCCCAAAAAACGGATTTGCAATATTCAAAGCCACCCGATTTATCCTGTATTTTGGATTCATACTCTGGTAATGCGAATGAAAATAAAAGAATGACCGACTCTGTCTTGGGTTCTTTCAACATTTCCAAGCCAGCCACCCAAGCCAAACCAACTACTGTTATAGGTACCACCATCCCAATGCCATCGAGTTGTATCAACAATACCGATCTCCAAAATTTCTTTGGAGTCTCATCAACCAACCCAGGTATGGCTTCAATGATGGCCCATTTCAATTGCAAAGGAAATGGTCCAACTTGTAAATCGTTCACCTTTGACCAACCAGTCTCTGGAATGTGTCTCATGGTTGCCAACGTCGATGGTTACGACAAATTAACTTTTGAAAGTTCATTGAATGGTACACCAAACAACCCCAACGACTGGAAGAGTCTTCATTCTGGAAACTTCAACGACAACGGTACCGCTTGTCCACCAATGGAGGAGCGTAAGACTGCTACCCAGACCCAACTTGGTTGCTTCGAAAAGCAATGTGACAATCCAAACTACCAGATCTACCAGTTCAAGGGTGACACTGACAACATCACCTTCTGTTACACCTCGTTCTCTGACTCTGAAGTTGTCTACTATGCATTGACCAAATGCCAAGACGGTGTTGCTCCAACTCCACTTCCATTCGCCATTTATGCCCTCAGTGGTTATGCCTTCAATGATATCAACAAGAATGGTCTCTACGATATCGGTGTAGATACCCCAATCTCAGGAATCACAGTATCGTTGGTTAACCCAGCTACCGGTGAAACCCCACTCGACGGTTACTCTAACGTAGTTACCCCACAGGTCACCAACAGAGCTGGTTATTACATCTTCCAAAGTTTGAGAGCCAATATCTACACTGTCAAGTTTGGATACCCAGCTGGAACCAAGGCCACCATCCAACCAAATCCAAACAAAGCCAACACACCAAAATCCAACAAGATGGACGACACCTTGTCGACATTTAGAATTCAACTTACCAATGGAACAACCTCAGAGGTTGTCAGCGGAGAAGTAAGTGCAACATCAGGTATCATGAAGATTCTAAGAGATGTAAATGGAGGTATCCAATAAATTAAATTAAAGATCAAAAAAAATTTAACAACAAAGAAAAAAACAAAAAATATAAAGAACAACCACAACATTAGACATATAATAATATCTTTTTTTTTTAACATTTTTATACAGTTAAATATAAATAAAAATGAAATATATAATCCAAAAAAATATATATTTTTTATTAAACTCTTTACACTATTTAAACAGAATCAACTGCAGATATTTAGTTATCATTAAGAATAAACTTGGATCCTTGAAGTCCAACAATGATACTTGGCAAGTTGGTATTTCCAGATGGTGATATTGGTATGACTGATGCGTCAATGATACGTATATTCGCTGAACCTTTGAGTTTTAGTTGTCCATTGGTTGGGTAGGTGATATCATCTTGAGGTCCCATTCTCAGAGTTCCATGGGGATGATAGGCTGTCATAATGGAACTTCTTATTGAACTCTTGATTCTATCGATATTGGTCTCTGTTATATCTATTAAACCAAACGATCCACCATGTTCATTGATCACATCCATTTTAATGAGTTCTCTTTCAGTGTCCTTACAAGAGTTGAGACCATCGATGACATAGTCCATCTCCACTGGATCACTTAGATGATTGACTCTGAGAAGTGGTCTTTCAAAGGTTTCGTTATCATATTCTAGTCTCTCAATCTCTATATAACCAACGGTGGTAGGTGCGACCATCTCAATGGAGCAGAGGAATCTCGTTCCAAATATCAGTGGAAGTGGAATGGCACCCATGCTGTTAACCCATTTTATCTTTTTGTCAGTTGACTTTGGTCCGAATACACGATATCCATTGTAAGGTGAATCATCTCTCTTGAATACTCTTTGTCCATGATACTTGAGTGGTCTACCAACAACGGCCATCGATAAATGATCGACCATGTTCTTACCGACATACGGTGAGTTAATCACAGTTTCAATTCCAAACTTTGAGAGATGATTGGGATCTCCTACACCACTGAATTGCAAGAGCAGAGGTGAATCGTATGCTCCAGCCGAGAGAATCAATTCCTTTCCGATTTCAACATAGATATACTCTCCTCTGAAAACATTCTTCAGATAGATACCTTTGGCTCTGGGTGGTGTCACAGTTGTATCGAAATCGATTCTCAGCGCTTTGTGTCTGACGAAAATTGATAAGTTGTTTCTAACTCTACTGATGGAATCGACATACTGTGAGAATGAAGTAACACGATGGTGTAGTCCATCTTCACCTAGCTTCTGAGTAGCAACACTCAGTGTAAATCCATAGGTAGATCCATCGAATTGATTGGTATTGTGTTCGTATCCGAGATTGCCCAGCGCATCTCTTAGCTCACTGTTGATACTGTCGGAATCATTATTGTATTTCAAAGGGATATGCTCGAATATATCGGGAATATGAATTGGATAGACGGTGTTATTCCACGCCCACGCAGACTCACCGGTGATCGTAGCCCAATCATTGTAGTCATAGGAATTACCGATCGAAGCAACCATACCATTGATGGCATTGCAACCACCAGCAACTTTTCCACGCAACGATTCGATCACACGATTATTGGTCGCTTCATACCTTGCATTTTGAAAGATCTTTGTAATGCTCATATCAGGACTCAGAATGAAATGCTCTGCATATTGTAATGTATCTCTTGCTCTATAAATATCGGTTGAATATCCACCTTAAAAGTTATTATATAATTAAAAATTAACATTCTGTTTGTATTATATTTAAATAACCATCATACCTTCTTCAATTAATAATACTTTATTATTTGGATCATTAGATAGTTTATTTGCAACGACACTTCCAGCTGAACCAGCACCAACAATTACATAATCAAAGGTGAATTTTTGATCGATTTTCAAGTTTCTGTAGAATGAATCTACACTACTTTCAATACTATTAATAAATATACAAAACGATAATATTATTGTTATAGTTTTCATTTTTGAAGATTATTGTAATTAATAAATGATTGATTGATTGCTTATCATTAGCATTTATACAATACAATCTTACCTATAGAAACTGCAGTAGTTTGAGATTTAATTAAAACAAACTACTAATTAAATTCCAATAACAACCTTTTTTGACGATCATGATATGAAATGATCATTTATATTAAAAGATAGAATAAATAGATATTATGTGATAATTGTATTCATTACCAATCTATTTATTTTTTTATTTAGTTGTCTTTTTAAAAAAAAAAAGATCGATCATTACCACCAAAAACTACATGTGCCATTTTATTATTTTACAAATTTAATTTTTCATTTTTGTAAAGAATAATGAAAGGGGTTGGTTATCAATATCATTACACACTTTACTCATTTAGTAAACTGGAATCAAAGGTTGTATTGTTTTATTAGTTCTAATCGTAGGAGAAAATCATATGTATATTGTGAGCTTGCTCATGTGGATTGATAAACTTGATCAATGGAATGTTTTATTTTTTTTATTTTTCCCAACTGTGAGATACTATTGCTTTACTGTGGCGTTGATCCAATAGCTACACCGGGAATGAAAGTATTGTGTTTTCATGCAGCCATTCAGTGTCTATAGATTACTCGCTTTGACAGCCTGTTCATAGTGATGCTATTTAAACAAATGAGGAAAACTCAAGATCAAAAATCCTATCTCTCAGTGGTAGAGAGTGTAATATTAATTACATTGTTTATCATTAGATTAAATAAAAAGAAAAGAAAACATTTGTTTTGATTTATTTTTTTTTTTATGTATACAACATGTTTTATTGATTTATCAAAAATCTGAGCTATCTTCTTCTACATCTGAATCATAATCTCCTGGGTAAACTAAATCACTATCATCATGCTCTTCCGAATCTGAACCATATAAATCATCTTCATCTTCATCTTCTTCCTCATCTTCATCATAAAATTCATCATCATCATCATCATCATCGTCATCCTCATTGAAAAAGTAAACATCATGATGATCATGGAAATGATCGTCACTGTCAGAGTATAGATCATCGTCGTCATCGCCATCTTCGTCGTCTTCATCGTCTTCATCGTTTTCTTCGTCATCATATTCAAAGTCATCACCTTTGAAACCATTGAACTGGAAGATGAAATGAGCTAAGCTACTCTCCTTTAGGATTGCACCTTGCATATTGTTTCTCATGACTAGGAGCTGGTCGTGACTCAGTCGTCGTATATCGATGGTGTCTCCGTTGATCGCCTGAATCTTTTGAATGTTGGTTTTCTTTGGTAGCACGTGTATTGGGTCAAACTGGAATACGATATTCAGCTTTGTCACCGATGCAATATCCTCGGCTTTGATCGCCTGATCGTAGTACTCTGAGAGTGTCAACTCTTCGAGTGCCGGCGGAATAACGCCGTCCAGCGACTGGTCGAATACCTTGTTGAACACCAGTGTCTTTAGCGAGTGTGGAAGCGCACCTTTTTCAATTTGCGAATCAAAGTTATCACCAAACTCCAAACGCTCCAAACCCTCTGGAAACACACCGACCTTAATGGTCGTATTGAAATCATCGCCAAACTTGATGGACTTAAGAGTCGATGGAAACATTCCTTCGGTAGGCAAGCAATTCCAACACTCGCCAAGCTCGAGCGCGGTAACTGTGCTTGGTATGAGCGACGAATCAAATTCAAGTTCAAAGTTGTGTCCTGTGTTGAGCGTTTTGACGCTGTGTGGCAGCGGGCCAGTCGGCAACAGCTTCTCTTCGTCGCTGCTGCACTCGAGATACTCCAGCTTGTTCAAATTCAACTCTTCGAAAGAGTGCACCTGTTTGTACTCGATACCAAGCGACAAGTGTAGTAGTCCCGCCGGCAAAACACCGACCAGACTCTGGTTGAAGTCGTCATTCAATATCAGGTGGGTCAGCGACTCTGGTAGAACCGGTAGCGCCTGATTGAAATTCGAGATGCGATCTTCTGCCATCTCCAGGCGTTTCAATCCGGCGGGCAGAACATTCGGTGGAATCACCTGGTTGAAATCCGACCCGAAAGTGAGGTGTGTCAAGCTGGTCGGAAGCGAACCAAGCTGCAGCTCATGGTTGAATCCACCTAGTTTCAGCTTGGTGATAGTCCGCGGTAGCAAGCCCGACGGTATCTCCTGATCAAAGTGATAGCCAAACTCCAACACCGTCAAGTTGGGAGGCAGCACACCGAGTTCGAGCGGCTGATTATAGTCAGGTCCGAACAATAGCGTAGTCAGTGACTCTGGTAGCACGCCTTTCGTCAGCAGCTGGTCAAAGTCTTTGCCAAGCTTCAAGTACTCCAGAGTCGGTGGTAATACCCCAGGTTCAATCGGAACATAGTTGTTCTTTCCAAATTCGAGTCGTGTCAGAGTCGCTGGCAGCAAGTTAGCAGTCAACTGCTGATTGAAACCACCGCCAAACAAAATAGTCTTTACAGTTGATGGAATGGCGCCGGGCATAATCTCAAACTCTCTATACGTACTAAACTTTATCTCCTCTGTGCCCTCCGGGATGTATCCCTTAATTATATCACGACTGAAATTACTACCGAATTTCAGTTGTTTTACATTCTTTATCTTATAAGGTCTGTTATCTAAATATTGATCAATAAAAGTAGTAGTAACACGGTTGTTAGATCTAATATCATTAATATCTATTAGACAAGCTTAACAATATTGTTATACAAACATATAAATTTTACAATATTATTGATGTTATGATAATGTAGATCATTGTCTTGTTGATCCAAGTATATCATTGAGAGTGAATCGTAGTTGTCCAGTGCTTTACTGATGAGTGTTCTATATGAGTTTAGCGATATATTGACACTTTCATAGTAGTCATAAGAATATTTTAAGTGTTTGGGATTCAGTGATATGTATCGTTCTCTCTCCACATAGAGTCGCTTCGACGTCAAACTCAAACAAACTAAATCTACATTTGAATCTAAAAATGAAACTATCCTTTGAAGTATTATATGTGAAAGGTTATTCATTCTCTTTTATCTCTTTTCTCTCTCTGATTTATTTAATAAAGTAAGTAACTAAATTCATAAAATTAAATTAAAATTTTAATTAGTTATTTTTTTTTTAAAAGATTTTTGTTAATTAAATAAAAAAAACTTTGAACTTCTTATTCTTCTTAATTCTTTTATAAAAAGAAATAACAAATATATAAATTTAATATATATTTGAATATTACTATCGGTATTAATATTAAGTATGATTGGTATTTTTCGATTGTAATGATCTTGTTTTGTGATGATTTAAAATAAATAGAAAATATAACATAAACCATCTTCTGTTGGTGGTGGTGGTGAATCATCGATTTGATTCATTCTTATTTACAAAGAGTAGTAGATCTCTTAATATGTGAATATAAATAATGTGCTGTAATGGTGCTGTTTGTTGTGTATATGTTAACATTTCTCTATTTTTAAACCCATAGTGCTAAAAGTGCTAATAATGTCCAACCTAAAAATGTTAAGCCAAGCTTGACTTTGAGCCAACCCGGTTCACCAAGTCCTGAGGGCAGTAGTTCTATTAGGGAGATATAGAGGAAACTACCGGTGGTAATTGAGAGGACGATCGCCTCTGTGAGAATTGCACCGTTGCCGTCAAAGTAGTTCGATAGACCCATACCAATACCGATGCCAAGCGGTGTCATTGCTGCGCAGAACGTCAGAGACAAAGCGGTCTGAACCGTCGAGAACTTGGCGTAGAAAACCGGTACTCCCAGTGCGAAACCATCGAGTGCTTTGTGAGCGATCACTGCTACCAGCAGACCGTAGAAATCGTTGGGGTTCGTCTCTGCACCCAGGCCGAGACCGTCGAATATTGAATGCACCGAGAGTGCTATCATGAAGATGGTTGCCTGTGAAACATTGGATTGATGCGACTTGCCGTTGTTGATGCCGCTGTTGTGGTGGTGTCCATGTCCGTGCTCGTTCAGTCCCTGATAGGAAGACAGCGTTATTCCAGAGTCGCCAGTTGATATTAATATGGTTGTTTCGTTCTCTGGATTTGGTGTTGGTGTCGATGCTGCCTCTGAAAAAGTGGAGATCGATGCCGACATATTCATATGATTGTGTCCGGCTTCACCGGTAACACCTCGTTCCACGACCAACTTATCTAGCGTTATCAGCATGAACATAACGAAAATCGCTAGAGTTGGACCGAATGGAAATTCTTTGTATTGATTGTTGGGATCGACTCGTTCGAAATAATTTAGAAAATTCTCGTTTGCATCCGGTAGCAAGTGGTTGAATGCACCAGCTAAAATAATTCCTGCGGCAAAACATGTGGCAAACGAGAGAATGGTAACCAGTGACTTGACTTTTGCTCTTCCCAATATAAATGGAATATAAGACGCCAGCAAGGTCATAAGAAAAATTCCAACCATCAAACCAACTTTAATTCCTAAAAACTGTTCTCTCTCCTCGGAATCACTACTGCTACTGCTACTGGTTGTTTCATATATTATATTATTTATTGTCATTTTTGCCTGAAATTCCTCATTACATATATATAAAAATAAAATAAATAAAAAATATATAAATAAAAAACTTTACCAAATACTATATTAGGTATTTGGTTTATTTATATAGAATTAATTAAATAATTTAATTAAAAGTATTATATAATATATATAAAATATAGTTATAATTAAATAAATATCTATTTTTTTAAAAACAAAATTTTATTCTGAATCTTAGATTTTTATTTTTATTTTTTCTAAATTTAGAAAAATAGCATATAAAGATATAGATTTTATTTTTTTTTAAACAAATAATATGTTATAAGATATGTAATATAAAAGATAATAATATTATAATATTGAAATAATAAAAAGAAAAGTAAAGTTAAATTTAGGGTATAGTCACCTCCTAATGTTGAATTGAAATGATGACCAAAATATTTAAGTAAGATATTTAATTTTTTGGTTAAAAAATGGTGATTATTCTATTAAAATTTTAGTGTAATGCAAATATTTGTAGGAGCAGGAGTATAAATCTGTGGAGTATCCTTTGAACACTTCAAATGTCACTTCTGAGGATACTTCACTCTATTTGTACTTTTTCACAACACTCAAGTCGATTGTTTTTTTTTTTTGTTTTTTGTTTTTAAACATATCATTGAATCATTCAATTTATAAATGATTAAAGTTTTATTTGCACACAGGGACAAGAATACAACCAATTTAACCCAGTGTCAAAGCAACTTCGCACAAAATTAGCAAAAAAAAAAAATCAAAATATAATAAAATCGGTTTTTGTATATAGTTAACTTGCAACTGGCATTTTTGACCCCCAAAAAAATGTAGCACAAACTTTTTTTTTTGAACTGGATCAACAACAAAAACACCAGGTTTTTTTCTTCTTTTAATTTGATCTTTCAACAAATTTTTTATAAAAGTTTACAAAAGAGGACGTACTTGAAGCCCAGACAAATATTATATTTACTATTTGAATTTATAATTGTAAAAATAAAAAAATAGATAGATAGAGAGATTAAAGTTTTGAAAACAGTAAATATTATTGCTGGTTGATAATATATATAGAGATGAACAATTGATTTATTTGCTGATTTGAAGTTAAGAAAGAGCAAATAGTTGGGTGAGATACCATTTACCATCATGTGATTGATAGACACCGATTGCACAGGTATTGAAGTGTCCGAGAAGATTCTCTCGATGTCCTTTAGAGTTGATCCATCCTTCTACAGCAACCTCTGCCACCGTAGAATCCATATTGTTCATAGCAACATTCTCGCCTGCCTTGCTATGTGGGAAAGGGAATTGCCTTGTTCTATCATCGAATCCATCATGTCCAAAAGCTACCTTGCCATCTGCCATATCTATAGTAGAAAAACGCAACACATAGATTATAAGCAACAAACAAAAGTTAAGAAAAGTTAATAAGTGATTGAAATGAACTAATTGTATAAACTTAAACAACAACAACAACAAACAACATACTCTTTGAATGTACAACACCTATTTTATAAAGATCTTGATGCCATCGCAATGGTGGCTTGTTATTCTTCTGACGGAATTGATTCGATAGTTCCAATGCTTTTCTTCCAATGGTTTCCGGATCTTTGAATGTATTGTTGATAGTGTGAACGGATGATCTCGGCTTATCGCTGCCACCGGATGATCCCAACGATGCAAAGTGCATTCTATTCTCTTTCTCATCGGATACTTTCTTATTTACATCATCAATCGTATAGAAACTCTTTGTTGACAATCTAAACAACAATAATAAAAGATTAATTAGTAATTAAAGTTAATAATATTTAACTATCGTGAATGGTAAACGAACATACTGTTCACTTCTAAATGATTCATGTTTTCTCTTTCTAATGTTACTCAATTGACTTCTAAGATCGTTCGATACTGATAGTGGTACTCTAGACGCTTCGTTAGTTCTTATAGATGGAGTAGTAGAACCAACAGTCGTCTCATTTGTTTTATTACTATTACTATTACTATTTGATTTATTTACATTTTTGTTATTTATGTTATTTTCATTATTTACATTAGTTCTTTTATTTGTATTATTAATATTTGTATTTGTTGATGTATTTGAAGTTGTTGTTGTTGTTGTGGTAGTAGTAGTTGGTTTGTTTGAAGGTTGTGATGATTTAGAAGAAGAAGTCGTAGATTGATCATTACTTAAACTGGTCAATCTTCTTTCGTGTATATTTGCGAGAAGCTCTGAACGTTGCTGATGCTTAGTTTTAGCCTGACTAGATCCTCTTGTTACCGGAGTATTTGTATATGTGTTTATATTTCTATTCCTATTTGAATTTGATGTTGATGAGCTTGTCGAAGTTGTCGTAGTAGTTGTTTCTACTTTATCATTTTGGTTATAATCATCGTCGTCACCATCCAAATCAATAACTATATGTGACATATCTATCTATCTATAAACTATAGTTAAATCATTTCACATAATAATAATATAATATCAATAAATAAATAGATAGATAACTAAACTAATTTTATGAAAATAATAAACAAAAGTTTTGTAAACAGAATTAAAAAAAAATAGTTTTCCAAGAAATTCAGATTCAAAAAAAAAAAAAGATGTGTCTGTCTCTTTATCAACTTTATTAATTGATTTGATTATTTATATTTATTAAAACAATAATAATAATAATAATGTATTTTGTTATTGTTATCAACAATGTCCAGAAATAATAACAATAGTAATAGTAAAAATAATATATTAACAACATACAAAAAGAATAAAGAAAAAAAATTGGGTGCTTATGAAGAGCATATTGCAAATGTACTTGGTTGTAAACCAAACAGAAAACCTGTATTTAAAGTTGGTCGTCAAAAAGTATCTTTAGTACGTAATAATAATAACTGGTATAATCAAGTTATAATACAATCTATTAGTTATTAACATTGTCATTCTTTCAGGAATTTGTACATAGATATTCATTGAATACTGCTGGTGGTGGGGGTGGGAATGGAAGTGGAGGTGGAATTGGTATTACTACATCAACTACTACTTCTAATTCAACAAGGAGTAAAAAGATTCATGATAATAGTAATAGTCTAATACCACAACAACAGCAACAACAATATACTTCCATTACTACAAATAGTACTCATTCAAGGATGACAGGTGTCAATGATCATCATCTGTACACAAAGAACAACAACAACAATAGTGATGATGATTTTAACTTTCAGACTGTACAACAAGATAAAGCAGGAGGTGTAAATCGCACCAAGAACGCTGAAATGTATAGGGAATACCTCTTTAATACACCAAACGATGATGTATCACCATCATCCTCCTATGTATTTGATTCTAGTAATAGTGGAGGTCACATAACCAATTATAATTCTCTACTCTCTCCAAACAAAAGATTACCAGTAGTTAGTTATAATAATAATATCAATAATAGCAATAACAATAACAATCACAATTATATAAATAATAGACAACCAAATTACCAAAATAATGATAACATATATGATAACAATGATCAAGATAATGATAATGATAATGATAACTTTTCTCCATTCATTCTAGCAACCAATATAAGTTTAAATAGCAGGTCCACAGAGTCAATTAGTAATTGTACTACACCAACAAGAGATAACATTAATCAACTTCTCAACAAATCAAACAACAACAACAACAACAACAACAACAACAATAATAGTGATAATATCAATGGTAATATAGATTCACAACCCTTTAGTTTCGATCTGAGTGGTCTATCAAAGAATAATAACAATAATAACAATCAAAATATTAATAACAATAACAACCAAAATAATAGTAACAATAACAATCAAAATATTAGTAATAATAATAATAATAATAATAATAGTGGAAATAGCATTAGTTCAAGTCAATTCAATAATTCACCATTTACATATAGACTTACAGCACAAAACTCTGATATAATATGTTCTTTCGATAACTCACCACTCAATCTTGAGAACTATGTGCCATCCACAATAGAAGAGGAAAATCAACGAGAACTATCAAAGAAACCATCAGCACAACCAATTCAACCAATACTACAACAACACCAACAAAAACAACAATCACAGCAACAACAACAACAACCAATCAAACAAATTGTAAATATCATCGACTTGGAACAATCATCATCACAACAACTAAAATCTGGCAAACCTAAACCAACCATCGAAGAGATGTCCAATATTTTCAAACAGAATCAATTGAAAAATCAACAACTCAAACAACAACATCTGGAACAAGAACAACTGATGTTACAGAAATTACAAGAGCAACAACTACAGCAACAACATGATTTTGATGATCTAACACCTCCACCAAGTTGTGGTCAATCAATCTCACAAAAAGAGAGTTGGTCAAGATACAAACTTGAAAATAAAATGAAGAAAACATAAATAATCAAGACAAATCAATAATACATTTTGTTTTGATTATTTACCTTTTTAAAAAGTTTTATAAGATAATTTAGTTAAAAAAAAAAAAAGATGTGTAGTTTTGTTTGTTTTATTTGATTTGCTTGTTTGATTGATTTTTATTATGACTTTACATACGCTCCAATGGACGGAGACCCAAAAGACGTAAACCATTGCAGAGTACCAATTTAGCACAATAGAAGAGTACGTAACGGGCTTCGGCCAACGATTGTTCGGAACCCTTCACCTTGAGTGCGCTGTGAGCAGCGGAAATCTCGTGACACAACTCAAAGAGGTAGGTGACAATGGTGTTTGGTTCGTTGTTGTTGAATGCGATTTGAACGATCTCTGGGTAACGTTGGATGATCGTTGCCAAGTTGTAGGCGATCGGTTCGACCAAGAGCGAGAGATTGGCACTTGGATTCAAGCTGACACCAGTCTTACGCTCGATCGAGCAGAGACGAGCGTGAGCATATTGCAAATAGGGACCAGTGTCACCTTCGAATGACAACATACGCTCCCAATTAAAGTCGTAATCCTTGTTACGCTTGGCTGAGAAATCTTGAATGATTACAGCTGATACTGCAACGATATCTGCAACTTCATCTGGATTCTCAATCTCTGCAAACTTTTGTTCATTCTTTTTCATTGTTTCCAACATAATTGATTTAGATTCATTCAAAATCTCTGTTATTATTTTAATGTTAAGAATATAGAATATAAGTTAATTTGTTCACGATCAACAACAACACTAAAATATTATTACCTTCCAAGAAAACAACGGTTCCTTTACGAGTTGACATTCCCTTTACTAAACCATATCCGATATGAGTCAATTCTTTGCTCCATGGGTATTGCATACGCTCGAGAATCTTAAAGAGTTGACGGAAATGCAGTTCCTGTTGTGAAGCGACAACGTAAATCATCTTTTCGAAATTGTATTGTTCCTTACGGATCGAGGCAGCGGCAATGTCACGAGTGATGTAGAGTGACGATCCATCGGTTTTCTTGACCAAGACCTTACCGAGGTCTGGCTTTGCGGTGGAGAGATCGATGATCTTGGCACCCTTTGAATCCTCGACCAATCCGAGTTTGTCGAGCTTCTCGTAGGCGCTGACCATACCGTCACACATCTTGCTCTCACCAGAGTACTCGTCGAACTGTACATTCAAACGACCGTAGATCTCCTTGTATTTCTCGATCGAGAGATCACGGAACTTGCTCCAGAGCTTGAGAGCATTCTCGTTGCCATCCTCCATGTCCTTGAAGTAGGCACGAGCTTGGTCGTGGATTTCCGGCTCGGTCTCGGCGGTGTTGTTGATCTTGACGTAGACATCAAAGAGATGCTTGATTGGATCCTCCAACAACGCCTGTTCCGATCCGAATCGGTCGTAACCAATAGCCAAGAGACCGTATTGCTTACCCCAGTCACCGAGGTAGTTGATCGATTGCACGGTGTAACCTAGTGAACGGTAGACATTGACCAAGAAGTTACCGATGATGGTGGAACGAAGATGTCCGGCGTGGAATGGCTTGGCGATGTTTGGCGAGCTAAACTCGATGACTATGGTCTTGCCTTCACCCTGCTTGGTGCAACCGTACTTGTCACCGGCAGCCAAGACCTCCTTCAAGATTGACTCTGTCAGGATGGTACGATTGATCTTGAAGTTGATGTAGGTACCGGCAACGGTGACCTCCTTGATCAGGTCGTTCAACACAAACTTGGCGGCATACTCTGTAGCCAATTGTGCTGGATTACCTGGTAGCTTCTTGAAACGATTCAACTTTGGCACTGGCAATGCCAAATCTGCCATATCCTTATTCTTTGGAGTCTCAATGCATTGTAGCAATTGTTCCTCTGGGATATCTGTCAATTTCGAAAACTGACTTGCAATTTCTTTTTCAAATAACATTTTGTTATAATATTTGTTGTATGTATATATATATATATTAAATAATTATATAATAAACTTTTAAAAGTTGTTTGTGTAATTGATTGATTGAATTTTGTTTGTATAAACAACAAATTGTAAACTTTTTATATAAATTTAGTTTTTAAATTAAAGAAAATCCCAAGAAAGTAGATAATAATTGATATTTATTACAGAATCGCGGGTTGAACTGGTGAAAGATGATGTGGTTAGATCGGGGGTGGTAATAAAGAGAACCAAACTTTATACTACTATGATTTTATATATAAAAAACAACTATTTAAATGCATTCGATTTTTCAACAGACTTGTTCTTGTTTTTTGTTCATGAACAAAAATAAAATAAAAATTAAGAAAAAAATTAAAAAAATTAAAATTTTTTTTTTGGGAATTGAGTGTTGTTTATTTTTTTGGAGGTGTGGAACATATGAAATGAAGTGATCTTATTTGCAAATAATTACAATAATAATGGTTAATATTTATTTATATATATATATGTTCTATCTTTATTTAATTAAATCTAAAATTTTTAATATCAATTTATTATTACTTCCAATAGATTGCATATTTTAATTTCAAAAAATCTTCTAAATCTAGATACATGATGAGTGAACCTAAGAATCTTGACAGAAGTTGTTTTCTAAACTTTGGATGATTGTCCATGGGTTTTTTGAATTTTGACCTACGAGCTCTTATTTATAATCGATTTATCATATTAAAATTTTACAAACAAAATACCCAAAATTTTGGATTTTGTTACAAACTCATTTTTTAATCAATTTCGTGAAACTTTGATTTTTAAAACCCAGAGCAAGTTGGTTGATTGGAAGAACCAATAGACTCTAATAAACTTAGAAGGGATACCAAAGGAATTATTTATATATATTCTACCTGAATATTCTTTATTTTATTATTATTATTTTCTATTCAATTACTTTTAAGTTATGATTATAGTAATTGTTATTTTCGTAAACTTTGATGTTTAAAAACAAGAAAAAGTTGGTTGATTGGCCGAGACATTTGACTCAAGCAAACTTAGAATGGAATACCAAAGTTACCTTCAAAAAAGTAGTTCAAAACGAACGCAAATAATGTGGCCACCCATATACCAAAGTTCAAAAAGAATGACATTACAATTCCAGTCACTTCTTTTTCATGATCATCTGCTTTGGTTGGACCAAACATCATTGCCAATGCTAAATAATTAAATATAACAATATTATATTAGTTTTTCCACTCTTTTGTTTCTAAAACAACTTGATAATAATGATAACTTACTTCCACAATAACCATTGGTGAGTGCAAATACAAACATAATGAAGAAATAAAGATAGATATTTCTAAAGAGTAATGGCTTTACACAGAATGCAAACAATGGGAAGAATACCAATCTGAGAACTGCTGGAATCCAAAGGTTGTTTGGTGTGAATAGGATGATCCACTTTGGTGCGGTTCTACCAATATAGTCACCAATCATAAAAGACAAAACAAAAATAATCTGGAACCAATCGTTTCCAAGACTGGAATTTATAGTTTGGACCAAACCGGTGACACCTGGGAACAATGACAATGTTGTAAAGAAAACAATAAAGACAACAAATGCTTCTCTCCAAACTTTACGCAACAATACTTTAATTGATACTTCTCTCTTTGATTCTACTCCATTGATTGATCCATTCTTAGTATTCTACATAACAAAAATTAGTTAATATAATTAATAATAAAAGTAAGGGTGATGAATCACACATACGTTGTAATTTCTCATGCAATGACGAGTGAATGCAAGTCTGAGAAGAATTTGATAGGCAACGAAACAGAGGAGTAAGACACCACCTCCAAGGAAGAAATAGAGGAAACTGGTCTTTTCATTGTCTTTGGTGGATGGCATCGCTACTTTGGTAATGATACGAAGGATGGATGCGATGATACCGGCAATACCGCAACCCGACATGACACCACCAGTGTATGACGATGGGAACAATGCAACCAATCCAATGACACTACCAAAGAGTAGCGACGAGAAGGCACCAGAGAAGAAAGTGAGAACCAGTGATACAGAGACTGCGCTAGCCTGGCTGTTTTTAATCATCAATGGGATGAATGGCATAAAGAAGAGAATTGCAGCACCACCCATGAGGAATCCATTGATTCTAACGCTGAACGAGATCTTTGGCATCACCTTTAACGATACAAACAGCAGAATCCACGAAAAGAAATTGTATGCCAACGACATGAAAAACGAATACGAATAGTCTGGATACAGCGAATTAAAGTAATCGCCAGCTGCAATATAACAATTGAAAGGGAAAAGCAAACCTATACCAAGAAAACAACAACAAATCCATGCCAATCCAAACTAATATTGAGATAATCAATATAAATTATTACTACGCAAATTCTTCAAATAGTAGTCGATGTTATATAACATTTTGCAACTTACTCTGTCTGGTGGTGCATAGTCATCGTCAGGAGTATCAAGTAACCTAACATTCTCTATTTTAGTATATTCATGATCTTGATTTCTCATTTTTTAAATTTTATTTTTATAATATATATAATAAAAGTGTATCAACAACCTAACTATTGAATAGAATATTATAATATTATATATTATTTATTTATATAAATAAAATAGAATAATAGTTTTAAATATATATATATATTAGTTTTTCGTTTTATAATTATTTTCTTTATTTTCTTATCTCTGGTTTGATTTTTTTTTATTTTTGATTATTGTAGGTTAGTTAGTGTAGTGTGGTGTGTCAATGAAAAGCAAACAATATAAAAAAAAAAAAAAAGAGTGGTAAAAAACAGAAAATTGTTGACAAGTTTTATAAGTTATATACACTAAACTGGTAAATTATCTATGTAATTTTTCTTTTCTTTTGCAAAAGTAAAGATGGTTTAAAACTATTGGATTAAAGTTTTTTTTTTTTAATCGAGGAATCTTTAAATTTTTTTTAATTTTTGTTTTTTTAAATTTTTTTAAATTTTTCATGAAAAGACAAAATCGAAATCACGATATTTTTTGTAAAGAGCAATCTTCGAAAAGTCGTATTGTGACTGAGAAGCAATCATTGGGAAATCGTCAAGAATATGATTGATGGAAATTTCATAAAGTTGATTTTAGAACAATCAATAGAAAGATATTTTTAAAATTTCCGATTGATGAGTCAATGATCGACACTTACAATTTATTTAAATCATTTGGAACTGTTTTTTGGACTTCTTCGACTGTCATCTTGATTCTAGAATTAACTTTAACTATATTTTGAATTTATCAATCTTGATATTTCTTCAATTCAATTTAAAAAAACGAAATTGAATGATTACTTTGAAAACGAAGTGCATATTCAACAAAGTATTCATATGCACATATATACCAAAAACTAACTATATTTACTATTGTTTAATAAATAATGAGAAACAACAATTATTTTTAAATATTTTATTTTATTTTAACCATTTACTCCAATTAATTAGAGATAAATTAATATTACCACATTTGATAGCTAGGTAGTAAAGTGGTTGGTTTTCAATTTTCTCACTAGATTTGTTTGTTGTATTTCTAATTCTCTTTTTATGTTTTCGAAATCGATTGTGTTGTGTGAATTGAAAAGTATGAAACCACATTTCATTGTTTGGTTCCACTTTACAACTTCAATGGTGAGTGTGTGGGTAGTTCTATGATTGATAGCCAACAGTTGAATATAATAGGTAATAAGATCAATCATATCTTGAATCAAGTGTAATTCAAGTCGAAACATAACTATATTGCTGTTTGATATCGAGTGGAGTAATGCTTGGATGTCTCTCTTGCTGGCTGGCAGTCTTCGAAATTCAACCGTAAGTCTCTCGAGAGATAGATTGCTATTGAAACATTCATTCAGATTTCCGAGTGACTTGCTTGAACAGTTGTAGATACCAAGAGATCGAAGACATTGGTGAGCACTGACAAACCGTAGAATATCTCTGTTGTCGACATGCTCGCCATTCAAATTCAGGCTGCGTATGTTACACTTTGTACGTGAGAACTGGCTGAACGACTTCTTTGTACACGAGAGTAAGCAAAGCTTCTCCAAGTTACAGTGAAATTGGTGGTTGTTCTGGTGGCATGGTAACTTCAATACTCGCAGTCCGTCGTTCATTCTAAGAGTAGTGTTCAACTCATCTGACGAAAAAGGTATTTGTAACTTTTGGATTTGTGTCTTTCGTAGCTGGTAAATAGACAATGCTCTTGTAAACTTCAAATTGAAAACTTCTTTTTGTTCGGTTTCACTAACCTCTAACTTTACAATATACAACCTTCTCAAATTCTTTAATCTATAGTATAGTAGATCAAAGAATTTAAAAGGGTCATCGATAAACGTTGAATAACAATGTTTATCATCTTTACTATTTCCACTTCCACCTAGTTGTAAAGATTTCAAATTACATAGATAGTTTAATTCAATTGAATTGGTGATATTAAAGAATGAACCGCCAGTGATAAAACCAATAGAGAGACACTCTAATTGTGAACCTCTCATTCTAATGAATCGTAACACACTATCTAACTCATGCCAATCTATGTTCTCAATGAACAGATGAAGTGAAGATAATAACATCAATGGATGACTATTGTTGTTATTGTTGTTGTTGTTATTGTTGTCTATACTAATATCAATATGATCAAACAAATAAGATACTAATAAGCCACTGAAATCAAATAAAAACAAACAATACAGGTTCACAGGTTGTAACATATGAAATAAACGGTTAAATTTAATGATATCTACAAAGTTGGTTCTATTATCGATGGATAGAGATTGAATACTATTAAATGATAAAATTACATTATTATTTGTATCATTACTTCTATTATAGTTTTTAATTTGTGATAGTCTCAGTTCTAATGCTTCAATGGAAGTAGATAATGAATGAATTGATTGCATAACATTGTATTTCGATGATAGATGTCGAAGCAAAGTTATATCTCTAAACATAATATCATTCATATTCTTTCTAATACCAGATCGTATGATTTCATAATGTAATTTAGATATTCTTTGAAACAAGTCATACATGTAAGTATTATATCAAATAATATAGATTCATATTAAAGTAAGTATATAGAATATAATTACAATGATAGATTGTATTTCCATTTCAAAGTAGATAGTTTATCATTCCAACATTGATTTAGTATTCTATATTGTATAATATATTCATTCATAGTATACATTAATAAGTAGATAGGTAGATAAACACTTAAAAATATGATATGACAATGAATGTGCTTGTGTTTGTGTGTTGTGTGTATAATTCATTCAATATTAAATCTTTGTTTTTTTTTTTTGTCTTTTTTGATTATTCTCTTTATATATATATATATATCTAATTATTATTATATTCATTTATTGTTGGTCAGACTCTTTGATGTAAGATTGTCCAATTTTATCTCTAAGTTTCTGACGTTCTTCTTCGATCTTTTTGTGTCTTTCTTCTGGCCACTCTGGTACCTGTAATCCTACTCTCTGTGATGACTTTACAATTCTATCTCTTGTTGGTATACCTATATTATATTGTTCTAATAAATTCTATATAGTAGAATGACATTAAAGGTTGATTTGTTAATATTGAAATCTGTAGTTTGAATCATTCATTTGATTGATTTAAATGACATACTTGTAAATCTTTAGCAGCTTTTAAGTAGAAACGATATGATTTAACTTTATCTTGTAGTATTTTAATTTCTTGTTCATCTTTTACATGTTTGTTCTCACGGAACGACTCTCTGACGTTGGCACGCCACCAACGATCTTGTTTTATAGCAGGGTATCTCAGTCCCTCTCTCAACAATCTTCTAAACAATACTAGAGATGATGTTGTTATTGGTGCTACTTTTGATGACATATTGTTTATATAAATGAAAAACTCTTTAAATAATAAATAAAAAATAAAATTTAATAAAAATCTGATCAGAGATAAAAAAAAAAAACGAATGAAAAACTTTTTTTATTAGACACCCAATTCCAAAATAGTCAAATTTGATCAAACAGATATTTATTTATTTGAAATTAAATTAATATTCCTTTTATTAGTTTAAATTAGAATATTATTATTTTATTTATTTTATTTTTGTTATTGTTATTGTTGTTGTTGCTTTCAGGATAGAGTGAACAAAGAGTTTTGACTACTATTATTGTTATTTTTATTTTGTTTAGAATTTAAAGATAATAAGTAATTGAAAGTGGAACATGCGACTCTTTCTTATTATTGATTTACAGAACTGTTTGAGTGCTATTTGATTCGATCATTGAAGTTTTGCTTTGGTGGGTACATTTTTCTTTGCTGGGGTAGAGTCTGCAGGTGGAGTGCAAGTTTCTTTATCTTCATTAACTGATGTTGAATCTGAATCGAAATCGAAATCGAAATCGAAATCTAAATCCGAATCTAAATTCGCTACAAAACATGCAACAACAAAAATGGTTAAGATAATATAAGCAATGGACCCTATAATTTTTTTTAATATTTCTATAACTTTCATATTATCTTTATCTAATTGTATATTTAACCTTAACTTTTTTTTTTTTTGTACTGCAGGGAATGGGAATAATCTAATTTTGATTAAATTTTGATTAAAAAAAAATAAAAAAAAATGGAAATAACAAGTTTAGTTTATCCTGACTAGATACGAATAAATAGATTCTATAACCACTTTTCTAGATTTGGAAACTATATATTATTTATGATCTTCATCAGATTTTAAAGTTAAATATTTTATCTCTTCAATCATAAAATTTCAATTGTTTTATATTAAAGATACTATTAAATATTTTAAAATAATTAGATTAGTTATTATTATTCTATATTTAAATTTTATTGAATGATTGGCAATGAACATTGTATCATTAGATTTATAGTGGGTTGGCACAGTACGGACAACAGACAGTATCACTTATTGGAACATAGATCTGACCTCTACTTGTACATTCTGCTGGATCCAAGTATAATCTACAATAGACAGCACACTTCTTTGCTACCTCTGCCATTGCAAAAGAGTTATAGCAACCTAAAATAACAAACAAAGCTACAACCAATAACTTTCTATACAACATTTTCTTATGTTGAACAATCAACATCAATATACGTAGTTGTTATAAGAAAATAAAATAATTTGTAGAAATGATAATAGTAAAATGCTATTTAATAATTAATATATAATTAAAAATAATTGTAAAAATGTATGTAAGATATGATAGTGAATGAATGTATGTAAGTGTGAATCTATTAAGGTTTGAAATTGAATAAAGAGTATGTGACCACTATTTATTGGAGTTAAGAATGAATCTATAATATAAAAATGATAGTTAGTAATTTAATCGTAATTTTATTTGAATGTTAGTAAGTGGTTAAATAAAACTTACTATTGACACTTCATTTATGCATAACAATTGCCCGGTGATATTGATGATGATGTTGTTGTTGTTGATTGACACTGTTGTTAATTGATTGATCTATTATTTACAATAGGGACAACAAACAGTGTCACTGATTGGAACTAACACCTTGCCTTGACTGGTACATGCTTCTTCAGGGAGGTATAGTTTACAGGTGGCTGTGCAAATCTTTGGCTCTACATCAATTTGCAAATCTAAATCTTCACTACTACTCTTTTCTAAGCTTAAATTGGCAACAACAATACCAAATATAACAAAAACTAGAAATAACAATCCTAGTTTCATTTTATCTATCAATTATATTTTAAAATAAGAATAGTTCATGTTTATCAATCACATCTTCTATTTATTCTTTACAATGGTGACAAGTCTTATCTTGAATGATTAGGCTTTTGTCGAGTCATTTTAGTGACTATGTGGGGATGACTCAAAAAAAAAAATATATTTGCAAAAAAAAAAAATAATTTCTATTTAAATTGTAAGTTTGTTGATCAGTTTTAAATAAATAAATTTATTGTTTTTAAACACAAAATTAAATATTTGTAAATATTACCAGGTATGTTTTGTATTCCAATCAGATATCTAATCAAATTATCATAATTTACTCTTTTTTTTTTTTATCCAATCCTGGTTACCAAAATAGTAAATCTTTATCACTGGTTATCAATATTACTCTAAAACCACTTTACTAATTTTGGAAACAAAAAAAAAAATAATGTTCATCATAAAGTTGTTATTATTAAATTTTGAAGTTATTGTTATCAAATATTTTAAATTTGCAAAAAAATGTTCATTTTGTTTTATATATCTTAAAGATACTATTTTTAAAATAATTCGATCTCAATAATTCATTCATACATATACATAATAATATTATTAATGTATTACATAGTATTATTATTCGACACGCAATAGTGTGATACCATTATATTAATTATATTGTGTAAAAACTCTTAGTGTGTTTGAATGATGGTATTAAACACTACCACTAATCTTACTTCTTAAACAGTGCATTAGAAATTGTTTTTAAACACATACACCACAATCACTTCCCTGGTTATGTTATTGATTACCAAAACGATAACAAACAACAACAACAACCAAACAACAAACAAAATACACAACTAAATTAGAGATAATTAAAATAAAAAAGAAGAATGAATATTTTGATTATTTAAATTGATTAATATTAGACATTTTCTTGCTTTGAATTAATAATATAAAAACAAACTTTGTTTGAAAGAATAACCTTATTTTCAATTACAAATACTAATCGTATATCATTTAAATAGATAAAAAAAAAGTTATAACTTTTACCTTTATATAAAAACTATCTAAAAACTATAAAATGAATAAGTCATTCTTTTACTTGTTGATTGCTATTGTTATCTTTGGTTGCATTGCAGTTGCTATGGGAGAAACCGACAGACTGTGCAGATGCCAGTATACATACACCCAAGAATCATGCGCCAAAATGGGTCTTACCTTTTATCCAGCTGATGAATCAAACTGTTGTACAAGATGTAAATAAACTGTTAACTACACTGCACCTGTATCTTTTCAAAAAAAAAAAAAAAACAAAAACAAAAAAAGTAAGTTAAGTAAATAATTTAAATATTATTAACTAAATTGATTGAATAACATAACTAATACAATTATTATTATAAAATAGTACTTTCTTTTTTAAATTAATGTAACTTGTTCAGTTGTCATTAACAAAAATAAACAAAAAAATGTATATTTAAATACAAAGCTCATCATAAATCATCTCTTTTTCCTCTTTATTCAAGCTTAAATATATTTATGCTTCAATCTTTTTGATTTTATACTAAAAGTAATTTATTTATTTGATTTTAATTTGTTATTATTATTAATGTTGTTGCTGTTATAAGAAATCCAATCAATGTCTGTTTCAGATACTCCATATATATATGAACAATCGATCGGTTGTTTAGAGCAAAGATACAAACTTCCAAACATCTCTTGCATTACCACTTGACATTTGCCATAAATATTGAACTGTCTCTTGTGATGGAACTATTCATTGATAATTTGATCGATATTTAGTTAGTAATTTGATCTCTTACTTTTATAATAGTTGTTTTGTTTTGTTTCGTTTCATTTCATTTCATACCTTTCTCTAAATATTTAATTTCAACTAAATAGTTTAACAACAATCTCATTTCGTAGAGAGTGAACTTTGGAATGTGAACGAGTTGATTTTCATTCTTGAATTCCTCTAAAATCTGTGCCTTGCTAACATCGTCAGTTGTAGATGCAACTACAACACCATTTGACTATTGTTGTTATTTTTAATAAATATTTGATTAGTTATTGTTTTGTTTTGTTATGTTTTGTTTGTGGTTAATCGATTGATTGATTGCTTACCAAACTATGATTGAAAAGTGGTTTGAATAGATGTGATGCCAATAGTCTGTCGGTTGGGAGAGTTCCCATGAATGTTTTGGCGTCGTACATGTCACCATACTCTGAGAGACGGTGGAAATGATTGTATCCATCGAGTGCAATCAAAACTGGGAATTCAACAATACAATCCATCTCACGCTTAAAGTGATACAACACCTCACTGCTACAATCGAAAAGTGATGAAGATACCAAATCATACAATGTTTTCTCTGGTGATGATTTAAAGTTATTAAATTGGATCTAAACAAAAATAATAATAATATAAGATATGTAAGTAAATTGTAACAAAACTATTTGTTAGCAAACTAACTAACTAACGAGCTAAACTTTAATAAGTGTAAACTATACTTACTCTAAACTTTGTTTTCAATGGAATCTTCTTCATTAGATCACCATTGACTTCGAGCATCTGGTTGAGTAGGTGAGTGGAGAGCTCGTGTTGTTCAAAGAGCATTGGGTTCTCGACGAACGGGGTCAATGAACCGGTGTGAATGAATTTGTGGACGGATGGCACGTAGAAGACGAACCAACCTTGTTGCTTGGCCCAGAAGACCAACTGTGAGAGTGTGACCGACTTGCCCGATCCACGCTTACCGTCGACCAACATACAGTAGTCCTCCGGTGAGTTCTTCTCGAATTGCTGTTGCTTCATTCTATTCATCCATTCGATCACCTTGAACACCGGTTCTCTCAACAATGTCGATCTGTCTTTTTCTTTTCCGATTCTATCGAAATGTGATTTTAATTCTTTTGAGATGTTTTCTTTACCTATATTTTTGCTATTCATTCATAATATATATAATATATTATTTAATATTATTACTTTATAGATAATGAATATATATATATATATGAATATGCATACCTCCATTGATCTTTAGAAATGGAAAGGAATTGAAATGGAATCGATGACTTTTCAACTTTATCTATATACTCTAGGGTGTTGGTTTTGGTTGCAACATTATTGCTAGTGCTACTATATAAACGAATGACTCTGCTGTTATTGCTGTTGTTTGAAACCAATCTGTTGCAAGTGTTACTGGTGTTCTTGATCATCAGCGATGCCGACGATCTCAGTAATTGTTGACTACCACGTAAAATGTTTGACATCTTGTAAAAATACTGATAATCTACTATTTATTAATAATAATATTAACAGTAAATTTAAATTTACAATTTGATTGATCTAATGTATGATATTCTAATCAATTAAAAAAACGAAGCAAAATCTGATCACACACCCAAAAAATAAAATTTTCATTTTTTTGGTCAGTGCTATGTGAAAAAAAAAACGTTACACTCATCATTTATTTTTTTTGGTTTTTGCATAAATAAACAAATTACATGTTAATAATTTGATGATGAAGGTTGTGTAGAATCTTCATCTATTTCATCTTGAGTAGTAGTTTGAGTCGTTTGTTGTTGATTTAAACGTTGATCTATAAATTTAAATAGTGAGTTGATACAGGATGCTGAGGATCGCTCGTGGACGGTGGTGCCGGCCGACACTGCCTTGCAGTGGTTTCGCTGGCCAAAGTCGGTGTCGAGTGGATCGCGAGAGATGACCCAGTTGCAACAGTTCTCGGCGAGGAATGCTTTGGCCGACTCTGACATCTTGGTTCTGCCGTGCACGCTGTCTGTTAGACCGATCGCCACCAGCTTCGGTAGCAGTGCTCGGTTGCCGGCTACCAAGTTCATGGTTAGCTGACCACCGAATGAGTGTGCGACAATCACAATCTGCGAGGCTGGCGACCGACTTAGGAAGTAGCGCTCGACGTAACTGACGTGGTTGTACGGTGTCTCGCTGCCACGCACATACTGTGTTTGACCGTTGCTCGCTTTGCCGGTTGTCTGATTGGGATTTAAGATGATAAACGCGAAACCACGTGCTCGTGCTTCGCGTAGGTATGGCAAGATTGTTCCCGAGTCAAGACAATCGTTTATACACAGGCTTCTTGCCCATTGACCCGCACGAACCTGTCCACTTCCACAGATGATAATCATCAGCTTGCTGTTGGTATAGAAATCCTGTGAGAGGAAGATGTTTGAGTGTGCAGTGTTTGGATCTTTTCTGTTTTCATTGTGAAGTTCTCTGTGGTTGATATTCAGGTCGATGTTGTCTTCCTCTGTCTCTTTCAGTGGAATAGCGATTTCATCCAAATTGAACTCTGTTTTCATTAGCAGCTGTACATGTTGAGCGATAAAGTCACCAAATATCTCATAGTGCTCCTGATCGATGAACTTAAACTTGTCATTGGGATTGTCGATCGAACGCAACTGACCTTCATCATTATAGAAATAACCAAACTCCTGTAATGTCTTAAACGATCTATAACTCTCTTTCTTGGTCTTTTTATAGATTTGTTGTTTTACAGGTGATTCCTCTTGTTCTTGTGATTGTTGTTGCGATTGTTGTTTCTCTTCGTTCTCATTTTGTTCAAATTTATTCTTATTATTTTTATTTGTGTTACTAGTAGTAGTATCTACTTGTTGTGTTTTATCAACATCGTCATCAGCAAAGTTATTACCAATACTCTTTGATCTATCATAACTTAAAGAGTTACCCATTGTTGTTGTTGTTGTTGATTTTGTTGATTGTGATTCATCCGACATTTCTTTGTTTTGATAATTCTTATTTATATAGCTTGGTTTTGTTTGTTTATTTCGAAGTATTAAATTTTGCTGCTTTGGTGGTTCTGACACCTGTTGTTGATATTTTTGAAAACACTTGATCGAAATTGCGATTACTAGCACTGCAAAAAATAGTTTAATAAAATCAATCATTATTGTTTTGTTAATAAACAAATAATTAAATATTATATTTTTAAAAAAAAGAGATTTAATTATTATTATATAGATAAAAATTTTTAAAAAACTTACATAAAAAAAAATTAACAAAAAGAAAGAATAATGAATACTTAGATAAACAAAACAGAATTGGTTTTTTAATAATTATTTAATTGGTTTTTATTAAGTATTCATTGTTTTTTATCAAATATATATATATATATATATATTTTAATAGAAGCTTTATAGTGGATAGTTAATGATTATTTTTATGGTAATAATTATATACATTCAAAAAAGATATCACAACTAAACATGCAGTGTTGTTATTGAATAAACTTTGAGTAGTTGGAGAAGAGGCCGATGCGATAGCTGCACTGATGCAAAAGCAACAGGTCGACACTCATGAAGCAATCCTCTCGGTGTTACAAGAAAAAAACTTGGCGATGTTTCAAATCATTAACTCATCATCATCATCAGCATCAACTTAATAATCAACAAACAACGATCTCAATATTTACAGTAGAGCCATTTCAGTGAGATCAGCAATGACACAGGACAAAAGATTCAACACTTGTTAGTAGTAAGCACCTGCACACAAAAATTCGATCACCATTCCAAACAACAATTATTATATCAATTGTAAGAACAGCTTGCTCAAATAAAAAAACAACAATAATATAAATTATTGATAGAAAAGAAAGATTAACAATATAAAATAAATTTGTTAATATTAAAATCATTTACAATTTGAGATACGAGTATTTTATTTTTAATCTCAACATTCAAATTTATTAATTTTATTTTTTAACTATATATTGTTAATCTTTTATTTAAAGAATATAATCAGCAAATTGAAAAAAACAGATATCTGGTTTTTAAATGAGTTAAACTTAGACAATGATTGAAGGAGCAGACAGAGATTGGGTGGACGGACAGAGGTTGTAGGCAATGACATAGGTTGCGGCAATGATAGAGATTGGATTGACGGACATAGATGGTGAGCAATGACATAGATTGTAGGCAATGACATAGGTTGGACGGACGGAAAAAGATAGTAGGCAATGACATAGATTGTAGACAATGACAGAGATTGGTTGGACGGACAGAAGTTGTGGGTAATGACAGAGATTGGATGGATGGACAGAGATGGTAGGCAATGACAGAGGTTGAAAGGACGGACAGAGATGGTGAGCAATGACAGAGGTTTTGGCAATGACATAGGGTGGGTGGACGAACATAGATTGTGAGGAATGACAGAGGTTGTAGGCAATGATAGAGATTGGATGGGAGATGGACGGACAGAGATTGTAGGCGATTACAGAGGAAATGACAGAGATTGTGGGCAATGACAGAGGGTGGACGGCAGAGATGGTGAGGAATGACAGAGGTGGTAGGGCAATGATAGAGGGTGGACGGCAGAGATGGTGAGGAATGACAGAGGTGGTAGGCAATGATAGAGATTGTAGGCAATTACAGAGGGTGGGTGGACGGACAGAGATGGTGAGGAATGACAGAGGTGGTAGGCAATGATAGAGATTGTGGGCAATGACAGAGGGTGGACGGCAGAGATGGTGAGGAATGACAGAGGTGGTAGGCAATGATAGAGATTGTAGGCAATTACAGAGGGTGGGTGGACGGACAGAGATTGTGAGCAATAGCAGAGATAATGACAGAGGTGGTAGGCAATGATATTGTGAGGAATGACAGAGGGTGGACGGACAGAGATGGTAGGCAATGACAGAGAAAATGACAGAGGTTGTGAGGAATGACAGAGTTTGTAGGCAATGACATAGATAGAGAGCAATGATAGAGGTTGGGTGGCCGGACAAAGGTTGTAGGCAATGACAGAGATTGTATGGACGGACAGAGATGGTGAGCAATGATAGAGGATGGAAGGACAGAGGTTGTGAGCAATGACAGAGATTGTAGGCAATGACATAGATGGTAGGCAAACAGGAATGGACCGACAGAGGTTGTATGAACCGAGAGATGGTAGACAAAGAGAGAGACAGAGATTAGAAGAGATAAAGAAGAAAGAGATTAAAATAGATAAAATAAAGAGTTAGTAAAACAAAGATATAAATAAGTTAAAGTTATAATTAATAGTTATTACTTACAAAATTATTTGTATTTGAAAAATATTGAAAAATGACATTGTGAATGAAATTATAGGTTTAAATAGTTTTAAATTTGATTCGTTTACTTACAGTTTGAACTCAAAATTGGCGGCAACTGTTAAGCGCCAATTAAAAGTATGAATTAATATTCAAATTTGAAATATAAATATTAAAATTAATTAAAATTCATTTTATTTTAATATAATACTCAAAAATAAAAAAAACAGGCGATCATTACCAATGAAGAAACAACAAGCTTAATTTTCAATTTTATTAATTTATTGAATTTGCAACACCCCACTTTTATTTGACAAGTTCATCTTTTTTTTTTTTGTTGCAAAAATACTATAATATTGTTGTTTTTTGTTAAATATAATAATTGAAGAATATTATTATTGTAGTATATAATTAAATATTTAAATTGTAAGATGATTCTATTGTGTAATAGTAATGGATTGATTCGTGAAAACAATAATTACAATAGTACTAGAATAGAAGTGATTTACTATAAAATGAAAATTTCAAATTGAATTGTATAGTTAGATTAAAGTGTTCAACTTATTCATCATTCTAAACATCTCTTTCATAGCATATTGATAATTCGTACTTCCAAAATTGTAAGTATTGATAGTTTGTACTCTTCAATTGAATAAAACCAAGTTGAACGATTAAACTTTTTTCTTATCTGTATTATATTATTATTATGATTATCAAGATATTTCTATTATCACACTCATCTTAAGATTACTATTAGTTTGTTATTTTTTTAAGTTGAGTTAAGGTGAAATATTAAATTAATGAAAATCAAAGGAATGTACACTTTTATTTTGATTATTTTCTAGTTTTTTTTTATTTAATTTTTTTAAACTAAGAATTAAATAAATTATCTTTTATACTTTTAACAAATAAATAAATTGATTATAAATAAAAAATTGAAAGTTTTAAGTAAAAATTACTTTGTTTTAATTTTAAATATCAACTTGTTGTATTCATTGAATAAAATATTTAAATAATATAGTAATCTTTCTTTTATGTTGAGATAAATATATTACCAAAATAAATCTAAATAAATTATATTTGTTTGTTTATTTAAAAGTGAAACACAATTTAATTGATTTGATTCACGATTTATTGGAATTGAATGACAATGTCAAGTGTGGGTGTTCTGCACTGATTGTGTGTTTTTTTATTTTTATTCTTTTTGCCAATCAAAAAAACATCAACCAAACTTTTAAATTTAAGACATCTTTTTATTATATTATTCTATTTAATTGAGAGCATCGGATAAAATGACGTTAATTATTTCAAAATTTGGCGGTTTCTTATTATTATTGATTATTTTTAAATCTAATTTAAATAATAATATATTAGTAAATACTATTAATATCGAAATTTTGCTTTTCAATATAAGCAATATTCATATTAATTTGTTATTTCTAAGTAAGTTTTATTAATATCACAATATTTTCAAGAAAAATATTGATCAAAACTAACATATTTCTTTCAAATTTCTATCAAATATAGTTTTAGATAGTGATCATTGATAATAATAAAGAGATAGTTGATTTCTCATTTACTCTCTTCATTTAAAAATAAGAAATAAATTAATTTTAATTTCAATTAAAGAACTTATCTTTTTTTTTATTTACTTTTTCATTTTATTATTGATAGTTTTCAATTATTGTCATAAAATTGTTGTTTTGCCACTTATACAATTGAAAGTGTTCAATCACTACTAGTGATTAGTGAAACCTTTTGAATAAACAAAAGAAATAATATCAGTATCATATCAATGTCCCAATACAATCAAAAACAATACTGTATTGAGAAAAAAAAAAAAATTAAAAAATATAATGGGTGAAAAATTTCCAAATAAATTAGTATTCTTAAATTACATAAATATACATATATAGATATTATAAATTTAGATATTAGCTTTTAAATCTTTTTTACATCATAATCAATATACACTCTCATAAATATATTTCATTATTTTTATAAATTAAATAAATCATGCATATGTCACAACAACTTCAAGATAAGATAGATAATTTTCCAATTACCAGCTATTCGTGGGAATTAGTTGGTGTTTATTTCAAAAAGAAGGCTGAGCTCGATGATGAAGAAGATCAAATGAGTTTCTTTTATTACTTTATCCATGAATTCACTCGAGTCAAAAGGGAATTCGATGAACAACAGCAGCAACACAAACAACAACAACCACAACAAGATAATAATATTGTTAATTATAAGTCGCTGGAGGAAGTTATCCAAAGCTTTCCAGTCACAAGTTTATCACTGGATTTAGTAACAGTTTACAACCAAAAGAAACTCGAGATTAAAGATGAGTCAGATCGAAATCTGTTCCTTTTGTACTTTTCCAAAGAAAGATCTAGAATAGCCAGAGAACAAAATCAACAACAGCAATTACAACAACAACAACAGCAACAACAGCATTTACAACAACAACAACAACAACAGCAACAACAGCAATTACAACAGCAACAGCAACAACAGCAGGAACAGCAACAACAGGAACAGCAGGAACAGCAACAACAGCAACAGCAACAACAGCAACAGCAACAACAGCAACAGCAACAACAGCAACAGCAACAACAGGAACAGCAACAGCAGCAACAGCAGCAACAGCAACAACAGGAACAGCAACAGCAGCAACAGCAGGAACAGCAGCAACAGGAACAGCAGCAACAGCAACAGCAACAACCAACTATAAAGAACAACAATAACAATGATAACGATAATATAAAGTATAAGAAAAACAACAACAATAACACTAAATCAATAGGAAATCAAAATACCTATCAATTTAGAATTCCAGTTAATCAAAATAAAATAGATTACAATATAAATAACAACAATATAAACAAAATTGATTACATTCATAATATTAAATATTATATTCAAAACTACAAAATAAAAATCATTGACAGATCAAAACCAAACCAAAATACCTTCCAATTTAGAAGACCAACTAATTGGAAAGAGAACAACGACAACAAAATCATCAAAATCAACACCAACATTGACAACACTGCCAATTACATTTTAAACATTATTAACAATATCAAAAACAAACCAAAACCAAATAATAATACCTACCAATTCAGAATAACCAGTAATAAAAGTAAATAATAATTATAATAACAGGATGGAATGGTGATCTGGATTCTAGGTTCTGGGTTTGGTGGTACTGGTCGATGCATGGGTGGCAGGGTGGGCACGATCGAAGGATATTTGTTATGGTAATATATTATTTATTTATTTATTTATTTATTTATTTACAATGTTGTTTATTTATTAATATTATATTGGTATATTATAAGTAAAAAGTAGATCAATGTTAAAAGAGTCTGGTTCTTTGGTCATGGTCTTGGCTATATGGTGGTACTGGTCGATGCATGGGTGGCAGGGTGGGCACGGCCGAAGGATCTTTGAAAAGGTAATATATTATTATAAATTTATTTTTATTATTTATTTACAATGTTGTTTATTTATTAATATCATATCTGTTTTCTATATTTAAATAATATAAAGTAAAATTCAGGTTAACGAAGCTCTAGGTTTTTTTTGTAGGTCTATCAAATAATTTAGGAACGAATACAAATATGATTGAAATTAAATATAAATGGATAAATATAATTATAAATTAATTTTATAAATATATTCGTTTTATTTATATTTAATTTTAATTATTCTTGTATTCGTTCTTTATTTATTTATTTATTATTTGTTTATATCATTAATTAATACTAACAACTGACTACTTTGTTTTTTATTTATTCTATTTTCCAATATAACAATCAAGCTATTCCAAGTGATCCATTTCAATGGGTTCGTCCTTTTTTTTTTCTTTCCAGGGTCTGGGATAACTGGGTGTCATTGCTTGTGATCCTTGCCTCTCTTATCAAGCGTGACGGCATGTCTCGATCAGTGAACCCTCTGATGAGAGCCTAGTTATTAGAGAAACCTGGCGACCTGTACACCCGACCCGCCAGTTGGGGAGATTGTTGTGAGCGGTTGCCTGTGGACGGACGAAGCTGGGATGAGCGCACTTGCTTGCAGGTGGTCTTGCACATGGTAACCTCTGTGTTGATCTACAGGATGCATGGCACTGGGTCAAGGGTAGGGAAACCTCCAACACATGTTACGGCTTCATATAGTCTGAAAGCAGGTGATACATACGCTGCTAGTCTGTCGCATCTTCGGGTGTGGCGACACAGAGCAGATGGAGGCGACAATCTCTGTACAGAAGGCAACGCCACAGCTATCACTTTCTTTGTTGCCTCTTCGAAGTTGTTTTATTTGCTTCGGCTTCTAACTCCGCTGTCGATCAGGAACAACAACAATTAAAGATGCTGCCGATGGTTTGTGGCAATAAATCCATCGGGGTCTCTAGGTGCCAGTAGACTCCACCTCCACGTGGTTGGCACCGGAAACTCATGGATCGATAAGATTTAAAATTTTTTTTTTTTTTTTTATATAGTAAAATATGTTTAAAATTAAAAAATATTTTCTTATCGATCCATGAGGCTGAGAGAGTCTAAATTTTAATCTTTGCAGCTTTCGATCGATCGATGTTAACTTTGATCTTGGATCACCCACACTTCACCCACCACACTCATACTCACACCCACACTCACCACACAGCACAACTCAAAATTTTTTTTTCACTTTTTTTTTTTTTCACTTTTTTTTTTTTCACCAAAGTCAAACACACACATAATTAATTTTTTAATTAAAGTAACAATCAATCTATTTATTCATATTTATATATATTTTTAATTAACACTATTTAGATATAATAAGGTAAGTTTAATATCATTTATGAAACATAATAATAATAATCATCATTATCATCATTATTTATAAATACTTTACTCTAACTAATTAATTAGCATTAACACATTTATACATTTTTATATATTTAATATCTATTTAGATTTTATTATAGGCTCTTGTTGAGTGTCAATCATATAGATTATCATTGGATGGTGTACCATCTGTAGAATATCTCTAAATATATCGCTGGAATTCAACAAGTAAATATACTTTGAACAAAACAAAAAGATTATAGCGATCGAGTTAAATATTGATACTAATTTAATGAATTTTAAACAATTGTTATAGAGATACACAAAGTGGTGGTGTTAGACCATTCGGTATTTCTACATTGATTGTCGGTTTCGATTCAGACGGTACACCAAAACTTTTTCAAACAGATCACCCGGTTCATTGAAGGAACAGGCAGCCGCCATCGGACGTAACTCAAAGACTGTCAGTGAATTTTTAGAGAAGAACTTTACAGATGAGAGTGATACTGCTTCAATTAAATTGGCTGTTAGAGCATTGCTTGAGGTAATAATATATTATTCATTTATTACTATAAATATAGTAAACAACTATGACTAACTATTATTATTATTAATACTATTGTGATATTAACAAATAAATAGGTTGTAGAATCAGGAATTAAGAATATTGAAATTGCTATCAATAAATGAAATGAACCAATTAAATTGTTCAAGGAATCCGAAGTCGAATAGTTGGTAGATGAAGTCGAAAAGGAGAAAGATGAAGAGAAGGAAGCTGCTGCAACCTCTCCAAAGAAATAAATGAGAAGATTAACATAAAATTAAGTTAACATTGTCAATCAATCAATCAATCAATATATAACAAACATGTAGCTAATAATAATAATAACAACATTGTTTTCTTCACCTACTTCTACTTTTATTAATAATAATACTACTTATTTCCTTGTTGATAACATAATACACACCCCACACTCATAAATTAAAACTTAAAACAACAATATCAATCAACCAAATTTTAAATAAAAAGTTGATATCTTTCAAATTCTTTAATTATTCTTTTAACAAAGTTGATTCCACTTAGTTGCTGGACTGAGTTACCGGATTGAGTTAGTCACCGGACTGAGTAAGTTGACTTAGTTAACTCAGTTACCGGACTCAGTTACCTGACTGAGTTACCGGACTGAGTTACCAGACTGAGTTACCGGACTGAGTTACCGGACTCAGTTACCTGACTCAGTTACCGGACTTAGTTACCTGACTCAGTTACCTGACTCAGTTACCAGACTGAGTTACCTGACTCAGTTACCTGACTCAGTTACCAGACTGAGTTACCTGACTCAGTTACCTGACTTAGTTACCTGACTCAGTTACCTGACTTAGTTAGTTACCAGACTGAGTTACCAGACTGAGTTACCAGACTGAGTTACCAGACTGAGTTACCAGACTGAGTTACCGGACTGAGTTACCTGACTCAGTTACCTGTCTCAGTTACCGGACTCAGTTACCTGACTGAGTTACCAGACTGAGTTACCTGACTGAGTTACCAGACTGAGTTACCGGACTGAGTTACCTGACTCAGTTACCTGTCTCAGTTACCGGTCTCAGTTACCTGACTGAGTTACCGGTCTCAGTTACCGAACTCAGTTACCAGACTGAGTTACCAGACTGAGTTACCGGACTCAGTTAGTTTCCAAACTCAGTTACCAGATTGAATTAGTTACCGGACTCAGTTACCAGACAGAGTTACCTGACAGAGTTACCTGACTCAGTTACCTAACTCAGTTACCTGACTGATTTACCGGACTCAGTTAGTTAATGAACTTAGTTGACTCAGTTACCGGACTCAGTTGATGACTTAGTTGAATCAGTTACCGACTGAATTATGAGTTACCGGACTTAGTTAGTTACCAGACTCAGTTGATTCCACTTAGATACCGGTCTGACTTAGTTAACTCAGTAACTGGACTGAGTTGATGACTCAGTTGACTCAGTTGACTCAATTGCCATACTTAGTTGCCCGAAGCCAGAGTTTCCGTTAACTCCACAACTCAGATACTATTGATACTTACCTCAACTACATATCTTAGTTTCGATCAACTCTACAACTCAATTCCCATCAACTCCATAACTCGGTTACCGATGAACTCACCACTCTCAATGTCCATCTGCTCATCTACTCCTTACCATCAGTTTCACAAATCGATAAAATAAAATCAAAATATAAATATAATGGTAGTTTAAAATTTTTTTGAAATAGTAATTTTGTTGAATCCAAACACTCATAAATGTTAAATTACTTGACCAGGAGCAGAAGTAGCAAATGTCATTCTACTACCACTAATCCAACAACATCATCAACCTCAAATTTATGAAATATTTCTGGTAATGAGGTGTTGATGAAATTATTTGTTGTTGTTGATCAGTTGGTAGTTGTATTTTATTGTCTAAATGTTTATTATAAAAACTTTAATAATTTTATTTGATGTCTGAGTATTTAAGAACTTAATTCGGAAATAACTGATTTAATTTAATTATAACAGTGAAGTGAAACCATTCAACCTATTTAAATTTAATATATTATAAATTAATGAAAATAATGATTTTAGATATTTTAAAAAGAATCTAATATCTATTCTTTTTATAAATGAAAGAGATATTTATAACATATAGAATATCTTATTGTATCTTTATTATTAATCATATCTTTCAAAAATTAAAATTTTAATTAATTTTAATAATTTTTGCAACAAAAAAAAAGATGAACTTGTCAAATAAAAGTGGGGTGTTGCAAATTCAATAAAATAATAAAATTGAAAATTAAGCTTGTTGTTTCTTCATTGGTAATGATCGCCTGTTTTTTTTATTTTTGAGTATTATATTATAATAAAATGAATTATTTAATTAATTTTAATATTTATATTTCAAATTTGAATATTAATTCATACTTTTAATTGGCGCTTAACTGTTGCCGCCAATTTTGAGTTCAAACTGTAAGTAAACGAATCAAATTTAAAACTATTTAAACCTATAATTTCATTCACAATGTCATTTTTCATTATTTTTCAAATACAAATAATTTTGTAAGTAATAACTATTAATTATAACTTTAACTTATTTATATCTTTGTTTTACTAACTCTTGTTTATCTCTTTTTATCTCTTTCTTCTTTTCCAAGTCCTCTTTACCATGCCTGTTGCCTCCTTACTATGAGTGATGCCTCGTTGCTATTCCGGTTGCCTCTCATTACCATGCCGGTTTCCTCTCGTCGTTATGCCAGTTTCCTCTAGTCGTTATGCCGGTTTCCTCTCGTAGTTATGCCGGTTGCCTCTCGTAGTTATGCCGGTTGCCTCTCGTCACTATGCCGGTTGCCTCTCGTCACTATGCCGGTTGTCTCGTCGTTATGCCGGTTGTCTCTCGTTGCTATGCCGGTTGCTTCTCGCTACTATGCCGGTTTCCTCTCGTAGTTATGCCAGTTGCAGCTCGTCGTTATGCCAGTTTCCTCTCGTAGCTATGCTGGTTTCCTCTCGTCGTTATGCTGGTTTCCTCTAGTCGTTATGCCGGTTTCCACTCGTAGTTATGCCGGTTGTCTCTCGTCACTATACCGGTTTCCTCTCGTAGTTATGCCGGTTCCTCTCGTCACTATACCGGTTTCCTCTAGTCGTTATGCCGGTTTCCACTCGTAGTTATGCCAGTTGACTCTCGTCACTATGCCGGTTTCCTCTCGTCACTATGCCGGTTTCCTCTCGTCGTTATGCCGGTTTCCTCTCGTAGTTATGCCAGTTTCCTCTCGTCACTATGCCGGTTTCCTCTCGTCGTTATGCTGGTTGTCTCGTTACTATGAGGGTTGCCTCTCGTTGCTATGCCGGTTTCCTCTTCGTTACTTTACCGGTTGCCTCTCGTCGTTATGCTGGTTGCCTTTTGTGTATTCAACAACTAATAATAATCAAAGCTAAAGACATAATTTAATAAAATTTAAATAAATATTTGATATTATTTTTTTTTATTTTTTGCAGAGTTCTTTAATGTTATCGAGTTGAGAAAAAACAGTATGTAAAGTTGATCCTAGCTGTTCTTCAGGTTGGGAGTTGATGTAATCCAGCACCAAAAAGATGACATCTTGTTTCAAGATTTTCTTTGGAATACAAATATTAAGTTTCGCACAATTCAGTCAGAACTGGAACTGTACTTCTTGATATGGTTATCCAATGAATCATCTTGCACTTTTTGTTTCTTGCGTCAGAGAAACGAAGGATTGTCGAAAGAGAAGGAATGGAATGCCTCCATAACTATAGTTGGATTTCTTTTCACCACTCAACAGCTTAATTAGCTTCTTTCCATGATGCTTCAGCGTCTGTGCAAATAGAAGTGTTGACAGACCACGTACCTCTTTTACTGATTAAGGTATCAATCTGATCAGACAGCAGAGAATAGAAAATAGTATCCTTGAGACCAGGGCTTTTCTTTAGAAGGGTTTCAATCTTTACAACGAGTTCATCTCTCTCCTTTGTTGGTTCTAAAAAAATATGATTAGTTTTATGAATAAAATATAACTATATAGTTTACTTACCAACTACAACTGCTTTAACTTTGCCTGGGTTGTTGCTGAATTTCATATTGATATCTCGAGCGATATACCCTTCAACAGAATCTCGGAAATCTTCAAAATGCTGACTCAACTCTTGATACTTTTGTCTTAAATTGTTTAATTCTATATTTAATGATTCTATTTGTTGATCTTTATTGTTTAGTTGTTGTTGTAGTTCTGTTACTGTATTATTTAATTGTTGCTTTAGCTCTGCTATTGCATGATCTTTATTGTTTAGTTGTGGTTGTAGCTCTGTTATTGTATGATCTTTATTATTTAGTTGTTGTTGTAGTTCTGTTATTGTATGCCTATGTTTCTTTTTAGCATTTGTCAGTTCCTGCTTGCTTTTTCTTTTTGGATGTGGATTTGAAAGACTGGTGTTTAACTCTTCACAAAGATTGTTTAGTTGTAATATGTTGATTTGATCATTAGGCTTTTTCTTTTTTTTTTTTAAAAAAAAAATTAATAAAAATACAATAGATATAGATTAAAAGGCATACTTACAACTAGCATTAATAATGATCGAGTTTTAGGTAGTTTAAGACATTTAAGAATATTGTTTGGATCGATACTAAACTGTTTTGAATATCTAATAGCAGGAGAATCTTCTGAAAACTTATGCATTAACTTTTTATAATCCTTGTTTTCATTAATACTACAACTCTCATACTCTAAACTAAATATATTTGCAAGTGTAACCCAGTCTTCTCTGCTAGGACATCTATATTCGTTCATTGTTCACAATGCTTAAAAAAGGAGTAGTGTGCTAATCGATATACAACTAACAAAGCTTTGATAACAGATTAACGTAAAGGTGTCTACAGATAAACTAAGTAAACAAATACAAAAAAAAAAAGCAAATAAATAAATAAAAATTAAAAAAAATAAATGAATTACAAATCGTTGTTTACATAGTTAATCTTTTTTTTTTTTCTGCATTAACAACAATTGCAAACTTCACAATCATAAGAATTACTTTTTTTCTTTTTAATATAATTTAACGCATAAATTAAAAAAAGATCGATATATTATATTTTTTTAATTTATTTTTATTTTTATTTTTATCTAATATCATTCAAACCTTCAATCCAATAAATTAGTAATTAGTAGTCTTTGTTTTAGATATAAACAAAAATAATCAAGTATATACTCTACTTTTTATTGTTTATTTTGTGAATATTATAATAATAATAATATAGTTATTAGTAGAATAATGTTTGATATCAAAGAAGATCTTCTGGAATCATATAATTTATTGGATTGAAGGTTTGAATGATATGAGAAAAAAAGTATAATTTCCAAGAAATTGAAATTTAACCACATATAATTTTTTTTTTAAAAGGTTTGTTTGTGCATCTGCGAATTGAGTTTTAATTATAAATGTTTATCGCACGAAAATCAAACAATCTTAGATACTTTAACCAATTTATTATTAACAATTTTAATAACTCATTCTGCACAATCACACCCACCACAACATCAATAAGAACGACAACGATAACGATGCCTCCTATTAGAAGTAAATCAAAGAATTCCACCACTAAAACAACAACAACAACAACAACACCTTATTCAAAGAAAACAATTGAGGAGAAGCCAACTGAGAAGACTCCTGCCAATAGAATGTATTATGACCAATACGAATCACCGATCGGTACCATCGAATTCTATGCCAACGACAAGAAGAAACTTACACTGATCAGTTTCTATCCAAAGTATGAGAGCACCGATGAGATGAATACCAACGAGACTACCGATTCTTTCAAGAATGAGTTGGTCGAGTACTTTGCCGGTGAGAGGGCGGACTTTGAGACACCGATCGACTATAATGAAGCGACCGACTTCCAAAAGGGTGCGTGGAATGCATTGCTCGATGTCAAATATGGTGAGACTGTTTCCTACTCTGAGATTGCCAATAAAATGGGTACTGCTCCACGTGCTGTTGCCACTGCGTGTCGTCTCAACAAGTATCCTCTCATCGTGCCATGTCATCGTATCGTCTCTGTCAGTGGTGAGGTAGTTGGTTACATCGGTAAAGGTGGTATACCAAAACAACATTATCTCTATGCCCACGAACAAAAATACCTTAAATCACTCACCTCCAAAAATGACAAAACAAAAACAACTTCAACAACAACAACAGCAACAACAACCAACAACACTACAAAAAATACAACATCAACTAAAAAGACAACAAAAACAACTAAGTAATAATAATTATATATTTCTTTTTATTTGTATATATGTAAATAATTAATTGTTATGTTATTTGTTCCAATTACGAAAGAAATATATATATATATATAACTTCAAAAGACAACAATATATCTAATAGGGTGAGGTAAGATGTGACCTCGTTGTGTTTAATATTTTTAAAAACACCACAACACACTTTAAAAAAATTACCCCAATTAATTTGAACACACAAAGCAAACTCAAATTTACTTAAATATATTTACTTTTTTGGAAATAAATAACTATCTCTATTAAATTCTTATTATTTATTGGTTTTTTTAAAAGTAATTTGATTATTATTTTAAACTTTTAATTAATTAAATAAAGTAATATACTTTTTTTATCTTTTACATTTTATCATTAATATTTTTAAATCTTTTAAAGAAATATTTATTATTTTTTGTTTATTATTTATTAAATTTCCTAAAGAAAGAAAATGAAAGTAGTTATTGCAGTGGATGGAAGTGATTGTTCAACTTTGGCAATCACAGAGTCATTTAAAATGCTAAAGACAGAAAGAGACACCATCGATATCATCACGGTGATAGACGAGCAATCCATACCGCAAGAGGATTTGGTAGCACCCATAGACAATCTCAAGGAACTACAAGAGATTGCAGTACAAATACTTGAAAGAGATCAACAACAATGTATAAAGAAAGGTGTATGTTTTTTAATTATAATTCATAACATAACATTCAATGATAACTAAAGTCCAAATTCAATATAAATAGTTTAGAAATACTACAACGAAAATACTGTACGGTGATACTAGAGAAGAAATCTTAAAATATATAGAGGAGCATAGTACACCTTTAGATATGATCATCGTTGGTTCCAGAGGATTGGGTATATTCAAAAAGTATGTACACTGTATAATACTATTAAAATGAAACTGTTTAACAGTTTCTAATTCTGTCATATATTAATATCTGCTGCTGATAATGTATAGAATTATGCTTGGTTCCGTCAGTGAATATCTAGTGCATCATTCACCAATTCCTGTATTCGTTGTTAAGCATCATGTGAATCAACCTATTTCTACAACTCCAATGATATGATTATGACTATAATTGATAAATGATAAATGATATCACTTATCAAATTTGATAATAATATAACATAGCGCGATATGTTATACAACAATTGTTCCAGACTTATAATTAGTTAACTATAATAAATATACAGATCAACCATTGTAAATACATATATAAGTTGATTTCTTTTCTTTTGTTTGTTGTTTTTACTATTATTATTTATTAAAAATTGATATTACTATTATTATTATTTATTATTTACTATATCTCTTTTCCAGATTTTATAGCTTCTTCTAAACAACTCTTTGCACCAATAACTTTATTCTGTATAAACTTTGATCCACCATCCTCTGGGTTATTTAAATCTAATAAAACTGCATGTCTCTGTAAATTCATAATGATTGATTCATTCATTGGTTGATGATCATCAATTATTAGTATTGTGCGCTCGCTTATTTATAGTTTAGATAATCTAAACACACGTAAATCTAATATATAGCTACCTTTGTAATTTCTTCTATAGTCAGTGTCTGTACATTATCTAAACCTAAAATCTTTTTCGCTTCGATTGGTGTCATTGTACCTGAAAATGATTCAGACTTTGCAAAGTCTGATGCTGTTTTTGCACCTGTAGATTCAGCTCCTATTTATCATTATTGAATATCTAATTAGCTATTATTATTATTCACAATCATCATGCACGATGATAAACCTATCAACTTTTAACATACTTGCAATAGCTTGTTTATATGCCAATGACAATGATCTTACGAACACAGTACCGGTTGTAATCAAAAGATTTGCAAATATCTTGAGAACCTAAAATAACATTAAAAAAATAATGAATTAGATAATAATAAACAATAATAACAAATAATGATGATAGTTCATACCATGTCTATCTATATATAAATGTTTGAATATGATATTTTAATAAATGTATATTAATATTCAAACAATCGAAAAAAAAAAAATTAGTTAAAAAAAAAAAAAAAAAAAAAAAAGCTTTTTTGACGAATGTTTAGGTATTAAAAAAAAATTGGCAATCAGTTGATTATTACTATTTTATTAACTTGTAGCAAAATCTAATTTATTCTCTTTCAAGAGAATAAATCAATTGTATTGTTTTGTTTATCTTTTTATTATTTTATTTTTTATGAGATTATATCAATTTTGAACAAATAAAAAAATATTTTTCTTTATTAAATGATTCTAATTTTTTTTTTTTTTAAAAAAAAATATCATTCAGCGAATGAATAATTACATCAAGATCAATCATGTATGTGTAACCTATTTAAACATATTTATAAAATTTCATTGTTTAAATCAAATAAAACACCTTGCAAGCACCAACAAGTTCTTTTGAAAATTTTTTAATTTTTTTTTTTGATTTTTTCAAAAACTTTTTTTGTGTTAATTATTATCACCAAAACACAATTAAAAACTAAACTAATAATCATACTGGTTGTAGTTACCTTTTCTTTTTTTTTTTTTTTTGCTTTGAAGATAGATTTAATTCATCAAAGTTAAATTAGTAATATAAATATATAATTGTATAATAGATAGACATAAAAAAGAAAAAAGATAACTTTAAACAAGATAACATAGATAATATATAGATAGATAGATTCAGACACTATTCAAATTTAATAGTAGATATATATATAGTTAAAAGAAAATGTCTGATTCAAAATACTTTCAAACAACCAAGAAAGGTAGGTTTCAATCGATTTACTTTATAATAGTCATTAGTATAGCAAAGATAAAGTGAGGAGTGAACATACAAACAACATCAATTAAAAAAAAAAAAAAAAAAAAAAAATGGTTATGATTAAAAATAATAACATTGTAACTAGTTAGAAAGTTAAGATAGAAACTGAAGAAAGATAGGATAGATAAATGGATATATAGATAAATATATATATATATCGATAGATTGCATAATAAAAGTACTAGATTTCTAATCATTAATGTTGTATGAAATGAATGTTTTTTTTTTTAGGTGAAATTCATGAATTGAAAGAAGAATTACTCTCACAAAGAGAGGATAAAAAGAAGGAGGCTGTTAAGAAGGTTATTGCAGCAATGACTGTTGGAAAGGATGTCAGTATGTTGTTCACTCATGTTCTCAATTGCATGCAAACCAACAATTTGGAGTTGAAAAAGTTGGTCTATCTCTATGTTATGAACTACGCAAAGAATCATCCAGATCGTGCTATCTTGGCTGTAAATACATTCCAAAAGGTGAGTTATCTTGATGATAAACTTAAACAACACATCACATTCACACATAGATGTACATCTATTAACCTAACGTATATTATTATTATAGGATGCATCTGATCCAACCAATCCATTGATTAGAGCTTTGGCTATTAGAACGATGGGATGTATCAGAGTCGATAATATTACAGAGTATTTGTGTGAGCCATTGCGATTCTGCTTGAAGGATCAGGATCCATACGTGCGTAAGACCGCCGCTGTCTGTGTTGCAAAGCTGTACGATATCAACCCAGAGTTGGTCGAGAATCAGGGATTCCTCGATATTTTGAACGATATGCTCGGTGACTCCAATCCAATGGTGGTCGCCAACGCCGTCGCCTCGCTCACAGAGATCGACGAGGTCAGCAAGCACGAAGTCTTTAGAATCCACGGTGGCAATATCAACAAGTTGTTGGCCGCGCTCAACGAGTGCACTGAGTGGGGACAGGTCTTCATTTTGAATGCACTCTGTAAGTATAATCCACGTGACTCGCGTGAATCCGAGTCGGTATGTGAGCGTGTCGCTCCACGTCTGCAACACGCCAACTCTGCCGTTGTGTTGTCCGCCGTCAAGGTGCTCATGAAGTACTTGAACTACGTGCAACAATCGGACTTTGTCAAGCTCTATTGCAAGAAGATGGCACCACCCTTGGTGACACTGCTCTCGAAGGAGCCAGAGATCCAGTTCCTCGGACTGCGAAATATCAACTTGATCGTGCAGAAGCGTCCAGAGATTCTTCAGTACGAGATGAAGGTGTTCTTCTGTAAGTACAACGATCCAATCTATGTGAAGATGGAGAAGTTGGAGATCATGATTATGTTGGCCAACGAGAAGAACATCGAGGAGGTGCTACTGGAGTTCAAGGAGTACGCCACTGAGGTCGATGTTGAGTTTGTAAGAAAGGCTGTTAGAGCTATCGGTCGTTGTGCTATCAAGATCGATCGTTCTTCAGAGCGTTGCATTCAGGTGTTGTTGGACTTGATCCAGACCAAGGTCAACTATGTCGTGCAGGAGGCAATCATCGTCATCAAGGACATCTTTAGAAAGTATCCAAACAAGTACGAAGGTATCATTGCTACACTGTGTGCCAATCTCGAGTCACTCGACGAGCCCGAAGCAAAGGCATCGATGATTTGGATCATCGGTGAGTATGCCGAGCGTATTGACAACGCCCACGAACTGCTCGCTTCGTTCCTCGAGGGCTTCAAGGATGAGAACAGTCAGGTGCAACTCCAACTCTTGACAGCCATCGTCAAGCTCTTCTTGAAGCGTCCCAAGGATGCTCAACAAATGGTTCAGACCGTCCTCTCATTGTCCACACAAGAGTCGGACAATCCTGATTTGCGTGACCGTGGATTCGTCTACTGGCGTCTGCTTTCCACCGACTTTGAAGCTGCCAAATCCGTTGTTCTCTCTGAGAAACCATTGATTACAGACACCACCTCGCAACTCGAAGAGGGATTACTCAACGAGTTGATCTCCAATATATCGACACTCTCATCCGTCTATCACAAACCACCCGAAACCTTTGTCGCCAAACTCAAGGGTCTCTCCAAGCGTGGATTCCGTAAGGACGACGACGACGAAGAGGAACCAGATTACATCGATGATGATAATGAGAATCAAAACAATGGAAATAGACATCATCAACAACAAAATCAACAACAACAATCACTTCAACAACAACAACAAACTAGATCAGGTAATCTCATTGATTTGGATCTCTCAGATCTTGGTGGTGCTTTGCCACAGACTTCCAGTCCATACAATAGCATGGGTGGTGGTCAACCATTCTCACCACAACAACAACAACCACAATTCAGTGGCAATCCAAACGACCTTTCTTTCTTAAACTCTGGTGGTGCCGGTGGAGCTCCACAAGTGCACGTCAACAAGCAGATCCTCCTCGGTCAAGACAAGGGTCAAGGAATCCAAATCAGCGGTGCATTCGCACGTTACAACGGTCGTCTTTCACTCGAATTGACACTGCTCAACGTCAGCGGCAGTCAGATGCAAAAGTTCAAGATCCAATTCTACCAGAACAGCTTTGGTATTTCACCGATCGAATCGATCCTTCAGTGCGGAGCCATCGAGAATGGCCAATCGCTGGACGTCTCGATTCCACTGCACGCCAAAGATCAGCCATCACAACCGCTGGCCGAAGCCATCAAGATGGCCATGATGGTGCTACCCTCACAAGCTAAATTCTACTTCCAAATGAACCTTCCATTCCACCTGTTGTTCACAGAGCAAGGACAACTCGACCGTGAAGCGTACCTCTCCATGCGAAAATCGATCCCAGAGGCCAACGAAAAAGACCAGAGACATTCAAATTCAACTGCCCAACTTTGATCCCGACACCATACTCCGACGTTTACACTCAAAGAACCTTTTCGAAATCGTGCGAAAGAGAACACAAAACCAAGACGTATCGTTCCTCTCCTGTAAGACCGAAAACTCTGTATACATCTTGGCGGAGCTAACCTTCACCGTTGGCCAACGTGTTGCCAGACTCACCTCAAAATCAACTGTAACCGAATTCACCCCACTTTTCGAACATACCATCGATATGTTAATCAACGATGTCAACTATTAACTGATCAACAATCTCAAAAAAGAGAGAAAAAGAAAACAAAAACAAATCAAAAAAAAAAACAAAAAAAAAACCAATTATTGTTGTTCATCAAAACATATATTATTATTATATAAAACAAAACAAACAAACCAAATTAAATAAATTAATCAATCTTCAAAGTTCAAAGAAAAAAACAAACATATGAGTTCTCTCTTTACAAAATGATTTATTCCAAAATATTTGTTTTGCAAAAAAATAAAATAAAAAAAAACAAGATTTATTTAAATAAAATAAATTGCAAAATTCTCATCCCAAAAAAAAAACAGAATAACAAAAAAAGAAGAAAAAACATCACATATTAAAAAAAAAAATAGAAAAGAAAACAAACAACTGTTTGATAAAATTATAATAATTAAGATCTTTTTTTGTTATTACACTGAAATTAAATAATATAATTAAATAAAGCAAACTATATAGATATAAATATAGATAAAAAATAAATCAAAAATAATAATGATAGAAAGATAAGAAAAGATAATAATAATTTAACAAAACAATAGTAGAATAGATTGATCAATATTATCATACACAGATTAGCATAATAAATCAAATTTATGATTAGAGGAAGAAGAAGAAGTAGTAGTCATAGTAAATAGTAATAATTTGAGTTAAATCATCATCAATTAGAAAAAAAATGAAACTTAAACAATATTTATATAAAAATAAAACGAGGTTTTATATTTTATTATTTTATTTATTTTATTTTATATCAATAGTTTTATCATATAGTAATAGTAGTAGTATTAGTAGTAGTAATAGTAGTTTTAATAGTATATATAGTTTTAATAATAATAATAATAATATTTATAGTAATAATACATTTAATAATAATAATAATAGTAATGAAGAAGAAATAATATATCAAATAAATAGTCAAAGTTTTGAAAGTAACAATGAATACATTGTTATGTTTAATAAGTATTACGATCAGAAAGAGCATTATAGTCTGATAGAATCGTTGTTGGATGAGTACAGTAAGAGTGATCTGCTGCAGTGGCAAGTGATACCGAGAAACAACTCGGCATCGAAATTCCCATCGGATTTCGCTCTGGTTTCGATCGCGTCGAGCGACCAGCAGTTGTTTGTGAACGTACTCGATAAGCTGCGTGCAAACAGCTCGCTCGTCAGACACGTCGTGCCGGAGCGGCGAATCTACGATGCGCTCAAGGGCTGGCAGACCAACAAGAACGACGGCTTGAAAAAGTCGCACTCCATCAGCGAGTTGCTCGTCGACCCAGACAATCTCGGTCGCAAGCCTCAGGGCAGATTTCACGATACCATTCCCGATATCGATGACTTTACTAATATGAACCGATTTGCGCATCTCGATCAGGACCTGGCCGACCAACAGCCGTTCAGCCGGAAGTTGCAGTCGACAAAGAATGTGCAATCGGTGGAGATGCTCGGTGCTCACGTCCTCTGGGACAACGGGTACACGGGCAAGGGCATCAAGGTGGCGGTGTTTGACACTGGTCTCTCACGGGACCATCCTCACTTTAGAAACGTAAGGGAAGCGATCGATTATACCAACGATGAAAAGTCGGACGATGTCATCGGTCACGGCACTTTCGTAGCTGGCATTATCGCGAGCGACTACGAAGGATGTCCGGGATTCGCGCCAGACGCCGAACTCTACATCTTCCGTGTCTTTAACAAAGACAAACTGTCATTCACCTCTTGGTTCTTGGATGCATTCAACTATGCCATACACATTGGAATCGACGTACTCAATCTCTCTATTGGTGGACACGATTTTATGGATCGTCCATTCGTCGATAAAATCTATGAAATGAGCGCAAACAACATCGTAGTAGTATCAGCAATTGGAAATGATGGTCCAACTTATGGGTATTTATCTTTTATATATAGCTATTTTTAATATTAGTAAATCATTTTTATTAATCAATCAATTGATCATTTATTTTTTTTCCAGAACATTGAGTAATCCAGCTGATCAATCGGATGTTATTGGAGTTGGAAGTATCGATTCATTCGATAAACTATCGACATTCTCATCGAGAGGAATGACAACTTGGGAGTTACCTCATGGATACGGTAGAGTTAAACCGGATATCGTTACCTACGGTAGTTCAGTGCTTGGTAGTAATCTACCAAAGTTGGGTACAAAGTGTAGAACTCTCTCTGGTACCAGTGTTTCTTCGCCGGTTGTGGCAGGTGCTATCGCGCTGCTCATGAGTAGTGTACCACAGGATCGCAGACACCTCATCAACCCCGCCAGTATCAAGCAGGTGCTGATAGAGTCGTCGCAACGTATTGGCGATGCCAACATATTCGAACAGGGCAATGGCAAGTTGAATCTGGTCGATGCCTTCAAGATGCTCCAGCGTTACACTGCCAAGGTTTCATTCTCACCGTCCTCCGTTGACTTTACGGACTGTCCATACTTTTGGCCATACTGTTCGCAGCCAATCTATCACGACGGTCTGCCAACCATTGTCAACGTCACCATCATCAACGGTATGGATGTATCGGGACAGTTTATCGCACCACCCAAGTGGATACCCGGAAAGAATGGAAATCTGCTACACGTTGGTTTCAGCTATCAGGAATTGCTCTGGCCGTGGACCGGTCATCTGGGTCTGCACTTGTCTGCCACCAAGGCAGCTGCCAACTTTGAGGGTATAATAGAGGGTTTCGTACAGGTCAATATCACTTCACCGCCACGTCTCGGCGAGAAACAGCCAAGATTCCAATCGATGATGTTGCCGGTTCGTGTCCAGGTTATTCCGACACCACCGCGCGCCAAGCGTATCCTCTGGGATCAATATCATAGTCTGCGTTATCCATCTGGTTTCCTGCCAAAGGATGCACTCGATATGGACGAGCCATTCGATTGGAATGGTGACCATCCACACACCAACTTCCGTGCGATGTACCAACGACTTCGTGAGTCTGGCTACTTCTTGGAGGTACTGAATTCACCACTGACCTGTTTTGATCCTAAATCCTATGGTGCCCTTTTAATTGTTGATCCGGAGGAAGAGTTCTTCCCATCAGAGATTAAAAAGATCGAGGAGGATGTAAGAGCCAACGGTTTGAATCTCATTGTTTTCGCAGATTGGTACAACGTCCAGGTGATGAACAAGATCAAATTCCTTGACCCCAACACCAAGAAGGATTGCACACCTGTGACTGGTGCCTCTAATATTCCGGCGCTCAATGATTTCCTCTCGAATTTCGGTATCTACTTTGGTGACACCATCTACAACGGTGAGTTCACTATTGGCAGTCGTACTGGCTACTACTCATCCGGTACCAGTATCGTTGGTTTCCCAAAGGGTGGTCGTCTTTTGTACACTACCCTCTCTAATTTGAATCGTCAAATCTTGATGTCACTCTCGGGAACGGCAAGAGTACCGATTCTCGGATTCTACCAGACTCTCTCCATGGAAGATGAGCTGAGTAGCACCAGCAGCGAGGAGGACCAGAATCCAGGAAAGATCGTAGTGTTTGGTGATTCTTCGTGTCTCGACGAGGCAATACAAAAGGCAGGCGCTAGATATGTCGACGACTGCTACTGGTTGCTCGATAACATACTTCAGGTGACTCAGGAGGGAAAGGACTTAAATACACTGTTCCCTGGACTCACTCAGATCGAAGGTCACCTCTTGCCATACGAGGGTAACGATAGAACGAGTTGGTCACTTCCAAAGAGACCGAGCGATCTCTCAGAGATGGAGAAGCTCTCGCAGGTCATGCATAGCAAAGATCTACAGGGTGACATGTGTAGCTCTCATCCATTCCAAGTGAACGAAGATAAATTCTACTGGGAGAGTCACCACAAGTATCATAATCTCTCATGGAGCAATCGTGCTCACGTCTTACCATCGGAGTATCCAACCTATCCTCCAGACACCAATCACAACATCAATCCTCAATATCTTTATCCTTACATATTAATTATTTTGGCACTAGTGCTGTTATTGGCTCACTTCTTTAGAAAGAAACCAACAAGACAACAAGCTAGATCAAGTAGTGAAGCTGTTGTATAAATTTAAACAATCAATTGTTTTTGTAATTAAAAATTAAATAAATTTATTGTAAAAAAACATAATCATAAATTATAATCGAATATATAAATTCTTAATGTTTAATAGTGTGTACATTCTCATAGAAATCAAATAAAAATTTACAAAGAGAAAAACCTGTGATATAGGTGATGGTATTTTCTCTTGGACATCAACCAGGTGTACAAAAGGAACTATTGGAATTACACACCACAATTTCAATTTTTATAGCAGGAGGCAGTAGCTTTTAAAGTACAATAACAACATTGGTCTGGAGGACAACAGGTAGAGGTTAAAGTAATTGATATTCAGATAGCAATAGTTTAAAATATTATTAAATATTTGGAATTTCTAAATTATTTTATAAATTTTTAATTTGTATGTACATGGTAGTATCTATAATTTGAATTAATATAAACATAATTATAATAAGATTTTGATTTTTGGAAATAAAATTATAATAATATGAGTTTATTAATTATTTGAATAAACTCATATTGAAAAGAATATGATTTTAATTTTAGAGAGCATGAACACATTGTGCGTGACCACCAATAACTAAACAGGATTGACCGTGTGGACATGGTACGATGCCACAATTTCCATAAGTGTAGCAACCAGGTGAACAAGGAACAATTCCACAATTTCCAGAAGCAAAAGCACACGCTTGGTTTGAGTTGCAAGCTGGGCAGTGTGTTGGAACTACACATTGAGCATGACCACCAATTACCAAACAGGATTGACCGTGTGGACAAGGTACGATACCACAATTACCATATTTATAGCAGGCAGGGGTAGCATTTATAGTACCATAGCAACCACGGTCTGCGGGGCAACCAGTGGTGGCACAAGTAGAGGCCAAAGTAACTGAAATGCAGATAGCAAGTAAAGCAATGATTTTCAACATTTTTAACTATTAAATATTTTGGAAATTCTAATTAATTTTATAAATAATTAATTTTTTTGTTAATGAATGTAAAAATGATTTTTTTTTAATTCCATTAAAAAACAGATAATCTATTATAAAATAAATTAATTGTCTTCTTTCTTTCTAAAATTAGTTTATTTATTGGTTGTTTGAAATGTATATTAGATTTATTTAACATATTTTAATTTTTTGTCCCAAAAGTTAATAAATTATGGTTATTTTTATTCATTAAAATACAAATCCTTCTCAGTACTAGAATAGAATAGAGGTTCCAATTAAATAAAGATTATTTTTCAATTATTTAACATATACAGAATATCTGTACAAATTGAATTGGATTGAGTTTGATAAACAATTTTATATAGTCATCTTTAAACTTTTAAAAAACCGTTAAATAAAATTAATGGAAATTCTAAATATATATTTTGAGTAGTATTTATTTATTAAATTAACAGATAATCCACTGTAAAATAAAATAAATTAATATTTTTAATTTCTAAAAATTTCTTTATTTAATGGATATACATGTACAACTTTACAAAACTGAGTAATTAAGCCACTTAGAATTCTAAGCGGGTACGTGTGTAAACCACTCGTTGTTCACCTTTTTTTTTTTTTTTTTTTTAAAATTATCCTTGTACTACCATTACTGATAGTCAAGGTGTAGAGCTTGATATTACCCTACAGTTCGTGTTTTATTTATTTATTGTTGGAGCAGTTCAGCCACAGGCCGGCTGAGGTGGCCATCATTTTGAGAAAGGGATGATGTTCCCATTGATTTGGTTTGGCAGACTGAGTATTTAAGCCACTTAGAATTCTAAGCGGGTACGTGTGTAAACCACTCGTTGTTCACCTATGATAAGCCTGCTAGTTATTGTCGGTGTCAACTTCATGGGGTCCAAGATAGTATTGAATACTAGATTAGTACGTGTTGCGCTCCTTTCAAGTCGGAAAAATTTTTGTCGATCCCACGACCCTAAGTCCTCTATGGACTACTAATGGACAAACTTGGCCAAAGAGGCTTGGGCTTGTTCACCTATTATAAGCCTGCTATATCTCTCGGGTATTTATACTCTTAGTTTACCATCGGTTGGAGGGCTTCGTTGGATGACAAATTTTATTGAATCCGCAAGCGGGCTAGGTTAGCTAAAGTGTACTCTGTGGGATTTGAACCCACGCTTCCGAAGAAATCAGTGCCTTAAACTGACGCCTTAGACCAACTCGGCCAAGAGTACTTTGATGAATCAAAAATTAAATATTCTATTTTTATAAAGCTCCCCTTTTCTACCTCTTTTTCTTCAGGTCTGTTATGTCAAGATATGCGTACGCGTATATCCCAGTCTGGCCAAGTGGCAGCGACGCTTCTTACAGGCAGGAGTTTGCTGAACCTGCTTAGACGCTAACCATGAGGAGTGGAGACCTACATGCCCGCCCTTGCACTCCAATAGATTAACAATTGGATGACCAAAGTTCTTAGATTCACCTACTAATCTACAAGAGCAAGGAAAAGTTTCCCATTTACCGAGAACGCCGAACCGATGGAGCCAAAATCCAAACCTGTGCTGTGTCTGACCAATCAAACCCATAATAACCATCTCAGGCTAAGCAATTAGCCAAGCCAAACCATCTCAAACCATCTCAATACTAAGCAATTAACCAATCCAAACAATCTCAAACCATCTCAACCATCTCAGGCTAAGGAATTAGCCAAGCCAATCCAAACAACCTCAAACCATCTAAATACTAAGTAATTAACCAATCCAAACAATCTCAACCATCTCAACCATCTCAACCATCTCAATACTAAGCAATTAACCATTCCAAACCATCTCAAACTAAGCAATAAAATCCATTTGAGTATTCTTCAAGATATGTGAATACTTCAACATATTTTTATAAACCTATCATATAAAGGATCATTCACAAATTCACAGGGGAAACTCTCAACTGGGAGTTGGACATCCTCAGTGGAGATGAGAAGCAAAAACGAGCTACACTATAACGTAATAGCTATCGTACTGCACCAGGTCTGGATTCTCCACTGCAAACTCCCTCATCACACCCACCAACTTCTATCACGCAACAACATTAACAGACTAGCTAAACTAGAATACCACAAACTAATCAGAAAATCAAAACAAGACTTCGGTCGAAACAACTCAAACATTCAATAATATCAATCCAAATGGCTGAAGAATCTAGACGAATTCAAACTCATCTGGAACCACCAAACCTGGAACTTCCCAACTCCATCCCACCTCACTAGCAAATAAACAAATAAAAATAAAAACCATTTTAGTATTCTTCAAGATATGAGAATACTTTAAAAAAAAAAATAATTTTTAATAGGTTCTAGGATTTAAGTATTAATAAATAAAAACTATTTAAAATATTAATTAATTAAATGATGATTAATATTCACTTAAAAAATGAAATGATTTTCAATTTAAAAGCAAGATAAGAGAGTTAACAAATTGATTTATTTGTATCAACTTGAAAAAGAATAATTCCAATAAGATAATTATTAACAATCTTTATTGTATAATCTTTATTTTATTATCTTTTTAAATATTATCATTTTCATTGATATTTATTTGTTTAGAAATAAACAAGTTTCATTGATAATACCACCCTTATTAGATATTCCATCAGTTGCAATCGATCCTGATCAACTAAGAAGATACAAAGAAGAACTACAAAGAGCAATGGTACTCCCTTTAGTTCCAGATGACGATGAAGATTTATAAATCAAAAACCATATATAATTGGAATCATTACAAAATTACAACAATTACAACACAATTACAATAAATACAATCAAATAACTTTACAAAATTGTAACATCAGATAAATCAAAATAATAATTAAAAAAAACAAAAGACACAGCGTCTGTTACAAAATTAATTTTATTTTTAAAGAAACAATCTATAGATTGATTGAAACACCAATAATTTTATTCTATTTTTGTTCCCAAGATTTGCTCAAGTTTAGAGTGATGAAATATCTTGGCAATTATGTTTACTGAATCATCTATGCTTTCATTGTCACCATAGATTAAATAATAATTTTCATCCAACTTTCGAATAGTTTGGAAATGAATAAAATTTCCAATAATGATATTGGTTATTGATTTGATATTGGGAATGGTGATATTGATTTTAGGAGTTTTAAGAGTTTTTACTGATGAAGGTACCCACTGTAATATATTATCATTGAGATAATTAAAACCAAGATCTAGAAATTCGACGGTGTTTGGTAGTTTAACTTGTGGTGTTCCATTGTCGAATTGCGAAAATGCCACTTTTCTTAATGAACATGGTTGATCGGTATTACCATCTCCACCAAAGTCAATTATCTTCTCACCTGAATTTGTCCAATCTAATGAAAGATAGATGTTTTCAACACCTGATGGGAGAGTTATCATTGGTTCACTTGAATTTCCAGTCATTGATAATGTTTCGATCTTTACGTTTGATGGAATTGAATGTATAATCTTATTTCGATATTGAAACATCTCCAATTGATATTGTAATGTTTCTGGGAATATTTCATCGATCTTAAATTGACACTCATCAAGGTCAATGCTTTTCAAAGATGTGGGCATTGTTCCTTTCAATATCGTTCTTGGTAATAAATATGCTAAATATTCTAGAGTTGGTGGGAGGTACTCGAGATTGAGTATAGTATCTTCATTAACATCATAGGAAAAATAAACATAAAGGTTTTGAAGGTTGGGGAGTGATGATATCGCTTGTAACCATGAAATTGGTAAACATGTTGCCACCGGATATTGTTGATCTCCTAGGGTTGGTGGTAATTGATCCTCAGATGGATGACTATTAAGAGATAAACATTCAAGAGACAATGGAAGTACTCCTGGTTGCATTTCATATCGATAGTTATTGCTTTCAAGAGAAAATTCTAGCAATCCATTTGGAAGTACACCCGGTTTAATTTCGAATTCATAGTAATTGAGATGACATTCAAGTAAACCATCTGGGAGTGCACCTGGTCGAATTTCACCTTGACAGCGGTTGAAAGTAAATTTAAGTAAACTAGCTGGAAGTACACCTGGGTGAATTTCATAATGATAGTTATGAATAGCAAATTCAAGTAAACTAACTGGAAGTACACCTGGTCGAATTTCATATTGGTAGCTACTACAGCTGTATATAATAAGTTTACTCAAACCTTCTGGAAGTAAACCTGGTAGAATCTCTTGTTTGAAATCACTGTTGAAAAGTAACTCTTCTATTGAATTGGGAAGTGATTCTTTAATAAGTGGTTCATTGAAATTACTAAATCTAATGGTTTTGATTGACTTTGGTAATCCATATTTCAATGTGCTACAACCTTTCAACATTGTTACTGATTGTGATTCTGATATTAATTGATAGAGATACTTCAGATCATCTTCAAATAATTCATATGCAATACCAATTTCGATATTTGAAACATTGTTGGGAATACTATTTAGTTTTCTAATATCATCTTTTATTAAAATAGTCAGTTTTAAAACAAAATGATCTTTATAGAGCTAAAATACTTACTAAAAAAATAATAATCGCAATTTCTATAATCTCTATCGCCAACAAAAAGTGAACTAACAGTCTTTGATTGAATTGATTTCTTAAAGATATTATTATATGATGGTAATTTGAAATGTTTATGATTTTTTTTCGTATCAGTGCTATTAAGTGCAAATAATTTGATACGATCAGAGTTGAATATTAAATATTTATCTCTTTCGTTGTACCATCTCTTACAAACTAAACTGAAACAAATGCGATCAATGTTATCATACACATAACTAATAATTTTATTTAATATTAAATGTGATAGATTTACTATTTTATCTGTTTGATTATTCATTATTTAATTAGAAAAATATCAAGATAAAATGTTTGGGTTTCAAATTTTGTTAGAAAAAAATGATCATTTTTTACAAAACAAAACTGGCTCTTGCTTGTAACCATAAATCGATAAAATAAAAAAAAACCACTCAGATCACATTTAAACAAGTGCAAAACCAAATAATTCAACAAAATTACAAAAAAAAAATAAAATTTCAAAATTTTTCAAAATTTTTTACAAAAAAAAATTTATTTAAATGTAAAATTTAAAAGTAAAAATCAAGTTAGAACTTTATTTTATTATTCTCTAAAAGCTTTTTTCATTCCCAGCTGAATATCAATGTTTACAATATAGTTAACAAACCAAGAAAGCCAAATCCAATTTTTCTTTTGAGCCCCTCCATGCCTTTTCAAGCAATGGAATTTTTTAATTCTCCCAAAATAATTTTCTACAACAGCACGATTGGAATTGATAAAAGAATTTTCTGCTTTCTGTTCTGGTGTAAACGGAACTTTGACTTTCATAGTTTTGTTTGGGTTTCTTATTGATGGCTCTTTCCTTGACAATTTCTTATTTGGTGCAAAAATTCTATTTCCACCAATATAACCCTTGTCTCCCAGCATCCAATATGACGGAGATAGTAAATGATCAATTTCATTCCCAATAGACGAGTAAATACTGGCATCATGTTGACTACCAGGAAATGGACCTCTTAGTGATAGTAGTTCCCCCTTCAAACCTACTACAGCTTCATATTTATAGCCATGTATTTTATGTTTTGCTACAATTTTTAATTCTTAAAATTAGCTAAATAAAATTATTAAATTTATATATTTATAATACATACTACAATATAATGATTTGTACAAATATCCATCAATAGGTTTTGGGATTTGTAGAAGGGTAGTATCAACAGCACAGTTTACAAGTTTAGTTTGAATGGCATCACCAGAACCAAAAGAATACTCTTTAATGACCAAGTTATCTAGAATATTTGGATTCTTATCATATAAAAAGATTAATTTAGTTATGATTTTAGAAATAGAAAAGTTAAATTTATTACTTACTAATAGAACATCTTCTTTCAACTTATTTTTAAGTACAATATTAAATGCCACGAAACAATTGTCAACCCAGGTCTTAAAAGTTCTAACTGAGACTCCAAAGTTGACAGCATGTATATCTAATGAATTGTACTGCCTTAAATATACCAAGAACCAAAGTAAATGTTTTTCTTGAATTTGAAAATGATCTTTAATCATAGAATAGAGGTGGTCAAATGTTGTTTTGCTAACACCACAATAAATCTCTAATGTTGATAGATAAAATTTATATCTATAATAGTATTCTTATTTAACATTTTTCTATATTATTATTTAACTATATACTTAAATAAATAAATACTTGGTTGTTTGTTTCACTTTTGTGAAGCTTCTATCGATATTATAATTTATTTTCACTCACGAATACTAATTAACACTTATTATTTTCATTCTAAATTTGTAGTTTAATTATTAAGATGATAATCTTCGATCTAACATGGTGATTTAAAAAAAACTAAAGTATATCAAAAATATATACATGCAAACATTGAAATCTTAATACATTTTCATATCTTTTCTTGAAAAAATTTCATATTACCACACAAATTCAACACAAGTAAAATTTTTTCATTATGGGTACCCCATTTTTGCACTTCAACCCAAATATTAGTATTGAATTCGTATATCTTTTCATGAATAAAAAAAGTACACTCATTAACCCCAATTTACCATCATTGACATAGTTTTTTGCTTGAAACCAAACACAAACATTTTTTTTTGCAGGCATTCTTATTGCCCTATTGAGAAATAAATAATGCACTTATTAATAATTAATACACTATTATTAATAAATTAATGTACGCAAAATAATTTGAAACTCCACTAGCTGGGATGGCTTAGATGATGGCTTCTTTAATAGACTTTAATCACGAAGTGAACTAGAACTTCCAAAAAGAAGAATTGTAAAGGTTCCAGTCCGATTGGAAAACGTAATGAAATTGTTCAAGTTCCAATTATTAAAGAACGATCAGTTCTTCGTGGTTGAGTGCCAATGCGTCAAGGCCAACTTGGGAGTGACCTCCACTGTGTCTAAAAAACAAAAACTATATTAAAAATAATAAAATAAAGTTCTAACTTGATTTTTACTTTTAAATTTTACATTTAAATAAATTTTTTTTTGTAAAAAATTTTGAAAAATTTTGAAATTTTATTTTTTTTTTGTAATTTTGTTGAATTATTTGGTTTTGCACTTGTTTAATTAACCCCACTAATTTTTAATTTTTACATTTTTCACAAAATTAATGCGCAGGCGAAAGTTGTTGGGAGCCAGTTTTGTTTTGAATTAAAAAAAAAAAAAAAAAAACAATTTTAAAAAACAAAAATTAATTAAAAGAAATTATTATTTATTTACAAAAGTATTTGAAATTGGTAAATCCACAGTCTCGTGTAGATACTTGAGTGTCTCCAGATGTCCATTCACGGCAGCTAGTATCATTAGGTTCTCGGTGGGATGCCTATAGTTTAAGATGAACATTAAAGTATCCAGATTCCCACTTCTGACAGCATTGGACTGTTCATGATCTCAGGATTTTTTATATAATATTCCTCTTTTACGTAGCTGGGGAAACAGTGATCTCAGAATCGTTCAATATCTGCTGGATAATGGTGTAGATTATACTGAAAGTGCAATGGACAATTGTCATAAACTTTCTATATTAGAATATTTACATTTTAATCGATCAGAAAGATGTTGATCAGAAGCACTGGCAAATGCAATTGAAAATGAAAATGTTCAAATCATCAAATTCCATTTACAAAATAGAACTGAACATTTAGATACAAATTATAGTCTATACGATGTAGATAACCACAAAAGGTTTGACTATCTATCTAGACTTAAACTAATAAAACAATATAATCTTTAAATAAAGAAAATTTAAAACACTCTCTTAAAAAAAAACAATTCTGTCGATCAGTACATCATCGAATTCACCGAGATCCTTTCTATGGCTAGGTTTCTTTCTAAAAACAAAAACTTTTAAAAACTAAAATAACTATAAGAATACAAATACATGAGATTTATTTTTAATTTATAGATGAAATCTAAAGACCATATTGTTTTATAAGTTTAAGTCTGGATGGATAGTCAAATGTTTTGTTGTCTTTTAAACTTTGTTGCGAATAATCCAAATATTCATCTGTACTATTTTGAAGAAGGAATTTGATAATTGGAACATTATTCTTTTCAATTGCACTTTTCAATGTTTCTTTGTCAGATTTCAAAGATTGGGTATAATATAAAAACTTAAATATTGAAAGTTTATGACAACTTTTCAATTCTTTTACTGAACAGGTTTCACCATTGGCATGAAGATATTGAACGATTCTGAGATCACTATTCTCCAACTTTGATGCATATTCCAATGAATTCGATGGAAATGGAAGACTTGTATTATCACGAATCCATTCGATCACTGGTAGATTTGCTTGACGTATTGCATATCTATAAGCATACTGTGAACATTGTAGAGTTGTATTGTCTTTGAACCATTGAAGTGCACTGATATCTTTATACTTGGCAAAGAAGTCGATCGAGTTAGTTGGAATATCTAATTCTTTTTTATTCTGAAAAAGATATTTGAATGTCTCGAAATGAACATTCATTGCAACACGTTTCATTGTATCTTTTCGACAACCTTCAGTTCTGTTTTCATTAAGGAATCTGACCACTTCAACGTGTCCGTTTACTGCTGCCATGTGCATTGCTGTAGATGTGCAATTAATATGATGTTTACTGTGAAGTTGTTTGAGAAACTCTAGATCACCATGACAAGCAACAGCATCCATTGTAATACTACTTAACTTGGCAGTCGTATTCTCAACTAAATACTTAACTAGTTCAATCTGACCATTCTTGGCAGCTTCATCAATCAACGTATTTGGAAGTTGTTGCTTGGTGTTCTCCATGAGGTATTTGACTATAGCAAGATGACCTTCAACTTGTTCATTAACTCCAACTACTTGTTCAACAATGTCACTGTCGCACTGTAACTTCATGTTCTCGTGTAGATATTTGAGTGTTTCCAGTTGTCCATTCACAGCTGCATTTAATATTAAATTATTTGGTGTTTTCGTTTGTTTCTCTTTATCATTCAAATACTTTATAATTTCAAGATTTCCACTACTGACAGCATTGAAATATGTGAGACTCGCAGGTCTTTCTGATCTATTCTCGTAAAGCCATTTGAATACTTGAAAACTACCAAGTGCAACATTATTCAATACTCTTGAACCTTGTGATTTGAACCATCGCGGTGCTTTATTATGAAGGAATTGAATGATCTCTAGATTATTCATGTAGTGATCCCTATTGACGTAAAGAGTATATTCTAATTCATTCAATGGGAATAACTTTTGAATGAACTCTAAAACATCTAGATTTCCAACATCGAATGCATTCCTCGATGAATCTAAATATAATTGTCTAAACTTTCTGATTGTATTCAAAACAATGCGACCTTCCTCTATATGATTATTATATTCTATTTTATTTCTAATTAATGTATTGCATATCTGTTTATATCTTTCGATATAATTGAACTTGATCAGCTGATCTGGGAAACAAGCAAGATCATACCAATCACATCTCAATGAATTGATTGCAAGTTGATCATGAATATCTCTAACACTCTGAAATATCTTGTTTCTTAAAACTACTGAATGAAGTAATCTCTTAAATAAAATCGTTGTGTATTCTTTATTTTGTATCATTGTTTGTTTTTTATTGATAGATATTTATGATTAATTTTTTTAAGTCATACAAAGAGGTTTTTTTTGTTTTTTTTACAAAAAAGATTTGATACACATTGATTAAAAGATGAACAGAGTTCACAATAAAGAACTAAGGTAAAAGGTTCTTAATAAAATAAAAAGATAAATAGATAGATTTATTGTGAAGGTATCGAAGGTATTGAAAAGTAAGAATAATATTAAAAAATAAATATTTTGTTTTATTTTTTTTGTTTCTTGTTTCTTGTTTTGCTTCTTGTATTGTATCTTCTTATCTTGTTGCTTATCACGATTTCTTTTTTTTCCAAATTCCCAAAACTGTAAGGATCAGCAATTTGGGAATCTGAGCATTTTGGCAAAAAAAAGTGATTGTTTTTTGGTAGTTTTTGCACAACTTTTTTTTATTTTTTTTTTTTTATTGTTTTTTCATACATATATTAAATATATTTTATACCTATGTTTAAAATTATTTCAATTATATACCTGGAGTGTTTGGCCATCAACAGATCAGGAAGAAATAGTATTGGGAACCAATTTATTATTTTCGCTAGGTTTTTAGATGATCTTATTGATAGTGGTGAAAAGGAATTTGGAATGAAACAAATCAATAGAGCAATCAATATTTTTAAAATTGGAAAAACTCGAAAATGATCCAACTCCACTCGAATATATTATATTTGATTTTGTTCAGTGTTCCACCACAACAACCACTATCATCACCATCTTCACAACTACTACAACAGGAATCTACATTGTTGCTTGTAATGGTTGTCTTTGATAGGTGGGTCGATAGATCTGATTCAGTTGTTTCAGTATGACTATAGCTGTTGAATTTCACTTTTAACATATCTATGGTGGGTGGTGAGCAATGTAGGTTCAATATAGCTTTGAGTCTTGATTGCATATCCTCCAACGATGTGATGAGTTTCGATTGCTCCTCAATGACCATTGATTTGCTATGATGATAGAACACATCGAGTGAGCTGATGGCACCGATGAGCAATGACCACTTGTAGGCAATCTCTGACGATTCTTTCAGACCTTCATTAAATCCACCTTGTAATATTGATTGTTTCCATCTTCAAGACCATCTTGATATCCAATCTATAAATTTAAATAAATAAATAAATAAATAATAAATAGCGGGAAAACCTATTGGTTACATTTTATCAAACCAACCACCACTTCACACTGTTCACCAACACTCAACCTGTTTAAGTATTTAAAACGACTTGAATTTAAAACAATATTTCGAAATATTCAAAGTTTTATTTAAAAATTCTTTTGGTTAAGCAATAATTAAAGACATACTCTCTTCTCTGAAAAGAGGTTTACCACCAAGATATTTTTTACTGTATAAAACTCTTACAAATAGATAAGATGAAAGATAAGAGATGGAACTATTGAGGAAATAAATGATTAACGATCTGAATCCTGTTACTGCGAAATAATAGAATTTTAATGTTGAATCATCAAATGAAATATGATATAAACTAGAGATGAAGTACTGATATAGGATAAAGAATACTATTGTTCCAGTGTTCATTTCATATACTCTCCAATTCCAATTGTTAATCTAAGTTTAAAATAAAAAAAATGATAACAGTAAGAGTAAAAGATCTTTTTCAAAAAGAAAATCCAACAATTGAATACATTAGAAAAGTATGATAGAGAGCAACGGCACCAACAAAGAGAGCTGAAAATATATATTCAGTTGATACATAGCTGTAAATATCGAAATAGGTAAATCGTGAGTAGTTGGCATAGTCGTAGGTAAAAAACTGAGAGTTAAATTCTATGGAAATGGTGAGTCCGAAAAACACGATTACTAAGAATGTAATTCCTAATTTACTTGAAGGATAGATATGTGGTGATGCTGAAGGTTGAATTGGTATTTCCGGATATGGTTGTTTGTTGGCAATAAACAATCCAATGAATACCATTGGTGTATGAACAAATATCCATATTACAAAACAAACAACCATGTTTTTAAAGGATGGTGTGTTTGTTGCTCCAACTGAATTTGAAACAGACAACATAAACAAGATATAGTATGAAAATAGAATACCTGGAATTAAAAATGATATCTATAAAATCTCATGTTAATAAGTGACTTTTTAATAAATCAAACACTAATAATGATTCATTAAAAATACTTACTAAAAATGAGAATTGAATATCAAATTTTAATCCATTATTCTTTGCACTCATTGATTGATAAACTCTTTTCGATGTATATCCTGAAATAATACTATTTTGGTATAATTAAGTTTTCGTGGAATAAAAATGTTAGTTGAAAGTATGTTAATTTATAATTATGATTGTTATATTTACCCAGTGAATAAAAAACAATACAAAAGATTGGAATGAAGAGATCCACTGTTTGAATATGGTGGTATGATATTCGATAATATCAAAGTGATTAATACTGTGATGAACAACTGGAATCCACCACCAACCAAACTTGACAAGATCATCGGATTCTTTGGTGTTCTGAAAACATCATGTCTTACAGCTTGTAATGAAATTGCAATCTTTTGATAGTCAAGCATTCTTTTTCTCAAACAAAGCGGCACTTTCTTGTAGACAACATCGTTCGAGAGTTCTTCCAACGTCTGTGCACTTAGAATTCGCTTTATTTGCATATATGTTGCAATACCTATCAAGATAATGATATAGATTAACAAAATAATTTTGGTTGTACTAGCACCAACTAACACACTGGTAAGTTCACGGTCAATCAGTTGATGCCATCGATGTTCCCATGTGAAATTGCTCTCCTCAAAGGCGATCGCGTAGGTGTACAACAGAAACTCTTTGTCACTATCTAGATATTGGGCGCTGCCATTAGAGCTGACAAACCGTAATATAGATAGTTTTGCAAGTTGAATTGTCTGCTCTGTGGAAAAACACGGAGTCCAACGATTGTATACTCATCTTCGCTAACCTTGTTATACTGAATTGTGAAATATAAATGGTTGTTGATTGTCAATATTTCCTGATTATTTGCTCGATCGAACCAGTAATCTCCGATATTGATTGCATTGTCGTTTGAAACTCCACTCCAAGTGTAGGCAACAAGATCATCGATTTCCATCTCCATACAGTAACCCGCTTTGATAAACTCTGCCAACTTATCGTTGGTATTTCGATAACTAAAGATATCACAACCAGAGTATTTATTGATCACTTGAAAACCTGATGTTGGTTGCAAAAATGTTACCTAAATATAAAATAATAAGTTAATTATAAACTAACACTTTATAACAAATAACTTCTAAATAAAACATACATTATAAGGAGTGAGTTGTTTTCTTTCACCATTTAAAACTTGACCGATAGTTTCTTGAGACGATAAACCGTTTTCAGGTTTACAAAATGGTAAATCATAGTATGAATAAGAGAAGATTTTGTCTTGCGAAATCAACTTGTTCACATAGATCGGCAGAGGATCTCCTATTTTGTATGTTTTTTTTTTCTCTAATTGTAAAGCATCGTTTGTTAGAATAAACAATACTATAACTAAAACAATAATATAAATATTATTATTTGATTTCATTTATAACTGTTTAATTAATTAATGAACGATCATTTGTTTTTTAATCAAAAAATACAAATGAGGGATTTAGTAGTCCAATTTGCCCGACACCCAAAAAAATGTTTTACTAATGTTTGAATTGTTACAATTAGGATGCATTTGTTAAAGGATGAAAAAGATGATGGAAATCTATTTGAAAGAGCTAACTATCTAGAGAAAAAGATTTTTGATATGAAACTTGATTCTGTAATTATATATATGTTTTTATCAGACAGGTAGTATTTACATTTTAGCATTAACTATCAAGATATACAATAAATATTGTTTAGAAAGAGAAATATATTCAATCGCTAGCCAAGCTGTCAATGGCTCTTATAACAAAACAGAAACAAAGACAGCAACAGCAGCTACAACCACAACCAATGCAAGCTCAACAGCCGCAACAACAACAGACTTTACAACAACAGCAACCTATGCAACAGCAAGAGCCAATGCAGCAACAACAACCGCAATCCAATACTAGTTTGTCACTTCCACAGTCACCAGTGATGCCTAGTTCAAACAATATCCTTGTATCTGGATTCGAACAACTTTCAATCAATCCTTTCCAATTACAACAACAACAGCAACAACATCCACAGCAACATTCACAACAACAACAACAACAACAACCTATGCAGCAGCAATAACAACCTATGCAGCAACAGCCATATGTATATTGTTTATTTTTCGAAAATTGTACTATTCTTTCTTGATCAAGCCAACTCTTTTTAGAATATTAAAATACAATTGTCTATTTTATTTTGTGTTGGTGAATATGATGAGTCATCTAGTTTGCAAGTTTCCTGTATGGCAATATTTTTTGCAGGAAATGAAAAAGAAAAAAAAAAAAAAAAAAAAAACTGAAATAAAAAATAAACAAAATAGACAAAAAGGTGTGACGATGCAAAGTTCATGAATAGAATATTTTTTTCAGACAAAACGCGTTCATTTAAATTTATTGTACACACTTTTATTAGTCTTTTATTTTATCAGATAGAACTAGTAGTAGTAGTAGTAGGTAGCTGTTGTTGTAGTATTAAGAAAGAGAGAATAATGAGCAACAAGAGTTTAAATACAGTTACAATCAAAGTGATTGTATTTGGTGAGGATAACTCACTGTCAGTCGACTTAGCGTTGGACAAGACCGTCGGCGATTTAAAACAAGCGATCAGTCAGTCACATCAATCGAAACCGGATCCAACCACCCAAAAACTTATATTCTCTGGAAAGTGTTTGGATGACACTCATCTGTTATCAAACGTATTCAAGCAACGTGATTTAACATCTGCACAGCCAGTTCATTTAATACTTCGCAAACCATTACCATCGTCTTCAAACACTCCACAATTTCTCTCAACCAACAACAACACTTTCACCCGAACATCTACATCCCCTCCAACAAACAACAATAATCTAGATTATAATAACAATGCAGTAAATACATCTTCATCTTCATCTTCATCATCATCTTCTTCTTCTACTTCTACCTCATCTACTTCTACATCTTCAGCTTTACCAACAACAACAACAACAACTTCCACAACTTTATTACCAAACAATATCATTAACAACAATAATAATAATAATAATATAACAAATTCATTTACTTCAAATACAACAAAAATACCACCAACAACTACAACTACAACTACAACAAGTAGTGCATCGTTTGCAGTTCCTTTCAACTTTAGAAATGTTAATATACAAATGCCACATACAATGACATCTGGAATGTTACTTCCAAACTCTTTGTCTAGTAACAGTAGCAATAGTAACTCACCTCTATTCAGCGGTGCAAATGGACAACCTTTTAACAACAACAACAACTTGATTTCGGGAAATAATAATTTCTCATTGTACGGTCCACCACCAGCTTCTCTCTATCCACGTAGTAGAATCTATGGTACCAGTGACAACTCTGGAGCAACAACAGTAGACTCTACAATGACAGACAACACCTTGATTCAAGTGATCATCGATAATCTCAATGTTACAAACCAATTGCTACAACAACTCATGTTACAACAACAGTTAAACACCGCCATCAATGCTGTGGTAGCTGCACGAACCGCTGTACATCATCATCATCACGTTGCCGGCGCTGCACAACAAGCTCCTGCTGCTGCCGCCGCCCCGGTTCCACCCATCCAAGTGCGTGCAGTCGTTCGCAGAAGAATCAACTGGGGTGCACTTTTCAATTGGCTCTTCAAAATCGTACTACTCTGTATCTTCCTCAAAGGTGGTTCGATCGAGAGATCTCTTACTCTCATGGGTATAGCTGCTGTCGTTCTACTCTATCAATACTTTGCAAATAGACCTGGTGTACCACCACCAAGACAACAACAACAACAACAACCACCAGTTATACCACCAAACAACAACAACAACAATAATAATAATAACAATAATCAACAAGCAAATAATAATGAGAATAATAATAATAATGAAAATAATAATAATGAAAATAATAATAATGAACAAGTAAATAATAATAATAATAATAACAATGAAAATGTACAACAACAAGCACCAGTAGTAGCACAACCAAGAAATACAGATTTAATATCAGAGATACTTAGTTTCTTCTTGCCATTACTCTATTCTTTAGTACCAAATTGGAGACCTCAGGAAAATCATCAACCTCAGATTATCAATGAAAACAATAATAATAATGACAATAATGAAAACAACAATAATGATGATAATAACAATAACATTCAACAACCAAATAATAATAATCATAATAATAATAATAATAATAATAATAATGAACAACCTGTAGTCGAAGAAGATCTTGTAGAATAATTAAAATATCAAATATATAATAAATTGTATCGTCTTATCCAACAACGAATCGATTAAAATATCATATAAGTGGGTGGTGTGTAATGTTTTTTAATTATTTATTTAATTGTAAAAGTCAGAATTTGAATTTTGAATGGTCAAACAAACAATTTTTTTTTTTTTTTTTTTTTTAATAAAAAGTTTTGAGTGCGAATGAACAGCACTATTTTTATTAATTTACAATATATAGTAAAGTTTGAAAATTGATAAAGACTGCATAAAATAAAATAAAATTAGCTTATTATAGTGTAAACATCAATCGTTAATATCAACTGAGAAACACTCTCTTCACGTTTATAAATCAATCAAAAATTTAATATCATTATATAAATAAATAAATTAGATAGATAGATATCAATTGATTAATGTTTTTTTGATTCGATTATCATTCATTTCTTCAGTTGAAATAATAATAATAATAATAGTACTATTTAATAAATAAGAATAAATATAAAAAGTAATATAAGAAAAGAATATGGGATCTTTTTTTTCTAAAAAGGTAAATTGTTAATATAACTATCTATTGTTTTTTATTTTATTTGTAGTGTAATCAATTCAATTAGTTTGATTATTAACTATCGTTCTAATTACTATTGATTTAGAAAAATTTTGAGAAGGAACTTGCAGATTTAGAAGATAAGATTATACATTATGAAGATTATATAACAAAGACAAGATTGACGCAACACAATGTCTTTTCAAAGATAATAATCTACAGTATCATATTGGAGATACTATTGTTTATTGGCATATACTTTAGAACGAGATCAATAACTGTACAACAAGAAAAACTATTTAATTATTCCTTTTTAATATTATTCCCATTAGTGTAAGAATCAACAAAAACTAAATTTTATTATCAAAACTTGACTAATTATCTATCTCCAAACCGATCGGTTGGCTATTATAATGCAATCCAATATTAATATATTTAAACAGAGTCTATATATTCACTAAATTATTTAATACATTATACAAACAAATTATTCATAGAAATCGTAACTATCATTTCAAGCAATATATTAGAATCAATCTCTCTTCTTTTCAAACTTGTTACTCACACCTCTCTCTCTCTCTCTATCTATCTATCTATCTCAATCTAAATTATAGAAAAGAAATTGGATTCATTGAAAGCTAAATTACAAACTAGAATCGACGAACGAAAGAAAGAAACTGATTATGAAAATACACAAAAGATCATCGATAGATATGATAAATTGATGAAGAGTATGTTATACATTTTATAATGAGAATGAGAATGAAAATGAGAATAGAATAACAAACAAATACTAATCAATGAATCTGCTATCGATTTTGAACAGAGAAAAGAGAGAATGAAAATTCACCAACACAACAACAGCAGCAACATTCACCAAAGAGACAGGTAACTGGAAACTCACCAAAGAGAACTAGTACACCTGGTAACACTGGAAGTGGTAGTGGCAACGTAGCTACCGGTAATAGCAATAACAATTCTATTCAATCTCAGATACAACAACAATCCATTAGAAATAGACAGGTCACCACTGGTACTAATAATCAATCACAATCACCGAGTGGATCACCTCAATTAAATAGCAATGTTAATAGTAATATTGTTAGCAACAATCAACAAAATGCAAGACAACCATCAACCTCAAACAATAATAATAGTATGATGATGAGTCCAAATAGACAACCAATAGTACAACAACAACAATATCAAGGACAGAACAATCAACAACAATGGAAACCAAGTTGGCTTGACAAGATCGTTGATTATATCATTTCCGATGGTCCAAAGTATGGATCACCTTTGATCTGCGAGAAATGTCATAATCACAATGGTTATGTACCAATCAATGAGATTTCTTCAATTCGTAGGTTTCTTTAAATCTTTGTTTCCTTTTTGGTTTAAACTAATATCTTCTCTTTCAACAAATTTAATTTAAATAGAATTTAGATGCAGATTCTGCAACACCTTTAACCAAAGAGGTGAAGACCCACAGACTAGTAACTCTGATCAATCAAATAACAATAATAATGACAACAGCAATAGCAATATTAAGAATAGTAGTGGTGTCAATACTAGCAATAAAAGAGAAAAAGATCAACATCATTCCGATCGTGAACTATCTGATAGGGAAACAAGCACCGATGATGATGATGATGATGATGTCGATCATAAAAATAAAAGTTCAACAAATACAACTACAACTACAAACAAGAACAAAGAGAACAAAAAGATAAAAAACAATTCACATGATGTAGAAGATGATGATAATAATCAAATAAAGAACTAATATTAATAACATTTTATTATTTAGATGATAAGTATTTTGTTATTTTATTATCGGATGTTTTGATTAATCCAAACTTGGGGAATTTTGGGAAGGGAGTGGAGTTGTTTTGATTGATTTTAATATCTATAATATTAATGTAAACACTATACTTTAGAGTTAAACTTTAATATTATAATTATTTGTTTGTTTAGCTAGTTTTTTTTTTTGCTTTTTTGATTGTTAATTGTTGAGAATTGAATAAATATGGTTGGTTGGTTGGTTGGTTGGTTGGTTGGTTGGTTGGTTGGTTGGTTGGTTGGTTGGTTGGTTGGTTGGTTGGTTTGATACAACTACTCACCAATCAATGTTTAAGCAGCATCAATAGATTCAAATGAAAAGTTATCGATGTTGTTAATTTTGATTTCATAGGAGAATACTGATTTTGGAAGATTGATTCTACCGATAACTGGTTTCAATTGGTTCAAATTGTCATGATAGGTGATCTTTGTATTTACGATATCGTAGATAGGTTTCAATACTTTGAATGTTGCCTTTAAAAAGAATGTTGGATGAATTACATGTAGATTTGACACATACTTTGAATATCTATTATAAATATAATAATCATTAATTAGTTAATACAAAAAAATGAAAACAATCTAAATAACAAACTATTATTTCATACTTGAAAACGGAAATTTGTAATAACTTTTTGAACCATGAGATATCCGGTAATGGTACCGATGACATGTTCGAGTGGAAATACATGATAGAGAACTCACGTGGTCCAATAGCTTCGAAAATTCTTATAAAGTAGAGCAAAACACTCTCCATATCTTCTTTCTTTGGATCCAAATGCGATCCAATAACAACTACGATCGGTTTGTTATCGGGTGATGTCGATTGATATACGAAATTCAATTGTGCAATTCTTGCTAGATCGACTGTTTTCAACTTTTCCAAATAACCTAAATACATTGCTTCAATCTTTTCCTGTTGAATTTGTTCACCTGATAATTATCAACTTATGTTAATATCTGAGAATATTTTCATCATCTATTTATCACTGTGATCAGTTTGTCAAACTTACTTGTTTTCTTTTCAACACTTTTAATCTTTACAATATCTGGATCTTCCTTTTTGTAAACCAATGTCTTTGCTTGGACGGCGTTGGTGGTGAATGAAAGTCGGTCATCCTCCTCAGTCTCCACGTAGTCATCGTCAAAGTTTCTGAAAATCTGTGAATTTAAACTGTCGATTCTAATCTTTCGCTCCTCAGACTCCTTCTCACCAAACATATTTCCGCAATCCTCTGGGAGGTGAATCTGTCCGAGTTGCAGCTCACTCTCGTTACGCGGGAAGTAAAGTGGCATCCAACGTTTGTAATTCTCAATATCGGCCTCGTTCTCCAGACACAGAACAACCGTTGCCAACTGACTGGAGTGCTTCTCCAGGTGACGACGAAGTGTACGCAGCGCCACATGACATCCGAGTTCGGGTGGGAATTTTTTGCTGTTGGCGTGCAAGCACGAGAATGCAATCGTTCGACTGTTGCACTCGCTGGCCAGTCCGAGTGCAGAACGATAGCACGAGTTCAGCGCGTTCTCAGCGGCCGACAAGTATCGTGGATTATAGGTTGGAACGAATGTATGGATCACATAGTTGCAAGGCAGTTGGCCAGCGGTCGTCTGGATTGCCTCACCGATTCTGCACTCGCCAGCTTGCTTCACTTCATTCACCATGTCACGACCACCGTGCAGAAATATGTGGTGAGCCAATCCAGATTGGTAATCACTCTGACTCTTTACGGTGGTATTATTTGAGTATACGATGGAGCCGACATCGAGACGCCACACCTCACCAATCCAAAACACCATCTTTGAGTTGATATTATGGTCAATGGGAAATAGCGGCTCCCTATGAACAATGGTACCTGCTTCTAAATCATATGGATTGATTGTCTCAAACGGTGCAATCTTATCCCAACTTGTAAGAGTAAGATATGATCTTGACCATGGTTTACTATTATTATTTATATTTTCAACCATTTTATTCTATTTTTTATTTTTTTATTATTATTATTTTCTATATCTATATTTATTATTATTTTTAAATTTATAAATTTATTCCTAAGTAGAGTAAACTTATATATTATGAATATTTTAAAATTGATTATTGTAATTTAAATAATAATGTGATTATTGATCTATATTATTGTCAAATTACTTTTTTAAATCTTGTGTATGTTTTAAATTTGATCTAACTCTTTTGTTTGTGTATGTGTATGTGTGTTTATGTATTATGAGTGTGATCAATGATCAAAGTTGAAGTGTAGTGTTATGTTTGTGAATTACTTGATTCTGTGTGTTTAAATTTTTCATCAGGTGTAACAATCACCAATGCCTGGTCTTTCTTTACAAAACCTGTTTATTTTTTTTTCAATCCATCGAATTTAGAAAAATTAAAAAAAATCTATAAAAATACAGAATATCCTTTTGAATGGTATTTGGGCGAACAAAAAAATCGATCAAATCCCAATGATCTTAATTCTTTACCAAAAAAATAAAAAAAATAAATCTCATTCTCTTGATTTTCTCATTAAATAATAAGTCAATTGAAAACTCTATTGATTTTTCAATACAACAAACAAAATAAAAAAGTAATATATCTAGGTTAGATATCTTTTTTTACAATTAATTTTTTTATTTTATTTTTTTTTTGGAAAATTTTAACGGATATATTTTTTTTTTTTTTTTCATTTAAAAATTTAGTTGATTGATTGATTTTAACTACTATATTATAGTTACAATATACAAATATATTATATTATATTATAAAATGAGTGATAGTGTTATTAGAAGTAGAACTCGTGCAAATGTTGTAATCCCAAAGCTACAAGCTGAGGATGCATACTCTGAAGACGAAGAGGACGATGATGACTATGAACCTTCAGAAGGTGAGCAAGAATTAGCTGAAAACGATACAAAAGAAGATGAAAAAAAGTCAAAGAGAAAACTAGCTACAAAAGCAAAACAACCAAAAAAGAAACAACAGTAAGTAGTAACAAACTATTAAAGTGTTTTAAAAGTAAAAACGGTCTATATAAATATTAAAACTAAATCTTAACTTACTTAATAGAAAGAAGAAAAAAGGAGATGAAGATGAAGAGGAGGAAGAGGATGAAGAAGCAGAAGCTGTAGATGAAGAAGAAGAAGTTGTTGTAGATTTAGATGGTGAAAAAGAGACTGACGATAAAGATAGCAAAGATGGCGAGAAGAAAGAGAAAACTCTCGAAGAGATGATGAATGAAATTCCAGATACCACTCCAAAGTCAGCGGAAACCACGGAATTGGTAAAAGAAAAGACTGTAGAGGTATTCGAATTCGCTGGACAAAAAGTAGTTAAAGAGTATGTTATAATTCAGATATTTATATATTTGATTGGTCTTGACTGACTAAGTTTTATTTACACACAACTCAACTCAACAATAACAACTTTAGACGTGAAGTAGTAGTACCAAAACCAGCAGCTGGAATCGCAAAGAAAAAACCTGGATTAGATAGTGTTCTATCAAACTTGGGTGGTAAACCAAAGAAACTAACAACACTTCAGAAATCACAGCTCGATTGGGATAGCTATAAGGATAGCAATATTTTAGAGAAGAACGATATGGAGAGACAAGCAAAGAACGGTTATTTAGAGAAACAAGCATTTTTACAGAGAACCGACCAAAATCTGGCAAATACTATTAAAAATCTTTCGAAAAAGAAATAAACAATTTAAAATAACATAAAAAAAAAGATAATTCATACTCCTATTATAATATATACATTATTTAATAATTATTATTTTGTATTTTTATGCTTTTTTAATTTGTCTATGAGTTTTCTAATAATACAAATATATTAAATCATTATTTTTAAATAATCAAGATTTAATTACTTGATCAATTACCAATTGAAGAGAAGAATAAGATGAAAGAAAATTTAATATTATAATGTCATTGATTACCTTTTCTGTAATACAATTATAGATAACAATGATAATTTCGAAATTATCGTTACTCATGGGTTATAATCTCCGCTAAAAGAATCTCTGGGTAGGTATTTGCATGTAAGGAAATTGTAGGATTTTTGAGAATTCAAATACCAATGTGTCGTTGTTTGGCATCAAAACAAATCAAAACAAAAAAGAAATCGCAACCAATATAAAAATAAATTAGAGTGTGGAAGTGTGCAATAAAACTGTTTAATCAAAAGTTTCATTAAAAGCAAAAAAAAAAAAAACCATGTATTTTATTCTATTCGTCATGAATCATTAAAAACATAAAATTATAAAATCAAAAAATAAAAATCAAAAAATAGTAAATAGAAAATTCAAAGGTCGGCAATCAATGATCATCAGTACGTCTTGAAAACCAGCTTTATTTTTACAGCTCAAAAATTGAAATTAATAGGAAACACCTACCCTTTGATGACTGTGGACCACATTGTTTTCTACATTTTTTTTCGAATTACAAAAATTTTCAGCAATATTGTTTAAAAATAAATATCTCTGATTAAATGTTGCAAAAAAAAGTAATCAATATTTTGACCAAAAGAGAAAGAAAGTGCCGAATGATTGGGTCAGGTCACTGCGAGTAGAAAATGTATTTTTGTTGTGTGAGAGTGATTTGTTGTGTGTGTGAAGTGAGGACCTTGATTTTTTAATTATTGTTATTTTGTTTGTTTTGTTTTGTTTTGATTTTAATTTTTTTTTTTTTGGTGCATTGCTGCTGAAGAGAGCTAGGAAGTTGCGAGTAAAGTGTTCTTTATACTGCGATACTCTCATTTTACAAATCATTATCATAAACCAGACCAAAAAGTAAGTAATATAATATAATATATTAATGTAATAAAACAAAATAAAAAAAACAAAACAGAGACGGAAACAGAGAGACAGTGTCAGATTTTTAAACATTAAATCACAAATTAATTATTTATTGGCAACAATCAATTCAATTCAATTCAATTTCTTTGTTTGTTTGTTTTTTGTGTTGATTTCCTTTCTTCTTCATTAGATCCCTATATACATCTTCATCTTTGTGATATTGTTTGTTTTATAGATTTCAGCAGTTTATTATTAAGCACACAGGTTTATTGATTTGTCTTTTTTAGATAGATAAGAATCAGTAATAATCACCCACACCTCAAACTATTTATTCAAAAGTCTATCAATTTATATTCGGATTCAATTTTGTCGATAAATGGAAGTTAGTTCAAAATAGAAAAAAAAAAGCAAAATCCTTTTCAAAAAGCAAAAAAAAAAAAAAAAAAAAACACACTCCCCTATTTGTTACCTAAATTTAGGGATATCCCATCAACCCATAGCTTTTTATCTAAAAACATGTGCTCATTATAAATTTATTTCAGATTTATATTGGGATTTATAAATTAATGATGAACTCTAAAATACCAATAATATAAATAAATTACTGTAAAGTAGTGTAATGTAATGAATGATGATTCAATATTGAATAAACGAGATCACACCTACTCTACTTTTTATTTTTGATTTCTTTTTTTTACTATTGTTTTTGTTTCAAATAAAAATCAATACCTTTTTTTATTTTTTAAAACTTTTTTGTTGTAATAGAAAAATCAATTACTTATATTAATTATTTAATTATTTATTTTTTTTTAAAAAATAGAAAATAAAAAATGGGAAGAGGAAGTGGCACAGTCACTAAAAACTACCCACCAGTCTTATACAAGAACATCAAGACTATCAGAAAATCACCAAAAACTATTCCAGACACTATTACATTGGAACAGATTGTAGCTTCATTACCAAAGGAAGTTTTCGAAAAGAGTGGATTGAAATCAGCATCATCACTCTTGCTCACCATTTTCTTTATCGCATGTTCCATCATCTTTATCAATAAAGTACCATCCTATCTCTATCCAGTTGGTTGGTTCCTCGGAGGTGCTTCCATCACCGGTGTAAGTAAATCTAAAAAGCAAAAAACAATTTAAACTTTCCAAAATAATATTAATTTTTCCTTATTATTTTCATTTAGTTATTTGTAATTGGAAATGATTGTAATCATAAATCATTCTCGAAATCACCACTTGTAAATTCAATTGTTGGTACAATTGTTATGCTTCCATTGCTTTATCCATTCCAATCATGGAAGATCACTGAAAGAATGAATCTCTCAAAGTCCAAGTCATCGTTGATCAGATCATGGGCCACTGGTAAGCTCTTCTGGTTGTTGTCCATCTCCAACTGGGCTGAGAACTATTTCAATTTGAAGAAGGTCGAAGACAAGAACGACAAGAAGAAGGCACTCACTTCAATCGTCTTGGTCTACGTGTTTGCCGGTATTTTCTTCCCATTGGTATTCAAGTTCTTTGGTGTCAGCGGATTCCTCAACTACTGGTTGGCTCCATGGTTGATCTACCACTTCTTGGTTTCCACCTTTACTTTCCTCCCAGCGATTCCATTCTTTGAGGAGGAGAAGGACAAGCGTTACCACGTGCACATCACCTATCCAAAGTGGTTCGAGTTTGTCGTCAAGGACATCAACTTTGCTTTGCCACGTCACATCGCCGTTTCCATCCCACATTACAACTTGCGTAAGGCATACGACTCCTTCCAGAAGCAATGGAGTGAGTACATCTACGAGTGCACTTTCGAGTTGGATCTTTTCCGTGAGTTGATTTCCAAGAGCCAAACTTTCTCTGAAGAAATCTTCTCGCCATTCGACAACACCCCACTCGCCAAGCCAAAGCAACCAAAGCAAGAACTTCCAGCTGACCGTCCATCGCGTTCCGTCTCTGAGTTCCTCGCCAACATCAACTGGATTCATTTCATCCTCCTAACATCGACCCCCATCATCGCTCTGATCGGTTTCTTCACAGTGCCACTCAGCAGAGCAACATTCATATGGTCAGTGATCTACTACCACATCACCGGTATGGGTATTACCGCTGGTTACCATCGTCTCTTTGCTCATCGTGCATACTCTGCTTCGTTGCCACTCAAGGTTTACTTGTTGTTTGCTGGAGCCGGTGCTATCGAAGGTTCATGCCGTTGGTGGTCACGTGACCATCGTGCTCACCACCGTTACACCGACACCGACAAGGATCCATATTCAGCACACCACGGATTCTGGTGGTCACATCTCGGTTGGTTGTTCATCAAGCAGGATCCAAAGAAGATCGGTAAGTCTCACATCGAAGATTTGAACGAAGATGCTTGGGTCATGTGGCAACACAAGAACTACGTCAAGGTCGCTTTCTTCATGGGTATCCTCTTGCCAACTTTGGTCGCTGGATTGGGTTGGGGTGATTGGATGGGTGGTTACTTCTACGCTGCCATCGCACGTCTCGTCTTTGTTCACCACTCTACATTCATGGTGAATTCACTCGCTCACTTTGTCGGAACATCGCCATACGACGACAATCACACACCAAGAGACAGTATCATCACTGCCGTTCTCACATTCGGTGAGGGTTATCACAACTTCCACCACGAGTTCCCCTCGGACTACCGTAACGCCTTCACCACCTTTGGATACGATCCAACCAAGTGGATGATCAAGATATGCGAAATTCTCGGACTAGCCCACAGCCTAAAGACTTTCGATCAGAACGAGATCCAAAAGGGTATGGTACAGATGCAGTTGAAGGAGGCCAACAAGATGACCGAGAGCATTCACTGGGGTGTTGCTGTCGATCAACTCCCGATCATGACTCACGAAGAGTTTGAACAGTTCCACAACCAAGGACGTAAGCTTATCATCATCGATGACATCGTACACGACGTCGAGTCGTTCGTCGATGAACATCCAGGTGGATTAATGTACATCAAGATGGGTCTTGGCAAGGATGCTACCAAGATGTTCAAGGGTGATGTCTACGGTCATTCCAACGCCGCTAGAAATCTTCTATCTCAATTCCGTATTGCTCAATACAAATCAAAACAACAATAAGCTCCAGCTCATCAGCTCATTTCTGACAAACACACCAAAAATAAATAATAATAATCAATCATTATTCATAAATTAAATCCAAAAAATATTATCTTAATAAAATACACATAGTTATAAACTTGTATTATAACAATTATCACATATACATATATTATTATAATAATATATGTATAATTTATAAATTAACTTTGAAAAAAAAAACTTAGTATATTTTTTTTTTTTTTTTTTTGGCTTTTTTGGAGGCGAGGGTTTTGGACCAAACCCTTTTTTAGAAATATCTTAATTTAGAAAGTTAGTTGTTCAAATTTTATATATTTACAAAAATGAATAAAGATTTATTTATATATATATTTAATAATAAGATATTGAATCAAAAAATATTTAATTATGTATATTTAATAAATAGAATTATCGATGGTAATGAATCAAAGAGATGGAATGATTTGAACGAGTCACCTATTACTTTGGTATCTTATGGTTATTTAGATTTGTTAAAGTTATACCAAAAGAGAAACCCTACTTTAAAATATGATAGTTTCTTGTTCAAGCGATTGTTGACAAAGGCAGTTGCTAAAAGACATCTACCAGTTCTAAAGTATCTAGTGGATGAACTCAATATGTTCAGTAGACCGTTCATCGGTAATCAAATGTATGATTGTAAACTATTGGGTGTTGCAGTGGAGGTAGCTGATTTCGCAATCATTGAATACCTGGAATCGATGAACGACATCGCCCACTGGGACTATCCAGAGGTATTCATTATGTCGCCGATCTCTCGTAGCCTGGGGATTGTCAAACATTTCAGCGACCGACTTGACACTGTTTTCGGTGGTGGTAGAACAACTGTAGTAGTACCTTCTCGTATGAAAGTGGTGTTCGAAATTGCTGCATCCATTGGTATCATGGAGATCATTGAATGGCTAATTGCTAACCGATCGGAATGGCGAAAAGGAAGTAACATGTATATACATGCTGTCTCTGGAAATAAGTTACATGTTCTAGAGTTCTTACAGAGAGAGAGCCTAGAAAAGTTAAAGTTGAATACCAATCTATTTGAACTGGCGTCAAAGAATCTAGAGATGGTAAAATGGTTTTGTAACAATCTGCACCAACAACAACAACAAGATACATTCACTATAAAGTTGGACAGTGCCGCCAAGCATTCTCTCTCGATTGTCAAGTGGCTGAATGAGAATACAACACCTGCTTGCACAGTAAATGCAATGGATCTTGCTGCGAGCAATGGGCTGCTCGATGTCGTTGAGTACCTACACCAGGTGCGAACAGAGGGATGCACTGTGAAAGCAATGAACTATGCTGCATCCAATGGATTTCTCCCTGTAGTACGATTCCTTCATGAGAATAGAAGCGAGGGATGCACTACATTGGCAATTGATGGTGCTTCACGATTCGGTAGTTTGGAGATCGTTCGATTCCTAACTGAGAATCGCAGTGAAGGATGTACACAACAAGCGATGTCCTATGCCGCTAGTAATGGTCACCTCGATGTTCTAATATATCTACATCAGCATCGTACCGAAGGATGTTCTACCGATGCTATGGATCGTGCTTGTTACAACAAAAGAATAAATATAGTTAAATGGTTGCATGCCAATCGTAGTGAAGGTTGTTCGACCGACGCGATGGACGAAGCTGCCAATCAAGGTAGTTTGGAGCTGGTGCAGTTTCTCCATGAGAATCGTAGTGAAGGTTGTACAACGCTTTGCATGGACAATGCAGCATCGTCAGGCCACTTCGAGATCGTGCAATGGCTCCACAACAATCGAACTGAAGGCGCGACAACAAAAGCTATTGACGATGCAGCAGGTTTTGGCCGACTAGACATCGTCGAATGGCTCCATAACAATCGTACTGAAGGTGCGTCTACCTTGGCTATGGACAAAGCAGCAGTTCATGGACACTTCAATTGCGTCAAATGGCTAAACGAGAATAGAACTGAAGGATTTTCAGGTCAACATATTATCTCTCAAGCTCAAGCGTTTGGATATCAAAAAATAGCAGACTATTTATTAAATATGTAAAGTAATATATAAGTAAAATAATCAAATAAAATATAATTGTACATTCATTTCATATCATATCATATATTTTTTACCAAGTAATGAGTAATCTTGATTGATGGTAATGACACAATTAGCAAGTTTTCGTTCGTTTTTCTTTTTATTAAACTTTTTTTTTTTTTTTTTATAAACATTTGTTATATTATATTACTGGGGTTATTCTTTGTCAGACTGACTCTTTTAAGCTTTATAAAATGTTAACAAATAGAATATCAAGATGTATAGTTAATAGTTGTAGTAGTAATATAAAGAATGGAAATAGTTATTTACATAAATCATTTAGAGGCTATTGCAATGATCTTTTGATGTCATTTTCAACATCAACTTCTTCAACAACCAGTTTAGTATCAGATAATATTGATACATCTAATGAATTAGATAATAATAATAATAATAATAAAAATAATAATATAACTTTAGATAATAATAATAGTAATAGTAGTAATAATAATCATAAAAATGAAAATAATAATAATTTACAATACTTTGATACATCAAGAGCAACTATATTCAAACATCATACATCAAAGAAAAAGGCTAAACCTATCTCTGGTGACGATGATTCATTGATATTAAATACAATCATTTTAAACTATTCAAATAATAAACCAGCTGAAGCAAGAAGATTGTATGTATATCGGTTAGCTATTTAGATTTATAATGATCTTGTGTTGTTGGTTGAATTCATATTAATAGTAGTACTTTTTTAGATTAAGAAGTTTTATTATATCTGAAGTATATAAGAGTAAATCTATTCATAATATAGATCATATTTTCGATTGGATAGTAAATACACCCTATTTGGAGACAAAGACATTGAATTACTTTTTAAACTTTTATATATCGGTGAGCGAAGAGAAAAGAGTGGAGAAAGTTCTCAATAGCTTTCAGGAGCATCGCATCAAGTATGACTTGAAGACATTCAATATGGTGCTGAGATTTCACATCAATTGCCGTGCGGAACACTCGCAGGTGAAACAGCGTATGGAGGAACTGGCAGAGTCTCAGCTCGACTATACAAGTGATCCCATACTGCTGCAAACTATCATGGAGGCAATGCTGATGGTCGGCGACTCTGAGAGTGCACTGTCACTCTACACCGAAGTGGTGTTGCCCAATGCCGACAACACCACTCAGATCCAATCGCTCAACACTCTGCTAAAGTATCAGATGGACAACGAGCAGTACGAAGGTGCCTATCAGTTCCTGACCGACCAACTCAGCTACTGTCCAGAGTACTTGTCGTCGCCGGCATTCATCTCATTCTTCAAGGTCTGTAGGAAGATACCTTCGATGGACGGTCGTATCATCGAGTTGATAGAGAAACACATTCACAGTATCCCGGCGGAACAACTTCAAAAGATCGGTGTTTCACTGCTGGATACAGTAAGTTCCGTGGAGAAATCGTTGGATTTCTACAGTAAGCTGCTTGTCAACAAGGCAAATCTCGACCAGTATCATCACGAGTTCTTCAAAGCGCAACACTTTGACTTTACTGCGAGCTATATCGATGTCGTTGAACAGTGGTTGCTCAGACAGGGCAGAATCTACAGTGCACCGTTGATCTATCTCTTTGGAATCAAGAGCTACGACTCACCTTCCTATCAGATCCTCTCGTTGCTTCGTGACAATCTCGAGCAGGTATCGATTATCATTGCGTATGGCGAGTCGTTGGCCAATAATGGCTTGGCTGTCAAGCGAATGATGGAGATGTTCGGCCAATCCAGTAGGGAAACACAGCAAAAGATCGTTGAGCGTGTCATCTATATCAACTTGCATATCGGTAGAATCAACCGTGTACTACATTGGCGACAACTGTTGGAAACGCCATCACAGGAGATCGACTACTTGATAGCCAGACACTTTTGTGATCCCATCGCCAACTCCAGTCGACAGCTGGAAAACTACTGGAGAGAGCTACTGCGTGAGAGTTGGGGTATCTCAATGGAATCCTCCGCCAAACAGCAGCAGCTAAACGACAACAGTATCTATCGAAAGTATGTTAAAGAGCGTGGCCAATACGCTACGCCATTCGAAGATCTCTTCAAGTACAACAATACAATTTACAAGCGTTCCAACAGCGATGCCGAAGAAAGTTTAATGGCACAACTCTCAGAGTTGGCATTCCTCCCGCGAATGGAACTATCGAAACAGTCGGACGGTCTGCATCGAATGGCAAAGACACTGGATCAGGTGTGCAGCCAAGAGTTTGTACAATTGAATTTCGGTATCCTGTTGCAATGTGTCGAGCTTTTGTATTACGGATTGACAAAGGACGATTTCAAAAGTTTGTGGTCGTCGTTCACCAAAAAGACAAGATATTGGCTCAACAATCCCAACTACTATGTATTGGCAATCGATAGCAATTGTAATGACGGTGTTGCTCTGCTCCTTGACAATCTTCCACACGAGATGATCAACCGCTATTCCTATATCAAGAATGCAATTCTCGAGCAATTGTTGTGGGCAGGTGAGTTCTCAATGTCCATGAAGCTATTCAGTTCGATTGGCTACGGTATGTCGTCGGAGCGTTGCTACCGTGCACTCGCCAGTCAGATTATCGACGAGAAGTTTCAAATGGATCCCGATGACTACGAACGATTCAAACTACAAGCCAATGCAAACAACAATATCTGTGAGCTGCTCGACTGTTGGTATGCGATCAAGCGTGGTGATATTGCAAAGGCAGAGCAATTGTATCAGACATTGAAAACCACACAAGCAAAGAAGCGTGCAGTCATTACGAAACTAGGATTCAAACTCTATTGTTTGACTCGCCAACAACAACAACAACAAATCGATGTTTTCGACCTTCTCGAGTACATCGGTGTGACAAGGACCAACGAGTTCTACGATGTACTACTACCAGAGTTAACAGTGCTTCCGGGATTCAACACCAAGCAACTCTATGACATTATCGAGTTGGATGGAAGTTTCTACAAGTTGTTCCACACACCACGTGTCGTAGAGTTGATTGTATACTCGTATCCCGAGGCTCACAAACGTCTCGAATCATTTAAGAAGTTTGCAAATCTACCACCAAGATACACCAAGCATTTCATACAGTCGATATTAAACGACATGAATTTCACAAAGACCCCAAAGAGATACTTAAAACGTGTAAAGATGTCAGAGATCGAAGAAAAAGTTAAAATAACTCAAGAAACTTTAAATACAATTCAAGATATTTATAATCTTTGAATAATTCAAATAATAAATATATAATGCAAAAAGAAAATTACAATATTTTCTTTATCTATTTGTTATTATAACATAATTGTTTGTTTTGTTTTCTTTTTCTTTTTAAATATTTTTTTATAAATGACCTTTGATCGCCATTGAATTTAAAATATCTTTATACAATAGTTGTAGGTTGTCATTTGAGGTGTTGTTGGTGACTGCTGCTGCTGCTGCTGCTGGTAGTCTATAAAGTTTTCTAGCTATTTGAGAATCGAAATATTTGTTTGGATAGTATTGTTTCTTTAAAGCCTCGTCTGATTCCTCTTCTTTCAATTCATCACCTTTAACCAATGTTCTAACTCTATCAATTCTTTCTTCGGTTGCACCAAACAAAACAATATAAAAAACATTATCTTCTATATTTAATCCAAATGTCTTTATTGAATCTCTTATCTAAAAAGCATTAAATTAATTAGCTTATTGTTAATAAACTAATATCTTTTCTCTTTACTGTGATTAATTACATACATTTGTAGTAGGTGACATTCTATAGATTAATTCAGTGTGTATATTATTAGTTGATAGCTTTCCTTTTGAGCAAAGTTGATGAATTGCTTGAGTTGCAGCAGTCAAGAGGTGACGATCATCGTAAACTATACGTGCATTGACAATGGACCATTCCAACTCTCCCTTTAACAATATATCCATAATCTCTTGAGTGTTTGTAACATTATTAAACTTAAACACTGTAATATCTTTGATATTACTATCACTATATATATTTATTTCATATTGTCTCATCTTTAATTTATTAATATATTTCAAAAAAATAAACAACAAATCAAATGTTTTTTTAGATCAAACTAAAAAAATTGTAAAAGTCGATTGTCTGTCTTCATTGACCATATATGTATATTTTGATAATTTAAATGGTGGTGTGGTGTTTATTTATATTTAGTTATTATCTTGGGTGATAAAATCAGCACCTTGCATTGCAAGTATGGCAATTGGTATGTTAATTTTATTTCTAATGGGTATGGGGAATGACGATGCGTCGATAACACGGACATTGCTAGTACCACGGACTTTTAGTCGAGGTGTGAGTGGCGCAGATGCATCGTCAGCTCTACCCATACGAATGGATGCATGTGGATGATAGTCACCATTGCCAGTGTTTCTGACGTATTGTTCAAGCGATTGATCAGTGTCACCTGCCGTCGAACTAAACTCTGGTTTGCTACCATCGAGAATACCATTGTCTACCAAACGCGATTGAATACGACGACACTCCTTAATGGCGGCTATCAATACATCTACATCGTGACGAGCGCTTAGATAGTTTTGCTCGATCAATGGTTGTATGGCAGCACCATTTCCATTGACCTGCTTTACCTGTACCTCACCTTCACTCTGTGGACTTACCATTTCCACTGCACAGTTAAAGTAGATCTTACCGTCCCACATATACTGGATATCAGTTGCCAAAGTGTAGTCGTTGGTACTACTGTTTGCATCGATGGCACCAAACAAAAAGAATCCATCGGCCACTGTATTTCTATTGTCCCAATCGCTTTGTGGTGGTGATTGAATACTTCCAAGCAATGGCTTACCTGCATAGTTCATGTAGATATGATCCAACAAACGCATACCGACATTGGGTGAGTTGATTATTGGTGTAATACCTGCCTGTGAGAGTTTGGCAGGATCACCAACTCCACTTGCTTGCAATAGCATCGGTGATTCATAGGCACCCAAGCTGAGAATCAATTCTTTTCCAACCTTGATAGTTCTAATGGTATTGGTAGTGGTATCACGTAAACGAATGAAACAAGCTCGACGATCACTAGTACTAGAGGTGCTATTATTATTATCGCAAAACATGATCTTTTCCGCACGATTACGAATGAGAACCTGAAGATTACTACGCGATGCAAGAACAGCATCGATATAGTTACTGTAGGTAGTTTCTCTTCTTTGTCCTAACTGTGGATCCGGTTTAGATTGATCAATGATATTGGTAAGTCCACGGAGTGAACCACCAAAGTTATCCGATACCAAAGGTATTCCAATCGATTGAATCGATTGTTTCAACTCTGAAAGGAACACTCTATTGTCATCGAGATGTCGCAAATAGAATTTCGATTTCAATTCTGAGAAATGGCTAGCCATATTATTCCAACTCCATTGCGATTCACCGGTAGCATCGGCAATACCATCATAGAGTTGACGATCGCCTGGAATCACCACCATACCATTGTGAGCGTTACAACCACCTGTAACTACAGCTCTCATAAGAGTTTCCGTACGATAGTTCAAACCTGGTTCCGCAGGTGTATAGAATGCTCTTGATATATCTGGATCCGGATGTCCTAAGAAATGATCATACCAATCTTTTGTTGTCCAAATATTTGGATTGGTAGCATCTTTAATAAATAAAAAAAACAAATAAAAATTTATATGTCAATTATAAATACTGTCCAACTTTTTTTTTTTTTTAAATGAAAACTTACATGGTCCTATAAATTTAAAATATTAAAAATATTAATAACCATATTATTGATTATATTAATATAAAAAAATTTACCTTCTTCTATTAATAAAACCTTATTGTTTGGATTATCTGATAATTTACCGGCAACAATACTACCAGCGGTACCAGCACCAATTACTATATAGTCATATTCATCATCAAAAATGTCATTTTCCCTACCTAGATAACAATATGAAAATATTAATATTGTAACAATTAATATTTTCGTTTTCATTATTAATTATTATTTAAATTCAAAAAATAAATATTATAAATTACAACTGTTTATTTTGGATTCTTATAAGTTCTCATTTTTTTTTTAATAATTAAAAACAATTTACCAAAAAATATATTAATACATCTAACAAAATATAAGGTGATATTTTCTATTACATTATTATTATAAAAAAATTGTAGAGTATAAAGCAAAAAATAATCAATATTTCGTCTAACCCAAGAAAGTAAATAAATACGTATGTACAGATTTTTTAAGTTAAAGAAAAAAATATTGGATGTTGGAAGTGTAAAATTCTAACACACAATTTCTAGTTGAATTTGAACTTCAATATTTGTTAAATTAAATTTTTTTAACATTAATTTTATATTTAATATTTTTATTCATTAATGTTTATTAAAACAATTAAATGTTTATATGATAAAATAACACTATGCAAGCAAATAAATAACGTAGTGTATTGGTGATATATTCAGAGTATGATCGAGATTCTTGAAATAAAAGAAAATATAGATTTCAACAGTACAGATTGACTAGATAACAGTAATTTCACTTAGTATGAAAAAGAATAGGGCTTAAGTGGAATTGTTATGGTTAAATCAACACACAGATACAAAGGAATAGCTACACTTTTGATGAATGAAATTGAAAGACAGTGGTCTTTCTCTTTTGGTTTTGAGTATCAAATGTTGTATCTCATTTATATACATTACATTAAAAATGATTACAGAGATGTTCAATATTCATTGGTTTCAAATGGTCTCTTGTACATCCTATTTCTATAAATTAATAGATTATTAATTAAAATTTTTTATTTAATAAGAAAATGATTATAAAGGAAATACAGAGCAACCTATTCAAAATTACAAATAAGATAGATGAAAAGTCTTTCGAAATAAATATTATATATGTCTTTATTGTTATTATTTTAATTTTGTTTTTAATTGTTTGTTATTTATCAATTACGGATGATTGTAATTGTTTTAATGTAGATACAATGGCAGTGAATGGTGGTCGTTTCTTTGGATCGTTATTCCAGCAATCTTCAATGAGTTTTGTGAATGTTGGGTGACACCAATCCGGAATGGCAGGTCGTTTGCCTGCAATGACCATATCCTCGAGTACGCTCATGAATGAAATTTCACCAAAGAACTCTGAACAGGTCAGGATCTCCCAGAGGATGACACCGAACGAGTAGATATCACTCTTGGTAGTTGCTTCACCACCCGACATGATTTCCGGTGCCAGCCAAACGGGATTGACCACACATCGCTCGATGATAGTGTGTTGCAGTCCAGACAAACCGAAATCTGCAACCTTTGCCAAGATTCTTCCTTTCTCTTTGTCCGTGGTCATTAAGATGTTTGGGGATTTCAAATCACGATGCAAAATCGGTGGGCTTGAACTGTGGAGATACTCCATACCCAGAGCAATGTCGAGTGATAGTTCGATTGCAAGTTTCCAGGGAAGTCGTTTACCAGATTGCTTATTGAGATATCCGTGGAGATTGCCGTCCGGAAGGAATTCCGTTACGATGGCCAGCGGGTTCAAACATAGTCCTAACAAACCAACAATGTTTTCATGGTGATCCAATCCACTGAGTATCCAACATTCTCTTCTAAACTCTGTGAATGCTTTCGACAGTAGAAACTCTGAATCCTGACCGGCGTCCTCATCTTCACTGGCTCCACCAACCTTTAGTTTCTTGATTGCAACCGTCTTTCCTTTATACATTCCCATGTAAACCAATGCGCTTCCACCTTCTCCAATCAACTTTTGGAATTGTAGCTGTTCCTTGGTGATTCTGGTTCCAGAGAATGTTGCCATTGACAAATCCGGTACGAGATTGTCGGTACGAACATTGACAGTATCTCTACACATCAAATAGGGAATGTTGTTGAGAACTGCATTCTCACATTGTTGCAGAGTAAACAAGAATGGATCCTCTTCATTACCCATCTCCACACAATGTACACAAGGCACGGTGATTGCCTTTGCTTGCAACTTGAAAGAGTCTTGTAGCAATGATTGAATCGTTTCAATGACATCACGCGACAACAATGCAACCGATTGTTTTCCAGCACCTCTAATTGTGAATCGAAGGATTCTCAGATTCTCTGCGAGTTCCACAAGAACTTGCTCACCCTCACGCTGCAGAATGATACCATTACGCCAATAGCAAATTGCTTCTGAACTTGCGAAATTCAAGATTCTAACCATCAAACGTGAGAACAACCCGGTTGGGATAAAGTCAAATTGATATTGACGACCATATTGAATGGCAGCCATAACTCCACCACGATTGGAACCCCATAGCTTACCGAATTCCGACGGACATTCATTGCTAAGTAGCGCGGGAATCAGAGAACGAGCATTGTCATCGTGCACTACATCTTGTAACTGTCCAGAACTAGTCTTTCCTTGGAAGTTAAAGGAAATTTCAAACTTTTCCAAAAGTGTCAGAAGATGTGGATGCAATTCCTGTGGATAGAAAGGTGCCTTCCAAATATGTTTCAAATCCCTATGGAGAATCACTCCCTGGTTGGTATAGTTATGCTTGACTGTGATGATAGACGCCAGCATCAGAGTGATCCACTGGGGATCGAGAATAACAATCTTTTTCAAACCCTCTTCATTCGGGAAGTAAACGAGCGATCCAATTTGATTCAGGAAAATAGTGGCACGCACCAACTCATCTTCGTCATTGATTGTGCAGAGCTTACCAAGTTGAACGAATTCAGCCCACGACATTGTGGGGATGGTTCTTACTCGACGTTCCTCTTTGACCAGATTCTCTAGCAGTAGATAGCTACTGGGTAGTATTTCACCCATGTTTGGCTGAGCACTGGCAATTTGCTCGATGGTTTCACGCAGACTTGTCAATCCTTTTCCAGAGGTGCAACTAACCAGCTTGATTTCCTTGATGTTTGGGAATCGCTTGCAGTATTTTTCCTCCATTTGCTTCTTGATGGTCTTGGCTGAGCTTTGCGAAGGTAGATCATCGAGATGAGTGCCAACAATGATGATTGCGGAATTTGGTGCACGTGTAGTGATCGATTGCAACCAGAATTCAACACGTGAATGCTCCTCATCCTTCAGTGTATTCCAAACGATAATATAGATGGAACGTTCCGAAAGGAAGAACTGATGAGTTGTATAATAAACTTCTTGTCCTGCGAAATCCATTGTCGTCAGAGTGATATTGTCGACGGTCTTTGACTTGGTTTTCACTTGACCACCAGACAACACCCAATCATCAATGATAATACCATCGGTCGATACATTTGGTTGTGCCAATAGCGTCTTTATCTTCTTCTTGTCTCTCAACACCTTGATCAACGTTGTCTTTCCTACATTCTCCTGACCGACAACCATCAATTTCATACGATAACATTCCTCTTGTCCCTTGGTCAAATCCTTGAGGAATTTCAATATACTAACTGTGCCTTTCGCTATGATTTCAGGTGGAGGTGTTCTCAGTGGATTACCTTGGATTGCCAAGTGTTCCAACGGCAACAATCCCATCGAGGGTTTCAACTCTTTGATTTGATTATGTTGTATACTGAGAACCTGAAGTTTCTCGAGTTGTCCAATCGATGAAGGAACATTTTCCAAGCGGTTGTTCGAGAGATTCAACTCTACAAGATTGTGGAGTGGTGAGATATCGTTGGGTAGTTTCGTGAATAGGTTATTGGAGAGTGAGAGTTTTCTAAGATTGACAAGATTTAATATTTGCAATGGGAAGTTTGCCAGTTTCGAATGATTGAGTGATAGCTCCTTGAGATTTACGAGTTGAGTGATAGACCATGGCAAACGACCATCGGTGGTAAAGTCATTCTCTGAAAGATCCAAACACTCCAGGGTCGACAATCTTCCAATTTCCTCGGGCAACACTGCAATACGCTCCAATCCAGTGGCAATAAAAGTCGTCAGTGAAACCAGTGCAGTTGGTATATGGAATACCTCCAGGTAACGACAACTAGAGATGTTCAAAGAGGTCAGCGATTCGTATTTGCTATCCAACAATACACTTGGCAGTGTCTTGAAATTGTTATTGGAAATACAGAGAGTATTCAAATTTGAGAGTTTAACAATCGATGTTGGTAGATCGGTCAGTTGATTGGATGCCAAGTTCAACTCCTTCAATGATATCGGTAGATTGAGTACGATCTCCTCCTGTGAGATTGCCATTAGACGGTTTCCTTGAAGTCCAAGTTTCTCGAGTGACGACAGTCCCGATAGATTTGGAATGGTCGATAGATTGTTGTGTGCCAGTGTCAGCTCCACCAATGAGCTCATCTCCAAGTGAATCGACTCTGGAATGAAGAAAGCACCCAACGCCGACAAGTCAGCAAACATGAATGAATCATGTTGGACATTCTCAATCTTCTTGGAGAGCAGTGCCGACGATCCTATTGAGCTCGGATTGTTTCTCATGAGATAACTACTCCAAATTACATTCATATAGGTATGTCTAAGTTGCAGTCGTTTCTGGCTATTCGAATAGAATGGATTTACGTAGCAATTCTTTGTCAGAGATCTCCAGATCGATTTGGTTTGTCCGTAGATCAACGACTCACGTTCCTCTTCGTTGTTACAAAGGAAAGTACCATAACGACAATTGAAAACAGCGTCAATCAACTCGATTAAATAGAGTTCATTGAATTGGAATTCACTTGGACATTCCTTGTAGAGTTGCCAAACAATGAAAATAAACTGCATAAAGATAGGTGAGAATTGATCGGACTGTTCATCACTGCTGCTGCTGCCTGTTTGCAGTGAAGAGAATGTTGCTGCACTCGCCGAGTTTGCCATGGCGAAACCCATAGTCTGAGAGGGCAGCGATGTCAGACGATGATCTGGCGATGACACAGAGAGGCTGGTAGATCGACGGCGTTGCATTAGATCGTGACCGGAACGACGAGCGAATGGATGTCCGTAGCTCAACCACTCTTTTTCAATCAGTGTTTGGAATCCTTCGAGAGTACGGTAATGTGGATCCAGAATCAGCTGAACGATCGACGATATCTGAACGTCGGCATCGGAATCCAAGCTACTATTTTGAATCAACACGTTCTGTCCGCTCTCCAGTGCGGCGACAACAATGTCGGATGCAGTGATGATTGGATTCAACAGGCTGAGCCACTCCATACGAATGATCTGCTCCCATTTCGGCCAGTTGGGATGGTCCTCCTGAAGCGTCAGCAGCTTAAAATAAGCTTCGCGGATGCTATCGATTTGCGGAAGGTAGAGATTATGTATTTTACATTTCGGTGGGACGTAGCTTGCTATCGACCCGGTGTCCACTATCAGCAATGGATGTTTCGAGTCAGAGTTGATCGCTTCCAGCAACTGGATATCTTGCTCACATGAATTCTCTGCGTGATTTGTATGCAGCGCAAAGTACGGTGCAGAAGCACGTGTCAAACTGGTCTGGCGACTATTGTGATAGTAAGCGAGGAATGGGAATCTTGTGTTTCTGTACTTTGAGGAGACAATCAAATTGTGATCGTTAACAGACTTGGGAATAATCGAATTCTTTGGATAGTGTCTACAAATCTTAAAGTTGGAATTGACGTTGGTCACTCGCCATTTACTCCAATCGAGCGACAGCCTGTTGAACTCATGTTGCTGAGCAGTGTCGTCGAATGCATGACAGAGTTGGTCGGTTGGCTTCGGTGCCGATGCGAAAGCAAAGAGATTTTGCGCGTTCGGAATGTTTAGACTATCGAGGTGCGCAACGAATGCAGCCAAATGCGGCGATCCACTTGGGAATCCAATCATCTTGATACGCACATCCTTCAGGTAGAGTTTGAACACCTCGTAGGTCTGTCCACTGGTTGTCGTGTGGAAAGTCGGTAACTGTACCCACTGGTGAATCATCTTGGTTGGAATCTCAGTGTTGAGCGATGCTTGATTGTAGAAATTATTGGCGCTACTGTTACTCGACAAACTTGAGACAGAAGACATCGATGACGATGAAGTGGTCGGTGACAAAGGTGGGCTGGGACGAGCTGATCCTCCACTGACAACACTCGCCGGGAAAGAAACAAACATCATCCGATAGTTTGTAATCCAAAGTTCGCCCAGCTGCAGTACTCTCGACGCATTAAAATTGGATTTATCCACAATAAATACATTTTCCGTTACCAAAATAGTTTCTTCTTTACATTTTTTTGTCAAACCTAATTTATTCAACTGGATCAATTATGAAATTAATATATAAACAATACTATTGGAAGACATTATTATTATTGATTCTACTTACAACCATATACTCTGAATAATTATTTAAAATATCTTTTGAAAGGTTCAGACGTTTTTCGATATCTTCTTTGATCAATGGTTTATCGTTGATCAAGTAGGAGTATGTCAGTTGATCGATACGATCCATTGTCGATGCGCTGCTTGGCCAATCGATGATGCATGGCGCAATCAGACCGGCCAATGAATCTGATAGTTGTTCGTTTGCCTTGGTCAACTTATTGAGTAGCACCAGAATATGTTTGAAAACAACACGATTCTTTGGTGGCAATCTGTCGAACTGTTCAATCTTTTCATCGGTATCACTGACACTGGCTATCTCCTTTGCAAAAACAGATTGCACCACACATATATTCTGTAGGAGATACAACAAAAAGTTTGCCAACAACTTACTATTTCTATATCCACTTTTCTCCACCGTATTATTCTGATGTAACTCTAACAACTCTGCATAATCCATCTCATTTCCATAGTATTGAAACGATGCCAATATTTCTGTTGCAGCAGTTGCTGGATCTAATAGAAATTATAAAAAAATTGATTAGTATTTATAAATTAAAAGATTATAGCTATAGTTGGTTACCTTTTTGTTGGAATAAATTTAAAAGAATATTCAATTGTATTTAAAACTAATGGTGGTATTGGGACTTGAGCACTTATTGATAAACGTGGGTGAGAATCCGCACCTTTGTTGGAATCGTCCTTTGTTGTGTTTGGACTAGTTGCGTTGTTTGTAATTCCAGAGTTGGCATCAGAGGCACCTCTACTGCTTGAACTTGAAGAGAATATAGATCTGAAGAATCCATCTTTCTTTGTACTCTTGGTTGGTGTAATCTGTGGTGAACTTCCACCATGATGTATACTTGATCTTTTATTCATTCTAATCACAAGAATATCCTATAGTAATAATAGTAATAATAATAATAATAATAATCAGAGTTAATAATAATTACTCATAAAACAACTACATCAACAACAAACATCATCAAATACATAGGTACATTGTTTTTTTTTTATTTTTATTTTTTTTTAACCAACATTAAATTAACTTTAAGTTTAATTATTAAATTATTTGAATAGATGTGATTTAGTATAAATATATATAAATATATACATATATGTGTGAAGATATATGGTGTAGGAGTAGTGGACATTCATCTAAATCTTTAAACAGATGTGTTTTTCGTTGTTTGTTTTATAATTTTTTTTTGGTGAAATGTGGAATGTGGAATGTGAGATATAAAGTGATTGATTATACATGTGGATGTAAGGTGATATGCAATAGAGTGAAGATCAAAATAAGATGATTGAATCTATAACTCTTAATTGAAATTATTTAAAAGGAAAGTTTGTCTTGCAACAAAAAAAAATAAAAAAAAAACAAATTCAAGAAAAAACATTATGTTAAATCGAAGAGGAATATGATTGGTTAAAGCTATCCATTGTATGTGTGATTTGATTGGTTGATCTAATATTAGATTACAATTGATTGATGAAGAAAAATAGAAAAAAGAAAAGTATGAACAAACATGGTTTGAATTGTACAATGCAATCAAATCAAATCAGATTGTTTTGTTTCTTTTAAAAAGTATACCTTTGTCCAAATTTTGATGTTTGTTTGTTTGTTTGTATGTTTTGTTGATGATGTCTTTTTTAAAAAAGAAAAAGAAAAAGAAAAAGATAAATAAATGATATACAAACATTATTATTTATATTATAGGATTCAAGTGTTCTATTGAGATCAGTAAGCTGATAGAGTTCAGATTTACTGTTGAGAGTTGAAACTATGCTGCTGTTGGTGTTGGCGATGATGGTGGAGTTTGATGATATTGGCTGTCGGAGATAGAGCTTAAAGTTGTAGGGGTTGAAATGTTCAGCCGATGATGTTTTCAAAAACCTGTCTGAAATCAAACGTATTGCCTCTTGTACTCTGGTGATTGCTATCAACTCTAGTTGACCCCTTCTAATTGAATTTGACTGAGAGGATGCTGCTGCCAACGCTGTTAAATTGTTTGATGATGTCGTGTGATTTATATTGAGATTTCCAAGGTTGATATTACTGTTGTTGTCTTTACCACTTCCGCCTAAACTGCTACTACTACTATTATTACTACTGCTGCCGCTGTTTGTGGTAAAGTAATTATTATTATTATTATTATTCTCAGTAAAACTTCCTCCTAGTTGAGAATTCGAGTGGTTGTTGTTTGTTGTTCCACCAACAACATTGTTGCTGCTGTTGTTGTTACCATCATATACATGATATTCGATTTGCAAAGCTAGAATTGTAGATGAGGGTGGTGACATGAGTGGTGTGTGAGTTGAATTTGAACTTGAGTTTGAGTTTGAGGTGGTGGTGGTGGTTGTGGTTGAGGAGTAGACTTCTGAAAATGAACCTGACATGCTATGTATATGGTTTATTTGCTGCTTGCACTGCTACCCTTCTAAATTTCAATTGATTAATTAATAATATTGTTGATTATTGATGACTAATATTATTGGTTATTTTTTATTTTTTTATTTTATTTTTGCTCTAAACCAAGATTATTATTGTAGAACGATAAGCTTGATTTGATTTAACAAAAAAAACAATTTGATCTACCTGCTGAAAGATTTATTTTTGGCTTATTTTGTTGTTTTTTGTTTTTTGCACAAAAATATATGTTGAAAGTTGAGAAAAACTATGCCTTCCTCACGCTTATTTAAGCTCCTGATGTCATATGTATTGTGTCTGTTGTTGTCAAAAATATTATTGTTGATTACCAAATCGAAAATCAATTGCTTATGTTTTTCGATTCAAAGATTATTGTTATTTGTGTCTGTGGAAAAGAATAAAGACAAGTGTTAGTGTCTATTTTTCTGGTTCCTCTAGTAAAAAAATATAGAGTGGCACAAATTTTCCCCCAAAAAAAACATTAATATGTGAGGTGTAGCTTCGTAAAAAGGTGATTTGTGTGTTATTTGTGTGTTCCTAGGAATTAGATAATTCCTGTTTACAAATTCTCTCTGTAAATATAAAATTAAAATTAAAATTAAATAATAAAAAATAAAAAAATAAAAATCATAAAATAAACGACTTTTTTTGCAATATTAATATTAATTTTTTTTTTTTTTTTTTTTATGTTGCAAACGAATCGAGAATGTGTTTTTTTTTGTAAATTTGGATTGTGAGAAAAAATGATCCCTTTAAAATCGCAATAATTGTTTGTTTTTGTGAGTGGGGGCAGTGCAGAGTTAGAAGCCCCAGGCACAAGATTTACGAAACACAAAAAAAACAATTTTGTATTGTTTACTCTTGATGGTGATGATTGAGTGATGATGTGACTAATCAAAACAATAACAAAATGACGTAAATCAAGTGATTCTCTAAAATATAATATAATATTATATAAAATAAATTTTCTTGTAACCAGAATCAGTGTCAATCACTGACCTCTTAGATTTATGATTCTTGTTTAAATATTGCTTAAGCAGCAACACTCCAAACAACAAAATTAATAAATTAATAAACTACAATTAATCCTTTTTTTTTTCTTGTTTTCTTTTTTTTTTGTAGTTTTTTTTTTTCTATTTATCTTTGCTCTCTCCTCTTTCTTTTTAATTCCAGAATATCGTTTTTCTATTCATTTCATTAAAATTATTTGTATATAGTTAATAATATATAAAGTTTAATTGTATATATCACCAATTCTTTCCGATAGTATTTCATTATATATATATATATAAAATCGAATAATTTCCTATTTTTAACAAAAATAATCTTAAAGTCCAAATTTTATAATATTTTAATTTGTGATATCATAAATTACTTGTAAAATCTCCAAATATACGACAGTCGTATATACATCGATCAAAAACTCCAATACCAAACAAAAAACCATCAAAATAACCTACCGAATTTTCTTTTTTGCAAATTTTAATTCTTTTTTTTTCTTTGGAATACTTTTCTCTAAAAATCTCACCACTCGTTGGATTGATTTAGTAGGTGCCTTTGCAAAATTACAAAAAACACTATAATTGCAACATAATACAACCACAAACAATCAATAATACCACACAACACAAAATAGAATAATAATTATATACATTACCTTTTTAAATATTCAAATCCAACAACAACAACAATTGTTTTGTCGGTTTTTTTTTTCTACCTATCCTATTTTATCTATCTATTTCTTTACTTTCTTAAAATATATAGTTTATCTATCTCTCTATAAATAATTCTAAATAAACAATTAAACAATAATGAGTCACCATCCAAAGAAAAAAGTGGTCATTGTAGGAGGTGGATATTCAGGTGTATATCTTGCAAAATCAATTGATGATAGATTCGATGTAACATTGGTTGAGAGAAAGCAATTGTTTTTCCATAATATCACTGCGTTGAGATTGGTGGTGCAACCGGATCTGTGTGAAAAAGTATTTATACCAATGAACAATTTGCTAAAGAATGGAAGAATCATACACAAGTTGGCAGTTGAAATCACACCAAAGATGGTGGTGCTCGACGATGGCGATGTTTTGACATTTGATTATCTGGTGATTGCCACCGGCTCCAACAATATGACTCCGTACAAATCACCGACCGACACCAGCAACCTCTATCCCTACTATCAGCGTCTACAAGAGACCGTAAAGAAGGCGCGCTCCGTCGCCATCATCGGTGGCTCGACTATCGGTGTCGAACTGGCCGGTGAAATCGCGTGTGAATATCCAAACAAACCGGTGACACTGGTGCAACACATTGGACGTCTCTGTTCGCACCGTCTCGGTGACAAATTCTCTGATAAACTCATCAAGAAGATGACCAAGATGGGCATCAAAGTGATGATGAATACCGTGGTGGACATTCCGCCCGAAGCCGTTTCCAACCGTAACAACATGGCTGTGGTCGAATACGAACTGAAGGAGCAAGTGCTGCTCACTGACAAGAACGAGAAGATCGAAGCCGACCTTGTTTTCTGGTGTCTTGGAAACCGTCCAAACAGCGAGGCGTTGCGCGCGCACTTTGGTGGATCGATAGACCACATGGGTCACCTGAAAGTGAACGAATCGATGCAAGTCGAAGGCCACGAAAATGTATTTGCCATGGGCGACATCACCAATGTCTCTGAACTAAAGACGGCGTATAACGCGCTGTTCCACGCCGTAGTCGTACGAAAGAACCTCGATCTGATCGAGAAGGAAAAGAAGAAGCTCAACAAACACACTCCGACCTACCCAATGTTGTTTATCTCGGTCGGTCGTAAGAATGGTGTCTCCAATATCCCCGGTGGAATCATACTCGGTGGATTCATCACTAAATTCATTAAATCAAAGAACACATACATTTCATCCTGTAGAAAGTTACTGAACAATCCGAAAACAGTGCCGCAAATTGGCCAACAAAATTGTTTGACTCTTGGATCTACATCCAGTAGTAGTTGTGATGTCGAAGAGGAGGAAGAAGAAGAGGATTTCGACTTTGATGCTTCAAATTAGCAAATTTGAAGAAATATTAAAATAATTAATTTAATCCATAATAAATAATTTTTATTTATATATATAGTGTAAATTTTTTTATTAATTATTATATTTATTATTATTATTATACTAATAATTGTGAATATTATTTATTATTTATAATTTGTTTATAACATTGATAATTTAAATATTATAGAACTATGAGAAATATTAATATTTATATAATAATTAATATTTATATAATAATAAATATTTGTCAATAAGAATAATGATTACATGGACAAGTAAATTTAATGTGGAAGGTATTTAATCCTTAGAAAATAAACTTTGTGTAGACTATTTTTTTGTCGATTTATTTTTTTTATTTTTTATTAATAAATTTAATTAATTAATAAAAGCTCAATGTTTGAGATTCGAGGTTACACGAATAACTTTTGATACCCAATCCCCACACACCACTCCTTTTTTTCGATTAATCAATTAATTAATTTTTGTGGGTTTTTTCAAAAAGGCATGTTTTGCAAAAATCTCTTGAATCATGCAAAAAAAATAGTAAAGTTAAAGGAGGGAATTTTGAGATTCTCCACAAAGTTATTATAAAGTAGACTTATTATTACTAAGTCAAAAAGATAATATACGATTTGTTTTTATTAGTGTTTGTTTGTTTGTTAGATTTGATATTTTTTGTTTAATAAGTGGTTGCCATCAAAAGTATTTCCGAATCTCTTTGTAAACTTGAAGATCTATTATAATTAAAAGAGTGAAAAAGAGTGGTATAGAAAAACAAGTTTGAGTAATCATGTATGACAAAAGGTATTTTAATAATATTATGATTATTTTATTTGAACAGTAATTTAATCGACTAATGATAATCGATATTATTGACTGATTGATTTGTTGTTTGTTTTTTAGTTGTTTTTTTTTTTAGTTGTTTTTAAAAATATAATTGTAATTAACAAATATATTATTATTGTTATTGGTTGATTGATTGGCTTGATTATTATTATTATTATTATTATTTGAATATAGGTGTTGGAATTGGTGATTTTAAAAGAATATAATTGTATACTATTTATATAAATATAAAAAAAAATATGTTGAACAAAACTATATTATTATGATTATTATTGTTGTTGTTGGTTGTATTTTTTTTTTTTAATTAATTAATGGAACATATTTATATCCTTACGAAAGCTTATTTTGAATTTGTCTGTGAATTTGACATAAAAAGTCTATATAAGAGACGGAATCAACACTCTTGTCCTCAAAGAGTTGCGATCTGAGAGTTGAATCTAAAAATTCGTTTTGAACCACAAATTGGACTTCTTTGCTTGGTTCCATTCCTCTCAATCTTATGATGGCAGCAATAATATTTTCAACTTTTTGGTGATATGGATTAGCACCATTCAACGATACAAATAATTTTGAAATCTAAAAAAAAGATAATAAAAAAAAGTGTTAGAAAAAAAATAGTTTAGTATTTTTTATAATATTTAAAATTGTAATTAAAAAAAAAATATTAAACTTACCTTTGCAGAATTATTACCAACAGTTGTGTCAATGGAGAAAAGATCACGTAGAACGTTTTGGTTTGCAAATTGTTGTACCCAACAGTAGATGTTTCTACCGTCTTCGAAGAGGTAGACACCGTCTTGTGCGATTTGCTCCAATGAGAGTCTGACAAATTGTGGGATGACGGTGTGTTGTTTGTCGGGGTGTGGATTTCCGTGTTCCGCTTGCAAGTTGTGGATTGGGTAGACACGTGGGTAGATGAGTGGGATGATCTTGTTGGGTGGGAGCGATGCCAGCAAGTTCATGTAGAAGTAACGGAGATCTGGTGAGATGTCCGACGAGATACGGAAGGGCGGTGTCTTCATCATCGAGAGGATATAGATTGGCAGTAGTTTGAAGCACTCTGGGAGGATCAGTTGAGTGTGTGCTTTGTCGGCAGCACAGTTCTTTCTGTAGGAAGCGAGCAAGTCCAGCGACTTGTCGACCATTTGTGAACGGACTTGACTTGGTCCAGTGGTTATAATGTCACGCGCAGCATAACGAGCAAACAATGTGACGATCGAATCGAGGTCGGCATCTTTAAAGAAGTTTGGAAGGATCGAGTCGACGTTGAGTCGGATGTTGTGGATACGAATACGATTCTCTCCGTGAATGGTTGTGTACATCATGGCAAACTGGATGTATGCCTTGGATTTTGGTTTCAGCTTGTCGTCGTACTTGATGAGCGAGGTGATGCACTTGTCGTCGGTGATACCGGCGATGCGAATCTCGCCATTCTCCTCGGTGACGTTTCCATAGTTGTTGGTAACGGTGAGACCACGACTGCAACGAATCTTGATGGCTGCGCGCAAACCATATGGCTGGGTGGTGTAGTGAATGATGTCACTACGCAACTGGTCCGAAGTTTCCGGTGTGTAGTGTGGGTAGTAGTGGACGTGTCCACCGGTGGCGGCGGCCAATGGACCGGAAGTGGGGAGGTCGCACACCTCGGTCGGGATTATAAAGAGATCGACCGAGACATTGGAGGTGGCGCAGTGCTGTGATACCGGTTTGTAGAAACTATTGAATGCAGTCGATGGCAATAGATTCTTCTCGATTTTGGCATCACGCTTTGGAATGGCGCCTGGATTGCCCTTGGGGAGGTTAGTGCTGAAGGCAAAGACACGACCTCCACACTTTTCGAGAGCCAACGACGCAGACTGGACAGCGGAACCGAAAACAAACTCACGGTTGGGTGCCAATGGCTTTGTGAAAAAGTTGGTGATATTGTCAAAGAAAAAGTCGACCAGTGTCTTGGACTCACGATAGTCCACCAAGAAACCATCTTGAATTGGCACGAATACACTGTTCTTTGTGATCACCTTCATCTGTGGCATATTATAATTCTTTTTAAAACTCCAAAAATGTACTTCCGAATCATATGTAATAATACCTATTCTTCTTGGTGTCTTATCATACATTTCATTCAACACTTTCCTAAAAATATTTGTGGAAATATCATCCGATTAAAATCTAAACTCTACTACTACTAACGCATTCATTTCATCAATCCAATCAATCAATTGATTTCAACTTACTTTAAACTTTCGACGATATTAATCAAGATACCATTGGAAATGGTGAATGTAGAAATCTCAATGACAAAGATATAGGCTGGTACCAACACTGGATCATTAGTTTTCTTTGCAACAAACTCATAACTTCCTCTTTGTAACTCTGGTCTCTGTTCATAATCTGTTCTTAATCCATTTGGCAATGTTGCGCTAAAGTATTCAGTTGGTACTTTAATAAATAATAATAATAATAATGATAATGATAATAAAAGTTAGTTAATATTTGAATATCATCAATTGAATGTTATGTTGTGATGTTGTTATGTAACTTACCATCATTTTCATAATCACATAATTTACAAACAAAGAATTTACCACCGTTGACAAATGTGTTGTGTGGGTTCATGTAACCGAGACAACGACTGCAACGAATGGGACCGTTGACACCGTGGTCAATGAGTGGAATCTCAAAGTTGGCAAGTGGTGTGGTATGTACTGCAAAGGGCAGTTGGGTGGTGTTGAGAAGGTCTTCACTCTCGGGTATGGTGTAGATGGTCGATCTCATGAATTGTGGGATAGATACGTGCTGATCGATCACGACCTGCTGGATGGAAGAGGGTGGTGGATTTTCATTGCTGTTGGTGTTGAAGATGTATGGTTTCATTGGGTCGACAATCGACGATGGACTTGGTACCTGTGCAACATTGATACGATTATCCGATGACTGTGGTACACTTGGTTGTTGTTGTTGAAGCATTGGATTCGGTAGGTTTGGCATTCCTTGATTTCCACCAATCGATAGATTCTGAATGTTTGGCATCTGTGATTGATATTGTTGCTGTTGTGGTTGTCCATATTGTGGCTGTTGTTGTTGGTATGGTTGTTGATTACCTTGCATTTGTTGTGGTTGTCCATAGGGTGCTGGTGAAGCTTGATTGTATCCTGTTTGTCCAAATGGTTGTTGTTGTTGTTGTTGGAATCCTGTTGGTGGTTGAATTGGTTGATATCCTGTTGTTGGCTGTGGTTGTTGTGGGTATACTGGTTGATATCCTTGTTGCATTGGTTGACCTACTTGTGGTGGTGAGTTATAGATTTGAGTCTGTGGTGGTTGTGTTTGTGCGGTTGGTGGTGGTACCTGATTGAAGTTTGTTGGCGTTTGGTAGACCTGTGTAGTTGGAGGTGGTGGTGGTGATTGTGGTTGATACATTTGTGTTTGAGGCACTTGCTGTTGTTGTTGACCTCCATATGGATGTTGTTGCATTGGTGGTGGTACTTGCTGATTTGTCATTGGTGGTGCTTGTTGACCTCCATATGGTTGTTGTTGCATTGGTGGTGGTGGTGGTACTTGTTGATTTGTCATTGGTGGTGCTTGTTGACCTCCATATGGATGTTGTTGCATTGGTGGTGCTTGTTGACCTCCAAATGGTGGTTGTTGCTGTTGTTGATATTGAGGATAACCACCTTGTTGTTGACCTTGCTGTGGATATGAATTGGGTGGAGGTGGACCAGACATCTCTCTCTTATAAACTTAAGTTTATAACTCTGATTCTACAAATCAAAAAACAATCAAGCAACTAACTAACTTTCCTTTCTATAGAGTAATACTAAAGTCTAAAAAACACTTTATTATCGATAAATTTTAATTAGATACACATTCTTTGCTCTTCATTTTAACAATAGAAAAAAAAAAAAGAGTATTATTGAAGTTGTTGTTGTTTATTTACCTTTAATTGTATAAATTATATGAATTTTCAAAAAAGTATTATAATAATACAAAAATAGTGTAAGTAAAGTAAACCTAATCTATCTATATTTTTGATAAATTGATATTAATATTGGAAAAAGTTTGACAAAACTAGACTAATAACATGAAGTGCAATCACTTTAAAAAAAAATTTTATTTTTTATATAAATTGTGTGTGAAAGGTGAGTCACTCATTCTAAAAAATGAAAAACGTTACAAACTCTTCATTATTTTTAAACACATCATTTTAATGACTCATTTAATTGACCAGATAAGATAACACACCCATCAGTATTTGTTGCCTTTTACAGACATAATACAATTCTATTGATAGACAATACATATAAATCAAATAGTGACAAGCAAGATATTTTAATTTGATAATAAACATTTTTCTTTTCTTTTCTTTTCTTTATTTTTGCATAAATAAGATTTATAATTATAAAAACAACAAACAAAAGAAAAGATCAAAATATTATAATATTTTGAAAAGATCAATCTGTTATGTTAACTATCTAGTTGAAATTTAATTAAATAGTTGCATTTTATAATTATTCTGTGGTGAATGAACAGAACATATATTCTAATTAATTAAAATTATATATTTTTATTTTATTTTTTTTATGAAAAAACATTAAATATATTTTTATAAATGATTGATTCATTTTAATTTCTATATTGTTTCTTGAAGTTATAGATCTGCAAATGGTCAAAATTAACTTTGACCATCTGATTAAATTATTGAGAATGCATTCTCACTTTCAATTACATTGTAACGTTGAAAATGAAATTTTCAATTGAATGAATTTTTTAAAATTTTTTGGATGCGTGAGACGAGCGAATCCTGACCACCCCACTACCACTCAGCTTCCGACTGTCACTCTGTATCCCTTTTAACAAAAAGAATCAGAGATCTTCAATTTTTTTTTATCCTTTGTTTAATAATTAGATATCAAGAACAAAATGGTATGTATCCTATATCATATATATCTCTCTCTCTCTACAGATTCAACAGCACAGACGCAGACAAAACACAACACATACAACAGATTAGAGATGAGATTATAAAAAGAAAAGGTGTTCTAATATGAGATTTGATTTGATTTGTTACTATATAGTCCGCTCGTCCATTCGTTCAAGTATACAACGGTGAGAATGCCGTCTCTGGTAAGGTCAAGCTTCCAGCTGTTTTGACTACCCCAATCAGACCAGACCTCGTCAACTTTGTACATACCAACGTCAACAAGAATCACAGACAAGCTTACGCTCCATCATCACACGCTGGTGAACAAACCTCTGCCGAGTCATGGGGTACTGGTCGTGCTGTTGCTCGTATTCCACGTGTTGCCGGTTCCGGTACTCACCGTTCAGGTCAAGGTGCCTTCGGTAATATGTGTAGAGGTGGTCGTATGTACGGTCCAAACAAGGTCTGGAGAAAGTGGAACCGTAAGGTCAACGTCAACCACAAGAGATACGCCGTCGCTTCCGCTTTGGCTGCCTCTGCCATCCCAGCTTTGGTCATGGCCCGTGGTCACCAAATCTCACAAATCGCCGAAGTCCCATTGGTCGTTGCCAACTCTGTCATCGACTCATTGACCAAGACCAACGCCGCCGTTGCCTTGTTGAAGAAGTTGAACGCCTTTGCCGACGTCCAACGTTGTGACGACTCAAAGCACTTGAGAGCTGGTGCTGGTAAATCAAGAAACAGACGTTACACCATCCGTCGTGGTCCATTAATTGTCTGCTCCGGAAAATCACAATTGAGCCATGCCTTCAGAAACTTGCCAGGTGTCGATGTTGCCAACGTTTCCCGTTTGAATTTGTTGAAGCTCGCACCAGGTGGTCACTTGGGTCGTTTCGTCATCTGGACCCAATCTGCCTTCGAGCAATTGGACTCCATCTTCGGTACCTACTCCAAGAAGTCCGCCAACAAGTCTGGTTTCCGTCTCCCACGTCCAGTCTTGCAAAACGCTGATGTCCAACGTTTGATCGGTTCCGATGAAGTCCAAACCGCCATCAAGGAATCCCAACACTCTGTTACCGCCCCACGTGGTACCATCGTTCGTAGAAACCCATTGAAGAACTTGAAGGCTATGTTGAAGTTGAACCCAGCTGCCGTTCACAGCCGTAGATCCAACGGTAAGAAGGTTACCAAGAAGGCCCACAAGAAGTCTGTCACCCCATTGAGAAAGGCTTTCATCAAGCAAACCTTTGCTTAAATATCTAATTAGACAAAGTTCATGTTGTCTGCGTTGATCAAATCGTCTATAATCCGGATTATTAATTGATATCTCTCTCACAATAAAAACAAAGGAACATAATTCAAAGTTATGGATTATTTTTTTAACACAACAAACAATCAAATCCCTATTTATAACAAACACAAAAAATTTAACTTGTTTTCAAATTTATTTGATAATGATAGAATTATTAATTAATTATTGGACCACCAAATTTGAAGAAAGTTATGATTATGACTGTAGAGAAATGTGTCCAATCGCAAAATTTATTTTTATTAGAACGGAGTTGGAATGATTTTTGATCAAAACTCTTTAAATATTCCTGTCTAATCTTCATTTTTAAGATAATTTTTCTTGTTTGATATCTAACTTTCAGGTATATATAGAGTAATTGATTGTCTTAATTTTTTATTACTAAGTTATTTTCTTGAACTTACTCATTTAAAATTATTTCTTTGTCATAAAGTTAGTTGGCTTAAGTTCAGGGTTTTTCATTTTTTTATTGGGGTTTTGCAAAAAAAAAAAAAACCCCAGGCAACCCTTTTTTTCTTTTTAAAACCAAACTTATCTTTTGTAATTGGTATAGTTAAAAAAAGATGAATACATCGGAAAGCAATACAATAGAATGTTGTAATTATGAAGATGATAATGAATTAGTGAAATTCTTCAAAGATAAGACGATTTCATTGCTTCCATATTGTTTATTTTGTAATAAGAAGATGGAAGCTCTCAACGAGACAAATCACTTGATTAGGTGTTGTAAATTGTACCATCAAATGCTATCCGAATTAAATATTCAAAACTTAGTACTTGTACAAGAATTACAAAAGAAAGATGAGAAAATAGCACATTTATTACAATTATTAGAATCAAAAGGTGTAGTTTTACCAACCTCCAATCACAACTCTATTTATGATTCAAAACCAGCTCCAATCACTCTAATACCAACTACAACTACCACTACCACCACCAGTAATTCAAAATCAAAACCAAAATCAGATATCAATAAAGAAGAAATGGATTCTTATGCTAGGAAAAAGCAATTAGATGGAGATGCGCAACAACGACTCAAATGCTATCTCTCAGCTCCAATCAGAGACGTAACAAATGGAAATATCGTGAGAGCGCCTGTATGTTCTTCGCCTGTTCGTAAGCTTCACAGGATATACATTCATTTTGGAGAGGAAAGGATAGCTGTATGTCGACCAGGACATTTAAGTAATTCATTAGAATCAATTAGCTTCCTCCAAGAATCCTTTAGTTCAATAAAAGACCCTAGTAAGCCGATTACACTTGGTTATAAAAGCGAAATTTGCCAGAACTGTTATTCAGCATCAAGTAACTACCTTAAGTGTAGTAACCCATTTGTCAAGCCACTTGAATTTGTTTATTTTTGCAAGTTCAACTGCTTACAAGATTACCTCAAGAATAAGAGAGAATATTGGAAATCGTGGTGTGAAGCAAATAAGATTTCTTCATCAGACATCACCAATGTTGACCAGGAATCAGATATCGATCAAGATACTTGTATGCCTCAAGAGCCACCAGCAAAGAGGGGTAGACCATCAAAAAAGATTGTTGACAACGATGTCAATAATACACCAAAAAAAAAAAAGAAAACTAAAGGCAAATAAATTTAATGTCTTTTAAAACTAATTAGAGTTGTGTAATTAGAAAGAATTGAAACCCTTTTTGAAGAAGATGAACATCTCCAGTTCTTTAAACTGTCCAAAGAAAACATTCTAGAGTTTTGCAGTTATCATGAAATTATATATGAAGAAGCTTTAGCTTTTCTTTTAAGGTGTAGGCATAACTTTTCATAAGAAGTAATGGAACGTATTTTTTTATACCAACGAAGGAAGTGTATATGTATTAAGGTCTAATTTTCGTAAAGTTCTGAAAATATTGTCAGATTATTGCGTTGGATATTTCGAAGACTTATCCATCGATTCTGATTACTTGGAAAACGAAAGTGTTATTATGCAACATAACCGAGAAAATACTAGAGTTCATTTGGTGGTTGATGGATCAGAGCAAAATATACAAACACCAAAAGACAAGAAACAGAGATTTAACTTATTCAGTGGCAGTGATTGCTTATTTAACTATTCGATATCACTCATTTGGTAGAACTAATGATTTCTTTGAGGATACTGGTTGCACAAATAAAATAGAATAATATTATAAAGCTATAAAATTAAGTTAATTTTACATTTTTTTTTTGAGATCATTATCAGTTTAATAAATAAATATCAACAAAACTTTGATAGAACTGATGATTTCTTTTAGATACACTGAAAAATAAATATAGTTTTATATGTAAAAGGAAATAAGAGGTTTTAATAAGAAAAAAAGGGGCTACCTGGGGCAACCCTTTTTATTTTTTTTTTTTTTGCAAAACCCCAATATTGACTGCACTTAAGCCTAGTTGATTGTTAGTATCAACTTTATTTTCATTTATCTAATTTTTAGTTTTTATAATAGTATACCCCCACTGTCTAAATAAGTTATTGTTTGTTTTCATTTACTTTTATTTTAATATTCATTTATTTACAAAGATGCTAAACAAATTTAGATAAATTCGAATAGAGATAACAGGAGAGTATGTTTTGAATGTTTAAGAATTAGGAATCATTGCTCTATCGGCCTCAGTTGGTACAAGAACAACTTTACCGATATTCTTTCTTTGTTCAATGTATTTATGTGCTTCACCAGCTTGCTCAAAAGTGAATTGTTCACTGACGATAGCCTTACACTTTCCTTGCTTGAATAACTCTAGAATCTCTAACATCTCTTGCTTAATCATTGGTATATGCGATGGAATGAAAAGATGTCCAATATTTACACCAGAAACAGTCTTGTTATCATTCATTAAATGTAATGGATTGAACGATGGAATCTATTTGTTGGTAAGTAAAGTTAGTCATTTCATCTTTCTATATATATAAAATAATAATAATACTATATAGTACTTACTCTCATATATTGTTTCAAAATATTAAAGATACTTCTTGTTGATCCACTTACCATGTTGGTAACACCGAATGCAATGATATGTCCACATGTATTTAAAATATGATATCCAGACCTATTTTATAAAACAATTAGTTTAGATAATGATTAAAAACAACATTATTAGATAATACATACTTGAATTCACCCAATGGGTCAATGATAACATCAACACCTCTCTTTCCTTCTAGTTCATTTTGATACATGTTGGTGATCTCTGTTGCATAATCTTTGGTTGTATAGTCAATGGGATGTGTGCAACCGAGTTGACGAATGAATTCATGTTTACTTGGTGATGCAGTTCCAAAGATGGTGACATCTGGAATGGTTTTCAATAGTTGGATGGCGGCGACACCAACACCACCAGCAGCCATATGAACAAGAACTCTTGCACCCGGTTGAATATTGGCAACTCTGAACAACATATGATAGGCAGTGATATAGTTGACTGGAATCGATGCTGCCTCTGCAAATGTCATATCATCAGGAATCGGGAATACCATTTGATGGCTTAAAACAATGGTATCGGAATGAGCACCAAACTTGGTGCAAACAGCAACTCTTTGTCCGACTGAAACCGATGTGACACCCTCACCCACTTCACCCACAACCCCAGCAGCTTCATATCCAACAACACAAGGTGTAGGTGGTGCATCTGGATATAATCCTTGTCTTGCCATAACTTAAAACATTGTTAAAATCTAATCTTCTTTATTTGTTGTTAAATATATATTAGACATAATAATTACCTTCAGCAAAATTTAAACCACATGCTTTAACATTGATTTTAACTTGACCTGCACCAACGGTTGGATCAGGTGATGTTCTGACTTGAAGTACATCGTATGATCCTGGTTTTGTTATAACTATTTCTCTCATTTTTTTATGTATGTATTTATTATTTATATAAAAATATTTCTATTACTTATTAAATATTTAATCTATTTATAAGTTAAAATTTTTTACATTTTCATTCTTTTTTTTGAATATATTTCCTATTTTAGATCTTATCATGGTGTCATTATGAGTTATTAACCACTCACTGAAAACCCCACATTTTGATTGTTTTTATATTGTTTATGCTGAAAACATCATCGTGTTGTCATTATATTTGTACCCGGATCAAGCTTATTCAAAGTAGAAATAATAGTTGAAAGTAATAATTCGATGGAAAAATAAATATTATTTATTTATATTTATATTATTGATAAACGTTATGAAAGAAGAAAAGAATAGATTAATAAGTTTAATAAGTGAGTGACTTGATATAGAGATTGGAGCTACTCTACCGTGATCGATGTAACCAAAGGTGAAGGTTTGACCGTGTTTGATATTTTGGTAGGAGGAAGTATCCGTGATCGTAAATGATATTCCATTCAGAGTTGTTGTCTCGAATTTATTTGGGGTATCTATGTTCAAATTTTTTAATTTCTAACAAAATATATTTCAAAATCTAAATAATAACAACTTTTCAATAATATATTTCTCTAAATAACTTAGATACCCAAATAAATTCATCAACATTTATTTATCAAATTGGTACTGATGACAGGGTTAAAAAATCACTCTACTTTTTTAATATTAAAATTTTTTTTTAATTAATATTATATAAATAAAATTTTATTTATAAATCTATTATTTATTTATAATTTTTAATCATTAAATAAATACATACATTGTTTAAATTTATCATAAAAAAAACATTATTTATAATTAAAAAAAAAATTAATAAATTATTATTTTAAAAAGCGAAATGGTTTTTTTGTCCTTTCTTCATTCCTAAAAAAGTAATGTTGTTAAGATCTGTTTTTATTTACTCATGAGTTTAAAGTAGATCGATGGATAGCTATGATCGAGTCATTTCTTAACTTTGCATTTCAAAAAATGGTCTTACACTTTTTTGCTGTTTTAAAAAACTTGTAAAAATCAAAAAAAAAGGAAGAAAATCAAAGAAGATTTATGAATCTTGGAGATCTCGATGAAAGTTTACACGCGAAATCAATCACATCCTGCACTTAAGACAAGTTGATTCCATTTGAAATTAGCCAAGTTAATTCAATTTGAAATTAATATTAGTGCAAGTTAGTACAATTGCAGCTAGACCATAAAATTTAAAAAGATCAACTATTTTCTTCTTATCATATTCCAATATTTTAAAGATTTGGGAAGTAAAATTAAGTTTGACTTTATTTTTTGAATAGTTAAAGTTAATAATATAAAGTATTTTTTCTTATTAAACTTGGTTTGTCCTGCAGCATAGCATATAAATATACAATTTAATAGAGTTTTGCTTTACATAAGAATAGCACCATTTCTGTCGAAGGATACATTCTGATTTGTGGTTTATCTGACTTGGAGACCATTAGATATTCTTTTAATTTAATATTTTAGGAATTTAATAATTTAATTATGTAAATATTTCCAAATTTAGATAAAAGATAAATTGTTTGATAATCTTATAGGGTAATTTATTTCTGAGGAACTAACATTAATGATCTTAATTTGATTGAGCCTGAAAGTAATTGAATGTTAATTACTGTGTAGCTTACACCTTGCATACGGAATATCTCTCTTCCTTCAGTGATTCTCTTGTTTGGTTGAGTTGTCATTGTCTCTAGATCATATCCTTCAATATTAATCTTTATCTGTGCAGATGTGGGTTCTTCCATTGAAATCAAGTTGAGTTTAAAGTCTTTCCATACATTGTTTTCTCCTTTAAAGTGAATTTCATAGCTTAGTGTGTTACCGGCGTTGATTTGAACATATGGAACACCTGGCATGATACCATCGGGAACAATCAATGGTGGTGTCGTTGAACTGAAGGTTTGTGCTCTCACTGCATCGATTAGAGTGGCATGCACTTCATTCGGTACTGGATTGATAGCATAGTTGACACCGAATGCGTCGATTGGCATGAATGTGGCGGCGAGTGAATCAATCGATTGGTAGTGTTGATTGACACCAAATGAGAAGAGACTATGAAGTTTATAATGTTCGAAAGCAAATACCTCCTTAACATTGGGAATCGATTGAATATTTGCCAATTTACCGACTTGCTCTACTGTTAAATCCTTTGGCACAATGTATTTATTAACGGTTGTAATATTGGCAAAATCATATTGATCTTGTCTGAGATGCCAAGACCACTCTGGTGAACCGTCCGTAAGATTGTTACCACCGTGTGTCCAGTTCTGTTGGAATGTGTGAATACCCTTGCCTTTGAAGACAGTGATGTCACGTGGAATCAAATCATACTCAACTTGGAAACCGTCAAAGTAGATTCCATCTTGGTAGGTACTCTGAGTGTCGGTTGAAACACCATAGCGATTGGAGACATACGCCTTGTCGTCGAGACCGGCACTTCTAATGTCGGGAGGAGTGAGAAGTGTTGGTTCGTGGTAAGAGTTCTGCAGCCATGAGATAGAGTGACCGAGAATATCGGTCTGTCCGTAGAATCCATGGGGCTGTCCACGCCAATAGAGAGTTCGATCGTTGGCAACGAATTGCTTCAGCTGTTCAAGATCGGCCCTGTAATAGTTCTTGGCGGTGAGAATGGATTCAGAGGTACCTGGTTTTACTGGACAACCGACAACCTTGCTCATCAAGAGATGTGATCTCTGTGGATAAATAAAAGTGTTGTATGGCTCGGCGGCAATATATTCCCAGAGATTGGCGAATTGGAATACGTATTTAACCATATGATTTCTCAGTTGCATTAGCTTGTTGAAAGTGTTTACATCGTTTCGTCCATCGTTGGCAATGCAGCGTGCTTCGGCCTTGGCATAGACAGCCCTGACATGGGCAAGACCCTGGTTGAGAGACGATGCCATATTTTGTTCAAGATCGTTCTTTCTCAAGATAACCGGTGACATTCCCCATTGTTTTTCACCAAACAGCAGTGCATCTCTAATCAAAAACATTCTAATTGTATTGGCATAGGCATACATTGGAAGTGAACCAATATCAGTACTCTCTTTTGCACATTGAGTCATTACATCGAAAAGAGCATTCTCTGCAGTTCTATAAAGATCTGGAATTCTACTTTTTACTTGTGCATCTGTATAATTACTTTGAACAAGCTAATATTAAAAAAATAAAAAATATTGGTTAGTTTTCTCAATTGAGTTAACTTTGTAAAGTAAATACCTACAATTTGAAGTGCAATTGAAAGATCTTTTAATCTTTTTTGAGCAGATTGATAGAATGCAATCAAGAGGTCACTGTCATATGTTTGGATTTCAGTTCCAATGATCGAACGTAGTGCAGTTTGAAATGCCTTCTCATGGTCGGGTGTCATATCTTGGCCGGGTGTAGGAAGACCCGACGCATCGATATACTTCTTCGCGAGTGTAATGACAGCCCAGAGTACACAAAGGGCACCAGCAGTAACTGGAAAAGCTAAACTACCAGACAAAGCATAGAAAAAACAGGATGCAGTGGTCATTGAAAGTCCTGCATAGTCCATCATCCACTCTGATGTACTTGGAAACTCTGATTGCGCAGGCTTTCCAGCTTGAATAAAATCCATGATGACTCTAGTACTCTGAAGATAGTCATTCTTGGTCAAATCCTTTAGAATTGCTTGACCAATTTCATATCTCTCCCAGTTCTTGGTGGTCTTTAAAAAAGTATCTAATCTATTCAATCCTTCGAATTGTGACATATCGATTAGTTATATGTTATTAATAATGATAAATGAAAAATAAGAAATTCTTGAAAATAATAATAATAATAATTATAACAAGTTTAGTTTAAGATAAAATAACTAGCCTGTTGACTAAACTATATTTTTTTTCAATAAAATCTAAAGTATGTTTGTTGTTCAACACATGATTTCAAGGTAAAGTTACGATCGATAGATCAGCTTGATAATGGGTGCTAATGTTTACATTTATATGTTGAATATCAATATTTGTTAAATGTATTTAAATATCTGATTGTCAAGAATTGTGTGATTTGGGATCATATCGATTTTTTCACAAAAAATTAGTTTTTGCAACCTCAATTTGATTGATTACAGGACCTATCTTTTGGCAGGACCAATCAGATCAAAAGATATGTGTTTTACAGATTTGTTTAGGTATTAATGTTTTGGCTCAAATGTGTTCTTTTTGGGCGATTTCAATCACTTACATTGATAATTCAGCGAACGGGTATTTGAAATTTGATGTAGTAGATAGTGTCAACATTGAATGGTCATTCAAGATCCAAAAAATCTTCATATTAATAATATTGATTAAAAATGGATTAGTTTGTTGGCTTATATATTATTATTATCAATTTTGTCAATATTATTAGTGATAATAAAGATTCCAAAGTAAATAATAAAAAATGAGTATTTCTTGGGCAGACTATAATGCTGCTTTTCAGAAGCAAGGTATTGCGCCTGTTCAACCACCACAGCAACAACAGCAACAAAATATTTCTTGGGATGCTTATAATGCTGCCCTAAAGCAACAAGGATTGGCACCAGTCCAACCACAACAACCACAACAACAACCACAACAACACATCTCCTGGGAAGCATACAATGCTGCAATGCAACAACAAGCTTTTGCTCAACAACAAATTCAAGCTCAACAACAAGCATTAGCTCTACAACAACAACAACAACAACAACAACAGCAGCAGCAACAACAGCAACAACAGCAGCAACAACATATTTCATGGGAAGCATACAATGCTGCACTTCAAGCCTTGGCAAAGCAACAACAACAGCAACCGGTTCAAAGTCAAAACCCTCAATCAATAAACTGGGCTGACTATAATAGAATCAATGGTGTAAGATACTTTATTAATAACTATAATAGATTTTATACTAATAAATATATTGTCTTTTAGTTTCCACCTAATTATCGTGGTCCAAACACTCCACCAGCTGGAAGTGTTCCTGTACCTGCTGTATCAAATACCATAAGTTGGGAGGCATATAATAAAGCAAACAATGTGAGTAGATTATTATTTCATATTTTAATTAACATATGTTAACAATATTTATTCTTTATTAGTTCGCACCCAACTATAGAGGTCCCAATGCTGTTTGTATATTAACAAAAAGTTTCTAATTTTTCAATATTGCTAACAATTTAACTATTTTTTTAGCCACTTGCACCAACAATGCCAACTGCAAACTCCAGTTACATAGATTGGGAGGGTTATAATCGTGCAACTGGTCGACCTTTAAACTATAGAGGTGAAGGAATAGTAAGTATTAATTTATTAATCATTACCATATTTTATTCCACTTTTACTTATAAATAATAAATAATTAAGCCACCTGCTGGCACAGTAAAACCAGCTGCAAATGCAACTGCTATTAGTTGGGCTGACTACAATAGAGCAAATGGTTTTCCACCAGAATATCGAGGTAATCCTGTATGTAGTAGTATTATTAAAATAAACAAAAGTAAAGGAAAATTAATTTTAAAAATCAAAATAGGTAACAAATCAAAATCCAGGAGCAAAACCAGGTATGCCTGCACCAGGGGCCACATCTATTTCATGGGAGGATTATAATAAGGTAAAAAACTATTAATATCTAACGATTGTTTTGGATTATATAAATTAACAATATCATTCTATTTTAATAGGCAAACAATTTTCCACCTGGATACAGAGGAGGCAGCCAGGCATGTCCTAAAGCTAGTATTCTTCCACAGCCAAATGCTACATCTATTAGTTGGACTGACTATAATAGAATCAATGGCTTTCCAGATAACTACAGAGGCACAACTCCAGGAAACAAACCTCCACCTCCACCAGCAGGTGCAACCTCAATAAGTTGGGAGGCTTACAATAAAGCGAATGGAGTATTCTATCAAATAGACTTGCAAAATTTAATTATTTTATACTAATATTTTATTTTCTATAAAAGTTCCATCCAAACTACCGTGGACCAAATTCGGTAAGTATAATATTGTTTGAAAAGAATATATTTATTAATATTAACTTTAAATAAATAAATATAGTCACCAGCAAACTATGTTGGAACAAATGGACAACCACTTCCAGCACCAAATGCTCCTACTATCAGCTGGGAAGCTTATAACAAAGCAAATGGAGTATGTATTTTATCAAATTTAATAATAGAAATCAATGAGAATAAATAATTAACCAATTTTAATTTAATTTAGTTTTCTCCAAACTATAGAGGTCCAGGTATAACTCCAGCAGGGTATGTATATAAATAATTTATTTATATAATTTAATAATAATCATATTTATTAATTTTTGATAATGAAAAACAAAAGATATATTCAACCTCAACCAACAGCACCACCCTTTGTATGGGCAGAGTATAACAAACTCAATGGCTTCCCAGCTGATTACCGTGGTGGACCACTTCCCACACCTCAGCCAACCCCTACAACTCCATCAGCACCAAAGATCATTTGTAGCAGACCAAGCAATGTTTATATTTGCAGTGTGTGTGGTGCTCACATCAGAAGACAATAAAAAATAAATAACCTTTTTTAAAAATGATGGTGATCAACAATTATTTATTATTTTATTCTTTTGGTGTGTCTTTTTATCTTTACGGAGTGTAAAACAAAAGTGGTGTGGTTCAGGAATGTAAATTTTTTCTTGATCATGAACACTTTAACATTTATAAGAGAGTTTTATCTAAATATTTTTCCAGATTTAATTTAATGTAGTTCAACATAGATAAATTAAAAAGTTATTTGTTTAATTTTTTTTATTTATTTTAATAATATGTTTACAACAATAAGAAACTGATCAAAGAGATGATCATAATGAAAGCTGGAACAATGGTGGAGGATGAACCAGTTGTGGTACCGGTGGTGGTAGCATCAGTGGTGGTGGTGGTGGTGGTGGAACCAGTGGTTGTGGTGGTATCTGGTGTACAGATTGGTTCGGAAGCGAAACTGAGGGTTGATGGGATAGTTTGGTGGCTGGTGGCAGTTCCGAGACCAATGACACATTGGGCAATACGGGCACCAAAGGTAGCGTTGAAACCGGCGTCACGGATGGCGTGGATAACGACGGCACGACCAATGAAGTTGTTGACAGAGTTTTGGTTTCCAAAGTAGTCGGTGTTGTATTTGTAGTAACCGATCTTGCTCTCGTAGACACAGACGTTACCCAAATCACCGAGCTCACGGGTGTTGTTTGGTGGCAAGTTGTGTACTTGAGAACCGGTCTTCCAGTGACCACCTACGGAGGAACCGTTGGCCAAAATCAAATCACCGAAACCGTGGATGTGAATTCCGTGGGCAGAAGAGGTGTCCAAGTTGTTGATGGCGGCAGTGACGGTGATACTACCGTTGGTTTCCAAGTTGAAGTAGACGATACCGTTGACAGTGTTACCGGTGGTTGGCGAAAGATTGCAAATACCAGATTGTGGAGTGCTGGCATCGGCTGCCTGGTAGGCGATGGTGTTGACGATACCGCTGGCTGGTGGGGTGATACCAGAACCTTGTGGAATAAAGTCTTTGTTACCGATACCGATGACACATTGGGCGAGGACGGTGGCGCTGGCGGTGGTGTTGCAACCTTCGGCGACATCAGTGATGGCCAAAACTCTACCGACGATCGAGTTGGCACCGGAAATGTCGAGGTTAGCCTTGATGTAAAGACCGTCGACACCATTGGTGACATTAGCAATTGAACCGGCAACAGTGGAGCAATCGTATGGAACTGCAGTAGCACCCAAGACTTCACCTGCAGTGGATGCACCGTAGATGTCACCAGTGGTACGGATAGTCATACCGTGGCTGGTTTGAGTGAGACCGTTCAAGTTGGTCAAAAAGGCAATATTGCCACCTCTGGATTCAATGAGAATGTTACCAGAGACACCTGAGTTTCCAACTGGTTGGAGAATACAAGTGGCATAGTTGAATGAACTGACGGCTGACGCCAAAGCAACCATAAGCGATAAAGTCAATAAAATGGCAACTCTCTTCATTATTTATTATTATTATATTCCTATCTGTAAATATATAATTTTATTTTATTTGTTATACTATTATTAAAGATTTGGAAGTTTTTTGTTGGAGTGAAACTGGAGGAGATTAAATGCATTGTTGGCGACAGACCAAAAAAAAATCAAAAATCAAAAAAAAACACACAAAATCAAATTAATTTTTAATTTACTTTTTAATTTTTTTAATGGGTTTTGACAACTTTTTTAACTTCAAAAATAAACATTTTAGATAACCAAAAACTGAACATATGCCCCAATCAAATTTTTTTTTGATTTTGTTAACAAAAATGTTTAGAGTGAAAACGCAAATAAATAAATGGTGTGATTTGGTTAGTTTAAAATAGGTTATTTTAATTGATATCAATTAGTGGATGGTGTGTTGAAAAAAAAAAAAAAGAAAACACACACAAGTTGATCTTTGAGGGATTACTGAAAAACAGTGTGTGTTTTTTCAAACTAAACACTTTAATACCTTCTATAAATTCAAAAAAAAATACAAAATTAGTTTTCCTTTTTTTAATGTGGTGAGGTCATACAAGAACTTGATAACTTGGAAGCAAACTAAAGTTCGGCATCAAACTAAATCCTTTCTTTGAAACTTTGAAAATTTTCGATCAAAAATGTTGATCAACAACTTTCTGTAAAATATCTATATTTTTTAGATGATGCCACCTTTTTGTAAACATTTATCTTTTCTGTTTGATAACTCAAAAAAGTGTTTTGTTGATCTTCTTCCCGCCAAATAAAAAATAAAGAATAAATAAAGTTTGTTTAACGATTAGATTAGATTAAATTATAATTTATTTTAAAAGTTATATTATTATTATTATTATATTATTTTGATTTATTTTAATTGTGTTTTTTTAAAAAAAGATAAAGATAGAACTTATGACCATTGATACAATCAAGATGATTGATGGCATGATTTGAGATGATCCTGATCCGTCACCTGTTGTACCATCTCCTCCTGCAGCACCACTAGCTGTTGTTGTCGTTGTTGTCAATCTAGTTGGTCCTGTGGTACCTGTTGCAACTGGTGCAGGGGTAGCTGTTGTTGTTGGTTTAGAGGTTGGCTTGGCAGTGGAGGCAGCAGTTGGCTTGCTAGTTGAAGCAGCGGTTGGTTTGCTTGTTGCAATAGCTGTTGGTTTCAAGGTTGATGTGTGTGTTGTTGTGGCTGTGGTTGTTTGAGTTGTAGAGGCGGTGGTTGTTGCAGTTGTTGTGGCTGTGGTTGTTTGAGTTGTTGAAGCGGTGGTTGTTTGTGTTGTTGATGCTGTTGATGTTGCTGTTGTCGAGGCTATTGTCGTCAAAGGACTGGTTGCAGTTGTAGAAGCGGTGGTTGTTTGAGTAGTGGATGCAGTAGTGCTGGCTGTCGAAGCAGTGGTACTAGCTGTAGTGGTTGCAGTTGTTGTTCTACCGAATGTTGAAGCAGTTGTGGTTGCGGTCGTTGAGGCCGAAGTACTAGCTGTTGTTGATCCAATAGAGGCAGTGGTACTAGCTGTAGTAGTTGCTGTTGTGCTTTGAGTTGTAGTAACAACACCTGAGGCTGAGGCACTACCAGAGGCTGATGCACTTCCTGAAGAAGCACCGGCGGAAGCACCGGCGGAAGCACCACCAGTAGCACCACCAGTAGCACCAGCAGAGGCACCAGCAGAGGCACCAGCAGAAGCTCCGGCAGAAGCTCCACCAGTTGCACCGGCAGAAGCTCCACCAGTAGCACCGGCAGAAGCACCGGCAGAAGCTCCACTAGTAGCACCGGCAGAGGCACCAGCTGAAGCACCGGCAGAAGCTCCACCAGTTGCACCGGCAGAAGCTCCACCAGTTGCACCGGCAGAAGCACCACCGGTACCAGCACCACTTGAACCAGATACACCACCTGAAGCTCCGCCAGTTGCACCGGCAGAAGCACCAGCAGAAGCACCAGCAGAAGCACCGGCAGAAGCACCAGCAGAAGCACCGGCAGAAGCACCGGCAGAAGCACCGGCAGAAGCACCGGCAGAAGCACCACCAGTGGCACCGGCAGAAGCACCACCGGTACCAGCACCACTTGAACCAGATACACCACCTGAAGCTCCACCTGAGGCACTGGCAGAGGCACCACCGGTACCAGCTCCACTTGAACCAGATACACCACCTGAAGCTCCACCTGAAGCTCCACCTGAGGCTCCACCTGAGGCTCCACCTGAGGCTCCACCTGAGGCTCCACCTGAGGCTCCACCTGAGGCTCCACCTGAGGCTCCACCTGAGGCTCCACCTGAGGCACCGGCAGAAGCTCCACCAGTAGCACCAGCAGAAGCTCCACCAGTAGCACCAGCAGAAGCTCCACCAGTAGCACCGGCGGAAGCTCCACCGGTACCGGCTCCACTTGAACCTGAAGCACCACCAGTGGCACCACTTGAAGCACCTCTTGTTGATGCACCACCTAATGTAATTGAGTTGGTTGTGGTAGCAGTTGAAGTGGCGGTAGTTGTGTAGGTAGTTGATGCAGTGGTTGTTGCAGTTGTCGATGCAGTTGTAGAGGCAGTAGTTGTACCAGTTAGTGTGTTTGTAGTTGAGGCAGTTGTTGAAGCGGTTGTAGACTGACCACCTGATGCACCTGAAGTTGAAGCAGTAGTGGAAGCAGTTGTTGACGCTGTGGTTGTTGCAGTTGTAGAGGCGGTAGTGGAACTTGTTCCTGTCTTTGTAGTTGATGCAGTGGTTGATGCAGTGGTTGTACCGGTTACTGATGCAGTTGTAGTGTGGGTAGTTGAGGCAGTAGTAGAGGCAGTTGTTGAGCTAGTTCCTGTCTTTGTAGTTGATGCAGTGGTTGATGCAGTGGTTGTACCGGTTACTGATGCAGTTGTAGTGTGGGTAGTTGAAGCAGTAGTAGAGGCAGTTGTTGAGCTAGTTCCTGTCTGAGTAGTCGAGGCTGTGGTCGAGGCTGTAGTTGATGCAGTTGTAGTGTGGGTAGTTGAAGCAGCACCAGTTTGTCCTCCAGTTTGACCACCGGTTTGACCACCGGTTTGACCTCCAGTTTGACCACCAGTTTGACCACCAGTTTGACCACCAGTTTGACCACCAGTTTGACCTCCAGTTTGACCTCCAGTTTGACCACCAGTTTGACCACCAGTTTGACCACCAGTTTGACCACCAGTTTGTCCTCCGGTTTGACCTCCGGTTTGTCCTCCAGTATGACCTCCAGTTTGACCACCGGTTTGTCCTCCAGTATGACCTCCAGTTTGACCACCGGTTTGACCACCGGTTTGACCACCAGTTTGTCCACCAGTTTGACCACCGGTTTGACCACTGGTTTGTCCACCAGTATGACCACCTGTTTGTCCTCCGGTTGTCCAGGTGCCAGTTTGATCCTCCAGTTTGACCACCGGTTTGTCCACCAGTATGACCACCGGTTTGTCCTCCGGTTGTCCAGGTGCCAGTTTGACCTCCAGTTTGTCCACCGGTTTGACCTCCAGTTTGTCCACCGGTTTGACCTCCAGTTTGTCCACCAGTTTGTCCTCCGGTTGTCCAGGTGCCAGACGATAATCCACCTGAAGAACCTCCACTTGATTGTCCACCAGATGATGCTCCAGTGCCTCCAAATGTTTGTGGCCAACCTCCAGTACCTCCTTCTGATGTCCATCCACTACCTCCTGACGATACACCAGTACCTTCTCCAGAAGTCCAGCTTCCAGATGATCCGCCAGATGAGCTACCACCAGAAGTCCAGCTTCCAGATGATGATCCTCCTGACGAACTACCTTCTCCAGAAGTCCAGCTTCCAGATGATGATTCACCGGATGAGCTACCACCAGAAGTCCAGCTTCCAGATGATCCAGATGAACTACCTTCTCCAGAAGTCCAGCTTCCAGATGATGATCCACCAGATGAACTACCTTCTCCAGTCCAGCTTCCAGATGATCCACCAGATGAGCTACCACCAGAAGTCCAGCTTCCAGATGATCCTCCTGAACTACCACCAGATGTCCAACTTCCAGATGATGATCCACCAGACGAACTACCTTCTCCAGATGTCCAGCCTCCAGATGATCCACCAGATGAGCTACCTTCTCCTGATGTCCAGCTTCCAGATGATCCTCCTGATGAACTACCACCAGATGTCCAGCTTCCGGATGATGAACTACCACCGGATGAACTACCTTCTCCAGAAGTCCAGCTTCCAGATGATCCTCCTGATGAACTACCTTCTCCTGATGTCCAACTACCTGATGATCCACCGCCGGATGAGCTACCTTCTCCAGAAGTCCAACTTCCTGATGATGATCCACCAGATGAGCTACCTTCTCCAGATGTCCAGCTTCCGGATGATGATCCACCGGATGAACTACCTTCTCCAGTCCAGCTTCCAGATGATCCTCCTGATGAACTACCTTCTCCAGAAGTCCAACTTCCTGATGATGAACCTTCACCGGATGAGCTACCTCCAGAAGTCCAAACTCCAGATGATGATCCTCCGGATGAACTACCTTCTCCAGAAGTCCAGCTTCCAGATGATGAACCTTCACCAGATGAGCTACCTCCTGATGTCCAAACTCCAGATGAAGATCCACCAGATGGTGGTGGTACTGGGAAACAATGGGCAAGACCTTCTAAATCGACGCAATATGTGTGTGGTGGGCAATGGTTATAGTAGCAAGCTCCAGAGGAACCTGATGATGAAGTCCAGCTTCCGGATGAACCTCCACCTGACGAGCTTCCGCCGCCAGATGTCCAGCTTCCTGATGAACCTCCGCCTGATGAACCTCCACCAGAGGATGAAGTCCAGCTTCCAGACGAAGATCCTCCACCAGAGGAACTTCCACCCGATGAACTTCCACCCGATGACCAGCTACCAGATGAACTTCCGCCGGATGACCAGCTTCCAGATGAACTTCCACCAGAAGACCAGCTACCTGATGAACCTCCACCGGATGAACCTCCACCGGATGAACCTCCACCGGATGTCCAGCTTCCAGATGAACTTCCACCAGATGACCAGCTACCAGATGAACCTCCACCGGATGAACCTCCACCGGATGTCCAGCTTCCAGATGACCCACCTGAAGTATGGTCACCAGTCTTACATGGACCACCTAGACAATCTGGATAGTTTTGGAACTCAATTTCTTCTGGAATAAAGAATGGTTGATGATTACCAGAAATACCAATAACACAGTGAGCAATGGCGTGGCCGAAATCAATTTGTCCTTGTCCCATGTCTTGTTTGGAGGAAATAACAATACTACGACCAATCATATTCTCAAAGTGGTCAAAAGTGCCAGCATGTGAGGTACGATATTTATAGTAGGAGTATCCATCTCTGTGGTGAACACAAATGTTTCCGAGGTCACCGGCATGACGGTTTCTATTGGGTGGCAAGTCATGAATTTGGAATGGAAGTGACCAATGTGGACCGGCTGAAGAACCGTCGTGTGAGGTGATGTCACCATATTTGTGAATGTGCATACCGTAGGCAAGATTTGGATCTAAACCAGAGACCTTTGCTGTAATAAGCAGAGATCCTCTTGAGTTTGAGCTAAAGTATACAAAACCGTTCATTGGACGGTTGCTTTGGCTTGTATGCTTTAAAACACAAACGGCTTGCTTTGGGAACGATGGATTTGGTCCCAAAAATCCAGCAAGATTTTGTCCATTTGGATCCAAAAACAAGTGAGCCGGGTGATTTGGATGTTGATACTTAGGATTACCGATACCAACAACACACTCTGCAATACTATTAAGTTTTAATTGAGTAAGTAAGTAAAATTAAAAGTTAAATGTAAATATAAATAAAACATACATATCTCTTTGAGATGTATTGATACCACATCTTTCTATATGATTATAGATTGAAATGGTTCTACCAACCATTGATCCAGAGGACAGCGCAAAAATAGTGTTTTTGCTGGAGGTAATGTGTGTTTGGGCATTACCCAGTCTATCGGCATATAAATTTCCAATGGAACCGGGTGTAGTTTGACAATCATAAATTGGTCCAAACGCTCCAAATACACCTCCACTTAGAGATGGATTAGAAATATCTCCTAGCTTTTAAATTAAAAAATATATTTATAAAAATTAAAATTTAAATAAAATAAAATAAACATTTGTAATATATCTTACTTCTCTAAAAACTACTCCATGAATACCATGTAAACCTTTAACGTCAAAAAATAAAGTTATATCAGTCTTTAAAAGAAAAAATAAATGTGAAATTAGCAAAAATTTTTGGAGGGAAAAAAAATTAAAAATAGAATTTAATAATTTACCGATGAAGTATTAACAATTAAAATATCACCATGCACTCCACTATTTCCGACTTGATGAAGTTTACAAGTTGCATACTGGAAATTGGAAGCGAGTGATGGGACCGTCGCTATTGTAAATATCAGACAAAGTATCAAGAGTATTTTCATTTCTCTCTCGATTTAATGTTGGGTCTGTTTCCAACAATATAATATTACAATATTAGTTTGGTTGTTCTTTTTAAAATTCAATAATATTATAAATATAGATGATCTCTATTCTTTTTTTTTTTTTGAAATTTATTATTATTATTTAAGTAGAATAAAGGAATAATCCTACAAAAATATTTTTAATCTCTATTTTATCCTTTGGTTAGAAAGAATTAGATGGAGAATTGGTGTTGTGGTTGTTGTTATTAATTTAATCTTATAGACTATTAATATCTTATTTCCTTTTTGTTTAATATAAATAATAAAGTTAAAATAATGAGAGAGAAAAAAAAAAGAACATTAATTTTCTTTTAGTCAATTTTTAATCAATATCAAAAGAGAGAAAAGAAAATAATATTAAATAATATTAATTTAAATTAAATGTTATATGTTCAGTATTACTCACATTTCATACAACTCTATCCATCTAACAATATATCTATTTCAAACCAAAATAATCACTACAAGTAATATAATCATTAATATCACTCAATCAATATTTCTTTCATTCTCTCCTCTGAACATGATCAACCCAAAAAACAATCAGAAAGAAATATATAAAACCACTATACATTTTGAGTAGAGAGGTTGTAGTTAATTGAACAAATTATTTGTTTTTTTTTTTAATATGATTCATGCTCATTGAAAATATTTTATGATCATATGACAAATATAATGTATATGATGAAGTTGGAATGAACCCTTAATATTGAATAAGGGGTATGATCATTGATGAAGTGTGGGAATTATTATTAAAAACAAAAACAATAAAGATAAGAATGAAAAAAATAATAATGAAGCACACCAATATTACAATTATTGATTTTACCCACACACCTTGAACAAGCTCAATAGAGTAATAAATAATTCAAAATACATACTACAAATCAAAAACAAAGTTCATATTGCACGATAATAGCTTGGATTTAAAAAATAATTTTTCAATGTGACATTTAGGATGTTTGATTGATGTAAGAATTTATACATTTTTATTATTATGTTTGATAATAAAATATTTTAATATTATAATTTGTTTTTAGATAGTAACTTAAGATTTGATTGGTCTAAGTTTTAAATTTAAATAAATAGAAAAAAAAACGAAAAAAAAAAAAAAGAATAGCTATTTGTTGACAAATGTTGTTGTTTGAGGTATTGTTTGTTTGTTGTTTGTGATTTGTTCGAAATATGAGTGTAATTTTTTGTATATTACAGTTTTGATATTAAAAAAATGTGAAAATTATGGATTATCGATTGTTGTTGAAACACTGGGATAGGAATTGTGGTGGTCGTGGTCGTGATAGTCGGTTGTTATCCTATGCAGAGTTACCCAACTTCTCCATACTTTGTTCTCCAAAACTCTTTAGTCTGAAACGATGATTGTTTGACATGTTTGGATCGGAACGATGGACACTCCATCTACGGAAACTTCTGTGTTTCAACTTGAATCTGATAAACATACCGACAGCGATGGCACCGATGATAATTCCACCGACGACCACACTGACAATGATAATCATCTTCTTCTGACTGATTCCATCGCTGTTGTCGCTAGAGTCTTTCTGAGTCTTGAGGAGAAGTGCAAACGATGTGAAATGGTTGGTTTGAGCCAATACTCCACCATTGTCAAGTTGAACAACTGGGAACTCTGTGCATTCCCAGGCACCGTCGTCATTGATAAATGCCAAACACAAATCTGAGGCATTCACATTGTTTCTGAGATTTCCAAAGATGATATTGACGGTTCCATTGTTGAATTGCGATTGCTGTCTTCCGTCGATCTTGATATTGAAGACACCGGAGAGTACGTGTTTGTAGTAGTCAAAGTTTTCACCACCGATGGCAGCACCCGAGATATTTCTGGCGAGAGAGTCGGCATATGGAATTACCGAAGAAGTGACTTGGTTGGAATCGATACTGTTGTTTCCAATAACAACGTGAGTCGATGTATCGATGTTAGCATCGTCGGTGATATTACGTGTCCACAGAGGAATGTAAGAGGAACCCTTTGGATAGAGATCGGATGTCGATGGAATAAACTTGTAGCTCAACTCCAACACTTGGTTTGGATCGTTGTTGATAACGTACTTTTGACAATCTTTTGGATCCTTGACACACGCCATGTTTGGACACATAGTCTCGTTGAGTGCACAACCGTCGTATGGACCACATATGTCGATATTACTACATCCTGTTTCACATGCAAATGAATGTGTTGAGTTGCAACTAGCGCACTCAGCATTTGCTTCCACACAGTAGCCCGGACATCTCTTTGGTAACGATGGTGGACAAGCTACAAATGGTGGACACAACGATGCTTCTGGAACACACTCACCATTCCAACAGGTAAAGTTTGTCTTTGGAGCAGTGAGTGAGTCAGACATAAGTTGTCTTTGGCCAGATTGCAGTTGTTGAGCGCTGGATTTCTTGTATTCGAATGTTTCGGATGCAAAGTTGATAGGGATGGCAGTGTTTGGTCCGGTTGTGAAACAAGCAGTGGAGCAAGGGTTGTCTGTTACATTATAACAAGTGTTACCGACCGCACCTCCAATACAACGAATTTGACCGTTGGGACAGGGTGGTGAAGTGTAGAATCCGTCACCAATTTTATTGAAAATACGTGAGGAAACACCTTGTGCTGAGCATACCAAGATGGCGTCAATGGAACCCAAATTGACTAGGTTGTTAAGTGGTTGGATTGCAACGATCGGTGCATTGCTTATTCTATTACCGTGTAATCTCGAATTGGCAGCGCCATTACAATTGATTCCACCGTTCTCTGAGAATATCAGCTGCGATTGAGTGGTGGTCAACAAGTAGAGTTGAAGATTCAAATTGAAGAGAATCGTCAAGGTCGATGGCGATTGGACATCGACGTATCCACCGGTAGTAAGGTGAATTAAACCCTGTGGATACTCGGTGGAATTACGATAGTAGTTGAGAGTTACATTGACACCCAGGACAACACGGGTGTTCTCGACGTATGAGGTGATCGAAGATGGCTGTGTTTGCATACTCCAAGTGGAACGATTCAACAGGAGTCTGCCACCGGCCAAATTGATACGCTTGAAATAGACGAGAGAATCATTGATCTCCATATCCTCTGCAGCAGTGTTGAGTGAGTAGATCTCATTGAAAAAGAAGAGTGAACCTAGTGAGCTGATTACTCTGCTTGGATAGAGACGTAAAATTGGTGTGGAAATAAATCTATATTGGTTGTGAAGAGTCGATGTGATATTGAAAGTTGGAACGCTGCTTGAACTCAATCTAAGAGTGGTAGTGTTTGAAATGTAAACATCACCACCATTGAAAATAACCGTGTTACTTGGTACTCTATTATAAGTGATTGTAGTATCCTTTAAAAATTTGATAACACTACGTGTTTTCATATCAAATGTCAATTCTTCAACAGATGATTCATTTGTAAATATTAATCCAAAACTGTAAAATTAAAATGGAAAAATTAATATTATTATTTCAGAAATTTCAAAGTTTTTAAAAAGAAAATAAGTATATACTTACTTATCCAAAGATAATGAGGATAATGATGAACTGGTGGTGTTTAATGAATAGAATTTCAATGTTAATGGTACATCTGAAACGATGGAGCATTGACCAATGATGACCAAGCTGACGCTTGGTGCAATGGTGATATCGGTAGTCTGGAACTTTATTGATGTATTATTGAGAATCAATACATCACTGACCGAAAGTGGATTGCTGATGGTTGTTGGTGTGTCGTATTGAATTGCCAGACCACTCCATGACAAAAATGATAAAATAAATAGTACGGTCGTCGAAAATAATATACTTGATCTACTACTAATCATTTTTTGTTTTCCTATAATGTTTTACTACAGTAGTGAACTAACGATTTGAATTGGTGGTTAGAAAAGAGATTGAAAATAAATAAAAATAAATATAATTATTATTTTTAAAAAAAAAACATATCAGGTCAGAAATCGTAATTATTATTATTATTATTATCTTATTTTCCAATTTAACAATTATTATTAATTAATTACACACTATTTGATTTGAAAATTACCACTTGATTGATATATGTTTGTAATCACTCTATATTCTGTTCTTGTTATTAACAACAATCAATAAAATTAAATAACTAAAATGGTTGATTGATTTTGATTCAAATCATCTGGGAAAAAAACTTGTGTGTGGTATTTTTTTTGATTACAATAGATTTTTCAGACTTTTTCTGTTTTTTGGTAATTTTTGATTGGTTTGCTAAAAATAATTGAAATTATTAATTAATACATAGATTCAAAGACTATGAACAAGAACAATTTATTAATTTATTTATTTATTTTAATAAAACAAGTGCGTGTTTGTTATTTGTTAATTAATAAAAATGCAAGGTACTAAGTTTCTAATTGGTTCAAAAAAATTATTAAAAACAGAAGAACTTTGATTTCTTAATTGTTGATGTTTTTGATTTGTTTTTTTTAAATTATAAAAAGTAAGTAAGTGAGGGTGTGGTGTGTTAACTAACAAAGAGTTAGTGTTGATTGTGTGTGTGTGTGTGTTGGAGTGGTATCTGTCAGATGATGTGTAAAATATGGTTAATGATTTAGAGAGAGAGAGGGTTTGTTATTATAGAAAGTACAAGTAAATTAGAGAATAGAGAGAGTGTGTCTGTGTGTGCAATGTGCAGTGTGTTTACCACTCTTTAAATAAATAAAGAATAATAACAATGAAAAAGAGAAAGAATGTTGTTTAAACATATACAAAATACATATTAATAGATAGTTTTTTTTTGTTTGTTTGTTTTTATTTTTTTAGTGTTTACAATACTTTACTGTTGTTATTATTATTATTTTTGATCAAAGAAAATATAGGAACACCTATCTGTGTACGTTAAATATTACAAGTTTTAAATAACAATACTAATACTACGACTATTACACCACTACTAATACACACTCAACATTGATGAAGGTGTCTTTTTTCTATGCTTTGGTCATTAAAATAAATAAATTTAAAAAAAAACACATTTTATTTAAAAAAAATTGAAAACAAAACCCTTCTTTTTTTGTGATTAAATCAAGAAGTTTATGCTTTTTTGATCAAAAACATGGTTTTTTTTTTATTTTTTAAATCACAAGCTACGCAACAGATAATCGATGGGTGAGGGAATATTAATTTTGATTGGAAAGGGTAGATTTTGATAGTGATCGACCCATGTAAATAAATAACTTACTTACAATACAATAACAATAAGAAATTGTTTAATGAAAATAAAAGTAATAATACAGATTGATAATGATAAAGATATTGATATTAATATATTTATTTATTTTTATCTCTATCTATATTTATTATATTTCATTTAAGCAAGCTATTTATTTTACTTTGTAATTTGATCAAGATAATCAATTTAACAAAACCAACAATTTTTTTTTTTTTTTTTTTTTTTTATAAAATTATATATCTTTTGATGAGGTTCTTCCACTACGATATTATTTCACTTGATAATATTTAAGAAAAAAAAAGAAAGAAAAAGTCTTTTTTTTTTTTTTTTGTGTGTGTTAAGTCCTGATTTTGGTCTAACTTTGATATCTCAATCGTTGTGATTGTGATCAGAGAAAAAACAATTTTTTTGGCATGAGACCACACCCGATCTTTGAATTTTTTATTTTTTGACCATTTGATGAGGTGGTTGTGGATGCTTAAAATCGTGTTGCTTGATTTCTTCTTTGAAAAATCAAAATAAAAAAATGTATTGATATCAAATAAATGAATAAGATGAAATTCAACAAAAGTGTTATTTCTTCTTTTTATTATTTTTTCATATCAAGTTTGTAACATAAAAATTTAACTTCACCAGTGGTGGTTTTGATGAACTATGATTGATCGTTCAAGAAAAGAAATGTACTAGTTTTGTTTGAATGTAAATTAAATAAACCGGTGTTGGTTGTGGTGTTTTTATTTTATTCACAAATCTCCATGTCTTTTTGAAATTAATCCTAATCTAAAGGATCAATTTAAATGAATGATTTTTAAAAGGGTTTAATAAATAAATAAGATGAATGATTACTTGATTTGATTGATCGATAATTAATTAATTTGTTGTAATTTGCGAGTCGGAACTTGATTGATTACTGATTGATTGATTATTATTTGAAATAAAGAGCTATATTAGGTTTGAACTGTTTTGGTTTGTTTTGTTTTGGTTATGTATTATTAATTTAATTCAATGGCATGACCACCTCTTGATTTCGATGCCCACCAATATTTAAGACTACCGTGCTTGACTATTTTCACCAGGAAGAAACCTGCTATTGCACCCATGATAGCTACACCACCGACCACTGTAGAGGCAATGATAATCATTGTTTTTCTTGGTAGACCACTTCCGTAGGTGGCACCATATCCTCCTTCGCCGTCAGTACCATCGTCATTGAAGTTGGTGAGTACACCAAACGAAGTGAAATGGTTAGTGGTTCCACAGAGTGATCCATTATTAACATCGCAACGTTGAACATGTTTGAGAAGTTGCCAACTGTTTGTAGTTGTGTTGATGAATGCCAATCTAGCGGTTGTCATATTTATCTTTTCTGGATTGATTTTGAATTGGAATTCTATATCCTTTAAGAAACTTAATGGTGCTACATCTAAAAAAAAAAAACATAAATTAACAACGTTGCTAGGTACAACTATAATGTGTTTTTTTTTGTCTTTATACATACGATGATCAATGGTAATATTAAATATAAGTGATAATGCACTATCTCTATAGGTTCCATTGGTTCCCCAAATATGAGTTCCATTGACTTGATCTAGATAAGAGTCATCAAGTGATTGTATTTTCATAAAGTTTTGATTCACTTGGTTGGTAAAGTTGGTAGGTACATTAATGTATCCATAGATATCGATAGAGTTGTTGTTTCCATGTCTTGATAATATTGGTAATATAAGTGATCTTGTTGTGTCGAATGGTGATTTACTTTTAACTGCTCTATTAACAACTGGAATTGCCTATTATTGAAAATAAAAATTTGATTAGAATTCTATTTGAAATTATTTTTAATTATTAGGTTTCCAACACTTACTTGACAATTATTTCCATTACAACATTTGGATATGTTCCTTGAGCATGTACCGTCACCACATTGGAAGAAGCCAATTGGACAACCATTAAAGTTGAATTGTGGATAGGTTGTGTTTGGTAGTGAGATACATTCGGTTGCTGTTGTGCAGGAGGAGTCTGGACAACGTTGAGTGTTGGGCGGACAGCTTGGTAGTGCTGGACAAGTCGATAAACTGCTGGCACATTGACCATTCCAACACTTAAAGACCAATCCATTGCTGTTACATGTGCCATTCACGTCTGGACATTGGTCTATTGAGTCGACACAGATAGAAGCGTTTCCAGGACATTGGATACCAGAGCAATTGGAGAATTTCAAAACCACCAATTTATTGTCACAGAGGAATTGGTAGGTGGATTGTCCGGTCGATCCATTGTTTACAACCTGACCATTACACATAATCGGTGAAGTCGGTGAGAATACCAATGTGTAGGCAGTGTCGTCCGCCGCATCGATGGTGCTATCGATAGTCACCTTATTGAAAACCAAAGTGGAGTCGTCACCAATTAGGATTCTCGGTGGAATAAAGTGTGATTCATGCTGTAGTGTAACGCTGTCCATCACTAGATCGACTGCATTCATAACGAGATCATTGACAGTGTTGCTAAGTGATATTACAGAGTTGTCGAGTGTCAACTGTCCTTTCTCTGTGAAGGAGAGCGAGTCAGTGACAGAGAGTAGTCCATTGCTGAAATGGATAGATCCACTGTCAAAAGTCAATGCTTGACTGACGATCGACAACAGATTCAATGGATTTAGCTGGTTTGCCAGTTGAATACCACCCAAACTCTGAAGAGTGGCACCGAGCGAATCGATTTGGATATCCAAATGGCTGACTTGCTCAATGGTTTCTCCGAGTGTGACAACAGTGTCTTTGGCGAGATTCAGCACCGAGCTAGCTCCACTGATCACCAGATTATCTACGGCAGAGAGTGCTAGTTCACCGGCTACATTGAGAATACCACCTGGTTTAGTAACGATTGGTACGACGCCAGCGGTAACTGCTTTCACCGCAACGTTTAGCAGTGAATTCAAAGTGCCTGTTACCTCAAGAGTAGAGTCTACAATGGTTGCCTGTGTTATATTTGTAATTGCACCGGTGAGAATGGAAACCGGTGAATTCTGTAGTGCACCACCAACAATTTCGAAAACACCGTTAGCAAGAACAGAGATTGGCGATTGCTTGATATTTCCAGATGACATTGTAATCACACCATTTGCTTGAATGTCGGATCCTGTAATTGTACCGGCAACCAAATTTAGAACACCATTGGCAAGAATCGAGATTGGTGATTGATTGATATTTCCAGATGACATTGTAATCGAACCATTTGATTGAATGTTGGATCCTGTAATTGTACCGGCAACCAAATTTAGAACACCGTCAGCAAGAATTGAGAATGGGGATTGATTGATATTTCCAGATTTGACAGTGAATGCACCATTGCATTCAATGGCAGAGCCAGTTACTACACCGGTAACCATATTGAATAGACCTCCATTGAGAATGGTTAGTGGCGATTGGTTAATGTTTCCAGAACCAAATTGAATGGATCCACTTGATTTTATGGCGGAACCGGTAATTGTACCGGTGGTCATATTGAGCAATCCACCGACAATGTTAATTGGCGAGTTGGTCAACTGTCCGTCGAGGAAATTGAGAGTGCCAAGTGCTGAGTCGATTGAAATATTGGAACCGCTAATCAAACCACTGTTTAGATTCAATTTTCCATTCGTAATTCCTAGTGCCAGTGCACCGGTGATCGATGCCGAGTTTGTCAGATCTAAAATACCGCCAGAAGCAATGGAGATTGTCGAGTCGACAAGCTTGGTAGTATCCAACAAACTAAGTTGTCCACCCACCAGATTTACTGTGGATGTAACGATTGTGGAAGTCGAGCTAAGTGTTGCAAGTCCTGAACTCAGAATATTGAGTGGTGACGATGTGATGGATGCTGCTGAGTTTAGATTTATCTTGCCAAGCAATGAGAGTGGAGAATTATCTAATACTCCACCAGCTAAATTTAGAATACCATTGGATTTGATGTCAAAGGTTGAACTCTTGATAGATGATCCTGTGTTGACTACAACCGATCCAAGTAAATTGATAAGCGGTGAGTTTACAATTGATCCACCACCATTCAGAGTTGTAGTGGCACCAGCTTGAACTGTTAGATTCGATTGTGAGACTTGTGATCCAGTACCGACAGTTAAACCACCCAAAATGGAAAGTGGAGATTTGATAATGGATCCACCCGATAGCGATAGACTACCACCGGATTGAATATCGACTGATGAATCTTTGATGAGTGATAAGCTGGCTGATGTGAGTGTGCCGAGCAGCGAGATTGAGGATCCACTTACGATGGAACCGCCATTCGAAAGATTGACCGATGCCAGTGCTGCCACTGTCAAGTTGGATTTGGTAATCTGACCGACGTCAACTGCCAGACTTCCAAGCAGATTGAGCGTCGACGAAATTAAATTACCTCCTCCATTTACAAACAGTTTTCCACCTGATTTCACACTGATATTATTGTTGGTGTTGGAATTGGAATTGATATGTAGCTGTCCGGTTGCAAGTAAATCGATTACATTGTTATTGGTGCTGCTACTGTCCAACAATGAGAGTTTTCCAGCGATTGCTAGATTGTTGCCGTTGAACTGAGCAGTGTTTATAAAGTTGGTGGTACCACTAATGGTTAGTGTTGAACCGGTAACAACCGTACTTGAACAATTTAGAAGAGCTCCTGCTATAACGTTCAAATTCAGTGTATTGAGAGTGGCACCTGCCAAGTTGATAATTCCATTGGCTAGAACCGAAACTGTTCCAGAACTGAGTGTTCCAGACAGGATATTTATCGTACTGCCAAGTTGAAGTGTTGAAGTTACAACGGTAGTTAGAGAGTTGACTGTCAGCGGCTGGTTTATCAGGAGGTTGGACGATTGTCGCAATGCAATCGATGACATCGGCGTCAGAGCAGAGCCAAGTGTGGCGGTGGCTTGTGAAATGGTGAGGTTATTTATTTGAACAGCGAGATTAGCTGGATTGGTGAGTTGATTGATAAATAGTTGATCGAATTGAATGCCATTCAAATAGAGATTGGTGGCCTGGTTGACAGAGGCATAGCCAATCTTGATTGGCGTGGTGACAAGCGCCGTTGTCAAATTGACGTTCTGTCCGTAGAAATTGAATTTCGGAAGTTCACCACCGTAGCCAATGAGGTTGGTGAAAGAAGCGCTGGCATCGCCTTTCCAATTGAGAATGGAGTTACCACCGGACGGATAGAACAGCACTGTTAGCAGTGGGAATGTGAAACCGGCGGTGGCGTCGACTGTGCATGGCCCAGTCACATTGAAGACGCAGAGCGGTGTCACTTTAATGGCACCTTTGACATTGAGAACACCGCCCAACAGGTTGATCGTACCATTACACAGTAGATCACCGTCGATATTCAAAATCGCTGACAACGTCAGAATGCTCTGCAGCGACAGAGATTTTGTAAGGCTAGTAAGCGAGTTGATCTCTATTGGTTGGCTCAATAGACATACATCAAGAAGATTGCAAACTACACATAAAAGTCCGCATTGTGCATTTGTGGTGTCAATTGCATAAAATCCGATTAATAAAACGACAATTGCCAAAAAAATAAGCTTATTCATTTTTTATGTGGCAGTTATATGAAAAAAAAATATAGTTGGTAGGTGATAAATAAAATAAATAAATAAAAATTATTATTGTGCGAAAATTGTATAAATAAATATAATATAAAGATATAAATAAAATCCTTCTCTTTTTCTCTTTTTTTTTTTTTCTAAAATTAATAAACTTTAATATTTTTTTTGTTAGTATGGAAATTTGATCAAATTAATTAATAAACTCTTATATTACTATTGATGTGTCAGGAAGATAAAAATGGAAAGAAGTTTCTATTAAGTTGGTGGTATGAGTTTAAAAATATAAATATTTATTTTTATGTATTCTATATATGGATACTAATTAATTAATGTTGGACTGTAAATCCACTGTCAAAATTTAATATTAAAAAGAATATTTATTTTGTCGTACTTTGGTTGTACCAATTTTAAAGCTATAGTGTTTGATGTTGATGGTTTTGATTTTTAATATTTTATAGTATTTTAGTAGTAATAATCTAACTCATTTTACAATTATTTATATTTTCATGTTGAGTTTTGAATTGATGATTTGATTTTTGATTTTGATTTGATATGTTGACAAGACCCAAAATATAAAAGGAAAGAAGAAGAAAATGATAATAAAAATAAGAAGAAGAAGAAGAATAAAACCAAGTAAGCAAAACAACAATTGGGTTTGAAATTCGATGATGATGATAATGATGATGTTTTGTTTTACAAAAAAATTTTACATGTTAAAAAATTATTAATTTCACTATTATATTATTACTAGCAGTCTCCATATAGTAATCAATTGAAAGTTAAGTTATTGTGATTTTATCCTTTCATCTAACTTTATTAATTTCCTTTTTGTAACATTTTTGTTTTTAAACCAAATTGGTGTGGTGTGTGTGTAAGTGTGTTGTTTTTTAGGAAGTAGTAATTAAATGTGGTGTGGTCGAATATGGACTTGATTATAATTGATATAATTTTGATCAAACACAAAATCACACACATTCTTTAAATTTTGATTGAAAAATTAACAAACTTAACAATTATCAATAAATAACATTGTATGACAATGCAATATTAAATATTCAGACCATATATACAAAAGAAAACATCAACCAAACCACTGTCCATCTACCATCCTTCACTAACCATCTCTCCACTCCACTCTGATCACATCTCGTGATATAAAAGAATATGATATCATGAATTATTGACAATTTTTATTTTTCTTACCTTTTATATAAAGTATTTATTTTTTAAAAAAAAAATAAGTTAAGGAGAGTGTTACTGTTTTGTTTGAATGTTGTTACTTTTACTGTTACTACTATTGCTATTATTACTTAATTGACTGACTGACTGCTTGACTAACTACTATTGTTCATTATTTCTCTTTGATTCGATTTCTTCTATGAATGTAAAAAAAAAATATTCTAAAGCAGGTGATATTTGTAAAATCAATAAAAATTCAAAGAGACAAGTTATTGTTTGTAGCACTATCTATCTTTTATCTTGTCTGTCTAAATCTATCTATCTATGAAAAAAAGGTAAAAAGAAAACAAAACCAAATCAAACTTCTAACTAATATAGAACTACTAATGTACAATTCTATTCTATTCTATCTGACACTCTTGAAGATTGATGTGTATGACTCTGTTTTGTGGTGTTGTGACATAACAAACATCAATAACAACAATAGCAGAGCAACAACCTACAGAAATGCGCACGTTTTTTTTAATTTTGTTATTTCAACAAAAACACTAAAAATTTGAATAAATTTTATAAATTATTTTGAGATTTAGTTTGATTTGGTGAGGGTGTGTGGTAGTGCTTGGTCTTTGTATGCCGAAAAAGATTGAATAGTCAAATCTTTTTATTGGCAAAACAATTAAAAAAAAAAAAGAAACCAAATTAATTAATCAATTCAAGGTTTTATTGTTGGTTTGCAAAAAAAAAAAAAATTCCAAAAAACAAAAAATATCTTCTTGTTTTTTTTCGATATTTTATTGATCAGCAAACAACTTTTCAAAATTAATACCTATTTCACACAAGTGCTGTTCAACACTCTCAGTTTGATTAGAAATTTGATCAATAAAGAAATCTATTGCACCAACAGATGCTTCGATCTTGAAGTGGAGGTTATTTTTTTTGGGTCACCATTTTTTTACCAATCAAGAAGTCACGCCCATTTATAACAATGAAAAAATAAAATAATGTTAACAAATTTTTTGATAGATTGGGTTAAGAGAAGATAAAGAGGAACAAAAAAAGAAAAGTAACTTTTTTATTTTTATTTGGGTAAAACACAACAAAACACATAGATTGCAATTAATTTACTCATCCCATTTTTTTTTTTAATTAATCTGAAAAAGTTACCTTGTTGTTGTTGTTGTGAATGTCATTTTTGTCGACAAAATCTGCAATTGATTTTAAACAATGAGGGAGAATCTATGTTTTGTTTTGTTGTGTTTTACAATAATATTAGATATGATATTGTTGTTGATAAGTTTTGTGGTGGTTGTTATCGGTATCAGAGGAGTAAAAGGAAGTAACCATAAAAGTAATGACACTTCAATCAACTTTTATTTGGTTTTGTTTCATTTTGATTAAATTGTGAATTAATTAATTTTGTTCCAGATATGAACCAAACTTTGGGTCTTGGCTCAGTGCGAATAAAAGATCTTCGGCTGAAATATTTAGTTTCGTGAGTTGTTGGTAGTCGGTCAGAACATCTTCCACTAAAATCAGCTTAGACGCACCCAATCTTCCACAAATCCATTCCACATCCTGATGTGTGATAGGTTTAACATTATTTACTTTACAAAAGAATACCATTCTTTGATAGATCTATAAGGATTGGTAACAACCAACAATCAAAATTTTAAATTAATTAGTTTGTTAATTGGGTGTTTCAAGATATAATAATATTATTATTTGAAAATGAAGTTACGTAATTAATATAATAACATTATGAACAACAATACAATACTTACTTTACCAAATGGAATATCTGTTATACCACATGATTTTTGCTCTTTGTAGAATGAATAGAGGAACGTCTTCTCGTAGAAAGTGAGTTCACGGATGATAGCGGTGATCGGGGTGGAGAACTGGTCTAATACCTCTTCGATGTGGTGTGCCTCGACTTTGCCTGGTTGGTTGTAGTCAGGATTGTTCTTGAGAATCTCATGATACTCTTTCTCTGCTTGGAGAGTTGCTCGTCGACAGATGTCGAGTGCACGACGCGCGTCTCCACAGACGGCTGCGACACGCATCGCACACATCTGTATGGCATCCTGGTCGAAAGCTTCGAGACCTTCGAGACGAGAGTGTACGATCTTCACAATCTGATTGGCGGTGTACGAACTGAACGGTATTCTATGGAGACCCATACGCGATTGCACGCGCGGCAGTAGCGTGTCTGGCAAGTTCATAGTGTTGGCAATCGCGATAATAACGAGACGTGAATGCGGTTTGTTTGGCCATTCAAAGAGATTGTAAATGACCGACTGTTTCTTGGTAATCAGCAGATCGAATTCATCGACCAGAACGATACGAAACGGTCGGTTCTTTGACCTCGTTGTAAAACTCTTTTGCAGCAGCTGCAGTGCTTGATGATGGGAAACCTTTGTCTTCATCGGTCGTTTCAACATCTTTCGATGTAACGATATATAAAGATGATGTGGATCACTAAATTCCATACCATTTAACTCTATAAATTCGAATGGTATTACTTTCTAACAATACAATACAATACAAAACAATACAATTGTTAGCAAATGAATATATATATATATATTTCTTTCTTTCTTTTAATTTACTTTTATATTAACTTACTTTATTTGCTCTTTCCTCTTGAAATTGTCTTATTACTTCTTTGACTGTACTTGTTTTACCGGTACCTGGAATACCAGCGATGTATATACAACCACCGGAATCGTTGTTTATCAGTTTGGCACGAATGAACTTTGATATTGATTCCTTCTCTTTCTCACGACCCGGAAGGTGTTCTGGTATCGTTGAGATATGTAGGTTGTTTCTTGCTTGAATGAATACCGATCGGTTTTCATCTTCGTTGTCGACCTCTTCCAAAGGCGATGTGTCGTAACCTTCTCCTGACAATTGTTTGTTGTTGTCATTGTCATCCTCTCCATTATCTTGAAGAACACCATCGATATCATTGACAACACCATCTTCATCATCACTCATATGACTATAATTCAAATATGGGTTCATCTTTATATCTTCTTCTTCATCGTCGATATCATGATAGCTAGATTCATATTGAGTGAATGATATATTCTTCTGAGTTTCGCCCAATTCATCTTCGTCATCGTCATCGTCGTCATCTTCATCGTCATCTTCTTCTTCCACTTGTTCATCACTTTCCATTTCGATGTCATTGTCACTGATATTATCATTATCATCACTGTCATTATCTTTGTTATTGTTATTGTCATCTATTATTCTTTTTCTCTTTGACAATATTGTTGGTGATTTTGAAGCAGTTGTTTTCTTCTTTGGTGTTGTCTTTGATTTAGATTGATTGTTCACAAGTTTCATTGCAGATCTACCCATATTACCAATTAGATTATTGGCATCTTCTTCATCTTCATCATAGTTGATATCACTATTGTTATCATCATCATCTTCGTATTCTATATCACTATATTCAATTTCATCTTGTGTTGCAAATTGTTTTGGATGATAGTGAACATCACTGTAATTTGTATCACCATATTCATATTCTAAACTATCGTCATCAATAGATTCATCTTGATCCACTATTATATTATTTTTATTATTTTTATTATTACTATTATTACTATTTTTACTCATATCTTATAAATATTCATTTCTGAACTACACACATTGCATCAGATTACCAAATCAAATGAAATAATTTTTTTTTTGCAATAAAAAAGATATTTTATTAATTAATAAAATATCTTAATAGTTTTAATATGTAGTATTTATTTATTTATTTAGTGAGTGAGTGACAAGCAAGTCATTGGTTAATAACAATCGATTTAAAAAGATGATAGAAGTAAAATGAATGCAGAAATCACGATTAAAATCAAGGAATTTGATTTCAAAGATGAAGAGTCGTTGGTTTTAGATGGTTCAATCTCTTCTGGTGAAATGTTCAAACCAAGACGTTTCTTTTGTGTTTGAGTGTCGGTGGTGGTCGATGTTCCTTCGGTGTAGGTTGTGGTTGTGACGATATTCGAGATTTCACCAGATTTGATTGTTGTGACTGTTATTGTAAATGTTGCAGTGTCACTCGATACAGTTGTTGTATTAATCACAACATATGAATCGTAATTCACTCTGGTTGTAACTGTGTTTGTTGTGGTAAGATAATCATCACTGGTAGTTGTGGTATGGGTAGTAACACTTCCGTTGCTTGGTGAAGTGGTTGTGGTTGTTGTTGGACTGAATGTTGTTGTTCCATCGGTAGTGAATGGTGCTCCTGTTGTACTGTTCCATGAGCTCGTTGTTGGCGATCCAGTTGCAGAACTTGTTGTTGTGCTATTCCATGAGCTCGATGTTGGAGATCCAGTTGTACTATTCCACGAACTTGATGTCGTTGTTGTTGTTGTTGCTGCTTGTGTTGGACAGGCCAAATTACTGTTGAGTTTGATGGTGAATGTACAGGTGGAGATCTCAGTTGCACTCAGAATTTGAGTTGGTCCAGAGGTACACATCATTTGAATTTGTGTACTTCTGACAATGGTACCTGATTTACAGGTGCTACCACCAGTGTATGTAATATAACCACCAGCAACGCCATTGCCTTTAATTGTTTGGGTGAAAGAGTTTAACTTTAATTAATATTTAACAGAGCAACAAAAGAAACATTTAATAAAGTGTATTTAACGATACATACTTAAAGAATTGACAATAGCATTGACATGACCACAATCAGCTTTTGGTTGTGTATCAGTTGGTCCCTGTTGACATACAGAACATTGTGGGTTAATAGTTGTACATTTTGAGGCAGTTTGACAAATATTGAAATAGTATGTGGCTTTAGAAGCATCTTGAACTGACCATGATGTAGAATTTGCTCTTTTAGTTAAATATTAGTATAAGATGTTGATATTTTAGATAGATCGGGTATGTTTGTTTATTGTTTTTTACATATTACTTACAACTTGGAGAAATCATAGTTTTTACCATAAGCATTCAATTTACAATTTTGGGCTGAAACAATAGCAATTGCAGCTACCAAAATGAGAAGTGTGCTAAATACCAATTTCATTATTATATATATTGTTAAATATTTATACTTGATTAACAAAAAATAGTTAAAATAGATGTGACCAACCACAATTGGGCAAGTTATCAGTTGTCGGAATTTTAAATGTGGTAAAAGGCAAAAAATAAAAATTGGAAATAAATAAATAAAATTCCCTAAAAAAAGTTTTTGGATGTCTACCAACTTATATGCTAGTGATCGGAGCAAGTAAAAAAAAACTATGTAGTGTAAGTTAAAATCACAATATCTAGCATAAAAGAGAGAGATTTTATCATTTCTAACCATTGTATAATAGATGATTCCAAAATTGTAGCTTCTTTTCCAACACTATTATTGTATAAATGGCTGACATTGGTAGATCATATTTTCTATAGATTGGTAGTCAACATCCGAAAACAAAAATGGAAATAGACATATACATCGTAGAAAGGATTTGAAGAAAATATTTAACGGCAATCAGAAACAGAGAACAAGAAGATAGAGAATCAGAACATACAAAGTGGTAGAGAAAACGGGCCAATTAAGAGAAGAAACATAAACTAACGCCGAAAGTGAAGAAGAACAGCAAGCACCTAGATGAAGTCAAACTACACCTCTCAGTAGAAGAAGAACAGCCACCACACCAACTAGGTCTAACAAGCATTACAACAAGAAAATATGCTTCAAAATGTGCATATATACAACTTCTATGTACGTGCAAATATCAATATACGTCAAAGGAATTAATTATAAATAGTTTTCTAATAAATTATCCATTGTCATTTGTTATTCTTATCCTCTTAGACAATTTCGATGGTTTGATCACAAATTTTTTTTACAAATCTTTTTATATTAATTATGTCGTTACTCGTTTTAAGATTTGTTTATAAGATTTATTTATTTAGTGAATGACAAGACAGACCATTAGTTCATAGTTTAATTTATAAATCTATTTAAAAAGATGATAGAAGTAAAATGAATGCAGAAATCAAGATTAACATCAAGGAATTTGATTTCAAAGAAGAAGAGTCGTTGGCTTCCTCTGGCTCAATCTCAAAGATTTCGATTCTATCTGGTGAAATGGTCAAACCAAGACGTTTCTTTTGTGTTTGAGTGTCGGTGGTGGTCGATGTTCCTTCGGTGTAGGTTGTGGTTGTGACGATATTCGAGATTTCACCAGATTTGATTGTTGAAGTAACGGTTGTTGTCAATGTTGCAGTGTCACTCGATACAGTTGTTGTATTAATCACAACATATGAATCATAATTCTCTCTGGCTGTAACTGTATTTGTTGTGGTCAGATAATCATCACTGGTAGTTGTGGTATGGGTAGTAACACCTCCACTGCTTGGTGAAGTGGTTGTGGTTGTTGTTGGATTGAATGTTGTTGTTCCATAGGTAGTGAATGGTGCTCCTGTTGTACTATTCCATGAGCTCGATGTTGGCGATCCAGTTGTGCTATTCCATGAACTCGATGTTGTTGTTGTTGTTGTTGTTGGACAGGCCAAATTACTGTTGAGTTTGATGACGTATGTACAGGCGGAGACCTCAGTTGCACTCAGAATTTGAGTTGGTCCAGAGGTACACATCATTTGAATTTCAGTACTTCTGGCAATACCTGAATGACAGAGGGTACCACCAGTATATGTAATAGAACCACCAGCAACGCCATTGCCTTTTAATTTGGGTGCAAGAGTTTAACTTTAATTAATATTTAACAGAGCAACAAAAGAAACATTTAATAAAGTGTAATTGTTAACAATACATACTTAAAGAATTGACATTAGCATAGGAGGCTTGACCACAATTAACTTTTGGTTGTGTATATGATGGTGCTTGTTGACATACAGAACATTGTTGGTCAATAGCTTCACATTTCGAGGCAGCTTGGCAAATATTGAAATAGTATGTGTTTCTAGAAGCATCTTGAACTGACCATGATGTAGAATTTGCTCTTTTAGTTAAATATTAGTATAAGATGTTGATATTTTAGATAGATCGGGTATGTTTGTTTATTGTTTTTTACATATTACTTACAACTTGGAGAAATCATAGTTTTGACCATTAGCATTCAATTTACAATTTTGTGCTGAAACAATAGCAATTGCTACCAAAATTAGAAGTGTGCTAAAGACCAAATTCATTTATATATATATTTTTAAATATTTAATCTTGATTAACAAATAATTATAAAAATAGTTAAATAATAGTTAAAATAGAAGTAACCAACTAACACAACGAAAAAAACATGGTTAACAAAAACTTGAACTTGAGGCAAATGAGCAGCTGGGAATTTTAAATGAGGGAAAAGGTAAAAAATGAAAATAAATAACATTCTTTAAAACAAGAGAATCTGTTCAGTTAATGGAAACCTGTTGGCGTGCCAATCCATGAGCTGGATGTTGTTATAGTTGTTTGTGTTGGACATGAATAGTTCGTTAAGAAATATCTTGATAGTATTTGTTCCACGGTAAAAATCGAAGATAAGGCTCCGATCAGCTTCAAACTGAGGTTTATATCAAGCTGAGAGCTGAGCTGAAACTGAACTGAAACTGATTATTTAGTATTATAAAATAAAAACAGAGTTAAACTATCGATAAAATATAATTTTGTTATTTAAATAATTTTTACTAAATCATTTTACTGATAACAACAAACTAGTTTTTCGATTGTTTTTTTTGTTATATTTCACGTCTTTAAATCTAAAAGATTTACCTTAAAAAGAATATAATAAATACAAATAAATATAGTAATTTTAATTATTCATAACAAGGACACACTTTGAAAGATAGAAGAAACAAATGGTTTATTCTCTTGAAAAACAGAAAAAAATTTGATACTTACTGCGTAAACACAGAAACCAAATTTTGTCTAAGTCTTTCCAAGACCGGGGTATAATAATATTGACTTTTGTTATCTCGGCTGGATACTTAAGTTGGCCTGGCTTCCCACGATCCAAGTATACAGCTGCAATTTCTAGCAGAAACTGTCTTACAGAAAATATTAGATATTACTTACTATGATATGATAGATCCATATCTATCACCTCGAAACTGATTCAAGGGAATGAATAAAAAAAATATTATTAAAATTAAATAAAAATTTGGCGTTTGAAGAATTATCCTATTCCTTTTATTAGGGCAAAAATAATTTATAAATGAAGTTTATTTAAGAAATAAACTCACTATCAGATAGATGTTTTACTACTTTTAGTATTTGGTGAGGGGTAGTAGAGTATTTTTTTTGAATGTGCCATTTAAATTAATTTTAATTTCATTCGATGAAACAAATTAAAAACAAAAATTTTTATGAAAAAATTCAATTTTCTCAGTTTCAATTATGAACTTCAAAACTGAAATTGAATAGAATCTAAGAGGACACGATTCTGCCATCTACAACAGAGACATTGATATATTCTGAAAACAAACTACCAGAATCTGTGGCGAAATATCCATTTGGTAACATTGTTTGTACATAAGCTTGTATACATTGCATCAACGCTCTCTAATCAGATCCAATTTCTTTAAATTACATCAAATAGTGTACCAAGTGCATATATACTATCAAAGTCGCTGTATGGTTTTCCTTTTCATTTATCATTTACGTTGAAATAAGGAATATATTGCTCAAAAAGAGACTATTATTTATGTTTTTGTGAAAGAAGGCTTGGTCTGGGAGTTGAAAGGTTCTTGAACCAAGGGGATTTATTCAAGATCAATTCTTCGTAGTCTTTCTGATAAATACTATTGCTTATACTTTTCATCTATTGTACTGACTAACGCAACGTGCTGTCAGTCAATAAAGCATTCATTCATTTTACAAATTGCAATACTTTTTTCTATAATCTTTACTTTAGGAAATATCAGTGGTATTGTTAGATAGCCTGGTTCAAGTAGTTTATATTAATATATTATTTATTTAATAATATACTAGCAAAAATTAAAAAGAAAATATTCCAATATATATGGGTCTCAATTTATAAATAAAAAATAAAAAGAAAAAACAGTTAACAATTTGAAGATTTTTTTTATATGCTGGTTATCGAAGCAGGTAAATAAAACTGTGTAGTGTAAGTTAAAATCACAATATCTAGCATAAAAGAGAGATTTTATCATTTCTAACCATTGTATAATAGATGATTCCAAAATTGTATCATCAATCATTATAAAACTAGATACCGAATTGGATTCATCATTTGTTACAGAGAATAGTTTAGACAATGAAAAGTTGGAAGAAAGTCATGCAGGTGAGAAGAAAATGATTCTATCGAGTTAGATTCATATTCATCTGAAGAATCAGAACATATAAAGTGGTAGAGAAAACAGCCAATGAAGAAACATAAACTATCGCCGAAAGTGAAGAAGAACAGTAAGCACCTAGATGAAGTCAAACTACACCTCTCATTAGAAGAAGAACAAGCACCACACCAACTAGGTCTAACAATAGAAAAGCATTACAACAAGAAAATATACTTCAAAATGTGCATATATACAACATTAATTATAAATAAAAATTTTCAAATATAGATCGACTAGTAGTGTTAAGAAAAACAAAATTTAATTTGAATAAAATAATTAATTGGTTTATAATATTTATTTATTTAGTGAATGACAAGACAAGCCATTAGTTGATTAATAAATCTATTTAAAAAGATGATAGAAGTAAAATGAATGCAGAAATCAAGATTAACATCAAGGAATTTGATTTCAAAGAAGAAGAGTCGTTGGCTTCCTCTGGCTCAATCTCAAAGATTTCGATTCTATCTGGTGAAATGGTCAAACCAAGACGTTTCTTTTGTGTTTGAGTGTCGGTGGTGGTCGATGTTCCTTCGGTGTAGGTTGTGGTTGTGACGATATTCGAGATTCCACCAGATTTGATTGTTGAAGTAACGGTTGTTGGTCAATGTTGCAATGTCACTCGATACAGTTGTTGTATTAATCACAACATATGAATCGTAATTCTCTCTGGCTGTAACTGTATTTGTTGTGGTCAGATAATCATCACTGGTAGTTGTGGTATGGGTAGTAACACCTCCACTGCTTGGTGAAGTGGTTGTGGTTGTTGTTGGATTGAATGTTGTTGTTCCATAGGTAGTGAATGGTGCTCCTGTTGTACTATTCCATGAACTGATTGTGGTTGGAGATCCAGTTGTGAAACTTGTTGTTGTTGATGATCCAGTTGTAATATTCCATGAACTAGATGTTGTTGTTTGAGTTGGACATGAACTATTGATTGAGTAATATCCTTTGTGAACTGAAACTGTCTTCCATGAACTCATAAAGTAAGGAGCACTAATTACATTGATATATCTTGATTGTGAGCTTTCGACAGTCAAGCTATGAGAAGACATGATTCTATCATCTACAACAGTGACGTTGATATATTCTGAAAACAAACTACCAGTTTCTGTGAAGAAATATATATTTGGTCTCATTGAATTGTCAATTAAAACATTTGTATATCTGTACTCTCCACAATAAAAATAGAAATATTGATAATCGGTTGAGTATTGAATTTGTAATGTATTTAAGGGGCTCATAAAAGTCCAGTTGGAAACAGTGATTTCAATAACTACAGTACCAAATTCTACTGGAATTTTCTGACCTGCAAATTGATATTCTTGACCTGTGAATGGTTCTATAAAGGTTATATTTACAACAGCACTTCCCAAGTAAAATGTGAATTGGTTGTAATAATTATTGTTATAGTTTCCGAGTGGATAACTTTGAACAATAGAATTATTTACATCTACTTCTTGAATCTGAAATGGTCTGGCATTCATAGTATTACTATTTGGGAAATAATATCTTAAAACTGGTTCATAGAGCTCTCCAAAGGTGTATGGTTGTCCAACCTGATATTGGCATCTATCTCCAGAAAATCCAGAGAAACATTTACAGTAACCAGAATCACCATATCCATAGTTACATTGATGGTCGATCGGTATTGTAACATTAGGTATAGGTTCAGTCATGTCACAAAAAGGACCACTGAATCCTGGGAAGCAGAGACAAATATTATTGATTATGGTTCCATTAAAACAAGGTAGAAGAGGTGTGGGTGGGAATGTAGGAGTTTGAGCTTGAGTTTGCGAAAGAAAAATAATAATTGAGATAAAAATAAAAATTAAATAATTATTTTCCATTTTGTAAGATATATGAATTAAATTGGTAATGAATGAACTTTGAGGTATTTATATTTTTATTTCGTTTTGATAATTCAAACTTTCATTCTTGTAAAACCCATTTCTCAGAAAAATCACCACCCAATAAAAATTTTTTTGCCTTGTTTTCCAATTTTTTTAATTTAAACATATATTATCTCGATCTATTGTTTCAAAACATTTTTATTCAAATCATCTTCATAAAAAAAACTTAAGATGCTAAAAAAAATATACCAACCGAAACATGAATTATTCAAACAATTTTAGTGATTTACAAATGTCAGTTTATTTATAACTGGGTTGCAATCAAAGTCAAAAGTACAAAAATTGAAATCATTACAATTGATTTTGATTTCAAGTTTGAAGAGTCACTGGTACCAGTAGTTGAGGTATCTGAAGTGGTAGAAGTAGATGTTGGAAAACCAGTTGTCGAAGTGGTGTTTGATTCGCAAGAATTATTGCTTAGAGAGTTATAAGCCTTGTAAAGTACAACATGACTCACTGAGTCATCAAAGTACGGAAGATTAATTCGTTGATAAATACTTGAACTATTTGCTTGGTAGCTTTCAATGTCCGCATATGCTACTCTAACATCTAAGATAATAAAGTTTATGTATTGAGTAAACAAACTACCAAAGATATTAGATAGATACAGATAGGGTGGCAATTCGGTAGGAATGTCGGAGACCACCGTTGTATCAATGAGTCCACATGGCGCAGAAGCTATCTTATCCCACTCGGTGTAGAATTCGACTTGCAAGTAGTTCAAACTACTCTGGAAGGTCCAATTGGAAACTGTTATCTCTGCAATGACATTCCCATACTCTACTGGGATATTTTGATTTCCCAATGTATATGTTCCATTTTTAGAGTCAACATAATTTATTTGAAGTGATGCACCTCCAATGCGATACAAGTATTGATTGTTGTTACGTTGGAACAAAGAACCTTCGAGAAGAGTGTAGGTCACAGTATTGTTGTTAGAATCAGACTCTCTAATTGAATATGGCTTGCTGGTAATTAACACATTGGTGAAGTTAAAACCAATAGAAGCATCCTGTGATAGAGTCGTATTGGTATAAATATTTCCAACTGAATTCTCGCATCTGTCACCATTGAATCCTTTAGAGCACTGACAATATCCAGTATCGCAATATCCATTTTTGCACTGGTTGGTGCAATCATAAGAGGGTATGACAGTTGAAATAGTGATGTTGATAGCCAAACTACAATCTACACCTGTATAGCCTTGGTTGCATACGCAAATTTGATTAAGACATTGTCCGTGAAAACAAGCAAGGCAGTCTGATGTTGTTTCAGCTTTGGACAACCAAGCGAATAAAACTAAAGAGATATATAAAATAATATATTTTTGTGACATTGGTGAATGAACTTAAAATAGAGTGATAAATTCTTCGTTGTCTTTTGTTGATAATTTTTATTACCTCATGAGGAACGACTCGTCCCTCATCAGAAATAAAGATTTAGATTTTTTTTTTTTTTTTAAAAAAGATTTAGAAATTAGAACAATTTTGCTCAACGGTTTTAATAGGCTCATGAGCCTACCCTAAACTCATAAATGTTATTATTATTATGTATTTCGAAAAATAAATAAATATTAAAAATAATAATTGTTGATAACTGTGCATCAAACAATTTATTTTTCAAAACATGTAAATCAAAAATGTTGTGATACAATTTTAAAATTATAAATTTATTGATAAATAACCTTTGGTTTTGAATTTGTTTCTGTTGAAGCTGTAATTGTTCCGATTTGATATACTGTTTCGTTGTGTTGTTTGAGGATTTCGGTGATTGATTCAACTCTGTTTGCATCAACAATTACAATCATACCTAAACCACAGTTGAAGGTCCTCAGGAGTTCGAATTGCTCCATCTTTCCAATGTTGTTCAACCATTGGAATACAGGGAGAATCTCCCAGCTGTTGAGCTTGACTGTTGCGTTCATTCCATCGGGAAGTACACGTGGAAGATTCTCTGTGATACCACCACCGGTGATATGTGCCAATCCGTTGATACCACCAGCTTTAATAGCTGCCAAACATGAAAGAACGTAGAGACGAGTTGGTGTGAGAAGTGCTTGTCCCAAGGTCTTTGACGATTCGAATGGTGCCGGCAAATCGTAGACCGATCCGTTGGCGTTGACCAATCCCGACTTCTTCTCGACGAGATAACGAACCAATGAGTAACCGTTTGAGTGGACACCGGACGATGCCAAACCCAAGAGTACATCTCCAGGCTTGATGTTACGTGGCAACATTTGAGTACGCTCGACAGCACCAACAGCAAAACCAGCCAAATCGTATTCACCATCACGGTACATACCTGGCATCTCAGCGGTCTCACCTCCAATCAGTGCACATCCCGATCCACTGCAACCCTTGGCAATACCACCGATGACTTGTGTGGCGACATCGACATGGATACGACCGGTAGCAAAGTAATCGAGGAAGAACAATGGCTCGGCACCTTGCACCAAGACGTCATTGACACACATGGCAACCAAATCAACACCGATATTATCGTGAATTCCAATCTCTTGGGCAATCTTTAGCTTGGTTCCAACACCGTCGGTTCCAGAGACGAGGATTGGGTCAACGAAACCTGCAGCTTTAGTATCGAAAAGAGCACCAAATCCACCGAGATCGCTAACACAACCCTTACGAGTGGTGGCCTTGGCCAATGGTGCAATATTGTCTACAACGGCATCTCCACGCTCAATGTCGACACCGGATTCACTGTACGAAACGGATTTGCTGTTCTTTTGTGAAGCAAGATAACGTTGTGCTTTACGACCGATATCACGACGGAATTGACGTCCTTGGAAGTCAATGGTGTCGTTGGCCTTGTATGCCAATTGAATGGCAGTCTCCAACTCGCTATTTACACTAGTTGCAGAGAGTACACGACCGCCGGATGTAACCAACTTTCCATCGACAACGGTTGTTCCTGCTTGGAAGATCATCGCTTCGTCAGAGAATTTCGCGTTGTTGAGTCCGTGGATCTCACGTCCCTTTGGATAGGAATCTGGATATCCCTCTGATGCCGACACAATGGTGACGGCGTAGGCTTGCTTCCAGTTGACCTTGATCGAGTCGAGTGCACCGTCACAACAGGCATCGACAACCGCGATCAACTCTGTATCCAACAGTGGTAAAACAACTTGTGTCTCTGGATCACCCATTCTACAATTGAATTCGAGCACATTGATCACACCGCTTGGCGAAACCATCAGACCGGCAAACAATACACCGACGAATGGACGTCCTTCACGACGCATACCGTCAACGGTTGGCTTGATAACAGTGTCGAGAACACGATCCATAGTCGGACCGAATCCAGTTCTCGAAGCAATGGAACGATCGGTTACGAATGGTGCTGGCGCGTAGGCACCCATTCCACCTGTATTTGGTCCCTTGTCATCGTCGAATATACGCTTGTGGTCTTGTGCAGCGGGCATCAAAACAACAGAGTAACCGTCAGAGAATGCCATCACCGATGCTTCCTCGCCGTCCAAGAACTCTTCGATGACCACTTCGTCACCGGCGGCACCGAATTCACGATCAACTAAAACACGCTTGACTGCGAGTTTTGCCTCTTCTTTGTTGGCAGGGATCAATACACCTTTGCCAGCGGCGCATCCGCTAGCTTTGACGACGACGTTGAAGTCGGCTTGCTCTACATACTGTGTGGCGGCATCGTATTGTGCGGCACCTACAAACGATTTGTAACGTGCAGTCGGGATGTTGTGACGTGCCATAAAGTCTTTGCAAAATACCTTGGATCCCTCGATCTCGGCGGCCTTTTGACTTGGGCCAAACACACGGATACCACGACGTCGCAGACCGTTGGCGATACCGTCAACCAATGGCACTTCCGGTCCGACTATAACTAAATCTACACCCAAACGATTGGCAGCATCACCTACTGCTTCAGCAGTCACAGCAACATCTGACAAGTTAATAATACGATCACCCGAAGTCGAAGCACTTCCATTTCCGGGTACCATATAAACTTGTTCAACTTTTGATGATTCCAATAATTTCCTAAAAATAATAAACAATCAATTAATAAATGTTCATTTTACATTATTATAATAATCATTCAATATTCAACATACCATGCAATAGCATGCTCTCTAGAACCTGAACCAATAACAATAACTTTTTTTGACATTTTTCGTTATTCTATATATTATTATTGATATTTATATATTATATATTTTATATATTTAAAAGTTGCTATAATGGTTAGATTATATATACTTGTAAATGTGTGAAATGTTGATTGATCGATTAATTAATAATTGAATATTAATTAATTTTTAAATATATTTATTTATTTATAAACAGAAAATAATAAATAAATATATATAATATTTAATAATAACTTATTATTATTATTATTATTTGATTGTTATTATTTTACTAGCTATAATAATTGTTGTGAAATGGAATGGAGTGAGTGTTGGTGCATACAACAATGGGAATGAAACAAACAAACACAAATAAATTTAATTTAAAAAAGCACACATATTTATCAGAGACCTCGTTCGTTTTCATGCACCATGTCCCTCCCAAATCATGATAATTTTCATTTTTTTTTTAAAATTCAAGGGTTTTCGAAAATAGTGTGTGGTAATTTTTTTTTATTAGGTTCCGATATTTCTCGGACCGGACAACGTCTTTTACGGTTTTTTAAATAAAAACAAAATAGATCTCTCTTTTTTTTTTTTATTTAGCAAATTTATAAATAAATAATAAACAAAATAATAAATAATGATTTTTGGAATCAAAAGATGAAAGAGTAGAATAGAATGTTTATTACATTACATCTCTGTTATTATTAATTATTATTAATTATTATTGTTATTGTGCAGAATGACCAATATTTCTTTTTTCTAACCACTCGGTCATGTTTTTGATTTCATTTCTAAGTGAGCTGTTGAACTTAGAGTTGTCTACAAGCTTTCCAAATAATCGTTTCTCTTTGGAGTATGCCTCGATTGGGTCACTGGCAGAGAGTAACTTGTGTGCATCTTCAGGCACCATGCATCCATCATGATAGTTGAACGGGAGTTGATTCTTGTGCCATCTCATAAAGAATAGATAGTAGATAGCAGCGATTCTGATGGTTGCTGTTGGATCTATACCCTTCTCGTAGCAACGCATGATGGTTGGAACAAAGAATCCTGGAATCTTTGTCCATCCGTCACCGCTGACTCGCTGGTTGGTGTCTGCAATATGAGGATTACTGAATCGCTCGAGCACAATGTCACGATACTTCTCGAGGTCGAGTGGACTGGACTCGAGTTTCAAGAGTGGAATGATGTCGGTGGTCACATAGTCATAGACATACTTGTGAATGTCTGTGTCAGTGATGTCCTCGTTGATGTAGGTCAGACCAATCAGTGTACCGGCCCAGGCACACAGAGCATGCGAGGAATTCAATATCTTGATTTTGGCATCTTCATAGGGCTCCACAGACTTTACGAGCTCGACACCGACCCTCTCAAGTGGAGGACGACCATCACAGAAACAATCTTCAATCACCCACTGAATAAACGATTCCGACATGACTGGAATCTTGTCTTCGAAGCCGAGATTCTGCTTTTTGACACGTTCGAGCAGCGCTACCGATGGGTGCGGTGTGATTCTATCGACCATCGTATTTGGACAACGGACATTCTGCTCGACCCAAATCACCAGATCCTTGGAAGTACACTTCTCGAGGAACTCCATCAGACATCGCTTCAAGATGGACCCATTGTGTCTGACATTGTCACAACTCAGCAAGGTAACTGGCTCTCCCTTTGCATGTCTCTCTTTGAGAATCTCACGAATCGCTCCATATATGGTTTTAGTATCACCACCAAGATCCGCAATAATATCTGGATGATCATATTTAATATCAAAATGAACATCATCTAAAATTATTATAAAGAAATAATAATAATAATAATAGCAATAGCAATAGTTAAATTATTAGGTTTTTTATAATTATATAATTTGGTTGATTTTTAAAACTTACGATAATATCCACTTTCAGTTACAGTCAATGAAATAACTTTGGTTTCTGGTAGTACTCCTTGATCGATAAGAAACTTGCAATCTGGACGGTATGGTAATACTTTTTTGATAGAGGTAATGACTTGGTAAGAACGTTCGCCATGTGGAGTAACAGTTTCAAGGGTGTATTTCTGGTGCTGGAGATCGAGCTGTATCAACATCTCCTCAGTGTCATCTCTGATATTTCCGAGAGCAATTGACCAGTTCTCACCGAGATCCATTATCCTTTGCAAATAGACAGCTTGGTGTGCTCTATGAAAAGAACCAGAACCAATATGCATCCAAATTGATTTCTCTCCATAGTATCTATTATGAGTTTCTGAACTTGACATTATTTTTACTACAATAATTTATTATTTTTATGTTATCTGTATTACTAGTCTAAAAGTGTGTGTGTGAAGAAATTAAGCACACATATTTTGTTGTTTGTTTTAAATATTTTATTAAAATAAAATAAATTACACTATGTCTTTAAAAAAAAAAAGGTTGTTGTTTTGTTATGCTGTGGTGAGTGGAGGTGTTTAATTTAGGGTTGTTTGAAAAAAATTTATTGGTAGTGTGGAGTGTGTAAATTGGGTGTGTGAACTTAAAGTCATTTTTAAAAAATCTATTTTTTTCCTTTTTAAAAAAAAATGAGTGGAGTAATTTTACATTAATATTATAGTTGCTGTTGTTTTGTTGTAGTGTTGTTTATAGTGAGTGCATTGAATTCAACTATTAAATCCTTTAAGATGTTCTTTTTAATATCTAATAGTCTTTGTTGTTCATCGATATCCATCTGTTTCTCATCAATCTCATTTGAGAGTGTTTGTATTTTTTGATCTAAATTTCTTTGTAGTTGCCAAAATGAGTCCATTCGAATAAAAAGAAAGAAACAAACAAAATTGTACAAATAAACTAAAAATTGAATATAAATCTAAATCAAAATTTACATTAAAAAATTTAAGTAATCTTTCAACCATTTTTGAAACCTTTCAAAACCATCTTTTTTTTTTTTGATTTTTTGATCCATTATCATTTTGGACAGTTTACAAAAACAGTAAAAATAATATAAACATCAAAGAAAATAAAGAACAACAAAGATATCTAATGATACAAGGTGTGTGTTCAAGTTAAAAAAAAAATAAAAAAAGATTTATAATTACAATATATAGTTAAGCTGTCACATGAAGAAAAATTCAAGTGCAGATTCAAGTTACTTATTTAATTATTCCAAAATTGTTTAAAAAAAGTTTACAAAATATAAATCAGAATATAGAAATACTTGAGCAACTTAAACTTGGGGTTTTGGTATCTATCAATTAATGTGAACGAAGATGTCTTTGTTGTTCTTTGTTTTGTCTACAACTACGATCGTAATTCTGAAATGGTCTACCATTTTTCTAAATCTTAACAGAAGAAATAAAATCAATTAAAAAAAAAAATTAAAAAAAAATATTTTGCAAAAAAAAAAACAATTTTTTAAAAAAAATTAATAAAGTTTCTCGTTTTTGACGATTGAGTTTTTATTATTATTATCTGCCGTGACGAAGAAAGTGAAGCATATATTTATATAATCTTATAACAATGGTTTGTATTTTAAAAAATATATAAAAATAAAAATAGATTGGTTGGTTGCTAACTTGATTATTTATCCTATATAGTCTGATTCTTCTGAGCAAATCAATCCAAAGGCCAAGCCATTGGCCGACCACGCCTTGACTGTTACCATTCTCGATCTCGTTCAACAATCGAACAACTACGGACAACTCAAGAAGGGTGCCAACGAAGTCACCAAATCTGTCTCCCGTAGTACTGCCGAATTCGTTGTCTTGGCTGCCGATGCCGAGCCATTGGAAATCGTCTTGCACATTCCTCTCTTATGTGAGGACAAGAACATCCCATACGTCTTTGTTCCATCAAAGGCTGAATTGGGTCGTGTATGCAATGTATCACGTCCAGTTGTTGCTTGCTCCGTTTTGATTGACAAGTCTACCAATCTCAACAACCAAATCAACAACGTCAAGGATGCCTTGGACAGATTGTGGGTTGCATAAACATCTCACTTCTTTTCACTGTTTATAATTATAATCATAATTTAAATAAAAATATATTATACTCTTATAAATGTATAAATTTAATGAAATCATAATTATTATTTTTGTTTACTTTATTTTGTAAAACTAAATTAAATTCTATAATCAAATAATAATTGATAATTATCTATTAAAAAAAATAATTTATTTTCTCTTTATCTTTTGTAGATATATTTTTAAAAGTTCGTATTCACTAGTGGAGTTTGGTGAATATGGCCTATCTTGTTGGTAATCTATATTCATAGGTTGATTATTATCATTATTATTAAAGTTTGTATGTTGTTGTTGTTGTGGTTGTTTAAAATCTACATTATTATTATTATTTTGATAACTATTACTATTACTATTATAATTATCTGCTGTTGTATTATAATTGAATTGATCGATATTCATACTATTTTGTTGATGTGATTGGTGAAAATTTATATTATTATTGTTGTTATCATTATTGTTGTTGTTGTTGTTTGACGATTCAAAATAGTAGTTTGTCATGTCGATATCGTCGAATGACCAATCGGACAATTTGAATTGCTTTTTGTAACTGTTATATGTAACATAGTCGGTGTCATTGATTTCAGTCTGCTTTGGAGCACCCAACGCAATACATAGCCTACACCAAAACTCGATAAACTCTTCCAAGGGGTGTTGATAATCTAATAAAATCTGATATTTCCGTTTCTTTTGTTCTCGCCGATCATCTTCAATCTTTTTCAATAGCTTTGAGGTCTCTTTCTCTGTTAGGTTTGGACATACCAATCTGTTATTCGTTCTTTAGAGACAACAAAATAGTTAGTAAGTAAAGTTATTTATGATCAATATTCGAATGTTAAAACAACCTACTTTATAGTTCCTGAAAGTATTGAATTTGCTTTTGATAGTAAAGTATCATCAAATATATTGTTTTTCTCCCATATACCTAAAATCTATACATACGTAGTATAGTTTAAATAAATATAAATAAATATGTATTTTTTTAAAAGAAAGAGAATAAAATTTTATTTAATTTTATTAGAATTATTCTATATTAGTTGTTGGTGATTGATGTCTGTTGATCAATCATCATCACCATCATCGTACTCTCCTTTCCGCCATCTACTTCCTATTACCAAAAAAAAAAAAAAAAAAAACTAAACAGTGAAAAGATAAAAGAAAAGATAGATTTAGAGAGAAATAAAATATTATTATTTATTATTGTGGTGTTATGACTGACTTATTGATCTTCATATATTTATAAATCCACTGAAAAAAGATAAGACTACTATCTCTCTTTGTCTTAACTTGTTTTTTTGAAGATTGTTCAAAAATAAAGATAAAGAATAAGGATAATAACAACCAATTGAAAAATATTTATTTGTATCAAATACTCTAAATAGATATAATGTATGTATGTATTAAACTCATAATAATAATATTGTTTAAATCGGATCAACAACTTATTATAAGTTGGATGGTTGGGTTGGTTGGGTTGGCTGCTTAGTTCTCTCTTCTGTAGCATTACAGTACAGTGTTCTATTAGTTAAATCCTTTGAACATCACAAAGAATGATGCTGACCACCAAAGCCTAATCTATCTAACGATAACTACTGTAACTGTTTTTTTGTTTTTTTTTTGATTGATCATTTGTTTATCTCTTCTCTAAATTTGTCTTATCTTTATCTAAACTAATCTAATCTTTTCAGTTTTTTTTAAAAAAAAAAAAAAACTACTCTAAATATGATCTTTATGCGTAGGACTATTGTAATGGTGATGGAATGGATGGTGGCAATATGTAATAATAGAGTAAGAAGTGAGTAGAAGAAAAAGAGTGGAGTAGAGAGTAGAGAAGTAAAAATAGAAGGAAGCAGCAGAAGCAACACGTATACGTGTAGAATTGCTCTCAATACAATACCTTTTCAATTATGTCTCTGTTCTTCTTTTTCAGCTCCATATTATCGTCGGGCAACGTCAGTGGTAGTATTTCCTCTATGTTCAAGGATATCAGTGATCTATATGAATCATTACGCTTGGAATGACAGTTCTGACATATACTATCTATTAAATAAAAATATGGTAATCTCTTTGAGTATGCGCTCTATTGTTTTGTTTTAATTTATTAATAAATTAATTAATAATATTAGTATTAGTATATTATTATCTTTTTCTTTTTTTTAAACATCATTATTATTATTGTTATTATTATTGTTATTAGAAGAATAGTGATAAATATTGAACACTCTCTTCCCTTCTTTATCTTTTCTTTACAACTCTTACACTCTTCTCTCCCTCTCTCTTTTTTTCTTAAGATTGAATTCTCTTCAACTTTGCTCATTACACATACTTTTCTCATTCTATTTAAGAGAACTTCAAATAGGTCATCGATGACCGATACATTCTCGACTACAAATTGTGTGGCTTTGTCTATTGATTCTTTGGAAGTTGAGAGAACCTCTAGTTGCTCCTTGAACCTCTCCGTGGGAAAGTCATCAAATGATTGTACTGAATTAAAGTGCTCCATCATTTACAAAAAAATATACATTATATAAATTTAAAATAAAATAATACAATAAAAGAAAATATTTCTACCTATCTATACATAAAATAAAATATCTAAAAAAAATATGAAAAAGTATTAATTATAATTGATGAAACTAAAAGAATGAGTTGAGTTGTGCCATCAAAAATTTTCAATTTCAGTAACATGTTAAAAAAAAAAAAAAAAAATTTCAAAAAAAACAAACAAAAAATATTTTATTTTATATGATGGATTTCATTAATGTTGTTGTTGAAGCATTTTTTTTGATCAAATATTAAAGTTGAATTACTACTTAAAAAGTAGTTGACAAAAATACAAATACAACTTTTTCATTTATATAGTTATAAATGATGTTGATAAGAGACGTGTGTTGGTTGTATACAAAATAAATAAATCTGTTCCATTCTAGAATTTTTTTTTTTTTTTTTTGCAAAATAGTTTTTTTTTTTTTCACTTAAGATCTTAAACAAAAAAAATTCAAAACAACATTCTTTTGAGAGAAACAACATTATAATAGCTAGCGTTATCTTATCATTATTATCAATACATTATTTTAATAAACAAATATAAACATTATTTATTTGGATAGTTTGATTTTTTATTTTTATTTTTATTTTTCTTTAAATTAATAATAATTAATTACATTCATCGTTCTCAGTAGTTAGATTTAAAGTGTTCAATGTCTAATAGTCACAGTGTGGGTGGTAGTAGCAGTAGTAGTAGTAGCAGCAGTAACACTTACAAATGTCCGCATTGTGAGCACATCTACAGTAGCACTTTGTTGACTGGCTCCTCATCATCTGAGCAAATCGACAAATGCGAGCACCTCCTATGCCACACTTTGATTGTCTCAAAGTTGAACACACCCTATCAAGCTATACATGATTTCACATCAAATCGTAAGTTTAATATTAAATTTATATATATATAGACATGTTGTTTATTTAGATAGATAATATTTTTCGTTAAAACTAACGTTTTCTTTTTTTATTTTATTTTCTTATGTTTAAATTAAAAAAGTTATGGGTGTAAAAGTACCGGTTGTAATAGTAAATCGATTCATTAGATTCCTTAGAGATAAGAACGCATCGAATCCACAGGGATACTATACAATTCAACAATCTCGAGCGAGAATCAGTAATACTTTTCAGGGTGTCACTGCCTTCACGTTGAATGCAATCAACAACGAAACACAATGCAGTGTGCAGTACTCATATTATCTTACTGCCAACCCACTCAGTGATATAGCTTATTTCGAGTCGTTTATTCTGAAAAACTATATTGATATATTCGCTCTTATGACTTCACCAGTATCAATTGATATTAGTAGTATGAATGAAGATAATAAACAGCAACAACAACCAACCACCTGTATAAATCAAACATCAACATCAGCATCATCAACAACAACAACAACAAATAGTTTAGAAGATAATAATTCAATATACAATAAGGAAATAGTTTATGTCAATATAAGTGATCAGCAAATGCAAGGATTACTGAAACAGAATATCGAGGATGACGAGGACATTGATGGTAGATGGATAATAGTCACTGGAATTCCCAACCAAATACCAACCTTTATTTGGATTTCACCAATGATGCAGAATGCAGACAAAATTATGCTTCCAATTCGACTGTTATCACAACATACTTTCTCATCACTCTCGTCTTTATCAATAAAGATATCACCACTAATAAAATTACCATCAGTCGCAATACAAATATAATACTTAAAAATAAATACAAATAAAAAAAAGGAAAAACAAATTATTTAAAAATATATATATTCATTTAACTTTTTCTTTTCTTTACTTAATTTAATGATTTAAATATATTAATTTATTCTAGATTTTATGATCAAATATTACATGTTGTTGTTGTTGTTGGTTGTTGTTTGGGTTTTGATGAGCGAGCGAGCCATTTGAAATTGGTTTGTTGGAATATAAAGTGGAAGTTGTGAATCATGGGAATAAAATATGCTTTCCTAAAAGTTAAGAATCTATGTGTTAATCAAAAAGGTAAATCTTAGACCTTTTCTTTTTTTTTTTTTGTTGTTGGATGGAATTTAAACAAAGAGGTTTGATTAGATTGGTGGGTTGGGTTGCTTATGGGTAAGGTGTTTTGTTTTGGGTTATATGATGAACTAGAATATATTTGTCATCTTATGAATGTGTGAAAATTTTGGAATTGGAGTTGGAGTTGATTTAATTGGTTGGTTGGTTGACTGAATTGGTTGGTTGATTGGTGAATGATTGTATATGATTTGCAATGAATATTCATGTTAATGATATGATTATTACTATTATGATTATTATTCTAATTCTATTTTGCGGCGTTTCTGACGGTCCTTGTTAGGGTTCGAGGTTGATTCTTTTGTTTTCTTGTCTGTGGTCGGAATGGAGGTGAAAGTGTTCTTGTTGCCGATCGTAGAGTAAGGCATTTCGATGATTTCAATATGTGCCAATTTGAATCCTGCTTAGAGTCTCTCTGGAATCTCGTTGGATATTCTATCATTCCCTTCTCGATCATATCACATAAATAGAGATCGTCAAACTCTGGCAAAACCTTTGATCTCTTAATCTTTTCCAGTTTCTCACTGGGATTAATTGTACAATGAAGTGTAATTAAAAACTATATGTGTGTAATAGATTTGATATGATTAGTTTAAAAGTATAATATTAATGATTAGGCATCTGTTAATAACTTACTTGTTTTGTATACTCTACTATATCTGAAAGTGAACAAGAACCACCGTTCTCCTGTAGTGCCATTGCCGCTAGATCCAAGACATGCGTTGGACCGTCGATAAGACCGTTTTCATCGGACGATTCAGAATCATCAGACATGTTTGTGTCTCGCTCATCATTGGATTCGTCGGATGGCGGATTCTGATCGGATGTTTTCGTCGAGGCATCCTCTTCATCAGAGTTTTGTAGCTTAAATGGTTTGGTCGTTTGTTTGCTTTTTCTTCCGCCTCGTATCGGTCGATTGCTACTGATAGTAATCGTCGTACTGTTGCTGTTATTGTTGTTGCTATTGTTTGTATCGATTTCCGGTGAGAGTTTGCCTTTCTTTGCACCACGTTTTGTCGGTAGAATTGGTTTGGTGGTGGTTGATGTTGTTGTTGATGATGTTTCCGATGATGCATCGTTGGGACTCTCGTTCTTGACGGTCGGTGACGACGTTGAATCGACAGTGTTGCTGGTGGTGGTTGTGGTGGTGGACGATGAAGGTGAATTTCCACTGGCATCGTCAATTGCCATCTTATCATCTTCGATATTGAGTGGTGGTGAAGTGGTATCCGATGTTTCATCGCCTGCTTGCTTTCGTTTTCTATTACTGAATTTACGTCTGATTGGAGTGTGAGTGTTACCATTGGTACTATTACTATTACTATTATTATTATTATTATTACTATGGTTGGTTGTTGTTGTTTGAGTATTGTTGTTATTGTTATTATTACTACTTGATAGTTCAGCACTGTTGACTTCAATCGACTCTGAGGATGTCTCCTCTTTGGCTGTGACTGCAGGAGTGTCTGGCGGTGATGGTTCTTGTTTCGATTGGACAGAGGTTCGCTTCTTTCTACTCAGTGGGAGTATGCTGATCTTTGTGGTCTTTTGTGGTGTGGTCGAGCTGGCGGTTTGTGGCGCTGCCACACTGTCATTCTTTGTCTCTGTCTCGTCCAATTCGTTGCTGCTATTGCTCGTCGATGAAGAAGTCGACGTCGATTCAATCTTTATCTTTGACGATGACAATGACAATGGAGTGGTTGTTGCAGACTTTACAGATGACGGTGAATCATCGCTATTGTTATTGTTGTTATTCGATTCCTCTATTGACGACATTGATGTAGCTGCTGATGAAGATGTTGCATTCGATTGGTCGATGTTGTTGGTGTTTGTGTTGGTGGTTGATAGTTCTTTCTCCTTTTGTTTATCTTTATCTTTCTCCTTCTCCTTCTCTTTCTCCTCTTTGACAATGGCCATTGTCTCACTCGATGATATTTCATTGTTACTGCTGCAGGTGTTGTCATCGTCGGCCTCCGATGATTTCTTGTCCTCGTCGTCGGTGACATCGGCCAGATCGATTGTTTTTCCACGAGCACCAATCATCCACCATCCTTCACCCTTGTCAGTGTCACGTTGGAACAGTGGATTGATCGAAGATGTATTTGACAGTGACGCTGCAATGACACGTTTGTGATCATACGTATATCTCGATCCATCTCTTTTCCTCAGTTTTTTCCATTTCTAAGAAATTTAAATGGTGAAAAAAAAAAAAGTAAAATACTCTATATTAGAATGTTTTTGCTAAATAAACACAACACGCTTAAAGGAGTATCTACTTACATCTGATAAAAATGCTTGAATTGTTGATAAATGTGCTGATCCATTGTTTGCTCTCAATGCTCTCAAGATTTGCTTTTGAACGGAGCTTAATGATTGTTCTTCTTTTTCTTCTTCGGTTCTCTTTAATTTTAATTTAAAAATATAATAATGTTAGTAGGTGTAGGTGGTGTTGGTTTAAAGTAGTATTCTGGAGAGTAGTTTGTTTAATTACTTACCTCTACACTTGAATCATCTAATGTTTGATCTATTTGTTGTTGTTGCTGCTGCTGTTGTTGTTGTTGCTGTTTTTGGTTATTCAGTTGTTGTGCTTGTCTACGTTTACCTCTGAGATAGTTGGTTGAAGATGGTGTCTCGTCTTCTTCGTTCATCGACTCCTCACCTAGACTCTTGTCTTCCTCTTCCATCTCTGAAGTATGATAATCTGACTCCTCACCTCCACTCTTGGATGCAGAGTTGGCACCGCCTGTCTCTGACTTGTTATACAGACTGGCAGTACGTCTTGTAAATTTTGTTGTTGCTATAGGATAGTTATTATTACTATCGAAATTATTATTGTTATTGTTATTATTATTGTTGTTGTTATTGTTATTGTTATTGTTGTTGTTGTTGGATGAAGACGAAGATCGTTTCTTTTGTTTATTCTGTTGTTGAATGATTAACTGTTGGAAAAAGATACCTGGTACATTCTGAGATGGTGAAGTCAGTGGATCGGATGTTGGTGCCGCTGTACTAGATGAGGAGCTGGACGCCGACGAAGACGTCGACGACGACAAGCTGCTAGCTGAAGAAGAAGAACCTACAGCTGTAGGTTCACTCTTTATAGACATTGTCACAGTTGCTGTCGTCGTTGTAGTGGTTGTCGTTGTAGTTGATCCATTGCAAGTCGCACTAGTGGTATCAACTGTCAGACTTCTAAATGGTTTACTCTTTTCTCTCATTCTATATTACTAACTACTGACTACTGAATACTGAATACTAACGACTACTACTTCTTTTGATGTGTTCTATACAATATCTACTATTGAATTCAATCAATAGAGATTCAAATATTAATATTAATATTATTTTAACTACTTTTTTTGTTTTGTTAAATCTTTCTTTTTTTTTTCGAAAAGAAATCTATTTCTAACTATCTATCTATGTTGTTATTGTTATTGTTGTTATTGAGCACAATTATAAACAATGTTGAACTATCTATGAATGTTGAGAGTTATTTTGGTTACTCGGTTCAATTGTCAACTGTGAATGAATTTGAAGATGTAAATGGTTATCGAGATTGAAATTGAAATTGAATCTGAATCTGATTAATCAAGTTAATCATTAAAGTAGAGTTTGATTAGATTTGAGTTGAGTTGAGTTGAGCTGAAATTGAATGGGTGTGACCGTAATATTAATATTGCGCAAAACATATATGCAAAAAAAAAAAAAAAAGTATAAATATAAAAACAAAAAAAAAAAAAAAAACAATATTAAAAAAAAATAAATATTAAAAAAAATTAATATTGTTGTTTGCAAAAACACCCCCACCCACCAAATTTGAAAAAAAAAAAAAAAAAAAACTAAATTAAAAAAAATATTATTAGAAATTAGCAAAAAATAAATAGAGAGGGAGAGACGGTAATCACGTGATCTATGAAACAGTGAATTCACTGTTTTGGTTGTGCACACAACAAACTGAAAGACATACATATAACTAACTATTATGAGTTGAATGATAAAAGTAAGTACTTACAAAGCTTGCTTTTGAATTTGATTTTGTTATTTGATTTGGAGTTGGCGTTGGCTTTGAGTTGAGATGGTAATTCGCGCGAAACGATATACAGTGTTTGGTTTACTTTCTTTGGTTTGTTGATTTGTTGATTGGTTGATTTGATTTTACGATTCTATTGTTATTGTTATTGTAATTGGAACTATATACATTCAATGTTGTTACTATTGATTTATCTTTTTTTTTTTTTTGGTTTTGTTTTTTTTTTTTTTTGACTATGACTATTAACGAGTATTATTGACCATATCTCTTGTAAACTGTTGTAGATCGATCTAATCTGTATAGCTATGACTATGGTTCATTCAATTGTTGAAGTTGAACACTCTGAAGCATCGATCCGATCTGCTAATCTCTATATATCTAAATTCTGTTTTGAATAGTCGACTATAGAGTTACAAGAGAGATGTTAGAACCAGGTCCTCGAGTATTCAATAGTCAATAGCTAACCACAAACTATACTATTGAACTTTGAATGATTTGATATAGATACTAACTATATGATCTTATTGTCAATTGAATTTGGTTGTTGTTTAACTTCTGTCACTAACTACAGTATTATACTGGGATATTGGAATATTGCTGGACAATCGAATTTTCCAATGTACACTACTGATTGATTAAGTATTGATTTGAATTGAATTGAATTGAACTGAATTTGAATTGATTATCTATATTTAGTGAGTGAGTGGAATGAATAGAAACTGAGACACTACGAATGATGATTTCTCCCAAATAAATCTTAAACTAGTTTTTTTTTTTCAATTTTTCAATTTTTACTTTTTTTACTCAAAATTTTTTATCTTGATTTATTTTTATTTTTAAATATCTTGGGAATTACAACAGCATCTGTTGCGAATCGAAAGAATCCGATCAGTGTTGTTGTTGTTGATCGGAATCAATTAGATAGATTATTTTATAACAATTAGTAGGTCATGTGAATGAGAATAATAATCATGATTGCAAGCATTGCACCTATTTTGTTATAAGAATAATTTATTTTGTTTTTTTTTTTTTTTGTTTTTTGTTTTTTGTTCATGAGTGATTTTTAAACACTCTCGAGTCTTTGCATTCTATCTCTCTTTCTACATTTCCAATTGATGTTCGGGATGATATATCTACCTAGTGTACATTTGTTTGTTTTGTTCTTTGTTTGACGATGATGATGATGATGATGATAATGTTTGTTGTTTGGGTTGGATGATACTAATTCTTCTGCTGCTGCTGTTGTTGTTATTGTTATTGCTGCTGCTGTTGTTACTGTTACTGTTCACTTTATATATATATTTTGATTTTACTGTTGCTGTTATTGTTGTTGTTAACGTGGTGGCAGTGGTGGTGTTGGACGACCTGGTTTTGGTGGTGGTGTACCGTTGGGACCTCCATTCATTGAGGGTGGTGGACGAGGTGGCACTTTAGCACCTCCTGCACCTGGTACTGGTGGTGGTCCGGGACGCAGTGAGACAGGACGCTCTGGCTTGGGTGGAGCACCGCCACCTTGGTTGACGCTTACTGGACGTGGACCGCCTGGCAGACTTGGGGGTCCGCCTGGGTGTGGAGGACGTGGTCCACCTGGAACGGGAGGAGGACGCGAACTTCCTGGAATGGGAGGTGGTCCTCCCGGTGTAGAAGGTGGTGGACGTGGTGCACCTGGTGGAGGTGGACGATTGCCTGGTGGTACAGGAGGTCCGCCACCTGGTGTGTGAGGTGGAGGTTGACGTGGTACGCCAGGGGGTGGACGTGGTGGTTGCGATGGTGGAACGTGAGGTTGTCCACCGGGATGAGGAGGTGGTGGACGTTGTGGTTGAGCGGGTGGTGGTCCTCCCGGTTGAGGAGGTGGTGGACGAACCATTGGTGGCTGAGGAGCCATCGAGATTGGACGTGCTGCTGGTGGTGCCGTTGTCTTTACTGGCACCTTCAAGGTGGTACCAGTGCTCTTTCCACTCGGGTACACCTTTATAGATCCTTTAAATGCTGGTGGTTCTGGAAATTCGTTGGTAGAAGGAAATCTCCATCTTTCAGATCCATCATATAATTCTGTTTTGTATTGTAAAATGATGATGATGATTATGATGTTATGATTATTGTTAGTTCATTTTTGGACTTATCAATCGATCGATCAATCAATCTTAACAATCAATCAATGATCAGGATTTGATTGTATTACTACTGACCATCTTGAGGTTGCATGTTATAACTCATTGATTAGCTTGTCTTATGTGATTGTTATCTATTTAACCTATATAATCTTTCACAAATTGCCAAACCAAAATAGAGCTCTATATATATATATAATCTTTTTTTTTTTTTTGTTTTCTTTCTTTCTATGTTCTTGTTGATAAGTGGTGCAGTGATCGTATATTATCTATAAATTCCGACTTTCTAACCATTAAAACTTCACTTTTAACAACTCTATCTCTAATTTCCTATATGTGTGTATTAATTAATCATTGGATAACCATTAATAAACATAATCTGTCATCAATGAATTGGTTGATTTCTAGGTGTCGGTCGATTGAAAATGAATGAACTGAATTGTAAACTTGAATGTTCCAAAATCAATGTTGTTGTTGTTGTTGACTCTCTGTTTCTTTTTCGCTTTACTATCTTGTTCTGCTTCTACTATTCTAATTAGCTACTACTAAAACTATTATATTATTGATTTATTTATGATGAAATCGATTTATATGTGTCAATTATTATTATTATTATTAATTATTATATAAACTAAAATCATAAATCATATGATAATGACTAACTAAAAGAGAAACAAACTCACAAAACAAAAAAAAACAATAAAATCTTCAAATTATATAAATATTTTAATAATTATTAAAATATAAATAAAAAATAAGTAGGTAGATAACCCAAATAAACGATAATTATATTAGTAGGTATACCTACTACTCTAGAAACAACAATTGGATTGAATTATATTTGAAGTGTAGAGATGGTTGTAGGGTGTGGGTAAGTGTGTGGATGATTATACTATTGTTGGAAAAAAAAAAAAATCAAAACAAAACAAAAAAATGTGGAAGATAACAAAGCAAACCAAACTAAACTTTGGTGATAATTTAATAAATATGATTATTTTAAATTTATTTGTGATTTATTATTATTATTATTATTATTTGAAAATTTATTGATGTGAGTGTTATATAATGATATATTTTAATTTTATTGTTTTTTTTTATATAATTTAATTTGGATGGTGTTTAATAGATTATTATTATTAATAATAATATAAAGGAAGGAAAATGTATGTCTAATATCGAATTGTTTTTGCTCTAATATTAGAGTTGTTCTTTAAATATATGGCAGTATGAATGATATATATATGATTAAGATTATGATTATGATACGATAATGCAAATACAGTATTTTGTTTTTTTTTTTCTATTTTTTTTTTTTTTTGATTTATATTAATTAAAATAATAAATTAATTAAAAATATTAGGTTGTTGCACCTCTTAATGTGTAAGTCGACTGTGGTAAGGTGAGATTGTGTTTAGTGTTTAGTGTTGTTTTTTTTTTTTTTTGGGTTGAGTTTTAGGTTCACTGTTTGTTTGATTGTTTTTTTAAGTGAAATATCTAAATTTAACAATTCATTGATTCTGTCGATGATTTGAAAAATATTACTTATTATTACTTTTAATTATTATTATTATTATTATTTAATTAAATATATGTATTAATTAATTTGTTGAACACCCTATTATTGTTTTGATTGGCTGATCGATCATCGTGACATAATTCCGGATGTCGTCAATTTTTGAGATTTCACTTTGATTTTCGACTTTTGTGCTATCAAAATTGCCAATACTTCAAATTCTAATACTGTACTACTATTATTATTATTATTACTGTAGACTGTTACTGTTACTGTCTGTCCTGTACCAATAATGATTATAACACTTGAATTTCAGTCACTCATTCATTCGTTTAATCATTCATTTTCGATCATTACCAACCATTAACCTAAAATCTAACCTAAATATAATTTTGTTTTTTTATTACCTACCTGAAATAAATAAATTCTATTTTAAAAAAATGAAAGAATATCTATCTATTTTTTAATTATCTGTATATTTTTATATGTTGTTGTTCTTTGTTTTTAATTTAACAATTACTAATTATGAAAATAAATAAAAAATTAAAAAGATGAAATAAATACAGATATCCTTGCGAATAAATCTTATTTCTCTTTTTTTGTTTTTTAAGGGTATTACAAAATTGTAAAAGTTTGATACTCTTATTGTTATAAAGTTAGTGAATGTGTGTTGTTGATGGTGGTGGGTTTGAAAGGAGAGAGAAGAGTGCTTTTCAATTTGTAAAAAAAAAAAAAGAAAAAAGCAATTTTTTTTGAAAAATAAAAAAATCAATTTAAATTGAACATTTTGGGTTTTTTGAAATTTTTTATGATAATATAAAATTGGAAAGAAATTGTGTTATTTTTAAAGTCCGTCTTCATAAAGACAGTCATTAATTATTACATACATATTAAATATCATTTATCTCGGATGTTGTTTTATTTTGTTTTTTGATCAAAACTTCGAGACACTGAATTTTTTATTTAATATCCTATTTATGTCATTGGAGTAATTAAAAATCGGAGGTGAGGTTTTCACTAACATGGTAGAATGAACTAATTTCCCCATTAAAAGTTTAAAATCTTTATCATCCAATTAATGTAAAGTCAACTCAAATCAACTCAACTTTTTCAATAACTTATTTGTATAGGTACTTATTCAATATCCAATGTTCTCTGTTTTGGTTCTCTACCAATATTTACAAAAAAAAAAAAAAAAAAAAAAAAAATAAGTAAACAAAGAAAATTAGTTATTTTCCTATTTATTTGATTGTTATAAGATTCTTTTGAAATCAATATGAATAAAAAATGATAAACAAATAATTAATAAAATTAAAAAAAAAAAAGAATAAGATAGATTTATCTTAAGTTTTTTTAAAAAATATTAAAAAAATTTGTTTTTTTTATTTTTATTTTTTTATTCTAAATTTCTATTTTTTCTTGAAGTGAAAGTTTTCTTTTTTTAATTTGTTATTATCAATAATTTTTCAATATTGAGATAATACTATTTATATATTTATATATATTTATATTTATATTATTATATCTTGTGTATTTATAGTGGTAGAAAGAGAAGAGATTGAGGAGAGCGAGAAGTAGTAGTAGTAGTAGTAGTAGTAGTTAGATCTAGAAAGTTTGTTCTTTTATATACATACATATATATATTTATAATCTATATTTTTATATTTGATAAACAAACAAAAATATGTTTCGTTTAAAGGAATTACAAAAGAAACAACAAGCAGCTGCAGCTGCCGCTTCGACACCAGCAACAAACGGAACTGGTGAATCAACAGCACCATCAACACAGACAGAGGTGACCGAAGTCAAGAGACAGAATTCAAACGATCTCAAAGAGATCAGAAAACAAAAATCAAAGGACAGTTACTTCTCACTCAAATCCAAGCAATCATCCGATGTTGGTACTGGTGGTAAGAGAGCTAACCCTGCTGAATTACGTGCACAAAAAGGTAATCTATCTATTATAATAGTTAAATAGCAATATATATATATATATTGTTTTACAGTAAAAGTATAGTAATTTGTAACAAACAAACTAACAATCATTATTTATGTTTTGTTATTTTCTTTTTTTTTAAAAAAAAACTTTAAATAGATGTCGATGAAATGGAAGTACCATTGGGTTGCAAAGTTACATTCAAAGACACCAACGACATTCTCAATTTCCAATTAGACATTACACCAACTGATGGATTGTATCAGAGTGCGACATTCAAGTTTTCAATTAATATTCCAAACACCTACCCATACGATCCACCCAAGGTTCACTGCGACACACTTGTATATCATCCAAACATTGACTTAGAAGGTCATGTTTGTCTCAATATTTTAAGACAGGATTGGATGCCAGTACTCAACATTGGTACTGTCATTTTCGGTCTTATGACCTTGTTTTTGGAGCCAAATCCCGATGATCCTTTGAACAAGGAGGCCGCTCAACTCATGATAGATAATCGTAAGACTTTTGAGACCAACGTCAAGCAATCATTACGTGGTGGATATCTTTGTAATCGTCAATTCCCTAAATTGTTGTAATAATCAAATAATAAATAATTCTATATATAGAACTAACACTAAACTTCTCAACAAACAACAACAAATAACAACAACAAGCAACAACACATCTAAACTATCAAAAATCAAAAACAAAATAAACAAAAGAAACTAAAAAAATAACAAACTAATTTGAATAAAACATATTATTTGTTAAGTAAAAAAACAACAAAACAAATACAACTTGTAATTCTTTTTTTTATTATTATTTCATTCCAATGATATTGGTGTCTTCCTGCAAACAAACTTTCTATAAAAATATAATAGATTAAGAATACTTTAATAAATATATCTATTTAGAACAATTGTCGGTTGAAATTGTTTTATATTTATTTGTTTTTTTTTTTTATGTGTGTGTGTTGTGAACATACACAAAGATAAAAAAGGAAATTTATTAATTAGTTTTTGTAGGTTGAAGTTTTAGAACCCACCCGTGACAATGACATTGTTTACAAAGAATAAGTTGTAATTTTTAGATGACCTACGAGTATATATACAAAATATTGTTGTTTTTGTTGAATCTACAAAGATTATCTATCAATTTTAGTTGTAGTAGTTTATTGTTTTTTACAAATTAATTTAGAATTATGAAAAAATATATCTATTTATCTTTATTATTTGTAGTCTTACAATTAATAATTGTTTTATCAAATGCTTATGATTTACAGCAATTAGATGGCCAAGATAATTGTTTTGCCCACCCAACACTCTGTGATAAAAATCAAACTTGTATAGTAGACGACAATCCAAAATGTACTTCAGATAGTAAGTTATTTTCACTAATCAAGAGATTGTTATTTTTTAAATAGTTAATAATTAATTCTTAAACTATAACAAAAAGATAAAATAGAGATTAAAGTTACAAAAATACAATCATTCTCCGATCACAATGTGCTCAATACAATCAACCAATATGAAGTTACTTTACACAATGGATTGCCAAACGATGTGAAACAATTGCAGTTAGAACCGATAGAACCATTAATTCTGAGGGACTATAAATCCTATTGGAACATTGGAATCTATCCAAATGGTGATTTGATTACTCCTGACGATCAAGTAATTTATAAAGACAACACATTTGTTTTTGGGTAATTATTTATTAAAAACATATATATTTTTGTTATATTTAGTTTTATAGTTGCTGTATTGTTATAAAAGAAAAAAATAACATATAGAAAAAAAAAAACAAATATAATTTCAGTTAATAATAATTTACTTACATTTTCTTTTCCTTTTTCTTTTTTTTTTTTTTTTGATAGATTCTTGGTTACCAATGAGGTTAATGATACATCTCTGAGAATTAAAACATTGTTTACATAGTTTCAACGATAAAGATAGTCTATTTCTAGAACAAAGTTTTTTGTTTTTTTTTGTATAATTTTTTAGAAAATAAAGAAATATAAAAAATATTAAAGTATAAAAAAGTTTAGTTAATAATTATATTATTTAAAAAAGTTTAAACCGAGGTAGAGCAGGTAAGGTAAGGTAATATTAGGAAACTAGCTATATATCTATATTATATAAAATAATAATAATAGATAATTATCTTATAATAAAAAAAAATTTAAAAAGTTTAAAAAAATTTAAAATATAAAAAATTGTAATAAATAATAAATAAAATAAAAAAAAAGCTAATATTAAGATTTAAATAGAGATATATTAAATATTTAATATATAGTAAAGTTAGCAATAGATAGAGATGTTGTTGGTACCACTTTGATATATAGTTAACAAAGACTGGGTTTGCTGATAGATTGATTGACTGATGATTATTATTATTATTTCAACACTGAACCGACTAAGTGAAATTGTTGTTATATAAGTTGTTTGGATTGGTTGATTTTCCTCTTCAGTCTTGTTATTACTCTATTGATTATATTTACTATTATTATTATTATTATGATTAATGATTTTGGTTGGTTTTGTTTGTTTTGTTTTGTTTTGTTTGTTTTTTAAAAAAAAATATCGATTTAATTCTTATCAATAATAAATATTATATAAATATATATATATCTCTAATGCTTTTGATTGATTCTACTTTTTGAAGGAGACTTGTAATACTTTTCCTTCGACTGTTACACCATTCACTGAATTGATTGCATTTATAGCATCTTGTAAATTAACCATTCTTACAAATCCAAATCCTTATTTTTTTGTTTTGATAGAGAATATTTAATTTAGTAATCATAATGTCAATGTCAATGTTATAACTATTTACCTTTACATGCTTGTGTAATTGGATCTTTCACAACTTTGACACTGGCAATTGCACCCGATGGGCTGAAAAGTCTGTATAGCAAAGCATCATCGGCATCTGCCGGCAGATTATATATATAAAGATTGGTTGGATCCATTCCAAGTCCACCGATAACAGGTGACTATAGTTATGTTGGCAATAGAATTTTAAATATAATTAGTAATTTAAAATAAGTAATGTTATTATTATTATTATAATTATTAGTTATGTTAATTACCATTTGATAGAATGCAGTTGGTGCAGGATATAGAGGAGTTGTAGTTGGCGATGGGTATGGTGAAAATCTGAGATTGGATCTGGTTTTGTGTTGTGTCTTCATTCGTTTGTGTACTTTTTCTTCTTCGTTGTCGGCGTATCTGACAATGACGACCTTGTCGGCACCCGGGAATTTATAGTTGGTCAGTGCCTTGATGGATTTGGTGGCCGATGAGATCTCTGCGAAACGAACGAGTGCCTGTCCTCGACTGGTGTTCGTGGTGATGTCCAAGAGCAGCTTCGACTCGAGGATGGTACCGTACGCCGAGAAGAATTCATTCAACTGCTCCTGTGTAAAACTCAATGGTAGTCCCTTAATATATAGATTGTTGGTTGCCTTGGCATCATCAACATGCGGTGCCACACCACCAGTGGTGACGCTGTTCTCCACATTGGCATGACGAACCAACAGTGTTTTCTTTTCGATTTTAGCTCCATTCATTGCTTTGATTGCATTATTTGCTAAACATTAGATGATGATGATGATAACGATATTTTAGTTTTTTGTTGTTAAAAAAGATAGATAGATAGATATTTTCAAACTTATTATTACCATTATTATTATCTTTAAATTTGACGAAACCGAAACCTCTACTTTGTCCAGTGACCAAATCGATCATTACACGACACGATTCAATGGCACCGAAAGCAGAGAACATCGATCTCAAATCTTCGGTTGTGACAGTACTAGGCAAGAAATTGACAAACAGATTACCTTGTTCAGATCCACCATTGTTGATATTGTTATTGTTGTTATTGTTGGATTGTTGTGATAAGGTTGTAGTTGTTGAAGTTGACAAAATAGACTCGTTGTTTGTAGATGAAGAAGATGATGAAAGTGTATTGTTATTGCTGCTGCTATTGTTATTATTATTATTATTATTATTATTTCCATTAGATTCATCGTTCAAGCTTGAATGAGTTTCTAATATTTGTCTGGATTCATAGTCATCTCCATCGATGTGTTCATTGTCAATGTCATTGTCATTGCTGCTGCTATCTCTGTTTCTGTCTTTTCTATTGTCACTGTCGCTATGGTGACTGTCATCGTTGTAGTCATTATCGATTTTACCAGGTGATGAAATCGGTGATTTCGGTGAGTACGAAGGTGATTTTGAACTTTCCATTGTCCTGTATATATTTTTTATTATTTTTTTATTTTTGAAACAATATAATATAATCTCTATTCTATGAATTACTCTATATTTTTCAATCTCTATTCTATTTCTATTGAATTGACTGACAAACACCCCACACAATTTTGAATATTCAATAAAAATATATTTATAAATAAATTATGAACAACAGAATGAAAAAACAATTTATCTTATTTATTATTATTTATGAATTTAACGAAAACATTTTTTTTTTTTTTGAATTTTATTTTTTTTTTTTTTTCATTTTTTTTTTTAACTTGTTCGTGCATAAAGTTTCACATTCGCATACTTGAAGTTATACATTGATCAAAATATATTATATTTTGATTATTACATATCAAGATAAAAAGCTTATACATGTAATAGTTTTATTGTTAAAAAAGTGATCAATTAGTGTTTTCTTTAAACATTTAATACGATAATCATTTTATTTTTGTGTTTTTTTTTTATTATATTTTTTTTTTTTTGGTTAAAAGAAAGGATAACCTTTAATAACAAAATAAAGGTTAAATTTGAATTGGTTATATCTGTTGGTTCATGAGAAACTAATTATTGTGGTTCACACTGATATCTTATTGGAACACAGATTCTCAGTTTAATTTTTTAAAAAATGAACAACCCCCTAACCTTTGTTTTATTTAGACAGTCACTTTAATTTGTACATCATTAACAATTTAAATGTGAAATTAATACAAACTTTTTATAACTGTATTTATTTATTATTTATTTATTTCATTTCAAAAATTAATTTGTTAATATTATAACCAACTTTATAGAAATATTATATAATAATAGGAACTTAGAGTGAGAGAAATGAGTGAAATCGTCAGTTTTTATGTACATGATTTAAGTAGAGGTTTGGCAACAAATTTTCTCAAACAAAATGGTGTAGATCTTCAGGGACTATATCATACCAGCATAGCTGTCTTCAATAAAGAATATTTCTTTGGTCAAGGAGTCAAGAGTGCTGAAGCTGTAAATATCAAACATATGGAGATATAAAATAGTAATTAATATTCTTGTTCAATCAACATCATCATTAGGGAAAAACTGAATATGGATCAGAAAATTTAAGTGAGAAAATAGTTTTGGGAAGAACCAAAAAAACAGAGGAGGAGTTCACACAGTTTTTAAATGGATTATCTGCTTCAAAGTATCCTGTCGGTAGTCATGACGCCTTTGAAAACAACTGCAATCACTTTTGTAATGATTTAACTCAATATCTTTTGAATGGAAAGAAGATCCCAGATCGTATTGGAAAGTATACTGATAAGATAAAGGGATCTCCTTTCGAACCTGTATTCAGGTAAGTAGATTTAACATCATACATATATATATTTGATTTGACTTTTCATTTAATTCTAACTCTTTCTATATTATCATATTTTCAGGTCAATGTTTAAACAATATGTTTTATAATACTTACTTAAAATATTCAATCAAAATTAAAGTAAAGTGTTATTAGAATTTTATAAAAAATAAAATAAAATAATAATTAAACTTAACAAATAAATTTATCAATTATAAAATATAATGATGGACTGTATCAAAAGTGATAAAAGGATAAATAAAATGGATGGATGATATTGTATAGATTTCTTTGGTTTATTAAATAAATAAATAATATTATTGATTGCGTAAGGTTGTGTTGTTATTTAACAGGTTTGGTTGGTTGGGGTTGGATTGATGGATGAGTTGATGGATGGAAGTGTTCATTTGTTTTTTTTTTTGCTTTTTGTTTATCTTTTTTTCTTTTTTTTTTTTTTTGTTTGTTTTTTCTTATTCGTCTTGTCTCGTCTCTCACTTCTTTCTGATTGTCTCGGGAAATCTTTCGTCGAGATACTTGTTACATATCTTATCTACCGCGTTATTAAGTTTGTTGTCAGAGTGCCCCTTTACCCAGTTCCAGTTGATTTGGTGTAATTGATTCAGTTGGTGGAGTGTCTTCCAGAGATCGTCGTTCTTCACTGGCTTCTTGGAGGAGGTTCGCCAGCTGTTGTCGATCCACTTTTGTATCCAGAGAGTGATACCCTGTTGAACGTATTTCGAGTCGGTGTAGATGAATGCATTCTTTTTCTCTGCCTTTCCCAGATACTCGAGTCCCTGGATCACTGCCATTAGCTCCATACGATTGTTGGTTGTCTTGACCTCACCTCCACACAGTGACTTGGCAGTCTGCTCGTCGAGTGTCTTTATGTTGTCGCCCTCGAAAATAAGACAACCCCACGATCCAGGTCCAGGATTACGGCGACAAGCACCATCAGTGTAAATTACAATCTTTTCGATCTCGGTTGGTTTTTCTCTTTTTGAATCTGGTGCATTGATTGTCGCATTATCTACATTTGGTGGTGTGGGTGATGATGATTGTGGTGTAGTTGGTTTTGCTTGTTGTATTGTTTGTTGTTGTTGTTGTTGTGGTTGTTGAAGTAGTGGTGGTGTTTGAGTTGGAGTTTGTATTTGAGTTTGTGTTTGTGTTGGTAATAGCTGTGGTAGTGGTGGTTGTGATTGTAATTGTTGATCTTGTAATTGATAATGTTGTTCTATAATTTGTTCAGTTTCCGCTTTTCTTTTTCGATTGTACATATCTACATTATTGATATCGCCTATATTTACATTGTTACTAATAAAATCTCCACCCAAACCAACAGTTGTATAACCATTCAAAGGTGAATTGCTACTGCCATTTCCATTGCTATAAAGTGGTTGTTGTTGCTGTTGTTGTTGTTGTTGTTGATTCATTGTGTTGGTGGTTTGTGGTGGTGGTACGCTATGAATTTGATTACTAATCATCTTTTATTTTCCCAACTTTTCAAATTGATTGACTTCAACTATTATTATTATTATTATTATTATTTTGATTATAAATAGATAGTTTTTAGGTTTTAAATAAATAAAATAAATAAATAAATAATAAATAAATAAAATTATTTAATTGGGTATTGTTATTATTATTATTAGTATTGTTGTCGTTGTTATTCTAATACTATAATTATTATTTAATAAAATATTAGTTTAACTGTTCTGTTATGTTTTCTTTTCTTTCTCTTTGCGTAAGTGGAATTGGTGGTGTTGGTCCAAACAATTATTATAGACTTGACTAAAAAATCTTTTAAAAGAAATATTTTGCTTAAAAATAAATAAATAAATAAATATAATTAACACAATACACACACTGATGTAGTTGTTTGGCTTGTTGTTGTTGTTGTTGTTGTTATGTTTGTTATTGGTTGTTAAGATGTTGGTGTCAATTTATGTACATAAGTGAAAATTTGCAAAAATGATAAAATTGTGGTAAATTGAATAAATGTAGATTCCAATTTATTTTGTTTTTATATTTATTTTGGTAATTAATTGAAAATTGCTTTTTTTAAATGAGTTGTAGTGGCTGTGGTATTTTTTTTAAAAAAGGTGTGTTTTTTTTATTTTTATTTTATTTTATTTGACAAAGTATGAAATTAGTTAGTGGTAGTTGATGTTGTTCTATTGGAGGTTACGATCGTGGTGATATGATATTTATTTTGTTTAAGGGAATGAATCTCAGACAAGATCACAAAGAATATTGATATTATTTTATTCTTTTTTATTTTTTGATATTTTTGTTTTTTTATAAATTTGTTTTTAATAAAATATTATTTATTATAATAAAATGAAATGAGGTGGAATTTAATTTATTAATTAATAAATAATAAAAATGAAAATAATAAATAAAATAAATATCAAAAATAAAAAGAATTCTTTCTTAACCTTTTATCTTTTTCTTTTATATCATTTAAAATCTATTTATTTAAAACAAATAAATATTATTTATTTCTTTATTGTTGTATTAATTTGGTATTATTATAAACAAAAAGTGATCGAATGAGAATGAAAGGTGGGATTTGAAAGTGTGTATGATAATTGATTATTTTTAGGTTTAAGCTAGATTTAAGTATATTTATGGATGTAAATGGCAGATCCAAGCGTAGATAAAGCATGAGTGAGTGTCATCACAAAACATGTTAACATAGATATATAACTAGCGATAAATAATTACACTTGAGTTTATATTACTATTGAATTTTTTATTGGCTGGTCGAAATTAACAACAGTAACATATAAAAATATATTTATATATTTGTTTATTTTATTTTTTATGTTTAGTAAAATTGATTGATTGGTTGATTTTTCTTTTGTTTGCTGTGGATGGCGTTTAAATAATAATAAGTTTGATTGTTAGTTGTTTGTGTGATTTGGAATTAATAATAAATAAATTTATAATTATTAAAAATTTTGTTACTCAAATAGTTAAATTAATAAAAGTAAAATTGATATTACTGTTTAATTCAATTATAATATGATCATTATCAGCATTTTCTATTTCAATTTCTGAATTTTATTTCAGTCAGTGAGAGAGAGAGAGAGAGAGAGAGAGAGAGAAAGTGTTAGTTGAATTTGTTTAATATAGAAATAATAATAATATGATGTAGGTATAGAGAGGTAGAAACATTGATTTATGGTAGGTAGAGGTAGTAATGTATGACCAAATTATTAGATTGCCTATAGAGTAGGGAGTGGTAGTGGTAGTGGTAGTGGTAGTGGGAGTGAGTGGGTAGTGGTGGTAGTGATCACTGGAATGGGTGGGTTATGTGTTGTGTGTTGTGTGTGTGTTTGATGATGTGAATATCAAATTTATAAATATATAGATAGATTGATAGATTGATAAGGTATAACTAATTTTACCTTTAATTTTTGTATAAATCTGATCATATCACTACCCACTCCCTATAAATTTCAGAGGAAACTGAGTGTTAAAAAAAGAGAAATATAAATCCTTGTTTGTTGTTGTTGTTGTTTGATCAAAAACAATTATTAGTTTGTTGTTATTTTCAAACAAAATTATGACCGATGCCTATTTGCCAAATAAATTAAATTTGTATTCAATATTTATTGGTACTTGCCTTTGTTATTATTATTTTATTGTGGAATCAAAAATTACAGTTTTTTTTAATCATTAAATTAATAGTTGAGGGTGTTTTTGAGAATGATGAATAAACATGGTCAAAGATTCCTCTAAACATCCAAAAACCTCTACACCAATCATTGATTTATCAATCAACACTTCTTACCATCACCTACTACCACCACTACTACCACCACCAATCATCCAACGACCTAGTGTGGCATCAATATAGATGTGTGATGATGTTATTGTTATTGTTGAAGGTATTCGAAGATTAAATTTCAAATAATACAACTTTGTTTATGAAAGTTTTTCAAATATATTGGTTGTATTCTGTAATACTGAATTATACAAAACTCTAATTTAATTAATACTATTCTGAAAAGGGGCAGCCAAAAACAACAAATTAAAAAAAAAAAAAAAAAGGTCTGTCTCCAGTAATTAAACAAACACACACTCACACACAAATACCAAACCACTAAAATTCGTCATCAAAATACTAACCAATAATTCAAGCAACAAGATACAGTTTTATTAATAAATTTAATATTTTATATTTTTTAAACTTTTATTACCATAGTAACATGATTATATATTAATATTATTGTGGTTCTACTCTACAAAAAATAAAAATTAAGTTTTATCATTCAAATTTAATTTATTTTCAGTTCATTTTCAAAATTTTGGTATTAAATTTATCATCTATTTGATTTATATTATTGGTTGTTTGTTTGTTTGTTAGTTATATGTTTGGTTGGATTGACTTGAACTGATGAATTGATTAACTTGATTTTTGAATGTTTGTTTTTAATAATTTAAGTTAAAGTATGTTACTGTTATTGGGGAGGATTCGACATGTTGTTTCTTCTGATCACTGGATAATGTGTAATCTCATATTCATCATCGAGGTACTCTTCACTTTCATCGTCGTCATCGTCATCCTCGTCAGCGTAATACTGATCCTTGAGGGTCAATCTAGTTGGAAGGGTATGGTTGATGTTCTCATTGTCACTCTCCATATCTTCGTCGGACGACCACTCTGAGCTTGTAGTATCATCGTCGTCTTCGTCGAGATCGTTGTCAGCAGATGGCATACGATTGGCATTGGGTGGTGGCAATGGTACAACATCTGACTTCACTCTATGTACAGGTAAATCCGATTCATCGGTCTCACTGGCGAGTCCACCGTCTTCGTCGTCGGCATCGTCACTCACCAGCGTTCCTCTACCTGCAAAAGTAGGTGGCATAACAGCCAGTGGTGATTGATGACTTGAGAACACTGGTAAAACTTTATCATTTGAATTGGAAACATTATTATTATTATTATTATTATTAAGTTGTTGTTGTTTTATATCATTTTGTTTATCATTTATATTGTTATTATTATCTTCTTCACCTTCACTATCTGTAAATTCATCTTGTTTCTTTGCAATTTCTTTCTCTTTTTCGATCTTTTCTTTTTCGAGTTCGAGTTGTCGCTCTGCTTTGAGTTCGCGACGTTCGGCACGCTTGGCGCGACGTTCGGTACGTGCAGCTCTTCTTGCTTCCTTGTCGAGTAACTCCTTCTTTGCGAGATCCTTACGTTTCTTCTTTGGATCTTCTTCGACTTCCGGTGCCGCCTTGGTCGCCACCACGGTGACTGGCGCCAGCACGTTGGCCTGTCCACCGTAGATTCGCGCGGCTTCACTTCGCTCATCGGCAGTCACAGGACTGGAATCGAGAATGGTCAAACTCTGAATTCTGTTTATAACGTATAGTCGATAGTCTTTGTATTCCTTGAGAGTGTGTCCATTGAAGAAGTTGGGACACGCTTCATTCTTCATCATACTGAGTGTTTTCAACTGAGGATACGAATCTTTGACACGATCGACAAACACAGACAGGTTTGTAATCAAATTGCTATTCACCCAGAGAGTATGTAGTGTTGGAATGATAGGTAGTTTAGTGTGTTGTGTTATCTTGTTATCATCTAAAACCAATGTATGAAGTTGTCTGAATCCCTCTAAAACATGTAAATCCCTATTTTTTGAAAATAGAAATAATCTATTATTAGAATCATGTTGATAATCATCATGATCATGATCATCATCGGATCATCATCAAATGAAATAAACATGATCATACTTATCTAGATGATTAGATGTTAAATCCAATTCTCTAACACTATATCCAAATCTTTCGATAATCTTTGGGTTTATTTCAACCATACTCCGATATGCGAGATCTAATCTCTCTACTTTTGGTTCGCCGTTATTCGACATGTCTTATTATTGTTTATATTACTTCTACCAACTACAATTACTAATATTTCTATGATTGATTGATTAATAACTACTACTATTGTTTATTTATTTATATTTTATAATAAAATTGTATTTTAAAACATTGATTGATCTATACAAAAAAAAAAAAAAAAGATTTATATGAAAATAAAATTTGTAATTACTTTTTAATCAATTACACTTAAAAGTCAAAAAATGCTATTATAAAAATAAAAAGTTTTTTTTCCTTTGAGTTTTCTGATACATTCACGAAAAATTCAAATCCGACGGCTAAATTGAACACATTTTTGTGTATTTGCCAAAATAGATAAAGCAAAACTACCCAAATTACGGAGATAAAATTGAAATAGGTAGTTTTGCTTACGGAGAATTTCAATTTTATCATTTTTGGAACAAACAAACAATTTCAGAGACTGTCAACTCAACCTATCAAAAATAGGGGTGATTAATTCGATCTTCAAATTCTTTTCATCATATTTAAACTAGACATATGTTTGATTTACTGATGTCATCACCGATACGAATGAAAGCAATGTAGGTTCTTAAAATAGTGTTTTGTCCACAGAACTAATCTAGGTACGTTTAAATAAAAATATATCAAACAGAGAAAAACATGGGCGAAATAATATTAATTTTTTTAAAAAAAATTTAAATAATTTTGTTTCCCACTATTGACAAAAATCCCATAATGTAGCAGTGTTTTTTTAAACAAACCTCAGCATCATTTATTTGTATACAATGAATATAGAAGATGATCTTGAATATATTATTAGTGATAATCATGCAATTAACGACGACGACGACAACGATAATATAGATAGTAATGATAATCATGAAAAGAATATACAAAAGCAGCATGATAAATCAAACAACAACAACAACAATGAGATCTACAACGAAGATGAAGACATAGAGGATCTTTTAAATCTTCAAACTGCAATAGATGAAGATGATGATTCAATCATTTTAGATAATAATAATAATAGTGATACAGAGTTTGTAATTGATGAAGACTATGATGATGATGACGAAGATGGAGAAGATGATCATTACAACAAAGATAATAATAATAATACTGTAAATAGTTATAATGAAGATGATGAAATTCAACGCTCATCTACAAAGAGAATAAAGACAATACATAATAATAATAATAATAATAATAATAATAATAATAATAATAATAATAATAATAATAATAATAATGACAATAGTAATAAAAATAATAATATGTTTAATGAATTTACAAGTGAAATATTAATGGATATACCTGTCCTATCGACTGTATCACCAACTACAACAACAACTACGACTTCAACAGCATCATCATCTTCATCTTCATCATCATCATCAGATTTAAATATAGATTTAAATTATGCATTACAACTCAACTTGGAGTATCAAAGAACAATAAAGAAATACTTGGAGAATATAGAAAAAGCAATGGAGAAGAATACAGAATTACTTGTAAGAATTAACTATAAATCATTTTTTAGGAAATTTAATTAAATTCACTAACATTTTTCTTACTTGTTATTCAAATTTAAATCAGAATAAAGCAAGAAGTCTATCATCTACACCACCAATCAAAACGAAAAGTATTCAAGAGAAGAAAGCAGGTGCTCCATTTTTCCAAAATGAATCGAATGAATCTCCACCTGACAATCCTGATACCATTTATTTGAAACAACATTTCGGTGGTATGCCAATGTATTTTAAAGCAAGAAAATGTAAGTTGATTTTTATTATGTTTAAATGTTATTGTTTTTACTTAAATTTTTTATTAAAAAACTTTAGGGACAAAGAATGATTGTCAAACATTGGCAGGTGGAATCAGAGAGAAGAATATGCAGTTGAAACTGTTTGAGATCTCTGAGAGAAACATATCAAAGACAGAGTATCAGAGAGAGATGAGCAACGTCTCAAAGATCACAATGACAGAGTTGGAGATGAATTTGAATGGTATCAACTGGGAGAGTCTGTGTAATGAACATATGCCAGGCAGAACACCACTGGAGTGTGAACTGCGGTGGAAGAATCACGATCATCCTTCGATCAACAAGGAACCTTTCACCAAAGAAGAAGACAAGAATCTCATTGCACTCGCAAAGAAATACGAAGGACATCAGTGGTTCGAGATCTGTCGCGAGTTGGGAACGGCGCGCTCAGCTGTTCAGTGCTGTCAGCGCTACCAGCGAAGTTTGAACACCAAGTTTATGAAGCGTGAATGGACCAAAGAAGAGGATGAGATTCTCCGACGTGAGTATAACAGGTGTCACTCGGAGGGTGGCGAGAGAAGCTGGCAGCTCATTGCCGAGGCTCTGGAAGGACGTACCGGACAACAGTGTCTGCATCGCTGGCAAAAGACATTGGATCCCTCGATTAAGCGTGGTCGTTGGACAGACGAGGAAGACGATCTCCTACGAAAGGCAGTCGAGCTCTATGGCAAAGGCAATTGGATATTGATAAAGAACCATGTCCCCGGTCGTACCGATATGCAGTGTCGTGAGCGTTGGTGTAACGTCGTCGATCCGATCCTTGTCAAGAATGCCTGGACACCGGCCGAGGATAACCAACTCCGCGCACTCGTAGAGAAGAACGGCATTGGAAAGTGGGCATTGGTTGCCAAAGAGATGATCACCAGAACCGATAACCAATGTTGGCGTCGCTGGAAGCAATTGTACAGCAAGACTGCGTTCCTCGAGGAGTACAAAGATATTCTGAGCAAGAAGAAAGAGATGATCGTCAGTAATTTCGTGGGAAGAGAGAAGGAGAGACCGTCTTTTACTATCGATGATTTCGTCTCACCGGAAAAGTTGAAGGAGATACAAGAGATGACTCTTACAGTACCGGAGCTACCACCCACTGTTAGAAGCAAAACTCCAAGAAGAGGTGCTTCCACTGCTAATTCCTCTACGCCCCGAGCTAGCACCAGAGGAAGCAAACCACCTAGACTTTCGAAAGCTTCTGCTGCTCGTGCTGCCGCTATACTTGCTAATGCTTCCAATCCATCGACTCCACAATCACCACAATCAGAACCACCTACACCAGTAGCACCTCTTCAATTAGATGGTAACAACTCTGCACCAACAACTCCACCCACATCCAATACAGAGTCAACAACAACTACTACAACTACCACAACCACTACTACAACTACTACTCCTCCAGAAACACCAGAAACACAAGATGCACCAGCTACACCAACAACAAGAGGTAGAGGTAGAGGAAGAGGAAGAGGTAGAGGTACAAGTCAAACTAGAGGTCAGCCAAAAGCAGCGACTACAACAACAGCTACTACTGCAACACCTCCAGAAACATCAGAAACATCAGACACACCAGAGACACCGGCTACACCGACAAGAGGTAGAGGTAGAGGAAGAGGTAGAGGTAGAGGTGCAAAGAGATCATATGAAATAATGAATGAAGTCAGATCTGAAGACACAGATCAAGATATGCAAAATGAATTACAAGAGATTCTTAGTGAACAACAAGAGAGACAACTAGTACAACCAGATGAATAGATTTATTTTCAGAATATATAATTATATTTGGATTTTATTATATAGTGAATGGGTTTAATGTAATAGGTTAAATCAAAAACATATTATAAAATGGAACAAATAAATAAGTAAATATTAAATAATTATAATAATAGTATTGTTTTTAATTTTAAAAATAAATAATATTATATTATTATTTATTTTTATTAAAATTTTGTTTTTTTTTTTTTGTTACATTTGGGCTGTACCAATAACATTACTATCTACTCTCTTGAGAGGCTCGACACCTTTCAATTCCCATATCGATTGTCTTGCAGAATCAAAGTTTTTGATAAACGATGTTGATGCGTAGATTGTTGCGCTTAGTGCTATCAATGATGGTGTAATAGGACCATTAGGATAGTTATTGTTGAATGATCCCTGTAGGATAGTTCTCTTTAGGTTCTTGTCGATTTCAAGTGAACGATCCAACCCATGAATCTTTATTGTTTTCTTTTGTATTCCCAACTCTCTTAGATATTGACCAGTTGAATCCATTTCACCCATCAATAATATAATCTGATCTTCTGCACCTGATTCTTTTACATGTGATAATAAAATACTAATAGCATATTGTTAATTAATATTAGTTTATAGAGAACAAATAAGAGTTTACAAACCTTGAACTTGATTTTGAAATTAATTCTAAACTAACTAAATCTCTATATAATTTGGCTGCCAACTTTAAGAGATGTCTATATTTGAGGTATTTCTCTTGATTTAAAATCAACTCTAATTTTACATTGAACAACAGTTCTCTTTGTCCAGCTATTTTTGCTCTCAGTTGTTGAAGAGAAGTTACAATCTGTTGTTTTCCTTTTTTCCTATCGCCAGTATGTTTTATCTTTAGATTGAAATAAATGATTTGAGAGAATATCTTTTGTGCATCTGCTGTAATGACACAGAGAGCTTGCTCCAACTTATCATAATCATAAGATGGCAGAAACAGATTCGAAAATAAAAGTACTACAACGATTGCCATTGTGATGTGAAAAGTACGAAGTAAACAATTGATGATATTTGCTTTACCATTGACCAACATTGGAAATGACAAAGTGAAATAGGTGAGAGCAAAGAAATTGAAAGTGGTCTGGAAGTAATTGTATTTCAAGAATGCAGAGATACTAAAGAATATAACAATGCTGTTGAAGATGAAAATAATAGATCTGGCCACATAGTTGTGTGGCAATGTGAATAGGACAGCTCCGCCATAGGCAACGAATGATGCCACTAGAGTACCCACGAATCTCATCACTGCAAAGGAACCACTTGCACCAACGGTCGGTGACATCACAAACGTAAAAGTAATGACCAACCATTGAAGATTTCGAAACAATATAAAGTGACTGTGTTTAAATGTTTCATAGTATGCAACAGAGAGAGTTGTAACACCCACTGAAAAACGTAGAGAGAACCGCCAATCTGAGAATATTCTTCGTCCCATTGGTTCGAATACCATGTAGATTCTCTGTTGCCAAGGATACGATAGTGAAGAAAGTAAATCTGGAAAAGGATAGTCTTTGTATCGAGCACCTTTTCCCGAGAATAGTTTCCTATTTCTTTGGAAAAATACTTTAAAATAATCATAGAATGCTGCGAAAATCGATCGGAACGCTATCAGTATTCTTGGTTTCTCCAACGGATGATTGGTTATATCATAGATGACAACTGACATTCTCTTGAGATCCTCTGTAAAATTTACCATTCCAATGATAAAAAAATGAATTCTAGACAATTCCTTATCGATTTTGGTCAATGACTTTGGATCCTTTCCGTTGTAACAATAGTCTGGATTTACCATTAGCTCACTATACTTGTCAAGAATCTGTGTCATCGAATCAGATATCTTCTCAAACCAACTGAGTACCAAGAACTGTAGGTAGTCGGAAGGCATCTTATCGAGTCGTTCCAGTGACGGCATCACAGGATTACTATTGATTGAAAGTTGGTTCTCTATCGAGTCGTTATCAATGTTGGTTGTATGATATTTTCTAAATTTATGTAGATGTGAACGTCGCTTCAGCATTTTCTCCAAAATAATAAATACATTGGTCGCTTCATGAATCATCTTTTCAAAGATTGGTTCGAGAGGGAGTAAAAGTTTAGATCGTCGTGAGCTGATATCTCCAACAATTGAAAGATGCAATGCAACGAGCTCTTTGTGGTTGGCGTCAAGTAGCGTCGCCAACTCTACCAGCTTTGGATAGATATTTTCACTCCAACGTTCGAGTTTGGCATCATTCAAATACTTGTATAGAATATTCAAACGGATTGAATACCGCTCGGCCATATAAGTCACATCTTTCTTGTAACGCTTGGGATTCAACAACCAATCCATGTTGTACATAGTGATATTAATGGTATCAGTCGATTTAATCTGGCCGGCAATACTCAGCTGAGAACCAACCTTTTCAAACATCTTTCTACTCTTTCTAATGATCTTACTAGCTGTCCTAATGAATAGAGTAGAACCGAAATAAGGATTGAAAATTAAGCAGCTAAAGATGATACAACCCAGCATACAAAGCGTAGTTAGAAAAAACCGCAGAAACAAAGTGTAGGAATGTGTACTTGGTTCCAAAGTGTAGGTTAGAACAAAGAAATCCAGAAATATACGTTTGCCATGCTGAAAAGGTATCCATTCAACATCTTTCGATATCATCAGACCAGAGGCAACGAAACACAACACGAAATGCGGAAATACTGCTGGCCATATCGAATTGCCTACGATACCGTATACAATAACCGCAGAAACACACCCAATAAATGAAGCAGCAGTCACTCTTATACCATTTTCGATAATTAGTAGATAGCTGTCGGTCGAAGTGACAGTGGATAAAGTGAACACAGTAATAAACAATATACCAAACAAAGGAAAGAATCGTTGAAACACCATCACAATGAGGAATATATAGGTGAGAATAATTGATGATGTTACAAAGAATGCATAGTAATAAACTACACTATCTTTCTTTCTTCTAATTAAATTTCTGTTAAACAATTCCTTTCTAAAATAAAAAAATAATTAATTTTAATTTTCTTTTTTTTTGGATGTTCCAATTAATTAATTATATCATACAAAAGACTTTTCATTTTTTTTCAGGTCATTTTTTTATTTGTTCAAAGATTTATCTAAATAATATCTGTAACTAACTAATTATCTATTATTTTGATTATAAAGATTTTTATAAATACTGTTTTCTTTTTAAAAAAAAATAAAATAAAATAGATTTTTGCATCTTTAAAAACCTCTCATTGTTTGTATAGAACATAAATAAATTCTTCAAATATTAGATCGGACAGAGTGGGAATTTAGTTGGTTGATATGTCTCATACACAAAATTCGAATGGTGGTTGCAACAACCACCATTAAAAAAAATATTTCTTTCTTATTTTTTTATTTATAAAGATAATAATAATATTTAAATCATACTATTATTTTTTTTTTATTAATATTTGATTTTTTGTTGATGTTGCTGCGTTGTTGTTGAAGTTGATTTTTGGTGTATATAATTAATATTTTTTTGAATTGTTTTTTTTTTTTTTTTTTTTGTTTGAATACTATATAATTGATTTGATTATGAGATTATTTATTATTATTATTATTATTATTTATTTTTTGTTGCTATTTGTTAATAATTTATTCTTTCAAAGATATCTTGTGCTTTTCTTAATCTTGTAAGTAAAAGTGAGGCATTATATGGAAAACTATTGTTTTCGTGTGATTTCGAAATCGATTGCGAAAGCTTTGAAATACAATTGGAGATGAGATAGAAATCATATTCAATCTCAAAGTCTGCACTGCTGGTCGAAGTTGTATAGCTTTCCATACTAGTATTCAAATCTGTATCCACAGGTGTGACCGATGAAGTTGATGATGATGATGATGATGTCGTTGTTGTTGATGTTGATGTTGTCGATGATGTAGATGACGAAAGCGATGTAGATCTCATTGATGCGGTCGATGTAGATCTAGTTGAAGTTGATGTATTGGTAGTGGTAGAGGATGAAGTTCGTTTTCCTATCTCTTCTAGACCTATCGATGATTGGTCGTTGGTTCGTTGAAACTTATCAACAAACTTTTCCAATGAACTAGGTTTCATAATAATATAGTTTAGATATCTAAAGTATGATTATTATTAGTTCAACATTCTATTTTCTTAACAAATACAAACAAAGTTTACTTACTTTAAGAAATAAGATAGAAAATGAGTTGATTCTGAAGAAATCAATAGATCTAATAACATTGTATGGTCATAAGAACATATATATTCGATAAAATAAGAGAATACAAGATGTGGATGTATACTATTAGCCAATGTTTCTAATACCGGATTATTTGTTAAATGTAAACTATATATAAAAAAGTAAAGAAGAATAGGATTGTTAATGTTTGATTTGATATTATCTAGATAGTTAATTTACTTACTTTTCTAGATATAAGAATATAGAGAGTAAAGTTTCGAGTGTTTCGACTGCTTCGATGTCGAGATTCTCTCCAAAGATCGATGCATGCTGTTGTATACGAAAGCGGTATGCTATCAATTGTTTGTTGTTACCTAGTATCTCTAGAAGTGCATTGACATATGCTCGTGAGTCTTCGGCCAAGGACAACAATGTATTGATAATCTCCAATACCAATTTGTAGAATCTGGACAAAACGATTGTGGAAGACTTTCCTTCCAAGAATAATTCTGAACTTGGTGTCGATCTCAATGACTCCATGGCATTGCTTTCACTTTCATCATGATCATTATCATCACTGATTAATGATTGTTCTTTTTCATCTATACTCATCATATTCGATGCTGTTGTTGTTGTAGTTGTTGTTGCTGTTGAGGTTGTTGTAGTTACTGCTGATGATGATGTTGTTGTAGACGTTGAAAAAGATAACGATGAACTTGAAGTCGATGGAGTTGCTATACCGGATGTAATGTTTACAATATTTGTAGTAGGTTTCGATTGATTATTATGAGCTTGTTGTTGAAGATGTTGAGGTTGCTGTTGAATTGGAAGTTGTTGATCCAATACAATTTGAGAGGAACTAAATAACTGGCTGAAATAAGTGATTACCCGAAGATACTCAGTGATGAAATGCGCACTCTTGTTGAACATTGTAAAGATCTTGAGGATTTTAATGACGATTTGGTAGGGTGCGATGCTTGGCTGACCCGAGAGACAGTGATTCATTATATTCACGTAGAATGTGCCTAGTTCTCGGTTCGATGAGAGCATATTGATAATGGAGTCGATATACTGCTTGAATGGCTTGGGACTACCAATAGTAGCAGGGTTAGTCGAACTGCTGCTGCTACTCTCGCTGGTCGTTGTGGAGGTGGTGGAGCGCAAGTAGAATATCTGAAGTAATTTATGGAGGATTGAGTAGATGGCTGGTGTTTGGTCATTGAGTAGACATCGACGTCCAACTACATTCGATCGAATGTACATGATAAAGTCGATGGTTACCAGAGAGACAATGTCGAGGTCACGCTCAAAGTTGATGTTGCCTCGGGCGTACACCAGTTTCAGGATCTTGTGGACGGTCTCGTAGTAGCACATATGGCAATCGGAAGAAGTCGGCGCTCCGTAGCCAACACCAAAGTTTGCAAACGACCATGTGTCCTTTAGTTTGAGAGCAGAGTTGACCAATAACAATCGATCGGATGCCGAAACACTGTTCTCAAACAAAGTTAACATCGATTTCTGATAGGAATGGTAGACCAATGTCGATACCTTGTAATATTGTATCATTCTACTACTCTACAGTACTTTATAGTTAATACATCATATAATTTTATTTTATAATAATACTTTGTTTTTTTTTTCTTTTATCTATTTTTCTTTTTCCATCTTTTTCTTTATTATATATATAAATAAAAATAAAACTATTTATTACTAAAATAAAGTAATAACAAAAAAAAAAAAAGGAATTAAAAATACTATAATATATAAGTATAAAGTTATTATTATTATTTATTTAAAAGATAAAAATAAGGTAGGTATTTATTTTATTATTTAAAAAGATAAAAATTTAAAATTTAAAAAAGAAAATGTAAAGAGAAATATAAACCTACCAAAATCTTTAATAACTCAACATCTAGTGTAGTATGAGTGCTCTGTAAAAGTTGGTGGTTGAAAGCAAGATGCTCTTTCAACTCTTCAGATGACAGACTCATTGCTACACACACACTAGATGGTGAATTGGATTAGGCGATCGAGAAATGAAATTAATGAAAGTAGTCAACTAATTCAACAACCAACTGAAAATTCATTTGTATCTTTAGTTAAATTGAAAATATTAAAAAATAAACTCTGTTTTTTGGTTGTCGTCAATTATGTTTATGCTGTTTTCGTTGTCTCTTTCTAACTAATACTAAATTCCACTTTCTAAAAAAAAAAAAAAAAACTAACCTGTACTGTTATGTTAATTCTCCAATTCTGATTCTAAACTTATCAATATAAATAAATAATAATAATAAGTAAATTTATTACTAAAATAAATTACAACAATGAAATATTGAGTGTCAAAAAAAAAAAATGAAATCTGATCATCAAAAAGTTGAAGTGTCAGACAGTGGTGTGTGTTCGTTTTATTTTTACAAATAATAAAATAAAATAAAAACAAAAAAAAGATTTGGGGTTAAGAGTGTGTGAAATTTATGATTGATTAGATATTATTATTGTTTATGATTATTGCACAAATTTTATTATTATTATTATATTGCAATTTATCATGAAAAATCTATATTCTATTCAAAATATTTTTTTTGTTTCAAACAAGTGGAAATGAAATCAACCAAGAGTCTGATGTTAACATTTATTTTCTTACTTAAATTTTTAAAATTGGAAAAAAAAAACAAATAATTAAAGAATACAAAAAAAGTTTTTTTTCTTTAAGAATGTTGTTTTTAGTAGTTGTGTTGTGGTGTTACAGAATTTTAAAATTTGACCCATCAGTTTTATATGGGTTTTTTTTTTTTTGTAGAAACGAAAGAAAAATTATTGATTGAGGAGGACAAATAAATAACTTTAATGATACAAAATAATTGCAAAGATTTTGGGAGATTATATTAAAAATTATTCGAGAATAATTGAGTTTAATCTTGAAGGTGGGGGTATTTTTGTTCAAAAAAAAAAACAAAAAAAAAACAAATAATAAATCGTTGTTGTTGTTGTTGAAAAAAAACAGCGACTTTATCAAATAATGAATTCATTCTATTTAGGTAAATTCTAAAACTTGAGACCTTGCCATACCACACCACAAATTTTAAATATTTTAAATGTTCTTGAATTAATACTACTATTCATTATTTTATTGTGGTTGTTGCTGGATTGTTGTTTAAAGAAATTTGATAGCAGTTGTTGTTGATGATATTTATTTTTCAAAATGATCCAACAAGAGATACCCAAAAAAATAAATATCTAAATTTTGAATTTCCAAAAGAGGTAAGAAATCTCCCAGATTTTGGTGGTATTTGATTTTAAAATCTCCCAACTTTAGCAAATATTGGAAAGTGGGTGGAGGTTGTGAACACAAACATCAAACAATCGTATACTCAAACCATTTAATAGATCACTTTACAAATACATTTTTTCGGTTGCTCAGTTGATGGATAAACAAAAACAAAAGCTCTAAATTGTACAAAGAATAAAATTTAATTTAAACAATGAATTCCATTCATTAATAAAAATTTTAAATAACCATATTTCGAAAAGGAGAGTTCTGAATGTTCGTTAATCAAAATGAATAGGTGATGACAACACTCTAAAAGAAGGGTTTACTTTCATTCGTTAGAATATATTTTGTATTAAAATATTGGGTTTTTCTGTTTACTTCTTTTTTTGAACATGCAAAACAATCATCTAGAGATATCATTTCTTAAAAATGGTAATCATAACATAGATCAAGATATAACAAGTATGTTATTCTTATTTTTTTTAATAATAAATAGTTAATTGGTTAAGTTTAATTTTAACTGATAATTCATTGAAATAAACAAAAAACAACAAAAAAAAAATTAACAATTTATTTCATTTCTATTTTTTTTTTTTTTTTTTAAATTAAAATTAATCAGTTCAAAGTCAATATTATCTTGAGTTTTAAAAATTGAATCTAATATCTTTATAAATAAACTAAAATTCAAAAGAATGGAATCCATTATAGAACTTCAAAAGTTTGTTGTTTAAACACGGTAAATTAAAATTCCGGAAATTATCGAAATTTGGAAAATCTATAAAATCAAGTCCGAAATCAGATCAAAATTTAATCGATCAACAAAGATATTAGTTAAAAGTAATAAAATTATAAAAAATACGATAATATTACAAAAAGTATCAAAAGAGAGAGAAAAAAATTTTATGTTTTGAAAAAAAAATAAAAATAAAAAATGAAAATAAATAACAAATTTTTTTTTTTAGAATTATTTTTTTGTTTTTTTTTTATTTATTTTTGTTTTAATAAAAAACGTATTTGTTTTCATGTTATCTAATTCTACCCTTTTTCAATATTGTTGTTAGAATTATCGTTAGTTAATTAAAGTTATTTATTTTATTTTTTTACGAGAAAAAATAAAAATCATAATTTCCAATTATATCTATATATATAATTCATATTAATATAACAATAATAGTTAGTTTAGAAAGTACAAATATGAACAATATTTAGTTGGTTCTAAAAGTTCAATAATCTCCATATATATATATATATATTTATTTATTTATCTATAACATACAAAAGTGTTATATATATATATAATCAATAATATTAATAATAGATCAACTCTTTAATAATAACATATTAAAGATTTTAAAACTAAAACAAAAAAAAAAAAAAACCAACCAACCAACATTAAAATAGCAATATCATTACATAATTAGTGTAGTCGGAACGAAATACTATATACAATGAAACCAGCTGCAGATTTAGAACATGAAGATGTAAGTCAACTATATCTTATCATATTAATTAAAAATCAACAACTCTTCTTCTTCTCCTTCTTCATTACCTTTACTCTGACAAATCATATCATATTATATCATCTCAACTTCTTTATAATCAATACATATCAAACTTAACAAAGTATAACTATATTATATTATTTTTTGTGTGTACGTTTTTTTTTTCTTTTTTTTCTTTTCTTTTTTTTTTTGGATTTATTTTTCAAATATTTACTTTTTAGATAAATAAATGTGACCGGTCAGCTGAACAACCACACACCATCTTTTTTAATTTCATTTGAATAAAAAAAAAAAAAAACGTGAATCTCAACAACACACCACAAAATTTATTTTTTTTTCGTGATTTACCGACTTTGGCGCGAAATTCAAATTTTTTTTAGTTACCCACGATCGAAACAATCGAATATCTAGAAAGTAATATAGAAATGTGAAAATATTAATATCTATTGTTCAATCATTATGAAATTCTTATTACAGGAAGCTCCGGAGGTACAGAAGAAACAACCAAGAGGTAAAAAAACAAATACATTCGGTGGTTTGTGGAAGGGTGAAGAACAATTGTTGACTTCAAACACCAGAAGAACTGTCAGATCGACCGGAGTTCTCAATCAGATTGAGAGTGACCAAGATAGTAGTGATATAGACTCTGAAGATGATTCGTCAAGTGATGGTGAGTCATCGGATGACAATGTTAAGAAGAAGAAGAAGAAACCACCTGTAAAGAGAGGTGCACCTGCAACAAAAACAACTACAACTACAACTACAATAACTACAAACAATAGTAATAATAATAATAATAATGGTAAACCAACAAGAGGGAGACCACCAACTTCAAATACAACTACAACCACAACTTCAAAACAAAGTTCAACAACAGCACCTGTAGCTGTTTCTAAAACAAGAGGTAGACCACCAAAAAAGATTGTAGTATCATCGTCGGAGGAGGAAGATGAATCAGAGGATGGAGAAGATGAGTCAGATATCGATATTATATCAGATGAAGAGGATACCAAGAATAAGAAGAAGAGTAATGCAGTGGTAAAGAAGCAATCGCCACCACCTGCTAAACAACAACTTACTAGACTTAAAAAGAAAGCTGTACAAGTAGAGTCAGAGTCGTCAGAGTCAGAACCATCACAATCCGAGGTGTCAGAGTCAGAGAGATCGGAATCTGAACAGTCGGATTCCGATGAGGAAAACAGTGCAAATGGCGAGTTGGATCTAAAGGATATGGGAATCGACGAACGCTTACAAGAGGAATTTACAGTTGAGAAAGTTTTGGACACTAGAATGCAGGGTGACGATGCAGCCAATCAAATGGAGCAAGTGTTGGTCAAGTGGAAGGGACTGTCCTATCTTCATTGCAGTTGGGTGGATTCAAACCAGTTGATTCAGACTCGCAGTGGTAAAGCCAGACTACAGCGTTACCAGCAGACCAAGCAACAAGAGGCAGAAAATGCCGCTGCCAAACGACCACCCAAGGAAGACTACAAGGAGATGATGAAAATCGAGAAGATTCTCGACAAGCGTATCAACTCTGACAACGAAACAGAGTATTATATAAAGTGGAGAGCACAGACCTATCTGAATTGTACTTGGGAGTTGGCGTCGGACGTCAACGACGAAGAGGCAGTCGCTGCCTTTGCACAGTTTATCAAGATGCCTTCCAGCTCGGAACTAACGGTTCCTCCACGTCCAGCGCCATCCGGTTGGAAAGAATTCACAGCAAGTCCAGAGTATTTCAAGAAGGGACGTCTACTTCGTCCGTACCAACTCCAAGGTTTGAACTGGCTGTCGTTCTGCTGGTATCAGAAGCGAAACTCTATACTGGGAGACGAGATGGGACTTGGAAAGACGGTGCAATCCGTATCGATTATAGAGACACTCCGCAAGACACAAGGCATTCGCGGTCCTTTCTTGTGTGTTGCACCACTCACTACCATTCCACACTGGAAGCGTGAATTTGAGAGTTGGACCGACCAGAAAGTGCTGGTCTACCACGACCACGGTCAAGCGCGTCCAATCATCCGAGACTATGAATTCTACTACACCGACAGCAAAGGTCGTACTACCAATGTCACGAAATTCAATACTTTGATCACCACCTACGAAATGGTGATAAGCGATCGCGCGCAACTCTCAAAGATCCACTGGCGTTACTTGGTGATCGACGAAGCACATCGTCTCAAGAACAAATCGTGTAAATTGACAAACGAACTCCGAACTTACAAGTATGACCATCTTTTGCTACTCACCGGTACTCCATTGCAAAACAATACACAAGAGCTCTGGTCGTTGCTCAACTTTATGGAGCCGGAAAAGTTTGCACACCTCGAAGAGTTCCTCGAGGAGTTTGGTGATCTCAAGCAAGCGGAGCAAGTAACTAAACTCCAGGAAGTACTACGTCCTTACCTCTTGAGAAGAATGAAAGAGAATGTTGAGAAATCGATTGCACCCAAAGAGGAGACCATCGTTGAGGTCGAGTTGACAACCATCCAAAAGAAATACTATCGTGCCATCTACGAGAAGAATTTCACCTTTTTGAGAAAGGGTGGCAAAGGAAATGGACCTTCACTGCTCAACATCATGATGGAGTTGAGAAAGTGTTGTAATCATCCCTATCTCATCAAGGGTGCAGAGGATTCAGAGACATCGATGTTGATGAAGAACTCTGATGCCATCTATCACAAGCTGATTCAGGCATCTGGAAAACTTGTACTGATTGACAAGCTGTTGCCAAAGCTGAAGGCTGGCAATCATAAAGTGTTGATCTTCTCTCAGATGGTCAGTGTCTTGGATATTCTCGACGATTATCTAACGTTTAGAGGTTATCTTCACGAGAGAATCGATGGTTCCATCAAGGCAGAGGATCGTCAAGCAGCCATCGATCGTTTCAGTGCACCGGATTCCGATAGATTCGTATTCCTTCTGTGTACTCGTGCCGGTGGTATGGGTATCAATTTGACTGCCGCCGACACTGTAATTATTTTCGATAGTGATTGGAATCCACAGAACGATCTTCAAGCTCAGGCACGTTGTCATCGTATCGGTCAGGACAAGATGGTCAAAGTCTATCGTTTGGTAACCAGAAACACCTATGAGAGAATCATGTTTGATCGAGCATCCAAAAAGTTGGGTTTGGACAGAGCTGTACTCACCAAAATCAACTCCAACGGTACCAATGCTGCGCCTGCCAAAGAAGAACTTCCAGATAAAGAAACCATTGATTCACTTTTGAAATTTGGTGTTTATGCAATCAAGTAAGTTGTAACTTTACAAATGTACAATTATCAAAATTTTTTTTCTAATATTTCATTTATTCTTAATAGGGAAGATGATGCTGCCAGTGAAAGATTCTATGAAGAGGATATTGATAAGATTTTAGATAGATCAACTGTTGTCAAACAGGAAACAGTTGATCCACTGGCGAGTAGCTTTTCAACTGCCAGTTTTTGTAGTTCCAATTCTGCATCTAACATTGATGTGAATGATCCAAACTTTTGGGACAAGTTTGTTCCAGAGTTGGATACTCGTAGCGATGTTATCATGTTGCCAAGAACTAGAAAGAATGTTCAGAGATTTGGTTTCGGTGATGAGAGTTCAGATGATGATCAATCAGACTACGATCCAGACGGTGATGAAGAAGATACGGGAAGTGTGAACGATTTCGGATGGACCGGCGCCGAGCGTAATAAATTCAAGAGTGCTCTCTTTACTTTTGGCAGTGGACGTTGGGATCTGATAAAGTCGATGGCAAATCTCGATCGTTGGACCACAGACCAAGTTCGTCAGTATGGTGAAGCATTCATCACTAAATCACTGGATATACCTGTCAAGGCGGTTGCACCACAATCCGAAGAGGGAGAAGCCAAGTTGTCGGTAGAGTCTCTCAATGCATATGTCGAACAACTTGAACCAAGTGTATTCCAATTGTATGGAAAGGAACCACCCAAAGTCACTGGTGACAAGATGCAGATTGAAAGTAACGAGTCCAACACCACCACCACCAGCAACAACACCAGCGAATCTAAAGATACCAATCCGTTTATCAATGATTCATCGTTGAGTGATACTAAATTCACAGAGTATCTGACGAGAAACAGCAAGAAGATCTCACGCAAACTAGCAAATATGGCTGCGCTTGCTCAGATCTTGCGAGTTGGATACCGTAAGATTGTTGACAGTATAGGTGAACTCGGAGACTCTCCATTTTCATGCTGGAAATTCCAGGAGGATAATGATCTTCTTGTGGGTACCTACCGCTATGGATTCGGTGAATACGATACCATGCGTAAAGACAAATCGCTGTGCTTCCACAAGCATAACTACCAATCGTCGCCAGACTCGACCAGCAACAACAACACCACAACCGATGAAAACGAAAGAGTTTGGCCATCTGCAAAGATTCTCTCTCATCGTTTCAAGCGTATTCTCAGAACCATGGAGGGATACAAGAAGCAACAGGTCAAAGAGAAGCTACACAGCATGAAGAAAATGGAGAAGGAAGAGAAGAAGAAGAAATCCGATATCCGAGTGGAGTGGACCAAGCGTGAGAAATCAGATTTCTACAAGTATATCGTTATCTTTGGTGTCATTGAGACTGGTCCTAATGAATACTCTTGGGATTTGATCAAGGAGAAAGCCAGCTTGAAGAAGAAGACCGGCGATATGATTGAGCGTTACTATTTCGACTTGCTTACCAAGTGTCAACAGACCATAAATGGTAACCCATCGTCCAACGGTGCAGCTGCTGACAACAAAGACGACGACAAAGACGACAAGGACGAGAAGGATGGCGAACTCACCATTTCACAATGCAAACGTTTGGTCAATCGTATCTACTTCCTCAACAAACTCAGAGGTAAAATTCTCAAGAATCCAAATTTGACCACCATTCTCGATGATGTTTCACCACCACATTCTTTCCCAATGTGGTACCAAAAGGGTGTGCATGACATTGCATTACTTCAAGGTATCGCCAAACACGGTTATGGTCAATTTGAAGATATATGCAAAGACAAATCGTTCCCCTTTTACGATATCTACAAGAACCTAGCCAAAACACAGGGTAAATACGAGTCGAGCGATGGCGAAGATGAAAACTCTGACAAGAAGCGAAAACGTAAGGAACAAATCATTGACATTCTTCGATTGCCCAAGGATAAATATCTGAATGCAAGAATCGATTCCGTCATTGATTTCGTTGTCAATCCAAGACCAAGTCACAGACATTACGTTGGATCTTCCAATAGCTCCAAGTCATCGTCTTCCTCGCACGCACCTTTGCGTTCTTCCTACAACGGAATGAATAGTTCCGCCTCTGGCATTCCAATGACTGGTTCCTTTAAACTTGGTAACAGTCTTAATACCAGCCCTGTTTTAAGTAGCAGTGGTAGTGGTATTAAAAATGGAGGTCGTGTTGGATCGTCATCATCATCTAGTAGCAGCAAGAAACAAATTACTATCCTCGATTTCCTTTCACCAAGTAAAGACAAGAGTTCTGGAAAAGACAAGGACAAAGATAAAGAGAAAGAGAAAGACAAAAAGTCATTGGAGTTGATCAATTTAGATTTCGATTCCGACGATGACGAACAGATCTTCAGAAAGGCAAAGCGCTCCAAGAAGAGACACAGTCTCAGTTCGTCAAGCTCCGGTCTCAAGAAGTCTGACGACAAAATAGCAGCATTTGGTAATATCCTACATGAATCTGACGATGAAGATTTCAAAGATTATGAATTGTTAAAGAGAGCAAATCAAATGGGTAAAAGAGCAAGCACCAACGGTAGCAATAGCAATGGAAATAGCAGTAATAACAGTGATGAGAGTAGCATTGCCAAAGAGCGAAGATCTTCAGCCAATGGCAAGACTACTATTACCACTACTACAACTACTACCTCAACATCAACATCAAGTACCTCTTCACCATTGAACGATGTAACAATGTCAGATGTTCTCAATAACAACAATCAACCCGAACCAAATGTAAATAATCGTGACGATCATCAATATAAATCCACAAAAACCACCATTCCAGAGATATCAAATCTATTAAATCCAAACGAACCAGAAACTATATAGTTCTAATAAAAAAAGAAAATCCAATTAATTTTTAATATTAAATTAATGGAGTATTGTTAAACAAGTTTAATTAAATGAATGTTTTATTTTAAAATTGTTGACCATTTTTTTATTTGTTTGTTAAAATTTTTTTTATACCCAAAGCAAAGATTTCTTTTACTGAAAATATGTTTCCGGTTGGGGTTTTGAAAGAAGCACCCGCACTGATTTCTGAACTTTGTATAATTTCTTGTGATTGCGATTAGAATTTGTAGTTACACGAATCAGCACTTGTAAGACCTGGAAGTGAGAAATCAACTTGCATATTCACAAATATGAAAGTGTATATATTTGTGGTACTGATTCAACATAATTCTGAACTTGAGATACACAACTCTTTCCAATAACATTAAAACAATCTAACAAAAATAATTCCTGTTCTTCATTACAAACACCATCTCCACAAAAGGATTTGAATCCTTGGAAGATTGTATAGCATCTTTATCTAAATTACATTCATCTCTAGGATCAATATTTCAGTCTCCACAAATATTTTATGCCGGATTTATCAGAAATTTCCAAAGATAAATTTGATCTTGAAATCATAGGTGAGCTAAAATTGACACAACAAAGGTATTTGTTATTCCTCCACTAACAAATAACCACTTGGAATGAGAGAAATTTGATTGAAGGAAATGAGATGAAATTGTATCAATAGTTTTTTATATATAAATATTAATATCTAGACCTTTCTTTACAAATATTGACCAATTTGTTTCCTACCAATTCACCTTTTCAGAAGAAAATGAGAAAGAACTACAAATACCTATATAAAATATTAATTACAATACTTTTAAATTTATATTAGAATACATACATTTGACACCTAATCCCACTACATTTGATTTAATAAAAATAATAATACTATTATATAATTAAATATCATATGCTCTGATGTTGCTATTAAGGGTATATTGTTGCAATTTGTTTAATTTAATATTCTTGCATCGAAATTATTGTTATATGCTAAAAAGTCTTTGTCTAGGTTGATCTGATTCAAAGTCCTTCCCAACCCACTTGATACAGATCTTAAAATTTTTCCTTGCTTTATTTTATATTTAATGATTAATCTATCAACTGAATACAATATATATGGATTTTACTTTAAATTTAGTTTCAGTCATCTTTGAGTCAAAATAAAGATACAGATCCATGAATACTGGGAGTTTGATAATCACCCAAAAATCAATAGGTTGACTTTCTTCTTGTTTAGAGATGAATCCAAATATTTATAGGATTGTAATTTGGTTTAATTATTACTTTCATTTTAATATTTTTTGTAGTTTTTTGGCTTGGTTTAAAAATTCACAGTTGTAAAAATAATGCGAGAAAAACAGAAAAAAAAAGAGAATATTACATAGTTATATAATGTTTGTTTTTTTTTAATATTATTCATTTTTAGAATCACATGGTAAGCTGATTGCCTTTGATTTGATTATTTTGATTACATTATGAGAATCAAAAGAGAAAATAAAGAATTTTTGGGATAGCATCTACACTTGTTAAAGGGGTGGACAATTGTTTTGTATAAGAAATCATTTTGTGTCTCATTATTTTTTTATCTTTTACTATACATACAAAATTCATGAATTGAGAGAATGTATTATTCTCATTTTTAAAATTAGTTCACACATGTGGTGAAAATCATAATTATTTAGGTTAAAAAATTTGGGTAATATACAAATAATAGTAAAGTTCACTCCTAAAATAATTCAAAAAATTCACTTTAATATATATATTTTTGTTTTTAATATTTATATTTTATTCTATTTTTTTTTTATTCTAACAATAACAAATTACAATTTAAAAAGTATAATGGAAATCAGAACATTTAGATTAGTCTTTAAGAATATAGTGTTAAGAAATTTAATATTTACGAAAGTATCAGAATTATCGAAACATAATGGATTACACCCACAATCTTGGAGTTATGTCATTTATTCACCTGAATACATGGTTGGAAATGGTTATTTTTCACAATTGAATGATTTTTTATTTAAAAAGACCAATTTGTACGATTCGTACTTGGAGATTGGAAATTTTTTAGGTCCTGATAACTATGAAGGTTATATTCTTAATCTTGTTGGTGTAATCAAAAATGCGATCAAGAGTGGTTGTAATATTGAAACTATTAGAAACTTGATTGATTACTATGGTATACAAAAGTTAATCAATTACAGCTCAGACAGTTACGGTTATACAAGAGATTTGATCATTTTTCTGATCAACTTTTTACTTGACACACCTTCAAAACTTGGTAGATGGGATATCATTCATTTTCTATTGGAGTACATTGTCATTCCGGAGGATAAAGAGGATAAAATTCAATTCAGATGGGATTTCAAACGAGCAATGGCGTTTTCTGTGAAATCTGGTGATTTCAAATTGTTAAACTTTATGACCGAGAAAAATAGAAAATCACCTAGACCATCTTATGAAAATGAAATTTGTGATGTCAATCCACTTGATAAAGCAGCATCTTTTGGTAAAATCGAAATCATTGAATATCTTATTCAAAATCTACCTGTCGAGGAATTAAAAAGAAGTGAAATGATGTATTATGCGATCAAATCAGGACATCAACATGTGGTACGATATGTATTTGAGAATCAATTATTTGGAAAAGAAAGAGTTGATCTTTATTACCTAACTTATTCATTAAACTTTCGTCAAATCGAAATTCTCAAAATGCTTGCAGAGGAATATGGAATGAAAGAAACTTCCAATACCTATTTAATGGATTATTATTCTGAAAGGGGTGATTTAGAGGCCCTTATTTTGCTAAATTCATTTAACTATTGGCAATGCACAACAAATGCAATGGATAATGCAAGTAAAGGTCATCTTCGAGTCGTCATATGGCTTCATCAGAATCGTACTGAAGGATGCACAAAGGAAGCATTGTCTAACGCCAAAAGTGGTAAACACCCGGAAATAATTCAATGGTTAATTAAAAATAGAACTGAGTTTCAATAAAAACAAACCTCTAAACAAGTTATGAGGAAATAAATTTACATTTTTATGGAACAAAAACAATATTAATTATTCATTAAATAAAAAATTAATCACAAAGCAAATTTATATTTATTTGAGAAAAATCATTGACAAACAGTTCCCTAAAAGTAAAATTATATTTTATTTAAGAATTTATAGAATTCTTGTTACTCCTATCATAGTTCTTTTTCAAATTCCAAAGTATTTTGTCTTTCTTTTATTTTTTCTCAAAGATGTTGTTGGTATCACACAACAGCGATACTGAACTGGTTGTCATTATAGAAATTGTAGTAATTGTCTATTTGTTATAGGAAAATGTTGATATTGTCTGTATAACGATAACCATTCAACTGTTTACATATCTAAATATATTCCAATATATCTGTACCTGTCGTGTCTGAGTATTAATATTCCTAAGATTATAAAAAATAAATTGTTAAAATAATAAATAATTGAATTGAAATAGTGTTGGTCGTGATACTTATGATTGTTGATGTTGTTGTCGTTGAGATGAGGTTGGTTAGTTGTGTTAATGATGATGTTGGTAGTGGTGGATGTTGATTGTTAATATTCCATACATACGTTGTGTTGTTGATTGATAGTGTTAATGATGATGTTGAGGAATCGTTGGTGGTCGTAGAGTTGGAATGGTGATAAAGAACATGTTGAGTCGTGAAGGTTTCAAAGTACCACTTTCATTTTCCTATCTATTAAATCTTGTCCTGGAGTAGTTAGTGGTTGATCTCCAGAAACTGTTTATCATCACTATAAATGATTTATCTCAAACAACAACAGTGATCAATCATCGCAGACTTCATTGTATCGATGTAGAGTTGTAAGAAATTCTTTGTTTATCAAAAACCAAGCAATATTGTTTTTGGTTACACTACTTATTTAAAGAAATTATAATTGAGTTAATAAAAAATACTGATAAATTTCACAGTTGATAGATATATAATCTTACTCTTTGATTTTAATAATACCACGAAGAATCATCGATCTGTTGTGCTATCTATATTGATTGGTTTCGATGTGCTAAAGATTGTTGATTCTCCTCCTGTACAGATCGATTTGATTCTTTGGTTCCAACTGTTATTGTAAATATATACTCAGTGTAAGTTATTATCTATCAGATGTTATGAAGTTGGCAACTTCAAAAACTCTAAGTTATATAAAAAAACAGAAACAATAAATATAAATCGTGTTACTTGGTTTAATGATGACACTTTATAATATTTATAATTAGTTTAATTGATAACATATAAAATAAGACAAATAGATGATCACTGGAAATTTTAGATAATAAATTAATTTAACAACATTTAATCGATAAAAGATTTAATTTATTATTTATTGTTTAATTCCTTAGTTATTGTCTTGAGAAATAGTTATGAATGAATCGATACAGAGAGCAACACTGAGAGTGAATGTGATGACATGACAACTTTATAATATTACAAAATAAAAGACAATCAAGACTGAGGTCGTTCGATAATTTAATAATCAAAGTAGAATAAAGATTAATCATCATCATTAATAGTAGTAGAATTAAAAATAAAAAAAAATTACAAAAAAAAATTAATTAATATTAATCAAAATGTCAATTGATGAGTTAGGTTGAAATGGAAAATGGATTATAACTTTTATTCTTGCCTATGTGGACAACTTAATATAACCACACATTTATAATTCCCACCAAATCTTAACTTTAGTTAAAAAAATAAAATAAATCTGAATCTTCAAATTTTTATTATTATCATCAAGTTAATTAACATTATTAATATGATCAAACTTTGCTTATTATTTTTTTTGTTGAACAAAGATAAAACATAAATGTCGTTCATATTTATTTATAGTTTAGATTTAGCAATACAGTTTGCTGGCTATGTTTGGTCTTGTTTGAATAGATCCGAGAAGTACTATGATACTCTTGGATGTCTTACCTATGTCGCTTGTATTACGACTATTGTATTCTCCAATGTCAACGGAGTGTTCACCAGGCGTGCTCTGATTGCATCGCTCATGGTGTTACTTTGGTCGGTCCGACTAGGATGGTTCCTCTACTCTAGAATGATGCATCACTCGGACAACACCTTCCAAGACAAACGATTCAACGGAGTCAGAGACAAACCAATACAACTGCTCTTCTATTGGTTCGCACAATCCACTTGGATCATCATTTCACTCATTCCCATCTATATCATAAACAATAACATACCATTGACCAATCAATCATTATATACATTAACATTGTAAGTAATGTTACCTACTATTTATATCAAACTAACCCAAACTAAATATTAATAATTGTATTATGTTATGTTTTGTTTTGTTATTCGTTATGTTATGTTAGTTTTGATTATATTGTTTGTTTATGTTGGTTTGTATCGATATCTATTGAATCGATTGCAGATAGCCAGAAGAGAGCGTTCAACGCTGTACCAAGTAATCGTGGTAAATTTATCAATGTTGGTCTATGGTATTATTGTAGGCATCCAAACTATGTCGGCGAAATGATGATCCATTGGTTCGCCTATTTCTTCTGTCTGCCAGTGTTCACCTTTAGTCAAGCATTAGTTGCTCTCATCGCACCGCTATTAGTAACAGCACTGATGACAAAGATCGCTTCACCAATGCTCGAGGAACAATCAAACATAAAATGGAAGAATGACACTGCCTATCAAAACTATTTGAAATCAACACCAAGATTTTATTTCAACATATTTAAATAAACAAAATAAATTATTATAATTTGTTTTTAGTTTAGTTTTAGTTTTATTATTATTTTAACTGCTATCACCTCTGTAGATTACATAGTTATTTTCGGTTTCTAATATTTTAACTTCGTATAGCAGTTCACCTAGACGTTTGGCTAGCAGTTCGTAAATGACTACACATAGGTTCTCTGTGGTGGTGACTACACCTTGGAATTCCTTGACATCGACTTCGAGATTCTTGTGATCCATTCTATCCATGATTTCCTCTTTGATGATCTGTTTCAACTCGGTGGCATTGATAAACATTCCTGTCTTTTCATTCAGCTTTCCACGAACTGATACCTCCAAAGTATAATTGTGTCCATGTTGATTTATACATTTTCCATAGGTAGCTTTATTCTCTTCCTCAGTTAAATGTTCAGAATATAATCTATGACTATAATAGTAGTAATAGTAGTTGTATAAAATTAATATTTATATATGGTTAATTAAACTCGATCAATCTTGATCTATTTTGTTTTTTTTTTTAAAAAAAATAAAATAAAAAACAAAAAAACCTAAACAGAACAAAACAAAAACATACATACCTTGCAGAGAATACTTCTCTTCTTGTTAAAATAACAACTTTCGATGCCATTATCATTTACTTATTTACTGTGTGAAAAATACAAAAAAAAAAAAACTATTCGTTTGTGTTGTTGTTAGTCATATGAGTGATCATTCTGAACGATGATGACTTTATTCATCAAAGGAGGCTAAACTAAAAAAAAATTACTAAATACATACATTTTTTATAAAAATAAAATGAAATCAATAATGATTATGTAAAACTATAAATCTGTTAAAGATGTAATCATTACCAATCCAAACATAAAGATTGACACCTATAAAAATGTTTTAATTTATAAAAACTGTTTTCAGTTTTTAATTAAAATTTTTTATTTTTTTAAAAACAGTGATTCCATAACAATCTTCCGAACGTCTCGAGAATAATCATTGCAATTTTTCAAAGATCTTATTGGTATTAGAATGAATGTTTTTATAAATATCTTAATTATTATTCTTTGTAATAAGTTATCGAAAGAATACGAGAAATTATGAGCTGATCGAGAGGACGACAAACAAAATCAAATTTTAATGAACAACATGATCAAAGTCTTTTCTTTTTTAATTTAATTTATATTATTATTATTGAATTATAAAGATCTTTATTCTAATCAAGACTCATAGTATAAGAAATATGCCAGATGATAGCTTTTGAATAGAAATATTTCATATTTAAGGTGACTATCGCTAGAAATCAAAGAGAACAGCCTAACAAAATCTATAAGATCACAATATTATCTTTCTATATATATAAATAAAATAAAATATATAAATAAAAATAATAAAAATTATTTATTGAATAAAAAAAATAAAAATATTAATTTTAAATAAAAGTTCCCAAGAATTAGTATGGATGCTATCCCCTTGGATCATTTTGTTCTTCCCAAAAAATAAAAAGTTTGTTTTTGGCGGGCTTAAAACTGAGCAAGTTTAAAATAAAATAAATTAATATATTTTTAATTGATTATTTTGTAATTGATATAATATATATCAAACATTATTATATCAATATATATAGATAGAGTAGATGATGTCATCAGAGATTTCTACAGAGGAGATGATTTCAACTTCATCATTGAAATACTCAACATCTCCGTCAAACTCTGGAATCGTAATGATTGGTGGTATTGACTTTCATAGAATCAATGTAGGCAGAAGAAGAGTCGTTAGATTTACTTGTAAGTGAATCAATATCTATAAAATTATATTAATAAAGTGATCTATTCAGTTTAGACTAATTCAATTTTTAATAATTAGTGCTCAATGCTGAGAATAAACCATTTGTTATCACCAATTTATACTTACAACAACAAAAGAGTTTATATGGACATGCTTCTTTTACTGTTAGTGAATCACAACAACAACAGCAGAAGCAACAAAATCAATATCAACATCAATATAGACCAAAATATAATAACAATAGTAATGGTAATGGTAGTAGTGAAAGTTTAAATCAACAACAGAAACAACAACAACAACAACAACAACAATTACAGTTACAACTACAAAAGAATGCTAATGGCATGGTAAACGGTATAAATAATATTAGTCATAATAGAAACAATGGATTTACATTGAATTCAACAGCATCGCAATCATCACAACAACTTCAGCCATTTTCAATACTAGCGAAATTAGAGTTCCCAATTGTTATTGCACCGCACCAAGAGTTTGAAAGTTACATATCGTTCTCACCTCCAACCAGCGGATGGTTTACAGCACTGCTCTCCATACAATCTTTTAGTTCCGGTACCAAAATACAACAGGTTTCACTACATGGTGAAGGTGATCAACCATCTACACCAACACAAATAATATACTCTGTAAGTAATATCAAACTAATTACACTCTATATATCAAACTAATAATAATAATAATGATAATAATAAAAATAATAGGATAACCAATCACCAATAATCATTGAAACACCAGTTAAAAGTTATAATTCAGAATCATATTCAGCGTTGAATACACCACTGGAGTTTGAATCAGAGTCTAACCCTAATCGACCCACTTTTCTATACCCTTCAAATTCATCGTCTTCCGTCATAGCACAACCGATTTTCTTTGACGAAGACTGTCATCAGAGTAGCAACAGCAGCATCAATACAATCAATAGTTTAAATAGTAATAATTATGTATATCCAAATTCATCGTCAAATGGCATTAACAACAGTAGTAGTAGTAATAGTAGTACCAACAGACAACCTGCACTATTAACAAACCATTCACAACCTAAACTAAATGGTAACAATATCAACAACAACAACAATAGTATATCGACAACAACAACGGCAACAACAGCAATACACACACCACCTAATAACAACAGATACCGACCGTCGTCACACCACATCAAGTCATCAGAGAAAAAAGTTAGTTTCAACCCGTTGGTGTCTGAGAGGGAGAAATCACTCGATCTAAGTGTCGATGAAGAGAATATTATCCAGTCGGTTATCAAACACCACAATAGCAACAATATAAACAGTAACCACAACGATAGTTCAAACTATCAATTTCACAGGATGAATAATGGAAACGTCAGTAGTAACACACCAATACCATCCAAAAGTAATATTAAATCAACAACAACAACAACAGCCAACAGCAAATCCAACAGTATAACAGCAACATTCGAACAAGTTGAAAAGAGATTAATGGAACTTTCAAAGTTTATCAACGAAGATAGTATAAACTATAATTACAACAGTAACAACAATGAGAGTAACTATATGAATGGAAATGCACTACCACCACCACCACCTTCATCCTATACAAATAATTATAAAAACAATACTCAACAACAACAACAACAACATAATCAATATTTTAATCAACAACAGAAACCATTTCAATATCAAAATCAAAATAATTATCAACAACAACAACAACAGCAGCAACAACATACAAGACCTACACAACAACCAATACAAAGATTTACACAACAACCACAACCAACACAACAACATCAACAACAACAATATTTTAATCAGGATAATCATAATACTTCAGGTGCATCTACATCATTTATTTTAGGACAGAGTCAACAGCAACAACAACAACAAAATCAAGCACAACAATATAAAACACCACTAAAACAACCAAATTCAAATGATACAAGTATACTTGAAAACAATAACAAGATGACAGATGAAGATTGGGCATTATTTAAAGAGTTGGAGATTGTTCAAAAGAAAGTGGCCACACCTGCAATCTGGAGAGATTTCCTTCGACCATCGATCGACCACAACTCATCATTCCAATCGGCTGCAATGAAATATGAACCTGCAACGCCATACTTATCAAGAAATAGAGTTGCTAAATCTTAATATCATTCTAAAAGTTTGGTTAAATAAAATTTTAAATCAAACTATTATTATTATTTAATTTGTTTTGTTTGTGAATATCTATTTATTTACCAACATTTTTGTTTAAAATATTATAAATAGAAAGATTAGATGCAAAATGTTCTTTAATATAATCGTAGCCATACTCTTGAAATTCTTTTTGAGAGATCGAATGTTGTTGCCACTGATGTTTGGTATCGTAATACCAACGTTTGGCACCGAACCATGAATCCAGCAGACCATGATCACTCTTGAAAATATTGAATTTCGTGCCAGGCTCACGAAGTTGTGTCAATTCATATTCGAGTCTTCTATCGAAATTCTTAAACAACACTTGACCACCAGTGAGAAAGACGTTCGATGCCACTTTGTTTTGTAGTTTCCTATCTTTGATCTCTGAGAGTACCATTTCGATGGTTTCCATCAAACCCATTTCATCGAGTGAGATCAGTGCTTTCGGTTGGAATAGAATCTCCGGTACTTTGATTCTCTCGACGTCGAGACGCACCTGGAAGTCTTTGGCCGTCATGAAATCCTTGAGAGGGTCGTCGTCCTCCTCGACAATGTTCCAGGTCGGGTCGAATCGGTTCAGCCATTTCTCTATGGTTGTCATCTGTAGATCGTCTTCGGCATCCTCAGGATCGTCGTCATCGTTCTTTCGCTCGAGAGATCGCAGCTTCGATTGTCTTCTAATGACTTGTGTTCTCGCCTTCTCTCTCGCTTCCTTCCGATCCAATATCTTCTTCCTCCTCTCGTATAGATCCTTTATATATGCCTCTGGATCACGTTCGAATGCATCCTCCTCCTTCTTGTTGATAGCATCGACCTTCTCCTTCTCTTCGTCTCTCTTTCGCTTGGCTGACAACCTGCTGTCTTTCAACGCCTTTAGATGTTTCTGTTTGCGTTTCTCCTTGAGTTGATCGGCAGACAGCTGATCGTCGGCAATAAAGAGCAATGGGAATTCCTCTTCATTCGATTTCTCGGGAATCGGTTCACGTTTCCTACCGAGTTTCTCGCGTAGCTCATCGATTTGCTTGAGAAACTCACGTTCTTTCAGTGACTCTGACTCCAACGATGCTTCGTACTCTGCTGCATTCTCTGTCTTTAGCAAAGCGATTGCTTCCAATCTCGATAGCTGTTCTTCATACTCGACCATCTTTTCCTTTCTCTTTTGCTCTGCCTTATCTCTTGCCATCTGACCCATCTTCTTCTTATTCTCAAGCTTTCTCTGTTTATCCTCTTCCAACTGCGCCAAATCCACCTCTTGGAATGGTAGCTGTATTAAATTAACATCCAGACTATTATCCAACTTGAATCCATTCAACTTTTCAATATAAGATGTATCTGATACTATACAATGTTGTTCTTTAACATCCTATTATTTATCACCATTAATATAAAAATAATAATAATATTGTTGTAAGTATACTTATTAGATTGTATTTCGATATCTATCTTCTAATACTACTACTACTACTTACATTTATATAATTTGAAGTAAAGAATGTTTTATGTTGTGGATACTTCAAGTGTAATGATCTCTTTAGATATTCAGTTTGTAAAGAAGAACCAACATTGATTCTTCTTGTGCTATAGTGTTGTACAATGTCATTCTGTATGTTGTAGATGTGTGTAACTGCATGTCCAGCACCTACAATCATAGCATTGGCACCATTATCATCAAACAAATGTCTATTTCCATAGAATGCAAACAATGAATCTATTCCATAGGTTAAAGAAGGTATATTATAACATTCAAATAATAATTCGCTCATATCTATAGATAATATAATTAATTAATAACAAGTTGTTATTCATTCTCTAAATATTAAAAAAAAAAAAGAATAATCATACATTTTCTACAATAAGATGGATTTGAAGATGGTTCTGTTATTATAATTGGATTCTCTATAGATGAATTGACACCCAATCTCTCGAATATGTAATCGAATATCGCTTCTTGTGTTGGTGGATGCACCAGTAGATTCGAATCAAACGGACTCTTCAATGTAAGTCTAGATATATCGCTCTCTCTAATGGAATTACCAACAATCGGTTGTGAATTCGATTTAACTTTACCAACTAATGATTTAAATTGTACTAATAATAATCAACATCATTATTAATAAATCAGTTAGTTATTCTTTAACATATATATATTAAATAAAGATAGAATAACATACATCTTGGTTTATTTTCATTTGAATAACCAGCTCTTACATTATAGGTACCATTATCAATGATAATAGGTATATCTTTAAATTGATGATAATCATCTGATATTAAATCTTCTTTAGGTGAATGAACATCTCTATAATCAAATATATTATTATTACTACTTGATGGTGATAACAATGTTGGTGATGAAGATAAAGGTGAAAGTTTACTCATTCTATATTTATATTTATATTATTAAATTATAGTATTTTATTACTATTGTTATTATTATTTACAATTATTTGATCATTTAAATCATTAAAAATTATGAACATCAAAGATGTCAATTTAAAGAAATATATATGGGGGTGGGTGTTTGTTCATTCCCCCAAAACGATCATTCATACCTATTTTTTTTTTTACTATTTTAATGATCAACTTTCTATCTTATTTTAAATTTCAAACTATTAACATGTCAAAGTTATCTGTAAATATATATGATTTAACAAAGTCAATCAATAGAGTTAGTAAAAATACAAACATTAGTAGACCTACTGAGATTGCTACTTTTAGTTATGACGATGACAACAATCTATTTCCACCAGCTATAGTATGTTTTGTTAAATAGATTAGATATAGATTGATAATCAAAAACGGGATTTGATTAATTGATAGATTGATTGTGATTTAATAAAATAGAATAAATATAAAAGACCAAAGAATTTACCTTTGGATATAGGAGCAGGATTTAGTATGGAGAATGCAAAACCTATGAATATGCCGTCGCCACTCACACCAATTCTGACGACATTGGAGAAAGAGAAGATCGATGTTACAGCAGTTGACTTTATCACCTATCGTAACAATCTCAACAAGATATTCGGTGTCTATTGTAATAAAGATAGCTGGACCATCGATATCGAACGATTGGACGATACCATACACCTCGGAATCAAACATATCACCTCACAACCGGAAAACGAAGATCAAGCGAAATCAATGTATTCCGGTTTCAAATTCGAGGAACTATCAACCTCACAAGATACACCATTGAAATATTGTTCAATCATTCAAACTACATTATCAAACAAAAGGTAAGTAATTACAATTATTTAGTTCAATAATTAACGTTAACAAACTAACTATTTATTTCTATAATATGAAAAGAATAATAATGGCAGCTGAAATAGATTGTTATGAAGATGTAATTTTGAAGGAAAGTGGTACTAAAGATAAAAAGAGAACAATCGATCAGGTAGAAGATAATATTGAAAATCTCACAGGTGATGTCAAGACAATGAAGCGATATATAGAGCTGAAAACAAGTAAAGTTATTTTGAATGAGAGAAATCAGAATTCATTCGAGAGATTCAAGTTATTCAAATTTTGGTTGCAATCTTACTTGGCTGGAGTGGAGTTGGTTGTCTGTGCTTTTAGAGATGACGATTATAAAGTGGTCGATATACAAGAGTTCTATACACATGATATCCCTATGATGTCAAACGGCAAATGGAGTACAAATGAATGTCTTCTAAGAGGAAATTCAATATTAGATCTCATCAAAGACAATACCAAATCAAACAAATCTTATCAATTACAATATATTTATCCAATGTTATATCTTAATGAAACTTCACCTGATAATAATAATAATAATAATAATAATAATAATAATAATAATAATAATAATAATAATAATTATGAAAATATATTAACAGATCAATATAGAACTTATTTTAATACTTGTAAAGTAAATGTAAATAAATAAATCTTAATTTGGAACTTCATTAATATTTTTTGTTTGGGATATGTAATTCATATGATGATGATTCAATTATTTTTGCATAAATCACAGTTTAGAACTGAAGAAAAATACTTTGTTGGAGATACAGTCTCTGTTATAGGTGTGGTTTCAATTGGAAAAAGAAAAAAAAGAGATTCAGAACAAATGTGGTACAGCGACATTGTAGCGATATTGGAAAAAACAATACTCATCAGATGGTTCGAATTGGATTATGAAAATGAATATATATATATATATGGAGAATTCGAACATATCAATCACAATCAAATTAATGAAAAAGCAAGGAAAGTTTATGTATCTTCACAACCCAAATTTATTTTTTTTTCAGTTTAATAAAATTAGAAACAGACTTTTCACTTTTCGTTATTCATTATTCAATAGAACGAAAAGTTATATTTAAAGATTGAAAAAAAAAAAAGGACCTTTATGGTGTATAATCTGTGTGTGGTGTTGATGTAGTGGGGTAATCTGTGTCGAACAGTGCAGAGTTATCTGTATTTAGAAAAGAGTTTGTATCAACATCAACACCAAACTACAACTCAGATGTATCTATTCCACCACATAATCAACCAATTCTATCCAGGGTTAGCAGCACAATAATAATCGAGTATCAACACACAAAGAGAAAGAAATCTTGGACCGTTTAACTAAAATAGAAGAAACAGTACAGAGTATTCTTAAGTTATCAAGCACAAATATATTTAGAATTAATGAGGGTATTTATTGTTGTGAAACATTCATTTTATATAAAACATTAAATAATTATTTAAATTTCATTGTATCATTCATCAATTCACTATTTTTAGTATTGTCTTTTTGCATTCTTTTAGTATATATTTAGTTATTATATTAATTAAACGTTTATTTTTGTTTAACTATATTCAAACTAACCACATTACTTTACATCTACTATAGCTTCAATAGTAAAAAAATGTAAGAATAAACAGAAATATTCAGAAAATTTAGTAGTTTCTGATAAGTTTATTAGATCAACCATCAGAGATGAATGTAACTTCTCGACTACGATTGATATTACTAGTAAAATTGAAGAGGTAAGTTGTAAAATACACTCAAAACAATTCTTAAAAATCTTACTAATATCACTATTCTTTGTCTAATTATAAATGAATAGATACAGAATAGTCTCAAATATAAATCAAAGAATATTGCTGCCAAGTAAAACAATCTTTCTCTTCGACGAAAGCAGAAGTATGTACATTTATTTTAATGAATCCTTTGAAAACATTACTAAAACAAAACAGGATCAAAATATTTTATTAGGTGAGTTGAGACAGCTTTTAGTAGATCTAAAAGACTGTGAATTTCAAGTAGATAGTGATGTGGAATGTATTAAAATTATAGAAGAAAAACAGAAAGTATTACATATTATAATTACAAAAAAAATATCAAACTAGTTGATATCATGATATAATACTTTCTGTTTTCTTCTATTATTTTAAAACATTCCACATCACTATCTACTTGAAATTAAGAAAATTTGTTGCCATCGACAACCTAGAGATTGAGTAATATCTAAGCAATATCTATAGATAATGTAATAGACCTTTATGTAAATAAATAAAATATATTAAATTTAAAATTTTGATTTTTTTTTTTTTTTTTTTTTTTTTTAATATATTGCTGAGATGTATACTTTTCACATCGATTTCAATATCATTAACTATCAAGAAAATCAATCTACAATTTATTCTAATTATTAAAAATAAATAAAATAACAATAATATTACTTTAATAGAATTAATCATAATAATATTAAATTATCTCTGTTTTTTTTTTATGAATGTTCAACAACAAATTTTTTTTAAAAAAAGCGCGCTGAGAAGGAAGTTAATAAATCTTTTATTAATAAACATACATATATAACATCTACCATCAAAGATTATTTGTATCTTTATGTAAAAGAATAACAATTGTTTAATAAATAGTAGACTATAGACTATACATCTTTTTTTTTTTAAAAAACAAGAGGGTTGTAGATTTGTTGTTATGGAAGAGTTTCTAATTGGTGACTTGGGATCTGAAAAGATCTTGACATCACTCAGTCAAACAACTCAACCCATACCATTTATACATGATTTTCAACTAAAGAATGGAATAGATAAACAAAATTATATGTATTAGAAACATTAGATTTGCAATACAACTTGACAATATAGACTAATATTATCAATCGTTTCATATTTACACTGGCCTCAGTAGATCCCGTCTTAAAACTATTGGATCTACATCAGATCACCAGAAGTTCATTATATCATTCATTATTGGTTTGTCTTCGTGATGATATGCTTGTAAAAATACAATCAATGAATTCAACAGAGTAAGTAACAACAAACAAATGAATAGTATGAATGGAATGAACTAAACTAATGATGTGTTTTTTTTTTTTTTTTAGTTTAGAGATGTTATTGGATAAATCATTTCCTTATATCGGTTTCGAAGAGTTGAAAGCTGTACCTATGAATGTAATGAAGTTAATGCCGACGGTACCCGTTCGATTCTTGATGAAGCTGTCAGAGACAAGAGAGTTGTATGAGCAATGTCCACTGGAGGTGAAGCGTCAGATCTGGTTGATCAACGACGAGCTGTTTAGAGATAAGCTGTACCCTTTGATGCTGCAGTTCGTAGAGGATCCGTACTTGTTGCAAGAGTCGAACGAGTTGGTCATCGATACACCGCAACTGCCAACGAAACGACGTGAGAACAACGCTGTTCTCCACGAGATTGCTTCGCTCATTGGCAAATCCTATCAGCTCTACCAGAGTGCCGTGGAGTTTGTGAAGGAGCAGTATGTAAAGACGGGCAACGGCGTCTACTGCACGCTGCGCGCCGACCTGTTGATGTGGCTGCACGACACCGGTGTCTCGGCGATCTACGACCAGGACGGCGTCCACTCGCTCGCCTGGTGTGTCGACGCCTGTATGCGTGACGATGAAATCGATACGCGAAGAGTGCGTGAGATTCAATCGTATTTCAATAGCTATGCAATCGAGTCGGGCAATAAGATTATGGCCGACGCGGCAATGGTGTTTGCCAACCCGTTCGCTCTGCACTGTCTGTTGCGTAATGTGCTGAGACATCTGGTGACGGTCGTCCAGAAGAAACAGATTCCCAAGGACGACGAGAATATAAAGTATATTACATTCTTGATGACGCTGGCAATGCGTGCATTGGTTATGCTGCGCGAACAAGACTACAAGTCGCCACACATAAAGAAGCCAGTGATGGCCAGTTTCTATCCGATGTTGGCCAGTCAGATTCTCGATGATTTGTCGCGTGACAGCGCCGCCACACTAGAGTCTGGCGAAGTCGAAGAGGTCGACTCGAACCTCACTGCACTATTCACCAAGAATATGGTTTGTCAACTCATTATGTGTACGTACATTGTGAAGCGTGTCAATGAAAAGGATGTATCGACCGTTGAGAAATATCTAAAGTTTATCGCGCGTGAAGCTGCCAGTGTCGTTGCCGGAGAGCAGCCCTTTGTGCAGTCGATCGTCTCGCAAGTGCTCTCAACCAAAGATGCCAAGATGGCAGTTGTCACCATCGATGATTTCCTCTGCCGTTTCAAGTCGATTCCCTTTGTTTTCAGACAACTGATGCGATATCTACTGGATACACAGAGCAGAATGACACCGAGAGATCTATCGAACTTTGTGCAACGACTCTTTGTTGTCAGTCCGGCAGAACTTCAACAACTCCAACAATCGAAATACATGGATGAGATCAACAATCTCTCAAAGTCATTACTTGAAAAGACAGGAGCACGTCTCAATGAAAAGAGTATGCCGATTCTAGTTGACTTTATCAATCGTTCAATGAATGTAACACCAACACCTCCAACTGTTTCAACAGCAACAACAACAACAACAACACCACCATTACAATCATCTCAACAACAATCATCTTCTTCATCAAACAACAACAACAACAACAATAATAATGAATTGAATTATGATATGGATGATTTCGAAAATCAATTTCCAGATGGAGATGGTGAGTTTCAAATGGAACACCAACATCATCAACTACAGGATGATGTACAATCAACGGAACAAAAGAAAAATGGTGACGAACAGAATGGCGGTAGTACTACCTCTGGAGTACCAATGGCAACTACCACTTCACCCGATGTAAATATAATGGATGACGACAAAACAACACCACCACAACCACAAACAAACAATACACCTCCAACAACAACCAGTAACGATCAACCAATGACTGAATTGGAAGAAGGTGAACACGACTTTACCGATAACTAAAAAAATAATAATAAAAAAACAAAAGATAATAATAATAATATGAATCTGGATATATTTATTCAACAAGTTTGTTTTGATCGAAATAGACTAATATATATAAAGAAGAAGAAGTTAATTTGTAGATTGCTTTTGATCTGCTTGTTTTTTTTTTACAAAATTTTTATATATTTTTAAATGCTTCTTGAACATACACGATAGTTAGATAGATTTTTTATTTTATACATACACATATATTAAAAAATGATTAGATATTTAAATAGATGTATTATACAATGTAATCATAATAATTTAAGATTCTTTAGTAGTAAACAAAACGATGCAACTCTTAAATCTAAATCATATTTGATACCAACTTTAAAGTAATGATTAATCAAATAAGTTTGTTAGATATTTACTATAACAACAAAGAATATATTTATTAACTATTATTTTGTTTGTTATATTTACAATATTGTAATCTATCTATCTATCTATCTATCTATCTATCTATAGAATCAATAATAGTATATCATTTAATGATTCAATGAATCAATTGATACAAAAGATAGAATTGGCACCAATGTTTTATAAAGATGCACCGATCGTTGTAGATGTCTCAGATCACACTGAATTGGACAATTTCAAATTCGATGAACTAATGAATGTCTGTGTTGGTAATGGATTGGTACCAATCGGTGTATCTTGTAATAATCCATCCGATAGAGTTCAAGATATTCTAAAACGATATCGATTGCCCATTATGTATGGTACAAATACAAGATCATCTAGTAAATCTTCTGCAGCATCAACAACAGCAACAACAGCAACAACTACAACAACAGCTACTGCCTCTACAACTACATCATCTTCAACCGCTAACAATGTATCAAATTACTCTTCAACCGCTATGAATCATCAAATGCCTGCAGCATCAACAGCATCAACAACAATTAAATCAAAACCAGCACCATTAGTTATTTCAACATCATTGAGATCGGGACAACAGATCTACGCAGAGAATACCGATCTAATCATTATGGGTAATGTACATAGCGGTGCAGAAGCAGTGTCCGATGGTAATATTTTCATTTTCGGTACATTGAAAGGACGTGCACTTGCAGGACTCTCTGGCGACAAGTCAGCCAAGATCATCACAAACAAATTCGAAGCAGAGCTAGTCTCTATAGGACCTGCTTACCACGCCTGCGAAACACTTCCACGTACAGTCAACCCAAACATCCCAACAACAGTTACACTTCAAGATGATAAATTATTATTTACATCAATAGATCCAAATAATAATAAATAATAGTAACTAATAACTAATAACGAATAACTAAATTTAATATTAACTTTAACTTTAATAATAATTTATAATTTATTTATTTATTTTTTTTTATTTTAATTAAATAACTAACAAATTAGAGATCTATATATATATATATATATTATAATGTTATTGGATCTAATTCACTACCTTTTTGTTCTTGATATGTATACATTGGTTCAGCTATTCTAATGAATTGATCCAATAGATCGGATCTGGATATGATTCCAGTCAATCTACCCTCTTTATTAACAACAGGCAGTCCGGTAATAGTATTTTGTATCATCATCTTACATGCATCCAGAGTGGTGTCATCTTCATGTAATACTTGTAAAGCTGCTTTAGGTGGTAATATATCATTTACTATATTAATTATTTAAAAGAAAAAGAATATTATTAGTTATTTTAATATAGTTAATAAATTTTTATTTTTGTACCTTTTTTAGATCTTAAAAATTCGAACCATTCTTCTTCACTCTTTGTTTCGAATGGAGATTTAGAGTATACTCTTATATCTCTATCGGTTACGATTCCTAGTAGAGTATAGTTTTCGTCGACAACCGGTAGTCTTTTATATCCGTATTTCACCATTACTTTGAATACATGTTCGAGAGTATCACCAGGTTTACATCCAACCATGTTTTTACTCATGATCTTATGTAGAGGTGGGTTGTATTCCATTCGTTGAGCATTCGATATATGAAAGATATGATCGGTCATCATGAATTTCAAATCTTTATCATTCACATGAAATTCTAATGATTCTTTTTTATCTATATTATTATTTTCCATATCTCTTTCTTTTACTACTACTTTTTATCTATTTAAACTAAAATAAATTAATAAAAATTATTATTATTTCCAAATTATTTAAATTAAAAGTTTTTTTTTTTTAATAAAAAAATTTATTACCTAAAATGGATTTAATCTAAAAAAGGAAATTTTAAAGATTTTATTTTTTTAGTTTTAAATATAAAAAAGTTTTATTTTTTTACAAAAATTTTATAAAATTTTTTGATTAAATCATTTAAAATCAAATATTAAAATGAATTCCTGTTTGCTTTATAAATTCTTAATAATAATTTAATTTATTTAATTTTATTTTATTTTTAATTTTACATTATTTTTGAAAAATAGGTGATTTTCTCCAAGTCTGTCAGTTCTTTGGCGTGTTCACGAACGAGTGCAGCAGCTGACGATGGACACATACTCATAAAGTAAATGATTGAATTTAGCGAAGCCTTTTCTAACATTGCTTTATAATCTTGATCGCGTGAGGAAGATAGCACGAATGACTTTGAGTTGTTTAAAAGTCGTTGATGGAGTTCTGCCGCTTCTTTGATTAGATCATTCTGACAACACAGTACAATGAGGTTGGAAATGTGTAAATCTGTTTGTGTCCATGTATCACGGTATACCGGAAGTGTGATAGACTTTGGGTATAATCGGATGAACAACTCCTTGCCCTTGGATTTCAATATCGTCACCAAAATACCCCATGACAACGGCCATCTTTGAGTCTCCCAACCAAAAACCAAATCAAATCCTCTGGATAGTAGTCAATTCCCCACATTGAACAAGTTTGGTTCTTCATGTAGAGATATCGAGAGAGTTGCAGTGATCTCGAGATTGCGAAAGCGTAGTACGATCTTTTCGGTGGTCGGAATGTCCTCAGTGGCTTTTGTTGTTTGTAGACAACGGCAAATCGCTCGTCTTGCTCATCCATTTCATTGAATATCATTTCTATCATCGGTTGGTTGGGATGCGCGGCAAATACATCGACCGCTTTAGCCGACCAGAATCTATCTCGCTTCGCACGATTTCCGAAGTATTGAAACATCTCTGTGTTGTTCCTCTCGGCTGCAACTGCCATGAGTCTTGCCCAAGTTTCTTTTGTATATTTATATTTGCCGGCGATTCTCTGAACGACCGCCAGATGTCCGTTCCACACAGCGTTGCGTATCGCTCGTTTCGTAAACTCTTGGTTCGGGCAGTGTGTGAACAGGTAATCGATTATCGCTGGCGAACATCGTATGAAAAGCGTATCGATTGCATCGAGTGTAAAACTCTTGCTAAACTTGTTGTGGATCTCTCTGAAATCGGATAACGCTCGTACGTGTTTACAAAAATGCCATAGAATAGCGGGTTGTGCAAAGAGTTGATGATATTGAATCTGATCTCGCTTCACTCTCTCCATGAATATTCCAACATGTCCATGTTTGACTGCCCACAATAAATCACAGTTGAAACCGGCGGTATTCAATTTCAACTCACGATGAATCGCTCTTACTTGATCAAATATTAAAGTTCTAAAAACTATATTATTTAATAGTTTACCAAATAAACTATTGTTCTTATTAATACAACCATTGTCTGTCATTTTCTTTCTCTAAAAATGTAAATATAACAAAACAATATAATTATCTATCACATTGTTGTTGTGTAAACTAAAGACAAAAATTGGTCAATATCAAATTTGTTGATAATTCTAAAAATTTTCTGTTTTCATTCTGTTTCTTTTGTTTAAAATCATTGTTTTTACTAACATTTTGTTTATAAGTTTTAGATAATTTAAAAATTTATAATTTAAAAACAATTATTATTTGAAAATATTTAAATAATTGATTTTATTTTAAAGTCATTGCTTAATAATAATCAAACATTAAAAAATCAAATAAATATTTAACTATAACCTCTATTTTTTTCTAGTGAACCAAGTTTTGTATAAAGAACATTGATAAGATTAAATTTTTTTATTTTTTATTTAAACCTTTAAGGAAATATAGCCTAAACAAATGGGAATGATTTTAGATAAGAAAATTAAAAATATTTGTTTATTGAAAATTGTTTATAAATTTTATCTTATTGAAAAATTAAATATGAAATAAAAATCAAATAGATAGACTTTTCCTAAATTTTAATTAGAAACGATGTAGAGGAAAAATTTAATAAATTTAAAATATAACTTTATAAAAACAAATAATAAAAAGTGATTACAACTTCGATTTATTCAATTGAAAAGAGGGTCTTTTTTATTTGATTTAATTCTTAACATACAAAACTGAAATTTTATCTCAGATCTGAAACGAAAATTTGTAGCACTGACGTAGCTAAATACAAATTTCAAATTCTCCCTCATTTTAGCTTTAGTAAATACTTTGTTCACTTATTATACGATCATTTTACCATTTTAAGTTTATATAAAATGGGTGATGTATTTATAAATCTATCACATCTTATATTATCAAATATTGTTAATTTCATTCAAAGTAATGATGAAAGAATCATATTTACTTTGATATGTAGGAGATTTTACTATAATAGAGATAGATATCTTTGTTTTAATCAGAATAGTGAAAAGTGTTTTAATCAAAGTGTATTTCATAAAATTCGAGAAACTTACAATCTTACTTCATTTAAAGATCAAATAAATAGATTAGTGAATACTGAGTTTATATTTATGAAAGGTATGCTCTCATGTACAAACATCGTCAATTAACATTATAATATATATTTATTTTTTTGATTACATAAAATAACAGATGATCATCATTCAAAACTAGATAAAATCGAAATTCAAAGTGAAAAGAAAACAATTACTATTCAAATGAGAAATCGAGCACTTTATCTGCCAAAGTTATTTAGAGATAGACTTGAACGTTCAAATGTTGATACTCTATATATCTGTTGTTCATTTGATATAGGATTCGAACAGTTTCCAAGAAATATCAAATCAATAACACTATATTCGCATGGTTGTTCTAACGATCTCAAATGGCTACCAGAATCACTGGAAAAGCTGAAATTCAAGCGACTTCAGAATATTAGTTCACCAATGACATCGACAATCCGATACCTTGATTTCGGTAGTTTTGATTCTAATAAGATTGCAATCAATATGTTACCTCCACAGCTTGAAGTACTGATCTGTGGAAGGTCCACTTTGATTTTTGATACTGTAGTGGTTGATAATGAACAACATCAGCAACAACAACATCAACTTCCAACTAGTCTAAAAAGATTGGATATCAGCTGCCTGTATGTCAATCTACTAAGAAATCTACCGGCTCTAAAGGAGTTGACACTTAGATTTGAAGGTCACCAGTTTAAACAAGTTGATATTCCATCGACTGTCACCTCGCTAAAACTTATAGATATCGGTAGTCAACAACTACAACCTAAAGCTCTAACAACACTACCGGAAATACGTCACTTAGAATTTGTACACGGCGAAGTTACTTTTGCAAAGGATTTCTTTTATCATCGCGATAGTTTAGAGACATTGATATTCAGCGGTACCTATCGGAAGCTTTTTGAAATTGGTAAACTTCCCTCCAATCTCAAAGTCTTGAAACTACCATTATTCATCCCATTATTTTACATATCGAGATTCTGTGAGATTCCAGAAAGTCTCGATCGAATGTCAATCAGTTTCAATCAACAAATGACAACGTTCTCAAGGGAATTGGTTCCGAAATCGCTGAAACATCTGGAAATAATCAAATTTTTCAGAGACCAGTTGTAGTAGAATCACTTCCCGACGATCTTGAATCACTTGTACTCAATGGATCCGGAGCAAATTTTACAATGAAGGGATGTATCTATCCATCATCATTAAGATCGATCAATGTAAACAAATCTTTTTTTACTATAAATCCTATCGAAACGATTCCAATAACGATCGTGACCGTCATCATAGAAGGATTGTTGTATCACAGTCATTCTAAACTTCAAAGGTTAGATAACACTCATTTCTTGCTGTTCGATGTCAATTATAAAATAGTAGAAGGTATCATACCTATTTCGAAAATCAATCAATTGATTAAATCATTTGAAATAAAATATTATAATTAAAAATTCTTATTAATTTACTTCTTTACATTTGCTCTTGCAGATAAAATTGCAATCTTTTTTATGTGGGTTTTGAAATATGATATGTTAAACATATATGCATTTTTAAAATTTTTTTTTTGTTTGAATAAAAACAAAGTGGTTACATTTATGGCTGGGAATGGCATTTTGTTTTGTAATTAATGTTAAGTGGTAGCTTGTTTTATTTAAGCATTTGAAAACAAAAAAATGTTCATATTAGTAATATCAATAGTAATTCTGACAGCAATAATAGTTTATTCTAAAAACAACTCAAAAAAGAGAAATCCTAAAAATAGAAATAATAATAATAAAATCACCAAAAAAACATCACCAAAAAGAAAGGAAGCTAGTGTAGAACAATATGAACTTAGAAGAGGAAAACAGATCTTATCTCTGTTAGAAGATATGAAACCAGAAACAGTTCCATATTCAGAACTAAGCGAACCAATGAAAAAGGAGAGATTTTTAAAGATTAGAGCATTGATCGATATCTTTTTGTATGCAATCGGTTCAAATTACGAAGAGTTCAATGAAGCACTCCACATAAAAATGGCAGAGGATGACTTTAATAAAAAATATAAAAAAAATAAATAATAATAACTATATAAAAAAAATAAATAATAATAACTATATTAATAAAAATAAATTAAAACAAACTAATAATAATAGAAGTAATAAAAAAACGACCAAAAAATCATCAAAAAGAAAGTATAGAACAATATAAACTTCGTAGAATACTGAAATGATGTCTGTTTCAACCACAGCAGAGGGTAAATGTAATAATAATAATAGCATCTTAAACAGTAAAAGCATTACACCTATTAATAGTAAATAAATATTTTATCATAATACTTTTTTTTTTTTGATAATCTAAGTAAATTTATATGAACTGCTTTATTTGATTTAAATTGTAATATTCTATAGCTAAGATAATCCATTCATGATATTTTTTTAAATTATTAATTGATATTGTCGATTATATAAAGTTAATCAAATCAAAACATGATTTACCATGTTTTTTGCAAAAAGTTTGTCAAGTGGTGTTTTTGTTTTTTAAAAATTAATCTGATTAATGATCAGTTTATTTGCAATTTTTTTTTTACATTTATTTATATTTTATTTATTTTTTGTTTAAATGTTTAAGGAAATCGAACCGAATAATAGATTGATTCTATTTTTATTTATCGTAAATGTAATAATATCATGTAGTGAAATAGTAAAAGCATCAAATACACCAATTAAATGTACAGGTAATAAATAAATATTTTAACACTTACTTTTTTGATTAATCTACTCTTTTATTAACATTTATCACATTGATAGTTGGAGAACAACAAATTCTAGATGATTGGGGATTTTATAATATAGCAAATAATTTAAATTCGAAATGGACAACTTCATCTACATTAATAAAACTAACAGACAGTAGTAGTAGTAGTTACAACTATAATAATCATAAATATACAAGCTATATAAATAGCTATTACAATCAAAATAACAATATTAATATTAATAATTTATATAATAAAAACAATAACAACAACAACAACAATAATAATATCAATAATAATCAAACAAAAACAAATTTTAATGAATTAAATGGTGGTGGTTCACTACAACAACTACAACAAGAAAGTGGGAATGGCGCAATTATTGCATCGAATTATAGTGTGGTGTTTTGTACAGATGACGAGTGTGGTAGTTCGAGGTTCGATTTAGATGGCTATTACTATGCGCTTTTCCCACTGCCAGCGAATAAAGATAATGTAGTGGTGTATCGGTTGTCACAGCAGTTCTTGCTTTACGAACTGCAGTCACCAGATACCGATACATTCTATCTCGATTACTTTGTTTCAACGACGGCACTGTTTCCACCGGATGTCGATGCATCGATCTATGTGTTCCTCGATAATATGCAAGTCGATCTACTCGATAGTATCATTACATTCGGCGAGACACACAGTCTCGATCTCTCGGATTTCATCGATATCAGCATCATCGGTACTGTTCACACCATAGAGTTCCAGATATCCTATCATCTGCTACAACCCGATCAACTATACAATTTCGCATTCCAACTCTCGGGAATAAACATTCGTCGTGGACTGCAGACGAGACAACCACTCAAGTCGGCAGGCAATATCTATGTGGACATTGTCAATGGCTCGGACCGCAACGGTACGGGCTCGCTGACGTCACCCTTCAATTCTCTGGCGATGGCACTCTCCTATCTGTATCCGGGTGATAGTATCATAATGAATGCAGGTGTCTACTGTGGACAATATATGAACATAAATATCAATAAGAATTTCAACTTGATCGCTGCTGCCAATAACGCAGATCCTATACTGACGGTGATCAGTGGTGAAGGTCTGCTTTCCTCGCTACACATTGCTTCGTCGGCGACGAACATGCTCACTGTCAACATTGCAGGTATAACAGTGCGTGATACCTACTCTTCGCGATTCGCTTCGGGCGGTGGTATTCTTTTCATTGAAGGAAGTGTCAATGTCAGTGCAACCAACTGTATCTTTGAGAATAATCTTGATCATTACGATCGTGGTGCTATCCTCTTGCGAGGCAACAGTAACTTGGTGTTGCAAGCATCGATCATTCGCAATTGCTCATCGTCGATGGCTGCAAACTACGGACCGGCAATCAGTATCATTGGATTCGAGAGCTATCAATCACTCGTCATCGACAGTTGTCAATTCATAGATAATCAACATGCACTCTATGTCGACCAGAATAACTACTTGGTGATAAGCAACACGCAGTTCAACGGAACCGGTGAAACTACGAATCTACCTTGTTCAGTGAGGATATCACGTTCACCACTATCGACACTACTCAACAATACATTTAGCAACAGCGGTAATGGTGCACTTTGTATCATTCAATCGATTGTCAATCTCAATCAATCGACATTCATTGGTAACCGCTTGGAAGATCGTGCCGGTGCCAATCTCTATATCTCACAGAGTTCACTTGTAAATATCTATAACTCTACTATTAGAGATTCATTTGGTAGTTCAGGCACTGCAATGTTTGTAATGGAACACTCAACGGTATCACTCTACGATACTACAATAACAAATATCATTACCAAAGAAAACGGTGCCATTATTTCATCTTCACGTAGCTATCTTTCATTGAATCGTGTGACAATAGTTCAATCGGTATCGGACTACCTATTCTATTTGTTCTACGGTTCCGTTACATTGCATCAATCGACTGTCAGTAATATCATAGGTGGTGTATGGGCAACTCAGACATCACTGACATTCACCGACTCAACCATTCAGAGTATTAGATCCGGTCCGAATAAAACCGATACCTATCTCGCTCAACAGTGTAATCTTGTCTTTAGCAATTGTAATTTCATCGATCATGGAGATATCTACTTGGCATCGTCCAACATCGAACTCACCGAAACAACTCTGAGCAACAGTAGAACGTTCATTCAACTACTGCCTAGTTCGTCGGCATTCGTCACCAACTGTACATTCTATGATAATGAAGATTCAATCTTTTTGCAACAATCGAATTCCTATTTGATCGTGTTGAACAGTCAGTTCTACAATAACAGAGCATCTCAAGGATCGGTTCTCTATCAATTGACACAAGCCAAAGCAACTTTTAACAATAACAACTTTACTGGCAACTCTGCATCCAAGAATGGTGGATGTATCTACGTTGGACAGTATTCCACCACGACATTGACCGATACTATTGCATCGAATAACTATGCGACATCCGGTGGTTTCATTTCGTCGGAGAGCGATGCTCTAATATCGATATCGGGTGGTGTCTATCAGAATAACAGTGCAATCGGGGGAGGTGGTGTTGTTTACTATCAAAACGTACCGACAATAGATGTGCCGCCTATTCTTATTGGCAATAATGCTGGCTATGGCAATGACTATGCATCACCACCACAAAAACTCAGTTTAACCACAACTTTTCCAAGTTATATCATATCGAATACCACAACATTCACCGGTGTCATTCAAATAGTTGATCAAACCGGACAACTAGTAAAAGTTTCCGATCAATTTTCGTCACTCAAAGTATATCTATCGATCGACGACAACACAGTGGATCTCTCTCAGGTGATCGGAGGATATGCCAACTTTACAAATGTAATTCTCACCGGTACGATTGGTTCGCGTGTCCCAGTTACTTTTTTGAGTAACGATCCCAACCTTTTCCCGTTTATGGTAGAGGGTGGAGCGGTCGTTGCCCCATGCAATCCTGGATCGATTCCATCGCCATCGAAATCGCAATGTCAAGTCTGCCAGAATGGAAACTATGGATACGATGGTATCACTTGTATCCAATGTCCATCGGAAGCATACTGTCAGAATGGACAGATCATAGAAACTAAACCAGGCTACTGGTACGACGAGTCTGAGTATCCAAGAGTTTTCTATAGCTGTCCTCAGGCATCGTACTGTCTTGGAAACAATACTTGTGCGCCTCACTCATATGGACCGCTGTGCGCTAATTGCAACGCCAGTGAAAGCTACTATCAGTGGGGTGGACGTTGTGTCCACTGTCCCTCTTCCAGCGCATACGTTCTACTGGCGCCATTTGCCGGTGCCTTTTTAATCTTTTGGGTTCAGCGATCCGACAGTGAATCTGGATTGATGACCATCATTATTTATTTCGTTCAGACTCTGATGGTTCTATCGCAGAGCGTTGACTTTAGCGTATTTTCCATTTTTAATTTGCAATTAGATTCTGGACAGAATGGTGTGTTGGGTAGCTTTTGTCCAGGACCCTATGACTACTACGAGAAACACTATATGACACTGCTGACAACTCCACTCTTGCTCTTTATGTTGGCGATATCTACACTCTGTATTGTCATAGTACATCGCTCGAATTGTATCTCACGTGAATCACCAGCACCTCGTACAGATCTAAAGAGTAGTTTTGCCAGTGGCCAGCTAAATGCGCTCATCAAATTGATCTTGACAGTCTATTCACCAATTACACAGTCGGTACTCTCCATTTTCTTTTGTACCGAAATCGGATCTCGATTCTCTATCCTAATAGCCAACAACTCTGTTTTGTGTGAAGGTAGCCAATATAGAATGGCTACCGCTATAAGCTATGGTCTATTAGTTATAATCATTGGATTGCCAATCATCATATTCATTCTTTTGTTTAAGAATCGAAAATACCTAGAGAATGACTATGTCATTAGAGTGTATGGCGTTTTCTTCCTTAAATATAAGCCAGACTACTACTATTGGGATGTTTTAATGCTACTTCGAAGATTGGCTGTTGTCGCCATTGCATTGATGCCACAATCATCCAATCTAAGAATGTTCCTTCTGACCTACACCAGTTTACTGTTTGTAATCCTACAAGTCAGATACCAGCCATTCAAAGTTGTTGGTGACAACCATTTGGAATTGGCATCTCTGGTACTCCTCTTCTTTTGTTGTATCTACTTGGATAACGATGTGTGGATCAACAGCGAGCAATGGATCGTCATGTGTTGTGGAATACTTTTCGGTATCTACTTGGTCTACATCCTCTATAATCACTATAAACAAGACATACTCGACCTCATCAATCATGGAATATATTTGGTGACCTTTGGAAATCACGGTCAAAAGAGAATCAACAAATACGAATATCTTGAAGATGACGAAAAGTTTTTACTTGGTGGAAAGAAGTCGCTTTCCACTTCTTTACTCTTCGACAGACCCAGATCAACATCGAAATCACAAGTGGTCTCACAATATGGATCGATTGTCTACAACAATGATTCATCGGGTGATGAACAGGATGAACAAGAAGTGGTAGACAATGAAGATACAAATAGTAATAGCAGCGATATTTGTTTTAACAATGAAATACGACTCATGACAGCAGCAGAACTTGCTGCCGCTGAACCAAGTGATGGTGCAATACTTGGAACTACCCCAATTCCATCGGTGTATCAAGATTAAAGATGTTTAAAACAACTAGAAATAAATCTATACCTTTTTACCTCCGCTATTCCCTCTTGCTTATCTGGTGGGTGATAAGGGATATGTTTAGTTCCAATCTGTGAAGAAAAAAAATTAAAATTTGGTCTTCAAATTTTTATAAATTTTCTTCTGTTTTACAATGTAACAAAACATGTGTCAATTCTTTTTTTCAATTTATTTGTTTTGATTTATTTATATTAGACAAGAAACTAATACTAGCAAATATAGTCATAAGTGAATAGACAGTTCAAACAATTTTAGGAGGAATTCTTGAACTCAAATTAAGATCTCAGGAATACACTCCAATTTATATAATAATAGTAAGATCTTCGAATAAATGTTTATTTCTTATAATTAATTTGTTTATATATTTGTTTTTAGGCACCAACTTCTTCTAACTCAAATCCAACTGAAAATCAAAAACCAAATAGATCTTAATTAAAGAAATCATATTACATGGTAAGTTTAAATAAATTTTAGTCATTTCTATTAAAAATATAAATTAACTATTTTAATTATTTGTTTTTAAAAAATAGTTAATGATTGATGTTGTAAATGATTCAAAACAACTCTTGGATGTTTTAGCGAAACAAGAAGAGCCATTGTTCGGATACTTCGGTTCTAAGAGATATCAAGATTATCAACTCTGAAAGTCAAGTAGTAGTTTGCGTTCATAAATGCGATATAAACAATTTTCAATTGGATTTGAGTTAAAAGAACTTGGAGGTCCTTTTTAAAATTTGGAGTGTATTTTTGTATAAATCAAATAATAAAAGTAGAGTATAATTGAAATACTTTTTTTTGTAAATCAATGTTTTTTTTTTTTGTTAGATGAAGCAAAAATTGTTTCCCAAGGGATCATCAAGCAATTCCAGAGGGGTTAATTTATTAATGTAAGTTGAGTGTATTGATTTTTATCTTGTTGAATGTAGAATCTCCAATCCTATCGATCTGATCTAACGGTTTGGGTTTTTCCAGTTTGTATGTCTTAAAAAAGGGGAGGGGTTGTTGAATACAATGTATCAGCATATGAATTTGAGTAGGAGCAGGTGGTGGAATCGGTATGGTCACAATCACTTGTCAAGTAAACTTTTCGAGTGGTCGGACTCTACCAAAGTCCGGTGGTTGGGAAGAAACAATGTACTGTTACGATGGGAATGGAGGGTGTTTAGAGACTTTAACTTTGGGAATGAGACCGTTTCTGAAGAGAACGAATGGCTCGACAGAGAGGAATACATCGAGTTGGCTGGCAACAGCGATATCCTGGTCGTCATCGAGTGAGTCAAAGTCATTTTTATCACAACTGACCTCCATGTTGTAATCTACCAGGTAAATGATAAGATGTTTGGAGGGAATTGCAATGATTACTGCTGGTGTGGTGATTGGTCCGTGCTCCCAGAGATAGAGTGCCAAATACAGGGTATTGAGCTTCTCTGAGATCTTACGTTTCCAAGAGATTTCATTGTATCGCTGACACAACGAATTTAATTGTGGACCGACGGGCAATGCTGCCTTGAAGGCACCCAAATGCTCCTCGGACTGCCAGTATGGCTTAATGGTGAGGTCCGGTGTCCAGTTGACCTCTTTGGTGAGTTGGATCGAGAGGACACGATGAATGTTGACATCCATATACCGTCTTATCGGTGCTGTGAAATGAGTGTAGTGAGAGTGGTCTTCATTCGAAATCGATGGAACGGTGGTCATTGATGGTGAAGTCTGTTGCAACTTGTCGCTCACTGTAATGTAGCGAGTTGGGTCCATCAAATGAATAGTTAGACGACGAAGCGCTTGCATCTGCTCAAAAGTACAATACTTGATGCACTCTTCGACTTTTTGTTTGATTCCCTTCCAGTCATCGGTCGGTAGAATCGAGATATTGGTGAATTGATGCATGTAGATATTGATACGTTCAAAGAAACGTTTACGATTGTCGAGTTGCGATGGTGTGATGTGGAGCGATGCTGCCAATCCATTGGAGGCTGTGGTCTCACTAGTCTTTTGTGCCAATGAACACGGAGAATAGAGAATTCCATATTCAGACTTGCTCTTGAGTAGCGAGATTGCAGCCAAGTTGTTGGCGAGATGCATATACTCTTGCACAAGAACATGACTCTCGAGCTTTGGAAGTAGATCGACACGGAATGGAGTACCATCAACCGAGAGATCGTATTGAATGTTTGATCCAATGTCAAAGATCTCACCTCTGTCTCTACGGATGTTATTGAGTAGTGAACTAACCAAGTAGAGTCCCCAGATAGATTGATTGACACGATCCTCCAACTCTGGACCACATCCTGTGAAATCGGGGTTTCTATTCCAGTCGGAATTCATCTTGACGTGATCAAGAATATCCTGGAGATGTTTGCTCGAATCGGCAATATTCATTTCAACGGTCTGGTTGTTTTGGTAGTTCTCGATCGCACTAAACTGTTGCTTGTAACGATTGATGACACGTTGTGCTTTTTCGTAGGACATGTGACCAAGCGAACGTAGGAAACTCTTACAGAATGTATGCTCAATTACTTTACCATCGGATCTGATCTTGATGAGCAAAGAGAAACAAAAACGTTTCTGGAAGAGTTTCAAACTACAGGTGTTGGACGACAGGTTCTTTGGGAGCATCGGGATTACGGTACCGACCAAGTAGATTGCATTCAGACGGAACTCTGCTTCGAGGTCGAGCTTTGAATTCTTGTCGAGGAAATAAGATACGTCGGAAATGTGAATACCAACTTCAAACACTGATTTGCCTTCGTGACGCTCCTCGAGCACACGGAATGAGAGAGCATCATCGAGATCGGTGGACGATGGTGGATCGATGGTCACTGGACAGAGGTGTGTCAAGTCGATACGACGTTTCTCTTCGTCGGCGGGTGGTGTCCAATCGTCGTACAAGTCATCGAGGTCACGTGGGAAATTCTCTGAGTGGAAAACCTGATGATTGAGAAGGATGCAACGAGTGATGGTCGCAACATCGAGTGGCGAACCAGAGAAGAACTGAACGGAACCGATTGCGTAACTGTTGTCCGGTGCAAAATCGGTGAGTATCAACATGGAGAGACGACCACAACGTTCACGCAAGAACGATGCATTCAAATTGGAGATGATATGTAAGGGAGGTGTGGACTTTTCGTAACACCAGAAATAAAAGATCTGATTTCCGTTGGCAGAGTCACTGTGGTCTTGTTGTGCACCGTTTTTGCCACCAGCCGGGGCCGGAATGTTGTTCTTGCGATCGTCAGAGTCTCTGATGAAACCAGTAACCAGAGTAGCTTTGGTCTCGGGTGCCTGACTCTGGTTGATGTGCGAAAAGACAGCTGGGAACTTCTTAAAGTTAAAGGTGGATACACGCTGAAGTGTGGACAATGAGTTGGCGGGGTAGATCAAGATCTGGTCATCCTTCATATGTCTCAGGTGATTCTGGTACTCGGCATGCATTGAATGCTGTTGGATGTTGTGATGATGCACTTTGGGTGCACCGTTGTTGGCAATGACCGACTGTGGTGACATGTTTGATGATTGGAGAGTGTTCGATGCCTGTTGATGAAGATGATGGTAGTGGTGATGGTGTGGATGATGTTGAATGTGATGCTGTGGCAATCCACTTCCAATTGAGTTGTGGTGTTGTTGGTGTTGGTGTTGATGTAGTGGACTTACACCACCACCGCCACCACCACCGATTCCACCGCCAATCATCGAGCCAATAGCTGAACCACTACGTGGATTATGTGTGTATTCATCACCGAGGAACAGTTGGCCGAGTTGGCCGTTGATCGATGTCTGTGGCGATGAACTGTACAGCAAGGGCGGAGTTGAAGCAGCGAGTGGCGACGACAATGCAGTGGCAGACGGCTGTGACAAGTAAAAGTTGAAATCATTCAGAATCTGGAGAGTTGGGTGTTGAGAATGATGCTGATCATAATAACTTGGTTGACTCAACGAGAGTGGACTATTGAATGAATCGGATGCACCGAATGCCGAGGTGTGATCGAATGCCGACAAACTGTTGTTTTGATACAAGTGTTGATGAGACTGAGTGGTAAACAATGGGAATGGATCGGGATTCGTACATCTAATAACTGTCTTGTATTCTCCATTAAACAATAACTTTACACATGATTGACCACCATTCTAATAAATTAAAAAGTAGAAGATAAAGGAGAAGAAAAAGAAGAATGTAAAAAAAAAAAGAAAAGAAAGTATAAATATGAATAAAAGAGTAGAACGAAGTCGAGTATAATCAAATTCTGATTAGTTACGTTTGTTTTGCTACCAATGTATTTGAGAGAACAACTTACATCAATCTTGCGCTTTCCAGTTATACTATAGAAAACGGCTTTGGCATGCTCCGGTGAGTTGAATAGGATATAGAGTTGATTCGGTTTGATCGACGGTCTAAATTCATAGGGATAGGTGGTATTGAGGAAACTCTTGATGTGATTCTCATCCATCTCCTGAACGATGTTATGAATAAAGAGTGTACGAGATGTCCATTCTGTGGTGTCGTTGAATACATCTTTCTTGATGAGATTTGGCGTTGAATTGGCAGACGGTGGTTGTGGAACGAGTGATGCTGCCGCTGCTGCTGTTACCGGAATGGCTCCTCCAGTTGGCGTACCAACACCGTTGACTCCGTTGCCATTGGGAAGATGCGACAACATGCTTGGATCGACTACTGTAGCAATGCCATTAGTTGACGAACCCAACACAACGACCTTCTTCTTCTTGTTCTTCTTCTTTTTCGGTGTGGTCGGAAGAGGGATGGTAGTTGTTGTGGTCGTCGTCAACAGGGTGGTGGTAGTAGTGGTAGGCTGTGCGCCCACTCCACTTCCAACGACACCCGTTGCTCTCGGGAACAAATCGTCACGTACAAATGCGCTATTGTAAGGATTCGAATTACTTGGTGGAGATACTATAGATTGTTGTGGTTGAGACTGTTGTTGCTGCTGCTGTTGAGATGCCTGCTGCTGCTGTTGTTGTTGTTGCTGTTGCTGAACCACATGATTATGAGAATTGTGATGACTGTGGTGATTGCTACTGCTATGATGTTGTAGACCCGAAGAACTATTACCACTGCTATGTTGCTGTTGCTGATGATGTTTACCGCTTAATGGACTACTTCCTGGTGGAAACCTGCGCACATAAGGTGCGCCACTATTGTAGCCGTCCAGTTGCGTTGTTTTAAAGTTTGAAAAAGAAATGTTTTGTTGTTTTTTTATTTATTTGCTGTTTTGTTGTTTGTTGTTATTATTTATTCTTTGTCGCTACTTGTTGTTTTTAACTAACTAAACTAAACTTATATGATATGATTATACAATATTACTCTTGGTGATTCTTTGCTCTATTGATATCCTAGGAATATCAATAGTTTAAATATGTTGATTGAAAATAAAAAATGAATGAAAAAAATTCGAAACCTTTACAAAATATTTATAAACATAAAGAAGAAATATTTAAAAAAAAAAAAACTAACAGGGTGTATGTGGCTTTGGGATGATTATCAATGCCGCACGCGCACACACCAAATAATAAATATCACCTTTAACTTTAATTATCTATTAAATTAAAGTGATTGATTTTGTTGATACGTTATTTAGTTAGATCTGATCTTATCTTATACTATCTTTTCTTGATTGTTATTGTTGTTATGTTCTGTTATTATTATTATTATTAAATGTTCTGTTTTGTTATCTATCTAAATTATTATTGTTCTTTTGGTACTATTACAAATAATATTTTTGTTTTTATTATTTATTATTTTTGTTTTTTTCTCTTCCTCCTTGAAAATATATATAGAAATAAATAAAAAAAGAGAGAGAAGAAAAAAAAAAAAAAAAACTAACTAGTAATATAAAAATAACAACATTATAACAACAACCACTAATATCGAAATAACACCTTCTTCTTTATCTATCGACCAAACAACAATGTGACTACTAAAATTGTTTTTTTTTTTTAAATTTCGGTTTCCTAAAAAAAAAAAAGTAAAAGTCAAACAAAGTAAAGATTAAATTACACAACAGTAACAAACAATTAGTAAACAATATATTTATAATATTCAGATTATCTATAGAATTTGCAAACTATACCTTTTTGAAAATTAATTGTATATTTATCGGTATTTTTTTTGTTACTGCAAATTTCAAATTAGTGTGTTGAATTGAACTGAACTACACACTGGTAACTAACTATCTTAACTTTTACGTAAAAAAAAAAAACAACTACTAATAATATAAAAAATAGTAATAATAATAAAATATTGAATTTATATTTATATTATTTTACTATTCAAAGTTATTATTATTATTATTTAGATGTAATTATAATTTAGGAAAGGATAGGATGGATGTCGTTGGGTTGGTTGGAGCAAGTAAAATGGTTTTGGAGTGTTACACAACAACCAGGTATAAAATATGAGTGGAGTGTGAAGCCAAGCAATAAGATTGCAAAATAAACAAAAAAAAAAAAAAAAAAGAAAAGAAAAAAATTTCAAAAAAAAAAAAAAAAAACCAAAAACTTTTTAAAGATTTTTGGGGGCAAAACTTATAAAAAATTCTTAAAGTGTCAAAATTTCATTTTAATGGTGATCCATAGATTATAATCCCCACCTTGTGTCAAAAAAAAATAGTTTGAAATTGAATCGTATCGTTGTGTCGTTTATTATTATTTCAAAAAATTTTTTATGAGCCACACTTAATATAAAATTTTTTTTTAAATATTTATTTATTTTTTTCAAAAAATAAGCTATCTAGTTTATTATTATTATTATACCGTCGATCCTTTTGTCATTATCAAAGTACAACGGATTTAAAATACACGTGTGTGGAATATCGCTTCAAAGAAACAAACTGTGAGCTTTTTTTTTTTTTAAAGACTACCTAAAAATGTCGGAGTTGGTCTTCAATTTCTTAATTTAAACTTAATCTATAAACGAATAATATTACTTTTACACTTGATTTCTCTTTTAATTAATCGATTTGAATTACAATTGTTTTGATCTGTGAGGGATTAAATTAACTTTGAAAGTTAGAAGATTTTTGTGGTATGAGTTTAAAAAAACCAAAAAAAAAAATACTTGGAAGTTTGTTTTAATAAAACACACACATACATACAGAAATCAGAACATTCAATCAAATCAAATAATCATTAAAATTTATGTATGTTCAACCAAGATTAATTATTTTATAAAACAACAAATCATAATAGTAATAGATTAAAAGTAATAAAAGTAGTTAGTTATAAATATCAGATCAGATCAAATTAGATGATTGTTTGTTGATAATTGTTGTTGGTTGACCGGTTTGTTTTTCTTTTTTGTTTTGTTTTTGAGGGCGTTGACCTTTTATTAACAAAAGAAATAGAGATAAATGGATTCAATTGGAACGATTTCAACGTTTTCACAGATACTTGTAAATGAATTCAAATCGTTTCCTTCGAAACCGATTGTCAGTTGCTTAGTGGATATTTCAAATGTATTGTCTGGTGTTGATATCAATGCTGATTCAGACTTGAATGGTATGTTTGATCGACAACAACAACAACAATAACATGTTATCTTACCATTATTGATGCTCTACACATTATATTAACATAAGCATGCCTATGATGTATTGATTACTACTAGTAAATAGAGTTATAGAGTATATCGATGGTCAAATCGACCAAATGCTACCACTGTTACACTACTTCAATTTGAAGACCGTACTTGGTAAGCTAATCAAGAAGAAGAAGCCACAAAAGACATCACCACCAAAGAATGAAATATTAAAAGAATCCATTAGGTAGGTAGTTACTATTTATAATTAGTAATTTGATAGATATAGTTATTTGAATGATAATTAATAACATATGATTGATTTGATAATGTAAAGTGAACTTGTAAAGTTAATGTCTATTATACAGATGATTGGAATAAGAGAACAACAAACGGTGGAATTGGTAGAGGCATTCGATAAGTGTGACTCCACTGTGCTTTGGATCGGACAGGCAACACAACAGCAATCGACAGAGTGTGGTGGACGTATTCAAGTCGTTGTCAAACTGAGTGTTGCAGAGGCAACACAACATCTAGAGTCCAATGCCGATCTAATAGATGCACCCACCTCTCACTTTAGAATAGTAATAGATAGAGATATTGATTATCATTCATGTATTGTAAGTACTATTATGATGATGATTATTATTATTATTATTATTATTATTATTATTATTATTATTATTATTATTATTATCATTATCATAGTTGTTAAAATAACATTTACTTTTCTTTTCTTTCTTTTTAAATATAGAGCTTTTTAGAATGGATAAAAGAAAAGAATTGGACTACATTTCCAATATGTATTATATGTAAAGATATTTTTGTTAATATTCCATTGCTGACGAGGAGCTCGCTGATATTACTCGCGACAGTTCCAACACAGTATCAGTTTTTTATATCGTCAATGTTGCATCGAACTAAAATTAGAAATATTGTTACATTCAAACAGTCACCTCACCTAAGTGGTGCATCTACCAATTCATTCAGTGGTAACAATAGTAATAATAATAATAACAATGCTGGTAATAATACACTTGATCTAGAGGATCAAGAAGATACCGATGAAGATTCAAGTCAACATAAATCTGTATATCGTGATGATAGTAGCAATAGCAATAACAATAGTAATAATAGTATTAGCAATGGTAATGGAGTTGGAAGTGATAGTGGTGCCAATGGTAATAATAATAGCGATACTGATGGAATTGGATTGTTTGATATCGGGAACAATGGTGCACCACCGACGACACCGAGCAAATCGACAACCTCGAGCGATGCTGCTCTAGATAGTCTCAATCTTAGAGCGAGCAATCGCTCACAGATTCTAAAGAATATGGGCTCGCCTGGAGGCAGCAGGAACAATGTATCACCTTCTCACGCCAACAACAAACATAGTCCAGGTAAAACAGGTGGTAGTAACGGTTCATTGGATACCACTCCATCTAAACTGAACAACAATAACAAACCAAATTCGACGACAACATCAACATCATCTACAACAACTACTACATCATCATCATCATCAGCAACAGCTAATAATAATAACAATAGTGGATCTTCAGCTATAGCTGCAACTACTTCGCCAAAACAAACAGGTAAGATGAATTCACTTTCTTTGATGACAATGTCGGCTTCTAGCGATGGATTCATCAATGATCCCGCACTCAATAGAATATCGCCACAGAATACATGCTTGTCGTTGACCACTGCACTTCATATTACAACGGGACGTGTCATGTCGGCACACGTACATCTCAGAGATGCACTGGACAATCCAGTTCAGACGTCGGTGACCTCTGCTCATTCCGGACTTGGACCGGTGTCGTCACACCCAATACAGATCTACTTGGAGGGTCCGTCTCCAGTGCCCGGACCTCACCCTGCCTACATCTATGTGGTTGGTCCAGGCATTCTGGGTGTATCTTTCTTCCCGACACACAACGGAACCTACTATCTACACGCGGAGATCGAATCCACTGCCATCAAGAACAGTCCGTGTGTTTTTCACTCGTCGTCGATCTCCTCAAACTCCAACACACCAACCAACTCCAATCAAGAGTCAAAACAACAAAAGAAGAGAAAACAACGTGTATCCATTGCACCTGCACCCATCACTGAATCTAACGATGATCTACTAGACTTGTTCTCTCAAGAAAAGAAACAAAAGAATAATAATAATAAGAATAGCAATAAGGATAACAACAACAATAATAATAATAATAATAATAATCAGAATGGTAGTGTTAATATTGTAGAACAACAACAACAACAACAACAACAACAACAACAGCAGCAACAAGAACAAGTACAAGCTGTTGTAAATCATGAACAACAACAACAACAACAACAGCAACAACAAGAACAAGTACTTCAACACCAAGAGGAGCATGTACAGCAACAGGAGCAAATGGCCGATAGTGTAAATATTGAAAAGAATGGTATCGCCAATATCGAAGGAGATAAGAATATGATGGATGAGTATACTCCTGCTACTCTTATTTATGAGCATATTTCACCGACTCAGCAGGTTGAAGACTATGTTGAACCTACTCAGCATATAGAGGAGCACCATGGTGAACATTCTGTCGAGCATATGCATATTCATCATGAGCATCACCACCACGTCGACCAGCATGAGCATATTCACGCGGAGCATCTTCATCACGACCATCAAATGCAACATCACGATGCACACGGACATGAACAACACGAACACATACACACCGAGCATCACCATGAGCATGAGCATGGCCACCACGAACACGCTCACCACGAACATCATGAGCTTGAACATGAACATCATCCTCACCATGAGCATGAACATGTGTCCCATCACGAGCATCATGCGCATCACGGACATATCGACCACCAGCAACAGCAACACCATGAACTACACGAACATCATCCTCACCACCATCATCATCATCATGAGCACCATGAACATGAACAACAACACCACCACCACCATTATCATCACGAAGGTGTAGAAGTTGAGGTCGAAGCAACTCTGCCGATGGACGACGATTCGCTCACTCAACATGTTGAACATCACGAACACATCGAGCAGCAACACCACCACGAACAACACCATATTCATCAGCAACATCACCATCATCACGAGCATCACGAGCATCACGAACACCACGAACACCACGAGCATCACGAGCATCATGAACACATCGAACAACACCACCACGACCACCATATTCATCAGCAACATGAACATCATGATATGATCACAGAAGACATCAACATTGAACCAACGCAGGTTGCTTACGATTCAATGGAAGATACTACTCATAACCTCGAACAACAACAACAACAGCTACTTCAAAACATGGAAGTAGTACTGCCAAACAACAACAATGACCATTTAGAAGCTACTCAATTGACCAAAGATAATGATGATGATGATGATGATAACTCAACATCTGCTACACTTCCAACTCTTCCGACTCTTCCAATTATTGAGTAATAAATCAAACAAACCTATTTATATTTAAAGGAAAAAAAAAAGATACCAAATAATGATAATAATTATTTATTTAATAATTTTAAAAATTTTATTTTGATTTCTTCTGATGTTTTTAGGAGGAAAGCTATATGAAACTTTATTTTGAATGACAGAGAAATTTGCAAAAAAAAATTAAAAAAAAAAATTATAAATAGTCAGTAATTTATAAAAATTTAATGCAAAAATTTTTTTTTTAAATTTAAAAAAAATTATTCGACTTACTTGTTGAATGAATTTAAGTTCATTGTTTGATCAACCAAGCCTTCAACGTTTAATTCTTACCAGACATTTACACTTTAATAATGGAGAGTACAAAGAGTGGTGTTACTTCAAGTCAAATCGCTCATTTCTTTTATAAGTAGAACTATTAACTATTAGATACCATCTGTATATCCAGCGACTGTCTGGTGAGATGTCTAAAGTTGATTGGCACAATTGGAGTGTGGCTTTGTTGGAATCTTACATGGCGGAGGATCTTCCATATTCCTAACATTGCCGTTGAGTATGGGTGGGTACATATCTTTAATTTTTAAAAAAAAAATAGTAGAAAATTAGAAATATTAAAAAAAAGAATTTAGAAATAAAAAAAAAGTTTACTTACAAGTATTATGATATGATCCTTTGATCCATATCAATCACCTCAAAACTGATTAAAAGGAATGAATTAATCACCCTTTTATACTTTTTTTTTTAATTATAATTATATTTTTAAAAAAAAAAAATTAATTTATTTAAAATTAATTAAAAATTTAGGAGAATTAAAGAATGATCCTCTTCCTTTTCTATTTGCAACTATAATTGATAAAATGAAGTTTATTTAAGAAAAAAAACTCACTATCAGATAGATGTTTATCAAAATAGTACTATTTTTATCACATTTTACTACCTGTAGTATTGGGGTGAATGAATTAGATATGAAATAGGGTTTGTAGAGTATTTTTTTTAATATGACATCATACAAACATTCTCTCTAACCTACACATATGTTAAATAATCAACCTCTAAAGCCTGGTAATAAAGCTCAAGCTAAAAAATATTTGCATTTTATAAACTTAAACTTTTACTTTTATAGCAAACATGTATTTTTTGAATTTAATGTTAAAAAATTTGGATCAGAAAACAGACATCTTTATTCATTTTTATAAATATTGTTGATTATTATTTATCAATAAATATATTTATCAAAAGTTGAAAATTTGTAAACAAAATCAGCAGCAATGATTGATCATTAGTTGTTCATGTAGTCAGTTTGGATTGAATAAATCAACATCAACTAAATGATATTAAAGTTAATTAAGCTAGACACAAAATAATAATAACTTTATTTAACCTAGTTAATCAGGGTCTCTTGTTAAATATCTATTCCGCTAGTTGCTAATCATTGATTTTCTCATATAAATTTCCCATATTACAATAACCATTTTTTGAACACAAATTTTTGATTGAAGATCTTTGAGAATTTGATTGAATCTTTCATAACATTGATAAATATGTCTGTCCCTGTATTCTTTGATCTCTCGGGTTTGGTGTAGCTTGCTCCGAACTCCGATGAAGATTGGAAAACTCATTTTCCCTAACGAAACATAAACGCCAAACTCTTTCAAATTTATTTTCAAGAATAAAACTTTATAATCTAAATCTACTATAAAAATGCTTTCTATTATCTAATTTTTATTAAAATCCAAGTAGGTTTGATATTTTATTATATTTTATAATATTAATCACTATCATTGAAAAAAATTTGTTTGTTTTTTAATCAGAAAGTGGGTTGAAATTTCGAAATTGAACGATGTAAGGGGTTTTGTTTCATTTTCATTTTTTCGTATTTTGTTTTTGTTTTTTTTTTGTTTTTTTTTTTTCTAAATCCCTATTCCACATTTGTGAAACCAAGATTTTTGTTTCATTATTAGGTTCTACTTTACAGGCACTCTTACACTATTTATTTATTTATCTCTTAATATTTATTCTACAGACTAATATTAAACTTTTCATTCTCTCAGCCATAGTTATATCTAAAAATTTATTTATTTATTTCTTTCTCCACCAATCACAAATAAAATAACTCTGCAGCAGAAACACACAACACACACTTTAAAAATAAACAAAAATAAATTAAAACCATCAAGATTATATCATCCACACCACCCAACAACACTACGCAGTGCACATAATTTTGATCAATAAAAAACAAAAAACAAAAACAAAAACAAAAACAAAAACATTTAAACAAAAACCACCACATCACCAACAAATCATATCTATAAGATATATAATTATTTATTTTTATTCAATTTCATTTATCAATTCAATTTGATTGATTATTTCAATTCAATTCAATTCAACCTAGCTCAATCATTTTTAATAATACCTAATCATCATCATTAGTAGTTAGTTTATATTGATTGATAACTAGTCAAACGAAACATTATTTCATTTTTTAAAAAAAAAAACAATATAAATAGTAATTATCATATAGAAATGGAGGAATTATCACCACAACAACAAAATATGAATACACCAATATTTGATGGACGTAAGTATAGTTAGTTTCATAGGAAAAGAACATTGTAGTTTTATAGTTTTTCTAATCAAATTACTACTATTATTCAATATTCAGACTCTGGTAAATACAATAACAATACATTCTTGGGTAGATTTCAGAATTTCAGAGATGTAACAGATCCAAGGTAATATTTAACTCTGTTTTCTTACTATCTTTCTTTGAAGAACATGTTTTTTGTCGACACGATGATCGGTCATCATTCAGCATTGACATTTTCAAAAAAAAAAAAAAACAAAACTTTATTTTCGCAAAAGACAATTCCAATGAATATTCCAAAACTGACTGATCAGATTATTAATTTAATTCATTTTCTGTTTTATCTTATCATATCTTATCTTTAGATCGATGTTTGTAAGCGATCAAGATGTAAAGGATTCATTAGATTTACTTGATAGATTCAAAAAAGGATTGGTTGATCCGGTTTCAAATAACGATGCATTGTGGAAGGCTAAAAAGGTTGTCGATGCCACCATTCACCCAGATACTGGTGATGTCATCCCATTAGCATTCAGAATGTGTTCTTTCTTGCCAATCAACGTTGTTATTTGTGCAGGTTTAATTTTACCAAATCCAGCAGTATGTTTTTAGCTATTATGATCATCAGTCATCAAATGATCAAATTCTAATCAATCATTTCATTTTATATATTCATTTAATATAATTAGATCGGAACAACTATTTTCTGGCAATGGATAAATCAATCATACAATATTGCATTGAATCATGCAAATAGAAATGCTAGTAATACAATGAGTACTCAACAAATTTTTAGTATGTTTAATAATATCGATTTTTTTCAAGCAGAGAAGGAAGATAAATATTCATGAATAGTTTTTTATTAATATAATTATATGTTTGTAGAGTCATATGTATCGGCAGTTGGTATTTCATGTTCTCTGGCGGTAGGTCTTGGATATGGAGTCAATAGATTAAAGATTCCAAGTGTAGCAGTACAGAATGGTTTGAAGATGTTGGTGCCATTCACAGCAGTCACAACAGCTGGTGTTGCCAACGTTCTGATTATGCGTGGCAATGAGATGAAGGATGGTATCGACGTGAAGGACAAGTTTGGTCAGATCCACGGAAAGAGTCAAGAAGCAGGAAAGATGGCAGTTTACAAGGTAGCATTCTCGAGAGTTGCAACTTCATTCCCAGCGCTGCTGCTGCCACCCATCGTCATGAGTTTTGTCGATAAGCTAAAGTTTGTTCAAAAGTATCCAAAAGTCAAACTACCAATCAACTTGGCAGTGATCGCCGCCATCTTTAACAGCTCTCTACCAGCAGCTATAGCTCTCTTCCCACAAGAATCCACCATAGAGACTAGCAAATTAGAGCCAAGATTCCACAACCTCAAAGACAAAGATGGTAACCTGATAAAAGAATTTATTTATAACAAAGGTTTATAAGAAAACCAATAATATAATATAGTATAGTATAATAAAAGAAAATAGATTAATTTATAATTTTAATATCTTTTGATCAATCGATTAGTCAAACTTTTTGATTTGCAGGTGTGTTAATTTAAATCAGGAAATAATAAAAAGAAAAAAATTCATTGAATTTCCAAAGTTGCACACCAACTAGATTTGATTTATTCAAACCACATCCTTTTACAATTTTTACTTTTAATTAATGATCACATGATCATTTGTATATTAATTTTAAAATGATAGAAAATAGTAATAATAATAATAATAATAATAATAATAATAATAATAATAGTAATAATAATAATAATAATAATAATAAAGAAATAGTAATAAGATCAGTTTTTTCCAATAAAATCTTATTTTTATCAATATTATCAAAGACAAGATTTGCAAATTTATGTTATTTAAAATCAAAGATTGCTAAAAATGATACCACAGTCAACTTGGTAACAAAATCATTAAAGTATCACCAATGTAATGATATCGATTGGCTTTGTTCCAACGGTTATTTCGATCTGCTGTGGTTAAAGATGGTTCGAGACGAGCCACTACCACTAAAGAAAGAAAATCTACAAAAGTTAATTGGTAAGGCACCCTACACCCACGTAGAGCTTGTAGTTAACAGAATCGTCGCCTCTACATACTATTACCCACTTTTGTTGGATAATATAGTCATGTTAATCGAAGTAGCCGTCAAAAAATACCGATTGGATGTGGTTCAACTGCTGTGGAAGTTCACCAAGCCAAGTGAGAGGGAAACAATCGCTCGAAATTCACTTGTTCTGGCGTTTCCAAAATATAATCGATCTACATTGTATCTTGAATCAGTGTCATGCATAGAGTTGATGCAATACCTAATGGATAATATTGGTCCCAGAAAAGAGACACTCGGTTACATTTGGCTTGGAGCGCTATCAACCCGCCACTCTGAAACCATCCGATACATTTTTAAGACTTGTCCTGCATCAAAGCCAAGCTGCGCAGTGTCATTTATGTTGGATAAATGTGAACATGACTCATGTTTGGCAATCGAATTGCTTAGTATGCCCTCCATCCATACACAACCACTCAATATCGGAGAAATTCAATCTTTTCTAGTGAGCAGACTGAATAAGGGAAGGCCAGTAACAATATCTCTCTTAAGAATAATGGAACATGTTGGTGATCAATTAAGATCCGATGAATTTCAAGATATTGATCAACTTAAGGCCAGTATTTTAAAGCGAATTCCAATGCTGGAGCCAGATTCCCAGATTGTCATGGAGTTGATATTCCTAAATCTAATAAGATCCCATCTTCCATCTATGGATGTTAATCATATCAGAGAACATATTCAATGTATTGTTGCCAATCATTGCGTTTTATCGTTAGATTATCTCAGGAGTTTCTTTGAGAAGAATCATCCAGCTACTTTGTCTATTTTCAATGATATCGTTTGTGAATTTGGATCAATGGAACAAGTCAAATATGTATTGGGCGGATTACTAGAAAATGTTTCATGTAGTGCAGTAGATAGAGCGAATTCATTGGAGATACTCGAGTATTTGGTGTCTCTAGGAAAGGACTGTTCTTCAGATGCACTTATATACATGGTAAAGAAAAAACGATATCACGAAGCAAAGATCTTGTTAAAATTAAAGCCTGATCGTCATTTTTGGAGTTCTCATTCTGAATTATTACCAACTGCATTGGAGAACGACGACATAGAGATGGTAGACCTACTTCTCCAGAATAATATTAATAGCGTAACGTTACCTAACCACAGACACATATTGTATACCCTTGCCAAACATTATCCACGTTTCTGCCATACCATTAATATCCAGTCAAAGTCTCCATTTGAAGTAATGAAAGCGGCTTGTCAATTCGGATTTCTTGAGACCGTGCAGGAAGTCCATCGAATCCATCCAAAAAGTTTCTATGAGAATAACATTCTGGATTGTGCGTTGATGGCATCACACGAGGAGATAATGCAATTCATCATTGAGAATAGAGACGACCAATTTTCAATGCAGTCATGGACGATCTGTGGATCTGTAGGCGATATCAATTTGTTTAATAATTTTGTTTCAAAGCGCTCAAATATATCGCATCTCTATGAAATGCTGCGTTCTGCTTACTGTCACGGAAATTTGGATTTTATCAAGAGCATGATAGAGTTAAATCACCATAATTTGGATCACCAAATCTATACGAGAAAAGCAATTGTATTCAATCAACATAGTATTATCAAATACTACCTTGAGAACGTAAAACCAAAAAGAAAAGATCTCATAGAGATGTTTTCCTACGACTTGGAGTCGATTCATCCGACAACATGGAATATATTTTTCAATTATATGGGACATATCAGTCCACATGAAATTGAATCGAAGGGAGATCAACTAAGATTATTGTTTGAGAGATTGGGAAAGGTAAATCCCACACCACTCAACCGATTCTTTGGATTTTTCAAAAAGAAAAATAAAAATTATTGATAAATAAATGTTAACAAATAAACACTATCATCAAAAACAATTGTTGTAATATTAAAAATGTTGGTAACATTTACAAAATTTCTTTTAATCATTAAAATATTTATTGGGATCGTTGAAAAAGTGGATATAAAGTTATCAGATTGGTAAAATGACTGATCAAAAAAGAATTTCCTATCATTTTGTGGTTGATTTTAACATTTAAAATATAAACTACTCAGTAACAAATATCATTAAATTTCAAATACTTGAATAATAATCATTTACTATGAGAAACAAGTGATAGGAAACATTTCAAACAATTCAAATTATTTTAATGGTAATTTGATTTTACCACACATCATACTGATATTGATAATTTTTAAATTGTGATTTACATCACCACATTTTTTTAATCATTATTCAAAAATCTAGTAAAATAATCATCAAACCCACACCTCCATCAAATATATTTCAAATGTCCATTTATTATTAGATAAATTTTTAACACTACCACTACCATCACTCCTGTTATCATAGTGATTGTCAAGAAAATTTAACTTTTCCAATTTTCCCATTAAAATTGAATTCAAAATTTTGATGACATGTGATGAATCCAAGTATTTATAGGATTGTAATTTGGTTTAATTGTTACAACTTTCATTTTATTTATTTTTGTAGTTTAAAAAAAATAGATACCCAATAATTATAAAAATAAATTGTAAAAACTAAACAATGTATAGATCAATAGTAATTTTATTAACTACCATGATTATGGTGGGTTCATCCACACAATACTGTGTGAAATTGACTGGTAAAAGTGATTACTGTAGTAATATGCCAGCAAAAGTGTGTTCCCTAAATAAAGATCCCATCGATGCAGCTCAATACAATTATGAAGTATACAACTCCAATGCTGCTAATTTCAACCCCACTTTAGATTGTCCTGCCAATAAATTTGCTTCCTATATGGATCCACTTACTTTTTGTAATTATAATATGCCTTGCCAATCAGATAAGGATTGTTTACCATTCTGTTATTCTTCATGTACCAGCTGTCAAAATGTTACCGAATGTAATAGACTTGTAAAGAGTGGTCAATATGCTGCAAAGGGAGCAGGACCATGCTATCTTCCAGGTTCACGTGGACAAAGTACCTTGATTAAACAAAATGATACCACATCATCTTCACACCCAACAGCATCTACCGCACCAACTAAAAAGCCAGTAACACCAAAACCAACAACCAATGAAGACGGAGGTTTAATTAGTGATCCAAGAGCTACTGTTACTCCAAAAGCAGAGTGGAAACCAAAGACCCCAAAACCAGAACCAACCGAGGCACCAGCAACTTCTCCAAAGAAACAAAAAAACAAACCATCCAACAACGATGATATGAATTCCGATGATTTATCTTTATCCTCAGAATCAGGATCATCTAGCGATGCCACCTTAGTATCAATCCCAATGTTTACATTGGTATTTGCAATTGTATTTTCACTTTTTTAGAATAAATTAATTTCTATATATAATAACTTTTATTTCTATATTTTATTTTAATTCAAATGAATTGTTCAAGTATCTTTTGGGATACTTTGGGTGAATGCACAGAAAATATTGTGCAAATATTAATATGATTAATTATAATGTATATATATATATTATATATTATATATTTAAAAAATAAATCATCAAATATTTTAAAGATGATAAATTAAAAATTTGAATGCATTGATTCATCGACTTCAAGTTCTATAGCTGCTTGGAGTACATCAAAACTATTCTTTGTTGAATAAAACTCTTTTGAAGCTAAAAATAATAATATTAAAAAAATATTAATATAAATAATTATTTCATATGAATTAAATTAATTTTTTTAATATACATACTTAATGGAGAAAAACCTGGTACATTATTATTTAAAGCGTTTCTTTGATGGAAATTAGCTTTCCATTCTCGTATACAATTGGAAACATTTCTATCGCTTAGATCAATGAATCCAGATCGTTCTAGACTATTTCTTAGGTTGGTAATAGGTGGTGCACTAATCTTTAATTTCTCCTTTGGAGGTGTTACTATACTGAAATCGTCTGGAACTGTCGAGTTGTTTTGATGTTGATTATAGTTCTTGGGAGTTGGTAGTTGTGGAACAAATGAATTGCTATTGGTAGGGGAGCTTCGATTTGGTGAAGAGTGGTTGGAGTTATGGTAGACGCTATTGTTGTGTTGTTGATGAAGAGAGTTGAGACCGGCACCACCATTGGAGTGGAGGTGTTGGTGATGAATTTGATTGCTCTGTTGTTGTGGTTGTTGGTGAATGATTGTTTGTGGGTGGTGATGGTGATGTGCTTCATTCAGGTGGAATACAGTTCCGTTCATTCCATTCAATCGGTTCTCACGGTTCTGATCGACACGTGACACTTCGTTGCAACCGGCACAATCAATTTCGATACCATTGTCACGATCACGCAGACAGGAGTGCAATTTTCGACTGTGAATGTGACGAGCTTTCTGGTTCTTGTGAATATAATTCGAATTGGTATCACAGTGTACATGAATACAATTTATATATTTATCATTATCTTTTCTGTAGTCAATGGTTTGAATGGTTGTTCTGATTCTCTTTGAGATACATTGTTGACAATTATCAATACATTCATGTGGAGCGTTGTGATGTTTCGATCTATTTTTGTTTATTTCTAAAAGTTACTGTGCATCTTGAATTGTCTTTCAAGAAATGTTTACACTGAAATGGTCTATCGTTATTTATCATTTCAGATTAAATATTTTGATTTATATAAATTATAAATAAATAAAAAATAAAAAAATTAATTTTTTTTTTTTGGAAACTATTAAACTATTTAATATGTCAATTCAAAAATTGAAGTTTTGTGAAATTAATTTTATATAATTACTTTAATAAATATATAATATTAATATATATATAATAAATAAATAGATATTTAGATAAATTAAAAATAATAAATAGATATTTTGTTTTTGATTTTAAAAAAAGATTTATATAAATATATTTATATAAATGATTATATTTATAGATAAGATAGTAGATTACAGATAAAAGATCATTGAAGTTGTTATTGATGATTGATATTATTATTTATATATATATAAAAATAATAAATAATTGTTTTTTTTTAGTTATTATTGGGTAATGGGTGATATGAAATGTGAATTGTGGTAAAGAGCAATTACCTGTGTGGTGGTGTCAATAGATATTTATAAAATGAGATATTTGTTTTTTTTTTTTGTGAAGTAATATAATTACTATTTGTTGGTATAAATAATAAAGACCTAAGAGTAAAAGGCTTTGGTCTTTTAACTATATTAATATAGACTATAAATAAATAAAAAATATTGTTGTTTGTTTGTTGTTGATGATGATGACTATAATTATACGATGAATGAAATTAAAAGATCTTAGTCAGGTCAGTGAACTGAAATGAGTAATTAAAAATAGAATGGATGAATGTTTATAAAGAGAAAAGAATTAATTAATTAAAAGAAAATATCTAAATGAAGATTTATGAAGTAGCAATAACAATAATAAATTAGAAGAACAAGAGTAATATTAGTAGAATTGAGAGTAGTAGAAGTAAAAGATGTTGATGAATTGAATCTTTTTTATTCCAAAGATGGATTATTTCATTTGGTTTGATTAGTTTTTAATTTAGTTTTTTTTTGAAGATGTAGATAGAAGATGTAAAACTGGATATACCACCAACAGGATAAAGACTATACTGACAACAGATAGACATGCAAAGAGACAAAGAAAAACATAAACCACTTCAGAAATACACTGACACACTCACCACATGTATTATACAGATGATATACAGAGAGACACACCACACTAACACTAACACACTACAACACACAAACACACACAGACTAACCAGAATAGAAAAGAAAAGAAAAGAAAAGAACTGAACTGAATTGAATTGAATTGAATGATTTAATGTATCAATTTGACTTGACTGGTGGTCACACGCTGTTGCAACACTACACCAAAACAGAAATAGAAAGAGAGTGAGAGAGAAGAAAAATAATATAAAAAAAGAAAACACTGAATAAGTTTGGATCTAATTCTGTAGAGTCAAATGCAAACTCTAACAACACAACGCAAATGCTGATAGCGATGCTGGTGTGGTAAGTATTGGTAATGGTAATAGTTCTATACCACAAGCAACAAGAAAAACACCAAAAAAGTAACAAATATGATATTTGTTTATTTGTTTGTATGCTTTACTTTTACTGATATATAATTGTTGTTGTATGAATAGTAGTAGTAGTAATAATAATATATATAACAAGCAAGCAGCAGACAGCACAACAACAACAACAACAATAATTAGATTATTTATATGCAATGCAAATGTTATTGGTGTTTTTATTTCTATTCATGATATTTATTGATGAATTTGGTCAGCAATATTGCATGATGTTGTTCGCCTGTTTTATGTCCTGCCATCTATCTGCTGTACTTCTCACTCTCGTGCTACCAATAACACACAATGTCATCTCTATACTATCACTCTCATTCTCATGCCTACAGTCTTTGCTATAATATCAAAAAGTGATATTTCTATTTCTACTTCTGTCATCACACATCAACAACAACAACAACAGTTCAGCACACTACTACCACCACTACCACTCACACAGCAGCAACAACACACCCATCATACACATTGTTAACTTTTTGCTACTTTCATTTATTACTTTAATCTGTATAACAAAATTAGGGAAAATAATAAAATGAAAGTAAACAACAACACCACTAACATAATTCCCACACACATTCATGAATAATGAAATCATTTTTTTTTTCATCGGGAAGTTACCCCAACAACCCACACTCTTTTGTTTTTTCCAACATTGGACATATGACGATGATTAGAATTTTCATGAGTGTTGGGGGGGTTAGTGTGTGGGGGTGTTATAGTATTTCATAATATCATAAAGAGTATCTATTGACTTTTTTTGTTGCACAACACCCACAAATCAATTCAATTTCAGGATAGTCTGTGGGATTATTAGGTTTACCTTTTAAAAGATGGATTTCGAAAGAGATATTGGCAATGTGTGTTCAATGCTTGGTAATAGCAAGAGGAGTGTGGTTCGCTTTCCTCATATTACCTCATTTGTAAAAATCAAAAATGTAGTAGTTTAATTAATTTTTTTAATAATTTGTTGATTGCTATTTTATTAATTATCAACTCAAGAATTAATATTTGTATAATTGTCAACTAACCCCTATCTTTTTTTTTTTTTTTTTTGCTTTTTATCATTTAATTTATTTCTATTATTTTTTTTTAATCAGAGAAAAGGGAATTTATTATTTAATTCATTTGATGATTACTATTATTGTTATTGGTGTTGGTGTTGGTGTTGGGCATTATTCTTTTTATTTACGTGATACACTGAGTAACATTTGATGTCACTGTGCAGCAATCTTTTTAAACTATTCCATTTATGATCATCTAATTTATTTTAATTGTTTTTATTAAAATATTTGCTTAAAAATCCAACCACCAAGTGTAACTGTTTTTCTTTTTTTTTTAATCATTTTTGATTATTATAATAAATACCTTTTAAATAACAGATCTTTTACTCTTTTTATTTAATTTCATCTGATCTTTCGGAGATAAATATTATTAATGGTTATGGTGGGATCATATGTACTTTCGTGACTCTTGGTTAACTTCATTGTATCATCTTTACAGTTACTTTTACAATAATTTCAATTATTACTTTTTTCGTAAAAGATCATTTTCTTTTTAACTATTTAAAGATGGTTATCTTAGAATCTACAAAAATTTTATTAAATAAATTATTTAATATTCAGAAAAATAAAATAGTAATAATAAAGTTAACGTTACTAATATTTTATTTATTTAATTATTCTATTCTTAATTGATTTGTTAAGAAAGATAGTGATTTGTTGATGTTGTGTGAAAAGAGGATCACTCTATGTATTTTTTTTTGTAAATTAACTTTCTGTTACCCAATGTACTGTTGAGAGATTGATGAGAATAATAGTAGTCCATGTCTCTAAGAAATTTGGTTTTTTTGAATTTACCCTTGGCTATAGTGATGATGAATTGCGATAATGTCGAAGAAATACTATTTTTGAATTTACAACTAATTTTATCACCAGCACTCTGTGTCGAATGTACGGTTTGATCTTCGACAATGACGATGCAAGGTAACCTATTGATGGTATTAAACCAGCTATCCAGATTGGGGAACAAGAATACTGAAATGTGAGTGATGTTGAAAGTTGATTCGTTGAAATACTTGAATATATCAGTATTTGAAGGTTGTGTAAATTCAATCTTATTCAAATTTGGGAAATCAATTGTTCCATTGGGATGGTAGTTAAGATTCACAGATGCCAACTCTCTTATTCTATCTCTGTATAAAGCTGGTATTTCCCAACATTTCAGTGGAAAAAGAGTGATTTCTTCGAGATTTGGTATATTCTTGAGGAGATCAATTACAGAATATTGTGATCCTATAATCTTAATCTTCTTGAGTGACTTGATAGTTCCAATGGTTTTCAAATGAGGAAAGATATGGATATCTTTGGAAATGAAATATCTGAGACTTGACAATGTAAAGGCCATCTTCTTGAAACTAGTGACACTAACCTTTTGAGAGGTAACTCCATTCCAATCAATTTGAAACTTCTCCACTGTTGAAAAGATATGTGACATGTGAACACTATCCAACTTCATCAACAATTCAAACATCGTTTGGTTTACTTGAAGTTTTACGATATACTTGATTGGACACCAGTCATTGATAAGTCGATCAATATTTGGATCTACCAATGTCTTTGAAGTGCACCATCTACGATAATAACGAAATCTCTTGGATTCCAATACAGTTTGGAGTAAGACAACGTTGCTAAACATCTGACTGACAATACCAAAGAATAGTTTGTTCACTCTGGTCAAAGCGATTGCATTCCTGTACGAGAAGAATCCACTGGATCTATTGGTCATCGATTTCCAACTGTAATGGAAGATCCTGGCGATAATCATCACAGGCAATATATACTCCACATGTCCACGATGATAGTTATTGGCTGGATTCTCTACCAGTGATTGTTGTAAAATATGATTGTCATTTCTACGATCTATTATTGCATCTAAAAAGTATTGTTTGGTTGAATACTTGTTGACCTGTATTTTGTTGGCAATACACATCTGATATAACTGGTCTCTCTTTAATAACTCTAAATCATCTCTACTAGATGTTTCAAAGTTAATACTTGATATTATCTCTAATTTCTCTGATTTGCTTTTTCTTTTCTTTTTATCTTGATTACTATCTTTTGAGTTGTTTGTAGTGGTGGTGGTTATAGTAGATTGGTCGTTAGTTATTTTATCCATTGTATAAAAGAAATATCTATATCTTTTTGTAATTTTATTATTTTAAAATAACAAATGTTATTAATTTATAAGTTGGTTTTTTTTTCTTTTTTTTGTTGGAAATTTTAATAACTCAAATTTTACATTTGTCAATCATCAAAAAATAACTCAGTTTACAAAACTAAAGAGTATCGTTATTGTCAATCAGAAACTATTGTATTATTAATCTATTAATAACAACTTTGAACCTATACTTCTTTAGATCTTTCAAAGTGTAGAAATTTGTAATAAACTTTTGTTATTGATAATATAATTTTTTTTCAAAACGTTTAATTTGTTTTTTTTTATTATTTTATTTAACAATTATTTAAATTTATATTCTTTTATTATATTTAACTCTGAATTTATTTATATAATATTAATTAATTTTTCTATTTGATTTATGAAGAAAAGATGGTTGTGGTGTACAAAGTTGACATTGGTCAGAGCTCTTATTTTTGTAGTAAATTAACTTTTTGTTACCTAAGGAGGTACTATTGATGGATTGATGTGAATAATAGTAGTCCATGTCTCTCAGGAAATTGTCTCGATCAAATTCATCATCTTTGTCTACCGTAATGATGAATTGCGACATTGTCGATGAAAGACACTTTTTGAATTTACTACTAATTTTATCACCAGTACTCTGTGTCGAATGTTCAGTTTGATCTTCTACAATGACGATGCAAGGTAACCTATTGATGACATCAAACCAGCTATCCAGATTGGGGAACAAGAATACTGAAATGTGAGTGATGTTGAAAGTTGATTCGTTGAAATGCTTGAATATATCGGTACTTGAATATTGTGAAAAAGCAATCTTTTTCAAATTTGGGAAATCAAAGTGATAAATAGAATAGCTTCTAATACTAACATTTGACAACTCTCTGATCCTATTTCTGTGTGAATCTGGTATAAGTATACCATATTCGACATATCTACAAGTGATCTCTTCCAGAGTCGGTATAGTATCGAGGAGATTAAATAAAGAAAATTGGCATGTTCCTATGATCTTTATCTTCTTGAGTGAATTGATTGTTCCTATAGTTCTCAAATGTTCGTTGATCATGATTTTGTTGGCAATGAAATATCTCAGATTTGGCATGGTAAGAGCCATCATCTCGAAACTAGTGACACTAACCTTTTGAGAGGTAACTCCATTCCAATTATTGGTAACTTTATTCCAATGAATGTGCAGCTTCTCAACGGTGGAAAAGATATATGTCTCGACATTCTCTAACGTCATTAACCATTCAAACATTCTTTTGTTGAGTTGTAACTTTACGATATACTTGATTGGACACCAGTCATTGATAAGTCGATCAATATTTGGATACACCAATGTCTTTGAAGTGGACCATTTACCATGGTGGAAACTAGAGGATTCCTGTACTTTTGGGATTAAAGCGACATTGTTGAACATCTGACTGACAATACCAAAGAATTGTTTGTTCACTCTGGTCAAGGCCAATGCATTGCTGTACGAGAAGAATCCACTGGATCTATTGGTCATCGATTTCCAACTGTAATGGAATATCCTGGTGATAATCAACACTGGCAATATAATCTCCACATATCCAAGATCGAAAGTTTGGACTGCACTTTCCACAAGAGCATTTCTACCCTCTATTATTGCATTTAAAATGAAACGTTTGGTTGAAGAATTGTTGACCTTTATCTTGTTGGCAATACACATCTGATATAACTGGTCTCTCTTTAATAACTTTAAATCATCTCTACTAGATGTTTCAAAGTTAATACTTGATATTATCTCTGATTTGCTTATTCTTTTCTTTTTATCTTGATTTTGATTATTTTCATTTGTTGTTACTGATGAGCTTGTTGTGGTTGTGGTTGTTGTTGTTGTTGTGGTTGTTGATTGGTCATTAGTTATTTTATCCATTGTAAATAAATAAATAATAATATTTTTGTAATTTAATTATGTTAAAAATAACAAATGTTATTATTAATTTATAGTCAGAAATTTTTATTTTTTAAAATTTTATTATTTTTTTGGAATGGGTAACTCAATTATACATTTGTCAATCATCAAAACAAATAACTCAGTTTGCAAAACTAAAAGAATATCATTATTGTCAATCACAAACTAACTTACCAATGAATAATCTATTAGTAACAAATCTTAAGATCTCTAAAAGTGTAATAATATTGTGAAGTTTGGTGAATAAACTTTTGTTGTATTTTTGGTACAAGATCATCGCGTTATTGTGTTTTTTTTATTACTATAACTGATCTATTTAAACATTAGCTGATGTATATAATAAAAACTATGATAGAGACAATCATGATGACAATGAACGAACTATAAAATTACAAAAATAAAGAAAAACAAAATAAAGGACTTCAAAAAAACGACAAAATTTATTTTTTTTGAAACATTATCTCACAAGAATGAATAAATTAAAGATTATTAATTTGTTGAAGAATAATAATAATAGTTTTATTGGTAGTAGTAAAGTACAAAGTAAATGCTATCATACTACTACTACTACAACTGGATATAGTTTTAAAAATCTAAATAACATCATTAATAAACGATCTTTATCATCGTCGTCGTCGTCATCGTCTGTTACTTTTAATAGTTTTAGAGAGTTATCATATCAACAGAAGCAATTGAAAGAAGAGAGTTGCAGAAGATTCTATGCTACTTCAACAACTATAAAAGATGAAAAACAACCAACTACTACCACTATATCAAATGAACAACAACAACAACAAATAAAAGTATCGCCAGAAGCAAAACCTGCAGAGGTAGATATCAACACAGAGAATCAAAATGAGAATACAACAACCGCTGTAAATACAGGCATTAGAGTAGAGCCACAATACTATATTGAATTCACCTGTACACATACACCAGAGGGTCAGTCAGAGGAATGTGGATTCCGTTCAAAAAAGACATTCTCAAAACATTCATATCATAAAGGTGTCGTAATCATTCGTTGTGATGGTTGTCAGAAATATCGTATGTATTTCACATATTAATATATATATAGATAGATAGTAGTATTTAAATTACTACTATTTCATTTTCAATCTTTAACCTTATTACTTACTTGCAACACATTATGTAGATTTAATTGCAGATCATCTTGGATGGACAGGTTATAACACAGGTAAAACAATTGAAGAGATCATGGCTGCAAAAGGTGTACAGATTCAAAGAACATTAGACAAAGATACTGATATTCATTCAGATAGCAATGACAATAATAATAGTAGTAATGGTAATAAATCAATTGGAAGTGGATCTAACTGAACAGAACAACGCAACTTTAATAAAATCAACATAATTAAATAATCTATCTATACATATTTCAAAAGATATATTATTTATTATATATTATTATATATTATATTATTATTATTTTATTATTTTAAAAAGGTAATTCACTTCCTGCATCTGTTCTATTTAACCAATTATTGATTGTTGGATGATTCAAAATATTTCCGATGATTGGAAGTTTTCTTAAAATTGCAATTACAATTGGGAATGCATCACTAGATTTGAAGTAAAACAAAGATATTTATATTAGTTTTGTTGTTTTCCGTAATAATAATAATGATGATATTTTTGATTATTGATTATCGATTATCGATATTTACCCAAATAGATTAATAAAACCAAATGCTTCGATTGCTAAACCAAAAATAGTACGTCCTACAATCACCAAAAAGATACCAAAGAAGAAACAGATAGTTCCCTTCATCTTTTTCTTTTGGAAGAAGAAAGTATATGTTCTAACGAGACCAAGTCCCAATCCTATACCTGCTAAAAACAATAACTATAATATATATATAATAAACAGAAGAGTGTGAGTTAATTTCAACCATATAATCAATTGATTCCAACATCTCTTTCTATGTAGCCACATCAATGTGTTCTTTTCAACAACACTTACATTTCCGATTGCAAGTAAACCTCTATCAAAAAACATCAGGAATCCAAAAAATGTAAAAAATATACCCATACCAGAGAGCATAACTCCAATCTCTATATAAGAATATCATATTGACCAACGAAAGATCTAATATTAGTATACACGAATCTACAGAGTTACTATCCACATCAAATATATATATATTTATATATATTATGATAAATTTATATAATGTGTTTGTTGTCTTGGTTTATCAAGATTACTTTGTTGACACACATACTTTGTTGATCTGATAAAACCATTTTCTAATCGTTCTTTCTCTCTCTCTCTATATAAATATCTAAAGTTAAAATACAATAATAAATAAAATAAAATCCAAAGATAGTTATATAATTGATAAACAGATTTATTAAACCAAAAATAAAATAAAAAATAATAGATGATTGAAGTCAACAAACTAACGATTCAAAAAATATTAAAAAATTTTATTCTTTTGAAAAAACGCGCAAACCACACTTTGAAAACCACGTGAGATATTTCATTAACTTTAAGTTTGATGACTCATAAACTTTATGACCTTGTAATTGAGTCATTAAAGTATATATATTAGTTAATAACAGTAACAATGAACTTGAATGAGTAGTTTTATATATTTATATTTATATATATTTTTAAAAATATTAATAACAATAATAGTCAGAGGAGATCAATCTTATCAAAATAATAATAATAATTTTAACACTTTTCTTGAAATCAACCACCTCTACCCACACTACACTAGAATATCTGTTTTTTATATTTATTCCATCCATTATGTAGATAATAATAAGCAAAAGTCTGTTGTTTTTGTATAATGAATGGTTAACCATTCTGTAATAATGTGAATGACAGTCTTTAGTTAAGTCTGTATATACATTTAAATCAAAGTGATGTTATATTTAGTATAACTATCTAATTATATAAATACTACACTATTTCTATTCTAAATGAATATATATATATTATAAATATACTAATGTAAAGATAGTTAATTATTTTATAATTTGTTATTATTTGTATTTGAACATGCTCAAGAAAATAAATAAATTTCTAATATTCCTAGGAATTGTTTGGATAGTATTTTTATATTTAATTATAAATAATAGTAATTATAATAGTAGAAGTAGTAGTAAAATAGTAAATAAAAGTGTTAAAAGTCAAAAAGATAATATTGTAGTACAATCAAAATTAGATCAACAACAACAACCACAACAACATATTATACAATATCATAAATCAATTAGACCGGATTTAGATATCGATGTTTATCGATCACCGTTGTTAACAACGGATGAAGAGAAACCGCTATTCGAATGTCCCTATTACGATTTGGTTTATACTTGGGTGAACGGAAGTGATCCTGATTTCATAGAATCGATCAGCAAGTATCGCGACAAAGTCGGTGCCGGCCTATACAGAGATGTCAAAGGTTTGCAATACTCTTTGAGAAGTGTAAAGCGCTACGCTCCTTGGGTGCGAAAGATCTTTATTATCACCAACGGCCAACTTCCGTCGTTCTACAAACCCGATCCGTTCATCGAATTCATCTTTCACCAAGATTTTTTTTACAACAAGAGTCACCTGCCCGTTTTCAACTCGGTTTCGATCGAGTCGAATTTCTTTAATCTTCCTGACAAGGTCGCCGATTGCTTTATCTATTTCAACGACGATATTTTCATTGCCAACGAGTTGTATCCCGATGATTTCATCGATGACGAGAAAGGCCTGGCGTTGCACTACTCCAATTGGACGGTTCCTCTGCCACCGTCTCGTCAGAATCACACGTGGCATCGCTCGATCGAACACTCCAACGATCTACTCAATAGGATTTGGGGTAATGCTACTCGACACTATCCACATCACGGTGCGTCTTTTTTCAACAAGAAACTGCTCAAGCTGATCTACCAGACATTCAAAGAGGAATTCAATGTAGTCGTTCCAAGAAAGTTCCGTCATCCCCAGATGGTATCGATTCCATTTCTCTACTATCATTTTGCATCGCGATTCTTCCGTACATTTACACCGTCCTACAAATTAAACTACTACGCACAACTGGAAAACTCTGTGGCCAACATGAGCTATGTTTACAATCATATCTACAAGACCGAGCCAAAGACAGTATGTCTCAATGATGGACTCGGTAATAATCCAAAGCCTGAAGTACTCCAACAACTCGAAGATTTCTTCAATCATCTATATCCAGATGTACCAGATTGGGAAATATAAATAAAATTAATTGTTGTAGATAATAATCTGAATTAATGAACCATGGTTCAAATTTTTTATTCATTATTGATCATATATGCATACAATCAATTTTTATTACAAGAACTTCAAAATAACAGTTGGTAATTTGTTTTTTTGAAAAACAACAAAGTTAACACACTCACTTTAGATATTTATTTTCATTTCTATTCATTCTATCTATTTGATCAGATATAACAACTCTTTGTTTATACAATCTTGTGTATCATAGTAACAATTGTTTTTTTTTAAACTTATTTATAATAATAGTATTGGCTCGTTCATATAAGAGAAAGACACAAGAACAGCAAGAAACAAGAAGATGCTGCTTCACCTAAAGATTTCACTAAACATACAAAGATTAAAGAGATGAAACCTTTAAGAAGGAGTAGGTTGATTTTAATGAACATATATTGTTAAATGAACTCATATTAATATTTCAAATCAAAAAGTTGGAAAGAGTTACAACGGAAGGGTATTGAAATACCGATTTTCCAAACAAGATATTCATCACATGAACCACAGTGGAAGGTGTAGAAAGAAATCAAGACCCTATATACTACTTTAAGTTGATGTTTAGTAGATCCATTGCCGAAAGTTTCGTTCTTTACACAAATCGTCAAGCTGATCTATTCACTAAACAAAAGAAGTTATCGACAGATGAAGTATACCTATACATTGGTCTTGGTTTCCGTTTATGTTGGTATTAAAGTCAACTCGGATTTATTTAGCACAGGTGAATGGTCATATAATTATCTCTTCAAAGGAAAAACCTTGTCTAAATCTTCATACATCCCAACCGATACATAGATATTAATACAATGACAAAGAAACTAACGTTTATATCCAAAATATCTTTCACCTGGTAGTGATATTATGGTGGTCGAAACAACGATCAAGTCAGGGATTAAAGACAAAGACAAATCTGAATCGTTGGTGTACACCACACTATTAGATACAACTACCTGAGATCGGATTAATTGACATTGCAAATATTATGTATAAATATAATTGTGACGGTAAGGCGAGTGATATTTTCGTTTTATAAATATTTTCTGTTATTTAAAAAACAATATCCGTCAATGATTTTATCAATTGCTCCAAAAAAAAAACATTTTTAAAAATATTTTGACCCTATTTTACACTTTTTAACTTAGGAAAACATATGCTTTTGTTAAAGATAGTATATATATTTTAACCCTATAGTCAAAAATTTACATTATTAAGAGATTTAAATTTGAAAAAAAATCATTGGTTTAAAAAAAGATATCGAATAATAAATAGTAGATATAGATCTCAAATCTTCAGTATTTAATTCATTTTATAAACAAATGCTTTTTGGAAAGATTATTTTATTATAATTACAAGTAAACATATAATTGGTATAATGTAGATATCATTAAAAAATGATAAGTATAAATATCAAAGTATTTCAATCAATTCTATTTTTCTATTAAAAACAGAATTAAAAATGTTCTCAATTAAAAAAATAATTGATAAAATCCCAAAGCAATGGAGTTTAACTTTAAATCCTAATGATCCTTGGGAGGAATTGAATCAAAAAATGGAGGAATCGGGATTAATAGATAGAGAGAATCCAGAAAAATATTCCATCATGATAAAAAGTACATCTTTATTTGTAAGAAATATATGGTCAACAGCAGATCAAGAGGAGATTATTTTAGCAACCCAATTTATTCTAGTTTCATCAATTTTTGATGATCTTATTGATAGCCATGATGAAATTTTTGGAATCAAATATATCAATAGATTTATCAATATTTTTAAATTGGATAAAATAGAAAAAGATCCAACTCCACTTGAAAGAATTGCTTTAAATATTTGCAAGAATCTAGAAAATAGATTAGGAAATCAACATCCTTTATTGAATCTATTCAAGAATACTGTTATCGAGTACTTATTTTCTTTATTACCTTTTAAAAATATGAAGGTATATAAAATTTGTTTTAATAATTTAAATATTTTTATGACATCTAATTTTAAAATTATAGAAATTAAAAGGTGATATAGATATGAATTTATATTATATGATGAGAAGAAACAATATTGGTATGAGACCTACATTTTATTTAAGTTCAATATTCTCAATGAAAAGATTAAACCCAGAAATAGTTCTTGACCCTCTATGGAGTGAATTAATAGATCAAACAGGAAATATTGTCTCTCTATTCAATGACCTATTCTCCTATGAAAAGGAACTAAGAGCAAATGATGAAAGAATGAATTGTTTCCATTTTATACAAACCCAAAGAAGTTGGTCAGTAGAAGAATGTCTAGAATTCTTTGAAAAAGAAATTGATAATTGTTTGGAGAAATTTTTAATAGATGAAAACTTACTCAAACAAAAATACTACTCTATTCTCAAAACCCAAGAAGATATTGATGAATTCAATCAATTAGTTGAAAAGTTCCATTATATGATGTCAGCAATTGTAACTTGGTATTCACAAAAATCAAAAAAATATAAATCCGAAAACTCTATATTTGTTGAACTTAGATACTAAGATTGAACTGCAGGTTGAGTCTAGAGTGATCAAATTAAATAAAATCTTAATTTTTTTTTTTTTTTTTATTAAAACATACACAGTTTTAATAATTTTTTTCTGTTTTTTTCAAATCATTTTTTTTTGCAAAAAAAATTTGCCCGTCTTAGAGGTAAGGTGACCTATTTATTCAGTAAAGGCGAATAAAAAAAAAATATTTCAAATTTATTAATCTTTGGAATTTTACAAAAAAATTAACATTTTTCAAATTTACATTTTCCTTTTATGGAATTTAATGATGTGGGTCTCATTTAAAAAACATCAATAATTCATTTTAAACATTTGAAAAATGTGAATTGATGTTTGTGGGTGTATTAATCCTTTTTTTATTATAAATTTAAACATCTTATTTAAATATTGTGTAATAACTATTTATTTAGATATAACAATATATATGGATAGAATTAATATTGTAAGTTATAATGTTATTGAATTCAATTTTTAAATTTAAATTTAATTTAGGTGTTATTATTATTAAATCTAGATTGCTCAACATTTGTTGGTAAATGATGTTGCAGCAGGTGATGTACCAACAACATCATTACTGAGTGTACAGTTACAAGTGGATAGTGTTGAAATTCAGAAACTAAAGACTCTTTTGGACACACCTAAATACACAGAGTTCAAAGACAGAGTCAGAACATTCATTCAAAACAATCCATTGTTCCACGGCTCTGTATCCGGTATCTCTTCAGCTGAATACAAACAACGTGTTCTTCTCCAACTAAAGTCATTGGCAACCAGTGGATTATTCAATATCACTGATATCAGAGGTAAATTATCACTTTTTTGAAATGATATCTATAAACAAATAGTAATAATTGTTTGAATTATTAATTATTTAACATATACAAAAAAAAAATAGATAACCCAGAAAAAACATGTGCATTCATTGAAGTAATAAGTGAATTCAATAATAATATTAATACTAAATTTGCTGTACATTACAGTTTGTTTGGTGGAACTATTTTGCTGCTTGGTACTGAAAGACATGAGATCTATCTGCCAAAGGCCGATTGCTTGGATATCGTCGGTTGCTTTTCAATGACTGAAATTGGACATGGTTCGAATGTACGTTCGTTGGAGACAACCGCAACCTATTGTCCAAAGGCCGGTGGATTCATCATTCACTCACCAACACCAACCTCTCAGAAGTTCTGGATTGGTGGTGCCGGGCTGCACGCACATTACACTACGGTTTTTGCCCGATTGATACTCGGTGGTAAGGACCATGGTGTTCACGCTTTTGTTGTACCAATTCGTGACCAGTTGAATCGTGTTCTCCCGGGTGTCACCATCAAGGACTGTGGACCAAAGATGGGATTGAACGGAATTGACAATGGACAATTGGCATTCGACAATGTTTTCATTCCACGTGAGAATCTCCTCAACAAATATGCCGATGTAACACCAGACGGAAAATATAAATCCGATATTAAACCACAATCCATTTTCACCTCTCAAATGGCTGCATTGGTTAATGGTCGTGTAAGTTAACAAACAACATTGTTTTTTACATTTAACTAACTAACTAACTAACTTATGTTTACTTTTTTTTTAGTTATATGTTTGTAAGAGTACTGTTGGTGTTGTAAAGACTTGTTTAACAATTGCAACTAGATACTCACATATTAGAAAGCAATTTGGTCCACCAAACTCAAACGGTGAACTACCATTGATTACTTTGTCATCGCAACAAAAGAGATTGATGGTTCCAATCGCAACCACCATTACCATGGATCTATTCACCATTGACTTGGCTAAAAAGTTGGCAAATGCAAAGATTTCACATGTAAATATCAATTACTATTATTATTATTATTATTATTTTAAATAGTTTGATAATTATTAACAAACTTACTAATTTTTTTCTACTCTATATAAATATTAGGCATCACATGCTCATTGTGCAGGTATAAAAGCAGTGTTCTCATGGCATCTTCTTAGATCGATTCAACAGGCAAGAGAGAGTTGTGGTGGTCAAGGTTATCGTATGGAGAACAGGATCGCAGAGTTTCGTTGTGACTCTGATATCTTTGTTACTTATGAAGGTGACAACACTGTGTTGATGCAACAGGTCGCTAAATATGCTATGACACTCAAGCCAATCTCTATCGATAGAGTGGTACTCGGCTCAAAGGCAGACTTGTTTAATTTGGTCAAGTTGCAACAGCTGTTCAGACTTCGCGAGCAATTGAGAGTCGATGAACTCAAGGAGCTGATTGCCAAAGGCGGAAAAGACAAGTTCGCAGCTTTCAACAATGTCATTCCATGGGCAGTGGCCACCGGTTACGCACACATGCACTCGGTCATTCTCGACAATGCCATCCACTATATCAACGGTAACTCTATCAAACCATTGCCACAGATGGTACTGTTGGATACTCTATCCAAGATTGAAGAGGATCTCGGTTGGTTCCTCAGTCAATCATTGATCAGCACTGACGTCGCCAAGCAAATTCCATTCGTAGTTATGGAATTGTGCAAGAATCTTTCTGATCATAGTCTCGATATCATTAAATCTTTTGATATCCCAGCTGTTTGCTTACCAGAGCCATCACTAATTAGTGATCTAATCAATTAATTAAAAAAAAAAAAAAAAAACAATGTATATTTCAAAAAAAAAACAATTTAATAAAAAAAATGTAGATGAGGGATAACCCTTTTATTATTTTTAAAAATAAAAAAGAGAAAATCAAATGAATCATTTTTTTAAGAATCTGACGAGGCATTAAAAGCATTGAACCCTCAATCTTTGTTTGTTTCGAAAAAAATTAATATATTAAAAAAGGTTACATCAAACGTTGCACTCCTTTTAAAGAGAATATTGAGAATAAAAAACCAGGGACCGGTTTAATAAATATTCTATTATCTTCACAATCGAAATCTCAAAAAAAAAAATAATAATTGATTCGCAACAATTAATTCTCAGGATTCTAAGAGAATAATCCGATTTTTATTTGAATGTGAAGTTAGTAGTATTCCCTCAATCACGTGGCCGACTATTTTAAACTAAAATGAAAAGGTCTAAGATCTATCACAATACTAGAGTATTTAAAAAGTATCGATAGATACCTGGAAACAAAACATTAATTTTTTATATCAACCTAGAAAATGTATACAAATAAAATTATATTTTTATCTACATTATTTTTAGCTATTACTTTATTCAATTTGGTAGGTGCAGAGAGAGTAGTTTCTTTTGCCGTAAATGTGAACAATACCAGTGGTAATCATACTACCGCCACTTCCGGAAATTGGTCTACAACTGGAGGACATTCAAGTGGAAACTGGACCACCGGATGGAATACATCATCTACAACTGGAGGATGGAATACTACCACTGGAGGATGGAATACAACAACTGGAGAATGGAATACAACCACTGGAGAATGGAACACAACAACTGGAGGATGGAACACAACAACTGGAGGATGGAATATAACCACTGGAGAATGGAATACAACTACCGGAGGATTGGATACTACCACTGGAGAATGGAATACAACCACTGGAGGATGGAATACAACTACTGGAGGATGGAACACAACCACTGGAGGATGGAACACAACTACTGGAGGATGGAATACAACCACTGGAGGATGGAACACAACAACTGGAGGACATTCAACTGGAAATTGGTCCACCACTGGAGGATGGAATACAACTACTGGAGGACATTCAACTGGAAATTGGTCCACCACTGGAGGACATTCAACTGGTAACTGGACTACTGGAGGACACTCAACTGGTAACTGGACTACAACTGGAGGACACTCAACTGGTAATTGGACTACCACTGGAGGACATTCAACTGGAGGATGGAACACAACAACAGGAGGATGGAATACAACCACTGGAGGATGGAATACAACTACTGGAGGATGGAACACAACAACTGGAGGATGGAACACAACCACTGGAGGATGGAACACAACAACTGGAGGATGGAACACATCATCTACAACTGGAGGATGGGATACAACAACTGGAGGATGGAATACAACAACTGGAGGATGGAACACAACAACTGGAGGATGGAACACAACTACTGGAGGATGGAACACAACAACTGGAGGATGGAACACAACAACTGGAGGATGGAACACAACAACTGGAGGATGGAATACAACAACTGGAGGATGGAACACAACAACTGGAGGATGGAACACAACAACTGGAGGATGGAACACAACCACTGGAGGATGGAACACAACAACTGGAGGATGGAATACAACCACTGGAGGATGGAACACAACTACTGGAGGATGGAACACAACTACTGGAGGATGGAACACGACCTCAGGATCATCGGGATGGAGCACCACTTCTGGAAATTGGACAACTGGATCAACCTCAGGTGTAACAACTGGTCCATCAAATGGATATATTTACAAGACAATGACAAGAACTTCGAGTGATGACTATCAAACAACAACCAATACAATAACCATTAGAGAGTCCTTGTACAATACAGTTATTATCAACACAACCACTATCTCGAATGATTACTCAACCACCACAATCACAGTGACTACTACCTACAGATCCAATGGTAGATCCGATATCATTACAACCACAACCTATACAGTTGGTACATCTACCACCACCGACACAGTCATCGATAAGAAGCGTCTCCAATTGAACATCGGTAAAGATTCCATTGAATTCATAGAGCTCGAGTCTGATATATTGTCGAACGACTCTAGCAGACTTCAAAGCATAAAGTTTATTTCTATCGCTTTAATTGGAATGTTTATGATTTTCTTTTAAATTTATTAAATAATTAATAAATAAAGATTCTCAATGATATATACAATTTATTATCATTCACTTTTAAAACAATTTAAATTGTTAACTTTATATAAAGTTAATTTTTAAAAATGATAAAACTTATTTATTTATTTATTTATTTATTTTATTGACTAGTTATTGTTAAGTCAATCAGTCAGTCAACAACCAGTTTTAGAGAATACACTATTGATTTTAAGTGTTGACAACAAATAGATTAACGAAATCAATATTGATTTGTTAAGTTTGAAAAGAGAGAGAGTAGAGAGTGAGGGAGGGAGTAGAGAATTGATGAATGAGATATCTCATTTATGTAAATAATTGTGAATAAATGATGATGTTGATGTTGTTGTTGTTGGTGATTATGATTGGTAGATCTTCATAGTATCTAATACAATATATATAGTTTGTTTAATACAAAGCATTCCATCTCTTCTTGACCAAAGCTTTCTTTAACTTCTTTTCAACAACAATCTCAACCTTTTCTTTTCTATTGATAGCCTTTTCAATCAATCTAGCTTTCTTCTTTCTATTCTTTGGTGATTGTTGTTTCTTTACCTTTAATCTAAATGAAACGATAAATATAAAATAAAAATAAAAAGTTTGTTAATAACAACAACAACAATAATAATAATTCTATTTTAAATAGTAACTACTTACTTATCTGTTTGTGCAAATGGTTGAAATTCCTTATTCTTGTGTTTCTCTTCACTATCTAACTCTGGTACATCTTGAAGATCTACAAGTGGCATAACAGGTGCCTTTTCGATTTCCTCTTTATTGATAATTTCGTTAATAATTTGAACACTCTATCATAAAAGTTTAAAGAGAATATATAGATTTAAAAAATAGCATACTTTTTGTTGGTTTTACCATTTTTCTTTATTATAAGGATAATTAATACAATTAATTTACAAAATTGATTGTTTATTGTATTTTTTTTAATAAAGTTTTGTCGTTTTTGTGAAAAATAAAAAAATAATAAAAATTATAAAAAACGATTAATATTACAGATTATTCTTGTTGTGCATAGTACAATGTTTCAAATTTGTTTATTTATTATACAACAATATTAATATGTTGGTTTGTGTTTATTATTATTACTGATAGTTATACATTCATGTGCAATATATATATATATATATTTGGCGATTAGATTTCTTTGTTTATTTAATGCAAACCAAATAAGCAACCTCTAAACCAATAAATTGACCTTTACTTAATAAATCATCAACATATTCTTCAGTCTAAAGAAATCATAAAAATAAAATTATATTATTAGTAAAAATGAATGAATATGTGTTTGGTGGAATAAAATCATGATCTAAATCAAATCTCTTTAATACATACATTTTTCTTCCATTGTTCTGATTTCTCTGCACCAATTCTTGTCATTGTATCGATAACATCTGGACCAGATAAGAAACACTCTACATATTCTTTACCGGTTAAGACCAATGCGTTGTTGAATGTGTATCCTGCCAAGACCTTTGAGAATCCAGCGGCCAATGCCATCTTTTTCAGTAGTTCAATGTCGTGAAGATGGAATGCAGTCTTTCCAGTTCTTGGGATGTGAATATCCAATGCCTCAGCCATGTTCTTGGTGATGGTGAATTGGTTGGAGTTCTCTGGTCTGCCCCACACAGAGAAGGTGGCGATACCACCCGACTCCAACACACGGTAGCTCTCGCGTAACATCTGGTCGGGGTCAACAACCAAGTGCAGACAGAAATTACACATGTAACGATCGAATGCGGCATCTCCGAATGGAAGATGTTCGGCGTCGGCTTGCTTGACGGTGAGAAGCTTTGACTCGTCCGAGTCTTGCGACTGTGCCATTCCGAGACGATCTTTGGCGAGTGTGATCATCTCTGTCGAGAGATCGACGGCGGTGAGCGATGTCGACGTTTCCTTCATCGAGAGCAACAACTTGGTGGAGGCACCTGCACCACAGGCAACCTCTAGCACAGCACGAGGTGGTGCAATATTACGCAACTTCAAACGAAGATTGGCAATCAAGATATGAGCCACTGGCAAAGTTTGTGGTTCAACATAGAATTGAAAGATCGAACTGAAACGATCCCATTTCTTCTTTAAGATTTCCGAAGTAAGTTCTTGATCCGCCATTATTTAAATTAAAATTATATGCTAATATAATATACAAAAAATATATAAAAATATAAAAAATATAAAAATATATTAATAAATAAAACTAAAGTTATATGTATAAGTAACGATATCTAAATGATATTTTAAGTATATATGAAAAAGCAAATTGAATTTCAATCTCCTGCTTTGGTCGTGTGTTCAATTTAAAAATTATGATTTTTTCATTTTTTTTTTTTTTTCTAATTTTTTTTTTTTTTAAAATATTTGAGCAGAATTTGATTCTTTCTTATGCCATTCAATAGGAGCAGAATTGTTAACGACAGATAAAATCGAACAGAATCAAAAATCATACAAACTAGGAATCTTTTGTTGTAGTTTTGATTTTATTTTATAGATCTATAGTCTACAAGAAATTTCTTTGGAAAGAGTTTCAATTGAATTTTGAGATTATATTCTTTGTATTGCAATGACTTTAAAATAAAATCAGTTATTTAAATATTTTCAAATAATAATTGTTTTTAAATTATATATTTTTAAATTATCTAAAACTTATAAACAAAAAGTTAGTAAAAACATTGATTTTAAATAAAAGAAACAGAATGAAAACAGAAAATTTTTAGAATTATCAACAAATTTGATATTGACCGATTTTTGTCTTTTGTTTACACAACAACAATGTGATAGATAATTATATTGTTTTGTTATATTTACATTTTTAGAGAAAGAAAATGACAGACAATGGTTGTATTAATAAGAACAATAGTTTATTTGGTAAACTATTAAATAATATAGTTTTTAGAACTTTAATATTTGATCAAGTAAGAGCGATTCATCGTGAGTTGAAATTGAATACCGCCGGTTTCAGCTGTGATTTGTTGTGGGCAGTCAAACATGGACATGTTGGAATATTCATGGAGAGAGTGAAGCGAGATCAGATTCAATATCATCAACTCTTTGCACAACCCGCTATTCTATGGCATTTTTGTAAACACGTACGAGCGTTATCCGATTTCAGAGAGATCCACAACAAGTTTAGCAAGAGTTTTACACTCGATGCAATCGATGCGCTTTTCATACGATGTGAGCCAGCGATAATCGATTACCTGTTCACACACTGCCCGAACCAAGAGTTTACGAAACGAGCGATACGCAACGCTGTGTGGAACGGACATCTGGCGGTCGTTCAGAGAATCGCCAGCAAATATAAATATACAAAAGAAACTTGGGCAAGACTCATGGCAGTTGCAGCCGAGAGGAACAACACAGAGATGTTTCAATACATCTGGAATCGTGCGGAGCGAGATAGATTCTGGTCGGCTAAAGCGGTCGATGCATTTGCCGCGCATCCCAACCAACCGATGATAGAAATGATATTCAATGAAATGGATGAGCAAGACGAGCGATTTGCCGTTGTCTACAAACAACAAAAGCCACTGAGGACATTCCGACCACCGAAAAGATCGTACTACGCTTTCGCAATCTCGAGATCACTGCAACTCTCTCGATATCTCTACATGAAGAACCAAACTTGTTTAATGTGGGGAATTGACTACTATCCAGAGGATTTGATTTGGTTTTTGGTTGTGGAGACTCAAAGATGGCCGTTGTCATGGGGTATTTTGGTGACGATATTGAAATCCAAGGGCAAGGAGTTGTTCATCCGATTATTCCCAAAGACTATCACACTTCCGGTATACCGTGAAACATGGACACAAACAGATTTACACATTTCCAACCCTCATTGTACTGTGTTGTCAGAATGATCTAATCAAAGAAGCGGCAGAACTCCATCAACGACTTTTAAACAACTCACGGTCATTCGTGCTATCTTCCTCACACGATCAAGATTATAAAGCAATGTTAGAAAAGGCTTCGCTAAATTCAATCATTTACTTTATGAGTATGTGTCCTTCGTCAGCTGCTGCACTCGTTCGTGAATACGCCAAAGAACTGACAGACTTAGAGAAAATCACCTATTTTTCAAAAATAATGTAAAAATTAAAAATAAAATAAAATTAAATAAATTAAATTAGATTATTAAGAATTTATAAAAAAAAATTATAAAATCTAGAATATCTTAGTAAAATAAAGGTCAATATTCATCTGTGGTGGCAGAAATTACTTACATCCGGTCCAGTTGTCCTATATTTCCTCTCCTTCATTTTTTAAAAAAATTAAAAAAAAATGAGTGTTAAGATGGAAAATCTCGTGGAACCAAATTCTACATTATCAAATAGATCGAGTTCAAATAAATAATATTTATAATGAATAATAGTTTATTTACTCGACTTTTCAATAATGTTGTATTAAATAGATTAATATTTGATCAAATCAAAGAGATTCATAAACAATTGGGCGTGAAAGCACATAGATATAACATTTATACTCTTTGGGTAGTTGAAAATGGACATATAGGTTTATTCATGGATAGAGTGAGGAAAGATCAGATTCAATGTTATCATCTCTTCGAAGATCCCGAAATTCTAATGTATTTTTGCGAATATGTTCGAACGCTATCGGATTTCAAAGAGGTCTACAACAAGTTTGGCAAGTGTTTCACACGTGATTCGATCGATTGTGCATTCATACGATGTGAACCATCGATTATTGATTATATCGTTGACAACAGCCACCTTTTACCAATATCAGAGAAAGCATTAACTTATGCAGTGTCAAACGGGCACTTCTCAGCTGTACAGAGAATACCGGTGCACTTTAGCAATGGATATTCAAGGTTGACATGGGCGCGTGCAATGTTACTGGCAGCCCAGCAGAACAATACAGAGCTATTCCAGTATCTTTGGAATCGAGCGGATCGGCATAGATTCTGGTCGGCTAAATCGGTGGATGCATTCGCCAAACACAACAATCAGCCGATGATTGAAATGATGTTCGACGAAATGGATAGGCAAGACGAGCTTCTCCGTCAAGCGTTCCTACTGAGTTCGACAAGGAAGTTCAGGCCACCAAGCCGACAAACCTGTGCATTTGCAATTTCTACGTCTCTCTCACTCACACGCTATCTCTATGAGAAGAAACAGTCGAGCGGAATATTCGATATCAATGACTACCCCGATGATCTGGTGATTGGAGGAAATCAAGATCGTCTTTGGTAAATGGACAGCATTGCTAATGATATTTAAAGGCAAGAGTAAGGAGCTATTCTGTAGACTACTTCCATATCCTCTCAGCCGGTATCCTATAAACCAATATTCATGGCATCAAGATGATATCACCGTTTCCGAGCTCATCGTACTGTGCTGTCAAAACAATATGCCAATGAATTGACAGACCTGGAGAAAATCACATATTTTTCAAAAGTACATTAAATACAAATAAATTAAATAAAAATCAAAAAGCACATTCCTCTTCCTAAAAAAAATAAATTAAAAAAAAAACTAAAAGATATCATGATTTTTGCAAAAAAAAAATGTGCGAAAATTTGATTACCATCAAAACTTTTGATTGAAACAGCACCAACCTGGTGGGAACTATGAATTTTACCTCCTAAAAAATCCTGGGGGGATTTTTACAATCGTTTTTTACTTTTATATCTTAATTTTTATTATTAACAATGTTTCAATCTACCTTTTTTTTTATTTCCATTCACACTACAACATTGTTTTATGGTCATTTTACTATTGTTAATAGTTAAAAGTTAGATAGATAACAAAAAAAACAATGGTTCAAGAGCATGATGATGATGATCATTCACTTTTAAGAATCAATAATAATGATAGTTATGATAATGAAGTAAATATATCTACAAGTATTAGTAGTTCTTACTCTATTAATTCACAACTACAAGAGGTAGTGGAACATTATTCAGATAGTTTTGATGGTGATATCATTTGTACAGAGTTAAATGACGGTGGTGGTGGTGGTGGTGCAGTCATATTGAAATCAATAACATCAAAGGAATCGACATTACTCAATAAGAGTGGTGAGAAGATACTACTCACAGAGAAACAACCAACAAGCAAGCAGAAAGAGAATATCAAAAAGAAGATATTGGTTATTATTTTAATTTGTAATTTGGCATTTCCATTGTATTTGGCATACAATTCACCCAATAGTCTAGTAAAGGTATTCGACAAACATTACAATATGGATTCATCACAATTCTCAAAACTCTATACTGTTTATGCGCTTCCCAATCTTTTCATGGTTATACTTGGTGGTATTTTAGTTGACCTTTTCGGACCAAATAAGTAAGTAAAGCAATTGCTCTATTGATTTCATATTTTGTTAGCTATCATTTATTAATTTAACAACAATTATAATAATATTGTAGATGTAGTTTAGTATTTCAAACAATTTTATTTCTTTCTACAGTTTTAACAGCAATTTCCGTTTCTAACGCAAGTTACGGGTTGCTTTTATTTTCAAAGGTTTTATTGGGTATTGGAGGTGAAACCATTCTCGTTTGCATCAGTGCGTTCATTGCAAAATGGTTTTCAGCAAACGATGTTCCTTTTGTACTTGGATTAGAATCATCTTGGGTACAAATTGCAAGTTTAAGTAAATATTATTAAAATGATTGTTCTAATTGAAAGTATTATTAATTTTCTTTTATTTCTTATTTAAAAGTGTCATTTGCAGTGTTACCATCATTATATAATGCAAGTAATTTACAATTCACAATGTGGTTTATTACCATAGTTTCTATTATTGCTTTAGTTTCCAATTTTGTATTTGTTATATTTCAAAAGCGTTTGAAATTCAGTATGTATAATATTAAAAAAATATATATATTTATTGATCATCATAAACTAAACTTTGCATTTCAATTTAATTATAATAATAGGAGATGAAGTTTATGTTTCAGTTGGTGATGATATTGAAAATGAAAAAGTTAATCAAACAAACAATATAAATAACGAAAGAGATAATGAAAAGGATGATGAGGAGTTGGCTAAACAAAAAGAGTTGGAATCAATGACAAAGACAGAGAGATTGGTTTACGAATTGAAACACGCAATCATTTTAATGAAGTTGATACCAAAGAAGATGTGGATCTTGGCTGGCATTTCATTTTTCGGTTATAATACATTCTATGGATTGGATATCTTTGTCACCGATATGATTGCCGAAAAGTATAATTACGACAATAAGAAAGCATCGATGGTCATGGCCTATGAGACAATGGTAAACGGTGTAATGAGCCCAATATTCGGTTATCTAGTGAAACGTTTTGAAATGCGTGCAACTGCTTGTGGTATTGGTATTTTCTTTATGGGATTGGGTGTAGCTCTTTTAAATCTAACAAACAATGTCCCATATCCATGGTATGTAATATGATTAACCAATTTAAAATTAACAAATATTAATATAAATTATTATACTATTAGGGTAATTATAAGTGGATTAGGATATGGATTAATGAATAACTCTATTATGTCATCAATTCCAATCATTGTCGAAGAAAAAATCATTGGTTCATCTTATGGTTTAGTTGGAACTGCAGTAAGTTTAATATTATCTTTAAATTGATTATAAATTATATTAATTTTTTTTTTATCATTTATTATTATTTTTTAGTATAATGTTGGTATTTTTGTATTCCCATATCTATTAGGTTCAATTAGAACGAAATTAGGAAATTATGATGTTTCAATGTGGGTTTTAGTTTTGAGTGCAGTGGTTGCATTGTTACTACTAGGTTGGTTAAAACTCATCGATATGAAAGAAACGGATAATTCAAAAAGATTGGACAAGAAAAGATCATAATAATAATAAACAATCTTATAAATCTATATATTTATTAACAACCAACAATCAGAATTGTTCAAACTAAATCTAGATTATTTTTATTAAGAAAAAATGTTGATGTTTAACTTTACAATGAAATCATTCAAATACTCTAATTGTAAAGGATATAGGAATTTAATGAATCTTCGAATTGTTGGGGAGTTGCCAATGGAATTGTTTCAAGTAACTGGGCACCTCTCAACATGACATATCCTGGGATGTATGGTTTCATATCATTACCCTAAAAATGAATGAAGATAGGAAAAAAAAACAAATTAGAATGAATAACTAGTTCTGTATTATTATTATTATTATATTACATTAATTTCATCAACATCAGCATAAACAAATGTTGCAGCATCACTATGAGAATTGGCTAATTCCAATAATTTTTGATTTAGAGCTTGACAGGTTTTATGTTCTGGGTTTGAAGAAGTGAATACAACAACCAGTAAATTGCTACCATTTTGATTAGCTTCCACCATATCTTTTAAAGCTACATCAGAAATTGGTCTGTGGACCAAAGCACTTGATCCAATTACCAACAACAAAACTATAAATACTAAATACTTCATTACTTTTTCTTTTTTTTTAATTGTTATAATAGAAACTATAATAATAGTATAAACAATCTTAATCTAAATTTGTATATAAATAAATACAATGACTAAATTATTACAATGAATAAATATTAATATTTTTTTATTTATTTTTTAATTAAAAACTGTCAATTATCATAAATAAAAACAAATAAAATAATAAATATTATCATATGATACTCTCTCAAATCATATGAATATATATTACTCATTTTTGATATTAGTAATAACAGTAATGATCATCATTATCAACCATCAAATCATTTCTGATTTAACACTAATATTACTTTTTTATTACAACATCACTTGATGAAAATAATAAAAAGTGTGGTAAAATAAATAATATTAACAAGTTTTATTTTTTATGTATAGTAGCACTAGTGAGCAAACCACACTACATCTACATTTTTTGAATATAATTATCAATATTTTGATAATCATATTTTTGTTGGTGTTCTAGGGTTTGGTATACATCTAAAACTTGTTGCTTCTTGTTAATATTCTCTACAATGAATTTCAATTTACAAAGATCACCATCTTTCAACACCTTGGTGATAAATGAATTGGTAACACCCTCTATTCTCTTGGAGTGTAGAAACTCTGCAACTTCAAATTTAGAGCACTCGATTGCACCCTCCAGAGCATTGCCTGTCCAACATTCACTTCTATTGTAGTGGATGAACTTGACGACCTCGAGGTGTCCTTTTCTCGCGGAATCAGCAAGTGTCGATTGCTGACAACCTTCATTCCTATTTTCATGAAGAAATTTAACGATCCCTACATGACCATTTACTGCAGCGTTTGTCATTGCACCAATTGTAAATTCTACATTCCATATGTGAAGGTGTTCAATGACATCCAAATGTCCTTCAAAAGCCGCGCCATTTGCAGCCATCACTGAACAACCTTCATCCCTATATTCATGGAGAAATTTCAAGATATCCAAATGACCGTTTCTTGCAGCATTGTCAAATGCACCTGTCGTACAACCTTCGGTACGATTGAAATGAAGAAATTTCAAAATCTCCAAGTGTCCGTTTCTTGCAGCACCATCTATGGCACTTGTGGAGCAACCTTCTGTGCGATTGTAATGAAGAAACTTCACCAATCCAAGATACCCGTTGGTCGCAGCCATATCAAGTGCCTCATAAAAACATGGAGCACCAATCTTGTAATGCAAATACTTGACAACTGAAAGGTTACCGACAGTTGCAGCCCAATTGATTGCTTCCTCTCCACAACCTTCCGATCGATTCTCACACAGAAATTCTACTACATCCAAGTGACCATTCATAGCAGCTTTGTTAATTGCCATCGTACTACATCCTGCTCTCTTTGAACTATCTGAATAATCGTAAACACTATTTCCAGTATAAGGACCAATGGAGGCATAGTGAATAAATTTGACGATATCCAGGTAACCATGACCAGATGCTTTGTCCATGGCACAATGAACATGATGATTATGTTTGAAAAGATATTTGACACACTCCAAGTGACCAAATTCCGCTGAAATGTCTATGGCATTCTTAAAGTATTCTCTCCAGTCTGGCAACCGATTGAAATACATTAGTATTTCCAAATGACCGTATTTACAAGCTGCCTCAACAGATTTCTCTTTGCAAATCTTATCTATATAGAATTGATAGTTTCTGATTATGAATTTAACTCTATCCAATTGACCATTTCCAGCAAACCACACCAATACATTCTCCAATGCCTTTATATATTGTTTATATTTTAATCTTTTCTTTCTCCTCTCTTCATTCTCTTCCTCTTCTCTCCTTTGGCGGTCTGTTTGATAGTCATCAAATTTATCACCAAAACTATATTCATTATATGAAAGAGGAGGTAGTTCAAATATGATTTTTCCACAATTGTAAAGATCGATTTGATAATTTAGGTGTTCAACAAACTCCTCATAATATCTATATTTCAACAACAAATTTGGGAAATCCGGCAACTTTTGCCAACAATAACTCTTTTTACCCAAAATAGAATGTATTGATTTTACAGAATCGAATATATTACATCTTAGATAATTGATATTAAAAATTCTTTTAAATAAAAAATCTTTTTTGTTACTATTATTATTATTTTGACATTCCATTTTTTATTAAAACTAATTATTAAATAATAATCATATCTTATTTTTCTTTAACTTTAAAATAATAAAACACTTTCTTTCTTGATTATTTCAAAAGTGATGATCTGATTAAGTATTTTAAAATTAAATGAAATTTCACCCAATTTTACAAAATTTTGCTACAAATATTCACTTTGTAAAAATATCTTTTTACTAAAAGTAAAATCTAAAAGTAAATAAAATAGGAAACAATAATTTGATTGAAAGTTTGTCTCTTTGTTTATAAATAATCAAGCCTTTATTTTAAACAAAATAAAATAATTTATACAATGAATCACGCAAAGACTTTTTTTTTTTTTTTTTTTTTTTTTTTTTGAGGTTCATTTTTTTTTTTTTTTTTGACTTTTTCCATCCCTTTTAATTTGTTGATGACAAACATATCTAAAATTAAAATTTAAAAAAATATAATAAAATTATTATTTTATTATTATAGTCGTCGGAATAATGAATATTAGAGGATCTACTACACTGATTGTTCTGTTGATAGTGTTGCTATCATCATCACTATTGATTACTGCTCAAAAAGAGAAACAACCAGCTGCTGCTGCTGCAACTAAACAATCAGAATCATCATCATCAAAGCCATCATCATCATCAACACCATCAAAGGCATCGCTAGCGAAAATTCGTGATTTGAAACAGTTGGCTTTAGATAACAATGGTTTCCTCCAATTAGATTCCGCTCAAATCAAGAAATTCATAACCATCTCCAACAGACCCTATCACCTCTTAGTCTACATTACATCGACAAACCCACAACACGGTTGTCAAATCTGTCAGTTAGTATCAAAAAATATTCCATAGATCTATATCTAATTTACCTTTATAACTATTTCGAAATCAAATCATTAACCGGTCGTTTTTAAATATCTACTATCTATCTATTCACCACATTCATTACAGGGTATTAAAAGATGAAATTAAAACCTATTCAATGTTGTCATATCATAACTATTTGCAATCACCAGAGTTTGATAGTAAACCACTGTTTGTTATCGTACTCGAGTTCGAACAATCACAAGATTTCTTTAAACAACTCCAAATTCAAAATATCCCACACATTGCATTCTTCCCAGCTGGTAACTCAGAGTTGACCTTGAAGAACAACGTTTTCACCAGATTAGATAGTTTCTCAAAACAAAGATTGTCCGATTATATTGAAGATCAATCTGGAATTAAGGTATATTAAATCATCATTATAATCGTCATAATTTACAATACTAATATTATATTACATTATTATTATTACTATTATTAATATTAGATTGAAATTGTATTACCATTCTTTGAGAAACATGGTCATACATTTGGTAGAATTGGTTTAGGTCTATTGGCATTACGTTTACTTATTACATTGATTAACAACAGACAAAACAAGACACTTTGGATGCTAATCTCAATGGTAACATAACAAACAATCCTAATCGATCAATCATCATCATCATCATTACTAACCAACCTTTTATCTTTTATAACAAAACAGTTGATTGTAGGATCAGTTTTATCAGGTATATTTTATGTGTTCATTCACAAACCACCTTTATTCGAAGTTAGAGGACAAAATGAAATCAGTTATTTCTCAAGAGGTACACGTTCACAAACTGTTATTGAAGGTGCATTGATGGGTGGTTTATGTATGTATATCAATAAGTGTTTGTATAATTATTAATATTTGAATATCAAACAACAAACAAACAAACAAACAAACAAACAAACAAACAAACAAACACTTTCTAACTATTTTATTACTTTTTATTTTTATTATATAATAAAAACAGCATTGATCATTGCATTTATATTTATATTCCTATCAGATATTCTACCAAACCGTTCTGCAGAACTCAGCAAAGTCAAATCTAACCTCTTCTTCTTGGTTGGTTTCATTGGTTTGATGATGTCCCTGGCTGTGCTTTCAAAGTGTTTTGAGATGAAGTACTACAGACCACTATTCTTTGTTCCAGACGAAATCAAACACATAAATAAATTTATATAAAAAAATATAAAATAATTAAATTAAAAATAGATCCAAAAAAAGGAACAATCGTCAATTCGTTTGCACTGTTTTTTCAGTTTTTTTTTTGTCTGAAATTAATTGTATTTATTTTGTTTGTATTACATCACAGGTTATCATAGTTTGTTTAAAACAAAGAAATATATTAATGTAAGTTTGTTTTTGAGAATCATTTTTTATTGATATATATAAAGAGAGAGAATATGAATATACAACCTTTTAAAATAAAATATTTATATATATTTTTTATTTTTTTATTTATTTCTATAAAATTAGTTAATGGAATTTCCACGACGATTATCAGTGGTTTTGCATTGACCGCCGATACCAAATTATTGCAAACCGTGATTGTATCTGGTTTGAATAGTTCCTCCACTTTGGATTTATCCTATTGTTTATCTGGTAGTATTACACAAAATTCATTTGCCGATGTCTGTACTCTAGAGTTGACTTCTGGCGACCCTACTAGTAGTTGCATTGTAAACATTCTGTATTCGAAATTCAACCTAAACTCCATCACAACAACTTTAAATACCACCATGAGGACATTGGCCTCCGAATATTTCTATGTCACAGAGAATATTCCCTCCACAAGCACAATGTCAATGTATTCAAGTACGATCAATCCTGCCTACCAACCCAACTATTTAGGAGACATAGAGTTTAGTGCTTTGTTTACCATGAAATTCGTGAAGAACTCTAAGAGTATTCTCTATGGAAATTGGTATCTTACGAATGGAACTTCGATTAGTCCAATGTACTTGGTCGCTGGAACACCCACAGGCGGAACTTTGATGGCATTTACCTACGTAACCAACTCTGTCACTCATATAGCTCCTGGATTTTTTAGCACACCCAATAGTTTAGCACCTTCTCAGCAATATGTATTAGCGGTGTCTGTAATCCATTCTATTCCGAACAGTTTCGTATCTGTTTTACCAAATTCAATGAACTTGACAAACGACTACAAACCCAATTTATTAACAGTCTATTATGGATACTTAGACGACAAGCAGATAGTTACTTTTCCTTGGGGTGTCGTTCAATATGGATTCCAAAATCAATACGGTATAGATGATCTAGGTTATAAGATTACTCAATTCGTTCATCCAATGCTTCCCTCTGGTAGTTATTCCTATAGATTCTTTTCAAATAGCAACGTCTATCCTCTGAATGTAAATGGGTCCACGGATTTAACAAAACCTTCAATGAATGATTTTGTAGTCACCTACGTTTCTGGAAGAACCTATAGTATACGAATGAATATCTTAGATTCAGAATCAGGTGTTTACAAAATCAATGTCAAAGTTGGAGCCACCCAATTCTCTATCACTCAAGCTGATTTAATTGGAGGAAATATTTATAATGGAGTGTATCAAACTACTTTTGACTATATTCCAGATACATCAACTCAGATCTTTGCCAATTTTATCATTACTATTAAAGACTATGCATTAAATTATGTGTTTTATCGAAGTGGTGGTATATAATGGTAACAAAATGATACCAACTTTTAATCCAAGATTATGTAAGTATCAAATTCAAAAAATTCACAATATAATCTACTTTACTTACTGACTTATAATAGTTAATATTACATCGATAAGTTCAAATGTAACAGAAATAACAGATGCATTATTCCAAGGAGATGCAATTACTGTTCCAATCAAATTTAGTATAAAGACAACATTGATTGATAAAGGAATGAAGCCGATTCTTTATCTCGACACACATCCATTCCATCAGATTCCACCATTTATCGGATATTGGGATAATGCTGCTGGTTCATACTCAATCGAATTTAATATGTCGAAATATGAAATAGGAACTGTCATTGAACTCAACTTTAGAATTGCTTTTGAAACAATTTATTATAGTTCTACAATTAGATATTTAACATCGACAACTTCTATTTTGAAAATATCTATTTCAAATGGTAATGTAGTTTTAAATAGATAGATTAATTCATATAAAAAATAAAAAAAATTTTCTAACATATAATTATTAATCAATAGGTGATAAGGTAGGACCAATGTTGGAAAGCATTACCGCTTCCAGAAGTCTAGCTACAACTTATATTGCTAGTGCCGATTATATCGGTAGTATTACTTGGATGTTGAAATTCTCCGATGAAAGTTGTGGTTTTAAGGAAGCAAAAGCATATATCCAGACAACCAAGAGAATGAATATTACAGCGTTGATTACCTCCAGTAACTTTGTGAGTGGAGACCTAAATATGGGTAATTATAATTTGACGATTCCAATTACCACATCAGATGTAAATTTCACTATTACCTGTATCGAAACTCTTGACAATTGTGGCAATAGGAAACTATGTAATGGTACAACACCGAGTCCAATTTCGAAATTCTATTACAATAGTGTAGTCACCAATCCTGTTACTGAGAGAACCAACATTGTTCCACTGGTGAGTGGACAACCAGTATCAACAACGACTCCAGTACTTACATACCTCAACTATACACTTTCAATGCCAACACCAAATATATGCAGAGTTAACATGGAAATCACAGCACAAGATCCAAGCTATATCTCTGCTTTCTTTAATCCAACGCTCTATTTACAAGGAGTTTACGATGACTATATAGCAGTTAGCCATACTACTTATGATGTGTCTGGAACTGCAAAGATATTTTATTTTCAACAGGATATTCCAATTTCATTTGGTTTCAGTACGACAAGTATTATCTATTCTATTTATGGTCTAACAAACAAAGCTATGAAAACAGCGGCTTATGATGCTGGTAAATTAAAAGATATGGGTTTTCCTTATTTCATTCAAGTTGGTTGTAATTATTGTAAGTTTTTAAAATTATTATTTTAATTTATCTTTATTTTTGGTTTATTAATATTTTATTGCTTATAAAATAACAATAATAGTTGATTATATACCACCACCTCAAACACCTTCACCGACTCAACCAAATGTAACATCAACACCAACACCTCCTAGGACATGTCCTGGAAGCACTCCTTGCAGTGGCAATGGAATTTGTTTAAATGGAACATGTCAATGCACTGGATTATACTCTGGACCGGCATGTAATGATCAAATTATCTTACCTGATCACCCACCTCTTGTGGATCCAACAGCACCAACTACCATTATCCCAACCAATGCATTCCTAAACAGTTCAATTTCAATCTATTCATTCCAAGAGCTCGATGACACCAACAGTGTAATCAACCAAATTCTATTCAATTCTTGGAATTTCCAGAATATTACAACAACCAAATTCCAATATAACAATCTAAATAATGCTAAAATTAATATCACAGTGGAAATTGAATATTTCTTAAAGACAACAACAATCGAATTTGCAGGACAGAATCTCACTATGACACCATACACTGTAAAATATTCAATTACCATTTCCAATTATACATTTACTTCACCGATCAATGTTGGTAGATTAGTTATGACAGCTGGTATTCAAAGTACAAAAGAAGAATGCTCTTATGTTACAATGGATGACAATGACAGTATCAATTGGATGAAGTTAAATATCGGAGCACAAAGTTTATATTGTAGATTTATAGAGCTAGCAGTTGTCAATGATGAGCGTGTCACCACTGTCGATACGAAATTCATCAACTCCACACTGGTCAGTGACTCTGAGAACACAGATGAAATCTCAAGTTATATTGGTATCTTGATGCCACAGTTTGAAACAATTAGTATAGATCCTGATTTTTCAGTTTTGATCAATGCTGAAGGTGACGAAGGTAAATGTAAATCAAAGAACAAAATCGGAATGATTGTTGGTATTGTTGTTGGTGGTGTTGTTGCCATCGCCATTGCTGTTGGTGCTATTACTTTCTATCGAAAGAGAACAAAACAACTTCAAGAGAGTAGGAGAATGAATCAAAAATTAAAATCAATGAATCAACAATAAAATATATTTGTATATATATATCAATAGACTCTTTTAGTTATTATCTATTTATTATTACTTATTTTGTAGTTAATCTGCTTATGATAAAATTTTACAAATATCAAAAAAAATAACTTAAAATGCATCTGGCAAGTTTAAAAAAAAATTAGATGAAGTTCGGAAAAAAAAATAAAGCTACATCTATTTTTACAAACAATCTATTTATTGTTTTTTGTTAATTATAGTTTGACGAAGATGACATTGTACACAAAAAGAAAAGTTACTGAGATCAAGAATATTGCTAGTAGAGGTGATGTCAAACTATGGTTAAATCAACTTAATAGAGTTATAAAGTTGAATGTAGATTCAATTCTAAGTGTATTTGATTATTTAGAAAAGAAAAATCAATCAATCAATAACAGTATTAGTAATAGTAATAATAATAATAATAATAATAATGAAAACAGTAATAATACAAATCAAATAAATATAATTGAATATGCAATTGAATTGGTAAAATATATATGTAATATAACGATCAATGTAAAATACAGTAATCAAGAAAAGTCTGATTTTCTTAATAATCTATTACCACCGTTACTCGAGAGATACTACTTTGGTACCGCTGCCACCTGCCAATCTACCAGGTTGCTCTTCATCGATGGAATACACTCGACTATACTTGCCAATTGGTATAAACATCAGAGATGGTCATTGTCTGCCATTACACTCCCGCATACACTCATAGAGATATTAGAGATTGACAACGAACATAGATATGCCGCCGATTCATCACTATCCAATAACAACAACAATAATTATTATAATAGCATTATCAACATACTACCTTATCATATAATAAAGAATATATTGTGGAAGTTCTTTGCTGATACTTGTTTGCCTGTAAAGTGGAAGATTGGTATACTACCGTTGGTATCATGGCAATTCTTTAATATGATTTCCGACTTTGTTTGTAAGAGTGCATTCGATTGGTTGGATATTCATTCGGTGATCAACATTGGATCGAGATACTGTTTGTTGAAGACACCGCCCTTGCATCTCAACGACTTTGAGATCGGCTTAATACCGGTGCAACATAGAGCGTCGTGTCTACACAATCTTAGATCACTGACACAGACCATCATAAAACCAAAGCCAGACGAACCCGACGACTATTACAAGTTTATAAACCTTCACCTCCTCACTGCCAACCTAGAGAGTCTCACCTTTATTGAGACGGAAACCGACAAGCCAAGAGGCAAGAAGTTCCTACATCTATGGCACGGAACACAATCACAGCTACTATTAGAGGAAAGTCAGTTGTCTCAATACGAAAAGTTCGATCTTCCCTACCTAAAGCAAATAGTACAAGCGAACAGCTCAACATTGCTGAGTTTACACATTGACTATTCAGCGATAAGGCTATCGCCTAAAAATCAAGAGATACAGAAATACATTGAGAAAGAACTACATCCAAAGTACAGCTGTACCTACGGTTCGACAGTGACTCGCTCCTCGGTCTACATTCATCAAGTTCAAAAATACAACGAACCAGAGATGTCCACGATGATCAAGATCAGACAGCTGCTACCAAAGATATCGATATACGAAATCAATTACGGACTGTTTGAAGCACGCCACTTGGTGCTGGAGCTACGGAGTCTTGCTGACAGTGTCGACCATATCGCAAGTCAGATCTACTGCTTTATGAAGTCGGCGCAACCCAAGTGTATACCTTCGCGAATCGACATCAAGTTGCTAACGAGCCGAGAGATCTTTTGGTCGATAATCAAAGGCATCGTAGTGAGCTATCTCAATGAGCTATTCCAGTGTCTGCATTCGCAGTTCTACCTGACAGGAGTTGCCACTATCACTCTCTACCTTGCACTCGGTGACTCTTGGGATAAACCGACCATCGACATACCGCTACTCAACAAAACCTACATCGCCAACAACCATATCGATGCATTATCATTCGTACCATCGAAATATTATACACATTTAAACAGGGAGGTTTATGGTGAGCTCTTGGAAGTCAGAGAACACATTGAACAAAACAAAACCAAGAATCAAACAAACACAAATTAACTGAAAAATTAAATGCACCAACAAAATACACCGAAAAAAGTCAATCCACTTTGGAATCGACAATTTTTTTTTTCAACCATAAACTTCAAACCATCAAGATATTATTTTAAAAACCATTTTTATCATATTTTAATTTATATCTGGGTCGGTATCTGTGTTTTTGATAGGTTGGAAAAAAATATTATTAAAACTCAAAAAAGTTTTGTTTGTTTTTTTAGTTATTAAAAATAAAATGGTTTCTATTTTGTTTTCAATTGATTTCATTTGCAAAAAAAAGAAACTATTTTTTTTTGATTGTGATGATCATATTCTCCCCATAAAAAATTTTACATCAAGAAAAATATAAATTTTATTGGTGAATTTTATTTTTCAGATCTTTAAAAACATCGATGAAAACCACAAAACTTCTTTTTTTGGAAATGATTTTTAATGATTAAAAAAAAATGAAGATACCTTTACCGTTTTGTGGTGTTAAAAAATGGAGGGGTATTTTTCAAATCAAATCACAACTGTGTGTGGACCACCCATATATAATTACTATAAAAATAAAAATAACCAAATGATTATTATTGATGATTACAAGATAATAGAGATCTATCTCCAAACACAAAAAAAAAAAACTAAACAATATGATTCATAGGCAGTGTTGTTGATATCTACTAAATGGTTAAATATTCTTATTAAAAGCGAGTTGCTTTTTTTTTTTTTTTTTTTGTTTTTGTTCGATGATCATTTTTATAGGCCACTGACATTAGAGAGGCGATTGATTTCGAGAGCATCCAATGATCTATTGTTGATAGTGGTACTGATCAATCAGACCAAGTGAAAACTCTTTGTTTATGTTCAAATTTTCAAGGTCAACTTTGAAAGCACCATTAATTACAATAATACAGTAAAAAAAATTACACATACAACAATTGTGTTAAGTTTAAATTTAAGTTGGTTTTGTTTTATTCCCAAACAATTATGAACATAGATTTGTAAATAAAATATTTAATCCATTCAAAAAAGTAGTACTTATTTTATTATTTATTTTTAAAATTTTAAAAAAAAGAAAAAGTAAAAGAAAAGAAATTTTTTAAAAAAATAAGTATGTTTGATTTTGCATAGTGCACATATTGCATGATCATTTTTAATCAAATATAAAAATATTAAATAAACAAATCACACAACCCCACATTTTATTTTAATCATTTTATGTATTACTAATTGTAGAGTCACTCTTATTGTTTTCATATATCAATCAATGTTTTGTTTTTACATACACCACATTAGGATTTCTAAATATAAAACAAACACACACAAGTTAGTTCTCTTCATATATTTTTTTTTATTTACATATTGCAATTTCAATTCAGTTAGTCCATCAACACACTCTTCCATTTCAACAGACACTCAAACTCTTTATATCTATCTTTTTTTCATCTTTTTAAAAAAAGATTAGGGTGATCATAAATGGCGGGCGGTATTTGCTATGTTTTTTTAAACCCAACTTATTAAAGTGCGTAGGATTAAAACATGATTAATTCTTGTGGAATATTATTAATTTAAATGGTTCCAAATCTCAACAAGAGATGCTCAGTTTCATTTAAACAAACCCAAATGTTGTGATGAGACTATTTTATTTTTAGCATTCATCTTGTTATTTTTGTATAGTTGTTGTTGTTATTGTTTGTTGTCTTAATATATATTTACCTTTTGGTTATTCCAAATAGTCAAATGATTGATTTTCAATTTAAGAAAAAATATTATAAAACAATATTAATTATTTTTTTTTGTTTAATATTATAGATTTGTAAGATTTTGTAACTTTTCACACAAATCGTATATCGATTTTTATTATTAACTTCAAATTAATTCATTTATATAATAGAGTTCTAAATAGTCAAAGGATTAATTTTGTATATTGATTAGCTATTGCATTAGGCCTAGATTTATATCAAAGATGTCTACACCTACAGCTACTACATCTGAGAAATCTTATACCTCTTCGATTTCCGATGATAGTTCCTATCTTACATGGATAAAACATTATACTACAAATGGAGCGTTCAGTATTTTATATGCCATGGTAGATGGGAATATTTTTCCAAAAATATTTATTATTATAAGTACACTTATTGAATTTATAGGTAAGATATATTATCCTACTCAAAAAATGAAATACCACAATTGTATTAGATTAAGATTATTAATTCTTAAATATTATTTTAGAATTACTTAGTTTTTCATTTTACAGAGATTATTTTCCATGGCCTAAAGAGATCAGATTTATGTCCAAACTCTACATGATTATCAACCAAACGCCGCTTTCATCATACCCTATTTTTACTATATTTTTTTGGATTTCCCAAGCAATATTTTACCTGGCCATTTTTAATACTTTTTTTATGGCTTATCATTTCCATCGAAAAAATTTTACCTATATCTTCCCTATAAAGACTCTGCGAATCTTTGTGGCTGGTTTAGTTACATTCCTTGTCATTCCTCTGGTTTCGCTTTGGTCTATCTCATTCAATTGTAGTAGTGGCAACATTATTCACTTCCCACAGAATATTAGTTGTTATGGCACACAAAACATTATTAGTATATGTTTTTCAGTGATATCACTTCTCATCCTGATACCATATGCAGCCATAACCTGTTCAACCTATTTCGAAATGGATCCCCATGTCACCAACACGTTTTCTAGAATGAATGCAAGATACGAATTATGCTTGCTTGGTTTCAAGATATTCCTTACTTTAGTGTTCCAAATAGCATTTGAATCATATATAGCACTTGGAGTCATTCTATTTGTATCTCTATCAATTGTTTTTATATTATCAATTATTATGATGCCATTTTACAGTCATAGAATGAATCAATTTGTAAGTTAATTATTATTTTATAGTTTTTTTAATAAATTTACTAATTATATACATTTAGAGAACATCTTTATTAGCAATGACTTTATGGGCATCTATTTGTCTTTTAATTGTAATCAGATTGAATGGCAATAATGAAATTGCTGTTATGTATATTTTCTTCATTGGTTTGGTACCTGTTTGTTTATTGGGAGCTGGAATCATAGGTAATTATAAATAAAATTAAGAAAATTATAATATTCCTATTTACTTATTTTATTTTTAAAATTCCAGAATATAGAAAAAGATATCTATTAAAAACAGTGGAACAATATAAATTTGATAAAGATAATTGGAAACCTTTTGTTTGTTCTAACGACTATGAAATTGTATCGCGATATTTAATTGGTGATCCAAATGCCACCGACGATGAATCGGTTCTTGCTCGTGAGAAAGGTATCGAGGTGATGTACGATCTCTATAATGCTGGTTTGAAAAAGTCACCGAATTCTTCGACCATCTTGAAATCGTATTGTTACTTCCTACTAATCCATAAGAATGACCAAGCTCAATCACATGTAGTTCTCGATCGTCTCAAAGCCACCAAACCTTTCTGGGACATTCATTTTTTCGTCTACCACCAAGAACGTGCTCGTGAGCGTGCTAATGAAGCCAACGGTGTTGGAGCAGGACAGAACTTTAAGGATTTTATGGTGTACGTAGAGTTCAAACGACTCTGTTCACTCTCGAGGAAATATCATATTTCATCATTGCGAGCGATTAACAAATTCTGGACGATAGCAGCCTCCAAGAATGCCAGACAGTTTGCAGTGTTATCAAGACAAGGTGCTCAAATTTCAAGATATGAACATAAAGCAAACGATTATTACAAACGTTTGTTGGAAATGCATCCAAATTCCAGTCGTATTATTCGTGACTATGCTATATTCGTGGAGGATGTCATGAATGATAAAGATGCTGCTTGCGAATTGTTGGATAGAGCAGGAAAAATCGAAGAGGAACAATCGTTATTGAGCCATCCACCTATTCCATCGTTGAAACTAGATAGTAGTACTTTGGAGACATTGGAAAAGAAAGAATCAGTTCATTCTCTACACAGCAATAATAACACTAATAACAATAGCAGTGGTAATTTGAATAGTGTAAGCGGTGCAAACTTAATGATAGTAGAGGAAGAGTCTACTCTTGAGAATCTACCTGATCATCCAGTTGTTTCTCAAACCAGTTTCCACAGAACATCTTCTTCCAACAGCAATTCTTCTACCACGTCAAGTAGTAATAGTAATAACAACAACAACAACAACCAACAACTTAACCGTAGTAGAAATAACAACAATGCTATTGAGATGACAGTTTTAGCTAGCAATGAAAGTTCACCTTCAATGAGATCAATGAATTTGTCTAGTCAAGTTCCAAGTGATGCTCCTGCCCCCAAACAAGTGGAAACAAAGATAGAAATCGAATTAAAGAAACAGAATCAACCAATTCAAAGATTGAAGTACGTTCTCATTGCAGCAACTCTAATATTTATCATCAGTACAATGTCTATATTTGCTCATCTTTACATTCGATTGGAAGATACCAAGTATGAAGTAATGCGTCTGCGTATCACCGGTAGTTATGTCGTAACAGCAAGCAACATTGCATTCTACCTTAGATCTTCACAGATAGCAGCACAAGCCTATCAGAAAAATCCAAATGTAACCAGTCTCTATAATACAGCGCTGAATCAATCGATGACTCTCGATCGAAGATCGATTCAGCTTTTGAACCTTCACAATGCTATCTACCTAGGAGAAAAGACAATTGCCAACTACGACAGAGATCACTACAAACTGGTAACTGGTCATCCAGTGACTTGGGGTCTGGATACAGGTGCTCGAATCTTCAATCTATCGGAGTTCAACAGAACCAAATACGAGATAAAGTCTGGCACAATGTATGATATCTATAACGATAAGAACATTCAAACATACACAGAGGATTCATCCGGTAACTTTTTAGACTCACTGGTATATTCTATCAATGGTATAATACCTGAGCGTGTAGCAATCGGTATGAATCAATCGATGAATCGACCAAACTCTACTTATTGGCAAGCATCGGTATCGAATAACAACCAGGTGTTTAGATGGGTCACTGACAACACCAAGAATCTTGCAACGTCGCTGATGAATCTTTTTGGTCAGTGGTTGACAAACACTCAGATGCTGATGGAAGTACTCATGTTGGTAAATATCGGTGTAACACTGGCAGTCATTGTTTTGATTGTTGTGTTCAATGTTATCTTTATCATACCGGTGGTAAACAAAATCACAAGGAAAAAGATAGATATTCTCGGTACATTCCAACATGTACCTAAACATATCTCCGAGAAGATGGCAGCTGTCAGTCTAAAGAAGTTGTATATCATTGAGAACGAAATGAAACAACAGAATCAACAAGATCAAGGTACATTCGAAACACCGACAATGATTGACTCTTCGGATGGCAATGGTGTTACAGCTGCAACAACCGATCTAAACATCAATACACCAAGAAAGACAATTCATTTCGCACCAATCACTGCCAACTCTATTGCTTTGGACCAAGTACAACATCATCAACAACAACCACAGCGTAGAAACAGTGTTGCTATCTTCTTCTCGAGATTCAGTGCTGGTCACCGATCGAGTGTCAATAGCAATAGTAGTGTTAATAGTAACGCAGAGAAAGAGAAAGAGGATAAGGAGAAAGGAGAGAAACTTCTCAGAGAAATGAGTAAGAAGCTGATGAAACGAATGCATTTTCGATATTTGGCAGCAGAGATCATTGTATTTTTAATGATTGTTGCATTCTTGATCTCTACATCCAGTCAGATTAGAGAGATTCGTTTGAAAGCCAGAGAAGTCTATCTAGCTGAAGGTCAAGCCACCTACATTAGAATGATTCTGTATTACGCACAAGAGATTATCTACAACGAGAAACAGCGATCCTACATGCAAGAATCCATTAAGGAATCGGTTGTCAACATGAGGAATGACCACAACGAGCTGAAACAGTGGCGAAGTAACACAAAGATGACCGGACCAGATTATTATTTCAATACACGTGACTGTCTTCGTAAATTAGATCCTTGTTTGAAATCTAACGACACCTACCAAGATATCATTTCTAATGGACTCGATGCTATTATTGAATTCTATTTGCAATCGGCTATGAATCTATCGATGGAGACGAACGCGTCAAAGTTGACAGGAAGTAACTACTACTGGGGATATATAAAGATGGAGTCGAAAGAGGATCTCTACGATGGAAGTGATAACTATGCATACACTGTTGGATTTGAACTTCTCGATAGAGTTACAGAGTGTTTCCTAACTTCTATCATTGTTTCCAGTATTTTCTCAGTTGGCTATATTATACTTTACTTTATATTCTTCCATAGATTCATTAGAGAATTACAATTTGAATCAAAGAATACAATTGCGATGTTAAATGTATGTAATTATAAACTAATAATAATAAATAATTTATTAATTTGTTTTCTTTTTTTAGATGATACCAAAACATGATGAAGAAATTCCATTGGTTTAAATAATGGCAACCCAATTCGCCTAATTAAACAAACATACACATTTATATATATTTATATGTATATTTATTAAAATAAAGATAAATTTATTTATTTATTTAAAACGCTTCCATTTAGTTGGTTATTTGTCGTAATTTATTTTTTTTCAAGGTGGGTGGTTCGTTTTGTTTTAGGAGTGTAGCAATAAATCCATCAGAGTCATGTTTACCATAAATAATATAGTGGTTTTCATCAAGTTTTCTGATTGTCATTCTGTAATTACCCAATTCCAAATGAGTGGTTTCAAACCTTGAAATAATTTTTGGCATGTAAGGAAGCGATATGATTTGGTGTGGTGATGATGGATAGATATCACTTAGGACTTTGTAGTTTCGTAATAATCTAAAAATGGAACTTTCAGATGTTCAATGGTTTTAGGAATGAATGGATCATAAGCGAAGCAATCGAAACTAGGAATTTCCAAGAATTTTACTGATGGTATTATTATATATATCTGTGATTCTATGAAACATTTAAATTAAATAATTAAACTTTAAACTTTGAATGATGAAGAAATCCAATTATTAATCCATTGGTAAGATATAACCCAAAAACAAAATAGTAATTATCATCTAACTTTCTAATGATTTTTAGTGAGTTTGCTCCTAAACACATAGATTTGAGATGATATAAAATGATGCTTGAATGAATTTATATTCATTATTATTATCAAGTTTATTATCAATCATTATTCAATTGGGAACTTAATCTACTCCCAACTAACTTGTATTCTAATATTTATTTATTAAAATAACATGTTTATTTTATCCAAGGTGGGTGTTTCGTTTAAGAGTGTTGCAATAAATCTATTATGGTCACTTTCACCATAAATAATATAGTGTTTTTCATCAAGTTTTCGGATTGTAAGTCTGGTATCAAACCTATTACCAAATAATTCAAAATGAGTAGTTTCAAACCTTGAACTGATATTTGAGCTTGACAATTGTGGAATCGTTATAATTTGATTTGGAGATGAAGGATAGAAATTATTTAATACATCGTAGGATTCCAAATATGGGACTTTCAGATGTTCAACTGTTTTTGGAATGAATGGGTCACACTCAAAACAATCGAAATTATGAATTTCCAATACTTTTACAGATGATGGTATTGATTGTTCATTGAGGATTTTCATGTGAGTTTCGCAAATCTCCAATGATTCAATACCATTTGGAATGGTCAAGATCGATGGTAAATCTAGGTCTTCTCCATATCCATCTTCAAATAAAACAGTCAAACTCTTGATCTTCAATCCTTCAAGTGATTCTCGCTTATTTCTATTGCCACACCATGCCAAACTTTCGAATTGATAGTTTGATCGGTTTGGGAAGATCTCATCGATATCATAGTTTGAATGATAACCGAGATCCAAGTGTCTGAGTGATGTTGGCATTGCTGATGTCAACCTCGACAAAGTAATAAGAGTCAATTGATTCAGATTGGGTGGAAGCTGACTTAGATCAAATATCGAATTATTGTTGATGTTAGCATCATCCAAAGTTAGTGATTCAATATTGACAAGTGATTTTATAGAGAGTTGTGATGTATTCGGTGCATATTCCAACTTGCGCAACGTCAATGGTAACTCTCCATCGATGAGCGATGGTCTATCCAAATTAAGAATCAAAACTTCAAGGCTTGGTGGTAACTCACATATTCTAGATATATGATTCCAACTGTAAAAGTACTTTAGAGACGATGGTAACGCTCCTTGAAGCATAATATGACTGTACTTCGAGTTTATCTTCAACTTTTCAAGTGTATCTGGAAGAACACCTGGTTCGATCGGGTGATTGAATTGTTCACCTAATGAAAGACTCTTCAATGTCGGTGGTAAATGATCTTTGACCAATGGTTCATTGAACCAATATGGGAATATAATTGATGTTAGATTCATCGGTATTCTATATTTCATTGTTTGACAACACACGAGCTTAGTAACATTCGATCTCTCTATGAATGAATAGATCTCCTCGGTTTCAGATGGTAATCTACAATAATAAGCAGCCACCACTTTACGTATATTTGTTGGATCAATAGATTTTAGACCATCTTATAATAATAATAATATGAACAAATTTATGTTAAAATCTATTTTTATCGTGTTTAACCTAATCTAATATCAATGATTTCTATAATTACCTATTGTTGTACTTATATCATACGTTACATCAACATTGTTGCCTATATGTAAACCATTTGGTATTTCTTTTTTAAAAGAATCCTGTATTAATGATCGATATGAATTCAATAAAATACTAGATTCACTGTTAATGAAGAAACGATCTCTGTTAAACTTTAGATATTTATGTCTTTCTTCGAACCATCTTTTACAAACTAAACTAAAGAATATCTTATCGATGTTATCTCTTAAATATTTAGTTATCTTTGATAATAATACATGTGATAAATTTACAAATATATTTGAATCGTTCATCTAGATGTCGTTATCAGTAACTTTATAAGAAAAATAAAAAATAAAAAAAAAACAGAGGAACATTTTTTTTTTATTGAAGACGATAAAGATGAAAAAAATAAAATCTGTTTTTAATATTTAGAGAGGCCAATACAATAAACAAAATATTTAGAAACTTTTCAAAAACTATAAGAAAATGATTGTAGTCAAAAACTGAATTCATTCAGAGGAGGGATAAAATGAATTACACATATTTTTGTTTGAAATTTCTTCAAGAATCAATTTTTTTTAATTTTGTTTAAACTTAATTTTTCTTTTTTTTATTTAACTCAACTGATATTGTTCTGGTATTTCTTCATCGTCGTCATAGGAGTATCCACAGGATCCAGATCTTGGTGAGTTTGAGATTGTGGTTTTTGAGTGTTCTTCGTGTTCACCGTCACCGCATTCCTCACACATCTTGGAATAGTCGCAATCATCGCAGGTGTAGTGAACTGGATGATTAGGTTTCTTGCATTCCTTACAGTTGGGCTTGTTAATGGTGTTTCTAATCAGTACTCTGATGCCTGGATCGTCCATCTTGACGTTAATCTTCTCGTAAAACATAAGATTGACAGTGGTCGTTGTTCCCATATCATAGTCCATCGAGACTGTCCCACCGAGATCGACACACTCTGAGATCGCAACGTCCTTCTCATCTGGCTCCTCATTGCCACCGTAGATATCTTTAAACTCACCGACCCCATTTTTCAGACCTTCCCAAGTGGTCATGTGACCGCAACACTCTAGCCATATGTCCTTGAGAAACTCTTCAACTTCATAGACTGGCGTATCGCAAGGTATCAGCACATTCATCCAGTATTCAGTGGCTACACGATCACCGAAAACAATGGCAACGAATGCTTCTGTTGCAGTTCCACCCTTTACATTTAGTTTCTGTTTGATCTGAGGACACTTCTGACAATGCTGTGCTGCTTCTTTCGGAATGATTCCAGTGACAGAACATCCTTCACATTTTCCCTTATTTGTCTTTGCCATAATTATATATAATTATTTTATTCTTAAAAAAAAAAAAAAAAACTATTTAATAAATGAACAAATTATAAAGATAAACTTTAAAATTTACAAAAACAAATTTGTAAAGTGTTATAACATTGTTATGTTCCACTCCAAATTGGAAATTCAAGTACAACTAAATTAGGTGAAAAGATTTTTAAAATAACCCACACCCCAAAAACATCGAACATTATACCAAAAAAATAAAAAAAAGTACAATAATAATGAGTAATAATAATAATTTAAATATATTTTTAAATTTCCCACATGTTTTATTATCAAATATTGTTAATAACCTTTCAGATAATATAGATAAAATATGTTTCACTTTAGTTTGTAAAAGATGGTTCAATGATAGAGATAAATATTTAAAGTTCAACAATGTTCGTTTATACAGCTCAATGAAACCACATATCTTTTTGAATTCATATCGATCTTTGCTATTCGATGCGATTGAACAAAAAAGAAAATTTACTCTATCTTTAGGTGAAGATAGTGAAGATAAACCTTATGATTTCATCATAACAAATATAGGTAACTAAAGTAACTTTATATTATATTATTTACACAATTACTATTATTATCGATAAATTAGTAGGAGTAGTAGCTAACTATTATTATATTATTATTATTATTATTATTATTATTATTATTATTATTATTATTATTTTATGTTTTATAAAGATAATATCAATACTATAGATAAATCAAAGAACTATAAGATAACTATAAATCAAGATGATATGTCATTTCTAGCTACTACTTTCAATGTAGTAAAGTTATTGAAATGTAGAACATTAAAGTTTCCGTTGCCAATGAGTCTGACATCGATTGAGTTTACAGGACGTTTTGATGAACCGCTATTCCAAGGATGTTTTCCACCGACAATTAGATCGTTAGAGTTTGGAGACAGATTCAATCAACCAATAGAACCGGGTGTACTACCGACCACATTGGAGAAGCTTTCACTCGGTTTCGAATTCAATAATCGTTTGAAGAAAGGTTCACTACCAGAGTCTCTAAGGTATATTCGACTGATCAGTCTATACTCTCAGCATTTCGCAGCTGGAGTACTACCATCAGCTCTTGAAGTACTGCATCTTAATCATGCCTATTCTACATTCGAAGGAGAGCTACCTCAGACGCTACACACGCTAACTGGTGTCACACAAGATCTATTGGAAACGATAGTACGACCACTTGTAAATCTAAAGAGATTGACTCTGTGCAATCCAGACATGGAAATCTTTAATAAGATAGATCTAAGTCAACTTCCACCGAACCTCAACCGGCTGAAACTCTACACGCGATCAACACTGGTATCGGCAATGCCAACATCTATCAATCATTTGGATCTTGGTGATTCCCAGTATCAAATCGATGAGATCTTTCCGGATCGATCGCAATACCAATTCGAAAAGTTAACTGTCTGCGGTTTCAAACCGAAGGAATCACTCGAAGGTTTGAAGATCCGGAAGCTGGTGTTTACATTCATGTATATTCATAAGAATGGAGGGATCATGAGAGAGATTCCATTCGGTGTGGAGGAATTAAAGTTAGGTTATACCGATAGAAATAAAGTTGGCGACGACACCATACCGAGCTCTGTCAGAGTGTTGGATATCAATAGCCTGGTATGTCTACGATCTCCAATCATACCGGAATCAATTGAACATCTAACGGTTAGATCTCTCAATCCAAGCGATAGACTGTGTTCATGTTTCACTTCACTTCGAAGTGTCTCTCTGCCATCAGCATCACAAATCACAAACAGAATTGTCACTACAACCAAATTCAATTTAGAAAGCGAGGCTATACAATATACACTTCGAAAGCTAGATGATCAATATTTCATTGGATTTGGTCCTCATCATGGCATATTTAACGTAGGAATACTTGCGAACTCATTGTTTAATCATTCCCTTGATCTAAATAAGGAGAATTGTAAAATAATCAATTTAAATTATATTTAATAAAATAAATTTAATTTTTAATTCTTTGATTAATCAACACTTGTGTTTGTTAAGAATTAATATAAATTAAAAAAGTCAAATCAAATCTCTATTGAAATTTCATTATAATATTCTTAAAATAAAATAAATCTATAAATATAAAAGACTGAGATGTCAGTTAATGTGTTTCAATCAAAGGTATGATAATGTCACCCCCTTCCTCAAACCCAAAAAAGTTATAACGACAGATTCTTTATTCTATGGAAATTGTTTCATTCAATTTATTATATTTAATGTTGTTTTTTTTTTAAAAAGAAAGTTCAATTGAACATTCATTCGAATCATCCTTTCGTTGTGTATATGTGTGTTAGTGTGTTGTGTGTGTTTGTGTTTAATTGTCAGTTTTTTATAATAATAATAATAAAAAAAACAAATAAATAAAAAAAATGGATAATGAAAACCAACCACCTATCATTCCATCAGCCAATGAAAAAATAAATAAAAAATTGTGTGGTATTTCTATTGGCAAATATTTGTATCATCACGAGTTTTTTCAAAAAGTATAAAAATAATTAACTGGCTATCCAAAGGAACTGAACTGATGATAGGTGTGGTCATTTTGTGATGGTTGTTGGTAGATACAAAACTATTAAAAAAAAAAAAAAAGGTGGGTGTATTGGTTATTATTTGCAAGTGTTTGGATGGCAACAACAACATCATACATTTCATCTAATATCTACTCGAACACTACAGCCATATATATAAAAATAGGTCATTCGTTCATCTTCCTTTTTATCTTTCCAAATTAAAAAAAAAAAAAAACAAGTATAAATAACAACCATCTAGATTCCATTTTTTCATAATAATATATATATATTCAATTTTCAAACACATATTACTACTTTGTAATTTTGTAACAAATAATCATAATCAAAATATATTTTATATAAAAATTATAATTTTAATTATCTGTTCTCATTTTTTTATTTTACATCATTAAAATTATCAACATCATCATCAACTTTTTTCGCGCAAAATATATTATTAATTATATAATTATAAATTAAATAGTTTTCAATTATTTTTCTTAAAATCATGAATAGATATATAAATATTTTATTGTTAATATTTGGATTGATTGCAATCTCCAATGCACTGTTATTCAGTGAAGAGCAATATAAAAATGAATTCGAAAACTGGATTGACCGTTTCGAAAAGAAATACGATGTCTCTGAGTTTAAAAAGAGATTCTCGATTTTCAAGAGCAACATGGATTTCGTACACTCCTGGAACTCAAAGAACTCACAGACCGTTCTTGGTTTGAACCATTTGGCTGATCTTACCAATCTCGAATACCGTCAATTTTACTTGGGAACTCACAAGAAGGCTGTCTTGGGTACTCCAGGTAACCACGAAGTTTCCAACTTACAATCGGTCTTTGGTGATTCCGCAACTGTAGATTGGAGACAAAAAGGTGCTGTTTCTCCCATTAAGGATCAAGGTCAAGTAAGTATTAAAACAAAGATTAATAATAATAATAACAATTAAACTAATCATTTAACAAACAATTTTTTTTTCAGTGTGGATCTTGTTGGTCATTCTCAACTACTGGATCGGTAGAAGGTGCTCACCAAATTAAGTCTGGAAATATGGTTGAGTTGTCCGAGCAAAATTTGGTTGATTGTTCAACTAGTGAGGGTAATATGGGTTGCAATGGTGGTTTGATGGATTACGCCTTCGAGTATATCATCACAAACAATGGTATCGACACTGAGTCATCGTATCCATACACTGCCAGCAGCGGTACCACCTGTAAATACAACAAAGCCAATAGCGGTGCCACCATTTCATCGTACAAGAACATCACTGCCGGTTCCGAGTCGGATTTGGCCGATGCCGTTAAGAATGCCGGTCCAGTCTCTGTTGCTGTATGTTTATTGAAATTCTAACTTTTAAAAAAGAACTAACTAACAAAACATTTATAGATTGATGCCTCCCACAACTCATTCCAACTCTACTCACACGGTATCTACTACGATGCCAGTTGCTCGTCGGTCAACCTCGATCACGGTGTCTTGGTAGTCGGATACGGTAGCGGAACACCAGACTCTGACTCTAGAGTCCACAAAGGTTCACAAGTTCGTGTTAAAGTTCCAAAGACCGATGACACCAAAAACTATTGGATCGTCAAGAATTCCTGGGGAACTTCATGGGGTGACAAAGGTTTCATTTACATGTCAAAGGATAGAGATAACAATTGCGGTATTGGTAAGTTAATCAAACAATATTATAGCAAAAAAATAACATTTTCAATAATCTAACTTTTTCTTTCTTTCTTTCTTTTATTTTATCAATATTCACAGCTTCATGTGCTTCATACCCAATTGTTTAAAATGATAATGATAATATAATAATAACAAATTAGTTATATATTTATTTATTATTTAATTAATTAACGATCTTAAGATAATATAAAATATATATTCCTTTTTAAATAAATAGAAATAAATAAATCAACTTTCACTCCTAAAAAATTTTGATCATTTTTTTATTTTTTATTTTTTTTTATTTAATTTTTTTTTTTAAAAACGTAACGAAAACAATTTTTTTTTTTATTTAATTTATTTATTTATTTTTAATATATATATTTATATAAATATTGTATATATATATATAGTTAGAAAATGAAGAGATTAGCAGATTCAATTAATTTCAATGATAGAGAAGAATCAGAGAATAAAAATAAAAAGAGAGTGACTAAAATAAAGTCGGCTGCTCAGTTGCAAGAGGAGATCATTGGAAAGGATGTACAGAAAGTAGTAGAGAAGAAAGATAATACATTGAATGTTCAGTTGTTACGTTCGATAATGGATTCATACTTGTCGGACGGTGCTAACAGTGAATTGATCACTACATACATTCCAGACATCGTCGCATTGCTCCACCAACAAGATTGCTTAGAGTCAATCATTGCCGATCACTCACAGGACAAGTTGATCCAACAATGGGTCACTCGTGTCTCGACAATGGTGAAGGTAGGACACGGTCGTCTTACACTGGCCCTCTACTTATTGCTCGAGACAATCAGAGTTTGTGACTACGACCTAATGCTACAACATACAGATCAATGGATACGTATTCTCACTGGATTATCAACTCCATCCACCAACAATAACAACAATAAATCATCCGATTCAACATTAAATTCACGTGATTATATCACTTCGATTATGGCACTTTCACTGCTTGTAGAGAAAGCTTCGAAATGGAATGATCTTCGTCGTGCCATCGTTGTAAATGCTACACTCCAACAAATATTCACAACCATTACACTTTCATTATCATCACAACAACAAACTCAACAATCTTTTGACAATCAACAATCTAAAATCAGTAGTCTCATTGCTCTAAAGACATTGTTTGTTTCTTTGACCAGTTCAATGCGTCCTTACTTAGCACGTACAGAATCGATTGCCTATCCACTGCTTTTGAAGCCAGATCCAAAGATTCAAGAGTGTGCAGCTTCTCTCATCGGTTCGTTGTCGTTATCAGTCAGTTTGGCCAGTTCCGATCTCTATTGGGATGTAGCGGTCCAACGTCTTATTATAGAGCTACACCATCACGTATCGATATTCTATCAAGGTGTAGAGGAAAACTCGAAACAACAACAACAATCCGAAGACTATCCCAAAACAGTAGTTATGCCAGCATCCAATAAGATCGGAGCTGGTGAAGATGCAATCCTCACACAACTCAACCATCTTGCCAACGTCGAACTTCCAAAGCTTCCAAACTCTGCAAACAATCTATTCCACACCCAACAACGTCTACAAGCATTCAACGGACTTATCAACTGTCTCATCTCCATACTCACATCCACAACACAATCAGCATGTTCCATTCCAATCGATCCAATCATCAAATTGATTTGTCGTATCTTAAACACTGGATTCACACAAATTAGATCAAGATTAGAATATTCAGTATGTATATTAATATTTATGTGTATATACACTTAAACTAACAAACACTTCTAAATCATAATAATAGGATATTGTTTATGCACAATTAGTTGCAGTAATAGGTCATTTACATCAATATAGTTATCAATTGATATCGGTGATGTCTCAGTGTTTTAGAAAGGCATTGCTACCATACTCTAAAACTATTTCATCGTTATTGTTGCGTCCATTGAGAATGAGAGAATCCTATTCGAATTCACAAATTCAATTGCAAGTTTACCAGTGTATCTTGGATGTGATCGAGTCTTTGGGATCTTCGTGTACCGAGTATCTGGTAGTTCCTTTGGTACCAATGTTAATTAAAGACGTTCAACCATTCATCCCAGAACAACAGGTCAATTCAACCCCATTAGCAACCAACGGAAAGAAAAAGAATGGAAACAATAACAACAACAAATAACAACTCCAAACATTTCAAACAACAGTACATCCAACACATCGACCATCGATAACGTTGACTCTACTCATCTCCACAACCCAATTGCCAACGAGATTAGAACCATTGCACTACAGGTAGCCAGTAAAGTTTTACTCTATTGTGGTAGTTGTTTATCAATCTTGAGCAGTAGCAATAACAATAGCAATAACAATAGTAATAGTAATAATGGTAATATTCTAAGATTTGAATTGGATCAAACAGTATTGTCTTTACTCTTGAAGTGTCAACAGTTACAACAAACAAAGAGACAGTCTGCCGTCTATCAAGATTCCAGTTACTCTGACTACAAGTACCGTGCTGCACTTTACAGTTGCTTGAGTGCCAGTGTCTTGCGTCCTATCGGATCATTACCACCCGTTCTTCCCTACGCTCTGAGACTGCTCACCATTGGAATGAACGATGAACATCCCAAAGTCAGATCGAAATGCTCCAAAGGATTGGCCATCTCGCAATCATTGATTCATCCACAAGTACCAAACTTACAGGCTCCACCAATGACCAGCATCTCTTTGTCACAATTATCAGGTGGTAGTGGTTCCTCTACAACAAACGGTCATTCTCTCTCCGGTGTCAACCAACAAGATGATTTCATGAAGACATTCCAACAGATTGAATCATCAAACTATCAACAGCAAATGAATGAGATTAATAATAACGATGATGATGATGAAGAAGAAGAAGAAGAAGAGGGATCAAAAGATAAATTAGATATTTCATTGAATGATCTATCAGATGAAGAAGATGACGACAACAAAGAAGATCAAGATAATGTGGAGGATGATGATGATGAAGAAGAAGAGGAAGATGATGATGATGACAATACAACAAAAACCAAAACAACTACTACCAATTTAATGAGCAATATGAAAACCAATTTATTCGATCAATCTTTATTCAACAAACCAGTATTATCAACAAAAGAATCAAGTAACAATACAACAAAATCATCGACAACAACCACATTAATATCAAAGAAACAAGAAGATGACCTAGAAGATGATGAAGATGAAGACCTACCAGATTTAGTAGATGAACCACCCTCATCTGAAGAAGACGATCAATAATTTAATACCAACAAAAAATAACAAAACCAAAGATAAATAAATTTAAACTAATCATTAGAACATATAAACAAACTAATATACATTTAAAATAGTCATTCTAGATTAAAATTACAAATAGATTAGAATAATCATTAATGTTTTAAGAAATGTTTAATAATAGTTTAATTGATTAATGATTCTATTTCTATTGACCATTGGTTGATGAAAATTACAATTGTTTTTCATTTAAAAATAAAAAAAAAATTAATTCAAATTGATTATTTATTTAAAATCTAGATATATTGTTGTTGTTGTATTGGTACTATAATAACATACAATAGTATAAGCAAATCAATTGGTTAGAAAGTATAAGGATAGTGGTGTGTTTGTATACTATTGATTTATAAAAATTAAATCTTATTAAATAGTGTGTGAGTTGGAGATTGTTTGATTTTTTTTTGTTTTGATAAATCTTTTTAAAATTATTTGGGTCAATCAATAACTATTGCTTAAAAGAGATAAAAGAATTGTAAATGTTTGTATTGTTTGTATTGAAAAAAATTCATTTATCTTGATAATTGGTGCATATCTTTGGTTTGGTATACCTACCATGATATCGACTTAATCAATTATCTTGTTTTATCTTTTGGTAAAATACCCTATTGCCTAAATTCTGTCTTTTTTATTGGCAAACTTTACTTTTACATCATTTACTTACAAACTAGTACAAAATTCATGAGGCAAATATAAATGATTAATAACAAGATCCCATTTTATAATACATTCCATTTCAAAATACTTTCTTATACCATTTCGAAACAATTTTAAAATAAAAAAGTAATCTAGTATTTAGGTAATAAATATAAAAAAAAAAATAGATATCTGTTTGTTTTATTATAATTGGTTTTTTGGAACAGAACAGAAATGTTTAGTTTAAAACAACTTTTATTATTATTATTTAATGTATATTTATTGAATAGCAGTTTCTGTAGAGCTCTGAGTAATAGTCAAAATATCGATTATCATTCGATTGATTATGCCAGACCGTTCCTAGAGGAATATATTAAAACATTAAATAGTTTGGCAAATGGATACAAAGGTGAAATTTACACTGAATTTCTGGAGAACAATCACAAATGTATTCACGACCATATTAAGCATCAACATAGTAATGATCTTTTAAATATTAATGGACAGTTTGATATTTCCAATAAGAATAAAGAGGGTCAGTTTAATAAAAGAGATACTATGTCTGTAAATGTCAGAAAGCAACCAATTGTCACTACTCATCCAATAAGAATAATGTTCAATACAACCTATCTTTCTCCAAATACCGAAAAATCGACATGTAAATTCGTAGGACAAAAAGTAAGAATCAACTTTAGTAACACTATGGTTACCTGTCGTCCACAAGATATTCTGACAAACGAGCTGATCGCTCTCATTACCAACATTGTTTTGCCATTCATCTCTAGTACTTTTGAGAATTTCCTAACAGTGACTGGTCCACTCTATTATCCTGAACAACCATTCCTTCAGACTGCTTTTTGTGGACGTGAATTATTTACAATCGACGTGAGTAATGGTTTCAATGCAGACTATATGATGTATGTCACAGCACATCCCATTGGAGTAGCCAGTGTCAATGCCTATGCTACCGCATGTCTATTGGACCAAGGAAACAACCGACCATATGCAGGTCACATCAATATCAATCCAGAAGTATTCTCAGCGTTTGCCAATCTACAATATCAAAGAACACACCAAACCAAATGGCAACTGTTTTTAAGAGCTAGTCTTCATGAAGCTATTCATGCTCTCGGTTTCAGTGATGATCTCTTCAAGTATTTCATCGATAGAAGAACTGGACGTACATACAACACGAATATCAACCCTATGACTTTGGCTAGAGGTGCTGCTCCATCTGGCTCATCATACAAAGTTCAACGATCATTTCTTGCGACACCCAATGTTTTAGAGATTGTTAGAACTCATTTTGATTGTGATAAGATGCCTGGTGCAGAATTGGAGAACAACGGTGGTGATGGAACAAGAAACAGTCATTGGAAAGCAACCATCTTCAATACAGAGTTAATGATCGGCTATGGACAAGCAGTTGCTCCTCTTTCCAATCTTACTTTGGCATTACTCTATGATTCAGGATGGTATGGTTTAATCAATTTAGATCAAGCTGAACCACTTCGCTTTGGAAGAGCTAAAGGATGTTCATTTGCGTTAGATTCGTGCGGACCCTCCAACTGGAACTACCCAGGTTATTGGACAGACATAAACAACCAACGTGCATGTACACCAACAAGAGATGCTGTCGGTGTAGCATCTTGGGCTACCTATCAACAAGCACTACCAAGTCATCAACAACACTGGCGAGAGAAGAACGTTGGAAGTCAGAGAGGAGATACCTTTGACTATTGTTTATTTAGCTCAGTCTACGACAACTTGGATTCCACATACTATTGCTTTGATACCAATACAAAACCAATGTCTGCTGGCGAGGTATTTGGTAAGGACAGTGCTTGTATTCTACATTTCGAGGGTCAGTCTTCAAAAGATAAATTGATACCTGCATGTCGTGTTCAAAGATGTATTGGTACAACATTGGAGGTACAAGTCAATGAAAAATGGTACAAGTGTCCACCAGGTGAGAAAGTCCGAGCAGGAGATATCATATTGATGTGTCCAGATGCAACCGATCAACATTGCGTACCTCTGAGATTCTCCGATACGCCATCGAATCACTCTGCAAAGAAAGCAGATAATCGGGGACTCTCGATCGACACTGAAATTAATCTCGGAATCGATGGTTCTTTCGAACCTCTGAATAACATTAACAACCTAATAAGTTTAGACAAAGTTCTATTGACTCCTTCATCATCGAGTGCGAATCGATCACAAATAATCATCCCGTTAGATATTATCATTTTGATAAGTTTCATGGTTTTCTTGTTATGAATAAAGTAAATTTTATAAAAAAATAATAATAGATTTAGTGTTTTTTGTTTTTGTTTTTTAAACAACGGTTTGTTTCATTGAAAGCCCCAAAACGTAGAGTCTTGCTCAACCGATTTGAATTTTTTTTTTTTTTCCTATGAAAAAAAAAAATGATGAATAATTTTCGGGGGTTACAACTCTTCACCATGGTTGCCCCGAAAAGTTTTTTTTTTGTGGATATAAATAATGAAATTGCAAAGACATTTGATCCCTCTTAAAAATAACTTGAAAAAAAACAATAAGGGTTTTAAACCTGTTTGTTTCAGAGCCAGTCTATTTTTTTTGTTGTTTTTTGATTTTTGCAGGTTCAAAACCTTGATATTTTTAATCATGATGGTTTATCCCCCCATTAGGTCATTAATATCCGTTCTTGATAAAGAGCGCTCTAAATGAAAGATTGAGTGAATAGTAATTTGTATTTATTTTTGTTCTAAATATTTATTTTAATTTATTTTTTTTCAAATTATTTATTATTATTTTGTGTCACCTGATATTAAAGAAGGTTCTGAGGTTTGTTTATTAATCACAGATACAAAGAGATATCAGATCAACAATAACTATCATTATTTGTGTAATTAGAGTTCCTCATTGATAGAATCGCCCATTTGTTGAATACCATTCGATATTTTTTAACTTTCTTGAAAACCAGCAATTAAAAAATATTTCTGGATATTTTTCTTTTTCATAACAATTTCACAATTATTTAAATCCACCGCGATACATACATCTAAGATTTATTTATTATCATATTTATCACACAATTGTTATTATCTGTTTAATTTATTTATTTATTTAAACAGTGATATTGGGAATGAAGACAAATCAATCCATATCATTGTTTCTCGCAATCATTGGATGGTGTATAGTCTCTACTTATGCACAAACCTACAATCCACAAAATGGACATTACTATATGTGGCAAGCTATTGGAGCTCCAACAGATATGAATAAAACTATAAACTATATTAACAATAATATTGCGCAATTTAAAGGATTAAAACCGTATGTATGCATTATATTAATTAAATTTAATAAAATTATTATAAAAAACTTATAACTAACTTTTTTATAATGTAAATTTAAAAGTTATTTGGCTGTTATTAATACTCCAGAAGAAATGGAGTTTATCTCAACCACAATGAGAACCAAAACCCAATCACCTACTCAAAAACTCATTGTATCAGGTTGGAGATTGTCTGGTGAGACATTCGTTTACAACTCTGGTGTTGAGGTTGGTGATAAAATCTATTCTGGTGCTCTTGGCCGTTGCTACACTGTTTGCCAATGGTCTCAAGGATATCCATCGACCTCCGCCGATAAAACTCTCCTTGCTTTGAACAATGTCAACAATCGTTATGAATTCTCCAATGAGGCATTTGGTCAAAACAATCTGTACCTCTTGGAATATGGTGGACTGACCGAACCATACTTCCCACCACCAACTACAATGGGTGGTAATGTAAATATTAAAAATATGATTACAAGTGAAGCCGGTGTCAAATGGAATATGACTTCGAATGCACTCCTTGTAACAGTTTCCAGTGCTTCAGATACCTACAATGCCACTATTACCGCCACTCTTACCAGCTCGATCACTGTAGTGATCAAACAAGGAATTGAAGCCTTCAATGTTACCATCAGAGATTTGACTGGTACAAGAACCTTTACTGGAACATTCCATTACCAAGTTCCATTTATCCAAACCGTCTACTCTTACTCTCAAATTGCAGGATCCATCATTACCTTGTACGGATCCAATTTCGACAACCCAGATACAGGTGTCTCTGCTATCAGTGTTGCAACCGGTACACAAAGAACCCCATGTACCTCTGCCACTGTATTGATTCCTTACACTGCAATAACATGTGTTCTGGGTGCCACCTCTGATGGAAACACAGTTACTATGTTCCCACTTACTGTATATAGTGGTGGTTCGAATTTTGTATACAACACAAGTCGTATTCCATTTTGTAAGTAACTTTAAAGTTATTAAATTAATCTATTAAATTAACTCTTGATAATTTTCAATTAGATGATCCATCAACATTAAGAGTAATCAGAATTGCTGATGTTAAACTTCCAGATGAATTCCCAATCGTTCAATCAATGATTTCCAGTAGCAAGGCCACCACAGTTGATGGAAATGTTGCATACCATGGTGTTGTAACTTCTGCCACCCAAGCCAAACAAATTTCCAATATTTTCAATTTTGTTGTTGGTGGTGTGTCTACTACAGTTTTCCAAGGTCTCACACTCAGTGGTTCGAATATGGTCATCAATAATCTTGGTGGTCCAAACAATGGTGTTCCAGTATTCACTATTGCCAACGGTGCATGTAACTCCAACTATGTATATTGTGGTGCTGGTGGTGTAAGAATCAACTATTCCACAGCATACGTTTTATTCTTCCAAAACACAACAGCCAACCTCCCAGATATTCGTAGTGTCTCCTGGGACAAGGCTGGTGAGATGGTTTTCTACGGTCTTGATCCTGTCCAATTGGCTCCAGTCAGCTATTTGCTTGATACCACAGGAGGAGCGATTAAACTCATCAATGGTGGATCCAATGGTTTTGCGCTTTCCAACCGTACCATCACTTTCCAAGGTACCGTTTACGGTTCAGTCTACCAAGAAAATACTACTTCACTCAACATCCAAATTCCAGCTGGTACCGGTCTTAATAACCCATTGACTGTTACCATTGAAAACCAATTCACCCTTAAAAATGCAATTATCAATTTCAAACCACCAACCATTTCCAGTATCACACCAAAACTCACTTCTTTTGGTGGTAATGTAATTATTACCGGTACTCAATTCGGTCCAACTGCAACAAATGTTAGTGCTACTATTAAGATTGGAGTAAATACCTATCCATGTGCCAACATGCAAATTTACACTCCACACCAACAATTAATGTGTACCTTACCAAGTGGATCAGGTTCCAACTTGGTTTTCACTTTGAATGTAAATGGACAAACCACAACCTACCAGTACTCTTACAGTGAACCAGTTATCTCTTCCATTACTCAGAATGGAGAGCTAATTAATATTGTTGGAACTGGTTTCGGTTTTGACAACAACCAATTGACCACAATCCAAAACACTACTATCTTGACCATCACGGTTTCAGGAGATCCACAAACCATTGTTGCTCAATGTCCATCAAACATGATGAATGGTGGATTTACCATTGTTTCCAGTGGATTGCCAAGTACCCCCTATGACTTATACCTTAAACCAATTATTAAAGCTATCTCTCCAGCTCCATCCACCACAACTGTTACCCAAATCAATATCTCTGGTTCCTTCTTGAATACATTACGTGTCAATGGTACCAATGCTATCCTCAATGTAACCTACGATGGTATTTCAATTTCCTGCACATCGGGTATCGTTGCTGGTACTAGTTTGTCTTGTCAACTTCCACCAATCACTGGTTATCACACTTTGGTTGTAAATTCCGACAATGTTGCTTCAGATCCATTCACTTTCAGTGCCGCAACACCAACCATTCAAAGTGTTTCACAAGATAAATCATCGATCACTGTAGTTGGTACCAATTATGGAAATGATAAATCCAAAGTATCACTCAACTATGGAGGTAACACCATCTCTGCTGATAGTGTCACCGGTGGTAACACTATTATTGCTACTCTTCCTGATTATCAAACCAATGGATTTATTTCAGTGATTATCGATAACGTTGAATCTACAAGACAAATCTTTAAATTGTCTCCAGTCATTACATCAGTTTCCAGCACCAATACTACTGGTGGTCCCATTATAATTACCGGTTTATTCTTTAATCAAGTGAATTCCTCTGGTATCGCATTACCATATTCCGTTAGTGTTTCCGGTACCCCATGTACCAATCTTGTTTTCTCTGTCAGTAACACTGAGATCCAATGTGTTGCTCCAAGAGGTGTAGGAACTGGTAATCAAATTCAAGTTACCATTGATTCAATGCCTGGTGTTAGTCTCTTCAATTACTACCCACCATATATCGCTTCAATCTCTCAAAATTTAGCAATTCCACAAATAACAATTACTGGTTTCAACTTTGGTCCAAACTCATTCAACCTTACTTTCTGTTCAGCTTGGTCACTAGGATCAACCGTCAATGATAACCAAATCATTTATAACGTACCCACCACCTCAAAGAATGATTATTTAACAATTGCCGTCAGTGGACAACAATCAAACTCCTACTACCTTCCACTCACTCCCATTGTAAGCAATATTGGAAATCCACCAACCCAGGGTGGAAGTGTTACAATTCTTGGTACTTTTATCACTGATAAGAGTTTTGCTGGTGTACCCCTTGATATTGCTGTTAATTTCGAAAATGGTCAATGTTTGAACCCTTCTTATGACCAATCGAATAATGATTTGGTATGTTCTGCTCCATCTGGAACTGGTATCAACAAGAAAGCAATCGTGACTATAGATAGCATGCCATCTGCCCCATTCACATTCTCATATATGGCACCTCAACTAACCGGATTCAGCCAAGTCGGTATGATTGGTACTATTGCTGGTGAACAGTTTGGTTCTAACTCCTCATTGATAACTGCATCGTTTGTATCATTGACCAACACCGCAACTAGAGTCCTCCCAATCGTTGGTAACACTGAATCCATTGAAGTGGATATCCTACCATTTGCTCTCAGTGGACAATTGACACTTCATGTCGACGGTCAAGATTCAAACTCTATTTCATACCTCCTTGCTCCAGTTCTCTATTCGGTTACATCTGCACCACTTTCCGGTGGTGTTATTACAGTTGCCGGTCATTTCTTAAATACAGTATCGAGCAATGGAACTGAAACTTTCCTTAGCATTACCTTGCAATCAAACATCCCATGCACCAATGTTGCCAAATTGGCAGATGACGACTTCTCATATCTCACATGTCTTCTCCCTCCAGGAAACAGTGAAAACGTATCGCTAACCGTAACTATTGATGGAATTTCCGCTAGTATTCCATTCAGTTATGGTGCACCAGTTATTTCCTCTATCTCTGTCGACGCCAACAATCAAATCAATATTACTGGTACCAATATGTTTGCCGATGGCTACAACACCGTTGTCAACTTCGGATCTGAAACATACACCACTTTCACCAATACCTCCAACAGTATTATCTTTACTGCACCAGCTGGTCAAGTCAATGATATTGTTTCTATAACCTTGAATGGACGTACCTCCAACGGTATCATGACTAGACTCTATCCAATCATCACAAGCGTAACAGGTTCAGCAACTGTTGGATCGAATGTTACTGTTACCGGTACTTTCCTTAACTCTTATCGTGGAGATCTCACCACAACCACATTCTCTGCAACTGTCGATGGTATGAATTGTCTTGTCTATCCAGACGACTCAAAGACCTCCAAGATCATTCAAGTTCCAGCAGGTACTGGTGCAGATCTTCCATTCACAATTATCATTGATGGTCGCTCTGCCACCACTGAATTCTCATTTGACGCACCAACTACCAACGGTACAATCACCCAAGACGGTTCACTCATAACCGTCTACGGTGGTAACTTTGGAACTGATCTCTCTGTTGTCAATCCACCAAATGGAATGACAGCTATCTCTGTAGTACAAGATACTTTGGTATTCCAATTACCGGACACCTATCAATCCGGTACCATTTCGTTTGAAATCGATGGACAACAAGCTATATTCTATTTGTACGTCACACCAATCATCACTGAATTCTCAACACAAGTTGCCACAGGTGGAGATATCGTAATCAAAGGTAAATACTTTAATACCAAACGTTCAGATAGATCTGATACAACCATAACTGTATACGTTGGTTCTGAAAGCTGTACATTCAAATCTGCTGCCGCCACTTCTGATTCCCTCACCTGTACTCTTGGTGCCAAGTCTATCTATCAAGGATTGGTAACCATCTCCATTGATTCTAAAGTAGGTATGCTCATGAACATTCGTTACAACTCATTGCCACCCGTTGTAAACTCTGCTTCGTCCAGTCATTTCCAAACACAAGAAACCGTTACCATCTATGGTTCCTACTTTGTCGAACCAGTCACTGCAACCATCGGTGGACAAGCTTGCTCCGGTGCATCACTTATCAATTCCAATCAATTGACTTGTACTTTCAACGGTAGCAACAGCGATAGTCAGGGTGCGCTCAACGTCACCGTCACCAACGACCAAATCACTGGATTCAACAGCTACGGTTTCCTCTACAACCAATTGGATTGCAACGGTCTCTGTGCCAACAATGGACAATGTACAAACGGTTACTGTATCTGTGCATCGGGTTACGCTGGACAACTTTGCAACATAGCAGTCAACACCACCGTTACACCAACTGTCAACCCATCGGATATTAACTACCCACTGTTCAACAATGTTACATTCAACTCTGGAATTGACAGTCTCGTAGAAGTAGACTCGAACCAAAATGTTATCAAGCAAATCGATCTCTCCGGTGCCGTATGGTCACAAATCTCTGCCAACAACTACAGCTCCACCGTCAACAATGTTGTTGTAAGCATCGTCACCTCCCAATACACCCAACAAACCACCGTTTACTTTGCCGGTGACAACATCCCAGTTTCACCAAGCACCGTCAAACACACCGTATCGATTAGTGGTTGGCAATTCGCAAACACAATCAACTCGCTCCAGATTGTCTACCAAGCGAATGCACCGGCTCTCTTTGACTACAATTGCGCACCGGCCTCGCCAACTATCACTGCCAACTTGAAAGCAGGACAATCGCCATCGTTCACCATTGATACTCCACTCGGTATTCTCTATACCCAATTCTCTGGTCGTGTTATCGTTGACAGCAAGATTGCAAGAATCACAAGTGCGTCGTTCACCACCACCGCCGAGAACAACTCTGTCAAATTCGCAATCCAAGTTCCAAACTTTGCTTCGCAACTTGTCTACGATCCAACATTTATCTCCTACATCAAACCAAACGTAATCATCGGATGCAACCCATCGAGCACAACCTCTTCAAATCCAATCACTACAGGTAGTACTGACGGCACAACCGGAACAATCTCAATCTCTACCAAACTTACACCAATTACAACCTTCTCAATGGTTGCTCTACTCTTCTTGATTACATTCCTATTAATATAGAATATATAAATGATTCTCATCAAATATTACCAAATAAACGTTTAAATATTTATTATTTATTTAACCAGAATAGTATAAATATATTCATTGAGAGTCGATTCAATTATAATAATAACAAAAAAAAAGATTAAATTTTCAAATCTAAAACTATTTCATTTTTTTAAAATTAGTTTTAGATATATGTTGCTTTTATTTAATTAAAAATGATTGAACAAATATATTAAAATCATAATATCTTTAATCAAATTTAAAGTAGTTTGTCTCATTTTTAAGATATTGTGTGTTTTTCTGGTCAAAAAAAGACCAAACAATTTATCTGTCTCCTTGAATTGATTCTTTAATATCAATTATAATATCTCTTGTTACAATTGTTCAGTTCTTTCGATTCCCCATTTTTTTTTTGGATTCTTTTTTTTTTATTTTTGAACAACCTCTTTAGAATCATATAAACGCGTTTTATTGTTTTAAATTCTTTGTTGTTATTATTTAAAAGAAAATAATAATGGATTATTTTGGTAATATAAATTAAAACGTAAAGTTCTCTAACTTTTTAAAAAAATAACTTTAAAGTTATAATTTATGTTTTTTTTTTTGTAGATCTATCTATTGATTTATCCTGGGAGTCACTTTTATTAAGTTTCTGAAACTTCTTAAAAAGGGGTGGAAGCAATGACATTTGGTGTCAATGTGTGATTTTTTAAAAAATTTAATTAAATTTTTATTTTTATTTCATTTTCCAAAACCACACAACATCTCTACGAAACATCTAAAAAAACATAAAAACAAAAAACTACACCCTATTTGAGTTCTATTCTATTGCAGACCACCATTTAACTATTTTCCTCATAGTCACAACTTAAAAAGAAACACACACACAACAAACACCACCCTTAAAAGTCAGAAACATATAACCCTTCAATTCAATTGTGTGTTTTATTGTACTTTTTGTTTTTTTTTTTTGCAACATCCAACACAAAAGTATTTATCTTTTTTTTTTTTTTATAAAATCTTTGGACCCTTACAAGAGTTCTTCTTTTTCTACAACTTTTAACTTTTAGAATTTTATTTATTTATTTTTTATTTATTTTTTTATTTAAAAAATCATCATTTAATTTTATGCTAAACAATAATATTACCTTAAACATCGTATTTGTATTAATTTCATTTGATTCTTTAATAGTATAGTACAACACAATTATATCAGATATTATAAATATATAATTCTTAAAACTTTTATTTATTTTATTATTATCCTTGATAAATCAAATAAATATCTATCTTTTTTCCTTTCTTAAAAAAGTAGTCAGAATATTTTTTTTCAGTTTTTTTTTTTCAGTTTTTTTCATTCATTTCAGTTCTGTTTAATCTTTGAAAAAAAGATATAAGTAGAAACAACACTTAAAAAAATGATGTCCATTGATGATGAAATTCTTTTGGGTTATTCCAAAAAGAGCAATAATACATCCAACAGTATCAACATAAATCATGGTAACAAAGATAATCATTTCTTATTTGATGATTTAGTTACACCAACAAATAGTTATAATAATAACAACAGTAATAACACTAGTAATAATTGGAATAGTAATAATAATAATGGACAAAACAATAGTTATCGTGGAAATAATAATAATATGAATACAAGTACCGGAATCAATGGTAGTGGTAATTTTTATGGCGGCGGTGGTGGAAGTAATTATGGTACACCAAATCATAGCTATTCAAATATGCAACAACAATTCGGAACACCTAATAACAGTATGTCAAATATGAATGGTAGTGGTAGTTATTATGGCGGTAGCTATAACAATCCACACCCATTCGGCACACCAAACACCACACCACAACAATTCAGTGCCAATAACACACCACTGAAAAACTCATCCACTCAACAATTCAATTTGGATGACGACGATGAATTCTTCAATGCCATCAGAAGCATCGATCGGGAATCGTCATCCTCAAAGCTTGGCGACTCTACTTCGCAATTGAATGACTCGACTGCATCGTACGCGTCACCATCTTCACCGCTCTCTGGCAGCACCAATGTTTTACCACAGCAACAGATGACACCTCGCCAACTACAAACATCACCACAAAGACAACCATCACCTTCAGAACAATCACCACTTTCACAATACAAAGAGAATCTATACGCCAGTTTCATAGAGACCGACCCAGCCAACCTGAAAGCCATGGGTGAGCTGGTCAAGGAAGATTCCGATACTTTTGTCCATGTCATTTCAGATAAAGATACACTTCAAGGTTTGACCATCAGATACAATTGTTCAATTGAAGAATTGAAACAATTAAACAAATTAGTTTCAAATACAATTCATGAAAGGTAAAGTAATTTGTAAAAAAAGCTCCACACAACAACAAAACTAACATAATTGGTTTAAATCTATAGATCAGTTTTAGTTATACCAAAAAAGAATAATCAAACACCACAACAAAAAGAAGATATTTTCAATAATAAGGATATGGAAGAGACAATGAGAAAGAGAGTGATTGGTAGATTTATGAAGATGACAGGTTGCTCAGACCAAGATCAAGCTGTCTTTTATTTAGAGAGATCTACATTTGATTTTTACAAGGCTGTACATGACTACCAAAAAGAAAGTAATATAGAAGTGGAATTCCCAAAGCCAGTTCCAACATCACCACTTAGAACAGTTCCACTCTCGATTTTGGCACAACAAGCATCACCAACCGTAACCGTTGCAGTTACCGGTACATCTCACTCTTCTTCTTCGCCACACGATATTCTCAATAACAGTGATGCACTGATCAACAGTTTTAAAGATCTCTATAAGAGTCCACCTAGAATAGATAATCACTCACATAGTCATCATCACAGTCATCACAGTCACCACAGCCATCACAACCACGGTCACCACCACCACAGTTATAATAGTCATCATAGTACTACCTCAAGTAACAAAGCTCCTTACTATTAATAAATAAAATCGAATAAGTTATTGTTTACTTTTTTTTTTTACTAATATATAAACAGGTGCCTGTTAAAGAAGGTCAATTACAATTTATTTATTTTTGGAATAGTTCAACTATAAAGTTTTCCTTTGAATATTGTAACTTTTGTAGACATGAAGTACTAAAACAGTTGAATATTTCATTTACATATTGTTCTTTTAGATTATTTGGCTTTACAATGACGAATGGGATCAATTTACTTCTAAAGATATCTTTCAGCACCAATCTAACCATATTATCTCTATCGAGCCAACTTGAACACACTGACACTGCGCTCAGCAATCTAAGACATCTCTTAAACATATACTTTGAGAAATCAATGAGCTCATTACCATCTTCTACAGTTTCATCTTTAACAACAGGTAAAATAAGTGTATCAACACTATGTGCCAATGTCATAAATAGCCTATTATATATATATTGTGAATTGTTAGTTATATATTTATCAATATTAATAAATGGAAATGTAATATATATATAATACATACTTATTAGATATAATTAATAAATCATTTGCATCCTCCAAATAAACTTGTATTTCTTCTATTGTATATTTTAAATTATTGGTTTGCTTCCTAGAGAATGGGTTCCATATGAATGTTGTATATTCCTCTACTTTTGGAATCACTAACTTTATAATGAGTTTAGGTATCAAATTGGCATCGGGATCATCATCATCTAATTTATGCTATAAAATTTAATTAATAATATATTTTGATTGTTTATAATAATGATCGACTTACATTTATCATTCCATAGTCAGATAGGTCAGTGTACCATTTCAATGTATCGAAATTGATGTTGTGCAATGGATTCCAATCTATGAGTTGAAGTCTTACGAATGGCGCGAAAAGTGCTGGTAATATATAAGAGACATGCACTTTCTTGTAGGAACTATTGTCTTTAATCTTCCAATGTTGAAATCTTTCTTTAATGTTACTAATATTACAATAATCTTCATCTACATCATCCAAAACACTCTTTAGTGATTCCTCTATCTTTTCTTTCTCTTCCCTATAGTGTGTTTCATCTTCATCATCAAACAATTCCTCTTCATCCGATAAATCTTCATAACTATAACTATTATTATTATTCTTACTATTATTATTATTATTACTACCATCAATCTCCATTGATTCTAATTCATTATCATTACCACCACTGTTATTATTATTATTATTATTTCTTTGTTGTTTTCTCTTTGATTGTACAAGTAACATTCTCTTTTCTCTTGATGAATTCTCGTAGTATGATCTGTCTCTACCAAATTCATCGACATCATTATTGTTGCTGTTTATTGCAGTGGTAGCATCTAATGGATCGTATTGAGCTTGTTGTTCGATGGTGTTTGCCAGATCTTTGATGTGGTCATTGATCTGCTTTCTCAGTGCATAGGCATGGTCTTTCTCCAAATCGATCAAACGATACTCGTACTCCTCGATCAACGGTATCTTCTCATCGAGACAACCCGTCATATTATTAATAAACGATTGAAACTCGTAGAGATAACCGAGTTGATCGTCATCGACATGCTGTTTCGACTCTATCTCCTTGATAGTCTCCTCGGCATCCAACAACGCATTCTCGACACGCTTCAATTCCGACCGATGATTAGAATGTACTTCATCCAGTGTTTCCAGTGCAACACTAATATCCTTGGTAATCGAATCGATAAAACTATAACCATTGCCATTGACGATATTAACAATCGATTGTTGTTGTTGAACTGGTGAAGATGAACTTCCACCCTGCAGCAATAAATCCTGTTGATGTTTTCTCTATTACATAACAAAACAATATATATATTAATATATATATGAATAGTTGATATTGAATAGTTTATATATATATTAAATACTTACTAATTGTGAATCTATTGTTATATTTTCTTTAATACCACCACCTTTTTTCATTAGATCGAATTGCCAACGTTGTAGTTCTTCGTCATCTTCCTCATCATAGTCATCATCATTGTTATTGATTAGTATATTCTTATTGCTATTATTATTTTTGTTACTACTGCTTGTGCCTGTTTCTATTGTATTTGTATAGTTATTTTCATCATTACCGAATCTTGAGGTTGCAGATTTACCAGGATCACCAAAATGTATTCTATTCTTATCTTTCTTTGATGTATTAATCACATCTTCTTCATCATCATCATCGTCATCCTCTTCATCATCTTTATCTTTCACTCTAGTATCTTTATTCTTATCTTTTCTAGCTGTTGATATAGTTGTTGATAATGGTATGAAATCATCTTGATTACTAATATTATTACTACTACTTGATGATTCTGATGTGGTAGCAGTGTCTTTACCTTCTCTCATTCTCTGTCTTTTCTCTCTTGCTGCTTTGATCTGTTCGAATGTCGGTAACTGCGATGATGATTGGTTGCCATTATACTCATCCTCTAAATCTATTATATTCTTTATTTCTATGTCTTGTTGATTCTCTTGTTGATTTCCAATGTTTGTTGTTCTTCTTATGGATGTATCTCTTCTGAGCAAATCAAGTTTCTCACTCGTGTATTCTCCTATTGGTGAACTGTGTGTTGCATTGACTGCCAAGTCTGAGGATGCTCTACTGAATTGACTTTTCTTTAGTGTCTGATTCTGTAGTGAGTATACTGATTGTTTGTTACCATCACTATTTGATCCACTATCATTACCATTATCATGTGAAGTATCTTCATCATCGCCAAAACTCAGTAATCTACTCTTTTTCTTTGTGGTCGTTGTCTGTTGTTTCTTCTTTGTTATTACTGTTGCACTCTTATTCTTTTCTATATTAGTACTATTACTATTATTATTTACATCATTTATATCGATATTCTTTGTACTACTTGTTATTGGTTCAATATTCATAGCACTACTATTATTATTGTCATTTTCTTTTTGTTGTTGTTGTTGTTGATTCTGTTCATTTTCATCCTGTTGATCATCTTCATCTCTTGTCTTTCTTCTTATTTGTTTTTTATTTCTACTTGACTGAAACAACATAGTAATATAAAATACCTATATAATATTATCTATCTATATAAATATAAATAATATTTTTAAAAAAAAATCTTGTTGCTGGATTGGTTTGTTTCATTAAAAACGACGAATGAAAAATATTGAAATTCCAACTTTTTATATTTTATTAAAATTTCCTAAATCTATTTGAAGCAGTTTCTCTTATTTAAGTTTCATTCATATAAATTAAAGACACTTTAAATTAAATCAAAATTTTTTTGAAATAGATTTGATCAACTTTTGTTGATATTGAATTTATTAATAACAAAATTTACATAGAACAACATTATTTAGAGATCGACATCGGCATGAACAAAGAGTGGAATACCAAGGATATTTCCAACGATAAGAACATGAACATCTGGATTATGACTGGCAACAGAGTTTGATGATTGACTTGAAGTGGCACCACTCAAACTATTGATTTGACTCTTACTGATAGAGTTGTTTTGAACTGATCCGAGTTTTGTTAATGAAGCTAATATATAAATAAATATTAGTTTCTGATAATTTAATAAACATTTAGATTTCAATATACTTACAAATTAAAGTCATTTTTAAGTTTTTAGTTTTTAAGTATTTGTTTGTTATTTTGATGTTTAAAAGATTGTGAAATCCTGGTTTAAATAGTTTCTTCTACTGTTAACAAAAAAATAAACCTTTTAAATTAAAATCTTTGAATATTTTAATAGATCCTTAATCTCTTTAAAAATAACCCCGATACTTTGAATTATATTCTACATCTTCTATTATTTAAAAGTTTCTCCTAATATCTTTCATTTTTTAAATATTCTATTCTCTTTTATAACAAACTATGTTCTAGATTAATCTTTTATTTAAATAATGACGTTTGATGATGATGAAGATGATGAATTAACACACTAACTAACAATAAATTCAATTGGTATGATAGATTAATCATCTTCAACTTTATCATTATCTTCATTTTTAATTTTGAAAGGATTTTTTATAGTTGATTTTATATTGAAACCCCATCACTCGATTTTCCTTTTTTGATCATATAATTCAAACACAAGATATAACCAATCAAAAAAAAAAAATAAAAATTTAAAAAATTTGTATATCAATTCATTTGAAACCCCTTATTTTAGTAATAAATTTAACATATTAAGAAGAGATTTTAAAACTTAGTTTTAAATAAATTCAAACAACTAAGGGGGTAATCTCAAAAAAGAAGATTTATTGTATGTATACTTAAAAAAAGATAAACTGAATAAAAAAATCATATACTTTAGAAATGTATAAATAGTTCAAACTTAATCAACAAAAATCAATACAATCAAATATTTAATTAATACAAAAACAATCAAATACTTAAAATAAAAATGACTTTAATTGGTATGTAGAGTGTACTATGTACAATAAAAAATAATTATTAAAAAGAATTTATCACAATACTAATTTTTTGTTTTCATATTTTTTAATGTTAGCTTCATTAACTAAACTCGGATCAGTTCAAAACAACTCTATCAGTAAGAGTCAAATCAATAGTTTGAGTGGTGCCACTTCAAGTCAATCATCAAACTCTGTTGCCAGTCATAATCCAGATGTTCATGTTCTTATCGTTGGAAGATATCCTTGGTATTCCACTCTTTGTTTCATGCCGATGTCGATCTCTAAACCGTGTATTCTATAATATACTTGTAAATTCTACCTAAATTAAAAATAGGTCAAACAATTTTTATATTAAAATTCATATATTTTCAACAAAGAAACCTTTTTTTTTTTTTTGATATCCATATATTCTAAAATAATTACTTAAAATAGTACTCTTAGTTTGATATTACATTCTATTATTATTTTGTTTTCTATTTCTTTGTTGATTATTTTTTGGTTGTAACCTATAGGTTACATTTTCTACTATCTTTTTTAATTGATTGAGAAGAAGATGAAACAAAAATTGTTGTCCCTTGATAGATAAAGAAAAAATAAAATATAATTTTGGGATGAACAAATGAATGAATGGGTGGATTGATTTATTGTTTATCTTGGTGGGGATGAGGAAGTTTTGGTGAGAGAAGCCTTTACATCGTAGTCGTCGGTTCGTCTTTCCTCTGATGATGCCCATTGAATAGTTTGTGATTCCGAGCTTAAAAGTGGTTCTGTTGTTGGTAAAGTCGATGACCCTGAAGAATCGAGTTTAATCTTCTTTTCGACTGGCTCCGATGTTCCGTTGTTCTCAGTAGTGGAACCTGGATTGATGATGTCTTTCAGACTGTTAGTGAGAGTGATGTTGCTGTTGTTGCCACTACTGCTATTGCTGTTGCTGTTACCACTGTTGCTGCCGCTGTTTGTAGTGTTACCGCCGCTACTACTATTGCTACTGTCTTTGGTTGCGGCTGAAGATGGTTTGCTTGTTGTGGAGGAGTCTACGGCAGCTGGATTGACAACACCTGCACTATTCTCCTGACTGTCATACGATGGTCTATCACGCGAGCGAGAACGAGATCTCGAACGCTTGTAACCGCTTTCGCGCTGTTCCGACGAAGGATAGCGGTCACTCGAGCGAGAGTAATAGTCGTCGCGATCGCGATAGTCGCCACGCGAGCGATCACGCGAATCTCTGTAGTCGTCGCGGTAATCGCGTCTGTCTCTGTCTCTGTTGTAGTCTCCTCTGTAGTCGCCTCTGTAGTCACCGTCACGTCTATCATCATCGCGATAGTCACGTCTACGATAGTTGCCTCTGCCTCTGTCGCGGTAGTCTCTCCTGTATCTAGGTGGACTTGGACTACGACTGGCAGCTCTCTCACCAAACAGTCGTACCGAAAGCTCCCTCGATGGATTATGAAGATGCATAAAGTTACAGAATCCACCTCTATCACACGTACCAAGATCAAACTGTCTACATCTCGATTCATTGAAATCTGTTACCGGTGAAAACTCTGCTACAATTGGACGACCTTTTGTAAATTACAAAAAAAAAAATAGTTTTAGTAGTTTGTCAATTAACAAAGTTTAAATAAAGAGATATATATATAACAACATACCATCATAGAATCTTCCTTTTAATCCTTCGATGGCAGCAGCAGCAGCATCTTCAGTTGAATATTTTACATAGAGATTACCAATGAGATGATCACCAAGATTGGCACATACATGAAGTAGTTCGATCTTGCCATACTTTGAGAGACCCTCATGAATGTCCTCGTAGAAATCATCGAAATGTTTTTGAATTTCCTCTTCAGAAGCAGGTATAGGTGGTTGTCCTGCAGGTCTCTTTAAATAAGGACTTTGATATATATTGGGTAAGATTATAGTTTGACTGACAATCGGTTTATTGTGTAATCTTGAACATCTATCACCATGTCTATAAATATTTAATAATAATAAAACATATTAATAATAATTAATAATAATATTTTTTTATTTTTATTTTTTTTAAACAACTTACCTGCATGCACCAATCTTTAGATAAAAAGGACAATTTTGTCTTTATAATCATAATAATTTATTTATTTATTATCATTGAATAATGTTATAATAATTTAAGTATATATTTAATAAAGTTAGTAGTAAAGTAAAAGTTAAGTTATGAATATAATAAATAAAGAAGTAAAAAAAAAAAAGGTTTTTAGTTTAGTTTTAATTAATTTTTTTTTTAAAGATAAAAAAAAAAAAAAAAAAAAAAAAAAAGAAAAGAAAAAGTTAGAATTTATTCTTTTGATTCTTTTGATTTATACCGGTATTTAAACATATTTTTATATCAGATGATGATATCTACAATCTGTATCACTATACTATAATATAGAGGAGAGAAGAGAGAGAGGAATAATGGAGAGTAGAGTAGAAAGCAGAGAGACAAGATCGCGATTGATTCTTCAAATTTGACAAAAACAAAATACAATCCCTGTTGTTGAAATGTGCGCTAGAGCTAAATGATAGTTTGAAAAGAGAGAGAGGACAGTAGAAAGAATATTGCAATTTTGAATTCCCTGTTGTTGTAATTTTTGTTTTTTTTTGGTTTTTGTTGTTGTTATTGTTTTTTTTAACTATATAAACCAACACTAACTAGATAGAAGTTAACTTAGGAATTAATATAATAATATACAATAGGTAGAAAGAGTCGTGTTGATATAGTACTATGTTTTTTTGTTAAGTTTGTTTTAATGTTTAGATGTGCACACATTTAAGCTAGCTAAAAATGATTGTAATTGTTTAGAAAGATGCTAACCTAACTAAAGCTAAAGCTGTAGCTAAGAGAATATAATAAAAGGGAATAGTAATAATGAAATATAATAGTTATTTCAACTGTTATTATAATGGAACAATCTTTATGCACAACACCATTAGATCTCGAGATCCTAATCAGTGTCGAATAATAATAATATTTGTACAAACTTTGTTTCATTGATATATAGTTTTCAAAAGCTAGTAGTAGATATTGATATTGTGTGTATTAAATAAATTGTATTGTTATTGATAAATAAAACCTACTGATCCTTTTCTGTACCAAACATAGCAGCTCTTCTCTCAGCCATTTTTTTGTTGTTGTTGTTGTTGTTGTTATTATGATATTTGTTATCTCTCTATTGTAAGTATAATTATTATTATTATTGATTGATTTATTGATTTTCTATGATATAATATAAAGAGATAAACCGAGATTAGATTACAATAATTAACAGGTGCGATTTGAAAAAAAATAAAATAATAAATGAATGAATTTTTTTTGTTTTGTTTTGTTTTTTTGAAATTTTGAAATTTTTTTCAAATTAATTAATTTAAAATTTTTTTTTTTTAAAATAGTTTGTTTTATTTTTTATTTTGCTATTGTAGAACGCCTGTTTACTTTTTTCAAAAACAAATAGATTTTTATTTGTTGATGAATCTCTCCAGTTAATTAAATAAACAATTTTCACGAATGAGTACTCAGATTGATTCAATTTTTCTTAATGAACTTTTTTTTTTTTTTCTGAACTTGAATAGGTTTAGAGCTTTAATTACTACCAAAAAAAAAAAAAAAAAAAGTTTTTTTTTTTTTTAATATAACTAATGTGGTATACATGTTTTATTTAAAGTGATTGAAAGGTAGCTTATAGCTACGAAAGAGGTATTTAAAATTGGAGAAGGAGGGTTGTACCGCTCAATTGAACGTTGTAATTTTGATTAATAATCCACCGGTTAACTTTCATGCTTGATTTATCCTTAAAAAGATGTATTTGATCCACGTCATACATTCTCCCATACCCTAAAAGAATTGTTGTATGAACTTTACCATTTCTAGATTCTATATCTAGTCATTCTAACTATTAAATTTCCATCGCCACATTCCACGATTTGATGGCTTTTATCTACGTTGACAAGGCGTATGATTAGCTGTTAAATCATTAAGGAGTGTGTCTATTCTCGATTGTTGTTCGCTGCTATATCCATTAAGTACTGGTATCTGTTCACTCTCACCCTACTAAGAGCGAATACCAATGTGAATAGTATGACATACTGATGGATACCATATCCTCTATCCCGTCTGAGGTGTAAATTTGTTATCATTTGCCAGCGTAGGTTCGAAAGATATCTCAGACCATAATATCGATCTCGCCAGAAGCATCAAACAATTTTACACCAATCTACATGATTCTCAGCACACTATAAGAACCACTTTTTTGTGTAGCGCAGTCACAAAAAAAAAAAAAAAAAAAAAAGTTGGACAAAAAAAACAAATAAAAAGGAGTGTAGTGATGGCGGAATCTGGGGATTGATAGAGACCAGACACGAGCAGGACCCTTTTGGAGAATTTTCTCCATGGATTCCTGCTCAGTCACAGTCAAGATCAAGGTATACGCAGTTTGGAATGACTAATTTCAGATGAATCTATTTCATGTAAATTTGTTATTATTATGATATAATATTTCGAAGTATCAGATTTCCATGCCACTAACAATTCCCGAAATAGAAATATTTGTTTTGAAAGATGAACGTTTGCAAATCTCCATCAGCACTTGATTATGGGATTTTTTTGGAACAAAAAACAAAAAAAAAAAAGATATAAATAAAAAATTGATTATAAAAAATAAAATCTTTAATATTTAAAATAAAATTAATTATAACAAAGATTTACATTTTTTCAACTTTTCAAGTTTTATTTAATATGAATATTGATGGTTATCAATTTAAGTGGATAAACAATGAACCTGTTAAATGGTCAGTTGAAAATCCAAATATAATTACAGTGATAACAGAGAATAACACTGATTTCTGGAAGGATACTTGGTATGGATTCAATAGATTCACTGGTCATGTATTCGGATGTAATGTATCAGAGATTATTAAACAACAGCAACAACAACAACGACAACAACAACAACAACAACAAGAGTGTAAATCAGAATCTTTAGAGGTTGACGATATATCATTCACTTTTCAGTTGAAAGTGAATGCAGAGTTTAGTTATCTCTATGATCAAGCGGGTGTCATTGTGATTGCGGATGAATCACATTGGATCAAAGCCGGCATTGAATATAATGATGATCATCCGTGTATGGGATCGGTCTTGACTCTTGGCAAATCGGATTGGGCAACTGCCATCTACCAAGGCAATGCCAAAGAGTATCACATGCGAATTACGATGATCAACAAATGTCTAAGAGTACAATACTCATCGGATGGTGGTAAGACATGGCCACTACTCAGACTATCGCCATTCGAAGTTGACTCTACCAACATCAGAGTAGGTCTTTACTGTTGCACTCCAGAAAGACAAGGTCTACAAGTTATCTTTTCAAATCTTCAACTATCAATACCTGCTTTTATCCAAGAATTTACATGACCTCTACCTAAAAAAAATGAATCATTAAAATCCTAATAAATTTTTTAAAAGAACTTTATTATTTTTCTTTGTTTGTTTGTTTCTTTCTTTTCCTTTTTTTTTCTTTTCAGAAATTTTATTATAAATGTTTGTGAATGTGATCGATCGAACTGTAATGATAAATAAGTTTATATAATATAGTATAATATTGGTTATTTTAATGATAGTTTCTTTACTTCTTCATATACAATGATGGAAATCATAGAGTAAGGAGCGGATGTAAGTAGTGATGGCACCAAACCTTTCCAGAGTGCTCTTACACCTTCTCGTTTGACAGTGTCCACCAGCACAGAGATGAAATGTGAACGTTTCAAGAACGACGATAGTGTTTTTGGTTGGTTGGCGGTTGCTTGATTGTGATTCTCGAATTGTGCGATCGATCCAGTTTGAAGACGTGTCTTGGCGACATCGAGAGGATTGGAAAGTGTCGTTGAGATGACGGCGGCAGTCAAACCCGCCAACATATGTACAATGGGATCTTCGTTTTCGACGAGATGCGAATCGTCCAGTTGTTCGGCCACCGCCAAGTGGTCAGAGTTTCGCGCGGGCAGTCCGAGTTTTCCACGAATATCGAGCTGGTGCAAGTAGTTTTTAGTGTTCTCGTAGGATCCCCACCAGACGGCGCTATACGGAACATTCCTCACGACGGTCGCGCCAAATCCACGATAAAGTCCACGAATGCCACGCTCCTCGTACGTCTGACGGAATATGCTCCACGCGCTCTTTGTCTCGCCGAGATGTCCTTGGATCTGACACTTTTGAGTGGTCACATCGAATGGCACCCAGATGACGAGATTCGAGAGTTCCGCTATACCTCCGGACAGGTAGCTACTTGCCGCGCCAAACTCGGAGCGATTCAAGTATTGCTTCGACTGTTCGTACACGCCAAAGTACACGATCTTTGACGAGAGATAACCGACCTCACTCGGAAGGAATCCCTTGTAGAATCCACGTAGTCCTTCGTATTTATATATATTCTTCATGCCATTGAAGGTGCCTGTATACACAGGGAATGTCTGTTTGATGATCGATGAGCCCTGCACTTGTAGACGTGTTCGGACAACGTCCAACGGATACATGAAACCGTCGATCGACGCACCAAACAACATATTATAGAAATAGTATTTCTTTGGATCTAAATCGTCCCATGTTATTTTCTGTGCATTTTTATATTTGTTTTGTTGACCACTATTACTATTGCTACTACTGTTACTGTTATCGTTGTTGTTGTTGTTATCTTGTTTACTACTATGTTTATTTACATTTATATCATGTTGGTGATGTTGTTCTTGTTGTTGATCATCTATATGTCTTGATACAGAAGACATTGTATTTGAAAAGACAGACAATCAATCAACTAACTCTACTCACTAATGCTATCTGTTAGCTAAAACTAACAAACTAGTTAATTCTTAAGAGTTCCTCGTTGATATATAGATAGAGATATATGTTTAGTTTTAAAGTTTATTATTAGTTTGTTTAAAAACCGATGAAATCATATGATTGTTTAAGAAAAAAAATAAAAAACACACACACCCACCAAAATAATTCGTAATTAATTAATTTTTCGTTTTATTTATTTCAAATCAAAATCAACAATAATCGTGATGTCATTATTTTTTTTAAAGATATGTAATCATAATGAATTTAGTTTTGAATAGACAGATTTTATATAGAATGATACACTTTACAATAAAAAGAGACTATCATTGATATTATTAATTATCAGAATTGAAAGCATAACGATACCATCCTCATTGATAGGTGATCATTTCTAAAATTAATTGAGTACTTATATCAATATAATTGTGTTGTTTGTTTTTGCAGTTGGATCAATAATTAGTTATCTGCATTTCTACATTTTATAATATTTATCAAAAGAACTTAATTAATCTTAATCTTTTTTAAAAAAACAAACAAAAAAATATATTGCACTCGGCTCGTAATATTGTCAAAAGAAGCAGTCGGACCAGATATACTCATTATCTTTCGTAACCGATTTGAAATAATCGTTCAACTGCCACAATTCAATCTGCAAACAACCGATACTATCAAATTTGATATCTATCGACCTTTTTTTTTTTTTTAAAGATATTAAAACTAATGTTCGAAACTTTGTGTAGATTCAGAAAAACTAAACATGTTGCATGCAGCACAAGAAAAAAACAGGTTTGAATACCAGGTTTGTTGAAAATCAATTTTACAAAAAAGATTTTTTTACTTTTTCCACCTTGACTACAAAACCAGGGTATATGAAAAAAAGATATGAAACTTTGACAAAAATTGGTACCAACTTTAAAGCTAAAAAAATATCATTCAGTTCATTCACAACAAATCCTGTTTATAACAATCAAAAATGTATAAAATAATAGTAGCCTGTTTATTTGTAGTTTTAGCCTCCTCCATCAACGCTCAATCATGCGATAGCACTGTTGGATACACAACCTCCTACGAACTCTCTGCATACAACATCATTCTTTCCAGCCAGGAGAAACAAGGTTCATCTTTCTTTGAAGGTAAAGATTAATTAATAAATTAATAATATTTATTATACTGATAAGATATTAATTATTAATAATGAATTTTATTTTTATTTTTAGTTGGTAATACTACAATTGATTTCCAAGGTCACAGATTCCAAAGTAATTATTTAATTGTTTCTAATGAAATCGGAAAATTCGAAGCTTCGATCTGGGGATTCGGTGCCACCAATGAACTTTTCATCTACTCCAATGGTCAGTGCTCTGTACACTCACTTGATGTTCCAATTCCAAGTGGATTCCCAATGGAACACTTGATTGGTACTACCTTGATTGGTCAATTCCCAGTCAATATCTACGCTACTGCCTTGAACACCACTGAAACAACCGCTCAAACCGTCCTCTACGACGTAAAGACTTGTTCGGTTGTATCTACCACCACACGTAACACTGACAAGACCAACCCAGGTTTTGCAATCTCCAACATGTTCAACTTTGTCAACACCTTCACTGAGTCTGCTTTTGTATTGCCATCGGCATGTACCTCTTCAATGAAGCCAGCTTTGCTCCACAAACAAAAGATTGTTTTGCCACACTTTTTAATTCAACAAATTTAAATAACTAATATAATATAAATAAAATAAAATAAATTAAATAAAATTTATTTTTAATCAAAACCAAACCATGTTTATTGTATTTTATTTATATTAAATTTAAATATATTAAAACAATAGTAAATTTTTAACTTTTACCTTTTTGAACACAAAATGTTATATTTATTTTTATTTCTGAAAAGCATTGAAAAAAAAAGATGAATTCAGAAACATATAAATATCGGAAATTTCTTTCATAATTATTAACTTTCAAAGAGTTACTTAAGTATAAATAAATTAGAATGATAGAAACTCAAGGTAGAGAATTTACAAATTTGAAGGATCTCTTAAAGATGCCACACCTAAGAAAAAACATTTAGGAGTAGGAAAAAAGTACTAATTTTATTTATTTTTTTTGAAAATAGGATGGACAATAAAAATCTGAGATTACATGTTATAAAAATAAAAATATCTAATTTTTTTGTTTTTTTGTAAACAATGTGTGTGGTTATAATTCAAATTAATGATTGACAATCATCAACAAACACAACTCAGTTTTCAAAATCACATCAGCTCGAGATAAAATTATTAAAACTCAAAATATATTTATATAGAATATTCTAAAATGTATAGAAATCTAATAGATCTAATAGATAATTAATTTTTAAAAAGAACCCAACATATAAAATGAGTCATACCTATTCGTATGGCAAAGATAAACATCAACCTGAACAACAAGTAGCAAACCAACCTCATGGTCATCCTCCACCACCACCTTTAGCTGCTGATAATAATAGGGACAGAGAATGGGATAGGGATAGAGATAGAGATAGAGATTATAGACAAGCTGCTGCAGCTGCACCTCCTCCAAATGACTATGCCTATCATAATCATAGTCATAATCATCAGCATCATAATCAACAATCACCACCACCACCACCATATAATCATCATTATAACAACCATCAATATGATCATCAATATCAACGTTGGGGTGATCACTATAATCAACAACATCATAGCTACTATTCACAACATCCACCAACAACTACAACAACAACAACAACAACAACAACTAATACACCACCTGCGGCAACTGCGGCACCTACATCTACAACACCTCCAATTCCAACACTAACATCAACAACAGTACAACAACAACAACAACCACCTCCACAACAAACACCAGGTCCTGATTCTACTACAAATACACCATTGAATACTAAACCATCGCCACCACCATCTTTAACATCTACGACACATTATCCACCAGCAGAATCACAACAACATAGCAATCCTCATGAAAGAGGTTACTCTGAGCACCACGATCATTATAATCAACAACCAAGGGATCCATATTATAGAGATTACCCGACGCAACAATCAACACACTACCAACAACAACAATACAGAGACTATGATCGAGAAGCATATTATCAACAACAATCATACAGAGACTATTACGATAGACAGAGAGAATACGACGATTATTATAATAGACAAAGATATAATGATCCCTATTATAACGACCATAGATATGGTCAACAACAACAACAACAACCACAACAACAACAACCACCACCTGAATCAACATCATCTACACACCCTCAAAATCCACCACTAGAAACTAAACCACCTGAAACAAGACCAACTGAACCACGACAACCTGAGACAAAACCACCCGAATCAAACCCGCCTGAATCTAGACCACCTGAAAATCATTATAATCAACAACAACCTCCTCCTCCTCCTCCTCATCAACATCATCATCATCCTGCAGATAATCGTGCATATGCATATCCACCAACTCAACAACAACAACCACAATATCATGATAATCGTGCTTATGACAGCTATTACAACTATTATTATCAACAACAACATCATCATTATCCACCACATTACGAAACAAATCGAAGATATGATTATTATCAACAGTACCCACCATATCATAACCACCACCACCAATATCCACCACCACCACAACAACAACAACAACAACATGAAAGACCAATCGACTATTATAATCAACCACCAGCAGATCCTTACTATGATAGCAGACAACAACCTTACCATCAAGATAACAGAAGGAGTCAGTACCGACCTGAAACTACACCATTGGAAGATAACAGAAGGAGTTACTATCGACCCGAAACTGCACCTTTTGAAGACAACAGAAGGAGTCACTATCGAACTGAAACTGCACCTTTTGAAGACAACAGAAAGAGTCAATATAGACATGAGATATCTGACAATCGAAAAAGCTATCATAGACCAGAGATTAATGATAGCGGCAGCAGCAGCATTACTACAACAACTGACAATCGTAGAAGTCATCACAGACCAGGGTATGCAAATGGTAGTTCGCATATGAATGGTGACAATCGAAAGAGTTATCATCGACAAGAGCCAACTACTACAACTGAAATAATACCCAATGGTATTAGCGATAACAGAAAGAGTCATCAAAGATCAGATAGTAATAGAAAGAGTTATCATAGACCAGAGCTGAGTAGTACAACAACCTCTACTTTGACCACTCGTGTAAATGGTAGTAGTGGTGGTAGTGACAACAGAAAGAGTCATCATCGACCTGACAATAATAATAGAAAGAGTTATCAAAGACCAGAGTTGAGTAGTAGTGTTGGTGACAATAGAAAATCAGTGAAACGAGAGGATCATATTGGAACTTTGACAAGCAGCAACAGCAACATCAGCATCAACAACAACAACAGAAAGAGTGTTAAACGTGAAGAGGATGACATCACCTTACTGACGCGTGAAATCATGGGTAGCTCTCGAAAGTCTTTATCACGACCGACCAGCAGCATTCCAAGCAATCGACAAAGTGTGAAGCGTGAGCGAGAAGACGGTGAGCTATCGGATGACAGAAAGTCTAGACCCAGAGAAAACGGATATCATATGAGAAGAACCTCTGCCACTCTAAGTACAGAGCCAACAAACGATTCAACAACCAACACCACCGACGACATATCTGATATTTATAGACAACAAATTGGAATTCCTAGTAGACAATATAGGTAACAATAAATAATTGTAATTTCCACAACCTTTTTTTTTTAAACAAACAGAATGTTCATTCTTGTTGCCAAAAAAAAAAAAAAATTGTTGTTTTCTTTTTAATTGTTAACCTTTAATTTATTAATAATTATCTCTAAATCTAATTAAATTATTATTATTTTTAACAATATAAATGACTATTTTTCAATTTTATTATTTATATTTCCCTTTTGGTGAAGATATTAAAAAAGATGATTATATAATTCCAACTATTGAAAATGAAAAGGATATGTTGGTTGATACCATTTTGGGAATGGTTACTGATCATCATCATTTCATAGCGGATAAGGTAAAAGCTTATATAATATTATAAATAATATAGTTTAATATTAATATCTATATATATTTAGCTTAAAGAAGCTGTTAAAAAGAAACATAGTGATTGGATTGATATACTTACGTATTCACATACTGTTGTTGGAGGTAGCGAATGGACTGATAGTGGATTAGATGAAAGCTTTTCTAGACCATTGTGTTTATCGAAAGCTATTACTCCTGATTATCCTTCACTTGTCAATTATAACAATCATTGTTTCCCACTCTTATTGTTTAGAGTTATCTCTGTTCATATTAATGCTCTTCAACAGACACTCTCTGTTATGGAATTCGAATTGGCCAACTCTATAATTACAAATGTTGAGAATCATGTTAATAGAAGTTATGCAACCATTGAAACATTTGAGTTTGATAGTGAACTACTCAAATTAAAATACACTGAAATCGATTTGGACACTCGTCAATTCAAAGTTTTTCAAGTGTATCAATGGAATAATGAGAAATCTCGTGGTTCAAAAACATTATTAAATAATAATCAAAATATAAATGCAAATCTATCAATTGATAAATCACCAATGATTGATTTCGATTCATTGGATTACGCAGAAAGATATAACCTAGCCTCACATAAACCTGAATCTTATTTTATCGATGTAAAGGTAAAGAATGGCATAAAAGTAGTAAAAGTACAATCACCTCTCAATAAACAATCGATAGTGACAGCAATCTCCAAAGAGCTATCATTACCAATCGAATCAATTACCAACATCTACGATACTGTCAATAGTATTGAAATAGAAGAGGATCATATTTTTCAAATTAAAAGTATTTTCTTTAAATTAAATAATAATAAATTTTATCACAAATAAAAATAAAATATTTATAATTATCCAGATATCAATAATTTTTTAAGAAAGTACTACTTTAAACTTTCGATTGAATTTTGCTTTTGCCTTGGTCAAATACCCGAAATTATTGATTTTTTTTTTTTAAATTTGATTTTTTTTTTCTGGACTTTGACCAGTTTTTTTGATTCTAGAAAACCTCTTTTTTTTTTATTGTTGTCTTAATTAAAATTTAATAATAAGAAATTTAGTGTACACTGCTTTAAATATCTTTTATATTTATAAATAGATATATTTATTTATTACCCTTTTTTTGAAAAAGGTGTAGTTTTTGTAATAATACATAACATATATATTTTGTAACAATCATCAGATCACAGTTGGTAATTACCAACAAACAAGAAAAGAAAAAAAAACAACATATAAAATATGACTACAGCTGTTGAATTTAATAATCAAATTATAAAGGTAAATATTATTTTATACTTTAAAGATACATCTCTATTTAGTTAGTAAAAAAGACTCTTTTAGATTTTAATAAAATTGTGTGTATTTGTGTTTATGTTTTTGTGTGTGTGTTGTTTTTTTTTTTGATATTATTTGATTTTGATCAATAAAACATCAAATATTTTACTAATTAAAATTTTACCAAAAATTACATCACAATTTTATAGCAAGATGATAATTGGATAGAGTTATTATATGATCATATATCGAATGCTCAACTTTGTCAGTTGAATAATAAACAGATTCTAGATACAGAGGTAGAGAGACGATCGGTTCAAGATCACTTGATGTTGACTTCGGCATTCCTTTCGAAGCTGGCGTATGTCAACATCGAGAAAGATATCGTTAGTCTCGTTGCTTCACATTCATTCACGATACCTCTGAATGCAATCTCCTTCTACAAACCACCACACACTCGCACGAAAATGTTGGTGGCACTCGACCACCTCAATAATCTGTTTGTGGCGTTCACCGGCAGCGTTGACGTGCACGACGTCCAACTGGACGTGGCATGCGGTCTCTTTGAGAAGCAGTACTACGACCGTGAACACCAGCTGTACGCGACGATTGCGCGCTTCGAATGGATGTTCTCGGCGGTGCAGCAACTCATGTCGATCGCCTACCGTTGTGGAGCGCGTCGCATTGTTTTCACGGGCCACTCGATGGGAGCGAATGCCGCATCGTGGGCAGCCGTCCACGCACTCAACCTCCAACGTCAATTCGCGCCCTCTCCACACCTGTCGACGCTGACGGTGTGTTGCTACTCGTTTGCGGCGGCCAGCTACTTCCACGCCGACACACGTATCATGATCGACGCGCTCGAGATCGAGCGACAGGAAGAGCCAATCTTCACGACCGTTCTCAACGAGTTCGACCTCGTTCCGATCATGTCGCATCACCCATTCGTTATGCTCGACTTTCTCTTTATCATACTGGCGGTGGTCACTCTTGTACATTCACTTCTCTATCACCGCGAACAATCACTCGCAACGCTCACCCTTATTCTTTAGTAAAGTTACCCATATGCTATTTATTCACTAAACTTGTAGATCATGTGTATATTAAATGTTTTTCAATGTAAGTACTAGTAGTAGTAGCAGTAGTTTTGAGATTATTATTATATTAAAATGATAACCTGACTAACATGATTGTTGTTTATGATTTTAGTGGACTATTATCACCAAATGTACATCTTTATGATGCTAAATTAAATAGATATATACCCGTAGAGACATTGGCGGTGGAATCAAGATATAAATCATTTATTCATCACCTCAGTAAATTATATAATTTTAGATCACTCTTTAATCAAGATCATTCTTGTGAGTTGTACTATCAAAGAGTAAAATCACAGATACTAAGTGTTCAACATATTCAACAATTGAATGCTGGTCTAAATATTATTAATAATAATAATAACAATAGTAATAATAGTAATAGTAATAATATAACCAATAGTAATAATAGTAATAGCGGTGATATTAATAATAATACAATCATAAATATAAATAATAATGAAATTGGTCAACAACAATCGAGTATGTTAGTACAACAACAACAACAACAACAACAACAACAACAACAACAACAACAACAACAACAACAACCAGAAATACCAATGACAACACAACATATACAATACTTAACACATCCATCCAACTTTATTCATGACATTATTGAAGATGAGAGAATCACAATATTGAAACAGAGAATCATATACAAAGGAATGGGAATTCTTGCTCTAATTCATTTATTTTGGATCATTATATATATTATAATTGTATCACTTTAAATAAATAAACAAAAAATCTACAGATCAACAAAAAATAGATTATTAAATTATTATGTTTTTTTTTAAAAACTAAAAAAAAAGGTCTTAAAGAATCTGATATGAAGAAAAAGAAAAGCACAGAATTTGCACACATCTGTGTCTCAAAAAAATTTAACATATTTATAAATAGTTTGTTGTTTGTTCCATTTTGTTGGTCAACCCATCCAAAACAAATAAAACTTTTAAAAATTTGCAATCCCAAAATAAATGAACCAAAAATAATTTCACAAATCGATTTTGCAAAGATTTTTGTGTCTACACAAAAATACAAAGTGCCAAGACCCCCCAAATTCTCATATTGTAGACCAAATTTTGTAGTCTTTTAAAAAATTTTATTTAATTTGAATTTAATTTTATGTTTTTGGTTTTTTTGATTGCCAATAACAAAAAGACTGTTTAAGTAACAACTAATTAATTATACATATAAATATTTTTATTTATATTTATGAATAGTTTTTATTTTATTTGGAAAAATCTAAATTTTTAGATATTTATTATTATTTTGTTTAGATATCTATAAAAACAATTTATAGATAGATTTGTTTGTTTTTTATTTTCTTTTGTATATAAATATATATAACTAATTAGAATTCTAGATTTTTATTTATTTTATTATTGTATTATACTCATTATCATTATTATCAATAGTATCAATATTATGACATTTGGTACGAATAATAGTCCTGTTGGAAGTAGTAATAGTACTGCTGCTGGTAGTAGTGTAGGAAGTAACAATGGTGGTGGTGGTGGTGTCGTTGGAAGTGTAGGAAGTAGCAGTGGTGGATCCGGTAGTCTTTCACCATCGTCTTCGATCACCAATTTCAATATACTCTCGATGCACGAGTGGAATTCACCGACGTCCAGTCTGCAGCAGCAGCAGCAGCAAAACCAGCGAGGCAGTGCCAATGGCAGTAGCAGTCTCTTTGGAAGTCTCAATACGACGCCCAACTACGACGTCGAACTGATCGTGCAAACCACAAAGCAAGAGGATGCACGATTCATGGGAAAGAAGAAACGTCGGTGTTCATCGGTATCGAAAGTGTTTCTCGGTGACTTTTTGCAGCTGTCTTCCAATATCACCATTCTAAAGATGATCTCAAAGTTTGGTGACAATCACATTCTCTTCTCGGACGTCTTGATCAAGGTGAACAAACGTAACAAAATGCAAGAGAGAATCATCATCATAACCGATCGTGCACTCTACAATGTGCAACCGGTCGACTATAAGCTAAAACGTAGAATCTCAATGATTAGTTTAACCTCATTATCAATGAGTACATTAGAAGATAACTTTATTGTAATACATGGTAATTATACGATTAGTTTTATAAATATATATATACATGGATAATTTAACAAAAACTAACAATTATTATTATCATTAATATTGATATTATAGTCAATTCAGAATATGATTATGTATTAATTAGTGGAAGAAAGATAGAGATTGCAACAGTTTTGGTAGAGGCATATTATAAACAATCGATATTCAATCAGATGTTTCCACCTCAGATGCTGACTTTGACGACGATGTCTAATACAATTGGATCACCACGTGATATTTCAACGGGTGCCAATGCATTGGGTGGTGCTCCATTGATAACCATGTCACATTCACCAGGTGCATTAATACCATCACCAATATTAGTTTCAAATAACAATAGTAGTAATAATAATAGTAATAATAGTAATACAGGTGTTATTATAGGATCACATCAAAATGAAAATAGTTTAGGTGGTAGAAATAGTAATAATGGAAGTAGAGGTGGTGGTAATAACAACAACATAAATATTCCATCATCTACAAACCAAGGTATTCTAAGTTCATTGTCGACTTCACTAAGTACAACTTCAAATAATTTAATCAATTCAATATCATCTTCATTCCAACAACCAAATATCAATGTTGGTAATAATAACAATGTAAATAATCAAAGTAATAATACAGCTATAAATAACAGTTCAAATAACAATAACAACATTGTAAATAATAATAACAATGTTAATAATAGTAGTATTAATAATAATAATAGTAATAATAGTACACCGTCAACAACATCACCAATATCTCAAGCATTCAATCAATCATCATCGGATCACTTACTACCAGTTAACTTTACAGAGAGAATAGAATACAAAATTGAAGGTGATTCAATGCGTGAGATCATATTTACTAGAGTGCAAGGTGCTGTAAACATTCAGATACAAACACTAAAGAGCAGCAGACAAGCTACCAAAAAGGATCACACTCGTTTATCTGCAAAGTAGTAAGCTAATAGATGTACATTATTAAAAATCATTTAAATAATAATAAAAAAAAAAGTGTAAATATTTTAACATTGTGCGTGCTGTTAGTATTATAATGAGTATTAGTATTCACCTAATTAGTCTATAGTAAACAAATGTCTTTTAATAAAAGAGTATATCAAATTCAACCCACGAACCAAATGGATGAGATCTTAAGTCACACTGCTTTAACCAGCTTACATACCCTGGTGCTTGTTGGATTTTCACTATTTTTTTCGATTGTTTTTTATTTCTTATTATCCATCATTAGTTTTCCCGCAAACTCATCAACCACTCACCAACTAAGAGTGAGACTTTAAATACCGCACATAATATCAATCAAACCATTTAACAACATCAAAAAAGCGTAACAAAAACAGTCTTATCTTAAGTAATTTACAAAATTTTTATTTTCTTTATAAAATTCTACAATCAAAATAAAGTAGTTCTACTTGTTTTGTTTTTTATTTATCTATATATAACAACAGCTTAGACAGATTTATAAATATGATAAATGAGCGTGAGAAAATAAGAAATAAATGTTTTGATGGTAGAAAGTATACTTTACTCATACATGTATAACAAAGAGGATTAAATGATCTAAAAATCTCTCGTAAGATTTACATGCCACGGTATGGCTATAAATTACTTCCTTGTGGACGTGGAAGTCACGCCCATGCTGGGATAGTGACTGTCTACGTTTGCAATGTGGCTATTCTAGTTGACTGCAACAACAAATGATTCAATGTATTTAAAGTTGTGAGGGTGTTACAATAAATAATAGAATCAAGATATATCCTTTTACTCAGCAAGTAATTTGTAACAGAGGGTCGAGTTTGTGGAAAACAATGGATAATAAGAAATAAAAAACAATCGCAAAATTAGTGAAAATCCAACAAGCACCAGGGTATGTAAGCTGGTTAAAGCAGTGTGACTTAAGATCTCATCCATTTGGTTCGTGGGTTCGAATCCCACCTCTGGTACTCTTTTAGTTTTTAGATGACCGCATGCGGTATATTATTAAAAAAAACAAATATTGCAATGATATAGTTTTTAGTGATCTTTGATGTCTCACAGGACAGAGCATGAAGATTGGTCATGATCAATGGTATTTTATTTACACTAGCCAGGCAAAAAGAAATATATCTTTCCATTTAAGTTCTTAACTTCTCAACACTTGAAAGGATAAAAGTGAGTTGGATGTCTGCGCTATTCATCATAGTAATGAAAATAGAATGATGGCAATGTAGTTTGATTATGTGTTTGATTGGACACCATGATCTTGTTAATCTATTGATATCAAAAAATACATCTAGATTATTTGTTTTGTTGTAGTGGTGTGGAAAGAAAACATTGTTGAACATCGTACTAATGGCACAAAAGAATTGTTTGTTGATAAGAAGAAGTGAGTGCATCTCGATAAGGATGGAGTGAACTATGGTAATATGTAGATAGTTTCCAACTATATTGAAAGATCTTCACAAGTATCATGGCTGGTAAAAGATAATCGACATGACCACGATGATATTTAAACGAAGGATTGTCGTCAACTAATATCTTTTGTAATTGACTCTTTTCATTTCTATCTCTGAGAATCACATCAATAAGACTGATTTTACTGCTGACCTATTTACTTTTATCTTTATCAATACAAAACTGATACAATTCAACTTTTTTTAGCTTTGCTAGCTCTTGTTCTTCTATTTATATCTTTATCTTGTCTATACATGTTTTCATTTTCACTAATTTGTGAGAAAATTTAATCTATTTTATTTTTTGTATTTATAATAAAAAATAAATTTGTTAAAAAAAATAAAAATTTTATTAGAAATGATGATGTTTGTTTCTTATGTTGACTAAAAGAAAGATAAAAAAGTATATAATGATAGAATATAATTGATTCATTCTCTATTTTAAATCACAAGTTTACCATTTTACCACCAAACGATCCTAGAAATTTATTTATGCCATGTATCTATCACGACCTGCAACAACGATATATGAATTCTTGTATTTTTACCAATGACATATATACTCTTGTGCCACAGCAATTCGCATGAGCAGACCATCGCAGTTTATCATCGTTGCAGTCGATGTGCCATCAGACTTTAGTGGTTATAGCATAATCCCATCTCAATTGAATTTTTACAGTATCGATTTAAATATACAGTGTTTGTACAGATGACGGTAACATCTATATTATCAACCACCTAAAATACTTATCACACATTGACCCTAAACAATCCTTGAAGGTTATTAATTTTATTTAAAACATCTTACACGGTAGTTTCATCTACCCAAAATTTCACTTACTTACTACTGTAGAACAAAACAAATGGGAACCATTCTTTTAAAATGATAAAATATAATGATTAAAATATAAAAAATAAAAATGTTTTAACAAAAAAATAACGAATTTTATAATAAGATCTCTTTTTTATTATTCAACCTCCCACTTTAAAAAAAACAAAATAATAATTAAATAATGAATAATCAAAAAGATAAAATAGTAAATCTATCACATTTAATATTAAATAAAATAATTAGTTATTTAGATGATAACATTGATCGCATTTGTTTCAGTTTAGTTTGTAAGAGATGGTACAACGACAGAGATAAATATTTAATATTCAACATCGATAGTACCGACCTATTTACACTTAATACCACTGATTTTAAACAATATCATAAGCATTTCAAATTACAGTCATATCATAATATATTTATCAAATCAATTCAATCAAAGACTGATTGTTCGCTTTATATTGGTTATAAAAATTATGATAATTTAGATTATCATTATGGTAAATACCTTGATAAATCTATTCTATTAAACTTATTATACTAATTTTATCATTCTTTTAAAGATGATGTTAGACAGCTCAAAAGTATTCCCAACAATATTACACAAATCAATATTGCTAATTGTTCTATAGATGATCAAGAGTATCTCTATCGATTAATATCAGAATCACAATCAGTAACAACACTAAATGGATGTAGCACATTGAAATATGGATTACCAAAGTCAATCAGATCGCTTACATTTAACAATTTCGATGAACCACTAGTGAAAGGATCACTTCACAATTCATTAGAAGTGTTAGATTTTCAAGATTTCAATCAAGAGATTCTACCAGGTGTACTTCCAGATGGTTTGCGCAAACTTACTCTAAACAGCTATCAATATGAAATCCAAGCAGGGGTACTTCCGTGTGGTTTACGAGAATTTATCCTCACCTGTTATGATTTCGAAATTAAAGCAGGTGTACTCCCAGTTGGTTTACTCGAATTCTCTCTTGAAAGCAGTATAAGCTATCAATACGATATCCAACCAGGAGTACTTCCATTGTCTCTTGAATATCTATCGCTTGATAGTTATGAAGCACCTGAAGACCCTGTAACAGTCCAACCACCACCTAGTCGAGTGGATTTACAATATTCTAGCGAATCATGTTTACCAATTTCATGGTTACAAGCAATATCATCACTTGCCAAGCTTCAAACACTTTCTGTTTATTTTCAATATCAAGTTGGAGGAGAAGATGCCACTATATTCAATATCAACTACCTCCCTCGAACTCTAAAATCATTCAACTTTATAATGTCAGGAACCGTATTGAGAGGAACGTTTCCAACATCATTGAAAAAATACTATATTGGTGTTTGTCAATTTACTGATGAATTATTCCCTCGCACATTGCAATATCACTTGGCTTCATTGGAATATGAAAATAAGATTCTTCTTCCAATTCCATCAAACATATCTATCGATGAATTGATAATGCGTGGAGATTCAAACGAACCAAAGATAACACTACCATCTTGTGTTAAAAAAATCAAATTCTATCTAACAAATACAAGTGGAAAGATCATTGATTTTGATGATCAATCCTGCGCGCTAAGAGAACTGCATCTTCTAAATTTCCAAGGTGGATTACCTCAAGTTAATCTTCCAAACACCATTGAATTGCTAGATCTTGGTTGGAATGATCTCAATGAAACATTGCATTTGGTACCCTCATCAGTCAAAACTCTTATCTTTAGCAAACAATCTGAAATCAATATCACCATTCCAAATATAATCAAGTCAATCCCAAATATCATTGGAAAATTTGGATTTTTTCACACACAAACCATTAGAAAGTTGGATGAAAACTATTATCTAATGTATGGTGACTATGAAAACAATGTAGATTCAGGAAACATTGTTTCTCAAATATTTCATCACTCTAAACTTGAGGAAATCTTTGGAACAAAAATAGAATAAAAAGAATATAAAAATTCCTTAAATAAGTTTGCTTGTGAGAAACAAAACATTTGACTATCCATTAAGGATGCATCTTATATAACTATATTATCTTTAGACGTTTAAACTTTCTATTATCTATGGAAATTATCAATGAAATTAAATCAAAACGCACTATGTGAAATTAAATTTGTTTATTTTGATATTTTTATTTGATTTTATCTTTATTCCGATAGCTTAGACCAAATATAAAACAAGTTGATTGAGCTATTATGTTTACAAATTTCTATTTGTTTGTCTGTCTGAATCCAGGAATTTTATTGGTGATTGAATTGATAGTCTTTTGAATGGTGATATTGTCATTAGCATCCAAGTTAATGATAGGAGTATTGAGTGTTTATGGTATCAAATTTAATATTAAAGAGAAATATAGTCTCTAGAGAAAAATTTGTATATCAATTCATTAAAATTTTGAAATCCCTTATTTTAGTAATAAATTTAACTTATTAAGAAGAGATTTTAAAACTTAGTTTTAAATAAATTCACTAAGTGGTAATCTCAAAAAAGAAGATTTATTGTATCTTTACTATTACTATCATTGAAAAAAATTAAACAAATAACAATTAAATATAATTAATTATACAATATTACTCAATAAAATTAAGAAATGATTATAGAATCAAAGAGCTGGTTGCTAGTCAAAATGATTTGCTAATCTTGTATATTTTCCATTTTAATGCTAGTTGTAAATAATGTACATATGTTGACATTATCCAAAATCATAATAACAGGTCATAATGACAGGTAACTGTAGATAGTAATGTGATACTTAAGATTGCAAAACTTTTAATGAAGTAACAAGCACTAGTCGGTGCCGGCCGACTGATTTCCGAATACACAACAGTACTCAACTCTCTGGTTATTAAATCATTTTGTTTTGACACACGGAATATACAATTATTTAAGTTATAATAAATAGTATATAATGCAATTACTTTCATTCTCTAGCTCTTTATTTGATATGAAATCATAAATATTTTTATAACTTTCACTGTCTTAGTTCCACCGCTAACTCAGTTATAACCTAGATCATCTGCAAATCCAACAATACTAGCACTAGCAATACCATCAGTAACAGTTTCGAATTTACAATATTTTTACCACAAATATTGGAAATATAACCACAACAACATCTTCCTTCATCTTCTTCTACAATATCATCTTTTCATCATATTCATCTTCATGATAACTACGGTCATTATCAACTTACACAGACATCTTCTTTTTTAATTGCATAGTGCCTACCAAACCTATGATGACACCACTTGACTTTAGATTGACAAGATGTAGTTGTGAAGACAAACCAATATCATCAGATATTGATGTAGAGAAGATTAGAGACCACAAGAAAGATTTGGAATCTATAAAACTCAATATTTGAAACAAAAAAACTGCGACTAAGACCGCAAGTACAACACCTCTCTGATAACTACCACAATGAAGATAACAACGATAACTACAATAGCGACAATAAAAACAATTAAAATAAACCAAAAACTATAAAAACAATGTTATGGATGCAATAATAATAATAATAAGCCAATAGTATTACATTCAACTTCTACATTTGAATATAATGATGTATCCTAATGGCTTAAGTCATGTAGTCAGAGAACTCAATGTTAGGATAACAGGTAGTACTCATCTTCATCTTTCGGATAATGGATTTTTAACAAACAGTTAATCAATCACCAAATTAATCAAATACACATTTTTTTTAATGCAAATATAAATAAATTATTATAAAAATTTTTAAGATCTCTTTAACCTTTAAAATAAAGGGGTTATTAAATTTTTTTTTTTACAATTTAAATTATAAAAGTTTAATTATTAAAACACAACAATAATAATTAACAAATACATATATTTTTTTATTTATTTATATCATATTAGAAAAATGGAAAAACAATTCGATTTAAATAATTGGGATGAGACAGCAACTTCCTATTCAAAGTTTATGAACAGTAAAGGTTTCTTTTCAAAGTTTGGTTCCGATATGATAGCTAAAACTATTGATAATCGTCGTAAATCATCACCTTTGAGAGTACTAGATGTTGCTTGTGGATCGGGTTCATTGACATTTCCACTTGTAGAAACACTCAATGAAATGAATCCTTGTTCTGTTACTGGTGGAGATGGTAGTAGTAGTTCAGTAGTCGCTGTTGATATCTCACAAAAGATGATTGACTTGTTGAATCATGCAATAGAGTCACAAGGTATGAAAAATATAGAGACTTATTGTATGAACGGTGAATCAATGACACAATTGGAATCGAATCAATTCGATTATGTATTCTCTTCATTCGGCTGGATGATGTTCAACGATAGAAAAGCTGGACTTAGCGAGATCTACCGACTTTTGAAGCCAGGCGGCAAGGTATCGCTCATCACCAAAGATAGCAATTGGTTTTTGATAGCGGATTGCAAAGTTTGCTATGAAATGCTTGGTGAACCTCCAGTTTTTCCAGAGAGTCTACTTAGGAGATTGACAATTCCATATCAGAATGAACTAGAAGATCTGTACAAAGAGGTTGGTTTCAAATCGGTTGAGTTCTATCGATCAACTCAGAGTGTAATGACAACAATAGAATCGACAATCAATGTAGTTAGAAATAATCCTGTCTTTCAATTATTGAAGCAACCTTTACCAATTTCCAAAAGAGACCTACTTTTGGAAACATATAGAGAAATGCTCATTAAAAGACATATCAACAACAATATCAATAACAGCAATAACAACAATTTGGAATATGAGTTGACTGGTTCAGTTATAATTTCAGTTGGTCAAAAATAACAAAAATTTTTCAACGATTTAATAGAAATTTTTAAAAAAATGATTAATTTTTTTGAAACAATTAAAAAAGTTTTTTAACAATCTATTGATTATCATAAATTTACATATTTGTATGATATCAGTTGATAATTCTGAAAGAAGCAAGAGAAGAATACATTTTTTTTTTTTTTTTTTTTCAAAAAAAGATTTGTTGACAGATGATACTTAAGATGATGATAAATATCAGAGCTCTAGATATCTTCAATATCTTCCCCTCAGAGTGGGATATTTGCAAAAAAGATTTCACGGAATTGCTAATTGTAAATTAATTGTATTGTAATTTAAACCACCAACAACATAAAACAAATTAATCAATCATCCAATCAATCAGTCAACAAATTGCAGGTATTGATATTAACCTGCTGGTTCGTTTATATTAAAGAATACAGCTATCACGCTGCTCTAATTTTATACACCTTGTCGTAGCAAGTCAAAAAAGATGAAACTTTGAATTTCATTGTTTTCGCTTGCGGTGCCACACAATTGTAAGGATTACTAAATGTACTCTGTGGGATTTGAACCCACGCTTCCGAAGAAATCAGTGCCTTAAACTGACGCCTTAGACCAACTCGGCCAAGAGTACTTTGATAAGTGCAGAAAGAAAAATCTATTTTTTTAAAACTTTGGATTGGCTTAAGATATGAGCCTTTTATTTTTGAAAAAAGAACACGCTTTATTTAAATAAAAGATAATAATAATAATAAAAAATAATCACATATTTTATTGTAAATAAAATGTTAGATAGAACTCAAACTAAAACCAAAGAGATGAAGCCTCATTGAAAGAATTGATAGAATTGTATAACAACGATATCAATAAATTGATGCAAGAGATCAAAAATCTTGAGATCAAAAAATGTACTTTTCTAGATATTTAAAAGGCAATCGATATATCATTGGTTCCAGATCCAATCACACTGAGCGTAGGTGGAATGAAATTTCAGACTTCAAAGTCAACATTGACAAAGAAACCCGATACCTACTTCAGTACAATGCTCTCTGGTGATGTTAACATTCAATCTGTATCTGGAAAGCCAAATAATACATTCTTTATAGATAGGTAAGTAAAATGTAAAAAGAATTTTCTAAACTTACATTCTTATATTTTAAAAGAGATGGAACTCACTTTAGATACATATTGAACTCTTTACCCGATGGTGACACATCCATACCTGATTCCATCAAGACTGAAGTGAGAAAAGAAATGAAATTTTACAAACTTATACCACCTACTTCAAACTCTGTTTGATCAATCAGGATCAATTTAAGATTATCAGTGGATGGTTAGGTGGTGTATTAAGTTATGAATTGATTTACAAGGTAACAAAAACAATAATCAAATTTTAAATAAACTAAATATTGTTTATTAATCTTGTTTTTTTATCATAAATAATATTTACAACACTCATGGTACAAAAGATGGATTCGAATCAGCTACTTTCCATAATAAATGTAATGGTAAAGGTGCAACTCTTACTGTTGTCAAATCGAGTGATGGCAATGTGTTTGGTGTTATAACAGTCAGTCATGGAATAGTAATGGTGCATACTATGGTGATAACAAGTGTTTCATCTATACAATGGTGAATAAAAATAATATTCAACCTACCAAGTACGTACCTGTTAACACCAACATTGTCTTTGGACACAACGGTTGTGGACCAACCTTTAGTGGTAATGACCTCTACATCAGCAACCAATGCAATGTAAACCAACAAAGCTATCAAAACTTTCCGAATGGTTACGCTGACACCACAGGAAAAGCTAAAGCAACATTCGCAACAACCTATAACTTTACTGTCTCTGAAATCGAGGTATTCAATGTACTTTAAATAAATCTAAAAATGTATAATAAAATCACTTTTGATTCGTAAAGCAATCAAAAGAATACACTAAATATAAATCGTAAACTTAATGTTTCTGTAAATACTAATGATATTTTATTTATAATTTCTATAATTTAATTTGTTATCATCATTTGACCAGAGTTTAAACAAAACTTGACTTCAAATAAACTATGTTGATGTGATATGCGAGGGAATTAATTTGATGATCATTTATTTTTGCAAACCGTCCATATAAATGATGTCAACTTATTTTTTCATTTTTTTTCGATTTTTGTTTAAGATTCATTTTTTTTTCTTGAAAGAAGAATGATGAGATCTTTAAACCTGTAAACTGATTTCTATTTTTTAAAAATATCTTTATCGGATTGAAATTCAATATAAATTAAAATTCTTAAATCAAGTTCAGTTTTCGTTTTAACTACTTAAAATATGTTTATCTCTTACCAAAAAATCTTTTTATGTATTTGTATATTTATTTCAGTTTCCTTAATAAAAGTAAGATTATCTCTTTTCTTATACTAAATTTAAAATTTTATTAATTATTATAATTTTTTAAAATTAATAATTAAAGAGTCAAGAAGGGATCCCTTATACTCTTGCCTTTTTTAGTTCCCCTCCTCTAGGATCAAAAGAAACTTTTAAATTCACAAAAATCAATTTAAAAGATGGAAGTCTCAATAAAACTTTGACATCACAGAATAATTATAATATTATTAGTGTTACAGATTATGATGGTGTAAATTGGTATGATTTCCTATTTCAACAAATTTATTTAAATTCCCATCCAACTTTTGGACCTGGTTCATTTTCAGACCTAGGGTAAGTAAATATCATATTTCTATAAATAAAAAGAAAAATAATTAATAATTTTGAACTTTTAATTCAATTAGATATGGATTTGATACTTTTTCAGATTATTATGGAAATGGAATGGGTGTTTTTAATTTTACTAAACAATTTGTACCACAATCCAAAGTAACTCTTGACCTCTATCTCCCAGCATGGAATCACAACAATTACAACCTTGACATTCTTACTTTTGATAATTACGATGCCAGTATTGACCGATTTTATTATAATAGAACTGGATTTGTGGTTGATCCAAAGTATACCAATAGTTTGGTTGGTGCACTCGACCAAAATACAGGACTATACTATGTTAACTACGTCACCGACAACACTCGATCGATTTTGGTTTTCAATTCACTGTCCACCGATCAGCCAGTTAAACAATATAAATTCATAGAGGATGTATCCTCTGGACTGTCAAGCCAAGTCTACCTTTTGTTCACATCGATCGGCAACATTCTCTACATGGTTGATACTGGCAATCAAATGATTTCTCTCATTGCAATCGAATTATCTGATTCAGCGATGACAGCACAATCCAAGGTAGTTTACTCAACTTCCAATGCGTTTGGATCGCCAAGTGACGGTCTACCATTTGCATACACCGAGAATACCGATAGACACGTGATTTTCTTATCGAAACCCACTTCTACCACATCCTATACAATTACGCTATTTGATTTATACAACTTACAACAACAATCATCAATTCAGACTACCTCTGTAAAAACACAATACAACACAGCACTATGGTATTCCTAAGATTAAACACCAACAAAAAAATAAAAAATAAAAATAAAAAATGAATGTATTATTTATTTATTATTTGAATGATTGACAATATTAATAATTGATTGTAAATTTATATTTATAACAAATTTAAATTTATCATTTTTAAATTTAATGATAAAAGTGTAGTAGTTAACTAAACATTGTTATTATTATTTATTTATCTCTATCTCTTTATAAGTTTAACAATGAAGTTTAATAATATAATAATAATTATTTTAGTATGTTTTTTAATAGTTGGTGTGTTTTGTTCAAAAGATCATCATAAAAAAGATAAAAATAAAAATAAAAATGATCATAAACAAAAAAGTATCTCTGATGATCCAAAGATAATAATAAATTCAACCAACCAATGTCAAAAAAAAGAATATTTTAAATTGAAATTAAAACCTTTGCCATATCAAGAGTCACATTACCACGATGCCAAGATAAGCGGTGAAGCATGCTACACAAATATAACAACTGAAGAGACAGTTAGAGAGACCTTTATCTTTGAGAGCGGTGCAAAAACGGATCTGTCATCGCGATGGATCAACCAGGATGTCAATGCTCATAAAGTCGATGTCTACCTCAAAGCTCAGAATTCAAATAATAATAATAACTACACATTGATAGATGTACAAACACGAATTGAATTCATCACTAAAACAAACGTTTATAACGTAACCATTACCTATTCAATAACACCTTTAATCAAATAAAATAAACATATTTTTTTTAAATAAATTATAAATTACAATTAATTATTAACACTGTATAGTTTTTAAATTAATTAATTATCCATTTGTTGTATTGTTAAAGAAAGTACGAAATTTGTCAGTGCGAAATAAAAAAGAATGGTATTTCAAATTCAAAACTATCAAGAATGTCTAGTTCATATGTAGGTGTTTTCCATCCGCCTGGCTTGACATGATGGCAGAGGAAATCGATAGTTTGGGCTGTGTATAAAGAAAGGTTAGATTAACTTGTTGGTTATTTCTTTATGTTAATTTTGGTAGTTTGATATTTTGTTGATTCAATGAAAGTTGATATTATTCGAATATTTAGAAATAGCCAATAAAATATTATTATTATTATTATTATTGTGGTTGATATATAGAACAGAATAGATTCCTTTAGAGAAAGGATACTACCATCAACACCGAGGATGGGATTGCCCGGTATGACTCTGGAAAAGTGATTGTTTCAAATATCCATCAAAGACGAATGGAATTTGAAAGATGATATTTATATTTTCAAATACGATAATATTCAAATAAGGATAATTAAAAACATTAAAAACAAAGTTAATAAATATTGTAAAGATTATTATTATTGTTTATAGTTATTTTTTTATTTTTTTTCTCTCAGAGACTAGGCGAGTTGCATCAGTTTTGTAATTGTAACCTGTCTGCTACCAAGTCTCGCAGGGTAACTGCATTCTTCCCAGAGTTTAACTTTATCAGAGTCTAGGCGTTTGCATCTTTTTTTTTTTTTAAGAAGTAAAAATTGATTTATTAAGTTATATATTGGGATGGTGTAAACCATCAAATTTTTCTTTTTTTTTTTACAGCTTTTACTTTTTCATAATTCTGCAATTGATTGCTATTTTGATTATTATAATAATAATTTTAGTTATTGATATTTTATAGATTATTAAGTTGATGAGAGAATATTGATGATTGAATTGGTTAATTGAAATGAAGGAATGATGAAGAGGAAATAATAGTTGGCTGACATTTGATTGGTGCTGGTTATTAAGTTGGATTGAAGTTACTGAACTGTATTTATAATTAATTTCATTACTGACATGTGCTGTATATATTCATTTATGATAGATTCATTAGATAGTAGGTTGTTGTCGTGGAGAGGAGTACCGCCAAAATAGGATTTACAATAGAATTTCCAGATTTGATGAAAGACGAGTGAAGCGAGAGTAGTGATGTTGTCCTTTCTTCTAACCAACTGATACGCGTCTTCCATATTCCAATCGAAACATTGATCACCTGAAAGCTGTAAGGAGTCGAGAATGGTGTTAAGGTTGAATCTGTGCATAACTGCTCGACAATTAAAGAATGTATGGAAATATGGGTCAGAGCAGTATGTGAAGCACAGTTCACATTCTTTGTTTTTGTTGTAAGCCAATCCAGGAAGCGAACGAGAGAAGAACCGGAAGACAGTGTTTCGTCCACGCTGGTGTTTGATAAGCGATATATAGGTGAAGATACTGTCGTAAGATGTGTAGTCGAATTTGGTTGGTGGTAGAGATAGTTGGAACTGGCCATCAGTTAGTGGTGGAATGCCATGTTTGACGATCAATAAGTGGTCGTAGATTTGCTTTAAAGTGGGTGGTAGACCATCAATCAGAATTGGTTTAGAAGATTTGATCTTGTTGTCCAGATGTTTGAGATGAACTGCCAATTGGTGCCACAGAGTGTAGCATAGATTGAGATATGGCGAGGTGATAGATCTGCATTGGATTTGAGATAGCCAACTGGTATAATAACAAACTTTGGAAGGATCAGAGGATGAAAGTAGGAATCTGTTGAATATCCACACGTGTTGCGCATCATTACGAAGTTGGATGTCCCATAGCGAGATGCCACCAAGTAACCATGGTTGTACAGCTCTGATCTTTTTCATTGTGTTTTTATATTTCTTGGAGTCGATGAACGGATTGGAGTTGGACGACCACAGGTACCAAGACAGTATGTTATCGAGTTTCTTGACTTCCTCATCGGTAAATCTACCGACGTACTTGTTGTAGGTGAGCTTAGAGAGTGTATAGCTTTTGACTATGGCCATCTTGGTACGCAAAGTGACACCAGTTGTTTTCCAACGGACCAGGTGTCCTTTAATAGAGTTGATCAGAGAATCAAGCGAATGGTGCGGGCGCTTGCATCTAAAGACTGTCTCGAAGCTGTATCAGATTTGATAATCAATGATCATTTTTTTTTTATAAACTAAAGTGGTATACAATAATCAATGATCATTGATTTCGCTTGCGGTGCAAAATGGATATTGAGTGTACTCTGTGGGATTTGAACCCACGCTTCCGAAGAAATCAGTGCCTTAAACTGACGCCTTAGACCAACTCGGCCAAGAGTACTATGATGAGTGCCAATCGAAAAATCTCAATTTTTAAAACCTGCAATCGTACCCATCTTAAAAACCTAGTCAATTGGAATGAAATCGAGAATGGATCTCTTTTTTCTAAAGTCAGTGTCAAGATTATAATAACCATTCCCTCATCACCTGATAACAAACTAGGTTCTATAAAACAAAATGAAAAATTCTAATTTTATTCTTATTTTACAAATTTATTAACTGCTAATACAATGAATAATTACAACTCGTACAATATAGTTCAGCTATCACATATACTTTTGGCAAAGATTGTTGATTTCTTAGATGATAATATAGATAAAATATGTTTTACACTTGCTTGTAAACGATGGTTCAACGAGAGAGATAAATATTTAACATTTAATTTCAAACAACTTCACTTGTTCGATTCAGATTCAGATTACATACACTTGAATTCATATCGATCATCAATCATTAGATCAATCAATAAGAGAAAATACTCTCTGATCATTAGTGATCACAAATATAGTAATCATGATTATATTATATCTCCAAGTAACTATTGTAATTCGAATATCAAATTATATTCAATTTATTAAAAAAATATAATTATCAGAAAAACTACAGGATATAGATACGATTGAATCAAACATTTATCTAGTTAAAATCCCTTATTATGTTGAGAATACATCTTTAGAGAGATTTTATGAAATCATTGCTAAATCAAATGTAATGAAACTAAAGGGGTGGAAAACAACAAGTCATAAGCTTCCACAGAGTTTAACATCATTAAGATTCACAAAAGCTTTTGATGAACCATTGGAACCAGGATATCTTCCACCCAATCTAAAGAGCATTCGATTCTATTACTTTGGTCGGCCAATCCAATCAGGTGTATTCCCATTGTCATTGAGAAAGTTGGTTTTCGGAAATAGTTTCAATCAACCTTTGGGACCAGGAATACTTCCAGCGTCTTTGGAAATACTAAAGTTCAAAGGCACACTTTTTACTCAAGGATTCCAACTCGGTTCATTACCTCCCAATCTAAAGACACTAGTCTATTCAGGACATGACATAGAGATTGATGAAGGAGTTCTACCCGATTCAATTTATACTCTTCGTTATGTTCCACCATTATGGATTTCATCAATTAGATCACTTTCAAATCTTAGATCACTTACATTCTATCTACCAGATGACTCTTCAAATCATCAAATCTCTTTAAGCGATCTCCCAACATCCCTAACAGCGCTGTACACCAATTCATCGGTAGAACTAAAATCAACACTACATCCATCAATCAAATATCTTGATATTAGTTATTCAAAATATGATGTTGATGAGATATTCAAATATCGATCAACATATCAATTTGAACTTCTAAGTGTCGATGGAAGTAAACTAGAATCACTCGAGAATTTGAAAATCAAAAGATTGGCTATGCCCTGCAGTTCAAAAAAATATCAAATGAGAGAGATACCTCATGGGATCAAAGAATTGGAATTAGGACAAAGCTATTCAAGTTTTTTGGATTCACTCCCAACCTCAGTCAAGAAACTGACAGTATCCCATATATCTCAAATCGATAGTAATATTGTTGATTCGATAAATGAATTGGTTGTCAAGAATATAAGACAGAATTATACAGCAATTCCATTCCGTTTTAAAGAAGCTTTAGAAACTCTTGCTATTCCAACAATGGTAATTCCGTATCCAAATCCAAAAAACACATTTTTCAATATCTCTGGTAAAACAATATGTTTAAGAAGGATCAATGATAATCAGTTTATTATTTTTGGTCAAACTTCAAAAATATTTGTTGCTGCTTTCGTTGATGGATCACAGCTTGAAAATATTAGAAATATTATTGTATAATAAAGATTACAAAAACTGTAAGGAAATTTCCCAAGTAGCTCAAATTCCCAAATTACCATCATTGTATAATAAATTCACCAAAAACAAATACATATTTAAGACATTTACAATATTCTATTAAAGTATTTCATATATTTATTTTATTAATACAATCGAATATTAAGCTACTCAGTTACCATCAAACTTATAGATTTATAATTATTACTTTATAAAAAATAAAAGAAAAAAAAGTTATAAATTTTATAATGTCAATGAAAAAATATTAGAATCATATTAAATATGTATATCCCTTTTCATCAAAATTTAATTATAAATAATTAATTAGTTTTAAGTTGAAAAAAGAAGAAATATCAGATACTGATTCCAATTTTTAACAGTTTCAAGACTAAAGAAAAACTAAGCAAAAACAAACTTAACAGAGAACATAAATACAAATAGTATATATTTAAAAGATTTCAATTATATTTAAAATAAAATTGTACAATTGTTTTTAAAAACAATTAAATCATTGAAAAAAGGATACATACAATAACATTATTAGAAGAATAATAAACGATTAAGGAATTACTTTCAGTGATAATACAAAAAAAAACTTTTAGACTCTTCTTAATATTCAAAATGTAAAGTTTTTTATCTGATTTTACATAAACAAAGATATTGTTTTTTTAGAAAAGTAATTTAACAGATGAAACGAAAATAAAACAAGGAGAGAATAGTATAAAGAAAGGTTATTCTTTAAAGAATTTCCCTTTTATAGAACAACTAATATTCTATAAGTTGAAAGTGGTAGTTTTAAATTCAATCTTTTCTAGATTTAATTTATGGAACTGGATACAAGACAAACTATCTTAAGCTCTAGATTCCCTGATTTTTTGGAAATTTTAGAGTATGATATAGATCGACTAATAAATAATTTAGTATATTCCACAACTGTACTAGACATCTCACTTTTCATCAATATACTAAAACACATAATATTTTCTACTTAAAATGTATTCTCAACTAAATTTGATATATAAACAAACCAGTCCGGTCCTGAATGTTTTTTTAAAATTCTTGGGTATTCATGAGATAAATATATATATACCATTCTTTCTAACTCAATAGAGCTCTTAATAATATTAATAGTGGTGATATGAAATGACACCTGGTTATTTCCAAAAACTCTATGAATCTTTATTAAACAATTTGAATCAAATAGTCATCATATAGGGATATCTTAATAAATAAAGAAATATTATTGATTTTTAAGAAAATAAATTTAAATCTATAAAAAGTATTTTGTTTGTTATTTTGTTTTTTAAGAAGACATTTAATGTCTCAATTTTTTTATAAATACTAATCATTTTCAAAGATCTATTTTTACCTCTAAAACAAATAAATGAAAATGTGTTTGATACTTCTGTCCTGTTTCTCAGATTTTTGCTGTAGATACAATACAAAAAATATTTAAATTTTACGGTAAAATAAGAAGTAAATTTATAAATATGATTAGATTGAGGTTTAAATTGCTAATTTAATAATAATACTGTATCTAAACAATACTTTTTAAAAACTAAAAATAAGTTAAATATCAATTCATATGGCATGAAGTTTGAATGCTCTGTATATAGCTAATTTCTTTTTTTAAATAAAAATAAGCATTTTATATAACTACAGTAACGGTTGAATATAAAAAATAATCTATTTAAGATATATCAGTTGAATTTTTAATAAAACATAGTGTTTTAAACCTAAATGTAGAAAAGTCATGGATATTTCAGTGAACACTCATAGAAATTCCATAGAAATTCCAGAAGACGTTTATTAACGGTCCATTGATGAATCACCAACCGGAGAAGTTCTAGAATTGTTTACCAGGATGAAGTCATCAACGAATCTCGTCCAACCGATGGTAAACCAAGAGTATAAATACCCGAGAGAACTCCTTGTTTCGATATCTCATTATTAATATCGAATCAAGGTATGTTTAATTAAAAGATAATAAATAAAGTTATATCTCATTATTAATATCGAATCAAGACCTTTTCTACATATCTCTCAATCAACCTTTTGATAAAGAGTACTATCCTAAGAGGTATAATACCTCTGGTATTACTACTTTACAAAACTTTTATTTTTAATTTTTTAATACTCTAGTATATCCTTACTCCGCGCGGGTAAAAGTAAGGCCGTACTATCCTAATCATTATATACACTTATATCATTAATATTATTATAACCATTTAAACCAAATAATATTATCTACACAATTATAATATAACCATATATTTTATTATTTATCAAATTTATTAGATTAAATATTATCTATTATCTATATATGTTAGTACAATTATAAGAATCAATAATTATCTTACCTTACATATATCTATTTAAATCATATATCTTTATCTATCTATCTATCTATATATCTATCTATCTATCATATATCTATAATTAAAAATATGTCAGATACCAATTCAGATATCAATAATATCTCTGTGGCTCAAACACTCAGAGATAAGTCCATATCCAATAACCATAAGTCTGTCCAAACAAATAAGAACAATGGAAAGGCTAAACCTAAGAACCAACAAATGTCTACCCAACCAAAGAAGAATAGAGGAAAGACTGTTAACAGGCATGGTACCAACCCTGGAAGTAATCGCGAACTCTCCAAAGACCATAGTCCTAAGACACCAGCAATGGCAGGTGTAAATTAGCAAGTATCATTGGTAAAAATGCATACTCCTTCATCATCAAGACTGCAGATGAAGAGTAGTAATAGACCCTTGATAGATTAGAGATCGCAGGTCTCTCTTGTCTATACAAGCAGTCGAGCACACGACCTATTACCAATAGATCCACACTATATGTTCGACAGGTTGTAAGATCTGTAGCACTTATTCATGATCGTAAGTGGCCAAAGACAAATAATTCATTGGTAGGAGTGATCCTCTACAATCGCAACCCAGTCACTTTTAACATATAAGGTAGCGCTACTCCAATAGAGATAGTAGATGGCTGCCAAACTAAACAGTTAGAGTAATAAAATTTTCTTGCGTTATTACTCTGGCACGGTTGCACCCACAAAAGATGGTCATGCAGCTAGCAACTACACCCACAGAAAGATGGCAATGTAGTTGACGTATCCACTCCACATGATGCATAATGTGGATGTAGGGATATGAGTTGGATAATATAAAAAGATGTAACCCAACACTAGCAATGGTTTTTACTCTTAGAAGATCCCACTTTGCGGTGATACGACGTCTTCATCTTCCTTGGGGGGATGAAATCATCGAACAAAGCTCGTCTGATTCATTAAAAGAATGTCGAGAATAAAGATCTGTAAGCAAACCAATTGCGGAACTGGAAGGATGGAGCACAAGTCAAGCAAATCTTATCCTGTCCTAGATTCCAAACCGCCAGACAATGGACAATCTTCAAAGATTGAAAACAAGCCAAGACTCTGTAACGGTCACACCAAACCATAATCACCAAGTAGAAGAAGATTCAAGTGAAGGATATACCAAAAGATCAACCATGTTCTAAAGAAACTGCCAAGTATATGCCACAGTCCACTAAATACCACCTGACAAGGATTCACTGTCTTATTTCTACAACCAATCACCTCGCAGTTGATAAAAGTCCAAATTGATGTACACGACATACTCCAAGTTGTAAACATACTTCTGACTCGCCACAACGACACCAGAAGCAATAGATCAGTTGACATCCACTCTAGTGTTCGTCACTAATCAACAATAGGTATAGTACATCAACGTTCCGATATCAACAGCACAGCACACCAAAACCAAACCAAACCAGTCAAGAATATCAAGATCATACCACAAGCTATTACAGGTTACTCCAGGATTAACCAAATATTCGTTGCTAAATCCAAGTGTAGACTGTCTAACATCAGAGGTCAAACATATGTATCCATACTATCTATGATAGCGGACACCGTCTAAAGTCTACACAATTCACTCTAATCGTATTCCTCATATCGATCAGTAGTAATCGCAACCATGGCCATAGCTTGTCATTCTAGTCGATCTTCCAAAGATAATACATCGACTAAACACGTTGCCAAATCAAATTGATTAAATGTATACAAGTATCGAAGCTACTGATAGATCCAAGACCAATTCATCAAACTTCATACAACTGCTAGTAATTCTAATTTGACTGACTCTATTTCATCAAAATGGCACTTCTTAAATGGTGGAATAAGTAACAGTTAGAACAATAGTAGGAATTTAAACAAATATAAGATCTCTTTTTCATTGTCGGATATCAATATCACGATGTGAGATCATCAACTATAAGTCATACCTATATATCAACAAACATAACAATCTATAGTGAAAGATTTCATCCAATCTACAACTGTCAACAGATGTCTCTTTCTAGTAATAATAATAATATTCACGTCGATAAAAAACAAAATAAGTACGATTGATTGATCAACAAAATTCAGCAAAATTTCAAAAAAATTTTCAAAAAATTTTTCAACACACAACAAGAACTTCAACTTCTAAAAATTCAACTTACAAATTCAACTTTAACCTTTATTTATCATCTCTCTTCGTGTATTTCTATCCTGGAAGGGAATGTGTAGAAAAGTCATGGATATTTCAGTGAACACTCATAGAAATTCCATAGAAATTCCAGAAGACGTTTATTAACGGTCCATTGATGAATCACCAACCGGAGAAGTTCTAGAATTGTTTACCAGGATGAAGTCATCAACGAATCTCGTCCAACCGATGGTAAACCAAGAGTATAAATACCCGAGAGAACTCCTTGTTTCGATATCTCATTATTAATATCGAATCAAGGTATGTTTAATTAAAAGATAATAAATAAAGTTATATCTCATTATTAATATCGAATCAAGACCTTTTCTACATATCTCTCAATCAACCTTTTGATAAAGAGTACTATCCTAAGAGGTATAATACCTCTGGTATTACTACTTTACAAAATAAACTTTGTTAAAAATCGGTTTATTCCGCATGCGGGTTTTTTAATTTAAAAATTTTTTCGCTCCTGGTTGGGATCGAACCAACGACCATTCGGTTAACAGCCGAATGCTCTGCCTACTGAGCCACAGAAACAATTTGATGATTTACAAATTTTTAAATTAAAAAATATATTTTAAATTTTTTAAGATTTTTTTTTTCTTTGTTTTATTAATTTCATTAATGAAAGTTTTAGAAAAATGATTTACTTCCTATTGATAATGATTCGCAATATATTTATTTATATAAAACACAATAATTATTAATCATGATTAAAAAAATGTGAGTGAACATTTCATTTTGTTTATATTATATAGATATATTTTAAGATGTCAGCAGTAGTTTCAGTTTTATATTGTAAAAGTAATGTAGTTTCTATCGATTAGTTATATTAGGTATAGATATGTTATTAACGCAATGGATATAATGATGATAATGATATAGTTTGCGGATTTCCAACAGAGTATTGCGAGTTTGGTCCATCGCCAGCTGCTTGTCTAGCAGAGAATGGTCCCTGCGAATCGGCAGCAGCAGCATCAACAACACCAGCAGATTCTACAACAACAACCACTACAACCACAACGGACACTACAGAGACTGCCGATAAGCTACAACAACTAAAGATGGTAGATGATTCCAAAGATGAAGTACATACCAACAACGTTGTTGCTGCTCCGGCCGCTGCTGCCGTTGCACCAGCAAAGAAAAAGAAAGAAGCTAAACCAACCATTACAATTGAACTTACACAAAGAACAAAGAGAAAGCACGTTACAACTATTGCAGGTTTAGAAGGTTTCGGTATGTGTGATTTTAATTTGATTTATAAAGAGAGTGAGTGAGAGAGAATGAGAGTGATAGATAGATAATTATAATCGTTGAATAAGATCTTAATATTTACTTTTTTTTAATTAATTAATTAATCATTATTAGGTATTAAGTTATCAGATGCTGCTAAATTGATGGCAAAGAAATTCAGTTGTGGATGTTCAGTGGTGAAAGTACCATCAGGTGGTGAAGAGATTGATATTCAAGGTGATTTCCAAGAGGAAGCTGTTGATTTCATCGTAGAAAAGTGGAGTAATGTTGATGAATCTGATATTTATTTCATTGAAGATAAGAAGAAAGTTAAAGCAAGATAGATAGAAAAATAAAACAAAGAATTGAAAAAAAGAAAAAAAGATATTATAGTAATAATAATGATAATCATACAAAGACTACTTATTTCAAGTCTATATTTTATGATAGTTTGTTATCTACCGATAAATACATTGTTGTTTTGTTTTATTTTATAATGATAATATAAATTTATAATTGTTAAATAATATATTTGTTTGTTTTGTTTTGTTTTGTTTGTTGTTATCTACTGTGTGTAATAATCTATGAATTAGATGAGCTAATATGATCTTTAGATCTATTCATTAATTATATTATGATGTTTTTGTTTAAAGTTTAGTTTTAGTTTTTTTGTTTTAATAATTATTCTTTTTTAATAATATTTTAAATATTGATTTTGATTATTATTATTATTATTATCGATTGAACAACAATAATGAATTTAAGCATATTCTTTCAAGTACTCGGAGGCAACAATTCTTGCTCTGGAGTTGAGTGTGATCTTCAAGTCACTGACTTCTCTGTCGATGTCTTCCAAGAATTGAATGATAAAATCTACGAGCTTGTGCTTGAACATAGATTCAGTGTGGAAGTTGGTTACCAAAAAGCTAATATCATATCCCTATTGATTAGATATAATAATGATTGATTGATTGATTGATTGATTAGTATAAGAAAGAAAATAGATTGAATGAATGATTGTTTGTTTGACTTGATATGACACATACCTCGACTGGCTTTCTTCTCAAAATGATAAAGTTCTCAGCTCTTTGAACGAGGAAACGAACGAATTTCTTGGCAAGAATGACTTCAACTTCATCGGACTTCTTGATGGAAACACTGATACGTACAGAGTTGATAGATGATTCGATTAAAACTTTTTCTTGTTTATTACGAGCAATGACGATTGGATTCAAAAGAAGTTCTTTGTTGGTCCTATTATAGGTTGATAATAATTGTAAATGAATTAATAATTTGACTTTTTAAATCAATCTATTTGATTGTTATTATTAACATTCAACATACTTGACTTCAACCTCTGGCTTGTTGTGTCTTTCGACAATTTGTGAAGCAAAGTTCTCGAGACAGATTGCAGCAGTCAATGTGGTTCTAATACAATTTAAATATGGTACTTGAGCTGTAGTCTAAATAAACATATAAAAGTAAAAAATATGATGATTAGAAAATGTAAAGTTGTTTTGTTTTTTAAAGAAAAAAAAAAAAGGTCTCTCTTGAAGTTCAAAATCAAGTATTGGTGTTGCTATTATTATTGAACTAATCTTGATGATTACTATTATTATTATTATTATTATTATTATTATGCTTCTTTTATATTATTATTATTGATTTTAGATCTATTTGAATTTCTAAATTTCTCAAAGATAAGATTTGACTGAATAATCAATAGTTCTGTTCAAACTTCACTTTGCTTGATTCTTTTTTGATTGACTTTGACTGATTTATCTTTATTGAGATTACTGTAATAATTATAGACCAATTGATTTGAATTTTAACCTTTTTTTCTTTTTTTTATATAGCTGTATATAATATTACCATTTTAATATAGTTTTTTTTTAGTTTAAACTTTGTTTAAATAATAATAAATATACAGATAGGTGTTTTTAATTTTAAGAATACAGGGTAATAATAAATTATATTATATTATTATTAGGTTTTAGGATGTGTGCTTATTAATTGCTATTGTGTTCAATTATGATGTTGTTGATGGTTGTTGTATGAAGAGTGGGATATTTTTGCCTTTCAAACCTGAAGCCAACTCAAATGATGAAAAAAACAAAAAATAATAAAAATCAAAAAAATTAAGTGAAAAAATATATTTTAGCCATCATTAAAGTGTGGGTTTTTATTCATCAGAAATAACATTTTTTTTTTGAATAATTTTGGCAATCATTTTGATTTTTTTTTTTTTTTTTTTTTACAAAAAAAAAATAAACTACAAATTAGTAAGTTACTTTTATTTTTTTCAAAAAAATAATCTAATTAATGTTTAATAATAATAAATTAATATGAATATAAATTTAGAATATAACTCAATATTTATAAATGTTGTTATAGCATGCACTTTATTACATTTAGTAATATTTTTATTGTTAGAGTTGAAAATTAGAGTCACCACTACAAAGTGTTTCTTTGGCCTATTATTTATGAATGTAATATGGTGTGTGATGAGTGGATCAAGTTTTATAAAGATCTGGATGTTTTCTTGCAATTCTATTACTTTTCTGATATGTGTGACCAATGGATGGTTGTCGATGAGTCATAGTATCAACGATTCGACTTTAATGTTTTTGAATGTTTGCGGAGGATGGGCTGGTTCTTTGCTGGGTCAAAGATTATTCAAGAATCAAACCAAATGGACCATAATAGTTGCAGCTATAATCAATATTATCATTCTAATTATCATTTTTATAACATACAAATATCTTCAATTTTCATATCGAAATCTTTTATTTTATATTAGAAAAAAAGGTTATTCATTTTTATTCCAATAATAAATATTTATAAATAAACATCTTTTCAATTGTAAAAAAAAAACTATAAATCTGTCAATTCAAAAATCGTTGTTGTTTTCTTTTATTTTTATTTTTAGAATGTCAGAAATAAATAATGATTCAAATATTTTAGTAAACCTATCACATTTCTTATTAAAGAAAATAATTGATTATGTAGAGGATAACATTGATATAATTTGTTTTAGTTTAGTATGCAAACGATGGTTCAATGAAAGAGATAAATATCTATCATTCAACACTAATCAGTTCTATGTTACAGCTATTAATAATACTGATATTCAACAGAATCATCTTCATTTCAACTTGCCATCGTATGATAGTATCTATTATAAATCAATTCAATCAAAAAGAGATTGTGAACTAAACATTGATAATGTTTACTATTTTACATCGACTTTATCTGATTTTCTATTTGAATATAGTAATTATTAATAATTTAAGCAATTGTTAAAGATATATGTTATTAACATTTAATCAAACTCTATTATTATTATATAATCAAGAGGAAATAAGAGAAATTAAAACTATACCAAACTATATCACAAAGATTACATTGGGTTCGAACGAATTCCGTTCATTGGACGATTATGAGTATTTCTATAGAGTGCTATCAGAGTGTGACTCTGTCATAGTTCTAAATGGATGTAGTACTTTGAAATTTGGTTTACCAAAATCAATTGAAACGATTGCATTTAATTCGCACTTTAATGAAGAACTCGAGAAAGGAAGTCTACCTGAAAGTTTGACCGATATCGATTTTGGTTTTGGTTTCAATCAGCCAATTGGTCTTGGTGTTCTACCGGATCGATTGAAAAAGCTTTCGTTCGATGGCCACTATAAAAATATGATCTTGCAACCAGGAGTACTCCCGTCATCACTCAGAGTGCTCGATCTCTCAGCGTATAATGAACCACTCCTATCGGGATCACTACCATCGAATCTTAAAAAGTTAATCTATTCAGGCTATAGAATTGCGTTGGAGGAGAATACTTTACCGCAGTCACTGAGAGTGTTGGTCAATGTTCCAGAGATCTGGGTTCAACGAGTACCACTTCCAAATCTTGAGGAGCTGACCATTTCCAATGGTAATTACCGGCCAATTAACTTGGATCTTCTATCATCGAGAAACTTGAAGAAACTAGTCTTTAAGAGTTCTTATATGTTGTCAGGAACGATGCCTACTTCAGTCAAAACTCTGGATCTGTACAGTTGTATGATAGACTTTGGAGAGCTTTTCCCACCAGCCACTCAATACCACTTGGAAAAGTTTTCATATGCTCTAAATACACCGATTCCATCCAATATTAGAATCGATCGACTGGAAATCGATGGAAGTTTACTACAGCCTATAAGTTCTCTACCCGCTGAATTGGAATCATTTTCTTTGCAAGTGTCAACCTTTGGTTCATCTTGTCGCGTCAATTGTCCTCTTCCTCCATCCCTCAAAGAATTGAATGTTTCCTTTGATCTTATGATGCTGTCTCCACATGAAAAGCCAAAATCAATTGAAACACTTCATCTAGGTGCTCAAAACCTCAATAGATACCTATCGAGGGTTCCAACTTCAGTCAAAACACTAACTTTTTCAAACCTAACTAAAATTGATAGCATTCCAAAGAACATTAAAAACGTCACCAATTTCATCTATCAAAGTCAAAGATTTAGTTACGACCGATTTACAATTAGAAAGTTGGATGATAACTACTATTTAATAATAGGTACATATCAAAATAATTTAATCGCCAAAATCGTTAATCAATCAAAATTGGTACAATATTTTAATCCATTAGAGGATAAGCTATCACTCCACAGATTCATTTCAGATGCTGAATTTTGAAGCGTTTAAATAAAGGATATCAATTTTTTTTTAGAGTTAACCTAATGGATCATATATTGATTGTATTATTTAATTGGGAAAAACAATTTGTATTAATATATAAATAAATGTAATAATTTAAAAAAGTTCCTTTATTCATCCAGAATGAATCAGATACTTTGTTATCGATGGCTCTGTTGAATTCCCAGTTGATATGAGTCTGATTGACGACATTCAAAATACCATATCCAAGGTAGGTATGACGATGAGCACTCCATTCTGGCTTGAATGGGTCGAAAAGTGGATCCAATCCTTCCCAATTTCCACCGACACCTACAGCAATATAAACGGTACCCTTTGGCTCTTCGAATGATCCCATAACTTTGTTTTCATAGACTGGATAGGTACGCTCGTAGGCATGTGTATGTCCAGCAATGAAAATGTCAACGTTGTATTTCTGGAAGAGTGGATCGTAAGTGTTGAAAAGTGCACCTGTGTGGTTACCGTAACACCATTGCATGATGATCGAAGTGCAGTAGAATGGACGATGGGCATAGGCAATTAGCCAAGTGTCTGGGTTGGACTCACGGAATTGTTGCAAGTGGTTCTCCAACCAGGTGTATTGTTCCGAACCGTAGGTATAGGAATTCTCTGTTGAGATTGCAACAAAGTGGACACCATTGTAGTCAAAGGCATACCAAGTTTGAGCAGGTGATTCACTTGGCATCAACCAAGAGGCAGAGTAGGCAGATTTATTGTAGAAAACATCATGGTTTCCAATGCATACCATGTAGGATTGCATCGATGACAATGGTGTAATCGATTTCATAAATTCATTCCAAACAGTCATATTTCCAAGCATTCCAGATTGAAGTCCACCTTCAACATGTGAATGTGAGTGAGAGTGTGACTTGGTATTTCCTGATTCCAAATCTTTTTCTGAATAATCTGCATAAGCTATAAATATAAATTTAATTATTATTAATATATAATTATTATTTTTAAAAAAAAATTAATATTTACCAATGTCACCAACATGTAAAGTCCAATCGAATCTGTTGGTATTCTCTAAAAGATTGTGTACAGTGTCCATGTAATCTCCTCCACCCATGTCACCAAAGACGTTGAAAGAGAATGGTTTGAAAGTGGTGGCACCAGCACCAGTGGTAAAGTTATAGACTGGTGACCAGAGGTTTTGTTGAGAGTCACCTACTTGATAGAAATATTGTTGGAGAGCATTCAAATTTGACATGACGGCAGTGTTGACGAATCCACTCCATCCTGGGAATTCACCGTACTCTGTAAAGGTAGATGGAGACAATGACATGTCTACTGAATCTGCAGTGTCTGCTGAAAATTGTTGGCTTGAAAAACGAACGGCACCAACAGTCTGATTTACTGTGTACCAAGTAGCACGCATCTCGCTCTGAGATGTTGTAAATGCCAAATTTACATTATTTGGTAGAACGTTTTGTGATCTTACTACTACTACCAAAATAAAAATAAAAAATATATAAAAATTATTTCTATTCATTTTTTTTTATTTAAAAAAAAAGTATTTATGGAAAAAATGTATAAATAAAATAAATAAATTAACGAAATAATAATTAAATATTTCTATATAGAGAGAGAAATTAAATTTTTCCTTTCAAAAAGTTAACTAACTAGATAATTCATTTAGATAGTTTTCAACAAAAATCATCTTTTGACAAAATGTTTAAAAAAAAATAATAATAATTAATTATTATTATTTAATTTCTAAATCTATAAAAGCGATCATACTTTTCTGAACAAAGATTGATCAAAATATTGTTGGGGAGCCTCCTTTGCAGACTGAAATTTACAAAAAATATTGTTGTTGATTTTGGTCCAGCCCCAAATGTGTAAAAGGGGGCTCGTAGAGAAAAAATCATTTGAAAAACCAAACTTTAGATCTTTTTTTTTAGATTTGAAAAAAAAAAAAAAGAAAAAAAAAAATAGAATACTTTTGCATCTTGTCATCGTTGTTTTTCATTCAAATAATTAATCTATTATGATCGACCGATCAAAAATGTATGAAAATTCATAGAGTAATAAATCTTTTTTTTTAAACAAGTTATTTATTTATATTTATTTATGCACCTCTGGCTCTATTAATTGTTTGCCTATACTTGATAAATGTATACCAAAAACTTGCCAAAGTACTTAATAATAGTCCATAAACTAAAACTAGAGATAAAACAACATCACCAAACATAAATAGACCGATTATAGTTTGTAGAATTGATTTAATTTGACCTGTAATACTGGTTGTCAGTGGTGAGTTGTAAGTTGAACATAAAAATATGAAATAATTTAACAAGAATGCTTGGACTGATGACATTAAGAAACAAAACTATAAAGACAAAATATTAGTTAGTTGGTGTTAGTTATAATAACGAGTGTATACTATGGTAACTTACTTGGAAACCTAAATTAGAGTAGTTTTCATATTGTAAAAGTCCTTGACCTTCGGTGATGACGGTGAGAACAATGGTTGCGGGAATTGATATAATATTACAGTAGAACATAAGACCGAATGTGTTTAGTCCAGTTTCCTTTGATTTCTTTGCGATGTAAATGAGATAACCAGCTGTGACAAAGCAGTTGAATAAGATATAGATCGATCCAATAAAGTCGAATGTGACATCACCCCAACCTGCAATCATGGCACCAACTACCATCAGAACCACAGACTGTATCTCATCGGCTGGTGTTTTCTTTTCCAGTAAAATACGTTCACCAATGATAACGATCAATGTCGACAGACGTCTCAACGCACTGAACAAAGGTACGTTGGTCTTGGCCAACGCTGCCAAACCAGAGACAACCATCAATATAAATAAAAGTGATAATGAACTTAGCTATAAAAAAAATAAAATAAAATGTATATTAAATTAATATTAAGTTATCCTTTACATAAATAGTATTTATATATATATATAGTTAATTTGATAGTTTACCTTTTTAATTAAATCCATATTTAAATCAGGATATGATATCATTTTAAAGTGTTTCATTATTACCAAGAAGAATAAAGAGAATAACATTTGACCAAGAGTCAAGGCATTTGAGTAGTCGAAGCCATAATAACTGAGTACTGCTTTATTAAAGAATGTAATTGATACTGATGTTACACCATATCCAAATGCTACCAAGAAACCTTTATGTTCCTCTACAAACTTTTCAAGTATCATTTTTATAGATTGATTATATATATATATATTAATTGATTATTTTTTATAAAGGTGAAATGTGATGAGTGCTAACAGTAGTGTAGTATTACTATTATTTATATATATTATACTGTTCTTATTTAAATTATATAATTGATTGATTTAATATAAATCGAATAGGTGAAAGAATAGTATTTGATTTTGAAGTGTTGAAAGACTGAATGTAAAAAGATTAATTAATAAATATCCTATAGTAATAACATATTATTAAAGTAATAGATATGATTATTATATTATTATTACTATTATTAAAAATAAAATATATTTATTTGTTGCTTTTTTTAGAACAATTAAAAAATTGTTTTTTTGCAAAATTAAAAAAAAATGAAGTCGTTTCAATATCAACGTCTGCATAGGAAATGTTTTAACTGATAATTAATTATTATTGATTTACTGTTAGTTGATAGTGATTTATTAATTTCTAATCTTTAGGATTCTAATTCTATTTATATAAATATATTAGTTATTAAATGATTAAATTATTCTTATTTATTAATAAATATGAAAAATAAGAAATAGATAGATAGATTTGATTTGATTTGATTTACATTAGGCAAGTTGTTGAAGTGGAGTAGAGTAATTTGAAGTGTGAGTAATGTTTATTTGACGAATCTTCTTTGATGTTAAAAAATAAATAATCAAATGAATTTTTATCATAAACTCACACACACACAATTCTATGACCAATGATGATACCCATACTATATTATGATAAAAATAAAAAAAAATAAAAAAAAACAAAATGTACAAAAATTATACAAGATGTGGGTGTAGTTTTACCTTAACTTGTTTACACACACCAAACATACGATCAATAAATAATCAATAATAATTAAAATAAACTTACAAACTTTGTATTGTTTTTTTTTGAAAATTACAAATATTAATGTATTATTGTTTTTTTGTTTTTGTTTACTTTTCTTCTTTTCAATTGTTTTTTTGATTAGATTTGATTGTTTTTTTTTAATATAGGTGTGGAGATTTGAATTATATTGTTATGTTGATTGTAGTTATGATAATATAGTATGGTATGATTATGGTTATGATTGTTTTTTGTTGTTTTTTCTATTTTTATAAACCAGAAACATAACCAGGATTTCCAACTTTAGTTATACGTTTAGAATAGAAATCTTTGAATGCTTCATCTTTTGGAACGGGTTTCATTAGTTTGTTTGGAGGATCCAATTTGTACAGAGTCTTGAATTGATAGCGTTCACGTAAAAAGTCGGGTAGTGTTTTGTTTGGACCGATCTCTTCTGGCCTCACCAGATAATGTTTAACACGCTCGTTCTCGTCGTTCGTAACGTAGGCCACGGCAAACGAACCTGGCAAACTATCACTGAATCTAATTAAAAACGAACCTTCCTCTGCCGGATACAAACTACTGTTACACTCATTCTTTGAAATGAATCCACATATCAAACCTTCGAACCACAACGATGAAATATGTCTCTTGAAATGAATCGTCTGCAAAATCGGACCAAACTTTGCCCAAAATTCTTTACACTCTGTTTTTGTAAGAGATGCTTTCGATCCTATAATAATAATTTAATAATAAAATAATATTATTCGTTAGTTAATTTGTTATTTTATAAACACTTTGTTTACATATGTTTCTTACCAAAATGATTTTGTTGTATATAATCCCATTCCCATGTATGTAATTTTCTTTTTGGTTCGTTTGGAATTTGTCCTGTCGTTGTGAACACGTGACTGTGTAGGATGTTGGCGAATAGTTCCCATGGGACTTCACTGCGATCTTCAAAGATTTCACCGACCAGTAGTTTACCTGCTGCCTCTGACCACTGAGATTCGTTGGTGATTACTACGATCGGATTGGTTTGAACCGATTCTATAGACTTGCTCGCTTTGTTGCCTTTGTCCTTGACGGTTGCAGTGAATTTGAGATGCGATGGGTTCATACGTGTGGAGATATTGACTTTCAAGTTGGTAAAGGTTGCTTTCAGTTTGTCGAGTGAACATTCGTTGTTCTCGAGTGACGGTGTCGCCGCTGACTTTTCTTTCTTGGTGGCCGATTCGCTCTTGTCGATCTGTGCGGTCACCGTCGAGATCGAGTCGGGCATCATGACACCGGTGACCAGCTCGATATTGTATGGATCGGCAATACCTTTGCCACCACGAAATATGACTTGCGAAGGTGGTTGTTGCAGTAGGATGATGGCGCAACAACTCTCTGGTTTCTTCTTGTTGAGCACATATTGTAGTTCGTTGTAGAGTACATCGACGATACGATAGTGAGATTGCAAACCTTCGATTGTCTTTCGAATCTGATGGAGATCGGGTGGTTGTAATATCGTTTTCGACAGCAGATTCTGTAGTTCCGCTTTCTCCTCGTCGATCTCCTTCTTCATTGTCGTGTAGACACCGTGCAGTTCGTTTGCCAGCACGATGTCGTGTGTTGTGATAACGGTGACCTGTTGTTCTTTCGCCTTGAGGAATCGTTCGTTTCTCTCGTGATAACGGTTGATCAGGTTATTGTAGAACTCTTGTGATATCTTTTCAGTGTTGGTTCCAGCGTATTTATTCAATCCACCGAGGAACGACGATTGCGACAGGTTCTGCGATGACGATTGTCTCATCTTTTCGACGTCGTCCTCGAGTTTTTCGGTTTGTGAACGCAAGAAGCTGAGATGTACATTGAGGTTGGCAACCTTGCTGATCTGCTCTTCATAGGGGTCAGAGTAGTTGGCAGTTGAAGTGGCGGGCATGCCCTGTAGTTGGAGTGTTGCTGTGCGTGCCAGTTTGGTGGGTGGTTCATACTCATTAGGTTCGCCATTGGGTGTTGGATGATGTGCATCTCCCAGATCATTCTGTATCAGATTACTCAGTGGATCGTTTAACGCCGATGCACTTCTTCCAAAACTCGGTTGATAAACGAGTGGAGGTGGATTGTTTAGCTGATGTTGTTGTTGTTGCATACTACTATCGTGATCGATAATAGTTGGAGTTGGAGGTGTAGCTACAATTTCATCGTCATCATTTGTTGTATTCATAGGTGATGATGATGATGTATTATATTGTTGTTGTTGTTGATTTTGTTGTTGATGTTGATGTTGTTGGAATTGATAATTAACATTTGTATAAGGATTAGATTGTCCTAGTGTAGAATTACCACCAGATGTTGTTGTTGTGGTTGTGGTGGTTGTTGTAGAGGCGGTAGATGAATTGACATTGGGATGTATAGATTGGAGTAGTGACCCAAAACTCTGTTGGTGTCCGGCATTCGATAGTGAGTTTTGCATAAAAAAGTTTGATTGATTCGACACGTTGTTTGACCACTCGACATCCTGATTGAAGAAAGTATTCAATACGGTGTCTTGCTTGGTTAGAGTCGATGGAAAGGTATTTCCTGATAAACCCAGATTCGATACCTGTGGTTGATGTAGCCCAGTGCCAAAGAATGAATTCATCATCACATCGGATGAAGTCGACATCCATTCTTTGTCCTGTGTTGTTCCATGTTGTTGAGTATCACCACCATTACCAGCACTACCATTACCACCGTTTAAGTTATTAGCTGACGACTGTTGTTGACTACCATCCATATCTCTATCTCTATCTCTCTAAAAATGTGTGATTGATTTTAAAAATCAAAAAAAATAAAATAAATAAAAAATATCTATTGATTATTTATATATCTTAATTATATCTTTTTTTAATTATTTTATTACTATTATTATTATTATTATTATATTTTATAAAATCGACTGTTATTATTATATTTGTAAATGTATTGAATATCAACTAATAAAAATAATAAATTTGCAAAAATTTTTGAAAAAATTATTCGAAGAAAATTTTATTTATATCATTTTTTATCACAAAAAAAAAGATCTCATAAACAATTGATTGGTCGATGGAAAAAAAAAGACTTGTTTCCTTTACCAAAAATCATAATCATATTTTATTGATCATTTAATATATTATAATTTTTTTATTTTTTGAATAAATATTATCGTATCATCATCTTTTTTAGATTTTTAAATAATCACACATATTATGATCATGATATATATATGGATCTTTTAACAAATATATCTTTTGATTTTTTTAACTTTGTAACTACTTATTGTAAACAGTAAACTGTAAACATGAGCCAATTAAACTATAAAAATATAAATAACAACAAAGATAGATAATTATTATTTAAAAATGAAGCAATCGAATTTTATAAAATGTATTTTGGTTTTAGTATTACTATCGTTTGTAATGATATGCAATTCTATTAAAATAATAGGTGGTGATAATGAAATCGATGAAGATCAGTTGTCAGGTGTCTATGTGGTAGAGTCACTTTATACAGCATACAACTGTACTGGTACTTACTTGACAAATCACTATTATAAGAGTGGTGCATGTATAAACAGAGAGTTATTTCATTGTTCGCTTGACCAAGACTACATCACCATCTTTGAATATCCAACCGGTGTAAATGACTGCTCAGGAAAACCAGAATCTAAACATAATTTCGCTCATGGCTGTAATGGTCAATTTGGAAGAATCATTTATAATTGTACTCAATTTTAATAATAAAAAAGAATAAAAGTTAACTTTTATTAAAAACTATTTAAATATAGTATTGTTTTCAAGAGTATGTATTTAAATTTTAGGTTATTATAAAGAGCGAATTCAAAATTTGGTTGTATATCTATAGGCCGTCTTAGCTCAGCTGGTAGTAGCGTAAGACTGAAGATCTTAAGGTCGTTGGTTCGATCCCGACAGATGGCATCATTTCTTTATTAGAATTAAGGACGCATGCGGAATTTAAAAAAAAAAAAATCCAGATAAGGACCTGTATATTGGTAGCCGCCATACCGAAGATCTAGACCGTCGCCATTCTCATCCAAGCGGTAAGCAACACCGTGAAGTTTCATGCATTTTCTATCGCGAAGCAAACTGCTGTCTTGAATTTACTGTACATTCCCTTGTTGGTAGCTTTACGTTTAGAAGAGAGTGGGACGTGCTTTGAGAGTTTAATTGGAGAGGCAGGTGAGATTTTGGTAAATCTTCAGTTGGTAACTCTCAAAGCACGTCCCACTCTCTTCTAAACGTAAAGCTACCAACAAGGGAATGCGGAGGGGTAGCTGTTTTGGATTTCAAGTCAACTAACCATCCAGATTGGTCACTCTTTGGTTCTCCAATCTCAGTTCCTGCATATATCCAAGGTCAAAGGGCCTATGCTACGTAACAGCATATTCCGGCTGTACTCTCACACCTTCCCCATCAACCACAAGCGCACTGGTCATGTCTGTGAGTTCTGTGGTGACACCTTCACTGAACTCTGCAACCCACATGAGCATTTCTTCTTCAAATGCAGGAATGTAGTTTCACAGCAGTTCCTTTCCTTTATCAAACATATATACCACAAGTACTGTAACTATAGACTTCGCAATTGGAAGCACTCGTGCATCAAGTTCGACGGTCCTATTCGTACTACTGTCCACTTCACCCACCTTACTGCTGCTATCGTACATTCGTTATGGCAGGCGCTGTCCTGTGAAATGTTTGGTGATGGTACCCATTACAAGCTGGAAAATACCGTCAAAAGAGCAGTCACCCATTACACCAAATTAATAGATGCCAATTACCACAAGCTTAACTTCACAATCGCTAATTCTATCTCCCAAGGAATCACTGTCGATTGCTCTGCAATGACACGTAAATTTAAATCTGATTGGAATCTAAATCCTTCCAACTGCGTGGAACCACTTTATACTGTTGTTCATCAACACTTAACTACTGTTAGATCTATTCTATCCTAATACTACTAAACTTATTAATTAATAATAACTATAAACAATAATAATAATAATAATATTTTATTGACTATTTCTCACTGCCTGTGTGAGAATGTATATATAATATAAAACACGAACTAGCAGGTTAATATCAATACCTGCAATTTGTTGACTGATCGTGATTCAACAAATCTTTTTTTGCAAAAAAAACAAAAAAAAAAGAATGTATGTGGTCCAACACAAGCTTTAATCGATCAGTTTTTCAATCTGGTACCAGCATTCTCTCAACTTTTGATTGACTTGAATTCCATTTCGATTTTGAATATAATCTAACACCACATACATTAAAGTGCCTGACAACCGTTAAAGAAAACACGTCAGACACGTTTCTCTAGAGTACCGCTGAGAACTGCAATACCAACAAAGTCGGTACCTTTGAAGAATCAGTGTCAAGAGTACAATAATGATTAGGATAGAAAATAAATAAATGTGAAATAAGAGAAAAGTTGTATACCTTTAAGAATCCTGATTGTTTGTTTAAATAGTTGTTTGTCTTCTATTCTCTTACTTGATAAATTCGATGTTTTAGTTATTTTAATTCTTATACTTAATGAGCTATTAATGTGTTATTTTTTTAATATTCGATTATATTTGAGGTGTGTTGGTTATAATATCATTGGTTGTGTGTTTGTATGACGAATCAAAGTGCTCTCCTATTACTATTAAATTTAATAAAAAAGTATTAAGCTAGAATAGATTAAACTGTAGTTGAATGTATAAATGATATTATTCATCTTTATTTTTAATTTTTTTTCATTTTGAAGATTCAAATAAACTTTAAATTAGTGCTATTTTCTTTTAAAATATAATTTTTAGATTAATAGACTTAAAATGTTTGGTAAAAAAAAAGAATCTAAAAATAAACAAAAATAAGGATTTGAGGTTGTTAGAACATCATTATGGATAGTAGATAGATCAAAAGAGTTATCTAACAAAAAAACAAAAAACGGATATTTTTATTAATAATAAATAGTAATTTTAAAGTTCTATCTTTATTAAGTTTAATTTCCTTTATTTTATAATAGAGATCTATTTCTTTTTGTTGAGAGCTTCAAAAATGAAATCGAAATGATCACCAAAATAGACAGACCAACCAAAGAAAGTTGTTCCATTGGCACTTTGTTGAGAAGAAACACCTTGTGAGTTATTGAATTTAGAAATCATTTCAGTCGATGATTGATTTCCAATGGTAAGATTTCCAAGATTTTCTAAATGTTTTTTTGAAAAATAATTAGAAAAAAATAAAATTATGAATAAAAATATGATATTTTGTTTTAATACATACTGTATAACATTTTCGAAATAAAATTATTATTCTTTAACTTATAAATATTTAGTTTGATATAATAGTTCAAAATTTCTTCTTATTTATAATAAAAAAAATTTGGATTTAATGACTATGATTGAATTTTAAATAACCAATATTTTTAAAATTTTATTTGAATAGTATCTATCTAGATCTCAAATTTAAAACTATTATTGTTATTCCAATGAAATAAAAACTAAAATTAATAAATCAAAAAAAAAAGAATAAGTTTTAAAATTGAAACTTGTTTTTGAAGTAAATTGTTTTAAAAGGCAGTTTATAAAACATTAGAGTACTTTCGAATAGATAAATGTCAAGAATAGTTTTTTAAAAAATTAATTGTTTTTTATTTCCTAAAAGATTTAGATTCTTTAACTTTGCAATATTTGGGTTTAATGTTCAAAAATGATTCATACTATTGATACCAAAAGAATAAAACTTTTAATAAAAACAAAGATATATATTTATTTTAAATGTTTATATTATTCGAAAAATCCAAACTAATGAGATGAATTGTGATTGATAAGAGATAAATTATAAATAAACTATTGGTTACAAATTTGAATTCTAAAAAATGATCTTTTTAGTATAAATAGTTAACAATTTTGGTCAAATTTAAACCAAACAAATATTTTCAACAATATAATTTTCTAAAGAATTCGAAAATGTTATACCGTAAGTAAAAAATAAATATTTAATATTTAAAATAATTATAACTTAAAAAATAACAAACTTTTAGAAAATATAGGAAATCTTACCATTGGAAATCAATCATCAACAGATTTGATTTCTAAATTCAATAACTCACAAGGTGTTTCTTCTCAACAAAGTGCCAATGGAACAACTTTCTTTGGTTGGTCTGTCTATTTTGGTGATCATTTCGATTTCATTTTTGAAGCTCTCAACAAAAAGAAATAATTAAAAATTATTTATATTTATAATATTAATTTAAATAAATAATAATATTTATAACATTTTTTTAATACTTTTAATATTAATAGACTTTTTAGTTATATTTTATCTTAGTTTATTAGGTGAGTTGTCCATTTCAAAAAGGTTTTAAAGGAGAGACTAAAATGTATCAATTGAAGAAAATATTAATAAAAATATAATTTTTAATAGTGTTACTTTTTTGATTTAAATACATTCTTCTATTGATTGTCTATTTATACTATTTCCTTTTTTTCATTTACTGACTTATTAATTTCAAATAGATAGATTTAAAGTATTTTAAGAATATTTATAATCAATAGAGTAAGTATCACTCTATTACACAATTTCTTTATTATTCATCAATCAGATATTAAGTTAAATAAAAATACTTAAAGAAAAAGTAACTTTGATATATTCTTTTAAATTTACAACTACATTCTATATGATAGTTAGTTTTTATTTGGTTTACTTTTGAGAACCATCATAGAAACGTACTATCAAGAGAAGTGTTGATTGCTTTTGAATCTTATTTACTTTAATTTATTTAAGTTTAATTAAAAACTTGTTAATAAGTTGTGATTGATTGATGAATGCTCCAATGAATCGATTGTTTGATTGACCAAAGATTAGGTAGTTTGAATCGTCAAGTTTTCTTAAGAAGATTCGATCTTCTGACTGTTTGAAACAGATGTTTGAAAGTTCTCTCGGGATTATTACATCGGTTGTTGGAATTGTTAGAGGATTCACCAGTTCTGGTAGACTGCAAAAGGTTTGTCCGATGTCATCTTTAATAATTAACTCTTGAAGTGCATTTGGAATAAAGTCAATATGGTCATATTGATTATTGCAATCGACTTTAAAAAATTCGACAGACTCTGGTACCTGAATGTCTTGAAGTAATATCATGGCGCTACAATAGCGGAAGCTTAGATATCTAACACCGTTTGGTATATCTCTTAATAGACCTTCACCACCGTATTCATCTCTAAATGCAATGTGTAGGTGATCGATCTTTATATTCTCTAGCGAACCCAGTGTGAATCCATCGACTTTCAGAGTTTCGAAATGATATTGTGATCGATCATTAGTGAATATCTCATCGACATCATAGCGCGCATTGCTAATATCGAGATACTTGATTGTTGGGGGCATCACTGATTTCAAATGAATATCATCATAGATAATAAGCTTCGTTACAGAGGTAGGCAGTACGTTTAAATCTAAAAATGATTCGGGATGACTTGGTGAAGCGTGGACCGCCAACGTTTTTAGATTCCGATAGATTTGGAACAGTGGTGAATTGATCCATGTAAATGGTACACCTATGAATGTGTGGACGGTGGTTGGCAGTATACCATTGATGAGTTCCGAGCAGTGTCCGGAGTAGTGGAATACTTCTAACGCCGGAGGTAACGATCCAACCTTGAGATCGTTCTTGTTGAACCACGAGTTACTATTCATCTTCAGAACCTTCAAAGACAAAGGCAATACTCCTGGTTCTATTGGTCGACTGAACATCTGGTCAAGTGTTAGTTTCTCCAGTCGCTCTGGGAGAACACCACGCTTGATTGGTTGATCAAACCTGAAACCAAATCTAAGTTTCTTGAGGTTTGGCGGAAGAAAACCTGGTTCCAGTGGTTCATTAAAGTATGAATCGAATGCTAGCGATACTAAATTTGCTGGCAGTTGATATCTAAGTGTTTGGCATGCCACTAGTTTGACAACATTGGAATTAGCCATCAATTGATAGATTTTCTCTGTAATCGACTGACCAACCTCCAAATGTACTGAAAAGTCTGTAAAAAATTCAACTTGATTTACATTTGAAGCTATTTTATCAATGTGTTTTTGTTTATCTAGATTATATTAATAAGTAATATTAGTACATGTACAATAATGATTAGTTTTTATTTTAATATCTTTTTTTTTACTTACCGTGTAATAATGTACAATTTGTTATTTGATTGATTGAATTGATTAGAATAGATTTATATGAATTCAAATAGATTTCATTTGTAATATCTTCTTTGATAGCTTTGATGTATCTCGTACTAAAAGATAGATATTTATGTCTTTCATTATATAATCTTTTACAAACTAGACTTAGACAAACTCTATCTATGTTATCAATCAATCCATTAGTAATCTTTGACAATAACAAATGTGATAGATTTACAAATAAATTCGAATCATTATCTTGATTATGATAGCGACTATCCATAATTTTAAAAACTATATGTTATTTTGTTAGATATGGTGGTATATTTTCGATTACTGATGTTCAATCATTTTAAATAAGATCTGTTACAAAGTTAAACTAGTTTAAATAGTACTACTATAAAATGTCACATAAGGAAAAAGTTTTTGGATTTTAAAAATCAAAAAAAAATAAAATAAAACAAACAGTTGTTAGACCGGTGAAGTTATTATTAGTATATAATTCTTTAGATTAAATTAATCATGCAAATTTTTGTTAAGACTCTTACAGGGAAGACTATCACCTTAGAGGTGGAAGGTTCGGATACCATTGAAAATGTAAAGACTAAAATTCAAGACAAGGAGGGAATCCCACCCGATCAACAACGTTTAATTTTCGCTGGTAAACAACTAGAAGATGGTAGAACACTTTCGGATTACAACATTCAAAAGGAATCAACACTTCACTTGGTACTCAGACTACGTGGTGGTATGGAAATCTTTATCAAGAGCTTGACTGGAAAGATCATTACTTTGAAAGTCGAGGATTCAGATAGCATTGAGAATGTTAAGAGCAAGATTCAAGAAAAGGAAGGTATTCCACCCGATCAACAACGTCTCATTTTCGTCGGTAGGATTCTAGATGATGGAAGAACTCTCTCTGATTACAACATTCAAAAGGAGTCAACTCTCATTTGGTTCGTAAGTAAGGCTCGTCATAGTTATAATCATGATTGAATAAGAATAATCGATTAGATTTTTTTGAAAAAAATATTCGATTATAATCAAACAAATAAAAAAATTTTAAAAATTAATCGATGATTTGACTTTACAACCAAAACATAATACTGACTATTTTTGACAATTTTGATATCAATATACTCGTATAGTTGTTATCTATAATTATATCTTTGTTTTATTTCGTGATGTGATCATTTCAAAAAGTGATTCTTCTATTACTATAATAATATGTTTAAAAAACAAAAAAATTCAATTTTTATTTTAATAAATTAAATTAAAAAATATTTTTAAAGATAGAATAAAATAGAAATTATTATTATTTTTTGATAAATTTGATATCAATAGACTCGTCTAGTTATTATCTATCATTATATCTTTATTTTATTACATGAGGTGTTGATTTCACTAAAAAAGCTTGGTTGTAAAAATAAATTGAAAATAGATTCCTTCACCAACAATTTTTTTTGGAATAACTTCATTTTATCCTCTTAGATATTGATTGCTATGAATTGATCAAAGCACCAATAAAATTTGAATATATTTATTTTTTCTTTGATTTATTATCATCAGTTTTCTTTTTTCTTGCAGCTTCTGCTTCTTTAATCTGATTTTTAGTTCAGCAATACACGTTTAAATAAATTAGTTTAATTGATAATCTTGATATAATCTCGTCATTACTTAAATAATACATACAGAATCTTTAACTTTTGAATGTGATTGAGATTTTGAATCTTTATTTTGTTTGGCATAGGCATCGAACCAATCACTTCTTGCCTTTGCTTTAGCTCTGTCTCCACAACCATGTATTTCATATAAACTAATAATAATAGGGTTTTAGATAAAAGTTAAAATCAGTATGTAATAGTATGCTAATCAATCATTTAGATAATACATACAAGTGATGATTACAGAATTTTCTTGAGCAAAACTCACATACTCTTCCCAATAACTGTACATTATTCTTACAATTTTTAATTCCACATTTTGTTATATCACTATAATAATAAATGCTGTTAGATTAATTATTTAAACATTAAAATTAATATATATATATATATAACTTACATTGGTTCAATTTGAATATTATTAAATGATTCCAATAGTTCTTCTCCTAAATCTTTCTTTGGTACCGTTGGTTGTTTCTTCTTGGGTGCTGCTGGTTTCTTTGATTCTACTGGTTTTGATTTGTTATTCTTTTTCTTTTTCTTTTTAGATTTACTTGTAGTTGATGATGATGAAGTTGTTGTTGTAGTTGATGTTGTATCTTCATCATCTTCTTCTTCATCGTCATTATTATCTTCAACATCTTCTTCATCATCAACATCTTCTTGTTCTTTGTTAACTTTATGATCAACTTTTATCTTCTTTGTTATGGTTATTACTCTTTGATTGGCTTCACCTGTACTTTCATGTTGTAAATCCAACTTCTCTGCCAATTCATGTATTAAAAGTCTCTGAAAGTTTGTAGTTGTCGATGGGAATGTATAGACGGAGTTTGATGACTTTAAGAAACTGTCAATCACCGATTGTATTTGTTGGAGATCCTGTTGTCTTTCTTGTTCACTTCGATTGACATGATCTACTTTTGTCTTTGCATGTTCTTTCTCTTTCTTTTTTGCACGCTTCTCTTTCTTTAGCTCTGCCTGTGATTGTCTTGCTTTCGATTGATAACCAACATTGTTGTTGCTTTCATCGTTGTTAACTTTATCATCGTCATCATCTTTAGACTTTGACCATGATTCTTCATCGGATGATACTTGCTGCTCTTCTAGATACTCCAACGCCGACCGCAACTCACCGTTCAACTTGAAATACTCAACCATTCTCGCTAGGAACGGGTTGGAAGAGAGTGTGTCAGTGTCCGATACCAATGTAACCTGACGCTTCGCTCTGGTGATAGCTACATTCATACGACGTTCCTCGGCAAGAAAACCAACGTTGTGAGGAGCGGCATTCGATCGCACCGTCGATATGATAACGACTTCCTTCTCACGACCTTGAAATCCATCGACCGTGCCAATCTCGATATCCGAGAATCTGTTGGACAGCACCATTTTCAGCTGTTTGACCTGTCCGTTGTATGGTGTGATCACACCGATCGACGATTGTTCTACTCCATAACGCAACAGTTTCTCAATGTATTTAACAACGATATCCGCTTCACCAACATTGAATTTACTCTGTGATTCATCGTCTGCCGACTCCTCCATATCCAGTCCACTGGTATCGATCAACATCAACGGACAGGTGGTAGTTGTCGCCACTCGATTCTTGGTTGATCTCTCCAATAGCAGATGATTAGCAACGGAATTATCAGCCAACATTCTTCCGTGATAAAACTCATCGGATGACCATCTCATGATCTCTTGATTCATTCTGTACTGTACACTCAATAACCTAGAGATATTCTCCTGATAGAGTTGAATCAGTCGTTCAAACATAGTTGTCTCTAGACCATCGGACTTGGCCTGCTCCGAGTGAATCGTAGGTGGAAGTTGTTGATGATCACCGGCCAACAACAGTTTCTTTCCTCTGGAAATGGGGATCCAACAACTTGCTTCCAGCGCTTGTGCAGCCTCATCGATGATCACCCAATCGAATGGCTCGCACCGCGACAACACATAATCGGCGGCACCCGTATTCGTCGAGAGTATAACATTGGAATTCCTAATGACCTGATCGACCAATGAGAACTCTCTATTCTTTAGATCCTTACGAAGATCCCTTATCGTATTGTAAACCGATCGTCTAGCACCTTTCTCAACTTGTCCATCCTTCAACTGTTTCATCAACGTTGCAATCTCTATCTTTATCTCCTTGAGAATCTGCGCATCCTGTCCATTCTTTGTTTTGTGATCGAGAGTATGCTTTGTCAGACCCGATAGAATTCTTGCTGGATGACCAATACGTGTTGGATTAACAATATCCTTAAACTCTAGTAATCTCTCCAAAATATTATCCACCGAAAGATTAGACGGACCACAAGCCAACACTCTTCCACCACCTTTACAAACTTGAACAATAAATTCAACGACTGTCGTTGTTTTTCCTGTACCTGGAGGACCATGTATTAATGCAATTTCTAAAGTGGATAATTACTATTAGTTAAATGATAATAAAAAACAACTATCTATCTATATTATATTATATTATAAATTTACCATTTGATGATAAAGCAAATTCGATTGCTTCAATTTGTGGTTGATTCAGCTTTTTGGAGACAGCTGATATTTTTACTTTTTTTATGGTGTGTGTTGGTTCTTGGTTGGAGAATAGGATATCGGTGATTGGAGAGTTGGTAGTTTTCAGTCGTTCGATGGCATCTCTCATCTTACGATAGGTAATGTCGTTGGCAAGCTTGTCGATTGCAAACACACCTTGTAGTTGCTCGATGGTACTCTCTGCGAGGTCATCGTAGGCAACGGTGATACGCGAACGATCGACACGATATACGATACCGGTGACAAGTGATTGTCCGGGTTGAGTTTTCAGTGCTCTCAAACCAACGACATCACCCGGTGTGAATTTATGTGGTGGTAGATCTTGATTCGGTGCAGCATTCACTGGAACCAAACGAACTAGACAACGACCACCCAAACCAGTGGAGAACGATTCTATCACTAACTTTCTAATGCAAATACCTTTCAATTCTAGTTGTCGATTGGATAGAGTCGATTGTAAACTAACTGACTCTTCAATCTCTGATTCCTTCTCTATCTCCAACAACTTTAAAGTATGATCAATCCATTCATTTTTATCTCTAATCTTTATATTTTGTGTTGTTGTAGTAGTAGTACTTTGTTTTTTATCTTTTGTTTTATTCATATCTTCATTTAAATTATCTTTGTGGTGTGATCATACAAAAATTCCAAACAATTAAAAATCAAAAATCAAAAAAATAAAAACATTGCGATCAAAAAAGTATATCATTGTTTATTCTTGTTTTTTTAACAAAATTATTATTATTATTATTATTATTATTATTATTATTATTATTATTCCTCAATTATTGTAACAATAAAAATTAAAAAAAATTAAAAATAAATTTAAAAAAAAAATTTTTAATTTAAATAAATATCTTTTCAATTCGAAATGATTCTTCTTTTTGATGTTCTCTAATGATTAAAAAAGATATTATATTATATAATTATAATGAATTTTACAAAACTATAAATATATCGATGGAATATTCATATCTTAATTTATCAATCTGCTTAAAAGAGTAAACAAAATTGAGTGGTACATAGTTTCTTTATTTTTAAAGATCTAGTATGCACTTCCGAGGGGTTATAGCTAAATATATATTTAAAGTTAAGTATTTGTGGTCTTGCTTTACTTCTTTATTTTTTATTTTTATTTTTATTATTTTTTTGTCTGCAATTGTTTTTTTTTTTTTATAACCTAGCGATATCCATGATGATCATTTTGTCGCGAACACAATTCAATTGAAAAAAATGCTTAAAACCAAAAAAAAAATGTAAAAAAACAAATTTCAAACTTTGCGCAATGGTAACCGCTATGAATGATTTGACTTTCTGGTCGCTTGGATCAGCAAGACAAAACAAAACACACTAACCCATTCCGAAAAATAGTTGTCTCTTTAAATTTTTTAAAATAATCAATTTTAATATCTCGAATCTTTAAAATTTTCATAAAGTCGTAGGAGTATTTATAGTTGTTGTATACTGTACAGTTATTTTTAAAATCAGAACAAGAACATCATTACATTGTAGTTGATAAAAATAGTTATATATTTAAAAAACTATTTACTCAAGACTTATTTATTTATTTATTTCAACTTATATTATTATAATTATTATTTTTTTCTATTTAAACATATATACCATTATCTTTACTATCGAGTATGAGTATTATTACAAATAAAAACCCTCTATCATCTTCAATCAATGAGAAAATTGTACTGAAAGGTGATGGATTGGCAGGTTTTGATTCGAATTTCCCAAGAGAATTGAAAGGACTAGTTCAACCATTGGATTTTAAATATTTTATGTACAAGTTTAATCATCAAATATTGGTGTTTAAAGGAAATTTCATTAGACATGTAATGACCAATCTTATTACCGTTATTATTTCAATTGTAATGTTGGTATTGACAATGAAGCATATAATGACTAGTTGGACAAATCTGATTATTACTGGTGCATTGGGTAGTCTTGGTGTTTTTGGTTCTATATTTGCGGTCATTAGTGAAAATAAAAGAGTAATCTATTTGAAATTAAAATGAATATTTAACTATAAATATATTAACAAACCACACATATCAATTTAGATTATGGCACATATTGAAGAAACAACTTTGGAACTATCAGATCGTTATAGTGATGCCGGTCTCTCTTTTAATAGTATTCAAAAACCACAATCAGAACCAACCACATTTTCAAAGATGATTTGTACTGCTTCGAATTATAATTTAGAAATACATTTAAGAGGATCTGGTAAATCATATAATGATGACATTTCTATTAATATGGGTACCCCACTTATTAATTAATTATTATCCTATTGTATATTATTCATTATCTATTGGATGTATCTTCATCACACAACTTTATAAACGTTCGAGTAACATCCATGATTCTTAAGTTTTTTACAAATAAAGTTTTTCAAAAAAAAAAAAACAAAAAAATTTAAATATACTTTATCCTTATTCGTTAGTAATCTATCTTGTCTATATAAATTATAATATTAATTGTAGCTAGCTAGGATTGATAACAAATGCATCTACTTTTTTCGAACTGGTAAAAAATTAAATTAAAAAAAAAAAATAAAAAAAAAGTTATATATACTGCTATTTTTAACTTTTTTATCAAGTTTTTTTCAAAATTTTTTTTTATTTTTATTTTTAAGCCAACCACCATCATGATCAATGGTCTTGAGTTATCAAGATAAAAAAAACATACTATTCCGAAAACCACCATTTTATTTTTAAGCAAACGCACCATTATGATTTTATCAATGGTCTAAATCACTTTGAATTAAAAGACTTGATCAGAAATCACAGTTTTTTTTTAATTTAAAAAATTCTATATTAAAAGTCTTTTAAAAAGTTTGATTCATATTTATTAATTTAAACAAATATTAAAATAGTTATAAAAATACAACTATTTATTATACCATATTTATTATTTATTTATTTCAAAATCTTTATTATATAAAATCTTTTTTTTTAAATAATTTAACATTTTAATAGAATGAGCATTATTACAAATAAAAATCCTTTGTCCTCATCAAATGAGAAAATTGTATTGGAAGGTAATGGATTATCTGGTTTCGATTCAAATTTCCCAAAAGATTTGAAAGGATTGGTTCAGCCATTGGATTTTAAATATTTGATGTACAAATTTAATCACCAGATATTGATTTTCAAAATCAATTTCATTAGACATATAATTACCAACATTATTACCACAATTGTTTCAGCGGTAACAATAATATTGACTTTGAAACATATCATGGCAGGATCAACAAATATGATAATAACAGTGGTGCTTGGTGGAGTTGGTCTTTTTGGTTCAATCCTTGCAGTGACCAGTGAAAATAAAAGAGTAATAAATCTTTATAAAATTTAACATGTAAAATTCTGTTGTTATTAACCAATATTGTTAACATTCTATAGATTATGAGAAATATTGAAGAAACAACTTTGGAGCTTTCAGATCGTTACAGGGACTCTGGACTCTCTTTTAATAGTATTCTAAAACCACAATCAGAGTCAACGACTTTATCAAAATTGGTTTGTACTGCTGCCAATTATAATTTAGAAATACATTTAAGAGGAGGATCCTCAAGTAAATCATATAATGATGATGTTTCTATTAATATGGGAACTCCTCTTATTAATTAAATTAATAAATAATTCTTTTTTTTGTTAAATATTCAAGTAGAATCTCTTGAAAGAAATACAATAATAAATTTATTAAATTTTTTAATATTTAAGAAATCAAAGGATCCGAGTTGTACTTCTTACTTTATATTTATGTTAGTGTTACAAATTACCTGAGTAAAAGGAGATATCTTTATTTCTATTATTTATTGTAAGAGTTAGAGAATGGATATTTTATTTTCAAATTTTTAATAAATCGAAATTTTGAATAGGACAACAAATTTTCATCATAGGCTCCATAGCATAGTTGGTTATTGTACTTCCCTAGTAAAGGAAGAGATAGGAAGGGGTCACGAGTTCGAATCTCGTTGGAGCCTTTATAAAATACCTAATCCGCATGCGGTTTAACCCTTTTTGTTGTAAAAAAGGTTCATCTGAGTGATGCTTGTGGAGCAGATCATATTTAGTTAACTTCCCTTTGGCATAGCGGCAAAAACCATTGGTTACATTTGTTCTAGCAGGTTAATATCAATACCGGCAATTTGTTGACTGATCATGAGTCAACATTTCTTTTTTTTGTAAAACAAAAACAAATAAAATAAAAAAAAATGTAAGAGAACAGTACAACAATCAACAGTAAGACAGTTATATAAATCAGATAGAACAGGAAGAAGAAAGAGAACTAAAAAGAATCTCTAATTTATAAATTAGAAACTAATATAACTTTGAGATAGTTTCATGGTTGTTTTTATTTTTTTGTGAAGAAAAACTAAATACATGTACTTTATAATCTCATACTTGTTTGGTTGAGAGAAATTTCAGTATTTTTGTAATTATACAAATCGATATATCCGATAAAAGATAGGGAATGAAGAGATAAATAACTGAATCATAAGTAATTCAAAGAAACTAGCTATAGTTAATATAAATATAAGATTATCAATTCAGACAAAGATATTTAAATGTTTATAAAAACAAACCATTTAAAGTACTAGAAAAAGGAACATAGTTATTGTTTATAAAATTATAGTTTATTTTTGGTAAATGAAATTAGGTAAAATATCTGAGAAAATTGCAGCGCAGAATCTGTTGCATGACTGACCGAAAATGAGATAATGTTGTTTATCAATCTTTCGAACTTTGAGATCCTCTCCTCGGTAATTGATAAAGCACAAGTTGGTCGCTGACTTTGGTGTGTCGAAATTATGTTGAATCTTATTTGTATGAAAAGTCATTGATTTCACAGAGTTTGGAACTCTTTTACTTGAGAATCCATTATAAAAAGCTTTTATCACGACATGTTCTACAGAGTTGGGAATTTTGAAATCAAGTTCATTGATTGTTGGACAACTATTAAATATGATCTTCTTAACTGATGATGGAATACCTTTTCGATTTTTTTTAACCAAGTGTTCATCATCGATTCCAAATTCTAAAGTTTCCACACCAAATGGAATCTCTCTGATAATAGATCCTTTTTTACCAAATCTCAGTTGCAACTCGTTGATCTTCAGATTTTCAAGTGATTCTTGTTTGTATCCATCGACAGAGAGTATTTCGAAATTATATTGTGATCGATCTTTGAATATCTCATCAACATCGTATTTGGAATTGTGTATACTGAGATATCTGATTGAAGGTGATAGAGATGACGTGAGATGCAATGAAGATTCAATATCTAAACTAGTTAGAGAAGCTGGTAGATCTGACAAATCTAATGTGCCGACTGAATCATATCTATAAAAGAGTGTCAGTGCTGTGAGATTGTCAAGTGATTCATCCGCTGATATCTTACTATAACTACCACAATGAATAAGAACTCTAAGATTTGGAGGAAGAGATCCAACTTGAAGGGTTTGAGTGTAAGATCTTCCCAATTCCAAATATGTTAAAGATGATGGTAATACATGAGGTTCAAATGGTTTATTAAAGTATGAATAACTACCAAACATCAGTTTCTCCAATGTATTTGGAAGAACACCTGCTGAGATTGGTTGGTTAAAGATTGAATTCCATTCGAATATCAGTTCCTTTAGATTCGGTGGAAGTTGACCTGCCAACAATGCTTTGTTGAATTTTTCATTAAATGTTATCGATGTCAAATTCACAGGTAATACATATGATAGACTTGAAATTCCTATTAAAGTAGACACATTTGAATTCGATATCATTCCATAGATTTCCTTTAAATACTTATTATCAATTGGTTTGGCTATTTCAACTTTAGTGATATTTGGTGTAATTCCATAGATATTTTCTACAGGATATTTATCTATGTTCAATAAAGGATAAAAAAGAGTTAGATTAAGTTGTTTTGTTGTATAAATAATATTATCATTAATAATAATAACAAATATTTACATGGATTTACTGAATAGTCTGTTTCGTAAATAGCTTTGCCATATATCAGAGTACAATTACTCTTTTGACCGAGTGATCTGAGTAATGATGTTCGATATGATTTCATTGTAAATAAACTCTTAATATAATATACTGGTGCCTCTTTGTTTGATTTACTTTTAGATCGACCACCAAGATTATCAATTTCTTTGCTAATATTGACATTTAAATGATCGGTATTAAAATATAGATATTTATCTCTTTCACTGAATAATCTTTTACAAACTAAACTGACACATATTTTATCTATGTTTTCTTCAAGATAACTAACTATCTTTAATAACAATAAATGTGATAGATTAACAATCATTCTACTAATTAAATAAATTAGTTTTGTTTCATTAGATTATCATTCGTTTTTTTTTTAGATAAAAAAAAAAAACTTGTCGTCTAACTTTGAAGTTCGTTCTTCGTTTTGATGATCATCAGGTATTTAAAATAGATACATTAAAAAAAGTTTTCAAATATTATTAAAATCTAATTTAATGTTTATTTATTTACTTTTAATATTAAATAATTGAATTACATGAATAACTTTTGTTGTTATCTATTATTTTTTTTTTATTTTCAAAAATTCTCTATCATTAAATATTTGTGTTTTCTTTCAAAAAAATAAAATAGATTAACAAAATTAAAGATTTTTCTATCAAATTTGGTATCAATAGACTTATATATTACCTACCTTTAAATCTTTGCTTTATTCTGATATCAGTGATAAAAATATTTAAAATTTAATTTCAATTATTTTGTCTTTTTTTAAAAAGTATAATAAATATAATGAACAAAGATATATTTATAAAACTATTTAATAACTATGTTGTAAATCAAATAGTATTTAGATATGTAAGAATTATTAATCTGCGTGGCAGTTCAGATAATAGACATAAAAGCTATCGATGGTCGGATGTTCTAAAGTTACCACACATGATGGCTTCACATGGATATCTGACTCAACTCGAATCATATTTCAATGAGAATGCGGTATCCAACAACTGTGAATATAAATCATTTAAAAATGCAATCATCTCATCGCATATCGATATTGTAAGATACATGTTGGATCAACTGCATATCGATATCAGAAAGACCAAAGATAGAATATCGACATATCATGTCACCAAACTTTTGAATTGTGCATCAAAGTATGGTAGATTGAAAATTATTAGATATCTATGTGACCATTCACAACAGTTTAAATGGGATTACTACGAAGCAATGACCAGAGCACCACTCTCGGGTGACTTTGAAGTATTGAAATACATGGTGGAAAAAGTAAACCAATTGCAATCAAAGTTGATCGACTATTCACGTTATAAAAAAACAGTATTTGATAATGCTGCTTTTGTTGGTCGTATCAATATGATTGAATGGCTGGAGGTGAACCGAGCACAAGACAAACCTGTTAGTAAGATTCTTTTTTCAGCAATCAAAGGAAACCAAGTAGAAACAGTTCAATATCTTTTGAAAGATAATAACATTGAACTAACGATTCCACGAGAGATAACTGAAGATGCAATCAAACGTAATCACTTGGAGGTTCTTAGAGTTTTACCATCGAGTTTTGTTAGCTATGGAGAATCAGCTTGCCAATTGGCAATTGACACTGGTAATTTGGAGCTGGTTAAATTGATTCATAACAACAATACTACTGCTACAAGGTCATTCGAAACCGCATCACTCAAAGGTAGCATTGATATTGTGAAATGGTTATTTGAAAGCCAGGTTGGCGAGTGCACACCATCTGCATTCGAATGTGCTTGTTCCTCTGGCAACATGGAATTGGTTAATTATCTCATTGATAAAGTTCAGATTAGAAATGCTCATTTGGCTGTACAGAATGCCATTGTCAACGGTAATTTAGAATTGGTGAAACTACTGAATGTACTTCTCCATGACAATTTTAAAGATTCGATGGATCTTGCAGCAGAGAATGGACAGTTGGAAATTTTAAGTTGGTTAAATGAGAATAGAAAAGATTTAAATTGTACTACTTTAGCAATGGATCGAGCAGTAATCAACAATCACTTCAATGTCGTGCGTTGGCTCTATCTCAATAGAACTGAGGGATGTACCAGGAGAGCGATTGATTATGCTGCGGAAAATGGTTGTCTAGATATTATTCAATTGCTCAACGAGAATTACTCAATGGGATTTTCAGATTACGCTGTTGAGAAAGCTGCAGAAAATGGACATTTAGATGTTGTTCAATGGTTGAGTGACAATTCCACTAATGAGATACCAACGAGAGCATTAATCAATTCAGTTCGAAATGGACATACCGAAGTAGTGAAATATTTATATCCAATAACTGGGCAAACTTTCATTCATTTGATAGATATTGCAGCTTCTCGTAATTTTTTAGAAATTGTACAATATTTGGACGAAAACAATGAGACTTGTTCAACCGATGCCATGGATAACGCTGCAGGAAATGGTCATTTGGATGTTCTCCAATGGTTTCATGAAAATAGGAGTGAAGGATGCACTGGTTATGCTCTCTACAAAGCATTCATCAATCAAGACAATCTAACGGTTGTCGAATGGCTATACAAAAATCGAAGTGAATGTAAAAATCTTTTAGGACATCACCATACATTGATTACTCCGATCATCTCAAACAATCAATTCGATAAACTACAATGGATATTGGATCGAGTGAACATTCCTTTGAACAGTCTTCAATTATATAGGAAAATGTCTAAATATCCAGAAACAACTGAGATTATAGATCATCATCTATTAAAACAAAAACAAACTAAAAATCCATAAAAAATATTAAAATAACAACTATAGTTTAAAGATTAAATTGTTTTATTAGTTTAAGTCTTGTAAAGATAATTCAATTTTTTGTATTGACCTAAAAAGTATGCAAAATTATCTGTAGTTAAGTGTTCAGTTCTATTTTTATCTAGGAATTTGATGATTTGAACTTTTTCATTTTCAATTGCATTGCCATTGATCGTGATGATCATCCTTCTGATCGATTATAATCTAAAAACTTGAATATCTATAGATTATTACATAGATTCTCCCTCACTGCACTACGGTATCTTTTATGAAATTAAACAAAGATTAAAATCAATTTAAATTGAAATTCACAAATCTTTTTAAATTTGATTTTATATTGTTATTAATTTATAATTTATGATCATTTAAAGTTGAATAAATTATTATATTTAACTTGTTTTTATTTATCTTATTAATTTTTAATTTATGATCATTTAATGTTGAATAAATTTCAAAAATTTAACTCATATAAATTAATATATTTATTTTGATTTAAACTATGATTAATTTAGGATTAATCAAGCAACAAATTGTAATTCTAATTTTACCACTTATCTAAATATATCATTAACACATCACTAGTGGTAGTTGTAAAATGTTGAAACATGCTAGATGTTAAAAACATTTTAATTTCTTTGTTATAATTTTTTTAATGATTGAATACATAAATAAATAATAATTGTATATAAGAATTTATCCCATTTTTTAGTAATATAATGTCACACTGTAGATTTGCGGGGTGTGATTTCCCAGGTCGAAACATAAAAGATTTTGAAGATATCAACAAACATTATGTTAGTCATTACAAACAATGCATAGTTTGTGTTTCCCCTCTTATAAATATTAAATCTTTAACAAGTCATTGTACAACAAAGAATCACAACATAATAAAAGAAACTCGTAAGTGAATCGTAATAGATACACCACAATATCACCAAATTTATTTTTTGTTTTTTTTTTTTTTTAAGATTTTTTTTTTATTTTACCAACTAATCAAATCATCATAAAAACAGTTAACATAGATAAATTCAAAGAAAGAATTGACAAGATATTAGAAAAAGAAATTGGACTATCATATTATCAAGCATCAAAAGAAAAGATAGAAAGACAGAGTAAATCAACTAAAGCAATACCAGTGGTTTCACAACCTAATGAAATAGTTTTTCCTAACGATGAAGATGAAGAATGGTGTTTCGAAGATAACTCTGAGGTCGAAGGAGATATATCTAATAATAGTAAGATCATTTATATAAATACATATTTAACACTACGTCTAGTGAATATTATTCTAATATAAGTTTATATCTATCAATACTCCTAAATATAATAAATAAATACTCAACTCAAATATTAAATTTGAATATTTAATATTTATTATAAATATATATCAAATATATTTTAATATAAATATTAAATAAATATAAACTTTATTAAATTTATAGATCTATAAATTAAATAATTTTCTAAACCTCGATCGGTTATATCAATAAAATTATTATTAAATGTTAATATAACAACACTATGTGAATGAATTGAAGTACGATATAATTGAATTGAATTATTTAATTTTATAATAACACTAATTAACACATTTTTCACTTTGACATACAAAAATACATATGTATATATTCATATTTGTATGATTTTTTTGAAAAATACAAATAAAACAAATTATTTTTTTTTCATATACATATAGTTCATTGACTGTTTATACCATTATAAAAGGATCAAGATATTGAATGAATGTTTAGGAGTTGAATTGATTCGTGGTGCGTTGTACTTGTACGGAATTTAATTGGTTAACTTAATCTATTTGAAAAACATACCAGTGTGTAGAAATTTCAAACTACATATGTCATACTATATGTCATACAGTCATTGACTAATTACATATATAATAAAATAGTTATATCACAGTCTGTGAGACTATATAGTAGTCGGTGTATAGTATTTAAATTGCTAATACACCAAAAAATACATAAAGTCAAGTGATTAAAATCAAAAAACGTTTTATAAACTATATATGATATATGACATACATATTCACATGTGAAATGTAGTATAAATTTTTTAATTTCAATAGTATTACTGATATTATTTGATTTATTATTTAACTCTTGTAACTATTTGAATAATATGTATTTCAAACACTAACTTTGATCATAAATTTGGTATATGTGCGATGGGGAGGTAAATTCAAGATTTTGAAAAATATTTATCAAATATTTAACAATATTTATGAATTTTTTTTAAATTTATTTTTTGATTTCACATTTATTACAATTATAAATTTTTGATTGATTCAGTGTTAGAGTTTTAGAATTTATTAATAATAATTAATTTTATAATAGTTATAAAATGAGTGAAAAATATCACCCTTATAGTTCATCTGATAAAGAAATAAAAAAAAGATCCAATAAATATAATAGTTCTATTTATGAACACTTTTTTAAATTTATAGATTCGAATGATAAGAATTTAATTAAAATGAAGTGTAAATACTGTCAAGTATTTTCTTTTAAATACGATAAGGTAGACAAAAAATCAGTGTCTAGTGGTTTAGGATGGGCACATCTTGAGAGTAAGATT